AGGTGCTGGTGAACCTGCTTCCACCCAATAATGAGTAGTCAGTCTCTGACTATCTCTTGTTGGAATGCCAATGGCATTGCAAAACATACCATATCTCTACTAACTGATGCACTTTATGACTCAACTCTGATTTTTCTAACTGAAACTTGGTTACTCTCTCCTTATAGGTACCCCACTCCTTGGAAGCAATATCACACCTATGGCATACCTGTACAAGGTGATGGCTTTCGTGGTCAACAAGGGATTACACTTTTGGTTAACCCCAACTGTCCCTATCCCGTTGTTCATATCCCCTCACCCTCACCCTATGTCCTCACCTGCCAGATCTCCACCTATTTAATTCATTGCTTATACCTACCACCATCCATGCCTGACAATGAAGCAATTGAGCTTATCCATTCCTTACCTATCAATCCCAACCCCAGCCACACCAACACTATCTTTTGTGGCGATTTCAATGCTCGCCATGCTCAACTCCTAGGTGACTCGAAATCCACACAACGTGGCTACGAATTAGCTCATTGGATAACAGAAACTGGTCTCCGTTGCTGGAATTCCGAACACACTTATGGACAGCCTACCTACTATTGCTGTCGTCGCACTACTGCCGATGGGGGGATTTTTCAAAGTATCATTGACCTGATGATAACCACCGACAATCTCCTACAACCTCAACTCACAGTCAGATCTGACCTCAGTGTTGGCTCTGATCACCATCCCATTTCCTTAACATTCAACAACCCTCTACCTCCACCGCCTAAGCACCAACATCCTCGTAGACTATGGAACTTAGGTAATCTATCCAAACCTAACTGTACTTATACTTCACTCTTTTCCGATAGAATAGCACCGATACAGCAGCAACTCCAACACCTATTGAATTGTGATGCCATCGATCAACCTACATCCACTATTAACAACATGGCTATTGAAATCACTGATACCATTCACTCTTGTCTAGATGACTCTGTTGGCCGAAGAGCTCATACTATTGACCGTCCGTCATGGTTTTGGACTCCCCATTTACAACAACTAGTCTCTCAGAGAGAACATGCCCGATACCAATGGCGTACGGCAACTCACCCAACCACCAAACTCGCCTTATACGACCGCTACACCTCTTTGGATACCACCTTCAAAAGAGAGTGTAAAAAGCGGAAACGGTATACATGGAAACAGTTCTGCATCAGGTTGTCGACTGGAGATTTTGTAGAGACAATCAAAACAATCAAGGGTATCCGAAAAAGCCGTATAACCTCTACCCAGTTCAATCATGCCGACGGCCCTGAAGCTGCTGCCATTACAATGTCCCGGCATCTCCGAAATGTGTTTGCAGGCGATCAACTCCCCTCACATCGTCAACCAATACCACCTCCACCACTTGGCCCCCATCCGCTGACTTATACAGATACACCACAGCATAATTGTCCTTTTACACAGGACCTCATCTCTACTATGTTGTTGAAAAAACTATCCCGCAACAAAGCTCCGGGTATAGACCACATACGCACAGAAATGCTATTACCTATCGAAAAAGCCCTTACTCCCACTCTCACCTTGCTATTCAGTTTATGCTGGAAATGGTCCACCGTCCCCACGGCTTGGATCACCGCCCAAGTCATACCCGTATATAAGAAAGGCGATCCACTCGACCCAGGCAACTTCAGACCTATTAGTTTAACTTCTGTTTTCCGCAAATTACTTGAATTATGCATTCAAGATTTACTAACTACCACTGCTTCCCCTCTAGATATAGTCCAAGGTGGATTTCGTGTAAACCGTAGTGCATTAGATCAGGCCCTTTGTTTAAATGAAATCTGTGAACAACATGCAAAAGATCACTACAATGAACGACCCGTACTCGCTTTCCTCGACATCAAATCAGCCTATGATACAGTAGACCGCGCCATCATCTGGCGAGAGCTAGAACTGCACATCTCCTCACCACTGTTAGCCCTGCTTCAAAGACTATTCGATGACGTACAAATTCAAGTACTTGTCCAAAATACATCCTCACCCAGCTTCCACCCAGTAACAGGAGTACTGCAAGGATCAATACTGTCTCCCTTTCTGTATTCCGTTTACATCAACAGTCTACCCGCGTTTTTACGTACTACCCGTCCTCCTCCCAACCGCGCCTATGATCAACCCATCAAACGAGCCTTTGGTAATGTATGGGTTAACTGCTTGCTTTACGCTGACGATGTCGTCTTAATAGCTACTGCTGACTTGATGCCACGACTGCTCAAAAAGGCCGAACAACACTCGCAACAGCTTGGCTATCGCTGGAACCCCGCTAAATGCGTCATTATCAATTCCCCAACTGCTTTAGGCGCTCCTCCACTGAAGTTATATGGTACTGAAATGCCATGCGCTGATTCATTTGTGTATCTTGGTATCCCCTTCAATCGCGAAGGAAAAATTGATAGCACCCTCCTCCTCCAACGCAACATTCAGAAAGCCCTTGCTGCTATGCGTAATAGTTTACAACCTCTCGGTCTCCGCTCACCCTCCTTCTCCAAACTGACAGCCACACGACTGTACACCTTACTCATCCGTCCAGTAATGGAATATGGACTCGCCCTTTGCCCCTTTTTTAACAAGCAAATAACATTATTGGAAAAAGCTCAAGACCAATGCCTAAGAATCCTTTTCGGTGGCCATCCCAAAAGCTCAACCGCAGTCTTTAAACATTTGACCAATCTACCCACTATGAACCAACGTGTACAACGCCTCATTTTCAAAATGATATGCCGTGTACACCTCTTGCCCAGCGATACTTTATTGAAACAAATCACCAATGGTTGTACAGTCCCCTCCCATCGTTGGCCACGTCTCTTAAAATATAGCATACTCTGGACTTCTCTTCCACCTAGTGATCGATGGAGATTAGATGTATGTCGTAAAGCTAACAAGCAAGACCGACACTACTTACAGTTTCGCCAAGATCAACATAACTCCATCATTACTCGCACCCTACCACCACCCCCAGTGCTTCTATCAGCCTGCCGCCCAACTTTAGGCATTGATCCTATACTTTTCCTCCCAATGTCTATTTTTGATCGCAGTCGACTTCTTCGGTGGAAAATGGGATGGCTCCCAGCTCGACCCATCGGATGTAATAAATGTGGGGCTCCACATGCATCCCGAAACCATTTACTCTCTTGCCTCTCTGTTCATGCACGACTCAATCTACCCATCAGCGCTGAACCCAACCCAATTGACTACTTTTTGAACACCTATCTCCCAAAAAAGAAGCCTAAGCTCTCTCCCGTTATGCGTACAACACCTTTGTCGTCAAAACAAAAACACCTTGTCGAATATTGGCCGGTGCTCTGTACCATAATGCTCGAAATTGATCAAATCTGTCATCCTGATACCGAGTTTACTGGAGCCGCACTTACAACTAGCGAAATTCCACTTTTGAAGTGGTTCGTCGTTTGTGATTCTGAACAACATCGTGAATCTACACAAGAAGACTAAACAAAAAAAAAAAAAAAAAGAAATCAAAAACACCAAAAAAAAATTACAAAAATGAAAAATTCCAAAAATCTTTCCAGTTTCCAACTCCTAACCTTTTACTGACTTTTCAACCTCAAGGACAATTGTCCCCTTTGACAGCACTGACGCCTGATCTAATGCACTACTTCAACGCGATTCCTAACCTTTTTTTACTTCTATTTTATAGTTGATTTTTAGTTTCCTTTTACCTTTTATATATCCTATAAGTTTTTTCTCTTTTCTTTACTTTTTTCTTATGATATATAAGCTTGCCCAAGTGGTATCCTTTTATTGCCCTATAGGGATCCGGTTATATACCACGTTAAATAAAACCAACCCATTTGTCTATACTACACCGGCATCTTTTCTTGAACAACAAGTTCAGCAACCTCCACCAAGCCGTTTGATACCGCCCTCGTCCTCATCTGACGACAAACGTGCAGACGATTTCGCAATTGCGAAAACCCCATCTCTTGAAAAGACATCCCCATTACCTCGCACCCTCCGCTCTAGCCATAAGCAAAATAAGCGGTTAGATAATACAACTATCGATCACCCAAATTCAGTTAGCGGTTGCAAACGTCCCTTATCGGAAATCTCAACTCACCTTTTTTCTAACGATACTCTTTTTGCCATGGGAAAAATTACTACCAACCCCATACAGAAAACCAAACCTACGCCTGGTCCTAGTGCAACCTCCGACCACTCACCCGCTACTCCGCAAATGTCTGCTACCGCCCCATTGAATCAAACTCCGGATTTGGAAGATCCCAATATCTTTGGTATCGCCAACCCTATAGGCGTATCTACTACAATCCCTCTGCCTCTAGATGCACCTAGCTATATTGTCGAACTCTTCCAGCTGATCACCGCACAAAACTCACGACTTGCTCATCTTGAGACACTCGCCGCTGCCAACACCGTTCTTACTAAAGAAAACGAAGCCCTAAAAAAACGCATCAGGCAATTGGAACAGCGCCTTCATCAGCCTTCCCCCACTATGAAGACACGCAAATGACAGATAGTCGCCTGGATAGAGAACCGGGAGATTTCACCTTTAGTCTTCCCTCTCAATCTCTTAAGAAGCTCGATCACTCACCCTTCAGAACTAGCCAGGGCTCTAGTGCTTCAAAATATGCTAGTCATAACTCACCTCCTCCTACAAGCCCCTCCACCACCACTACTCGCACTGCGACACATGAATTGTCCCCCTACCAAGCAGCCGCTCATAAAGCCCTCAAAGCCACTGATAGAAACCCCAAGGCAGCTCAACGTAAAATAAACCCTCAAGCCCGTAGAACAGCTGCACGATCCTTTCAAGCTGAATCCGCTAATCAAGGCTTCCAGTATTTGTACCTCCCCTGCCGTACTAGGGAAAAGCTTTCCCTCATGCGCCGGAAACTCTCCAAATTGAATATCGATACATCCCGTATCCTCGATATTCAATTCCCTGCTCAAAAGACTGTGGGCATCCTTGTCCAAAACGATTATGCCCCCATCATCAAGAACCGACTTGCCAAGGCCAAGATCACTCCCTTGGATACGTTTGACCCGCTCTCCGTTGCTACCCTCCATAACAACCCTGAACTTGCTTCTCTTAACGAAGAGGATAAGAAAGCTAAGGCCCTCGAATGTCACACCAAACGCTGTCTCCGTGCCCTGGATTTTATCCGTAGACCCGTCAGCTTTGCTGTTGCTAAGACCTTTATGACAAACTCCTGGATTACGGAAAACTACCTTAAACAGCTTGTAGCAGGTACACCGTTCTTTCCCCATAAAGCCGAAGAAACCCCTTCCACTACCACCGCCGCCGATTTTCACACCGCTACCCTCCGTTGTACCTCTTCCTCAGCCGATGATGTTGATATGATACTCAGTGAGGATACAATTTCCATGCAAGCTTCAACAGTTCCTTCAGGTGCAGGTGAACCGGCATCCCAACAATAATGGGTAGTCGATCGCTGACTATCTCATGTTGGAATGCTAACGGCATTGTCAAACACACCATATCATTAATTACTGATCCACTTATGCATTCTACTCTCATTTTCCTAACTGAAACTTGGCTACTTTCTCCATATAAATATCCCACCTCCTGGCAACAATACCACACCTATGGCGTTCCCGTTCAGGGTGAAGGATTTAGGGGCCAGCAAGGCATCACATTACTTGTTAACCCCAATTGTCCATATCCAGTCACCCATCTACCATCATTCTCCCCTTATGTTCTTTCATGCCAAATCTCCACCTTTTTGATTCACTGTCTATACCTACCGCCATCTATGCCCGACGACTGACGTTTAGGTATATAGCTGGATTGGTATGTGTTACTCGTAGGATATATTGATTCAACAACCAGAATATAGTAGGCCATGGTACTGCTCCCTGTTCTGGAAATAAAGTATGGTTGGAGAAAAAAAGGCTCAATCACTCTTTATTAATACAACAACTGTTCACGCAATCAAAAGAACACCACACACGAATATCTCTTCGTAGCTAACATCTATAATCATTCCCACAGTATCTGAGCTACACAACTGGTGGTCGATAAATATTGGATTATAAATGTAGCTGCATGGTCACCCTGGATCTGCCAGGATAGCACATTACAAATCAATCCGCTCTGGGATGGACAAGTAATTATCCACTTAAAGGGAAGACCTATTCTTTTACGGAAACCTCTGATTCACTGAGTAATATTTGACAATAATACATCAGTGTCAGCTATAGACCCCGATATAACAGCAAACAGTATAAGTCTTTATTAATAGTAGTAATCTTAGTTTTCTTTTCCTTTTTCTTTAGTTTTTTTTTTTTTTTTTTTTTTTTTGAAAGAGAAATAAAGACGGTGGTTTGATTTCGTCAAGCTTTCGTGTTTTATTTTCTCTTGTGATATTGTTTACCTATTACCTTTTAGTTAAAACTAGCGAATACCACACTCTTATTTTCATAACCTAAAACAATTGAAAAAGAAGCGTGCACTTTCTTTTATGCATTACAATAAATGAGCAATAAAAATAGCAAGTTTCGAATGAAATGTAATGGTTTTAAAGCGAGAAAACAATTACTGGCAGTTCTTCTGCGTTAAGATATTTGATACTTCTATGTCAACTCATCACATGATAGTAGTATACAACCTCGAACTTCCTGATTTCTCTGACAAAAGATTACCTTTAAATACTAAAATTGTTAAGCGCAACGCAACAATTTTTGTTGAAAATTTGAAGATACTTTATTGATATAATGACTCATCTTCAATTAGAGACATTTATCCAGGAAAACACACAATCCTCCATCAGAGTCCGCTTAATGCTTTATATGTAGTCAGCGATTTTATCTTCTAGTGGCAGCTCTCCATCTTTACGAAGCGATTTACTGACCGATTCTACCTTTTTCCACACTCTTAATAAGTTTTTACCAGCTAAACCGACCAAATCTCTATTTGACCAGCCTCTACGAATCAATTCAGTAAACAAATCTGGATATTTTGTAACATCCTCCAGTCCGCGGGGTGTCTTCTCTATACCGTTATAATCCGAGCCAATACCGACATGCTGGCGGCCAGCGACAGACGCAATATGTTCAATGTGGTCTGCAACATCAGAAAGAGTTGCTTCTTTGGTTGGATCACATTGTACAAAATAGCTGTAGAAGTTGACCATCACCACACCATCTGTTTCATTCAAACGTTGCAAAACATTATCCGGCACATTTCGTTCGATATTACAGATGGCATTACTGGAGGAATGGGAAAAAAGAACCGGTGCACGAGTGATATCCAGAACAGCATTCATCGTGGAGTGTGCAACATGGGATATATCTACCATCATACCCAATCTATTCATTTCCAAAATAATCTTTTTACCGAATTCTGTCAATCCCAACCCTTTTGTAAACGGTGGAGCGTTTTGATCACAACATGATTCAGCCCAGGGCGTGTGGCAGTTGTGTGTCAGCTAGGCATCGAATTCAATGAAGGAACTTCTATTACTCAAAATAGAAAGAAGAAAATCACACAAGGAATAGCTTACTGTCATGTATCTGATACCCAAATCGTAGAACAGGCGTAGAACAGCCATATTACTATCTATCATTTGACCACCCTCCATACCCATAGCAGAAGCAATATACCCATGACGCCAGGCCCGAACAAAGTCTTTCGAACTAGTCGCAATTCGGAAAGATTCAGGGTATAAATCTGCCATTCTCTTAATAACATCGATACTTTCCATAGCTTTCAGAACCTGATTAGCTGCAGTGTCCTCACAGTCGTAATAAACACTCCAGAACTGACCACCCAGATGACCTTGGCGAAGACGCACAATATCCGTATGCCCCCAGTCCAACTTTGTCAAGTTCAGGTTATTGATCTTGCCATCCAGTTCAAATGCTAATGTCCTATATACAACCAATGAGCATTAATCCTGTGCTCCTTAGTCTGATTGTTATGGTACAAGATAGTCACATTGGTAGGTCGTTATGCGTGTCTATTAATAAGTGTTGACTAAGAAGTTTGTTTGCATGCTTATTTGCAGAGCTATGCTTTCTGGGTGGTCTTTCAAAAGCTTGCTGGTAAGGCTGTAACTCAAGAGTGCTAACTAGCTGTGCAAACAAGCAGATGGCTGCTAAGATATCAAGATGCAATATCATAATGGTTTCTGTGAGAAAGAAAGCTATTGATAGACCAAAAACAAAAATTTGGATCTAAATTTTAATCCAAAGTCATATCGCACTTCATTGTCTGCTCCCAACATTCTTGATATCGCGAATAAATTACTTTGACTAAACTGAAAGTTACTTTACAATAACGCAGTTAGTACAATATGTCTTTTCCATTGTTTTGTAACTGTAATCATGTTGGATATTTTTCAAACCATATATTACTGTTGATCTAAATATTTACCAACTCTGGGTGGGAGAAGGTCTAATTGATGCTTTTGCGCTGTCAGAAATTGCATACTATTATTATTGACAACAGTAATACTAACAAGGAAATTTTAGGATTGTATAAACCTAAAGCTTCTTTTCTATTAAAAAAGTATTTTTTTTTCATATATAATGGAGAAATCTCAGAGTCATTGAAAAATCGTATATTATGAGGCATCCGTCTAAATGAGAAACATAACGTTTTTAGTTGTATGTACTGATTTTATTATTATAAAACGATACATATCAAAATTTACTTAATATATGTATATATATAGACAATAGTAAATACTTATAATGTATGGTATAGAGTTCTTTTTAATAATTGCTATTATAAGGATGCCTTGCGACGTCCGCGTAAACATATTTCACCTAGAAAATTACAAAGTTAGCGTACAGTAAGGGCCCTCTGTAACGATTTTAAGTCAAAAGAAACATACATATCAATAATGAATCGTTTGATTTTCGCCATTTTGTAGCTTCTCGATTTCCGCATTGAGAACAACAATAGTTAGGGGCGTCTCGCTTACGAACAACTTTAGTAAGTCCATCCGGATGAGTTACAAGTTTACGATTTGTTCCTTGTGTTTTCTCACTAATATTGAAGGTGAATTAAACTCTTATAAACCATTTTGGCACTTCAATATATTACTTACTATAAACCACATGCGTTACATAAGAGACTGCCCTTGGATTTTTCAGAAATGCTACGACGCCATGAGGGTGCATTTGTGGAATGACAGTTAAAGCAGCGCTTCTTCTTCTTCTGATGTGGCTGCTTCTTCTTATAATTCGCCTTTTTCAGAGCAGGAGTAGATTCTTGCTTGATGGGTGTGTCTTCAGCATTTTTAAAACCGTAATTAGAAGTAGAGATAGAATGGCTGTTCGATTGACCAATGACAGGCGCGAAATTTCTGTCATCTTCACTATGTTCGGAATTAGGGCCTACAGGCATATACGAAAAGCCGTTACTTTGTTGATCGTAGCTATCATCAGAAAGACTCGATCGGTAGCCACCAAACGTGCTAATATTCAATTGACCAATAGGTGCTGTTAGCTCAAAATAAGAACCCTCTCTTCTAGAGTCGGGAAAATGATTTGCTTGGTAACTTTGCAGAGATTGGCTTGACATTATAGATGTAGGAGAGGAGCTCGCAGTAAATACTTCATGGCTTGAAATAAAAGGTTGTTCATCGGATGAAGAAGAGCCACTGTAAGAGACATTCACAGGAGTAGCATCACCATAGTGAGCTATATAACCAGCTTGAGGGTAATAGGGGTATGGGAGAGCTGTGCTGCCACCAGCAAGATGGAGAGGCGGAGGGTGGGTAGGGAAGTAGTACCCTGAAGAAGTAGTCGAAAAATCCATGCTTACTTCATCTATAGGAGATGAAGTATCAGATATTTCAGACACAATGTTTTGTCGATTTCCAGAGGTCATTATATAGTAATCTAACATTCAAATCATACCATCAATATGCTTTTTCACAATAGCTGCGGTTTTCAATAAATACAAAACAATTACCTGTCATGCTTTACAAAGAATTATACGGGCAATTTGCAGAAGAGATAAAGAAATGAAATGAAGAGAGAACTGCATAATAAACTAGCTCATTTTATATATATGAGGTTGAAATCTAGACTTTCTAATGTCAATTAGATTCCGAGCTAGCACTTAAAGAGAGAGAAGAAACCAACAATGCTAGAATAATGCCTTTTCCCAAGCTATCGTCTTTCCGTTCAATTTATCACAGTTCCTAGTATTAACTTTGGGACTCTACTATACCGAGTCAAAAAAGCCATCTATATATTTTTATATGGAAAACAAGGTTTCTGAAGCTATTGTAACGGATTGAAAAAAGGAGTCCTTTTGTTATTTGTTCCGTACATTTCCAATCCTGGTCTCTTGTCGTGTGTTCTCCTTTTTGGGTGGATCATCTTATGAATATAATGCTTCCATCAATCAAAGCAGTGGAAAATAGCTCGCATAAATTACGGCCTGTTCATTTAATTGAATTGCTAGGATTATAAATCAGCATCTGACCCCATGACTTACACTGACAAGAGGTTAATAATGAAGAAAGAAAAAGGAGAGCTGGATTCTGTATTAACATTGAAATAGGTCTTATCATGGTAAAACGGTTATGTATCTATTTTATCGAATAGAAGCTACACTAATAGATGCAAAGCAACTTATGCCTATACGTGTAACAGAGAAGAGTCGTGCAATTTGTACGTAAAGCTTCTCCACGGTGGCCTGCCATGTATAAGGTACCCTAATACGGAATAATTTAGGACGATAAAAACCAAACAATCGGTAACGTCTCTTATTGATGTGGGCGCCTATGAGAAGACAGGCATAACCGTCATTGTTGTGTATGCTCTTCATGTGAAAATCGTAGTGATAAAAATGATAGTAAACCTAATTCGTGTATAACTAAAAAAGCAGCAATTGAGTCTCTTCACTCATACAAGTAATGCCCGTGCGTTAATGCATTTACATTATCACGGTGTCTCTTCAAACTTTATCAAATGTTTATATACTATTGCAATTACTCATTATTAAATAGCGCCCCATAAATCGATAATTTTGCCTTTTTTGGTTGATGTAGCTACTTCCTTTTACGGACACATCAATCTCGTTAGAAGTAGGTTGTGCTCCTTTAATAGCATAAAAAAGCAAAAATTCCGTATTCTCGAATGATATCATAATAAAGAGTTTTATTTCTAGAAGTGTATGACGGTATTCCATGAAATCAGTAATTACGGCCTTTGGAATTGGCGTTAAGTCTATTCTTGTCTGCGAAAGAAAGGGCAAAACTCTTGAGGGGGGGGGTATACATAAAATATTATAGCAAAGCAAATCATTTTCTGCCAAATGCAAAATGAACTAGTTGATTTTTTTTTTTTTGCTGACGAAGTGCGAGAGGCTTTGTTACTTTTTACTTTCGACCTATTTTTGTTAGGCCTCGAAGGCTTTGCTGAACCATCAATCCAGGTCTCGTGGAGAAAACATACTTCTCTTTGACAATGGCCGTTACATCATACTGAACGGTTTCTTCGTCCGTCATTGCATCTTCAACTTGCTTTCGCTTACGAATTACTGCAAACGGTTTCGCTAAGGTAATCTTTTTACCGATTAAACGATGGTGACCGATGATCAGTTCTGCAGAGTTTTCTTGTAAGTTGAGATCTCCAATTTTCAGGTTTCTGAAATCAAGTTGATCGCCAATATCAAAACTTCCTTGAAAATCCAAAATAATAAGATTGCTTTGATCTGCTGAACTTTTACCAGGTTCAATAATTACTTGTACCATCTGTTGTCAATTGCAAGTCGTAGATTGGTTAAACCTGCCCGAATGTAAACAGTGTACTGTATGCAAAAAAAAAAAAAAAAGGTACCAACTGACGGGCGGACTACGTTCAAACACGATTTTTATTTGAAACCCAATAAATACGAAATGTTTTTAATGTAAATTGCCCGGTGCAGACCCAAATGTTTTATAGAACTCTTTAAAACCCTTTTGTGCCTACAGCTAAAAAGGAATGTGAGCTAAGGCGCCGGGTTTAGGGAAGCATGTAACCAGCCAATAAAGCTGTTGACCGAGAAGCGGAGGAGAAAGAAGTTACTTGTTTACGTTGGAGGTAATCGAGTTCAAATAAGATATGACATAGGGCGGGCCAACGGTACTACCATACTTGAGCTCGTTGGAGGGATCTGAAGGATCGCAGTTTATGCCCTTTTTTTTGATTTTGGACTTATCTTGTGTAATAAATTGGATACTTTCAATGACTAATTCAGTGATTGTTCCAACTACTTATTTTTGAAATTTGGACACTGTCAGCTACTTTTGAATTTGCAGTGTCCCAGTAAGTCACTGATTCTATATCTGTTGTTCTCGTTTTGATTAACGAAAGAGCAATAACAATAGTTGATTCTATAATCTATCTCAGAAATGCCTGTTTGCCTTTCACTAACCGAAGGAGTGGTAAATAAATTGGTCTCGATTTTGTTGTCAAAATTTAGCGCGTTCCAAGCAAATCGAAGCTCGTTCTGGGTTGTTTTTGATGTCAAAACCTTTTTGTTGTCCAAATAACATTCTAATAAAAAGGTTTAGTTTACAAAAATGGTACCTTCTTCCCTTTTCTTATCAGACTTTCGTTATTTTCTTCAAAGAGACGCGAAAGGACATTATAATTGTGAGGTATTGATAATGGATCATCCGATATACAAGTATAAGATATCATCAGAACTACCCGCAACGACTGTACTGTGCGTGTTTAATATCTTTCAAGTAAATATTATACCGTCAAGAGAAGCAAAAACCCTTGCCGCTGGTCAGGACGATTACGAAACCCCAGTTATTCTCATAGACTCCCATTGTGACATTCAAATGAAGACATATCGGTATCAATAAAATTGGCCTTGAGAGGCTTGACAAGACGATCCATTGTCAAACGGTCCTATGTATGAGGATATACCTCAAGTCCACACGAATTCTATGGCTTATATCAAATTTCAACTTTAACAATTCTAAGTGCCGTCAAAGAGCCGATGAAGAGCTCACCAACATGCTTCTGGATGGCGGCAAAAGCTGCCCCTTACTTTGAAAAACCGCAAGAAGATCCCACTAGTTATCTTTGGTGACGGGATGAAGAACAAGGATTGTATAGTGTGCAAAGGCCACCAAATGGCTGTGAGGAAAATTGTATCGCCCACTGCTAGACATAGAAAGATGTTTACTTGCAGTCGTTATAGACATTAAAGTATTAAGGGCGTCAATTGTAAGTTTTGTTGAGAGGAATGCACATGCAGGTTGATTTTGATTCGCTGACATCTCTTTTGTAGGTATGTAGCGACTGCCTGGGTAAGGATATGAATGAAATGAAGGTTGCCGATAGATCATTAATATTCTCGTACCTCAGCTTGCAATGCTTGTAGTTTTGTATGGCAGCGCAATGGGAATGCGGCAAAGAATATGCGTCATATTTGCGGATTCCATTATGAGATAACAATGGTCTCCCGAGGTATTTTTACAAAATCGCCATGAGGAAAAAGGTGCTGCAGGTTCTTCGGAACCGACGGCTTACTTACGCGTTTAGGCGAGTTCATCTTGTGAAATTTCTCATAATGTACATTATTACAGTTTTTATTAATCATTGCTTGGCATTCCTAACATAACCCGAACAGGATGAGTATTCTATACTTCCGCACAGTATATTTACCTTGTTTAAGTATGAAAAAGTCGCACATTAAGCATTGAACATTTTGACAGGAAAGGTATAATCCCAAATACTGTGCTTATCATTCAAAATATTATTTGATTAATCTAAACTTTGACTGTACAATACCTTAATGCGTTAACCATTTCGTACGAAAGCCAAGCGAAAAATTCCGCGCGTCGACTCCAATAAACGTGTATGAACTTTAAGTAGAGATATAAAATTAATGAGGGAAGCAGAAACAGAATGTGGTATTTGTGTTTTTATTGCAAGTTAAATAACTGATCGGTAATAATCACGTTATACTTCGAGGGTATTGTTGACATGGAGTTCAAGACTTTCAGCGTCTATATTTCTCTTCTTTTTGAGCCTTTCGTTCATTTTCTCCGTCCACCTCTCAATACGTACAGTTTTGTTTCCCTCGTTAATTGCCTCCGACAAACAAGCAGCGTAAAATAGGAATGGCTCCTTATCATTTCTAGCAATTAAATTGATAGCACTCTCCTCTGACCCAGGTATATTTGACAGAATAAAGCTATTTCGTGCAGAAAAATTTTTACATAAGAAGCAGAATTAGGCAATTTAAGCATTATGTCACTTACCATGTCGCTGCCAGCAAATCCTGTTCTTGCATCTGCAACTTCTTAGCCCACACTCCCAGTAGTTCCTGGACAGTTGGATCTTTTGCAGGAAGTCTTAATTTGGCCAGTACAATTGCTTCCAAAAACATATCATGTCTTTTATACAGTTCAACAGCATCCTTAATATGCGAGCATGCGATATAACATGATGCAGCTAGATTGTATTGCTTTTCGGCTTCGAGTTTCGTAGCTTGCTTTAATAAGAGCTCCATCCATTTTTGTTTACCAGCTACAAAAAAACAAATCAGTTAACCATTTTAAAGAATATTCTAGTTGGAATCAAAACTTTGTTTTTCTTTATCTACCCATTGGACTAAATGCAATTGCTATCCAATCAGACAGTAGGCCTTTTGGTGGATCTTTATCATTTGATTGAAAAAAATCAAGCTGACAACGCATCATATCCATTACTAATTCTGTATCTGATTGCGAAGATGAGTCCTTAATGAAAGTATAAATAGGGCTGACACTTTCTCGTTGATTTTGTTTCAACATGGCCGCTATTCGTACAAAAATGAATGATTATTCACTGACCGGTTCTTTGATTATATACCTAATATATTTTTTTACCATCCAAATTAATCAGTTGTCTGATATCATTCTTGTTACCGAAAAACAACTCATAAATACGCTCAAAGTTTCTTTGAGAATCTGTTTGAAACCGAGTGCCAGACCAAAAATCACCATACTTTGTAATCACAGAGTCCTTTCTCTGTTCTTCGGTTAAATAGGTCTTCAGTAGTTTTTCACTAGCCTTCTTCACCGAATTACCTAACTTGCTGTCCGCAAACATAAGGCAATACTGTGCTTTTCTGAGTTTGCTAGTCATTTTCTCTGCTTCATTAAAAACGTCGAGTAGCTGTCGAGTTGCAGGGGTTTCCTGAGGTAGTTTTGTATTTGCACTTTTCTTTTGCTTTTGCTTTTTCTTTTGCTGAGTTGTTGCTGCTACCATACTGCCCGCATCCGCATTTATATCCATGGATTGCCCTTCTGTATCCACCTTCCTTTTCCCGTAATGCAAATTGAATTTCTGTGCTTCTTCATCAAACAGGGGTAGATAGGCTTTAAATAGAAATGATATCATTCAGCAGCTTAGCACACACCAAGAGGGTAAAAAAATACTTATACATACCATCAATGGATTTGCTGCACAGAAAGTCTGTGTAATTCCACTCATAAATGAATCTATCTTCACTTCCCGTAAATATGAAATTAGGTTCTTCCAGGTTCCAGCTGATGGATAATACCCTGTAGCGATGCTTATTGAACAGTGATACAGCTTTACAATCTGGAATACTCCAAACAATTGCAAAGCTATCATCAGATGCAGAAGCAAGCAGGCATTTGTCTTTATGAGGGCCCCATTTCAATTCATTAATTCCATTTCTATGGCCATTGACACGGTAAGCTGGTTCCGGACGTGGTACAGGAATATCTACAGTTTCAATACCATCAGTAAGTTCAACCGCAAAGTGAGGGTGAAAATGCAAGCTCTGAAATTCGAACCTGGTAGATTCTGTAGATCGTGAGTATTGATATCATGCACAGCAATGGTGCCGTCACTAGCCCCAGAAGCCAATAAAACCCTGCCTTCAAAATCTACAATTACATAGTGAACAATGAGTAAAATGACACTTTCTCATGAATACATACAGAAGAACTTTACATTTCCAATCCAGTGCTTTGATAAGTTGACGATGATAGTTTGATACATAAATTACTTTTAGATCTTTCAAATTGTAAACTTCGACCAATCCAGTGTTATGGCCTACTGCTATAAACCTATGCTGCTCGTCAATTTTTATGCAGAATGGGAAAGTCTCCATCGCTATCAAACTCTCTACCCAGGCAGCATTTAGGTCCCTTATCTTTTCATTTATGTTGAAAGGCGGGTTTTTTGGATTATTCGCATCATAAGCGTGTATAACTCCATCTTGTCCGCACGACATTAAAGTATTCGTCATATCAGCGCAATTCAATGCAGTTGCCATGTCTCCTCCCCAGTCAATGTAAGGTGCGCCTCGTGCATTGTGAAATATTTTGAACATCTGACGACTTGTATCTGTGACATTGAGTATTCCTATATGGCCAAGATCATTTCCAAATGCAAGCAAACCTTCTCTTGTAGGATGCCATCTAATCTACACGATAGAATGATCGTAAGTCAATTTGGCTCTGTCTTCATCTCAACTCAGCATACCTGGCAAAACTAACCTTTTCAATCTTTCCTTGCAAACCTTTCCATAAAGTAGTTGCTTTATAATAGCTCGGCCTCATTTTCTCAAGTATTGACCCTTTACTGGAGAAGTTCCATAACTTTATAGCATTATCGCCCATTCCGACCGCGACCTGTCCATAGTCCCAATTCGGTGTTTCCAGTGCATAAGGAAAAGCAGCCTGCGTTTTCAGACTCATGAGACACTTATTTTTCTTGGTAAGGTCCCAAAGAATGATTTGTTTATCTAAAGATGTCGTTATACAATTCCTCCCATTGTTGAAATGATTGATAGTAAATACAAGTCGATTATGGTTCTCTAATCGCTCAGCATTGCAGATTCTGGCTCCTTTGGGTGTAATTTCAAAACATAAGATAGTTCCAACGTAATGTGATATATATATGCGATTATTTTGATAAGGTGACCAAGCTAATGTAAGCCATAACGATGATTTTTGCGCATCCGTTGCTTGAGATGGAGGAGGAGGTAATCGAAGCGTTGCATGCAGACTGTTTGAAGGGAAAGCCCACACAGAAACTGCCTTTTTGTTTCTTGTGCTGAAGGCAAGCAAAGGCCAAGTCATCATTTCTGTTGCTGTTTCCAACTGTTCTGATGCTGTACGTAGCTTAAAAGATGAGGCTGAAACTTGCCAAACAACTGTATGTATAGGATCATTACTCTCGGCTATTTGAAATACAGTTTCCATTGATAAATCAGTATTGACCTTTTCTACAAAAATCAATCCATTTCCATACCCAACCGCTACATAATCTTGGTCATCAACTACGGTTGTGGCTATACTGGTCACTTCTGCTTTCACTTTTGTTTCACTTTTGAGTTTTCCACCGGCAAACAGATCCATTATCACAATTTTCCCAGATTTGTCACCTGAAATAACTGTACTGCCGTTCCTTATCAACTTCAGGGTCGTTATTTCGGCCTTAAAAATACCAGCAAGGAACTTTTTAGTTTAGTTACTTGAAAAGGTCACATAAAAAAAAAAGGTACAAAAGAAACCTACCTGATGTGCAGAATGGCTGGTTAAGTGAGATCCCAATATGAGATTCCATACTCGAACTATGTTATCTGAGCCTGCTGTAACACAAAAGGTTCCATGAGCTGCAAGAGCAACAACCTTTTTGTCTTTGGACGCGATGAAGGACGTGAAATATCTCAGACCGGACAAGCTGAGGACGACCACTATATTTCTCGTGGCATAAAGGAAAAAATCCGGCTCAACAATGGCTGCAATGTTGAAAGAATACCAGTTAGGTACAGGAGGATAACTGGTAAACTTGGGAAACTTATCAGTGAGATCCATGTTTTCGATCCGAATGATGTTTTAACAACAACAGGAATTAAAAAGCTGAGTATAACCTCTTTTATGGCATCAATGCAAAAGGAGAAAAAGAAAAAAAAAAAAGACAGTCCGTGAATGGCTGAAAAAAATATTCACTTTTTTTATACAAAAAAAAAAGCAACGCTCGAGCCAAAGTGCAATAGATGTGTTGAAATACCTTTCACGTTTTTACAGAAATGGAAGCAGATCAACGAATCGTCTTACCCGGTGATAAAATTGACATTACTGAAGGGGCTGTCATTTTAGGCCCTGGCTTACGACAGGAAGGCGATGATATAGTTGCAACGAAAGCAGGAATCTTGCACCATTTGGAAGCAGGAAATAGATATTGGATCGAAAGCAATCAGAAAAGAGTAAATGTCACAGTAGAGGCTTCCATGAGATGCACATTAACACTTGTTTACTTACTTCAATTTGATAGTACATTGCATCTGCTGGAGAATCTGTCATAGGTATCATATTAGCGAGAATGGCTGAGTATTATCGTGTGGATATTGGCACAGCACAATCAGCAATACTGCCTGTATTAGCCTTTGAAGGTGCAACAAAGCGTAATAAACCCAATCTAGCCTTACAATCACTTGTATACTGTCGAGTCTCCATGGCAAACCCTGATATGGAATCAGAATTGGAGTGCATTAATCCCACAACTGGTAAAGCAGATGGCTTTGGTGAGCTTTCGGGAGGTTACATGTTTAAGTGTTCCTTAGGTCTTTGCAGAAGGTAAGACTAGAAATAAAACCCAATACTTTTGTGGATCAAACATTTATATGGCTTGAAATTTTATTTAGATTGTTAGATCCAAATACACCTATCTTGACATTGCTAGGCGAACATTTTGCTTTCGAAACAGCGGTTGGAATGAATGGACGTGTTTGGATTAAATCAGAGGAAGCAAAAATAACAATTCTAATTGCAAATGCTATACAAAATTCGGAATATCTTAGTGTTGATGAATGTCGGCAAATGGTCGAGGAGCTTGTTAATAGATTGTAAAGTACTCAATGATATCCCTCCTATACAATCTCCTCACCTCTTTTGGTTCTCTGTTGTTCTATTCTCTTCGTACATATATCACTCAATAAAATGTTTATTTCACGAGGTAAGAGGATATACGCGTGGCATAGAGTGAGCCGATCAAATAAAGTTGCTGGCAATAGTAACACAGGCCAGCTCAAAATGACTTGATCTGCCTTTTGCTGAAGCGGCGTTTGAATATAATCAGAAACAGTAGATTAGATCTTTGTTCATTTGACTTAAAAATCTCTGTGGATCAAATAGAAAGTGTGGGGGTTGTTCTTTCTTTCTCTTTATCATACATCCGCAAGCAATGTTAATGGAACCCCCTACGGAAGTTGGAGCTGCTATTCCAGCTCATACACCTCATGCTGTATCTGTCATGTTTCCTACGTGGCAAGATAATATTGATTACGAGGAAGCCAACCCTAGAGTTACGTCGAAAATGGAGTGCGGTTATCCCCGATTCTTTATTCATCCCCTCATTCAGAAGGTAAGGAGCAAAAATAAACAGCAGCAGAAGTGCTTGATATACCAATCAAACAGCTTAACATTGCTTAATATTCAATCTCTTACCTTTTCTTTCTTTATGGGTGGCGGGTGGCGGGTCTTTTCAGTTATGCAGCCGAATACTGTCAAAATACGGGAAAGAGGACGATCTGTGTATGCTTTTTCCTACCCACAAGGTAGCAGAAGATTGCCGATGTTTTATGAAGCGCTATTATACAGAGTCGGTTGATAGAATCAGAATTGTTGAATTTGATGTGGTCGCCAGTCATTCACCTGCAGCATCATTGAAAAAGGTTCCATTACATATTGTGTTATTTCCCAAGGAAGCTTTTCCTGTAGCAAAGCAATTTTGGCAACATGCAGGTGATATTGTCTCGTCACGTATGGCCGATTACTGCTTACAAGTAATGGACCAGAACGAAGTCAATGATAATAGTAAAAACTCAAATGACGAAACCGAACTTTATAGACCTAAAATGACAATGGGCCGAAGCAGAAGTCATTACAATAACAACAGTAGTAGATCCCTAAAATTTGCAGAACGTACAAACAGTGAGGAAGATGGAACTGTAGATCACTTGACTTATTTAGAAGAGCGTTATGGCCGTAATTTACCCATCAAATACGCAGCTAATGCTAAAATTGCATTAAAGCGACGTATTGCCGGAATCCTAACAGAGGACGTAGAGCTAGCTGGCGAGCAAAACGTCACTACAGCCGATGAACTAGAAGCGCAAAAGAAGCTGCAGGGTGTTCGGGGCATGGCAGGTTTAATTGAAGATGATGTTTATTTATATCCCTGTGGCATGAGTGCAATTTACCATGCCTTCAAGACCGCTTCAGCCATTGGTGATGAATCATTGAAGAGCGTTTGCTTCGGGTAAAGAAGAAATTATTCTATAGTCAGTGAAAGCAAATTTTGCTTGATATTTATGTTTTTTGTCCAGTTTCCCATATACAGATACTCTCAAAATCCTTCAAAAATGGGGCGCTGGTTGTCATTTCTACGGTAATGGAGAGGATAATGATATCGATGATTTGGAACACCGTTTGGAGTCTGGCAAGCGCATATTGAGCTTGTTTTGTGAATTCCCGTCTAATCCGTTACTCAAGTCACCTGATTTGAAACGAATTCGCGCTTTGGCAGACAAATTCAATTTTTTGGTAGTGGTGGACGAAACCATTGGTAATTTCTGCAATGTATGTGTTTTACCCTGGGCAGACATGGTGGTTAGCAGTTTAACAAAGGTATTCTCAGGAGAATCAAATGTCATGGGAGGAAGGTAGGTTATTCTTGATTATCGATGAGCAAATCACCTATCTTACGTCTTGAATTTATATATCCTCAAAAAAAGCATGATTCTCAATCCCAACGGACGTAATTACCAGCAGTTGAAGTCAACTTTAGATACAGAATACGAAGATTTATTATGGTCCGAAGACTTGATCTTCTTGGAACGTAATTCTCGTAACTTTAAAGAACGATCGCACATCATCAATCAAAATGCGGAAGCTCTATGTGATTTTCTGATAAATCATCCCAAAGGTAAAGTCTATTTGTATGGAATAAGCACCCATAGTTTCAAAATAAAATTCTAACAAACTTTTTCCCTATAGTTGAGAAAGTGTTCTACCCTAAATACACATGTAGGAAATACTATGACGCTATCAAACTCGACACTGAAACGGCAGGTTATGGCGGTTTATTTTCCATGGTATTGAAAGATGAGAAGAGCGCTGCTACCTTTTATAATCACTTGAGTTGCGCGAAAGGTCCTTCGCTAGGCACAAACTTTACGTTGTGCAGCCCTTACACCATCCTCGCTCACTATACAGAGCTGGATTGGGCCTCTCAATACGGCGTCAGTCGACATTTGGTACGCGTTAGTGTTGGTTTAGAACCCCGAGAAGAGCTCCTATCAATGTTCGCAGCAGCTTTAGATCTTGTCCAGCAATAACCCTCATTTGCCTCTTTAGCATCCAAGGTAGTTGGGTGTTTAATTTGTACCATGTATTTATAATAGCTCTTGAAGCACAATCACTACTCATGTACCTTATAAAAATGGCGTGGACTACTTATAATACTGTATAGACAGCATAGTATCGTTCTTTTTTTTAGTAGTTCATGACTTTACAATAAACCAAAGCTCATTCTACTGTTCACATAACTCTTAAATTGTCTGTTAACAACGGGAATGCGCTTTGCTAATATTATTGGTATTAATGCTTAATGGCACTTCTTAAATTAACTACTTTCGGGGCTGAGCTTAATAGAAAATATCCCCAAAAACCTTTGCTCGTGGATGATATAGACTCTGTTCTGAGAAGGTCAAACTGGCTTATCTCAAAAGAAAGCTACCATTACTATAAAAGCTCTATATTTTCCAATTGCAAGACATTTTGTGTAGTGTTGTAGATTGAACATTTTTCACAATCCAACAGAGAATACAGGTCCCTTAATTCCTCAAACAACAAACAAGTTAAATTACATTTTGCCATGTGGAACAAAGTATCCATATTTTTGAAGCTGAGCTTTTTTATTTTATTTTTTGTGCTTCATTTGGAACCTTCATTAAATAGAAGACGGGTTTCTTTTTTTTGACGTACAATACGTAAGGCAGATGGACCGAGAATACGAGTGACATAAGAAGCGAAAAAAAAAAAGAAATTTCCCCCAAAGGCATATAACTTGTATAATCACACTATAACATATTAGGCTTTTTCACTTTCTTAAAATATACAAGTGGGTTCATATGTCTTTATTTAATAAACGAAAAAGATAAACGATATTTTTGTTGGCAAATTGATATCGGCATTGTAATTATATAGTTCATTTTTTTTCTTTACAGAAATAGAGAAGGTTGGCGTTGTGGCAGCAGTTCAACATCTTAAACTCTATATAAATAGGACTCTTGAGCTCCACCTCTGCCCCAAATTTCTTTTTTCCGCTTTCTTCTTTTCTTCCAACTTTATCACTTGAAGCATATTAATTCACCAACATGAGTCTCTCCATTCACGTTATCGCTGCCGCCGGTTTGAAGGATGTCGAAACTATGGGTAAACAAGACCCTTATGTTCAATGCTCTTTGGATTTTAATAACAAGGAAGCCTACTTGAAGACCTCTACGAAGAAGAATGCTGGTCAGGAAGCTACCTGGAACGAAGCTTTCTCCGTCGCCTACAACGGAGAATCTGACCTCTACGTCGAAATTCTTGATGAGGAACACGCCGTCGACGAAGTGATTGCTTTCGCTGCTATTCCCCTCGACCAAGTCCACAATGCTCCCGGCGGTAAGTTGAACGGTATCTTTGACGTGTACAACACTAAGGGTGATGCTGCTGGTAAGATCCACTTGCAACTCTCTACTCAAGGTACTGGCAGCTTTGATGATAAGCCTGTCGATGCTAGAAGCTATGTTAACGACGAACACAAGGCCCACATGAAGTCTACTAACAGAAAGGCCGCCGCTGTCTCTGCTGGTGGCACTGTCCTCGGTGCTGGTCTTGCTATTGCTGCTGGTTTGCTTGGTCAAAGACTCCAACAGAAGAATGCTGAACAACAATAGAGCATGATATTATCATCTTGAATCACCAGGATTTATCCTATGATTTTGTATACCAAGGCATTTTACACATGATTATAAAACAAACAAAGAAAAAGTAGTAGAAGTTAACCAAATGGAAGAGGGAGGCAACTTGGCATATTATGCCTTACCCAACATTCATCAACGCTAACAAATAAAATTTGCAAACTAAGCTTTTTTGTATTGTATCACAAAAGTAAAAATTGATCGCCATAGTGCCACAACTATCTGCGTTCTTTGCTACATATCATGAATCGATAGGTCGATGATTGATTTTGAAATTGCTAGGAAAGTAAATGACGTCAGTAATATCAGTGATAGAATGCTTAGGTGATGATTGAGTAACTGTTATAAGTCGATGCTCATGACTTCAATGTCTATATTACTCTTTAGTTAAGCAGAAAGATCATTTTACTATGTAATCTTTGATGGGAGATTCATTATTGAGGCCGCGTCTGTTAGTTACTAATTTCAGGTTCAGATGCTTGATGTGATTATTATACTTGGGCCTGTATCTTATTATATGTTGTACATAGTCTATATTAGATGCAATATAGATAGACCGTGGTAGATTGTATTCTCTTCCTGGATGTACGTAGTGGAGTATTGTAGTTGTTATCTCACCCAACACATCAAAATACATTCTAAAAAGGCACTGTTTTAATGTTCTATCTGAAATAATGATATAGAGAAAACTAGAATACATGAAAGAGCTAATAGTGTTGGTTTTCATAAAAAAAAAAGTCTATATATCTATTTATTATTGGGAAAAAAAAGAAAAATAATATACAATAACTTAATCAAAAAGCAACAGAATAAATTTACATATGCAAAATGCAAAAATGATATAATGATAATAATACATAGGTGGTAAATGGCAGAAGGGGAATGGATATGTTTCCCAGAAACAGATGGTTAATATAACAAAATCTAATATACAATGGAAGGATTAAAAAAGAAGCAAAAAGTGACATAAAGACACTTTACTTGCGGCGACGGAGGGTAGCGGGGTCGACATCGGCCCAGCCAACTTCACGACCAATTTGTTCAATAGACTTTTGCTTGGTTTCAGGAACGAAGATGAGAATGAAAGTGGTGACGATGGCAGAAATACCGGTGAAAATCAAGAAAACGTAAGGACCGAGGGCGGATTGAAGAGCGGGGAAAATGAGACCGATAATAAAGTTACAGAGCCAGTTAACGGCCAAAGCCATGGAGGCAGAAGCGTTAATAGCATAGGTAGGGTAGACTTCGGAATTGATAATGAAAGGAATGACACCAAGACCAATGGCATAGGAGGCCACAAAGAGATAAATAGAAACAACTTGAAGAGCTGAGATATTGAATCTTAACCCGACCATCATAAGAACAGAAAAGATAGTCATACCGTAACCGGAGATGACCATCAAGATTTTACGACCCAAACGATCGACTAAACCGAGAGCAATGATAGTCAAGACGACGTTAAGACCACCAACACCGATAGTAACGTATTTGGCAACGTCACCGAAAGAGTTTTCAAAGATACTGGTAGAGTAGTACATGACAGCGTTGATACCGGTCAATTGGGAAGAAGCGTGAACGACAAGCATTTTCAAAGTGATGATGGCCAAAGGACGGCTACGGAAAATTTCAATGACAGAAAGAGCTTCTTCACTATTACCAGCGCCATTAGATTTTTCAACAGCACCGACATTATCAAAACTGTCCTTGTCACCATATTCGTTGTTAGGAGCCTTTCCAACAGAATCGTCACCTCCAGTAAGAGACAAAAGCATTTCAGAGAATTCTTCTTGAACATCACCCTTGCGAAGACGCATCAATTGGACACGAGCTTCATCAATACGGTTACGGGAGATCAACCAACGAGGAGATCTGGCGCACATGGGCAAACAGATCATCTGGATGATAGAAGGCACGACAGTAATGACAACGACGATACGCCAGCCGACGGCAGAACTGAGACCGAGACCAATCAATTCAATAATGAGAATACCGATGGTCAAGAAAAGTTGAAGCATGGAACCAAGAGCACCACGGTACTTTGATGGAGAGATTTCAGAGATGTAAGTAGAAATAACGACTGTCATGAAACCACTGCCAATACCAGTGAACAAACGACCCACGGCAAATTGACCAGGCTCAGTAGAAGTAGAGAGCAAAATAGCGCCGACGAAGAAAGTAATATTAATGAGAAGCATAGAGTCACGACGACCAAACTTTTGAGACAACCAGCCAGAGGCCAAAGCACCTAAAAGACCACCGACAGCAAACATACCAGTGGCGGCACCGCTGTGATAAAAAAAAAAAAATTGTCAATATCAACATGTTCTGTTCCACAAACAAACAAACGGCGGGATAGTGCAGAAAAGACTGAATTAACTTACTTGATCCAATCTGTCATAGGAATACATTGAGGTAAAGGTGAATGAGGATAGTATGTAACAGTACCGAAAGGAACACCAGGACAGTGAGTGAGAACTGAACCAGGGATGTTTAATGCTGAAGTGTTGACACCGTTATTGAATGCACCAAGAGCTGCGATGGCTGCACAAAAAACAACAAAGAAACGTAGTCCACTATCTCGTGAATCCATTTTTGTTTCTGTGTAGGATTAATAAATAAAAGTTGACGGGAAAAAACCTTAAAGAGTTGGGAAATTTCTTCCCGTCCTTTTATAATGAAAAAAAGAAAAAGGGCTCTTCTGCGCACAAAGCTCAGCTTCAATTCAAATTTAACCACCGAAAAAAAGTTAGTCCGTTTCACAGGAAACAGCCCTTTGTTATCGGCATTTGTCCAAATACGAAAAACTTTTCTGCAAACTATGGAATAACATGTTGTCATTTTTTTGATTTCTTGCATCTACTGTTGAGCAGTAGAAAGTAATATTTACAAGTGCATCTTTTTAGCATGATGAAACGATAATCGACTGTATCTGAATATGTAGACCGAAAATTTTTTTAGGAGGATCACCATTCATCAGGCATCATTAAAAAAAACCACTTACTAAAGGTTTTTTATGTTTCAAAGTTTTAATGAGTTTTTTGAAGTCAGTGAAGAGAGAGCTTCAGTTAGCAGCGTGTTCATTCAAAACATTGAAAAAAAAAATCCAAAGAGTTTTTCCAACCAATCAGACAAGAGAATTTCGACAAAGATATGCCCAAAGTTAGTCAAAATGCACAAAAAAGTAACTCAAACCTTAGAATTTTATTTGTTCTTTTGGGAACAACTTTTGGTAAATTTATTGAGCCGCGCAACATACAACATCACTTCACTTGCATGCTGTTGCTGTTGTTTTGTTTGTTAAGAGCACACTTACATTATGTACGCACACATAGCCACCCAATTGCAGATACCATATTTGTCATGACTAAGTCATAACAAAGATGGCTTGAAGGGATCGAATATCTTTTATCCATTGCGCAAAACCTACAATATCTATTTGCCATTCTTGAAAATATGAATTGTCTTCCCCACTTCTCTCAATTTTGAATCGAGAGTGCCTCATTGCAATATCAGTGAATATTTCACGGGGCATTTTGCGCAATAGTCACTCGTCGGAAGCTGACTAAGTTCACTCCGGTCGAACGCAATCCTTTGTTCGGTTTATGCCAACATCATACGAGATAGAACTCCAAATACCTTTAACAAAAGCATTTCACATACTTCTTTACTTCAACTTGTCGTTAACCTATACAAGGCTCCAACAGCAGTCGGCAATTCTCTTAGTGTCCATCCATGACAATGTACTTTTTTAACAGAAGCTGACAGAAACGAAAAACAGCTGCTGACAGTTCAAAAAGGCATCTGACCTCAAATTTGCTTAGTGGTCAATAGTTGAGACATTTATAACAAAAATAGTAACAAGAAACTATGTGAAAAAAGAGCTAATGAAGTTTTACTCAAAAAAATTGCAGGTAGATAGCAGAAATCCCTTTTTGATTTAAGGGGTAAGCAAACTTTCAAAAGATGGAGTAAGTGGTCAATTATACAGGGTAAAACGCGCCACGTAATTAGTTTTACTTGAAATAACCCCCAGCCAACGACGAAAGCACATAAACGGGAAATCTGCCTTCAATCTTTTATTTGCTTCAGAAACCAAGATTTCCAAGCACTGGGAAAATGACGGAAAAAAGAGCCTCATCCATGCGGGAAAGATAAAACATTCTAAACAAATCCTCTTGATTACTAGAATAGTAAAAGGTGGGGTTGGGATCACACCAACCTGCCTTTTCCAAATGTCTGAAGAAAAACACATGTAATTAAGATGTTTGGCAGAATTTCAATCTGATTAGCAGTAAGTCAAACTGAAACGATGTAAATCATAGGCAATTTGGTTATTTTTGTTACTCTGTATGATAAAAAGATACATTGACATTTTAACCATCCTATAAGAGCATTTGATTGGATGGGTAGCATTAGAACGTTTCACAAGAATTCAAATTGTTCCTATTAGGCACAGATTTTAATATTTTAGCCGTTAGTAAACAATTTTATTTCTTTATATCGACAATTTTGAATATCATTATGCTGGGAGTTACCAAAAGAATGGTTATTGTTGTAAATAGATGAAAAATTTGACAAATATTGAAACGAGGCCAAAGAAGTGTTTCTGTAGAAATTTCAGCAAACTATCATGACGTAATGATGGACAGAACAAGAAATTTGCGCACCACCACTACCAGCAGTTATAACTGGACAAAAAACAAAACAAATTGTAACACTTTGTAGATGATTGAACAGGAAGGCTACAAGTCGTTTCATTTAGATTTTCGTTGTAGATTTAAAGATGAATAAAAGTGGAGGTATCTTTATAATAAAAATAGAAAGAGCAAAATGCAAACAATTAACCAAAAATAGGATGGTCTTTAATCTTTTCAAAGAGTTGCAAGCTGGAGTCCATTGACGGCTCCTTTCGAACAGAATGTAATTCATAATTCTCCATCAACGTCTCTAATTCGCTTGCTAACTTTTGAGCTACGACTTTCTTCTTCGCCTTCAGTTTTGCCATGTTCAATCGAAGTAAATGATAGACTCTTTTCTCTTCGTATAATTCGTGTGTCTCTTCACTGTTAAAAACGATATAGAAGATGTTAAAACACTTATTTCCTAACAAGGTAAAACAATACTCTTCCTCAATTTACTTACTCTAACAAGTATTCAAATAATGATTTCCGTAACTCTTTCAAGAGCCACACGTCAAATACATAATGCTCCAATCGACGGATGAAAACTGAAAATAAATGCTTGATCCGTTTTCCAAACTTTTCTTGATCTTCCGTATTCGAATTTTCCATTGCAGTCACTTCAAGTCAAAACAAAAGATTTGCATATAAGTCTAACAGCCAATACTGTACAGAATCATTCCTCATATTCACTTACCGAATCGACGGCAGGTATACCGAGCATATTTTTGGAAGTTTTCATCGGCTTCCATGGTGGGTATCTTTTCATTGAAAAACAAAATGTAAGGTTTACTGCTGTAGTATCGATCATTTTCATTTATTTTCATCATATATCTATACAAAAGCATTTCTTTAGTTGGTATAATCGATTCCACATACTTCGTCACAAAAATCCATAACAATAATGAGGTTCTTACGAAACAAAGCGTAGATCAATATCCTCTTCCTCAAACAATTTTAAAGATTCTACAATAATATGCTTTTTCCCCCAGCTATCCCCAGTTGCATCAAGGAGCTGATTTAACATTTTTCAAACAATCAAGTAAGCAGCCTTTAGATCTCTTTTTCATCCCTCCTGAGAGTTTACAAAAAAAAAAAAAAAAAACTACCTTCAGATACATGTCTAGAATTTCGACGTCTGTTCTAAATGCCTGGTTTGCTATCTCTAACCGATGCGCTGTCGCTTTCGTTAGTCTTTCATACTCTAAATCTTGTTTACTGTCCTCATCCATAGACTCATCATCCTCAGAAGCTTCATCCTTAAGTGTGTCTCTGTCCACTTTCTGTTGATGTATCACTGACCATTGCCGAAATGAAGATATAGCCAGCTTGCGCCAAACTACGGGTTTATTGTATAATGGCCTTGTATACACCCTATAGTGGAAAAAACATGAGGTTTTAGTTTAACAATTCTTATTGATCGGTTTCACGATATTCAGAGATTCCAGTCTCAACCTTTACTTACAGTTGCATTTCATCTATAGCTGTCGTCCAATCCTCTTCAGCCATCAACCGATCAATATATACATTGAAAATTTTAAATTGCTAAAAAAGTTCAGCGTACAATTGAAAGCACATAGAAGCCAAACGATTAAGTATATAGGCCAATGCATATTTCGTTTCAAAATCAAGAATGCACTACATACCAAAGAAGGTGGAGCATTAATATGAACAGCTTTCAAATATTCTGTTAACCGTTCAGGTGAAGTTTTAGCAAGTATTTCAGCACCTAACTACAAAATTGACACCAATAGATTAGTTATTAGAAAGAGTTTCATCATGTAGAAGTATTTCCAACAAATCGATCTTCTACTATCTCTACCTTCCAAGTATTAGGAATGGCAAATCTCGCAGTTCTCAGGAGCTCAAGAAACAGCACTTTTGCATCGTTGTAGTTGTGATTGATCATTAGCGATTTCAGTTTATCCATAACAAGTAACTCTATATCTTCAAGATCATCATCCTTCTTTCTAACTACGTGACGACCCAGCTTTGTCTGATGCTTTCTGCCTTTCGTTCCTTTGTATTTTTTGACAATCTTATTTGACTGAGAAGCCATGGTGCGTTAACAATAAACAGAAAAAAAAAAGGCAGTAGTAAGAAAACATACAAAAATTTTTGATGCGATCATAAAAAAAAAGTGCATAATGGTGGTTTTATTTTTGCTAAGGTGACTAAAAATAAGAAATCTACGCTTCTGAGAAAGAAATATGTATACATGTTGCAAGTTTGATTATATCATATTTAGATTAAGTTAGTAGAAGAATCTGAATGTGTCCTATATAAGAGCAGTGAAGATATCATTACCACAAATGTCAGTTAAAAAAATAGAAGGAAACTAAGGTTTCTTTAAGCTATGCAACAACAAAGACATACCTTCTCAGTGGGATCACTATCTCTCCTACAATTTTCTTTGTATAATATATAGCCTGTTAAGCCAGATAAAGAAGCGGACACAAGTGAAGTAACCAAGTTAAAGATCATCCCAAAAGCTAAGTAGTTGAGATAATTGAACGTGGGTCATGTAAGAACATAGAAAGATCATAACAAAAACAAGGACAATACTAAGGAAGTGCCAGTACTTTACCATATTTTGGTGCATCATCTTGCCGAAAAAGATACGCGGCAACAATACTCCCCATATTACCTATCATAAGAACTGCAGCCACAGCAACAGCCCTGACTGTCAAGTCTGGATAATTGATGGCTGACCATCCAATAGCGGCAGCAGCTGTAAGAAATTACGCAATTAACTTTAAGCATACCCAACATTACAATTCTGTCCCATCGTCAAAAATGTAGTATAAATAAAACATACCTTGCAAACCCATTCCGATAGGAATTAGGAACAGAGTAGTATATAAGGCTACAATCAACGATCATCATACATTGTTGTTAACATTAAAAATCAAAAGATACACGCCGGAGCATACGGAGACAGAACGCTCAAACAATAACTTACCCCACTTGTTTGTGAAAATTAACAGACTCGAATAACCCATAGCAATGATAATGGAACCAGCTGCCAGCAGAGGAGACCGGAAATTGAAGCGACTTGCCAAATACCCACCTAAAAGAACACTTAATGTAGCAACACCGAAAGGCGGAGCTGTCAACAATTGAGCCGTTGTGGAAGTAAAACCAAAACCTATCATGTACAAAAAAAAAAACGCTACTGTGAATACAATTGATCGTTCCTACACCTCCACCCGTGAATTACTACTTACTACCAATGAGAATAGGCGCAAAGACAGTAATACTCATGACATTGATATGATTGAACAAAAATACAAATGAAAATGCCCATGTTTTCCAATCCAAAAAGACAGTTTTGAAAGTCTCTATGGTGATGGGCTTTCTGCCAGTGTCCGCATTCTGGTGCAGCGCTATACGTTGCGATTGTAAATCCTTTTGCTCCAAGGTCAACCATTTGACATTCTGCAAGTCGTCAAACAAATAGAAAAAGGAGACAATAGCGAGTACAACAGTAGGGACACCTTCTACAATGAAAAGATATTGCCAACCATGAAGTCCATTTTTACCATCCAGGTAAGACGTAGCGTAAGTGAGAGGACCGGAACACAGACCAGAAAGAGTAGCCATGGTAAGCAAGATGCCGACACGAAAACTGAATTCTTTGGGTTTGTAAACCTTGGAGAGAATGTACATAATGCCAGGTATATATCCAGCTTCTGCCGCTCTATTATTTCACGTTTTTTTGAGGAGAAACAATTGGGTAAATTTAACTTTTACTTGAGCTCGTACTTATCACACAATTGGTCTTTTCTACCCTAAAATTAATCTTGCAATCATGAGTCCAGTAAAGTTGGTGCAGAATGCTGTAAGCACAGTCGAAATGCCCCAAACGAGCATAATAAATGACAGCCAATATCTCGCGCTTGTTTTCTTTAGTATGCAATTTGAAGGTATTTCGAACAGAATCTACGGCCAATGCTCGTTTAGTCGGAAAGGTATTGTGTATTTTTTGTGCAAATTCTAAACTTTACATAAGTTATAAAAAAAGCTGAAATAGCTGCGCTAAGTTGAGTCGCTGTCATCTATTATACGTGTTGTAAAGGGACAGGTGAGATCAGTTTTACATGTAAACTGAGCAAGAACAATAAAAAAGGAAAAACCGCACCGGCTACTAACCCCTAGATCTGCTTGTAAACCAGCCAAGCTGATATGTTCATTTATAGGTTACAACAACCAAATAATGTTAACTGGAAATATTAAAAAGTTTTGCAAATGCAAAAAATAGCCTTGAATCTGAATCTTACGTTGCATTACCGATATTGGCTCTATCCAAGTAATCAGAAAAATAGAATAAGCAGAATAAAGGCATAATATGTAGATCCAGCTTGCGAACTAGTTTTTTTTCATCTTCAGCGTTTATGATCCCACTGTTACTTTCTTCGTCCTTAGTCAATGATGACAATCTGTTATCATCTAAGAAGAATTTTTCATTATCAAATTGGCTAACATTATCAAGTGTGGATGGAGGATGAACATGACGACTATTCTCTAGAGGAACATAGGAAAATCCCGAATCTGCGTCTGTGCCAGTATCAAATTTTGGCATTGATGTTGCAAATAAAGTTGGTGTCGCTGTGGTTCCTGTTGCCGAAGAAATTATACTCTCTGGTTGTTTCTCTTCAGAGTCGATGTACTTGGTTGATTCACTATCAAATGATGCATTGGAAGACAATAATTCTCTTTTCATTATAGTTGAAGTATGTATGAATGTGCTTAATGCAGAAAGGGTTTAAGAAGGGTTGAATAGAAAAATATTTGCGTTTATATACAAGTCGTTTTAGTCTTTTCGATATACTCCTTATTGCAGAATGTACAAACCTTGGACAAGTAGACTATTATTATTGTTATTAAACTCTGCCGCTCCCCGTCTCCGAATTTTTCTTGGAATACACCCATATTTGCAGACATATTCACAAATGTACAAATATAACTAATTTTTCTCCTATTAGATACGGTTTAGACTTCCACTTAAAGAACAAACAATAATAACGGAGCCACTAATTTTACAATCTTTCAAGGTTCCATGAATAGCAAACAGGTAGAAAATTATAAACCTGGCATGGACATATGTAAATAGTCTATATGAATTGAGGGTTTCTTCCTTTGATTTCATTTTTTCTTTCTTCAAAAAAAGTGTTATTCTTTCGCAGATCTTTTCAAACGTTCATCTTCTCGTATCCGTGGTTATCATGACCTCCTTGTTATTGCTTCGATTTCTTTGTTCGGTTAAATAGGCACCGATTTTACCGGTTGATTTATCAAACAAAGTAGTCTAGGAAGGCATTATACAACTTTCGCCAGACTCTGTTCTCCATATCATTCGAGGTCACTTTTTCTCCTCAAATGGTACTCTTACTGAAGATTTTATTTACTGCTTGCTTAGGAAATATTCGCTTCATTTAGCTTAGATTGCCATGAGATAGCCAGTTTTTTTCACGTTGAGTTTATCAGCATCCATTGTACAAGAATCAAAATACTTCTTCACCGCAAAGGACGTATATATTTTTATTACGCTCTTTTGTCGTGAATATTCAACACCAAATAGCTTAAAATTGAGTTTTTGCATTCTCTGTGCTAGTTGACAATGTACCCTACTGTTGACGGATAGTCCGTAAGGTACTGTAATCGACTGACCATTTTAGAGTATTGATTTCGCTGATTCCAGCCGGATTTATATAGTTAGCAGAATTGAAAGGCAATTGATATAATCTTTTGATTTAGTTATTTCGTAGTGATATAGAAACCTAAGGCAACCAATCTAAGAGTCATTAAGCTTTTTTAATAATGTGTAATATCTGAGCATCTCAGCAATCATCTCCAACATTTTGCTATGACTTTCCCTCCACGAGAGATGGGCTAGTTAGATTCCCTTAACCTATTTTTTACTCAGTATCGTCCTTTTTAACTTTATTTTCAATATGGATCAACGGCTTCAGACGGCCTTTTCCAGATAAGAACATGTGTTACATAAAAGTAGGAGGAATGAGCGAACGTTTCGATATTTGTGATTCGAAGGAGTTGGAACGGATTACTTTTGCAGTTTCCAGGCAATCGCCAATTATTCGATATGTCAAACTACTTTTACTTATCTTTTCTTGGCTTATGAGTAGTTGTAACTCATAATTTCAGGCAAGTACCGATGCAAACGCGCTTGAAACTCTATAACGAACTTGGGGTTAGAGCAGAGCTTTATATTTTTCCAGCCTGAAATAATATACTTTGTAAGGATGCAACTTGTTGCTTGATGGCGAAAAGCTACCGATTTTCAGAAAGAAACTAAAATAACTTTTCAGTGTCGATACAAAGCATGTTCGAGAGACATTGCAAATCTTGAACATCATGTCTGCCTTTCTAAACTTTAGCATAGTCTTCTATAAGACGTGCAGTTACTTCTTCTTTGAGTATTTCAGAACCTGTCTGGAACCCTTACCCACAGTAGTATTCCGAACAGACAGAAGGTTGCTTACAACGATAAGGGGTGGATCGATGCCTGGCGCTTATGAGCAACTTTAATTTATCCCAGTATCATTTTTCAGACCTCTACATTTATATTGAGTTCATTCGTAACGCTTAACTCGGATTGCTTGAAGAGTGGAAAAACTGAAAGATCCTACTGTTTCAACTCATAGGATTTACAGCTTACTACTCTAATGTTTGACTCCCCTTCATAGAATCTTGTAGGAAAGCAAAGATAAAGCCTTAAGAGTAAGTGCTATCGTGAAACTCAAAATATCTACACATTCCAGATAAGATTGGCTGGGTAGTGTATAACGCCTGACTGCCAACCGCCCTTTGGTGTTGGAACAACTGTACACTCGCTGTCTAATGCGGGGATGGAAAAGGTGACCGTCAACTCGTGAAAAAATTTTTTCAAATTTTTCTTTGACATGGTTAAAAAGGCCTTTGAGAAAAAATCTTTTGTTGTTTTTCTTCTTTTTCTCTATGCTATAATGAATAAAGAAGGTTAGTATCACTGGCATATCAATTTTGGAGAACATAGAATGGGAAGGAAAGTGACAGGGAATTGCAGAGAAGAGAACATCAGTATTTGATACTTCGGAAGGGTTCATGACGATTGAAACTTGATTAAAATGGAATTCCTCGTATCTGAGCATTTCATACGAAACTGTCTCTTTCTTTTCTTCTTATGGCTGAACGCTTAAAGAATCGTTACTTACATATCTTAACTTCAAATAGTTTGCTTTCTGTACGTGTACCAAGTAATGCCTCTCTTTCTGCCTTGACAGGTTCGCTCGTTCTTCTTCAATTGTCTCTGTTACCATCAAAATTGTCGTTGAAATGTAAGTTCACCGCAACCTTTTTTTTCTTTTTTGTTCATCTTGAATAAAAGGAAGATGACGAACTATATCCTTCTAAATCTGAAAATCAATGAAAGATTGGATTTACACATGCACCACCATCTGATTCTTTTTATTCATATTGATATCGATCTCTCAAACGCGTATCATATTAATCTTTTTTTTCAATTTTATTAGATGCTTGAACTTTGCAATGAAAAAGAAAGAGGTTGTGCTGGTCAGACGGAGGTAGCGTGCTTTTTCGACGTGTGTTATGCTTCATAATAGTTGAAGTTAAAGGTAAAGTATCTCTGCTCTCTCAAACAAGAGAGGTCTCTTCCTTTTTATACGGAAATGATGAAACCAAAGTAAAATATTCGTCAGTTCTGCTACTGAGTCTAATGACGATAAAAGCTTATCGCATCCTGATGTTCCGTAATATAAATTGGAAAGAAGCCCTCTTCAATTTCATTTGTTTTTGAACTGTAGTATTAATATGTTTATCATTTTTTATAGTCCTTTTTTTTTCCTTGAAGGCTCTCTGGTCTTGCTCTTGTTGGGAGCTGATCGCCTCGGAAATTTGGCTCTACTTAACTCAACTATTCATGAACTGGTGTTAGTATGTATTTATATCTCTATCTGTTTATCCCTTCCTTTTTTTTCTTTGCTTATATATTGAAGATGATATTGCAGTTATATCCATTCTATGATTTAGAGGCCCACATCATTCAACACATGTTTGAAAGAGGACGCGCTACTGTGAGTTTTTCATAGTTTTGAGGAGTCTTTCATTCAACCGTTGGTTGGTGGGGATAAGGAGGCAGATAGAGAAGCTTTCAGCTTTTTTTGATGCTTGTTTATCTTTCTGTTGGTTTCTAGGATTTAAAGCAACTTGCTGAAATACATGGCATAAGAAAAAAATGATGAGAAGGGATTTTTTCGGTAATAAATTGTAACCTTTATCTTATGTATAAATGTCTGCCTAAAGAGAATTGTGCATTTCATTCGAAGAGCAAAATGAGGCTTCTATCATCAAAAGATAAATGGACGGCTTAGTTTTTAAAAATGTCTTAACTTTATTGTAAAAAAGCTGGAAGCGGGATGTTCGATATTTGGTAACAGGGATATGCAAAAAAAAAAAAAGGAATTGAAAAAGAAGAGTAATATTGCGATTAACCGATATTGGAAACAGGGCAATAGGAATGAAGGGAGCTGTATTTTATGTTGGTTTCTTCATTGTGCATCATTTTCTTCTGTATGAACAGAGGAAGCAGTGTTATCTTTCGTACCGTTCTTCTTTGAGTTTTGGGCTTCTATTGCTTGTTGCTGGTCTTTGTTTCTATTATTATCGTTACTGTTGCTGCTAATATCGTCTAAAACAGTAGTGTCGTTGTTGCTTAATGCATGTATATCATCTACAGTGATGGGGCTTGTCACAACACACCTATAGAATTTTTACATTTGATCAGAAAAAAATATTGCTTTCCGTTATTGCCACTATGACTATTCACTCACATCCATATACGTGTTTTGTATATCTTGAATAATTCTCTGACCAACTCTCTAAAATCAATGCGATTTTCAGCCTCAAAGTAAAACGTCAACTTTCTTCTGTCCCATTGGTACTCTGCATCAACGACTTCCATAGGTAATTTGCGCTGTTTGGTCTTTTGTTGACAAACAACCAAAGCCTTGTGTTCATCTTGTCCCTTCACTAATAACAAATTAACTTCATCAGGCGTAGCTATTCTAAATATTCTTTTGATATGGATATCACGCTTTTGTTGCTGTTGTTGTTGTTGGTTATTATTGTTGCTGCTGTTATTATTATTATCTACATCTAATTGTTGTAATTGAGCTTGTTTCTTTTGTTCTAATTGAATAACTTGATCTATGCTTAAAGTAGTATAGGCTACTTTTCCAAGATCTTTACCCCGATCGCCTTCAACAATGACCAAATCGCCAATTTGGGGTTGAAACGGCTGCTTATGAGGGCGGTTATTCGTCATAGTAGAAGATTGTGGTTGCTGTGGCTGTTGCTGATCTGGAACGTAAAAGAAATCAGTACGTCCACCTTTGAACTCGACCATGTAAAGTGTCGTTCGAGGGCCCAGTTTATGGATGGATGTCCCTTTACCAAGGTCTTGCATTCCCTTAGTGTCTGAATCAAAATAGTCTCCGGCAATAGGGTTGCTATGAAAAAGATTCTGCTGTTGCTGCTGCTGTTGCTGAGGATGGAGCATGGGTAGTTGATGAAGGGGCAGATTTGCTTTATTACCAAAGAAGGGGGGCTGTTGTAAATGCTGACTATAAAGATCCGGCCTGTATTGAGATTGTTGCTGTTGCTGATAAGGTGCTGGAGACGGTTGATATGGTAACGATCGTTGATAGGGAGCTAATGGCGGAGGCGCCGAGAAGGTTGGTTGAGCAGGCGGAGTCAAGGGTGGTGGATTAGCAGTACTGTTGAACTCATTCCTTAAATGCGTATTCTCTAGCTGATCAGCTAATTGCTGGATGTTGGTAGGTGCAGGAGTGTTCAGGGTAAGTGATTGCCTTCTCATATCAGGAAAAGAGTAGTCTTGGAACAATTGAGACTGTTGTGACAAACGACGCTGTAACAAATCACTGGGTTGTTGCTGTGGTACGTCATCACCAAAACCATTAAAGAATCTGGAAGATGAGCGTCGACGTTGATTTATCAATAAATCATCTTGCTGTTCAGAGCCACGTCTCAAATTCACTAAACGATTATGTTGAGCGGAAGATAACAATCCAAATGCTGCACCGGACGACTTGGATCTGGAACGAATATAGGATAAATCAAATTCAAAATCAGTAGGATCATTTTCCTCCTCTTCCATCGTCGTGGCTAGAGAAGACTTGAAGGTATTCGTGGAGTATCGATTTGTTGATATCGGTGGTTGTTGTGGTTGCTGCGGAGGCTGTTGGTTCTGTTGTGATTGTGTCTCATCATAATAATCATCATACCCAAAGAAAGTTGGATCTTGACCCATTGAAAAAGATAAACTACGATGTTGGCGATATATAGGTTCTAAGGAAACGTTAGGCAGCATAGGTACAGACAATATATCGTTATATTGATAAGTAGGGGCATTATTTGTATCTGAAATAGGTTGAGTAGGAGGAACACTTATATCCTCCTGTTGAGATTGTTGCAAAATTGATGACCCATCCCATTGGAAACCACCAAAAGAACCCCAATTACTACTCATATCTGCCGTAGGTGTGGTGGTTGCCGTGCCTGTAGCTGACATTGTAATCCATGAGCCCCGTCTCATTCCGTTATTACTACTACTGTTTAAAGGATCCATATTCTGTTGCTCATTATGTTCCATATGAGTCATGTCTAACATTGCATTGATAGCACTACCTCGTCTCGAGGGACTACCAACTGTTTTCCAAGCATCATCTTCACACTGTTTCGTCATTAAAAAGGCAAGGGTGAATTTCACAGAATCAGATTACTTGAAATGGTTCCTTTTCCTATACCTTTGGCGTTTGCTGTGACATTGTCTAATCTACTGTTTTCTTTTTGCGTGGTATTCAGTTTTCTATTCTATCAAAGTGGACTATACAGTGTACTTGATGAAAAAGGATATGTTTAAACGTAACAATATGAGTATCCGTATATAAGGAAGTATTCCCACTCTTTGTGCTCACAAACAGCTTTTTTACCTGTTTCTATTTATGACTACGAGATTTTTGTTATGTAAAAATAGGGAATATTCCCAGAAAATAGTGGGGGAAAGGAAAAAAAAAAAAAAAAAAGTCTAGTTTGTGAAATGAGTTGAACGGGAAGAAAAAAAAAAGGTAAAGAATGGAACTAAAATAAGGCCGACTTATTCTGAATAGTTGAAACGAACAATCAAATTTGATAAATTCACTCCAGTTTATGCAAGTTTAATCCTCTATTCAACCGTTGAGAGATAAAAAGATGTTTGAATGCTCTATTAGGGTTATGTTACAAAAAGGCGAAAAAAAGGCGGCTCATTCTGGGATTCAAAATCGATACACAGTGAATCATTTACAAAAACAAGGTGTTCTATTGGCACTCATTCATCAGAAATGACCACCTTAAGCTATTCCAAATGTTGAATTCAACTCCAAAGCTGCTTTTGTTTTCTTGACCGTTCTTCAAGCTTTTCAATTAATTTCACCAAAACAAAATAAATGCATTTATCTAAAGCTTTTCATTATTGGAAAAACAATATGTTTTATACGGTGTGGAGTACAACGATAAAAATACCCCGTTGCAAACTACAACACCAGCTTGGGCATCTTCTTTTGCCATTTGGATGCAGGTTTTGTGCATTTTTCTTCTGTTTTCCTAATAAATATCGCCAGCGGCACGTGAACACTCTATTCACTTGTTCAGCGACGAGGGAACCATATCATTTTCTACTTCCTTCAGAGTAGAGAATTTGAAGACTACCGCGCATTTGTTTCTTGCTTCTGTCACGTTTTATTTGCTACAAAATACTATTCAGACGAGTTTGTGGACACAGTACTTCTTGAGTATACTCTGCAGTGTGTTGCGAACTGTAGTAGATAGCTTTTTACGAGGAAGAGCCTCTATGCTGCAGGATACCGATAGTAACTATAGGCTTCGATGCAGATAGCGTTAAAAATGAAGGGTTCCTTAATGGTTTGCTCCTCGTAGAGAATATATAAACAGGCATTTACTATCTATTGACTACAACGTGAAGAAGAAGTATTCTGTATTAAGGAAGCAACATGACACTAGAGATATTATTTGCTGTTTTATCAAATGGTGTCATTCTGTATGAGTGCTTGTACCAGTGAAGCAGTGATAAGGTAAAAGCTATGTTTCATTCTCTACTTTACTTGAAGCGAACGTCTTTGGCGAGTTGATAGCAGTGGTAAACTCTCACAAGACACTGTTTGCAGATGGTTATCGAGAGAGTCATCTATAACCTTCCATCACGCCAGTAAGTTCTCAACTTGGCACAGTTGCTATTAAATACAGCGGTGGCCTGTATTATATTATAGATGAACTTGTAAAACTTGAGCAAAGGCTATTCCTACATATACGCATGTACAAATGATGCATATTTTTTATTCCTTGCCTTTTCTTTCTTTGAGGGTACATCGTCTGGTTAGTTGCCTCTGGATCATTTCAGTCAATAGTTATTATTTTTGTACTGAATATTCACTAATACCGCAAAGAGCCTTGGTATTTAATAAGTTGGAATTGAGCCTCAGACAGTAAGATCTCCTCATGTTGTCCAAGGTTCCCCTCAGATAAGATGATAACAAACTATTACGGCTTATTATACTCTTATCTCAAGAGTTATGAGGGTTTATACTGGTATATTTCAATTTATTGGAAGGTACAAAGCATATTCCAATTGTACAGGTAAATCAAGGTCTAATTGTATATATCTTCCACTAAAATTTAGGCAAATAAATATAAATGAAGAATATTGTCCAAATGTAGACATGGTTGGGTATATTCATTTACAAGCATATTAACAATAAATAGAATTAACGATTACTGGTGTTGAAAATGCTCTTCAACTGTTTTCTCGAACGCCCCACCAAAACCTACTGCTTCTGCTTCCAACTGTGATACAATTTTTTGTTGATCATCCCAAATTTCTTTCAAATGGGCTAATAGTTCAAAAACTTTGACTAAGTTGTATTTGCCTTCTTTGGTTGTAGGGACGGTGGCAGTTCTCACATCAATAATTTGCCATTTTTTGTTATAATTCAATGACGTGGTTGTTAAAGTCAACTGGTCACGAATCAACAACAATGATGGTGTATTTAAATTGGTGAACGTCTTAGCAAAGGAATACTTGAATCTACCTTTTAAATATGAGAGAAAATCTGTCGAGCTTTTTATCTGCTTGATGGAGTCTTCAACAGAATGCGCTACTTTTGACTCCGAACCAGATGATTCGATTAGCACTGCAATACCTTTGTTCTCACTCAGACCGTATCCATCCAGCAGCCTCCTTTCAACATTTTTCGGCTTGTAATCACTGTTTTGCAGCCATGTTGATCTGTTCTCTTTCGACTGTTTTTCACACCATTTGAAAGTCATATTGGTGTTGTGAATAGCAAATGTTTTGAGGATCGGTATGATAACTTCACAAAAAAAGGTGCGCTCATCTTCAAAATTGTATGGAGTTTGAACCAAACAATTTTGATAGTAGTCCGATATTATATACTTCATACTATCTATAAAGGGGCTTGTATCATCTTTTCCCCACAGATGCTTGTTAAGAAAAGCCTTATCATCGCTGAGTACTGTTTCTTTGAGCAGTTCTACAGCTCCAGGAATCTTTTGCAAGGATGCGTTGTTTTTTTCATCTATGCGGGCTTGCTCATAGATGGCTTCAATGTCAGTCGTAGATTGCTGCATTGTCGTACGAAGTTTAATGTTAAAAGTCGGGTCTAAAGTTTCATAATCCTCCTTCTGCAATCTTGGCGTGTTGGGAGTAGAAATCAAAGCTTCTGGATGATGAATTTTGAATGACTTAGAGGTTTTTACAATATTTATATTGCACTTAAAAATTCATGTTAGTTATTGATATATTTTGGTATTTACTATTCTACTCACTGGTGCAATGTTTTCTTTTTCTGCATCAATTTCCTATTGATTTGAGAGAAATAGAATCAATGCTAGTTATATAGAAAGAGGCAGGTATGAGCGTATATTACTCGTTCTGTGCGCTTGCCAATTCGGACAAGCGTCCTCCTCTCCAAAGCGTGCTCGACAACTTCTCCTTCTTTTTCTGCGTAGAGCTCTTGTAGGTTTTTCCTGGCTTCTACTTCTTTCAACTTGAAGAATCTTTCAAATTCTTCTTGCAGGTGTGTTTGTCTCAAATACTTGTAAACTTTGTAAGAATATTCCTGCAGTGGTTGTGCGATTAAGTGCCTGTTTCCTTCAATATATTTGTAATTGCTTATGGTCAGCAATACTTCAAGAATACTTCTAAGCACGTTCTTCCCAATGCTTTGGAAGTCTAATTGATGATTTTCGAAATAATCATCCACCAATGCTTTTGTTTCGCTCCACTGCTTAGCATCAAGTTTTAATAATTTTTCATTAATATTCAGCTCTTTTCTGATTTCATCCGTTAAAACGGTAGTTCCAGGAAGGCCGTTCAGACATGGTTTTTTCAACAGTGTTAACATTATGGTTAAAGATAAAGAAGAAAGACGTAAAACCATGCACTACTGTTTACTTGTACCTACTCACATGCATACAAACACTCACATGACATTTATCAACCACCTACGCCGAATAAAACGATCTGATTGAAGGCCTTCATTGAATTTATTAAGAAAGTAGCTGGATGTCATTGACTGATGAAACAAAAAGTTACATTAATATTTTACTTGTAATAAGTCGCAAGAGAAATGAAAACATGCAACTGACAAACGTTTACCAAGTCTCTTGCCTCCTTCAATGCAACGAAGAGTATTTACCTTAATATAATAACAACTATTCAGCCCAGGCTTTTGTGATATAGGCATTTAGGTAGTTACATAATATTGCGCAGGCAGAAATCTTTCGGGCACCCCATATGTTATACTGGGTCTTAATCACCTTTTTTAACACTGATACTTTTAAAAACCAAGCAACTTTGACTACATTATATAGCTCTTTATAAGCAACTCAAGCAATTTTCCTCAAAGAATTAGGGATATTAAGGTTATGTTTTCACTAGAGGATTAATGCATAGATTAAGATATTCTGCTCATCCAATTATAGGCGACTGCGTGGGCCAGACTCTCCCTTTCAAATGCATATAAAAGTAGTGCAAACACCAAATCCCTTTGAGTGACGTATGTCTGAAAATGTGCTTAGATAACAACAAAATTTTGAACCCCCTTTGTTTTCACTAGTTATTCTTTCTTTACACCGCCAGTATGAGCCTTGATGTAGATTCATTTTGAGTAGTCAAGGGCCAGGGACGAAAGAAATGCGTGGAGTCATGCTTCTGGAGTTTGCGTTGTTTAAGGATGGCAACTTAACTCAATGCAGTGGTAAAGAAAAAAACATAGCTTTTTGTCTCAGATGGACATGGTACGTTAATTTGTTTTTGTTTTTTTCTTTTCAATAACTTTTATACTCGTTACTGATAACAATCCTTTTTATTCTATTCTATGAATGACGGAGCTCCAGCAATAGTACAGAGAAAACGCGGAGTATTTCGAGTGCAAGCTTTATAAGCCTTGGTGTAGATATTCCTGTAGTAGTCAAGGGCCGGGGACGAATCAGGTTTCATGGAGCCAAGCATAAGTGTGGTGCTTCAAGCATGCGTAAGCATGTTACGAGGATGGCAACTCAGAAGAACCACAGCACTTGTTTTCACTAGAATTTTTTCTTTTTTCTTTACACCGCCAGTATGAGCCTTGATGCAGATTCATTTTGAGTAGTCAAGGGCCGGGGACGAAAGAAATGCGTGGAGTCATGCTTCTGGAGTTTGCGTTGTTTAAGGATGGCAACTTAACTCAATGCAGTGGTAAAGAAAAAAACATAGCTTTTTGTCTCAGATGGACATGGTACGTTAATTTGTTTTGTTTTTTTCTTTTCAATAACTTTTATACTCGTTACTGATAACAATCCTTTTTATTCTATTCTATGAATGACGGAGCTCCAGCAATAGTACAGAGAAAACGCGGAGTATTTCGAGTGCAAGCTTTATAAGCCTTGGTGTAGATATTCCTGTAGTAGTCAAGGGCCGGGGACGAATCAGGTTTCATGGAGCCAAGCATAAGTGTGGTGCTTCAAGCATGCGTAAGCATGTTACGAGGATGGCAACTCAGAAGAACCACAGCACTGATTTTAGGCATGATGTTAGTGAAGACGACCCTTTTTTGTCATATAACAAAAATTATGATGATATTTATTGGAAGTTTATACTCAAGACTTGTGGTACTTTTTATTTCAGATATACAGTCGTTCAGATGTATGTTTGGATCAACCATCCATGAACAAATGTGCTAAGGTGTTTCTGAACGCCCAATATTTTATTTTTTTTGATGATTGAAACTTTCCATGGTTAGCAAGAATCTCTATTGCCAATACTTCGATCGCAAAGGCAAAACAATTGCAAGTCTTGTTCACCAAAAAGCTTGCTCGTTCACCCATCTGAAAGACGCACATCTCTCTGTCTTGCGAAACACCTGACTCTCGAGCACTTAGACGCTGTACTACTGATTTCCGAACTAGCGCTCTCCACAATCAACAATCTGATCGCATCAATAGCAAATTGATTTCTCGCTGCCTCCCCAACTTTCTCTATGAATGAATTCCAATGGTTATTAATGTCTCCAGCAACCGTTGTGTCCGATGGCCACCAAATTTACTGCCCCTGACACCTCTCTACACTCTTTACAAAGTCATACGCTGTCTCTTCTCCCAACCTGCACCGTCGATTATATGTACCGTCCACCATATCCGATTCTCATTCCGTCATCTTGAGCTGTCTTCCACCAGCTACTTCCGTTCGTACCCTCAAGCCCAAAACTGGTATTGCCGGTGACCGGTTGTTTGCAGCATTCTCTTTGAACTCAATTACCTGCATCATCAGCCAGAGCCTCCCTCTTCTCCAACCACTAGCTCAATCACTTCTTGACTGGTTACCTACATTCCTTATTTACCCTTGAGCCCAAGGGGAAATTTTTAGATAACTCTTCGACATTAAATCCTGCCCCTGGCAATTGAAATAAGTTTTAGTATCTCATGTTAATTGGGTTTTAAAAAGATTTGAATAATTGTAATAAAAGCTTGCTCGAACGTAATTGCAAATCAGTCAGGCTAACTTGGAATCTTTACACAAAATTTATGCATGAAATGGGAATGCGCTATAGCAACCAAACTTATTTTACGTAACAAACCTTAAGCATTGACCCATTTTGTACCAAAAGTTGATGGTTCCCCATAAATATTGTTAATATTACTGATATCAAAGCTGCCTAGGTTGGCAAAAATTGTCGTGCGCACTGAATGCTTTGCATTTCACACAAGCCCCTCATTCGTGTCTTTCTTGGATGACAAGTATAAAGACCAACGTGCATTAACATCTTTAAGACAACGCATCATAACGCAAAAAGTAGCTTATTATACACATAGCAGGTATACTTTATGTGAAACTCAGAACTTCATGGTACACTGTACAAGGTTGAATGGATGGATTGCACTACATTGGAATTTGTCAACATAAAAACCATGGCGATGCTAATTTCTTATCGGAAATCTTAAATCGATCCTGATAATGATGTTGAATTACCTGTTAGGCTCTTATAATCACTTTGCTATACCCGCTTGTTCATCATGTGGGAGTGTCAGGATGAAACCTAAAGTGGTGTTCTTTAAAGATAATATCCATCCTGCAGTAATGAAACATGCAGAGCGATGAACACGTAGCGCCGGAGCGATGTAAGGTGTAGCCTCATCTTTAGCTTACTTATCGTTTTGCTCTACTAAGGTTGGAGCATCAGTTAGGCAAATCGGTTGGTATTATTACAAACAGGCCTACTAGAGCAGATCCGGCAATGCGATGGAAGCGTAAAGTCGGTTATACACCGGTGGTAATAAATGCTTACTCTTGCTTAACAAGGAAGAAGGACAGATAGTTGCTAATTTTAGAGCATGGAAATATATGCTTGCTATTTCAATATCGACATTTAATCAACAATTTCCTAGGCCTTCTATAGTTTCCAAATTTCTGTAACTTGTACTCAACCCAGAGTAGTAGAGACGCGTGGTTTTGTTTTCTGATCTTGCACAACCAAGCGGAACTTTATTCATATGCATAGATTTTGAAGCAGTTCTCGAACCGTTGCTTTCTAACACATATAGTATATATGAATAAGTAATGCTAGATGACATTTCACTTGGTCGAACTGAACTAGAATGCTTCGAGGCGAAATGCCTGTCATAACTCAACAGTGGGCTTATTTCAAGCTCTTATGCAACTCGTCAGAGCTATTTGCTATACTTACTTGATACCATGTCGTAAAAACTTACGTTACTGCATCAAGAACTACGATTATGAATACTGAAAATATAAGGAATTTCTTTATACTGAATGCCACTATTGAATTCGTGCAATGTCATAAAGGCATGATAATAATCTGTTGCACTTAACTCAAGTATATACCATAATAGTAAGCTCTTTTGAACCCCATTTAGTCATATTTTATCAGTTTAGAAGATCTGTATTAGCTTTGTTTTGTTGGTTGTGGCAACAACAATGGATTGTGCTATAAGCATATTGAAATCTCCGAAGAAAATAAAATTCCTCCCCGCAGAAAATTCCACAAAAAAGAACGCAATGTTGGATAATTACTTGCCTGCTTTTCATTCCTTCCTCTCCATACTATCAATTATTCTAGCTAAAGTATCAACAACTTTGTCGGCTTCTTTCAGTCTATCCAACTAATAACAACAAGCTTCTTAAGTTCCTTACAAAAGAGAAGACATGGTCAAACGAACAAAAGACCAAATCAATGAAGAAAAGAAGGAAATAAATGTAGAATCAATCAATGCTCCTCGATTTGATTATAATTCTGTTAAATGGAGTGTTGATGAATCCACCTTCCCCAATCGTTCAGGCTCTAGACTATTCGGTATTCAAGAAGTACCGAAATATTATCCAACTGTAGAGGAATGGAAAGACCCATATGCTTTTATCGAGAAAATTAGAAACGAAGCTGAGCCTTATGGTGGCTGTAAGATTATTCCACCAGCTGTTTATGATCCCCCTTTCGTTTTAGACACAAATGTATGTGTTGCGCATATTTATATTGAAGTATTTGCTAAATACCTCCTTGTATGAAAGACGTGTAACAAATTTATCGCTCTTTTGCCGTTGTCTTTTTGTAGAATTTTCGTTTCAAGACTCGCTTACAACGGCTGAACAGTCTGGAAGGCGAAACAAGAGTTTCTGCTAATTATCATGAGCAGATAGTCAATTATCAAATCTCGCTTGGTAAACCATCTGCTCTTGTGAAATTACCACACCTTGATAAGAGGCCCATTGACCTTTACAAGCTTAGAAATGAAGTAACAAAACGTGGTGGCGTGCAAGAAGTTACTCGCTTGAAGAAATGGGCCGAAATTGGTCGTGTGTTAGGCTTTAATCGTAAACAATGTACTTCCATGTCGAATGCTCTCAAAAATGCTTACAACAATTTCGTTTTACCTTTTGAAGTCTGGCTTACTAAACATAAGACTGATAGCCCCGCTAATGGAGGTAAAGAAAAGAAAAAATTGTTACTTTTTCAATCACACAGGACCAAGCGTATTCCTCTTTATTTTTCTTTAAAAGCTTTTGGAGACAATGTCGATAGCGATGCTTGTGCGGTTTGTTTCGAAAAAGAAGGCAAACTTCTTCTTTGTGATGGTTGCGATCGTGCTTTCCATTTGCATTGTTTAAATCCTCCCCTTGACTCGGTACCTCAGTCTGATCAATGGTATTGTACGCAGTGCGTTACTTCTGTTGGCAAAGACTTTGGTTTCGAGGATGGTAGTGAATATACGCTTGCTGAATTCCAAACATTCTGCAATGATTTCAAAGAAAAGTGGTTCCCTGCATACTATAAACAAAATGAAGAGAACAGCAACTTAGTTACAACTTCGCCAACTCTGGCTTCCTCTAACAAATCTTTACAGTCCGAAATTCCTACAGCAAAAGGCTCAAAAGCATCGCAAAACAATAAAGTCACCGCCGATCGAACTTTCACAGTACCCGAACAAGTTGTAGAAGAAAAATTTTGGCAATTAGTAGAGGACTCACACGAAACATGCGAAGTCGAATACGGCGCTGATTTGCATAGTACTCAGCATGGCAGCGGCTTCATTTCTGTAGAGGATTCACTGAGTGGGTACCAACAACTTGGTGTGGACGACCCTTGGAACCTGAACGTTCTTCCTGTTGCTCCTCAGTCACTCTTTTCTCACGTGAAGAGCGATATCAGCGGCATGATGAACCCTTGGCTCTATGTCGGCATGTGTTTTTCCGCCTTTTGTTGGCATAACGAAGACCATTATACTTATTCGATCAACTATATGCATTGTGGTGAAACCAAAACATGGTATGTTATTCCTGGCTCTCACAGTGAAGCATTTGAAGAAGCCATGAAGAGGGCCGTACCTGAATTGTTCGAGCAACAGCCTGATTTACTATTCCATTTAACTACGATGCTAAGCCCTGCTCGTCTTGTGAAAGAAAATGTTCCGGTGTATGCTATTGATCAACGTCCTGGCCAATTCGTTATCACTTTTCCTAAAGCGTACCATTCTGGCTTTAACCACGGGGTAAGACAAAAAAACCATACTGTTTACATCTTCTAAATTAACAAAATGTTTGTCTTCTGTTTTCTAATAGTTTAATTTTTGTGAAGCTGTCAACTTTGCTCCTCCTGACTGGCTTAAATACGGCTTCGAATGTGTTCAACGCTATAAAGAATTTCGTAAACAACCATGTTTCAACCATGACCAATTGGTTCTCACTGTCGCTGAGGAAGTTTTGAAGTCTTTAAGGTCGTCTGGTTCGTATGATGAAGCGAAAGCTTTTCAGAAATTGGAATGGCTTAGCTCTGCAGTGACTGATATAATTAAGCGCCAAAAACTCGATGAAGAGGAAATACGAAAGAAAGCAGCTTTATCTGTATCTGTAGTGCAGTTAGACAATCCTGAAGATGTTCAATGCTGCTACTGTAATTGTTATACTTTCACGTCATATGTCGGCTGCAGATGCACTGATAGAGTCAGTTGTGTCGATCATATTTTTGAAGTAAGTATAATTAGCAATATGATCTTGTTAGATACCGTTCAATACATCTGATACACATTCATTTTTCAGCTGTGCTCTTGTGATAATTCTTCAAAGACATTATATACAATAGACACAGATATGTTCAATGTAACAACTGACCAACGCTCCAGCATTGAAAGTTGGTCTCAGAAACTCAAGCAATACATGACTGACCAAGCTTCTCCGCAACTAGAAAAATTAAAAGCAATTCGTAAAGAAGGTGAAACTTTACGTGCTTCAGAATCATCAAAAGCAGAAGAATTACAAACTCTCAAAGATTATATTGATACACTAGAATCGTGGGATACAGAGACCAAAAAAATATTACACTCAAGTGGTTCCTCATCCAAATATTTCCCTTCATCAAATACAGGTCAAACGCGAAGAATAGATAGACTTATAGAACTTGTTAATTATGCCGCTACAATCGACGTGGCGCCTTTACCACATCTCGATAAGTTGAAAGATTATCTCGCCAAACTTGAAAATTTAGAAAGTCAATTAACGGAAGAACTTTTAACAACAACACCTCTGGATGATGTTCACTTAAATCAACTTTATAAAGAAGGCCTAAAATTGAAGGCTGACTCTGACAAATTTAATCGATTGGTATACCGTATTAATTCTACAGCATGGGAAGAGGAAGCCCAGGCAGTTCTCAAGAATCCCTTTAATCTCAGCAACTACCGTAAACTCATCAGAGAAGCAGAAAACCTTGGCATTGAAAGTACATCAGGAACAACTTTGCACAGATTGATTATTGTAGAAGATTTCGGAAACAAGCAACTCCAATATATTAATGACCTCTGTAAAGGTCGAATACAAATCGATTATGATAGTATAGAATCAGTTTTACTAAATATTGGCCGACATACCGATTTCTCCATCGAATTCGAATCTAATGTAATTGATCGATTAGAGAAGAATTTTGCGCGATCCAACGAAACTATCCGTGAAGTGGAAAAAGTGTTAGATGAAGCATACTCAAAAGATTCTGTCATTGATCGCCCAGCCGTTTCAGTAATTTCACATTTGATCCCCTTAAGTAAGCAAAGCAGCATCTATTCAGAAAAGTTTGCTGAACTTCAAGCAGCTTATGACGGGTGCATCGCATGGGAAGAACAAGTTAGAAAAACGTTCATGAAGGGCAGACAAAAATCCCTCGACACAGTCATAAATGAAACAGCCAACAATGTGCGAGCTATCGTTTCAAGCAGCAAACAATCTACTGGCATTTATTGTATTTGTCGCAGACACGAGGAAGGATTAATGATTGAATGTGATTCTTGTCATGAATGGTATCATAGCGCCTGTCTTAAAATACCTCAAAGTGTGGTACATTCGAAAAACTCTTATATCTGCCCTATTTGTAATCCGACATCAGAACCAAACGTAACATACATATCGCGTCGACCTAATTTACACGAAGTTATAGCCCTCATGAAAGCCGGAGAATCACTCAAATTTCTACCCAAGAATTATACTGCTATTTATTCTATTTATTCATGTATGGATTCATACAGGAAGACGATTCAAGCATTTTGCAGATCGAAAAGTCAATTGGGCATTGACGACCTGCCACAAATGAAATACTATTTAAGAACATTAATTGGACTTGAAGTTCTGCTTTCAGAAGAATTAGACTTTTTGCGAACAAAAATTGAGCTAATACAAACGACCATGCCACAACAACGCGGTCCTGTTGTTGTGAAAAAAGCACTCTTTAAACGAAAGCGTTCAATTTCGCCCTTGTACGATCAAATTACAACCAATAGCACAGCACCTACCATCACGTTTATATTAAATAACTCTCCACCACCGAGCAATAAACACACCCCCACCTCTACCAATGATTTACCGGACGATTCTTTCAAGAGTACTATCGACAATAATAGTCAGAGTAATAAACGGTTACGGGCAGCATTCAATCAAAATGATCAGAGCAGCAAGCCAAACAGTTCTCTTGCTGATTCCAACAACTCTCAGAATAAACCCCATTTGCAAAGGAAACACGCCTATAGAAAGCATATAGCGTCACCATCATCCTCCTCCTTATCGAGCTCTGCTCATGATACCCTAGGTCACAATAATGTACAATCACCAACAACGCCTTACTTTTCCCAACATAAAGATAGACCTTACAATAACAACACTAACCAAAGTGCTGTTTATTCCCCACCATCTACTTACAAACCTGAGCCTTCATCATTAGACGCTCTTGCCTCTATTTTAGTTTCCTCCTCGTCGACGCCAACCTCAGCATTATTGAGTGGACCACATCAATCTGATACGAAACGTAAACTTGCTGACCTCGATAACAATAGTGAAAATGGCAATAACAACAATAGTAATGACAGTTCTTCCAAACCTCGCAAGATTATCAAATTAACGCTTAATCCACCTTCGAAGAAGTAGGAGACCCTTAATCTTAATTTAACAATAAAAAGTTTCCCTAGACTTTTAAACGATTGTTTATTCTCTATTGTTTTAACTGAACATATAATTTCAAATATTCACTTTCAAGACAATGGAAGTTGAGTCCTAAATTTGATTTGCATGAATGAGACGGACTGTTTTAACTTACAAAATTGTGGCTTTTAGATTCCCAAATGGCAAGTTTATTTCAAAACTGCATTTACCTCACCAGCTTCTTTTGATTCTTAGCCAAATCGTTTCTCACAGAAAAATGTCAACACTCTTCAAAACTGCAGAATCAGTTAAAAACAAGACCAGTGACAAAAAGTCGAAGGACAAGAGAATCAACAAGCAAAGAGTTTTGATGCTCTCTTCCCGTGGCGTTACTTCACGGTATGACTCGTAAAATATAAAGACTCCTTCGTTTAGCATTATTCTGACGACAACATTATTTTTTACAAATTTAGTTATCGTCATTTACTGACAGATCTTGAAGCGTTATTGCCTCACTCGAAGAAAGATGCTAAGCTTGACACCAAGAATAACCTCTACATTTTGAATGAATTAGCCGATCTTAATAATTGCAACAACGCCGTCTTTTTCGAAATGAGAAAGAAGCAAGATTTGTATCTTTGGATGGCCAAGACACCTAATGGCCCTTCTGTTAAATTTCACCTTCAAAATTTGCATACTATGGATGAACTCAAGATGACCGGCAATTGTTTGAAGGGCTCTCGACATATCTTATCTTTTGACAAAACATTTGACAGTGCACCTCATTGGGGGCTTTTGAAAGAGTTGTTATCTCACATTTTCAACGTACCTAAGGGATCCAGACGCTCAAAGCCTTTCATCGATCATGTCTTGTCATTTTCTATCGTAGATAATCGTATTTGGTTCCGAAATTATCAAGTAAGAGAGAAATACATAACATTTTATTGCACTAAGTGAAGAAGGGGAATTTATGATTTTCTTTTATACTGTTTCTCTAGATCAGCGAAAAGAATGCCGATAACACATCTGATTTTGATCGACGAACTGATAAAGGCGAACTTCAATTGACAGAAATTGGTCCTCGTTTCTGTCTTACACCTATTCGTATCTTTGAAGGCTCATTTGGTGGACCTACAGTTTACGACAACCCAGAATTTATTCATCCTAACTTTGTACGTGCTGCTATTCGTAAAGAGAAACTTGAAAAATACAGTATCAGACAAAAAAATATGTCCGAACGTGAAGCCAGAATGAAGATGGCTGAAGAGAGTAAAGAAACCGACGTTAGTGATAAGAGAGTATTTCAATAAGCTGAATAATAAAGGGCGTAAGTTAGAATTTTGTATATCCACTATACAAAATGTAGTCTTTGCGATAGATTGTAAGGTTTATGCTGTCAATTAAAGTGCTTCCTTATTGCAGCAGACATCGTTTTCGCGATCACTGATAGGATACTTGAAGGATGAAATAAGTATTTCTGGAAAATCATTTCATTTTAACTTTCATTCAGTAAGCGACAGGGATGGTTTTGTTAAGTAAAGAGAGGACAAATTTGATCACGCATGCCCAAAGACGATTCTCGCTCACAAAATTTGAGCAAAGTTGCAAACTAATTCCCAAATAGTCCTTGAGTCTACAGTTTACTTGTGAAATATTTCAGTTTAACTTCTTGGTACATTTGGTAAAATGCTCATCAACCAATCATTATGATCATACTCTTAAATACCTGCTTTCAATTGATTATGTCAGGCCTGAGTTTCACTGGCGATGCATGCATAACAGTCGCTAATCGAAGACAAAAAAAAAAAAGATAGCCTGCTGAGAATGACTACCAACAAGCTGGAACAGACGCAAATTGACGACCTCTGAAGGTTTGAACAATTAAGTATTTGCCATTTATCTCAAATAGTAAGCTGTACAATGAATTCAATGCAAGGAAGTTGTATAGCGGTATCTGGCTGTAGATGGCCTGAATTGCTTACATCGTGTCTCAAAGGTTATCAGAGGGTCGTTTCATATGAAAGCAACCAAGGTTTCTAAAGTAATCGTTTGAATACCATTCGAAATTTAATTTTTTTTTCAAAGTTAGGAGGTTATCATATGCTCACATCTAATTAACAATTTCAAATCAAAGGTATTTGACTGGCATTAGGTAGATTTGTTGTACCGCGAAACACGCCTCCCCCACCTCCAATTAAAGTTATATTAACAAGATATAGTACATACAAAAATTGGGTATTAAGAAGAAACAATAGGCACATTTTACTGGGAATGAAGGTATATATCATATACAAATGGATTGCTGCTATTTCAGTGAATGCAAAGTTAAAAAATGAAAAAAAAAAGATAAAATTGTATTAAAGTACACAAAACAAAAAACATGAGTATAACTATAAGGTTTATATGTTACAAACATCGTAAGAAGGAATAACTTTAAAGGGATGCGGTATTAGAGCACTTGAGATGTCGTCTCCCCACCAGGTATCAGTGCATTGTCGATACCATTCAACTAGCGGACGAAAACGAAAGAAATTGTGAGTAAGTTAAAGGATGAAAGAATAATCCTTCAAAAAGCCTTACTTGTCTTTATCAGTCCTTCGTTAAATTCCACCTTGGGTGCCCAGCCCAACTTTTCTAACTTTGTGCAATCTATGGCGTATCTTTTATCATTAAAAGCTCTATCTCTCACAAATTCAATATGTTCCGGTATCTCTTCTTCTTTATGTCCGAATAGCAGAATGATTCTTCTTGCCATTTCAAGGTTCGTTATTTCTGATGGTGATCCAATATTGTACGTTTCGCCTATTGAACCTTTATGGAAGATTATATCTAAAGCATTGACTACATCAGCAGCATACAGATACTTTCGAGAATTTTGTCCATCACCATGAATATAACATTTTTTGCCTTTAAGCATACTGCAAATAAATTTGGAAGTAATTTTTTCCGGAAATTGATAAGGCCCGTATACATTATTAGAACGAGTAATGGTGATAGGTAACCCAAATGATTTATGATACGCTTTGACGAGACATTCTGCAGCTGCTTTTGTCGCTGAATAAGGGTTGGTGGGTGATAATATACTATCTTCTCGACAATCAGGCTATCATTTAAAATGAGGTTTATGCGTTAATAGGTATTCAATGCATGCTAGGACTTTATCGCAACTAGAGGAATTGATTATACGTTACTCCATTCACAACTTCCCCATATACTTCGTCCGTACTGACATGAATGAACCTTTTGATTTGATTCATTTTTGCTGCTTCTAATAAAACGTGTGTTCCCATCACATTGTTGCTACATATGTCAAATCAATTTAGTTCGAATCTCTTCAATGTGATTCCAATCTCTTCTTCAATTCTTACGTTGTGAATTCAAATGAGTCTCCAAAAGAATTGTCAACATGAGTCTGAGCTGCTAAGTGAAAAATGACATCTATCTTCTTTTCTTTCAAAAAGAAGGAAATAAAATCCACTGAGGTAATATCGCCCTGCTGACAATAATGTCATTTTTTGAATAAGTTGATAATTAATGAGTAACTGTAATATTCCAAAGTACATAGAAACTATTTTACAGAGTGTACCATTTTTACCCTGACAAAAGTATAGTTTGGAAATTCTTTAATGGCCTTTAAATTATGCAGAGACCCGCAATAATCAAGCTTGTCTATAACGTAAATATGATATTCAGGATAGAGCACAACCAGCTTCCTGACGAGGAACGAACCACTAATAGATGGCCAATAAAAATAAAAAAAAATAAGTTAGGACGGAAGTTTGATGAACATCAGAAAGCATGTAACTTTTTACATAAAGCCTGCGCCTCCTGTCACTAATATATTTTTGACATCCTTAAGATCATCTGTCGTTTCATTTACTCTATCCCCAATGTCAACTAAATCAAATTCGGATAACGTTTTGACTAATCTAGCATGCTTTTCTAGGTTAGCTTCCATGTTATTGTTGCCACTTTTCGATGGAGCCATTAGTCAAAAAGCAAAAAAAAACAAAAGAAAAAGAGGAACTAAGTCTACAGGTGAATTGAATATGGCTATAATAGTTAACAAGGAAAGGAAGAGGTAGTTTCATAACTACAAAAGCTAAATTGAAAAAGAGGTATCGGCCTTTCGAGTTCAGGTTTGCCCTTATTTCATAACGAATCAAATGACAGCATTTAGCGTGAAACTGAATAAAATAGATTATATAATCAGCCGTAGTTTCAAACTCTTCTCTCTTCCCCTCCTTCCCGCTTTCTGGGATGCATGATCAGTGCTCCCGGTGTCAGAATTGGTGGGCAAATCTGTTTGTTTCCATGGCGAGATTGTGCGATCAAAATGAAAAAAGCTGAAGTAAGCAGCTGAAATAAGCTTACTTTTTGCTGAATTGGAATGCAGCGTGGAGAACTTTTGTTTCCTAAAATCAAAGGCGAAACACCATATGGTCCACCCATATGTGTGGCCCTAAAAGGGTTTCAAGCTACACAGCAAGCCTATGCATATTCCTGATACACAACCAAAATCATACTATATGTTTTCTGGAATGATTTATTATACATATTGACGATTCTGTAATAGCAGGTTAATAAAAAGAAGGGGGAATAGAAGAGGCTATGCTTGCGTATTCTTCAATGTTTTTATATCCTTTGGGACCATACCAAAACAGAACCCAATTTGTACCCTTTAGACGAAGGTTTCCACTTGATCTTTCAAAATACCTAAAGTATGAAGAGTAAGTTAGTTGTAAAAAATAACTTACTTTTTTATGTTCTATAATTGAATGTTCGCTTACCATTTGTTAACCCCATTATCATGCCGGCTTCTCCATAACAAATCGGGATACTGATCGCACATTTTTTTCCATAGAATATCTGTTAAACCGATACCTTGACTTGATGGCGCAATTGCAAATTTGTCCAAATAGGCATGGTAATTCGCTCCCATACCTATTGTTGCTGCTCCTGCTGCCTTTTCACGAGTCATAATCACGGCTCCTTCATAGTTCCCAGCAACAATAGCTCCCGCCAAAACCTTTTTCAATCTTTCATAAAAAGCCTCCTCATTCACTTTCTTTTGGAAGCTCCTTTCTAAAAGTCCTGTCAATCGTTTTAGATCTAGTTCCTTGAAATCATAATGATTGTTTATCTTTATTCCATGACGAAGTACTGTAGTTTTTGTTTGGTTGATGCGGCTGTGATGACTGATGGGCAATGAGGAAGAATATAGCGGTTTATCAGTGACCAAATTAGTAATCAGAGCAGTTGGCAGAGAGCTGGTAGGAGCAATAATGGCGGATGAAGTAACGGGGAGGTGCTCTAAACAATCACGAATCATAGATAAATCGGCCATGGTGTTTGGATAATTTTCTTTCCAATGGACGTGCTTATGAAAAGCCGATTGAATATCAGCGAATTCCTCCTGTACATTCACTAGACTATGCGTTGTGCCAGGTATCTCGTGATTGGGGACGCCTCCTTCTTGATTAATGACGACTATTTTCGACGGGATAAGTTTAGGATCCACTGCTTGACTAGCTAATCTTTGCGATAAAGCTGTAACTGCACTATTAGCAGAGATAGGCTTAAGAAGTCCATCCTCTTCTGTTAATATAGGCACAATCACTGGTATTTGATTGTTATTGAGTGCTGATAGGATAAAGTCAAGATTAACGTCAATTGTGTTATTCCACCTTTCCAATGCTGAGCCGTAAATAAGCCTAGCACGTCCTCCTGATCTCTCAATAGCTTCAACCAAGGCCATGGTTTCGCGCAACATTCTTTTGGATAGTTCATTTGGTGTAGATTTGTCTGCTTTCCAGTGAGGATTATCGGATATGACAATAGATGTTAGGCCTAATTTCTGTAGTTTGTAGAGCGTTTTTCCAACATTTTGCCATTCTAACTTATCAAATGGCCCTTCAATTTTGGTCAATGCAAGTTGATTATAGGATGGTGTTAGTAGAGCATCGACATACTCTTGTGGTGTTTGCCTTTTGGTTAAAGAATTGTTGTAAGCGTTCCTTTGTATATCTATCATTGATTGTGATAGTGTTGTGGCTGGTGAGGAAACGGAATCTTTATCGAGCCCGAATCTTTTCAAAAAATGCTGAAGCTCTCTTTTACTCGGCCCTGTGCCCATGACGTTAACGAGTAACTCCTAGAATACCCCAATAAATTTTTTGATCAGCATAGGTTGGTTTTATTATCATTTTCCATTTGTATTCTAGAGTTACTCTAACATCTTCTTGCTCAGATAAAGCCTACCGTTTGATAAAAATAAGCGATGAATAATTATATTTAGCATCTACTATACGATTTGATTATAGCTTACATTCAGTTTAGACGTATGAAATTCCTTTTTCAATATGCTTCCTAAGCATGCAGGGCAATATGTTTTTCTGAATAAATTAATGATATTGGAGCCCATTATGGAAATAAAAAATTCCCAGGAATAAAGAAGAAAAAAGAAACAGTTCAAAAGATTTTTTCCCCACACCTACCCGATTTTCGGGTCATAAATTTTAGCCCAGGAAGCGTTTTTAGTTGACTCATGATGAGTCTTGGATTGCTATTGCAGCTTCAAAAGAATTCCTGGCTCTACAGTTTGATCATGATGGTTGTGCTTGGAACAGGCAGCTTCACAGCGTTATAATGATTTTTTTTCAATAGTGTGCAGCTTCAAAAGAATTCCTGGCTCTACAGTTTGATCATGATGGTTGTGCTTGGAACAGGCAGCTTCACAGCGTTATAATGATTTTTTTTCAATAGTGAGGCTTAATTCAAATTGAACTTATCGACTATAACGGTTCTGAATATATTCTAAATTTTATGCTTTATTCAAGGGATGATTGTGGTATATTGAAAAAACTTTACAAAAAGGTTCATTTCATGTATATTGAATATATAATGACCAAAACGAAGAGTACCTAATGAGTACCAATATTGATACTTTCTAATAATCGATTAATTAATTTATCGGCTTTACAAGCCATAACCACATCTTCTTCTGCGAGATTGAGTGCCAATCTCATTGCTATATCCATCCTCCCGCCTTCCATCAAAATGGCTCTTGTTTGGCCAAGTGATTCACATATGCGCATCAGATCACTTGTATTCGGCGGCTCTAAGTTATGCCATTTACATATTTCAATATGATGATGAGCCACGTCCCCGAATTCAATCTCTTTCAACCCTATTTCTCGGAAAGTTTGCATACAAGCCACCAAGAAAATCTTTTGATGCAATGAACAAGATCGAACGAAAGCTATCGAAGGTGAAGAAAACATTTCCCTCACAGCCTCATCAACAATAGCAATAGTCACTTTGTCTGGTGCCGGTATGCCTTTCTCCTTTGCAGCGAGTCTGCTTTCAACGATCTCCACAGCTCTTCGACAAATATCCAACGCACGTCGAGCATCACCACTGACAGCGCTAACTTTACGCGCTGCAAATTCAACAGCTTCTTTGGCAAAGGCATCAATGCCTTCCAACCGTGACTGAACAATTTGGATAAGTTGATCGAACTTATAAGGTTGAAAATTGATACGAGCTAAACCCATTCTACTAGCAATTTTGTTGGTAGCAATCCGTTCCGGTAAATCCATAGTGTTGGCAATTGCAACAACAATAAGTTTAGATAATGGTCTACTTGGCCAATCGAAAAAGTTGTACATGACAGTTTGCTTTTTTGTTACCAGCAGATCTAATTCATCCATTAATACTACACTATCTATCCGATAAATTTTGCAAATTGAGTATATTTTATCTAGCTAAGCATGATAACTATCACTGCCCGTTCATAGTTAACTTACGTTGTCCGTTTATCCTCGTTAGAGTTCGCGAATTTCGATTGAAGCATTTGCAACGCGTGTTGTGCCGTATACTTCTTCTTTTTACCGCCGCTTTCTTCTTGATTTGTCTTATCCATACATTCCCATAAAATGCTATACGATTGATTTGGATCTGCCAATTTCATACCATTGATCTCCACAAAATCAAAAGCTGGGAGTTCTTTTTCTTCCGCTTGATGTTGAAGATAACGTATCACTTCCAACACAGTGGCTGTTTTTCCGGTTCCGGGCACACCTGAGATGTAAACGCAGGTACCTGTACTTTCGCGGATTGCACCTTCTACATATCCCAAAATTTCTAAAAACTGGTCTTCACGGCAAGGTAAAGAATTAGGTACAGCAGAAACATGTAGGCGTTCTCTAGCTAACTCGTAAGGTGTCATTTTAGACTGATCCTGGTTACTTAGCACTTGTCGTAGCGGCAGTACAGGCATAATTTGATTCACTCTCTGAATCGTCCGATTAGAAGAGGCCAATTTTTTTCTTTTTATAACTCTAGCTTTGTCGGATTTTGTTGCTGGTATCTGTTTTCGAGTTGCTTTCCTCCTGTTGGAAGTTCTTGACTTTGCAGTGGTTCTCCTTAAATTGTTCACTTCAAATTCAGAATCATCAGCATCATTGTATTCTTCTTCTTCCGGTGAAACAATTTCAGAATCAGAAGAAGAGGAATTCTCCTGATAATCATCACTCTCTCGTTCACCAGATGTGCTATCAGAAGTATCGTCAGACTCTGTATATTTGGTCTTAATCACTTTTAATCTTGAAGACGCGGCCTCATTTGATAGTGTTCTGGCACGTGTTGGTCTCTCCCTCATACTTGCTGAGCTGTTGACACGAACTGATCCGGCACTTGAAGAAGTAGCAGATCTGCTCGTAGTTGATCCTGCAAGATCAGGTGTTTGACTACGTGTACGTGGTCGTCTTAGGGTCGCATTATCGTTATTTCGAGCGGATCTCGTCGAACGCTTTGTTATAGGTGGCATGATCTCAAGTAACTGAGTGGTGATCGTAATAAATTGATTTTTACAAAGGTTAAAAAATAGTTACAGGAACGCTCAGTGTACTATTTTATTTTTTTTTGTGCAACGCTGCTGCTGTATTTCAATAACTTGGTGCAGTACGTTTTCATTTTCGTTATACTTTAGCAGACATATTAAACGGTATTTTCAATGAGTGGAGCCGGTGATTGGTGTCTAATTGAAAGCGATCCTGGTAATTGTTTAAGCCAGAAACGCCATAACTTGTTATTACTGAAATAAATGCATTAACTTTTGTTCTTTGTAAGGTGTTTTCACCGAACTGATTTCGGGTATGGGCTGTCGAGGAGTGCAAATGGAAGAGATCTACAGCCTTGAACCAGAATTCACAGCTGACTTAGGGTACGATGAATAAATACCATGAGCCCCTCAAGTTAACTAAAGAAAAGTAACGTGTATCTTCGACCATTATTAGACCGATATACGGCTTAATCTTCTTATTCAAATGGCAAAACAAGCGTAGTGCCGAAAACACACATATTCCTGAAGCTAATGATTTCTCAGACCATGTTTTTTTCGCCAATCAAGTGATCAATAACGCATGTGCAACACAAGCTATATTATCCATTCTTCTGAACAGAGACGATATTGATATAGGAGAAGAACTACGCAACTTTAAAGCTTTCACAGCCGACTTCCCTCCTGAAGTACGTTTTCTTTAACCGTATGCAAAGGATTTGAGCGAAGAAAACGGCGACGTCTAATTCTATCTCCAATTACCTTGAAAATATGACAGATGAAAGGATTAGCTATCTCTAATAGTGACGTGATCCGAACGATGCATAACAGCTTCGCACGATCTGATCCGTTTGTCAATGACATGGTAGATCCAAACGCTGGAAAAGATCAAGATGTATACCATTTCATTGCCTTCACGCCTGTCAATGACGCTGTATATGAATTAGATGGATTAAGTAACGGGCCTGTCAATTTGGGACCTTGTGATGAAAATAATTGGATTACAAAGGCTAACGAAGCTATCAAACGCCGTATGGAAGCTTATGGTGAGGCAGAATTACATTTCAGTTTAATGGCATTAATTCGAGATAAAGTGGAACAAATGGAAGAACAGATTGAGGAAGCCGATGCAATTTTATTATCGTTGCCAGAAGATGATGTAGAGGCGAGAAGTAGGGTAATACAAGACCGTAGTATGTACGAGCAAATATTAGAACAGGAAAAAGATAAAAGGAAAAAATGGCATGTAAGTTCATACCTAAGATGACCAAGAGTTTCAGTATAATATAAGTACTGACAAGTACGCGTTCTTTTTCACAGAGAGAAAATGTGCTTAGAAAGCATAATTTCATACCTCTCATATACAATTTATTACGAAACCTTGCTGAAAAAGGTCAATTGGATGATCTCATTAAAACAGCAAAAGAAAAGGCTGTGAACAGAAGACAACAATAATCGATGGTATCCGCCGATACTATATATATAGCACCCTTCAATTTTGTCACTAATATGATTGTATAACTTCCTTAAGATTACAATGTTCATTTACTCCCACAATACTATACCTGAGATTATCAATAATTAGCATATTAGATTAGTTTATCTTATAGGAATTAAATATGCAGGTATAATTGGTATTTGTATTAAAAGTCATTTTTCTACAGGTAGTACTTATAAATGGGAGCTTATGATTTATCGTTCAAAAACGCCTTTTCGCATTTGCCGTGGATTACTAAACGATGGAATAACAACCAGCACTTTTTTTACTTCTTTCTTAGCAATTTTTTCTCCTTTGTTAGTTTTACAACCACATTCGCATGGCATACGAGGCACTACTTCCATTGGCTGTTGACAGAAACCATAGCTAGGTGAATATGGAAATATACGCTGAGAGTAGAACGCATTACTTTGATAATACTGATATTGTGCAAGAGGTGGTGGTGGATCTGTTGGACTCTTTGCATCATTTTTATCTTTTTTTCCCTTCTTCTTCGACGGTGATGTACCATTATCACGCTTTATATTGCAAAAGAAAGATGTTTGTTAAGGATTGCAATACTCCTGAAAGAAACGGATTTGCATTTGACTATAAGAGAGTCTTACTTTTATCAGTCGAAGTCCAAACGGATCGAGCCATATGTTGCTCATCAAAATCAACCAAAGTTCAGAGTTATAGTATTTCGATTAGGGGACAACAGATACTTATAAATCAACAGTTTATATAGGAATTGATGTTACATCAAAATCCATCTTTGACCATGAATGTCATATATGTTCGTGTCCCATATGTAACCTCTCTGTTTTTGTGGAACAGGTACATAGTTCACAGTGCGAAACGCGTAATGACCATTACTAAATTGATCCTTACAACGTTTTTTTCCCTTATATGGCCTCTTGCAGTCAGCAGTTGACCAATTTTACGTGTAATGCATCTACGTGGTGTCGTATTATATAAACCCGTCAAGTCGTAAGTGTAGAACTTTTGAAGTACGAAAACATTGTTTGATATTAAGATACTTAATTTAATAGTCGGAAGTTGACAACAATTAACATAAGATGAATAAGTGAGATAGAATTAGAAATATTTGATATTCATTAAGTAGTATGCTATATAGTAATGTAATACGAAACGTCGCTCCAAAAAATGTAGATGGAAGTAGAGAACCGAATTACAAGATGATACAATTTTTCTTTTTTGAAGGTTTGCGACCACCCTCAGCTGACTTATCTGTTGGTCCTACTGTTGCTGCTCTACCTTGACCATTAATAACAGCAGAGCTAGTTGTTGTGGGCTGTTGTTTACTTGGTGGAATAGGCGCAGTAACTGTGTCCTTTGCTTCATCTGATCCCTTTTTACCCGCAGTCTTCATGTGCAATTTGTCTTGTACAGTTTCACTTAATCTTCGACCTGAATTTGCAGCACCTGTAACAGCTGAGGTAATACCACCAGATAACCGGCGGACAGGATCGTATGCTTGGCCTTCCTCAACGTCACTGCCAACGACTGAACTACTATTGGTAGCTACAGCTGGAGGTGCACAATTAGGTGTACCGCCAATCAGCTCAGCAGGAATGGGGCGTCGTCCACTTCGTCCACTACTTCGACGACGACCATCTGAAATCCCTTGGGAAGTTGAGGAAGCGTTATGATCAATAGTATCAGTAGTACCCACGAAGCCGGTGGTGTTATTAGTAGTAACGGCTGCAGTATTCATAGGTTGCTTAACAGTGTCAGTAGGATGAACAGCACCAGTCGTACCAATAGGAGCAGCAACAGACCCGACAGGATTTGCACCAGTCGTAGTTGTATTTGCTGCATTAGCACCAATATTAGTTCCGTTAGCATTTATACCCCTTTCATTATTACTTTTAGAACTGTTGGCTGCAATTCCAGCAGCTCCAGCAGCTCCAGCAGCTCCAGCAGCTCCAGCAGCTCCAGCAGCACAGACAGCACCAACAGAACCCGCAGTATCAGCAGCAGTAATGCCAGTGTTAGCAGTACCTCCTGTATGCACTCCGGCGGAAGTGGCAACCTTAGGAATAGTAGCAGTTGTGCTTGCTTTGGTAGTATAGACTCCTGATTGAACATTGCTGGATACGCTTTTAATGATATTCTCTACGTTGACACTTCGGGAGGCAATAGCGCTTTGGATGCAGTGATTTACATTATCAGATAAAACTGTTGGTGGTTGTGTCTGAGAATTAAGACCATCGGTATCAGCTATGTTGACTGCGGCAACTGCAGCACCAGTAGGTGTGCCGCCTAAAGCACCAACACCAACTGGGCCTGCGGGAGGAATCTCATATTCAGTTGCTGTTGCAGAGTTGAGATCAGACGTGGGCATGTTGCTATCAGTTGATGCAACACCTTTATCACCTGCAGCCTGTCTAGTTGGCGGTGCATTGTTAACTGTATTACTCTCATCTTGTAATGCACCAGGCATAGTCGTGCTTTCACTTTTTGGGTCAGTACTACCCAACTTGCTCGTAGTTGTGTTCAAGTTTTCTTGATCTGGTACTGTGGAGGTGATTGGTTGGGGCTGTGTGATTGATTCAGTGCTACTAGCAGGTGTCTTTTTAGCACCTCTCTTTTTATTTCTTCGGCTGGGCATTTCAGTTTCTTTCGTTTATGAAAAAGATGTGGGAAAAAGCGAAAAAGAGACAAAAGACAGATGCAAATCCATTAAATTAATGCAATATGTTAGTACTTCATTGTTCAAAAAAAACATTCCATTGGGTTTGTTTCAAGGAGTGTCCCTCAAATTTTTATTATTATTGTTTCTACGATAATGCAACCTTGCTCAATGCTTTTTGCGTTTAATCAATCCAGTGGAAAGGACATTTACAGCCGGTCTCTTGTTCGTATTTTCGTCGGTTGTCTTCTTAGCGATAGAAGCGGATGTTGATTCTACTGGTGCTTTCGTGTTGACTACTATAGGCTTTAACTTGGGAAGTATCTCATTGATATCTCTCTTTGCTGTTTTACTGGACACTTTAGTAGCGTTCTCATTTTCGAAATTTAGAGACATGAATCTATTCCAAAAAACTGTAAAACTATCGCTATCTGTGTCATTTTCGTTGTCTTCGAAATCGCTGGTTTCATTCTCTTGTACATTCAGTTTCAGTTTGAAAAAGCCTGTTAATTTGCCTGACCCACATTCTTCGCCAATAGATAAGATATTGAAGAAATCTTTAACACTCATTTTTTCTTGCTCACCCTCTATATTTTTCAACAAACGGGATTTTGCATCATCTTCAAACTGTGGAATAGATGAAGCCGCGTCAGCTTCTGAATCAAAAGGGACACTATATTGCCACTTGATTGAAGTTGAGGGAGCCCATCCCCTTTTACGAGCACCTATTTCAATCAAAGCACTACTCGAATCCTCAATTCCCGGAATAAACCAAACGCCTTCACATTTACGTTTTACTTTGTTTAAGACATGAAGCCACCATGAAACCAACTCCCGGTCGGACAATATCTTTTTGTCTTCGTTATCAGCAGATTTTGCGAAAAGATATTGCGGCTGTGCTCTTGCGAAAACGAATACGCTTGTATTGCAAGGTAGACTGGTAATATATGCTTGGATGAGACGAGCGGTAAGGCCTTTATACTTTCTGTGCATCGAGTTAGTGTCGACTTTTGACACATAAACAATATTTTTGATCACTGAGTCAACATCTGTGAGCTTATATTCGTATGTTTCTAATCCACAAACAAAACCGCTGGCTGCAGTTGACACAAGTATCAATCGATGTCGACTAGACGTAGAACCTTTGTGCTGTTTGTATAGGGGTGTCGAGCATTCCGTAAATTTTGATTTGATATCATACACTTGAAAGGTTGTCAGAGGTACGATGCATTCAAGACAGTTCTTTAAGGTGGTTGCAAAGGACATTGTACAAAAACCATACCTTTGAATTGACAGCAGTGAGCAAACACGAACAAACAAATACTTTTTTTTGCATTTCATTTCTGGAACGAAAATTTGAGGACTCGTGACTTGCGTGCTTTTCCTAGAAATTCAAACAATTGAACGATCTCAACTTCAGACAGATTCCACGAAGAAACTATATAACATTTGTCTCTGGGGAAGTTTTTCATAACAGTTGACTATTGTACCTATGTCCAAACATCAAGAGAAAGAGGCTCAAGTTGTTTCCAGAAAAGACTTGTTCCGTAACGATGAATTCGACGAAGAGATTGATGAAGCTGAAACCGAAAAAATGGATGCTTTAATGCAGCAATTGATGGGCTTTGTTCAAGACGACAATAATGAAGAAGGTACAAAGAAACTTTATAAAGCCTAATTGCTTCGGATGCTGGAATGACTTCTTTTGTATTTCATGCCATAAAAAAAGATAGCTCAGAAGGAGAGGCTGCGGAGAAATCACCAGAAGAAGGCCTTACATTTCGTCTATTCGCCAGTCAGCCAATAACGAATGTTTCTATAGAAGCTGAAACGGATAATACAGATAACTTAGCAAAGTTAGTAGCTGAACAGCAAGTTTATGAATTCGACGAAACAGATCCTATATTCAAAGAGCAGGTGCAACAAGCAGCGGTGGATTACGATACTATTATTCGGCAATCAGCAGTACCGTATCCGGCCATGAAGTATCTCAATAAAATCATGCATATCTCACCGGAAGGAATAGTGTTGAGCAAGGTGAACCAAGCAGAAAAAGACAAAAAGAGGAAGCGAAAAAGCAAGAAGTGTCGAGCATTTGAAAAAGCTGTCAAAGAAGGAAAGATCAAAGTAGCGCCAAAGATGAGAAATCCATCAACACCCAATGGTTGGCCAGGATGGCCTGGAATCAAGACCAAAGTTGATATCATCAATTATCAAATGCCAAAATCAGGAGGTTATAGACAGAAAAAACCTGATTCTCGTGGTCTATATGATAAACCATTCAATAAGAAACCATTTCATACAAAGCACACATTAAAAAGTAGCAATAAACGACAATAAAAATGAATTTCGTTCGAGTGTAAAAGTGCTTCTGATTTTTTTGCTGCTGTCAAATGGTAGTCACGGCATTTCTGTTTGGGGCAGATTCAACGAACTATAAATAAAACTTTCACTGAGGCAGTGGTGAATCCTTCCCTTTTTAACAACTCCTAGTATATAAGGTAACTTTAACAGTTCCATCCATTGATCATTGTTAGGATAATCAATCCATCAATCATAGATATTAACTCTCTTCTCTAATTAGCAATGGGTAAGGAAAAGACTCACGTTAACGTCGTCGTTATTGGTCACGTCGATTCTGTAAGTTAATTAACAAATGTAATCGCTTCGATGAAATTCATGCTAATTCGCATCTTCAATTCGACAGGGTAAATCTACTACTACCGGTCACTTGATTTACAAGTGTGGTGGTATTGATAAGCGTACCATTGAAAAGTTTGAAAAGGAAGCCGCCGAACTCGGTAAGGGTTCCTTCAAGTACGCTTGGGTCCTTGATAAGCTTAAGGCCGAACGTGAACGTGGTATCACCATTGATATTGCTCTCTGGAAGTTCGAAACCCCCAAGTACCACGTTACCGTCATTGACGCTCCTGGTCATCGTGATTTCATCAAGAACATGATTACTGGTACTTCTCAAGCCGATTGTGGTATTCTTATTATCGCTGCCGGTACTGGTGAATTCGAAGCTGGTATCTCCAAGGATGGTCAAACCCGTGAACACGCTCTTCTTGCCTTTACCCTTGGTGTCCGTCAATTGATTGTTGCTATCAACAAGATGGATACTACCAAGTGGTCCGAAGCTCGTTATAACGAAATCGTCAAGGAAGTCTCTTCCTTCATCAAGAAGATCGGTTTCAACCCCAAGTCTGTTCCCTTCGTCCCCATCTCTGGCTGGCACGGTGATAACATGTTGGATGAATCCAACAACATGCCCTGGTTCAAGGGATGGACCAAGGAAACCAAGGCCGGTTCCAAGACCGGTAAGACTCTCCTTGAAGCCATTGATGCTATTGATCCTCCTACTCGTCCCGTTGATAAGCCTCTCCGTCTTCCTCTTCAAGATGTCTACAAGATCGGTGGTATTGGTACTGTCCCCGTCGGTCGTGTCGAAACTGGTGTCATCAAGGCCGGTATGGTTGTCACTTTCGCTCCCGCTAACGTCACCACTGAAGTTAAGTCCGTCGAAATGCATCACGAAACCCTCACTGAAGGTCTTCCCGGTGACAACGTCGGTTTCAACGTCAAGAACGTTTCCGTCAAGGATATCCGTCGTGGTAACGTCTGTTCTGACTCCAAGAATGACCCTGCTAAGGAATCTGGTTCCTTCACCGCTCAAGTCATTATCTTGAACCACCCTGGTCAAATCTCTGCTGGTTACGCTCCTGTCCTCGATTGTCACACTGCTCACATTGCTTGTAAGTTCGCTGAACTCGTTGAAAAGATCGATCGTCGTTCCGGTAAGAAGCTTGAAGATGCTCCCAAGTTCGTCAAGTCCGGTGACTCTGCTATCGTCAAGATGATTCCCTCCAAGCCCATGTGTGTTGAAGCTTACACTGACTATCCTCCTCTTGGTCGTTTCGCTGTCCGTGATATGCGTCAAACCGTCGCTGTCGGTGTCATCAAGGCTGTTGAAAAGGTCGATAAGGCCGGTAAGGTCACCAAGGCCGCTACTAAGGCTGGTAAGAAATAAATAACTTCTTCAGTTTAGCCCATTGTTACTTATATACAGGAAAAGCCTCAGATTATTTCTCGTGCTTTTGGAATAAAATGTTATGTAATCTAAACAAATATAAAATCTGTGGAGTCTTTTTTGTGAAAGAGGTGTTTGTGGTACGAGGTTGTCAGCGATGAACTTGAGATTGAAAGAAATTCAAATCTTCAGGCTGTATTTTACCATGTTTCTATTAGACGTGATATCAATGTATTAAAATCACATGAGAGACCAGGATAATGTATGAGTAGTAACAGCCCCTTTTCCTGCAGTGACATTCTTATGACCCCTAATCCATCGTACCTTCATATATAAAGGTCGGCTTCTGTAATTCAATCGATAGTCATTACTTTTTTTGTTCCTGAAAGTGCATGTTTCGGAAAGCTTATCACAGCAATTGCATAGTTATATTGATTAACAATAACAATAATTTGAGAAACTTACCGTTGTTGGTTAAGTGTGGCAGAATAACCTAATTTACTGTAATAAGCGATATTTTTCTTCAAAAAGATATTTACGGCTTGAATCAGAATCTCGCTCTATTCATAAGAAATTGATAAAACTGGAAACCAGTTTCTGCAAAGAATGTAACCAACCATTAAGCTCCAAAGGCTTGTCAGCGAAGGCTCGTGGTCGTAACAATTTGTGTGTGGGCTGTAATAGGTAAATATCCTTCAGATTTGTAAGTTAGAATCTATCTTTTCTGAGGATCGATTTTCTACAATTTGCTCAGCACCTTTCAAAACGTTTCAAAAATTGTTCGGACCGTATAAGCATGATTCTCTGATGAAACTGAGTATAAAGTTATTGTTGGCACAAGATCCGCACATCACGCAGACATTTATCAGCAGTACTACAAATCCTGCTGCAATGAATAGTGCCTCCTCTTTACAGAAATTGGGAGCGCTTTACAAAGCTGCCACTGATATATACCCGGGTTTAATAAGACTGCATCAACGCTTATATCCCGACAAAGACGATGTTACTGATGAGCAGGTTATCTTTGCTCGAAGAGCAACTAGTTTTCGTCATACAACCATGCAGGTAAAATTCACAAGATATTTCTGTTAATGGAACTCAAGTCTGCTATCTACCGTGTATTCTCTTTAATTCATATGCTTCATTTCTAGATCACTTAGTGCAGCTTTTGTTTACAGACCACTGCATTTTCTTCGATCAACCATAGCATGACTTTATTTAATAATTGTTAAAGGGATTGAACTAATGATATGTACTCGTTATACAATCCAAAATGTTACAGCGACCAACTAGAATTTTTAAACTAACCATGCTGAGAATATCGTCTAATAACATTAACTCTATACAGCAAAAAAAAAAAAAAAAAAAAAAAAAAAACCAACCAAAAACAAAAAGAATTTTTTTTTGCCGATCATGATGTAAACAATTTACTGATCTACTATATAACAGTGTATGCTTTATGTGTTCCAAATAATTATTACACTTGGAAAAACAGAAGATTTTTTCTAAAGCCTGATGACCTGTTGAGTGTCGCTTACCACTGTAGAAAACAACGCATGTTTTAAAAAGCAAAAGTACGGTAGCTTCAGCGTACATTCTTATAAGCAAGCAACATTGCTTTGGGAAAGAAACGCGCGATGCTCACACAAACAGTCTTTTTTTTTTTTCTTCAAACACTCCTTTCACGACATTCGAACAAGAATAACATAAGGAAAGAACATTAGCATTATACACGTTTCTTTCAGAAATTCATAATAGATGGTAGTAACATCAATAAAAATGAGACTCTGTCAATAAATGTACTGTTTGTGCCGAATTAAAAATATGATTAATTTCATCATTATTGGTATATTATGAGTAAAGAAAAAAATAAATAAAAACGTTTTCAATACAGATATTATGCTCAATCGAATCTTAGCATAACTATAGAAACATCACGGGTAAAATGGCAAACTATTTCTCCTTGCATTTTTCTTTGTGATGTCATCAGTGCAACTGTCATCTCTCTCCAGATCATTGTTATAGCTGTCGAAGCTACTTGTCGTTATTGTGTCGACTGCAGTAAAAGGAGAAGGAGAAGGAAGAGAAATGTCTTCTCGCTTAAACGACTGCAGTCTTAGCCTTTTACTCTGATAATTTGTTGTTAAATTGGTTAGATACAAGGGACTCATATTAGTGGTATCGACCGAGAGATTAGGACGTTTTCTCTTTCCAAGCTTCTGTTCTTCGACGGTGCGTTGTTTAGGTCGAGTATTGTCAGCAGGCAATTCAGTTTTTTGTGAAATTGTTGTGATTGATGTAGTACTTGTGAAAGGTTTTGGACGCTGCTGTTCTTGTTTTTGTTTGGATTCCTTTTGTAATTGAACGAAACTAATGGAAAGCGCTACGATGAACTTCTCTTTAGCATAGTGTTCAAAGATATCGTAGAAAGGGCCACTCCTGTCATAGTCTGAATGAGAATAAGTGTAAATGATACGCTGAGGTTGAGTACAAAAGTGGACACGACGGAAGTCGGGCGATCTTCTTTTTTTACTGGAAAGTGATTGTACAAGACAAGATGTGCGGTTTGGTATATTAGTGTTTGTAACCATCAGGATGATGTTTCGTTGTGAGAGAATAATCAGCGTATAATGGGTTTGTAATTAAAAAAAAGAAAAAGGTATTGAAGTTTTTGTGCTTTATTGAATAGGCTTTTTATATGGTTTGGTGGCATCCAACAACCAGCCCCTTAGGTATACTTCCTAAAAGACAGATAAAAATAGTAAAACTTTTCTTTCTTTTGCTAGAACTTGACAATTAAAATAACTTAATGTAAAATTGGCGGGCAAGAATGTTTCTTTGTCATTTTAGGAGTAGTGCAGTGGTATAATTTAAGATATTATGTATGAAGTAAATAATTAATTGAGGTAAAAATAGCTCCTTACAGCCTTAAGTTACTACATAAAAGGTGGCTATTTTTGTTGTTTAAGTGATCATACAAAACTTTCAATAGGAGTGAGTTTATCCAAGGAGCTAATTCAATTCTTATCTCTCATGAAATTGCCAGATAACTTTTTAGGATGCTGAGAAAACGCTGTCTTCGTTTTTATTACAGTGTATACCAGCAGTGCTGAATAAAGTTTTAACTAAACGAACTGCTTGGTTCCCAAACTTTTGCAGTTATACAGAATATCCGAACCTATGCATAGTTTTATGCATTTCTGTAGAGAATCTGCATAACAAGCGTTCATACCTTTCCCAAAGGTAGGATATTTTTAGAATAACAAAGTTTCTCTAAACCCTTACAGCTTTGCAATGTGCGTATATATGCTTCTACATTATTGTTATTTATGGAAAGTATGCCAAGCTTCTGAAAACGTTTAAATGATATGCATTAACAATGCTCAACTCCCATTGCCATAGCAATGAGTCAAAGTTATAGCGTCATTATACCAAGTGCCAAGATTAGTACAATTCAAGATTATAGAAACACTGAGGTGATGTGTGTGTGCATGCCATTGCAAAAAGCCACTTGCGCTTCAACGATCATTGGTTGAGCATAACGTATCTAACTTGCTGTACCTTGCTGATCCTTCTTCCTAATTTTACAATTTGACGATCTCTGTTGAACAATTCTTTATTTTGAAAGTTAGAAACCATCATAACTGAATATTGCTCGACTAAATATTAGTAACTAGCATTAAAATGATTAGGTTAAGTCTATGTAACATACGCTGTGTATCCTAATGTTCTGATAAATGAAATGAAAAAGGTAGCGCTGCATTACTAACAATCAAGGACTTTATTTAGATATAACCACATATGTCTACGAAAGAAAATTTAAAGTAAATGATGCGATTTAAAATAGCTCGCTTGATTCTGTTGCTCCTATATTCTGTGGAACGAAGAGAAGCTGTTTGATGAAGTAAAGGTACTGAATGGTTTTGAAGGACGCTGCGTAGGTGACTTGGTAATCTTTGAAGTACCGGCATAGATCTCTTGTGAATAAACATATCTGGGCCTATCACAACTATATATCAGATACTCAGTGAATGCTGTGGTCTATCTGTCACTGTTGATAAAGCGAATCCTTGTCGATGTCTACAACATAGAATTTACAATTAGAGAATGTCTGAGGTTTGTTGAACAAATAACGTTCCCTAATAGTGAAGCTAAGGAACAATATAAAATGATAAATTACTAAAGTAGCTGGAGTAATATATGATGGAAGTTGTCTGTATAATTTTGAGACGTTTGACCTCGAAATTATTGCTAAAAGTATGTTTAACAACACGCATCAGCTGTGCGCATAGATAATCATTTTTCTAATTCCCTCTAGCATTACTGCAAGACTGAGAATTTGGCACTCTCGTTGTCAGTAAGGGCATCATATTTCTCTTGCTAATTTATAAACTATTAAAATAAGTGTAAAGCAACTCATTACATGTATAGATCTGCTGTGGATCTAGTATTTGTTTAATGTAGTTCAAAGTCTTTCTCTTTTCAGCAACTATACAATGCCTTGCCTATGTAGAAGCAAGTCTAAATTAGTCTGACGTACGAACAGCACATTTACGTTAGATGCTCGGCCTTGTTTATATAGTTTTTTTCTTCATCTTCTTAGCATTTACCGTGTTACTACTCCGTAGAAATGATTCCTAGAGCTTACAATAGTCCTTCTTTGTTGTTTTTGTTCTAATATTAGAAGGAAAACGCCAGATTTCGAAGTTATAATTTCAAAATCTTATCTTTCGGGATTAAAACCAACGAAAATCCAGCAAATAGTCATTATAGACAAAGTAAACAACATTTCCTTAATACTTCAAATGCTGTTGAATGCATTTGAATAGTAGAAAAGGGTTGCTCAAAGCTCGGATTCGTAGGTGTAAATGCGTAGGCAGGAACGTCTTATTTTCAAGAGGTACATAAATGTTATACATGTCCATGCATCGGTAATTGGAAACTCACCATAAGTTCATGGATGCTATTTTATTTCGTCAGGATATAGTAAGGTATCCTGGGTAAAACTTAGATCGATGCGCTGACTGTTGGTATCATGGGCTTTTCCAGCATTCTCTTTTATAGATACAGCAAAAATTGAAGTGGTATGAATTTTTACGCAAAATCAGCACTGTCACCGTCTCTGACATTTTGATATCCTCCACTGGGAAACGCACCTGGTGCTTCTGACCAACCTGTGTTGACAAATTTGTGTCAGTTCTTTCAATATCAAAGATAATCATAAATGAATCATTTAAACATTACTTTGCATACCCATGGAATCTCCTCGTTCTTTCAGATTATTGATACCGGAATAAACAGTTAAAGGCTAGAATAGAGTATTAGCAAGAATTGTACATACAACTGATATTGGTACATTTACGAACCTTGATGAATAAACTTATGACAGTAAAGCTAAGATCGACATGGAAAACTTTGTCAACGAGGCAAACCACAACTGTAGCTACACAATATCATGCAATACTTACAATTTAGCAAATCCAAAACCACTCTCCTCTTGAGGATTTCCGCCGTGTAAATATAGCCAAATCAAATCCAAAAAAATACTGACAGCAAGAACTGCTGTTAACTGAGCATTTTAAAGTAGTTTGTGAGTAACCCAATAAGTGTAGCAGTATGTTCTCATGATTCCTTGCTATAACTCACAGTTTTTAAAGGTGAGGTCGACTCACGATAATTATAAGCCCAAATGCCAAAAAAGAAGATTGGAATGTTGTATGTGGGATTGGAAGCAAGTGCGCCTAACAAAGAAAGACCCTACAACATGTTTGAAAAAGTTTGTTAAAGGGACATACAAAATATAACAGAGCAACATAAATTCAAAGCGAGTATACCAAATGTAGTCCCAAAAGGCTTGCTAAATTAGCTTGTTGAAATGTATTTCGTATAGCCTCCATCGTTTAATCCCAAGTTAAAACAAAAACGTTACAGAGAACCGACGAAGCTTTAACTGTAATTTATGAGCCCCGCCCAACTTTTTTATTGTTGTGAAAAAAATGTTCCTGAATACTGAACTGAAATCCGATCAATGTTGAAAAACAATCCTATCAGTCGCTGTCCTTTTTTGCATATACATTCATATTTACAAGCATATATTCGAGAAGCTAACGTACATGATGTCATTAAGGTAGACAAGCAAAATAACAAACGGTTAGATATAAAGTTTCGAGCATAGGGTAAGGAAACAAAAAAAGAAAGGGGCATAGAGTAATGAGATACAGCTTTAAACATAACAACTAAGGTTTAAGCTATCGATACAGCGGGCAACGGGTATTTTCTAAATTGTTTGAAGAAAGTGAAGTTAATGACGTTCCATGGTAAGAACGTTACTTTCGTTTACGAAGCGTCATCCTATGGGTAGCCCTTGATTCCGTAGCTACATTTTTAAGGGCATGGCTTTCCGTATCACGTGTATCACGTTTATCACGGTTATCATTACGTGATATTGTTGTTGTAGTATCTGTAGCTGAAAAATCTTGGTCCTCAGATATACTACTTGTATCTGTTCTGCCGCTCGGCTTGTTACTGCTTGTCTCGTGGTCGATAACAGTGGTTGAACTTACAGAGAAGGAGCCGGCTTCCAAGTCAGCCAATTCGATAACGCCGTCAGATACGTCAACGGGCGATAGCTCAGAGGCAACTGATAAAAGATCTAGTGAGCTTCGACGATAAAACAGAAATTCATTTGAAGATAGCAGTTCCGATGATTTAGACGATGAGAGCCCACTGCTTTCCGTATGGTTACTGTCAGTTGCAGTATATGTCTTTGTTTGTTCGGTTGAAGATTCTGAAGAGTGAGAAAGTTCTTTTTTGATCTCTCTTGAGATGTGCGATGAGTTGCTGATTTTGCTTTTGTTGCTGATCATACTTTTGTCAGACTTTTTGTTGAAGATCGCATTAAAGCCGGGATCAAAGGCTTCCAGACTGAAGTTTTCAAACGAAGAAAAAATGGCATCCATATAGGCGGGATAAGTCTTCTCTCTCCGTAGTAATGTTGTCTCTTTCACAAATTTCTCATAGTATAGTTTGTTGTCTTCCGATCGGAACCGTTTAAGTGGTCGATCTACCAGATGACTGCTCTCGAGTAAAAAGGCATGTTGACGTGCATTATTTTCTTCAACTTTGCTCTCACTTTGGGTCTGTGGGGGCTTGTTGATCTTTTCTGTTGCCACGGTTGTAGAAGTGGTTGCGAGGCTTGTTGTGGATGTTGTTGTAGAGGCTGTTGAAAAGGTTGTAATACTTTTGGATTTTGTTGAATTACTTCCTTGAACGACTGTTTTCCGTTTTGAAGAGCCCCGTTTCGGTGGCATTCTAATGTAAGAGAAAAAGTTGAATAATGGAAGAGATAAAGAAAGCAAAAAAGTTATATTATGCTCCGTAGTCACTGTTCGAATCCTGTTCCTGGCTTCTATCCATATTCGGGAATCGCTTCCATTTTTCCAATGTTGATTTGCGCTCTGTGTTAAAAATTTCGACTGTAAAATCAGTGGCAGCTCACTCAGTTTGAAGTAAAATACCCCTTTCTATCAGTCAGTATCATTTAGACAGTGATTATAGCAGTAATTCCTCAACATAATTGGATTGAGGGAATTTTCTTCACGAGCGAGCATATCCAGCAGTGGGTAACTTCATAAAAACAATTGGCAGCTGAGAGTCGTTAAGGAGGAATCGCAGACAATTCCCCAGTGCATAATTGCGTTTATTGATTTTGCTTGTAGAATGAAACCTCTATACCATGTGTAAGTTGAAACTGAACAGTTTTTTTGTTGAGTTGATTGGTCAATCAACCTTCTCTTTAAGGTATGTCCTCTGCAAATCCCATATTCAATAAAATAATATTATCTGATTAAGTATAAAAGGCATGTATATATTAAGAGCAGAGGCTGGTTCTTGAAGGCCTTGCTTCAATGATTGAAGTCCCACTCATAGAGAAAAGTGAAACCAATTGTCGTTCATTATTTATAAAACGCGGGACTCCTTTTTTTAGAAAAGAACAACAGCCAACCAAACCCCACCACCCCGTTGTCCTAACGAATTTAGGAAGTTTATGAGGATCGGATCTCACCCGTAAATACCTACAGTTGCTACTGGCTGAATCAGAGATGGAGAACCACGGATTCTCAGTTTCCTAAAGTATACTCATCCACTTTTCCTATGAACCGTCTTGGATGCCTGACTTAGCTTTGAAATAGCATAGTACAGGATGCTAAAAGTTACTGCGAGGATTTGAATTGCCTAGTTTGTAAAGCCATTCCTCATGCAATATTCTTTCATCTTCCCTTTATAGTAACCTTTACAGCAATTTTTGGAAACAATGACAACTGAGCGGCGCTTCCAAAAAAGAGACAAAACTACAGAGAGAGATTGCGTTGACGAAAGCATTTAGAAATCCTGGAGTCTCGACTCAAACCAATATAAATTTTCATTTATTTCTACGAAATAGATACGCTATATAGACCTTTTCTTTTTCTCTTCTTCCTCTTTTAGAGCTTTTCTTTTTTTTTTCTTTTTTTTTTTTTTTTTTGCACCTCTTCTTCTATTGAACTATAACACATATTCATTATCTATTTTCTTGAAAAAAGAAAATGATAATTAAATACGTTTTTGCTACATTATCACTATGCCTAATCACATTATCCGAGGCATACTTTTATGTGCCCGATTTCATGGCTAACTTGCCTTTCAAAGGTGGCATGTCAGCAGCACAAAAAGATAAATCGCTCATCCTGTTTGGTGGCGAAAATGCAACAACAACTTACACGAATGACTTGTATCAATTGACACGAGTCGCAGATACTTTTACATGGCAAACACTCAGTCAACAAAACGCACCTCCGGGAAATGTTTACGGCCAAGCGATCATCACAAAGGATAATAAGAACATGTTCCTTATGGGCGGCATGACGAATACAACGAACAATCAAATTATACCACTACAATATTACCAATATTCTTTTGATTCGAGCTCTTGGTCACCTGCAATCACCAATGGCAACACTTCAATCGATCCTAAAGGCATTCCTCTCAATAGAAAATTATTTAGTGCGACTTACGACGGTTCAAGCAAAGTTTATATTTATGGTGGCGCATTGAATGAAACTGCCATTTTTTCAGACTTTTGGATGATGGATTTAAATACAAAAAAATTCACTCCGTTGCCTTCACCTAATATTCCACGATATGCACATACGGCTTCCTACCTTAGGTAAGAAGAGACCAGCGATGACTAACGTGGATTGGTCTTGAATTTTTTTAGGCTAAAATTGCTCTGTAATTGGCATCCTTTATTTGACGTCCGTGCACTATGGTTACACCGATAGTAATGGACAGCTTGTCATTATTGGTGGTGTAGCCCAAGTGAATCAAAGCGGGCAGATAGGAAACATCCTCGCGCCGATGAACCAAATCTATGTCTATGATACAAAATCAAATCAATGGGACCTTAAAGTGGCAAATGGTACTAATAAAGTACTTCCATCAACAAGAACCGCACATAATGCTATCGTCAGTAAGTTAAAAAGTCGGCTAGTGTAACTTTTGCTGGCAGAATCCACATCATATTGACTCTTCTGCATTATTTCTTCCCTTTTCCATAGCTGAAGATGATCGAATCATCATTTTTGGAGGTTAGTTTTTCACTTTTCGGTATTGACTACTATTTTTGGCAATGGCCCTTTTGACACAACAAATTTTTCATTATTACAACAGGTGATAACGGTGCTGCACAAAGAGGAAGAGCCTACCTTAACGCTGTAGGAATACTTGACACAAAGACTTGGACTTGGACGACTCCAGCGGTGAAAGGTATTCCACCCTCACGACGATCTTATGCATCTGCAGGTTTGATAGATAACAGATATCTCACAGTTGCTTTTGGTAAGTGAAGAAAGCCGAAATTATTCAGCTACTGGTCCTATCAAAAATACCCAGCCATGTGTTAAGTAAAACTTTTTTTTGGTCTTTAATTAAAAAAATTTAGGTTCTTCTTTAAATTCTTATTACAACGACGTCAATGTTTTTGACATTGAGAAAAAGGCCTGGCTTCAATCATTCGAACCTCAAGTGAGAGAACGCCATAGAAAATTATCTGGAGGAGTAATTGCAGGCATCGTTATTGCTTGTGTTGTACTTGCTGTCATTTTCATATTCTTGATTTGGAGATTCCAAGGCTTCTTTGGATGGCTTATCAAGCGTATTCATCGCGATATATGGCAACCTCGGTAAGAGCGTGTTCACTATGAATTTGTCAGTATCTATACTGACCTTTTTCCTTATTGTTTCCTCAGTACGGGTGAGCCTATGTGGGCAGAGACAGCACGTATTATCTTCCAGATTATTCTGTTGTTCATTTTTGCGGTCTTCCTTGCCTTCGTTATTCGCCAAGCTATTCATAGCCCGCATGTGACGCAGACGATTGAAGAAAGTGTTGCTGAAGTTCAAGTTCCCGGTAAGTGGGGTGCTGTTACTGGGTCCTATTACAAAAATAATTCATTTTATGACTAATCCCCTGATGATGTGCATTAGACGTTAGATTCTGTTTCGATGGTTATCCCGAGTATTCCACCCAGGATATGAGAAGTGTAGGTGTCACTTGCCAAACGGACAATGGCTATTCCTGCAGTAAATTCATCCAGCCTTTGAACATGTCAGTATTCCAGCCCACATTTGCCGATAATCTGGGCTCTGTCCATTGCTATTTATTCAGAGCGCCGAACGATTTTGTATTAACTTCTACTTCAGGCGCGAACAATGGATCGAGATTGATTTTCACTTTCTGGGGCGATCAGAGTATCAATTATGGTCGCGTTCACACTTCAGTATACCCCAAGACAATGGATCCCAATTCTGTTATTTACGGCATTAACGATGGTCTTCCCACGTTAATGGCCGAAAGTGAAGTTTTGAACTGGCAAGTGAATGAACGAAACGATATCCAAGCAACAAATGTATTTACGGTAGAGCCCTTCACCTACAGCGCTCTCGCTTACAATCTCATTGAGCATCGGTACTTACAGGAGGTATCATGGAATTACGTTGGTTTCTTGCCTATTTTCAATATCACTCCAGAAATTGAGACCTACTTCAGGCAAGAGGCAGAAAATCCAAACTATGCAAACACCCATCAAGATCTAGGCGTCATGGCTGTTTTCCCCAATCGTTTCATCACCACTGTTGAGAGAGAAGTTAAAATGTACACCTTAGTCAACGCCCTTGGCTTTGTAGGTGGTATTTTCGGTTTACTTGTCGCAGTTCAGACATGGCTTTTTGGATATCGTCCTCGCTCACCATGGGGCGTCATCCAAAGATGGTCTGTGGGTGACATGAAGCGTTCACTCCTCCGGGGTCTTCAATCAAAGTTCAAAATCAGTGAGTCTGGCGTGCCTCTCGTACATCCTGTCCACCATCGGTTCAGCGTGACCAACATAAATAACGCAAGCGAATATAACGAACCCGAAACACAAAGAATCAATCGTGTTGAGGAACGTATGCAAATGTTAGAAATGCTCTTCAAGGCGTACTATGTTGATGACGAAGTGTTTAGATCTTTAGACGACGCTAATAGAGCTGAGCATTACAACAATAACAACCAACGAGGAGGAAACTCGTATCCACCACCTAGCTTTAAGAACGATGTTGCTCCTAGGTCTGAAAAGATGACTGCTGAAGACACTTATTCAACAACCACAAGTGCTACTATTTTAAATCGTGCCGCTCCTCCTTCCTTTAGTAGATGTGATACAGGAGATAGTTCTGCATCTCATAACCCGCTCACCCAACATTATCAGCACGCCCCACCTTACCAACCTTCAACGAATTTTCAAATGAAGGACTTTTAATCTGGAGGAAGTCCAAATCTATCTATTAACATATAAAAATACAGTCATTTCAGAAAGTAAAGTCGCTGATTTTATCTTCAAGAATGATGTCGATTAATATAAAAATAAAGTCGTTCTATGTTCATTTTTCCTTGTCGCTTAGTAATTATCTAATGACATTCATGGTTGAAAAAAAAAAAAAGTGAGTTGAAAGGTCAGGTACAAAAGCCCAATTTCTGCTTCTATGGTACAAATACTTACGCTCAAAAACATACACGTCTGGCTATTATTGACTATGCTGGCCTTTCCGCATCTCCGAATGACAGGCGAAAATTTCTCAACACGTAACCCATATCAAAGAAATTGCCATTGACTATGGTAAATCAACTGAGATCTTAGCATACCCCATAAGAATATATAAGGGTTTTACAATGATCTCATCATTTATAATTTTTCAAAGTTTGAATCTTGTTACAAAAATATTCATCTGACCGCACTCCAGTTTCCCGGATAGCGAAAGTGAGACAATGAAGAAAGACGCTCTATTTTCTGAAATAGCTGTATGTACCTTTCAAAGCAACTTTCTATCTACAGAACGCTTTATATAACTTATATTCCAAGAGGAAGAATCTCTATGTTATAGTAACAAAATGCTAAATTTGAAAATTGAAAATCTTAGCATGTGTAAAACACTCTTTCTTGAATCAATCTTTTTATGGTCAAATAAGAATTCCATGCGGTAAAAAGTTCTATATGTAGTAGTGCTACGGTTCTCATTGAAGCAACACTTGCTCAACTCTAAAATCCGGTCGCACACAATAAGATTCATTGGATAACACATGCCCTGAACCCATTCAGAGTTTATAGTCAGAAATCCGGAATGAAGATTTAACCTTTTTACTTTTTTCGCGTTTTTCCCTTTAATCAAGCACGGCAAATCATGTGAAAAAAAGTATCTCTAGAAAAAGAAAGAAAAAAAACTTTTAATGAAAGATAAATTATGATAGAATGGAAAATTTGGTAAAACACCATCTAACGGATCGTTCTAAGAATACAAATACAGATAGAAAAGAAGATGCTAAAAGGAATTAAAAGAATATGAATGTGGAAGAGATGAGCTATTATAACGATATAGAAATGAAGCCAAGAAAAGCCGAATTTCAAGTAAAAATTCTACCACTTCCTACTTGATTGTGCATTCCAATGACAGTAAATTTCTTAGATTTTTTTACTCTTGGTCTTCATTTGATCCTTCTTACTAGCTGCAATTGCCTTCTTCTTATTATAAGTGATTCTATAAAAGTTGATGAATAAGAAGAGATAGGAAGTCAAGATAGCACAACCAAAAGCAGCAGCGCTTTCAGTTCCAGCACAGTCACCGAAATTGGGCAAGGATTTGGCGTATGTGAAGGCAAAGTAAGAATAGGTGCAACTGTAGATGACAACGAGATCAATAACGAATTGAATAATCTGCATGGTTGTAAGATATTGCTTCCACCAAATTCTAGCTCCAGAGGCAGTACGGAAGTAGTAATAATACATAAGCACGTGCACTGCCAAGTTGAGAGTGATAGGAACCCAGGACTATAGACAATCACCAAAGTACATGTAAATATACACACAGATACACATCAATATTTCCCTTTCTCTTCTTCTTCTCGTCACTCGTGTACTTACCACAGTAGTTCTGCCAACCAATTGAGTATAACATAAAGCCATCGTCATGCTGTGATGGAAATAGTGCAAGAATTCTAATATAAAACAAGCATTAATCATCAGATCTCCTCACTGAATCAAAGAAATGATGGATCTTTACCGAGCTTCTTCTTTTTGAGCACCAAAAATACAGTATCGATAAGTTCATACCACTTGACCAAGTAATTCAAATAGTACAGCAACTCTAATTCTTGTGTCCAAGCATCTTCAGAACAAATAGTATAGTACAAACCTTTGTTGATCAATTTAGGGGCAAGTTGTTCGACCAAGAGAGCCAAGAGAACAAAGGAGATGATCGTCAAGAAGGCATTATGAAGTTGGAAGAAGAACTTGCATTTGACAGGAGACGCGTTCTTGAGTAAGTATTGACCACCAAATATAACCACAAAGTAAGTAACACAACCAATAATCACTATATAATAGCAAAATTGAGCTTTTTTTTGCACAAATCAGGGCCCTATGAGGCATGAGTTCAATTTTTTACCTTCGTTCAGAGTGGAAAGAGGTGTGACTCCTTGAACAAAATGAAAGTCCTTGGCAGAATGACCCACGATCTTGCTAAAGACAAGGTCAAAATAATCAAACAGATAAATACCAAAAGGTCTTTCCACACTGAACTGCAGCTTGGACATATCTTTTTTTCCTTTTATACAAAAAAAACCAACGAAAAAGAAAAAAGGGGACAGGAATTTAAAAAAAAATTGTGATTTCTTTTATACGAAAGGAAAAAATTCAGCCGATTTTTTTTTTCCCTTTTCTTTGCCCGTGGAGGCGTTTTGAAGCTCCGAACATTTTAAGATTAAAACGATATTGCTTTGCTCTCCCTAAGAGAAGAACAAAAACAAAGGTGCAAGGGGTAATGGATAGAGGTACCGCGTTGACCTTCTGAATTGTTAATCTGCGTGTAGAGGCTAATGTAAGCGCGATCTTTGCTCTACTAAGTATCGCTGATCGGGTCTATTTCAGAACGTATCCCATTCGGTACTCTGTTGCGCTCACAATCGCCATGTTGAAGGACTCAATCTTCTTTTTTTTTTTCCGCAGTGATGTATGATGGCCATCAAGTTGTTTTCTATTATCCAAATGCTTCTTGTCATGCAGCGGATGGCAATCATGCCGAATAAGGGCATTGTCAAGATGAATACCACGGCGGTTTACGAATTGCACGTTCTTTTATCGAGCAGCTTCGGAACATTCCCTGATCATGACAGTCTGTTTCTTTCTGCAACACTAAATAAACAAATAAACTAACTGTCTATCAATTTTGAGGTAAATCAATCAGTACAACAAGGTTTTTTCTTTTTTTGTAACTGAGATCAAGAATCATTCAACATTAAAGTAAATCAAGCCCAGCTCCAGCGAAGGAATGCAAAATTGTCCCTTGTCTTTCTTTTTTTAATCTGGAGAAAAACCGGATTTTTGAGGCGTAACTCATCATTTTAACCCACCTCTCTTAATTATATATCTCTACTTCAACAAACATTACACAGCTCAAACATATACATTAGCATGCTACGCCAATCAAGAACAAAGCTTAACAGAATACTCTTGAACAAATATAAATATCCAGCTCCTATCGTGAACCTACATACCACACGAGTGACTTTGACTTCCGCTAGTAAGGATGCAGAGATCTTGCCATTCAGTAAATTAGCACAGGGCCTCAATGATTTGCGGTCTACCGTTTTACAAGCAACACCTTTTAAAAATGTAGCAAAACCAGCCTCAATACCTTTCACCGGAAAAGCAGAAAGCTGGGACCAAGCATTAAGTGAAGCACAAAGCCTAGTAGAAAAAGCAGAGGAGGAAAAGGAGGATGAACGTATCATCGATCCCGCAAAATTAGTAGGAGACAATTTGAAAGAGATTAAAGAAAACATCACAAAGCTGCTAGGGAGCACCCATCCTCATCTCAACAAAGTGGCGCGCCATTATTTCAGTGGGGAGGGCAAACATGTGAGACCATTGTTGATACTACTGATAGCTCAAGCAACCAGTGTGACAGACAAGAGGAGACCGACAGCACCTGCTAATTTCACAACAATAGATACACCCATTTCTACAGGCTTAAAAAACATTGTAACAAATGAAACATTCAACCACAAAATGCACTATACCCCTCACGTAACAGATCAGGGCTGTACTATTTTACCAACACAAAGACGGTTGGCTGAAATAACCGAAATGATTCATACAGCCTCATTGTTGCACGATGACGTGATTGATGCCTCTATGACTCGTAGAAGCCTTCCATCTGTGAATGCATCTTTCGGAAACAAAATGGCGATATTAGGTGGTGATTTCTTACTAGCGAGGGCTTCACTGGCTTTAGCGCGTCTTAGAAATGCGGAGTGTACCGAGTTGATGACCACTTGTGTAGCTAATTTGGTAGAAGGCGAATTTATGCAGCTGAAAAATGTAAAGAAAGGCACTGCTGGACGAAGTGAAAAATCAAACACATTTGAACATTATTTAGAGAAAAGTTATATGAAAACTGGGAGCCTTATCGCTCAAAGTTGTAAATCATCGGCTGTATTAGGAGGTTGCACAAAGGAAGTAGCGTCAATTGCATTTGATTTCGGTAGAAACTTGGGCCTTGCTTTTCAGGTATTACATCAGACAACAGAAAAAAAAATTTCGTGTATGCTCTCAAGTCTATGTGTTCATCGTCAGAGAACCTTCTTTTGTTAGTTAATCGACGATATGCTTGATTTTACAATTACTGCTGCGGAATTAGGTAAACCAGCAGCCGCTGATTTAAAGTTAGGGTTGGCCACAGCGCCCGTCTTGTTCGCTTGGGAGGAATACCCTGAACTGGAACCTATGATGAAAAGAAAATTTTCAAATAAGGGTGATGTTGAAAAGGTAATACAAAGGAAGCAACCCTTAAGAATTTAAATTTCCGTTTTTGCTGAACTGTTCTTACTATTTTAATAGGCCAGAGATCTCGTGTATCAGAGCGATGGACTAAAAAAAACTCTAGAACTGGCCACACATTATTGCAATCTAGCCAAAGAAGCGTTATATAAACTGCCTCCGTCAGATGCTAGGTCTGCCTTGGTACAAATTACAAACAAATTACTGACAAGAAGGTCATAAGAAAAAAACTTGCAGTCCCATATCGCTTATATAATACCCTCTAATAGAGTGAATAAAACAATGAATAAAATAGCCAAATCTCGAAGGGTCGTTTTTGGCTAGTGTATTTTTGCCCAGAAAAATTTGAATGAGGGGTTTATTTTTTTTTATTTTTTTTTTTTTTTTGATAATCTCGATCTCATCCTTCTTTTTTTCTTTTTTTTCCTTAACATTTTTTGTTAATCCTTTTCTTTCCGTTTTTCTTTATAAACATTTCTTTTTATCTGAAAGGAGACCTCTCTTATCGCCTTTCCGTTTACTTTCTACTACATCTTTTTTTTAATCCTTAGCTGATTTCCTCGGACTGCGCTATATCTCAGTCCGTCCTTGCACATCACGACTTCAGAAACAAGACTAGTCAATAGCTTATATAACCGAAGAGGCTTCCCTCCTTGGCTTTCCTGAGACCGGTTAACATATTCTCTTTCTTTCCCTTGAAAGCATCTTATTTGGTAGCTAAAAGCCGCTCCTCTTTTGTAACCCCCACCGCATCTTCAAAAAGCACTTACGACACCCTTTCTTTCACAATCAAAACTTGAAGGAAGGAAAGAGGTGTTAACCCTTCATTTGCATCTTAGAAACACACACACACACACACACACACACACACACTCACACAAGCCCATTTCAATCCACAACACTTTTAATATTACACAAGAACCTCTTTCACAATAGTCTTAAAAATGCACGTTGAACTTGAACCAGCCATTTTCCAACCTCCCACTATCGAAGATGTAGAAGTCCTTAAATCTTCTCCATTGCCTGATATGAAGGAGATACCTACTCACTCTGTCTCCACTATGATACAAGAAAAACTCCAAGACCTTACCAGTCAGAAATTGAATAGCGAGAATGATCATGATGAAAATGCCTTTTTCGTTGCTGATCTGGGAGAAGTTATACGTCAATTTGTACGTTGGAAGACATTGTTGCCTCGTATTGAACCTTTTTATGGTACGCATAGAAATGGGATAGTCAATGCAAAAGTGATCTTCGTTTGCTCACTATTTTTCTCTGATATTGGACTTTATTCTTCGCTATAGCTGTCAAATGCAACCCTGATCTCATGGTCGTAAAGTTATTAGCCTCATTAGGCTTAGGCTTCGATTGTGCTTCCAAGCAAGAAATTCAACAAGTTTTAGATGTGGGAGTCGACCCCACACGCATCATTTACGCAAACCCCTGTAAACAAACATCTTTCATTCGCTATGCTGCTCAACAAAATGTCAGTCGTATGACTTTCGATAATGCAGAAGAGCTCTACAAAATCAAGAGACTTTATCCTGATGCTGAACTTGTTTTAAGAATTTTAACAGATGATTCTATGTCATTATGCCAACTCGGTCTGAAATTTGGCGCACCATTGCACACTGTGCTTCCTTTATTGAAACTAGCACAAGAATTAAACCTGAACGTCATTGGCGTGAGGTAAATAACATCAACGTTAGAATCATTTGTGCATGCGTGAAGCTAAACATCATCCCCTTCCCCACCCTCCCAATATTTTATCTGCAGTTTTCATGTCGGAAGTGGTTGTCTTGACGAAAGTGCGTTCGCCGACGCTGTTATACGTGCTAGGAAGGTGTTTGATCAAGCTTCCGAAATGGGCTTTCACTTTACCCTCTTAGATGTCGGTGGGGGCTTTCCTGGCGCTGATGTAAAGGATGGCATTACCTTTGAGAAGGTGGCTGCTATTCTTGGCCCTTTGGTTGATCGTTGGTTTCCTTCCAGCGTTCGAGTGATTGCCGAACCGGGTCGTTATTTTGTCGCTTCTGCTTTTACCGTCTGTACCAACATCATAGGTAAAAGATCGTCCTTAAGTGAGCCCTCTACGGCTGAAAGCGATAAGCAACAGGTTATGTACTATGTTAATGATGGTATGTATGGATCTTTCAATTGCATCTTGTTTGACCATCAGGTGGTTCACCCCAAGGTTTTATTGAGAAGTAATGCATTTGTTATGGGTCAAGATCTGCCCGAATCGCTTTTCGAAAGTAGCGTATGGGGGCCTACTTGTGATTCTATTGACTGTTTGAATAAGTCTACTCTGTTGCCTTTACTTGAGCCAGGAGATTGGCTCTATTATGAAAATATGGGTGCGTACACTATTTGTGCTGCTTCCCAATTCAATGGATTTAAAAAGTCAGAAGTGTTTTATACGAATACTTTTTGTTAGGATTTGCTCTCTGAAGCATCCGATATCAGATTCGTGAAATAAACTTCATGCTTGTCTATTGCTTACTGTTCAGTTTACTTAACTTAAATCATTAGTTGGAGCGAAATGCGAGGCATAACACTTTTTATCTCTCTTTTTCTGAAGCCTTGCACGCATAGGGCTTCCTTCTTAGGCCAACACAACAGTGGTCTGCTTTTTTATCCAGCGTGAATTGAACAAAAGGCTGTTCTTGAGGACTTGCAAAGTTTGAACTGTAGGCTCGCAATCTCTTTTGTTTATTCTGCCTCTGAACAAAGTGTGTCAACTTTGTCTGCTGGTTCCTACTTTAAGGCTTACTCGGCGCTTACTTGCCGAGGCGCGGCAAATAATCAATTTAATCATTTACCTGTCAGTGTTCAATGGATATGAATGTCGAAAATGCCCCAAAAGGAGATATGATACAGTTTGGATGCTCAACAATTCACAACGGATTGCTTAGTACGGAGAATTGAAATAAAAATGAGCTCACTCCACTTCTCGAACTTTCGACTCCTTTTCGCTCTTCAGAGAAATAGCATTCTTTTCCTCCAACCATACTTGGTTTGTCATTTTTATTTGTACACTACTATACAATCAGCTCTTTCTCTCTTCCGTTTAAGCCGTTTCGTTATCTCATGATCATTTATTTGCTGGTTTTATGTAATTTTCTTGATATGCTTTGACAAATTTTTACTCTTTTCAACAATCAATAAATACTCCTTTTGTTGGAACTGCAGTAGTGATATGACACATGATGAGTATGAACTGCCTACAATGTATACGAGGCAACCAGTCACTGTGACCAATTCATTCGGTGAATCCGATTCTGAGGAAGATCTGAATACTCGAATTGATATGCGTGCTGCGAGTTCCTTTCCAAGAAGAGATGCTTTCCGCGATGTACACGAAGAGGATAATCGCATCGCTTGGTTGATGCTGGGTGCAGCATTTTTCATTCTAATAATGACACTTATACCCGTTGTATGTGATTTACCAAATATTACACCCATGTTTACAGGAGATGCACTGTGGCGACTATTCGATCCGCTCATTACACTACCTTTGAACTTGTTCATTATCACAAGAGCAGACGTGATGACAAACGGAAAATCTCGTTTCTGTAAGTTGTGCTTCCCCTGAATACAGCCATTGATTTTCTTATTACTCGTTTCACTGAAGAAAAAAGAAACGGTCCTGCATTTAGGTGGGCCACTGAGTGAAGCTAGTTTTGTATGGCTTCTTTGGTCATTCGGTGCAGCAATTTACGTACAATTTCATGGCATGCATACTGCTGCTGCCTTGTTTAAGGTATCGTATTGAAAAATCCACAATTTTTCTAATTCTCGCTCTACTATCACAGTGTATCTCACCTCGATTCTGTACAGCATCCTGTGAAAGACTTTAATGATGCCCATCCCGAACTCGTTGCACAATACCCTATCATGAACGATATCTATTTAAACATGCAAACATTATGGGAGCATTATACAGCTCATTATCTGTATGCAGCAGGAGCTATGATCATGAGTTGGGTACAGATATTTGCTTTTAGGAATCAAATCCACGGACCACTACCATTAGCTACAAAAATTGTATGGTGTATAGGTACTATCGTCTATGGTCTACTCTTGGCAGCGGTGGCGATTGAATTTCCAAAAGGATTAATTGTTGGTGTAGTGTATACTATTGTTCTCGCGGTTGCATGCACAAGCTTAATCCTATTGAAAAGGCAACGTTTACCTAGGGGCGGTTTATTTACAATGGGGAGACGTATGGTTATCCAATTTTATTTAGGCGCATGTATCATTGCCTTCGTTATCATCATCATTTGGATAGGGAAATTTGGGTTGTTAAATAGAAAGGCCGCTGGCATCGCTACCTAGTACATCTAGTTTATATACAGTAATACGCCCAAAGAAATCTGTGCTTTCTTCAAATACAATTTTTAATCGCTTCAATGGTATTGTTGGTTCAAATTCGAAAGATTGTTCTGCATGAGTATCTTGGGGATAAAAATCTTTAATTTCTACGCTATAATCGTTGGGTGATTCTGCTGTGCTCCCTAAAGCAACGCATTTTCTTCCGGCGAAGCCTCCTGCAAATTGAAGTATAATACTCTGCACTGATACGGGTGATGGAAAATCTAGCAATATATGCTGAGGCAAACCCTATTTTGTCATCATCGTTCAGCGAAAGGCGTCAGCCCTTTTATGTACTGTATGCATTGGAAGTAGAAAGAGCTTTCATTATACCTCTTGTGAATTCCAGCAGGTTTCGGAGCTACCATCGATCAAGTGCTGTTTACCGAAATTAGCGACATCTCGATTCCAAACTGAACTAACTCTAGTGTTTCAAATCGTGCAAACTACATGAGTTTCTACTATAACACTAAACTACACAGATATTTTATAGCGTACTTGATACGAGTATCCGCGTTGATTAGACTGGTTGCCATTATGGAGCTTTAGGAAGGGGAAGCAGTTTTCGTGAAAGATGAAGTCGAAGTAGTGCGAAAGTACGGCTAGGTGACTGTTACACTATGCTTTAAATTGAAGCCAAAAAAGCGGAGCCAAAAGAAGCATGATGTTTTTATCCCACAAAATGGTTCCCTTTTTTCTTCCAGTTTTCAGGTCGTATTCGCGTTCATCCAGATGTACTGGCTTAATGGAATCGCAAGCCAAATCACAGTTGACAATATATTGGAAAAAGAGCTCGAAAACAGTCAAAATGAAGAACAGAGCAATACGTTTCTATCATCATCAGATCTTGTAACAGTTCAGCCTTCCCAGCACGCATTTTTATATATTACCTGCACAAGAAATGCTATCTATTTATGGTCAGTGAAGGTATGCTTTACTCACTCGACTACATTCAAAAGGCGTCTGTGTTATTGGTAGCTTTTCTTAGCTTTACTGAGTTGTTTTGTTTTGTTTTTCGTTCGTGTTCAATCAAAAAAGCCTAATACAGTGCTTGCTTTTGTTGAGCGTTCAAAGAGTCACGTCAAAGAGTTTGGAGAGAACCTAAGAGTCATATGGAAACCAGATACGGCATCTGTTGTAGTTCAAGTAAGAATTCCACAAGTTTCAACCTTTTGTATAAATCATAATTTTAATAAGCCTTGCTTTATGAAAGACAACGAACAACTATTTATTACTGTATGCCATTCTTTCATACGATCAAACCTCGTTTGAATTCAGCTTTCCAAATTCTTACCATGCCTATGTCACTGGTCCAGGGGAAGGAAAAGGCGTAAAAACTATGCTGATCAAATTCAAAATAGCAATAAGAGTGGACGCTGGTATCGCATGGTAATAAGCTTTCATGCGCAAAGGGATACAATGCTTTCAATAGGATAGCCGCCTAACATGTATTTTAACAACTTATGCTATAGTGGTACCTCTACTGATGATTCTATTATCCTCTCCACGAAATCACCAGCGGCTATTCAATGCATCTCTTGGATGCCCCAGCATGTGAACACGACTCAAACTGCCTTGTTGAATAAATTGAATATTTTAGAAAATGAAGAAACGGGTATGTACACAAAAAAAAAAAGCAAAAAAGAGGAACAACAGTCGTTTCTTACACCATAGATGTAATGAAGGAACTGAAAAAGAATCCCCCCCCTCCATTAATGGATACAATTAGAATTTGTCACGCATATTGAATATGATAAATCAACGCACACTTCAGTTTGGTTATCCAATGAGGGCAAAGCATATTTTGTACAGAATAACAGTTCCTTATACAAGGAAAGACGCGGATCCACTGTGAGTAATGAATCAACGACGACGACGACAAATCCAGTATCATCAAACGTAAATGGAATACCAGTAGCGCCTTCATATATCAAAAAGGTACATTGGACGGGTGTCTGTTTTCATGGTAGCACTCAGAATGCAGTCAATAGTGGTTCTAAGATTGACCAAGATGGAAAGGCTACCACTGTATCGATCAATTACAGATTTTCGCTGATTGCAGTGGGTACTAGTCAAGGAACAGTTTATATATACAGTGTGGATGGGTTTTACAGTACACCCAAGCTATCTCATAAACTTCAGTTACCAACATGGTCAGCTCAGAACACAGATAACGATAAGGCATCTATTGAATCTCTGGAGTGGACATCGGATGGGTATGCCTTAGCTGTTGGATATAAAACAGATGGAATTGCATTATGGAGTGTGTATGGTAGTTTATTATGTACGTCAAAGGAATTAGACGATACCTTTACCGAAGCAAAGTAAGTTTTTTTTTCTTTGATATATCGACAAAAAGAAATTAAATGTTCGAGCGCTTTTCATAGATTAAAGGATACCTATATTAAAGGGTTACAGAATTTGGTAAGCTCAAATCGTAATAAATTTTCACAACAAACCTCCTTTGACAAAAATCTTCTTCTTCTGCAGTTTTGGGGACCAGGAAACCACCAACTCTTCATTTTAGCAAAGCCAGACAATACCGATGAACCACATTCTAAGCTCTTTGTAATACCTGTTGCAAAATCTGCACTTACCAGTTATCTTCATTCTGTACCGTATCGTATATTGCTTTTGATCATCAAAATTGGAATTCTGACTTTTATGTACTTTCTCTTCATTTGTAGGATAATGTAAGACGAGGCCTATTACAAATGGACGATCGCATATTGATATATAATAACAGTGGGGATTATCAAGAAAATGATACGACCATGGATCCAGCTGCAGTTGCATGGACGCATATACAATATCCTGCCCTTTACATTACTGACCACTGGCCTATACGGTACGCATCGATTAGTTCGGATGGTAAACATATTGCAGTAGCTGGTAGACGCGGATTTACCCATTATAACACTATTTTGGGACGCTGGAAATTATTCGGTAACCAGCATCAAGAAGAAAGCTTCATTGTCCGATCAGGCATGGTTTGGTATAACAATATATTGATAGTAGCGTGCGAGAATCTTTCACAAAAAGCATATGAAGTGAGTTAGTATAGATGAATATCTCCATTTACGGCTTGGAATGGTATTTTACTAATTGTAATCTTTATGCATCAAGATTCGTTTATACTCTTCTGACAGTAACTTGGACAATGCCCATATCCTTTACACCGAGCAATTGCCACATATGCCCTTTTATATGTCATTATGTGGGAACTTCTTATTGCTATACACGTCCGACAATACACTCCATATCTATCACATTATTATGCATTCGAGCAATGACCTTTACTACAAGCAAAGTAGATCGGTGAGACTTGACTTGATCAGAACGATAGATCTGAAAGGTTTTGTGGCTCGTGCGGTTAAACTACGAAGCATAAGTCTTTTCAATCCGACTTGTGGTGACCAATTAATGAGCGTAGCTGATGTTTTTTCAGCCAACCTGATCCTTCTTTATGAGGGTAAACTTATGCTGCTTTTTCCGAGAGTACTGGTAGATGACATTGACCACTTGACTTTCCAATTAAATACAATTGTAAATAACCATATGTTCTTTTCTTTTTTTTTTCAAATATAGAATGAAAAAGATCAAAGCCCAGACTTGAACTCGCAGAATCAATCACCTTATAATATACATGTTCTTCATCCAAACACTGACTTTTATTGGATTAGTAGGAAGGCTATTGACAATCTTGTCACATCCATATGGATTATGGCCGGGAATGGATTGAAGGTAATGCTCAGCTATTTTAGAGGTAAACAAAAAAAGGGTTACAAAAGAATAACTTAGTATCAAATGCAATCTAGATTTTTACAAACCTACTGCTTCCAGCTAACTATGACTATATTGCTGCAAATAATAATATGATGAACAGTGAGCCTTCAACACCAGGGCCTCTCATGTCGCCAACCTTGTCGAGAGAAAATGATAACAGCAAACCGTTTTCCTTGGGCCAGCTTAGTGGTAGTCAAGTCGATTCTAATATTTCATCAGAGGTATCAAGTGAAATAAGCACAAACTATAGATGGAGAACGCATGATCTAGAGAACTTGGCAGCAGAAACTATTCATATCGACCTTGACTTCTTTCCCTTATGTAAATTCAAAGACTGTTGTTTGCAGAACCTACTTTAATGGCAACACTAACCCTGTTTCTGTCCTAAATAGCTGTCATTTTAGAAAGGGGCATTATCGTCGGTATTGAACAAAGTATTTTTTATCGTGATTCCCTAGGATTTGCATTATTCAAAATGAGTCCAAAGGTATAAATCACTTCCTAAGGCAATTCGATATCTCTCTCTAATAGTCCTTTTTTTTGGCCTCCAGATGCATCTGTTTCTTCATCATATTCTACGATATCTTTTAGAACGCGATCTGAAAGAGGATGCCTTTACCTTTGCTTCCGCTTATGAGAAGTTTGTTTACTTTGGCCATGCATTAGAAATATTACTCCACAACGTATTAGAAGATGAAGCTGGAAAAGACTTGGGAGAAGGTAAATTCTGCTATTCTCTGATCGTATCAAATTGAAATTCATCTTTTTTTTTTTTGGCCGTCCAATTTAGCTGCTATATTACCATCAGTTATAAGATTTTTGGACCAGTTCCCACATGCTTTGGATGTGATTGTTAGTTGCGCTCGAAAGACAGAAGTTGCTTTATGGGACCATTTGTTCTCTGTAGTTGGCAAACCCCAAGACCTATTTGAGCTCTGTTTAAGAGATGCACGACTACGTACAGCGACTTCTTACTTGATCATCTTGCAAACGATGCAGCCTTCTAGCGTAGGAGGTAAAGATACCATGTTGCTTATACAAAAGGCCATAGATGAAGGAAATTACGATTTATGTAAGGAGCTGGTGAGATTCCTTAGTTCTATTGACAGTAAGTCTTGCTTCTGAACCAATCTGTTTCGAAAAAACATCGCAATTAACATGTTATCTTTGCAGCCACAGGAAAAATATTACAAGAAGCATTATTGACCATAAAATCACACATGAAAAACAGTATTTCTACAGAAATGGCACAACCGGTCTCAGCGCTACCAACTAATACAACGAGCACTCCTAATTGATAATAATATTAGATCACTCTGTAGGTGCGATTCTAATTGTTTCGGATAATATCAAAGATTTTCCCTCAATAGCTTATATTTAGAATTAATACTTAATATCTATATACCCTTCATCGTCATTTCATGAACAACAACCTTCTAAAGATTGTTGCTAAACTTTTGACGTTGGTCGAAAAGAAGACTTTCCTTTCGTTTAAGAATTAAAAATATACCATTCAACCATAAATGATTCTTACTTTATAGATCGTTTAACTATTAGCGTCACTTTTATTCTCTAAAAGTAGTTGATGGATTATATGTACGAACTTGATAGAAATCAACAAGGGAATAAACTATATTTTATATAATTAATATGAGAGGGACAAGAAGAAATAAACAATGAGCATGAGTGAGAGGAATGTAGGTGTAGAAAAAAAAAGAAATACAATTAAAGAATAAAGCAAAGGAAGTGTCTAATGGCTATAATAGAGCTTCTTTTTATAACTCTTCGTGCTGTTCTATGATCTTTTCAATGACATCGTTGAAACCACGAAGTCTACCACATTCATTCTTGAGATTTTCAGACTTGGCGGTGTTCCATTCATTATTGGCAATCATGAGACGGGCATAACGCAAGCAAGCTTCTTCTCTGTAGTAATCGTATAATTTCTTATTGTATGTACGCTATAATAAATAAGAAGGAGTCAGCCCAACACTGTTCCTATTTATCCCACTGAGCGTCTTATGTACTTACTTCCTTAGCACGTGTATCTTCGGGGTAATGGTGAGTTTGGTGAATTAAGAAATCACTTGGTAAGACCCAGTAATCAATGCCAGCCAAATAAATTTCATACAAACAGGCAGCCTTGTTAGCACCATAACCAACGAAACGTTCATCGCACCAAGGAGTGCCTTCTTTCTTGAAAATAACGTAGGGTTCGTACGAGTAATTATAATCGGTAACCTTATAAGGCTTGGTTGACTTATACCACTTTTCGTAATCAGTTGAACCATGACCACGCGTCCAACTTCTATGGAACATATCGAGTCTATCGGCCTTCACATCAACCAATAAGTCCTTTTTGTTGGTAGGGAATACATTCCAATCTTCACCATCAGCTTCGTTGATATATTCAAAAGCGGGAACGACAATAGCACCTTTACCAGCACGTAAAATGTTCATCAGTTCAGGCTCTTTCTTCAAAGATTCTCTGAAATCAGTGCATAGATAAAAGTCAACATCCAGCATCATGATAAAATCGGTGCGAGCAAAGAATTTGGCCACGTTACGCCACATATTGAATTGACGGTCAAATTTATCGACAACAAGATGGAGATCCACATAACGTCTCATATCTTCATTTTCGGCGAAAAGGTCGTGAAGGTCAGAGATGATTTGGTATTTATCTTCATCATCATTGACGTGAAGGGCAACAGAAATAGGCCCGCGGTAATGAGAGGCAAGTCGAGCAAGTACTTTAAATCTGTTATAGGTAACCAGGGTAGCCATTGTAATCTCCTCATGATCAAAATTTTCGGATGCTTTAAAGTAGTAAGGAATGACTTTCGATGGGCCCATTGCTTCTGAGAACGTCTTGCTCAGAACAAGGTCCTCTGGAGTGGAGGCAATAACTTCATCTATAATTTAAGGCAATTATTACAAAGTCAACGAATTGCTCTCTTTTAAACAGTACTAGGTGAAAAAATAACCAGAAAACCTCAGCTTTCAACAAAGCAGTTACTTACCAAGAGCGTTTGTCCAATTCACATATTGTTTACCATGATAATGTTGTTGTAACTCGGCGAATGTTGCTTTGGGCATAGTATCTTGAGACCGCTTGTTCAGGCCCAATAGGTATGAGGAGGTATACAGGATTGAACATACGAGGTAAAATACGATAAAGTAACTAACTGCTTTCGGTAGTGCCATTTCTAAATTATATTCGGGGTGTTGAAGTCTACTATACTTTTTCCTCTATTCTCTCAATTCTGACAATATTGAGCTGGAATTAACGTGAATGATAGTATGCAATGATATAGAAAAGAGTCACTGATTCGTAAAAAGCTTGTCGAAAAGAAGAGAGAAAAAGGGAAAGAGGTAAAGAAAAAATGAGTTGTGTGTTGATCTTTTTTTTTTTTTTTGTTTGTGTAAAACTTCCAACTATTTGGATTAACAAAAAAAAAAAAGGAAATCGGTGTTTGAATTTACGGAATTGTTTTATTTTTTGGGTCAACAATTTTAAATCAAAAACCCAACTGTTCTGTTAGTTTTAGAAAAAAAAAAGAAGTCTGATGCAAAGCAATATCGAGTAAGGGTTGCAGTCCTTAGCAGAGAGAATAACAATGTTTGAGCAATGATGAAACTAAAGACATAAACGTCAAAAGGTGTTATATTTGTCATACATGTCTTCAAGCGCCCTTCTTTGTATACAATGCATGCTAACCAATCCTTCTCTCAGATAATTATCTGTCTCACATTATATCTTTCATCAAATGAAATCAGAGAAGACTATATTGTAATTGGACCTCTCTCTTTTCTTTCGTTTGCTTATTAAGTGGAGCACAGTGGGAAGGTCAATCTAACGATATCTTTTTGAATATAATTCAAATGCCTTGCTTCAGTAACGTTTACTTAAGCTTTATTTGTACGCGTGAGTCGGGTATAAAGAGAATACATCTCTATTGTTTGGAACAACTCTTTCAAATACGTATCTGACAAAGGTTGGCAAATAAGTGTCGAATGTTGCTATGCATTTTCAGACAGTGTTTAGATGTATATGAACAATGGTTGGTTTTTTCTACGAACATTTGAACATTTGACGGAAAGCCCCTTATTTTTAAAACAATAAGCGCTGGTGCAAATGCAGACACTTTTTGATCAGTTTGTGGCGATAGTGGGGTGGGGGCGATTTTAAAAGCAGCAATTTTTTTTATTTTATTTTTTTGTTTCGAAAAAAGAATGTGGCAGTGCCACACGCTTTACTACTCAACATTGTGTCAAAGGCCGTGTTATATCGAGGTATTATGTCAATTCATACAGCGTGTAACAAATACAACACTTTGTACAGGTTCTTAAGATGCTCTGTCTTCTTTCCTCTTCATTTCTTTTTCAAAGTTGATGTTGATTCTTTTTTAGCCATTTTTCATTCTTTATAAGAAACATAGCCAAAGATTGCCCGTTTTCCATTGCTTTGTGGAGGAACCCTGCTATCGAGTCAATAAAACCGAGGGCAATTTCCACTTACTTCAATTCACACTCGACACAAATATCCAAAAAACCCCTACTCAATCTCAATAATCAGCTTCGCACGTTCATAGTACGGCAATGCTTCCAAGACTTGCAATCCATCGTTGGGAAAATTGGATATTGTTTGTTTTCTTTCCTGATTTGCAACACCCGATTGTCATGCTGATCTATCTGCAAATAATTGACGTCATTTTCATAGCCTCTAATAGTGCATCCCAAGAAGCCCAATTACTTATTGAACTTCATCTTGAAACTTACTCTTTTGCTGCCAAGTCAAGAAAGCATGAGGCCCCAGTATCTATCATAAAATATCAAAGGCTATTAACTGAAAATGAACAGTACAATAGTTTTAAGTTTTCATTCGCATTTGTTGCGCAAGGTATCACTTTATGAGATTGATTGACATACGTAGCAATTTCAGAGGAGCGTGGCTTGTTCAAATAATTCCATTATCAGCAATATTTCAGTAACAAATGTGACAATATACGAAGAGTATAGGCGTCCATTCATACAATTTAATTACTTGAAGACATATCTGAGAAAAAATGTCATTATAAACATAGCGCTTGTTACTTTTGCGGTTGTTGCTGGCTGTCGTACACTTGTGAATCTAGTCACAACAGCCATACATTATGAAAATAATGTGAACGATTGATCTGATATATTATATAGGTATACATGATAAGCTACCTACAGAGATAGCTTCTTGATGGTTTGATGGAAGGATTGAAGAGCACAAACCGGACAGTCTTCCCTTCGTCCCCTAAGCCTCATTGTCAGAAAATCGACTTGAAAATATCAACAGCCGGATATTCCGAAACAACCATTCTTATAAGCATAATCTGAGGCTTCTTCAACGAGCTTTTGAAATGTTTTACGTATACTGTCTAATATACTCTTGCATCGAAGTATGAAATGACCAACAATTGGAAAGCCGAGAATATGATTAGGACCCGATATTCAGCACGACACTTCCCCCGATAAAGTCATTGTATCAAATAAATGTGGCTAACTACAATAATAAAAGCGTCGTTTGAGGTTGAAGCTAGCCTTTTGACGATATAAAGACTATGCACAGCATCAAAATAGATTCCCACTTACAGCTTTCTTGGAGCAGCATATAATTAAGAAGTTCTAGCATCTTGCTGTTCATGGTTTGCTGCTTCTTTCACATTGAAGTAAGTTTCCTGCGAGTTTCAGATTATTTCAGATAATTGGGGATGAATATACAGAAAACTCTGTTCCTATCGTAATTTGTGGACCACCACTTCCAATTTTTAATCAATAATTCAAGGGCGGTTTGGAAAAAAAAAAAAAAAAAAAAAAAAAAAAAAAAAAAAAAAACCAGAATACATTGGAACGATATCTGGTGGCATACTCAAGTTATCAGCTTAAAGATTTCCCTTCATATGTTCTCTATATGCAATCTTCCTTGGCACATTAAATCAAGCTATTTTTCGCTTATAAAAGTTGGAGGAGAACGATCGCTAGCTCACGGTTGTCGTGCACTTTCATTGTACAGTAGTTGGTGTTCTTTAGTACGCAGACTTTCAAAGTGGACTCAATTCTTTGTAATTGTATTCTCCGATTATTCAAACAATGTGGGTACCCCTTTCGTAGAAAAAACAACAAAATAGACTAATTTGGCGATGGCATTGTACCGCGGCAAAAACGCTAAAATGCAGGCCCTCCTCTTGGATAGCAGGAAAAGCATAAAGCTATATGTTTATACGTCTGCGCCTCTAATAGAATATGAGGTTGTTATGTTCAAATAGTAGTCATGGTAGTCTACACAAACAGCAGCAGATCTCATTTTTCATTCCTTTCGCGGTGTTGCTATGAATAATCCTGAAAATTGCTTCTGCTTCTTTCCTCTTTGAGATTAATAGTACAATAGTGGTAGAAAGGTTTCATATGAAGAGGATAAGCAAACCAAGTATAATAAGAAAAGCACAAGGGGGTACATGATTTATCTATTGGGTTTCCACTGCTCTCAATTTTGCAACAAAAAATGTACAAATGTTGGTTTAGAAAAACGTGAATCTGTTACTTCTGCGTTACCCCCCACTAATTTTAGCTCACCAATAAAAGGCTGTAATTTTAGCACCATCATATGGAAAAGTAGGGAAAGCAAATAGCATAGATCAGATACGCACTATTCATGCAGAAAAGCTAGAATAGATTTTTGTTCTATTGTCGAACTGTTTGTTTTTCCTAAAACGGTTTCGTGAAATAAATGGAAATTTTGTGATTCCATAATTAAAATAATTAGAGAACCCTGCATCATACGAAAATGCAGGATGAGCTATTATTTCTTTAGGATGATGATCGATTGCTGCAGCAAGGTTTGGGTTAAGCTTAAACGCGGTGTGTGCAAATGTAACATGTTGTAAAAGGGTGGAATGGGGTAAAGGTGACGAAAGGCGGCTTACACAAACGTCAACTACAGCTCTATGGAGTCTATTATTGTCCGATCTATACTACTAAGAGTATTCAAGAAATAGTCTGTCTAGAAAAAAAAAAGGGGAACTTCTTCCGGCTGTCATCAAAGACATATAAATGAGAGGTTTTAAAATCACGCAAATACCGATCTATGTTGTTTCTTTCTCTCCCTTTGTTAAGTTGAGAAAATTTATAAAATGAAGTTACTCTCCACTTTTACTATCGCTCTCCTTATTAATGGTATCATTGCCGCTGATAAGTTTACAACTCGCAGTGTTGGTGCACCTAACACTGTAGATTATAGAGTCTACTTTGGTAACAAAAACATGAGCTTGATAGTAGTCATGTATAATTGAAGCACTACATTCTTAACCATCTTTAACGGCATGAAATTCATCAGAAAACAACGGTCAAGTCATCTCTCCGTTTCATGATATCCCCTTGTTTGCTAATGAAGAAAAGACTATATATAATATGGTAGTAGAGATACCTCGATGGACGAATGCCAAGAATGAAGTACAGTATATCGGATACCTTCAATTATCTTTCTTTTGTTTGCAAATTTGTAACTGCTGGGCATGTTCATCACTAATTCTCCTGCACATCGTAATAGATCAACAAGGAAACTTCGTTAAACCCAATTATGATGGACGTTAAGAACGGCAGACCGAGGTTTGTGACCAATATCTTCCCTCATAGAGGTTATATCTGGAATTATGGTGCTTTCCCTCAAGTAAAAACTATTTAGAGAACATTTGATTAACGGCAGTCTCTCATACTGAAAACTGACACATCAAACGCACACATATTGATAATTTAGACTTGGGAAGATCCTAATCATATATCAAAATGCACACAGAAGAAAGGTGACAATGATCCTATAGATGTTATTGAAATTGGCTCTAATGTAGCTACAGTGGGTGAAGTGAAGCAGGTCAAAATTGTCGGTATTGTTGGGCTTATTGACCAAGCTGAAACTGACTGGAAGGTCGTAGTTATTGATGTCGAAGATACCTACGCTGATAGAATCAATGGTAGGATATCTTTAACTTGACACTTCCCTTTTCAAGGGTAAAAAAAAAAAAAAAAGCTATTAATTGTGCCTTTTTTGTATAGACATCGACGATGTTGGCAAATATATGCCTTGCTATTTGGAAGCTACTAACAGCTTTTTCACAAATTACAAGCTTCCTGCTGGCGATAAAAAGAACAGCATAGCTTTCAAAGGAAAACCGCAGGGCAAGGTGAGAAAGTAGTAATGAAAATAACATCTGCCTTTGTCTTTCTAATTGATCTTCTTCAAATGATTTGCATTACCAGGATTTTGCAACTAAAATAGTATTAGAAACACATGAATATTGGAAGGCATTGGTTAATGGAACTACTAAAGCTGATAAGATTCAAAAGTAACTTTCATGCACTTGTGAACTTGATAATGTATGCCAGTTTCACTGATTTTTTTTTTTTTTACGATTTATGCATGCGTATTCTGCTTTTTCTTTTTTTCTATCATAGGATCAACTTGACTGTAAAAGATTCACCTTTCCTTACTGATCCCAACAACTATACCATCACAAGTGTTCCTGTGGACAATCCTCTTCCTCCTGCTCCGATTCCCAAAGAAATTGATCACTGGTACTTCCTTTCTGGTGACAAGATTACCAATCCCGTTAGAAAAGAAGCAAGAGATGTTTAAACTTTCTTTTTTCTCAATCATTCATGTACTATATATTTGTTGTTTTTTTTTGTTTCTTCGCAGCTTCGCCTTGCCACTTGTATAAATCCAATCAAAAGTGATGCTGTGGATCATAAAACTGAATAGAAATAAAGCATTCCCATCTATCTGTGGTACTTAATTTTCGAACATATCTGTTCTTAATGATTACTCGTTTCGAAACGTGAGACCATTATGCCTTCTCAAGGCACGCTCTAGCATTTGCGTAATTTTGCTCAATGGCACCATCACCTTTTCGCTTTGCTGTCATTTCAATGAAATATTCCCACTCCGAGTAGCCTTCCATCAGATTTATTAATCATGTTTTTTAATTGCAGTACCTTCTTTGTAAAGCAACATGGTCGTTATTGAGGAACTTGTTGAAGAGCAAAAATCTGACAAAGGTATTTGAAAGAGATTGAAAGTATTACTGCAGTTCAATAACTGATATACCTGTGGAATTCGACTGATTTCCAGTATCTGAAGAAGCAACGAAAGAAGTAAAAGATGCAACACCTCATGAACAAGAAGAAGACAAAGGTTTTTGCGATCAAGACGGCGATGTTTTTTTCGACAGTGCTGATTACCATCCAGACGAGTTGGAGGTAAAGAGATTTTTGATTGTTCAATTGGCCTCAACACAATGACCAACTCAAATCTAAATGTCTCTTTATTTTTAACTTGCAACAAATGACAACAATTGAACCAACAGAGACTAAAAGCAGAAGCGACAGAATATAAAGCCAAAGGAAACACTTTTTTCGGACAAGGAGACTATACCAATGCTATATCAGAGTATGAAAATGCGCTCATGATTTGTCCAGAATCTTTGAAAAAGGAACGGGCTGTTTTCTTTGGAAATATAGCAGCATGTCATATGAAGCAGAATAACTTCAAAGAGGCGAAAGAAATGTGTACACAAGCACTCACTTTGGACCCTAAATACATCAAAGCCCTCCTAAGACGAGCGCAAGCTAATGAAAAACTAGCAACCTCTACAGCATTATCTGAATCATTAGAAGATTACAAAAAGTTGAAGGGTTTGACTATAGACTCTTATACTCAAAAGGAATGCCGACGAGCAGAACGAGAATTACCTCCAAAGATCGAGGCTAAACGTGAACAAGAAAAAGAGGAGATGATGGGCAAATTGAAAGACTTGGGCAATTCTCTCTTGGGGAAATTCGGCCTCTCCACGGACAATTTTCAATTACAAAAGGATCCTAATAGTGGAGGTTATAGTGTTAACTTTGTAAAGAAATAAAAAAGAACAATTGTACATACAACGCATTTCTGCCCCCAGCATGATGATGAAACTCGCTGAAATGATATGGGTTTAATAGTTGTTGTTTTATTATGAATACAAAAATGGCAAGAATAAAAGTAAAGATTGTGTTCATATTTTTGTTACGAGAATATTATATAAGTATCGTTCCAGAGGAATACAAAAGCAAACAAAGTATATAGAGCGACTCTAATTAAGCGAAGCTTCTCTCACAGAGTAAAAAAATATTACATTATTGACGTCGTTCCTGGGGTTGTTGGTTCATACTTGCAAACATACCAGGTGGAGGAGGTGGCTGAGAAGGGAATGGCCCGCCCATGGGTCCAAACCTCATATCACCCATCGGTCCATGCATGGGTGGCCCCATCATCCCGGGTGGTGGCGGGGGCAGATGCCCTCCCATCATTCCCATGGAGGGAGGGTGCGGACCTGTCATAAATTGATGTGAAGGTGGAGGACCCTGTTGCTGGTGACCAAAAAGCTGCTGCTGCTGTTGCTGCTGCTGTGGATGGGCTTGTTGATGCTGAAACATAGGATGTGGTGGAGGTTGGCCCATGAAGATGCCATTATTATTGTTAAACATACCCATTTGCTCTCCCCGACCCAACTGTTGTTGCTGTTGCTGATTTTGCGCCTGTTGCTGCAGCTGCTGTTGTAATTGCATTTGCTTTTGTTCCATCATGAAGCGAGCATCCGATTGTCTCTGCTGTTGATTTGGATGTGGAGGAGGGAAAGGATGGGACATCTGTTGTTGCATTCTTTGCTGTTGCTCAAACGACATCATAGGAGGAGGAGGAGGCAGCGCCTGACCGCCAAGAATTTGAAGTAGTGTATCTTGTGGGCGACCGGCATCTGGACTGCCGTTATTATTGGGCATATCATTATTTACTACGCGAACTGACATGATGGCGGGGTCTTGGAAAGGTAAAGCTGAGCCTTTCGAGAATGAGAATGAGTATTACTAAAATGAACCTGACAAGAAATACAACGATTTAACCTCTCTGCTTACCTGTAGCTGGAGTCTGGCCTTCTTCTTTTGCAGGAGAAGACACTAACTCTTGTTGGTTGTTCTCCTTAGAAGTAGAGGCAGCTCTACGTAAAAATTCTCCAAAGAAATTCTGAGCCTCCCTACGCACATCCTTATTACGTTGTTGCTCATTGTTTATCAGGAAATGCTGCGGAACAGGTGACGGTTGTTGTTGTTGTTGTATGGGCGATTTCAGTAAGAGTTTTTCATGATAGGTAGAATGAGGTGAGTGAATTGAAGATAAAGGCTGAGACAACGGGCTAAAGGCTTGAATACTGCTATTATTATCGTTAATATTGGGTATTTTCTCATTTTCAAACATGATGTTCTGCTGTTGCAATTGCTCAATTCTCCTTTTCTCTTCAATGTTATTGAAACTGATATTAACATTTGGCAAAAGAGCTCTGAGATCATCTTGTGACTGAAGATGAGGCTGTTGCTCTTGAGAGTCACCGTTCAGATTTATAGCTCCTAAATTATTTCTCAGATCTTCTAATTGTTGCTGCTGCTGCAGTTGTGGCGATTGCTTTTGAGCTTGTAGTTGATGAGGTTGGTGCATTTGCTGCAAATGTGGTGGTAACCCAAAATGTGAAGGAAGGTTCATCAATTCAGGTGGAGGAGGGCGCATCATAGGATGATGAGGCGGTGCGAACATACCCGGATGATGAGGAGGTGGAGGAGGGTGGGGATGTTGCATAAAATTGTTGGGAAATCCGAACTGAGGAGGAGGAGGAGGTGGTGGTTGTCCAAAAGCTCCACCAGGCCCGGCAAACAAACCACTAGCTTCCAACATACGTTGAGAATGCTGAAGACGACGAGCAGCAACAACAGCAGGATCTTGGCCATTAAATGGATCAAAACTACTATTATTAGGACGGCCCAACCATTCCGGACGAGGCGGTAATGGACCGACTAGTCCAGGTGGAGGCATTGGGTGCATTTGTTGTTGCTGCAGCAGATGCTGGTTGTCCATATTTTGTTGCGGCAATATGCTGCTGTTTGCAAATTCATCCCTATGAGAAACATTTTCAAGGGCATTGTGCAAGATATCTTGTTGTACGTCTGGTGAATCCATGAGATCTAATGGCTGGTGTTTGGCTGCATCATTCATAATTTCATGCTCAACTAATGCGGATAATTTATCCATTGCAACCAAAGGAGACAGACTGGCCTGTTGCTGCTGATCATCAGCAACTGCCTCAGAATGGTCTTCTCGTACTCCTGCTTTACTTGCGTTTTCAAGAGACTGAGTTTGCTCTGTGCTATCCTCAAGAGCAGTCGCATCAAGGGCTTTTATGATAGTATTGTTAAGAGCATTCAGGTCTTCTATGTTCTCAATCTTGGTAGCAGTTTCTTGTTCATGAGCTTCCACTGCTTCACGTCCTTCTTCGCTGTTTTCCAAATTAGTACTTTTGTTAAGTTCTTTATCTGCCGCTTCCATCTCCTTAACTTGTCCCTTATTTTTCACCTCCAACATTTCAAGTTTAATTGACTCATCTGCAATATCTTCAGCATTTCCATTTCTTTCCTCAAGTTCCTCTGTTTCAGCAAGTGTAGACTCCGTCTTTGTCTCTTCGAGTTTGGAATCAGTAATTGATTCTGATCCTTTGCTGACTTCTTTCATGATAGGATTTTCTTCATTGGTATCCTGCGGAATTCCTTCATGCAATTTAGTGTTTGTAGTATTTTCTGATGTCTTATCATCTTCTTCCATATTGGATAAACCATTGTCTTCGATAGCATCCTTCTTTGTATCCGATTTTTTGTTCTTTTCAGCTTCGTTTAATTGGCTGCTATTCGTTTGAGCCGTATTTACTTGACGAAGGCTGGCTTTATCAGTATCGGCATTATTAATATTGGTTTGAGTTTTAGCAGATTCCTTAGCAAATTGCTGCTGCTGCTGCTGCTGCTGTTGTTGGTGTTGCTTGTTTTGAGCCTTCGCCATTTTAGCCTCTCGCTCAGCTTCTTCAAACTCTTCCAGACGGATCATTTTACCCTTTATCTTCTTTTCCTTCTTGACCTTCAAAGTAGGTGTATGCTTTGGTTTTTGAGGAGCATGAAGGGCATCCGATAAAGATGGGCCAAAATTGGCTGGTGTAATCACGTTTTCATGTTGCTGTAATTGATGTTGGGTTGAGGAAGAAGCCCAAGAAGCTGTAGCAGGAAGAGCAGGCTTATCATCATCAATTGGTGGTAATGGCATGGATGACATCTTTTTATTGCTAGTGTTGCTATGACTGGCATGTTGAAGACTGTTACTTTTGTCATTAAACGGCTTTTTGTGATGTGCAGTTATGGTTGTTGTAGAGGAAGAAGAACTGATTGTTGTGGTAGGTTTGACATGCTTAGTAGATGTGCTCTTCGAACCACCTACTTCTATGAAAGGAGGGGAAGCAGAAGGGTCGGACATACCGGATGAAACAGTTGCAGGCTCATCTTCTTTGTCTTCGTTGTCATTGGTAGCGCTGGTAGAAGGCACACTAACAATGGGTGAAATAGGTGTAACCTTTGGTATAGGCGCCCAAGCACGAGGTGTGGTAGATGGCTTATGTTCGTTGGAGGTAGAGCTTATAGAGGCGGTGGTAGAAGTTGTTGATACCTTCGATGCAGTTGCAGTACGCTTATGAGGATGAGCTATTGTATTATTCATTGCTGAAGCTGCCGTATGCGCGTGTTTTCTATATCTTTATTATTAGCATAATGCAGGTAAAAGAAATGGCTTGCGTTTGTTTTGGACTTACCCAATCGTTACAGTATCCTTGCTATAACTGTCAATGTCTTCCCCTGGCTCATGCAAATACATACAGTTCGGGTTTGGACATGGCATATTCCTTAAATAATAGGTACAGTACTTTGTAGTACCATATGAAGCCCTAATTGTTCGGCCATCAACCTCAATCCCGTTGATATTTTCGATTGCGCGACTGGCATCGTCCTTTCGTGCGTAAGTGACGTAAATACCCACAGTCGAACCGGAGTTTCCTATAGCGCGCTTACTGATAACAACTTTATCAATGCGGCCATATTTTCTGAAAAACTCATGCTATCCATAGCGTTTGCAAAAAGCGTCAGTCAGGTTGATGCCATCTCTTCGAATTTAAGTCAATGGTCATTATCCTTTTGAGGTTGTGAACGGTATTACTTTACCTCAGCATTTGCATACTTAGAGCTTAAACCAAGTACATAGACAAGGTTCTTCTGGACAACTCTGACATTTGATAACTGCCTTCTACTAGGGTCTCTCATTTCTCGTGCTTGTCGGTCTTTCTCCTTTTTTTCCTTCTTTAAACGCATAATCTCCTCGGCGCTGACAGGGATGAACTCGACGATTTGCTCACTATAAAGTCTTCGGCAAGCTGGACATCGCCCGTTCAAGTTAGTCTTAATATGATGCCAACAAAAACGACAGATCTATGATTCCACAAAAGAACAAACATAGGGGAGAAATTAATCATAAGCTTAGCCATGCAATAGATGAGGTACGTGGGGGATTATAGCTAGTCTTTGAAAAACTTGGTGAATAACAATACCTGATAACCACAAGGGCAAGGCCTGAAGTTACGATCGGCAATGTCCAATTCCTCCATACATAAAGGGCAATCGGTATCCTCCTCGTCAGATGACATGGTATGCTTCTAACTTTTCAATTCTAATAAAGTGAAAAACTAAATGGCTAAGGTTTACAAGTGGACGTTGTAGCTTAAGAAATAATACTTGGTTAGCAAATTGAAGCAAAAACCACTCAGTTGGAAGAGGAAAGAAGCCTACTTGAGTTATAGCTCTACACGAAAAGAAACAATGAAAAGGGGGAGTAAAAATAAGATAAAGCAGGAAAATGCAAACAAAAAAATTACTCTACCAGTGCGTTTAGGCTTTCCTTAATTTTGCACAGTGTTGTTAGACATCCGCTTTTGCTAAACTTAGTTCGAACAGTCACATGCGTTTAGGTGTACTGATGCGTAAGTGTGTGTCCTTTTTTCTGTTTGCTGTCGCACAAAATACTCTAAAAGTAAGTCTTCGTCACTTTGACATGCATGAATAAGTGTCAACTCTTGTTTTAATCTAGTTTGCCTTTAAGAAAAAGGTATCTAACAGTTGAAGCATATCTGTGAGCCTAAAGTGATTAAAATAGCAACTGAGGCTCATTCGATCACAATCGCTACAATGATATGTAAACTTGAACCAAGATAGTGACAAGAGTAACAACGAACATTTTTTATTCTCCTGCTAATCTAGAGATAAACGGTGTCTGGACCTCGCAGCTCTGAGATTAACTATCGAGCATGCTTTCAGCTACCAATTTGTGTGATAATGTAAACGAGAATAATATCATTAAGAAACTCTGGCAAATTGAAGAAAATCCATCAACTTATCTTCAAGCTATTTTACTATACATGACTTGGTTATCCTAGTATAGTATAAAAAGAAAAAAGGAACTTTACAAGTCCAAAGAATTTGATAACTCATTGAGGAAACTGCAATAATTAAAAATGCATGCTACAATGTCTACCCGTCGATTTCTTCATTCAATCACAACTCGTCATCTTTATCAGATTTTCCTTTTTTGAGAAATCAACAGGAAATAGTGGAAAACAGAATAACTTTATTCACTTTCCTCCAGTAAAGGGGATTCAAAGAATGCGCTTAACTATGTTAAAGGCATAGTAGCGGCTAAAGTACAACAAGACAAGCTAATTAATTATCCGCCAAATTTAAACTAAACTTCTGCAGGTTTCTATTTTTTTCTATTTTCCACCTACACCTCCATCGCGGAGCGCATTCGGAAGCAGCAGCAGCAGCAAAAGGGAAGTGAGCACCATCTTTAACAACTTCCTTTTCAGAGAGAGGCAGCAGCTTTGTCAGCTGCGCCTTCCTTCTTCTCATCGTTTTCTTCAGCATCACTTTCGTTAGCGTTTTCTTCATCACCATCCTTCTTCTTAGCTGGTGCAGGTTCACCACGAATGATACGATTGACTTCCTCAATGGAAGTATTGTAAGAGAAAACATTGGCTTGGTTGAAGGGATTTTCGGGTGATTTTTGGAAATCCTTATACATTATTTCCTTCAGTTGGCTCAAACGGAGACCAGGATACTCAGCTCTATAATTCTTGAGCTCTCTTTCTTCAAAGTCTTTCAATGCGGTCTTGAAACGACGTTCAGGATGCTTTTCAATATCATTTTCAGTGAGAACTTTGTCAACATTGTTGGTCTTTTTCTTATTGGAGGCAGCTTCTTCGGTCTCCTTCTTGTCAGCAGGAGCAGTTTCGGTAGACTTCTTCGCAGCAGAGGCAGGCTTATTAGGAGTATAAACGACCTTTTTAGTGTAATTGGGTTTAGAGGGCGCCTTAGGCTTATTAAGAGCCTTTTCTTCTTCTTCCTATCAATTCAATCAAATTTGTTGATAAAGATGGAATATTTGAAAAAAAAAACTAACCAAATGCTTGTCATACCAATTGCTTTTGAGCTTCTTGCTTTCTACGCAAAGCCTCGGCCTTCTTCTGAGCTTCCGATTCCTTCTTATCATTCTTCTTAGCACCCTTTGACCATTTGGCGTCTTCGGCAGCTTCGATCTCAGCCTTCTTCTTATTCTCCTTCTCAGCCTTACCGGCAGCCTTACGAGCGTTGGCAGCTTCAACCTTGGTGTTAACAGTCTTCTTCTTGGCCATTTTTAGTTCAGGATCTGATTAGTAATTTGTTCAGAGGTAAGAATGGAAGAGAAAAAAGATCTTATCAGATCCTTTAAAATTTTTTCTTTTGTAGCACTCGTTCGGAAGCGTGCTTTAAATTTTCCAGCACTACGAAGATGTGAAGAAGCTTTATGAGTCGATGCTGTATGTTATTTAAGCCGCCGCGAACAGAATCAGTAATAGTCTGTAAAATGTCACAGCTTTGATTGGGGACTTCGCTACATAATCTTCAGCAATAGCAGTCTCAGCATCGACGTTTTTGGATACAATGTCTCAATGCTGGGATTTGATTTTCTCTTCTACCTTGGTAGCAGACTTTTTTATCAAGGTTCTGACAAGCTTTTGAGAGGACTTGGTTCATTTTCTGTATTGACCGTGTGGGAAGGGTTGACTAAACGAATAATACAGAATAGGTAATTCATTTTTGAACGTGAGAAGCTACGATATATGCTTATCCATGTCAAGACCCTCAGTAGCTCTAACGTTTTATGGAAACCAGCTCCATATTTCTAAGGTTAATAACATATTTAATGTGGTCGATGTTTTACTGTAATATCGTGCGATATGCAATTTTTGAAAAGCATGCTCTAATAAAAAAAGCGCGTTGAATTGCATGAAGCTGTCTGAAGTTAAATATGTGTTTCATGTCGAAGCATCAATATAACTCTGACAAAATCACTTTTCCTGTTCTCTGTTTTGTTCAATATCTTCAGCATTGTAAGCTACTCCATCTTCAATCATGGAAGAACAATGGCCTTTGGAAACATATCAATTTCAGTCGGACGGATATAAGTTATCTAACAACATGTGTTACAATCCTGAAGGCTGGGTAATGAGTCGGTTGTTACTACGGAAGTTTTAGATCAAATTGTTCATTCATTCCTACTTTTTTTTATACGTAGGGACCCTATTCATCTATAAGACGTCCAGACTTTACGCCATGCTTTGAAGATGCGTAAGTGCCTTGCTAAGTAGTTTTCTCCAGAAAGAACCCATTATAAACAATTTTTCTTATCAACATTTGTGTCAACAGTGTAATCATGCTGTTACCGTCTTTATTTGTTGTAACTGCTGGATCAGTACGTCTATGGATTCTATCAAACAAATGCATCTTACCAAAACACTCTACCAGAAACTGGCTTTATTTTACGAAAATGGTAAGCTAAGATTGTCCTACCACTTGCCTTTTGCAGAAACTAAACCTTCATTCTGTTGTAAGACTACATTGTTCATATTATTATTGCTTCAAGCTACTAGTTTTATCTATTCTATAAACGAGGCGTCTTCAATCGTTGATAATGCGCAAATTCTTGCAGCCGGTTTGAACGTGCTTATATTTGTAAGAATATTTCAAGTTTGGTAAACAAGAACCAATGTTCACACAGTAACTGTCTTTTACTATAATATAGTTTTTTATTATTATTTTGCACCATTTGGAATATACTCGCAACAATATCTCCTCAGGAGTTCTCTTGTTTTACTGGCTTTTTGATATTATCGCTGGTTCAATCAAGCTTCGAACACTGATTATTAGTCATGGTGCTACTGGCACTCATGAGGATAATTTTGCGATGTATCTGATTCGTTATGCTTTGAGTGTCTCTATGTTTATTTTAGAAAACATACCCAAGCCAAAGTGTCAATATGTCATGCTTGAAGAGGCCGACGATGCTGTAAATTGCATAGTGACAAACATCAGTATTTTGGTGTAACACATGGAATAAACTAACATCTTGACTCGCCTTCAATAGATGGAGAGTTCTGAAGAAAAAAACAACATTTTCGGTAGATTGACATTCAGTTGGCTGACACCTCTTATGCGTTTGGGCTATAAGCGGATAATCACTGATGATGACTTATGGTAAGTAACTGATATTGAATATCTATAAAGAATGCAAAGCTTTTGACGGGTTCTACAGGAATTTGAGCCAAGAAAACCAAGCTCAAACAATGAATGCCAAATTTCAAAAAAATTGGCAAAACGAATTGAAAAAGGAAAGGTATGATGAGAACTGGGCATTTGCCGCTTTAGTTGATGGTCATACTAATCCTATAATATCTTTTATACAGACCATCTCTGTTTCGGGCTCTTGCTTTTACGCTAGGCCGTTACTTCATGATAGCAGCAGTAAGCACAGGAATTGACATAGTGTTAATAAGAGAGGGAACTGAAAATACATTTTTGGCCAGGCTTTCAAAATGTTTCAAGATATTCTACAATTCACTCAGCCTATGTTATTAAGCGCACTAATGGCATGGGTAGCCAGCCATCTTACAGATGACCCTCAACCAGCTTACAGGGGTATTATGATTGCACGTAAGAAGATACACAATCAGTCATTAAACTATAAAAGATATTACAGGAACTAAGAAAAAATATTACTTTTTGGCTAGTCGGTATGTTTGTAACAGCAGTCTCTCAAACTATGTTCTTGCACCAGTATTTTCAGACCATGCTCACTGCTGGTATGAAAATGCGTGCAGCATTAGTGACATCCATTTACCAGAAAACATTGCTTTTGAATAATACTAGCCGCCAACAATCAACCGTCGGTGAAGTGAGTGTTATAAAGCAAATTCAATATTTTCTCATAGTTATAATTCCAGCTCTTAATATGATATTCGTCGCTAGATTGTAAACAGAATGAGTGTTGATGCTCAACGATTAATGGATCTATGTTCTATGTTCCATATTTGTTGGAGCGGGCCGTTCCAAATAATGATTGCTCTTTATCTATTATATCGAACAATGGGCCCCAGTATCTGGGGTGGTGTTACTATTCTTCTCCTTGCTATTCCCTTGAATACACTCATTGCGAAGACCATGCGTCAATATCAAAAGTTCCAGATGGGTAACAAGGATGCAAGAGTAAAATTGATGGTGCGTATATTATAGTTTTTGAGCTGCGATAATTTTCCTTTTCCTAATCAGGTTCAACAATTTTTGTAGAACGAAATACTGAACGGCATCAAGGTCATCAAATTGTATGCTTGGGAGAGTCCTTTCATTGAAAAGGTACTATATGGATAAGAGGCTCATTTGCCCTTCCTTCTATTCACTCATTGTTTTTCTTTTTTATTTCCTTTCAAAAAGGTGAGTTTTATTCGTAATGATCTGGAACTCACAATGCTCAAAAAGATCGGTTTTTTGCAAGCTTTACAAAGTTTTACATGGACATCCATTCCATTCTTCGTTTCTATCGTCACCTTCGCTATTTATATTCTGGCGTCCGCCGTTTCTTTAACTAGCCAGGTCGCATTTGTTGCAATTTCACTTTTTGGTTTACTTCAATTTCCTATGGCTATTTTCCCTAATGTTATTACGTCGATGATAGAGGCTTCAGTCTCTTTAAAGCGAATCGAAAATTATCTGCTTAGTGAGGAGTTGGACACCACTGCTATCAAGAAGGAGAATTTCCGAGAAATGCCAAGTTGGAATTCAAGCGTCCCTCTTCTAGAAATTAAGAATGCGGACTTCAAATGGGATGCCCATGTGGACAAGATGGATCTTGTTGACATAAACTTTTCCCTTAAGAAAGGAACTATCACTGCTGTCGTGGGGAAGGTTGGTGCAGGAAAATCTACTTTGATTAGTGCCATCTTGGGGGACAATGTCAAAACTGCCGGTGAGGTAACTATTCGAGGCAGCGTTGCCTATGCTCCTCAACAACCTTGGATTATGAACGCAACTGTACGCGACAACATCACCTTTGGACTTCGCTACGAGCCTGTCTTTTATGATAAAGTTATTGAAGCTTGCGCCTTGAAGCCTGATTTGAGAATTCTGGCAAATGGTGATTTAACTGAAATCGGTGAACGTGGAATCAACTTGTCTGGTGGTCAGAAAGCGCGTATTTCTTTGGCTCGTGCTGTGTATTCAAGAGCCGATATTTATCTCTTCGATGATCCACTCAGTGCTGTAGATGCTCATGTTGGCAAGCATATATTTGAACGTGTATTGGGCCCTAACGGTTTATTGAAAAGCAAGTCAAGGTTCTTACGACGATCTTATGGCTGAGAAAGGAGAACTTTCGAAACTTATCACTGAGTTCGTTAGCCGATTTTCTAAAGAAGAACTAGGTGAGGTGGATGATGATGATATGACCCTATCAGAGGCAGATGATGCTAGTTTCGAACTACTGCAGGATGAAGTAGCTGCAAGCTTAGGTGCTTGTGAGGAAGAATCAGCCCTTAACAAAGACATGCTTCGTCAAAGTGCTAGTGATCGAAGAGTTAGTATGGCTAGTGCTCTGAGTCATACTACCCTTAGACGTGGTTCTATTGATTCTTCCATTTTCAAGGATCGTCGAGTCATAAGAAATGCTGGTAATCGTGTTGGCCAATTGATGACAACTGAAGAAAGCGTGCAAGGAAAGGTTTCTTGGAGTGTTTACAAACAATATGCGCAGGCTTGTTCTATAGGAGGTGTTCTGGCCATTTTAATGTTCCAGTTATTCTCTCAGGCTGCGCAAGTTAGCTCTAACGTATGGCTTAAGCACTGGAGTGCAAAAAATACCGAAGCCGATCACAATAACAGTGCATGGGTCTATCTTGCTGTTTATGCGTTGATAGGTTGGTCATCTACTATTTTTGCCTTCTTACAAACCCTTTCTATGTGGGTATTCTGTGCTATTCGTTCCGCTAAGTTTCTACATAGCAGTATGCTTGAATCTGTCATGAGATCTCCCATGTCATTCTTTGATACAACTCCTTTGGGTAGAATCTTGAACAGATTCAGTAAAGACGAGCACACTATTGATGAAATTTTACCTAGGAATTTTAATATGTATATTCGTGTTCTCTATCAAGTCATTGCAACAGTACTTATCATCACATTCTCAACGCTTATGGTTTTGCTCTTGATCATTCCTTTGCTATTTGTATATTTAGGAGTACAGCGTTACTATCTTGCTACTTCCCGTGCTTTAAAACGTTTGGATGCTGTAGGAAAAAGCCCCATCTATTCTCACTTTCAAGAAACTATTCAAGGTGTATCTACTATTCGTGCTTATGACCAGCAAAATGTGTTTATATTACAGAATCAAAACAAGCTTGACAACAATCAGCGTGCATACTTTCCTTCTATTACATGTAATCGTTGGCTGGCAGTTCGTCTGGAATTCTTAGGATCAATCATCATTCTCGGCTCATCCCTTTTTGCTGTTCTTGGTGTTCTTTATGGCTCGAAATCTTATATTGACCCTGGTCTAGTAGGTCTCAGTGTATCTTACGCTCTAAGCGTAACTCAAGCTCTTAATTGGGTAATCCATTCTTACTGTGATATTGAGACAATATTGTATCTGTTGAACGTGTCAAAGAGTACATTGATCTTCCGCGTGAAAAGTATGAATCATTACGTAGTGTCGACCCTGCATGGCCATCTCAGGGCAACATTAAATTCAAGCAATATTACACTCGATACAGAGAAGGTCTTGATTATTGTTTGAAAGATTTAACATTCCAAGTCTTACCTAAGGAAAAAATTGGTATTGTTGGACGAACCGGAGCTGGTAAAAGCTCACTCAGTTTGACTCTCTTCCGTATCCTTGAGGCTGCTAAGGGGAGAATTTGCATTGATGATGTCGATATTTCAAGTTTGCGGTTGTACGATTTACGCTCGAAGTTAAGTATTATTCCTCAAGATCCAGTTTTGTTCGCTGGTACTGTCAGAGAAAATCTGGATCCTTTTGGTGCCTATGAAGATGTTGAGATATGGCAAGCTTTGAGGGATTCTCATTTGTATGAACATGTTTCTGCTATGGACGGGCAATTAAATGGTGCTGTATTAGAAGGCGGTGATAACTTTTCAGTTGGTCAAAGACAGGTATAATATCTACGATTGGAAGAATTCATTGGTACGAAAGAAATGTGTTTCTAGCCTTTCTATTACAAATAGTTAATTTGTCTTGCACGAGCTTTACTACGACATACAAACGTTTTAATTTTGGATGAGGCAACAGCAGCTGTAAGTTTTTTACAAAAGAAAAACCAAATGAAACTTCATTTTTAGAATGTTAATGAACTGTTCTAATTGCAGATTGACGTTGAGACTGATGCTATTATTCAGGAAACAATCCGTATACAATTTGCAGACTGCACAGTTCTGACAATAGCTCACAGGATCAATACGGTGATGGACTCTGACAGGTAAATGCAGTATTGTTGATCTCCTGTCTTATTTTAATTTATTTATATATCACTTTTCTTTTTTTTTTTTTTCGTGGATAGAATTTTGGTATTAGATAACGGTACAGTTGGCGAATTTGATACACCAGCAAATCTAATTGCCAGACCAGAATCAATCCTTTACGGCCTAGCTAAAGAGGCTGGCTTGATTACATAAAAATTGCTTTTGGATTAATAGCAGCTCATTTTTAATATACAATTATACAAATATAAAATGATAAATAGATGATGAATGTAAAAGAAAAAGGGCCCTCACTCAGGGTGAAATAGAATTCTGTCAAGAAGTCTATAATTGAACATTGTCTCAAACTTATTCTTCCAATACAGTATACTGAACTTAGGCATGAGTCATGTTTTAAGCGTTCGATAGTGTCTTCATAAACACCGCATTAGCCTAATTTGCAAAGCTCTATATGAGGGATTGTTATATAAGAGTAATCATGCGAACAAATTTATTACCTCCGCAATCATATGGCGAGGCGATCAACCCCATGAAAATTATCAACAAGACTCCCATTGGCGGATGATAAAGTATGAATTTAACTTATAAACGAAAAGGCTAGTTAGATACGAAATCGTTTATCAGGCCACGTTATGGCCAGAAGTTTAAACGTTCTCAATATCTTTTATGAAATCAAAAATTATGAAATCAAAATAATAGTAAATGGGTAGACAATTGAATGTAACATTCCGGTTTAAGCGTATGCCCCACACCCCTGCTACGTTACGTCGGATAGAGATAAGCGGCTCCATTCAGAACAAAACTTCCTAAAACGTGGGGTGATGTCCGATTAGTAACATCTGTAGGAGTCGGGTGGTCCTTACCGTATAGCAGTAATTCTGTTCAAAGAGAACCGCAGATTAGCCACTATTCCGAATCATAACTTTCAGCTGCATAAAATAAGCACACAATGATTACCTTGGGTTTTGTTCGTTGGGGATTCGCAATTGGTTCCCTTCTCGAGTGTGCCTATAACGGGCATGTCATCTTCCGTTTGCGAGCAGAACATCCATCTGCATACTGAACATATTTACTATTTTAAGAACTGTCTATATAAGCTAAGAATAATTCTAATAATTCTAAATCGATAATGGGGATTTCGGATACACAAAAGGATGAAGCGTGAAATACCATGGATTACCACAATTCACTCAACAAATTTTTATAAGTGTGTTGTATTTAAGCTGGTTAGATGCTTGTTCTACGACATGTACAAAAAATAGAATGTATTTGAAAATAGATGTATATGTTTCTGATGTTTGCCCCTCAACAAAAATCAACTTAAGCCACATCAAGCTTTTCGATAATAAGTTTTGCAATTCCTTCCTTTTCTTTAAGATGGATTTTATGCCCTTATGAGAAGCTTCCATGTTTCTTTCGGGGTTGCATTGTTGTAAGAATGCTGAAAATAGATTTAATTTTACTAACATTGTTACTGGAAGAATCGTATGAAAGGGTCCAAACGCGGAACAAACCAAAAAATTGGAACTGCTGGGAGAGCGGTGTTTTCTTTGCTAACCATTTTCTATGACAATACGTACGGCTAGCGCACGGACGTGGAGTTCTGGTGGGTACAAAATTGTTTTACGTAGTAGAATTTGTTCAAAAAGTTAGAATCTTATAAATGTTATAAAGATGCGCGACGTCATAACGACCATGTACTCAGTTGTGCATTGATAATGTTAGTTTTACCCTGTGAATCATGCTTAGATGTGGTTAAGCGGTCTGTCAGTCGTGCTAAGGAATTGGAAATTTCCTTTGCCTAGTCTGGGTTACAGAATTGTCCGTGCGAGATCTAAAAAAAGATTTTGTTCTACTTCCTTTCCAAAACCTTGGCTTTCTGCCAATCAAGAAATACTAAACCTCATGCTGAAAAAGTGATGAAGTTGACGAGCTGAATGGAGACAAAAATAGGTAGCTTAACAACCAAGTTTGAATGAGTATCGTTCAAGAAGGGCTTGGCAGCTCGTTTTACCACTGGAAAAACGGCTCTGTACACACTGAACGGCAGGTTCGGCCGTGTACAGAACAGACACATTGCCAATTGTAGGAGTCAAAAGTGTAGAAACTACTTCAACAGTTATACATTACGATCCATGTTACACTTTTTTAAAACTTCTACGTAATGACGTGTTGCATAGAAAATACGATAACATAAACAGATACAATCAATACTTCTGCACGTCATAATCATCTAGTTTGCTTGTTTTTCTTTATGCCTATCTCTCCCAAAGACCTTAACATTGAGCGTAAATACCTTCGGCATACAAAGACTAACAATTCTCGCCTTGCATATATTGCACTAGATGCACTTTGTCAATTGGATTCTTACAATGTTATTTGCCTTTTTTGGAAAGATTTTAGACACCATTTAGCCGAAACTTCCACATGTCATGAGGGCATTTCTATTTTTGCATCTCCTTCGAATTTAGACAGCCGAAGCTGCATTTGGTTGCAAAGTAACAATTATACCGCCCTAACCCGCATTCTAAGGCGGCTCGAATAGTACGATTCTCCACTTTTTTCGCACGCATTCTGTAGCACTCTTTCATTTGCTTAGTTTTTGTTAGGCATACAGTTGATCTGAAGGTTATCTCTCATAGTCAGAGCAAACTATAGACTAATATTTATTTTACTTTGGCTGCAATGCTTTCCATTTTTTTCATTTACGTGGAATCGTATATAAACACACTAAACAGCTCTTTTACTGAAGACAAAAGGAGCTTGAACAAGTAAAAACAAAATATCTATAACAGGCAAACTATAAAAAAGTAACAAATACAATGCAAAGGAAGCAATGCGAGAACTGCACAAACGCGCGACAGGCACACTAACTTATGCCCAGCTGACTTCCAAAAAAACTGCTGAATATGTAAACAGGGGAACTGAAACCGACGTGTGTGCTTTTAACATACAGAACTTGAGATCAGGATATTCTTTAGTAGCTCTGAAAATTTGATATATAAACAGGCAGCTTCACGCCTATCCGATTTTTTATTTTTCCTCATCAAACAAATCATCTTCTTTAAAAAAACTTACTCCTCTCTCGCAACCTAACCGAGATCAACAACTTACACAAATACATTTTTTTCTTAGAGTAGTATATTAAACAAAAATGATTCGCGCTATCCTCCTCTACGCTTGTGTTGCTGCTTTCGTTGCCTTGTCCATGGCTGCTGCTATTCCTGCACCTGCTGCTAAAATTACTGTCGATGTTACCGCTTCTAACATGTTTATAAAGAAGACTGACGATAAGAAGACTGACAATAAGAAGGACGACAAGAAGGATGACAAGAAGGTTTCTAAAAAGAAAGACCTTCCCAGTGACATTTTCCCTGATTTTTCCAGCTGGGCTCCCAAGCACACTGATACCATCCACGATGCTCTTCATTTCATGGAAAAACAAAACCAGAAAGCTAAGAAGGACAAGAAGAAGAACAAGAAGAAGCACTAAATTAGTTTTCAGCCCCATCACCGCCAACAAATACTATCTTTGTATAGTAATATTTGCCTGCTTTTTCTCTGCTAACTAGTCTTGTACATATATTATAGTCTAATTTTTTTGTTATAGTTTTGCATTTTTGTTTCTTTCACTTATAATACCGCTAAATCCGATTATCATCATTACTCCATTCTCCTATATTCTATGTATATCCATTTATTTCAGCAATAAAACCTTCGTTATGATTCCTTGCATTTTACTTGTTAACTTTATTTTTGCTTTCAAATTCTATAACGTTCTTTTAGCATTCGTGGAATTAGCTATAGCGGGTTACAGGTGGTCGTTGCATACTCATTCAAACGTAATGTACCGTTCTCCATGCATATCGCTGATGATTATAATACGGTCGAAGTATTAAAGTAGTTTTACGCCGACAAGTTTTACGCCGACAGGTCTTACGCCGACAATTTTTTTTCTTTTTGTTTTATTTTGAAAAATATACAATGCGCATGTGAATACTCACCGTCGTATTCTCCTTCATAAGCGGAGAATTACCGATAAGCCTCCTAGTATAGCGTCCTCCTAAATGTTAACCGTTTGTATAAGTCAAAATTGGGCGTAGTGGTAATATGGCTTCCCATATTTTCAATGTCAATATGCCCAATTGAGTTGCTCAGGAAATCAAATATTAACCTTAACAACGAACTGGCCACAATTGTTTACACAAGTCATAGGCATTCTTCGTAAGGTATTGGTTTCGTCATACCGGATGTATTACTTTTCCGGATTACGTTGATCAGCAACACACATTCATCCTACTAAAAGTACAATCGATAAGTTAAAGCTGTTGAGAAAACCCAATCTTGGCTTCCTACTGAGGCCGACACCTTGGCGCGTAAATAAAGGATATGATTTTTCTCCAAGCTTACATTATTATCATCAAATCTGATGCTGGGTGACTGATATCTTTATCAAGAAATGTAATTGTCTGTCTCTCGCGCATGCCTATTCCGATACGTATCTTAGCACTTTTCGTTTAACTCTCAATTTCTTAATAAACATGATGACGATGATTTACTTGCTTGTTTATCATTTTGCCATTATCGCGGCGTGTAGTACACAGTTATTGAAATATTGCATCTGTGGATCCATTTGACGTGTTTTAATTCGAACTCGTCGATCGCGACATCTAAGACTTACTTAAACGTTGCCCTCTTTTGTACAGCCGTTTCCGTTACGTTTTCATGCAAAGAACATTCTTTCAAAATGCAAGTTTGTTTGTTTTTCTTTAATTCTCGCAAGGCTCTTGTAACCTTATGCATCACCATCTTTTCCACGTTAAGATTTTTGCGGTCGCAGTTGTTGTGCATCAGCGCCACCAAAGGAACCACTAGCTGTTCCTTTCGTTTGCATTCATTGCTGCTCCAAAAGCATTTATGTGAACTAACCTTTCGAAATAGTCCCATCATTATCATTTTAGATCTCCCCTTCCTCAGAGTTGGATAAGAGCGCATAGGCATGCGAAGTTTCTTTAGATTTATCGTCTGCTGTGAATTTCTTTGGCATGATAGTATATGTAAGTCGTTGAAGGTTTAAACAGTAATAGCTCTAGTTTAAAAATGAAGGATTATCAAAAGAACTGCCAAGAAGTTCTGTGGAAGCTAATCTTCTGTAACCTTGCGATATGTCGGTATTAGTAGCTTCGGGATGATCACTTGAAATAAAAATAATTTCATATACTACTTGGGGTTCGATGCCTGGGTAACTTTCAAGGTACGGCAACAGTTTCAAACATCAACAAAAAGAAAAAGCAACGTGTAACCAACTGTAGCAGGAAAATATATCATAATTGAGGTACATTAAAGTAGTTTGCTGGTTGACAATAAGTCCTTTCAATAATTACTACTTTTCCGCTTTAGACATGCGCAGATAATTGGGATCGATTTTTATTATTTCTTTTCTTCAAAGGGTTCAACTAACATTTTTGAGAATTCCTTGATATCTTCAACACCACGGACTTCCTTTGTTAATAAAGGCATACGAACAATATGGAAATCTTCATAAAGATCATAAATTTGGTCCAAATATTTTTGCTGCATCTTGTGACGAACAGTGCAATGTTCACAGTTAGAGCCTACATTTGTGCGTTATTTTGATTTGAGTTAATTACCCTACAACAAAATGAAAAAATGATTTGCACTTACCTTCTTTAGGGAATAATAATTGATTGACAACGATATTATGTGTGTCAATATGATAAGATGTCAATTCTTGAATCATACGTTCGGTTTCATATAAGGACAAGAATTCAGAAATACAAACGCAAACAAAAGTAGTGGTATCCTAAAATATGCCATTTTAATAACCGTCATCCATCGCACAGTAGTCTTCATTCTACTTACGGGATCCTTAAATTGATTATTCACTTCTGTAATAACTGCACGCATTTCTTCCAATTTGGCAAACATATCTTCTTGATTGGCGTTCATACCCATCATACCAGACACTTGTTGCACCATAGGTCCAAAACGGCTACTTAATCCGCTAATCTTAGCCAAAGCTTTTTCCAATACAGTAGGGAAGGATAAGAAACGCAGAGTATGACCAGTGGGAGCAGTATCAAAAACAACGACAGAATAGGACATAGTCTTGACTTGCTTCATCACTTCAGCAAAACCCATAGCTTCATCAACACCAGGGATGGCATAGGCTAAATCTTGCATCATACCACTCATAGGGTTGTTTTGATCAGCTATTCACGAATAGGCAAGTCAATTGTTGGTTAAATAATGTTGGATTATTGTACTCATTGAAGCCTATCTTTAACATTTTACTTACATTGTTCGACCATTTCTTGAATGCTGGAAGTAGGATCGATTTCCTAAGGTCGGTTTCCCCATAAAAAGGAAGGAAATATATGAGATTTCTTTTTTAATTATTCTTCTTCTACGTAGTTACACTGCATGGTTCTCAATCGTTACCATTGCATAGAGATTGTTGAAGCCATTGACAAGTGTTGCTTCTTTGGAAAACTTTTGGCCGAACGCGTCAGAGAGATTGTGAGCGGGATCGGTAGATATCAACAACACAGATTCACGAACTTTGGAGAGCTGAACAGCCAAAGAACAGGATGTAGTTGTTTTACCTGTTTGTTAAAAGTAGTATAATCACATAGAGATGAACGATGTTGAATATTTAGAGAAAGTTGCAATTCAATCAGCACTCCATCTTATTTTGAAAAAAGGTTCCCTGATCTGTTCGTGTACTTACCAACACCACCTTTACCACCAACAAAAATCCAATGAAGAGAATTTTGATCTAAAATGTTTTGAAGGGTAGGCTCAAGAGGAGCGAGATCATCATCAGACAAATCGGCCATTGTGTCGTTTTCACGTTTCTTTATTTTTGAATAGAAATGGAAAGAACAATCACCTCAAAAAAGTGCTTCTCAGTTAAGCTGTCTAATACAGTATTTTTTACTTCTATTTCAGACAATGTTGTTATTTTTATGGACGAACAAAAACATATTTTTAAATATTTAAATTAAATTATTTGGATGAAATAGAAAAATTAGACAAAAAATCCTCAAAGACGAATTGGAATTTGTGCTTGTGACCTGTAATGATCGGATAAACACTTCATGTAATCGAATACTGTCGTGAGCAGTACCTCCAATAGCTTGATTTAGTATGTGTAAATTATAACATATAAGTAAGAATATTATAGCCATTATGTTCAGCTATTTTAACAAATGTGCTTCGAACTTATGTTATTCGATATGATTACTGAGTTTATTTGACACACTCACTTCTTTCAACTGTTTTGGTATATTAACCGAAGAACAATCGAAAGGAGATACACATCCGTATCAGCAAAAAAACCTGAACCGTCACAAATTGGTGTTGTGGTATGTCTATAACAACTTTGATCTATTTTTGTTGTCTATTCTCTCTTTCCCTCATTTTACAAAGCCATGTTTAAATCGATTATTCTTGATAAAAAGCGTCAGGTTTTTGAAAACCGTAAAGCAGATGCTTTTGAAGGTAAAAAAAAAGTCAAATTATTATCAAACAACGAGTTTAGATTTACAGTATGTATCTCTAGATGCTATATGTGTTGACTGTAAAAAACAAGGTAACTTCACCAAAGACTATTTCAAATGTGATTTTTACAAAACATCCTCTGCTGATAGTTAGAATATTAAAAACCAAAATATTAAAAGAAATTAGACAAGTTATACACATTTGAATTTGTAGTTGGCTCTAGCTGAGGCAAAAAAAGAAGTCAGAGCTTTGATGTAAAGAAACAGAAAAAGAGAGCCAGGATAGAAGAATTTGCAGTAAATGTAGACATCCAGGCCATTCATCCGCACATTCCAAGGGGACTGAAGTTTTCAATCAGCATTTAGCTGACAATTACCAAGCCTTTACTAGAAGAATTCTGTTTGATAAGTGTGTTTTTGATGACAGAGATAGCCTTAAGGAAAAAATAATTGAAGACTCATCAACTGTCCGTTATTTGGTATTTAAAACAAGAATATTCATAAACCATTACGTTTTGGAAAACTCGGAATATGTTGCCCCAAAGTGTCTGTTCACGCATAACTTTTGGTATACAGTGTTTAAAATAACCAATGGGGCAAACTGTCAAAAGCACATGAGCACTTCCAAATGGGTTTATAGAAGCCTACAACAACTTTAAAACCAATTATCCGTCATTTACACGTTCCAAACCCTTGTACCAGGTACCAGCCAGTGCATTTCTGAAGCCTGTACGGAGATCGCTACTTCCTGCCTCAACAATGTTGCTGAAAATTTTGAACAAAGGCTTGTATATTTTTTGAAGTTCAAGTTGCAAATGATGTTTGTGGTACGTTGAGACTAGAGCGATGTATTATGCCTTCTAAGAACTCAATTAATCTGTACGTATTATAGTCAATGGACCCATCACTGGTCCATAATATTGTAATTCGTTTCTGTTATCAAGAGATTTGTTGTGGAGAGCCCCAATGGCCAAAAAGCAATTACCTCACTGACAACATCAAACTAACAATTACAAATTACTGCCAACCTTGGAAGAAACAATTTTTTTTTTTTTTTTTTTTTAGTTTTACAGAATGCAAGAAGAGTTTAGCGTAAGTTTGATTTCTAAAACTATGTACTCTCATATTTCTTGTATTAACTAAAATGATATAGTCATTACCTTCTTCATTGATTCGTGAAGTTGTGAACCTTTTTTGCTATCAAGAAATTGTTGGAGGAGAACCATCATGGCCAGCGAGCATTCACCTCACGGAAGAGGTAAAATCAAACATTATCGCCTTTTGTCAACCTTGGAAGCAAAGAATGGGGAAAAGGATAAACTTGACTACTCTTAGTGTAAACCCTGGTTGCTTTGTCCCCTTTTTATTTCTGATCAATGATGAGCTGGAGAAAGAACATGCTGCCCACAAATCCTACGATGTAAGAAGACTCCCTTTACCAAGATTATTTTCTGTGCTGCCAACTGCCTCTATACGATGGCGATTTGTCACTGTGAGCGTGAGCGCTCTCTCTTGTTTTACAAGGCAGAAGCTATCTCGTGGTTATCAAGATCAACTAGAGCTGTTTTATCGTATTTTTAGATTCCAGTCATTGCGTTATAGAAAGTAGGTGCAAAACATACAGCTGTATATACTCATTGTACTAATATTCGTTGTAATAATAGTCTCTCATCATTTATTCCAAATGGAAGCAACACAGTGCGTTTTGGCAACATAATGAGAACCGATGGCTTCTCAATAGACTTTCTATTCTACAAAAGACGACATGGTACCCTTGAATCTACATACAAAACTTTAGATTTATCTCTGGATGATTTCAGTAAATCTAAAGTCGAACAAACATACGTCCCTATATTTGTTGACTCTAATCGGAAAAGCGTTTTCAATGCTACTGTTGGTATTCAAGACTAGCGAATACAAAAATGTAGCATGAAGGAGTATTATCATTTGACAGGTCTACCAGCCTCTCTAAAAAATAGAAAGTAAAAAAAGAAGTGAAGGCATAAATCACGTTGAAAGCAATATCCTCTCCCAGGACCTCCAGTTTGTCAAAGCATCATGATTATGTCTCATACGTCATGTCAAATATCGATACTCTTTTGGAGTTCTACAGGTCAAGTAGCGCTAAAGATCGGTTTACGCTGTATCAAGGCAAGCAAAGGGCCATTCAGCTGATGATTAATATGTTGACGCACGGTACTTCAAAATATGATCGGTCAAGATGAAATCGTATAATAAGGGGAAAAAAAGGAGAAAGAAGCGGGAGAAGAATACTAGACAGAAGAAGGAGCATGATATTCTGACCAGAAAGTAAATCAATAGTTTATTTTTGATCTACAATCAAATATGGCTGATGACTCTTTTTATGTAGGACTAGGAAATGGAAGGAAAGTCCCTTCGAACAACCCATGGACAAGGCTCCGCTTGTTGTTTTTGGGGCTGGTATGTTTGGGGAGGATAATATGAAGCTCGAAGATTTAAGTGTGGTGTTGTTGGCAGATTCTTTAAAGCAGTGAAAAGACGTGAAGCTGAAGGTGGCTTGATTGTTTTAACAATCAACGAATATAACACCTCAAAACTCTGCAGCCTCTGTCACTCTACTTTGCGTACTGTCGATACTAAAGGCTTTAAGGGAACAGGTGTTTTGTCATGCAAAGAATGCCAAACTGTCTGGCAGCGGGACGTTAACGCATCTTTGAATATGATGACAATATCGTTGTCAATTTGGTCAAACAAAGGAAGACCAACAGAATTTCAGCCTTATAAAAAAAGATCACCGTAGCAAACACGGCTTCTCGCAAGAGATTTAAATCATTACAGGTAAAAAATCTAAACATAAATTACTATTCGTCTCCAAACTAACATGTTGTCTAATTTTGATTCTTAATTTATCCACAAAAGGTAAAATACATATCTAAAAAATAGTTTCTATTTGTTCAAAAAAAACTAACATCGTCCAAATTTGAAGTAGAAATACTGTAATCGGACCTGAAATTGATGTTCAAAAATCTGATTGGTCAGTTTATATCTCCTTTATGTGTGTTTCGTAAAATCATTGCATTAACAGAAACGATGCATTGTGATAACTAAGAATTGAACACCAAATGTGGTCCATATCATTTGTTTAGAGCCACAATATGTATCACTATAGGCTTCAATTAAGAATGCTTCAGCTATATTTTTCTGTTTTTTCCTTCTTATACTTTATTTCTCAAACTTTTCAAGACATATAATGACATATTCTCTACGCGTTTGACATACAAGCTACTCGATAAAATCCCTTATAATAGGTGAGGTATGTTGATTCGGCCGTGTAATGATAGGCAATTTTCAATGTGTTCGTCCCCGTGCTTGGATAAAAATAGAAAAAGCTCAAGGTGACTGCTCGCTCAACTTTAAATAATTCATAAAAAAAAAGGTTTTGCGAAACATGTCCAATGATTGCTCACTTTAATTCAACGTTAATAATGAACAAGGGGGCTTACCTCTGATATAGGAAGTTGTGTTGGTGGCTGATAATAACTTTGAGCATTTTCGATTTTGACACTCAAATGAAAGAAGAGAATAACCATCCTCTGGTTATACCTTTATCACAGTTTGAAAACTAAAAAATGGTTATTCAGCATGTCTCAAGATTGAAAATGTTAACAAACAGTTTAATTTAATTTGCTGGGCAACAAAATGGCTATTGTATTCTTTCCAAAATCTGAATTATCAAACTAATATTCAAGCAAACTGGTGCCATGGAAGTAGCTAATTATCTACAGCCTTTTCTAATGGAGATAAATTGAGATAATCCAGCTTGTTCTTGTCAATTCGTGATATGTGTACTTAGTATAAACAGGAAAGACTGCCTTTTTCGGCATTGCGTTTAATGAATTAAGAATATTCTCTTGGTCTATAAAAGAGTTCATTGTACACGTGTATATAAATACCTAGGATCTCTTTTTCGATTATATTGCAAATGTACGATAGCATACCAAAAAAGACTCCTTCTCCAAGTAGCGTTTACTGTATAAATGTAGGTTTAGAAGCAGAATCAAAAAAAGAAAAGAAAAACTAGCTAAGTTGAGCTACCTTGAGAAAATAACAATATGCTATTAGGAAGGTTCGAAGTTCAATATATTGGTGACAGGGTAACATGTCTATTATAAACGTCAACCGTCAGGCATGGACACGATGACTAAAGAAACGCGAGATTTGAGATTGAAATATGCCGGCACAAATGCAAGCTCAGCGTTTAACTTATACTTTACAGAGCAAGTGAGCAAAATGGACGCACAATTTTCTTTTTTTTTTTTTTTTTCTATTCCATCTTTTTTTTCTTTTTTTCTTGTAAGCTCACTGTATACACCTAAATTTATATATATTTCTTAGATACCTTCATATATATCTTCTTTACTAAATCTTTCTGTATATATAAGAAAAAAAAAGTATTTAACCTATATATATAAATTTAGCGATATCCCCTCTTCAACAGGAAGTTTCTTTTTTCTTTTTTTTCGATATTTCTATATATACCAAATCACGATAACAATAGAAGATCCAATATACGATTTCCATTTATATAAACATAACAACCCACAAAGACGCAAGACAGCACATAAATCAACATTTAGTATATTATGACTTGTGCTATCTCATTCTGCTATGGAAAAACAGAGAAATTACCAAAGCCATTGACTTGTCAATTACTCGTTGAAGGCACAAACCTTACTTTAACCGGACATTTTGAAAATGTCATGGCTACTAGAACAGAGATTCTACATTCATACCCTGTAAAAGTAAGTGCCGTTCATTTTACTCTATGTCATTCTGACAATATAGCGTATAGTCCTATACCGTAAAAAACATTATTAACAAAAAATTTTTCTGTAAAATGTTTTTTTTTTTTTTTGTATACAATCACTATAATAGACTCAATTCAACCTCAAGATCCCCAGTCAAGATTGTACCAAAATAAGAGTAGAGTGTAAAAAAATTGCGAAGGAAACAAATACAGTTATTACTGTAACAGAGACACTTCCTCCTTCACCTTTTGTTTCCCAAAATTCAATTCATATTCATATATCTGGTATACCCGGCAGTGCAGAACTCGCAAGAGTTCGTACCTTAGTCATGTTAGACGAACAGGTAAGGAAAAGAAAAGGCTATTACAGCATTTGCTTTGAATCAAATGAAACGAAAACCTTACACACAGTGCTGGTTTCAACAGTCTCAATTAGACGTAGATACAGTATCCATTCCTTACAGATTACATAATTTAATATGTGGACGAAAACGATCAGGCCTTCAATCAATATTGGAGGAAACAGCTACATCTATTTACTTTCCTTCGCCATTCATATTTGAAGCAAATGAGAACTATGCACCTCCTATTTACATCACAGGGGAGAAAAATGATGTTGGTAGAGTAAAGGATATGTTGACTAAGCTTGCGTCGCAAAAGGTAAAATTTTCTTGTTCTTTTTTCTTATTTTTTCTCGACTACAAGTTTGGGCGACTCATGTACTTACAAACTCCATATTTAGGCTCAGTCAATGTATCATAAGGATGCTATTTTGCATCCAAGAAAGTTAGATTGGATGTTATTACATCGTCGGAATGAGTTGCGAAAGATTATGAGAGATAATGGATCATTCATCGCTTTTCCAAGAATGGGCACTGGAAGTAATCTGATTACGGTTTATGCTGAAAGTAGAGTGAATGCTGAACGTACTCTTCGTTCTCTTCACTTCTTGGTAAGTTGTAGTTGAAGAAAACACAAATTGGTATTCCTTAAAGTCTAGTGTGTAACACCTACTTTCTTTTACAGGCTTGTAGCATTTATGAAGCTTTTTTCTACTTCAACCGCGACAGTGTCATTTATGGGGTCGATACCACCCATAACTTTTTCAGCTCCATAGCAAATATCACAGCTCTTGTGTCCCAGTTATCTCAAATTTCTGGTGCTGAAGTTTCTTATAAAAGCGAGACGGGTTGTATTGAAGTTTACGGTACTGAACGCTCTGTTCGTAATGTTTACCAGCGATTGCATGACATGTCCTTCTTGAAAGTGTTCCATCAAAGCACTATCTTCAATGTCGAACTATCGAACGATCAACGGGAGTTCATTAGTGGAAAAAAGAGCGGAAAAGTCAACAAAATCATGAAGACATCTGGTGCAAAAATCAAGTTTGTGCCTTTCAGCGAATACAATTTCATTATCGAAGTCGAGAGCAACAACTTCAACAAAGCATTGGACGGACTAACATTATTACACGAGGAGCTACCTGCAGAGATTTCATTTTTTGTACCTGAGATGTACCACAAACGCATCATTGGCGTAGGTGGTAAGAATATTCAGCGCATTATGAAGAAGTATGGCGTCTATGTCAAATTCTCGAATGCGGAAGAATTTGCGGCTTTAGGTGGCTATTATGATAATGAGGATAATGTCGTAGCACGCACACCGATGAAAAATCAAATCAATCTTGAAAATTTGAAACATGCCGTAATGGATTTAATCAACCCTAAAGACAGAGATTGTGTTGAGCAAGTATTGACTGATATACCCTTTTGGATGCATCGAACCCTCATTCGTGATCACGCCAGTTTCTTAAAAGACATGACCAAGAAGACAAATACACATTTGATCTGGCCCGATGATGAGCTAGCGAGCGATACACTGACTTTGGTTGGTCCTGAGTCTCAAGTAAACGTAGCGGCACAAATGATCAGATCGATTATACCTGAAGAATATGATATCCGTTTACCCTATACATCCAAACTTCAATCTATTTTTGAAAGCGATGCTTATAAGGATGTAGTACAGTGCATTTCTAACGACTACAATATTTCAATTGAGCCCAAGAATAAGGAACAACAACACGCTGATTATAAAGAAGGCAGTGACTTCTTTATTGCGTTCAAATTAACCAAAGGGAACCTTGAGCGCCTTAATATTGCTTTGGACATCTATATTCGGTTTATGAGAAATCAACAAATTAACATATATGATGATAATCCTATAGCACGTATCCCGCCAGTTGTTCCCCTTAATAATATGTGTATGTTTCCTGCGTTCGATAACAAATTCCTTACTTCTGCAATGCCTTCAGGTAAGATCAGAAACAGACCAGATACGGAACTCGATTGTTTATACGCTTTTGTTTGTCCATAGATTTGGTTTCGCCAACGCCATCCTCTTCTTCTTCATTGTTAAATGATTTTCCACCAGCTCTATCGACTTTGAGCAATGGTTTGAGAAGCTATTCGTTGTTTGATTATCCTAGTGCAGCCACCAGTCCTACAAATCCATTAGAGGTACCATGGAGTCGTTTTAGAGACATTAATTCACCCAGAACGGCTGACAATATTCGTGCCATTTTTGATTCATCGGATCTTAAGCAACCTCCTCCACCTCCTCCGTCCATGTCTTTTGTCTCGCCGTTGGCTTTCCGAACAGGCCCAAATTCAGGCCCAAATACTCTTGATATATGGTCAAACGCACCGCCACCACAAGCACCCATGAATGGCTTTGTAGGTAGTCCACCCTTATCTGGCTTCGACACCAAGAACCAGTCTCTCTTGTATGCGGCTGAACAGACTTCTGCTTTGAATGGCAACAACGGGCTTTATCACCACCATTCATCTCTAGGTCTTAACAAGCCACCTGCGGAGTACAGTAGCAGTACATATGTTGCACCCACTTCATCCACGTCGACCGGCAGTAACAACAGTTCAATGCACTCTAGCCAATCGTTGCCAGATGTCATGTTGGACTCTTCGCCCAAACAGCCTCTCAACTTACCATTTAAACTGAACGGTAATAACCCCGCTACATCTAGTGTCGTAAGCAGTCAGAATACTGCTTCTTCTTTAATGCATTCTTCAGTATCTTCAACAACATCGGCAGCAGCCCATGGTTTGAATAAAGTCTTGTCACCCACAGCAATGCATTTTGGGCTAACAGCATCTACATCAACGACCACTAGCCTACCAACTACTGCAGCAGCTATCACGAAACCAGCAAGTGTTATAGCTACCACAAGGTCTCCACCGCCACCTCTCACCAATGGAAAAGAAAGTAATAAATCTTTAGAGTTTCCTGCTTTGTTTTCCATGAACCATTCTTCAACTGATGAAACTGTCCGTAAGTATGACTTGACCAAAAAAGGTACATGTGTTTTTTCTTCATTTAGTAACTTCTTTGTCCTTTTTTTCTCCTCTGACTATAGTCGTTCAAAATCTGTTGAATAATATGTCAATGAGTCAATGATATGCTTAAAGACAACAAACTTATTCAATAGCTAAAAAAAAACTTTAACAAGGAATGGATGAAAGGCTCTTTCTTTTTTGTTTCTATCATTCCTTTTTACCCTTTTCTTTTATACTTACATATATATATATATAACTATATATACTATTATTTCATCTTTTCTAGACAGTTTATCTCTTGGAAATTTTTTTTATACATGAAGTCGATGTAATTTTGTGTGTGATCATCTTAAGTAATTCATACTTGCTCAATACCTTTTTTCTACACATTTTACATTATATAGTAGTACACCTTAGTTTTTAGTCAAATATATTTTTCTTGAACCAACAACAGTATTATATCATGCAGGAACGATAAAATGAAGTGTGGTTATAACTCGCGGTAGTTGGAGTAGGGGCTTCTCAGACGTCATGACGGAAGCTTTATTTTTAAGGATGATGTTTGAAAAAGCATTTGAACTTCTAGAGAGTTGAAAAGGACATTTTTTAAAGCCTTTTTGTCTTTACCACATTAGCAAAGGTGCATTTCTTTACTTTTTTACAACTTGGATGACGCGTCTAAAGGCAGCATGGATGAAGGTATTTCTACGTACAATCCGCTCAAGCAGAGTTGAGCATATGTCTTGCCTTGTCTATCGACCATCAAAGAGCTCAAGCCACCACCACCCAATGAATGTGTCAAGACGAAATTGAAAGCATGAGCACCTGGTAATTCAAAGCGTGTAACAGACCCTTTGCAAAGATGCTTCATATAATTGGCGACGACATTTGCGGTAATAGAGCGTTTGATATAGGGCAAGTATTTCGGATCGCGTGCAATAATGCCGATATTACAAACATCGCCCTTGTCGCCACTGCGTCCATAAGCAACATGGATCAATGGAGTCTTGACCATATCGTCCATGTTTGAGATGACGGCTTCAGGGATCGCCTCTACTGAAGCTGGATTACTGTAACTGGCTTCCGTATTCCAGGATGTCCATGGAGCGGTACGAACGTTGCTGGTGTCCTTTCCTACAATATATTGGGTTTTGACTTGGGATTTCGGTATCAACATAGGAAAATGAACCATGTTAGGGATGGATTTAGGTCGACCACCAGAGCCTCCGCCAGTAATTCCAGGCGCCATACAAGTAGCTGACTAAAGTCAAAGTGATAACCAGTGGCATGAGCAGTTGTACACTTGTTGGGTAAATGTACGGACATTTTTTTCTTTTTTGCAAACTTACAGGTATCAATTCTAGAGCTACCAGTCCTAATGCTTTAGGATCGTCATGATGTGCAGTCAGCCTTAACATAACTTCTCGAGAATCACCCGTTCTGGCATGCGGCCTTAATATAGTATTAGAAAAGTAAGGCATGTCGATTTAGTATTTTTTTTTTTTTTTTTTTTTCAAATACTCTACAATCTAGCCCTATGATTACCCAAAGAGAGATTCGCCACCAATAGCTTCTATATTATAGTCCCTAAAGTCAGGGATTCCCAGCTCTTTGTACATGCCTTGGACACGTCTGATAACAGCCTCACCGACTGCTTGAGCTTTTGCTTTTGCATCTACGCCACCAATTAATAATTCACCGGAAATCTTCCAGCCATCCAAAAAGATGCCTGAACACTTAAGATAAGGCGTAGGTTTTGATCCTTTCGCTCCTTCAACAAGAACGCGATTCTTACTGGTTTGAGTCAACTTGATCTGACGCATATCCAAAATCACATCAGGTAGCAAATAAAGAGCCGGATCAAGTGTTTCATACAAGATCTGCTCCGAGACAGTCCCGACAGAAACCAGCCCACCCGTCTTTTCTGGTTTGGTGACGACAAAAGTGCCTGATGAATCAAATTCAACAATAGGATAGCCCATGTTGGCGTAACCTCCAAAGGGTGATTGAGCAGCTAATTGCCAATCTGTGAAATTGCCACCGGTAGCATGACAACCGCATTCAATGATATGGCCCGCCAGAGAAGCTGAGGCCAGTAGGTCGTAGTAGTCTGGCGTCTTTTGCTCATGCCATCCATATTCGTAGATGAGAGGACCGGTCACCAAAGCTGAATCTACCACGCGTCCTGTGACGACAATTTGCGCACCTTCTTCCAAGGCGGAGACAATGCCTTGCGCGCCCAAATAAGCATTCAATGATAATAAAGGTTCATCTTTGTCAGGTAAGCGATCTGATTCTTGTGTATGATTGACTGCTGATAGAGGAGAAAAAGAGTGGATATCTGAAAAAGCACGTAATGTACGGTCGTCCTTCTGATTCAGGATATCGTCACCAAAGACAGCAGCTACTTTTACATTCTGTATATTCATCTTGATCAGCAAGTGTTCGATAGCTTCTTTACAACCAATAGGGTCTAATCCACCCGCATTAGTGATCACCTTGGTACCATTCTTAACAATGTCGGGCAAGATTTTTGATAGCACGAGGGTAAGAAATTCTGCAATATAATCTGTGCCTTTGTCCGATTGTTTTCCTGACAAGAGCCGACGTTGCCTACGAGCTGCCAAAATACCCATTGTGATTTCTAGGCATAGTAAAGGATAGAATGACCTTATCAGAACATTGAGCAGCTTTTTCCCTTTCCTACAAAAACTGCATGAAAGATCTAACAAAATAGATTTTTTTGCTTTCATTACCCGCCAAGTAATCAGCTACAAGATAATCAAGGTTTTTCCCTTCCTGCTTGACAAGCTGACGAGCTGCAGCAGTAGAATCACCCCAAAAGGCTGAGTAACAGCCAATGCGAACAGGACGTTGACGTTGATTTACTGACGAATTGACCGTTTTCATACTTGTTTATGAATCAAAAGAACCTTTATTTCTGAAAGATTTGAAAAAGCGAATAAATTCTACTGATTAAACTGATACCGCATTTGTTCCTTAATTTTTTTGTCTCTTTAAAAGTTAAATGAAAAAAAAAAAAAAAAAAAAAATTTGGGGTGTGTGTGAAAAAGATACGCTTTGGTTGAGAAGAGCACCTTTGAACTGTATATTCTGATTCAGTTCACTTCTCTTTTTGTCTATTTCCAATTATATCGGTCATATGTTCTTTTTTTGTCACTTTCCGAAGTAAACTGTAACCTGAAATTAACCAAAAGAAAAAAAAAAAAAAAAAAAAAAAAGTAGATAGGCGAGTTCTAAAGATGAAAAGGCAATTCATATTTTCTCAAAGGATAGCTAGTATTTCTTAAAGAGTGATTTCAATTGTCTCAAAGGACCAGTTTCTTTTCCTTGAACTTTGATATCTTGACGATATTGAGCGTTCATTGGCGTGTTTGATGAGAGAACAACTACAATACTGGAGTACGTACAACCAGATAGAGTATTATTCTATCACGGATTGCGCCAAAGAAGGTTATTTACAAATAGATGACAAGATATAAGTCTAAAGTACAAACAGTTACACATAAAGCATCTGTACCTGGAATAGGTAGCTAGTATACGCGTCGATAATATTCACGCAACTGCTACAAAGACTATTTCTGTTTATAAAAAAATAACGTATTTATAGATCCATTAACAAGCATACATATACAGATGCAAATAAGATAACTGTTGTCCTCCAATTGAACAAAAAAGAAATGGGTTAGCTATTACATTTTTTACGGTCAGTAAAAGATGGATAAAATGGAAGAGGGTAAACAGCACACAATTCTTTGCAGGATAAGAGGTGTTGTTCTTACAAGTTGCTTGATCACGAAACATGACTTTTACAGTGTGCCAAGAGGATGATAACAGAAGTATGGCAACAGCACCCACAGGAAACGCCATGAAGCTGTACACTGTATTGACCAATGGTGGCTGTCTGGAATAACTAGAGTTTTAGTGTTGTGAAGAACAATCCTCCTCTTAGATTCTTTTTCAGTAAGAAGGGATACTGATGGCATTTATGAGTATTTATTCTTTCAAGTGAGAACCAAAATGGTTATGGTGGTTTCGTCTTTATAGCAAAATTTCATTGGGGTATGCTCTCAAACGATTTCCTTCTGCTTGTTGTATGGCTAATGGTAGAGCATGCAAATGACTTGTTCATATATGTAATGAGGGATGATTACTCAAGCTGGTAAATTTATAACTGATAAGTCGATGACTATGAACTAAGGTGCGTCTTTATTACTCTCATTGAGTGCAATTGGGATTTTCTTTGATCTCTTTTAGTGGCTGCCCTTATTTTTTGAAACGCCGCACTTGGGTGTTTGAACGACTGTAAATTCTTTATTTAGAAAAACAAATTTCCTAAAGGGTTCAGATATGTTTCAAGTTAGCATAGTTAGAATGAATGAAGTTATTTAAAAAACCGAGACACTTCTATGCCTTTCTGGAAAACTATTCAAAGCCTCAATAACAGCCGAAAAACAAAAGTCAGATGCAAAGAAAAGGCTTTTCCGTCTCATTTTTACTGCAAGCTGTACGTACACAGTCAGTCAGTCATTCTGCCATTGGATTAGTAGTCTATTCGGCCAAAAAACATTCTTGAAACTTTTTTCAAGCAGAAATAATCTTGGTGCATAATAATACCAAGAAGTAAATAATTACCAAGAAGTAAATAATGTGATTCAACATAAATCGAGGGTAGTCCATTTTTTGCATGTGGCATAATTCTGCTTGCATGCGGAAAATAGAAAAAGAAAAAAAAAAAAAAAAAAAAAAGGTCGAGGCTGTGCTACTTTACCCACTGCATCACCACTGTTATCCAACGGGCTTAGTTGAAATTGCTGGTTCCACCAAGGCACTACTGGTACATTTTACTTGTCAAAACTCGTGTACCTTTCTTTTTATTTTTTTTTTTGTCCTGAAAAATAGAAAAAAAAATGGGCGCACTGACTCTGAACAAATAAAAAGTTGTTGAGGGCATGATTTACAGTTTGCATGAATTTTTTTCAGAAATGCTTTTTAACGATGGAATTGTTCCTAGTAGAGGACTTCCGTTGCTGAAAAACGAAATGAGTCGAATCAGATTTTATTTCTTTATTTTTATGTTACCACCCAAAAAACTTTGTTCGGTCATTTTTGGCTTATTCTACATTGTTAGTAATAAAATCGTCCTTTCCCTTTTCTTTTCTTTTTTACCTTCATTGTCCATCGAATACCTCCTCTATCTATATTCTATTATTAGTATACATCATGTTTACCGATCATACTCCAAAGAGCACCAAAATAGAGAACAATAACGATGATCATACGCGCTGGTTCTATATACAGCATAAAGCATCCAATAAAGTCATTGCTGTCAACAAAGAAGAGCAAGAACCATTACGATCTCAAGCCCTTGTTAGAGAAATTGAATACAATGACTACGAGTTGTGGACGTGGGATGAACATTACTTGAAAAATAAGAAAACAGGACTCGTGCTTGACATACGCAAAGGTAAAAAAGAGGAGATGATCACTGTATACTATGTGTATAGTTAGTAACGTCCAACTTTTCTTTTTTTATTTTTTTTTTTTTTTTTTTTTTTTTTGAAAAAAAAAGGCATATTACGGTTAATAGAAGACACGGATATTTGTTTATTTCACAAAAAGCCAATAGACAATGCACAAAATCAATTATGGGCTGTCAAACAAAAGCAAGAAAACGCATCTATCGAGTATCAGCATCCACTGGTTCGACCATCGTCAAACAACTCAATCTCTTCTGCTGGTGGTGGTGGTGGTGGTGGTGGTGGTAGTGGTGGCCTTATGATCCATCCTTTAGGCAATAGTGATTGGGTATTAGACGTAGACTCAGATGAAAGAAAGTTAATTTTATTCCCCTACGACTATAATCAAACTTTAAGACGACAGACTTGGGAATTTATACCTGAAAACGACATATCCGTCTTAGCCGCGACGACTTCTTTATTTCAAGAAGAAGCCATGATAGATGACCTATCATTATCAGCGGAAGAATATATCTATTCCACAGCAAGTCTTAGCAGTCGTGGTCGTCCTCAAAACATGCGCAACAGCAACAGTTCGGGTTCCATCTCTTCCATCTCGACCTGTGACTCATCCATTACGAGTAGCAATGGCTTTGCTCACGGTCTGACACCTGCTAAAAGGACCTCAAACACACCATTGCCCCTGCACATTACAAACAGGAAAAGAAGTATAGCGGGTGTTTTTTGATATACAGCCTTGACTAATACATTATTCATCCTATCGTAATTTTTGATACTAACAATGCTGAATCCAGAGCGATCTGGAACAATCTTCTACTGTATAATAATATCCCTTTAATTCCTAATATATACCTCTAAAGTATCACTTTCCATTGAAACCCATCCATCATTACCAAAATAAAACTCATTTATTACAAAAGCAATTCACTGGTATTAAGGGGGATTAAAAAAAAGCTTCTTCTATACAATGTTTAAATTCTCTTTCATCTCATCGTGTTCTCCGTGGTATGTTGAGACTTTTTTTTTTTGGGGACAAAGGGGAGACGTAATATAAGGGACACATGGGTTCGGGCTAATTTACTATCTTATTATGCTTGTTCTTCTTTAAACTTTTTCGACGCTTGTTGTAATAAAGATGGTTTTGGTGGCGCTGGCATAAGTTCAGCCTATGGAACCGAATTTTGTACAAAAATGAATGTTCACATTTCATCCACATCACTACTTGTATCCATATCAGAATAGACAAGACATGGTATCTATGTATGCATACCTTTACTAAAATGCTCTGCACTGTTTCTGAGGGTTGTGCTCCAACGGTCAACCAATATTTTGCTCTTTCAAAGTTCAAGTTAATCATCTTGTTGCCTGAAGAATCAGGAATGGGGTTGTATGTGCCAATCTTCTCCAAGGGTTTACTATTACGTGCTGTACGAGCATTTGCCACAACTATATGATAATAAGGTAAATTACGACGACCGTGGCGTGCAAGACGAATGCGAACAACCATAATGCTAAAATGTCTGAATGGTTCGCAAAAAAGAGGCTATTATTTTTTAAAAAAAGATAATTGGGTCCCCTTGCTTGTGTTCTCTTCTTTCCCCAGATTTGGCCATAAAGTCACAGCCACAGGGACTCTCAGCGTCGGGGGCAAAAGCACTCTGGTTGTAGTAAATGTAGATGATCACTCCATTGGTTAAACGGTGTGAAAAAGCACCTATTGTTTTTTGGGTTTTTTTTTTAAAAAAGTATCATTTTTTTTTATTCTAGGAAGAGAGGGGCAAAAAAAGCGTGGTATATTCTATCGAACGATTTGTCTCTATCGTTGACTGCATGTTTGTTGATGAAATGAAAGAAACAAAATGAAATAAATAGCAGAGATGTTTTAAAATTAGTAGCCAACACCAACCATAATACCATAACCAAGCGTAAAAATAAGCAATGTAACGACAATACTTGTAGGAACACCGATCAAGATAAAGTCTTTTGTTTTCAAATACGGTTTACCCGTTTGATCTTCCATCATGATGGCCGACATGTTGGGATAGCCTGACACAGGTAAACCCATGCCAGCAGAGCAAGCTAAACCAGCTCCCATCACCAACAAATTAGGATGGGGCACAGGCAGGTTTTGACCGACTTGCTGAACAATAGGAACAATAATAAGTGCTGCTACTGTATGCGATACAAAGGTAGAGAATACCAAAATGAGGAAAGCAAAAATAGCCAAAATGGCAATGGGTGGTAAAGTTTGGACGCCGTCTTTGATACGCAAGGCAATGTCTTGAAGAAGGCCAGAGGACGTCACAGCATTTCCAAGCGCCATACCTCCTTGTGCCAACACGACGACAGACCACAAAAAGGCATTCAGATCCTCTTTGTTTAATAAACCAGCACCAAAAAACACAAAGAGAGGGATGGCGGCAATGACACCTGTATCGCCCAAATGGCTCTCCAGAGCGGACTCTGCGCACCAAAGGGCAATGGTCGCCATCGTCACCAACATGACAAAGACTTGCGGTCCCGTGATCTTATCCCGGGTGGGCTTGATTTTATTGAGGTGGGGAACGGCACGATCGGGTTTGTACGCCAATAATAAAATGCCCCAGCAAACCACAACACTCAAGACGGAGATGGGCAAGGCGACACCGAACCAAATGCCCCACCCTGGATTGGGGTCCATGTATTGCAAAGCGACAATGTTCTGTGGAGAAGAAATTGGAGACGTCATACCACCAATACAACTGGCCAAAGCAATACCCAGTAAAAGACAGGGTGCCACAGGCGAGCCATCGGGTAAAGTACGTAATATGGGTTGGATGAGCGAGAAGCATAAAACAGGAGTAGCTACATTCGAAATCCACATGCATAAAAATAATGCAACCGACATGATAGCCAACAGGACCCAACGAGGACGAGTGCCAGCACGAGACAAGACATGAGAAGCAAATGCTTTAGCGATGCCGTATTTTGAAAGTGCGGCAGCGAGTGCAAACCCACCCAAGAGCATCATGATCGTGCCACTGAACATGGAGTGAAAGACGGTCGAGGCGGCGTTTTTGGCTGTCATCGCTGTACCGTCGGCGTTTTTCAGAATACCCAGAGGCACAATCAGGAAGGGTAGCATCAAAGAGGTGGCATACAACGGAATGGCTTCAGTAGCCCACATCACAGCTGCAAACATAAGTAAGGCAAAGCAGTAGTTTTCCTGACGGTTACCAAAAGTGTCTACGCAGAGGAGGATGACAAACAAGAGAATCGAGAAGAGAAAGGCAACGAGACTGTTGAGTGTCTCGCTGCGGATGCTGAGGGAGGTAAAGGGCACTTTGTAGGTATGGAGGCCCTTGCTGTCCTTCACATGCGCATCCAACGTCTTGCGCTCTTGGCCTATCATGTCTTTCCACACTGTATTACGGTCATACGTGATTTGATCATGCAAATGTGTCTTCATTTGACGTATAGCAAGTTCAACTTGCCCATGACAAAAGGCATCCGCATAGATGCGCTCCACGCGTTGAATTTGCGTTCGAAGCGTAGCTCTTGTTTCTGTCATGAAGGGTCTAGAACTAAGGACCATTTTTTTGAGGTATTGTGTTCTGAGATTGCCGTCCAGCACTTTATCATGCTTTTTCAGGATTTTATCGAATGCCATGCGGTTTAATTCGACATAAGAATCAAGCTCGGATAAGGAGACGTACAATGAAACGAGTTGACTGCGGAGATCTGCTAATTGTTCCACATAATCGATGTGGTGATGGGTATCTTTTGTAGATAACGTTGTTAACCGGGACTCGATGGACATTCTTCGGTCACTCGATTTATCCGATTTGTTATCAAAAATGTTGAGGGTATGATTGTTTGCATTGCTCACCTTGTTGCTCGGTAAATTGATGGTCGAGTCAAGATGCGTCAACGGCGTGTTGTATTCTGCATGTCTCGTGTGATGACGCTGTTGTTGTACTGGAATGTAATCCTCAATGGCAGCTACGAGCATGTCAAGCTGTGTATACAGTTCTGATTCTTTTTGTGAATAAAAGTCAAACACTTTATCAAGTTGCATATCTAGCTGCTTCAGGAATCGATCATCTTCCTTGGCCTGTGAAAGGTTTGAGATGTGCTTCTCGGGGTCGACTGTTTCATTTATTGCATCGACCTTTTCTTTCTCGAGTTGGAAAATAAGCTTCTTTAACTGGTCGTAACTGTTCATTTATGCACACAAGAAGAGGAACAAGATGAAAACGAAAGGGTTAACATCTCTCTAGATTGTCAAACAATTCCCAAAAAAAAAAAAAAGCTGCTGTGATATGCAGTATAATAATGAAGACTTACGCAACGTAATTATCGATCCATTCAGGAACCGCATTGAACCGTAATGAATGCGAGAATTTCATGTTTGAGGAAGTATTCGTAAGAGATTAGGCTGAGAAGTAGTTAAGTTCTAAGCCCTTTATAAGAAGCTGTAGACGATGTAGGTAAGCGAGAGATGAGGTAAGTCAAGAGAGTCAAAAGTGTTCCTTCAATAAAAAAGGGCAAAATTAGAATAGAAAAATAAAATAAAATAGAAAAGATGGAATTAAAGAATGAACTATTTATTAAAATGTCGAATATTTCAAACTTTATATCTTCTTCTGCAGCTCTGTCACTTTAAGCAGCTAATGGACGACCCACAATTACGGAGGCGCTTTTATGGCCGATATTCCAAATTAAAACAAACTGTAATGTCAAAGTGGAAAGGGGAAAGGCTTCTCAAAGTGTGACAGTGTAACGCCAGGTGGGTAAGTAACAGAGGCGTTGATTGGCTTCTGCAGTACCTCACGCGACACCACGTGTAGTACCAATTCCCTTTTACAAGTCGCTGGAACCAATAATAACATGAGTGTTCATTCAGTAACCAGGACTTTCCTTTCCCTTGTCTGATTGCATTTAAGTTATCTTTGTCTAGTTTAAAGCAGACCATTCAGCACGTCTTCTTTTTTACATCATCTATTGAAAAGTCGTCACTATGACTTTGCACCGAGGGATTTGAGCTTGAAGGAAATACAAGAAGTTCAACTGTGCTCGATAAGACAATCATCAGAGCCTCTTACCAATTCTTCGCTTTGTCACAGGGAACTTTTTTTAGTTAAGAAATGCAACGGAAGTTGAAGAAAGCCGCTGAGCTGTTAAGCCAACAGTAAGCTATCATTAACCAATCACCCTCCACACGTGTAGTTCTGATGCATAATCAATGGTTTTGCTTTTAAATGTTTGGAAACACAACATAGCAGTGTGTTACAAGATAGAAATCAAGCAAGGAAAATAAGGACAGTTTCTTTTTTGGGCCCTAAAGATAAATATGTGAAAGAGTAGATATAACCATATAACGCAACCGTTCGCAGGGCGTCCCTGAATTCCTCATAATTGGTTACAGCAAAGACGCAATAAGCTCTCAGACAGGCTTCTTGGACCAAAGTAAATTCTATTCTCTACCTTATCAATTGTCATGCGACTGCTTCTGCAGGAAGACTTACAGCTCGTCGTAAGTTTGCGAGCTGTTTCGCGCGTCTTACAAACTTTCCTTTTTTTACACTCATACCCTACCCTACAGCCTATAATCGTGTTGGGCCATAAGCCATCAAAGGGCTGGACAGTGAACAGAAACCGTTAGTATCTAAAAAAGGAAGAATTAAACTCAAAAGGTAAGTTTTTTTCCTACGAGATTTCAATCTAGCAGTTACAGTCATTTAGGAATTTTATTAATTTGAAGGAATGGTGCAGTTATAGGGGCCAGACAAAAGAATTTTAGCTTTGAAACAGCTATTCTTACGAAATACCTCGTTTTTTAAAGGTTTATTGTTATTACTAGATCTTCGATTGAGTTTTTTATTCAAAGGAAAGTATAATACTTCCAGATTCAAGACTTTCTACACTAGTAAACAATACGGTCGTCCTTATCGAAATTTGATCCAGAAGTCTGTTTATTATCATTCCTTTCAATAGTGTTGAAATTACGATTAAAAAGTTTCAAGATACTTTATCTCCTTTGGCTTATCCAGCACTAAAAAACTCTATATTGTTTGCTTTATTCAAATTAATTGCTCCTCCTGTAATAAGCAGTCATTTTTACAGATTTCCAACATTTATATATCCTAATGCCCTCATCCATATTTATTGTGCGTTCCATTCATTAGTAATGTTGGGTTCTAAGATCTATACCCGTTTCACAGCTCATTTTCTTGGTCTTTCAGCGTTATTGAGGCATACTACTTCATGTAGTTTTGGATCGCATAAACTTAGTGTGAATTTCTTTAAACAGATGTGATATACACAAGTTGATCTGTGAAATTTGCATCACATAGCTATACAGATATGATAGTCATTTTCAAGAGCTTTTTGGCCATTGTAACAATTTCGCTTAATTATACGTGTTTATGTTAGTAAAGATTTAAGCGCGTGCTCTGATAAGGCATAAAAGCAAAGTATAACGGTAAAAGAAACTGATATTAATTACATTTAAGTAAATCAATTTTTTATTGTCATTATTAACAAGATAAAATAAGTTAAAAGAAAGATTCAGCTATAATGAATAAAGCTTGTCGTTTTTTGACAAAGAATCATGAATGAGGATAAATAAAATATGGCATGTTTTGAAAATAGTATGACTGGGAGATTTTTGATAAAAGTTATGCAAGCAACCGTGTTTAATGGTGATGATGATCGTGGTGGTTTCTGTCGTGATGCCACCAGTTATGATGGGGAGGGGGTGGAGGAGGCAAATAATGAGGAGGACGGTGATGATATTTATTATGGCGCCAGTCGTGCTTATGGTGATGGTCATGATCTTTGTCGCGTCTAACCAATTCATTAACAGTGCTAGAAAGATCGATATTGGCAGTGGTACCATCCTCAGTAAGTGCAGGAGCAGCAAAGACACCGGCAAAAGCAGCAGCAGCGAGAACAGTGAGGAATAGCGAGGCACGCATTCTTAGCTTTAGACAAAGAAGTATCTGATTTATTGGTTCGAATTAGAGCACAGTTGAGAATAACCACCATCTATTTATATAAATTTGTCTGCCCAAACAAGAGAGAAAAAAAGGTCTTAACAGAAATAACTTTACCGCTTAGATTAAAAGCGTTTCCTAAATCATTTTGCGCTTTGATCATTATCTTGATGTTATTTTTAGTATCAATAGTGTTATGTCAATCTTCTGCATAGAATGAACACTCTGACTTATGGTTTTTCCTTTCCTCATCCTTCCAACAAAAAGCAGGCACGAATATAGTTGTCGGTTTTGGCTAAAAGAAAAAAGCTCAGCTTGATGATCCGCGGGTTCGTGAGCGTTTTACTACAGCGTTTTATAGAGGTTAAAAAAAATTTGGAGCTTTTTTTCTTTCAACAGACGTTGAGATCACTGTAAACATATATTCATGATGGAAGACATCCAAATTTCAGGTTTGCTGCGTCTACTTGGTAAGAAGCATTTCTCCAATACGAGATTGCCCTTGATATAATTTCAAAGGATGAAGATGTCTCAAATGCTATTAAAGGTTGTGCTTTCCCATAATTCAAACTGAAACCCGTTGCTTTATGGTACTGACAGTGCTAAAACGCGTCCTAATGGAAAATGTTTAGAATTTTCTTTGTTGTTACTGGAAAATGGCTACAACACTCATTCTTTCAGACAGCAGAAGGAAGAGAGTGTAGATTTAAGAATGATATTATTGTAGTGTACACACTTTTGACATTTCTTACTTTATTGTTTCCAGATCTCATGACAAACAGATGATCTACTTACTGTATTTTCAACCTATATCGACGTTGAACTTTTGCTTCGCCATTTGGACAAATTACACGTTACAAATACATATTATGATGGGGAAGGGCGGGACTATCATGCAGCGCATTTGTCAATATGAAACAAAAGAAAAACTCGTCGATCTTCTTATCGTTTCTGCTGTGGTTGTGAAAATACAGCGATACAGCTTGAAAAGATTAGGCATTTTACCATTTTTAGAAGATTTGGCACACGTAAAAGCTTCTGTCTAGAACCTGTTTAGTTACATAGTGGTTATGCTTTCTTAATAGCTATCCTTAGTCACCGCTTCGTTTAAGCTGAGCATTACATCAAAGAATTATTACAGAACAATTTTTACTTGAAACGCCCTTGAATCCGGGTAGCTCTAGGGTTGACCGGTCTTCGCTGAATTGAGCCCATAATCTCTATTCCAACGATTACCTACTTAATGCATACTTCTCAGTTATTAGTTGAGTAAAACATTTGAAAAAACGTAATTTGCCTGGACTACTAGTGTTTGAAATCTACTTTTGTTGTCCGTATTTCTGCTTAGTAATTTAATTATAACCTAAGGCACGTTGCCAACTATAAGAAAATGTTGCTTTGTTGGATAAACAACTTGAAGAATATATGACGTAATTACTGAATATGACAACAGCCCAAAACTTTTATGACTTTAAACCAGCTTAAAAGATATTGTAGTTACTCCACAGCTTCCAGAACGTTCACCAAGAGTGTGTACTTCTAATTCAGCAACGAAAAACAAGGTAACCTATGTGTTTTTCGACAAAACCATGAGGCTTGTATACGTTTAAATGAAGAAAATTGCGCTATCAATTCTCTGTAAATTGTGTTGTTTGTTCTATAGAACCTGACTTTCTAGGCCATAGCAGTACAACCATTAAAAACTGTAACATGACCAATTTCTTTTTTTTTTTCGCTTGTATTTGTTACCGCTGAATGTCGGTTACGATTTCGAAAAGGCAAAAGCCTTTCTCAAAATGCACGTTGGTATCAGAAGAAGATAAACTTGATTGGACGTCTAGGCCATCTTTTTTCGGCTGCAGATGAATGCTTCAATGATATTAAGGGTTTTGTAGACGACATTAAAGGATAAGAAGACGCGTAAATGTTAGTGATAGATATGTCAAAATGCCAATGGGCTCGATTCGACAGATAATGTTTAGGAAATTTTTGATGTAAGAATTAATCATTTCTATCAAAAAAGTAATTTATGTAGTTGAAGAGTATTCACATCCATCAAACGTCAAGTGGTTCTTACACTTTGCTTAATTTCAAATATAATATGACTTTCAGTAGATTATGGTAGTTTTGTCATCTCAGACAAGGTGTAATCGAGAAACACTTCTATTTTTAGCAATTGATATTAGATGATGATCTTTACAACGATAATAGTGCCATAATTTCAATACCTCGCATACGTTCAATTCTTTATTATAACCTGCTAGTGGATTTCAATTGTAACGTACTATGCTGCGTTGAGAAAGTTGAAAAACTTACCGAGCATTTGCGCATTTATTTTTGTAAGAGTTTCCATTAGCGCAGGTCCCTGTGTCCTTTTTTATAAACCTAACATTATAAAAAAGGTAACTATGACGCGTTTTGGTTAGATATGTTCCATGTATTTGATATTGTATCTTATTCAATTGTTTTCAGCATATTTCATAGTTTGAGTTATTCAGAATTGCTAGATCTCTCAACCAGATATCGGACAGATGAAATTGGAAAAACCTGTCTCGTACCAAGAATAATATAGTACATACACTTTTATTGTTGAGTGATATAGGCAGAACCAAGGGAAAAGACGTATTTGGAAAATAGTTACGTGTAAACAACTGACTTCTGACCTCATTCCCCAACATCTCGCAACATACCATGACACGGCATTCCTATCAAAACCTTTCGCTCTACTTTTATATTTATACCGCAACATTGCTTTTGAATGGTTGGGTAGTGGCATGAACACCATGATGAAAAGGCTCTCACCAAGTATTTTGATCTATACTAGACAACTTAAGCAGTAATCATTACAAAACTTAGCCAAAAAAAAAAGCATTTCTTTAGACTTTTGAAGATTTAGAATCAGTTTATTATAACAGTATAATTGGATATTGCCCTTCTACGAATACTTTAAAAGGCCTTATAATCATAGTGATTCAGGCAAAATATGTAAATATAAATAGAGGATGTTTGCTTTTTTATCTTAAAAAAACCAGCGGCAGTTATTCAATTTTTAAATAGTTTTCTCCTTCTGAATAAGGGTCCTTTTCCTTCTTAGTGATGATGCATAGTTGGTCTATGATGATGATGAGGAGGAGGAGGAGGGGGAGGTCCATGATGATGAGGGGATGGAGGAGGCCTGTGGTGAGGAGGAGGTGGAGGAGGTCTGTGGTGAGGAGGAGGTGGAGGAGGTTTGTGGTGAGGAGGAGGAGGTGGTGGATGATGTTTGTATGCAGCAGACAAGTTGATATTGGCAATCTCGGAGTTCTTTTCAGAAACAGGAGCGGTCGAAGCTGTAGCAAAAGCGGTTGCAGCGAGAGCAGCCAAAAGGACAGACACCTTCATTTTAATATATTAAAATAGATAAAGTTAGTCTAGTTGTCCTACAAAGATCAAAGGATTCAAAGCTTATTTATATTGTGGGAGGTTGTGTCATTCCACCTCTGAGTTGTAAGTGGGTGATCTCAAAGCTATAGGAGTTTTAACTGATCAAGTAAAACCACTACAAGGTAATCAGTCGCTCCCTTTATAAATAATGCGTATGCATTGATCCTTCACGTACTATATATCTTATTGAAAGCATAGTTTTAATAAAAATGACACTCTTCGAAAAGCCCCTGTTCCCTTACAAATAGAAAGAACATCTTCAAAAATTGTTCGGTTACTAGAAGTATCAGTGTTCAAAAAATGATTAAAACCCAGTACAACAATATTAAAGGTCGAGTTTTGCAGGTACGCACGGGCATTGGGGATCTTGATATGTCAAAGGATTTTTTTTTTTTACTTTTACCATTGAAGGTTTCAATTTACAAATAAAACTTTTCTAATGACACTCTGCACAACATTCTTCGTTGAGCTTCGTTTTTTGGATACTTCTGGTACTTGAAGGAGGGGAAGGGTGCTCTGCAACGACTGTTTCCTCTATACTCGAACAATGTGATTGATTTGTAAACATTTCACAGCTGTTTTATAGTTTCTAGCACACCTTTTTTTAAAAAAAAATAAAATCTGCGCGTCTCTTGAAAAGTTCGAATCATCTTTATGCTCTCAATAAATAGTCAACAGAAAGTAAATTCTATAAATAACCTGATACAATTGTCGATCAGCACTGTTGTCTCTTTCCAACATAAACGCCACCCTGGATTAGGATGAAACCTTGGGGGTACATTTCCGACTGCGAGTATTTTCCAAGACAGTAATTTGAAATGTAAACCAATCGCAGTAACAGTAATAGTTAGCTCGCCGCTTCGTACAGTTTTTCATATAGCTTACTTACAACGGCAGCTACAGTTTCAACAAAATCGAAGGGTCGATCAGTTAACAATATCTTCGTCCCAGTTGCCAAATTGTTTTCTACCATTCATTTAATGTTGACTCCATGTCGAATAGAATCAGGATCTATTTCGGTTCCATACTCGTGATACTTAGGATATGAAATGTATAACCGAAGATCACATATATGTAATAAGTTAGCTCGTGAGTCATGGCATTGAGTTCAAAAAATACTCTTTTGATAGTAATTCAGTTTATACTCCTCCCAATCAACTGTTGAATTATATTAAATGATACTCTGAAATATTGAAATACGAGAAAAGCACATGTCTTTTTAACTACTATATTCTCCTACTTGGAAACTGAAAATTTTCAACGTAGCAAAAGCAAGACATTAACAGATCCTTGATGCATGTACCTAATGGATCAACTTGTCCTAAAATAACTCGATTGAGCTGATAACAATTGATTTATCTTTCTTTCGATGCTGTGGAAAGGAAAATATGTTGGAGACTGAGCATCATGATAAAGAGGGATTGCTCTTGTTTCAAACAAAACGGCAATATTATATAGCAATTTTATGTGCTGAGCAGGGAAAATACAGAATATATACTACAAAAACTTGAAGGCTTTCTTCAATATTTATGTATCATGAAGAGGACACTGTCGTTGTTAAGAGTTTCCTTTACTCAAAGTGTTTCAGAAGCGAACTTGCGTCTTTCGAACTCTTACGGAACCGAGATAAAAGATTGAAATGTGACTATAGCCATCCTTTATGCCATCTTTGGCTAGTGAATAGGATTAATTAATAAAACTCCCCTTCTGTACTTATATCATTTGAGGCTATAAGCATTGTATGATTCGCGGTAAAGCCTAGCAGAAATAAAACGCGGAAAAAAGATGCTGAAATCGTAAAGTTCAGAAGGCTATCCGTACAAAGCCTGTTTTACAATGATGCATCGTACCATTCTATATACATTTGAAGAGGAAGCAAGCTATAATTCACGGATATCAACACCGTTGTACTCTTGTCCAACTGCGAAATAACTACTATTGGATTAGACGAAAGATCTTGAACCTTCTTCAGATTGTTCTATTGTCAATAACAATTGTTATTTCTGGCCATGAATGAGTAACCAGGAAAATGTAGATAACTTGGGTGGAGCTTATGATCAAATCGTAATGGATAGGTTATGGCCTTTTTATATTTTGCTTCGATGTTGCAGAGTACTAAAAACATGATAATCGAACTTACTATGTCTTAAGAAGAGCACTATTCTATGTCACTACTGTGCTTATATGCGCAAAGAAGAGTTCACAATTCCACTCTGCAATATGTGCAGCAACAACATCTCAAATTGATGCATCGCAGCAGACAACGTTATTCTCATATTTTAAAACGTTCTTATACAAAAGAAATATATTGCTCACATGGCGATCAACGAGAATAATTGAATACTATTGTTATATCTACTTTTTGAGCAAGACACTACCGCTCCGCTGCTTTGAATCTTGCTTTGGAAAAAGCTGTCGATTGTTGCTATCTTTACTGATCGTATAGGTGTATACTTCTCTTCTCCTTTGCTATTAATAATCACTTGATGTTTACCCTTTATCTTCTCTATGCTCCATTTTTTTCTCTTCTTCTTTCATTTCACTCTACTCAAAGTGTATTGATATTTTCGACATCATAACTTTGCTGCTGTTGCTGGCCATTAACCATAATAGGCTGTATTGTAACTTTCATTTATGTAGAGACCGCTTCGAGACATTGAGATGATTGGTTTTTTAAATTCTAAGGCATATTTCGACAATTTTAAATCATTGTAGCTCTATTGAACGCACACAGTGATTTTCCTTGCAAAACCAAGACACTATTCTTTTATGAAATTGTTGCCCCAAACATATCGAGGCCATTTTCCCTTTTTTTTTTAACTTTTTGTGTGGTTTTCCAAGTATGTTGATAACTTTATAGCTGTATTTTCCAGTACTATGAATGAATCCGACATGCTGCTGGTTTAAATGACCTATCTACATTATTTGCTTCGCCGCGGTAATGACGTAGGCGTAAGCACAATTAGCCAGGGCGGAAAATGGAACGGAAGACAATGAGCGGACTCACAAAAAGAAAGTATGGAGAAATAGTGAAAAAGTGGAGTAATCAAAGAAGCAATAGGCGACAGCAATTTCTTTCATTGAAATAAATTCAGCAATTCCCCTACTCTAATTTACCAAAATAAACGAAGAATAAAAACACACAATCATGTCGACAATTGGACGTACATTGAAAAATTTTATGAAGATCGGGCCCAAACAATATATGAAGCAATTAGACACCATTGGTGATACCAAATGGGGTAGGCTTGTGGGCATTGACGCCAACGGCAATAGATTCTTTGAAAACAATGACGAAGTTTCCGGTAAAACCTTTTCAGCACTTTAAATAACACTACAATAGCTCAACACTCAACATAATATATTTTCAATATGTATATAGGCCGTGAGCGTTGGGTAGAATATGCCAGTAATCAACCTGATCCAGAGGACATCGCACCTGAATGGTAAATAACCAAAAGTGAACGATTTCACATAAACAGAAGCAGGTACTGATTGTTAAATACCATCACATGTTTGTATGAATTATGCATTTAATAGGTACATGTGGTTGAGTCGTATTGCTCAAGAACCCCCTACAGAATGGAAAATGGAGCCCAAGAAGTGGTGGGGTGAACCTACTCCCAACTTCTCGGGTACCAAGAAGGGTTTCAAAACATACAGTACTACAGTGCCAAAATTATATTCTTGGGAGCCTACTGTTAAGGCAAGGGAATAAAGTATTTGTCAGGCATTGTACAATATGATCAGACAATGCTGCTTAAATTATAATAGCAGTATGCTCATTTTTTTGATACCTGTAACTTTGATCTCTACAGAAAATGCTCGTTTGAATGAACTCCGCCTATAATTTACTCCTGGTCTTTAGGTTGAATATCATATCTCTTCCTTTTTCTCTTTCTTCCCTTCTATTTAATAAAGTAGATCGTTTTTTTTTTTCCCGCTACTGATCTGCTATACATTTACGGACATTTCGGCAATAAATCTAAAGATGTCAGCAGTTTCTAAACAAAGTATTAATAAGGTGTATAAGCAATATTTACAAGTGGTACGAGCATGGCCAAAAGACGAGTTAAGGCCGAATCGAGGCATGAAAGAAATTCTCGCCAAAAGAGTGGAAGAAGGTTTTAAGGGCCCTAATGCTAATGAGCTTGATATAAAAAAGGCCCAAAGAGAACTAAAAGCTCTACAAAGCATTCTAGATAACAAGTTTAAAAATGACGTTAGTGATGCATTTGCAGTAAATTCAAAGGGAAAACAAGCTTTTTGCTTTAACTGATATGCTTGCTACAAATTATAGTACCCTTTACCCCAGCAACTATTTCGTCCTGTTGATAACCCACAATATTATGAACGATTAATATCATCATTGGAAGCGCAGAAGAAAGGTTCAACGAGTGTTTTCAACTTTGCTATGAAGACATTGTTCAAGAAGTAGTTGAAAAGATGGATAATACCAATAGACACCTTTTTTGTAAATATAAGAATAAGATTCATACACTACACGATTGTAATAAAATGGAGGTTTAATCTGGATGCAATCAAAGCAGTTTATGAAGAAACATCGGTTCAATGCAATTGCATAAAGGAAGACTTCATAATAGGGTTTATACACGGCAGAGATAAGCAATTACGAAAGGGAATTTGAATCAAACTTAAGTCTTGCTAAGTGTGAAAAGCCAGTATGTATAATGACTGGAAATAGAGATTTGAGTAGCTGTTATCTTTTGGTTGTTACTATCCAAGTTAAATAAATGCTTGATACCTCAAAACGCGAAAACCAGGTTTATGGAGTTCCAAATGATAAGTGACCTGCTTATCTGTAATGATCACAATCGTTAATTAATTCTACATTACGGTCTTTTGTTCTTTATTAAGAGAACTAAAAATTAGCTGCGATGAAGTTGGGAGGTGGGAAGCAGGTCGTTGAGTATACCAATGGAAGCTTTTGGCTTATCATCATGGGTCCGTTGGCCACCTTGTGACGGGATCTGCTCATCCAGACGGAGACTGGAAATTGGGATTTTGCATGGATGGACAAAAGTTATTTGATTCCATTATTTCACTTTTGTTATTGCAACACTAACATGTTACGCTCATTCCAACGCTTACGACAGCCACTATTATCGTCATCAAAAAAGATTGCATTTACTTGCCACTCTTCAGCTACTCTTAGAACACAAACACTAATTTTAACCGACCACTCACTGAACATATTAAGCAAAGCATCACGGTTCTATAATGCAGCATTTTGGGCAACTTGTCAAAAGAAGTCTCTTTTCCATTCATCCACATTTATTAACAGAGAACAACAACAACAACAACAGCAACAGCAAGGGCAACAGCCGCAGAAGTCCGAAGAAGAAGCTGTAAACCCTAAACATCAAATGTTAATTGGCTTTACTTGCAGAGTTTGTAATGAGCGAACACACCACGTCATGTCAAAATTAGCGTACACCAAGGGTGTGGTATTGATTCAATGTCCAGGTTGCAAAAATCGACACTTGATAGCAGATAATCTAGGCTGGTTTAGAGACAATAAAACTACCGTAGAAGATCTGGTGAAAGAAAAGGGAGAAGCTATTCGAAAGGTTGTAGTGGACGATCAAGGCGTGGAACGATTAGGAGACCTTATGGAATGGCTGCCCGAGATTGTAGAAGAAGAGAAACAGAAAAAGGAGAGACAAGCGAATCTAAAGACAGCTGAAGACGGCATCGATTATAACAAGGAATCGAAGGAAAATAAGAAGTCTTAAGACTCTATAATGCGGTTACTGATGTATTTCGCAATTGTATAAAGTTACCACCGCACACCTGTATATAAACCCTTCTACATCTCACATATATAAATTGTGTTGAATAGGGTTGCTCGAAACCCTAAAGTCCTCAATATTTTTCTAGACATTTTTATTAGATTATTATGTAATAAATATCAATATTCTTTTAAGAAGAATGGATAGATTAACTATCGACCCATAATGGATTTTAATCCTTACTGATGCTGAGTATATGGAATTAGTATATGATTACAACGACTGCTATATTAACTGATGTCAACAATTCCTTTCGCGATATTAAAGAAATCGCTTTGTGCAATAATTTAATGTAGCACATTCAATTTGTGTTGTGGACCCATTCATTCATTGCGGTGTAATCAATTTTAAGTCGTGTAATTTTAGGGAAAATACCACTGATTCAAGTAGTGGTTTCTATTTCATATGCCAAGAAAAAGAGAATGAGAATGGCCGCGAATGCCGTCGTATTGAAATATGACAGGAAGGAAGGGTATCAGTTCCTGCTTCTTCGAAAAGGTATGTAATTTTACATGGTTCGTCATACATGCTATTTAGCTAATTCAACTGTAGCCATAGTACAGTTTAACTTTGTGGCAACCAAAAGAAGAGAGCAAATTTAACAGCTAAGATTTTCCTTGAGCATAAGTTTTTTGGTTTCTCAACTTAATAAAGATGCTTTGTCGATGCTCGAGATGGCAAGATACACGAAGCAGCCAATTTGAAGACTTCACAATTCTCTCAGAGGGTTATCGAAGCATTTAACAGAGAGCTGGCTTTTTACTAGAAACATGCTTCAAGTATAAAGCTGAGACAGAAGCTGATACAACAGCTTCCATAGTGAACATTCACTTTGTATAGAGCTTTCAGCACGCACAAAAGCTTTCAACACAATCGAAGCATTTGTAAGAGAATGTAAAGGTACTTTTTCTAGGTACTTCTGCTGGCTACCATGTTCTTTCCTGCTACAAGTATTTCTATGTTATCCTCTATTTACTTGACCTTACTCTCTACTTTTACTAATTGTTTTTTGAGTCAAGATGGAGAGAGTAAGCGATGAAGAACCACAGTTTTATATATAAATATATCTTTTCTCAAAATGTTGGGCACTTCAAAGTAGATCAGTCTGGAACTCTTTTAAGTTTTTTCCAAATGGAATGAAGAAAATTTATTATCTATTTGTTGTAATGATAATGGTACAATGGTATAGATTTACAAAAATGACGCTTCAAAAGATTATAGGGAATATGACTAAAACCGTATGTAAGCTTTAGTACTTGAGGAGTAAAATATCGATTCGCAAGAAAAGGGAGAGAAATAAATAAATAGGTGGGAGTGTAGTCATGCGTGAATATTATATACAAGCATACGATTCATGGTTATCAGAAAAATCGTCTTTTAACCCATTTATAACTTTCAGCAATGGCAATATATAAGAGAACAGAAGCAACTGTCATGCCCCATTCCCAAGAAATAGGTCTGTGTCTAAATACTTCAGTATTCAAGACAGGAACATAAAGTGTGATAATCAACAGAATAAAGCCAAACAGAGTAGACCAAAACAGATATTTGTTTTGAGGTCCACGTAAAGCAGACCAAGACCAGGTTGAGTTACGAAGGTCACGACAAGTAAATCCATGTAACAAGACAATGACGGTCAATGTAGCAAAAAGAGCACCACGAGCGCGGAAAACTTCAGAGCAACTTTCATTATAGTGACCATTACAGTCTAAACCCAAATCACCTGTACCATAAGCGTAGAGCACAATGATAAAGTTCGCCAAGCAAATGACGCCAATCATAAACCCATAAAAGATGATGTCGATTAGATTCCAAAGGCTGAAAAGACCTTCTTTCTCGGAACGAGGAGGCTGAAACATTTGATCCTTATGAACTGGTTCGAGACCTAAGCTCATGGCCGGCGGTGAACTGGTCAAAATATTGTTAAACAAAATTTGAATAGGTGTCATGGGGAACACAGAGCTGCCAGTTTGATCAATAAACACAAGACCCAAAAGCAATGGTGTTAATTCAGCAACGTTGCCGGATACCATGTGGACAACAAAACGAGCAATGTTACCAAACACCCGACGACCTTCTTCAATTGCTTTGACAATAGTAGCAAAGTTATCATCCACAAGCACAATATCGGCTGCTTGCTTAGCGACATCAGAGCCATTCTCACCCATAGCAATACCAATATCAGCCTCTTTCAAGGAAGGACTATCATTCACACCGTCGCCTGTCATACCTGCAATCTTTTTACGGCGGTGCAAAGCTTCAATCATCTTGACCTTCGTATCAGGACTGCAGCGAGCAATCACCAAAGGTAGCTCAGGAAGTGCATCAATTTCTTGTTCAGACATTTTATCAAAACGTTGTGCCGTCATCACTAAATCATCAGTTCTACCATCCGCAATATGAGGCTTAACACCTGCTGCCTGTACTTTTTCGTACAGTTCTTCATCTTTTTGCAATCCATAAGTCGGAGGGACAATGCTGACCTCACGAGCGATCGCCGTAGCCGTAGCAATGTGATCACCTGTAAGCATATGAACAGTTATACCAGCTCGATGACATTCTTCGACGGCTGCTTTCGATTCTTCACGAGGGGGATCATAAATACCGACTAAACCAAGGAATATCATTTCTTGTTCAATAAAATCACGTTCAAAGGTGTCAGGTTTAACCAATCCATCGTACTTAATACGACGCATGGCGAGTGATAATACACGAAGACCACCACGAGCGAGCGCATCCACTTTAGGCAATATTGTATTTTGTAGTTCTTGCAGAGACATGGAGCGCACATTGCCTGCTTCAGACATTTGCATACCTACGCATCGTTCCAATACACGCTCAGTGGCACCCTTTAAAAACGCGATATAGCCATCATCAGGAGATTGACAAAGAACCGACATGCGTTTGATTGAAGAATCGAAAGGATATTCAGAGATCAATTTCCAACCATCTCGTGATGGTTGTTCATCAGCGGCGTCCGTTTTTTTCTTCGTTAAGGCAGGTTTACCATACTGAAGTTTATGAGCGAAAACTTGAAGCGCAACTTCTGTTGGATCACCGATCCCAACCCATTCATTTGTTTGTTTCTCTTTACGGACTTCACTCATATTACAAAGAGCAGCTGCATGTACCAACGAACGAAAACCGTGATCCATGTTATTTTGAGTTATCGCTTGACCGTCTGATTCCGACGTCACTTCACCTTCAATAGTAAAGCCAAGACCACTCACAGAGTAAAAACCAGCGTTGGGCCTCCAAAGACGAGTGAGCACCATTTTAGATTGAGTCAGTGTCCCTGTCTTATCAGAGCAAACGTTGGTAACGGCACCCAATAATTCGAGAGCAGCAAGACGGCGCACAAGAGCTTTGCTTTTAGCCATTGCGTGAACACCAAAGGCCTGCGTTAATGTGACGACAGCAACAAGTCCTTCAGGAATTACGGAAATGGAAGTAGAAATAGCATAAAGAACAACCTCGTTCGTGATATGGAATTTGGCAGCAGCAAATACGATAATGACAGCGGTGATAGCAATGGCTAACAGTACGAGGGCCATGCGATCCAATGATTTTTGAAGTGGTGTTTTCGTATTGTCACTTGAATCTAAAAGACGTTTCGCAATCTTACCGATTTCTGTTTGCATGCCGATCGCTGTCACCACAGCTTTACCACGGCCTTTGGTAAGTACCGTACTAGAATACGACATATTAATACGATCACCCAGTGGAATGTCGTCACCTTGTATTACTTCAGTTACTTTATTGACGGGCACACTTTCACCAGTTAATAGCGCTTCATCTACATCCATATTAAATGATCTATTGCACGGTAAGAGTAGAGTTTTAGTAAATGCTAAGTTGACTTACAACCATCATATCAATGAGAATCAATACTGATTCTAATGTTGAAAAATACGTACTCAATAATTCTACAATCAGCACCAACCACATCACCACTCTTTAAAATAAGCACATCGCCAGGAACAAGTTCGCGAGTAGGTATTGTTTTTTGATGACCATTACGAATAACTTGGCTTGTCGGTGAAGCCATTTGTCTTAGGGAATCCATCGTCTTTTCCGCTTTGTATTCTTGCATGAAGCCAACCGCCGCATTCAAAAACATAATGGCACAAATCACACCGCCTTCAATATAATCTTTAAAGACAAATGATACCACCATGGCAATCAACAGGATCAATACCATGATGTTTAAAAATTGCTTGATAAGTAGCTTGATAGGACTGACACCTCCTTCGCCTTCCATCTCATTATAGCCTCCTGCTTGAGTACGTTTTTCTTCAATTGCAGCATCCGCTAAACCATCTTCTAAATCGGTGTGTAAGAGTTGTGAGACGGTATCGAGATCCATAGAATGATATGGTGGCCCTTCAGAACGCTCCGTGGTTGTATCAGTGCTTCGCCGCCTACGTTTGATCAAATGCATCTTTTTCATTAAGACACTGCGGACTGACTTTGTATCAAAATCGGTTGAGCTTTGACCGGTAGATTGACGTGACAATGGCTTCTGGAAATATTTCTCGTGGTGCTGGACTTGGTATTCCTTCATTTCGTTATTCTTTGAAGACTCCTGAAATTTGATCGTTGTCGAGTTGTTCGGTTGTTCGACTTCAGACAGCGGAGAGGCTCTTTCTGAATACCGCCGTTCTTGCTGTCGATTGTTTGTAGTATTAATGTCATTCTCACTTTGATTTATTATAATCTGCGGCACTTGTTGATCTCGTAAATTATAATGTGTATTATGGTTATTATCGTGATTCATCAAATTAGATATCTTAAATGAATAACCCTATATTAAGTAAAATAATACAATTGGTAAAAAAAGTAGTGGGAAAAGACGTGAATTAATGCAACTTTATATATCATTCTTTGATCTTGACCCTCAAGTTGTAAATGTTTCTGATTTTTTCTTTGTTTTTTTTGACAGAAATTTGGGAAGATATTTTCGTCATGGATGAACATACTTGTATTTGATTGGCTATGATTGTCCCTTTCTAACTTTGTAAGCCTTGGTTTTTCTATCTTTGTATATGACCACGCATGAGCTTCTGAAAATTCTATTTAATCATGATTTAAGAAAATAGAAAAAAAAAAAGCGGAAAATAGGCGTATCTGTAACTGTCGTATTAGATCACATAGTACCTGAAATAACACTTCTATTACTATTTATGGTCAAACTGCTCTGGAACCGTTCTTGGAACGACTTGACAGTAATCAAACTCTTTCAACCGTGTTTACAATAAACTAATTCATAATGCAACGATATTGTCGTTATACTTCTAGAAGGCTCTGTTTCAACCATCAGACACTCTCGATCTATGTATATTTGCTACTAATGAACCATTTTGAGTTTCTGTAATAAAGAGATACGACAATAGTGACCTTCTGTGCAATGTTTTCTATGTAGTCTCCACAATTACGTGATATATGGATATCCGAAGATAGAAAAACAGAAAAAATTGAAATTTCTGCCACACCCAAAAAGCTTCCGTCATACCTAAATCAGGCATAGTTTCTTTTTTCATTTAAAGTAATTCTGTTTTGATCCGAAACGAAAATTCAAAGAACCAAAAAAGGTTATAAGGGCTGACGAACGCTGAGTGATACCTTCAGCAAACGTGCATGCTCTCACTGTTAAACCCTACAACTGAAATCATGTTGATTTCTCTGTCAAACTTAAATTTTTGGGTGATACACTGAGAAGCCGTGAATCAGGTTAGTCTAGGCTCGCAACGAACCTAGCATATTTTATAGCTTAAGTTTGTTACACGGTAGTCCGAATTATAAAATATGGAATCTTTTTTACACCAAGAGATGATGGTTGTCGAAAAACAGTCTTGATTTTTGTTTTATTGGCAAAGAAAGTTATGAGCCATTCAAAATCCATTTTGAGCTTTCCATCTTTAGAAAAAGGCTGTGACTATTTATTTACCCGACTACGGCTGTCTCCAAAAGATTTTCTGTGTCTTTCGCCTTGCAAAGTTTCTGCACGCGTAGTTCATTTCTCGCAATCCTAATCAAAGTTAACATGTACAAGCCTACAGGTAACGAGGATACTCTATTAAAGCTTTAACAGATTGTTTTAAAATAAGGTTTTAATACGTTTTATTACAGGTAGTAACATGACTCCACTTGGAGTTAAAAGACGTTTTGGTGGTGACAGTTCTGGTCAATCAAGTACTTCTCCATCTGAAAATGAAAGTAAGCCATCGTTCATTTAGTAAATTCTCGCTTTTTTATAGCTCTTTTCTGTAAAAAAAACTAATTCAATTCTCCTTTCTATTTAGGCAGCCATGCACCTGCGAGAAGTGAAAGCTATAACGGTATTGATGAATGCTAATTTCGTTAAATAATGATTCAAACTGACTAATCGAACTCTTTTCCCTTGCAATGTCGGTAGATTATCCTGCTGCTAGGTCTGAACCTTCCACAGGTATGTCGTCTTGAAAATGTAACTTTTTTCTTTTGTTTTATTATCCTGTTGTTAACAACCATTTGGACATTTTCCGTTAGCTTCCCCTACGGCTAATTCTGATGGCTCTACTACAAAGAGGAAACGTAGAAGTCGTTGGGGTGGTGAGCAAGAAAAAGTCGTCATTCCAGGATTACCCACGACCATTTCCAAAGCCAATAGAGACATGTCTGACAAGTATTTATGTAAGTCATTCATCGATTTATTTTTTATTTTCAAAGGATTGCCCCTGTTAACAAGGCCATTTTGCTATTACTATTGTAGTACAATTGAGAATAGAAGAAATCAACAGAAAATTAAGGTCTGGTGAGTTTGTTCCTCCTGATCGTCAAAGGTATGTTTCCTTTCCAATTGTCGCCTCAACCTTTAACAGACAGCATATCAATATTCTGACATTGGGTTTACTTGTATAAAAACATTTCCGAAACACATAGATCACCTTCTCCTGAACCCGTTTATAATGCTGAGGGTAAACGTGTAAACACCAGAGAAGCTAGATATAAAAAGAAACTCGAAGATGAACGTCATAAATTGATCGAAAAAGCTATCAAAACGATTCCCAACTATCGTCCTCCTGCCGATTATAAAAAGCCCACCAAATTACAAGAGAAAGTATATATTCCTGCAAAAGAATTTCCTGATATCAACTTTATTGGTCAACTTATCGGCCCCCGTGGCAATACACTCAAATCGATGGAAGCAGAATCAGGTGCAAAAATTAGTATTCGTGGACGTGGATCGGTGAAAGAAGGCAAAGGCCAAGTTAGCAACCCTAACTCTGGCCAAGAAGAAGATTTGCATTGTTTAGTTACAGCCGATACCGAAGAAAAAGTGAAAAAGGCTGTTAAGCTGATTGAAAAAGTAATTGAAACATCAGCTTCTGTACCTGAAGGACAAAACGAATTGAAGAGAAATCAATTGCGTGAGTTGGCAGCTTTGAATGGTACACTGCGTGATGACGAGAATCAAACTTGTTTAAACTGTGGTGCCTCGGGTCATCGACGATTTGAATGTCCTGAAAGACAGAATATCACGTCTACATTGACATGTCATATTTGTGGCGGTCTAGGTCATATTTCTCGTGATTGTAACCAACGTCATAATCCTGAAATGACCAATCAAGCTCGTCAACGTGATGCTCAATTGGATAGTGAATATATGAATTTAATGGCTGAATTAGGTGAATCTGTTACAGGCGGATCAAGAGAAGGAGCAGGATCGGTAAGTGTTTTATTTTCATAGTTCGAATACCAGTTGGAGAAATGCAAGCAAAAACTCATATCCTTTCTCACTAGTACACTGAAAGTAAACCAGCACCATGGCAGCAACCCAGAACTAGTACTGGAGCTGCACCTCCATGGCAACAACAAAATAGAGGGCCTGCACCGTGGGCAAATAACAATTACAATAATTATAATAGTCATGCGTCAGGACCACCACCACCACCCGGAACCGGTAGCGGCGGTGCTGCACCTTGGCATCAAGGCGGCGGCGGCGGCGGCGGCGGCGGCGATGCCTATCAGTCATCTTACGGTAACGCTCCAGGTACAGCAACGGATTATTACGCTGCTTATGGAGGATATGGAGGATACTATGACCCATCACAATATGACCCATCACAAATGGCTGCTGCCCCACCAGGTAGTACCGCATCACCATGGGGAGCTGCTGTCGCCGTTCCTCCGCCTCCAGCTGCAGATGGATCCAACCCATGGGTAAGTTTCAATTTGTAAAAAGAATAAACGAAGCGCAGTAATAACTAACGTTCCTATGTTTTGCCTCTGGTTTAGAATATGCCACCTCCACCTCCATCCACAGATGATGCAGCCATCGCACCACCACCTCCATCAGCTTCTGAGCTTCCTCCCCCTCCTCCTCCTCCAGGAGCCTAAACCTATAACAATATATGGTCAACATTTTTCACAAATTTTTCTCTTTTTTTTTTTTTTTTGTTAAATATTTTGGTACAATTATATAAATGTCGAACCCACCTCAACGTAAATTACATAATTTCTTTGCAACCCAATAAATCCACTTAGTTAAAGAACAAATCTTATAGTGAAGTTGTGCATTGATTTCTCCAGACTGGTTGGATCCTGATTATAAAATAGCTAAAAAATGTGTGTCAACGAGAATAACAGCCAATCTCTCATAACGTACGCATGAGTGCATTTTTTCTCCTCGTTGACCTGTCTTCAGACAGGAACTTGGTTTTTATGGCTGCAACAAAAGGTGAGTAAGCCAAGCATCAATGCATGCATTAAAGTACTTTGAGTAAAAAACCGCTGATTCGTATTTTTCAAACAGCGTCTATTACATTACAAACAATACAATTTTCAAGGAAAGTACAGTATTGTTCGTTTCATCCTAGATTTTCGACTGCATCCACTTGTGCCTATATTTTAATCAAGAAAAATGCAAGCTTCCTTAGCGTAGTCAATAATCCTACTGCACCATTTAGCGTTCGATATGTTCGCTGCACTCACTGGGATAATCTTGGCAATCAGTAACCAAAAATTAACAAATCATATCAGCATTGATGTTGTATCTGCTTTGATCTGATAAATTCTAAATATTAACCTTCCATAAATTATATTTTGTTAATATGCTTTGTTATCATCCAAATTAATGTCTTGAGAGTTTCGAGCACTTTTCTTTTTGGTTTTTTTAAACTCACTCAATTGCTTCCTGCCCTACTATGTTTTAGCTAGCCCTTTATATAACATGGCTTTTCTTGAAATAAGTCAAGATAGTTCTTAAACCGGATTCTATTGTTTAGCATTGATCATTGTTATATATGACATGTCCTCAGCAAATATAGTATATATATCATAACTATTACAGCTAAGGACAAGGGAATATTAGGTATGTATAAGCGATGAGCTTGTAGTAATATGCCACTACATAACTTAAAGATCGCTCGATATATGTACGTAATGAATATATGGTATTACTGTTACTAAATAAGCGAACATGGTATTTTTACAGTCTTATTGGCTCTTTTTTAAGTGCATTACCATCATCACGTGCGCGTTCAGTGTCTTTAATGCAGTTACCAACCATATATTTTTGTTGAATTATCTTCAGTATTTTTGCTACGGTCAAGGCTAGTATTGCATCCTTTTCACCATTATTTCAAAGAGCTTGCTCATTTATGGCAACTCATAGGTGTTTGATCGAACACCCCCCCCCCACCAAAGCCAAGTTGGTAGGTTAATTGAATAGAATAGACCAGCGAGTCGTAGTGACATCTGTAAAGTCATAGTCCAAAGTTTTGTTTTCCTAAACTATTTCCAGGAGCGTTATTTCTATCATTTCAAAAGAGTGATACGTTTAACAACTGATATTAAGCACGAAGGAATGGACAATTAGAGATAACTTTGTTTGTGTTTCTTCTTTTTATTATTCATCATTGGAAATGAAATGAAATGAAACGATTCTAGTATGATAACGATATGGTGAACAATGAAAGATCAAATAATAAAATGCAAATGCTACTAATTAACGTCAAACCAAGTGTCTAAAAAAGAGGCTATGTTGTTCGGTCTCTTCAATAGATTTTATGTTGGAGAATGACTAATTATAGGGAGGGGCGCTACACTCAATGCTTCTAAAGTCAAATCTATGTATACAGAAAAGGATGAAAAAAAAAAGCTCCTTATTGTAAAAACGAGGAGGTGTTTTTTTCTTTCCTTTTGATCAAATGATAGTTGAGAGTTGATATTATAATAAGGGAGACCTTGATTGTAGAGTGGTGGAGGCCGAGGAAGTAGACGGTATCGAAGTGTGGTAATAAGAATGATACTGGTGGTGGCTACTGCTAGTTCCGTTCATTAAAAAATGATATTCATCGTCTACTGCTATGGAAGAGGAATGACTCGAATAGTCGGCAGAAATCGATTCTCTTCCATTGATGAAGGAACCTGACGCTGTGGTGGTAGCCGTGCTGGAAGGTGTGAGTGGAGATATGACGATACTGGCGGATGTGGTATTGTCATCGTAAGGTAGCATTTGATTTTTCCATTTACACTGTGAACATTCGTATCGTACAGTTGAATTGTCCGTAATGCGTTTGTTCAAAACAATCAACGATTTTTCAGACCTTGTCAATTGTACAGAGCTTTGGTTTTTACATTTTGGACAAGGATGAGAAGCGTGTTCTAGAGAGATTTTTTTTCCAGAATTGGCAACTAAAATGAATCCAGTCATTTCTTCTTGTTTGCTGATGTTGGTATTAGTGATGGTGTGTGATTAGGTGGGGGGAATGTTGTATGGTATGTAAAAGGTATATAAACCAAAAAGTACTTTTTTTTATCTATTTGGCGTGGTAGGATATTGAACGAAAGGGAAGGGATTGTATCAGAAATGTATGAGAACGTTAAGCAAAAGAAAAGATAAAGAGATAGTAATCATTAGATCAGAAGTCTATTTATTTATGTGATCCACGAACACAGTAAAAGAAAAACTAGGAGTAAAAAGCTACTTTATTATAGATTTTTTTTTAGGGTCCAAATTGCTTTTACACGTTGATTTCAAGATAACAAAGAACCTGAAGCTATTGCAATCGAATGCGCCACGTTGTTAACTTTCTCGTAGTACAGAATCCACAAATTCGTCATAGATCAGTCATAAGATCTCGTTTAAAACGTAGAATTTAAGCATTTTATGGCTTGATATTCTTTTTCGGCTTGGCTACAGTTGTCATAAAGACGTTTTGATATTCCTGGAAACGGTGGGGAAACCACATTTTATTCTACTTTTGTGCTGCAGCTTAAAAGAAAAAAAAAAAAAAAAAAAAATAAAATAGATCAACCCACATACTCTTCATTAGACACAGAAAAAAAGAAAATGCCCCTATTCCAAAATATTTTTAAGCTTTCTTCAATAAGCATTTCACGCAGTGACAAACCAGCAATTTATTCTGTTTTCTCTAGGCACTTTCCAGTAATTAGTAAAACATACATGGCTATCATTTCATTCAGAAAATGTTGGTACCATAATCAAGAAGCAAATTCGTAACACCTTTCGGTTAAAATTGCATCATCCCAAACCATCCAAACATACCGTGAATTTTATTCAAGGATATCGAACGAGAAATAGGGCTCGGTTAAACTAAATAGCTACCATTCGGTTGTTTGAATATCCGTAGCATCAAGCTAAATGAATATTTGGTTACGGTTCATGCATGTAAGAACTCTATACATACGCAGTCTTATAGACAGTATGGATAGTAAATATTGAAAGCTTATGTCTTTGAAAGTAGCTGCTTGATACGTAAATTGGATGGCAAAAAATTAAGGTTGTAAATAAGAGCAATTTTGTTGACAATAATAAAGATTGATTGTTGCCTCTTTCAATACCAATTCAGTATGTTTTTCTATAGACAATATAGTGTGGACCTAACAGAAGCTACGAAGCAAACATTTACTGCGACTTAAAACTTACTCCATAAATGTTACTCCCTGCTAATTGATCGCTTCTTTTAAAACTCGTGCTTATAATATAATGAAAGTAATATATGCTCGGTAGTCATTATAGGAGTCGCTACATCTTTACTAAGCACTCTGATTACCTTAAAGTTGTGAAGACTGTGCTTATTTCTTTTTTCGCCCATCCTATATCGGAAAAGGTAATTAAACACAACCTCCCTAATTTCCAAAGGAGCCTATCAATAGATTCATGGAAGAGATATACTTTGGTCGATCTGTAATAAATGAAAAAAGAGCGCGTCTCCATTCATTGAATTAGCTTCTCCTACTCTCGTTACTCAATCGTTCATTCTCTTCTTGCCTTTCTCCTCAATGCCGAGGGAAATAGAGTTATTTACGGTATTTGAGCACGTCGAAAACCAACAAATTCGGTATAAAGAAGCCCTAAACTCATTCACATAATCGGTATCTACCATATTTAGGCTATTATTATTTGTTTGGTTTAGCGGTTATGCAAAGGTTGAGAATGTAGATTAAAGAGAACACGTTTTTGATATAACTGTATAAGAAGTTGAGAAAGCCAAGAATGCATGGTACTGTTGTTATGCATTAATGAAAAAACATACACACACAACACACACACACACACACACACGCAGCACTAAAGGCATTTAATTCCTACGCTTCCCAACTTAGCAGCTAGTCTTTTGGCGTACATCAATCTGTTCTTATCAACTTTACACCGGTAAGCTCCTGTTCTGCAACGGTTAACGTCCTTATTTCGAGACCTACCAAAGAAAAACCCAGACCGTTCCGTGGAAGCTTTACGTTCCGCGTGCCCATTGACACACATGCTATGCATGTATCACGCTTAAACTCGACCAACCGATCATCTTAGCCAGCTATTCATTATTGGAACGGCCCATTATTCGTTGTCAAATAGCAGCATCATAGAACCAAAGACTGTTATTGTATAGTACAAATGCAATATTCGTTAGGTAAGCTTTTATTACAAGAGAATGAGATGAAATTTAGAATACACAAACAATACAAAAACAAAAAAAAAAAAAAGCTTCCTATATATATATTGTATGTGAAATCTTCTAATCCTTTTCATTGTCCTCTCTAAGAGAAACAGTACGATTGATGATGAGTGTTTTCACAGCTTCCTTCACTTTACCAGCCTTGATCATATCAATGTCCAACTTGGTGTCTTTATTATCTAGACAGAAATAACCTGTACGGGTGAATTGCCAGCGCATGCTTTCAAAGTCCTTACCACCCGTCTTCTTGACCCAATCAGCAATATGATCATAAATACCGACTTCAGCAATAGCTCCCTTTACAATTTCCAAAGAGTGTTCATTCAAATCGTTCAAGAAACCACCTTCAGCAGCCTCAGGGTTATCATGCTTGAAAAGACGTTCGTAGATGCGTAGTTCATCCAATTTGACGGGAGAATTGTGCTTGGGAGATTCAGCCACCCAGTGAATATAGGTTTTGGGCTTCTTAAACTCACCCTCATTTTCATATCGACATTCAATTTCAATGACATTGCCATTGGCATCCTTCTTATAGTTGGTACAGTGCACAGGATGTTTGGTATAGAGAAGCCCAACAGACTTGCCGGGAGCCAAACGGAAGTAACCCTTAGCGTCTTGTTCACGGAAATCAGAGCGGTCAATATAGAAGACCTTGGTGAAGGGAACCTTGTGTTCACCCATAGCAGGATCTCTAGGCTTGTTAGGTACCGTGACTTCTTCATAGTAATCGTCGGGTACATTGGTCAAGACAACACGGACAGGATCCATAATAGCCATCAAACGAGGTGCGGTTCTATCTAAATATTCACGCGTCTTGTTGTCGAAACGAGATACTTCAATGGTGGATTGACTAGTAGTGACGCCCAATTCAAGCACAAATTCATTGATGGCTTCAGGAGGAACACCACGTCTACGAATACCGACCAAAGTATAAAGACGAGGGTCATCCCAACCGTTGACATATTTGTTGTTGACCATCTTCAAAATCTTACGCTTGGACATGATGGTACCTGTGACATTCAAACGTCCATATTCCCATTGGACAGGCTTATAGACTTCAACAGCATCGACTAACCAATAATAACTTTCTCTGGATTGTCTGAATTCAGTTGTACAGAGTGAGTGGGTGATGTTTTCGAAAGAATCGACTAAACAGTGAGTGAAATCATAGGTAGGATAAATGCACCACTTGTCGTGCGTTCTGAAATGAGGGGTGTAGAGGACGCGATAAGCGATCAAATCCCAGAATTGAGGATTGCCGTTGGTCAAGTCCATCTTCATACGGAGAGTGATTTCTCCTTCCTTATAACGACCTTCCTTCATCTTCATGAATTGATCCAAAGTTTCCTCAATGGGTCTTTCACGATGGACACAAGCCTTTCTTTCGCCATGTTCCTTACCACCACGATTAGCATTGATCTCTTCAGGTGTACATTGGCAAGTGTAGGCCAGACCCTTTTTAATCAATTTGACAGCCAAATCAAATAATTCTTGGAAATAATCACTAGAATAAGTGATCTTGAAAGGTTCGAATCCGAGCCAACGTACAGTTTCTAAGATAGAAGTGAAATATTGTTCTTCTTCAGCCTCGGGGTTAGTATCGTCATAACGAAGATAAGTGACACCATTGTGGGCTTTGGCATAACCGAAATTGACATTGATAGCCTTAGCGTGACCAATGTGAAGATAACCATTAGGCTCGGGAGGGAAACGAGTAACAACCTTACCGCCAGTAGCCTTTAAATGTTCTTCCATCAATTCTGGCTTGATTTGAGGGTTTCCTCCAGGTTTATGTAATCTACCTAATTCACCTTCAAAGAAAGTCTTTGAAATATCTACAACGGGCTCCTTTTCAGCATCTGCTTTCTTCTGATCCCCATTTTTGGCAGCAGCAGCAGCAGGCGCTTTAGGCTCTTTCTTTTTCTTTTGAGGAGCATCACGTTCATCTTTAGGGCCCAGAAGCGCAAGATATTGAGCTTCAACTTCATTCTTAACTTTACCACCATCAGCCCAACGCAAACAAGGAATCTTTCTGGCATTGGCAAGGGTGGGGCCAAGAGTTTTATAACGATTGCTGACGATATTTTCCTTATTACTATTGATATATTCCTCTACAGCTTCCTTGATTTGCTCAGGAGTAACAACAACGCCTATGGAAATACGTCAAAAAATGAAGAGAATGGGGCCAATATTGAAATTGGAAATAACATTGGTAAGCTTGTGTTGTTCTCTTTCCTTAACGATTTCGCTCTCCCTCTGCCCCAAACTGCCTCCTTCTTTTTAAATTCCATATTTCGACTTTTCAATTGTCTACTTTACCAACACCAGTGGCTTCATCGAAATCCTTTTCTTCGATTGTGTCTGCTTCACAGAACTTGACAGCAGCTATAGATAGTTGATAGAATCACAAATGTCAATACCAAGGCTGCACAACAGATGGTGACATTGAGAAAAAGTGGGAGAGAAAGTTAACCTCCTCCATTTACCTGTAATTTGATCACTTGTCTTTAAATCACCATTCAATACCTTCTTTGTCAAGAAAGGTAAATGTTTATGTTCAGCAGCAGCTTTATCCTTAGCCACCGCAGTAGCTAAAGTATATAACAAAGTACCCAAATCTTTCTCACAACCTGAATCGCGAATGCCGGCTTCATTGATGACTCGTTCAAAGGTGGGTGCTAATTTCTTGTTCTTGGCGGTTTCTTTCGCCTTTTGCTCGGATAAACCGGTCTTAACGAAAATGGGAACGAGGTCGTCCATAGCTGATTTCTTTAAAAGACAAGTAAACCTTTCTTATGAATTCAGGAGAGGTATGTAAAGAATAGAAGAGGCTGCTCTTTAACTGAATTTGAAAAAAAAAGAAAAAAAAAATTTGTGAGTCACTAAAGTTTTGGGTGAAGGCGGTTAAAGGAAATTTTATTGACAACATATTTCAGCCCAAGGGGTACACATATCGAAATTGCCCAGGGCAGCTCCAGATGGGGTGGAAATGATGACACTCTTCAAGAGAATAAAGAAGAAAAAAGGCAATGTATTATGAAGTCAAACTATCCATTTGGTGGTTGGTGCATACAGCCAATCTAAAAAGAGCCGTCCTCAGTTTTCTGACGGTATTGATGAGGGGGGCTATCTCGTCCCAATTCGCGTAACAACGGTTGATCTATGGGCCACAGTGTGCTCCAGGAAGCAGTGATATATTGTTTTGAAGGTCTGGTTGGAAGTCCATTCAACCATGTGAAATGGGCTCAAAGAAGTTGAGTAGCTTCTCTTCCGTATGCTCTATCTTGTAGCACGTCATCCATTTACATAAACATTCTGTCAGTTATACATATAATCGACTGTTAGGAACTCATACTATCAATTTCAATATAATGTAAAGTAGCTCCAAATTATTTTCTTTTGGCACCAATTGCCTTGGAATGTTATTGAACCGTAGCACTCTTTGGTTTGACAGATGAGCCTTCTACAATAATTGATTGTTCTTGCTGATCACCTGATATTTAGTAGCTATCAAAAATTCTTTACGTGGACATTGCGTACTTGGTAGTTACCTTTTACCTTACGGCAACATGATCAAAATTGAACTGATAAGTCTCCGCTCGAGAGCCATTAGAGGTCGTTGAGAGGTAACAGGTGTTGTTATGACTTCTTGACATGTTAACAGATTTACGTTGAAGAAAGGCAACTCCTCCCTCCCTCTCTGCCTCCCAATATACTGCCTAGAGAATCTCAGTTACTGGTGAAGTGATAAAATACATGAGGTATGGTAAGTTAGATTGGTAATCTGATGGCTAGTTAGCGACTTGCATAGAACTTGAATTATTTTTGAGCTAAAAAAAAAAGACAAAAACCGATAATCTCACTGCAAAGAATGTATGAAGAAATAGATCTCTCAAGTGTAGTCTTCCCATTTTCTTTGTTTCTTTTTGGTTTTTGTCTTTGTGTTCTATAAATTTACCACTCTAAAAAAGAAGCTATACGTAGTCTTAATATGTTCTTGAAGAGACTCTTGGCTGGAACGATCATGCTTGTCATTCTAGTTCTAGTAACAATGAATGACACTTTATTGATGATTTTTGTGACAATTTTGCAGGCAAAGGTCTTCCATGTACTGTCCTGTAGATATTGCAAAGTGGCAGTGAATAAAGATAGCTGGAAGTCACTTATGATTTGTATATTCTTGCTTTAGGAGTTACGACGAGTTTCTTTAACGCCTGTTCATATTCAGAGAAATAAGTTACAGGCAATTCTTGATTGGTAAGAATCAGCTAATTGTTTTCAACGTAGACCTCTCATAAACTAAATTTAATGTGACAAATGGGCGCAACAGGACTCTGTTTTTCATATTTGTGAATCTGGTCAAACAATGCATCATGAACGTTACACCCGCCACGACGTTCTTCACCACATTTCTGCATTACTTGTCGTGTATGTAACCAACAAATAAGGGGGAAAAGGATGAGCTTCACGTAGCTGATTCATTTTCTATGTTAGGGTTTGCTGCCTGGGTATGGTTCTTATTAGGTGATGCGGCTAATGAACCACAAAAGCTTCAATCCTGCATTCTTCATAGCAGCTGGGTGCATTTGTGTACTGTTTACACGTTGTCTCAACCCGTACTTATTAATAAGAATGTAAAGAATGGTGGTTTATTTTGGTAAGATATTTCTCGTGCTTCTCCCTCTTCCCTTTTAACAAATTTGATATGCCTTATTACTGTCGTAAATGCATTGATATCTAGAAACAAACTAAGTGTCTACCATCACTCTAGGTTTATGTTTCCTTGTTCATTGGTTATTTGTAATGATATCGCTGCTTATTTCTGCGGCAGGTATTTCGGTAAAAGGAAGCTAACACCACTCAGCCCGAACAAAACCTTGGAAGGCTTTATTGGCGCTCTTGTTGTAACAGTCATTTACGGATTACTTGTGAGTACGATTTTCTCGACATATATAGTCACGACTGCTAAAGTATGGTTTTTTTTATCTTGCATTGTCTTTATTACAGAACGCCATAGCGCTCTCTAAAATTGACTTCCTCGTCCGACATACGGGTCCATCAGACAACAGTGCCATTTACAAGAATATTGGGTATCATGGCGTGGTCTTGGCCTTATTCGCGTCAACATTTGCTCCTTTTGCTGGATTTTTCGCCAGTGCTATTAAACGCGCAGGAGGTCTTAAAGACTTTGATCATATTATTCCTGGACATGGTGGGCTTACAGATCGACTTGATTGTCAGCTATTTATGGCTTTCTTTACTTATTTTTACTATCAATCAATTACGTCAAACTGATTAGCGACCACGAAGAATGCCACTCCATCCTCCGTAATATCTTGAGTAGGAATACAATGTCATTTATTAAAACCATCTTCTATCATTCAGTCGAATGATGTCAGACCATTTTCTCAGAAGGGGATTATTAGCGACAAACTTATGCAATCGCGAGTAGGCTTTATTGATAAATAATAAGTACTATTACTTTTGCTTTAAAATTCGTATATCAGACAACGTACGGGATAAATTGTTGTCAACAAAGATAAATTTTAGCAGAGCATAATTCAATTCATTACATATTTGTTCTTGAGCTGTACAATCAATAATTATCAACCGCTTGGGACTCTTACGGGGTGGGGGCAAAACCAGCGGCGATACAAGCAGCCATGCAAGCGCCCAAAGCTGCATTGCATGCCATAATAGCAGCAGGTATGCCAGCACCAGCAGTAACGGTACCAAAAGTAGAGCCAGCAGCAGCATAGCAAGCGGTAGCTACAGCATTGCAGCCCGTTTGGCAAATGCCATAAGCCAAACGGCCAGCATATACATTGAAGATAAGACAGAAGATCGTAAAAAAGAAAACGAAAAGCTTGTTCATTTTGCGAGTATTATCAAAATCTGTACAGAAGGAAGAAGAAGAGATAGAGCAGACGAAGCTCGTGTTTAAGAGTTTTTGAAATTGTGACTTACAGTAGCAAGAAAGACTTACAGCAACCTTAGTCATAAGACGCGCATATGGTTACTGATAGATCAGCTTCAGGAAATTGATGTTAGAGCCACACAACGTCCATATACGTCTTATGATATCCCTTTTTTCGCTTGTTAATAAGCGGACTACGAACTAGCTAATTGTAGACTGTAGCGTAGAGGGAAGCTTAAATTACTCTTAAATGAAGTAATGGTTACAGTTGCAGGATACAATCTCACTTCTTGGACATAACACATAACTTATAACACGGATTCGCTCTTTTTTTTTTGGGAGTTTAAACTATTCTGTGTATGCATAAAGCAGTAAAATCTGCTAATTCCTTTGATTCACAGTCGATCGGAAAAAGGAAACACGAACAGATACAAAAAACAGACTGTGTTATATCCAACATCATACTACTCTTGAGTTATTACATGATACTGAAATAAGAGACTATGGATCCTTATGAAGATTAAAATAACCGTGAGTGATAGACTTGTTAGAACAATTCTTTTCTTTTACGGAAGCATATTTCATCTGTATATCCGAGGCAGCATTGTATGAATAATTGACTTCATTTAGAAATAAGATATTATAGTATTTGGATTTGACAAAATCAGATACCTTTATTTAGCAGATCAAACCACAATACATAAATCTAATCTACTTAAGCTTTTATCTTCTAACTTGTTGATCCTTACTTTAACCATTTACATTCTGACAGAATTCAATAAGACTGAAACGTAGACGTCGGCAGAATTAAGGAATAGCTTATCCTGTCCGTTACGTTAGTTATAATGAAACTGCTGAAGTACGGGTCAAAGGAACCTTTAGTTAGATCAACCCACTTACCTCCTTTCACTGATCCAATCGGTCAAGGCACCGCTATAGCATGATGAACCGTGCAGTAACAATTGGGTATGTCTTTCTTTTATCATCAGGTCATCTTGTACCTAAAGAGTCTCGATAGAAAAAGTTTTTTACAATATCCACAAATATAAATAGAAGTACTTTTTTCCTACATGGTTTTTTGTCTCTTCAATTCTTTATCAGAATATTCTACTTAATAAAAGAAGATAACTTGGTCTTCACTGATTACCTTTTTGTTTTCTTTCCTATTGTGATCTATTTCTACCATATATAACAGACTGTTCTAAGTAAGTGTATCTTCATTGCCAACTTTCCTGGGTTTTTTTTTTTTTCCTTTTTTTGTTTGAATATTCCACGTTGGTAATCTAGCTCTTGGTCTGTACTCATATTGACGTTGTATCACTGTACCCAACAGAAAAAGCCAATTACTATATATAGATCGTTTTATTGGTAAATGCACTAGCATAGATGTATGTAATTATGTTGGAATAGGTTTATCTCTAGATTCTCCAACCAGGAGGCTCCATTTTTCTTATACTCCCACTTACTATGCGAATTTGATTCGTAGGCAACACCAACAGTCTTTGTCGTGGGTTAACTCAAGTATAGAGATGGCTTCCGAAACTAAACCTTTCACCTCATCAAAAGCACTGATCTGGAATCCTACCTTTAAACTGCAGTCAATGAATGTAATGTTTAGCCATTCATTTTTTTTTTTTTTTTTTTTTTTTTTTTTTGTTATGGACACTTTAGAGCATCATGTTGGAAGTATGCCGGCCTTTCATGTGGATGGCCGAAAAAGTCTGCGCAATATCTTCATAATTCTGTGAGAATTAGAATAAGCCAATCATGTTGCGTAGATTGTAAATTGCTCATCGCGCAGATTATAGGTGTAACTGTTTGTACTCCAAAAGGATTCTCACGAGTATATCATACAGGAAGTCTATAAAAGGAAGTTGCAGCCAGTTGAAAAAGCTCACATGTGTAGAAAAAGCGCTGCCCTGTCAAATCTTAAAAGCGAATAAGATTGTTTAGACTTATCAATCTCTTTATTTGGTAATTTCGTTTGTTAACGTGTAGTAACTTTAAATACACGACCCTAGCCTATTAATAATAAACTACATCTTATTAACAATTGACTGTTGTATACAAATATTTACATAAAACAGCATTTTCGGATGTTTACGTATATCTCAATATCATCAAATACCTGTGATACATCATGTAGTGTATACGGAAAACAATGTAGTGCTGACGTATATAGACATATATAAATAATTAGCTAAAGTTTGATTTTATGATTGCTTATATATTGTTCCTCTCCTGGGAATTTTTATTCTTATATGATAAAGAGAACGATTATCAGCCAATGAATTTCATATGATAAGATCGATTTTAACCATAAAAGCATCTTATCTCTGTTCCCTTTTTCTTTTGCTGTAGCTCTCCTTAATATTTTCGTTACACGCATCAGAAAGTAAAATAGGAGGTGCATTCAGTATAAATACCTTTGGCTTCTTTTTTCTTTCTTTTAGGTTATTATACTTCCTTTTTGCCTGTCTTTCCTTCTTACTCTATCCAATGACTAACCATTACCAAATGACTCCAATGGAATCTCTTTTGAGTGCCATTGACTATGCACAGCCAATTCACTTGCCTTTACCTTCATCAAAGCGAAGTCGACAGGAAGATACAATGTCGATCAAAGCAATTCTGGATGATACTCATATCGACTCAATGGAGCCACCTTTCAAACGAAGACAGCATCAATATTATTATACAACTCCTCCGCCTCAATCTCCGCCTAGCAGTATATCAACCTTGCCCAGCATCAGTAGCAATATGAGTAGCGGTAAGAGTACAATCACTTGTTACCATGCTTCTGTAGCTCAGAAATCATATGGTACAGAAAGACGATTCTTATGCCCACCACCCACCGTCATCATGTCGTCCTCGGCATTATCATCACAAGCAAAAAATACTACTGCTTCAAAGTCTGCAGTCGTGTCAATGTCAGTTGTTGTGAATCCTACCACAGCCAACAATAACGTTTTAGCAGAGCAGCGTACCTATTTGAACGAAAATTCGAGTGGGCAATTCAAATACCTTTATGTCTCAACGGCATCACCCACTCATCCTAGTTCTGCTGCTTCAACCACCGCCGCCATGAATACGAAACAATTCTATCTACGTGTCGATATGATGAATACTGTCTTCCACAGCCATCCTATTTCAATCATATCCAAACCATCAAAGAAATCGGCTACAAAAGCACGAAACATGTCTATTTCTTGTATATTCAATCATTCACTTATCTCATTGTATAACCGTATCAATTCACAAACTGTCCGAACTAAATACCTAACCACCTCACCTAACAATTATGCAACTACAGAACTATGCGCCAAACATAATACTTGGTCGCCATTTGAAATTATTGTCTTGAAACAGCAGCAACAAATGCGTTCCACTGTTGCAGCGACACATACCAACAACAACAACAACAACAACAATACAAATAACGGAGGTATTGTCCTTATCACTTATGGCACTGAAATCATCTTGCGCGATACTTATACCGGCATTAGCTCCCCTCCACTCATCATTCGTAAAGTGAAAAAAGGTCAAATAGTCCAGCATGCCAGTGGTGAATTACTTAGTCAAATGCAAAAAGTTGCCTTACAACTATCCAGTTCCAACAATCTTTTTTTGAATTCGAATGGTGCTGTTATGCCCACACCTCCTAATACCATGACCCATACCACACCCTCAGCCAAAGACATTGCTCAAGATAACCACAACAGCAACATAAGTAGCACTTGGGTTCAATTTACACCTTGCAAATTGTCCCCGGATGGCTCAACCGGAAAAATAGATGATTATACTTGTTGGACCATTGTTGGCGTCAATAAATTTGAATATCAATTCGAAAATCAACACCCACCAGCACATCCACAGCCACAGATGAGTTCACCTCCTCTGTCACCTTTATCGGCTACTTCTTCGACAAGTATAGCATCTCTTTGCTCGCAGCAACCTTATAATGCTACTAGTATCAATACGAATACTACTGCAATGAGACCCATCACTCCATTCCCCTTGATTTGAGCATTATTATGTATTTGATGATATCCCCTTGCTTTTTTTTATGGCTTTGATATACCACTCTTTTATCTATTTATGTAAAATATTCTATATCTTACCCGCTGTTATGTAATCATTACTTGTTTGATAATCAATAAAAAAAAAATATAGAAGTATCATGAATACTTCATTTATACATGAATTACACCATCTGATCCTATCTTTGAAGAATTTGCATATTTCTGTGATGGTTTAAACTTTTTTTAGCCGGTTTCTACCATATCACAGAACTTCCTCAAACAGAAGCAATCCCGAATTTTGAACGAATGTTGTGATACGTATCCTATGAGCAAATGGGTTAAATATTGAATGGCTATAAGGTAAGTAAAGCAATACCAATGTAAGGAAGGGGGGCTTTTTTTTTTAAAAAAAAAAGTACTGCTACTAGGCGATTCACTCACTCGAAGAGCAAAGCATAAATACGCGCATTGCTTGTAATACTAAGAATTGCAGAGATAGCAATGGTGAACTACTAACAAAGTGCTCAATGAGACATTAAACGAGAGTGAAAAACTGTTATTGAGAGCAAAAATTGAGAGCATAGCTTGTGCTATTAGCACATCATCCCTTAAACCATAACAAATAAGATAGACAGCCTTTTCAGCATGGCAGTAGAAGAACCATTCTATTCTATGATAATAAAGGTTGCCTGTAGGCCGTTGCGTTGTTCGAAATAGCCTGATAATGGTTTTACACCATACATATTCATCAAATCTCTTACACATGGAACTAATTTTTCTTTAACATATGCTCAGCTGTGTTATTTTTGTCAATGCCTTCCAGATTACTAGGTCATTTTATTGATTTTGTTTGTTTTTCTGTAGGGTTCGATGAACGACATTCAAATAACGTCTTCATCGGTTGAGCGGTGTTTGAATTAACAAATAAAGTATTGTTTCACGAACAAAATGCCTTTTTGACAGATTTCAATCCATCAAAATCTCTTATATGTGGAACTAAAAGTAGCCTGTCACTTGGAAGAAAAAACGAAATGAACCCTATGTATTATGATCCGTATGTAAGGATGTCTCAAAGACGACATTGGCTACCAGAGATAGGTTCCAGCGACAAAAAAAAATCCTCTTTACATCCTCGTCGACATCACCGTTCAACTCATCGTCATCCAGTTGGAACGGCTTCATCGCAAAAACAACCACATCAGGCTAAGGCCGTTCCAAAAAAGCTCAACAAGGAAGTGCTGGATACATTTCTTTTTCGCTGGTCAGGTATGCACACTTATGTTCTCGTCAGAGTACTTGACACAACCATAGCCATTTTACCTGTACGATCTCGGCTTGCATTTCTGTACTTTCATCATGCGCCCTTTCCACGACAACCTTCGGCTTTGCTACTTCAAGAACAGCAGCATCAGCAGCGTCAGCAGCATCAGCAACAACAGAAGCAGAATAGGACAGTCAAAAAGGCTAACGTTGATGAAAATGAAAAGAACGGTCGTAAAAAACAACAGCAGCCTAATATTGTCATATCACCTACATCACCTCCATCTCAATCGTCTACTTCCACGCCTTTAATACTCACTAGAACGTCAACGCAGACAAGTCTCCTTACATCACAACACTATCCGGGTAGAAAAATTCAGAAAATGATAAAGAAATGGAGACATAGTTTAATTGAAGACGATGATAACGAAGAAGAGCGCTTGGGAAATGAAACTTATTTAAATTCTTCAAAAGAAGAGATAAATGAAGCAGTGCCAATGGATAAAGAGCGAAAAAGTGAAGATAGTCCAGCAAAGCATAGTGATCATAGCAAGGGCAATAGAAAGAAAATGACGAAAAAGAAGCTTAATATCAATGATGATAGTGGCATTCAAACAGATGATTTAAGCGATGCTGCTTGCACCAGTGATAATGACAACACTTTAGCTACATCTACATCTACCACTGGAAGTGACCAAGAAGAATCCCATCCTCTTTGCGACCCTTCAGCGCCTTTTACTATAGCAATGGAGGAAGATATAGCTATCTCACCATCTAGTTCCTCCTATCCGTCCCCCTCACTGTCCCGTTCTTCATCCATCACATTAGCACTGCATTCAAAAAGCAGTGCAGGGAATGATCAGCATGAATTGTCTCATCATCATTCTCAGCATCATCACCACCATAAACAGAAACAACAACGAAAAATAGACCTCTCTGATGTATTAGCGCACGAGCGAAAAAATACTCTAGAGAAAGGATGGATTCACGCTCCTTGTACAGTCTACAGTAAAAGCGATAGCGTTGATGATAGTTCCGACATCTTAGTTATCCTCAAAACCAAGCATAAAACGTTGATTTTGAAAGCTAGATCTACGAAAGAAAAGCGGATGTTTATAAACTTGGTGAAGCTAAAACAGCAAAAGATTCTGTCTGATAGGCAACAATTGCAAGAGAACGAAAAGAATAGTAAAAACTACGTTGACTCATTAGATGATTCTGACAGCATAAGTACAGAATCAAGCATTCTATCTCCTATAGCAACCATCACTTTGGACAGTTTATCAAACCATGCCGATATGTATGAACGATCTAGTTTAATAAACTCTAATGCCACCAGTTCTAACTTTTGCCCCGCTATTGCGGGGGGTTTTTTTTTTTCATTAGACCTGTTACAGATCTTATCAATCATTTTCATACCTATACCCAAACAACTTTAGCTTCAATCGATACCTATTTGAATCAGATTAACACCTCCAAACAACAAGTGGAGCAATATTCTCGACAACTATTGGAACTTGATGTCTCTCTCGACACTGTCATGGATTCTACTTTCAACGTTCATTTCAGCCCATCAAAGCGTATGTTGGACTATGTGAACCATCAACTCGCTGACTCAATCACGCAATATCATCATATTCAGCAACGAATGATGGAGCTACAAGAGCGCGTTTCCGTTCACGACCGGTTTTTGTCAGGGGCACGACAACGTTATGAACAGATTGTCCGCAAAATGCTGAGAAGAAAATCATCGACGAATATCGCTTTTTGGTTGCTAGTAGCAGCCGCTCTTATAGCCTTTTTGGCTCTTATTTTTGCACGTATGCATTGAATCGTCGCTTCATATCTTTATGACAATTGATACCCTTATCCACTGCAATTACCTAATTCCGATCATAAAGAGAGCGCATTTTCGCAGATTCCCTTCCCTCTAATAAATTTGTAAAATAAAAAGCTTTTTGCTCAAGCTTTCTGGTGTGTAGAAGGGTTGCTTACTTTGACAAGGAACATTGTGTCTAGACTGAAGTTATTATTGCTTATATTTCATTGATCAACTCTTAATGTCGTATCATGGCGTATTTCAATTTAAAAAGGGCGTAGCTGGAAAATTTAAACGCAAAAGAATGGAATGCTAAAACGCAATCAACTGATTTATCAAAAAAGTCGCCGTTTATCAGATCTTTAAAATTCATATGTTTATTGGATGTCGCCGTTGCTATGGCAACCTTGTAGTCCCACTGAATGAAGCCGAACTGAATTTTCTTTCATTTTTGCCTCTCTCCTGGGAAGAAAATTTAATTTTTATGAAACCAATATAAAGTAAAATCACAATGACTTTAATGCTGCGTATAAAATACTTCTCTCTCGGTTCTCTCCTGTTCTCGCACAGGAGCCATTATGGAAAGGAATAAAGTGTCTCAATAATGTTACACGAGATTTTTTCGAAGAAAAAAAAAAAAAGATCTGTGCTTTGCTTCAATGATGAAGCAGAAAATCCTATCAAGCAAATGAGATACGGTCAAAAGGACAACAAGTAGATGCCTCAATCAAAACGAACTATGAACAGCTATGAATAACGCAAAATAGATAACTTTGTACATAAGTCGTAGCCATTTATGCGCCGGAACATAGCCTCGTTTCCAAATTTATTCAGGGACACAGTTTTCCGATACCTGTGTATTTCTGCAACTGGGAAACAGAGCATCATTCTTACCGAATATTCATGGTTTGTTCAAAGGGCACCATTGTGTTCAATGTTCTATAGAGACGTCGGTATCATTTACCAGCAGAGTAACAGTATTTTAAATCTGATTCATACGAATAAATTCTCAAAAGAACTAACTTGTACCTAATTTGTCATCATTCCAGTCACTTTAAATCAACTGCATGTCAGAAAGTGGCATGTTTGCGGGCTTTTGCTATGGATAAAAAGTCTCCCCTCCTAAACGCGTAGTCAAAACGAAGCGCGCGTATGTTGTTCCGATTATTTATTCTATCTCAGCTGAAACTAACTTACAGCACAAAAGAGCGCAACACGGGCTACAAGAAAAATAGCTATGAAATCCTGAATGGGATTCCCTTTTTCCTCTAATGCTTTATCATTATCGGGATCGAAAGCTAAAACCTTGCTGACTTACATACGCGCTCTAACCATCGCGATTAGCAGAACGCCTCTTTTATATTGGTTTATTTCTCGTTCCTTGCGATTTTTTTACGCGTTTTTTTCAACCAGTTTTTGAAACTCTTCATCTCCCTCTCGTTCCCTTCATTTAAATTGCTGGAAAATATTTTTCTTTTCCTCTTGTTCTTTCCCTTTTTCCACTTTTTTATTTTTCTATAATTATTTGATTAGTCAAAGATGTATGTCATTAAAAGAGGTACAGTATTTCCATCGTTTAATCCCAGACTTTTCTGTTTTGTCACTCGTCCCTATACTAAATATTTATACCATTGTCATGGCAACACCTCTCATTTCTATCTATGAAAAGACGGTCGCAAGGAATCAGTTGCATTTGATAAGGCAAGTATTTTCATAATATAAAGAAAGAACGATCAGAAAGAGAGGCGAGATGATTGTTGCTGTAGATAGCTAACGTTTCACAAATTGACATACCATTATCAGATTACCGCAAGAATTAACAAGCTTTGCTATGGTCTGGATACCAAGTTTGTCGATCCTGTTACTGTTACTCAAAAGGTAATCTCCGGTGTTTACGAAGGTATCACTACCAGTATGCTCGACACCTTAGCTGCCGAAACAGCCGCCTATATGACCGTCAACCATCCTGACTACGCCATTTTGGCCGCTCGTATCGCTGTTTCCAACTTGCACAAAGAAACCCATAAGGCATTTTCCGATGTCGTTAAAGCTCTTTATGATTACGTGAATCCTCGTAATGGCAAGCACTCACCTATGATTTCCGATCAAACCTACAAAGTCGTTATGGAAAACGCGGACCGTCTCAATTCAGCTATCATCTACGATCGTGATTTCAACTTTAACTTCTTTGGTTTCAGAACATTAGAACGTTCCTACTTGTTACGTATCGATGGTAAAGTTGCCGAGAGACCCCAACATTTGATCATGCGTGTGGCTGTTGGTATTCATGGCGACGATATTGACAGCGCTATTGAGTCCTACCATTTGATGTCTCAAAAATACTTCATTCACGCCAGTCCTACTTTATTCAATGCTGGTACCCCACGTCCTCAATTGTCTTCTTGTTTCTTGTTGACACCTAAGGAAGACTCTGTTGAAGGTATTTTTGAAACCCTCAAGATCTGCGCCAAGATCTCCAAGAGTGCAGGTGGTATTGGTTTGAATGTGCATAACATCCGTGCTACAGACTCTTATATCGCTGGTTCTGACGGCGAATCTCACGGCCTCTTGCCCATGATGAGAGTTTTCAACAATACAGCTCGTTACGTTGATCAAGGTGGTAATAAGCGCCCTGGTGCTTTCTGTATCTATCTTGAACCCTGGCATCCTGATCTTTTCATGTTCATGGATCTCCGTAAGAATTTTGGTCGTGACGAAATTAGAGCCCGTGATATGTTCTATGCTCTTTGGATTCCTGATCTCTTCATGAAACGTGTTGAAAACAACGAAATGTGGTCCTTCTTCTGTCCTAATGAAGCTCCTGGATTGTGTGAAGTTTGGGGTGATGAATTTGACGAGCTCTATACTCGTTATGAAAAGGAAGGACGTGCTCGTTCTACCATGCCTGCTCAAAAGGTTTGGTTTGCTATCACCGAAGCTCAAACTGAAACTGGTAATCCCTTCTTGCTTTACAAGGATGCTTGTAACCGTAAGAGTAACCAGCAAAACTTGGGTACCATCAAGTGTTCCAACTTGTGTACTGAAATTGTGGAATACTCCAGCCCTGATGAAGTAGCTGTCTGTAACTTGGGTTCTTTGGCTCTTCCCACCTATGTCAACAACGGCGTTTTTGATTTCCAGAAATTGCATGAAGTCACCAAAGTGCTGACAAAGAATTTGAATAAGGTCATTGAGGTCAACTATTACCCTGTTCCTGAAGCTTACAACTCCAATATGCGTCACCGTCCTGTTGGTCTCGGTGTTCAAGGTTTAGCAGATGCTTTCATCCTTATGAGATACCCCTTCGAATCTGCCGAAGCCAAAAAGCTCAACACACAAATTTTCGAAACTATTTATCACGCTGCTTTGGAAGCCTCTTGTGAATTGGCCGAAAAACTGGGTCCTTACAGTACCTATGAAGGTTCCCCTGTCTCCAAGGGTATCCTGCAATACGATATGTGGAATGTCACACCTACTGATTTATGGGATTGGGATACTCTCAAAGCTAACATTGCCAAGCATGGTGTCCGTAACTCTCTCTTAGTTGCTCCCATGCCTACTGCCTCCACTTCACAAATTCTCGGTTTCAACGAATGTTTCGAACCCTACACTTCCAACGTTTACATGCGTCGTGTCTTATCCGGTGAATTCCAAATCGTCAACCAATGGCTTTTGAAGGACCTTGTGGATTTGGGTCTCTGGAACGACAGAGTGAAAAACAAATTGATGAACGACAATGGTTCCGTTCAAAACATTGAAGAAATCCCTGCTGATATCAAGGAACTCTATAAGACCGTATGGGAAATCTCTCAGCGTACAATTATTGATATGGCAGCTGATCGTGGTGCTTTCATTGATCAAAGTCAAAGTATGAACTTGTTTATCGGTAATCCCAATTTGGGTCGCTTGACTTCTATGCATTTCTATGCTTGGAAGAAGGGTTTGAAGACTGGACAATATTATCTCCGTATTCGTCCTGCTGTAGATGCTATCAAGTTTACCGTTGATCAAACTGCACTTATGGAAGAAGCTAGAGAAAAAGAAGAAGCCGAAAAGCAAAAAGCCAAGGCTTAAATGTATAAATCATCCCCATAGAGTAATTTAAATTCGCTATATGTATCACTAACAATCAACCATCAGGAAATCCCATTTCACTTTGCATTATCTAATATCATATATTTTTTAACTTTTTTTTTATCCATATCCCAATTCTTATTTTTTTCACCTCCATCTGTATTCAAAATAGATTTATTTGTAAATAGCTTCATTGTGATGTTTGTTTTATTGAATTGCAGCGTACTATTGTGCTATTTGCCTTATTTATATTCTTCCTGTTACTCTCTTGTCCTAGTGACAGCAAAGGATATGTCATTCTTTTCAACGCGAAAGAATATCCAGCCTATACGCATGTTTTAAATTATATTTCCAAAGCTGCGTATAAAGTCGCGTAACAGTAGGGTTTTTTAACTTCCTGTATCACAAGCCTTAACATCGAACGCGATAACTGTGAACTTGCTGGCTTAAGGATTGTCGCCACTGGATTTCTCTTTTTTTTTCCGCTTTCAAAATCACAAATTTCTGTTGTATATCCATTAATAAAAAAGGCATATTGATATCGCTGTTGTTCATCAATATCGAATGATATCAGCGCCTTTACAAAGAAAAAAAAAAAAAAGAAAAAAGAAAAGGCCAACCCAAAAGATAACCCTAGATGCTTGGAGCACGAAGGCATGCTCTGTAACACGAGTATGCTTGTTCGAGAATCCAGAGTAAATACATCCCTCTTAATGATTTTCACGTCAGTTCGCTACATCATTGCTTCATAGTAGTATTCTGCAAATGCCTCATCATCCATCTCTTCTAATACAAATTCATCTAGTATGTTACCCAGAATAGCTGCTAAGCTATGTTTGCACTATATATACAGCCCATCGATCAGTTTTGTTTTCATATAGTTTTCAAAAAAAAAAAAGAAGACAGTTTACCAAAATGGCTTGCTTTTCCAATATCACATTTTGGTGAAAGAATTCACAAGAGCAATAACGAGGGTATATCAGGCAAATATAATTACGACGAGCATCAATCTTTTGTTGTCCGTCACTTGGTTCTGATACTTTGAAAACCATTCTTCCAGAAGGTTGGCTTTTCACCAACGTGACTATAATCAGCTAATTGTTTTTAGAACAAAGAGTATATGTATTTTAATAATGTAAACCTATCCCTTACCGGATTTAGTATCAATAATGTGCAAGGCTTCCAGTAGAGTTTCTCTGAAAACTGTGTACAAGTTGATCTTCAAATCGTCCGTTACTGCAGGTCAGTATAAGATACAAAGAGTTAATTGAGCTGTATGTCGTGCATAGGCTTTTTCTTCTAACTTGACATATATTTACACGTTCCAGTTTCATAGAGTTCCTCTATCAATCCTTCATATAAAACATTTGAGTTGGCTCTTGAAATGGACATGGACATTGCAACGTTGAAGAGCAACGTGTTGTAAAAAACTAAGGAAGGTGCAAAGTGTACATCCACACTTTTTTACAGTCTTTTCGGTTCAGATTCAGACAGCGTTGAGTTAGTTTTCAGATGAAACAAATAAAAAAATTGGGAATTTGAGTACAATATTTCTGGATATATTTTTGATAAAATGTAGACTTATTTACCTGTAGAATCTTTAAGTCTCCCGTCGAGGGGAGACAACCACATTCGATGTGGCGCTTTGTGATTGACAGCAAAATGTACTAGGTCTTCCATGACCAGCCCAAATCTCTTGAGCAATATGATACATATTTTAAGCCGCCATTACATCACACAATTCCATCAAATACTACAATTTTTGTGACAGAGTATCTGATGGCTTTCTTTCCCTGTTGAAATAGCACGATAATTTGTTAGCGCTCTGCATCGGTATTTCAAGCTACGATGGTGATCATCACTACATACCTTTGATGTATTCACCTAAACTACTAGGTGAATGATTTTAAACACGCACTTTCTCTAAATCATTACTCATTGTAAATAGATATTAATGAGACCCGAACTCCAACTTGAATTAACGACAATGAAATTCTTTGTTCTACTTAACTTAACCCATTATAAACTCCAATTTGATAAACCACAATATCCCCAAGTTCAAAAAGACCTTTTATACGTATTATAAGTATGCCTAGAAAAGTAGAGAATACATTATCATTCTGATGAATACAATGTTTACAGTATACCGCAAGTTGCCAACAGACATAAGCAATGTTAAGGATACGTACTTGTCGATCTTCTTTTAATTGATGAGAGCTTCAGCTTCGTAATAAAGCTCGGGTTATGTCTTTTGATTCTGCTAAAGAGTATATGATTCTAAAGCAACTTGTAAGAAAGGAAGATAAAGATAGAGAAAAAGAAAAGAGAGAGTAGTATATTTGATAACAGTTATATAGAAAAACATAAGTGAGGAAAAAGTGGAAGTAGTATAGCTGACAACTTTTCTTAAATTAGATCGCCAATTGTATTCAAGAAAAGTCTGATAAAATTGACCCCTTCTCCCAATAGAACATGATCCTGATTACCCTTGAACCCTAAGGGGTTTTTACATGCTATTTAGCCTTAGGGGCTGCCCCAAATAAGTTTCATATCTCGTGTCCATTTCATTGTTTAAACGTACAGTATTTACTTATTTTGGATTTTCTGACGTGTCCATTTCATTGTTTAAACGTACAGTATTTACTTATTTCGGATTTTCTAACAAACAAATTTCAAAATACTTGCGAGCACATTCGGATGAAGGCCATTGATAAGTGCATAGCGTGTATCATCCTCTGTATACGATTACACCTCACAGATGATTTGTCAAATAGATTGTTCTCAAGTCAAAGACCTACTAGTAATAATAAATAAACAGTCGTAACCACTTTGCTAGAATTGTACACAAGATAGATGGCTGGACAAGATCCAATATATCAGTTGGTCATCTCCGCTTATATCACAATCGAGCTTCTCCTTAAAATAAAAACATAACAAAGGAATTGACTTGCTGTATATATATTAGAATATCAGCTACTATTTGTGGAAGTATCACCGAGCTCTTTGTACTTGATAAGACACTTTTTTTTTTTTTTTAGTTTCAATCTTTTTTAAGGATGTCTGAACAATGAAATACAGGTAATCATTAAGGGAACTGTCAGCATCTTTGAGAATGAGACCTCTCATCACTTGATTTTGTTATTGGATCATAGATAAACAAAGAACCAGATTATTGCATAGCATGTGTAAATACGACTTTTGGCGGTTTTTTTTTTTTTTTTTTTTTTTTTGGATTACTTTATCCAAAAATAAATAAATTAGTCAAACATCGCTGAGGGGTGGGACATGGAGAGTAAAAGACAAGCTCCAGACGGGTAATTAGTCGAAGGCAGCCGCTTCCCGCAAGAGCTGCGAGGAAGGCAGGCTTAAGGAAAATAATATTGTGTGCTTTACTAAGGACCGATGGGGGGTGGAAAGGAATGTCATGGATATCATTCGGAAGAGTGAAGTCGAGATAGCCCAATGGATACTGAATCAGACGGTAAAAATTAAGATTGTTCAGACGAAGGTGGTGATGGTGGCGTGTGTAATCTGAGAGCGGCAGAGATGCTTTAAGGATCAAAGCAGAAGGACGGGAAATATGCCGCGAGGCCTTCTTGCCATATCTGCCAGCGTAGAGGGCAACTGGTTATGAAATGTTCGAACATATCAATATCATGATAACAAAATTTGCAGATAGCAGATGAAACTACCCCTGCTGCTTGTAAGACTGATAAGCATGGTAATTTTTTCAAAATGGTGCGATAGCCTAGGTCATGAGCCGGAAGAAACAAAGGAAGGGACCAGAACAGATTGAACATCCGTTTGGGAACTACCCCTATATCTGCTACTTGTTGTATTTGGTTGTTAAAATAAAGCCTAAACGCTGAAGCCAAATGAGGCCAAAGGGCACTGTTGGCCAATCGTCGTAGTAGTGATGTTTCTAAATCCTGATCTGGGTCGTCGGTATCTATAGAAGAGCCTGCCCGCAATCTATTGACGTAGGCTTGAAGCTGCACTGTAGAATCTATGAGTACTTGGCCCAAAGATGTGAGTGCAACCGCGGTTTCACATTATATTCTCCTGGTCGCTTCATTATGAGGTGGTTGGTGGATCGGTAGGAAGAAAAAAGTGTTTGCGACCATCTTGGGATGCAAAAGAAATGGTCTGAGACAGCTTCGTAAAGAATCCCAATCAAACAATTGATCAGTCCAAAATTTTTCCTATAACCAGTATAAATTTTCCCAATAAAAAGTCCGAATTTTTCTTCAAAGAGTCTGAATCTGAAGCGAAAATACTGTAATTGCTGAGACAGTCACTGCGTTCTAATACGATTAAACATGATTTGTTATTATATAATTTTTAAACCCAATGGGCACACTAGATAAACTACATATCAGATAATTACCCTGGGCAAATCAAAATATGTTATGGTCAAAAAAGCAAGATAGTGTATCATAATGCAGACTAAGAAGCAATTAAGCATTGATGGTGACCGGCGCAGAGGCCAGTCTAACAAGGGTTGTGTGAATGTTTCTGATGGGGTAGGGGACATTCTTCGTGTTGAAGGTAATCGACCTCATAAAGTAGCATTTGGATAATTGGCCAAGATATACCCCCACTTGACTGGTGCGTTGGTACGTTGTTTTATGGGTCGAGTAGATGCTGTTAACTTACAGGCTTCAGTTCGATTTTGGACAGCATTAAATCGATTTTCATATCAAAAGAACAAAGAAAATTGAAGTTTTGAGTACAATTTTTTTGGATATGGTCTCGATAAAAAGTAGACTTAATTATCTGTAAATCTTTGAAAACGAGGTCTTCCATGACTAACCCAAACCTCTTGAGCAATGTGATACATATTCTTAGCCGCCATTACAATCACAGTTGCAACAAATACTACAATTTTTGCAAAAGAATATCTGATGGGTTTCTTTCCTTGCTAAAGTAGCAAAATAATTTGCTAACGCTCTACATCGGAATTTTGAGCTATGATTGTGATTACTGGGACAATTGATTACATACCTTTCCCGTACTCACCTAAGCTACTATTTATTGAGATGCCGTAAATGTTATCTGTTTCCGTACGCCCAACGGAATCTGCAATTGCAGGGCTTTCCGCTTAATAAAGTCTATAGTGTAGACTTTGGAGAGGGACTCTCAAGAGAAAAATATGTGAAAGAAGGGTTATTCAGACTGTTATACTTCCAGTTTTCAAGTTGTTTTGGACTGAACAACTGCTATCAGTTCAGTTTTGTTCTAGGAAGTGTCCAGAACAGATTGTCAATTAGTCCGTTTTCAGCCAATAAAAGAGTGATTTTTTTAAAAAAAGACAAATCGAATCTGAAGCGAAAACACTGAAGCATGAATTTATTTGGTTTCTCAACTATTTATTTCCCTCATCCACGTTCATTACGAGGCATCAGCCAAGAATGGGGAACGGACAGAGTACGATTAAAGCCAAAGAAGAGCGCTTATGGTCCGAGTGGACAGCTCATGAACTAGAAAAGCTCAAACAAATATGTGATGACAATAACTCTTTGCCTGAATACTTCAATAAAGATCTTGCTGATGGCATAATAAGAACAATGGCACACAAACAAAAAGCCAGCACCGTCGAGTACTTGGAGTTTTTGCATGGGTTATTGAAAACCCAAGACAAGACATCTATTTACTTTACCTTCCGTCAAATATGTATTGCCTCAGAGAATAAAATGTCCTTACAAATGTTTGTGCATGCTGTCGTACAGTCAGCTATTCCTCTTTGGTTTGAGGGCAGCTCTTATCAATGGAGCAAGGATCTGGAAGATACAGAAAAGTTGGACCTATTAGTGTGTTACATGCTAAATCATACAGATGAAAAAGCCAAGCAAGCAACGTTATCCATGGCATGGCTTGATCTCGATAATAGGGATGAAAATAAAACAATAGTAGAAGAAGATAGCAATTGGCAAGAATTAGCTACTTCATTGCCTTCTACAATCACCGAAGCTGAGTTTATTCAATGGATCGAAAATACTCCTGGATTCTGTGTTCTATTTCAATTGACCGTTGAGTATATCCTATTTGGTAGCACCTATCACGCAACAAAACAAACGAATGACAAGGCGCTGCATAAGCGTCGTCTAGCTCATTTAATGTCGCCTCGTATCCAGAAACACGATTCATTGACGCGTCGCTTGTTCGGTGATGCTGACAGATTTTCTGGTCTTCTCACACCTTACGACTATTTTCTTCTCAGCCTTTCTCTACCATCCAACGCCCTTTCTTGGTCAGACTACGAACGTACTCAACGTAAAGTACTTGAAGATTTACAACATACCCTTTTATTCTCTACACAACGAGATGGAAATAGTTGGCAAGTATTTGTTAGTAAAATGGTGAAACAAGGCGCTACATTTGTTGTAATCAAGACTAAAGACGGTGATGTTTTTGGTGGCTATGCAGACGATGCTTGGGAATATCCGCCGAGCACAACTTGGTATGGTCATTCAGCAAACTTTTTGTTCCGTTTGAACAAGGCATTTGGTGTTTGGGACGGCGCGAATAGTAGCAATGATCATTATCAGTATTTGTGCTGGGGAAAAAAGAGTTTACCAAATGGATTTGGAATGGGTGGACAGTTTGATTACGCAGGTTTGTGGATTGACGCAGACTTCCATAACGGACATTCTAGAGCAGGCCCTTTGTGCACAACTTATTCAAGCCCTCAATTATCTGAAAAGGATAAATTTATAGTAGATGAGATCGAAGGTTTGTAACTATAAAATAACGATACAGAAGGGGTTCTCCGCGTTATGAATGTTAATGAATACCAACCCATTTCATATAATAGTATGGCTTGTGCGACCACTTCAAAGAGATGAAGACGAGGATCTGGCAGGAGGGAATGGAATACTGGGACGTTCTGAAGATATGGAATTCATGGAAATGGCTGGCAAGAAGATGTATTCGAAAGACTTAGCGCCAGTTAGAACAGAGGACGTCGTTGCTGATGATGGTGGTTCATAGTTCCAACTTCCAGGTCTTGTTGTGAATACACATGGGACTCCTTGAGCCTGAGAATACAGCATTTTTTCTCTGAGATGTACTTTGTCAAATCTTTATGAAAAAAGATCAGAAGCATGCCGCTTTTATGAATAAATACCATGAGCAAATCAGATCACCAAAGCAGAAAAACGACGTGACCTGTCAAACGCGTTTTCTATTGAAGGTGTCGAGTATGGTCAGAGCGTGCTATTTTTAGGTTATTGTATCCTGTTTGAGATACGTAATGAATTGCTAAGATTCAATTGTATAAAAGAGATAGAAAACTTTTTTCTACACTTTTATTCTGTTGTCTGTCCTAAATGCAAAGACTGTCTACTTTACTAAGCTTCTTAAAAGGAGCACATGCGTTACAGGCCGGTAATTGAATCATCGTTAAAAAAGGAACAGACTCCAATGTAAGCACGATATGAAGGATTTTGTATAGTCAACGACAATTATAGAATTCACCATTGTAAATTTGTTCCAGAGGCTATCCGTTGCAGAAGCGAGATGGATTATCGCTTTGAATTCAGGAGGCGTATAAGACAATTATGCCTGATGATATCCCGGGTAAAAGTAGGCATGCAGAAATACTCTGCGAAAAATGCTTACAGAAAAAACTTGGCCTTAAGAGGTAGGGATTGAATCCATCTAAAGTTAGACGCAAATGTTACAATTTAACTGTAAGTGTATTTAAAATTTAAAATGCAAGTTGTCCAATAAATATTGCTAGAGTCGTCTGAAATGATTTAAGCACTTTGAGTGTGGTGTGATTTCATTTTCAGTCAAAAGCTTAAAAGCAGATTTATGTCAGTCCACTTTGTTTCTTCTTTTGTACTCCATATTTTATAAATTTTTTTAAAATAACTAAAAAGATAAACATGTCTCTGCCTAATAAAACCAAGTACGTTCTAGTCTATGGTGATTCATACTCAGGTACGATCCGATTTCATTCATAAATCCACGATGTTTCAGATCGATAATTAGATGATTCAGCAGATATTCAGCCAGGGACAAAACGAACAAATGGACCTATATGGAGTCAACAACTAGCAGCCGAATGGAACATTAAGCTTATTTCACAAGCAAAACCAGGTGCTACATTTTGCAAAAATTCCAATAAGAATGGTAGCTGGTTGCAAAAACAGGTGGAAGACGGACAACAGCAAATAGGTAGCGTTATGGGAGAAGAAGGAAGTAATTCAGTCATACATATCATATTTCTGGGAGTAACAGATCTAATGGAAACAAAAGTAGAAGGTATCCAACTGTTTTCTTTAAGCTTGGTTTTCCGGACATGCAATTAATCTTTCTTTACTTTTATGACAGCCGCTACTGAATCAATAAACTATTGGTTACAATGCATTAAGGATCAAGTGGTAAGATTTTTCTTGCGCAGTGTGCCTTTGCGGCTGTGCCTGGGTTGAGTTTTCAATTCAAGTAAACTGAACAATTCATTAATATATATTTTTCTGTAACTCATAGACATACATTCAAACCAAAAATCCCAAAGCGCAAATTATTGTTATGGGTGTACCTGCTTTGGAATTTTCTCCTTACGCGTTATTACATAAGCAATCTACAGTCAATCTAAAACAGAATATTATCGACTTCAACGCTGCCTTGGAGGACGAACTTTCCGAATGGCAACAGCAGCAAAGCACCAGCAATGTTAACTTTTTTGACACCTATTCTGTTTTCAGCAATGTATTGGGTGATCCAACCAGTATAGCCGGCATCAAAAATGTCAACGATGCTTATTGGGATGTATGTCAAGGCCGATGTGCTGACCCTGTCAATGATTATCTTTGGTGGGATAGCATTCATTTGACAGGAAGTGGTCATTATGCCATTTCAAAAGCTATACAGTCTGAAGGATTTTTTACGACAGAAGCAATAACATCAACAGCAACAGAGATGAGCAGAGTATCGTCACCATATATTCGTTTTGTCTCTTGGTTCATTTTATTGAGCATAGTGGCCATGATATTGTTTATGTTAAGGCATAATAGAATTGTGGTTTCTTTAAAGAAGAAATTGCAAATGAGCGCTGCTAAAATATATCCCTCATGTGCTCCGAATAGAGGTACTCATGAATATACTCTTGTTTGAATAAAAGGAATACCATCCTAGATTTTATAACTATTCTAGGTATATAAACCGGAAAGACATTCTTAATACTTCATATGCTAGCGTTGCTTCGGAATATAATCCATATGAGACTCTCTGCTTCATCTTTCCAAGCATTTTTCAGTATTCCTGCTCTCATTAAAATTGCTAATTTCGCGTTATACTCTTTGCCGTTATTTTGTTCGATCAAAGAACTGCTGTCTAAGTATAATTTGTACAGAGCTTACCATTTTTGGAATCAATGCTGAAGAGCCCTTAGCCCCTTACTTGAAAACTTAACAACAATCATGTTTTGCAAATTCGATCTATGAAATTTCTCACTCTTGGAGAAGAGTTGCTAATACGAGCTGCAAACCTCTTCGCTAAAAACTTTCAATACTGAAGCTATGTTATACATAAAACATGTTTAATCGAAATCTGAAAATCTTGAGTAAGGAGCAAACACTTTGAGAAGCATATGCTTGGTTTAATCATACAGATCTAATGCAGTTGAAGTGATTTTTGAAGAGAACTATATTCCTAAAAGTTGCAACATTCTATCTACAACACGCATCGAAATGAAAAGGATTTACGTGGATCCACCTTATATTAACTGCAGTTGTAATACACATCTTTCTTTGGAAGCAAGCGGTTTTTATTTGACTCCTTAGTTTTTATGCTTTTACTTTTCCCTCCTTTTCTTTTTTTTTAAAAAAAAAAAAAACGGTGATTTTAGCGCCTTCTTTTGGTTATGAGCTACTCTTCTTTTTCGAACATTTCAGAAAATAAACGTTTTAAATATAACACAACAGCAGCCATTGATATCGAACAAAATAGTCAAACGCTGCCTACAACGGTCAAGCAGCAAAATGACAATGGCATGTACAACAGAACCTTTTCCGGTAGCTTGACAAGCGATCAATATCAACTGTCTTTTCTGAATAGAACTACCTTGCCCTCAGCATCGTCTTACTTGTCGTCCAGCGTGAAAGTTTCCTCTCCTTTACGTTATTCATGGCTGAATAATGCTGATTTATGGAATGATAGAAGTTTTAGCAATAGCTCTAGTAAGAAAAATTCATGCTCCACTGATATTAGACAACAATATCGCTGGCCACCGACAATTGCTGATGGGTCCTCGACAATGACTCGTCTTCACAACCTAAGGAGAAAAAAGTCTTCAACAAAGCCTTACAATCTTTGGACAATACGACAGCAGAGAAGAACGTTTCCGCCTTCTACTGATAGTCTACGACGAGTTGAACAAAAAGGTAAAATAAAGGAACTGTCGTCTATTGCAAGAAAAGGATTCAACATAAAACTTGATAAGAAGCAGCACCAAAGGCATAGTTTACAAGATTTTTTAGCTGCATTTTATAACGATAAAAACGAGGAAGAGACCTCTTCTTTATCGCCATCCTCCAACTCGACATCATCCGGTCAAAAACCACGCAAAGCTACCAAGAGAAAGGGCAAACAACCTATACATAAACAGAATCATGTTTTTCTAAGGAACACAACAGAAATAACACCGCGCCTATCGATTCATAGTAAAAGGGAAAACGAAGACACGTCTTCAAGCTCTAAAAACGATACTATTTCAGGTGTAAGTTTGGCGTCTACAACTCCTTCTACACCATTAAAATTTCCAACCCCTCCCAAACGGTCGCCTATTGCATTTTTTGTCAACCATCACTTTTATCATTCGCATGAAAATACGCTGATGAATGATAAAGTGCGACTACCGCGAAGAAAGTCCTCTGTAGTAGCCGACATAATTCATCACGTACAGCAACGATTAAGTAGCCTTTCCAACAGACACCATGAATCTCTAACACCTAATGCATCTACTCAAACCAGATCCATCTTGTCGTTGCCACTCAGACCAACATCGTTCATTAATACAGCAATTGTGGCAGAGGAAAGGCAGCGTTCGCGAATATTGTACAGAAAGGAAGTCAAAATACACTGTATATTATTTGTTTTCGGATTTCTATTTTTTCCATTGTGGTGGGTAGGTTTTGGTTACTATCTATATTCCAGTAGGAGTTCTGCTCATGTTATGAATAATAATGAGGGAGAAGAAGCAGTGGCTACAATACAAGATGTTCACTTTGATGAGAATATGACATCTATACGTGCCTTTGCTTATTTGAATGGGATATTAAGTTGTATCAGCCTCATTTTCCTGGCTTTCATTTTATCAATGATCATCTGGATGGTGAAAACGTCTTAACCAATTATAGATTTTAGAATAAACTCGCTTGTACAGTTAGGAAAGATATAGCTTCATACGACATTAAAGGATTTAAGTCCTTAGTACTTTATCAATGTAACAAAATTAGGTATAATAAATAAGAGGTAGGGTGTTAATTAGGATACTTTTTTTTACTGCTCTATGAGAGATTGAGCACAAGAATGGAGATTTCGAGCCTCAAAAGCTACTTAAATTTGCTCGGGCTTATGTTCAAACTGATGGGGCTTTTTCACCTCTCCCTCCTCAATTTTTTCCAGCACATTAGTGGCACCAGACTGGATCTTCAATTTTCCTGCTTCTACATTGTCGAACTCCTTTTCCAAATCTCTATATCCCATCATACGATAGACTATCGCGCTTATAACCCACGTTATTATAAAAGCCCCCACAATGATTATACCAATGTATTCAAAACTATCAGCCAAGAAGTACCAGAATTGCCACCAACCGTTGTCTAATTCGAGCTGCTCCCCAATCAATGAAAATAGCTCTATCAATGCTACAATGACAGCCACTATCACACTGATGGATGTGATTGTTAAATTATAGAACATTTTTCTGATGGGGTTGACATAGGCCCAAGTATATGTAAAGAGCATCAAAAAGCTATCCAATGAGTCAATCAAAGCCATACCTACAACCATATGATTGCAATGATATTCAATATTAGAATGTACTGAGTATTTTGTTTTCGTATGATTGTGCTTTTTACCTGAAGCAAACAATAACGGAAGTATGATAATCAACCACATCGACATCCCTTGTGCACCTTGAACAGCTGTAATACCCAATAATGTCACTTCCGAAGCTGTGTCAAATCCCAAACCGAACAAGAAACCCAATGGGTACATCTTCCATGACGCGTTCACAAATTTGAAGACAGGGCGGAAAAAGCGTCCCAGAATACCTTGTCGATTCAGATAATCTTCTATATCCAATTCTGTATATGTGCCTTCTCGTTTGACTTTTCGCATGGTTTTGACAATACTGATGAGACATATTAAATTCAAGGTTGCGATAAGGAAAAGAAAGGTGATAGAGACGCTGGTACCAATCAAACCGCCAATTTCGGAGAAATCTTCAACGCTGTTCGCGACAGCGTTGGCAGTAGCCGCAATAATGATGGAAGTGATAAAGACGACGGTTGAGTGGCCCAAAGAGAAGAAAAGTCCAACACAAACTGGGTGTTGTTTGTTGCTCAACAGCTTCCTTGTAACATTGTCAATGGCGGATATATGATCTATATCCATTAACACATAGTTGAGAAATTGTAAGTGCTACGTCCATCTTTTGTCATAAAAATGTATCTTTCTCGTTGGTGTGTGTACCTGCATCAACAGCATGCCTTAGGCCCAGGGTATATGCTAATGCTCCCGTTCCCATCATCGATGGATAGGGTTTGTAGGCAATTACGGCTACCACCCATATGACCACCTGTAGTATGCATAGACCAGCCAGCAAAATAAGTACTTTGGGTCGAACTTTATGAGGGTCTGGTCCAAATAATAATTTATAAGCAAATGAATCAGCAGACATAAAGCGTAATGCAAAGCGTCCTAATCTTCCTGGCTCTTGAGAACATTCTTGTTGTTGTTGAAAATCAGATTCTGTGCTCATTACTCTGCTGGACTGTAGTAGAATGGCTCAAGTTTTACTTCTATAACTCAAGAAATGATTGCAAGAAGAAAAGATACAAAAAGTTCACTTATTTTGGTTATGTTGATGAATTTAATCTGTTTTACGCTCGCTTGCCAACCTGTGTAACCGGAATCAAGAACAAAAGAGATTGCCTGTCATCAAGCTTTCGGTGCAACCAAGAACGCTTCTGTTACTCACCATAGAAAGAGCAATACACACCAAAGGTATTTAAAAAAGCGTTTTACCAAACAGCTTAGGTAGAGCATCCTTAATCTTCATTTGTTTCAACTCTATTTTGTCGTACGTCGATTGGACATACGTAGTTTTGCAATGATAAAACAATAGTAGATAGTATGTACACTGCTGATTGAAGAAAACGATTGGTAAAGCAATTTAGAGTCCGTTGCCTTTTACCCTGGATTCTTAATACCATTTTTCTATAATTTGGTCCGCAAAGAGCAGAAAAAAACTATATTTCGATCGACTCGTCTGTGAGTATTGTACAGAATATACCCGAACTATCCCGCTCTTTCAATCAGAAGAGTTTAGAAACTAGCGCGGTTATTCCCTATCTTTTCGAAATCATATCAATTTTCAGTAGAAGCAAATCCTTATGAAGAATTACTGTAGTCTGTGTCCTAAGTAGTAGACATGCCGCATTGTCTGTGTCTCAAAAAATCATACTGTTTAGACAGTACTGCATTCTTGACAAACGCAGATCATAACAGAATCCCTCGAACTATTTGTAGTTGGTACTTATGACTGTGAAAGCGAATTAATAGAGTAACTCGACATATTCAAGATGCATCATCCATTTTGGCATACAGAAGTTCCACAAATTCTAAGGCTAATTGTATCACAGCAGCAATTAAAGCAACATACAGCTTAGGCTAGTTCTTAAATAATGTCGTTACCTATCTGTGAACGGAATGATAACAAACAGACACAGAAACTTATATCATGCAAAGGATCTTAAAAGCTATGAAAGCGAACGATAAATCCATGTAAGCGATTAATCGCGTTTCTGCTCAAGTTTCTTGTATCACAAAAATTCTACTTTGATCGTGGGAGATACAGAAGCATAGAACAGTGATAGCAATATATAGTAGCAATCGGAATATCCGTCGTTGAAAGTTTCATTTCCAGCACCATCCTAAAAACATTCTCTGAAAAAGATAAATCATGTTGTTGAGCAGTTATATGGTTACTGAATGAAAAATATCCAGGTCCGGTGTGTATTACATGCTTATTTAATTCTCGTAAATTTCATTTATCCTTAACTTGCCCTCAGCATTTATGGAAAACATCAGGCTCGCAGCTATTATCAAACTGTAATCGATGCGCTATTGAATGAGTATTTCTATTTCCTTAATGTTTGGCCACAGTAATTATTTTCTCTTATTGATCAGCTATTTCTATTTCGGTAAAGAAAACTGGAGAGAGTGGCAAATACGAAACCTACAGTATTGACATGCTGAATACAGGACATCTTTACACAAGAGAGGTATGACTATTTGAACAAGCAATAGCTCAAAATGGTGCCGGAAACTGCCGACTTAACGAATAAGAAATTGTTCAAAAGTTCATGCTTACTTTTACATATCTTTTCATATACTTCTTCCATATTTTTTTCTTACTGTTTCAACTTTTTGGCATGCTTAGTAATTTTCTTCCCTAAAATCGCAATTCCTTTAGACTTGATCAACAAATCTTTCATCTTTCAAAGTAAACCATATGTAAATAGTTTCGTCGCTACTTGTACCTTGTGATAATTAAATCGTTATAGACCATAAATACGGTACTTACGAAAGGATGATGCTTTTCATTTTGAAACTTATTCGCCTGTCTGTCAGTGTATGAAGTTCATGTTCAAAACTAGGATAATAAAGAGACACAATTGTCTGCTCATAACCAAATTTCCTCATCCTGAGTTTTCGGTTTTTGTAGCATTCGATAATAGAGTTAAATAACGAAGAATGCGGTGATATTCCTCTTCAGCAACAGATGTATGTTGTGTTATACAGAATTGACAGCGATCAAAATTTTAATGCATAGCCCGTATCCATTTAGAAAGACATTGGTCCATTTTTGTCAAAAGCAAGTACTTTTCCTACCGTGACCAATCACTGTACACGTCTTTGCACCCTTAAGCCCTTCCATCATTATCTTCATCATCCTCTATATCGACGTTTTCACTTCTCAAGGCTCGTGAGCCCTCTAAATCATTATGTGATCAAAGCTAATGCCACCTATTTAGTATCTATATATTCCTTGTATAGCTCTGCCATGTTTAACCTTAAATCTCACCCAGAATTACATCGCATATCCTTGTAGCAGGCATTACATATTTGATGTCCTCGAACTGCAAACTGATTACAGTATGGGAATACGTTTCGTATTTTTGCTGAAAATGAACAACGCGCTAACTTAATATTTTGACAATAAGAATGAACCAATGTTAATTGTACAAGCATTGAATAAAGGAGCTAAAAATACATATAAGCTCTTTACCAATCGTTCCAGTGGTTTCTACAGAGTAACACTAAGGTGAAGTGAAGAGCAATGTCAAACGTAGCAAACTCAAGGAAAAAGAGGACTGAAGCCTAAATTCAATGAAGTATGTAATACTTTCCACTACGTCGGAAGGCCTTTTATTTGGTAACTCACTTACCGGTTACAATATACTTGTTTATCTCTTTAGTAGACAAGCTTATATCGGTTAGTCTAAAGTGAGCTTAAAATCTATAAACAAGAATGCTATTAATAAGGAAATTGGTACGGTAATGTAACTGGAAAGAAAATGTAGGCCAGTAATAAGCATAACCTTATGCGGAACAATCTTGCGTGTGAGGAAAAAGGACTTTAAGGCTTAACGACTTACAATATACAACGGTGGTTGCTAAAGGTCACTTATGGCTACGGATATGATCCATTCAAACATACAATAATTTTCGGAGCATTCCCCTAATAAAAAGTGGCTATCAATACCATTCCATACCCAATGTTTTATTGTCCATATCTCGGATGTGACTCCTTCGGCCAAAGGAATATTACGACAAACTAATGACCCTTTTCAACACCGTTTTATGACTTTATTCGCATTCTGCTCTCAGTTTATTATCAGCTTGACATTGTGAATATTGCTAATGATAATAATTATAGTAGCTGCCTTCTACCATCCAAAAACATATTCTTTCATTTTTCCAAGTAAATCGTTTGTCAAAGACTTACTCTTTTTCGCGCTGATGCCAACTTTGCCACTACCCAGTGTGTACTGACCATTAGCTTTCTTTAAATCTGTCTTATACAAATTGATACCTTCTTGAATTTTCATTATTGAGTGCGATTCTTTGTCTTCTGTTTTGCTATCGCCTTTTAGAGAGGTATCAGTAGTAGAAGTAGTGCTGGTGTTAATGCCGCTGCTATTCCTGTTTGAATCATTTTGTTGTTCTGATTCTGGCTCTAGACACACGCCGATGAGGTGGTTTTTAGAAATAATTGTACCATTGCTTTTGAGTGCAGCTACGGCTGAAAGGTCGCTAGCATATGTAATGGAAATCCAATTGCCTGAAGCTGATTGTTCATAATCACGAATAGTACCATATCGACTGAAATGATTGATAATATTGTGTGTAAGATTTAAGGGGTATCCAAACACACGAATAGTACAAGTAGAGTATTCAGTTTTCTTAGAGCTACCAATATTGATTGTAAAGGAGTTAGTTATGTAATAAAAACAATGAATTACTGAAATTGACGGCACATTACTTATCGAAGTGGTCATTTGTAGCAGGTACTAATTAGTTTTTGATAAGCATCAGTTTGATATCCAAATTAACAGGTTCAGTTTTGTATCAAACTTACCTCGTCTTTTTTTTTGCACAATACCATCACCAAATAATCCACGGTTGGGGTCTACAAATTCAGCAACAGTCGTTCTTATGAAAATAGATACCGAGTTGTTAGAAATCTTCAATTTATGCATGCTCAACCCAAACATAGTAAACCATGAATTACCTTGGTGGCTCTTTCACTTCTTTTGCTTCGGCAGCGGATGTAGGCTGTTCATATAAACGTAAGATAAAGGCATTGTACTTAAAGTCTCTAAATAGTACAGTTTATTTTTGTCCTACCTCGGGGATGACTCTTGAAAGTCTACGATCACCATACCCAATTGAAACCGATCTTGTCATGTCTAGCTTGATTTCATTTGCATCTTCAGGCTCTTGACTTCCAACAAAGAAAGCAGGTGGAATACATGTAATGTCTTTTTTTATTGGAGTTGTGGTTGCTGTTGCTGATTGAGTTGCCGTCGCTGTGTTACTCCTTGTATCTGCTGGAAAAGGTTCGGTTGTAGTTGTATACATATTTGGGAACGATGATTGTGATTGTTGGTAGTTATTATTCGATTGAGATGAGGTCGTGTGTTGATCTCTGCTGATATTATCCTCACTTTTAGGAGGTGCTCTAAATAAGGTGTCGGTTACCATGAGATTCGTATAATTAAAAGCAATTGCTGAAGAGAAACCCACAATTGCAAAAATGACAACAGGAATTTTTCTCTTTCAACGCAGCATTTTTAATTGGCTGCCGCAACTGTCACTTGTTCTTTGATATACTTTCGTCTTACGAGCATTGTGCCTTTAACGAAAGACAACAAAGACACTTATCTGTTATCTCGAATTAGTGTCACATCAATGGGTGTTAGAAATGAACGCATAATAACTATATGCGCTTTTAACTTATTATGAGTCTATTTTGAACGTCGAAAAAATGAATAAAAAATGGAATATCTAATTGAAATAATAGGAACAATCTATGACTGTAATTCTATAGAATGAAATAAATGCAAAATGTCTAAATGCTTCGATTTGTTCACATTAATGTTCCATCAATGATCAGTAAAATTCTATCGTGCAATCTATTGTTTCGCGAACTTGGAAACAAAAGCAACAGTTTCGTTACGAGAAGCAGCATTAGAGGGAACAACATGACTGTATGATTTAAACGAAAACAATTGTTGATTAGACACAAACATGATAAAGCAAACGGTTCACATAAAATAGTTCGTAATAATAGTTTACCCTCCTGCGTGACGGATAACAGTAGGTTCAATGCATTGCTCTACAAGTCGATCTTGAAGGGCCGGTTGAATCAATTTATCTTCTTCACCGATCATATGAAGTGTAGGGGTAGTAATTTTATGGCTCCAAATACCTGAAGTAGCCTTTTGAGCCTCGGGCACGAAACCAGCACAAAGCATAGCAAATTTAAAATTTGGGTGCTTAAAATCAGAATTGAAAAGATCAGGCATTAAAGCACGGTTCTCCATACAAATCAACATGATAGCAGCAAGACAAGCGCCTTGAGAAAACCCAAAAATACCATCAAAGGGACCCTAATAAGAAACGCTTGAAATTAGTCTCTCTCAGAGTGATAAATAGTGTCTTAGCTGTCTATACCTCTTTGATCATAAATTCTTTCAAAAATGTGACAGATTCTTTGAAACCTTGATAAAAACCGTCCTCGGTTTGCTGATCAGGGTAAGGATGCCACCAGGCGAAAGGTTTTTCGTCTAGCATATATAAGTGATATGGCGTATTAACGAAGTGCGTAAACGAAAAATTCCGATCCTACATAATAGCCGTCAAATCCTATTGGAAATTTAATCTCGTACCTTCAGGAGCATTTTCGTCAGCAGCAGCAGCGCGGTGAGCTTCTGATGTATATTTAGGATCAGTGGTCATTTGTGGAGCAGTTACATAAACTAATAGAAGCATCATAAGTTAGACCTGCTTTACTTTAAAACTTATTCTGTCACTGGACTATAAACATACCAAGCTCTGCCATCTTATCCAATTTCTTTCTGATAACTGCTGTTTTCTTTCTAAAAACACCTGCATTTTGTACCATGCCATGAAGGCAAAGAATACGTAGCTTTTCTGTAGTGGTCATATGGATTTTTAATGTAAAAGGTATCTTTATAAATTGAAGAATAAATATCCTTATAGAAAAAAAAAAGACAAAAATAGAGGAGAGATAAAAAAGTTTTTTTTAATGAAATTGTCTTGCTGGACAATTCGTGAAAGGCACTTTTTTAGCGCTAAGTTTCAGATCGACAACCATCTATGTGACTTCTGCCAAAGGCTTCCCTAACATACAAACAGTAAAATGCGTTAGATCGGTTACAGTAGTTCAGTTAATGAATAATGGAAAGCGCCGTATATTATACATTTAACCAGCTAGTGCATCAAAACACACAGGTACTAACGAATATTGACCTGAAAAAAGAATCGCTGAAAATCGGAAACTGAGTGAACCTAAGCTTTCTACAAATTTTGCCCCAAGACTAAAGTGGTATGACATTTTTTATTGATCTGAACTGCCGCAGTAAATATGTAAAGTCAATAATATTTTGCGGTTTATAATGGGGGACTTTGATTTTCTGATCATTGAACCTCAAAAAATCGTACATTTGTCGTCTATGAAAAACAGGCATGCTTCGGGTCAGCATTTTGCGGGGACGTGAAGCTATCAATCTTGTATGTTACTTCCGTGATTCTGATTATTGCATATACTATGTCTGTAATAGAGAAAGTGTTCCCAGTTTTACAGTTACAACGATATATAATTTGAACTTAGGAGCTGTTTTACAGATTACTGTCTCTTCAGTTCACTTAAGCACAATAATTCTTCATGACTGGGAAATGAGAAATTGCTTGCGTCAAAAAAGCTATGATTATGGCAAGCGTATTTCGGAAAGGCAGAGGAAAGGAGGAATTATCTGTAGGTGTTTTACAGTAATCTATAGTATATATGATAGATTAAGTTTATCATTGTAACTCGACCTTCATTTGTTACAATGTATAAATATGTATCAACGATATGCGTTGTGCATTAGGAAGGTGAAAGTAAAACCGCGTGCGATAAGTGTGAAGTTCTGAAAGATGTGAATGCTGTTGGTGGACTATATCGAAGTATGGTAGCTGTAGGTTGAAGGCTGTTATTGAAGATGAGTGTTTGTTATCAACCATCTGAGTTCCCTTTTTAAACGTGGATGTAGAACGTGAATGAGGTAGGACGTGATTGGCTTGAGAATTTTAGCACGAGCCGTAACTCGTAAAATAAGAGCAAAATTACATTGCGTTAGTATTGTATGGCATTTTGTGGATTTGTTTTCTGCAAAGTACATACAGTGCAGTATCAAGCGTAATGTGTCCAGTATATGCTGTTAGCGCGCTTCGAGCTTTCTGTGCTGATTTGTATTGTATTGTATTCCGTCAATTAAATTTGCTATGTTGACTAAATGCAAGGTCAATTGGACCGAACCAATCAATCGTTATATTGGCTAAGCTTATTGTTTATGAAATCTTCAGCTTCACATCTTAGCATATTGGGAAAGCTTTGTTGGCCATCAAGATTTTACAGTGTTGAAGAATATTTAACTGTGGAACTTCTAATAAAAGCTTTCTCGTTTTTTATATGAACGTTCAGTCAAGAAGGTTTTATCATAACTCAACTATCAAGTTTCTGAAATTCTTACACAGCCTCCGACTTATCATTCAAGGAAGCTTAAAAAAAAAAAAAATCAAATTCGACTTAACATTAAGTTAGGCTTTATCTAGAGTCATGGTTGTGCTATAACTCAAGAGGTGATTTTTGCATTCTTTATGTCAAATGCGGCCTATTCCGATGACAGCAGCATAAACTCTCAAGTATCCAAATTCCGCTTGTATAAAAAGAATCGTACATATTTAGCTCTCTATTACACACTTTTTTTGTCGAATATTTTGCCCGATCCTCTTTACTACATCTCAATTCAAAACGACAATTGTGTCTAATGTCTATTTTACTTCTGGAAACACTGAAAAAGGCCGAATTAGAACAGGTACAATTGTTCGAACGAAATAAGCTTCAAAAAGGATTTTTGTTTCATTTCGTACCTGAAAATAAATACGAACTAAAACATAAATTTTAGTATTATTCCAGGTACCAGCAGGTTTAAAACCAAGCTTTTAAAAGTGCTTCACTCAATCTCACTACAATAACAATCAAACAGCTTCACTGCCAATGGGATTTCGCAATTAGAAAGCTTGGCACAGGTGAGTTGTTTTTTTCTGATCGGTAGTAAATCTGATATATTCGAGATTAGCTAACTTTTTGAAAAAGTTGTCCATGCAAGATTACAGTGGGCTGGGCATAACTTCTATTGCTGATAGGAAGAAACTATTTCAGGTACATAATTCTCCTCACATATAACCGTCCTCCCGTAAAAAGATGTACATTCTGTTGCTAAAGTTGTTAAAATATAGCTTGTACAGAGCTTACGTCAAGAGATTCCTACTATAGAAAATGGACTTTTATCGTCACCCATCGTTGCTACACCTCCTACAATAAGCAATAATCGATTTTATACTGCTGCAAGCGCCAATATATCATCATGTCTGCCAACATCAGCAATTTCTAACGGTGTTAGTACATCCGCTATCAATTCAGACTTTTCAAATATGTCCATCGGCTCTTCTTTCCCTTCAAGATGCAATAGTCATATTTCTCGACAAGTATCGGGCCGATCTCGTTCACGCACTATAGATCAACAGCAGTCTCAGCCTTCACTGAGACCATCCAACAGTAACATTTTTTTGAATAGTTTAAGCAACGAAGACATTGTGCCTTATGATAGTGATGATGATGATGGCAGTAACAACAGTGATAAAGAATTGCTTATCCGCCGAGGATCAGGACCACTTTTGGATCCTTATGGCGTACCTTTACAAAATAAGTTTGTCCGTAGTCGTGGTATTACTACCGGCAGTCAACCACAGGGTGGTAATTTTGGCAGTTCTCCACCAGTAGCAACAGCAATAACGGGGGAAGACAGTGATTTGAATCAGAAAATCCGTGTTTGTGTTAGGAAAAGACCTTTGAATAAGAAGGAAGTTGATAAAGGCGAAAAGGACATTGCACCGACAGCTGGTGTAAGAAGCATCAATGTGAACGAACCAAAGTGAGTCTTATTTGATAGCAGATACTTATAAACGGGTTATATCTTTTATAATTAAACTCATATGATGATAAATTTATAACTTAGAATGAAAGTAGATCTAACAAAGTATATAGAGCAGCATAGCTTTACTTTTGACGATGTATTTGATAGCAATGAAAGCAATGAAAAGGTGAGCTGAGTAGTCATTGGACAATTATTCCTTTTTACTCAAGTTATTGAAATTATTTCTGGCAGATTTATCAACGAACAGCTTACCCATTGGTCAGATACGTATTTAATGGAGGAAAAGCCACTTGTTTTGCATAGTAAGAAATCATCACCAAACCCCAGACACTTGATCATAATGCTTAACGCTAAATGATTGTCTTATACTCCTCTTTCAGCGGACAAACAGGTTCAGGTAAAACCTATACCATGTTAGATCCAAAAATTGGGCTCTACGTGCTAGCAGCTCGGGACGTGTTCTCACTACTTCGAACTCCACCGTATGAGCATCTGTCTGCTTGGATTGGCTTTTACGAAATTTATCAAGGACAGCTCTACGATCTTCTTAACGAACGTAAAAAGCTCTTTGCTCGTGAAGATGGCAAACAAAACGTGGTTATTGTTGGCCTAAAAGAATATGTGATAAAGAACGTCGAGGACTTAATGCAAGTATTTGAGTATGGTAGTCAATCCCGCAGCACTGGCAGTACGGGTGCTAATTCAGATTCGTCACGATCGCATGCCGTGCTTCAAATCCTTCTTCGCCCAGTCAATAACAAAAAGAAAATCATTGGTAAATTGAGCTTTATTGACTTGGCTGGTAGTGAACGAGGAGCTGATCGCGGTGATACTGATATGAAAACGAGAATGGAGGGAGCTGAGATCAACAAAAGTTTGTTAGCTTTAAAAGAATGTATTCGCGCTCTTGATCAAGATAAACGACACACTCCTTTTCGACAAAGCAAATTGACGCAAGTGTTGAAGGACTCTTTTGTCGGTAATTCGCGGACTTGCATGATTGCAACAATTTCTCCGAATCAGTCTAATAGTGAGCATACCTTGAATACGTTACGCTATGCGGATAGGTATGAGATTCAAAGGATGCTGAATACATTTTTAACTTAAAGGAATGACATTGACTTGAATACAATTTATATAATAGAGTGAAAGAATTGAAGGGTGAAAAGGACAGAAGATTTGTCAACTCTGATGCTGAAACTATCAGCGCTGGTAACAATTTTATACATCAACAGCAACAAGCACGAGTGTCGTCGGAAGGATACGCAAATGAAGACGAGTTTCCCGACGAATGCATAGACTCAGACGATCCTGATCTCTATAATGGCATAGAAGGCGATGACCTGCTCCTGCATGATGAAGATTTTCCCAGTGATGGTGATGTAAATATTCTTGACGAAGAATTTCCGCACGAGAATAATCTTCGACAATTTCAGTCTGTTGACAGTTTAGTATTGCAACAACCACTGGCAAATACAGTTACTGGTAGAGAAAACGGATCTGCATTGTTACCAACCTCACCTGATTATATCCTGGAATCTCCAATACCCAATACAGCAATGGCTTCTCAGATACCACAACAACAAGTTCACAGTAATATACCCTCAACCCATCATTTTTATCGTCAACATAGCAATGTTGCTGCTGATAAACTTTCATCAAAACTAGACGATTGTTTATTTTTTAATCCTGAGACGATTGAGTCCTTTATTAAATGCCATCGAGCGCAAATAAGAGAAGTGACAGATTTCTCAAAGAAGGAAACCAAACTATTAGCCAACTTTACGCTGACCCTTTCTAGCAGAAAAGAAGACGTTGAAGGCGCTCTTAACGAGGCTCAACAACAACAATCTTCTAGCAATTTAAAAGAAGAGTTGAAGACGTCAAGCGAATTTATTGGTTACTTGGATAATTTAGATGAACTGTTGGAAATGAAATTGGCAGCCATCGAAGCTTTACGCGATAGAATTCGACAAGTGCTCGGTGAAGAGGTTCTCTAACCTTATAGTATATTTACGTTATCAGACACGATTGCTGTTGCTTTCTATTTAAACTGCTTTCGCGTTGTAGAAGAGCTTTCTCTTGAGATAATAAACGTATATCATATTCTCCTTTACTTAATCTTCCTCTATCTGAGGTATAAGTTTGGCTTTCCTCCATTTGATTGGAAAAAAACACCAAAAATGGTGCAGCTAAAGCAAGAATTTTCTATCAATTCCATGTGCAAAATCGTAGATAATGACTCTTGTGAGATTGGAAGTGCAAACTATTTTCGTACAATCAAATTTTGTATTTAAAACTCTATGTGTATAAACAGCGATTTTGAGAATATAAATACCAGATTACAACATGTGACAACTACTTCGATTACCTTCCATCCGTTGCTTGTCCAAGATCTCTTAAAAGCTTTCCTCGCTTCAAATCCCAAAGCTTTATATGGCCATTATAACAGCCGCTTATGATTCGATTAGTTGTCGTATCCAATTGAATAGTGCGGACCAGCTCAGTATGTCCACACAATGTATATAAGCATTCACCAGTATCTGCATTCCACACTTTGATTGTTTGATCGCTCGAACCACTAACGATATGTATACCATCATATTCCACACATGCAACCCCTCTAGTATGCGAAGATAATGTTCTCAGGCATTCACCTGTTTCCAAATCCCAAATCTTAATTGTCCTATCTCCAGAAGCAGAAACGGCAATGTTACCTCTGAACTGCACTGAATTGACCGCTGCTCGATGATCATTGAGGACACGCAGACATTTTCCTGTTATTCTATTCCAAATCCTGAGTGTGCGGTCCTTTGAACAGCTAATAATTCGATCATCGCTGATAAGTCGCAAACCAAGTACACTATCTTCATGTCCTATTAATTTACGTTCAATCCTCCCAGTGGTGATGCGACTAACAAGTACTGTCGCATCAGAACTTCCACTAACAATATGTTGGTTGTCATATTGCAAACACAAGACACTTCCGCTATGTCCTCGAAGAGTCTGTTGACATCGGCCTGTAGCTATATTCCATATCTTAATCGTATGGTCCCGACTACCAGTGATCATCTTTTCTTTATCAAACTGAACACAGTAAATTCCTTCTGTGTGTAATTCTGATGGCGGACAATCGTTCCCTGGAAAGTGCTCTATTTTGCAACTTCCTGTCAGCCAACGCTGTTCAATGGCATACCGATTTTTGTACAATTGCTGCCAGTCAATGTAAGGTGGATGCTGGTTCACTTGGTTCTGCTGCTTTTGTATTCGGGTATCTTTGTAATCTTCGGTATCATATTCTACTTCGCCAGCTACACTATTCGGTATAATGCGGAAGTCCCTGGTCAAACTATTATTGTCAATTGGATGACTATCTTCTTCTCTTCTTTTTTTAATCAGTTGAAAGGTCTTTACTCGACGTATGTTACCAACTGTTTCAGTAGCTGCTTGAATTAGAGGAGGTGAAGAGGAAGGGGAAGCCGAAGATAGTCTTGTTCTATAAAGTCTTGATGCGAATTGATTCGTTGTTGGAGAAGATGTTGTTCTATTTCTGTGTTTGATACTAAGAAGAGTAGGTGAAGGGGAGGAAATTCTGAATTGCTTCATCCGTGACGATAACTGACCCATTGTCATGGACGATGATAGTCTCTTGATTGGTATAGAAGATATACTACTATTGTTATTGTTATAGCTGCTTTCCTGCATTTCTGTATTTTGAACATTTCCTTCAATTGCTACGGAAGGTTGCTGCTGTTGTTGGAGATAGTTATACATTTCAACTTGGTCATAGGTCCAGTCACTTTTTTCAAACAAGTTTTTCCATAAACATTGTTCTTTGCATAACACATACCATTCTGTGGAGACAAGTGATGCTTGAAGTAATGAGTGAAGATCCAAAAAACTTAGAATAAGCAGCAGAATCTCATAGGGTGATTCCTATTAAAATTGAGGTATTTGACTTTAGAGGTATAATATCTTTTTCAATGTAAATAGTTTGTGAATTCGAATTATACACTTACTGAGAGTATGCTAACAGCTTCAGAAGCAGCTGAGGCAAGGCGGTCGACGACTGAATTCACTTCACTTGCCGGCAGTGTTGACAAAATTTGATAAGCGAAGTCTGAAGAATAAAGCACAACATAATATTTAGTTTCCAACAGCAGAGCTTGTGTGCTTACAATAGTACAATGTACCAGCTTTTTGACCGTTTGTCCAATGCTTCATAAATTTGGGAATGCTGAAACTACAATCGATATCCATGTCATCGATGTCCATTCTTTCCATTCTGACCTTGTTTAAGGAGGGAAAAATACTAATACTGAGACTGAAAAGTCTGTACAATAAAATATGTTTGAAAAGGACAAGTGGTAGTGTTAAGAAATGCAAAGAAAGTAAAGAAAGTCAACATAGATGTTGAACGATCAACGCAAATAACTCTTATGAAACCTGTCAGCATGAATATAATTTTGAGGTTGTTACAATTTGATTGGATGAAAATGTACTTTATTCACGTTGATTCTAAGACAATGAAAGTGTGGGGTATCTTTTTTATGTTATGGACTCAAAAATGTGATGGCTTCTTTTGCTATGGAATTAAAGCACATGTGTACTTTAGGTCTGACTCATTGCTACTCTCAAAGTTTCGTACATTGGGAAAAAGATGCCACAGACGCCGAACCACCAAACGCTTCGAGAAATGGAGCCGGCGAAGAAGGTATGATACACGTTGCAAATCCTTTTTGGGACAGTGATGCTTCTGTTGTTATTCCAACTCTGACCAATGATAGAATTCAACATTTGTATCACTGTTACTGGTTGTCTGTTTATGCTGGCTTTTTGCGCAATCATTCTTGTGCGAAGAACATCCATCGGTGTTGTGATATAGCCTGCTAAAAATCCACTGATGCCGCCATAAAGAATACCTTGAACTGCTGTTATTTTTGCTTTGTTTCCTTCTTCGAGTGTACTATGAGCCACTACACTTGTTTTTAGTTGTTGGTAGTCTATTGTAGCTGTTGATGATGGATTAATGGTATGTTGTCGTTGCTGATGATTTCTATATACATAATATTGATGGAAAGGATGCACTAATTTGAGCTTTTCGTACGTCACCAACAAAATAATCATAAAAGGTGAATCACGCGCAGCAATAGCCCAAAAACCTTTAAAAAGGCCTTTGGGACCTTCTTCAATAAGTGTTTGTCGTACCACATAACTTGCGGTTGATGTATTTTTGTAACTGGTTACTGACGATTTGTAGTGGTCTATTTGCATTTTGGCAGTAATTACCTCCCGGGGTACTTTGATAATACTGGATGCAAGATCACCAATGATCGCTGATATAGATGTTATAGATACAGTTACATTTTTATTTTTATTCAGTGAAGTAAGCTTTGATTTGCTGTATTCATAAGTACTGTAACGGAAGCCACCTTGTCCTGCTGCCATCAGAGCTGAGACAAAGAAACCTTTACCCAGGCTGTGGATGGTAGCTCGAGAGAATAATACTCGTTGCCAGTTACCAGTAACATCTGCTTGTATACGCGTTTTAATTGTGTCTAAAGGATGCATACAAGCGTAAGATACCGAAAGACCTGTAGCGCCTGCCACAAAATTCACTAAGGATAATAGGTAACATTGAAAGATAAGCATATGATCTCCATTATATGTTGATTTGCTATTCACAAATACGCACTTTTAAGTTGATCAACGGCCGATGATGTGTACATTATTGTCAATTGGGTATACTCTGTTGATTGGTTGAGAACAAACAAGATACACAGTAATAGATGTGTGCGCTGGTTTAGAATGAAAGAAAAGATAAGGATGAATAATTGTCCTTCTAGGAGATCAATATATGGGATTGAATTTATATACAACAATAAGTAGAGACGTTAAGGGTGACTCAAAGATTTTTAGCCAATCATTCTGTTCATTGTTATGCATTTATCCCAATCAAATTAAGGAACCCTAATGACAAAATTTGACGATCTGCAAAGCAGAAGGAAGAATACTGCCAAAGAGGGGAAGATGGATTTCTTCAAAGAGCTATTGGCAGAAATTGAGGGAAGGCAGCTTTATAACTTGCCTTGAGTGAAAGGGTTATTATCCCCAGAAACATTCCTCCAATGGAGTCAAGTGTCTGGAACTAATGGTCGCAATAAAGCTATGAAAATATGGCATAAGCACCTTATTATTATGAGGCTCCGCCATATTAGAATAATTCTAACAACAACGCATCGACATTGTTTTTTTCTTATCTTTTGAAACAGCAAACTTTCGCTATGCAGTGTTTGAGTATACTTAGTAAGTGATTGTAGAAGAAGTAAGCAGTAAGTGCAACACCTCTTTCTTTCCAGTATACAAATCATCTCGCTAGTTATTTGCAAGACATACAAGCGTACCTGTGTACTAGTATGCCTTTACCTTAAGCAAGGCGTAAGTATAAAGCCGTTCCTGAAACAAACAATTCGTTTACTTCTGCTCCTTCCTTCTAAACGTTTATAAGCGACCATTATCAAGTTATTGATGTACTAGCATTGCAGATAACATCACGTTTCTAGCCTTTTGTGTTTTGTACATACTGAAAGAAAAATAGCACGGAACATGCAAATCGTTTGCAGTTATTCATGCCAAGTTGCCTTACGAATACTAACGAAACATACCGTTGCCGAGCGAGCCACTTCATAGCCAAGCACATTGAAGTTAGTCTTTATAAAGTCCTACACATGAACATATATTTCATCCCGTCTATTAAAAAAGCGTGAAAACTAGGCTTCTTGTCCTGCTACTTCAATTCCCTTTACTTTAAGCTCTTAATATGCCTATCTCGATCGGAAACAATTCAAAAAGTTGCTGAAAGTTCATAGGCTGGGCTATCTTGATTTGCATAGTAAGCAATTAATATATATTCCCATCATGCTTCACAGACATAAGCAGAGCAAGAGCATAATACATATGTAATATAGAAAACGATAAGTTTAGGCCATATACGCATATTCATTAAACTTTCTCTTGCAAGAAGTCTACATATGAAAGCTTAATGTTACAATTAAGATACGAGATGCAGCTCTGAACTTGGAAATTTTGGCTTTAGATTTTTTTCCTGTTCATTTTATAAATAAAAAACATTCAAATCCTGTTGGTCCCTTTCACAATTCGTCCCCTTTTTTTTTTTTTTTGTTCTCTTTTCCTCTAATTTCAACCTTTCTTAATCACCCGTTTACAAACATTTAGTATACATTTTTGATCATTAAATACCAGCTCACTGATGACGAGTATGATTGCATCGTTCTTTTTCACAAAAAAAAATAAAAAAAAAACTGATTTAGTTACGGTTCCTTGGATTTTGATTTCTTACAATTCTTCTTCTTGTGTGAATTTTAGCTCCTTCAAAACGCGCAAGCGAGGATGTCAGTACTGATTTATTCAGTTTACAAGCTGACGAAGCAAGTGGTGAAATAGTCACTGCTATGCGTAACAAAATGGTCAGCTTGCTTGAAGAATGTCATGCGTGGAAAAGACGTGCTACATCGCTTAACCATGAAAATACTAAGCTAACCAAGCGGTTAACAGAGAAAACGTCCAGTTACCAAAAGCAAATACAAGAGCTTGTTGATGCTTTGGCTCTTGCCAAAAGTAGAATAGCCTCTCCCTCATCTCACATGTCCAAATCTCATGATGTTGATAATGGAATTTTTTCTGAGGTACAAAATGTCAGCCAAGGATTCAATAAATATACACAAGCACAAATTAATGTGGATGAACTTGAAGAAAGGATATATGAGCTAGAACAACAAGTTTTAAGGGACAAGATCGCACTAAATAACAAAGAAAAACAGCTGCATGAACTGGACGAGACCATTCGCAAGCAACAATTTGCTTTGAAAAAGAAAGAGACTCTTCTTGAACAACAGCGACGAGCAGAAGATGAACTAGATGATAAAGAAAAAGTTATTGTGGAACAAAAATCTATGCTGGCAGACAGAGAAAACGTTATTAAACAACAGCAACTAGATTTGGATGAGCTTTATACAGCTATGAGAAATCTTGAAGCCGAACTCCAAGCACGCGAACATGCAAGGGTTGAATTTGAACAAAGAGTGCTTTATGAAAAGAAAGTCGATGAAGACTATATTCAGCAGCTAGAAGAAGAATCTACAACTATAAACGATAGATATAAAGCTGAACTTGAGAAAGAGAAAGAAAGATTTGCTAAGATTGAGCAGGAAATAGAATCAAAAGTGCTCGAGAACTACAACGAGAAGCTTGTTGCTGTTGAACAGGAAATTAGATCGAAAGTGGCCGAAGAATATGAAGGCAAACTGAAACAGAAAGAAAATCGCATTCAACAATTAGAACAAGACACTACAACGCTAAGACAAAAGTTTGACTGTGAACTTGAGGAGCATAGAGTTAAGTTTGATAAAATCAAGCAGGATATGTCGGATGCTTCAAATACAATAGACGATCTGAAAAAAGAGCTTACTTTGAAGACTGATGGGCTCGATGAGGCAACTAGGAAACTCGAGTTGTCAACATCAACATATACCAACAAACTAAAAGAGAAGGAAAAGCAACTAACTGAAAAGGAAGCTGAATTGGAAGACGCTGACAACCAAATCAAAAAGCTTACGACTCAACTGTCTGCAAAATCGACACAACTCAGTCAACAGGCGACAGAGTTGAGTGCTACTGAAGAATATAAAAGAAAAATACAGCTCTTAGAACAACGCGTAACTGCGAAGGAAGATGAATTAACAGAAGCCACAAGGAAAATTGATGAGCTTGAACATCAACTTTCTAGGAAAGCAAAAGAACTTGACCAACAAATGAAAGAGTTTGATGTAGTGGAACTTCATAAAGACAAGATTAAACAATTAGAACAACGCTTAAACTTTAGAGATGCTGAGCTAGAAGATGCTTTAAAGCAAATTGATCATCTTACCAGTCAACTGTCTTTAAGAATGACACAACTTAAAGAAGCCGATTGGGAAATAAGAGATCTACGAGAGAAACTTAAGGAAATATCAGCTGGAAGGGAGATAGAGCTCGAGGAAGCAAACAATAAATTAGAGCACTATAAAGAATTACCCCATTTAATAACCGAACAATCACAGCATGTAAAGGATTTAGAGCAAATCATAGAAGAACAGAAGGCGGAAATTGCTAAGATAACAGAAGAGTCTATTGAAGAGTTTCAGAGAATTAAATTAGAATATCGACAGCAAGTGGCCGAAAAGGAGGCGCAGTTAGATGAATATCAAGCCATCATTGACAGGTATACAGATGCTTTGAAACAGCAGATTGAAGAGTATGAGAGATTACAATCAGCGTTTAAACAGAAGGATGAAGAATGGAAAGAAATTGAAGAGCAAGCGACTAATACTATAAATCAACAAGCAGAAAGTATTGATGCATTGGAAGCTGCCTTGGAGAGTAAGACGGAGGAATTGAACACTATCATAGATGATTTACAAGGAAAAATGCAGGATGTAAAAGTACAGTCGCAACAAAAGCTAGCGAAACTGAACAAATTATTGAACGAACAACAAGATCAATTAAGCAACCTTCCTAGTCTTAAAATTACGATCAACCGACAAGTGAAAGAAATCGAACAGCTTAATCAATTGCTTGATGAAGAGTACTCAAAGAGGAAGGAGAAGGAACGAATAGCTAGTGAAAAGCTGGATAAAGCTCATAAAGAACGCCGCGAACTCGAAACACAGCTACAGGGTCAGAGAGATCAACTTACGAAAGCTGTGCAGACTGAGCGCAATTTAGGCATAATGACAGAAGCATTACATGATAGGGAACGTAAAATCAAGCAAATGGAAGAAAACCTAGCACTTATTGAGAGTAATCTACAAGATGCTATAAAACGACGCGATCTTGTTGAAAATGAATCGAGATATTTGAAGAAAATTCTTGATGATGTACGTAACTCGGTTAATACCAAAAAGTAGTCAACTGATAACCAACCAAGTTACGAATAAATACTGTATTGTATCCTACTCTTCGATTTTTTATTGGAAATAAATTGCTTATATCAGTATAAACCCAATGTATGTTATAATTGTAACTAGTATCAGTTCTCTCTTACTGTGTCTTGAAGGGGAGGGGTGTTCTTTGGGTGATCTTTACGCGATAGATACTATTTAGCCGTACTAGCCTTGATTTCCCAGATATACAATAAGATCAACGGGTATCCATTCGTATTAATATCTGTAAAGTATCTATAAAGTTTTCCAAAGCTTGGGTATACTTATTGGACAGTAAAAATACTGATAGGATGTTAGCTTCATAGTGTATCACAAATCATGTAGAAATTTTGAATACATTCATCTACCACTATAACGGAGGTACACATCAATGCTGATTCACTATAAACTGAGCTTTGTGAACAAGCCATCTGGAGGGAATACAAGAATTATTCTTTCTACTGCCTTCCAACGTAGCTACTGAATCTATTGTAGTAAAGAGGAGCAACTGAAATTGTCAGTGTCTATTGTTGCTGACCGAATCTATAACTTGGCGACTTTTTTAATGTAAATTGATGGCTTGAACAAAACGCACTTCTTGCCGACGAGTTAACTCTGCTATTCAAATGAAGTACATGGCTCTACATACTGAGCAAGTGTGTATCACCATCTTTGCTTCGTTTCTTTTTGACAGCTTCGATTTGCGTAGTATTCTTTTCTGTTTGACTAGCAAACCTGAAAAGACAGCTCACTTTCAAGTAGCTTACATTAGAAACCTCGTATGCTGCATCTGATGGGATTTCTTGAGTTGCTGATATAGCAGAGCTACTCCTTGGGTGTCATTTCATTTAGTCAGATTTTATTCATAAAAGAATAGTAAAGACAATCGAGTTTGTAACTATTAACTGAACTACGGCTATCAATTTTATAACACTTGTAACGTCTGTGAGCTGTGGCAGAGATGAGAAAGACCAATTAGACAGAACAAGACTGTGGTTTCTGAAAGATTTGTTACAACGGACAGAAAGATAGTACTTAATATGATAACGTTTATTAAACGGATGTGCAGAAAAAATATGTGGGGGGGGGCAAGAAATAGATAAAAACACTGAAGTGCATCTGGATCCATATCTAGAGAGGTGAAACCTCTTTGATTATGTTATTTGCCTAGAAGGCGTCATAACATATGTATTCTCACATTAATAATTTTTTTAATTTAATAGCTCCAAATTGTATTCCTTTCTTTTCCCAAATTAAAAACTTACTCTCCACAGCGATAAAGGTTAAACAATACCATACTCGAAGCTGTCATAAGAAAGAAACAGAAGAATTAATCTACTTTAAATAGGATTAAAAAATTGTTAGCATTGTATATGATTCATATCGGTAAAACCTTGTAAAAAAAAAAAACCAACTAAAACCTTGTCGTTAGATAGTAGGACATCGGCAAGATCTCCTTGCTTGGTGATTAATAGCGTAAATGCTATTGATGGCTAGCAAAATTTTTCAACACATGCTACAATATATACTTGTATTGGTGGGCTCATTTAAGCAGGTAATACTACAGACATGTGGTACGCGCGTTAATCTTGGATATAAAAGAATCAAAAGAAAAATAAACTACTACTATTAATAAAGTTATTGTGTTTGCTTTTCATCAAATAAATAGAGAATAACAGCTAACACAACAACTCTTTATAAATAGCAGTAGTTGTCGGTTTTCTTTTTCTATTTTTTCTTGATTTTGTTTTGTTTTGAGAAAAAAGTAAAAACGGTGGTTTGTTTTTGTTAAGCTTTCATGCTTACTATCTCTTGTTTTACTCTTTTATTCATACTGGATATCAACGAATACTACCAGTTGCTTCATGAATAGGCCGTCGTCAACGAGATGTAAAAAGTATGATAGTAATTCACGTACTCCTATATGCGGAAAAAGAATGACGTGTCTGCTTAGTATTTTATTTCCCGCAACATTTATTGAGCTAGCACATGACCTGTTCGGCAAAATATTTCAAAATTTGGTTCGGATTTTGCTTTGTCCTGTAAAAAACTGCTTACGTATATATAATATTTACTTAACCTGCTAATAACAACAGCTCGCTTAGCTCAGTTGGTTAGAGCGTGGTGCTAATAACGCCAAGGTCACAGGTTCGACCCCTGTAGTGAGCATTTTATATTGTTTGTTTTTGTAGTGCGTGTACCGGTTGGTTTCATATGGACCTTTCTGTTGAAGAGAACATTTTTTTGCAAGCACCATCACTTGTAGTCACTAATAGTTGTGAAATGAGAGTGCTTTTTTTTTTTTTGAAGAATGAATCTAAAGCTTATCACGGCGCATTTTGAAAAGAAGGTGTTATTCTCATTGTTAATACCAACGACTATAAAATGTGCTTTGTTCGTGGATGTTACTATTCTTGCATAGATACTGATCTCTGAAAAAAGAAATGATAAGTAACGAAAGCGCTGTCCTCGACACTATGATATCAACGCAGAACATCACATGGAAGATGCAGACGTCCTCCTCCTAAAGAAAAAAAAAAAAGGGCGTGAAAAAAGACCAAAGATGAAGAAATGGCTGTTCTTGAAGGTCATATAGACAGAACACGTCTGATATGAAAAATAAGTGGCATTGATCACAAGGAATAAGAGTAAAGGTTACTTGCCGAGTAGCAGTCATTCGCTTAGGTTATTTTAGTTGTACACACACGAAAAGGAAAGAAACAAAAAAAAAAAAAAAAAAATCGCTGAAGAATGATACATCGACATACGTTAAGTGCGCAAAGATAAGATGCTTGTACTTTTAAGATGATTTCACAAAACAAACATAGAAGCACGAAAATGGATGGATTCAAGCCTGCAGACAGCCTCTGTAAGACCAGAGCAATTCTTTAATGTACCTGATTTTTTTTTTTTCTTGATTTTTTGAAACCAACAAAAAATTTATGCAAAACTGTTTCAAGGTCTCACGGTCACTCTCCAATGTAAACGTTTCTAGGAAGAAAAAAAAAAAAAAAAAAAAACGCAAAAAAACAACAACAAACGTGCAGTTGATGTCCAGGTTCATTTTCGCTAAAGTGCCCTCCTTCAACAAAAAGAAAAGCAAAATAGACTTACGATTATGTAGAGTAAAGTTACATGCGAAATAAAGTTAACCAACCGGTTCATCATGTTCGCTTTTAAAGACTCAGCCCAGCATCGTTATAGACTGTATTAGCTTTCGTCACACTTACAATCGCGTTATATAAAAGAGATAATTTTTGCTCTTTTTCTCTTTTTCCCGCTTCTTTCTGTTCTCCTATCTGAATAATAATATATATATATATATAAAAAAAGGTCTTTATCATCATCATGTCAAGACTCCATATCTTTCAAAAGGTAGCCAACGTGTTGGTCTATCTTTTCTTCCTTTCATCCACTGTCTATAGTTTGTTTGGTCCTCACGACTCTACTGTCATCCATGCCAGTGAAACTTATATTACGCCTTGTAAGTGGAAAAAAAACATAGCAAAAACTACTACTCAGTCTATCCTCCCTTCTACCTGTTACTCACATCCTACTTTCTTTATTACAGCTTCTTGGATTGGATACGTTTGGACACTTATTCATATTCTCTTGGGTGGTTTTGTTATCTACCAATGGTTCGATGCTGCCCATGAAGCTGCTATTCATGGTGTTGGATGGCATTTCGTTATTTCCGTCTTGCTCAATTCTGCTTGGTTATGGCTTTTGGTAAGTTATATCAATAGATAATCCTGACTTAATTTGTAGGTCATAGCCGCCCATCTAACCAGAGTGAATTTTTTTTTTTTTTTTTTTTTTTTTTGGTTCCGTATCGTACGCGATAAAATAGAGATCTGGTCATTTTATCATTGGTTTCATCTTTGTTCTCCTCACGGCTGCCTCTGTCTCCTGTGTCTTCTGTAAGTCAAACCCCATGACACATTTAGCTTTAATTTCCCATCTGCATGCTATGCAATTTTGTACTCATTGCTTTTCTTCTTTTTATAGACAAGCTGACAAAGGATTATCCTTCCTCCAACTGGTGGGATAAACTCTTTGTACATGCTCCTTTCTCTTTGTGGCACGGTTGGATTGTCTTTTCTGCTGTCATCAATCTCTTCCAAGCCTTTACTCATACCAAGGAAGGAGGTCCTGGTCTCTGGAGCCGCATCTTGGTCCTTCTCGCTATTCTCTTCCTCACACTCACTGCTATCGGTTATGTGGAATACAAGAAACACAAGGGCGACATCACGGGTGCTTTAGTGCTCGGTCTCGGTCTCTTGGCTGTGTTTACGAATCAACATGATCCTTGGATTCATTGGTCTGCTTTGGTGGGTGCTATCATTACGCTTATCTATCCTTTGCGTCCTTATGTCTTTAAGTTGGTTGGACGTCAATCCAGTCAAGAAACTGCTCCTCTTCTTGGTTAAACAAAAAAAAAAAGTAAAAAAGGGGAGGAAAACAAGTTTTCTAATATTTAATTTTTATACTCTTTCTTAGCGAAAGTTTTTCTTTATTGTTGTTCATAAGTAGTAAAGCTGAGCGACTAAGTGGAGTATATACTATTTACACTATAAACCCACTACTTGAATAAAAAAAAAAAAACAATTTTTTTTTTTTTTCTAACCATCACTCATCGGTTTCGCTCGACGTGTGGATTTAAGGTTATGTCGTTATTGTATCACATTTTCCGCTTTTTTTCTGTGCTTCGTTGATAAGTACTTTTACAGATAAAAAGGCTACAACCTGTCGTTGTCGTCGTCGTCGTTAAAAAGAAGTGTAGTACGATGTAAAACAAAAACAACTATAAATCCGATTGTCAGAACAAGGGACACGACACAACTTTTTGTGACCCATTGTAGAACAAAACAAAACAAGTTTTAATAACGTAAAAAAATGAAATCCATGGCGTTGGTTGAATCAAAACATATATATATATATATATATATGCTATGTATAAGAGGTAGGATAGCTGTTAAAGTAGAGATAAAGTTGGCTGCTTTAAAAAGAATTATATATAAATATATTATATATAAGAAAATGCTGGTGATGAATTGGAGGGGCTTGAAAAAAAAAAAAAAGAAAGGCATACAAAAAAAAACAAGGTAAGCAATACTGAAGGGAATGGATATGCTTCATTTTCTGTCGTGAGATCCACGTCATGTTTCTTTTTGCTTTACTTATTCCTCCTCTTCCAAGACTTCCTCAGGCTCCTCGCCGCCTCTACGTGAAGGCGTCAAGAGTTTAAATTGTGCTACAATGACAAAAAAGAAGGTGATGATGCATGAATACCAACTATCTTGGGTGGGTTCCTTTTCGTGCACCTACTTTGATTGATTTCGGCTTTGGTTCTGGGATTTCCCTCCTTATCCATGTAATCGTTATAGCGAAGTGTTCCTTCAACGTAAACTAGATCACTGAGCACAATAAACGATAGATGAGCTATCTAATCTCCTATCCTTGAATAATGAATTTCAGAACAATGAAAAAAAAAGTACCCTTTTTTAACTTTGGAGAACCAATCACCGGCTTGCCAATAAGTGACACGGTGCCATTGCGTTCGCTTAATCCAGTTGCCTAAAGTCATGGTTGCATCGTGGTCAAAAAAAGTCAGTAACCTGGTCATTCCTCATCGTGAGTCGTCGTTCTCTCACCTTCTTTATCGGGTCTTGTTTCTGATGTAGCGACTGTATAGTTGGTGACATAGCGATCTTCGCTCAATTGAGTTGTGGTAGGATCGGCGCCAATACGACCAATGAGTTGAACCTTGTTCACTATTCAAAGAACCTTGTTTTTTTAATCGTGCTGTCCGACATTATTCTAAAGGAGATATATATTACTTACAGTCAGAACGAGCAGCTGAAGAAGAAAATGCCTAATGCCAACAATGGTTAATCTCATCGACGCGTTTGAATGTTTCACATACAAGACACAAATAGTTAATGTCACAATAACAAGCTTACTCTGACTGAATTGAGTGTTTGTAAAAATGGACGACGAATAAATGCTGACATGTTTTTATGAATGAGAACTTTTGAATTAAGAAACAAAAAAAGTAATAGACAAAGAACAATTGAATTTTTAAAAAAAAAATTTTTAATTAAATCTACCCCCCCTCACTTTTTACCAAAACACACACACACATACACACACGCACACACAAACGCACAAAGGCACGCACACAGAAAAGAAGCCCGAGAGACACTCCCCACCCCTTTTTTACTGGGAAATGCCTCCTTGTTCCTCTCCGAAAGGTTTTAAATCACGAAAAACATTTCTTACGTAAACAATGCCATCCCTTGACATGGTCGAGGGCAAACCGTCAAACACCAAGAAATAGCACAGTAAGATAAAGTCAATGCTGCTCATGAATTCAATGGCGGAAGGGGGTGATGCATTTTATTTTATGCTTGATATATACTTGGAAAACTCGTCAAGCAAAACAAATGAAAAGAGACAAGATAATACAGAGAGGGTATGCTAATTTCATCTGTCTTTTTTTTTTTTTTTTTTTTTTTTTTTTTTTTTGATAAGAATAAAAATGGATATGTACACGTTGCTCTATGAAAACAAACAAACAAAAAAAAAAAAAAAAAAGCGGATCTTGTCAACGGCTATTGTCAACATGAGCATCGTGTTGCTGGTCTATTCAAGCCGGAATGGGCTGTTGCTCGGAAGAGACTACATTCTTACTTTGTTTGTTTAGCACAGCAGTGGCAGCAGGTGTTGTCTTTGTCACTGCCACATTGGCTGTGTGAGGGTACATTTGCTTTTCGAGGTGTTCCTTGGCTTGTAAAAGGTTTTTGTAGTCAATCCTACAGTGAAAAATGTGGAGCAGCCAAATCAGTAGGCCATCGACTTTCAACAACATTCTTGTGGGCAATGAACAGTTACCCTTTACTACCGTTGAACTCGTATTCTTCCTTGGCATTCATTGTGAAAAAGCGTGGATGCCATTGGATGCCTTCTTTCTGACGTAGTTTTGTCTCTTCACGTTGTCTGTTTTCAATAAACGTCTTTTCATCTGTAGCTGTGTCCATATCTCTTGCTTTTATAGCCAATGTCACCTTGGACCATAAGCTACGACACGTCAAATAAAGTGAGTTGGTTTTTCGTAGACGTACACGTTGCTTCTTTTTCTTACTTTCTAGATTCATTCCATTCTTGATTTTCTAAGGGTTCCACAATTTGAGAAGCGCTGTAAGCCTCTGCTACTTTAAAAAATGATGCTTTGGAAGAGGACTACTTGACGGGGTTAGTTAGGTTCTCTTTGATATGCGTCTATAACCAACATCAGAGAGGTATACCTTGGGCTTGTGAATGAATAACTCATCGGTCCAAATACCGGATATCTCGTGTAAAGTTTCGTTTGTTGAGGTACGCTTGATTTTACCAACAACTGAATGATAGCGACCGGAGAAGAGGCCCTACCAAATGAAAGAATTCTATATTAGGGCTTCTTGATAAAAATTGAAACCTCCCTTTTTTGGGTCTCTGCTAAGAATGGATTGTCCAATTTTTTTTACCTTTGTTTTAAAGTCCAATTCACAGACAAAGCCTAGTGATTGACATTTGATAAAGGATGAATCCCCCATCTCATAAATCATCTTGCCGACTATTTTTTTTTTTTTTTTTTTTTTTTTTTTTTTTTTTTGCAAATAGAAAGACATAGAATAAAACGTGTTATCAAAAAAGAGGTCCATGGTCAGTCAAGGAGGGTTGGTTTCAACTTACATAAAATGCCGCGTGCATATACGTTGGGGTTTGTAATTTCGTACGTTTCATTGTTCAATTCAGAAAAGGTAATCCGTGTATAACCTTTCATGACGGTAGCAGCACTGTTGCCCAAAAACTTGGCCTTGGGATGTGCTTCACCAGTGACAAAAATACCGTGCTCAGGGATGGAATAGTAATAGGTCGTAATAGGCGGATGATGAGAGACCTGCTCAGCGATATAATAAGCTTTCGTGCCATCGGGCAAATCATATCGACATCTAAAGAATTCACCCAGTATAGGATTATAGGGTTTCTTGACGCCCTATCGTGGGTTCAACCGCAAAGAAAAAAAAAAAAAAAAATAATAATAAAAATAACCAGTCAATGATGGGTGAAAGCTAGGCTTATCACATGACGCAAGACAGAAGAAACACTACTTTTGGAATAATATGCCAACCGGAAAGGAAAAATCGACACACTTCAACAAATCTTTGAGCAGGATCCGTTGTTTTCGAAGCCCTACAATCATTGCATAGGTTGACAACACCGTGCGTTTAATATGACAGTTTTTTACAGACGAGAAAAAAAAGCGCCAACAAAAATAAATCAAAAAAAAAAACTCACTTGATCAGTAAGTCTGGGTGCGTCATAAAGTCTGTGAATTTTTCAAGCATGCTTCTTGGTTCCAGTACAAAGGTGGGTAATGTAACGCGAGAAAGGTCAGTGCCCTTGGTTAATTGGGAAATAATTCCCATAATAATGCTTTTATTTTCATCTTCCAACTGTTCTACGCTTTCCACCATCTCTTCCTCAGCTTGTTGCTTGTTGCTGCTATTTTTTCGGCTCATCCTCCTTTGGAAGCAAAAAATTAAAATAAAATAAAATAAAATGAAAGGGCTGTTTTCCAAAAAAAATAAGTTGGGCAAAAATAGAGAAAGTAAAACGGTTTGATTTGAACGAGAACCAAACAAAACAAAAAAAAAAAAAAAAAAAAAAAAAAATGAAAAGAAAAAAGAAGGAGGGAGGGAAGGAAGGAAGGGAGGAGCATCTCAAAAAAATGATGGTAGTTCAAACATAATACAGCAGTTTCAAAGCGACTAAAAGTTTTTGGTTATTAATCAGTCCACTTGTGTCCGCGCTCAGTATTTTTACCCGTTTTTTTCACGGTTTCCCTGACATACAAAAAAGAGCGGTTGACGACCCAAAATCACAAAGCTGGATGAGGACCATCTCGGATCAAAGAATTATGTAATTTCTCATCAAGACATGTAGTACAAAAATGGAAGTGGAAAATAATGACGAGAATGGCCTTCTCTTTTCCAGCCCCTTTTAGTCATCTTTCATGGTCCTTGGGAGTGAAGTCATCAATCCCCCCATTTTTCCATCTCCGGGATAAAAAGATGGACGTCCTTCTAAAAACGACTCCTTTTCATCCCCAATAAATGCGCCCTTTTTTCACCGGATAAGCCGAACCCTTTCCCAACTTTTGTTAAAGTAGGATTATTCCATTCAAAATCTAAAAGGAAATAAATTTTATTCGAGTCATTGATTATCTTCCTGGGCATAGTACAACTTTCGTTCTTCAATTTGCTTTTCAATGTTCGCTAACTCGGGAATTCTGAGGTAGGCTGTTTTGTAATATTGAAGTACTTCGTCTAGCGATAAATGTGGAATCAAATTTCTAGACAGACAATAAGAACCAGAAAGTGTCAATAAAACTATCGCTACCTAATGCTCACAAATCAAAGGGTCCAACTTTCTCACCTTCGTGGTGCTACTTTCAGGCAATGTTCAGCATCCATGTGTAAATCCAAGATACAATCATAATGTGCACCAGAGCTGAAGGCAATGCGAAGTGAATATTCCTTTTCCGTACCGTTATGTCTATTTCTTTCATACAATTCAAATGTGATCTGTGTCAAAACTAAAGACAGTAGTTGCGAAAGAAAAAAAAAAAAAAATAGTCAGAGGATGGACACACTTTGATTCATTTGGAGAGAAATACTTTACAGTCTAGTTCTGGCAAAACGGGTCTAGGATACTTGGTAGGTAAACCCGATAGATAGACCAGATTCAAAAGGGTATGAACATGGGATTCTAGAGTAGCAGGAAAAAAAAAAAAAAATTGGAAAAATATTATGAATTACTGTCGCCCTTTTTTTTTGTCATAGGCAATAGAGGCATAGGTACCTTTCGTGAAATACAATCGCGTTTTAGGCTTTTCAGAAGCCTTGAAATCTTCCAAATCACGCAAAATACTCTTGAGCAAGGGTAACGAAATCAGCAAACCGATGGACTTCTTTTCCTTCTCACTAATACCATATTCTTGAGGAGCAATAAAGTTGAACAAGACCCGCACATAAGTATACAGATTGCGCAGATCAGGATTGCCCTTTTCGCATTTTTCTACAGATCGATAATGATTGGACATATCCGAGCTGATGCTGCTGCTTGTATTGCTACGTATTTCGATGGGTGTTGAAGCGTCCGACGTAAGAGCGCCCTCTGGCTCACTAAAGATAGCCTCTAAGAACTGACGATTGTGCAAAGCATCATATTTTAAAGAGTCATACAGTTCCGGCACGCCCGACGGGTCAGGACAGAACGCGGATGCTTGTACTTGTACTTCTTCTTCTTCTTCTGTTTTCGCAACGTTGACCATGGCCGTGGCATCAGAATCACTCCCCGTATCCATGTCATCGCTGGAACAGAACGTTTGAAATAGCTTCTCCCATCGTTCTTTAAAGAGCGTGGGTGATTCAAAGCAACACCAGCGGCGCTGAAGCTGTTCTACGTCCTTCGTGCACCAATTGATACGCATGATCGTGCGAAGACGTGCCATCAAAGTCGACACTTTCTGCAACACAGCGTGCGGTTGAGGTAGGTCTGCGGGCCAGCCGCATTGAGCTAAAAGAGCCGCTGGGATGTCGTAGCCTGGTCGAAGCATGACTTTAAGCTGCTTTTTGACAGCATCCATCTGCTCTTTAGCAGCATTACTATCGTCGAGTAAATACTTGCTCTCAGAAATAACACCTTCAATCGATTCAGGTCTTCCCAAAAGATAACGTGTGAAAACATCGGCTGTCATAAAAAATACCCAACAAACACATTAAACGTTAGCCCTCCATCCCCTCCCCTCATTACTTTTTCGTGAACAAAGCTCAAATGGATATCTCTATGAGCTCTATCTAAGTCAAGCCTTACCTGTGGCACGAACTCTACGTTCAGAACTACTCCAAATTTTGATGTCATCTGTTACATGTTTGTTCAAAATCTTCATGTCTTTTCTTAGATTTTCACCTAGATCTCTGGATTGATGCAAACCTGCATGAGTAAACTACAATAAAACAAACCCATGGCGGGCGAGGGGGGGGGTCAGCATCTTGGCTTGTCACTGAAGAATATCCATCTAAACAAGCGTTGTTGCAACCTACTTCACCACCCCATTTAACGTTGACCTGCAACTTCTTTAATGTATTGGAATCTTTATCAAAAATAGGTTTTACTTGAACCTTTGTGCCAGGCAATTCTTTCTTTCTGTCCAAAATCTCCTTCAATGACAAGAGTTTTTGTTCATTCTCCAGCTTCCTATCCAAACACTTGTCGATCGCATCGATGACCAACTGTAATTGATGTTTCTGACGGAAAACGACCTCCTGCGTACTTCCTTCTAGCAAATCCACAAAGGGGGATGCCACTAACGAAATTTTGTGCTTGCTTTTCGGTGTTCGATCAGCGTGCCGAAAGACGGCAGCAAAGCCTTTCAGTCGCCAAGCGTTTTCCGGTAAAATTTCGCGAGGAATATCGTGGATGGAAATGGAGGGACGTCGTTGAACGGATCGCAAAAACGCCTGAGACAACAGTTTGGCGCATTGATCGTAATAATACTCGTTGCCCTTTACAAAACTCCAACCATTGACGTCAATCACGTAGGATTTGCCTTTCACACGTAGCAAGTCAAATCCGCAGATCATTTGTCCAAACGCCTTGGACACTTTACCAGCAATCATTTTCTCTTCGTGTGTGAGTTCGGCAACATACCGAATTTCTTTGCCTTCTGTGTTACGCTTCACTAAACCATCCACGGTCGGTGATCTGATCCCATTGAGGGAAAAATAGAGTGAGTAGATGGGCTCCCCCTTCAAACTTACTCCCCCATCCGCGCCCTTCAAACTTACTTTCTTGTTTCTGCATGAACGTAGCTCGCTCCTACCGTGTAAACTTTCACATCCTCACTATTTTCTGTCATCATCAATGATTCATACACCCACGATCCATCGGAATGAGGTATATTCAGATGCGGATCAAATTCACTTGATTTATTGCCAATCTACAGGTAACAAAACGGTTAAGGGTACGGATATTCCCTTTTCGCACATGCTTCTCTCTGCTTTGATTACTTGCCTTTCTAAACAAGCGTCTGCCCCCACCTCCTCTTTCTCTATCATAGTAAATGTTGATATTGTGATCCTCGCTGTCGACAGGCTTTTCTAGAAACGTCTTGGGCAAAAAAGCTCCATCGACTTCCACACCCTCTTCAGAGACCTTGCAATGCTTGGTATTCTTGGAATATTTCCCCAACACGCGTTTGATATCCATGCCGGTCGTTCTATGAAAGGCTTCCGCAGCCTCTGGATCTACTTTGGCGCCTCCATCACGAGAAATGACCAAACGCGGTGGAGTGGGTACACCTGCAGCATCCAATATAGCCATCACAACACGACGATCCCATAGCAACGATTGCATACACACATCATTGACAATGAAGGGTTTACGGAGTTTAACATATTGAATCGCTTTGTCTAATGGAAAACCAGCCGAGAAGAAGCATAGTAAAAAGTCGCAACCCGGCCAATTTTCAACCTCTACCATATAAAAAAAACCGATGTGTTCCATTTGTTGGTTTTTTTTTATTTTTTAATTTTTTGCTGCATAAATGACGGTTTGTCATACCTTCATCAATAATCGTCTTATCTCCAAAAATAACAATTTCGAAATCTCCGTAAGTAAGCATTCTATCTAAAATATAACGCATAGGTTTTGATCTCGCTTTTTTATCCATGGCGCATACACCAATCACATCTACCATCGGACAAAGACAAGAAATGAGTCTCTCTTCTCTCCCTCACTCTGCCAGTTACAGGCACTTGGACTTATTTTCGACTCAAACTATTTCTCATTGTTACTTCACAAAAAAAACATACATTGTGCTTTGCTCGTGGACTCGGTTCTTTTCAATGGTGAAGGTGAGAGTGCTGCAGGCATAGTGATCGTTTCAACTGCTATAGACAGCCAACAGAAAAAGAGAAAAATAAAGCTGAAAAAAAAATCAAGAGAAAAAAGGGAGGAGTTTATTGTTTTTTGCTGTTTATGAGATAACCCAAAAAACCTTTTCTTTTTTTTTTTTTTTTATTTTATTCTATTTTTTGACAGCAAGAGATCTACCAATAAGATTATGAAACTCTTATAGAATCCCACTTTGGTTTTTTCCGCACCTTTTTTTTGAATTTCCGTCTCTTTCAAGTACTGTACGGATCATCTCCAACAATTTTGGGGCCTACTCACACCAATTACGCTTTCTAGCGAGTGGTTTTTTATCAAAAGACATTGATTCTGAGACAAAATGAAAAGCGATGGCTTTCGTGTTCGAGAGAGCTTGAACCTATTGTGAATTCTGACGCAAGAATAGAATCAATACAGAGCATAGAGAGACAGTGTCTGTCACCCAATCGCGATATAGGCAATCTAGCGGTTCGTTCATGTACTACAAAAGGATACAAAAAGCGTATCATGTCTTACTGTCGAAAAACTTTGTGATGTTCTTTAAAGTACTGCGTTAAGCTATCGAATGAGTTTACTGCCAGTCATAGTAAAGTGCTGTCTGGAAACAATCCAAGGGAAAATCAAAAAGTCGAAAAGGTCGATGAAAGACGACTCATGGATCGGTTGTATAGCTCTTTTCCGGCACTATAGACCTTTTAACTAACGCTGGAAAATTGAAAACGAGTTTCCCTCAGCTCGCTACTGAAAAGAGAAAAGACGAATGGTAAGCTTCCAAAGAAGATAGCATCGCCTATCTTATCGTTCGATTAAGAAAATTAGTTAGGGATGTTCAAGATAGACATACAAGACGACGATTGTGCTGATAGAGCATTTGCCAGTTGTTCAAAATCCGCTTTCATTCATTTGCACTCTGCTTATAGGGTACAAAAAAGTGAATAACGTAAACCAACATAGGGTGCTTTGTCTTTATAAAGTGATGAAGCAAGATATCGCCCCAAGTAAAACAACCTGGTCAAGCTATACTTTCTACGCTAGCCCATCATTTTCAAGTGCATGGGTTTATACATATTGTGCATAACATCTATATAAAGATTGATTGAGGTAGAATGTTATCCTCTACCGCTTATATGCGACTGTTATTATCTCATCCAACAAATATAGGCTGATTTAAACTTTGAAAAAAGCATAGAATCCCAACTTACCATTGTAATTTATTTGACTTTTACTTACCGAGAAAACATACTTACATGATTCAGTCTTTATTTTCAGCCTATGTTCGTTGCTATCAGCAACATATACTTTTTTTCGACTTTAGCGAGTTGAAAATAACTTTCCTTATCCAAGATGTTTGAATGTTTGTTCCTCCAATAGGCACACGTAAATAACCTCCACAGCTGCATAAATTTGTCCGATCCGAACGTCCTCAAATTGAAGGTGTGCATTTAGTTGAATAAACAAAGGGGGGGTTGAGAAGATCCCTCAATTTTCACCTGGAAGCTAAAAAGAGCGGGAAAAGGAAGCATTGTTACGATAAAGAAGCCTTCGCCCATACAAGAGGTTCTATTTCTTCCCTCCTCTTCAACGTTGAAAAATGCCTGCTAACTCAGGTACCGTAAAAGAAAGAATCATGTTAATAACAAAAGCGTCGGTACATGATGTGGATGGACATGGATTTGAGGATGGATCGATGGATGGATATTATTCTATGGCTTCAATGTTTTTTAAAATGCACCATGAGCGAATTCTCAGACATTATTGTAGACACTACATTTCCATCAATGTGTTTGCGCATTGAACATATTTTAGTCACCATCTACGAAACGACACAAAACAACACTTCAATGATATTTTTTGCTTGTTGTGGTATCGTATATTGCGTGTTCTATGCACGGAACAATAGAATCCTGCAAAGAAGATTGACAGAAAGCAATTCATAAAGACACCGGAATCAAAGAGCTTACCATGTCCATTCACTATTGTATCGAGACATCCCGTGTTCATTTGCATTGTGGATACTAATTGTTTATGCACATTCTTTTGATGACTTTCTATATTAGCTCCTAAGGCTAAGGCTCAAGCTGCCAAGAAGGCTGCCCTCAAGGGTGTCCATGGTAAGGCTGTTCGTAAAGTCCGTACCTCCACCCACTTCCACATCCCCAAGACCCTCAAGTTGAACAGAGCTCCCAAGTATGCTCGTAAGTCCATCAACCACGCTCCTCGTATGGATCAATATCGTGTCATTCGTCAACCTCTCAACACTGAAACTGCCATGAAGAAGATTGAAGAACACAACACTTTGACTTTCATTGTTGACGTCAAGGCCAACAAGAACCAAATCAAGGATGCTGTTAAGCGTCTTTATGATGTGGAAGCCGCCAAGATCAACACTTTGATCAGACCTGATGGTTATAAGAAGGCTTTCGTTCGTTTGACTGCTGATGTTGATGCTCTTGATGTTGCCAACAAGGTAAGCCAAAATGATTAGCTTCAAAAGAGCACCTCACAAAGATAAAAACTAACACACAAACTTTTCTTACCACTATCGTTCATCATTTAGATTGGTTTCATCTAAGCGATTTAAAGAGAATAAAAAAGAATAAAATAAACTGTCCTGTTTTGCTTTTTCTTCAACTTGTCATCTTTTTCTATTTTACACCAACTAACGCTTAGCAAAGATCAATAAAAATGATCCATCCATATTATCATTTTTGCAGAGAATGAAAATTGAGATGATCCGTTGACATTTGTAAAAGAGATGAAAAGGCTTATTGATCTGTGCGTAGGCGCCTGCATACATGTCGACGTTCTGCAAAATATTAAATACGTACATATTGCATCAACCCGCTTTCTAATTGACAATTTCGTGCAAATTGATAATTTATTAACTTTGTTTCACAAACAAACCAAAAATTGGTTGCCCCTTTTTCGGTCATTTTTTACATTTCAAACTAACTCTTTTTTATCTGCTATTCCCTTTCCTTTTTTTTTTTTTTTTTTTTTTTTTTTTTTTTTGGTTGTTTTGCATGATAGTATGACGACACAGGTAGTTGATTCTGCAACAGCAGCTAATACTATTCTACCACAACATCATCCAAACGAAAAGCAACTACAACCAGAACAACTTACCACGGATGATCCAATAGTAACAATGGACACCGCGACTAACAACACCACGCACCATCACCTTTATCAGAATGATAATACTACAAACTCAACCTTTGACTCAGAGGACGAGCATGATGATTTAGGTTATGACATTACTGAATTCGATTTAGATGTGGTCGACGATGCACTTCTGAACCCTAATAGCAAAGAATATATGGATCATTTCGGATTTAGAATACAAGTCAGAACAGACGATGAAGAGTCGAGCGATGACGGCTCGATGAGCGATTACAGTCCAGTTTCTGTTGGCCATCCACAACAACAACAACAACATCAAGAAGAGCAGCATAAAGATAGCTTAGATAATGAAGACGAGGAAGATGTTGTTATCAAAAGAGCGACAAGAACCAATTTCTCGCCCATATCAACAACTACTTCAATGACACCCACGACCACCACTACTACTACCACCACTGCTAGAACAACAACAACAGCAAATAACAGAAGTGAGTGTGATGATGATGAGTATGACGATGATGATGACGGTGATGACGACGATAGATATTCAATTGATACGCATATTACCTCTCCTCAGTCCTCTACTATGTTCAACCTGCAAGAAGATAAGCTGAAATCAAGCGCAGAACAAGATGTCTGCTCTTCTATAAATAGTACTACTACCACGAATACCACTATAAACAGAAGTGTAATGGACGAATCAAAACAGTTGTCATTATCGTCAAACAATCAACCTTCTGAAACCATGTTAGAATCACCGCCTGAGTCATTGAATAAGAATAACGCTCAAAAAGAAACAGCACCTGTCTCAGCTATAGCATCTGTCTTGCGCAATTTACATATGGATGAGGAAGAGCATCAGAAGGAAAATCAACAGACTCGCCAGCAACAGTATACTCATCCAAGCAGTAGCAAGAGTAATAATGGAAATCAAACCAATCCACACCGAAGGAGTATCTTTTCCAGTATGACAAACCCATTTTATCATTCTTCATCTACAGCTGCTGTTCAAAGAAGTAATTCTACTGCATCATTACCCTCTCGAACTGATTCCTACATTGCGCGTCCTTCACAATCGTATCAACAGCGACAAAGCGTGAAGCAACATCGACAATCTATTATTCTCTCACCTCACTCACCTACTAGCTCTCTTATGTCACCCGTAGTGAGCAGCAATAGTAATGGAAGCATGATGGCTATAGGGCAGCAACAAAGCTTTGATCAACTTGTATCCAGTTACAAACGTTTGTCACATCAAGAGCATAAGCTTGATTCAGATGAACATCTAGCGTTGAAGAAAGACGCTTTAGCCTATCTAAAGCAACTGAAAGAGCAAGATCAAGGATCCAATGATAAGAGTCATATAGATTGGAGTAAGTTTTTTTGATCTTTTCTTTTTGTTTTTATTTTGTTTTTGTTTTTTTTTTTTGGAAAACCAATGGCCATTTCAGTCTATCTAATTTGAAGAAATACTTGATTTTCTAGCCTTCTGGGAGTCGGTCATCCATAACTTTGGAGATATAGTTGAAAATCAGTACGATAAAATACAGGAACATCTTATTCACGGCATACCCTCCCTACTTCGCGGCTATCTATGGCAAATAATTTCTAAATCGGCTGATCAAACCTTTAGAATGAAAGATAGTGACAACATGGCCTATTATACAGATATATTAGTTAGAAAAAGCACCAGTCATTTTGAAAAACAAATTCAAAGAGATGTTCCGCGTACTTTCCCGGGACACCCATTTTTTCAGACAGAAACAGGGAGACGATCTTTATTCAATGTCGCAAAAGCCTACAGTCTCTTTGATCAAGAAGTGGGATATTGCCAAGGTCTATCTCATATCATAGGTTGTCTTTTAATACATGTATCCTGTATAGCAGAACAACAACAACAACAACAACAACAGCAGCAGCAGCAGCAGGAAGAAGGTAATGGATTTGGGCATAAAAGTAAAAAAAGCAACCAAGACAAAATGGAATACGCTGCGTTTTGCATCCTGGTCAAACTTATGGGCAAGTATGGTTTACGAGGCCATTTTACACCACATATGGACCTACTACATCAACATCTTTATCAATTTGACAACGTGTTTCAGCAAAAGTTACCGGTTGTGCATCGTCATTTAGAAAGAGAAGGGGTCACACCCTCCATGTATGCTTCTCAATGGTTCATCCCTCTATTTTCTTATTGTAACCAACAACAACAAAAACAAGTCTTTTCTCAACCATGGATGGAATTTTTGTTCCGCATCATGGATTTGCTGTTGGTAGAGGGTACACATATATTGATCCAAATCGCATTGGCTTTGGTGATACGGAACCAAGACAAGTTATTAGGAATGAAGTTTGAGCGTTTGGTAAGCTTTTTGTGTCATGACATTTTTTCTGTCTATATCCATGCTACCGAAGAGGGTGCAGTCGTAGTGGATGTTGACCAGTTTGTACAAGATGTTTATCGAGTGGAGTTGCCACCAAAATTCATGGCAAGATTGGCGCAACAATACTGGAACCAACAACAGCAGCATAGTGTAGGTGGCCTCGTGATCGATGAAACAGAAATGGTCAATACAGTGGCTGGAGCAAGAATGTCAATGGCCTCTCAAAGGCCTTCTACTTCGGCAATGACACAAGAGGAAAATCTTCGTCGTATCAACGGTCAACTCTCTGAGCATATTCGATCTGTTGAGGGCACTCTACAAGCTTTGCGTCAGGAAAATCAGGAATTAACCAACCAAGTCATCAGCAGTAAAATGGATATGGCTCGTACAGAAGATGAGAAAGAGCAATTACGGTACGAATTAGCACAAGTGAGAGCTGAGTTTGAGCAATATAAACGTAGAGTGAATCAATCGTTCGATGAGCGTGTCAAAGTGCTAGAAGAAGAAAATGCCCAGTTGGTTCAAAAGAACGTGGCTCTAGCGAGCCAGCTGACCGAGACAGAAACCATGCTGATCGAATTGAAGATGCAGTTTGCAGAGCGAGAAAGTGAATTTGAAGACTTGAAGCGCGATTGGAAAGCAGCGATAAGGAAGTAAAACATTTGAAATAGATTATTTCATCCTGAACGTTTTAAACGTTTTTATACCATATAATTTACAAAACCATAATTATGCCCATTAATATCTAATTCTTTGTTGAATGCTAATACAGTCTTTCCGTTCCAAAATTGTTGTTCTACTGATCGTTGCTTGTGGGATTATATTTTGTTGTACTTTTAATATATTCATGGACGCTATTTTGAGATTTAACTTGACAGATTTGGAGAACCTTTTATCGCTACCTTTCAGTTGAAAGGCTTTTGGCCTCTAATAAAAAATCCAAAATTATTTACTGCCTGTTCAAAGTCATACTGCTACAAGGCATCGTAGCTTTTTCAATAAAAACACTGCTCGTATTTCAGCAAGTAACTTTCATTGATATTCCAAAAAAAAATAAATTATGATCAGTATCAGACTGATAATCAGAAACTTAAAAAGTCCCTTAAAAGTGTACACGCACTTTACGAAATGGGAGCTACTTAAAGAGAAATTTAATTGGATGCCAATGCTAAAAACTATACAGTACTGGGCATTTTTTGGTTACGAGCGATTCAGACTTGATAAGTTGATGCATCGATGATGAGCGAAGAAACGAAAAATGGATCAAAATTCATGTGGTGCAAAAAGGCTCTCTCTTTTTTGGAGATCGGGGGTTATAAAATTATTGAGTCGTGTTTCTTCTTTTCTCTTTGTCGCGATCTCGCGTCTCTCTTTCATACCATCTCTTTTTCCTACCCCTATTTTTTTTTAGGCTACAGCGCATCGATCACACATCAAGACATGCTCAAAACGAGAAAAGTGAATCGCTTTGCAGCAGCAGCAACAGACGCTGCTCAGCGCTTCGGCAACAGAGGGGGAAGGAACAATAGCGAGCTGCTGAAAGAATACCCATTTCGTTTGAATTTCTATTTAAAGGTACCGACATCTGAAATCACCATTGAAGAATTTGAGACTTTTGCTCTCGATCGATTACAAGGTAATGGACCAGATTTTTCATCTGTTGATTTACTTGGAAATTATACAGAAAAACGATATTAGCCTTGAAGAAGAAGAAGAAGACGACGAAACTTATTGTAGTTCTTTTGATATTTATATAGTACTCAGAGCGATTGATAACGCAGCTATTCGTCGCAAAGACATAGCAACTGAAATAGCAACTACACTCGAGCAATTTTTACCATTGCACTCCAACTTGTCTAAATCAGGAGATTTGTATATAGAAAGACGTAAAGATCATATCAGTCATTTTGTGTTAAGAATGGCCTATTGTCGAAAGTATGTCCTCGTAATATGTGTTCTTCTTTCAATGTCAACAGAAGAGGATATGTATAAATATTGAAATTTGGAGCGAGGCATTGATTGTTTTGATTTAACAGTTTAGATCTACGTAAATGGTTTGTGAATCAAGAATTGGCATTATTCAAAATTCGTTTTGATCAAGAAAGCATGGAGGAAAAAAAACGATTTTTGGCTTCACTCAACCTGAACTGGGAAATGGTAAATTCATGGAGAGTAGTAAAAAGCAAGTAAAAAAAAGGTGAATGTCTTACTAAACTCGAATGAGTTTTGAAATAGATTTCAATGGAAGAAAAAGAAAGCCTAAGAAAAGAGCTTACTACCTGCTCTCGATGCAAACCAGGCATCAATGCAGATGACTACGTTACAAACGAAACGTTTTTCAAAGTCGACTTTTGGAAAGTGCCCGAACTTGTAGGCACCCGCTCTGTCTTTGTCAAACGTGGTAAAGCCTACGTTCCAATGAAAGAACAAGTCAATTTAGTGATGACCGAGTTTAGAAATTACCTCGAGCGCGCTCTGAACGCGACTAGTAAGATTTTGCCTCGATTAGAAGAAGACGATAGACTGAAACCTATTCTTCAAAATGTCGAGAAACAATATGTGGGCAAAATGTACAATGGGGAGGACGCCGGATCGGATGGTCATAAAATTAAAGCGAGTGAAGTGGATGCACTGGTGAAAGCGCACGCACCGTTGGGCATGCGCCATTTACATAACGTGTTGCGCGCCAAGAAACATTTAAAGCATGGTGGTCGTTTACAGTACGGCCTTTTCTTGAAGGGTATTGGATTACCATTGGAAGAGGCGCTAATCTTTTGGAGACAGGCATTTTCAGAGATTACAGATGACAAATTCAGAAAAGAGTATCAGTATAATATTCGACATATGTATGGTTTGGAGGGTTCACGTCATAATTATAAACCGTTCAGTTGTATGAAGATTATAACAAGTAACCAGCCAGGACCGGGCGACGATCATGGTTGTCCTTACAAACATTGGTCGCCACAGAACCTGGAAGCAGCTCTGAGGAAAGACGGTCTCAATAATCAACAAGTGCAAGAAATTTTAGAACTGTCGCGTAATAAACATTATCAGGTTGCATTGACACGACACTTTGAATTCCTACATCCCAATATGAAGCAGAAGATTGATACTATTGAACATCCGAATGAGTACTACGAGCTAAGTAAACAATATGCAGAAGAACAACAGCAACAACCGTCATCAGAAGACGCTCAGATGGAGGTAGTAGAAGAAGAAGGGGCTGCTACAGAGAGAGCAGTGTCAGCGGAAGAAGAAGCTAGAATAGAAAAAATGTTAGCAGATGAAGAGGCGTTATTAGACGAAACCATGGATATTGAAGGATTAACCATTGGCAGTTAATTTATAAAAGCATCACGTCATATAGAAAAAAGCAATTGAACTTTTACGTGCTGCTACTATTATTATTATTGTATTGTCAATTACACGCATATAAAACATTGTTACATCGAAGAAATCTTACCGAATCAATGTGTAAGCTCTGTTTGGCAAAAAGACTGATTTCACAGTTATTTAGATGTGTGTACAACCTTTAAAATGTTTTGGTATTTGTGTTTACTTGATTTGGCTTCTGCCATAACAAAAAAAAAGAAAAACCCCTTATTTTTTCGTTTGCCCGCATCACTTTTTTTTTCTATAAGGAAACCCCGCCAAAAAAATTATGTCAACAGGCATCGTATGTTTTCAATGTTTATGTATGCTTATACTCGGTATATACAAATATACACATACACTGATATAAGAACCCTTACCATTAGATACAGCAGTTTTCAAGCCCATCCGAATATTTTATGCTTTGTTGTACAACTCCAAATACTAACTTAATTGAGCACAAAAAATACTGGGCGTTTCTAATGAATCTTTTACACATACACACAATAATCTACATATTCTCATCAAAACAATAGACTAAACAGAGGAAGAGTGACAAACATAATATCTATAGCAGCAAGATGTAAGATAACAAGCGGTTTTCTTTTTTCTTGTTATTTTTGCACACTACAGGATAATGGATATGAGATGAAAGGAAAAAGCAAGCAAGAAAAAAAAAAGACATTGCCTAATTAAGTAGTGTATGGAAAATGAAAGATTGTTACTGTAGTAGTTTACTTTATCAATTCCGTCATTTTATAATGATGCCTAATAATTAAACAAACTGAATAAACAGGTTAGTACTAAGGGATCCCTATCATTGTCACCATCAAGTATTCATCTCAGTCATTATTGTTGTTTATACACAACTTGTATTTACATAATAACAGCTTTTTTTTTGATCTCAGCCTGCCACTGATGATTGCTTTTTGTTATTCCGTTTAAAACGCGTCAATGTCTATCAAGTAACTGTAAACAAAAGTCTAAACAGAAAAAAAAATAAAAACTAACTGATGATGACGTACCTGACACAACAAAAGCTTGGAAAATCTATATAGAAAACATAAGAAAAAGGCCATTAAAGAAGGGGAAGGGTGGAGAATGGGATCAGAAAAAAAAGTTGTTGTTCTATCTCCTATTGTTGTAGTAATGCTATTGCTTTACCGTTTTAAGTCATTGTAGAAGGAATTCAAGGCACTCCGCAAAAAAAAAAAAAAAACTTGTACACAAAAAAAAATAAAAATATTCAGAATGTATAAATACTCCTCTATACAAAGGACGTTACATTATGGAACTGACTTCTTCTTTCCCTTTCTTTTGTTAATCTATTTTATACCCTCTTCCATACTTAGTTTGCAACTCATTGCCATACATATGACTCTCTCTCAAGCCCCCATTATGCAGTTCCAACAAAATAGCCCTTATTTATTTGATACCCACTGGGCAGAATATCAAAAGAAATCACCCATCAAACAACATTATCATCCGTATCATATGCAATTATTGACAGATAAACTCCACAAATACCGAGGAAACACTACTGTCCTTCATAATAAAGATTGTTATGCAACCTTACAACAGCCAGTCAAAAGGCAAATTATCCGATACCACAATTATTCTTTACCAACAGCATCAAATCAGCACAAAAATACCATTATGACTATATTACCCAAAAAAGGTATTTTATATGTTTGATGATTGAATTTAAACATGACATTATCAATAAAAATCCTTGCATATTGATGTTGATGTTCTTTTTAATCATCATTTAGACTACCTAAGTCAGCTACCGGTCGAAATTATTTCAGAAATCCTACAGCATCTTGTCGATGATATTCCAAGCTTATGTCAACTTATGTCAACCTCCCAACAATGGTACACTCTACTTCGATCCAATACGATATTCTGGAAGCACCTTTCCCTCAATCCACGACAATGCCAATGGCACCTGCAAATCCCCGCTCATATCCCTTTCAACCACATTGATTGGTACCAACTTTACAAACAGCGTACTATTCTCGATACCCGATGGTCCAAAGGTCGTGTAGTCACCCACTATCTTATGGGCCATATTGACAGCATCTATTGTTTACAATTTGACAAAACCCAGCTTATCACTGGCAGCCGAGATCGTACCATTAAGGTATGGGACTTGCGAACCTATCAATGCCTCAGTACTCTTTATGGTCATGAAGGAAGTGTTCTTTGTCTCAAGTTTAACCAAGACACCATGATCTCTGGTTCTTCTGATACAACACTCATCGTTTGGAAAAGAAACCTACCTTCTCAGCAAAAGACAGCTCCGTGGGCACCGGTAATGCGGTTACACGGCCATACAGCTGGTGTACTCGATATCGAATTTGATGATCGATTGATTGTGAGTTGTTCAAAAGACAAGACCATCAGAGTTTGGGATATCCATAATGGCCAGCTATTACGAACTATCGTTGCGCATCGTGGCCCAGTGAATGCTATTCAATTGGTAGGTGATCGATTGGTGTCGGCTTCAGGCGATGCTTTGATCAAAATGTGGAATATCTTGACAGGCGAATGTCTCAAGAAGTACGCTGGGCATACGCGTGGTCTCGCTTGTGTACAGTTTGACGGAGATACGATTGTTAGTGGTTCAAATGACAAGACGATCAAGGTCTGGGATGCGGCTTCAGGTCAATGTAGAATGAGTCTGGAAGGTCATACAGATTTGGTGAGATCATTGGCATTGAAAGATGACAAAATTGTGAGCGCGAGTTATGATCAGAGTATTCGCGTCTGGGATAGAAAGACGGGTGCTTGCTTGCTAAACTTTCAAAGTGGCCATACTAGTTGGGTGTTTGATGTGGCATTCGATGCAACCAAGATTGTCAGTGCAAGTCAAGATCGAAGAGTGTTGATAATGGATTTTACGTATGGCTTAGATACCCGTTTCTTTTGAAAATTTTGTCCTATTGTAACTATCCTTTCCTATTTGTATAAAGCTTGTCTCCCTCTTCTGTGTCTTTCTTCTGTTGCAAATATATCATTTCTTCATGTACAATTAATTTTTTCTTTTTTACTGATAAAGCACTTTTGTATTTCTGTCCCATGGGGAAAGAACGAAAAAATGCATGCTAAACATAGTCGTGCAAACACACACACACACACACAAAAAAAAAAAAAAAAAAAAAAAGTGGTTATAGACTTGATTGCACTGATTTCATATCGAACATTTTTAGTGTAAAAGAGCCAATATATTGATCTCACATGACCTCATTGATTAAAAAAAAAAAAAATGTTTAAGCTGTGGATTGATGATCATCAAGTCAATGTTTTACTTTACAACCATCGATCAAAGGAAAAAGGTCTCAGAACAGATTTAGCACGTCCTTTTTTAACGATGTAAAAAGACGCAAAATGTTTAAGATAAAAAGTCAATGATCGTCTCCACTTTGATCGTTTTTTTTTTACACTCAATTTTTGGTTTCACTTTTTTAGGGTCTCATCACACACACACATATACGCTCGCACACGGACGGTGCACACACACGCCGCACACCATTTTTCTGTCTTGAATGTGTGAACTATCATTTCTCTTTTCTTCTTTTTTTTCCAATCTTCTCCTCTTTTTTTATTATTTTTTATTATTCATTCTTTTCTTTTTGGTTAACTCCCTTTTCTATACAAAGTCAAAGTCCAAAAAAGAAAAAAAAAGTTTATTTTTCTTCATATTTGTGTTTTTGTAAATTGTGGTTTTTTTTTTTCACAAAAAAAGATATCCGTCTTCACTTCTACTTTATTCTCGTGTACATACAATATCACCCGAACCATAATAACGTTAATAAGCCTTAACTGAATGATGTTGAATAATATGACATCTGGACAGCAACCAGCTTCAACGCAGCAGCAACAGCAGCAAATACATCAATCACAAGTACAGCAAGGGCAAGGTGCACAAGGTCAAAGACAAGAACAACAACAGCAAGCAGCAGTGACAACAGCAGATTTCTTGGCCTTATTATCTCAAAACCAAAATGAGGTGCAAATTGATGATGCTTCTATTGCCGTTGATGCAAATGCCTTAGTGTTGGATATTCTAGATAATATGAACAAATCTACTAATCAACAACAGCAATGCTTTCTGGAGCAGCAACAACAACGACAACAAACATTATCGACTACGCCAAGGACGACACCGAGCAATCCCTCACCAGCCAATTCCCAAAATATACAGCCTATGACCATGGATTACAATGAAGACTTGAAAGACAATAGTAACAATAATAGTATGAACTCCACAGCAACCGCAAATACTACAGCTACGACGACGACGACGACTACTACTACTACCACCACCACCACTGCTACTACGAACAGTGCTACGAATAACAATAATTTCAATTTTAATCAAGGTAAGAATGATGGATAAAATTTTAAGGGAATTTTTTCCCATAAAAGGCTTTCAAGAAACGTATCCATTCCCTTTTATTAATAACAATCACTTACTCTATGTTAGATTTCCTGGCACAATATACCCCCTCTTCTGACATAAGCATTGACCCATTCTTCAACCTGAATTTACAAGAGAATGATCCTTTATTATCGTCAAATTATAATTCATTGAGTGCAACGCCTCCACAACCACAACAACAAAGAAGTAATAGTATTGCTACAGCCACAGCTTCAAACACTGGCACCACTGTCAATGGGACTGGGTTGATGGACTTCAATAGCACGGCTTCTAATACATTATTATCACCAACACAATCGAATTGGGCAGCTACTAGGCGTCATTCTGTCGCAGTAACAGGTGGCAGCAGCTTTCTAAACGAATTGAATCTCCGTGCATATCCTTTTAACCATCAACAGCAACAACAGCAACAGCAGCAACAACAGCAGCAACAACAACAACAACTACAATCATTCACTCCTTCTTTAAATACACCAACAACTGCAAATGTTTTTGCTTCATCAGCAAACACCTTTTATAATACAAGATCGCCCATTTCTACTACACCCATGAACCATGGTTTCAATAATATCAATCCTATTCGACAACAACTGGTTCAGCAACAATTGCAACAGCAACAATTTACTCAACCTATACCTCTACAAAACCCTCAACAACAACAGCAAAAGTTAATGGCTGCCATGACATATCATAAAAGACCCATAATGACTGCACAAAAATCTACCAGTAGCCAATTATTAAATATACAAGAGAATTCGATGATGCCACCACTTGTGCATTTGACTCACCGTGCCTCTATGCCGAATATCTTTTTGTTCGATCATCAACAGCAACAGCAGCAGCAACAGCAGCAGCAGCAGCAGCAACAAAACTTACAGAGGGAAAGAACGAACAGTGGCACTATACCAACGCCTACCCCACCTATATCACTCCAATTCAACCCTATGCCATGGTCGAATACTACCTCTACAGATAACACGACCTCTTCTTCCGCGACGACTCCTACTAACACTATTACTTCGAATAACAATAACACCACGGCGGCCTCCACCAACACATCTACCACAAATGATACAATTGGGTTTTTTGAGGACTGGAATACAAATGATACAACTCAAATCAATCCCATGTTGACCTCAGATACATTTATGCCTTCTTCCTTGATGGAAGTACAAGAAGAGGATGAAGGAGATGAACAACTGCAGCAACAGCAACAGCAGCAGCAACCGCCTCTTTTGAGTCGTAAACGTTTCTATTCCCAGCAATTTGATCATTTCCCCACCACCACCCCTCCTCCTAATCAGTTCATGCCTTTCACATCCACTTCGTCCACGGCTTCTGTTCATCCTTTCACGACCCTCACACCGCCTACCACCTCATCCGTTTTCAGCAACAACAACAACAACAGCAACAACACATTTCAATTCAATAACAATCAAAGTACGGGCAGCAGTAATAATAATAACAACGGCGGGAGTGATGATTTTATCTGTCCCTTACCCATGTCAGGTGTGTTAAGTAGACGCGTCAGTATTGCAACACCGCAAGACATTCAAATGTGGCATCGTATTATAAACCAGAACAACAGTAACGCTACTGTGAATACTGCTGCTATGACGACATCTCCTGGCTTACTAACACCCATGTCGACGGCCGTCTACAAAGTAGACGAAGAAGATGAATTGATGGAGAACGACGACAGAGACGTCAAAAGACAGAAACGTGCAAAGTCTATTTCAGTTGCTCCATTTTCATCCTCATTATCATCACAACAGCAACCACAGCCACCACAAGTGCCTGTGGGTACAGCACCAACACTTATGCAGCCAGAAAACACATCTGTACACCCTATTGCTCCAACAACAATTACCACTGCCACCACTACGAGCAGTGTCCAACAACAGAACGGAAGTAATAGGAAGAACAATGGTAAAGGTGGACGGAAGAATAGCACTAAGCCCAAAGCCGATAGAGCCTTAAGAAAGAATCATACGGCAATGACAATGACGATCAATGGTGGCACAACAAGTCAAAAAGGAAAATTAGCCAAACTGTCTTCCTCCTCCCATAAAGATAGCAGCACTACGACAAATATCAGTGATATGGAAGCAAAACGTGAGGAGATGTTGAGGATCAAAAGAACAAGTGCCTCGTATAAAAAGGATCAAGAAGAGGATGAGGATATGTTGATGATGACCATGGATGCTGGCGATGCCGACGAGAACAACGACGAGAATAACGACGACGATGAAAATGCTCAAGATTATCCCCATATCACAGATGCAGACTTGGAAGCCGCCCGAAAGAATCCTACCGCCATTCCACGTCGACAAAAGTTACGATACGAAGGAGATGAGTATACTCCCAAATGGGTGCGTTATACCGGACAACAAAAGGAAGGCTATTGCGATACTTGTCAACCTGTCGGTAAATGGCTTCAATTGAAAAACAGTGCCTTTTGGTATCATAAGCAGTTTTATCATGGTATCTCTTCGGTGTCCGGTAAACCATTTGCTAATCCTTTGGAACAAAGACCAGGCATTGAGAACGCCGATGTCATTGAAGGGCTGTGCCATCAATGCAAACAGTTTGTGCCTATATGTAATTCTAAGCGTAAGAATAGTGCACTTTGGTATCGTCATGCTCACAAGGTACTGAGATATAAAAAAAACCCAAAAAAAACCCTCGAGATTAGATAAGCAAAGGACGTTCCTGACTCATTTATTTTCCCGTTCTTCCTTGTGTTATTCTTATCATAGTGCCATGTCTACGATAAACCAAAAGTCAAGGGTAATAGCAGCAGCAGCAGCATATCGAAGAAACCCACCAATGCCACATCTCCTACCACTACCTCCTCGTAAATGACAGCTTTTATTTCACATCTTTCCAATTGCTCAACATTATATCACCAAATATCATTTTTTATTATACATATAATATCATGGTTTCTCATTGTAAAACTCTTTCAGCTTTTTTACTTTTTTTTTTTTTCTACTTATTTATCCTTCATTGACTGTAAATTATACATATATTGCTTTTATCCAAAAAAAAAAAAGAAAAAAAAAGAAGAAAAAGAAAAAAAAACAATAGAAAATTCAGCTTCTGACCCTAATTTGCAGATCACATTCATTCAAGAATATTCCTTTGTATTTCCAGAAAAAAATTCCAGTAGCTCGGAAGCTTTTCAAAACGGGAAAAGGCGGGCTGAAAGAAGGAGTAAGGATACGTAAAATACATGGTTAAAGTACATGTTAAAAGACAGGGAAAACATTTTTACATAGAAGCAAAACAGTAAAAAAAATTTATTTTCATATTTGGAATAAGTTTATATCAAATATTGAGAAATAAATGGAGAAGCATTTTTAAAATTGTATACAAACCTGGTATTTTACGAAAAATAAAAGGTATCACGGAACAAGTTTACTTGAATTCTTTCCAACTCTCATCAAAACCTACACCTTTAAAGTCCCAGTTACCATCTAGATCTACTGCCATTTGTGCTATTTTCAACCAGATCTGTTCCAACTCAGGGTCTTCATCTGGGCCATAGATAATTTGAGCCACAGCACAAGATCGAACGACTTTGATGACATGTACTTCTTTACAGTCAAGAGACTTATTAAACACATCCAGCCAATTATTGTTACTCTTTTCTACGTGGTTTGGTGATTTATAATTGAGTAAACTCCGAACATTTAAATTGGGTCTTCCTCTAGCTACGTAATATATCAGCGATACAATGAGATGGGCCTGCAATAAACTGACTGCTTCCGAAGGCGCGACACGAGGAATGTATTGATGGAGGAATTCAGCCGAAGTGACAGCATGCATGAGGAAAAAATCGAGACGCAAGACACCAGGATAATCATCACGAAGACCTGAAGAGCCAAGCAGGAGGCCAACCGCTGTGTATAATTGTTTGAATTTCTTTTGGATATCAGTCGAGTTTTCTTCAATCTTCCATTGAGCGGCATAGTCTTTCAGTTTGTTCAGAGCATTTTGATCTTTCAGAACGGCGTCCAGCTTTTGGTCGTCTTTGAAACTGACAGAAGAGTCAAAAGTGGGATCTTTTCTGATCTGGTCAAGGACGGCAAAGAGCTCATTTCCCTTCAAGAAATTAGGTATATCTTTGGATTGATCATCCTCTACACTTTTTGCTGCACCTGTTTCTGCTGTTGTTGATTCCTCCTTATTATCAGATACTTTTAAACGGGTCGAGATTTGCTGAGACAACTGATCAATAAACTGTGTAACATAACCACGGGCAGCAGAAGAGGTGTTTTCAGCAATAGCTTGTGCTTGAGCCGGAATCAACATCGACGAAGTACGAAGGGGTGGTTGCTTGGGAACGACACCAGTGAAATTGGGTTCTGTACACGCAGCCATAGCTAAACCTTCGGCGACAATGGCGGGAATACCGAATTCAAGACCGTAGCCAATATGAATGACAGGGTGGTAAGCGCCACCAATCGTTCGTGCAAGGAGGTCGCCACTCCATACCCAGCGGCGGACAGTGTCATGCATGCCATACTTATCCACTTCCTTCTTGAACAAATTGAGGAAACTTGTATAAGCGTCGCCGTTACCAAGTTGTTCGGTATAGTTCTCTCTAGTGAGCTCACCCACAGAAGGTGGTAAAGGGCGCTGATCTTTGGCGTGATAATCAAAAATCTCTTGAATTTTCTCTTTACTGGCTCCTAAGGAATAAGCAGCCAGGAGATGATGAATTAAATGGCTAGGGAGTAGATAGATTTAAAGAAACACAATATTAAGTAAGACTGTCTTCCCCAATGGAGCACACCACACTTATCACATCTAGCTTATTTTACTTGTGAAATTTCTTCTCATTAAAAAAGCAATGGAAATCATGATTATTCTTTTCTAATAGTTGCTCAGACAATGCGGCTGCAGCAGGGCTAACACCTGGAACTAACATTGTGAAAGTCTCGGGTTGAAGAGGTATATTTGGTTTAAAGCTTGACATCTTGGCTTATTGGTCGTTTCTTTTTTTCTCTTTGTGTTGAAGACAGGTATTTATTGTAAGCTGAAGTTGATCAAATAGAAGGAAAAGAGTAGCATTTTCTATCACTGCTTAGCATATTTATATCAATTTTCTGTGTTCTGGTCATGCAAAACGAAAAAAAGTGTAATTTTGCCGTCATTTTGGAAAAAGCCTGCCAGCCAGCTGCCAGTCAATCCTCGGATTCATGCATTTATTTGTGTTACTGATGTTTATTTAGTCAACAACAGCCAATAGAGTCGTGCTTATTCATCCCCTTTTTCTAAAAAACACTGTGGCTCCCTGGCGCGTGAAAAGATAGAATGTTTGTTTGTCTAAGTAATCTATTAAATGACTAAGCAGTTCTCACGTTTTAATGAGATCATGCAAAAAGTTACTGCATAGTTCTCGAGAAGTATCTAGTACGTCAAAATGAATATCATCATCCACAGATTTGTTGTCTATTTTCAAAAGCTGGCCCTGATATGTTTTGTTGTAAAAGCACTGGTTTCACAGCAAGTGATCAGCAGTTGCGATTTTTTTTATATATCAAAGTGAAAAGTGTCTAGTAATGGTTGGCTTAGTAAAATAAACTTTTTAATTCCATTGGTTGATAATACCAGATCACAGATCAGAAACTCAGTTAGTATGTCTCCTGTCAGGTTGAATAATATGAATATACGCGAGAGTCATTGTACGATTGCAGAGCATGGCTTCAGGGTATTTTATTTATAAATACAGATTATAAGGGTATAATGAATTTTTTAATTAAATTCGAACAATCGTAACTCACCGGATGACAGCACTGCCAATAGATGACTCTTCTGAGCTCTCATATACTTCCAATCAATTATGGGCATGGTTGAATAAATAGTCTGAAGCTTATCCGTCCTATCTCGTACTGTTATCTACAGAATATGGAAAACATTAGCATCAGTACTTCTATGAGCAATAATGGTGGTGGAGGGTCACCACTTACTTCATCATTTAGAAGATAGCAGATATAGGGATCCTTCTCATCTCGTGAAAAGTGCTGAATATCGTTAAAGGGATGCTGTGTGTCGTAAGACCAGTCGGTAACAATATTGAGAGTATCCGACAGATACCAAATGGAAGCCGTTGTAAACAACTGTGACCTTTCTAATGAACAAAATAAACCATCATTGAACCTCAGTGATAAGTGCTCAGTAACCAAATCAATTTCACTAGATCCATTGTTCAAAGAAGAGTAAACAAATTCATCTCCTCCTTCTGCAACCTCCTTGTTCCAGATATAAATGTTAGAGCTGTCCATACATATATACTTGTTGTTTGGATAGGGCACAATAGAACGAATAGGGGCCGTATTAGCTGGTTTGACAAGCTTGTTGACATACCCGCTGGTGTTTCTAAGGTCAAAAATATAAAGTTCTCCGTTTTGCCCGCCACATAAAAGAGAGTTGGGATTCTCTTCATCAATACAACAACTGATGCCAGGCGAGTCAAGGGTATATCTGAATCATAAAAAATATGGTAAGAAAACTTTTACATTTTACTGTCAGATAAATTCCCTTGGCTAACTTACGATTGTATGACACGGTTGTTAGTCAAAGACGTCAATTTTAAAGTTCTATCGTTTCCAGTTGATAATAACGTGCCTTGATCGGAAAGTTTCATGGCTTTTACTGTAGCCTGATGATCTAAAGGAATAAATTCTGTGACTGACAAATCATACAAATTACATTTTCGAACACCAAACGTTCTCGTTGCGGAATTATAGCACGAAATAGTAATCATGTTCATCAAGGGATTTGATTCAACCAGGCTAAAACACTAGTAGTAGTCAAACGCAAGTTAAGACGAGTACTTATTTGAGAACTGTACTGGATTAAAATTGCTACCTCATTATCAGCTGCTATCCTGTCTTTAAGAATAAAATGATTCTGTGAATGCAGCTCTTGCGAAGCACTAGACAACTCTTCTTGTGTCAAAGATACAGTATTGATGTTGTCTAGTTTATGTTTATACTCATCGATCTCTGCATGTACTGTGGCTATTTCCTGTTGGAGAAGTTCGATTCTTCTACGTGCCTCCTCTAATTCATGCTTCAGTGGATGTAGATCTTCATGCTTTTCAGTTATCGTTAATGTAGCCCATACTTTTCTTGGTTCAGACTTTTTGACATTTTTATGACAGAGCGGACATTCTGCATAATTTAGATTTCGAATCATAGATTTTATATGTTTCTTCAGGCAACTTTGGTAAAGGATATTTTGGTCGTTAGTCATGACTCATCGGTGTGTTTTGGTCTATTTAGTTGGTAGTGTAATAATGACGCAGCCCACATACCTGCCTCCGAACACATGGCCACACTTAAGACTCATGGGTTGATGCCAGTCATTAGTCAAAGGTTTTTCGCATAAGGAACAGTTGTACGTCACTTCTTTCACTAGTTGACCTTCGGTGTCATCGTCATCGTCAACCGAGTACGCTCTCTTTCTGTTATCTATGGGTAACGAGATGGGTGCTTGAAAAATATCGTCGACATCTTCCACACTACTTTGTCTATTAGAGTGGGATGACGAGTGCGTCGACATATACAGATCTAGATTGTTGCACGATCTACAAATCGCATAGATTATTTTGTATACACTTTTGACTCCTTCAAAATCGGCCTGACGCGAAATTTCTATTTGCGGGCATTCTAAAATATCATAAAAAAAGTGAGAAAAAAAAAAACCCGCGAATGTGTAACAATTTTTAACCTTCCACGCGTATGATAATTACAAAACAATACTTTTGCACTCCCTTTCTTTTTTTTTTGGATAAAAAGACGGATTTTGCTGGGAAAATCTGATAAAAAATTAAATTGATAATTTGAGGTATGTCTAAAAGTGTGTTAGCCCCTTCTCACAAGCATGTCATTTATTGTGGGTACGTTGTATGAATATACATCTATATACATTAGAGGAGCATGTGCTTAATCTATCAAATATAGTTAGAAGGGAACATCTATATTGTACATATCCGATAAGATTCTTGTGAAAAGACATGTTGATTATGCCTATACCTTCACTCTGAGTCAAAGAAAAGGAGGGGAAAGGGGTTGCGGATCAACTTGTTGACAAAGCCGATGTCATTTGTTGATTTTTAATGCTAGTCGTAGGATGCATAGATGAAAGAATACGATCGTCCATAGTCGGGTTAGACGTCGAATTTGCATTGGTCATCATAATCCTTCCCATAGGAGAAGATGCTGAACTACCCTGCCGTGGTGCTTGGTTTAGTACTGGGGATCCCCAATCATTGGACGAAGGAAACCGTGCTGTAAAGTTGTTGCTGCCGCTACGACTGCTATCACTAGCATGAATGTCATTTACACTTCTAGTAACTGTCGCTGCTGCAGTAGCTTCTTCCCAACTAATAAGATCCCAATGCTGCTCTTTCAACAAATATTGCTTTAACCGTTTACCTCTGGGCACAACATAATTTGGTTGCAGATGCCGCAGAAAGTCAATCACGTATGGATTTTCTACAGCTTCGAATGGTATGTTGGCTGAAAATAGAGCACGAGCCAGATGCCAATCTAAGAGAGCTTGTGAATTCTCATCTTGCGGTGTTTGTGCCTGAGATGTGGAGGAAGAGGATAATACTGAATGTTGCTGCTGCAAAATCCGCGGTTGTTCAAGTGCCTGCTGAGGCGTTGCTGGGCTAGGAGAGAATGCAAAAGATGTCGTTGTTGTAGAAAAGTTATTGTTTTGGGACGCAGTAGCAGGCGTTCCGGTGAGCGCAGCTTCGTAATAGGGAGAAATGCTAGTTGTTGCTGTAGTATGATCTGCGCTATTCGTGCTCAAGTGATGATGGTTCTTACTACTGTTGCTGTTGCTGCTGCTATTGGCAATAATAGCCGACGTGTTGCTGCTACTGAGGGTATTTTGAAGTGTGGGATCAAAATGATATTGAACAGTTTGCGAAGGTTGAAATTGAACATGGCGATTTTCTTGCCGCGATGGAAGGGATATATCATTTCTGCCGTTGTTGTTGTTATTATGAGAATTGTGAGGAGGACTCGCGTCTCGATTCCTATCCTCTTGTTTTTGTCGCAGCTGATCACGAATATCAGCAGGTATTCTAGAACAACGATACAATAAATGTTGATGGAGCCTAGTTATTCCAGCAGCTTGTTCGTGTCCACAAAAGGTACACCGCGCCTTTCTACTTCTACCATTATCTGGAGGTAATAATTCAAAGTATTGCCAAGAATCACTTAGTGGACGAGGCATTTTCGAAATAGAAGAAATATCTTCAATCTTTTGTGTTAATGAGAATTGAAAATAAATAAACAAATAATGAATAAATAAAAACAAAAAAAAAACAAGAAAAAGGATAACGAAAAAGAGGGGAGGAGATAAGAATAGAATATAATTCGATTGGGCTATTGGCTTCGTTATTGTTCGTTGGTTTCAGGTCGTCTCCGGATTTTCGTTGTCGCCTTTAGCCATCTCTTTTAATACAGTGAGTGATTTGTCTATAAGAAAATACGGTAGAAAAGACACGAAAAAAAAAAAATATAAACTATATTACGTTCATTAGGAATTCGTCTGTGATATAAATCAAACTACTGACAATAGACGAAAATACGATTCGCATGGAGAAGGGAATATACAATTACTTAACAAAACGCTATGGTTTTCTGTTGGCTTCTCTTGTTCGCTGAGACTCCGATTTAAATGTCAATAAGGTAGACACAATGTTCTTATTGTTCCGGTTGTTTTAGGTTTTACAGTAGGTTTTACCCCGATTAAAATAAGTTTCATTATAGATTAAAGGATTAAGAGAAGAGGAAAGATATTAAATAGAAATGTACATGAGAGATATATACGTTATATATATCAAAGGCTAATGTCGAGGTTTTCACAGAAAACTCGAATGAATTGGGAAAGAGGAAAGTATAATTGTACTTGAGCACGGTTTGCGCGCCTGTAAAAAAATTTTCTGTAGCTTTTTTAAATAGTGAAAGGTGTATGGGTTCTGGGATGGAAACTCATATGGCATTCATCTTGTGGATATGTAGTAGCGAATAAGGAGATGACATCAGACTCGTCCGTGGGGTAATGCTTGAATTCAAGTCTTCGGGTAGCTTGGGCAATTGTAGACATCAAATGGAGGATAGCGTACTCTTTACCTAAACAATGATGAGGACCATTACCAAATACCATGAAGTTCTTGGGGTAATCTTCGGCACACCCATTGGGGCCCCAACGATCGGGGTCAAAAGATTCAGGATTAGGATAAGCAACAGGATCATGAAGTGCAGGATAGGTGGTTGGGATGACCATAGATTTGGCAGGAACAGTATAATCAGGAGAGATAGGGAAGTCTTTATGTGTTTGGTATGGCACCATCAAAACGGGTGGTCTGAGACGCAAAGACTCTTTGACGACCTGACGTAAGTAGACAGACTTTTCCATCAACTCCATAGTAAGGGGCTGGTCAGGATCATCAGCACGCAATGCGTCTTGTTCATCATATACTTTCTTCATTACTTCAGGGTGATCAGCTAAGAGTTGGAAAGTCCAAGTGAGAGCTGAAGAAGTGGCATCTTGAGAGGCGAACAAAAAGGTCAAAATGGTCAAAGCGATTTCGTGATCAGTAAATTTATGGGGTGCAGGCTTTCCCTTTGCTTCGCATTCCTTTTCAGTTTGCTTCATAGCGATTAACCAATTATCCAAAAGACAGGTTGACTCTCCACCGTTAGCCATACGGATACGTGCATCCTTAATGGATTCAATGAAAGCGTTATAAATGTACTGACGCGACTTGATGGCTTTATATACCTTAGTGCCAGGAAGAGGGATTGGGAAATTAACAAGTTCAAGAGCAGCAGTGATGTTGAAGTATTCCTGAGAGCACTTTTTAGCGACGTCTTCGGGCATGAAATCACCCAAAAAGACACGAAGAGAGGATTGCATATTCAATTCTCTGAAATCCCATTGATATTTTCTGACTTGACCATCGTGTGAAAGCCATTCATCGAAGAATTTTTGATAACATTTGTCCATGATGGGAAGGTAGCTTCCAAGTGCTTTTCTTTGGAAAAGAATGTTAAGTCCTCGACGATAGTTATTGTGTGCTTTACCATCCAAAAATACCCAATTTTCAGGTGTAAGAATATATCTCATAGAATCGACAACAGAAGGTTCGACAAAATTTGGTGAGTTAAGAATCATTCGACTGAACTCACAATTGGCTGCAATAACAATGAAACTAAATACAAAATATTAGAGGGGTTAATGATCTATTCATGTCACAGCTTGGCTCCTAGTACCTGTCCTCTCTCAACCGTCGTGCATCATTTTTTTTTGCAATTTGAGTTACTTACCGATTGAAAACACTAACGCATGATAAGTTACCGCTCTTCCATTTAGAATTGTATTTTTCAAAAGTAGGTTTCATTGAATCCATCATAGCACCAATAAGTGGGACTTTGAATGCAGGGCCGGGCAAATGTTTCTTCTTTTTAAGATAGTCAATTTGTTCCCAAACCAAGAAACCCAAAACAATAGTAATAACCAATGCTACAGGTGACATTCCTGTTTTCTCGCGGATAGTCACAAATAGGCCCTTTTTTAACTGTTGAGAGGCCACTTGCGCCAAAGTACTAGTACTAAAAAAATCAAACCAAACAACAATAGGGTATCAGTGTTAACCTTGACCGATGACAAATGTACAAAATTGGTAACGCCAGTTTTGATAAAGCGTGCTCGTTAATTTTTACCTGTTCATAGTAAGTCAAACGTATGTGTAACTATTCTTATTGATAATTTAACGAAAAAGAAAGTAGGCAATAAGAAAAAGTTCAATAGAACACGTACGAAACAGAGGGATGAGGGATGAAAGGAAAAGAAAAAATTCTTCACATTTTTGCCGTTTAATTCATACGAATTAAATAGAAAAGGTCTAACTGTCGCTTTTTGAAAGCGGTTCTTATGTTAAAAATCCTTTTACGTGAATCGGCTGTATCGTAATTTGACAAAACACCGATCTAATCGCCTGGAAAAATCGTACGACTTCCGCAACCGGTGATTGAATTACTCATTCCTTAAGCTGTCCTTGTGGAGGGAAACAATAGAGTTACAGTATTTTAACTAATATTTTAGATGAAATACATTTTTTTTTGGACGATTAATATTTTCATTTTAGATGAGTTGCAATTGTGTTGTAGACCAAAATATAAACCGTTTAAACAATGATTCAAATTCCAAAAACTTGTTAGCAGTGCGAAACAAAAAAAAAAAAAGAAAAAAAAACCGTACTATTCCTCACCTGTAATGATCTAAATCCTTGAAATACAAGGAAAACCGTGTTTATTACGGCGATTATTTCTTCTTCTTCGCTGGCTTGAAAATGTCGGGTCTTCCCGCTCCAGACCAAACTGCTTGGGATATAGTCATCATGTTGATAGCGGCGTTAATGTCTCTCTGCCATAGCTTTAGACATTGCTTGCAATGAAGAACGCCGGTACCCTTGAATCCAGGGGTATTAACAATTTGCATATCATCATAGAAACAGAGGCTGCATGTTTTAGAGGTTTTGAATTCATCGATTGTGACAACAATCAATTGACCTTCAGCTTCACGTTTCTTCAGAGTTGCAAAAAGTTTACCGACAACACCACATCTTTGCCCTTTCAATTTTACTACATCTTTTCCAAACATTCCAGCACCAAAGACAATCAATGGTACCCTTCTAGGGAATCCTGAGTACTTATCAGCCTTCCACTTCTTGTCACTTCTAAAAATTATCAATCAGCGCGTAAGCTAAACGATGAACATGTAATTCATTGATACTCACTTGATTGGCGGCTGTTTGTCAACATTCTTTCCTTTCTTCTTCTTCTTCTTCTGCTGTTTTTTCCTCTTCCTTGCCTTGCTTCTCTTTTTGCGATTGTACTTGGCCGTTCCATGAGTCAACATGTTGGCCATAGTTTCGGGTGCTCTTTGCCTTCCTTGGTACAACGTAAACCGGTCCTTTGCTGTTTCATGTCCATAAAAACTAAAGAGAGCGTCTAAGTTATTGAGCATATAACTGGTGAACGCCTCATATACTCCTAGACGAGAGGTCTTTGACGAGGGGATTTGACTTTCTACTAGATCTATTCCTGTAACAGCTTTTATACTGTTCAATTTCTTACAATATTTCGTTGACCCTGCCATATGATAGTATTCGGATGTAGTGCATCTTCGCACTTGTCTGTTATATTCAAGGCCAATAGCAGCAGTAAAAACAGACTTTCTTCCGGGATCCAGGGTAATAGGTAAATAAGTATTGTCAACTTCATCCAGAGAGAAATCATCAAGAGTGAGGTCAAATTTTTGGAACGAGGCACCATGGCCAGATTGTTGTCTTTTGTAAAAAAGAAAGTCAACTGAAAACCCATCCGTTCTGACAATATTACCAAAGAGCTCTTTGTTATCACCATTCGGTGTAAGTTCAGAGATACTACATGTGCCCAAGAAGTTAAACCTCATACATTATACTCGACTGCATACCGTATTAACTGTATGCTTACCTTTTGTACCTGAGTTTCTTGAAATCAAAGACATGGAAAAACAGCTCTAATTGGCTTTGGTAATTGCGGGGTAAAGAACGTTTCACAAAAGAAGACAGAGCGTTCACGCTCAAGGTAATGAACCTCCATTGAACGGAAACCTTTGGCAGTAAGGATAACAATTTTGGAAGAGGACGTCGTCGTACGTCAAATGGCTTATGATCATCGTGTTCCCTCTCAAATTCTGCGTTCAAAGATAACAAAAAGGGTACGAAAGACCCAGGATCAGCAGATAATGTCTTCATGTTCACTTTCTTCCCCAGCTTCTTCTTCCGAGGTTCACAAAAGGTTTGGATCTTTGCTTTTATATCTTTGGTAAGGTAGTCATCAGTTGGCCATTTAGGTTTTCCTTGGCATATCTCTTGATAGCAGAAATCACTTGTGACCTTTTTGACAAGCTTCCAAGGCATACACTACGCAAGATGAGAGCTTTTTTTAAAATTCATGTAAGACCCCAAGTAATATTGAGTTGCAACTTACCACAAATGCCGTTTGTATTTTATATATCAAAAAATAGAGAAGTTTCTCCTCAAAATTTTCCACTATACTGTTTGTATAGGAAGTAGCAATTTCGGTGCATGCTTCTGTAATGGCTTGACTAAGTCCAGGAAAGAGCTTGACAGGGAAGACAATCTTAGGGTAAGTCGTTTTAAAAGAATCAAACGAGCTCAGTAATTGTTGTGATATCAGCCTACTATTTGTTGGTCTTTGTCCATTCACTAGCTGTATCATAGAGTACCAGAAATTTTGTGTAAAGATATATTTAATACACTTTGGCTCAGCAAGAGTGGCATTTTCCAAGACGTAATAATTCACAAAGAGCTTGGCTCTAAGAACCAAGTTTCGGATAACAGAACAAGCTTCAACAACTTTTGACTTGAATGTGTTGCGATAGTCACCAAAAACGCAGTTATCAAGAGGCAACCTTCTTGTAAACGCCTTGTAATTACTTCCCAAATGATGTTGAAAGACCTCTGCCTTTGATAATACATGTTGAGGACACAGAGGAGAACGCACCGATTTATGTCCTGGTTGCTTGCATTTGGTACAACAGGTATTGTCTTTATCCGGTTCTTCATTATTCTCTTTCCTTGCTTTCTTCTTTTCCTTCTTGATTTCAAAGTTCTGTTTGCGTTTTCTGCCTATCGAACCAACTATAGGTACAATGAAGTCGCTTACTAATGATGAATTTACCAACTTTTAAAGCCACATGAGGTGCTTACCTTGATCTGCAGTTTCCGGCTCATATAATTCACATTTAAAGTATTGTTTGGTGTAGTGACCCCCTTTACCGCAATCAATACACGTTACATCTAACAGTACACGATGATTAATCTATACATATATATATGATTAGGTAGATAGGCTTTCAAAAGGCAAGTTACCATTAACAGCACTTGATTTTTTCTTTTCAAAAATTTGCTTTTTCTTTTCATAAATTATTGTTTTGAACATGGGTCATAGTATGTATCTTAAAAACGTGAAATAAAAGTGAAAGAGACAACATTTGACTCTAAGAAAGCAATATATTTTATAGTGCTTATCTTTGAAAGTCACCCATGAACGCATACAAAAACATTGACAACAGTTAATATAACCATCCCATTCCGCTATGGTATCTGTTATACAATGACCATCAGCCCTCTATCAATGGTTTGATGTCAATCAATTCAAAGTTAACTTTTTTTGGAATTCTTGTACAAAAAAGGCACCGACAAATATCTGGTTATTCGCGGAACACATCGTCATTGAATAAAAAAGTTGTCAAGCTTTTTGTAATTAAGCCTACTGCAAGATAACTTAAATAAGACCATTATTGGCAACTTTCTTACTGAAAGAGACTCATTTCTTGGGTTCGATTGTATGTCATCCTTAATGCTGCTTGAATATCACTGAATAATTGAGTATCCAAATATCCAAATACTATGGACTTTTCTAAAAATATTTTTTAATAAATCTAAAATTAAAATGTATATTGTCCATTAAAAATTGTAAATCGTCTAAAATATAAGGTAAAATACAGTATTGTCCTCCATTTCAAAATGACTATGCGGACACTGAATCCGGTGTTATTGTTTTTTTGCATGCCAGGGAACAAAAAATTATATCTCCCGTGGATTTACAATGCCGTGCACTGGCAGGTTCCCAGGTTTTTTTGAGTAACATAGTTTATTCAGATATAAAAATAACTTATATGTCAATAAACAGTTTTTTTTTTAGTCTTTTGTAGAATTGGCCTTGGTAAATACATGGGATTATATTATTTTTCTTCGTCAATGGACTTTCCATTCCGAAGTGCGGGCATTTTTTAAGATCATCTAAACCTGGTTAATCAGTCTGCTAATGTATCCGTATACTGTCGAATGCTGAACAATACGCCTCGACCTTCTCCATCCAATAAGTTACAAAGTTATTATATACCATGATCATCTTTTGCTCTTGTGCGAATAAATACTTAGTGCAGTCTAGAGGATCTTGCCACCTAGCTCAAACAGATTAGCGTTGATTTTCTAACCACACTGTAGAGTTCTTTGATGAGCGAAGGCGTTGACACCAGGTCAATTTGGGTAACAATGCCACCTCAAAGGTAAGGGGCTCAGACCAATCTGGATTGAGTACGAAGGCTATTCCCTCTTTCAGCAAGACCGTAGCGATAAGGTTCCTACCGAATATATTTCTATCTTCTATCTCGCAACAATCATTGACTACTCCATTATGCAGCTTTTCAAGCTGCTGTGTCAATAAGATCTGATTTTTTCTCTCAAAAGCTATCCATCGGTTGTGCTTATTACTGCTTAATGGCAATGGCAAATTTATAGGTCGAAAGCACCATAAAAATTTTTGTTGCCTCTGTTGTTCCTTATTTGTTAATAGTCCCCGAATAATATTTGTTTCATCGATTAGTGATCTACAATCCTTCTCAAGCGCACGCTGTTTTGTCCAATAGAGATTTCTTTTTTCATCGGTATAGGGTAGAATTTTACCGAAGAAACGTGCTAATGGTGTGAAGCCAACGAGCAAATTCTTTTTATTCTTGTTGTGCTTCGAGTCAGCTGTAGTTGACATCTGTGTTTTCGGCAGTTGCTCATGACCGTATTGTGTTTCTACTTGGTGTTCATTCATACCCACGTAATCTTTTGTTCCTGGCAATCCACGTTTATTGAACAAATCAAAATCGTCGTCCGCTGGTAATGCTGCTGTGATATCCGGAGTGGGATGGAGAATTATAGAATTTAGGAAACTTTTTACCGGTTGAAAAAGTTTCATAAGAATTACTGTCAGCGTAAATCAAAAGTGTTATTGTCGATATAATTGTCTCCGCTGAATCTACAACGTCTGCCATAATTTGTTTAGGCTATGTTATTGGATATATTTGAAAACAAACATCATCAGAAATATACCTCGAATTTTTGTTCGCTCTGAGATCCTCGCTTTATTGAACTAATATATGATTGCGTAGCTGTGCAAATGTAATTTCTCGCCTTTTCTTTTTTCTTGTTTGCTGAATTATATTGAGCAAGAAACAAAGTCTGAAAAAACTAAATTTTTTAACGAAAAAGAAAACCCAACCAAAAATGTTATTGCTTCTTACTGATAGAATTAAACTCGGGCTAGTCAGATCTGGACTTTTTCAATAGCCATTTCGCGGCGCATTGTTCGCTTCATTGTAGAATTGTACTACCCGGAAGTCTTGCAATATTTAGTCTAGAGAGGATACATCACGGGGTATCCGTTGTAACACGTTTGTAGCACACTGTGCCTTTGTGTAAGTTGTATCCAAGTAAGTGATGATGTAAGATTTCTCATATCATTAAGCTTAACAATTGTTTGCACATTCGAAGATTGGCAAAAAACCGCAATTCAAGCAGCTCCCATGGCAATTACCAACTTAAGGTGGTCCTTAAGTGCTTTTATTAATTGGAAACACTTTGCGTTTACGTCGAAATTGTAAGAAAAAAGAGAACTTGAAACAGCAGATATTCAACTAAATTGAAAAATGATACCATTTAATATCCGCTAGCCGTACCTTAAAGGGTGGTAATGTTGGTAACAGCAAGTAAGAGTGATAGTGCAACGACAAAGTAGTTGTACTCAAGCTATCAAAACACTTCTTAGAGGATGTTCACGAGAAAACTTATATATAATGCAATACATGACTTGTCGTCTATCGCCCAACTCATCAGACTTAATTTTGTTATTGTATTCTCTGACTGCGTACAAAAGCGAGCAAACAACAAACTATAAATTGCCGTGTAATAATTTCAACAGGGCGGCTGTGGGATTCATTATTTTGGCAAAGTGATTGGCTTGCTGATTCAGGTAATAATAGAAGTAGGTGCGTCAGTGAAGGATATTCATAATTGATTGATCAAAGCTTTTAGACTTGGTATTTCTATTTAGAGCCATAAAATATGAGCCGAAATCAATTTTCCAGTTAGCTGTATTCGGGTAGTAATCAAAATAGACAAGCCAGAGCAAGCTGAATTAACAATTTGACACGCAAAGAAACAGAAGGTGTATGGAGTATTACCTTAATTTATTCAACAACTGTATATCTACATTGGATTCTTAGACACATATTATACGTCGCTGAATGTATAGATAATTGGTTGACCAGTATAGGACAGATGACAAAAGTCCGGCAATGAATACAAATATAAGCTACCTTATTGTATATTTGAAACTCTTAGAAAATGTTTGATTCACAGTAAGACACAATATAACTTTGATGCTGTAATTGTCTGGTTTTTGTACGTAACCATGCTGGTGTTAGAGTATTACGGTGACAAGTGCGGCAAACGGAGTCAATGCAATATCAATACTTTTTCCAGCATAGAGGAGCAAATTAGTATGCTTTAAGGATCCATCGCTAATAGTGTGAATAGGAGTTAGAGAACAACTTTTAAGCATCGATCTAGATGATAACTTCTACTCGCTTCCAGATACTTTCTGATATTATTCAAAAAACGATTATATACAATTTGATAAACTAGCATATTGTACCTTAATCTCTCAACTGCCCCTATATTAGCGTCATCTAACTCTAATATTGTATGAGAAAGAGTAGAAGCTCAGGTTCAAAATTAAAATCATGCGTTTTTTTAGTGCCGTTTTTTTTTTTTCTTATCTTAAATTGACTAAAACCGGGTACCCAAAACGTCATCTGTTTAATAAAAGCAAGCAGCAGCAGTTGTCATTGATAGAAAGGTCCAATAAAGAAACTAAGTAGTATTGATGGTTTTGAAAGCTAAACTACTAACGACCGTTGACATCTCAAAATGAATCGTTGATTCCTAATAATAGATTGAAATTGCCATGGACAGGTAGGAATCAGGTTTGAAAACTCAAGTTAAGTTTTGTGATATCTTATGCATAACACAACAATTTTAGCGTGATCACAGACTTGTTATGGAATGGCTTTGAAATTAAGGTTAAAGTGCAAATAATTCTGCTTTGCACCATAACTTTATGTTTTCCGTGCTGTTAACAAGGAAGCTCAGAATACTACATTATCATTGTTTTATGCGTTTTATTTATCTTTGTGCTCTATACGATTTTGGAAACAAGCAGAAAATATTCGAAAAAACTCTTATGACGCACTTTGAAACTTTTTTTTTTTTTTAACATTTAGTCTGCTTTCCCATTTAAAATTATCTTTTTTGTTTTTCTCTTCTTGCACTGTAATTAAGCTCCCCCTTTGTTCCTTATCGCAAATCCTCTTCATTCGAACATACTTACATCCTGTTGACATATTAAGTTGTAAAAAAAGGGAAGCATAGTCGATGGTTTTCCAACATCAAATATTGACAGATGATCATGTCGTTGACAAATCTGGAACGATCAGTTACAAACAGAAATTAGATTTCATGTCCAGATCTATAATAGAAGACCAACAACGATCACATTATTCTGCCAATGTAGGTCATTCTCTAGGTTGCCTATCCTAACTGAGATATAAACTAATATATTTGTGCCTCTTATCTACAGCTGTATAGTCATAATGACCCTACGGCTTTTGCATATTTTCAACAGGAGCTGATGTCTCCTCGTCTTCAACAAGCTTTTATAAACCAATCAATGATGAATAGGAATGATAACATGCATTTACAATTACAACATCAACACCAACACCAACACCAACAACTCCAGCCGCACATTTTTGTTCATCAGCAACAACAACACCAACAACAACAGCTGCTACAACAGCAATTACAGCAACAGCGACAACAGCCACAGTATATACCTTCTATCATGGTCCCTCCGCAATCTCCAACTTTATCAAGCTACTATTTTGAAAATGGTTGGACAAACCACTATTATGACCCGAAACATCGACAATTTTTATCTAGCCGTGTTGATCCTGATTATGAACAACAACAGCAGCAAACATTCTACCCTCGAAGCAATAAACGACCTTATTCTTCCTTAATGTCCGGTCATCAAAATGATAGTAGTAATCTTCTTAGCGAAGAGCAGCATCACTTGCATAACCAACCCATTATCAACACAACTAATCCGTATTTATCGGCAGCAGCAGCAGCAGCAGTGAATGCAGCAGCAACAATTACTTCATCAACTATGGCATCTTCTATTTCATTACCACAGCAACAGCCGTTACTTCATTGCTCTATTAACGCCACCAGCAATCCCGAAGAATGGCGTGAAAATCTGTTGCAATTTGCGCATACTGTATATACAACATCTCCACAAAACTCATATCTATTATCATTACTTCACTCATTGCATAATGCTTTTCCGACTCATTTACCCACCATTTTATTACTTGCATGCGTATACTATTCCCGCAAAGATTACCATGCCTCTTTGAAATACAATCATCTCATTCTAAAATACGACCCCAACTATGTCGAAGCTATGAGTAATATTGGAACCACTCTACGAAGTTTAGGTAAAACAGCTGAGGCAGAAAAATGGTGGATCCAAGCTGTCAAATTACGACCTAATTACTGGGACGCCGTAGAAAATTTAATCGGTGTGATATGTGCAAAACCAAGCAACAACGCTAATAATGGTAGTAACCATCATCAATCTGCTGGCAAGAACAAAGAACATGCTCGAGCCCCTTCGGAATCAAGATGTAAAGAAGCGCTTGCTGTATGCGATTTTGTCGAAAAATTCTATTATGACAAACCTCCGTCTGTGTATAAGATTCCTACTACACTACCCCTCCATCAACTGCCTCGATTACAAAATCTTTTATATGCGAAGGGTAACCTAAAAAATGCTTTAGGTGATATACATGGCGCACAAAAGGAGTACGAAAAAGGTATTGAGCTAGCATTTGGCGGTGTAGATTTGTTATCCATCTTTAAGCTGATTGTTTATGCGTGCTGCCATGGGACAACATCATCGTTATCAGCTACAACCTTTGTAAAACTAGAAGAATCAAAATCAATACCTCTGATTCTATTGCAACCGGAACAAGCTGTTCATTTATTATCTACAATTTTCCCTTCAACTGGAGGTATATTACCGACTCTCAGTAGATTAAATACAACTTCAAATTCCATTACAACAAATAGTACGGACCATGCCACTACTATTATGCAGACCAATCAAAATACATCCAATCTTTTACTGACATTAGCTAAATTGTTTCAGGATATTATGAATCCTTCCACCGCAACACTTATTGCCGCTGCTGCTGCTTCCTCGTCGGCAAAAACTACACCCACATTATCCACTCTGATTCCGTTATATTACTTAAGCTTGGCTTTGAATCCTAGCCCCTCAACAGCAAACAACCTTGGTATCATTTTGAGCAATATACCCGCTGCAGTAGCTGCTAGCGCTTTGCGGCTATCAGATGGTCAACAGCAAAAAGAACCTATTACAGGAACAATGCTAGCCATGCAATATTATATGTATGGTTTACAATTAGATACACGTCATCCTCATCTATATACCAATTTGGGTTCTCTTTTGAAGGATATGGGTCACCTGGACGAAGCCATCAGCATGTATCAAAAAGCTGTTGAGTTTAATCCCAACTTCGATATTGCCCTGGCTAATTTGGGTAATGCTATCAAAGATCAAGGAAACGTTCAGGATTCTATACAATGGTACCGTCGTGCTGTTGAAGTTAACCCTGATTTTGTGGATGCTGTTTGTGGTTTGGTCAACTCGTTGAGTGGCGTATGTGAGTGGCGTGGACGAGGCAGTGTTGGCAATGAAGCAGGGGTCGATGACTTTGGTCATTATGTTCCTCCTCCCGGGAACAAAAGTGCTAAAAGTGGTTGGATTGGCCATGTTGTTGATATTGTCGATAAGCAGTTAAATGAAGGTGCTCATTGGGGTATCGGTATATTAAAAATGTCCTTTGACCAACATAAGACAGTGGGCGACATGTTAGTGGAACGCATGTTATTCTCTACGCGTAGTAATCGCCTCGAGTTGTGGAAATCACGGCTTTCTTACTACAATGACAGAGGTCACCACAACAGTGTTGAAAAAGATGAAGGAGGCTGGTTGATTCGTTTAATAGAACGTATTATGCGTCGCTTACAGCAAAAATGGTTCGTAGAAGCGTATGGTTCCACTGTTAAAACGGATGAAGCAACATTCTCAACAAAACAACAGCGAATTGTTGTAACACCTCAATTGTCAAAAAAATATGCACGACCACTGATACCCAATGCTCTAGCCATTCCACCTGTACCAACTGTTTTACCATTCCATACCTTCACTTATCCTTTATCTGCTCGACAGATCCGCTTGGTATCCCATCGTAATGCCTTACGTATCTCACATAATGCTCTTAGTTCGGCCTGGTTATCACCACATGTGTATCCTCCGCCCCCTCCACCTGCGCCACGCCTCAAGATCGGATATGTTTCATCTGACTTCAACAATCATCCGCTCGCTCATCTTATGCAATCGGTGTTTGGATTCCACACCAGGGAACAATACGAAATATATTGCTATGCCATCACACCCAGTGATAATTCACCTTACCGACTGAAGATTGAACGTGAATCAGAACACTTTCTAGACGTCTCTTCTTGGTCTAATCAGCAAATTATTGAAAAAGTAGTTGCAGATGGTATCCATATATTGGTCAACTTGAATGGCTATACCAAAGGAGCTCGTAATGAAATCTTTGCTGCCCGACCATGTCCTGTGCAATGCTCTTTTATGGGTTTTGCAGGAACACTAGGTGGTGGTTGGTGTGATTGGATAGTTGCTGATCCCATCGTCTGTCCTCCTGAGATGGTGAGCTGCGAAGTATGGCGCAAAAGGGGGCGTCCGACAGGTCCAAATGGTGCTTTTGAAGGTGATATTGATCCTGAAGAGGCAACCAATGATTTTGTGTACACAGAAAAATTCATCTATATGCCTCATTCTTATTTTGTCAATGATCATAAACAAGGTTTTAGAGATGACGATGATGAGGGCGGTGGTGCTCCCCAGCAGCAACTGCTGAAAAGGGATGTGGATACCGTATGGGCTATGGAAGAAGAAAAGCGTTGGAAAATGCGACGTGAAGTATTTCCTCATTTACCAGACGATGTCGTCATTTTTGCCAACTTCAATCAGCTTTATAAGCTTGAACCTGGTACTTTTCGAATGTGGTTGCGTATATTAGAACGTGTACCTAATTCCATTTTATGGTTGTTGAGATTCCCGGCAGCGGGAGAACAACATTTAAAACGATATGCGCAAGAATGGGCTGGTCCGCAAGTAGCGCAACGAGTCATCTTTACAGATGTAGCGCCGAAGCATATCCATATTCATCGTGGTAGAGTTGCTGATATCTTTCTAGACACGCCAGAATGCAACGCCCATACAACAGCTGCTGATATTCTATGGTCTGGTACGCCAATCATAACTTATCCAAAATATCTGCATAAAATGTGTTCCCGCGTCGGAGCAAGTATTGCTATGGCAACTGGGTTTGGCGAAGATATGGTGGTGTTGAGTGAACATGATTATGAAGAAAAAACTGTTATGCTAGCCTCAAGTCTTTACTATACCTATGAAGCTACCCATTTGGGTACGGTGGCACGGCGCGGACATGGAAAATTAATGGAGCTAAGAAAAAAGCTGTTTTTGACCAGAGAAAATAGCAGGCTTTTTGATACCTTCCGTTGGACCAAAAATCTCGAGAGAGGATTTGCTGAAGCTTGGAGGCGGTGGGTTACTGCTGAAGAGTTTGAAGACGTGTCAACCAAGCAAGAAAAATCTGGTTGTATTTGGATAGTTGATCCGGACGACCACCAGCCGTTATCAAGCATATCGTCTCAATTAGTATCACTATCATAAACACATTCTCGTCATTCTGTCATCACCAATATCATTGCATTCCTATTTTGTATTCATCAGCAATCTTTATACTCTATTATCATATCCTCTCTTTTTGAACCTTTCAAATTCTACAGTTCTTCTCATAATTCGTATTCATGTTTCATAGCTTTTTCACCCCCACCCTTTTTTTTCTTCTTTTTTTTTATTACCGCTTGAGCAAGACAATAATAGTATCCGTATTATTCTGAACGTTGCTACAATTCTATAACAAGGAATTAAGAAAAAATAGCAAATATATGCCTAACTCTATTGTGCAATGCATTAATCCGACATTTAGAAACTTAAGGCGAACAACTAAAGATTTGTGGTCCAACGCTGTACACTATTTCCAGAAGGCACAAACGTACGGTCCTACTAGTTTAAGAGAAGATGCTATGACTTAAAACTCGGACTGTTGATTGTTAGTATTTTTATACCTAACTGTTCGACATTACTGCTCGGGCTGACCTTAATACTTAATGAGGGAAAGCGAAGAGGTGTGGAGAGGAATTTTTCTGTTGAAAATAGTTGTACAATTCATTGTTTTTCGGTAAGGTTACAAGTTCTTAAAGCATTCATAAAGAAAACCAGAAATTTCACTTCAAAATGACTAGTGTTCAGAAAGTCTTGAAGAGAGCCAGCAATCTTTCACTAAATAGCCATCGCCAAGAAGCAAAAAGGGCTTAACCGAAATCGCAAATTATTCAGCGTAGGTTAAAGAGTTAAGTAAGACAGGTATGACATACTTTGATTTGTTGAATGAATAGGTATAGGTTTTGGAGTTGAGTCAAAACCTCCCGGAAATTATCATCCGTAAGGTGTATACCAACTGATGTGTTACTCCCACATCAGGGCAATATCAATGACTGACCTAGGCATACTTTTTAGCAAAATTTGCCATAGAAAGGAAAGTAGAATTAAAAGATATAAAAGCTATTTGCCGTTAAAGATACTGTCATTGGTTATTGCTTGCACTTCGTTGAAAAATGTATAGATGAAATAAAATCTTTGATTGAAAAGCTATCTTATGATAATAGATAATGTATCTTTTTATACAGCCAGGAAATTGAAGATATGATAGTAGAAAGAGTCATAGATGCTAAACTGTTTATTCACATAACAACTTTGCTTCAAATACTGTATTAGAGGACACAGTTTTTTTTTTAAAAAAAAGGCAGTATTTCACTTTAAACACCTTAAGCGTGCAGTTATGGTTGACTTACTAAACTTTTGTTGCAGCCGATAAGACTGAACGACAAAGCGCTCCAATAACTCATACATTTCGGCTGACATTATTACTATTCTAATTTATGCATAAATGGTTTTTTTATATAAGTATCTGTTGAAGAAAATATATCAAGAACTGAATTCGTGTGGTACCTCAAACAGCAGCACTCAGCATACTTTATAATTATCGTTGCTATGCCATTTGCTTAGCTAAAAAAAACATTGGCTTTTCATATTACTGTCCGCAGAGTCTCGGTCTCCAAACTTAAACTAGCGAGAAGAATTTTATATTATTCCTTGCAACAGCCAATGTATTAGTCCATGCTTTCAGAGCTGCAATATTTGTGATTTGTGATTTTGCTATGAAATGTGGACACAAGATGCTGTTTTTAGTGACAAAAACGAAGTATGACATGTTTCTTTTTATCATACACTGAGGATTAAAGAGAGCGTTCGATACCAAACGGGATGTCCTGAATTGAGCCAGGAAGAGTGCGTGTTTAATATGAATTTATATGAGCAGTACAACGTAACATATAAAACAAATAAGTGCTACTATGATTCTTTAATCATAACGGCCTGATTTATATTGTAGGTGTGATCTAATTCGTATTGATATATGAAGGGATACCAAAAGAACACCAACGAAAATTAGTTCATCTAATAACTTTTGCCTTCACGTTCGACTAACGTCCTAAGTTTTTTGAAGTGGATGTCATACGATTTTCGTATTTTAAAAATTATGATCCTCTTTGCATAGTTGTGTATGATAATTTAAGTCAAAAACAGATGCTCAATATAACAGGTACCAGATGAGCTATTTAATGCTTATTATTTGTCAGGCTTTTCGGTACTTGGCGAAGAGCATTACCATTTTTTCTACCTGCGTGAATCCATTTGAAATACATGCAACAGAATTCAGTAAGTGCGGTTTTCGTTTGGAATTCATATAGCGTTGATGAATTTAAAAAAGATGAAGGCTTCTAAAATTTGTAAACTGATAACGTCAAATACATTCTCATTTACTACCTTTTCTATAAAAAAAAGGTTAGTGCTGAAAACAACTCCTCAATGGAAGCGGATAGTACACTACTCTTTTACCATTTTACATCCGAACTCAATAAGAGCTATATTGTTCATACTTCCGATTTTAAAGAGTCATAATCACTAAACTAGAAATGCCAAACTTTCGGTCTCATTTTGAACATTGTTGGTATTTTTCTTATATTATTTTTGTCAGCTCCTGACCGCCTGCAAGGTGACCAGAATCCACCATGTAATACACTTTATGGCGGTAACTTACCACCTACTACAAGTGAAGATGAACTGAAATCTTTGTTTACACATTGCGAAGGCTATAGGCGTATGTGTTTCCGTCAGAAACCTTAAGGACCTATGTGTTTTGTTGAATTTGAAGACGTATTATATGCTCCAAAGGCTATGACTTAAAACCAAGGCCATCTTTTGTTCAATTCTATTAAAGGTAGTAGTCGCCTATCATTTTCCAAGAATCCTCTTTTCATCAAACCTAACAAAGATAACAAAGACAACAATAACAACTTGAACAGTCATGCTTTCAACTTTATACAGATTGACACTGCTTTATTAGCTGATGCTTAAAGAAAGATATGAACAAAGTACATTATATTCTTATAAATATCTGTATTATCGCTTTCCATCCCGCATTTGCTAACAATAAAACAACGTATTATTATATAACCTTTGCTTGGTAAGATGTGTCGCTTCCCCTATGTTTGAAGATTTATTATAGTTTTCAGTTTTCGTCTTTCGTTTGTTATGCTGCCTTGCAGATTACAGGTTTTGGCAGTAGTAAGGCTGAAGAAAATAGAGTTTAGAACAGAATTTGGAACAGCTGAAAAAATCTGGGACTTATTCCAAAAAGTGGGATAGTTGAAAACGGGGGACAACCAATAAAGTGTTGGACACTTGTGATACAAATACTAAACATATAGTGATGTTAAATACATTGCTCTGCCTGACCGGGTTGAGAAATATATTTGTACAAACAAAAATGTGGGTCAAAGTTTGGAAACCAATACGCACCATATCTTTAAATTGAAATAATGAAATTCCAAAGCAGCTAATAGATGCTGATATGATGTGAAGCTTATAGCAGTGATTGTTCCTGTATTTCTTCATAATTTTTTTAGAAACCCATAATACAGACAATGAAAATGGAGATAGGGCTATGAATATAGTCAAAAATACGAAATTCGAAGATCAAGAAACACTTTTATCATTGATATGAACAAAAAAGTGCGCTCTTTGACAATAAGTCAAGAAGGCCTCTCTTGACTTACTATAACTATATTTACATCCCTTCAACGCTAGCATTGATGCAGAGTCCAATATCACTCTTCAGCTTTTTTTAGTTTGTAGTAGACCAATCAGTCCAATGAAAGGGAGCATTAGTAAAATGTAAAATTGGGCAGATTTCTCCAGTTTTAATGACAGTTGTTCTTTATAAATGGCAAGGAGCATCTTCTCTAATCGATTATATAATATGTTAAAGATACAAGATACTGACAGCCACTTGAAGACGGATTCCTTGCAGTAGCATTGATTATTGAAGAGAGAAAACGATTGCTGTAACATAGCAGCAGCCGTACCTTGTCAGAACATTAGGACAGCCTTTGCTAGACTGGCTTTATGCCCACTAATATCAATACACTATTTTTTTCTCATTGTACCTTTTAAAGTTTTATAATTTCGTAATCATATTTTGATCTGCCCAGGGTAATTTTAATATGTAGTTTATCTGTGTTCTATCGGTGTCAGTGTTGATACCGGTGTCAGTCATTTTTTTGGGTGTACCGTGATAAAGTGGACGTAAAATAATAGCTGGTCAGCGATAAAGTGATAGCTGGGCCCCGGTGCCAGAATTTAAAAAATGGGCACCTCTAATAGTAGGTGGGCACCGTCCACAGTTATTTCCTTTACGTCTACTTTATTACAGGTGCCCATTTTCACATTCGGGCCGATTGTTAGCTACCCATCATGAAAAGTGTCCGGTAGAGATTATTACACCAAATGCTTCTGCCCCTCATCGTACGCGAAGAAGTAGAACGATGTACGCAAAAAAATAAATAGAATAACTATAATTCTCAGTAAGCTTGTAGCAACTTGATATATTCTTATTGATTATTTTGGGCTTTAATGGTCCAGCTCTTCCCTATCAGTACAATTTCTATCTGTTTTTACTCAAATCCACGACCGCTTTGACTGCTGCACATACATCAGTCGTCTTATATACCTAGTACGCTCAAATTTTATATTAAACTGGATGTTACACTTTTAAGTTCAAACAAATAACCTAGTGGCGAATAGTTTCATTCTTTTTGAAGTACTTGGTCCCAGAAACGTCAAAAATAATTCTTGTACGTCTTCAAGTTGAAATAGAGAACTTCATCCTCTTTAAAGTATAGCATTGCGAAATGATCCCTTTCCCATGTTAGAGGAATAAGTGCGTTTATTCGATCTACCATCTAAAGTTTTTACTATAGGTATTGATCTATATATCAATCATATTTGCTTTATTCGCGTTAAGGGAAAAATACACCATTGGATTCTTTCGTCCCTCAGGTTCAAATAATTTATATGTATAAATGCTTCTTCAAGAATTACTGTTCCTTTCTCTCGAGTTTTTCTTTATCTTAATGCCCTGAGCAGTCTGATGAGGATTATTCATGGCAGAATACAATAACATCGCCTCTTCTTCTGGGATCATCGTGAAAATGACTATTGAAAAATCGCTGGCATTCTTTATACCCTTGTTGTTGCTTCAAATATATTTCCAGCTCGCTATTGTTGGTAAGTAAAGCATCAAATAAGATCAAATAAGTAGGCGGCCAGACACGGTCTTTCTGGTGTTGTTCGATAAAATTAATGGGATTCGCATAAAATTGATCTGCTTCATCTAGATATGTAGTTGTTTGATCCAACGGTGGCTCACAAGTAAGGAACCACATATCGATGTTTCTATGAATGACGGAGTACCATGGCGTAGAATGACATGGCATGAGAACACCTAATGACAAGGTTTCTTGCGGTCGCTTTCTTAACCACAGCATAACATCCATAACTCCGCGTTGATGCCATAATGACAAGTAGAGTGCCATAGGGACTTGGGTAAGTAGAATGAAAACCATACATAGTCTACGAATCCTAGGAGTTGTTCTAATCGACACTTGCTGCAAGCCGCAAGCAGATATGATGAGTAAGATGGGGATAATCGAGTAAATGAAACGAAATTCTTTATGAGGTAATAAGCTATAGATGATAAGAATCCAAGCTGACAAGAGTAGCAATGTTTTCATACGTGCATATATTTGCTTTGAGTGGTAAACATAGTAAAGACCCAAAGCAAAGAAGGGTAAAAATGTGCTGAGGATGAAAGGTATACCTTGTGAAATATACCAATGCCAGGTGTGGGCTCCGTAAAATAGCGAAATATTATTGATGACATTAGTTTGAAAGAAAAGGTAAGGTGTAAAAACAAAATTATTGCCGTTGTCGCCGTAGAGCCATGTATCAAGAATGATGTTTGAGATGAGCATGGTGGAGCACACAAGAATGGCATTAGTGATCACTTTTGTTTTGTTTGGAGAGACAATAATCAATTGTAAACCAAGAAATAGCCATAGCAAACCGTTGGTTGGCCGCATAATGCAAGCGGTAATAGCAAGTATCAGAGCTATTCTATAGTTTTTCAGCCATTGTCGCCCTGATGTGCTTATAACACCAGGTATTGGCCAGTAATTCAATGCTACAATGGTAAATATCATTTCCAATGTATTTGACAAGGTTCGTGCTGACATGAAAATATTATACCACGAACATAGCGTAGTAAAGAGCTAAAACGACATTAAGAAAGCAAATTCAAATTCAAATGATATAGAATGATTCAGTGGAAAGTAATTTTTGCAACTCGCCTCTTTAATTGAACAACTTACAACAGAAAGTGCAATGTCATTGCCAATGACCTTTTTCGCTAGTGAGTAAGTAGCAACATCAGCAAATGCTGTTAAACTAGCTTGGATATATCGCGGTGCAACAATTAATAAATAGGAATCGTCTAGCTTTAGAAGTTGAAGAAGCTTATAGACTGTAGCAAAGACTAAAGGATGGGCAAAACTACGGATTTTCTTCCGCCACTCCCATGTTAGGTAGCCATAATCGAAAACTAAATGATGAGCCACTTCTTGGCCTTGCCAATATTCGTCTGGGTTATCGTAGGTTCGTGTAAGGTAGGCACATATTATTCGAAATATCACACATAAAGAAAATATGAAGAATCGTGAAGATGTTGTTGATCGTGGTTGGATGGTTTGAACATCCATGCGCGCAAGGTGAAAAAGTAGAAAGATGAAATTGAAAACGACTGGACCTTCAACAAATTGATTTTCAATTTTCAAAATTGATGGATTATAAGCGGCAAGTTCTGGATAATTTAAGGCCCTATGTTGTGATGCTAATTCAAAAGAGAAGTAGACTCCAGTAGCTTGGATTTATGATAATTATTGGATAAGAGTTATTGCTGAGCAATGATGGCATTATTGGCAGAGGGGCTGCTAGCAAAGGTTGTCAATCAAACGGCTCCAATGGAAGTCTGAAAAGAATGCTTTTATTTTAGATTTTCAATATTAAAGTGGTAATTAATAGTAGCAGTGTCTTAATATGCTGTGGTATGTAGGTAGAAATAGAGCTTTATACAAATGTACTTGAACAAGGGAATAGCATATTCCAAATGTGCGCCGCCGAACATTCCAAGTATCGTCAAATATATTATACATTAAAAAGGAAACAATATTAGATGAATATGTTGAGAAGGTATTATGCTTGGACTACATCAATCATATCTTCGTCTTCTAAGTCGGTTTCATTGATCATCATAGAGGAATCCATAATTTCACCATCCAATGATAGGTTAACGTTTGTGGAGCAGCCTGTTTGCTTTTTATAAAACTGAATCAACGCTTCCAGTTTCTTTGACTATACAAAAAACTATGCTAAGTCCTTGTACCTCTTGTTGGGAAAACAAATAAATAGGACTTACAAGGGAAATTGTTACAGGAAAACACTTGTTTTCTTTATCGCGTAATTGTAAACGAATCTTTTGTTCATTCACTTCTTCAGTTTCTGCTGCTGCTGGTTCACTCGGAGACTCAGTTTTAAAAGAGAAGTCAAATTCCTCATCTGCTAACATCTCTAGCTTACGTAGTCTTTCTAATTTCTTTTCTTCCTTTTCCTTCATCATACTGTCGTAACAGGTTTTAGGATAGACCTCTAATAGTTTATGGATATTAGTCGTCAAAATGGTGAACATAATAATAGAACAATAACAATAAAACACTTACTCATTTGATTAGTACCGATTGTATCCATACCGATACCACCTGGTGTGGCGCTTAAGAAGACAACATCATCGTTATATACAAGAACCAGTTCATCCTTTTTCAATTTTTTTCTAAGACAAAAGTTGTCCAGTATTACTCGAAATTGTGTATTCTATGAATCAGACAAGGATACGGCATGTAGTCAGTATTTCTTGTAACAAATACACAGCTTGTTCCGTTCACGTCTGAAAACAGACGAATATACTCTACATCCATAACAATGATTTTGATAGGTTTCATTAACTTGTCTATGACCATTTTGGCTCTGTCACTAAGATTTTTGAAATCATGTGTATATTGTAGTCTAATTGTTATCTTTTGCGGCTCGATTTCTGGAGTTGATTGCTGTAACAGAGCTTTTACGTCGGGATCCAAGTCTTCAATATCATCATCATCGGGTACAGTTTCATCAAAAAAATTGAGTTTCGTATCTGCTTCGAACCTAAGAAAGATTCGACAGTAAACAAAGTTGGAGAGAGTCTGAGCAAAGCAAGAAACAAACTTCAATTACTTCGATATAATTTGAACAAAACTCACGAAGCTGACGGAGAAGAGCTCATAAATGAAGGCGTTTTTCTTGGTGCACTAAGCTGTTGTTTCAATAGCTCTAATTCTGGATTTTTGGTCAGATACGGGTTTACAACTGGCTGTTCGACACTTTCCTCGGCACCATGCTCATTGACAGTCTGGCTATCAGTATCATCAGTAATGTCTACTGTATTAGGCTGTAAATTGGATGGTGAGCTGCTTTCTGATAAATCCTTCGGCTTCTCCTCAATGCTCGTTTTCAATCCGATATTACGGGCTTTTTTCCTGGAAAATAGTTCACTTTCGTCTTCTGAATCTGAGTCGATTAATCCAAAAGCTTTGCCTGTTTATAATATATAACGAAACTGCGTTACTACAAAAGCAGAGGGATTTTGCTTAAAGAGGCATAATTGAATAAACTTGCTTTACGTTTTTTTAATGACGCTAGAAAAGACGTCTTGCTGTGCACATTGGTGATATCGAAATCGCTCATTATATGTTTGTCTTTATTATGTGTTGGAACGAAATAAAGAAAAAGCACATGTATTTTTTTTGATTTTCTTTCCTTTTTTTTTTTTCTTCGTTAAAGCGTTCAAGTCACAATTGCTTTCTCCTCTTCGAAAATCGACACAATAAAACCGCAGAGAGAAAAAAATGTTATGTTTCTGCTTTTTACGTAAATAATATTCAAGATGAGCTCGGCTTTCTACTCTTTCATTAGCTCAATAACGAATTCCATTACATCTAAATACGACATAAAGAGTCAAATATCTACATCTGGATTATGGAAAATATACCAAGGAGAAAGAAAAACGACAGGCAAGAAAGTAGCCTTATTTGTACGTTTCTATGTTTGATTCAGTTAGCCTTAACGGACAAGAACAAGAACTAAAGTTAGTTCAGCACTAATTAATTTCAATGAAAAACAGATATTTGAGAAAAAGATATTAGACTCCATATTCAAAAGAGATAGAGGATCTTCGAGGCATAATAATGAACTTATATACGACCTATTAAAGAAAGAGGCATGTTTTTTCAAACACACACACACACACACACACACACACACCCTTTCTTTCCTGCTGTTGAGAAAGCTTGACACTTATGTAGATGATCGTCATCATCATTATTTTAGGCTAGTAATTTGGCACGTTTACGGCACCCATCAATTTTGGAAGTAGTTGAACCTTTGAGTGAATCACGAAGCTCAATTATTTTTGTAACAGAACCCCTTATTGGCTGTTTGACACATTTGATAAAAAGCGACGAACATTACTCTTCAGACTCTCAGTCGCAAGTTTTAGATTTGGATGAGTTGGAAATACAGAAAGGGCTATTGCAAGTTGGGAAAGGGTTACAGTTTTTCAACGACGCCAAAGTGGTACACCATAACCTAACAACTGATGCTGTATTTGTAAATGCTAAGGTAAGATTAGCGTAATATTGCGATGTGCTATTTTTTCATTATTCTAACAAATTTGGTTATCACAGGGTGATTGGAAGATTGGAGGGTAAAAGTTAGCATTGAGTATGCCTATTTTAGACAGCTTATTGATGCGCCAACACTTCTAGGTTAGGATTTGGAGTGTTTCTCAATAATAGTAATGTAGGCGATACTACTGATGCTGATGCCATGGATTATCTTCCGGACGCTTGTCAAATCAACTTAGATTATGCAGGTATGTAAATATATACATGCTAAGCAGAGTTATTATCGTTATGTTTTGACAGTATGCTGAGCATAATCATAGCACCGGAATACGTCCTCGACAATTCAATCGTTCAAGCGAATGACATGTTTTCATTGGGCTGTCTAGCATATGCCGTGCACAATAAAGGAGAATCCCTATTACGAACTTTTAACAGTTTTCATACTTACGAGAAGCAACTCAAAACGCTCCATACCCAAGCTCTATCCAATATACCTGAACATTTACGCGATGTGATACGCCAACTATTAACGAGACATCCAAATCAGAGAATGGATCCAGAGAGTTTCCAAACATCCAAATATTTCGATAATCTGTTAGTATCAACAATGAAATTCCTGGAAAGTTTTCCGGAAAAAACGAAGGAGGAAAAAACGCAGTTTATGAAAGGGTTACCACGAGTGTTAGGGCAATTCCCTGAAAGAGTGCTGAAAAGGAAGATATTACCTTCTCTGTTAGAAGAACTGAAAGACAGTCAATTGTTACCCTACACAATTCCCAATGTGCTCTTGATTGCACAACAACTTAGTAAAGAGCAATTTTGCGATCATATTCTTCCGTCTCTGAAACCCGTATTCCAGGTTAGGGATCCACCACAAAACATGATTGTATTGTTAGAAAAACTGGATATTCTTCAGCAAAAAACTACCAGAGAAGTTTTTCGCGATGGTAAGTTTCTTTCTTCATCGATGTTGGGGTCAATTCATTTGTTTCTCTTGATCAGATGTTATTGGCTTCTGTGGTTTACATGATAATATTTCTATTGCATAATCTAACCTTAATATCCTTTTTAGATGTCATGCCGTTGGTTTACGCGGCTTTAGAAAACCCTGCTGCTGTTGTTCAGGAGAAAGCGTTAAGGATTATACCATCACTAGCAGAGTCATTAGATTACACAACCATAAAAAGTTCACTGTTTCCCAGAGTGCAGACTGTATTTGTTCAAACGACTATTCTTTCTGTAAAAGTTAGCACGCTCATTTGCTTCCACGCGATGATTAAAATGTTAGACAAGTTTACCGTGCAGGAAAAGCTGATACCTTTATTGAAAAACATCAAAACCAAAGAACCAGCAGTGATGGTAAACTCTACATAATCAATGCGTAAGCCTATCATCCAGCTCATCTAAAATTGTGAACGGTTTTCTCTTTCCTTTTTTGTTATCCCTTTAATAGCTGGCTACTTTAGGCGTTTATGATGAGGTGGGTAAGATAGCTGACAAAGAGATTATTGCCACTGAGGTACTGCCTCAATTATGGAGAATGAGTTTCGGACCTTTACTGAATCTGGAACAATTCAGAAAGTTCATGAAGACAATTCACAGTTTAACGAAAAGAGTAGAGGAAGCACATACGAAGCACTTACAGGAAGTTAAATCGTTAGAAGAACAAACAAGACATGCATCCTCTCCGACACCTCAATTGAACAATAAAACAGTAAATATTGACAGTTCAAATATGTCTTTTGAGAGCCTGGTTCAAAGTGGAATAGCCACTCCAACACAGTCAGTGGACAGTGGACTTACCAGCAATAAGTCTAACGGTGATATGTTTGGCACTCTAGTGAACAATGCCAATTCTTCCATGTCCTCTCCAATACTATGGTCCGACAGTATACAGCCAACTATTGTATCGACGCCCATGCAAACGAATACAAGTTTGGGTAGCGCTGCTGCTGCTATGAATAGTAATACATCACTGAAAACTTCAAAAGATTTATGGAGCAATTTCAATGCGACTCAATCGGTGAACAGCATTTCCTCAAACAGAAGTGACAATGCGAACATTGTACCTAACAATATACTCAGTCCATCAACTGTTAACGCATCGTCTCAAATGTTTCCAACGATTAAACCGATCAATGGCCCAAACAATCACCAGCAGCGGCAGTCATTGTCATCATCAATCACTTCTACAGCTGCTAGCCCGAACATTTCCCTAAATCAACTTTCATTTAGTGGTAATGATAGTTCCTACAATTTCAATAGCAAATACACTAGTGGCACAACAGCGGCAGCATCAATGAAGCCTACGAATGCTAGTATCGGCATTCTTAAACCTCTCTCGCCAAGCTCCAACAATGGATCTTTAAATAAAAGTACACCGAAAATGTCAAAGGCTAAATTAAATGCCTTTGATCCTTTAGGATAGCATTGTTGCTCTGATTCAATAAAAAAGAGAAAAAATTTCTGGCATAGACGTTATCCGGCTTTGAATACTATTTACACTTTGACGACCATAGAGAAAATAGTATATGTTACGTATCGATTTGGTCGAGGGTAGTTTGTCCTATATTACGTTTATAATAAGCCTACTCAAATTGTATAAACACAGATGACGATGTAAATGAATTAAGTCAGCGAAAACTACTGTCGGCTGACGATTAATCAAAAATCGTACACAAGCCTTTTTTTTTGGGGGTTTTTTTTTGACTCGGCAAGATAGAGTTTCAAGATTAAACAATTATATTCAGATTGTTAATTGACTCCCACTCATAGGGTTGACGTGTTTACTATCTTTACTTAATAAAAGGTTGAAAATTCTACCGTAATTACGCTTTAACTCTTAACCCCATCCAATCATCACGTCATCATACCTCGCTTCACAAAACTGCCATCCGGGAGAATTTTCGTTCTTTATTCGAAGTTTGTTTGCCATAAAAGGTAAAATTATCCAAATTGGTGATTTCTCATTTTTTTTTGCCGGCATAAGAAAGGTAAGCCTGATTTGTTTATGTTCCTGAAGTCCAAAAAATAGGGAGGCAAGTTCATGTTCCTCCTAAATAGAGTCTACACCTTGGGACTTAAAATTTTTAACCGCCTCATATTGCACTACAAGCGTAAACAGCATGAATTAGACCCTTAATTTGTATGTCGTACGAAATCGATAATAAAGAAACCATGTAGCGCAACGTCATACAAGTTCCTCAAAGTCTGAAGAATGTCACGTTCATGGTGAACGAATGGTAAATAGAAATGGGGTTACTTATTAGTTGTAACTGATAGGAGTATAAACGATTGGTAAGGGGAATTAGTCTTTTTAAGCGTTCTTCAGGAGTTTTACCGGCAATTTCTAAACAGATGCCATGAAGCAATGTGGTGAACTGTGTTCATCACAAAGCTATCATGTACTTCAATATAATACTAGAGTGCTTATTCGAAAGATGGCTTATGTTAAAGATATCTTTAATAGCAGAATAAGCTATTGAAGCTAGCTGATCGTTTATACAAATTCGAGTTGTAATTTAGAAATGGAAATAGAAAGTTTTGCCGATTCGTAGTGATGAATTTTGTTTGAAACCTACTCGATATCAAGCAGGCAAATCAAAATATAAAAAGCAGAGAGTTTTTTCTCAAAGAATCAAAAAAGTCCTTATTCATTATTACTTCTCCTAAACATATTAATCAAACAAAATGCTTGGACTTAATGCACCAGCAGATGTTAGCTTTGTCAAGTGCGAAACAGTTGTTAATCACTTCAAGGCTTTCATTAATCTTATGAATCAACAATGTGATTTCCATGCTGGCAAACCTATGGCACGTTATTATTCTAACAAAAGCAATTCTTACAAGATTCTGACTTACCGCGAAGTTGACCGTATGGCTACTAACTTGGCTTGCAAATGGGCGGAATATGTTAAGGATATACAATGTATCTCTTTTATGAGTGATCATACCATCGACTATTTGATCACCATGTTGGCTTTATTGAAGTTAAGGGTTACTATGCTTGCTGTCTCCCCGCGTAATTCTGAACCTGCTATTGTCAACCTTTTGGAGAAGACGAAAACTAAACTCTTTATTGCCAACAACAAGTATGAAGCCATCACTAAGGATGTTGTCAAACAGGTCCCCGGTGTCCAACTCATTTTGATTGATGCTCTTGATATTAATACTCTTTTAAACGAACCTGTGAATCCTGTGTACACTAATGTTCTTGATCTTGATTTTTCTGATGAAGATATTGAAAAGAGTGCGTTGATTATTCATAGGTAATACTTCAAAATGGCCAATTTTTGTTTTTAATGTTGGACTACTATTTGTGCTGTTATTGATTCAGTTCTTGTATACTTTGCAATATATAGCTCTGGATCAACAAATTTCCCCAAGCCTATCTATCTCAGTAACCGGTATTTAATCAATATCCTTAAACCCATTGGTTCTCTCATTAACACTAAGGAAAATATGCCTCACATCACCGAAAAAGATGTTATGCTTGCTTTGGCGCCTTTGTAAGTTCTCGAAAATGTGCGCATATTCTGATAGGCAAATTAAGAAAAGCTAATCAATAGCCTATCATCGTCGCGCTGCTCTACAATAATCATAGGTTCCATATTTTCGGTATTTTTGCGAATTTCTCCATGTACGTTCTCGGTGGTAGTAGCGTCTTTGTCGAAAAGCTTCCTCCTTCCTTGAATGAGATTTTTTCTGCTCTCAAGGATAATGAATGTACAGTAGCCGCTCTTCCACCTCTTCTGATTGAACAGATGATTCCTTACCTTGAAGAAACCAACGATTTTACTGATGTTCAACGCCTCAAGTATACCTTTTATGGCGGTGCTCCTCTCAAGCATGAATCTGGTGAATGGTTGCACGCTCATGGTGTCAATGTTCGTGATTTGTACGGTACTACTGAGATCAATGCCTTTATGACCTCTAATCTTGACCCCAAGAGCAAGCATTGGGATTCTTTGACACCTTATCATTTAGATGCTGAGGGTAAATCATACGCTGTATTCGAAACCAATGACCCCAGTGAACCCCATATCAAGCACTGCTACATTCGTGGCGATTGTCCTTTTCTTGCTACCAATGTTTCCAATCGTTCCGACGGGGGCTACGATACCAATGATTTGTTTATAGAGAACCCTGAAGCTCCCGGATACTGGATCTATTTAGGTCGCCGTGACGATACTTTGATCATGGAAAACGGTGAAAAGACGAATCCTGTACCTATGGAAGCTACTATTCGTCAAAGTCCTATGGTAAAGCAAGCTGCAGTTATCGGTCAAAGTCGTCAATTAACCTGCTGTCTCGTTGAAATCGATATGGAATATGCTATGCATTACGCTCCCGATGAAGTTATTAATGCTGTTCACAAGGCCGTTGAAAAGGCGAATAAGGATTGTCCTAGCCACAGTACTATTTTACCTCAAATGGTCAAGATCTTACCTTTTAACAAGTCTCTGCCTTCTACTGACAAGGGTACTTTGATGCGTAAACGTGTTGAAGCCTTATATGGTGATATGATTGAACAACTGTACAGGAACTTTTTGGAAGGCCCTGCTCGCAAGAATGAATCCAGTGCTGATACTTCTCAATGGACTGCTGAGCAAATTGAAGACTTTTTGGAGACGTGTGCAGCTGAAGTGTTGGGTATTCCCAAATCTGTTCTTGCTGAAGATCACAAGCAATCCGTGTTTGACCTCGGTCTTAACTCTCTTTCGGCTATTCAACTCCGTAATCGCATTTCTGAGTACTTTGGTCATACTCCTCAAAACTTCTTATTCCAGCATCCTTCCATTGCTGCTATGCGTGAATATTTAATGAGCCAAGAAAAAGAGGATATCTCTGAGCAAATCGAGAAGCGTTATCAACAGGCTAATCAGTTAGCCAAAGACTATATCAGAAAGGCTGAGGCCGATTTCCCCGTGGCTCAAAATGATTATAGTAACAAGCAAGACAAAGTTATTCTCTTGACTGGTGCTACAGGTTCTCTGGGCTCTTTCATGTTGCGTGATTTGTTGAAGGACCCTAGTGTTAAGAAGGTCTACTGTTGTGTCCGTGGTAAAGAATCAGAATTGTACAACCGTCTCGTCCAAGCTTTCGATTCTCGCGCTCTCGATTTGTCTCTTTTGAAAAATACTGATCGTGTTGAAGCTCTCCCTATGCGTTTTAATGAACCTTTCCTCGGCTTTTCTGAAGAGAAATATAATCAATTGAAGAACGAAGTTACTATCATCCAACACTGTGCCTGGTTACTGGATTTCAACATGCCGGTTGACCACTACGATAAAGAGTGCATTGCTCCCTTTTACAATCTTTTGAAATTTGCTTATCGTGAAAAGAACCCTATGCATGTTCACTTTATTTCTAGTATTTCTGCCAGTGCTGCTTGGGATAAAGAAATTCCTGAGGAGCCTTTACCTTTGGATTCTCATGTCACAATGCCTATGGGCTATGCTCACTCAAAGTTTGTTGTCGAAATTCTTTTCAACTTCTTGACAACTGAAAGAAACTTCCCTTGCTACATCGAACGTCTTGGTCAAGTTTGTGGTGACTCTGTCAATGGGGTATGGAATACTTCTGAACAGTATCCTCTCATGTTCGTTGGTGGCGGTTCTATCATGCACAAGATGCCCGCTTTGGACACCGTCATTGACTGGATTTCTGTTGATTATGCTTCTGCTACCATTGTTGATATCATGCTTCGTACCGCCTATAGCAAGGCCAACGCTAAAGACTCTATCTATCATATCGTCAATCCTCGACTTGTGATGTGGTCTGATGTTCTTAATGCCATGAAACTAGCTGGTATGAAGTTCGATGTTGTGTCTCCTGCCGAATGGGTTGAAAGCTTAGCCCAAGATGATACGAATCCTGCATACCGTTTGATATCTTTCTACGAAACCAATTTTAAGAAAGCTTTCAAGATGCCTGTTTGGAAGACTGAGAAGACAAGCACTATGGCCCCTGTTATCCAAAAATCTCCCGTTCTCGACTCCACGTTGTTCGGCAAGTTTTTGGCTCGCTGGCAATTTGTTGGCTTTTATAACCCTTCTGTTTAAGTCTTATTCAATCAGTCAAATGCTACCATTTGTATTCCACTTGGAAATTTACTCAATTTCCGTATGTTCATATCATTTTTATTATAGACGTCTGTACATACTTCTTTCAAACAAAAATCATCGCATTATCAAATTGATCAAAATTTTTATTCATACTTTCTTGTTGAAAGAATCTTCAATATGCATTACCATCCTCGAAAGTCCTCCAGTAGCGCTGATAAGCAGGAGTGACTACACACTTTGAAGACTAATGGAATATTGTGGTCACGCTCGAAAAAGACCTCTTTTAAGCTGTCGTGGAACAAATTTGAGGAACAGACAAAACACACAGGCGCAATCGCTATATCTTCGGGTAGAAGGACAGATCTAATGTCTGGCGCCAAGACGTCAGATGACATGTTCTCAATAGTATCTCTTGATTTCTCATCATTTAAGCACAACAATCCAATTATTTGCATGCATATACTCTTTAAAGGCATAATGCGGTTTTGCTGAGTGGCTCTAGCCCTTTCATTGAAAGTTAGATCATGACTATCAAATTGGCTGCTGATGTTCTTGTTGTTGTTACTGAGAAGGCTATCTTTAAAGGTAGATTTATACGAAACGAAGGGGTTATCATCAATCCATAACTGCCGTAGCTTTTCCAAATGGAATAATTCGCCTGGAAGTTCTGTCAATTGATTATGCGTCAAATCTACCACACGTAACTGCGTTAATCTTCCGATTTGTGTGGGTATCCGTTTAAGTTGATTATTGTGCAAAAATATTTCTTCGAGCTGAGTGAGGTGGCCCAACTGAGGGGGTATTTCTTCAAGTTGATTGTGTCCAACATTGAGTTCTTTCAGATTCATTAGGCGCCATAGTTCATCGGGCAGGTGCTTCAAGTTATTATTATGTAATTGCAAACAAGTAAGACTTTCCAAATAGGGCACAGCTGGTGGAGCAATACGCTGTATGTGTAATACCCCCAACAAAAGTATATTAGTTTCAACACCTCCTACTGTCCGATTCAAACGAACATTTTGCTTCATTACCAAAAGATCAACGTGTCTATAAGCTAAATAGGCTTTTGTTGTAAAACTAATAGTGTCAAGAGGAACTCGTTTCTGATGCTGCTGTTGTTGTTGTTGTTGTTGTTTTTGTTTTAATGGCGTTTCGTCATAAAAAGTTACAACACACCCATTCAAATGCCATAATACAGCCAGTCTATTGATAGTAGGTTCATTTTTTTTCGTGTTGGACATGAGAGGAAAGACATTTGGCTTTTGCACTTTCTTGACCGTTTATCAGAAAAAGGAAAAGAGTACGATACTACATGGGGTTAGAAAAAAAAAAAGAAAAAAAAAAAAAGGGAATATCCGAATGAGAGGAAGGAAAAAAGAATGATGCTATTCGCTTCTGTTGTGACCAACACCTTTACATTGTATCACTTAAATTCGACAAAAAAAAGCTTACTTTGGGCAATAATGCTGCAAGTCGTTCAGAGTTGAGTAAACGGTTCTATTATTCGATTGATGGTGAGCTAGCCTACGTTCATTGAAATGTTTAAGGAGGTCTCGAGAAAATGCCAATGTCAAATAAATGTTTCTTAAATGTGCATAGTTTTGTATGCAACTATGAAAATAACTGAGGTTTATAATGATTCTTGACAATACGTTAAAGGAGAAGAACCAAAATCAACTTCTTCTGTTCTGAGTATAAGACAGGAAGAGAAATCCACGTTGATAGAAAAAACGACGCATAAAAAACTTCATGTTTTGGCTTTCTTTTCTGTTTCTTTGCTTTTTTTTTCTCCCTTATTTATACATATTGTAAACTTTTCACTTAGAAGCCGTCCTTACTTTCCTCGACTTAATCATGGATAACATCTCGGCATTCAAACGAGAACAGTCGAAAAGTAGTTTCACAGATGATGACGATCTCAGCCGAATGTCAGATCTTGAAACCGACTACAACAATAATAACACTAACAACAACAGCAACGTCAATACTATGCTATTGAGCAACGACAGTAACAACAGCCTTAGTATAAATGATAGCAACAATATCAATTTCAACAATATCACTACGGGCAGCAGTAGTAGTAGAAGAATGTCTTTGTCTTCTCTCCCTCCTGCTTCTCCCTCTGCGTCGTCTTACAATAAAATGAGTGTAGACTCTGATGATGCTAGGTCCGTGTCTTCTATTACTGGCAGTAATAGTGGAGGCACTAACAAGAGCAATTTTAACGGAATGATGATAGACACCAACAGCAGACGTCTAATGGCATCCATCACATCTTCAAGTCCTACTGCTAATAGTAACACTACCATGACGCCCGATAATCATCAGCAACAGCAGGAGCAATCAAAAAATACCTCCGAAGCAATTGTAACAAACACGGTGACAGTAACTCCTATTGTCACAAGGATGATTAAACCCATTGGAAGTAACTGGTCAGCTTTATCCATCGAAAAGATGAATAATAAGCGTAATAAGGATAGTAGTACGACTGCTGCTACTGCTACTAATAGCAACAATAACAACAACAATAGTGGATCAGCAGCAATACATCCTCTCAGTACCACTAATAATATAACCACTAACAATAGAAGAGACCCCGAGCGACGAAGCGTCCATCGTCGAAGTTCACTAATGGTAAATTACTTGATCAAGTGCAATGATATCCCTGACAAAACATAACTCATGAATGTCGTATAACAGCCTAAATCAAAAGCACTTTTGAGAGTGATAGACCAAGCGGATGTGAGTTATTGTTTTTATCTTCACTACGTAAAAAGGAGAAATCTAAACATAGTTCATATATGGAACATAGGAAGATACACATTTAGCAGACATAGAAATGAGAAGAGAGCATGATACAACACAACAGCTAAAACAGATCGATAATGAAATAGCAGAGGTTAGAACTTAATTGACGGAGACCTCTTGGATTCGAATCACATGTGCTTACTTTCTGCATACATAAACAATAAAATAGCATTACCAAGGTGTTCCTCCCGCTTCTTGGACAAAAGTGGATATGCCTTTATATCAATGTTCAAGGCTTAATCCAGAGATCGAAATGACCGTAAGTTTAGTTCTGAATGTGTCCTCCTATATTTCCAAGTATGCATCCTAACACAATGCACAGAGTTTCCAATTAGAAAACATAACATGTCCGAGCCCACAGCAACAGCAACAATATAAAAGTATCAAACGAAAAGGTAAAAGAAACGAAATACTTTAGTTTGAAAATTAAGGGCATCATTGTAATAAAACTTTCTTCTATAGCATCCGAGGATCGCTTTGATTCTTTCCCTACTCCGCTAGGTCTAAAACGAAGGGCTGTTTCTCCTTCACTGTCGCTAAACGGCTCACCTGTTTTAACAGGTTATAATAGCCCGCCCACGACAGGTTTAGCCTTCTTTGGGAACGTTGGAAATAATACTGGTAGTAGTAACAGCAGTGTTCAAAGTGCCGGCAGCAGTAGTGGTACGTCTTTGAATGCTGCGGCAAGAGCACAACAAAAAGGCAGTACATTCAATCTACACGAGGCTAGCGGTGGCCTTAGCAGAATGTCTTTAAGTGAATAGCAATCTATCTTTGCTCAGGCATCACCCCGACGTTCACTATTCATCATGCTCTTACATACTCATCTTACATAATATACCAATTTCCTTTCATCATCTACCTTTACCTTATACAATAAATTTATAATTTACCATCGGCCTCTGTCCTATCTATAACACTACATATACTGTTGAAAGGGATAATTATGGTTTTAGCATGAAAAAGCTTCAAGCAAAGAAGTTTATTTTTGTTACTACTGCTATTACTACTACTACTACTATTAAGTACTGTTATAGTTTTAAATATATATATTTGCGAGACTATGCAAACTTATAGGAATCAGAATCATCAATTAACCTATCTCTATGTTTTGCTTTCAATTCAGCAAGCATGTTTGGATTAATTTGCGGTATATTATTCCTCTTACGGATTGCTTCATCGCGTTTTTTTGCTAACTCAAGTTCGTCTGATAAAGGTGTCGCGTTGAGATTATCAGGTACGTTATAATGGGTCCTTTGTTTTCTTCTAGCTGGTGTATCTGAGTAATGGTGACCATCCTCATCTTGCTCATCTTGCTCATCTCGGTCGTCTTTACCGAGAGAAATGCTGTCCTTAAGATGGATAGGATTGGCCGATCTTGTAGGTGTAGCTGCCGCAGTTGAGATGACACAACTTCGGAAATTAGTATTATGAATAGCTGTATTTGTACCAGTAGATACTTTTTCATACGCTTTCATGTTTTCCTGAGCTGCTTTGAACATAGGATTGTTGAACAAGTCGTTGCTGTCAATGCCTACAGGATTATCCATACGACGTTTTTTAGATAATTGAACAGTTGATCGTTGTTGTCTTCCTTGTTGTTGCTGCTGTCTTAATGAGGAAGTTAGAGGGGGACGAGATAGGACTGACGTCTCGGCATTCATGGACATGGCATCATCCACACTAGCTCTCTTCTGTTTACCTCTATCTTTCTCTGGTGTTTCCTCTGTTCCCTCTTCTTCGTCTTCTTCATCCTCCAAAAACCATCTTTTCGTTAAAGTAGAAGTGCGTGCAAGACTATCCCTCAAACTGTCAGAATGATTGTAATTCTTATGGTCAGCTATTCTGGTATATCCATCATCAGGAATGTCTGTGCCAGTGCTTTTGCCTTTGCCTTTTCTTTTCCTTTCTTGTCTGGCAATTTCGAAAAGCTTTGTATTGAAGCTATTTGTATTATTTACATCCATATCGTCATCGCGACTGAGAACATTAGTGTCAGACCAGCTGTTTTTGGAAATAACAGTTGGGCTTCTTATCATTCTTCGGCTTCCCGTGGTTACTTGCTCTTCGTCCTCTTCTTCACTTTCTTGTCGCAGCAGGTTTGCGCGTTTCGCCCAGATGGAGGCACGTGTATTCAATCTTAAAGGCGATGTAGATTCTCTCTTTTCATTCAAGCCATGGATTTCTTTCCAAAAACGGTTGGAGATGCGGCTGTCACCAGGTGTGCTAAATGTAACATAGTGACTGAGTCAATGAAATGTCCTGTTTATAACAGCTGTGTTTGAAAGGGGGGAAGGAAGAGGAAAGAAACCTACTTGATGGTCTCTGTAGACCGTAATTTTGTACTGCCAAGCTGAGAGCTCACATTTTGGCGGTTTGCTGATGTTCGTGGAGAAAGAATGCGGTTGGTTGAATCTGGTGTATAAGGGTTAATATCATTATTGTTGGTATGATTGGAAGAGACGTTACTCGGTCTTCTAATGAAGGAAGAGGACGTAGTATGTTTATATTTCTATCGTAAAAAATTTTTGTTTCAATTGAAAATTAGTTAAGCAATCTTCAACGAATCTGATTGATACTCTGAAATTCATCTGCTCTCTTACAGGAACATATTCAAGAGACTGTGGAGGGGTATTCATCATTCCATTTTGTGGTTCTTGTTGCTGCTTAAAACTGGTATCTGGTCTTTGGCACTTTTGAGAGTGGTGTCTAAGAGGGGTTGAGTAATCGTTTCGGTTCAATGAGTTTATAATATTGTCCCTTGTTAATGGTGTGGCAGATGCCGTTGCTGCTATGAGTTTTTCTCTGTCATCCAATTGGCCTTTGTTGCAAAGAAGACTATCCTTTTTATTAAAGTCTCCCGCCAAGATAGTAGACTATAATAAATATATACATATATATATATATATATATACATTTGATATAATGAAATTTTAATTAGGCAAAAAAAGAAGGGAAAAAAAATTCATTGTTTTATAGCTCTTCTTATGCCATTACCTGTCTTCTCAACCTCATCACTCTGCTTTCCAGGCGATCTAGTCTTTCTCTTTCATCATTTAATCTTTTTTCTAAGGCAGCAGTTGACATTTGTCCGTTACGGTCAGAGTATTTGTTCATGGTATCATTAAAGGAAGAAGTGATAGTGTGAAAGCGATTATTGTTTGCGTAATTACGAGTTGGTGTATATGTCGATAAATTAGGTCTTTCAGGTGATAAAATACTATTCCTTGTATCTATTTGATGACGGTTAAACTGCCTACTCAAGCTTGAAACGGGTGTGAGGTCGCCCAGATTGTCGAAAGCGTTGTAGTTTTGTTTCATTCTACTGTTTGTGAGTCTAGGTGTATCTGTTATGGACATAGAGTCATTGTTATCTCCAATTAATGAAGGTGTACTCATAGGTGCAGCGGAAATGACGGATTCGCGATAAAATGGATTTCTATTAGTATAATGATTGTATCTCGATCGAAAATCTGTACGTTTTAAATGAAAGGTTAATTTCTTTCTAAAAGATGTGGGGGACGGGGGAGGGGTTATATACTGCTAACCTTCGCGTATCGTATGTCTCTCAATAAGTGGTGTTAATGATGATCTGTTATCGCTAGTGCCTCTGTTTATTGATGGCATATCCTGTTCAATATCATCATTTCTCCGTGTCTGCATCAGCATACTGCTTCTGTTCCTCGTGACGCCGCTTTCGTCATTGTCTGAGAAACCACGTTGATTCGTTTGCTGCTCCTGCTGGTACTGTTTATGACTCTTCTGCTGCATCAATTTTGCTTTCATGTTCTCTGTCGTCAGAGGAGTTTGTTTTCGCACACGATTCGCACTTGTTTTTGGCGAAAATGTTGCTTGTAAGTTCCCATAAAATGACTTCCAGTCTTTCATGGCAGTATTCTTGGCATTCCAAACCGCCTGGTAAAATGGAGAGGCGATCGCTCTCAAAGGTGATGCCAAAATACTAGAGCTGTTATTATTGTTTCGTTCTGGTGTACGAATATCTTCTTCTTCTTCTTCATAAAACGGATATTGTTGCTGCTGCCCTTCGACACCGTTCGTGAATGTTGCTGCTCTTCTTGGTGTTGTGGCCATAATAGCAGTGATATCGAAAGGGCGGGTGTAGGATGGGGAAAGAAAGAAAGCTTAAAATAGGAGAAAACCCAAACAGGTTGCAAAAATTTACTCTCGGTCTGAGTTTCTGTAAATACAAATTGCCTGAGCAGAAAAAAAAAAAAAAAAAAAAAAAAGAGAAGAGAAGCCGAGCGCTATGAACATTTGATACGCGCGCGTTTTAAACACGCGTTGCAATTTTCACCTTCCCTTGAGCCCTGGTCAACGAAAGTTTTTCAAACACAATCAAGATGGGGCGGCACTCAGGCATATATATATATTACACCACGTTCAAGAAAACTACTGTACCCTACTTTGAGAAATATGAATCACACAATGGGTAAGGATGAATGCCTGATAATTAGAAACAGAAGCTTCAAAGCTGGAAGAATTTCATTTTTACATTTTTGATACTGCCCAATAAACTACTGACATACAAGTTATGTTTGAAAGAGATTGGTCATTATATGCAAGCAAATTTCTTCTGCAGGGCGGAAAAAACTTTATGGATTGACTTCATAATGAGTATGACATTTTAATCTTTTCAAGATGGACATAAGTATGGTTCATGTTGGGGATTGTATTTCGAAGCAAGGTAGAAATACTAAATGTATTCCAAAATCAGCCACAGAGATGCTGTTGGCGATAAGGCGTACTTTGCGAGAAACGATTATAGATGGAGGGTGCTGTAGGAGAGGATTTTGCCTGGATTATTATCCATTTGACAGCGACAGCCGGTCATTATGAATCCAACCTTCTTTAGCCTTCTGCAAAATAGATCACGCATTGATCAACCCTTGTTGAATTTGCTTGCGCAGATCCTTAACATTTATACTAATCGCAACAGCTTAGCAAATATACTGCTACTCATTTGCAGCGCTAATTCTCCTTGATTAAACAGCATTTTCCTGTTTCGTTGAAAATGAATATCCTTATTTGAAACGATGTCTTTTGTCCCCTAGAGTACATTTTTTTATATTAAAATCAATAGCACTATTTCTTGATCTTCTTTCGTATCTCTGCAGCCTTCGATTAAGCCAGAGGAAATTGAATGAAAGCTCTCACGAAGTCAAGCCAAGATAAAATGACTGCAAGTTGTATCATTTTCCTCGACATTTCCGTAGTTGAAGGACGTTCTTTAACGATTTGTCTTGATACGTACCGTTTTGTTTGAACCCCTTGCCGTTTCCATTTTCTGCGTTCCTTTTTGAGAACATCTACAATGGACAGATACTATACGTCCATTGACAAATGTCTGCATTCATATTATGATATTAAAAAACAAAGATCTTATCTTGCAGCAACATAGGCATTACTTCAGCGAATTGACATATAGTCCGATAGGGTTATGAGTCTTGGACCGCCTTTGTGACTGTACCGCTTCACATTAAGAAACATTCATTTTCATCCTATCATCTATCACTTATGGAACAGCGCCGTTTGTCCCCGCCGAAGAGTGAGAATGCCACTCTTGGTGCATAACATTAAAGTAGTTGAAGGTCGATCAAAAAGCACCCAAGAAAGCAGGAGGCAATATCTTTTCATTCTTTCTCTTTCTTTTTCCTACCCTTACAATTTAAGCGAAAGTAGATAAGGCCGTATGCATACAGCTGCACAGTTGTTCCAATCACTAACAAACCGCTTCAAATATAATCTTGTAGAACTGATTCTTTTTAATTCTACACTGTTAAATGGACAAAAAAAAAAAAAAAAAAAAAAAAAAAGAAAAAAAAAAACCAACCCATGATCACAGCAGTGTATTTAAAACCAATATCAGTTGTCTTTCAAAGCAGGACATAGTAGAGACATGCTTGCCAGTGTTTTATAGTACAAGTAAAAGCTTGTTTCAATCATTACTCGACAGTACTATAGACATCATTTTAGATGCATTGGCCGAGTAAAAATGGTAAGTAGTACATTTGGTAACTGTATCAGATCAGAGTCGCAATGCATGACTTCATTGCTACCACGTATAGTGTTTCTATCTTTACGCATAAATCAGAACAGCAAATTAACTACCGGTGTTTCGTCATTCTAATGTATACTTTGCTCATTTGCTTTATGAGATGGAACTCCAATATGAATATTATGGTAATACATATGCAGTATTATTTTTGTGCCTTTTTTTTTTTCTTCGGAGTCAGTATAGATAATCCTACGGATGGTCATATCCAAACCTTTCAGATGCTCAGTGCACGCAAGTTGTTCAAAAAAGGTCAAAGAAGACGTGAAATGCACCCCTAACGAATACAAAAGGGAAGTGTTAAGATTTCTGTATAGTCTAATAAGTACTTTCATGACGAAGAGTAAAATGATGGAGCTTGGTTACGTTCGAGCAATCAATTTATTAAATTCTTGAAACATACCTTTTTACAAAATCTATGTGTGTTCCACTTTAAGAGAAGTAAATAGTCAGTGCTTATCTTTTGACACTGTAGATAAACGTAAGGTGTCATTAAACAAATCACTGCTTTAGAGAAACGATTAAAACGAACATGATAAAGGCTGCATGTGCCCTTTCGTTTTCATAAAATGAAAAAGAAACAAGGCACTTTAATTGTTTTCTGTCACCTTCAAAGAGCCATCAAAATAATATATTTATCGTGAAAGACGTTAGACGTGTAGTATATCAAGTTCAGAATGACAATCTTTCGTGGCGGTTACTGTTCCTTTTAAAAAGGGTATGAAGATGAAGCCTTGCGTAATTACATCTATGGACTTGTGTATTGGCGAAAAACAGTTTTCTTCTGGTAATGATGATGAGGATATCTATTGTATTCTCTTGATAAGCAAAAAAGTAGGCATGTCATATATGTATATGTATATAGCATTGGATCTGTAATATAATTATAAATAGATGTGGGATGGAAGCCAACAAAATAAAAACTCTGAATTTTTTTTTAAAAAAAAAAAAGACACGCGATTTTCAATTATGCTTTTCATGAACTAACTGCTGAATCGATGGTAATTTTGGTGCGTTACTGGGTTGTGCTATGTGTAAACGAGGGGGGTAATCAGTTTTTGGTATGGTAGTCGTCATTGTTGTCGCTGTTGTTATCGTTAACAAAGATTGCGGCTGTGATGGTTGCGTTGAAGAAGGTGGTACTACGGGTAATGTTGACCTGGAATAGGCTGTTGATTCAATACCGTAAAGAGAATGAGTGTGATGAGCACGAATGCCACGATGATTACTGGTATTCATTGCATCTAGTTGTTACAGAATGAGAGAAAAAGATAATAAGATAACAGCAGACGAAGAACGAGAAAAAAAAAAAACAAGTTACCTTTGTCGTTGTGAAATGCTCCTGTATTCAGACCTTGATAAGGAAAGTAAGACGTTTCTGAAGAAGAATGGATAGACGGTAAAAATAGTTTCGCTGTAGTTGGTGGTGCTGTTGCTAATGCTGCTGCTGTTGCTGTTACCGTCGCTGTCGTGGAGGTAAAAGGTGAGGTATGATAATGTGTTTGTTGTAGTGGTGTTGATACAATGCTGCTACTGATACTGTGACTATTACTGTGAAGATGGTTATTGTTTGTAATATAAGGCTTTACGCTGTTATCTTTCTGATTTTCGTCTTCGCCGTCTAACAATAAGTAAGAAAGACTTAAGCGTCTTTTATTCGAACAGGGATGCCCTAGTAAACCTAGAGAAGTTCAAGTCAATGGAAAAAACCTTGGCCTTTTTATGCATGAGAGTCATTCTGGGAATACCTCCTGTACTACTGCGTTTATGTGATGAACTGCTGCTATTTTGACTGTAAGCATCATCGTACTCTTCTTCTTCAGTATCCATAGAGTCTTCTTGCTGAATTGCAGAATGATTGTCTTCTATGGCTGCTTTCCGGATGTCCTTTTGTCGTTGTGTACAGCGTGCAGGCCGTGGACCTGCTTCTCGACGAATTCTGATTTTCAAGCCTTGTCTAGCAAAACTTTGAACGAGTTCACATGAACGATACATCCCTGGGAACTTGATGCATATGTTTACATGTTAGTTTTTTTCTTTTTACGTTCTTCTTTTGTCTTGCATGGATAAGTTTTAATACACAAGATAGAATGAGATAAAATAAGAAACGTTACTGTTTTTGCGGAATAAACTGTAAATGGATCGGTTAAAATCGAGGCATCGTACTTCACCATTTGGCTAATAATTAGTGTTGGACGATTAGTATCTTGATTTTTCTTAGAAAGAGGGTGTTAGAGATGCACATTTTACTCTTCAATATCAAATAAACACATCTGTAATCGATAAGTGCCTTCTGTCCTCACAGAGATATCTGAAAAGACAAAAAAAGCGCCTTCTGATCCATCCAAATCTCTGAGGTTGTAAAGCGAAGAAACAGTTCTGCCGACAGTGAGTTTACTATGCATCAAAATGTTGGGTTTTTGGTTTTCTTTCGTGTCTGCTGGTACAAGAATAGCGATAAGAAAGAGATGCGTAGAAAGGGCAGAAAGTCTATGCAAGATTGTGTATCGTTAGATGGACATAGTGTGTAAGCTATAGAAAGAGTGAGTCGATCCCTTTTTACCGCTCTCTGCTTTCGTCGTCTTCTTGATGATCTAAATTCAAGAGTTTAATCTGGACTACTGGCGGTGGATCAATAGGCCTTCGATCGACTATATCACATTGACAATGGGGGTGTGAGTTAGCTGCTGAACAAAGAAGACAGCATTGTCATAAAAGAACGATCATGGAAAAACCTTTTTCGCCAATACCACACATTCTTGAATGAACAGGTTGCTGCCTTAAAATTAACTGAAAAGGACATCTATGAATAAAATGATGATAGCGCTTAATGCATCAGAGATACACTTGAGCGACAGTTGGATTGATGATTAAGTGATTTACGTATTTTGTGATGAAATAGTGGAAGATGGTGTCGCAATAGCATCGTTCATCCCATCTGATAATAAAGTTAAAAATGAGCTTTTTCCTTTCGTAACAAGACTAACAATGGAGTACCTAACATTTCTTTTATTTTATTTAATTAAAGAGGAAAAAAAGCGAAAGGAGAAAGAAAAAAAAAAAAAAAAAAAAAAAAAAAGAAAAGAATAAAAAAAAAAAGGGGTGGGGGGAAATGTATAATAGTACGTTGTGCGTGTATCACTGTTCCCGATCGATGGTTTTGTCCGAGGCATAGGGCTCGTAACGCTAAACTTTTCTAGAGCACTTTATTTTCTGTTTCTCTGTTTTTCTTTTGGTCTTTCTTGGTTTTTCTTTTTAATATATTTTGGTCACTATTTAAGTGCTCACCGAGATCACCCCACTTATCAAGTAAAGAAACGGGGTTTCTAATATGTTTATTGCTGTTAATGGAATTTCGAATTTTGCCGTATTTTTTTGTCTAAAAGAATCAGACTGTGACAGAAAGAAAGATGGCCAATCTTTCTTTTCTTTTGGCTGTTCGATCTTTAAGTTTAAGCTAAAATGAACTTTTGTAACGGCTTTTGCTGTTAATAGAAATTGGGCAGTAGATCAATAGAGAAAAGGTCTGTAAAGCGCGAGTTACACCAACGAACTTTTTTTTTTTTCATTTTGGCATTGGGAACGAGCATCTGGAGACGGTTCACATTATTGAGTTTCAGATTCATGAAATGACTTATTTCAAGGAGTCTGAAATTCTCCAGTTACAGTAACCATAACAACGACAAGATATTCATCAACCAACCCCGAATTCTTGGGTCTATCATTTTCTTGCTTTTTTTTTCTTTTTTTTATTATTTATTGTTGCTTAGATGTCCACTTAAAAGCTGCTCCATTGCTTGCTTTTCTTTTAGCAAATGCTCTTTTGCCTGTCGTTCTTTTGCTTTTTCCTTTTCTTTGGATAAAGCGCGTTCTTCTGCATAACGTCTTTCGCGTTCTTTATATTGATCTTGATAAAACAACTCATCATCATTGTTTCTGTTATACATAGCTGCAGGTGTTTCACGATGTTGACGTGATGTGTATACTAATGGTGGGTACTAATAAGTTACAACCTCCCTTGACATGTATTCAGAAAAAAAAAAAGAAAAAAAAAGAAAAAAAAATTACCATAGTAACCTGCAAATACCACTGAGGTGAAAGCGGTTGCCATGCCAATCGTTTTGACATTGCGACGAAATCTGTACATTTTCTCGTAATGTTCACTTGACCCTGGGGGTCCAAGGCTTTTTTGTTCCAGTTTATCCATGACGTGTTTGATACCATAGATAGAAGCACCGCCCAGCAATGCTAGTAATAAAGGTGGCAGACGTGGTATCATATTTGTTAAAGCAAGACGGACGACTATTTCAATTTACCGTCCTTGGAAAGAAAAAGTGGGGAAAAAAAGAAACAGAATCCTGGATGAAACTGAATTTTGTTTTCTTTCCCTTAAGGCAAATCACTAACTGCACCCTAAAATCTGATCATTCATCCTTTCAAAAGTGAACAGTGTATGTATAGGCAACAAAAGAAATGTTGCATCGTTTCTGTTTCGATCTTCACTGGCCCTCGTACTAAATCTGAGCGTATACTGACTTTTGCAGTAGCATCACCCACCGCCAGTCGAAGAGAAAAAAAGCCTTTTTTCCTTCACGTAAGCACGCACAAAGGAAGCAATGAAAACGATAGACCTTTGTTGTGTAACAAAAAGAAGAAAGAACGTGGTTACAGCGTCCTCATTTCTCCTTTTTCCTTTCTTTCTCGCTCTCCGTTTTCTTTTTCGATCCATTTTAGCCTCTTCTCCTTTTTTATATAGTAGAGATATAGATACAAATATACATACATACAACATACATACATATATACATACGCACATACACAACCTTGCTGTTGTTATTGAAAAGAGAAAGCTATTCTACCGGTATACAGAGAGCCAAGTCTTTTCTTTTTTTTTTTTCACTTTTTCAAGAAAGGATAGAGTACAAAGTTAAAGTCTCAAAATGCGAAAGGTATATGTGTATTCTATTCCTAAACCTCAAAAGTGAAAAAGAGACTAACCCTCTACCTTATTACAGCTAAGTCGAAAGAAGTTGGTCGTCGTAGGCGATGGTTTCTGTGGAAAGACGAGTCTATTACATGTATTTCAACATAATGAATTTCCAGAGGTAAAAATACCCAAAGGTTTCTTCGTCTTGGCATTCGAGCAAAAAGTAAGTCTAAACTACCATTTGTGTAGGATTACGTTCCTACCGTTTTTGAGAATTACATTGCCATCATACATCACGAGTCGGGAAAGTCAATCGAGTTATCATTATGGGATACAGCAGGACAAGAAGAATACGACCGACTTCGGCCTTTATGTTATCCTGAAACGGACGTTATCTTGGCATGTTTTGCTATTGATCAAGTTCAATCTTTTGAAAACGTGAAAGACAGGGTACGTAGAGAGACATAGAAGGGTCAGGGAGACGACGAAAAAACTAACACCCCTCCCTCCCCCTCTACCGTATGATGATAGTGGATCCCTGAAATGGATCATTTCTTATTTAATACCCCACGTTTATTAGTGGGAACCAAGGGCGACTTGAGAAATAATCGACAACGTATCACTGAATTAAATGCTAATGGCCAACAATTAATTTCAGTTGAGCAGGTAAAACATACACTACACTTACAAGTTGGAATAGAGAAAAAGGGATTGGCAGACTGACGGTAATTTGTAGGCTCAGGCTTTAGCAAAGAAATTGAATACGCAATACATTGAATGTAGTGCAAAAACGAATACAAATATTAAAGAAGTTATACATACCGCAACAGGCCTTATTCTTAGTCATCGTAAAAATGGACTCAAGACAAAAATCTGTACTTTACTTTAACACAACCCACAGCTTATACACTAGGACAAGATAATGTAATGATTTTTTGAACAAAAAAAAAAAAAGACAACTAAAATCTATACCCTTGGAAAACTTCTCTTTGTTCGTTCATCTAATACCAAAAACTCAATATGAAAAAGCACAAAAAGTAATAATATTTTGTGAAACCCGGTTAGTCTCAAATACAGTGGTGTGTTAATAGACATTTCTCAGTTTATAATCACTTATACATTCTCACTATCCATCTGCAGACAGTCGTTTGAAAATAAATATACATACTGCAAAATAGTTTGCAGGTCTTTTTTTTTTTTTAAGGAGTCTATCGTCTTGTTCATCTCTCGGGAACTTTAGATAGGAAAAAAGGCAAAACCATGCCAACTTTCCCTTTTCTTATTCTATACATGTTCATATTTACTTTTTTGCCTTATTTTTTCACGTGTCGGTTTTTTCACGTAAGCTTTGTGAAGGATGCATTTCCGTCCTACTTATTAGCCCGAGCACTTTCCTAAACAGATATTGGGAACAGTAACGTTAACATGAATCGAAATGCAGAGCAAGTACTGCTTCTTACTCTCTCCCCTGTCCCCTCTAAGCTCGAAGTATACTCATTTTTTGTGATTAAGAATGAGAATGCTTTAGGTTCTTTATTTCGGTGATTTACTATGTTATATGTATATATGGGAATCATATGGATAGATAAGTTAGACTATTAGAATATGTATAATGATAAGAAGATGACGATGGGAGAAATGCTGAAATCGGTAATAGATGTGTAGTCATACTCTCCTCAGAAAAGAAAAAGAGAGAGTTAGTATTGCTACTACTAAAATGTAGGAAAGGTTTGTAAAAATGCACAGTGGATATACTACTATAAATTGATAATTTTTCTTGATTTGCTGACATTTGGGTTTTTTTTTTTTTTTTTTTTTTTTTTTTTTTTTTTTTTTTTTTGCCAAGAAAAAAATGAAGCAAAGATAATGAAGCAGATGACACAGAACTTAAGCAGCTACGGCAAGTTGCTTGATGGTCTGTTGAGTTAAGCCAGCGGCATCCTTCTTTTCTTGTTGATTTTCATCCCAACCAAAGTCTTCGGTGGCTGTATCAATCAACATTTCTGCGATGGCCAAGGAAGCTGTGCATGCAGGAGTAGGTGCATTACGCACACAAAGTACTTTTCCATCCATGACCTTGCGTTCTAAAATATAGTCATTCGCCGCGATACCGCCTTTTTCGAACACTTGAGACATCACACCAGCAAAACTCTCTTCCACCATATCTTCTGTCAATCCTGGAACGTAGGCTTGAGCAGCACGCAAAAAGGCACGCTTATTCATATCTTTGTACAGTTCGCCAATAGACAAAGAGGGGTTTTTCAAGGCAAACATCCACAAGTTCATGTTGGTCAAAGAAGCAAACAAGTCTTCCAGCTTGAAGTCAAAGAAGGTATATCCTTCGCGAGCAAACGTAAGACAGGCTCCAGGACCGACAATCATTTGAATACCACGACGTGTGTTGACCGTTGGAGTGAAATGAACACCTACGGGAATACCACCACCGCTAGGGACAGGATAGACATTCATACGACAAATACCACGGTATTCAGGCTTGAGTTGATAGTAGGTTCCTCTGAAGGTAACCACCTTGGCACGGCTGGGGTCACCACCTGCAAGACCTGCTACTCGATCGGAATAAAAGCCTGCACAAGTGATCACATTCTTGGCAGTAACCTTAAGTGTAGGTCCTCTTTGGTTAGGCTCTGCGCCCCAAATCTGTCATTGATAAACAAAGAGAGAATGAATATCATGCCGCTGCTACTTCTTCTCCTTGCTCACTCACTCACTCACTCACTCACTTAAGAATGGTTCTTTTTCTTACCTCAATCTTTCCATCTTGTCTACTTTCAAATTTCTTGGCTTCAAAAGCAAGTTTGATCTCAGCACGTCTGAATGATCACATTATCAAGTAAATAAACATGTACATTTTTTATACGCACAAAAATACAAAAAAAAAAAATAAATAATACACCTTACCCAGTCTGGACGATTTCATTAGCGATACATTGAGCCACAAGGCCATAGTCGGTAATGCCAGTGTTGGGAGAATACAACGCAGAATAAGCAACTACATTGGGTTCCAATTGTCGAATCTAGAATCATAAAATTTGTATATGAAGGATCAGCAAACAGCAATGTGTGTATGTAGTGTGTCCGTGATACATAACACAAATGATAGCCCTTTCAGCATCCCCACCTCCTCCCCCCCCCCAAAAAAAAAGAAGGGTCCTCCTTCTTTTAGGCATAAAAAAGATAAGGCCTCTTCCTAAAAGACCAAAAAAAAAAAAAAGTGCTTCATTACCTCCTCACTATTCAAGACTTGTAGATCCTTCACACCGTTCAAAGTAGCGATTTCCATCAATCTTTCTACTTCCTTGTGTTCTTTTTCATTGACAGCCACGATCAGTTTACCGCAACGCTCTACTGGCAATTGATTTTGTTTACAGTATTCATACATCAAGTCAGCACCACGGACGCAGGTCTTGGCCATGCGAGATCCTGGCTTATAATAAATACCAGCATGGATGACACCGCTATTATGACCGGTTTGATGAGCGGCTACTTCACGTTCCTTTTCCAAGACGGCAACTGTCATGTTGGGGAAACGTTTGAGTAACTCTCTAGCAGTTGCTAGGCCAATGATACCACCACCGACTATGGGGTGATTTGTTTGTTAGCCACAAACATCACACAAAAATCTTCTAGGAGAATAATGCCCAAACTTACCAATCACCACATCGAAATCGGTCTTTCCATTATTTGTAGATAAAGCAGTTCTAAATCGTTGTTCAGCGGCCATACCACGTAACTTGGCAAATCCAGGATTCTCAGGTGTGTTTTCCCCTGGTAAACTCTTCCAAAACTTCAAGTTGTTGGATTCCGCCAGCACTGGTTTCTTGAATTCAGAGTTCAAATAGAAAGCAGCTCCACCTGTAGCCATAGTAGCAGCAGCACCTAAAGCCATCATTTGACGACGTGTAAACATTCTAGTAGCAGTTCGATGAAACATTGTTTGGTTTAAAGTATGTTGAGTTGTATGTGTGTGTGTGTGTGTTTGTATGTATGTATAGCGTGTAAATGTGTATGTGTTTGCTGATAAGTCTGTTTGAGAGACAAGAAAAACAACTGAAAGAAGAAGAAGAAGAAAGGGAGACTTCAAACGATCTCAATAAGAAATCAAGGCTATTTATTTGATCTGAAGGAGATGCAGTACCTTAGAAAGCCTTATGGCCCTTTTAAGGATATCCTTACATTATTGCCCCTTTTATGCATGCTGTCAAGATTATTTGATTTGCCACGTCTTTGTTTTGAAATGAAAATTATAAACATTACTTAAGGAAAGAGAAGCATGTGCCTCAACTTTCTTTGATTTCTGTTGTAAGCCCCTGAGAAAGAATCATAAACCAAATAAACATGTACCTCTTAAAAAGCACTCCCTTAAAAATCGAGCTACCGCCGTCTAATGCGATTAGTCAATCTTGCAATGCATCAACTAAAAGGAGATAAACAGAGACACTCACAAAAAAAAAAAAAGAGTCCCCTTAGAAGACAAATACTTCTGCTAAATGCCATGCAAAACATGAATGCCCTTTTTTTTTTTTTTTTTGCCAAGCCTTGATGATGCACAAGTAATGTGAAAATCCATGGCTGCTCCTCTTTCTTAAAACTCTTTATTTTCTATAATAGCATTCAATTCTTGTTACGTAAAGAGTCGTTTAATCCTTTCTTATTTCTAGCAATTTCAACAGCATAGAACTACAGGTCATTGAACGGAATACAGCAAAAAAAAAAAAAAAAAAGTTAAATCAGGCACAGAATAGATAAGGCAACCCAAGATATATTGATCTTACCTGCATGCGGACGCCTAATGATAGAAAGCAAACCATTGAAAAATAAAGACGCAGAATATTATTTTTTTTTAGTTTGTACATCAATCAGAAGCTTTTTTTTTTTTGTTTCGCTCATATTGAAAGTTACCAAACATAGTATTTTGTTCAGTATAGTCTTCTCTACAATCAATACGAATCAATGTGCCAAAATTGAACTCTTTCACTCTTTTCTCGTATTTGTTGATCCACTTTCTCCACTTTTCTTTAGCATCTTTGCTTTTGAAATCGTCCTCGTTTAAATGCTCAACGTTGATTTCAGGAAATGTTTGTTCAAAGTCGTCGAGAATTTCATCGTCAATACTAACATCAGCAGAAGAAATATGTGTAAACATCACGTCAGTCCAACAGCCTCTTCCATTGATATTCCTTCTACGCTACTATTGCTGTACTACTGCTAAAATTCATGAAAAGCATTACTTTGTTAAACGAAGCTGACGAGCATCGATTTTGGAAATGAGGTTAAAATATGTTTCGGCATGGTGCATAGCCTACAAATCAAATAGAGTGACATGGTTTGAGTTATCGAGCAAGTTTGAATAAGCTTTCCTCATTTCTTACCTTGACAGCCCATTGCTTTTCTACAAAAGTCAATCAATTGGAAAGTGGATGAAAAGGTTAGCTGTCAAATTAATACAACGAAGCGTTCACACATAAAGAGGTTATTCTACCGATATCTTCGAGTTGCTCAAGCTCGTCAGCAGAAGGAAGTTTCATAGACATTGTTTCTAGTGAATGCTTGTCAAAATGACAGGTTTTCTGTTTGCTGTTTGTAAGATTTCTTTTTTGATTTGACTTTTTTTTTTTTTTTTTCTCTCTCTCTTACCCACTTGGCAGAAAAAGCAGTCCGGAATCCTGCATTATTTCTATTTTTCGCGAAATTCTTCATTACGAGCAAAGTGAGTCTTTGCTTCTGGTATGTATTGTTCTTTAACCTCTTTTCCTCCTTTCAACTACCTTAAAAATTAGACGAGAATTAGCTTTGTAAAAGGGCAATACTACAATAATAAGAATTGCTGACCTCAATTCTATATTGATACTGGTTGATATATCAAGTAACGTTAAGGACTCCGTTGCTTACACAACTCTTGTGAGTTACGTTGGAAGGGAGTTGTACTGTAGATGACATTGTACAGAAAACGTGGTGTCATTCAGTCGATGAAGTACATGGCTTTTTGAATACAGCAGCTTTAAGAAAGAGCCCATGGTATCATCATCATCACTACAACGATTGAATTTGCGAAAAGCTATTCAGACGTTGGATTGAAGCAGCCCCTTCCCCGGATAAAACTATGGCTCAACGAACCGATTGTAAATCAAACAAAATTAGCACGTTAAAATGTGTGCTTTCAAGCAAAGGCATCCTTAAGCGAAAGCAATAAGGGCCAGTATTTTTCTTTCACGAGTTGCGAATTGTTCAGTGTTACTACTTTGTAGAATATAATGACTAAGCGTTGTAGATAATCAATATCGCGACCGCACTTTCTTCATATAATTTAATCTGTAATGCAGTTTTCAATTTGATCTTATGGTACAATTTATGTACAACATCGAATGGTGTTATCACGCAGTAGCTTCCAGTTGACGCTATCGTTAATGCAGATCAATAGACACTACAGCTATAATTAAGGAATGCACATCAATAGTTATTGAAGCTAATATGAACCGAAAAGGCTTTTGAGTCAGAAAAGCAAAGCAACAACATTGATACAGGAGTATCTTGGTTCTTTTTTACCTCGCCTGCTTCAAAAGGAGTTATCAGTTTGCTCCAAAAAGCAAGCAAGTAGTATGTCACTTGAAAAGCTTACATGGAGAATCAAAGAAGGAAAAAAAGAAACACTGAGGCCATCCATCCATTAGGGATCCGAGATGCTACTTTATTTTTATACTATTTGCATGCTTTTTCTGTTTAGCCAAGTTTGAAGGGCTATACAAATCAGGGCAATTGCGGCGATTCAATTGTGTCATGGAAAACATAATCGGGCAATGCAGCACTTGTTTATATTGAGTTTTCAAACGAACCATAATATACCAATATTGTAAATACCTCGATACCGATATCAGAAGGCTCTAAAAACGGCATACAGAGATTGTGGTATGACAGATAAGACTACTGCGAGCACAAAGCAAGATAACGGCTCTCTCGAAGAGACACCTGAAAAAAGCAACCGATCTGCTGGCGCGAACAATGAGGATAATAAAGGCTACGATGACGTTACAACAGACGAGGAAAAACACAAAGATAACGGGGTTAAAAAGGAAGCCGACGGCAAAGAAGAAGTTGAGGACGATGAAGAAAGCAGTGACGACGATGAAGATGAAGAAGAGGACGATGAGGATGAGGATGAAGATGAACCCAAACTTCGATACAGGAGAGTAGGGGCTAGTGTAAAAGAGTTACTACAAAAAGATACCGCTTCAACCTTGCGCGTGTCAGATCGTTTTGTGGTAACTATTTGAGTAATTGTCAATAAATCCCATTTCTTCAAGTGGTATAACGTTTCAAATCCGTTTTCTAGGCTTTAGGAACTCATTGGGGAGCTGTCCATATCCTTGATTTTGAAGGCAATGTCATTAAGAGCTTCAAAAGCCATTCAGCCACTATCAACGATATCTCTATCGATAACTCAATGGAATATGTAGCAAGTGCCTCTGATGATGGAAAAGTCAATATATACGCACTTTATACCCCCGAGATACAATCTTACAACTTCAAAAGGCCCATCAAATCAGTCGCCCTCGATCCAGAATATGCTCGTAAAGGAGCCAACAAAAAGAAATTTGTCTCGGGTGGGTTAGCCGAGCAACTTATCCTCAGCACGCAGGAGAAACGAACCAATTGGTTCTCATCAGGAACAGCATCATCCACAACAACATCAAATCATAACTATCATCATAAAGATGTTGTATTACATGCTAATGAAGGACCTATTTACGCCATCCGTTGGGCCAAAAATTTCATTGCTTGGGCTAATGATACAGGTGTCAAAATTTACGACACAGATACGAATCTACGCATTACTTATATCGATCGACCAGAAAATAGTCCTCGTGCTGAATTGTATCGTTGTCGATTGGCTTGGAAAACGGATCATAAGACTTTGTTGATCGGTTGGGCCGATACGGTGAAAGTAGCCGTCGTGCAGCCTAAGCCCGAACCAGTGCATCCAGGACAGCCTCGTTATTATGTAGAGATTGTGCATATGTTTCAAACAGATTATATGATTTGTGGTATTGCACCGTTTGGAGATATGTTGATGCTCTTGGCTTATTTCACAGAAGAGCAACAAAAGCGGTTATTAGAGGAAGAAGAAGAAGAAGAAGGAGAAGAGGAAAGTAACTCAGAGAAAAGCGATCAGGATGAAGATACAGAGCTCACCTCTCGAAGAAACGGAAATAGATGGCTGGCCTCAAAACCTGAACTTCATATCATCAACGCCAACAATGAGGAGATTTCTGCTGACGTATTAGCGTTGCACGGATTCGAACTTTACCAAGCAAATGATTATGTCTTGGACTTTTTAATGGACGATATAGATAGTGAAGTAGCGGAACTCAATGATGAGAAGAAGACAATGGACGACCTTGTTGCAATGGCTGATAGTATGTTCTATATTATGGGCCCGAAAGATCTGATCGCAGCTCGTTCAAGAGATGTCGACGATCATATCGAATGGTTGTTGGATCATGAAAAGTTTGGAGACGCTCTCACAACACTACGCGCTTTGTCCACGCCGTCCAAGCGATTTAACGAGGAAGAAGTCGGTCAAACGTATCTGCATTGGCTTATGAAAGTGAAACAGTACCAAGAAGCAGCAAAAGAATGCCCTTCTATTCTTAAACATGATCCCGCGCTTTGGGAAGACTGGATTTTCAGATTTTTAGAGCTGGGCGAACTTAGTGCAATTGCTCCTTTCATACCCATCGAGGATCCCCAATTGAGCAGCACAGTTTATGAGATTGTTCTTGCTTGTTTTCTTAAAAGCGATTATGAAGGACTATTAAAGACAATACAGCAGTGGCCTAAAACGTTGTATAGTCTTTCAAACGTCATCGTAGCAGTAGAAGATGTATTGAGGAAAAAAGAGAAGAAGCAACAACACCATCCTATTACAAACGAGGATAAAGATGATGAGATTCTGCTAGAATGCCTTGCAGAGTTGTAAGTCTTCACCAGTAGCCGTATTTTCATGTGCCAATGATTGACTTTTCTGTATTTGATTAGATACACGATGAATAATCAACCTGATAAAGCCATCGAGTACAATTTGCGATTGAGGAGACCAAATGCATTTGAACTCATTCAAGAATACAATATGTTTGATGCGGTAAAGGATAAAGCCGTTTTGTTGCTGGAGTTTGATCAGTATTTAGCCGGAAAAGAAGGCAATAAGCAGCAGCTGTCGAAAATGCCTGCAGTTCAACTTTTGGTGAAAAACACAGACGCGATTCCTGTAAATGTTTATTTTTATATTTATTGATTGTCTTGCATCGAACCTAATACTTCTTCTGCTAGCCTGCCAAGGTGGTCAAACAACTAGAACGTCACCGTCAGTTCTTACATATTTATTTGGATGCATTATTTGATCGTGATCACCAATTGGGTTTCCAATTTCACGACCTTCAAGTCGAGCTATACGCAGAGTATGATTATCCCAAATTGTTGCCTTTTTTACGAGCCAGTCATTATATATCTTTGGAGAAGGTTAGCATTTCGCTCTAGATATGAAAGCAAAAGTCAGCTCTACAGAAGTTTGTGTGCCTGCAACAAATAGCTGACAATATTTTCTTTATTTTTTTTCCTTGGCGTGTAGGCTTTCAAGCTGTGTGAAAAGAAAGACTTGGTGCCTGAAATGGTGTTCATTCTGGGTCGGATGGGTAACAATAAGAAAGCTCTTATGCTGATTATAGAAAGATTAGGAGATGTACAAATGGTAAAAGACTGACGCGGTGTAGTACTTTTTTATTTTTCTTTTTCTTTTTGTTATTGTACGGTTAATGCATCCTGAACTAACATCATTTTTGTGTAACGGCCATTAGGCGATTGATTTTGCTAAAGAACAAAAGGACAATGAACTCTGGGAAGACTTGCTGACGTATTCTATGGATAAACCAAGTAAGAAGAGCAATTTCTTGCGTCTTTGTCAATTTATTCAATGCTCATTTTGCATGTACTATAGAGTTTATTTGTGGTTTGCTTGAGAATGTGGGTACCGAGATCGATCCACTTCGACTTATCCAACGTATTCCGGACGACTTGGAAATACCAGGCTTAAAAGAGGCCTTGATCAAAATATTGCAAGACTACAATTTACAAATGTCCCTACACGCGGGTTGTGAAAAGATATTAGTAAGGGATAGTGTATTTTTAGCGGACAAGATGTATAAGGCTCAGAAAAGAGGCGTTCACTGTCATCGTAAGTTTATACAAATTTGCTGTTGTTGGCTTATTGTTATTATTACTATTGGGTTTACTCAACCTCAGAATCAACGTTACTTTATCTAGCCAACGAGATGACGTGTAATATATGCGACGAACCTGTCTTCATTGAAGAAGATTTGGGCGAACTTTTGGAAAATCCCACTATACCCAACGCTATCGTCTTTTTCTGTCGCCATGCTTATCATCAGCAATGTCTGTTATCACAGCAACAACAGCCTGCCTCATCAGAAGACTTATTATCAGAGCCCATGTTGAATCACTACCAAGATAAAAAGAGTAGCTTGACAAGCAAAGTCAATCAATCAACGCTATTGAAATCAAGCTACAATATGGGATGCCCACTATGTCGCGAGCAAGCAGCAGGCGGGAATGCGTTTGTCAATCGTATGAAAACGCAAAAAAGAGCGGTGAAGCCTTCTTCACCAAGAAGTCCGTCTCTACATTCGCCTAACAGAGCAGGAAGCATTCGTACTATAGTTCATTAACTGCATTGAATAAAATTAGAAAAGGAAAAAAAAAAAAAAAAAAAAAACAACCTCGAACTCGAACCAAAATTGCAACTAAATATTGTGTAATTTCTACTTTTCGTCAAATTTTATTGAGACACATTATATTAAAGAGAGGAAAAACATACGTAGAGCAATATTGTAAAAGCCTCCCTCTGCATATAAGCATATAAGAAAAACGAAGCGAAATAGCTTATTTGAGCTTCTTCTTGGGACGGAGTTGGTTGGTATGACCACACTTTCTCTTACGGCAGTTGGTGGCACGGGGAGGAAGACGAGCATAACACTTACGACAGATCATCTTGTCGCAGTTGTACTTGGAAGCCAAAGCCTTAAGAGAGGGTTCAATGATACCACCACGGAGACGGAGGACCAAGTGAAGGGTGGATTCCTTTTGGATGTTGTAATCACTCAAGGAACGACCGTCTTCCAATTGCTTACCAGCGAAGATAAGACGTTGTTGATCAGGAGGGATACCTATGAAACGACGATGTGCGCGTATTTTAGCATACCTCTTACTCTCTCTCTTCAAGAACATTTCATATCTCATTGCTTGATACTTTACCTTCCTTATCTTGAATCTTTTGCTTGACATTATCAATGGTGTCGGAGCTATTGAGATAAATAACATGTATCAGCAATCGAGGTTTTGTTCACATTTTCGCCAGAATACAGAAGCATAAGAAATACAATCGGATCGATGAGCTCCAACGACATTGCGAAATTAGGAGAATTAAAGCAATCAAAAGCAAAAAATACAAGTGGACTATGGTAAACACCAAGCCGTTTGATTACTCCTGTTTCCTTCTATAACGTTCTTCGCTAAAACTCATTCTGCCGAAGTGTAATTCCTACGCATCCTTTTTGTCCTTCCCCCTCTGTTTATATATCGCAACTGTATATTCCAAACGTGATGAATGTTAAAAGAAATGTACCTCTCGACTTCCAAAGTGATAGTCTTGCCAGTAAGAGTCTTAACGAAAATCTGCATAGTAAGCGATTTCTATAATGCCAAAAACAAATGGGTAATTTTGGTTAGGAGACCTTGCTGGCATTAACTTTTTATCCTTTCCATAATATAATCGTCATCAATGAAGTTTGGCGTTATTTCTACAAGCCATCTGTAATATATTGACTGTTTTACACTGTGTAATGTTTTCGGATGGATGTATACTAATTGATGATAATTATTGATTGATGGATTGATGACATAGATTACTCTACCTTTACAGACAGTAATGAACAGAGAAGGAACTTCTATCCTTTGTTCACTTTTCCGTTACCTAAATCCGCCTTCTCTTGCTTTTGCCCCCCACTCTTTTTTTTTTTTTCATCGCCCTACTGCTCGTTCCAAATTCTAGGGAACACCCAACCTGGAATCCGGTTCGGACTTTTCCTTTAGGTTATATAAAGTATTACCGGACTTCATTTTGTATGGTTTCCTTGCTCGGATTTTGAATCCGCCATATCAAATCGCCATGGAACGGTTTTTTTTTTAAGGGGCCGTTTCACAGATCAGAGACTTTAAGAACACATGATAAGCAAATTAATTATATAGACTTCTCTTTAATTCTTTTAGAAATGCAGAAAATGTGGTTAGTCTAACTTGAATTAAGCATGTCAAGTGCGGGTTAATTAAGAAGAAAAGAGAGACAATTAACAACATTTTTTTTTTTTTTTTTTTTAGTTGGCTCTATTCATAACTAAGTTAAGAGTAATGATAGTCGCGATAGTAAAATACAATGGGTAGCTCAAAGAAAGGTTAGACGAGTAGGAAAGGAATACCTATATAAAAGAAGCATTCTCTTTTGGCTTTTTTCCTTTCATTCATTTCTTTCATTCTTTCAGCTTTCTTTATTCATCTCTTAATCTACGGGTTACAAAGGCGAACAGATGAAAGACTTCAGCGTGCTATTACTGCTATTAGCGACATCCTTATCATGTACATTTGCTGCGACTAATAAAGTCGTTGTAGGCTATTTTCCAAACTGTAAGTAGTGTAATTATATCTTGCTCAGCTCTTGCCCTCGTTGATATCCAACATGGTTAATTGTACTGCTGGCATGATCGTATACTCTTTACTTATGTCACTTCCTTTTCATTCATGACTTACATTAGGGCTTTACGACCGTTATCCCGTGTCTAAAATAGACTTTAAATCATATACTCACATTCATTACGCTTTTGCTATTATGGTTAATGGATCTGTTCCTTCTTTCCCTGATCCCAAATTCAGCAGTACTCAGCTTAAAGAGCTCGTTAACACTGCTCACCAAGCCAACTGCAAGGTTCTCATTTCTGTCGGCGGCTGGTCCGGTAGTATTTCTTTCAGTAAAATGGCTGCTTCCAAATCCAGCCGCAAACAGTTCATTGACTGGAATCTTCAGCAGATTGAAACATACGGTACGGACGGTGTCGATATTGATTGGGAATATCCTGGACGTCAAGGCGCTGGTTGTAATCAGGTGGATGCTGCCAAAGATGTGCAGAACTTCTTGTCCCTCCTGAAAGAATTGCGCAAAGCAACGGATAAAAAATTCGGTAAAGGCAAAAAGGAAATTTCAATGGCTGGATATGTGAAAGCCTTTGAAACCGACAAGGGTCCATCTTCTTCAGCGCTGGTCAAGTCCATTGGTGAACAGTTAGATCGTGTCAACATCATGACTTACGACATCAACGGTGCGTGGAATCCAAAGACCGGCCCCAACTCTCCTCTCTATGCTTCCACTACAGAATCTGGCAGCAATGGCTTAAGCTTTCAATCTGCTATTGATTACTGGGTACAAAACGGTGTACCTTCTTCTAAACTGACAGGCGGTCTTGCATTTTATGGTCGTTCTACTACAGCTAAAGTGGATATGAGAAAGTCGCGTTTATTGTATCAGGATCAAGTCAGTGGCACGGTTCCCCAAGGTGATTCCTTTGACGCTGTTTGGCAAGACCCTTATTGTGCACAAGAACCTGCTGGCTATTCTGGTATATGGCGTTTTGGTAGCTTGATTTCTCAAGGCGTGCTGAGCACACCCATGAAGGCCAAAGCTCCCTGGATCAGAACGTGGGACAATGCAACGATGACCCCTTGGGTATTCAACCCGCAAACAAAAGCCTTTATCTCTTATGACGACCCTCAATCTATCAAAGCCAAAGTGGACTATGCCAAAAAGAAAGGTATCGCAGGCGTTATGATATGGTCTATAGATCAAGATTCAGATAAAGGTGATTTATTGAAGGCGGTGAAGGGCAGCTAAGCCTTGTTTGTGTTATGTAGAATGCGCGAATGTATTTCTTATGTAATTAGCAAATTTGTAAAATTATACCTTCGATGTGATGTTCTCTTTATCCGGGGAATTTCCAAAATATATAAAGAATATGAATTAAATTAACTCAAAAACAGTTTTCAATGACGCAAAATTTTTTATGTACGTTTCACAGAATGCGGCATGAATGCTTGTAAATGTCAAATTCAAACATTATCACATGTTTCTTTATTTCGAAACTTTCAATGGTTTTTGCTTCAGAGTGCCTAACCTTATTTTTGACGGTAGACCGGAAGTGTTTAATTAAGTTCCATTATGCTCAAGTATTGACTACTCTACACGTATTTTTTAATGATAGTTCTTCTTGCATCCTTAGCAAATCACGTTCAGCAACACTTTTTTTTTTGGATTTACAGATGAGTTTTGAAAAAATTTCATGACCAAAGAGTATCATTATTGTAAGTCTAAGAATAGTTTTCAAACATGTAAACTTCAAAAGAATAAACAAACACTCGTCCTTGGCCTACGGAAAACTCTGTGGGAACAATAAACGCTTGTCTTTCAGGCAACTGACGCTCATCGAAATCATTAGCTCTACTCCGGAACACCGTTGAAAAAGATGAAGAGAGGAACCAAAAAAAAGGCTACTATAAAGTGCTCGTGCCCATTGATTTTACAGGTTTAGGTTCCATCTGTAATGATTCAGATAGCTTGATGCAGAAGACTAGATCGTTGATAATACTGTATTACAAATATCTGATTGTGAAAGATAAAGATTGTATCTTTTCATTTACTTTGATGGATTTATTATCTATATTGGTGAAGGATATATGATTGTTTGTAAACTAATAACTCATTTGGCACAAAGCTTACCACTAGTTCAGATCCCCTGGTTCGGAACGCATCTAATCACAACATGATGGCTGATACTGGTATCCTTCGGACAGCATGCTATAATTTTCTACCTTTTCTCCTTTCTAGTAAGAGAATGGATCAATCCTTTCAGCAGTAAGTGATTGCTTGTTTACGCGAGAGCAGGATTATTTTTAATGTGCTATCCTGGCTAACCCAGAGTGATCATGCAGCTCCATCTCTGATTCCGATCAGGCTTTATTCTGAAATATTGAGCAGTCCCAAAGTCTATGGTGTTTTGGTGGTTGGATCAATATATCCTGCAAATACATTTGCTATACGTTTGATCAGAAAAGCAGTTGCATGCAAAAGACTATATCACTTACCAAGATTAGATAAAATACCACGATGTGAAATATTGTGGCCTAGATAGTTAACACAGTCATCCTTGTATCACTTGCAACTTGGAAACTTTAGCTTGAAGTCAATCTCAAGACATCTCTCTAACACCGATTGAACAAGTTGATTAGACATAATGTACATACTGAGTAATAATTGACAATATGAATAATATCGAGACGCGATAAACGCGCCTTTTTTACATAGATTAGAAGTACTATAGCATGACTATTCCATATCCACGTACATATTATCCTCTGAGGGAAATGTCACATGAGAGTTGCACGTGGCTACCATCTGAGATTAATAGTAAAATGATGTACAACTGTACATTAAATTGTAAACTCACGCACAGATAGTGGTGGCAACAGCAAATATAGCAAATATTAGTTTGGGTATAACTAGCACCAATGCCATTGGCTATAAAAAGAAGTATGAACGCGACTATTCAACGTAAATAAAGTTACGGGAAAACGGATATTGTTGACGCTGATTTTCAGCGAATGCTTTAAAATCAGCTAAATGTTTCTGCTTTAATTCAGCTACAACTTAACAACTGAATTGTTTTTAACTGTTAATTGGGGAAACTGAAAACGCTGAATTGAAAGATCAGGAACAGTTGATTCGACCTCCGAAGACAGTGAATTGAAAATCTGTGAAACGGTGAGTTTGGCTGGTAAGAAGTTATTGTTTTATTTGAGTCCATCTTCTTTTCCCTAACTTTTTTTTTTTTTTTTTTTTTTTTTATTATACTTCACTAATTTATATGTTCTCTAATACAAATACAAGCTGTATCGAACCACCAAGGCCTATCCATTCAAAGAGCAGCAATAAAAATGCTCATAAGGACACTACTGCCTTACTGAGTAGCAGCAGTAATATCAGTAATCTGTCAGTCAATCTCGATAGTATGACTGTGACCAATAACAATCAGAACCACAACGAAAAAGAGAATTACCACAATGCTTATTTAGAGACAAACTCATCGTTAGAATTCACAAATACACAGTTATCAAGCACGATAAGAATAACAGCTGGTAATTGTTAATTCATTTCTGTTATTATATTATTGTTATTATTATTATTATTATTGTTGTTGTTGTTGCTTTATACCAATTATCAATTTTGTCTCCACCCCCTCTTTTTTTTATCTCATATCTTTTTGGCTTGGTTGTGCTTACTCTTTTCGATATCTTTGCCCTGCTTTTTTTTTTTGGGTAACTGTTTTGTAGACTCATCACAACGCTCAGCGCACTATAACAATCATAATAATGAAATGAATGATAAGCTCACCATAGTCAACAGTGAGAACAGCGGTCAAGAGCAGCATGCAACAGTGGTCATCCCCATAAACGAAAGAGTGCCTACAAAATCTATTCGCATCGAAAGAGATTACACATTAGGTGATGGCATCACCCGCTTCCATACAACTTATCCTACAGAACTCAACGGCAAGGTAATATTGTAAGGATGTAGATGTCGCTGACCAATGGTCGTTATGCTGAATCTTCTTGAAAATAGATTACGACTGAACAATTCAATCACACCATTACCGAGATTAATAAAATCATGGACCATGCGGATAGACTCAGTTGGAAAATTGTGTTGGAGAATATTGTAGAGATACTATCCATCTATATCTGGCCAATTTTCTTTTCAACACATTATCAAAGGGTAACGTTCGTAAAAGATATACAAAGATATTGTTGTATACGGAAGAAAACTCATTTTTGTTATTCATAGTAGACAGTGAAACGGTTGCTGGAATTTATAGAAAACGAAAACATAAATACTTATTATCCTCAATCCTCATCAATATCCAATCCTGTTAAATCTGCTTTTCTATTTGTAAGTCATCTTTCAACTGTGGATATGGATTTTGTGGTGCTCATAGCATTTTGTTTTGTCTAGATTGAAATCAATTTTTACGACTAATCAATGCAAGACATTCATTCTAATCGACACTGCTACTAATTATTTACTATTAATTCACTACTACTTTAAATAATTGATTTCCTGCTCCTTCCCTTCAGATACCCTTTTATACTCTTCTGTTCTATGATTCTGTTATTGTTCCCACGGGCACGTGATACAATCTTTTCTCTATGATGACATTTATAAATCTTCCGCCTTTTTTGCTAGTCATGGTATTTAACCTTCCCTTTCTTTCGTTCACTTGTTCTGTCAACTATGTCAATGTTCACTATTATATCCAAAAGAGTACCCGCTTTGAGAACCATCAAGGTATGGGTCGCAGTCTGAAAAATGGCCAGTTTAGTGATTAATGTAAAATCAACAAATTACGTAACATAGACTACCAATGCTCAGGTCAGGGGTATTTCTACCGAAATCAACAAAATTGACAATATCAAGAAGATTGGTGTTGTAGGCGCGGGTCAGATGGGCGTTGGTATTGCTTATGTAGCTGCTAACGTCACCAGATTACCTGTTGTTTTGATGGATATTCATCAACAACAAACGGATAGAGGACTGGCATTTGTGGGTAAAAAGACGAAAAAAAAAAAAAAACCACTTCCATTGGAAAGGGACCAAGAAGTTGTTCTATCCAATGGTCTTTCTTCCATTATTGAGCATAATTATCTAATAAAAAAAAACCACCAACCTTCCGTATTATGTAGACAAATTATTAGAAAAAGATGTAGCCAAACAGAAAATGACTACAGATCATGCTAAACTCACCAAAGAACTCATCTCTACAACCAACCATCTTTCCGGCCTCGCCGACGTGGACTTTGTTATTGAAGCCGCATCAGAAAACCTCGGTATCAAACAAGCCATTTTCCGCGACTTGGACAAGCTTATCAAGAATAAGGAAGACAGTATATTGGCGACAAACACGAGTTCCATTTCCATCACCAAGGTGGCTGCCGCTACCACACGTCCCAGTCACGTCATCGGTATGCATTTTATGAATCCTGTACCTGTCATGAAGTTGGTGGAAATCATTCCCGGTTTAGCAACGCAACCAGCCGTGACAGAAAAAACCAAGCTGCTCGCCACTGCTATGGGTAAGACGTGTACTGTGGTTCAAGATATCCCTGGATTTGTGGCCAACCGATTATTGATGCCTTATATCAATGAAGCGATGATGTTGTTGGAAAGCGTAAGTTAGCAAACTGAAGCCATCATGGTAGAAATAAGTAAAGAAAAGGAAAGGATGTACTCCTCTTATTCACATTTGTCCACATGATGTCTATAGCATGCTGCAAGTGCTGAAGATATTGATTTGACGATGAAATTGGGTACCAATATGCCTATGGGCCCTTTGACTTTGGCCGATTTTATTGGCTTGGATACGTGTTTAGCAATTATGAAAGTACTGTATGAGAATACGGGTGATTCAAAATACAGGCCTGCTGTACTGCTTCAAAAATATGTTGATGCTGGATGGATGGGAAAAAAGTCAGGTAGAGGCGTCTATACCTATTAGACAAGCAGACATCACTTGAATGATGGAAAAACTATCACAAGAGATGCGTTGATTGCCTTTCTTCTCTTTTGTATTATGATATAACATAATTGTACATTTTATTTTAAAATAAAAAAAAAGAGTTTTTGATGCTTTGCACTAGATAACAAATAAAGATTCTGATCTGTTGCCATTGCAATGTAATTTTTCAAAGAGCATTGTATGTGTATCTGTACGAATTTGTGCAACCATAGAGCTATCCAACCGACAGCTGGGCGTTCATAGATTCTAACAAAAGTTTGTCAAATTGTGTTGGTACTGATTTTTAGATTGTGATCTAGATCGTCTATAATGAAAGAATTTAAAAGTATTTTGCTGTTAAGAGCAGACAGAAGGTTGAAGCAAGACATCCGAAGCTTTTTTTCCCCTTAGTAACAAATTCGAGTTTTTTTTTTTGTCATTGGCACACAAAAAAAAAAAAGGGTATGGGTCAGTTTTTTGAACAAATCCGAATTGTAGGATATTGATGTGGTAATGTTTATCCTGCAGTTTACTGCTCACATGTTGGAGTAATGGTACCACGCAGGTGATAAAGAGCATCAAATGTTAGAATAGAGATCCAAACGGGCTTCTTTAAGGAAGCGTCATGTTGCATTTCAAGTTGCTACAAGTTAATATATATAACCTCTTTACACCTTGAATTAGGGTTAAAATGCTTTTTCTCAATGGGATAGATAGAATGAATATTTCGTTCCCCTTCAGGAGCATTCTGCGATATTATGGAAGGGATGGGTATTCAACGGTAAAATGCAGATCTAGGTACAAGAAACAGTAAATTATGTACCTGATAAGGAAATTTTCGTCGAAAAAATCCTGATTGGAGTCTTGAGGCATCTTTAAGTTGTTTATTCTGACAGAGATCAGTACACAGACAGCCAAAAAAAAAAAAAAAAAAAAAAAAGTGTAATGGTAACAAGCCGTTATTCAAAAGGTATATAAGTCATCTTTTTCTTTTGGAATTCTACTAGTTGGAGACTCTACATATACCCCTTTCTTTTACGCATACAGTGCTACTATCACTTCAAACGCAAAGCCATTAGACACAGCAGAACATCACCATGAATTCTATGGTTAATTATGAAGTAAAAACATTGAATTACAAACACCTTACTAATTCCCAAATCCCTCCCTTCAAACCACTATAAAAAAGGAAACAAATAAAAATACACAAGCACAGTTTCTAACCATTTATATCAATTTTTCGATCTATCCCTACATGCCTTTATTTCTTTGTTCCAATTTCGTCTTTGTCACTGTATAGTTTATCAACAGTGTCGATTATACCATTATTGCCGGTTTCGTAAGCAATTTTCTAGGTTATGCATCTATCGGCTGTTGGTTATGCGCACAACTACCGTAAGTACATTGCAGTTCAATCTATGAGCGGCATTTAATGGGTAGTGTGTAGTTTAGATTGGTATTGAACTTTTTTTAGGCAAATTCTGGAAAATAATCGGTTAAAGTCTGCAGATGGCCTCAGCTTATACTTGTTGTACTTTTGGCTAGCTGGTATGTGTATTTAATGTATTCCTGTTGTTGTTGTTGTTGATGGGTTCCATTGTAATTGTTTTTCTCATCCATGCGTGGATAAAATGTCATCTCTATTTGCCCTTTCTTCAGGCGATGTGGGGAATATGTACAGTTGTATCTTGAACCACCAACTACCATTTCAAATCTACGAGTCCATCTATTTTGTCTGCACAGACCTGACCCTGCTCTTTCAATATTTCTCTTTCCGTCACAATAAGCCTGGCCGCTTAGTGTCAGTGGAAGAGACAGTTGCTCATACCACCATGGCGGTGATAGCAGAAGACAACCAATCCAACAGCAACCGACCCAAATCAATGAATAATGACGAAACAGGAACCAGCTCTCGCCTATTTAATCGTGCGGAGCCATCATGGGAGAATGAAAATGATCAACGCCTCTTATATGGCGCTGCTCAAAACAATTATGGTGCACTCTCCAATCACACGGATGGAAGCAAGAAACCTACTACTACTACTACTACTACTACTACTACATCCACCGTCTTGATGAGTCTATTTATCGTTGGCTACAAATCGATATCTTCTTTTCCTAGTACAATAACAACAACAACAACAACAACGACAGCAGCTCCAGATGATCTCTCTCACACTATTGCAGTTACCAGTATGTTTATTGACAATGAAATGTTCACTTTTGGTTGGGTGCTCGCTTGGATCTGTAGTGGATTCTACATCCTCGCGCGAATCCCTCAAATCCACAAAAACCACAAACGCCACTCAACGGAAGGCCTGTCGATTGCTCTATTCACATTCTCTGTGTGCGGCAACTTGACCTACGCTGCTAGTATTTTAACGCATCCAGGCCATACGTATCAAAGCTTTATTGAATCATTACCTTATATTGTAGGGTGTTTTGGTAGTTTGATGTTGGACGTCATTATCTTTGGACAATTTGTATCTTATAAAAACGCGAATAAAGAAATAGCAAAAGTGTGAGATTTTATGGACAATAAGAGTTAAGACAATTGTCAGTTTGATGATCGTCAAGATGGACTATGTCCCTTTTTTTTTTTTTTTTTTAGTTTTTAAAGGATCGAGACACCTCATCCAATATATCCCAAACGCACTCTTCGGCCATATAATCGTCAAATCGATCACACATGGGTCGCCAAGCTTCTTTTTGATCGGTGGGTGGGTATCGAAAGCGAGGCCCAAAATTACACGTAACAGTACCGCCTTTATAGACGCTGACGGCTGGATAATAGCCCAATGTACCATCGTCTTCGACAGGCGGGTCATCTGTCCAGTACTTGTTCTCATAGCCAGCGTCTCTATCGTCTTTCTGTCCATGTACACCATGATGGCCATCATGGTAGGCATTTGTCTGTTGATCGTCTTTTTTGTGATACTTTCTTTTTTTCTTTGCTTTTTTCGCCAGGATGGTTTCTGGGAGACGGCCAAAGTCCTCAAAGTCAAACAAGTCAGTAAACATGACACCTTGGTTGACACCGTTTTTATAGACGGTGATGAAGGAGCCATGGAGCACCTTGGGTGCATAACCTATCTCTTCTTTTTTTCTATAAGGGTCAGCCAACGCCTCCATCTCTTTACTCGGCCGATAATCCTTTTCCTCAAACCATAGATGATCTTTATAAGCAATGGGGATACGTCTTCTTAAAGCGCTCTTGAACCGTTTCTGCGGCGGTTCGCTGCTCGTCTCTTTTTCTTCTGACACGCTGTTTTCGTACTGTTGTTGGCGAGACGGCAGAGAGATGTAGAGCCCGATCACATCGCCCGTCTCAAAACTTTCACCAAACTTTTCTGGCCTTGAGCAAAACAACCGATCCCCCGTTTTATCGCGATAGCCGTAACTATAGCCATCATACCCTACGGGAGCATTGAGACATGCTTCACGTCTTGCAAATCCGACTCGTACATGCGGCCCGTCTTTTTTATCGTCCTCTGTGCTGCTGCTCTCGCGAGGGCCGTCTGCTTTTTGAATGATTGCTTCCCAAAACCAATTTCCTTCTTTGACGCCGACATTCGCTCGACACATCCGAAAGCCCTTTTCTGTCGTCAAAGTCAGGCCATCTTTTGAAACGTAAACGTAAGGGCTTTTATCGGGTAAGCTGAGGACGCATGGATGTGGGTGAGCATGATATGCTTTGTAATCGGTTTGTTGGTAAGCAATCAGAGGGAGTATAGAAGGTTCACATGGGGTATATTTGAATCCAAACTTGTTGAAAGGATGATCTGTGTTACTGTTCGTCGTAATCAGGGTACTGGTTGTCGTAGGGTTCGTGTGGAGGTGGGTGGATGCTGAAGACGGCTCGGCTCTGCCGGCGGTAGAATGATCGCTGTTCGTCGTGTTGTTATTCTTCGCCGGCGCTTTCACAGGAGTGACGGCGGGAGGAAAAGGCGACGAAGATCGGGAGACGCCCAACGGAGACGATGGATGGGATGCAGTATGTGGAGACGCTATCGATCGTCTTTGCTTATGGCTGCTGTGCCGATCCTCCGTCACGCGTCCTGTATTCACATGGCTGGTGGTGTCAGTAGGGTGGGTGCTGTTGCTAGCGTTGGGAAGTTTGCCACTCATTTGACTTGTGTAAGGACGAATATGCCATAGATTAGAATCGATGAGTTGGAATCCAGAAGCTGCAGAACGTTGTCTCTCGTCGTCAGCAACAAAAGTGTCTTTATTGGAATACAGACAACTGCCTAATGTACCCCACCTGTAGCATACGTGACAGAACAAAACGAAATCGCCTTCCATCAGTGATCCTCTTTTCCCAACGGGGGGTGTTTAGCATTTTTTCTTTGAGAAAAAAAAAAAAAGTTGACTTACCAAGCTTTTGTTCTTGATCTTTCTGTGCATAAACTATGCCAATGTTCATCCACATAAGGCACGAGCTGCCTTTTGTAGAAAAAATATTGCTCAGGATGCCATTCTTTCATCAAGTGTGCATTTTTACTTTCAAACAACTCTTTATTGCTGTCATTCGTTGTATCTCCTCCACCGATGCAGCTTGTGATTTGCTCTATTGTAAGATTGGCGATAGTGGTTGAAATGATATCTTTCCAGCTGGCTGTGGTTCGCTCAAAGGTTTCTTTGCCATCATCAGCGCAGTTGGCGCAAGTAAATACATAATTCGTGATGAATAATAATTCGAGTTGGCTTTTAACAGTGGTGCATTCGGCATGAAACCAATCCTTGCATGCTATGAATAGACATGAAGCGTGTTAAAATTTTTTTGAAAGATAGATAAAGGTACGGATTTTTTTTAAGGGGTCGTGGGTGGTAGAATCAGGCCATGGTACTTTACAGCGGCATTGTAAGCAGACATCCAGTAGGTTACGGTCTTTGCCACAATAACAATATTTATGTTGAGAGTTTATTGTATGCGAATCGTTCCAAATCAGATCGCTCATGTGTAAAATGGACGAAACGATCTATTGGACGACAACTGAAAAATGCAGAGATGTGTGCAAGTGTTCCACCTGAGAGAAGGGTTGTCCCTTTCTGGGAAAGAACAAGGAATGTGATTGGCTGAAATTGGGAAATATATATAAAGATTTTCAAAATGTCATAGCGCCAATAGCATGAATTGATTTCACTTTTTCTTTCTTAGCTACTGTATACAGTCTTTTTTATCGAATGGCGAAAGCAAAGAGGGAAACCAATGGCAAAAAAAAGGCAACACCGTATACCCGAAACAGCCAGGCTGCTAAAAATCATAAAGTGAAAGGAACAGGAAACGTCCCATTGAACAAAAAGCCCATTACTAAATCAGAAAAGATCAGGAATGCTGATCTAACAGCGAATCTTGACGATCTAATGGGGGATTTGACAGCTGAGCTTACAACAAAGAAAAGCAAAAAACAACTCGTCAAAAAGAATTCAGACACAATGGAAGATGTGAGTAACTCTTTTATCTGCTTTGCTTTAAATAAGAGATGGGTTTTTTGATCTGATACATAAACGTATTGTCTTTTTTTTTTTTTTTTTTTTTTTTTCTCATTCTAGCTGTCCACGTTGGAAGAAGAGCAATTAAAATATGAAAAGACACAGAACGATCTAGACGCAGCTCTTGGCTTGTTGACCAAATTATAATGCTACTCATTTTGGGAAAAATAAGCTTAAAAAAAAAAGCCCTTGTACATAGTGATTCGAGTAGAGATAGAGAGAGGAGCGTCTCCTTGTTGACATGTGAAATGTATTCGTTAGAATGACATATAATCTTTTAATGATTTAAGTGTGATATGATATAGTAAATTTTTTTTTATAGATATAAAAAAAAAAGTGTATTGTGTGCATTGAAAACAACAGAAAAGAAATTATAAATCTGCAGGTCGTTTTTTGTTGTGCTGTTGTCTTTTCTTTTTTTAAAAATCTACTTTTTTAATAAGTAAAGAATATAAATGAAGAAATGATATATAAAAGAAAAGAAACGAAGCGCTTAGAAACACTTTCTGTGGACAATAGAAGGACCGGATTCGTCGTATTCTTGCTTTGAGATCCACATTTGTTGGAAGGTAGAGAGAGAGGCCAAAATAGAACCACCAATCCAGACAGAGTATTTTCTTTCGGGAGGAGCAACGATCTTGATCTTCATAGAAGAAGGAGCAAGAGCAGTGATTTCCTTTTGCATACGGTCAGCAATACCAGGATACATAGTAGTACCACCAGACTATTCAATAGATCATAGTGGTTGTAAGTAACATGATGTCTTAATATAGGACTTTTTTTTTTCCAATTTTCTTTTTCTATTTCTCGGCCAATCATATTTCCAAGACTAAAAAAAGAAACTTACCATGACAATGTTAGAGTACAAGTCCTTACGAATATCGACATCACATTTCATGATAGAGTTATAGGTGGTTTCATGGATACCAGAAGATTCAAGACCCAAGAGAGAAGGTTGGAAGAGAGCTTCAGGAGCACGGAAACTGTGTAGAGAAGGAAAAAAGAAAAAAAAAAAAAAGGGATACAGGTTAGTATTTTTCTTAGAAACAATGAAAAAAAGAAAAACTAAAAAAAGAACATAAGAATAAGAATAAAAAAAGAGCTTTACCGTTCATTACCAATGGTAATAACTTGACCGTCAGGAAGTTCATAAGACTTTTCGAGAGCGGAGGATTGGGCAGCAGTTTGCATTTCTTGTTCAAAGTCAAGAGCAACATAACAGAGCTTTTCCTTAATGTCTCTGACGATTTCACGTTCAGCAGTGGTAGTGAAAGCGTGACCACGTTCAGCGAGGATACGCATCAAGTAGTCAGTCAAGTCACGACCAGCCATATCCAAACGCAAGATAGCGTGAGGAAGAGCATAACCTTCGTAGATAGGAACAGTGTGGGTAACACCATCACCAGAGTCAAGAACGATACCAGTGGTACGACCGGAAGCGTATAAAGAAAGAACAGCTTGAATAGCAACATAGAAAGCAGGGGCATTGAAAGTTTCAAACATAATTTGAGTCATCTTTTCACGGTTGGACTTGGGGTTCAAAGGGGCTTCAGTTAAGAGAACAGGGTGTTCCTCGGGAGCAACACGGAGTTCGTTATAGAAGGTGTGATGCCAGATCTTTTCCATATCATCCCAGTTGGTGACAATACCGTGTTCGATAGGGTAACGAAGAGTCAAGATACCTCTCTTGGATTGAGCTTCATCACCGACATAAGAGTCCTTTTGACCCATACCGACCATGACACCTTGGTGACGAGGACGACCAACGATAGAAGGGAAGACCTATATGAGGTGGGGGAGGCGGGGGAGGGAATAAATAATCAGTTAACTGAACTTTTGCGTTGAAACCTTCATTCCAACCATCCGATGGTGTGAGGCAAGATGAGATGGGAGCTTTCTCATCTCACAAAAATAACTATCCTCCCCTTTTTTCTTTTTCAGTGAATATTTAAAAAAGATAGGTTTCTACTTACAGCACGGGGAGCGTCATCACCAGCGAAACCGGCCTTACACATACCGGAACCATTATCAATAACAAGCTAAAGTGATGATAAAACACGATTAGATTTTCTTCTTTTTTTTTGCCCAGAAATAAACCAAAAAAAATAAATAAAATGCACGGGAAATAAGAGAGGGATTTCCAATAGGGAAAGGGAAAAAAAAAGCGTGTCTCGTTTTAAGCTTTTGACTGTTGCCCTTCATGGCCCTTTATTATTTGCTCGTGCACGAAATTGTGGTGCCTAGTTTTAAGCAATTTGACAAATTTCAAACTTACAGCAGCTACTTCGTCCTCCATCCTTAATAAATATTTATTATTATTATTATCGAAAGAAAAAGAAAAAAAGGAAAAAAGAAAAGAAGAAGGGAAAAAAAAGCTAAGGGAAATAGGTAAAGCGTAACCTCCCCAAAAAAAAACTCAGTGACGCAGTTGAGAGATTCTCATTTGTTTGATTGGCTTATTACGAACACATATCATTATTAGAAAGAAACTCAGCATCAACCTTTTTTTAGGTTTTTGTTGGCCCTTTTCAACAAAAAATTTCGCGTAAAAAACTGCTGCAGCACAGGGCAATTTTTGAAAGGCAGATTAGTTTTGGCTTTTCTTTGTTCTTTTTTCTATCTGTACATCATAAATTGGTCATAAGCCAAGAATTGATTGACAAAAAGCAAAAAAAAAAAGCCCTTTATTGTTAGAGAATTCTTTCTTTCTTTCTCCCTTTCTGTAAGTAGACAGCTACCACATGTAGAGCAGTAAATAATAGGAGTTGCGAGGATTCAAGGACAAACAAGAAGTACTCAATAAAACAGTGCTCAAAAACATTCACTGCTATTTATTACATGCTCAAACTTACATGTCCCTTAAAATCTTGATAACTTTTTTTGAAAACATCGAGAGTGTAAGCTTCACTCGCTTTTTATTCTCTCCTACAAATTGTTTAAAGGATCAGATAAGTTCTGGGCCTATTGTGGGGTTGTTGGTTCTGACAAAACTTCTGTGCTACAGCCAATGAACGAGACTACAATATAAATCGGTGAAAAATGAACATGCCCACTCTTCCAGCGATAGAGGATTGTACTCTTTAGTGTACCAGCTATAAATGTGTGTCTCCTCTTCTTCAGAAAGAAGGATGATCTTACTGCTTTTCATTTTTCTTTGTTGATTGCAGAAAAATTTCCAAGCTTAAAAGATTTGCCCTTGGTTACCGGGAATTGAAAAAACCAGTGCCCAGGCGATCCCTTGATTGTTATTGGATGCTTCTCAAAAAGAAAAAGAAAAAAAAAAAAAAAAAGGTTAATCAACGAATGCATGCAACGTTGAACCCATGCCCAATAGACTCCACTGTAGATTTTAGCAGAGCGAAAGCATTTGTTTTTTCAGGGAAAATAGACATCCATAGTGAGCTCAACGTGCATAGCAATAGGATGATTCATGCTACCGTCAGATCATACGCTTTTAGACAACAATGTCTGCATCCTGAGCTGTCGTTAAAGATCATAACTGCTAAAGTCGCGCATTCAGAGAGGAGAGGATCAAGATAGCTCACCCTCTGCCTAACCATAGAAAGATCTGTAGGACACTATTTGTCTCTGTGAGCCTAAATCATGTGCCTGAGTGGGCTAGATTGTAGAACAGGGGCAATGGCCCAAAGTCTGATTCGATACACATATGACACCATTGCTGCTTGGATGGTGATGTTGATCGTTGCGTTCGTTTTGACATCAGTAATGCGACTCATGGTAGCAATCGCTGTAATGAAGATGTATAACATGGCGGCTGTTTTGTTTAGAACAGTGCTCCATAAACACGTCGTTAGAGTAGGATCAGACGCGCTTACATCTTTGTCGCTAAACATCAAACGCAGAAGAGAAAATCATCGTAAAGTTAATATGGAGCATCTAAAGGCTGTCATCCATATTTTATTGTTTTATATTTTTTTTTTCTCTCTTCACCTGCAAAAAACAAAGCAAGAACCACTACAAAAAGCTTCATCTCATGTGTATAATTCATGCAGGTTGGTTTGACAAAATTTTGTGGAGTTCATTTGAATCCCAGCTTGATGGCATCAAGGGCATATGTGGTGTAGTACATGACCCTAACCACTTGGCAGCTATTATAAAATTCTTAGCATGGTGTATTCCATTCTTACTTGATACGTGACGTGTGCTAAACCGCTAAAGCACCATGCATCTATAGATCATGGATGAAGATGTGGGCATTCGAAAGTTTATTCTTGGTGACTGCTTGCTCTATAAAGAAAGCACCTTGAATATAGGATACTTTATTTTCCCTTGATCTTAGAAGCTTAGCAACAAGCTTACGCTCCTTTATCAGTTTCAACCACCTAAAGTCAATGGGAATAAGCTAGTTTTTATACTTGTTCTTTATGCAAATCATATTGAAACTCTGCTCTTTGTTGATCTTGGATCAAATAATCGATCGAGACATGAGTAGGTTATGGCAATTTGTTTTAAAAAAGTTTTTGACTTATCATGATGGCTAGCATGGATGCCTCACGGTTTCAAAAAGAATAGCTTTCAAATTGAAAAGCTACACTTGACAGGCAGTCACGACGTACCTGAAGAGACCCGCAAAATTAAAAAAAAAAAAAAAAAAAAAAATGGCAGGAATGAAAAAAAAAAAAAAAAAAAAAAAAAAAAAAAAAAACAAACCCATTCCTTTTTTTTTTTTTTCTATTATTTTTTTTTTTTTCTTTTTTTTTTTTTTTTTTTTTTCTTCCTTATTTTTTCTTTCCTGGCAATTTTTTTCAATTTTTTCTCGATTATCTTTACAAGTTACAGCATGGAACATAAAATGGACTATATAAACGATCAACTTCAAATTGTAAACAAATTCTCGTCGTTGATTTCATTAATCGATCACATTTACCCGCCTTTAATGTGTGCATTATGTGATACAGCGTTTTCTTCAGAAAAGGACCTTCTTCAACACCACAAGGAACGACATAGTAAAGAATCAAAATACCTGTGTATTCATCCACATTGCCAAAAACGATTCAAATCAAAAGGCGCCTTACGCTTTCATCTATCCAACGCACATATCGTGAATCAAACAAAGGGCCCATTACTTGATTCGCCGTTTATAAACTATACCCACAATAATTTGATATCATCAAATGCACCATCAGCGAACGATAAACTTAGCCAAATAAATACCACAGCATCATTTTTCATATCAAGCAGTAACGATTTCACAAAAAAAACTACCAACAGCAACATCGTCAAACCTACCATCGACAATATCCTAAGTACCAATGTTTCTCCCACCAGGACTAACAAATCCTCGCCAAAGGTCGAACCCAGTAGCACTCCCCTCAGTTATAGTCACCACGATGGTTCATTATCCTTCATTCAGTCGCCTTCCTTGTCGCCCGAAACAATCGGTATGAAATCACCAGCATCCACGACGGACAGCCATCCTCCTCCTCCACCTCCACCACCTCCTCCTATTGAAAAGCCAGTACCAACAGCAAGCAGCTTCATCCATAGGAAAAAAGAAAAGAAGCAGATCTTTTCTTCACCCGTGCTAGAAGACTTGACTCCTTCGCCGCCTCCATCACCTTTCTCGCTATATCATCACCAGCGTCATCGGAAACAAACATTATCACAGAAAGCGGAAAAGCTCTTAAATGGTGTGTATCCACCTTTACAATGCCCAAGTTGCCATCAAATGTTCAACAGAAAGACGAATGTCATAAAGCATCTAACAGAAGCTCATGTGGGTGAAGAGCCCTATCGATGTATTTATCCTAAATGCAATCACCCTAAAATGTATGCTACTCGTGAAGGACTAGTGTATCATATAGTTCGTGTCCATGATCAGAAAAAGTGAAAAAAAAAAGAAAAAAAAAATAGTTGTACATATATATATATATTATACTATAGAGGCCGTAATAAATGTTATCCAACATCAGCAGGGAACAATTTATTCAGGCTGTCCATTTTAAGCATCTTGTTTCTAAATGCGTTGATAAACATTTTGTCGAGCAATATTTCATTCCACATCGTAAGCACTTGTACGTACTTTGAAAACCGCACACTGAGCAGAATTTTCTAGCTGGGAACATGGAGGGCTCTACTTGACATGTCTGATAGCAATAGGTAGTGACAGGCTAAAGTAGCCATGTGTTAGTAAAGAAGGGTCTCTTCTATCCCCGAAGCAAAAGAGGGAGCTGTACTTTACACTTTCTTCCAACATTGTATTCAAGTTTGTTTTTGTCGAGTATATATTGCTACTTCTGCCTCTCGATTTACGTGGTAGACCTTGTTTTATTTCATGGAAAGAAAAAATGATGTGTTGACAATTTTTGTTTCGGAAACAGTAGAGTAGTGTCATTTACCTTCATCTTCTTGAGCTGCCAGCGCAATACTAATGAGACCTTCAACATCGTTCAACGATTGGTGATTGTCCTTTTCAAGAGACTCCAATTGTCGCTTTAAATGTTTCGCATGAACTTCAAGATTGGCGTGAACATGCTTGATTCGCTTTGACATGAGTCTGTGTGGGGAATGGCTGTCAAAATCAATTCAGCTTTTATTTTTCCAAGAGTTTTCTAAGAACGAGAAAAAGTACATTGAATGAACCCTCTAAAAAAATAAAAAGCAGATAAAAAAAGCATTCAGCGGGATGTGTAATTTATTTGTCTGCTGCATTTATTTGGTTGATTCAATGTCCTTTCACCTCCTTTTCTTTCCATTGTATTTTCTCGCAGCAGCCCGTTCTTGAACTCAATTACAACATCCACTTGAATCCGATCTGACTCGATCCAAAGACCAGCAAGAACGGTAGACCAGATCCCATGGCTTCGAACACTGCACAGGGAGATGTGGACGAATTTGACGACGATGATCTAGATCTCGAAGAATTATTGGAGGTAGTGCAAACAGTAGAACAACAACACGCAGCAACCACGACCACGGCAGAAGATCGAACTATCTCATTTGTATCTTCAGAGGACGACCCTACCCCGCCACCTCCTTTGCCACCCTCCACTGCTTGCCACCACAAATTCGACCCAGAAAATTTGAGGACATGGATTTATCCAGTCAATTACCCTCTTCGTGGTTACCAGCTGAATATTGTCAAAAAAGCCTTATTTCACAATACGCTCGTTGCTTTGCCTACCGGCTTGGGTAAAACATTTATCGCTGCCGTTGTTATGTACAATTACTATCGCTGGTTTCCCGAATCCATCATTATCTTTATGGCTCCTACACGTCCTTTGGTCGAACAGCAAATCGAAGCCTGTCATAAAATTTGCGGTTTGCAGGAAACAACTTTATTGATGGGTACCACCTCAGCGGCCAAACGAACACTTTTATGGAGGGATAATCGCGTATTTTTTGCAACGCCTCAAACAGTTGAAAAGGATATTGCTTCGAGACAGTTTCCCTTGGAGAAGGTCGCCTGCGTCGTGGTGGACGAAGCCCATCGGGCAACCGGCAATTTCGCTTATTCCGTCGTTATTCGTAAGCTAGCACAGAGGAACAAGCACTTCCGCGTGTTGGCATTGACAGCTACGCCTGGCTCCACTTTGGATGCAGTGCAGGACGTCATCACCAATCTTCAAATCACAAACATACAAATAAGAACGGAGGACTCGATGGATATTCGCGAGTTTTCGCACGGCAAGAACATTCAAAATATCACCGTTCGACTCGATTATACAGAAGGGTCCACGGGTCTCTTGCCTCGCATCATCAATGACTACAGAAACAAAGTGTTTCAGCCCCTGTTGGATGACCTTGCTCGCAAGCCTAGCGGTGTGCAGCCGGATATAGATCAAGTGACACCTTATGGATTGATGAGCAAACGGAATTACTTCATGGCTACGGCAAAGAATCTCAACGCCTCACTGAAATTTAGCATTTTTCAGTCTTTTCTTATGGCAGAGGCTGTCTGCCGTGCTTATGACAGACTTTGCCATCATGGTATCGGTTCGTTCGTCGACACGGTTCAAAATAAACTTGAAGAGTTCAAAAAAACGGAAGAGAGTGGGAAAAAGTTGAAAAAAGCCGAGATCGCTTTCAAGAACAATCATCATTTACAGAACATTTTGACCATGGCAAAACGAGCTATGGAGAACCCGGATTTTGCAGGTCACCCCAAAATTGATCGAATGGTATCGATCCTTATCCATCATTTCACCAGTTTGGCGCAAGGCGAAGCGTCGAAAGTGATGGTTTTCTCCACTTACCGAAGTTCAGTGACGGAAATTTGTAAAGTATTAGACAGGCACAGGCCTATTATTAGATGCTCCCCTTTTGTTGGTCAATCGATGGATAAAAAAGGTGCAAAAGGATTGAATCAGAGAGAGCAGCAAGAAGTGAGTAGAGCCATCTTGCTAGAATTAACATAGAAACAGGGAACCGGGATACGTTGACACTGACGCTATCTACTCGTCTGCTGCTTTAGGTCATTCAAAAGTTCAAAAAGGATGAAATCAATGTCATTGTGGCCACTAGTATTGGTGAAGAAGGCCTTGATATTGGTGAAGTAGATTTGATTATTTGCTATGATTCTGAAAGCTCACCTATTCGTATGGTAACCTTTTTTAAGAGAATAAACAAAAAAACAAAAAAAAAGAAAAAAAAAAAAAAACAAAACAATAACCTCCAAGTTTTGGCGATATTGTCTCTCATTCTAACTTTAAATGTTGTATATTCTAGTTGCAAAGAATGGGGCGGACAGGTCGCAAAAGACAAGGAAAGTGTATTCTTCTATTAACTCAATCCGAAGAGAAAAAGTATGCGCGTGCAAAAGAAGCATATGCCAAGATTCAGCAATTGATCGCTCGTGGTTGCAACTTGAACTATTACAAACCTAATCCGCCTGTGCTTCCTGCTAATTATAAGCCTACTATTTGTCGCAAAGTACTAACAGTCAGACCTTATGTTTCAAGTACATCCGTTAACAAACGGAAGCGTAATAATCAACAGACCAAATATACTGCAGAAGGCTATTTGCAACCGGCAGCTCAGAGGACCTTCATTGAGAGTTTCTCTGATAGTCAAGGCCAGCGCTTTACCAATATTGAAGAGATCAAAGATCGGTATTGGCCTGCGTACAACACAAAGAGAAGTTTGAGTAAATACTTACCTTTACAAGCGCAAGCGAAATCGACCTTCCGTGTGGATCATAGTCATCGTACCATTCGATTTACTGGCTTGATCAACCGTATCGAGCAGCGTATTTTAAACCCTGATAAGCGTATTCGTTTGAACGTGTCGTCTACTGGCAATGACGACCGACCAGGCGACAACATACTAGTACTTCCCTCTAAATCTAAACCGTCTATAAGCATTGTTACAAGGAAAAGTAGCAAGGCTACTGTAAAGACAGAGCAAAGAAGATTGCATGATTGGCAAAATGAAGCTGATATGGCCGAATTCATGGAACAGCAAAACATACGTCAAATTGTTGGCATCGACAATGAGAGCTCGTTTGAAAATTCGTTTTCTTTATCTTTGCCCTTCAATGAAATTGAACAACCTAGAAAGGAAAGCAAGATACTCCTCTCACCTGTGCGCAACATGCCAACGAAGGTAACGAAAGGAAAAGAAAAAGTAACAGAACTGTCTTCAGAAATAACTATCAATAATAAAGGCGGAAAGGATGGATTCGATCTTGATTTTGACAAAAATGATTTCCATAGCAGTGAATCATCGTGGGAGCCCATGCTACCTGATAGCTTATTTATGGACGATACTTTAACTGGGCCGCAGCTCAAAAAAAACCAAAGCGGGAATGATGCAAAAGAACCATCCCTCAGCCTATTCTTATCACCTGAACCACCACCTTTAGCTCCAACTACTGAACCCTTACCACCTGTTGGAAATTCCACAGAGGATGACGAGTTCGATGCGTTTGACGATGAATTTGATTTTCCTTTCGATGCTGAGCTTCTGAAGCAAGCTGAGGCTAATATTATACCCGGGTTCAATGATCCTCTTGACCCCTTATTCCCTTTTGAAAAGAGTCTCCAACAGCAAGATCAAAACCGTAAAGTTGTCAACGTCTGGGATGAAGAATTATGTTGTCTTAGTGAACGTGGAAAACGTGTTATGTATAAGAGACAGCAAGAGTTTAGGCTTATGTATGGTCACTATTTGTCTACCCCTTTATGGGACCCTGCTTCTTCGATATACGAGACTGTTCAAACGATAAATACAACGTATACTAACTCTGCTGGAAAAACACCCTATCTTGGCGGTGCTCTTACCATGGTTAAAGATAGCAATTCATCCACCAATTTAAACATACAAAGAAGTAATATTATACCCAACTCGCATCTGCGAAATAATCCTGAAGGATACCCTGATGTTTCTGATACCCTTAATACTCCAGCCTTAAAGAAAGTTGTAATGAATGAGCCAATAATAGGTCGCTCTGCTGTTCACCTTGATGGGAAAAGTGAGATGCAAAGTGAAGAAGAACCTGGTGAGGATTTTGCGTATGAATTTGACGAAAGCGTAATTGCAAACTTTCTGGAGAATAGATTTGATGAAGATGGTCAGCCCGTGGAATTTGCTTGCTTTCAGAATAACGGGCAATCTCAAAGTATGATCACCGAAAAGAAAGCATTATACTACTCAGACAATCTCATATCAGATCCCACCAAGCATACTCTGCGGAAAACAGATATAGGCAATTACAAACTACCCGAAACCAAGTCTCCTGGAGATGAGAAAAAAGATGATATCATATTTGAGTTTGACTTTGAGAAGGAGATGTTATCCGATGATGATAAAGAAGCAGTAAGCATAAAGGGAAACGATAGAAAAGAACCTTGCTACCATTCAAAGAAATATGGTGACGATGACGAACCACATGAGCCTGCCACCAAACGTCAGACAACATTAAATGGCTCTTCAACGAACCATGAAGTCAAGGAAATAGTAATATCTGATTCAGAGGGAGATGCTGCTTCGATTGATGCTGTCAGCGGTAGAATAGACCGAACAGCAAATCCTTTGCAAATTCAGCATTCGAAAAATGATATGGTTATTAATATTGATTCTAGCCCTCCACGATCTCTTCCTCTTGAGAAATTGCCTGAGATAATTGAAGATGAACAAAGCTCTCAAGACTCACTCATGCATGCAGGCTCAAGGACGATGGAGAATGAAAGAGATAGTTTTTTACTTCAGCCTTCAAAAGATCCTCCATGCTCGTCCTCGCCGAGGTCGGTATTAAGCGACCCTGAATCTTCACCCATCATAAGAGTACGGAAGAATAGAAAACGGCCGTTGATAGAAGCATTGGATGACAGTCAACAGATTCCTTTAGAAAAACAAGTCAAGGAAAGTGAATCACTTGAAGAGCTGTCTCAAAGTAGTTTGCAGGAGATACAGCAACGTTTAAAAAAGCGTCGTAAAAGATCTATCAGAGAATTTTTCAAACAGTTTGTAGATGATGAGGCCGAAAAGAGTAGTGATGGTGGTCATACAACGGATGCAGAAGGAGACGAAGGGTCTTCATTAATGAATTCTTTCATAAACGACGATAGCAGTATTCTAGATCAAGACAGTCGACTGACAATGGATGAAGAAGAGCTGACTACTGCTGGAAAAAAGAGGATCAATGTATACGCACAGAGCCTTCTGCAATCACCAGTTTCCAGAAATGGAAAGCATTGGATGAACAAATTTAATGCGGACAAGTGGTTGAATGTCAATCCTGACGAAGATTCCATCCTGGAAAGTGAAGAATACGAAGAACAGTTAGAAACCATACAGGACTTCTCTTCTAATAATCCACTGCCAAGCAAACAATATCAGGATTACTTCGAAGCAAATGATGATGATGACTTTATGTGATGAATATTACTCTGTCAACAGCCAAACCTTTATTATATACAGTATGTTTATTGTTCCATTAATTTATGAATGAAATAAGATTATTAATATACCGCCGAGAAATAAAGATATTGAAATTTGATAAACTGACGCTTGTGAGTTGGAAACGTTTTTTTTCTTATACATGAGTAAGCTTTTTGGTGTAGAGCTAATATAAAGCTGCTGTGAATCATTTGTATTTAAAGGATTCAATGTATCAGCCGCTGCATCAATCTGTTTTCCATTCATATCTGTGATGCTCAGTTCAATGAAATTTTCCTTCAAATTGCTACCAGTCGTGTCATATTGACAATCTGCACTACAAGGTAAGGCTGGTAGATTATAAAACGGGTCTGTTAAATTCGCTACAGAAATACCTGACACAGACGATATCCAATCCAGCATTGACGGCGCATTTGTGAAGGCTTCAACTACAGTATTTTGTGCAGCTGAAGAATGTGTGACGCTTTGATCTGAAGGAACAGGGCACGTTAGCTTATCGGGACTAATATCCCTTGCTCCTAATATTCGCGTGAGAGTGCCCATGACAAAGGGAACAGTAACAGTTCCATTTGTGTAGGGATTTTGAATTGATTGAGGTACAATAAGCGGGCCTCCAGAATCCCCATGACAGGCAACTACGGTTTCTGTGTCAGATCTAGCCTCAATATAGTTATAAGCGTCAAATCTTGTAACTTCTAGTGGAAGAAACTGTAGAGTTTTGGCTAGTTGTCCTTCTGAATCAACATAACCGAATCCTACCATCTCACCTAGAAATATAGGGAAGGAGTACGTTATTCATATCGCTTGGATCGGCTACTATTGATTAGGGGAAAAAATCTTCAAACCTCTTAAGGGTGTAGAAAGAGGTGCAGTAGGCGGCCAGAAAACTGCTCGTTTAACGTGTGCTGATTCTATCAAGGGTCGCTTAAGCCGTAATATAGCTGTATCATACTTAATGTTGATCATGCCGGATGCATTATAGTTTGGATGAATGGTCCAGTCCTCAATAGGTACTGTAACAAGTTTACTTCGTTCGACATCGTTGTATAAAACAAAAAACGGGCTTTCAAATTGCTGCATGGGCACATCCATACAATGAGCTGCTGTCAAGACCAAAGCAGGATCATAAGAAACAATAGCACCGCCGCAAACATGTGGACTACCTATTGTAATAAAGAATGGATATTTTGTCTTGTCTGTTACATCAATTCCAAATTGTATGCATTCAACAAAATATTGTATACAACATAGTAAGAAGGGTACGACGAAGGAAATTCTCATTTATAATATCAAGGGGAATGAGGAAGAGGAAACGAAGAACTTAAAAGGCATAGAAACTCATTAGCGATCTAAGAGGGTAGCATATTCAAGAAAATAGAAAGCATTCTTTAAATTGCTGTTTCCTATATCCTTCTGGGTATAACGTTTCAAAAATCCAGAGTTGCTCAACCAGAGGATGGCTTCAACTTTTTATCCCTGAAATATGTTCACATACCAGAAAGAAACTTTTTTTCCTTTTACCTCATTAAGAATTTTCGTCATAATCAGGAACTCCACATCCTAGCGTTATTGATTTTATCAGGCGATATCATTTACATACAAATACGTTAATGCCTTGATTTAAACAATTTTGATAAGACTACTATTGAGTCTGCAAACATTTACATTAACTGCAGTAAGTTTAGCCGGGCAGAAGAACTCCAGTAATAGCCAAAAAATATAATTCATAAAGTCCGTGAAACTCGTATCGTTGGATGCGAAAGAAGCCTTTTGAAACTTGATGCGAATATCAAAAAGAAGTATCTCAAATAAAGCAAAACGCGTGTAACAGTCAAGACAATCGCACCACCTTGTACATTGACCAGAAATATTGTAAATAATATCAAACTATTTTTAGTATGCAATAGAAACCGATCCAAAAATAGTTACAAGAGACGTCTGCTTCTGCCCACTTATTTACCGTTATTTAATTCTTATGTAGAATGTTTATTTAAAGGTAAGATGATGTCAAAAGCCCATCTTTAAACTCCTTAGATACTCGTAAATACCCGAACAATATTTAAATATAGAAAAGTTTTATTTAATACGAACATTCCTTTTCTGCAATGACTTTGAAAATTATCAATATCGACCGCCTGTTTGCTAGATGTGGCCAGGATAAGCCGTAGAAGTGGTAGATTGCACCGTTTGATAGGGCTGCTGATTGTTAGACTGCACGGGTGTTTGGTAGTTTACCTGCTGTTGATAATTGTCGCCTGTAACTATTGGAGCACTTGTGGGGTAAGCTGAGTATTCAGGCTGTTGAGGAGGTGAGATAGCTTGCTGCTGTGCGGAATTGGTATAATCGTAGCTTTGTTGTGCAGGTGGTATAGGGGAAGCAGTGGTGGCAGGGTAGGGCTGGGATGCATGATCAGCTTGATGCTGTGGCGTTTGCTGAAATGTTTGTTGCTGTTGTTGCATGTTATAATCATAGTAGGACGATTGATAGCCTTGCGACTGTTGTGGTTGTTGTGATTGAGTTGTTGGGTTGTTCGCGTAGAGACTAGCATCAGAGCTATAATAGGCCGTTGTCGGTTGTTGTTGATGCTGCAACGAAGTAGACTGGCTTTGCGTGGCAACAGGACTAGCACTTTGCTGATTTGGATATCCGTAAGAAGGTGCTTGCTGCTGTGGTTGAGCTGCAGATGAATATAGAGCTGTTGATGGATAAGTATAACCTCCATAAACTTGTTGAGCATCAGGATAGTAGGGCTGGCTATCAGCTGCATATCCATGTTTCATTGCAGTTGCTGATGAGTATTTTGCAACTGAACTGGAAAGCATTCCATCATATATGGTTCTAGCCTGCATGAATTTCTCATTTAGAGCAACAAGTTCGTCTGCGTGTGTAATTTGAAATAGGAGATGACTTAGATATAATCCTATAGATAGTAAGCTAGTTCAAATCATAAACTTACCTTTCTTCAAACTATACTTCTCAATCAGTTTTATTAGCTTAGGCCTAATAGCCAATGCGTTATGATACATAGATTGCAATTCATCGTTATCTGCTAAGGAGCTTCTCATATGTGGATCACTGCTAGAAAGCATTTCCAGCAGACGGTCAATATTTTTTGACTCGCTCATAACTTCATTTTCAATTGATGCGTCTTTCAATAAGTCAGCAGGAGAAGGGTCGACTATTTTCTCGACATAGTTGACAGGGAAAATACCTGTCTTGCCTCGTAGTTCGCCCTTCCACCAATCACGGTAAACACTTTCAAGCACTCGTATAATGTCACCTTTTTGAAAACCGAGTTCGCCTTGTTCGGTAGGTTGAAAATCATACAAAGCTCTTACACGTGAGATCTTTGGTGGAGCATCTTCGTTGTCAGCTTTAGACTAAGTTTCAAAAACATCCATAAGTTTAATTCAATACTCTACTTTTGCTAGTTGTTTAAAGTGCTTTACCTTTGTCGCCGAAATACTGTTCTGGTTCGTCGAAACGGAAGTTTCAGACTAAATGCGAATGCAGCTATTCATTAGCGAGAGTTTAAACTCATGATCAGCTTATGTATTAGCTTGCATGACTTACTCTATTCAACCTTTGATTTTCGGACTCTGACAGTGACAGAGCTAGAGCAAGCTGCAGCTCCTCTTCTTCTTTCTGTTTATCAAGTTCGGACTACAAATGCATTATATTAGTAAGAGTCAAACATTGCATAGTTTGAAGCAATCTTTTCTACCTGTGTGAATTCCTTCTTAGGTTTTTGAGGAGACGGGAATTGTATTCCTTCAGCACGCAAAGAATGATAGATTTCATTCATCAACCCCAAACTGGTATCTGCTCTGAATTCAAAAGAGCACATTTGGATGAACTCCAATACTTTTGTTCGCACTTTCTGATGGACCGTCTATCATTTGTTAAATTTATGTTAGAAACTGAACAATTTAACAAGGAATAAATCGTCTGATCTTTACTCTATCATGGACAAGCTTTGTTAAAGTATTTGTAAATGACCGTGATGATATTTCACGATGCACAGGAAGACTACAGTTCTTAACCAACGCTTCTGCTAACTGTTAAGTTAAATGAGGTATATTAGTGTTATCCTCTAGTAAATGTATAAGAAAGGCTACTTACAGCTACAGCATAGAGCTGAACATTAGGATTCTTGTTGCTTAAACGCTTTTCGATCGCAGCAATGCAGTCTCGAGCACTATTGTCTTGAGATTAGTGAATGGGTATTCAGAGTAAGAACTACGAGCAAGATATTACTTTTCGGGCGTAGCGCGAGTTAGTTTATCTGTCACTGCGAGTATAAGTTCCCAATTCTCCGCAGTAAGGTTTTCGTTGGTTGCAGCAGCTGAAATACACAAAAACATGGTTTCCTTTAGTAACTATTCGAATGACATAGTAAGGGAAAGAAAGTAGGTTTACACTTTACCAACTGACTCATCAAAAGGATTGCTTCTCGAGAACATTGTTCTATCGGTATAAGGGAGTAAAGTAATAATTGCAACGGAAAAAAAATCTGGGCGTTGAAGAGTGTCAGCTGTTTGAGGTTGAATATCCGCTTTTGGAAAGGGGATGAAAAAGAAAGGTACGGAAGTCTTGGTTTTTTTTCCTTTTGGAAAAAACCAATGCTACAGATCCTTGAACTCAATTTTGAGAAAGGAAGTTCTAATTGATCAATGAATACTTGATCAAACGCACTTGGTAGCCAACAGCTATGAAGGTCTTCTCTTTGACCGCTTGATATAAATGGTGAAAAAAAAATGCATTGTCTATATTCGAGACGTTTTATAAAGCACTCTTCTTAGTTTGGAATCAGCACTTGTTCAAGCAGCTACTGAACGATTTTTGTGCTGTTAATTTTTCTCACTTACTATCAGTGTTTTCTCGGTATGAGCTAATGGTAATTCATTAGAAATGGTATTATGCTCAGTTTCTTTATTACAAAAACGACAGCATAAGAGCTGAATTTAAACCGAGTATGAATTCTGCCTTTTCTCTCAGGCAAGGGTACACTCTTCACTATTCCCGTCATGTTGATCTTAAAGAGATGTCATTGCAATTATAATAGTCTTATAAACATACAATTGCAGAGAAGCAGCTACCGTTTCTTGCATGCTTCTGCTCAAATTTCTAATAAACTTTTGCTCGATGATGTTCATACAGCAGAGTATTTTTTCGAAAATGGTAGCTTTGCTATTTTATGGCCAAACCATTCGTATTACGATCTAAACAAACACTTCATTTAGGTCTAAGAAAAGTGAAACCATACTATTTCCAATTTCATTGTTATGCAAGAGCCAGAATGGTTGGGAAGACTATTTTGAAAATGTTCATAGACGAATTCCGTGGTAGAACGAGCAATTATTATGTAATATCAGTATTGAGAACACCTTCTTTTTCTTAGGAGTTTTTTGTATAACTTAAAACTCACTAGCTGTTCTCTATAAACAATCTGTAGGCCAGAGCGATTGAGAACGGTTTGATTACAGTAAACGGCGAAAGTGTGCGGCCAGACAGGGTCATAAAGCAGGGTGATATAATAAAACATTCAGTTCACCGTCATGAACCACCTGTCCCTGATATACCAGTTGAGATCGTTTTCGAGGATGAAAATCTCATAGTTATTGACAAGCCAGGGTGTTTACATGTAAATTGAATAGTGCTTATTTGTAAAAGAACATTTTTAAATTGTTTTTTTTTTTTTTTTTCTATAGGTACATCCTGCTGGTAGATACAGGCATAACACGGTGACGCATATTCTATGCAATGAAAGAAACATTGAGAAGCTTTACCGTATGTCCTTAACGACACTTCTCTTTGTGGTAATATAACTCATCTATAACAACCTTTTAAGCATCGAATAGAATAGATAAGATCACTTCGGGACTATTGATTATGAGTAAGACGCCTCATGCAGCTACAAAACTGGGGTCGTTGATGAAATCGCGCGAAATAGAAAAGGAGTACATCTGTCGAGTAACTGGTCAGTTTCCTGGGTAAATAGTTTACAATGGATGTTCAGCTCAATATTTACAAGATTAACATACTTTTTCAGAAAACAAATTTTTTGCGAAGCTCCTATAAAGATGCTGTCCAATTTAGTTGCTTACAACTATGTTCATCCTGAAGGAAAACCTTGTGCTACAATATTCGATTGCCTCAGCTATAATAAGGAAGATAATACCAGCCTTGTCCGATGTAGGCCTCTAAGCGGGCGCACGCATCAAATCCGCGTACATTTGCGATACATGGGTTACCCAATTGCTAATGACCCAATCTACAGTTATTCATCAATATGGTCGAAACAATTAGAGTTACTTGATCACAAAAGTGTGATAGAAGCCATAATGCAAAATCAGCCTTACGATTACATGGATGATGATCCATTAAATTACAGTGGTCTACCACGCTGTGCAGAATGTAACATCCCTTTACCAAATGACAATTTTCTATCTAACTATTCGCCATTGTGGTTACATGCTTACAAATACTCAAGCAGAGATTGGTGCTTCGAAACACGCAAGCTACCCTTTTGGGCCGAAGATTCGTTTAAGGCAGACATTACATTGGCTGCCTTATAGTTTACGGTTTTCCTTTGCTTAGTAATAAACCAAAGACAGTCTGTTCAATTACGCAATGTCAGTTTAAGCTAGATAGCCTCCACAGTCAAAATAACGCGCCAAAATGTCCCACTTGTCTCTCGAAACGCCAATTAAGGTTGTGATTACAGATAATGCTGTTTTATGCTGCTGCTGACTATTTTTTTAATTTCGAGACCAGCTAAGCCATTTTTATCTTGTAACATTGAAATTGACAAGTCGCTTTTTACTGAAATTTGCTTTAATTGTATTTTGCCTGCATTATAACCCTTAATGGACTTCTTAAACCCAGTTATAAATAATCAAGATACTATTGAACCCGCTGTGGAATGGGTTAGGTATGAAGACGTAGATCCAGAAGATATTGACGATGAATATGGTGATATGGTCATTGAACAAAAACTGTTAGTCAATAACGAAGTATGGAAATGAAAAAATTGAAGCGTACAACAAAGCCCATGTTTCTCACATTCAGATCAATTATACAATAGGATGCTTTAGTTCGTATTAAAGATGATCTCAAAATGAGAGATCTTGAGTGGATAGACATGCTGACGGTCACTTCTGCAGAACCGATTAAGGTAGCCGATGCATTCGACGATTTATCTCGTGAAGATGCTTTCTACAAACAGGCTTTAGAAGCCGCATATGTCGGTAGAAGTTTAGCATTACAAGCAGAAACGTCCTTTTTAAAACCTGACGATTTTATTGCGCCCATGCTGAAAAATGACGAACAAATGGAAGCAGTTCGTCAGCGATTGGTAGCGGAAGCGAAGGATGGAAATGAAGAAGCGCTGCGACGTTTGCATCAGTTTAATAAGGAACAAAAGAAAGCACAGGCTAATGAACGAGCAAAGATTTTGAAGCGAAGTAAGGAGTAATGTTATTCACTATATCCTCTTCGATACCTGACTGTTCGATCTATTTTTTTTATTCCCCACAGAGAAAAAAGAAGGTTCAGAAGTAAAATTAGATGATGACTTCACGCTAGATCTTGAGGAAGCTGAAAGAATAGCAGCAGAAGGCTTACCGAAAGGTGAAAGACCCTTCAAACTCTACGATCGCGAATCAAGGGTATGCAAAAGTAGATGCTCATCATTTCTTACTACGAGTTATTGACGATTACTTTCATTTATAACAGGCGGAGAAATATGCTTTAGGCAAAAGGAAAAATGCAGCATCTGCCTTAAATCCTGCAAGAAAAGGAATGTCAATTAACAAAAAGAGCAGCCTCAAGAAAAATAGACCAGGAAAATCAAAACGTCAAAAATTAAGGAAATAAAGCAATTTGATACCACCTTTGTCAAAAGTGGTTTACGTTCGATTCCTTTTTAGGAATTTTTGTGCTGTTTGTGGTTGAACATCTGCTTTCAATATATTGATATTATCTGGCTCTATTACTATTGAAATATTTGAAGGAGCGATTGGTTACATTATATATTGCATTGTATAATATGAAGCCATCATTACTCTTTATTTTCATCATATAACCATAGATTATAAATGAAAACTGTATTATAAAGATAACTTGTTCGATTCTTAAGTGATGGCTGCTTTTACATAAAATCATCCTTAATTCATGTTCTTCTCTTTTTTTTTCAAATTACTAGTGTGCGTTTGGACGATGCCTAAATATACAATTGGACACAACGCTTATCAAACGGAAACGAAACTTTGAGCGATACTTATACTTTGAAATAAAAAAAGGTTTCCATTTAAGATGTTATCTCTCCATAAGTCAGTTATTGTGAGCAAGTCACAATAAATCACGTGATTTTGTGCTACCTCATAATCTCAAAGAGTACTAAAAAAAAGTCACAAAGTTGTCGCTTTGGCGGAGTGGTTAACGCGGCGGCCTGCTAAGCCGTTTCCTTCACGGAGCGCAGGTTCGAATCCTGCAGGCGACGTTTTGTTTTTTTTCAGCATTTTTATGCGGATAAAAGATCTACCGTATCTTCTTACAACTAACAAGAGCACTCTTAGAATAAACGTAAAGTTTTAGAGGGAAGATAAAAAGATGATTCTTTATCGATCCAGAGAGTTACGTTATATTATATGACCATTGGTTGTTATATTCAATCACCGTTATAGCACGATATGTATGTACCAATTCTAACACTATAAAATGTTGGCATGATCATTTTGAATTAACAATTGTCCTTTATCTTCTTGTTAAAACTTTGTAGGTACTATGAACCTTGTCTTCGTTTATCATGCACGGCCTGTAGTAATGTTATCGTAGCTTATCAATTAAACTTGAAATATAAAACATTAGGATGTATATAATTCCATGTCTAATTCTTTTAATAAAGTGTATTCTTCTTCCTCCCCGAGATAACCCTATATAGATATACGTGTATCGCTCCTGAATCACACCATTCCGTCGCATAACTTTAGTATAATAGTGGTCTATAACCAAAATCGATTATTTCTACACTGAAGTTCAGTGAAGCGAGTGCTATAACAAACAGAATATCAGTGTCTAAGGAAAGCAGCTTGCCCCCCTGAATTTTAGTTCTTAAAGAACGTATTAACAATACGAGTCTGTATAGGCAGTACAAAGTAAAAAGTCAGTCATTGTTGAAGAACTATTACAATTCTTTTGGTCATAAGGACGCGTTGATTTATAAGATGTGATGAGATCCGTATTACTAATTTATACGAGGTATGGAAGTATTTTATCCTCCATTTTGTTCGTAATGATAGTCGAACAGCAATTCAAGATCAGTCTAAAATATGAAGGTCAAAAGCATTTAGAAGTTATTAGAAAAGAGGGTCAGTACTGTGGTACTTTCATGGGACCAATAACGCCTGAATACGTGTGAAGGTTTTTTAAGGTTCCCTCCACCTTATCTGTTTTGAAGTTTAATAGTAATTATAAGGTTCTTATTGAAATAAATGGGCAGCTTCTCCAATAGAACACACATAAGTGTGAATCAGCTTGTTATTTATTGCACTTCCTAAAGTAGGCATCGACGCTTATATAGAGAATAATGGATCGGATCTAGTTTCTTTAAAATTAAAAAGGAATCAATCAGTATTTATCGAGTCATTAATTTAAAAGAATACAGAGATATTGCTCTAAATCCTGTCAAGTCTTGTTTCAAAGTTCCTTCGAACAATATGTTTCTATATTGCCTGCTGGTAATGCGTTAAGTGCAAAAGATACATTACAAACTTGAGAAATCTGGTATAGCAAATTTTGCTTAAATAGCTGTTGGACCTTTGAAATTCGAGATGGAGTCGACGAATTCTTGGCAGCCTCAAAATGTATCGGTTTGATGACAACCGTAAAGAGGAACGCAAACACAATGGAGTAAAAGGGATAAAATTGACAAGGTAAACTATGATTCAAGTACATGTGAGAGAGCAGAAGATTTGATTAAACTTAACGCGATTTTAAATTGACAATTTGTTAAATGTAGCGAATATCATCGGGATTGTCTCAGCTTTCAAAAAGAAAAAAAAATAAAAAATACAGCATAAACAAGGTTATATCTAACTTTTTTGAAATGATCACAAGGACAGTAAATTTTGATGATAAATAAGATTAAATATGTATTGTTACTTGATCTACATATTCCAATCCATTCTGCTCTTTATTGCTAATTATAAGTTGTTTGAGATGGTCAGTAAGCATAGAGTACTTCAAAGTGCTAATAACACTGCATATTTATCAACTTGATATCAGAAACTGTCAGTAGAGAATGACAGCAATAGCCTTAAATAGCAGCTATTATGCCGTGCTTAATTCACTATTCTGAGCCTTGACTCCTATTATCCTAGCATTTATTGATTTCAGTTCATTGTTGCCATAAAGCAAGTGTTCAATGAAGAGACAGAAACTGAATGACCCATTTTGAGTAACTGAATTACAAAAATGAAAAGGATCAAGAACTCCTGAAGCTTATTCAATCTCCGTCATCAAATTTTTTTTTTGTGCTTTTTTCTTTAGCAGCTTCAAGGATTCTTTTGCCAACCTTCTTCCACTCATAACAGTAACAACACAATGTCTGAGCACGTTGATCAAAAGAATCTTCAAAAAGATCCCGTCACTGGTGAAATGATCTCTAAATCGTAAAGCTCAAATTTAGCTTTTTTGCAGGATATTGCATTGTCAACTTACAGCTAATTGTACCATTTTACCTTCCTTTTTTCATCGTTTATTTTAGTGAATTCAAGAGACGTGAGAAGCTTCGTGCTAAGGAAGCTGCCAAGGCTGCTAAGGCTGCCGCTGCTCCTCCCAAGCAAGCTAAGGAAAAAAGTGCTGAAGAAGGTGAAGATGATTTGAACCCTAATGTAAGTTCGTTTCTTCCTGTTTAAACTAACTCTTTAAAAGCTATGACAAGTCAAAGACTGAATGAGCTGTCAATTTTCACCCTGTAGCAATATTTTGAGCTACGTTCCAAAGCCATCAACAAGCTTCGTGAAGGTGGCAATCCCAACCCTTATCCTCATAAGTTCCAAGTTGAAATGACACTCCCCGAATTCATTGAAAAGTACAACAACATTGAAACGGGTGAACGCCTTGATGATCAAGTTATTTCTGTTGCAGGCCGTATCCATAATAAGCGTGCCTCTGGTGCCAAATTGAGATTCTATGATTTACACGGCGACGGTGTCAAGATTCAAATTATGGCTTCTCTTCAGGACCACGAAGGTGACGATTATGCTGTCACTCATGATCTTTTAAGACGTGGTGATATTGTCGGTGTTACTGGTGTTCCTGGTAAGACCAAGCGTGGTGAACTCTCTGTCTTCCCCAAGAAAGTCACCCTTTTGTCACCCTGTCTTCGTATGCTGCCCAAGGCCAACTATGGTTTCAAGGATGTTGAACAAAGATATCGTCAACGTTATCTCGATTTGATTATGAACAATTTTGTTCGCGATAAGTTCGCCGTTCGTTCTCAAATCATTTCCTACGTTCGTTCTTTCTTGGATTCTCGTAAGTTCATGGAAGTCGAAACCCCCATGATGAATATGATTGCTGGTGGTGCTACTGCTAAGCCTTTCGTCACTCATCATAATGATCTCAAGTTGGATATGTTCATGCGTATTGCTCCTGAATTATATTTGAAGATGTTAGTCGTTGGTGGTCTTGATCGTGTTTACGAAATTGGTCGTCAATTCCGTAATGAAGGTATCGATATGACTCACAATCCTGAATTCACTACTTGTGAATTCTATATGGCTTACGCTGATATGTACGACCTCATGGATATGACTGAAGAGCTGATCTCTGGTATGGTCTACAAAATCTTTGGTAAATATCAAGTTCAATACCACCCTCAAGGCCCTGAAGGACCCGCTATGGATATTGACTTCTCTCCTCCTTTCAAGCGTGTTGACATGATCCAAACTCTTGAAGAAAAGCTCAACGTCAAGTTCCCTCCTGGTGATGAACTTCATACTGAAGCTACCAACAAATTCTTGAGTGATCTTTTGATTAAGCAAGGTATTGACTGTGCTGAGCCTCGTACTAATGCTCGTATGTTAGATAAGCTTGTTGGTGAATTCCTCGAAGTCGACTGTATCAGTCCCACTTTCATTACTGGTCATCCTATGATGATGTCTCCTTTAGCCAAAAAGCATCGTGACCGTAAGGGTCTTTGCGAACGTTTTGAATTGTTCGTTGCTACTAAGGAAGTTTGTAACGCTTATACTGAGTTGAACGATCCTTTCGATCAACGTGAACGTTTCGAAGAACAAGCCAACCAAAAGGCTGCTGGTGATGATGAAGCTCAACTTATTGATGAGAACTTCTGTCAAGCTCTTGAATACGGTCTTCCTCCCACTGGTGGTTGGGGTATGGGTATTGACCGTCTCACCATGTTCTTGACCAATTCTAACAACATTAAGGAAGTTCTTCTCTTCCCTGCTATGAAGCCAGAAGAAAATAATTAGACAATCCCTCCAAACCTTTTTTTTTCGTCCCGCTGTTGAACATCATGTAATAATAATTAAAGTATTAGAGTCATTTACTTAATCGTATGCCTGGAATGGTAGGTTGGTGTGCGGGGTAAAAATCTTTCTGATGACCTGTGGAAGGTATCAGCGTATTCATTTTCAGCTTGAATCAAATGTTCATGTATAATCCGGGGTTTATAAGGCTTCTCCAGTCAACCCTCTGTAAAAAATGCTCGATCTTTATTTCTGTTTTGCTTCTAATTAATAAATGCTACTATTTAAATTAGCTGTCAAACGTGCGATACCTCCCATTAGAGGACATTCATCGTCAATATCAATTTTAAGGACGCCCCACAAATTATGTTTGCCATATAACGCAACAAATCGATATTTTCATCCAGCTAATGTTAGAAAAACAGCTTTAGCCGGCGTTCGTAAACCAATTTTACCTGCTACAAAAGATCCTAAAGCTATCATACCTTTTTTAAGCTCAATCCCGGAAGACACTACAGAGGCCTATAACGAGCTATTACAGCAGCTGGCTGAATCAGGGCGATCGCTTCAGGCCCAAACGACTTACGACATCAAATTTCGTCACGACACATTGAAACCCAATGTCAACACATATACTCAGCTCATGCTGGCTTATATTAACGATGCCAAATATGAAGAAGCCATGGACATTTATTATCAAATTCGGGACTCAATACAACTGACGTTTTCTGTGGAAGCCTACCAACAATTTATCCACTCACTTACTCACAATCGGCAAAACAGTCGACAACGACAGCCAGAAAGCGATCCAGGGTGGGTCGAATTTACTGTGGAGGATGTCTCCATTTATGCTGAGTTGAATGGAGACTCTGATCCTGCTTTGCTCACCGCCTTCGCCTTATTCCAAGATATGCGACAATTTAGCCATCTTCCTACTACCTCTCAAATGTACATCGATTTATTACAAGCTTGTGCCGAACAGAAAGACGCATACATCCTTGAACGGCTACATAAATTACTGCGTATGGATCTGTGTTTAGATCCCGATATACACGTCTATCATCAGCTTATGGAAGCTTATCGTGCCACTAATGATGGATCCAGTGTGATAGAAATTTGGGAAATGACAGATTCACGATTATGGAATGGTACAACCGCGTCAATTTTGTTGAAAACATGTTTAGAGAATGGTTATTACATACGATCAGATGCGGTTTGGGAACGACTCAAGGCAGAAAGGCCTGATATCACAATAGCAGTCGATGATTTTAATAGCTATCTACTGTGCTTGTTAAAGCACCAGGATATAGATAAAGCACAGCAAGTGCTAGAAAGAGGACTGCTGGCTGGTGAAGCAGATGAATCAAGTGTAGAGATTTTGAGAAGATTCAATTTAAAAAGCAGTACGGAAAACTCATAGTTTGAAATAATGTTTAAAACTTGAGATGGATCATTGAGCTGTCGTATGAAATAAATGATACCCAAAGAGCTTCCCTCCACACGGAAGTATACTGGATAACGTATACGTTGGTTTTATTCTTAAGAGTTTCCTGCATTCAACCTTCCTTAGTTTAGTCCCTGCTTTTTTCTTTTTGTCTGCCCCTTATCCCCCAATGGTGAAGCTATAACTTAAAAACTGTTTATTGTCTCCTTGACGATAAACTAATTTTATTTTTTTTTTCAAACTCGTTTTTTGTTGATCTTTATTATTAGAGTGTTAGACTGATATGCCCCCACCCCCCTCCTTTTGTGCTTTACATCAGCCCTTCTGCTACAGTAATTCTTTCTCACCTTTTCTTCTCGCTTGTTTATTTCCAATTATTTTTACAACTAGAATTTTGTCTTCAAAATGGCACATGTAAAGCATCAAACACTATGTAGAATTGAACAGCAATAGCTATAATGAATACATAGATTCAATGCATGCTGACTTGCTTACCCTTACATAAATGTTCAGAGATTAGGAGGACGCAGAAAGAACGTGAAGAAAGGATTTCAATTCACGTTGATGGTTGTCGGTAAATATTCGTTGATTGATGAAAAAATCACCAGTTCATAAACCATGATATTGAATGCTTTGTCTTACAGGCGCATCTGGTACCGGACGTACAACTTTTGTCAATACACTCTGCGACTCAAACGTGTTATCAAAAAAAATTTGCGACAATCCCGAAGAGGCGCACAAAGAGGAGGGAATCACTATCAAGCCTGTTTCAGTTGGTAAATGTTTGAACAAAACAAGAAGACTATAGTTTATATCTAAGTATTCAACTTTTCTTGCTTCAACTTTATGAACATAACAGAATTGGATGAAGATGGCGTGAGGTAAAATTATCCCAGTAGTTATTAACAAAAGGGGAGCTTTTGGTTTTGCTTTCAAGGAGAGGAAAAGAATTCATTCTTGTCTCCTCTGCTGAAACCCCCACCCCCAAACTTAGGCTTAAGCACATATATTAACTGATCCTCTTTTCATTTTAAGAATCTCCTTGACAATTGTTGATACGCCAGGCTTTGGCGATAATATCGACAATGAAAAATGGTGAGCAGGCAGTAGCATGGAGAGTAAGTTCCTAAAAATAGACTAAAGGTCTTATTTCTTTCTCTGTCAGCTTCCAAGAGATTGTAGGGTATTTGGAAACACAATACGATGATATTTTGGCAGAAGAATCAAGAATCAAGCGTAATCCTCGCTTTCGCGATAATCGTGTCCATGCTCTGTTATACTTCATATCTCCAACCGGTCATGCGTAAGAGATTAAGAGAAGCCTCTTTCGTAGCATTACAAAAGATAACGATTTATTCTTCTTGAATACATTCACAATGTATAGCCTTCGTGAGATTGATATTGAATTGATGCGTCGTTTAAGTCCTCGCGTCAACGTTATCCCTGTCATTGGTCGAGCTGACTCCTTTACGCCACAAGAATTAAAGGATTTTAAAAGAAGAGTAAGCTGATTGGTTTATGGCTTTCCATCCAAAACGAGAATTGTCAATGCTGACGGCCTCGCTTTCACGACGATAGGTCATGGAAGATATTGAACACTACAATATCTGCATTTATAACTTCCCTTACGACATAGAGGAGGATGACGAAGATACAATCGAAGAAAATAGCGAATTGAGGGTAAGTAGATAACAGTATTTTAGCCTCGCCATCTACCCCCCCTCCCCTTACTGACAAAGCTATTCTTCCCTCAGGCGCTTTTACCGTTCTCTATTATTGGAAGTGATGAAGAGATCATCTTGAATGGCCGCCCAGTTCGTGGCCGTCAATATCCATGGGGTGCTATCGAAGGTTGTCATAAAATGAATGAAGTTTTGCACGTGCAAGTTGCTAATCTTACTTTGTACCTTTTAACTGTATTGTAATAGTTGATAACCCTCAGCATTCAGACTTTGCTCGTTTAAGGTCTGCTTTATTAAGCTCTCACTTACAAGACCTCAAGGAAATCACTCATGATATTTTGTACGAGAATTATCGTACTGAAAAACTTAGTCGTACAGTCAATGATGGCGATCAGGAGTAAGTATCAGACGTATTTACTATCTTTATTTCAATCAATGATTGACCCTTTTTTTTTTTTCACTGCTTCCCACAGCGATCTTTCTTTAAATGCAGATGATATGGCTGGTCAAAGTGTTCGCTTGAAAGAAGAGCATTTAAGAAAGGAAGAAGAGAAACTGCGCGAAATCGAATTGAGAGTTCAACGAGAGATCCAAGAGAAGAGAGCTGAACTCCTGAGCAAAGAAGAAGCATTAAGAAATTTGGAGGCAAGACTTTCTCAGGCACAACTAACAGATGCCTAATACTGTTAAATTATATTTCAGTTTCTCACCTTAATTCACAGCGTTATATAAGTTTAATACTATTTCTTCTATCGTCAATCCTTTCACTTTTAATTAAAAAGATGTCAAATACAGAACTGTTGTGAGAATGATGAGAATTGTGCATATAAAATTTCGATACCCTATCCATAACACTGGCTGAACGCAGATGTCTAGTTTTAAGGGGGTATATGACTTATCAATGTTTGAACTAATTTCATTCAAATCACTCTTCAATCAAGAAACAGAGAGATAGATTGATTCTTTAATCCCTATGCTTGTATAATGTAGATGATTGCTTACAAGTAGTTTTTGTTTTAAATAGCTGTGTGATAGCTTAATATTGCAGCAATAAATAGAACAATTTATCGATTTGGTTCTCAGTGTGATACTGATTCATGTAACGAACCTGCATATCACTTGTCATTTTCCCGCATTTTTTTCCTTTTCGATTTCTTCAATCTTTTGCCATAAAAATTCGCACTTTCTCTTTAAGTGCGCTTACAGTTTTTTCCAACGCTAACTTTCGAAAGTTGACATCTCCACAATGGCGAGCCAGGAATTTAGTAACCCTTTACGAAAATTTAAGCTGGTCTTTTTAGGCGAGCAGAGCGGTAAGTAACCTTTGCAGTGTTGGCTTTGAGCTAACAACGAGTTATATTCTCATAAACATTCTATGCCTTCAGTTGGCAAGACCTCATTGATTACCCGCTTTATGTACGACACTTTTGATAACACATATCAAGTATGGTCATCCTGTGGATTAACGAAGCGCTCCATATATGGCTTGACAACTTGACCTAATCCTTTTCTTGTCTCTATTTTATGTCAAAAGGCCACCATTGGTATTGATTTCTTGTCAAAAACAATGTATTTGGAGGATAGAACCGTGCGCTTACAATTATGTAAGTGAACTGCCAACAAGTGCTCGAATCGAAAAATGGACCACCTGAATTGACACTTTTTGTTTATACATGAATCATTTTTTGATAGGGGATACAGCAGGGCAGGTAATGATATATTAAAATCATAGATAATGTAAGGCACATCAACGATAAACAGGCCGTAAAAAAAGACTGATAAATAACTTATCTTCAAAACTATCACCATCACCATCATCATCCTTGATGACGCACCCATCCTATCATGAAAAAGGAACGTTTCAGAAGTTTGATCCCAAGCTACATTCGTGATTCTTCAGTGGCAGTAGTTGTATACGATATCACAAGTAAGCTTATCGAAAATGATATACTGTACTTGGCTACTATCAACTCAACATGCAATATGTTTTGTCATATTACGAATAGGTCGAGCTTCTTTTCAAAATACTTCGAAATGGATTGAGGATGTACGTGCTGAACGAGGATCAGAAGTCATCATTGTTTTAGTTGGAAACAAGACAGATTTAAATGACAAGAGGTAGTAGATACGGATTAACGAGATAAGCTCAGCTTCCATTCAAATAGTTGAGGATGGCGTCATACTCATTCATTTTTTTTTCATTTTTCTTTTCGTAACATTAACTCAGAGAGATTACAGTAGAGGAAGGAGAGAAAAGAGCCAATGAATGTAAAGTGATGTTTATTGAGACAAGCGCTAAGGCTGGGCACAATGTGAAAACGTTGTTTAGACGTATAGCACAAGCATTACCAGGAATGGATAATAATAGTGATGGAAAAGAACAATCTAGTAGGTTTCTTAAACTTAAAAAATTTGTCTATACGGTAACAGAAACTAACTTAATTGCTGTATTTCATACGGTAATGACAGTGCAAAAAGTAGACTTGAATGCGTCAGAGAATAAAGAAACCAGCAGTTGTGCATGTTAACAATTAAAAAGGAAAAATAGAAGACCCTGAGCTTATCTTGAAAAATTACTCGGATACCTGACTTTTAATACAAGAAGATGCATGGACACAAAACCGAGCTTTGTTGAGCTGCGTTGAGTGTATAGTTTTTCCTCGCTTTTCCGTATCCTTCATTAACATTGACAAATGATTCGCATTGAGAGATTAACAGACAACACAATAACTGATGAGAAACTTGAACAACTTTTATCTGTCTTAAAACAGCTTTCAGCATCTGTAACTATAGATCTGATCAAAAACGCTTTGTCCTCGAGTCAGAATTACGTCTTCGTTGCTTATGATGACGATGAGCACATTGTAGGCACGACGACTATGGCATTTTTATATTGTGTTACAGGAGTTCGCGTTCATATTGAAGATGTGGTAGTAGATGAAAAACAGCGTGGCAAAGGCATTGCTCAGTTACTTATAAAGGAAGCTATTCAGCGTGCGAAAGAGGTCAATGCAAAGTCAATTGATTTGACCAGTCGACCGGAACGAGAAGCTGCAAATCGCCTCTATAGAAAATTGGGATTCATTCAAAGAGAGACAAATGTGTATAGATATCAGTCTTAAAGCACGAATAAAATAGAACCAATGACATTTTGATGATCGTACAATTCCCCACACTCTCTTTGTGCCATTTTTTTTTTCAGCTTTTTACATATTGCTCAAACAATTTCAAATTTATTTGCCAAATATTTTGTCCTGCATACTTTTTCTTTTCTGATTTACATATCCTTTGATTTCAATTCAAACAATGACGATTCGATTTATTAATGATCCAACAGACGGTGAAACATTCAGATATCAGAATAAGTTGCCTAAGTTACCTATTCCTAATCTAGAAGACACCGCTAAGCGTTATTTAGCTGCTCTCAAGCCTTTACAAGTAAGGCAAACAAAGTAACAATACTCGATAACTTTGTGTTGATATTAATCTTTCTGTTCCTTTTCTATTGAAAATGTTCAGTCAGAAGAAGAACATGCAGCTTCTATCCAATCTGTAAACAACTTTTTACAAAATGAAGGACCTGCTCTTCAAGAGAAGTTGAAGACATATGCTACTGACAAATCATCCTACATAGAGGAATTTTGGTACGACTCTTATCTCCATTACACCGATCCTGTAGTTCTGAACTTGAACCCATTCTTCTTACTCGAGGACGATCCTACGCCTCAGCGAAACGATCAAATCATCCGTGCTTCTTCACTTATCTACTCCACCCTTACTTTCGTTCATGCTTTGAGAACCAAACATTTGGAGCCTGACGTGATTCGTGGTACACCTCTTTGTATGTCTCAATTCAATCGCCTGTTTGGTACAGCACGTATTCCTACAGAAACAGGATGCTACATTGCACCCGACAATCAGGATGAAAGCCGTCATATTGTTGTATTGGCACATTCTCAGTTCTACCACTTTGAAGTGTTTGACGAATCTGGTGATTTTGTGCTTACTGAGAAAGAGATTGCAGCTAATTTGAGAGCTATCTTGAGAGACGCAAACGAAACACCAGCCGCAGAAGTTGCTAAAAACGCAGTGGGTGTCTTAACCACGGAGAACCGTCGAAATTGGGCAAGATTACGTAAACAACTAAAAAGTGATCCTGTGAACAGAGCCAATTTAAAAGTCATTGATAGTGCTTTATTCATGGTGTGTCTTGATCACGTTAAGCCTACTTCATCTGAAGAGTTGAGCAATAATATGTTATGCGGTACTTATAACCTAGAAGGAGGAATGCAAGTAGGAACATGTACTAACCGTTGGTACGATAAGTTGCAGGTAAAACCCTATTCCCCCACATTCATGTTCCTGAGATTTTCGCTTATGGAATATTGCTATCTAACTATTTACTTAGATCATCGTGTGTCAGAATGGTAGTGCAGGAATAAACTTTGAACACACAGGTAACAAAAAAAGGAAAAAAAAAAGTCGAGACTGTATTCAGCGGATAAAAGTAAAAATAAGCTCACATTAATTTGAACATATTTCACCTGCTTACAGGCGTTGATGGTCATACTGTATTACGCTACGTTTCCGATATCTACACAGATACCATTTTACGCTTCGCAAAAACTATTAATAGCCAAACGCAGTCCATTTTCCATAATTATCGCCAAAGAAGAAATAGTAGTAACCAAGGTAGTGGCAACAACATTTCCACACGTGACAGGGCAGGGTCCACAGGAAGCGCATCAGGATTTTTCGATCATAATCCTAGGAAGATTGAATGGCATATGACAGAAGAAGTCGAGTTAGGTGTCCGTTTTGCCGAGACGAGACTGAGCGATCTAATTCTGCAGAACGAGATCAAAGTACTAGAGTTCGATAATTATGGCAAAAATTTTATAACAGACATGAAGATGAGCCCTGATGCTTTTGTACAGGTGATAATCTACAACTATTACTGGAATATATGAGCATTTTGATTCGAAAGAAAACTATGAAACTTACGTACATTGCATTCCGCAATTTACATTATTTTAGATGGCTATCCAAGCTGCTTATTATGGACTTTACGGTAAAAGTGAATGTACCTACGAGCCAGCTATGACAAAAGCCTTTCTACATGGGCGTACAGAAGCCATTCACTCAGTTACTCCTCTCTCTTGCAAATTCGTTCAAACTTTTTATTCTGAAAAAGCACAACCCTCAGAAAAATTGCAGTCTCTTAGAGAAGCGTTGAAGGCTCACACTATGATTACTAAAGAATGCTCGCAAGGTCAGGGCCAAGATCGTCATCTGTATGCTTTAGAATGTCTTTGGGATAGACTTTATAAGAATGAAAAGAAGCCACAAATTTTCACAGACGCAGGTTGGAAAACGCTTAACAATACTGTTATTAGTACCTCTAATTGTGGAAACCCAGCTCTTCGTCTGTTCGGGTTCGGCCCTGTTGTATCTAATGGCTTTGGCATTGGTTATATTATCAAAGAAGATCGTATTTCGGTGAGTTTATAAGTGCGTCGCCGTATTTATTAATTCCAGGTTGATGCTAATTGTACTGTGCTTTCGGTATCTGTATAGTTTGCCGCTTCATCAAAACATCGTCAAACAGAACGTTTTTTGCAATCCCTCAAAAACTATCTTATTGATATAAAGACCATGCTGCTCAAGGAAAAATATCCAGGTGGTGTATCTCAACGGCAACGCATACTTGCTTTGGAAGAACAGGAATACCAAATACAGATTAATGGCTATGGCTACTTTGATGCGGGCTATGAACCAAACAATGAGCAGCAAACTCTTTCATCTGTCAAAGAAGCTACCCAAGTGACAGCATCTTCGACTTCATCCGATTATGCCGCTGATCAAAAGCATCACGATCCTTCCAAGATTAATCATCGTATCGGTAAGCGTTTGGTTATCCGTGAAAGTGAAGATTAGCAGAAAGATTTTCCATGCACTTGATTTCATAATCTACTATATTTTTAAACATGAAATAAAGAAATAAAACCCCAAACGTAGCTCTTAAAAATAGCCTTTCATTCTGCTCCTAATCAGTTGCTTTGAGAGTATTGTACTAGAACTGAACAGCAATTCTAGTAGGCCAATTAAAGGCTCTTCCGAATATCTTGAAACGCAATCAGCGGTTTGAAGCAACCAAAAATAGTCCAATGATGATCAAATGATAACATCTCGGCTGTATGATGTCTTAAACATATATATTGCCAAAGTTTGCTAGCAACCCACTCGTCTGAACGTTCTACGCTTAAATGTAATAAGAATTGTTAATTTGTTAGTTTAATTTGAAATGCTCGACAACACTAACTTTAATAAAGATACAGCTAATGAAAGGTTTTGCTTTTATATGAATCCGAATAAGCAACGCAAGATTGCCCAGTCGGGTAGCGAAGGCGGCAAAAAGGTTATGATGGTATCTAAGTTGAAGACAGACTAGACCAGATAACTGATTAGAGCCCTGTTCCCATTGGATTACCCTGCTGTTAAAGCACAGCATTTTACCTAAACATTAATAAAAGCTATTCAGCAACAACAAGCTAAAATGTGAATAGATTGGGTAACAATTTATTGAAAGGTCTGTTAAAATGCCATCATCTACAGCACAGTCTAATTTTAACCATTCCAACGCAGATCCAACGTAACGATCGATTTCAACGAATTTCAATATTGATAATCTTGATGTCATCGTAAGGTTTACTAGTTTTATCTACTTTAGCATTTTCTATACTATGTACAACATCCATGCCCGCAGTGACTCGTCCGAATACTGTATGTTTATTATCGAGCCATGGCTGTAAAAAAAGTAAGAAGTCGAAAGTGTATCAGTAAATACTTGCTCAGCTTCGATGTTGCATGCTCTTTTGATATAGTTGACACTTACCGTAGGAGCGACAGTGATGAAGAACTGACTTCCATTCGTATTGGGTCCTGCGTTTGCCATACTTACAGTATACGGGCGGTCATGTTTATATTCTCTGGAAAATTCATCTTCAAAATCACTGCCCCAAATAGACTCTCCACCAGTACCATCTCCAAAAGGACAACCTGTTTGGATCATGAATCCCTTGATAACACGATGAAATATAAGATTATCGTAATATCCGTTTTTAGCGTGGGTAACGAAGTTCTCAACTGCTTTTGGTGCCGCGTCAGCAAAGAGACGCATGTGAATATCACCAGACGTTGTACGTAAGATAGCTGACGTGCCCATAAGTTTCCTCCTTTCTTGAGTAGCAGCCACAGTTTGTTCCTCACGCGATGGCTTCTCGTTGAAAACATCACGTTCACCCTTTTGTCCGTCACTATAACGATCAATTAGTCACATAGCATCCTTAGGTATCTTTTCTTAGTGTAAAAGAACTTACTCAAAGGGTTCTCTACGTGTCAGCATATAAAATCGATTCTTGTTGAATGCTGTACAGAACAAGGTAGGATCAAGTTCTTGGCTTTCTTTTAGGGCAGCATTATCCGATGCAGCCATAGCCTATAAACAGGATAAAATCGCTTTAATCAGTACTTAATCATCGAGTGAAATTCAGAACCCTATTTGATAATACCAGAGTGTAAACGCCTTTTCTCTTAGGTGCGCCTTGATATAACCCAACATTGACAAATCTGTTCGATTCTGATTTGCCAATAACGCGAACAACTCTATTCGTTTTGATATTTACAACTATTGTTCGATTAAAGTATAATAGTTCAATTCCTATCTCTTTGGTTGCTTTCATCCTATGTGATGTGTACCTTTTATACCAACCAATGCACCATAGATAACAAAATTTCCGCTCTCGTCGAACACAGCATTAACAAATTTTGCTTGACCCGATTTCTCGAGTTCCTTTTCAACTGCCAAACGTCTACCAAATTCCATATCATCTAATTTAAAGATTGATGTGCCTGCTTGTTGCATTTCGCTAATTACGTGTAGACTTTCATCATATTCGCGGAACATTTTGCCTGTTAAGAATTTAAATAGTCGAACTTGACGATCAGGAAAACTCATAGTTACGAAACTGAGTCCATCTTCTGAAAAAGTCAAGCAAGTAGGTACAGATTTTTTCTAAGAATAGTAGACATGTGTCAATGTATACAGATTAAAATCAGCTAATGGCAGACCATCATGCACCTTCTCTTTCATACTTTTCTTACCTTTCTGAATTCATATAGATCAGTTTGTGATTTCATTTCAAAACCCAGATTATCTGGAAACCCAAATGGCTCTTCTGGTGACCAATACTCCATCATACCGATTGAATCAACGGATATTACTGTGTTAAATTTAGCATTGAATCGTATAATATTGACTGGTTTAGAATGCAGCTTTGATAATGTGTGAAGTGGTTTCCCATCTGACCGTCCATCGTATATATGAATATTGGAGTTTTCGGCTTCTGACCTGAAGTATGAATATGAATACGTCAAGATTCTCGCTGTGATTTATTGCAAATTTGCTTGTCAACCTTACACTGCAACCAATGCTTGAGCTTGACCCTTCTGATGAATCCAACAGACTGCTTTTGGTTTAAACTGTAATTTGACCATATTTATCATGTCTAAGCATCAAAAAGAAAACAGACATAGTATGAGTCTTAGCCAACAGACATAAAAGTAGTTGACGTACAGAATAGGTTCCTTTCCACTTACCAAAATTTGTGATATCATACACTTTCATGGATTTATCATCAGAGATGGTGGCTAGCAATTCGCTGTCACTGGACAAGCTGATGTCAACAATGCTTGATAAATGTGATTTATAGTGTTTGACAAACTCGATGCCGGTGCCAGTCTTTTTCCAAAACTTCAAATGCCCGTCAACAGAAGTAGTAACGACAAAGTCATTCCTAGTATTAAATAAATGCCCTGTAAGCTTCAAGCTGATGATAATACTTTATGCCCTGAAGCTGTAAACTCTACTTTGTAACGGCTACTTGACTGAGTACATCACGATGCATATAACTCTTTTCGTACATGTCGGCACTAGGCAGTTGTTCTAAATAAAGCTTCTCATAGGCAAGTGCTATTAAATAAACAAATGTCAGTATATAGACTTTTGTTTTAACATGATTTGTAAGAAGGCTTACTTCTTTTCTTTTTTCGAGGCACATCATCTCCAGGAGGGGGAGGAAGCATAGGTCCGATGTCATCATCTACGAAATCGATTAGTCTTAGTTTGAGAGCTACGACTTTGATCAGTAACATGAAATAATTATAGTATTGCTTACCCGATTCATCTGCTTCTTTGCTATTGTTGTTCTCGAGGGGACGTTTATTATTATCATTGACTTCCAAATCGTCAGCCATTGTGTGTCGTTGCTTTATTTAGAGGAATCTATTGAACAAACCGCAAGAAGCAAAATTAGTTTGCTTTTTTTCTGTAATTGAATAAAATTTGATGGCAGCCTCGGACACTACTTCTAAGCTGAGAAGTGCATAACCCATTAGAAGAATGCGCTTGATTATCATTCTTAAATACGCTCTTAATGTCACCGAAGCTTCAATAATCGTTTGCGTATAATAAATCGCAATGCTCGATTTTATGAAACAGTCTGGTTATATCCAGTTTAACATATTCATTATTGAATATGTTAACTTGGGGGCATTAAGAGCAGATCATTGGCACTTAAATCAGTAGTGAGTCCAAGTCGTTTTACAAATTCTGGTTTAAGTTAAATAATGGTTACGGAAGCTTGTGAATACAAGTGTATGCGCGCGTATGATACGGTGATTGAGGCTATGGTCGATATAAATCATTAAGTTTTATTTTCAAAGCACACAACACTGGGGCAAACTTACGACGAATGGTAAGACTACCTTAATTTACATATCTTAGTGCTTATTGTCTTAGTAGCCCACTGGATAAACTTTAGAAGCACAACTCCAAGCGTAAGAAATAAATAATATTGGCGAAATTGCAAAGCCCCCACATGCTTTAAATCACACTTTCAAACGCACAATTTTGCTTACCCAGAAGATCATCCCATAATCTTTGTTACGTACTATAAGACAAAGTCGCTGCATGAACAAGTTCTGTGTATGCTTCACTATAACATTATTGCATTGTAGATCATTTCTAATTTCCGATCACAGCAGGAAAAAAGTTGAATTGAGGTACACAAAAAGCACATGATAGTAAATCTTCAAAAGAGCACAACCTGCTTTTTAACCTCTCATTTCTTTTTATTCTAAAACTAGCACAGAAGTATGATATAATCGTATTTATTACCCTTAACCAAATGACACATCTATTTCATCGAACAAGTTTCTCTTCGCCTACATACTGCGATCATTGCGATGGGTTTTTATGGGGTATATCGAAGCAAGGGTTCAAATGCTCAGGTAACCAAAAATCTAATTTTCCAGTTGTGCATACTACTCACTATTAAAATGCCTCCTATACCCTTCCATAAACTAGACTGCGATATGGTCGTGCATTCTAAATGCAGATTGGCAGCATCAAAATGTTCCAAACCATCTTCTATTTCTGCCGCTCAATATTTGAATAACACCATACAGCAGCAGCACGAACAACAATCTCGGTACCAATCAACTGTTGACAACAGTCATTTTAAAGAAGATACTGATAAAGTATCTTTATGGCAAAGCATCCAGCAATTTACAACTTCGCAAGAAATAAAGGATATTGTCATCTCTGCTGCCATATACTCAAGCGACGTTAGCCAACCCGTTAGTGATTATCTTGCTCATTTACCGCCATTAAGCGCACAGAATACCACAAAAAACTTCTCTCGTTTTGTGTCAAGATGTGGGCCTATGTTTAGCTTTAGAGACAAAGTCATCTTGTTGTTGAATTGGCACAAACCAGTCGATACAATGATAGCTATGTTGATATATTGCTTGATTTGTAAGTCTCTTCATCATCTCCGTTATTGTTGCTGAGCATGAGCCATAGATTGCTAATCATTTTGAATTTGTCAAGGCCTGTATCCCAAACTTGTATTAATTGTACCACATGTGATTCTACTTCAAATCATAATCAGTGAATTCAGTAAAAAGTACACTCTCGAAAGGAAAGAGAATAGCCGAGAAAAGAACAGCACTGAGGTGAATTCGTCATATTCAACTGTAACTTCGGCCCAACAACTCTCTCAACAGTCCGATAAAATAGCAACGAAACAACACAAAGATACTACAAAAGGAAGTCGCTCAACAGGATTTGCTTCTATATTCCCTGCAACAATACCAAATAATGAGAATTCACCTGAATATCTCAGAAACCTGCAAAATTTACAGAATATGATGGGTGAAATGAGTGATCTCCACGACTTTATTGTATCAAAATGTCATTATATCGACTGGTCGAACGAGTCCGAAACTGTCTTCATTTTTCAATTAGCATTGCTTACACTATTGGCATTTTCTTTAATCATCTCGTTTGTTTCTCTTCAATCAATATTTTTGGTGGGTGGCATTACCGTGTTTCTTATAAACACACGTTTTGCCAAGTATATTTTAAAGCATTTGACAACTGCAGTAACCGAGAAGAGAAAAAGTGATTTACTTAAACCTGCTACTGCCATTCTTCGTGGCTTTCAAAAATCATATGTAATCCAACAGTTAAATCAGCAAGAAAACGAAGTATTAGAAATATCATTATTTGAAAACCAACGTTGGTGGCCCGACATCGAAGCTTTTGCTTCCCAGGTAACGTTCAGTGATATTGTATCCAAACTTACATGGAAAGCTTGGGTTTAAAGTACTTATATATTTTCTATGTTTAACTAGATGCTGCCTGGTGAACGAGGTTTGTGGACAGACTATTCAGGTATGATCCTAAAAGATGAGAGAGTAGTGGAAACAATAGCACCAGAAGGATATCACTGGATCGATAGAGAATGGTTCTTGGATAAGAAGGGCCCTTGGGTTGACGATCAGTTTAATAGAGGTACAGTGTTTTGGACTATGGAAGACACGCGTGCATGTGTCGATTGAAACAGTTCCTTTTTATAGAAGTCGTGATCTTTCCTGATGATTGCGGTTGGGTTTATACGGATTTCAACTGGAAAAATGAAGCAAGATACTACAACAGAACTGATGATGCTTTTACAAAAGATGGGCAGATAGGGATATATTATGTTACGAGACGGAGAAGATGGGTACGGAAATGTAAAAGAAATTCTTGCGTATAAATTGAATGCAAACATTCTACAATTGTGCACGCATTGACACCGACAGCAGATCTTTTCATAACATTTACAACAGACATTATTGTGCAACAAGCATTGCTAATTATAATAGATAAAGCAATTTTGAATAGCATAAATCTCCCATTTATGATAGTAGGATAGTTGAGTTAAATTTTTATTATTTGTATGCTCAGTAAATTAAGGGCATGTGTGGGGAGATTGTTATGAAGGTAACCAAAGTATAGACAAATGTTATTACGTTTCCATGCGATGAAGATGTATGTTGCGGCTTCAAAATTGATAGTCATGTCACTAGAGTAAAAAAGCGACACCAGCAACCGTAAAGAGAGCCAACACAACCTTCGTTGAGACAAAAGTTGTTTTGACAGTTGAAGCGGCGGCACCTTGTGCAAAAATAGAACCTGGTGTAGAGGACTGACCGGGAGCATTAGTACTTTGCGATTTCAAGCCTGTGGATGTAGGAACAGCGGCCGGTCGAATTTCAATAGGAATTGCCAATTTTGTACTGGTAGATTTATCCAAGAAAATGACATGGTAGTTGCCAGGTTTTACAGTAGAAGGTATGTTGAAATTGATAGAATGTTCGTAATATGTCAAATTGCCCTCTCTTTTCACAAAGGCATCAGTTTTCGAGACATCGGCTGAAGCAGTAATAGAGATGGTCGTAGAGTTGTTGCCATTCGAAGAGGACGAAGAAGAAATAGTGTTGCCTACAGGCAGAGCCTCCAAATCAATTTGTAGATTCAGTGCTATATAATGGAGGGGTGAATTAGATCAAACATCTTTTTTTTTTTTTTTTTTTTTTATGGAGGTGTGCTATATGGCAATCTAACTTACCAGAACTATCGACATCAGAAAATAAGCGATAGGTACACGGTAATATCTGTCCAATGACATATGGACCATTTGTCACCGGGCTTGTTACGTTGTAATTTCTTGTAGGCGCAGTAATCTGAGCATAGACACTGACTGCTGTTGTAAGTAAAATACTTGTAAGTGTTGTGAATTTCATTTTTTTGCGATTCAGGGAATAAAATAAAAAAAAAAAAAAGGAAAGAAAACCGCTTCTCCTCAAGTTGCAGTTTTATTCTTTGTCGAGGATGTGAGAAGCATGTAGGGGAACAACACAAACGAACACTCAAAGTGAGGGAGGGTGATCCCGCAAAAATTGTTTTGCTTCTGGTTTTTTTTTTTTTATTGAAGAAAAAAAAGTTGGTGGAATAAAAAGGGGTCAAAACGGCCACGAAAGTGAATCTCGCAGATAATAATTTGCTATAATACATACCATAGATTAGTGCTTCGATCTGGTCTAAGTTGAACTAAGTTCAGAGATTGATACCCCTCTTCTGTCTACCAACATTGTCTTTTGACAGTTTGAGAGCAACGGTAAGTGAGGAACAATAATGGTATCAGTAAGGAGGAGATCCTTCAGGAATATCTACCTTTATGCGTTTGTGTAAATCTGTGAAACCAAATTATTGTACACGGACAAGGATCTTACTGATATATCATCTTCTTTATTATAATAAGTAACGGTAAATGACAACGTTATTCATTTTGTAAATTCGATTGCTTTTGCATAAATTATTAGATGAGATAAAACTAAGAGTATTTAAGTGCTGCTTTTAAATAAGCTGAAAAAGCAGTGCTGAAAGACCAATTACTGCTGTGACCATACCAACAGAAATTTCCAAACGATTAGAACTGCCTATAACACTTGGTCCTGCGTAAGGCCGGGCAACAGACGGTGAAGGCATAGGTGGCTTGGAAGAGGCTAGAGATGAAGGTGCAGCTGCTATTGATGAAGCATAGGTTGCAGCAGAAGAGTAAGAAGCGTAAGAGGCTGAAGCAGCAGCAGAGTAAGGAGGATGTGAGGTAGAAGGACTGATTGAACCAACTGTTGTGTAAGAGTTAGCGAAGCTCGATTTTTCAAAATTATGTTCTTTGTAATGCTTTTACTTACAACTGGGAGACGACGCAGATGAGGCAGAACCAGAAGCACCTGTCAAGCCTGGAGAAGGAACAATTGTCTCTAGCGTACCTGACGATTTTGTAGTACTACCGCTTGTAGGCGATGTACCTGCTGCGTCTGTAGTAGAGTCAGCTACTGGTTTATCGTACTCATTTTTTTTGGTAGGAGCTTCATGTGGAGTAGGTGTGATATAAATGGTAGTAATGCTTGGCGTTTTATGATGAGAGGCTTTCTCGTTTCTGGAAGCGCCCTCATTACGATTCTTGCCAGTGTCACCGTCTTCATCTTCATCAGGCTCATCCTCATCAGGCTCATCCTCTATTTATAAACCAATTAAGGTTGGGTTGTCAATTTCTTTGCAACCATTGATATGCTAAGATAACAAGCTACCTACCAGCGAATACATCACGAGTCAAGATAGCGACAATGATTAGTAGTAAGAAGAAGTAATAAGGCCTCATGCTATTGATAATATATTATGTTTGATTGATTAAGCAGTGCAAGAGTGCGAATAGGAAGAGTAAAAGAGAAGAAGAGGAAAGCACCCTCAACAAACTTTTATAATTTTATGGGGAACCTTTTTTGTTTCTAAAAATACAATAAGGCTGAATTGGGAGCATTTCTCCACTGCACAGTATAGCTTAAAGCCTAACTGTATATCTTATGTTATATTTCAGACGACAAGCTTCAGTATTAGATGAGTTGGTAATCTTCAAGCCCCGTATATTTAATTTGAGGACATTTTGAAAAGATGTTATTCACCCTTTGATGAAGGGATTCGCACTCTCTTTAAATTTCTCCTTATTGAAGATCCAAAGCGAAATTCAATTCTACATTTTGTGTAATCAAATGCTATTAAGTCTGACAGTTTTAAGATACACGAGAAACTTCATGCTTGTTGAATAAAGGGTTCCATGCAGGACCTCGAAAAAGCTGCAATACTGTTTTCATCAACAAAAGGTCTAGTTTTGTCCACGATTGTATATTAGTGTAGGAGTGAGTTTTATACAGAGCTGCTGAGTGGGTTGTTTTATTTTAGGAGAGAAGCGAAGATTGCTCAGCTATAAATCACAGTTGCTAGAAAGAAAAATCCAAATATTTTGAATAATGCTTTCAAATAAGTATGTAAAACCCATTGCAGCTCCTTAAACCGATTGCTTTTTTTCCTTTTTCACAAAGAACGAATATCTGTTACAAAGCATAGCTACATCTCTTCTTAATGATATAGGGATATATATTAAATATTTCTGAAAGAAAGCATTGAATAATTCAATGGTCAATATTCCAAAATCAATACAGTAATATGTATATATGATTGAGGTTGCTTAACATCTATTATTGCGGTACATTTTCATCTTTAAAAAATTGTTCGAGAAGCCAACTTTTGATGTATTTTATCGTTGTATAGCCCTTTAAAACGTAGGCTAAAGATGAATAGTTTATTTAAATACACATGATTTTTTATATTCGCTAATGAGTAAATATCCTTATCTTCCATTCCTCTTTTTCGACGCCAGTTGGGGTTGTTACTTCAGCATCAGCATCATCACTCTCTTGATAATCATCATCATCACTTTTCCATGGTTCACCAAGATCATGAATATGTTTAATCTTCTTTGTCGTCGATAAGAACGGATTATGCTTATCTCTTGCATAGTCTTCTTCCCATTGTAATCGCTGTGCCATTTGGGCATCATTTTTAATTTGATTGTATATCCCAAGATAGCGTTCCAAAGTCTTCGCATCAATTTCTAGGCCTTCGAGGTTTACCTCCTCTTCTTCTCCATCATCTTTGTTGGTACTCCAAAAGGATGGTTCTTCTTCATCAAATCTACTACACTTACTCAAAATAGACGCGTTATCATCACCATCGGGAATAACGGATACCGCCGATTGATTAATGATGTCATTACTATTACACTTTGCCCTCCAAGCGCGTGTTAGCAAGCCATGCCATTCTAACATAATGCTTTTATCCTGCAGTAGCAGAGGGTCATTTACGTTATCAATGGAATATGGGTCTGCATTTTCTTCCTTGTATTTTACAACATTTTCTCCTTGCTTATCGTCTATAATATCAGTATGACTCTGTTTACTTTCGCCTTCTGCTTCATGTTGTTGTTTCATTTCAAATTCTTCAGTGTTGTCACTGCTATCGGTAATAATAGTCGAAGATAACAGAACAGCTGGAGTAGTATTTGTAGAAAAAAATGATAATCTCGAGGTGCTGTTAGTGTTGACGATAACACCATTGTATAAAATAGTCCAATAGCATGCAAGGCCTGTGAAAAACACAAAGGGTTCCAAAATGTGTACACTGACTATGGCCAGATAAACTTCGTATGCAATGACCAATGATATAGAAGTTAATGTGACATAATAGACCACTTTTCCTGCAAATGATGATGCTGATTGTTTGGTGTATCGTCTCAAAAGCAACCTAACATAATCGACAGGTGCAAATCTTTTGGAAGATGCGATACTGAAATCCTTGAATTTGACCTTTAATTCAAGAGTAAGCCTCAGGAAAGAATGGCGGACATTATCCAAGGTTTTTGCTGCAGCTGTATAGTTGCCAGATAACGGCAATAATGCTCGAGTATTTTGCTTTTGTACGCTTTTACTGTTGTTATTGATCTCTGTGGGTAGTCGTATAGCAACGGGAGAAATGTTGAGATTACTGTGACTTTTAGCTTCAATTGTTGGTGATATAAATGGGTCAAGGTTGGAGAAAGACTTTTGTAGCTTTGTGTTCTGATCAGTCTCTTCATACGGTATCAAAAATGGTAAGCCATGACCCTTAACCTGAGCATGATCACTGTTGAGGGAAAAAGCATTGTCTTTCGCGTTCTTCGTCTCTTCTCGGCTTTTGAAGTTACAGTTAATGCTGTTGTTCCCTAGTTGCGTTGAAGACAAGAATAACTGCATAGTGAATAATGACTGAAACTCGATCAAAAATTCAATGACGTATTGTGAAATCTTATAATCAAGTGGTGTATTGTGGTTAGGATGACGAAGTATAGCTGGACAAAAAACAGAAGATAAATTGGTGATGCTCATCTTTGTCTTTTCTGCGAAAGAGGCGAAAAGACTGAGCGTGTCTAGCAGATAAAGAAGTAGATGTTGATGTGCTGTTGGTAATTTGTGTATCAATTCTTGACAAGCCCGTATTCGATCTTCCGTACTATTATGCGTTCGATCATCTAATAGTTCAGTAATAAATACAAATAATTAAGTAATTGTTCACGAGATTGATAGTTTGCCTATTTTGAATGACAACTCACTCATTACGTCTCGAAATTGCTGGTAGTAAGCCAATGGAATGACAGGCTCAGGTAGTTTATTAAGATATCTACGAAGAATACTTGCTGCATCATGCACTGTGTAACCATCCCAATTCAAATCTAGCCCGAAATTGCTTTGGCTTTGATTAAAAATAAACTCTAATGCGTTTATACGTTTTTGATTTCCAGAGACACGAAAGATACCTTCCACATGAAGGCCTTTACAGTAAAAGAATTTTTATATAAGTTTGCATGGAATCTATAAATAAAATTTTCCGCAGAGTATATGCTTTTCATTTGCCCGAGCTTACCATTCTTTTTCAAAAAGGCGCCACATTTTGCAACAACAGTAGGAATTGCACCTGATTTTGGATGCTTTACGCCTTCGTTATCAACATATCCAATTGATGTTTGGGCGTATTTGATAGATGTTGTTAGTGGAACACTGAACACACCGCCTACAAGTGGATATCAACATTCCGTAAGAAGATACTTAATTTGTACATGTACTTAGAATTGCTAAAATATTCATTAGTGTATAGCATACCGTGAGGAATTTTGTCGTTAATGAAAGCATTGCCACCATCATTAGGCAGCGTTACTCGTTTCAGCCATTTGCGAAAAGATCGTCTGCGACGCAGCAAGGTCGTTGATGAATTGTTGCTTGTCTGTTTCATATGAAAATTGAGAAGTAGAGGGAAATATTGGCGAAGTTCAGGAAGAAAAGATCAAAAGAGAGTTCATCTCGGATCACGGTTCTTTGACTTTTTCTCTGAACACATAGGTACATGTGTAACTATCATTTACGTCAACCGCATAGGTTATTTCATGCCATTTTAGTGATTTTAATGACCTTGCTATTTTATATCAAAGACCTACCTAACCATTGTTGGTCGTAGCTTAAGCAGTAAACACCTCCTGCAAGACGAAAAAAATGCGCAAGTAGTTACAACATACTAACAGTGTAACTCGCGCAAACCAACGAAGCGGTTAGCGCACGCAGTATTGTTTGATCATGTTATCTTTCGAAAAGTCTACATATGTATAGGAATGCTCGACTGCGCTTAAACGATCTCATAAGTGTCATTGGAAGAAGTGTTGCTTTGTTTATAAGATATTGTAATACGAGGCAAGATATATCCACACTCGCCGGGATATCTCTAAAATGACAAGCCGTGAAGTCATGATGATTTCTGTCATACTTCCTGTCCAAAATAGAACGACAAACAAGAAGACACACCTCCGGCTTTATTCTTCTGTAGGCAATCCTATTACTGTCATTTATAGACAAACGTAACTTATTGCGGTGTTGCATTAGACAATTAGCCAAGATACGAGCCTCTCATCGTCGAGCCTTTCACAATCAATAGAAACATTGGCAGCCAAATGAAGAGCAACTAACGCAGTTTGTTTGGTAGCGTTTCGCAAGGTACTTCTGTTCGTACCTCTGTTAGTTAAAGAGTTTACTGTAAGTGTAGATATTGGAGTTTAACATTCAACCCAGTAAAGCGAGCAATCTCAAATATAATTGCTTGACCAAAACTGAGCGAAAAATCTTGGCTACTTTTGATCATGGTTTATTTGATCTGACCGTACAGCAGCTGGTTCATATGGTCCGCTACCCACTATCAACATGATTTCCAAGCTACATCACACAGAAAATACCACCGACGATGACGTTTCACTTCCTCAGCAAAAAAAAGGTGAATTAATTTCCCCGAAATAGGCCCTTCTTTTTTTTCTTTTTCTTGGAACCGCCCAAATTTTTGTGTTGGGTTGTCATATCACCATTTAAGATACAAAAGTAAGAGAAGACAATTGTATGGATGAGCAGTAGTGTTTACATTAGGAATATAAGCATAGATGATTCAATATTCAGCATATGCACCGGACAGCTCTAGATGGAGCGCCCTTTTCATTCACTTTATGCTTTTGGTATGATAGATTTGCAATTGCATACACTTTTTTTTCTGGCCAATTATCTGTCAATTCATTTCAATTAAATGACCGCCAATGATATGGTAGTTACTTCTTCCACACACACGCTTTTCCTTTCCCTCTTTCTTTCTTTTTTCACCATATTGTTTCTTGTTTTACATTTTGTTACTTTTAATATAGAAAAAAATGAATCCTGAATAGTAAGTTTTCGCCAGAGAAATAAGTAGCACGACGAGACATACGCATGCAAGTGAGAGCAGAGACTGAGGATGCCTTTTGTTTCGTTCGTTTGCTTGTTTCTCATTTCTATTTTCGTCATTTACTATTGGAAATGGAACACTGAATACCAACTTTATGTACTTTACAACTTATAGCGACTATTTGTTCAAGCTTTTACTCATTGGTGACTCTGGTGTAGGAAAGTCCTGTCTCTTATTACGTTTTGCTGATGATACTTATACCGAAAGTTATATCTCTACCATTGGTGTTGACTTTGTAAGTTTATTTTTTTGATAAAAAATATTATAAAATTTTTGGGGTTTTTTCTGAGCCTTCGTGGTATAATTTTCTCATCTCGACTAATCATACATTGGTTCTTCTCTTTGTCTTTGTATTTGTGGGTCTCTTAGAAAATTAGAACAATTGAACTTGAAGGAAAGACGGTCAAGTTGCAAATTGTAAGTTAATGGAGTAGAAAACAAAGGCAAAAGGGAAAAAAGCAAGAAGAGTTACTGATGTTTTTTCATGGTATTAGTGGGATACTGCTGGTCAAGAACGTTTCCGTACCATCACTTCATCTTATTATAGAGGTGCTCACGGCATCATCGTTGTCTACGATGTTACAGACCAAGATTCTTTCAATAACGTTAAACAATGGTTACAAGAAATTGATCGTTATGCCGCTGAAGGTGTTAACAAATTATTAGTTGGTAACAAGAGTGATTTAGTTGATAAAAAGGTTGTTGAAACCGAGCAAGCTAAGGTAAAGTGATGGAGGGCATGACAGTTGATCAAAAAAAGTGTCATTTGGTGTACATAACTCTCACATTATGACATATTTATACAGGAATTTGCTGATGGTCTTCATATTCCTCTTTTGGAAACCTCTGCTAAGGATGCCACTAACGTTGAACAAGCTTTCTTAACAATGGCTAAACAAATTAAAGATAGAATGGGCTCAACCATGCAGCAACAACAGCAACAGAAGTCTACTGTCAAGGTTGGCCAAGGTGCTGCTGTTCAACCTCAACAATCTAGTGGTTGTTGTTAAACTTACTTTGGCTCTATCATTATCTTATTCGTACATTGTGGAAAAGCAGTAGAAAGTAACCATCTTCTGATTTTTTTTTTTCCATAAACATATAAATCATATCGACAACACATAATCTATTTTCAAACCCTTCCCCTTTTTCTCTGTTTCTTATCCTAATCCACATAGTTCTACCAACTCTCAAATCTTATATCATAAAATATATATAATAAACCTTTCTATAGGGTGGTATTGATATAGTGGTTCAATTTATTCTTGCTATTGTCGAACCATAGCTATAAGATTGGTCGAGCAATGTTTGACAAAAATAGCTTACAAATGCTCAGAAGGACGAACAATGACCAAAAAAAAAAAAACCAAAAAAAAACCAAAAAACCCAACATGACAGTCATTCTTTAGGTCATGAAGGTAATAATAGGCCTAATACTATATCTCTAAATCTGGACAGATATTGAGAAAAAGAAAAAGAGTGATGTTAGAAGCAGCAGTTTTATCATTTTATTGCTCTGATACAATATTGATTGCTTGACACGAACTTATACCCTCACTGCTGAAGAAATTTACTCTTATCAGCAAAAAGAAAACGATGGGGACGAAGCTGAAGAGAAGCTGAAAGCAAAAGTGATAATCTGTAACGATCAGTTTATCTTTCTATGAATTAACTGCGCACTGTTACAGTAAGATGAGGTGCTATTTATCTAAATAAACCTCTACCGCTTCTATATTGATAATCAATACTCTCTTCCGACCTGAATCTAGAAGAAGTAGCATCAGAATCGGTATAAGGTAATGTAGGTAGCAGTTGTCCCAGTTGATGCTGCTGTTGACATGGACATCCTTCAAGATGTCCTTCCTTATTGCAGTTCATATGTATATCATCTAAAAGTAGGCTTCTCTCTTCAGGTTCCGTTAGTAGTAATTGCTGCTGCTGCTCTTGTTGCAATCGCCATTGTTTCAACCCTCGTATATAATTCTCTTGTAAATCAGTTCTATATTCCTCAATCTTTTCAATATTGTCTATCGCCATATTCCTCCCCATTTGCTGTATTTCTTGCCCTCTTATTGTGAGTCGTTCCGCTTGTTGTATGGCGGCATCCAGTAGATCACCGGTAGCAGTGACAATTTTCCCCATGAGAAGTCGAAGAATATGGTTATACCAGTAAGAGATCAGTGGGACAGATTGAAGTAAGCCTTCGAGTGTCCAACTATCTTCTTGTTTATATATTTTTATGATGCCTCCTTCTCCTCCCTCTCTGTCGCTACTGTTATCATATGCTGTTGTTTGGTGAGTATGGTATAAATGTTGATGTCTCCCAAGATAACTTTTTGTCTTCAAACTATCGTAGCTGGTCATACTTTCTAGATCGTCTTCCTCCATCTTTGGATACCTGCTACGAGAGCTGTACAGTGGTGGATGCTCTCCATCATCCATTGGCATTGCTGTATTCGCAGTGGTGGTTTGTTGGGAATAGGTAGACCGGTAGCTATGATCATAGGGGGGCGGTGATGGAATGCCGGCTGTTTCCCTAAAATGTAGAGTTGTGATGGAAGGCACTTGAAAATGAATAAACGATGGAAATATACACGGTGAAATATTCTGTGTCAAATGAATGACAGCTGTATGTCTAACAAGATACAAAGGCAATGATGTAAGAAAGATGAAGTAAGGCATCATGTGCATCATTACTTATCGATTACTTTACCCATCAAACACTATGTTATTGATAGTTGGTTCTGTTCTATTCAATGTCTGCCAAACTGTATATACACTACATCAACGAAATTAAAAAGAAACATCAACAATGGTTCTATAACGTTACAGAAACTTGGTTTTTATTCAGTTCGTTTTACTATTGTATATTCGTTATTCCTTCAGTACTCATAAATGGTGACGATAATGTGGCATCTTCAAAAAAGTAATATTCCAAAATTCGTTTTCTTTTCACTGTGTCATATGAAAATAAATCTTCTACTATGTCTATTGGCAAAAATTTCCAGGATCAACCCATCTTTTCCTCAATGGTCGAAACTTATTTAGGCTACTTACTTCGAATGAGATGGGAAGGTGAAACATGAGCATCGCTACCGACATCTGACATTATTTACAAAGAAAATGTAAAGAAAGAAAAATTAGGTTTAATACAAATCACAGAAAAAAAAAAAAAAAAAAAAAGGTAAAGGAAGTGATCCAGAAAGAAAGGGGCTGTTTCATGCAAAAGTGATCTGCTGTAAGCTTCCTATATATTATTCAAAGACCGCTGTCAGTAGAAGAAAAAAAAAAAAGCGAGATGCTGATATGGTCTTTACTATGCCTTTTTCTGAAGATGGGTCCTTAAATCTATCATTTCATTCTCGTCTGACACAATCAGATATACTCTCAAACAGTTCAATATGTAATGAACAGCGCCAACGCATGATCTTTTTTTCCTTTTTAGGATTCATCTTTTATTATAGTTCTTGGTCAATTAGCGCAGGATGGAGTCGGTATGATTGCATGTCTTCGTAGAGAACGTTCTTGAACACACGGAAATGGTGGTTCAGGCTATGATGCGAGTGGATCTTATAGTTGGTTCCAAAAGCACCTGTCTTTGAGGGTATACTGTAGAACACACGAGCTACTCTGGAGTGCAATAGTGCCATAGCGCACATAGCGCATGGTTCATGTGTTAGATAGACATCATAGCCCGTGCACAAGTAAGCCGTTGGTGCCGTTGGTTTCGCTGGGGATGTTGTCGCTTCTTCTGTTGAGTCGTCTTCGTTCCCGGTCATTTCATTCGACATTCTTTTCAATCGTCCTCGTTTTCCGTTGGCCTCAAACTCCAATGCAGCTATTGAATTGATGCAATTAATGACGGCATGATGAAGAGGATGCCTCGAGCGATGATCACTTTCTTCACTCAAAACTTTATTTGTCACGGGATGTACAATGCGGCATTTCACGCTTCCTTCTGCTGTATTGAATAAGTGTTGTATATGTTCATGAACTGTCATGATATCCTCTTTTGTGAATTTCGGATCTAATCGAGTGTCTTCGCGATAGTTGAGTGGCCATAGGTGTTTCCATGCTTCATATTGCTTTGTATTGAGTGGCGCATGTTTCGAGAGAGGAATGATGTTAAATTGTATAGGTATGATGTTGTTATCTGAAAATATTTTCTCTAACTGCTCTTGATCTATTCTATCTTTTTTACAGAGAATAACTTCTAAAATGTATTCTGATCCATCATCAAAATTGAGTGGAAGAGCAGGAAAGATCCGTTAGTACATCAAAAGAAGAGTCACCGCTTAACGATAGATTCCACTCTTTGTTTTTCAAACCTTTATCATTGCCTGGTTTTGGTTGTCGTCTAATTCTTTTACAGTGATCTAAACCTTCTAAAGGAGGTAGCTTTTTCTGAGCCAATCTGATAATAGAATAGAATATGGTCAATACCCGTTACCGGTTCAGTTTGATGAAATAACGGTTCGACCTACTTTAATATATCATTTGTTTGTTTTGGCTCCACATAGACTGTAAAGACTTGAATTATTTCTAGCTCACGTTCATAAGCATCATCCATTACTTCTTGGAAGGGCCATTCTTCCCGATGAAGGTATGTTGGTTTAACAGCTATGTATCGTCGAAGGACAAAGGAAGGATCAATTTAACCGCTGGTCTTTCACTGAAAAGGGAAACTCAACATTACTGAAAGATCTCTATTTTACGTTTCGATTGAGTACTTGAGGCTGCTTGCTTGCCATTCGTTTCCGTCATGAGAGTAAGAAATGAAGCATCATTTTTTTTTGGTTTTTTTTTTCTTCGGTTTATGGACAGTGTGTGTGACCGGCGGAAACAATTACTACTTTTTGCAAAATTAAAGCAAAAGCAAAGGCTCCTCCTTTTTGTTTATACAGCTAAAGTTTGCAAATGGCAAGTTCAAATTATCCTGCTGATTGATAAAGAGTTGCTTTATATTAATTTGATATTCTCTGTTGTGTGTAGCCTACTAATTACATACCTACGTTTGTTAACGATGACGGTAAATTACCCCATAGAGCTATTACTGTCTTTTGTTCTCGTTTCTAAACCATTCGATCTACTTGCTTAACAGCTCACGATGATGGCATTTGGGCTGTTGCATGGTCTAATAGCAGTAATATAGTTGTATCAGGCTCTGCGGATAACACAGTCAAATGTTGGTAAGTTGTTGTCGGAGGAGAGAATAAGCCAGTGCAACTCATTTCAGCTCATCATTACTTACCACTTTCAAAAAACAATATACGCGTTCGTATTATGTTGCGAAAAACCTATACCAGGGACGGAAATACAGGCGAACTGAAATATACGCTTCAAGGACATACTATGGGCGTCATTTCTGTAGATGTTACAAAAGATGGACGACGTAAGTGAGAGTGACAGACACTCACCCATTTGTTATGACAAGGAATAGTTAGCTGGGGGAGGGGGGGATCAAAGATAAGCGATCCAAAATTGACACTTGCCAATTTTTTTTTTTTTTTTTTTTTTTTTTTTTGTTGAAACAAAAGGTGTTGTGGCAACCTCCATTGATTCACATATTCGAATTTGGGATCTTGAAAACAATGGCGAGCTATTGAAAACAATAACAGCAGCCCCCATTGAAGCCTGGGCCGTCACCTTTAGTCCTGATGGAGAACATATTGCAACTAGTTCACACAACGGAGATATTCATATTTTCAGCATTGAGACAGGAGAGAAAGTGAATACATTCACCACAAAAGAGAAATTTCTTCTGTCTGTTACCTATGTAGGTTTTTCTTTTCGATTTTTTAATTGTTTGACAGAAGCGCATCTATGCTTTATCTCATCAAACGATGCGTTTCTTAGAGTCCCGACGGTAAATATGTTGCAGGTGGAGCAGAAGATGGTGCTATTTACGTATTTAACATAGAAACAAATCAATTAGCACACACATTAACAGGTAATTTTTGGATCATTACACAGACATGGACAGGGCTATCCGTTTTAACCCATTCCCCATCTTTCCTCTTTTGTATCCAAAAAGGCCATGCTATGCCTGTGCGTTCATTAACTTTTGCCAGTGATAGTAAAACATTAATCAGCAGCAGCGACGATAAATGTATCCACGTGTACGATGTTGAGCACGGACAGCTAGCATCAACACTTACTGGACACACCGACTGGGTTCTATGCGTGGCAGCCAATCCAGATATCAGTAAACAACAAGTGGCTAGCTGCGGCTCCGATAAGCGTATAAAGATTTGGGATCTTGCGTTAAGGACGGTTTTGGAAACACACGAAGTTCATACAGATCAGGTATGTAGCAACATCTGGAATGATGTAGTCAACAGAGCGGATCGGGACTTACTTGTTTCTCTTTTTACTTTTCAATGAAAAAGGTGTGGGGCATAGCTTGGAATGCAGAAGGTACAAAAATAGTGTCTTGCTCAGATGATAAATCTTTAAAATGGTATGCCAGCAGTGGGTCTTCATAGACAAAAAAAAAAAAAAAAAAATAAGAAAAATACATGTCGACGCATCCTTTCATGGTTTTTTTTTTTTTTGAAAATAAACTATGCACTTTTTAAAGATATTTAAGCACATAATGACTGGCCGATGGGATGGTCTGGGTCAGTTCGATAAAGGACAAAAGGGTTGGAAAAATCCTTTTGATGGTCCAAGGAAGAAAAAAAAGAGTGGGGATATATCGGAAACACTACATTAACATTAAGAATTGCCTGACCAAAGGAATCAATTTGGTACCAAGAGGTGTGTTTTGAGGAGGGAGTTCACCACAATGTACATAGTCGAGCTCAAAGAGAATAAGGCCATAGAGACGGCTTTCTTGATCTGACTTTTGCCCAAATTCTCTTTATCTTGGTCTTTCTCGGGTTGCGTTTAATTATCACGGTATCCTCTTTATTTTCGTCTTCTTTGCTGTCACTACTGAGGTTACCTTTATGTACTCAGCCGCTTATATCATTAGACGCAAGTTGCTGCTGCTGCTGCTGTTGTTGTTGTTGAAAGTGTCATTCGCTGCCTTCTTGTCATTATCAACAAGATCGAGAACAATTGCATTGGTAACAGATATTTTTCATACGTTGTGCGACTCAAGTGGAACATGAACTCGTACATTACTTGCTCGATTGACATTGTCATTGAAATAAAGAGCTTTTTTAACCACTCTAGTGGACAACAAAATAAATGATATATCATTAAAAACCTTTCATTTATAACAGAATTCAAGTATAAAAGAATCAATAGATTTAAAACAAGGGAGAGCTTCCTCTTTGTCTTGGATAATGGTAATTTTCAGGCACAAACAGATTTTGGTTAGAAAATGGCATTCAGCTTTCACTGGGAGAATCAATTTTAAAAAAAAGGCCGAAATAAAAAATAAACTGGGTTCGAAAGATACCGCAATAAAAGAGAAAAGTCAATCATTGATTGAATAAAATTGAACACCCGATGTTTCAAAGCTTTTTTGTTTAGTCAAAGCTTTTCCATAAAAATCATTTTGCTTTTTTTTTTCTAATAAAAGTTTTTTTTTTTTTTTTTTTTATTTCTGCCAGCAATAACATTTGTTTGTCAGGACGAGGACATATCATGGATTCGAATACAGTACCATTGACAGAAGAACAGGCAGAGTTTATCAACTCCACCGTCAGCTCTCTATCTGAAATTATAGCAGCTGTTCCAGGCTCTCATCTTGTGATTAGTTATTTGAAGAATGCCTACCAGAATGATCCTTTTCGAATTGCGCTCGAGTTATTTCTCGTCTTTTTTGCTATAAAGTACATCATGTCAGCTAAATATAAGCCTCATGATAATGCTGTCAAATTAACAGAGAAGGTGAGAGCAAAGAAGGGAGGTTTTCGATTTTCTTTTGGTGGGGTCGGGTTGCTGAATACTGCATTTTATAACGATAGGAAATTGACGAACTTGTAGAAGAATGGCAACCTGAACCTCTCGTTCCTCCTTTATCCAAATATGACAAATTCAACATGGAAAAGACACCCGTGATTATGGGTGCTCAGTCCGTGAAACCCAAGATTGTCGGCCATGCCAAACCTTTGATGAATCTTGCGACGACCAATTATTTGAACCTGCTGGCGTCGGAACAGATTCGAGAGAAAGCGATTTCAACGCTTCGACAATATGGTGTGGGTTCTTGTGGCCCACCTGGTTTCTATGGTACGATTGATGTGCACATGGATTTGGAGCGGGATATTGCTCAATTCTTAGGCACCGAACAAGCGATTATTTATGCTCAGAACTTCTCGGCCGTCTCGTCTGTGATTCCAGCCTTCAGTAAGCGTGGCGATATTCTTGTGGTCGACGATAGTGTCAGTTTTTCGATTCAAAAGGGAGTGCAGATTTCTCGCTCGATCGTCAAGTGGTACAAGCACAATGATATGGGCGACTTGGAAAGAGTGCTGGAGGAAATTCGGTTGGAAGATATAGCCCATAAGAGACGTTTGACACGACGCTTTATCGTTTCCGAGGGTCTCTCTGCGAATGTCGGGGACATTGCCCCCTTACCGAAGCTCGTGGAATTGAAAAAGAAGTTCAAGTATAGATTGATTTTAGATGAATCTCAGTCGATTGGCGTGCTGGGCAGTCGTGGTGCGGGTTTGACAGACTATTTCGGTGTCCCTGCTGCAGATGTGGATATTATTGTGGGGTCTTTGGCGAACGCATTGTGTGCTTCTGGCGGCTTTTGTGCGGGTTCAGAGGAGATTGTAGATCATCAACGTCTATCGGGTTTAGCGTATTGCTTCTCAGCTTCTATGCCAGCGATGCTTGCTGTAGCGGCCAGCGATGCGATCAAGATGATTCAAGACCAACCCGTTCATTTACTGGAATTGGCTGAACGTAGTAGAAGCTTCCGTTCAGTACTCCATCACAAATCACTCGAACCCTATATTGAAATACAACCGAGTGATCTGAAAAACCCAGCCCCTTTCTTCCATATCCGTATCAAGCCTTCCTTTTTGCAATCACGACTGCTTGACCACGAGACGGAAGTAACAAGAGAAGAACAGGAATATTTATTGCAGGATGTGGTGGACGAATGTGCTTATCAAGGAGTTTTAGTGACAAGAGCCAAATATGTCATTGAACAGGAACGTGCATGTCCCAGACCAAGCATCAAGATATCTGTGACCATTGGTCTCACTAAAAAGGAGAATGAAAAAGCGGCGAGCATCGTCAAGAATGCTCTTATCAAGGTGTTTTCGAGATGGAGAAAGTAAAGACCTTACAAAGGAAAGGAAGAATTGTAGAAAAAGGGCTGTTTATTATTTCATGTTTTATTTTCTTTTTGTTATTACAGTTTTACTCAATAATTAATTAGTTTTATTGTTTTGTTTTTTTTTTTTCTTTTTCTTTTTTAATACCACTCTTACTTTTGCCTATCATTACGAGGCTAATTAAATCATGTTGACACATTTGTGACTGAAACGAAACTATCGATCGCTTCAATGTAAAAGCGATGTGGATGCCGTGTCTTGTTGAAACAGGATTGAAACAGAATAAATGAAAGAAATAGGCTTAGAGATCGCTTAAACGTTTTTTTTTCTTTTCAAAGTTGAGTTGTTTGATTTTGCAGCAAAAAAGCGGGTTGTATAAGGCAGTATCCGTTCATGGGTATAGACATCGCTGAAATATGCCTCAACTTAAAGTATAAATCATGGTCGCGAAGGATAAAGAAACGCCCTTTTTTTTGTTTGTTATAAGCAGTCAGGGATAAACATTTCTCGCTTAAACGATCCTTGATCCAGTTTCACTTTTTTTTCCCTTTTTCATGATATGCTCTATCGCTTGCTAAGCAATTGAAAATGAAAGAGTAAAGTGTGTATGTGCCTCTCTGCTACAGTTTCATGAAATGATATAGTCTGCAAACGTCTCACGAGGCCAAAGGAATGGAGAGTGTATACATTAGATATCCGTAAAGATAAGAAATGACTGTTCATGGGAGATTGTAGTTGTACGAAAGGGGGTGGGTGGAAAGTAGGCATCAAATCCGACACCGTTTTTTGGCCTATTTTTTTTTCCCTTGGTTCCTTCCTAAAGGACGATTTTTTTTTTTCTAACATGGGAAAAATGTTCTTTCACGTTCAATGGAAGCTTCTCACTTGCAAGTTGCAAACATTTGCCCCAATGAAATGATGCGGGCAAAATCCAAAAAAGAAGGAAATAAAAAATTAAAGAGCACACGCTTTCTTTTCGTACCCTATAATGTGAATCTGATTTGAAAAAAAAAAAAAAACTTTTTTTATTTTTTTTTTATTGAACAGATCTTTCAAGATCGCTTAGTTCAAATTATTGCAGCTGCTTAGCTTTGACATTGCTTAACAAGCTCAGAATTCAGGGTCTGTTTTTAGACGACAAAAAGGAAGAGGGGTAAGATGATGTGTGGGCATAGCTATGCAGATTGGAACTGATCTAAGACAAAGGATGTGTGTGCATCTGTTAAAATGACGCGGAACGTCACCGGAACAGTTTTGTGATAAACCAATGGAACTTTTTCCACGACTGGAAAAGAAGACTCGTCCTTTCTATCAGATTTCTTATCGAGGAGATCATCTTTTTTGTATTTTTTTTTTTTTTTTTTTCCTCCCTCATTTTGGGCATTTGACCAGTTCAAAAATTAAAGAACAGAAATGAAAATAGGGTCTTTTTACCATGGCAACACCATGAACATTGCTTCTGATAGCTTACGATAAAAGAGAGAGACAGATGCAGCGTCATTTCTAGTTAGAAAGGATGCTCTACCTTTGCGTAAACATCAAGCAAGTGCTGTTATAGATGAAAATTGGCACTACTAAAAAAAGATAAAAAACAAAGGTTTCAAATCCATCCATCAAATTTAGAAGCTGAAAGAAAGAAAAGGAATTATGTACGTAGTATTTTTTTTTTTTGGTTTGGGCCACGTTTCCCTACTTTATCAATCAATATTCGGTACTTGATATGGATTTTAAAGCACGGCCTTTTTGTAACACAACGTATCACAATGCAGCAAATGTGTTTGCATGAATGATGTACGATGATAAAGCATTCATTCTTCAATAAAAGGGATTCACTTGAACTGCTACAAAATGAGTGTTTTCGTTTAAAAAACAAAAAAGATAGCTTGTTGATCGAATACATTAAACTACTGTCATTGTCATTTGTTGATGTAAAATAAATAGAGTTTATTTGTTGGTTGGTTGCGCGCGTATTCTTTTTATGGGCCTTTTTCATTTGCGTTTTCATTCGATTAAAATGGATGATGGACGCGTTTCTTGATATCCACTTGAACACGTTAATATAGGAATGTTGAAATAAACATGCATTTGTTATTTGGCATAAAAAGATGATAATAGAAAGGAACGAGAAGCTTTCTTCTCTGATATCGATTCCTTCTCTTTCTTCAAGCCCAAACTTGTCTTTGTTTATATGAAACCCATGCCGCTGTCGAGATATTTTTTTTTATTTTTTTTTATTTTTTATCGACGCTGAACTCAAGAGGGTAGCCCCGCTAAAATCACTCAGCAACGAGAGTGTTCATAGTGAAAAGCTGTGTTTTTCCACAAGTTCACACGTAATGACATACACACACTCAACATAGGAATGAGGTCAAGACCATATCATTTGATGTGATGTAACTTCTCCTAGATACACATTCCTTGGGCTTTGAATGAAGCTCTTTTCATCTGATCCATTGATTCCCAATATCTCCTATTCATATCGATAAAATCGATAACCATTTAAAACAAAAAAAAAAAATCGAGAAATCGATCATCCCAGCGAGCTTTTTTTTTTTTTTGGTTTAATCAATCACCGTTCATCTATGAAAAAATTAAAGTTTTCTGAGAAGGAAAAATTGTCGGCTGATTTTGGATTCACCCTTTTCTCCTTTTACACGTTGCTCGCTGGATTTCAGAAACAAGGGTTTCAGTTTATTTAACACGCTTTTTCTTTGCGTCCATCAGATTTACCGCATAAAAAAAAAAAAAGAAGCCTGTAAAAAAAATATAAAAACGACTCTATCTGTCCCCGTTTTGATAGAGTTTTTCTTTTCTTTTTTTTCTTCATCTTCATATTATTTAATTAAAAATGTCTGAAACTTTCCTCGCTTACGCTTGTAAGGGCAAGAGTACGTATCTATTCCAATCTATTTTTATTATGATCAGCTGTTTATCCTTGTTTCGATCCATGGCATGCTAATCAATAAAAAAAAACGCGTGTTTGAATGAATAGGCCAACCTCTTGAACCCATGGAAGTCAACTTCTGTACTTGGGATGATGATATGGTCCAAATGGATGTCATCTGTTGTGGTGTCTGTGGTACTGATATCGTAAGTAGTCAATCTCTATGGGATCAGTTTTTTTGTATTATACCCAAGAACGGCATGATTCATTTCTCGTGGTTTTTTTTTTTTTGGATCCAACTATAGCACACCATCGATGAAGGTTGGGGTCCCACTGAATTCCCTTGTGTTGTCGGTCACGAAATCATCGGTACCGTAACCAAGGTTGGTAAGAACGTCCAACGTATCAAGGTTGGTGATCGTTGTGGTGTCGGTTGTCAATCCGCCTCTTGCGGTAAGTGTGACTTCTGTAAAAAGGGTATGGAAAACTTGTGTTCCACCCACGCCGTCTGGACCTTCAACGATCGTTATGACAACGCTACCAAGGACAAGACCTATGGTGGTTTCGCTCAAAAGTGGAGAGGTAACCAAGACTTTGTCGTCAAGATCCCCGATGACTTCTCCTCTGAAGTTGCTGCCTCTTTCCTCTGTGGTGGTGTCACTACCTACGCTCCCCTCAAGCGTTACGGTGTCGGTAAGGGCTCCAAGGTTGCCGTCCTCGGTCTTGGTGGTCTTGGTCACTTTGGTGTCCAATGGGCTAAGGCTATGGGTGCCGAAGTTGTTGCCTTTGATGTCATCCCTGACAAGGTTGATGATGCCAAGAAGCTCGGTTGTGATGACTACGTTCTCATGCAAAAGGAAGACCAAATGGAACCTCACTACAACACCTTCACTCACATTCTTGCCACCAAGATTGTCAACAAGTGCTGGCCTCAATACATGAAGATGCTCAAGAACAACGGTGTCTTCATGCAATGTGATATTCCTGAAGAACCCCTCTCCAACATTCCTCCTCTTGTCATGGCTGGTAAGCAAATCACCATCGCCGGTACCTTCATTGGTGCTCCTGGTGTCATCCAAGAATGTCTTGACTTTGCTGCCAAGAACAACGTCCGCACCTGGGTCAACACCTTCCCCATGGAAAAGATCAACGAAGCTATGCAATTCGTCCGTGAAGCCAAGCCTCGTTACCGTGCTGTCTGCATGAACTAAATTTTTTAGCTCATCAGCCTCCTCTTTTCTCTCTTCCCCCCCTACCTCAATTCAATCTATAATTTCTGCATTTTTCTTAATATCATAAAAATTTTGAAATAAAAATTTTTGCATGTAATTTTAATACGTTTTGTAAATATAAAACCATTCCACCCCACTCCATCGCGCCTTATTTTTTGAGATTATTTGTTTAGGATGCGGTCATCCGAGTTCGTTTCAATTCATGCAAGAACGGTTTGTCTCTCACTGGGCCGAGTGGCTTGCCATAGCAATGAAATCAGTGGGACTGTTCTATCCGTTTTCTTTCATCATCACCTCAAACAGTCAAGACGCGCGGTATCATTGATTGTTCATTCCATCATGGTGGTTGGAGATACATCAGGAATCAAGTTTTATTTTCTTTGCCCTCTTCTGGGGTGCGGGACATGCCCTTCCCCATAAAATGACTTTTTCAGTTTTCGCGATAGAAGAGACCTCCCTTCCTACATTACGTGAGTAAAGGTGTTTGTTCATCCACCACGTGGGCAGAGAAAGCAGCGGTTTCCATGTCAGCAGTAGTCGTTGGAGCCTTAGCAGCAGGATAAGGATCGTCCACTTTCTTGGGAAGGAGTCCCTTTTCGCGTCGATAGTCATCTGCTACCCATAAGGCAGCTCCTACGATATTTGTCCAAACAAAGACAATGTTCATAATGGGAACCAGCTCCAACGCAAAGGCGATCGACCCAAAATTGGCATAACGCCATTTATTTGTTTTCGCATGACGGTACGATTCAGACACTCTATATCCGCGTAGCTCAATATCGTAATGCAATCGTTGACTCCATCTAAAAGAAGAACACAAGTCAAAATAAAAGGATTCTCTATCCGTTCCCCCGCTTGTTTGGAACAAAAAAGCATCCAACTTACGCCGTTGGAAATCCGCTAATGTAGCATGCCACAAAAGTACCAAGAAAAGGTACAAGTTGTAAAGGCAAAGTGAATACCAACAATAAGATCTATTTTAAATTTTCAATAGAAAAAAGAAAAGTGGTGGGCGGGTGGGTCCGTCTAGGATGACGTTTTCTCCTTCCCAATGTATCCTCCCTCCCTCCCATAAGTCAGTGAGTTTACCTTCACGGCAATCAGATACCAAGTCACTAGAACTGTCGATCGCACACTTCGCCAACACAAAACCAACTTGGGTATCTCTCTTCTTTCTTCCTCTTCAAAAATGCAATGCAAACCACACGCTTCTAACGTAGCATCGAAAACGGCGTCTTGAAACATAGGTACAAGGAGAGCAAAAAACACCAAGTTCAGAATAGCACTCTCCAGTACAGTCGATAGGATGGACACAAACCACGACATCCAAGGGGGCCAGTGCCATTCTATCAGCTTTTCGGCTTGATGTGGAAGAAGGAACTTGATAGACACACCAATGGAGAAGGCGCTGAAAATAAGTGTAAGCGCAATAGGGCTTACCGTTTTAAGCCATAACACTTTGGGGTTTGTCAAGAAAAAGTAAACCCCTTTGAGAGGGTAAATAAAGGATGGCATCGTCTTTTATGAACTACTGTTACGTTGTTGCTTGGAGGAACAAGGAGAAAAAAAGGGGGATCAGTAAGATAATGAATGGGACAACAAGTCAAAAAGAAAGTTAAACTTTGAGGCTTATTCTTGTCCCTTTCTTTTTTGACCTTTGTACGTTGATGAATAAAGTAACACAACAAGATACTAAAAAAGAATGCATCTGCTCCAAGCATCCACTCATGATTGCTTTGCATCATGGACGAACGAACGCAGAGTATCATTGCAGCAGTAAAAAAAAAACAAAAAAACGTCATTGCGCTTCCAAAAGCATTCCTTAAAGAGCAGATGCATGCACACCCCTTTAACATTTGGAAAACGCGCATTCCATTGGAAATATGTACATCCTATGTCGGCTTTTCGCTGACCGAAGCAGAGAATGACGACGCTTTACTGTTCTCTCATGACATAAACCTTTCTCAGCTAAACCAAAATGGCGTTTAACATCAGGACTCTTTTCAAGACAGCGCTTTCTGTTCAATATCTTTTTATTTTTTTTATTATTCATGATACAGCTATTTTCTTCACATCAAAGTAGAAGGGGGAAACCGATGCAAAGCATACAAAAGTTTGTATGAAATGATGTTGCAAATTGTACATTGATTAGAAGAAGGAGCAACGTTTAAATAGGAGATACAAATACTATGCCTTTTGTTGCTTTCATTCGCAGTCATTGAAAGGCAGTTACAATTGTTTTCATAAAGTATATAAACGCGCTCATTTTTCTGAATTCCGCTTCTTTTTTTCTTTACTCGGAAATCAGCTCAGCAACAAATATTGCAGAAGCTTTGATTTTTGAATTGGTTTCCTCTGTGTAGATGGGCCTAGTACTCCTATTGTATCATGATGGTCCTTCTATTCATGTGTAATGCTGGTTGTTGCCACTTGCCTGAAATAGGTGTCTGTCGGTTCCTCGTGAGTCGGTAGCATAAGGGTAATGTCAACCAATCCCATGGGCAGCCATGTTGATGTCTCTCCTCGTGGGGGCTGCCTGGGCAACTACTCTCCTAGAGAATAGGCTAAAATATCAACACCTTTTTTTTAATACATATTTAAAATGCAAATGAAAAATAAAAAATTTTCTTTATATTGTGATTCATTTACTGCACACTCAAATATTGACGAAGAGCAAAAAAATCGTCAGATAGTAACTGCAAGATCAAAGTTCAAGAGGGCCTTTTCAATCACACAAGAACAAAAAAAAAATAAATAAATAAAAAAAGCCGGCAGTGGAAATAGAGAAGCCACCCACTTGTCCCAGGTAACTCAATCCTACGTCAAGGAGCAAAATAAAGTCGAGAGTATGTATCCATCATCCATTAAAAGAACAAAGGAAAGGCACCTTGAAATGCACTCGAACCATGATAGTTGCTTGAACATAGACGTCATTCGTAGCAAGCGTATGCCGTCCGGAACGTAAGGTTCGTACTGTATCTGTGGCTCACCATCGTATACAGGAAAACTGCTGACACAAGCAGCCTCCCTGCTTTGCAAGCAAAACACGAATCAACATGTGATAGTTTTCAGGCAACAGGTTGCCTTTACTCTCCATTATGTAATATCTATTTCGGTCTGTAGGACACTCTATGGTATCAATATCACAGAGTTTCTTGTATTTAAAACGACAATAGAATAGTTGCAAGGAAGCTAAGAAAGCCTGCATTCGAACGATAGGTTTCACCCAAAAACAAAACGCTCTTAAATTGTTAAAGATAATCATCGGCTAGAAAATGAAAAAAAAAAAGTGTCTGGACCGGAGAAAGAGAGCGACGGCTTGTTTTGAGAGAAAACTGTCAAAGTGGCGGGTCACCTACTCCTGTCAAATTTTTTTTTTTTTTTGTTCCAACGATAATCTATCAGGCAAAAGAAACGTTAAACCGATAAGGCTTGCTTTCAAGAAGCAAAGAGTACTGTCTTCTCTCATGATGCCTTATCTACCTTTGCTATTATGATTCACGTTTCTTTCCACTGCCGTACATGATAGAAAACTGGAAAAAAAAAACTTGAAAAGCAGTCTACTTTTTTTTTTTTTTTTTTTTTTTTTTTATATTGCTATTTTTTTTATTTTTTTTTTTTTGATTCACAGATATTCCTTTATTTTTTTCTCGGTTAGAAACAATGCCTTTTTCCTAATTGAATAGTTTTTTTTTTCCCCTCCTTTGTTTTCCTTACATTTATCATCTACATATATATATGTCTATCATTCATAAAATTATAGATAGAGCAACGAACACGCGCCACCATCAGAATAGCTCGAATAACAGTATGGAAGAATCATCCGTATCAAGTAGTAATGGTAATACTGTCAATAAGCGTCGATCCTTTTTTGGTTTTGGCTCGTTATCTTCAGCTTCATCATCGTCATCAACAAATGGTAGTACAAACCATAACAATAAACAACGTAATAGTAGCAGCAGTAACTCAATGCAGGTAGCGCAACATCAGCAACCATCGCCAACAACAGCCGAGAATACCAGTGCGTCTACTGGGTCAGCATCAGTATTACAGCATATAAAAGAAGAGGAAGAAGAAGGTACAAGTGCAAAGACATTGTTCTGCTGCTTCATTTCTTTGCTTCACCCGACTGACGCGAATACCCTATTTTATCTATTTTACTTTCCCCCCCCCTCTGATATTGCTTGCTCACAGATAAACACAATGATAGAATGAGCGCCGAAGAGAAAGAACGAAATTTTCTTCGTCAACAATACCTCAATTATGATCGCATCATTCTTGCCCAACGCAACCCAATAGGAAGTGACGGTCGACCAAAACGTCCTAAACTTAAAATCGACGATTTCCATCTTTTACGTACACTAGGCACTGGCTCTTTTGGTCGTGTGCATCTTGCTCAGTCGAAACACAATGGCCGCTTTTATGCCATCAAAGTATTGGAGAAAGCCAAGCTTGTGCGATTGAAGCAAGTGGAGCATACCAACTCTGAAAAGCATATTCTCGAAACAGCTGCTCATCCTTTTATGGTGAATTTATGGGGTACGTTTCAAGATGATCGAAATTTGTACATGATTTTTGATTATGTACCAGGAGGAGAGTTATTTAGTGTTTTAAGAAAGAATCATGTAAGTAAATCTGATGCATTGATATTCTTTTGCTGTTCTTTGCTGGCAAGGATATCATGATGACTCTTCATTCTGTGGATGAGCCACCAGAGAAAAAAAAAACAAAAAAAAAAAAAAAAACGCGTTGTATTGATTTCATCTTTTGCTTTTTTTTTTTTTTTTTTTTTTCATCAAGCGTTTCCCGGATCATGTCGCTAAATTTTACGCAGCGGAAGTGCTACTAGCACTTGAATATTTCCACTCAAAGCATATTGTCTATAGAGACCTCAAGCCGGAAAACCTGTTACTGGATTCACAAGGACATATCAAAATTACCGATTTTGGGTTTGCAAAATACGTGCCTGATGTAACCTGGACATTGTGTGGTACACCCGATTATTTAGCTCCGGAAATAATCCAGTCCAAAGGATACGGTATGGCAGCAGATTGGTGGAGCCTGGGCATCCTCATCTTCGAAATGTTGGCAGGGTAAATATGGTACATACGACAGCCGTAGGCTTATATCATCAGTGTGTTGACGGATAAATCTCTCCCATTTCACTCTTTAGTCATCCACCTTTTTATGATGATGATCACTTGAAACTTTACGAAAAGATTATTGCAGGCAAAATCCGATGGCCTAGTTATTTCGATCCACATGCAAAAGACTTGCTGAAGCGCCTTTTAACAGCCGACTTATCACGCCGTTATGGCAACTTAAAAGGAGGAGCAGAAGATATAAAACGCCATAAATGGTTCGCAGGAGTAGATTTCATAAAACTGGCTAACCGACAAGTGAAATCACCCTATATACCAAAGATCCGTTTCGAAGGTGATGCATCACATTTTGATACCTATCCAGAAGAGTCAACTCTAAACTATGGTGTGGTGGGGGCAGGTCCTGATCCATATCGTGAAAAGTTTCCAGATTTCTAGTTCAAGTCATAGTAGTCATAGTAGTAGTAGTAGTAGTAGTAGTAGTATTTCATTATTTATTACATTCTTACAATTTTATAAACGTCTAGAGGGTATGGCACAAAATAGGATGGTGCAAGTGATAGAAATGATAGTAATGACAAATAATAACCAGATGGATCGAGGAATTAATATTCGTTTGACTTGTGGCTGCTTGATAGTATTGAATTTGAATGTAGTCGTTTCACTATAAACGATGGATCAATCATTGTCAATACAGAATTTTGGGAAACCATTTCATTGTTGTATTCTTTACCTTTTGTTGAATACAAGCACCCAAATAGGATCTAAACCTGTTAGGAACACTAGCAAATTATAAATACCAAACCAGTAGGGTAGCAGAAGCTAGATATATATACAACTGTTCATTAGAGACATTCATGGTTCAATGGCGCAAAAACAATGGGGGGCGGTGGGCAAAATAGCTAAATATCAAGTTCACTTACCCAAAACCTTTTGCCCCATTGTGCATAACCCAAGAAAATGAACGATAGTGAAGTCGTTAAAGCAGCCAACAAGCATAACAATCCAATAACGAGTCTTCCCAATTGTTGATGTAGTGTAATGTTTCCCCACACTTTGAGTCGAAGAAATTTAGGATAACAGTATGTTTGTAAATGATTAAAAACGTATTGTTTTGCTTCCTGGAATAGAAGAGGATCGTCTCTTCTTGGTTGAACCGTGGCAGGTGATGGAGAGGATGCTGAGGATGCAGTGTGGGGGAGCAACTCTTCTTCTCTTTCCAACTCATGCCGTAGTCTTTGTACCAAGTCGTTGGGTAAAAATGCTGTGATATCTTTTGTAGCAGAAGGTACCAAATAGCGTAAAAGCAATCTCTGTGCGGATTCGGTTACATCTTGTTTACTAAGATTGTGAAATATGAAATCTGTAGCTGTACTCGATATTGTTCGTACCGAAGAGGCATTTTGAGGAATAGGCGAGGGAGTTTGCAACCGCTGTGGAGTGCTATACTCAGATAATCGACTTAGAATGCGGGGAGATTGATATCCATCTGACAGGTCGGTTTCCGTCAAGAAACCAGTTTTATATAACTGCTTTATATATTTGTTCCATAACAGTTCGTGGTGTTGCAAATCAAGATAGAAGTCTAATAACTCCTCTTGCTTTAATCGGTCTCTCATAACTATATAAAAGTTGTATAGACAGACAGGTGGTAAGGTTTTTCTATGCAGAACTTGATCCAACGTAGGCAAATCGTCATAAGCAGTACTGATATGCTCTTGTTTCTCATTGTCGGCAGTCGCAGTAGTGGTAGAGATCATTTTAAAGTAATGATGATACGTCTGTTAAGAAAAAAAAAAAAAAAAAAAAAAAGGTACGAAAAATAGAAAAAAGAAAAGTTTTCAAAAAAAGATAAAAAGAATGAGGAGTAAATTTAATGAGCTTTGATTGGTTTGTGACACTTTGAACAATGAAGTAAAAATGATTTGAATCACAAAAAAGCATGAATTTCTTTTTTTTTTTTTTTTTTTTTTTTTTTCTTCTTCTTTTTTTTTAAAATACTTGTATATTTTTCACTATTAGAGATGCATCCTACAATTGTAAATATCCCTTCTTCTTCTTCTGTAAATACACTTGATAACTACTTCAAACCAAAGAATAATATGACCACGAACAATAGTAAAATTAGATTTGTCTGTATTTCTGACACGCATGGCAAAATCAATTTCAGTATACCAAAAGGGGACATACTAAGTAGAGTGCGCAACCTGCAAACAACACTTTGATTATGTTTTTACAGCACACGACTAATATATGCATCTTTAATTTATTGCTTAGTTCATTCTGGTGACTTGACAAAGAAAAGCTCACTCGATGAATACTTAAAGACGATACAATGGTTGGGATCTTTACCTCACAGGTTAGTAGCAGCAGTAACATGGCGCAGTAACAATCCAATGGATCGTCACAGGTTTGTAACATAGAAAATCCTTTAGACTCAAAATTGTTATAGCCGGTAATCACGACCATGCACTTGACGAGTGCTTCGGACATATTGAACACCGTCAAACCATTCTATCTCTCATGGAACACCATGGCCTCATTTATCTCGAGCACGAGCTCTTTACCTTACCTCCTTCGCTAGGCGGTTATACCCTTTTTGGATCCCCCTACTCTCCTATTCACCTCGGTGGAGCATTTATGCTAGATGACAAAGGCATGTCTGAAATTTGGAATGATATACCCTCAGGCGTAGATATACTAGTAACACATACACCGCCGTATGGATTCTGTGATCGGATTATGTATCGGCAGAAGCAACACGTCGGATGTAAGTATCTCAGACAAAAAATCGAGGACGTGATCAAGCCAAAAGTATCGATTTTTGGCCACATTCACGAAGCGCATGGTAGTGTTGTGGATAAGGCAACAGGAAGACTATATATCAATGGTAGTTTATGTGACTATCGATATAGAGCAAACCAAACACCCATCACATTTGACATACCGAAAAAGTGAAAATAACTCTGACTTTACATCCCCCTATTTTATTTAATCTTACACGAAACTTTTCAGACATATTACATTGCTATTTATTTCATGAATAAAAAGGAATCCTTCCCTTTTCGTTATCCATAATGAAAAGAAGAATTTTTCTAATATTCTTCTTTTCCTGCTTTGGTTTCATTGTTTATCTTTTATTCAACAAAAGTAACCACCACAATACGAAGACCATTGTCACTGACAGTGAGCAAAAACAGAAAAGACAAAATGTCACCAAACAAACAGTTCTACAATTAGACATCGATGATGGATCGAAAACATATTGGGATTTTCCTTGGTATCAAGCCAAACATACTCGACCTCGATTTAAGCCTAATGTCAACATCACAACTACTCATCGTACACCAGAAGAGCGCCTTGCTATACAGCGATTAGCTGTAGAGAAAGCAAAGCGCTTGGCAGACAAAATCCTCGGTATTCAAACACTCAGGGGCACACGATTGGCAGACCAACACCCTCAAAAAACACTAGAATTCAGACAAATGGTTGATTGTTGGTTAACGCAAGGACAGTGGGTAAAAAAGGAGGATGTGTTTCACTTGAAGCATATCCAGGATCCTTTGTACAGTACTTGTGATAAGCAGAATAGAAAAGAATCGCTTGCTTATGAATGGGTCATATCGAATCAATGTCCAGCCACTGCCCCATCTTCGAGTCATTTTAAAGCAGTAGATAGTCAAAGATGGTGTAAAGCAATCAACGGTCGACATATGCTCCTTGTGGGTGATTTAGTTCATTATCAATATCATGAAGTTCTACTAGATGCTTTTCGAACAGAGCCTAGCGTGTGTTATGGCGAACTCAATTGCAAAGATCACACTATTTGCAGTGATGGCACTACCAATGGTGAACAAGAAGATACACGTTTACGTTATATACGAAATGATATCCTATCCACCCGTCGTCGCCCTCCTCAAAATGCCATTACTCACATTGCTTCGGCTTATCCAAACATTATAGAATGGCCCTTCGCTACTACTCAACTACTCACCACTTATCCAATTCTTATCCTCAGTCGGACAGCTGTACTTAATGATAGCGACGATCAGTTTACAAAACAGCTTCTTCATACTCTAAAATTGATTCGTGATCACGCTCCCAACACATTAATTATTTATACATCGTCCATGATTGGACATCCATTTTGTCAAGATGCTCGACACCCTTTACTGCAGCCCAATGGATTCACTGATGAACATTATGCAAAATTACCTTATGGATGGAGTGAGACACAACGACGAAATGCTATTGCTCGGGTGATCATAGAAGCAAGTGGAGGGTTATTTTTGGACGTAACCGAAAAAATGCTATCTACAAGGCCAGATGGACACATTGCTAAACATGGCGACTGCTCAAGATACTGTATACCTGGCCCCTTAGACAGCTTGATACCGCTTTTATACAACATTTTTATACAATTACTCTAAATAAATAGAAATCCTATGGTTATGAATGTTATTGGCCATGATAAGACTGAGATTCAAGGTATTCTGACCAGCTGATCAAGCCACTATTATTATTTGTCATGTAAGCAGTTTTATAGATGAGTATACTTTCATTTCTGTCAAGAATCTCAACTTACTCGCCGTCCATGTCGTCCTCCAATAATACATGATCCACCATTTCTGTAACTTCCTCTAGCGGAATCTGGAACGAAGAAGCAACATTATCATCATTCTTGTTATTTTCTCCGTGGCCAACAAAATCTGTAAACGCTTCTCTTAATTCATGCCCGTCCAAAAACCCGTCTCCGTTTAAATCATGAATCAGGAACAGATAATAGATCATATCTTCTTCGCCCAACTCAGGTGGTAAAGTTCCTAGCTCTTCAGCCTTTTCCATAAGTACCTGTAGATGCTCTCTAATATGACTACATATAGTCATTGTGTGGGACGAGTAAGCAGTGTTTCTGTTAGGTTAGAGTAAGTATAAACTTACGCTTTAGTGTCCTCATCATCGCCTCCATAGTTCGAATGATCTTGATTTCGAAACTCGATCGACGCATGTACTATGCGTGAGCTGCATAGGCATAATAGTATTCCAATATAGAGTATAAGTGCTAAGCTAAGTGAGTTTAACTTCGATGTCATTTTATTAGTATAAGAAGGAATAAAAAAGTTGAACATAAATGAACCAGAAATCTGCTCAGATCTTATTGTTTGTCTAGCATGCCAACTCAGACTTTATGTAGCACACTCATTCAGATGCGTATCATTTATTTCATTTGTTCTTTTATCGTACCTGCAGTGCTCACCCCCCTATAAAGTGACATGCAATAATCATCAACTTTTCAACTAAATGGATCCATTTAGTACTTCTCTTCCGTTTGTCATTCAGTATACAGTAAAAAAGTTGGACTATGTTGGCTTCTTCGAGTGTGTTTGAATCACTATCCTCTATACCCTGGCAAAAGAAATTGTCAAAAAGCTATTCAGACAATTTTACTCACTACAACGATGGTATAGAAATATGCGTATTGCGGTTGCTATCTACATACCACAGCCACTAACTGACAACTGCAAATTATCATTGGCAGTCTTTGTTTCTATGTCTAAGCTTAAACGATCAGGTGACGTTGCCATGCATTGCTTACCATTTAGAGGGCTCCTAGAAGACGATAGTCATTTCTTAAAGTTTCAGCTTGCTATAAACGATAGCTTGTTAATGGGTGATATCAAAGCCGATCCAAAAGCTAAACTTAGTTGGTAAGTAGGTGAAATGTAATTTGGATCTTTATCTCGACAGCTAAAGTAACATGGAAGCAACAAACGTACGTTTAATTTAGGATCATGCCAAAAACCAAAGAATACTACAATATCACTGGAAAATTCTACATAGCATCGGCACCTACGCAATTGACGCGGTTTCCACCCCCAAAAATAAGTAGTAATGATGGACAGACTACCGCTGATTATTGGGAGCAGCAGAGATTAAACGAGTGGAATAAACTAAGTTCGAAAGCGAGAGCCACATTCACTTGGCCGTCACGAGCGGAAACGCCCAAGTCTGCCTTCAAATCATTCAACTGTCAATCTCTTGATAAAAGCCAGAAATCAGTACTGCATGAAATAGCCTTGGATAATTTTTGTTTACTGGTATTTAAAGTGACAGATGTTGAACATCTTGATTATTCCTGCTTTCCACCGAAACGAACAGTATGTACTTGTCGCGTATTGAACTGTGTACGTCAACAAGTATTAACCGATTTCTTGTGCATTATAGTTATACATTCATTCAGCAAAAGCTGATTCTTGGGACATCCAATCAGCAAACCCATAATAGCATTTTTTAACATATCAATCATATTTATCATACTACATTTATCTTTTCTTTTTCCTTTTTTATTTAAGAGAATACTATATTATTTTACGTGAATATTCAGTATCGACCTGGTTATGGCCTATATTCCTTAATAGATGTAAATATGATATCATGCGCTTGTGATAATCCGCCAGTACTGGCAGAGAACCCTACCCATGCTTTCTCTTTTGGCAATAAGTAATCCAAGAAATTATGTCCAGTAACTTTTAGGACTTGTATAAATTTATCGTCACTATTTTCTGCAAGGCCCACTTCAATTGTTCCATTTACTATCAGTCTAACCAAAGCTTTCATCCACGAGCCATTTTGCAATGAAGGAATACGTGAAGTATGACCCAGCGAGTAATCGTGGTGTGCTGAATTCCCTAGCGGTGGGTTACGCGCATGTATGCTTATATGGTTCCCTGAAGGGTCTGCACATCTGTCTGAACTATTTAAAGGGTTGCATAGTATGCTTGAAGATTTAGTTCCTCTGCTGTTCAACTACTAAGAATTTATGCAATAATACCTTTGATAAGTATCAAACTCGATGGCTAGACTTTAAAGCGTAATAAAAGTTATAAGTAAGGATATTGGGGGGGGGAGGGCAACATCCCTTCACTTTTTGTATTACCTATATTGAATACCCCCATAGCCTAGTTCGCATCCACCACTTCCCAAAGCATCTTCAGACTGTCCTTGTATGACAAATGCAAAACCGTCAGCGCCATTGAACGCAGGCAAACCATTTTGATCTGTAATGCGAAATTTAAATTCCACTTCCAAGGCTTCTAAACCATCGTTTAATGGAATGGGGTGCTTACAAAATGCAGCGCCTCGTTGATCTGGCACTGCTTTTGTAAGGCGAATCATTTGATTTTCTGTAGCATCTGCTACGCCTTCTGTTGTTAGAATAGACGAGTCGCCAAGCAATCGAACCTCAACGTCCCTTCTTATGAACAACCTTGACAATTCTAAAGAAAAAATAATTAGAAGGCAATTATAATATTGAAGCACTCAAAATTATAATGAATTTATGGTTTTTACTCAATGCTGTAATATCCAATGTTGCCATCCAATTTTCTGTCTGAGCAATAGCAGTCGTACCTGTTTCCCCTCGTTTCGTACGCCAAGCTAGTGAACCTTTTAAGACTACCGTAAACGAACTCACTCTAAAGGAAGGATACTTTTTCATATGTTTTACATTATTGGTACTTACCACTATGTCTGCCTATCATCTCGTCTTTCTTTATGATCGCTCTTTTACTGGTTTCTTCCAACTCTTTCAATTCCTGTACGCGTCTTTCATTCAATGCGTCTTTCTGTTCGGAACTTAAATTTTTCTGCCGTTCTTCGGTTAAAGTATGCAAAAACTAAAATAGCATTAAAAACGTAAACAGTTAATGGATTTGCAATCGTTATATGAATGCACTGATTTACCAAATTTAACTCTATTTCTCGCACTCTATTACGTCTTTTGAGTACTTCTGGCCAATTCCTGGTATATCTTTTTGTCACATCGACTGCTTCAACAGCAGAAAATGCTGTGCAGTAACTCAGCTGCTTATTCCAGCCTACACTGTATAATAAAGGCTATTGTAGCCATTAAGAATACTTATCTCATCTTTAATTTTTCGCTTGTCATAAGTCTTACTTTATCCCAAGCTTCTTCGCAAGAGTCACAATGCACCCAGCGCTTTTCAAAATCAGAGTATACTTCGGTCCAAACATGGTCTGTTGTATCGTATACGATACGCGCCTCTGCTCCGACTGCTCTACAACATAATGTAAAACACTGATAGTTCGAATAAGTAAGGTATGATTAACATGCAATAATGCGTTTTGGGAAGAACTTGTTTTATGTCGCACTATACATTTGCCCATTCACCGCATCTTCCTCGACGTGTTTCTAATAACTTTCCTGGGTCACTTTAGATATTGTAATTAGACTATACTAGTAGTTGTCCATTAGCTTTTTCAGATTAATAAAACTTACTTATATCTTGGAAATCGAGTTGTATTGTTGCATGACGAGCACATATATAATTCAACAACATGTGCACCATATTTCATATCATCGGAATTGGGTTGAGTGTGCCCAATTGATTGGGTTTGTTCCTGTATTCAGCAGTTACATATGAATACTAAAACTGCTATCATTAAATATCTATGAGCTTCTCTAACTTACACTGCGGCAATAGTCGCAAGGAGCATTATTCACCCAACTAAAAAACTCATTTTTGAACCAGTATAATAGTCTTCTAATAACTGCGTCTTCCAAGGATCCTTCACGGTCTTGTTCGTTAAGCTCGTTCTCAGCTTCCTCATAGAGTCTTTGAAGAGGTATACAGTCTAAAGCGCGATCCTATTACGCCGTTTATTGCTATACAGTTATTTAATCGGTTGTAAATCTTATTTTCGTAAAGGAAACGCCAGCTTTACCATTAAGCGTTGATCGTCATGCTTAAAGGCAATGCTGCCATTCTTTTCCAGCTGATGCAGGAACGATCTGACGCGCACATCCGAGGATTGCTTTACATGACTTTTCAACAAAGTCAACCATTTTTGAGTAATTTGGCGTGCAATATTATCAGCTTCTCGGAAGTTCATTATAACAAGAATAAGTAAAAGGACACCAATACTGACGACGAAACTCATTCAATGAATGAAAGAGATGGTGCTAAGAAAATGGGCCTTTTTCATTGGCTCAAATAGTGATGTTCATGTGAAATTGATTTCTTCTATTGCCCTGAAAGACAATTTTTTGTGTATGAGCGTATCCCACAAGCATTGTTTCTACGCAGATCTCCTAAAATTGTAGTTTTGTGGTAGGATATTATTTTTAGCTCTCGTTGGGACTGCATCTTTCTCTATCCCTATTGCATGATATACTAGCTCTCCCTCTTTTTTATCATGTCTCCCTTTTATCTGAAGAGAATTACAATGTGGCATGCTGTAAACAACGAAACAGAAGTCCCCGTACATCTTTTTCTTCTTACTCGTCTTTTTGTTTGATTTTTTCAAAAAATCTCTAACTTGATATCGTAATGCGCTTGCTTAGTATAACACTTATAATATCACTCTCGATACTCTTCGTTGATGGACGAAAAGTATACAAAAGAGGTTTGAGCAATAAAAATTGAGAGAACTTCATTTTACTGTATCTAAATTTTACTTCTGCCTCTTATAGCCGAAGAAACAGGTACTATATTGCTCATAGTTCAACAAGAAGAGAAAGGAAAGGATTTAAAAAGTCGCTGTTGACAATATTATTTTGGTAAATAGGTAGCGTGTCATCACCCTCAGCTCAAGAAACCTTAGTTTCAAGCAGTCAACCGCAAGCAACTTCTATAGCTGTCGCTACAGCGCAAACAGGATCAGGAAGTCCAGTAATTGGAAGCACAGCTGCTTTCTCAGGAAATGGAACACAAGCAAATGCGACTCAATCAGCTCCTGTTAATAATGCCAACCCGTTCGCAGGCAAACCCACTTATGCATCTTTTTCGAACGATATACCACCTGCTTATTTGACATGGAAAAAACCTATTCCTAATCAAACTTTCCCTCCATTATACAAAATTGGCGTCTCTAATATAACTTTTGAGTGGACAGTAGATCCAAAAGTACTAAAGGTTCAGCCTGCTAATTTGACAGTAGCTTTGGCAAATCCACAAAAGCAAACTTACACGGCAGCCGTTGTTCCAGGCACGGCAACATCAGCTAATTGGGATTTGGCTCGTTTACCGCCAGAGTCACCATTGATGGTAGGTTACTATACCGTTTGGGTGTATGATCAGAGAGGACCTAAAGCATTTCCTAGTCCTGGCTGGTTGATGCCGGATTCAAGATTGGTCGTCGCTATGTATTCTACAGAAGCATATGTCGGTAGAACAGATTGTAAGTATCATCTTCACTTTTCCTAACGTAAAGACAAAAGAACGTGAGTTCCTTATTATTATACATGACTAACAAACTGCTTCTTTTTTCCTTTCGACATTCATATAGCCATGTTTTGTCCTACATGCTATTTGGGTGGAAGTAGATCATTTCATGAATCCTTTATGCCACTGATAACAGCCGTTGGTGTTGCAGTTATAACGTCAATTGTAATACTTGTTTCAGCCCTTAAATGATCGTTAACTTGCTTTTAAAAGCTTAATATATACCTCACAATTGAACTTATTTAAAATAAATTGAGACTGTACAGTACGCACTTTATACCAAACCACGTCTTTTATATAACATACATATAAGAAGGAGGGTTGAGTTACATTTTACAAATTCAGACGCTTCTTTGCGTAGGAAAATTTGGAGGGAAACAATAAATATACAATGGGAGGGGGGAATAGTTTAACATTGATGATTGTCATTAGATTTGGACATAGCAGACATAGCCTCCTGTAATTTTCTCTGCTGTTCTTCAAATCGACGTTGCTCTTCAAGCATTTTACGCTGCTGCTCTTGCATCTTCTTTTGTTGTTCTTCAAGCGCCAATTGAGCTTGTTGAACGGCTTGACGTCTCCTCTCCAGATCCATCTCTGAGCGTTTTTTCATGAGATACTCAATTGCTTTGTGTATATCTGCAACCAAAGCAACTTTGCATGAATTGCAGTGTTTCCTGGTAAGTTCACTACGCATATGGAACAACAGCATTTGACAATCTGAATTGAACCCTACACGTCGGTCTACTTCAGCTAGTTTATTCAGTTCCAGATTAAAGTAATCAAACGCTGACTTGTAGTACAGTTTGACTGCTTCGTCTACTATTGCTTTAGTATTGGCATCCTCAACGTTAGGAGTGTGGAAGATTTCACTAGCCAAACGTACGCTGAAGTTTTTTGCTACTCCTTTCCATATCTCATTGGTTTTGTCAACTACACCTTGAATGAAACCAGTGGAAAGAATATATTTGCGAAGTAGCTCTTCATTCGGAGTGAAGAAGGCTTGCGAAATGGAAGGGATCGTTTTCGTACTGACATTCTGGACGGCTGTGGGCGTGGGTAATGCTGTAGAGGAGGAACCATTATTTAAATTAGAAGGAGGCACGGGCTGTGGTATTGAGTGATGCTGTGCAGTTTGCAAACCTTGATTAGACTGGGGGTTAATTGGAAATTGATTGACCTGTACGTTGTACTGTTGCACTAATGCGGGTGGATAATGGTTCTGGACGGGTGGTTGACTGTTTTGAGCGGGCTGAAAGTCACTCGAAGGTTGGGTAGAATACTGAGGTAACTGTATACATGTATTCTGAAAAGTTTGCGCATTTTGAACCTGTTGTCCAAATGTATTTTGAGGAAGTTGCGTACACGGAACCTGTTGTCCATATGTATTTTGGGGAGGTTGCATTGCTGGAACCTGTTGTCCATTGTTATTTTGAGGAAGTTGCGTTGCTGGAACCTGCTGCATGTATGTAATTGAGGGTGTCTGCACACCTGGAGCCTGCACATGCGGTATTCCTGTTTGCCCCTCCAACAGATGAGCAGATGGTTGGACGTAACCAGCAGACGTATTTGCTGGACTAGGGTTTCCGATCGGCGAAATAGGCAATGGATCTATTCGTTTTTCTCTGCGCTTATATTTTCGTCTTGACTTCTTGGGCAGACTTTCAGAATTCATTGAGGATTTTGTTGAAGCCTTAGAATCGGTAGTGAATCCTTCATCTTCATCATCTTGTTCGAAGTCCTTCTCTTTCCCTGGTACGAATTCTGCATCCTTGGACTCCTCACCTTTGCTTCTAATCAATTTTTCTTTGTAGGTCTATAGAATCAACAGTTAGCTTTAGGGTCATGTTTCCTTATAACACAGAACACTTACCGTTACTACTCTTTTTCTGGCACCTCTACCCAAATTTTCTTCTGCTAACCTCTTTTCTTCGCGCTTTCTCAGAGCTTCTGCTTTTTGTTTCGCCAAAAACTTCTCCCAGAAATTTGTATCGTTATTCTCCCTTTCGTCTTCACCATCAGCTGGAAGTTCTTCAATTGTACCGTCATTTTGCCAGATCTTCGCGAACCCAAAATCAAGACCATTCTGCTCCTTAGCCTTTCCTTCCAAATCCTCTATATCTTTCCGCTTTTGCTCTTCAGCTGCTTCCTTATACTGCTCTCGGTCAAGGAGGTTGTTAATTGCTGCCTCATCATAAGTTATATCGGCGGAGGCATCGTCGGAGAAGAGAGCTTCTGTACCGAACCTTAGGATAGATTCAATGTCTTCATAGTTTTCTCCTTCCTCTGCTTTCTTCATTCTTTCTACTACAACATGCTCTAAAGCCATCTTTTTCTTACCAATCTGCAAGATCTTTTCTTCGACAGTCAGACGTGTCATAAAGCGGTAAATGATCACCATATTTGTTTGTCCTATACGGTGGGCCCGACTGATAGCTTGTAGATCAGCATATGGGTTAGCGTCAGAGTCCCAAATAATAACGGTATCAGCTGCAGTCAAATTGATCCCCACACCACCAGCACGTGTTGTCAGCAGGAATACTTCAACAGTAGAGTTGGGGTTATTAAACGAATCCATTGCTCTGACACGATCTCTTTCACCTACGCTGCCATCAATTCGAACAAAGCGTCTACCTTCATATGTGAGGTAATCCTCGATAACATCAAGTGTACGTGACATTGTGGAGAAAATCAATACACGATGCCCTTTTTCTTTGAGTTTTGGTAGCATTTGATGCAAAAGCTTTAATTTTGCGCAAGCTTCAATCATCGCTTTGTGGACTTGTTCGGGATTGGGATCTCGCTTCTCAACCCCATCTAGCAAATATGGATGATTCAAAACTTTCCGTAGATTCACAAAGATACTGGTTAATCCCTTGCTTCGTTTTGTTCCAGTTGCTTCAGCTAAAGTTTCGTAAATCTCACGACTAAGGCATTGCTTGTAAAGTTCTTTTTGAAGGATAGTCATCGAGAGAGGAACGATGAGTTCATATTTGGGTGGTAAATTTTTTAAAACCTCCTCTTTAGTACGTCGAAGAAAATATGGTCGTAATTTGGTGTGAAGCTCATCCACCTGCTCTTTCTTCAAGTCATCGTAATTCTCGGCATCTGTGCCTACAAAATCCGTTGGGCGAATAAAGTGCATCATGTTGAACAGTTCACGTAAGTTATTCTGTAATGGTGTCCCACTAAGCAATACAATATGATCCAAATGCAGTCTTTTCAAATGTTGATATAGCATGGTTCGGTCATTTTTCAAGCGCTGCGATTCATCTACGACTAATGCAGGCCAAAATATTCTTTGCAACTGAGGTTCGGTTTGAACTGATTCATAAGTTGCAACAAGAGCATGGAATTTAGCTTCGCCTCTCTCGTTAAAGACCTCATACTTAGTTGCTATTTCACGCGCTACTTTTCCGCCAAAGAAAGGTACCACTGTCATCTCGGATGCCCACTTTTCGAACTCACGCACCCAGTTTGTTGCTGTACTATTGGGTACAACAATCAGAAAAGGGTATATCTGATATTTCTTATACAGGTAGAACAAATAACTGATTATTTGAATTGTTTTACCCAAACCCATATCATCAGCCAAAATACAATTATGGGCTTGTTCCCATTTATAAAGCAACCAACTATTGGTGTATATGTGTTAGAAATGATTTGTTCTGAACTGCATCTACCTTTGACTGATTTTGAACTTACTTTAAGGCATCCAGTTGATGCTGCATCAAAGTGCCGCCTTTCAGGAATTCAGGCTGTGATTTTATCGCATGCTTTTGATAATTCTCCACACTAGCAGCTGTACGCACCTTTCCTACCAAATTTTTGATGCCTTTTGGTGGTCTCACTTGGCTGGCCTGAATATATCTTTTCAAAGCAATGTCATAGTCCGGGTATAAAATCGGATCGTCTTTTTGAGGAGGCTCATCCCATACAGCTTCACCATATTCGCAATCTTTATAAACCGCCAAGATACGTCTAGCTTCATTTTTAGACTTATTTTCCCATTCAACACTTACGATCCTGTCAATAAGCAACCAATCTTGTGAAAAGGGTACTATTTTCCCAGCTTTTAGTCTCCTCTCGTAAGCAGCGTGCATATGAGGAGAAACGGCCTGAATCCAACTGTGTGAAACCCATTCTGCATGCCTATAGGACATATCCTGCCAACCAACATACATTTCTTTTCTCCCATCAATCTCGCGATTTGCTAATATTGCCTTAGGCTTGCGCTTCAATTTCCAGAAATAAGTCAAGCATTCTACACATTGGCCTTTGCTGTACAATTCGTCGATATTTTCATCTTTAACACTTTCTGCGAGCTTTACGGTCAAACCTTTTTTTATACAATCGCGATGAAATAATCTCTTACAAGTACGGCAACGCAAGGAAATTTTGCTGTCATTGGTAGCTAATCGATTACAATTGACACAATCTTTGCTTTTGTTGCTGGTTTTGCTGTTACAGAGAGAACATGTAAACTCTCCCGTTTCAAAATTAATCAGGTACTTGACAATATTTATTGAGAAGCAGCTATTATGCTGGCTGTAAGAACAATTTTGACAAAGTAGAAGCCGTTTGGTTGCTACTTCTTTTCCTAACTGGACGGTAGTGTCAGGTGAGGCTCCATTTCCATTAACATTTCCGGATCGCCCGCATGAGGTACAAAAATGACAGTGGCTTTTGATAAAATCTTCATCTTTATACGATGGTATATAAACAGAAGGTGCTCTTGCGGGTTTTTTTCGCATCGTCTCACGGATTTTAAATTCATTTTCGTAGGTCACTGGCCTCATCACTTTACGCTGACGTCTCGTGATAGTCGTTTCTGCAGCCTCCACTTCATCATCTGTATTAACAATAAAATTTTCAAGACTGTTTTCTCGGGAATCACTGGTGGTCATTCGACTATCGCCCGTACTATAGTCATAATCACTGTCAACAGTATTTACTATATCGTGCTGCTTTATTTTGGAAAGACGTCTTTTCCGCGATCGCAAGCGTTTCCGGATGGATAAAGCTAATAGGCTGTCTTCTGGGTCATCGCTGCTTTCTTCATTTATATGACGCTCTCCATTTAATCTAAAATTTTTGCCCTGCTTCGAATCAAACACATGAAGAATCTTTGCCAATTTCCCTTCTATTTCGTTTTCGGCGATCTACACGAAAGGGTGAAATCAAATGTAAGATCAGGAACGGATGATCTTAGAAACTTGAGCAAACCAATCGGACTCCTTACTTTAGCGATCTTTCCATCTATAAATTCCACAACGTATCTATTTTCTGTCTTGGTCACATTTTTAACGCTGCTGAAAGAGTAAGGCCATGGTCGTAGTCTGATTTTAACAGGTGGAAATCTTTGTCGCAATTCCTAACATGAGCAAATAAGAAAGATATTAGCTGTTTATAATCCAGATAATTTTTTAAAACAATGCTTTACATCATTGGATATTAAATCAACAGGCTCCATTCGATATTTAGTTAGTCAAATAGTGAGTATCCAGCAAAGGAAAGTGGGAGAAGAACAGCAAAAGGGGAAAAAAGCAGAAACAACGCGGTATGAGAAAAGATAAAAAATCCAAAATAAAATGTTAAAAGCTGTCATGCTGCGTCTCAATAAAATTGGCAGATCAGAAATAGTTACCTGAAGTCAATTAGCCAATCATTTAAGCGTATAGTTTGTCCTTTGATCTGTTAGACCAAGTGATAAACAATATTGAGGGCCTATCAATAAAACCAGCGTAAGGAATAGTTAATAGTATGTGCCGCCAACCGTGTTCAAAGCAGAGCATTAACAGACCGCAACAGGAGCGTACAATAAACTTTTCAAGGGCAACCTCAACCATAGAGATACAGTTCAAGACAAGACTATAGTTATGACATATTAAGTATCAGCGTACGGCAGCTCGGCTGCTTAATAAAAATAAGCATAGATACTATACATGAAGAATCCGAGTCCATATCATAAAATTAGAAACGAAGCGAAAAGCTTCTAAAGATTTTATAGATCATTCATAGTAGGAAATATCAATTTTCGACATTGCAAGAAAAATGCGAGCCATTCGTACAAGGGTCTCTAATAGTACGTTGATGTAAAAGCAATCCGAAAATATGCTAGACATCCATTTTGAAAAAGCTTTGCAAATCCTCATTTAAGTGTATTTGTTGGTTCAACATATAGCGGACCCTATTCACCTTGTACAAACATATTTTGATAGAGTTTGTCATTGGGGCAGAGTCGAAAAAAAGTTAAATTTAGGCATCCGAAATCAAAAGATGGATCCTGTGAGAGAGGTGGCAGCCTTGCACAAATATCACCTTTATAAATCTATAAAAGGAAGAAGGGGTTCGGCTTGAAGTATAAATAGTGCAGAAAAGTGTTTATTCTACTTACTTGCTTTGTGTATGGCTATTTAGACGTTGCACCAAATAAAAGATTAAAAAAAGGGAGACAAGATAGATTATTATATCTCTCTTTTTTTAAAGGGTTTCCTTACTTTCTCTTTTCTTTTATCTTGTTTGGACTTGTCTTCTCTTTCTCTCCTCCCTTTCAAACAAAAAATAAATAAATAAATTAGGCTGCACTCAGTTTAACATTCATAGTAGACGGATTTCATATTATCTCACACCGAGAGTAATAACAAAGTCATTACTTTTGAATTTCTTTTCAAGATAACCACAGAAAACAATATGCAAGACGATTCGCGAATAGATCTGACTTGTTTGACTAATTCTTCTGGTCAGCCACCAACAGAAGACAGTATTACAAATTTGCTTGCCAGCAGATACAAGAAAAATCAACCTTATACCCGTGCAGGTCATTATAATTTGATTGTTGTAAATCCATACCAGCCACTCGAAATTTTAAATGATGCGACTCTTCGATCATACGCCGATGTTGGATACAGAAATATAGTAGGAAATAAACAGCCTATGCAGCCTCATGTATACGACATGGCTGCGCGGGTCTACTTTCATATGCGAAGAACTGGTGAAGATCAAAGTATCATCTTGAGGTAATGTGTCGTAAAGACTCTTCTATCTTTTTTTTTTTTTTTTTCTGTTTTTCTTTTTTTTTTTTTTTATTCTGCATTTAACACTTAATCAGAGGGCTCATAAAAAGAGAGAGAGAACAAGAGAAAAATGAGGGTGAGGAGGGCTGTGAGGGGAGATGTTGATATACATGAATAGATTTATGTCCACGTTAAGGGGTGGGGCAAGTTATTTTAGGATAAAATAATGATTGGATACTAATTGCTGAACAAATTTGGATTTCCTTAACGCTTTAGTGGTATTACTGGCTCAGGGAAAAGTAGAACAAAATCACACTTTTTAAATCAAATTTTATTGTTATCAACACATTCTAAGAAGGAGAACAAGCTGCAGCAGCAGATAAAAAACTCGCTGATTATTTTAGAAGCGTTTGGCAACTGTAAAACTACGCAGAATCTTTCGGCTTCAAAATATGGCATGTTTCAAGAGCTTCAATTCTCTGAAAGAGGACGTATTCTTGGTGCAAAAACCCTGACTTATGCGTTTGACAAATCTAGACTCACCATAGTTCCTAAAGACGAGCGTTTATATAATGTCTTTTATTCGCTTCTAGCTGGTACAAGTCCTGAAGAGCAAGCAGCACTCCATATCAATTTTCCACCCGAGTCGTTTAACTATCTTGCCCAATCGAAAACCATCAAAGTACCGGAAATCAATGATGAAGTTGCCTTTGCCGATCTCAAAAGTGCATTGAAAATCTGTGGCTTCAAGGCTAAAACAGTAACCCAGATTTTTCAACTGTTAGCCACCATTTTGCATATCGGTAACATTCAGTTTCAGGATGATCATGATGGTGGAAACGTAGCTCAAGAAGCGTGTAGTGTCAAAAATACAGAAGTTCTAGAAACAGTTGCTGTAATGCTGGGTGTATCACCTACTAAATTAGAGCAATCATTGACTTACAAGCTGAGATTAATCCGAAAAGAACTTTGTACAATGTTTTTGAATGCCCAGGGTGCGGCTGAACAAAGAGATGCGCTTGCTCGGGCTCTTTATCATGTTCTATTCCTATGGATTGTAGAAACCATCAATACAAAAATATGTTACAACGATGCGGAGCCTGCAAATTTTATTGGTATTCTTGATCAGTTTGGTTTCCAAAATTTTAAATCCAATGGATTCGAAGAATTTTGTGCCAACTATGCCAACGAACGTGTACACCAATTTATCATTAATCAACGTTTTAATGATTCAGTCGGTTTGAATGCTATTATGGCACGGGATGGTGTTCCACTTCCCAAAATAACAACTATGGACAATGCAACTTGCCTAGAATTGATTGTTGGCAAAGAACAGGATCATACACACGAGAAAAATGTACACAAATCCGCTGCACTCGGATTGGGAGGTATTGTCGGAGTCATGGATCGTGATTGTGCCAAATACCAAACAGGTGCTACAGATGCTACCAATGCCAACTTCCTCGCAACCGTGCAACGATCCTATGGCTCACATCCGTCATTCTCTAAATCTGGCCATGCCTATTCATTCGGCATCAGTCATTTCTCTGGTTCTGTTCATTATACAGTTGAGTCATTCTTAGAAAAGAATCTTGATGATCTTTCACCTGACTTTGTCAGCTTATTGCGGGATAACAGCACCAACAGCTTCGTATCAAGTTTATTTGAGAGCTCAGCCATGGCAACCGAATCACATCCTAAAGATGACCGTACCATTGTCAAAGCTCAGCTCAGCAGTAAACCTACACGTGCACCTTCTATGAAACGTCCCAATAAGCGACGCAACAATAATAATGCCAATAACAACGTCACAGATATCACGAACATGCCAATTCCAGAAGGAGCTGAGGCCGATGCAGATGAGATCAGAAAACAAAAGCTTATCAAAGAGGCTGAAGAAGCCTATCAGAATATGCAAGTAACAACGGTTATGGATCAACTGTATATGACCCTCCGCGATCTCTTTTACACTATGGCAGATACCCGACTTTATAACATTATTCACATTAGACCGAACGATACCCAATCACCAGACGCTTTCGATGCAAAGAGAGTGAAAGCTCAGGTGCGGTCTTTCTTATTACCCGATATCACCGCTCGTTGTTCGTACTATGACTATGCAAATTATTATAGCTTCAGCGAGTTCCTCATACGTTATGAAGGCTTCGTGCATTCTTTACAGATCGACCACGGTAAATCAGAACGGGAACAGGTTCAAGACATTTTTGCCATTATGAATTGGTCAGAAGCACATGCATTTGTAGGTCAAGATATGATTTGGATTACTTATGATACTTGGAAGGAGTTGGAAGACGGATTACGTGCAGCTGAGAAAGAAGAGCGTGAGCGCGCAAAAGGATTGATTGGGGCTGGTGACGGTAAGCAAGAGATGATGGACCCCGGCCATCCAGATGCCACTGCTATGCTGGGCGGTGGTGATGGCCATTTGAATATGATGATGGGTGAAATGCCAGCCGCCGGTGGATTCCATCAAGACAGTCAAGATAGGCTATTACCTCTCGGTGGAGGTTATATTGATGGCCATATGCCAGGTGGAGGGTTCGAAGATAATGCTAGCTATATGGATAGTGAAGACGGCCTTAAACGTGACATAGAAGGAAGCCAATGGGGTGAAGAATCTGAATGGGGTATGAAAGGTTTGGCTGAAGGGTGAGTTCGCTATGCTTAATGTGTGTTATTAACTTACTCCTCATTAACAGCAATATTACTTTATTTAGTTTCGGTCCCAATATGGATATGAGTAAAATGGTAGAAGACTACCACACTCCTCAACATGAATCAATCGAAGAAATGCCGATTACAGCTGTACGTATTTGGTGGATACGTTTTGTATGGTTGATGACTTGGTGGATTCCATCGCCTTTCTTAAGATGGTTTGGAAAAATGAAGCGTGAAGATGTTCAAATGGCCTGGCGTGAAAAAGTAACGCTCTGTATTCTGATTTTCTTTTTCTCTGCCATGGTCATTTTTGTTATCGTTGCGTTGGGAGAGCTTATCTGTCCCGGAACAAAAGAAATGTATTCTACAGCAAATGTTCAAGCACACGGTATTCCAGATGACATGTTTGTCAGTGTCCGTGGACAAGTTTACGACATCACAAACTTTGCAAAAAGTCAGCACGGTTCTTCGCCTTATATTGGCACAACTGATCTAATGGCACAAGTAGCTGGCTTGGATGTATCTTATTCCATCCCTCCTCCTTTAACCGTAGCCTGTTCTGGTTTAGTAACCTCTCCCACAATCAAGATGGTGCCAAACAACACTATTGTCTTGACCAACTTTGTACATTACTCCGGAGATCAACTACAAGTAACAACGTTAACCAAAATGCAAGATCCTCACTGGTACTGGAATTATTTTATACCCACAATGAGCCTCTATAAAAAAGGTAAAGTAGTCGTCCCCGTCAAGCAACTTTACGAGGATTATCAAGGCTGGAGCCGTTTGGCACTTGCTATTAATGGCCGTGTTTACGATATCAATGATTACATGTCGACTGCTAAAACTTATGATTCTGGCTCTACTTCCAGCGACTATCACTTCTTGCATCCGACGGTCGAAGAGATCTTCAACAAATTCAGTGGTACCGATGCGACGGACAAGTGGAACCAATATAAGAACACAATGACTCCAGAGCAACAAGAAATGAACATGGCTTGCCTGGACAACTTTTTCTATATTGGCGACGTTGATCAGCGTGAAACGGCTAGGTGTCTATTCACCAACTATATGTTGCTTTCTTTCGCTATCTTAATGTGTGTTGTTATTGGTGTCAAGTTTTTGGCTGCCCTTCAATTTGGGGGTGCGCCTACGCCCGAGGATCATGATAAATTCGTCATTTGTCAAGTGCCCTGTTATACCGAAGATGAAGAGTCGTTAAAGAAGACTATTGATTCTCTTACTGTGATGAACTATGATGATAAGCGTAAATTACTCTTCATTATTGCTGATGGTATGATTATGGGTAGTGGTAACGACCGGCCAACGCCTCGTATTGTATTGGACGTCTTGGGGTATGATACGAAGAATGATCCTGAGCCCTTAATGTTCAAATCTATTGGTGAAGGCTCCAAGCAACTCAATTATGGTAAAGTCTACTCTGGCCTTTATGAATGCGAAGGCCATGTCGTGCCTTACGTTGTCATTGTTAAGGTAGGCAAGGCCTCTGAGCGTGCCAAACCTGGTAACCGTGGTAAACGTGATTCCCAAATGATATGTATGAACTTTTTGAATAAGGTGCATTTTGACAGTGAAATGACACCTCTTGAACTGGAAATGTTCCATCAGATTAAGAATGTCATTGGTGTTAACCCCTCCTTTTATGAATACATTCTAATGGTCGATTCTGATACAGAAGTATTGCCAGATGCTTTGAACCATATGATTTCGCGTATGCTTCACGATGGTCGCATTATCGGTCTCTGTGGTGAAACAAAGCTCGTTAATGAAGACCGCTCTTGGACAACGATGATTCAAGTTTATGAATATTACATTTCCCATCATTTGGCCAAGGCTTTTGAGTCTTTGTTTGGTTCTGTCACTTGCTTGCCTGGCTGTTTCTGTATGTACCGGATCCGTACTCCTGTTAAAAACGAGCCTTTGATTATTTCTCCCAAGGTGATTCATGATTATTCTGATAACCATGTTGATACTTTACATAAGAAAAATTTGCTCCATTTGGGTGAAGATCGCTATTTGACAACGTTGATGATGAAACATTTTCCTCAATACAAAATGAAGTTTACGCCACATGCCCAATGTAAGACGGTAGCTCCTGATCGCTGGAAGGTGCTTCTATCTCAGCGTCGTCGTTGGATCAATTCTACTATCCATAATTTATTCGAAGTCGTTCTCTTACCTGATCTTTGTGGCTTCTGCTGCTTCTCAATGCGCTTCGTTGTTTTGATTGATTTAATTGGTACTTTGACACTACCTGTCTCTGTGGTCTACTTAGTATACCTCATTTACATTATTGCCTCCAAAACGGGACCACTTCCAATTTTGGCTCTCGCCATGTTGGCCGGTATTTATGGCTTGCAAGCGATCCTCTTCATTCTGAAACGGCAATGGCAGCATATTGGTTGGATGATATTTTACATTCTGGCCATTCCTGTCTTCTCTTTCTTCCTGCCCATTTATTCTTTCTGGCATTTCGACGATTTCTCTTGGGGTAATACTCGTGTTGTGGTCGGTGATAAGAAGCAAAAGAAAATCATTGTGGCTGATGACGAAAAGTTTGACGAGAAGATGATTCCCCTAAAGAAATGGAGTGTATATGAACAAGAGCTATGGGAAATGGGCTCTACAGGAAGTCGTGAAACAGGTATTACTGGCAACACGTACAAGAGCTACCATACATACAACTCTCGTGGTACTGGTATGTACGATAACCGAACACAGTATGGCGGTGGAAGTCAAATTGGAGGCGATTATGATTACTATCGTGATACGAATATGGCTGGTTATGACAAAAAGAGGGCACATAGTCCCATGATGGGAGGAGCTGGTTTTGCCGGTTCAGTTATTGGAGGTTCTGAATACGGTGGACCAACAGCAGCGCAAGATTATATGATGGTACCTCCTGGTATACCACGCGCATCACAAGCTATGTCAGTACACAGCTTCGGTCCTGACTTTGCAGCAAGTGGACGAATGACACCTATGATGAGCAATGCTAGCTTCATGATGGGACAACCACAGGCGGATACCAGCAGTATGCTAATCGGTCAGCAGGCTCTACAGCAGCAACCCGTATTAAGCGGTAACCAAAGTGAATATGATATGCCTATGAGACCAATGAGCCAATTCTCAGTACCTGCGTCGCAAGCCGGCATCCAACCTATGACTCCACCCGGTTTCCCAACTGATGAAGAGATTCTATCAGAAATTCGAAATATTCTGCAAACAGCCAATTTGATGAGTATAACTAAAAAGCAAGGTAAGAATTTGAGCCGTCGTATTTCAACGATCGCTATCTCTGTTATATTAACATTTTTATGTACGCATGATTAGTTCGCGAGCAATTAAGCGCATTCTTTGGTTTCGATATGACGCCTAAAAAGGAATATATCAATACTAGCATTGAATATATTCTACAAGGCAGACTTTAATGGCATTTTTGCACTACCATTACAATAGACATCAACAAACTAGTACACATTTTTTTTTTATCTTTTCTCATGTAACCTTTCTTTTCTAAAGAAAAACCTGCATCTCTTATTTATATTTAATGACCTCGACACCCTTGTTTGTTTAAATACATTTGAAGCCAACTCGTAATAAAAGTACATCTCTTTCTAGACTAATTCAAAAGAATAACTAATACACATGCGTTTATCAATCAGAATCTCAGGGAGAGTAAAAAAATTGTGTCGGACAAAACTATTTTTACGCATGAAGAACAGCATGAAAAGACACAAGAAAATTTTCTGGCAGATTGTTTCTCTTTTTTTCTTACTTCAGTGTTTTTGACATTGCGAAATTATGCTTTCAAACTCTCATGACACAAAGAAAGAAAGGTTGAAAGACTCATTACTTGGACTGCATTGGGCTGCTACTACAGGCAACGTTGGTAAGACGCCGCAAAAAAAAAACGATAAAGTTTTGGTAGAACAAATTTTACTCATTTTTTTGCGCTTTTCGTTTTTCGTGGAGAAAAGGGCTCGTAAAATTTGCTCTGGACCATGGAGTCCCTATCAACTCTGTAGTCAATGGTTTTGTGCCACTACAACTGGCTTGTATAAGTGACAATAATTTAGCAGTGATTCAGTATTTAATTGATAGAGGTGCCGATGTGAATATACAAAAGTAAGAAGAATTATACATGTATTCATTAACCCTACTTAATTGACACATGTCAAACTGAAACACATTTAATATTGAATAGATGGTCGAAGAAGTATAGTGAAAATAAATCACAAGCTGTATCAGGCGCTACGGGCTCGACAGCACTTCATGTAGCGTGTGCTAATGGTTGTACAAAAGTTGTAGACCTGTTGCTGAGAAATAATGCCCGTGTCGATGTGAAGGACAAATATGGAACTTCCCCTCTAGACATAGCTCTAGCGAAACATGAAACCGAAATTGTCAGACTACTCAAAACAGCTAGAGAAAAGCAGCGTCATAAGAACCAAAGGCGGCCGCGGGCATTTTCTTCTAGTAGCAATGAGGACAACAGCGATGTTATGGCCAAAAGTATGCACGGCCGAAAATCAGTTGATGGCACTCTTCATCAAACAATATCAACCAGTCATAAACGAAGTATTTCTGATAAACAACCGAGAATACGTCGACCCAGTTTACCATCTATATTTGAAGGCCATCAGCGTCATTTTACCCCACAACAAAGTAGCATATTACCGTCCTCAATGACTATGACGCCTACTACCAAAAACAGCAGCCAAAGTCATAGCGCTACAGAGACAATTCCTGTTGCTGTTTCACGGCGGAGTTTTTCCAGCACGCACAGACCATCCCTTGATGAGCCTACTTTCTCTTCTTCTTATCATTCCTGCCCGACGACACCACGTACTTCAATTGATCACTATATGCATACAAAGCGCTGTCATCAGCAAGCAGTGCGAAACAATATACCCATTAGAGAAGTGTGTGCATCGCCACGTTCTTCTGAAGACTCTTCCTCTTTCTTATATCCAACATCGCCTCAGCAACAACGATTTGCCAGCAATAGCAGCAGTGGCAATCTCGGTTCTATATCACAATTGTATCTTAATAGTCATGAAGTACCCGATGAGCAGCAGCAATATCAGCAACCACAAGATTGGTATGGTTTTGGCGTTATTAATTCATATGAAGAAGATAACTATTTGCAATCCCTAGAACGCAGAGCATTCGATTTAGGAGGCACTAAAGAACCAGCAGAGAGCCGATATTCTATAGATTCGTCCAGCAGACGGAATTCACAGGAATCATATCATGTTAGTAATAGACGGGGATCCTTAAGCTCTCTTGTATCATCCGGTGCCTTGACAAATACGGATGATAATGCCAGTCATCTTTCTTTATCGCAGCAGTCCACGTTTGCTCCAAAACGTGAGGATTCCATGGATTCTGTACAACAACTACGAACAACAGCATTGAAAAACTCGTTAGCTACAAATAACAACACATCATTATCAATAACATCTGAAATGGAAGAAGAAAAAGGTTATGAAGGAGAAGATGATGGCGACGAAGAGGAGGATGATTACTTGGAAGAAGAAGAGGAAGAGGAACCTTTACCACGACCTTCCGTTATACTAGATAGAGGAAGCGAAGTGGATAATATTCGTTACCAACTCTTGCACTCTGATAAGTCGGAAAAAGATGGTGCACAAAATGACACACCATCAGCACAAGCGAGGGCTTTTACAGAGCAGCAGCAAACAAATGCGAATAAAAAAGGATGGTTTACCAAAGGAAAAGATACGGTAGGCATGCTAGGCTGGCATTCCACGGACACCACTCAACACCACTCACAGCATCGTAAAGCTCTCGATTTAAGGCCAAGTCTCGATAATATCACTCATCTTGCACGTAAGGGCGTTCCGCATTTACTGAGCAGTAGTAGCAATAACAACAATACAACCAGTCAAGATGACGCAGACGACGACGCAGATTCTTCAGATATGAATGAAAGAAACAACGATAAGCACCCACACCGTCCACAACTACAGCAAAGAAGCGGGTTCTTCTCTAAGTGGACTTCTTGGGCAAGAAAATAAGGCTTTTATTGTTTTCTCTTTTTATTTTTTTATCTTTTCAAAGTGTAAATATTGTAAAATAACATATACATGTAGACATAGATGTCAAAAGCAAAAATATGTTGATCGTTTCACAACAATGAAAATAAAAAGCCCGTATAATGTATATAGCCAGTGATATCCCAAACGCTCCTGCTTTTGCATGAATATGTTGTATGGATTTACTTATTTCTGCCCATTTTCGACCAGTTTATCAAGCTGACGAGGGATATCCATTTCTGGCATGACAATTTCGACAAAATGAATCTTATCTGCTTGTTGCTGAACCTTCTCCATAGTGTCTTCAAACTCTTTACGAGTAGTGACTCTGGCTTCCACGCCAACTTGTGAAGGGCTGTGCTTGCGTTTAGCCACTTTTTGTTTAGTATGGCCACCAAAGAATTTCAGACTACTGCTGTACTCCCAGGTTGGAATATTGTTATACTCGCGTTCGCGGCCATGTAGCATTTTTTCAATCGTGTAACCTTCATTGTTGATCAGGAATATGACAGGCGTGATGCCTTGACGAATAAAGACGGATACCTCTTGGGCCGTGAGTTGGTAGGATCCGTCACCGACAAACAGATAGACACGCTTTGAACGATCTGCCATGGCAGCACCCAAGGCAGCACCAACGGAGTAACCGATGGATCCCCACAGTATTTGACTGATAAACTGTGTTCCTTTTGGCCCGTGTACATCAAAGATACCGAATTCGGACGTGCCCGTGTCGGTAACAACAATACTATTGACTGGAATAAGATCGGCTATTTTGTTCCAAAGGTAATTGTGTGTTATGATGTCCGTCGTGGTGTCTGTAGGGATGCGTTGGGCGCGTTGAGGAAAATCAAACTGACGCGTTTCTTTCAGGCGGGCTGTGATGAGTGGTATCAATTCGACCATGCCGACACCAGGATACTCTGCGTGATAGATGGTTGTGCTGAAACTATGCAAGGAAATCGTCTTTTTCTTGTCCAATCCGTACGTGAAGTTGCCTGTATTGAAATCGGATTTGATGGAGCCAATCTCGATGAGCAAGTCAGCCTGCTCTACTTCTTTTTGGACGCCTTCCAGGGAGACGGTGCCACTGTAGCAGCCGCGGAAATTAGGCAAGCTTTCGTCTAAGGTGCCTTTTCCCATAGGAGCGGTAAATGCAGGGAAGCCTGATTTTTGTACAAATTCATTGACTTCTTTTTGAATATGTTGACGCAGTGCACAACCGTCCACCATGATCGTGGGTCTCTTTGCATTCTCTATCGCCTTTATGACATTGTCCAACACAATTTCCTGAACCTCGGATGGATTACGAGGTATATCCAGCTTCAAGGGCTGATGAAAGACATCCTCTGGAATATCAATCTTTTGTGTCATAAGGTCTAGAGGAAAAGCCAGGTAGCCAGGTCTTTTTTTGATGTAGGCCGTCTTGATCACCTCATCGATTTCGGAAGTAGCTCTTTCGGCTGTAATATGGGTCGAAGCAACTGTCACCATGGAGGCCATCTTTGAAAATACTTGGTAATCACCGTTACCCAAGGTGTGGTGCAAAAGAGACTGTTGGTCTTGTGCCGTGGTGACAGGCGTGCCAACAATATGAATGACAGGTACCATCTCAGAGTACGATCCAGCAATGCCGTTCATAGCAGAGAGTTCGCCGACACCAAAAGTGGTAACAAGAGCAGCAGCACCGCGTATGCGAGCATATCCATCGGCGGCATAAGCTGCATTGAGTTCATTAGCATTGGCGCCCCAAGTAAGGTCTTTATCATCTTCGATAAAGTCCAATAACGGCTGTAGTTCAAAAAAGTTGAAAGAGTATGATCGTATCATCCATTAGCATTCATTCTTGTTCACCATCATAAGTTTTTTTTTTTAGGTTTTACCATGTTGTAGTCCCCGGGGACTCCAAAGATAACGTCAATGTTGAGTTCTTTAAGACGCTTCAATAAATATTCACTTATGGTAACGTTAGGCATTTTGAGTCGTCCTTTTTTCTTTTATTTTTTTTAAAAAAATGTTTTAAAGGTTAGCGAAAAATGAGAAGACACAAGGCAAGAAAGTGGTAAAAAGGCCGAATGGGATGAATTGCTACTTTGCTTTCGAAAACTAAAAAGAAAAATATAAAACAGGTCTCCGCTGCGTATTTTTTTAGGATTTTGGATGGAATACGTTAGTATGATATCAATCCAACTTTATCTTTAATATTTGCAATCAGCCCAAACGAGGCCCTTTTTTCTTTTTCCAAGATAAAGCAAGCAATTTCTGTGTACTCTTCTTTTTTAAAGACAGAGTCAGGGAGAATGCTTTAAGAAAAACCTACAATAAAATTTGCATGATATGCATAGAAGTGCAAACATAAAAAGTCATCTCATGTCGGCGAAATATGCTCTGATATATGGTTTTTGGTTACACTTTCTACCATTCCTCAGGAATTCGAGTAGCACACCAGGAGCATCATCTGTTGGCGTGAGTATCTCTATGAACTGAATGCTGCGTGATTTGCTGAATTTGCGGCATCAGCCTTTCATAGCCCTTTACACACATTTACTCTGGCTTCAAACACTGTTGGGGGGGGGTAAAGAATGCTTATAATGACCGGCTTCATGATGCTTCAAATGCCTGTTAAAGTCTGACGCCGTTCTGTTATTCCCACAGCATCATGCTGTTATACTCACGGTGACAAAATGGCTCTTTCATAAGATAGCCATCATCCTTCATCAAGAGGGTAGCTAGTGTTATTCAGAAAACGTTACCCATGAGAAGGAAAATTGAGGAGGTGGGTGGTGGTGGTGGTGGTGTTTAATACACACTGCTATCAGTAGAGTTCATTCCACCATCATAACGACGTCAGGATATTCTGCATGGTGATGAATCACTACACTGAGACTATGCAGGGAAATCGTCTTTAAATTGTCCAAACTACGAGTAAAGTTACCCGTATTGAGAAATCAGACTTGATGGAACCCTTCTCAATAAACAAACTAGCTTGTTCAATTTCCTTTTAAACACCCTCTCCAATGTCCTATTTGCCAAAATAACAGCCACGAAAGTTGAATAAAGCTTTGCGCAAAGGAGTCTTTTCGTGAGGAGGCAGTGTAAATGTAAAGAGACCTGAACGCTTCACACTAAACCATGGACCTTTTTTTGTGAGTATTACTGTGAAACACGCATCCATCCAACGATGATTGGTAGGTTGTGTTGCTTTCTCAATGGTTTCTCGATAATGTTAGTCGGCGGCCACGAATACGAGTAGGTCGGCCACATAGGATGCACTCAGCTTATTTTAGCACCCCTACCGCTCATTTTCAACGAAATCTAGAAATGGCTATAGCAGTAGATTGACATGGTAAGTGGTATTTTATTGACAAGAAGCTGTCATTCGGCAAAGTATGCACCCTATTGCAATCAATGGAAGCTCCAAAGTCCTTTAAGATCAATTGTTGAGCTCCTCTATCCACTCAAACAGGATAAAAGAGAGGGAGGACTCCCAATCAAAGGAGTGGTTCTTCCCAATGTTCGTATTGATGAATCAATATAGAACATATATCGATATATCCATTGCAGTATTCGATTTTTACACAAAGAGAAGGTAATAAATCAACCCTTGCACACTATGCGTACTGATGGATGGATAAGATGGAAAGATAGGATGCATGACTGTTGACTGTATGGTTGTGCGTTCTTTGTGATAAGTAACTAATGTGCACACTCATCTCTACCTAATGATTTGATTTCGTATGGTGGGAGTGAAAGAGGAGGTTGAACAGTTTCACTCGACGTTTTTTTACCTTCAAGCGCGAACGGCTAAAAAGGATGCCCCATTCCTGGTCCATTTCTCTGTTCGCTCTGCTCACTGTAAGATGAACGAGTCTCAAGCTGATCTTCTTACCAGCAGTTGGACAGTACAACATTCAGAACATGACTCGAGAACAGATAGACTTTTTTTTTTTTAAAAACAAAAGAAAGAGGGAATAATAATTATATTATCCTTTTTTGCGGCAAACTTGAGTACCAAGTAATTGCTACACTGACGAAGACAAGCAAAAAAAGAAAGAAAAAAGGAGCAAAAAGTAAAATACGCTGTGGTGGGGTAGACACGCATGGGATTCAATGAGCGGCATTTTCAGCAGTATGAGGAGGCTCTTTTCTTATCGTTTGATTTGTTTTATCAGCATCCTCACCCTCTTCATGCTCGCTGTCAGCATCTCTCTCAGACTGGTTATAGTCCTTCATCGCTTCTTTGAAAGACCAAGCACGATCTTCGTCCTTAATGTCTTTGATGCAAAAGCGTTGCAAGTCTTCCTCGAAACCTAAACCTATGATGCTCGACAGAACAGAAAAAAAAAAAAAAAATAGAAAAAGGAAAGAAAGGGTTGCAGTAATAATAAGCAAATAAATACAGAGGGGGGGTTGGCATTCTTCATCTGCAAGACGAACATAGATCATGGTACGCCTACCGCACTTCAACTCGCGAATGACATCTATTTCTGCTTCCATATTGTCAATGAATTCAGCCAATTCTGACATGGTATATTTTAAATCGTCAAGGTCTTCCTTATCGATTCGATCCGCTTCGATATCTTCCATGATTTCTTGTAATTCTTCCTCACGGTCTTCCAAGTCGTAGGCCAGCTCTTTGAGGATATGGTTAGCCAACTTGAGCAAATTGGCTCTCGCCTTTTGCTTTAAGGCTTCTGCTCGTTTCATGTACTTGTCTATCGAGGAGACATAAGAAACATGAGATGGCGAGTCGTCTTCTTTATTCATTGAAGTAGTGTGTATTGATGAATCAAAATGACAACTTATACAGTAAGAATGGATAGGAAGCGAGATTGGAGGAAAGAAAAAGAGGCAAAGAGAACTGTGAAAAGCAAATCAAGACCACAGAAATAAAACAGTCAACGATGGATTGCTACATTGTGATAAGTCTCACTGATGGATTGTACCTGCTTGATACAAGTTTGAATTTTTACTTTGCCATTTATCACTTTTTTTTTTTTTTCCGCATGAATAAAAGAGAAAGTCAGTGATAGATTACACTTTTTTTCAGTAGCAGCAGCAGAGAAAAGGCTTTTTTCAGGTATTTTAAGAAATAAATAGAAACAATCCATGATACAGCATTCGATGTAGAAATTGTTTTTTTGCTTCTCCCCCATTCAAGGATGTCTTTGAAATAGTCCGTTCTTAATGTCAGCAATAAATTCTTCCTTGATGAGAGTGTAGCAGTATCGGCAAGACAAAGACTTTATCGCGGAGTACATTCACTCTAAAAGCAGTAGCAGCAGTAGTGGGATCTGGATTGCATGCCAAGAACAGATCACGTAGCTCGAGGCCGTGTAAAGATAGAAGGAGTGGAAAATGAGTTCTCGTTGGTCAGCCGTTAGTAAAACATTCGGGGCGCGTTCGTGATATGCAATTATCGCGTCAAATGAAGTTAAAAGTACTGTAAAAAGACCCCTTCTCTTTCGTGAGGTTCGAGGGGCACCGTCGCTATTTCAAAACGACCGCGCTGTTTTGATTATTCGTACGGAGGGCTGTTGTAAGCAGCCGCCTTTTCGGTGCCTTCCACCAATAAAATAGTTTTCCCATCCTTGATCTCGGTTCAGGGCTTCTTCATGAGGGGGACACACGCGTCTCATGTAAGTCACCTGTGCATCGTCTAGATTGAGTAGAGAAGAAACAGTCGAGCTCTTTCCCTTTTTTTTTTTTTTTTCTTTTTTTTTGTTTTGAAACGGTGTTGTTGTTGTTGATTAGCGAAATGTTTCTCAGTTTAATTGGGGTTGTTGCCTAAAATATGGTCTGTAAAAAAAGATGATTTTGGTAACAGTTCCGCAGCAGTTCAAAAATGGAAAAACAGCAAAAATGATGGAAACAGAAAAAAGGCCTTCCATCGCGATAGCGATCATTTTCTTTTTTTTTTTTTTTCTTTTTTCTATCTGAGTGGGAAAAAAAAAAAAGTAATGTCGCTGATCCGACGGGCTCATCCATTGGTTTGATACTGTTATGCTGTTACATTGGTCTGGCCACTGAAAAGAGTGACAAATTGGCTGTTACTGCATGGACAGATATTCACTAAAAATTGGTTTTCAATGAGAAAATCAACTACGGAGAAAACCACTCTTGCTCAGTCCATTGCATCAAGTCATTTGTTTTATAAAGGGATTACAGGTGCAAAAAACGAGAGCTTGGCATTCTTTCTTTAGGGATTGTGTTTGAATAAAGCGGAAAGATGACAGGCTTGCTTGCTGCACGTAATTTATAGAAAGACATGCCAAGCAAGCAATGCGTGCCAAAATGTTACAAAATCCGTTGTTTTTGCTTGTACGACAAAATGAGGGCTTATCGTCTTTAATTGACTCACACGTGTTGATTTATTAGACATATTAAAGAAAAAAAAGAAGAAAAAAGAAAAAAACGACAGGTACCTGTTTATTTTTGCTAAATCGGGCAACCTAATTTTCCTTTTTTTTTTTTTTTTTTTTCACCGCTCAAAGAACAAAAATGAAAGAGAAAAGAACATCAAAGAAAGTTTATGTGTGTGTGTGTGTGTGTGTGTGTGTGTACGTCGTGGTTCGATAAAAAATCAAACGGTTTCAATCCAATTTATTTATACAAGTATCAAGAGAAACGGAAAAATATAAAGAATGTATGTATATATATATACTATTAAAATTATTAGAATAATGATTACTATTATAATTACTATTATTATTGTTGTTGTTGTTAAGCGAACTATGTACGAATGAAGGTATAGGTCTCTCTCACCATCGTTTTTTTTTTTGGTTTGCATCAAGAGAGGAGAAAGGAGGGGGGGAATACGGTGCGTCTGAAGACAAAAATGCCTTGAATCAGGTATGTGGAGGCAATCTTTTCTATGCCTTCCTATGTAGACGATGACGTGGATGATTCTGTTGTGGGTTTACTTGTGCCGTTACTAATTGGGCTATTCTCTTGTTGTTGGCGTAGACTTGGACAATCATCCTCGTGTGAAAATATTGTTACATCAACACCGCAGTGTGGACAAAAGGTATATTCATTTAAAGTCGTATTGAAAGAGAATGCGTTGCTATAGGCTAACACGGATGCTGACATCGCTGGTTACAGTGTGATAATAGTAAAAGTAGTACTTTGATTGACAAGTAGTTTTTGTTTGATCTGCGACAATGGTAGAAGGGAAAAAGAGAAGGTAGCTTAGAATAGATCGATCTTTATGTTGAATTGATGGGATGAGCAAAAGGGAAAATTTTTGGACCTGTATTTATAACCTATGTTGTTCGAATTTAAGCTCAGGCTAAGCGAGAAAAAAAAATGCCTTTTTCGTAACTTTTCGTACTGAGGGTTTCATGCCACAAAAAGCCTCGTTTCCTCCGTACTCTTTTCCGGGCCCCGATATTTGATTGGCACACATCCCACCCCCCCCCCACTGCCAGCCAGTTTTCTCTACTGTTTAAATCTTTACCGGTCGTCTAAAAATGGATGTACCCGAGAAAAAATGCTCCTTCCTTTTCTGGCAATGACAAAAAATAAGAAAAAAAGGACCCCTTCCTTCGTACGCAACATTTTGAATGAGATTCAGATGTCAGTGGGAAGTTATCCAACCCGCTGCATTTTTTGTTGTTGTTGTTGTTGTTGTTGCTGCTGCTTTTCATCCTTGTCGAAATGCATACAAATCATTTTTTTTGTTGACATTGACCAATCACGACGTGCTTGTCATGGGAACAATAATTTACCTTGCCCTGTACAACGTTGAAATCATGCAGAAAAAGGCGAAAAAAGAAGCCGAAAAAGTTACCAATTATAGGGCATGACATTTCATAAAGCGCCATCCATGTCTGTGTATCTATTGTAAATTGATCCGTACTATTCTCCCCCGCTTCAAGGTATTTCCTTGCATAAAAAATCGAAAGGATAAGCAAGTTCGTTCAGCAGTAACAGCAGCAAAAATCTTTCAACATCTTGAAAGCTGGCTGATGCATTTTGAAGCATTTGATTTGCTCCACACATCTTTTCTGTTGTTTTTCCATAAATTTCTAATCCCGAAACGGAATTTTTCATGCACCAAAGTTACACTTCCACTCCATCCAATGTGCCTCGTTGAAAAAATGGAGAAGAGTATGTTCTGTTTGTATGGTGCAAAAACCGGAAAGAGTCGTGCTCAAACCTGATAGGGTGTTTCTTGGCCTTTTTACTTTATTGCTCCAGACCTTGGGTCGAAATTCTTGAATGAAAATGGGAAATCCATTACTTGGCAATGCTTTTCCTTCATACAGAAAACTGTGCCTTGACACAACCCGATGATGGGATTTTTTTTTTTGAAGAAAAGTTTGAATAGAAAAAAAAAATGGTTTTCGTTCTTTCATTCCAAAGGGGGGAAGGGAAAAAAACCAACCAACAAACAAACAAAAATAGATAAACATAAAGGGAGCATTTTCCGGCAAGTTGGATAGTGTAGAACAAATACTGTTTTTTCATTCCTTCCATAAAGACCCTGTCTGCTACAGAACGAGACCCTTCTCACCGGACCCTCCATGATTGACTTAGCATACCCCTCTTTGTGTCCATCACTACTCAATCACTAGAAGGAATAAAAAGCGTTCTATCAGTGATAGACATGGAAAGTAGGTTGAATACACACTGGTTCTCTTTTTGACACCTTCATCTGACCACTTGGCACTCTTTTTCATGTCAGATTCAGCTCTCTTACCGATACTGTCATCCTGAAAGAATGCTTCTTCCAATGCACCAATCGTATCTTCTCCAGTCATTGTTCCCCTTTCCAGGTTCTGCATAGTGATACACCCTTCACATCACCTCCTGATTGATTCACCGACATCAAAGGCCAAGCAGTAGCCCTTTTTGCAAGCATGATGGGGGGGAACATGCTGAAGTCTCCTTCTCGCGATGACAAATGCAAACTTATCCAAGCGTGGGTGAGAACGGACTCGTCTTCTTCCTTTTACAAAAGTTTCAGGAGTTGGCTGCTTATCCGCCTCGTGGTATCAGCCATCTAGTCGGTATTTTTGTTTTGATGTGGTCATCCTCCAGCCATTAGATGGAAGGAAGCTTTTTGATTGGAACAAAGAAACAGGTTCAAGGTGGAGCAAGCGCGCGCTTTTGTTTTTTTTTTAAAAAAAAAAGTGACTTCATATGAAAGGCATAGTGATGCGAATCATTGCCAAGTTTGAGTCATTTTTTCCAAGGCCATTCTTTCAACATTCGCTCATGGCGCTCGTTATGAATAACATCACATGAAAATAAAAGCCCCCCCCCCTCCCTCCCGCCAATGGCTGCCTTGTTGGCATTGATAAAGGCTGATGCATTAAAATAGGGCATATCACAAGGATTCATTTGTTCTATGAAAAGCCCGAATTAGATAAAAATATAAAAAAATAACCTTTTTCGCAAGTAGGCCACACCCATGGATTCATTACAAAAACCCAGTGAGAGATGCTTCGTTACACGGAGCATCTTCACATCGTTACATGTGGTTGTTTTGCATAAACCCACAGACATCTCAGATACAAAAAAAAAAAAAAAAAAAAATTTATTTTTTCACAGTAGTCATATTATATAGAATTTCTCCTCGTTCGTACTGGTAAGAAAGCTCCTTCACTGCTGTTATGATCAGAAAAGAGTGATTTTTGCTGATGAGCGGATATCGGAACCCACGTACGCTTCAGATGCGTTCTATAGCTCATTTCATTCGCTTGCCGTTCTTCTCGTAACGTAGTACTCCTTTTCTTGCTTTGTTCTTCATTTTCTTTGTCTTCCGTCGGCTCTATCTTAGAAGTACCGGGCAAGAGGGTGGTCGACAAACGCCTTACTCGAGAAATAAAATGATTCTTTTTGTTACTGACAGCTGCAGTAAACAGTGCTGCAGGTGAAGAAGGGGTGATGACGGCAACTTGATCCACCATAAAATTAGTAATAGCAAAGACACACGCCCAAAGCAACATGGAGGAGAGATTAAAAGGCGAGGATGACAGTTGTTGTTGTTGTTGTTGTTGCTGCTGCTGTTGGATATGGCTTTTAATAGCGGTACTTGTAGTAGTAATAGTAGTAGTAGTAGTAGTAGTAGTAGTAGTAGTAGGTGACTGAGTGTAATAGAAACAAAAATCAAACATCATGGTGATCAAACTATGCGGTATATGTAACAGAGGAACAAGTATCAGCACGGTGAGCCTTGTTGCGTCTATGGTGAATGTGGTGGTCGTATGTGTGCCAAAAAGTCTATTGGTTATTATGCTACGGGTATGGCTGTGTCTATCGCTGTCAGTGGACGCTGCTAAATCTTTAGAAAGTGAATCTATCAATGCCATCGAACTATCTAACCGTTGAAACGATTCCTTCAACATCACATCCGTCGTCGTACCACCACCACTCGTACGATCGCCATCGCCATCGCCATCCTTGCTCCTACTAGGGTTCATCCTGCTGGTATACGGGCTGTTGTTGTTGTGCGTCGATAAAGATAACTGTCGTTTCCTTTGGAGGGTCAACGTCGTTGATCGTGGTAACCTTATGCTGATGGATCGCCGAGAGGTAGAGGACGTCACAAGTTGGCTTGCAGATCGTGAGGGTGAGGTATATCGAAACTGCCGTTTCCTGGTCGGGTAGGTCAAGAAGGACGTGGATACTGTTCGGTGCGGTGTCATCGAATTCGATAGGACGGAAGTGAGGGGTAGAGTAGGTGAGCAGGCCTCCACAGGTGAATAAGGTGGTGAAGGTACCCCATCCCTTTCAGGAACGTAGCCTTTGGCCGTCATCACTGTAGGAGGAGGAGGAGGCTGCAATGGCACTTTATTTTTCTTCCCACTCTTTTCTGCTAAGATACTACGACTGTTGCTGTTGGACGGCGCGATGGAAAACTCCCCTTCCTTGCTTACAGGTACGTTAGCAGTCCATAGTGGATGCACATGGCTGCTAGTGACGTTAGAAAAAGAAGGATAGACTCGCTGATGGTTTTTTTTTCTGCGACTCATCGTCATCATGTTATCGCTAGGGCGATACTTGTTGCGACAATGGTTCGTATTGGACAGTAAGTGAACGCGTTCTTCTTCTATATCATGGACGGCATCGTTGGCTTCCTGAATGAGGTTGGTCAAAATACTGGATATTCGATCAAATGCCTGTTTTTGCTCAACATCATCCTCGTCTTCTTCTTCCTCTGCGTCTCCCTCCTCCTCCTCCTCCTCCTCCTCCATATCAGATAAGAGAACCATCGCCGAATCTGTTCTTGTTATCGTATGTCGACGAGCCCTTCCTCTGTTAGGATGGTGGTTGGCTGTGGATGTATGGATGGGTGATGAAAATGAACGATAAAGGGGATCTGTAAATGTCGACTGTAAATAAGAATCAAAAAAGCAAATGACACTGATAAATACAAAATGAAGTTTGCACGTTACAGTGTGAGGCATTGAAATACAATTACCATTTTCTGTTATTGTATGATTGATTCGAGAATTCTGATGAAATTTTTGGCCCCCAGAAAAAAAAGTGAAAAAGAGTAGTTGAAAAGAATGTCAAAGTTTATTGTTATTATTATTATTCTATTATGCAAGATGATAATTTATATTCTTTATTTGACTTGTTTGTTAGTAATAACTTGGAAAATGAAAAAAAAAGGGGGGAGGAGGAAAGAAAGCAGATACTGAAAATTGTGAACAAAAGGGCAAAGGAAAAAAGCACAAAAAAAAAGCAAAAAATTTCATTGTTGCACGCATTACCTAAAACAAGAATCCAAGAGATGACGATGTGTACGTGTCGTGTAGGTCTTGTGTACTGTAGAGTGGAAGCATCTTCTGTTCCTTAGAGCCTTTTCTATGGCCAAGCACATGATTTTTTTTGCTATTTTACTCTTAACTAACCCAAACTTGCACCTTCTGTCCCCTTGCTTTCAATGGCTTTGGATGAGAGGCGATCCCTTATGTCAACAACAACAAATAGAGTAAAATGACATGTCAACTGGAATGAAACAAGTCTTTTCCGCTTCTTCTTCTTCTTCTTCTTCTTCTTCTTCTTTCTTTTTCCGTGCAAAAAAAAAAAAGGTACTTGGCACAGATAAGTTCTATGTTTTAAGCTTTTTCTGTCATACCAACCAATGTGCACCCTTCTGCTGTATAACCGTAAATGTTTATACTTCATTTTGACTTATATGGCTTATGTAATTCTTGCCTGGCAATTATGTCAAAAAGAGATGGCGCTTGTCCTTATACGGTGATCAATAGACGAAAATGTACAAGTAGCTCCCTACAAACATTCATAGAAACACAATCAACAGTCTTTTTCTTTTTTTTTTTTTTTTTCTGTCTTTAAGCATCACCAAAGCTTGATGTAATGGCAATTATAACTTTGTGTTGTTGACATGATAGAAGGATCTTTTGCCACTCTTTGGTTTGCCGTTGTAGATCATTTCGCACGACAGCTTTTATACAGTCTACAACAGTCGCTTAGACAGCTGTATATAATGAATGCAAGGGATCGAGTGGCTGGATCATCACTGTATTCGATAAAAAGTGCGTGTATGTGTGGTGTGTGGTATGAAATGGCTTATTGGCAGTAGGAAAAGGGACCAAAAACAATAAAACACATGGATAATATTGAGCACTTGATCTCAAGCATTTATCGTACGGGCATCGAGTTCCTGTGGAAATAGTTTAGGGTAGACCTATGCCATTACTGTCAATCTTCAATTTCAACTTTCTTGTATTGAATTACTGTTTTATCGGACTTTTGAGTCGTTGTTTTCACAGCATAAAGTTCGGGATTTTTATATTTTGACTCCACACTTCTCTCTCTCTTTCTCGTTCACAATAATTACTTGTCTAGATATGGCACACTCAACAGAAGATCAGTCCAACATTCAATGGGATATTCTTCAAGCTTCTGATCCTTTGGCATCTCATCCACAACTGGGTCATAATGACAATGCGGAAATTTTAGATCCTTTATTGAGTGATTTAACCATCCATTACGAAGACTCAACAGCAGCCGAACTGTCCGCAAAAAATACTGTAACGTGAAAGTAAAAAGTTGTCATTTGCTGTCAATTGTACAAAATGAAAAGACTAAATTTTTCATCACATAGTTGAATGGCTCAAACTTATTACACGTTGATATCTCAGATAAGAAACCGCCTATTTTATTTGATCATGATACTCAGCAGCATGAATCAACGATACAGTTGGACAGCGTTTATCATACCAATAACTCTTATCCTCAGCAAGAGAAAACACCTATTCACAATGCGACAAACGCTCCTTTAGAGAGTAGCAGCAAGAAAGTCTATGTAAAAGATCCTCAAAAAGAAGTGGAAGAACAAAGCACTTATGTGTCTTATTTAGTAGTATCAGATGTAAACTATCAACGATTTTTACTACCAACATAACACACGCTAGGGATAAAGCTACTAATGTAAAAAAAATGGATTGGGAATAGAAAAAACAAGTACGAAGAAGATACCAAGATTTTGTTTGGCTGCATAATGTGCTTTATACACACTTTCCTGCCTGCTTTGTTCCTCCATTACCGGATAAGCATAGATTAGGTATTGGCTGGCATAGTCTGCAAAGACCTCTTCTCATCTTTCAAACTTCTTAACCTTCCCTTCTCCTCTCTCTCTCTCTTTTATAGAATATGTCAAAGGAGATCGATTCAGTCAAGAGTTTGTCGAAAAGAGACGAATGAGTCTCGAAAGATTTATGCAGCGGATAGCACGACACCCTATACTCAGTAAAGCTGAACTCTTTATCAAGTTTCTTGAAGCTTCCGATTTTGTAAAGTATCAAATCCCCCGTACTATCAAACTTTGAATCCACGCAAAGGTTTGATTAATGCATCTTTACTTTCATAGAATGATGCATCTGCTAGAGCTTTACGTGAAGCGAATGAAACAATGATGGACACTCTTGGAGATTCATTACTGAATGCATTCGCCAAAATACGCAAACCTGATCCACGCTTTTTAGAAATGAAGGAGAGAAATGAAAAATTAGAAGAAAATTTAGACATGCTTCAAAGAGTGTTGGCAAGAACCAACAAAAGGACAGAAGATCTTCTCCATGATTACGAAGAATTCACGAGCAGTGTGGAAGGGTTATCGGACATCATGGCTGGAGAATCACCCCTTTATAAAACTATTTTAAACATCTTTTCAAATGGATTGCATCAATTTTCTAACCGCTTGAAAACCATGAACACGGAAGACACAAAATGGCAAATAGAAACCCATGATTCTATGGCGTATTATCATGCAGTGCAAGCCGTTCTCAAATTGAGAGATCAAAAACAGTTAGATTTCGAAGAGCTAAATGTCTATTTACACAACACTATGGAAGAAAAGGAGAAGCTGATGCGTGATAAACGTGGTGCAGAGGTCAGAGGGGTCACTGGTTATATCACTGGGATGCTGAATGAGGTGAGAGGTGCAGACTCGCAAAAACTAAAGAGAGAAAAGATTTTGAGATTAGACGATCGTGTCAAGGAATTGCAAGAGGCAATTGACCAAACGCATGAAGTATCCACAGCGTTTTCAGAGCAAGTAAAAAAGGAAGACGCTTTTTTTAATCACAACAAGCGAATGGAGCTTTATGATGCACTAAAGACTTATACAAATGCCAAGGTGGACTTTTACGAAAATGTAAGTTGTTCGAAACAATCGACTCTCTAACCTCAGAAGCCTTCATTACTTAACAATTATTTTGTGATGATCGACTCTCCATTTTACTATAGAGTATCAGTATATGGAGAGAAGTGGTGCAGCAGCTCGAAGATCAATAACCTGATACATACGTCGCTATTCATCCAGAACGACCCAATCCTTTATTTATTTTTGTTACCAACGATACCTTTGTTTTATTCAACATTCCTTCCGTTTCAGTTCAGATAATTTGACAGCTATTTGCCCTCCAATCCTTGCATTATTCTTTACCAAAGCGATATCTATAACCCCCACCCCCATTGTATGATTTAGTAAACATTCCCACTTATTTGAGCAACTCTCTTATCCAACTGAGGGGATGCATATACTCACTAGCAGCTAGAGATTCACCCCTAGTAAGCTCATTGATGCGCTTGAGCAAATAAGGGGTTTCTTCTTTGCCGTGGATGTTCTTGGCTCTAAAAAGTGCATCATATTAATGCCATAACGCACTTTTTAAACACATTCTGCGGGGACAAATCCTACCTCGCTTCCGCAATAGCATTAGCAATAGCAGCTTGTATTGCTTCAGAATCAGGAGCTGCTTCCTTTGGAATAGGACAAGCGAACACTATCCCACTGTTCAACTCCAATTGATGATTGGCCACTGATAAAAAATAAGTTAGATAAAAGTGTTATCTACTACAGTTTTCAATAAATATTTACATATTGATTTGGCTGCGTCTAAAGCATCCTTCATCTGATACGGACTCTAACAATAGATAGCGTGAACATCATTTCAGTAGTAACCCTCTACACAAAAAAAAAAAAAAAAGCGGTAGTCATTTTACCTCGTAACCACTATCCACTGTATAGAACGCAGGAAATCTTTTGCTATCTCTATCAAAAGTAGCAACGGTGACACCTTGTGACTCTAACACTTCCAAGGTTTTTTGTATATCTAGAATACTCTTTACACCAGCACATACGACAGCTATAGGTGTTCTACCCAACTCGTACAGATCAGCGCTAATATCGAACGCTATAAAAGTACGTTAGCGTTGAAGAATTCCCCTTTCCATCATTTCAACAACCCATTTAGCGCAACCTTACATGATTCTGCACCTCTATGAACACCACCAATTCCGCCTGTAACAAAGATAGGTATGCCTGCTGCACGAGCCAGTATCATTGTGCTCGCAACAGTGGTTGCTCCGTTCCTTTTCTAAATGTGTATCGTCATGAGCATTTTTTCTCTCTATTTTTTTCCATCTAGAGAGATGATACTCACCTGTGACAAGATCATAGCCAAATCACGTCGAGAGGTCTTTTGTGCTTCAGGTCCTGCTTTACCCAGGAACTCCAATGCATTATCCGTTAAACCTTCAACCATGGACAATTCGAAAAATAAATTAGAAAAATAAATAAATAATAAGAACAGAAGGGATATAATCAAGCCTACCAATATGCACCTGACCATTCAATATCGCAATAGTGGCAGGAATGGCTCCTTGCTCTCGAACAATATTCTCAACAGACTTTGCTGTCTCAACATTCTGAGGATACGGCATGCCTATGATTCATACATATTTGTATTCCTTTTTTTTATAATTTCGACATTACACAAGATCATCACCATTTGAAATCTTTACCATGACTGATGATGGTGGACTCTAACGCAACAACAGGTCCTCTCTCTTCTATGGCTTGTTTTATTTCCGGTGTAATAACAAACCTCTCAGAATTGGGTAGAGCATGAAAGCAACGTTTTCGTAAAACATTCACTGCACCAACCCTGGTAAAATTGAATAGTTTTCTATTTATATTATACATGATATTAAGGTTAAAGAAGTATACTATCTTCTCTCAAAACGGAAAAAAGAATTTGTAAGATGCTACAGAGATGGAAAAAAAAAAGTAGAAATTTACGCGCGTATTGTAAGCATAAGTGTCGAGCTTATCATCTAGTTACTGTCACCAAGAAAGTCGCTCAAGGCATCAAAAAATCCACTGGTATCATCCTCTGGACTACTGACACCTGCCTGTTCATCGGAAAGCCAAGTGTCTCCCCATTCGTTTGTTTGTTGCGGTGGAGGAGGAGGGGGAGTAGATGCTCCGTGACCAAAATCACTGCTACTGGCGCCGCCGCCCATCATTGTTCCTGCCGCCTCTCCTACCGCTGCGTCACCGATGTTTGGATTTGTATCTGTATCATTATTGGTATCAGATGGTTCATTGGGCCCTCCCATGCCAAAGATTGGGAAAGGCATGAATCCTCCTCCACTATCATCAGATCACACATTTAGTCAATCATCAACGAGTCAAGAAAGAAAGGACAGCTTTCAAAAACTTACCCATGTGTTGAGTGCCTAGAGAAATAATCAAAATCAATAGATATAGCGCAAGCTAGCGTCACGGCTCTTTCATCTAAAGTCATGCCCCTAGCACCACTATCGGCAGCATCCATTCTTAGCACATATTGACCAGAATCGGTGAAAATCTATCAATAAAGGCACATTGTGTCAATTCCAGCTGAAAAGATCGATTAATAAACGACAAGACTGTTGTTTCTACCTCTCTAGCGAATCCTACAAAGTTTCGACTAACATTTCCCAATGTTTTTCCATCTTCATCTTGCAGATTAAAGTCCCACCCTAAGAAGGGTGCATCAATCATAGCAAACTGATTTTTTCTATAGGGCCGCATTCACCGTGAGTGATTCTATGTAATGATTCTAGAACTATTACAACTTGTAACAACATTACCCTACAAACAGGTCATATTTTCTCCTTAACAAATGCCATCGCTGTTGAACTTCGCCTACCAACTCATCATTCGCCGTATAAATAAATATACGACTATTAATGAGTGAATAAGGCCTTGTAATCTTATAAATCACTTCTCCTTGAGGATTCAAAATAGTGGCATTCATTTTACGATGGGTTCTTAGTAGCTGCCGCCCCACAGACTTGGCTAAACCTTCTTCTTCAGCGATGTAACCGATCAAGTTTCCCTCGGGATCCATAATTTTATATCTGTTGGCTTGTTCGTAGCCGAGAAAAACATTTAGCATTTCTAGCTCACGGCCAACAACGATGGCTGGCTGAGTGAGAAGAGATGCCCCTTTGTAGTCTGGTTTGATGACTTGATTGGGTGAGACTGGAACTTCCACCAAGGTATCAATGGTGGCGGAGGGAGTAGGTTTATCAAAAACGAGTTTGTGTTCATCACTATATTGGCTTTTAGGAACAGAATTAGTAGTAGCTGCTGCTGCTGCTGCTGCTGCTTTAGGAACTGTTGCTTCGACAGTCGAACGTATTATTGGTTTTTGACGTCCCTCTACATGACTCAACACTCGACTTCGGGGACCTATAAACACACAAACGAAAAGACGTAAAAGTTTCTGTTAGAGGGTTGATTTTCTATCTCTCCAAATACTTGATCGTGGGGGCGTCCATTTCTTTTTTTGCTTCTCACCTGGGGAACGGATGCTGCGCAAAGAGGAGTAATGATGTCGTTTAACGTTGTTGACAAGAGTATTTTTGTTGTTTATCAAGTATAGCTGTTGTATAGATGTTTTTTGCCATAACACTATTTTTGTTGCTAGCAATCTATTTCGATACATTTCAGCAAAATTATTGGTAACTCAAACGAGCATTAGAAAGTAAAGGAAATGGCTTCACTATTTCTATCCTATAGAAATGCGGGGGCATGAATTTCCATTATAGTCGTCCAAATTTAGTAAGCGACTTTTTAAGTTTGCAGGAACAGAAGGAAGCGCTTGTGGCTTGTGCAATCAAACCAATTTATAAATCCAAACTTAGGCTCTTTTCCCTGGCATAATTATAAATCTCATAATGGCAGAAGAAGACGTAAAACGATCGGTGGAGGCTGAACAGGCACAAGAACAACAAAATATTGCTGAGCAACAGCCAACTGACAATGAGACGGTAGGACCTAAGCCTTTTAGAAGTCAGTTTACTATGGATTTTGACAACTTGGATGAAGAGCTGTCAAAAGTACCTCTGTTCATGACTGATCTACCAGATGAAGAAAATGACAGTTTAGCAGCTTTGCAATCACTTGTGTTTGACGGTACACCCGAAGGTAGATAATACAAACTATATTCTAATATTACAGCTACAATACACAACTTTGTTTGTTACCTCGTCATACTTACGAACATAAACATTGGATGAACAATCACAACTTTTGATTAGAGGTCGCTCAAAACTTTAGAGAACAAGGAAATGATTGTTTTCGTGCTGGGAAAGCCAAATATAAAGACGCCATTATCTTTTATACAAAAGCAATTGAAACTGAGTGCAAGGATCAAAGTATCATTGAAGCTTGTTTAGCCAACAGAGCAGCTTGCAACCTAGAGTTACAAAATTATGGACGTGTATTGAATGACTGCTCCAAGTGCCTAAAAATCAACCCTAAAAACGTGAAGGCACTTTATCGATCGTCCAAAGCACTTTTCGCCTTGGATAAGTTAGTGGAATGTATTGACTGTTGCGACCACGCCTTAGCGATAGATCCAGATAACAAACCTGTCAAAGATGTGAAGGAAAGAGCTGTTACGCGAAAGGCAATTTTAGATAAAAAAGCTAAGGAAAAGGAAGAAAGAGAAAGACGCGAGAGGGAGAAGAAGGAAAAATTGGAGAATGCTTTCAAGGTGAGATTGTGTACGGTTTTACGAGTATAATTGACCGAGGAGACTCATCTCTACACTTATGATGCTATTTCAGGAACGCAATATAAAAATCGAAGTCGTAGATAAAGAAGTTAGAGAAAAGGCCAATATTGAATTGGATGAAGAGACTCAGACTATCAATTGGCCAGTTTTCTTTTTGTATCCCGAATATAAAGAAAGCGATTATATTCAGTCTTTCAATGAAACACATACTTTCAATGACCATCTGGAAATTATGTTTGAACAGCCTGCACCTTGGGACGCTAAACACGAATACAATCCGAAGAATCTTGAAGTTTACTTTGAGGATACACGTGGATTGCAACCAAAATTACTTAAGGTGGGCAAAAAGCTATCATTAGGTAAAATCCTATCATTGGATCAGTATGTGATCAAGAATGGAGTACCATCATTTATTATACTTTCAAAAGATTCAGCCTTCAAACAAGAATTTTTGAACAAATTTAAGAAGCAATAGTAGATGATATCTATATACGCTCCCCCCTTTTTGTACATAGCATAGATACTAAAATAAATAGCATTCTTTTATGGATGAGGATGTTGAATGGATTGAAAGCTCTCTGTAGATTCACTTTTTTTCATTGAATGATCACTTAATTGCGCGTCATCCAGATCTGACCAGCTATCGTTATCCGACTTATTGACAGCACTTTGATATTGATCGTCCTTCCCAACTATGGCAAAATTATTGTTACTGAATTGATAGAAGCTCTCACTGTCCGATAATATTGTATCCTTATTTTCTGCCTCTTCTGCTGTTGTGTTCAATTCTGGAGTGGAAGGTCGCTGCACAAAAGAGTTTACATAGTCTTTGATTTCCGAAGCGAGAATTTCTTTTGGAGAATCAGTTTCTCCCATGAAAAGGCCATCAGCAAATGGATTTTCCTCGACAGAGTTATCATCATCAAATGGAATGCCAGTAATACTGTTTCCTCTCAAACTCAGTAATCTTTGCTGCTCCTCAAAATCTGCTTTTGCTTTGGGGCTATTCTCATCAACGAATGGGTTCAGTTCGGTGGATAATATATCAGTATTCACTGTGGGCGCTACCATCTACAAAGAAGTGACCGATTAGCATCTAAACTGTTCATAATCTTGAGTGCAGTCGTTTACCTCTTCCTTCTCATTAATACTCATTTCAATTTGCTTGTCTTCCTGTGGAAACATTTTTCTGCGTCTTAACTCGCTTTGATGATTCGGCGACTCTCGTTTCTTTTTCCAAAAGGCTAAGGGCTCATCATCATCGCTATCATTATCAGATTCATTCTCAAAGATAGTAACTGGTACGAGTCCACCATGCTTTTCTGAATGCATTCGCACGTATTCTTCGTATTCTCGCTGCTCCTTCCTATCGTTATGCCATTCATATAAAGTATTGATAGCTTCATATCCTCCATAAATGATGATGGCGCCACCTAAGGCAATAGCGAATACAGCAAGTGGGTGCATTAAGGTATATATATTAGTAAAAGAAGTTCAACTAATGGAAAAAAAGAAAGGAAAGAAAAAGAAATCGTAAATTAAGAGCGTGAAAGTATCTAATTTAAATTACGAGGAACATCATCATAGAAAGAGAAGGGGAAAAAGTCACTAAAACTGTAATGATAAAGCTTCTTAATTAAGCCTATCCTAAATATTCTATAATGTGTGCTTGATTTTTTGCGAATCAAGCAAACTTGGTAGGTAACTTTTTTTTTCTTGATTGTCATTGGAGTTCTCAAGTGACCTCTCAGATTGTACCGCAAGTTTTTTTTCCGCTTAGAAGGGAAAGTGATGAAAAAAGCTGTCGACGCTGCCTCATTTATGGCAGTAGGCTTGCGAGATTGCCTGCATGTGTAAACGTTTATCAATCAGTATTAATTTAATCTAGTCGGTACTGATTCTTACATACTATCTGCTAGCAATACATAAAAATTATCACACTATAGCGTAATTAACATCAAGTTCACATATTCTTGATGTGTATTTTAATTCGCATACATTCCTGGTTGTATATTTTTTTGATCTTATTAAGCTGTAAATAGGTAATGGTAATCCATTATCACTACAGTCTAACAAGCCGGCTCTACTGATGGTAGCACACTTATTCAAGTGTGAGCTAGAACAATTGTACGCAAAAGCTTAAAATATACCTCCTTCTCGTGATATTGTAAACAATATTGAACTGAAAAGAACCGCGTCCTTTTCTTTTTAGTCAACTTTTTACAAAGCAGTTAAACCAAATGTACATTTGAAAATCAAGTAAGTATATATAGTAAACCTTGACATAATAGATCGAAACGTTGTATAAGACATGCAGGTAATCGAGCTGTAAATCGCATAAACTATACCTCGGTTCAGCAACATCATTATATCATTTACAAATTTGAGTATTGCTCATGATAGATCTCTGCAATTTCTCTATTCATAAATTTACTATATAACCGCTTGTAAGTTCACTAACATACTTGATTTTGTTGTTCGATTGAAAATATACAAATTAGCATATTATTGAATTCTCTCAATATATAATTTTTGATTAAAGTCAGGCTCATCCTTCATATAAGAAGCTCTTTATGCTAAATGAATTAGTGAGGTTGCGAAACATACAATCGAATGGAAGATTACGACAATGATAATGTCTAGTATTTCACACCACTTGCAGTCAGAAGCGTACCCTTCAAATTAACAGATAAGGAACCACCTTATATATTCAACATTAAGACAGGAAGGAATGAAATGTCACGAAAAGTAGGGATCTTATGATGCATGAAGTTCGCATTTCTTAAAGGATCTGCTTCTTTGGTGCCCAATTGAATATAAGGTATATGCCTCATATTCTATGCTCAGGAACCTACTTTGTCAGGTACAAATAAACTAATCGATTGGGCTACAAGGCTTTGAACGTAAACTGTCAACTACCTCTTCACTATGTGTTGCAACTGCAAATCTCTCGCTCAATTCTACTTTAACGGTCGTTAGCTTTTCATTATCTCATGTTTCAGTTTGGTTATTGTACCTGCAAATTTTTGTGTGTATTGTTCGCTTTGTACTTCTACCAGCCTTTTTCTATACCATATGATGGATAGATCTAACGCAACGCTGGGAACTGGGGTTGATATTTAGAAAGTCCGTTCGGTGACAAACTTCCCCATTCATGCAAGATAATCCTGAAAAAAAAAAAAAATTGAAAAAATCCAGGTCGGTTAGAGAGATACTCTGGTAATCCGCACAATCAGTATATCCCGCTGACAGCACAGATGTTTGTGATTTTTAAATATGCTGGTCATACGCAGCAGTGGTAAAACAAAAAAAAAGAGAGAAGACGAGAGAAGATTGGCAATTGAAATTACTCTGCGATCAATGAATTTGAGATCTAAATGCAAACTACACCTTTTTTTAAACGACTAATACTGAAGTGCTAAATTAATTCGCTGTCAAAATCGAAGGACATTGTTTACTTCTATCTTTAAGTAAAAAGTCTTCTTTTTTAAGACTAAAAATATATGAGATTTTTAGCTGATATAAAAATTATATCTTGTATAATAGAAAGGCGGCAAATAAGGCACCAATACCCAAACCAGTCAAAGATATCCAAGTCTATCATGGAGAGAAAAGAGAAGACTACTTTTCATGGATGGAGAACCTGGCAGACCCTGTAAATATGTTGCACTACGTTTTTTTAAATATATACTTTACTCATATGTATGATAAAATACTGTTTGCTTCAAGAATCTCGGACCTTACATAAAAGCAGAGAATGAGTAAGATTATACATTTTTAATTATCCAAAAGTAAAGTTATTCTAATCAATATGGATATCAACAGGTTTACGCGGAAAGCTATACGCCAACATCGATTCTTACACAAAGTTGTATTGCACGAAATGAAGCGTCGACTGTACTTACCTAATGCTTTACCACCAGTAAAGACTGTTGCGAAAGGATATGAATATTATTCAACAAACACAGCTCAGGGTATAGTTTACTTGAGAAGAAAATTAGGTGACGGAAGGAACTCATCAGAGGTAATGTACTTCAAAAATCTGTTTAGCGCATAGCAGGCATGTTCGCACAAGAGAGTGAAAATAAAATAACGGCATATTCACGTTCTTTTATATCAATCTTTTATATTTATTCCAGCAAGTGCTTTTAAATACAGGTTTCCTAAGTTCAATGAACATGTCTGTGCGCAAAATTTTGCTATCACCTGATCATACAATGTTGGCGTATAATACTGAAAGAGAAGGGATGGAGTATGGTGAGCTACACTTCAAAGACTTGAATAATAATGGTGGGCCGGTAAGGAGTAAAGAAGTTAACCTCACAGGATACCCAGTATAACAACTTAAGACGGACGATTTGTAGAGCGAAATTTTGGAAAATGTGTTTAATTTTCTGTGGGCAAACAATCAAGTCATCTACTACACTGTGCCTAATTCACACTTGCGGCCATATCAGGTAATAGATAACGAAAACCTTGGCTCAATGAAGGTTATTTATCGATTTTCCTCTTACGTTCTTTGTCAAAAGGTCTATGCACATAGAATTGGAACAGACCAACTTCAAGATATTTTGGTCTTTGAAGAACTCGATGATACAGTTTTTGTGGATATTACAAGCTCTAAAGATGGAGTAGGCTTAATTTTCACTCTGTGCAATTAATGATAGAAAATGGGCTAGTATTAATCCTACCATCATATACATGTATCTTAATAGAAATATGTCAATATCAACGCAAACACTCTTAATTCGTCCGAAGTCAGAGTATTAAGAGCTGACCATGACTTGAAAGACAATCAGAAACCCGATATGCGGTTAATAGAACCCCGTACACCCGGTGTGGAGTACTATGTAGATCACCATGATGTAAGAAGAACATCTTTTCACGGATACAGCTGTTATAGCAGAATGGATTCTAATTTTGGGCTTCCCTCCAACTAGGACAACTTTTATATTTTGACGAATGCAGATGATGCTATCAATTTTAAACTAGTACAGGCAACAGATTATGCTTTCAAAAGAAAAGATTGGTCGGATGTTATAAAAATGCGACCTACGGAGAAGATAGAGGATGTTGATCTATTCAAAAATCATGTTGTTATCTACGGCAGAAAAGATGGCCTACCGATGATTCTGTGCCATAATTTACAAACAGGGAAAACACATGAGGTGCCCTTACCAGAGAAATTTTGTGTGCTAAGCCCAGGAACCAACCTCGTAAGTACAACTAGAAGATTGATCGTTGAAGAAGTGACAGAAAATCGTATACTTATTTCAATGAAAAGGAATTCGACACAGATACTTTCCGTTTTTCAGTCACATCGCCTTTTATGCATGAATCAACTTATGAATACAATATGAGCACTCAAAAATTACATCCAGTGCGAGTACAAAATGTTCAGAGTATGTGGCCATATCATATATTCAAAGGTAATAGTATCGATGATTAACTATAAATTATTGTATGTAGAATTTGACAGATCAAAGTACACATGCAACCAAATTAAAGTCCAGTCGCATGATAATAAGGAAATCCCTGTCACTTTAATTCATAAGAAAGGCATCCAGTTAAATGGAAGGTTGGTGGTATACTCTATATGTGTGCGAACATAAATTCATTATTGATTTTTGATGCTCTGAATGATAGAAACCCAGTTCTCATGAGGTCCTATGGTGCTTATGGAACCTCTACCGATATAGATTTTAGAGTGGAACAATTTCCTTTGATAGAACGTGGCTGGGTGATTGCTTTGGCTCATGTTAGGTAACAAGAATTTCAAGCTTGAAATAAGTTCTGATTTGCACCAAGTTCTTTAACCTGATTGACATTCCTTCCTTTCGTTTTTGCAGAGGCGGAGGTGAGCTGGGAAGAAGCTGGTATGAAGATGGCAAACTGGACAAAAAATTGAACAGCTTTAAGGATTTTATATCGGTCGCAGAACATCTTGTTCATCATAAATTAACGTCACCGGATTATTTAGCTGCCATGGGAACCAGTGCTGGGGGCCTTTTAGTTGGTAAGTCTATTAAGGATTTTTTACAATTTTTCTAAAGAGCTACAATCATTTTGTTGAAACACATATTTAGGTGCGATGTTCCATATGCGGCCCACTCTATTTAAAGCACTTGTTTTACGCGTTCCTTTTGTTGATCCACTTTCTGCAATGCTGAACCCAGAATTACCACTAACACAAGTGGAATATCCTGAATGGGGAAATCCTACAAAAGATCCAAAAGCATATCAGCTTATTCAGTCATATTCACCGTATGAGAACATCAATCTTAGCCTCTTCAGCAAAAATAAAGATAAAAGATTAGCGTCTTTATTTGTCACAGGAGGCATGAAGGATCAACGAGTAGCATATTGGCAGCCTTTGAAGTTTGTAGCCCGCCTACGGTATCTTCTGTCACAGCAGCAAAATAGGAAACTACTCGATAATGAAAGTGTCAATGAATACAACAAGAACATTTTATTGAAAATGGATTTGGACCGAGGGCACTTTGGAGGAAATTCGGAGCAAGATTCAAGGCTTTCTGATGTAGCTGAAGAGATAGCGTTTCTAATTACTCAGGTGCAACAGTAAAAATGCTGGAGGCTATAGCTGCAACTTCGGAATCTTTGCATATAATAGAGGCAGAACGACGTTTAAAATAGATTTACTTCAGGATCGGCCGAGTCATTGGCTGATTGTTTCTACGCTAATAAAGTAACAATTGCTGTCCGTTTAATGCACTATAAACTACTACTGTTGTACTGCTAGTCGGGAAGCACTCAAAATAGGAAATGCCCGCTTCCAATCGTTGTAGCACGGCATCAGCCTTGACGAGAAAAAAGGTTAATTTTTTTTTTTTTAAAAAAAAAAAACTTCGGTTTGATGTACGGTGAAACTTCTTTCCTCTCTGTTCCTTTTCTTCTCTGAGTCCTTTCAAAAAGATACAAAATGTCAAAGCCAAGAATTATAGGACAGCTTGTTATTGTAGCCTATAAAGCTGTACGTCTAGGTTAAACATAATTTTTATGGGAAATGATTTGGTACTAACTGCTTAACCCCATTCTAAAGAAATATTTACCGGAACGAGAAGTATGTACATCGAAATAAAGATGTTTCCTAGCTTTACATATATGTATATACATATTGATTGTTTTGTTGATTAAAGGTTGTAGGAAAACAGGATCCTTTCGTTATCTTTCGTATAGGCGAAACAATTGAAAGAACGAAAACGGATTACCGTGGTGGACAACATCCAATTTGGGACGATCAGGTACTTTTTTTTTTTTTTTTCTTTAGCGCAAATTTGCCTCTTCATGAAAGAATTTAACGGATTTGGCTCTGACCCGTTCTTTTTATTTTATGTAGGTTATACTACCTATTCCAGAGAAAAAGACAAAAGTTGTATGTCAAGTTTACGATGAGGATGGTAAACGGCAAGAGCTTATTTCAGAAACCGAATTAGATCTGACAAAAGTGTTGACGGAAGGGGAACAAGATGGTTAGAGCCTTAAATATAATACAAAGAAATGTATGAGCACAGCTTATCTCACAAAAATGCTTGCACATTTCAGGCTGGTTTCCTTTGAGTTACAAAAACAGATCTGCAGGTGAAATCTACTTAGAGCTGACATTTTATGCTGCTGTAAGTCTTATACACTTCTTTATTTCTTTCCCGGACTTCTTTTCTGATTTTCATTCTCTTTTTGTGCCACTCTAATTCAATAAAATTCAGAGGCCACCGCCCAAAAGAACGCCAACGCGTTTTGGGATGAGTAAACCGTATAGGACAGCCGGAGGATATGTTCCAGCAACTGTGCCTCAACAAACTCGCCCTTATATCAGTTCTCCGCAATATCCCCCTCAACCAACCAACGGCAGACCACCGCACGGTCCAGTTCCCGTTGAATCCCAATCCACTCCAGTACATCAAAATCACCAATATCGACCGCCACAACAATATCGTCCACAGTATCCTCCTCAACCCAACCCTACCCCTTCCATGTCTAATGGGTCGCAGCATTCTTACTCATCTCAACAATCCTATCCTCCTGTTCCTGTTCCCAGCAGTAGTACAGGTACCAATGGTCGCCCTATGTCATATGGTGGCTATCGACCTCCTCCTTCATCAACAGCTGCACCATTGTTAACATCTTCCTACAAGGCTACTCATGATAATAATATGCCCGGTGGGTTTAATGGAGGTAAGGAAAGAAAGTATACATACGTTAGTCTGGCTTGGAAGGGCTATTTACTTTTTTTTTGGATGACAGGTTATCCACCCATGAATAGTAACAACGGAATATACCCGCCTCAACAGGCTAATTCAAATATGGCAGGGAATAGAAATAGCTACCCATTGTATGCCAACAGTCATCCTCATACCGGTTCATACCCACCACAACAGTTGAATGCGTTCCCTGAGCCGCAGCATATGTCAATGGGAGGATACGTCCCTCATTCAGATCCAGTTATGGGTACGCCATTTGCAGCTCATCAAGGCAGTAGCATACCTCTTCCTAATAATCATCAAGGATACCCTCCTCATTCCCCCGCCTATCCTCCATATTAATTTAAGGTAGCTGACAATACTGACTCGATATTGGTTTAAGAAAATATGAATTATGTAGAATATTAAAGGCAAATAATCACAGCTTAAAGTATTGATTTAACTTGAAGTAAATACATAGCTTGTCTTTTGCTTGCTTATTTATATACACGAATATATAGGAACACTAGTGAATGTGTCTAAATATATTGTTCATTTCGATTTGCAATGCTTTCTGCTAAAGTAAATAACAATGGTTGAGGTCCGCTTTAATTGAAAAGAAGAAGGAAAAGTAGTTGGTCTGCTTAAAATACATCTGTATGCTAATGAGTTGAGATTATTAGTGATTTATTGCCGTTGATATGCATAGATTAATACGTTAACTTACGTCGTTGTCGATGAAATTACAACAAAAAAAAAAAAAAAAAAAAAAACCAAACAAATCAAAAAACAATAACGACAACAAGCCGATACTTTCATTAAAGAGGTGCTAACGCAAGGGAATGATATTAGGATTATAGTTGTAAATGAATATTTTTCTAGACCTTAGTTGCTGCTATTTAATGTTTCATTTTCGGTGAATGCACTAGGTAATCAAAAGATTGGTCTTCCGTCATAGTGAAATCGTGTTTGAAATCATAACGGTGGCTGACAGCCCCACTAATGGTTTGTAATGGATAATCTTGTTGTTGCTGTGGATATCTACCGTTACTATTTCCATCGGAGACATGGGTTGTAGGTGAAATAGAGCGATAAGAACCTCCTTCATTAGAAGGCCTACCATTGCTTTGATGGTTATAAATCTTGGCGCTAGATGTAGCAGGATGCACCATGGTGAAATTTATAGGACGTTTTGAGTAAGGATCATCAACTGTATAATAATTCGATGATGATGGCTCGGAATTTGGTGACGATGTTACTACAGGATTGAAATAATGTGTGGGTGTAAAATTACTATTGTTTCTTCGTATTGATAATTGGCTGCTATTTGTATTATCTTCAGCCATCATAGCAGAAGGATAATCCACTTCCATTGGTGACATAGGTCTGAAAAAGCTACCATTATTATCAGCAAGTAATTCCTTGGCAGTTGCTGTGGCAGCGGCGGCAGTAGTAGGAGAGGGGCCATACATCGTCTTGGTCTCATTGATTGTCATTTTATTGCTATTGTTGGTTGCTGCAGTTAGTGTGCCAAACCTCAAATTCCCATTGTTCTTGTTTTCTATGAAATTTGTGATACGTTGGCTTAGTCGTTGACTACTAGTAGCAGACGTATTGAAAAAACCTTCAGAAATTGACGAACCATTCATAATCCTATTGTGAGGAGTATGATTCATTTCCACGTCTATTCCTGTTCTTTCTTTTCCTTCTCCTGTACTGATACCACTTAGACCAAATCGGCTGCCATTATTATTGTAATGAGAGTTAGATGTAGCTGCAGGACTCGTCATGGAGTCCATTGTTGCTCCAGGCTCGCCACTTGATTGACGAGGATGAAAAATGGAAATCTTAATTATCCGAATAGACACGCGCTTGTCAATGCCTGTTTGTATGTAAAATTTGATAAAGAATGAAAGACACTTACTGTAATGAGCCATAAAAGGACTGATCCCGTATTTAAATTAGCTGCTAACAAATCAGAGCCGAATTTACTGGAATTGATGATTTTGGCTTCTGTTAAGCCATCGACACAAAGGATACACAAACCGCTGCCATAAAAGAAAAGAACGACAGTAAGATATATATTCATATCTTTAAAATAGCCGAGTTTCTCAACAATAGCTGCAGCACCGTGCTTTAAGTTTTGAGAGATATTCAATAAACGTTTGAAGCGGAAATGAGAACGAATACCTAGCAAGGAACAAATAAGCACTAAAAGGAAGAGTTGGTACATCAGTTCATAAATAGAAATGGTCACTTTGCTGGTGAACACATGGGGAAGTTACCTTCGATAGAATATGCAAGTTGAGGAGCAGTTTCTCTCATATGTACATCTTTTCTAAAGTACCATTGTAGAACAGGGAAAATAGCCATACTTCCCAAAGCCCTATATAATATAGAGGGTTACTTCTTGTAACCTACCATGCTTCTCCTTATGAATAATATGGCTTACCAAAAAATATAAAATTTGAATTCCCAAGAGCTCATAAACGATTTTTTGGCCACAGAATTCGAAAGGTAATTCCAGAAACATTGAAGTAAGAAAAACACACCTGTCTGTAATGATAAATTGACACATTCAACATAATCAATTGACTAATGTATGCAGTTAGAATGCTTATCAATACAGAGCAATTTTTTCATTACTTTTGATTCAAAATAAGTACCTGTGCAATCATCTTGTGTTGATTGGTCCAATAATCAAAAGGTTTGGTTACAACATGTGTTGTGTTGGGAATCACAACGAATTTTTCTTGATATTTGATCCACGTAGATATTGCGTCTATGTATTGTGTAATAATTTACTTCATGTTCAGTAATAATCCATTTGAACTATTGAGAAATGCTTACCCCAAGATAGTTGCATTAGTGCCACCATTAGATACACTATTGTAACAACACTTCTCAGCTCTCCAGAAAAGACTCTTTGCGGGTGTAGGCATTTGAATCGATCATTCGACCAGATGCTGTAAAGAAGATATGCACACAAATATATTTCCAAAGCACATCTTTCTAATAATATTGTTAATTAGTTGGAACTTCAAAGAATTAGAAACCATCTAAATGGTGTTAACTTACGTATATAAGAGAAATCACTGTTGAATAGAATTGTCATTTAATGTCATCCTTTAAAAAGTGTTATTTCTTTTAATAGTTTACCTTAAATGTGTCATTTATGATATAGAAAGCCTCTATGTTGGAACTACTTTTTAAATACTCAAGTAGTATGTAAAAAAAAAAAAAGAAAAAGAGGTTTGCAAAATCAGTCAGTTGCTTGTTGACTTCTCCACACTTTCCACGACAAGGTGATAGTGTGTACCACTATTTCTTAATGAAAGCAGGCCCTTCAGTACCACCTTGCTCTTAAAGTGAAATTACTAAGGAAGTATTGTTGATTATTGGATGGCTATTCCTTTTTTGTATCACAGAAGCATCACCTCGACGAATAGCTTAACGGCTATCTCCTAAAAGTGACTGGATAACACCATTTTTAGTTTGACTCAAGCTACTATTAGTGACTTTAGTGAGCAACACAGCAGCATAATCAGCATCAGCAATTGACTTTTTGCAAACACTATGGCCTACAGCCATTCCAGTGTTTGTAAATTTACAAACCCTAGTTACCTGTCCAAAAAGTTGACTCTGCAGCAATAGCAAGCTTTTTATTGCAAATCCAGGAACAGCAGACTAAATCACGCGTCGGACCTGAGTTTCAAACACGTTGAAAAGAAGAAGTAGAGATATGAAAAAAAAAAAGCTTTCACTTTACCATATTAAACTTCAAGATTGGACACACATTTTGCCTTCTTTCATATATATGAAATATATATAGATGTGGCGTTGAATGAATTTGCCTCGGAGAACGACCAATGTGGACATGATGCGCAATCAAAATAATGTTAGCGATGTGAACCATATCAATGTTAACAGTAAGTTTACAAAAATTAGATCACATATCTCATTTTCTTACTCAAACTGACAAAAAAAGATCGTCAAGTAGATCGACAGCGAAACAGCAAGAATGACTACTTGGCAATAGAAGAGGTACAAAATCCTGCAACTTCTCTGGGTTCCGATTTGTTCATGTCGCTGGACGATGAGCAGATCTTAGAGATAATTGAAAAGGAAGAACAGATACAGCAGCAACCGCAGCAAGTTAAAGAAATAGATAATATCCACAATGACGATGAATCCAGCTCAATAGAAACCTACACTGCTAAGAATCTTCAAGTCTTTGAGTCGGACGACAATATGACCGAAAACCCAAAGAGTAATAGGAAGGATAGTATAAACGATAATATATTATCATTCAGCAGCAATAATGAACGTAGCAGTGGTACGGGACAACAGAATAGTCAAACATTTCAATCACAATATGAAACAGATGATGACATAGACTTACCAAGTGCACCAGATTTCTCAATGGATGACTTGCCAATTTTTACAAATCATCCGATCCAAAAGAATGCGATCAGACAGGAGAAAGTTAAAGCTACTGTAAAGGGTAGTAAAGCTGATGAGAATGAAGACAGTGCTCCTTACGCCTTTGTTGTTGATGAAGTTGATCTTAATGAGATTTTTTCTTTAAGTGATGAAAACAGCCAAGGAAAAGAACCAACGTATCAACAGCCTGGTCATCCAGATGCTCTCAATAAGTTGGAACAGGAAAATTCATTGATGGAAAACAATGCAGAATTTCCTGAGCAAACAGTTTCAAGAATGTCACCTTCATTAAAAAACAACAGCACAATAACAGCAGATAATGTTGACTCTGATATGCATAATATTGCTGATAACGAAATAATTGCTGAGGTGGATCCGAACAATCGCAAGGGGGAAGATAGCTTTACGACTGAATTGAACCTGTTGAGCCTATCAGATGATAAGCCAGGTGAAGTAGCAAGCAACGCATTGAATACTGTAGATAATAATGCATTCTCAACAATAGCACCGGCGATGCTGACTCCTTCAACTTCAACTTCAACGACATCCTCATCTAGCAGCGGTAATCTAAAAAGGATCTCCCTCAGACAGCGAAACGAAATTCAGTTACGTCCTTATTCATATGATTATGCAAAATACAAAGAATTGATCAGCCGGACGCGACTTACTCCAACCAAAAAAAAAGCAAGGCGAAAACAGGACGGTGAACTTGGAAATGACGATGATGTAGCAGATGGCAGTTTTGGCAGTATATCGCAGTTGTCTGTAGGTTTAGAATCGGATAACGACGATGAATTGTTTGCCTCGCAATACATTCCACCGGAAGATAATACAAATACTGCAACCTTTGAAGAAGAAGACATCAGTGATGAGCCAGATACATTGTCATTCAGAGAAGAGGAAGAAAGCACTACAAAATACGGATTAGATACCTTAATCGTACCTAGTGCATTATTTAAAAATCGAAGGAAAGAAAAACATAAGTCTCATGATCGTAAAGGCAAAGGTAAAGAAGCAATGGCTCATGATTTAAGTAACGTCGAACGTGGCAGCAGTATGCATCGTCGTCAACAAATCACTACCGCGGGCTTCAAGCGATCTGGATCTTTTGCAGTCAAGAAAAAGAAGAAAAATAGAATTACTACGACTTTTACTGATAAACCTTCAACAAAAAGATGGATTGGCACAGCTCCTGAGCAGCCGTTGACAAAAGATATTTTTTCTTTTGACTTATTCAACTCCTCATCCACACAGTCACCAACCACAGGAGAAGTGATACCTTCCTCCTCGTTCGTTTCCCGTGGAAGTCAGCATAAACAATCATCTCATCCAAATCCATCCAATTTAAATGACTCGACTAGTCTACACACTATAGAAGATAGTGAAGAGGAAAAAGAAACTTTTGATACTCAACTACCATTACCAACTCCACGATTTAGGAAGCGGCGGTATTTGGAGTTAGAGAGCAGTGATGAAGAAGACGATGAAACTGATAAAAATGACAATAATGGCAATAGCACAATATGGGACTATCCTGCCGCGGGATTTGGAAGTGATAATGATACCAACACCATTAACATTAGTGACGAGGAAGACGATACTTTCGCTGTAAATTCTTACCAGTCGCAATTAAGTAACCCCAGACTTTCCACATCCGTTGACTATCACCATTTTAAAAGATTGCTTTCTGATTCGGTCAGTAAGACACCAAAAATGAATTTAAAACGAAGGGCAAACGAAGATGACGATTTTATCGAAGACGACGATTTTTACAATAATTCGCGGGATGGAAGACGAAAACGACCAAAGAAAGTGACAGACAAAGCATTAAGACATGTTTTGCCCAAATCCTTTTATAGACTTTATAAAGATGATATTGAACAGGAATCTAACCAACGAAGACAGAATAAAAATGCTCTTAGTGGCAGGAAGCAACAATTAACTATATCAACTACGAATACAGCATCTTCGTCAACGACCGACTCTAGTCCCAAAATGAGAACAGGCACTGCTCCTAAGACTTACCAATCAGAAATAATTGGAAGTCAAGAAAGGAATATGGAGAATTTTGCTGCCTTCCTCGGTTCTCAAAGAGACGACGAAAGCGAAGAAGATGAGCAATTGCAGGATGGGGCGAATACACGTTTAGATGATGTTCCTGATTCCTATATTGATGATAATGACCTTGATATGAACTATTACGGCCATCCCCAAACAAGCGCCGCTGCTGCTAACAGAATTGAGAGACGAAGACAAACTGTCCTTCCACCACGAACAATAACTCTGCGTATAAATGAATACTACCATCCTGACGGCCAACAGCCTCCTAGGCGGCAGAGAGCGGAACAGCGTAGTACGCTTGAAAAATATCTGCAACAATTTGAGGCAGAACGGCAACAAGCTATAACAGAAAGTGTAGAGAGAGATGCGTCCTTTAATAGAGATCTTCAAAGACAGGAAACAGCATCTACATCAAGGGTAACCGAAAGGATAGCCTCTACATCGGATGATGGTAGGCTAGGAATCAGTAGAGGCATTAATGGTAAAGACGGTAATGTCAATTTACGTGGCTCTAAAAACACGATTTTACCAGTACGTACTGCTGTTAATACAAACGTGAGCAGCGGCATACCTACAAAGAAAACAATAAGTGCAGGAAACAGTATTTCTCAAGCAAATCACCAACATAAAAAAAGAAAAAAACCGAAAAGGAGAACGCGGGATGATATTTATATTCACAAACCGCAATGTGTTAGATATGATCGATCCGGTCAAGCACCCGCTGGAGTAGATTATTATAATAAACGAAACTTACAACAACGCCCTCTTCCATCAACTATACCCCCTATATATCCAAAAAAGACATCAACAGACGATATATACCTCGGTACACTGCATGAACACCACAACTATAACTGGAAGCCACTAGAAATGGTAAAATTATTCTCGTTGCAAACGTTAGAAAATGTATCTAAACGTGTGATTCACACTTATCTCAACCAAAATGCCATGTCTCAATTGCCATATAAATTAAATAACAATTGTGTTTACTTGTCGGAAGGAATACATTTACCTTTATTTTCCAGTATACAACGACATCATACACATCCCACGTCCACCGCTGCGTTTTTTAAAAAGTATAAATCTGCATATACCGGTACCTTTCATCTATTCAACCAGCAGGTGATGTGGGTCAACATTATACCACAAGAACAAAAATTGATTGATGGTCTCTTTTTTCAAGTATCCAACGGTGTAACTCAGCTATTTCGATCGCCAATTTATACTGATCAAAATGATATGGAGATCGATGCTGGTACAATAATAACAGAGCAAAGTCCACTCATACGGATGGAAAATGAGTACGATCACTTCTACCGATTTGTATCCATTTGTTTATCTCTAGTGATTCCGCATCATTCATCTTTTGACGCTCGTAAAGAATTAGCCCACATCTTTATGGTACATATTCGCGGCTTAGCATGGCAAATACAGCACCTTGTTGATAAAGAACAACCAAAACTAAAGGAGTTACAGCGTAATTCTCATTCATCAGTCGCGGTAGAGGAAAATGGCCAAGAGAACCATGATCACTCCAGTCTCGTTTGGCTTCGTCCTATCATCAAATTGATGCTGTATATATTGGATTGGACATGCCGACTTCAACAATTAGGTGTACATCGTCCCGCGGAATGGTCAGTTATTCAAGTAACACAGATACTGATGGACATCCTTATAGCCGTTGGTGATGATTCCTATGGATTGAAAAAATCGTTTATAACTCTGCCACAACAGCACCCGCCCAATGCTGAACAGCAAAGTGCAAAAACTGCACAGAAAGATTACTTCATCGAAGCCTGGATTTTCATCCTTTATCTCGTGTCGATCTCGACCAGTACACCCGAGTTGGGTTATCATTTAGAGGGACCAGTATTTGTTGAACAAATCACACAAAGTATTCTGCGGAAATCCAAACAATCAAGGACGTACGAGGTTGCGAAAAGGAAAACAAAACGTGAATGGGCAGAGACTTTGAACTTAATTATTGATAAATACATGATGTAAAATAAAGCAAAGCCATTTGTAGTTGTGGATTTATTCAAATCTATAATTTGAAACCATTATTAGGAAATATAGTAGTAATAAGTATAGTATAGTAAATATGTAGAGATTTAAATAAGGAAAGAGGGCACAATATCAATAAGTATAATGGAGGTAGTATTGGCGTGAAAAAGAAATGTACATAATGGTTTTTTGTTCAATTTTCTGTACAAAAGCAAATAGAAGGAAGTCGGAGAGATGAATGTATGTTAGGAGGGGGGAGGAGGGAAGGGAAAGCGAATGTGTGATACGGGGACTGATTTTTTTCGGATGGTTATGCTAATATGTATTTTGTGAAAGAAAAAGGTCAAAGCTTACACCCCACCATTCACTGAAGTGGTTTGCTGTTGCTGCTGCTGCTGCTTATGAGCAACGGCAGCAGCGGCAACGAGGGCCATGGGATTTCGATTCGTATTGGGTGAGACGGGTGATGAAGATGCAGAAGGTTGAGATGCAGCAGCTGAAACGGCAGCGTTAATATTGGCTGCAATCATATCATTGGCCATAGCGACAGCCGCTTGTTGTGGTGTCATACGAGAACGGCTGATTTGTTTCTTGATCATGTGTGGCGAAGCAATAGGCGATTTGTTGGTACTTTTATCAATATTGACTGCACCTGTAGCGATCGATAAGCGTTGTGAAGATGAGGCCATTGTAAATGCTGTATTGTTGTTCGTTGCGTTCAAAAGAGGATAAGTTGTGTTGGAGGGAGTAGATGTGGAAGGATGAGGGCTGTTGTTACTGTTAGGACGAGCATTATTGTTTATGAGAGATGTACTTGATGAAGGTGTTGTTGAGTTATTGTTTGTCAATGAACGGGTAGTTTGTAAATTGATCATGTTCAAAGGTGTTATGAAAGGTATTGTAAAAAGGCTTCGGAGCTCAGTTTCGGATAGTAATTGTGCCCTGTGCTTCAAGTAACTGTAACCCACAAGCAGCGAAAAGAAAAATTGGAAATTGTATAATAAAATGCCCGGTCAGTAAAAGAATTCCAACCCTTTCTTTCTCCCCCACTTTTCCTTTTTTTTTTTCAATTGATGACAGCCACTTTACCTGTCTTGCATTTCCTCAACCTCTCTATCTGACTCTTCTTCATCAGAATCAGAATCAAACGCATATCTGTTGTGGTGATGATCTGTACCGGTTTGATAACGACTAAGTGATACGCCAGGTTTCGTCTTACCAGATGTGGCAGGATTGGAAGAAGTATGTGTTGAATAGCCTTTCCTGTCGATGAATATACGGCCACCTCGACCAACACGTTTTCGATACCGAATGCCGTTGGAAGAACGTTGAAAAAACTGTGAAGGTAGTCTCATCGGGAATGGTTGGTAGGGACACTAGATGAATGATACATGATTAGTAAACTGATGAAACCGTATGTTAACTTTGGCACATGCCTAATTTTCTTACCTCTGTCAAATCTTCATAGGGAGCGTCAAGTCGTTTCTTCTTTGCCAGCTCAGCTTCAATAGCTAGTTGAGCAGGTGACTTTTCAGCAATACCCAAACGGTTATCTCTTCTTAATCTATTCAGAGGAATCTTGATAGTAGCACCACTTGATCCCTTCTGTTTCTTCCTTGCCGAAGCTTGTGTAGCTGCTATAGATAAAGAGGCGGACGGCGCTAGAATCAAGTCTTCATCCTCTCGGATGCCCAAAATCTTCTGGTATTCTCTTAACTGGCATTTCTTTTCAAATACGCTATGTTCCAGAACCATGCTCTCTTTGCGGATCTTTTCGCGGCGAAGGACCATTTCTAACAGGTTTCGTGCTACTTCCATTTCAGAACGTAGAGTACGTAATCTTTGCAGAGACTGGGCATCTGTACGTCTTGTTTTACGTAATGGTTTGGTTTCGCGGCGACGGAAACAAGTGTAAGGATCGATTTCATTCTTTGAGGTTTCTTCAAATTTGAGATCGGGTATAATGGAGAGACCTTTGCGTTCTCCTTTACGATGTTTCCAGTGTTGATAGATGGGGTTGATAAGGACTTTGGCTCTTGAATGCAAGAACGAAGATTCAGGCAACAAATCCTCCAAAAACCCGTCAAAGTCTGGAATATGGTCCGGATCCTATTGAATTAAAAGAAGGAAAAGGGGGGGGGGGTAAGCTACCTTTTTCTACTGACGATGGTTACAAAAAGTTCACTTACCAAATGTAGATGAGGCAATTTTTCTTTAACGACAGATTCAAATTCATACATGATTTTTTCAAAATCATCTTCGGATAAAGTTGTATGTTCAGAATTATATTTATTTAAGAATTGTTCATCTATTTCATCCATAAAATAAGGACAACCAATGGAATCTTCAACAGTGGACGAAAACCTTATGAGTGTCGAAGGTTCTTTATATTTCTTTTTATACAGTAACTCATAGTCTTTTGGATCAATTGTATTGGATGCATCAGGAATTGGAATATAGCTTTCTATTTTGGCACCTGTTGTAACCGCTGCTTGGTGGGCTGAAATAGCTGCTTGCAAGTCATGCTACAAACATTCACAAAATGCATAATATAGTTAGGTTAAAAATTTTGCCAGATCCAAAAGGGGGCAAAATAAAATGGGTGTGCATTTAGGGAGGAAGGGGAGGGGGGAGGATCAAAAATTATTTTTGCACACACACAATAATGAGCACCTCCCTAATTTTTGCCCAATTTGGTTACATAAGTATATATGACATACCTCTTCTTCCTCTTCCTTTTCAACGCCAGTTTCTATCTGAGGCGCTGCCCTCTGTATACTTGCTGGGTCTATAAGGTCTGGCAATTGGCTCTCCTTATAGACAGGAAGCGGGTGTTTTGGTGAAAGCTTTTTGACTCTAAATCTTGAAACCATCTGAACAGGCATGAGCAAATGCACACGAAACTTTTTTTACGTTGACTTTTTGTGGTTTTGAGAGAAAATTTTTTTTTCTTGCTGCGCGCGAGGAGGGTGCTGAGTGGAAAAAATGGAAATTAAGGAAGGGAAAAAAAAATTTTTTTTTCTTGACTCCCTGGAATAAACACTAAAGCCAAGAAAATAAAGAACGAAAAAAAAAACAAAAAAAAATTCTCTTTGCTTGTAAAGATGAAGAGAAATGAGCAAATAAAAAAAGTTGAGATGAGCAAAAAAAAGAAGATGTCTTAAAAAAGTGACTCTTCTACTTTTGATATACAGGAATAAAAAGAATTTTCAATTATAAAAAGCTACTTCTTTTTGCAAAAGAAAAATGAGTATAGCCAAGAGGATTATTGTTGCTATTTGCTTTTTGGCTTTTTTTTCTTTTTTTTTTCCGTAAAAATGAGCAATGGGTTCCAAAATTGCCGTACAACTAGATTTTATTTGAATGTTTCTTTTGATGATTCGCTGCAATTGGATTATAAATTATTTGGAGAGTTTCTATTGGATAAATTCAAAATGAAAACTGATGACGACAACACATTTTGGGTATTGGAAGGATATTGGGAATTTTTGTTATTCAAAGGAAGGAGCTTACAAAGACAATGTTGTGTTGTGATGTACTGCTACGTTATATTCCTTTTTTCAAAAGTGAAAAGAAGCTCTTTTTTGCAAGTGTTGAAGAAGGTAGAAAAGTTCTGATAAAATCACTCACTTAAGCACTGACTGACACGGAAGTTAACATGACTCAAATCAGCAGTTTTGAGAATTTTTTTTATCGAGATATGTAGGGTTTCATGCATATCGTTTCCATCTAGTTGCATGGGCTTCGTTTGGCTTATTAGTAGTATATACAAGCTTTATAAGCTGCAGTTTACTATTGTGCTTCAATGGAATAACTTTATCAACATTTTCACATGTTTCCTTTGGGATTGTTCCTATACCAAATATCCGTCACTGTTCGTTTGTCCAATAAGATCAGCTTGCTGAGGACTCTGTGTAGCATGGCTGCCGTAAACAGCTCGCTCATAAAAGAAAAAACCACACTATAACATACTAAACCAGAGAAAATCATCGATTCATATGAGGATGAAGACTAAAAACTAGCATTAACATGCTCACTATTTATAAAGGAACTATGATATTTTCTTGAATGATGAAGTTTATTACTAGACAGAAAAAAAAAAGAAACAAACAACCACCAAAAACCTTCAGTCTGGGTCTACCATCACGCCATCCATCTTAAGAAAGAGAACAAAGTAGAAAACGGTTTCATAACAGTACTCCAGTATTTGCAGTAGAGGCTTACAAAGTTGTGTTCTTTGTAGTGTTTATGTATGATGTAGAAAAAAAATGTTATTCGAGTGTTTTAAGCCCATAATCTGCTAATGAATTCTGTAAGACCAATATCGTTTGTATTAAATTGATAGCATCCAACTAGTACACCAGTTGTACTGGCCCATAATGTGGCAGTCATAATCTTATTCAAAACAACACTCCTACGCTTATTGAAGTAATCTACAACAACAGGCAAACCGACTTTAGTTTTCCTTTTCATTTTTACCCCGCATTTTCTGAATTTCTTTTACCTGTGATACAAGCATCCCATCCTATGAGAAATAGTATGACATTCAGTATGAGAGGAGGTTCAGTTGTCTAAAACTACTAAATTGCTCAACATTTACCGATATGAAGATGGATAGGTAAAACAACACCTAACAGGGTATCAAGGACTGGTGATGCTCCATATACCAATTGTCCGCCAATCAAAGGAACTAGTGCAATTGAAGCAGCTCTTTCAATATCCCAATGGTAGGAACCGTGAAGACGATCAGGTTTGGGTGTAGCAATAGCACTATGATTTGAAACAGCTATATACATTGTTACAGTATTAGTCTCGAACCCTTTTTTGGCCATTCACAGTTCATCCCCTGATTCGACATCTCTTACAAGAGTGAATCTTCACAAGACCCATAGGTTGTTGAGCAAGTATCATTCTTGAGGTTGAGCGAAGTGCGGGTGTAGAAACAAGTCTGAAAGCCATTTTCAGTTACGTTATAAAAGAAGAGTAGGGAGGAAGAGGAAGAGTAAGTGTATTAAATTGTAAGTAAAAAGCGAAAAAGATAGTCTCTGAAATGAAAAAAAAAGGAAAAAAGGTGTTTAGAGTAACTGACGTTCTTCTCCACACTGTCAGCAACAACTGGAATATTTTTGCCCGCCCTGTGCTTCCGTTGTCCTGTTATCTTTCTTTTTCCTCTTTTTGGTCATTTTCGCATGAACAATGATGACGCAGTTCGAAATTCTTTATTGTACGCCCATGACAGAAGGAAAAGGTTACTGTGTTCCTGGAGAACAATACAAATGGAACATTTGATGACACTATAGAATAGAGGCCCTATATCCCTCATTAGCCTATTTTCGACATGTAGAAAGGATATCTCAATTTTATCAATAGCATTAGCAGGTCGGCATCGTAATACCGCAGACATCAGCATTACTGGATGTCGTACAATTGATAACATCGAGGAACGTATCATATTTCAACATGCTCATGAACAGACTGTCAAGGTAGCATAAACCACCACTTTTTTTGTTATAACACGTAATTGAACGAGTAGTAGATGCCGGCTTTGTAACAGCTTCGCTCGAATGGACGAATCCAATCAATGACGTACTGTTTTAACACTGATCTGCAAAAGACGATGAGCGAGCGGTATTAGCACGCTATTCCGTCTATTGAAGTAGGTGCTGAAGGGTTGTGACCAACCCCATTAACAAAGCGGTACAATATTTGAGTGGGTGCTTGAATCAAGCAACTTTTTGCATCAACGTAACTATCACCATCTTTCTTCAAATTTAGTGGGTGCAGAAAGAAAAAAATAAACTTAAAGCTTTGTTCCTATGCAATAGATTTATTCGCCTTTTTGAATTTCCCAAATCCTTGACTATTTTAGCTAAAAGCTACATGGAAACAAGAACGCCCTTCGAGGAAGAAAAGGCAGCTTTACTAGACAAAGCCATCTATGCCTTAGATCAGCTTCATACCAATCTGAATAGTTTACAACGAAATCTTGAAACGATCAACGGCATTGGTTTTCAATTTGAAGGACCTACTCATCTATGGACATCATTCCACGATGTTCTCTCTAACGGAACACCGCAGCAACCACAAGAACAGTACGATGTACAGCAGCAGGTATTTTCAACAATAAATCAACAACGAAAGCGTCAACGAGATACTACCAATGAAAATGATATCCACACACGCTCGGCAATAGCTCCCGCATCAAGGACACATTGAAGAGAGATTACTTATTTATACTCTTTGAACCATCCTCTGCCTTACACCATATACTGTTTTTCGTCACACTTTACTTTTAGTATCATTGTTTTCTTCTCATGTACATAGTTTCTTTTTTCTTTTTACCCTGACAAAGTATAAAAGCGAGCAGTATATAAATTCCAGGCAGCCGAGGCTAAATTCTGCAAAAGTTGAAGTAAACATATTTTTGTCGCTCCATCACAAAGAAACATCCATTTATAAGCGTCTTTAAGAATGAGACCAGGTACAAGTTTACTGTTCAAGTGAACAATTTCTTTTTGACCCACATACACCCAATTTGCCCACTTAGAGCACCACTGGAGACGTTATAGACTACGACTATTCATTTAATAAATGGCTTTCATATATGCATTTGAATACCAACCCTCATAACGTCTGTGTGACGAGAAGCAGCAGAAAATGGTATCATTTTCAGAAACAAGGTGCATGTTGGACGTAACATATCTATAGTTATAGTAGAGAGTAGAGATTTATAGAACAAAAGCCGAACAAATTCAGATGTTTAACAGGTTGTATTCATATTCTTTGTACAAAAAAAAAAAAGAAAAATAGATATGTGACTTAAATAGATAGGGTAGGCCTTGGTATGCGGTATGTCATTTAAGATTTCTTTACATATGCAATATACAGTGATTCTTTTGCTTTAAAGTTTGGATTGGAGTTGAATCTTAACTACCTTGACTTGAGTATATTCTTGAAGGGCGTATTTACCAAGTTCCTTACCAAAACCAGATTGTTTATAGCCACCAAATGGAGTTGATTGATCAAAGACATCATAACAGTTAACCCACATGGTACCGGCCTTTACCTCATTGGTAACGCGAATAGCAGCATCCAAATCCTTAGTATAGACACCACCAGCTAAACCATAGTCAGAATCATTGGCCAAGGCAATAGCTTCCTCCACTGTCTTGAATTTACCAATAGCAACCACAGGACCAAAGATTTCTTCACGCATAATGCGCATTTGATTATGGCAGTCCACAAAGACAGTAGGTTCGATATAGTATCCCTTATTACCCCAGCGCTTACCGCCATAAGCACATTTGGCGCCTTCTTTCTTACCAATGTCTATGTAGTTTAAGATCTTTTCAAATTGGCTCTTATTCACTTGAGGGCCTTGGAAAGTATCGTCATCGAAGGGATCACCAATCTTGATTTTCTTGGTCTCTTCAATGAAAAGTTCAATGAATTTATCGTAAACGGATTCTTGAACAAAGATACGAGAGCCAGCATTACAAGATTGACCGTGATTATTGAAGATACCGCCACAGGCCCAATAAGCAGCATTTTCGAGATCAGCATCGGCCAAGACAATTTGGGCAGATTTACCACCGAGTTCAAGTTGAAGTTTTTTAAGATTGCTACCGGCGCTTGATTCCATAATTCTACGACCGGTCAAAGTAGAACCGGTGAAGGCCATCTTGCTAACCTTGGGGTGAGAACTCAAAGCAGTACCCGTAGTATGACCATAGCCAGTGATAACATTGACGACACCCTAATAATAAGAAAAAAAATAGTATTATTATTTTGTGCTTGAAGGAATATCAGTTCAAAAAGATCAATATTACAGCAGGGAAGCCAGCTTCCTTAACCAATTCACCAAATTTAAGGGTCGCCAAAGGAGTAACTTCAGAGGACTTCATAACAACTGTGTTCGTAGTGGTAGAATTGAGTCAACCTATCCCCTTTTTCCTAACCTCCAGTGCCTCATGTTTTTGTACTTACTTGTGTTGCCAGCCGCTAATGCAGGAGCAAATTTCCAAGCAGCCATCATAGTAGGATAATTCCAAGGGATGACAGCACCCACAACACCCAAAGCCTCATGACGGGTATAACACCATTTGTCACTTGTGGTATCAATGGTCTTACCATGAATCTTGTCGGCCCAACCGGCAAAGTAACGATAACAAGCAATGGAATCTGTTACATCAACATCACGAGCGACAACAAAAGATTTGCCGTTATCCACAGCATCTAAAGTAGCAATCTCATCCTTATCACGCTCCATCAAATCAGCTAAACGGTTAAGAAGACGACCACGTTCAGCAGGTGCGACTTTGCTCCAAGTGGTGTAGTAACAGTTGTAGGCAGCCTCGACAGCCGCATGAACGTCCGCTTCGTCAGCTGAGTGCACTTTACAAATAACCTCTTCATTGGCGGGATTGATTGTTTCGATTAATGGACCGTGACCAGGCACGAATTCGTTGTTGATAAAAAGTTGGGTATGGACTGCCAGTTATGAAGGAACAATCGTCATTAGTCAAGTTGCTCCCTTGTATAATACAGTATGCGTATTCACTGGTTGGCATCTGAGCAAATTAAACACTTACCCTTGACAGTCTTTCCGTTTGTTAAACGAATAGGTTGGATATCTGCTTGGACCATTGTAACAATAAAATGAAAGTAAGATAAGCTATTACAGAAAAGAAGAAAAGGGAGAAAAAAAGAATACAAAATACAGTCTTTCATCATCTCTTTTTATACGATAGGTACATTGATTTTAACTTTTCACACAAACAAATGAAATTTTAGTCACATTTCCCTGGTGCGTTTAGGTAGCATAAAAAGAATTAATGTCGGTCTTCCATATCAAAATACTGCGTTGGTCGTTCATTTGTCAATGGCTTTGTAGTCTTTTCTATTCCATGGTCCGTACTTTGAGGATCCTCACTTGGATTACGTGAGGTAACGAGATAATGGTTGCAAGTCCCTTTTTTGAATCCATTTCAAGGCCTTTCTCTTTTTTGATCTTTTTTATTTTATTACAGATGAAATTATATAGCATTCATCTTAAACTGCAATGTGGTAGCAAGTTTTTTTTGATAGCACTTTGCTTTGATAATGAACGTCCGATCCATTACTAAAAACGGATTTTACGTGAGAAATCTGTGATTTGACAAATCGATGTTGCACGGATGACAATTATGCGTTTCTCTATTTAGCATGTCGGTGTGTGTGTTATCAAAGGTGGAGTTGGAGAGGTGCAGGTTTCCTTAAATGGTTGGTAAGTTATTTTTCTTCCCTGGGATTGGCAGTTTGAATTATGCGGAGAGTCTACTACAATTTTCTGTGGAGAAGCCATTATCAGCGTTTTAGTAGGGGCTAACAACTGGTCATGCGGCTATCTTAATTTCGAACTTTGACAATAAAAATAATACTTGAAGCGTGTTTGAAAATTCTCCAATATAAAGATTCAGATAGATTGCCAACAAAGACAAGGGCAGGTGCAGGTAAATTACCATATCTTTTGAGTGTGTGGTGCGGGCAATAGATATACAACTGGATGGGAATTGCTGTCACACATCATTGAATGTGAAAAGCTTCATAGTGAACGTCGTCCGTGTTGGTCCTGACAAAACTTCATGTCAAACAGTGACAGTCGTATTGGAGAATACGTATCGTTCATCATAGTGCTGCTTTCAAATAGTTGTGCATGATAAATTATTTGTAAAGACCTGTCATTCTAATTACACGTTTGGAGAATGAGTTCTCGTTCGCTTCCATTACAACACTTCTTCAAAACATCTTTCTTGCATTGATTTCCCATCATTATTATCAAGTACGTGGTGCTATAGCTGTTTTTATCTATACCAATTATGATTCTGGCAAAGCTCCCGAGGCAGCATTCAAAAAACTTCGTATCAAGACAAGCATCTATTTGGCTTGCATTTTTCCAAATTTTATGATTGATTCTTTTTTTCTTTTCAATTTGGAAACCTTCAATCTATAATCATCTATTTCAAGCATTCCTTTTCGTTTGTCGCATGTGAAAATGAATGGCTAATTAAAGGGTGCAGTAGGTAGAGTCGATAACTTGTTCGCTTTTAATAAACAGGGAGGCTCACATCAGTTACCGTACATGTTTATTACGCTACGAGTAAACCACGTACAATGCACAGCAACCTATTAGCGACGCTACTACTTTCTGTGCCGTAAAGGCTTGGCTTCACGAAGCGGCATGCTTATTTCTGACATCAATTAATTAAAGTATAAAAGTTGGGGAATGTAACTGAATAGAAAAATTGCCAGAGTTAAAGAGTGATTAAATGGAAAGGACGTCCAACTGATGGTAAATTCATAAAAAGAAAACGAAGAACTGGCTATAAGTCAATGATGTGAGGCATACTGTTTGACTCTTTTGTCGTTCTCCTTACTGTTCTAATAACCCCTCTTAGAATTAAACGGCCTTTTGTCCTTCAGTGATGCTATAACATGCTAGGATCCACAAATGGAGTTACGAAATGAATGAGAATTGAAATAAGCTCAAATACTCAACTCAGCCTAATTGCACCCAACGATGGTTCTACGGTGGCACTCACATGTTATGGATTAGATTCAAGGATTATAACGAAGACAGTTAAAATAAAAGAATAAAATAGCAGATGCTGCCTAATACTTGGAGATAGTTGCGAAACTTTTCTATAGAGACACACTTTCTACGATGAAAAACGTTAAAAGTTTGCTTGAGATCAATTTTTGACTGTTTGACGGCGCTTATTACAATGCTAGGCTACTAGCATGACCAACGAAGCAAGGGAAGGAGGGAGAAACGGGAAAACGGAAAGAAGTCAAGGATCCTTCACTTAGTACTACGCGTCTCAATTAATTCGCTTAAACGATGATGCATGACCTGTTGAAATGGCAACGTATAGATAAAATCACAAGATAGGCTCCTACGAGGCCCGAATCACGATTAGAAAGGATTCGAGAGACTCTTCATTCACAGACTAAGACTTTCGAGGCGTATGTTGAAACCATTGATTGTGGATTACAATAACCATTTGCCATGGTCTTGCGCAATATTAACGATACATTACAAAATTTTTTTTATTTTTTTCAAAACCCTTACACTGTTAGCCATTGTCTGCAACAACAGACCAAGTTCTTAGATAAATAATACAGTTATTTCATCAGTATTAAAGACTTTCCTTTGCATATCAAAATCATTTTCTGAAACAAAGTCCTCAATTGCCAATATTGAAGCCTCTAGGATATAAGGGTAACGTTGTAGTAAGAAGGACTTCTTCAGATTGATATGTGTATTCTGAATTGTTAAAAAGGCATGAATTTTATTAGACGGCGAGCAAGCGAGTGGCCCATCGCAAACACAAGCTTAAATGTGAACCTGGTATTGAGTATTTTTATTACAGAATCCAAATTTCTAATTTTTCGACCGCAGAAAAAGACTGCTGTTGCCTGGCTCTGTTGATCTGTCTTGCCATATCAAGGTCATCGTCATCAATCATCAGCACTTTCTCTTCTTCATCATCTTTATAAGCAAGCTGGATTGATTTTGGATCAATCTGGAATTTCTCTGCTACTTTTGAAACCAATTCTTCATATCGGATATCTAATGAAGATAAAATTATGCGCGTATCTGTAAAATGACATTTAATTTTTAATTTTCCATTGATGAGATTATTGCTGACAAGCGAAGTCTGAGATGAACTTGGACTCACAGCAGCCAAGTTGGTGGTTGAAAATTGTGTGGCTGAGGAAGAATGAACAGATGATGCAGCAGTACCAGGTGTTGTGACAATATCATCAACAGGTCTATTACTGTTACCGCTATTGACTATAGTAGGTGTTGTAGGCGTTAGCGTGGGAATAGGTTCGTGGCTGGTATTATTATTGTTATTAAGGTCGTTGAGGAAAGTATGCCTAGTAGTAATGGTTAAGTCATTCTTCTTTTGATTGGTATTGGTCTTTGTTATAAAGTCTTTCTTGTTCGTGCTCGTATGACTAGAAGCAGAAGCAGTAGAATTACTGCTATTTCGGTTAATGGAATCTTCACGCTGAAGAATAGGCGATACAGGCGAATGAAGGAAGGTATTGATTGACGAGGATGACGAAGCGGATGAGAAAGAAGTCACAGGACTGCGTCTTGTGTCCACATTATGTAGCATGTCTGTTATAGTTGTGGTTGTTGTTGGCGTCGTTGGAGGTTGTGAAATTTCAGTAGAGGGTGGCACAGAATGCATATTATATACAAAAATCGAATTCTTTCTTTTAGATACTGTATAAGGGTAGGATAACTTGTCATGAAACATGTCGATGCCCTTCAATTGACGTAATCTTATATCAGAAGGACGGAACAATAGTCCTGGAGGCACTGAGTAAACTGAGTAGCCTTTCCCCCTTGCTCTGGCTGCTTGATCAATAATATCGTGCTCTTCGGTTTCTTTTGATTTTTGAGCATGATAAAGATCAGTAAGGCCAGCATCTATTTTATTTAAATAAAGCTGACAAATGCCTCGGTTGAACAGAACTTCACAAGCATAAAGACGGAAAGGTAAACCTAGTTGCTGGTAATTGATCAAAGTATTGCCTCGTAATCGCTGGTAGGCGCTGTCAAAATCAAACTTGGCTGCTTCTAAATTACCCAGTAAGAATAAAGAGACACCCCTTTGAAAGTAAGCAACCGCAAAATAAGGGTCTTTTGCAATAGCGCGATTAAACGCTGTGATCTAATAGTAGAATAGTTTTTTTTTAATTGTTATATTTACTTTTGCTATATAGACTGCCTTATCAATATCAGCACATGTGCTCGTCACTTACAGCCCGTTTATGATCGTTCACAACAGTGAAAATAGATCCAATGTTAAAATGCATCTTTGCGTTATCGGCTATGCTCTTTTCTAGAAAAAATAGTTCATAAGAAAGGTCTCATTCTTATTAAATTATTGCTTTTGAAACTTACAATGAAAGTCTTTAATGCTTCGTCATAGTTGTTACTATCAAATGCATCACAGGCTTTTTGCCATTGCTCCAATTCAAACTAATAAAGCCATGTTTTTGAATTCCAGCGGCTCCATGCAAAATTCATTTTGATGATTGGTTTTACCTTGAAGGCCATCTGTTAAAGATTGTAGATCAATTGGAAGGCTGTAGAGGAAGAGTACAGGCGAGCAAAATATTTTAAAAAAAAGAAAAAGCCAACCTAAAATGAACTAGCAGGAAGAAGAAAAGAGAAAAGAACAAAGGAGTTTCTTTTTTTGTTTTTTAAAATAGTAAGAAATAATAAAAGCTTCATATCTGAAATCGCCCAATGTTTCAATTTCATAAAAAGGTTAAGAGCGTTTTTCAATTTTGATTTCATTTGCGAGTATGTACATAATGAAGTGATCTTAATATTGAACAATATTGGCTTTAAAATTGCACTCTAAGGTTGCACATATTTACGGATAACTGGATAAATTCTACAAAGGAAAGGCATCTTGTGCACAAACGTGCTAAATTATGGCAGGTGAATGTATGCAGCTGACTTGTACAGTGCGGCTGGTAAATTTTGTCCGTTTTGAAAAAATAAGGGTTAATAATTACAATGTGAGTCAATGTAAGTTGTAGGAATGCCGCTAAATGGCTGGAGAATAATTGCAAAGAGAACAATGGACCACTTAGGTTTTTCGTTGCAGAACTATTCCTTTCAGAATCGAGATAAAGCCATGAATGACTACATTACTATTGTAACACTTGCTAAAGGCTCAGACGATCCTTTCTATTCACACTGGGCAAATGTAGTTTCAGTGACGTGTTTGGGTGAGACAACAACTGCAATACTCGAGCATGTACAACCATGTACAGAATACATTTTGCAACGGTCTTATCTGAATTGCATCTGATACAGGTATGTACAATATTAACAAGATAGCGGCTTGAAGTATTAATAATTACAGATGAAGCATCTGAACCTGAAATTAGTGACTAGCATACGCGTCTTTAAAACATTATAATTCACTTAGACCTTACAACAGTAAATAATCTTTCTACTTCATCTGAAAGCCACCAAGTTCATAATCATTGACTTAACTACAGTTGTCCATTTATCATCTAAGCAAATATTTTACAAGCATTCAAACTAATTTCTCCCAGAATAGATCTGCTGAGGGGGCTTTGGGATAGGTTACTGAATCACGAAACCGACAGCATTCTCTCAACGCCTACCAGAAATTCAAATTATGTAAGCAGTTGAGCATACCATTTACTAAACGGGAAAGAAGGTAGGAGCAGTACTCATATCTGAGATCAAAAGTTTTGTTTTGCACCGCAAGTCTTTGATTTTCCTGCCTTTGTTGAATGTTATTTATTTCTTACTTCGACTCATTGTAATTTACGCTGTCACATATCCTTTATAATGAATGTCATTTGCTTCTAGTGTCCTTAGCGTCAAATGCTAATTGAAACACAAGAGAAAATAAGATCAAACTATAGTTGTGAATTGCTAGCTGTATGGCTCTTATAAATGTTATGTTTTGATTATATTCTTATAATCAGTCGAGCGGCCACACCGAAGAAAATGCTAGGAAACCTTCATATTGATCATGCATTAATTATCAAATAACTTCGAGGATAATTGTTGAACTCTTTTTCATATTCTATGAATTCGTGAATATTGCAAACAAGCGGTTCATTTCAATATTTGAGTTTAAACATTACTCGCTTTCGTGGATTTCAAGGATCTTCAATAAGCATTGCCTTCTGGTCATTCTCCGCTACAGCTAGATTTGTCGTGACTTAATGCTTACAAATTTCTGTCTTTTTGAACAAAAGCAAAAAGCCAACGTTATACAATTTGACAACTTATTTCACTAAGTTTTTAACAGAGAATATGGCTAACATTGATAAAGAAAACCAAAGCTCTTCCATCGGCGAAAAGAAACCACCTGTTATCCTATGCATTGGCATGGCTGGCTCAGGTAAAACAACATTTATGCAGGTAGAGCAAATAACTTTAGATCTGGTTCAAAGATTTAGTTAGATCTCTTTTACTGATGTCTTCGATTTATGCCTTTCCTAATTAGAGAATCAATGCTTATTTACATCAAAAGAAGACACCGCCCTATGTTTTGAACCTTGATCCTGCCGTCACATCCCTTCCTTTCACAGCAAATATTGACATTCGAGATACAGTTAACTATAAAGAGGTTATGAAACAGTAATTGTCAATTATTCACAACAGTTGAATGTCTACTTGAACAGCCCTTTTTGGAATGGATAAACTGATATACTTCTGTTAACTGCAATAGGTATAATCTAGGACCGAACGGTGGCATTTTGACAAGTTTGAACTTGTTCACCACCAAATTTGATCAAGTACTAAACCTAGTTGCTAAACGATCCAATGCAGTGAGGTATGCGTATTACAGACATTGCTTCTTCAAGTCAAAACTATAGTAACTAACAGCTATAATAACTGCAATAAAACAGCAATGTTTTAGTTGATACACCTGGACAAATTGAAATTTTCACATGGTCAGCTTCGGGTGCTATTATTACTGATACACTCGCCGCTTCTTACCCTACTATGATAGCTTATATTATCGACACACCACGTACGACTGCACCTGCCACTTTTATGAGTAATATGCTATACGCTTGTAGTATACTTTATAAAACCAAACTACCCTTCATTGTTGTTTTCAACAAAACCGATGTGGTATCACATGAATTTGCTGTAGATTGGATGACTGATTTCGAGAAATTCCAACTTGCCCTTAACACCCAACAGCAACAGGAAGATTCTAATTATATGAATAGTCTCATGTCATCTATGAGTCTGGTTCTAGACGAATTTTACAACCATTTGAAGGTTGTAGGTGTCTCTGCAGTGACAGGTGCAGGCATTGATGAATTTTTTGAAGCTGTGAAAGAGGCTACGGAGGAATATGAAACTGACTATAAGCCTGAAATTGAAAGAATGATCAGGGAAAAAATGGCCAAAGAAGAGAAAAATCGTGAAAAACAATTGAACAAGTTAATGAAAGATATGAAGATGTCAGAAAACAAAGAAGGTAACGCAACATAAAATAAATCTCTGTAATTTACACAATTTGATTCATTAATACGTTATTGTTTTAATGATAAGGCGATGACGACAAATGGGAAGAAGCTGAAGAAGACGAACTTGCGGCGGAAGACAACGATGACTATGATGGGTACGATAGTGATGCTAATCCTTTACCGAGTGCCTCAAAGTATCCACCCTCTAAAGCCCAACGAGAAGAGGATGAAAAATTCAAAAAATGGTTATCCCGTGCAAAAGAAAGTACTTTGTAATTAAACAAATGAATTGAAATTTGTGGGCTTCTCGAAGACTATACAAGTGCAATTTTATGACAAATTGGGAGATGAGAAAAACAAATTAAATTTGATGGAAAAGATGATGAGAGAGCGAATGTTTGCGAGTCAATTAAGCGTTATTTGAGATAGAAGTGATATATCATTAAAAACTGTTCGATTTCCTTAACGATCTTCTGCCCATTCCTGTATTATAAAAAAATACGTGTCAGATTCAATTCGTTCTTATTATGTTTATCTTTCTACTCACATTTTCTTTCTTAATTTGAGCTTCTTCTTCTGGTGTAAAGTCATTGGTAATGTTGAAGGTACGTCTAATCTCCTCAGCAGTCTTACCCTTAATCATATTAGCAACAGTTTTACATCCAACGTCAAGAAGAGGCTTGATATCAAGATAGTTAGCAGCCTAGATATATCATTGAAGTAACAGTAAGCTCAATGCGACTGAAAAAAGTGTCATATGTCATTCATCTTTTATTAGCCATAAGATTAACTTACCAAGATGATGTCGAATAAGGTCTCTTGATCAACTTCCATGTACTTTTGGTCCCACTCATCGATATCAGTATTACGGCGCTCCTGCTCATCAGTGGTAATAGGATCATCACGGTGATGAGTACACCATTCAATCACCTGTTCGCAGGGTGACAAAGCGGTTGAATAATGGATTAGTGAGGGCTTTGTGTAGTCTTTTTTTCCTCTCTGCTAATAAAACATACTTTCTTCAAAACTTTGCCTGTAACGTTGGGAAGTGGAATAGGAGAGTCGGAATCCCCAATATCTACAAAACAAAGATGCCATATTCAATCAATTTTTGGAATCCTAATTGCTCTAAGACTTTGCTAATATTCTGAAAACTGACAAAAGAAGTCGAGCCTCGAAATTACGCAAAGGAGGGCTGGCTCTTTCTCTTTTCTTCCCAAAGATTTTCTCTTACCTTCTAACATATTTTTAATTAGGACAGAACGTTCGGCAACATCTCTATCTACCTTAAATTCTTCTAAATCTTGACTTTGGAGGGTAACGCTCATTTTATGCGAAAACTTTTCTTAAAATTAGAAAGTATGGAATAAAAAAGAAAATTCATCCTAGATATAAAAAGTGCTGAAGCAAAACGGACATCGAATAAAGGTGACGTATCCACTAATGCCACCGAGGACTTTATTCATAGATTATCGGCCAGAAGACTTGGATTTAACATAACTCCCCAAAGCGGTTGGCCAGTTTCATTTTTACTGACTGAATATTGTAATAATGGGCAACTTTCAAAATAACACGTATACATTTCTTTGCCAAAAATCCTTCCACGCGTCTTTGAAAGACTCTAAAATCATCTTTACATGCATTTTTGACACGCAGACCCGACGGTGTTTTAATTGGGCAAACTCCAAGTGCAGATATTTAAAAAATTTGAGACAGACCTTCATTTCTTTTCATTTTTCAGATTTTCAAGTAACGACAAAAAATAAAATCAATATCATCCTGTGCTTGACAATCATTTGTGGAGAAACATAGTCTAATTCACTTTGTTCAATATTATATTTGATAATATATTGTTGATGAACCTATATTTTGCATGTTTAATCGCTTAAGATAGCCGACTTTGGACATCAAAACTTGGATGTCTTTTTCGATGGCAAGAAAAGCGAACTTTGGTTAATGTTACATGCAAAAATTAAGCTGGTAACAAAATGACCGCTGAGGTTCTATGAATGGAAGTTAGAGTGGAAAGCCAAAGTGAATTTGCGTTCGTTGAAAAGCAAACATTGGGAGTGACACCCACTGTATTCAAAGAAGTCGTTCGAATTCAATTAGAAATCATTCAAAAATCAAAAAACGAAAATCGTCAAAGTAAAATAAAATCTTGTCTAAAATTGAAAAAGGCTCGAAAACCCAAGGGTTACCTAATTAAGTAAAGGTAATCGAATTCAGGGCAATCATCTGTATGCTTTTGTCCAACTGAGACAGTTCTGCATTCGTTCTATTAAACGCCCTCAACATTGATATCATAACCACCAGTAACAGAAAAACCAAAAAATAAGAACTAAGCGAAAGAGGAGCCGTTAACATCTTCTATATCTATAACAACATACATCGTTACCTGTTCTTCCTTCATTCTCCCCAATTTCCTTTTCCTTTTGCAAAAATGACCATTGGGACAGATGATGATGCACGTCATGTTGAATACATTCTGCTGGCAGAATTTGACATAGATAAAGGTGCTAATTTAAAGCATCAGTACCCCAAAAAGACAGGCACTGACGAACAGTAGAGTAGTATTAAACTGAACGTAAAGCGATGAAGAAGCTCGAGCAATGAGGTCTCTAACTATGTTTTTCTAACCTGGTATATAGTATATTGTCCGAACTCATGTTACCCGATGGCGCTCATTTAAGAGCTGAAGATTGGACAATATTTTGTTTGAATCAGTTGACACCTGAATTGAAAGAAGCAGCTGCTGAGGAATGCCAGCCACAGCAGAATCTCACGGAAACAAACAACATGATAGATAAACCGCTTCTGTATGTTTTAAATCTCGTTCGAACAAAGCATGATTCTACAGCCAGAAGGTAAAGCCCAAAGGAATTAAATCATATATACAGTGTTACCTTCTAACATGACTTAACACTTTTACAGAGGTGCAAGAGTAAAGGCATTGGCAATCTGTACAAGGCATCAATACCTTCACATTTATAAGGTAGAAAGAGAATGTTATATATGAAAGTCAAAGCAAAATCAATTAACCTCAAATTTAAAGCCTGTATTATTATTAGCCATGGAGAAATACTTTGAAAATCCCACTATAGAGATATTAGAATCACTTTATAAAGCCGTCAATTCTATGGATTTGAGTAGAATGCCCTTATTGACCTGGCATGAGCGACAGATTTTAAGAGCAACTGATAACAGGACGATGTTTGAAGAACTTTTTCTGGCTGATAGGCCCAATGATAGTAACAACGGTACTATACCAATTTCAACTTCCAACAACACCTTAACAGATAGCAACGTTGCTAGTCAGAGTGCTAACATAGAAAATGGCAATAACGCAGAAGAAAATCGACTGCGACGAGGCACTTATATTGATTTAGCTTCAGGACATGTTCGCGAAAAGATACCCGCCCTCAGTAAAGATACTCATTTCTTTGAAACAAAAATTGTTTATGATGGCATCCACCTGCCGATTAGGATTCCTCTCACGATGAATGATGAAGAAGTTGGAGATTTCTCCATAATCAAGCTTATACATACCTTTTCACCCAACCTTAATGGCAGCCATATGAATCTTGGCTTTAATAACGACAATAAGCATGCTTATTTCGGGTCTCCCAACCCTCATCACCCGCATCTGGATAGTAGTGGGCCTTATACTCATCCCATCATGATTTTACTGAATGCGTTATTGACGCAAAAGCGCATCATTTTCCTCGGCTATGGTCACCCTTCAGGCGAGGTGGCTAATTATGTTTTGGCAGCCTGTGCTTTAGGGAGCGGATGTGGTACTGTGTTGAAAGGCTTCACTGAACGAGCATTTCCTTATACCAACCTGACGAGCATTGATGAATTATTAAAATGCCCTGGGTTTATTGCTGGTGTGACCAATCCAACTTACGAGGAGCATACCAGTTGGTGGGATGTGCTGTGCGATATTAGTACAGGCAAAATCACAGTGAGTGATCAAATTGAACCCATAGGAAGAAACCAATCCAGCATAACCATGGCATCATCTACCTTAACAGCACCAGCAGCAGCATCAATAAAGCCAGAGGAAAAATTGTCTACGACGCCACCTATTACTGGATTTCATGCTTTATCAATCGGCCGAAGCTCCAGTTTACCTCATGCTATGACGACACATACCGTGGTTAACACTGCATCTTCGCCTTCATCGTCTTCATCGCACGGATTATCGGAAACGAAGACAAATATACCAATAACATCAACAGCATTGAATGCCGTCGATAATACAGATGCAGAATTTATCAATGATGTCATGGTCTCTATTCAAGCACATTATGGAGAAACATCTATTCGTGCTAAATTTCAAGATTATGTGTTACGTTTCGTACGCCTCGCTGCGGTATACGAAGAGCAAGTGTATGGATATACTAACATTGGTGGCCTGCTATGGTCAACAACGGGCGATCATTTCAATAACACCGATAGTGTTGCGAATAAAGAGCGTTTATCTACAACATCGATTTCATCTTCTTCAACTATAAACACGACTATCACCACTACGATGGCAGTCGGGCTAGGTTACGGTCCTGTCTTCCAGGATGAAAGCATCAAGCAGAGAGAATTAAATGCTAATCGACATCGAATTGAAGGGTGGCGACAAACAATTTCTTATCAATATTATCAGCGCGATATAAAGCCATGGATAAATAAAAATAGTTGTATCCAAGGTTTAGACGTGTACCGGCAAATCAGTAAATTGAAAAAATTCAAATCGATACCGGATAGTGAAATGAGTTTAATTTATGAGGCCTTTCTCAGCAAAGTTATCACTCATAGGCAGATTATTGAGGTGTGATAAAAAGGTTATACTAATACTCATATTGCTACGCGCTAATATTATTGTATATTTTGATTTAGTTCCTATCTTTCTTGCCTCAGCATCAAGGCGGTCTGTCACCTTTAGGGGTAGGCTTATTTCATTCTAATCCGGATATTCGACATCAAACCATACATCTATTTCATCGTCTAGAAAAGGATCCTGTAGGGATAAAATTCATTCAAGATTTATCACGTTTTCAGCGCATTGCTTATGAACGACAAGCCACTGTCTTGTTTGGCGATAACCGAAATAGTGATCTTGAAGATACTACTTTGTCGAAACCACCAGCTAGGGCATCTGCTGCTCAAGTATATGATATCAACGATGACGAGGGAAGATAAATATGACCAAAAGCTTCATATTGGAATAATTCATATATGAAATTTCTTTGACCATAATAAAAAGTCATCTTTTTAACATACTACGTTTAAACAAAGATTTTATTACATAATATTAATTTTTTAGAAGCCCAATGGACACGAGATATTAAACTTATCTAAATTGCCCGGGGCAGCTCCAAAGGCTGAGTAGTATCTAAACACCCCTTAGGGCTCAAGGGTAAAAAGGACTATGTACTAAAGGGTTGGGGGAGGGGAAGAGGGTAACCAGTCGAGCAATAAATGCCCTGACCGAGGAGTTGTAGGCGGCTCTCGAGAGTAGTGTAAGTAGTCGAGTGCAAACAAAACGTGACAAACTACTGACCATAGAAAATGACAGTTTTGTATTTGGGATGGGTTCTTGATCGGATGTGTAGGAAGGCGGTTGAGGACATGAGATATGGGATCACAAACTGATGGGGGAGTCGTAAGCGGTGGTGCATGTTTAAACAGGAGATAACGTGGGACTTTGTAAGTAATGACTAGGGAGGTTTAAGGCAATAGGTTCGGTGACCTCCAGGAAGCCAACCCAAACGCCATCGGATACATCGGCTGCGTTCATTAGTTGACATTGGATTTAACAAACTACGAGTTTTTAGCGTTGAGTTGAGACAAAGCTGCGGTTTTACTAGTAGACTCAAGACAAAACGTGGTAGACCTGGTAGACCCTGATAGACCCGGTAGACCAAAGTTTAAGCCTTTAGAGAAACGCGATAGACTCGAAGAAAAACGCGGTAGACCTGGTTGACCTTAACTGGACAAAACGAACTAGGCTTTTGAGACGTTTTGGTCGAAATTTGAGGGCTGGACTACACTAAAATGGAGTAGTTTACCTGTGAAAAAGCAAGCTTCGTTCTGGCGATTATAAGACAAAGGACTAAGATGTTGTATTTTCAAATTGGAACGCTATAGCCATCATCTTTTTGCTGCATTGACATCGCGGTTCCAAAGTATCTTATAAGTTTTGCAAACAAGGATACTACAGCCACGGGTGATGACTAATGCTTCTAATGCGTCTAAGTAACCGAATGGATCCTTTTTAACCTTATTCTTATGCTTTTTTTTTTAACAAATCTAATTTTCTGTATAATAAAACTTTTGCACCTGAATAGGGCTAAAAGGTACAAAAGATGCGAAATAAGAAAAAGGATAGATCTTTCCCCGTTTAAACGAACCTCTTCATTAAACTATAACTTTGCCAACAAAATGCGAGAAAAGTGTTGCTGAAAGATAGATCTTAAGCATTGGGAATGTTTACTCTGCCTGAAGAAAAACAAGAAGTTGTCCAAATCTAAACCAAAAGAAACTGTATTAGAAGCAAACCATAAAGCAGCATGCCAATGCACCAGTCAACTGGAGTATATCTTGGCCAATTGTCCAAATGTTACTTTATGAGATTGATTCTCAACACGAGAAAATGCTCCCTACCCCGTCAGAAACATTAGGACAGCCCTGCCAGACTGACTCATGCGCCCACCACTGTCAATACTTGATTGTCCCGTATTTCTTAGTCTACATTATTATATACTATTTTTTTTTTCTTATCCCCTTTGAAGTAATTCCATAACATGTTTTGATCTGCCCAAGTATTTATGTAGTTTCTCTGTGCGTCTATTGGGGTAGAATTATTGAATAAAAATTGTGTTTCGTATTTTTAGCCAAGTTTTACTGCCTGTGGCAACAGACGCGAAATTGAGCATGAACAGTACCAATAATCGCATATTTGAAACTCAGCGAAGCGCGTTTGATTTTGTTACAGTCAGATTTTGTTCAATTACACCTACTTCTAAATCTACTACATACAATAAGCCTCATCAAACTATGAGTTTCTTTGCGCCTCGAGTAGCTGTAAACAAGGCAAACAAAACAGCTTCTGAAAAGAAAGCAGAGATTAAAGCCAGCCAACCTTGGGTGGAGAAATAGTAAATTGTTCAATTATTGAACCTCCTAAAGTTGACATTCAACGATTAACAACAGTTTTGTCTATAATATAGTCGACCTAAGTCTATGGATGATATCTCATCACAAGAACAAGCAGTGGCTGTTTTGAAAAAAGCATTACAATCAGATAATGTACGTTGACAATATATGTATTTGGCGATTAAAGGGCGATTGTTGACTGAAGCTGATCAACTTCTTATAACTGGCAATAGTTACCTCACTTACTGTTTTACGGTCCTCCTGGTACTGGTAAAACATCTACCATTTTGGCTTTAGCGCACGAACTTTATGGACCCAAACTTGTGAAATCAAGAGTACTGGAACTCAATGCTTCTGATGAAAGAGGTATCCAAATTGTTCGTGATAAAGTGAAGGATTTTTCAAGAACCACTGTAACTGGCAAGGTTGAGTAAGTTGACTTGCCCGCGATTATTTGCAATTATGTAAGCCTACTAAGTGAAATATGCTTTTTTGATCTTTTATAGTGGTTATCCTTGCCCGCCTTTTAAAATTGTTATCTTGGACGAGGCAGATTCAATGACAAACGATGCCCAGAGTGCTTTACGTCGTACAATGGAAACATATTCAAAAACCACAAGATTCTGTTTGATCTGTAACTATGTCAGTCGGTGAGTCTAAGCACCCACTAACCTGAGAATACGCATATAATGCACAGATGGTTTCATTATTTACGAACATGACCTTTTTCTATAGTATTATCGAACCTATTACATCACGTTGCGCCAAATTCAGATTCAAATCCTTGCCTGTCAATGATTTAGAACAAAGATTACAGATGATCGCTGATAAGGAGAAGGTTTATTTAGCCCCTAAGGCCCTACAGACCATAATCGACTGTTCCGGCGGTGACTTGAGAAAAGCCATCACCTTGCTACAGAGCGGATATAACTTAGCAACTGCCGACAAGTCGAAGAGTGACACTGAAATGATCACGCCTCGCATGGTGGAGGAATTAGCGGGTATGATACCCAATGACGCTATTCAACACCTTATGGATCTATGCATTACCAACGTCTCAAATACCACTGTAAAAGACATCCAAAAAGCTATACAAGATATGATGAATGAAGGATATGCGGGGGAGAATATTTTACTACAAACACATGCTGCGTTTATTCACAACAATCAGTTGGATACGCTTCAAAAATCTAGAATTGCTCAATTTATGGCGACAGTGGATATTGATTTGATCCAAGGAGCTGATGAACAATTACAGTTATTGAATTTGATGTGCCAAATGGCGAACATTGCTGCAACCGCGAGCTAAGAAGTTGTAAAGCATTGATTTCGTCCTTTTGTAAATAGTTATTAAGAATAAAATAAAACTGATGTTACATAGATGTCATCTCACGTAACATTAGGGTGAAGTCCTATAATAGTTTTTTCATGCAAGATAATGCAGTGAACGGGTATAACAAATTGCTACTTCAATGTCTTTGTTTGCTTCGGAATGATGGTTTGCTTTTGCCTCTTCCAAATAATACTTGGCGCGGAATTTTCAATTTGGACATGGATAGTGTCAGGTTGTCAATATCCATTTCAAGAGTAGCAGTAGTCGACGAATTATCCGATACAGGCATTAGATCCACATCAACAGTCGCTTGGTCGTTAGCAGCTACTATGATTCCTTCTTCATTATCTTGATCTATTGAAACATCTTGCATATTAATATCTCCTTTACATATCTGCTTATGTCTCTTTTGTCGTTGTCTTCTCTCTTTATGGATCTCTTTCTTGTTTATGATTTTTGTATTAGTAGGGTCCGTATTACACATTGCTACAGAAGGGATAATGTTGTTCGCACCCGTCATTGTAATTTGGAAAGGGAAATAGTCTGGGAAAGAATGCTGCTTTCTCAAATGTTCATTACGATTCCTTGGCCTAGCACCTACATACTTACAGCCTTCTACCAAACATTTATACTGAACACAGCAATACGGGTTTGTTGAGTGCCTCCCTCTTCAGTTGCAGAGTAAAAACGAAGGTTTTTTTTTTCTTACTGTCTTTTCCCCTCTTTCCTTCTTCATTTGTACAAGAATATTATGAAATTCGTCGATATGTAGACTCAACCAGTAAGCATTGGGAAAAATCTTCTGGCAAACAGAACATACGTTGCGATGCATCACTTCATAATGCAATTCATAGGCTAATGCAGAAGCCAGTTCTAAATTGCACTTTTCACAAAAAATAGGTATAAACCTAAGTATAAGCGTAAAAAATGAAGCAAACTAAGTAAAAGATGCTAAAGTTCATAGTACCTCTGACTTGACATGCTTACTTTGTCAAGCTCGCTTCCTCTTCTTTGATCAACTGAATTTCAAGATCTGATTCAGCTTGCTTTTGCAACCAAATAGCTTTTAGAGCTATATTGCCCTCTTTGAAAAATGGATCATTCGGTTTGAAGATAATGGGCTTTGGCCGGTATATGGTTGACATGTGATTTCTGGTAGCCTATTTTAAATACTGTTGTGGGCTATTGCTGAACGGTTGGAGGTGTACACTATGCTTTTCCGTAAATCACACTGCACGAAAAGTATTTAAAGATCAGAAAACTCTTGCGATATGATTTCTGCAGAAAAAAACCAAAAAAAAAACCAAAAAAAAAACCCCATTTTTGACAACCTTTCTTTCTTCTTATCTTGTCTCAAAGAAACCTTCCATTTGCAAATATTCTGAAAATGGCCAAGGGCGTCTCATTAGAAGAGAAACGAAAGAGAATCTTGAGTATTTTTCACGAATCTGTAACGTCTAAAAGCTCTGTTAAGCGTAATGATTGTGAAGCGTATACTTACGACTCTTACTTAACGTCTTCAGGGCGAATTCTATCAGCTCAAAGATATCGAAAAGTTGGGTACACGAAGAGGCGTTGTTGCTCAATCTATCAAAGACATTTTGATGAGTTTAGTTGACGATAATCTAGTAATTACGGACAAGATTGGTACCTCAAATTACTTTTGGTCTTATCCTTCCGCAGCTATGCAAACAGTATATCAGAATTCAATTTCAATTTTTGAAAATAAAGTAATCATTGTAACACCTGTCAAATTCATTTTTCTGCTATAGAAAGAAAATAAAATGAATGACTTACAACTGAAAGTTGACAAAGAATTAGAACGCCAGAAGAAGCTTGACGAAGCTATTATCCAAGAAAGACAACAACGGGAAGAAACTGAAGAAAGAGAATTAATATTGAAGGAATTGAAAGAACAGCAAAGCTTGGCTAATGAATTAAAGCAAGAACTGCAAAAGTATCAAGACAATGACCCTCAGTTATACGAAGCCAAAGGTAGTAAGCGCAGGCATAAGGCATTCTGAACAGGCTCACATTTTTTGTATTCCTGGATCACTTGTGCTGACAGAGCTTTGATTTTCATTCATTAGAAAACGCAGCAAAGGTAGCTAGAGATGCTACTAATCGTTGGACGGAAAACATATGGGAAATCCAGTCTTATTGTATAAAGAACTTCAACATGGACAGAAACGTTTTCAACCAAAATTTTGGTATTGATGATGACCTTGACACCATCTAAATTTGTTCATTATGAAGCACGTGATACCAGAATTTCTGCACAATTTTTAAATATGCACACTTTCTCCTAACCTTTTCCTTTGGCTTCACCTTTCATTCACTATTTATTCTCTGCAATCCTCTATTTGATGCTACTCAGTATGAATACCAATAATAAAAGGCCTTCTTTCACTAATTTTCCTATACCTTTCGATCATCCATACACTATACCCGTATTATCAATTGCTGTTGGAGCTTCTGCATTATTCTATTATTCCTTACAAGCTCAACATAAAGCCGAACTGAGGGAAGCAGTTCGATTAGAGATCATCAAGAAACGAAAAAAACATTTCTCGAACAATAACAGGGTAAAGAGATATGCAAGCCTGAAAATTGACGGTCAATATGTCAACCCCTTCGAGGAATGGCAGCCATCGGCATCATCTTCATCTTTAATAAGCAAGTTTCACACGACCTGGACTTACTTCAAGCGATTGCTACGGAAAGATACTATGGTAATAAAAAGTGAGACAGAGACAAAATGCAGTACAATTAGTTAACTTATCGCTCGATTAACGTGTTCCAGAATTCGAGAGCGCAGATATTGTCGACAATATCTCCCTTAACAAATAAGTCATCACAACAACGAGAAATTTCTTCATTCACTTGGCTTGGGCACTCTTGCTGTTTATTCGACTTGCGGAGCGGTATAAAAATACTTACTGATCCTATTTCTTCGAAGCAAATTCCCTGTCAAATCACAGAACTCTGTAGAATTATCAATAGTGTTCTTGTCACACATCAGCATACGAATCATCTGGGTAAATTCTATATTTGAAGGCAACAGTGTATAGAACATCATATAAGCTTGTATATCATAGATCTTAAAATATGCATTCGATTAATGTAGACGAAGACACAGTATTGAAGATAGGAAATGGGGTTACTTGGTATATTCCTTTGGGATTAAAATCATGGTTTCTTCACAGGGGAATTGATAACGTGATTGAAATGGATTGGTGGCAAGAGACTCAATATCACAATGAGAGGAGTAATAGTAACGAGGAGATCAGTATCATTTGTGTACCTGCTATGGTAAAGAATAATTACAAATGTTGATTTGGGGGTTGGAGGAAACGATAAACTAAGTAAATATATCAGCATGAGAGTATTGGTGCTAGCAGTAGGAAAAACGAGTCATTATGGTGTAGTTACGTTATCAAGTCAAAAGCGGAAACAATTTTTTTTTGGTAAGCTCATAATAGTTAAAAATGAAAGGACTAGTGCACTGAAAGGAATAACCAACGATAATAATATAGTGGTAGTACTGGCTATGTGCCCAATCTATTCCACGCAATTTTTGATAAATATGGTCCTTTCACGCTGGCCACTTTACCTATGGGAGATTCAGGAGATAATTCAACCTCATCACTTATTCATATGAAGCCTGAGGATGCATTAAAGGCGCATATCGATTTAGGACCGCCTACCTTGTCTGTTGGTATACATTGGAGCTCTTCTGAAAGTACAAGTACAACTGAAATGACAACAAAGGGGGGCCCTCTCGATTATGCACAAACTTATGATCATAATGAAGGTAGTGATGGGTTAATAGCTATGAAAATTGGACAAACTATTTTCCTTGACAACTAGCATTACTCAATATTGAAACATGCTGTATCGCATACACACACGAATATATTATAAATTGCATTATCGTTAATGACACAATAGAATCCTACACATACATTTAGCAAGTCACTCTGACCATAGAAACAGCAAATTGATACCCAAAGTAATCTCTTCATGTTAAACGCCTATCATTTCGAAAAATTTGAAATTCATAAACACGAACTACTTATATTACCCTTTTCCCCGTACCGAAATAAAAGCTTCACCCATTATTTATGAAGGTTTGAATGTAGCATCGTACCTACAAAGCCGTATTGCAATTTCCATTATTAACACAATTGAAACACATAAAATTCTCCAGTGTCACCACGGCGTCATCGTATGCTTAAAGTTTCAGCACGCGAAAAGCCTATGTAAGCTGCACTACGATGCTTTTGCCGTATAATATTACAGCCGTAGCTTGTGGGCTCTTTTTTAAAGACCAATACGAATCTATCTCTGTTATTCAGCGGAGCTTTCCTGAAATCCAAAACTGTCTTATTCTATGCAGGTTGCGTTAACCCTTTCACCTAAAGGCTTTTCACACCTTATTTAACAAGAAGCTGTAATACTTCTCATGTCTAATTTTGTAAGTATATGCTATGTGACTTGAATACAAATAGTTCTTTTTTGTCTCCTAACGTTAAATGCATGCAACCCAACAAGAACGATGATCTATCAAATTTGTTGCCAAAATCTTTTGGTAAATCGTCAATGAGTGGGAAAGAAACGAATTCAACTCAAAAAAGTGCAAGCACTGACTGGGATGCGTTGCGATCATTTATGCCAATGTCGTTTGGTAAACAACAGAAGAATCAAGACTTTAGTCAGGAATTTGAAAAAACCAAAAGAGATGTAAATAGAAAGCAATAAAAATTTGAGAATATGGATATTTGCTTAAGCATACTCCTTTATGACACCTCTGATTGCTCTAGGAAGCAAATAATGTCAAGGATCATAAGAGAGCCCTTGTCATGGCTGATGATGGTACAACGAAAGTGAAAAAATTCGGTGATGATAAAAAGGAAGAAAAAAGCGACAGCGACAGCGACGACGACGATCAAGAGGAGGAGGAGGAGGATGGAGAAGAGGGCAATAACAACGAAGACTACGTTAGTTCAGATATACTTCCAACTTCTCACGAAATCAAATTGAACGATCATATACGTACTGTGTCAGCGCTTACTCTAGATCCATCTGGCACACGTCTTGTGTCTGGCAGCTATGATTATGATGTTAAATTGTGGGATTTTGCCGGCATGGATCGTTCTTTTAAACCATTCCGTACCATTCAACCTTGTGGAGAACATCAAATCCACAATTTACAATATTCTTTGTCGGGCGATTCGATTTTGATTATATCAGGTAGCGCAAGAGCGAAAATATTTGACAGAGATGGATATGAATTAAGCGAATATGCAAAGGGAGATCCATATATTAGAGACTTGCGACATACAGACGGTCATGTAGGCGCTTTAACAAGCGGGGCATGGCATCCTACAAATAAGCAGATCTTCGCTACTTCATCCCAAGATGGTACAATCAGAGAATGGGACGTAGAACGTGTGAGGAAACAAAAAACTACCATTGTATATAAGTCTAGAGAACGAGGTGGACGATCTTCTTGCACAGCATTAGCATATAGTCATGATGCCAAGTATATAGCGGGTGCATATCAAGATGGAACTTTACAGATCTGGAATAGCACAGGCAATCATATTCGGCCAGCAGTATCTATTCCTGATGCTCATCAAAAAGGCACGGAAACTTCTTGTATTCTGTTTTCGCGTGATAATAATACAATGGTGACAAGAGGCGGTGATGATTCAGTAAAATGTAGGCGATCAGCTTTTACTTCGTTTGCAAAACTTATTTATCAAATGTTTAATTTTATACATTATATTCTCTTTACTTTTTGTTAGTATGGGATATTAGAAATGCGAAGAAGCCTGTAAAAACATCTTACAATTTGGATATAGTGAATCCCGAAGTAAATGTAATATTCAGTCCTGACGAAAAATTGATCCTGACAGGTAAAATTGCTAATAAGTTACAGTGAATATGGTTCGTTACTGACTTTTCATCGATTACCTTTAGGTACTGCATGTCCAAAGGGTAAAGGAACAGGCAAGCTTGTTATGCTGGATAGAAATACTTTAGAAGTTCAGCAGTCAATAGGTAAGGCATAGCTTTACCCATTACATGATAATCTTTACAGAAATATATTAAAATGTCGGTACTGTAGATGTATCGCAATCAAGTGTCGTCAAAGTATTATGGCATCCACGTATCAACCAAATAATTACCGGAAGTGCGGATGGCTCAATGACGGTCTTTTATAGCCCCACCCATTCAGTTCGTGGTGCTAAACTGTGTGTTGTCAAAAAGGCAAAGACCCGTGCTGTGGATGATTATGAAATTACCGGACCTATTATAACTCCTCACGCATTGCCAATGTTCAAAAATGACGAGCCCAGAACATCAAAAAGAAAGAGAGAGAAATTACGTAAGGATCCTAAAGCATCACATCGTCCAGGTAAAATAATTGTTTTTGTTTACGACGGCTTGAGTGCAGTGTTAATGAAAACCCTCTTTTTCCATTCTACAGAATTACCTGTCAGTGGCCACGGTAAGGGTGGTAGAATTAATATGAGTCAACAACAAGCTGTGATCAAATCATTCGCCAAGGATACGACAAGAGGTATGAGACATTTTCTAATAATTCGTCAAAACCATTTTCTAAAACAATTGTCTGCTATCTTTATAGATGAGGATCCGAGAGAAGCACTTCTTAAATACGCGGATGTTGCAGAGAACGATCCAATGTGGGTTTCCAATAGTAAGTAGCGATGGTTCATAACATTCAAATCCAACAATATAAAAAGTTTTTTCTAACTTTCATAAATTACAGTTTATAAGAAAACTCAACCCAAGCCTGTGTTCCGTGAAGTGGATGAAGAAGAAGAAGAAGAGCAGAAGAAATAGATTTATGCTTAAAGTAGCAGGGTCTTTTCCCACTTTCTATTTTAGAAGAAACAGCAGACAAAAGTCAGTTTTATGTAGCTCAGCTGCCAAATTAATAATTTGATCGTGGTGCTCTTAATTCCCAATAAAGTATGCCGTCTTCTGCTGTTATAGATACACCGAAACCTGATCATATAATCTCCAATGATGGAAATAAAGAAACTGGCGGTACGACAGCGACACCATCATTGTCCCTTTTGTCTCGAAAGTTTGGGAGCTTGACCAATATAGATGAGATTAGAGAGTGTCTACGATTGTTAGATGCAGAAGAGACACGCATTGACCGATCGCTCGATGAAATGCTATCTAAAGAAAACGAACTTGCTGAATCACTTAACACCCTTAATGTTATAAGGTTGAGATATTACATTCTTTTCGTAAACGTATCATAGAAGCAGTAGTATTTAGTAATAATCATCTTACATTTTCATTATACTGGTTAACAGACCACGGTTAGACAAATTAAAAGACGAGTCCTCGCGTGTAATTCAAACTGTCGATAGCACAGCACGGTTAGCAGAGATTATCAGCGATAAAGTACGACAACTAAACCAAGAACAATCCAGAACCAAACAAGCCATTCAATACGTGGAGAATGTACAAGAATTGAAATATTGTGTAGCGAGCATTCTAGAAGCATTTACAAGAAAAGCTTATGACGAAGCAGCTAATTTACTACATAGAGCACTACAAATCGACCCAGCTATTTTAAATGGTTCACTAGCTGAATTCACAGTGGTATAGAGACACACAGCCTCTCCATATTTCGTTGAATAGGGTGTATTGTTAACTCTTTTTTTTCTTTTTCTTCCTTATGCTGTCTTTGTTCCATAGGCAACCTCAGAAAACCCAGATCATCCTGCAAAAACATTGGATGAAGCGAAAGCCAACCTATTCAACATATTTTCTCAGAGGTTCGATGATGCGGTAGCTCAGAGAGATCAAACAGAAATCACTCGGTATTTTAAACTATTTCCTCTCATTCATTGTGAAACGGAAGGTTTAGACAAGTATTCAAGGTTTGTCTGTAATATTATTAAGGCAAGATGTGTTGAGGAGCTGAAGAATGGCTTAAGTATGGGATAGAGCATAGGTAGTATCATGCAAAGCTAGTTCAATTTAACTAATTACAATTATATAGTTGCTGCTCCAACGTATTTTGCGGATGCTTTGACACGTCTGTTCGAAAATATAGCCGTTATTATTGATCAGCACCAACCATTAGTGGAGCAACATTACGGCAAGGGAAAAATGCTTCGGGTCATTCAGCGATTGCAGGAAGAAAGTGATATACAGAGCGGTATTATTTTGGATAGATTTTTAAGAGCAAGAAAATTAGAATCGAAGGTAAAGTTTTGATACAATCTATCTTTGGGCCCGTTAATAATACTTGATGAATATATTTTTGTAGCTTGTGGAGATCCAATGCCAACTAGTATCGATAATGCGCACAGATTCATCATATACGGTGAATAAGTCAGGAACTCAAATAGCTAACTCACCAGAAGAACCAGAGGTCACCAATCCTCTTATTGACCCTCGGCAGCTTGATGCTAACCTCCATGAACTTTCCCTGTTATGCCAACGCAGTGTCCTGTTCCAGAATTTTCTCAATGAACGAGCTATCGAAGAAATGGATGTCTTGATATCTGATAATGAGAATGAAAAGGATCTTGTCATGAAAGACAAAAATGAGAAATTCTACGGTGGCAATGGTCTTTTATTATCATCGGGCCTCACCAAACGCGTGAGAGAACTTATGAGCTCATATATCGTGATTGATGAATACTTATTGAAAAAGAGTATCGATAAAGCAATGAAATTAGATGACTATGACCCCACGCTAGCATCAACATCAACTTGCGTGGATGATGTTTTCTTTATCCTGAAAGCTGTGCTGAAGCGCGCTATTTCTACTTATGAACCTCAGGTTGTGTCATCAACAGTCCGAACGGCTGTCACAATACTAGAATCTACTTACTTGCAGGTTTTGCACCAGAGACTTAATACAGTATTCACTTCGTATGATCCTTCAGGGCGCAATGCTGAAAGGGCTATGGAGCAGGCCAAAATAGACTATATGGTGACGCTTAATAATTTGGATGTTAGTGCTGATTATACCCACCGTTTAGCAAAAGAAGTTGAACCCGATATCATCAATGGCGTCTGGCTTGAAGGAGACAACGATGTTCAAAAAGCGTTAAGCTACATTAAGGATTTCGAAAACTTTTCTGATAAGTTTGACAATTTATTAAAGGTAATGATGGTAGCACCAATAAGCAATGTGCCGATTCTCAATTAGATTTCCTTTTCCCTTTCTGTAGAATGGTATTGAGCAACTAATGAAGCAAATTTTGAAGCCAAGGATACGTCCGCTATTCCAGGAATCTTATAAAGACGTTAGATATGTCTTGGAGGAAGACGAGTACAATGAAGCAGATATTGATGAAAAGTTTGTTAAACGGTTCCGTCAACGCTTTGATAACCTAATCAAAGTCTACAAAACTTCATTAACAGATAATAACTTCAGCACTTTATTGGGATTACTAGTCAATGCTGTAGCTTTACAGTGGGAGAGAATTGTTTTTCAAACAAGATTCAACCAATATGGTGCTCTCCGTTTCGATAAAGATTTGAGATCGATCATTCACTATTTTTCAACGTTAACAGAATGGCTATCAAGAGACAGGTTCACACGTTTAAACCAGATGGTTACTTTGCTTAATTTTGAGGAGGTAAGAAGAGCAAAGATGATGCTGTAGGCTTGTCGTGGAGATATTAACCTTCATTCAACATTGATAGCCTTCAGAGATTTACGATTTTTGGGGACAAAAGGCTGGTTCTGTCAGTTGGCGTTTGACTGTAACCGAAGTCAAGAAAATTTTATCCTTGAGACTAGATTTTGATGCAAATGAAGTCGCTAACCTGCTACCCAAAAGTCAATGAAAATAATAAATTTTGATTCCTTTTCCTAGCAAATCAGTAAAGTTCATTTCTTGTTGTTGGCCTTTCTGTCTTCGTCTTCGAATTGCTATCAAACTCTACTAGCTCTTCATTTTTTAATCAAACTTTAACAGGTAATATGGGAATCATCAAATTTCTGCTTCTGATCCCCCAACTGTTTTGGTTCGATTCGTTGATACTTTCAGCTCGTTGCCCCGCCCGGTACCCAGTTTGGATAGTAAGCTTTTTCACCCATCTCCTGAACCTCAACCTGTAGAAAATAGTCTCCATGCAATAAGAGAACAAGCTCGGGTAAACTTAGAGGAGCACCTTGTCTCGTACCCACTTGAGTCGTTAAATAAAAGTACATGTTTAACCTTAATATAACCCTAAAATTGATTGGATAAAAGTGGACATCCACATTTTACTTTTCCCCGGATTTTTTTTTTTCTTGTATTGAATCCTTGAAAGCACTTCCTTTTTTTCATTAAGAAATGCTTAAACTATTGAAAAATCTTCGTCTTACTTCTGCCAAGGAAGCGAGTCCAAATATACAGAAGAGGCTCTTACATGCTCAGAAAGAACAACGGCAAGTTCACCAGCCGAACTTTGTATTTATAGTGGCCTCAACCGCTCTCTTAGCCGGCAGTGCAGGATTTTGGCTCGCTAAAAATATGAAGATTCCAGATAGGCAGCAATTTCACATTGAGAGCTCGAGACTTTCTGCACTTAGTGAGCGACCAAAAATAACAGTTCCACAAATCCCTACTCACGATATCGTCCTTACTGCTTTCGAGGAGCTGCGAAAGGTTATGCCTTCTGAGCATGTTTCTATTGACGAGGAAACTCTTCGCAATCACGGTTATTCAAATAATTCCTACCATAATGAAGGAGCACCTAATATCGTTGTCTTTCCATCATCCACAGAGGAAGTTGCTGCTATCGTCAAGATTGCCAACAAATTGAACTTACCTATTATTCCATTTTCTGGCGGTACCTCTTTGGAAGGACATTTTGCGGCACCTAAAGGAGGCATTTGTATAGACTTCAAGCAACATATGGATCAAATTATTGCTTTTCACCCGGAAGACATGGATATTGTGGTACAGCCGGGTATGCAATGGGAAGAATTGAACGCATTCCTAAGAGACCATGAACTATTCTTCCCAATGGATCCTGGGCCAGGGTAAATGGAGTTGAGTCCTGCGACCGAGTTAAAAAAAACAAACAAAAAAAAAACTCATTTGACAAGGACGGAAAAAAGTTGACACAATCTATTATATATCTATATGTAATGGCATAGTGCATGTTTGGGTGGCATGGTAGGCACATCCTGCTCAGGTACTAATGCAGTACGTTACGGTACAATGCGTGAATGGGTTATCAATCTGACAGTAGTAACAGCGGATGGAAAGATTTTAAAAACTCGACAAAGACCTCGTAAATCATCAGCAGGATATGATTTGACCAAGCTCTTCATTGGTTCAGAGGGTACTTTAGGCGTTATTACAGAAATCACTTTGAAGTTGACTGTCTTGCCTCCTTTTGAAACTGTTGCTGTATGTGATTTCCCAACTGTTTGTGATGCCGCCGCAGTTGTACCTGATCTGATGAGGGCAGGTGTACAAATTGGAGCTGTAGAACTGCTAGATGCTAAAATGATGGAAGCTACCAATTTGGCTCTCCCCGATCTTAAGTTTACCATTAAGCCTACTTTATTTTTCAAATTTTCAGGCGGCTCCAAAGAGTTGATAGACCATGATATACAAATTGTGTCAGAAATTGTCAAGAAGCATCAAGGCGGGCAATTTGCCTATGCCAAAAATGAGAAAGAAAAAGAGACGTTATGGGAAGCCAGAAAGATAGCATTGTGGTCATCAACTTTACTAAAAGCTAACGCCTCTGTTTGGACAACAGATGTCGTGGTACCAGTATCAAAATTACCTGAGCTAATAGCAGAAACTACCCAAGAGGTCAATCAGTCGTTCTTGCCGTGTCCTATGGTAGGCCATGTAGGGGATGGCAATTTCCATGTATTTATTCTTTTTGATAAGAATAACGAAGAGGAGTTTAATGAAGCAAAACGGATCAATAAGAATCTGCTACAACGAGCTATTCGTATGGAAGGATCAGTGACTGGTGAACACGGTGTGGGCGTTGGTAAAAAGGCTTTCCTGAATGAAGAATTGGGCGAGAATACTGTGGATTTAATGAAGAAGATCAAAATTGCACTTGATCCCAAGGGTCTGCTGAATCCTGAGAAAGTACTGCCTGATAAATAAAGTAAAATGATAATTACTTGAAGCAATATTCGTAGACATGTCTTTCATCTCAATCGTTTTGTTCTCATCTATTTTTAATTGAGGTATTTTAAATCATAAAACAATAGAAGCATAAAGTATATTATGGACTTAACCGTCGATAATCACAACAGTTGGACAATTTTAGAAGAAATGCTGAAAGGATTATTTTTGGAAATTTATTGGGGCAATTAAAGTATATATTTTGAGACGATGTATATACATGTAAAATAGTATTCTGTACATTACTTTATACTGTGCCCGGGAACAGCATAAGAGAAGAAAGCTTCGTGCTTTTCAGTTGGGTATGTGTATATATATATTAAAAGTATTCAGTCATTGTTAAACGTGTCAGCTTTATCGCCCAGCGAATTTGTTCTATGGTATCTAAGTCCTTGCGAAATCGAGCGTCGTCTATTAAATTCTCAATCATAGTCTCCCATTTCTCGACGGCTTCATGCTGATGCATTATTAACAATTCTAATTGGCTCTCAGGCAAAGCTGAATTTGTACCTGAATTTTCTCTTTTATGGCGTACTGTCGCGGTGGCGAACACGGCCATGCAATATTTTGATACTATGGCTACATGGCGATAAATACTGTCCAAGTTTTTCTTATCGTGTGGTAGTGTTTTGAGGACATAAAAGAATAGTTTTTCTAAATGCAAGGGAACATGTTGAGTATGTCGGTAATGCTTGTGTTGTTCTTCTACTTTCGAAATGTCTGTATCTGAAACTGCTTTATCGCAAAGTGCAATCAAGAAGGAAGGGTATTTTATGCTTTGCATTAATTGTTGACAAATGTCGGTGCTCATTTCTTGGAAGGGAATGTAGAGTTGCGTCACTAAATCATCCATTTTGGCAATTCTGGCAAAGCAAGAAATGGTGATGAGCTATAAAAGTAGAATTCAATCAGCTTAATATTTGATATTGTGTATTCCCGCCATATAATCACTTTACCATATTCAAAATATCTCCAGTGAGATGTAAGAGGTTCTCATCTTTTTGAGGGAAAGTTCTCAACAAGATTTTGATATAATTATCAAATTTACTAATTCTACTGAGGGCATCCTTTTTCAATGTACGAACGAATATCGCGTCTTGCATGCTAGCTTCGCTGTCTACTCTGTATTTCAAATCAACTTGCAGTACATTGACAAAAAAGTCCAACATCAGTATTCGACACTATGAGTGTAATCAAAAGAGTTGCTCAGTACAACATAGGTTGCAAACATAAATTTATATTGCTCTCCCCTACTTTCGCTTCTAAATTTTGTGCTTCACAGTTCAAGGTACGGTCTGTGAAATTCCAAAAATCACTATAGTTCGCTAATTCCTCGGTATCCAAATCATCATAATCGTCATCTTGTGCTGCTTTAGCTTCTTCTGTCGAGATGAGCTCAAAGTATCTGAATTGATTCCACATTGGGTTGAATATTTTAGGCCCGAATACACTCAAAATATCCAGCAAGATGGCATGTGCTCTTTTACAATGTAGCCAGTGTTCTTTTAATGTCTGCTTTTTTTTGAAACTGTGCTTGGGTTTTAATATGAAATTGATCAGGGCCAGCAGTAATGCACTGAATAGAATGAGTAGGTACATTAAAAATCAATGACTGACGCTCAATAGCTCACATTACATAACTACTTACAATGGTGGTTTTTTACCGGTGCCATAAGCATTTTCAAGTAGTGACATACCCACGTTATCTAAATAAAACAGGTTAGTTTGAATGACGCCTACAAGGTAAAAAGTGCTGAACATCACGATGATCTTACAATGCCCGACTTCGAAGTAATCGATTATTAGCATTTGCATTCTTTTTGAGAATTCAGTGTCTTTTTTTACGGTGTCCCCTAGTTTTGTCTCTAAAGTAACATCATTTCTATACTGAAAGAGTTCCAGCAACAAAGGATTGGAAGCTAAAAGTAGTTTCGCTGGTATTGTCTCTTTTAGGGAAGAGTTAGGACCTTCGACTGAATAGTATACTTCATCGACCTGTTGTTAATCAAGAAAAGTTGAATTAGTTCTCTTGAGTATTCAAGTTGATCATTGCCGATCTATGTTTTACCGTTTCAAAATAGTTTGTAATCGGCATTCAAAAGACAAGTATTACTTCAATCACATAAAGTACAAAAAGGCGTGATTACAGTTACAGTCGTAAAGAAAGCTTTGTGATTTTTTTTTTTTTTTTTTACTTTTTTTCTTTTTTCTAATTGACTATGGCAATTTTTATATACCGCTTAAAGCAGATACCTGGCATAATTTCCATTTGATCTGCTTGAATACCTATTTCTGGCAGGTTATTTTGCACAGAGCAAGAACGTTTATTTGTCAAAAAGGAGATTCATTTTAGATGGGATTGATTAACAATGGTAACAATTACAAATTGATAGAGAAAGAAAAACAGAAAAAGAATTATCTTTTTTTATCAACGATGAAAGAGCCTTTGAACATATCAACAGTCCTACCGCTCAAAAGCTATCAGTAGAGTAGCATGCTAAAATCATCTCGAAATGACAAGGTTACGTCTGCGGTATCCTGAGCAATTTATCCACCATTACAGCTTTAGCGACCGTACTAAAGTTTACCTGAGTACAGACCCCATTTTCAGAAACAGCAGTTCTTTACAGCAAAATCAGAATAGCACCGTCGGGCCTTACAGTTGTTACTGCACAACATTACAGTCGAAGCTGCAACATTTGAAACACTTTCGTTGAGCAACATAAGGTGATGCCAAAGTTGTTAACGACTATAATCACATCAAATGGAAGACAGTCAATAAAATGCGGCAATAAAATCTCTCAAATCCATGGAACGATTTAGGCAAGCATAATTTAAGCAAAGCTTTCCTCAATATAGTCTGGTAAGCCAACGTTCCCGCAAAAAGGATAAATAATGTATATTATCCCCTGACAATGGCTTGCCAGTGTGGGAAGGGAATACTGGTATCAGTTTCTTGAGATATAGACTCAGAGAGCCATACCATGATACTATCTGGGTTTTAAGGTGCTATCAAGACGGCCTTGGTGTAATGGGTCTACACCACTTCATTAGGAGGCCTATCAGGGCACCCAGGGTCCTCAGTACACCTCAGCCTAGCATAGCCAAATGTTACAAGTGTATTGCAAAATATATTTGAGCCTCGTGTTTTTGTACCAACTTTTATAAAAGACAAATACCGTCCAAAGTAATCTTTGTCATCTTGAAAATTCTAAAAGATAAATAGATGAAGACGGGAAACAGCAGATAACTCTTTCCTTTCTCTTTCAATGATGAAAAAAGTATTTCAGCGGCTCACAGGGGTTTTTTTTCCTTAGAAAGATATTAAGATTCTCGAAAGTTGGAGGATTCAAATCCGCTTGCAAAACAGCAGGCAAGCCTTTTATTTTTTGCTCTACTTCAGTGCCTTCATTATGATTTAGGTGGACCCGACGGGTTTCAGCTCAGCTATGGATGTAGCATCATTTCAGATTTTCCGTATTATTATGGCGCGCAGTGTAATGGCCTTTATGAGTCGATTAGCGTATTGGCTCATGGGGCTTGGAAAATAGTTTCTTATTGTCATAAAAGGATCAATCGCTTGTACTGCGCTACTTTATATTTTCTTTTTTTTTTTAAGCGTCTACTATTTCTTTACGTAAAATTAAAAAAATCGGCAATCGGCCACCCACAAAATATAAAATGGAGCTATTTTTATCCATCTCCCGAAAAAGAATTCCAAAACCTTTCAGTGTATCTAATGGTTTATGTTATATACTTTTTGGCCCTTTTAAACAGCACTTTTTTTTTATTTATTTTTGGTAACCTCTTCTTTTTTTTTTTTTTTTTTTTTTTTTTGGTCATTTTCTCCAGTTATTTCAAGATTGTCGTTTCCATTACTCTCCCTTTCTGTCATTTAATTATAATCATTCGTTCTTTTTTGTATGTTCGATGCACCTTCAAGCACAATCTTATGTTCTTTAAACAATTTATTAGATCATCCGAAAGAGTATTTAGCGGATGTTTGCTTTAAATTTGACAAAGATGAAGTCTGGGCTCACAGAGGTAGGCTATGGATATTTCATCCTCTGCTTGTTTTCTTGCAAGTAGTCTAGACTAATCCCCTTTTTTTTCACAGCCATCATTCTAGCTCGAGCGCCCAAAGACTTTGTTACGCAATATTTATCAGATCTTTTGAAAGAAAATGCTGAGGTGGAGTTGCCAATACAAATGGATATTAGTCATATCATTCCTCAAGACATCTTCCAATCTGTACTTCGTTTTTGGTATACGGCGTCATTAGAAAAGTTTGCATCGCGTCAGTCAAGCTTATCAGATTTAACATCGACATATACCCCTTTGGATACCTCACCGTTCCTATCGCCTGTGAATGAAGATACAGCCTCTCCATTGGAGGATGCTTCTTCCTCCGCTCTATACACTAGCATGGCAGCAAAGATCCAACAACTGAGTGAAGCATTAGGTGTTGAACTGCTTCCAGCGTCCGATCCATCTCTATCAGCGACGACACAACTCATCAACGACATGGAAGACCTCCGTCATGACAAGATAGCAGCCGATGTCACCATTTCACTTATATCTTTTGATGCAGAGGACGCCGACCCGACAGCATCGAAGAAGGACAGCATTCCCTGTCTCTTTTCGACCTCACCTGAAAACCATACGTACAAGATAGATTTAGCAGCCATTGCATCTTTTAAAGCACATCGATGTGTGTTAGCCGCGCAGTCACCGTATTTTCATGCACTCTTTTGTGCTCAGTTCCAAGAAGCGTCCAGCACGGTGGTGCATTTCACGAACGACCTGTTCAATGAAGACATCCTTGACTGCCTGCTCCACTTTCTTTACACCGACAGAATTACAGTGACACCCCTGGCACAGCTGAATGCCAAGCCAACCACGCAGTTCCATCAAAAGGCGCAGCGAAACAAGCATACGCTCCGTGTGTTGCAAAAAGCATTCTATGCAGCCGATTATCTCGGACAGAGGGAGAGCTTTGGAAAAGCGCTGCTGCATGCGATGGAGACACTGTGCCATCAATTCAAATGCGTGTGCGCCGACTGTGCTATACTGCTACCGTCCATGCTGGCATGGTCTGACAAGCAAGTGGACACGGTGCCCAAGTTGAGACGCACGTTGATTTTGCTGTATTCCGATCCTGTTCATTCTCTTCATTCGCTTTGGTCTCAACGTCCGTTTGCGATGCTTGTCACATCGCTCGTGCCGTCTCCGGCGGGACTGGGAGAAGACACACTGGCTGCCGTGGTCAAGCACGAGCCGCTGTTTCGAGCAAGATCGCCGCTGACGCTCGTGCACGAGATCATTGAAAGATGCTTCCTCAACGTCACGAAGCACAATGCGATCCATGCGCTTCATTCCATGCACTTGTGTCTGTCGCAACTGCGATCGGCCGACCCCCATCCGTCTTGGTCGCGTGCCACGTTGGCGTTGATCCACCCTCTGTTGCACTACACGGTCAGCATGGTGTCGCAGTTCTTTGATTTTTATTGCGTGGAATACCCGATCCTGCTCTCCTGTGTGGACGGCATCGGCGGCGGGTTTTCGGTGGACTTTCTGGACTTTTTATTGCGCCATGTGTTGAATGAAGGCATTCAAGAGATCAATGCGGGAGTGATTTACCAGGGCATCCGTCGAGATTTGATTGGCCGACAGGAAGTCGTGCAGAATATGGCGATTGACGATGTGCTGGTCAAAGGCAGGCAGCACTGTGCTGCCTATCTCGCTCAACATTGGACGAAAGTGAAAGCGGTAGGCGGTCTTCGACCTTTGGAAAAGGCGACTTTACGGCAGCTAGCAGAAGATATCAATGTACCTTATCGATCCTTGACGGGACCTTTCGACAGTGAATTTGCCAATATTTTCAGCTTCAAGCCTCGCAAGCATAAAAAGAACTTTAGCAGCAGCAACAGCAGCAGCAGCAGTAGTAGTAGTAGCAACAGTTACAACAACAACGACAGCAGCAGCAGCAGCAGCAGTAACCGTCGTCGCTATTCGACGACGGTGTCCTCATGGCAAGAGAATAAGAATGCCTCTTTCACTGAAGCCTATTCTCGTCGTCTCTCCTTAGGAAGCTTGGTCACTCGGTCGAGTGAATCATCGCAGCACCGCGCAGCCAAAACAAGGCCTCGGGCTTTATCGTCAGAATCTGTGTTATGTACCAGTCTACGTAAATACCACACCACACCTGAACAGATGATACCTGATGACCGGGAAAACCAGCCTCTCATCAACCTGCTGGCCTATGAAACCATGGAACGAGGGAGACAATTGGAGGAGCAAGATCGTCTGGAGAGTGAAGAACGTGGGATGCACTCGTTATCTCACGAGGAGTTGACAACCTTTAAAAACACGTTAGCCAACACGCCTGACATCATTGACCGACCGATGCTAAGACGATCGTCTTCTTTCACGTCATTGACAGACCGACTATTGCCTTTGGACATTTCGTCCTCCCACCCTGTCTCTCGTCCGCAGCAATGGACCTCTTCTTCCTCTTCTACTACTTCTTGCTCTTCGTCTCCTACGCCTTCCGCCGCTGCCACCCCGACCCTATCGAGCTCGCCGGAAGCACGTCCCACACGGCTCAAGTTCGAACTGCCCGTGCCACCTATCCGATCCAAATCACCCAAGACGACGACACCGATGGCTACGGGAGGATCTGCTTATCTGACGCCTCGAGTGTCTACAAAACAGAATCGAAAGCGCAAAGGAAGCAAAAGCCGCAAGTCAAGATGGAATATTGGCAGCAGTAGTGATGCAAGTGATGAAGAGGACGTGTCGCCAGAGGTAGGCGATAAAGTTGAGTTACTCCATCGTCCGCTGCCTACTTTGGGTACGATCAAGTATATTGGACCTGTCCAGTTTGCTGAGGGGCCTTATGTTGGTGTAGAGCTTGAAAGTCGATGTAAGTATTTCTCGAGAATTGTCACCTATAGGGGCCATGATTCATGAATTTCTTTTTTTTTTTTTTTTTTTTTTTTTTTTTCTGTGTAGTGGGCAAAAGTGATGGCTCTGTAGATGGTGTACGCTATTTCCAAACGGATCCTCAGCGAGGGCTTTTTGTTAGACCTGATGATTTTATCATTCTTTCCTCCACGAGAGCATAAAAGTGGTTGGGCTTTTTTTCCTCTCTATTTATACCATTTCTCTCATAGACAAATAAAAAAGAAAAGAAAAAGGTCTCATAGTATTTTAAAATGCCTCCCCCTTTTTTCTTTCTTTTTATTTTTGAATGATTGTTCAACTATCATTTTTCCTGTTTTATTGAGAGGAGCTGGATATTTTCATTAGTAAATGGTTAAATACGACGTGGGATGCTTTGTTATAATAATGCTTCGGATGGTGGGTTTTTATTCTTCTTCAGCGGGGGCAGCAGCAGGTTCTTTGGTGTCCATGGCATTGTTATCTTCTGTATCTAAGAAACCGAGAAATAGATAAAGTAAGCCATAGGCCCATTTTTTGACGTTTGGTGGGTTGTTTGTTTGTTTGTTTGTTTGGGGGTTTTTTTTTTCTTTACCTTCAGCGATATCTGATGTCCATAATGTCAAGTTGTCTCTTAATAGTTGCATGATCAACGTAGAGTCTTTGTAGGATTCTTCACTCAAGGTATCGAGCTCAGCAATCGCATCATCAAAGGCTTGCTTGGCCAATTCACAAGCTTTGTTGGGTTGGTTGAGAATTTCATAATAGAATACGGAAAAGTTCAAAGCAAGACCTAAACGAATAGGATGTGTTGTGGCCAACTCAGCAGCAATCTCGGAAGCTTTCTTGTAGGCTTCGTGGGCAGCATCAGCAGAAGCTTTGCGTGCATCACCGGTGGCGTATTCAGCAATATAACGATGATAATCACCTTGCCTACAAAGCAAAGAAAGTGTTATCTATGACAACAGTTCCTTTCCCTTTTCCTTGGCACGATTTCTTTTTTTTTTTTTTTTTGCGGAAGAAAACTTACATCTTGTAATAGAACACTTTAGCTTCACCTGCTTCGGCAGAAGGGATTAAATAATCCTTCAAGAGTGCTAAAATGTCATTACAGACATCGTATAATTCTTGTTCAATCTTGTTTCTGTATGCTTTGATCTTTTCAACTTGGGCTTCGTGACCTTTATTTTCTTCCTTTTGCTCAATAGAAGACACAATTCTCCATGAAGCACGACGAGCACCAATCACATTTTTGTACGCGACAGATAAAAGGTTACGTTCTTCAACACTCAGATCGACTTTTAACTATAGAAAATAAGATGGTTAACGATAAACTGACACTGTATCACAGGGACAAATAACAAAAAAAAATAAATAAAGTAATGACTGTACATGAACAACATCCTTCATATAGTTGACCATTTCTATGAGGCAAAATAGTTGTGATGAGTTCCATGAAGCACTGTAATAAGCACACTCTTCAGCATCACGTCTTTTCTTCTTTCTCCCCTGATGCTCCCTAGCACCTTCCCCTTTTTCACATTTGCTATTTTTCTTTGTTGAACAATGAGGTTTCCTATCTCTCCCCCTCTCCCTCGGGAGAGTATCCGAAAAAGCAGCTTTTCTATCCCCGCTTTTTAATGTAAATCTTTCTTTTTGGTAGTAAACTCCCCTCCCCTCCCCTCTCCCCATCCTGCGAACTGTAGCGCCTAGTGTCCGCCTCCCCTGGGTTTCACTTGGCTTACCATCGTAACGTTCAGCTTGTTCGGCAATCTTTGCCATGTAGACCTTTTTTTATGTTGGAATATTTTTAAACAAAAAGAGGGTCAGTCATGTTAAGCCGAGAAAGGGATGGAAAGAAGGCTGCTTTAGGTTGTACAAATTTCGCATTCTCAAAAAGAATAAAAAGAATAAAAAAAAAAAAAAAAAAAAAAAAAAAAAAAAAAAACCCAAGAAATGAAAAAGTTCCCCCAAGTCTTTTTCAATCTAGTTTACCTTATCTTCACGTTCCTGAAGTAGTAGAGATGTCAGTCTAAAACAGAATTCGCGTTTTTCTTTCACGCACTACAAAACACTTACAGTAGACATTTTATCAAAAAGTTCAATATCGGAGGGGTTTTGTGTTTAAAGGAAAAAAATAGAAAAAGAAAGAAAAAAAGGGAAAAGAGAGAAATGATGCGAAATTTAATTGTTCTGTGAACAAAAAAGAAAAAAAGAAGTTGAGTTGGGTCCCAGCCCACAAAAAAAAAAACACGCAGCAGCACCAACAACAACAAAGGAGAAAAGAGGGTGTGTGTGTAAAAAACCCAAAAAAAAAAGCCGTGTGTGTGTGTGTGTGCGTGTGTGTGTGTGTGTGCGTGCGTGTGTGTCTTGTATGTATTGTGTGTTTCCCATTGCACGCACAAGAGAGGTACGTGGCATTTGACGGAGTTTCATAGTCGCTGATTACAGGTTGTTTTCCAAACTTGGAAGTGTTCATAGAGAGCCAAAATTTATGCAAGTTAAATTTGGTTAAAAAAAACTGTTCCAAACCCATATTTTTTGTAGCAAGATTTTCAATTTTTTTTTTCGTATAGAAACAGCTCTATTCCTCTATTATATAGCTAAAAGATGGGGTGTACGCATTATCATACTCTGGAAAAAGCTGACCTAATGTTGGTTCATTTCACGCGTGCAGATAGTGAACCCTGTATTGCAAGGAAAAAAGAGTAAGCGAAATTTTCAGGTACAGATAAAACCCGATCTGATAAAAAAAAAAAAAAAAAAGAAAAAAAGCTGCCAAACAAAACCGCTAGGAAGTCAAGCTCACAAAGTTACAAACCTTTGTTCTTGATATATTAAACTTATTAAATGCCTAGTTTGTATGGAAATACTTTAAAAAATGTGCATAAAATACGACATGTTGAAAGGAAGAAGGGGTTTGAAAACAGGCTTCATTTGAGATTTATACTTGTTCGGGGACAAAAAATTCAACCGTTTTTTTTTTATTCTTTTAGTTTAACTTGTAAAAGAACTGCATCAACCTTAAACTCGACGTTCTCCTTTTTTTTAAAGAAAAAAACAAAAAAAAAAATAATCCTCAAGGAGTCAAAAAGCTGAACTAATAAAGAAGAAATGCAGTTATCCATGGACAGTCGTCCTTTGCCAACATTTATTACTTTGCATGATGCCATTATTGACTCACCTGTATATCGCTCAACGTCTTTGCAGTTTGATGATCAGTTGGATTTGGTTGAAAAATGGCTAGAGTCTCTCTCTAAGCATATGAAGTCTTATGTCGACAAGATGAATAGTATGTTGGGCGTTTTTTTGGGTGAAAAAAAAAAAGACATCCCTAGTTATTTCTTGCCCTTGATTTTTGACAAAGAACTCTCTTATTGTTTGGGAATAACTGCAGAATTCAATTTAGAAACAAACCTATTATGTAAAAAAGTGATACCCGTTGGCATCAACGACACAATGATAGGTAATAGCATTCAGTTTTTGAGTATGTTGGAACACAGTTATCTCATTTGCTTGCATCTATACTGACTCTAGATTCCACTTTCACTGGTGCTGTCATAAAGAGCTTTTCAGATGCATTACAAACAAGTTTGGCCTTCAAAACCAAATTAGTAAGCTTTTTTTTCTTATTATGCCGTTGACATCATGGCTCTTATTCATGACACAACCTTCTGTCTCTCTATGTGTATTTATTGCTCAGGTAGCCGATCTTGAGGATACATTTATACAGCCTCTGCAGCTTTTCATCAAAACGCAAGTGAGAGAATTTAAAGAATTCCGCAAACAGCACGAAAAGGCATTAGAGCGCTATGAAGCACAACTGTACAAATATACCAGCCAGAGTAAAATGAAAGAGGCTTCGGCCGTGAGAGAGGAAGCATTTCGGCTTTACGAAGCAAGGAAATCTTACGTGCGAATGTCAAGTCAACATGTTGCCCGAATTTTGCATTTCCGATCCTGCCTAGAGCATTTTATCGTTGACAAGTTTTCCATGGCAGCCAATTGCCATTTAAAGGATTTCGAAGGCGGAAAAGAAACATGGGCAAAATTAAAGTCGACTGTAGTCTCTTGGAAGCAATGGCTGGCAGATGTAACAAAACAACAAAAATCTCTCTCTCTTTGAAAGGTATTCTACGTGGTTACTCTTTGTCTGTTAACCCCCCTCTTCTCCTCTTTCTATTTAGGACAAAGAGACCTGTCAATATCAACTACAACAATTTCAGTCATCGCGTGCAGTCATGGAATATGATTATATCAACACCATTCGCCCAGTGCGTGATTTGGAAAAATACAACGTCGCGTATGCTCCTCAAGCCATCTCCAACAGTCGCCATTCTCTGGACTATCCATCCACCACAGTAGATCAACCTAGCTGTAAATGGGGTTATTTATATGTGAAAAGCATCAAGTCCCCGTGGGCCAGAAAATGGTTTTTCTTGAACGAGGGTTGCTTTGGATCTGTGGATATACGTTCATCCCCAAAGAACAAAGGAGCAATTACAGTGAGTGATGGCTGCGTCTCTGTTCTATTAAGTGATGTCAAGCCAGTAACCGATACCGTAGATCGACGCCATTGTTTTGAAGTCTTGTGTGCGAATCAGTAGGTCGTTGTTGCATCTCTTGTCGAGCACCTTAAAAGCAGGATCTGATCACATTTCTATTCTTTCTCCCTCCCCTCCCACCACAAACACAGACCATCTTTCACGCTTCAAGCAGAAACAGAGCAAGAAATGCATGAATGGCTAGGTGCTTTTGAAAGTGCCAAACAACGTATGTTACAGCAGGAACCTTCGGACGTTAGCCACACTACACCTACCTATCTACCGATGATATCATCCTCTCCACCTGACACAGTCGCCGCTGACCATCAGCACGATAGTACAGAAAACGAGGGTCAAACATTAACGACGATCAGATTAAACCCACCTACAAGCATGCTGGATAGCTTACTTGTCATTTCCTCCGATATCTCCCATCTCTCCAGCAAAGAAACACCAAAGGACGATCGTCCACAGAATGGATCAAGAACGTCCGCCACCGTCGTTGTTTCTACCATAGGCGCCGAAAAGCAGTTGACACAGTTGAATCAGTCTCCGTCCTTAACTCCTTTACTTGTCATCGAAGCAACAAAGACCGCGCTCCATTTACTTGCTTACACCAACTCTGTGCCCTCTTCGCCTACAAAACAGACATTTTCGCAACCAACAAATTCCATTGATGCTACTTTAGCTGAGCATGATAGCAATGATACCAGCCCTGAAAATCCAGACGACCGTGATTCCCATCCTAGTGCTACTAACAATCATTCCTCTTCATCGTCGTGGGGCATACCGTGGGCGTTGGTGCCGAGTATGTTTTCCTTATCTCATTCTGCCGCCATAGAGAATGACTCTAACGGCAATGCATCCGTGCCAAATTCACCTACTTTGTCTTCTCATCCAGATGTGGATCAAGAGAGTTTTTATCAGCGGCAAATTTGGCCAAAGAAAATAGACCAACTGAATATGCTGAAGACAGACGTTGTAGGCTACTCGTCTCATCTAGACAGTTGTAATAAGGAACTGAGAGTCCTATTTAATGGAGTAGACCCGAATGAGATAGTACTTACCGGTAGGTTCTTCCATCCCTTTCTTTCTTTTTCTGATACTGAATGAAGAGATGATTGATGCATTCTCTCAAATACAATATATATATATATATATATATATATATATATATACGCATGTTGACAGATTTTATTGGTATCTTGAAGAGAATGCCGCCTACGGGACATGCTGCTGATGTTGTCGGTCCCTCTGAGACACCGCCTGTATCAGTCAATGCACAACCCAACAACAACATCATAGATACGTTGGAGCAAGAGCTCGACTCTCAATTATCGGCCACTGGCCATCAGCAGCCTACCTCGAAATATGGCTACACATATACCGGACATGCCTTCATCACACAATCCACCTTTTGGTTCTATAGCTGTATCCTGATGAACTGTATCAATACTGTAGCAGTCGGCCTCAACGATATAAAAACAGTTCGCTTAGCGCGTGATCCTTCTATTATAGACAATGGATCCAATTCCAACCTTGTACTTGTACTAGAATTAGCCAACAATAATAGTGCAGATCACGAAAGTAAACAGCTCATTTTCTCAACTTTAATGGATGATATTGAATTGGTTGCTGAAAGGTTAAAGTTCATTCTATCAAACGCGAAGAGCTCTAAGGTACTTTAGGGGAGAAAAGATGGGAGAATTTCCATGCGAGGGGAGAGGGGAGTCTTATAGCATCAGTGACTGACTGAATATAACGTAATGATGATAGCCTGAGCCTGCACAGATTGTCTACGATGTGATTCAAAACATGTCTACCGCTGTCAATAGGAACACTACAATAACTAATTACTCAAACCAAAATATACATAAGCCAATCGTGGATCGTGTTCGTTCCGCTTCTGATATCACCAGTGAGAGCATGTCTTCTTCCTCTTCACCTGCCCCTGTGTTGCCATCGGCTACGGCTTCATCGATCACTTTAGAATCTCCTAAGCCAAGTCGATCTACTGATACAAGAAAAAAACCAGCGAAAACGCCACGCAAACATTCGGCACCTGTTCAACCAGGTAGTAAATCGGGTGCGTTGGCGGCAGCCATGATGGCAGCGACCGTAGCAGGTGGTAGCGGATTTTTCGACGCAGGAAGAAGCTTTCAATCGCCATCGCATGAGCTTATGCCTCTGTCTGCCAAGCGACATGACGAAACGAAATTCAACAGCAACAATGGAAATAATAACAATAGCAATGGCAAATTACCCTCGTCAAAAAAGAGTTTGTTTTCTACGCCTAATGACAGTAAGCATTCAATGACGTCCTCTTCCGTTGAAAACGGCATCCACACAGTGCCTAAATCAGCAGTAACAGCAGCAGATACCGTCTCACCAAAAAGCCGTAAGTTCATATATTTTATCTCTTTCTCTGGCAAAAGACAAAATATCCTTCTACTACAACCTTCTTGTTTGTTATCAAACGTTCATTAGCACACGCGCCCCCTGATACCTTTAAAGCACCAGTAGGCCCTGTTTCTTGCGGATGTGATAATCATTTAGATAAACTTGAAGCTGAATTAAAACTTCCTGTATCTGCAAGGCATCTATATTACATTTTATTCTCTGGTGCTAATCCTAACTACAGGGATATTTGGGAAAAGAAAACCGCTGGAAATAAAAGTCGAGGCATGTTGAAACTTAACAAAAAAGAAATGTATTCGTACGAATATAGCTTGTGGCTCGTTGCTAATATCGTAATTGAATCTTTTTTTTCCCTCTGTCTCTCTCTTTCTCTCTGTCTTATACATTATAGATTTGACAATCACTAAATGGGAACCTGTCAATGGAAAGAAAGAGCGCACCTTGAAATATATCATCCCGGTAAATAATGCTATCGTCAAACTCAAAGAAGCCGAAGTCGTAGAGAAACAGGTCTTAGAGAAAGAGGATAATTATCTGTAAGTGATCAGAAAATCTAACCAGCTCATATTATTTCAATGTGATATCAATTATTTTCTTTTTGATGGATGATGGAATAGATGTTATGTCGTAACAACATCAACCAAAGCGGCAGAACTTCCTTATGCCGATGCATTTGTACCGCATGTGAAATACTGTATTACTTGGATTAGCCCCCACCATTGTAAACTCTGTTGTTATACAGGTGTCAAATTCTTGAAAAATATCTTGGTCAAAGGCATGGTGAATAAGACAGCAATGAAGGGTATGGCAGAAAATTTAGGCGTCTTTACTTCCATCATTAAGAGAGAGGCAGAGAAGCAAACCCTTGTGAAAACTGCAGGACATCATCATCGTGCGCAAAAGGAGACTGGAAAAAAATCTGCAGAAAAAGAAAACACGCAGCAACCATCAAGCACGTCTGGCACGTCGAACGATAGCCACTTTAAGCAATATGACATGACTTTCTCTTCACTTGTTGAGTGGCAGAAAGAATTAAAGAAGTACATTGATGTTGTAGGTGACATTGTTCAAGGACTCCCCCCTATCATAAAAATAACGGCAGGGTCTCTCCTCCTTCTCTTCATGATCGTTGCTTGGTTTACTATTTCGTTCCGTGACCACCCAACTTCCATGGCTTCCAGTGCTGATAAAACATGCGGAGCAACAAGCGTTATCTCTCGCGCAGTCTATTTGAAAGAGGTTGATGAGAGCTTGCTACGTGCAATCAATCAAACCGACCTGAATTATTCAGAAAGGTAACAGGTACTATGAAGCTCCTTTCGCTTTTCAAGCATGTATTAACCTTACTACATTATACAACACGCCAGTTTCCGCTTATTTATGGACTCAAGGACGAATAGCCATGATCAGCAAGAAGACCCTGTTACAGGTACTAAGATAAATCAGCACCGTTGGTATTATTCCGGTCATCATCAATTTGCCACCGATATCTTATTCAGTCGACAAAGGTTGGCTATGGTTCGATACGATATGCTGGTGTTATTTCAGCTCTTAAACGACTTGGATGTTCAACTTTTACAAGATGAATATGTGAACTGGTTGATGGACCGAAGAATGTTCTGTCGTGATCCTGATACAGACTTTGTCAAAAGTCATTGTGACGATGTAAGACGACAATTAAAATTGTACTCTACACAATCACATCAAAACTTGGCATACAATTAGATACAGTAATATGTTGTAGATGGATTAAATCGTAATATTCCCACCTATATGGTTAAACAAATCGCTGCTTCTAGGGATGCAGCTACCAAAAATATGAACATCATCTATTGGTCGACGAGTATTACAATCGTCCATATCAGGATGTTTTAGCCTTTGTAATATGTTTTGCTTTTGGTGTTCAATAAAAAATGAGCTGCTAAAAAAGTACTCTGACTTACTTTTCAGGTCGGTTCACTCCTAGAACAGAAAGCCCAACAAAGTATCTAAACATGATCTCAACAGTTATATAGCGTAAAGGTTGTATTCAAGCGCTGACCTAGTAGTGATCACTAAGTGAGTAGAAACAAAACAATTGCATACTGTTAGTAATAAGTCAGATAAAAGCAAACATTTCCTCTGTTGGGTGATTTACCGATACGTTTGCCCCTGTCGAGTATTTTTACCATGCAACTTTCCCTTACAGTGGCAATAAACTTATTTCTGCCCTTGATTATACTTTTTTAAATATTTACCGATGAATTGTTAGGCTGACCTGAGCAGATGATTACTTGCAACTGCCATAGGTGGCCTATTTTCACTTTGAAGACTTCAAGCTATTACAATTTTTAATGTGTGTATTCGGGGACACATAGCCAACTGTTGTTGCTATTTGATTGAATAATTGACGGTACATAATGTAGATGTGTAAAGTTGCTGTCATCGCGTTCTGCGTATTGGCTATGCTGAATCAAATATTTTTATAGAGTCGCAACTGAGTTCGCAATACAATTAATTCTACTAGTATCTTTGATAGGAGCATAAGGTATGATACCAGATAATTACTTTCATAGGTTTTTATTTCTCAAAACTGCAACAAAAGTTTTCAAACTTACTGTGACGGAAAAATGTACGTATTATCTCAGGTTGCTGAAAACTCCTTCGTTTTTCTTCAAAAATGAGTACGGAAAAGATTGTATGGAAGACAGCTTGTCCTGATGTTTCCTCATTTGTAATATAGTATGTTCTTTCCTGGTCTCCCAACAGTATTTGGGTTTTTACTTGTAGTGTCTTCTCGATAACAGCAATAGGTTTTGTAGCTCCATATATAACTCACCTAGCAGAAGTAGAAACAGCCATCGTCATCATAAACGCGTTGCTCCTTAAATTTCTATGCATATTCGATCCGAGCCAATTAGGAAGGCGTACCGGACAAATAATATTGTATACTTTTGAAATGAAAGAAAGAACGGTAAGAGAAGAAGGACACCTGAGTTGCACAAATCATAAACTTTAATAAAATGTAACAAGAGAAAATTTCTGTAAATTTATTTAATGAAATAGGTAGAAATCAAAGAAGAAAATAAAGCAGGCTAACCTAAGGGATATTGAAAGATAGAATACAAGGAACGGACGCACATACCATTTTATTTTATTGTGTTTAGGCTTTGTGGAACAAAGCTATGTAGCTCATATTAAATGAATAAAAAGATGTGGGCATTTACTTTTCACCTATTGTTGATTCATTACCTCTCCACTCTTTTTGATTGTTTAAACGTTACCCGCACCCTCCTCACCCACCCCCACCATTCCTTAACATCATCAGATATCAATAACAATTTTATTGAAACCGATTCGATGCAACTTGTCAGATCCATCTTTTCAATTACTGCCGTAGCTCTCACCAGTGCATCAGCATTTATTCTTAGTGATGGCATTGCCGTCGTCCACGGAAATTTATCCGTTCAGGCTGTTAATGACAACCACCGCTATGCTAGTAGCTATCTTGAGCCTTTTGCGCCAGAGGATGCTGTCGAAAAACCTTTCGAATTAGTGGACGATCATGAAGATCTGGTGACTAACGCCAAAGGGCATCTCGTTTCCCTGAGGAAACGCGGTGATGATTGTCAGAAATATCACAAAGGTTTTTATATTTCTCATTTTATAGACTTTTGCTGAATAGCGTACTTATCAATCAAAGCACCTATACTTGTGATTGAATAGTCGTTCCTGGTGATAATTGCTACCTTTTAAGTCTGAAGTACGTTGTTGATTTGGCCAAAATCCTTGAATGGAATCCGCACATCAACATGCAATGTACCAATCTCTATCCTGGAAAATCATACTGTGTAAAGAAGCACAATGAATCAGCCTTAGAAACTGCTTGCATTGAATCGTACTTTGGTAAACTTGTAATAAACGCGCTTGACTCTTTAAAAATAGATGGCTTTACTTCTTACAAATCTTTGCTCTATTGTATTCTTAGTTAAGAGTTCTGACAATTGTATTTCTGTCGCTAAAGCTCATAACCTAACTCTTGCTCAATTCTATGATTTGAACCCTTCTGTCAACCGCGGCTCTTGTGATAACTTGTTGACTGGTAGATTCTACTGTATTAGAGGGGAATCAAAAAAATCTATCGCTGAAAAGATCGTAGAAAAGACTACTAGAAAGAAAGGTGCGCAAAAGAAGGGCCACGGCAACACTTTCAGTCGTGAAACGAAGAAGACGACTCTAAGAACAATTCCCAGTGCTATTACTACCGTTACTACGACTGCACCTACCTCTGTTTATAGTAAGCCTACCCATATCAAGCAAGCCATTCATAAACTCGACGGTTTAGCAGAAAATGAAGAAAATTACGAGCAAGAAGAGAAAAATCAAGAGCATAAGAAAAAGGAAGAAGCTGAAAAGAAACATCAAGAAGAAGAAGCTGAAAAGAAACGTCAAGAAGCGGAAGAAACTGAAAAGAGACGTCAAGAAGAAGAAGTTGAAAAGAAACATCAAGAAGAAGAAGCTGAAAAGAAACGCCAAGAAGCGGAAGAAACTGAAAAGAGACGTCAAGAAGAAGAAGTTGAGAAGAAACGCCAAGAAGAAGAAGCTGAGAAGAAACGTCAAGATGAAGAGGCGGAGAGGGAGAAGGAAGTTGAAAGAAAGCGTAAAGAAGAAGAGGCTCAAAAGAAACATGAAGAAGAAATTGCGAAGAAGAAGGAGGAAGAAGCAGCAGCCGAAGAAAAAGCTATGGATAAAAAGGAAGAAGAAGCGAACAAAAAAGATAGCCGCAGACTCCTTCAAAAAGGCTCCGATTTTACATATTACTGGATTGCCCATCCTGAAGACTACGACGACAGCGGTAAATCCATAACCATTCGTACTTGTGAGGGTAAGAGTCTTGGTTCTGTTCCTGAATCCTATGCTGATGCACTTGTTATGGAAGGTACAGGTGTCATAGGAGATAAGGTCATCAACTTGGGTGGTTGTTCTTGCAGCAATTACAAGTGCTTTATGGAAGTTGATAAGAAGGAGGACCCATTTGGTTTAACATGTAAGATTCTATATTATTGCAGTATATAGCAGACACATTAAAAGAAAGTCGATAGCAAAAAGCTGATGATTATTTTACACAGCTTTCGGTACTCCACTTCGTCCGTTCATTACGATTGCTGCTAACGATATTAAGAGAAACACCAAGGTTTATATTCCCCAATTGGTTGGCTGGGAGATTCCTGGTTCTAGCAAGAAACATAATGGCTGTTTGCTCATTGATGGTAAGTATTAATTCAGTTATAAATTATGTACGCAGACTACTGATACAGTAACTCTGTTGTTTGCTCTTGCATACCGCTATCTAGATCAAAGTTGGAGTTTCACCGATAATCATATCGATTTCTACGTCTATCGTGAAAAAAATTATCATACATTAAACAATGAACATAAGATCAATTCTGTCGATATTTATGAGGGTGGTGATTGTAACTTGCTTAACTATTTGTAACCCTACTATTTTCAATAAAATACGATGATTCATCACGAGACGTGGTTCTTCACCATTTACGGAGTTCATCTGGGAACACATTTCAAAGCTACGGGGCTTTAAAAATGGTTAGCGACTGTAGGTCAGCTTTCAAAAAAATAAAAAAATAAAAAAATAAAAATTTAAAAAAAAAACGCCTATAATGCTCAGTTTGCGAACGAGCTTTTCACATTTCTTTCTAGTATTTATAACCAATTGCTCTCAAAAAGGATATGGTGGAGCCGAAAAAAAGAATCCCTGAAGAATATGATTACTATAAAACCTATATACCACAAGGCGGATTGGAGCTTCCACGTAAACTATTCCATTGTTCTATAGGTCCGTGTTTTGTGTAAAATTGTTTACAGTTCCAAATTAATCAAGTACGAAACTATATGTTGTATTAACTCGTAACTGTTTTTTGATCATTATACATTCAGGATTCCTTGTTGTTTATCTATACACTCATGGTGTAACAAGAGAAGATGTTTACCCAATTTTGTCTTTGGCATTATCTATTGTGTATTCTGGTGAACTGTTACGGTTCAACTTTGAGTGGTTTAATAAGATCTATTGTAAGGTACTAGGTTCTATTATGAGGCCTACAGAGGTCCGCGACCGGTTAAATGGCACTGTATACTATTTGATAGGTAAAACGAACAAAAAAAGGTCTTGAATGATATATGCTAGCTTGCATGAACCACTTTTGCTGATGCTTTTCTTTCTTTGTCCCTCCTCTTTTCTTGATTGTATTTAGGTTGCATTGTTGCGCTCTATTTTTTCCCAACAGATCTAGCAGCACTCTCTATCCTTTACCTCAGCTGGGCAGATCCTATTGCCAGTTTAATTGGAAGATCATTTGGAAAGTACACACCAAAAATAGGAGGATCACACAGTAAGAAGAGCCTGGCAGGGTCTCTCGCAGCATTGGTTACTGGTGCGCTTGTGACTTACTTGTACTTTGGAACTTCCCCGTTCGCAATGTGTGCAACGTCCTACAATGCATTGCTCAGTATTGTGCCCTTGTGGGTTTTGTCTTTGTATGGTGGTCTCGTGGCAGCTTTTAGTGAGGGTGTATCTGATTTATGCCCTTATTTAGCGAATGTGGATGATAATTTGTCTATCCCAGTGATAAGCGTTGTTTTGCTATGGATACCTTTGGTTTGGCTGAGACTCGGGAGTTGAAGACAATACTGTTGACAAACATGCAATACTGTTAAAGATATCCAAAAGAAAACATGACTGATGATGTATCTTTTCTCGAAAATGTGAATGCCTTTCTAATGAAAGTAGGCTCGCCATCTGTTTAATATATTGTATAGACAGCTTCGTTATTTTTACATCTTAATAATCAAGCTAAAGGAACATACTTTAGAACACCATCCTACTTGATCATACAACAAATTTTGCTTTGAGAGCATCTTTTACAAAGAAATATACTCAAACTGTGGCGGTAATCCTTTTGTGTTTTTTAGTAATTTCTTTCCGCTATGTATGCGTAAAACAATAAACAGATTGTTTACGTATACCATTTAGTGTATAGATTTAATTAAAAAGCATTTGTTATAATGTACGTGCGGAATTATATATAATTCTTGCTACTGCCATGTTTGTCTTCTAATAGAAAATACCACCACAAACACAGTGGTTATTTATACTTTGATACCATTGAGCTGAGTAGAAAGGGTCATTCGCCGCAGTTGATGGATTCAATGAAATCAAACTATGATCGCATCTATCGTTTGGTTGAAAAACACATTATTAGGTTGAGAGTTCACTCTTAATAGCACAGAATATTTTTTTCACCTTAGACATCGATAAATTTCGGTTTCATTAAGAGTATTATTCAGCATAGAGGATATATAAGTTTTGCGGATCACATCGTATCTGTCTGGGATACTTTTCCTTACGATGTCTTTTTCAATGTATATGTACGGCTTCGCACATTTATCTTTGAATTCGTTTGCTATTTTCTGTATACCTGGTATTGAATAATCAGTGATAGTTGAAGACAAAAGTAATGACCAGCGATTTTCTAAGTGTTTGATTTAAAGTGAGATAATGTACGGCAACTTTAACTGCATCAGTTAGTAACAAATTGACCGTCTATCTTACCAGTTGTTGTAGTTGTTGGCTTAAGTTCGTTCAATGTGTCAAGGAATTTTATAGTATTTTTTATGTCTATCGTTTGATCGTTATAGATTGCTGATATATGTTTTTGCAATAAAGATTGTGGTTCTGGTAGATGAGTTAGTTGTTGGAAGTTCGATGTAGTCGTAGAGGTATTAATCGTAGTAGTAGTAGTAGAAGGAGTAATCATCATCAGAGCTGTGGTTGTATAATGTAAGAAGTAATGTATCAGCTTCAGGATTTTACATAGTAAAATTCGCGAATCTTGATGAAGCAATAACACAGCGTTATTAGGTTTCTTCAGCATTGTATCGGTTTCTAAAATGAAAACTGCAAATGAGCAAAAAAATCAGCAAAGCTTTGATAGTGAATATGATCTAAAACTTACGAGCATTCTTTGGCATTTTGCAGTTGAATAGTAAATTCCACTGTCGTAAAACCCATTTCACATAATCCATAGTCCATCTGGTCAAAGAGGCTAACGACCATATACTGTTCATATCGAAATCAATGCTAGTTGTTACTCCTGATGGATTGTCATCAATGATAGGTTTCTCAAGGATTGCCTCTATTTCATCGTAGTCTTTGTTAATACAACTGCTGATGAAGCACTCATAAATGATCGGTAGTTGGATTGCTTTCGTCAAATTGATGTACTGTGTCTGGCTGTCTGGCAAATGTTTGTAGATGGTCATTACGAAACCATACGCTTTTTGGAATTGTGGTAGGCTCCATTGGTCGAGGGGCTGGTTTGCATCTAATGTGGCACTTGTCAGAATTTCGCCATTCTTCGAATTGTGATATATTTCATAGGATGTCATAACATCCTTAACTAACTCATGTACTTTTCCTGTCGATTAATTAATATGTTTAAAAAAGCATTATTCAGCCTCTGACCCGAAACATTTCATAAACAAAGATATACCTTTCTGTGCATCTTGTTCTGACATCCGTACTAATTCTGATACAAGGTCGAGATAGTCCATGTTGTTCAATAAACATAGTTTAAGCTTTTGACAAAGTGATACCGCTATCATGGATTTTCCGTTAATAACAGATAATTTTTGTCTTCCAAGATTTTATACATGTGATATCACTACATACTTTCAGCATCTGTAAATGCATCATTTGTTATCCTTGTCACACCCATGTTTGCCGAGGAGTACATATACAATATATGTGTTTCATTAACTGAAAATGTAATATCTGCCACTGGATCATGATAATCATCTGCTGTTTTATGAGGATCAAGTACTTTGATATAATGAGCGTCTACATTTAGAATTCCTTCGATATCTTCATCATATTGAGACATAGACGATAGTGACGCAGGCTCAATATATATGCTTCCATTTGAAAATCCTACAATCACATTTCCGTGGCTGTTCGTTTTCAACGAAGATATATAGTGACCGTCCATTTTGGCCCCAGATTTGAACACGAATGACTGATAAGTGTTATTGATAGAGCCAAAGTTTGTATCGATTGATTGTTGAAGTTCATTCAATTGCCATGACGATATAAACGATGTATATGTTGCCGGGCTGTATTGTTGTTGCTGCTGTTTTTCTTCATAACCCAAACCTATAACAAGTTCAATAGGTGAGGTATTCCGTTTAAATTTAATCTGCGTTACATGATAATGTTGAAAAAAGAAGTTTTTCTGATTCTTAAACTTTAATGATGTTATATGTCGGCATTCAATAGCGCCCTGCTGAAGCACACCATTACCACCTATTGTCGCTTTTCTAGAGGCACTAGGAAACTTGATTTTAATTGCGTGTAATGCTACGAACGTTGGCTGTAGTGATGCGTTATGAGAAGCGAGATAAATGGTTCCTGTTGTATTGTCGAGTGTAATGTCAGCATGCGAAATACGTTCCCAATCGTCTAACCCAGCCAAGGACATGCCAAAACAGCCAGCATCAACACGACTGATCTCTCTTCTACCAACATTGGGAATGGTGGTGCTTATAGTAGAGAAAATGGAACCATTACGTTGGTAGTGAACAGTTATTTCCCCGTGTACAGTGATCGTAACAAATCCAAGCTGACCATATGGGTTAGGTGAACCTTTCATAGGCCCCCGTTTGATGTTATTGTCTGATTGTACTTCATACTACCCAGTAATGAATAGAAAGGAGAGTAAGAGAATTCAGCGTCTTTCGTATAAACGAATTGAATGTTATTATGAATTTGCAAAGTATCGCCTACCATGCGCTCAGAGTTGAGCCAAAGAAAAGCTGCTAGTGGTTGTTTCAAGTCTTTACTATAAATTAGTGTCCAGTCATGCATAAAACTCTACCATAAATGTAAGTCTCGAATTAGAGAACAAACTCTTTACTTCAGAGCACTTTGTTACTCTGCATAAAAGTCGCAAAAGGCAATACAATATAGTTATTCAAACTGCACAAATACATTACTTTGATTTGCCACAGAGCCAGCCGTCCAGTCTCATCAACCGACGCGATGATATTCCCTTTTTGATTCCACTTCAAGTGAGTGATCAGATTTCGTTGGTGAAACTCTTGTATTAGTTTGACCTCTGCCTTTCGTATTTGTTTGTTATTTCTCCGTAAAAAAAGATCTCCAGCAATTGCACTAACTCGAGCAGCTGTATTATTTGGTGAATAAGGAACAGATAATAAAACACCTTTTTGTGGAGAGATACATAGTGATTCAGGCGATTGAATATGAGTTAAAGCTGAGAACTGGAAGCTTAGTGGGTACCGAGATTTATGATTATTTATGGCTGCTTTTTCTTGTTGATTGGAAAGTTTTCTTCGCTTAGCAATTGGTTGTGATGTCAGCTCGACCATTGAACTTTTCTGAATAACAAGCGAGAAACGACAAGCCTAGAAAATGAGGTTTTTGAAGAAATTTCCCAATTTTTAAATAACTCGCTTGCAGTGGAGTTTTTTCCTGTTCATCGATGTTTTAAAATTCTTTATTGGTGCGATAATGACAACATATAATAAAAATATTATACAAGGTAAACTATATACAAAGACGAAAATGCACCAACTAATTTAATGAAATTAGCAAGATCACTTGCTCAGAAAGGTTTTGGACTCTGTAATAGTATTAACAGCTGAGGACTCTATGTCCTCCTTTTTTCCGTCAAATGCTCTCTTTTCTTCTTCTTTCTTGATTTCAGTTCTTTTTTCTTCAGCAGTCAATTTTTCAAGTTCTGCTGCTAGTTTATCCACATCTTCATCCTGTTCTTGCACAAACACTCCTTCTGTTTCTTCTTCAGCCTTTTCTGCTGCTGCTGTTGCAAGAGCAGCCTCGTGCTCAGCCTTCCAGATTGCCTTCAATTTATTATGTCCCTCCATAAATAGTCGTTCCAGATCTTTTTCCCAACCTAACAATTGAGTAAGCTTTTCAACGCCATCGTCGCATGAGCCTAGATAGACAGCATCTCTATTCAATCCAAATTGCCATTTGAAATCAAATCCACTGGATTTCGAGTGGTGAACACCTGCTAATTCTCTGTTGATTAAAAGTCGTGGTACAAAATCGGGTACACGATCAATAAGCGATGCGAAAGGTTGAACTTGGAGACTGGTACCGATAACAATCAACAGATCAGCGCATTCAAAATCCTACGAAGACGCAAGAAATGTAGTGTATATATTTAGTTTGTACCGTAAGATCTTCCAAGCGCGAAACAGATCGAAAAGGAATATCTTACTGTCAAGTGTTTAAAGAATTTCTTTGGCAGATTCTCTCCAAAAAAGGTGATGTCTGGTTTGATGAGTTGATCGCACTCCTTGCATCGTGGTACTTGACCCTTCAGTGCATTCTCTTTAACGTAATGAGAATCAGCTTTTGTTTTACATTCTACGCATGAAGCAGTCGCAAAGCTGCCGTGTGCTTCAATAATATACTTGTCGTCCAACCCAGTCATTCGTTCAAGTGTATCAATATTTTGTGTGAAGTTTCTCAATAGCAATCCTTTTTCATGTAGCAGCTTGACGAAATAATGCGTTTTCGTTGGGAGATATTTCCCTGGGTATAGTTCTTTAGCTAAAGCGTAGAATGGCTCGGGCCTTTCCTAGAGACACGGTAGCGTTATTATTGGTTATTTGTGCAATGTCAAATCATTGTATTTATCATTATTCTTACAACAAAGTAATCAATGTCAAATACTGCTTCTGCATAAGGTAAGTCAAATTTTTGAAGGTTGTGATAGAGACCTGTTTCTTTACTACGAAAATCAGGAATGCCAGCAGCAGTTGAAATACCTGCACCGGACATTACGATTATATTTTTGACTAAAAATAGGAAAAGTTGTTCAGGTCAACAATGTCCTTTCAAAGGTAAATGACAAACCTGCAGTAAATACCATCTTTTTCTTTTATATACTTTGCAACTGCTTCAATGGTTGAGTCTTCAAGTTGTGCTTTTCTAGATTGACGAGTTTTGGGCATTAAGTTTTAAGACTCAAATGTAGGATCTCAAAGAAAAAAACCAGCCAGGAACTGAGAAATATTTTTTTCCTTGAATTTGCACGCTTGAGTATTAGTGCGGTGTTTTCAACAGACAAAGAATCCTAGTCACTGATGGTGTATACACGGAAGTAATAAGGTGTTTAATCCAGTTAACATTGAGACATACATATCAAGATTTATCTAGTATACTTTCAACTTTATTAAATTGTTAAAAGTACATTTTTAGGTAGTGATAAGATATCAGCTATTTATTTCCATCAACCGACTCAGAATTGTCCAGTCCACGTAATGCTATAGTAATTGCATGCTGATTCAGGGCAGTATCACAATCGCTATTTATTAACGTTTTCAAACGCTGTTGTTAGCGCCAACGTTTCTTTCTGAAAATATTAATATCAAGCTATAGCATATTTTTCGTGCCTGAAAATATGTTTTTTCGGGACTATAAGAGCCACGCATTTGCCATTTTTATACTATAGATCCGTTTCGCTTCTGCAAGCCTTCATTTTGGTTTTTTCAGACACTAGCTTTCTTTATCGAGGTATAACGTGATATGCCAGTGTTGCCATGACAACATCCATTGAAATATAAATTTCAATCTCAGGCGTTCAAAAATACTACCACATCTTTATAACTTTTCTTAACTTTTTGTTTTATTTTTTACTTGACAGCGATTAGAATGGTTCAGCGTATGTAACATTAATGTTAAAAATTTAATGATCCAGGTTGCTAATCTTGAACTTGGATAAATAGCAAATTTAAAAATATACCCGTTTGCATATATTTCAGCCGACATTTATGCAAAGTTACACGATCAGCTACAGTAAGCATCAATAGATCGTGTTATTATAGCAATCGATCGCTGAACGTACACATCACTGAGCTATTCTTACATCCGCAAATTTATAGGATTCTTGCCAAGAACACCAAAACTAGGATTGGTTACAATATGGAGGAGCAATATTTCGATATTCAAGGTCGTTCTCAACAAGCTTGTGATAATGTGTAAGTGTTACGATAAACATCTACCTTCCTACAGAGATATTGATACATTGCATACTCCGTTTATTTCTCAAATAGAGGCGATCTATTGACTACGAACTTGTTCCCTCAGTTGGTATGCATATCATTGATCTTCACTTATCTATTATACAACTTTTAACTTCTGAGTGTTATGTGTGATTGTTCAAATAGTGTACATTGATCGACGAAAGCGCTTTTCATGGAACATTTGAAAAAATTGAAGACATGTACGCTGCATTGAGTGCGTCTTCTTCGCGCAACAATTCAGACTCAAATTTAGCACGCAATCAAGGCAGGCCATTTGATTTTGATGAAGCAGGACGCCCTACAACTCCATTGCCAGCTTCAGGAACGCCAGCATCCGAAACTTTGAAATATAGCAATAATATCAGAAGTGACAATGAAAGATATACCCCTACTCCTTCCACTCATACTTCCGTTAATGCTAGAGTTATCAGTTTTTCTGATCCCGAAACAGATAGCTCCTATTATGAATCAGAAGATGGTGATGATGTTATAGAAACCTTTGCCTTTGCCAAGAATGTGCGCGATCCGAGAGAAGTTCTCACTGGTCCTCCTGGTCTCAACAATCAACCAGCAAACTATTTAAATATTGTCGGTAATGACACTGGTACTGAGTGCAGTTTACATGATCGTCAGATTAAAATTGTTGGTAGCTCTGAAGAAGCTGTAAAAGAAGCAAAGCTGCGATTCCGTAATTTGCAAACTATGTTCAAACGTCGCAATAGAGGTACCAATATTGTACCCTGCGTCCATTATCCAGTGGAAGTTCCCGAATTCGGTCTCTATTTTTGCAATTTGGAGAGATACGCTCAACGAGACTATGTACATATTTTAAATCGACCAGAGGCGCCATTGTTCGTGCTGCTGCCTGTACTTAAGGATAGAACCGGACAATATCAGAGACCGAAAGACCTCTTAAATGCTAACGCTCCTATGACTGCTTCTCCTGCTGCCGCTGCTCTAAATCAAATGTCTCCACGACTCTCTATGCGACAACAGCAGCAAACCGCACATTTAGAAACGAGAAGGCAGGGCAGTCCACAATCACCTCAAAACCAAAGACAGCATCAACAGCGACAGCAGACGCATGAGTTATCTTTAGAGGAAAGAATGCGACTAGCCACTTTAGAACACTATCATGATTATGGTAATTTCAACCAAGGCATGGCACCAGACCAACAGCCATTGTGGGGTGAAAACAAGAATTTCGTTGTGCGTACCAGTGCACAGCCTTCTCCTACACCATCTGCACCCCCAGTCAATTATGTTGGTGCTCCTGCACCTCCCAAAGTGTCATCCAATGATGACTTCCCTTCGTTACCATCTGCTCCTCGTGTCGCCCCTGCTACTAGTAAACAACAAACCAGAAAGGTTCTCAGGATTTCAAAACAGAAGGCGTCTCCTCAAATTACGCGACCTCTTAAATCGAATATGGAAATGTAAGCTACACATATTAGTTAAATGTAGATATAATGACTGTTCTCTTAAGAAACGGTTTCGATTACAATTCTATATAGTATTAAAGATTATAATTTCAACAATATCAAAGCTGCACTGGAGGACGGGTAAGGAATAGAGGATGGAAAGAAAGATTAGGAGCTGCTGTTCAGCACAGTATCAAAAGTTAAAACTTATTTCTGATGATTTGTCATATAGCTTAACGGGCGTTCGTGGCTTTAGTGGTGACATTAAGTTGAGAGCTAAACTCGGCAAGGTGATTTGGACTAATGTCACCCAGGATATCCAAAAAAATATGTGGAAATTCAGCGATTTAAAAGATATTCTTATGGGAGAGAAAAAAGTCAGGCCTCACTTCAGCAACATGTAAGGATTTAGTTTGTTTTCAAGAATATATACAACGCTTTACCTGTCTATTCTCACCTATTACTTCGACTGTTTCTCTAGGACAACCTCATCTGATTTTATTATTGAAAAGATCTCTAATGTTTTGCCTGCTTCTATGAACAAAACTGTGCATTTTGAAATTTATGCAAATGTTCGACATCAGAACTGCTTGCCTTATAAGCCTGTTGTTATGCATATGCGTGGAAATGTGGTTGAAATCAGCAAAATTGTCAACTCAAAAGAAACAGTAACAGAAATTGATTGGTGTACCCTTGATCGGTATTGTACAAGTAATATATAAAATTGTGTAAATCTTCAATAATTCTAATTCTCGCCTTTAAATGTAGTAAATTTGATTTCCAATTGAAGCTTGAAACTGAGCAAAAGACGCGCACTAATGTCAAGCCCTATACCAATTTCATTAACAAATTTTGTTTGAGTCCTGAAACCAAGCAGCTTGCATTTGAGAACATCCCTGACTTTTTGGAGGTCGACTACGTTTTGGTCAAACAAACGACTCGCTATCGTATTCATTTTCCTTTCATTGTTGAGATTACGCGTGTTGAGAGAATTCCACTTGCAACTCAACCTTATGATGTTAGCGGTACTTTTAAGATTATTGGCGATATTGGTCATGGTGAAGTTTGGTATGATGTGGAAGTCGTTTATTCTACATATGATGAAATTTTCCAGCGCAACAATAGTTTACCAGCTGGCAAAATGGCAAACTGGACTGTGGAAGACATCTTAGGTTCTGACAGCAATGGCTCGGATGCCTTGGTTGAGTATATTCGATGCTTATTATTGCTAACTGAGAAGTGTGAACGAGAATTTGATAGAAAATAAACTGTAACATTCCAGACTGTAATTGATAAAAAACATGTATATCAGAAAGCATCAAATAAAAGTTGGCTTCGCCATTTATGCAAATTACGGACTCGCTGAGTTTTCCTTTTCCAGAAGAATCTTTTTGCTTCTTCAGTAAGTTTCTTCCTGCTTTTTTCTACTTTCCTAGCAAAGATAACTTTCTTTGTTCCAATGATGAACGTATCTGAAGCGACTAAAACGGCAGCCAAGATTTACGCCAAAGCAAACGACGCCTTTTTCGACGACGATTATGATGAAGCTGTACAACTGTTCACTGAGATTATTAAACTTGAACCTGAAAATGCCGAGTTTCTTTTACGACGGTAATATGCGCACAGTTCATTTGTTCAAAACACCAAACCTACTTCAATATAACTCATCGTCTCTAATATATTGTATATGTACAGCTGTCAAGTATATCAAAAACTTAATCGCTTGAACGATGCCTTGAGAGACGCGGAAAAGGCATTGCAGTTGTTAGCTCAAGGATCTCGCAGTCTATTAGCTCGAGCCCATTTGCAGTTAGGGTAAGTGGTTACAGTTTCAATTCTTACTATGCAATAAATATGCTCTAACTTCTATCTCTCGCTTAGAATCATTCTGCACCGTTTAGAACGTTATACCGAAGCTCAGAAGCATCTTGAACAATCCAAGGAATTGAACCCCAATGAAAAGACTTTGGTTACTTGGCTTAGAAAGAATACAGAAAAGGTACCCAAAGTAGAGGAAGTGAAAAAAGAAAGTGAACAGATTGACACCAAAGCACCTGTTGCAGCATCTTCCAAACTAACTGCGAGGTAAAATCACAAACTTTGTTTGGTTACTTGACGGTGCCTGAAAAATGACAGCAAACTTGCTTATTCTTCACCATAGATACGAATGGTTCCAAAACGACACATATATCACTATTGAAGTTTTCATTAAAAAGGTGAACCCTGATGACGTTGAATTGAATTTTTTCGAAGATTCTGTAAGTGTTTTTATATCAGATTTGTGTGGCTACATGTTAACTAGGTTGTTGTTAAATATATTTGCGACCTGACATCCTTTTCAGTTATCTCTCACTGTGAAATTATCAACTGGATCTGATTTTTCATTGGAATTGGATCCTCTTGCTCATAAAATCATACCCACAGAATCGAGATACACTGTTCTTTCCACGAAGATTGAGATCAAGTTAAAGAAAGCGGACATAGGCATTATGTGGGGCGCTTTAGAAGGTGAAGATAATAAAGGCTTCTCTGCCCCCATTGCTAAAGGCAGTGGAATCAACAATGCACCTAGTAAAGCCTATGCTAGAAATTGGGATAAAGTCACCAAAGAATTAGATGAGGACAAGCCAGAAGGTGAACAAGCCTTAAATGCCTTGTTCCAACAAATTTATAAAGATGCTGATCCTGATACTAAAAGAGCTATGATGAAGAGTTTTATTGAAAGCAACGGTACTTGTCTGTCCACGAACTGGGAAGAAGTTGGCAGTAAGAAGGTTGAAACACGGCCACCTGATGGGATGGTCGCCAAAAAGGTAAGTTTTCGTATAGATCAGCATTTGAAAGTACACATTCTACCCATTGGAAAGGCTAATACTTCGATTTCTCCATTATAATAATAGTATACTGAATAAGAAACGCTTATCAGGTTCAAAAACATATTACAGCATACCTTTTTTTTTTTCTTTTCATTTTTGTGGCACATTTCAATGCGCTTTTCCATTTGAAATGGCACTTAACATATTTACCTACATAATAAAATATCTAATGCAAATCATGTATAAACAAGCGAAATGCTGATTGATAATTGAATTGATAGTTGATTGACGATAAAAGTATCAACTCTATCTGTCGCTATAATATAGGTATAAATGCTCTAATGGGCTCAGTCTTTTTATTCATCGAGGCGATTGATAGTCATTTCAATTGGGTCTATTAACCTTTGAAGTCGTTGATTTTTTCATGTGAGTATGATATGTGTAATCCAGATCACGTTAAATTAGGAAAGAAGATCAACAGTGGGGTTGTTTTTTTTTCACACATTAAAAAATATGATTCATATTCGTATAAAACGTTTATGAAAGATAAAGCTTGCTTAGATTTTTTCTTCTTTCTTCTTTTGTTGTTTTTCTCTTTATTTCTTCTTTCTTTTCAAATTTTCACTCTATAAACTTTTCACTTCTGCGCGTTATAGTCATCAATAATTAATGCCACCAATACACAAAGTACTTATTGCTAATCGTGGAGAGATCGCCTGTCGAGTCATTCGCACTTGTCAACGACTAGGTATAGCTACAGTAGCTGTTTACTCGGATAGGTAATAGCCTGCTTATCAAACAACTTGAGAATCAATGTTAACTGCTGCTCCACTGTCTGTAAACATTTTATGATAAAGTGATGAAAATGCACCTTTTGTAAAAATGGCGAATGAAGCATACCACATCGGCGCGTCAATTGCTTCAGAATCGTACCTGAATAGCGGGAAATTAATTGCCATCGCTAAGCGTTCGGGAGCAGATGCCATTCATCCTGGCTATGGCTTTTTGTCGGAAAACGCAGATTTCGCAGATCAGGTTTTGCAAGCAGGCGATATTCAGTTTATTGGCCCGAAACCTGAGAGTATACGTACTATTGGGGATAAAAGCGCTGCTAAGGATTTTATAAAAGAATATGCGCCTTCCATTCCATTGATACCTGGATATAACGGGGAAGATCAGTCTTTAGAAAGATTAACTGAAGAAGCGAAAAAGATCGGTAAAGAACTACAAAACTTTGCTTAACGTAACAAGTAGCTTAGAGAACGAATGCCAATACTCTACATTAAACCTTTCACCAGAATTTCCCATCCTTTTAAAGGCATCCGCAGGTGGCGGTGGGAAAGGCATGAGAGCCGTGTATAATAAGAACGAGTAAGGTTTCCTTTTCTCTTCCATCTGTCCACATCAAAATCTGGTATCACATCACAGTTATTCTCAATAACATATCTTTTTGAATAGTTTAGAAAAAGAAATAGAAGCTGCAAAAGGCGAAGCACTTCGGTCGTTCGGTTCAGATAAACTTATAATTGAGAAATATTTTGAAAGCATCAGACATGTTGAGGTATAATACAACTGATATGCAGTGCGGATTAATCTTTAAAAAAAAGTAGCATAAACGTATTAATCGTTTATAATTTGGTGTGCAGATCCAAATATTTGGTGATGAATACGGTAATGTTTACCATATTAATGAACGCGATTGTTCTATTCAACGGAGGCATCAAAAAGTAGTAGAGGTACGTAAGACATGCTGATAGCTGCAATAATTGCCTACCTTAGACTACATCTCTTTTTAGGAAACACCTTCCCCTGCACTCGACGAAGAACTTCGAAAAATTATGACCAATGCGGCGGTTGATTTAGGTCGTAAATTAGGTTACATCGGCGCGGGTACTGCTGAATTCATCCTTGTATGTGTTTGTTAATATACTAAGTTAAGCTGCTCCGAACGACAGTATCATTCTAAATTGTGCTTGGTTACTTAATGCAATAATTCACTTTTTAGGATGAAAAATCTAGAAAGTTTTATTTCTTGGAGCTAAACACGCGGTTACAAGTTGAGCACCCTATTACTGAAGCCATTTCAGGTTTAGATTTAGTCGAGCTTCAGTTATTAGTAGCTCAAGGTGCAAATTTAAAAGAATTGGGCGTCCTTGACAATCTTCAATTCCATGGTCATGCCATCGAAGTAAGACTATGTGCCGAAGATCCTGATCAAGATTTTGCACCACGCACTGGTACTATTCATAAATGGAGTACTCCTATTCATAGTACGCAAGAACAGATGCCAGGTGTTCGATTTGATACGGGCATTGAAGATGGCTCAGAAATCTCTAGCTATTACGATTCCATGGTTGCCAAAGTTGTTGTCCATGCTCCTACTCGTTCTGAAGCTATTCGTCGTATGATAACTGTCTTATCCCGCACAATCATTGTAGGCATCACTACGAATCAAAAACTTCTGCTTGAAATTATGAAAAATCCTTGTTTTCATTCGGGTACTTTTGATACCAACTTTATCTCTATTGAAAAAGACCGCTTGTTCCCTCAAGTCCAAGTGGTGGAATATTACAAAAATGCGATAGTGGCCGCTCTTTTATTTGATTGGAGCGTACGTCGTAACCAACAGACTCATTTACGAAACGTCCAAGCAGGATGGCGTAATGTTTATTGGCGACATAAGAGGTTAGATTTTGCCTTGGTTAGCGATAAGAATTATGAGCTGCAAATACAATATAAATACCTCGGCGAACCCGACCTCAATAAACGGCATCAATTCGAAGCTCAAATAGCACTTAAGAAAGATTTACAGCAAACTGAAGATTTACCAGAGTTGCCAATTGCTATCACACTATTTGAGTGTGATGTAGGCCAGCAAGTCCCTAGCTCTCGAGGAATAAAAGGATGTAAAGGCTTAATACGCTGTACAATTGGTATGTTACTACTTGGAAAGTTTTTTTTTTTTCAACTCGCAAACAATATACATCTTTCCTGTATGCATTACTTAAAATTTACATTTGTTTTCACATGCACATTTATTGTTAGATGGCGCTCAACAGCATTTTTATGTTGCTGAAGATATCAAGGATGTAAATGAAAAATCAATATTCGTTCATGATTTCCATCATGGACACCAAATAGAGCTAATCAAAATGGATCGTCTAAGAAGCAAAGTGGATGCCACTGAAGTTGATAAAGGTAAAGTTCTTCATCCAAACATAACCATCCTCATCAGCTATGACTATTCCAAGCGCAATATTATTGAACATACCGCTCTCGCTTTTACTTTATCTTTTATTCTTTATAGTCACTCCTTATACAACTTCAATGCCATGCAGGATCCTCAAAATATTAACTCCTACTGGTACCATGGTTAAGAAAAATACACCACTTCTATCTATCGAGTCAATGAAAACTGAGATCAAAATTCTTAGCCGTCATGAGGGAATCGTTACTATGAACGTTGAAGAGAATCAGTTGGTGGATGCTCGAATCTTATTGTGCTCTATAAATGACACACAAAAAAAAACATAAAAATGCTATCAAGTTGCCGTGATAAGGATGACTGTAAGTTTTAATTATTTAATAAATTCTCTTTATTCCTCGCATTCGATTGTGGGTTATATTGTAAGTGAGATGCTTCCTATCGTCCTTCAAAATATTTACACTCTCAGGTTCAGTTTATGTTCCATGGCTGTATGAACATCTAGCATGTCGGTTGACATAGTGGGATCTATTGTTTAAGAAGGCAAGATAAATTTTTAGTATAATAAACGGCTTTTATCTCGTTGTCCAATTATTATTGTGGGCGTTACCATTAAGGAAGTCTTCGTAATCGATTGTTTCGTCTTTACCGAGTAAAATATTCAAATGTAAGTTAGACGAAGGAAGAACAGGTAAGCGCTGACGCTTTTCAACAATGCTTCTTTCCATCATCATTTTAATAGGCGCATGCATGCCATGGGCTTGACGAGCTAAATTCAACTTTAATTCCCATTGTGTTTCTCCCCACTTGGAAAAGAAGGAAAGGATGAGAATGACATAGTCAGCAAGATTGATATACATTCGGCTTACAAACAACTAAATAGTACCTGGCTCAATCTATTTTCGAGGGGATGTCCAGGAAGAACTTCAGTTTTAATGGAACGTATACCATTGCGCAAAGTGTCGTGAACCCCAAATTCTTTATGGCTGCTATCCGAAGTGCTGACGCTTTCAATATGACTATCTGGAACAATACGAAGAGACTAAAAAAAGCGTTAATTGAGCATTGAAGAGTTAGAACCTGCTCAGATCGTTGCTTGTTATTACCATTTTCTGAATCTATCTGTAAAAGAGAATTGGAAATACAATATTTAGCTGTGAAATTGCGCGTCTTTTAGGTAACAGCCTGAGTGACTGTCCCAATATTTATGCACATTTTCGAAATTAAAGGTACAAGTTTTCGGCTACAGAGGGGAGCAATAAAGTATTCAGCTGAATACGATATACAATGTACTGTCTTCATAGCATCTTTGCTTTTACACAATCAGAACTAACTTCATAGTATTTTTGCTATACATAATCGGAGATAAAGCTTCTTTTCTATGCGAAGTTTGCTTACTGATGACGAGAATAAAACAAAATGATTTCCAAAATAGATCGCTTACTCTTATGTGCTTTCCAATTTTGCTTACATCGCTTATGGAATTGCGCAAATCTCTGAAATTTATCAGTCAATATGATTTTGTGTACGAAAATGAATACTCTAATTTCAGGCGTTCTTAGATGACTTATGTAGACTAAAAAGGCCGTCAACCACTCAATACTTGTCAGTTGTTACGTTAAAGTAAAGGCGAACTGGCAGCAGACCTGTTCAACATTTGCTCCTATCCTATTTACTACTGTTCAACTGCTTATATTTTTCATTTCATACCAAAATGAAGAAACTATTTAAGAGGAGGATAAATTATGAACAAAACATTACAGGCTCTCGAACAGCAGCAGAAGTAGCTGTAGAGGAGAAAGAAGAGGGAAACCGCTTTCACCAACGGCAATAACAACAACAATAACAGGCAGCAGTAACAGCAACAATCATAGTAACAATGGTAATAATAGTAATGAGGGTAACAATAGTAATGATAGAAGTAGTGTTAGTAATATTCGTATTGAATAGTTGGGTGGCGTAGTAGTAGTAATTAGCTTTGTGGTCGTAATGTGATAATTATTCAATGACAGAGACGCGAGTGAGTAGATAAGTGGATCATATCGTCTGTCTCCGGAGCAGAAGGTCGCGGGTTCGAATCCCGCCTCACTTGCAAACGCAGTGTATCTAACGTATACGATCTTTTTTGCACATTGATTATGTGATTAACATGGATGACTGAGTAAAGAAGTCTGGATGACTATGAAATACCTTTTGTTTCGCATGCAAATCATACGACTCCGAGTCAAAGTCCGTTGTCATCGGCGATTCAATTTGTTCCTGGATACTTTTTTTGCGCTTAACTTTCGCACAAATATCTAAGAAATTGAGACATTGTGTGGTATTTGACGACTTGTGGAGTACAATATCACTTAGTTAAAACAATAAAAAGCTTAACGAGATCAAACTAGTAGGTCTTTATTTTGAATCAAGTTAATTGTCTTCAAATCTTTGTTTGCCACACCAGGACGACAGCCTTTAAATTTGAAATAATCTTTCTTGATCAGATTTGTCGTATTTGAGGGTAGATGATATACAAATATTAAAGATATAATTCACTTTATGAAGGATAAAGATGAATTATACAATATTGCAAATCAGAAAATAATTAGAAACTACATAAACTGTAATATATGAGTACCGTGAATTAAGTGTTGTATTTAGTTGACAGCATCATATGAGATGTGGAGAACTCGTATACAAATTATACAAGATTTTCAGACCTCATTACTGCTGAAATAATACAAAGTAGAGTAGGAAACGAATATAGAATAAGTGATGATTCTCATACGAGATTAGCTACCTCGTATAAGGCTGAACAGGTTGTCATTTAGGATATATAGTTTACTTATTTTACTGTAATACGTTACTATATGGCATAGGATATATAGTAGAATTAATATATGGACATGCAGGATATATTGATTCAACACCAAGGTATAATAGGTTATAAGTACTATTCTCTGCCTTCTGCATAAAGAATGATTACAAGATAATAGGTTGTCATCATCCTTTACAATAACTGTTCACTCAACTCAAACACCACGCACGAATACCATTTTCCTAATTAATACTATTTTCCTGCAAGCAATCCTACATAATGGTTAGCACGGGAAAATAGGTTAGTTGCATGATTACTAGATCAAGCCATGAATACGTTTACAAGTCCACCCGCTCCGGGTAGATGCGTAATCTCCTCAAGGGAGAATTCTATCCTTTTACGGTTCAGAAGATTAATAGGTTCAAAATCCCAAGGGCTAATACCCTTAAACAACAATAGCCTTATTTTCCCAGTACATGCCAACATACTGTGCATTGCATCTGTCCAAACGCTATCTGAATTCAAACAAAAAAACTGAGACTACGCGTTACTGAACGGTATTCGTGAAGCTAATGAGAGTTTTATACAAGTCTTTGTCTATTCAATATAGTATCTGTTCAACCAGCAGAACATCCTAGTTGGTCGGATAATTTTCGGTTGTGAGAAAATTCGGAGAATAAAAAAAGGAAACCGAAAGCTTATTCCATTGCATTAACCCTACAGCTTTATCTGATTTGACTCTGCTTGAGAGCGAAAAGGATGCTGTAAAAATACAGACAATTAGTCAAGTATGAAATGGTTGCACAATGGATGACTAGTTTTTAAAAGTGTATAACCATCTCAATGTTGATAACATGCTTTTATGCAATTAAAAACCTTTATGTCCTGTTTCAATAACTAACCTTGAAACTGCCTCTCCTCTTTTCACCATTCATAATTTTTTTACCAATACCTCCTACTAGCATCTACCATAATTAGTACATACCAATTTTTTTTTTTGCAGTGTTTGAAGGGAAAATGTTGATGATATCTGAACCTAAACGAAGACTAATTGATGCTCACGTACATTTTTGGCATCCTGATCGAGTTTATATACCTTGGGTTAAAAACAGCAAACTAAATAAGCACAAAGATGCAATTGAATATTCAGCACAAATAAAAAATGCAAAAGTGGAGTCGGCCATTTATGTTGAAACAGATGTAGACCCTTACTATGGCTTAGTGGAGGCTGACTGGATTACACGATATTCCGAAGAAGAACTGGAAAAAACTGACTCATTTGGGGGTATCGGAGGCATTGTGGCATTTGCACCAGTTCACCAAGGACGTCATGTTGAAGGCTACCTTCGCACTTTGATCCGTCTCACCCGAAACAAACTCAAAGGCGTCCGTTATTTAATACAGGACCCGGCACAAGATCCAAACCGAGTGGTCCAACCTGATTTTATCGAAGGCGTGCAGAAACTAGCATCTTTTGATCTGAGTTTTGATCTTGCTATTAATTGTCGTGAATGTCCTGCACAGTTTCCTCCCTTACTGGAATTGGTGGCACAGTGCCCTCGTGTTCAGTTTGTGCTTGACCATATGGGTAAGCCTCCTTGCGATAATCAGCCGGGGGAGGCGAGGTTTGAGTTTTGGGAACAGCATCTATTGAAACTATCCCAATTTCCCAATGTGAGTTGTAAAGTGTCTGGTCTCATCACAGAATTGATCGAGCATGACGATAGGACACAAGATGAGGTGATACAACAACTCAGACCATTCATTCAGGTTGCATTAAAGGGATTTGGGATTGACCGGCTATTGTTTGGAGGAGATTGGCCTGTGTGCGAACTTGCCAAAAACAACTTGAGGTGGCCAAATTGGTTTGAAATTGTATCGGAAATAGTAAGGGACTGGTCCGAAGCAGACAAGGACAAATTCTTTTTCTTAAATGCTTCTCGCGTGTATAAGCTGACACTGTAGATGACGATAACTCCTGCGCATGGAAGACTCGGCAGATCGTATAGTATCGTTCAATAAAACATCGAGAAGAAAGAATTTTCATATTCCTTTGCGTTTTGCTTAGTTCTCTCGTCATCATCCTTGTTCCTGCATCATAATGATTCTATACTGAGCAGTTTTCTTTTTAAGCCCGATCAAAGACAAACAAATATTTGGGAATCCTTAATCGGTACCTTTCCGTCTTACCAAAATCAAATTGCGATTGATGCTTTCTGTAGCATAAATAAGAACCCTTCTTTTCTGATATCAAGTATTTTTTGTCCTTTCTTAACATTGATTTATCTTTTTATTGCCTGTTCTCGTTTTTATTTTTTTTCTTTGCGCTTCCTTAGACTCTCGTTTCAATCCATTTCTACCAGTACTCAATTGGATTGTTTTCAATAATGGCACACTATATCAATTATGACAGAAACGACACAATGCAACGAGCGATCTCTCCATATACGTACCAAGATGAAAAAAGAGTAAAGTATCTGTAACGTATAAGGATGGCGCAAATTGAAGTCTTAGCTTAACCGACATGGTTGTTGCTACTATAGCCGTTCGCTTATCAGTCGCAATGGCTTTCAGAATTACCTCCCACACCCTCATCCTCTGCATTGTCATTCTCCATTTGTGATCAAACGGAGACTGATCTTACAGGTAACACATACTTACACACGCGCCCCTCCCATCACTAAAACAAGGATAGTCAATGCATACAGCAGCTCACGCATCATTTGAACATTAGATGAAAAGCAAACGTTATCGCATCGATTACCTATAAATAATTACAATATTAACAGCAGACCAGTTTCGACATCTTTTTATGGATCAATCTCTTCCACAAGTACAGTAAGAAATTTTAAACATCAGCAAACATCGAGAAGAAACAATTAACGCCCTACTCTTTCACCTTCATAAATGTAGGGTCATCAGCTGCTTCGACGATAAGTCCGGACGATGATGATGAAAGTCTTTATCTACTTTGGACTCATCAATTATTGGAGGAAAGAGGCTTCAACCTATCAAAAGCCAAAAAAACCATAAAAAGGTACGGCTCCTTGGAAGAGGACGGAGCGACTGACAACAACAATGATGAAGCTGAAGATGATGACGATAGTATAGACAGTAGCATTACAGATTTCTCCTTAGATGGACAGGCACGTCAGCGCATGATTACAGTCAAGATGGATACACATCAATGTCAGTCCAACAAGTCCGCTAAACCATCCTCAACTATAAGTACAGTTTTCGCTTGGTTTACAACGTGTTTGCCTATAGGCTCCTGAAGTTGAAAAAGAAATACAGAAGAAAAAGAAGCCTGTTTATGTTTCATCCTGATATCTGAAGCATTTAATTTTACCATTTTCCAACAACACATGTATCTGGCATGCAAAATATAAAGATAACAAATCCTAATTATACATATACAAGTCATAGATTATGCTTGCTTTATTCACCTGACTCTTGACACATGATGACTTTAAATATATCCAATATTCTATGTACCTGAATACTTTTTTAAGATTCGATGTTAACAGTGCTTTAGCGAAAATAGAATTTTTGGAAAATAAGATTTTTTTGAATTCACTTGGATTTTCTTCAAAATTTAATGGAAGTTCTTTACAAGCAGTCAGTTTTTTTTTTTAACATAGTTGGAAATGTTTGACCAGCTTATGCGCAAATACAATGCGCAAAAGCAGACTAATAACAGATATGATAATAACAACTTTCCAACATTTGACACGTTGTCTCATTGGTATGTCAGTGGCTATTATTTTCTTCGATATTTTTGGCTCGATCCATCCGATTCAGAGTTTTGGTTTCTCTTGGTTAGATGGCTTTCATATTCAAAAGAGTTTTACAGTGAATCCGTAAAGTAATATTGCAGCCAATTTAAACTGATGTTGCTGGACATGCGAATTTGAAGCCACAGTCCAATCAGGATCACTATAGAAGTCGTATTTTATAAACCATATCGCTTGCTTTGAAAATAATGTCGTACTTGGAAAATATAAATCGCAGGTGCTACTTTTTCAGTGTTTTCTGATCTTCACAAATTAACATGACCATACTATTTTATAAGAAGATGGGTGTGGGAATGTTATTAAAGAGAATCGTGGTCCTGAATCTATTAACCAAATCGTTAAAGAGAGTAAATTGGTAGTTGAAACGAATCCCCGTTCTTTCTGAATACTTGAAACATGCGGCTTCGAGCGAAACTTCTTGGACTTGCCCAATACTGGCAGCATTTTATATTACCGGTATTGGCATATAAAGTTAATGTACTTGTACGTTATTTGCCGTGTATAAAGCAGTTATGAGAATAGCTACAGTCAGTGGGAATTGCTGAAAAAGACATATCCTTCTGACCAATATTCGTAACTGATAAAAATGATGCTGCTATGGCAGAATCATTTTATCCTGGCATCAATCATACTGCTATCTATGTATCATGCAAGACTTTTCTGATTACATCACACAACCTTGCCGCAGTATTATAACATTTTTTGGCTGTTATATATGGGTATAATCTTCCAGATCATTGCACTCAGAAATAAAGGGCTTAATCATTGATTCAGTACATCTCCGAGAAAGCGATAATGTGTTAAGAAGAGGAAAATGCGCATCATGGCATAAAGCTCATCAATAAAGCATGCAGGCTTGAATAAGCCTCTCTCAGTATCTATTTCATGAAAATATGTGTTATATTTGAGACCTTGCTTTCGAAGTCTCACGGCATTTTTACATCTGCCACTTCCCTCTTCGATTGAAACCGTGCCCCTGATGATCCCCCTGCAACACAGTCATTCTTGCAACAACCGCCGAGCGGTTCTCTGTGGGTACAAATCGAAGACTATGTCGGTTGCTTTCATATGTACTGAAAGCCCGTAACCTATTTTATCGACATTGACCTGAATTAATACAAGCCGTGGCACTGTTACATGCCGGATGGTATAATTGTAGAACAAGGACGCCGTGCTTGTAATTGCCGTGGAGGCTTATGCGGAAGCCGAATCTGTCAATACTCACGCTGAGGCCAACCAGAGGTCATTGTCTCAAGGAACATCCTTGTACAACCCAGCATTGCATGTTGGATTCTTTAAAGTAGCCGATGGATATGGTGACAAAGTTAAGCTGAATTTTAAGCCCAGCACTACAAACATTCTCTCTATTTTATCCATGCCTCTGTATGGGTATCGAGCTGCCGATTGTGGTTCTTCAATGTCTATTGTAGCAACAATATGAGTTTTTTGTCATTAGGAAAGGCCTTTCATATATTTTCAAACATCTTTATGCCGTAATTATTCAGAACTGATATAATGTGAACGACTTCATTAATTAAGCAATACACTTTATATAAGGTCTGGTGGTGCTTTAATTACATATGAGGATGTGTTTATGTTAATTATCAGTCTGTCGATAATGATGGCAGAGTTCTGGACGTGTACTGGATGCGCAGCAAGCTTTACAAATTGATTTATAAACACATGCTCAAAATGAAGGAAGAGCTGAATATAGTTTGCAGCCTCTGTCACCCATAAAAAACGTGAGACGTTACTTGAAGTTTCAAAATTCCGGAACACATTAGAAATGCAAAAGCTTAATAAGTACCAATAGAGTATAATTTGACATCAAATCTATTCGATTCACTTCAAAAAGAAGGTTAGAAATTTGATTGTAAAGGACACGGGGAATGACTGGCTTAAAAGGCACGCGCTTTTAAATGTATAGGACAAGGCGCTTTTTGATAATGAACGTCTTGAAGGAACCTGAAGAAGACACCAAACTGAATTGACTCAATATGAATATTGATGAGATAACGGCAGAATCAAAGTCAACTTAGGAAAGGCATAAAAGCTGATGCCACCAAGGGAGGACTGTTGGAAGAATACTTTGTATCTTTGATCAAAGCAAGTTGAAAGTCATATACTCATGGAAGAATTGGAATCTTTGTCCCGTCAGTGGCAAGGCATCAAATTGACTGTGAACAGATCTCCTTTGTTAACCTCTGAAAACCCACACAGCAGGTCCCTTCCTAGTGCTGGTCCCTGTAAAGCATCTTTCCTGGATACACTAAATTGAAATGGCAGTAATTGCAATAAAACCGGGAGATGAAGCTCAGCTATGCCAAATCCACTTTGTTTTTGGAGGGAGAATACGAGCAAGATCGAAAATTTGGATTTTGATGATGACCGCTCACAATGAATGAGTTTTGCAAGCAACCGCACCGATAGCGACAGTAAAGAATCTCAAAATGACAGAAAATGAAAAAAAGGGAGAAAAAAGTGAAGAAGATATTGCCGACTTTGTTAAAAGGACATTGCCAAAGGTAGAAATCTGAAGTTCGGCGTGAAGGATTTAAAAAATCAAGTGGAAAGAATTTTGACGTATAAACATAAACTGGATCTAAGCTATTGGTCTGTGTTTTCACGCACTTGACATTTTAAAGCTATCTTGCTCCAGCGATTCTGTCAAACTGCGTAACTCATTATTCGTTTCATGGCCTTGTATTTTTATCCATCTCATATGCTTCGTCGCTTACAATTGGTGTACATGGAGTCAGAACCCTTGATATTCCTCCAGAAAGTAAGCCTATAAACGTAAGAAAAGCGGTCATGCAGCAATCAATTTTTACTTATCAACCTTCAGCATAGACAGTTCGTTGGCCATCTACCTGTCTCATCCTCTTTGGAATCGATTACATGCACCAAGATACCTCTTGAAGTCCTCATTAGAACGAGGTTGATAAATTAGCTATAGCCGTCTTTTTATTACTCCTTTTATATATTTTTTCCCTTTTTGAACATACAAAGGGGGTTTTTCGCGCATGACCATTTTTTCGATCCAACCCGCGCTATGGGCATCTCAAAAATAATTATGTGCTCATATGAGTTTGAAAATAAAACTAGACTTTTAATCGTACAAATCATCAGTGAAATAGACAGTTTCGAGTAGGTACAGACGAAAGCTTAGCGAGAAAAAATTACACCTTATCGTTAATAGAATCACATTCATAACAGCCTAACACTTGCTCAACTCATAGTCGACATCGTTATTCTTCTTTCCTTTAACCATAAAACAGACTAAACAATGCTAAACAACTGTAACTCAACTGTTCATATACATATTTTTTTTATGCTTTATTTCAAACGGAATTTGTCCATATTACATTATAGCTGTAAAAAGTGGATGGAATGAAATAACTTAGTAGAAGAAACCGAGGATCTTACCACCAGCGTGCTTTTGACGAGCTTCTTCGTGATCCATGATACCAGCAGAGGTGGTCAAAACCAAGTAACCGAATTGACGAGCAGGCAACAAGTTAGCAGTCCACTTTTCGAGTTCAGTGAGCTTGATGTTGAAACGAGGAGAGATAACACCACACTTGTTGATACGACCAATGAGTTGAATAACGATCTTACCAGAACGGTGATCGTCAACGATTTCGAATTCACCAATATAACCTGCAGACGAAAAATAAAATAAAATAAAACAGTTAGAACCTTCTTTAACCCAAAATACAATGAGTCTCCTTTCTCGATATATGAAAGTTATTAGGAAATGTGAATAAGATTTTGATGTATCTAATCTTTAAACAATGCTTGATACTGAAATAACCTCGAGCAAAGTGTAAGAGACAGACTGGTAGTTACTCTTCCGACAAGTTTAAAGGTCAAAGTTTGTGGTGTATGTGAAACTCCAACTAGTTATACTGCGGTGATAATGATATCCATTCACAATATCCAGAACAACTTCCACAAAAAATCGAAAAAGAATAAAAGTAAAGTTGTACAATGCTTACCGTGCTTTTGCATGACGGACAAGAACTTGACGATGACCTTGGAAGAGGGACGGATCATAACTTGTCTCTTACCACGCTTTTCAGCGTTGTTGATGTTGTTCAAACAATCGTTCAAGACGGAAACTCTGACCATTTTGTATTATAAACGCAAGAATTTACTATTTGAGTTTATAGAGTTATACGGTTTAGTTGAAAGATGCGGAATGTACGACAGGCAGCATCGCCCATCTCCACCTTCGGTAAATTATAAAGCAAATCCTCATCTCGACTTCAAACACTAATTCATTGCTGTGTTTGTATGTAATAAGATGCTACAGCGTTCAACCAACATGGATTGTTTTGCTTTAAATGGATGGATGGAGTATGGTGATGGATGCCTTTTACTTATGACTGATGGATTTTACCTGTTGCGAAGAAGAGGAAGTTCAAACAGTGTATCCACACAGGAATTGCTATTATGGCGAAGTGAAAATTCGCCCGCCCCACCCTGCTGTAATTTCAGCTGTCAGATTCTCGCCTGCATAAGCCACACAAATTTTAAAATAAAATTGTCCAAACAGCTCTTCATGATTTGATAAGCTTTGTGCAATCCTTATCATTACCGGATTATCTGTGGTTGTTTCATGCCTACTACAATTAATATTCAAATCAGCAATATAGTCTTCTTTTTTTCTAAATTTTCTTTAAAGCACACTTACCTTACGAGGAACTCCAGCTATCCATTTTTCTAACCTTTTTATAAAGGGCGTATCTGCATCGTTAACATGTCCTGCAGGGTGTCTGTAATTTTTATAATGTTTGCACCCTATGCAATAAGATAGAATTAGCATAAATGATTTTAGCGGCCATTTGGTGCCGAATTATAGCTTCTCTTATGATAACTAAAAACTTAATATAGTTTCCACGTTTTACGGCACAGTTTATGAAAGAATTCCTAAAACTGATGGTTTGAGCCTTTTTTTCTACGGAGCATTTAAAGCTGATTACTTGAGTATCTGTAAAGGTTGGTAGGGATACAAGACTCGTTCTTATCCAATCAAATAGACGGGTTTATGGGCTAAGTATCACGTAAAGAGAAGTTATTATACAGTTAAAAGATTCGGTCCGGTGGAGACACGGTTCTGAACTTTCCATCTATACAGCAAGTTATCAATCTGTAACGAAATGTTTACATGAAGGATCTTTTATCCGATTCCGACTTTCGTTATCCCAATCCGGGAAGGTCAGAGGCTGTCTAAATGAACAGAGAATTCCTTGTCTCATGAAAAAGGTTGATATTAACACTGAAAACTTATGGTATTTACTTCAAATAAACAAAAGAAAGACATCTCCTTTTGAAGCACGAGCCGTGTAATCATTTTCTCGGTATCTGTCCATGTTTGGTAACCTGCTATAGATATAATATACCTTCACTAGATCAAAAATACAATGTAGGGAAGGGAAATATTTCAGCAATTAAAGGTTCAACTCTGCCTAATGGCTTGAATTTTCAAACATGGCAGTGGCATGCAGTACTTCCCCATACTTTTCGGGTTGCTTTAACTCCGTTTGACGGCTCAAAGAATAGTATGTTGAAACTCAAAATTGGGACAGTTTTGCATATTCGGACGAGCGTATTTTTATTTAGTCCAACCGACTTGGCTCATTGAAAGGTGTGTGATTTACTGGAGCAACAAAAATTGAACGTTAACTGAAGACAGTAGGATGAATTGACAAAGTTATTACCGTGATGATCGCCGCAAAGGTTATTTCATAAATTATTCTTCTGATACTAGTCTCAAGAATGTACGTAATCGTTGGAACCAAAAAGTATAATGACCATGATATTGAGTTCAAAATTAAATGCCAACAGAAAACTGTCTTAACTGACTGGTCCAAACAATGTTTTGATAATGAAATCAGTTGTTGATGAAGAGACTTATGCTTCATTTTCCTTAAAATATTACACTCGTCTCGATTAATAACGTATGTTTGATTCAATAAAGAAGTATATTCATCCAGAAATAAACTTAAGCAATCTAGAAAAAAAACGAATCGTCTCATTTTGCAGTGAATACTGATTGTTTCGGATGCAAAACTTTCGGAGTGCTCTCTCAAGACTTTTCTGGAAGCTATCTAAATTCTCTACTCGTGTTATGTAGATCATATTTAACCCTACGTTGTCTGGCGCTTATCTAAAATATTCTGTATAGCATTATCGATTTTTTTTTCAGCTATTTAAATTTCATGTGTTACACCCCTCCGGAATTTTAGTTCTTTTTGGCTTTACAAGAATTTTATCAACCAATTTGATCAGAACCCGACAATGCACACAATCATGGTATTCTGTTGTTTTTTAAATTCTCTTTGACTGCGCCCCAGGATTTACATTCTAAGTCATCTTCTACAACTCATTATACGAAATGAAATAAGTTTGAAACAAAGGAGCAAATATAGAAGAAGCGGCAAACCAATAAATCGAAATTGCTAAATCGTTTAAGGCAACTTGAGCATGAAAATTAGTGGTTGGCTTTTCCTTTATATCCTGAATCAATTACTTTGGTGCATCTTCGTTTTTACAGATGTTGCGCTAATTTTAAACGTTGTAAGCTTCTATCCAACGTGTTAATTAGAGCCCTCAAATATTGAACGCAAGGAAACCGCCAGGTTCGTTTATTTGACTGCATATGGTTAAGGCAACTGGCAAACCAATTGCAGAACTAGGTTGTCGCTCAATCAATACTTAAGGAGTCATACTACCCTATATCGGAAACCTTTCAGGCAGGACAGACATTATATGCCAGTATTTTCAATATAATGCTCAGCTTCCTTACCCATATAACGGAGTGCTAAGTGCGCTCATCACATAGTAGATTCGTTAGATGGAAAAACGCGAAAACACTTCTATCAATCTTGAATAGTCCGTAAAAACAGATGATTCAATGATAATAATAAGATACTCCGCGAACCGGCTGTGGAAAAAATCCACGTTATCATTCCCAGGCACGCATCAATTTCGAAATCCAAATAGTATTCTTCTTCAACGGCTATTGTAGGTAAGTGAAATCAGTCTTGTTTCAATGATAAAGATGATTTAGACTATTAACTTCATTGTTACTCGCTTTTTGTAAGCTTCTTCTAGACTATTGTAGTCTGAATATTATCAAATGTAGAAAAGTGGCGGAGAAAGGTCTCGCTTAATCTCTTAGTCGATACAGAATTACTGAGGACTAGAGTCGTTTACATGTGTATTGTTCCACGAAGAAAAACTATATCAGAGCAATCCTATATAGCAAATGCATGTTTTTAGAATGCTATGCTTCTTGAAATATGTTTATTAACCAACATTTGGCATGCTGTTATTTCGATTTTATATCTACTGTTATTGTTTTGCTAGGATCAATTGTAATAACCTTTAACCGTGATTGGCTCCGGTGTTTTTGTAGTCATTTCTCTTTATGGGTCAGGTTTCCGTTCGTATTCCTTTATCGCAAACTCCGCTCCGTAATATTGCTCCAGATCGCTGGTAAAGCGATCAGACATTCCAGAATTAGAAAATGCCTATGGAGGACTTTTTGGTCATAGAAAATCCAAGTGAGCAAAGGGTAAATATAGTGTTTCGGCCTTGAAAGTATTTCTGCGTCATTGAGAAAGAGTGATGCTTATGTAAAGTTTGATTTTTGCCAGAAAAAGAGAGTAAATTAAATCAAGTCTCTTCTTACCCCAGTCTTTTCCAAGGACGATTGAGAATATAAAAGAACGTCAAAAGGTATAGGCGTTGTACGTAGCCCTGACTGATCAACATTCTGAGTTTGAAATACGTATTTTCCATTTGGCATGCTTCTTCTTGTGTTTGGCCTATACGGAAAAAAGTCAGGCCGCCTGCACGGATCCTGGATTTCCAAACGATGGATCAGAAATCTGATGTTTTAAAATAGTTTGAGACATGCCTAAACGTTATGTAGAAATCATTTGATATAAATATGCATGGTTTTCTCCAGTAAAAAATAGATTATTCATCTTCCCATCATCTCCTTTCTCAAATTTATTCCCTCTATTACCGTTCTGCGAGGTTTACCTCTATCTAACCCTATTAGGCTTTGTTGTACGACTCCTGAATACACCTCTTAACCCATAACCTACAAGTCTAACAACACTACACTTTTGCACGGTACACCTAATGTCAGAATCAAAACTACATCCATCCGACCTAGAGGCCGGTAATCAACATCGATTATCAACAAACAGTGAGTCTAGCACAGTAAACGACACTTATGTAATCAACGAGCCTATTCCTTTACAAGAGGTCACATCATACCGCGAGCAAATTCGTGAGCAATTACCTCCTGGTGTTCTCGCGACAAGAACGTTATCAATTAATCCATACCCTTCGAAAGAAACTAACTTGGAAGCGGTTGCTTCTCGTATTATGACACAGCAATCTGAAAAACACCCAGTGCTTCATTATGTCAATTGGGATGTTAACGATCCTGAATGCCCTTATAATTGGAGCCTCCGATATCGTTGGTTCCACACTATTATGGTTGCTTGTCTAGTAGTATCTGCTGCTTTTGGTTCTTCTGTCGTTACGGGTAGAATCAACGGTGTAGTTGAATCTTTTGGTTGCTCTGAGGAAGTTGCTATTCTTCAAGTTTCTCTTATGGTATTCGGTTTCATGTTTGGTCCTCTTCTGTGGTCACCGCTTTCTGAATTATTTGGACGTAAACCTATCTACGTGATTGCTTTGGGTATTTATGTTATTTTCAATATTCCCTGTGCTGTTGCCAAAAATATCGAGACCGTTCTCGTGTGTCGTTTTTTTGCTGGCTTCTTTGCTTCCTGTTCTTTAACCTTGGCTGGTGGCTCTATCTCTGACCTTTTCCCTACAGAAACTCGTGGTAGTGCTATTGCCTATTTTGCAGCTGCACCTTATGCTGGCCCTGTCCTTGGCCCCATTGTAGGTGGTTGGATTTCCGTTGGTACTCATGGTTGGAGATGGATTTATTGGGTAATTATTTTCATTTGAGCATTCATGTCGTTTTTGCTTTACTAGTAATTGCATTTTTTATTCTAACCTTTTTCTCGGACATGATTATATTAGGTCAATATGATCTTTGCGGGTGTTATGTGGATTGTTGTATGTTTCTTGCCTGAAACTTACCATCCTACACTTCTTGCTAAGCGAGCAAAACGTATGAGAAAGGAAACTGGTGATCCAACTTATATTACTGTTGAAGAAGAATTTCCTGTACCTCTTTCAGAATTAGTGCAAACCAATTTGATCCGTCCTCTTTATATGATTGTTACTGAACCTATCTTATCGGCAATGTCTCTTTATGTTGCCGTTATTTATGCTTTGTTGTATGCTTTCTTCTTTGCGTACCCTATCATCTTTGCCGGTGTTTACGGTTTCAACGATGGTGAAGTTGGTTTGGCTTTCTTGGGTGTCATTGTTGGTACTTTCTTCGCTTTATTGACGACACCCAAATTTGAGAAATTGTTCAAGAAGGTATGTGATGAAAAGAATGGTAAACCTGATCCCGAAGATCGTTTACCTGGTATGATGTTCGCTGCTCCTTGGGTTCCTGTTTCTTTGTTCATCTTTGCTTGGACTCCTTACCCATGGTGCCATTGGATTGGTCCCTGTATCTCCGGTATTCCTTTCGGTTTCGGTATGGTTATTCTCTACTATGCAGCTAATAACTACATCATCGACTGTTTCCCTCGTTATGTAACTTCCGCTTTGGCTGCCAAGACCCTTATTCGTTCCGGTTCTGGTGCTGCTTTCCCACTTTTCATCAATCAAATGTATCACAACTTGGGTAACCAATGGGCAAGTACCTTACTCGCTTTCATTGCTATCGCTATTATGCCTATTCCTTTTGCTTTCTACAAATGGGGCGCCTCTATTCGTGCTAGATCTAAGAGCGCCTCATAAAGAAATTCTCCCTTACAATCGTCAACCATCCCCTCCCTAATCCTTACCATTACTCTTACTCAAATTTCGACCCTTCATATTTCCTCGTTCTCAAAGGACATGAACATATTCCTCAATACTCTTATCTCTTAATCTCACTACTTGATATTACTGCATTTATTTATATTCTTTAAATATTTAAATTATTTCATCCCCATGTACATGTACATAAGTATCACTTTTTGCTTTTTAATAAATATCCACTAGACTAATTGTTACTAGATCTTCTAAAGTAAAGACTATCTCGGCTTCATTGTCTTGTATGAAGTTGTACAAAAGAAATATGACGGTTTTCTCTTTAATGTAAAAGTCTATTCATTTATTATCGAACCTCTCCTGTTTAACTACACTCCTTTTTTTATGAGGGATCTACTCGAGCTTCTCCCCAATATTTCTCTTGCTGTTTTATACATTCCTGTACTTTTCTTTTTGCTCAAAATTCTATGTTAATTAGCTTATAACGGAGTAGTAATGAGCTACTTTCGACTTGAAGCATCGCCATCAGTTCATTCAACCGACATACATCAAAACCATGCCACCTTTGGCTTGAGTAAGAAAAACTTTCAGCTAAGCGAAGCACAGGAAGCTGACAACAGCACTTTATCAAGTATCCAGTTAAAATTGGATCTTCCTGGTTTTGAAGGATATTTACCTACTTATTGGCCCGGACAACACATTACTGGTGAGATCAAGCTGGATTTGAAGCAAGCAATGACACTCACACATTTGCGAATAGCACTCTTTGGTAATGTTCAGGTATACGGGAGCCGTCCTGGACAACCTATTAATAACGGCCTTTTCGATTATTCAAAAAATGTTCAGCTAATAAATACTGGTATACGAGTGATGAAGAAGGCATCCCCACCAAAAAACGGCAATGCTACAACTTTAGGAAGAGATCTTATCAATGGACAACAACAAACAGATGATGTTGAATCACAATTGTACAAAAGTATCATTTCCAACCACACAGAAACTGATGAATCCGAAGCTTTTCAAAGTTTGATAAGCTCTAATGCAAATTCACATAAAGAATACAAGTTTAAATCTCTTGATATAAACAGCAACCATAAGAAAAAACAGCGGAAGAAAACACCAGAAGATCGACATATAGAATTCTTAATAAGAAAGATAGCTGCAATTACGCATAATGAGAACAACAAAAGCAACGGCATTTTGGACAATTTCATTCGAGTGCCAGACACTGAGCAATTGAGACAACACGTTGCAGATAAATCCAGGAACAATTTCGAATTGGATGCCAATACATATAAGATCCGCTTTTCTCTACGCGTACCAACGTCGTATCGATTAGCTGGTAGCTTTGATCATCCACACTACCCAATTTGCCATCGTATTGTCGCTTTAATGAAATGTAAACCTCTTAGTGAAGAACAGAAGCAGCAAAAAGAACTGACTTATTACTCTACCGTCAAGATATCCCTTGAATCCCATGTAAACATGCATTCCGCTGAATACCAGAAGTGCGTACAAACTGAAGTTGTCTATCAGCACATGAATAGCCGTTCCTTATTTTACAACTATATGCTTTCTTCTTCAAGCACTCTGTCTTCCTGGGTGCAAAGGCTACTTCATTCAAATCAAAAAAGGACACCAATTGAGTCTCAAGAAACATCGCCTTCAAGAATATTTTTATCGTCTTATTTGCGAGCTTATGCCGAAATACACCAACAAGTGTTCCTACGCTCGCAATTCATACCGCTTCAAATAAAACTTGATAACCATACCCAACCCCACTTCAGTATTACAGTCATCAAAATTACAATCGATTTTTTACGCCGTATTTTCATGACATGTAGTCTCAGTGAAGAAGTAGAGAAGAAATTGATCACATCCAAGTGCGTGGAGTTCTCTTTGGGAACAACGAGGAATGATGCAGAGGCTGCTGCTTCTTTCTCGCATTTGTTTGAACCTGACACACGACACTGCTTCGATTTATCTAAGGTATTGAAAATTCCAGAAGACTGTTCTTGCACAATAGCACCAGAAACTACAAAACAGGTGTACGGCTTGGGTTATGACCTTGAAATTAGGATAGAAGTGAGTGGCGTGTTAACCGAAGCAGTATGGCAATCTAAGTCAGCTAATTTGAAGAAAGATATAGCAGCAACAGAAAGAATATATGTAGCAACAGACAAGCAGATAACAACCCATCCGGAATTTAAGCCTTATACACCGTATTGTGAGCCTTATTATCACAAATTGAAGAAATATACATTGCAACTTAGGCCTTTGAATGTTGCAGTAGCAAATTCAACATGTTAAGAAATTAATAAATCATTAGCATTTTCGGTTTCGAGCTTGGCAATACGGTAAAATGGAGGGAGGTTACACCTTTCATGTTCGCAGGAGTCTTGTTTTTTGATTGCTCAAGAGCGTCTCAAGCACTGAGACTTTTTTTTTTAAAAAAATGAGGGGTAATTTTGAACTCCAGCTCAAGACGTCATTTTGGCTTTATTTCATGTGGGGAAAAACTTCTGCCAAACTGGGGGTGAAATATTGCACACAGCAGCGAAAAGTGAACAAGCTGCCATACAAGAAAGAAACAAAGAGCTATTCCTTTCCATTCTTTCTTTTTATTACTTTAAATCCACCCCCCTCTCTCTCGAGCTCAACTTGTAATACAAATGTTGAAACCTAATACGCTTCAACGTGGTAAATATAACATTCAAACACCCCTTGACGCTTTTCAGTTACCTATGCAGATGCCAAAAAAAAGAGTAGATCACTTACCGTCTATTTAAACATAAAGCTCTTCCAGTATTAGCACGTCGACAAGTCACAGCTATTCCTTCTATTACAGCACGTCGTACGTTCGCCACAGAGGCACCTCCGGATCCAAACGCTAACCCCATTACAGGCAAAACAACTTTCGGCAATTTGCATGACGATGATCGTATCTTTACCAATCTCTATTTAAAGCATGACTTCAAGTTAAAAGGTGCTTTAAAAAGAGGAGACTGGTATAAGACAAAAGAGATCGTTTTGAAGGGTCATGAATGGATTTTGAAAGAAATGAAAGAATCCGGCCTCCGTGGCCGCGGTGGTGCCGGTTTCCCTACTGGCCTCAAGTGGAGTTTTATGAACAAGCCTTTAGACGGCCGGTAATTTCACATTGAAAATACTTACTTGGATTGAAAAAAGAGAACTTTATCCTATTGATCATTGGAACTCATTTTATAATTATATTTGGTACTATTGTATACACCTATCTATTACAGTCCTCGTTATCTCGTTATCAATGCAGATGAAGGCGAACCTGGTACCTGTAAGGATCGTGAAATTTTGCGCGGCGATCCACACAAATTAATTGAAGGCTGCCTTATTGCTGGTTCTGCAATGAAAGCCAATGCTGGTAATATATAGTTTTTATCAAAATTGTAGATCCAAATTATTACTAAATCACAATTATCAAAATAGCTTACATTTATATTCGTGGAGAATTCTATCAAGAAGCAACCCATTTGCAGATTGCCATTGATGAAGCTTATAAAGCTGGATTAATTGGTAAGAATGCTTGTGGAACTGGATATGATTTTGACGTCTATATTCACCGTGGTGCTGGTGCTTATATTTGCGGTGAGGAGACCAGTTTGATTGAATCGATCGAAGGCAAGCAAGGTAAGCCCAGATTGAAGCCTCCATTCCCTGCCGATATCGGTCTTTTCGGCTGTCCCACTACTGTCACCAACGTCGAAACCGTTGCTGTCGCTCCAACAATTCTTAGACGGTAAGCGAATCGAAAAGATATGAAACACAGAGTAACCATATGTATAAGCTAAATCTCCTCTGTATTTCAAATCAGCGGTGGATCATGGTTTGCTAGTTTTGGTCGTCCTCGTAACTCCGGTACCAAACTTTTCTGTGTTAGTGGACATGTCAACAATCCTGCTACTTTTGAAGAGGTAAATACAAAGCCATAAAAACGAAAAATCCAATGAGAGATATAACTACAAAGTGGACGATAAATACTAAGATTATTGGGCTATAGGAAATGTCTATGCCTTTGAAAGAAATGATTGAAAAGCATTGTGGTGGTGTTCGCGGTGGTTGGGATAACTTACTTGGTATTGTCCCAGGGGGTTCTTCTGTACCTGTTCTTCCCAAGTCGATATGTGAAGATGTTTTGTAAGTTCTCTAAATCTATAGAGTAGGGTGATATTGTTTCGCTGAGCAGTTTTTTTTTGACTATAGAATGGACTTTGATGCCCTCCGTGATGTCAATTCTGGACTTGGAACAGGTAAGATATATTGTAATAGCGGCAGTATTTGTTCATGACTAACAAATAAATATCAAACTGTTTTAACTACTTTAATAACACTGTTCTTACAGCTGGTAAGTTCGCATGGGTATATATGAATATTCTTCTGAGCGAACCAATACTAAAGAATGATTTACGAATCTAGCCGTCATTGTCATGGATAAAAGCACAGATATTGTAAAAGCAATTTCCAGATTCTCTAAATTTTACAGACATGAATCATGCGGTCAATGTACGCCATGCAGAGAAGGTACAAAATGGTTAGAATCCATGATGGATCGTTTTGAAGTTGGCAGAGCCAAAAAAGAAGAAATAGATCAAATCTGGGAACTAACAAAGCAAATTGAAGGCCACACCATTTGTGCCCTTGGTGATGCAGCAGGTAAACGATCACTTCATTTTAGGTAGCATTCAATAAGGACTGAATGCTGAAGATATCTTTATAATTTATAGCATGGCCAGTACAAGGTTTAATTCGTCGTTTCAGACCAGAGTTAGAAGCAAGAATAGAAAAATTTAATGCACAAAACAACTACGCCAAACTTGAATAGATATTATTATTTGATCAAATAGCTGTTTCCATTTATTGACTAGTATATTTTACCCCGCGAAATAAAACCTATTTTCCGCTTCAGCTGTGTACCGTATTGTCTTTAATGCCAACATAATGCAGAATGTCACAAATAAGGGTTTCTACTATCTACAACTTGCATGAACGGTGCCTGAACGGTGCCTGAATTAGTAAATTTTCATCGGCTATAATAACAGATTTTCAAATTGGTTGTCGATAATAACTCTTTGGTGAGTATTGTTTTAAGAGAGGCGGCTTTTTCATTGAAGTTGTTTGTTCTTGGACATGTGGTGTAAGTCAATGTTTTACGTGCTTACTGTTTATCAATGCAGAGTAGTAAAAATAGTTTTTATACAAATGCAGACATTATGAGTTTTATAGGTGAGCTTTTTTTTTTTTTTACTTCTCAGCACTTTTCTCCTCGCTTATGACTCATTGTCAATCCTTTCATGAACGGGGATGGTGATCAGTCGGACCTTTCTACCATTGGAAGTATTAACGATGACTTTTGCTGTAGTCAGGTTGATCAGTTCGTTCTGGTATATTCATCTGGATACGTTCACGGTGTTTTCCGAAATGAGAAGATTTTTAACTCGCCTTGGCCCGACAAAAAGGCCAAGGCGAAGGCTTAAGGTGAAATTTTTCCATTTTACTGTTTTCTTTTCCTTTATATACCGTTAGATATATGCGTCCAAGTGATATTCCTCGTTCCTCTGTGACAATTAATATATATACCCAACATTGTTCCTTATCTAACTTTAAGGGCTCACAAAAGTAGGCTGCTGAGCTTTTTATTTACATTTGTATTAATGAAAAACATAGGCGGCCTATTAAGTTTCCTTTTGTATACCCTGTCACTGCAATATATCAAGCATTTTGGCACTAACTATTTATTAGCATCGAGCAACTATATAAACACTTGCTTCCTCAATTTCATTTAAGTTTCACTAAGTTTGATATATATTAAAATTTTCTTGTGAATGAGCACAAGGCTTGGAAGTTCGAATTCTGATATAGTGCGCCATAAGCGTTCAATAAATTTGTGTCAAATAGTCATTTATATTGTCTGTACAAAAGTATACGCTAAAAAGATACGTAGACTGATTGAAAGTGTGTTAAACGGGAAGGGTTATAATAAGTTGTTTTCTTCATTTTTTGCTTATAACAAGTTTCTATTTAAGCATTTCATTAATGAACAAAAAGGAACCCGCATTAATACTGAAAGCTTCCTTTTAACGTCTCTTTTTCTTGCTGCCTCTGACATCTTCAAAATCACCACGTCTCTTTGCTTTACGTTCATCTTCTTTTCGTGCGTCTTCCTCTAACTGATCCCAATCTTCTCCAGATTCTGATAATTCCTCTTCTTCTTCTGACTCACTATAAGCGTCAGAGTCTACTCCACTGTCATCATCGTCCGAGGAACTTTCGTCAAAATCGTCCTCACTCATTTCAAATTCACTGCCACTCTCACTTCCTGCATCAGATCCCTCCTCCTATAAAAAAAAACAAGAAATTGAGCCTGGTAATTCCTATGGTCGGATGAAACTAAGGCTTGCTTACATCACTGCCTTCTCCAAGGAAACCCCAGCCGCCATTACGGAAGAATTCTCCTGGATCGTCATTGACTGTTTTCATAATCATTCCCCAATTCAAATTGACAGGACCTTCTGTAAAGGCTACTTCAACAGAACTAGAATGCAATTATTGTACTTTAGTCGATATCTAAACTGTTGTTTTTCTTGCTTTTTTGTACACTTACTCTAACCAATCCTTCACATTGTCCAACTGTGACATAGGAATCGTATTGATATGAACCGGTGTACGATGTAAATCCTTAAATACAAACACCATATCGAAGTTCTTCAAGCCGAATTGAACACGCTCCAAATGAGCCAGTTCTACTTCATTTAGCGATATGACAAGGAAAGGTGGATCGGATAAGTGCACCAAACAATCTGTGGTGGGCTGAAGTAAAACGTTGGATCGATTAGGCACACCTGTGAAGCCCAATTCTCTGAACGGTACATCCAACTCTACACGACCATCACTAGCCTCAGCAATCTTTTCTGCAAATGATTTGAATTCTTTGTTCAAATTTGCGCGACGACGGCGTTCTTCTTGCTCCATCTCCATTTCGTCTTCATCACCATACATATGTCGGTTACGACGTTTGTTACCGGTTTCATCAAACTGAATATCAGAAGCTTCACGATAAAACTGAATATCCTTAGTCTTCTTTTTGCCAACAATGATAGGGTTTTTGAAGTGGATATGAATCAAAACGAGCAGTTCGTTATCACAAGGTTGAAAGAAAAGATGTTTGATGTTGCTGAATAAAATGTTGAAAGATGAGTCTGAGCGGATAGATTGGTAACGGAGACCGTTTTGATGTATCTCCAACTCTCCGGGCAAACGGCGAGATTCGTTTTGAGGACGGACAAAAACATCTTGAAGACGTAAAGGACGACGGCCTTTGACCATAATCAGATTATCTTGTTCAACAACATCGGCCATTTCACGACGTTCTGCTTCTTTCTTAGTGGCTTCTTTCTTCATATCAGTGATACTTTTGAAAATTTCATTCATGCGGTAGGTATCAGCACTTCTAAAAGTCAAGGCACGAACAAAAGTGGCACTGGGGTCATCAAAGGGCATGTCTTCTCTCTTACCACCAGCTTGACCAGGTGTTAGGAAATTTAGACGAAGCATCACGTAGTCACCTTCATCACTTTTACTTGCATTTTTTAAAGTGGATATATGGAAAGGTACCGCCATACCGTAAATAGGAAGAATGATAGAATCGTGTTTCTTATCAATGACAATCTTCAAACTTCTCACTTCACGGGGCAGTTTGGTTTCTGAACGATAACTTTCGAATTTACGAAAAACAGGCTTTTCCTCGCCATCACCTTGACCGGATGATTCAGAGAATCGTGCAAGACCTTCTGCTAGCTTTTGAGCGAATAGTTGTTTTTGATGTTCGCGACGTTTCTGTTCCCGAGACTCTTCTTCTTGATCTTCATTTCTCAATTTGCTTCGAAGAATAGCGGATTTGGTAACAGCAGCTTCACGTTTGACAGTAGCAGCTGGACCTGTTGCAGCAGGGTTCTTCTTATCCACATCCATTGCGTCTTTGTCTTCATCATCATCAAAAAAGTAAGAGATCTTATTGAGTTTTTTACTGCAATCGGCTGTCAGTACAATAGGAACATCGTCTGTGACACGTACGGTATCAATCAGCATTAAAGCATACTTTTGACCACGACTGTCGGTAGCTTTGGGATTCTCCAAATCAGAGAAGCCAACTTGTACGTTGAGTACCATTCCGCTCTTCAATTCACGACTGTTTTTAGGATTTAATACATAATTTGCTTCACGGAATTCAATACCCATACCAAAGCCAACTGTTTTGATAAAATTCTTTTCCAAATCAGGACGCTTAGATTTTATCAATGCCAAAGCCTTGTTGTAAACGTCACGAATTTTGACACCTTCACGAATTGTACTCAAAACTCGGTCTTGAACCTCCATTAAAAACTCATAATTTTTTTCTTGTGCCTTTGTGGGATCAATCAAAAACGTACGTCCAACGTTCGAGCAATAATATTTGTATCGAACACCCAAACTACATAATATTACACCAGGATATAATTTGTCGTTGTTAGAACTAGCTGAAGATCTTAGATCAAATTTTCCTCCACTCTGAACAATAGGAGAATAACACCAATCTACATCATCCTTATTGTCAACCTATTGATATACACATTATCATATTAAGGGGATCAATATTTTACGCAGTGCAGATGGCATCTTCCGTTTCTATAACTTACTTCTGCTGGAAATTTGATACGCTTTTCAAACTTTGGGTTTTCTAGTGCATTTTCTGTGAGCTCACTTAGTTTTTCATGTGTGATTGGCTTTTCTTCATCAATATAAGTGGACATTTCTGCCGAAAAAAAGTTCTGCATCATATTTGAACTAAGCTTAGCTGCAGTTTTAATGTTTCTCTAATGATAGGGGGTTATTGTTAATGAGTGATCGAACTCAAAGGATACTTAATCATTCTTTTAAAGTGTACTCTAACTTACAATCTCTTCTTCATCTTTTTCAGCTAGACAAGCTGAGATAGCGACGGAAACATCTGCTTCTTCGTAGTCTTTGTTGTATTTTACGCAAGCTTTCTGCCATTCATCTATGTTCTTGCCCTTGAATTTATCCTTGACGAAAACACCAACACGTTTCTTCGAGGAAAAAAAAGGGTATCCAATCGAATAAGAACGAAGTTACGTTAGCGCTCAATAGTGCAATTAATCCAACTAAACTTTTTCATCAGTGGCTGACATACTTTGTTTAGTGATTTGATGATATCTTCGTATAATAGTACATTCTCCTCTACATTCTTCCCTCTGCGGATTATCTCAACAGGGATTTGCCTGTCACCCTGTTTGAGAGTTTCCATAATATCTGCCTTCTTCTGACTGCAAACGATGGTGATTTTCTCGGGTGTTATCAGGATAAGAGTTTGTGTAAGTTGTACGCCTAATAACCATGTCTATTTTGACGTAATGTAAATGAAGTATTGCATCGATTAGATTTTTTGTTCTCGATCTCTTGTCTGTCCAAAAGGGAATTCCCATACCTGTAACGAAAGAGACTTTAGGTATGGGTTCTCAAAGTCATCGTCCCCCACCAAGACGGAGATGGCATCAACATTCTGAAATAGCTCTGCATCGTCCTGGATTTTCGTAGTCGATCAAGGTGTGACAACCAAAGGTAAATGCAGATTAATAACTGATCTTGTTGTTTATTCTCGTCTAGTACCAAGCAAGCTGCTATACAATAGAAAATCTTTTACCTTCCACTTAGACGTTAAATAACGAGCTCGTCGATGAAAACGTTTATAGTCTAATTGTAACGACATTCGAACTAAATGGTCTCAATAAAAGAGCAAAAGAGACTGGAGAAAAAGAAAATGTGAAAACACGAATGGCACACCACCGAGTTTCAATGAAAGTCAAATCAGCACGCGTTAACACGACGCTTCTGGGTTTCTATTTTGAATGCGCCGTCTGCTAAATGTTCTCAAAAAATTATCCATTCATAAAACTCTTGTAGCAGTATCAGTAGTAAAGTTAAAGAAAAGATAGTCAGTAGCCGAACAAAACTACAGCTAATACGGGAGCTTTGTTAGATGACTTATTGTTATGCCTCAAATTTTAAAAGCCTTAACGAGTAGGCTTGGTATGAGTTCTAGATCTATCTGGAAAAGTTATCATGTAATTCCATAGCGTATTCCAAGACGGCACTGTTTGGTTCCAGCTGCAGCAGATATAAATGTTATTTCCTCGTTCTTTGGTTTTTATAGAAAGTCTTCGTCTCGTTCTGGCTCGAGCTACGCGAGACACTAAAATAAAGCATAAGGTAACCATGCGTAGTAAGTCTTATGCTGACGAGGCAACTGTTAGATATTGTTGTTGTGCATTTATTCTATTTAAAAAAGGCTCAATCAAATGATGCAATGCCCAGCATGCCAGATATATAAGGTGGACAAGTTCAGCTCTTTTTACCTTTTTTTTTTTCAACTTGTAGGATAAACATTTACAGTCAGTTACAATTCCATACAGAAAATATTAGAGTATTTTCGGTTTTTAATTTAGACCTTCTTGTATATAAAATTGGATATTTTGATTGACTTAATTCAGAAATTTTAAGTCATTATTCTCGGACTAGTTACTTTTTACATTTGGACACTTGTAGTAAACATCTGAGGCCCGCCTCTTTTTGCACGCATTTGTTGCAGTAAGTTTCGTTGTTTGATCGGCCCAGAAAAATTACCTACATTCTCCTTAGCTGCCATTTGAACTGGTTGTCCAGTTGTATTCTATATAAATGACTCACAATCCTATATTTTCATTGACTGCTCAGCATCTCTCTTGATCTAAAATCGTGTCACTTTAGTGTCATTTTTCCCTTAAAGAAAGCAATAACAATAGGTGATTGTATAAATTAAGTTAAATGCCTGTTTCTTGTCAGTAACTGATGAAGTGATAAATAAACGTGTCTCAATTTGGTGTCAAAATTTAGCGCGTCTAAAGAAATCTATTTAGATTGTTTTTGTTGTCCAAATATAACATTCTAACAAAAAGTTTCAGTTTATAAAAAGGTAAAAAGTTGGTACCTTTTCCCTTTTTTTATCAGAGTCTAGTTGGATATTCTTTAAAAAATTATTAAAGAAGTCTTAACAGTGGATCATCAGGTAGATTAGAATAAGATCTCATCACGACCTACTCACAACGACTGTACTGTACATATTTTGTTTGTAACTTTTGAGTAGCTTTTTTAGCATGCCGTCAAGAGAAGCAAAAGTTTACCTTGAAGCAAAGTTGAAGAAAAAGCAGCAGCAAGAAAATAAAGAAAGTCAGTTCATTATTGCTGTATTTTGTTTACTATTCGTTTAAGTACTCAAACAGAATCGTTGAACCATTAATTTCTAGAAACATGTTTTGATTGTGGACGGGAAGGACATGCCCATAAGGGCTCATACTTGTGTCCAGAATATAATGGTAACAGATAGCTGAAGAGGTAGTATTTCCTGTTCATTTTCACTGATATTCTGTTCATACGCTTTTCTAGCCTAGAAACGAAAGTGCGGAAAAGACGAATACGAAACAAAGCAAGCTAAAGAGAAGGGCAAAAAGAGAAGGCTAGAAGCGAGAAAAGCATCGCCATCGAATACTGTGAGTTTAAAACCTCAAAGGTGGATCCCAAATTGCCAAATCAAGTGCCCTTCTCTAAAAGTAATGTCATTTTCGTAGGTTTGTAACAATTGTAATAGTGTCGAAATGAAAGAAGTACGAATTTCGGACGGCTCCAGCGTCTATGGTACCAAGGCCTGCAAAACCTGTGGTATAATATGGCAAAGAGACGTCAATGCGGCCAAAAATATGCTTACTATTGCAAATTCCGTATGGGAACACAATGGCCGCCCCGACATTTTCTCTCGCCATCGCCATAACGAAAATGGTGCTGCAGGTTCTAGGTGAGTTCATCTTGTGAAATTTGTCACTGTACATTTCTGGGGTTTTATTAACTGCTGCTTGACGTTACTACATACTCAAACAGGGCAGATATTCTGTGCTTTGGCACAGTATATTTACCTTGTTTGAGTAATAGTAGTTCGCACATTTGGCATTGAGCATTTTGACAGAAAAGGTATGATCCCAAAAATTATACTTTTCATCCAAAATAATTTTCAAATTAGTCTGAATTTTAACTGTAATATAGTCTCAATTTAATAGCCATTTCGTGCGAAAGTCAAGCGGAAAAACAGTGGAAAGGAAATTGTCTATTACTGTAAGGTTATTTGATGTTTAGCATTTGGAAATGATGAAATTATTGAGTAGGGGAGGGGTGTAATAACCTTTTTTGTGATGAACAGAGCATGTATGTTTCACCAACTGAAAAGTGGAAAGGGAAAGAGATACTATAGTATCTGTAACATGCTACATTTTTTTGTTGGGATCTCAAATACTGCTCTTGCATAAGGCGATAGCAAAAGCCGGCAAAGAAACACGTAATGCATTGCTTCTGCAAGCACTCTTTTTCATTGCTGCGATCTGTGGCGAAAAAGCTTTTCTCTTCTTCCAAAATGCTGAGTAAAACCCTATTGGGTAATGCAAAGGTGGAGACAACATACATAGGACTTTCAAAATTTTTTCTTGATATTTCCATGCGAAATGCAAAGTCCTGTTGAATTTCGTATTTCTTTCCTATTTGTCAGTTATCTATCAACGTACCTAACAAATGCCTCCAGCATCTACTCTCTCCTTCAAAGACCGTGTCCTCAATCTCATCAAGGTAAGTTTTATGAGCGGGCAGCGCTATGCACTCAATACTTTAGTTGACCTATGTCTGACTTTCCAGTTTGTCATTTAGACACTTCATTTCGTTTGGTTTTTGGGTCATGTGTTGACAGTTCTCGGCACAGTGTTTTATGCCATCAGCTTCTTCAGCAACAACTATCTGTATAGACTAGCATATCTTGGCACATTGTTGTCGTATGGTGTTGTTAACTATAAAAATCATGGTGTAAGTTTCGGCAACTCATAATAGTTGGCCATTCTTATCGTGTTAGTTAACAGCCATATGTCTCTTTTTAGAAAATTCAAGTACATGCAGCCTATATTCAAAAGTTGCTGATGGACGAGAATGCACAATACTTTTTTCTTGCCTTCTTTTGGTTCCTCACAAAGCCTATCGCAGGTAAAGTAAGATACGGAATTTATTCGCGTTGACAGCAATATGCATGCATAGAGAGAGAGAGAGACAAACAGACAGACAGACAGAGAGAGTGAGAGTGAAAAGGATCATGAAAGACTATAGATACCGTGGGATAAAGTTTATGGTTTGACTAATGATACCTTTGTGTCTCAATATTTAGTGACCTTAATCCCTTACTGTACATTTTCCGCTTTCCATGCCCTTGGTTATGTACGTACAAATGTCATTCCTAACGTATTCCCTCCTCAGTCTACTACTGCATCTACTACGGCTACTGGCAGCACCACTACTGCTAAGCCATCATGGCAAATAACAACCCAACAAAAAATTAAAAGTTTGACTGACAAATACTATACTACTGCAATGCGATTTGTTGCTCAATCTGAAGTTACTCTTATTGCTGTTCGTTTACTCGTCGGTGTGTTCCGGTAAGTCTTCAAGTCTTTACAGTTTGGTCCGTATTCGAGCATATCTATCCTTTTACTGATATATATGACTTTCATATAGCTTTCAATTCTTGCCTTTCATTATCTACGCGCAATTCCTTCGTATGCGTTATCACTTGTCATCCCATACACAACAAACTTTCAGCCAATTACGTGTTCGTTTGGATGAAATGATTTTGACAAACAATGCACCTGCAATGGTTCAGAAGATTTATAAAACTATCAAGGCGATCATCATCAGATTCGGCAATAACATTGTCCAGCAACAAGCACGACCTGCTGCCGCCCACTAATAAGTACAATTTTAGAAATGTAGAACATAAGGACAAGATGTACGGGTATTTTGTATACTCTGATAGTATGCTGAAGATCTGGTAATATACATATAAAGCTTATTTTCTTCATACTATCCCTGAATTATTGTTAGTTAAAAATCTGTATACATATCCCCAAGCATGTGTATAAAATACTGTTATTTTTAAAAATATTTGATAAAAAAGTTTGTACATCTTGTGATTTATAACAATGCAACTTCTTTAATTTTATTTGTGTGATGTATACAATAATACGCAAATGCAAAAATATTCAAGATAAATGTTTTCAGACTTATAGTTGCATTCTGAACGAAGAGAATTATAAGATTTTATTTACAAACTTTGCTTTCTTGCTACTTTAAGCGGTACCCTTGACGTTCTCCTTTATCCAATCAGCAACAGCTTGATTGTCTCTCTTGACCCAGTTTGCATTTACTCTGCATCCTTCTAAAGCTTGCTCTAAAGAACGAGCATATTCCTTTGTATCCTTTTGAGCAAAGAAAGCTTCAATCTCCTTAATACGATCAAAGCAGACAAAACCACCTACAGAAGAACGAACAATGGACCCAAACAAGCTCAAAGATTTGGCAAACTTGCTGTGCAATAGATCATATTTCTCAGTGAAGAACTTCCAAAGAAGGTCACGGCCGTCAGGGTTGGATGATAAAGAGCTAAACACGTAAAGAGAATCTTGGTTACGCACTTCCTTTTCATCTAAAGCCATTGATAAATAACGTTGGATTAAACTATGACTCTTGGCTTGACCTAAGGCACTTAGAGCGACCAAGCGTTGATCAGTAGGTAATTTATCGTCCTTGTAGATTTGGTAGATTTGTTCCCAGACCTTCGTTTCTTCAGATTCGTCTTCTGAGGCAGCGTATAAAGCAATACCATAGGCAGTGCTACGAAGATCAGGATGAAGAGCGTCGGTATTGCCCTCGGCAAATTGCCAGAAGCGCTTCTTAGCTTCCTCAACAGTCTGTTGGTCATACGATTTACCAGCATTGGAAAGAGCAAGAACACGCAAAATGCTTGTGAGATAATCGTCTTGACGAGAAGCTTCCCAGCCAAGCTTATGAGCGATAGGAGCAAACAAGCTGCGACGAAGGGTTTTGAGACCATCACGAACTTCTTTAGGTTGGGTATACCAAACACTAAGGATTTTACCTAAGTGTCCACTTAATTGTGACCAAACACTAGAATGAACAAAGTAATAATTAGAAAAGCAGTTTTTTTTTTTGTTTTTTTTTTTCCCCAAGCAAAAAACAATTATTCTCAAAATATAAACTTACAAATAGTTTTCTTCATTAGCAAAAGCTTGAGCAAGTTCTAAAAAGGCAGTAGTTGATTGCTGGCCACTAACGCTTAAATTACCAGCATCAGCCAATAAACCAACACGATCATTGGTATTAGCCAGAAGACCATCTTTACCCTTTTTAACTTCTTCACCCAAACGACGGATAACGTCTATAGGATAGTTCACACGATAGACAGCAGTTTGGCTAGCATTTAGCTTGAACAAGCCATCGGAAGGAATCTTGAACGTTTGTGTCTTTTCAGTTAAAATGTGATCTTCTACATGACCTCCAGAAGTAAGCATACGAAGGGGTGCCCACCAAACTGTAGTATCTTCCTCCTCCTTCAAATCACCAGTTGAGAGATAACGGTTTTGAGTAACGTTAAAAGTACTTTCATTTTGATTAGTTTCAACCGTCAATACAGGATAGCCAACACGTCTAGTCCATTCGGTCATAAACTTGGACACATCTTCATTGGCTTCTTCGCTCAACGCCTTCCATAAATCGCCGGTAGAAGCATTGCCCAACCTATGACGATGCAAATAACGACGAACACCTGCCAAAAAGACATCAACACCGAGCCAAGAGCTCAACATACGAATAACACTGGCACCTTTATAGTAAGAAATGGCATCGAAAATTTGGTGAATTTCAGCTGGGTCGTTAACGGTGACTTCAATAGGATGTGATGAACGAAGAGCATCCAAACTTAAGGCACGAGGCATATCATCGTTTACAAAAGAAGTCCACACATTCCATTCAGGGAAGATATTGTCGACTGCCAACCAACCTACCCAGGTGGCGAAACCTTCATTAAGCCACAAATGCTCCCACCATTCCATAGTGACTAAGTTACCGAACCATTGATGAGCAAGTTCATGACAGACTGTATAAGCGGTGCTCTTCTTAAACATGATTGAAGATGACTTCTCGTCGAATAAGATGGCAACTGTTCTGTAGGTGATTAAACCCCAATTTTCCATAGCACCTATATAGAAATAGGTTATCAAATTTGATCAGACGACAAATGATGCATGAAAAGTTTTTGCTTCATCATAATTGATTTCCTCACTGCTCAACCCCTTTCTTTTTCCACCTCAGTTTACTTACCCGCTTCAAAATCAGGAATAGCAATCATATCCACTTTAGGTAGAGGATAGGGCTCACCAAAAACCTTGGCAAAGTATTCAAGGGCAGCAGTACAGACATTTAAAGCATGACGACCATGTTCAGCAGAACCAGGGAGGGCATAAACACGAGAGCGAATTGGTCTACCATTATGTTCACCACTGGTAAAAGCTTCAATATATTCGAAAGGACCGACACAGAAAGCTAAAAGGTAGGTACTCATCATGGGTGTAGTAGAGTACTTGACTTCTTTCAGGCTTGTTGCTGTAGCAGTGCCTTCAGTCTTGCCTTCGGTCTTGCCTTCAGTCTTGCCTTCGGTCTTGCCTTCAGTCTTGCCTTCGGTCTTGCCTTCAGTCTTGCCTTCAGTCTTTCCTTCTGTTTTGCCACAAGGTACATTGGTCAATTTGCCAGTATCGTGATAAGGTTTCTCAGAAATGACATCCATATTTGAAAGGGCAACCAAATCAGAAGGTACTATCAAAATGACATCAAAGGTAGCCTTAAGACTGGGTTCATCCCAACAAGGGAAAGCACGGCGAGCATCAGTGGATTCGAATTGAGTAGTAGCCAAGTATTTCGTATTGCCTTGAGCATCTTTGTAAGATGAACGATAAAAACCGGCCATAGCATCATTGAGTTCACCTTCGAAATGAATGTCGAGAACTGCTTTAGAATTGGCAGGAATAGATTCTTTAAACGTTAAGATAGCCAAATCCTTGGTAGTATCATATGAAATTTTGGTCGCAGTTTGCCTATTAAACAATTATACATATGGTTTAATGATAAGATGGGGGCATATTCTATATATTCTATCACAGTGTTTCCCATTGATAAATGATTTATAAGCAATCAAATAGGTCCCTTGTCAACCATAAATGTCACTCCCTCTCTTCAATGAAACAACATCCTCGGTATGAACTGCTTCAATTACCAACCATAAAACTTACTTTGACTCTGTTTTAAGTCCCTCTGTACATATAGATGCAGAATAAATCTTGATATCCCGTGCATTTGTTGTAATAACAGTTGTATCCTCGATTACGTTCAAGCTAAAATGTATGAATATTAGATGTTACTACGGGTGAGGCAAATCAACTTGAAGTAGACGCGTAAGAAATAGTATTTTCCGTATTAAACGTACTTGACTTTGACTTGACCATAAAAAACAAAGGTCTCCAAATTAGGTTGCAAGGTTAAATCGTAGTGAGTAGGCTTGACATTTGTAGGTAAAACCTGACGATTAGGGTGAGCGTTGGGGGCCATTTCGTTCTGAGACGTATGATAGATTCGAAATGAAAGAAAAAGAAAAAGCGGCAAAAGAAAAAATCGAGCGTGGTAAAGTGTTAAATGCAGCTTCCTTGCTTTCGTCTTACATAAGAATTTTTTTTTTTTTATTTCAGCTAGCCAAACCCCACCTTTAGTTCCAGTACAAATTTGGAGGGATTCTCCAAATATGGAAATTGAAAAAAATGACAGGAAGGTTGTTGAGAGCACACAATCGTATTACACTCAAGAACTGTAATACACATGGCATGATCAGGTTTAGCGACAGCATATTTACGAATGATCAAGGTTATCACATTACGAAAAAAGATATGTCTAATAGGGTGATGTAAAGGATTTTTGAGCTATTACTCTTCATAATAGTCAAATCATGATTGGCGTATAATTTCAGGCACAAATACAAAGCGATAAATAGATTGAATATGTTCATTGTAATATCGTTATCATGGGTAATAAATGTAAACATGCAATAATTCTATAACATAATTTAAGGGTTTGGGAATGGAGCGATAAGATAATTTAACGGAGAATGGTCAACATGTACTCCCCAACATAACACAGGTATAAATCAATAAATAAAGAGACACGTACGTCTTTGCAGGCAATGGGTTGCAAATTTTAGGTAAAGTATTTCCGTTTAGGCTTTTTGTTCTTTTTTTCAGGATGAATTGGCTGCTCTCCATACCAGATCTTTAGCCTTTCTTCACCGTATACACCTCGAACAACCCGCTTCTTGGTCGGCTCTTCCTTTTGTAGTCCTCTTCTGGCTTCTTCCTGCATTCTTTTCCTCTCTGCTAAAAGTGCCTTTTGTTCTTCTATATATGCTAATTTTGCAGCTTTCTTGGCCTTTCTTTCCTCGATTTCCACAACATCCTGTGGGAGGCTGGGAGAGGATGAAGCGCTTGGAAAGTTAGTGGCACTGGAAAGCGTCTGTTCGCTTCTAACGTTCGTACGGCTGACACTACTGCTATCGCTAGTATATCGAGTGTTTTCTTCGTTCTCTCCACTGTATTCCAAATCGTCTGTTGGTATTGACTCGACTGTACTCTCCCTCGCCCTTGAATTTCTATTTCTGTCAGTGTCATTGGTGTTCGTTCTAGAGATGTACTGATCCATTCTTGTCTGACCATCGTCCAAAGGCTTGTTCTTTTCTAATGCATTAAAGTCGATATATTCTGTATTGAAAGGATTTGGTACAGCTAGATCATCTCCAACGAGCGGTTCTCCCCATTCTTCATCCAACGATCTATTCAAGCTTGTCCCCAGAGAATCCACATCAAATTGATAGCCAACAGCTGGACAGTTTTTCTTTTCCACATAGCAGGATATTAGCCATTGAGTGGACACACATAGAATGCCTTTTTGGACAGCCTGCTTGACAACTTTCAACTGTCGATGATCGCCGTGCGGCTCAATAATTAAGTGAGTTACAAATCTGTCCATTTCTTTCTTGACAGTAGCCCCAAATCCTTCTGCAATGGATATTAATTTGGGATCTTGAATGTCTTTATAAAAGCAGATAATGTACTTGCTGAACAACTTGGGTAAATGTGTTGTATCAAAATCAGAAGAGGACAATATATTATTTGCTGTTGAAGCTAAAGAAGAATATGAAGCGGACGTCGAGGGCATATCTAGCATGGACGACGTTCTTTTTCTTCCGCCAAGCTGTTTTGATGAGCGTAACCTTCCACGTTTTACAGTGGCTTTAAATTTGAATTTGAAACTATCGTGATTAATGGGAAGCATTCAAGATCTATTGATCTGTTTTCTAGATGAACGGAAGTAAAAAGTAAAGTGTTTTCACTTGCCAAGTAAATAGTAGGTCTTTGCAGCTTTCTTTTTTTTTTCTGTTCTGACTTTGAAAAATAATTTGCGAACGCGACGCGAAGACAGACTGTTCTGACCGTTTCAGGATCATCCAAGAATATGCTTATAAGTGGCTGATAATGTAACAACGTACTGTATCTGTTTATAGAAAGCCCTAACCAACTGGTATTTTCACAAAACTTAATCAACACTTATTACGGGGCTGAATATGCAACTTAAAATGTTAGAAAGTACAGAGGACATATTGTGAATATACAAGCATTGGAGGTTTACTACCGTATTCCAAACTGCCGGCTTGTAGCAAACATAGAATGGTTAAAACCGGATGATATGCTCTATATATATTTCGGTGATGACAGTACAATCACCTGAATACAACATGTCTTTGAGACGATCGATGAAGTTCATGTTTCAGCAGCGCCACGTAACCTGCAGGAACGGGTTGCTAAAAGGTAAAGTAAAACGGAAGCGATTAGTCCATTTCCTCAGTAGCAAGCGTTTCGTACCAAGACAATTTTATTCAAAGCAGTCATCGGTTTTTTTTCATTGGTTTTTTGTAAGCTATGAAACAGTATTTATATGTCATGCCAAAGCTATAGTAAGGCCATGCTATTTCTGACTAATAAAAAAAGAAAGGTTGAAATCGGGAAGTTTATTGAACAGCTTATATTCTTTTGTTCCATTAGAAACGCCTGCTGAAAATCCCGCCGTTGAAAAGAAATGCGGGGTTGAACGGACAATAGCAGCAGGCATCTGTGCAAAGGAAAATAAAAATAAAAGACAGTCTGTCATTTCTGTCTTTGTGTACCTGCCCAGTTTACATATCAACATAGATAATCGATTATACACTTTATAGTATATATGCTACGGCAAAAAGTCAAAGTTCACATATTTAAAAATGCATATTATGCAAAACACATTTTGACCAAAGGAAGACCCATGCCACATGAGCGCATGGCGAGAGTTTTCTGCTCATGTTCACCTAGTCTATACAATCAACAGGAGATTCAAGCGTCGACGCAGTCTAACCCTACAATAACAGCAATACCATCATCACCGGCAGCAGCAGCATATTCTCGAGTAACAAAATATAAAGTCATCGAATCGCCACCAGCTCCCTCGAAACTACCGTCCCTTTATAAAGAACTCGTCAAATCTAAATTAGCTTGTCTAGTTGCTCTTACTACTATGGCAGGCTATGCGATGGCACCTGGCGGGGATTATACTGTCACGACGCTACTCGCGACGACCCTGGGTACCGGTTTATGTATTGGGTCAGCGAATGCGATCAATCAATGGATCGAAACGCCATACGACGCACAAATGCTACGTACACGAAACCGTGTGCTTGGCCGACGGGCATTATCACAAACCCATGCATTTGGGTTTGGGGTCAGTACAGGTATTGCTGGCGTTTCTTTACTCGCCACGTGTGTCAATCCGATCACAGCTGCTTTGGGAGCAATCAACGTCTTGCTCTATACCTGTGTGTATACCCCGATGAAACGGACGTCGATTGTAAATACATGGGCAGGTGCTGTTGTCGGAGCTATCCCTCCCATGATGGGTTGGGCGGCAGCTACTAACAGCATTATGGACCCAGGATGCTGGGTTCTCGGTGGCATCTTGTATGCTTGGCAGTTTCCTCACTTTAATTCGTTGGCGTGGAATTTGAGACCTGATTATTCGAAGGCTGGCTATCGAATGATGGCTGTGACCGATCCAAAGCTGAATGCCAGGGTGTCTCTAAGGTATAGTTTGGCTATGTTTCCGTTATCCATCGCGATGCCTTATTTAGATTTGACCTCTTGGTGGTTTGCATTCGATTCCTCTGTCGTAAATGGTGTGCTGGCTTATGGTGCCTACAAGTTTTGGAGGAAGAGGTAAAGAGGGAGCAGAAAAAAAAAATAATAATAATATCTATGCTCCATTATGCTAATCCCTCTTTCCAATGGCATAAAAATAGTGATGATAAGAGTGCAAAACAGCTATTCTTTGGAAGTATAGTTCATCTGCCAGTCATTCTTGCTCTAATGATGATTCATAAAAAATGGACTTCTGGAAAAGAACATGATGAAGACGATGAATATGAAGAAGTTATTCAGTGGGTGACCGACGATGAATAATACGAGTCTGCAATCGTCAAGACAGAAACAAGAAACAGAAAACAAAAAAAATAGTGTATTTGCAATCACAAGCTACTTAATAGATAAAGGAGCGGTAATAGTTTGTATATACTCTTTTTGGGCTTCATAAAGCATATTCAACCTTTTATTTAATGTTGTTGGTCTTTGTTAAAGTCGCCCATATTGGTTGTTTCGACGGGACAGCTATTGTTCCAGAAAAGAAGGGGGCAGTGATTAGTTCGAATAGATCACGATAAGAAAAAGCTCATTCTTAAAACGGATACTGTACCCAATAAAGATTAATTGTTGAAGTTGAGTTGTTTCTTCGTCCTCTTGGTTATCCACAATAAATAGCTGTAAAGGATAAAAGTCGACATTATTATTCGTATTGTAGATTGAAGCCTCATCTTATCCTTCTCAAACGAAAAATAATCCTGCAGATCAAGAACAACAATTAACTTACCGTAATACTAGTAATGTTTTGATATCTGACAAATTTTAAATTGACCACATTATCATCGTCGAAATCTTCGGGTGTCAATTCAAGTATTTGTGTTTCCTTGATAGAGTCAGCATCATCAAAACCGATATTGGTTCTATTAGCATAAATCTTGATTGTCTTAGGGGCATTGGCTGGAGAGAAGAACAAGCTGTATAAGTAAGCCATCCTCAGTCGTCAAAACGTCAAGATTCATTTTTTATCATACTGACTTTTATTTGGTGCCTTGAATTTGATGGAATGAAGTTTGACAGCTAGAACAAAATCAAATACAGAAACCGGATCAATCCTTTGATGAAATTTCTTTCATAATATACGTTTTCTTACATTGATTAAAGGGTACACTGATAATCAATTGTTCGTCGACGTCGCTTTCCAAATAACTCTCATCATCCTTGAAGATATTCTTGACATTGTGCTCTTCTTGTTGATTTAAAGCATCCATTTGATTAGGTGTGATATGCTCTGTCAAATCAACCTGTACATGGTAATGTATAGTTGGTTTGAGTAATGTATGTATCTGTACCTGTGCTCTCTGCATCGTTTCTTTTTTAATTAACTTACAAAACCAGGAACCAGACTCTTCTTGGCAGAGGATGGAGACGAACCTTCCCCTTGAGCATTGTCAGAAAACTCTTTCACATACTTTTCTAATTGCTGAGGATTGGCTCCTTTCATTTCAGCCAGCTTATTTCCATTTTTATAGAATTGAAAAGTTGGCCTAAGGGATGTTGACAAGCGCATTGAGTATGAATTAAACATGTTGATAATGGGTTGACTCGACACATCCTTTTTTTATTGGTTTTTTTTTTTTTTTCTCTTTACATAGAAGTAACTTTGCAAGCAGCTGCAACCTCTTTTAGTTGATCAACGTCGACTTTAGCAAAAACTGCTTGAGGGTATTTGGTTGAAAGTTGCGTATAAAAGGGTGCAATCATCTTACAAGGCCCACTATGAGTAAGCAAAAAAGGAAAATGTCTTTTAATCTCATGTCATTGCGCGTAGTTCGGTGCTCCATTAAACAGAGATGACGTTTACCACCACGTAGCAAAAAAGTCAATAACAACCAGTTTATCTTTCGAAGCAGTTAAAAGTGTTCGAAAGTCATTAGGCGTACTGATTTGTTGAAGAGGCATTGTTATTTCTTTTTGTGATGAAGGGAAGAACTGTCAATGTGGACTATAAAAAAAAAAAAAAAAAAGTATTAAATTCTTACGTGTCTTGGTTTCTCTCTCTTTTTTATTTCTTGTTAAAGGTCAGCAGCGAAATAATGCAAAAAAGAGAAATTGGTGCCAGAAAGATTTTTTGTCCTCACTTTTTTACTTTTTTAGGTGTATAAACACAAAAAGATCAGTTTAAGAGGAATGGCGAAATATGCAGTCATTTGTGCCAGTAATCAAAACAGATCCATGGAAGCACATCATGTCCTAAAGTAAACCTGCATGTACAAAAGGAAAATAGCAACAGTAAACTAACCAGCACTATCGCTCAACTTTACTTTAGTAAGAAAGGTTTTGATGTCCATTCTTACGGCACAGGTTCTATGGTTCGGTTACCCGGTCCTTCCATTGACAAACCCAACATATACCCCTTTGGAACACCTTATGAACAAGTATACCAGGAATTGAAAAAGCAAGATCAACATTTATACACGCAGAACGGGCTTTTGTCGATGCTCGATCGTAATCGTAAAACAAAAGAAGCGCCGCAGCGATGGCATGAATCGCGAGAGATCTTCGACGTCATCATCACCTGTGAAGAACGCTGCTTTGATTCTGTAGTAGAAGACTTGACGAGTAGGGGACAAAAGCTGAATAAAAGCACCCATGTGGTGAATGTGGAGATCAAAGATAATCATGAAGACGCATTGTTAGGGGGTAGAGCCATATTACAGTTGGCACAAATGGTAAGTAGAGACACCCTATCCTCATTGTTGAACTCTGCTGTAAGAACTCACACACAATTTGATTTGTTTGTTTTAGATTGAATCGTCGAACGATATCGATGCGGACATGGACGGCATTATTGAAGAGTTTACGATACGTAATCCTGGATTTCCTATCTTACACACTGTTGCCTATTTTTGAGAAACAACCAATTGGCCATTTGCTTTCATCCTCGCATTCTTGTAATTTATATATAATTAATTTCCTACTTTATTACTGGCAATCGTAGTTCGGCAGTCGTGGGACTGTAGGATGTCATCATGCTATTGTCACTTGTAAAATCTTTGACATTTCTGTCAACTAAAATAAACCGTATCATTGAAATAGTGGGTTTTTCGAAACCAACTATACCATTGTAATGATTTTTATTTCACACATAAATATGGTCAATGAAGATGTAATGTTATATGGATAAAGTGGAATGAATGTGCGCTCAAATAAAATGCACTCAAAGCGATGAGAAATGAGGATAGCGTGGATAAAAATGATGGTTATATTCTCGTTTTGTGATTTACAAGAGTTTTTTGAAAACGTTGATCAGTTCCTGTTCACTTTTTTGACCAAGCAAATGTTCAAATTTCTTGTATCTTTTAAACTTGTTGATGTTGACGGCGCGTAGTTTTCGATTGGATGGTTCAAATGGATGAGGTTGTTGTTGATGTTTGACGGGTATAGGAGATGAAGGTGGGGATAGAGAAGTGTTTTCCATAGTGTTGGCAGTCGCATCAGTAGAAAACTTTAAGAGAGTCAATAGCTTGTCTTCTGTCATCGTCATGGGTTGTTTCTGAGTAGTGGTATCATTCGTAGAGGATGATTCAGTTGTTGTTGGCATTGCTTTGAAATCTGTAGCATTTGTTTTAAATAAAGCCATGTTTTGTAGCCACTAGGTGGGTGGCAGAGAGGGCGAGGCGGAAACAAATTAGTAAAGGAGAGTTATATGCAAGGTTGACTCGTCTTTCTATCTAGGTAAACTTACAAGATCGACTTCTTCTTGCTCAGTTTGGGTATTGTTATTACTGCTTGAAGCAGTAGCATTGGTAGTTGCCATGTCTGTATTGTTGAAAAGAGGTTGAGGGGGTAGGGTAGATTTGATGACGGTAGGCGCGGTAGTTGATACTGGAGACGCGAAGAGAGGAGGTGTACATATCTCGCTGCCAGAAGAGCTGCTTATTAAAGTAGATGGTAGGGAATATTTTCTACCTTGTTTCTTGGCCGCAGTAAGGTTGTCATTCATCAGCAGTCGTCTCTCTTTCAATGCTTTTCTAGCGTAGCTATCAAAGTTCACTCGAAAGGGTTCTGTAGGAAGTCGGTATACTTTGTTATCTTTACTGGAAGTTATGAGATGTTCTGAGGGTGTCATGGGGAAGGCTGCTGTTGCTGCTGCGATGAATTTCTTTGGTTGCTGTTCGTTTGAGTGATGGATAATGTGGACGTTTTCAAGATAGTTATGAAACGCACAGGAGGGTGACTTGTCAGATATTATTGTCGGTGTCTTGTGCTTTTGCCTTCTTGGTTGTTTCTGTTATATTGAGAGAAAGCGAAAACGTAAGTTACAATCCTACATGAGAACATGAAGCGTGTTTTACAACTTACAATAAAGTTTTCGATATGAACAGGACAACGCCATCGCTTCGCAGGATTAGGCGGTGCAGGCATGGGAGGATTCAGACAATCGAGGTGCCAATATAGAGGACAATAATCGCAGGAGATCATTTGTTTGTTGAGTGCAGTTTTACGGCAATAGAAGCAAACGGTGTAATGCCCGTTTCTCTTGAGTGGGTGATAATCAGGACGTTCCATCTCACCATGTCTACACAGGTATTAGGAGTGGGAGTGGGAGCGTTGTTAGCAACGGATGAACAAGTTGAATTTACATAGCTACTGATAAAATTTTACCTATATTTAACTCGTTTCACTTGGGATGAATCGACGTATCTTCCAAGTTTATCAGAGGATACTATGAAAAAAAAAAAAAAAAAGAGAGAGCCGTATTTTGAGTTGGTCTATTCGGAAAAGGCAAAAAAAGATAAAGGCAGATAAAGATGATGTAACAACATTTACCACCTTCAAAAAAATTGATAATTTCATTTGGTAGACGGAATGCTTTGGGATTCTTAGTGCCCATATTATCAATCAATGGTTGAAACAAACCCAAGCCAGAATCTTTCCCAGTGGTTACTGCTTTGTTCTACACATGACAATGAACAAAAGAAGGTCAGTCTTTTGTTCGCTCCTACCATGCGGTTATAGAAACTCTGTAGAGAATTTGGTATTACCTTTTTGCGTTTTTGAAGACATTCATTGCAATACCATGTATCTTCCATGTTGATAACATCGTCCACACTCATGGGCGGGTCAACACAGGTAAAGTGGAAGGCATTAGGACAGGCATCGCAACAAATGAACTGACCCACATCGCCGCAAGCATCGCATAGGTCATGGTTCTACGTAATAAAGAAAAATTTTGAAATCATTTTTTTTTTTCAGTCAATTTACAGCTGAGCGAGATAGTCAAGAAAACAAACACCATCTTAGAGCAGAGAATTATATTTACTTTAATGTTACTTTCAGTAGTAGAAGCCACAGCGTCAGACGCCTTCTTACTCTTTGCCTTTGTGGTGTCAGTAGCAGAACCAGTCAAGGATTTCTCACTGATAAGAAAAAAATCAATGATAAAAGATTAACATAATGCAGACGAACTTAGAATTTGGATGTCGATTTCTTTTCTTTTTTTCTCTTTACTTTAAACTACCAAGGTTAGTAAGACCAGTGGTTGCAGTAGCTAGTCGTTTGTGAGTAGCTAGCTGCCTTCTAAGATACTCGATATCAGCATCAGGCGATGTTAATGTAACATCCGGTTCAAGTACAGGCGAGAGAATGCGTTTCATGCTTTTTTTTTTTTTTTGTTAAATAAAGGTAAAGCCTTTTTTTTTTTTTTCAAAGAGAGAAAGTAGTTTTTGGCTGCAAAAAAAAGGGGTGGAAATAACCGAAATCTGAAAATATAAGCAAAATATGAGAAAATTGCAAAGTTATCAGAAAAAGGATAGAGGAAAGGAAAGAAAGAAAAAGGGAGTTCCAAAACCTAAAGGGGAAAGTAATAGTTATCAAAGAAACACGGTATTGGAAAAATGTAAAAAAAAAAAAGGAAAAAGGGAATGCAACAGAAAAAAAAAAAAAAAAAAAGTCTTAGTAGTAGCTTAAATAACTTTTTTTTTTTTTTTTTCTAGTTTTTGACTCCACCCACTTACTGCCATTTATGAGGCTTAAAGCAAGTCATAAGTAATAGGTAAAGGTAATCAAACAATATCTTTAGCCATCATCAAATGGATACACATTCGGAGTTACTCTCATGCTCTTTTATGAGTTTGTTTGGCTAAACGAAAGAAACGTTTCCACGCTACTTGATTCTTTTGTACTTAGAAGTCATAGTACCTAACTGCGCAGCAGTACTTATTGCTACTTATCACACACAGTTTTGCTACAAATGGTTGCTCAACGAGACACTACCTAGCACTACTACTGGAATGGATCCTATACGTTTAAAACAGGCATTTTCGGTTATAGCCCATTAGTAAAATGTAGTACGCCTTTCCTTAAAAAAGATTAAGCCGTTTGCGTCTTTTCTACATTCTATATTATCTGAGGGGAAAAAAAAAAGGGTTTCATAAAAATCATGTGTATGTGAGATCTTCTATACATGGATAACGGATCATTTGAAAGCCGCTTTACTGGATTGATTGTATTCTAATTTTCTTGCAATCATACAGAAAACGTCGCTACGACTGTATTGATATTGATAATATCGTGGCTGTTCAAGGTTATCGATTTTTTTGTTGTCGACCCATTTACCATTTAAATCTCAGTCTTCTTTTTTTTTTTTTCGCTGTTGTTTATGTTATGTTCCACCATTGTATCTTTTTATTTAAATGGTCAACATTTAAAACGTTTCCATTTACTACGAAAGAAAGGCTGGACTTTTCTCAATTGCTGAAAACCCAATCTTAGGTTGGATAGGCAGGATATCCCTGAATTTGGCATGACAAACGCTATTCTAAGTTGGTTGTTGAGACTTTACTAAGTTCAAACCATCTCATTTTCTTATTAAAACCGTTCTTTGACCTTTTCACGCCATTCGCATTTGTGAGTCAGACTCGGGGCAAAAGGATGTAGCGTCTTAAAAGAACTTATTCTTTTAATGATCAAGGGCAAGGATACTAGTGATTGAACTTGATAGACTATTTTGACGCAATGCAAAATCAGCTGTGAAAGAATTAAACCCAAGTTTGGTTAGTTGATATGAGAGCTTGTAAATGGAAGAGGAATCCTAAAAATCCGTGTCTAAAAAATTCCTTAATTATGTACAAGTGAAAAAAAAAAAGAAAAAAAAACCAAGGACAACCGAAACACATAAATAACTGAGTTTATTGAAAATCATGTTATACATCTTTTATGAAAAGACGTAAATAGCTAGGATCCAATGTATCGATTTATATGTCCAATAAAGATCAAACGAAAGAGCTCAAAAGACGACATAATACATTTCTGTCATGTCTTTGTAAGAAGGATGGGACCCATGTTCCTAGCATTTCGTCAGTGATTTGTACTTAGTAGCTAGTTTTTCGGGCCTTCCTTACTAAGTAGAGACCTTTCGCACACAGTTACTGCTCAAAAAAAGTGAAGGGTATCTCCTCTTGCTTTATTTTGAACCAGTAGCTATGAACACCATTGAATAAATAGGACGAATCTTTTTTCGCCTTGTGCTCCGATGAAAAAGAGAATTTTTGTTCTACGCTCTCAAGCTGTCCATCCTCTCTAAGGCTGTTCATTCTCGTTTCCTTCTTTTTGCATTTCGAGCTTTTTCGTCAATACAAAAGTGCAGTTGCGAACATGATAAGATGAGACTTTTTTGGCTACTGTAGGTTGTTTTCGATGGAGAAAAAATAGGGTTCATAATAGTAAGAATAGGATGCTTTTTTGGTTCAGCTACTTTTACGTAAGCATGAGAGACACATCACCTTCATTTCCTGGATCCAACAAAGAAATGTTAAAAGAAAAATCAGTCATTTTACTAGAATTTCCTGCTCACCCATGTCCCCTTAATAGGTCGGATCTTACGGAAAGAAAAGGGTCCGGTCTGTAACGTTCCAAAAAAAATAAAATTAAATGGTTCTTTTTCGATCTGCCTTTTTTTTTTTTTTTTTTTTTTTGAGGATGATAGGAAACATAGCATCATTCAAGTTTCGCCACGATAACAAACAATGAAACTTGAGGTCAGGCGACTTTTTTCTTTTTTCAATTACCTGTCAAAAGCCTTTTTATGCTGAGTGCTTTCAATGGTATTAAGGTTGGATAAAGTCAAATCCCCTTATATTTGATTTCAAAACATACCAATGCATTAGAAAGGAGATGACTTCCATTTTTATAAAGGCTTGCTTTCTTGGGGGGGGGGTGCGAGTCTTAAAGATTAAGTAGTGGCTGTTAATATATGCTATGCGAGCCTTGTTGCTCGCTTTGATTTCCTGTTGCAGGGTGAATACAAGCCATTCATTCTGAGAAGAAAAAAGAGTAATGAAAGCCCTTTAATACCTTTTGAGCTCTGTATTAAAGTATAAAAAGAAATACCATCAAGTGAATCTATTATAAAAGCTGAGGAAGGTAGACTTTGTTCATCAGCATTGTTACAAAGCATGAAATTGCCTGAACGACAGCCGTTTGTATCGGGATTGTCTTTTTCTCAAGATACGGTTTATGATTGCATATGCGTAGAATGCAATAGTATACTTGCAACATCATGGCGAGCAATGCATAGGCTTCTTGTCTTTTCGTAGCCAGGTCGTGTGAGCTATCCTTAACAACGGGTATTCTTTTAAAATTGCAACGATATAAAGCAATAAAGTGATCACGTATGCACACACACACACACACACACACACACACACACACACACACACACACACACACACACGCTAAGAAACGAGATGTACTATGTCTATTGAACCGACAATGACGGATGCAGGGTCAAATCTGAAAATTTGTTGGCATACACCGTATGACTGCACTGTCAATTCAAACCTTAATCCCAGTCAATTAGTAACGTCTTCTAGAATGGCTTTCTCCTGAATTGGATTTTCATTGTCTAACGCACAAATAGGCTTGATGTGAAAGGGAAAGCTTTCGTTGCCACTGGCTTGGAGAACGACAAAAAAGAATAATATAGACAATTCATCTGCCAATTGTTAGAAATAGATCGAATGTCATGCGAGTAAGAATACACTCGACAAGTTGGACAAGCAATGTCCAGGGGGTATCCAAGGAGAAGCAGGCTTCATTACATATTGCAGCGCTTGAGAAAAGAAAAAGAATTTTTTTTTTTTTTTTTTGCTGCAATGTCGGCCAGTTGTTGGCTTGAATAAAACAAAAGAAGAGTGTTATGAAACCAGACTCAAGGAATCCCCTTTTTTTTTTTTTTTTTTTTTTTGCTTCTAAAATAAGCGGGGCCCAGACACTTTTTATCTATGAGATGTTTGTCTCAAGAAGAAGATGATTGTATGAAGTGCGTGTCACCAAACAAAAAAAAAAGATAGTATATACATTCAATAAAAGGGAAAAATGCATGGGATGCCCTTTCCAATGTAATCATTTAGCAGCATTTTGCACGCATCAAAAAAATTAGGTTTTAGTGATTCAATATTTCATTGTTTCCCGATAGTTTATGTCCCGTTTCAAAATTCATTGTTCTCTCTATTATATGTTTTTTCCTAATTAAAAGCGCCAGAGTCAGCACACACGTTCTTGTTACTGCTTCAGAAAAGTGCTACACAAATTAAATTGCCTCCCCGCAATACAGTATTTTACCTTATATTTTAGACGATTTACAATTTTTAATGGACAATATACATTTTAATTTTAGATTTAGTAAAAAATATTTTTAGAAAAGTCCATAGTATTTGGATATTTGGATACTCAATTATTCAGTGATATTCAAGCAGCATTAAGGATGACATACAATCGAACCCTAGAAATTAGTCTCTATCAGTAAGAAAGTCGCCAATAATGGTTTTATTGATGTTATCTTGCAATAGGACAAACTACAAAAAGCTTGACAACTTTTTTACTAAATGACGATGTGTTCCGAGACCAACAAGATATTCGTTGGTGCCTTTTTTGGACAAGAATTCCAAAAAAAGTTAACTTTGAATTGATTGACATCAAACCATTGATAGAGGGCTGATGGTCATAGTATAACAGATACCATAGCGGAATGGGATGGTTATATTAACTGTTGTCAATGTTTTTGTATGCGTTCATGGGTGACTTTCAAAGATAAGCACTATAAAATATATTGCTCTCTTAGAGTCAAATGTTGTCTCTTTCACTTTTATTTCACGTTTTTAAGATACATACTATGACCCATGTTCAAAACAATAATTTATGAGAAGAAAAAGCAAATCTTTGGCAAAGATGTAGTCAAGTTGAAAGGGCAACGATGTGGTGTTGTCGGTAAACTTTTTGCAACTCTGAAGAAACGTGAAGCTAAAGGTCAATTGATTGTTGTCACAATCGATGAATTCAAAACCTCTAAAACATGCAGCCTCTGTTTCTATGATGATATGCAAATTGTTAATACCCCTGGATTCAAGGGTACCGGCGTTCTTCATTGCAAGCAATGTCTAAAGCTATGGCAGAGAGACATTAACGCCGCTATCAACATGATGACTATATCCCAAGCAGTTTGGTCTGGAGCGGGAAGACCCGACATTTTCAAGCCAGCGAAGAAGAAGAAATAATCGCCGTAATAAACACGGTTTTCCTTGTATTTCAAGGATTTAGATCATTACAGGTGAGGAATAGTACGGTTTTTTTTTCTTTTTTTTTTTTTTTGTTTCGCACTGCTAACAAGTTTTTGGAATTTGAATCATTGTTTAAACGGTTTATATTTTGGTCTACAACACAATTGCAACTCATCTAAAATGAAAATATTAATCGTCCAAAAAAAAATGTATTTCATCTAAAATATTAGTTAAAATACTGTAGACCTAAGAAGCAGTTTTAGATCTGGCAAAAGCTCCGCTTGTATCTTTTTTTTTTTTTCTGCTTTTTTTGCTTCTCCTCTTTTCGTCCACCCCCACACGCAGATTTTCAATACATGAACAATGGGGAAATCCCGCAAAAATCATAAAAAAAAAAAAATCATAAAAAAGGCAGCTTCTATTTTTTTATTTTTTTATTTTTTTTTTCTTTCTATTTTCACATTCTTGATCATCTTTTTTCTTTATTTCCTACTTTGTCAAGAAAGATGGCAAGCCTCATTCCGAAGCAATCTGGAATGACCGCATTTCGGTCCATTTCAATTACTGTCGGCAAGGGCATTCACCGTGCAGCCAAGTTATCATCCCGTAATCCTATAGAGATGATTGCTGGTATTCTCATTCTGTCTTCCTTCAGTTACTTTTATTTATTCAATTTGGCTCGTACATCCGATATTTTTTCTGGCACTGTTACGCGTCTCTACCCGACCTTCGTTTATGCTGATCCCTACGCCACTCATTTCGAACAGCTCACACGGCAGGAGCATTTCAAAAACCAACAACAACAGCAAAAAGAAAACATGGACATGATGCGAATTCAGCTCAAACAAATTTCTATTACAGCAGATCAGAAAAAGGACGTTCGAGACAACGACCGAAAGAATGTGATTGATAAGAATATCCTATCGACTATCTATCGTTTTCAAACAACCGTCGAAAACACAGTTCTCGATGATAACATTGGTCAAATTGACTACAGTGCTTTATGTTTCAAGGATGCCAATGGCGAATGCTTTTCACAGACACTGTCAGACATCTTTCTTGACGATACGCTTTCCAGAGATGACTCTATAACGAAAGCCATTCAACAGTATCCGGATATGGCAAGGTCTATTTTCGGAGACTTGAATTTGAATTCTTCGTCAGCCTCCTCTATTGTTCTTTCATTTGCCTTTAATGCTTCCACAGATTATCGTCAACAACTCACCTATCTTTGGGAACAAAAAGTCGCTACATTGTCTTCGGGTGACCTTGTTTCCTATTCAAATACTGGAAAACAAGAAGATGTCTTTACTTGGTTGTTTATTATTGCTCGCAACATTTTCTTGCGTGTCACGGAATTGATCAAGGTAATATGAAGGCAAAAAAAAAAAAAAAAAAAAAAAAAAAAAAAAAAAAGAAAAGGCCGCTTTATTAACGAAAAGAACCGGTCTTTTCCTTTATCCAGATGGCCGATAATATCGACATCGTCGTCATTTTGGCGGGTTACGTGATGATGCTGATAACATTCATTTCATTGTACATGAATATGCGTTCCATGGGTTCCCGTTATACTTTGGCCACAACCATTCTTGTCAATGGCTTTTTTTCGTTTATGCTTGCTCTGCTGACCGTTCATGCACTTGGTGTGGATGTTTATCCTGTCGTGTTAGCGTAACTATTCAACTTTTCTTTTTTTTTTTTTTTTTTTTTTTTTTTTGGGTCAGGTTACTCTACATCGACAAGTCAGTTTTACTCAATTTCTCTCATTGGGTTGTGTTGTGTCATAGTGAGGCTATGCCATTTTTTACTGTGACGATAGGTTTTGAGCGTCACTTTAAGCTCACTAAAAGAGTATTTGAAGTGAGTAAAGAAAAGCCTTTGACCAAGCAAGTGATCCGAAAAACAATTATTCGTGCGGTGGACTCTGTTGCTCTGTCTATTGCGAGAGATTGCATCATGGAGATAACAGTACTTGTTCTAGGTGCAAAATCCGGTATTTCCGGTTTACGTGAATTCTGTTTGCTCAGCGCCCTTTTATTGGCCTATGATTTCATCATTATGTTCACTTGGTATACGGCTGTACTATCCTTGAAACTTGAGGTATGGGGTTTTTTTTTTTTGGATCCGGAAAATTCAAAAAATTCATGCTAAACTGAAAAATTGATGACACAGCTATTGAGAATTCGTGAAATTAACGGTACATCAAAATCAACAAAAAAGCCCACGGGAACAAGCTATATTCGTAAAACGGTAGTGAAAGCGTTCAGCGATAGTACAAACACAAATAGAAACTCCAGTTTGAAAGCGGATGAGCCTTTGATTGGCCGAGTCAAGTTATTAATGGTAAAGCCCCATTTTTTTATTTTATTTTTTTCCCCTCCTCATCTCGACGATAACCATACTCATCTTATCTGTCACCCTTTGAACACCAACAAAAAAAAAAAAAAAAAAAAAAAAAAAAAAAAAAAAAAAAACAGATTGTTGGGTTTGTCGCTATGCAAGCATTTAAAGTTTGCACTACCTTCCAAGGATCTACCAGTCCCCAGGTGAGCGTCATTGAGCCGGGTATCAGCACTGTATTGGATAATCTTCTGAATCAACATCGTGCCTCTGATTTTGGCCATCTACCCATTCTCGTGGAGGTCTTCCCGCCATTGCCTTTCTACATATCCTCTTTCGCGGATCGTTCTTTTATTCCTGGCAGTATCCGTAGACCCTTGGACAAGTTGTTCGATACGTATGCTGTCTATATTCAACATCCCGTCATTTCAAAATGGATCACACTGGCCTTATTCGTCTCTGTATTTTTGAACACTTATCTCTTCAAGGTCGCGAAACAACCCACTACCGTCACCGCCAGCACCACCACCCCGTTACCCGAGTCTCCTGTGTTGGAAAAGAAGGTGCAGCCAGCACCCCCCGTCTCCTCCTCCTCCTCTTCTTCTCAAAAACCACGACCACCGCAAAACAAACTTGTCCCTCTTCCTCCGTCTCGTCCCTCCCATCCACGCCACCCCACCACGACGGACACCGCTCAAAACGCCATTCGTACGCTTGAAGAATGCATTGCATTGACCACGACGCCTGAAGCTTTATCGGATGAAGAAGTGATTCAACTTGTCCAAAAGGGCAAAATGGCATCGTACGCCCTCGAACGAGTCCTGGGTGATTTTGAACGTGCTGTCCGCATTCGTCGTGCCGTTATTTCTCGTGCTTCCGTCACAAAGACGTTGGAAAACAGCTTGCTGCCCTTGCACAACTACTGCTACGACAAAGTCATGGGGGCGTGTTGCGAAAATGTCATTGGTTATATGCCTATTCCTGTCGGTATCGCGGGTCCGCTCAACATTGACGGTGTCATGGTGCCTGTGCCCATGGCGACCACCGAAGGCTGTCTCATTGCTTCCACGGCTCGCGGCAGTAAAGCGATCAATATGGGCGGTGGTGCGACGACGATTTTGACAGCCGACGGTATGACACGCGGTCCTTGTGTTGAATTTCCGTCGATTATCGACGCTGCCCAGTGCAAACGCTTCATCGAGGAAGAAGAAGGCAATGCGATCCTCACGCACGCTTTTAATTCGACGTCTCGTTTTGCGCGGGTGCGCAAAATGAAGGTGGCGTTGGCCGGCCGTCTGGTCTTTATTCGTTTCTGCACCACCACAGGGGATGCGATGGGGATGAACATGATTTCGAAAGGCTGCGAAAAAGCGCTTTCCGTCCTGCAAGAACACTTTCCTACCATGCAAATCGTCTCTTTATCGGGCAATTACTGTACGGACAAGAAGCCTGCTGCTGTGAATTGGATCGAAGGTCGTGGCAAATCGGTCGTCGCGGAAGCCGTGATTCCGGGTGAAGTGGTTGAAAAAGTGCTCAAGACCACGGTGTCCGCTTTGGTCGAGCTGAACATTTCTAAAAACTTGGTGGGATCCGCCATGGCGGGCTCTGTAGGAGGCTTCAATGCTCAAGCAGCCAATATCCTGACCGCTGTGTATCTTGCCACAGGTCAAGACCCCGCCCAGAATGTCGAGAGCTCCAACTGTATCACGCTGATGAAGGCCGTCCATGGTGACCAAGACCTGCATATTTCGTGTAGCATGCCGTGTATTGAAGTCGGTACGATCGGTGGTGGTACCATTCTGCCACCTCAGCAATCGATGCTCGACATGCTTGGTGTGCGCGGCCCGCATCCGACAGAACCAGGTAAGAATGCTCAGCAATTGGCGCGTATCATCTGTGCCGCCGTCATGGCTGGAGAGTTGTCTCTTTGTTCTGCTCTCGCTGCGGGTCATTTAGTCAAAGCGCATATGGCTCATAATCGTAATACAGCACCTCTTCCTGGTAGTTGCATTAAATCTTAACACATAACTACACGATGGATATTCTCCTACACGATGAATGAAAAAAAAAAAAAAAAAAAAAAAAACCCTTTCTGCATACTCTCTCTCTACTCTATTACATATTATTTATTCCCCCCCACTCCACTTTCTCTTTTTACTTGATCCAATTTAAAAAACCTCACACACACTCACACACACTCACACACACTCACACACACTCTACACGGATAGATTGGAAAGTAACCACTCTTATTTATTGATTTTAGTCATAACCTACAAATAAAATCTAATTGTCATCTTTATAAAACGATCCCAAACCCCCAGTCTACGGACGACAATCTGATGACTAAAAGAAAAGGGGGATGTATGGTTTTTGATGCAGCAAATAATGATAAGCATTAATGATGGTACATGAACATTCTGTACTAAAGCTGAGTAAACCCTCTTCTTATTTATTTGGGGGGAGGGGACATAGCGCAGAGAAAGACGTACAAAAAGGTTTCAGTACCTTGGTTACTAAGAAGTATAGGCTGATGACTAACACGGTGTTGTCTTTAGGGCCTTTATGGTAACTTGAGAGAAGCGCGTGTTTTTTCTATTCCCTTTTCATCTTACTGTTTATGCCTTCCATTGTTGAAAAGCAAAAAGCTTTCTATAAAATGCTCTTTCTCTTTCCCTTAAAAGGATGTCGTCATTTCATGCGATAAAAAAAAAAAAAAAAAAAAGACATTTTCTACCAACCTTTTGGGGTTCCGCTAAAAATAAGCTTTTTTTTTCTTTTTTTTTTTTTTTTTTCTTCCCTCGCACGGTGTTTGAAAAAGAAAAGTGATACGTTAGGATATTGATCCATTCAAGGTACGTCATGTTCAACTTGGTCTTGAATGTTCTCGGAGAGCCAGTATGGACGATACCTCCTCTGATGCATGATGGAGCATGAGCGTGAACCATAAAGCCATCAAAGAAAGAGTTATATCAAGAATGGACAGTCTACTCCTACAATATATGAATGCATTTTTGTTTGAAAATTTGGGTGCTACGAATGTTTCAGTTCAGACGGAACTTTTTTTTTTTTTTTGCTTCCCCATCCATCAAGGCATAAAAAAAACATACATTGTTTTTGCTTAATATAGAAAGAGTATAGAATTTTTCTTTTATTTTTTTTTTTTGGGTTTCTTTTTTTTTTTCTTTTGTGCAAAAGTACGGGTAATGGATTCCGGTTTATTGAAAATGTAGTAAATAAATAAAAACTTAGAAATAGTGTATATGGAATCATTATTGGGGAATTTTCTTTTGGGATAATAAAACTGTACAAAAAAGTGTGGTATTTCGGTTGAAGGAAAAAAAATGCGTCAGCGTGTCTCATTGGATGTTTTTGATCCTCGCTGTTGGCGTGTGAATCAAGTAGACGCGATAGAGCCCTACTTTTCTCCATTCAAACCCATTCTTTTTATATGGTAAACCATTCATCTGCATTGAGTAAAAGTCATGTCAAACAGAAGGGAAAAAGTAAGGACTGAAAGAGTAGAAAAGTCCGACGCGTTGGAAATACAGGTTATCTTGATCGATTAGAGATTTTCGTTTTTGATGAGGGAATGGACCCCGAAGAGGAAGAATTCGATGAAGAAACGGAGGACGAAGAGGTGGAGGAATAAGAGTACTTTCTTTGATGTAAGGAGCGTGTTTGTCGAGGATCCATGATGGGGGTGGTGGTGGTGTCTTCATCGGCGTCATTGGGCTATAGTTGGAGTAGAGTCCGCTGCTCTGGAGTGGGGGCGGATAATGTGGGTAGACATAAACCGGACTGTTCATGTGAGGAGGAAAAGGGTATGCAGCATAATAGGGACGTCTATTATTGCTTCTATTGTCAAACAGGTTGGCCTGTTGCTGCTGTTGGTGATGCGAGGGTATATGTTGAATAAGTGGAAAAGCAGTAGCAGCCTTATGGGGAACGACGTATCCCTTTTTCACGGCTAACAGTGCCAATGGCATATTCTCATCGTTCTCCTCCTCCTCCTCCTCCGTGGGTGTCTTGGGTCCGTTGTATTCAGAATCAGAAAGACTGTCCGTATCCATGTCATTGACTGCTCCTTCATCGTCTTCGTTACTTTCTTCTTTGATAGCTGGAGGAAAAAAGAATCTCTTTCTCTGATGTGAATGATGTGCACTTCGAATGATACGTCTTTGTACTGGATTTTGTGGTATGGCAGCAAAATCAGAAGGAACGACATATTCGTGGGGTTGATGTGCCCGACGAACCTTGACTTTACAATAAAACGGATCCCTCAAACCAACCGGTGTCATCGTGCGGTTGTCCATAGGAGATAATGAATTATTATTACTATGAGGAGGAGTAGTAGTAGTAGTAGTAGTAGTAGTAGTATTAGTAGAAGCACTCATCATGATGCTTTAAGCGTGTAAGGAAAAAATAGCAAAGCACACAAATTCAGAAAAAGAGAAAAAAGAAAAGAAAGTTGGGTTAGAACAGGTTGGTAGAAAATTTTGATCGAGTTTTATGCTGGAAAGCTTTTTCAAAACAAATCTATAGTTTTCCAAACCCAGGCCATCAAAATTCCCAATTTTTAAATAGGAGACCATTTTTTCTTTATTTAACCTCATTAATGCAATCTTTTTTGGTTATTTGATATATAATCGATCCGATTTTTTAATTAACTTTTTTTCTTTTTTTTTTAAAGGCTATATAATCCACCGTAGACATTTCTTTGTATTTTCTTCCAAATGTATTAGTTTGTATTACTTTCAATTAAGCACAAGTCAGCCACAACGCTTTCTTCCCTTTAATGGCATGTTATGCAACACAATAAGCACAAACACTTACACACATACACACACACACACACACACACATAAACACACACACACATGGTTCCATCCAAAAAGCAGAACCCTGTTCAGGTCTCAGGGCCGTATGAATGTTGGGACTTTTTTCGAGGAAAAAAGATTCACTGCCTACCCCAAAGGAAGTTGAACGTTTCTTCCCCGCCTTCCCTCCCCCCCTCCACGGAAAGAAATTCTTGTCTTAGAAAGGGTTTACTTTTTTCATTTTTATGACAGAATAGTGTCGATTTGAGTAAAAGTTTGGAATAGGCCTTTTTTCTAATTTTTGGCTGGCTGTTGATGTATCCGAACGACAGGGTGATGAACCAACTTGTCTACTCATTCAATGACAAGACAATCAACGTCCTATTCTCACATACTCTTATCAAGCTCGTGCAAACATCTTTAGTAACTAAAAGATAAAGGGGCAAGCGACATCATGGCTATTCTAATATTGGAATAAACAAGTTACACGGTTTAAACAAACTGGGCTGTCAGTTCGCTTACCCTACAGAAATGATAACCAAGTCTAGAACTTGGATCTTTTCTGATGTAACGTAAAATGGCAGAGGGGGTAGAGAAATTTTGTCGTCGTGCAACAGAGCGGCATTTACTGGCAGCTCTCTTATAGATTTGACAAAAAACGACTAGATAAAGCCCCCCTCCCCTCCCCAACTGCAGAATGTTAGTAAACTACACGATGATAACCATAAAATACATCAGATTTGCTCCATCTCAGACGTCACTCCTACTCATACCAATGATCCTATGTCTCATTGAACTAAAACATAAAGTAGATCGGATTAGAAACGTATGAAAGAAGCTAGCAAGCATGTCACTTGCAGAGAAGATCTAGCCTATTCATTGTAACCACTCACACTCATTGGTCATAGGACCATCAAAAATTAGGCAAAAAGGAACTGCCAAGCAGTGGTGTCGCCCTGAAAAAAAAAAAAAATTGAGCATGTGAAAGATGTCTTTATTATAGTGGGTTTCATAAATTATTTTACTTTTTACCAAACAGATTGGATCAAAAGAAAGCTAATAAGTATCAACATGTTTTGTCATCAACAGATAACTTGATGAAATAATAAAAAAAATATAATACAAAAGGATGAAATAAGTTGAACAATGACAGAAAGCACGAAATATGAAATGCTTCAAAAAAAATGTTCTCTATTCGAGAAACAAAAAAAAAAAAAAAAAAAAAAAAAAAAGATGCCAGCGTAGAATAGTAATATCAGAATAACATGATAAGTATAAAAACATGTTTGTATAAAAGGTAAAATAAGGAGCAAATCCCACAACCAGTGGAATAAACACCAGAAGGTGTGACTGTGGCGATAATCTTGGACAACTGGGTAATCGACAGCGCATCTAGATTCATTCGAACATAAGGGATATGAATAAGGATATGGATAGTATGGCGTTCCCCGAGAGCATCGGGTTCCTAATCTTGCTGTAATGAGGTGGTGGGTGGCTGCTGTTGTCTGTATTTTTTTTGGGTTTCTTCCTTCACCATCCTCACAACGGCTCGTACTTCGTTTTCTTCAAATACAGGACCTGTCCTTGAGCATTTAGCAATCTTTCGAAGTTCATTGTAGAGGTAATATGTATCGTATTGATCAAACATAGGATCTTGTGCGATTCTGCTCCATACTTCGGAGCAAGAAATCAGATGAATAGCAGTCGGTGACATTGAACTTTTCCTCGGTGAAAGGTTTTCTTGCAAAAATTGCTCGAATTCGTAAAATTGATCTGATTTATCCTGCTGTTCTGTATCCTCGTCCGCGGTCGATTCTGGTTCAGTAACGATGGGAACAGGATGGTTGGATACCGTTTCGTTCAAGACACCTCGTGCATCAAACAAAGGCTCTGTCAGCAGTTGATTGTAAGCATCTGAGCATACTTCCTCTTTCAATTTTTCACAAAACGAAACGCCATCTTTATCACGAATACATGCAATCGCCGATGTGGCAGCGGCACTACGGGGAGTATCGGTAACAGTGGTACTGGGTGCTAAAGAGGATGCGTCGTTAAAGGAGGAAGTCGGTGAGCTGAGGAGATCGCGATCCCCTGACGCTATCGTGTTCGCTTGTTGCTGCGTTCGCGCTGTTGCAGAAGATTCGGTTGCTGCAGTAGTCACATCAGTATAGGATGCTGTAGACGACCGAGGCTCTTCTTCAGCCACTGGATAACCAGTCAAAGGCTCAGCGTCCATGTTGCTTTCGGCGCTATTGTTCCGTTTATCTCGTTCAGACATGCCTAACTTGAGTTGGGCATTTTCGGCTTTAAGGCGAGCGATCTCGGAAGCGTGACAGGCTTGCATACTGCTGATTTTTTCCTCTAAAGCAGCTATTTCAGTGGCATGAGCAGCTTCGATTTCTTTTATTTTGTCTTCCAATTCTTTCACATAACGTTCTTTTCGCTCCCTGAAAGCCCTTTGAGCGGCTCTGTTTTGCTCTTTTCGTCGTAGGCGCTGATCAACAATGGAATGAGTATTTGTTGTCGTCGTACTACTGATACCGTCAGAATTATCGCTGCCCCTTCTGTCTAAATGAATTGATGGATGATTAGTACTTGTAGAACAAAATACTTGGGTCTCTTTCAACAAAAAACATGAATTACTTGAGCCCACACTCAAAGCCTCTCCATCGTCGAAAGCTTTGTCCCAATTGCGCTTTTCAACATTGTTTAAATCGGGTCGTGGTAAAAGGGCAGGCAAGGCTATAGAAGGTGCAATAGGTCGATACGTTGATAAAGTGGGTCGTTGTTCTGTAGTCATTAACACTGAGTGTTGCTTATAAAGCTTTTCATCCAGTAAATGATAAAAAAAAAGGGAAGAACAGGATAGAGAAAAAAAAAAAAAAAAAAAAAAAAAAAAGAAAAAAAGAAAAAAGTCAGTTAGACTACAGAAAGAGCAAATTGAGAGCAACTGCGGGATAAAGGAACATGTCAAAATTATAAAATCTGGAACAACATCAATCACTGCTGTTGTCGTCTCCGCTTTTAACGAATGCAATCATTATTAACGGAAGAGAAAAAGAAAACTGTTTACTTCCCCAAAGTCTTACAGAACTGAGTATACTCATATTCAGATTTTCTTATTTCTAGATAGACTACTTTTGCTGTCATAGATTCTTCTTTAAAGCTATATTACCAGAGATAGCCAGCAACTATAGAAAAAGACGGATAAATACAACTCTCTTACTCAGCAAAAAATAATTAATGCACTGATTTGATCTGTTTCAAAGAAGTCTTTTTAACTCAGTGCCAGAGCATCATTCACTCAAGACGATATGAATTAACAGCAGTATCACGTTTTTTATTGTCATGCTAGCGCAGCTAGCCCATCTTCAAGTATTAAATGTTTACGTGACGCAACTCCCCGCCCCGCCCCCATCATCTTCATCCTCATTGAATTGTACAATCTCCTCTATTTGTTCCTGGAAACTGGGTGTTCGTATTCAGAGATTGCTGTTGTTGCTGTTCTTCCCAGGCCTGCTGAGTATTGAACCCTATTTTCAGGTAATAAGCTATGTAGGCATTGGCCTAAAGTAGAACAATAGCATGGGAAAAAGTTAGGCTCTACAGTAGCAAAGGAGTTTGCGCCGCTCGCTGACTGTTGACAAGCAAAGTTTTACCTCAACCCAAGCTTCGCCCATCGCTTCTGTATATTCCTCCTTTAAGCGTTTCTTTAGAGCAATGACAAAAGCGGGCCCTACAAGGTCGAAAAAGTGCGGTTTAACATGTGGATAAAAGTAATGCCTAGCGCCTGTGTCTTTCATTAGAAGGATGAGTTGTGCGGGATCCATTTCTTTGTAGTCGATGGGGCTGCTGGCGATAGTGTTGCGTGGTTGAACAGAATCTGAATTGGCACGTTTTCTTGCTGCATTGATTTCACGAATCGTTGTTATTGGCCGTGCCTCGTCCAGGTGCTGTCCCTTGTTGCCTTCAAAGGGCAGCGCACTTAATTCGTCCTCTTGATCCTCACTGCTTTTGCTCCTACTGCTCGTAGGGGTAGGATGACCAAACGTGGATTGACTCTTACATAGGGATGGCGTTTGCCCGCGACGGGCTCCGTCTCTGCCACATTTTTTTGTGGACATGGAGAGCGACGGTGCTCTGACAATATACATGATCATCCCTGACAATGCCCGTGCCTGCTGGAACGCATTACCAAACGCTCCTTTGCATTCTATATCCATGTCGTAGAGAGCATTGAAGAATTCCCGGCCAAAAGCATTGGCAGGCGAGAGTGTGGGGTCGTCTGTGTCATGTTTCAGTTTGGATACCTTTTCCCAGCTGACCCGTATCAGATCAATTTGCTCCTGAGACGGTGAGGAAGGTGGCAATTCCTTACTGATCACGGATGCTCTTCCTAGTGTGGCGGTACCGTTCCATCGATGCTTGATCACCTCCTCGTCCATGTCTGCATCCTCTCCCAGCTCCAGCTTATGGCTGATACTCGATCTCGGTGAAGTGAGGGGAGGTGATATAGGGTGAGGAATCTTGCTGATAAATTTTCGAAGGTTGTGAGAGACATTGTCTACACTACTTTTTCTGTTACGCCTCGCTATAGAAGAAGTATCGATCATCGGTTTTGTAGATGCGCCGTCTGACATAGTTAGTGTGGTATGAGCTCTATGGAGGAAATGAGACTTTTTTTTTTTTTGTTGCTATAGATAAAAAGGCAGACAAGGGATCCTGTCGGATGTTAGGGTATGATGAAAGGTTCAAAAATTCGAAATGAGAAAGATAAAAAAACATTCAGAAGACTCATTTTAAACTTTTAAGCATGTTATTTTATTTTATTTTTTTGTACGCAAAAGGGGCGATATCGTGTACATCTTGCTGTTACATCACGGAGAATTTATGCAACGGGTTTACTCAATTATTCTACAATAACCTGCAAAGCAAACAGTCAAAATCTGCCTGACTATCGCTTGGCAATAAGAACGCATTGACCTTTGCGCTTTCTTGTAGTCCTTAAGCAAACAATAAAAGTAAGTTTTGAATTCACCTTCATCAAAGTACCTGCCATAGAGCTCTGATTCCGTCGTTGGGCAGGTATATTTTTAGTTTTGCGATTATCAATTTTAAAGTTTGATTGGGTCGCCTCATAGAACATGTGCATTTTGTCAACACAGTTATTCGGATGTACTCACAAAAAGGGGTGTATCAATATTTTCTTTTCATTAAGAGAAAAAAGCAAATTTATTTTTGCAAGATATGTGTTGCTCTTTTGTTTTTAAGATGATTTGGAATGAAAATAAAATAAAAAAGGGAAAAAAAAAAAAAAAAAAAAAAAAGAGAAAAGGCTTGAGCGGGGGCGGGGGGCGGTGCTATTTCCCGCCACATGATATTTGGCCTATAATAAGGGATAGGAGTAATTTATACAATGGTAATGAAAGCTTAATGATAAAGTGCGCGATGCGGTAAATAAGATTATATTAGTAAAACAATTGCAAGGGATCGTTAGAGCACTTGGATGCACGTTGGTTGCATAATATAAAGGTTCAAACAGCATGCGCGGTGGATATCGACAACATATTATTGAAAGAGGCAAATACTATAATGATCCATCTTCATAGGAAGGAGCAGTTGCTGAAGAAGAGGAGGATTCTGACTGTGCTAAAGAAGTAGTGAATAGTGTTGTTCCTTCTTGGGTTTCCGGAAGGTGAGCTTTTTGTTCGCCACTATATTCTGAATTGTTCATATCATGGGTATCTGAAGTGGCTGAAATGTCTCTGGATGTAGTGCTGTTTGAAGGAGATGATGATGGCTCTTGTTCATTTCCAATGTTCGTATCTACTGTATTGTCATAATTGTCAGGTTCGACCTCTTCTGTGAATTCATTATCTTCGGTTGCATCTCCAATGCCAATGCTATCGTCCCTAGGTCGATTTCCTTCTACTAGCCAGCGGCTATTCATACCCCCCCCCCAAGAAAAAACGATGGTTACTTTAACCGAATGCTTAAAGGCGTTTTTTTTTTTTTTTGCTTTTTTGGTATTCTGCTTACATGATTCGAGGCGTTTTTATCCATTTTTTACCATGGCTCATGGGATCCCGAGGCCATACGTCCTCCAAAAAGTAATAGATGTGACCGACAAGCATACCCAAAATGTCTCCCGTTGGAATCTGACCATTCAAAAATATCGAGAATAACAAGAGAACCCAAGGCAAAAATGAGGCTGAAAACACCAAAATGCCCAAAAAGTTTAATCTTATATATGGATTCCTTCTTGACCAAATGTAAACCATCGTGAATGATAAAGCTGATCCCATAAATGGCAATGAAGCGAACGGTACAACAAACTATATTTGCATATATTGTTAAAAAAAGAGAGATACAAATCTGCGACTTTAGTTTTTCCTCTTCTTTTTCTTTTTTTTTTTTTGTTTCATTTCCTTGTTAACTTACGGATATCAGTAACAATAGACAAGCCGAGAATATCATCAACCATAAATAATCTGCTGGTTTGTTTCTATAGAATCCTTCTTCCATCATTCGACTGTATCTTGCTCTATAGGTTTTGAAAAGAGAAGGATGAGTGAGGATAGGAATATTACAAGCATCATTCTTCAAGGCGTGTTATGCTTACAGAAAGAATATATGGAATAGAAAGTCTATGGATAATGGACCAAAGTAAAAAAAGTTCGTTATCAATCGCCACCACTAGAGATACAAAATAAGTATAAAATCATGTTCATATGTATAATTTATTTAGTTCATTATCACACTGTAGCTTACTTGAAAATCACTGCCGATACGTTCAAAATTCAGCCATAACTGCAACGGGTGAATGAAGCCTAGATGCTGAGTGAGATAGAAGTCGTCAGCTCATCTACTTGGGCCAATGTCAGTTATTCATTGCGTTTTAAAACTTACGACAGCTATACTTGTACAGCAAGCAGCACCGACATATATTCTTGTAATAGGCGGAATTTCAGAAAACCAAGCTTCCAAAGGAGACGGCATTGTTCACAATGGTATCCCGCAGTTAAAAGATATCCGACTTCAAATAAGTTACAATGAAATTCAAAAGAATTTGTTCTGGATTGAAATGGAAAGCAGCTTTTAGAAGAAAAATGCTGGCTCTATTTCATTGGATGGCAGATTGTAGAACCGAGATAGATCTGCTTTAATGCCTTGGATCCCATTTTGCGACCCATAACGGGGGCCTTTCCCTTCAAATCCCGTTATACCTTTAGGGATGCAACTGTATTCAAAGCTTACTTTATCAATTCATTTGGTATATATATATATATAGCGTAATGTCGACTATTCTCAGTTTTTTATGTACGACTATCCAGTTTAAAGTACAGTTTCGCTCGACTTTTCATAGTCGCTGCTCATGCAACCTTCCAAATATGGCATTCACATTGCTTCTGAAACGACAAATGCTCTTCTTCTGTTAGTATCGAGTATAAGCTTCTTCTACACTTGCTTAATTGACATCTGTATTTCACGCAATATGAACAATCTATTAGAAAGTTTAGCAAGTTCATTAAGAGACTCTCGATTGTTGTGCTAATAATGTGATCGCTCACTATCACAAAAACCGCCTGCTGTTGAGGGATATCGAAAGAAACAGGCGGCTTTCGGCATTTCAATTGACCGCAAAAAATAAAAACCAGATGGGAAGAGAGCCCACAAAAAAAACAAAGCCTATTCCCACTTTCTTTCATTCTCCTTAAAGCATCTTCACCATTCCAAAGTAGCAACGGAAGGGTTAAAAAAATAATGCCTTCTCTTGCACTTTCTTCAGCCGAAGATAAGAATAAAGTCAGACGTGCTTTACCGACAGCAGTAAGTCTTTGAACAGATCTCAAAACTTGTCAATGGCCAACTTGCACTTACGAGAAATTTTTAAATTAGAAAATATATGCAGCAACAGTAGCTCGCCTATACGTTGCCTATCCTAACCCACAAAAGTGGGCATATTCTAACATTTGGGGAGCTGTCACTTTTTTAAAAGATAAAAAGAAGCACTCTTATTACATACGAATTATCGACTTGATAGTAAGCTTCAAATACTATTTCAAGCAATCTGTATTTTCTACCATGGGTTAACATAAATTTTGTACAACTTTGAATATTGATCAATAGCATCATCGTGGTGTTATCTGGGAACAAGAGTTGTATGATGGTTTTGAGTTCAAGCAGCAAACGCCGTTCTTTTATACGTTTGCAACAGACGTAAGTGGATTCAAAGTTCAAACTATTATCAGGTTCCTCCATTAGGCTTATTGACTGAATGCTATTTGAAAACAGGAATATATGGCAGGCTTATCTTTCACAAATGAAGACGATGCAGAAGTTTTCTACAACAAAATAAGTACTAGGGAAGCATTTGTTAGTAAATCTTCCAAGACAAACAAAAAGACTAAAGGTAAAGCGAGAATTTACAACTCATACTCAAGTGACAAGCCTAATCATTCTCGTTTGTATTGGTGATTAGACACAGGAGGTAAAAAGCCAAAAGGAAAACTGGACAAATCTCTTATTGGTTTACCTTCAGAATTCAGGTAAAAAAGGAGAGGATGAACTAATAATATGAGAACCCTTCTAGCGTCGAGGTCCTAAATGGCTACATTTTTTGTTGTATCACTAGACACGTGGGTCACATTGGCTATACACCCGAGAAAGGATTCAGGGTGCAGAATATAGATCCTGAGTGGAATGGATTATTTGATCAATTGAAGGATTTGGGTATATCAGCCGAAGAGATTCAGGAAAATGAAGATTTTATAAAAGACTTTGTCAATCAAAGAGGCGGCCCGCCTCCTCCCCCTCCTAGAGTTGGTTCGACCGGTCCATCAAAGACTCGCGCACCCCCACCTCCACCTCCTTCAAGACGTCAAGCCCCTCCTCCTCCTGCACCCGTTGGAGGTTAGTATGGCTACTAATAGAGAAAGCAGATAATTATAAATGGATAAGGAATGCTAAACATGCTATACAATTTCTAATAGGTCGTCGACCGCCTCCTCCTCCACCACCCTCTCGCCGTAACCCTACGCCTCCGCCTCCGCCTCCCACACACCCTACTCCTGCAGCTCCAGCTGGCTCTGGATCACCCATCCCTCGCTCTGCTATACCAGCACCGCCACCTCCTACTTCTGGACGTCAACCTTTTCATCGTATCGAAGAGTCACAGCAACAGCGATCGCCATCGTCTCCCCTATCGAATTCAGCATTGGCACCATCTCAACCACCTCCACCGCCACCGCCACCTCCACCTCCAGTGACTAGAACACAGCTTCCTTCTACGCAGCATACAAGTGTACCAGCTCCTTCGACGAATGCTTTCCAATCTGCGCCTATGTCACCTCATGTTGATAAGTCTAGACCACCCGTACCGAAGATTCCTCCCCAGCAACCCTCTTTGATAGCTGAATCAGAAGATAACCAATACTCCGAAGCTGCTCCGATAGCTGAAGCCGCATCTTCTTCTCCACCTGCACCTATAGCGAGCTCACCTGTTGGTGGTGGTGCTCCCTTTAAATCGAATAATCCTTATAAAATGCTCTCGCAACAAGATTTAGATGTCACCCGTGGCACGTCAGCATCTTCAACGCAGACAACTGCAGCTGCACCACCTCCGCCTCCTCCTCCGCCTCCTCCACCACCACCACCACCTCCCTCTGTACCTCAATCAATGGCTGCTGCTACAAATTCCACTCCTCCCCAAGCTCCACGAGGGCCTCTTCCTCCACCACCGCCTCCCATCCCAGACCCATCTTTTGAACAGCAATCTTATCAGCAGGTTGAAGAAGAGGAGGAGGATGACGACTTTCAAGATGCGATGGAAGCACCTGCTCCTCCACCTTTATCAACTTTACCTACTCGTCGACCTACATCACCACCATCTCAACCTCCACCACCCGTTCCTCCTATGCCTAATAGATCTATGCCGCCGCTTCCGCCACCACTTCCTAATAGAAGTAGAAGAGGAGGGCCTCCTCCACCTCCGCCAACGGGCCAAAGACCCAATGCTCGTATCCCCGCACCTAGTTCTGCACCTCCACCTCCACCACCACCACCACCACCTCCTGCTCCTATGCTTTCAGTGAATGGCGGCCCACCTCCACCCCCTCCTCCTCCACCTCCGATGCCTTCTATGCATCACGAAGCTGTACCAGCTGCTTCGCCCGCTAAAAGTGATTCTAATTTGCCTGTGGTGACCGATAGTCGCAGTGCTCTATTAGACGCTATTCGTGGTGCGGGTGGTATTTCTTCGTTAAGATCAACACCTGTAGGAGCGAGGAGGGATAGGAGCAGTCCACTTACGCCATCGAATGCAGCAGGAGCTGCTACGAATGGTACTGGCAGTGCGCCAGCGAATGATTTAACAGCTAGTTTGTTAGCGGCTTTGAATGATCGTAAAAAGGCTGTAACTCAATCAGACGACGATTCAGATAGTGACGAGGGAAGTGAATGGGATGATTAAGAAACAGGAATAGTGTTTTTGCCTCTCTTTACGCAACTCTACTGCTATAATAATAATTACTACATACTAATTTATCATTTCGCTCACTACATAAAGCTGAGTACTGTGAATAAACAATGAATAGTCATAGAATAAAAAAAATTCAGCTAAATGAGCATGACATAGTTTGGAATCAGAAGGAGAATGGATGATACTGTCAAATGTATTTTGTTGTAGTTTTAACCACACGTGATCGTGGCAAATATGTGTTTCGTGTGTTAAGGCGGGTGGCAAGTATATTTTCTAACCTTCTATTTGCGTTCTAGGGAAAGACACAGCAAATCATATAAATCATTGGGCAAAAATAAAGGGAATGTTTTGACTTTCCCTTTCTCTTCTTCTTTTTCTCTTTTTCAACTGTCTCCTATTCTGTTTGTAACAACCATTCCTTTGCAGACAAATGACCCACGACGTAATGTCTACTAATAACACAGAGCCAAACTCCAAAACCACTTTATGCTTTGCTATTCAAGATAAAGTCGGTCGTCTTGAGGATTGTTTATCAACTATCAAAGCAATGGATATTTCTTTAACACGTATTGAATCGTAAGGATGCTTTTATTCTTTCAACATTGCATGATTCATTTCCATTAAACATCATCTATTATTGGGCTGGACAATGTGCTTATTTTTCTTTTGATAGTCGACCCAGCCGTACGCAAGAATGGGATTATGATATTTTTGTTGATTTTGATGCCAAAAATGCTACTCAAGTAGACCATGTCATTGAAGGACTTCGCAAACATACAAAAGATGTGCGTGTTCTCGGAGGTGGCAATAGTTCAGGTGGCACCAAGTCAGGTAAAAGAAATCTTTTTCTGTGAACAATGACGTTTTTAAATTTGGATATCCACCTTCTGAGTCGTGAGAAAATCCAATCTATAGAAAGCGTACCTTGGTTCCCACGCAAGTTGACAGATTTGGACACGTTTGCGGATAAGGTTCTGGAGATGGGTGAAGAGTTGAGTAAGTTAGCAGCTCCATTGTCCACAGTTGGTTATCTATTGTTCGATTCACTAACTCCCCGCCCCCGCCCCCGCCCCCGCCCCCCCTCACTCGCAACTTAGGCTCAGATCATCCCGGTGCCAAGGATCCAGTGTATCGTGCGAGACGTGCTGAGATCACTCGTATTGCCAAAACTTACCGTACAGGTCAACCACTGCCGGAAATACAGTACACAGACGAAGAGAATGAATGCTGGGGTAAGGTGTTCCGTAAACTGACAGCCATGTACCCTACGCATGCTTGTCGAGAACATCAATATGTTTTACCTCTTTTAATCCAAAATTGTGGTTATAACGATAAGCAAATCCCTCAAATCGAGCAAATTTCCCGTTTCTTAAAAGACTGCACAGGTTTCACGCTTCGTCCTGTCATGGGCTTATTGTCAAGTCGTGATTTCTTGAACGCTTTCGCCTTCCGTGTATTCCATTCCACACAATATATTCGCCATCCTTCCCAACCATTCTACACACCCGAACCTGATGTATGTCACGAATTGCTAGGTCATGTACCTTTGGTAGGTTTCCACTCAAGTTGTATAGACATAGGATGTGTGGTTCATTTACCGAGAAAACTAAACAAAAAAAAAAAAAAAAAAAAAAAAAAAAAATTGATGGCCACTACCAACCATCCATCGTTCTTCATCTTTACCTAGTTTGCAGACCCAGATTTCGCAGATTTCTCTCAAGAGATCGGTTTAGCCTCACTGGGTGCCTCGGACGAAGACATTCAAAAATTGGCTACCATCTTTTGGTTCACAGTTGAATTCGGTTTATGTCGTCAAGGCAATGAAATCAAAGCTTATGGTGCCGGTTTATTGAGCTCTTTTGGAGAATTAGAATATGCGTTATCTGACAAACCAGAGCTTCGTCCATTTGACCCAGCCAAAACAGCAGTGCAAAAGTATCCTATTACAGAATTTCAACCGGTTTATTTTGTAGCAGATTCATTCAAGAGTGCTCAAGAAAAAGTAAGAGATTTCGCTGCTAAAATGGATCGTCCGTTCTCTGTGAGATACAACGCCTTGACACAAACAATTGAAGTGTTGGATAACAAGGAAAAGGTGGTGCGATTTGCAAAAAGTATTCGAGACGACATGAAGACATTGACCACAGTACTGGAAGGCCTCAGCTAATTTCTTAGTAGAGTGTTAGCAACTATTAACGGACATAGTAGCTTTTTGTTTCCCCAATGAATAAAGTAGCACTTCCTGCTTTGTAACAAATCCCAAGTTCTCGTCTGAAGCATTTTTTCCATGTCAAACAATTCACAGACAATTTTGTTAGTGTTACTTAAAGGAGCAATCAAGGCTCTTTATCATTCGTATGAAAGAAATCAAAATAGGTATTACGCAGTAAGGGTTATATACAGTTTTTTTACAAGAAATATCTGGAATAAAATGGTATTTACAAATGGTGGTGGATAGAGAGAAAGCAATAGAGTTTTACTCGCTCTTTTCAGATTTAACTTGGTTGTTGCCATCAGAAGGATGATGATCATCACTGATAAGCGTGGTTGAGCTAGAGGTTGAGAAAACAGTCGAGTTCGGGCTAGTGGAAGAGGTATCACTCGATTGATCATTCAATCTTGCTTCATCCATAGAGAACCTATCATGATACGTCGTGACAGAAGAAACGTAATCATCAGCTGTAGGACGGGCAAACTTTTCTCTTGGCCTGTTGCTGCTGTCGCCGTCATGGAGAATGACAAGTTCATGCTCGGGTAATGCATAATCTCCATAGGTGGATAGTACGCTTACACTGAGATTCTTATCTGTGTAATACGGTACAGCACCATCGTCCATACCGCTGTTGTATTCTTGTCGTCGCTTTCTTCTTTCTCTGTAACCAGGCACACGCCAACATCCAAACCAAACGACAGCAAGACAAAGACCGAGCATAACAAGTAGAATGGCGAGAATCATACCGGCCAACACCTGAACATGCTCTTGTAAATAAAGGAGCGAACTACCCACAAGGTCACCATTTTCGCACACGCCATCAAAGCAGCGTCCACCATAGCCGCAAGGCGTCCCGTCAATGAAATTGCCAGAGAAAATCAGACATTTTTCACCATGGGGTGCATTACATAAAAGTTTACATTCTTCGTTATTGGATAAACAAGAAGTAGTGATATTCATGACAGAACCACGGGCAAGACACTGTTCATCACGCGAAGTACACTGTCCGGAAGCACAAGTAAGGCCGTCCCCACAGGACATGCCATCGTGAACAAATTCATCTTTAGGACAGGTGGGTGAAATGCCATCACAATATTCAGCAACATCGCATGCCGTTGAAGAGGGCCTACAGATGGTATTCTTTGGTTTTACTTGACAATTGTGGCAACACCCATCATTTGTGTCTCTACATGGTTCAGAAATAGAGAGGGACATCATCAATACGCTTTGTATGTTGATATTGTTGGACGAAAAAGGACAGTGATTAGCACTTACTCGCAAACAGCGTTTTTCTTTAATTTACAAGTTTTAGCATCACAGCAACTGGTATCCACACCTCCAGTATCGCATTCTTCACCTTCTTCTTTGATTCCATTGCCACACACGTTGGTTTGGTAAAGGTATCGATCAAATTGTCCAGGGTCAGTCAAGCAAGTCCCTATGCTAGGGAAAGCATTACAGATAGTGTTGATAGAGCAAGGGCTAAATGTGTTGGCTGTGCTGTTGGTAATCGAACTCATAATATAACCACTGGAATCACATTGGTCAACACTGCTCTGACAGCACTGACAATTGTTGTCGTCTTCACAAGGACAATCTGAAGCTGAGCAATCATGTATAGCACCTATTGGAATAGATGGAAGGGCGGAAGGGAGGAACAGGGAAAGTTAGCAAAACAAAAAAAGAGTACATTGAACGTTTTCTAGACAACCAAGCAACCTACCGAATCCATGAGCAATTTCATGTGCTACAATTTTCCATTCATCACGAGCTATTCAAGTATTTATAATCAGTCAGACCCCTCTTTTCAAATACACATCTACAAGCGAAATAGACCTACTGATGGAAGAAACGCCTGCCCCAGAGACGTACAATGTCTTGCCTTCAGATGACACTTCGGTTGAAAGCCCTGTATTGCATAATTGATTTAACCAAGCAAGTCCAACTTCAACACCCGTACTAAAACAATAAAAAAGTGTAAAGGAAGGTAAGAGGTTGATAAAAGAGATGGTTGTGAAGGTTCTATCCATAATGAATTGGTTTGATAAACATACGCGCACTTGGTCATTAAATGCCAGAGACCTGCTCCATCATTACTCCTGTTGGATCGCCATAAACTAAAGTCACTCAATCTGTCACCAATAGAGTAATTGGCTTGACAAGCACGGTTCCAAGGAACGCTACTATCTACTTCAGATGGACAATTGGAGTTCATAAGGGTGATATTCATCAATCCCAAAGAAATATTGAATGTTTCTTCAAATAAGGCTGACGCTGTATTAAAGTCATTGATGATTTGTAGTTTCGCATTATCGACTGATTGGTAGTACTTTACATATGTACAATCGGCAGCTACATTAAAAAATAAAGTGAACCATGTGGACATCAGAAAAACGAATTCTCGTGTGCTCGAAACAAATTCTCGTTACCTGCACCCATATAATTAACTAGAAGGTGGTATTGTAATGAGAGAGGATGAATTTTAAAAATAGAATGAATACTTTGGAAACATTGTACTTGTCGCTGTTGTATTTCAACTCACTTTTTCGCCTCTTGGGACATCCGGATTCAGTCTTTGTGAAGCCCATTTCCTCACGCTTATTAAACAATTTGAGATGGTCCTTGATCGTGGCTTTCTGTAACAGATTATTGAATCCACATTGATGCTCTTCGTCTTCTTTCTGAAGCTCCATTCCTCTCTTACTTTCTAGCTTCGAATAACTTGTCGAGCGAGCTGATTCTGTATCGGATTCTCGATAAATAACCATATGAGAGTGATGATCATCCGCTAAACCCACGTCATCGGCTCTTTTTACAAGTCGGTAATTCGACGTTGACTTTATATGATACAGCTCATTGTCTACTTTGAATGCACCTTCTACAATCGTCTGTTCCGTTTTATGCCTGACAAACAGACAGAGATTGAGAGAGAGAGAGAGAATATGTGTGTGTGTGTGCGTGCGTGCGTAAGTGTTTCGTATGGAGACAGAGAATGCCACTTTAAAGCCATATTCAATAAGAACCCGATTCAAACTTACCTAGACATTAAATCATGACGTATAATAATGCGGGCCCAGCCTAATTGAGGCTGTTGGTAACTGAAGGATGGCAATAATGATGATGAAGAGTGTGGATAAGGATAAAATTCAGAGTTGAGTACGCCCAGCGCATCTTTGTACCAAGTGTTTTCTGTATGTGCAGGGTGGATAACATGCCCTTTGTAGACAAGAATCTTATTGTTTTGAGCGCTTTTTGTCCCTTGTGTCAACCATCGAGAAGGATGTAAATGTGTACTGATGCCGAGTTCTTGATGATGGGTTACTGCTTCGGGATGAAAGAGGTCTAAATTGGGCTCGAGATGCAGATAAAAGGTCTGATTGTAAGCAGTAAACGATAACCGCAGTATATCATCATAGTCGATGTGCTTCAACGCAGTCGAGAGGGTAGGATGGGTATTGGGTGACTGGTGTCTTTTTTCGAAATAGGCATGCGTTCGTGGTGCAATATCAATTTTGACATGTGTTAAGGGTTCTATTCGCTTTAGTTGTCTATTGTCGATACTATGTCCTATTGTTCACAGATGAGGTTAGAGTGGACGGTAGCTGTCAAAGGCTGGACAAAAAACTTTATCACGCAAACCTAATGTCAATAAAGGTAACACAGCAACGAATAGTATGCATAAATAATATCTCATAGGTGACAAAATTGAGTAGAGTGCGCGAGATCGTTTTTATTTCTTTTTCTTTGCTCAATGGGCTGTCAAAAGGTATATAAAACGATGCGCTACCACTGTTGATGTATATAAAAGCTAAAGAAAGGAACAAGAAACTTCAAACAAAAAGAAAGGACAACCAAAAAGTGTCATTTGCTGGTGTTTTGCTGGTGTTTCTTCCCTTTTTTTTTGGTTTCATTTTTATAAGAGCACCTGTATTATTTTTAGATTCCCGCATTTATCAGCAAGTTGCAAGAAGTGCATTGACATCTACATTCACAATAGACCAAAAATGATCATCAGGGCAAAAACGCTACAGAGCTGGTAATGATATACAATAGACCCTGTGTCTGTCCATAAGAGCTTATTGCTATATAGTCTTGTTAGGAGAGGGGGGGGGTGCGCGATCTGCAAATAAGTTATCGAGATTTAAATGTTTGAATTTTTGTGTTGGAAATAAAAAGTCAGTACCTGTGCTTTCTGGAATTTTGAATCCAGGGTAAAAGATTATTCATTTCAGGTTTTGCCTATTCTTTGTTGGGGTCTATTCAACGCTGATTTGAAAACAGTGAAAGAAACCAAGTGGAGTACTTTATTATTTCTACAATAACGCACAAAGAGACTACAGGCATTGTAAACTATTTTCCAAAACTCGTATTCATTGGTTAGTCCATAATATCTGCGGTATTTTTATCTTTGCTCACAGTTGAAGTAGGTTTTTCTTTTTTATTTTTATTTTTTTGTTTGTTTGTTCAAAATGGAAGAGTTCTACAGAGAATAGCTATGTTTCAAAGCAATATGTACCTGCGTAATCACTCACCAGTCAAATTGCATAAGAGATGAGCACAGTTGGTTGTATTTTAAGAGGTTTAACTCTAACCTGCGAATACGACGATTGATGGTTCTATAGCTTGTGCAAATTAGAATAAAATAGCGGATGATCCTAAGCATCGTTGTAAGCTTGCTTACCAAGAGATTTGCCATCTTTCAAGGTAAAGTTTATGACCCTGAGTCACTGCTATCTGTTTAACTCTACAATAAACTGGGTACGACGACTATTCTTCAGTTGGAAAGCCAGGCAAAATAGAAGGCTTTTCTGTAGTATAGCCTTCAACGTTTGTGGTGGGTAAAGGTTTGATAGAAAAAACAAAATTTTATGAAAGAAAACTATTTTTTTTTTGGCAGGCTAAGTTGTTATGTTTACCGAGTTATATAAAGTTGACTTGATTGTAATGAGCTTAATTAAACATACTATGGAGCTTTTTTGACAATCAGAGCTGTCTACATTTACAGCGATAGAGTATTTTTGTAACTGTCAAGATGCAAGCTGGACACAAAGAATTTGGCACATCTTAACGAACTGGTTGTATAGTTGTTGTATGGTTGTGTCATAACCATATAGAGTAGAGTAACAATAGCGTCACATATTTTGTAATATGTTCTGTTCGGTTTTTCTTCATTACAATAACAAGCAACTGCGATTGGTGTAACTTGACTTGATGTCTTTGAAGGTATGAAAATCACAATGTAAGACATAAAAAATATAAACTTTAAATCGCTTCTATGTTCCAATGATCCTCCTAAAATGATGCAAAGAAAAAAAAAAAAGCAAGTGGTATCATTCTAATATTCTATTACTATGACGCACTCATTGGTTATTTGTAGAGAGATAAGCTGATGTAAATTTTTGAAAGTATACTTATCCTACGTTTTTGTATGGCTGTAATAATTAAACAATAATACAGCTTTTGCAGCGAAAGGCTGATGTGACAATGGGCAGAATGATATTTATTACGTGTGAAATGATAACCAAAAAAAGAAAGGCGACGAAACAGCGGTACAATCCTTAAAAAGGAATAAATGTGGTACAAACATTGTTAGCAGCTTCATGGTACTCATCCTTGCGTTGATCCTATTTTATCGATCTGCTGGGTTTTTTTGGTCTTTTTTTTTTTTTTGGAGAGTACTGATAATTCAAAAAGAGTGGTTCATAAGGCTTACGACTCTGTATGATGAAAGTGCAATTGAAACAAGAGTTGGACGAGGAGTTCTGGTTGAATAAGGATATCACATCATACGTTAGCCTTTTAAGCTCTGTTGTTATATAAACAAATGAAAAAAGGAATAGGATTTTCTTTGAAGCACATGACAAATGGCATACATCGAATTTATGTAATACCAAGTGAAAAGAACTTATGACAAACACTGTCATCTTTATCTAAATAAATGCTGGATTCATGTATTTTCTCTGTTGATAGGTTGTAGATGTTTGCCTGGCTTGAATGGATATTGACAGAATAAACCCGAGTCCATGAGCCAATGCGACGATTCGAGTAAAAACGCAAAACCATCTATTCTCATCTTCTTTACTTTTGCATTGATCCAGCCATGATAGTGGTAGCAGTCATTGTGATCGATAACAGTGTCTTTTCAATGTTGTTTTTTTTTCATCACAACAATAGGCAACCAATGTATTCTGCAATTCGTGCTACATACATTAAGCCATATTGACAAGGAAGAAAGACCTTTTCCTAGTCTAGATATCGACAGATTAAATGGAAGATCATCCCCGCAAGTCCCAATGGGCCTCCTTTCGTATTCATACGTCGCATTTACTCAAATCAAACTTTTGTACAACGCATAGTAACATAGACTATGTAATAACGCTATACCTTATTCTGTTACATTGTCCCTCCTTGCGATGGCTCTATATTATTTTAATGAAAACGTTTCTACAACCAAAAGGATTTGAAAATGTCAGCACGGATGATCGACATCATTAGCATAGATCTCTCTCATGGCCACTCCAATAGACAGAATTGTGATTCAAACTGACTTTGACCTTTGCAATTAACAATGGAAGGAAGAAAAAAAAAAAAAAAAAAAAAAAAAAGGTCGAGTGAGGCATGTACTAGTTTAATCGCATAGCGCACTCTAACTAAAGTGGTAAATAATAACTTTAAATTTGTTATCACTAGGAGAAGACTGCCATTTTGTCCCGAAACTTTGTGATATGAGAGAACCGAGCAAATATCACAAAGCGTTTGATTTGTTGTTGCCCTTTTGAATGGACTGGGAACATTTTTGATTGGCAAAATTGAAGTAACCATTTCTAGAATAAATAAAAGGTAGTTTAGTAGTAACGAAGGGAAGGATCAACTTTCCTCTCTTTTTTCTTTGATCTCTTTTTTTTTTTTTTTCACTAATCAATAGAAAGTGCTTTTCTATTTTACTGTGCCTGACAAAAAAGTTTGAATTGACGTTTCCTGTTCATACATACATACATACATACACACATACACACATCAAGATACCATCACGCCTATTGTTTTTCACCATTGTAGATTTGAAAAAAAAAAAGATGACAACTACAGACGATACAGTAAAGGGTTAGTAGCAGTCGTAGTAGAAGTAGTGACAGCAAACCTTTTTTTTTTTTTTTTCTAAAAAAAACCCATCCTTCATTAATAACCTCATCTTTAAAACGTACGGCAGTCAAAATATACTATACAACACAAGGATCAAAATTAATGAAACTCACAACGACAACGACATATAACAACACCAACGTTCTATCTCTCCGATCATGTTTATGGTCTATATGCACTGCAAGGTAAGCATTTCAAAAAAGTTACACAGCTAGTCGTGTCTATTAAGCTCCTCGATGTTGCAGAAAATGCGTCTAAACACGTGATATAGACCAATGAATGGCTCATTTGTTCCTTTATTTTTACGTTAGTCCGGATATTATTTGTAAAGATCATGATTTATCTATTTACACCGCCAATCTTACAGAGACCGACCCTTCTGAAGGCACCATAAATCACGACTCACTCATTTGGGAAGGTCACGGTCTGATGTCTTGGATAATGGATCCAAATCAAAGCAATGATATTTATGTCTCTGGGAAGCGACGTGTTTATGAAACTGACAGTAACCAACATGTGGTTGAACTTCATGTCAATCTGCAACCGGTAAAGAATCAACGATAGAAAGCAATTTATTTTATTTATTTTTTTTCATTTGTCATTGACCCCCTTTTTTTTTTCTTTCTTTCTGTATCGCAAGACGTTAAAATGGTCAAAGGACGATTTTGTTTATGCATTAAAGAATGAAAAGTTTTGCCAGCTAAAAGAAGCTTCTTTAACGCCCAAACACCAACAGCAAAAGCAGTGTAACTGTTATGATACAGGTCAGAAAGTGGAGCATGCAAACGATCATTCTATGGGTGCTCTAGGCCCGCCTGCTTCTCTGCCTGTTCCTTCAGGACGGATGAGTGCTCGCAATACTATGCTACCTTCCTTATCTGCCTCAGTTCCTCCAGTCCTTCATAGACCAGAGCCTATCTTTCCACAAGTGACGACGTCAATGTTAGCGACACAAGCCAACATCTACCGAATACCCTCTCCTCCATTTCATGACGTTAAAGAAGAAACAGACAATGCGGCCGTCCATGTTCAGCCACTACAGCAGCAGCAGCAGCAGCAGCAGCAGTCATACCCATATAGACAAGAGTTCCCTCCTCCTGTACCGATACCCACTTCCTCCATTGTCCCTCCTCAGGGCGATCACAGAAAATCGGCTTTTACGCTTGCTGCTGGGTCTTCTGGCTACAAACGAAAAAGTAGTGATAGCCATAAGAGTGCTTGCATGATAACGTCTATGCCACTTTCTTCATCTCCAAACAAACAGCCTCTCTCTTCAGCAACATCCTACTCATCTTCTTCGGCTTCTTCTTCACCCGTACATTCTGCAGCTTCTCCGACCACTTTGAAGGATGGCATGATGCATCATCAGAATCAGTCCCACCACCCTCTGACGGAAAGGTGCAGTGATACAAATGTGAACCACGGTCATAGAAAGAGAAGAAAAAAAGGTTCATCGACGTGGAAGGATCCGACCGTCTCGCCTGCTGCTTCTACAACTCTCCATGGTGATCAGCAGAGGTCTTGTTCCTTTTCGCAACATTCACAACCACCCTCTTCTTCCTCAACGACGCATTTGATACCCATAACTCCTCCTCCTCCTCTTTCTGTTGCTACTCCTACCTCAGCGCTCGCTCCCGCTCCATCACAGCAACAACACATAAGTACAGCCGTTCGAACTTATTATGAAGTGGACAAAGACAGAAATGGCAACTATATCTTGCCTGTGGAAATTGATTCCTGGACGGTGATTGATCTTGGTACGGTTGTTTATGATCGACCCGCTTACCACAATCAACGTTACATTTACCCAGTGAACTATACTGTAAAAAAGTAAGTTGGCTTTTTTTTTTGGTTTTTTTTCTTAATTATTTATTTTGTTGTGGTCTGAAACGCACGGATGCTAAAGCCAAAAAAAAAAAAAAAAAAACCGAAAAAATACATGTTTCTATAGATGGTATCGAAGTATGATTGACCCTCAGTCAGATACTCAATATACTTGTCGTATTTTGGACAATGGTCGAGAGCCCAAATTTGAAGTAACGGCTGATGATTGCGATATGACTTATTCAGGACCTACGCCGACAACGGTTTGGACGATTATTGTTCGTCGGGCATTCAGTATACGCAATCAAGAATATGGTCATAACCCTGTTGGGCCTGATTTCTTTGGTTTGCGTAAAAACACGATTGCAAAAATGATTCAGGATCTTCCCAACGCGTCTCAATGCTCAAGATATGTTTGGCAAAACTTTGAGCCTGCAAAGTTCAATAAGCCTGGAAGCAGAACGAGACGCCGAACAGAGTCTTCATCCGGAAAAGGTCTTCAGCATCCCTATGGATTGGTAAAGGAAGGAGCCACAGCAACAACCACCACAAGAGAAGGAGATGATCTCTCCTCCACCAACATGAGTTATCGTCATCGTCCTATTACTTGTATTGCTGCGGCTTCCTTGTCCACTTTGACAGGAGGCCTTAATTATGGGCTTACCCATGGTCATCGATCCTCACAACAGCAAACAGCTTCCAATACGATTAAAAGAGGCAAAAAAAATTGACAATAGCAACCATCATTAAATCATTATAAATCATTCTCCATCATAAACAAAAAAGCATCTTGCAAGACAATTTGCTGAAAAAGGATAACTAAAAATAAATAAAAATAAAAAAAGCTTTAGGTTTAAGCATTTTATGTGAAAAGGAGAATGCCAAGCTTTAAAAAAGCAAATATACTAAGGCTGCATTTTGTCTTCCGATGGTTCAGCAATCTATTTTTACATCATGATCCGTAAATTAAGCTTTTTTTTTTTTTTTTTTTTTTTTTTTTTTGCTTTGTCATTTAGCATCTGCATAAAATAGAAAGAAAAACAAATGACTCCGCTCCAGCTTCTCTTCACCCGCCCCGCCCCCTTTTCGAATATGAACTTTGAGACTTTTGTATCCTATTTTTTTAGAATGATGAAAAAGACGCGTTGAAAAACATAGGACATTTTTAGCAGAGAGCGATAGGTTGTTTGCTCTGTGAATAAACACAAATTAAAAAAAACAATAGTATGAATTAAACCCGAGAATCTGGGATCCGAGGAGTTGCCATGTTTATCTAATTATCCTTACGGAACATTGGTATACCCAAGGTCATCATGGCGAGAGGTATAAGGCTTTATGGATACAACATCTGATAATGGGATAACGTCTCTTTTGTTTCAAGTAGGTTTGGAGTGTATCCATACCAATTAGGCTATTGTATGACTGTTTTGTATCAATAATAGAGCGTCTTTATTTTCATTATTCCGGCGACAATGATAACTGCGTTTGCTCGAACAATAAGGAGGGTTCAAATGCGGATTGTTAGCGTCTGCAACGTCATCAGCGACAGTCGTTATCAGCTTGCTTTTTTCACTCATCGCGCTTTCTTCTGCTGACACTACTTTTTTAGTGTTCTTGTGGTTGGTTGCCCTTATTTAAATGGATTATCTTCCATTGCCAACAAGCTTAAGATGACGCTTCTTGATTAAATAACCATTATCAGCACAAAAATTTGTTTTTCACGCTTTCAGTTGAAAGGTGTTGAATAAAGCGCCATGTAGTAACGCGTCAACATGCTGCTCTTATTTAAAGTAACTGATATAGACATAATCTTGATATACTAAAAAAAGCCATTGGACATGTGTTTCTCCATTTCATTTTCCTGGTGAAATAATAAAATAATATATTTATTTATTAAAAGATAAAGACTTTAGACAACATCCTTTCATTTGTTCTTAATGAAAACAAAATGCATCACATGATCACAAAATTGGGCCTACAAAAGCATAGAAAAAAGAAAACTCTTTTTCTTTTTAGCTCCGGTTCAAATCACGATACAGTTCGCATTTATTGATTAAATTAGACAATTTTCTTCTGTACAGAAGCCCATGTTATATTTGTTCTTTATATGCCTAAACGGTGATCTCATAGCAACCAAATTTGTAGTGAGAAGGTAATGAACACACAATGCCCTTTTTCATGTCTGTTTTCTAGTCGAATAAAAAAAGATCAAACCGTGAAAAGAAAACGGTCCGCAACCCCCCCTCCCCCCCCAGACTGATTTTCTGTGGCTCAAATTTTTGTGATAATTTTTTTTTTTTTGTTTGAGATTTTTCAGTAACCAAACAGCCAAATAAAAAAAAAAAAAAAAAAAAAAAAAAGTGAACCATTACCCAAAACCAACAAACTTGATAGTCTCATGTGTGTTTGTCTGTGGCTGAAACGATGTTCTGGGTACCTGCCCTCTCTTGTTCTTTTGTCATCGTAGAAAGCTGCCAGCCGAACCTTTGGCTTACAATAAGGACCAACGAGCAGTAACAAGATTCAATGCCAGCAAAATTTGAATTGGCTTTTGAGTTGCAATGTTTGTAAAAATCATCAAAACCCTTTTTCGTTTCCATGGTTTTCCAATCGAAGAAGAGGAGGGGGAAATAAAAAAGGAGAGGAAATGAAGATCATGCAAACTAACCACAGATAGACCAAAAGATCCCCTTAGAGATGAGTGTCGCGTAAATTTTTTTATTTTTTTATTTTTTTGGTGTTTACAACAACTTGTACTAAAAGAAGAAAATATTGGGGCAAGCTGTTTTCATCAAGTCTAAAAGAGATAACCCAGCCCCCTTCACTACTTTGCATGTCCTTCACCAGGCACTTTCTTATGCAAACCGCATTCAAGTTTTGAGACAAAGACGATCATAATCCAATGGTGAAGGATGCTCGCGTTAGATAAATCATAGTTGAAAAGAAAAAAGAAAACGCAAGAATTGCATAAAGTAAAAAAAAAAAAAAAAAAAAAAAAAAAAAAAAAAAAAAAGTGGTGCTGTTCACGCTCTCCAAAATTCGATTTCCCCGAAATTTTCGAAAACAAGATTTCTTTCTGCATGTGTCTTTTTCTGCATAGACAGACTCACTTCTCTTGCTTCCTCCCTCCTACCGCGCTAATGTTAATAAATGAGGTTTTTCAAATACAAAAGAGATGAAATGGACAAGCCCAATAGATTGCTATTTTCAGGAACAGCATTCAATAAACGAGCAGCTATTACACCAGCCTTTATTTCAGGTTTTGTGAATCTCAATCTGTACAACAAAGTACGACCAATGTTGTTGCATTTGTTGAATATGGAAACATTACGAAAAAGAAAAAAAAAAAAAAAAAAAAAGTAAGTAAAACATTACTTTTTCATTAGGAGCTGAAAATTGAGAGAGAGAGAGAGGTCAACAAAAAAAAATAAAAAAAAAATAAAGGTTTGGAAAAAGAGGTTTTATAATTTACACGGTTTTTTTGTGGTGTTTTGATTCAATAACCGCTTAATATAAATATACTTTGCCTTCAAGCCCTTTATTAGCCAAAAAGAAACCTTTCTATTTCTCTATTTTTTTATTTTTTTTTTTTTTTTCTTCTTTCTTCTATTAGTTCTATTTTCTATATTTGACTTCTTTCGTCTTTTTTTCTATTTTGTATATTTTCTCATTTTACAGCAACAAGTGCGTAACATCCAACCTATTTCATTTGTACATATACACACACACACACACACAGACAATCAATGATTTCAGGCATTAGAAATAAATTAAAAAGTGCAACTCCGTCCATCCGGTCATCAAAAAGTATCAGTGATGATATAGAGTTGCCAGAGACCAAAAGCTTCAGCACATCTAGTACATCCAACGGACCTGCACCTCCACCCCCTATTCATACTGTTCACCGTCCTACAGATACTCTGCCTGCCAACCTGAGTCGGAACAGCAGTGGTAGTATTCAATCTCTGTCGTCAGGTGCTCGCAGCTCGTATCAAAGCGGTGATAGTCAACACGAAGCGAGTTCGCCTGCTTCTTCCGCTACGAGTCTATCTATGCCACCGACGCCTCCCAGCTTCATGGGCGGTTCGTCCACCGGCAGAAAATACCATCATATGCGATATCCCTCGAATGCCAGTTTATCCCTCTCTATGAACAGCGAGATCTTTATGAATCACAACCACTTGAAACCTGGCGACAATGCTGAATTACTCTCTTATGATAAGACCATCAACTTGTACCGCGAAAACGCCAAACGTTCCAACGATCCTAATATTCAATGTGATCTGGCGATCTATCTGTACGAGTCCTCCAAAAACAACAATAAAAAACCTGAAGAGAAGAAAGCCTACATGCATGAAGCAGTCAAGATGCTCAAGAACTTGGCTGTTCATGGACATGCTGAATCCCAGTATTATCTAGCCAACATTTATGCTTCAGGTGCAACTCATAAATCCGGCAAACCTGATTTCGGAAACGCCTTTCCATTATTTGTCCAAGCTGCAAAACGTCAACATGCAGATGCTGCCTATCGGTAAGTGGATATCTCTATTGTCTTCTGGTTTGTTTTTTTTTTTCTCCCTTTTTCTTTGGAAAACCCAAAAAATCAGATTTTTTTGAATGTCAGCCATTGCAAAGAAAGAAAGGGACTTTTCCCCCACCCCCATTTCATCATAGATCATGCAGAAAAAAGAAAACTCATCCCATTTTTCTTTACCACCACCCCTACCTGGGTTAGTGCTGCTAAATGTCACGAAGATGGCTTGGGTTGTTTCAAGAACAAGTCAAAGGCAATACAATACTACAAGTAACGTATTTCAGGAGAAAAAGGCAAATTTACAATCTGCTTTTTGTTTACTAATCCTCTCTTTTATAAAACCACCCCTATTTAGACTTGCTGCCACACTCAATCATCCTGGTGCCATGTATCGCCTAGGCTTAGCAGCCATTCATGGAAGCCTTGGATTACAACGCAATGTGAAAGATGGCAATAAATGGTTAAAACGCGCTGCCGCCGCAGCGACACCAGAATACCCTCACGCTCTTCACGAGCTAGGCTTGTTGCATGAGAAGGGACTGGGCAACATCATCTTCAAAGACATTGGCTATTCCGTTCAACTCTACAGTAAAGCGGCCGAGTTGGGTTATGCTCCTTCTGCTTATCGATTGGGTCAATGCTATGAATTCGGCTATCTGAATTGTCAAAAGGATTCTGCTGCGTCTGTCTATTACTACACAATTGCTGCTCGTCAAGGAAACGACGATGCTTGTCTTGCTTTATCCGCTTGGTACTTGACGGGTGATGAGCCACATGTCATCGCATCTGAAGAAAAAGCTTATTTTTGGGCGGAAATAGCCGCTCGGAAGGGTGTCGCCAAGGCTCAATTTGCCATGGGTTATTTTGCAGAAGCCGGTGTCGGTCGATCCAAAGATCTCAAGGAGGCCATGGAATGGTACAAAAAGGCCTCTAGTCAAGGTGATGATCAAGCACGCAAGAGATTGAATCATATTGTCCACAGCATGAATGAACCCTCCTCATCAGCCACATCATCCACATCCAATCAGAACATGAATATTCCTACATCAACATCACACGTTAATCATACTGCAACAATACCATCTTCACTACTTGCTGGAGAAGCACGATAAACCCCCCCGCCCCCTCCCATTCACACCCTTCCTTCTTTTAGTAACTTATCTATATCTAATCTCTTAATCGTTTTTGCTTTTTCTTTTTTTTTTTTTTTTTTTTTTTTCTTATATTTGCACACCACTATAGATTTTAAATGCGATTTTCTTCCTAATTATTTTAGCAAGCTCCCCCCCCCATCATCCCCCAAAAGCACACTTTTTATTCCTTTCCCTAATGATAACATCCCTAGGCCAAGATTTTAGTTGTATTATCAAAGCCTAACAATACAAAAAAATAAAAATGTACATAAAGCTCCATGTTCATTGTATTCTTTTCAAAAAGAGTCTGCAGGTAACGAAAGAAACGGGTAACTTCACTGTATGGAATCATTATGTAATTTAACGCTGTGCGTTACACAAAGAGCCGAGAATGACGGATCCATTAGGCAATTTTTTTCTATATTCCGCGTCAAATGCAACGCTTTTCCGATGTTCGTTGTCATTTTTTGTGCTGCACAACCTTAAAATTTTGTCAAACATCATAAAGTCTATCTATCTGTGTTACAAAAAAGAACAAGACTTGCATAATGAAGGTAAATAAAGATGACGATGTCTGTGCATTTTCCATACAGTCCTATTTTGCCAAAATCACCCCCAAATGAAATGACGCTGCCAATCTATAGAAAATACAAAACGCAGTATAAAGAAAAATATGTATGGAAATACACATTTTATGTCTCATGCCTTTTGACTCTATCTCACAATGGATACAATGTAAACGGAGAGTAAGACATGAGTAGATCACCATTTGGAATCGTCTTTGCATATGAATGATTTGATACATTGTGCGTATTGTCCAATCCTATTTGCGTGCTGTTGGGGGGTTTTTTTGATGTTATTGTCCAATAAAAATTTGTTTATTTGTCATTTTTGTTGTGCGGGGGGGGGGCGCAATTGAACACGTTACGAGTACAGATGTGTGTCATCAGTAAAACTCGTTGGCATTGTATGATAGAGTGACCATGCCACCATGGATTTCTTGCCTCACCTGTTATCAAGTCTCGTAATAGCAGAGAAGCACATCTACTCACGACTCACTGTTCCTCAACTCCCTGCAGCCGAATAAGCCTATGAATAACAAAATCCGCAGTCTACCCGCACGTGGTCTATCGAAAAAAGACTGTCACTTCTTTTTTTTGATTCATTGAGCTTCCTTCGCTACGTTTTGAGTGATGGGAAGGAGAGACGCTCTTCATCTACACCCAATGGTTGAGCAGAGGATAAAGACAGTAACTTTCCTCGTTAGACCACGTTAACAGAGATCTGGAGATGAGGAGTGTCAAACAGTAAACCATGAATAAAATAAACGAACGTCTTTCATTTGAATGAGGTATATAACATATGCATTGGGAAATACTGTGCGAACCAACTTCAACCAAGACGATAGCTTTTATCGTCCAGGAATAATACCCAGAACAATCCATCTCGTCTGTATTACTCAGGGTCAAGTTCTTTATAGAAGCCACTCTCCAAAGCGCTTACAGTATTGAGTATCATAAGGTGTTGGGCTTTAAAAAGCTTTTGCTGGATATCAGGCTAACCTACTCATTCAAATGTATGTTCCTTGACCCTACACAGTGTCTTTTTTCAGTTTTCATTTCATTTTCGTTCCATCGCTTCTGTACAAAGTATTTTTGGCAATTTCTATAACGCTCTATCTGATTTATAGAATAGATCGTATCGAAGAATAAGGCAGTGATTCAGTACCACCTTCACCTACATCTATACAAATGTGGCAAGATTTGAGATCGACTCTAAAGAGCTCTTTGTCTTGGTTTTTTATTATTTAAAGTTTCTAGGAAAGCCTAGATTACCGGTATGCTGTAGCCAACCGATTTTAAAGCATTAGCATTTGTTTTAAGCTCCAGGTACTTGAATGAGCACCTATACCTTACGATGAGACACGTGGTTTTTACGACTCAAGTGGGCACTAGGTGAGATAGTCATCTTAAATTTGCCCGAGCCAATTCTTTTATTGTACGGAATCGATTTACTCAATGTCAAGGTGCAGTAGGTGAGTGAAAAATCCTTACTGTCTAGAATGTGCGTGAGGAAGGGCTACAAGTAAGAAAATATCAACGCATCGCTCCTAACAACGGTTGGCCTAGAAGTTGCACGCGGACGCCACTATTGCCGAGGGTGAAGCCCCGAAATTATTATACTCTGTTTAATCTGCTCACCTTCTTTAAGCGGATGGTATCGTTTTATATGGTATTTTCCATCTAAAGAAAAACCTAATGGAGTCACTGGGCTGTTTCATATGCATGAACATCCGCTGCTCTCGTTGAGTGCTACACACACAAGAGGAAGAGAGACTCTTTACCTAAGCTAGCCTTTCTATTCTTCTCTAAGCTTCAACGAACATTTGCTAAGGAGTCCCCCGCGCGAAATAAAAGATCAACGAAAAAAAAAAAAAACCAAACTTTTTTTCAATGTTCATGACGGCACATAATCAGCACTGTTGTCTCGGTTTTGGAAAACCTTGATTTTTTTGTCGTCTTTTTGGGGACGCAAACGGGCCACGGTCAGCCCAGGCCCTGCATCTTTTTCTTTCGACACTCAACAAAAAATACCGGATCTATAAAAACAACGCATTTCTATAAACTGAATAAAGAAGCGTTCTAGACAGAATTTGAGCGGTAAAAAAAAAAAAAAAAGACTTTCAGATAAATACAAATCTTTATTCTCTGAATAGAATGAAAAACACACCCTTTCCTCCAATGCCAACGTTGGGAAACAATGAAGCCTGCCATCACGAATGAAAAAAAAAAAAAAAGAAAAAAAAAAAGAAAAAGTCGTCTCATTTTTTGTAATATTGATAAAATGAAGGGGCGACTTCTACAATACTCCATGTTTCGTTGGCATTTTTTGTTGAGTCGTCTGGTACTGGTGCTGCTGCTGCCGATGCTGACTTGCTTGAAGCAGTAGCAGCCGTCATACTCGTCAATGGTAGGAAGGAGGGTAGGGCTTTTCGCACTTGTTGTTCAGGATCATTGGTAGGAATCGGTGTGGGACCTGCAGCATGAATAAGGTCATTGGCACTGGCTTTCTTTTGTCTATCAACATCATCGTTTTCATCTTCACTTTCCGAATAATAATGATATTCAACTTCAAATTCCTCCGTTTCTTCATCGTCATCGTCGTCCTCCTCGTCGTCCTCCTCGTCTTCATCTCTATCAATAACAATGCCCCTCTCTTGATGACGAAGAGGTTGAGAAGAGTGATAATGAGCAGAATGCTGTTGCTGCTGATGTTGTGAAGGGGAAGGATCCTCTAACTGAGAAGTACGAAGCGTCCCTTTTCTTTTCTTTGGTTTTTTTATCGTCAGATACTCATGTTTCGAGTCATTGTAGGCTGTATCACGGTCATGTTGTATTGGAAGGAAATGGGTTAAAGGATGCTGTCGTTGCCTTCGGTGGCTATAATGTTCTTGTGGGTTATACTCTTCATCCGATGGTGATGACACCATTGAACTTTCTAATGGTTGCTGTACTTGTTGTTGTTGACTGCTACATCGATATCTTAATGTAGTTGCACGCAACACTTGCTGAAATTCTAGCGGAAAATTCATATCACGAATACCATGATAGCACGATGTGTGTGATTGACTTGTTGGTGTTCAAATAAGGACGAGGACAAAAAGTAAACAACGATATTAAAAAATAAGACAGTGCAGGCAGGCACTCGATCAGTGAGTAAACAATAGAAAAAAAAAAAAAAAATAAAGAAAAGAAAAATGCAAACTTACAGGCCTAGATTGGGTGCTCGACAGCAAGCCATTAGACTTTGTAGTGTATTGGCTACTTGGCTTAGGGGTATCTTTACATTTTGTGTATAGCAGAGGTAGGCTAGGTTGTAGTTCAGCATAGCCATACCAATGACAAATCGTTTGAAATTCTTGTCATCCTCCTCTAGAAATAAGGGCATTTTGCTGAACAGAAGTGTAGGCAATAGGTTAAATAAGGCTATGATCAAAGAAATCCCCCTTGGACACACAAACTCACTTGTAATTGTCCCAAAGCTGCGGCGTATTCGGTGGAATCATGCGGATGTAGGGTCGAGTCTCTTTGTGGAAGATCAGAAAAGGTAGCTTAATCCCTAAATATCGGACAATCAATCCCAACATATGAATCACCAGACCCACTGGTGCATTCAATTCTTCTTTAGGATATTCTAAAAGGGGGGGGGCGGAACAAGTGTGTTTGCATCGTGAGCAGAAAGAGCAAAAACATTCAGCATCAATGATCTCACTTTACTGGATACATCTATCAGCCTTGTGGGCAACGTCACTCCACAGATGTACAAGTCCTCTTTGGCCTCCATTTGCGCTCCTGTTTGACTGAAAGGTGGTGCTTCTATCTCATTTTCCACTGTTCCTTTCGACACAGGATGCTGCTGTTGCTGTGGTAGGGTCATTCCACTTGCTACCAAATCCGCTTCTTCAATAACACCTGGCTTCAATTCAAACAGAGAAGTCACTTCTTTTACTAAAATTCGTCTTGTGCCTACTGTCATTTTATGTGTCCGTTGCCAAGCTTTCAATAAAGAGGTGTCTGGCACTGTAGAAGACGCAAAAGGCTGCTTGTACTGCGATTTTCGCTTGAATCCCTCTTCTATCGACTTTTGCTTATCCAGTAATCGTCTCTGAATTTCTTTCACTTTGGCTTTTTCTATACTCCAGGTTCAATTATAATGGTTCGAATGAGTGGAAAGGGATCCATTGAAAGCTCTTTTATGCATCTCATTCTTCAACTGCTTTTTATTTCGATAGATACTTTTATTTAACTCCAACGTCAATCTTTGTTGACTTTGCTGTATAGATTCGATTTGTGAAGCTCTTCTATTCTTCTCAGCTATAAGTTGTTGTATCAGAGCTGCACTTTCAACAAACGCTTTGGCTTTCGTAATTGCCGCCATGCGTTCGCTGGAGATGCCGTCTAATTCTTCTCCATGTTTTTGTAGTCTTTTAAGCAGTACTAAATCAGAATTACGCTCTAAACTGTCCCAAATCCATTACAAAAAGAGGAGAAAGAAGTGAAGAATTCGAGACTCACTTTTCTTTAATGCAATCTGTACAATAGAATTTGCGTTGTGTAGTATGGCAATATTCACAATTCAGCATAATGTTTAGTTTTGAAAAAGGGCTTTAATTTTCTGATTTAAGGGAAAAAAAAAAGTTTATGCCCGAAAAAGGTGGGGAAAAAAAGATGGGATATTTGCGTAGCCAATAGATAACCATAGGAGCGGATCATTACCTAGCTTTTGGCGACAGGCAGATAGACAGATCAAATTAGTATGAAGCACTATACATCAACATGTTCCGCTCGGTGTTCATGATAAGTGGTGTTGAAACTGTTTGGTGTCCATATGATCAATGTCGTGAGAGGCAGAGCAGCGTTGCCAGACGGGCTTGAACCATTGAGAATGATTGATAAAAAAGTTAATGTAAGCAAGAGTAACTTTCTGGACAGTTGATAGTGCGTAATAAGCGATAAATACGTTCCTTCATTATCAGTTGTTTGGTTGATTATAGCATAACTTTGGCTGATGAACGCATATTGCCTCCGAGAACCAGTCGAATACACAATATTTTTCAGCTTTGTTATTTGGATGAGGTGTATATGAGGTCGAATACTCTCATGTTCAAAATTTTCTCAAATTTTATAGATGATGTATTACTGATTCCATATTGTAGAGGAGATCGCTTTATCATAGTTTCACACACTCAATATATGAAACTTTCAATCGACAGATATCCCGTCTATTTTAGAAAGCTCGAAAATCATCCAAATTTTGTTAAAGCACTTTTATGTTGTAAAAAAGAAAGGAAGAAAAAAAGCGAGTGATAGTGGTGGAATAATTGATGCGGGAAGAAGATTCAAAAAATAATAATAAATGGATAGGAAGGGGACGATAGATAACATATAATATATATATAGAATAATATTATAAAAGTAAGAGTAGAAGATTATTTTAGCAAGAAGAAAAAAAAACATAGCAATCTAAACAGACTTCATCTGATTTAAAATCACTACTTGCTTATTAGAAGTACATGCAGCCAACTTATCACCGGTCTTATTGAAATGCACTTCGAATATACCACCATTAGTTTTGAAAGCTTTTTTCAGTGTACCAGCCTATAAAAGATCGATATTTTGTTGGTTAAAAAGTCAAAGCTCTCTACCTGCTTCAAAAAAAAATAGAAGCTTCTTTTGCATTACCTTGACATCCCAAACATTCAATAATTGATCAAAACTACCAGAAGCTAGTAATCGTGCATCCGGACTAAATGAAATAGAATAAACTGCTTCCCTGTGATTCTTCAACGTATACAGACAGGTGCCATTCATAGCGTCCCAGATTCTAACAGTGGCATCGAAACTAGCTGTTGCTAATATCCTCTCTCCGTTATGACTGTTTGTGGGTGCCCATTGTAAAGTGTATATTTGTAAGGTGTGCCCCTTCAGCACTTGAAGTGGTTCGTCTGAATCCAAGCTCCAGATTTGAGCAGTCATGTCATCAGAACAGGAAGCTAGATATTGTCCTGATGGATCCCATCGTACTGCATTAACTTCATCATCATGTCCAATCCATTTTTTAAGTGGTTTCCTATTGCCCACTTTGCATACGTAGATGGTTTTGTCCGAAGAACAAGAGGCGAAGGTCGTATTGTCCATCCAGTCAATATCAAGAATAGCCACTAAAGGTGTAGAATGGTAACAGTTGTGAGCTTTTAAGAAAGAAATAGATTCGAAACCATGGCAAAGCCATATCGACAAGACATAGAGTAATCGTATCCTTACATGTATGCAATTCAAACTGTTGCTTCATGTCTCCTGTTTCGGGATCCCACACAATAGTTGTAGTATCTGCACTGCCGCTTAGTATAAGGTCCCCATTGAAATTCCATTTCAATGAAAAAATAGGCCCTTTATGATGTCCCATTACATAACGTAATTGACCTTTCTGTGTCCATATACGTGCTTGACCATCATAAGAACCTGTCACTAACAAAGTTCCAGTAGGCTATTTTTCAAACGAAAGTGATAAGTGATCATTTTCTATTCTTGTTATTGAACAGTAAAAGCCCTCCTCATTCTTACATTCCAATCTAAAGTAGTAACATCCTTATTATCATTCATATTGGGCAAATGCTGTAATACAATAGGATCTGTAACCTTTTCCTTTCCTTCTGGTACCTGCCATAATCTTGCCGTCGCGTCGCCAGAGCTATATACGAAGGGTAAGCATTGTTAGATTACATTTTATCCTATACAGACCATTCTCTCGCTTCTTTGTTTGCTAATTACCCAGATGCTAAAAGTGATGTTACTGAAGGATTCCATGCACATGAAAATACTTCGTTTTGATGCCCCTCTAATACAGTAACCTTATCCGATGTGATTTCTAAATCGTCTTGCTGCTGCTGTTGGTCGACATCTTTCATTTCCTGATCTTCTTGCTCTGATTTCACAACTTTCGCATCATTGTCACCATTCGCTACTCGTTTTGCCGTGTCAGTTGTGGTGGTATCATTATTTGTTGCTGTTTCAGCATCTGCATTTACAGTGGGCGTTATCGATGTCGATGGTGCTTGATCTGTACTATTGTCCGTTATATCCATTACTTCGTCTACTGTTGCATTAGTCGTTGTCTCTTTCCTTGCTCTCTTTTCTCTATCTTTTTGTTTTTTATCTTCTTTACGTTGTCTTTTATTCGTGGTCGTGGTTGTGACTGCAGCTGTCACTGTTGTTGGTGAAGTCTGATGCTCCTTTGTTAACACTGTTGCTGTTGTACCAAAGTTGTCGTCTGTAACAGCACAGTGATGAGGCTCCAATAAAGAAAATGGTACACTGCAATCAACTAATTCGCCATCCTACATGAGGAAGTACAGAAGCAGGAAAGTTAAGTATGAATTAAGTACGCTGTAATTCGTCGCTAGTCAACAACGCCGTTATATCAACACACCTCATTCATATGCGCTTCAATTTCCATGAACTGTAACCCTTTGTGAATAATATTTATTAGAGCTCCAGGCTGAATTTGTGCGTCGCAGTAAGCTGATTTGTCAACTTGGCTTTCATATTGAAAGGCAAAGGATGTGTGTCGAAAACCTTTTTATTAGTCAACATCACTGGTTAATTTCAAGTAAATCACCCGAGACTAAATCGTGTTCAACATGCTCACCAGATTCCTGTAAGTATTTAAAAACGATGATGTTGATTTCTTCACTTGTAAGAACCATATTTTATTCTATAAGTATTTTTTCTTTCTTTTCGTTCTTCTTTTTTTTTTTCCGTTGAATAAGCGTAAAAAAAAAAAATGTAGATATTAAGGATAAGGAAGGAATGAAAAGGAAAAAGTATGTTTTAAAGAATAAGGTTAATTTTCGTGCATATACAAAAAAAAAAAAAAAAAAAAAAAAAAAAGTTTTAAAATTTTTTGTCTCTTTTTCGCTCGTGCTTTTTCCTCTTTTTTTCTTTTTAGTCGCTTAATTCTTCCCAGTGACATGGGCCAATAACACTTTAGCAGATCGGAAACTACAGTTTTTACCGACGAGCAGGAGGATACTCACTATTTACATTAAACGCGGCTTGAGAGACGCCTTGATTGAGTTATTTCCAGTTTTAATTGTAATTTCTCATTCATAATAGCGTTGGACGCTCTATTGAACGCTCTAATCCTTCAGTCAAAAGAGAAAAGATGCTTTTACTTAACAGCTATCATCATTATTTAGAAGATAAAGAAAATCAAAAAACCGACTTACTTTTCTAACTAAAAATGAAATATTTCTTTCTCCACCTTACTGCTTGGATTGAAGAAACAAATCTGTGCAAAAAAAGAGCAATTACAACAGGTTCACCTTTAATGAACTGCAGTTTGAAAGCAACTATAGGACAAGCAATTTAAGGATACTTTTACTGATAGACATAAGGTTCCCAAATACTTTGTAGCGAGGCTTTTTGACACTGTGGTTTATTCTAACCTCCTTTCGAAAGAGAAAAGTTGTTTAAGCGATTGCCAATCAAAGTCATTGTGTTGGCCGCCTTTGGAGCTTCTCTTAAAGGTATTCTATACGGCAACACGTGCAAAATCGCTTTAGATATTCAGCAAAAATTCTACCATTTTCTGCTTTTAAGTCACTCCAAAAGACGTTATTGACTAGATGAACAGAAGAGGCGCTATTCAATACAGTCTTTATCAAAAAAGAATTGAGTATCCTAATGAGTCGCTCAAATATCTGCATAAGTAACAAGAGCCCAAAGCACTTGACACGTATCGTGCAAACGTCATTCATCTTATGGAAACGGGTGAAATTTGAGAAACGAGCTTCAGTTGCTTCGAGTTGCTTTGAGTATCCATTGTCCTGCATATGTACTAATTTGTTAAAGAATGTTGCAACTACGGCTCCAAGTAGTTCGTAGCGAACAAAAGCAGTGGAAAAACATGCAGTTGCGGAGTACGGGCGAAAGAGGTGGAGGATGGTGGAACTCCAATATTTCTTAAATACAGTGTTTTAACTGCTATTTCAGACTTTTCACAAATTTTATTGGACATTATTAAATCTTAATTTAGACAACTTTCAATTATTTTACGATGAAGCGGTATCTTATTCTTGGACGATTTCGTTGATAATCAATTATCCAGTAACATCCAAGCAGCATTAAGGATGGCGTACAAGCTAGTCCTAAAAATGAGTCTTCATTAGTAAGGAAGTCGCTAAGAAAGCTCTGATTGGCGTGACTTTGCAATAGGACGAGCTACAAAAAGCTTGACAACTTTTTCGTCAAATGACGATGTGTTGTAAGACCAACCAGATGTTCATTAGTGCCTTTTTTGGAACTTTGCCCAATGATAAAGACGTGTCTTTCTTTTCTCGCGTTTTGTTGTCAAAGTTAAATTATAATGAAGAGGTTCTTTTAAACGAGAATAAGATCCCTTCTTTTCCGTATTTCGCATTTTTTTGTAACTTACAGCTCTATTCATGTACAAAAGTTTTATTATACAGAAGATTAGATCTATTAAAGAAAAACATAAGAACCAGGTTAAAACGAACCCATTTGGTAAAATGCTTGATAATTGTAGGAGAACCGTCAGATCAAGATATAAGGATTCTGATATTTGTTGTAACTTTTTAGAACATACCAAGTGTCGAGATTGCTATGAACCAGGTCATTTTGACAAGCGTTACTACAAATGCAAGTATTACAAAGCCGTAAATGCTGATGATGGTAAGCAATAAACCTAAATCTATCTTACGCACAGCACTAATTGCTTGTGAGTAACCTCCTTAAAGTTGGTAGCAGCGGTAAAAAGAGAAAACAGAGTGACCAAGTGAAAGAGAAGAAGAAAGCAGTTAAACGGAAAAAGACCACCCCACAAGCTGCAAAGTGCCTCAGCTGTGGACAAGATGGCCATACCACTGCTCGTTCGCCGCAATGCCTCAAACACACGCCTTCGAAAGAAGAACTCATTTCAACTGTTCTTGGTGATGGTGCTACTGTATTCACAAGAAAGCTTCCCATCGACAGTGCGGTGTTACCAACCTTCCGCGAGAAGTTCAGAGAAAGAGTCATTTCGTGCTGCAATGACATTAGGGCTATTGTGTTTCGTTCGCAACTATTTGTTAACGCTTATCTCGTCCATAATAAGAAAGACACACCAAAAGAAATCTTCACCCAACAGTTCTGGTATTCGGTTGGACAACTTGTAACAGGTAAAACAGTAACCAACAAGAAAGCAATAAATGATTCCATGAAAAACTTCTATAAGCAGTTCAAAGAGAAGCATCCAGCTGTCGAAGTAAGTTATAGCTTCACCAAAGGCTATAGCCAATGCTTGACAGAAGCTTGTAAGGAGCTCAGTACCACATATACGAACAGCATTGTTGAACTTTTTGAGCAGCGAATGCTCAAATATCTATACTATACCTTGCAGAATATGTTCCCGGTAAGGATTAACTTTACATTAAACCAAACAGCAGCGAACTCAATATTCTTTTCTCTTTAGAGCATGGTAAAGCGCGATGTTGACGAAATCGCAACAAAATACTGTTATCAAGTGATTTGCAAAGGCGAACCCGAATGGCCTGGTAAAGTCAAGTTAAGTAGTGATGACAAATTAAGAATAGATAATTTGTGCAAGAACTTTGCAGATCTTGTGGAGGAAAAGGTTACGCTTCTGCATTGGCGGCCGATCCGGTCAAATTTGTCAAGCCCTTGTGGTTTATCCAAGACTACTACGAAGAAGAGCATTCTAATCATCTTGCCTACGATGTTCGTAGGTTACCATTACCTCATCGCTTCTTCCCTTTTCCAACTCCCTCAGTATCATGGCGCTTCATTACCATCAGCATAAACGCTCTTACTCCTTTTTTATTTCCTGGAAGACTTGTAAAGGGCTATTGGAATCAACTTGAACAATTTTGTAAAGTGTTCAACTTCAAAAAGTTAGGCTTCAGAAGGTAAAGTAAATAGCACTCTGCTAAAAGACTCTGTTCTCAAGATTATTCTTTCACTTATATCATAGTATTGCTGAGCTAAAGACAAACACAAGTATGCTCTTCAGGAATCTCATTCGATCTGATGGCTTCACTGTAGACTTCCTATTTAGTCGTAAGAAGAAACCAAGAGAAGACGCCATCATTGATCATCATGACTTGACGTTGGAAGACTTCTCCTATGAAGAAATCACGACAAACTACAGACCCACATTTGTTGATCCTGGCCGAAAGACCGTATTTACAGCAGCAATCGGGTTAGAAACAAACAGACATGAGATACGGCGCTGCTCGACAAAAGAATATTATCACATGACGGGTAGTACTCGTGTCAATGCAGAATTAGAAAGGAAAAAGGCCGGTTGTATGATAAAAGCGATAGAAAGCAATATACCAAGTAGTAAAACAGGCTCGCCTGAACAGTATAAGAGATATATTATTTACATACTACAACATTTAGAGATCCTGTTCTCATTCTATGGGCCAGGTATGGGTGAAACAAGGTTCCGTCTGCATCAAGGCAGACAGCGTGCTGCAGACATGATGGTGAACATGCTTGTCGATGGAGGGATCAAATACGACAAAGAATTACGGAAGAAAAGAAAGGAAGAACATATGAAATGGCCAAAGAAGAAGGGCAAAATTAAGCATAAAAAAGGAAGAAAGAAGACGAAACAGAAAGTGAAAGTAAAACAGGAAGAAGAGAATGAGAAGGAGATCCGGGAAGAAGAAGAGACAAAGAGCGATAACCACGTTCGGTAAGTCTGTAGCGATTAACTGTCCACTGAATTTGTGTATACTCAATCTACTGTCTTCCTTCAACAGACGATGGGCCCCTGAGAAATTCAGGCTGAGTGATCACAAAAAAGTTCCTCTGGTTGTATTTGGTGACGGAATGTTCAATAAATCCGCCGTTCATCTAAAAGGCCTTAGAACTGGTGTCGTTGGTATTCTGTGGCGTGCATTGAAGCGAAGAGAGGCTGCTGGTGATCTCCTTTCCATTACAGTTGATGAATACTTGACATCACGCATATGCAATTGTTGTCGCTCAGATACATTGAAAGCATTAGACACCGTGCGTGGCTGTAGTATCCTTGTTTGCAAAACCTGTAAGATACTATGGAACCGCGATGTCAATGCAGCAAAAAACATGATGGCCATCAGCATTTCGGTATGGAAAGACAAGGAACGTCCTACTGAGTTCAGCCGGAAGACAACTTCTTAGTCTTTTGATATTTATTATCGCCAGAACGAAACTGGCTAGATATTTACAGGTAAACGCCTCCATTTTAGTGTAGTTCGATCTTCAAACTCTAACTCAATCGTCTCAAAATCTTGGTCATTCCGTCCAGTTATTTTTTAGCTTCGTCTAAACCCGCAGTTAAAAAACTGTAGATATATCTTCTCGGAGTTTCATGAGGCTCTTCCTTTCAATTTGACTTTAAAATTCCAAAGCATTGTACGTTTCCTGAGGATTTTATTAAGTTTCCCTTTTAAATAGACAACTACAAATAAATATAAAGTGGAATGAGTGATAATGACAAGCTGTCAATCTCACAAAAACTATTAAAGAAAATATCTGTCCGAAATTTAAGTGACAATACAGTCGGCCATCATTCAGAATCCAGTGAAAGCCTCAGTACGATGGATTCCGCTTCTCCTGAAATTTCAAGTAAAGAACACGAAAGCAATGTTTTACATGTGAGAGTTACTAAAGGGCAAAATAAAAAATAAAAAAACAAAATGTATTTTATTAGGCTCACAGTCTAAAGAGCAAGGTAAAACCAGTTCACTACAGATTCCATGACCTACGTTGAGTTCTCTAAACACTCTATTTCATACGAACTGTACCATTAGCGTATCACAGTGACTCTAGATTCAGAAAATACGTGCAATTAGTGGAAAAAAACTTACAATCGTTCGACGCCGTTAATGAATGGGCTGACATCATTTCATTTCTTGGCAGATTACTCAAAGTAAATGTTTAAATTTAAGTAAAGGGGTTATATATTGTTTGCTCGTTGTTAACAAGGAAATTATTCTCTGCAGTCTTTTCAAGCTTATCCTCAATTTCCTGTCATACCCCGTAAAGATTTGGTTGCCAAAAGATTAGCACAGTGTCTTAACCCAGGTTTTCCAGCTGGTGTGCATCAAAAGACATTGGAAGTTTATGCATACATTTTACATACTATTGGGGTAAGGTTACTCAACTCATTTTTCTTTGGTTTATGCTGAGCCTGTAATTCTTTTTAATTTAGTCGGATCAACTAGCAGATAATCTAGCATTATGGTCCACTGGCTTATTTCCTTTTGTACAGTACGCTGCCACTCATGTCAAGGTAAGGTTGTGTCTGTTCATTTTCAGATACGTCCCGATCCTAATCCTTTTTTGTCATTTTATAGCCTCAATTGTTGTCATTATTAGAAAAGTACTATATACCATTGAATGGCAGATTACGGCCTGCTATGCGAGGTTTCATCATAGCTTTGTTGCCAGCATTAGAAGAAGAAGGAAGTGAATATTTTGATCAAGTAGGATTGATATAGAGATATCCGCTAATTTCAGAAGAGTAACCGTACTGAAAGAATGAATCATCACGTTAGGTTGTTGCATTGTTGGAAGCAATATCAGAAACAGTCGAGTTGCCGTATTTTTATTCTTGCATGTGGTTAGTGATTATCAGCAATCCTGGCCTGCGACCACCAGCATTGAACTATTTGTTAAGGAAACTACCCAGAATAACAGATAAAGAAGGTATAACGTTTAGGTCAGGAAACAGTTTTAAAAGTGAAGGTCGATCTAACACTGATGGTTGTGCTTTGTTAGCTGTTGCTATGGTTTTAGGAGGAAAGGAAAATGTCAGTCTGATGGTTAGGGCATTCTCAGCAACCCTGAATGATCAACAATTACTGGTTCAGCGAGGCATGCTGGAATTGTTAGTTCAAAATTTTGCACTCAAGAACTCCACTATACCTTATGATGACTTGGTCATTTTGATGCGAGCAGCTTTGGGTATTGTGTTGCGTAAAGACATGTCTTTGAATAGACGATTGTATGCTTGGTTATTAAGCAACGAAGAATCAGCACAGGCGCAAATGCTTTACTTCCAGACTTACGCCGAAAAACCTGCTACACAAGCTGTTCGTAGTATGCTTCAATACCAGCATAACAATCATTATACCACCGTCTCCTGGAATACACCGGTAGAATTGGAGCAACAAAGACCTTACAAAATCTTAATATCATTGATGGATAAGTGGGAGATAGGTCAACCGATTGTAAATAACGTATTCATTGATTCTCTGCACAGTTTACGCTCAATTCAACTATCTCCAACGGAAGGTGGAAAAACTGAAGTGATAAGGACAGCTAATATGTGGATGGATATGATTGAACCTTACTTAATATGTAGAAAACTGTTTGAATTGCTGGACAATGACTTTACAAATATAACATCATCATCATCATCATCATCATCATCATCATCCAAAACACATAAAAAGGCTTTCTCAACGTTTGTGGAGAATCTTGAGTTAATGGAATTTGTAGTGGACTCGATCCATTTCACAGATGACGAAATAAAACATATCCATTTTCCGCTTATTGTAACGGCTATGACTAAAAAAATCAAAGACGCTTTGATGGATAAGAACAGCTTTGTGAATATACTTCCAGAAATTGTAAAATCGATCAATTTGATTTTCGACTTATTAGAGCGCCTGCCAGAATCTATTTTATTGAACCGCTCAGCACCACCTATATACAATTCAAAGAATGAACCCAAGACGGAAGGAGGAGAGGAAAATGCTGTAGGAAGTAAACGAAAACAGTTTAAAACAGGCATGGATATTTTAGAGTACGCAAGGGCATATTACGGTTTAGGAAAGCAGAAGGAGAGTGAGAAGATAAACGGTGACATCAATGAAGAGGGTGACCTATCAGTTACTGATGATACGAGCAAACAGCGAATACAGCAACAAATGGCATATCAAGGTCGATTAGAATATGATCCATTGCGAGGTCAGTTACTAGTAAAGGAATTAGCAGACAATCTCAGCAATTTCTTCATTGACTTTGCTAGCAATTTTATTGTTGTGAATCGAAATATGATGGCCAGATCTATGGAAAGTCAACTTGAGCGTATTTTTTTGGGTGTTTGCTCAGCTATCAGCTATATTGTCAAATATGCCGATGAACAACTCACACTTGAACGTGGCAGAGAATTTACAGATGTTCTTATTAAATGCTGTGAACAGTTGAGGGTGTTTGGTATTGTCGATGCCAGCATATCAACGCTGACACTACTAGTAAAACGTAAAAGGTTCATTCATTACTCAGTGGTCAATTCTATATTGCATACCAAAGCCATAATGCACACCTTATGGTGCTTCCTATTGCCTTCTTCACAACTACTCCACATGCGGACTGTTGAATTGTTGTGGCTTCTTATAGATGCTTCACCTGCAATACCCCATCAAGTTGAAGCACTTATTTCTAACTATTTGATTGTAACAGACGAACAGGAAAGATTAGACAATTATGGAAAGTTTGGAATTATTTGGGAGCTGTCAGAAAATTTACCAGAAGCCAGTACTGTTTTCGCAAGGCCTATATTTTTGATACTAGATTTGCTAAGAGAAGGTGCTTCGCCGTTAGAACGACGCACTGGAGATCAATGGATCCGACGTCATTTGAAAAGTTATGTAAGACTGTTAGAGCCTTTCTTTCTGTCATTAATGGATTCACAGTTACTCTATCAGAGTGCGAGTCTCTCTGTTGATTGGAAACATCAATCTTTAGTCGATCAGTCGCAGCAAGAGGGAAAGACAACTTGTTTACCCTACTATGTGTACAAAAAGTCGTTCGATATGGATGTTGTAGATTACATGTTTACTTCTTTGATCACACTGATTTCTTTTGGAGGATTAAGTGTCTTGAAAGCGTTCAAAAATCACACAATTAGCCATGAGAGTAGAATTGCCAAATTGGCACAGAGTGTTTTTCAAATAGACACGAGTGGTTCACTGTCATCCTTGGATTTGGTTGTCCTTATCACCGTTAGGTAAGTATAATTAATTCCGTTTAAGAAGCAATGAAGTTCTTCTCATGTTAGAATACGTGTCTTCCGATTGCTATAGGTTTCTTGAAACGGAAGCCAACAAGGAACAGCCAAAAGCTGTTAGAAAGTCTGTCTGTAGTATTCAACTTCATGCTGCTGATGTATTATATCTGATAGTATCAAAATTAGATTACGTCCAAATGAGCCTTTTGCAGCAAGTCTATCACTCTGTTTTGAACAAACTCCTCTTCTGTATCGATCAAAAAATCATGGAACTTCAACAAAAGTTACTGCACCTATTACATGCATGTTTAGCTATCAATTTTGCCAGCGGAAACAGTAGTAGTAACACTTTGCAGCAGTTCAAAGAGAAGTCGTCTGCGCGTAACAACAGCACAAGCTCATTACACCGTCAACATCGAAAACGGGAATCTGCGGGCAGCATCAACTCAGCTAGCAGTAATTCTCAAGTAGGGAGCTATAATACAGACGCTATCTCATTGATGCAGCAGACAACAGATCTGCTAGTCAAATGTATCCTTGATGCTTTCACTGTCAATGAAAATCGCATCATGCATCAGCATTGGATGGATTTTGTACTTGCTATTCTCCCTTACATTAGGCACGGCTTCCGCTGTCTTATTTTACCTATTCTCATGTGTGTGTGTCACCAAATCAACCTACGTTGTGATACTATTGAAATCAGTCTCCATGAGAACCATCAAACGACTGCCACTTGCACTTGCTCCTCAGCAGAGAAGGAAGTGATGATTTTATTGATGGGATTAGAAAAAATGCTGATGTTTTGCTTAACAGAAAGCCAACTCAGTGACGACTGGTTTATTCATTGTTTTGACAAGTTGCATTTACCCATTCCATCTTTACCTCACCACGAAAGCTCTGCTTTAATTGGATTTGCACAAGTAGTTCATTATGGCTACGATGCTGCTATCATTGGCGGTGGCGGGGACCACCTGCATCATTTACACAAGTCTGCAGCCATATCCTTGGGAAGACCGCGCGACACTATCATGTACCAACTGCCCGTCCTACTACAAATTTTGTTGAACGTTTGGTATACATTTAGAAAGCCGGAATGGAATGCCACAGTTATTGAGACACTAGGCGATGCGAAAACGGCTGCTATACTTCAAAGTTTTTCCAACTCTGCAGATCAGGCAAAAGACCGACTACAAGCGATCTTTGAAAAATTGTTTAAATATTCTGCAATGGATTATGTGGAGGGCTGGATAGAGATTTTTTTCATGGAAAACCCCACTGCACTCGAATTCATTCGCAATGATGATGTTTTACCGCAAGTAAAGCAGCAGCAACAACAACAACAAGACGATAAGGAACAGCTTACAAAAAAACAGTACAATATGATGGCTATGTACATTTTATCAAACACACTATCGAGCACGCCGCAGCATATCATTTCGACGTTGTTGGATAGTACTCGTCAAAGAACGCCTGGCACTTATCAAAGCAGAAGACGCAAATTATTACGCCAAGGCAAACTGTCTCCTACTTCTATTTTGAGATTCACCGAGATTTACTGCGGGTATATCCGAAATCCAGAAGCTCTCGTTCTTCTGTGGCCAATTATTCATCAGTTCTCTAAAGATTACTTATCTCAGGCCAGCACCTACAAAATGTTTTTACCAAGCCTGATGCGATTCCTTACGGTTGCCTTGGAGGAACTAAGCAAGTCAAGCACATATGAGCAAGATCGACGTATGCGAAGAGATGCGCAAGAGTTATACCAACGTTGTATTGATTATTGTATTTTGATTGCTGGGAAGTCATTGGAACAACAGAGCTCATGGATGATGCGTGCCACAGGAGCGGCTGGAGGTAGTGGCACTACAACCAAAGCATCCTCTCTGTCATCGTCCTCCTTGAATGTGTCCTTGAATGACGATACCTTATCGGAAGAGAAAAGCATTCTGGAGCAGTCATCAACGGGTGATTTGGTTACTGATAGTTATCCACATAGCAATTTAAGTCAAAGCAACCTATCTGTTCATGTCACAAACGCTGCTGTCAATACAACCGAGACAGAATTGAATACAACAAATAACAACCATGCTAATATGCGACACAACCCTTCATTCAGCAGCGTTTCTGAGATGGAAAAGAGAGCTATTTGGAAGCGTAATGAAGATGCTCTGATCAACCAAATCAACCAATACCTCGCTAGTCAAGTCATACCCCGTCTGCGTCAATTAGTAGCTGACAACGACAAAATTAACTCACTTTTGAATAACCTAGTTTACTATGTCATTGGACCTGCTCTCAAATCAAAGTCAAAACCACAGGCAGTAATTATGGACCAACTTGTTGAGATGGCTCGGATGCCTTTTACGTACAAAACATGGCGAAAAGAAATATGGGACATGTTTATCGACAACCGCTTCTTCCATATGAGCAGCACGACAGCAAGCCAATGGATGCGCATTATTCAAACCATATTTACCATTGAAAAGGAGCGTATGACCGAATTGATGATGCGTATAAGTACAACAGCCTATTCTACGGCTTTCTTTACCAACAAAGATCAAGAGGCCCTTAACCGATCTCTCAACCTGCGCCGCCTATCCTTTGTGCTTTTAGCCGGTTCGGTCGATCAATATATCCATCAGTTACCTTTAATACAGGAGAAAATAGTGGAATTGCTCAAGCTGGATCATAAAGAAATGGTTCATGTAGAGATCTACACGTGTTTGAGGATTATTTTGATGCGCTTCTCTCAAAAGCATCTCATGAACTTTTGGCCGGTATTGATTACAGACTTGATGCGATTGTTTAATTCTTTCATAGAATCGGCTACAGCAACAGAGGGGGGATTCCAAGACAAGCCTGAAGAAGCCCAAGCGCTGTTGGCAGGATGCAAATTTTTGGATCTACTATGTGCCCTTGAATTAGACGCGTTTCAGATGTAAGTGACTCAACATGACTCAACAGTGGAAGTGCTCGTTTCCTTACACCACTCTTTTCTTGTTTATGTTATAGTTATCAGTGGATTTTCATCCGTGATACAGTAGAAACACTGATCAACAAGTCCTCGAGCAATGAGGGTCCCATTCCGCTCACCGAATCATTACATCAAACACTTCAGGTCGACACCAAAAACAACGGTACTACTACATCAGAAAAACCAGATGCGTTTGATTACTCATTCGCTAATAGCAGTCATTTATTATCTTCAACCACATCATCACCCGCATCCACTGCAGAACCCTCTTTGGGTCTATTGAAACGTCCAATGCTAACCATGCATCATATCACATCTATTCGACAATTGTCTTTCTTCATTGAACATATTGGACTTTATGTATACCAGTCATCATTTACATTAGCTAGACCTGATTTACCCTTTATAGAAAGGTTATTACAGAATGATCTTTTAGAGGAAGAATAAATATGAGCTGTTTGGATATATGTCCATTGACAAGGACAACCATTTGCGATAAGAGAAAAAGGGCGAAAGTGAAACAAACATGACATCACGTTGATTTAAGCGGTTTTTTCGTGGCATCCCATTGTAATAAATTCTCATTCTTATTTTTTGTTTATTTATTTATTTATTTTTTATTTCCCTTTCTTACTACTCCACAGCGATTTTAAAGTATTCCCTTCTTTTTCCTTCTTCCTTATTTTTTGCATTGTATAAATTGATATTTCAAGAATAAAGCTTTAAAATAATAACCAGTTGAAATTCAATGCCAGCAGTTATTGGAGTTGCTTGGACAGTGTTTGCCATTACGGCATGTGTAAGTTTGGCATTACCCTTTTGTTCATAAAGGACATGGCAACAATGTTGGGGTTTAACCGACACCGTATTGTAAAATCTAGATATTGTCTATATTCAGTATTGCATTTACGAAATATTTCCAAAGCCGACGACAGTGTGAATTTTCTGCTACATTTGTCACTATGCTCGCTCTAGCCCTCATTTTTGCCACTGCCGCCTTATTACCCATCGATATCTTTTTAGTATCGTCTACCGTCGATCCTAAGACAGGCTTGAAAAAATTATGGGCTGATAAAGATACAGTGTATTGGATGACGATGACCGTAGAAATCATGTATTATGGTAAGAAAGAAGAAGAGGAACAGACGGAAATTTTTGACAGCTTCTTGTATGATAAGACATTCGGGGCAGACAAATTCCAATTCATGCAATAACGTATATTTTCTTGTCTATTCAGTCTTTTATGGTTCAATTGTATCCATGAGCTTTTTCGTGATTCCTTACGCTTATTTCTATTACGAAGAGGCAGATGATGAAGAAAATCAACCAAAGAGCGTTCGAAGAATCAACGCCTTGAAATACACCATCTTTTTTGTAGCGATTGTTGGCTTTTTGTTCTTATTCGGATTGTTCTTGAAACCTAATGTATTGCCGCCTCATATTGATTTGGAATGGTTCAGACATTTGTTAACAGAAAGTCACGGAGCTAAAGCGGTTTGGTTTGTAGTTGGATGTTTATTCATACCCGGTATGGCAGTTTTTATTATCTACACTGTAAGTCGGAGCAAAGCAAAAAAAGAGAAGAGTCGATTTGGGTTAAATGTCGTTACTTACTGGTTCGATGGATGATCAGGCACCGGGACTATCCATCCTTCCGTTTCAACTGATCAAAGGCAAACGTAGAATTGATAGAGAAAATGATGAAATCACCAATCGCTTGATGATTGTTCGAGAACAACAAAAGAGAATAGAACATAAATATGCCGGATCTAATAAGGCACTTAGCTCACATGATTATCGTACATTGGAGAACTTGAATGATGAAGAAAGGTATGAATTATTCCTATGCGTGTTGTTTTCAGAAGTAAGATTTCAAGACTAAGCTGAACGATACACATGATAGAATCCTAGTACGCCGATTAAATGGTATCAAAGAGGACAAGACTGGATTTTTTCAAATCTTTCTAAAGTTCCTTCGACCCTTCCAGGTACAGCTCGAGTGTGTGTGCTTCGACATACTATGATCTCTTATTGTGTAACTGATCCCTGTCTGTTTTAGGTTTTGATTGGATTGATTTTACTGTCATTTGCTGTTATTTTGGTTGTTTCTATGTTTATGACCATGTAAAATAGCTGGGGATTGCTAAGCAAAAAAAAAAAAAAAAATTGAAATCAGAGAAGCTTTTTGACAAAACTAACGAATGTTTTTGTGTAGAATTGATAAAGTGACCTTCTCTGTATGTGGTAGAAAATGCGGTTATATTATCAGTCATCCAGACTTATTTAATCCAATCAATTTCATTTTTGTGCATTTACAAAAGGTAAATAGAAAAGAAAAAAAAAAAAAAAAAAAAATTGCAGTTGTCTCCATGGATACCCCAGAATCATAACCATGACAACGGGAACATTTCTATATTTAGCTGTTCCCCTTGGATTACATTTTGATGGTGGCCATCATTCTATATTTTTTCCTATCCACCATGATGGGCATTATACAAATTGGTGTTAAATTCCTGTGGGTCACACTTTATCGAATCAAGAGAAGATCTACTGCACCTCAAGGTTTGCTCATCTCGGCTATTCTGTTGACATTTGGATTACTTGCATTAAATTATTCAGTCACTTCTGTTGTGGCGCCCGGATATGCACATTACGGAAGTCAAGTCTTTGTAAGTTTTGCTTGTCTACTTTTTTAATCAATCCAATGGAAGTAGTATTAAGCTAAACAATTTCATTATTGACTGTAGTGTAACCATACGGACGGCGGACGTAGAGATTGTTCTTACGAAGTAGATAAAATTGTTCCTTGCGATATTTATGCTCCACAAGGTAAAGTCCGAGCGATGCGCGAGTGCGAGTGCGAGTGCGTGTGTGTGTGTGTGTGTGGGTGTGTGCGTATAACAAAGCGAACCAAAAGAACAATGAAAACTAACCCCCAGATTTGTACAATACAGAAATTTGTACACCCACCGTGTCTTCTACATTGATTGACAGGATTACACTAAATACACCCGTCTTTGGCTTGATTTTCTACTATTCTCAATGGATCTTTTTGCTGTCATTTATTCTTGGCTTTATCGTTGCTCTATTCAAATCGCCAAGATTCAACCAAGACCCTGAAGAAGCAGAGTCTTTGTTAAATGATGAAGAAGAAGAAGAAGCTGAAGCGAGTACCGGTCGTCATCATTATACCACTACTACTCCTGCTACTACTGCAGCCCTTAATAATGATGAAGGTTTAATGGATGGTAGACAGCATCATTAAAGTTTAATAGTAAACAATTGTACTTTTATATACAGATTTATAACTACATACAGCATATTATAAGCTGTGTGTGTGTGTCTCTCTCTCTTTCGGATGTAATGTGTTATTGGTATTATGTATGCATTAAATGTACTTTTACAGTCTGAGCACGTTTATCTTGCTTCTTTTTGTATCTATTCTAATGCACCGTATTTAACTTATTGACAAAAAGGTCCTTCATTACTCCTTTATTTATTCAAATGCCGCGTCTCTCTTGCTCTGTCTTTTTGTTTTCTCGATTTTTAACCGCGAATGGTAAATGTGATCTCAAAAAAGAGGGCCAAAAAGGAAATTAAAAAAAAAAAAAAAAAACCTGTCTTGTTCCTGAATTTTATTTTGGATCAAATCACCGATTAGGATAAGGTCTAACGTATAAAATTCATATTGTTCACTCGTGCTCCTATTTGGGTATTCCAGCAGTGGGCAGTTCAGTGAAGCCTCGACTTACTGGGTTTGATGTGTGTGGTGCACACGAGGATGGCCTGTGAGCTCGGATCATGGTATGACAAAACGACAGCAAAGATCAACTCGTCATAGGCACTTGAAAAGGAAAGTTGTATTTCCATTGGCTTAATTATTTGTTTTCATTATTCTGCTTTTTTTTTTTTTTTTATATCTTAGATTACACACACTTACACTCACACATACACACACACTCACCCACACATAAAAATATACATATACATACATGGTTACAGCTGTAAAAAGACTTACATTATACATAAATTAGTAATATAAAATTTACTACCATCATCTTGTACATGGAACAATCTGTCTTCTATCATAACCTGGCTAGATAATATCTATATACCATTTGAAGATCTAGATTTTCCTTTTGATTTTTTTCTTTTTTTTGAACCCTTTTCATTTTTTTCTTTTTTCTGTCTGTCTGTGTCTCGGTCAAATTTTAACAATGAATTTCGTTGTTTATTATTGTAGATCACTGGTGCTTTGAGAAGGGGATCATGAGAAAGTTTTTGTGTTTTAAATTGATTGAAATCGGAATGTTGGCCGAGTGTCTCGCTCTGTTGCAGCAGTGATCCTTTAATGGGGTAAAAGAGAAGAAAAAATAGTGGGGTGTATGTAGTAATAATAACTTTGTGTGTGTATGTGTAAATGTGTGTCTGTTGTATTGTTGCACACCCTCACTCTTTTTACTTTGAAAATCATTTAAACAGCATGAAATTAATGTTAAGGGGCTCTGCATTACCGATTTCTTTTTTCGATTTTTTTTTTCTGATCTTAATTGCACCAAGTCAAATAAGAAAAGACTATAAATATCACAGCCATTTTTCCATATCTCTTTTCTTCTTCTCCATCTTTCTTTCGTTCTCTATTTTTGTCTTTATCTTTGAAATCAATATATAGTCTTCTTGACGAAGTTAACATTATAATTGCATATCTACGCAGTTCTCACCTTTTTCATTCTTTCGCACATCTTCATCGACAATGTATCACCAATTATTAAGTAATCCACCCACTGCTATCTCTGCTATGGATAGTCCTCAGCAACACCGTAGATGCTCTACTTCTCCCTTTGGTGATTACCACTTCCAACACCAATTGACAACAAATAGTAGTGATGCATCATTCACATCAACTGAAAACTCGCCTTTGAATAATGATTATTACTATTTCAACAGCACTACTGGTCTTTACGGCTCTACTCATCCTACTACGGCTACTGCTACTGGTACTGGTACTGTTTTGCCTGTACATTACTTTTACCAACAACAACAACAGCAACAAGGACAACTTCAAGATTTCGACAACAAGTTTGATCCTTATCAACAACAGTTGACCTCTGCCGCCGCCGCTGCTGCTGCTGCCGCCGCTGCTGCTGCCAACTGGCCAGCAACTTATTATAACAATCAACAGCAATTATACCAAAACTTTATGATGTTTGATCCTTTACATACCACAACTACTGCTACTACTCCAAACACATTGACAGCACAGAAAATGACGCCAGTCCTTTCTTCTTCATCTGCTATCAGTACACTGCCATCTCCACCTCAACAACATTTCAACCTTCAAGACTACAACAACACCACTTCTTACTATTACTCGTCAGAATCATCCGCTAGCACGAGTTCCAGTGCCAATACCTCGCCCTCTATGATAGGAGCTGATTACACTAATGTACAACAGCAACAAGAACTGCTATTCGATAATGTCTGGTTACAACCCACTGCTACTAATGCTTCTACTCATGTTGACCCCATGGTCTCCTCTGTGTCACCTTTGACCAACCCTAATAACGAGGCTAACAAATTAAACAAATCGACTCAGAAGAAAGCCGGTGGTGGAAAGAGGAAGAGTACTACAACACGTTCTACAAAACGCGACTCTATTAAATCAACAAAAACACCCAGGAGGCGTGCAGCCCACAACCCATCCAAACAGCAGCAGCAACAACAACAACAGCAACAAGAAATAGCATTGAAACAATTTCCCTGCTCCTATGATGGCTGTGGTAAAATCTTTAAACGCTCTGAACATTTAAAGCGACACATTAAATCAATTCATACCAAAGAGAAGCCTTATACTTGTCCTTATGATAATTGCGATAAACGTTTTTCAAGAACAGACAATCTCTCTCAACATATCCGTATTCATCGACCCAACAAAGAACACTTACCATCCACATTAACATCGTCAAGAAAAGCATCCTCATCAACTGGTTTGAAACGAAGAAAGACAGCAACAGCAGCAGCATTGAACAACCATTAATTTTTAATGTAGATCATTGAAAATGACATCGCTCAAAAAGATCCAAAAATCCCCTCCCAAAAAAAAAACGACGACTCTATAGTACGCCTCTTTTCGTTTTTGTTATAAAATACCCACCACATCTTTTTTTATTAGTATGCCCGCTCTTCTTCATATACATAACTTATACATTACATATACATTTTATTCTTTTTTCTCCGTCTATGGCTTTCTCTTGGCGTTTTTTGTGTTGTATATCTTGTTCTTATTCATTTTGCATATAGTCTATTCTATCGTCATCGTCATTATTTTTCAACTTTGGTTAGTAAGTAGTGTAATTATGTTATTTGCTTGCAAATAAATAAATAAGGCTCTCTGAATCATCATTTGATTTGTCTTCTTTTTTTTTTGGTTTTTAATTGACAAGCCGTGTAACGTTGTTTCGTTCCCATCGGGACTTCCCTTTCCGTAAGTCATTAGAAAAGAGCAAAGCCAAATACATCATGTGTATGTGTGTGATGAATGCATGTTGATTACCTTAGTAACACAACAATCCAACATGTATTCTTGGTTTTTTTTGGTTGGTTTCTTTTTTTTTTTTTTTGATGCTCGTTTTTCCTTTGATAGACAGCGTATAAGATAATAAAATGTTCATGCATGATGTAATCTCTTCCTTTTATTTGTCAATGTCTATGGACATCTGTATTGAACCTACAATTGATGTTACGCTTTCTATTGCAATCATATCATTCTGATGGCTTGTCACGTTTACAAGTGACAAGCATCAAGAAGAATTTTAATCAATTCTAGAATCATATCATATTTATATGCACAAATCAAAAAAGAAACGGTAAACTCATTGATAAATAGGGAAAAATGCACGGTTATTGTTATTGAACACAAAAAGAAGAAGAAAAAGAAAGACAGACAGCACGACAGACATACCACAAAACCCACAAATGACGAATTGACAAGCAGTGTAACTTTGAAGCACTTTCATTCTTCTTTTTAGTACATGGCACGAGTTCCATATTCTGCTGGATATTATGGTATTCACAAAAGAAAGCTTATTGCAATTTAGCTGTTGGGCAGATTAAAAAAAAAAAAACACATCATATGACGCTTTCTGAATGAATCAAGAACTGGAAAGATGTGAGTTGGCCAATTGCATTGAATGAGCATCATGCTTGCACTTATCAGCAGCTATTTGCTCAGGCAGCGCTGCTGGACTGCATCTATTTAGCTTTGTAAAACTCTTTTAACGAGCGATGAGAGCTCTCGTCACTGATCATTGTACAACAACCTCTATTTCTTCAAAGATCAAATATCTTTATGCATTTTTGTTTATTTAGAAGAAAGGGATAAAGACAATGCAAAGGATTGCCCCACTGCAATTGCGCCTTTGACCCAACTTTGGGAAAACTGTGCGCAGGTGAATTGTATCCTGCTCTCATGGACTCTCGCGTGATGTTCACTATAATCATCTATAACGCTTTCTAAGCATGACGTAAACCATATCTTCCAAGCTCCTTCCTAGTATTACCAGTGAATCACTGTTTGCTCAGACTGTGCTTGATTCTTTAATGCTTTTGCAAAACAGAATGCTACTTGATGTGATACATTTTCTCCACAATGAAATGTATTTCGAAGATCATAGTAAATTAATGATCATCAACCACATAAAGGATACGCATTTTCATCCTGATAAAGTTTTCCTAATATTGATATAGAAGAAAAGTGAAACTTTTCTAAATGAAACTACCCTCAAGCCTGTTTGTCTTTCCATTCTTTGGCATACAGACGTCGACCTCAGCCGAGTTTTATTCCTTTCAGAGGATATAGTAATGTGGCCCTGAAAAGAAGGACAAATAGACGACGGTGGTAACACAAAACATGGAAAAGTTTGACAATCCTTCGGAAAAAAAGTGCATCGTATTCATAGTCTATCTTACTAGACGAACCTTGAGAAGGCCTCTACAATAATAAGGCCGCTTTATATTGCACGATTTCCATGGCAGAAAGATGAAAGAGTTAAGAGGAGAGATATGTAGCTATCTTGTCAACTTATTGATATCATTTTTAAGCTTAAAGCACTTGAGGATCGGGCTTCCATCGCTGTTACGATCCAATATCTGTGCACGGAGACGACAGACGCATTTCGTTGGAAGCAGGCAAAAGGAAAGCTTAAATTCGGGCATGTTTCCTTTTTTTTTTCTCAACGAAGTACAGACTATCTCAACGGAACCCTTTCATATTCATTCCGGCCGTCTTTCTTTTCTACTCTTTTTTTTTTTTTCTCTTAGAAATAGCTCGATCTATACCCGAGAAATTCTGTTTCGTTTCTGCTTTCTTCTTCTTTTCTTAAACCCTTTTATTTTTGTCATCATTGATTCCCAGTTAACGTAATGATAAACCCAAAGCAACAACATCAACAGCACCAGCAGGTCTACAATGAAATGTATGATGTTATGGAACCAAACCTTCAACAGCAGCAGCAACAGCAACAGCAACAACAACAACAACAACAACAACAGCTTCAACACCAACTACAACAGCAAGTTTTGCACCAACAGCAGTTATTAAATGCTCAACATATGGAGCTTGAGCGATTGCGTCAAGCACAGCAACAAGCCGCTTTGGATCAACAACGCGCTCTTCTCAATCAGCAAAGTGAGTAAGAACCCTAATCATTCTAGTTTTAGGTCACGAACTAACCGCGCGCCTTTTTTTTATGAACCAGTGCTCTATTATCAACAGCAGCAACAACAGCAACCTCAACCTCAACAACTCACACCTACCATGAACTCTCTCAGTGAGAGTTTTCTCCTGTCGGCAGCTTCAACAGCTATGACACCTTCCAGTCAACCACAACAGTCATTTGTTCAAGCAAACCCAATGTATTCACCACAATCATCCACTTCATCCCCTCCTCCTCAACTTCAGCAACAGTTTCCTACTGCTGCTACTTTGACTCCTGTATCCACTACAAAGGATCATCCGCAACATAAAGCACAGAGAAGGGCAGAACACAATGCTATTGAACGTGCTCGCCGAGAATGTTTGAATACCAAATTTCAGCAACTGGCGCATTCTCTACCCAATCTACAAAACGATCGCCGTCCGTCAAAAGGAACCATCATAGAGCGTACTCTAGAATACGTGAAGCAGACAGTTCAAAAAGAGGAACGCTTTCAAAACGAAATAGATCAGTTACGGCAAGCCAATGAAAGGCTTATTTCAAAGATGACAAGCGAACATTTTAACAATAGCAGCGGTAGTAGCTATGACAGTATGGATGAGGATGATGACGACGAAGACGAAGACGAAGAAGAAGACGAAGAAGACGAAGATGATGACGAAGATGATGAAGATGACGAAACTGGCGAAGATGAAGAAGTGTCTTCTCCTCAACCATTCAATGCTCATCAAAAATATTACGCAATAAAAGAACAGCATTGACACAAAGCTTGATTCTTGGCTCATCATCCACCCCTTTTTTCTCCCCAAGGCACTGTATACTTAACATTAGCAATAATATGACCTTCTTTCATCATTTAATACATATGTTAAAAAGGTATGAAGTTTGAATCACAAGTATCTATAATTTACCTGTTTATGTATTAATATCCTATTTCATAATAGTTTCTAGTACTACTTAATTACTACATACCATCTAATCTAAGCTTGTCAACATACGCATGACTCATCAGAAGAGAGAAAGACCGAGAGACCCTTTAAATTATCCCTTTCAATAGTGTAGTAAGCATCATTCGTTTTCGCATTTCCCTTCTGTCGTAGAAGGTCTCAAAAAGAGCAAACAACGTTCCCTTTACAATTTAAATATACCAAAGATACCCTCATTTCTTTTCACCATACTACAACTACTATTATACAACTACAAATTACAATTTGCAGTTCAAAATTTATGTTTTTTTAAGAATGGTTCCGTATTTTTCTTTCCTTTTGTCATTAACATGATTAGATATCTGTAAAGTCTTATTTCTAAAATGGACAAGGATGCATCCTATTGCACTTGTAATATGTTGCACACAACAAATCCCATGAGGATTTGGCATGTTTGAAAATAAAACCTTAGTTTGGATACTGTGTTACCCTTCAGTTCATCGCTTTCTTCTTTGCGTTTTCGGCTAGCTATCCGTTGAGAAAACAAAACAGTCGCACAAAAGAAATAGACAGCTGCGTATACATGCACATTATATACTTACAGCAGCTCACTGATCTCTTATGTAACCTTGTATTACTCTGTTCTTACGGTCAAGTCTACTGTAGAAGTGATCGGACAAGCTTAAACGTGGCTTTTCTTTATTGTACATTGGATAAGAGAATAAGTAAAGTTTATGAATGCTTCTAGAAAAGATAAGGATGATTTCAAATTTACAGATGAAGGTGTGAAGCTAAGGGATATTCTATATTACATAAAAAGTAAAGGAGGTATTATTGAGTAGAGAAAAAAAAAAAAAGAGGAATCATGCTATTGGTCTATTGTACTTGTTGTTTGGCTCTACGTGCCAATCTCTCTATTCTTTCCTTTCTCCAACGCGGGCCATACTTGAACAATACTGGCACCAAGGCATTTGAAGCAACACAAATCAAGCCAATGATGGTAAAACACCATCCTACGCCAACACCTTTGATACCGGGCTCAATCGACACAGAAGCTACAGCGCCAAGCAGACAACGAACCAGATTATTACTGGCTGTGATGGTAGCACTTTTGCCCGGGAACAGGTCGACGGCTAACGTCTGGAAAATGTTAAACATGGACGTATTGGAGAAGCCAACAATAAATTGTAGTACTAAAGCGACCGCTAAATGGGCATGAATTTGAAGCATCCAGCCGTAAAACAGAGTAATTATTTGGATAGCAGCCGCTACGATCCACATCGACCGCAGACGCGCCTTGAATATAGGAAAATCGACGGGTAGTTTTCCACGTGTCACGTTAGCATGGCACGATTGCTTAGCGACCACTCTAAAATCGCGGTCAAGGATTTTTCCCGTGACAAAGGAGCCAATAATGCAGCCAACGCCTTGACATAGAAAACAAAGGCCAATCTGAATTTGGTTCATTTTGTACAACAAGATAAATTGACTGGTGGTAGAAGTGAGGTAGCAATAATAGGTAGCATAATGAATAGCGTTATAAATAAGAGCGCAGAAGATATCCTTCTCCAATAAGTATAAAAAGGGCTGAGTGACGTTGGGTATCTGTAAAAATCGGTTTTTGGATGTTTGAAGTGGCAGCTGTTGTCTCGAGTTGTCCACTGCTACTCTATGGTGTTGAGCGTCACCATCATGTTCCTCATCTCCACCATGAATAGTTGAAGAATCATCGTCTCTCTCACTATTGTAGACCATCTCTTGCTGTTGTTGTTGTTGATGCTTCTCATCTATCACTTTTTCTTTTTGTGCACGACGTTTCCTTCGTAGCCATTGTGACGGTGTTGGGTTAGCATATCCACCTCCATTACCCACCAACGATCGTAATGTTTCTGGTAAAAGGAACAAAATGGCTGTAAAGAATGCTGCACCAATGATGAGTAAAATCCAAAAAATCCATCGCCAACTGAGGTATTGACTGATGATGCCGCCTAATACAGGACCGATCACAGGGCCCAACATTTGTCCCATGGAAAATAATCCAAAGTAGCCACCACGTTCAGCAGGTGTAGCAATATCGCCCACAACACCGGCGCCGATAGCAATGACTGAACTAGAACCGAACGCTTGTAGCATACGTAGAATAAGAAGGACATAATACTTGGGTGAAAGGGCAAGACCTATACATGAACCCATATACACAAGCAGAGTGGAGAGATAGACAGGTCGGCGCCCCCAAACATCAGCCAGAGAACCCCAAAATGACGGAGACAGGCCTTGAAAAATCATATATACAGTAACAGTGAGATTAATAAGTTCGGTAGTTGTATCCAAATCCTATACAAAAAGATAAGTTGTGTCAGCACATGTATCTCTTCGATGTATATGTGTGATGCAAAAGCAGAGTAAAAGATCACAAACGTACGGCTCGAATAACATCCAATGCAGGAAAATAGATGTTGGCAGATAATGGAGACACGATACCCGTGAGGCAACAGATAACAACGATAAGTAATTTTGTATGTTTCGAAAAGATGGAATAAGGTTCATTGAGAGACTGGAGTGTGCCTAATTTTTCAATCGGTTTTCTCTGCTGCTCTAGATCAATCCCATCAAGACTGCTGGCTTCTTCTATTACAGCTACATCATCGTGCGACTCATTTAATGCTGTTACTGTACTGTCTTGGCTGTTACTATGTACACTCGCGCGATCATCACCGCTAAATGTATGCTGTTGATATTTTGCCTTTGTGCTTACTATGCTACTGCGACGATAGACTGACATTTTTGTAAATAATCTGTGTATGGAATGTGTAATTCATATAACTCCTTTTCTGAGTTGAATGTGGGGTATTTTACACAAAAAAGAGATGCACGTTTGCGTTCAAGAGATCAGGGCAATATTAAAAAGAGAGTATAAAATTGGATCAAACCACCAATATATATATATATATTGTACGTAGATGTTGAAAATTTTTTTGACAGCTCACTTTCCAAAAGTATGTGATTCTGAAACATGACCTTACTTCAAGTCCTTTTTCCAGTCGGAAACGAAAAGGATCCGTATCAACAATCCCCTTTTAATTAAGATCCGATAAAAGAAAAGGAAACCCAGGTTTAAGAATCGTAGGAAATGAAAAAAAGGGATTAAAAAAGCTGAGGTTATATCAACAAAACTGTGCAATGCAGTAAAGCTAGACCCCCATTTCAGAGGCGACTGAATGGTGTGATAAAGCGTGGATATTTTGTGGTGGGGAATACTCTCGTGCTGAGTAACTTCGGCAGGCGAACAATGCAGACTGCACAATGGACTCTTTTCACCGCCCCTTAGTTTTTTGTTTGATGGCGGAGGCAAAAATCGTCTGGTAGCCAAGTCCGAAACTTTCGGCTGTCGAATTCCTCGGTTGTGGGATACAGAACTCTTTTATTTTGGTGATTCAAATAGTTCTTTTTTTTTTTGAGAAGGGGACAGGTACACTTGACAGTCAGTAAGAAACTGATAGAAGCATAGTAGACCAAGAATAAACGCCGTGAAAAAGTGTGGTTAGTTTTACAAAAAACCAAAATTAGAGAAGAATACCATCATCAGACTAAACTGTACTGTCAACTTGGAACACACAGGTACACAGAAGAAGTGTAAGACGTTCGTAAATGTTTCGTCCCTCCATCAGGCAGCAAAGCTCTGAATACAGTGACACCCCAACTGCTATCAGTATTAAGGCACACTCCCTGTGAAAGCTGCCATCTTACCAGCTTTTACCAGGTACAGTATAATGCGTAGCCGGAGATATATACGATTACATAAGATCAAAACATAAGTTAGCTTTTCAATGCATTAATCACGGTGGCTGTTCTCCAAAACGCCACTGTTGGTGACTGATATTTATTAATGCAGCTTACTTATTACGGGACAAAAATTCAAATGTGTTGAGATGATATCGCTTCACCTCTCCATCGGTTGTGATTTTTATGCAGCAGATCGAAAAGCTCTACATATCCAGCACGCAGTAAAACTCTCAATGCTTCTGGATTGTGGATTTTGTCCCATAGCTTTCCATCATTATTTATTCATTAATTAAAAAATTCTCGTAGATTAACGAGTTTATGGTGGTGAGAAAAGAGTTGGAAAATAAGGGCTGTGCCAGATTTCGGGATTACGAAAATACAAGAGATACTATTGATTTGTGCGAGATAAAGCTGCAGATACTGTGGATAATGCATTTGCGCGTGAAGTGAGCTTTCTTTTTTAAAAGAAATGAAGGATTTTGTAAAATCAAAAGAAAGCGATTACATTCCGAGGCTTAATCAATAGGTGGATCATGTTTCCGGTTTTCCTGTACGCTAGGAGGATACTTCGGATAGGGATAAAGTTTGCTGAAAAGAAAACAACACTTTTTCTATCAAATAGTAGGCTCACATTGCCTCGAGAAGTAATATTATCAATTTTTTATTTGAGAATAGTGGCATATTCCGCATTTATTGGACGCTCGTTTGCGATCAGGATTCATTTTAGACCAAGAATTCTGACCCTCAAAGGCAATACAAACGATGCATCAATCTCGACATGATACATCATGATTAACACCTCGGCTCTTGGCACTGCAGTAGTAGGCTTGCACAGTTGTACTGCGGTAATAATACTTCTTTAATTATCCTAAACTATAGAGGTATAAATTTCTTTTCTTTTTTTTTTGGAATCGTATTCTTAGAGACTAGTTTTATCAAAGGTTACAATTTAGTCTTCATCGTCAAAAAAAAAGGAGTCCACGCTTGCTAATTCCGTTAAGGATTGAGCATCATTTAATGGTTCCTTGCCGTGTGGCTGTCGTTGAGGATCGGTGTTAATGGAAGAAGGTGACTTAAGGGTCATCAAAGTGTTTGTAGTAGTAGTGGAAACTGAAGAGGTGCCGGACGTAGAGTTTCTTTTACTGGCAAAGTCATCAGGGTCTTCAAATAAAGTACTTAACGAAGGCTTGGGAATCACAACCATCCCTGCAGGCTGGTGTTTATGATTGTCTGCGATTGGCAATGATACTGATGAAGAAGTTATGAGCGAAGAAAGTAAAGATGCAGACGATCTTAATAACGAGGTTTCACTTGTTGCAGAAGAGGATGGTATCTTTTTGCAATTGGAGCTGGGTATTATGATAGAAGGCCTTGTTGAATTCTTCTCATGCGCCTGGTTCGATTCTTCGGTGAAGATAGCATCAAAATGTTTAATCAAGTCTTCTAATAGTTTTTGAGGATGTCGTTCATGAAGACTCACGTTCGATTCTGTTTGAGGTCGCATAAGTATATAGCTGAATATTCTCGATATTGATATGATTAATTGTGTGTCATCTTTTGTTGCTGTATTACCGACTGGATTTAGAAGTTTGTTGAAATGTGAGAAAAGTGCTTTGATGGTATAATAATTTGCTGACGGTAGCGTCGTGAGCAGTCTACTGATAGATGACAGTCGGCTACTTTCATCTTGGCCATCTAAGCAAATAAGATTCGCATTTGAAGATGTTCATCAATAGTTCGCTAATCATTTAATGATGTTTAAGATCCTTACAGTTGGCATAAATTAACTTGCAAGGTTCGTAAAGCTCGAATGTAAAAAGGCATTCTGGCAGCTCTAGCAAGTAGAGCCTAACCAATGAAGCGAGCAGTAAAACATCCAATTTTACAAACGCATCATCGTCTTGTACAGCAACAATTGAGTTTAACTCTTCTCTAGCAGCATGCACTCTCTCCAATGGTAAACTGGCGGTCCATACCACTCTTTTCTCTATTACAATTTTCAGCTAGGAGTTTAGAAAGGCTCGGAAAGCTTGCTAAATATTAGCATATTACAAACCTTCGTCATACAGCTTTAACAAAGCTATTTTTTTTTTGGAAAATTTAATGAGTATGAGTGAAAGTTACAATCAGGAAATGTCTATTGCATATCTGTAATATTACCTAATTCAATAGCATTTAAGCTTTTGATTATAAATTGTGGTACCTGTGTATTCTCATTAAGCGTTACTTGTTCTAAAGGTACACCAAACAGTTGATCTAGTGTAACACAGAACTATGAACACTTATGCTAATGATGACAAAGTAGAATACTACCACTATATACCTGTCAAAGTAATCCCATCAAAAAAATTGTGGTATAATATCGGTTTAGGACAAAATTGGCCTGTTGAATATTGCTCGACAATAAACTGTACATCTTTGTCTGCCTTTAATGTTTCCTGATAGAGCATCATGTCGTCATTGAATTCTTTGGCTTTCGATATTGTATCGGCAAAAGTAGTCATCATGCTAAGGAATGCTAAGAAGAGATGCTTATGTTATTTGTTTCAGCCAAGTATTTCACCAACTATTACTACTAATCCGTAACGATGTATATATACCTTCTTTAACGGTTTGAATTCTTTCCAGTTCCAGACTTTCCATCTCTTCAAAATGCTGGTACAGAAGCTCCTCCATATCTATACGCATTCTCTCCACTTTAACAACAGCTGTATGGTATGCCTTATCTGTCGCTAGCATTTCCTTAATTATTTCCTCTTTCCTTCGTTGTTGTGCACTTCCCCAGATATTGAAAAAACCTGAATTGCTTTTCGGGTTTTGTTGATAATTCACACTTAATTCATCGTCGTCCAATAACGTTGACTCTCTCACAAGCACTCCGTTTTCTTGTCGCAGAAACTTCAAAGCGAGGAGCTTTTGAATGATAGTCTCGTAATCCGATAAGTAATGTTGCTTTAACAATTGTCTGATCTCTTTTTTTGACTCATACACTTGTTTTTTGTTAAAAATACATTCAAACCATTGCCATGCCTGTTCGCGTGTGAGAAACGACAAGGAAGAACCCAGCTTGATCAGTGTTTTTTCAGGAACAAAATCAGGATAAGCTTTCATAATCGCCTGACATTTGTCCACGTACTCAGTTTTCGTCTGCTGCATATCTTGACATGCTGCATCGAATTGAGTGATTTTATATTCCATATCTGTCCTTGTTTCTTCGATGATATGCTCATACCTTGAAGCGAACCGTTGCAAAGGTCGGACAACATTTGTATTGATCTTGTCTGCTCTTTCGAGATGTAGTTTAGCGGATACTTTGCTTTCTGAACAAATGGTTTCGAAGCATTTCTTCAAACCAAAGCCAATATCAAATTCAAATGGGTTGCTAGTTGTAGATAGGGTAGTAGTAGACAAGACCGAAGAAAGAGTCGTGGCATGAGCTCTCTCTGCTGCGATGCGTTGTTGGACGTACTCAACGATCACTCTGTTCTCGGCAATGGACTGGTTCAACTTTCGGTGAAGCATGTCAAAACCAATGTGGAAATTGGGTGTGGGATCGGTTGAAGCTGTAGGTGACCAAAATGAAATTTGGAAAGGGTGATGGCGTTGCTGTAGCATTGTTTCGTATTTTTGATATTCCTCAACCTGTCGAAAAGGTGAGATTAGGACAATGGTATAGATCTATATAGCACAAAATGAGCAGCACACTAAGAGAACAGGAATAATAACGAGCGGTAGGAAAAAATTCAGGTCTTCTAGTCAGTAACAGAGTACCCAACAATTTCTGTTAATGCATGCAAAGGGAGCTAACAGCAAATTTTTGACTTACATGCATATTTTTAACAAGTACGTGCGCAACAATCAATAAGGTGAATACTACACATCGATATATTGAAAACCATTAAATCTTTATTGATAGGTATAAGGTATGCATAAAAAAGTTAAAATTTAGTGCAAATGTGGGTATTGAAAGAAAGGCATACATAATTTAAATAAGTCGCTTCAGAATTGTTGGTGTCCGATCATATAATGTAAAAGGGATATATAAGGCAAGCGAAGGCGAGCAGGGAATGAATTGTCAATTATTTCGTCGATTATTGTTATTAGGGTTGTTGCTTGTGGTAGTATCATCGTGAGTCACCTTTTTTGTCTTTGCGATTCTAGGGCTTCTTCTAGTGAGTTTTCGACCGGTATTATTGTTGCTGGTGCTACTGCTACCGCCAAAATGACTATAATTCCCATTGTTATTACGATGCTGGATATCCGTACCGTTTTTACTACTATTACTGTTATTTTCATTATCCGGATGACTAAGAACACGAGAATCAACAGGCGAGGTATCTTCATTGACTTCGTCGTCGACTGCATCAACTTCGTACATTTCTACGGCTTCACTTTGGCTTTTATTACTGTGGTGTTGTTGGTTTATTTGCTGTTGTTGTTGGCCATCATAGGTAGGTATAGAGCCATCCAAGGTGTCGATTGAAGACAACGATTGTTGTGTTGTAGCATTAGATGAATTTCTGGGAATTGTTGAAATTTGTGGTCTCGCAGAGGAAGACGAAGAATATGAATGCGCAGAAGGAGGCTTTGAGAGTGTACTGTGAAAAAAGTCAACAGGTAGCATACCACGCATTATTTGGCTAGATCGGAAATCGTTAGTTTGCTGATTGTTGGCAGTGTCGGTAAAAGGCTGCGATTGATAGCCGCTATCTGAGGATCTGAATTGATTGGAATTGTTGCTGTTGTTGCTGTTATTGCCGCTGCCACTACCGCTACCGCGTCCCGTATTATTGCCGTGGTTATGACGATAATGAGAAAGTTGAAGTAGCTCAGTATTACTATTATTATTACCACTGCTACTACTGCTGCCGCTATTGTATTCTGGAGCCTGTTGACTTTGGCCTACGATGATTTCTTCGTCCGAACTTCTTCCTTGATGTCTTATTTCTTTGTCTTCAAATATGTCACCTCCCGAACCGCTACCAGAGCTACCATTACCGTTCGAGGCACCATTTGAACTTGTGTCAGCAATGCTGCCGCTACCGGGAGAGGGATGCTTTGCTCTTTTTCTCACTCTACCGATCAAGCGATTGGCGGCCTCTTGTTTAGCTTTGAAATCACTGAGGTATTCTTGATAGCGCTCATATTGAGGCGTCTGTCTGTATTGCTCCAAAGCAGCTAGGTATTCATCCTTGGCACGCATAGCCATTCTTTCGTAGTTTTGCCGTTCGCCATGACTCAGATTCTTCCATTGTTCGCCTACGATTTTGGCAAGCTCAGCAAAGGATAAATTTTTGTCTTTCAATTGAGCACGAGCATCGTTGGAAAACATAATATAAGCAGAGGGGGGCTTAACAGGAGCATAACGATCCGGCTTAGCATGGCGTCTGTATTTTCTTTTGGTTGGAATAGAGTCGTTAGTATCAGTAGAATCATTATCATCGTTGGATGAGGTGCTATTATTACGAGTAGTGACTAATATAGGACTCGTTGCGCTTCTATTTTCCTGATCGACACTATTGATACTCATGTCGTTATCATTGTTGTTGTTACTGCTCTTACTGTTACCATTGTTGATTATTGGCTTATTGCTGAGCTCACTATTATTATGATCTACCATGAAACTAGAATTAGAATTGCTGCCGATGCCACTATCAGCGTATTGACAATGCGGTGCTGGGAGTTGCGTATGCTGTATATAGGGGGGGTATCCGAATTGCGGTTGTTGAATAGACTGGTGCTGATGCACTGGAACTTGCTGTGATGCCTGTTGATGAGGTATTCTGGACCGTAAGGTTGAACTTGAGCTGTTACCAATGCAGCCATCAATACTACTACTGCCGATGCCACTATTCATACTTCGAGGGCTTGTCAAACCTGTTGCAATATTATCATAATTAGGCATCATTGCCAACATGTCAGAATTTACAAAGCCTGCATTACTCAATAAGTTTTGCCGTTTTGCTATATCTTCCATTTTTGGAGCCGACGAATTTGAAAATTCCGTTGGGTATTCTATAAGCACCATGATAGAAGGAAAAAGATCAAGAATAAAATGAGTCCTTTGACGTTCTAAACGAACAATATAAACGGAGATCTCACAAACAAACAAAAATATAAAAAAAATCCATTGAAATCAACGTACTTGGACCCATCATATTCGTTATTAATGGTTGGTCGCGCGATAATCCTTTAATTGTAGCAATTTCTCGTTGAAGAAGCTACAAAAGGGGAAACGGAAAATCCTGGTTTCAGTAAAGAATTCTGAATTTTTCTCTTTGATTTCCAATTTTGGAATTTACCCTTCTGTGACCTCGTTTCACGTTCATAAAAATCATGTCTTCTTCGGTGATTTCTAGAAGCTGCAAAAAGAACCCATCAGAACAAACAGAATGCTTTCTAGATTACACAAATTGAAAGAACCCGACGTTTGATTGGCTTGATTACTTACTGAGTTGATCGAATCGAACCCCTCTTCCAGAAATGTATCGAAATATTGTTCCAGATGGAGGTAATTCAAGAAATCACCTACAGTTTGATAGCTGCAATCAATGCAGTTGCCCTCAGTAGGCCTTATGGCTGGAGGCGTTTGTTTTGCTTGGGATGCTTGTGTTTGTGATTGACGAATTGATTGATACTTTTGCATTTGAAGCTGTTATCCGATACCGATTAATACCCGTGAAGAAAGATATGCTTAATGTTCTAGAAAGTCTGTCGAAGAGGAGATTTTGGAAGCTTAAACAATAAAAAAAAAAAAGGATGATAGAGAATTGTCCTTAGTAGGCTTTAATGAGTTATTCAATCTTAGATATCAATAATTAAAGAATACAGGTAATTTTCATGAAATTGGAAAAGGGGGGAAAAAAATTGGAAAACTAGATGAAGTTTCAATGATATGTTAGTGAACAGGAAAAAGAAGCCTGGTAAAAGGTGTTCAAGTATTTATACTATTTTTTTTTCATTTTGTACATTTTACAGATGATACCTAAGAAGGCAATTTTTGATTTTTATCAAAAATTCTTCTTTTCGATCATTTTAAAGTCATCAGTCAATAAGCCTACATTGCTGCGTACAATCAATTTGTATAGCCGCAGCAACCTACTTCTAACGTTCTTACTGCCATTCTAACCGTGTCTCTCATACTTCATTTATTATTTTACTTAATGTTAACAAATAGTATTAGCAATGATTTCATAGACTATTTTTCTATAAGAGGAAAGATCGCTGTTTGAAATGCAAATTTATGTCGAAATCGTAAAATTAGCCTGATCGCTCGATTTTGACGGTTGATTGCAAAAGGGTCAAAATGCATTTTTGCCATGGTCTCCCGATATATGTATACACTATGCAGGCAAACATCCGCACACCCATTGTCCTATTTTAGAAACCCCTTATTTTTTTCTAAAAGTTGAATACAACAAAGTACGGTTTCTTTCTACGTGCCAAATCGGCATTTAAGCAGGCATCCTGGAACACATCTTCGGTTCTTTTGAGATTATTGATGTTGGTAGCGATTATACTTCTGAATATTTCTTTATGCTCTGTTTCTTTCCGCTCCTAGTTTTCAGCCTAATACACTTTTTTTTCTCCGTCGTGATGTGCGGTTCTTTCAACACATATAATAAAATCACCCTTGTGCAACCTTTATCATCAATGATTGTAATACTTGAGTTTGAGTAGTTCAATACTCTTTCACCGTAAATTGGAAGAGCTGCAATCCGTTGGAATAGAGGCAAAAATAATATTTATTGTTAGCAAATAGACAAAGTATAGTCTGGCAAGCATTTCTTAAGCCATTATACACAGGCATCGCAAGACATACGGAAAGTCTTCGTTATACATAATGTGTCAAATGTTTTAAGCTTAGACAAAAAAAAAGGCTTAGGAAAACAAAATATTGGTGTGTCATATATGACTTCATCGCTTCCGCATGAGTTAAATCTTTGCAATAGATCAACGGTGGCATGAGTTCCGATAATCAAAAATGACTTAATAGACTGGATAGCTAGAAATAGTATTTGGTGTATTACGAAATGTTTACTTACTTCAGAGTTCAGGAAAAAATAAGATTCTTCTAATAGCAAAAAGAACATTGTAGAACGGCAGAAAAGAACAAGTTTTAATCCTTGATATAATTGAAGTGTCCGCTTTTCTGGTCCTTTGGTTTTATGTCATTTCAGGCGCTATCATTGACTGTAACTTTTGTAAACGGAACCAAGTATACTTTTAGTTTAATTGTTCTCTGAGTATACAGAAATGCCCACTTTGAATGTCACAGAATCTTGTCTCGCCGCATACTTTCAGAGTTATACACGTTTGTGTGTATGTATACTCTACATGTTAAGCAATCATCAAAGCCTTCTTTTGACTACAATCCAGTTCATTTTTTTTATATTGATTACATGGATTCATAATATACAAGTAGTTTAACATTCAAAATTAGGAGAGGTAACGTCTGCTCCACTAAACCATAGTAAGATTGGCACTGCTGCAAATAGTGAATTCATCAAGCTCCTTTGATTGCTATTGAGGCTAGGCTGTATACCTTGAGTATAAACTATTATCAAAAATATGAAAAAGTATCATCAGTCAGCAGCATGTAGCCTCACATCGTAACAACGCGTCGTTCCTTTTACTACCCTTTAATAGCATGCACTTTTTGTTTTCTCTCTAGATTTACAATATTTACAACATTGATTAAACTATCAATATCTAATGCTGCCTAGATAACAAAAAGAAGAGGACCAATTAAACCTTTGAAGACTAACCTCGTCGAAGCACAATTTAAACCAAACATGTTAGATTTCATGCACTGTACAAATTGCAGCTTCAAATAGAAAATTACCGTCTAGTGACATATTTATTCAATTAATACATTGAAGTGGGAAAAAAGGCATGATTTTCAGTCTATCAGGAAAATCATGTTTCAGCATGTAATCATCTAAGGTAGTTGAGCATATATCTTCAAAGTTGAAATATGTGTTTATCAGATATTGAGTCACTATAAAAGAGCTTGCTCCTACATAGTGGAAATATTGATATTTGAAAACATCTTGGCCCATGTTTCCCAAGGCAAGTTTATAACCTCTTCGCTACCATTGGTACCTGAAGCACCAGGGTCGAAATAGTTGAATTAACTCAGGCAGGCAAATTCGCTGTTCTGAAACCCATATTGACAGCGGGATGACCCCTTTTGAGGGAAACTCAAAGAGCGGTTAGTTTTATACAGCATGTTTCTGAGTAAGAAAATCAAAATTCAAGCAAAACCCCAAGGTGGAAAAACTTAAGAGAGAGCCACCACCCCCAGCACTTTCCTTACCTCCAATCTATTTAATTTTGCTTATTGTAAGGCTTTGAACCTCCACTCTTCACTCTTCCTTCCTTACACGCTCTTTTCTGTTCTTTTTCCTTTTTTGATATAGAACCTATAGAACCTGTACAGTATTACCTATAAGAAAGAGTGTTTGAAAAATATACGAATGTAGAATTACGATTGTATTGACATTGTCCTTCATAGGCATAATGTCTACAGCACCTGACGAGGGAATGACAACGGAAGCAGGGGAGCAAATTTCCCAAGAAGGTATTATAAATGTTATAAGCTCCACCTAACTATTTACTCATTAAAAACTGTATATCTTCTTGTTGATGACCGTGATAGCCGTTGAAGAAGTCTACAACTTGATAATTAAATTGCCCCGAAATATTGATGACATCAGGCTCACTGTAACTATTCGTTGTTGTTTTTTTCAGGACATATTGTTAGCATTCTTCGAGTATTGATCTTGACTTTACTTGAAATATTAGCTCAATCCTGCTGAAAGCGTACAAGATATCAAACAAATTATCATGGAATCACCTGAAACTTGTGCTTATTCATGCTTTTATTTGTCACATAACGGGAAGCGTTTGAATGACTTTGTAGAATTGAAGGATGTTGAAGGATTAACTACAGAAACTGAGTTATACTTAGTTGAAGGTACTTGAAGAGGATTTGATTGACGAACAATGGCATAATGAAGCATAGATTGACCCCTCTTATGTTGGCTTATTATTAGACACGTATTCAGAGCGTGATGTACGAGTCCATATCAGCCGACTCCGCGATTTGTTAGCTGGACCTTATAAACCTAACCCTTCCAGTATTGGAATTGATCCTGCAATCTCGTTTTTGACAGCTGTCACAGGCGAAATTGGTAAGTGGGAGAACAAATGAGCGGATGCCCCGGTCTAAAAAAGCATTATACTCAAAAGGTTAATTTAGATGAAGCAATTACTACCGACAGCAACGACAAATCAGTTGACGATCCCTTCTCAAAAGAGCCTCCACCAGAACATGCCTACACAAACATTACTGACTTAGATGCACCCTCTCAACTAGCTGATTTTGTCCCGAAAGATTTCCGCAGAGTTGCACCTGAATGCCTCAAAAGCCTATCCCTTTCTGGATGGAACCCAGTTCCCCACAGACAAAAATTACAGGGCGACCTTCTTTATTTGGTAGTCACAACTCTGGAAAATGAAACATTGCATTTGACAGCCTCCACCAAAGGATTTTTCGTTAATAACTGTAGTCAAACAAAGTATGACCCCTCTCCTAAGAATAACGGAGCTGGCAAATATTCTGCCCACTCGTTGATCCATTTATTGCAACAATTATCTCCACTTTTTGCTAAGAAATTCTCAGAATTGCAAAATTTCATTACTCGTCACCATATGTTGGAAGTTCTTCCTGTCAGCACTTATCTTCCCGATTATCCTTGGGCAGTAGAACAACCAGAACACCTTTTCGATCCATCAAGGCCTTGTGAAACATACTTGACCGCCGGTCTCGATTCTGTCGAAGGGCTCCGTGATTGGAATGACGAACTGCAGTCTCATCGGGAATTGCCCAAGTCCACCATGCAAGAACGTATCCTCAGAGAACGTTTAGTGAACAAAGTGCAGTCTGAATTCACTGAAGCAGCTATTCGTGGTGCTATGGCTGTAGTTGATGGATCCGTTATTCCATTGAATCCCTTAGATCCTGAGGAATCACATATGTATGTGCACAACAACATCTTCTTTAGCAAAGGTAATGATGGCCGCAATACCTTCGATGAATTAGGGGGAGATGAAGCAGCCCATGTCGCTACTGGCAAAGATCTCGAAGGTGTCAAGATCATCAATACAATTGAACCGGAGAATTTATACACGTTGGGCAGCGTTATTGTAGACTATAAGGGTGCTCGTATTGTTGCTCAAAGCATAGTACCTGGCATTTTCCGTCGTCAAGACGAGAATTCTATCATCTACGGTTCAGTTGATAATGGTATACAGATTTCCTCGGATGAAACCTTCCATGAAAATATTGGAAAAGATATTGCCAAATCACTTCACCTAGCCGAACACACTGTCATTAACAAGGAAGGTGATAAGGAGGTCCAATTGTTCACTTCTCAAGAAACCAAGGGTTTGATCGGGGCCGATAATCGTCGTTATATCCTAGACTTGTATAGATTAAATCCAGTTGATATTGAGTTTCAAGAGAGCGAATGTGTTGCAAAGGACGATAAGCCGGCTTATCCTCATAAATTGACCTTGTTGAGACATGAATTGATGTCCTTGTTTTGGGAACACAAGTTCAGAAAATGGCTTAAAGAAAAGACCGACCAAATTCGAAAGGAAAGAGAAGCTTCAAAATCGCCCGAAATTGAGGGGGGAAAAGAAAATGAGGAGGTCACTGGTGATAAGAAAGATGCAGTTGATAATGCTGCCGTGATTGAAAAGAAAGAAGAAGTCGAAGAAGTCAATGAGGAAGATGAGATCAAGATAGACATCAATGAATTCAAACTCCAGTTTAATGCTGATGTTTTCACTACTGCTCGACTCCCTGACAATGACCAGACTAAACAGGAGCAAGAAGTCGTTTGGGAAGCATCCAAGTTCTTGCGGGACGAAGTCATTCCCAGCCTTGTGCTTGACTTTGTTTCCTATGCCATTTCTCCTCTTGACGGTGATGCCTTGACGAAAGCTATGCATCGTCGAGGAATCAACATGCGTTATCTCGGCAAACTTGCAGAGCTTGTTTTCACTAGCAAAGAAAAGCGAATCGATCATATTTATAAGTTAATTGTACAAGAAATGATTGTCCGTGCTTCTAAACGTCTGCTTCGTAATTATCTTGTCAAGTGCTCCACTGAAGAAGTCAGCCTTTGTATTTCCCACTTCTTAAACTGCTTATTGGGAAGTAATTTTAATAGCAAGCCAAATCCTGTTTTACCTGAAGGTTCCAACCGAAACGACTTTGCCTGGGCTCAAATTACACCTGCTGGCTTAAAGAAACTTATTACTCAGCAAGTCTTTATGCGTTTCCGTTACCAACTTGAAGACAATGCTTTTGAACAATTACGTTTCATTCCTACACTTCGTGATCTTTGCAAGCGTATTGGTATTCAAGTTGCAGCCTACAACTATCGCACTGAAGCCTATACTGAAGATGAGAAAGCTGCGTTTGCTGCTGAAGATGCTGCACGCCAAGCTGCAATTGACCGTGCTAAACAAAAAATGTCCAGCAGAAAATCATCAAAGAAACATCAGCCTGAGACTCAACGTCCTGTAAGACGTACCACAACCTTCACTCCCGACGATATTTACAATATAATGCCTACTGTTAAAACTGCTACTACTCGCAGTATCTTTGCTGAAGAAACATTTGAGGCAGGTAAGATGAGTATTGCTCAGGGCCACAAGGAGCTTGGTCTCGAACTTTTGTTGGAGTCTTTGACTCTACACGAACAGACATACGGGTTTTTACACCCAGAAACCAGTAAATGCTATGCCGCTTTGGCTATGATCTATCATAACAATGAAGAGCATGAAGCCTCTTTGGAACTTCAACGCAAAGCTATTATAGCCTCGGAGAGAACAAACGGTGTTGATGACCCTGAAACCATCCATCATTATGTAAGTTTTAAGCAGCAGTTCATATTCTTACTCCAGGGACTCTGACAAAATTTTACAAATGGATTTTCACTTTTAATGAATATAGTTAAATCTTGGATTGTTTGAGCACACAGCTGGACGTACTAAGCTTGCATTAAAATACATCCGCCATGCGTTTTACTACTGGAATCTTTTGGTCGGGCCAAATCACCCTGAATCCGCCACCGCCGATGTAAGTTTCTCATCCATATGATATATCAATCTAATATGGATAGAAGAAGTTGTTTCAGACCATTTAATTGATACTCTCTATTCAATAGAATAACGTCGGTGTGATGCTCCAAACCATTCGGGACTACGCTAAAAGTACAAAATTTTTCGAAAGAGCTACAAAGACACATGAGGCTGTATTCGGTAAAGATCATGTCTTGACTGCCACAGGTTATCACATTCTTGCCAAAGCTTATACCCTGGAAGCCAAGTTTAAGGAAGCCGCAGAGGCGGAAAAGATTGCATTTGAAGTGTTCAATGAAAAGCTTGGGCCTGAGGATGCACGCACAAAGGATAGTCAATTATGGCTTCGAGAATTAACAGCTAATGCTAATATGTTAGCTCAGCAAAAGGCTATAGAAGAACTCAATGTCAAGAATGGTGGTAGTAAAATACTTCCCCAGCAGCTTGCTAATGGAGCACCAGCAACTGTCAAACATCCTGAAATGTTGACTGCGGCTGCGGCTGCAAAGGCATCGTCGTCAACAATACCTCAAAAGCAACATCAAACACACGATGCATCATCAGCTGCCGCTACAAATGAAGATTCAAAGGAGCCATCTAAAGGTCATCTTCCTATAGACGAGTTATTAGAGTTCATTAATGGCGAAGAACAAGGCAAAAAATCTAATAAAAAGCCAAAGAAATTAGCACACAAAAAACAACGCAAGTAAAGTCAGCAATATACATGTAATTTTAGAATATATATAATGCTATAGGCTATTGTAATATAATACAGAAGATATTCGATTTATTTATTATACATATCGTATTTTATAAAAAATCCTATTCTTTTTTTTTCCCTTTTTTCAACCTTTTCATCCAGTAAAAGATTTCTTGGTTTATTAGGTAATACCAATGTCACGTTCAAGATGAACATTCGAAATGCTCCTGCATATTCACGTCCATAGTTTTGGCTATCCTGTGTGGCCATTGTCATTATGTGTGTTTTCTAACCCTAAAATTTAAGCTTTTATCTCTTCTTACTCATTGCACACGTGTTAGAAGGTATGCCAAATATGCTATAGTATCTTTTAATATGCGCACGCCTTCTTTTTTCGCCAAGTTACTTTTTTAATGTAAAGCAGAGTAGTGTTTTGTATATCACTGTGGTGTTTGTTTTTTATGAATGGTGACAATTACGGCTATTACACGTGTGGAGCAGTTGAATCTGAAATAAGTGACAAGGCTTGGGCTTGAAGTAAACAAAGCCGTGCACAACGAATTACGAACTGATTTAGAACAACAACAAAAGAATTTTAAGGTTGTCCAATTTTCGTTAACGAAAAAAACCACGAATTGATCATACAATACATAAAGATGATGTGATAGTAAAGCCAATGAAACTCTTTAAACACGCTATTAAAACTCGCAGTAACGTCTTTTTATGGCTATACGTTTAATAACCTAGCAAAAATGTAGGCTTGCTTGACTCAGACTACCAACAATACAGAGGTAAATGACTTAACTTTATGAACCCTACAGTATACTCATGGCAATTGTTCAAATGTTAAGTATCGCTATTTACTATTAAGCTTTCATAACACTAGTCAAACATATTTCAATAGGAACGTACATAAAATACATTAGTGAGTAACGCAGGAAATCACTGAGGGTAGACTATTCTGTTCTAGTTAACACTGTGATTTCATGATTGAGTGCATGTTCCATTGAATAAACTTCAAAGATATTCCACCAGGTTATGGTGTTATTGCAACACATGATCTCAGGGTTTCTCAAAAGCCCATTGTAACCAAAAATAAAGGGAGAGACATGATTATGTCGCCTAAGTTGTGCATTGCTCGCTGTTCATCGAAGGTGCAATCACGTAGCTGTATCCACTGCAACAAAGCTACTTCGAGTGTATTGTATATGAGCATTGATATTATATCCAGATTGTAATACGAGTCTTGGCTTGCTTACTTAATTTTAATAGTCTCGCAGTCCGCATACTGCAGGTTACATCTTTCGTTGTCGTCTATGTGAGCAAAGGCATATATATGTTAATCAGGCATACAGAAATGATGTAGCAGCCTTCTTAGGCTTACAAAATGAGCTTTACAAATTGCATATTTACGTCTTGAATTCAAGAAGAAACTGATCAATTTTTGACAGACATGAAATATACTCATAATATAAGTACTACCCAGGTGACAGAATGACAAATCGAAAAGAAAGATGAAACAGCAGAATAACATAAATAAACAGTAATACAACAAGAGGACCGTCATAAAAAAAGCGGAGCACGGAAGAGAGCTAATGCATCATGGGGACATTTGATTTTCAATTCAACGTCCACAGTTTACCAACTGAATAGAAACATTTGAGACCATTTCGTTTCATTCATAACGAGCGGACCCGTACTTTAAATCAAACAAAGCCAAGGTAATCGACATTTACCTAGATATGACACAGATGAGTACTACTATTGGATTTAATATAGCTATTCTTAGTGATTGTATATTGCTTCAGACCGTATATACGCTACGTACGGTGAACTAACAAAGATCTATATCCAAACTGTACATTAATGATGGATAGAAATGTGAGGTATCCACGAGTATTCACATCTTTTCCTCCTTGATGCAGAATGAACAAAATCTATTCAAATCGTCAAAATAAAAAAGTTTTGATTTAAAACTGGAAAAATTAGAAATTTCCCTTTAATATAACCATACAGAGTTGTGGTAAACAAACAGCATATCTCTCTCTGGGATTATGACCTATGCTTTGTCCTAAACAATAGCTCAATTGGCCGTGCTTACAGTCGCTCTTTCTCAAGCGCAACAAAGGAGCGTTTCCTTATTTAAATGAGATTGATCTTTTTGCAATCTTCTCGTTTTTCTTTCTTCACCTTCATTTCTTTTGCTTTGAAAGCCCTTAGTTCTTAATTTATTTATTGAGTCCTTTAGTACCTTACCTGTTAACTTGATAATAGCATGCATTCTATACAGCAAAGAAACAGTCGTACTCTATCAACTTCCAGCGACAGCTCTACTGATAGTACTTCATCTTCTTCCGGGAAGCTTATGTCAATATCATCCATAATTGCTGCACCTCCGTTGTATAACAGCGCACATTTAGCTTTAGCAACCCAACATAGCTATAATGACAACCCCATGGAGCGCAGAGCATCTGCACCTAGTTATTCCTATAATGACCACTCTTCTTCGCAGTACCCATCGAATCCTCCATTCCGTTCGCCACCAACTTCCCCTGGTAAAGACAAATATTTGTATACAGCGTCCGCAGCCTCTCCGTCATCACATGAAAAATCGCCATATCCCATCCGTTATTATAATCAAACAAACCATCATTTGCATTATTCAATCGCTACACCGCCTCACTTAATCAAAAGCGGTCATAATAAAGAACAGCAGCAACAGCAGTTTTTGGTACAACCGAAAAGTACAGATGACTTCATAATGGGAGCAGATGAAGTCGATGCTATTATAGACGATCAAGGCCAGCTGCAACCGCCGCTGACACTTCAGGAACGTCGACTAAGAAATAAAGCAGCTTCAGCCAAGTATCGGCAAAAAAAGAATCAACAGCAAAACGAAATGAGACTGATGATCAGTCGTTTATCGGAACAAAATGCTGTTCTAGAACGACAACTCCAAGAAGTTCGCTTGGATAATGAACGATTGCGAGCTACTGCTGATAGACTCAGAGGTAAAATGGTGGCGAAGAGGATGTTGAAGAAGTGGATTGGTAAACAGTCCATAACAGATTCTGCTCCAATTATGAACAGCGATAAGGATAATGTATCAAATCAGCAACAACAACAGACGCCGCTATATAATACAACTCATACCGCAGCTAATATGAAAGGGCTATATGCTAAGCCATATCCCTACAAAAATGCTTCTGATAGTAAATACACTTGTGCTGTATCATCTGTAAGTAGTGGCGGCAGTGAACAAGGTGACAGTATGAATAGAGGACTTCTCACGGGAGAATGCACCACTGATCTAGATGGAGAAGGCGAAGGCGACGAGCTTGAAAGCATGGATTCCGATTAAACTTTACTCTTATTATCATAAAACTACTGATATACAGTAGCTATTTTTACCTGCTGCTCACCAATGTATTACTTCTACAAATTGCATTCTTTCAAATTTATCATGTTTATGTACTATTTATGTAAAATTTATTTCTTTCAGCTCTACAATATATCCCCATTCCTTCCTTAGAGCAACCATTACCAAAACTAAAGAGAAAAACATCGTAACACAGTATACTATAGCTTTACAAACTTTTGAACGCAGAGCTGTTTTATAGATATTGGTAGAAAGCAATGGGACTCTTGTATGTATATCTTTTTACATGTATTGCTTAAATATGGTAATAATATAATGAGGGGCTTGAATCAAAACTATTGTACAGAAGAAATACCCATCTCCACGCCCATAAGTTGAAGGCATTCTTTTACTAGGCAAACTACTACATCATCTTTACAAGTGATCATATTAATTAGGGAAGGATACAAATAAAATAAATGGGCTCTAGGGCCTGATAGTAGCATTTGTTTCATTGTATCTTTTTAAAATCGTTACAGTAGTATGTCAGTAACCATCTGATACAGCGTTCCTATAATTTACATCACTTACTTTCAGTTTCATTTTGTTCAAGTGTGAATATATTCTCCTGTAGCTTGAGCATGATACATTGCTTCAGCAGAAACAGCAGTTCCTCTTTGCGCACTCTATTGGAATCGTTCAAAACAGTCAGTAACTGTGATAGATGCTTAATCGCCCGTATATCAAACTCTCACCCCATTAAGTACCTTGGAAAAGGACATCTTCCTAACAATGGTTCATCTACAATATAGTTACGTAGAATGTTTTCGCTCTTCTTGAGCAACACTGGAAGTGTCACTTTAGCTATTCGTTTACGAACCTCGAGATGATCTATAATAAGCAGCAGCAGCGCACAGGCATATTAGGCGATACATTCCTCCTCGAGCGTGGTCATGAAGAGCATTGCTTTCTTTTGTCATTACCTTGCTTTTCAGATGAACATAAACCAAATAACGTCATAAATGACGCATAAGCGAATGATTCTTTCAAGACAGGTACAACAATACCCGTTGTACCTATTATATCACTTGAGCGATTACTATAAATAAATCTTTGCTTGTCTTGACTCGTTGTTGAGCCTTCTACTTCTTTATCATCAAGCTGTTGGTGAGTAAAATCTGTACGATTCAAAGATGACATTGATTCTTCTGCGGTTGTTTCGTCCACATAATAAAGTCTTGCACTTTCACAAATTACGTTCACTAATTTCTCAATTACATCTACGGGAACTTTGGGTTGCCCCATATGGACAACAATTTCGTTTTGAACAAAATTCAAGAGACTGATATCAAAATGTTCATCAATATCCAATTCTTCCAACGACATGCTTTCTGGTGCTGAACTAGGCGACAATAAACTTCCTTCTATTATATCAACAAGTGTACGCCATACACCGCAGAATCTCCCCTCCGAAACAACTAGAAAGAAAAAGAATATCACCAATAAGATCACAATGATTCTATACTAACATACGATATATCTTACCATCTTCGTAACACTCTAAAGTCTCTAACCCTGGCTTCAATATGGATAATAAGCCCTCTGTAGCAAGCTTCCACAATGGCGTTTTATCGTCGCCATGCTTGTAAGAAGGAGGACAGTCATACTTCAATTTCATAGGTAAGCCGTAGGCACCAATAATACGCTCGAATACACCTTCGGTATAAATTGCTAGATTTTTTGCATGCTTGCGGAACAGATCAGCTATCAAAAGATTGCACCTTTTGTTGAGAGCGATATATGTTACTGTGGAAAATTTACGTTGACTAGGAGGAATATAACCGCGCTTCTTATTTTCGTTGTTTTCTGGAGGACTTAAGAATGATAATGTCATATATTCAGCCAGATCTGTGAGAACTAAAGGCGCCACACCTTCAGCATTCATATCGAGAATTTGAACTGCTCCCAAAACTGCGTCTTGTAATGGGGAAAGGTGATCTATATCAGGTCGGTACTGAGGGCTAGTGGAATAAACAATAACATTACGTAAGATGCTGAGCACGGAGCAAACGTTATCTAAAGTGAAAGTTGAGGAAATCAAGCAATAGAGATCGTTGAACATTGAAACAAAAGATGTTAAGGCTTCTTGAGTGAAACTATTGGAGATAGGTGCTGCGCTAGAAGTGGATAGAGATAATGTAAGCGCTTGAAAATCCATCTCACTGTCAAAAAAGGACGCTGCTATATTCTTATTTGGTATTTCTAATGAAGCTGAGCTGCCCATGGATTGGCTTATACCGAAACCGATAGCCTCCCAAGTGTCCCATGCACGCGTCCATAAGTCTAAGGATTTGACGCACTCAGCGTTTTCTCCTGTGACAGTTACAATGATTTTGAAGCTTTTTATACTTGCAAGTGAAACTTCTTGACTGGAACGAAGACAAGAGTCCTCCAAATGAGCTAGTAGTAAAGTGAATGCACGTGAAAAATGCTTCAAGTTACATAGCTCGCTGAGAAAATCGTGAAAGATATTAGCAATACCCGTTAATATTAAAACTTTCGTCTCGTCCCACTGTTTATCAGCTGTGTCTCTTGAGTGGTGAAGCATGAAACCTGAAGTATCTCGTTCTCCATTGGCTGTAGGAGAGGCTGATTTATTCAGTGAAGTTTTCGACGCACGAATAGAAGACATTTTGATTGAATCCAATAGTGGAAAGAGAACCTCCCATAAACAAGCATGCCAAAGGATAGGACCCAGAATGTGACCATTCATTGTAATAGTTCTGAATAACGTTTGGTTGGCGCCGTTCCTTACTTCGGGTCTCCAATCAATGCATGTATGTGACAGCTGTAGCAGTAATAGCATCCATAAAATATTGTAAGTTTCCGGATCATCATCCTTTTCATTAGCAAGGGGAGCATCAATATTGATTGCGTCTTTAATGATTTTTGTTGCAGTGTATGCATCACCGAGATTCTTCTTGACCTCACCCAGTTTTGTTTGAATGAAATCTGACAGGTTCCACAATAACCCAACAGCTGTCAAGCTAATATTCAAATCATCTCCTTGCATACAGAATGATCCTAAAGTGGCAATACATTGACGAAGACAGTCAGGTGATAGTAATGAAAGAAAATCTGTACAGATGAGTTGTAAGCTGGGAAATGCAACTTTGACTAAGCCTGTAATGTTTTTGTGCCCTCCTCCGGATGTTGTTAGAATACTGGGTGTTCTGATGGACGAAGAAGTTGTATCAATACTGACACGATCAGCTCTTCCTTCTATCTTTTCAGTGGCTCCTTCTTCATGCTGTAGGTCCTCGTCTTTTTCTGTCATCTCATCATTACCATCATTAGTGTAGATTGTGTCTGGTGGGTAATTGATAGAACAGATAGCTATATGCCGCAGCATATTAAAAATTTGTCCCCAACCGCAAGTGAAAGAGTGGCCAGATGTTTGTAATAAATTGTTCAATGTCTCCAATCCCATTCTCTGCACTTCTACCAAGCCTCTCGAACTACTACCGTTTGTAGTATCTTGCGGTGCGATTTCGTCTGTTGTGGAAGCTTTATGAATAATACATTGGCAAAGAACTGATAACAGTCTAGTCTGTATTGTCTCGTTAACTGTGTTGTATTCTGTAAGAACATAATTCATGGCATTTGTAACAATATTGGAAATTGTCTGGCAGCATTGAGAATGAATGGTTACCGGTGTGGTTGGATTATTTGCTGTAGCAACTAAATGCGACATGATCAAATCCCAAACCTCAGTCGATGTTTCTTTTTCAGTATTGACAACTCTGTTCATGTCTAGAGTTACTATATATTCCAACTTATCTATTGCAAACGATCTATTATTGAATAATTTCTAAACAAACCTTACAGTTAAGATACTATAACTACGAATAAAATAGAATGTCAAAGAAACTTACAACTTTCGACGATTTACTGCTAGGCATGGTGTCGTAACCCATGAAAGCTGTGTCAGTTATTTCTGAATTTAGTCGGCATAATGCGGCAGCAAATGCGACAAAAGATTCATCAGTCAAATATTTACTGTTATCGAAGAGTCTTTGGAAAGAAGTATGGATGATAGTGAGGTGATCAGCATCCATCAATTGGTTGTCAACAGGACCTACGTTATATGATAAGCACACTTGAAAGTTACCAATATTGTCTTCGTTCATATTTACTTACTCGTTACAGCTTGAATAAAATTGCTATTAGGATTGGCTCCTGCAACGTTAAATTTGTGATTAGAGGCTGAAGATGAAATCAATGCTCCTGTGCCAGCAGTTGATGTGCCCTTGGGTATAGGTCGGTTGAACAGAAGAAAATCCGCCAGCTGTAGAGTTTCAAGAACAAGATACCATGACGATTCCAGCATGTTGCTCAAGAACATTGCTACATTCAGCAAAACTCGAAGACTGTATAGGTTTTTCTCATGTAGAGAAATATTCGCTATGGCTTGTTGCTGCTGAATTGGCAATTCCGAAAAAGATATAGCAGCTGTATTCATTGATGAATTCAAAGAAGAAATGGTACCGACACTTGTGCTGCTCATATTACTGTTCAGTTTTGTAGAGGAACCAGTAGTACTTAGTGAAGAAGTTATAAATCCAGATGATAATATTGGTGTTATGGGTATTGAGTTTTTACAGAGGTTTGTTAAAAAAGCATCACGAGGGGTAACAAGACCTAGTACACCACAGACATTTGTGAAATTCTGATACGATCGCATAGTGCTTTGAAATAATTCCTCATCTAAATTTGCCGATAAATAAAAAGACATCGCCGCTAACAAGCCTGGCCAGGCAACATTTGCCATATCCTTAACTAATATTGTCTCTTCATCCTTTTCGTCGTCTTTAATTGTGCTCTTTTTCTCTGCAGTCAACTTATCAGATTCAGGGGAAAACCTAGGCAAAGCAAACGCTGCCAACCCATCTGCAATTGAGTTCAAACAAATGAGGGCAAGATAAAACATATATGTACCGGGTATTGATGGTGGCTCAGATTTGTCTAATTGATCAATACTACAAATTGGCTAGAGTTAGCGATTGCGTCTATCGAACTATCGAAGATTGCTACATTACCATTGAATCCGCATGGTAGATCCAGTTACACTCAAGGTTTCCGTTGAGGATGCAGTATGCTGATTGGAGTGAAAAGAGTGTTGTACGGTTGTATGCCCTGAGCCGCTGTCGAAACTGTCTCTGCCTCCTTGAGTAGCACCGATGATTTGCGGTTTTTCTGTCGCTAACCTCCCAAATCCTGTGATCATATCCCGGAAAACATTTGTAGAGCTGTTTTGCTTATCATACCATTTGTATATAGATTTTATCAACGAAGAATTGCTGCATACATTCCTAAACACTTCCATAGCTAATATTCTCAGCCATAAAGGATTTTCAGGTTCCAAGATCTTCACAAACATCGACAAGAAAATTTCGCATTCCATAACAAGTATATCATTAAATTTCTTGATAAGTATAAGTACAACTCGCGTTAGCCGCATTGTAAGCGGAAAGTCGTTCTTTTCTGAAAAGTTTTTGATAAACATTGGGCAAACTAAGCCTTTTAGCAATGAATTCAATTCCTCATGCTGAAGTATAATTTTGAATAATGTTTAATAAGATTGTTGCTATGATCAACAATTACATTTTACAAATACCTCTTTAAAGATTTTGTGGTGGTTTGTTAAAATGCTTTCAATCAATTCGAGTCCAAACGTTTTCGGTAGGTGCGACAAACGGAGAAACTGAGGGTTATCACCATTTGTTAATAAGCAAAGATCCTGAAACAGGTAATAGGCATCCTTCGCACATGGCATTAAATTGATTTTCTCCCCTGAACTAATTTCTACTGTTTCCATTCCCTCTGAAGAATCCTTACTACCTTGTGTATCTTCATTAGCTACTTTATCAAATACAAAAATAACTAATTGACGAAGGGTTGCTGCTGCCGTATTATTGACCACTGCTACTTTTGAGTCTTGTAATCGAAAACAAATTAAAAGTGCCTAAACGATAAACCAAACGAGGAGCCTTTACTATTGAACATCTTCATCATCCCTTCTATTGAAACATCTGCTTTAACTTTTACCTCGGCTAGAATATCATCATGAACATTTTTATAATTGCTTAGCAGTGGTAAAACCGTTTGCATTATCTTTAGCTGTATATCGACACCTTGGGCGCTTATATCAGTCAAACTTCTCAGTACGGTTCTAATTGATGTCTTTAGGAAACTCAATCAGTAAGTTGTGGAATTGAAGATATTGTGTCATTTTTCACTTGCTGACTGCTGTTTTAACGGATTTACCTCCGGAATGGCATGGAATGAAATGAGCTTCTGTAAGCATCCAATAGATATAGTTATTAGTTTGACATGTTTCGTTTCACAGGCTAATACGAATGGACGTAAAGCATCTTCCGTTTTCGATAACTCTATAATATATACACTTTTCAGCTTTAATGCCTACACTACAGTTTGTTGGAGTATGTAACAGTTATACCATTGGCTATATTGTAACCGGGTCTTTCCTTGAAACTTCTCAAGATGACACTTAATCTTTCAGCAGCCTTAAAAAAAGAAATAATTTGAGAAAAAAAAACAATACCATAACGCTTTCCTCAAAAGAAATGTTGTAGTGCCAACTAACGCACCTCTTTAATCTCGGGATGCTTTCGCTTAGCTTCACTCGATAAAGTTAAAAGCTCGGTTTGTAAAAAAGCTGTAAGTCCACTCATAGGTTGAACTGTGTTATGGATGTCGCTTTATACTCAGATGCAAGCCTTAAATATACGTCTTGATTTCTACTGAATGCTATTTGATTACAATTTCAAAAACAGGAGTAGCCGCTTAGTGAATTCTGGGTAAAAACCACTAACTGAAGAACTGAAAGTCGGTATTGTTCAAAAAGGGACAAACATCACACACTCTAACGCATTGTCTATAGACTTTCTGAATTTAATTATTTTAAATCCCAGCTATCACAAATCAAGAGCTACTCATACTTTTCCCAACAGATCAACAGCCACGAATTCTGGTACACTATACTCGCTTTTCCTTTCGTAATCTTGGTTGCTTCCGTGCTAAGATTAGAATATGAAATTGTTGAACGAGATATCTTTATTTGTCAGAACATACCCGGTTCTTCACCGCTGTTGTATATTGAGGCATAAGTCTGTATATAGATATTGACAGAGACAAATGAATCCTGCAATACTTGCTAAGTGACTATTCCATAATATGACATTAGTCTCTTCTGGTACTTAATCATTCACTGTTGAGATTACATATGGATAAATTATATATTCTTTATTGTCTGTGCATTATGAGATAATCTTACTATAATAATAGAGCCCAATGCTAGAGCATATTCCATACATATACCTATCCTAAGCCAGATAACAATAAGATAGATCAAATGGACATAATAGACTGAGGTATTCATGATATGAATGGCGCAGCAGAGACGTGAGGGTCGGATAAAAGATCTCTGGCTCAGCAACACTACTTGTATCAGTTATAGACCCAGACATTATCCAGAAAGACCATGTCTATTCCAGCAATTTCCATATTTTCTTAATATCTTTAGTATATCCGCCTATAAATGTTCAATTGTATTCTTCCACATAGTCATATCAACCGAAATCAGTGATACGAATAATTTGACATGTCTCATGTTACTGTTCTGATTTCCTAGAAATTTTCAAGCAAGCAATTCTAGAACGCCGCAAGGCATATGTAATGACTGTGAGCTGTGACAGAGATGATGAAGACCAATTAACAGAACAAGACCGTGGGGTTGGTGTTACTAACGTCTCTGAGGATAAGTTACAACGACAGAAAGATAGCACTTATATATGATAACGTTTATTAAACAGATGTATAGGAAAATAATGTGAGGGTAAGAAAGAACAGGATAAAAACACTGAGGATGTTTTAACTACAGTGGTGAGCCGTATTTATAATTTAAAGAGGTGAAATCTCTCTAATGATTCTATTCGCCTAGGAGGCGTCATAACATAGTAATAAAATATTCAAGATCTTTTCAATTAAGGCACAAGTAGAATTTCCGTTTTACCTAAAAAAAAATTTAAATATAAACTATAAAAAAAAAGAACTGATTAAAGATAAAGATAAGATGATAATTATAAAGTAAAGATGAAATGCTTTATATACCATAACGATATAGATTCCAAATGATCCGCAAGAACGATTACTAATAAAGAAATAGTCCTTACTAAATTTGGAATGTTAAGTAGCTACACGTGATCCCGACCGGCCGTGTCTGATAAATCCGAATCGGACCAACAAAACTTTTGCTTGTGCAATTTTTCACTTCACTCCATTTATTAAATAATTAAGCTTCTATGGCGCAATTGGCTAGCGCGTCTGACTGTTAATCAGGAGGTTGGTGGTTCGAGCCCACCTAGGAGCGATTTTTTTTGTTTTTTATTAGCACGAGACGTTTTGAATGCATTGTCTTTTGGCTGATGAACTTTTTCATCTCGATATTAGGGTAACATTCTAGAAACTCTATGGAAATATCACTGGTGTCGTGCACAAAGCTACCATAAGACTATATACTAATACCACAAAGGTAGGATTATTGTCAGAAGCAGAGGAAAGAATGACTTTATTCATTATTGGATTATTCTATATTTTATATCTTTGAATGTTACATCTAAACTAAACTAATTATTGGGGTAACACGACACTGGTATGTAGTCATCAACAATCAAACCTGGTCGTTAGCGAATGCATTACAGAGACTTCAATCCTCTGTAATTTTAAATATCACGTTACAGAATGTCGAAAAAGTGCCCCCAACAGACATAACTTAAACACACTGATGAGGACTGTTCATAATGTGCCGCTCATGTGCCTCTTCTAGCGCCAGCCCCTGCCCCTTTTCTCCTCTTATACCACTTGTTTTCACCTCTAATTTTCACCTTCTGTCTTTCTATTGAAATAAATCGCACATGAATTCAAAAAAAAAAAAGATATTAGTAAACTGTTAGTTTACATTATTCCTCCTAATAATTTTGACATGGATCCTCATATAGCAGGATGTTTCATCCCCAGACTATCTACCCGGATTTATTACTTTAAAGAAGTAATATAGATTATGATTTCGAACAATTGAGTAAATAGAATGCATTAAAATACCACAAGGACAGTATTTTTTGAAATACTTATGAATACTTTTGTGACATTTGCTGAACTTTACCATTAAGGATAAGTGGGAATAATAACACAAAATATACTAAACACGAAAGTTTGACACAATCAAACCACTGTCTTTATATCCCTTTCAAACAAAGTAAAGAAAAGAAAAGACAACTAAAAACTGCTCCTTTTAATAAAAAGATATTATAATTGCTGTCTCTGAAATATACCGAGTTCCTTAACTGACATCAATATATTATGAGCAGATAATACTCATTGAATCTCGTCTACCATAGAACTGATTAGAGCTGGTGGATTGATAGTTTGCTATCCTGGTGGATACAGAAGTATCATGCAGCTGTATCTGTAATACGATATCTAACAGCCACCAGTTATGTAGTTTAGGTATTGTGAAGTGATTATATATGCTAGTTAGGAAGAGATATGAATGCGTGGTGCTCTTGATGGCGTAAACAGTTGTTATATTAGCAAAGAGTGAATTATCAAATACTTTACTTTAAGGTTGAGGAGAAGTAAAATGTCCTACCAAGTTTTTCTTGTTGAATCAATACATTCCAAGAGTAATTACACTAATTTTACACTCTTTCTAGACGTCATTTAGCCATAAACAAATTGAATAGAATACATCTCATGGATATAACCTGTTCGATTCTTATGTGAGATACTGATCTCACATAAATTATCTCTAATCCATATTAGGTTCATATGTATACACTAAAACTCATCGCTTTTAATACGGGAGCCAGGATATGACGATTTTTCATATTGAGATCAAAATGTATTTTATTAGCCTGTGAAGCATTGTAAGTAATTAGTCAGATAAATGCATTACCATCGCACCTCAAATACAGCACATGTATGTCATTATTGCTGGTGTGTAGTGAGACGGGTTGAACGTTTGTTAGATTAAGTTCACTACTAATTTTTGTGTCATATAAAAGTGGGAGACATTTTTGTAACGTACATACTGAGTAGGAAAGTTCAAAACTCACGTTTTCGTTCTTTCAACGCAGAAGCCCTACGAAGAGACTGGCTTTTGCAGAAAGCACTCTCTTCGGAACAGCTTCCAGAAGACTAACTCTTGGATTATCACATGTTCATGGAATGCGCAAAAAAAGTTAACATTGAAAAATTGTACCAGCCAAAAATTGATGTAAATCCAAGAGTTGCTTAACTATGGTGAAATGTATTTGTAATCATGCTAAGGTGAGTTGCTGATATTAAGTGGTTGAAAAGAAATGACTCATATACAGTTAAACGCTCTTGAAATGTTCGGTAACGACAATGTCTGGTATTTCAACTATGGGATATTTGTCAGATGTTGACGTACAACCTCAGTAGGAGGATATCATTTTCACCAATATTGGTTCCATTTAACTTATTACTTGGAACATTGTTGCCTCGCTAAAAGGATTTAGAAAAACGTCTTCCGCTTTGGTGTCAATTTGGGAGAAAAGGAATTTCGGTAGTAAAATTTTGATCAAAGCACGAGTCTACGAATATTGGTGTATTTGTAGCTGGCTGTTGCTAGAGCTATTATTCAGCACTCGAAAAACAAGTAAATGCTCCAACTCTCTCTGGAGGTAGACTGCTGATACAACTCGTAAGTGAATATGCTACGTTCGGACAGTGTTTTTTTATAGTGCAGTGAAACAAGTTTTGAAGGCCTACAAAGCAGGTTTTTTTTTTTTTTTTTTTTTTGGCTTCTGTTAACGTTTGTTCAAAAGCAACTGTCAAAATCGAAAAATACGGATCATGCAATTCGTCCAAGGATTCCGCGAGATTTTTGAGGGAGTTAAATACGATACGATTGCTTGTGATATTTATGGAGTGCTCCACGATGGCCTTGAAGCCTATCCCTATTCGAAAGATGCACTTACCGAACTAAAATTACGAGATGAACAAGTGATTCTTTTATCCAATTCAACACGACTGCAGGACAAGCTTGATGCTGCCATGTCTGTCAAGTTCGGCATCACAACTCAACATTACAGTGAACTACTTTCAAGTGGACTGCTCACCAAATATTTTTTGAAAGACCTTTCTGAGTATTTAAAAACAGGCAAAGTGGAAAAGGCGGCCTGCCACGCTACAGTTCGATTTAAGGGAAAGGAACAACGGATGGACCCTGAAGAATTCGCGGCTACCTACCTTAAACAAGGGAAATTTTTTTTAGCAGGTGATCCAGATTGGCAGGAGCCACTCTATATGCCCTGTGCACCGACTTTGGAACGGGTTCACGATTGGGATCAGATGGAATTTGTATTATTAGGATCAATACGAGGATTATTCCCAGAAACAAAGCCAGTAAATCCATTCAGTGCAGAAGATGTACGAGCAGACTATAAACCTCTCTTAGACAAGTGTTTAGAGAAAAATATCCCCATGATTTGTGCTAATCCTGATGTTTTTGCTCCTAATGGAGTTGACGAAAATGGAAACATACGACTACTGATTTGTCCTGGTTTTGTGGGCCAAATGTATGAGGAAATGGGTGGTCAAGTTTTATACTTTGGCAAGCCCTTCAGAAGCATTTATGAATACCTTATTGAGCACAAAGCCCGGAAACCTCTTATAGAAGAAGCAGAAAAAATTGGTAATGGTACTTTTCCAAAGAGAATTGTCTGTGTAGGTGATAATATAGCTACTGACGTGAAAGGAGCAACTGAGCTTGGGTTGGATGTTGTTCTGATTCTCGGTGGTGTCCATTGGGAGGAGCTGAAAGGATACAAAGATGAAGAGGATTTGAAAACACGTGTCAAGCAACTCTGTAAAAAGCACAATAGTAAGGAACCAACATATCTTATGCCTCTACTTAGATATTAGAATAGAATTACTTGTATATACTCCTCCTTATTTTGCATATGTATTTTTTGATCGCATTTCATATTATATTAGAAGTAAAGACCCATTGTACTCTACAAAAAGGTGATGAGCCCAAAATAAAATTTCCTGTTTACCTGCTTATAGACATGTGCCAAAATCAAGCAATCTGAGTGGATTTCCTGCTGTTACCTGCATAACAGATCCAGCAGTATCAAAAAAGTGACATGTTATTACGACGACATTCTATTGATAAAACACCAGCATATATTTAGCTAACTTACTAGCGGAAGTCTCTAAACAGAACCCATATCATTGTTTTTCGAAAGAAGATCGTTCTTTGTGCTTTTAGCCTGTAAAATGTAATCGATGATAGGCTGCTTGCCGCTGAGTAAGAATTAACAAAGATTGTCATTTTTACGAAGGATAAAAAAAAAAAAAAAAAAAAAAAAAAGGCTAGGCTGTGGAAGTCGTTTCGAAAAGTTCACTTTTTTTTTTTCCTATCTTATTGTCTTCGCTTCCTGGCATCTTTGTAGATCTTGCTTTGATATTTGTGTTTTCGGAATTTGTTAATGTCATGAATGCACCTTCATCACGGCCTGAGGTCATCCAAGTACCTGAATATTATTATGCTGTAGACATTAATTACTTAACACATATGATTGGTAAACGATTCACCTCATTTAAGATGCTTCCACCCACTGACTAAAGTTCCAAATGTTCACATTCTCTTCTTTGTAGCTGATATGCTAGGAAGGCTGATATCACATAATGATTTAATACCACTTACACCAAGCAATCTCACGCGATTTCATTCTCGAACACCGCCCAATATATCGCTTAGCGATTATTTGAGACGAATAGTGAAGTACACATCGGTCGAAAAATCATGCTTATTGATTCTATTGATATATATCGATCGTGTATGTGAGCTCCATCCACACTTCACAGTATCATCTTTGACTGTGCATCGATTTCTTATAACAGCTGTAACAGTATCGTCGAAAGCATTGTGTGATTCATATTGTACGAACTCCCATTATGCAAAAGTAGGAGGCATATCAACACAAGAAATAAACGCATTGGAGTTGGAATTTTTGGCTCTTATAGATTGGCATTTAGCATCCACTGGCCCCATCTTACAACAATATTATGCCAATTTAGTCGAACAACATCCTTGTTACGAAAGGATAATTGCTGATCCTATGTCAACGCATAGATCGCTTTTGAAAAGGCGACGAAGAAGCAGCACAGAATCAGCATTGAGTCAGAAAAGCTCAACAGGAGGAGATAAAGAAGGTCGCGAGATGGTGAAAGGGGTTGAGGAGAAACATAGTAGAAGTGAATCAACGGAATTTGAAGAGATGAAAATAGAAGAAGAACGGACGAAGAAGCATTTTGATACTTTACTGGAAGATGATACCATACCTTATATCGCATAAAGTCATTTAAATTGCTTAAATGTCATCCTCTTACTTGTCGAATAATCAGCACCTTAATACGCATCATACAGTCTATTCCTTTCTACCACCTGTCATCAACCGTCTGAGCTGTTTGTGAAGTCAAATATTTATTAAATTTTGCGCAGAGATGAGGACTTACGAGATATATGGCTTATGAAAACAGTCCGTGGGATTGGATACGCAAACTACAACAATATAATGGATTAATTACGCTGGCGTTAATCATACTATACAAAGAAGCCTGGTGCAAAGCCCAGTACAAATTCACCTATTAATTGTACACAATTATTTAATTCTTTTATAATTCCCCTTTATATACACTGCAACAATTGAATCTACTGTCGAATAGATGCTGTAGTATATAGCTACTTAGATAAACTAAGTAAAGTTGATTTGCTCTTTTTTTTTATGATACCATGAAAAATCTTTGTCCAAAAGATGCTTGTGTTCCATCCTGAACATTTCATAATCAGCCACGGTCGGGAAATAACACGCTTTTTATACCTTGTTCTTCAATCCAGTTCCCATTTTGCCCCGAATCAAGAGTCGAAAATTATGAGTTATTACAGCAGCTTTGCGCAAACATATGTTGATCCACAGCACTTGCAAGAAGCAGAGCAACAGGTCGATGCTTTTATGGGCATGTTCAACAGGTTAGTAACCTGTCCCCTAGATTATTTTCAATTTGGAATTGACACTCTAGTATAAATCGTTCTTGCAATTAGGATAATGACGGCTTGCCAAGACAAGTGCATTCCAACCAAATACCACGAACCTGACTTGAATAAAGGAGAGCAGAAGTGCATAGATCGCTGTGTAGCGAAATATATGTCGATACAGAAGATTATGAGCGAAAGAATGAAACATATGGTACCAAACGTGGGTAGTGATCAATAACACCACTGCATATTTAAGAAATAACATTGCAGTAATACCATTTACAACGAATGCGATAAAACAACTCACAACTCGGCTCCTGTACATATGAGGCACTATTGTTGGACCCTTGAAGAGGGGGATTATACTTTTATACATATATTTATTAAATGTACTTCTTCCAGTGATTAATAACGAACGATACTTTCGATTCAATTGTAATATATCATTAAATTTACTTTTTCAGAGAAAAACCAAAGCCAACTATACATTTCTAAATGAATATTGCGGCAACATTCTTGTGGGAGCATAAAGATAGTTCATAAGGCCACTATTGAAGAAACCTGGTGTATCAGGAAATAACTCGTGCAATTTTTCGTGATAATGAAAAAGACAGGTCCACCAATAGAGCTTCGATGAGGAATAACATAATATCTAATTAACAAATGCAGAATATAATAGTATAATTTCATAAGTCACTTACATAGCATATAGACATGACGACAAATATAGCAACAGAGAACTTAACTTCGTCCTCCCATAGTTTTTCGCAGTTGTAAATATTGAGCGTTGAAGGCATGAAATCGATGGTGTGGAGAGTTCCATTGATAGAAGTTCCTTGAATCTTTTCATCGACATGGTCCTTTGAGTACCCATAGCACCAGTCCATGTACAGCTGTTTCTGAATGCCGAAAATAAAGATATTAACGAGAATGTCGATTAAATAGATGGGTACAATTAGCATAAGAAGAACAACTGCAGATTGAAGACGCAAAGGCGTGTCCTAGAATCATTCAAAGATTTACTCCATTAGCTATGATTTCCAATGCAGCCAATATTTCAGCTCTTTTCTGTTATTGCCAACATACTACAAATAATCCGTAAAGAACATATATAGCTACTAGAGCGAACACTATTGATAGCGACCCAAAAGTAATGAGGGCAGCTTTGTTAAGATATGAAAATATGGCTACGAAATGTAAGGGGAACGATATTAGTCTTTAACGGAATACACAACCTAGAATTACTTTTTATCGTTCTCTGTTCTTGAGCCTTGCATATGAACGTACGCGTATATCCTTGGAAGCATAGTGTTGCAATATATGTATTTACGCCCTAGCGGAATTGTAACCGAGGATTAAAATGAAAAAAAAAGCGGGGAAGCCATTACATAAAATTGTCTCCTCTTCTCTATCTCTTTTTGGGGCGAGATGTCGTAAAGCAGTAATCATCTTACTATCCAAACTGCACATGCTATTGCACTACCGCCCCGAAGGGACATACATCCACAGAACTTTCTGCTATACGGATTCGGTTCAAGATACCTTGTTTCAACAGAATAATTAAACAGCATTTACGTAAACGAGTTAGTATTGAAGGATAAAGAAAGCACAAAAGGAAGAGGTAGATATTAGAGCAGAAGAGCCATTCAGTTCAAGCATTGATTGTTACAATGGAAAACATTACTTATTATAGAAATTCAATGAAACTGAATTACTAAAATAGCTATGAAAGCAATACATTCCCATTCGAAGCTTCCAGGATGCTTCGTTTATTGACAATAACACGATTTGCTTTGAAGAAGTGAGTCAGAGATTATAACAGGATACTGATAATAGGTCCTTCAGAGGTTCGAAGTCCTCACGTAACAAAAGGTCAAGACATATTTAAAATGGAAGACAACTTTTATACGTAGTGAGCTCTGGCTTTTCGGCTATCAATTTCTATTTGTATGAGTTCACATATTCTTGACTCGAAGTAAACCTTAACAGTAAACTGGAATATAGAAGCAACGTTATCTTATTTAAAGTTAAAAAAAAAACCAGAAAGGTACAGCACATTTTGGATGTCATAGTAGAGAGTAGATTATGAGTGTAAACTAAGGCAAGAGCATAAGGGTTCGGTGAAGTATCTATTGTAAATTTATTTAAAGGTGTGTGTGTAACAAGGCGCATTGTGTATAGTATCACTTTCCTAACAATATCGGATCGAATAAAAGCAAACCACATACTTGTTGAAAACAATGGTAACAATTGGTTGCCTTGCTTAGCTGTTACATTATGTATGCACTTATTCAAAGAAATGTAGGTTCATATACGACTAATGACCGTTTGATTTCCTTCATTACTTTTTTTTTTTTTTGTTAAAATTCATGTGCGATTTATTTGAACAGAAAGACAGAAAATGAAAGTAAAGTTGAAGACAAATGGTATAAGAGGAGAAGAAGGGGAGCTAAAAGAGGCACATGGGCGGCACATTATGAACAGTACTCATCACAGTGTTTAAGTAATGTCTGGTGGGGACACGTTTTCAACATTCTGTAACGTGATACTTAAAGTTACAGAGGATTGGAGTCTCTGTAATGCATTCGCTGTGGACCAGGCTTCATTGTTAATGGTTACATACCAATGGTATTGCCAAAGGGTTTCCAAAATATTACCAACTAATTCTAAGGTGTAATTCTTAGTGTATGTATCTGTTGGGAGCTTCAACTGGAACATTACTTTAATTTTTTTTTTTTTTTTTGTTTAAATTCATGTGCGATTTATTTGAACAGAAAGATAGAAGATGAAAGTAAAGTTGAAGAATTACTTTAAACTTCACTGCAAAATTGATGAAACAAAAAACATTCGTAGTAACATCTCACAATAACCAAAAAAAGGAAAAATATATACGAAGCTACCAGGGGTCGAACCTGGAATCTCCTGATTCGTAGTCAGACGCCTTATCCATTGGGCCATAGCTCCTTGGTTGTTGACAAGTCCCGTAGCTAATTTATCAGCTCACTACAGCGGGCTTCAAATTCTTGCCCAATTTAGTAGGTCAGATGTCAAAACCCTCGGGCATTTGTGCCTTCGGTCCAAGCCATCCGGGCATGCACCCTTTCCTTTGTCTTTCTTCCCTTTTGCTATTTATGGTATTTACCTCTATGCTTATGAAAATGTTTAACTATGAATCCAAGATCAAATTACACAAATGACTATTTATATATATTTTTTTTATGTTTATGTTAACTTAGGGCAATTTGCACGATATAAAAGGACTTAGGATTTTTAATATAATAAAATAGGCTCTTCGACCGCAAAAGTTTTTTTCTTAAATTTTTTTTACTTAGACTATTTTTCAATTTCTTAAGGTTCGCTTAAGGGGGAGGGATACACACTCAAATGGTTCCCAATTATCTAACCGATAATTCTGACACAATAGGGCCCCCTCACTTGACATTGTTTTGTCACATCCTCAGTAGATATCAGCAGGCCAGACACTCCTGAGGAAAGTATAAATGAAAGCGGAAGCAAAAGAGGAACAGAACAATTAATTGAGATAGAACCAGAAAGTCGGGAAGCTTATAAGAAGCAACGGCTCTTTAGCATAGTTCAACCAGATTAATTATAAATACTCATTCATGATCTACATGAATAAAGAGCATCTTCTTCCACTTCTCTAAACTTATTCTATATATTGTCCCGTACATTACAATCGCTTTAAACAAGTAGAACAGCCCGATTAACCTCAAGCATTACTACTTCCGTATTGGGCAAACGGACAGTTTGATATGCGGAGATATGATTGACGTGAGGAGTAACTAAAACTCAGTCACGTGAATTAGAGAAGTGAATATGATTGGACGGAGTACAAATAAGAAAATTGATATAAACTGAGCGACTCAAGGTGGTGTGCAATAATTTAATGAAGATAGCGGATGTTGTAATTTAGAATAGAAAAGTATTTAAGTAGTAGAAAACTTGATCTGAATAAAGGGGGCCTTTTCCTGATTCCATAATTTGTACTATAAAGTCTCACCTGAACTTTATATAACCTATTCACGATAATTAACACATCATGTTTAAAAATTTTGTAAATAATAGATGTCTCTAAGTAACTGCATTGTCACGTGATAGAGTAGAAAATATTTACGGAATGTATAATGTTCGGTTGGGTGAAAGGAAATATGTGAGGCTGGATTATTCGACATTTGAATAGAATCGAAAAATAGGAAATGGGGCTTTCTAAGAAATTATGTGTACCAAGCGATAGTGTGAAAAAGTTTTCTATCCTTTATTCACAACTCTATTACTTTTTCTATTTCAGCATAACTTTCCAAAGCGGAATTTGACTATAGGTAAAACTGTTTACCCACCAGATGACCTGAATCGTCGATCTCCGCCTGTCAAAGTGGGTTTCCATTTTTACATTCCTTCCTAAAGATACTTTTTTATTTCCCTCGAGACAAGTAGAAGAAACTACGTTCCCTTTCATGTATGGTCATGGGTAGTAGCAGCAGTAGCAGTAAGACAGCTGCTGAGAATATACGGCTACGTTCTCCATCCCTTGTTCATCAGCAGCAACAATATCCTCCAGTAGCTGTGTATGCAACGTCCAACAGTAATAATGTTGATAATAATAATGATAATAATAATAAAGGCAGCCATTCTTCCGATAACGACGTATCTACTGACGATGAAGTTGAACTAGCAGATATCAACCATCGAAGCAACATGAATAATACGGGTGGCTGTATCAGCATGTCTGAAAAACAGTTATTACGAAAAATAGATTGGCGCATTGTCCCTTGGATTTTCATTCTGTATTTCCTGTCGGTTATTGATCGGTCTAATGTTGGTTACGCCATGACGATGAATAAATCGGAAAATCACACCATGATGGATACAGCCGGTATATCACCTCAGCAGAATAACATTGGACTTGGACTATTTTACGTTGCATATATTGTAAAAAAAAAAAAAAAAAGATAACCATAGATTGTGGGCGAAAAGAGCAATTTTTGTTCAATTGTCTTACATAAAATGAAACGTATACTGTAGATCTTTGAAATTCCTTCCAACTTGATAATGGCTCATGTCAACCCTTCCTACTGGATTGCACGAATTATGGTCACTTGGAGTGTAGTGACGGGTTGTATGACCGCTATTTCGCATCCATGGCATTTTTATCTCTTGCGATTTTTGTTGGGGTTGTTTGAAGCAGGATTATGGCCAGGCATCAGTAAGTAGATGAATAGTAGGCAAAAAGACAATAGGATGCATACTGATGGTCCGTCCTGCTTAGCTTTTTATACCACGTTATGGTATAAAGAGGATGAAATATCTACTCGGATAGGTGTTACATACCTTGCTGCACCCACTTCAGGCGCCATAGGTGGGCTGATCTCAGCAGCTGTTCAGCTGATAGATACTCGGGGCAACCTTTTTGGATGGCAATGGCTTTTCGTTATCTTTGGCATTCTCACCTTCATTTTTGGGTTGGCCACTATTTGGGTTCTTCCTTCCACGCCAGAAAGGTCAACCAAGTTTTTAAATGAACACGAACGATTCGCTATACAAAAACGACTGAAAGAACATGATAAAAACAACATGATGACCTCGCCCACGCTATCAACAGTAGGAACAGGATATTTAAGAACAACAACATTGATGAACACTGGCAGTTCTCCAACGCAACAAGAATTAGCTACCGAAAATACGCAAAAGATTACAGCCAAACGTGTGATCCGAGAATTCAAAGATGCCAAGAACTGGTTTTTTGTTGTGCTTTACTTTACGCCTGTCATGGCGGCTACCTCGTTAGGGTATTTCTTACCCAAAATTGTGGAGCAGATGGGGGAGTTTGACGCCATTCATGTGAGTTTAATGAGTATTCCTCCCTACGTTTTTGGTATGGTGATGGTGTATATCATCAACAAATTAAGTGATCGCTATCAAACACGGGGCTGGTACATCATGGGTGGTTGCTGTGTATCATTCATAGGCTTTTGCATTTTGAGCTTTGCAGAATCCATTGGAGCAAGATATTTTGGATTGATGATTATTGCTGGAGGCACCTATCCGACAGTACCTTTGGTAAAAAATTTGAAAAAGAGTTGGCCGCCCCCCGCCCCCCACAGTAAGATGTACTTATTCTCTTTTTTTTTTATTTTCTAGTCGATGGCATGGACAGCCAATTCAAAAGAAGATGCAGTCTCTGTAGCTACAGCGACAGGCATTGTGTCGTCGATTGCTAATTTTGGTGCTTTGATATGTACGTTTGCCCTCTATTCTGGCTGGCCAGCGGATGGGCCGCGGTATGTAGGATCCAATATGATCAACGGTGGAGCGATGCTATTTGCTGCTGTTTGCGCATTTGTGCTTAGACTTCATTTATCAAAATTGAACACGAAAATGAAAAAGAAACGAGTCAGTGGTATAAGTGTCAACATCCCAATGAAAATCGGAGAGAAAACATATCCATATATTTTATAAGATGGAACGCTTTCAATTCGATGCTTTATTCTTGAACATATCCCATTTTTTAATTATTAAATGTTGGCATCTATTTAATTTTTCAGACCGACAGCCCTATGTATATATCAAGAAAACCAAAGGGTGTAGTTTTGAGTATAAGCCATTTGTGTTTCTGTACTCGGAGCATAAAGGACTTACACTTTGACAGGGAGTATCTCCCATTTCTCCCAGACTTTGTTTTTATAATAAGGATCGTTTACAATCATTTTCTGAACATCCTCAACGCTTTCGGCGTTATATATAATAAAGCTGCCTCTCATTTTACTAGACTTTATCAGCACGAACAACAGCAGATGAACCATGAATGAGTCATTCTTTTTCGATTTTTCCAAGATAGCTCTAACGCACAAAAGAAGATAAAAGTAGGTACCTCATGATCATCGAGTATGGCACCCCCACAGCCAAGAGTATTGCTTTTCTCTGCAGCAATGGCTTCCTTGAGATGTTTTTCCCTTACTTCGAGTCGTCGACTTAAACACTGAGCATCTTTATAGTCCTTGAATAAAACCAAGAATTGTTTGCGGCCTACCAATAGACTGCGACTTTAGTGCTTTTATCGTTTTGGAAGCATTGACTTTTTTCCTTTCTCAAGGGCGAAATTTTACTAGTTTGTACTGTAACAAAGGAACGTATTTGAAAAACCATACTGAATCATGAAAAGGAAAGGGATAAAAAGACGATGATTCACACACACATATTTAACAGGTACACATCCTGCAGTTTCTTTATTTGGAAATTTCTTGGTGACTTTCATTTCTTTCGACCATCGCGAAACGACGCATTCATTCTACCATTCTGCATTGCTTTGAAGTTTTTCTTCATTGTCCTCTCTATTGATCTTTAGGAATGTTTAACAACAGTAATCTTTTCAACAAACCTGCCACGAACGCATTCGGCTCCAGCAATACACCAGCTACATCTATAATCAATTCAAATACAGGGTTGCAGCTGGGTCAACCGAATAATAATAACACGTTTCAAGCATTACAACAAAATGCACAACAGCTACCAACCCTGCAGCCACAAACACAAGCACAAGCACACCCTGAAGCAAAGACTGAGGAAAGTCCAAAGTTAAAACAAAAAGAGCAATCACCGGCGTCTTTGAGGCAGATTTTAGAGAGATCGAGGTTAACGAATCACAAGATTAACTCAAGCAGTGTACCTACGATTGAAAGAGGATTGACTCAGATCGAATCTCAATCAAAGAAATTATCCAGTAAAACCTTGTCTACAGAAGAAAATGTGGATATCAGAGCGTGAGTCAAAAGGATCAGTGTGTCTATTACCAAAAAAAAAAAAAAAAAACCAAAAAAAACAAGCATGCGTCTAACGTGTTGGCCCTCCCATCTCTTTTCAAACTAGACATTACTTTCTGGCACAAGGTGGCATTAATACGCAGGTATTAGTCAAAGAATTGGGAACCATCCATCTCGGAGGACTAGGCGAATATAGACAACCTATCCAAGATACCAACATTGAAGATTATCTTAAACAACAAAATACAGAGACGGTTCTCGCTTTGGTTCAAGATGGACGTCAAGAGGTACAAATGCACTTCTTTTTTTTACGCATATATATAAAAAAGAATGGGTAACACTTACAATCTATGGAAATACCATTTTTCCTTTTTTTTGTTTTGATTTTGTTAGATTGTAGAGAGTACAGAAAACGCCTTTAAGGAAGATTTAGACTCATATTGGAAAACATTCTTGGAAAAGGAATTAAAAGTGAATGACTATTCATCAGAAAGCCTTCAACTCTCTAAATCCAAATTTGACGCCTCTCGCGTTGTGAGTGCAGGAATGATTTGATAGGGTATATAAAGCGAACTACTGTAAACCTATCAAGACTGTTATAAAGAAATAAAAAGGAGTTTTAAAATAGAATCACTCAAACAACTTGGAAGTTGATACGCAAATAAAGAAAATTTTCTTAAAAAAAAAAAAGTTCTTCTAATTTCTGTTGTGTAAAATACCAAAGAAATTTGAGCGCTTTTCCTAATCAAGACAATTGCAATAAGATAGAATTTTATCCTCTAAAAGAAAACAAAAAAAAAAAAAAAAAAAAAAAAAAAAAGAAAGAAAAAAGCCTAAAGAAAACAAGCTTTTTCGGGTCCATCTTATTTACCCAAATACAAAAAGATGAGTAAGGCTTACCTAGCTTTCTGCGGGTGGATGGCCCTGAATTCGGAAAACTATATCGAGCGAGATCAGAAACTTCGTTTATCACTAACCTTCAATGATTTGCACTTTTATTAAAGCGGAAATTGAAAACAGACTATGGGGGATACGGGCAGTCAGAAAAAAAAAAGGACCGATGATTTTCTGAATAAAAAATGAGGGGCCGTCAATTGCCAATAAGTGCGTTAAAAGCAAGAAGACTTTTCATTTGTTCCACAGCGTAAAAAAAAAAAAAAAAACTAAAAAAAAATTGCCCATTAAACTTTATATGTGTGATGTATCACTCTTATTTCGTTTTTACAAGTTCCTTTTTCCTTTTCTTATTTATTTTTTTGTTTATTTTATTTTTTTCTGCAATTTTTGCTTTGTTTTTTCATCTTTTTTTTAAAAGAAACAAAAAAAAAAAAAAAAGGGGTGTGGAGAGAGAAGAGAAAGAAGCAATTATTGTTGGAACTAACAAAAACACCTGAATAACGTAGGTTGCTTTACTGAAAAAAAAAAAAAAAGTCAGACAGCCAAATTTCTTTGATTTAACCACTCATTATCCAAACAAACAAAAAATAAAGTCCTTGCTTTTTCGTAATGTCCAATTCTGGATCAACAGGATCCTTTAGTGATTCCATCACTACTGGTGTCAGTGGCCTCGGTGACACTCTTCAGATACCCAATTATCACTTTAAATCTGCTCCAGTGCCAAGTATAGCCCATGGAGAAAATGTCGAAATAGTCTTTGGTTACAGGTACCCCCATTCTCTCTTTTTGTGCTTATCATCATAGCAATAGACTCTATTTGTCCATTGAGCGCCTCCCCCTTTCCTTTTATTTGAATCTACCCTAGAATATCTAATAAAAAACCAGTCGTTGCAAAAGTATCACCCAATTCATTGAAGCTGGAAAGGGAATATTATGTGATGAAGAGGTTATATCAGATCGGTGATGGGTCATCCTACCTTGGTAAGAATCCCACAGAGTTTGTCATACTATGGCCCCCCACCTTTCTTATTGTTTATCGTATCCCGTAGTTCGACCTTTGGAATACATTCATTTACCAAGTGGTCTAACTGTTGTCATTTATGCAGACGAAGGCCAAAATTTCTTAGAATACAATAGACGACAATCCGATGAATTGTCCACCAATTCGTCCACCACTGTACATAGAATAGCATCCTCCACCACATCCTCATCCACACATGCAGATCAACAGCAACCACAGTATAACAGCATTGATAGTTTCTCTTACTACCAGCCTCTACCTTCTGCTGGTTTACCCAGTGATGGCCCCTTATACGATCTAGGCACTTTTTTGCGTTTTGCTATCAAATGTACAGAATGCTTAGAATTTATCCACCGCAATAATGTTGTCCATGGTGAAATTAGACTATCCGCTTTTCAATGGACTGGCGAAGATTCAGCTCGTGTTAAAATGTGGAATTTCGGTTCAGGTAGCAAATCAATGGAGCCTTATCTAACAAGCGAAGGCTGGCGAAAAACTGCAAACAACAAAGGCATGATGGAAATCCTACAAAACTTGCTCATTTACATGAGTCCAGAACAAACAGGACGAACCACCTATGTGCCAGATCATCGATCCGATATTTATTCACTTGGTATTGTATTTTTCGTTCTACTCACTGGCAAAAATCCTTTGGATGGTGGACCTTTGGAAATTTTGAACGGTATTCTAAGTAAAAGAATTCCTTTGATTCATGAACTTCAGTTGGAAGTACCTGAAGTAGTATCAAGGATTGTTGAAAAGATGACCCACAAGGTAAATAGATATTCTGGCTTTTTTCTTTTTTTCTAACTAGGGCTAATCCTCCTCCTTACCGCACCTACCCCCTCCCCCTCCTCCAAAATATAGTCGCCCGATGATAGATATAGTAGTGCATTTGGAATTCGTGCTGATTTGAAAGAATGTCTTAAAAGACTAAAAGTAGCGAATGAATCTGCTCACGAGGTAAGCACCAAATAGTTCTTATCGACATCGCGCGAATGTCATATGCTACCCTTCTTGCAGAACACACGTCAGTAACTTTTTTTTTTTTTTTTTTTTTTTTTTTTTTTTCATCTTTGAACACAAAATAGGTCATTGAAGCTTTCCCACTAGCCGAAAAAGATGTTGCGTCAGTATTCACTTTACCCAAAACGATCTATGGTCGCCAAGGCACCATCAGTGAAATGACTTACATTATACAGCGTGTTTCTGGTGTGTACAAATCGATTCGAAATCGACGTGAAAAAACATACTCGACTGGTTCAACTTTACATACAATGACCAGTGCCAGCGTCGCATTCAATGGCACTAATACTGGCAGTACCGTCAATCACAGTGTTCTCTCAGGTGTTGGAGCAAGTTCTATCATGAGTGACGATTTGTCAGACCGTCTTTCCAACAATGACACCACCAGCAGTATCGTAGCTGGAACATACGGTACAGCAACCAAATCCAATGCTTCCCCAAGTTATTGCAGCGGATTTGACGGCAGTGATATGTCGAGCAATCATGGAAGAGGCCCAAGCTCAAAATTAGGTGTGGAAATCGTTGCCATCTCTGGTCCAGGTGGCGTTGGTAAATCAACAGTATTTAACGCTGTGCAAACTGTAGCAAGACAACACGGGTAAGTGCAGCATCAGTCGTTCTCTTTACACTTTTTTTTTCTGATCCATGGATCCCCATTAGATACGTTGCCAACGCAAAATGCGATTCTCGTCATAAGGTACCTTACAGCGTCATCATCAAATGCCTATCACAATTTTTACAGCAGATTTTGTCAGAATCAGAAGACGAAATTCATTTATTCTACAATCACTTAAAAGCCCATTTAGGGGCTCAATTTTGTAAAATAGAATTACTGGCTGATCTCGTACCTGAATTGAAACCTTTAATCGACCCTGTGGACAGTGAAGACTCTGAAGAAGGTGCCGCTGGTACACGACGATCGCCAGTCAGCAAAATACATTTAGATAATGTTGAAACACGTATCCGGTTCCATAACTTATTTGTCGAGGTTTTCAAAGCTTTAGCACAATGGAGGATGATGACCATGGTAAGCAAAAAAACCCACCCTCTTTTTTTTTTTTTTTTTTTTTATATATATTCAACTATTTCTATTTACATGGGATGGTTGGGTACATAGTTTCTTGATGATGTTCACTTGGCAGACGAACCATCACTAGAATTAATTGAAAGTATGATTGCCTCTCGACTCAAAATTCTCATTTTCATCGCCTACCGTGATCAAGAATTAACACCGTCACTTGAAAGACTCTTATCCAACGAACTTGTCACTTTTCACAGCATTCATCTCGATGCGCTCGATTTTGACTCAGTGGTGGATTATATTAGTGATGCACTGCACCGGCCGCTGGACGTTGATCGTGATTCTATCGTGCCCTTAGCTGATATCGTATACAAAAAAACCCGTGGCAACGCCTTCTATACAGCACAACTGCTCGCTACCCTTGAAAAGAAAAAGTTGATCTTTTTCAACTGGGAAGAAAATGAGTGGGACTACAATTTGGCAGACATACAACAAGTCATCATGGTTCGCGACGGCGCTGATAATGACGCAGAGCTCGATATCAGCTTCATCGTCAACCGGCTACGAGAGCTGCCTCTGGATGGCCAACGACTCTTGAAATGGGCGTCTTTTGTAGGTGATACCTTCTCTTGGAACACAGTCAAATACCTTATGGTCAATTCTGATCCTGAGTCCGAAGTCTCCGATACCGATACAGTGGCATCCGATGTGACTTCCAGAACGGACACTTCATTACGACTCAGAAGCCATCATCATCGACATTTAGAGGATAATCTGACGAGATACCGAAGCAGCAGTAACGCCGCCAATGACGAAGAGAGTGTGAGAGACCGACAACAGCATCGAAAAGAGGGGGGTGATGGTGGACAGGATACAATGCATCCTTTAGTCAAATTCTATGGAAGACCTGCCAATGGTAGTATTTCTTCCTCCAGCTATCAACAGCAGAGTTCGCGAGGAACTTCCAAATCATCCTCTTCCCATCATACCCGCGACCCCATCAACGGCTTACAAGCCGCTTTGCAAGAAGGTTATATTTTACCACTCGAAAGCGACGAGTTTCGATGGTCTCACGATCGTTATTCTCAAGCGGCTATGGAACTTGCCAATCCTAAAACAAGAGAAAAAATTCACCTCAAAATTGCACGCTATCTCTTACAAGAAGAAACACAGGATAGCCTCTTGATTGCAGATCACTTACTGAAATGTATCAATCTGATTCGTGAATTGGATCAGACAAAGAATGTGTGTTTCCAGAATATTTTGTATGAAGCCGGTAATAAAGCGCGTGCTTCGGGTGCCCACAAAATGGCATACAGCTATTATAAGGCTGCTATTTCATTGTCTGACCCCCAGTCACGATGGAATCCAGAGAACTATGCTCGCACGCATTACTTGTACAGTAACGCCGTCTCACTCAGTTGGGTGGTCGGTGAGTATGAGGCAACTGAGGAATACCTAAGAGACATCTTTACCTACACAACAAGTCCTATGGATCGTGTCATGGCCTACCGTATTCAACACAAATACTTCTTTTCAAGACAAATGCACGACGAAGCCGCGAAATCCTTAGCCGATTGTTTGCTCGAACTGGGCATTGAAGATTTTTTATTTTCCAGTTCACGCGATGCATTTGATGCTGTTTACAATCAGACCGTACAGTTACTGAAAGATCTGGGAGGAATTCAAGAAATAGATAAAATAGGCGTTTGTGAAGATGCTAAACTGAAAGCCATCATGAGCATCATTGAAGAAATGCTGACGGTATCTTATTGGCAAGGAAACCAGCTGGAACTCTACTATCTGGCTACCAAATTGGTTTACTACTCACTGCAACAAGGTTTGTCCTCAGCTTCTGGCGTGGCTTTTGTATTTATGGGCCTGTGTGCTGTTGAATATCATCACGACTATGAATTTGGTGAGACATTGGGTGCTTTGGGTGTTCTTATTGCGGAAAAATACGGTACACATACAGAAAAGGGTCGTGCCATCTCTTTATACAATACCTTTTTGACTGTATGGAAATACCATCATCGCGAAACGATACCTGGATTCCGTCAAGGTTTACGTTATTGTCTTTCGGCCGGTGACCGTATCTATGCTTCGTTTTCTCATTTACACATCGCATCCAGTTTATTTTTCACCGGTGCGAACTTGTCAGACACTTTGGTGGAGGCTGAAACATGCTATGATGACACTCACGCCTGGTCTTCCTCTGCTGATAGCAATATCTTGATCATGTCTCTTATTCGTACCATCAAAGCCCTTCAGGGCCATACATACACTCATCTTGCGGAAGAGATTTTCGATGGAGATGATGGCTTTAACGACAGCCATTTTATTGCAGAAAGCATTCGTGCCAGCCCCAACTTTATTGTTCCTCTCAATTGGTATGACTCTTATCGTATGCTTCCTCTTGTCCTCTATGGACATTACGAGCATGCGATTGCTGTTGGCTACAACTGTTTACGTAGCGCCCATCTTCACCCTTGCCACCGTCACACTGCTATGTCTATCTATTTACAATCTTTAGCCATTTTAGAAAAGATTCGCACTGAAAGAGACACGATGACAAAAGAGGAAATAGACGTGTATATTGAACGCGTGGATCAAAATCAACAATGGTTAAAGCCATGGGTAGACCATTCTCGCATCAACACGGTCATGTGGTATACATTAGTAGACGCAGAAAAAACAGCAACAATGACCACGGATGTCGGTAAAGCTATCCAGCTCTATGAGTTAGCCATTGACCAAGCACGCGAAGGAAGCTGGCACCTCGAGCTTTGTATCTGTCACGAGTATGCTGGTGGATTCTACGAACGTTCCGGATTGAAGAACGTCGCTTTTGGCATGCTCAAGAAGGCCATTCAACTCTATGTCAATCATGGCTCGTACGGTAAAGCACATCACTTGACGACAAAATACAGTGCCTTATTGGCCACTTATGATGACGGCCGTGTCGAGTCTTTTGAAACAGGTATACAAACGGATCCCTTCCCCTTCCTTGGCCCTCAAGGCACCTGGAGTACATCGTCTTTGGGCCCTATTAATACGATCAATGAACCCTTTGTTGCGGAAACCATTCCTCCCGTGACGACAGAGCAAACACTGCTGACCTTGGATATTTTGGATATGGCATCCATCTTGAAGAGTTCCCAAGTTATTTCTTCAGAAGTCAAATTTGACAGCCTTTTGAAGTCCATGATGGCCATTATTCTGGAAAATTCAGGTGCTGACTGTGGCGCTATCATTGTGAAAGAAGAGAAATACGGCGTGTGTGCTTATGGTAGCCAGCACGACGGATCAATGACATTTGATCCACCTCGTCCTTTATCCGAAAATGACGAGCTTATCTCCAGTCGTATCATCCACCATACACTCAATACAGGTGAGAGTATCTTTATTCAAAACATTGAACACGATGCTCGCTTTGCTGTCGGTCCTTGGTACGAACGGGTCGGCAATAAATCTGTTATTTGTATGCCCATCACGCATAAAACGGCGTTGGCAGGCTGCTTATTCTTAGAAGGCTCTAGCGGTATTTTCACACAACGTCATATTACCGTCCTTAGTCTCCTTTGCCAACAGATGGGTATTTCCATCACGAACGCTTTTCTCTTCAAATCTGTTCAACGTGTCACAATGGCAAATATGCGTATGATTGAAATGCAAAAGAAGGCACTAGAGGATGCTCGGAAGAGTAAAGAAGCTGCTGTACGTGCTACAAGACTCAGAGAAATATTCTTGGCCAACATGAGTCATGAAATCCGTACTCCTTTCTCGGGATTTTATGGTATGATTTCTCTGTTGGCGGAAACAGATTTGGATCCTGAGCAGAGAGATTTAGTTAAAACGGCAAAGGAGTCGTGTGAAATATTACTGCAAATCATTGATGACCTGTTGAATTTCTCCAAGTTACAAGCTGGTAAAGTAACTTTAGATTTGGCTCCGGTGATGGTAGAAGATTTGATTGCAGATGTAGTAGAAATGCTGATTGCTATGGCGATACAAAAGTCTATCAATATTTCGTACATAGTGGCTGCCAATGTCCCCACGGTGGTCATGGCGGACGGCAACCGTTTAAGGCAGGTATTGATCAATTTGCTGGGCAATGCTATCAAGTTTACCCATGAAGGTGAGATCCGCATACAATGTACGGTAGATACAACCCATATTCCGCGCGAGTCAAGCGATCAGGTATCTCTGCTATTTGAGGTGATCGACACAGGTATCGGTATCAGTGATGAACAACGCAAGGTGCTCTTTGAGCCATTCTCACAAGTGGATGGTAGTACAACGTAAGTTTTTGGCTTTTAGCATCTTTCTTAAAGAGGAACAAATATCTTATTTATTTTTTTGGGTAAATGTCCCGTATCGTCCCTTAGACGTAAATATGGTGGTACAGGTCTAGGCCTATCCATCTGTCTACAATTGGTGGAACTCATGTCTGGTTCCATCAATGTATCTAGTGTACCTGGCAAGGGTTCCGACTTTTACTTTAGTGTTCGTGTGAACAAGCTTCGTTCCCAACCTCATAAGGGCTTACAAGCTGATTTCTATAGCGAAGAACGACAAGCTTTGACCCGTTGCCTCGCACCATTAAAATTCTTGGCGATTTCAAAATACCCGGCGACCATTGATATGATTCGGTTCCTGTTAAATGGCTTGCCATTGGATGGTGTCAATCAAATCAGCGACTTCAAACAAAAATTGAGGAGCCAGAAGTACGACGTTATTATTGTTGGGCTATTCATGAACCCAGATCATTCTACATCCTCCTCCACGTCCTCACCTGCATGGCTAGAAGAAGCGAGTAAGATGAACAAAGATGCACTGATCGTCATCATGAATTACCCGGCAGGAGGTCCTGTCAAGGGCAATTCCGGTCTGATTGAGCATATATCAAATCAAAAACTCTCTTGTAAAGCTATTCGTATGGCAGTTCCATTGAGACGTATCAAATTACTTCGAACCATTGCAGAAGTATTAAACCGGAAATCACCAAGCATCACGACACCCAATGTACGACCTAATACTGTTGAACTGATTACAAGTGATGAGCGAGCTTTATTCAGTACAATGCATATATTGATTGCTGAAGGTAACCTAAACAACAAAGTACCCGTGCCATTGGTTGTGGTGCAGACTAATAAAACGGATCTTCTATTTTTTTTTTTATTTTTTTTTTTTTGGTATCTAGATAATCCTGTTGCACAAAAATTATTACTCAAGCAATTGACACGACTAGGCTTTACTGTTGAGTGTGCTAATAATGGTTTAGAAGCGGTAAATGCATGGGCCAATCAACCTGATGGATATTTTATCATGGGCTTCTTCGATCATCACATGCCCAAGGTAAGACTCAGAGATCTTCAAGATGCTACGTTGGTTTTTGATTTCTGAATTTCCTATATTTTTTAAAAAAATAGTGTGATGGTGTAGCTGCCACAAAACAAATTCGTGAAATTGAAAAGGAGGAAGGAAGAACATACCGTTTCCCCATTGTCGCACTGACAGCTGATGTACAAGAAAGTGCAAAGCAGATTTGTATCAGCGCAGGTATGGATGGTTACTTGACTAAGCCTTTAAATCAAAAGGTGCTTGCTGAAGCTTTAAGGACGTACTGTCATCCTCGAACGACATCGTCTTCTACAACATCATCCTCTTCCGGCACTTCAACTTCACCTGGGTCTGTAAGCAATCTCAACAATGGTATTAAAAGTGATGAAACCAGCATCTGCAGCCTCAATACCAGATGATTCGACACTAGTTCCACCAATGACAACACAGTCACCGTTGAAAAACAGTAATAAATAACACTTTGTTTAACACCATCCTATAAAAACTTACACACTTACGCACGCATATATACGCATACGCACGCATACACAAACACACTCATACGCATGTGCTTCTAACAAGTATGCCCGAGTATTTACATAACAATGAGTATCCGAATCTCACCTCTTATTTATGTCTTTCAACACATGTATTTGAAATTGAATATTCAACAAAAAAAAAAAATAATTAATTTTTGTTCTTCCTTTATTATTACTACTATTCTTACTTTTTACACACCTACTTTTTATTCATACTTACCGGAACGAGTATTATTTCCTTAGCTTGTGAATAATATGATTATTTAATAACGTGTAAATAAAGATCCAAAAAACCTTCTCTATACCAAAATGATTGGCTTACCATTTTGACTACAGAGGCTACATTGAAGCGTCATTATTCCTTAATCACATTTTACATGAACCTTCTAATATTGATATACTACTATCAACAAAATTTAATAATAGCAAGTGATGACTATACGAACCATATGATCAGCTTTAACCAGCAATCTCGGAACAGCCGATATGCAGGACAGTACTCTTAGAAATAGTAAACAGTGCAGTCAATGTGATAAGAATCTGGATCTAAGGTAAGTATAACGTAGACAGACAATGCGCTCATGATGATAAAAATTTCTGTGCCCCTTTTTCTAATTCCATATAACTACTTCCGATTTCATGCAACTTTGTTTCTTTATTTCAATAGCAGACAGGCTAATTACAAGTTTTTGTTGTAACGGATGCAAGCAGATGAAAAAAAAAAAAAGGGTAATAAAATTGTTAGACTCTAACAAAGAATAGGAAATAATCAAAACAAGGCTTAAGATCACAAGCTGTGACGAATTACCAATGGATTGATGATGGTAGTCTCCTTTTATAGGCACCATTTGTCCCTTTCCTTCTATCAAGTGCTGATAACTGCTTTTTATTTTCCTTTTTTTTTTCCTTTCAAATTTTCTATATTTGTTTCTTTGCTGATAAAAATAATACAATCACTCTACCGCTTCATCTTTTTTATTTTTGATATTCCTATAGTTTCATCATTTTAATGACTTAGAAAAAGGCATTTTATGATGCTTGTTTCATTCAGATTTATGCTTGCCTATGTATTGGGTGGGCTCACGATGATACCTTTAACCGGTCTACTTCTATATTCCCTCTTTATTGTATATATCCAAGTTTACAAACCGTTGACTTCAGCGTTTCGTTTATATTTCACCAGCGCTTCATCAAAAGGCAAGCAAGGAAAACGATTTGCTATTTCTGATGGGACGAACGAGAAGGCATCGCTGTTTGAGAGATCTTCCACAAACGTTACTCACAATGACGACATGCCACCATTGCATTCAGACACTACTTCAGCAGTATCTCTCTATAAAGTAGGTTGGTTGAAAGTCTTGACACAAGAAGAACAATCATTACTGTCTCTGTCCATTGGTCTCATGGTCAAGAATTACATATCAACCAGCATGAATAAGCAGAGAGGCGGAGACGGTAGTAGTATTACCAGCAATAGTAACATCAATAATGATGACAATCATATGTACTTTTCGGTATTAAAATACAACACATTGTACTTGTACGACTCGGAAAAGCAATTGGATTGTAAGGAAGTGATCAACTTAAGCCAGTATACAGTACAAATGCATCCACCTGGTTTGAAAGACTTTGAGCTATATTCGAAGCCTAACTTGATCAAGTTAGTACTGAAAGAAGACGAACCTTCAAGTACCACAATAACAGCAACAACTGCTACAGCTGCATCAAAAGAAGTGAGAGATACGATTCCACGGGAGGCTAGCACATCCGACACAAAGCAAAAAAAATCCTACTTTATAAATTGTAGTAAATGCATTGACAAAGAGGATTGGTACTGTGCATTTTTACATGCCACTAATACTTCCGCCACCACCGACAAAACTCACTTTGAACAAGCAGCTATGAATGACCTTATTAAAACTGTATATAGCAACGAACATCATTTTCAAACGCAATGGTTCAATGCGCTTTTCGGCCGTATTTTTCTGGGGATATACCGTACGAAAGATATCCAGCATGTTCTTTATAAGAAAGTAATCACAAAGTTAGACAAAATCAATGCCAAACGCCCTCCATTTTTGGGAGAAATCACCGTACGATCTGTTGATCCAGGTCATGGTATTCCCGCCATCACTCAACCTAAATTACTGAACCTGAGCCCTACAGGTGAAATGACAGCCGAAGCCTACCTTCAATATCGTGGAGCATTCCGTATTGAAATCGAAACAGTATTAGTATGGAAATATTCTGATCGGCTAAAGCCACTGACCATCGATCTAGTGCTGAGCATTACATTAAACGAGATCAAGGGCAAACTGGCTATCAAGATTAAAGAACCACCCACCAATCGCTTTTGGTATGGGTTCTATGAGTGTCCTTCCATGGACTGGAAGGTGGAACCTGTAGTATGGGAAAAGAGAGTAGGATATTCCGTCGTTGTCAAGGCAATTGAAAGCAAAATTCAAGAATTGATTGTTGAGACAATGGTTATTCCTCATTTTGACGATATCACATTTTTTCCAACGGAGGATGGGGTAGGTGGTATTTTTGAAAAGAAAACACAAGCAGAAGACATACCAAGCAAAGGAGAGCATAATTTCGAACCGCAAACAAGTGAAACTGCTTCATCCGCCAAAGAAAGTTTATCAGTGAAATCAGCACCTATTCCGATAATGAAGAATAAGAATAATAACAGTGAACGTACCTCTAATAACAACAAACTGAAAAAAGAAGAGCGCCAACAACAAAAGGTTAAAGATGAAGCACTTATTACTACTGCTAGATCGTTACCAGAACTTTTTTCATCAGCTGTGCCTGATCGATCGCAAAATGAACAATTATGCCGCTCGTCTACTACACTTAATCAAGTCTCCACAAAGAATTTCGATAGCAATACACAGCAGTGCGAACCAACCAAAAAGCCAACTATGAGACAACAATCATCTTATGTTACAGAGAACGTAAGTAGTAGCGATAGCAGCATTACTACGTCCCTTAGCAGTACCAGTAGCAGTGACCACAATACTTCGAATATATTACTGCTCGCAAACAGCAATAGCTTGTCTGCTTCCCCCGACGATTCGTATCTGAGCTCGTCTCCTTCTTCAATGACGACCGACGACCGCATTAGTAATAATACAAATTTGCTATCTCGTAAGCTAACAGTAGCCGGTATAACAGGCATAGATGACACACAAACTGTTGCTAGTACAATCACTACATCTAATCTTATTGTCACCCCTTCAAATTCAACTTCACTGCTTGGTACCTCATCCGACTTTCATTCATCAACAGTTCATGTCACTTACTCTGAAATAGACGAGAAAGACGATGACTCAATTGACAGTAAGACTGTAGAAACTGGTAATAATAATAAATATGACAATAGCGAAAAGCAGCAGCCTCGGCAACAAAGAGTCAGAAAACAATCTTCTTTAGCTCTGCTTCGACCAAAAACTGTAGCTTCAACGGCTATAGATGTGTCACCAGCTATGCGACTATAAGAGTAGTCACCGACAACCCATACCTATCAAACAATATCCTATAATATTCCCCTTTGTTCGTTTGTACAATAATAAAACTTAGGAAATAAAATCAAAATATACCACTCGTCCATTATCCCAGCTTTTGCTGGAGAAAAATAATTTATTAATTAGAGTACCAGCAAATAAAAAAAGTATTGGAATCATCTAAACAGAAACGTAGCCTCCACTACCGCGACGACGCGACATAACAGAATCGATAACGTGAGCAATAAGGTCCTATGAGATTTGGAAAGAATAATAAGATTTATCATTAGCTGAATATCGACTGAATATTAGCAAGACTACTGTAAGATTACCTTGATTAAATAGGGAAGGTCCAGCCAGAAATCTGACAAATTTTAACAAAAGAAAATCATGAGTAACCTGTAATGACTTTAACTAATCGTTACTCGAGAATATTACCTCGATGGGGGATAAGATCTAAACCTCTTGCATTATACATCTTGAAATTGTAGATTGCTCCTGCGACAAAATAAACTGCACCCAAAACCATAATAATGGTGAAGAAAATGCCAATACCTGACATTCCCTTCTTTACCTCGCCGTCATTACCGCTATTGCCGTTCTCCTTTTTATCTCCATCATTATTATCGGGTGCCTTTTCCCCGGCCTTGGTGCTATTGTAAAGCAAAATTTCATTCGATCAAAATACTGTAAGATACATTTTCAGTTATGACTGTAGCCTTTTATCCTAGAAACCCAACTTACGCGCATGCAAAGACAGTCTTCCAATGAAGAGATAGTACATTATTTGTGTAGGATACAATTTCAGGGTTTGATGGGTCGTCCTAGTTAAGCGTAGCCAAGTAAGCAGCTGCTACATTGATATTATACAATATATGATACACATACATTTCTGGACTGTGATCGATCACATTCTAAAGTGATAACAGCAGACTGAGGTATTTTGTTATATTCACCGCCTTCCAAAGTGATACTGTAGTCGAAACCAGCTAATATACAGAAGATAGTCAATGCACTGTCATCGTTTAGTTTTTTCTCTTTTCACCTTGCACAACACAGAATCAACTTACTGTCACTAGGATCTGCTTTTGAGTCAATTGGTTTAAAAACTGGATTTAACTTCTTGTTATTGTCACTAGCAATAGTCTGCACGGTATACACGATTTCTTTGTCATCTTTAGTGATTAAAGTTCGTCTACATACATACTTTTTTGTTTAAAAGGACGCCAAATGTTAGGTTGTATTCTTTGGAAGTGAAGATGCTACTATGCACACAAACTTACAGAATTTGGAGCACAGAACTCATTGTCTTTGGAGTTGTCGGGCTTGGGAGGAAGTTTGTCGCAGATATTGATTTGTGTTATAACATTTGTTATCGAAGGCGGTGTCGATTCAGTTTGATTAATGCTGAACTCTCTACATCATTGAAGAGGAATGAAAGCAAAAGACGCGTTGTCAGTTAAGACTGAAACATAACAAACATTCTGATTTCATCTTTTTTCTGAGATTACTTGTTCAGTTTAGATAGATCCAACTGATACTCTTTGCCTTCTGTTGTAGTAAACTTATAGCCAGGTTGGCAATAAGGCTGGAGGGCAAGAGCTGTATTTGTACAGAGTAGTACGCTGACTAAACTTGTCACAATGGACAAAGTCTTCATAGTATTTTATATTACGGTCAAAGGGGTTATATTATTTCCCTGTGTGCTTCTGGCGCTAATTTACCATTTAAGAAATGATATTCAACTGTTTTTGAAACACAATCCCGGAGTTGAATTTTATTGTTAATGGATCGAGCAAGTGATTAAGGTTAGAATCACCAGAAAGTCTCGTATTTTTAGGTCCTCAAACAGATAATATATATGACTCGAATTTAGCACTTATTTGCGCTATTGTACGCACTTTCCCTTCAGAGTCTATGAAAATTGCGAGTCTGATAAAAAAATCAAATTCTTCCAGGGTCATTCGAGAACAACACATTCCATAGGCGAAACAGCAGTAATATCTCACGTAGCTATAGTCAGGAGGTTGAGATCAAGAATATTTTGTATGTCAACGGATCGGCCGAATAAGTTCAGTTGGAGTTTCAGAAAGGATTTTTTTCTTCTTCGATTCCATGCATTTAGCTACTGAGTGCTGTTCTCGCTCCTTCAGTTCTCTTGGTTTTCATTAATTCCTCTTAGAGGAGAACCTTCGTAAACTCTCCTACATAAGTCTATATATGGACTAGAAATTGGTCTGGATGAATATCCAATCGGCTATGTACCTTTTTCTAGGAGAGGTTGCAGGAGCAGTTGCTATTTATGTTGTAGGGTATTTAAGTTAAGTTGTTATTCTAAAGTCTAAGCTATATACCATATTAGCGCTATGTTACGTATAGTCCACAATTAAGTATTACAAAAATTACTGTTCCTTGAAAAGCTTAGATATATAGCTCAATCTATTCTTTGAAAAGCTGCATTCTTAGGTCTATTTCTTACAAAAAATTCCGTGAATCTGTACGGGGTTATGTATAGAAACGAAATTTCCATAAAGTACGAAGCAACGCGTCTATACTATGGCTTTTATGGTACAAAAAGGTAAAGTGGCGAATGCACAGAGCAAATAGTACATTTGACCAGTATGTACCGTTAAGGAATGATGCAACGGTTTACATGTTCATGTTTGATATGATTGACTAACACACTAATTTAACAGAACGCAGTCCAAGTCCAGTTCAACGATTATTGAAGCCTGTAGAGCGGTATTTTGAAAAGTCATGTAATTTTTGTGCAGCTACCTTAAGAAGCGATCAGATATATACATTACCATATCTGTATTAGCTGTAATCAAATATACCTAACCAGAGCACTCAAACAAAATAATCAGTTCGTTTAATAGAAATTGAGTGATAAAGATCTACTGATGTCAAAAAAAAAAAAAAATGAAAGCGTAAATAAAGCAAAAATAATAAAAGAGTTTGAAATTCGAATAATGGTACAGGCATGAAAAAAAAAAAATCAGATTAAATATTACTACTACAAATTGAACGTGTACGTCACTGTTATGTCAAAAAGCGTTGTTAATCCTGATGTTGTTTGACTTGATTCTTTCTATTAGGTAATCCACCTCCTGGTTGATTCCATGACAGATATGATTCATCTCCTAATTTTCTCGGCTTCACCAAGTGCCGAATAGTAAGTATAATTCCCAACAATATACATAAACCGCCTACAGCCATATAAGCAATACCCAAGTATGGATTACGACCTCCCATAGCAGTTGTTGTAGTCAACACGAGCCATTTTTCGCCTCCATATTGTAATGTGTCGAAATTCATGTCAATTGCGATCCTATATCTGCCTGCTTCTATTGTTGTATTATCATTACGAGCCCATATTTTACGAAAATCAGGTAAAGCAGCTACATGCATCCAGACATGTAATCTTTCCATTGTTGATAAATCGGGTGGAGGATATTGATCTGAATACTGACCGTTGGGATAACGCAAAGACCAGTTGGGTGGAGGCACAATTTCTGACATTGCATAGCTGGTTTTTCCATATTTCTTTCTGTCGGAAGGCCAAGCGATGCCAGACGTACTCAACTTAATAGTTTCACTCGAACCTTGATCAATACGTGTCAAATCTGATGCCGTATCTAACAAAAGGAAGAAATGTTGATATTCAATAGGTATTCTTACCCTTTTCACCATTCACGCAGAAATGCCAGTATAATACCATTAAACATAGAATTTGCTATTAATCCACAAGGAAAAACAATTTTGCCCGCATCATTATATGCTAATGGGTCGCAACTCGTATGCAGTGTAGATCCTCTAATAGCATCTCCTTGTAATTGTGTGGCATCATAATTCTTGATATATTGTCGATGATTTTGATAAAATTCTGTTAATCTGTAATACATGAATACTGGTGGCTTCATTGCAACAGGTACACTGAAGTCAATTGTACATCTTGGAATACTAAGCTGATTGGGGTTTCCCCAAGTTGTATCTAGAAAGCTCGTTTCATTTTTGTAAGAATAGGCAGGTGCTTGTATTGATGCCATGTCAATTTTACTATCTGATAACTGATAATCGTATAGACTGGGTGCTAAATAAACGGGAGTATTGTATTGTTGACAGTACGAATAGTTGATCATAATTTGGTCTACCTAGAATTAAAGGATGGCCGTATGAATATTAAGGTATTCTGTAGGGGATACGCATTTGTTCGTTTTTTTTTAAAATGGACCTACTTTTTTGCTATTCCAGTAAAGCAGACCACCAGCTGGACAGAAAATAATGCCAATCACAAATAGTGTAGGCAATACAGTTCTAGGCGTTAAGACAGGTTGCCAAGCTGGTAACCGTTGCTGTCTGAAAGCTCCATCTACGTCGAAAAAGGAAGTGACATTCAAGAGTTGATTAAGCAACAACTTCCGAAATTCTTTACAAAATTAGCCAAGTGACATTTTACTGCTACTATACCCTGAGGCTTTCGAGACTTTTTCATTTCGTTGCCTGTTGCATCTTTTTCTTCTTTTGCCATTTTTGCAACTATTAACTAGTTTACAGCCACAGTATTGAACCAGTTAGCAATAGCAAAATAGATAAAAAAAGCTTAAAAAGCTTAAAAAAGAGAAAAAATGAAATGAAACTGCGATTCAATTTGATCTTGTGGGCAAATCAATTGCAACAAAGCTCCTGCTTTTGAATATCCTTTACAAGAGCAGAGTAGTAATGAAAGAAGTATTTCTCTTCAAAAACCATAGGGAACCAACTGCTTAAAAATATAACACAAACTAAACAGTAAGATATGCGCTATATTATCAAAGCATGACAACATGTGTACGTATCAAAGTGAAACGCGCAAATGGCAAGTATTTACAATCAAGTCCAACAGCACAACTGGATCAGCAGTGCAATGAAACCCCGTAACATACAATAATTTGAACAATAAGAAGCATTCTTCGATTTAATGTGGCAGTATCAGGCCTGGCCAATTGAGCTAAGGTAGCAGTCGGAAATGGACAGCTTTGATAACAAGAGAAGTACAAGCAGGGTAATAACAGGTACTAAATCACGCTTTACTGACAAGATAAATATTTACAATATATTATATAATCAAAATTTTATCAAGAACAGTTTCACGCGGGAAGGATAACAGTTTTCTTCACGAATAAAAATCTTACTGGGTTAACAACTTCTTAAGTTCACCTTGACGGTCGAGACCACTCAAGCTGTCACAGCCACCAATGTGCTTTTGGTTGATAAAAATGTTAGGAACGGTACGTTGACCAGTCTTTTCCATAAGGTAGTCTTGGATAGCAGCACCATTGTCTATTTTTTGAAATGGACATGCTTAAGCATATGGCACGAATAATTTCCCCTTCTAACTGTCCATCATGCTTAGTGCTTACCATCTACGTCGAGCTCGATAACAAAGAAATCTTTACATCCATTTTGCTTCAAAATCTCCTTAGCCTTGCGGCAGTAAGCTATGCGATGCAATGAGCAATATTTAGTATCATTGTCTTATACTTCCGCTGTTCTTGCGTTTTTTCCCCTGTTTGAGTTATTTCTCTCTTCTGCTTAATTACTTACGACAATAAGACTTTGAGAAGACGACAACCTTATTGTTCGCAATAATATCTTCGACAATCTGTTGGACGTTGGCCATTTCTTCTTCTGTGTAAATTTTTTTGGTGGATAGAAAAGAACCCATTGATAAGAGAAAAGGAAAAAGTTTGGTTTTTATAGGTATTCTTTCTCTTGTTCGATTTCAAAGTCAAAAAAGCGGGAACGTGACCTTACGTTTATTAACCAGTTAATAGCCAATTAGAAAACGCATAGCATTATACAGATGACCACGATGCATGAACCCACATTCAATAAGCGACACATTTAAAGTTGAGATCGACTGTTCAAAGAATTGGGGTGCTTTACGGCAGATTACTTGCGCTTGCAATAAAATAGATTGCGCAAGTTATCTTTTCGCACCGTATCATTTAGAACCAAAGCTTATAGAGTCAATAAGAGGTAGTGCTTCATTTTTAGGAAGAGAAAGCCAAAGAGCAAGTCATTAGAAACAAAGAAGCTAATAGATCCGTTTGCAGATGTGTAATCAAAAATAGGAAGATAAGCGCGATGCAATCCTATTCTGTTTAACGCGCCACAGCATGCTTCGCTACTTACGATTACCAAACACCTCCTTTGGCATGTAGGCGTTATGTACTCAGGATACTGTTTTTCCGCTTGACTTTCGCACGAAATGGCTATTAAATTGAGACTATTTTACAATTAAAATTCAGACTAATTTAAAAATTATTTTGGATGAAAAGTATAGTTTTTGGGATCATACCTTTTCTGTCAAAATGCTCAATGCCAAATGTGCGAACTACTATTACTCAAACAAGGTAAATATACTGTGCCAAAGCACAGAATACCTACCCTGTTTGAGTATGTAGTAACGTCAAGCAGCAGTTAATAAAACACCAGAAATGTACAGTGACAAATTTCACAAGATGAACTCACCTAAACGCGTAAAAATCTTTAAGCCGTCGGTATAGAACCTGCAGCACCATTTTCGTTATGGCGATGGCGAGAGAAAATGCCGGGGCGGCCATTGTGTTCCCATACGAAATTTGCAATAGTAAGCATATTTTTGGCCGCATTGACGTCTCTTTGCCATATCATACCACAGGTTTTGCAGGCCTTGGTACCATAGACGCTGGAGCCGTCCGAAATTCGTACTTCTTTCATTTCGACACCATTACAATTATTACAAACCTACGAAAATGACATTACTTCTAGAGAAGGGCACTTGATTTGGCAATTTGGGACCCACCTTTGAGGTTTTAAACTCGTTGATGTCCACCACCGCAGCAAGAAAGCAGCGCTGTCTTTTCAGGAGAGTACGATACAACTTTCCTGTCACACCTGCTGGGTGGCCTTTAAATGAAACGCAATCCTTGTTCTTCATCCCGTCACCAAAAATGACTAATGGGATTTTCTTGCGGTCTTCAAAGAATGGAGCAGCGGTCCATTTCTTAACAGTCTTTGTTTTGTATCTGCAAAGGACAGGTTAATGTATTTATATAGTTACCAGTTACTGTTGAATCAGTAGTAATGAATGCGTACCTTTTTTGCGCAGCTGCTTCTACATTAATCGTTAACTTCTTCTCTTGTCCTTCCTTCCTTTCTGCAGCCCTCTGTGCTTTTCTTGCATGTACTTTACTCTTCGTTGTCTTGCTTCCTCTCGGCAACTTTCTTTTACGCCGTTTATTCTTGTTGGTTTTTTTTCTTTTTCTGGGGTTATACTCTTTGCCTCCATCCAGAAGCATGTTAGCGAGCTCTTCGTCAGCTCTTTGACGGCCTTGATAGTCGTTAAATATGAATTTGGCAGAGTTGAAGCCATAAAATTCATGTAAGCTTTGGATATGTCTCAATACATAAGAAAGGTACAGCTTATATTGTATTTCGGAGTGAACAGTCTTGCACGTCGGTAGATTGGTCTCAATTTCTTTAATACCAGTTGCAACCTTCTTTTCATCTACGACCCTTGCACGTCTGTTATATCCAGCAATTTGAGCGCGCTCCTCTTTGCTACATGCGCGAATTTGATGCATATCTGTGTTGTAACCAACTACAGCTGTGAATATCTCATTACGCCCTGGATCTACAGCTATCGGCATGAAATACTTGTTGATTTCAGCAGGAGTAAAATCCTCAAGAGTGAGTGTAGCTGTTGCACTTTTTTCTTGACGGGAACGGACAAACAAAAAGGTTACAGCAAAGCCATCTGTGTGTATTACACAATTGAACATGTCCTTAGAGTTGGCTGGAGCTCTGACAAGGTCTTGTAGGCTATTTGAGCAACAGATGCTTGTTAATATTATTAGGTTCTAAAAGCAAAGTATAGTTTTTTCCTTACGTTTCATATCCGAATTTTGCAAAATTAAAAACATTAAAGAAGATCTCGAGATTATTAGCATAGGATCCGTTGCCAATGGACTGTCTGGACAAACAGCATAGGGCCTTTTCATTGATGCTGACATGCTTCCATTTGAATGACACAGTGGGAGTTAATGAGAATAATTTGGGTTTTTTGTCATTCGGACCAGCGGTAAGGGCTTTCGTTTCGATCAACTGCAGCATGAACGCCAAAGGTGGTAGAAAAGTTGATGGTGCTGCTGTGATATTTTCGATTGTTGGAGTTGATGGCATCTTTTTCATCAATGATTGGCATGTTGCATCGGCTTCGGGTTGTTTTGTTATATCAACATCCTCCAACCATTTACAAGTATCCATATCATTCAAAATTTTAGGAAGGCAATATGAGTCAATGAGTCCGTAAATCACATTGTTCTTTGTTTCCTATTATTTGACAGTGAATTGGGCAATTAAAATCTTCTCTATGAAGATATAAGTCAAGCATTTTACCTGGAAAGTAGGCTTCAATGCCCAATACAAGTAATATCTGATACGTTTAGTGAAGTTTTCCACCATGTGGTTCATGTAAGTGGTTGCTATACTCTCGCATGCAGCCGCCATAGCATCACTATAACCTTTGATTTTTTGATCCTTGAAGGGGGATATAATGGATGGATCGTCAGTAGCAACGTCATCGAACGTCAGAGCCACAGTGTGGTTAATGTAGGCTTTGTTGGTAATTTTTTGGCCCAAGACTAGCTTACAGATGCAGTACCAAAAGTTTTGTTCATAAATGTATTCCTGAACAGTTAAATTACGGTTCTTAATAATGTAGTGATTCATGAAAAGCTGTGCTCTGGTTGTGACGTCCCGTATAAATCTGCACAGCTCAATCACTTTTTGCTGGAATCCTTCATGCTCTTTCCGTAAGATACTGCGCTCAGCATCAAAAACACCGTCCACGTAGGTTACAAGGGGCAGTTTCCGAGCGTAAAGCTCATACTTATCTGAATAGTTTGTTCGAAGGAGCTCCGCTTTAGTAGTAATATGTTGTTGGCAAGCAAAGGAAGCTTTTGAGTGACCACTTAGACCACAGTGCTTGCATATGACAGTATTCGATGGCGATGCTTTTTTTGCTTCTAGCCTTCTCTTTTTGCCTTTATCTTTAGCTTGCTTTGTTTCGTAGTCGGCCTTTCCGGACTTTCGTTTCTTGGCTAGAAAAGCGTATGAATAGAATATCAGCGAAAATGAACAGGAAATACTACCTCTTCAGCTATCTGTTACCATTATATTCTGGACACAAGTATGAGCCCTTATGGGCATGTCCTTCCCGTCCGCAATCAGAACATGTTTCTAGAAATTAATGGTTCAACGATTCTAAATGAGTACATAAACGAATAGTAAACAAAATACAGCAATAATGAACTGACTTTCTTTATTTTCTTGCTGCTTTTTCTTCAACTTTGCTTCAAGGTAAACTTTTGCTTCTCTTGACGGCATGATAAAAAAGCTACTCAAAAGATACAAACACTCAGTTACAAACAAAATATGTACAGTGCAGTCGGTGTGAGTAGCTCGTGATGAGATCTCATTTTAATCTACCTGATGATCCACTGTTAACACTTCCTTAATAATTCTTTAAAGGATATAACTAGACTCTGATAAAAAAAAGGGAAAAGGTACCAACTTTTTATCTTTTTATAAACTGAAACTTTTTGTTAGAATGTTATATTTGGACAACAAAGAAGTTTTGACAACAAAAACAATCTAGACAGATTTCTTTAGACGCGCTAAAATTTGACACCAAATCGAGACACGTTTATTAATAAAGACACGTTTATTTATCACTTCATCAGTTACTGACAATAAACAGGCTTTTTTAACTTAATTTATACAATCACCTATTGTTATTGCTTTCTTTAAGGGAAAAATGACACTAAAGTGACACGATTTTAGATCAAGAGAGATGCTGAGCAGTCAATGAAAATACAGGATTGTGAGTCATTTACATAGAATACAACTGGACAACCAGTTCAAATGGCAGCTAAGGAGAATGTAGGTAATTTTTCTGGGCCGATCAAACAACGAAACTTACTGCAACAAATGCGTGCAAAAAGAGGCGGGCCTCAGATGTTTACTACAAGTGTCCAAATGTAAAAAGTAACTAGTCCGAAAATAATGACTTAAATTTTCTGAAATAAGTCAATCAAAATATCCAATTTTGTATACTAGAAGGTCTAAATTAAAACCGAAAATACTGTAGTAGCAGCGGTATTCGAAATTTCTAGGTTCATTTCTATTGGAAGGTTTCTTTTCAGCCTTATTTTCATTAACCGTAAATTAACGTTCTATAAGTGCCTTTTGTATAATAAAAGCTATGGCTGCCACAATCTAAAAGTATACTGGCGATTTGTCAATATCGAGTGAGTACGATAATAAGGAGAGGAACGGAAACTCTACAGTTTGCTTCGATATTGATCTCAAAGCGAGCGAGCGAGCAGAATAAGGCCCTGTCGTAAAATGGATTCACTCTTTTTCGTAGAGTAATATATCAGTTTCATTCGTCATTACGTTTTCTTACGTTCTATGAAACATCTTCTTCTATTGTCACTAAGGAAACAAAATCTGAAATAAAAATCGGGACAGTGACGTGTGGACCGGAGGAATTCTTTCTTGGGAGGCACTTTTGAGAAAAGACCTCTGCCCCTTCATTGTGCTATTTTGGTTTAAAATGAAGCTGATGATGTGACTTATAAACACTTTCAGCCAATCGGTTTGAAGTACCTATTACAAACCCCCAGGTTTTTCGACAATTTCCCTTTGTCATATTTTGCTTTTTTCTTTTTATTGTGCCAAGTTCTACTTTACATTAGCACTCAACGTTTAATACCTATTTCAACCCAATTCAACATGTCACAATCACAACTTCTTGGACACAGTTTAAAGATAGCAAGACGAAATTCGGAACCTACTCTCGACGATATGAATAAGTCTACAGACTCTTATTTTAGTTCGACAACTGCTGCTTCGTCTACAACAAGTGACTTGAAGGGTAGTTCAAAATTATTTTCTTCAATTCAAACGTCTCCTTCTACCTCAATGTCGATTTCATCAGCAGCACATGTGCACTCTCCTATACCTTCACCAACCACCTCCGCTGCGACAAGAACTTTTCAACATAGGTTGAATGCAGCGCAAGAACAAAGAACATACCATGATAGCTGCCGCCGCTTGACAGACTATCTTAATACAGCTGCAAACTTGACCAGAGAGTTAAAGACAGGGAATCTTGGGCGGTTCCCTATGTTCTATCCTGTACAGAACCATCCCAGTTCTAAGCCCACAATGGCTCGCTCGCAGACTTTAGACACCAATCATTCACAAATTGTAGACGAAGCTCTTAAGCGTCGTTCTTCTACTACCTCTAACCATCTACCGTCAACAGCAACGTCACCCATTATCAACAACACTTTTGAACAGCCTCGTTTAATACCAAATCATCTTAATGTATTAGCCCTAAACTTAAAAATGGGTCATTCTGAAACTGATATTAGTAACTTAGAATCAAAATCGGTGGCTCACCTTCTCGATGAAAAATTGAAGACCAGTTTAGCCTATTTAGACAAATTATCCAATAGAGTGAGCGATACATCTTCTAAAGTATTAGTAACAGGTGATTTGAATTCTGGCAAATCCACTTTCGTCAATGCTTTGTTGAAACGAGAGGTCTTGCCTGTGGACCAACAGCCTTGTACAAGTATTTTCTGCGAAGTATTAGACGCAAATCTTGTTGGTGGTGTAGAACAATTACACGGCATCTTTGATCCCAATCGATATAATGTGAATGAACCAGCTACATATCATAAATTAGAGATGCGTCATCTTTACAAGATTATTACGGATGACTACGAACCTTATGCCATGCTGAAGCTTTACACTAAGGATGCTAGAACTACGCAGGAGTCTTTACTCCATAACGGTGTGGTTAACATTGCCTTAATCGACTCCCCCGGTTTGAATACTGACTCCGTAAAAACAACAGCTGTATTCGCCCGTCAAGAAGAAATTGATGTGGTTGTGTTTGTCGTCAGTGCAGAAAATCATTTTACTCTTTCTGTAAGTGAGATTACCGACAATACTAGAAGATCCCGAACGAATGTATTAGTTACTCTAACCATTATTTCATATAGGGTAAAGAATTCTTGTGGAATGCAGCCAATGAGAAAACACATATCTTTATTGTCGTGAATCGCTTTGACTCTATTCGTGATAAGGAACGTTGCAAGCGTTTAATTTTAGAACAAATTCGTCAATTATCACCCGCAACTTATGCTGATGCTGATGATTTGGTTCACTTTGTCAGTGCTGGAAATGTCGATCTAGAGCCAGGTTCCTACAAATTAGACGCTCCTGAATTTGCTCGTCTCGAACAACGTCTACGTGCCTTTGTTCTGGAAAACCGCACCAAATCAAAACTTTTACCTGCTAAGAACTACTTGGTAAACTTACTATCCGATATCAATATTTTGTCAGAAGCCAGTGAAAAGAAGTCCTCCGAAGATTACACAGCCGCTACTGCAGAGTTAGAACGTGATTTACCAGCCTACCAACATTTATTGAAAGTGCGTGATCATTTATTAGATCAAGTAGAGAAAGTGGCCGAAACAACAGTATCCAGCATTCAACGACATGCTCAAAATAGATTAAATCAAGCAGTAGAGCATGTGAGTGATGCTATTCGTCAAATTGAATACCCTGGTATTTTCTTAATTTGGCAATACGCTCAGGATGTCGCTGATTCCATGGTTCAAACTCTTATTAAAGAGGTACGTCAAGAGGAGCAATGTGCCCGCCAAGAAACCAGCAACTGCCTCGATCGATTGCATGCTATGGGTTCCGAACACTTGGGTGAATATGATATGACGGCCGATGTGAACAAGATGTGTGTCAAGTACAAGGAACATCGTTTGATGATTTCTGTTGAGGCCACTGATTTCTTTGACCTAGTTTTCGATGAAAAGTTATCTGGAGCTGCTTTATCCATGGGTGCTCTCACTATGGTTGGTGGACGTATGTTGGGCTTTAAAGATGCTGTTTCTAGTATCTGGAGCGTTTCCAATATGTTGGGTAACCATAATAATTTGCGTCGCTGGGTTGTCCCTGCAGTTGGTATTGCCAGTGTTGGTCTTATTGTCTACGTCGTAAGCGATATGCGTAATGCCGTTGAACGTAAATTAGCCAAGAAATTCAAACAAGCTGTTCAGGAAGCAAACTATGTTGAAGGACAAAGTAGTCGTATTGCTCGCGAAAGTCGTAAGGTTTTACGGATTGAAGGTTGGGAGATTCAAAATAAAATCCAGAAAGCCATTGAACAAAAGGAACAGAAGCGTAATGAAACCAAGGAAGCAGCAGCTCTATCTAAGGAAACTGCTGAATACTTCAACACCATTCTTGTTAAGTCAACTTTATTGTTAGACAAAGTTCAGGCTGTCCAATGTGATTCGCAGCAATACCTTGCAAAGGAAGAAGCTTAAAAAAGTTATGCCTTTTAATACAACGCACGTATTTATGTTTATTTACCTTACATTTACCCTCGTTCCCTTCTCTTTTCTTCTTAACTTATTAAAATTCATACATTATATAACTTAGCACATTCCATTAAACAAATAAGAATAAAATACTTATAGTTGTTGAGCAATTATTTGTGCTGTCATTTTCAAGCATTCTCTTTTGAATGGCTATGCATCAAAAGAGGTTGTTTGCTCTGTCAAAATTCAGTTTTATCGACTTCAAAAAGAAGTGGAAATCACTGACTTACCAATAAGTACAAGAGAACAAAAGTGTTTAGCATCATTGTAAATTACGGGCAAGCTGCGCTTAAGCAACAATTGTTATAATTAATGACCTTTTTTTTGTTTTCTTTCCTTTGCTAGTCATCTCCCGTCTACTTCCTTGGGAAGATGTTAGCTTCTTTTTCTTGAACAAAGATCAAGATTCTGTTGATGGTATCGCCAAACCTCAGTCAATGCTTCATTTCAGCAAAATTAGAGAAAAGTCAGCTTTTTTTCTACTACTATCGCTTCTTAGAAGCTTTAAAGTTACTTAGTAAAACTAGTTTACACCTTGCTTTTTTTGCAAGACGAGTGTCTTATATGGAGCAGCAACCAAGATTCTGCTACTTTTTATAGAGTAATCGCTAATGACTAATCACTTATGTACATTTTTCAATTTCGTATGGATAACATTCTATACTCTCTTTTCGATGTTCCACATGGCGGATTTTCGTTGTTGTTGTTGTTAATTACTATTACGACTTCTACTGATACGATATTAATAAATGTATCAATCCTTCATCAACTTAAACGCATTTACTTATGATTGTGCAAGCCTGTATTGTACCTAAAGAATATGGATAAAGTGTACGTGACTCCGCAACCTATTAATAAGCGTAAGATATATACAGAAAGAAATGACAAGTGTCAGCAAAGCAATGAACATCAGAGAGTCATAGTTTGTGTAGTTGCAAATGCAGTAGATTCAAGATCATCTATCAATTAAGCTTGTTGGTCAGTAGAATATTACTCAACTAAAAATAGATACATCTTTAAAAAACTCAAAAGGTACAAAATGAATTAAACACATTTGAAAATGCATGTATAAAGTGAACAAAAGACGCTGGTATTTGTAACCATAGACAAGATTTTTACCCATGATGTAGAACCCTCATATTAGACTTCTTTATCAAAGCATAGAGTAATTCGCATACCATTTAAGAAACCGCTCAACAGAACTTTACTGATGGAGAACTTGATACATCAAGTCGAATACCCGTAATGTTAAATCGTTAGCTCACGCTCTACGTCAAGCAAGTATCATATTATTTATGAATTACTATTTTTCCTATGGCTTCTGGATGATTTAGATCAAATTGCCGTCTGAGCGCCGCATAAACGACATCAATCAATAAAATCACTTGACCAAGGTTATACACTAGCGTTATAGCATAGAAAAAGTTTGCATTGCCACTACCGGCATAAATCCATAAATGCCAAAAGATCGGTGCCAAAACTGATGCATATAGGAACAAATTACAAACCAAGAATCCATAACGGCAGTCTATGTGAAGAGAACGTGCAATTAGGAACATGTTCCTCTGCTTTAGCCTCTGGAGAAAAAAATTGATCTTATAAGCCTTACATTTAAATAGTTCGTCATGGACCGATACAAGTGCTAAATAAAAACAGGCATCACTAGCGGAAGGATAGCTCTTGAATATAGCCGTAATGCTGCATAGTACTGTGGCCGCCAAGATGGGCTGGTTTCTAACAAATAGTCAAGCAAGAACATGTGATTTGTTAGCAAGTGACAAGTGGCAATACATTAGCAAATGCCATTATCAAGTTACCTCATTTTAATACAGATGGGTGCGGTAAAAATAAATGTATGGAATTGAAATACAACCATGAAAAAAGAACGGAATTGATCAAAAATCTCGATGAAGAAATACCAAAACATGCCCACATTTGGTGTTAAATCAAATACAAAGATACTATGAAGGAGATGGAAATCAGTAATTGTTGACCAAGAAGTTCATGTCTTTTTCGTTTAAACTGCACTTACATAATACCATATGTCGCTTTAATGAAATCCCATGTTCCTACGAATAATCGCGATAACAGGAATAGACAAACAGTCCATCCCGAAAAGTGCAAAACAGGCTTCGATGTCTCCATAATCAACAGTAAGGCCGGTAAAAGCATGATGGGATAGACACTCAGATACGACGCAAATGCAATCCAAAACATACTTAGCGAACTATACACATTTATTGAATTTTTTTCTGTTATTTGTTGTCCTGTCTTATATTTCAGGGCACTTAAGAGTGCCATGGCCACTGCTAAATTACTGAATATTTGAGTTGACTTGGATGCACAAGATAGTAGAGTTAAAGGGTTGAACAGATACATAGCAGCTACGGTGTTAGGTGAGATATGCTTTCTGTGTAATTTTTCTGCTTTTAACTGGCCGTTTTTGATATCGTAATATTGTTGTTTTAATTGAGTAATGCAAGTCAAAGCATAAGCAATAATGAGGTCAAGTGTGCTGTACAAAATGGGAATGGAGCCGGAAGGCAGATAATCGATGCAAGAAAATAAACATAAAAGTAAAGGAGGCTATATTTGATCATAAATATTATCGTGTATGAGCTCATTATTACTCGCTTCGCTACTTAAGGCACGCTTGTCGTTTAATATACGCACCTGATGAAAGACACCGCCATCGTAAGGAGCCACTTTATGATTGTACAAATAAACACCCTCAGTTACTTTTATTTATTGAAAAAAAAAAGTATAAAGCTGACAGGTTAGGTTCTTAATCCAGTGATCTTCCTGCTAATGTCAAGCTAAACGGTTTATACTTACGGCGTTTGAAGCTTGTTATTGGCGTCGATAATTCAACACACTCCATAAGTGTATTCACAACGGAGGGAAAACTGAACATAACGAGCCTCACAATAAACGCTGTGGTGAAGACTACCTTTGACGTTTTGAAGCTAGTGATCATGTCAATCTTTTCTGCTGATTGAAGGTTGGAAACAGTTATTTGCAGATAATTATCAGGGTATAGCAAATTAATAAATTTGAAAGAAAAGGTGTGTTTAGAAAAAAATAATGTTGCATGATGAGTCCTTTAATGGCGGCGATATCAGGGACAAAAAAAAAAATCGTAAAACCGTTCGTTTAGCATTAGTTTACGAAAAACGGTTAGTAAACGCTATTTATTGCCAGCACAGTGCAGCGAAGTGTATTATAACAAAAAAAGAATTAAACATTAAATAATAAATAATAAGTTAAAGAATATAGACCTCGTCAACGCAAAAGCGAAAACAACATAAATGATTTTCTAAATAATTGATAACGGTGAAGAGGGTGTAGAAGATATTGGTGTATCGCAATAATGCCTCTGTATAGCAGGACGTAGCATTTTTAATGTTGCAGCCAAATCCTTTGGAATCAGTGGCTTTGTCAAATATCCATCCATACCAGCTTCTACGCAAATTTCCCTTGCAGACGCTTGTATATCAGCTGTGAGAGCAACAATAGGTAATCGCCTATTCGAACCTGCTTCCAGAGCTCTAATCCGTTTTGTTGCTTCAACACCATCACACTAATTTCCATCAAAGACACACAATAAACCACGATATTAGCTTTAATTTGATTTCTATTTCAAAAATACTCAAGCTTCGCTAAACATTATTTCTTACCTTTGGCATATGATGGTCAAAAAAGCCAATACAATAATAATTAGGTGGTCGATTTTTCCACAAATTAACCGCTTCCTCTCCATTGTTAGTGCTCTCCACCATAAAACCCATCTTTTCCAACTGCTTCCGAAGTAATTTTTGGGCTACCATATTATCCTCCGCAATCAAAACAGGCTTATTAGCGTACCATGAAAGCTCATCCTTATCGAAATAGTCTTTCATTTTTGTTCCCAATGGTGTCGATATTTTCGGCAAAGGAGATGTGCGCTGCTCATCCAGAACTTGCTCTAACATGGTTAACAGTTTCGCTCGTCGCACTGGTTTTGCCATTTTTACAAGGCGGCCACGGCGCTCGGAAGCGGAATTGATTGCTTCTGCTGCCAATTTATGTCCATCTGTTGAAGGCGTATATAAAAGAATGATATGTAACTCACATTCCGGATCATCGTCAACACTCTGCATCTGATGTGCGATAGAATTACTCGGTTTTGCTGGTAAATCTAGAATCAAGATTAGGTGGCGGCCTTGAAGAGCTTGAGGCACCGCTTGGTGCATATCCGTAGTATGCTTGACCATATTATTGGGTAAAAGTGATCTAATCATTGCAGAATTAAGTTGGCTAGGGCTAGCCAAAAGAATTTGCTGATCTTTTAGTGATAAACTCAAAGCTGTCATTTTTTTTACACCACTGGCATCTTCGAGTTTTTTCTTTTCTTTGTTGACGACAATAGTAAACCAAAAGTTGGAACCGTTTCCAGGTTGTGATTCAACACCTATATCACCCATCATTAAGCGAACGAGCTGAAGACAAATAGATAACCCCAATCCTGTACCACCATATTTCCTAGTAGTGCTACCATCTACTTGCGAAAATGGCTCGAATAACAGACGTTGCTTATCAGGATGGATACCTATACCTGTATCAATCACCTCAAATTTCAACCGAATAAGGTCGTCATTACCGTCCATTTCGATATTGTTATCAACAAGGTGGCATTTGATGATAACACCTCCCTGATGAGTAAACTTGATAGCATTACCCAGTAAATTCGTCAAAATTTGCCGTAAGCGAGAGGAATCAGCAACGATATTTTCAGGCACAGCTGGATCCATAATGTAGACCAAATCGAGACCTTTTCTGTCTGCTAGAGAGCTAAGAATCTCGATCGTATCTGCTATCACTTCTTCAATCACCAATGGTGCCAAATCTAAGACTACTTTACCAGCTTCAAGCTTTGAAAAATTAAGTAAATCATCTATGGAAAACCGTACCGCATGAAGTTAGTAAACCATACCAAATTTTTTTTATATATATACTTTCTAATTTTTACCGATAATTTTCAACAACATCTCGCAGCTTTCTTTCGCCGTATGCACAATATCTTGCTGCTCAGCATCCAGAACAGTTTCTGATAACAAAGAGATCATACCATAGAATCCAGAAAATGGTGTACGCAACTCATGCGACATATTGGCAAGGAAATCAGCCTTCAGTTTCATTGCATAGAGGGCCGCCTCTTTACTTTTGCGAGCCTCTTCTAACGCCGCCTTTTGATTTTCAATCATTTTGACATTCGCATAAGTCACTTTTTGTATACTCTTGAACAGAAGCGCGTTAGTGATAGAGATACCAATTTGTTGTGACAAAAGTCGAAGGACAATTTCATGGCGGCAAGTCAACGATCCGACGGCTCCTTCAATATAAATACAACCAACCACTGCCGCTTTATGAATGATAGGTGTACAAATACAAGATTTGGGCTGAGTTGTACAATCAGAGAAACGAGAATCATCTTGAATATCTTTGATAAACAACGACTCTTGGGTATGTATGGCATAATGTGATATACGCGTAACTATGGAGTCTGCTTCTTCCGATAGTAACTTTGGCGATGCAAAAATTTCACAACCATCAGTTTGGGAACCGCAGCTGACAATGTAAAATGACGTGTTCTCCTTAACAATGATAACACCAGATTCAGCCCCAGAGTTTTCTAGAATAATACCTAGCATTTGCTTCAATAATAGCTCAAAATTCATTTCGCTGGATATGACTTGTGAACTTTTTAATATAGACGCCAAATCGACAACATCCAAAGTTAATATCATATCCTCAGGATCAGACGTCTTACTATTATCATTTTGCTGACTAGGATGAAGCATATCAACTGTGCACGGCTCTGTCGAGTGGAACAGACCTAGAGAATCGCGCTTGTTTGAAAATTGACATGGATCCGTTTGTACACTGGCTTCTTTTGCTTTTGTTGGTCTGGTAAACTCGCGAAGGGAGGCTCCATTCTTCTTTTCAAGCTGTGCAACCTTTCCATACATACCTAAATGACGATAGACAGAAAGGGCTTCTTTAAGCAAAGGTAAAGCAACAGACGGAAGGCCCTGACGAAGATAACAATCACTTGCTAATTCTTGAAAGATAGCGATTTCTACAGGCCATTTTCCTTCTTTGGCTTGACAAATAGCATGATCATAAAGTTTTTGAGCTTTTAGAGGATCTCCGTTAAGGCAAGCTAGTTCTGCATCGATGCAAGTGAGAAACATGTCTACATTGGCAGGATGGGCGTGCTCTGCCCAGTCAGCCAATTTCGCCCTAGTCTTCTCTAAGCTGCCGATTTCATTTTGTGGTAAATCATTACTTCTGATTAAACGTATGAAGCTGATACATCTGAAAAAATACATTAAATGTGTATGACGAGAGGATGGCTGATAATCTGCTTTATGGATATATGACGAACTAAATTTGATTGACGCAGCGTCGAAACCGAAGAAGCTGAGTACAAAAGACTTCATGGAATAGTAATAGTAAAGTTGGATAGTCAAATCCAAGTGACCTGATTTAGCTTGCTCTAAAAAGGTATCTTCTCGGAAGTCCTCGTCATCAAAAATTGATGTTTCATCCAGCTTTGTCTTGCCCTGCACAGCAGTAATTACGCGGATAATGGTTGTAGCCATTGCAGCAGCACCTACTGTCTCCCCAAGACTATCAATTTCTTCTAGGCAACTTTTGGCTTCACGCAAGACATCAGACACATTCTCACCGCACATTAAACTACCCTTGACGACGTAAAGACGTGCAAAAGTAGCATGTACTCGATCACCACCTAATAATCCTTGCTTTATAGCCTGCCGAGCCATAAAAATTGACTTTTGATAAGGGTGCTTCCACGAGGAGAGATAGGTAGCATAAAGATATTTTGCACGAGCGGACTCAGCATTTGCGCCATAACTATTACATAAGGAGACACCAACCTCACCAATTTGTTCACCGAACTCATAAGACTTGAATAATTGCATTGCAGCGATACCAAAAAAGACAAAACCTACACCTGTAGTAGGTGTTGTACCGTATTTTAATGTCTTCAAAACAAAATGAGAACCTACCGATAGCATGGCTTTCATATCATTGGTCCAATATGCCCACATACAAAGCTCTTCCATGATTGCAAATCTGGTTCGGATTAAGCGACTTTCGCAGACAGGTAACTCCAGAATTTCGCATAAACCAACATCCAGCACCTCATTATGTGTCACAACATATAAATCCTCCAAATCGCCTTCTGATGGATTCATCTCTATATCATCCATTCCTAACTCCTTCAAACATTCCAACAAAATGTTGGCACTTTTTTTGCAACCAGTACGAGACCAGCGATAACGATGTTCAACACGATAAGCAGCCGCACGATCAATAGCAGACTTAGCATGCACAAGTATTGTATCTAAGTAATCGCGCGTTAAATTGTAATCCATAACCCAGCTGATTTCCGCAAGACGTGTATAGAGGTGTAATGTTTCAGTATATCTTGAGTCAACGCCATCTTTCCAAGGATCTTCTGATGTTGTTAATAATTGTTGGGCAGCCAAATAATAACTGAAAGCAAGTTTGTGGGCGCCAGAATCAAAAGCTTTATCACCCGCTTGTATTAATATCTTCCGATAGCCAGATCGAATAGACACATTTTCGATGAGACGAATGGCAGCTCTTACGTGGTCAGCAACCCAAAACTTATCCACTTTATCTTGTACCATGAAATGATTAGCTATTCGTAAATGATAATCTTCTTTGACAGCTGGTGACGCTAGCGCCATAGCAGCTTGTGAGTATCGATCGTGCGCAAAGCGAAATTCGTCATTATTAAATGCTTGAATAAATCCTTGCTGCAAAGCAGACTGCAAACCATTGATTGCATCGAATTTCTGCCGACGAAAAGCACGTTCATCTGTAAATTTAGAAGACTTCATCGATAAGCGTCTGGTATGTATGGGTTCATCTGCTACTTCCTCGTTTTCAGAAGTTGTATAATTATCTTCACTTTCATCATCACTATACATATCTGCGGTACTTTCATCCGCCTGCTCATCAACATCGTCATTTTCAATCATCAAATTCCTCACAGTTTCATAGCTGAAACTATTGCCAATAAACGACGCCCATGTGAGAAATTTTCGTCCATCTCTCGGCAATTCCTTCAAACGACGAACAAGAAATTCTATGTCAACGTCACCATCTTGATCAACTTGTATTTCTGTAGACAAAGCTTTATCAATCTCTTGCAAATTGTATTCCCAGCGTCTTTCTTCCCAAGTGAAATAAATCAGATTCTTTCTTGCTAAGGTTGTTAACAGCTGGCAAGCATAAAATGGATTGCCATTAGTGCGTTTGTATATGAACTCTACCAAGGGAGCCAATAAAGCTAAATCAATCTCTTTCATTCGATGCATAGTAGTGCGCACAAGTTCCATTAGAGCAGTTTGATCCAAATTTTCGATTTTGACATAGCTCACAATGGAGTCTTCATTTGACAGGAGTTTTGTAATTGATGGTGACACTTCGTGTGTTCGATAAGTCAAAATAATCAAAAGGTTGAGTTTAGCTGATATAAGAGAATCTAGAAGGTCTATCGAAGCTTCGTCTATATACAGATTTTCTGTTAGTGTCACAAAAAGAACGGGCCATCTAGCTATGGATTTTCATTACCTGCTTGATGTAAATCTTCCAGAAACTATAAAACATGCATAAATTTATAGCTATACGGTTAGAGACTCATCGACAAAATAATAGATATAAATGGTCACTTACCAAGGTAACAAATTTAAAATTAACCATAACTTGAAAAATTTCGAGAAAGGTTGAGTGGAATCTCAATCTGATTTCACCACCCTCCATATCATATTCACAGCCTGTAGAGTTTAAACTTGCACTGCTTCCTGTAGATACTCTTTGTAAAGGCTGATCTAGAAATGACGCGAGTTCGGGTACATTATCGACAAGTAGGGTTGGTAATTGATATATGGTTTCTACACCTAATTGATCTATGAGCATTCGACGAAATCGTTCAATTTCGGATGATGGTTCAGCTAATATACTCTTCAAGAAGCTTGATAGGCATCTCAATATACAACCGTAGGGTGTGGGTTGACGCGTATCGAATTTGGCGGTAGCGATGTAACCGTACTCTCGAGCAAATTGCTGTACATTTCGCACCAAGGTTGATTTTCCTACACCTGCATTTCCATAAATTGCAATGATCTCGGTGTGTCTTCTGATTTTGTGGTGTATTTTGTTGCTGCTTCTACCATTCATTGTTTCGCTGCGATTGTTGACCCTCTTAAATGATGCTGATGGTTCTTCTGTTATTAATGCTAGAGAGCTAAACATGGATGATAATGGAGTTGTAATACTGGTAGAGCTTGCTCGTCGCCGTCTTGATCCACACATATAGGCTGTCCTTTTGATGATGCTGCTGATGAGGTTGAGATCACGACTGCGACCAAAACATGCGTTGTTAGGTAATGTGAAAATACTAGCAATGTCGTGCTTTCCAAGAGGAAAAGGGTTTATATTGCCGTCATTACTGTTTATTTCTCTTAAACATTCTTTTAGGTCTTCCCTTACACCATGAGCACTGGTATATCGTTCATCTGGAGACTACATTCAAACAACAAGATTCGATATTAGTAAGGTGCAGTTTGGCGAAAATCATCAACAACACTTACTTTGTTTGTTAATTTCTCAATTATCATTGAAAGAGCCACAGGCGTGTCGGCCCTAACTTCGTGAACGTAAGGCAGTTTTTTATTGAGAACATTATGTACAATTTCCATGGGGCTGTTATGTGAGAAAGGTAGCGTTTGGGTTAAGGCAACAAAGAAAGCGATGCCCAAACTATATAAATCTGTTCGATGATCAGGCTGAAATGTGGTTCTTCCGGTTTGCTCTGGAGACATGTATATAAGCATTTGCAAAAAATTGCTGGCACCATTTCGTTGCACGGTCTTTCTCCAACCTTCAGATGTCAAACTTTGTTCCAAACTACGAGAGCCTGAGCCAAAGTTCCATAATTTGACTGGCTTATTGTGAGGCCATAGAAAAGCATTTAATCGGATCTCACCATGTATAACTTGAGGATTCAATCAATTAGCATTTGATAGCCAGTATAAAGTGAAGAAAATGATAGTATACCTTGGTGCTTGTGTATTAATTCTAAACAGTCGCAACACTGAATCGCAAAGTCGAGAAACACCTTGAGAGAAAAATAAGGCTCAACAATATTTGTCATCATATTGGACACATCATTTAGGGCTGTTAAGGGATGGTTGTCTGACCCATCATTAATACTATGATTCAGTAAGCATTTCTCTAATCTGTTACTCCTAACATCTTCGTATATAAATGCAGTCAACCCGTTCGAAACCAAAACTTTATCCAAAGGTTTACATAAAAGTTCCTTAGATGTTCTTTGCCTATACAACCGTTGTACAATATGATACTCTCTTTCTAATCGTAATGGCTGGTGTGACAATTTAGCTACAACTGGTAGTTTATCTCGATTTCTAAATAATATAAGCGAAAGAAGATAAATATTTTTCTTTATATAATACATAAAAATTATATGATCAGACTTACCTAACGCCATGAGCAATTGCAATATTGTCTACTCCCTCTAAAGAAGTTGGAGCTTTAAAGCAATAGCCGGTAAGTTTGATGTCGGATTGGAAATCATTCAGATTGTAGAGATCGTTCATTTAGAACAAATAAACGAAGTTGATTACAGTAAGATTTTTTATCGTTTGTCAACAATACAATTAAGCAAATATAAAAGCTATTAATAAAACGGATATATCAAAAAATCGTTTTTCTTGCTTCCGTATTGAAGATATTGCCAGTTAATGAATGTGGGGAGTATTCGAGAGCGAGCAACGAGCACAAAAGCCTGAAATGAATGCAGAAAATTTTTTTCCTAAAATGGCGATCAGACACAAAAAAAAAAAAAGTTTAAATTGGGTTTAAAGACAGAATCGTTTTTTGAAAAATTTCAGGAACATATGAAACAATGCACCATGAAGTTCACAGCAATTGTAGCGTTCACAGTGTCTAAGAGATATAAATGCAGCTGGTAACATACCGTTTGTGAAATAATAAATATTTCTTTTGTCAAATAACTACTATATTTTCTGTTTTTGGATAATTCATTTATTTTGTAAATGATAATAAGATGATGTCAGTCGGCTAGAAGTTGAATTTGTGTTCATCTGCAGCTCCGAGTCGTATGAAGTACACGCTACAATACGCTACGATCTTTTTACAACGACCTTTTTTTACGCTTGTATGAATGTTTCTGTTAGAAATGAGCGGTAAATTAGATTTACATTAAAATTGTGAATATTTTCTCTATAACATACAAGAAGAAATTGTAAACGAAAATGACCAAGACTTTTATAATTTTGTTGTCCCAACTGGATATCATCTTGGAATTGATTTAATCAGCAAGGTCATTTTAACTGATAAACGAGTCCTTAACGTCATAACTGCAACTATTGCTAAAGGTCATATGTTATTGAGCCTCTAGAGACTATACATAAACAGTTTGGTGCTGTCCTATACATTCCCCACCTTTGATAGTCATCAATACTATTACGACCTTTGAAGAAATGAAGTTGAATCAAATTATTCAACAAAGCACCAATATTTTTGAACGGTATAACACCCTTCCTATTTGTGTGATCATCGTTGCTCAGCAACTTGATGAAAAAATTATTGAACAAAGCTCCCAGCACCAAGAGCTCCCATTCCTTAGAGAAATACCATGTGCATTTTGGGCAAAGCAGTGTATATTAGTGTCATCAAAGGATGGTAGGCTCAACAAGGGTAAATTAAAACACCATCCATTAATTATTGGATATTATGATTGCTAACACAAGCAATGAGAAAGTCATGTTATGTAAAGATGAACTATAATAAAATTGTTTATTTAAATTTTCTATTATAGTAACTTCGTAGACTCTCACTAGTATTGAATTGCTTAATTGACTCAATATTTTCAAGATGTCCTTTGTTGAAGCATTCTTTCCAATTGATTCTCGTTGTTTTTTTGAAACGTAGGTCGAAATCATATAATTCTGCATTATGCACTTCATTCTCAAGTTCTACAGTGCTTAGTTGTCTTGTTTTGTTGAGATAAACCAAAGGAGGAGTCTCTTCAATTGGCGTTGTTTCGATTGCTTCACAGTATTTTCTTTTCTGTCGTTGCAAGAATCCCAAAGTAGCTTCCACATAGCTTAATGGCTTTTTTTTTTGACGCTTCATCTCCTTTTTCCAGGCATTGCTTTATCTTGTGCAATTGAATTTCACTATTGCTTACAAATTTTATCTTAGCCTCCAATTTTCAGCTTCTTTCCCAATTAACTGGTCAAGATTATCGTGCACAATTGAGTATAGAATTTTACTAAAGAATCATTCCTTCCATAGTCTAAAGTACTAATCGACAAAGATTGGGAGCAGAGCAAATGGCAGATTGCTCGCAAATGGGTGCAATGTGTTTTCTTCTTGATTCATTTGTAAAGTTGAGGATGTCAGTAGTAAACAGCGTTCGGCCCATCCAAGGCTTGGTATTTTATCAATACGCTCTGGGATGGACGAGTAATTATCCATTTAAAGGGAAGACCTGTTCTTTTACGGAAACCTCTGATTCCTGAGTATTATTTGACCATAATACATCAGTGTCAGCTATAGATCCCGATACAATAATTTCGTAGACAGCAAACAGTATAAGTCTTTGTTAAATAAAGCGGGTTACTGATTCTTTGCTACGTTAATTTATGTTTGTATCTTCTAGCGACTTCGTAAAACCAACTGCGCCTGTATTTCTGGTCATTTTCGTTATGCAGCTCTCTTAGTAGATTATCCGCAACGGCGATCAAAGATAACTTTGTTCACACATTTCTTGTGAAAAATTGATCGTTCAATCAGGCAAGAAACTATCGAAGATGTAAATTTTAATAAGCGGCAGTATTAAAGTCTAAACAAGTAGAATTTTCTTTCTTCCAAGACACATCAGATGATCAAAATGAAGCCAGTGTTTTTAAATTTAGTTGACTTAAGATTTCTAACAGATCAAGTTTGAAGCCATCCATAACCATAATCAATTCCACACTTCAAAAAAAAAAAAAATCACGTAAAACATACAAAGTACTAGACATGTTTTATTTTACAACAAAAGTATTCTATCCACACTTTTAAAACAATTATCGATATGCAAGATATTAAACTAAATAGCTTATTTCTTGCCAGCCTTAGTAGCGGCCTTGGTGACCTTACCGGCCTTATCGACCTTTTCAACGGCCTTGATGACACCGACAGCGACGGTTTGACGCATATCACGGACGGCGAAACGACCAAGAGGAGGATAGTCAGTGTAAGCTTCAACACACATGGGCTTGGAGGGAATCATCTTGACGATAGCAGAGTCACCGGACTTGACGAACTTGGGAGCATCTTCAAGCTTCTTACCGGAACGACGATCGATCTTTTCGACGAGTTCAGCGAACTTACAAGCAATGTGAGCAGTGTGACAATCGAGGACAGGAGCGTAACCAGCAGAGATTTGACCAGGGTGGTTCAAGATAATGACTTGAGCGGTGAAGGAACCAGATTCCTTAGCAGGGTCATTCTTGGAGTCAGAACAGACGTTACCACGACGGATATCCTTGACGGAAACGTTCTTGACGTTGAAACCGACGTTGTCACCGGGAAGACCTTCAGTGAGGGTTTCGTGATGCATTTCGACGGACTTAACTTCAGTGGTGACGTTAGCGGGAGCGAAAGTGACAACCATACCGGCCTTGATGACACCAGTTTCGACACGACCGACGGGGACAGTACCAATACCACCGATCTTGTAGACATCTTGAAGAGGAAGACGGAGAGGCTTATCAACGGGACGAGTAGGAGGATCAATGGCATCAATGGCTTCAAGGAGAGTCTTACCGGTCTTGGAACCGGCCTTGGTTTCCTTAGTCCATCCCTTGAACCAGGGCATGTTGTTGGATTCATCCAACATGTTATCACCGTGCCAGCCAGAGATGGGGACGAAGGGAACAGACTTGGGGTTGAAACCGATCTTCTTGATGAAGGAAGAGACTTCCTTGACGATTTCGTTATAACGAGCTTCGGACCACTTGGTAGTATCCATCTTGTTGATAGCAACAATCAATTGACGGACACCAAGGGTGAAGGCAAGAAGAGCGTGTTCACGGGTTTGACCATCCTTGGAGATACCAGCTTCGAATTCACCAGTACCGGCAGCGATAATAAGAATACCGCAATCGGCTTGAGAAGTACCAGTAATCATGTTCTTGATGAAATCACGATGACCGGGAGCGTCAATGACGGTGACATGGTACTTGGGAGTTTCGAACTTCCAGAGAGCAATATCAATGGTGATACCACGTTCACGTTCAGCCTTGAGCTTATCAAGAACCCAAGCGTACTTGAAGGAACCCTTACCGAGTTCAGCGGCTTCCTTTTCGAACTTTTCAATGGTACGCTTATCGATACCACCACACTTGTAAATCAAGTGACCGGTGGTGGTAGACTTACCAGAATCGACGTGACCAATAACAACGACGTTAACGTGAGTCTTCTCTTTACCCATTTTGATAACTATTGATGAATAAACTTCATTTAGTATAATGGATGGATGGATTAGCACTTCAATGAGTGTATATGGTTTACCTTTTAGTGGATAGAAATTAGGGAGGGAACACAACACTTTCTAATTGCAAGGTATTATTTAAAGACCCAAAAAAAAACCAAATGCAGGAGTCACAATGTCCGGTGCGGTTCGGCGAAAAATATTCGAATTCCCCGAAACCGTCGGCTTCCCTTCCATGACATGCCCATCAAGCCTTTGGTGTTTTGGTGTCTGATTTATTCAAATTCAGAATTATATCTACATAATGATATCGACTATATAAATACAAATTTATTTTACTTAGGCATCAAAAGCAGAGGGATCTATTCTAACTCCAAATTGCTCGTACATCTAAAATTGGGAAAGAAAAAAAATGTCAGCAAATTCTTTGACAATATCATACCAATACACTACTTACTTTCTCCTTCATCGTTTCGTCTAGTATATCTTCTAAACCTCTTGCCTTTGAACCAAATAAATATCTATTCGTTGCATCTTTTAAACGAACTAACCAGAAGCTAAGGCTCATAAAGAAGAGTGTACATTCGAACACAAAAGATCGCCAACTAGATAAGCTTCCCTCTCCTCTTGATATGCCCCTGACAGCCCATCTTGCCATGATGTTGATTCTATTCACTGGACTATTCATGGCTTTATTGTTGGCCCTTACGATATTCATGTTCCGAGAGATAAAAATCAGTTCCCTCGGAAATAAGGCTTGATCCTTTAAGAAAGTTTTGATCCTTTCCTTCATATGAAGTTGCATTTCGTACATATCTTGTATATCGATTTTTACTCCTGTATGAAGTGCTTTTTTCCCCGTAAATGGGCGTTGTAGAGTAATAGACGCGAACATATTTGGATCAGTGATACCCCATTCTTTACATATATCGGCGATTTTTTCAAGATCCAACATGAAGAGTGCTTCCCATAATAAGCAATACTCTTTCCTAAACCTTTTTACAAGTGATGAATATGAAAAATATAAGCACTTTGATTGCTGATAATGCAAGTGTTGTGTTAGGCGGAAAAGATAAGTACTTCTCTGATTCTTGAATGTAAAGTCCGTGATCTAGCAATACGACCTGGACAGGGTTCTTCTTGTTGGGTCCTTTACGAACCAAAACATTACCCGGATGGGGATCACCTAAACATTCAAAAGTCAGTAGATAAATTCAACATTTCTTTTACAAGGCTCGTAATAAAGGTACCGTGTACGAATCCACTACGGAATATTTGACTAGCAAACGCTTCTACAGCAATCTTCATAGCTTCTACAGGATCCAAATTGCTCTTTTGTAAAGTATCCTTGTCGGTCAATTGCACAGCATCAACCCATTCACATACTAATACACGTTTAGAGGTATATTCATCATAAACCTTCGGTACATATAGTTTATCTTTGAGCGAAGGCTCTTCTTGGATGTGCTTCCATGCTTTTTTCGCATTACTATAATCACGATAGCAGAGAAGGGAAATAAATTATTCGACTTGAAGTTACTAAACCAGATGTGTCATACAATCTGTCAGAAAAATTTCAATGCTTACTTTGCTTCTATTTCAAAGTCTGTCTCCATTCGTAGATGTTCTTCAATATAATTACATGACCATGTTAAAGGCAAATCAAAAATGCGTTCGTATACATTTAGTAAAAGACGAAATGCTCGTAAATCCCAGTTCATTTGCTTTTGTATAGCAGGTTTTTGTATCTTGACAGCCACTACATCTCCATTTTTCAGTCTAGCTTTATGTACTTGTGCAATGGATGCGGAAGCAACGGGGGTTTCGTCGAACTCTGCAAAAACTTCGCTAGGATGTTTACCGTCGAAATCCTCTTTGAAGATACGCTCTACAGATTCAAAAGGTACAGCAGGTGCTGAGTCAAATAGTCGGCGTGCCCTTTTTTGATAAGCTATGGGAAGGATAGCGGCCTGTGTGCCAATGACTTGCCCAACTTTAATATAGAGGCCACCATTACGTTCAAAAGTGTCAAAGACACGATTAGCTGTTCTTTCATGTAGTTGTTCGATTTGTAAGCCTGCTTCTTCAGACTTTTGTGGTTTGAAGTTGAATTTATAATCAACAGCCAGCGCAATACCATTGTATAATGTACGGACATTTCGAGAAAGAACTTGTGCTTCCGTGTTGGAGTCATAAGCATAAGCGCTGGTACATGTGATGGTTGTTCCAAGTGCAAATTTGGCAGCTTTTGAGTAAACGAGTCTTTTTAGGAAAAAAGACATGAAATGAAGTGATCAGTGTCAGTCGATTAAGGAAGTGTTGCGCCGTCTTGGATATTGGAGAGGAAAGTGGTAGGAAAAAATAATGTCTTATATTCCAAATTTAAGTACTTGATAGATACAACGAGTTGTTAAGTAAAGACTGAACCTAGGCTTGTGTCAGTAATACATTATCAAAAGAAGAGGAACATTTATAATATTTCGTCGCAACATTTTTTACGTCACTTTGATCAAACGAAACACATTTTCAGAGCTTAAAAAACCTTCATTATTTGACATAGAAACAGCTTTACAGTAAAAACATAGCATGTGCATTAACCTAGAGGTATATGACTTGCTTAATTGACTCATTGGCTGTTACTATTGCCAGACTCAAGTAGAGAACAACTATAAAGCTACACAGGTGACAGCTCGATAAACCCGAGTTTTTAACATTTTAATTAGTAATACGTTGGTTTGGATCCGCGATGCCTCACAAACGAGCAAGATTAAGAAAAAATACAATTGTGATAAAATTTCGATAAATCGTAGGAAGGATACTCATGGATAATCTTATGAGCCTATGTATATTTTATCTCCTGAAATCTGTGCATCATAACAGCATTAGAAGTCGATAACTTTCCGATGTGATTCTAACAGTCCTCCTTCCGTATAAAGTTTCTGTCAGGGACCATTTCTAAGAACCCTTAATAGGGTAATTCAATTCTCAGACAGAAAAAAAAAAAATAAAATAAAAAAAATACTGCTGTTGCTATGGATTAAGTAAATTATCCCTTCGGTTCATAAGGCACAAAGTCATCTTTTTTGTAACTCTTAAGCCTCATCAATATAAATTTTTCCGGAATATGCCACGTTTGCCACTTGCTTCTTTTAAAAGTGTCCACAAAAACTATAAATTATCGGCATTTGGAAATACCCCGCATTGCTACTTCCTTTATTCTTTTCTTTATTCTTTTCCCCAAAAATTAACCATGGTAACAGCACCTACTGCTCGAAGGCTATTCCCCATTTTGTTCTATTCTGCTAGATCGACGCTTGAAAGTTGCAGACGACAGCCTATTCAACTTTATCGGGCTGCTTATTACACTACTTCATCCAGTAGCAGACGATTAGCGGCCGTACCTGAACCTACAAGTAAGCGTTAGTTTTGTACAATAAGGAACAACTTAGAATAATGCTACCTCTGTTCTGATTGACATATCTTTCTATTTACTGTATTATCATTAATCTGTTTTCACGCTACAGCTTCGAAATCTTCTCGTACAGCAGGCTATGAAGTTCAAGAATCAACAAGGTATTTAGGGATTTATCGAAATTTCTATTATACGATAAACCTGTGCCATTCAATTACGCTGTACCACAGAGTTTTCAACTTTGCTGGTAGAATGACGTATATTGCAAGCACTGCTACATGTTAAAAAATTGTGATAAGAAAGAATTATCCCTTTTCAGCATTAACACAAAACTTTTGTATGTTTCGGATCACACTCAAAAAATCTAATGCATGTTAGGGCAGCTGAGATCAAAGATGCAAAACTTATATTCAATCAGGCTTGGAAAAATATTGAAGATCATTATGGAAAAGAGAATATCCATTTGCCTAGAGAGTTTATCTTCTTAATGGGTGCACCGGGGTAAGGAAAATAAACTTCCTAACGATAGAATCTCTATGCTCGCATTTACAATTTACGTTAACAAGACTCATTGTTTAGGTCGGGAAAAGGAACACATACTCCTTCTATTTTACGTGCACGTGGCATTACAAACCCCCCTATTTCCGTTTCTCAATTACTTCAGACACCCGAATGTAAAGAACTCATTAATCAAGGCCAAATGATCTCAGATCGCTACGTGATAGAACTGCTATTACATGCTATGCTGGGGTGTGCTGATCCTACCGTGGGGGTTTTAGTTGATGGCTTTCCACGTACGGATGTTCAAGTAGAATGCTTAAAGTTGTTGTATGATCGTATGACGGAGCTGCGGAGAGAATTTTGGACTACAGATAGACGAGATCAGTACCCGTAAGTATTGACTATTGCTGAAGCACATGAAGAAAATTTGCTTTACTGACTGATTTACTGCAGTCGACCGGTCTTCCGTATTTGTGTGCTCTACGTGGATGAGGAGATTTCTGTTCAAAGACAATTAGCAAGAGGTCGAATGATCCGTAAACATAATTATGAAGTGAAAAAAACAGGCCAAGGGTTACTTTGGGATGAGCGTGTAACAGACTTTGATGAAACTGTAAGTTAATATATGTCATAGTGCAGTTTGAATGAAGATAAGGGCTCGATGATTATCTGTATCACGATGACTGATTATAGACTGAAATGGTAATTTTATGATTTGCCCTTGTATAGCTGATCCGTGAGAGATATTCTATATTCAAAGCACATTACGGCTCACTCTTAAAATTATCCAAAATGTTTCCATTTCGTAAGTTCCTTTATCTGATCCAGAAAATTATAAATTATTCACATGGCGTACTAAATTCGAATTATACCCTCTAAAATTGAATATAGACTTAATCAATGCAACAGGCTCTATAAACGAGGTGTTACGAATTATTCTTAAAGAATTTGAATATCAATCTTCGTTGGAATTGGATTCAGACACCTACGATTCTATTTCACATATACCTTTAGCAAATTCCATCGGAATTCATGCAAGACAGGTAGGGTGACACTATTTAGTTACTGCTTACATTTCCTTCTTTCACCTGCTTTCTTCTAATTTTATAACTCGCTTTATACTAAATTATTGCACAAACGTAGGATCTTATCAGCAGATTGGAACACTATCAAGATACAGAACCTGTCATGCTACGTAAAGCCATTCAATTCATTGATGAACAAGTCATTCCTCAAATTCATCGACATTCGATAAGTGGACATACAAATATTCGATCGTAAGTGAAATAACCCTCGATGCTAACCAGCTTCCACAGCGTCTGATTCTCACTTAAACTCATCTAATTGCAGTGAAAACCCCCTTTTGGGAAATGAGCATTTCGCAAATATTGTTATGGACGTATTGTCAGAACGAGGTTATCATGTTTCGTTCGACCGTCGATTGCATCATGTACCTGTGCGTGTAGATCTCAAAACAGGCAAAATAGAGCTCGATACACACCATATTTATTTATTGACTGTTGAATATCCGAAGCATTACATCCGTCCATTAGAGCAAAAATTCAACTAGATAACTCTATCCATTCTACTATGTATATCACCAGCGCAATGCCCATTTTAAAACTATTATATCCACATAGCGGAACTGTACCTGCCTAATTGTTTTCGACCCAGCTGTTCACAAACCATTAAAGATCCTCTGATATGGCTTCTTTCCAAATTCTCCATTGTTCTTTAAGCGCCTCCTTAACGTTCTCATCTGCAAAAATGGCATCAATGGCATTGTATGAGATTGTGTAAAGATCCTCGTAGTTTAGGTTGTAGCCTTCAGCTGCAATCCTATACTCATCCGAAGAATCAGAAAAGAAAACACCCTTATCATCCGTCTGTAGGGTATAAACAGTGAATGCAATGGTTCAGTTCCTTTTTCTTTGGAAAAACTTGAAAAAATTGACTTAGTAGGCTTACACAGAGAATAAACGGATGATTCCTTTTCAATAATTCTTTGACGTGATGCTCTTCTACTGATTTGACTGTTTTACATAAGAAATTGGATGTCAAACATATTTCAATTGGAGTGCGTCTCTCAAAAATAGTCTTGCGACAATAATCATCCCAAATAGTAGCATGCCCTAATCGGTCAGGCACAATGGATAGAAGACTCGGTGCTTCTTTAAGATTATCCAGAATTTCATTAAAATGCAAAGTAACGCGGAAGCCATGCTCTTTCTGTGCTCTCTCGAAGGCAGGTTTAAGGTTTTCAAAATGGCCCTTGGTCACATCACCACAGAGGTCAATGCCCACTACGCCTTGAGAACGTAACTGAACAGCTAAATCAACGGCCTCCTCTGCCTCCTGCAAACTGTTTCGGCGATCCACAGAGATAATTAGCTTGACAATAATATCTTCACGAGGTTCGTTAATGACCGATAAAACGGTCCTTAAATAAGATTCCTTTGTCATGCCTACAAATGTTCATAACATTATATTTTAGAATGAAATGCATTTGACAAATTACGGCTATTGTATCTAAAACATTACCCTTAGAGGGGTTCTTTCTTGGCGTGGTTCTTAGCTCTAAGTATTTGACCCCGTCCTTTGCAAACTCATCTATCACGTTTCGGGTTGCTATTTTAATACTTTCTGCATCGTCTGTTAGTTGGTAGATGAAGGGAAACAGAACGAAAAAACTTTCTCGTTGTAGAATTAATTAAGAGTAGCTTTATACTGCTTGTACAAATTCAGCTGTTTTCTTACTCATCAATTCTATCTATTGACTCTGGGATCTGGAAATTGGCCAATTTAGGTTTCTCATGCTTCTTCCTTTCCACTAACTGCACCATAGTGTCTCGGCTTAAACTACCATTGAGATGAGCATGAAGCTCCACTTTGGGTAGTTGCTTGCAAAACTCTCTAAGGGTTAAGGCTGGCTTATTGGGCATGTTCGGTAATTGTGATGAGCAGAACTTTATGGCTCTTCTTTACACAAATAACTGTTGTGTTCGCAACAGTTGAGAATTTGAGCTTCAGCAAACATTTTTGGTTTTTACTTGTTCCTGAATTTCGACAACTTTTTCTTACAGAGCGTTATGAAAAGAAAAACTAGAAAAGCTTTCCATACAATAAATAGACATGATACATACGCCTTGCATATTTATTTTACATTACAAAAAAGAAATTCTTTATGGTTTTTTAATGCTGCTTTTTTGTCCTTCTTTCAATTGATGCAGCCTTCTATCATCCACTCGCTGCAAAAAAGCCACTTTTTCCATATAACCATCCTTGTTTTTATATGATAGTTCGTCTTTTATCCCTTCTTTTTCTACATAATTGTTCCAATCAAGTTTGCTTTTTTCCAAGGTATTCATCTTGGGCTCTTTAATGTTGTATTTCGATATTAAAGCCGATAGTTGAGATTTTGGTCGTTTATTCTTCGGATGGTATTGATCTAGGATTGAGGACGCTCTCTTTAACGGTTTATCAGTTGCTGAAGTACTGCTTACATTAATAGTATTTGCCGACTCTGTAGAAGTGTTAGGCGTAGAAGAAGTAGTTTCAGTTGTAACAGTTTTAATAGTGTTAGGTGAGAGGTTTGTCGATGTTGTGGGTATATTGCTGTCCTTTCTACTTATCGCTACTGTATCGTCACTCTTTGTGCTAGGACTTTTGCTAGGACTATCCGATGAACCATGGCTTTTATCTGTTGTAGACTGGTTCATTTCTGCCCAAATGGCATCAATTCGAGATTTTTTTGCAGCAGATTCACGACTAAAATAACAAGTTGCTAATCAATGCCAAGCTTTCAAAAGTACCTCCATCAGCCATATAACTCACTTTATCGCATCTGATGCTTTTGATGTTTCTTCTTCCTCTTCTTCTACCTCTTCATCTGTACCGTTTTCGTCTTGATCTTCGCTTTCCTCTGAAAAGAAGCTTGTGAATGAACTTGACTGTAAAGTAAGGCAAAAGCGAAGAAATGATAACTACCTTCAGGAACAAAATCTGAATCATCTTCCTCTTCCTCTTCAATTTCTTTGTCTAATTTGGTGTAGAAATCCTTCAATTCTGACATGACGAAGTTTCCTTTCAAAGTGAAGTAACTTATTACGAAAATGCGGAAAAATTTTTCTTTGCCATGTCCTACAAACGAAATTTATGCTATATGAATGATTTATCCGAGCGTAGATCTTTTTTTTTTTTTTTTTTTTTTTTTGGGTCTACTGCTAGTCCATTGACTGAATAAGCGAAAAGCAACAGCGTTTATTGCTTTCAAGCACAAATAGATATGAGGAAGGTTTATTCCGATGAATAGCGAATGGGTCGTATGGGGATCAAAAATTAGGTAGTGATATGTAAATAGTTTTAAAAGCGAATCGCAACGGTTTACTGTCTAAGGTGGAGGGAATTGCTGTATGTCCAGGCGCCAGCATCCAAATGATGCTTTGAATCCATTTTCTTCTTCAAATCTATATTCCTTGTTTGGTATTGATTCTCAGGTTCAATGTCTTTTTCAAACTTGAATAATGCAGGTTCCCATTTTTCTTTCTTCAACTCGCGCTCTTTGCGCACGCCACGTTGCCATTCTTCAATCTTTGTTTTTTCGGCATTAGCAATCTTATAACTCTTGGTCTTCAAGGCAGCTGTTACTGGTCCCCATACACGATGAGTTTCCAATTCTCCTTGTTGTTCGACAGGCGATGTTACACGTTCTGCCATAGGTTCGGCAGCTGCATCAAATAACAAATGGTCCTTCTTTTCTTTACCGCTTGTGGGTGTATAATAAGATTGATGACTCCAACGGCCTGATAATTGGTAATATAACTGACCCTCTGCGTACACTGAGCCCTTAATATGATTATACTCACCACCAAACCAAGGTTTGGGAATAAACTCGATGACAGCCTTGGTATTATTAGAGCCAATAATTGTGCACGTTCCACCTAGCTCAATATAAGCGCCACCTGTCAACACACCTCGAATCAATAAATCTGGAAAATCGATCATGTACTGCTCATTGTAGTTCTTGAGATATAACACAGCTCTACCCACTTGTTCAACTTTGATGGAAGTTCCCTTGAATTTGGATTTTTGTCCACCTGGCCAAAAGAAATCACGCATTCAAATAAATAATCACAATATTACACACGGTATCATAATTGCCCGCCCCCCCAAAAAAAAATTAGATGCGAAATAACTTACTGTGACCATTTAATGATACACCTGCCTTTTCGTCTTCGAGATAGAAAGCTGAAATTGGAGGATGATGGCAAACTTGCTCACAAATACACTTAGCATCTCCCATAGTACAATGGAATTGTTCACCCAAGATAGGGTTATAAGGCTTCTTTTCGTATTTACCACCCGTGCAACGAGAGGCATAACTGCCCCAAAGAGTAGATATAAACCAACGGCAAATGGCTAAGATACGCTCCTCAGGTTGTTTAGTATCATTAATGGCTGTAAAAGTGCTGGGATGATCGCCCCAATATGTACCATACTCCAATAGTGAAAGACCATTCAAAAAGAAAGCAGGACAAGTTAAAGAAGAAAGATCGCCCGTGAAGCTAATAACTGTCTTGAGGAACTCTTTGAATTCTTTAAATTGACTTTTATCCGAGGATTCCAAGTTTTTCATTGAAAGTTGGTCAACGTCACTAGCGTTGGGTGTAGAGGTATTGCTGTCGTCTTCTGGAGTCTTGTTTTTGTTGGATTTACTACCGAGTCCTAAAGCCATTTGATTTTATATGCGAGGCTTGTAGTGCTATCTTGAAACTATTCGCTCTTTGGACAGAGAAGCTTACAAAAAGAGGAAAGGAAAAAAATAAAAAATGAACAAAGGAATGAAGGAAAAAGGCTTCACCTCGGGCGGGGTTTCAAAGAATATCCGTTTTTAGTTATGAAAAATTAGACCATTTCAAATGACTATAAATATTGCATAAACAAAAGAATGACTCTAAAATGATGTGCTTACGTAAAAGTTGTTCAATGAGCCTGAGGAAGGGTGGGGGAACAATAGGGTGCTTGATTTATCGAATGATTAGGACGCTTAAACCGCCTTTATTTTTTCTCAAACAATGAAACAATGAGCAAACGGACTCGTTGACAGAAAAAAAAAAAAAAAAAAAACGAACTACTGCATTTAGATAACGCTTGGCGGTGGTAGTTTCATTTTGAAGCACAGCGGAAAAGACAATACCATTATGACAGAAGTCATGTTTTATGGCTCTTTCCGCTTCTCACCAACGATGGCTGCATCCGATATCTTGAGCTCCATAATAAGTTGATTCTAATGACATTGCCCACAGTTGGGGTACAACTCTTAAAGTCCAAACTGAACATCTTCCCATGCAACGCTACCAATGAAAATAGAACTATTTTAAAAGTGAATTTCACTAATATGCCAATGCTGCCTCAGGAAGAAGCTCTTGCTGGGCTACACAAGCTAGTCTTGTCCCTTTTGAGGACTTGGTAGACGTAGGAATCATTACAAAATCTACTACTGGATTCTTCATGGAGTTCGGTTATGCTTACTTGAGTGAGGATCCCAAAGAGACCACCATCGTTTCTCTAGCTCATACCGTTGTGTTCAAGTTATACACTTGCTTCCATGAGTGACAATCTCTTTCAATTTCAATAACCAAACTCACCAAGTGTTTCTTATACAGTCAATGTAGCTAAGCAAAGAAGAACTGCACCAATAATGCACCAAATATAGCAAATAACGAGACAACGCTTTTGAAGTGTCATTGTGCTGAAACATTCAAATATCAATTTTTGTGCTATAATTTAAACTGCTCCTGCTGTCAAGTATTTACCCAATGACATTTTTTTTCTTTCATCTGAAGCCGTATATGGTGTACGTAAACAAAAGGTAGAATACAACCGTCTTCCATACGTCTCTTTTATTTCCAATTAATCGGTCATTTCATTTACCGTACATGTTTCGAGAAACGGTAAAATTTCTAATAGTTCCTCCTGTAAAGAAACCGTTGGTACGATAATCTCTCGTACAAGCAATAAAGGAGAGTATAACGGGATTGAATGTATAGTTCGCAGATCCACTTGTTTCTGTGTTCCTGTTTCGTCGTATGAGTTAACGCTATTAGTCATCGATAGCTGATGAGTCCATATTTTAAACATATATTGATCCTCTAAAATGATGGAAAAAAAAAGCCCGAACACTGTCAGTGAGTCGATCTTTATGTAAACGAGCCTTCATTGTCTTACTCTGATCCATGTATTTCATCTTTCTGTCGCTGTCGATTTGAGACAACTTGTCTAGGATTTTAATAATTTCGCTATAAACTGATATATCCAGGTTGTTACTGCGTAACTGTAGCTGGTCCATAAAATGCAACAGTGTTTGCAAAGCCCCTATGCAAACGAATACACAAGGAGTTAAGGACAAGAAATCTCAGCCTTCTTACAATATATCACCTACAAGCACTATTTGGTTCAAGCTCCAACAATTCTTTAATGGCATTTATCTCATCTTTTAACAGTTGAACTTTATCCAATGTGAACCAAGCTGCCTGGTCACTCAATGCTGGATCCTGATATACTCTTGCTGATAATGGTTTCCATTCCTTTATATCCCCATTGTTCAACCTCTCCTTAAGTAGCTTGAGCCGTTCTAAAGATCAAAACTATGTTAAGAACCATACAGGCGATGATGACAGTTTTCAAACGTACCATCTGATCTATCAATTGCTTTAATATCTACTTTCCATAGTGTATTTTGAGGTACTGTTTTAGAAGCTGAACTTGGTAGAATGGTATCAGTAGCTACCATAATTTGTTTAGCATTCATTACTGAAAGCACCAAAATCCAAATGGAAGAACTTTGACATCCGGTTTTATCGCCTAAGGGATATAATTTAAAGGGTATATGTTTCCCGTCTGTATCTACTACAATGGGCAAACCGGTGACTCTGATCTCATCATTATACGCAATAATAACAATACTTGGATCGTTTTTGTACCGAAATGCACCTTGCAGGGAGACATTTTCCGTTGCTCTGCCTACCAACCACCAATAGTATAGCCAAGCGGACTGATCATCAGGATCTGTATATATAGCATTTTTCACCAGATCAAGCTCTACGAAAATGTAATGATAAGCAAGACAATCCTAAATGGTTGCCAACAGAATTTATGCTAGTGTTACCGTTGAGAGCAACTTCATTCTTTTCTTTCTCTGACATCGTAGATACAATTTCTGGTAAAAGCTTAGAACGTCTATGCCAAGCAGAGTAGTTACTGAAGCTTTGGTTGATTTTCTTGGTTGTAAAATCATATTCATCCTTGATGATTTTCGCTGTATCTTCTTCCCTATTTAATAATTGCTTCACAACGTATGAACGGTAATTCCACCCGTGAACTGAGCAGAGAAAAGTGAGTTAAATTCCACTGGAAAAGATGACCAGTTACGCGTTTCTTACAGTTACGAGCATCCAGACTCAACATCTTATCAACCAAGCCGAGTTCAGCTCTCCAGTTGGGGTTAGGCATGTTTTGCAAGCACCAGAATCGATGATTCCACATCCAGTATGATTTTGGATTGATTTTTATTAACTGCAAGAATAACTGTAATTCTCTCGCAAACACTTTTTGTTTGTCTTCGTCGTTCAAGTACTTTAATATAGCTTCTGCTAATATAATACGTCGATAGTTCCAGACTGTATAATAGTCGGGATTCCACTCAACAATCCTTGTTGTTAATTGAAAAGTATCGTCATCATATTCATTGTTATCCATCTAACAAGTAGATAAAGGAGAATCTTAATCAGCATCATGTTGATCTATTTTCGTTGAAGGTGTCAAAAGCTATTACTTTATTCCTACAATTCGTAACTAGCTCATTGTATTCTTTTATCTTGACGGCTTCTTTTTCCTTCTTGGCTTTGGCTACCGCCTCGGTAGTTTTCTCGCGCTTTCTACCATGCTACTTAAATTTTGTAAGTATTTTGCAATACACATACAGGCAATTACTACTAGAAACATACAACGTCAGTCATTTCTTCACCTTGCCAAGTTTATATGGATAGTGGAAGAAAATGGCACAGAGTGAAACTACTGTATTGGACAATAAACCGTATTTCAAATCCCGAATTTTTTCTTAATCTGTAACAGAAACCTGCTGGAACTAACTCTATTATTGCTAAAGATAAGCAACAGTATAAGTAGCCACGGAAACGCAAGGGTAAAATAGCCACCCACGTATTGTTATTGTTGCCTTGGAAGCTCGCAACTATTATTCATAAAACAATTGTCAACATGCCTATTGAACCTCGTAAAAAACATATTTTTTAAAGGGCGTCCATCATCGTTTTGTGTGGGTTAAACAACTGTAGGCCGTAACCGCTAAATCCTTGGATCACTTTTAATCATTATTTGACTCCGAAAAAGGCGAACATTTGCTAGAAATAATGCAATTGTTATAAAGAAGGTTGCTGTAGCGTTGGTCAAGCTGCTAAGCTGCATTTGTAAGGCACTCAGAGACATCCAGAATAAGATTAAGTTCCTATATATTACATTTAAGCGCATCGATTTAACAACAATTAGAATGGGCCCCGTTTCAAACGAGAGAGCCTGAACATGGCATATCAAGGTTCCGGTGGATGGAAAAGCGGACAAGTAACATAGACGTTCAACTTGGATTTCCTTTATTGCTTTGAGTATGACATAAGGAACAACGGCTATTTACACTGCCCACTTTTGATATCGCACTAACTTGAAGAGTGGATGACTGTAAATATATAATTTTGGCATATAGCAAAGAAGTGGATGAAGGCTTCTCAGAATCAAAGCATGCAGCAACGTTGTTGAGTGACCCATAAATTGCTGTATTTGTTGATCATTATTCTAAACATTATCATAATAATTAACACAACTATTAATTCTTCTCTGCTTATTTACAGAGAGATCCAACGACAGCTCCCTATAAGCTGAAGAACAAAGATATTGTTCAACGAAACAAGAGCAGCATTTAAAGAGAAAATACGTTGCCAATGTTTATCTGGTGTCGTTATGCTTATGTGCATATATATTTGAATAATCTTGTGGATGCAAATCTAACAATTAGCCATTAGTGTCACTACCTTTGCTCTTTTGAAAGCGTTCTTATTAGTTTTTACAAAGGTGATAAGTGGCTGCCTTTGTTCAATGTAGCGCACAAAAGTTATACTCTGAGTAAACTTTTCTGTCATTGTAGAATAAGCGGACCGAATTAGATACATTCATTTGACTGCATAAGCTTTTTCCAATATCACTATAACTCAAGCAATCCCCATAAACCGGGGATGAATCAAACCTCTGCAACAATAACTTGTGAGACAGAATGCGGGGTCCTTCAACTATTGTTGTAGCACTCACGTGGAAACGTCCGCAGATTAACTCTATTCTTCTTCCCCCTTTTCTGAATATGATATCAAATGATCAAGGAATGAAAAAAAAACCATAAAAAGAACTTCTGTTCCATTGGTATATTAAGGATGATTACACTTTAAAAAAGCTATGCTTACTCATAAAGCTCGTGATGATACTTTTTTAGAGAGAAGGAGTATATCATTACACCAACGCAACATAAATCATTATCTTCAACCTCTGGGCCACTTGTGTTGAATAGTTGCGAGAGGAGTTGGAAAAGTAAAACAGAAAAAAGCCTTTTGTTTGTAACTCTTCCGCTGCAATTGAACCCAGTGGTCTTTTTCCCTTCTTTCCTTTGTAAACTGTACTATATTCTTATAATTTCTTTCTGAAGATATTCCAACATTATTACTGCTCACTAAGTAATGTCAAATACAAGTCCAATCATGGATCTTCCAATTACTGCAGTAATGTCAAGTAACAATACTACAGCAACGCATTCAACAGATGAAAACCAATTACAAGCTTGTGATTCACCTTCCGGTTCTTCAACATCAGAGCCGCATGATGATGCTTTATTGAACCTACAACAGCCGTCCCTAGCTGATCAGTCTTTCTTTTATAAATTAGACCAACTATTACCTGATAACCCTCTATATTTTATGCAACAACAACAACAACAACAACAACAACAGCAACAGCACCAGCTACAGCAACAACAATCGAGGCAACTCTCCCCACCTTATCAACAGCAACACCAGAGCAATGCCGTTTCACCAATCCTTTCTTCACCTTCAGAGACCCATACTGGTTTTGTGGATCCTTTATTACCCAGTAACAATAATATTATTAGTGAAAGTAATAACGCTAATGCAAATCCCACGTTTTGGACTGGTTTTGATAACGTAAATAGAAAATAGAACTTTTTTCCTTTTTTTTGTTACAAATGCTAAACATGTAATTTGATAATCTGGTTGCTTACATACAATTAGGCTATCCCTAATCTTGCAAAGGATTTCACAGATTATATATCCGCAGGATATCCAATGCAACAACAGCAACAACCTACATCACCGTTCAACAATGCACAGTAAAGTATTGATTATTAACTGTCATTTCTCAAAATGTAAAATATGACTGAATAATCTGCGAAAATAGGTCCCATCCATCCCCCAATTCCATGAGTCAGGAAGCTCTAAATATCACGCCAGGGTAAAACTCAGTAACTTTACTACAGCATAAGTGCATTCAATCAACTCTACTTAAAATGCTTTTGCTTTATTTAGAATGCAAATCAGAGTTTTGGGAGTCCCTCAAACAGGGGCAAAGTCGAGAGTAGAAACACAGATTAAAATCTGTCTTCAACTCGTTACCGATAACGGTGATAAAGCTCAATGGTGGTCACACCTCAAATTACCCGAATATATGGTTGCTAAAGATAAACTGAAGCGTCAGATTGTCATGACAACTTCACCTAACGGTAAACAAATAGCTAATGTGCCTGGTTTAGATAATTCGGCTATCAAACAGGAGAAAATGTTGTTTTTGTCTGCTCGTGTTATTTGCGCAAGTGATCCGAGTCGTAAAGTGGTGACATGCTTAGGTTGCATCCAGCGTGAACGAAAACGGAATCAACGTAGAAAAGAGAATAAAATGATGAAGCAGCAACAACAACAAACCACAGAAAGTGATGATAATATACCCAGTGGCAATAATGATGATTCTACATCCGTTACAACAACAGCATCTTCCTTGGCTCTTGAGGAACAAAAAGTTCTACTTTTCAATTGTTCCGAAATAGTTGATTTCAGTTCAGGAGATACTATTTTACCTACACGTATCACATGTTACTGCAGACATCACAATGAAAGACTTGGTTTCTGTATTTATTTTGAAATGCATGATCATACAGGTAAATCAGTGGCAACGGGCATGTCACCACCCATTATGATTACAGATGATCATAAGTCAAATAAGATTAAATCCGGAAGGAAAAGGTTTCGTACCGATAATGAAAAGCCTTCAAATGCACCTATTTTATCGAGCCCTTTTGATATCAGAAGACTGCAACATCAACGTCCACAACAGATAGCCTCAGCAGCAACAAATACAGTAAATGGAGGCCAGTTTGTCAGTACAAACAATCATAGTAATACCAATAGTTTACAGCCTATACAGCCACAACAACAGCAACAGCAAAGGCTTAATTTTTCCTCCCCACCTCATCATTATAATATTCAACCTCGGCCTGCCAACATTGCTCCCATGACTACTACAACTTTTATTGACAATCCTAACAACAACAGTAATAATGCCAGTTCCAACACTATTGGTAACAGTACTTTACTGCCATTACAAAATTCATCTACGGCAATTGACAGTCTTAGTCGGCCTCTACTGCAACGTCTAATCCCTAATGAGGGTCCAACTTTCGGTGGAGTGGAAGTTACCCTTTTAGGGAGTGGGTTTAGACCTGGCCTTACTTGTATGTTTGGTGATGTAGCAGCTTCAAGTACGCATTATTGGTCTCCAAATACATTAGTGTGTATTTTACCCCCTGCTTCGGAAGCTGGAACAGTAGTTGTATCTTTTAAAGAGCATCCTCTCATGGTCGATAGCAATCAAGATGTCACACTGTTCACTTACTATAATGAAAATGACCGTGCATTAATGGAACTAGCCTTACAAGTAGTAGGATTAAAAATGACTGGTAAAGTTGAAGATGCTCGAGATATTGCCATGAGAATTGTTCAAGGCGGTAATGGTAGCAACAACTCTAATAATAGCATTGGTAACAATACAAGTGCCAGTCACCAACAGCACAATAACAATAGCAGCAACCATCCTATGAATGGTCTGGAATTTCATATTATACAAGTTTTGGAGGTTATGCGTAGATTTCGTGATGTTCAAACAGCGGACGTTTCCTTAACTAGTCCACAAGGTCATACCATGCTTCACTTAGCATCTATGCTCGGCTTTAAAGAATTAACTCAGGTCTTGATTGATTTGGGATGTGATGTCAATGTGGCGGATAAAAATGGATTGACAGCTTTACATTACGCAGCTTGGTACAAGCAAGAGTCAGTTGTCCGTATTTTGTTGGATGTTGGTCGCGCCGATCCTGATATCTCCAATCGATGGAATAAGAAGCCTCTGGATCTGACAGAAAGTCAATCTATCCGATATATGCTTTCGAGCCATGTGCCTGAAATGAGTGATTCTGATTTCGTCGACTCAGATTTGGAAGAAGACGATTATAGCAGTTCTTCTGACAAGATGAATGCTGATGTAGATACGTCATTTGCAGAAGATAGTGATTCCGAATATGAAGATGACAGCAGTAGTAGCGTTTGGCTGGGTGATTCTGATGAAGAGAAGGAGGAGGAATTATGGTCCCGAGATCAACATAACTCCTACGATTCTGATTCTGAGGAATCCATTATATCAGTCACCCAACAGTATTATGCTCGACCTACGTTATATGATAACGGTACCAATGCTGGCTTACGCCACCGTCGTACAAATAGACTACAACAGCAACAGCAAGTTCAACAAAGTGCACCACCTACAATTCACTATTTAGAGGAAACTGACAATTTTTCTCCCTCAGCAGATGAAATATTAGATGCGGAGCCTGTCCATGCCATTGAGCGCGTCATCGCTGCATCTTCTGATTTTGATGAAGATGAGATTATTGCTGCACCGCAGAAAAGTGACCTAAATTGGATGCAACGCACCTTATCCCATTTCCAACAGCAACCTACCGAAAATAATCCAACATTCCTTCAGAATATTAAAAACAATATCCCTGCTAAACCTACCGATTTGACATTAAAGGCGATCACAGACCATATCTTAGTACAGTTTCCAAGACCGGCTACAATGATTGCAAATATGTCCCAAGGACTGTTTGGCAATAATAATGCTGGCAACGGAATCCATTCTAGTACACCCGCAACAGTAATGACGCCACAAAAGACTGCCACAAATAGCAGCAAAGAAGGTGAGCCAGCAGCAGACCAAACGTTAGCATGGTATATGGCTTTAGCGTATGCTATGGGTGCACGTAGTTTAACAGACCAGCAACAACAAATAACCCAAGATAACAGTTCTACCTTGACTGCTTCCCTTTATTCAAGTTCATCTACATCTACATCAACACCACTGCAGCAGCAACAACAACAACAACAAGAAGAAGAAGAGGTCGTAGCGAAAAAGCGACGGGATAAACGACTGTTCTCATTCTGGGTGCCTATGCTGTGTTGTAAGTATTATCAATTTTTATTAGTCCATGCATTGATTTTATAGCGTTAACGATATGCTATGTATAAAATTAGTGATGGTCATCTGGCTTATTTGGCAATTCGTTTCCTCCCATCCTGGTATTACTGACTCCCTTATGGGTATCTCCGGGTTTCGAAGACAATATCTTTCTATCCACTAACTGAACGCGGTTATTTAATTTACTCCTTTCCTTCTTCTCTCACTGATAATTATATCAGACATGATTTACGCTATTCCTTCAAACTCAAACCCACATTTGATGCCGTTTTTTTTCTTTCATTTTCGAGTTTCCGCTTTCATTATACAATACCCTTTTTCCCACCCAACTATTATAAATATCTATTTATTTTTGATTTTAACTTTCCAAAATATTTGGTATCCTCGAGCAATTTGAAATAAATGAGGTTTACATTTTTTATGTGTGAATGCATGCAAATAGCAAGTAGCAGCGGCAATTCTGAAGACGAGAATAACAACTCGATTTATAATAGTGAACAAGCGACAGAAAGTTAGATTGATTCACCAACTTATTTAACAGTATAACTTTTTAATCATATATCATGCTTTTAGAAGGGCTTGGCCTATATCTTTATGCTTAAATTGGTACGGCAATGGTCATCATAATCGTGAAGCTTACGTACCGCGATGTCACAGTATAGGATGCTTTCCGCATACTTCTATCTATACCAACGCAACATTTTGCTCAATCAACACATGCTATGTCATTATGAAAATAGTTTATTGTATACATAAGATTAGACTAATTAAAGGTTCTGAAACACTGCTCAAAATAATGCTCATCCTTCTTGGACTATAAAACTTATAAACATCAATAACTGCCATCAACTGATCCCTCTACTTTCTTTCATGCTGTATATACAGTAGACCACAGACAGCCGAATCATCATCCTTCGTGGGCACATTATTTTTGCTTTGCATGTGTTATCCCTAAAGATTCACGTGGTATTTTCATTCTGCCATCCACAAACTTATTAAGGGAACACCTTATTCTTCCGTCAACTTTTGGCCTTATGAAATTCAATATGGTTAAAAGCTGCATTAAGTTATTGCACCTTACAAAATCTACTAAACAAGCCATATCCTTCGCTTATGATTTATGTAAATGTTTTGCCTCTCTACAATCAGCAAAATGACCATTCCAAAGGAATACGTCCATTATACCACGCAGAATTGTGAGCCTCTATTATGGACGAAAAAGAATATGCATTGATGTTATCTACAACAGTTGATCATTGCTTCTTTTAGTCTTGCTTTTCAACTGGGGTGTCGCAACTACAAAAAAAGACTATGCAACCATAGATAATATTACGTAAGGTCATGAAAAAACAATGGAAAGGAAGATTGAAATAATGCACTATTAAGATTTGAAATGAATTCGATGTGCTGGCTTTACATCTTTCAGAAAATAGCAGCACATTATTGTTGAACAACACATAGTTATGATGTTGTATATGATAATCTGGGCGAACTGATAGATATGATGATGACGTTGAAGTTTCTTCAAAGAACAAAGACAGTATTCGTAAAGTATTTGCAATAAAAACTCCTTACGCGTTCGTTGGCTTACTATCATATAGAGTCATACTTCCTTCGAAGGCTTACACAATAATAAGAACAATACCGTTGATTGCAATTACATTAAAAGACGTGTTGTGGTGATTATTTTTCCTCGCAATCCTATTAATTAGAAGATTCGAGACACATGAGTTCTGTTTCGCCCTGTCTTTCACGCTTATGCTGTGTCTTATCTCAAAAGCCAAGTTTTTCTTAGGGAGAAACCTCAAACATCGCATCACCACCCCTCCAATCGTTTCCTTTCTTATTGCCTTTTCTCAATTTTCATCTTTGTGGACGTTCAACATTATGTTTGTCATAGTTTACTCAAAGTTAACCTTTCGCTAACTATACACAGTTTTGGTTTTGTAGGTCAAATAAAAAAAAGCACAGTCTCGCAAATCTACATGCACTCAAATTTCTTCTGCGTTTCCCTCATGGTAGTAGTAGCCTTATCTCAATCAAATCCAATTTTGTATTGATTTCACAGAGTTACAAATTTTTACAGAACTTCAGAATTTTTTTAACCTTATTTGGAGCTCAGGAACTACTGATGAGTGCGAGAAATAACAGTCAAATAGAAGCTAAGCCATGCATGCTGATTCAACCAGGAATGCATAAATCCTTTGCCAATTTGTTATGCCCTTTCTTTTTGTAGATCTATTTCTTCATTTAATTGATTATGTCTGATCTCGATTCTATTGTCTATAAATACTTGTTGGAAAGCGGTAACACTGAAGCCGCTCAGGCTTTAGAAAAGAAAACCCCTTCTGTAAATTCTTTGGCACTCTATAGTTTGATATAGTTATAATAGCAAGTTTACTTAGAGTTTTCTTTGCATTTTATCATTAGGTTAAAAAGTCCAAGCTTGCTACTAAAGTTGACTTAAAGAGTATTTATAATCAATTCAAAGACAGGTATGAATGTTGATGAATCTACATTCTTATCCAAAATAAGTTATTTTGGCTTTTCTTTAATTCATCTCTCTTTACCATTTGATAGCATCAAGGATAACGAATCTTCATCCTCCTCCTCCGATGAAGATGAAAGCAGCAGTAGTAGCAGCAGTAGCTCTTCATCTTCTTCTGAAAGTGGTTCCTCTGATGAAGAAGAAGAAGAAGAAGTAAAGGCTGAGGAAAAGAAAGAATCATCCTCGTCTTCTTCCTCCTCTGACAGTGAATCATCCTCGTCTTCTTCCTCTTCCTCCTCTGACAGTGAATCATCCTCGTCTTCTTCCTCTTCCTCCTCTGACAGTGAATCTTCATCATCATCATCTTCTTCGTCGGAAAGTGAATCCGACAGTGACTCTTCCTCATCCTCTGATGACGAAGAACCCAAACAAGAAGAAGCTTCCTCATCTTTGGATGGTAGCTCTTCCTCCTCTTCGTCATCTGATAGTGAATCATCCTCTGATAGTGATTCGTCCTCCGCCGAAGAAGAAGAAGAAGAAGAAAAGGAAACTGAAGAAAAGAAGGATGATTCTTCCAGCTCCTCTTCCAGTTCTTCTGATAGCTCCTCTTCCTCCTCCGAAGACGAAGATGATGACAAGAAGATGAAAGAATCTTCTGATAAAGACAGCATCAGTAGTAGCAGCAGTGATAGTGACAGTGACAGCGAATCCTCTTCTGACGAAGAAGAAGAACAACAAAAGGACATCGAAATGAAAGAGGCATCATCCTCTTCTTCTGAAAGCGACAATGAAAGCAGCAGTAGCAGCAGCAGCAGTGATAGTGATAGTGACAGTGACAGTGAATCTTCGTCTTCTGATGAAAGTGACGAAGAGGAGAAAGACTCATCTTCCAAATCTAGCTCAAGCGCGAGCTCTTCATCTTCTTCTGATAATGAAGATGTTGAAATGAAAGAAGCATCTGATAAAGATAGCAGCAGCAGCGACAGCAGTGACGACGATTCTTCTTCTTCATCCTCTTCTTCCTCAGCAGACAGCGATGATTCAAGCAGTGATTCTTCCTCTTCTGATAGCGACGACTCCGACAGTGAGTCAGATAGCAGCAACAGCAGTAATACATCTAACAAGCGTAAGGCAGGAGATTCGCTCGAGGACAAACAACCTGCCCCTAAAAAAGCTAATAGGTAAATGAAACGAACCATTTTAGATAAACCAAAAGTTTTTTCTTTGCAATACATTACATATAAGCATACATATATCGATATAACATAAGAGAACAATGTCCATTAATAAACCCCTTTCATTTTCTTATCAACCATTCTTCCCAATTTCTTTATCAATTCCCTAGCGAGCAACAGCCCAAACCTGCTAAAGGTCAAAGAAAGCAAGGCACTCCTTTCCAACGCGTGAAGCCCGAAGAAGTTGAATTCATGGATGAACGTTTGAAGGACAATTCTTATATTGGCAAAGGCGGTTCTGACGAGAGGTCTTACGGTTTTAAGGCTCATCAAGATTTGATCAAGGTGCGTGGCGATCGTTTTAGACATGAGAAGAACAAGAAAAAGAGAGGATCTTACCGCGGCGGACAAATTACATTTGAAAGCCATAGTATCAAGTTTGACGATTAAGTATCCTTTAAGACAGTAACGCCGTATTGTTAAATGTAATTTAAGTTATTTTCTGTAGTAGTTTTTTTTCCCCTTCCTTCCTATATTATATGTGTCTTCATATTTACATCCACATAAATTGAATTAGAACTTTGATTTTTCCATTTTACTGTAGCTTAAAGGTTAGATTACAGTTTATTGTATGATAGCCTTTTTTTAGAAAAAGCTGAAGTTAACTTGCATTAAATACTTTTCTTCGATGATGTTGGGAGACTTAGTAACGGTGGAAATGCCGTATTGTTATTGGTGGATCTGTTGGTCACATTTGAGGTCTTGTGATATAAGTCGTAACTCTTATTGTCCTTATCATCTTTATCTGTTACATAATTGTTGGTAACGGTATCGTCTTCCATAAAGAACTGTACTTCATCATCCTGTAACGAAAAGGACAGGTCATCCTGTTGTAATGGTTGTTGTAAGAGATAGCCGTTGACGTTGTTATTGTTATGTTTACTGCTACTAGGAATGTTTATAGCAGGTGCGCTATTAACGAGTTGCTCATTATTCTTGTCAATTCTATTACTATTATAGAGATGTTGTTGGTGCTTGCTGTTCATTAAGAAAGGTATTCTCCAGGTTTTAGTGTTTTCTAAAGGAACACTACCAGACCAATTCCCTGCTGTCATCGTCGTAGGAGTTGCTGTAGTAGTAGTAACAATTGTAGTTGTGGATAAGCTCTGTTGCCGTTGTCTATGCATTCTAAGTTGTAACTCCTTCGGAGTGAAGACATCTTGATTGAGAGAGGAAGGTAGCATAGCATCATTTAAAGCATGAATATCGTCCACGTTCTCTTCACTGTCATAGAGGCCCTCTTCCTCTTCCTCTTCTTTTAGCAATATTTCATTAAAAGCATCATCAAAGTAATCATGAACTCGATGATTGTTGGTGAGGGATGAAGAGTGATGATGCCGCGCTGGGTGGCTAGTGTTACTATTACCACTGATAAACAATGGTGAAGTACCGAAAGCTTCAGCAGTAGAAGCAGTAACTGCTGAGACATGCCTCAAGCCACCAGCTGTTAATGGTGGGGATGCAATATTGTTGTAACTATTGCTACTATGCTGTCTCCACATGCCGTTGTTTGTGATAGGACTGTTAGCTGTAGGATTATATTGTTGGTGGAATAAAGATGAAGACATCGTGGTAGACGGTGGTGCAGACGTACCAAAAAAAGGATCTTGATAGTTGTTATGATGATTGAACTGGTCAGGATTATTACCAGCAGCGGTAATAGCAGCAGAGGTGGTAGCGGTAGGTGTAAGTAGAGGTGGTAAAGGTGTATGTAATGGCGAGTTTAAGGGGGGAGAAATGCTTAGCATCATCATCTGATCACTTAAACTACTCGAGGTTGTTTGTTGCCTTCTTCTGATATAATTACTCGTTGCAGTTGCCGCATTACCGATATTATATAAATGACTATTGACTGAAGAGGATAAAAATCGTCTGCCAGCATTGCTGTTACCATTATGCTGATATTGCTGATGCTGAGATTGTTGATGAAATATAGACATATTATGCAACAAAGCGCATTTCGAGCCGAATTTGCAATTTCCTTTCAAAAAATATTTACATATGGCTGCTTCTGAAGAAAAATCAGAATTGTGGGAGAATGTACAATTAGCCCCAGCAGTACACGTGCCTTGTTTATAAAACTTGCAAGGAACATGCGATAAATTTGATACTATAAATATGTTAGTCTTTCATAGTAGATATTATATCTTGAAATACAATCCTTACATTTCCCGTTGGGTGGTGAAGTAACTATGAGTTTCCCATTGCTATTATTGTAATCTGTGCTAGGTGTTGCTGTTGTTGTTGTTGTTGTTGGTAAGGGAATAGGTTGTGCACGCGACCGTTTTAATTGAAACTGAGGTAGTTGTGAAGGTGAACTTTTAGATAGTGAGTTTAGACCAACTATATCATTCGAGCTGATAATGGGAGAAAACAATAAGTTTGGGTCCGCCATAATACAATAGTCAAGAATTACAAAATAGAAGTAGCTTTAGATGTATTTGAAAGAAAAAGAGCAATTAATAAGGGAACGACTTTTATTTATACGTATGAGAATAATGTCCAATATAGGAAAAGGAGGAGGACTTTTGTAGTGAATTAGAAAGAAAAAGGTTTGAAGATATAGAAAAAAACCCTAAAATATACATTAATGAAAAAAGAGCTCTTCGGATAAATGCAAGTAGTACAGTGTTCAGGTTCATTTTTTCTAGTTCGACGAATTACATTCCACTCTGAATAAAAGGCATATTAACATCATCCTTGATAAACACTGCACTAATATCGGCAGTAAATATCTGTGCTCATAGAGCTTTAAGCTTTTGAAGAGATAGTTTGGCAATTTACAAGCTTCAAACACTAAGTCAAAGTAGCTATAAATTACTAGACACACACTTCCCGTTCATTTCGCGTGCAGACACTGTCTGTTTAGTAACTTATACAATACTTATTGCATTTGCTATCAAAATAAGGTGTTTCTGTAACGTCAGTTATGGTTTACATATAAAGTCATGCGCTTCCACATCGGAAGGTTACACACCATAATGGTTTTCTCGCCAATAACTCAATATGCTTTCATGCTCTTTATGTTGAGATTTAAAGCTGGCTTTCAGATGGATGATGTTCTCCAAACTGGTCTTATCTTTTTCGTACAACAGCTTTTTTTTTTTTTCTTGTGTGCGTGTACCTGAACATAAAATGTGAAAATATAGAAAGTATGATACAGCAGAGAGTGGTCAAAGCAGATTTCTATATTAAGAAAAGGGCTCAGGACTTTAAAACATAGACCAAGTGTGTCATAGCACAGAACAAGCACCTTTGAATATCAATGTCCATTGTTGTAGTCTACAACGGCAGTTATGTGCTATGCTTAATGGTTTACCGACAAATGTATCGAGATGCCTAACTACAATGAGTTTACAGCAGACGTCTGGTTCCAACGTTAGCTTCTGCTATGCTACTATGTCAATAATTTCTTCTTTCAAAATATCAGTGAATACTAGATATTTTTCATAGAATTCAATCATCTAAATAAAAATAGTATCCGAATCAGTAAGGTATGCACTTATCATTTCTGTTGGATTTAACAAGTCTTACTTTTTGGGGACATTTGGCATAGACTTCAGATGAGTGATGTGTTGATTTGTATCCGTTCTTCCTAGAATTTACGATATCTCTTTTTCAGTTCGGCAATGTTTAGTAAAAAAAAAAAAAAGCATGATTAAGAACTACTACTTTACCAGTCAACATAAACTATGTACCCAGGAATTGATGCTTTCTCCAAATATCTGATACAACTCACTTCCTCATCCCAATTTTTCACTTGGCTGGTATATTCAATTACTTTCGCATATGGCACAGGACTATTATCAGTTGAGTTGTTCAATGTTTGGTATGTCTTCTCTTTAGCATCGGTTAATAACCATGGCCATTCTCTACAGAAACCAATGATGTATATCAGCATATATTTCGCTTTCATCGGATAAGTTACCAACTACGTTTGTCAAAGTGATACATACTTCCGTATTTTTGCCTCTGTTTCCCAGGTGGTCTCTTCAATATCACAACCCACCCATTTAACTTTATAGAAACTTTCTCCTTCCTATTTATGTTATTCCAAAGAAAAAGAAAGTACGTATGAATTGGTTAGAGTATAAGTTTCTCAACCGCATAGCCTCTACCGGGTCTTTACAATAAATTCCTCGTAAATACATTACTTTATTGGTGTTACCTTTAATAATATACTCTGGTAGATCCTCATACGATTCAAACACAACTTTTGGAGAATTTGTTGTTGCCATTTGCCAACTATTTTGATTTCCGTGTCTTGAATGAAAGCATGGAGGTAACAGAGAGGCCAAAAGCAAATCGTTAGAAAAAAAAGTCTCACGACGCCATTCTGATCTGAGTATGAAACAAGCCATCTTGCTTGGTGTTGTGAGAGGCCCCTTACTCCACATTATCATTTTTCGAGCGAAATTGCCCTGGATTAAAATCAAAAGCAAAAATAGTGCCCCTTCTATCCTTTTTCAATCGACCTTTTCATTTCCCAGAAAAATTATGTTATCGGCAGAACCAGCTTATGCACTTGCACGGGCAACATTTAAGCGTGCTCAACGTGGACTATTTGGCGGAAAGCACATTCAGTTTGGTAATAATGTACGTCTTTTTTGGCCAACAACTTCCATTCATAACCTTTCTACATCTGTCATCTCGATCAACATATTTCCCTTGTAGTTTTGGTAGATTGCCAAAAGCTTATACTTCTTCTTCTTCTTTCGTGATAGGTCCCTTTTTCAAAGCACAAAACCAGACGTAATTGGCTACCCAACGTACAGAACAAAAGCTTATATTCAGAAACTCTCAACAAATACATTGAAGTGAAAGTGACTACATCTGTTTTGAGAACTATTGATAAGAAAGGAGGATTAGATGGATACTTATTGAATACAAAAGACAAGAATTTGTTCAGTGAAAAAGCATTAGAGTTGAAAGCTAAGCTTAAGAATGCAAAGAAATACCAGCCAAAGCAAAAAAACTCGCTAAAACAACAACAACAGCAAACTGTGGTTGAGATTAGAGAAGGTTCTTCAACAGCTGCAACAACTCAAGCCTTGTAAATAAGTCGAATCTATTGTGTAGACCGTGGTCTATCTTCATTACATACTTTCAGTACATATATAAAGTCAGGAAAACGTTGTGACGACGATTTCACAGTTATAAATCCTCCTTCTCCTTCTAGCCTGTCAAATAAAATACCATCATTCGGTTAATCCTTTTTCTGTGGAAGTTTCAAATTACTTTCCTTAATGGAGTTACCTCAAATTGGAAAACATTGTCAATTTGACTCATGTCAAGTGTTAGGTACATTCGTCCATTCTAATTTACTCTTATTCAAAGTAAACTTTTTTTTTGGAGCTTTTTATTAAAAAAACAGAAAAATTATGATTTTAATCAACAGACTTCTTACCTGTTGCTTGTCCTTTTTGCGAGCAAATATTTTGGTAAGCATTGAATGCACGCAAATCAAAATAGTAATGCAGTGTTTATTAAGGCGCAAACGAAATAATGTACAAAATAGTGGAAACCATAGGCTCCCAATAAATCATCGCTGTTCACAGTGGAAATGCGTAGATAAGCAACTTATTCAATGTGATGTATGTAGTCAGTTAGTTACGACAGACAATAGCAGCAACCGCAATGGTAGTGAAATAGCATCAAGTGATATTAGACAATTAAGTTCTGAAGAAGCGGTAGGCGTAATCAATTGACGTTACTGATAAGATCACCTTAGTATTCTTACCCGTAAGCCAATAATCGTTTTATCACTATTCTACGCACAAAAGCTTAAAAAGCATAAGCTGTCCGGCTGTAGATTACTTCTTTATAAGACTACAATGAACAACAAAAATAGTCGTTCATGCGCAGTTGATAAATGTCAAGATATTGATCCGCATGTGGGCCCCGTTCAATGTGATGGTTGCGACAGAAATTTTTGTTTAAGGTAAATTCATTTTGCAGCTTTCTACTAGAGAACGACAGAGAGACTTACGAACGAAATTCCTGAAGACATCGACACCCTGCTTCTCATGCTTGCCCTTCACTGAAGAACCGTGAAGACAGGAAGTTACAGCGCAACTTGGCAGCACAAGAAAAATTAGCAAATACATTTGTACCAAATACAGTTTCCGGCCGTAAAACAACAACACCGGGCAGTGTATCGCAAAAAATCAATAGTACTACGACCAAGAAAAAAAGTAGCAGTATGGTTGAATTGATGAAGATCAAAGCACAGGCAAAAGGCAATCCTTCAATTCCACCTGCATTACGTATTTATCTTTACGTTCAATATCCTGAGGAGACCCAGCTGAAAGAGGCGCCTATGTATTTTGATAAGGTAAGTTATATAGATTGTATGTTGCTATGTACATTAAAGAAATGGCTGTTGAACAATATCTGGTTACTATTAGAAAAACACAATAGGTAAAACACTCGACCAAATTGCAGACTTCTGTAATTTGATCAATAAAAATAATCTTTTGTCGTCAACTGATTCAATGGTAAAGCAAAAGCCGTCCACTTTGACTGTAACTGTGTTAATACTCATGCTTAATGTCACATAACCCATATATAGCGCTTGGAACTATACAAATGCTGCCCCGAATCAGTATTGCTGCAAGATAAATCTCAAACATTAGAAAATGCATTGCAAAACTTGGAAACGATTTGTTTAGAAAGATTAGGTAAAGCAGCATGACAGACACGCTAAATCGTTAAAAACCATCCCTCAACGCAAGTATTCTACTGAAGAAATTGGTTGGTTTCTCGATCTAAACTTGATAAAAGTTCACATTATTTGTCAAAGCATACTTTTTCGCTTTTTGGAGCACGTTATTTATTACTAAGAAATAACCTTGTTATAACTTCATTAAAGGCAAGCCATGTAACGAACATATGGTCTAGTTCAATAACTTGAACGTAGATTCTTGTATCCTTAAAGTACATCTTACTTAATTCTCGCGGGGAGTAAATTTGAATGAAGTCATTGCATTTCTTTCGATTTTTGCAGAAGGCAATTGAAGAAATATTTTATTCAACGCTAAGAATGAATCAGAGGAAAGATAATGTGCTATATAAGATTAAACAATAAAATTAACAACAACTAGACATAAATATAAAAAATGAGAGGGAAACAATAAAATGATATCAAATAATTGGTTATTCAATGCCAAAATGATAATGCAATACATGGTCTAGTAATGCCAGCAATTGGAAGGGTGTATGCAACGAAATTGCTTAGTGAAGAGTGGCGGGCAGAGTGCTCTTGGAGTTCCACACACCAGGCAAGCGGCTCTTACCCCAGCGTGTGACAGTTACAGTCTTGGTAACAGTGTTGCTGCAACCATTCCAATGACTGGTAGTCTTATGGTGATGGTTCTTAGTAGTAGTCTTGTGGTGATGCTTCCTATTAGAAGTCTTGTGGTGATGCTTCCTAGTAGAAGTCTTGTGGTGATGCTTGTGGTCATCATCATCATCGTCATAGTCGTGATGCTTGTGGTCGTCATTATCACCGTGTTTGTGGTCGTCATTATCATCGTCGTGGCCGCTATGATGCTGGTCATCATCATCACCACTGCTAGGACGAGTCCAGGTAGCAGTAGGGATGGAGGCAGTAGCATGATGAGACTTAGTGGACAAGGTATGATCGATACTAGGCCCATCCAAGGTGGCAGTAGGCTTAACCATAGTGGCATGAGAAGATTTGGAGATAGAACTTGCAAGGTGGTTTTTTTCTTCAACAGCTTGAGACAAAGCAACTGTGGAAAGAGCAACGGCAGCAATGAGAGAAAGCTTCATTTCTATAGATTTTATAATAGCTAATCAGAAGGAGAGATTAAATGAAGGGGGAAAAACATATCCCAAGGTGTATTTATATAATTTCTTTCCTTCATTTTCATTTTAAATTGTTATACAAATATTTTGCCGAGAGATTATTACATTAGGTCTCTGCAGTCGCCGCCTATACTGGTAAGGAGCTCAACCGTACAATTTAATGGGCATGAAGATCCTAACTGGTACACCGGCAATGTTTCATCATTTCATGAACTCAGACAGGGCGGGGACAATCTGCTCACTTGAGCAGCTTAAGCAAAGGTCTAGACAGGAAAGAATCCAATCAACAACGTACTTTTATCTTGGTATGTTTCAGACAAATGGTTCAGTATAGCTAGTTTAAGAACGCGTTCAGATCTCAAGCTATTTCTAGTTTTGATGTTACCAATCTGGCCTAAACACCAATCTTGAAGCCATAAATGTATTCGAAATGAAGAAGCGTTTTCTGTATTCTAGCTTGATGCATATCTATAATTCGCAAAGCGTGCGCATAAAGTCACCTATTAGGATTACCATAAAAACTGTGCTAAAATAAAAGAAGAAAAATAAGGATTATACAGAAGCGTTTGCTTTTTCTCTTGCAGTGGCGTCGCATCAGAAGAGTATATATTTCTGTATGTACTGAACGTGTTTTGAAATACTTATTCGAGCACTCACTGCCAATGCTCAGTTTGTCAAATTAGTCTCACTCCTCGGATTCAGGGAAAACTGACACGCCGGTTGAAGTAATATCCTTAACTCCACAACCATAGCGTTGATATAGAATGCTCTCTTTTGGTGTTGTTGGGAGTTTCGTAACTTGAAAGCGATAAACATTGATTATATGTTATTCAGTATAATATACCGATACGAGCACGAGCACGCTATACCTTGTCCAGATCGAATGACTTCATTTAAGTGATTTTCCATATAAGGATCTGTCTTGATCGTTTCTTTTTGATTGCCAAAATACATAACCCCACTATGACAAGCATGTAAATGCCTGATTATGAGGTTTGCAGCGTAACTTTTATATATCTACAGCGTTCCTATTCCGGGAGGAACGAAACAGATAAGGTATCCATTGAGCTTAAATATTAACATTTTTGAAGCGATAATATACGCAAAAGGCCGATTGATCTGTTGATCATTTTCAATGATGAGATCAGTCAATATGGAGGTTGGCCCATGGCCTCGCCCATCGTTGGTCTGTGCTCAAAGTTGGGCTTGACTTTTAAAAAAGCAAGAAAATAATGATCGGCAATTTTACAACGTTAAAAATGCTCTGGAAAGTGAAACAAATCTCTTTCCCTTTATCGCCCGCCGTAAAAAAGTGTTTGCTTTGTTTTTCTTTGTTTACTTTACCGATTCTGAGATACCTACTAGTACTTGCTTAGCAAGACAAATTTTCACGTTAATTGCTTTACAGCTCAATAGTATCATACACTAGGTTTGAATTTCGTATCAAATAGCAACTTATTTTTTATTTTTTTGCTGTAAGTGATTATACAAAAAAAGGAACTAGAATTATCCTTATTTCTTAGTTGCCCAAGTACTATTAGGGAAAATTTTGGGGCCATAATTCTAATCGGTTCAATTATAAGATATGGACATCGTGATGATATTGCAACTTTTATGACCAATAACTGGTGTCTTGGCGTTGACTCAGTTAGAACTACTGTCAAGAGTATTGAATATGAATACACAATTTGCATTTCATTGATGACGTTAATTTCCTGCAGCCAGTGATGTTTCTATTTTTTCGAAAGCCTTCAGCAGACCTTCATGTAGTCCCCTTCTCCAATATTCAAAATAAGTCGTCCAAGATATAGCTACATGGCCTCTTCATCACCTTTTCAACGGATGTGTAAGTTTTCTACGCTTTAACGAGGGTTTTTATTCTGAGTGTCCTCATTGAAATTCACTTGTCAGAGCAACTTCCTGACATGATAAATCGTAAAACTTGAAACAGTAAAGCCTATTCGATGCTAAGCTTTTTCATTTATCTTTGAATGTTCATTTTAACAAAAAAAAAGCAGTTAAGTAAAGTAATATTTGAGTTAGCATTCAGAATGAAACATTGGAATATTCAATGTTTCAAATATCAGACACTGCTCCTTTTTTTTAGCGAGAAGACACATAAAAAGATGCGCGAACATAGTCTAGAAACGATTCTCTTATTAATTCAAACGAAAGCTGACTAATGACTATTAAAGCATTGGATGCCAAGACAAAATAAGTACCGTGTTAAGATCAGATACAGTAAGAGTCTTATCTATTCGCAATTAATTAGCATTATTTCTATATATGCCCCGCGATCACTGTATCAGACCACTGTTTGTGTTTATTATCTTGACAGCTCAGGCAAGCGTAATAAGCATTATATAAGTATTATACGACACAGTTACCGATATTGTAACTTTTAAGACATAGTAGGCATAGTCATTACAAAAATTCTTTTAAAACTACTATAGAACTCAAGCTCTGAGCAACGTAAACAGTAAACAGTGTCGCGGCAGAAGTAGATATCTCTGTGATTCTCTTCAGTGATACCAGCTTGGTAGAAAGATATTATCTCTTATGAAATAGTCAGGTACACTGTTCAGGCATACTAAAAACAGTTGCACTTGTTCAATATTTGGCTTTCAGCTGTTAGAAACTCGCAGGTTAACGACGAAAATGTCAATATGAAAATGATATACAATAATATCTGTTTCTTGTATCGGTATATTAATCAGTCAAGCGTGCGCCATCATAACAGAATACTTAATGGACTTTCGAGAAATTAATATATACTGTACATTATCTATTATTATGGGGGTTCTCAGCTTTGTAACAATTTCTTCAATTTCTTCTTTTCACTCGATTAAATAATAATCCTCTACATATGAACAGTATACACCTTAAGCTGTAGTAAATAAAAAGCATGCGGTTGGGATTCATAACAAGTACTGTTTATGGGTTTGAAGATAGAATTTAGTATTCCAAGTAAAATTAATGGAAAAAGTGAGTATTCACAAAAATTGCATGAGAATAAATGTTTACTAATGTTAAATAAAGAGGAAATAATCCGGTTCGTGGTGAGCTAGTTTCTTGAAGCTTCCAGCTTTTCCTTGAACAAAGCTTCAGCACCACCCCAAACAGGATTGCTTTCACGCTCCTTCAAAGCTAACATTGTTGGTAATAAATCATGTGAAAACATATTTGAGCTTTCTCTAGGCAAGAGTGTTGGTAAATGATCAATGGAGCAGACTTCTAAAGGATAAGGATTGGTGGTCTGAACAGGTACAGTGGGCTTGTCAAATGTGGTATTGATGGTATAAACAGGGATGGGATTGTTAGGATTGGTGGTATCACAAGAGACGTCAGAGATCACAGATAATTTACGGCTGCCATCGATCAATTCCTGAGTAATGAAAGGAGGAATCTTCTGGTTTAGGTATATACAGTTGACAAAGATTTCAGATTCAACAATTTCAGGGAAAGGGCCGCCCTTCTTGGTTTCGTTGATGTCCCATTTGATAATGTTCTCTTCTGGAATTCCAGCTTTACGAGCAAAGTCACAAGCGCCTGTGCCACAACGACCCAAAGCGCCCATAACCATAACCTTTGGATATTCATTGTTATTTAATGCAACTAGGCGACAGAAGGAACATTTACTTTTAGTTTCTACTTGTTTACTACATTAAACATTTTGTTAAACCCAATGCCTTCCTTTTAAGAATACTTACTGGCTGAAGCTAGGCGTTCCTTGATATAAGAAATCATAGCATCTTCATTAGGATAGGGTGTCAAAGCACCATACTTTTCTTGGGGATTCAACTTTTGGTGACACCAGACATCAATACCTACAGCACTACCAGCAAAGCCGGCCATGTAACCAAAAGCAGCAACCCGACGACCTGTTTATTTATAGTTTAAAAAAGTGAATCGTTGAGATGTGTTTAAATTCGACATAAAACACCTACGAACTGCTCGCAAACAGTTTTCCTTTTTGAAAAACAAAGAACAAAACGCTTACCACTGGCATCATTCAAGAACTCAAGGTCAAGTATAGTTCCTTTACCGACATCAAATCTATGTAATAATTCCTTCCAACCAGCTTGATTTTTGAAACAATGAGCAAAAAAGATGTGGGTGTGATGCAGAGGAGAATCATCGTTTTCAGGAAGCTCCTTCAAACCAACAATGTAAGCATCAGCGGGTGCATCAGTTTTCCAACTGAGCTTTTCGACCAAAGGACATCCAACTCTGAGTAAGATGGTTTATAGGACTTTGTTAGTATGAACTTCGATTGAACACGTACAATATCCACACACAACTAGTTCCTATTCTCTTTACCACCCCTCTCTCATCCTGATATTTTCTGACACTGACATGTGCTATCAAAATTATTCGGTTTATTATGGATACTTTACTTGGCATATTCTTCATCATCAAAGATTCTTTCTTCTGAACGTTCGACAGTGATTTTGAAACCATTATCTAGCAAGATTTTGGCTGTCTCTGGTGTTAAAGCAGCTCTATGTTCCATAGGTTTGGTCTCGGCACGGAGCCAAAGATGAGGAGCATTGGTGTTGACGGTCATTTTTTATTGCCAGAAAACGTACAGTATACAGTAATAAAGCAGAACAAAAAGTATGAAATAAATGATGAAACAGTTAAATTGAAAATGGGATTGGGTATTTATATAATGTAGCATAAAGCTGATAAGATGGATAATAGTCGAGATGTGACTTTAATGCCAGTGGTAATGATTCGATCGGCTATCGTTGGGGAAAAGTTTAAGGCACTGAAAACATGCATTTTGTGGAGGCGTCAATCTCAGCAAGATTGACTAATTAGGCAAAACTGCTTGATGGAAGGAACTTTAAATATAATGATAAAAATGTGGAGAACCGTGCAGTTAGCCTAAATATCACTCATGCAGTACTAACTATTCGTACATTTTAATTGATTCTTACATTAAACTGGATCGTATCTGTTTTACCTTGCCCTACGATTTGAAACTATGCACGTAGCGAAAAAGATGAATTAAACATCAAGCGAAAGCTCAAAAAAATTAACCGGTTGTGGCTTACAAGAAATCGAAGTTGACCATGCTCAAACATATCAATTGCAATCTCTTCAGATAAATCAAGCGCCTTTCTACATTGAACAATATGCGCGAATGAATAACTGATAATCAGAAAATGTAGATCAATTGTTCAAAATTAGAAAGTTGAAACAGAGCCAGTCAGTCACAAAATGTCAAAAAAAAAGAGCAGATTATCAAACGAACCTGAATGTCATTTCCTTGTTACACACAAAGCTAATGGGATCAGACTCTTGTGGATACTCATATTCAGATAATACATCTCTTGCTTCTGCAACTAAAGTAAGGTATGGCTTATTAGGCGATATTGTTATTGTTATCTTCTCGTGTTCTGTATTTAAATCTTTCATGAGATTTTGGAGCCAATCAGACTAAAAAGAAAAAAGAAATTGTTGTGAATAACTTTTCTGATCCAAAGATCAAACGCCAGTTTTACTTTAAAAATCATCTTCTGCGTTTCCACTTCGGTGGACTCCTCAAATTGTAATTGAGTATCCTCATCTTCTGGTTGAAAAGGACTTAGCTCATAAGTGGATGTTCTTTTAATTGCTCCTTTCTCAGCACGTCTATTGCATGTCAAATCCTTCGTTAAAATGACATATAGAGAGGTAAAGTTGACTTTTCTCACCTGAAAAGGCTTAGGTTAGAACCGGTACCATTGTATTTGATTTCACAATAGTCGCTGAGCGCTTGGGATGACGGGACAGTATCCCTTTCTTTAGGTATAATAGTTCTCAAACCGGTTGTAATAGCATCCAATGGTAGAGCGAAGGTAGGTATCTCGATACCCGCAGTGAAATTAAAAATATGAAATAAATGTAATTTCAAAAAAGCAATAGCTTTCACTGATCGATGATTTTCCACAGTTAAAACCATTCCTTCTTCATGTATCCAGATGGAGACGATCTAACGAACCGAAGCAGAATCAAACTCTTTGGTAAATAAAATAACTTTTCTCAACACCTATTATTTACTTTTTCCTACATTTTGAATGTTAATTGCCTTCAATAATACAAGTAGATGCTTCACATTCTTAATTACGCCATAAAACTGGACATTTTCCTCGATAGTGTAATCCATCGCTGTGATTAGTATTTATGCAAAAAGTGGGACACCAGAAACGGGCATAATCTGGATTACTGGTACCTTTAGTGACTCGAGCTGTGACTGGTCTTTCCAGTTAGAAAAATGAGATTAGTTAGAAAAAATAGAAAGCTAGTCTTCAAACAGATCTTCAACGATCACAACAGTCAATCGAGTGAAAAAGGAGGCCATGGAAAAAAGTAAAGAGACAATTGACATACAACAGGAAGACAAGTTGCAACAATCTGATGCTCAATCGGAAACCCAGCAACAACGCTCAATTTCAGTTGAACCAAAAGTCAAATATCTCGTTATTGATACCAATGCTATTATTAACGGCATGTCACTGCGAAACTTAGCAGAAGAGTTTTACACCATTCCAGAGGTTTTACAGGAAGTTCGAGATGCACGTACCAGAGAGTTTTTGTCTCGTTTGCCTTTTGAGATCAAACTCATGAACCCTTCTGAAGAATCAATGAAAGCAAGTAAGGATACTTTTAGCGAAAATGGAAGTACGATCAATCTGTATTGAGTCAATTTATCTCTATTTATAGTGGTGGAGTTCTCAAAGAAGACTGGTGACTTTGGGGTTCTTTCCCAACCGGATTTGAAGGTTCTTGCTCTCACGCACACTTTAGAAAAGAGAGAGAATGGTGACGTTAATATTCGTACCGAACCTTTGAAGGTAGCCATTAAAGAATTCTTGTTATATCGAGTTTACCAATGAGCACTACTTATTCTGTTTGTGTCTACTAATTTCTAGACTAGACCGACTGGAGCACTACCATCTGCACCACCACCTAGATCATACATCAGGAAACCAGCTGTAGAGAAGCAATTTGATGAGGATGGCTGGGAAATTGCAACTAAACCTAAGAGAGCAGCTGCTAAAAACAGATCTAACCAAAAGAATTCAAATAGCAGCATAAAGCTACAATCTGCTGCTGAAGATGGATTGGATAATAATTCAGAAGAGAAGGAATGCGAAGAACCTATTACATCTCGCTCTACTGCTTCTGAGGGAAACACAGAAATTAACGATGGGCAGTCAAATATAAATGAAGCAGAAAAGGATGAAATTAGTGTAGAAGAAATCAATAAGCGATTAAGTAATACACAACTTACGGAAAATACTACAACTGCAGGAGCGCCGGCGGCTGATGATGAGGATGAAGACTCAGATGGTGGAGAGTGGATTACACCAGATAACGTAGATGAATTTAAAGCAGCTGAAATAGGCGTCACTGCTGATGAATTGAAGAAGAATGAAAAGATAACTGTCGGATGTATGACGGCAGATTTTGCTATGCAGAATGTTTTGTTACAAATGAACCTTAACTTGGTGTCTGCTGGTGGATATCGTGTCAAAACAATCAGAAATTCAGTGATGAGATGCCATGCTTGCTTCTTGTAATGTTTTTTTTTTTTACATACCATCACATACGAAATACTTCATTGATTAACATAACCGAAAATACCTTCTGTATTTAGTGTATGTAATGACTTGGAAAGAAAATTCTGTCCTAAATGTGGCAATGCTACACTCCAACGTGTTACCTGCAGTACAAATAGCAAAGGCGAAATTCAATATCATTTAAAAAAGAATTTCCAGTATAGACTACGCGGTACGCGTTATGATATACCTTTACCAAAAGGTGGTAGACAGCATAACAATATTGTTTTAAGAGAGGATCAACGTGAATATATCAAAGCGACACAAAGAAAGCAGAAGAAGCAAGTGGTTGATATGTTTGATCCAGATTTTATACCTTTATACGGTAAAACTAATACTAAAGAGATTACAAATAATATGTTCGGTACAGACACCGTTGGGTTTGGACGTAAAAATCCAAATGCATCAAAGAAAAGAATTGGGAAAAAGAAGAGAACACACAATTTTTAGATGCTATCATTATATAATTCGTATCATAAGTCATTGCCGTTTCAAATAAACTTACTGTAGTCTTATTTTTGGCTTTTTGTGTCTTATTTTCTGCCAAGTGAGATATTCTTAACTTTTCAAAAGACCAAAACGGAACAAGACCCAAAAAGTTAGATAAGATTCTCTTCAAATTTGAGAAAATCAAATTGGGAGAACATTATAATGCTAATCCAGGATAAAGTTTGGGTGTTGTGCATGATAATTTTAAACTGATCACATATTGCTCTTGGACCACTCCAGCACACGATGGTGAATCATCATCAAACATCGATACCACTTCTCTCAGTAACGCATCTTCATACACAGAAAACAGTCTTTCCACTTTAAATTAGCACCGGCTGAGAAAGAAAACATAGAAAGAGTGTATCAAGAACTCGATCCAACTTACAAGCTATCTACTAGTACCGTCGTGGAAGAATTCGCTTTGTCATGTTCTTACGAACAGCAAATAATTGCATGTAAATGCTAAGGCCCTCAAATATCCAGTATTCCCATTTAAATTTTTGTCTGCTTTCTAATCTTGTGCATTCTAATTCTCGATACTACTGATTAATTTTGGACCATAAAAGAAGAAATGGAAGAAATAACGACGCACATTGCAAAAACGCTTCCTGAACTGCCAAACCAGCTGAATGATTCTTCGAAAATCTGAAAAAGTCACTGTGCATTGATACATTAAAGCTCTTGAAAGATACAACTTGTTCTGCTTGTGAATTGGTCAGATATACAGTATTAGACTACCCAAACTCGTTCAAGTACGGCTATTTACCGTAATCGGATGAAACACAGGATGACATGGTGAGAAGAATTTGGTTCTTCATCGATACAGCACTTGATGCGTCACCAATCACCTGAGAGGGATATGTCGCCTGCACTTGGTTGGTCGAAGAGTTGATTTGCTTTTCTCAAGGCAAAATGGGGGATACAGTTGTTGTGAAAGCGGACGATATGGTAATCCAACCAAAGAATTACATGAGGGGGTATGTAACGACCACCGTAGTAAGTGGTTACTTCCAATAGAGAAGTTTTAACTTCTCAGTGTATATAAATGTAATCCGTGTTTTTATCTGTTCTTTTCCTAGCACTACCTTACGTCTGTTATAGTAAATCTTTTGGAATATAAAGCGTTTATCCATCTGTCCTGTTTAATAATTTATATTCTGAGACTTTTATAACACTAATCCCTTAGTTTTACATCTGTTTGAATTTTCTGAAAAACTATCCTCTGACACTTATGTACGTCTCCCCATTTGTTGATGATTTACGAAAAGTGCTTCCCCACATTGGAATTGTGCTCCTTTCGGAGCTAAAAAATTGCTGAGTGTGAGCATTTCAACAACACTGCATTTCATTGGCCGTTAAGCGAATTCACCCCCAGTTAGCGATTTGTCCCTTTGCCAGGGAACGCAGAGACAGGTAGAAGTAAAGGAGAAGGGCGCCTTAAAAAGAACTGTCAAACTGCCAAACTTTTTCTTTTTAACAACTTGTGCAAAACATAATATCGATGATTAGAGCTTTCTGTAGATCTCAAATACTTTCTAGACAAGCGATCAAAAGTTTTAAGCCAGGTAATCCCTTCTTACAGTAGCAAGAAAATAGTTATCATGTTCCATAACGCCCTGACATTGCGTTTTTAGCTCCTCGTTTTTATTCTTTAGCTGTTGAAAGAAGTCAAGAAACAGCTACAAACGATTTCAGCAATGTCAATAATAAACGCAATAACGAAGCTCAGATTAGTGCTCTCCGTGCCCGTTTAAATCTACAATCGGTAAACATGGAAACCTTTAAACAAGCTCTCGCCCATCGATCCGACCAAAATGTCAGTCTAGCATATATTGGGCAGTGGGTGTCTACTTTATGCGTGTCTGAATATATTCACTGTAAATACCCCAACCTATTCCCTGATGCTTTAGAGTCCACTGTTACGGCTTATATTGGACATCAATCTTTGTCAAACTTGGCAAGAGAAGTTGGATTGGACTCCACCACTATATCGTCATTTGATCAGCAGCAGGATGCGAACAGGGGGTCCAACAGCAAAGCTAAACTTGCTACGAGTGATTGCATGCGTGCTCTGATTGGAGCTATATACAAAGAGAATGGATTTGATGCTGCAAAGAAGTTCATTCATGACTTCATCTTATCGCGTGAATTCAATGTTAATGATACAATCAATTTCAAAGAACCTAAACGTCATCTATCAGCTTTGTTGAGAAAGTTAAATAAGGAGCCTGCTATATCAAGAATTTTATCAGAAACTGGTAGAGCCTCCTCTTCACCAGTGTTTGTTGTTGGTGTCTTTTCAGGTTCAGAGAAGTTGGGAGAAGGATTTGGGTATAACTTAAAAATGGCAGAATTTCGCGTAAGTTGAACTAAAAGCTAGACTGACTGACAATACTTGAAGTGAGTTCGCAAGATACTAAACTATTAGGACGACTTTTCAAATTTGTAGGCTTGCCATGCGGCTTTAAATAAGCATTATGGCAAAGAAGTGGTAGATTTCACTCTGCCTTCTGATGCTGATAAAGTGACAAATTATACTGCGGGCCCATTAGGTGATACTCAAGCTATTCCTTAATAAACAAAATATTATTGTATTCATTTATCCATTTGTTAGCTTATCTAACGATCTATACTGTACACAATTTGCTTTTACTTTTCCGGTCTTTTGTTCACTTATTTAGATCCTTTTCACTGCAAAATAAATTCCTTCCTGTAAATTGTATTGGGAAAAGTTGTGTCAAACCTCCCTAATTTTTCTCTAACTGTTTAAAGATGTCATTTTTCAATTATTACCTGTGCCAACCATTGTGTATTCTTTGATGCGGTTCGTGATGCTGCAACTTCCAACTGCCCAGGAATGGGTTGACCAAATCTATAATTTGATGAACTACTCAAAAAAGTCTTGGTGTCCTCATGAATGAATTGGACAGGTCTTTCTCTTAACCAAACATTCTTGTTATTGCTACTGTCTACTCTACAGTCCAGTTTCCAGTTGTCACCTGAGTCTTGTCCGTCATAACAACTTACTTCCTGTTGATGTGATAAAGGTGATGACTCAAAATGGCTGTGTAAATAACATTGAGTGTTGACGTGTTTTAAGCGTATAATCGAACCACAAGGTATACTTTCGCTTAATTGATTGTAGATTATCTGTTAATTAACCATATGATATTTGATTGCGCATTTGGATATAGATGTGATTTACAATAAAATTTTACCCTCTTGTGCATACTTTATCAGATCCTGCTTCCACTGTCCAATAGCTGTTAGCGTCGTCAGAGGCTGCAAATCCTGTTACTGATTGCTGCATAGATCCAGTACCTGGTCTCAGCAAACAAAATTGTTAAGAGAAATGGGCCAGACTTCCGTGTTAAGTTACTATATACAATACCATATGTCACACTATGCGAATGCAATTTATGCTCAGTCATTTTGTTGGCAAGCTTTATGACGCTTCCACACGTTACTTCTTCAAAACCTAGACGAGACCGAAATTGGGTTTCCATTTAGCAATGCAGTTGCGATGAGTATGTTTATTTCTGTATTATACCATCTTCTATGTCGGGAAGCTCAGTTGCTCGTAAAGAAGATATATATAAAAGTCCCGCAAATAACAAGTACAGATTCATAATAAAATGGTTGAAATACAAGAGCAAAGTTTATTGTTCTATAAGGGAGACGAAAGATGGACTATTTACATTTTTTACACGCTTGAAAATGATTATGTACATTTGGATGGTTTTGATTGGTTAAACAAGCAGCCCACCTTTAATTGCGGATCAAGATACAATGGGTCGATCTCCGAGCCCACAGTTGGATGTGATAGAGGTGGAACGTGAGTATAGGACTACTCTTCTACTTCTGGCCAGTATAGTACGTTCCAATGATGTCTGAATTTTTTAATTGATTTACAAGTCAAATGCAAAAGCCCAAACTGAACGTCATCCAACCACTCTTTCCTTTTAACATAGCGATCAAGTCTTTCTTCATCATTCACGCGGGGCCCTTCTATTTGTATCGGGTTGTTTTGATAAAACTGCAGTAAGTTTTTGAGGGTATTGACTTCGTTTTTGCGGAGTTTTCGAATATTAGCAGGCGGATAACGGTATCGTCTTTCAGTAGCTTCGTAAAGATGGTAATAGTCCGTAAATTCTTCTATATTCTCCGGAATGTAAGGAACACTATCAACATCAACGGTATTTCTACTTTCTATCCGTTCTCTGTAGCGGTTTAACTTCTTCTGTATCCTATCTATTTGCGTTATGGCACAAAGGTTGACGCGGGTTCCTCTTCCTAAATTGCCCTCTAAAAGAGGAGTATGCAAGTGATTTAGCTCATTAATATAGACGTAATCAAACGTATGATTGGGCATGTTGATGTTCATTTCCAATTCTTTAGGCATCCATGTGTCTGTATCAAGTACCAGTTCGTTGAGCCGCGGACAACGTTTCGAAATGTAGTCAAATAAGTCTTGAGAAATACACGATATGGCCACATCAAATTTTCGCAAAGGATGCCTGCATTTGGCTGAATGTTTGTCGTTGACAACTATGGCTGTGCGGGCTAAGCGCAATGTTGTGAGACCTTGGCATGCATCCAATATTACGTCAATAGGATATGGAGTAAAATTATATCGACCATACTCATCACTGGCTAGGCGAAGCTCCTTTAAGTGCGTGCACATTGAGATAGGCTGTATAAAATCCTCGAAGTGCCGTGATGCATTCACCCAAATGTCCACATCCAAGCTCTGTATACTGTTGGCTTGTCCATCCACCACTGCCCATAAGATATCGGCCGTTAAAGCATGGCGTGCCCGTAATTTCTGTGGAGTGTTAAAAAAGTCTGACTGATAGCGCAGCTGTAAAGAATCTAATTGTATACCAGTTTCGCTAAGGTGGTAGAAAAAATCTTCGCCATCAAAATGTGAAGCTTGAACATCTGTAAGAGTTAAGGATTTCAGAGAAGGACCAAGCTCGCATGCCATATGGGAAAATGCATCTAAACACTTGCCAGGCTCCAAGACATAGGAATGTCCGTTTATATAAGATTCAAAAGCATTAAGGCTGAAGTATATATGCATAGTCACTAGATGAGGGTATTTAAGAGCAAGATAAGGGAGCCAGATTGGATCCTTCAGGTGCAAAGAGCTCAAATATAGACTTTTCATGTGCGTAACGGGTGCAAATTTGTCTTCATCCGTTGTTTCTCCTCTTATAACTGAAATCATGGCCTGTACGTCTGTAGAGGTAGCAGAAAAATTGATCATAGTAAACTTTATGTACTTCAGGTGTTTGCAAAAACGATGTAGAAGCTCTAATCTGTGCGGGTTAAAGTCAAGCTCACAAACATCATCCGTGTAGTTGTAGCTGCCTTCTATGGTCAAATGAGTTAAAGTGTTACCCGCTAAGAAGAGGAACGGCAATAACGAGTTTTGCCTTAGTAAACTGCGTGCCATACGCTGCTGCATATCTATATGAGTTAGCGTGTTTCGAGTTTCAAGTATGGCAAACCGACTCTTCCGTGGATAAAAGAGTCTAGGAATTTCTTTAATTCGCTTGAATGGTAGCAGGGCAGATGGAACATAGTGGCGCCAATTGTTGAAACCGAATATTTCGAGGTTTGGACAGTGGTAGCCGATCAAGTGGAATTGCTCCTTGGTGATGCCAACACGTTTTTTTAGTCGAAGTTCTCGAACAAAGTGACCTATAGAAGGAACGAGACGTTCAACGTCTACCGTGATGCTGCCGTCTTTTTTTCCGTCATCATATTTTTCTAAAAGCTGTAAGAATGCCTTGAGCTGTCGTCTAGTTGTAATCGTAACAGACTGAAGTAGATAACGATAAAAGGTGGCATACCATAATCGGCACGTTGAAATACACTGTATCTTAGTTCTGTTACTTGCGTTTTCTATAATTTGCTCTACAATTTCAAGAGGTAAATTGCTCATTTGGTTCAGTCAAAAGTAATGATGAATGCAGCAAATGTTTTTCGAAAATTAGCTCATTAAGAGGTTTCTTGGATCAGTCATGAATTGGTCTTTCCCCGCTGTCGCTAAATGAAACCCCATTATCATTATGCAAGAGTATAAACGAAACAAAAGAAATGTAAAAAAAAAGAGATGCAGCGGCCTGGTGGTGTCTCGCATATCTGTTGCATTTTTGGGACTGCAACATCTTTTAGGTTGCGCAAAGAGAAAAGTATAGAACCAGCGACCCAGTACTCTTCTCCACCGTTCCCTATGAGGTATTGGTAATCCCTTGCTTTCTCTTTCTCTTCTTCCTCGTCTTTTCTCAACTGCATAACCCTTTTCCGTGCGCCAGATAAAATTTTTATTTCGGGTTAGGACAAGTTCCTGATAAAACTCTCACCAATGACAATAATAACAGCAACAACACACAAGAAGGCAAAAAATACGAGCAGTATAAACAACAGTAACGAAAATGGCAGTAATAACAGCAATATTGCTGGCAATTTACCTGTAGTGCCTCTTTCACCCATTACTCAATCATATATACTTTGCTCCAATGCTCTCAAGTCAGCTACCGACAAACTTACCGAAGCGAAAAAGCGAACTCATCATAACGATGCTTTACCGCCCATCCCTGTTAGTATTTTACGAAACTTGTTGGAAACCACCAAGGTTGAATCTCACCGGCTGAAATCATTGACCCGGAAGATGCAGTCAGTGGAAGCAGCGACGGCTCTCTACTGGAATCCTGACGAGTTAGCGAAGCAAATTGCCATCGTTGACAGTCAACTGTATAACGAAGTGAGTGTCGGCAAGCATTCTTTATTATCTATTGCTACATCAGCAACGCCTACTTCTATGCTAGAGGCGACCAAACTGAAACACTTGTTGGACTTCCAGCATTATTTGAGCCACAGTTTCGCTCATCAAATTATTTACTGGATTCATCTCGTTAATACGTTTAATCCTTCGGCGACCACAAGCACCACAGCAGCAGCCGTTATACCTCCTGTTGTCAATCCGCAACACCTTAATAAGGAAAATCTACTTACCCATTTGATACGTGTGGCTTACTTGCTGTTACATGCATATTATGATTTTTCTGGTTTTGCTGCCATCATGAAAGCCCTCACTTTCCCCGAAGTGCGTCGATTATTTCACAATACAACGGGTGGCAACAATGATAACAAAAAGCAATTGTCAATATGGGAACATACTAGCTCACGCACAAAGGATATGTTTCGTGATTTAGTGTCTATAATATCATCGGAGAACAATTATCAGGCCTACTACCGAACTCTGAGGACCAAACTATTAGAACAGCAGTTGAAGCAACAAAGTCTGCAATCGCAACAACAGCAACAAGAACAGGCATACAATGGGACAACGGCAATAATGATAGCTGTTCCTTGGTTCGAACCTCATTTGTCAAAGATTAAGTCCATTGTCAATTCATACAAAGCAGGAGACAATGTCCAAAGCGAAGATCGGTTTCTTTCATCCCTTTTGGGTGTCTCTCATCACAATGGCTCCTCTGGTCATTTTAGCAATAATACAGTTGTTTTATCAGCACCAGGTGCTCATAAACTTGATATGGAAGTGTCTATCCTTGAATTAAGCCAGCATAATTCTTGTAGTAGTAACCTCTCACTTGAGGAAATTTTGAAGTTGGAGGGGGATGCATCCACAGATACGCTTTTGAGCATGCTCGAAAAAAAAAAGAAGAGTAATAGTAAGCGAAACTCATTGTCACCAACAGCAGTCGGTGCAAAGACCATCCATATTGAAGGGCTTAGAGCTGCCATTCTAACTACTTCCAATCTACATTCTTTGGCACCTGGTAAACAGTTAATTCATCACTGGCTGGTTTCTCGAGTCTACTTGACAAAAGAGCAATTGATTAATGAAAGCACTGAAGTAGAGCCTTTGAGGTTGGGAGAACGTCCGTTGTCCCCTGCACCTTCATCTTGCAGTTATAATGATGACGCGGCTACGGCAACTTTTGATTTTAGCAGGAATAGCACAATACTAACAACAGCAGCGGCTAGAGCAAGTCTCTCTAGCATACATGTTGAAACTGCTCCTGTTGCAGTGTCAAATGGTCAGAGCGAACAAACAGAAGAAGAGGATCAGCTTCAAGATCAAAAATCACGAGAAGTGAAGAGAAAGCCGAATATGACAACCAAAGATCGGGACCAGGAACTGCCAGAATTTTGCGAGCAAGAACTCAAACCAATCAAAAGAACAATTACTTGCACTGGGACAAACCTAGACAATAGCAGTAACGACGATAGCGATGATTTTGATGACAGACCAAATGGACACAATTTGAACTACTCGAAACCTGCGGGGTTAATGTTATCAACACCAGATAAAGCTAAAGAAGCCACGAATAAAGAGGATTATACTACAATCGCCTTAGTAATTAACAACAATGAAAACATACAACAGCAAGATTCATATAATGGCGAGGGTGACTCAGAAATGGATACTGGGAATGAAAAAAAGGAAACAAAGGCAGATTCTGCGTCTATGGGCAAAGATGACCTTACCGAAGATACTGATCTCAAAGAAGTTGAACTGAAGGAAATGGTACCCAAAGATGATTTGAAAAAGGAAGAACAAGAGGCAGGACATAAAGATTCTGAGCAACTACAAAAAGAATCACAACCTACTTCGGAATCAATTCTTTCACATCCATCAACCACCGTTAGTAAGCCTAAATCAAGCCTTTCTCCTACTGCGCCGGAGTTTATTCCTCATCAACACAAGTCAACCACAACAATTTCAACAATATCAACGGAAACAAGTGAGGAGATATGGCTAGGATATCCAACGCAAGAAGAAGGAGAGGAAGTATTTATTGCAGACAAAGCCTCTGCGGCTGTCGAAATAGAGACAGCTGTTGAGACAGAGTCTGAAAGATGGGGAGGGTATCCTATACCATCTAATGAGACAGTAGAACAGCCAAAAGAAAAAGAATTAGATAATAATGAAACTGCTCAGATTGATACCGATAATGAAGCGAACAAAAATATTGATGATGAAGAGGATGAAGATGAAGTATGGAAGGGTTATCCTGGGCCTAATAGTAGCACAGACAGTCCCCGACGGGCCTCTTCGCAGTCAGAAACGTCAGAAGAATGGAAAGGTTATCATGCTACCAAAATGGAAGCAGACTGGCAAAGGGAAAGCGCACTAAAAGTGCAAGAACATGAGTGGCAAGGTTATACTTTGGAGACATTAGATGAAGACGAGTTAGATTCCAGTACTATGATGAATGGTGAATTTGAAAAATCACGCCAAGCACGCCATGAAAAGCAAAATTTATACGAAACACAAAGAAGAGGTAGAAGACATATTTAAAAAAATGGTTACGTTTATCTCCTACGGTAACAAAACGTTAAAAGGAAGTTTATACCCACCCGCGACATTATATTTACACATCTCCATAGTATCAAATTAATGAAAATACATATATCCTGGAAAATAAGCCAGCATACAAATGAAGATATTGATCTTGAATTGCTCTACATGTTTTTTTTTCCGAAAAAGGCACTTCGGTAAAGGATTGTCGTTATTCCATGGGTGAACCACAGTATATTAGCCTATTCTGGTATTGTGCTCTTCCTTCTGTCTGCTTTAGCTGCCATTGCAGCAGCTCTCGTATGAGAACTTGCTGAGCTTTCTGTATCTGCTGTTTTGAATACTCTGATTTGTTCTAGAGCGTCATCTAACATTTCTCTTGCTAACAAGTATACTTCAGTGCCTTCCTTATTGTACATGAGTGAGTTATTCAACATTAGTACTACATCTCTTTCAAATTCGGTAGTAGTGCTAATAGACTATATAAAGAAAGGGATCTGTTTAAGTCACCAAAAGAATTTTTATCCGATAAAGGAAAAGCTATAAACCTTACTCCATCTCGAATCCTATTCTTGATGGTCTTCAACTCCATAGGCCTTTTCACAATTTCATAGTATCTCGGTGCGATACTCTCTTTGATAGGGTTCATAAACATGGCCCCATTTTTGTGATTAGCAATCTCCCTCCATAACAGATTGATATTTTTTTGCCATGATTTATGCCTTGGGTCATCCTTCAGATTGCCTTTCGACTTACGGTCTGCTGTTGGGGTAGTAGTTGTAGTATGAGGAGTAGTAGCTGCACTAGCAGTTGGGGTAGCAGCAGCACTATGTGTGTTGGTAGAAATGTTCGTTGCAGGTGTGGGAGCATTGCTTTCAGTCGCAGCAGCGCTTTCCGTGCTTTCCCCGGTGATTGTAAAGTTGATGGGTGTCTCAAGTTGATTTGCAGGGTTCGCAGAATAATCTAACTCTGATGTATCCACATCATTCAATGGTGTATCTTGCTTTTGCTTTTTTGATACATCTTCCTCTGACAAAGAGGGTGGTGTATAATATTGCTGATGCTGCTGCTCGGGTAACGAAGAAGCACCTTCTATGGGTATAGAGATGCTCATGCTATCTCTTTTCAATCTCTTCGATTCGGGCTCAACAACCATACTGTGATCATCAGCTTGTCTCTTAAGAACTCTTCCGGAATCGGACCATTCCGTTACTCCCGCAGATAGATGCTCACTAGTATTGGCGCTTTGTGTTTGAAGCTGATCTTGCTCCATTGGAGCCGTCATTGCCGTTTCTGCTTTATTTTGTTCCTGTTTTGATTCTTTTGCTGATGTATCTGTCTGAAATTGCTGTCCATCTGCTATTGTGCCTCTTTTATCAACTTTCTCCGCTGTTGTTGAGGTAACGGGTAATTCTGCTTCCTTTACGTCAACTATATCATTGGTTTCATCTTGGTTATTGCTCGTTGAGCTAGAAATGATACTCTCCTCTGCTTCATTCGAGTTCTGTTTTTTGAAAAGAATATCACGTTCCGTCGATGGTACTGTTGATTGTTCAGTTGACTCCTTTACATCAATGCCATCTGCTTTCGCTGATATCGTTTGAGGAGCAGTGTCAGGAGCAACTGCTGTAGGATTTGTAGCATCGTCATCTTCTGTTTTTGGAGATGCATCACTTTTTGCTGTTGCTGTTGTACTTGAAGCTACCATCTTTGGTTCTGGTGGTAAATTCTCTGCTGCATTGGTTGCTGTTGATGCGCTAATTGGTATTATATCTTCTTCAAGTGCAACCTTTGCTTCACTATTTGCATTCTCCACGTCTCCTTCAGCTGTATCTTTGTCCTTAACAACGTCCTGTCCAGTCTCTTTTATAGTCTCAGTTGCAGTAGGAAGCGCTGCTTGCTGTGAAGACTGTACACTATTTATTTCATCGATGAGAGGCTCGGCAATCACTTGAGGCGTAGTTGTGATTACAGGTGTTTCTTCCGATGTGACATGACCTGCATCAGATTTTTCATTTGTTTCAGCCATAATTACGTCTTCTGTTGTATTTTCATCAGCCACGTTCTGCTCGTTTGCCCTTGTTACTGATGGGCTTACTGCTGTTGCAGCTGTGATTTCTGCCGCCGATGGTGTTTCTGCTTCCTTCATTTCCTTTACTTTCTCTGCGTTTATTTCTGTCGAAGTAGTTGCTTCACTTTCTGGTAATTTATTCGATAAGCTACCATTAGGGGTCATTGTATGCTGTTGTTGACGATACTGGTCTAATAATCTCTGGTCCCATTTGCCTGCTCGTATTTCATCTATTTCATTTACAAGTATCAGAAACTTTTCCTCATCATCATGGATAGCTTTCTTTAATTCTTCAAGCCTAGTCGTATAAAGCTGCCTAGCTATCTGTACGACTACAGGCATGTCTTGATTTAATGCGTTCCGTCTAAAAGTAAATTTTAAAAGCTTAGCTTTTCATTAAAGACAATGTTGGTGTAAAACTTGGTTTACTTTTCTTTCGTCAGATCTTCAACCATAAGATAGTACTGAAGGGAACAATTCTACTTAACAGAGTGAAAAGGACGAGTTGATTAAAATGCATCATATTAATGCTATTCATAGTTCACTACCTTTTGATTAAAATAGTCGGAAGGACGATCTAAAAGTGCATGGTGCTTCAAATTGCGAGCGATTTGGAACCAGTTGTCTTCACCATATTTGTAAACTGCTTGAGAAAGTAGTAGCTTCTCTAAAACTGTCCATTCTGCTGTAGCCATAATTATACTTTTTTTAATTGTAAGCAATGGAAGAAAGAAAAAATGTAAATAAAATAAAAAAAAAATAACACGTCTTTAACTTTCTTTTTGTTTTGACTGTAGCTGTAAGCCAATAAAATCCTAGGAACTTCGATGAAGCGAGAATTTGCAGATTTAGAACCGGTTTAGAAATGGCAAAGACTTGAGCGATTTTACTATGGCAACGAAGCCGTAAGGAGCTTTATGAGCTACTTCATTTCCGAGCATTGCTAATCATAGCGTCCGGCTGCTAGTCATACACTTTGAAAAAATGCCCTTTTTGCTGATTATGAAATTTCCCCGCTTTCCTTTTTGAGACAGGCCCATGTTATCAACACTTCAGGAATCTTTTATTCGTTCTTGACAAGTTACTCGAAAGTTAGAAGAGAACTTACAAAGTGACATGAGTACAACTACAAGTACAGTATCAGAACCACCTACTCCCAAAGTCAACTTTGGTGCTTCTGATCTGACGTCAACAGGTACAACAACGGCAGAGCGATCTGTTCAAGAGAACACATCTGCCGATGATCAGACCTTGTCAAGAACGAATTCAGCTGTATCTTTTATACCTTCAAAACAAATGCTTGATACATACACTCCTGTTCGAGCCGGCCTACCGACAAAAACACGTCTTTCACTCATAACTTCTGTGGGGGCCTTTTGGGGCTTTGGTATTGGTTGTTTCTTGGGAGCGAAACAAACAGGTTTACAATACTTGGCAGAAAATGCTCACAGACTTCCTACCACCGTTGAAGGGTGGTACTTCTACCATAAAACCAAGAATTATAAGATGATGTTGGGTGGTGTGAAACGTGGTAGCAAATTTGCATTGAAAACAGGTGGCTTATGCTTGATGTATGGATCAATAGAGGCTGCCTTAGATTATGCAAGAGGAGGGGAGGCTGACATGGTGAATTCTGTAGTGGCGGGTGTCACAACGGGAACAGTTTTCTCCGCTTTAAGTAAGTTATAAATATTCAAATGAGAAACAATACAAGCGACGATCAATCAATCATATTCTCGAAGTTTGCATTTGTGTGTGTGGCTTAATAACAAATATTTGTTTTTATTAGCTAAATTAACAAGAGCTTCTACGAAATATTCGATCATGTTTGGTGCTGTGGTTGGTTTGGTGACCGGTGGTTTATCTGACTTATATCGTTTTGCATCCGGCGATGCGCCCGCTTACGCAAAGCGCTTCGTAAAGTAAGCGATCTATACTCTTGGGTGGATATGAAAATGAAGATACCCACAAATACTGTATGATGATTCATGAAAGAGTGTATAGTATGTATACGCGTTGATGATACATTATACAGCCTTCTGTCTATATCAGGAAATAGAGAAACCTTAAATTATTACCAAACTTACCGAGTGGTGAGCTAATTTAACATTACACACATTTCGTAAGGGACGCAAAAAGAGACATTATTTTATATAACATCATAAAAATTGAATACAGACAAAACACGTAACGGGGCAGAAATAAAAAAAAAACGATGCTTTTTTAGTACTTGATTTAATTTTTGGGCAATGTCTCAAAAGCCGATAATTCATGCTCCAAATGTAAAACCAAGTTGTCTTTAATATATCTTCTCGTATACTTTTCCTTTTCTTCTTTTTTCTTTTTTCTATAATCTTAGTCGTCTTGAACAATAAAGCAAAATGGAAGAAGAGAAGAGACAAGAGCCAATCTCTGGCAAAATAGACGAGTTCTCTCATTCTCATCTTTTCCCTCACACAGCCGATAATAATGCTGCACCTACTATGACCAACAATCCTACTCCTATTTCCAATGCACCGCCTTCAGCTGAGCCTGCTTCTGGTGGTGATTTCTCTGAACCTGCCCCTACTCTTACTAGTAGCAATTTGGAGCGTTCTAATAACGACGCTAAGCCTACTAGCAGCAAATCTGAGGTCGAACAAGCCGCTCGCTCTGCAACTGACAAGGCCCATGATAACGCTGGCGTCGACTACGTGATAGTATTCACTTACCCAACAAAGATTCCTAAGGGTGATAAAAAAATTACAAACAAGGCTGAATTAGAGGCTGATGTTACTGAAAGCCTCAAGAGTCTTACTACTCGTTTAGCTAAGGTGAGCTTGCGTTTCCAAGTTCGCCCAGGGGAAACTGATGGTACATTTTTGATTATGGTCGGAAGTCCTCTCAGTACTTTAAAGCAAGAATACAGGCGTGAAAGGTAAAAAATAGTCAGATAATTTTGGGTCACCTGTGTGTCCTATTTTCTTTTTTTTTTTTCAGTTTGTTACCAAAAAGAGATTAGTAGGATTGAAAAAAGAAAAAGACAATCCCCAAAACAACGCAGAGCCCGAATCATGGACTGACACAGTACATTTTTACACAAATAATATTAATAGAATTCACGATTTCTTGTTTGGCGTCCGCTTTGATGAGCTCACCGATGGCTCTCAGAATACACACAAAATTGACACCGACTTTGAGAATTTAACAGATGCCGAACGTTTGCGCTTGGTTTACGAATTAATGACTGAACCCCAATCTGAGAGCGGAGCAGGAATATCCATTGAAACAGAGAAGTATGTTGAGGCCATCATTCCTTTACATGATGAAAAATTCAACAAGGTATAAAAGAAAAAGAATGCTGCTAGTCCACAGTTTAGTTCGAAAGAAAATTTGGTTGATTGACGGTTTAATACAATGCATTTGATAGAAATGGTTAGATTATTTACCTAAGAAGTGGGTACTTGATGATAACGATTTAACTACAATTCGCGACCATTTTGGTGAAAGAGTTGCTTATTACTTTGCTTTTGTTCAAACCTATACTTGGTGCTTGACTATCCCTGCCATTGTCGGTATTGTATCCTTTTTGATTCAGAGAAAGGGTGTTTCCATTTGGTTCTCTGTATTCATGTTGCTATGGTCTGTTGCCTTTTATGAACTATGGGACAGAAAGGAAAACGAATATGCTATCAGGTGGGGCGTCCGTAACGTCTCTAAGCACGAAAAGCGTAGAATTGATTTCGTTGGTGAAAAGTTAGTTAAGGATGATGTTACGGGCGAAGAAGTTCCTTACGTTCCTGGTTGGAAACTGGTGCTAAGACGCTTGTCTTCTCTTCCTGTCGTTTTCTTTGGTGCCCTTTTTTTGACTGGTTTGACCGCCGCTGTTGTCTGCTTCCAACTCTTCATAAAGGAGTACTATAATGGACCTATGAAGCAAATTTTGGTAAAGTTCAAGAAAGCAGCTATACTACCGCATGGGAAGTCATGACTAAATCATAACAAATTTTCTCTTAGGGTTTCACTCCTTTGATCGGTTTCTCTCTTATCATCCCTATTGTTACCAAGCTATATGCCAAATTGGTGAAGGTTCTATGCGATTTTGAAATGCACAAGACCCATCGTTCTTGGGAACACAGTTACACTCAAAAGGTCTTTGTTGCTAACTTCTTAGCTGCTTATCTCGCTCTGGTAAGTTCCCAATTTAATTCCTGCGCAATCATGTATTTTGTTGGATAACACCCATTATAGTTCATTACAGGTTGGATCTATATACCTTTTGGCGCCAAGGTCACCCCTTATCTCACAGCTTGGAATATCAAGCATGATCATAACACCATTGACTTTACACGTTTAAGAACTCAATTGATCTATCTCGTTGCCACTGCGCAAGTTGTCAATTTTGTTACTGAAATGGTCGTCCCTTGGATTTTGGCAAAGGCCACAGGCAAAGCTAAGAATGTTACCGACAAGATCACTCGTCGTAAGTCTTTCGATGAAAAGTTGGGCGTTACCGAAAAGGATGACGAAGAGCATGAATTCATAGAACGTGTCAAGCAGGAAGTTGCCTTGAAAGATTATGACATTTTCTTGGAATACGTTGAAATAGTCATCCAATTTGGTTATGTTTCTATGTTCTCTTCTGTCTTCCCTTTGACTGCTCTATTCTCTTTGATCAATAACTGGATCGAAATTCGTGGTGACGCTACTAAGCTTTGTTATTATACCCGTCGTCCCTTGCCTCACCGTGGTGATTCCATCGGTCCTTGGAAGGGCAACATGAAATCTTTGATTTGGTTGTCTTCTATCACCATGGGCTCCTACGCTTATCTCTTCCATCCTTCAACTAACATTCATTCTCCTCATACCCTCGTCTACACTTTGGTTGCCATTTTATTTTCTGAACACTTATATCTCGCTTTGAGATCGCTTGTTCGTTACATCATGAAATTCCTTCCCAGTTGGGCTGATAACGCTGTACGTAAGGAAGAGTTTGAGGTAAAGAAGACTTTCTTGGAACGTATGGTCGGTGACCACAACAAATTTTTGAAGCGTAGTATTGAAAACCAAGATGATGCGAACGATATCTCTGATAAAATCAGCATGAAGGTTTGGAACAATCGTTTGGATCGCAATAGTCAGATTGATGAGGCCATTCAATTGGTTCAAAAAGCATTCAAGACCCAATAAATTAGTCCCAATAGGATGATTACAGATCATTCAATCTAGATGTATAACTTTTTCTTTTCTTTTTTTAAATCATGTCATCAGAATTAAATTTCAATCACCATTCTATATTGTTTCATTTTTAACAGTAAATATTATTGCTCTTTGGACCTTTTTATTTTGTTGAGCTTTGTTCAATGGTCGTCCTTCATTAGAATGGTTGTTTAACGCGCAGTATCACATACATATATATTACCAGTATACATATTTCTTCAAAATTAAAATTCCTTTTTCTTTTCGTCATAACTAATATATCCTGGGCCGATAGAGATCATCATCAAGAGTCCACCTACGATGCTCAGACACTGAAAAAAGTTATACTTGACTACATCACGACTGTAAGCTGATTGCTGAACCGTCCACCAATTATTGACCACAACATTCATGACACTCAGGAAGGTAACCAATAGAGAAGCTGACCATTTTGCTCTGAATCCTACGGCTACCATAATGCAAGCCGCCAAAGCCATCAATGAGACCACAACACGAAGAAAAGTCCAAGTACCTTGTAAAATGAACCCTAAAAACAAAAAGATAAGCAAAATACGGCCGGCTAGCTGAAGATATTGATGGCGTTCAGTTTCAGACAATGTTGGAAGAGACGCAAAGAGACTATTTTTGGATTTTTTGGTACGCAAGAGGTCTTCAGACAGGCAAAGTAAAAGACCGCCCAATATAGAAAAGTTCCGTAAACAAAGAGCCTATAAATACAAGTAGGGTTTAGTCAATATCATTGCTCTGGTAGAAAAAGCAAAGACTCGGTCTTTTTACTTTCTACTTCTTCCACTTCCTCTCTTTTCCAAACAGCTTTCCTTACCATATCAAACACTAGTCCATAACCGATGGCTTGAGATACAATTACACCTGCTAATGCATAGACAGATATACTGACATGACGTTTCGCTATTAAGGTTGATGAAAAGACCAGCATAGCGATTATATTTGAGAGCAAGAAAATATGAGATAGACCCTTTGGAAATCCTCGGCCTGCCTCGAGATAGCGAGTTTGATCAGACCATTGAACAATAATGCGTAGAGCATCCTCGTAAAATGTTGCCACAACCAGAAAGCGGCTCAGAGCAGGAAGATAGGGTTTGATGGGTTGGCCAAGTGAATCAAGTGCATTCTCAATACGGGCGCTAGCTGTCTTCACTGTTTCTTCAAAACTCATTATTTCTTCGGTACCCTAGAAAGCAATTATGTATTCAGATGTAAAATTGCGAAACAGAAAGAAAGAAGAAAAGCAATTAGATGAGCATCTATAAAATTGAAATCTTTATCAGTTATGCATTCAGGGGTTTAGAGCAGAGTATCAAATACACAAACGCTGATCTTTATTGTGTGTGTTATTCATTAAGCAAACCCCTTAAATTAAATATTTTGTGATTTCACTGCTACATTGTAGTGACTATTATGCTTAGTCAGTTCTCCGCGTATAGTCGCCTTTATAACGCTACCTATACTATATACTTATTCAACCTGAAATTGTAATGGTATTATCACTTATAGCAACCTAAAAGAAATCGCAGCATGTAATCAATCCCAATATGCAGTCGTAAAGGATAAATAGACAGACTACTAGGTGTAATAAAAGTCTTATGAAACTCATAATTAGGTTATATGTTTCGTTTGATAAATTGGATTGCGCTATTGTTCATAGCCGGAAGATGAATAGGTAGGTTACTGTTCCTTTGATCTGCGACAAACATGAAGCTGGATTTAAATTCATCTGCTGCTGCTACCACAACCAATGTCAGCTTCAATGCACGGGGGTGAATTATAATTGCAGCTGAACATTGATGTCTCTTCAAACATAACTATACTCTGCAAAAGTATTGATCATGTCAGAATTCAAAAACTCTGTAAAGTTGTACGTTTGGGGGCCGGCTTTAGATTGCATATCTATTGATCCTAAATGTGTAGTCATTGAAAGTTACTTACGGTTGATTGAGCAAGAATATATGCTTGTCAAATGCAACGATCCACAAATGAGCCCCACAGGTACAGAGGAAACTGCTTATGCTTTCTAACAATTCATATCACAATTAATAACCAATGTTTTTGTTTATTTTAATCATACACGATATACACACATGGTTAGGTGAGCTTCCCTTATTAAAGGATGGCTCCGTATGGGTGGCAGGTGTAGACAGAATCTTGAACCACTTTGAGAAAAAAGGAAAGGATGGAAACGAAGCTTTAAGTGAAGAACAAAAGGCAGACTACTTAGCGTACGAAAATAGCAGCACTTATCTACTAGTTTGGGTTAGGAACTTACAATAATTATCGTCTATTAGGTATTCCACCTTAGTGCAGGAGAATCTTTATGATTGCATGCTCTACACTTGGTATGCCGATAAGACCAATTTTATCAAGCATATTCGGCCCACATACGCCAAACTTTTATCTTTTCCTTCGTGCTATTATATTCCCATTCAACTTAAAAATAATGCCAAAGCTCGGCTTGCTAAATATAATGTAGAAATCACAAATGATGATACAGGTTTACCACAGAACGAAAAAGAAGAGATGAAAGAATTGCTTCAATCTGGCTGGCATTCCATGTACCGTCGAGCACGAGAGACCTACAACACTTTGGCCACCTTGTTAGATGGAAAGAAATACATGATGTACGATGATAAAATAACAACTCTCGATTGTATAATATTTGGATATCTCTCTCTACATTTATATCCTAATCTGCAACATAAACGATTGCAGCACATTCTAACGCATGAATACCCAACTTTGGTGGAGTATTGTAATTGTATCAAAAGAGATTTATTTGGAGAGGAAATGACGGAAAAAGAGGCCCAAAACAAAACTTCTGCTATGACCAGTGCAGATGACGAAATCGAGGAAAATATACCTTCTTTATGGAGTACACTTAAAAATAACCCCAGAGGGTTCTTCAGTCAAGTTAAAGAGGATGTTGTCTCTTACATGGGTACAGGAAATACGGATAAAAAACCGGAAAAGAGTAAATCACAAATTGAATTCGAACGTAAACGTATTTGGTCTATTGCTGGTGGTATAACATTTTTCTTGGCATATGTGATATATAACGGTATTGTAAGTGTCGAATATAATACCGGCGAAGATGATGGCGTTGAAGATGACGAATACTACTACGTAGATGGAGAAATGGATGGAAATGATATAATTATTGATGATGTGGATGACGATGACGATGTATAGGCCACTATTGGGTTACGGCTACTGCTCGTATATCTGAATAAAATCTTAGGTACTTTTGCAAAATGTTCCTTTCAGTTTCCGTCAATTGAGTTGGATTAGGTTGTCTTGTATTATACTTCTTCTTCCATAAAATTGAGAGTAATTTAACCTTTGACTCATCGTAGTCTAGTAGTTCTAAGTAAGAACCCAGCTTGCTGATGAAGTCATCTACTACTTCCATTGTTGCCAGCGACTGTATAATCTGCTCCAAAGTGTCCAGTTTTTCTCTATCCAGTCGACATCGTTTTAGCCTTTCCATTATCTCCTCTACAGTATGTGCATCCCATGATGTTATTCTTGAAGCTGATATAGAGGAAGAAGTACGACTGGCCAGCTCTTCAGCTGAAGAATTCAGTATGTTGTCCATGACATCTACAAGGATGTACTCCTTAGCGGTTGAGTTGTTTTTACTTGTGCCGTCACTAGCAGAAGATCTTCTACTACTCAATTTTCTTCGCCTTAATCGAATCCATTTTCTTCTCCTTACAAAAGAACGAAAGTGCTTGTAGTTACCATGCCAATCTGCGCCATGAAATTTAAGTGCATATTGCCACCCTGCTTCATCAACATCTTCTGTCATATCTATCATCCAGTCTTTACTGACCTATGAAATACAACACAGGTGAACAATAACACTTTTTTTCTTGCGTTTGCTTCTAATGGCACTCTACCCACTCCCATGTTGGATCTGGCAATTGATAGTTTTTAATGTCCATGGGTGTAAAGCTATTAATGGTAAAACAGCAGTGCTGATGGATTAATGAATTTATGCAGGCCAAATACAAACAATATCCTGTAATATACCTCATATTTGCATCACACCATGGATTAGGATCAAATTGTAATAATCTACGTGGTACAATGTATGTCAAAATATTGAATTTTTCTTAAATGAGTTGTATCGCTGTATTCAGTAAGCTTACGTTTTCGAGCTATATCCCACTGCTAAAGAGCTGCATTAATGGAAGCGTTAATGGGAATCTGGCATACCCTTTCTTTCGCTTATTCAAATATGAAGGCTTTTTACCCTCTTTCACATTCATATAGCACATCGTAGGCAAATTCCTCCTCATGAGGGTCATGAGCAGGTAATGGTGGTAGTTTCACTGATGCATTTCTTAAACTGTTGCGTATATAGTGTTTTGGTTTATGCATCAATTCCCTGAGTGATTTTCTTATTCGAAAAGGTCGCTCAAGTGATGGTGTTTGTGGGCTCTTCTGTTCTAAACTTAACGTATATCTGTCTATCGGCTGATTTAGTGTCATTTCCGTAACGAAAAAAATAAAGGTCTTATTTAATGTAAAAGATAAACGCACATTGAACATTAAATTCGATTTACTCCATTTTTGACAGCATCGGAGATTGACTATTTCCAACGCAAAAAACACTTGACAATGCCCTACAGAGAAGCCATACCTTCAATCGTGACTTTTATATTTACAGGGTTTTCTTACTATTTTTTATTTTCAGTTTATGCAAAAAGCTCGATAAACCACAAATGCTAATACGAACTTGTGCTTACGTAATAAGGATGATTGGAAATTATAAGAGGCCCAGCCATTCATCCAGTATACCGTGAACAATTTCTCATGCGTTGTCTTCTTCGTAGACGGGATGTATATGCTTGGCAGACTCGATAAGTTCTTTACTTCCTGCATTATTTTTGTTCTTTATAAAGCATGCTCGAAATGCCTCCATCTCCTTTTTGCATTGTCGCCAATCTTTAGTGTCGTAAAAGCAAATTTGTAAATCCTCATTTTCTTGATAACAGCCGGTTTTCTCAATCCTGGCGTTGTAAGGATCCTCTTCTTCTTCCTCCTCGATAGGTATTTTTGAGTTCTCTGTTGTCGTCATCAGCTTATGTTAAACAATGCGAAAAAAAGACGCTATGAAAAAGAGAAAACTCAATAGTGCATAGCGCTGGGTTTTTGTATGTCTGTCAAATTGACAGAGTGTAAAGAAAAAAGAAAAAAATTCTACATAAAAGGCAGGCAGGAACCTTTTCGCTGTTTTTTGATTTTCCTGTTTCTCCAGCTCGTCACTTAATCAGGCTCATCAGTTTATTCACCTCACTTTTACAGCTTAAGTTATATTGGTTACTGTCTAAATGACAAGTTACATTAAGTTTACACCCTTGTCAGGTGCGAAAAATGAGGATCCTTTATGTTACCTACTAGAAATCGATGAAGTCAAGATTTTATTGGATTGTGGTTGGTCTGATTCGTTTGAGGAGGAAGATTTGGTTAATTTGAAGAGGTAAATGCGTAGAATTCTTTCAAGCCGACCTAGGCTGTTAACCTAATTGAAAACATCGACGATTCTCTCTTGTTAGAGTCGCCAAGCATATCGACGTAGTGCTATTGTCACACTCTGATTTGATTCATTTGGGAGCTTATCCATATGCTCGAAGCCACCTAGGCATGACTTGTCCTGTCTACTCCACCATTCCTGTAGCAAATATGGGAAAAGTATGTATGTACGACATGTATCAATCGAAGACAAATGAAGTAGAATTCTCGACCTTTTCTCTAGAAGATGTGGATAATGCGTTCGAGAAAATTACACCACTGAGATATTCCCAACCGTTTGCATTGACAGGCAAATGTCAGGGTATTACCATTACAGCCTATGCAGCAGCCCATACAATCGGTGGTACTATTTGGAAGATCAAACAAGATACTGAAGAGATTGTATATGCAGTAGATTTCAATCATAGAAAAGAATAGTAGGTTTTACAAGCAGTATCAATCTGGATGATTTCGTTTTTACTTATTTATATAACGTGTATAGTCATCTCGATGGAACAGTGTTACATTCAGGAGGCGTGGTATTAGATTCACTTGTTCGACCCTCTCTACTCATTACAGACTCATATAACGCGAAGGTAGTCAATCCAGCGCGCAAAGATAGATATACCGCCATGTTTGATACAATGATGAATTCTCTCAAAGACGGTGGATCCGTCTTGATACCTACCGATTCTTCTGCACGTGTTTTAGAAGTCTCTTACCTACTGGATCAGCATTGGACCCAGAATCAGCATCTTACCAATTACCCACTTATTATGTTATCTAATACTAGTTATCACACAGCTCATTTCGCCAAAGTTATGCTGGAATGGATGGGTGATGACATGACGAAAAAGTTCTCTCAAACCCGAGAAAACCCATACGAATTCAAATATTTGAGATTGTGTCACAAATTGGAGGACTTGGAACAGTATCCTGGCCCGAAAGTAGTTATAGCGAGCAACTGTAGTTTAGAAACAGGATTTGCAAGAGACTTATTTATCCGATGGATGACTTTGCCAACAGATACGCAACAACCATCATCCGAATATAACGAGCATAATACATTGATCCTAACTGATCGATCCACTCCAAATGCATTAGCACGTAAACTGTTCAGGGAGTGGAATGAGAAAAGTGATCTTCTGTTAAACCACCCAATGGAAATAGACTCTCCTGCAAAAACTGTTACCACAACAAAAACCAAAAAACTACCTATTAAACCAGCCATTCGATTTGAAGAAACTTTAGATTTGACTATTTATAAACGCGTGCCGTTGGAAGGCGCTGAATTACAAAAATATGAAGCAGCACAAAAAGCTAAAGCTGAACGCGATGCTGCTCAGGCCTCGCTTTTGGCACGAAGCAAAGCTCTTATGGAGGAAGACGAATCAGATTCCTCTGATATTGACGACGGCGACTATGAGAATAATCCGTTGGTCGAGGATGTTTTATTGACAAAGCAGTTTGATCTTTATGTCAGAGACGCTGGAAAATCCGGCGGTTTTTTCAAACAAGCGCAAAGTTATCGTATGTTCCCTTATTTGGAAAGAAAGAAACGAATAGACGATTATGGTGAAGCGATTCAGGTAGAACACTATATGAAAGCATCAGACTATGATCGAATAGAGCAAGATCAGTTGGAAGAATCTGCCAGACGAAAAAGAAGAGGCGAGGGGGGAGCTAACTTTGGAAAGGATGATGATAATGAATTTGGGGTTGCAAGAATGGAGATTGATGAGCCTATGCTGCAGGGAAGAGGTCAAATACCTACAAAGTATATCACTAATCAGGAGACAGTGAAAATTCAATGTTTGATAAGATATGTGGATCTTGAAGGGCTCTCTGATGGTCGATCTATGAAGACCATTTTACCTCAAATTGCACCTAGAAAATTGGTTAGTACTCAATGTGAGAGAAGTATATCATTAAATAGTGAAATTAATACTTTTTCCCCCCCTTTTTTTTTCTATGGTAGATTATTGTTCATGGTTCGCAATCTTCAACAGAAGAGTTGGCAACTGCATGTCAAAGTCTTAGCCAGTTTACAAAAGAAATATTTACTCCTTCCGTGAGTGAGGTATTGAATGTGTCGGCAGCTACCAACATTTACAGAGTGAAACTTACAGATAGTATGGTCAGTTCGTTGAAATTCTCAAAGGTAAAGACCCCATGATTACTATTTGATTTACGTTAAAATGACATACAAAGAGAGTCCTCTCTAACGAAAATATCTAAATTACGTGTTTAGCTGGATGATTATGAGTTGGCGCGCGTTGTCGGTAGAATCCATTTCCCCGATGATTCTACTACACCCTCTTTAGATGTGGCTACAAGTGATATACCAAACAAATACGAGCCTTCTGTTTTTGTAGGTGACGTGAAGCTATCAGAATTCAGGAGAATACTACAAGCCGAAGGGATTCAAGCCGAATTTAAAGGTGAAGGCGTCTTGGTCTGCAATAATCAAGTCGCAGTTCGAAAGGTAAGCGAAAGGCTGGAAAAAAGGATAAACGTTGACTCATAACGGATATCTAACTGATTTTGTTATTCCTTAATATCACAATAGACGGGCACAGGCCAACTACTAGTTGAAGGCTCTTTATCATTTGATTATTACAAAATACGTTCTTTATTATATTCCCAACATGCCATTTTGTAGATACTTCATGAGTCTTCTTTTCTTTTTTTTTTCAAATCTTCGTTACATGTATTGCTTTAGTTTATAAACCCAGAAACATTAAAGATAATATTGATCTAATTAAATGATATGATTAGTATTTGACTAATGTAATGTCTGATCCACGATAATTATTCCGTTATTGAATTACCTTAACGCTTTTTTTCGCTCTTTTCGCCTTTTTAGTTATTTAAGCCTTTTGCGTTCAACTAAACACTTCAATGCCATCAGATTATATGAGCAACAACAATACATATTCTAAAATAATATTATCAGACAATGATAGCGCTGACGGTAATGATTTACGGCTTCCTCCACCTCGCTTTGACAGCTTTAAACGGCCTTTAACTCCAAAACATACATATTACGACGCGCGTATACTTGAATACTGTGATGAAAAAGCTTTTAACGATAATAAGAATAGTAAAATGAACAATCCATATCTTCAGTATTTTAAACGGCCCAGTCAACTCCTTAACCAACATGAACCATTCATAAGCGAAAAATATCTTTACAATGATGAAGATGTTGATAGTGAGTTCAGCAAACAAAACAACAGATTATGTCCATGCAGCATCGTCTCCTATATATCCCTTATCACCGGTATTGTACTTATTCTACTCTCTCTCATCTTCGAATTTCAATCACGCTATCATATTGCAAAAGCCAACGATTTTGATCATTGTCCTACTGCACCATGTATTGAAGGTTGCTATAAACATTTACCCTTTTACTACCCTCCCTCAACTACAACACTACCGCCCCCTCCAATCAGTAACAATAATACTATTGAACTGGTATCCTCCTCAATTGATAGCCATAATTTATGCACGGTCGAAGTCAAACAATATTGCGACGGAATTTGTGGAGATCTGGGAATTAACGCTGCTAAAATTTATGGAATTTTATTCATGGTGTTCATAACTGTGGGCGGATTCTTTGTTATCCTTCAAATATCATTGAGTTTTGTTAGATATTATTGTCTAGGGTATCGTCAAGTGACAGCAACAGAAGAGACAAAGCTGTAATAATAAAAGTAGGCTGAAAGAAAGATCTTCTGAACTAATTATTCATTATGTAATCAAACGCAATGATAACTTGAAAAAATTATTAGAACCCCGTGCCCTTCTCGTATCTTTCAATGCTTTAGAATAGCACCATTATGAGGTCATTTTTGCACTTTCTGTAGGACCTGACTCTGAAAAACGTTTATGCAAGAACAGAAGGTTCCTATCCTTTCCCATATATAGTAATCACGATGGGGTTGATGAGAAATAGGTGTGCAGTTGTATGCACACTAAGTAGTATGTATTGCACCCACGCAAGAACAAATTATCATGAGATAAAACGGAAAAGTGATGAATTTTAAATTTCTCCTCTTCCTTTTTGAACTTTTCTTTCTCAAAGTGAAATTTATCATAATTTATCACCGTCCTTCTTAAAAGCATTATTTTCAACTAGAAAAAGTAGTTGACTAAGCTATTGCTAGACTTTAGTTTATATAAAAAAGAACGAATGAAAGCATGGATACAGCCGCTTGCTTATTCTACCCAAACATTGTTTCTGCTGAAGCCGCCAGTAGTAATTCTATGGAAATCTCACCTTCTCAGTCATTGAGTCAGAGTACCTCCCTCCCACAGCAGATGCGCAAGCTCCAAACTATTGACCTTAATACAGGGCCTACTGCCAATGCTGAATCGACAACAACAACATTCAATTCCTCTCTAGAAGATGTTTCTCGTCTACAGCAAGATTTTGAAAGCCTACTTTTATCACCACTGACCCCTCCGATGAGCGATGGTAACAATGATAATGGTGGCGGTAATACCATTCAAGCTCAAGAAGTTCCTGACGATATGTTGGTCGCTCTGATTGACCGACCTGCAGAAATGCGACAGCTTGTTCAGCACAATGCCTCATTTTTTGAACAACTTCACCAAGAACTTCACTCTAACAATAACAATGGTTCTAGTAGTTGTACTTGGCCACGCTTTGAGAACACGCTCTACTGCGATAGAAACATTTTATCTGACATGGAATGGATGACACGTATTTCCAAAGCATTAAGCAATGGACCTCCTCATTATCTAAGCCATTTTAAAATGCTCGTGGGTTATATCGGCGATGAATCAAAGCTACAGGACAATATGATGGGCAAAGAGTTCTTAAACGTACCTTTAGTGCGTTTGCGCTATCTATCAGAATTAACAAAGAAAATTTCAGAAAGATCATACCCGCAATTTTTCATCAACTGCCGAGAAGCATTACAGAACGATGGTACCGCTACATACAAATTGTTTATAGATTTACTATTTCATACCGATCCTGAAGAGTTACCAGACCATGAATGGGAAAAGAAAATATACAATATATTACAATCACATCCGAATGTATTGGAGCAATTACAAGAAATAGCAGCTTACGAACTTGAAGAAGAAGAAGAAGATGACGACGATCACAATGAACAATGATTACTATTTATTGATTTTTTTTTTACTGTTTAAGAGTAATGCTTGTATCATCTGCTTCAATAATATTTGCTGTCAATAATATTTGTAAGGCTATGTTTAGATGATGTTTGTTTATTTTCTTTGTAGGGAACTCCTAAAGATATGTCAATAAAATAACACGTGCATTTCAGTATATGCATGCTTCATACAAACAGAGAATTGAAACGATATACTTACTTTGAGGAGATCTCTAACGGGTATCTTGTTGTGCTCGTCGTTTAGTAAAAGCTCTACAACTCTATTCATCGTTCTGCAAAGGCCAAAGGACGAAATCATGACCTTGAATAACGATTCCAATTGTTTGACACAACCATCGGGATTACGTCGCTTGGGACTGTCTACGGTTTTGTCCACTATAGACGACGATGGATCTGTACTTTGTGAAACTTGTAAGAGATTTTCTAATACATTTTTGAGATTTTTCAGTGCACTCTCAGGATATGCTTTCCCTTTCCCCTTCTTCAGCTTGCTTATTGCCTCATTGATTATCTCCAATTGCTGACTATATTCTGCTAGACACTTCATCTTCACCAATTCGAGTGCTTGCTCGTTCTTATCATCCTTATTTTTATTTAGTTCTTCCTTCTGTCTTTTCTTTTCGGCTTGCTTTTTTAGAATCAATGCTTCTTTTTGTGCTATCTCTTTATCCAGCTTCTCCAACTTCTCTTCTAATTCTTTCTTTTTCTGTTTTACGTTCTTTTCTTTATTGAGACTCCTCTGCTCTAATTCTGTCTCCAATTGATGATTCTCTTCAACTAATTTTTTTAAAATCGTTTTCTTAAGATTGTCCCTGTCAGTTTACTTCATCACATCACGGACCATATGCTTTTTACCTGTTCGTTATATCGTCGCTCTTCCGTCCTGTACGTGCCTTGAAGGTCTTTTAGTTTCTGATTTATTTTTGTTAATCTTGCTTCCGCTACTGCCGTTATGTCTTGCTGCTGCCGTGAGGCTGCTGATTGTTCTGCTGCTCCCGCTTGGTTTAGGACATGGTTCCCTTGTTTATATAACTTCAAAAGTCTCTGCTGATCTTCAACTTTTCTTTTAATTTCTTGTTCTTGCACTGATAAGTTATGGAGTAAAACATCGACTTCTTGCAATAATCCTTCTATCTCAGGACCGATATCTCTTACAACCTCCCTCTGTGCCGTTTTGATATCATTTTCCGTTACTAATTCGTAGGATCGGTCGACATTCATGAATTTCGCTTGTCGAGTAAACTCTTCTGTAACTGACCGAAGAGATTCAACAGATGACTTGAGCTACTTATTTTGAAATGAATTTAAAGAGTGGAACAATATTAGGGAGCATTCATTATTTGTTAGCCAAGAGTGAATAACACCATTGGAGAGTGAAGCATCACTTTACTGTTCGATTACAATTGGTCAAATGATCGACACAACCTTCCAGATCTACTGTGGAAGTCAAAGGGTGAGTGAACCCAACTTTTGGCTGTTCAGAACCAGCTGGTCTCTTAGCACTGATTATTGTATTTGAACGCTGTCCTTTATTATTGCCATCCATGTGAATACAGCAATCTGGAAGGTACTGAACTAAAAAAACTGATCTATTAAGTTTGTAGAAACAGAAATAAAATTCTGATTTTAAGAGAAAAAAAAATCGGCTACATTTTTGAGTGATACCATTCATGCAATAAAAAATAGACACTGCACGTTTTGCGTGTTTTCTTTACACAAAATTAATTTCAACGCAAAGCTGTTACTTGAACGTTACTGAAACAACTTTTATGTAGAAGCAAGCAGCTAGGTTGCCTTTTATTAAAGGTTCACATCTTCCAAGAAATTATCTTGCTTTACAAATTGAGAATACACGTGGCAAAACGGCTTTGTTATATTATACAATCCTCCGTTTTCATTTTGTTCTTACAATGGTATTTTTTCTTTCATAACAGCTTCACAGTCAATATTGTACTTATCACTAAGATTATCGTCATTATCTGTATTACTTTTCTTAATCCATCCTGATTTTTTGGCACGTTTTTGTTGTTGTTGTATGCAGACGAACCGTTGGTCTGATAACCAGTTCCAATATAAATAACTTAATACCTGAGTATCCATTCGATTAAGCATATGCAACAACGTCAGTAGCTCATATCGCAACAAACCAAGCCTATCTTGGACAAAGTTTAGCTCAGTAGACATCCATTGGTGGTCTTTACTAAACCACGAATAACCGCCCATGGCATGATTTGAAGTTGTGGTTCTTTCTTGTTGATCCAAAATGGTTGTTTTAAAACGATCAAACATAGTGTTGTTTTCTAGAGATTTCTCCCTGGGAATAAGCTCATGATCTAGAAGATCACGTAAAAATACACCATGCCATATAACATGAGGCTTGGGAACATTATTCGCTGGCTGGGACCGCTGACCTTTATAGTTATATTGAGTGAAGATATTGTAAGCTGTACACAACAAGCAAATAAATCCAAAAAGGATAGTCAACAAATGCAACCAGTTGGTTATACGAGTAGTGTTATTGAAAGCAGTGGCAGTATTTGTAGCAGCGACGACGCGCTTCGACTGCATCTTTTGTTGATCTTCAGGAGTGATGACCGGTGTTACTTTTAGTGCTTCAGATCGGGCCTTCTGCTGCTGTTGTTCCTGCTGGCTAGAGACTTCTTGCACCCGTCTTTGTATTAACGGTAGGACACCCTGGACTGTTTCTTGCATTCCCTTCGTAGCTGCTCGATTGATCATGCCTTTCATAATGATACTCTTCAACCATCGTACACCTATTGAACACTTTAATCGACAGCACTGCGTATCCACAAACGTAATGCAGTATTTAATACAAGGGATAAAGGCATCTGCATAGGGTAATTGAGCTGTTTTGGTCGTCACTTCCACTACATAGCAAGTATGCGGCTTTGAATCGATAATCTCTTGTGTTTCTTCAACAGGTGTTTCTTTTGCTTTTACAAGAGGGTTGGCCACAGGCATAATGTAGTTCATTGTACGACGGTAATGGTGCTGGGGCGGCGACTTTTCGCCACGATTCTCTTCGTCAGGACTGTCTACAGATGACCATTCTGAGAAAGTGGGTTCACCGTACTGACGGGATCGATTCAATTCAGCCCAAAGCTTTCGGTCATCTGTATTATCAGATGGCGGGTCTACGTTATTAAATAGCATGATGAATAATTGAAAAGCTGAAATAGGAAGTTCAATATCCATTTCAGTTTTTTCCAGATGGTCTGTACAAGAACAAGTGACAGGCTCAGAAGGTTTTGGTATATTTTGTGGCCAGGCATCTTTTTTAATATTAGCCTTCTTTGACGCACAAGCCACGTAACTGCGATCATGGCTAGTGTCTGCTGTGGTAGCTCCGGTAGTAGCAGAAGCATTTGAAGGTGATGGTTTATTGCCAGCAAGCGCGGCTGTCGATTTCATAGCAGCTAATAATGCACCTTGCGCCGGTGAGTTACGTTGCTGTATGATGTCAGTAAGTGCCTCACTATGAATCGAACTATTATCATCTTGCTGTTGTTGTTGTTGCTGTTGTTGTTGTTGTTGATCTGATATAGTAGCTGTTGAGCTTGCGATGGTATCTATAGAATTCCTCGTTGACGTTGAGGATGAGTTATTTGGCATAGCTATAGGCGCAACAGGCTGTGCTTGCACTGTTACGGGTGTAATAGAATACAAGGCACTGCTGGTGGTAGTCACATGGCTCGTTGGAATGCTGGTCGACGTCGTAATAGAAGAAAGGCGGCTTTTATTGGCTGTTTTCAAAGACACCTTCTTATCCAACTGGTGTAGATGATCAAAAATAGTCTGCAAATCATCTGTTTGACGGTAATGTTGGATCATATACTTTAATTTCTCATAGATCAAATCTCGATTCTCCAACCAAAAACTAAAAGAAAATGTATGTTCCTTGTTTTGGGTTTCAATAAGCAGCAACGAACCATTCAGATAACGTACAGAAGCGATTTTATCCAACGGAATAACAATCTATTTCATTAAGAATAAGAATAGTTTTGATGGAATGATGAATAGTAGGTAATGTGTTTCAATGTGTCTCGAAATTACCATATTGACAGAAGTCATCAAGATACAACTGTAAAACCATAATGTTTTCTGTGTAATGAATCCAACTCCACTGTATCCATAAGTCGTCCCGCTGACACTGCTGCTATTGTTGCTATTGTCGCCAGCCGATTGTTGTCGCTGACGGTATAAGGAACCGGTAAACGTTTCTAAAACAATTTCTTCTTTTGGTACGTTTGAGAATAATCGTCTTAATTCTTTTTGAGCAGCTTCAAGTCGTGAAGAATAGTTGGATAAGCTAGGTTTGAGTACGACCGTTTCGATTTTGGTAGGCCAAACAATCAAATCATTCAAATCATTTGGCTGCTGTATTAATGAAGACGAAGAATGCGAATGATTTACTACATCATTCTGTGTTGTACTACTATTTAGGCTATTATTACTAGTGTTGATGTTGTTGTTGCTGTTGTCCAGAGTGTTGTTTAAATTCGAAAAGGCGTTGTTCATACTTGTGGTAAACCAGCCCCAAGTAGAGTTTTGCTGTAAGGTTTGTTGTAAGCTACTTTGACTACTGCTGTAATGAAATACGCGTTTGTTTGATGAAGCTTGCTGTTCTTGCTGCTGCTGTTCATGCAAATAGTTTAATGATGACGAATGTGGTAATGAAGACGCAGAAGAATTGCGTTCACGTAATAGATATGAAGTTAAGGAAGACGTTGATGTGGAGTAGCAATACTCCTTGTCTTGTTCTGAGCCAGTAGGGCTTGCAGGTAATGGTGATGAAGACATGGCTATAATATCAGCATTATCGCTCATTAGAGTAGTAGTATTATTAAGTAAAGCTTTTGGTGATAAGTGTAGTTCTGGTGATTTTGAGGCATTAATATCTTCCATTATATTATTTCCCTTATTATTCGTAGATATAGGCATAGGTCTCGATGTGTTTGTAATATTGGCTTCTATAGTTTGTATCCATTGTTGCATATCTTCTTCCGTTTCTGTCTGTAAATAATATGTACATTTGGGATGTATGAGTTCGAAACAATACCTCCTATCTATATCCATGCAAATCCGGCACGTGATGGCATCATCGTCGTTATTTTTTTGCAGCTGTATAAGGTCATTCAACGTAATGCAACCTTTAATTTTATTGATGGTAGTTGTATTACATGTACCAAACCAACCATCTTGAACAAAAAACCACTTCCTTGTCCAGGTGGTTCTGGTTGATCTGCCTGTATTTGATATATACCGGCTATTGAGGTAGCCTTGTTTTATTTGTTGTGTACTGCTAGTATTGCTTTTTTTTCTTTTAGGTTGTTGCTCCCCTGTATCCTCCGGCGCTTGATGTTGGGAGTCCGAGTATCTCTTCAATGACCGATGAGGCTGTAATTTGTTCAAATAGTTGGCTTGTAATGCCTCACAGCGTAAAGAAATTTGCTGTAACTGATATTCGACAGTCTTTTTACTTTCGTCCAGCCATTGTCGCCAGCCATTCAAATTGAGACGAACCGATTCAAAATCGAGTGCAGATGCATCCAAATCTTCTAAATGAGCTGATAAAGCACAAGTAAAACATGTAACCAGAACATCTTCTAAATGAGCTTTAAAGGTGATCAATTTGATAAAATGCTCGCTGCTGAATTTGACATATTGTTTTCTCAAATCAAACAGTTGAAATGTGTCTTCACGCAGTGCGCTGGCTTCTTTCTGTTTGCTTAAAGCATAATAACGGTTCAATTGTGCTTCGTATTTATCCAGTAATTTCTCATAATGTTTTCTACCGTCCTAAAACGAGTGCGGTTTAAATTAGTCTACTGCATGTGAGAGTGAGAGAGAGAGAGAGTCTATGTGTGTTGATACATATTTGTGTATGTAATAGCGTTCATACACACGGACACACAAACACACGAGCCCTTTTTTTGCGGAATGTGATTTGTGTAACTTTGCTTTTTGTGCCTTACTTTGAAACCCTTTATATCTGATTTCTGCAATTTTTGCAACGGAACCAATAGTCCAGATTCTAATTCGCTAGTCTAACATGTGTATATGCTTAGTAAGAGAGACACTTTTACCTATCAGTTCTTTGATGAGTTGACTTTACCAGCTTTGTATTATGCGCAACGGTTGATTCCAATATTTTGGCAAATTTGGTAATTATGTTTCCTGTAACCTTATCATCTGAAGCAAGGGAAAAGGAAAATCAAAACAATGATTGTTTGTTGGAACCCGCAATCAATGCTTCAATATTTATACATATGCCCTGAATTCTGGTTTGTTTGGTTTTTTTTTTTTTTTTACCAATCAAGCTGCCATCTTCAAAACCACTCAAAAACGTTTTCCTGGACAAGTTGCTCGTTTGAATAGTGTATTCTATGCAAAAAGAGATATAACAAGAGCATAAAAACTGTATGAGAAGGAAAAAAAAAAGTTGGATCACAAAAAACATGTATGCTTAGAAGTCATTTTACTCGATAAAGAGTCAGTATAATTCTTCAACGCTTTAATAAAGCCGTCCAACCATTTATCGAAATGGTCGATTTGATCTTCTAAATGGCAAACATTAGCTCTCCATGTAGGTGAATCCAATACTACATCTTGAATGGTTAGAACATTTGTGGGTAATGATATCAAATTTTTTGAGATATTGTTCTGTATTAGCATGGTTGTCGCTGTAACATTGGACAATTGCAAATCAAAAAAGAGAGTTATCGGATAATCCAATATTATCTCAGGTATAGCCAGAAAAAGAACAAGAGGTTCAGCGGCACCATGCACAGCAATTTTATTGTTCGTTTATTTGTTGTGCACTTTAAGAATGCTGCTAGCTGTTTTTGAAAAAAAAAAAAATAAATCCATTAAAATGATGTGCTTACACAAACGGATCACTTATTTTATATTTTTTATGCAATCCAAACGGGATACACTTTAAATGTAGCCTCTTTCTCTCGACCGTTATGTCTATCTCACTTTCTGATACACTGCATGACTGACAAGCTTTGGTCATTTTGTGTAGTTAGTGAGTAGCCATTTTTGTCATGCAATACTTTTGGTATAGCCATTCATAAAAGTAGGCAGCAACAGCAGAGGAGTTGCAATGAGGTATGAGCACACTTCTTTTGCCTTAGAAGGCAGTAGTTGCGGAGTATGTTTCAAATTACAGTGTTTTAGCTTCAACTTTACACTTTATACAAATTTTATTGGACAATATATATATACAATTTAGATAATTTTAAATTACTTTAGGATGAAATAATATAATGTTCTTGGACGATTCATTGAATAAATAATTGGAGACATTATTTTGAAGGTCAGTGGACATTTTCAATTGATAGTGGCATTACGTTAAAGTACTACGAGACGTACTGAGTATTTTAGTGTAAAACAGGTCTTATCAGCAATAGATACATGGTTGTGGTTTACGAGACTTTATTTATGGATCATATGAATTGATCTACGCGTTAAACTAATCCCAGACACGTTCTTCCGCCGCGTAGATAACGGTCGTTGTTGTCAATCCTAATAAAAAATAAGATGTTGTCAAACTAGCATTTACAGAAAATAAGTTTGACATCTTTCCTTTGATTTCCATCTTCTTCTTCTTATTCTTCTTTCATCTTTCTTTCCTCATCCTGATAGCTACTACTCAGCATGTACAAAGCCAAAATCTTGCAAAAAATCAAATCGGTGGCAGAAGCCCATAAGAATAAAGTCAAAGATGAGTCCTTCCGTAAGTAACACATGAGCGCGCTGCCACAAATAGGTTATAGTGGTAATCCTCAATTCATGTTTCGTATGACTAGTAAGCATCGAGTGCAAGGATTGCAAAACACGCGGACATTTCAACAAGGCATACCATGAATGCAAGTTTTACAAAGCAGTTTCTGCGGCTGATGGTAAGTATCATGCTCTCACTGCAAGACAAGTTTATGTTTGCTTAACGGAAATTTAGTTGGAAGTAGCGGTAAGAAACGTAAGCAATCAGCTACAATCAAGGAAGAAAAGAAGCAAGCAAAGAGAAAGAAGAAGCAAACAACTGGAGATATCAAGTGTATCAGTTGTGGCTTAAAGGGTCATTCTACTTCTCGTTCTCTCGAATGCCCCAATCACATTGCTTCAAAGGAAGAAGTTATCACCTCGACGCTTGGAGAAGGCTCCACTGTATTCACGAGGAAGCTCCCTCTTACGTCTGCTGTAAAGCCAGCGTTTCGCGAACAATTCCAAGAAAAAGTCATCTCTTGCTGCTCTGACATAAGGAGAATAGTATTCTCTAGTCAATTATTCGTTAACTCGTACCTCATTCATTATCAGGAGAATAGAAGGAATGCTAACAAAGGCGACAAGAAAGACACTGATAAAAACAGCAACAAAGGCAGTAAAGAAGCCAACAAAGAAGACAGCAAGAAAGACAGTAAAGAAGCCAACAAAGACAGGTCTATTCCTGATGTATTCTGCCAGCAATTCTGGTATTCAGTAGGTCAGCTTATAACGGGCAAGCAAGTTACTCACAAAACGGCATTATCCGAGGACATAAAACAGTATTATACAGACTTCAAGGCAAAGTTCCCTACTATCGAAGTAAAACACAAGCTGACCGTGGGATATAGTCATTGCCTTACAGAGGCAGCAAAGGAATTGAGCGTCTCTTACACGAACTCCATTGTAGAGCGCTTCGAGCAGCGCTTAACAAAGTTCTTTACCTACAAATTGAGAACTATGCTCCCGGTAAGGCTGTAACCGAGTACCTTCTTAATGCTCTGCTGTTTTATTCATTTTATTTCTCTTTATACACATTCTAGAATATCAAACGCACTGATGTACAAAGAATTGTACAGCTGTATTGTTACCAATCTGTCTGTCATGGTCATCCTCATTGGCCAGAAAACCTCGAGCTGGCGGCTGTTGACAAAAACCGAATTGAATTACTCTGCAAACAATTTGAAGAGTTCATTCCAGGAGAAGTAACCCTCGTTTCTCTTTCTGCTGCTCCTGCAAAGTTTGTTAATGCGTTATGGAACATACAGTTTACGTACGAGCAAGAACATATACAGCATAAACCGTACGATGTCCGTGTCCTACCACTTCCTCAGCGTTTCTTTCTCTTTCCTACTCCATCGCTGAAATGGCGTTTCATCGCGATAAGTTTAAATGCTCTTACACCCTTCATGTTTCCCGGAAAAGTTGCCAAGGGTTATACAGCCCAACTCGAACAATTCTGTAAAGTCTTCGACTTCAAAAAGTTTGGCTTTAAGAGGTAAAACTATAGAAGAACTTCTTCAGCAAAATTATGCCTAATAGTAAACACACCCCTATTTTTGCTTCTGTCATAGTCTAACCGCTTTGAAGGAAAGTTCTGATGTAATGTTTCGAAACATGGTTAGGTCGGACGGCTTTACTGTAGACTTTTTGTTCAGCCGCAAAAAGAAAACAAAAGAAGACATGACCATTCATAATCATACCTTGACTTTGGAAGATTTTTCTTATGACGAAGTACAAGACAATTACAGACCCGCTTTCCTTGATCCAGGGCGAAGATCTGTCTTCACAGCGGCAATCGGACTAGATCATAACAAACATCAAGTACGCAGCTGCTCTACCAAGGAATATTATCATATGACCGGAAGTATCAGATACGCTGCAAAGCTGGAAAAGAAGAAAGCAGGCACAATTAAAATGATCGAAAGTGGCATACCAACCGCCAAAACTTCTATCATCGAACAACATGACCGTCATGTACAATATATATTGCAGCACTTCGAAGCCTTGTTCTCTTTTTACGGCGAGGGAACTGCTGAAGACAGATTTCGTTTATACCAGGGTCAGGAGCGTGCTGCCAACAACATGGTCAATTTGCTTATTAATGGAACCACAAAGTACAATAAGCAATTGAGGTTGAAGAAGAAGAAAGATCGAAGCAAGTGGCCAAAGAAGAATACCGACAGAATGGCCTTTTGTAAACGTAAAAAGAAGAAGAAGAAGAAGCAAAAGGTTCCAGAAGAGAAGGAAGAAGCAGATGCGAGAGAAGTAAGCGATGTTCTCGCTAAGAAAGATAGGTAAGGTTTCTAAATGATAAGCAATTCATCCACTATTCGCAGAAATATTGATAGAACTCATGCTTTCTACAGTAATCCCCTGAAGAACAAGTGGAAGCCTGAACCCTTTAGTGCAGGCGACACTAAAAAGATCCCTTTGATTGTAGTTGGTGATGGCATGTTCGGGAAGAGTGCAGTGCCCATCAAAGGCCATAAGACTGGTGGCGTTGGTGTTCTGTGGCGTGCATTGAAGCGAAGAGAGGCTGCTGGTGGTCTCCTTGCCGTTACAATTGATGAATACTTGACATCACGCATATGCAATTGTTGTCGCTCAGACACATTGAAAGCATTAGACACCGTGCGTGGCTGTAGTATCCTTGTTTGCAAAACCTGTAAGATACTATGGAACCGCGATGTCAATGCAGCAAAAAACATGATGGCCATCAGCATTTCGGTATGGAAGTCAACGGGAAGACCTGCGGAGTTTTCTAGAAAACCAAAATCACCCGCATCAACCACTTGAACACCATCCTCTAATCGCCAGCACGAAGCTGGTTTGATTTTTACAGGTAAGCATCTCAATTTTTGTGTAGTTCAATCTTGAAATTATAACTTGAAGGTCTCAAAAATTTACTTTTTTCGTCTAGTTATATTGCGGCTTCGTCTAAACCCAAAGCTAAAAAACTGTAGAAATCTTTCACAAGAGATAAAATAGCTTTCTATAGGACCTATTGTCAGATGTTTGAGCATATGGCGCATTCCATCGTTCTTATGCGAGTCAGTGGCCTTCTTGAGTATAATGGATATATTCCATATTTAAAACTGTAATTAATGAATCAGTTGTGAGATCACTGTTATTACGAGTCATGTGGAAAGAATTCAATTTCACAAAGAAAATTGGCTTTATATCTTATGTCTTATACACACAATAGACAAAAAACAGCTTATCAGCTTGAAAGTAAAATAAATGCTTGATCTGTTCAAACACACAATTAAAGTTTTGAAGTCGATTCAAAAAGGTTGAAAAATGGAGAAGCCTATCTAATTCTATGTATGTCTCATTGTCTATTGTTGAATCTATTCTAGAGCGCGTCAGTTCTCAATATGCAGTAATGCAAGTAAGACGAAACCAAAAGATATATGTCTATCTTTACGACTACTTTTTACCATTCAGAAGACCCCATCACTAGGTAAGCGACCCGCTATAGCGAGCATTTTTGCTATGCTTCAGCTGCCCATCCAAACATCGCTGAAACAGCCAATATACCAGAACAGGCGATTATAAAAGAAGATAGCAATTTCGAAAATGTCATAGATTTGTAAAAAGCATGTTTATTTTTATTTATCATAGAAAAAAGCCTTTTTTTTTATTGTTAATCGCTGAAGACACAGATAATGAGAGTTAGACGTTCACAAAATAAAAAATACGAGGGAAAAGGCTTGTGAGCCCCTCTCTGTTGATACACATTGTTTTATTGGTCGTTTATTTTGATGTAAAAATGGAATGGAGGAAAACAGAAGGTGCTGCTTCGGTATATGCATTATGTCAAGTTTTATGTTAGTAAAAACGAAATGAAAGGACAAGAAGGGAAAAATTAGCTTTTTCTTACCTCATACCTATCATTGTTAGACATGGATGCGCTATCTAGGTGTGGCTCAGGGCCGATAAGCATGCCGATATAAGAACGGATATAAAATTCTTTTCGTTGATCAAGCTTACAACAATACAGATCGTATGTTACAAGTGAGGATAACGAAAATAAACTGCTGCTTTGAGATCCAGAATGATGTCTTCTACTGGTTGGGAGGCAGTAGCAGTTACTGTAAGCATGTATTACGTAATATCACACTTGAAAATGTGTTTGTTGCTTCTATGTGTACGTATTCCCAAATTACACAAAGCAATTCAGACTAGCGAGTAAAAAGCTACCTACTCAATGTCGTTGATACCTGCAAAAATCTCTCCGACAAATACTTATAAGCTTATATTTAGCGTTTGCTTAAGTTGAAGCAACTATCTTTAAAATTTTGCGATTTGAACGATTTCATCTTTCTCGACATTAATTGGACATGTGTTAGCTGCTTTCATTCCGTGCAAAACAATAAAGCTGAGATAAATGCTCAACTGCTTTTTACTTTGTGATGTCTAGAAAGTCTATAAGTATGCAAGTTACAGGAAATGGACCAAGCGGATCTTAGTACGCTCAACGAGTCAGAGACTATTTGGTTGGTGGGGGGGGACTGATTGATTCTCTCTTGTAGTTTTATTATTCATTGATTTCAACCAGATTGATGCTAATGCCCAGAAGAAACTAATAAAGTTCTAGCTATAACGAGAAGGAGGCAATTTTTTTGTAAAATGACTCTCCCCCTATGCACAAGAACATAATGGGCCTCGGGAATGAAACTGGAAATTTGACCGATATTCATCTATAAAAGCAATACTTTAATGTTATAGCAAGGAAGCACATGACGCTGAAGAGATGATGTGATATGATGCGTGGTGTCGTTCTGAGAAACGGCCTTTTTATTTTGAATTTTACAGGACATTAGAAAATCAGGGCTTACAATTCATATTCTTTTCCGGATTTACCAAGTTAAACAAAGTAAAGGACATCATGTGACACAGATTGATGAGTGTACAGAGTGCTCGGGTTACGGGCCGATTGATCTTTTTGATGATGGCTCTGAAGAGAGTAGAGAACGTAAAGACAGTAACGCGATTGAATGATGTGACGACAAGAGAGTTTTTGCCAATAAGAATAGAGTTCGTTTTATTATTGATTTTTACCCCACATCGAATTGTCATCTTCTCCCTTCTCTTTTCCCTTTCTTGTTTCTTTTTCTTCATATCTCTTTTAGTTTCACCTTTTTTTTTTTTTACAAAACCAAATGATTATCAACGAATACAGAGTCATCAACAATTGTACTGAAGCAGAATATCAAGTCGGTAAGTAAAAGTTTACGGATTTATCAAAGTATTTCTGAGTTGTTCCTGGGTTTTTTTTGGATCAGTGTATTTATATATGAATAAAAAAAAAAATAGCCCAATTGTACGCAACTGCACTTGCTTCTGAAGAGAATACAGGTGGAGGCGAAGGTGTTGAAGTCATTAAAAACGAGCCTTACGAGAAAGAGGACGGCGAAAAGGGACAGTATACCTACAAAATCTTCCGTTTAGCGTCCAGAGTACCAGCTATTGTGAAAGCGGTTGCTCCTGCAGGAGCCCTTGATCTCTATGAAGAGGTAATAAAAGAAGTCTGAATAGAGTATTATCTATCGGAAAAAAGTTGTTTTCTTTTTGAAGCCCCAGAGACGTTGAACTGAAGGCGAGTCTTGCTTTTATTTGTAGGCATGGAATGCTTATCCTTATTGTAAAACAGGTAATACTAAGCGACTATCTTTGTATGTTTGTTCACACACCCCTCTCCCTATTCACACTGTTCTTCTTTTAAAAAACTGGTAGTGCTCAAGGTAATACATAGATAAATGCCTATCTGGAAAATCTGAAATGAATTTGTATAAGGAGAAAGGAATGGGAGAAGGGGTGGGGGTGGGGGGGTGGAGGACAGAGAAAATGATGACATCAATTATAAGACGGTTCGAACTTACGAAACTGTACATTTGGCGAATCATACATTGTTCAATGATAGAATGGTTATATGAAGGATGCTTTTTCTATCGTTTATGAAACACTACACGTTGACGGGTCGCGAGGTGAAATTGACAATGCCCTCAACATTAGCAAAGACTTATTGAAAAAGAGAAATGTGATCATTATTGACGTTGCTCATGACAAGATTAACCCTAAAGATTATAAAGCCGAGGAGGATCCCAAGCTATATCATTCCGAAAAAACAGGCCGTGGCCCTTTGACCGACCCCGATTGGCAAAAGAAGTGTGAGCCTGTTATGACATGCTACAAGCTCGTTTACATTGAATTCAAATGGTTCGGTATTCAAGGAAAAGTTGAATCTTTCTTAGCAAGGACGATACATACTCTTTTTACAAAATTTCACAGGTAAGCTATAGAATTCAGGCAGTTTGCTTTGTTGTGTGTGCAAGTAGGCTTATTCTGTTTCTTACACTATACGTACTTAGACAATTGTTTTGTTGGACTGATAAATGGTATGGTATGACGATCGAGGATATTCGTGCTTTGGAAGAAAAAATCAAAGAAGATTTAGATAAAAAGAGAAACGAAGGCGAGTTGCCTGCTAATACATTAGAAGATTAAGAAACTAAGGTCCTGCGCTCCTTGCACTTGATCATATATCAAGTCAACGTACTGCAGTTTTGTGGCTCTCGTTGATATTGTTGTTGTTGTTGTTATTGTTGTTGTATTCAAAAAATTAATTAATAAAGTGATATAGACGTTTCTTGTCTTTGGCCAATCTGTCCTCACCTGATTTAGCTGTAGAATGATGATAAAACAGTTTTTTATTCATCACACCATCTGGCATAACTATTGAAAAAAAAAAAAAAAAAAAAACGAGGAATTTGAAGAGAAGATAGTTAAAGTGCTTTTTATTTGCCTTTTGAAGTTTAAAGAACGCCAGACGCAATAAAAAACAAAGGAAACTATAAAAATGTAAAGCAGAGTATATCATTAGAAGTTTCAACTGATATTACGTTGCGCTAACTCCAGCATTTTGGCATCTCTTTTACATTTACGACTCAAAGAGTGAAGAAGATGTTTGTAGCAGCAAATACATACACTATAGCAGCTCATAGACTTGAAAATACATCCAGGAAACGGCAGTGATGGGTTGAAGTGAAGAGTTGAAGAAACTGTTGAAAGTTATTTGGTTACTCAGATACTCTTTCTGCTGAGTTTGTAAATCAATGTTGTGTTGCTATGTCCGCGGTATCTGAAAATGGCTATTTACAAACCTTCATCCCTCGCTGAGCTACAATGAGCAAAGGAAACACCTCTTGTCAATATGCTTGATGAGCCCTTCCATTTCAAAAAGGGCTTTCTATGGCTATAGCTATTCGTATATGTTGTAACGTTAGCAGATCTACACATATATTATATTGCATATGTTTGTGTGCAAGTAAAGTATCAGGCGGATCATTTAGATCAGAAGATTCTATCAAAACTTTAAACTACCAAACATCCTGCTGAATCCCCTGGGAATGCTTGATTCTGATATTTACTGATGGGCGGTAAAATGGCTGTAAAGGTAAATAATGTCAATTCATCGAGGGTTTACCGACTTTATTCTATTTTGCTTACGGAATTTTCCAAGAAAAGTTAGCAGCGGATGTTTCACTCATTAACTGCAGTAGAATGGGATGGCTCAAAAGAAACTTGATTTGCTGGGCAAAGGTTGGTATTCTGATTCCATGGTTGGAAGACGAGTTACATAATCAGTTTCTTTTAGGTTTAAAAGGGCTTTGGCCCAATTCCCGGATAGAGGTATGGTCTTTGGCTATGATCTGTCATATCTTTGGAAAAATGATGGCTCATTGATGCAAGTACATATTCATAAAAGCTTAGTAAAGGTAAGTTAAGGAGCATTCTCGCTTGATCACTATTCATGCACTGCTTCCACTTACGCTACATGGATTATTTTATATGCTGGAGTTCCAAAAAAAAAAGGTACTAAATCTGAGGAAAAAAAGAAACTTTTTTGCTCTACGCGCACGCAAAACATAAAGCAGCGGTCGTTTACACTATGCTTCATCCTCTTCCTTATTTGCTCCACTTCTTGTTTCCATTTTTAGTAACGGGAATCTCTGGTGAAAGCGCCCCGCCCCCGCCCTCTAATGCTTTGTGGCAGCTACAGCCAATAATAACAGAATTTACATGAAAATGGAATATAGCATTCAGGGAATAAAATGTTGACCTCTCACTGCTGCAAGCAAACAGATGAACTATCAAGGAACAGGGCCGAAATAACGCGCGTATATAGATCTTGGCGTGAGTTTATCATTTTTGACTCTGACGTCTTTTTAACAAGCCATTACACTTTATGCATTTTTTTTGCCCCCCCCCTCCCGCAGTGAACTTTCCCAATTAGGAAAATGAATCCAAAAATTAGCGCTATTAAGGATTTTTCACCCTTTTTAAGGAGCGCAACGTGAAGATCACTGATCCCAAGAGATACGCCTTCCATTAGACCACATTGCTTAACCATTGGCTTGATTTGTCCACACGCTTTCACGGTGGGTCTTCCATACGCCAGAAACGAAAGACTTCCATTGTGTTTATTGGCAAGCATCTTCCTATCTAGATCTCTTTTCCTCTTATTTCCATGCATTTTGTTTTTTTCTAATTTTCCTCTCCCACTGCAGGTTTCAGATTTTTCAGAGAAATCCCTACACACACACTGCATTTGTTGTTTCTAAAGGGAAAAAAGCAACTTTTCTGTCGAATCATATTCTTTATTTCAATTTCCATTTTGAGATGACGTGGGGTAGGTAGTGAAAAATCTTGATCCTCGTTTCGGGCGCGTCTATATATAAAAGAAGCCTTTATTATACACCATCTCACCCCTCTTTTCATCTTTTTTATCGTGAATCAATCAAATATTATCCCTTAAGCATCTTTCTTTTTCTTTCTCTTGTTGATAATCATATATACCAATTCATTGATTCTGCATTTACACTCAATTCCTATCATCGTCTCAACATGGTTAATTCACTCGACCTAAAATTGCCAGGCTACATGGTCTACTGTGTAGTCATTTCTTGTCTTGGTTCCTTCAGCAACGGCTGGGTCATTGGTTCTGCAAACGTTCCTGGTACGGTTACTCACGCTTGTCAAAACGGTTCTGCTCACGTCGTTAGTAAAGCTTTTCCTGATTGTCTTCCTATGAATGATGCTCTTTGGGGTTTCGCTGTCGCCTCTTTCTGTGTCGGTGGTCTTGTGGGTGGTTTTTTCGGTGGTGCTATTCAAACTAAATTTGGTCGTAAAAAGACCATTATCTTTAATAATATCGGTTGGATCATTGGTAGCCTCTTGATTGGTGTCTCTGTTCATACTGCTATGTTCATCGTCGGTCGTCTTTTCTGTGGTATTTCTTGTGGTTTGGGTTCTCTTACTACCCCTACTTACGTTGGCGAAACTTCCACTGTGAAAGCACGCGGTACTATGGGTACATGTAATCAGTTCGCTATCGTTATCGGTATCTTGCTTGCTTCCGTGATCGGTCTTCCTTTGGCTTCTGTGCCTCTTTGGAGAATCAACTATGCTATTGTTGCCATTCCTGCTATTGCTCAATTCATCTTGATGTACGGTTGTGTCGAATCTCCTCGTTGGCTCATCTCTCAAAACCGTCTCGAAGAGGCTCGTGCTAGTCTCCAACGTCTTCGTCCTGGTGCTGACGTTGAAGAAGAGTTCTACATGATGGTCGAAGGCGTACTTGGTACTGCTGCTGCTAAAGCCATGGTGAACTATTCCTCTGCCAACGATGATGTGGATGAACGTAAGGATACTTTTGAGGAGAATCATCTCGAAGATGGTTCTGAAGACCAAGATGCCCGTCCTCAAATGAACATGATTCAAATTTGGAGAGATCCTACTATCCGTAAGATCGGTATCATCGTCCTCATGCTTCACGTTATCCAACAATTAATCGGTATGAACGCTGTCATGTACTATTCCACCACCATTTTCAACATGTCTTTCGATGCTCAAATGTCTCAATATATGGCTATCGTCACCACCGTTGTCAACTTTGTTGCCACCATCGTTTCTCTTATCTTGATTGATCGTATGGGTCGTCGTCCTCTCCTTTTGATTGCTGAAGCCGGTGCATGTATTTTCTCTGTTCTTTTGATTATCGGTTATGTCTACCAAATCGGCGCTCTTTTGATTGTATCTGTCTTTTGTTATGTCATCTCCTTCGCTATTGGTGTCGGCCCCATTCCTTGGATGCTTACCTCCGAAGTTTCTCCTGTCTATGCTTCTTCTTCCATCGGTGCTCTTGCTACTGCTATGAACTGGGCCATGAACTTCTTGATCGGCCAATGCTTCCCCATCATCTTTGCTGCCATCCAAGGTTACTCCTTTGCTATTTTCGCTGCTATTGCCCTCGCCGCTTTTATCTTTACCTGGTTCTTCGTTCCCGAAACCAAGAACCGTACTATCGAATCCATTGTCAGATCTTTTGAACACTAGATTAATGTCTTCCCACCTGTATTTTTAGTTTTTCTTTTTTTATTATTTTTGTTTTATCATTTTCTTTTACTATCACATATTACCATTTACCTTGTACAATAGTTTCCCTTTGCATTCTATTCTCTTTTTATTTTAGCTATCAGAAGAAAAATAAAGTATAATCATTACTTTTAGCAATCCATTGGCCTGAAATGGTAGAGTTATGAAATGAAGAAGTGTTTATGAACGGATGATACATAATGAAAACAAGTGTAGTTTAGTAATTCAACGTGTGCCAGCCATTCGTTAAGTTACCATGATGATCATGGGATTCATAGCAACAGAGGGTAAAGTTTATATATACATCACAATCATAACACATCAGATATTATCTATTTCTCAAACCTCTTTCTCAAAATATGAAAGACCACTACAAATATTTATGGTTTGCGGCTATCCGCATGGGCAAGTAGTGGCATATCTTCACTCTATCTAATCTGTGATACTGCTTATCTATGCAGAAAAGGGCGATCTAAAATAGTTGATTAGACTACACTATACCAACTCAGCCTTCAGTTCAATAGTATGATATGCAACATAGGCTTCACCTGCCATATTAGCCTATGGATTGAGGACGAGAAGGCTTTGAGTATTTTTACTCAACGACGTGTTTCATTTTTTGGATCATGAATTGCTGCTACTGGGACAGCGCTTCCTTAACCTCTGCTATTCAATTTTATTTTTTTTTCGGTACTACACCCCCAGCAAAGAAACCCCCTCAATTTAAAATTCCTTTCTTTGCGGGTTCCTGCTGCTGCTTGTCAAATAACTAAATTAATTCAGGCCTTCTTCAAACAACAGACATAACGATCAAAATCTGCCTACAATGAACTTCAAAAGCCTATGTACTCGATGGAGGGCACCAGTAAACTCGTTGACAACCTCTAGACACTTCCACAGCTCCCCACTTGCTCTATCACATATCGGACGTACACCGTTAGCTTATTCGAACGATGTCGTTATTGAACAGGACACCATACCCATTACTCAACCTCGCATTCCTTCCGAGTATAACAACACGATGCTCCATATTAAAGGCCCTTTAGGCCAACTTCAACTTCCCATCAAACCCTTCGTGAAGCTAAACTTTACACCTGCCACACCTGATAGTCCTACTGCCGACAATCTATTAGAGGTGGCTGTCGAAGACGAAACCGTTAAAGAGCAGAAAGCAATGTGGGGTACAACGCGTGCTCTCATCAACAACGCTATTGTTGGCGTATCAGAAGGCTTCAAAGTACACTTACGACTCATCGGTGTTGGTTACAGAGGAACATTAGAAAATAACAACAGAACACTTTCATTAAAGTTGGGCTATTCACATCCCATTTTGATGGATTTGCCAGAGGGTGTGTCTTGTACTATACCTACACCCAATCGTATCATTCTACAGGGCATCAATCTTCAACAAGTGAAACAGTTTGCAGCAGAAATTCGTCGCTGGAGAAAACCAGAACCTTATAACCAAAAGGGTATCTTTGTTGATGACGAAACAATCAAGAAGAAGGATGGCAAGCGGAAGTAGTCGAAATGATAATAGTAACAATAATAATAATGATAATAATAATAAATGCTTAACAGATAGAATAACTTCCCTCCGCCTCATGCAACTGCTATTTATGTTGATTGTATTTTTGTATATTATCAATGGTCATTCTTTTCTTTAAAACAAGTCTTTGTATGTTTACCTTTCCGCCCCCGCTTCGCCCTTTCCCTTACTCATCATTTGCTTGCAACTAGGACTACATTTCTGGGAGAGATAGAAAGATCAAATAAAGGATACATCCAGGGACCTCGTTGACTATTTTCCTCATGAACATGATCACGGCTATTTTGCTGGATAGTCTCATTCAAATAGAGCCATCGATCCATCAAAATGATACTTTCGAGTATTGGCGCCAACATTCCTCTTAACGTCCAGAGTATAATAAATTGCTTATCTTGACTTTTCCTCTTGGCTTCCAATAGATGCGACTTTGCTTCTTCTTCCGTTATCGTTTCTGGCGGTAACTTCATCCTTCTCAGTGCTGCTTTTACAAAGGTGACAAAGTCTTTATTCTGCTTTATTCGCCCTAACCTCGGAGGATCGTTGATATCTGACAAGCCTTTATTGACAAGCATTTCCTTTTTAGACAGAAAAACATCTGTATGAATAGAGCGGAAAGCATTCCATCTTGTCTTTGAACTTACCTGAAATAAGGCTCTGAAAAAGTAATTATCAAACGCTGCAATGCATTGTTGACCTTCTTCGATCCAACGCGAGGGTGAATGGCATGATAAGACTCGAGACGTTGAATTGAGGTAAAAGGCTGATTCCGTCTTCTGTTGTCGTTGTAAATAAGAGCTCATAGGAAACCCTTTTTCAGTCAAGGCATTATAACAGCAACCAACATTGACTACACACGCCACTTGACGACTCTTAGCGAAGAGATCCAAGATCATCGGTGCCAAGTCACCGCAAGTATGTAAGCCAGTAACTAGCCAACGTTTATCGTCATGGGTTTGTTGTTGTTTTTGTCGTTGCTCATCTTCTGGTACCGTCGTATACCGTGCTAATATATCTGTGATATTCTCAGGTGTAATCTTTTCTGTCACATGTTTTAAATTCTTTTCAAATGCTGCTGCCTTCGAGAACGACGACGACGACGACGACGAAGACGACTCTTTCAACGCTTTTTTGTCAAACCGAATGGCTCCTTTTGTCTGTACTTCAGACATATCGACAGCAAGAACTTCCAGGCCGTAATCAAAGGCAAGAGCACGCGACAAGTAACCTTGGCCTGAACCCAAGTCAATAACAGACGAAATGCCTCCTTCCTGAGCAATTGTGTGTATGAGATGCGCCATCACTTCAACTTCATGCACCTTCTTGTTACTCATACCACCCAATAGATATTTACTTATATTAGGTCGTTCGTTTTCTTTTTCATTTAAGACGTCTATAAGGGCGATTTTTTTTAACGGATGGTTGGTAAAAATGTAAGCATCAGCGTTTTTCAAACTTCATTACATAGGTAATAAATATGCTTTGATCTAAAGGTACCTCGAGGTAATGGTAAATCTCTTATGGTTTCTAAATAAGCCTTTAAGGATGTAGGCCATCGAGACTAATTGTATCAAGTAAAAAGGAGAGAAAAGCGTGCTCCACCAGAAATTAATACATAGACTACTATATATTGAAGAAACTTATCCAGTATACAGTCGTCACTTTACATAATCTGCTTCTTTCGAAGTAAGTTCTAATACTGCACAAGCACAACGATCATCACCAGCTTCATCAACGTAACTCATAAGCGCTTCTGTCCATTCTGCAGGAAATTTCCCCCAGTAGTTATGTGTGAAAATGTCAAAGGCCAACGCATCGATCAGCCATTCATACTCTTTGCAAACATCAATCAAACGATCCAAGTATTGTTCCGGAGTGGTGTTGCTGAATTTAGCAGGTAATGGAGGAAAGCGATAAGCGAGCGATTTCATCTCCAATGTAAAGTACTATTTTCGTGTTCTGTGTGTAGATTTTTTTTTGACAGCTGAGCTGGTTCAATGAAAAACTTTCTGATCTCTAATAAAAACAAAACCAGCGAATACAACAACAGCCTATAATAAATGCCTATAATTGAAAAAGAACAACGAATCCTGATCCTTTGAAAAAAATGTAGATATTACTGTACTCTAATTGATGGAAAGGTTGTTATGGTGAAAGAGTACATGCTGCTCTCCTCATATTTTTATTCATTCTTAAAGCCTGTTTTAATGATAGATGACGTGGTGATAAAGTGAAAATTAAGTCCGGCCAAAAATCTTAAAAACTGCAAAAAGAGACTTGAAGACGTATGAAAGAGAACAAAAAAAAAAAAAAAGCCTTTGAGGGACTTGCATTAGCCCAAATTCTCTTTTCTTCTTTTTTTCTTTTTCGATTTGAAAGAGGACAACAGTATCGTATACCCGTTTTTTTTTTCCTTGATATCATATCCTTTTATTCCTTTTTTTTGGTGCCATTTTTGATCTATATACTCAGTCACTATCTAATACTAAGATAAAGAGAAAGGAACAGATTCCCTTTAACTGATTACAAGATCTCTCCATTCAAGGTTGCTCAAGCTTTGACTTATTCCTTTTTGTACAGTTCAGACAATTGTAGCATATCAATGGTCATTCACTAATATGGTCCTCCTTCTTCTGACTTAGCCTCATACCTTCTCTTTTGATAAAAAGCATCACAGTTGAAAAAAAAAAAGAGTTACCAGCCTTTTTCCCTCTTCACTAGCTCATTCAACCGAGAAAACGAAACGATAAGTCTAGCTGGTCGAGCTTACTCATCTACAATATTATCAATTTTGGCATAAATACCGAGCAGAAACGCAAAAAAAAAGAAAACAAAACAAAGCAAAACGATAGAAGTTTTGAAATTTTCCCTTTACTTCAAACAGATTAGATTGTAAACAAAAAAGAAAAATACAACTACTTTACTATGACACATGATAAAATAAGAAAAGGAAGACTCGCCTCTCAAGACCCCAATAAAAAAGACAAAGCCGGACGCACCAAAATCTTTCCACTCATCACTTCCGGACAATTGGAGAAAGTGAAGGAACAAGTAGAACGTGGAGCAGATATCAACCATCAAGATAATGCTGGCTGGGCGCCCTTACACGAAGCCGCTCTCAAAGGACAGTACGAGATCGCCCAATACCTCATTCAGTTGGGTGCCGTTGTCAACGTTCGTGGATTTGAAGATGATACACCGCTTCATGATGCCGCAACGTACGGCTACCCGGACCTCGTTCAGCTTTTGATAGATGCAGGCGCAGATGTGTATGCAATCAATACTGATAAAAAACGACCTATCGATCTGTGTGAAGATGAAGAATGTATAAAAATTCTAAAAGCAAAGATGGAGGAGCTTGAGCATTTAGCAGCAAAAGACACATTGGGAAGAACAGCGCTACATCGAGCTTGTATCAACGGCTCCATCGATGAAGTCACTTCTTTATTGAAAATGGGAGTCGATGCGAATGCTACCGATGATGAGCAATGGACACCATTACACTTTGCTGCAAAGCAAGGTTCTCTGGATAATGTGAAGCTCTTAGTGGAATACGGAGCAGATTTAAACAGTAAAAATCAACAGGGATTCACCATATTGCATGTTGCTTGCCTGTATTCACATGACACGGTGGTGCAATATCTCGTTGATTTAGGAGCTGATGTACATGCGCTAAATAGAGAGGACCAACTGCCTTATCAAGTAGCTACTTCTGTCACAGTCAGACAAATAATAACAGCAAAAATGGATGAAGAGCGCAAACTACGAGCAACAACGGAGGCCATTGACGAAATGACATTTGTCTCTAATTACAGACAGCAACGACGTAAATTGACCAGTAGCGATTCAACACCGTCAACACCAGGCATTGCGAACATAACAGAAGATGAAGCCTTCCTATCGAGGGAAGAAAGAAAAATTCAGGCTTTGATGCGATCTTTTGAAAGAGCAGAAAAGAAAAAGCAGGCTAAAAGAACACGAAAACAAACTGAAAGTGCACATAGTCCGTCTGCCACCATGACCGATATTGAAGAGTCTGAAAGTAAAAACAAAAATGACACTAGATCTGTTAATTCCACCATCAAGGATAGTAGCAGCTCTGATACTTCTACGGCCACTAATTCTAATTCCTCAACAGCTGCTCCATCAAGAACAAAAAGAAGGAAAACGAGCACTACCACTACCACCACTACGACTGCTACGACTACTACGACTACTTCATCTATGAAGAGGCCATCGTCCACAACATCGTCACCGTCATCCCGGCAATCATCCAGAGAGAACTCTGTTGATAACAGTGCTACAAAAAAACGTGCAAAACTATCCACTTCATCCACCACCTTAGATTTCCGTCGATTAGACCCACGGAAAAGAGACACGAGTGGCCGCACTCATTTACATCAATGGTCTATCAAAGGAAATACAGAAGCGGTCGCCTATTTATTAAAAGCAGGAGCAAATCCATGCGAAAAAGACAATGCGGGTTATACTCCGTTACATGAAGCAGCCTTGCGAGGAAAAACAGAAGTAGTCAAACTTTTGTTGGAGATGAATGCGGATGTGAATTGTAAAGGAGCAGATTTGGATACACCATTACATGACGCAACTGAAAACGGCTTTCCTGATGTAGTACATCTATTACTAACGTATGGCGCGGATATCAATGTGAAGAACGCACGAGGATTAACTCCGTTAGATATTGCTTGCATGGATGGCGATGAAAACGATGAAATAAAAGCATTATTACGCCGATATCAACAAAAACAAAAAGAAAAGCCACTCAATCTCAACACGACTCCTTCCACTGCAGCAGATGAAAAAGCACCGCCGACCTCATCAAAGAACGACGCAGCGATGATGATGACAGCGAAAAAGGCTCATGCGCGGCAATTATCAGGTCAGCATCTGCCCAAGAAAGGATTCAAACATCAGTTAGTAAAAACGGAACTGTCATCACCCGATGGTCCTCATACACCCATACCCACACCGCCGCCCGAAAAATGGCAATTTAAAATGATTAAAAAAGAAGACAGGATGGATTTGGACCTACTAAATAACAGCAAGAGTAATCGTAATAGCAGTAGCAAATTATACCCACCCATTCATACCGCATCGCGCTATCTTCCTCTTTATACTATACAATTAACGAACAACAATGATCAGAATCACTTTTTTGTCGTTGATCTACAAATCAGTCTTTTATTAGGCATTACAACGCGTCAGTTAACTGAACAATATCCTCATTTGCATCGAAGGCAGGTATTAGATAAAGAAAAAGAACGACTGTGGTCGCCTTTATCGTCTATGTTATGTTTACCGCCAGGACAGCCCAACCGGAAAATAACTGCAAAGCAGAAATTCTTCCAGATGCATATTTATTTTGTTCGGCTAGACCAAGTGGTGTCTATCATAAAGGATGATTATAATCATTTGAGCAAAAGTCTCATCACAATCAATTTGGATATTGGATATACACCTATAAATACTGCCACTAGTGGACAGACAGCAGCACATAATAAGTTAACGGCAGATGCTAGCAGTAGTAGTGATAGTAATAAGAACAATATCAGCATACAATCCGTTAGATTACCTCCCAAGTTTGCGATGAAGATGAAGAAATGCGGTATCCTGAAGTAATAAGCAACCTATCATTAAAATCGTTCCGTACTTCTGCTTCATGTACTACGACGAAGAACAATAAAACTCCTTTTTCCTTTTTACTTTTTTATTGACCCATAATTCCACTTTTGGATCACTTTAAAAGTACAAACACACTTTATTAATAATAAGGATTTTGGTTCTATTCTTAACTGAGCGCACTTTAAACTTAGAATTTGAAGACATTGTCTTTAGCATAACCTAATTCCTTCAAATAACCATCCAATTCACCTTGTTGCATCTTATCCTTAGCACCAGCAATAGACTTGACCATCAAAGGAGGACCACAGATGAAAATAATAGAATCTTCTTGTTGAGGACTAGGCAAATACTTTTTGATGGCTTCCTTATCTACATAACCGACAAGACCGTCCCACTTTTCGGGGGCCTTATCCAAAGCATACACAACCTTGAAGCGGTCAGGATGTTCTTTGGCAATCTTATCCAACTCCTCCTTTAGCAAAATATCCTTATCGGTTTGATTGGCAAAGATGAGAGTGATTTTAGTGTTCTTGTCCGAAGACTTTTCATGGAAGACACGACGGATGATTTGCAACATAGGGGTGATACCAGTACCGCCAGCAATCATACCAACATTAGCCTTTTGGTTCTTCTCCCAATCATACTTAGGAATAGGACCCTTAAATTCCAAAGAATCGCCGGGTTTGAGGTTGTGGATGATAGGCGTAAGTGTACCGGTTTCGTATTTCTTGATGATAAAGTCAACGTATCCTTCAGCCTATTTAGTCTTGCGTTAGTACGAAAAATCTATACTTTACATTGTCGAAAATAAAAAGCCTTCGGAAATCTTACTTCTTGATCAGACACGGGAGTGTAAGGACGGACAATAGGCTTTCCCTCTTCAGGAGTATACTTGGCAACAACACATGAAGCAATGGGGAGACCGGCGGTATGACCTTCAGGTAGAGCGAAACGGAAAACGCTGGTATCATGACTAATAGGTTCAACTTCGAGAAGCTAACAAACAGATAAAATGCGTAAATATTGGCTGTGGAAACCCAGTGAAAAGCAAAAAAGTGTCAATTGTTACCTTGAGAGAGACAAAGTTCTTAGGATCCAAAGCAGTGGGTTTTGGCTCGTTTGTTGTCTGCTTCTCCTCTGCTACGGCAACGGGAAGAACCTTAGTATTACTAGAATTGTAAGCGATGCCACCAGCAATGCCTGCACCAAATAATGCTGTCAATAAGAGCTTACTACCACCTGACTTCTTCCCAGTGGATTCACTTGTATAAGAGCGGAAAGCGCCAAAGTTGAGAGCTTGTTGTCTCTGTTTAATTTGAAGTTAGAAGATTGTTTATTATTACCCCGCTTTTTTGTTTTTGACAGCTAAGAGCTTAGAATTCAAAAATAATCATAGTTGAATAATTGACAGCTTACTTGAGCCATACGACACGTAGGGTTTCTAATGGCAGTGCGGATAGCACCGGTCATAGTAGGTGTATAAAAGCGCATACTTGAAGGGGCAAACAGATATTTAAATTAAAAAAGATTAGAAACGAGATATAGTTTGAAAATTAGAAAAATGAAAACAGAAAAAAAGAAAACAGTTTATTTGTTCATGCCCGTTGAATCTGCTGTGGGTCAAACGGGCCAATGATGTCATACAAAAATTCGACATTTTTGATCGGCGATCGGCATTGAACTTATCCGGCGGGCTTCCATCAGTAAATTTGAAGTAAAACTTAAAAAGAATCTCAGTTTACTCAGGCTTAAGTGAGGCCTTGTGAAATTAAAGAATCAAAAGTGAGCAAAAGCTCGGATCGGAGCAAAGTTAACATGAAAGAATAAAAATCAAGGGTTACTATTAAACAGGGCCTTACAAATCGATTAAAAGTTGATCCAACTTCTTATATGTAGGATATTACAGTTTTTATCTATGTCTGGCGAAAAAACGATAGGCCCTAATGTCAGCCTACAGGAAACAGCAACAATATAATTTGTGGTTAGTGATGATGGTTTTGCCACGGGAGTATCACAATAAATAGTCGGATCACAAATTATGCAGGTAGCAACGGAAGTGTGGATCTGTGTTAAACAAAACATTTCGTTATTGCCTGCGAATTTCCCATTAAAGGAATCACCTAGAATCATGGTTTTATTTACGTTAGTTTTATGCTATTATGCTTTTACCATGTAAACTATACATTTCTTGCGCAAGAAAGTAGCTATCATTGGAGAAAAGAAAGAACCAAACAATCGTGTTCAGTTACCCCTGGATACAAGAAAGTACAATTTGCGTGTTGGTTTGTAAACATTCAACTCCAAATTTGAACGAAATTAAGGGTTTAGACTAGAAGAATTCGACTCATATACATGTAACGTAATAAAATCTGTGCCAAATCAGGAGATGATACGACTAGCGAAGTAGTAAGATCATAAATGATTCATCATGGAATGATATTACGAATAACCCGGGGAGAACTACATGAAAATAATGAAACTAAGGAGAAGGCATTTCGTTGTTTTTTCCCGAGTACCTCTGAACTTCTTCTATTATGCTTTTGTGACCTATAATTATCATACTATATGGCTTCTACCTATACATATATTGTATCGTACATATGCTCTCAAATGACAATAAAATGAGACTTAGCACTTAATTTTAGCTTCATTGTCATCTAAAATATATATTAGCCTCTTCCTGTCTACTTCTTTCTTTTTTTTTTTTTTTTTTTTTTTTTCTTTCTTTCTTTTGTATGCGTTTGCTACAATTTTTACTTCTACTACCTTTTTATGATTTTTAGCAACAGTTCTCACAGCAGTTAGAGCATTATGACACCACAACCACAACCACAACCACAGCAACAGCAACATTTAATTCCTCCCATCATAGTATCTTCTTACTCTCATAACAGTACATTGTCCAAAATGTATTCAAGTAGCAATAGTACCTCACCCTATGCACTAACGGTGCGGCAGCAACCTGAAAAGGCTAGATTATGCAGTTTCAAAGACAAAGGTAGAAGATGAGCGAATAAAAAAACGTGGTCTTGTTAAAATATTCACTGCGTATAATAATCCAATGAGTCGCTGTAGTGGATCGTCGACCGTTAGACCCACCGCCTATTGTACAACTTCATCGCAGCAATAATACAAATTTCAAGTAAATATAAGACATTAGTTAAAAAAGGAAATATGTTATCGAGTAAACCATGGGGGATAGGTCTGCGCGTAATTATCCTTGCGTGCAAACACGCACAGCGATGATATGCATTTGGGGGTGAGCGGGATAAAACAAGAAAATTGAAGGGGGAGAAAATATATGTTTGAGCGTATAAGAAAGTGAAAAGATCATTAAATGTGTAGAATCATATTTTTGTAACAGTAAAACAAAAAGATCAATACAGTAGATTAATAACCTGATCATAACTAATGTGAGTATCACTTTGTTTTTGCGCATTTGAAATTCTAGTGACTACCATATCAGTGCCAACTTTTTCCTGCATGCTACCTTGGCAAACGCCAATGATCATAGTGATATACATTATGTCAATGGTAATAGAACCACAGCGGGATCCGTTGTCCAATCGTTGCATAAATTGAAAGATACTAGTAATTCAGGTAGGTAAGAATTCGGTATAGTCAATGTCTACATTATCTAAATATCGTCTATTTTTAGAGGGTGCTTTCTTCATCTTTTCTGACATAAGTGTTCGTATTGAAGGTGTATTTAGACTGAAGTTTACTCTATTTCAGATCAAAGGGTATAGCGTATAGAATTTGTAATCTTTTAAGTTTTAAGACTGATAAACATTACAATCATTCACTAAAGGATCGAAGTCGAACGAATCTGCTGTACTTTCTCAAACCCATTTCGGGTCTACTCACCGAAAAGTAAGTTACATTATCCATATCATTGTATAAAACTTAAACTGTTAGACATTACATGACTTTTTATTTACATTTCATATACAACTGCGTGGGCGTCTACTCATCATGCTTTTTTTTTTCCCTTTTCATTAAAGATTTTCCGGGTATGTCAGGTAAGAGAATACGTTTCCATATTTAACGGTTTTTCAAAATTATGCGCGATATATCACATCATTGACATAATTTATCACTATAACGTTTCATACAATATATAGAGTCCACTGAACTTACTCGTACCTTCTCAGATCAAGGGTTAAGAATACGGATAAGGAAAGAAGCTAGGGCTGCTACTAATTCTGCAACTAATACTACTACTACCACTACCGTCGTAGCTCCTAATATGTACGGATATAAAAAGAATTCTATTACATCTTTTGCCTTTTTTTAACTTCATATACCATCCATGTAGGAAACGTCTGAGAAAGTCAAGTGAAACAGACGATCAGCATCAACAGCGCGTCATACGACAACACTTGTCATACTCGCCACCTTCAACAGATACACAACAAGCAACATACTATCCATACTCTGCTAATTCCTACCATCACTTCCGATCATCGGTCTCAGTCCCTTCAAAAGGGTTCAATAGAGCATCAACTACTGCGAGAAGTAGCAACATTGCTAACAGTTATAACAATCGCTCAGCTATGTCCATGCAGAATTTGCTTATAAATGATTCATCGGCCTCTCCAACATCGCACGTTTCTACTTCTTCACCACAGCCGAGGTGGTTAACGCATATGCAAATACACCCTCCAGTGAACCCAAAACCTTCGTATTCTTTGCCTTTCGCTGTTACTCGCCATCATTCTTTTTCACCGCCTTTACTGCAACAGCCACTCAGTATGAAGCTACCTGAAGTATTGGAACCATCTGTATCACTTACAAATAACAAGAGCTATACTTCACCTTTCCCTTTAACTGCTTTTACTGAAGACCCTCCTTTCAAAAATGGCAACACCAAGTTAGTTCAATTACCTGCTTTGAAAACGATTTCACCGCTGACGAAACGTTCTTACCAACAGCTTTACAGCGAAACCGGTCTTGATGTGCCAGCAATTGGATATAGTACTGAAACTAATTCTGCTTCCTTATTCAAAGCCCCTATTATACCAAATGCCTCGGGCAATATGAGTAGAATGCGACGAGAGCATACATCTTAGAAACCTCACTACATTTCTTTGGAAAATCTTATTTAAACGTTCTATTTATTTACATACCCATTAAAAGTTATACGCTTTCACAAAAAGAAACAAAAAAAAAACCCTCAAAAAACGCAGAGCAACAAAACAGAACAGCAAAAGTACAACACACTATATATATATAAGTATATTGTATATACTACTTCTAAAGACACCAGCATACTGTTTTACTCAGTTCATTCATACTTCCCCAATATTCTCATCCTCTATGGTAAACAAGAAAAACTTTTTTACGCGTAATTCATCCTCAACGAACACTACCCTTATTAGTACTTTTAGTGTTGACACTGTCAGTAGTGTTTACAAGCATTTATTTCATATGCGCATTCCTAAACCAATCTATATATGAATATGATTACCTTATCCATTGAATATGTTCGTATCTTCATTATTTGATTTATGTGTAAATAAAATGAAATCAAACCCTACGTACCAACTGAACTGATAATTAAACGAGCCTTACCAATTGATGGTCTTACAGCAGTGTAATCATCGAAAGCAATGCAGATCGTATCTATTCTTTATCCCTCAGACTCATTCGATCAATTTAGGCGATAGTGTGATAAGTGCTCAGTTGGACCTTCAATATATAGTCGGGTCCGGATGCTATCAGCAATGCAGTTATTGCTATTCTCAATGAATTATAACACCACTTGAACACGTCAACTGTATCGAGCAATCCTTTCCAATTAAACTGATTTTTTTTTTATTTGAATCGAATAGATTTGTATTATCCAAATCAAAGAAAACAGCTTTCAATTAATCACTCAAATTGTGATTGTGTAGTCAGACTGCTCGTTGAGTATGGCAGCAAAGTCAAACTAATCTCCTGTACTAGATAACCATATAAAAATACGAGTCAATAGTTGTTGTTTTTTTCTATTACTTATTTATACTCACTCTATTTGTTAGACGACATGAAGAACGGCAAAATTATTTCGCTATTACTCTTTGAATTGACTTCAAAATAATAGCCTTTGCAATTATTTGAGAAATAGTAGGACTATATCTCAAGTGTTTGAATGAAACGCTGAATCAACGAGACAAATACTCTGAATAGGAAGGCTTTCATCTTACTACAATTCTCCTCTCTATACTCGTAAAAGATTGACAATTTTATTACTGGTAAAGATTACAAACGCTTATATCTCCTCTTTGCTCAACCTACTGAGTAATTTTGATTGATTATTAATAACATAGTAGAGCATAGTAAATTTAATGATAAAGAAGATTTATGTACAAGGATTAATGAAACATGTAACAATCTTTTTTTGAATATATTAAGTAATATGTTTCTATCTCATTTACTTTATTTCACCACTGATATCTAGCCAAAGTTAAAAAGATGATACTGTAACGTTAAATCGGGCTTTTTCAGTATTGAATTGTTCAAATGCGTATTTCTTTTGTTTACTACATTTCTGTTCTTGATTTGCATAATTATTGGCATACCTAACTCTCCCGTCTTCGTCAAGGTTCACAAACAGATTCCTGAGTCTACATTGTATTGCTCATTATCAGTATCTCATTGAGATTACACAAATATAGCGTTAAATGGATCCTTCATAAGCACTACTCATCTGAGGCATCCGAAGCGGCAGCAGAAACTTGGTGGTCAGCCAACCATCAGACGTGGTCCTAAGATAAACCATCTTCGGGCCAAGAGTTGTACCAAGCAACCTCGCCAACAAAATAAAAAAAAAAAGGTAAATAAACAAGCTTAAGATATTATGTGAGATAAAGATCCCTACCCGGGTCACTTTGATACATGTTGATATACATAAGCATGAATCGGCTGCAGCTCATCACTGCTGCCCTCGTATCTTACTAAAACACTTCGCGATTGCATTGCCGAACGCATTTAAGAAGGTTTTGATACGTAGATATCTGTCTAGCAATCCAGTGTAGCTCTGAGCAATTCTTTTCAAAAAAAATTAAACGTCAAGAGTATTTTTGAAAACGGCCTTGAACGCAGGTATATGCAGATGAGTTATATATTATCTAACTCCGTAGTCAGCATGAATCAGCCAAGGTACGGTTAAAGGAACTTATGAGAGCAGAAGCATTGTCAGACATACATCGATGATGATTTCTATGAGAACTTTACTTTTGAAATCATTTCTCCTTGTCACGTTCTGACCTGTAATTCATATAACAATCTGAGAAACAATCCAGATTTACTGCCTTTACCAGTAATAGTGTACTGGAACAAATAAGATTTCATCAGGCACACTTCAACCTTACTGGTAATCTAGATATATCTCAATGGCGTTGTACAATTCATTAAGAGGAACAATATTACTCGGTTGTCACTACTACTTTCTTAATTCCACTATAAGCTCAGTTCTACCTCGCATTCATATAAAAGACCCTTCAATTTCTAAACCAAAATAAAAGCATCCAAGAACTATTGTTTGGTCTCTCTGACTCACTCAGTCTATCTTAAAAACTCTTTAAATAATAATTTTGATATCTAAGAATATCACATATCATCCTTTCTTCCTGGTTTCATCATTAGCATCAAGTACTTTAAGAATTTAGTCTTCATGCTGCACTTCCTTCTTACTCGCATCGTCCAAATGGTATCAAATTTAACAACTTGCAATTCCTCTCAGAAATCGTACTATCAGGCATCGCGCTTTGCATAATAGACTCCTAACCAAATCAATACTTCACTGTCTTATCCCCCGTACTCATCTCTCATCTTATTTCGTCCCTCGATAGTCCCTACTGACGAAACATCCGATCATTTTTTAGGTGGTAGTCCTTTTATTTATCGGTAAGGAATAAGGTAAAGATATAGCCATCAATAAAACTTCATTCCTCGGAAGAATTCTTTCGAAATTGTGAAGGTCGTGTCCTGTTATTTTTTGGTGTAAAGAATATAAACCGAGGCTCTTCATTTACGTTGACGATGGATATTTTCGCTTTTTTGACATCTCTTTTTTTCTTATTGATGCCTTGTAATATCTGTCTGACCAGTATATCCATATTTTTCTATTTGAGAAAATCAATACAAAACCGAATGCTGGGTTTAATTGGAAAGCAAACTCACCTTCCAAGTATATATTAGTTTGATTGTCTGCCTAAATTCTTCATCAATCTCATGGAGACTTTTAGGCAAAAACACGTCCCCAAGCTTCTTCGCTATGAAGACATCATCTTCTTTCACCAGAGCATTGATACATCCGTCTCTACCAACCCAATCGGAATACATCAATATGAACGGATCTCTATTGCTAACATTGTTTTCATGAGGGAGTCTAAGTATGCTCTCTAAAATTGAAGCATTTACTCTTAAGTTTTTGCTTTCTTGCCTTCTTGCAACAGAAGGGCTTACATTCCCTGCTTTCCATTCGCAAGAAGAGACATTTGTTCCGAATGAAGATAGCAGAAGATCAATTCTGCGTCCCATGATGTTTTGTGGCATCGAACCCAAAGTTTCATCGGCCGTATACGCCTTCTCATTCTCCACGCGTACAATTTTGGATTCATCACAAGCTTGTTCCCCTAGCTTAAACTTGTACTTATCTCCGCGAAACACAATTTTTAAAATGCTGTAACAATTTTCGAGACATTCTAATTCATTTTCGTCCCCATTCAAATAGTAAACAATGTTTTCTATCCTGTGATTTGGGTTTAGTCACTTTAGCTTTGGTAAAATAAATAAATCATACTTACAAAGTGTCTAGAATTTCAATAATCTGTAATTCTTCACAATCGAACTTCTTTCTTCTGTACTCAAGCTTTTTTTCATTCAAGTATATCAAAGCTTCATGTTCAGATTGTGCGCCATTGTCTGATTCACTATTCAATATCTGCAAAGCAAATCAGTAGATGATTCTCAGCTGACTACATCTATTATGCGCTACTTACCGTAGTAACAATGGTATAAATTTCGTTACTTTCTTGTGTTAAATCATATATGGGATATGATATATTTTTGAACTCAGACCAGCGAGCATTTGGAAACACATTTTTGGAGTACTGAGACACCCAATCGTATTTGGCTAAGGACTTCATCTTTATCAATTCAGTTTTTCAATATGGAAATTGAAAGACGGTTTAAATGGTCAAGATTGGTTTCTCGCCTGAGGAGGAGTTCATCAATATCATTTTTTGAGGGTGCATAGTCCTCATTTCTATGCTATTCTCAAGAAAGTTTGGTTAAGCGAATTGAACAATAGAATTTAAAAAATAAAAATCTATGCGTACTAGTTTAAAAGCCCATTTAAATAGCTCATGTCGCACATCGTTGTTACTGTTAACTATGTTTTTCTGTATTAAGTCCATAAACTCTTCCTGTTCATCGTCTTTTTTTTCATCATTTTCCTTGGTCGTATCATCATCATTATTGTCATTTTTTCCATCGTAGCCGTCATCTTCATCATTTTCGTCGCTATCGCCTTCTTCATCGTCTGTCGTTTCTTCATGCTTTCTTTTATTGATAGCATAGCAATGTAGGTTGGTACGATTGCTTTGTTCGACAAATCGCTGAAAATTGTTTTCTTTCTTTTGAAAGCTGTCATTTTGCTGCTGTTGCAAACGTATAATCCTATGATTGACTTCTGTTACTCGACTGGCTACTTGTCTGTGTGTATCGACAAGACGTGGTACAAGGTTTTCGTATTTTTATAATCTGCCAACAGAAGGACTGGTTACGGCAGCTACAACATCTTCTTGAAACTGCTTGAGTATGTAATTTGAAAAGATACTGCTTCTGGAGTTGACGAGTTTATTCTCCTTGTTCAAATACATGTATACTGCTGCATCTTGTAAAAGTATCCTTCTACATCTGATCAAAAGTCGTAAAAAGCCTCTCTTTGCTGTGTCTAAGCTGCTCTGAACTGCTCGTTGCTTTCCCTTTCTTCGTCTTTCTCGAGAAACCATGATTTCATCCTCTTCTACAAATTCTAATGAATTTTCACTGATTTCAACATTGGCCATGCCTCCTCATCTTCGTTCGTCAATTTCTTGCATTTCTCTCTCACATACAGTCATCGACTCGATGTTGTTCTCTCCAAAATAATACTCAATCTAAACGTCGCTTAGATGAAGTGGTCTGATTGAGCATAGGTTGCATATTGAATGGTTTAGAGTATACAAAAAAGACAAACTTTGATGTTAAATCAACTGTGTTGGCGTGTGGTAGTATTTATAACTATCGAGTTAATAATACTAGAAAGTTCCTGCAAATATTACAGTTTGATTAACTCACTTGTATGCGAGGTACAACACTGTTTTTTTTAAAAGTGCGACATCAGGTTTTGGCAAAAAGATAGACTGTAAAAATGAATCGATCTCATTTAAGTCACATTATCTCAGCCAATCAAAGTGAATATCCTTAATTGCATATGAGGGGAAGGCGTGAATTTCTTTATAGGGGGTCAACCTCATTGAGTCGTACTTTTTTTTCTCTGCTCTCTTTGTTTAAAAAAAGGCAAACTGAATTTGGCAACTCCTTGTATTGTAAAACGAACAGAACATCACTTTTAGGAAGGCGCATTTCGATTATTTCTTATTTTATTCCTCTACTTTTTTTTAATATAGGAAGTGTACATATTTATACATTTCTAAAAACTTTTTTAAGTAATAAGCAGCATTAGCAGGCACACACCAATATACACACACATAAATATAAACACAAGAAAAAAAGGCTCGTTCACTCACTTGAAAGAAACCTTAAATCATTTCTATTGTAATGAACTCAAATCTGAATGATAACAGTGGTTTATCGCAGCAACAGCAACAGCAACCACAAGCACAAGAGCAAAATATGAAACACTTTGAGAATGAAGATCCCACTAACGCTGCCAACGATTCCGGTGCTGAAGATTCAGACACTGACAAACCTGCTAGACGTTCTGGCAGAAGAAAAATTAAGATTGAATATATCGAAGATAAGAACCGTAGACACATTACTTTTTCCAAGAGAAAGGCTGGTATTATGAAAAAAGTATGTCAATCATAAATAACCATAGAGGTGCGAGTTGAAGTTGTATTGAAAACGTAATTTATTTATTTTTTTTGTCTTTTATTGCTATATGTAGGCTTATGAGTTGAGTACTTTGACGGGAACTCAGGTGTTACTTTTAGTCGTGTCTGAAACTGGCCTTGTATATACCTTCACTACAGTTAAACTGCAGCCGATCGTGACAAAGCCTGAAGGAAAGAACTTAATTCAGGCATGTTTGAATGCTCCTGATCCGATTGCCAATGAGCCTACTGTAAGCCTTTGCTTATAAAATAATTGATACCTGAACCATATCTAATATCATCATCTTTTTATTCTACTTTTTTTTTTTTTCTGTTTTTTTTTCTGTTTTTTTTTCTGTTTTTGTCAAGACTGGAGACGTGTCTTATAATAATACTTCACCACAAATGAAGGAGGATAGGCAAGCATATGACGATTTGAAGGTAGGAATGACGATAACTAGAAACAAATGCTTGGATTGATCCATTTAGTAAACGCTACTATTGTATATAGAATGAGCCTCAACAACTTCCAATGCCCACGGCGCCGCCACAGCCGCAACCGCAACAACCACAACAACAGTCGCCACAACAACAGCAACCAACAGGCTACAACAACTCTGCAGCCTATCAACCTACCTATTCCCAACCACAGCAGCAACCACAGCAATCTTCTACTGTAGATAATTCTGCTGCCACTGGAGGCTACAATGGACACCCAGGCTATTTGAATACTGCAATGCCTACAGGTTATCAACCCTCTGCTGGTCAACCCACCAATAATGCTGCGGCTGCGGCTGCGGCTGCGGCTGCGGCTGCTGTTGCTGGTTACTCTCAATTACCACCTCAACCACCTGCTGGTTTTTATGCTAACCAACAACAGCAACACTATTTACATCAACAGCAGCAATCTCAACAACCACCACAACAGCAACAAGGATACTGGCAGCAGCCACCAAGCAATTTACCCAGACGAAACCCATCTCCCATTATTGATAACGCTACGGCAAGAACAGAGTAACATATCTGTGCATAACAGTGTTTCTCAATAGTAATTTAAGTTGATTCCCCCTTTCCCTATATATTGATCATATATTTCTATCAAGCATTTCTTATCTCCCAAAAAAGAACAAAAAAGAAAAAAAAGAAAAGAAAAATATAGTATAAATATCCAATATCAAAATAACAATGGATAGTGTGCACTTGTAGTTTAAGCCATGTGATTTGTTTATAATGAAGTGATTGATGTTATGGGACAATCAAATAGATCTTCTAATGGCAACTTTTCCTTTAAAAGAGAACATATCGGAAGAACAAAATCCAGCTTGTCATCGCCAATACAACATACAACCCTCCATAAAAGTAATTCGACCTGAGTTTCTTATTCATTAACGATCGTTTAGCACCACTGTTTTGCTGGTCTTGCTGGTTTTTGCGCGCATCTAAAGTATGGCCATAAATGGCACGATCTAGAATGAATAAAGTGATACCGGCAAGGATGGCTAAAATACCGATAATGACGAAAAAAAACATCACACCATTGTACCCTTTGTTCGGGTCGTGGTCTTGTAGTAAGCCCGTAATAATATCAAATAGAGACGCACCAATATTCGTACATGATTTGATCAAGCCCATACCAGTACCCACCAATGATAAAGGTAAAATAAGCGGTACAGAGGAGACAAGAGCTACTGGTCCCAAGGCTAAACTGACACTGAAACTGACCAAGCCAAGGAGGGGATGAAGATGAGTATATTCCAAAAGAAGAAGGGACAATAAGAAAGTAAGACCACTTCCCGTCACTAGACATAGAAAATGAAATGTTTATAACCTTTTTTGGGGAAACAAATGGTTTGATTTGCTTTACTCATCCAGGTACGCTTGCCATATTTGTCGACAAAGAATCCTAAAAAGGGCATAATGAATATCGGCAAGAATTGAGCGACACTGGCAACGGCAGCCGCAGTGCTGTTATCATAACCGAACCTGAACTTGATGAATTCACTAAAGTTGTGTGACAATGTTTGTTAAATTCAACATTGGAATAAGAGTATGTCTCTTTAGCGTTTCCTTTCTTCACCTGTTAATGTGCAAGAAACAACCCCACGCTCCACCGAGCAAGAACTCCATCGCAGCAATTAGCCAATAAGAATGTGGTAGATACATAAGTTTGGTCCAGCTGAAAGATTTCTTTTTCTTAATAACATTACGTTGCACTTGGCAATCCTTCTTTATATTCAAACTACGAACGGTCTTTAGCAGAATGATATAGATCAGATTAACAACTAAAGAGAAGACGCATAAAAGTGCAGAAAACTGAAACTAGCCGTTAGTAATAATGGGCTCTTGTTGTCATGCAGAAAACAGGGTATACTTTACCCAAAAACCATAGCCATACCATCCTGACCAATTCGCAATGGGTACGACTGTAGCTTGCGCTAAGAAAGATGACTTTTTTTAAGGTTATCATATGACTGATCAACAAAAGATCTGTCTACCATCAGAAATCTTGTCATAGGGTGGAGGTACTTACAAGTCTGCTTACAGTCAACATGAGAGCAATCACTGCAGCCAAACTTCTTCCTTGAAACCACTGTGAAAGGATGGTCTCTTGAACGATAACTACTGTACCGCTACCAATACCATACAAAACACGTCCGAAGATCATCATTAATAAATTCCTACTAGAGGTGGAAGCGGCTACCAATATATTTCCGCAAGCAATCAAAACAGTCGTTAAAATGGAGCCAGGAATCGTGCCAAACGCATCAATAAAAATGCCACCGATTAAAGGTAAGACGGTATTGACAATAGATACACTTGATTGTAATGCACCATATTGCGAATTTGTAATGCCGAACTCCTATAGTTTGAAAAGCGACATTAGGGTAGGTTTTTTATGCTGATATTTTTAAAGTGGAGTATTAAAAAAAAACCCCCCCAAAATCCGTACCTCTTTAATGGTTGACTTCATAGCACCTAATGTATGTGCAGCAAAATGGCTTCCCACTGCATTTCACCATAATTAAATCAAAGAGGGATATTCATGAGTATTGTAATATCGCTAGAAATTAGATATGTTCTAATAAACATACTTGCGAGAAACATGGCACATGATAATGCAACGATCTTGTATTTCCAAGGTTGGCTGGCTAACTTGCAGGTGATATCATTTTCGTCATCATTACCACTATGTGTCCTGACTATGTCTAAAGTTGTCGTATGCTTATCGTTCAATCCTTGTTGTATTTTGAGGTCGTTTTTGTAGCCACAACAGCCATTTGGATTGCCACAACAAGTATCGATTTCCGTGCTATTATTAGTGCTGCTACTACTGCTAGATGTAAATGTTTGTAGTAGAGGCGTTTCCTCGTTCAGCTTTTCGCCTTTGTCATCGTTTCTATTATTGTTCAAGAAAGGCATATTATTCTAACATCAAATAAATATATTTCAAAAAAGAAAGGAAGGAAAAGAATAGTGTTTAATTGTATTTATTGTTGACGAAGTTTTAATTACTGAAATATTTACAAATTACAGATAAAAGGAAAAAAATATAAAGGGAAAAGAAAAGATTTGATAAAAGAAAAAAAAAAAGATCAGATAAAGACTAAATCGCTTTTATCTATCCGTCGCCCTTTTTTTCTTTGCACAACTACTCCTTTCTGCTTCTTAAAAATCTGATAATATTATTTTTCTTTAAAATTGATAATCGGTTTGGAAAACTTATTAGGCCCTTCATGAGCATGGTGGCAAATGCAGTGAGACAGGGAGGAGCTTTAACATAGATCATGCATCTAGAAAAAGGAAGATTGGCAGAAGGCGTTGTTTGTGCATAATTATTGTGAATGATCAAAACACATGTTCGTCGACCATTTCGCTATAAATCAAGTGTTACTAATAACTTTTCCTTCTGGTCTACAGAGCAGTCATACCATTTTTTCTATATTTTTCCAATTTTAATAATTGCCAGAGGTTCAAAAACTTGGCTTCTACCAGTGGTTGATGAAAAGAATCGGATTTAATTGTAGTCATTTCCTTATCGTTATCTTTCTTGATTGGATCTTGTTCGATTAAACAAACAAAGTTCCGAACAAAAAAAAAAAAAAATGAATTTTCCATCACTAAGCTTTCAGGATAATAAAAGAATGTGTCTTTTACACGTCTGAATCGTTTTGGACAAAAGATGGTTCAGCTAAGTTGCCCTTTCAGATGTATTTCAATGGTATGCTGACGAAAGGAATGACCCGAAAATATGTGGACAGTCGGGGTTTTCGCAAATCTCGGGTTCATTAAACACCAGTGTGGCACCCCCGCATCTAATTGCCCTTCTCCTAACATGTTACAAAGGATTATTTCTTCTCCATTACGCTCGCCATCAGCTGTCAAACCGGTCTACGGACATTTACTTAAACGAACACTAGCAAGCACATTAGGTAAGAAACTGATACTTGACGATGAATTAGACCCACTCTTTTATCTTACGGTTTCTGCATTTCTTTCTTTTTCCAATTACTCGAAAACTTCAGTTTTACAGAACGAAGACAAGAAACAGACTGTGGTATAAAAACTCTAACATGGACACACCGACTTTATCTTTCCATGTTTTCTGATCGTTATTCTTCTTTCATCTATATAATCGTATCTACAGCTTCAGTTGAAAACACCCAAAGGAACAAAAGACTACAATGACAAAGAAACAAAAGTACGGCAATCTTTATTTGACACCATTACCCGCATCTTTCAACGCCATGGTGGTGTGACGATCGACACACCTGTTTTTGAGCTCTCATCGATTCTCAGCGGCAAATACGGCGAAGATAGTAAACTCATTTATGATCTCTCCGATCAAGGTGGTGAAGCCTGTTCTCTAAGGTATGATCTCACCGTTCCTTTTGCTCGCTATGTGGCCATGCATCAAATTCAACAAATGAAACGCTATCAGCTTGCCAAAGTATATCGGCGTGATCAACCCAATATGAGAAAGGGACGTTTACGCGAATTTTATCAATGTGATTTCGACATTGCTGGTCAATATGATCCTATGATCCCTGACGCAGAGGTTTTGAAGATATTAAATGATACATTAGATGCATTAGAGATACCGTTTTACCTGAAATTGAACCATCGGCAAATTTTGGACGGAATATTCGAAATATGCGGTGTACGCCCTGAGCATATCAGAGCTGTATCCGCAGCAGTGGATAAGCTAGACAAAGTTCCATGGACTGTTGTAGAGCAAGAAATACTACAAAAAACAACAGCAACAACAGATGTCACGAGTAAAACAGTGGCAGGAAAAATACAGCATTACGTTCAGTTCTTATCAGAATTACCTACAACCGATCTTGTTGAAACATTGGAAAGAGATGATGCATTTTTGAAACATTCAGGTGCAATGAAGGGCTTAGCAGATATTAAATTATTGTTGGAGTATCTAGACGTATATCAAATGCGTGATCGCGTTAAATTGGACCTCAGTTTAGCACGTGGATTGGATTATTACACAGGTGTGATTTATGAAGCCATTGCTGAACCATCAGAAGGTGTTGGATCGATCGCAGCAGGAGGTAGATATGACCACTTGGTAGGGATGTTTTCTAACAGTAAGAAGACAATTCCTTGCGTAGGTGTGTCGTTAGGCGTAGAACGCATCTTTTCCATATTAATGTCACGGCTTAATATGCAGGAAGTGAAGAGTAATGCGACTCAAGTCTATGTGATCTCCGTGGGTGACGGGTTTCTAAAGGAACGCATGGCTTTGGCACAGGAGTTATGGAAGGCAGGCATAAACGCAACCTTTATGTATAAGAAAAAACCGAAACTGGAAAAACAATGGATCGCATGTGAAAAGGATCAAATACCATACGCAGTCATTATTGGTCAGGATGAGTTAGACAGAGATCAAGTTCGACTGAAAGATATGAGAACTAAAATAGCCGACCAGCGTGGTGGATCAATATTGGCTCGAAAGGATCTGATAGATGAGCTTAAACAGAGATTATCACGAATGGAAAATTAGCATCACCCACTAGTCGTATTGCACTTTTTAAACCATTCTCTATTACTCTAATATTGAGATAGTATTATTATTGTTTTTAGAAGGCATATATATTCTTTGTACAAATTCCGTGATATAAATAACTATAAACTATCATTCCGTCCGATTAAATAATTACTGTACTCTGGTCTTTACTGATGTTGATGGTTTAGTTTTGAATGCTTTTGGTAGTAGGGAAGGAAGGTTCGTGGATCTTGACGCGACTGTCGTGGTAAAAGGGGTGGTTGAGATGAGGTGATTATGTTATTTGTATTGCTATTGGTATCGGTAGTATGTTGGGCTCTATTCTGCAGATGATTTATGCCATGCTCTGTAATGGTACCAGTGTCTTGTCTACTACTGTTACTACTGCTATTGCTCGTATGATTTGCATTCTTGTTCGTTGTGGAAGTCGAGGGGTTATGATTTGAGTGATTTTGCACGTGTTGCGATTCTAATGCTGGGGAAGGATATGATTTTCTACGTTTTGTGTCCAATGCATTGTCCTGAGGAGATAATGAGTCCCAGTAATTTATGACAAAAAGTTTAATAAAAGAATCTATACCTGTTGTTGGAAGTGCTGTCTTTTTTTCCTTGATTCTTCTACAACGACTGTTCGTGCTCGATGCAATACATCAAGAATCCGATTTGTTTTCAATTCTTCAAAAAGCTTTGCACCGTCGACGTATTCACAGTATGTCAAATTTTCGTCAACGCTACGTCTGTCACTGGATGTCATGGATACAATAATAAGAGATTAGTTACTGTATAACAGATTGTTTGCTTGTAGATTCAGAAAAAAAAATACGAACTCATCAATAGCTTCATCTAATAGCCAAAATGCAGCTGGATCGTGCTCGTCCATTTCAAAGAGTTAATCTTTTCATATAGTGCTCTTCTCAGAACACGAGGAAGGAAAAAGCTTTCGACGATGGAGTTGATTATTGATTTTATATAACCACACGGATACTTGCTAAAACAGCTACAATAGAAAAAAAAAATAGGAGAAGAAAAGAGAAAAAACGATAATGCGGGGTTTCTGTACAATACAGGCAGCGAATCTGAAGCGATTTTATTCCATGTAAAAGCTTCAATCAGCTTTAAAAAGCCCATTACTTCTTACGGCTACATTGAAGTTTAAGCTTACAATATCCTTTTCTGCATTTCCTGGTTTCATACCAGCTGTAACCATATCTCCAGCCTTGAGAGCACCAACGCCGGAAGGTGTACCCGTCATAACCACATCTCCAACCTCAAGTTTCATAATGGAGGATATATATTCAATAAGGGAGGGGACACTATGAATCCACAAAAAAAGAAAAAAAAAAGTCAAAAATGACGATCTATTTTCTATACTGACATTAGCGCCTTACTTGAAGATCATATCACGTGTATTTCCTTGTTGACGTATTTGACCATTTACTTTAAGCCAAAGATCAACATCTTGTACGTCTGCAAAGTTATCTTTTGGTATAAACTCGCTAAAAAAAATCCAAAATAAGTAAATACACACGCTATTCGTTACATATTGGACTATTGCTGTTAAAACCTAATGGGCGAGAATGTATCGAATCCCTTAGCTGTACTCCAAGGTAAACCCTTCTTTTTAGCTTCGTTCTAACATAAAAATTTGTAAGAATTCTAATAAGTTTTCTATAAGAAAATGGATTACTCTAGAAGGTACCTGCAGGTTTCTAGCTGTGCAATCAATAGCAAGTGCATAACCTGAAAGAGAAAAAGAGAGAGATTGTCTAAAAAACATGTTTGCGTGTTCTGTTTTAACTACTTTACAAGGTACCTGCAACATGTTCCATTGCTTCTGAAGCCGGGCAATCACAAGCTTCTTTGCCTATAACGACTGCTAGCTCAACTGTGTTAAAAAAAGATTTATGCATATCGTTAGTTACTACTTGCCACAACAATTTTTATTGGGCAAAATCATTTTTTCTTTACTTTCGTGATGTACTTCACAACCAGGTGGAATCTCGATCGTACCGCCATTTGCCAAATAGGAAGAGGTAGGTTTCAAAAAGAAAAAGGGTGAAGTAGGGACGGTATTACCAAGTTCTTTTGCATGCTCACTGGAAAGGAAAAGTCAAGTCGAGTTAGGCGGAAGCCTTATATCTGCGTGCAGTAATAATGGCAGTAGACGACGTATTTTGGTACCGAGCAGGGTGACTCTAATTCCTACGCTTATCTTTTTCGTACCTGAAATTTCTGCCTATAGCAACAATTTTTTTACCAGTAGTAAAAAAGGTACGAGCTGACATGATATCTGTTTTGTGGAAAAGGAAACAAAGATGAAAGGCGCAGAACCCCACACAAAAATATCTTTTGCATCCGCACAATACATTCGATGCGAGCCATAATGAAACTCCGTTTAATTGTTCTGACGTTGATCTGCCGAGCACAGACATTCTTCATAGCCATTTTGGAGTTACAAAAAGGGAACGGACAAGGAAGAGCTGTCCAGCGTTAAAATTATATATTTATTGATATCGTGTACTAGCTACCTAGTTGACCTGGAAAAAAAATCTCCAATTGATTGTCTTGACTGTATTTCATGAAGAAACCTTTAAAAACATGTCTTTGGTATACTGGTACTTGTTAAATGAAGCTTGATATCTATAATTTTAGGGGTTAGCATTCAATCTAATTATGATATGTATTTTAAAAGTATAAAGTACTTGTCATGATATCAACACCGTAAGAATTAGATAATAGACCATGAATGGAATTAAACTTTGCTCTAGCGTACATAAAATCTGAAAAGAATTAATTAGCGTTTCTATGTTAAAAATTAACATATACTATGTATGTATATTACCTTCATCCTCATTCTGCCTTAGGATATCAAATTCACGAAGTCGTGTTCTCATTTCTGCAGAAAAAGTCTATAAAAAACATATGGGTTGTATTTCTTTTTAATTTTGATGTCTTAAGCCACATACAATTGTCGAAGGGTAGTCTTCATAATCACTGACAAGTCTGTAGCAGTGACTCCAGAATTTACCTTGAAGCAAAGGAGGGCAAGTTGAAGTTTCTTTGTTATCCAACCAGTGAATAATCATGTAATATGCAAAATTTATAACATCTTTTCTAAGAGTGCTATGCTGTTCAGATAAAACTCGAAATTCATCCTATCATTTATAAAGAGACAGATTAGAAAAAAAAATAAGGCACGTTTTTATTAATATTAATAAATGTATACTTTGAAATGTCTGAAGTTTGGCTGCAGAAGAGTAGTAAGCTTGCATTTTGTAATTCTGCTTTCATAAGTTGATGAAAAAAAAAAAAAAGAAGGAAAATGCTAACATTAAAGCAAACTATTTATCAGAATTTTGAAATCAGAGTTATGATATATAAAAAAAAGCTGTGGTCAGTATGGAGCTTCTTTCTTTTCATTGTTTGACATCCAAATTTAGTACTTGAGAGCACATACAATCTTATTCAAAGAAAGGACTAGTTTTGGAATACTCAAAAATGGAAAAGTTTGGTGAAATACATGTATGTGCACGAAAAATGAAATCAATCGCAAAGAATACCATCTGTTGTACTGTAAATAAAAGACATATCCACTTTATATTGCTCTAGTAGACTATGAAATAGAAATAGAAATAACAAACACAAACTATCGCCAACAAGAAAAAAGGAAATTACCCTGTCTTTTTATATGTAATAACTAAAATATTGGGATTGAATAAAAATCAGAGCAATTTAGGTGTTGGTTGTAAAGGGAGGAAGCCGTAGATGCATGTTCAAGTTCTTACTTATAGATACAGCATCGATTATAAAGTGAGCCGATCTTGTATGATATAGTATGCGGCATTCGCTCTTAGTATATCGAAAATATCTGGTTGTTGTATTGAAGTCTCTTTCATGGTTTATTTGATTCTGAACATTCTTGACGAAAAATTGAAATGCAACTGTGATTGATGGGCTGAGCAATACCATCACGCACTGACCACTGGAAAATGAAAAAGAAAACCCCTGACATTGTTGAAACGTCCAGGTTCACGAAGCTTAATGGCAAAGCGAAAAGGTCTATTTACTACCATCGGTCAGGTAGGATAACTTCGATTAGAGAAGAGACGTTCTGTGGATCAATGAAGTGAACTATGCCGTAGCTAAAGTCATTGAAATAATGTTGAAAGAACCAGTGGATTAACAAAGTGGTAGAATGTGATGATCAGTGCTTGACATCCATCAACGAATGCTGATACGAAATCCTGAGGCGTTTTAGACCATGAGGTCATTGGAAAATGGCAAACCTAAAAGTCAAACCTTGCTAATTGTTTGTTGTTTACAACCGTCAGGATATTTTTGATATTTGGTAAGGTGGCGTTTTAGGTTGCTTTGGGATATATGTTGTTAACAAATCGTGTAGCGTTTTTATGAATGTACAACTGCAGAATGCTTTCTTAATGCATGGAGAAGGAAGCAACCAATTTTTATATAGAATTCAACTGTACCTATTTAATTGAGGCAATGCATCAATTATGGCAGAAAAACCTTTCTTGAGCGAGAGTTTTATGGCATTTTGCTTTTCTTTCTGTTTAACAATACCATTCGCTCGACAGAGCTGCTTTTGATAAGACGAAGTAAACTTTCTACCAACCAATTTTGTGTATAATCAACGTCTCCTAATACTATATAACTCATGGTACTATTTGATGAATCAAGGAAACATGGCGCTTTGTACATACTTCAGGTTTTATCACACATCGGTCAATAATATGATCTGATACTGAAGCGTGAGTTTATATATAAAAAATTGCACGAATTTAGGTTAGAATTCGTTGATCAAGTGGTTTCTCTTGAGTCATCTACAGTTTTAATTGTAATAATTGGTTGTATTAATATTCCTCCCTGTTGCAATTAGGCATCCATACAATTCGGTCTGAGCAGTTTGATTTTGATATTGAAGAAACTAGAAGGCTTGTGAAGACACAAATAACTGTAACCACCAAAAGTGAGCAAAACAGAAATAAGCGGTATCGCTCTTCTGTTGCTGGATAGTGTATTATTTGTTCTCGTCGTCTTCTTCGCCTTCCACTGCCACGACTGCTTCTACTGTTTTGGTCCTCTGCTTGCACTCTGGGTGAACGGTAAATTCCGCTACTATCTGTATCGTAATTTCTTTCTAAATCCAAAAGCATATCTGTGCTACTATGATTTATTGACATTTACTGCTATTCTGCGGTATATATATCCTGTACGGAATAAACGATGACTATAGTAATGTTAGGGGCACTTTGAGTTTTCTTTCAAAAATCAAAATAAAAAAGAAGAGTATGAGGTGTAAAGTGCATAATACTGTACTTATGGGTAGATAATAAAGAGAAAGTCTGATTAATTGACAATTATCAGATACGAACGAATAATGTGGGCTGATCTTTTGTTGGAGCGATGATTCGTTAAGATATTCATTGAAGCGTGATTCTTCAAAATGCAACATCGTGCAGTTGTGCAAATGTTTGACGGTTTCCACTAAAAGAGAACTCATGGTTTGGTGTTTGCAGTACCAGATGATTCTCAATGGATTGTTAGGAGTTTTGTTGTAAAAGAGACCCTTTGATAGCCAATATTTCTTGATAAGGAATGCGGATCAATATGGAACGCGTTAGAAAACGGTTGATTTCAATGGACGCGCTCAGTGGGCGACTCGTTGGAATTTTCCAATCCCCTAGAATTTTTTGGGTGTCCGCTGAGGGAATATACTTTCGGTTATATCCAATCGTAACATCCGAAAATGCAAAGCAAAATTACATGAGGTACATTCTGTTTCATATGTTTTGTTAATAAGTGATTGATGTTTGATATGCAGAGTGAAACCATGTACACAACATCAAGGGCTGTTAGTCATGAGTGATTTTCAGGGATAGTAAAACTGCTCTCTTTTTCCGTAGTTGGACGTCAAAAGGCATCCGGAAGTAATTAATCAAAGAAATGAGAGACTTCTAGATAATGATTAAAGTTGTGTAGAAAAGCATGTTCAAAGAAGAAAAAAGAAAAAAGAAGGCGCTTATTGACATTCAGCTGTCAAAAAGGAAAAAGCTTAATGTAGGGTTTAAAACATGAGGACAAGCTATTTAACTATTGTAATGCTCAAACTGATACAGCATCTATTTTCCTTCAATCAAAAGTGAAGGACTATGGGTAAGGCATTAATAGTTTACGACAAAGAGAATATGCGAGTCCAGTACACTTGAGACAATGCCAATTACCAGCCCAGTTGCTTACTTTGAAACCTTACAATCGGCATATCTCTGCAAATCAAATATGTTCCAGCAATTAAGTAGTAGGCTCTGATGGATTTCTTTTTAACAAAAAAACCTTCAAGATGGAATCAATAAACTTTCCAAGTTTTAGTATTGGAAATGATCAGCGTACGTAAACCTATGACGTGCGATTCTGTTACTCTTCGTTTTGCTTACTTGGCTGTTCCCCAAATACGGTGAATGCGGTCGCTGGCATTATAAGCTTTCGTAGTGACATCTGTGCGGTTTGTCTTTTTTTTTTTTATGAAAATGAAACAAAAAATCAGGTTTCACTCCGTATATTCAAAGAGATAACCAACTGAAGATAAACCCGCTTTTGACCTATGAATAAAAAAGCGACTTTTTCTGCTCTACTCCCTTGCTCTTTTCCTATTTTTCTTACTCGAACACTTCAAGCATCTTTTACCATTCTGTCCAGGGAAAAATGCCACCCATAATGAACCGTCGAAGTTCACTTGCGATATCAGCCTTGTTAAATAACGAATCAATTGAGCCTAGAATGATGGCTTCAGCTGCCACAAATCGACAGTCTGGATCCGTGTCTCCCGCTACGACCAACAGTAATATGGACAGTGGAGACACAACTCCCATATCATCTATTGTTTCCTCAAAAACTAATGGTACTAGTAACGGTATTGTCAATTCTTCACAATTAAGTCGGCATAAAAGAAAGAGAACAACCCCAGCACAATTTACTCGCTTAATGGAAATATTTGATCAAACAGATACCCCAAGCTCTGAAGTTAGGAAGAACTTAGCTACAGAATTGAATATGGATGAAAGAGAAGTTCAGGTGAGACTACAAACTTGGGTGATCAAACTCGATATACACTCATACACTTGATAGAATCTAAAGAAATGAATTAGAGGTGATAGAGAATTGTTCATTTATTCTTTTTTTTTATGGTTTTTTTTTTTTTGACAGGTCTGGTTTCAGAATCGTCGAGCAAAAGTGAATCGTTCACGTAAGAATGGAGGAAGTTTATTGTCAGCGGCGACAACAACACGTCGTCAACGTCAATCCTCTTTAGTACAACCAACGGCACCACCCTTGTCGTCGTATGGGTCTTATCACGGCCATTCATCTTATGCTGCTGCTCCTATTTCTCCACCTTTCTTGAGGAGAGCTTCTGCGCTTCCTGTCATGGAAACATCTACGAGTTACCAGCATTTACCTCCACTTATAAATACTTCAATCACCAGGGAGATCCCTCAACGACACCAGCCTTCATCCTATTCTCCTTCCACTTCTACTCCTATTACTCCTACAACCACTACAGCAACAAATACTACTACTATTACTAATACTAATAATGATATTAATACCATTACCCATACTTATACACCTTCTTATCATAGTACTTTCTCTTCCTCCTTTCAGCGCCCTCCTACGGCTACTTATGAGCCACCTCTACCTTATCACAGCAATAGTCATTTGAGAACATCGTCTTCGGCTATTGACTTACTAGCTTCTGCTGCTGAATATGTTGGTACAGGAAGATGAAAGGCTGCAAATTGACCTGATTCATTACTATAGCAATTTATCATTCGTCTCCTACTCATCCCTTGATTTTGACTCAAATTTTGGCTTATTTATTCTCATGCAACATAAAAATAACTATTATATTAGCTGTTATAAGAACATCGGTATGACTACTGGTGTACTTTTAAGTTTTTTTTCTTTTTTTCTTTGCTTTGTAACTAGCTGGTGAAAATTGTATATAATACGGTTATTGGCTAAATGAACGGTCGTTACGTTAGTAATTGTCCAAATAACATTATCCAAAAGACTAACTAATATAAGGAAGATATCGTTCATTTACATTTTTTAAAACAACAAAACCATTGTACGTATATATTTTTCTTAAATACGTACACTCGCTGCTACTAAGTATTATACATTTTATGTCTTTCAAAATTTCTCAAATCCTTATTGTTGTCTATAAAGGCCCTTTTAGGCAGTTGACGACTACTACTACTACTACTACCACTACTACTATTAATATTATTATCATTATCATAATCATTGTAAGTATTACTACTGTTATTGGCGATGTTATTAGTGTTATTATTATTATGAATAAGCCCCACATGGTTTGAATAAGCATCAGGTTGCATGATTCGCGATAATCTATACTTGACACCCAAATAACTGAGATAATTATTTTTAGGAAATACTCGTACTTTTCTAACATCTGGAAAATGGCCATCCACTATATCTACAAAAGTACCGCCAACTGTTAGTGTTTGCTCAAGTTTCGTTTGGTTAATTGGATCAAAAGGAATCCATTTCTCGTTCATGAAGACGAGCCAAGTAAAATTCCAGCTGTTACTATTAATGATGGAGGGTGATGATGCTGTTAGTAGCGGTACCGCTTGTTGTAAGACTGGCGGTGCTGGTAGTAATGAGGTCATCTGTTGATGTGGTTGCTGCTGCTTACGAGTACTTGTGGATAAAATATGAGACGTTGTGGATTGGAAAGAGCCTTGAGACGATGATAAAGAAGATGCAATGGATGAAGGTGGTGATATGGAGAAGTTATTACGGTAGTTAAAGGAGGCCACGGATGTGTGAGGATGATGCGTACCGCAACAAATTTGATGATAACCGGTACCACTACTAGAGTATAATTGATATGGTTGCTGCTGTTGCTGCTGTTGCGGTTGGTGATGGGTAATCGTTATTGGCACCGTTTTAGTATTATGATGGTACTCTTGATTATAATAGGTAATATTCAGATCAGGTGCATTCGTATTCATTTTGATTTCTATAGCAGCCCTCTTTTTATATATATATACAATATAACTAATTCAAATAAAAGAGCGAGAGAAAAAAGATGTTTCCTTTGCTGAAAGAAAGTTTTACTTTTATACAAAAAAGAAAGTCTTAATGCAGCTCTATGTAAATGTTGTGTGTTATTGAAGTCATGGGGGAAAGGAAAGGTTTCAAAAGTTACACATGCATTCAGAAAAGAAAACTTAAAAGCTATGGAAATAACCCTGATTGTATGTAAAATCGATAACCGATAGCTGTCTTCAGAGTATCTACGCTATGAGTGTATTTCGAACGGTTATGTTATGCACTTATTTACATGTACATGTTATCGACACCATATTCAACAAGGCACGTATATAAAGCGTCCTTTCCATGTCACAAAGATTTAAACTCTATGCTTGCACTTTTGGTGTACAACTACCAAAAGAAAAATAACAATAAAGGTCATTATTGTATCATTCATTAATTTGGAATCAAAAGAGAGAAAAGAAAAAAAAAAAAAAAAAAGAATGAGCCACCAGAGCAACGAAGAGTGATGCCTACAGTGGTAAATAAAGGTGCAGTCATCTAATCATCATCAATCCTGTGTTGTGTCCGCGCGTGTGTACGTGTGTGTGTCTTTGTACACAATCAATTTCATTATATCACGAGACTTGGTTTTCTTTATTATCAATACGGATATCCAATTTTATCAACAACATAATAAAGTTTTTCCTGTTATCATTCTTTGCACGGGCAAATTGATGATGAACTCTTCAGCCCTTTGATATTGCAGTGTATACTTTAATTAAAGTTTTCTCTACTTCATTTATGCGTGATTGAGCACCAACAGATTTCTTTATTTCGTTGAAGAAAGGAGAGGTAGCGGGGAAGCGGAGAGGAACATACAAGAGCAAAGCTCTTTTTGTTTACTACACTTCAGTCTGACGTATCTATGTATAGTAGAAATACTATTGGAATTTTAGAATCAAATATTGCTTTCAGCGCGTTAGGCTCGTCAACAGTTACAACCTCAGTGCAGACTACGCTTAAACTAAATCTAACTATCAGCAAAGAAATGATCTTCTATCGCGCAGATTTTCGAACTAATAATATGAAAGCTGAAATATAGTGGTTGGCATTTGCTCATAAAACAGTTGTCTAAAATATGCGTTACTGAACTAGAATCCAGAGAGCTTAATAGATTACTCCTGAGTAGCCTGGAGATAGTCGAGAAAAAGGTAAAAGACGTACATGCCAAGCTAAAAATGGTAATTGCTGCTGCCAAAAAGCATCACTTTCATAAGCAATAATATGAAGACTTGTAGATGAAGTATGGTTACGATCCTCGAAAATACCAATGGAGATGATTGAATTACAACTCACGTAAAAGGAAGGTGAAGCAAAACCTATTACTAGGGCAACCCAGCCTTGTTTATACATCTATAGGCACAGCCTAAAACAACTTGTACAATGTTCAAGACGTGAAATATGTTAAGCTACTACATGCCAACATTTCAAACATAAGTTAACTAATGCTTGCATAACCTTATTTAAGACATCTTAAATAAGAATAGTAATTCTGACAAACCGAGTTCTCAACAAAATAGTTTTTCCTGATCAAATTATAAGTCATTGATTTACACTCACTCCTTCTTTATCGACAAAGTCCCATGATTACAAGTATAAAAAAAAAAGAAATATAACATACATAATGTAACTTCGGGTAGTATGTAATAAAGGAGAGGAAATGGAAGCGTAAAGTATGCATTACAAGAAAAGTGTAATTATATCTAGGGGTTTCATCGTTTTTACATGCAGGGAATTCAGTCCCTTATCTTTGATTAGGTTTTTATCTCTAACTGCTACTATTACTATTTCTACGTTGTTCTGCAGGTGTCGGCATATTGTGTAATCGTTTTCCAATCAAATAAGTATCATTTCTGACTGTTTCTAACCAAATATTCAACATTTTTTTCATAACAAAACCAATCAAGATAATCAAACAGATACCAAAAATGGCTGGATATGCGTATCTTGTGACAGAAATTTGCATGAAAGCATCTCTTGATTCTAATTTTTTTGAAAAACAAAAATAGGTTATAACCAATCTCAGAACAGATCTCTCTCCTTTTGAAGTTTTCCACATCAACCATAGCAGGTACTCTTTCAGCAATAATAAAATAGGAGACTTACTCAGTACTTGAAGGATCGTCCAAGAGATAATTCCAGGTACAATAATAGCAAGCAATGCACAAATAATCACAGGGCCAATTATTGTAAGCGTGATAGTCCATACATCTGTTTGCATGAAGCCATTGCCGCCCAACATTTCGTTCACTGTTCGACGGACCCGGTTATTGGCAGGAAGCACATGAATCAAATTATGTACAAGGCTTAGATAAGCAATACCAAGAGACCAATTCTATAAGAATAAGACAGAAGAAGTCAGAACTGTGAATGATGTTCGGCCCGTGACAATAAATGATGTAGAAGAGCCATTCTTACCAATGAAAAATAGCCCAGTATTTCGATTCTAGGGTTCACATCTCGAACTGGTAAGAATATATAGAGATCAACTATGACAGCAAGAAGGAATGGGATGATGACACCAACCGTCATAACCAGGTAAAAGAATTTCAAAGCCTATTTGAAAGAACAAGCCAACAGGAAATAGTTTCAATTACTATTTTCTCTTATAGCATCAGTGTTCTCTTTATTTTCGAGTTTCTTACCTTTCCTGCTTTTTCTTTAATAAATTGATAAAGTCGTTCATGATCACCTGAATGACCATGCTGTGCGTAATAGTCCTTTATCCAATAAACCAAAATTCCAAAACCTGTCATAAGATAAATTCCCAATGTAAACGAATAAAGATCATTCGTTTTGCTTGATGATTCTCCAGTTAGAATATAGCTGTTCAAAATAACACGACCAGCGAGAACTACATAGAAGAAATAGAATGTTAACAGCTATTCTTAACAATTTTCGCCTTTTCATTCTTCCACTACTTACGAGGTAAGACAGTAACAGAACAAGCAAATAATGAAATAAACAACCACATGTAGAACAAAAAGAAGATCGTTCTTTGCTTAAAGTAAGGTGGAATGTAAACCACTATAGTTGCTTGCGACTCATCATTCGTATCGGCTGCAGCAGGATGACCTCTGCGTCTTTCTTCCAAATCAATAGCTTCTAAAGTAACAGGATCAACAGGCACCAACATGCGACGCTTGGGATCAACAGGCACACTATCATACTTTGGCACGCGCACCATCATACCATCACGTCGAAATACAACAGAACTATTTTCATCATCAATAGCAACTTCAGAATATGCATCCGTAGCAGCATCAGGAATAACAGCCTTCTCTCTTAAAAGCCATGCCTTCAATGTACGACGATGATGGTAGCCTTCTTCATCCAATTTACGTTCGTTGAACATAAATGAGGTCAAACGTAATTGTCGCGAAGCAACACGCCACCAAATACCCAAAGCTTTCTTAAAAACCGCTCTAGGATTAATGAATTTGATCAGGGGAGGAACCAAAAACTGAACAATGAGCAAGTCTACTGCTACACTTGTTAATGCCGTCTTGTTGTTTCCAGTAAGTGAGAGGGTGTCAAAGGGTAGACGTAAGGGGAATAGACCGTCTATATAACCTAAGGTGTAGGTCACTGTACCTACACCAAAGACCAGCATAAATGAATAGATGAGAGCAGATTGGCTGATTTTATGCAGCAGGTTAGGAAAAGGACGTTCGACCATTTCTTGGACAGGATGGAACTGGGGATCGTTGGGGTCACGGATAAACCACATCACACCTGGTCGGATAATTTCTCGGCAAACCGTGATGAAAATAGCGAAATAGAACAAAACACCTGTACCCAGGAACCAATGGGCAAAGTAGGAGAAATAAGGACGTTTTAAATGGAATAGGTAGCGCGTGGTGAGAGAAGCATCGGCGAATAGAGGTAGAGTGGCAAAATCGAGTAGGAAGCCACAGACGGTGGGGAAGACAATGAGTTCAATCAAAATGAAGAAGAGAACTTTAAGGAAAATGCCTTGTTGACGAATGAGCTCACGAATGGTATCTCGAGGAATAAGAATTTGGTGATTTGCCCCAACTCCTCCTCGGGCGTTAGCTGCTGCTGCTGCTGCTGCCAAGGCACGTCGGCGTCTATTGTTGTTGCTTCTGTCGGTGTTACTGTTTTGGCTATGTGATAGGTACCACGAACCTACCAAAATTAAAACGAGGTAGCCAACTAAGATACACATACTACGATCCACAGCGGTACGACCCGTAGCGAAACGATGCCAACGAATCAATGCTAATGAGCTCATATTTTCAATCTTATTCTGCATAGTGCTCCAGTTCATCTTCATCAATGCAGCGAAGGGAGACATGGACAAAATGCCGTTTGTCAAGTTGAGGCTCCCACCATTGATAGGTTCTGTTATATTTTCTATCGTTGATTCTATAACGGTTTTCATGGCTGTTGAAGCCGCAGTAGTAGAAGAAGATATGAAATCACTATGGGCTGTCTGATTGTTGTTATGGCTGTATGTTGTAAGATCTTGAAATATGCCAGTAGCACGACTCTGTATCGTTTTGAATACATATTGTATATTGTTTGGTAATAAAGCCTTGAGATTCGACCAAACGAAAGGAAGGCAAAGATCTAAAACAAAATCGACAAGAGGATCTGTGATCAATCTCATTAAATAGATAGGTGTTTCAATAAAGCTAATAGGACGTATCAGAATAACTAATCGGCCAACCACAAAAGGAATCCAAATAGCTACTCCAAGACAGAGACTGATCATCAAGGACATTAATACTGAATTTTGTACCAACATCCAAGGGTTTCCTCTCATACCAATGGCTTCCAAGACACCATTTATATCATCTCCAACGTCCAAAGGCTCGTCGTTGTCATCGTTATCTGCTGCTGCTGCTGCTGCTGCTGCTGCAATATTATTGTTTCGTGGAGGTGGTACTGCTGCTGCTGCTTGACCTGCAAGAGCCTCATTGAAACGTTCCAACCGTTGTTGTCTTGCTGCTTCTTCAACGAGAGCTATAGCAGCTTGACGTCTTTGTTGTCGTTCGTCTTCCGTTTCATTCATCGCAGCCATTTGTCGACGTGCCTCTTCAGGAGGAACATGCAATCCGCGATTTGCTAAATGTTCCCAAACCATATTATGAAGTGCATCACGATTCAGTCTTCTCTGTTCTTCGTCAACGAGATCAGGTAAACTTGCATTTTCATCATCATCATCCATTTCCTCAACATTCTCTTCTCTATTGACATCATGCTCTTCCTTGGGTTCCTCTTCATCATCCGTGTGAAAATGATGGCGATGGTGAAGGTCATTATCATGTTGCTGTTGAATAAAAGTGTCAAACGAATGATCCTGATGCAAAACTGCTGCTGCTGCTGCTGCTGCGCTACCGCCTTGAGAACCTTGGGTACTATTGCTAGGAGTTCGACCCATATCTGCTGCTGCATTATGGATACCTCCGAAAAGCTGATCATCATCGCGTGCAAAACGTTCATTCATGATGGGAGTCCAGTCATTAGATCTACGGTTTGAGTTGTCATTTTGCAAATCGTTCAATTCATTGACAAGTTCAACTCTGACGTTGCTCAACTGACGATGTAAGCGTTGATCCGTATTCAAAGACTCATTATCCATATTCTCAGCATTTTCAACAGCGTTGGTAGTTTCACGTTGTCGTGGTACAAAATCATTTGCATGATCTGCTACTATTTCTTCGTTGACATTTGCATGAGCATCGTTAGGCAAAACTCGCATAGCATTTAACAATGTATCAATTGCTGCTTGTTCCTGTAAAAGTTGATTTCGGTTATCAATCAAGTCATTGTTCTCATCAATAATAAAGTTGGCATTTCGAGGGTTATTTTGACGGCGTAGTACAGGTTGAGGCTGTTGTAGAATTTGTGGTTGCTCAACAGGTAAGTTTTGCATTACCCATTCTCTGAACAAATATCCAGCAACAAATATAATGACGACAAATGCTGTAATGATTTGGCCTTCAAGGCAATCTGACAAAAAGTTTCTACATCAGCAAAGAAGGAGTTAGCAGCTTTGAAAAAACTTCTAGCATCTCACCATTCATTTCAAATACTTTACTTGATAGTGCTTAGCCAAAATGACTGTGTATTCAATGATGTTGTTGCTGCCATTGTGGTATTTGTCATATCGGCTGCGACTGTTGCGTTTATAATGTTTGTACTAATGGTCGATATATTGTTACTGCTTGTATCATTCATCATTTGATAGGTTGATGCAGGCACGAAGCCAATATTTTCACCGCTCCAAAAGTAAAATCGCCAGGTCCATAGCGTAAAGTTGGGTAACATAATCAGCCAAACAAAAATGACAGTAAGACCTCTAAAACATGTTTTCAGTAACCGTGATAATCGACGAATAAATTGTGTGCATAAAACATAAAATGGTAATCTCTCTGGCATATCATCTCGATAAATTGGCGAAAAAGTAAAAGGGTGTTCACAAAGTTCGCAATATCTATAGTCAAAGGTTTGTATAGATTAATACAACACAGTTCTTTTCATCGGTTATGTAACCCCATTTTCCCTCCTATAAATATATCCACTGCGAAGGAAGCTCCCCTTACTTTTTTTTACTATGGGATAACCATTCAATCAAACTACAAAAAAAAAAAAAAAAAAAAAATGAGTATAATGAGCAAACCTGTACAATTTTGTTACAAAAAAACAAAAAAAAAAAAAAAAAAAAAAAAAAAAACCGGAAATTGACTTTACCAATCTTCATGAACAAATCGAATACTTCCAGAACATTTACACGGATGAAAGAGAGGATGATCAGGTGTGGATTCGCATCTGCAAACTCTGCAAATTTCTATACAAAGCAATAAAAAACGCAATAAAAAGGAATAATGTGTGAGAGATCGGCTTCCCAGCAAAATGTGAAAGAGCTTTCATTCTTACCTTGATCGTCATCCATGATGTCAAGTATTTTCTCTTTAGGTCAGACTCAACTTTATAACTTTAAGTATAATTTTCCTCGATTATTTTGTGACGTCTGGCTAGTGTGGTATATAGTGATAAAGAGTTGAAATGAACGTATAAATTGAGTATATAGTATGTTACGAAAAAAGAAAGAATAGTAATTGAAGTAAAAAGCGTCAAATAAAAGCAAAAGTTACAAATGTTAAAAAAAAAAAAAAAATAAAATAAAATAAAATAAATAGAGAAAGAAACAAAAGGAAAAAAAAATTAAAAGTCTGCTGCCTAAAAAATTTACACTTCAAAATTGATTGGCTGATATGAAATTGACAACGTATCGTTCTGGAGCTACTGTGAGTGTTGGCATTTACAGATCTGGCGGGAAAGCATGGATCATATGGTGATTCGCAATAGATAATGAACAAATACTTTTAATAGCATGATTGACGTGCATTCAACCGGCCATTTCAAAGATCAAATTTGCATCTGTTCATTCAAGCTAATATATTATGCTAAATATAATCTGACGTCGTCTGCTCGATAAAGTCAGCTTTGGGTGGCCAAAGACTTTGTATTGCACGAAGGACTAAAACTATACGGTGCTCATGTGTCGACTCAATCACTGAAGGATCTCATTGAATGTATACCTGTTATGTAATTGAACCGAACTCTAGTAAGGAGTTAGTATAGTTCAATTGTTAATACTTCTAATTGCGAGAGAAAAATTCAGAATATTCATATTACAGTACTTCTTTGAGACATCAAGCAAAATACTAAAAGGTCTAACAAACATACATCTTTTTTTTTTCTGTTCATATTATCGTCGGTCGGAATGAACGGTAAGAATGCATAATACCCAATCTACAGAGTGTCTTTATTTATATGATTTTGTTGTACATAGAGTTACCGCCAGCGAATACCAATTCACCGATCTAAAATGCGCCTTCATTACGTGCAATGGTAGGGAAACCGTACGACAAACTGCAATTGATCAGCCACTACACTGTTGTACACAGGGGCAAAGTCAACAGAATCGACCACTCTACGATAAAACGGCCCGAATTTCAAGCACCGCGAATGTAATACACGCTTTTAGGCAAAAAGTGTAAAAATAAAATTGACGGACGCACACACAAAACCGAACTGCAGCCGCCAACCACATTCGTTGTAAGAAATAACATTTCATGTCTTTTATTTCATTTTTTTTGGCTTTTTTTTTTTTTTTCTTTTTACATTTCGCTTTGATCACAAGTACACACGTTTAAATTTTATACATACATTGTATTTTATTTTATAAATCCTCTTCTGGGTTTTTCATAAAGAATAGATATGCGTCCGTTATCTATTAGTTTCAGTGGTTTAACGCTACTACTGTTGAGTGCAATCTTACCACAATATCATGCTGTCGAACAAGCAACTACAGATGGACCATCCAATCCTGAAGGCGTGACAGGAAACGTACATTACGCAAACTTGTTAATGCAGTCTCTATGGTTTTACGAAGCACAGCGTAGTGGAAAATTACCCTCGAATAATAGAGTGCCTTGGTAAGAGATGGAATTAGGAACGCCAGATAGATGTAATTTATAGTCATAAATGCTCAAATTGTCTTCACTTATGCCAATGTCGTTTTAGGCGTTCTGATTCAGCATTAGACGATGGCAAAGATAATAATGTCGATTTAACTGGCGGATACTATGATGCTGGGTAAGAACACTGCTCTTTGATTGGTTCAGAGGTCGCATTACATCTCTAAATGAGGGTATCTTCTATCTTTAGTGATTATATCAAGTTCAGTCTACCTCTATCTTATTCCTTGTCTATCGTTGCGTGGGGAGCTGAAGCTTGGTTTGATGGATACCAAAAAGCCAATCAAGTAGATTATTTAAAGGATATGCTAAAATGGGGCACAGACTGGCTTATCAAAGCGCATCCCAACAATGATACATTTTATGTGCAAGTTGGAGATGGCGATATTGACAATAATTACTGGGGTAGGTGATAAAGAAGACAGAGAAATCTCATTATGGGCTTATTATATCATTTGCATCTGTCAATTTTAGCTTTTTTTTTAACTAAATATAGTAAAATAATTTAATTTGGTATTAGGTCCTGACACAGGTATACCCAAGCCAAGACCATCTTACCAAGTCAATAGAACAGCAGTAGGAACCGACGCAGTAGCTATTTCTAGCGCCGCTTTAGCATCAGCATCTTACTTATTCAGAAACAAATTTAATGACTCAGCTTACGCCGATACCTTATTGACAAAGGCTAGTTCACTATTTGATCTGGCTGACACAGCAACTCCTAGAACTGTATATACCAAAGCAATTCCTGCGCTGGCTGATTATTATGCTACAAACACCTACACAAGTCAACTCACTTTTGCCGCTCTTTGGATGTACAAAGCTACAGCCGATTCCAATTATCGCACAAAGGCTTCGAATTACTTTGACCAGTTCAAACTAGGAGATACAAAAACCATCGGTGTGATGGATTGGAGCGACCAAACTGCTGCTGTTTATGTTTTGGGATCTGAACTCGATTCTAGTAACACAAAATATGCTACGGCCGCAAAGCAAGTCCTGGATACTATCATTAACAGTGGCAAAGGCTCACCTTGTACATTTACCAATGGAGATTTATTATGGTGTGACGGGTATAGTGACTCTAATTCCATGGTGCCTGCTCAAGACATGTCTTTGTTAGCTCTATTATATAGTCGGTTGGATGACACGAGGAAAGATAGTTACACCCAATTTGCCAAGAATCAAATTGATTATATGCTGGGAAATAATTTTATGGCCACGCCTTACGTGTGCGGTATCCATAAAAACTCACCACGTAATCCTCATCATGCTGGCGCGTCGGGCGGTACGGATATTGCCAATATCAACTCCTCTCCTCCCGAGGAAAAGCATCTTTTGTATGGTGCCATTGTGGGTGGGCCCGACAAGGATGATAAGTTCTATGATATCCGTGATGATTGGACACAGACTGAAGTAGCATTGGATTACAATGCCCCATTTCAAGGACTCATGGCTTACCAACTGAGCACTGGTGCCAATGATCCTCCGTATGTCACAATCACAAGAGACAGACCAAACGTCAGCAGACCTTCCAAAATGCCTGGATGGCTTATTGCTGTTATTGTTATTGTGGTTTTGTTTGTTGTATTTATAACAGCTTATGTTTGCTGGCTAAAGCGTGGATGTGGATTGTGTCGCAGAAAACAAATCGTTTAAAAAAAGATTACGTATTCATAGCAATCACAGTTTCGATCTTCTGTATAATTATTTAGAATTGTTATTTCCAATGCATATTTAAACTTTCAAATATACTATTAAAGCTAACTTTGAATTCATTTGGTATCTTCACTCCTTGACACGAGAAGAACTGATAAAAGATATTCAATTTTTGTTTCTTTTCAACATATTTTCTTCATCATTGGCTTGGAAACGCACAATTATCTAACCTTTCCGGTAGCTCACGTGGTCGTATTAAACATTTATGGTCATCCTTATGGACGGATAGGATTTGTTATTCTATACAGAAACTTTATTCTAAAACAAAAAATAGAAAAAAGGCGTATGTAGAAGGCACTGTACTAAAAATTGTCTATGATTGAGTGGAAGTGATTCACTGTAAATGGCGTACATTCTATACTCAAAGTACTAATAGCAATAGGTTACGCGGCATATATGACTAAAGTTTTACTATAGTTGTTTTTTCCTTTCATCGTTGCAAACTGCAACCTGAATCTTAAGGGGTAACATAAATAAACATACAAAAGATAAGGCTTTTCACAGGCTAGAAAATTTACCATATAGTGTTATCATACTGTTGTTGTAGGAGGAGTGTTGTTGTTGCTGTTGGTATTTTGGTATTGCTGTTATAATAGATAGCTGTAAATTCATTCTTTGTAGCTTGTTGCTGTTCAATTGTGTAAGTGTTACTGTCGAGCAACATCATATTCGTTGTAAAGTTGCCATCAACATTTTGAGCATCTGGTAAAAATTGTTGCCGAACACATTTCTCTATTTGGAAAGGATTGCCATTGTTCTCGTTGTTGATGAAAACAGCAAAATTGTCGGTCATATTTAAGCATTGGTAAGGCTGCTGTATATCATATATGCTTCCTTGCTGTAAGTAATGGAAATCGCTTTCTTGAGAATAGAACTGCTGGTAATTTGCGTTAATAGAGGGCGTGACATTGCCTGATATGGTTTGATGTTCCAGCATTTTACTCGTTGTACTTGCTGTAGTGGACGAAAGATTGCAGCGATGCTGGTTATTTGATGAAGTAGCAGCAGTTGTTGGCGCAGTGTAACCATATGCATAGTGTAACGTTTCATCCGATTCAGACAAATCCAACGAGATATTACTAATAATAGGTGAGGGTAATAATGATGATGCTGTAGATAATGATAATGATGACGAAGATGCTGAAGCTGTTGGTATTGAAGAATTTCCTTGAGGATAGCAAATACTATCTCTTAAATCGATGGTTAGAGCTTCATTTGCCATTTGATTATGATTCTTGCTAACAGAAGATGTATTGTGAAAATGAGCATGGCTATCGCTAATATCAGTGGTTGTATACTGGTATGTTAGAGGGCACACATTTACTGCTTGTGCCTGAGTAGTGTGTGCGTCGTCCAGTTGTTGTTCGTCTGCTGAACTCATCGAAGAAGCTATAAGTTCAAGTATATGAAAATAATGAAAGCTAAAATACATAAGTACAAATAGTGACCAATTATTAATTAAATTGTCATACAAGTTCATTACCTGATTTACTCTTTCTAACAGGAGCTTGGCGTTTCTTATAAGGTCCTCGTTTCACTCCCTTTTTACGTTCTTTTCGATCTGAATCTCTACAAGTTGCGGTTAACCCAAGTTTTATACAGCGGTTGCAAGGCCTTCCATCATCGCATTTCTTACACGCTTTCTGACAGTTTACTGCCAAGAAATTAGCAATATTTTAGTATCCAAGCCTGACGTAACTACAATAACAGCATTTATATGTGCCTTACCACAAGCATTTTTGACTTGCTTTCGTTTTGGCTTTTGTGAGGCTTGTTTATCATTATTTCTCAAAGCATGACTAACGTTAGCGTCGGTTAGAACCTCTTTTGAAGGATTAAATTGTATGTTGTGATTGTCGCTTAGATTGCTTTGTAAAATTTTGAATGTCATATTTTCTACTGCTGGTTTACTATCGTTGAGATAATTGCTGTTTGTATGACAAAATGGATAAGTTTGAGGTTGAATTTCACGAAACGTTGGTTGCATATGTGAGAGTATAGTCTTGCACGGAACAGAAAGCTTTTGTTCAAGGTGATAATAATATTTGAAAGGAAAAGAACCGTGTAAACTGCAAAAGTAATAATTTATAAGAGCTAGAACAGAGGAAGTACAACTCGAAATGGTTTATTTTTATTTTATTTTTTGATGGGACAAAGAAATATAAAAAGATCCAATATAGAAATTTGGAAAGATTCGCCACTGCTCGTTTAATATTTGTGGGTGGTTTATCATTGTCACGTTGTTGAGACAATTTATTATCGTACATTACTTCACACATGGTTAGTATGGTGATACACTGTGGCAATAACTTTCCAGTTAAATTTGTTCGAGTCTCGAGTCAAAAACCATTTTGATCAACAACCACAAGAAACAAACCCTAAGCCAAAAGGCACTCATAGTTTGGACGTAGTATTTGCGTTTTACGCCAAAGACCCAGCATATAGACGGATGTATGTGAGTGTCTCTTTTGCAAAGAAAGCGTTATTAGAGTAAATAAGCTTATTTCTCATCTGCAACCATATAACTATGACGCAATGATACCATAACCATTATAAGGCTACTGCCGGGTAATCCATAATGAGCTTTCTATCATTGCATGCAGATTATAGAAACTGTGTATAAAAGAATTCTTTATAGCTGTATAGCATTTGCTATTCTCACATACATATCATTTTGAAAAGCTTCTTTCAGATTTTGGAAACACTCATTTTGCTATATACTTCTTCTATTTACCTCTGTCTTGTATTATTTTCTCAAATTTTACTTGACACAGAATTTTGATTACATAAACAAAAGGCTGTTCAATGAAGGATAACAAAGATTCTGGAATATTTACGTGTGTTACCTCGAGAAAATTTTGCACGAATGTTATTACATCTGATAAACCTTTATTTGGACAGCAATACTTTTGAAAAATATACGGTGTGTAACATGGAGCTGATTCGGTACACTTTAGTCGTGAAAATGTAATTTCAAAAGGAAGTGAGACAGCACTTATTGAACAACTCCTTTCCATGCTTTTCAAAAAGAGAGTAATACGACATGCGTACTCTTACCATACCTTATACATTATAATTCCAGGCGTCCATCCGTCAGAAATATATCTGAAGCCTGTTGATTGTTTTTGAGCCTCTACTATACCGTAGCTTATAGATCAATTAGAGTTATCTGTGAGCTTCATCCAGAGCATTTACTTTATTGAGTAACTCAATCATGCACTATATTCCATGCTTTCAATTTACTATCTGGCTGCTATACTTGATAGATAATCTAGAAATGATAGCAACGCACAATAGCTTACGTTTGTCTATAGTTACCTTTGTTTTACGATACAGGATTAGAATACAATTCATTATAGTAATTACTTTCACACGAATTCTTAATCGCATCAATAGTAAATTACTTGATCAGGTTCGCGACGGCTCCTGGATGAGGATGCAACGGGTTTCCGTCGATGAAAGCCCTTCTCTTTTTACTCACGACTAGCATAGGATGGCCAATAATTTGGTAACTTTATGAGTGCGAATGAATAAAAAAAAACCATTAAAAACAATTTGAAGTTTTGTAGGCATTTCTGCAAAGAATTACGCATATTCAGAACTGCATAAATAGCCAAAGGAAGCACCTTTATGAGATAGGATAAATATGATAAAGTGGCGATGAATATCAGTCATCGTTTCCACAGTTACTAACCAAATTGACAGTAGTCAATATCCATTCTTTAAAAGTCTTTTTGACGAGAGAATGTCATGATCGTGTCAAGAAACGTAAAGGAGATTTAGCAATAGCGATACAAAAGTAATAATGTATTAAGGTCAAATTACATTGAGCTCACTGCTTTCAGTTCCATAACAAATAACTCTTGAATAAATTGTTCAAGTTCTTAGCTACTAACATTATTGGGCATGTCTAACGTATATTATAATAGCTACGTTGCTAGAGCATTTCAATATGTCAACTATTTCCAACTCTAGCCTTTTGGACTTTTCAGGATTCTTTGACCTGTAAGAAATGCTCAGATGAGATTGAAAAAGCGCGCAGATGTGGTGTTTCCATACCGCCTTTTCTCTAAACTATTGTTAATCCGCTTTTTGAGTCAGTATAAAACTGGATTGAAGCAGGAAGTAAGACGCACCATAGCGATCAAAGAATTATAATAGCATTGATAATCGTAGATTTGAGTTCGTACTGCTTACAACCATCTAAAATAATACATTCTTACATGCTCCTACAAATAAAAACTTTCTTCTAACATTTTGTACGTTGCGAGCGTTCCAGAGCCTGATTGATAATATAGTAAAAGTATCAAATAAACTCACTCCATACTTCGTCACAAGGCTTTAAGTGCCATATCATAGCGTTCTCAAGTAGAATACAAATAAGTTAAGAGTAGGATTTATCACAGTTAATAGATACATTTTACAACAGTCACAGATAATCCAGCATAGTTTTAGCTATGTAGTATGCATCTGGCTCATAATATTAGTAGTATGTTAGAGCTCAATCAAATTCACCTCCGTAGTGAATATGGCACTCACGTAGCCTACGATTAATTAAAACTGTTGCTTCGCTTCGTTAAGGGCATTATATCCTCTTACAGGGTAACGCTATGACAAAAAAACCTCAAAGCTAACTCGATAGAAAAGCAAATTTATATGTATCTTTGTAAAGTTTTAGTATCTACTAAATCGCAAAACCGGGTATGAGCTTCAAAAACCAATCTAAATGATTAGCTCCAAATCACAGAACATAAGACAACACTGTTTTAAAGTTTCATAGACATGTTCATTTGATAAGACTAATAGATAGTTGTAATGTAGTACTGATTGTCAAAAGTGAATGAATATAGCCGAATGCGAACCATTTTTTTGGCTATCAGCAATTGGTGTATCCTTCTTTGGTCATTAGTCAATAATTGGGTGCTTTTCGCCTTCTTCGATTTGATCTCTCGGGGCATCGTGGTCAACAAGCATGGTATTGAACTTATTACAAGACTGAAAAAACAGACGGAAATATTCTCTCTTGGGCGACACGAAGAATAGTAAGAATGTGGCGCCAGACTTGCAAGTAGGTAAACGGAATGAAAGTTCTGGGTTACCTCGGCTTAACAGCATTGCAATGTACCGATAGTGTGTAGATACAAATTTAGAACAGACACTTTCCCGCAAATATATGGCAAAATTGTAACGCAATTAAACAGGCAGTTTATCACAGTGTTGGAACTACTTCACCTCCTTTTCTTTGTTATACCTGTTGGCCAAATGAATTATCTATATTGACCGAGGTATTGGGATAATTACGGCCATTCATTTTGTACTTGAAAAAAGCTGATATATTAGATTTATTGCTTTTCAACAAAGCTTGCTCAGTTAAGGTTTGGGTAGGTAGCGAATGGTGAAGTAGACGAGTACAAACATGATAACCACGAATAAAACAACGAATAGGGACATAAAACTAGTTCCCCAAGATTTGGAGTAATGCTTATCCAATCTCTGCCTTTCTAATGTCATTTTCTCTAAATTGTTCTCTACTGTTTTTGTTGCCTCCTGCAATACATAGTCATCTTTCGACAAAATATCACCAAATGCTTGGCTATTTAATTTAAGTTGCTTTGCCATACGTCCCAAATCTGTTGTCAATTCATCGTGTAATTGACGGTGATGTTGTAGTACATGTTCGATATTGGTTGTCTCATTTTCACGACTGACACTCGATTTTCTGTCGAAGTAAATAAAAGTATGTATTCGCGTTTAGTAACCATTATGTGATGGTTCTAGCAGAAACTTTTGGCTAAACTCAAATACCTTTGACGTAGACCTGCCATTGATGTGGATGACTCCTTTTGTGGCACCTCATCTTTCCGCTCGCAACTGTCTTTGTTAGCTCTATCTGTTTCTTCCTCAACGGCTTCCTCGTCTGTTTGTGTATATACTTGCGCTTCCGAATCATCCATTGCCAATAAATCCTATATAACTCATCAGATTCAGTACATTGCAAAATGACATATAAAGAGAAAGTACGAAGTAAGTACCTTTTGTCTCTCACTTTTACCAGAAGCTACTTCTTCCTCTTGCTTCTTCAACTCTATTAGCCAATCAGGATCAACATTCTCGAATTGTTTTAACTTCTCCATGTGCCTTTTCTTAGCTAGTCTTGCTTCTATTATGCCCTTCTCCACATCCACTTGCTGAATCAGTGATAAGATTGAGATCCTCAATATTTAGCCTGCATTCACAAAAAACTTTAGTATTACTAACCATTGTATGCTGCGAAACGGATTCCACCAGTTGCTGTATCCGATTAGCGTAGGCTGTGCTATGTCTAACAAAGTTTGCACAGAGAGAATCAGCTTCTTACAGCTTGATTTGAATTTGGAGTCATCGACGTCTTTCACTTACTGCTTGTGTTTTAAACTTTGTTCCAATTCTGTCAGATGGTTCACATACTATAAGACATGAATAAACAGAATTGCTTAGTTGAAGGGTTGATGTTATGCATGACAATTGGAAGGAAATCGTGTGTACAAGTTGAATTATTGATCTTACAGCTGCATATTTTCTCTTCTCGGATGCTGTCCACAACTCAATAGATTGTTCTTTAAGTTTTTTTTCACAACTAATCAAAAGTCGGCGTAAATTGATCTCATCTATACTGGTTGTAGTTAGCATTTTGGAAATTCAGTTTGTTTCTATTCAAAACTATCAAGTGGTGTGGAAAGGTTGGCGGATCTGATAAATGCTTCTAGCGGCGGAACTAAATTTTTATGCAAAAGGAAGTGGAAATAAAAAAGCGAGAATGATAGAAGATAAATTCAAGAAGCAAGCATACTCGTACAAGTTGATACAGATGTTAGCTTTTATTCGCATTACAGTCATAATAGAAAAAAGTATAAAGATGCAAACGGTTAAAATCAAATTGAACGAAATTGCTCCAAAGCACCAGCAAACTTGTTAACACCTTCTATAATCTCTTCTTTACCGATATTCAAAGGTGGTATAATACGTACTGTATTACAACCGGCAGTGACAATCAATAAGCCACGTTCTCGTGCCATCTTAACAATGGGTGAAGGATCTTTATTGAACTCTACGCCAATTAAGAGACCTTTTCCACGAACCTCTTTGATGGTGTCAGGGTATATTTCCTTCAATTGATTCAGCAAGTCTTTAATATATTCGCCATGTTCATTGACAGAATTGATAAAGTCAGGAGTAGTAATACGTTCGAGAACATGTAAGGCAACGGCTGAGGCCAATGGATTACCGCCAAAAGTAGTACCATGTTCACCTATCAATGACAAAAAGCAGCATTGATTGTATGAACTTCCACTTCTTTACTGTTTTGATCAACTGAACGACTTCTTATGCCTTACCTGTCTTAATGAAGTCTCCCACTTTTTTGTTAGTCATAATAGCGCCGATGGGAATACCATTTGCCAATGGCTTGGCCAAGGTCAAGATATCAGGCGTGCATCCTGATACATGTTGGTGACCCCATAATTTTCCAGTACGGCTCAACCCACATTGAATTTCATCAAAAATTAATAGAGCATCTGTTTCATCACAACGCTGACGAATAGCTTTTAAAAACTTGTCGGTAGCTGGATGAACTCCACCTTCGCCTTGTATAGGTTCAATGATCACACCACATGTGTTCTCGTTGATACAATCGAGAGCTGATTGTAGATCGTTGAATTCACTCGTCTTTATGTTTGGAATGAGAGGCTCGAAAGGTTTCTGGTATTTATAATTACTCGTCACAGAGAGAGCACCCATGGACCGGCCATGAAAAGAATGAGTAAAGCACACAATTTCTGTCTTTTGATCGCCATTAGCGAACTGTTTACCCCATTTACGAGCGAATTTTAATGCACCCTCGTTGGCTTCTGTTCCTGAATTAGCCAAGAATAATTTACTAGCCCATTGTCCACCCGGAGAAGCATGAGTGATATCAACTAATTTCTTGGCTAATGCACCTGCATTTTCATTGTGATAAAGGTTGCTGATATGAACTAACTTTTTGGCTTGGTTGTAGATGACCTCAGCAACTTGAGGGTCAGCATGACCCAAAGCAGTGACAGCTATACCGGCTGTGAAGTCAAGATATTTACGCTGATTACTGTCGAAGACGTAGCATCCTTTACCATGACTGATGACAAATTCCGGACGAGCATATGTAGGGATAGTGTAGTTATTGAATTCTTCGATTTGATTTCTAGTCGCTTCAGGTACGTTGGAATCCAAATGCGTCAACTAGGAGGATAGGATTTTTCCCACAATTTAAAACAAGGTTAAACAACAAACAACTTATAGGCGCAAGATCTGAATCGGCAGTATTGAAGGTGAAACAAACCTCTTTGATGGGCTTTATTAAGCTGCTGGAAACAGCATAGGAACGTTTCTGTCAAAAAGACTGAACGTATTAATGATAAATAGTTACCAAACAACTTTAGAGTAAGCCTACCAAAATTTGGACGTGGGCAGGCTTAACTGTCGCAGCAGTAAGCTTAGCAAGTCTTTGATACATAGCTTGAGTACGTTTGCAAGGGCAGACAAGTGCGCAAGCAGAATAAAGAAAGAAGAGATAGATCAGGCAACTCCAGACGTTCTATTATTACATCTGCTTTTTTTTTTTTTTTTGATCTCCTATCGAAATGCACACTTTACACAAGCTTTATACTTCATGAGTCATTTACTAGACGTATCCCTCCTTTATTAAAATTTATCTTTTTCTCGGTGAGGATGTGGCAGTAGACGTGGTGGGCCTCAAATTGACCAATTTAGCCTCTATTATATGGTCGCCATCAATTGCAATGCGTAATTTTTTGATTGTTTGTCTCTATACCTTACCTAAATATTGTGAATACTCGTCAAGTGCTTTTGCTGTCCTTTCCATTTGTACTGATTTTTCATGAATATCTTCCACTTGCTGTATGAAGTGATTGAACTCATTATCTAATAGAAATAGTTGTTATTGTATTTTCTTTCATGCACTGAGTTATAGTTTAGCTTACACGACTTTTGTAGTTTAGACATTTCTTTTGTCAAGTGTTGAGTCATTTGGTTTATTTGGGTATATTTTTCTTTTGTTGCTTTATTCATCTCTTCCAATAATTGACAATCGTCAACGGTTACTAGCATTACAAAATGGGTTAAACAACTGCTAAAATAAATGTTTCTTGGTGACGCTTACATTTCAGCTCTGCATTGGTATAGTCTATGAATCGCTTATATGCCTCTTGTGTCAGCTTTTTTATATGTTCTTGGTTTAAACCTTTTGTATATTCATCAGCTTTTAATATATTTGACGGCTCATCCGTTTTATTAGCGAATGTCTGTAACGTTGCTTTCGATAAGCCACTAGCTGCTGATTCCGTGCTCATCGGGCTACTTTCCTCCTTTGACATTTCAAAAATGAATTAATTGAAAAGCTCGACAGGTCGGAGCCGTACTGTTTCCAAAATACGTTTTAAACATAGATTTTATTACATAATATTAATTTTTTTAAAGCTTAATGGACACGAGATATTAAGCTTATCTAAATTGCCCAGGGCAGCTCCAAAGGCTGAAAAGAATCTAAAAACCCCTTAGGGCTCAAGGGTAAAAAGGATTATGTACTAAAGGATTGTGGGAGGGGAAGAGGGTAACCAGTCGAGCAATAGGTGCCCTAACCGAGGGGTTGTAGGCGGCTCTTGAGAGTGGTGTAAGTAGTCGAGTTCAAACAAAATGTGACAAAGTGCTGGCCATAGGAAATGCCAGTTTTGTATTTGGAATGGGCTGTAGATCGGATGTGTGGGAAGACGGTTAAGGACATAGGATATGGGATCACAGACTGATGTGGGGAGTCGTAGGCGGTGGTTCTTTCCGAAATACAGTGTTTTAACTGCTATTTCAGACTTTTCACAAATTTTATTGGACACTATTAAATCTTAATTTAGACAACTTTCAATTTTTTTTACGATGAAGCGGTATATTATTCTTGGACGATTTCGCTGATAATCAATTATCCAATATCATCCAAGCAGCATTAAGGATGGCGTACAAGCTAGTCCTAAAAATGAGTCTTCATAGTAAGGAAGTCGCTAAGAAAACTCTTATTGGCGTGACTTTGCAATAGGACGAGCTACAAAAAGCTTGACAACTTTTTCGTCAAATGACGATGTGTTATAAGACCCAACCAGATGTTCGTCAGTGCCTTTTTCGGAACTTTGCCCAATGATAAAGACGTGTCTTTCTTTTCTCGCGTTTTGTTGTCAAAGTTAAATTATAATGAAGAGGTTCTTTTAAACGAGAATAAGATCCCTTCTTTTCCGTATTTCGCTTTTTGTAACTTACAGCTCTATTCATGTACAAAAGTTTCATTATACAGAAGATTAGATCTATTAAAGAAAAGCATAAGAACCAGGTTAAAAGGAACCCATTTGGTAAAATGCTTGATAATTGTAGGAGAACCGTCAGATCAAGATATAAGGATTTTGATATTTGTTGCAACTTTTTAGAACATACCAAGTGTCGAGACTGCTATGAACCAGGTCATTTTGACAAGCGTTATTACAAATGCAAGTATTACAAAGCCGTAAAAGCTGATGATGGTAAGCAATAAACCTAAATCTATCTTACACACAGCACTTAATTGCTTGTGAGTAACCTCCTAAAAGTTGGTAGCAGTGGCAAAAAGAGAAAACAGAGTGACCAAGTGAAAGAGAAGAAGAAAGCAGTTAAACGGAAAAAGACCACCGCACAAGCTGCAAAGTGCCTCAGCTGTGGACAAGATGGCCATACCACTGCTCGTTCGCCGCAATGCCTCAAACACACGCCTTCAAAAGAAGAACTCATTTCATCTGTTCTTGGTGATGATGCTACTGTATTCACAAGAAAGCTTCCCATCGACAGTGCGGTGTTACCAACCTTCCGCGAGAAATTCAGAGAAAGAGTCATTTCGTGCTGCAATGACATTAGGGCTATTGTGTTTCGTTCGCAACTATTTGTTAACGCTTATCTCATCCATAATAAGAAAGACACACCAAAAGAAATTTTCACCCCACAGTTCTGGTATTCGGTTGGACAACTTGTAACAGGTAAAACAGTAACCAACAAGAAAGCAATAAATGATTCCATGAAAAACTTCTATAAGCAGTTCAAAGAGAAGCATCCAGCTGTCGAAGTAAGATATAGCTTCACCAAAGGCTATAGCCAATGCTTGACAGAAGCTTGTAAAGAGCTCAGTACCACATATACAAACAGCATTGTTGAGCTTTTTGAGCAGCGAATGCTCAAATATCTATACTATACCTTGCAGAATATGTTCCCGGTAAGGAATAACTTTACATTAAACCAAACAGCAGCAAACTCAATATTCTTTTCTCTTTAGAGCATGGTAAAGCGCGATGTTGACGAAATCGCAACAAAATACTGCTATCAAGTGATTTGCAAAGGCGAACCCGAATGGCCTGATAAAGTCAAGTTAAGCAGTGATGACAAATTAAGAATAGATAATTTGTGCAAGAACTTTGCAGACCTTGTGGAGGAAAAGGTTACACTTTTATCATTGGCGGCCGATCCTGTCAAATTTGTCAAGCCCTTGTGGTTTATCCAAGACTACTACGAAGAAGAGCATTCTAATCATCTTGCCTACGATGTTCGTAGGTTACCATTACCTCATCGCTTCTTCCCTTTTCCAACACCCTCAGTATCATGGCGCTTCATTACCATCAGCATAAATGCCCTTGCTCCTTTTTTATTTCCTGGAAGACTTGTAAAGGGTTATTGGAATCAACTTGAACAATTTTGGAAAGTGTTCAACTTCAAAAAGTTAGGCTTCAGAAGGTAAAGTAAATAGCACTCTGCTAAAAGACTCTGTTCTCAAGATTATTCTTTCACTTATAACATAGTATTGCTGAGTTAAAGACAAACACAAGTATGCTCTTCAGGAATCTCATTCGATCTGATGGCTTCACTGTAGACTTCCTATTTAGTCGTAAGAAGAAACCAAAAGAAGACGCCATCATTGATCATCATGACTTGACGTTGGAAGACTTCTCCTATGAAGAAATCACGACAAACTACAGACCCACATTTGTTGATCCTGGCCGAAAGACCGTATTTACAGCAGCAATCGGGTTAGAAACAAACAGACATGAGATACGGCGCTGCTCGACAAAAGAATATTATCACATGACGGGTAGTACTCGTGTCAATGCAGAATTAGAAAGGAAAAAGGCCGGTTGTACGATAAAAGCGATAGAAAGCAATATACCGAGTAGTAAAACAGGCTCGCCTGAAAAGTATAAGAGATATACTATTTACATACTACAACATTTAGAGATCCTGTTCTCATTCTATGGGCCAGGTATGGGTGAAACAAGGTTCCGTCTGCATCAAGGCAGACAGCGTGCTGCAGACATGATGGTGAACATGCTCGTCGATGGAGGGATCAAATACGACAAAGAATTACGGAAGAAAAGAAAGGAGGAACAGATGAAATGGCCAAAGAAGAAGGGCAAAATTAAGCATAAAAAAAGAAGAAAGAAGACGAAACAGAAAGTGAAAGTAAAACAGGAAGAAGAGAAGGAGAAGGAGAGCCGGGAAGAAGAAGAGACAAAGAGCGATAACCACGTTCGGTAGGTCTGTAGCGATTAACTGTCCACTGAATTTGTGATACTCAATCTTCTACTGTCTTCCTTCAACAGACGATGGGCCCCTGAGAAATTCAGGCTGAGTGATCGCAAAAAAGTTCCTCTGGTTGTATTTGGTGACGGCATGTTCAATAAATCCGCCGTTCATCTAAAAGGCCTTAGAACTGGTGTCGTTGGTGTTCTGTGGCGTGCATTGAAGCGAAGAGGGGCTGCTGGTGATCTCCTTGCCGTTACAATTGATGAATACTTGACATCACGCATATGCAATTGTTGTCGCTCAGACACATTGAAAGCATTAGACACCGTGCGTGGCTGTAGTATCCTTGTTTGCAAAACCTGTAAGATACTATGGAACCGCGATGTCAATGCAGCAAAAAACATGATGGCCATCAGCATTTCGGTATGGAAAGACAAGGAACGTCCTACGGAGTTCAGCCGGAAGACAACTTCTTAGTCTTTTGATATTTATTATCGCCAGAACGAAACTGGCTTGATATTTACAGGTAAACGTCTCCATTTTAGTGTAGTTCGATCTTCAAACTCTAACTCAATCGTCTCAAAATTTTGGTCATTCCATCCGGTTATTTTTAAGCTGCGTCTAAACCCGCAGTTAAAAAACTGTAAGGTGAAATTTCCACCCTTGGATGCTGCTCTAGGATCTTTACTGCTCCAATGGATGTCTCCCCATAATCACTCAACCTTGTGATAAACTCGTTTTTACCCTTGATCTTGAAGGGCTTTTTAGATACTTTATAAACAGTCGGATCTGCCCCGGGCAATTTTATATAACATTGTGCCCACTGGGTTTTAAAGAAAATATTTTGTCAATAAAAACCTCTCTTTAAACGTAAGGTGAAATTCATGCAGGAGGAACAACGCGTCACTTTTAACATTCAATTAAACTACTTCATACACCCATCTTTCCTTTCCTAAGCCTCTTCTACCCACCCAACGGCCTCTTTTTAGTATAGATAATGGCTAAAACAAAGCAGTACGTAGACGATGACAGCGACGTTGACAAAGAGTACAAGGTGAATAGCATTCTTATACAGTAGCGATTTCGAAGCAGAACCTGACATCTCCAGGCGTGATTTATGTAGCCTCAAGTGAGCAACGAAGAAGATGAGGAAGAATTTGAAGAAGAGGTTTGTCTATGCTTGTGTGCATTATGAGCGAACCTTATCCAATATCAGAAGGGAGTGCTGACCCATCCACTTGTTTTACGTTCTGCAGAGCTCGCCAGCCCAAGGAGCATCTTCTTCAAAAAAGAGACAAAGAGAAGATGAACCAGATGTTCAGCGTGATAAGGACGGTAATGCCTTTTTTCCTGTAAGTTGACAGTAAACCGACTGCAAATCAACGGACTCTATGCAGATCGCAAACTGAGATCTGAATGTTTCGATCGTAATAGCTCTCTGCAAAGAGAAGATTAACTATTCGCCCTTTCAAAACTGGTGAGCCTTCTATCGATATCCGCGAGTTTTATTCAGATAAAGCCACCCAAGAAATGAGACCAGGCAAAGCAGGTAGTGTATACGGAATAAGCAAAGATATGTACGATCAAAGTTAAAGAGAAAAAAAAAACGTACTTAAGAGAAATAATTCAATCTCTATCACACATTACAGGTATTTGTTTGCCCATTAATCAATGGAACCAAATAGTAGAATTACTACCTGTTATCCAACAAATAGTAGATTCAATGGGTGGAACGAAATCAAAGAAACAAAAATAACAGCGCTCAAGTGATTTTTCCCAAACTAGGCACAGCTTCAGAGTGACTCACCGCGTTTAAATTGACATTTTCATTACCGCTTTGAAATTAAAAAAATAAAAAAGAACTACGATTTCTAAACGTTTATCCCTTCCCTCCTTTGCTTTTTCTTACTTTTGAATCGTGTCCTGCCATACCGTCTTTCGTATACAGCAAGCATATAATATGTCATCTTCATTTGATCTTACAAAAATTATACGTCCCAATATTTTGGCTTTGACACCTTATCGTTGCGCTCGTGATGATTATAATGAAGGCATCTTACTCGACGCCAATGAAAATGCTTATGGTCCCTCTCTAGCTAATATCGAAAAACATCACCAAGAAGGCAATCTCCACCGATATCCAGATCCTTATCAAGTACAAATCAAGGAGCGACTTTTGAAATTACGTAGAGGATTGGATAGTACCAAACAACTTTTCTTGGGCGTAGGATCAGATGAAGTGATCGACTTATTGATACGTATTGCATGTGTACCCGCCAAAGACAAAATTCTGATTACACCACCAACTTATGGCATGTATTCTGTTTGCGCACAAATTAATGATGTTCAAGTGGTCAAGTCTAAGTTAAATGTTGAAGAAGGAGCTTTTCAATTGGACTTAAATAGCGTAAATCTACTTGCTCAGGCGAAAGGAAAATTGACTAGAGGAAACCCAATGGATAACCTAATGAATTCTTAACTTTTTTACGTGAATTAGGTATTCGAAAATTTGAAGATTCACCCTGAAGTTAAAATTGTATTTTTATGCTCACCTGGTAATCCTACAGGTACATGTCTTCGTCACGAAGACATTCGTGCCATCCTCGATTCCGATTATAAGGGACTTGTCGTTGTAGATGAAGCCTATATCGATTTTGTCGTTGATAAAGAAGGCCAAGGTTCTGTTGCCTCCTGGGTTAATCAATACCCTAATTTGGTCGTTATGCAGACGTTAAGTAAAAGTTTCGGTTTAGCTGGCATTCGTGTTGGTATTGCCATCGGTCATCCAGACCTAATTCAAATCCTTAACAATACCAAAGCGCCCTATAATATTGGCACACCTAGTTCATTAGTAGCATTAGAAGCTCTTTCTGATGAAGGCCTTCAAAAAATGTATGACTATCGTGACCAATTGATTGCTCAACGTACAGTGATAATTGATAGACTGAACCAGATGGAAGGCACAGGTCGTATTTTAGGCGGTAACGATGCCAATTTTGTATTAGTAGAAATCTTGAACCCTCTCAGCAAAAAGCCTTGTAATGATCTCGCAGCCAAGGTCTATAAAATGATGGCCGAGGATTTGGGCGTAGTTGTCCGTTTTAGAGGAACAGAATATGGTTGTGAAGGATGTTTGAGAATTACAGTTGGCACTAAGGAAGAGAATGAGAAAATGCTCTCTATGTTGCAAAAGGCTATTAAATCTGTTAATTAGAAAAACCGAATATTAAAGAAGGTATCAATAAACGTTGCTTTTTGTTCAAGAATTGTTAAAAATCTTCTCGTATTCGATAAAGTTTTTAAAGAAAAATAGCGTTTTGACCACCAATAATGTGAGTTTTTTGCATAGATGCCAAATTATGGTATTCTAATGCAGTACGACCTTTTTTACAGCATTTGAGAGAAAGTCACGGAAAGAAGAATAAGGGAAAATTGCAAAAAAAAAAAAAAAAAAAAAAAAAAAAAAACCATTCATGGTTTATAACCACACAATCTCTATTCTAAATCGCCATACTGTTATCTAATCGATCTAACCCTCTATTGCTGTGAAATAACAATGGCTGAAAAGTTTTGTTATTCATTGTTGCAAATGACAACATTACAACTATTACAAGCAGCAGGGTTCGATTCTGGCAATACAAGTTCAGTTCAAACCCTAACCAACATTTTTGAAAGATACCTTGAGTTGTTATCGTCTACTGCGTTAGCTTATGCACAGCACAATGGTAAATCAAGTACTAGCATATACGATTTGTTGGAAGCTTTTGGTGAGCTTGGAATAGATATACCGTCACTTACAGACTGGATAAATGAAGAGACAAGGTCTTTAGCTCCGTCTTGGACAGAGCAAGCCGATCCTAGCAGAACATTAAAAGGTAAAAAGTCTTCACATGTCCAATTACTATGATGTAAATTTGTATACTTATTGATAATCATGTTTGTGTGTGCCTGCATATAGACACTATTCATAAAGGATTAGAACACCAAGAAGACATTATATATGAATATGGTGATCTATCGGACGTACCATCTGAAACAGTCATTACCTCATCGGACGACGAGAGTAGTATAGAAGAGTTATCAAAGGAAGGAGAAGCTGAAAAGGATACACTGCTAGGAAAAGTGTCTGATTTACCACACTATATACCCAAATACTTCCCACCATTTCCAGCTCTTGCATCGAATGAGGACGAAGAGATCCAACACGCTCCTGGACAGCCACTTCAAAATAATTTTTTTACTCACCAAAAAGCCTCAATAGAACAACAACAAACAGCTTTATATTCAGCACCTACGAAAGCAAATGATACCCTGCCTTTACCCAATATCGTCAAGCGAAAAGTCCGTCCTATTGAAAACCCTTTTATTCACTTAAAACCTTTTGAAGATTCCTTAATAGCATCTATAACGACATTAATGTCTGCTGACAATGACAGTGTTTCAGCTTCTGATATGAGAAAAGAACAAGTTGAACCCTTATCGTTGCAATTACTGACGAAAACAGACGGAAGAGACAACGTAACCAAAAACCTCGAGAATGAACATCTGCACGACAGCAATCTAACTATACCGCAGTCTATAAGTAATTCAGCAGAATCAATAAGTGCTGCTCTTAGGAAACGTAGAGGGGCTTTTGAAAAACTACAGCAACTCATCAAAAGAGTCAAATACGACGATGCAACTAGCAAGGACAACAATTACCGAAGTAATCATAACATTGAGGAGAGCAAATCGGAAAAGTCTAAGCGCTTTCTCTTAGAAGGCATATCGTTTTTGGAAGCTGAAATACGTAATGAAGCAGCACCAGGAAACACGCTATTTATAAAGAACAACAAAGGATTACTAGAGACATTAGTAACTCATGCAACACCGCCAATCGCTATACCCAAATTACTCGCGCCTAATTTGTTGTTGGATATACATCAGCCTGTCTCTTCTGGTATTGGTGCATCCTCAGCTTCAGGCACTAAACTACGATTGAATATAAGCAATTTGAGAAATACTGCATCTGGTCCAACAGGTGGGCAAGGACCAGGTAGAAAACATTCTGTAGGTGGTTTCACTATTGTTGAATCAGCGAAGAAACAACAGCAAAATAGAGAAAATAGTGAATTCGCACCACCACCATCTGTTCATTCGAGAACAAACGCTTCGGCAGAGGAATTGTCAACGAATTTGGAAGGAGAAGACGAAAAAGAAGGTAGCGGCTCTATAAGCGATAACATTGAAACAGGCAATAAAACCGTAATAGAAGGGAAAAAGGGGAGCATTAGCAGTAAGAGAAGAAGAAGCAGGAATAGTAATAAGGATAATGGTGGTTTATCCGCTCCTGAACGATCAAAAACAGCTCCTATATCTTTAGCAGCCTTAGCAGCTGGAGGTTCAGTGGGAAATACTGCATCCGAATCGGGGAAACATCAGAAACAAGATAAAAATACTAAAAGAAAGCTGACTATCAGTTTACCGAAAGCTGCGGCTATTAGCACTTCTGCTAATGCGAAAACGGATTCTGCAATGACCGCATCGCCCACTTCACCAATACTAAATAAAACCATATCTCATCAAGCGCCTGAAGCTAACCATGTTGCCCCATCCTCAAACGATACGACCACCGCCAGCACTAATATCATACCCAAGATACGATTTAGAATCAAATTACCTACCCCCGATACAGAACAACCGAAATCATGAATTATTTGCATATTTATATTTTTTCATCGCCTCAGTCCTATTTATTGCATAATACATCATTTCTCTAAAGAAAATTGCATCTTAATTTGTTATTTCTACACTGCAAGCATAATAAAAATTTTATGGTTTACATACAAAGACAAATTCTTTCAATATATGACATCTTCTGTCAAGATATCTCAATCATAACTTAAGAAAGAGGTTCTTTTATACTCGCTAAAGGTAGATCATTAACGATTAACCAGAGGAACATAGAAAATCCTATCCTTCCCTGCTCTTTTTCCTTTCTGACATTTTGGGCCACGGGGGAGAGGAGGAGAAATAAACAGATAGTGATGATAGGGTAAGGAAGGCTTCGACGTTATTAACAAGTATAAGAGTTGCATGGGCAGTTTTACTACCTTCGCTTTGCGTTTGGCACGGATGAAACCAGCTTTTAAAAAGGAAAAATAAACTAAAAGTACGGAATGATATCCAATAATTGCAGGCATATCTGAACAGATTCCTCCAAGACAAAGATTACTTGGAGTCTCGCTGTTACGCCCTTTTTACTTATTTGTTCAAATTAGAATTGTAAGAGGAATTGCTTGCATCTATGAGTTTCTAGGTGCCTTTATTTCAGTAAGTGAAATTTAATGCATGCCCCAAAAGTTAACTAACGATATATGTATTTCTTTATATAAATATTGGGTGAAGAAGATGAAAATGTGAAGTTCAGGACTCTACTTACTATTTGTTGTGTTAGTTTGGCGTTTTCATCTGGAATGGTTTAATTGTCTTCGAAAGAAGGTATGTTTCTACCAACGCAACAAGACTTTCTGCTTTTGGTAAACTGCCGATATTCTGATATCCTTAGAAAATTGAATATACTCATAAGCTGCTATCGTTTTTTTTAGAGAATCATGAGTAATAGTTGTTTGGTTGACTTCTTCAGTTTTGTACCTTTCATAGCGTTTTTGAAACAAACATTTTCCTGGCATCATTGATTATACGCACTCTTTATAATGCTATCCAATATGGTTTTACAGATATCATCAAGTATTTCTTATTTGCCATCAATGTTTGTCAATTTGTCAAAATAACTTTTATTCTGTCAACATAACAAAGAAGTAGTTGGGTAGTAGCAACAATAAGCGACACAATTGAAGATGTCAAAAAGATCTTTAGCTAACACCTCTTGCCCACCCAACATATCCTACACTCATTGTTAATGATCGGCAGCTGATTTATCTTGCTACTTATGTCTAGATAGTCACCTGGAATCAGAAAAAAAAACTTGTAATGCGTTGAACATCTACGAACGGTTATTTTATCTTTTTATTTATTTTTTTATTTTTTTTTTTTTAAATTTTTTTGTTTAAATTCATGTGCGATTTATATCAGCAGAAAGACAGAGGATGAAAATTAGAGATGAAGACAAGTGGTATAAGAGGAGAAAAAAAAAAAAGGGGGGGGGGGTGGTGCGGGCTAGAAGAGGCACATGAGCGGCACATTATGAACAGTCCTCATCAGAGTGTTGAAGTTATGTCTGCTGGGGGCACTTTTTCGACACTCTGTAACGTGATACTTGAAGTTACAGAAGATTGGAGTCTCTGTAATGCATTCGCTGTGGACCAGGCTCAACGGTTAGTAAAGTTAAACGGTGTCAAGTCGATAAAGGAGATATAGAAACGACTCACGAAAATGAATTGAAAACAAAAAATGAAATTGCGGCTAGAGTGGATCGAACACCCGACCTTTAGATCTTCAGTCTAACGCTCTCCCAGCTGAGCTATACCCGCAGGCTCTTTTGCTTATCCAACACTTCTCCAGACATTCACACACAATTACCTCTCAGGTCACGTGAATATCAGTTGTTTACAGCCATCCAATCATACAACGCGAAAGCTAGGTACCTGCCCAACCCAGCCTTAAGGATACACCATCTGTTTATTTTTTTTAGACGGATTACCTCCACAACACACGATATCCTTCCGTAACGATATCACCTTACAGCTCCCAACAACAACATGTCAACCCAAAAATTGGAGGAAACACTCGCCCGAGTGTTCACAGTCCTCCAAAACTTGACCGAAAAAGTCGACGGCCTCGCACTTCAGTTCGCCGAGCTAGTGACAAAATTCTCCGACCATGAGACTGCGAATGATTTTTTCCAGCGGGAGTTAAATCGTTTAAGCGCAACTGTGCAAAATCTTCAGAATTTGAATTTCGAACAGAAAAATGCCGCTATCACGCCCAATATGGCCGCTAGAGGCTTAAAAGTAGCAGATTCGATCTCTACTCCCAATGCCACTTCAAAGGCCACTGCATTGAGTACCGCTGCCAGCAAATATGCTACACCCACCACTACTCCTACTACTACCATCAACACCACTGCTACGACGCAAACTGCCCCTACTACTCCCAAAACTGCTTGGGTTCAAATTGTTAAGCGTCCCGCCCCTAAAAAACTAACTGAGCGTAAGCTTAAGGCCACTGTAAGGGCTTTCAGCCAATATGATCCTACTGCCCCACAAGGCTACTCCTACGTGTACATACCTCGAGCTCGTAAAATCAACCGTAGTGAAATTCGCCACCGCCTCAGTACCATTGGCATTGACACTGGTCGTATCGTAGATATTACTCTACCTGCCCACCGTGTGATTGGCCTCTTGGTACACAACGACTTTACTACCGATCTCTCAAACCACCTCAAGGCCTGTAAAGTTGTTCCTTTGGAACACTTTGACCCTTTGGATGAAAAGCATATTGCTAATCCTGCTATGACCAATGCTTCTGCCACTGACCGCACTCGTTTCGCTAAAGCCCTACAACAAGACCGTTGTATCCGTGCCCTACGATATGTACGGGCTTACCTGGTACCCAGTGTTGCCCGTTTTTTTGTTGACCAAGGTTGGATCGCTGATTCCATTGCCAAGGAGATTGTTGCGGAGAGAAACCCCCGACCATTGAAACGTACCCGTGATATTGGCTCTTCTTCTACTACTGCTGCCGCTTTCTTGACCTCGTTAGGTTTTGTCACCGGTGATTCTGAGATGATTGAAGCTGGTGAGGAATTCCACGAGAGCGCCTTTGCTGATGATAATGATTCTGTTGCCTCATCTATAAATACAGATGGTGATAATGATGCCTACGAGATAAGCTCGTCGTCATCGGCTGCTCCCCGCTTATAGGGGGCACCACAAACACCACCAACAATCATCTGACATTGTCCATCGGTCTTTGGAACGCCAATGGTTTGCAACAAACAACTGTTGCCGATGTCCTCTCTCACTGCAGTTCCATGTCTCTTCTCTTAGTTACTGAATCCTGGATTCTTTCCCCCTCTCGTCTCCCTACTTCCTGGCATCAATTTCATACCTATGGTAAACCTGTCCAGGGCGGTTATCGTGGTTCTCAAGGTATTGTTGCCCTCGTCAATCCGAATTGCCCCGTTCCTGTCAGCCATTTAAGCAGCCCTTCACCCTATGCTCTCTCTCTCAATTTTGGTCCTTTTAGACTAGCTTGTTTCTATTTTCCACCGAATCTCCCCTTGGATGAGGTGATTGCTACTCTTGACAAGGTGCCACTCCATAAAAATACCATTCTATGTGGTGATTTTAATGCAAGGTTTGGTCGTATAACTGGCGACACATCTGCATCGGGTACTTTCGAAACTAATACTCGGGGTACGGCTCTCAAGGCTTGGTTTGAAGACCATGGCTTACAGATCTTGAACCGTACTTATGCTTACGGTATCCCTACATTTGCTACTTTTCGTAACACCACTGAACTTAGCAGTATCATTGACCTGTTTGTTGTGCCTGATGATGTACACGCTGTCCTCCATAATGTCTCTCTTTCCGTATTTTCCGACCTCTCTCTAGGGTCTGACCATAACCTTCTGGCACTCTCCTTCACCCTGACCGATACCTCTACTATTATGCAACCATCCACTCCCAATGACACAGCACCTGTCCAACCTCGACGCACCTGGAATTTGTCAAAGCTGAAGGAACTCGAAGTGTCTCTGCTTTATCAAGATACATTCAATAAGCTTTCCTCACAATTTCGGGAGATGTTGAATGATAACCTCGATCTACTACAGCGCCAAACATCACCGCCTATAAGGCCAGATTTCGATCTATTAGCCGCCTCTCTTTTCAACAGTATATACACCAGCCTCGATACGGTCATTGGCTCTAAAAAAGCTAGGCCCAAAGAATGGCATAAATATTGGACACCAGCACTTCAACAAACAGCCGAATATCGCAATCATTGTTATAAGAAATGGCGTAGAAGCAAAGGCATCGACAAGATTGGATGGTGGACCACCTACCAAAAAGCACAAAAACAATTTCGATACGATGTTTGCCAAGCAAAAAGGAAATCTTGGCAGGATTATTGTAAGCGACTAGAGGAAGACTTCATGAAAGCCCAAGGCCAAATCAAAAATCAAAAACGAAAACGGGACCAATCTTGCACTTTTAACCATCCTGATGGCCCTCTCACCGCAACAGCCATTATGGCTGAGTATTTAGAATCCGTATATGACGGACACTTTCTAGACGACCCACCCACATCTATTGACTTTGGCCTACAGCTTCCTTTATTTCCACCATACTCTACGGACATAACTACCCTCTTTTCACCGACTACCATTACTCACTATATTAACCTTCTACCTCGTAAAAAAGCTCCCGGTATTGACCATCTGAAAGCTGAAATGCTCCAACCTCTCGCTAATATCATCGCCCCCCTCCTCTCTAAACTATTTCTTCTCTGCTACTCTTGGGGTACCGTTCCTTCTTCCTGGCGTCATGCACAGGTGTTTCCTATTTTCAAAAAAGGTGATCCTACGCAAGCGAGTAACTACCGACCAATCTCATTAACGTCGGTCCTCCGTAAGTTATTTGAAGTCGTTCTTCAACCAGCTATCAAGCAATCCGCTCCTGTTTTAGATGTAGCCCAGGGTGGGTTTCGCGAACGACGCAGTGCCCTTGACCAGGCCGTATGCCTTCATGAACTGATACAAGACTATCAACAAACACATCGATTTCAATTACCAGTGGTCGGCCTCTTGGATATCAAAGCAGCATACGACACAGTTGACCGTAACGTTATTTGGAAAGCCTTTCGCCAGCACGGAACTATTCCCTTGCCGTTACTCACTCTTCTACAACACTTGTTCGATGATGTTTATATTTCTGTTCTTATTGATAATCACCACTCACCAACATTCCAGCCCAAAACCGGTGTCCTACAAGGTTCTGTGCTTAGTCCTTTACTCTACTCTGTTTACATAAATACACTACCACCTATATTCCGACGTTCCGCTTCCTCCTTAACTACCAAAGTCAAACTCCCTACTAGTTCTGAATCTATTGCTATTAATTCTTTATTATTCGCTGATGATGTCGCTATCATTGGATCTCGCTCCGAGGTTCAAACAATGCTAAATGATGCTGCTACCCATTCCCATCAACTTGGATACCGATGGAACCCGCAGAAATGCGTTATTCTTAACCATCCTACCGCCCGCACCGCTACTGGTGCTCACTCCAATCCTTTAACCCTATATGGGGTTGCTCTTCCTACTGCTGATGAAGTTATCTATCTTGGTATCCCCTTTACTAAGCGAGGTATATCTAGCTCTGCCCTTGCCCGCTCACGTAGCAAAACAACCCTTGCTGCAATGGCCACACTACACAAGATGGGCGCTCATAGATCTGGCTTCTCTCTCTCTCTCAGTGCCCGATTATACTGCTCCTTTATTCGACCTAAATTTGAATACGGTGTCGCGATAACTATGATGCATACCAAGGATATCAATAAACTTGAACAGCTCCAAAATCGATGCCTTCGTCTACTCATAGGTGGCAATCCACATACTTCTACTACTGTATTGAAAATCCTCACAATGATACCTGCTATCCAATGGCGAATGGAAGTTCTACAAAGTAAGTATTGCCTCCGTTTACCAACACTCCGCGCTGACTCTCTTGTCCTGTTACTACATCATTCTCGGGGTAATGATACATATATCAACAAGCTCAAAGCCAATCGCCTGTATAAATCATACACTGATGCAACTACCATCACATCCTTTGCTGCCCCCTTTCTTTACGATGACCGTCAAAAACTTTATACTGCATTTCGTGATACTCAGTCATCTCGTCATATACTGGCACGGGCATGCCGAGCCAAACTAGAAATCGATCTCATTTTGACTCTTCCTGCCACTCGTACTGATCGTAGTCGACTTATTCGCTGGCGTTTAGGTTGGCTTCTTGGGGCCCCACACGACTGCAATTGCGATCGCGACCACACATCTCGTCGTCATTTTGACAAATACGAATGTGATGCTATTCCCAGTGAACTATGGGAATCTCTCCCTCAAGCCCCTCCGACAACTCATACAATTGATCATGCACTCAACCGGCTGCCAACAGATCCATCTCAATATTGCCATTACTGGCCTGTGTTACTGACACTGCTGTGGTATATTGAATGCCTTGTTAAACCAAATGTGAAATTTCCAGAAGACCCTGACCCAGGTGCGCTTTGGCGTAATTACGCTGCCTCCCATTCAACTTCCGAAAATGGTTAATTTTTCGTGGACTGCTTTCGACTTGCACTGTCACAACCCTTAATACACAGCTGCCAAGCGATCAGCCATTACTAATTTTTCACCAGTACGAATAATTTCCCCTTCCTTCCCACTCTCCCCTTTTTCTATCTCTTGATTGAACCTTATAGATAGTTTTTTTGCTCTCAACCTGTTCCTCCCCCTAGTATAGCAATAATGATAAAATTAATCGCCTGCTTTATATACTATTTTCAATAAACAAAAATCTTTAACCTGAGCTATACCCGCGGGCTCTTTTGCTTATCCAACATTCTCAAGACATTCACACACAATTACCTCTCAGGTCACGTGAATATCAGTTGTTTGTAAAGCTTCTGATAGGCAGGTTTAGAAGAAGTTTTATAATATTAGAGAGTGATTGAGCAGCGAGGTGAAGTTGTTTAGATCAAAATAAGTAACTCAAATACAGTTATCCGAAGCGGAAAGTAGTTTACAAGAGCAAGTTATATCGTTATAGTTTTGATTTTTAATGTTTATTAAGTGTATGTTTCTTTGAATCAAAGAATGTAACAAATAATATGTTTTATAGTCAATGTTATAAGGAAATGATCTAAGAGATGGTTCCTTTATTCAAGTAATTCCTGTAAAATGTGAACAGATCGCTGTCAAGATTCCGAAGAAATGAGTGCGATGAGTATGTCTTTTAGGTGAATGTAGTAGATAAGGATGAGATCTTAAATGTACGTAAGTTAACCCTTTAAGAATAGGGAAGAGTATAAGTTTATTAAGAATAAAAGATAATGGAGAGAAGTCTTGATTTCTTCAGAAAGATGAACGTATATATACTAATTTTTCAAACTCATTTAATTTGATTGGCTGTTATTTGAGAATCTTACCTTGGTCAAAAGATCACGGGAGGCTGTCATAACCTGCAGAGACCACACAGTCTAGCATAATAGAACAACAACAAAGGAACAACGAGGGTTCATACACTCATGGGTTTTACGGTTAATAACATACTCTCATTAAAACACATGTCTTACTAACTTAAAGTATAAAAGACCTATTCCTCAATGAATGAATAAAGAGCAACCCTTTTTAGCAGTCTCGTTATTTACTTTGATTGTTCTTAAATGTCACATATAATACAGAGGCCTACGTGAGTTCTGGTCAAAGCTATCAATTTACTCAAGAACACTCTCAGTCCGTATCCGTATCCGTATCCAAAAATGACGCTGAAATGCATAGTACACAAATCTGAAGAATTTACTAAACATGCCAGAAAAAGTATTACATAACTATGAATGCCAAGCGAAAATACTGCCTACTGCACTTACAACAACATGTTCACACTGATAACAAGTTAGTCCCGTTTCGTGACTACCAATGTCTCCTCCTTAACGTAGTATACATCTGTATCTGGTGGCGCTGGGGATGGGTCCTAGAGGCTGCCAAACATACTAAATGGAGCTAGTGTTTCTGTCGCTTGAGTCGCTTCGCTATTTAATTTTTATTTTACTAAGTTGTATAATTGCTAAAGATGCCATATATTAATGATTCGACCTTTTCAAAACAGGTCAGGTTCTACTTTAACATTACATTTCACAAAATATCTGTCACAGACTATTTATAGTATATCAGCATGTAATAATCTTGTCATAATGAATTTGCTTAGCGAACAATGTAGTAATAGATAAATAGGTATATATTCTTAGTCAATATAGCCGGTAGAGTGGAACCAGAAGTCTCTGCACATATAGTTTAACGAACGACTCAATGCTTTGGTGTTTCAGGGACAGATGTAAAATGCTACTCCACCACAAAAAGTTACTCTTCGTTTGATCGTCAGTATCACATTATTCAATGCTACGCTGCAAGCTCAATCATCTGATATTCTCGCTTTATGGGGAGGCATTTGGAAAATATAATTTATGCAAAGTTGGTTGAATTGCTTCCACGAATGCTTTTTTTCACATGTGATCCTCTCGTATCAATAGAGTTCTAAGCAGAGTATTGAAAGGAACATACCCTAATTCAGCTTCGATAGCAACTTGAATTTTATGGAGAATGGCTTGTGGGATTCGGGAAATAGTCAAAAGGTATGAGTATCAAAAAGTATATTCAATGCAAATGTGGTCTTACGTAAACAGACCATAGACATTACATTAGCAGATATGCGTAAAGATAACGACGATAATACGTGGATAGCATAACATGTAGGTAAGAATGGTATTTTCATGATGGAGAATGCGGTTTATATACATGACATTAGAACAAATTCAGTACAATACAAGCGTCGTGATTAAATAACTAGCCTCGTCCTCTCCTTGCCTTCTGCTGGTGGTGATGTGATAATAGCTGAATCCGTCTTTTTACCATTATTCTTTGGCGCAATCTGCTTTTTCCTATTATTATTGTTATTTGCCTTAATACCAGCATGTGTATAGATCAAAGTACCGAAAAACACCAAAGCTGAACCCAGCTTAGCACCCAACCCGAAAGGATTATTGAAATAGACAATAGAGAAGATCAAAGAGGTGAATTTACGCAAGTTCAACACCAAGTTCAAAGTCAAAGAGGTCGCGACAGAGGTCATACGATTCACACCAGCAATGCACACATATTGAGTCAGCACATTCATGATCAAAAATGCCCATAGTTTACGCATATGGAATTGCTCTAGAGCGGGCAATACAGATGCTGGAATAAGATTGACGATATTATCCAAGAGTGGTACTTGGTGTAAAATAGCAGGGATTGACATTTTAGGTGAATTATTGTAAGCGTTGATTTGAACGATCAAATCATTATAACCGAGCAAGAACATAGGCAATGCAAGGAAATGCTAGAGATAAATGTGCGTAAATTGTCGTAAGTCATGACTCTCGTTGCATCCAGTGTCTTTTATAGTACAACTTACGGTATAGAATAATCCTTCTCTCCACTGTTTACCGTATTTTTTGTATGTCACTTCTTGGATCAAACCCATACCAGCTGATAATACCATAGCAACCAATAAAATAAAGATGCCTGTGAGAAATTCGGATGTACTACTGGTTCCTCCTTGCTGATATTGGATAGTATAGTGGTGATGGATTAGTATGCATACATATTCTTTTGAGCTTTTTTAGCAGATTCACATGAACTACCTGAGTGTGTGTGGATGCATTGTCCATTGTAGCCCAAATGACACCAGCAGTAACAAACAAAACACCAATAATTTGTTCCATTGAATATCTGAATCATAATGCAGGTTGAAGAAAAGATCAATTCTATGACTCTCTTTTTTTTGTGTTCATGCTATACACAGAAATAAAATAAAAAAAAAAGTTACCTTTTCTTCAAAATTAATGCACCTAAAATCATGTTCATAATTAAACCACCACTTCTGAATATAATATGCAAAGGCACAGAGATGTTGTATCCTAGTGCCAAATTGTTTAATAAAGATACAATGAAAAATATGGTAACCAAAAGGAACCAGCGAGAAAGAGGTACAGTCGTCCGTTTTAAGCACGGTAAACCATATTTTCCAAAAGTCAAGTGATGTCGTAAACCTTCCAATGCTACAAATGCAAATTGACCTAATGTGATGAGTTGACCTAAAAATGAAGCAGGAGTTTTCGTAAGCTCGGTCATCTTTTGATAAGTTGCAATTGATCCTTAGCTACTTTACCACTTTTTGGTGAGTCACTACGAAATAGATTTTTAAAGTAAAAGAGTTGAGTAGCCTTTCTATTGATGAAGCAAGCTACTTGATGATAACGTACGTGACAAGAACTTCTAACGCAAAGACATTGCTGCAACAACCGCCAAAAATGAGAGATAGGATCATTGGAAAGTCTGACGCTATCAATGATATCAATGCTGTTGTAAATGCATTTGAATTGTCCATTTTTTTTTTTTTTTTTGGTTCTGTCTGTCTATTCTTCGCTTCAAATGTTGGAAGAAGGGTCTATAAATGATTTTTTTTCTCGCCGTAAAGATACAAATTAAGAACACTCAGGAAATATAAACAGCAAAAGAAGGAAGAAAAGATGAAAAGAAGAAGACAGGTCATTTTTTCAATAATGTATTTTCTTTTAAATGAGTTTCAATGTTTCTTCTAAAATAGAGTCCTTTTCGGTTTAGTTTCGGACACGGTTGAATTGATTTTCAGATCATCAGAACAAAAAAAAAAAAATTGGGAGTGTTCGTGTACACTATTTTGGGATACATTTTTAATCAATGTACACTTAATATACCTTTAGAACCTTCAAGTACCAGGACTTCCATGACCAGCCCAAACCTTTTGAGCAATGGAATGCGTATTTTTAGCCGTCATTACAATCACGATTTTAACAAATACTACAATTTTTGCCAAAGAGTATCTGATAGCTTTCTTTCACTGTTCAAGTAGCGCGATAACGCGTCCTATCGGAATTTCGAGCTATGAAGTGTGATCACTGGTGAAAATGATTACATAGCATTGACTTATTCACTTAAACAACTATTCATAATAACGGTTCAAGTCATGCACTTTCTCTCATCATTTCTCATTGAGACCCGAACTCTATAACAAAAATTCTTTGTTACAGTCTCGCTATTTCACTGGGCCCAGTACAATTTTTCTTTTAATAAGATGCACACTATCGCCAAGTTCAAAAGACCTTTTCATACGTATCTTGAATATGCCTAGAAAAGTGAGACGACATTATTACAGTAACGCATACTGTACGCATCTTTTGAATCATTTTGATGAATACAATGTTTGCAGTATATCGCAAGTGTCCAATAGACATAAGCAATGCTAGGGATACATAATTGTCGATCTATTTTTCATGGATGAGAGATTTAGCTCTGTCATAAAGCTTGGGCCCATGTCATTTGATTCTGCTAAACAGTATATGAATCTAAAGCAAATTTGAAATGGCGTAAATGTTATCTGTTTCCTGTATGCTCCACCGGAAGAATCTGCAATTGCAGAGCTTTCCGCTTAATAAGGGTATATATTGTAGCCTTTCGAGGGGGGGGGGGATTCTCAAGGGAAAAATATGTGAAAGAAAGGTTATTCAGACTGTTATGCTCTCAGTCCTGAAGGGTGTTTTGGACTGAACAACTGCCATCAGTCCAGCTTTATTCTAGAAATGGTCCAGAACAGATCGCCAAATGAGTCCGGTTTCAGCCAATAAAAAAGAGTCTAATTGTTTTCTGAAGTAATTGAGAAAGCTATCGTTTGCACTGGGTCGAACTGACCAGAGCAGACACAATGTACTGAGAACATTACGTCCTCATAAGTCACAAAAAAAGGTTTCAATAAAAAGAAATAGTCAACCGTCATTGAGAAAGCCCAACTGAATGACAACTGGAAGACCCCCCTTTTTCTGCTAATATTAAATTCACGAAATATCGGCCTCATTAAGGTAAGGTTAAAGTTCGAATTGAGTACTTGACCCTGGATTCGGGATATTTAAATTTATATCGCGAATTCATGTTCTTCCCAAAGTCTTGCTATATCGGCTCAATTTTTTCAATATTCAGTATAGCTTCACAGTTTACTTTTTCTTCCCAAACTATCGCGGTATGTCCGACAGACTCCTGCTCAGCCAAAGTATATCAGCTGTGAATGATGCTTTAGGCGCGGTTTCGGGAAGTGTGCTACCTTGATTGGGTGCTTATAAGGTACATGTTGGATGATGCGCTATTTGTGGGATACGATAAAAGCCAACACATTTGCAATAAAAAACGTAAGAATGTATTGAACTATAGCTATGTTGATGAGGAAGCAATCCACTCTCGAGTATCCTTTCTTTAGTTTTTCTCCTATTCCTGTGATGATGTTTTAATACAAGGCTCGCTTTTATTTTCGATGATTGGTTGCTAAAGGCGATCGTTCTTCACCGTCTTTCAGTTTCCTCAATGTCACGCTGATGCGAGTACCTCTTTCTATAATATCACCGTCTACTTCATCAGCCAACCTTTTGTCTATACCGTGTTCCCAATCATATCTTGCTTCTTTCGATAATGCCAACACATCTCCAGGCTGCAGTAAAACATCGTATTTGACCGTGTTGGAATGATCTTCATATTCTGTATAGCCAGTTGACGTGCCGCCCTTGGATTTACGAGCCGGTCGCATTGTCATGACACAGGAAGACAGCAAAGAGACAATCAAAATGCCATCTTCAAACCTAAATGTTTCGAGTCAGTTATCTCTGTCTCTCTTCTAGATCGCCCCTTTGTTCTTTTTTCACCTCAGTAGATCAACATGGCTAGCAATGCCGTCACCTTTGAAAGATGGTTTTGATTGAGTCTCTCAAAAAGTCATTACAAAACGTAGGCCTAATGTATGGCTTCATACCTTTCTGGTACAAGTTTAAAATGGCTTGATCAAAGAGAGGTTTCTTCTTGTTTAAAATGGGTTCATCAAACAACCCAGGGTACTTGTTCAACACCCAAGATTCCAACCAATGGATATAATTGGGTAAGTCACCGAACAACATGGCTTGGTTGGAGCCATTAGAAAAAAAGTGGTTGTCCAACAAAGCATAAACGAGTGTCATTTGCTCTTCATGACAAAGTGCATGGCGAACTAATCGCAAACCAGGTATAGCGTCAAAAGTGACGATGGGCTGAGCAGGGTGTTGGTTGCTACAAAATGTCTCAAATCCACGCTGTAACGGTGCTGCTTCTGCTTTTATTTCTTCTTCTTCTTCTTCTTCTTCGTCGCTACTACCAAATAATTCTTGCCAGTTTATGTTATTCTCTTCGTAAGACATTGCCAAAAAAAGATGTCATTAAAGTACGCTTAGAACGTAACACAGACAAAGTCTAACTGCAGCGGGAGTTGAAACAGATAATGCAGCAGCAGTTAGTAGTGGATTTCAGTGTAAGTTTATTTAGCATTGTTGACCCTTTCGTCCAATGGACGGGCTTTGGAGAGCAAAAAAAAGTTCGCTCAACTAAATAATGAAGAAAGCCAATCTCATTCACCGTATTTGCATCGTAATTAACGTGCAGAAGAAAAACGTAAAGAGTCCATTGAGTCTAGAGAAAACCATGAAAGGACAAGGCTCCCCCAAAAGATGGATCTAAATTTGGGATTTTGATGGATCCCTCAGCCAAAAAAAAAAAAAAGGCTCCCCCTTCAGATTTTCTTTTTTCAGAAAAAAGTGACCTTTTTGCTTTCGAGTCGTTGGTTCATTGAAATAAAACAATAACAATAAGCGGGATTTCCATTTTTTTTTTCCCTCTTTTTCTTTATATTTATTTCTATTTAGTCAATCATTCATACTAAATGCCTGCACGGTGTTGTTGTATTATCCCTTTAAGAGGGGGTGTGGTTATCAGTGGCGTTATCATGCTTGTAAGTTTAAATAGGGGAAATAAACAGAAAATAGAAAAGCATTTGACTGAAAAGAAAAGAACCCTTTGTTACCGTAGGTCATCTCACTTGCACTCTTAGCCGCTACATTTACACATAGAAATCGTACGTAATAACCAGGCATTTCGTAGTACAGTTGGACATTGGCTAATCTCATTCTACTGTTTGCAGCTATGATCATTCATCTTTCAATAACTCATGTCGTACTTCCTTGGATATACATTGGTTTCATGGGTAAAATAACAATAGAGCATTGACGTAGTGTCACTAGAGTGACTGACCCTTATTATTACTTTTTTTCCATGTTGTGAACCAGCTGCCACTGCCGTCGTTTCGCTATTTGTCATTCTCTCTGGCTTGGTGGTAAGGGCTTTTTTTTTGGGTCGGGAAATTTTTGGTTCATTTTTTGGTGGTGGTGTTGGTGGTAGTGGTGTTGAATGTTTCAGAAAAATAAATTAAAAAAAAAAAAAAAAAAAAAAAAAAGGCAAAAAGGGGTAGACAAGTTCAGCCAATCTAACCTAGTTAGGAATGATGTAGGCCAAGTTGAATTTGATGAGATTGACGAAATTTTTATTATGGTTCCTTGTATTTTTGTTGACTATCTGGGAAGCCATTTGCTTCATCTTATCTCTCACCAATCGATCCAAATCACTCAGTGCATGTGAAGAAGCCAATCCTTCCTCATCCAACAACACAACAACCGCCAACAATGCCACTGTCACCATTGGCGGATATTCAACCACGTTTTTGGGTATGCAACCTGGTCATACCTATGGATTAGCTAATTGTGGACAAGCCATCCAAGCAGACGTGATTGGCAGCGCTATTATATTATTCGTGGGTCAGTTATTGATGTTCTATGCAGCGACCGTCGTGGGTTCCTTCACAGCTAAATTGAGAGAGCGTAAATTGGGACATCGCTTACGTGATTTAGAATGGGACGACAATCTGGATGAATTAGCGTCCACGTATCGAACAGACGCTTCCAATGCACCACGATATCCATTGAATGATCTTGGTAAAAAGAAAAAGGGATTTTTAAAGAACCTCAAATTCGGCAAGTAGTATGGAATTTCTGTGCATTTTGTATGATTTTTTGGAATAGGTTGCTGCAGATCGGAAAACAAAAAAAAAACTTTATGCTTGAGCTTAAGCTTACATCTTGGTTGTTTTTTTTTTTTTTTTTTACTTTTTCCGCTCCCTACACATCCGCCCCTCCCTCGTGCAACTCATTCTCTTTTTTGTATTTCGTGTGTGATATCCCCCTCCCCCTTTCCCTTCTGCATATACTGTGTATTATTTAGAATTTTTTTTTTTTTTTTTTTTTTTTTTTATTGTATAACAATAAAACAAAGTGTGAACAGTCATTTCTTTTTTCGCTCCATAGCCACCACTCATTCTCCGTTAGCGCATGCGTCTGGCATACTTTGGATAAGCTGGTTTTGTAGATTGCGGTGGCACGGGAGGAGGAGGACGAGGACGAGGAGAAGAAACAACAGATGCAGGCTGTTGAATAGAACGAGGTATGTCTGTTGCAGCGGTCATGATGGGTGTACTTGCATTCGTCGAAGAGTCATCTGTTTCGAAAGGATTTTTACCTTGGCTACTTTTACTGCTGCCACTTTTATTGCTATTCAATGAGCTATTACTTTCATTCGCATGACGAGGAGGCGTTAGACCGTGAGTATCACATAGCCTTGCAAACGGATTATAATGAAGCTTTGCATGGGTGGGTGTTTCCTTTTTCTTGTCGTTTCCATCGTTGCCCACCGCATCCGTACGACTGTAGTTATCATCACTGCTATTGCTTCTTACAAAGTTGGGTTTGAATCCCTGGGTTAATAGCAAAGAAGGTCTGCCATCCATGGCCCCTTGTGTCCGGGTCGCTTCCTCCATGTTTATTTTTCTCATCATTTCTTCTAGACTGTCTGATCCCATAGAGATACTATTTTTATGACGTCGACGTTGTGGTAAAGGAACAGCAGTAGCAGTAGCAGAAGCAGTAGCAGAAGCAGTAGCAGAAGCAGTAGCAGGAGGAGGAGGAGGAGGGTGATCCTCGGCATAAGAAGAAAACGGTGCATTGATAAGGCGTTCTTCGCTCATGACACTCGTTGAATAAGGGCTCGTCATGGAGGGTGCAGGTACATGAAGTGGTAAGTGTGGAGAGAGGGTATGCGCTTTCGTCCTATCCTTGTTCATGCCGCTTTCGTCACCCATCATGAATGTGACCGTATTGTAAGGTGCCGATCTTGACCGAGCATGTTGCGGTAAAAATGGAGAGGATGATGTCCTATGATGATGATGATGATTCTTGATAGCAGTACCATTTGCATTTGCATTTGCATTGGGTATGGCATGGTTTGATGTTGGAGTCGATAAGGTATTATCCAAATGAGTCGGCTGTAGCATCCAACTGGGTATATTATTGCTGGGAATAGTATGTGTTGTAGCTGACACAGGGCTTATCGTGGGAGACCCAACATTTCTGACGTGATCATCCTTATCCATCAGCGATAGTGTATTCTCCACGCCTTGTTGGTTGTGTCGCTTCGTATCCATGGAGAGAGAGCGCTTGACGAGCACGTCAATGGCTTGTGTCTGAAATGTAGGCAAAGGTGCTAGTCGTCATAGAAAGGGTAAATGAACAAACATGGATTCAAAGAGACCTTCTTCATTTTTGTTTCTTTACCCTACCTCCCAAATAGATCATGTCAGGGCTCACTTTCCGTCCATTTTGCACATGTGCTATCAACCGTAACATAGCAAAACATTGACCTTTGGTAAGTCCCTCTTTTTCTTGTTGGAAAAATAAAAGTATCTATAGAGTATTTTTTTTTTTGTTTGATCATCTACATAGATAAAAAGATAGAGATGTCTTATCTCCATCCTTTGAAACCCCACCTCCCCCCCCACTTTACATTTTTGCTTTATCTCTGTCCTATTTACCTCTTCTAATGTGTGATGGGGTAAGCAGCACCCACTTACAAACTGCAAGATGGTCTCGTTATTCACTTTTTCGACATGAAAAGGATTCAGGTCTTTCCACCAAGCTTCATAGGCTGTTCTTTCTGCATCAGAGAGGGTGTCGAGATCGTCTATTTCAGGTGCCATCTTGGTTGCTGTGGGATGGGCTGCATTCAGTCTTTTGGACTCTTCCAACCTTTTAAGAAAGGCGTTCGACCGTGTTTCTTCACTGCTTTGGCGATAGTGAGAAGCATGGTGTTGTGATGGTGCTGGCTCTTTGCTATGGTGACTGTGTTTACTGAATGCTGATTTCAGTTTGTTCATTGAGCTTTTCTTGTCATCCACAACAACAACAAAAAAAAAAAAAAAAAAAAAAGGAAAAATAAAAATAAAAATAAACCCATCTTTTTTTTGTAGCTTTTTTGCATTAACCAAAAATCAAAAAAAAAAAGGACCGTTAGCTATTTTTATTTTTGTTTGATAACCCACTTTGCAAGTTTTTTATTTTCTTTTGTAAAAAGTAACAGAGATTTTATAGATGGGGGAATAGATCAATGCATATAGGATTGGTATGAATAGATATACCTGATGATGATGATGAATGTTGTGTAGGAGTCATAGTAGTAGTAACAGTGGTGAAACGAGTTGGAAAAAAAGTAAAATCAAAGCATCCGTCCTATTTCTGAGCTGCAAGCCTAATGAAGCAAGAAAAAGAAAGAGTTCAGCGCTTGCCATTTTCTCAAAGTGATAAGGACGCTTCGCTACTTACATGGTCTTCAATTCATTGTCATACATTTTGACAATCTCCTTGCGCTTCAGCTTTTGAGCGGCTGTCAAGAGTCCCATCTCGGTGGTCCATAGATCTTTGCAAATCCATACATCGGCAATAATTTCTGCTCCTTTCAAACCTGCTTGCTTTGCATGCTCTTGCATGGTGTGTAGAATGATGGATCGTGTCTCTGGATGAGCACACAGTTGTTCCCAACCCATCTTTGTCAGGTCTTCTTCCTTCCTACCGTGCTGTTGCAAAAACGGAAGGAGGGACTTTTCGGAAGGAACGAGCAAAGCGACAGGTTTTGCATACAACGGATCGGCATAGACACACAGATTCTCGACCAACACCGACGACTTGTAGACACTTTCGAGCTTTTCCAGCGCAATGTACTCACCGTTGCTTAGTTTGACCAAGTTTTTCACACGGTCAATGATGGTCAGCGTGCCACGTTCTGTCCATTCACCAATGTCGCCTGTTTTCAGCCAGCCATCCTCGGTCAGGGCCTCCTTGGTGAGCTCGTCTTGTTTGTAATAGCCGGCGGTGATGGAAGGACCGCGCATCCAGATCTCTCCTTGGGGACGGGGCGAATGCGCCGAGGTGTAGCCGAGCTCAGGATGGTCCACTAATTTGACTTGGACGCACGGGACAGGTGCGCCTACTTCATTCAGGGCGTACTGCTCGGGTGCCATGATGGCACACATGCCGCAACTTTCCGTCATGCCGTAACCCTGCAGAATGGGACAGACGGTCACGGACAAAAACTCCTGCGTGGCAGCCGAGACAGGGGCACCGCCCGACAGGCAATAACGCAGACGTCCACCCAGCTGTTTCTTGACGTTGTTAAACACCACGGTGTCGAGGAGGCCGGCCGGTAAACCGTAGCCTGCCAGCGTCTTTTTCATCCACACCGCACCGTGAAAGACCCGTTCGACACGCGACCCTCGTTCGGCCACTTTGGCCAAGACGGTCTTTTTGATCGTCTCCCAGACCTGCGGCACACCCGTCATGATGGAGGGGGCAAACGCCTGGAGGTCGCCCTTGCAGTGGATCACGGACGCATCCGTCAGGGTGCGGATGCTGCCGTAGCCGAGGGTCACGCCCAAAAAGATGCACAGGTTTTCTACGAGAAACTCCAAGACGTGGGCCAGAGGCAGGTAGGCCATCATGGTGTCGTTGGCTTGTAAATGGTGCTGCAACAAACGACAGACACCGGCAATGGCAGCGACGATGTTACCGTGGGTCAACATGACGCCTTTTGGGTTCCCTGTACTACCACTCGTATACATAATACAGCACAAGTCGGTCGATAAGGGTTCATTCCGTGATGGCTTGTTGTCGTCGTCCTCAGCGTTCTCTTTGCCGAGCTGAACGAGCTCATCATACGAGAGAACATGCTTGATGTGTGGGTTGCCTCGTAAGGCGTCCCTATCCGCTGGCTTGGCTTCTCCTCGATAGATGATGGAGGTAATGGATGGACAGTCAGAAGCAATGTGATGAAGCATGGACAGTTGTTCTCCATTGATAAAACAGACATTCGCTTCTGATTCACGAAGAGCATGTTGCAGGCCCTCTGGACCTAGGGTATCATAGGCCGTCACAATCGTCAAAGCTTGAGAAAAAGCGCCTGCATTGTGCCAAAGAGAAAAAGTGCTTGTGAGGATGTGTGTGTGTGTGTGTGTGTGTGTGTGTTTCTTTTTTTTCCTTACCATGGGCCAAAAACATCCATTCAAGACTAACAAAAAAGAAAACCGGTGAGCATGTGTTTTGATACAAAAGAGAGAGCGCTCCTTCCTATGCGTTTCATTGACCCCCCTTTTTTACACACCTTGTGGAAGCAGAGAGTTGTACTTTATCTCCTTTTCTCATACCCAGTTTGATCAAGCCAAGACCGATCCATTGAACAGTCTCTTTTGCTTCTTTATAAGTACAATATTTGTAATCGCTTAATTGAAAATAGGTCCACTTTTTCTTTTCCACCTTTTCTACGCCGTTGACGATCTTGGTTACTTTTTTTTCTTTGGTAATGGTGTTTTCTAATGATCGGTAACCAAACCCATGGCGATCGGGATAGTGTGTCGCGGCATAGTTGAGCACATCGCATAAAGTGTTGACACCATCGGCAGGTGTGGCCACGAGCTGATGAGGTGACAGAATAGAGCGATGAACAGGACCTTCACCAGGTACGGCTGCTGTATTTATTTCCACAGAGAAGGTCTCCATTGTTACTGATATCCTTTATTTCTGTTTTGACAAAAGGGTGGAGGGGAAAAACAGAGAATAAAAAAAAACGGCCAAGTTTGGGACACTGTTGAAAAATAGAAAAAAAAAAAAAAAAACGTGCTCAATGCAGCTTTTTTAATCTAATCATGCAGGTGAATTGTTGAAAGGCCGCCTTTTTTTTTTCCTCCCCGAAAGTCTATTCAAATTGCAACGTTACAGCATATTCATGTGATAAGACATGGTTTGTTTGTTTAATTCTGCAAAAAAAAAAAAAGTGTAAAAAGGGGATTCTTGCGATGCCTTTGAAAGGGGCCGTAGAGAAGAGTGAATTTAGGGTGCACTGTGTGTTTAAAAAGCGTGTTGCTCCATGAGGAACCTTTACAAGGCTCTTCCTTTCGTCAACAAGAAAAAGACCTTTTTTTTTTTTTTTTTTTTTTTTTCAATACGTGCCAAGTAACATATAAAATGAATAAGCCATTATTGCAGTTGCACCTGGCCCCAAAAAAAAAAAAAAAAAAAAAGGAGGGCTTTCCCTGTGGGCTGTCATTCGCCGAGAATCAACCCTATCAAGTGCAAGCTTTTTAAAATGAAACTTTATGATTTAATTGAGTTTTTGTTTACTAGAAATGATCAAAATAGGCTGTCATCTCGTCATGGAGAGGCCTATCGATTTTTTACTACTATTCACGGCATCATGCTCACCCCCTTTATGTTTTATCACTGGAGCATTTTACTATTTTGGCCCTTTAAGAAATGTCAAATGATGTTTGCAGCTTGAGTCCAAATGACTCTTTATGAATGAACGAGTGCGAAATGATACGTGTAAAGAAGAGAGAAAGGGCATGTAGGAGATGGATCAAGTACGAATCTTGGTTACTCTAGGATGATACAATCCACAGGTACGGTGTTTATCTGAAAGTAAGGATGCAATAAAGCGAAAAAAAGTGAACATTTACAGTCACTGATATCTCTCTCGGTGACTATGGAGTATGGAGCTGTGCATGGTTGAGCTGGTAAAAAAAAAAAAAAAGTACAAAGGGAGCGTGTGTGTCTATGTAAACCAAACAGAAAAAAAGTTGGATGACTCACCCTCATCTTTCAATAGATAACCTAGTTATTCATCTACCTCTTGTGGGATGAACCCTGTTGAGAACACGTTGCTTTTTTACTGTTTTATTCAATGAGCGTACAATAATATGTCAAACCGATGTCTTTATGTTTTGGAGGTGGTCTAGATTCATTCAGTATTTCGAAAATGTTAAATCATAGTCGTCGTTATCCTTTTGTCCCCCACTTTTCTGATCGAGACATTTGCATAAAAAAAATCGAGTTTCTGAACAGTCCGACAAAGATGGAAAACAGCTATACTTTCATGACTTTTTGAGTATGACACTTTCACAGAGTGGTCATGTTATTTAGTAAAAAAGGGGGGGAATAAACGCGTCTTTTTTTGTCATAGATGACAGGAACAAAGTCCTACTCTCTTGGGTTGCAAGACGGCTTTCTTTTATTATGATTATTATTATTATTATTGGGTGGTTCTTCACACTCTGTCTCTTTCTCATTTATCGAGAATCCTGCACTTCATAAAAGTTCTTTAAATACTCTTCTGCTTCTGAATATTCTGTTTTGACTTGTGGCAGCAAAGAAGTGATACGTTTCAATGCGTCTTGGTCGTCAATTTCTTTTGAGCCATCTTCCTCTTGACAATTGCCGATATTCTGAATCTTTTCACAGGTTGCTTTTACTTTCTTCAGACCGATAGCTGCTGAACTTCCCTTAAGGAAATGACCGAGTCTTGATAATTCTGTTAAATCTTTCTTTTCTCTAAAAAAAATGATGGAATTTTTGAAAAAGGACAAAAAAAAAAAACCACACAATGTTAACCTTATTTTTTTTTTTTTTAGTTTGCCCCACACTCCATTTTCTCTCTCTCTCTCTCTCTCTCTCTCAAAGTCCACTGCACTCTTTTTTTTTCTATTCTAACGTCGAGTTGTCCCTTTCTCGTTCACTTACAATGCTGAATCCATGTCTTTAAAGGTGGCTTCTGCTTGCTCGAAATAGTTGTTGACGATGCTGAGTGAGAATTCATGGTCATCTTCATCATCCATATCCAATAGCTGTTCAAACGTATTCATATCAATAAGATCATCGGGATTTACCACTTTCTCATTATCGTCTGTTGCGTTGATATTGTTATTTGTAGTGGTGGTATGTTGGCTGGATTTCGTATCTGCATCTTTCACATCAGGCGATCCTGTCTCCTTCTATCATCATCATCAGGGTATATTTTTAGGTCAGTTTCATCTTTCTGCGTTCCTAAGTCTCGATTCTTTTTTGTCTTTTACCACAACGTCTTCCTTTTTATCGATGGTTGCTTTAGGTTCTGGTGATGCTTCACGACTAGACATTATTTATTATTATTATACAGGAAAAAAAAGAAAAAGGTGGGTGGGTGGTGAGGAATATACAAAAAAAAAAAAAAAAAAAAAAGTTACGGATAGTAAGAGAGAAGAAAGAGAGAAAAATAGAACCGAAAATTTTTTTGTCGTTTTTTTTTTTTCGTTTTTTTTTTTTTCCTTCCTTCTTCTTTGGATCGACCACTTTAAGAAAAAAAAAAAAAAAACAAAACCATACGTCATCGACCCTATTCGTTTTCTCCAGGATGAAGAATTACTGAAGAAGCTGTCTATTATCCCTTCACCTATATTTCATAGCATGTTACACCAATATAAAGATAGAGTATCCTTACAGAAAATGTAAGAAATATTCGAGAAATTCCTGGGTAATCTTTTTTCTTTTAGGCTGCTAAGAAATGACACGTACTAAAAAAACCTTACTTGTTGCATTTTCTTTCGTTTGAAAACCCGCTGATAACATAAAGGGGCGGGGGGAGGGAAACTCTTTGGGTTTTGCTTCAATTTTCTATTTCGGCCTTACAACATTTTTTCCATTCGTTTCAATGATGCAATCCATCAGTGTTTGACAAAAAAGTCTAGATTTTCTAAAGTTGATGGATTTTGATAAAAATGGAAAATGAGAGATCGATTTTTGGTGTGTGAAAAAACGTCTGAAATGAGTACAATGGAAAGAAAAACCTTAAAGAGGGAAGAAGGGGAGGGGGAACGGGTGCATACATCCTCTCTCTCTCCAGTTCAAAAGGGGACAAATGATCCTTCAAATGATACAGGAACACACACACATAAAAGGTGGCTTTATCTCTCATTGGCTGAAACAAAAAAAAAAAAAAATTGCCTTTTTGTAATCCATGATACAGTCCGGTCCGTCCGTCAAGCTCGAAAGAGGGGTTGGCAAAAAAAATTTTTTTTTTTTCTCCCACCAATGTTTGTTACCATAATTGAATACATTTTTTTTTTTTCTAAAAAAATAACAATCATGCACCTAAACCTCTACGTTTTGCTCTGATCACTGCCTGGATAGGTTCAGTGATACCATCTTCCTTACTACCTAAAGAGCTGCCTTCCTTCCAACCCATGGCCGACAGCATACGATGACCAATATTCTGCGAGGAAATGGGGGCTGATGTGGAAGCCACTACTTGACCATGCAGTTCTTTCTCCTTTCCTTTGTCCGTCCGTTTTTTGACAGGAGAGCGTCGTGTGTCTTTGTTTCTTCTTTTTCGCTTGTTTTGTTCTTTTTCTTGTTGCTCTTTTGCAAATGCCAGATATTTCTTACAGGCAATGGGTATACAGCTATGGACAGTTTTTGATAATTGAATATTTCTACAAAAAAAAAAACGCGAGTCAATAAAATGGAGAGAGAGAGAGAGAGAGAGAGAGAGAGAGACCGCATGGAAAGAGTGATGGGCTACAGATACATTACCTACGGTGGTTGCCATGATCCGGATCGCTCCTCTCCGAAGCCTCCAGTTGAAATAAGTCTGCAATTTTAGGAACAATGATGCTACGGCCGTAATGTGTTAAATTCGTAAGGCACAAACTAAAAATAGAAATGGGGGGAGGGGAGATACAGGAAAAAGTCAGTTGATAAAAATAGTGGCAAGCCCCGCACCCTCTATCAGTTCTTACGTTTCCACATTGTCTTTATACATGAAATCATTTAAAATACTAGACACAAAAAAAACAGAGTTCCGTGAGTTGAATGGGATCGACATGAGGTGAAATAAGAAAACTTACTGTTCTAGAAGATTACTGTTTTTGGGTATATCACTGTTCTTTTCTTCCTCCTTTTCTTCTTTCTTTTGACGCTTTCGTTCTCGCTGTTGTCGCCATGTCCATCGACTTTGTTGATGCTTGAAACGCTTCTTTTCTGTCTCTAAAAGACCACGATAACTATGCTTTAATGGTTCCGGTATATCGTCCAACCCTTCCCAACCGAGCTCGACATCGGAAAAGATATCTTCTTGTTCTAGATCACTACTACTCGTCGTGTCGGAATCGTAAATGTCCAACAAAGACAGCCGTGATAATTCTGCATAATCCATCATCATGGTCTCCTCATCGAGCTTTTCAGAAAAAACAGACGAGGCACCCGTCGTCGTCATGGCTGCAAATTGAGTGTTGTCGCTCTCACCCCAGTGACTTAACGCAGTCAAAAGACTGATATCCTCACTACTACTCACTGAATACATATCCTCCTCCTCATTGCCAACAACACCTGCTATGTCTTCCACATAGATAGAATCGTCTTTTATCAATTTGGCTTTGTGTTTTTCAAATGGAGTCAAAGAGGAAGAGGGCTCTCGTTGTCGTTTGAGTTGAGGAGGTGATAATGGAGATGCATCTAGAAAGAAACTCACCGTATCCTCTCTCTCGTCCTCCTTGGGGGATGTTGACTGCTCTTCCACGAAGGAGGGCGGGGTGATACTTGTGATGGGAATATGCTGTGAAAACGGTGATTTTGTGGGTGGCGTAGACAAACAATCATTTGAAACGATACAAACTAATAAACAAAACCGGTGAAACGTAACTACTGGTTAAAAATAAAATGACATCCCCATCCACAAAAAAGATACAACTACTGACTCTCTTCTGTTATCCTCGTATTCAAAGGGCATCCTGTTTCTAACGGATCGACATGGATCGGAGGTTGGCTTCTTTGATCATGACGGTTGCCATCCTCAAAACCACTTATATGATATCGCTGCTTTTTCCAATGGCTGTTTGTATTTTTATGGTGGTTGCTTTTCTTTTTCCTATTATTTTTGGCCATCAACAGATTTTCAGCAATTCGTAAACTGTCAATGGGTGATGGAGGTTGGGGGGGGGAACCTTTTGTAAATAATAAAAAATACCGAGCCGAAACTGTGTGGTTTTTTTTTTGAAACCTGGTCACGGAATAAATTAGGAAAAAAGAAACGCGCAGTAATTAGAGAGCGAACTTGCTGTGAAGCACATTTTTTGAAGCATTTTTTATTCGTTTCGAAAATAAACATACATCTTTCACCGATTCTTATCCTCTACATACGCACACTTTTTTACATGCAGAAATCCATGCAGAAATCCATGCAGAAATCCATGCAGAAATCCATGCAGAGATCCATGCCTCAATAAAAGTAATATGGGTTTATTCTTTGTATCCGACACATGAGAATGAAGCGCAGGTTTTTCAGGGCCAAAAGAAAAAGCTATCAGATCCGTAGCAGCGTCATTTAGTTTTTTCCCTGTTGAACAAAAAAAGCAGAACGGGAGAAACCTTTGTGGTAGTACAAAGACCGTTTTATCGTTTGTTGAGAACCTTTCTTTTTTTTTTTTTGGTTTTTTGTGATCCTATTCAAACTTGCTTTTTTGCCAAGATCGTTCAATAGAGAGCATGACGTTTTTATTGGAGTGCCTTGTTCACTTTGACGTCAAGTTCGCTAGAATGCTTCTGTTTACTTTGATACAAGTTTAGACAATACGACATTAGCACGTGAAAGAGACCCTATTTATAAAGTCGAACAATGTCTTGTTTGATATCAACAAATAAACTTCTTTGCAAAGTGTAATGCTACTGAGACTGATCGAGAGACTGGTTCCTTTTTTTTTTTTTTTTAGGTCTGTTCAAAACTGTAACTTGGTGTCAGAGTCAATACAGTTCATTGAAAAAAAAAAAAAAATGACCCAATCCATCGAGCTGTAGACAGCAGATGGGTTCTTTTGAGCTTCTGCAAAAGCATTGTTGCAACGAAAAAGAGACGTGTTGGGGAAGAGAGAGACGGCCGAAAAAGGAAATCTGTTACACTGAGATGGGACGCACCGTTCACAAACTTGGGATTAAATCAGCGACGGTAACGCTATAGAATTCACCGAATAGAGTCAACCACTACTGTCATTTACATTGGAAGGAGCATAGAACGTCATTTTAGTGGTAGTAAGGATAAGGAACAAGACTTTCTTTATGGAAAATATGCAATCAATATGCGTCTGACAAATTGAATAAAGTGTGCTTCCTACGGCTAAGGCTCCGATTCAACACGCACACAGACACACACGCCTACACGCGCACGTAAAATATAAATTTTCAACACCAAAAAATAAAATAAAATAAAGAAATCTCCATTATCCCCATTGTAGACAAAAGTAGCAGCAACTGACATTTAAGCATTGTACAGGAACCGCTCTACTGTGTCCGCATGGTTCTCATGAACAAAACCTTCCCAAGACGCGCCTCTTATCAGCTGTTTCGTTTATTGAATGCATTGATTGAACCATTTTTTCTTATAAATGTTCCTTCTGCTGCTCTCCTAGGCGAGGACAAATAAAATGGTGGTTGCTGTTCTGTGCAAGAAACACAAACTTTTGGTCCATACTATTTTTTATTTTTTTTTCCCTTGGGTCTCAGATTTTTCCAATTACCTTATTCATCAAAATCAATCAAACAATCGATGGCCAATAGTGATAGTGGCTACTCAGCGACCACCAAAAAAAAATAAAAAAAAATAACCCAAAAAACCCTGATCATGTATCGCAAAAAAAAAAAAAAAAGTGAGACGTCGTTTGTTGTAGATACACACAATGGAATGGATTCTAGTGAGACTATCTTATGGATAGCTTGCTTAACACGATGATTGGCAAATTCTGAAATAGAATTCAGTTGTTCGATATCATAACTACTTCATTTCAATGATAGCCTTATTGAATCGGAGTCGTTCTATTTGGTACAAGGAGAAAACTAAGGAATCCTGACGTTTTTGTGTAAAGCACAGGGCAAAAAGCATTAGCCAACTTTCATGGCACATACGGCACAAACATCAACAATTTTTTATTTTTAGACCCTTGTGTTCGCTTGTTTTATTTTTTTTTGACATATTTCGGAGAATCAAAGAAAATACATACTCTTCTTTTCCCCCTCTTATTCGGGTCAACAACGCATTAAAAAAGCATTTTTCTGTTTTAATAACCCGCTCCTGATTTTCCGAAAAAGAAGAACATATAAAAGACACGTCTTCTTTTCCATCCACTGGTTTCCATTTTTTCTTTCTTCTTCTCGTACAATCCAGTCTCTTTTTTTACATTACAAAAAAGTAACCCTTTTCCCTTCTATATTAACAATGAAGTTCTCTATTTTCGCCGCTATTGCCACCCTCGCCACCGCTGTCTCTGCTCAAACCAGCATTGTCAGTATCACCTCTCCTCTTACCGGTACCGTCTACACCGCTGGTCAACCTGCCACTATCACTTGGTAAGTAAAAAAAAAAAACCAGCTTTATCTAGACAGAAAAGGCCGATTTTTCTTTTCATTCTCGAAAAAAAAAAAAAAAACGCGCTGGGCGAAAAGGAAAAAATCATGATCTTAATGGAAGACTAATCATATCGATCTAATTGACAATGGATAGGATTGACCAACAAGTTCCCATGATTCCCAAGATTGTCTTGGCTAAGGGTATTCCCACCGCTCTTCAACCCGTTACTGTCATTGCTCAAAATGTAGATGCTAACGCCGGTTCTTACACTTGGAATGTCCCCGCTGATATTGCTCCCGGTGATAACTACGCTTTAGAATTGGGTGAATCTCCCAACATCTCTTACACTGGTCTCTTCATCATCAAGAACCCTAATGCTCAAGGTAATACTGGTGGTTCAACCAATCCTGCTCCTGCTCCTGCTCCTGTTTCCACGGGTGCCTCTCCTGCTGCTGCCAAGCCCTCTGCTTCCGCCAGCTCTTCTGCCTCCGCAGCTCCCGCTCCTTCTTCCTCTCCTGCCGCTCAACCCCAACCCTCTCAACAAGCTGCCAAGGTAAACGTTGTTGAAAATGGTGCCTTCAAGGTTTCCCTCAACAAGGCTGCTGTTGGTGCCGTTGCTGTTGCTGGTGCCGCTGCTGCTGCTTTGATTTAAAAAAAAAAAAATACACATTGTAACCGTCAAGGAGAGTAGTATATCACCTTTTTTTTTTTTTTTTTTCCCTTATCTGTTTGACAACACAAACTCTCAACTCATACACACCAGTTTATAACATGAACAAATCGTCAACTCTTGATTTTTTTTTTTGTTTCTCAATATTAGTACTATAGTCGCATTTCCTTTTTTTTTTTTTTTTTACTTATTTTTTCCCCCCTTTCATTGTTTCTTAATTATTTTTCTTCATTTTTCCCATTTTTGGTTATTTTAAAGATGGAAATCCTCCCTCCCCCCCTAAACTTTTTTTTTCCTACTAAAAGAAAGTTCGATACTAATAAATTTGTATTATTTTTTTTTGTAATGTAATTAACATCGCTACAATGTATGTCATTCGTAGGAATCTGAGTTTTTGCTAATAACTATCCTGTTGATTTAATGATTCACCTGTTGCATCGCATGCATCCCATTTTTGTTGGGCTTGAAAAAATGTCCGGCTTTTACTTAAACCATTTTACAACAAAGGGGGGGGGCGAGTTTGTCTGTGTGTGTGTATGTGTGCACAGACCTCTGACGATTTTTTTTTTTTTTTTTTGTTTGTTCCGTACATGATAGCATGAATCTTTGTGTTTGAACGGGGATAATAATCTGATGAAAGAGGGAGTAGCACAGCATAAGTGACACCAACCACGTAATGGCTTGACAGATAGGAAAAAAAACCATTGAAATTATTTTTAGAAACCCACGTTAAAAAGCTTATTTTTCTCGTTGGCTCAACCCGTGACGATGACTATCTTATCACATCATCCTCTTATCTTTATCATCCTTTTTATGTTCAAATCAACCCTCCAAACGATTGGAACTCTCGTGATTAAAAAATTGCGCAGAGACATGTCTACAGGGGATCTGATAAACGGAAATTTCCTTGACTTTCGATACGTTGTCTTTTTTTTTTTTTTTTTTTTTTTATTCTACAGAAAGTTTCTAAAGGAATGGATTTAAAGTCAGACGATGGATCAAATATCCCTTATGCCCTGAGCTCTTGTCCCAAATAAAGAATCAACGATCATGCAGTGCGTCCATTTTTTGAGGACCTTCTCAACATTCTACTTTTTTGGGTGTAATACAGAAAATTTCCATCATTACGGCATGACGACTGCAGAAAATGATAAATTACCAATACGTGGGACCTAAGCTTATAACTAACTATTCTTGAGAAACATAACTTTATATAAAATAATGTGATCATTCTGTATTTTCTTGGCCTTTTCCTTTTTTTTTTTTTTTAAACTCAAGGTTCCTTGGGTAGCCATTTCTTTTTTTTTCCCCCTTTTCACTGGGCCTAACCGAGTTGACTCGAAGAAGGAAGTGAAACGGTCAAGTCAATGATATAACACCTAAGCAATAGAAAAAACGTATTTCAATTAAACACACAAACACAAAACTCTCAACAAGCCCAACAAAATAAATAAAAAAAAAAAAAAATTCTGCTCGGGGGAGGGGAGATAGAAACACACACTTTTTTTCCTCTTTAAAAAAGAAAAAAAGGTGACATCCATGCCATACAGTAACGATTCTCTTTTTACTAAAACCGGAAAAAGGATGTCCACCGTGATGAAAAGCCTAGAGATCTCGTCCATGAAACTTTGATAAAGACCAATGAAAAAAAAATGGCATTGAATAAGGGTTTAGGGGCTCGTGAAATGGATGCATGTGCGAATAAAAAACTAATTTGTATGTTGAAGTTTTTAGATTTGAATGTTTAGGGTTTTTAAAAAGGAATCCGATAGGAAGCATAAAAGAAAAAAATAATAAGTCTATCACTTTTCCCCGTGTCAACACTCAATTTCTGCCCCTCGCCTTTTGGTTTCTTTTTTTGCGTACACGTGATCTATTCGAGGATCACAGAGGCTCAGAGGTATGTACGCTGGATTGGCATGCGTTATCATTCTTGAAATTCATTCCAGAGACTTTATCCCATCTTTATCGAATCGTTTGACAATCTAACCACACTTGTAGTGTCCTAAAAGAGCAAGTGCATACTGATGCCGCGAGTGTTTTGCTTTTTTTGCACCTAGACATTATATATGCCTGCATCCTACAGTGACTCCATCACTCATGCTGAATAAGGTGAATGCCTGTAGAAGGGGTAAAAAGAACATTGTGAATGCCTTTCTGCTAACACACAGAAACAATTCAAAGTACGATGAAAGTACATCTCCTTTGTTGATGAAAGCCATCGATAGGGGCTGTACCTGATAGGATCATATATACATCAAAAAGCTCTTTTTCCCTTGAATCAAGTCACGTTCAATTAAAAAGCAAGACGTCCCAAAATTATGCAAAAAAAAACAAAAAAATAAAAAAATAAAATTAAAATAGTCTATACCAACCGCGCGACTCTTTCATTGTATTTAAATGCATCCCAACTTGAAAGCATAGAGTGCATACCCTACATTACCCTGATAAATATCTCTACAATATCCATTGATACTACAACTGATTTTATTCTGCATACACTATTTATTTATTTCCCCGTCTATTTGCTCAGATTTCATTCATTGACACGCCCCCATCATGACGACAACAACAACAGACATTACTAATGAGCAATGGATCGCTTTTTTAGAAAACAATCATATTGTTGAAACTCAGGAAGAGGCCTTGAAAAGGTGAGTCAGATACTACTGTTGTTTGAGAAAAGAGTTCTTTGTATTTATCAGTCGTCTTTCACGGACTCGCCCTCTCATAGGAGAAGGGTGATCAATTTATTGGAAAAGATATTGCCCAATTTCGTCGAGTCGGTTTTGATGGACAATCCAGACAACAAGTTCAACCCACCTACATGTCATCTGGCACCCTTTGGCTCTTACGCTTTAGGTGGCTATACGAGGAGCTCTGATATTGATTGTGTTTTACTCTGTCCTTGGTCCATTCGCAGACAGGATTTCTTTCAATATTTTCCTCGCCATCTTAAAAAAATGGCCACCGTCCTTGATGTAGAGGTAAGGAAACACAAATAGCTCTCTTCGTCCCCTTCCACCTGACTGATATTCCTTAATTTACTCTTCTGTCATGGGGGGTGGGGGGGAGGAATCCATAGCTAGTACGTCGAGCGACGGTTCCCATCATCAAATGCGTCATTGACAATATTTCTGTGGATATCTCCTTTGTTCGATTGAGATTACCGACCATTGTTAAAGACAACCTCGACCTTCTCGATGACAACCTCCTGGAAGGGATCGACCCCACTTGTGTCGCAAGTATGGACGGTCCTCGCGTTTGTCAATTCATCCAATCCCACATCAAACCAGAACACAGACTGCTTTTCAACTCGTGCTTGCAAATCATCAAACACTGGGCGAGTCAACGTCAAATCTACAACAAACCTTTAGGCTACTTGAATGGCAGCACCTGGACATTACTCCTGCTTAAAATATACATGACCCATCGGCAAGCACCCAATTTAGATATCTCGCAGTTATTGATTCGATTTTATGATACCTGGGCTGATTGGCCATGGCCAACGCCAGTCCTCTTTACAGACAAAATACCAGGACGTAACCAAAAGCTGGAATACAAAATGTTGAAAGAATTTGAGGAAGCTGTCATGCCGATAGTGTCCCCTTGTTATCCAGTGTCTAATGCAGCACCCTATGTGACTAAATCCACCAAAACCATCATGACGAGAGAATTCGAAAGAGGTATTGTATTTTATAGAGAAAAATGTGGCATTCACAAGTAGGCAGGAAAAAGGATATATCAATAGATAGATCTACTTACTGGTGTGTGTGTTGTTTTTTTTCTTTTACGTCATTCGTTGGCTAGCATCCATTATACTGAATACCCAAGTCAGTCCATTGAAAAAACTCAACAAATTTTTTAATGCAGTGAATTACTTTAAAAGATACCATCACTTTTTAACCATTACAACAAGTTGTACAACAGCGAATAACCATGAACATTGGTAAAAAATCATCTATTTTCAAGAGGACGGTCGTCTTCTTCTTACGATAGTAAAGCAAAACAGACAAACTAATTTTTTCGTTGCGTTGAAATGATGGGGGGCTACTTAGGATTAGACGCATGGCACATAATATACCAGTCTTTATCGGGTTATTGGAAAAATCACGATTTATCCGATTGATGCAACCTGCCAGCAAAGAAATAACCAGTATATATAATTACCGGACTCATTCAGAAAAGGAAGCCTTACGAAACAACTATACCATGGAAGAGGTCAAATCGTTACAGAACACAGGCATTTTCACACCAGGTACTCTGTATTTGACTTACTACTTTATCGGTATAGAAGTCGAGGAAGGCTGTAAATGTGTGGACTTGTCCGATATAGTAACGGCATTCCTTGATGTGCTGAAGAGCAAAAAGCAAAAGAATGAAGATGTACATTGGCATATACAGCATATGACGAAACGTAGGGTGGCTGCCATTTTAGGAGTGCCTACCGATGAACGAACAAACAACACCTCGAAAGAATAAACACAAACCTTTCCCTCCGTCTCTTTCAAATCAATGGCCTTTCTTTTCGAATTGTTTTTTACCTTCTCAACGTTTGTTTATTCATTTTTTCATCCTTTGACACGGTGTCAACAGTATCTATAAATCCAACCAAGATATATCTTTCTCCTTTCGTTATATCCACGCCACTATGTAAGACATGGGCATCATGATAAGCGCAATCCCCTTGCTTCAAATAAACAATGTCATCCATGTTTTTGAAATAAGTGCCTCCGCCTTCAAAATCATCTTCATGACTGATGAGTAACGTAATGGAAAACAAACATCCGTCTGTATGCAGTTTCAAGCCCCTTTGAGCACAAGCCGAGTATTTTACCAAGAAAATATCTCGAAATGCCAGGTCGGACGCCTTGAATCCATAATGGTCGGCAAGTTCATCAAATAAACGTGTCTTTACAAGATCTTCCAAGTGGCGTAACTGGTCATCATGACGGACGGGAATGTCAGTAGTAGGAAAAGCGGAATGACGATCGGTCGTCCACTGATGGCTATCGGCTTTCTGAGCTCTGCACACGTCAAGGACATGTTGACATTCTTGTCGTGAAAGTAATTGACGGTGCTGACCAGGTCGTGCAAACTTTTCCTCACGGACGTGATTAAAAATGAAGCGATTTTCACTCATCGATCGTTGCTTTGGATCTGCTGGCAAAGCAGCGATCTGTTTTTCAATATCGACATTAAATTGTTTTTTTCTATTGTCTAATTCTTGTTGCTCTTCAACAGTTATTTCTTCAAATAGATCGAAAGTAGTGGCAGTGGGCATATCGTTTTCTTCTTTTTTTGAATGATTTAAAAAAAAAAAAAAAAAAGAAAAATCCGCTTTGACATTTCTTTTATTGGATAACTAAGACCCTGAGATCATCTCGACCAACAGCGGCATAGGTACTTTGTGTAGCAAAAGAAAAGAATCAAAGACCCTTACCATCATCAACGGATTCCCCTTTTTTTATTTTTTTTCCTCATCTTTCTCTCATTCACTTTCAAACCATTGATTTCCAATGAGTGAGGAGCAAGAAAATTTGCTCTCCTCCTCTTTAGAACATAGAGACGACTGTATTATCGATAAAGACAGTGACAATGGGGCCGATACAGATTCAATCGAGCAAAACAACAGCCAACAACCAAAAAACTACAAGTTTGACATGCTGTTTTTCAGCAGACTCTTTTCTGTCTTGAAAATACTGTTCAAAAGCAACGCTATCTATCCTTGCTGGTCAACAAAAAAGAAAGCTCGACAAAATAGTTTATTCTGGCTTTATATTCTGTTCGTCACCCTGGCTGTACTTTACGAAATACTTGTTTATTTCGTGGGCATGATACCGAGCCAGTTTTATACTATACTTACTACCAAGGATAAAGCAAAATTTGGTACCTTCATCATCCCATGTCTGTTGCTTGTATTTGTGATTGCTATTGTAAAGAAACACTTTTTTATGAAGACCCATTTTCTATTGTCATGCTCACATTCAGAAAACAGAGACAAAATGACTGACACTTTGTATCCCCTTTCCACAACTCCCCCAATGCTTACGTTTTTTGAATAGTGCAAAAGTTTGTTGAATTTCATGGGAGGTTTGTTTGCTTTGAAAGCGAGAGAATTGCTCACGATCCATATCCAAAATCAATATCTACGATCCAAAGCCATGTATACCCTTTTGACAAAGTATAACAAGATTGATAATCCGTAAAGTGTGCAATCTACTTTTATAGATTTGTATCTTTTTTCTTCTCTAACCTACGCCCTCCCCCCCCACCCCCTATCTCAACGCCCTACGTGATAGAGATCAACGTATAACGCAAGATATAGAAAAGTTCTCCGAAACACTACGACAAATAGTTACCAACCTGATTATTGCGCCCATCATGGTCGTCTATTATACTTACAAGTGCACCATGGTCACGGGTATCTCTGGACCTTTATTCATCTACACCTATTTTGTTGTGGGTTCTTACCTAAGTCAAAAGTATATTCAACCTTTGGTCAATGCTGTCTTTTTTAAAGAACTACAAGAAGGAAACTTTAGATATTTGCACGTTCGATTAAGAGACTTTGTAGAATCCATTGCTTTTTGTGCAGGAGAAGACGATGAGAGGATGAGAGCGCAACAGAGTTTGGATACACTACTTGCCTATCAGAAAACCATTGTGAATAAAGAGTTCCCTTTGAAAGGTAAAAGACGATGTACACTTGTATTTCTATCCTGCGCTTCGTTCAGGAGGTCAGAATGCACAACCAATACATGATTATTTTTCATTAGTGGCAAATGAAAGTTTCTCTTATTTGGGGTCGGTGCTTAGTTATTTGATCATTTCTATTCCCCTATTCATGGGAGTGTTTGACGGAAAAGATGCTTCAGAATTGAGTTCGATCATCAGTGCAGTAAAACAAAAACTCTTTCGTTCACAATGGAAAAAGGAATAGGTACGGGTGACTGATCTCTTCATTTTTGCTCTTCTTTACCATACATCAGAATTCTTTCGTGGCCATGTATTTGATTTATCTATTTTCAACCATCCTGGAGCAATCAAGTAAAGTTTCTGATCTTGCAGGCTATACTGCTCGTATAAGTGAGCTTTTGGAAACACTGAATGAAATAAACGAAAAAGCAGATGAAGAATGCAGACAAAGTGAAAAATTGAGTACGAGTAGTGGTAGCAACAGGAATAGCATTCAAACTACAGCTCACACCAGCAACCATAGCAACGCACCTACGACGGCTGCTATTACCTTCAGAGACGTCTCTCTTTCTACACCTCATGAGCGTCGTCGTCGTCTCAAGAAGTTGATAGTACAACATTTCAATCTAACCATTCACGTGGGTGAAAGTGTGGCTATCGTTGGTCCAAATGGTTCTGGAAAAACGTCTCTTCTTCGTGCCTTAGCGAGTCTATGGCCTTGTGACGAAGGTTCTATAGAAATTTCTGGTGCTTCCGATGTAGGCAAGAATATCATCTATTTACCTCAAACGCCTTACTTGATTGTGGGCTCTTTGAGAGAACAACTCATATATCCTAGCAGTCCTACTGGCAACAATGGGCGATGTGATAGTAGCCGGATTTCATCTTCCACTGTGAAAAGTATGTTCCTACTCTTGAAGAATATAGACAACTTGACTAACACTATACGCATATACATACTTTTATGCGTTCTTTAGTTACAGACGAGGAAGTGCTTGAGCTCTTGGATAAAGTTCACCTACGTCACTTGTCAGGGCTTATTGAATCTTACGATACAATTTATGGTGAAGAATGGAATAGCTTGCTGTCTCCTGGCGAGAGGCAACGACTAGCGTTTGCTCGTATATTTTACTGGAAACCCCGTTTTACAGGTAGATCAGTGAAAATGAAATTGAGAGACAAATTATAGTCATGCCCCTCTCTCGCTTTCTATTAAATTACATCATTTTCTCATTCATATAGTGTTGGATGAAGCAACAAGTGCAGTAGATGCAGAAACCAGTGAATACTTTTACAATGCTTTGAAAACACTAGGAACTACAATTATTAGTGTCAGCCACGACCCTTCTATTGTAAATCTTCACGACACCATTGTGAGTTTAGAAGGCTTTGGTGAATATTCCATTCAGAGTAATACAGTGAATACGCCTTTAGTCACTGTGTAAAGCCGCTGATAGGTAACTAGTGATATTCTTCGTATATATACCACCCCCAAAAAAAAACCATAAAAATTCAATTTAATTTCATATTGGAAATTATAACAATCTATTATCGTTCAGTTTCATAGATATGTACAGTTGATGATTTAATGTAATATGAGGTCGTTAAATAAAAGCATTTGGCCAAACTTCTTCTATCATAGGATTGCTCATTAGTCCTTTAATAAAACCTCGCCATACAGCGCTTTTCGTTACTGTGCCGTCCCAAGCGGTAAATCGTGTTCCTTCAACGATCTGTGGCTCGTCTACCACTGCTATTGATTTTTTCCTCTCGGTACGATGACTACTTTCATCGTTATCATGGCTATTGCTGTTATTGATGTACAAGTCATTGAAGAACAGTTTTCCAAGCTTGCTGACTGTTTCATCTCTGTTCTGCATTAAAACCAAACAATCACTTGTAAATACACCAAGCGTCTGTCCTTGGAAGTATGACATGTTTTTTTCTGCACAATGATGAAGGCTCGACGGTAATACATCCTGTAGCAAGCATCTCAATAGATTGATACAGCTGTTATATCGATTGGCTGAGTATAATAAAGGTGTTGTGATAAGGCAAGAGCCCAATTCAGCTATATACGTCGATGTGTGAAAGAAGGCCAAGGAGTCGTGTTAGAGCCTCCGTCAGCAAGGGAAAGCTGTCTGAACTTTTTTAACTTTTTTTCTTTTTTCCTCACAAACATCTTTCATCCCATTCTCTCTTACCTGCTCTAGCAGCGCCTCCACTTCTCCCTGCTTCTAATACTTGATCTACAATCATATTGACAAACCAATGACCACCACCAATTTCTAGAGCGGTTTCAAATAAAGTCATATCCAAGCAATGAGAAACAACTTGCATTTTTGTAGGCGCTTGATCATCCCACAGGGCATTGGTGTCTGTATCTACATCACCCATGTACAACGAGCGACCGCTCTTCACAATATAGCGAAACATGGTAGATGCCTTTTCAAATAAGGTTGAGGGTATCACACCGGTCGTCACCGTTTCCACATGCATCATAGAATGGTCTTCTGTTAATTTATCCAATTTGTTGTCCGTATGAATATATTGCATAAGTTCAGACATGCCCTTTACCAATTGAATATCCTCCTCATTTTCTGTTGTCGAGAAAGCGGCCTCTTGACGCTTAAATTCTAATAAGGATTCTAGTGATCCCAAAACAGGATGGAGACTGATATCACGCGAAAGAGGCGAGCAGTTATTGTTCTCGTTATTACAACCCATAATGTACTGACGCAAGCATAAAAGAGCAATAGCAGATTGTCCGTTCAAAAGTTCTTCACAAAGGATATTGAAAATACCCGATAAAGTAAAGTCCAACACAGGCTTTTGGAAATAAGAAATGATACGGACAAACGTGTCATTGTCCATTTGCTTATTGCTATAAAGTAAAATAGCACGTTGGATAATGCTAGGGAAAATCTTCAGGAGAATTTGAGGGCTTGACGACTTGAGCAAATCTTCGGATAACTCGTCTCCTGCTGCGAGACCGCTCATCCAATTCTCAATATAGACTTCCATAGAATCATCCAAGATATCAATACCATAAATAGTTGGTCCCTCGGCAAAGTATGTATAGAGGAGGCCAGATTTATCGATGAAGACCTTATCTAAATCTCTATAAAGCTGAATAGATTTTTTCTTGACGTCAGAATATAGTTCGGGTTGGAGGAAAGAATAGGGACGAGGAGGGAGAGCATTCTTTCATGCTTTCTTACTTTGTTACCTTGAATCTTTTCACTACTGAAATTACAAAATTCCAGATTCTGCCGTATTTTTGATAGAGTAAGTGCCCTCCACTTAGTTTCTCCTTGCTTTCTTCAGTTGTTAGAATTGTTAATTCATCTATCATTTCTGTTTGGTAGCCATTGGGGTCCCAATTGTTGCAGATATTCTCTAAAGGGCTGAGCAATTCTTGCGGGGTATAAAGCTGAAGAATCAAATCGACGCTGCAAGGGCATTGTGCTAGAACATCACAAATTGTGGAAAGTGAATAGAAATCATTCGCAATAGATTTCTCTTTCAACAGAGCTAAAATGAAGTCAATAATCTTTCTCAGATGAATAGGTGATACTAATCCAATATGTATCAATTCCAGCAAAGCAGTAGATGACAATTTCTCTTTAATGCTTTTAAATCGCACATCGATATTCTGGGAAACACGCATGAAGAAAAGAGTTAGGAAGCTCCTTTCTTACAAGTTTCATCAATCTATTCTTCAATTCACCTGATCAACAGCAGCAACGGGAGTTAATTCCCCTAAATCATTATCGATGTCCATGCTATCATTTTGTTCTTTCACTTTTCTCTTTTGTAAAAGCTCTTCTACAACCTCTGACCGCACAAATCCATGTCTGTGACAAACAAGCACAATATTTGTGAATATGTCATTATTGCTTAAAGCATGCAAATACTTCAAAATTGGTCCATTCAAATCGTCAGCTGTAGAATCCATCTCATTGATCATATTCATGAAATCGTCTTCAGCCTCTAGATTTTCTGTTCCTTTTTCTCCCGCTATCATTTTATCCACAAGTGACGAGCACGTCGAATCTGGTGCATAATATTCCGTGCAGCATGCCGGGATGCTACAAGCATTGATAAGGCCAGTAAATGCTTCCAGTTTCATTAAGGCTGACTCAAAGGCATTATATGACTACAACAATGGTGTAAATAGCCTTGCTGGTCAAAAATAAGCCGCACCAAAACTATATCCTAGAAATGACTCACCTCATCAGTACCTGTCAGCTTAATGCCTTTATCTCGCTTTAAATGCTGTAATTTGTCCAACAAATCAGGCAACTAAAAAATCACATACTTCTTCAGTTAGACTCCCTAAAAAAATGACTATGCAATGCCTCGTTTGTTCTTCTGTTTTGTCTTTTTTACCTTGACTAAGACTATACTCTTCCATAGAAGTCTATTCGTAGCCACAACAGAGTTACAATTCTGGTTCGTGTTGCCTTTTGATATAATGTTCTCTTTCTCGATCATAGGGGGAATTTGGCAACTCGTATTCAACGATGCTTCTCGAAGGCCACCAAGGGCTGTTAGCCAAATCTCCAAGAAAAATGACTCATCAAAAGAACCTTTTATTGTCTGTAGCTTAACCAAGTGATCCAAAATATAATCATCGTCAAGAGAAGGCCTGATTTGCACCATATGATATAAAAGACCCATGACCCCCGCACTTGGCATGGCTCTTGCTGTGCCTTCATCTTCCAATTCATGATATTTCATATGTACAGCCATTCTTCGTTCTATATCCCTATCTGTCAATTTTTGTACTAACGTTAAAGCCCGTTGAATGATTGAGTTCTGAGAGGCTTCATTTGATCTGCACGCTTTGATAGCAGGGTTTTTGGGGTCTAATTTAATTTGGCATTCGATCCATGGTTCAAATGCATTACTGCTACCGTTGTTGTTGTCGTGCTGTGTGGTATCATTTGCACCTTCTATCCCTTCTTCTGTCTTTTGCTCTAGCTGTCGTTTTAGGTTATGTTGCAATTCGAAAATACGTTTGACATCTTTTTTTTCTATCAACATAATCATAATTTGCGCTGCTAGAACAGCATTCTCAATAACTGCTGAGTTCGTCTTACTAAGTTCTCTTCCTGCCTTGCTCTTCTGACTGTCGCTTTTGCCATCGGCCATACTCGGGTCCTTCTTTAGTCTGGCTTCGCCGCCGGTTTCTACTCCCTCGTTATTGTCCAGCATCACTATACCATCGTCTTCTATTTGAACCTGTGTATTATCGATATCGAGTGTCGCATCAATTCCTCCATCCCCCAAATCTATCGAAGTCTGAGACACAAATGAGAATTGAGAATCGAACGCAGGTTGTGTATTATTATTATTGTAATTTTCATTGTTTTGAAATGACATGGTAGCTGCAAGCGGCGCATTGGTGCTACCAGATATTCTATTAGTACTGTCAGTAGCCTTAATATACCAATCGTGATACAACCCCGTGGCAAGTATATGTGACAGAAGTTTGAAAACATCAATAAGGATCTCGACTAGCGAATTTTCTTTTCCTCTTTGCAAATCAACAATAATCCGATCGGAATCAAGCGGGGCTAGTATATATGATAAAAGTCTCAGTAAAAAGGTCCAATGGTGAGATTGTTCAAAGTTGCCGCTGGTTGTTGTAGATTCGAGGAATGGTAGCAGTTGAGTTATAAAAGTATCTATTTCAATAAGAGGCTTTATACTAGTATCCATGTCGCTCTGAAGATTATTATTGGCGGATAGCGTAGCGTTCGTTGAGTTTAGTGTTGCTCGCCCAATTATTGATATAGTTAAGTATTCCTCAATCAAAGCATCGGCAATTCGCGTTGTTGAAAACAAGAAAGTTAGCAGTAGATCTAAAGCCAAGGCCAATGAGCAACTGAGTACATTTATTGAATAAATCGATTTTTCTGTAAGGTTTACCGCATAGTTCTACAGTTGTGCTGCCAGCTTCAAGGCATTCTTTCGTCGGCTCTATCCACTTTATGCACGTTGGTAAATTGAAGCCAATCCAGACAACTTCAAATGATCTATTTTTCGTTTTACCTGTTCAGCTTTGCAACAGTGCAATAAGGCATATCGAAGAACAATTTCAAGTGTATTGGCCGAAGTCATTGGCGAGTTTGCTACTTCAGAAAGAAGTAGATCCTCCTTTTTCTTCCTTCTTCATTGTCCATGAAGAGGAAGCCGTGGCTGCAAATTAAAGTTCCGCAAAAATTGATCTGGTAACAAACGTGATACGTACTTATAAGACAAGATATACGGTACACATTATCATAACAGAAGCATAGGATTAGTATTGGTTCCATGGCTCGTCTTTTTTATTACGAGTTTATAAGATTAGTTCATGAAGTTTAAGTTTACGTAATAATAATAATACTGTAATCGCGTGTTCTAAGTTCTTAATTATTTCCTTCGTCGCTCAACATAGACCTTCATTCCTTCTTTCATAGGCAATGTTAAAGAGACTTGATAGGTAATGTTCTGTCCAGGAACTAGCGTTAGCTTGTAGTCTTTTACAATATAAGCAAGAGCTACCAAAGCTTCCAATGTAGCTAAATTCTGACCGAGACATACGCGAGGGCCGCCATGGAATGCTGGCCATTGACCCTGAGTTTCTCTTTTTAGTTCACCATTTGGCATAATCCATCTCTCTGGTTTAAATTGCTTTGCGTCTGGTCCCCAAACAATTTCAGACCGACCTTGAGCCCATGGACTCCACGTAACATAATCACCCTTCTGGATTTGTGTTCCATCAGGCCATACATCATTGTTCAAAGCATACTTCTGGTTATTTGGGACCGAAGGGAACAATCTCAAAACTTCATAAAAGCTGTATTGAGTGTTTAGCGAAGAAACAAAAAAGCGGTTAGATGGTGTGATAAGAACAACCGCAATAATAATCAACTTACATAGCATGGGCGTAATTCATTTTTTTTATCACATTATATAGTTCAGCAGGTTCGTTTTTCATGTCATGAGATATGCTAATATTAACTTCTTGCAGCAGCTTCTTCTCGATGCGTGGATGCAGCATAAGCATATAAAATGTCCAGGATAACGCTTGAGCTGTTGTGTCTCTTCCAGCAATGACAAAATTCAAGACTACATCTCTTAGTTCTTTATCATTGAGTAGTTCATTGTGCTCATTCCTTGCCTCCATGAATCTGGACAATAGGTCAAGATGGATTTCACCCTTTTCCAGCTGCTTTCGCCGAAGCTCAATTACTTCTCGAGCAAATTCATTCACCGTATGTAAGTGCTGACTGAGACTCTTCTTCCAAGGCTGTAGTAAATGTGCGAGAGGTTCTGTCAATTTCCAACTTGGGTTGACAAAGCGCTTGAAACTGTTTAATTGGCATTCGTCAAAAGAGGCTGCAAACGGAACTTTTTCTTTGCTACTTAAAGCATTTAGTTGTACACCGAAACCGATACTAGAGTTAAATGTTGAATATGAATGTCATTATTAGTCTGAAGGTAACTTGACGCTCCATTTTTCTCTTTACAGAATGAAGGAATCCAAGGTAAATTTGAACATGATATCGTGGAAATCAACGATCTGATTAGTGTCTGCTGCTTTATCCAGAATGCCTGCGCTCATGATATCCAGTTCTTCTACGAACACACTAAAATTAGAAAGATCACAGTTACTGCTTTATCCAAAGACAATGGCTGCAATGTAGTGTTTTGATGACCTACGCAGTGAAATGATCTCTAAAATTCTTCACATTAAAAATATGACTCGCTGTTTTTCTTTGATATTTCCATTTCTCTCCATTTGCATTAAATATACCATGGCCTAATAGATCTCCGGTTGCAGAATTCAACTGTGGACCTTTAACATAATTTTCAAAGTTGTCTAAAGAACAGAAAATGAAGGGCAGCACCTTGTCAATAATCAGATATTACTTGTCAGCATGAATATAATTTGCTGAGGTGTTATCTTATTTTTACATTTCAAAATATGCTCCACATTCCTGGGGTCGATCGTAAAAATGGATCGCGGTAAACCTAATGATGAAGCCGTCCTTCAATTTGATATAGAAGATTTATGTTAACAACCTTACATATTTGAGCAACAGTTCAGCTAGATGACTTTACCCAGTCAGCCTTTCTTTGAAGCCATCCAATAAGAATTCATGCAATTTTTCTGCATTAGATACGATGGCTGGCAGGCTACCAACAAGAGGCCATCCTTTGCGGTTATTGATTCCCTCACGATATTCATCAAAAATGGCTCGGTCAGGATATTTAAGTGCCAGCAATCCTGTAAGAAAGACTAATGAAACACTGATAGTTTGTGCAAAAGCGATAGGCGCTAGAGCGCTGTTGTTATTTGATGCAAACAGTCCTAGCGCTGGCATTAGTTATTGATCGATGATTATAAACAAATAGAGTTGATAGAGAAAAAAGAAAGATTTAGCAGCTTTTATATACCTGCATTCACATGCAACAAGAATGTGTAACTTATTTTTTTTTTCCCTATAGTTTGCCAACATAAGCATTGGGGAATGCATTTACTAGCTTATACAACAACCATTCTGCCCTTGATGCATATGGAAAATCGCAATTGTTTGCCAGGCAAAATACACCTTGAGTTGCTATAAATATGCATATTTCAATGACTAGCATATTTGAGCTATGTAGGTTATATTTCAATAAATATTATGAAAAGTGTGATCGTAAGATCAGTACGAGTAATGGATAGTACAAAGAAGTCTGTCATTGCTATTGTTCCAAATCAAGCTAATAAAATCTGAGCGTTGTATGTTGTACAGAGCGCATCAACAGACATACTGCCAACACTTAATATACTTCATCGATAATATTACAGTACTAGCTGTTACGTACTTGCTACTCAGACCTCAAAAATTCCGAACTACATAATCAGTTAATACGAAACCCCTGCCTTCTGCTTAAATCTGCTGATCATCAAAGTGTTAATCTTTCAAATCAATGTCCTGTACAGGCACTTGTAGTTTCAGTTCTATTTAAAAAAAACCTCAAAAGGCTTATTTGACAATCACAAAAACTAAAACAGAAATGGGGCATCCTTTTTTAATATGAAGAAACAGAAAGAGCCGATAACTCTGTTGATAGCACTTGGTCAATAATAACCCAAACATAATCTACTTCGTAAGGAAAATACTACTTTTTAAAGCATGCCCGGAACACTGTTTGTAGGGTTACTGCTCCTGAAATCAATTTACTCCATCTTTATAGAAGCTGGATTAATACATGCCATTGATTTGTGATGCACTGATAAAGCTGGCAAGTTTAGCCATTCAGTCAAGTAAGAAGTCTTGATTGCTGCATTTCTCTTCGCTTTTTGTTAGCAGAGGATTTCAACAGAATACAAAAGAAAGAGATAGATAAAGCAAAGTGAAGACGAGAAGAAAAACAGCTTCTCTGTGCGCAAAAGAAGGACTTTAAAATTCGTACTTTTTTTTTTATATTATGCTCTAATGCCGTCTTCGCGTGCTGTTGTACCTGTTTGTGTTTTGAAATGGAAAAAAGACCCCTATTTTGGACATTAACGAAAACAATATGCTTTTGCCTTTTTTAATAAATCCGAATTAAAACAAAAAAAAAAGGCCAGTTTTCTGCTTCCTCATCAACAAGCTATTTCCCTTTCCTTTCCTTCTTCTACAATCTGCTCAACTTTTCGTTTTCTATCGTTTTATATGACAAACACCAATACCAGCCATAATCAAAAAAGGAAGAAATACAGAAACCTATTTTCCAACTGGTTTTCAAAGTCAAAAAGTAACGACTTGTGTTTTCAAAATGATGTACCTGTGAAAGGTATGTAGAATGTACCTAAATAACCACAATCAACCGAGGCATTTGCTTAAACAGCGTTGGTTTCAGGCATCTTTGGAGTTCCATTATGTGACGCTTCGAAACTAGGTACCAAATTATGGGAATTGAAAGTACCCAGCCCTGTTGCTATTTGTTTCGAAGAGATAACAAAAAGAGGTATATATTCAAAAGAGTGCATGAACCAGAGTTTATGTATGATAGGTTGCTGATGCGTTTCTCTTCTTTTTTTTTTTTTCATTGTCTGAAAAGGCTTAACTACGGAAGGTATATTTCGGTTATCTGGATCAGCTTCAGAAGTAAATCTGCTCAAAGAAAAATTAGATACTGCACATGAACAGCAGGATATAAACTTCGACGCTTCACAATTTGATATCCATACTCTCGCTAGTCTCGTTAAAAAGTATTTACGTGAACTGCCTGAACCAGTTATACCTGTCACTTTCCACGATCAATTTCAATACCTCGTATCATTATCCTCCGCTTCTTCCATACTTGTAGACGAACAAAAATATCGTACCGCTATCAATGTAAAAGATTTAGTCAGTATAATCTTACAGCTACCATATTATCATCGACAGTTACTGCATGCGATCTTACTCATGACAGCTCAGGTACAACATCATGTCAAAGCCAACAAGATGTGTCCCGAGGCTTTGGCTACGGTATTAGCACCTGTTTGTACCGGCTTTGAGCAATCACTCCTGGATCATACAGCTACCACATTCCGTAAACGAAGGAAGAGAGGCAGTTCTAATAACAAAAAGATCAATATACTCGAGCAATCTTCTGCATTGATCGCTCAGCAAACTATCAAGAATAAACAATGGACTTTGATATGGAAAGCAATGATTGAACAGCATGAAAGCCTGATAGCTATTTTGGATAAGCATATGTATCAACAAGAACATCAACCTTACCAATTCTCTTACAACTCTCTACCTTCATTTCCGTCCCCTTTTTCAACCGGCAATAGTCATATGTTACCAACCCCAAATCAAATATTAATGGCCCAATTTTACCCAATTTCCAATGAAGAAGATAATATAAAGATTGCAAAGCAAACAGCTTCTCATAATGCTTTAACGTTACCTACTACTGCTGATGATTATATCCGTGGCGATAGTGACAATAACGACAGTAATGGCCATATGGAAGCGGATAAAGCGTCAGAGAAATCGTCTACATCAGCTGCATCATTCTTTTTTCAAAAGTCGAGTACGTTAAGACGGATTTTATCGGCAAGTACACTTAGTCGGTAATTGGACCCTTGCCTTCTGAGGCAATAAACCAAAAAAAAAAAAGAAAAAAAAAAAAGAATCAAGACAAAGGATTCTACTCCTTCTGTATACATCCAATGGTCACTTTTCTTTATCCATCTGTATGCCTCTCTTTTTCGCTCTCATTCCATTTCCTTTCTTCATAATGGTTCTGTACTTTACGTGAGATTGTATATTGTATAAATAACATTTACTAATTTATGTCCTTCATCATATGATTATCAGTTTCTATTTTTCTTTTTTTTTTATATGCATCTTCAAATAAAAGATTATTATTGTTAATTTATCATGCTTGAACGATACACGTTCTGTAATATGCTTATTGTTTGAACTGTACCTGAGAACCGAGAAAAAATAAATAATTGTGCAATGTGTATTTCACAGACATCTCGAACAAGAAATGAGGGCCAAGGGGCCGGCCAACATCTTATACTTTGCTATATAAGACTCTACTATCTCAGCTTTTTTAAATCTTTCCTTTCTTCTTTCCTTCTCTAACTTTTAACCTTTGAGATCACCCTAAAGCATCCCAATTTCTGAAACCTAATTGCACATAAACAATTACAATGAACTCTTGTTATCGTGTCTTTGCTATCCTTTTCGTTGGTTTTCTCTTTCTGGCCATAACTGTTTCAGCTTTGCCTTTGGCAAACCCTGATAACACAACATCAAACATTGCTTCCACTGACGCTGCATCAGATTCATCCGCTATCGGTACATTGCCTGCATTAAGATTACACAAAGGTTTACCATTCAAGGATGCTAAATTGGGTTTGGCAGATACTCGGCAAAATAACAGTAATACCAACGGAAAGCAGGACGCAAGCACTTAATAAGCAACAACAGCTGCAACAAACTCGTTTCCTTGGCTACTATATGCTTCTTACTGGTCAATGTAAGTGATATATATGAAATAATATATCACTTTTAAATAGAAGAACAGTAAAATTCCTTTCTTTATGAAACCTGTATCTATTTAATTGTTGACGAAATAAACTAATGGGATCTCAATTAAAAAAACTTTTCTCTTCTAACTGCTGAGACTACAATAATCTTCATTTCCTTACTTTCGTTTAAAAACAGTCTCTAATGAGATGTCAAGCAGGAATATACTGTGTAAAGTACAATAACAAATGACAGGTATTTGACCTAAACGCTTCCAGCAGTGAAATTCCATTGTTAGCGAATATATTACGGCTTTCGCTATATAAGCACGAAAACAGTTACTACATGTGTCCAATAGTTCTGGAATATATGTAAATGTTACCGATACCCGGTGCAGCTGGGTAACAATACCATGGAGTCGGATACTATAAAAATCTTGATCATTCAATCGGCTTGACGAAAGGCTCTCAAATTTCCATATGAGAAAGACCTTGTCATTAACCCGTGCATACCATAGGTGAGAGACATACACTTATAAGTAGTATAGCTGTATTGCAGACACCTTTACTACCATCATTATGCATATAGATGGTAGAGAAACGTCGATTGTTTCGATTATTTCGGCTTTCGCCAGATCAGTTAGAGAAAAGGATCACCTTGCCATAAGCGACGTCGAAATCTGTCTATTACTATAGATTCTCCTATTTCAGTCCATTGCTATTTTGAGCTTCAAATAAGTGCTTTAGCTGCATCACTCATTATTGTATTTCAATGGTTACTGTTATAATCGTAAGTTATATATGCTTGGAAAAAGAAAAAACGCCAACGTAAATGGTCACTAAATAATTCTTGGATCGATCTATTTTAGTTATACCGTACTTTATAAATCTTCCAGAATGACTGAAGTGTACTATTAGAATTATATAAGAGTGTGATCAAAAGGTATCAGTACTGGGATCATACTCAAGATTTAGACAGCTGAGCATATTTACATTCAATAAACTGCTTTTTATTTAGCAGCACATATTTGCTGGCTTTGATAGGCTGATTGCGTCTGGAACATATAAATTGTGCTTTGTTCGTTTTGTTTAGACTTTCTATCAATATGTTGCCCTATAAAATGACTTTAATACTAAAAAAGATAGCAGAGCTTCTTTAAGGGAGTGTATTTTTGTAGGAAATATACCTTTCAAAATGAAGAACAGGAGTTTTTAAAAACTTAGCGGACTGTAAGAGCTACTTCTCCAAGATCCTTTTTGAATAAGCGTTTCCAGCCTTATTGAGAAGCAACATAAAAGGATGATCCTTTGCAGGTCAAAGGTGCTGTTAAAAACCTAACAATTCTCCATTAGTCTCTTATTAGAAATTGTGCAAAAGTTCTTCAAAAGAGCACATATGTACAGTCAAGGAAGGATTGCATCAAATTTTATTGAAAAGAAATATGAATGACTGCGCGTAGATTGGTATGTTTGTAAGAGCGATTGCATTTTCTTTGATGAGGCAGTATCTCGTCGATAGCGTGGTCCAATCAAGGAACAAAAGCAGTAGTTTTTACTCTTGTAATTGAAGCTAGAGTTACACCTATTTTAGGAGCTATAGCACCCCATGGTATTGTCACTATAAAAGTCGGTGCTTTGCCTAGATAAGCATGAGCAATAAACCCATCACATAATTATGGATAATGCACTGATTTCATTTACATGAAGAATATCTAGACGCATTATTGTTCGCCGTGAATTACTGCTACGTCTATCTCCATCAATATTCACCAAAATTTAATCCAATCAAACAACTTGGAGCATTATTAAAAGTAAGTTCGAAGGCATAAGCTTTTTGACTAATGAAACTTTCACAAGTCGAATTTATAAAGCTTGCAATGCCATTCACAAAGGACCGCTATTTGGATTTCGAAGGTCTTGTCTGATTTTTGTTCCTCTCGGAATTATTTTTTCACTTTTGTGCCCAATTAAAATTTTGCAGAGTGTGTTAACTCGATTATGAAGATCGTGCCAAAAATTATGGGGAAATAGTGTCATTTTAACCGAAGAGATGGGCAATCTCTGCAATTACGGAATCTACGGAATAGCGAAATGATCACCAAAGGGCTTTAAAGCTGTAATTTTTAGATTATTACAGCTGTTGATTATGCTTAACAGAAATGTAATAGCAGCGATCGTTCGTCGGGATTATACATGCAATTGGCTGACGCCTCTTGTTCCTGGATCAAATATCGTGTGAAACCATCAGACGCAATATAGAGAATGCACAATTAAAAAAAAGGAAACAAAGTCAAAAGGTCATGTTTCAGCCGTATGGCTCTCAAAAAGATGAAAGTTGTGCTTATAACTTTAACAGCTAATATATAAGTTACACATGGAAGTCGCTCCTGGCATGTGACCCAAATCGAGAAGGAGTTGAATCTGATTGGATGGTAAACCTGATTTTCTAAATGTATATTTTTTCAGTGCTGCTATTTGCCATCTTTTTTTCTCTTTTCCATCTTTTTAGCCTTCCATAATTTGTTACTATACCCTTCTCCTTCTTGCCGTTTCATACTTTTGATACTTCTAGTGTCTTAGTTGAATAGTTCACATAATTATCAGACAGTGATGCCACCAAATACTTCTATTGGTCCAGCCGATACACCAAGCACTTTGGCGGAAGAAGAAAGCTTGAAGCAGCTGATCGAGACAACCCCATTCTTCGACGTTGAGATTTCAAAAGATGCACTTTTTGATGGAGCATTCAAAGTAGTTTCTTGCGTTTTTCCCCACTGGAAATATGAAGACATTCAATTTTTTCAGTGTAAAGACGGTATTACCAATCAATGTAAGGCGAGCAATCTATGACTCTGTTTTGTGCTAGTCAAATACATATTTGAGCCTGATTTCTGACACTATACTCTGCCTTATCATTAGTGGTTCGAGTAACATATATGCCCACTGCTTTTTCAGTGCTAGTACGCGCTTATGGCAAAGGTTCTGAGCGCTTAATTGACCGCAAACAGGAAATTATTGTATGTAACTTCTGTATTATAGCAATTGTTCTTGGTATTTATGATAGATCGAATCTCTGACCTTGAAGCAATTATTCTTTCCATTAGAATATCATCACCTTGGCTTCGCAGAATATGTGTCCACCACTATATGCTAGATTCAAAAATGGTCTTGTGTACGGTTTTATAAAAGGAAAGGTCTCCACAGTTGAAGAATTAGGGCAAGAAAAAACAGCCGAATGGATAGCTAAAAAGCTTGCAAAATGGCATAAAGTTAAACTACCTCAAACACAACATCATCCAGGGAGTGACAAGAAAGAACAGCAAAAATTATGGGCAACTATGTATAAATGGTTAGAACAAGGTATGTATGGATAGGGGCTACAACTTGGAAGTATATTCTTGGTTCACAAAGTCTTTATGTTGTTTTTATTTTTCAGTACCTGAAAAATATGAAAATGCAAGCACGCAGTCGATTTTTGAAACAAATTTCGACATGAAAAAGATTAGATCAGAGGTAAATTAGTCGTCGATATGAAGCCGTTTCACTTTCTGTTGACATGACTGACATAGATGACTCGCTTTTAGTTGGAGACGTTGATCGAATCATTAGAAACACTTGAGTCGCCTATTGTTTTCTCGCATAATGATTTACTATATGGAAACATTATTTTTGATGAAGAAAAGGGTACGGAAAAAAAAACAAACAAATTAAAAGCCTCTACTTCTGTTGGATTTCGAATAACATTTTTTGCCCATCCAATAGAGGAAGCCAACTTTATAGACTATGAATATGGCTGTTATGCTTTCCGTGGCTTCGATATTGGCAACCACTTCAATGAATTTGCTGGATTCGAGTGCGAATATTGGAGATACCCTTCAAAAGAATTTCAATTAAAATGGTTTGATTGGTATCTAACGGAATACAACAATGGAGGTACAGTCAATCGAAGCGCTTCACCATGATTTGCAATTTTTTGCGATTAATTTCTAACAACTTTTTTATTCTTTTCAAATTGCAGTTGAACCAACAAAAGAGGAAAAATTGAAATTATATAAAGAAGTAAACGGATTTGCATTAGCATCGCATTATTATTGGGGATTATGGGCAATGATACAAGCAATGGTTTCTGATATTGATTTCAACTATATGGAATATGCAGTGTTGAGATTTGAAGAGTACGAAAAACGCAAGAATGAAGTTCTATTGAAAAATCTGACTGTGTAAATGCATGCCTATATACATATATCCAGACAGCGGTTGTTACTAAGGTGGTAGAAGTACTAGTAGCAGCAGCAGTAGTAGTATAAGCTGTAGGAGTAATAACTCAAAATAACTATTTATAAAACCAGTTCTAATGTTTTGTATATGCTGGATTTTTCTTGAAAACATGATTTAAAATATCAATCAAATGCTGCAATGCATCCAACCATTCCTTCATCATCTTGGTGTTTTCTTCTGTTGTTACGTCAATTCTTTCATAAAAATCTTTTCTCCAAGGACATGCATTCATAGCGAGCTGTATTCCGGGACAGAAAAAAAGGGTTAGTTTGATATACAGATTTCTGTTTAGTTTAATGAAGAGTGGTACTTGCATTGAATATAGGTCGCACTAGAAAATTATGATGAGGTTTCAATGTCTTTTCATAGGCTTGTGAAAAGGATGTCTTCAACTCATCGTTAGGGTTTTGAAGACTGTGAAGTAAGGATTGTGATGTAAATTCAAGACCTCGCTTCAACCATAGTAAAGCTTCTGTAGCTGTTCTCTTTTTCAAATGAGCTTCTTTTGCCATTAGTTTCTCCAAGGTATCGTATTCAACAGGATTCTCCATAAATCGGGTTCTTATCTTTTTCACGTTGTTACGCATATCATTTTGAACCACACTAAAAGCAGCACTGCCGAATAAATCTATAGCGTAGTAGGTGCATCATTAACATTTGCCCTAAACATGATTGGCAAAAAGGATACACAGAATGCTTTTCTCCACTTACCAAACATTTTGATCAGGCCATCAGTCGCTTCTAAAAATTGATCAGTGTTGATGCCTTCATCGATCACTTCAACATCTATGAATGAGCGTGTAATAATTTTTTGAAAAGCTGGCAGTTCTGTAGTAGTCATAGCGAGCTTTGTGAATAGAAAGAAAGAAAATAATCAGCAAGCGAGCAAAAAGTTGGTGTTGCCTATATCATTGACTTTATTTCAAAATGCAGAAACGGGAAAATGCCTTAGTCAGCAAAGCGTTTTCTTAATTTGCAGCATGTTTGGGCATATAGTATATCGTCTAGTTCCACATGCAAGGCTTCCTTTCCTCCCTTACCATTAAGATACATGATTCTGCATCTAATGATTCTAATTTCGTTCACTGCGTTGCAATTTTGTATTATTTTTTGCCTTAAACAGATATATTATTGAAGCGACAATTCTTGCGCTAAAGATCAGAAAATGCCGTTTACCTACAATGGGTACACCTTTTTGGGGAGTGGACATCACCCTCTTCTTCAGCATTCTATAACTGGTATCCATTGTTTATAATCCAATATCTTTATCCGTTCTGACTTTACACGTTCGTTATCATGCATCCCCCAATTCACCTTACAAGAAAGTAGCCATCCCGCTGTCCTTGTTTCGCAGGGATGACGCTGCTTTGCGGATGTTGGCGTATGGTCAAGTGCAAGTTACCCCTCTCTTTTCCGATCATGAAAATTGATCACCTAACTTAGCTTCAGCAATTTTTGTAAAACATAAATGAGTGATAACTTGCACATTCATATACTAAAAATATGTTAAAGTAGGTGAAAATATGCTCAATGTAATCTTTTTGCCTTTAGTTCTATTCTTTTTCTTTCTTAGGCAACCGCTACCCTGCGAAGAAGAGGATTTAATAAAGATAAAGCAATGAAACTTTAACAAAAGATAGCACGTGAAATCAATCAATGCTGTTCTTTGTTCCTTTTCGAAAGTGTAATAGACTTTTTCAATTGTACTAGTAAGATTTGCACAAAGATAATTATATCTTTTTTTTCTCTTTTTTTTTTTCATTTACTATTTGAATTATAATATAAAAAAAAGGTGTTGATGTTCTAGCCTACTCTCTAGGAAAGTAGTTGCCCAGGCAGCCCCCACGAGGAGAGACATCAACATGGCTGCCCATGGGGCTGGTTGACATTAACCTTATGCTACCGGCTCACGAGGAACCGACAGACACCTATTTCAGGCAAGTGGTAACAACCAGCATTACACATGAATAGAAGGACCATTATGATACAATAGGAGTACTAGGCCCATCTACACAGAGGAAACCAGTTTAGAAATCAAAGCTACTGCAATATCTGTGCTGAGCTGATTTCTGAGTGAAGAAAAAAGAAGCGGAAATTCAGAAAAATGAGCGCCTTTATATACTTTTTGAAAACAATTGTAACTCCTTTTGAATGATTGCTATTTAAACCAATAGAAGTTATAATTTCTGTATCTCCTATTTAATATATTTTAATTCCGTGCAAACGGCTTTAAAAAGTTGATAACGATGAATTTTACCTTTTCGTAAGGATTGATGGTAGTTGTGGTGTCAGAGTTCATTTAGTTCTTCAAAATTCATCAAGAAAGATTGAGGACATAAAATTTGTGTTCTATAAAACTGATGCCATTGTTTGCTTTATTACACTTTTACGATATTGTCAATAAACCACTTTTATTTACGGATATGCTCACTACCCAGACCAATGTAACATTGAGATAGTAGGTCAACAAAGCGGAGTGAACGTCGTGGGCTCTTTTAGGCAGGAACAAACATCTACTCTTCTACTGATTTTTACTTGCGGAACAGCAGGGTTTCAGTCCATAATCTGCCACTGATGTCGTATTAGTTGAAGTTAAAAGGCAATCGCACGCAACTATGTTTGGTCCATAGGAAAATGTATTGTATCAAGTGAAAAGAAGGGGATACTGTAGTTCACAGAGCTCAAATTATCTGGTGCCATCTACGTTGTATCTCAGCTTGGTCTTCACAGCAGTTGAAATGATGTATCCATACTGTAGGGTAAACTACTCGTTTTCAAGGCACGGCAAAGACATATTTTACAGTCGAAACACAATAGTGTTCTTCTAGAGTACAATATAGGAATTGGCAATAAAGGCTATATAACAGAGGTTAGTAGCAGGGGTAGATAAAAAGTTTCTACAATAGTTACTCGCAAGGTTGATGATTTTATTTAAAAAGGAAAAAAAAGCCAGTATTTAGCCTGAATACATTAGTGACAGATAATTTATTTATCTTTTCAAGTGTGCATACGTTTAATAAACGCATCAAAGAAAGAATAACCATGCATGACGCATGCTATGGTACCATTTCTATTTCTAGAACGAGCATTGAGCTTTTGTCCTTTTGGTTAGAGCAGACGGACTGATGCTGATGAAAAGTTTCGAATGAAGGAATCGTTATAGGAAAACTGCCAAATGAAGAATCCACACATATCACGCCGTAGTTATAGCAGAGGCTTTATGCTGGATGACAGATTGACACTTTTCGCACATAAGCATCGCTTTCTCGTGGGCAACAACATGCTCCCTTTTTTAAGCACTTGTGAACAATGGTTGATACCAAATTCTGTTATTCATCATGTTAAGGAACCCATTTTTCTTAAAAAAATTCTTTCTTTGTAAGCTTTTCGTATTTTATCTTTTTTTATTATTGATTTCTCGATGGTAAATATCAGTCAAGATGGTTATTAAGCTTGTCAGTCCTTGTAAAAAGCCATCGTCTGGGCTTTGAGAGCCTCTCTCGGGTGGGTATGTCATATTCTTCTGGTTTTCTTCAAGTTCCTTTTTCGTTATACAGTGCGTGAAATCGATCAAGTTCATAGTGATTTGGTTCTGTGGGCTATTCTTATGCTGTTTATTTACAGTGGGTGACGGAGGTGATTTTGTTGTTGCGTTTGTCGGTTTAGAGAAATTAGTATGGGTACGTGTGGTAGTATTATAACTATTTACATTAAGTGCATCATATACAATCAATAGGCTTGAGCCATAGAATCGATAGCCAACCATTTTCTCAATTTCAACGTATAATTGCTGTAATTTTTCAATCAGAACGGGTATAAAATCGATCAACAATTCAATACCATTATGTAGGAAGTGATACACAGTATCTTGGAAAAATTCAGGCGTCAAGGTACGTCCCACGTATTTATCCTGAACACTGTAGGTGTGTACATCTAATTGATAGACCTATACGAAAGAAACCCACCCCCCATGATTTTAAGTAAACAAATTACTAAAATGATATAGGCTTCACGACAACTTTACCTGCATCCCACATACTCGAACGCCTAGCTGTTTACTTGTGGACTGCTCACATTTGAACTTTTGACTTGCCATCTTTTCAGGTGTCACATAAACACCATGTTGTCGAACACCCATCTTCAAGTCTAATATACACGGCTTCTTCAGACCGAGTGTTAAGTCGTCCATGACCATAAATGCTTCGCCTATGGCATCTGATTTGGTTGGTGTCGGATTCGCATCCACTGTCGTATTATGAAGTGTTGTCGGTGGCGTTGTGGGTGGAGAAGGTGATGGTGATGGAGACGGAGAAGGTGAAGGTGACGGCATCACAGGTTGTTGCTGCTGGAATTGACATAATCGTCGACGATCACTTTCCAGAGCAATCTCAGGACAACCTTGCTGGTTATAAGATACATGAATTACACCCATATATCTAGGTAGAAAAGCTTTTAATCCACCATGTCGTAAGAGATCCTTATAGAAAGCGTCTTCATTGGTTTTGATGGCCTTACATAAAGGCCCATTGGATAAACGAAACATGGCTACATGACCACCCGCTTTATGTTTTAAGGGTAAAAGTGTAAAATTGCTAATCTTTCCAGGGTCATTGTAAGAAGAGGATGTCTCATTCGAGTGGTTATTGTCATGAAAACCTTTCATTTCATTTTACTTTCACAATAGATGCTTCCTAAAGATTAAGGTCAAAAAAGAAAGAAAAGCAAAAAAAAAAAAAAGCAAAAAAATGACGCAGCTAAACTTTTTTTTTTTTTGTTTTTTGTTTGTCTTTTTTTCTGATTTTTCTGATTTTTGACATTATATATGAAACTTGTCGAATGAAATTCAAGCCATTGTAAAAGATTGACAGAAAAAAAAGTTTTCGTATAGTTTACAAAAAGGAACTATTATACTTCAACGACATTCAAACATGGTCTCAGGCCACATGACCACAGGTCCATAGGCTAGTCTCCACTGTAATCGATAACAGAAGAAAAAGTAGGATGAGGTGTATTGTTTGAGACCCTTTCTGGCCACTTTGCATATTTCCACTCCACTTTTTCAGACTCAAAAAAGGGAAAGTAAACAGTGCAACAAAAAAAAAAAAAAAAAAAAAAAGGCATTTCATTCCGTTTCCTATTTATCTACATTTTCTTTTTCGATCATGCTCTATTCAAAGCCATGTCATCGCTCTATATCAGCCATAAGACGACGAGCTTTTTCAGCAACAACAACCTGTTCCTATGCCAACCTTGTAAGATACCATTTTGACACATTCAAATTTGTCGAAAGACTAGAACAACAAAACTTTACAAGGCAGCAGAGTGAGGCTATTATGGCTTGCTTACGTAAAATCATGAACGAAAGCCTGACAGACATGGCCAAACCATTAGTAACAAAATCAGAACAAGAAAAAGTATGTATGGCACTTCTAAAAAGCGACCTTGACTTTCCGACATGCCCTCATTACGTACTGAATTAGATTTTATACATGTATAAAGTCGACTTTGCCAAGCTAAAAGCAGAAGTTCAATTGTTGGAAAAGAACGATTTTTCGACAATGAAATTAGAAAACGAGAGACTACAAGCACAAGTTGAGAAGTTGAAGCAAAAACTAAAGGATGAAATAAGCAAATCACAAGCGAGTGTGCGATTAGATCTTAATTTAGAGAAGGGACGTCTTCGCGATGAATCGAGTGCGCAAGAGATTAGAATGAAAGAAACTGTAACCAGAATCGAAAGCGAAATAGCTGGGTTAAGAACTCAAATGGAAGCAACTAAATTCCAGATCCTGCAATATCTCATTGCAACAGTAACAGGTACAGGCGCCTTATTCCTGGCTTATTTGAGAATGTTCCGGTAACGTTTAAGAGATATTTTATTACAATAAAATTTTACCCAATGAGCACACAGATAACTACTTACCAAAATTGGAGGTTCAAGGAAAAGTGTGAGGAGAATTGAAAAACTTTAGCGGGACAAAGGATAATCGTATTATACTGTTTTTTTCGCTTGACTTTTGCACGAAATGGCTTTTAAATTGAGACTATATTACAATTAAAAATCAGACTAATTTACAAATTATTTTGGATGAAAAGTATCATACCTTTTTTGTCAAAATGCTCAATGCCAAATGTGCGAACTACTCTTACTCAAACGGTAAATATACTGTGCCGAAGCACAGAATATCTACCCTGTGTGAGTGTGTAGTAGCTTCAAGCAGCAGTTAATAAAAACTTCAAAAACGTACAGTGAGAAATTTCACAAGATGGACTCACCTAAACGCGTACAGATCTTTAAGCCGTCGGTTCCAGAGAACCTGCGGCACCATTTTCGTTATGGCAATATCGACAGAAGATTTCGGGTCGACCATTGCTGTTCCATATGGAATTTGCAATATGAAGCATGTTCTTTGCTGCATTCACATCGCACTGCCATACGATACTGCAACAAATGCGTGCAAAAAGAGGCGGGCCTCAGATGTTTACTACAAGTGTCCAAATGTAAAAAGTAACTAGTCCGAAAATAATAACTTAAAATTTTCTGAATTAAATCAATAAAAATACCCAATTTTGTGTACAAAAAAGTCCAAAAATACTGTAGTAACAATTGGGGGGCTAGCCTCCGGTGGAGGTAGTTAGCACCTTGGCTTTCCAAACCAACGATTGTTGGTTCGATGCCTGTACGCCGCTGATATTTCTTCAGCTTTGATCCCTTTCTCTCTGCTTCCTAGGGTTTTTTAATGCCGCTATCAAGGTGGTTCTCCCTCGGTGTTGGTGTTTAAACAAATGATGAAGAATTGTGGTGCCCGCCCAAAGTCTTAGCCTACCAATTATAATGATGAGTTTAGCCCCTTCCCCTTCCCCCCACTTAGATAGTGTATGCTTTTTCGCCCACCACGGCACCCTGACCGACACTATGCATCGCTCTATTCTCAAATCGAGCTGCCCCGGGGCAATTTTCTGATATGTAGTTTATCTGTGTGCCCATTGGGATTAAAAAATTGTCAGTAATAAAAATCCTTGTTTAAAAGTAGTAAAGTCCCTTTTTTTCGGCCGAACTTGGAAAAATTCAAGCGAAAAAAGGGGAGCGCCATCACGAATAGCAATTTAGACTTTTGTAAAATTAATGCAGCTCAGGCAGGAAAAATAAAATGTACACTGTATTAAGCATCCCCCAGCAGGAAAGAAAAAAAAAAAAAATAAAAAAAAAAAAAGGCAGCAGATGATGACAATAATAGAATCGTCAATGGAATAATCTTTTTCTCAATTATTACAAACATTTTTTAATGGCATTACCGAAACGTAGTTGCCCTTTTTTTTCCCTTTTCTCTTGTTAATTGTTACTGCAAGAAAAAAAAAAAAGTCATTTGCTTTGACAATGATGAAGTCAACTACTACTTTTCATCCCATCGAGAGATATCCTTCTATGAATACTACTCTATCTCCTATCGACTGTTTTCAAGCGACTCATGCTGACAATAGTAATGGCAGTGCGAGCAAACATCATCAAACAGCTTCCACTCTATATGATTTATTCAAAGTTATCTATGAACAAGACGACAAAGACGAAGAACACCCTCACACATTGCAGAACTCTTCATCTCCATATCACTTACAACAGCAGCGAACTACGGATGATGCACTGCCTTCTTACTTACTGTTAATGAACGATAACCGCAGAAACTCATTCAATACATTCTCAAGTTTGGAAACCATTTACGAAGAAGAAGAACCTCAGAAATCGAATCAGCAATTATTTTGAAATCGATTTGAGATCAAAAAAAAAAAAAAAAATAAAAAAAAATATGCCCCTCCCCTTATTTATTGTTACTTGTATATGTATCCATTACTTATTTAAAAATTTTATTAATGTCTTGTCCTATTATGTTACCACGCTTTTTGTCTAGTTAATTCTCAGCATTTTATCAATCAATAAAAATGAAATGAATAACAAGATGTCTTTTTGCTTTCCTTTTTTTTTTTTTTTTTTTTTTTTTTTTTTGTTCCAAAAGGAAAATGCAAATGTATGTACACGTACCTACATTATGCGCTTTAATTTCATTCATGCTGAGAGTCGTATGCAAAGCGTCTGCCCCTGTGATGATTTGCATGTTTGCTATTAATAATTGACATGGATACAGATACAATAATGCATAAGAGAATATGACTTTCTTTTATTATCATTTTACAAATAAAAAGAAAAATAGTACGGAATGCCAATGTATGAAAGAATTAATATGTCGAGTGGATGTGGGTAGTAATAATAATAGTAATAGTACGAGTAATAAGATTAAGAAGAATACAAGTTATTTATCTTTTCATCTAATGCCCGGATGAAAAGGTTTGCTGTTGCGGAAGACTTGCAGCATCTGATGCGGGTCTATAAGCAAGCGAACTTAAAGCAGCCTTGACCGCTTCATCACAACTCCAATGGAAAAAGGGATATTTGTCTCTTGGTAAGGGTATAGAAGATCTCACTGTCTTCAAACTGCTGCCTGATTTGCCATCTGTCTCTACTCTTTCGTCTATGTGAGTATGGACGACCTCTCTATGCTCTGAAATCATCATGTCTGCTTCAATATCATTTGCCTTTTGTTGGTGGTAGTGAGATGGACGGCGGTTCAGATGAGAGTATTCAGGACCGTCTTGAGACGCTGGTACAATCGGCAAGATCTCTCTATGTTGCGTTGTAGCAGTAGCGGCACTGATGCTTTCTTTGTCATGAATGCCAGCACCCTCTTGTTCAATATCATGAGCACCGAGAGTATCATTGGGATCACCATCGCTGTCAAGTCCGGCTCGTGGCTGATTGGCAAATCCAGAGACAATAAGCGATCGTCTGATCGCAGGATGCAGGATATTGGCAAAGTGGAATTCGACGTGGTGACCAGAGTAACGATTCAGCGCATTCTGAGCATCCACGATAGCTTGCAGACCGCTGGAGTCCAAGCGGTTCACGCTGCTGAAATCAATAATCAAAGCATGCAGACGAGGAAACAAAGCAGCACGTTCAGCGTCTTTTTCCGCATTCGACGCATCGTTCCAGGCCCGATCTGCTTGACTGAGAACTGCAGACGACGATTGCTGACGGCGAGTACGTTCTTTACAATAGCTAATAATACGATCAGAGATAAAACCACTGTTGGGATACGTGAACGATTCGTCCACACGGCACATGAGAATACCAGCAGGAAGATCTTCCACAAGATCACGGAGAGAAGGATGGTTATGAGGAACGTAAAGGTAAGGTGTAGCTGCATCTTTTTCAAGAGGATGCTTCTCTTTCACAGCGGCAGCAGCACCACCAAAATCGTTCGACTTTTCTTTTGTAACACCACCACCACCACCACCACCACCACCAGCAGCAGCAGCAGCAAGAGGAATGCGTCCCAAGCCCCAGAATCGAGGACGAGCAATTCTGAACAAGAGAATGACAATGGATAACCCCACCGAGACATAAATACCATACTCCACCGTAGTGAAAAACGTGATGATGACACCTGCAACAAAGACGAACAGTTCCCAGACCGATACCTTGGCTAGTTTCTTCATATATTTAGGTCCGCTCACCAGATCAGACACAGCATGAATAACCACGGCTGCTAATGTACTGTCAGGAATGTAGTAAAATGCTGGTGTCAAAGCATACAAGGCCAAAACGACCACAAGGCCAGAAAAGATACCAGCAAGGGGTGTCTTCACTCCCGAACGCGCCTTGATGGCTGTTCTGGAAAAGGAACCTGTAGAAGGATAAGCACCAAAGAAGCTTGCCCATATATTGGTAAACCCAATAGCAATGATTTCTTGGTTGGGGTTAATGACATAGTCGTTAATACGCCCAAAGGACTTGGCAATAGCAACATGTTCCAGAATTAAAATGATTACGCCAGACGGAAGTGAACTAGCTACTGCTGAAATGGTGTCGGTCGTGACATGGGGCACAGACATGGCCTGAAAACCGGCTGGCACCGTTTTTAAAATGCTGATGGGGCTCGTTTGTTTGCCAATATTCATCAAAAAAGCGATAAGGGTGGCGAAAATGATGAGAATACCGTTACGCATGATGCTCATAAAGAAGAGATGGGTTGCGTATTTGGGATATCGTCTCGACAACCATTGGCATCCATAGCGCATGCCGTACAACCATAAGAGACCTGTAAGGCCAAAAGCAACGTCGAGCTTCGTATTAGGGAGATGCTTGAAAAAGTTACCAAAAATGAGATAGGAGCTGTCTTGAGTACTGACACCTTTGATACCAAACAGCTTAGGCCATTGACCAATACAGATAGTGATAGCTGAACCAGTCATAAAGCCGGCAATGGCTGGGCCGGGGATAAAATCGACGAGGATACCAAGACGTACGAGTCCAAGAAACATAGCAATTGCACCGGTGAGCAAACTTAGTGCTACAGCAATTTGTGGTCCGGTGATGGTAGAAAGCGGATCAGACGTGATTTTGGTAACGGTTTGACCAACTAATAAAGACATGACAGCTATTATGGTTTTTTCAATAAGGCATCAGTCATCATTGATTAGAATTTTCTTCTTCTACTCTACTGCTTGCATAAATACAATCACGAATGAATTACCTGTAGGACCAATACTGATATCCTTTGATGTAGCGAACAAACAATACACACAGAGACCTACGAATGCAGTGCTATTTGTTTCAGTTAGTTTCAATGTCGTTTTCTGGGTTTTTTGTTTCTATCATTTTGAACTACTTTACTATAAACCATACTGAGGTGGCAGCTCAGCAATTTTGGCATAACCCATAGATTGAGGCACAACTACAACACCAACAGTTAAGCCAGCAATTAAATCGCGAAACAACCATTGAAGATTATATCGATGGATCCATGTGCCAATAGGAAATAAACTGATAATATATTCTTGAATATAGTGAGGTAAGTGGTGAAGGAATTCTTGTGTTTGTTGACGATATGAATCCTGTTCGTAATCTATAATAATATCTTCAGTATGTCTGAAAATGGTACTGTTAGACGATCGTTTGTCTGCAGCTGAGGTAGTAGATGCCATGTATTTTGCAAATGATGAGGAGAGCAATATTAGTATTAATTCTTTATATGTTTGTCTAAATGATAAGTGAAGAAGGAACAGTGAAGGATTTGGGAGATGGAGAAAACGGACGAGTGGTGAAAAAATTGAACAAACAAGCTTGGCTTTTTATATGGAACAAGGTAAGATATTGCCTTATATTCTTACCATATTTGCCTAACACGTCAAGACCACTCAGTAAACTTCTTTCACTACGGTTTCTATGTGTAACAGCACACCACATATTGCGCAATCGATTTAACTAATCACATCTTTTTGTCAATTTACCGCGTAAATCTTGAGAGCTCTAACTACAACTTTCTGTTTAGAAACTAGACCAGTAGCTCTATTCTTTTAAATTATTTGAGAATATATTTGAGACAAACTAATTCTGTAGATCAACAAAGACTTTCGACAATTTACCAGTCAAATATAAAACTTATTGAAAGTAACCAGCGTCGATGCAGCGACGTATAATGGAATTCACTATATAGCCTGCCAAAAATGTTGATTCACCATCTTCCCAAGCAGCTCCATCGCCGTTTCTGCTGGCACTGATGTCCCTCTGCCGCTGTTGTTCAAATATTCTCATAGTCCGTATTGCTGATAGAGATAATCTTGTTCACGTTTAGCTGTATCTGACTTAACAGATCTGATACTTTTTTCAAATGCCCGTCTGTAGGCCTTTCCTTCAATCTCAATTTTAGCGTGGATGTTTCTTTGCATTCTGCAATTCATTATTAATCGCGTCAAAAAACCAGCACTTCATACAAAATGAATAAACAATTATATATACTCCTTGGGAGGAAATTCTGTTCCTTTAATGTTCTTTTTGCAAGGGCTTATGTGACAATTCAAGCACATCGCGTAACAAGGCTATTCTGAGGACAAGCAGATGTGAAATCTTTTACAAAAAGTCTTTTTACAAGAATTGGGTCTGAAAGAACGTCGTTGCTAGCTTTCTTTACTAAATGACTTGATCTTATTTACAACAACCATCGAAAGAATCTTGCAATATTTCTGAAAGCATTCAATTTTTTCTGAACAAGTATCCAAAAAATAAACTTTATTGTTTTATTCTTAGAATAAATTAAAAAAAAAAAAAAAAAAGACATTTACGAATGATACGTTTTCTGCTGTTGATTCAATTCCAAAAAGTACGAATTTATGTGAAGACCCACGTTATGGACTACATGTTTGAACCCTTCCAGATTCTTTGGCTACAAAGTCTATCAGCTCACAGCAAAAAACCACAGGGCATCATTTGTATTCAAAATGTCGTGATTATGTCATACTTCATTTTTGCACTTGTTGATTTGATTAGATCTTCAAGCTTGAAGGCTTATAATGGAAAAATTGTAAAGATTGATTTTTTTGGAATAAAGGACTAAATTGTTTGTTCAATCATATACTTCGATTTATGCTATATACAATGCAAGATCGACCACTCTTCGTTACCGTACAGATAAAATTTATGATTGGTAAATTCCTTTAATATTTTTTGTGTCGCTTTGTCCTGAACATATTTCCATGAGTAACCATATCTATCTCTTTTTTAATCTTTTCTTCGTTAGCGTTATCATTACTTTTTATATAAAAACTCAAATTGCTGGTTTTTTTTTGTAGCTTTTACCACTTATGGTAGTTGCTCTTTTTTAATCAGTAAAACGTTCAATATCATTTGTTGGTAAAATGAGCATCTACTGTATTACACGTATTTTTTACACGTAGTCCAGGTATTTTTTTGTGCACAAAAAAAGCATAAGTATTGACAGGTGACAATCAATTTCTTTGCACAGTCAAATCAAAGTTTCAAAATCTTGGCTGATAACAACAAGCGAATCCAATCATTTTGATAAATTTTTGTCGTGCTACACAAAGACCAACATATGAATTTTTGAAGATCTTTTCAGCCTATATACGATTGGTTGATCAGTGATTTGTTTAATACAGAAGTTGAGAAGTCGTATGAGTTTTACTTCTTAATGGTAGGACACATGGGTGGCTAAACGCCAAAATAGAATATGAACTTTGATTCTTAGTCGGGCCTAATTTTATTAGCCATCCTCAACCTCCCGAGAGGTATCTTCACACTTTTATGCTTTGAAAGCTGTTTAATATTTCCAAATGTAACCAACTTTGCAATTTATCAGACCCAGATAACTCTTGTAAAACCTCAACAGTCCATTTGTTTTTCTTAGTGGATACCGCACTTTCAATTCGTGATATCAATGGCGCCTCTTTCGAATAAATTGGCACAGAATATCTTCATTTAAAACGTTTTACTTGTCAGTGAAGGACATAGCTTTATGAAAAACATAAAACGATTGATTAAAGCATATCAGGAAGCTTATTTTTGAAAGCCCATTGACGTTGTTGTAGCACGGTACCTATGTATAGCTGTTGCTGTTTGTTAACCTGCTTCAATTAATGCTCAACTCATTTCTTTACTGACTCTCCTGCTTATATCGCTACATTTTTATCTATATTCTTTGGCAGTATTGTCCTACTTAACACTACACCTTTAGCCGCATCCAGTTCATTTCCAGGGTTGTTGGCTTGCTGAATCTCTTCGATCAAATTTTGCCAAAGTTCATCATCAAGGGCTCTCAAGAGTTTGTCTACGAAACTTCTTCTAAATTCGTCAGACGGGCATTTCGTACCTCAGGGCTTTCAAGTAGACTTTTCATTAATTTAAGAAGCTTCAATATGAAGAGTTGAGTTTTACTACGCATATTGTGCTTTAATCTGGTGATATTGAACGTTAAGCAATTTGTAAAGAGGTATTAGGATCAAAGAGAAATGCCTTGACGACTTTTTTTCACCTTGAGCATCGCCACCAACATATAATTATTTTTAAAGCTCTTCATTTTTTATCAATGCCTTCCCACTATTAACTCATTGCATTGGCATGGAACAACGAAACTTTCTTTATTAATCTCTTGGCCCTCTGTTGCAACTATCGATTAATAATTTTGGGACTTTCTTGCGTACTCCACAATGTTGCATCTCTCCCTCTCGAGATTTTGAACAAATAACTGTAAGTGAAGCGACTTATCCATTATTTTTGGCTGCATCTTATAAAAAACAGACCAATACAGTTAAACGTTATCTGACAAATATAATGCCCTTTTGCAACAAACGGTGAGCGTACGTTGACTTCTTGACTGTCACTACTTTTTCTTTTTAGATACTTACTGGCGATAAAGGTCTTTTTGTAGTTAATCAGTTATTTCCAAACCATTAGAAAGTATGTCGCTATTGGTTAAGGAAATGCATACAAAGACTTCTTTTCTCATCGGATCACTTTACAAGTATACTATGCTGATATTTTAAAAATAGGCATGTTGACTGTCTAACAGAAATGAATTAAAAAAGAAGGTATAGTCAAGAACCACCAGCTATCACCCATCATTATCAAACTGAACTTGTGTCTCACTGGAGGACATATCCATGAATACGGATTTACCTGAATATATATCTGACTCAATATAGTCAAGTTGTATTAATTATTTCTTCAGTGTTTTTTTTTTTTCCTTTTCTAAAAACACATAGTAAACCTAACCTTTACGTAACAATATTCTGCTTAGTGTTTATACCTATGTCAAACTTGGTTCCCGACTTACTATGCTAAATAGCTTTTATACTCGTCATACCCTTGGCAACAGAATATACATACTGCTCGTAAAGATAGGCATTTTGCAATACGACTAATGGAAAGCAAAGAAAGGAGAGGCCTTTCTTCCGTGTTGAACACTGTTAATCGTGCACGGGATATACGTTTGACATGCAACATCCTGTAGAATACTTCCTATTTACTTCTAAGCTCTGATTGGCTTAATTAATGGAGTTTTCCCTAGCAAGTTTTTTTCTTTAGTTTATCTGTCTTCACCAGTTTAACACTACAGATAACACGTATGAGTCAACAACAAGAACAGCATCAGGATAAGAGACAAAATAGTAGTAGGATTTTAAGCAACAATTCTTACATAGCCAGCAATAGCTCTATTCTCAGTCTACCTAACTCAACTGATATTGCTGCTTTGCCAAACGATCTATTTGACTTCTTATTTGAAGATAACTACACTAATTCGGTTTCTAATGCCACCTTCACCTTACCAACGAGCAGTTATGTCCCCATTGCGCCTGCAATTCAGGAAAATCAAACCCAATTTAATCGCCAACAACGGCAGCCAGTACAAACATTAACACACAAACAGCATTTTAGCCCTTCCGAAGATGACGAAGAGGGATTGGATGAGCAATCTTTGAAACAGCTACCCGTTAAAGAAAGAAGACAAATCAGGAACAAAATATCAGCAAGGAACTTTCGTAATCGAAGGAAAGGTAAGCATTCATATGCTATTCCTCTGTTTACCATACACCTGGAAGCAGGCTTTAATTTGGAAATCAAACTATGCCTGTAGAATACGTGACTAAATTGGAAGGTGAACTGGAGTCGTATAAGATACAAAATAGTCGTTTTGCAGTCGAAGTCCAATGGCTCAAAGAAATGATGGGCAAATTACAACAAGAAAATGATCGTTTACGTCTAGAACTTCTACTCTGTAAAAATGGTATTTCCATTGACAGTATTGATATGAACACATTCAATTCAACCTTGAATGCAACTATAACTGATGGTAGTAGTAGAAGTAGTAACAATAATAACAATAACAGCAGTAGCAGCAATGACAGTACATGTAGCACCCCGCCTTCCAACATTCAAAATAACAACTGTACAGCATCAGGAACAATCGTAGCTATACCCCTAACTGCCTCGCCTACAACGCCACCGAATCTTCCGATGAACCCAACCTCCACCACTGAGGATACTAATTCTCATCACGCAATAGAAACCATGGACATGATGACACCCCTTAGTCTGATTAATTCCTCTGTATCTTCATCTCGAGCGTCTGAGTCGCTTAGTAATACGGAGCAGCAGCAACTCTACATCTCGCATACAACTATTCCAGAGTGGGACTTTACAGACTTATATGATAACAAAAAGTTAAGCGACAAAACTGACATTATGGCAATAAATCTAGCGAAGGATATATTGAAAGAAGAAGTGCATGTACAAGATGGCGAGAATAAGTCAGCAAGTATTTTGATGCAAAAATATCCTTTACTTGTACCAGCCGTTATGTCTATTGTTATACATCAAATGATGATGATGATGGTGGTAATGGCAACAATGGCTTCAACTACGGTTATTGATGGAAAGAAGAAAAGCTTAACGACTACCTTGCCTGCCATTGGTCTGAAAAGCGGTGATCTTAAAGAGGCAGAAACAGAAGTTAAGCATGATACGCAATCAGTAAAAGGTACTACAACTGAAGATAATAAGGAAGATGAAGATTGCCCTCTCGAATGGTTGAGAAAATTCCTTTGTCAGTGCGTTATACTTCGTTCATTAGCACGATATCCCAAATTAGACAGAGTTGTGAGAACATATTATCCTCTTTGTAAAAAATATCGAACCGAAGTATAATTTAATTAGAAAAAAATGATAAATAAACTGGTATATTGTCATGCATGCAAGCTGATTTTAGTTCTGAGTGATCGTTATTTCATTTAGATTTTCCATCCATTCAGTGCTAGTACCGTCTCCATCGCCACCAAGCACAAAATCGTCATCATCAGCGTCACCACCGTTGCTATTCTTTTGTACGCCTTGTATACTAAGTTCCTTTTCATTGGCTAAGTGCAATAGACAGATGAAACAAAAAGGCACTGAGATATCTTTCATTGTCTTTGGCGAATAAAGCTTTTTTAGATTGTGAACAATATCAGTGAATTTCTGTACACCTTGAACTTTGTCCGTTCGAATAATTCGTTGTCGTTGTGGATGCTGCTCTGTTAGAGCGCTATCAGTGTCTTCCTTCTCACCACTGCTGGTTGTCACAGTGGTGGTAGTAAGCACTTTCCATAAGTTATCCTTCAATTTCTTTACGTCCACTCTCTTTGCTTGTCGCGCATAATTCACATACAAAGGTTTTGTTTTTTTCAAACTATGACTTGTAATCAATTCATCACCATAAAGTTTGGCACTTTCAGCATCTAATATATCGTCATCACCATTTTCGAACAAATTGAATCCTGACACTACATTAGCATCTGCTCCATGAGCAAAGGAAGTATCTTCAAAAGCGGTCAACATTGTTTGCGACATTTGTGTTCCCTCATCATCATAATTATCTGTAGGCATGTCTCCGTAGTCTATTTCATCACCATAATCCTGTCCCTGGTCAGCCCAAAAGTTGATATCAGGGTTGTTAGGGTCTCCATCCTCTGCTGGTGAGTTATTTTGTGAGGCTGATGATTGTGGGATATTGCATTTATCTGTGTCATGATTCGAGCGTTTTTTAGCTTTGTTCTAAATCAATTACATAGTTAATATATGCTACTTTCATTACCATGTAGGCATTAAAAAATAGTACTTACAGGGAAGGTTGGCTTCAATGAATATTGTAACAATAACTTGGACGAAAACTGAATATCATCTGGTAGTTGGTTATCGGCCATTTTCGCGATCATTTCTTTAGTAAGAGAAGGCTTTTTTGTCATTGGCTCGAAAGTATGTTCATCATCATCTACAGTCTCTGTACTGATTTCCATATCTTCGCCGTTAGTGTCTTTTTCAGCTTCGTCGTCGTCGTCCTTCTTCACTGCATTGAGTAGTTTATCAAACGGAATCGAAAAGTCAACAATTTTGGCTCTCTTCTTCGACTTTTCAACGGTTGCTGATGTGCCATCCGCAGTAGTTCTATCAGTGGGTGTTTTAACGGTTGAAGTAGTTACAGGTCTACGCAGCTTCCAATGCTCGGGGCCCGCCCAGTTCTTCTTTAAGGTAAAATCGAAATAGTCTAACATTTCTTTGTCTTCGCCATGTTGAATCAAAGCTGATAGAAAATCATATTCATTGGACTCAGCTACGTTGCCTTCTTTTTGTTGCTGTATTTGCTGACTATTGCCATCATTCTCATCGTCTGCATTTATATTGAAGTTAGCTTGTGTGTCAAAAGGATCAAGATTTGCATTCATATCGTCAAAGTCCATTCCGAATCCATCATCTGCTTCATCAAAATGGAACGCATCGTCGGCTATGTCAGTATAGTTATTATCAGATGGGGCAGGGTTCGCATTATTCTGCTGTAGCAAATCTTCTGCATCGTCTAGATCGTCCAAATCTGGTATTGTCATTTCATTATCATTGTCAGCAAAAAAGTTGTATCCTTTCAGAAAGGGAACAATATGAAAACTCGGTAGCGCATCAAATTTAGGTAATCTAGACTTGAGTCGTGCAATTTCAATAGGTTTAAGCCTGTCCTTATCCGATTCATTTTCTTCTTTTTGTTCCTCTTTATCCTTCTGTGTCTCCTCGACATCCAACTCCATAGCTTCCTGGTTCTTCTCCGCATTCTCATCTTCTGCTTCCATTGGGTCGTCTTTTGCTTGCTCATCAATGTCGTTATCCTCTTCCATTTTTTCTCCAGCATCTCCATTAGTTTCCATAATTTGATCCATATGAGCTACTATCGAATGTTCACCATCTAACTCATCTATATCTGCTTCTATAGTGGCGTCAGAGGCATCGAAGATGATTTTGCAATTTTGATCCAAACCTAGATGATTCAATAACAATCCTCTAGCGCCTCCTTCATCAAAATCGGCAGATGTCTTTTTAAATAAAGGATCAATGGCGAAATCTAGATCAAACTTTTTCAATGCAATTGATGAGAAGTCCTTTAATAAAGTAGCTTCAGATCGGTTGGTCTAAAAATATAAAATTACAGGTAATCAGTTTTCAAAATTGTTACAGGAAACCTAGAAAAAAAGTTGTTTTTATTGTGTAAAGGAATAGCGAAAGAAAAATACGTACTCTTTTTCTGGTTCGTCTTTCGCCTGGTTGTCTTCCATTTTCATCGTCTACATCGGCATCTACAAATAGAGCCAAGAAAATAAATATATCTTTGATTATGAAAATAATTCTTGAAAAAAAGATGAATGTAAGCTTACTTGTATTACTATCAGCTAAACCACTTAACAATTTGCCTGTTTCGTTTGCAACAGAATCGACACGCGAAGTATAAATTTTGACGCAACCATCCAAAGTACAAGAAGCTTTTTGGAAGTTGATTGAGTCGCCTTCTTTCAAAAATGTCATTTCATGAAAATAATCAATCAAAGCAAAGTTCCAAGTATTTGTAGAGTTTACTTTCTGTAATGACGTTCATAAGTATTGAGTTTTAGTTAATTTGCTACGATTCATTGTGTTAAAGAATCAGGGCCTATTTACATTATCAGTACACATCTTTATCCACTCTTCAAAATTAGAATACATCTGGGCTGGTGTCAAAGCAGGTACACTAGGCTGCATATTCATATTGACTGGTCGGTTACCAGTGGTGGGTGGGTGGTTGATGTTGTTATTAGTTCGTGAAATGGCGGGTATACTAGGTTGTACACCTAAAGTCTCATTCGACGTTAGGTGTCGCTTATTGACAGATCGAGGATCATATCGATTTGCATGAGATAAATCACTATTCGAAGTGTCCACTATAGCATTGCTGGAGCGGCGCATGTGCGGTTCTCTGACCATTAGGATTGTTTTCGAAAGAAGGGGAAAAGTAAAGGGCGACAAATGAAAAATGTCAAATGAGTCGCGGCTATTTGTACCCGATCAAAATAAAAAAAAAAAAAAAAAATAATAAAAAAAGAAATTCTGATCGTGTCTTATACACGTCAAATTTTGCTTTTTAGACAAAACACCTTGGATCCTCGAATTTCATTTTAGCATATTCAAGCATGTTCAAAGATAATCTCTTACCAAATTACCAAATTATAAATGATAACTGCTCCTCAAAGTTCCTTTTAGAATTGTGAATTTTTATATCGTAACATTATTAGCTACATTTATGAACTTCCAGATTAAGCACTTTATAGTTTCAGTATCAATTTTTCGCAGACTAACTCGTAATTCAAATCCGAAGGATGACCTTATACGTTAAGGTTCTCTGACAATTTATATATATTTGCTTGGTAAATCAACTCATCCGTTAGACTTGAATGATTCACCTTAAATGAACGTTCTGACTCAATTGCTTTTTAATCCAACCATGCTGCAATTCATTGGACGTTTAAAGCTGCTTTAACTCAACGAAGAAGGCTTCAAAGTTGAGCATATAACAGTTTGGCATATTGATGACCTTCTATGAAGACCTTCTATGATGACTAAAATATTCAGGAAAACACTTCTCATACGGTTTGGACGTTGAAAATTACTGCTATTCTCAGTTATACACAACGTACATTGGCTATTTCGGTCAAACGGAATAAACAACTTGAGAAGCACTGAAGAGAGTACCGAACAAAAAATGAACTTTTGAACAATATTATATATTTTACGATTGACACTATAGCTTTCCATTCTGTTTTTGAAATTTGGTTATTGTTTCTTACAGTCTTAATTACTTTGGCCAGCTTCTAACATTAAATTATAGTTCAACCTTTTTATGTAGCTGCAGTAAGTAAGGAAAGATCTTTACAGAATGTTTACTGTTACTATACAATTACTTCTTCAAGAATCGTCCTTATGTCAAAAACATTAGACAAAACCGTTCCTTTTTCGAAAGCAAATGTAGCTTTTGAATGCTTTGAACAGAAAACCAGAACAATCACATCACATCAAAGGTACTGAAGTCACCACATAAGCATGAGACGTTTCTAAATTGACAAAAAGGAAAAATGGAGACACCGGGGTTTGAACCCGGGGCCTTTCGCATGCAAAGCGAATGTGATAGCCACTACACCATGTCCCCTGATATTTTGATTTTAAAATTTGCTTGAATATCATGTAAAATATTCACATGCAACATGTGACTGTGCAAGACGATTCAAAAGCTGGCCGACGCGGAGGAAGGGGTTAGGGTTTTTTTCCCCTTACTTTCAAAATACATGATTTAATACACGAATTCATGTGTACTGTTTACTGTTGCAAGCATTTTAGATCATTTAACTTTCGGAACGAATAATTATAGCGACTTTCTTTTGGAACGGTTCAAGTTATTCAAAAAACTATAAGAGTTTAGGTACTTTTGCAATCATTGACCAATTAAGTGCTACAGCGTGGATGTACCTTTTCTGCAATATTGTAGAACTATGTGTCTGGCTGTTTATTTGGTAGTAATGCATTGTAGGCGCAAGAATAAATTAGATAGCAATGAAGTATCTTAAAAGAGAATTTTAAAGAGCATGTATGCTTTCGTTAAGCAGTGTATATATCTTTCTGTTCGCCAAGTGTCATCAATTTGAATGGTTATTGTTTACTTTAAATTTTTAATGCGGGTTTGTTCTCCCCTTTTTTTATCTTTTACCTCTTCAGTTTCCGCATAAATAGGCTTTTGCCCATCTTCTTTCATCATCAGAAGTTTTGTGTCTTAAAATGTTTGGGGAATTGCGTCGAATGAACATGCGACAGGTACTTACCTCTCGAATATCATAATATCGATAATCCGCTTAGTCTTGACATATTGACGCGTGAATGTACCGTCTTTTCTAATTCGATCGGACATTAGGTCGCATCGCAAGTGCTGAATATTTTAACCATCGCAGCTTCAGCACTTATGATATGGAAAGGACTATCGATTATTACGAATACAGAAAGCCCGGTTGTTGTTGTTCTGAGGTAAAAATAAATGAAAAAAGATATGTATGTAGACTTCTATAACATTATTCTTTTTAATTGTTATTTTTTCAACAGTGGAAGCATGGAGCCAGCCTTCCACCGTGGTGATTTATTATTCTTAACTCTTCCTAAAGATGCACCCATTCAAATCAATGATATTACTGTATTCAAACTGCCAGAAAGAAGCATTCCTATTGTCCATAGAGTGATAAAAATACATGAAGAGTAAGTCCTTCAGCAAGCAAAAAATACGTTACTAAATTCTCGACAATTAGAGTTACGTTAACTAAAAGCAACTTACTGCTACAATGTATTGAATGCTGTTAGTGCTAATACCGGAAAAGAATATATACTTACAAAGGGCGATCATAATAGCAGAGATGATCGTGTCTTATACAATAGAGGACAAATGTGGATTCACAGGGAGCATATCGTTGGCAAAGTCAGAGGGTAAGATATACCTGAACAATTATATACTCTTGTAAAGCTCGACCATCTCATTCGTATTTCTCTGTTATTAGTTTCTTACCCTATCTTGGTATGGTAACTATTGTTATGAATGATTACCCTTGGGTGAAATTTGCATTATTAGGCGTATTGGGCCTTTTTGTATTGATTCACAGGGAATAATCCATACATTGAAGAGATAAGCATTGTATTAAACTTCTAAACTCTTTATCGTTTTGCATACTTGTCTAAATTTTACATAAAACCATAAAACATTGCGATAGCTGTATTTAAGTTCGAAGTTACGAATCTCAGGACCTGGTTTTGGTTGTTGTTTTTTTTTTTTTCTTTCTGTTTTTGTTTTTTCTTATCAAGAAGAAAAAGCGCCAAAGATGTGGCATAGCGGTTTATTCATGTATTAAAAAAAGAAAGGAGGTTTCAAGTAAGAGTGGTAGTAGTAGTGGCAGTCGGAGCAATACCACTAATGTCATAAGTGTAGTTGAGATGATGGGGACTCGTGATGGTAGCCGCCCACGAATTCCTACATCTGTTATTCTGCTTGCCGACGCTGCTGTTAGAAGTTCTTGTAGCGATAAGTGCCGACCTAGGCCTTGCCCTTTCGTTCATATTGTGAATAGACGAAGGATAATGCTGTGATAATTGAAGAGGTTTTCTGCTATTTAAATCAACACTTTGTAATGATCTTCGAATATCCTCCAAGCAAACATTTTCATCGTGGTCATCATCATTTCTGCTACCACTGTCACTGCTGTTGAGTTCAATATATTTTTCATGCTTAGCTTCTTCTGTAGTGTTATAAGTGTAATTTACGTTCTTTCTCAAGCATTCTAACGGTTGGTGATGGTCTTTTGGAGAAGCTTGCTGCCTTTGATTAATATGCAGTGGAAGGCTATCGATAGGGATTGTAGGTGCGGTCAAAAATTGATAGTTAGATGTACTGTTACGTATAATTTTGACAGGGTGTGCTCGGAATGAGTTATGGTATTTAAGTGAATGCTTTGCAATTTCTTTCTTTATGAAGCGATTTCCTATTTTTATACTGTTATTATTGTTCACAATAGATAGATTTAACTTGAGATTGGTGGCATTAGTATCAACACTAGCAACATTAGCAGCTGTGTTAGTAGTTGATTCATCGGTTTGTACAGTATTGGCGTCTTGAAAAAAATCAATGTATCTGTCATCATTAATTTTAGCGATGAGATTACCAGCAGAAGCAGATCGGGGATAGCTCTTTCTATTGTTGCTCTTTCTACTTTCAGCTTTCAGTGATTTAATACTTGTGGAAGAAGGCGCCTGTGTAAGTACTGTTTGCTGATTTGCGTGCCGAGAAGGAATAGCTGTACTAGGCTGTACGGGTATAATGTGTCTGCGCTTTACGGATTCGCTTCGTTGACGAATGGATGGAGAGCGCTGATGAACGGCACGGTATCGTAGTGAAGATTTCCTGATACTTTGTTGTGGGACAGATGTACTTCTCTTTTGCTTTTCAACATTATGAATACTGGGCACAGGGCTACTTAGTTCTGTCATATAATCCAATTCTTCTGCTTTACGCGTCTGCAATGCTGCTAAAGATTTTACCCACTCCTCAATCCACAGCGTTTTTTCCCTTGAGAGCATTATATGTTTGTTATTGCTATGGCTACTTTCCGTTGTTGCTTCATTCATCTGGTTCTTTTGGTAAAAGCGACTTATATCACTTTTTGCAGTATAAAAGCAATCTTTTTTCCTCTCTGTTGCTATTATATTGTCCAGATCTAGAGGGAAGCTGTTTACACTTTCGTTTAAGCTCATAGAGAGCCTAGCTGTGGGTGAAAGCTGAGGATCTGATGACGTGGATGGGTGGTATTGCGGTGTTAGTGATACAGATATTGCTGGCTCTGTATGGTGATACATGTGGCGTGCAGCTTGAGCGAATCTCCACATTTTCGCCAGAACAAAGACCCATCTTTCAAAATCTCTCTGTTTGTGGGCTCTTAAATTGTAACATTTCCCGTCGTACGTACAAATGGAGAAGCATTTTAATTTAGTTTGGGATGCAGTATGTTTGTGGAGACTATTGCTAATATTACTGATGGGTAGCAATGTATGTTTAAGGCTCTTTACTCGTATAGTCGCCGTTGGTTTGATCTGGTTCGGTTTCAAAATTGATATTGAAGAAACATTGATCATTTGGACTGTCCATTTCGGCAATTGATAGTAGCTTGCCACGGGTGCTGTGCAGAGATTGTTTTTATTGTTTGCTGGAGTGGTAATTCTAGCTGATTTGTCCTTTAGTGTTGCATACAAAGGTGATGTGAGAGAGGTAGTTGATGTATTTTGACTCAAGAAACTCAAATGCTGACGTTCGTTATTGGTGGGGATTGTAACAGCTGGTGCATCTAAAAGGGTATGAGGCGGTAATTTATACTTCTTCGACGATAGGCAAGTCAAGCATAAACCGTCAAATCGAAATAGTCTCCATAACCATTTGTTCGTGTTATCGTCCTTTAGATAGAGGTAGCCTTCAAATATATGCGCTGCAATTGGCAGACTATCACTGATGGTGGCTTCAATTTTGTTACTCCCGTTAATATTTTTCATCGTTGTAAATACGTTTGCTTTTTTTCTAAATAAAAAAAAAAAAAAAGAATGTTGCAGGAAAAGAAAAAGGAAAAGGAAAGGAAGAAACTCACTCAACAAACAGCAGAGATGTGAAAAAAAGCTGATAAATCTATTCTTAGAAACGCTTAATAGCGTCGTCGTCAAGAATCTTTGCAGAGGAATGTTTTTGTTCTGCTGCAAAAGTTGCTTTGTTTTTGTGTGGAAGTCATTGCACAACTGCTAAAAGGGGAAACTTGTCTCTTATTTTTTCCCTGAACAAACGGCTCGATTTCTGCACTTCTTTCGTCTTTTTCCTTTCGGTGTGTTAACAAAAACTCAGCCTGATTTTCTAACATACCACTACTATTATTACATTCTGGAGAAATTCACGTTCATAACGTTTTATGTATGTCCAAGTTGCTGTACGCGATTGGAATTAAAAGTTGTAACCATCTTTAGGGTTGACTAGCAATGTGCTACGTGTAATGAACTGTATCTCAGCGGAAAACTCTAACGAGCAAGTGAGGAACGAGAACAGAGTCTGAAGAATTAAGTTTGGGCATTTTGTGTCAAACTGACATCAGTACTCAGTGAACGTTTTCTTGAAGATCTAAAAAGATAATAGAGAACACGTGTTATTCGAGTCTCTCGTGCTGAAAGTAGGAATGTCGTTTTCCCATCAGCGAAATGGGAAGCTGTATTCCATACAAAGGAAAATGGAGTGTCTCCAGCTTTTCGAGAAACCAGTGTCAGTCTAGCAATTGTCTAAAGTGCTGAGAAGCTCTCATGGTTAATTGCATTGATCGTCGTATCCCATTTCTTCCGTTCTAGCCTTTGCTGTACAATCGTGCATGGTTTCAAATCAATATATCGTAGTCGCTAAATATAGTAGCAAAACTATTTGGAGCTAATTCGACTTGTCCTCTATCTTCATATCAAGAATTGAATAGAAACAAGGATATTCTATTGTTTTTTAAAAAAATACATAAGAAAAAAAAGAAAGGCATTGAAGAGACTACATATTTCTTTCTTAGTTTTTTAGTAGAAAGAAGTGTGTTCTATTTTTAGAAAATTTGAGTGCTAGGATTTTTTAAACCGCGACTGGAGGAAGTTTGTCCGATACTCAAAGAGACAACACTCGGTTGAAGCAGATGTTATCTTGCTGCCTGCTATAATGCAGATCATAACTCAAAATAAAAACATAAACAAAATAAGCAGAAAAAAAAAAGAGAGTACAGTTGTACGACATTGTCAAACGATAGAGAGTCTGCTTCTTCTTCAAATAAAAAACGGGGTGTAGCACTGCAACCATAGCAGCTCCTCTTCCATCATACTATTGCTGCTCTCTTACGACGATCTATATGTTTGTCTCTAGTAACGCTTTCGATGAAAAGAATATATATGTTTGCTCAGCTTTAGGAAGTGTTGGTACAGGAAAGTCGAGTCTTCTTAATGCCATTACTGGCGAATATGTATTTGAAGTTGGCGATGGAGTAGATGTAAAGATCTATAAAGCAATCTCTCAATTGTACAACTGCCAAAATTATGTAATACGACTCGTCATTTTTCTATATAGGCTAAAACGCAAACAGTCGAGGGAAAAATAATAGAATGGAAGTTTACACCATCAAAACAATATTGTCATTTAATAGATACTCCAGGCTTCGTCGATTCAAATATAGAAGATCGCCATACAATACATGAAATTACCAAATATTTCAAGTCTCTACAATATGGGGTCAGCGCATTTTTCTTGGTCTTTAACATTAATGATATCAGGTACAAACGAAGAAAGGATGAACACGAAAGTTATATAAGTCGAGAAACTGAAAAACAAAAACAATTTTTCAATTGAATGCCTAATAACAAGGTTGGATGCTTATACCCAAAATATGCTGATTTTATTCCACGAACTGCTTGGGAAAGACTTTTGGAATTTTGTAATTATCGTATTTACTCATGTGGATGAAGACGTTAGAGATGATTTAGAGGATAACATGGATGCAGTACTCGAGGACCACGGTAAAATGTTATATCCCAGAAATAGGTCTACGTTTTAATTATTAGTAACGCCTATTTATAATTCGATCTACTGATTATTCAGACGGGTTCGTTGCTGAGATCAGAAGGATCTACAAATTACCCAAATTATTCCAGCCTTCTGTCATATTCACGTCTACTCAAAATGTAAGATCAAGTAGCTACACACGGAGATATATAGTAGAATTATACCACGCAGTTGGCATGTGCGAGGCTCGTAATAATGGAAAACGGTTCACCTGTACATGGCTCCGACAGATTCTGATGATTACTAATGAAGAGCAAAAAACAAATTTTGTTAAAGAAAGCATTAGAGAAGCTTGGTCTTCCATGTCCAATGCTTGTCAAATACAGTAACGGAAAAATCGTTGTAGCTGTATATCCGAAAAAAGTTTAGGCGTTTAAAAGTTCAATGCTCGGTTTCAAAAAATAAAAAAAAAAAAAAAAAAAATAAATCGAAAAAAAAACCCGTTTTCTTTTTCACAATAGCTGACATAAACTCTCTCTTTTTCTTACTCTTTGCAAGGGAACAACCTGTCAAGCATTAACTAAGCTTTCGAACTGACACTTTATTTTTCATACAATGAAATTCGCCCATTCACTTGTGCTAAATGCTGTACCAGAATGGCTTGATCAATATGTCGAGTAAGCGTTTGTACACACAGAAATTGACATAAATACCCATTTATGGTAAAATTATGTTTTAAAAGTTTGGGCAATAATTTGCTTACACTATATCTTTCTGCTTCAACAACAGCTATGATCGCTTAAAAAAGATACTTTATCAGGCTGAGAGGCAGAAGATGGACCAGCGAAATCTCAATGCCAAGAGCCAAATGGACAAAGTTGAATCTGGTCTGAAAAGTGAGAAAGAAGCTATCAATATACAAGCATCCTCTTCCGAAAAGCAGCCTTTCAATATTACTGTTAATGCTGAAAACGAAGAGTTTATAAAAGAATTAGATACACAATTGGACAAAGTATCCAGCTTTTTTTTGATGAAAGAAGAAGAATTTTTGAGCGATGCTGAGGATTTATTTGAAGAATTTCAAACGTTCAATATTCCTTTACCGGATGAAAGTAAACAGCCTGTAATCGAAACCATTCCCACAAAAAGTGCATTGGAAAAGCTAGACTCTGGGTTTTCAGGACGTTTCCGTTCTAGAAGAGTTTCTAGAGATTCTTATACTACTATGTCCACCTCTATCGCTGAATCGGACAATGAAGATGAGGGTCAGAATCTTACAGCAAGAGAAAGGCAGTCATCCGCCGCTAATACTTCAACTGTCAGACAAAGCGGTTCAGAAACGTTACGTAATCAAAACCAACCAAATTATATACAATTAGACGATGATGATAGCGCGTCCAAAAAATCTGTACCTACTGGTACGTCAGTGTCACCGACAACACACCCTCCCGCACGGTCGAATACAGTGAGCGTCAGTAATTTGCGCTCGCGTCGTGGCTCTGCTATAGAAAGAACGCTAAGTCAGCACGAAAATATGCCGGCTTATGCAGAAGAATTACCACCCAAACCTCCCACCCGTATTATGCAAACGGTTGGGCTAAGATTTGGGCGTAGACGAGGCTCTCATGTCTCCATGGGGCAACCTGACACTGTCAGCGAATTTAATCAATATTACAACTTTCGCGTACGATGCGCAGCAACCTATATTTCTCTAACAGAACTTAAGCAGTATGCTAGCACAAACCGAACAGCTTTTGAGAAAATTTTGAAGAAATGGGACAAAGTAATGGAATCCAATCTTCGTGAAGCTTATTTTCAGAAAGTGGTTAAAACGACAGACGCATTTACTCCCGAAAACAAAGTACGCTTAGAAAATGCTTTGGAACAAGTCCTTGGAATGTATGCCGCTGTCTTCACCATGGGTAAAAAACATAACGCTGAAATTGAATTGAAAATGCATATGCGTGATCATATCCAATTTGAGCGAACATCGGTTTGGAAAGATATGGTGGGAAAGGAACGTCAAACGCTTGATGCGCATGCAGCCATTGTCCAAAAAGGTTTTCATATACCTTATATAAATTGTTTTGTTAGTCGAAAAACGATCCAGAATATTATTGGCTTTCTCATCAGTATTATATTATATATTGTCTTGATGTGCGTCGATACTATGGGTCAGTACGAAGCGAGTAAATGTCTGGCTCTTCTGATTTTTGCTGCCCTCATGTGGGCTTTTGAAGTAAGTGCTTCCCTTTTAATTTTTATTTTTTTCGTGTCATCATGTAACAGAAAGAGATCACATTGCTAATGTTACTTATCATGGTCTTAGTGTATTCCCTTGTTTGCTACAGCTTTTCTTATTCCCCTCATGATCGTTCCAATGCATATTATAAAGGATAGCAATGGAAATGTTTTACCTGCACCTACTGCTGCAGGGTTGGTGTTCAATCAAATGTTCAATGATACTATTATGGTTCTTCTCGGTGGCTTTGCTATCGCTGCTGCTCTCAGTAAACACGGTGTTGCCAAGGCATTCGCTTCCACGATTTTAAGTAAAGCTGGCTCTAGACCGCGCTGGGTCATCTTGACAAATATGTGTCTCGCCACTTTTCTGAGTATGTGGATCAGTAATGTTGCAACTCCCGTGCTATGTTTCTCTTTGGTTGATGTAAGTTTACAAAGATAACCCTAAAAAGTCGAGACCTTACTAACCGGAAGGTTTTTTGATTTGCGACATTATTTACTCTATGTATATAGCCTATTTTGAGAACACTGAAGCCAAACTCAAAGGTTGCGCCTTGCTTGCTCATGGGTATTGCCCTTGCTAGTTGTATCGGCGGTCTTTCCTCACCCATTTCTTCTCCTCAAAATATTGTCACTATCAACTTGATGAACCCTAACCCAGGATGGGGCATTTGGTTTGGTGGTGCTTTACCATGTGCTGTCGTCTGTATTCTGACCACCTGGCTGCTGCTTCTTCTTTATTTCCGTCCTGACCGCGATACACCTCATCTCAATGTCATCAAATCCCAAGGCTTTTCCAGACCTACTTATGCTCAAGTTTGGGTCTGTATCGTGTGTGCTGCTACTATTGCTTTATGGTGTGCTGAATCTTCCATTTCTGGTTTCTTTGGTAACAATGGTGTTATTGCTGCCATTCCTTTTGTATTGCTATTTGGTACCAACATGTTGAATAAAACCGACTTGAACAACTTTTTATGGTCCGTGGTTACTCTAGCGCAAGGTGGTATGGCTCTTGGTTATGCCGTTAGAACATCTGGTCTTTTGAATGTGATCGGTCATAATATTGCTTCCAACGTGAATCATCTCTCCGCTTTATCTGTCATATTTATTTTTGGCATGCTTGTTCTGGTTTTCGCCACATTCGTCAGTCATACGGTGGCGGCTTTGGTTATTTTACCTATTGTTCAGCAAGTGGGTCAAAACTTACCTGTTCCACGACCGAACTTAATGGTTATGGTTACTGGCCTCGTATCTTCTGTTGCAATGGGTTTGCCTGTCTCTGGGTATGCATTCATTTTTTTTTTGTTAGTTTTCCCACTAAAGCGAGTTCATACTAATGTTTTTTTATTATTATTATTTGCAGTTTCCCCAATATGAATGCTATTATGCTTGAGGACCCTACTGGTAAACCTTACCTCACAATCAAAGATTTCTTACTGTGTGGTGTTCCCTCATCCATTGTAGCTGCTGTCCTGACTATCTGCTTGGGCTATGGTATCGTCAGCGGTGTCGGCTATTAGATTCGTAAACGTTGTTTCTACCTTATCATTTTCATAAACTGTATTATTCATGTGTATATTATTATTATTCCTTTGTATATATCGCTTGTATACTATAAAGTTACTTTTCTTTTGTACTTGTTAATAAAGCAACTTTCAGGAATTTTGCTTTCAAACAATTGTATAGTATATTTTACAAAGATAAAGAAATGTTATAGATGTCTATTGGAAAATATGACATGTATAGGTTTTATGTAAATATGCTAATAAACGGAGGAACCTTTTTTCTTCTCCTTAAAATCAAATATGTCTAGTCTATAATGGGGTTGAATTTAATGCAGTTTAAAGATAATTGTACATAATCTAAGCAGTAAAGCTAGTGAATGGTTCATACTTAAACCCATTCAGTGATATCTTTTTCTTGCCAGGTGCTGGTATTGTATTTGATAATAAGTCTATCATCATCAGTGATATTAATAAGTCCCTTGACATGGTAACTGGTTTCTCCTCTCAATAATTTCTCTGCCTTAATTCTTGTCAAACGATATTGCTGAGCCAATTTCAAACGATCCATAGCATCTTCAGCGCCTGAAGCACTCGACTTGGCCCATTGCTGTGTTGCTGCTTCATACTCTTTAATCATATTATGGTATGCTTGCATACGAGGATCAGCTTCGTGTGGGGATAGACAACCAGGTTCTGCCTCACGTGGTGCTTTAAGATCATCCAATGCTGGTCTACTTTCATCGCCAGTAATGATAACAGGTAAGCAATCTTTGTCGATGTGCTTTTCGAGTTCGTTTACATCCTTTGTGAAGAGAATCTTGCTGGCAACAACAGGGTCCAAGATAGGAGTAATCAAATTCCAGACTAATAGAAAAAGAAAGTTATATGAGCCCATGCACATCTGTTATACATTAAATTTGATTTGAAAACCTACTCTTAGTGAAAACCCAAGGGGCTTTATGCACACAGCAAAGGCCTAATGTTTCTGGATAATAAGCTTGGAAGCAATTGACCAAGAACTTTACAACTTCAAAATCCTGAAAGGGTCGGGAGAAAAAAAAATAATTGTCGTAAGTTGTCAGCCTTCAATATTCTATCTCTTTTCTTTCATCCCTACCATATTGGCCATAGTGAAGTTTTCAAGGTTGAAGACAAGACAGACAGTATCCATAGGATAATCGCAAACGAGACGGGATGTTTCCATGATATAAACAGTCAACAATTTCATAATTTCCAAAGGTTGAGCATCTTTGTGATGTACTTGGACGTTAATAAAACTGTACAATTAAATACGACTAAATTTTAAGTGGAAAATATATTTTCATGATCTGTCACTCTCTTAACGACATACCAAACACCACGTGCGTCCTTATCAGGACCACCTAATGTAACCATTTTGAGCGCCAATTGCTTTTTAAAAGCATCACCTAGACCTTTCTTAGCTTTTTCTAATTCCTCATACAATCCATTTTCACCGAGAGAGATGATCTCGTTGACTCTCATCGAAATACGCCAGCGTAGAGTGTTTGCCAACATATCAAAAGCCGCATTGAGATCCCACTTTCTTGCGCGCAAAAATCTCAAAACAGTGGCATCAGGATTAGTGAGGTGCACCATTCCCCAAAAGGCTTCATGTAGCTTTTTGCCTGGAATCATAGGCAGAGCTTTATCTAACGGTTGACTTGTCCAACGAGGATCTGACGTAGCACCTAAGAAATAATCTTGGGCAGGTTCTTCTTTTTTTGCAGTGAAGGAACTGAAAAAACCGCCTTTCTTCTTTGGTTGTGCATCTTCTGCGTTACGATTTGGTAATTGCACAGGTTCGCCAGATTGCTCGAAGAGAGCCAAAAGACGTGACCACATCTGCTTCAACTTTTGTGTTTGTTCCTCTGTAAGATTACCGGCATGGCCTGATCTACGATTTTCGAGGTTGAGACTTGTTGGAAATACTACTGTCATCTTTTACTGCTGCCTAAATGAAAAGAAAAATAAGGGAAAAACGAATACTTTACACTTAAAGGAGATGCGAACAGACAATTCTAGCCGCAAATTACATTTGTTTCACTGAGTTCATAAGATTATGTTTTGAGTAAGGGGAGGAAGAACAATTACACTATTGTTCAATAGACATAGGGTGCTTTAAATTTACAAACAATGACAATGAATACGCCTCTTTTGTATACAATAGAACAATAGAGCAAATAGACCACCTGATGTATACAGCTCAGAAAATATATGCTATAAATATGTCGAGTGGATGGCTATTATCCTTTATGTTGTATGCTCAGCAGCTATCGTTGGTGGGCCTTACTCTCTTTTGTCAGCTACAATACCCAAAAAGAAAAAATAATATAATACTCAAGCGTGTTTCCGTCAAAGAAGCATGTATGAATGCACGAACAATGTGTATAACATCATGGCCCTCATCATCGCCACTAGAATTTTTAAAAATGTACACGCATCAAATTAACAATATTATCAAAGGGCTAGCAAAGTATACATACTTCATCATTCCCCAAAAAAAAAAAAAAAAATATCATGAAGAAAAAGGTATATTACTGTGTAAACGAACTTGTAGTTTAATTCATACAAATTTGAACACAAATTTGTCACTAGAAGCGTGCTGTTCATGTATGCAACTTTAACTAACACCGTATACTTTGGCAAGCTTTGTAATCACATTACTATCTAAAGACTGGCTATTTCTTAGTAAACCGAATAACGACCGTAAAACTAATAGTACAAGTGAAAGTTTGCGGTTAATTTGATGATCACAATAGCATCGCATTTCTCATAATATAACAAATTCTCACCTTGTTGATGCTTTTTCCCTAAAAACATAACCAGCATATCAATTCGTTTTACTTTTGAAAAGCCCTTCAGAACATCCATAATGTCTTCTGGCGTTTTCTCTTTAATATATTTTGTTTCCAGTAGCTCAAGAATCTTTTCAAATTGTTCTGATTCCAACGAGGATTTGAAAATATTAGCATAAGAAGAGGGTGGGATAATGAGGAAGTACTGGTATAAAATATCGTCGCCCCTAGCTTTATACGTTTTCCAGTCCCTTTCAAATTCGAAATTTGTAATAGGACATTTGAATGTTGGAAGTGCTGCTATAGCAGTTTTTTGTTTTTTCGCTGTAGATGTATGTGCTTTTACATTATCGGTCACTTCCACTTTTTCTTTGTTGTTAAGAGAGCTGTTTGAGACTTCAATTTGCTGTGATGATTGCTGCTTTTCTGCGTCCATAGTTGGCTTCTCAATAACTTTGTCGAAGTCCGTCTTCTTCGGTTTGTTAAAAGTTGGCTTTTCTGTCAATTCAACTGTTTGTATTTTGTTCGCATCTATATATTCTTCATCCAATACATGAATGGGTAATCTTTTCTTAGTTTCCTTAGAAGGCGTATGTTTCTGTCGATTAACCGCCGTTTCTGAATTTGAGCTAGTCTTCTTAGTAGCATCCGGTTGCTTCAGTACTGGTAATTTCTCCAACTCCTCCAGCACAGCTTTATTGTTCGGTTCAATCTTCAAAGCAGACTCAAAATCTAGAAAGGTATGATTAAGAGTAACCTCGTTATTTATCAACAGTAACTGAGGAAGAAATAGTAGCTTTACACTTTACCTTTTCGAGCTTCATTCATTCGACCTAGTTCTTTCAATGCAATACCCCTTCTCCAAAAGGCTTTGACGTTGTTAGGTTGTAGTTGAATACCTCTTGTGCAATCTCTTTCTGCTTCTAAAAAGCTGCCGTGTGGATTTATTGATAGATAAAGTCAGTTTTCAAATGCTCTATCATGGTCTAAAAATCGATCTTTCTGTACCAATTTGTTTTCAGAAAAGCCATTGCACGATTGACAAAGTATACAGGCTTTGTCGGATCCATTTCAATAGCCTTTCCATAGTGTAATATAGCATTTTTATAATCCTTCTTGGCGAAATATACGTTGCCCTGGAAATACATAATTCACTTTAATATTACCCACAAAAATTGTTTACTGTTGATGGAAAATATTACTTTTGCTTTCTCTGCTTCGGCTTTCTCTGCTCGCGATAAAGTTGTCGTTTTGTTTGGTGAGACAGTGTGTGTTGTAGCTCCTGTCTATATATACATCAGTTAGATAAAACCACCACATGTCCGGACTATCTTTTATGGTGCTATTGTAAGCTGTCATACCTTTTGCTTACTGTATAACTTTTGTAAACCAGTTGCTTCAGCCTCGTCTAGTAGGATGTCGGCTGATTTTTGAACAGGCGGTAAAACCTTTGAGCATTAGAATGAGTTCAGTGGGATGCAATCTTTATGACATGGTGAGACTATAACGTAAGTAGCAGGTACAATTAAAAGCTACCTGGTCGTGCATGAGCTTTCTTTTTGATAAACTCTCGTCTTTTTTACTAATTTCTTTCTCCCATTCAACAAGATCGTCCCATATTTTGGATAGATCTGCTGAAGTCGCCATTTTGAAAGTGAAAGGTTTGAAAGAAGAAAAAAAAAAACACAGCATAAAAATTTCTCGAATTGCCAATTTATGCCATACACAACGGAATGAAAAATATCTATTATAACAGCTTTACAGGATTAGTCCCTTCTACACATATACAGTAGTGGCATTTAACGGCAGTATGTTCTATGTCTCGTCTCTGATAGACTTTTAACGAGCGACTATCTCAAGACAATAGTATATGAAAAAGAATGGTTGGAAGAGTCTGATTATTTCTTTTTCCAAATAGCTATCTTTTCCATGCCAAACCTTTCAGCGTGTCCGATAGCGTCGTTGATGTACATTAACTCAAAATTATCGGCCAATAGATCGTGGTAACTAGAAGGAACAGATAATGATCAGAAATTGCTATGGACGAGCCAGGTGCAATCATTACTAAATGTGCTTACATTTCTTCGCTCAGGGGAAACGGAGGAGGTCCGCCTTCTTCTTCTTGACCGTTTACTGGGTACATTAGAGTAATCAAAACACCATCTTTAGCAATAATTTCATTCATTCTCTTAGCCCATTGAGGACGCAAATAGGGCTCCATCGCACACAAAAACCTATTTCATATCCATCAGTTACATTCTTTTCATTAAAGATGACAAGAAGTTCAACATACGTGTAATCATAAACTAAGTTGTATTTCTGCTCAGGTACTTCAAAATCGAAAAAATCAGCACATATAAAGTCAAAATTCTCTTCTTTTGCATTGGGGTATTTCTATCAAAAATTCAAATTAGCCTACTGCTATCCAACCTCACGTTTGCTTACGTACCTGATTTAGCAGGTCAACGCATGTTTGGCTAATTTCTAAGCCTCTCATATGTCTCTTTTCACTGGCAAAAAACTCGACGTCGTAACCTGTTTGTGCGTATATGTAAGGGTTCCATGGGTAAATCAATGGATTATTACTTCATTGTAGTGTTTGCCAATTTTTTGCTTATGTTTACCATGACCACAGCCCGGAACCAAGCCCAATCCACTGGCCGGTATCAGTACCCTCGCTTCTTCAGTTTGCAGTAAAGTTACAAGAGCTGGACTTGGTTGACCATAGTCCCACCTAGAACGACCTTGTTGCCATTTCTTTTCCCAATCTGCTAAGAGATAAATTGTTAAAAGCGCATGTCATAATTTGCAAACCTACTTTTTTACTCCTGCCTATATTTGTTCGTAACTGATCTTCCGACATGGCTGTACAAATTTGTGAGTGGTACGGGGCAGAAAAAGAAAAAAGGTTTGACAACAAACTTTTTCGGTTAATTTGTTCTAGAAGTCTAAAAGCTTTATTTTAGCCAATGATGCGGAGCGAAAAATTTAAGCCTACTTCGCAGTAACAGATTTGGGGCATGGCATTGGAATTGAAAAGGGGGATGGCTACCATTATTAGCAGGAAAAGATACATCAAACCTACACGCGCATAGTATGTTCCAATGATGAATTGGAGTAGAAGTTATTTGAACCGAGGACATCGATTTGTTCTCTTGATTTGTGTACAACTACCAAAGCTTGATAAATAGCGACTTAATGTTCATCGTTCTCCCATTTTTAAAGAAGTGTAAATGGAAGGAAGTTGTAACAATATGAAAAACGGTCTCCTCAGAATGAAATGTAGTACACATAACATCAGCGCATTTTACTTAACGAAATACAGATATTTTGATGCACTTTGCTATTCCTTCGATCTTGTGCTGTATTTTTTTTTGGCTTGAAAATAAGGTGGTAGTACACTTTCCGTACTAATAAGTTGTACCTATACGCTTCTGAGTTTGCTATTGAGTCTTTTCTTGTAAAAAACGTACATGATGCTGTATGCATTATATTGCATTTCACTCCGCGTTAGTGAAGCTATTCAAAAGTAACATCCAGACAGGCTTAAATCAATTTTAAAAAAAGTATAATCTCCATTTCGAGAGCTAAAGTTCAGATATCAAAATCACCGCTTTGTATTGACTAAGAGACATTAAAAAACATGCAGTCGAGAAACAACTATTGAATATGCCCTCTTTTCTCTTTTGCTAAATTAGGAAGAGTTTGCTTTTTTCCATTGCGTATTCATTGCCATTGCAGAAGATACCACACTATTGAAAGGCCATCAAATGAGTCCCAAATAGTTCGAAGAAAGCATAAGTAAATGGTAAAATGTGGGTAACTTACCCGGCAATTCCAATAGCTGCCTCATTCAGCTTGAGCCATTTTAAACTTCCTACTGGTATACATATGTCAAAGAAATCTTGACACAATTGATAACGGACAGCATCTATTTGTCTACACGAAAGATCAAAAGATGGCTCGTTAGCATTTTGTATTTACCATGGACGTTCAATCAACTGTTTTTACTTTTTCATCTTTTTCTGCTCAAGTTTGGAGTCTCCTTTGTCGTCTAATGTTTTTCTATCGTCTACACGAACAGAAAGTTTTCTAAGTTGGTATAGTCCGGATAAAATAGATGCTATCAAGGAAATAAGCCAGCACTTGAGGCCTAATCGATTGATTCTTTTGATGTTTCTCAATTTAAGAAAGTTGACAGTATCCACCTATTCGTAGAAATCAGTAAGCCAACTTTAGCAACCAGCTGAGTTCCAGCTTTAGGGTCTTCATTCAATATCATGCTATTACCAAACTCAAGGCTTCAAGATTGAAATAAAAGAAATTGCTTGCAAACTTGATAAAATGTAGCATTCTAAGTACAGGATCTTCTAACGAAAGGCTTTTAATACTTGATTGCGCAAGCTCCAAGGGCTTTAAAAGTCGAAACAATTTACGGCCTGTGGCCAAATGTGTTTTCAAATCTGTCCATTGTTGTATAGTCTTTTGAGAAGCGCCTTTTTGCAGTAAATAAAAAGCATAAAATCGTGCAAAATATTGAACAAGTCTGCATAATTTTTCTCGACCATTGGTTACACTAAGGTATTTGTTCAAAGCCGTAATTTGACTGTCTGAAATCATCCTGTGGCAGTTGGACTCGTTCTAGCACAATTACGCGAAAAATCAATTATACCAGAAGAAAGAAGCCTCTTTGAATACCTAACCCAAAATGGTTCTGGAAAAAAGGCTAAGTGATAAAGGTGACTACTGTTTATTGTTCAATTTATGATCCGATTACATAAGCAATAGTTTCATGAATACTTGGAAATCGATACGGTAGGTTATAAAGAATGGCTTCTTTTCAATTCACAAAGAACAACAAAAGCCGTTTATAATTGATGTAGCTCTTGATTTTGTCTGGGTATTTTGACTGTGTAAGTCGCAAAGTGGCCGTTAATAAGAGTGGTAAAAGTTAAATAACCGTCTTCCGTAGAACATATATCTGAGGAGGAAATGAGTGAGCTGGGTTCTTTCTTGTGTGTCGTGGTTTTTCTACACTGAGTGTAATGTCTGAGCTGTTTAGATCCGGTAGTAATGTTACTTACAGTAGAGTTTATATCTGATGAGGAGCGAATACTGCTATCAAGGCCTCCAGTTACCATTTGCTGTTTTGATAAAGCCCTGCGGGTGCGATTTTTTGGCCTACCACTAAGCTGCTGTTTTTCGACTTTTTCTCTATTGTTATTTTGCAGACTGTTTACCGAACCGCTTTGACTCATTGCCCAGTCTTCATAACGTTTTGTGGATCTTTGGCAAATCTCAGTATGATTCAGCCGTGTCTCTGTATATCTTCGCTTCTTCTCTTTGATGCGCTTTTGTTTAGCATCTTCTAGTTGCATTATATCCGCCCAACTGCAATCCAACCTACTATCGAAAACTGATGAGGTGCTTTGGATATTGGCCACCTCAGTGTTTACAATCCCATCCAGTGGAAAGCTCTTTTCTTTGCTTAAAGTTTCAGTTTCTCCATCAGTATCTGTGCTTATAGATCCAACTGGCGTTGATAGCGAGCTATCCGAAGAAATATGCAAGGGTGAAATCACATCTTCCCGATCGCACTCTGTCTTCGCTGTCGTTTTCAGGTTTTCAAGAAATTGTGTCGCAAAATCTGAAAATTCCCTCTTCTGATCTTCCCATACTTTTCGTAAAGCATCTGTGTGTAACTGGAAAAGCTCAGCTCGAAGTTGGTCGAAGTACTGCTTAAGCTTGAACTCAACCATGTTATCTATTTTTTTGAGCAATTGCTGGTGCATGTCTTCAATAATAAAAGAGGCATTCTTTTCTTCCGCTAAAGTCTGTTGCTGTTGGTAGCATGCGTTGGATTGAACATTAGCAAACTGTGAAGGTAACTATGCATATTTCAAATAGAATTTAGAAACAAAATTCTTAACACGACTTGCGTTTGTACAATCATCAATACCTACAACTGAAACGTCGCTTAGTTTTCGAAACGCCATGAACCTGGGACTAACAGCACTGTGATAAAGGTCTGAATTTGATAGACTGCGCACAAATGAAGCTTTTCTCTTACTACCACTTCCATTGTCAAGAGAAGGTTCAGTATCACTTGTTGAATGCTGTATGTGGGGCACACTCACGTTTGTAGCAAAACTGAAACCGCTGCTGATCGGTTTTCTTGAAAGTCTTCTTGTTTTCTGAATATGCGAAGGAGGGCATAAAGCGTTTGGCGTCATTATTTCTTGATGCAGCGACAAGTTTACGACTTTTTCATTCATATGCTGGCTACTCCTTGTTAACGTCTCTTCATCATTACCATTCGGGCTTGATTCTAATTGAGCTATTAGTTGGTCAATCTTTGTCAGAGTCTTAGCGTTTCAGCTATTTGATCTCTCAAACCTCCTTTTGCATTCGCTGTTGCAGCGTTTATCTCATCAAATAGGATGTGTGGAGGATAAAGGTATTTATCAGACACTTCATCGCTCTATGTATACCCATCAGCATTCATAAATAAATATGAGAAGTCTGTTAAACTTTCATCAAAGTACAAAAAATGGCATTACTTTGTTCACAAGTGTTTCACGCTGTTTGCTTCTTGAGGGTGACTATTGTTGAGAGAGACGTTAGATTGAACAGTTGACGTATCATTAATTCACTGTACGTTTACCATCAACGGACTATCAGTAAAAGGTACATTATTATTTTCGCACGTCTTAACAATTGCAGGCATGCTTTTTTATTTTTTTTTTTGCTTTGGTTGTGTGCGATTCGTCAAAGTTAGAAATATGAAGTTCTCGAGCAGTTAAAAAGAAGAAGCAGGAAAAAGAAAAGCCTCTCTACATTGTTGTTTATAATGTCAAAGAAGCAGAATCATGTATGACAGATCTGTCACAATAAACTCTACATAATCAGCCCACACATCAAATATCTGTATGAAAACCAAAACGAAAAACGTGGCAAATATAATCGGTTACGCAAATGCAATTTGCTCATCCAAAAAAAAAAAGCTGAACTGCAGTATTAGTACGTCTAATATCCGTGTTGTACTCGAGCCTCTGTGTACTCAATCACAATTACACTAGAACACGCTAAATAATGAAAAAAAGGAAAGCCTAAAGTAGATGGCTGCCAAAATAAACCATGACCTGTGCATAATTGATTTTATATCTTCCGAGTCATGGTGTGCAATAAGTGTTCTCGTCAATTAAGGTCAACCACTGTATCTTTTTCTATCTCACTGTAAGCAGGGGGCGGTATATCAGATTCTTCAAATGGATTTCTTGACGAGTACCTGTCGTCGGTGACTACAATGAAAGTAATATGATATGAAATAAGCACTTATGTAGGAATAATGATGAAGTGTGGTATCCCTACCGTTAAATGAAGACTGCTGCGCTTGCTCTGTATGATATCTTAGATGTTGCCGTCTCTCTGGAAATGGTGGCGGTAACGGAGTTATTATAGTTGTAGATGTTGGTAGAAATGGGTTTGTGGTACCTGATAAGTGGATCAGTCAGTAATGACACAGATCAGGATGTGCAACTATTCAACTTACTGAGCTCGTGCTGGGGAATCGACTGGTTTTGACTTCTTGGTGGCAAATCAGGTAATGGTCGTCTTCTTAATGGTTCTGTTGGGTGATGAAGGCTGTTATTGAGGGTGAGAGTATTGTCGTCGTTTTGATCTATAATAACGTAATCACATTAGCAATCTGTAGGTTTTACAATACTAAGCAGCATGAATAAAGCTTTACTTCTTGAAGAGAGGGTTGCAGTCGGCACATTCCTAATATTTGATCTGTTTATACTTCTGCGCCCTACACCTGAGCATGTCAATTTGCGTTTACTTCATCAATAAATAAATGCTGAACGTACCTCGACTAAACAATCCTCTGATACCTTCTTGAGTTTCGTCTGCTTTTCAATTATTTTATTTTTTTTTGCAAGTGTTACACATTGTCACATAACGTAAAAAAGAGTCAACCTGTACGCTTAGCAGATACTTACAGTTATTTCTACTGACTATAGCTGGAGTAGACACAGTAGTTCTAATTGCGTTCATTGTTGGCCTTCGTTGTTGTGCTATGCTTTCTCGTTGAAGTTCTTGGCGCCACCGAATCAATTCTTCTCGTACTGTCAACGGCTTGCCGTTCTATTGGAAGTCGAATAGGATTTTTCTCAGCAGCCAGAAATAAACAACAAATCTCTTTGCAATTGTCCTTTTGATAACTTACCGTAAAAGGATTAGTAGAGACGGATCCTGCCATGTGGTTATCAATTCCTTTGTGGGGTAGAGTTCGTACTGTCTAGAGTGGGATTTTACTCAAGATTTATCAACATGGTTGATGATGATTGATTGCAAACCTACCTGTACGATAGCCCTACGATCGCGGTTGTCAATAATAGGAGTATGTGGTAACGATCTCGATGTGGGTATACTGCTTTGCTGATGTATAGATTGATTGAAGCCAGTGGTAATGGTGTGTTGTTCTTGACTCATACTTAAAAGCAAGTCCAACACATCACTTAGGTCATCTTTATCTGTAGACCAAACTATATCCTCTATTACAGCAGCATCAATCTCAGGAAATGCTTCTTTCAAGACTTCTATGGTTGTCGTTGTTGTCTGATTCGAAGAATGCTGCATCAATAGAAAAATTGAAAACGAAAGAAAAAGGAAACGCTTAAACGTCAATAAAAACACTTTTATTATTTCAAGTCAGCTTATTGCCTCAAGACAATCTATTTTTACTTTTATGCAAAAGTTGAAAATCTGTAAATAATTTAGCCGTAACGAACGCCTACATAAAAACCAACCAAGAAAGTTGACTTGAATTGGATGTTGTTTGTTAAGAAGTTGACAAAACCTTGCCATTTCGTATGAATATCACGTCTGGTGACTCTGCCGTCCTTGTCAAGATCTAATGTCTTATTGTATCCGCTTTCCAATCTGTCCCAATGAATTGTGACATAACCTTGTTGTGACAAATACTATAGTAAAGGATTCATATTTAGTGCTGTGCCCTTTTAATTTCGTCAATGGATAAAAAGCGTGTTCCAAATACCTGTAAAAATATAAAACCTGTACCAACAAAGGCAGCAAAGACCTTGCCTACTTTCTTAACCAAATAGCCTGTACATAGTCCAAGGAAAGTGCCAAATGTAAGTTCGCCTCGACGCAATAGACGTTCCTGGTCTTTGGTTGATACTTTGGTGTCAAGAGGTGGTGTGGTGGTAGCAGTAGCAACCGAAGAACGAGCAAAGGCAGCTATTGTCCGTATAATTCTCCGAATTTAGTTCAGTCTTGTTATTAAACGAAGGCAAATTTCAATTACCTTCACAATGAACAGGTGCCTTATAAAGCAAGGGTGTAGCAAAAGTTGTAGTAGCTGCAGCCACAGCGAGTATTTTAGATGGCTTTGGTGTGAATTGAATAAAGGTTGGCTTAATAGGCTTGGCAAATGCGTCTAGTGTGAAGGAAAAGGGTATATTAAGCTACAAAACCAAATAAGCCTTTATTTTTGATACACAAATTAAATTCAAACCTTTGTTAAAAACTTTGCTAGCTATTGAATATTGTCTTGCTGGAGGAGAGCGAAGTGCATTATTTAAATTTTGCCGACTGCAGAGCTTAACAGCATCATTATGAATAATACGTGTTGTATAACGAAGCATGACTATAAAAATTGATAGAAAATGAGTGAAAAAGAAAAGGCCATTCTTTCTAACAATTTCGCATAAAACGGACGATCCAAAAGCGGGGGGAACGACCAGTTCGAAAAGCTACAATTTCATTGGACATAATCGAGCAGCGAACGTTTGACATTTCGTCATTGTGTAAATTTTTTATTTATAAGCTTTCTGCTGCAATATGATATAGTGATACTTGTTTGATTCGAGAAAATTTGAAACGACAAAAAAGAAAAAAAAAAAAAGGAAAAAAAAAAAGAGAAAAGGCAGAAAGAAATAGGGCTATTCTTTAATATTTATGTAAAATAAACGATGAGTGTGCTATTTCAGTAGATTTGCTTAAGAAGTCATGTAAGAGTTGATATCAACTTCCTCAGGTAATGATTCAATATTGACTTCGAATCGGCCTTGTACATCATTCAAAATACCTGTATCCCTTTCGTCAGAAATGAAGGTGATACCTAAACCTTTGGTACCAAAACGACCGGCACGACCCACTCTGTGGAGATAGGTATCAGCACTATCGGGCATATCATAATTGATAACGATATTGACACGTTCAATATCGATACCACGACCAAAGATATCAGTAGCAACCATAATACGCTTTTCGAAATCCTTGAAGGATTTATAGCGCTTGATACGTTCTTCTTGGCTCATTTGAGAGTGAATACAGATACTGGGGAAGTTACAGTCAGTCAAAATACGGTTCAGTTCATTGGCACGAGACACAGAACGGACAAAGATACAGACTTGATTGAATTCTAGAGTATCGAGTAAATCATTCAATTTGCGGTTCTTTTCTCTTTCTTCTAACTTGATGTAAAATTGTTGGAGACCATGAAGAGTCAACTTGGCTTCATCATCAACATAAATTTCAAGAGGATTTTGCATGAATTTCTTGCAGACAGGACGCATTGCTTTAGCCAAAGTAGCAGAGAACATCATGACTTGCTTGTGATGCGGCGTAGAGCGGAAAATATCTTGAACATCACGACGCATGTCTAATTGTTCCAACATTTTATCACATTCATCCAAAACAAAGTGTTTAACGTTGGCTAGCTTAAGACTATTATCACGGATTAAAGCGAGAACACGGCCGGGAGTACCCACAAGGATATGAGGGCACTTATTTTTATCCTTCAAGATTTCAACGTCTTTTGCCATAGGAACACCACCATAAAAGACTTCCGTACGAATATCAGGAAGGTATTTAGAGAAACGAGCGTATTCGTTTTTGATTTGGAAAGCTAATTCACGAGTATGACAGAGGACAATAACGGATACTTCACCGTTGACAGGTTCGAGTTGTTGAAGAGTGGCAAGAACGAACACAGCTGTCTTACCCATACCAGACTTGGCTTGACATAGGACGTCCATACCCAAGATAGATTGAGGAATACATTCTTGTTGAACTGTTGAGTTAAAAATAGCGATGTGGTTAACAAAATATCCTTGGGCTTTCTATTGACTTTTGATAGTGATTTGTACCTTCTGAAGGGTGTTCAAAACCACAGTCAACGATACTTCTCAACAATTCGGGCTTCAATAAGAAATCACGGAAACCGGTAGAATGAATACCGACGTAAGAACCCTTTTTATCTTTTTTGTCATCATCTTCGTTTAAGGAATCAACTTGCTGGGCAGCAGCAGTTTCCTGTTGAAGAGTTTGTTCATCTTCTTCTTCGTAATCAATGAGGTCATCGGCATGGTCGGTAGTAGACATGTTGTGATACTGATGAGACGATAAGGAGAAGAATAGGGTTGTGTGAGTAAAGTCAATTCAAAAACGATTTTACAAATCAAAGCAACTATAAGTAGCGGCTTCTTTTGGCTGGCTGTTCTCGACGTTTTACTACTCCAACGATCCATTTGAAGTGGATATTTTCTCCATATTGAATGGCTTTTGATTCTCGGATAATTTTTCCTTTTTATGTTCCTATTGAGAATCATCTTGAACTGCAAAGATCAACACAGAGTCGTCAATGTAATGAAAAGATGGAGTCTATCTACAAAAGGGGATCTATTCTAAGGGAATATTCGTTGCTGTAGCGTAAAATAACGTAAACAGTGTATAGCCGCGATAGAATATATCGAAGTATATCTGAATACAGAACAGTAGTTTTGTAGCTATTTTGATTGTGTGTTGTGTTGTATTTCCCGAAAAAAACAAACAATATACGGAACACCAGCTGGTTTATAACTGACTGGAAACCTTCTACTAATTTTGTATCCAATCCGCAGAACCAAAGTTGTGAAAATGGGTAAACTTAAAATGATGGCAAAGCGAAAACGAGAAGGAAAAGTGTGCATTTCGTGTATAATTATAGGTTTTTAAGTGTGTCTTTTCATTAACATTTCCAAGCCATGTGTTGAACTTGTTTCAACTGCTATTGTCGTTGATCTTTGTTTTCAATTTGCCATTTTAACGTTCTTCATCCGAAATTTTGGAGATGACGCGTCACCTTTCAACTTTTTGCTTGCAATTTACATACAAAAACACCGAAGCCAATTGAAATCGAAGGAGACGTGTAGAGCGATACGCACGAGCCAGTTGCCAAAGAGTTCGACAACATACCTTTTAAATACTTTGTTGGATGGAGTTGTAAGAGTTGAAAAGAAGCCGTAGAGGGTCTTTTTTATAAGAAAGGAAAATGGATGGATGTGGTCGAAAATGAAAGAAAAAGAGAAAAAAGAGCGTTAAATTGTTTATCTCAACATAACCCACACACTACCCCCCCTGTCTGATTGTCCGTTTGCATTCTTGACATTTCCGACCCGAAAGTTTCAAGTTACCGAGGCGTCGGGATTTTGTCGGACAAACGTTGATGACATTTGGATCAATCCTACGTAGTACATAGGTAAGAACTAAACCAAAAGGAGAGATCGAAACCATCAAAACTTTAAGTTAGAAACCTGGGAAAGCCTTCTAACTTCCTTTGCTTTTTCCTTCTTTATTTTTGTTTACAGAGTAAAAATTTTAAAGACAACACGACAATGGCGAACAAAATTATCATACTTGGTATGAAAATCATATCAGAATTGCTAAACATATATGCTAATTAGCACGAGTGGTCTGATCCTTATTGCAGGCGGTGGTGTTACTGGCTTAACTACTGCTATTTGTCTTTTGAAAAACGGTTATAGAGATGTGTTGGTACTGGCTAAACTTTTACCAGGCGATTTGACAACCGAGTATACATCGCCTTGGGCTGGTGCAGCAATGGTTACAGCTGCTGAGCCAAACGATATCAGACTCCAAGGTTAGTAATTGCTTTACAGTATGCCACAGCTTACCACAACCATAAAATTTGACAAATTTACTTCTCACGACAGAAATGGACATGCACTCAATAAAAGAATTTGAACGGCTCGCTAATACCGAAGCAGATGCTCATGTTATGCATTGTCCCGGCGTGCAATATGTTCAGGCACCTAATGGTGGTATGAGCCCTGATGAGGACGTCTACTGGGCTCGCAAGCTCTACTCAAATTTCAAGGTGATCCCAAAGGAAAAGTTAGTTTCGAAAACCGATTATGGTTACACATTTGATTCCTGTAAGACCCTGCTTCTGATTTTCTCAAGCTTACTTTGCTACTAATTTTCTGTAAACGGATCAACTTGCCTATACTCAATAGTCACAGTTAATGTACCAAAGTACTTAAAATGGCTTTTAAAAACAGTTCAAAGCCTTGGTGGATGTGTAGAAAGGAAGAGTTTCAATAGCATTCAGCAAATAGTGGATGAATATCCTGAGTATGATACAGTTGTCAACTGCACTGCTTTGGGCTCTAAATATCTTGAAGATGTCAAAGATCAAAGCCTGTATCCTGTACGTGGGCAAACTATTCTTGTTCGCGCTCCTCATATTAAGGTTGGTTTGGTTGTAGAGAAAAAACAATTTTTGATTTGGATAAGGAACTCAAGTGCTATTTTATTTACTTTACAATGTAATGATAAGACACAACAATTTATTGACTGCCCAGATTCCTGGACGTATGTCATTCCCAGAGATGATGGCACTGTTATTTGCGGTGGAACTGTAGACAGAGAAAACAGCCAAAGCCAACCGGATGAAGCTATTACCAAAGATATTTTGGAACGCGTTTACCGCCTGTGTCCTGAAATAACACACAACAAAAAGGGCATACAGAATTTTGATATTGTTTCCATCAATGTTGGTTTCAGGCCAGCCCGCCAAAACGGTATACGCCTCGAAAAAGAATACAAGTGTAAGTATAACAACATTTCAAAGAAGAATATTTGCATTGTGGAATTTTTCCTTTGAAAGCCACGTTCCTCAACAAAGTATATCCTTAAACCGATTTAGACCGATCTAATGGACAAAAGATAACGGTGTGTCATAATTATGGCCATGGATCTTATGGTGAGTAAACGAGAAAACTTCCATTACCCAACCATTCTTTTTCCTTCCTTGAAAGGGTACTGAAAAAAAAAAACCAAAACATTTAGGCTACCAAACAAGCTGGGGATCAAGTATGAAGTTGGTGGAATTACTTTCTAATGATCATGTCAGTAAGCTTTGAACAACTGATGAATATCAGAGCAGAGATCTGTGATAAACAAATTCTAAGAAAGATACACCACAATATTGTATATTTTGTATTTTTGATATCGTTTAAATAAAGCAGGATGAATGCAATATCATTTAATTTATAAAGCAACAAGGTAATATACCACTATACTATCTATATAAAAGTAGAAATCCCATCCATTCACTGAACTGTTAGATATGATGATGTGCATTGGAAGTTGTTGAACCATCCGATAAAGAAATGCGCGTAACTGCTGCGGTAATACTTCCGTTACGAGTAATTGCTCTGGCAGCCATTGTTGACGTACGTCGACGAAGTGCATTAGCTTCCTCCTCTTCGGGGGTGATGCCCAACATACGATGCTCACGAACCATAGCTTTTTCGAATAATAAATCTGGAAGAGTACAGGTGCCGAGTGCACGACGCATTTGCGTAGTAAGATAGCTAAGGCCGACTTGGTAAGATGCATTCATCCATCCAAAGCCTTCGCGAGGGACACACTTGAAATCTGTACCTACATTTCCATACTCGACTTCTACCTTATGTGATAAGCTGACGACATCAAATTTCTCAGGTACTACACCATTGAAATCAACAAAGCCTTTGGTGATACTAGTAAAAGAAGGTAGAAAAAAGGTTAAGCCTCCTATTACCTCACGGAGATTAATCCATTATTACCAAATGTGCTTACGTGAATAGCCATCGGTAAGCCAATCTGGCCGCTGTATCTCTCATACCATATCTATCTAATCCAACCCACGCCAACATTTGATGAGGTGCCCAGCCAAAAGGAAAATCCCATTGCCGGTTAGGTCTTTCCAAAGAAATAGTGCCGCGTGACGCTTCGGTACCCGAAACGAGGCCCCCTAACACTTCAAACTTGGGTAGCGAATGCTTCACCATTTCCTGTGCTTGATGATCACTAGCAACGCCAGCCCATAGAGCCCAAAACGAAGTAACACTTTCATACGTCGTTTGCTCTTCTTTGACAGTATCATAGTCAAAGTATAAGGACTCTCTTTCATTCCACAAATACTTATCCATACGCTCACGTCTTTGCTTGGCTCTTTCCAACCATTCTTCGGCGTTCTGCTTGACACCGTCAAAATCCTCCAAATCGCCATCTAAAAGATCACGTATAGCGCCTGCAATGTCAATCTCGTATTTGTATAGCAAACAGTTCAAATCAACAGTAGCAAGGTTTGCACAGACTTTCTCGAATCGGTAAGTAGTATCATGGCCTGATTCACGGACAGCACGATCATGCAAAAAATATTCATCGAGTTCTGGTTCTTTGATATCACCATCATTGTATTTTTGATTGAACTCTTCGACCGAAATGTTGTGTTTTGCGGCAAAGGGTTCGATAATATGAACAAAGTGAGAAGCTTCTGTTTCTGGAGGAATGCCCGATCCATCTGGACGATACCTCGAAAGCATGGTCTTTTTATCTAACCTAGGCTCACTCATCCACACTTCCCAATACTCCTTAATTGCTGATTTTAATATCCTTCTGAGCCAAGCTTTGTTTTCTTGTTCATCGTCAGGGTGAAGCCTTTCGTAAACCTTTATTGCCATATCCGTTAAAAAGGGAGGCTGAGAACGGGCGAGATAATACGAACGGTTTGCATTCAAGATTTTTCCATAATGCTTGATTTGGTATGCAAAATTTTCTATCATACTTCTCACCAATCCGATACGTCTATCTTCCAACAAGCCTAATGCTGAAAAGTAAGAGTCCCACCCATACATTTCGTTGAAGCGACCACCAGGAACGACGAAAGGCTCGCCTGTTAATGTCATTTCACCAGCCATCTCATTTTTTACTTTTTTCATGGCCAAGGTGAGTAAGCCAGGCCGCTCATTAATGCTTTTCACATATTCAGCAGTGATTTCCTTTGGTAAATATTCCACCTCCAAATTCATATGCTTCCGTTTTTCTGCTACTTCTTTGTAAAATGTATATGCCTCTACATCACCAAAAGGGACATAGATACGAGGATTTTTGTTGCTGGAACGATTCTTTGGATCTGGGCAAATGACCTCCAAAGAATCGGCACTAATGCTCCGTGTCAGACCGTCCCAGAAATTATGACGTATCATACGAGATAATCTATCTACTGGGTTTTCATTCAATCTTGCTTCATCCAATACAATGTGCTTTCTTCCGTAATCATTCGCAAGCGCTAATTCTTGTAACAGATTGGACAGCATATAAGTTCCTCGAATGTCTATTTTACGGTAGCCACCAGAGTCAGCTGTACCAAGGGCCATCGTTTTAGGGCCCAAATCATTAATGGTAATTTGGAAGTCACCGTCCGTATCTTCTTGTTCAAGAATTTTCCTTTGTGTCTCCTCCACGTCAATCAAAAAACGACGAGCTTTACTCTTATCATCTATAAATTTGTAGACTCGGTTGGTTTGCTTCACATCCCTTGAGTGTATGAACCTATTGAAAAAGACCAAGCTACTTACCATGCGATGCACGTCGTTTACGAAACCCTTCAATATTGCTTCCACCGACTGGTATATTGCCATGGCTTCTCTAAAACGGATAACAAAGAAAAGAAGAGAATTAAACATAAAGAAGGAATATTACAGTGTTGAACTTCTTTATAGGGCATATCCACGATTGATACAGCTAGCTGCCTTTACATTGTAGGTTCTTGTTCTATGCCTTGCATTGTCGCCTGTAGTATAGTAAGTTGATGCAGGAGCGTGAGCATCGACACTTGGGCTCACTTCAAAGGTTGGTAGCTTTGTCATCTTGATAGAAGATTAAAAGAGGGAGAAGGAAAAGACGAAAAGAAAGAAAAACCAAAACAAACAAAAAGAGGCATTGTTAGAAATTTAAATAGGCTTTCTTTATAAATGCAGAGGGACAGCAGTGAGTTGCAAAAAAGGGGATATCTCGTTCGAGCAGGAAATTTCTCAGCGGATAATCCTATCCTAATGGGAAGAAGGAACCTATGATGTAAAGTTGTCATATCCCAATATTGAGTTTTTATTTTGTTTTTTTTTCCTCTTCACCTTTTTTTTTTTTTTTTTTTTGTTTTTCTTTTGTCTTTTAACAAATGCTTTGAACATTTAGGTTTATGATTCCTGATTAGTATGTCCAGCATCACTACAATTGTTGGCAGCAAATAAATAAGCGATTAGAGTGCCATCAAGTCTCTTGTTGAAAAACTTGAAAAGAAATCCCATTTTTAACTTTATAAAATTGCTCCAGTGCAAACGAACAGAAGTCTAGGTGCCCTTAAATACTCAAAATTGAATTGCCTCGAATACTATCTATTAAACATAACTTCTTCAGAGGCTATTCTACATTCTTAGATTTGGTAACTCTTTAAGTAAGCTTAGTCTGAGCAAGAACAGTACATGCAGTTGTCAAATTGTATAACCAGTGAACATTTGCATTAAAAAACAGTAGTGAGTTGGATCTGTTACTATATATAGCGGGTTTGTGAACCTTGAGTCTTAAATGCAGACTAAGAAGTGCGTTTAATCGTTTTTGAATATGAATAAAGCATAGCGGCAGACATCTATGCTTAAAGAGGTCATATTCCTCTAAACAATAATCAAAGAAGTACTAAAGTACACAGACAAGTAATAAGTAGTGGTGGAAAGTAAGAAGAGAAGCAACAGGCAGGTAAGAGCATGCTTCTCTTAAATGCTTGTGTAAACAGTCAAATTACTGAAACACCCCAAACTATGCAGGCATACGTTTTGACTATAACATGGCCGAAAAGAAACAGGGACGTCCCTTTTTAGGTCATGTAAGCCACTCTCAATTGGCTGGCTAATTACTTACACTTGCGATTAAAACCTTAGTATCCGTCGTAAAACTCTCTCCTATTTATGCCCGCATACTCCTCATAAGCTTGAAATTTTCTTAGCGAGCGACTGGTCAGATGTTCAAATTTCAAAAGCTGGATAGTAGTTTATTTCTTTTGAGGACCAGAGTCATCTAACCATATATGATATAATTCAGAAAGTAGTTTAAATGACTACGACAACGAAACAAAATAGCAATACAATAAATATCGAAAACGCTATTGCGAACTGCCTTATCTGATAGATGACAAATAACTTACCCGGACTCGCTGCCGACGTTAAAATCCGTAGAAATACAATTTTTCAATTTTTTCTGCGCCCTTCTTTTTCTATTTTGTTTGTTTGTTTCTTCAAACCTATCTTGCACATTGGCCCTTTCTACTTTTTCTTAGTGCAAGAACAATCTGTACCTATTATATAAAATATATGTTGCTCAGCCTATCTTCAACTTTGTAACATCTGCAATTCACAGTCAATCGGTTCCAACAATTATACAATCAAACTGGCCCATTCAACAAAAAGAATTTTTATAGATCTGAGACCTTTGGATTTAAGGTACCCACCTGATGCTGAATATTGCACCATACATAGCAAAAGTAAGGAACAACCAAATCTTTCTCGGAACATTCAGTCTCTTACTGGGAACCTTAACAACTAATTGCTTTGTAAAAAAAGTATATACGATCATTACATGCGCGCAATGATACTTTAGAAATCCCTTATACTCAAACTCAATTCGGCGTCGTGTTGATGGTTGACGTAGTTGGTAAATAATATGAAAAAGCAATAATCTCACTTTCTAGCGCCTATATACCTAAATAATTTGCTAACTTGACTATTATAACTGTATATCTTAGGCTTCAGTTCTGTATGTATGCTACATTAATATATATTCAAATTACGATAATTTTGGAAGGCTGAACCATAGTATTTTTTCGCTTTCTTGCATATTCTGTAGCTGACCACCTTAGCAGGCGAAAAGGGCGATTCTGGTGCCGAAGCGATAGCACTGGAAATTGGTTGCTATATGGGAGAGGTACGGTATAAGCGGTATTGTAAGCTTCCTCATTCTTAATAACCAACATATCTAAATAATTATTAGTGTATTGAGATCATCGAACATTTTGGGGGAGATGTCGTCAAAGTGAGTAAATCAGTTGAAGTATTGCTATTCCATTCCATTTGTATTTACAAATATGTCATTATTACAATAGTTTCTCGGAGATGCAGTTTTGGTCAGTTTCCAGCCCAATAATTTTGACGATGACCAAATGGATATCAGCAACGATCCTACAGCCAAAGACAAACTTGCCAGGCAGAAAAATTTATTAGTGAGACGAGCTGTGGAATGTGGTCTACAATTACTAGCTAGACAATCACATTATCGAGTTTATTTAACAGCCGAGGAACGAACAAAGCATAGGTCATCATTGACCGGCGAAATTGACCGAAGAGGATCGGCTGCAAAAAATCAACGTTTTTTTCTATTTGATGGAGGCAGTGCTAATACTGCAGATAGTGAAGCGTCTACCTCGAGAGATAGTCTGCATTTATCACCAGTCCCTGATCTAGACCATAGTTACCCAGAGGAATACTCAACATCATTCAATTTTTGGAACCTTATATCTTTGCTATTCAGTAAAAACAAAAATAACAAAGTGCATACAGCTAGAAGGGCTTGCGGTGACGCGTTAGAATCTTCTGCAAATCAAGAGAAGCCAAACGCCATTGATTTAGATTTGCATATAGCACTTTCATGTGGGGACGTTACCAACATTGTTATAGGGGAAGCCAACGTTTCACTTGAAAGCCATGCAAGACGGAATAGTACTTATATGAAAGAGAGTAATGTGGAAAGTTTGACAATTTATCCTTTGGAATATACTGGACGACTCGAATATGCCATTTGTGGACCTGCCGTCGAATCTTTGGAAGATGCGTTATCGGCAGCCAAAGCGGGCGAAATGAGTATCACACCTGAAGCTTACGAATTATTTCAAAACCAAACAATGAGTTTAGTATGCGAGAAGCGTAACCAGTTTTACGTAGTAAAAAGTTCTGAAACAACAACCATATCAAAACGAGGAGGAGCAATTGGAGGCGTGGCAAGCCGACAATTTCACTCTTCATCCCATCAAAAAACACCATCTATACCCAATGCCACCTATCTGGCCGATCGACCAGGATTAAAAACACGAGCTGCAACACTTAATATTGAACCCTTGATACCACGTACTAGAGAGATGAATTATTGGAAAGCTGAGTCTGATCCAAATCCGAATTATTTTAAATACATCAATCACAGTGCACTTTATCGATTACAACATAGCCCAGATGATAATTTTCCTGCTCAATTTCGTGATGCAACAGTCATGTTTATTAGTCTGGGCAAGTTGAATCCTGCAACACCAGAAGGCTTAAGTATTGCACAGAAAGCTACTTATACAACTATACGAATATTGATAAAATATGAAGGTTAGTTATTCTAGGCAGCTTAAAAATTAAATATCTACTTCGTTACTTACAAAATTATGGAATCAATTGGGAATATTCAATCATTGGTTCTATTAGGAATTCTACAACAATTTGCAGTGGATGATAAAGGTAAAAAAAAAAAATTGATTGAGCTTCGTCGAATCCATTTATGGCCATATTGACCGTTTTTAAATTTCATTTTACTCCAGGCGCTACTTTGCTGGCTGTTTTTGGACTTCCACCACTCTCTCACGAAAGAGAAGCAGTATTTGCAGCAAAAGCTGCTATCGAGCTTCGTGATGACTTCAAGGATTTTTTGGATGATTTTGCTATTTCTTTATCCACAGGTGTCATTTTTAATTCTGTTCTACCTCAAGGCAATCCTTATCGTCGTGATCCTGCCATTGCTGGTGATACGATTATTTTGGCTGTTCGTATGCTCAAATTCCCGTTTTCACAAAAGGGTATTGTTTGTGATTTTGCTACCAAGCAACAAATAGGTCGAACTTGTGAATTTGTAGATTTTGGCGAGAAATTTGTTAAGGGTAAAGTAAAGCCGGTCTCCATCTACGGCATTGTTCGGTTTGCAGCAGTAAAGGCAAAGCGAATTTCTGCTCAAAGCCAGGAAAAAATATCTGATTTTATCGGGTACAAATCGGAAATGGCAGCTGCAACGGACTGCGTCGATGAATGGGGTGAAGTGCCTAATCATCATTTGTTGGTTATTTCTGGTCCGTCGGGTGTTGGTAAAAGTTTCTTCTGCCACGCTCTCAGTAAGAAAATAAGTTCGCGAAGTACCACCTGTTGTTGGTCGTCGTCTACAGAAGGTAAAAGATGATTTGAAGAAAGAAGGACTATCGTGAAGAAACACCAATAACCGTCCTCGTTTCTTTTATATAGTGGAGAAAAGCTCAAAATATTATCTGGTCAAGAATATTTTGATGGCACTTTTTGAAATAGTTGAATCAGATCAGGTTCCGCAAAATGTACGACGAAAAGCACCTCATTTAAGTGGATCAAGTACAGGCATACATTTTCATAGTTCTTCCAATCGGTCCAACTCTACAGCGACAGAAAACTCAACCACTAACTCGTCACAATCTTCCGTTGTACCTTCTCCCACCACTACAACTCGAGATACTATCAGCCATCCTAGTTTTCAAAACACAACGGCTACCGTCGCCACAGGTACTACCACGACTACCACGACTGCAACCTTTGAACATGTACAACAATTCGTATCAAATTCTACCACATCTAGATCCTCGGGAGGCTATCGATCTAACGATCACAGTGATGGTTCGAATGAGTTGGCTGAATTGATCACTCGGTGTTTGAGAAAATGTGGTGAAGAAGAAGGGTTATTGCCTTTGTTCAAAGTAGTGTTCGCAAATTTGGGTGATATCGAGGATAATAGGTACACTCTTCGACTAGACGGTCGTGCCAGAGATATTTTATTGTCGGGTATCATCACGCGTATGATCAAATATGTGTCCGAACACGTTTCACTCGTTTTTATATCAGATGATTGTCAATGTAAGTAAAAAGGATTACGTCGCTTTATGTAGCGACTAATATTACATTTAAACTAATGATCTCTTCTTCATCTTATTTAGGGGCCGATTCTGCGTCCATTCGTCTGTTGCAGCATATTCACGAGCAATGTCAGAGAGTTTTGCTTGTACTCGCTACTCGTCCGGTCAAAGACTATAATGTTACTTTTATTGATGATTTCAAAACAACTGGTGTCTCTGAAGAGATTCAACTAAATGGCTTGGGTGCCAAAGAAATTGGGGAAATTATCCTGCAGACTTTTCAAACAGCCGGTGTAACAAGTGTAAGCCCTGAAATTGTACGAGTGATTCAAAAGCGTACTGCTGGTAATCCACTCTACGTCAAGTAAGTCATCACCTTCATTGCTATTAATGGTTTAGACTACTGGACGGATTGCTAACTGCACCTATTCTTTTCAGAAATATGGCTATCGTGCTTAAAGATTTCAACCACGTTTCTGTGGTCGAAAGTGTACTTGTACCTAGTAGCAATCAATTCGATCTGGAAGACCTATTGGGCAATTTTGACTACAAGCGTATCATCAAAATGCAATTCGATCGGGTTGAAGCTAGTTTTCAAGAATTCTTAACCGTAGCCAGTTGCTTAGATCAGTATTTCACAATAGAAGAGGTGCAAGCTGTTATTAAAGATAACAATTCAGACTTTAAATATGCCGATGATAAAGCTGTTATTGAAAAGATCAAGAAGTACGATGTTTATCACTTTATTCAAAGGGTTGAAGATTACAGTAACACCACTGCAGCGTTTATTAGCAATACAGAAACACCCAGAGAAACGTTTACTTTTACTCATATTACTATCCCACAAAGTATCTACGACATGGTATCTTACGAAAGCCGTATATTACTTCATCGAATGCTTGCTAAATACTACGAAAGTCAATTGACGCGAGAAAATTACACGGATCTACTCGGCAAAGTGACTCGTCATTACTTACAGACAGATTGGCTTGACAAGCAACTGTATTATTTGGAAGCGCTCGCTGATTTAAATATGAGATCCTACTTATTACCGGAAGCAACTGTTAATCTAGAACAAGTTGTAAAAATCCTCAATGAGAACCAAGACCTTGCTGCTCAATTCGGCCGTATCCATCTGAGCGATATCTACCGCCGTCTAGGCATGTGCTTTACGATGCGTACAAAATTGAAAGAAGGTGAAAAGTTCTTGTTTCAAGCGCTAGAGTGTTTAGGAGAACCGTGGCCTCAAAGCGAGCCCGAATTTCTCTACAAGTTTTGGGTCAATCGTCTCACTCAATTCCGTCATCGCAAAATACAAATGCTTCGCAAAGCTGACAAGTACCTTCTAAAAAAAGAAATCAGTAAACGTGTCGTTGAAATTATGGCCCAGCTCTCCAATATCTACTTTTATACAGGAAAGGGCCGTTCCTTTGTATATACTTGCCTTGTCGGGTTGAACGCTTGTGAACGCTTAAATGAAGTAGGCCCTAATTATACCCTGTTCCTAGCACGAAACTCCTTGTTGAGCTGGCTCAACGACGATAAAGAACAAAGTATCTTTTACATTACAAAGGCTTTACGGTATATGGACGAAAAGAATGATGCAGATACGCTGACAATATGTTCTCATTTGTGTTTTGCTGCTGGAAAGTTCAAAAATGCAAGAGATCTGTTGTATCAATCGATCGAAGCGGTGAAAACGCTAGGTGTAATTACAGATTGTCAAGCATTTTATCGGTCAGTTGGCATGGTGATAACAATGCGTATTTTCGAAGGCACTTTGGATAATTCACCTAATGACTTGATTTTGTTGAAGCAAATGGCAAATACAGCGCATAGTAACTGTGATTTTGAAGCAGAGATTTGGTTGAGTGTGTATAATATTGGCAATGCTTTAATTATGGATCGACTACGCGAATGTGAGCCATTCGTCGCGTTGTTAGAAACTCATTTGAAACAGTCAGCTGATTACAACCGAATTGCCATACATGGTACTTTGATCTGTTATTACGCCAGAATCAGGAACTATGAGTTCGCAAGAAGACATACTCGAAGCTTAGTGGCCATTTTACCTTTATTAACAGTTACACGTAAGTTTATTTTTCTTCATCTGAAGACTCTGACTTCTTTTTGTTCTAACGGCAACTCTATTTGTTATATAATAGCCAATATATTTCCTATTTTTGGGCTTATTTTTGCTACCATGGGTATGTACTGTATGATTGAGGATGAACAAGTGGACTTTGTGTCGACAGGCGATTCCAAAAACTACGATCGATTTATACTGGGTGTTTCACGTATCAATCACGCCTTCCAACAAGTGAAGTTCTGGGAATTTACTCAACCTTGTCTCTATCTAGCGAGAGCTTTACCCTATATCAGTACAGGAAGAACTGTAGAAGGTTTCATGGTTTTACAGCACGGTGTGATGGAAATGCGATTCATCCAAGAGATTCGATTCCTGAAAGCATACTACTGGGCAAATCTCGGCAAATACGCGTTTACGCCTAGTGATCGTATTGAATGGACTGAAAGAGCGAAAATGGATTTAGAAAGTCTCAAGATACCAGCACATGTGTATTGTAATCCTGATCCAGCCAATTCGTATTTGCGTAATATCCCTTCTGATGCTATAGTTTAATCATTGTATTATTTCAATCATCCAGCATTCCTAATTTTGTAAATAGCTTCATTTTCACGATTACTTCTACTACTATTACTCTTATTCTCATTTGTTACATCATTATTTTAATTCCATATCCCTTTTTCTGTTTTGTTTTTCAACTTGTATTTTTTTTTATCCATTTTCGTTATATGTAAATTTGTGTATGTGTATGTGTCCTTAATGTTCTTAAAGATTTTCTTCTCATTTTTAGACTATCATCGATCTGTTATGTATCAATAAAGAGGGTTACTCTCCGTTTATAGGGGCTGCTGGAAGTTTTTTAGACGCCAAGAACTCCAGTTAGAAGCAATATATTAGTTCCAGCTTTACTTTACATTAGACTGTATCCATGTGTTGTATTGGAAAATAAAATAAAATAATATAGAATTGCTCATTCGAAGTCGTTATTTGATCTTGCAGACGAACCACCCAATAAACAGAACAAAATCGGTTCGGAAAATGCCTGCCGTTTGGAAAAAATTGCTCACACGTAGTAAAGTACCAACTAATTCTTTGTTCGATTGCTTTTTTTGGTTTCTTCGACGGTATCAACAGTATTAAGTCAAGTAGCAAATTGGTACACATTTATACAAATATATCTAAGCGATAAACTTGCTCTTTTTAATCGACTTACCCACCGAGGCTAAATCAATTAACTTTCCAGATGGATTTCAAAGGAAGTATACCAGGCCCATCGTCTTTGGACCACTTGGATTATATGTCAGAATTGAAGCACCAACTCAGAAACGCTCCAAGGGTAGTCAACGCTGCTTAAAAACATTTTAAAGGCACGGCCGTCTCTACAGAATACAGGCATAATTGTATTTTTATTTTTTTTTTTTGCATACTTTCACGATGATTTTTAAAAGCAGAAGAAACCAACGGCATACTAGAGAGCAGGCTTAGTAACAGATATTGCTGAATAGTATGGATAAAGCGGCACCCAAATTGCGTTGAATAACTTCACAAACAAGCTTTCTACGCGTATAGATCACAGTAGATATATATTTTTTGTTAAAAGACTAGATTTTATTGACAGAGAGGCCGAGAGAGCTGGCGTCTTTCATGCAGCATTTCATTGACAAGTTATACTTTTTTGGCACTGTTAAGTTCATCGAAAATTAGGGTTCTGCAGGTTTCCCGACCCAAATTAGGGCATTCATTTCTTTTTTCTTCAAATTCCGTCTCTGCCCATCAAAGAAGCATTGTTCGAAAGGCAGACTGTAGACGCTGTATAACACCATGTGTGCTCGATACGACATTATAATAGATGTATACAACGGAATTGTCATATAGAAATCTTAATACGGAAAGCCAATACTTGGCGAAATCGGGCAGATAACAGTGCGTCATGCACACCGCGTGGCAATCAGCGGGTGTGGAAATTGTGTGCACTGGTGCGTGCTTGGGCCACATGAACTGTTGGAAAAATAAAAATAAAAACTCCACCCAATCCGTCTCTTCATCAATCATTAACCAATACCAGCATAATTGCATCTAATTACTGAATTTTTCAATAAGAGAAAGGCAAAGGAAGGGCTTACCAATGTCATTTAGAAAAGCAGATGGCTCATCCATAACTATACGGCTGACCTTTCCCGATCATAAAAAAAAAGGAAAAAATTTTCAGAGGCCACAAAAACAACTATGCCGTAGCCGTTGAAACCCAACAAAAAAAAAGCCTAATGAGAAAGAAAATATCCATAGTCAGCAGAGAAAATGAAAAAGTTACTAACAACGGTACTGTCAGGATTTATTCGGATATCATTTTTCAATGAGTATCACATATGTGATGAGAATTTTCTTCTCTTATTCTTCTGTTATAAGGATAGCTCTTTTCGTTTTTGTAAAAGTGGAATGTGATATAAAATGATATGTATAATATAGGATAAACATAGGGATATTGGATAATTCTCTGGGTCATAATTGTAATATTGTCATCATAGTGATAGGTACTCGTATGAAGAGCCTATTGCCAAAATCTACAATGCTTTTTATCGCTAATACTGCTACTGCTGCTTGCACTGGAACTGTTTAAATGATCGAATTTTCTTTTCAATGAGTAATAACGTACAGGCGAAATTTGAGTGATGGGAGTTTGAGGAGTAGGTGATGATGATAATGAACGGAGAGAAGAGAGAGAGTGATTGGGTATGATAGACAATGGTGAACATTGAGAACATGAACAATAATTATTGCATACAGTAGTGGTGACAGTTGTTGTCGTAGTAGTAGTAGCAGCGGCAGCAGCAGCAACAGGCGGTGTGGATGCAGCCATTGAAGTTGTAGCTGTATTTATAGTGGATAAGGATAAAGGAGAGGAATAGTAAAAAACTGTAGCTGGTTTATCAGTTGAAATGTTTATATTTGTAATAGGTGATATTGAGGAAGAATAAGAGTGAACTAATGTTGGTGTTGATGGTTCACTTGTACTGTTGGTATTGGTATTGATACTTGGGTATGCCATATTTAGGGTAGGGGTAATTGGAGTAATAGAAGTAGAATCAGTGAAAGTAGTTGCTGTTGCCATGATATCATTGTTTGGACATGGCGCAAAAGATAAACAAGTCGAAAGATCAAGAACTGAAATTGGTATATTATGCATTCTTGCTTGCGTTCTAAGATGTAACAGTCGATGCCAACGATCAAAAATAGGTAGGTCAATATAGAGTCTGTAATCCAATAAAGACAAGAAATAACGTTCGGCTGTGTTAATCTCGTTCACGGATAATCCTGCAATTTTTGCCCAGGCTGAATTACGATATGTTTTATCTTGAACGAATTTGGAAGCAACCACAAGACTTGCAAGAAACATACGTCTTCCACAACTGATGTAAGCATTGCATTGCCAGTCGCAATCATGGCTCCTTTTCTTTTGTTGTTGTTGTTGTTGCTGCTGCTGCTGCTGCAAATGTTGTACAATAATAGGTCTTGAACGAAATAAATAAAATAATGCAGTTTGTAAAGTGGAGTAAGTCGTTCGAGATCGCTTGAGGACCTCTTGTATAAAAGTCCGCAATGGCACAACCGGCGATATTCGGGAATCTTTCTGCGTCGATAAAGTGGTTGTAGATAGGGTTGCAGTTTTTGGGTACCAAATAGACTCGATTACTACTGCATTAATATCTTTTAAGAGACCATATTTAGTATACTCAATTAATAGAGACGCTTCAACAATTGCCTACCAACTTACCAACCAACGCTTCTACATAAGCTAATCTATTCGTACTCACGAGTTGATTCGGACGAAGTGGTGGAGGTGGTGGAGTCATTGGCTCCGTTGTTGCGACTGTTTGTTGCTGCTGTTGTGCCTGGTATATTTTCTTGTTGTAATTATTGTACATTGAATTATATAGGAAGTATTGTTCATTTTGGTTGCTATGGTGGTTGCTATAGTAATGTTGGTGATATCTTTTTTTGCTTAATGCATAAAGGTTCGGATCGGTGTTGGCTGTTGCTGGAGTTGCCATGGTAACGTAATTGGTATCCATGATATGGGGTTGTTGTAGATGAGTCGTAACATCAGTGTAAGTTTGATTCATTAGCAAATGTCTCGATAGTTGACGTTAAATAAGAAAATAAATAAGTTTCTCCAACTGAAAACCCCGAGAAGGAAGAAAATCCAAAAGAAAAAAAGTCGAAAGGAAGAAGAATGGAAAAAGTAAGTAGAAGAAAAGAAAAAGGTTAAAATAATAGAAAAGGAAAAAAGATTATAAAAAGAAACGAGGAAGGGGGAAGGGGTTTCAAAATATAGAGGGGCAAGCTGCAAAAACTCATGCTGGTGTGGTTTAATGGCGTGTGTATGTGTGTGCCGTATGTGTGTGTATCCAGGAAGGCGTGTTTCGGGTTGGAGAAAAATGCGTGTTTTTCTTCTACGGAGTGTGTGGGTGAAAAAAGAAAAAAAGCGTGGTGACACTAAAAATTTTTTCAAATCCGTTTAGAGTCGGGGAATAAAAAGGAAGTGAGACAATTTTCAGCCCACATACAGAATTACATAAAAGAGTATGCTAGTACATGACACTGTTCATCATTTAAACTGTATTAGAAATAGCAAGCACACTTATTCTGAAAAAAAAGCAAGCTTATTTTTGATCTTCAAATCCCCTTTTCCGGATTTTTTATATCCCCTTTGAATCTATTTAAGATTCGGTTAGGAGTATATTGCGTTTAACCCAGTGTAATTTTCAAACACAAAAAGAACATGTGAGGTAGAACAACTGTATTTATCATAACATTATTATGTGCGTGGCTATTATATTCTATCATATTTCTATACAATGCACTCTCAAATGTATTATTTTTATTGAGAAATAAAAATGGTAATTTGTAACAACTCACGTGTGTTTAAATTCGTATTTGAATGCTAAAAAAGGCGGTTTATTTTTGGGCTGGCATTCACAAATATTCCAGATACACGGCTTCTTTCACTTATTCTAATAACATAATGACATATAAGCATGGGATAAACATGAGGGAATAACATAAACAAAGAAAAGAAAAAGGTTATCTTTCATCTGTTATAATTTTTGTTCTTTCTATTTAAAGTGACAGGAAAAATAGTATGTATTTCTGAAAATATAGATAGATATATCTGTTGTTTATTTTTTTTAAGTTGGACATTATATCATAAAAATTAACTAATAAACGCGTAAAAATTGATATAATTGATGCACTTGCCTTTAGAGTGTTTATATCAGAAGTTTATACAATCAGAATAATAAAACTGTTCTTTCTTTAAAAAAGAGCGTCGTGTAAGTTTGTGAGCGGAACAGCGATGATTTAACGCCAGTCATTTTTTCTTTTTTACAAATAACAAATGGTTAATCATAACGGCGGCTTCTTACTGGTGAGCGAGAACGGGATCTACGATCATCATAGTAATCGCGACGAGATGTTCTTCTACTGTAACGATCTAATTCACCGGAGAAATCATCATCAGTTGAGGTATGTGTTTGAGCAGCCGGGGCTGGTGGGGGTGGCAAATCCTTACGATCACGACTACGGTGATAATGTTGACGCTGGTCATATCTACTACCGCCTTCCCTGCTATATCCTCTGTTATCATTACTGTAACGTCGATAATCTCTATGCCTACCTCCATCACGGCGATCATAATCATAACGTTGACGTGAATAAGATTGATTATCTCTGCCGTCTCTATGACTATGGCTTGATTGGCGACTTTGCTGTAATATTACAAAGAAATCAGTCTCAAATTCATTACTACTCCAAAGATCTTTAAAGTCCTGACACAAATATACTTACTCTCATTTTTTCAATGGTTTCCCGGATTTTCAGATAGCCTTGATGTTGTTTACCTTGATAATGAGCCTCTAATCTATCAGAAGAATCGTTGGTTACCAAAAAAGCGCCACAAACATCGCATACCTCCATTCTTTTTTCTCGGATATTATCAGCGTTCTACGATAAAATCAAATTGTGAGCTATTGAACTACAACCAAGTAGGGTAGCCAACGTGAAATATTTACCTCTTTGAACTGTTCTAATTCTTCCTGCAGCTTATCTACTTGAGCTTGTAAATCAGTGGCTTCCTGAACACGGCCTTCTTCGCCTGCCTCTTCCACTTTTTGTAATAGTTCCTTAATCTTGACATCCAACAATACCATCTTTTCTTCTCGTTCTTCTTTACGTAATTCCGCAGCTTTATCATCTGCTTGTATGTTTAAGCGACCCATGCCTTGGCGAATTTTTCGAGATAGATCGGAAATGAGTTTGTTGAGATAGTCATAAAAGTCTTCTTCGTAAGGATAATTGTGTTTATCAGGAGACTTTTGATAACGTTCCTTCAAACGATCATTATGAATTTTATCACAGCCGCCTATAGATGTGCGCATGTTAGATGCAGTTCAATAAAGTATACTATGACCATCACATGTCAAAAACAATAACTTTACCGAGATCGGACTTGGTGTTGGTAAATAATTGAGAAGGACAAAAGGCAACAAGATAATGCTTACACACCTGTACATGTATAAGACAATATAAAATGGTTCATAGCTAAGGTTAGCAAAGGCACATTATTATTACTGGCATTCACATAGTAGACTAACTTACACTGTCATCCCAAAAGTCTTTGTTGTCAACGTCTACATATTGAGACATGAGCTCTTCCAGCATCGCCTTTTGATAGTCTTTAATAAATAGGACATTTAGTATGCTATTGTAGTAAAGAATAGGATAATAGTTTATCATTACCCATTTCGCCGTTTAAGTATGAAAAAAGTGTAAAAGAGGGAATTGATATCTTTTTCTTTTCGTTTGCTACGGCCTCAAAATGACGCGGAATAAATCACTTTTTTATTTTGTAAGCCAATCAAAATTTTCTGAAAAATTCGTTCTTCTTCGATGTTGAAGCCCTTATTAACGCGATCTGGCCGGTAACTTAAATGACCTTTTCATATGAAGCCTTTTTGACACTCTACAGAATTTGTATGCTCAAATCGCGGCTTAATATGCCTAGGATAACATTTAGCAGACTTACATCCATATAAATGTTTGGTACGACTTATTCAAGCGATTGCATGAGTAGCGTGCCTAGGAGGTGGTTACCTATTCTATTCACGATCATTGATCATAAAAACTTCAATATGTCTTTAGTCAATAAAGCTAGTGAACGGTATGCATACTAATATACTGATCGAGTCCGGTTCATCTCACTTTATAACTCAGTGGTAAAAATTCAGAAACATGACAGCATTATTGCATAATATGCAAGGATTTGCGTATAAAATGTTAGAGGGTTAGGCGACAATGGTTGCTGCTTTCTTTTTGTTAATACTGTATTTTGTGTACAATCTACAGCCACTCTAAATCTCACGTTTCCAAATCAGCTTATATCGTACATAATGAAAAAAACCTACAGAATAGGATTAGGAAATACATTAGCCATCGGCTTTATCGCAGGTGCTGTTGGTGTAGGCGTAATGACATTCTCTGAAAAAATAGAACAATTCTTCACAGGCAGACCCAACTCTTACGTCCCTGCTCATACATTGGAACGCATTTTACGCTTACCTTATAGGCCAGATTCAGAGAGAGTGTGTCTGAATCTTGGTATGCATTATGGTCAAGGCGCTGCTGCTGGTTGTATAAGAGCTCTTATGGCAACATATGGCGTGATAGGTCCATTCTCTTCCTTCATTTTCACATTCATTCGCTTAGCAATTGACCAAACATTGGAGAATGCCACTGGCGTCGGTGCTCCACCTTGGACGTGGCCTTTTAAAGAGCAAGTGATTGATATTTTGCACAAGTTTGTTTATGCCTTCACTACAGGAGCTATTGCTGACTATATAATTACTAAAAAGTTTATCAAATACGATTAATAAAGTACTGTTACAAAATTTATTCCAAACAGAATTGTAAAAAAGAGGTAGGGATGGTAGAAATGGTAGAAGTAGCTACTCTTCTTTCTTTTTTCGAATGAAATGTTTCCAATTTACATTTGAAGAGATACTTTACATTTATCTACATCATTCCCTTTGTTCTTCAATTTCACATTTTGGCTGCTTCTTTTTAACTCGGGTGTGCAGCTTTCCGATTTTGTTATATACCCAACATGTATTCAGCAAAAAATGGTTTTCGACAGACGATTCTTTGTAACGATCTGTTCTAAACCATGACTAAATACTGTGAGAGAGGAAATTAAGCGTAAGTGGTTACTACGAGGTAGCTTATTCTTCGAATTTTAAAAGATGGTTTCGTTAGGTATACTTTCTAACTCGGAAGTTCCGCGATCATATGCAGTTTTTCTTTTATTTTTATTTTTATTATTATTTTTTTTCTTTTTCTTTTTCTTTTGAAATAGCAAAACAATCAGAAAGCATGAAACATCAACAACGTTTATAAAATCAAATTTTGAAAATACCAGAGCTACATTATTGAACAATTTTGAAACTGCTTCTGGCGATCTATAGTGGGTCAAGCCAATAAATCTTTTAGAGTCTGAGTTTTATTACTGCCATGTTGCTTTTGTGTGTTTTGAACTGTTGCCTGATGTGGGGAAGCTTCTTCCCAGTCGGCTTTTATCCATTGTCAACAGATAAAAGCATATTTTAAAGCATATTTTGGAAAAATAATGCTACTTCTACAGAGACAAATAAATAGATCCGCACTATGCTGTCACTACCTTCTGCAAACTGCAAAGTATTCGACAGTGCCAAAAGTTGCGGCGGGAAGCTTCACAAGTAATAAACTGATCAACTCATCACGGAATGACGATTTCAATAATGTTCAAAGAACACTAGTATATATAGGTTGGCTATAAAAATATATAAATCTTACAACTATACTTAACTAATTTTGACAATTTTCATTGACTGTACTAAGGGCCTTTGTCTGAGACGCTAAAAAGATATAAACTGACAGCTTCTTTTTTTGGCATCTGTGGCTGTATTGCTGTGCCTGCATTATTATTTTCAGGGCATGCACCACCACTCAGTATAGCACTTGGTAATAATAAAAAAAAAAACTCTCCAAAGGTACTGTAAAATTGATGGTAGTTACATACTTTTATATTTTAATAGCCGGTGTGTCAGCTGTTGCTCCTTCCTTGTTTGTCCATTTCTATACGAAAGGCTACGTGACAAAATTGATCGTTTATGATGATATCAAAAATGTCGAAAAGGAAAGGAAACAACCAAAAACGATAAAAGACAAATTCATCAGTTTGGAGACGATATCCTTTCTTGGCAGGTCAAAGCAGGAGACCATGTGGTTATCACAGCTTGCATATGTATCTAGTGTAAAAGCGCTTATTTGGAAACAGAAAGTTGGGGCAAGACACACCTTCACATTAGAGAGACCGGTCATGGAAGCAGATGCTTACCTAAGAGCTCTAGTGAAACGAGTGCAAAGTCGAGAGGTAGCCTGAAAACCTGTACATGTACAGATCCTAACCTTATTTCACAGTTCATTTTAATTTTAAAATTCATGGTGGTGCAAACCAATGACTCTTAATAAAATGATTTGGATGCCACTATTGCTGTAAAATCTTTTCTCTTCTCTTTCCCTGCTGTAACTTTTTTCTCGAATCGTCCCTATTTTGGTTGCGTCCTTTATGCTTCAGATATCTTCCAAAAGCACTTCCGATAGAGCCAGTGATATAACGATAAAATGTAAACCTTCTCGTTTAAACCTTTCCACTTCCAAGTTAGCATATAAGAATGATAGCAGTAGGGTCGCTTCCAATGAATCGATAGCGTCTTCAACATCGCCGGCAGCAGGGCTTTTGTCACCTCGTTCGCCTAAATCAATAACAAAAACACGACGGTCTTCAGTTACAACAGACCATCATTTAAACGCACCACAAAGTTTTGTGGTCCAACAACAAGATTTTCGATCAAAATCTCAACGTAATAGCATGGTACATGTAACACCACAGCAAATGCCTTCCTCTCCAACAGCTACTTTGTCCGAAAAATTAGAGACCTTTAATTTTAATTACAAGCATAAAAATCATTCTTCTTCTTCTTCAAATACAATAGAAAATAGCGGGAGTAGTAATCGTAGTAACGCTACAGATAGTCGTAGTACCCGATCTTCTTCCTCCAAAAGCTCTTCAGAGTCTGTTACAGAAAATTTCATCATCAATCCTTTAGCTATACAAGCCATTAATAGTTTAAATGGACATTCGTCTTCTACAGTGCACAAAAATAAATCAACACGTTCAGCCAAAAAATTAGACCAGTTTTTTGTAAAACATCAGCAATCGACAAAGGAAATACTATGTTTAGAAGAAATTAAAAAAAGAGGTTTAAAAGCCATATTAGAATCAAAAGCACCTTTGTGTTATTTTTTGTACCATTCTTTAGAAGAATACAACAGTGAGAATTTGGTAAGCAATAACATTTTTTTGAATAGTTTCTTATCAGAAAACTGAGGTGCTTTTATCAATGTGACATTACAATATATAATTAGTTTTTCTACTTAGAATTACGACAGTATGAATTGTTTACTTACTCTTCTTTGGGTCAACAAACGGCTACAGCAAAACATATATTCGATACATATTTGACAAATAACAGCTTCTTAGAAGTGAATTTGGACGACGATATTCGCGTTACCATATTTAAATTGATCGAAAAGCGACAGCCAACTCTTTGCTTTGATACTGCGAAGGGTGCCATTTTTAATTTGTTAGAGTCAAGTTACATGCGATTTCAGAATACAGAAACATTTCAAGAAATGCTACATTATTGCTGCTGTGGTAAAATTAGTTCGTAATCAATCTGCTAACGTAAAACAAGATTATAACATGAGCATTATTCTCTGTTGCTTCATATAGACTGCGAAACAGCGGTAACAACGGCCTCCACATCCTCATCTTCTTCGTACTGTAGTGGCAGTAGTAATCATCATCATCACCATCATCGCCATCCTAACGAGAATAAGGCGGTAAAGGTTGCAATAAAAAAGCTGAAAAGTTACATAGAATTTGAGCATCGACGTATTTTTGCAGAGAAAGCGGTTTTGACCATGCCAGCCATCAGAAAGACAATGCTAAAGAGACATGAGCTGTTGAAATCGATGATAGTCGAGTTTTGTAAAAGCTTCATGGGAACAGAAATCTCAATAAAATGAATCAGGCATGTGGTCCCCGTTAAGAAATCAATGCCTCTTGTATCCTCTGTCTCATGTATTTTCATGCCAAAGAAAGGTAACTTTACCATAGACTTGCTCTCAAGAAAAAGGTCACATTCAGGCGCATATCACTAGCCCCATACGATGCGTATTGATCAACATGTTGACTTATCGGATAATTCTTCCTTTTTGGATGTTATGATGATCTCTACATTCATTTTCTCTCCTCTCTCTGTCATTTTTGAGCATATAACCTTACAATAAATATTCAGTAATGTTTGGAAAACATTAAATACTATATGGCCACAATAGATAATGCTGGATATATTGAACCGCTCATTACAAATATTGTATTTGATGAAGATGGACTGATTGTTTTGCTTTTTTAAAAATGACACAGAAAATGTGCGCTTTTTAACAGTTATCCTAAAAATGAGAAAAGCAGAAGAAGATGGAGCCTGATACGAAACATAAAGAAAGCTTTTAATACATTTTAAGAAGATTATGCGTGATGACAGATAACAATATGATGTATGTCTATAAGGCAATTAATGGTAACTATTTCAAAAATTGAAATTGCTTTCGCTACCAACGCAAACAGCGGGGTATTGAACAGAATATTGTAAACAATTGAACGGATTGCCTCCAAGAAAAAAAAAAGGACAGCAATACTGTAATGCAAGTATCATTGGAGGCGAATATCGAAGCTATGGATGTACTTTTGTTGTCCGGTCTCAGGGATAAGAATATATCTTTTTCATAATGTTTGAAAAAACAAAAAGAAAGATGGGTGAATTCTAGCATCTGTAAATAGCTGTGGTCCAGCACATGCGCGCGGTCTGTATTTATGCTTGTTACTCCTCAGTTAAAGGAAACAGTTCGTTTGTGTCAAAAATATCAACATGATTAGGTGGTGGAAAGTAAGGTTGTAATGGCACGCCATGCTGCTGTTGACGACGGCTCGATTGAAGTGAATACGTTGTTGTACTAGCTGAAACTGCTTTTTCTATTGAATCCAAGTTTTCAGCTACTGCATTATACGTTTCTTTAACTTTATTAATAATGCCCTACAAAAGGTGGATGTTATAATGATATTTGTCTTCTTGGGCTTCTTCTCCAAAAGTAATATTCTATACCTCTATGCGATCAATTTGATCAAAGACTGCTTCAAGCTGGTCTTGTTTTTCAATCAAAGCTTTTAATAGTTCGCTCAACTTCTCGTCTTTTTTGACAACCTGTAGCGTAACAAAACCTCAGTTACGTATTGACTCTTTTGCCGTCTATTTTAAATAGTAATTTACTACCTCATCTGTTTGTCGTTTTTTAACTTCAACTCTGTCGGAAAAGCCTTCAATCTTCTTGTTGATTGAGGCAACCTATGATTGACAATTTAGAAAGGAGGATGAACTGACTATATACTGATATGACAGGCTATTTAGAACCTACTGCTGTCGAGAAAACTGTATCTACAGAAAGACGATTGGCCAATTCCGCTGAAGATTCGCTGACAAGCGAATCCATTTCTATGTCTATTATTGCTTATTATAGAGCAGGAAAAAAGTTGAATTATTTCTTTAAAATTGCTGATGTGCAGAAAGCAAAAAAAAAGCAGACAACCAATCAAATGCTAGGCTTTCATTTATTAACACGTTTTAAGATTGCTTCACCGTTCATATTGTAACTTTCGTTTCTCTAACTCGCAGATTAACGTATAAGCAAGGGATAGATGGGTTCTTCAGATCTTAATTTAAAGAAATCGTGGCATCCCGCTACGTTCAAGAATCAGGAAAGAGTATGGAAAGAAGAACAGAAGAAAAAGGAAGAGGATCGTAAGATCGAGCAAATGAGGAAGGAGTTAGCTGAAGAGAAGCAGTTACAAGAATTGCAACGAATGCAGGAAGAAGCAGGCACAAAGTAAGAACAGTATCAATTCTGTAAGGTTCCTTTGAAATGACATAACCGCCTAACCTCTTTGTAGGAAACGATCAAATAAGTTAGATTGGATGTATGCTTCACCCAACGCTAATTTGAGTGGAAATGCAAACAATAGTATGGAGGAGTTTCTCCTCGGAAAAAAGAATGTAGATGATCTATTGCGTCAGAAGCAAAAAGAACAAGTGGTAACCAGTGATTGAAAGATAATCATTATTATAACGGAGTTATTAACAATAAGTTTCATTACCTTAGCAAGCAGCCACAGCAGCTGAAGAAGCACGATTTACTTTATCCAACTCAAATGCTAATACGGAGCGAGATATTCAAGCTAAAATTCGTGAAGATCCGCTGCTTATGATTAAAAAACGAGAGCAAATGGCATTAAAAGCAATTGTAGAAAATCCACTAAAATTGAAAGAACTCAAGAAAAAAGACAAGAAGGATAAAAAGGATAAAACGAAGAAAAGCAGCAATGGTAACAGTAGTTCGGAACATAAACATCGACACCATCATCATAGTCCCAGCAGTAGAAACAGGGATCGTAGCAAAGACCATCATCGAAGCCGCTCAAGTCGATACGATCACGATACAAGTAGACATTATAGTCCTGAGTCACGATCAAGGCGTAGAAGTCGTAGTAGAGATGATTCTTATGATAGAAAGAGACGAAGACGAAGCAGATCACCACGTCGCTATTAATAGCAAAAACAATCTTAGTAAATGAGAGCACTGGTGCATTAGCGCTGTTTAAGTTTTATTGTCGTTTATGTACAAATGGAGGTTCATTAAAGAAAGGTGAATAATACAGGATTTTTTTGTTATGCTTTCTGAGGGAGTAATTTTACAGCACTTTGTGGTTCACATGCTCAATGTTTAATGATGTTTGGTAGATGAGAGCCAGGTCTTTAAGAGTTGAATCTGCTTCAATACGGAAGATTTTGCTGTACCGCCGGGTGTATCACGATTTTCGATTGAGGTCTCAAAGTTCCAAACGGACTTCACATCTTCTTCGAAAGACGAATGAATTGATTTGAGATCGTCAAGTGTAAGTTCGCTTATAGAAGAGTTTTGATCTTCTGCCATTTTTACAGCAGCACCAGAGATATGATGCGTTTCACGGAATGGCACACCCTTTCTAACTAGATATTCTGCCAGATCCGTTGCCAACAAGTCTGCACTTAAACTAGCACGCATCTTTTCTGGGAAAATTTGCATGGTATTGACAACACCAGCTGTGATTTGCAATGAGCCCGACAAAATGTGTGCAGCATCAAACATAGGCACTTTGTCTTCTTGCAGATCTTTGTTGTAAGTGCTGGGAAGCTTTGAATACATACACATAAACCCAGTCATCTAGTAGTTATCCAAAGTTGTTTTTCAGTAAAATGATAACAAGTAAACCTTCTTTGCCATATCTGATAAAATACTTACATCACCAAAAACAGTTCCGCATTTACCACGCAATAATTCTAAGCTATCAGGGTTTTTCTTTTGAGGCATCAAACTAGACCCTGTACTGTATGCATCTGCCAATTTGACAAATCCAAACTCACTTGTAGAATAGATAATCAAATCTTCAGAGAGACGAGAGATATGAACCATGGTCATGTTGGCCCAGAACAAAAACTCTGCAATGAAATCACGATCGCTCACCGCATACATCGAATTATGAATAATATCGCGGAATCCTAATTCTTTCGCCAAAAATTCACGGTCTATTTTGAAAGCATGACCTGCTAAAGCACCACAACCCAATGGTAAGACGTTCAAACGATCAAGTAACTGCTCTAACCTTTGGGCATCTGATTGCAAGGACCAAGCATAGGAACATAAGAAGTGAGACCATCGGATGGGTTGTGCTCGTTGTAAATGGGTATAACCAGGCATAATCACGTCTATTTCCTTTTCGGCACGAGCTATTACAACAGCAATTAATTCCTTCAGATGGGCCAACAATTGAGTGGCGGTTTCACGCAACCAAAGTCGCATATCCGTGGCTACTTGATCATTTCGAGAACGACCTGTATGCAACTTTCCAGCAATATGGGTGCCGATGATCTCTCCTAGACGACGTTCGTTGGCTGTATGTATATCTTCATCACCAGGCTGTATCTTGAATTGTCCCTGAGACCACTCTTCCATGACTTGAGTTAAACCACGAACCAGTTCGTCACGTTCATGTTCAGTGAGAATGTTATTCTTGGCAAGAGCTTTGGCATAAGCAATAGATCCAATGCAGTCGGCTTCATACATGCACTTGTCGAATTTGATAGAAGCATTAAATTCGTCCATGAGAGGATCCACAGCTCCAGAAAATCGACCTCCCCAAAGCTTTTTCGGTGTGTTGGTATTGTTGGTCATAGTACTATCTTTTAATTTTTAGAGAAGAAAGTGCAAAAGAAGATGCTTTTCGATATTGAAAAAACGAGTCTACTTAAACTCGGTTTTTATCCAAAATTTCGACAGATGACTCACATTTCATAACAGGTTTGTAACTCAATTTTTTCAAACTCCTCATAATGTGGGGTAAAGAAGGAACGAAAGATAGCAGAAAAAAATTTATCACAAAGATACGACTTGATAAACATATAAATACAAAGTAGATTAATAAACGTATAGTACAAGCAAACGAAATTCTAAAGATCTATCTACAGAAATAAAATAATGTTATATAGCTTAAAGAGAGCGAAAGAGAAAATTAAGAGAAGGTGCTCTTCTATTTACGTAAAAATCACCATAGGAGTTACTGTTTCACGGAAGACGGATCCTAGCATGTTTTCGTTTTTCAGGTATTCTAAAGGGAATTGAACAAGATGCCCGCGAATTTTAAATAATTTTTGTCGAATATCACGCCCATGTAACTCGGTATCAGCAATATGGCCATGAGGAACTATGGTAGGGTCTGGTAAAAATTTACGATGTTGTTCAAAAGTGTGAACAGTATCATCTGGAACACAGCGAAACAGTTCTCTATAAATAAGTGTATTACTCTTTGCTGTTCCATCCCAAATGGTGTTGAAAAAGTGAGAGTCCAATGGGTCTAAAGCTTTTGCTGCCATGAGTTGCACATGCCCTTCAGCACCGTTGTTGACATTACCAAAGTCATCTTCATGGTCATTTTTACTTTTGTTGACATGGATAGGATAGTGGGTGCCTGATCTCCGTTGGTGTTCTAATACTTTGTTAGGTCCTAATGATTCAACTGCACGAATTTCCTCTTCTGTTACTTTCTCATTGGTATGATGCGTTTCAATTGGTTTATCAACGTCAATGTTAGGCTTCAACCGTGCTTTGTCCTCGATAAGGTCTTCCCAATTGTCAAAATCCAAAAGGCCTAAATGCTCTTTAAATAGTTGCATACGTAGAGACAAGGCGAATTTAGCTGCTTTAAATTCTTTACCATTCATGTAAGAAGGCACCATATCAGTATCTTCAATTATCATAGCAATCTCTGAATCACGATTGCCAAGCATGGATCGGTCATTGATATTAGCTGAGCCAACAATTACTATACGATCGTCAACAATCATGATTTTATCATGTATATAGACCAAGTCGCACACATAATATTCCTTATCATCATCGTCCCCAATCGATTTTTCAGAAGGTGCTTTGACTGAAGGTTGCGAAGCGGCTGAATGGGTATCGTTTAAAGAGCTATCATGTAATTTTGTTGATGAGTTGGTATTACAACCGCTATTGTTGCTATCGGGGCTATTATCGTTGTGCTGATTTATCCACTGGGTAGGGTTCAGTTTGGTAGTTGCAGATGCGCCTCCTTCACCTATTCCTCCAGCGGCAGCAGCGGCAGCCACACCAGCAATCATAGACGAGGAAGCTCGACTCGTTGTTCTCGGAACAGTGGTTGGTTTATCACTACCTGAAGTCATTGACTTTTTCCGAGGGATCAATTTATCCCAATTACGCAAACTGTACCAATGAATGTAGTCGGAAGCTTTAATTCCGGCTTCTTGCAACTTCTCTATGATAGACCTACCACCACGACAAATAGTCATATATTGAAAGTGCATTACATTTCGAGCTGCTGCTGCGTCTTTCGAAGCCAAATCACCTTCAAATGCTGGAATCAACGGCATGAGCACTATAACTTTGAAATTTTCTCCTTTTTCATGTGCTTTCTTGATACGTTCCACGATCGCCTGTGCAAGTTTGTTACGCAGCAATCTGTCTTGGCCTGTTGCACTAACTATGGATGGAGAGGGTATGAATATACAGTTATCAAACTAAGAAAAAGAATTCATCGAGGCCCATAAACTTACTGAAGAATTGATTTTCAATGTAAATGAAATGCTTTGCTTTTGTTATGCATTCCATATAAGCGTTGTAAATTGAATGCTCGCGTTCGATGCCTGAGCTCCACTGTGCTGAACTACGTAGAATTTGCACACGACAAGTGCCTTTGAATGCAGACTCATCACGGGCAGCTACATACTCACCCTTAGGCATCAAAAATGGGACTGAAGGTCGATGCATACCTTTACTTGCTTTTAAGAAATTCCAACGCTGAATGAAGTGCCGAGCTACATCTCTAGCAACTGGTCCTACCATACCAACATTCATATCATGCCACGGTAAGCGTGGTGTTACGTTTCTATCAATGAGGGTCAGGTCATATTGAGCAACTATAAAACAACATGTTAGATTTAAATGCTAAGAACGCATAAACAGTATAAAGCATAGGCATGAATGCTTCTATGTCTTACCGCTGATAAAGTCTTTAACGCGAGGGTTTGAGTAATCTTGACCTGGAAACACTTCATCCGTATGTCCTTCTGCAGGATAATCAGTTAAGCGATGCTTTTGTGAATCATAACGACTATAAGTGGATGTGAGAAAAAAATATGAGGCTTTCGCTGTTTGTTGGTTCTTTGATATGGACGTACCCCCAGCAAAGATCAAGGCCGCCAAGGAAAGCTAATCGATTATCTACCACCACAATTTTCTATTTAAAAATTCATACTACAAGGTTTAGCATACATAAATCAAACTTTGAGCTAAAATCCGAATTTCTGGAATGAAAGTTTATACCTCATGATGTGACCAAAAGAGGACATTATTGTCAATTGAACGATGATCTGGATGTCGTACAACTATAAAATCAAAGAGTAAGTTGCGTTGATCTACATATGTTATGTAGATCGTTTTCAATAAACTGGTATCTTACCGACAATATTTTTATGCAGGCTTTGAAGCCAAGACTTTGTGTGGGCAGAATTTATACTAAGTGCAACCGACATTTCTTTGTAAATGATAATATAGACTTTTACACCTTCTTCTGCTTTACGTTGCAATAATCGATCCAATCTAAACTCCTGGTTCTTTTCTGGTGGTCTGCGTAAATACTAGATTAGATAGAGCATATAGTCAGCGTTAAAATTACATAAGAATTCGTACACCTTTATCAGCTTGACATTGTTACCAACTCAGGTGATAGCCACCAATCACAGATATAAATTTCAGATTTTGCTGACAAAATAGCTTCGCCGATCGCATTAAAATGATCTTCACCATCAATAAACCATCTAATTTTTGAATTATGCCTTACAGGAGCAAAGGAGCCGAAACGGTGATTTTTAAGCCAAGGACTGTTGTTCAAAACGCGCTGTATACTTTCCATCCACTCCTCCACCTCTCTTCGTCCACCCTTGATTTCGATACGTCTGAATCGATTTGCTAATGTAATGTGATTATGGTATTTGCCCAGAAGTCCTGGCTTCTTATTCTGCACAACTAACGATTTATCAAATAGAAACACATCATTGACTGTTGTTGATGCTATATCCGATATAAAGGCAATATAAGAATCACGCAATAGCACCCATTGTGTGTTCCAAAAGTGAGGCTTTAAAACATGGCATAACCGTGGCACGACAAAATTGACCTTGTTTTCTAAAAACCCTTCCTTGCCTTTCCATCCCATATCCTCAACAATACTGACAGCGGATATTTCCAAGAATTCACAAAGATCGTAGTTGGGCATCATGTGTGATCTGAGCAAGAGTTGACGTAGATATTTTGTTAATGCTTTTCGACGTCGTAAGGCCACTTCGTATTTCTCTCTTTCTAAGTCAGAATCTCTCTTTTCACCGGCATGGGCTGCTGTGGTAGTAACATCAGCATGGTTTTGCTGAAGGATCGAGCCTTTGGCACTTGTTAGCCAAGCTTGTAGCTGATTTGGAAAATTAGGTGGACTTGGTACGGTATCTCTAAGCCTGGATTTGAATTTAAGCGTATAATGGAGACTGACAAAATCGGCAATGGTGCGCTTGATCACCCATTTTATATCGCCATACTGTAATTCGATACGAAAAACCCATTGATTTATACCCTGGGTGAGTAATTCCGAATCTGTAACTGCCAACTATTTCAAATACGGATGTATCAATGAGATTTTTGTTACTGGCGTTGAGAATAGAACAATGATGTAATCGTACCTTTAGAAATGGAAGTAAAACAGCTGGCTGATAGAGACGTAAGCAATTTATCAAAAAGAGAGTAGTTTGTTCGTTAATTGGAAAAGATCCTCGCGATACAAAAGAGTCGCCTTTTCTATCTTTCTATTCTAATAGTAATTTCTTACCCAAGGTTTTTCATGTTGGTCTTCGCCAAAAGCAATGAATATCGGATCAAATAATGGTGGGTAAAAAGGAATCAGTGCTGAAGATGATACTGTGGGCTGTTCAATTTGATGAGGTAACGTATGAAGATTAGCAATTAACCGAACTTTGTCTAACGTCTTTCCCCAATGCTTTTTGGCTGCTCTCAAACTGCTTCCTCTTGTTGGTGGTTGTGGTCTATTTTCAATATTTGAGGCAGGTAGAACAGCTTGATCTTCTTCATTTACTACATCTGTAGATGGCGCTGTAGTATCATGAAGATGAACTTCACTTTCTCTCCTTTTCCGTAATTCGTTTAATTTTTTCTTGAGTAGTTTCGATTTGCTTTTATCGCCTCTTTCTTCAACGTTAGTAGCTGCCACGGTGGCAGGTTCCAGTGTAGGTGTGGCAGGACCGGAGCTCTCAGCAGTTGAAATTGTTTCATTTAAATTTGGCGAAGAAGTTTCAAAGGGTTTGGTGAAATAACTTGGTTCCTCCTGCTGTTGGTCTGTTGGTTCTCCTATGTCATCCTGCTGAGTTGTCCTGGTTGTCTGTTGATGCAAATCAGATGTGTCTGGTAAAATATCGTCTTCATTTTCCATACCGTAAGGCTGAGTCGTCATCTCGTACGATTCACCGCTTGTCTTGCTACCAGCATTGACAAGCTTTTGTCGAAGACGGCGTCGAAAATCATGCAAACGACTATCATTGTCGAATTGACTAGTATCGTCTGTAGCTGATTCATACGCATCAGAGTCTTCGTCTTCACTACTACTTCTTACCCTACTATGACGGTTATGTCGATGATGACCGTGTACACTAGGTAAACGATTCAATACTTTCTTCCACTGCTGTTTAGGATCAAAATCGGTTGGGTTATGCTGTTGATGCTGTTGGGAGAATGGCCGACGGCTATATTTTACAGAGCCGGGCGACTTGCGGCCATTCGATGAGGAGGAAGCATCGTAATCGCCCTTTTGCGTGGTGATTCCTGGATTAGGATCGAGCTTCTGCTGTCGTGCTCTTTCAGCAAAATACTCTTGTGAATCAGCAATGGGGTTCGACATGAATCGTCCAAATGTCGCTTATTGAAAAAAACTGAACGTGGGCTTCCGTCTGCAAACGGTCTCTGAAAAGGACGATAAACAAAAGAGATGGATGAAATGTAGAGTAATGAAAATAACAGGTTTTTTACAATAAAAATGACATTTAAAAAAAAAAAAAGTAAACAAAAGTTCAACAACTGAGTTTGACCCAAAAAATACCAAAAAAGAGGGCACAAGACCCTTTTTTCCATTTATGGCAACCGCTTTTTTGCATTATTTTCTTTTTCTTACAAACAAAGCAATAAAAATAGCCTTTTGTGTGTATATGTTAGAGCAATTACAGCAAAAAAAGAGATCAAATGCATATCAATGTCTATTTTTGTCGACTGATTTTTCTCGTGATATTGATGAGATCATGATTTTGCTGTTACACCCTTTTAGTTGCACAATTAAATGCATGAACGGGCAGAAAATTCAATACAATATTTTAGCTCGTATTTTAGATGATTTACAATTCTTAATGGACAATTACATTTAAATTTAAATTTATTAAAATAAATTTTAGAATAAAGTTTATAGTATTTTGGATATCGAATTTGGATAATCAATTATTCAGTGATATCCAAGCAGCATTAAGGATGTCATACAATCGAACCCTAGAAATGAGTCTCTATCAGTAAGAAAGTTGCCAATAATGGTTTTATTGACGTTATCTTGCAATAGATTGAACTACAAAAAGCTTGACAACTTTTTCATGATATGATGATGTGTTCCAACAAAGGTTTGATTCAACCTCAAAGAATACTATTTGTGTGAGAAGTGTCAGGAAGTGGAGGCTTGAGAAGTACTCGGAATCACTCAGAATGGTACCACTGATTGTGTTTGGTGCTGGTATGTTTGGCAAAGATGCAGTGAAGTTGAAAGGGCAAAGATGCGGTGTTGTCGGTAAACCTTTTGCAACTCTGAGGAAACGTGAAGCTAAAGGTCAATTGATGGTTGTCACAATCGATGAATTTAAAACCTCTAAAACATGCAGCCTCTGTTTCTATGATGATATGCAAATTGTTGATACTCCTGGATTCAAAGGTACCGGCGTTCTTCATTACAAACAATGTCTAAAACTATGGCAGAGAAACATTAACGCCGCTATCAATATGATGACTATATCTCAAGCAGTTTGGTCTGGAGCGGGAAGACCCGACGTTTTCAATCCAGCGAACAAGAAGAATGTATCGCCGTAATAAACACGGTTTCCTTATATTTTAAGGATTTAGATCATTACAGGTGAGGAATAGTACCCTTTTTTTTTTCCTGTTTCGCATTACTGACAAGTTTTTGAATTTGAATCATTGTTTGAACGGTTTATATTTTCGTCTACAACACAATTTCAACTTGTCTAAAATGAAAATATTAATCGTCCAAAAAAAAAAGTATTTTAAAATACAGTTTTTGCGTTGCCAACACTACTCAATTGAAATACAGCTTTCGAATTATGCTATGCCAACATTCAATATGGCTTTAACATCTTGAATAGTATATGATCATTTGCTGCAGAAATGGTTACATTATAACCGGTAATCATACTGCAAGCAAGTCAGGCATAAATAAATGATATAATTTTTTGATACAGTATCCATGTTAACTTTTAAAATCCAATGTCATTTCAGCTGTTCAGTTTATTAAAAAGAACAGGGCAGCATTCAGAAATAGTGATTAGTTCAGTAGCTTTAAGAAGCAGACATACTACTCGAACCAATCTATGTACAATCTAACGTGGTCTCGAAGGCTACCAAAGTGGCGGTTGTTCTGTTGATTGCGGCTGGATTATTGTATGTTGATGTTGTGGAAGGAATGGATTGTGCGATGTAGTTGAAATGATAGGTAGAGTGCTGGCTCGGATGGGCCCGTTATGCCTAGAATCAGAATATAAATGTTGTTGCTGGGTATTAACGCTGTTATTGCTTGATACAGCTATTGAAAGGAAAAGTGAATAATACAAATCAGCATCCACGAAAAGAACTGGGCTTCATTACTTTTCGTTTTCACTCACCATTATCAACAAGGTCTTGCGACGATGTGTGTGCATATGATCTAAAAGGATTGTTGTTATTGAAGGTGCTATGAGCATTGTTATTGCTACTGTTCACTAAAATATTAAATGGATTTGCAGGGTTCAAAGTAGTAGGCATTGTGGCTGAGCGAGAATAATACTTTGTAGGTGATTGCTGTTCTACTGTTGTAGAAGTACTAGGGAGCTGCGACTGTGACGATGAATATAAAGATATACTAGGGGGAGGCACCTGATGTTGTTGCGTCGATGATAGTTGTCGTCCTTGTGGTACGGGTGAAGATATTTCAGAACTCTCTGTGCTACTTAATGTTGGCGTCGGTACAATATGCTCTTCTGTTATTTCAAGTTGCTCTTGGAATAGCTTCTTTTCCCATTTATCTCTTATAAACTTCTCCATTAATCTAATAGATGTGTAAATACATTAGAACTTTAAGCTTTTCAGTAGATGGATCGTGCTCTGTAAAACATCAAACTGTACAAATCATCATCCGTTGTCAGGGGCAATTTTGCTTTGAAGTTGACATGCTTATTGACTGCCTGGTTTCCGCCGAGCGCTTCTATATTCTGTGGTGACAAAACAGAAAAATTAAATGAAAGTAATAAAAAAAAAAGCTCATTTCGGAAGAACCGTATACCTGAATCTCTTGCAATGTCCAACAGTCCATACTCACTGACTTTACTTTAGAGATATGTGTACCCATTTTCCTATGTAGACTAGCACATCGTACGCATAAGAGCACACCTAACGAGTAAGATGCCCAGCGTGGATCTTTTTATATTGGTCAGTTGAATTCCATTTATGAGGGCTCTTGTGGACCTCTACACAAATCTTACTTCTCGCTCCACAGTCAGCACAACGATCATTTCCCGGTAATTTGAAAAGCTTGTCGAGTTCTCTTTCGACTCTTATTTGGTAAGCTTTAGATTGTTTTTGGTGCATTTCAGTGTATTTTATAAAATTACTAACGAAATAGAAAAGAAAAACGATGATCCCCACCATTCTTTGGCAAAAATGGAATTTTGTTTGTTGCACATCATTGAGTTTGAAATAGAATGTGAAAACGAGATAATTTTGCATTTTCATAAGAAATATTACTGCTTGTCCTCTCCCTTTATTATCATTACTATAAGAATTAAAACAGCAAATGCATGCTAGAAATAAAATGCCCTTGTCAGGTATCAATGTCTTTGAAATGGCAGGCCTTGCACCAGCTCCTTTTGCTGGCTTGATTTTAGCTGATTTTGGTGCAAACGTTATTCGTATTGACAAGACGGAAAGTTTCAATGCAGACGTTTTAAACAGGTGATAGCAGAGAATCAAGGTTTCAGAACAAAGCACTCCATTTCTCAACATGTATTGGGTATTCTATAGGAACAAGCGTTCCATTGCTCTAGATTTGAAAAACAAACTATCCATTGAGACGTTGTTAGAGCTTTTCAAAAAAGCAGATGTTTTGTTAGATCCATACCGTCCTGGTGTCATGGAGAAACTAGGACTTGGCCCTGACACTCTTCTCAAAAATAATCCCCGCTTGATCTATGCAAGGTTAAGTGGATATGGACAGTCTGGATCAACAGCAGCAGGGCACGATATCAATTATTTGGCAATTTCTGGTGCCTTGAGCGTAAGTATCAGTGAAATTTTCTGTGTGTTGACCAAAAGGTCCATCCATACTTGGAGCTCAATGTACCACGTAGTTTATGGGTAGGAAGAGTGAAGCTCCCTTCTTTCCAGCGAACATGTTGGCGGATTTCGCAGGCGGGGGACTTATGTGCGTAATGGGTATCTTGATGGCTCTTTTTGAGCGTACACGGTCGGGTTTAGGTCAGGTGATTGATGCCAATCTAGTAAGTCTGACTTTCATGCGATTTCAATTTACTTAATGAGTTTGTGCCATGTGTAAATCTTATGAATAAATAAGACTGCAGGCACGGCCTATTTGGCTACGTTCCCATATCTGATGCAGAAATTTGGTTTAATCTGGGAGGGTAAAAGAGGAAGCAATATGCTGGATGGCGGCGCACACTTTTACGAGACTTATCAAACAAAAGATGGCCTTTATATGGCAGTGTAAGTGTAATTAGAAACTTTATATATATATATATATGTATATCATGTCTGGCGATTGAGAGTCTCTAATAATAACCAAACCCTATTGCACAGAATAGTGGTGCAATAGAACCACAATTTTACGCCGCCCTAATTGGCAAACTTGGATTAGATCAAGCTACCTTACCGAATCAAATGGATAGAGAAACATGGCCCTCAATGAAAAAGCGTTTCCAAGACATCTTTTTGACAAAGACGCAAAGCGAATGGACTTCTATCTTTGAGGGATCGGATGCATGCGTAACACCGGTCTTATCCTTCAACGATACGAAAGACCACAGTCATACTACTACCAAGCTTAATGACAATAGTCAGCAATGGCCGAGGCAAGCTGCACCACCGCAACCTGCACCCATTCTACATCGAACGCCTGCCATCAAAAGCACTTCAGCCGATACGGATCTCGATCATGCGTTTCTTGAGCCTGGAAAGAATTCTATGGAAGTGCTACTGGAATTCAAGATTGAAGAAAATCTGATAAGAAGACTTCTTGCATCAGGTGCCTTGAAAAGCAAGTCAATGCTGTAGCGATGAACAGGGGGCGAAGTAGATGGTTAAGGAAATCTGATAAACTTTTCTAGACCCTTTTTATCATGCAACCTTAATCGGTAATCGTTTAATTCTCAGCAGGAATATCACTCCATTCCGTAATAAAAAGAGCGGTTCTTTTTGTCCTCAGATAGATTATGAAAACCCAAAGCTATGACAGGATCTGCTAAGCGCAGATGATACTCAACGACTATCATCTCCGGTTTTTCAATCAGTCTTGATACCCAATTTGATACATAGGATTGCTTGGCATTATCACTGCTAAAGCTGTAGCTTCCTTATCCGAGCAAATATGAAACGTGGCACTAAAATTAATGCCGTCATTGTTTGGTTCCTGCCATATCTAACACATTGAAATTGTTCAGAATAATTTTTCTTGGTGTTTTTACATGAGCTTACTTTATTTTTTCCCTTTTTCCTTTTATCCAACGACATTCACCTAGCCATACCTCATTAGCAAATGAGTGAAAATCGACATTCACCACCGACAGATCAGCCGCCGGGTTCACCGCCTCCTCCTGAATTACCTCCAAGAAGAACCACACCACAATCGTCTTTTATTGAGGAAGAAAAGGCAACTCCTGAACCTCCTCAACGCCCACAGAAACAACCACAGTTATCTTCTTTACCTACAGTCGATGAGCAGCCTACCATCCCTCCTGCTCTACCACAACGCCATTCTATCACGCCTACTACAAATTTGCCTACCTCAATTGATACAGCTACCCTTACAACAGCAATACCTCCCGCATCCATCACTGCACCAAACGAACTACGACATCGACAGCAACAGCAAAAAACAGTCATAGCTGATATTGTACCTGATTTACATGGAATAGCACCGAGTCAAGGTCTCTCTACAGACATCCACACACATGATGCGAGCGATACACGGCAAACCATTAAAGTAGCAGAGCGAAAATCAGTGCCTCCGTTTCCAGGCACTTATCAGACACAGCAAAACTCGCGCCGCCCAGATTGGTACCGTATAGGTTGGAATGCAGCAAATAAAAAACGTCGCAGAAAAAATGGAGGAGGGGCAAAATACGATGCTTTGGACGAATGGCTGCCTGACTTTTTTTATGGAGCATGGTACCATCACGGTATAGCACTCTATCTCACGGCTTTCGTTGCTTTCTTCCTGGCAAAATTCAATGCAGGAATAGGGTCTTTAATCTTGTTCTGCTTATGCATAGGTAATTGAAAAAAAGTGTCGTTGTTTTCTGTTCCAAGCACGCAACAAAGTCCTAAACCCGTCCCACCCCCCAACCCCTTTCTTTTTTCTTTTTTAAAAGCCAATTACTATAGAACGAGTATAAGACGATTTCGTGCAAATGCTCGTGACGATATACAAAGAGAAATATCGAAATACAGAATGGAATCAGACGAAGAAACCGTCGAATGGATGAACAATTTTATCGAAAAATTCTGGCTGATATTTGAGCCAGTCTTGAGTGCACTGGTTGTTGAAAACTTGGACAACTATATCACGGACTATTTACCATCATTTTTGGATTCCATTCGCTTGTCAACATTTACTTTGGGCTCAAAGCCGTTCCGAGTTGAAACAATCAAAACCTACGCCGACGCTGAGCCGGACACTGTGGTAAGATAAATAGGAAAGGGGAACAACCTTTGTGAATCAGGTCAGCAGCAATTATCTAATGTGCTTATCCTAGTCTATGGACTGTAAAGTATCATTTATTTCGCATGATCTAAGTGATTTATCTTCTGAAGAATTGAATAGCAAAGTGAACCCTAAAATTATAATGCAGGTGCGTTTCGGAGGTCGACGTGTTGGTGCAGGATTTCCTGTCCTATTGGAGGATTTAACCTTTGCAGGCCATTTAAGGGTCAAAATCAAGCTTATGAGTCGATACCCCTTCATGAAAACACTTGAAGTTAGCTTTTTGGATAAACCCGAATTTGACTACGTTTTAAAACCTCTGGGAACAGATACCTTTGGATTGGATGTCAACTTTATCCCAGGTTTGCAGAGCTTCATTCGTGAGCAAGTGCATAACATTCTAGGTCCTTTGATGTACGCGCCTAACGTTCTTACTGTCGATGCTGAAAAAGTTTTAGCTGGTGATTTCGATTTTTGTAAGTGATATTCATTGATTATTAGCCGGGCACTTTTCCAATTGTAATGACAATATTCATTCGCCATTGTAGCTTCTGCAAACGGACTGCTCGCAGTAACAGTTTACTCAGCTGAACGCATAAAAAATATTGATGATCTTGTCGATGAAGCACCCAACCCTTACGTTCGATTTTATTTGGACCATGGACAAGAGTTGGATCGCACTTCAGTCTGCGAAAATACTTATTCACCCGTTTGGAATGAGACACGGTATCTCAAGCTGAATAACTTGAATTCTCTTTTATCTATGGAATTGAAAACTTCTCGAAACGGATTCAAAGATAGACGTTTGGCGACAGCTAATTTCGATCTGTCTCAGCTGGATGATGAAAGTCAGGCTGAACAGGAGGGATTGTGAGTATCCAAGCATTACAATTTTGGTGTCCATCGTTGTATATGCGAGATATTGATGGATCTTTTTGAAATAGGAACCTATTGTTATTGCGTAATGGCAAGCATGTGAGTGATCTTCGCGTGGATATTCGCTATTTGCCTATTTCCAAATCTACGAAACGGGATGACGGTACTATTGAGCCTGCTGTTGATTCTAGTAAGTAAATCCTTGCGTACGCGATAAGCCTTGAGAAGAGCCCCTACTGACTTTTTAACTATTTCCAATAAGACTCTGGTGTTCTTCGCTTAGTCATTCATGAATGCCGTGATCTCCAGTCACTTCATGGCAGTATCAGCCCCTTTGTTCGTATCATTGTCAATGGAGTTGAAAAAAAGAAAACAGCTGTTATGAAAAACAAACGAGATCCTAAATACGAAGAACCTTACGAAATTGTGGTTTTGGACAAAACAAGCTTTTTTATACGAGCTGAGATTATAGATCATGCTAACAATGACAAGTTATTGGGCACTTTCACTTCTTACTTATCAGATATGATGCAACTACAAACAACAAACTCCAGTTGGTGGAAGCTCATGCATGAGGACAAACAAGTTGGAGAGTTGCGGTTAAGCGCAGAATGGAAGCCAGTGATGATGACAGGTCTTTCAGATATCGCTAATATTCATGGCTTTGATCGTAAGTAGTGATTTTATTCATTGAGAGTTTTCAAGTACTTACTGATTCCAACAACCTTAATCAAAATTCAAAGAAGCACCTATTGGTGCTATACGCTTCACCTTTTGGGAAGCTCGCGACCTGCGTAATGCTGGTATGGGAGGCAAGAGTGATCCCTATATTCGTGTGTTATCCGGCTCCCAAATAAGAGCTCGTACTGAAGTTGTTGAAAATAATCTTAATCCAGAATGGGGTGCAAGTCTATATGTACCTGTCCATTCTCTCAAGGAGATTTTTGTACTCGAAGCCATGGACTGGAATGCAAAGTCGAAGGATAAATCATTGGGTATGACGGAATTTAAGGCGTCTGAAATTATTCAACAACAAATAGGCAACCAAAGTGTCAACCCTGATGTATGGTATGAAGCGAACGCAGCCAACTTTAACAAGTAAGAAATATCTGATTTTTTTCACGCAATTTTGACAGAGTGAAATGTACCTTTAAACTGTTTTGTTTCTTTATTGCAGATGGCAGCGTCTTCGTTCCATTGATAGGCGTAGTACTAAAGGCGAGCTTCACTTTTCTGCCGAGTTCTTCCCAGTACTTACTTTACCAAAGTCTGTCGAAGAAATTAGCTCGATAAATAATCAGGCTTCTTCTCGCATAGAAAATTCAACAAGCACCAACGATACCCATAATGTTGCAACTGTATCTGCAATGCCTTTGCGAGGACTTCACGGTTCTTATATTCGATATACACCTGATGACTTGGTAGATCTTGGTTCCTATAATTCAGGTGTTCTGAAAATTAAGATAATGGACGTACAACTCTCCAGCACTGCCTATTGTTATTGTCAGGTTATTGTGGACTCGCTTATGCCTTGTTACAAAACTGCCAAGCTACGTGGTTTTGATTTAAAATTCGATGAATATGCCGATGCCTTTATCAAAGAGGCTGACTTTTCGCGAATTGCTATTGAGGTTAAACCTGCGCATTCTACTGAAAAAGATATTCATAAGTTAGGTCATTGGATAGATTCTGGATCGGCTATCATCCGTCGTATCATGAAACGCAAACGTTTAGGATTAGCTGATGACGATGAAGGCACTTGGTTCAATTTAATAGGAACAGATGGCCCAGCCAGAATTAAGCTTAGTTTTAGATATGATCCCATGGAAAGCTTCGTGCTAAACCCCGATGAGAGCTTAGACAGTAAGTTAAACGCAAGCTATCATTCAGATGCATTGGATTGGAGTCGCTCATAAGTTATTGACTGTATCTTTTGTTGCGAACCTCAGATCAAGGTAATTTGACGGTGGATCTTCTCAGCGCTAAAAATCTTATGGCTGCCGATAAGTCGGGTACAAGTGACCCTTATGTTGTCTTTACGGTCAACGGCGAAAAAGTGCATAAAAGTGAAACCATAAAGAAAACTCTAAACCCTAAATGGCGTAACGAACGGTTTACCGTCCCTATTGTAAGTAACAATTGTGCTGTATGACACAAAACCAATGAAATGGCTAAACATAATCTACTATTTTTTTTTTCTAAACGATAGCAATCGAGAGTTACCGCAAGTATTAGAATCGAAGTATTTGATTGGAACCAAGTCAAGGGCCATACAAGCATCGGCTCTGGTGGTATCACTCTGCGCGGTGACGCTGTTGAATCCTTTGGTTCACGTCTAGTTGATATACCCCTCGATGGTATTGCAGGTGTTTCAGGCACTGTGCAGGTTCGTTTTACATGGCAGCCACAATTGTTAGCTTCTAATAAGCGGCAGAAAACATCGGTACTAGCAACAACACGTACTTACCTTCATGACGATGTTAATCTTGAAGCATCAGGTCCACTTATCCGTGATTCTCGATTGACAGTTGGTACAGTCGGAAGCAGCGGTATTTCATCCACAATTGAAAGCGAGGGGGGTGGAATAATCACTTCGCCAAGGTCGTCCTACGAGGAATCTAATCAATCACGAGCAAGTTTCGATGATAATGCATCTATAAGTGCACTCAGCTTTGCTGACACAGCAGCCTTAAGTGACGCCACTGGTAAACCAGGTATTGTAACGATAACACTTATCGAAGCTCGTGGTTTACGTGGCGTCGATAGAAGCGGAACAAGCGATCCTTACGTCCGTGTCTCAACAAATCGTGGACAAATATACAAGACAAAAATCATTCCCAAAACATTAGCTCCAGTGTGGTAAGTAGAGACTCTCTCTTTCAATACGCCAAAGAAGACGATAGTAATGATTTACCCTTACGTTAGGAATGAAACATTCAATCACGGAGTAGGTGGAGAGCCTTTCGTTTTTGATTTTAAGGTCAAGGACCATAACAAATTTAAATCATCCGTCGATCTTGGTCATAGCACGATCAATATTTGGGATTTGATTAAGCCGGATCTACCTGGCGGTGATACCTTTAGTCAATGGTTACCATTATTCCCTCCTGGAAGCGGTGAGATTGCGGTACATGTTCAGTTTAAACCAACTATGTGAAACTTTTAACATAGAGGTTGACCTCTCTTTTCTTAAGGTAATGCTATGCTTCGGTTTAATTCTAATAGTTGGGCTTTTATTATTATATCTAATCGATGTGAGCAAAGGTATAAAATTTTGGAGGAGGGAGAAAATACTTAGATGTTAAATACTATATATATACATATATAAAAACTGCACGTGGAATGTAAAACAATCCACATACTTTTAAAAGTGTCATTTCTATTTACAAAAGTGATGCTTATTTCAAGTTATTCACGCGTCGATATTTGAATGCAGTCTTCTTCGGATCCCTGCGGCAAAGCTGCAGTAACTTTTCTTTCGCTTCTTCATCTTCTAATTGTATTGTTTTATTGTATGCTGGCAATATTTCGCTTAATAAAGGAAGATTCATTGCACAGCGATTTATTTCAGTTGACAAAATACTGATTGCATTCTTTAGGTTATCCGCTCTACGAAGAGTTTGTTTGGTTAGTTTCGTCTTAATTATTAGCAGAAATTGATCTTACCTCGCTAAAGTGTTTGTCATCAAAACAGCCATCTTCTGCTGCTGTTCTGGAGTCCACCCTTCGCTGAATGCAAGCGCATATTGCTTGGCTTCGACCGCTTTTTTGTTGATTAAACTTTGATCCTCATCGCTGTCATCTTTGATCCTCTTTTCCAAGAATTCTTGGTAGTCCTCCCAAACCTTCCAAGCCATTATGGTATCCTTCTGCTTATAACAATAATCGAGCATATGGAAAAAGGTGAATGCATTACGTTCAACATCATACTTGTCAAAAAGATCGTCATAAATATGGATGATTTTACGTGCTGGTTGTTTCTGGGAGATATGTACAGTAAGATAGGCGGTTAATAGTGGTGTTGTAACCAAACTCTTATCTATAATTTGGTTGAAAAGCCATTCGGCTTCTTTGACCACTAGAGATCGCTTATGGGGCATATCCACAGGTAAAATATGCCGTTCTGTTGATATAGCTGTATTCATATTGTCTATATTTTTCTGTTTCTTCTGCTGTGGAATGGGTCGATAGCTAGCATAGCACCAGAACATATTAGTATATGTATGACTATCTGGAACCAACAGAGATTGCTCTTCTCTTTTTTTTTCCACATCTTTTAACATGGCTTCTAAAATTTTCCTTGCTTGTTTTAAGTCCTTATTTCTTGCACAAGCAGTTAACAAAGTGTTGAAAGTGAATTTATCCGGTTTGAATCCGTAAGTAAGTTGCATTTGATGCAATAGGTTGAATGCTTCGTGATAGTAATCAGGGCGTTTTGCGCAGGCGTGAATGAGCGTATTAAATGTGACTTCGGTTGGATACAGATTATAACCAGCCATATCTTCGAACAAGTTTAATGCACGTTCTATTTCTCCTCTTTTTGCGCAAGCATGTAGCATCAAAGTGAAGCTGACCTCGTCGGGCTGATGGTATGAAAGTCTCATTGCGTCAAATATATCCCAAGCTTTATCAATATTATTTACTTTTAAGTATCCACTGATCAGAGTAGAGAAGATAGGCTAAAAGTGATTTTTGCAAAAGGTTAATGTTATAGAAAGATCTTTTGATTATAATGAATTCACATTTACCTGAGTCGGAACAACAGAGGATTTTTTGATTTGTTCAAAAACTACCATAGCATCGTCCATTCGCTTGTTTGCTACGAATGCCTTAATCAATATGCCATAACTATATACATCTGGTTTCAAATTGAACTCTTTCAACCTTTTAAAGATAGCAATTGTCTGGTTCAAATCATTGGTATTTGCATAAGCATCCATTAAATGGTTAACAGATTTAACACTTGGACTGATATTGTAATCCTAAAGGAACATTGTGAGGAAGTTGCTGATGCGATTAATTGCAAGGTATATAGTAAATAGCCATACCTTCATCAGTTCGAACGCTTTTTCTGCTTCTGCGGGTCGTTTAGCGAGTGAATTCACATAGATCAATTGCTCGAAATCTTGGAGACTATATTCCTGCATACTATTTTCTCCTCCAGGGCATGCTGTTTTATTAGCATCTTCGTCATTGATTTTGAGCTGTTGTTGGAACAATGCCGCTGAAGAAGGTAGCTGAGCAGGTGCTGTAGTTCTATCTATCTGATTTGACCGAGTATCCAAAAATCGAATTCTTAGCTTTTCCAAATAATCAGTGTTTATCTTTGGTCGAACACCAATTGGTGCGGACACTTCTTTATAAATTTCTGCTATATCTTTGTCATTGATCGGCTGTAAATTTGTTGCTCTCTTGTGAAAGCCAAAACGTACAAGAACAGTGAGTTATATTGTGGTGTTTTTTTTTTTTTTTTTTTTTTTGACTTTCTGATATAAAGTACTTTACAGACTTTGTCTTCGTCTCCAAATCGTATTCTAGTTTTTTGATTTCTTCTATCACCTTTTTGGTTCGATCATCTGTGAGTCCTGATCTAACAATTAAAGAATGTCAACGATTAAGTCAGCCAAGCTTCCCTCTTATCAGACCCACCTCGTTGAAAATACTCGCGTTAATCTGTTCAATGGTGTATGACGAAAGGTAAATGTATTTTTCAGCAGACAATTTCTAAAAGACATCTTATGTGAAGATTAAAAAAAAAGCAAAAAAAAAAAGCTTAATGTGTCAACTACCCCTAGTTTTAAAGGAACAGACTATGTAGGCATAAATTTTGACCGGCTCCGGAAGCGGGGGAAAACAAGACTGCAGTTTAAAATTTGACAGAAAAAGAAATTTATTCGTACATTTCAATGATGGCCTCCATCCTTTTCACCTATTACATTCCATATATACTTGATACTGTTCCACAGGTAACTAAAGGGTTTATGACATGCCTAGACCGTATCTCATAGCCGTTCATTAGCTTCTTATCCTGTTTGTGAAAAGTGTTAATGACGACGAAGTTGTATACTGAACAACGACTTCAAGATAGATGGACAACGATTTGAGAATACATGGTCCTAATACCGCGTTGTAAATTGCTGTGGCATTTAAGACATTTCCCGCTATTTGTTTGCATGGTTATGTTGTTGTTGCTGTAAGCTTGCTTCATATTCGTTCTTCTTTTTTATTAGTAAAGCCAGACGCTCTTCCTAAATCGACATACTCAATTAATCATGGGTTTCAATATTTTGGTATTATTGTTTTTTGGAGTACCTTTGATCGTATTTTGTACATTTCCAAAAAGTAAAAACCGGCAGCTCCACCTGCTAACGCCCCAAAAGAAACTGATAAAGCTTTACCAATATTCGCCATATGTAACTATCTTGCTCGATATAGGTTGAATGATGAGATAATGAGAAGAATCAGCAAACAAAATCTAAGATAAGCAAGAAACGTGGGGTTAACCAACTCATTCTGAAAGTAAATGGCAATGGGCGTCACTTCCTACTCCGATTTTTCATTTTCCGAACTGTTTGCTGGAAGCGGTTTAGATTTAGAAGTACGAAGCTGTTTACATAAAGTAGCAAGCGTATTCAGTACGCTTCCTCTGTTCTGTTGAATTTCCAGTAGTATTTAACTAATCTATCACTACCTATATTAAGCGGATATTTGAAGGTTCGTCTTAATGCCATTCAATAACTTTTCCCCCCTCTTTCTGCCAACTGGAAATCGTGTTATATGCAGGAGCTCAACTTATCGGCTGCAAAAAGCAAATGAGAAAGTCATTCCTAAACTAGCTTTCAAGAAGAGAATATAACCTTTTTAAACGAAAAATAGTCAAAAATTTTGATCTTAAAAAAGCTTCTCTTTTGGGCTGGCTAAAGACCTCTATATAAAAGTTCTCTTTACTGAAAGGGCAAGCTGCAACTAATAAAGTCATATGTACAAATTTCATGAAATTTTGAGAGATTAAGAAGAGCTGGAAAGCTTCTTTCATATGACGCTGTAAATGAATATTACTCTCACAGTTCCCTTCCTCAATGTTTCTTTTCGGTTGCCTTCGAAGCCGTGGAATCCAAACGACCCATATGCATTTCATAGCGGTATCCAACTATACATTCTCTGCTGTTGGAGTGGTTTAACAACAATCTATTTCACTTCAGGAATCATTGGGTTGCAACCATTCATCATCTAACTGTTAGGTCCCTGAATTTTGTGCATTGACAAAAATAGTTAACCGTCGTCTATACAATGTTTGAGCAACCTTGCTACATCATTATAAAAATGATGATGTAGTAGCTAATACTACTATATGTTATACTTAGTCACAATTTCGTATTGACATGCACATACACTTATTAACGAAGATCTAGAATTTGAAGTCTTGTCCTATCCAAGTATATGCGTATGTATCTCCAAAATATCATCTCAAAACTTGATTATCCGGATTGATTATCACTAACAAAATCTATATAAAATTTGCAGTTATCGATGGTCACAGTATTGTATATTATGCGGCAATAGTTAGTATGAAGTGTCTATTTGTTATAGACTCGGAATGGATTCAAGCAATTCATAAAACATCAATATGTCTGCTATTCAATTATCTATATCTACTACATCCAGTTTTCATTAAAATAGTGAAATCTATCTCTAAAGGTAGCATTCCCTTTTTCTTCCCAATTTGAGATGTCTTCTAAAATAGTTTTGCCATTCAGCAGGCCTTCCAGCTCCACTCCAGCCGCGATAGTCAATAATCGATTATCATGTTTATTCCTACTTTTTGAACGTGGAATCGAGTCAACAAATTGTCGTTCAGCCGAAGTTAAATCTGTTCTATTTGTCATATTGTTCAGAACATCGTTGACATTGTCAAACGTAAGGTAGGAAGGTGTCAGATTATTAGGAAGCACGTCATGGTATTGACTGCTGTGTGCATTAGAAAGCAAACCCTTCTTCTCAACCTGGCGTGGCGGTGGGGATAATTCCACTGGGTATAATGGTTGTGTATTTTTTTTGTACTGGGTGGACTCCTCAAACACTGGCAATGCTGTATTCTTCCTTATACGGAAAGGTGGATTTCGAGTAAAGGTCGATTTAACAACACTTTCGTTGTTTCTCAACTCTTTCGTAATAGATGTACTATCATTAATGGGTTCTTCATCTTTTTCTATCTGTCTTTCCAACAAACATGTGCCATCTATTGTTCCCGTCTCGCTGTGCTTTGGAATTCGAGGCACATCTCCGCTTGTTTCATCAGAAATGGGACTCATGAATTTTCCTCTTTCTACAATCTTTGATCTTGCTAAATTAGATACAAGTTTTTTCGGCCCTTCTCCCAAGGTTTTCTTCCTCGTTGCTGATGACCATGATGAAAAACTAGGTAAAGAGTCAAATTCTCGCTTACGTTCTTTACTTCGTTGTAGGTCAGCAATAGAAATACTAATGACACGTTTCATTTGTATTGGATGATGATTGTCGAACGCCGTGCCTTCGCCAAAACTATTCGACCGTTTGCGGCGAAACATAGTAGATGTGAGGCCTACGGTATCAAAGCGGCTCGTTTTTCGATGCTGTTGCTGTTGTGGTATTGAAAATTTTTCTTGAGTTGATGCCCTTCCTTCCTCTAAGGATTCTAAACTAGGTGTAGAGGCTGGTAGAGAAGTCTGGGGCTCCAATTGCAATGGATGGGTCGCAGTTGTACTAGGCCGCGAAATTGCCAAAGAACTATTTTGACGTTGCTGTTGTTGTATAATAGGAGAAACTGGGTCTGGAGCATCTGTATAGTCATGGAAATGACGTTGATTTATTGCCCCTGTTCCAGTACTTTGTTCTGTAGTGGTATTTTCTCCTTCGCGGCTGCATAATGGTGTTACTTTAAATATCGTTACAAGCATCCAATGTATGAAACAAGCTATACGAGGTTTTCCGTAAGGAACCAACGTTTCTACGTTGTCCATATTTTTTGAATAACTGTCAAAACGTTGGTATGGTCCAACAAAACGATCAGAGCCCCTTGACGGATCCTCTGATTTCATCATTTCGGGCTGAATTTCTTGGTCCAAGCGTCTCATTGGGATGATTAAATACTGTGTTCCTTTCTTGCGTTTTTTCTTACTCTCAGTAGTATTATTCGAATCATCATCGACAACTTTGGGTACGAATTCATTACCTTTGGCAGATCTGACATATATTATTGTTAATTGTCTCGACTGTAATGAATCGTGTGTCTTTTTTTTCCCCTCTTCTATGTCCAAAGTCATTTTGGGCAAATGCGCTATCGAAGGATCATTTCTGGACGGCCGTTCCCTCAAGGGCATTATACTTTGCTGCATACTGAGAGGTGATATTTCTAAGGGGTTTAATAGTAGGTTTTCCTCCTTCAAAACTGGCGTGTGAGTTGCCACACTATGCTTTGGTATAAGTTTGGAGGTTGAGGAGCGAGAACTTGGAGCAATTTTAACAATTCTCGGTAATTGACAATCAGGTTCACTGTCAAATCCTTCTCCGGGTAGCATTTTCAACGTGAAATAATCATAAACATACCGCTTCTTCAATGACTCTAGACCGCCTTTAAAGACTGCTTCAATGGCTGGATCGGTAAAATAAATAACGCTAACCATCAGACCTAGCAGAACAGTAACAATATGGAGAGATAAACTCGACATTATTACTCATTGTGAATCAAATGGTTTCCAAGGAATATAAACCTCATACCGATAGAACTGGCAAATAATCGATCCAAAACAAAAATGGCGTAAGGTATAGGGGCATTCAATGTTGCTGCAATTTCAATGCTCACTCCCCAGGATTTTGATATTAAAGGAACTATTATGACGAAAGAGAAAGATGGGCATAATGAACAAGCTCTTCATATCGCAAAATTACTTGATTACCTAAAGGATAACAGACGCATCTTTTTGCAATTTTTCTGAAGACATCCGTGTTATCATTTGCATACCTTCGTAAAATAGCCATAGTCACCTGATCTTTCTTTGAAGCTTTACTAGTGAACATATCCATTGCTCCTGCAAAATTTTCATGTCTTTTCCTGATGAATTTAATTGATACAATGGCGCAAACTGCAGCAAATGCTAATGAGAACAGTAGCCAGCTGTAGTACCATAGCTATTTTTCACACAAGACAATATTAATAGAAGAAATACATGAAAGCAATATAGTTTCAGAATTGTTACCCAATTGAATATGTTCTGCCGGCGTCCGTAATGATAATAGTACCTATAAGTAGTATGACTTTTGTAAGTACGGGAAAGTATCATTATAAGGTATTTTCTTCCTGTAAGATTTTACCAGCATTTAGACGGATCGTCTGGCTCCGATGGCCCAAATGTCTTTTCGCCACTTACTAGCGAAACGATTGCCACCAGAATACCCGACGCTGCCACTATGAGATAATATAGTAACTCCAACTTCAAGCTGCGCGATACTTTGACGACAAATACCATGACCAAGCTGAGACCCACCATAGCTAAACACATACACGACATCACATCCGTTGCTGATAGGACATAAGTTAGTCGATGACATTGAATATTCGTGCCCAATATATGATATGTCACCGATTGACATGCATTATAGACTATATTTAGTACACATGAGCAAACAATCATACGTAATGACAAACGGCTGACAATATTTGGTCGATACCACATAATGGAAAAGTGTACAATTATAACGCATATATTGGCGGCAAATGAGATTGTTGCAGCAACTGAGCCACTAACTACTAGACCCGTCCATTCGCTACTTGTAAACTCCCAGTCAGTATACCCAATATTTTCGTCAGGTGGCATTGTTTATTATACACATAATTGTTCTTTAAAGATCAAACGACTTGTTAGAAACCAAGAGGAGTAAACAAAGTTTAAATATCCACATCCCCAATTTCGCTTTAGTAGTCTCAGGTTCATCTGCGTGAAACCAATTCTAAAATCCAAACAATAGGAAATTTTTTTTTTATTATGCAACTTCCCATCAATGAGAGACAATTCAAAGTGTAATGAACGGTCTGAAATTCAATTATAGAGGGATTGTAGAGACAGTTGTGGGAATCGTGAGACAGAAGACAATTATTCGTTTATCTCAATATCTTTCCAATTTCGCGTTTGGTTGATTGATCCAGAGTAAGCAATATCGAGCTATAATCTAGAGTCAAATTGACTTACATTAGCAATTCAGTGTATACCTTTAATTTGAAAGGTTTCTTTGGGATACTTTTGCTGCCCTTGGGCTAATGACTCATGAATTAATTATTTCAAACATTTTGCATTTATACATAGCTATATTTTCAAAAATATCTAGTACATAGTCATTATTATCTCCCTACGCTTTCCACGGACATACAACAATCATTTGAATAGTAGGCTCATTCGTGTCTCCATTTTTGCATGCATATACTTCCAGGTTATGTCTCAGTTTTCTTTAAAGAGTGGAGTAGTCAAGATGTGGATACATCACCACCATGAAAGAACGCTCCTTCATCCTACAAGCTAGGTTCCTATTACGCTCTACCTCACTGCCTACTGATACTTTAATTTCAATACTACTCCCATATATAGGTCAGCAACAGAGTAAATCGGTATATTGCAAGCTTGCTTGTTCTCCAATCTGGTAAGATTACACTTCTTCTCCACTCAATCAACGGTCCGAATCAGCTGCTCTGCGACGCTGTATCGCTAACTTCCGTACTAGCTCCTTCACATGCAGTAATCGAACTGTCCCAAGTACAAGCTTGGATTTTTCAATGGCCCTTACTTTGTCACATTTTGCTTGAACTCGATTATTTACACTTCTCCCAAGAGCCGTCTTCAACTCCTCTGTTAGGGCATCCATTGCTCGACTGGTTATCCTCTTCTCCCTCGCCTTCTAATATATCATAATCCTTTTTACCCTTGAGCTCTAAGGGGTTTTTAGATACCAGTGAGCCTTTGGAGCTGCCCCGAACAATTTGGATATGTTTCATATCTCGTGTCCGTGTTTTACAAGATTCCAACAGCTGGAATTCAAAAATCTCGAGAAGCTTTTTGCTTGAAGAAAGGAAGTACACTTTAGACGATCTGATCTGATTAAAATCAAGGAATTAAATGCAACATCTTCGTCAGCTGGAGTTTTATTCAGGGATTGGCGGTATGGTAAATACATACTGACAACATTCAATGTGGATGACTTTTGAGTTAACGGCTCTTTCAAACAGCATTATGCCGCCGAGCTTGCCGATTGGAACGTTGAGATCGTCAAAGCTTTTGACATTAACACAGTAGCGAATGAGGTACGCTGACAAACAACTTGCTTTATTATTTATTTGTACTAAAATATTCCTGACATATAGATTTATAAACACAATTTCAACCCAAAAATCGTTGGACAGGTTTGACTTACCCTTTCAACTGTTGGTACATCAAGTTACGGTTGTAGCTCACGTATGTCATAGAATCTTATAGAGACTTTATCAACAAAGTACTATGACGATATTGCAGCTGATGTTTGGACCATGTCGCCACCTTGTCAACCTTACACAAGAGTCGGTTTACAGCAGGGCAGTGAGGATGCTCGTGCAAAAAGTTTTTTGCACTTATTAAAAGTGCTTACGGAAATGAAGAATAAGCCCAAGTACATTTTACTTGAAAATGTGAAAGGGTTTGAGGTAAAACACAAAAATGCTTAGTTCTTCGTAGTCTGGTTAATTAGACATTCTTTTATCTCGACCTTTAGGAATCTGATTCACACGATCTGTTACTTGAGACCCTAAATCAATGCGGTTACGACTATCAAGAGTTCCTATTGACACCACTGCAACTAGGTATCCCAAATTCTAGAATGAGATATTATCTGCTAGCAAAATTGAAGCCATTACAATTTGCACATCCTGTGACGAAGGATATCATCAATTACATTCCTTTATCAGAAAATCTGTCAAAAGAATTTGTAGATTCCAGAAATTTGAATGATGAAGAAAAGCTCGCATGTAAAGCAGCAAGTAGTATCGATCCTTTGTCGAAATTTCTGGAGCATGAGATCCATTTTGAGAAGTACCTTGTGCCTGATAAAGTTTTGTTGAAAAATAGCCATGTTTTCGATATTGTCAAACCTGACGGGTATCGCAGCTGTTGTTTCACAAAAGGTTATTATCATTATGCTCAAGGGACTGGATCTATCTTGCAGATGAATATGGATGTCAATGTAAGTTTGTTCGCGCTATACTACAATTCGCTATGGACGTACAGGTGTTCATATGAGAACTCTTTTGCATAAATAGACGGAAGAGACATTTAGTAGGGCAAACGAATATAAAGGAATCGATGACGAGAAACAGCTAAGGTTACTACGTGGGCTCAAACTAAGATATTTTAGTCCTAGGGAGGTTGCTAACCTTATGGGATTTCCTGAAAAGTTTGAGTTTCCTGCTTCTAGTAGTATTAAACAAAGATATCGAACTCTGGGTAATAGTATAAATGTTAAGGTGGTATCAGAATTGATGCGATATCTTGTAAAAGAGAATCATTCTAGTATGTAATAAAGGATTCTATTTTAATCCCTTTTAAAAGTTTCAAAGGTAGCTATTACTTGCTAAACAGCAGCCTGCAAAATACCAGGATCTCGTTACGGACAGATCAGAGTCTTGGGTCTTTCTCTTTTTTGTGGTTTGCCACTTTCAAATTCAGCTAGTAGCAGCTGTCAAAAATTATGAACAGAATGCTTGCTTTTTCTCATTGCTTCTCAGTTTATACGACGAAAAGCTATTTTATAAAAAATGAAGTGTGTTCGCGTCAATATTGATAATTTTGATGAAGAAACCCGCAAAGCCGTTGAAACGAAGCAACCTGTTTTCGTTCTCTTCTTCGGTACGGAGGATCCCGAAACTTCTGAATCATGGTGCCCTGATTGTGTCATTGCCGATCCTCGTATTCGTAAGGCCGTCTCTACTGTTGAGAATTCTATTTTACTAGAAGCGCCGGTTGGTGGCCGTAACGATTGGAAGGGAAACGCTGATCACCCTTATCGTGTCCGTTTCAATGTCCCTGCAATTCCTACTTTATTTAAATGGACAGCTGTAAGTTTCTCGTAAACATACCCCGAATGTACTACGAACCGGAGTAGAAGTATAAAGACTTTACTGATGTTAACTTTTTCCACATCACACTGAATTTAGGCTGGTCCTGGCGATAAGTTGGTCGAAGAAGAATGTGCAGATGATGATAAATTATATAAGTTTGTATCCGTTTGAAACTTAGAATATCAACAATAAAGACATGCAAATAGAATTTTTAAAAAGAACTTTTATCAGTTATTGAGGTTTTTTGGAAGCCAAATCTTTTTAAATTGTTAATGATGAGACATTTTCCTCGACAAGTGTCACAATCAAGATATAACCTAGTATCATTAGGGAGTCTCAGCGTTTGAAAGTGTAGTGGTGCATTTGCTAAAGCCTATTATTGCGCTTGAAGGAATCTGTGGGGACAAACCAAATGAAGAGAATGGATACGTCTGCTATAATTCGTTTAGTGACTTGATTTCCGCTCTGAATTTTTAGAAAAAAAAATTAGTTTTCCCCTTTGCCTGGCTTTTTTCTTACCTTCCCTTAAAAATATTGAAAATGGCTGATAACACCAACACTGCTGCCACTGATAAGAAGAAGCCTGCTGAAACTGTCCTTGACGTTTCTGACAGCAATGTTCAATCCAAATATAAGGATGCTGGCAAGATCGCTGACGGTAAATAGTCAAAGATCAATGTTGAAATGAAGACCTCGTTTTATTACGCGTTCTGTTTAGCTTTGCACTTCATTGACATTCGTGGCTCATCAGTTTATTTCCGTTTCAACAGATGTTCTTGATAAAGTTATTAAGCTTTGCGTTCCTGGTGCCAAAATTCTTGATGTATGTATTGAAGGTGATAAGCTTATTACAGCTGCTACTGGTGCCATTTATAATAAGAAGAAGATGTCCAAGGGTAAAAGCAGAAATACAGAGCATGAATTTGGTGGCTGAGTTGCATTGTTTATTGATTCATTTTCAATCATAAATATAGGTATCGGTTTCCCCACATCTATTTCTGTCAACAACTGTGTTGCCCACTTCTCACCTCTTCCCTCAGATCCCGAAGCCTTTGCTACTTTGAAAGAAGGTGATGTTGCTAAGATGTAAGTTTAATAGTTGGAAGCTTTTTGTACGAAAGGTGAATGACAAATAAACTCACTTATACATTTGTGATAGTCAATTGGGTGCTCAATTTGATGGTTACTGTTCGACTGTTGCTACTACTATCGTTGTTGGTGCTAAGGAGCCCGTCACTGGCCCTAAGGCTGATGTTATCAAGGCTGCTGAGACTGCTTTAGAAGCCGCTATCCGTATGATCCGTCCTGGAAACAAGGTAAACAGAATCATGAGAAGAGAAACAGAGCTTTGGGAGTTGAAGAGCGAGCTAACAGTAATAATCTGCTGGTTTTTCCTTTATAGAACATGGATATTACTAAAACTGTCGATCAAATTGCCGAAGATTTCGGTGTTAAGGCAGTTGAAGGTATGCTCTCTCACAACCAACTCAAGGATAAGACTGATGGTGAAAAGCAAATTATCCTCAACCCTACCGAAGCTCAACTCCGTGACTTCAAGCGTTGTGAATTTGCTGAAAATGAAGTCTATGCCATCGACATCCTCATTTCTACTGGTGAAGGTAAGGTGCGCCCCTTGAAGACCCGTACCACCATCTACAAGAAGACCGGTGTTCGTTATCAACTCAAGATGGCCGCTTCTCGTGCCGTCTTCTCTGAAATTCAAACCAAGGCCGGTGCTTTCCCTTTCACTTTGCGTTCTCTTGAGGATGAACGTAAGGCTCGTATGGGTATTGTCGAAGCTGCCAAACATCAAACTGTCTTGCCTTATGATGTCGTCTATGAACGTGATGATGCTGTTGTTGCTCAATACTTGGCTACTATCATGGTCACAAAGAACGGTAATACTTTGTTGACAAACCCTCGTTTCGATGCTGTTCAAGTTCAAACTGACAAGAAGGTCAAGGATGAAGAAATCAACAAGCTTCTTGCTAGTTCTTATGCCCCTCCCAAGAAGGAAAAGAAATAAATTACGAGCCTCGCATCAATTTAAACATTCATTAACAAGTTGTTTAAGCAAGCAATTGGAAGAGATATCTCACTCTTATATCTTTCAGCTTTTTTCCAACCTTTGTATTCTTAATACTATTTTGTCAATTTAGTTTCGGTTTCCTTTTTACATATGGTAGAATGAAAGAAAATAAAATAATCGTTGAAAAAGGATGTTGTTTATCGTAACAAGTGGATAATGGACGAAAATATAGAATGTTTTTTCATGGTATATGTATAATAGATGTTAATATATTATTCAATTTAAATCTTTGTATCGATGTGAAAAGTTCAAGAGTGACCTAATGCAATGCATATATAACAAGAAAATTGTATTTAGAATTGGTATATATACATCACATTATCATCCTTCGCTTACATTCTAGATGTTCCTTGATTAAACTTCGATAGGAAGGCCTCTTCTAGAGCGGATTGAGTGATAGAAGAATCAGATAAGTCACTGAAAGAGGATCCGATTGAATTTAACGCACTTTCATTGCTTGTTGAACCGGGAGCAGTTGATATTGTTGCTGCGACGGCAGTAGCTGCATTGTTAATCATTGTAGAAGAATGCGAAGAAACAGGCTGTAGATCAGGTTGTGATAGTTGCTGTAGTGTATATGGAGAAGGCGTTGAAGAAGTCAGAGCAGCGTTTGCCGGTGTATTATCATATACAGCGTTGAGTGTAACAGAGGAATTATTGTCGGTCGTTTTGAACGAAGTTTGAGATGTGGAGGATGGCGAACGACTGGTGGATACAGATGACGTATTTGTAGGATTAGCTAACGATAGATTAATATTGTTACTGTTTCTTCTCAGGCTTTGTATTGACATAGATAGCTGTTGTCGACTGTTACGTAAATTGTGGGAGGAAGAAGAAGATGATAATGTGTGCTGAGGTAAGAAGGCTGGCTCTTCTATTTGTAATTTCATTCTTTCGAAATGGTTACTGAACTCTTCTTCCCCTTCAATAGATTTTTCTTGTTGCTGTAGGTCTTTGTGCTGTGGTTTCACTTCATCTATACTGCTGCCATTATCTTCAGCATCGCTGAAGCCATCTTCAATGCTTCTGTATTTTTTTATACTGTCGTGTGTGCTTTTTTTAGTGCTGACTGTATCATTCTTATGTTTAAATTGTTGTGATTGCGATTCTTCTGCGTTTACAGTTGCTGTCAAGGGATAATTTGCGTAATCTCGAGTTTTGACCGTGGTATTACTATTATTACTATTAGCAGGATTGGACATCATCGTTGAGCTTTTGCACACACTGCTGTGATTTGATAGTGAAGATTTTGCTGATTTGTTATCGATTGTTTGCAAACATGAGGAAGATACAGTATTGGAGTGTTGTAGTAAGCTACTATTGCTATCTACTGATTGTTGCTGTAGCTGCTGTTGTGGTTGCTGAGATAGATAACTTTGAGAACTTTTGGAAGAGTAACGTATAGACGCTAGAAAGGAAAAGAAATTAGTGGATCCTCACCAGGTACTAGAATCTTTCATTTATGAAAACAATACTTCTTGTTTTCAGTGAAGCTGTAGGGCTCTTTGTGTTTCTGCTATTTAGACTGATATTGTTTGTATTTATCCTCAATTGTTGATGAATGCCTCGCAATTGTGTTTCATAGATGAAAGCAGCATGTCTAACCACGTACGTTGTAGGCACACCCAACTGTTCCGCAATGCTGTTCCCTGACGACATGTAAAAAATTACAGTGCTTCAGTAGAGCTTCTTTCACAATAAAATGCTTGCTATGGCCTTTTTTTTGCTTTCGCTTTACAATCTCTGTTCTTTTGGCTCATATACTGCCAAAGTTGATGCTCCATTTCGTCAGTCCATATTATCTAATGTACGTCAATGCAAAGGCATTTTGATGAGAAAAATATACTTGTCAAACGAACTAAAGTGTTCCTCTTTTTACCGAGGGTGGCTCTATGAACCCTTCAGGTCTTTTGAAAGGAAGCCTGATAACAACATGATAAGTATCGTCTTCAATTCCCATTGCAGTACCTTTTGCGGGGAAGGAAGAAAGACAAAAAAAGAATTGTCACTTTCGGTCATTAACCGCCGAAACTGGTAGAGCGGGGAAGTCCCCCAAAAAAAAAAAAAAAAAAAAAAAAAAGAAAGAAAAAAAAGCATGCACTTATTGGTGTACCTGAATCAGCATACTTACAATACTTAGTTCTAGCATTTCAGTAGGAAACAATCCCATGATGGAGGAATCGATACAATAAAGAAACACCATTGAATCCTACAATGAAAATCTTAAAGAACCTCTGGCTGGCGACTTTCCATTTATAATCATAGACAGTCATGCAAGCAATGTATCCAGTCTATTAAACAGCAGACGTGCATATGTTCTCCTGCAATCCTTCATATCATTTCTGCCATACAGAACTCGCTTTCGTTGGGCAGGGAAGCTTCCAAAACGGAGTATGTGGGGCAATCGGACACAAACCTTAAAATTTACCAATCAAGGGTCTCTTAAACTTCTGGAAAGCTTATAAAGACCACTAGGTATTGAAATTAGTCTTCTCTTTTTCTTTCAACTTATCATTAAACTGCCCCAATGTCAGCTCTCCCTTCTATCGATCAACTTAATCGTGAAACTAATCCTGATGACTTCGTCCAAGTCGTCAATACTCTTTTCGAGGCCGCACCACCTCTTGCCAAAAAGCTTTTGGATGCTCGCCCCTTCACTTCTTATAACCAGCTCATCGATTATGCCGAGAAAGTGTGCTTATCCCCCGATGATTTGACTGAAGCCGAGAAGCTTGAAGTTATGAACGCCCACCCTCGCATCGGTGCTGCCAAAACTGGTTTATCCGCTAATTCAATGAAGGAACAAGGTTATTCTTCCACTTCTCAATTGAGCGCTGAAGACGAAAAGGTCAATGCTGAATTGGCCAAGTTAAATAAGGAATATGAGGATAAGTATGGATTCAAGTTTGTCGTATTTGTTAATGGTCGTCCGCGTCATCAAATAATTCCTGTTATTAAAGAAAGAATTGCGTCTGGAGATAAGGAAAAGGAATTCCATACTGGTATTACAGATATGATGTTGATTGCTAGAGATCGTTTGAAGAAGGCAACCGTTAGCAAGATCTAAAGTAGAAGCTGCTAATAGCGATACAATTCTAAAACTCAACGAGGACAAGTAGTAGACTATCTTGTATCTCATTTTCTTTGTATATTAAAGTGTAGACTTAGTATTTACATGTTTATTGTAACTGTATATTAAATCAATAAAATATACCTTTTCTGTTAGCTGTGGGGTATATTTGTATTGAAAATGTTACAATGCAAAAAACAATTTAAAGCCCGCTGAGCACGGACTTGGGTCGACAATGACAGAAGCAACTTAAAGGGTCAAGTAGTATGTATTAAGTTATTTATTAAATTGGTTGTTCTACTTAAAAAGAAATTGTACTATTATTTGAAGGGTTATCCTATGCAGCTAGTTTGAAATTATTGTTATGAGAAATTGTGGTCGTATTATTATTGTTTGAACTCATCATATTCATCTTAGTAGCTCGTTTGTACATCAGTCTTTCCGTCCTGTATTGTTCGTAATGTCGTTCAACTGTGTCTAACTGTAAAAATCGTCTATGAGAAGATAATAAAATATGCTTCAACTTCATGAAATCGCTGTATTTATCATCAAGACAATCAATTGTTCCCCAGCCAAAATCGCGACCCAGCTGTATCTTATGTACAGTCATATCAACAGGTTGTCCGTTTTGAGGATTTTCTTCGTAAGCAATAAAAGTAAAAGGCACTGTATACAAATAGTCAAGTATGCTTTGGGTTTCCTTGTCTTCATTGTTGTAGTCGTATTCTGATAGAAATTGCTCTAATGTTTCTCTTTTCTTTTCTGCTGCAGACGATTTCTTACTGTTCTTTCTATCTACTTTTTGTTCATTGCCAACATCCTCAGTCTTTTCGTCATCTATATCTTCGTTGTCATCTTCATCTTCAGGCATACCGTAAATAGGGATTTTGAATGTAGTGTAGATGTCTTTTAAAATTGCTGGCTTTAATCTGTTCCTTTGCGCTATGGTTAATTGATCTGCTTTTCCAATGATAGGTATAACATTCACGCGATTTGCTAATTTCTTGAGAATGTGAATATCAAATTCATCCAGACTGGCCTTCCTTGGGTCAATAAAATATAAACAGCAATGAACTTGAGTATCGACAGCTCGAGGATTACGTTTTACTTTTGATTCCTAATCATCAAGACTATATCAGTGAGTCTATTGTACGTAGTTTGTGCAGTTTTGAAGATCTCACCTCTGCTAGTGTCAGATCAAATTGATGCTCAATGTATTTTAGTATATCATGCAGTTGCCTATCAACTAGATATTCTGCCGAAAAACCTGGGGTATCGATTAACGTCAAAAGTACTTTATTCTCTTTTTTATCCACCACTTCCACTTCTCTAGAGATTGTATAAGGTTGTAATGTCTTTTCAATAGGTCCTTCTAGCGCATGTTCATCATGGTAATACTGACTGCCGATATTATTGTTACTTTTGGACGAGTGTTCACTTATGAATGAATCACGCCTACTATTACTCTTCTTATTGTTGCTGCTATTGTTATCATCTATCTGCTGTTTCTCACTGACCGTATTCTCATTAGCTATTATGCTTGTATCATTGCCTGCTCTTCTTTTTTCTTCAATAGAAAGAGTTTCCAACAGTGTTCTGACAAAGGCGGTTTTGCCAACACCAGTAAACCCTACTACCATAATATTAAGATTAGACACATGGCTTTTTCTTGGTCGGGGAACCATGATAAGTTAGTGAACGCAAATTGTCGTATATTGAAAGTGGAGTTAAACGTTATGTTAGAGAGGAAAAGAGAACAAAAGAAAAAATAGTTCGGATAAAAATGGAAAGAATAAAGCAACTAAAAAGGTGAAATCAACAAACAAGTCTTCTTTCTTTGTTACTTTAGGATCTGATATTGCAACAAGAACACACATTTAATATTTTTTATGTACTACCGTAGAATTTTAAACTTTTTAAATTGTGGGTGTTGTGTATTCAAGGAAAAATCAGTGTTAAATATTAGGTTACATGAATTTTATTGTGATTTAATGAGAAAGAGGTTAAAGTTCACTGACATTGACATCACAGTTTTCAAATAAACCAAGGTAGTCCTCGGTTAATTTTTGTTGCCTGTGCCATTTAAACCAATTGTTTGTTGCTTAACTACTTCAGCCCGTATCGAGACAAAAACAATTAAAGTGACACAGATCAAATTCATGGTAAAAACGCATATTGTTTCGAGATATGTATGGCTGCTGTAGAATTAAAACAATTTGAGCATAACTGTTAAGATACGTTGACCAAATTAAAGCTGCTCAAGCCAAATGAATCGCAGGAATTTCATAGAATAAGTTCTACGGTCAAAACTGTCATGTATCTAGCAGTAGTATGAAAAATATCCCATCATCCCATTCACGAAAATAGACATTCCAAAATCGGTAGTCATTCAATAAGGAATTCTTGGGCAATCGGTTCCTAAAGATCGCATGTGCTAACCAGATCATATTAGTTCAGCTTCCTCAATAGATACTTACAAAAAGAGGAGAAATACAGTATTCGTGGATCGCTTGCATGTATTTCCAGCGATTACCGATAGTAAATGAAAAAAGAGTTCCGACTCAAGGCAAGGTTCCCACTTCATGGTTATGAAGAAAAGTATTGTATAATTCAGGTTTCAGAGTAAATATAGACGTTTAATAGAATATTTAATGAATTTAGATACTGAACACATGCGTTGATCAAATGTATGAATAATATCCTTAGATCAATATAGTTGAACAGAGGATACTCAAATAGGTTCTTAAACATGTTCTTCCAGTGTCGTATATAATGTCCGTTCGTTATGTCGCACTGAAAAACATGACAGGAAAGATCTGATATAGATAAGTTTCATACAATATTTTATGGTAATAGTAGAGGATTGAGCGAAGAAGATGCCATAGATTGTAATTTTGTGATATAACGCATTGGAGGATACAAAGTGAATTAAGCTACAATCTTTCTTAAGCTGCTCTTGAATGGACATACAACGAAGAATCTTTATACAACCAAAAGTTCGTTTATTTGTATATCATCGTCTGTTAGCAAGCAAGCATTGAAATACATCTTTTTGGAGAGGATATATAATTGCCTTCTGGTGGTAATTTATTCACATGAAGATGTGAGAAATACGATGATCTTGAAACGGAAAAACTTAGCCCTAACTCGGAAGTAAGATGAAATTTATCATGCTTTTTCAAGGCGCGTGGGTGAACGAAGATGATCTGGTAAGGCTGCACGGTAATTAGAATAGAAGCACTGTCTTCTCTAGATATCAATTCAACTTTGACTACGTTAAAAGTTCGTAACATTGCTCATCTTTTGATCACTGATAACAACGTTCAGAAAGAAAGAAAAAAAAAGGTAATGAGCGCAAGATGTCTAGGTTTATGGCAAGTGGAATATATGAAAAATAATGTCAAAAGACTTGAGGCTATAAAATATAGTGCTTTATTAAGCTGTTTGTATGTATAATAATGGTAAAGAATAGTCATAATAGAACCACAGGATATAGTATGTATAGTTAGAGGATATAGATGCCGGAAAGAAAGAAATTTTATGGTTATTCTGAAATACAAATAAGAATAAATAAGGGGGCTATATGAAGAAATATTGCATTAAAAGAACAAGTATGTCTTGTATGTCAAACTTGATCATTTGATTAAAAATCCATGAGTATTTCCTATAGGTACATCGCGCTTAGATTATTAGTAGGTGAATGATAATCAATAGGCGAGGCTGAGGGTGGAGGTGTTGGTAAACCAACTTGAGGGTAATAATAGTAAATATTCTGCTGTTGCTGCTGTTGTTGCTGTTGTTGTGGATTAATTTCATTGTTTGGTACGAAAGGTGGGGCATGAATTGAAGTCATCGATATTCTACGAATGTTATCACTTCCATTACTGACGGTGTTATTACTACTTTTGCAAATAGTTCCTTCAGTGTATCGTTGCTGTTGCTGCTGTTGGTTATAGCTATAGAGGCCTTTATACTGATTATGCGTATTACTGCAGCCTTGCGTTAGGTTAACATTTGACCTTGAATACCTTTTATCGTAATTCGCTGTTGAAGAAGGTCTATTGTCTTTCAGGCTGCTTGTACTTGTCATTCGGCGTAAGGAAGGTTGCTGCTGTTGTTGTGATTGATTGTGAGAATAATAATGACTATTACTATGTCTCTTAAAGTTATTACTATTGTGTCTAGGATGGGAATATTGCTGTTGTTGATAATATTGTTGGCCATGACCATCCAGTGACATACGCTGTGTTAACTCGCAAACTCGTTCCATATCATTTTTACGTGCCACATCAAATGAACTGGATCGGCTATGCCGAAAAGCTGCAGGTTTCCTCATCTCCTGAATATATCCAACCTTTAATAATTGATCTCCATACTTTTGCAATTCGCTTATAGGTACTGTCAAGTTATAGCCGTTCAATTTTAAGAACTCTATTTCGAGACTGTTTAGTTCGTTAACAGGCAATCCACCAACCTATGAAGAACATTTGGTAAATAAAATATATAAATAACCATTCATAATATATTGATGTCTCCTTTTTTTATGTTCCATTTTAACTTACTTTAGCATATCTAGTGTTTGTATAAAATACATCACTGAAAAATTTACTAGATACCATTACTCCGGCTATGATGAGTCGATGTATATTAAAAGAGTCGATTGTGAACGGTTTTCCTGTTAACACCATAGAATTTTTTGACATACGATCGAAGTACACCAATAGGCTTAAAAAGCACTCGTTCGCACACGGACAGTACTTTAAAATACGAGACAAATAAGAGTAGATATCGATGGAAGGGACAAGTCTAGCGTGAAATCGAGTGTAAACCGGTACTAAAGAGTTTCGTCTGTTAGACGTCTGTGTAGAGGATGAGCACTGATGTTGCTGTTTACTCAACAAGTCGTTAGCAATGGTCATCCTTTCAAGTAATGCTGCTAATAAACGAATGGTGTCGATCGTTGGATATTTTGCCAAATCGAAGGTGATGGGCAACATCTCAGAAATGAACTTTCGAAACAATGATAAAAAAAGGAGCGGGTGTAAATGATCAATGTGCTTTACAATTACTTTGATGCTGTTCTCTCTCGTTGAAATTCGTACTGGAAGAGTTTAGGTGCTGTCAATAAAAAGAAAAAAAAAACAAGGAAAGAAAAAGTGATTTAAAGAAAAGATAGATGCACGGAGAACGCTTTGATTTTTGCTGCTGCCTTCAATATTGAATTTTCCCCCTCAAAAACAATTGAAAAATCATGGTCATTGAATAGCACGTGGCTCAAACAAACTGTTATGAAGTTACACATTTCTTTTTTTTGTACTCCAAATATACAATGTTTTTAATTTATAAGATTTCTGGCGTATTCTATTAACGATCTCGTGGGACGGCCTAAGATTTCAAACAGGTAATGTTATGTCAGTTCCTTGTCAATCCTGCTATAATATATACAGTTTATCCCTTACCGCTCATGCCTTTAATGTTGTAACCAATTGTCGACGAACTTTCCATCACACCGGCAATATCGATGTGTGCCCAAGCCGTCTTGTTAACATCAGCAACAAACTCTTTCAAAAAGGCTGCAGCTGAACAAGCACCACCTGATCTACCTTTACCTAAATTGTTCAAATCAGCTACAAGCGAGTCTTTCATCTCTTCTACGTATCCATCATCTAGTGGCATTCTCCAGAAGGGATCCGATGTCTGCTTGCCAGCTTTCTCCAAACTATTCCATAACTTGTCACAGTTAGTGAATACACCTGCGTATACATCACCTAATGCAACATCCATAGCGCCAGTCAATGTAGCAAGATCAATCATACTTTCTGGCGAGTATTCTGAACTCAAGTAGTACAATGCATCGGCCTAAATGAAATATATAATCATTTGAGTCTATGATAATCGAAGCGGTCGGCTTTTCGTTTTACCAATACTAAGCGGCCTTCTGCATCTGTGTCTAAGATTTCGATAGATTTTCCATTCATGGCTTTAATGACATCCCCCGGCTTACTTGCTTTACCGGAAGGCATGTTTTCGCACAACGGAAGCATAGCAATCATATTGATGGGAAGTTGCAATTTACTAATACCATACAGCGCACCCGCTACTGTAGCCGCTCCTCCCATATCTCCTTTCATAAGAGCCAAACCATTAGAGGGCTTCAATGAAATACCTCCGCTGTCAAACGTGATGCCTTTTCCTACCAAACCATGGCACCTATCTCCTTCTTTACCCCCTTTATAATGAATCTCTAGCAACCTTAATGGTTCGTCACTATGCATGTAAGATAATGCATTAGTGTATGAATCGTATTGCATATTGGCAGTTGTAGTCAAATAATTTACCTGCCCCTAGCTACCGATAAGAAGGCATTCATATTTTTTCGCCTCACCCAATCCTCGTCCCTTACTATTACTTCTACGTTTTCCAAGCCTGCTAGTAGGTAGGCAATTTCCTCTGAAAACAGTTTCGGTGTCATTAAATTTGCAGGTGCAGTCATCAACATACGAGCGACATTTTGCGAGGCTCCATAGATTTGTCCAGTTTCCCAGTCTTTATTAATTGAAGAATTGGCTGAACCAGCAGCAGACACTGAAGCCCAAGGACCCATTTCTATATTATCTTCCTTTTCAATAGCAGTAGGAGACTTCAGCTTACTAAAGGAAAACTGTGACAACACGGAGCCTTCGGCTGCACCTTGAACATTCATAGAAACATCGACACCAACACGTTTAGCGCCTAGAGGTTTCAAAGCCTGCAATCCGAGGGCTGTCTATATGTTAGAAAAATTGGCAACTTATTGTGTCAATTGCAGGTTTTGGTTGAAGTGCTTCTTTTTCTGTACTGATTAGTAAGATACTTCACGGCTTTACGCGCTGCCTCCTGTTCCTCTGCAAGTGTTTTAGGCTGTTCTTCTCCAACTGATACAATAGTTACTCGAGAGACTCCGCCTACATTGTATATGGTACGAACGTCTCCTAGTTTCTTGAAATTGGAGATTCCTAGCTGCTCTTCAATAGCTTGCCGAGTGTTATTGGAAATGTCCTTTGACGAAGCGATTAAGCTAGGTTTACCGTTTTTGGGAGTATAAGCGTTCAAAATTAAACTATCATAATTATTAATATTGGAAAATAAACGCTTTGGTACAAATTGCTGTCGTTGGCGAAGGAAGCACTGTCTGTTCACAGCGCGATTTAGTCTGAACATGTCAAAGCGTCCAAGGATTGATAAGGAAGGAAATTTTTTAAATTTTCCAGATTTATTCGGGGGTATTCAATTCAGTTACCAGTAAACTTTATTTTACAAGTTATTATTTCATGCGATTTGAAGCATATTATATGTCTAAGCAATTTTTTTAATTAGTGAATTAACTGTACAAAGAGAAGAAAAAAAATTCCGCAGCGTGGATATAAACACAGTTGGATCATTTGTGTATGTTATGTGTACAAATATATTTTAGAAACTGTCACCAACCCATTGGCGAGCATTACAGAACATCCTCAACCAAGGACCTACTTGTCCCCAACTGTTATCTGTAGGATACCAAGAATTACTTTCCTTCAATACAACACGTTCAGGATGAGGCATCATGATTAAAACACGACCGTCTAATGAAGAAACACCAGCAATACCAAGAGGGGAGCCATTAGGATTGAAAGGATATTGCTGTGTCACTTTACCATAGTTGTCTACGTAAGCCGTAGCAATCATGGTATCTTTCTTTTCGAGAAATTGTTCAAAAGCCTTTTCATCTTTGAAAGTAGCTCGACCTTCTCCATGAGCTACAGCAATAGGTAAAATAGAGCCTTCCATACCCTTAAAAAATACAGAATTGGTTGTCGAAGAGATTTCGACAAGAGAGGTACGGCCTTCAAACTGTTCAGATTCATTACGAGCAAAGCGTGGCCAGTGAGCAGCACCAGGAATCAATTCAGCTAATTGACTTAAGAATTGGCAACCATTGCATACACCCAATGCAAATGTATTTTCCCGAGAAAAGAAGTTAGCAAATTCAGCACGGGCATGAGAGTTCAGCAGAATAGTGCGAGCCCAACCAGAACCGGCGCCTAGAACGTCACCATAAGAGAAGCCACCACAAGCGGCAATACCAATAAATTCATTTAATGCGACTTTCCCGGAAATAATGTCTGTCATATGAACATCCACGGATTCGAAGCCAGCCTCGTGGAAAGCAAAGGCCATTTCAATTTGCCCATTGACACCTTGATCACGGAGAATAGCTACCTTCGGGCGATTTTGTTGTTGCTTACTCAACGCAAATTCTTCGGCAGGGTTAAAAGTCAATCGGTATTGCAGCCCCGGATTGTTTGCGTCCAGAACAGCATCATACTCTTGCTGAGCGCAAATTGCATTGTCTCGAGATGATTGCATAAGGAAAGAGACTTCAGACCAAGCACGATAAAGGTCAATTCGGGAAGCACTATAAATTTCTTGATTATTTGAATTGAAAGAAACGATATCCTGAGCATCATGTTCCGTAACACAACCGATTTTATGAATAACACTAGAAGGAACACCAGTATTTTGCATGATGCTGAGGAATTCTTCGAAGCGGCAAGATTCAATTTGAATAACAGCACCCAATTCCTCATTGAAGAGGGCAGAGACAATGTCAGTATTAACATCAGATATCAAGCTATCCAACGTAATGCGTGCACCCACATGACCAGCAAAACACATTTCAGCCACTGTAGTAAACAAACCACCGTCTGAACGATCATGATAGGCTAATACGAGAGGATTCTTTTGTTCTTTTAGACGTTGCATAGCATTGAAAAAGTTTCTAAGAAGTTCAGCATCCTCAACATCCGGCACCTCGTGACCTATTTCCTTGAATACTTGGGCAATCGCTGAGCCACCCATGCGCTGTTTACCAGCAGCCAAATCAATCAAAACAAGTTCTGTAGCAGTTCGATTGACCAATTGTGGTGTCCAAGTGTTGTGATTGTTGGACACTGCACCAAAGGCTGTAATAATCAGAGACAAAGGTGCCGTCACTTCTTTATCTTCCCATTTCATTTTCATCGACATTGAGTCTTTACCAACTGGAATGGCAATACCCAATTTGGGGCAGAGATCAATACCAACTGCTTGAACAGCCTCATAAAGTCCAGCACCTTCACCAGGATGATCAGCTGCACACATCCAATTGGCCGACATGATAACATCCTTTATGTTCTTGATGTGGGCAGCTGCCAAGTTAGTCAATGCCTCACCAACAGCCATACGAGCAGAAGCGGCTTGAGATATAAGAGCAATAGGTGTACGTTCACCCATTGCCATGGCTTCACCTGTGACAATATCAAGACCGAGAGAGGAAGTCGTCACAGCTACGTCCGCAACAGGCACTTGCCATGGCCCTACAAATTGATCTCGAGCTACCATACCAGTAATAGAACGATCACCAATGGTTACCAAGAAAGATTTGGAGGCAACAGAAGGTAGATGAAGAACACGAGACACCGCTTCAGATAGAATAGCTCTCGTAGTCTTCACAGCAGTAGGTAAATATGATTTTAATGTGGTATCGAAAGGGCGCCTGTAAGGTTTCTGTGAAGTTGTTTTTCTAGACATTTTGGGTGGTTTGCCAAATAAGACAGGCATAGGTAAATCAATGGGTGTGTTGTTGAGGAGTGGGTCACGTACAACTAATCGTTTTTCAGTTGTGGCAGTACCAACAACCGCATAAGGACAGCGTTCACGAGCACAGAAGGCTTCAAATTGAGCCAATTTATCGGATGCTATCGCCAATACGTAGCGTTCTTGAGATTCATTGCACCAAATAGCCATTGGAGACATGGAAGCGTCGTCACAAGGAATTTTACGCAGATCGATCTCAGCACCCAAATCACTATCATGAACAATTTCTGGTAAAGCGTTAGAAAGACCACCAGCACCAACATCGTGAATAGACTGTATAGGCGTGTCTTCTCCAAGAGCTGTACAAGCATCAATGACTTGCTGAGCACGACGTTGCATTTCAGGATTCTCACGTTGAACGGAAGCAAAATCTAACTCAGCACTGGACTGGCCAGATGCCATAGATGAGGCAGCACCACCACCCAAACCAATGAGCATACCAGGGCCACCCAAGACAATTAAATAAGAACCAGGGGTAATTGGTTTTTTAAAGACATGAGTAGGACGAACGGTGCCAACGCCACCAGCAATCATGATGGGTTTATGGTAACCACGAACTTCTGTTGTACTTTCGGTCACATGAACAGTTTCGGCAAATGTACGGAAGTAACCTGTCAGCGCAGGACGACCAAATTCATTATTGAAGGCTGCTCCACCTAATGGAGCTTCCAACATGATGTCAAATGCAGAAGCAACATGGCCAGGCTTACCAAAGTCAGTTTCCCATGGCTGAATGTGTCCAGGAATCAATAAGTTGGAAGTTGTAAAGCCAACGAGGCCTGCCTTGGGTTTAGAGCCTTGTCCAACAGCCCCCTCATCACGAATTTCACCTCCTGAACCAGTGGATGCACCAGGAAAAGGTGATACCGCAGTAGGATGGTTGTGTGTTTCAACCTAAAACAAGCAGTCTGGTTTAGTTTTCACATTTTAATTATAGCAATGGTAGTTCCTCTTCTACTTTTTATCAAACCATGCCTTTGCAAGATAATGCACTTCTTCCTCGAAATGCTCGTAAATGTTCCCCTTTGTTGTATTTGGAGCAAATCGTGTTGCTTTGAATCCTTTGAGTACAGCTGCATTATCTGAATAAGCTGATAATGTTGCGTCCGGATGCAATTTATGTGTATTTCTAATCATCCCAAATAACGAATGAGGCTTCAATTCACCGTCAATAGTCCAATCGGCACCAAATATTTTGTGGCGACAATGTTCTGAATTCACTTGAGCAAACATAAACAGCTCCACATCTGTTGGATTACGCTGAAGCCCTTCTGATGATTCGCTCCCAACGAAAGCATCAATTAAATAGTCAATCTCATCTTCAGCTAAAGCCAGCCCTAACGTCTTATTTGCTTCCATTAATAAACCACGAGCTTCATCTGTAGTTCGACTTTTATCACTGCTGCCATCATTCCTCTTTTGTTTCTTGTTCATCATCAAATCCACAACTGTTAAAGGAGCTGGTTGGCCATGATGGAACACTGATTCAGGCTCAGGCAAACATAAATCTACAGATTGAGTCATACGATCATGGATTAAACTAGCGATGCGGGATATTTCTTCGCTGCTAAGTTGATGATCTTCCGTCACAATACGGTACGCAACGCCACGTTCAATACGTTCGACATAATCGAAAAGGTTACAAAGATGAGCAATATTGGTGGCTTTGGATGACCATGGCGAGATAGTACCAGCACGGGGTGAAACAACAATGATAGTGCTGTTTCCCTCTTTCTCCTGTGCATTGGATTTCAGGAAAGATTCGATCGACGTCTTCTCTTCAGCCTCAATAGAATAATAGCCATAGTTCAATAGATTGTGTAAAATTTGGCTGGGTTCGGTTGATGCCGTTTTCAAGACTTCTTTCTGACCTGAACGAGGTTGAACAAAATGAAGGAAAATGGCTGAGACTGATACTGCATTAGGAATCGACTTTTGAATAGACTTTAACAAGCTGTCGCTCTTGAAGGAGGAAAGAGCGGATGTCCCAGGAAGAACCAACATTTGCTTTTTTCGTTGGAAGAGTTAGAATAGAGAATTTAACGTTCTAACGAGAACAGAAGAAAGGAAGGAAGCAAATGAAAGGACAAGTTTTTGTAGTGTGTGGTTTTTTTTTTTTTGGTTTTTTTTTTTTTTTGATAGATGATGATGGGGTATTACTTTCTCGGAATCAAATCAGGTCGAATTTAGCTGTCTCCCCGCAAAATGACAAGAGAAAAGTAGTCCCAATGACTCAGTCGTAGAAAGATTTCTGATGTGGGGCAGGATTTTGACCGATTCGGAATTTTCCAGCAGAGCCAAAATGGCTAAGACGTACCTAACCATGAGCAACGCAAGTCATTAACGGACAAGTGCTTTGTTACTGTTAACCTTAAAGCGATAAACAATGGTAAGCGTCGAGGTTTTAACGAATAATAGTTGATAGTTTTCTTTTTTTTTTTCTTTTTTTTTCTCGGGTCATTATGCTGCAATTTTACCTTTTTTTTTTTAGCAACACAGTACGCTAACACCAAAGGATAATGTTGATAGAGACTCACTGTAGTCGTGATAAGACTTCAAGACTATATAAGCTTCTGAAACTGTTCTTTTGATAAGCTGGATTTTTCAAATGATACTTTTTATAAGGGATAGCTTATAAATCAAACTTCTGTTTTAATTGAACGAGAAGGAGTTTATTATGGACAATGTTCAGAAATTTGCGGAGTACATCATGATATCTTCATGCTAATACTGCTTCATTCTTTTTCTTATTTGTATATTTACATATAAATATAAAAATATAATTCTAGTTCATTCTTATTTAGCTCGAGCAGTTTCTTTAGGTGTTCGATTAGGTAAAATAGGTCCACCTTCAACAGCTTTTATTGTGAATGTAGAAATAATTTTTAATAAAGAATGTCCTGCAATTATATTAGCGCTTTAATTGTTATTGCTGGATCAATAACTTCATCCATAAGATAAAGTAATTTAAAACTAGGAAAAGCAATTAAAAGATTATTAACTTATAGTACAATTTCTCATGTAGGATTTTTATTATTAGTAATTGAGATAAGACAGTAATTTGGTACAGCAATATTGGGAGGATATTTACGTGTCGGATGAACTTTCCATAAGATTACCAATAGGTACAGATTTAAGCCTCTTATACATTCTCATTATTGTCATCCTGAACTTATACAGTATCGACTGCGATACGATTGGCCTTCCTCATACCAATATCCATTTCAAGTATCAATCTAACTCAAAGAAAATTAACGTTGAGAAATTACTAAATGAAATGATTGATCATGGTGTATAACAACTCCTAAAGGTTGCACCACTTTGTATAGTGCTGACCTGGGTTATTATAGTTTGAGTTTCCAATTGTAATGCTTGCATAGCGCCCAATATTTTCGCACCAAATACAACCATCGTCGCATGAGTATTTCCTCAATATTAATACACCCTGTGATAGCCTTGTTCTGATAGGTTTAGCATAGACTGATAGTATTATCGTACCGTGTATTAAACTAACATACTCTCATGAAGAGGTTGGTTACATATAACTCTCGGCTTTGCACGATATAAATACAGTACAATCCATTGACGAATTTTCTTTTCTTGCTAAACCGGCACTATTGCTTTTTATTGATTTTATGAATCTCTGTTTATTTTCTCTTGATTGCTGTATAATAAAATGTGGTCGATATAAATTTCAGGCACAATGAGTATATTGGCAGTAAAACACTTTATAAATCATATTCGCTGTGATGTTTTTCATCTGTCCCATGTAATGAGTGGTTGTTCCTATCAACGATGATATCGGTGGTAATAAGCTCGATAGCATCAATTCAATCAAGATTGAACATATACGTAACCTTCCAGTTTCTCGTACATATATATTGTTCATCTGCTCGTTTTCTCAGTTCTCGGTTCAATAATTGCTTTCGAGAGCCCTTCTCGCATAGAAAAAATTTTTTCTGGAGATCATTTAAAGGGATGATAATAAATCATCGTTGTTTTACTATAAGGCAAACGTCTTTATAAAAAAAAATCTATTAACAAAATAATATCGATGTTAAAACCTTATAAAAATGATTCTTTTTCTACTGTTCTAGATAGCAACTGATTAATTAGAGTAGCCATTCCTCTTTGAAGTTTTTGTTCCTCTTTACCGTCGAAACTGTAGCAAGGCCTCAAAATCCAATTTAAAGGAGTTTAAGCATTTGATAAACTGTCCAAACTCTAGATTGGGATGTTTAAAGATTTGTCAATAAAAATAAAAGGGAAGTGGCGAATTGCCTAGGAGTACAATATGCATAATGATGAAATGTTTTGGAAGGCAACAGACAGCAACCATGGCTGTATGGGAAAATAAGTAAAAAAGGCTATCTACCTTTTTGAATTCATTAATCTCTGTGGAAAAATGTAAGCATCCTTTGAGCTATGTATGCTACTATCACTTACTTCCTGAAAAGTTGAATTGTCAGTAAAAGGAAAAAGCATGGATCCGAAAAGTCAGACGTGTGTGCCCACATGGAGACAGGTTGATTTATCCTGATGAAGATAAGTGTGTAAATTACTCTCACAGTGAGGTTGATGATTGGCAGATTTTAAGCGTTTGTTCAAAAGATTTGTACGATGGGCAAAAAATTGTCCGTTATATAATCTTTGGAATTTGTTAGCAGCTGGTCCAGCTCAAAAAAAGAAAAGAATAAGGATTTGTATATTATCCAACCATTACTGTAATTATAATCGGATTTGTATCCAGGAAAAGTACAAGAAGAATGAAGAAGTTGCTATAGATAAATGTCCCTGAACTTTTCGTGAGTGTATTCAACATGCGATTGACACTGTATACAAAAATGTCAATCAACGACTTACACATCTGATAATCCTCATTCAATAATCACCGCAGAACATCATTTCTAATTTGACAGTTGTGTAACAACATGATACAGAAAGGGAAACGAAAAAGAATGCCAAAAGAAATTATGACATCCTTAAATGAATGAATGAAAAGCTTCTTTAAGAAACGTAAATGTTGAGTATCCAGGGATGATTGAGTAAAAACTGAAAAATCACTAGTATATTGGAGCGTATTATGCTATTAAAGTGAAGAGCTATGGGAATGTGCCTCTCCCTTTCAGCCATTTTCTTTAGTTGTGGTATATCAGGAACATTCTATTACGGAGTGAGTCTGTTCAGTAAATTTGCATTTATCTGAATTCACTAGCATAAGAACCTTATTAAAAGTTGCAAATCGATCAGCATGGAGTTAGAACAGAGCAATATGTAAGAGATATGCGCAGAAGACGAGGCGTAATACGGCTAATATAGCTCGTTATATTCTACCTTAAGTAGTAGTATTCAGGGGAAATTTGTCGAGGCGAAGTGATAACGAAACGATGTCGAATAAGTAATTTAGTTATATGTTAAGCTTACATGAGATTGGTAGATCGATGAGGAGGTAACTTATGAGCAAAGATTCCTAATGTTCAAAGAGAAATATATATTTTTTTACCACTTCCTAAAAAGGTTTTAGCAAAAAAAGAAAAACTCATGTTTGTATATTTGCGTGGAGGTGCGAGAAAAGTGCGAGAAACATACGCCAGACAAACAAACAATAGCAAAAATCGAAGAAATGCATGTATCTCTTCGATTCCAATAACTTGTTGCACAGTTTTAAAGAACAGTTTTGGACAGAAATATTCAAAGTTGTAAGGAAAGCTTAATATTGAAGTGTAACCAAAATGATTTAATTGAATAATTTGATTGTGGCCCTATCAGAGGTAATTGAACCGTTTCAAGCGTGAAAAAAAAAAAAAAAAAAAAAGTCTTTACATACAACCATTTCATTTTAAAGCAGAAGAGGATTTAGATTGTATAGCATCCTGCAGATCGATCTATCTTCTTAGACGGCCCTTTCTCCTATATTCAAGCTTAAAGTACTTAACCTTGGATTCCATTACATTGTTGTGAGTCTTTTTTACATAAGCGAAAGGCATGCACATACTCCGATATGCACATTGAACATTACACCAAATCCGTAAAACTTCAAAAAAACTTACCGTTGTCATGCTTTCAGAGATTAGCATACACATCCACTCTCCCCAACCCTCCCCCAATCTCCCACCCCCCATTAGACACCTCTCACCTCCCCCCCCCACCCCCAAGAACGAGAAGTTGTTAAAAATGTATATAAAATGGAGGCAAAATTTTTTTGATTCTTTCATTATCTTCATTCTCATTCAGCCTCAATTCTCTGCGCATCCATTGTCATCAATCTATTCATTACCTCTACGTCTTTGTTTCTAAGCTCTGTACTATTAGACTTTATATAACGGGTTATATAAGCTAATCTTACCTCAAGGAAAAAAGATCCTATCATATCCAGCATTCTATATACCAAGTATTTTCATATTTCATGCAACAAAAAGGTCCGACCTTCAATTCATCGTCAAATACTATTACTGAATCACCACAACAACATCAAATGACCTCTACTGTAGCCAGCAACATTCCTATGATCAATACTAATAACTACGCTACATACGGCATCGCGTTTCCTGACACGGTTCACAATATAGTAAGCGAGAGGTGATTATATTAAGGAATTGGTTAATGACAATGAATCGAACCCTTATTCTAATCTCCGTTTCCTTCTATAGGGACGAAACGGAACATGTCGACAAACGATCTGCTCATAACGCACTTGAACGCCAAAGAAGAGAAGGATTGAACAACAAATTACAAGAGCTTGCTCTTGCCTTGCCCGCTTTACAAGAGATTCGCAGACCAAGTAAAAGCATGATTGTTGGGAAATCTTTAGAATTCGGTGAGTATTCAGACTTGATTGGCAGTACCAGGACCGCTCTTTCTAAATATAGTCTTGTTCTAATGGTTCTTACTGATAATTATTTAGTAACTGACGCTGAAAAGAGAGAATTGAGGTTTAAGAGCCAAATCAATCAACTTCGTAGAGAACATCAGCAGCTGATTAGGCAAGCTAATCTCTCAAGAAAACGAATGAAGAAGCGTGCTGAACAACAACAAGATGATAAGCTCGCTACTACTAGCAATGGTAAGCAGCAGTCATTAACGACCAGCCCTTCAAACCAAACTGTTGTAAAGGTTTCCTCAAAGCTCAAGAAACGCCAAAAGAAGCAGTCATCAGCCTCTCCTCCTTCCTGTTCCACCAAACGTGAGCCCAGCCCTGGTGGGAGTGATTTCTCCAAAACAGCAACCAGAAAGAGACCCAGAGACTCTACCCCTCAAGTTCTTAATAGTTCTTCTGCTAAGCTTTTCGAAGATTTGACATTATCGCATAAGCAAGATATCGCTATTGGTTCTTCTATCACTACTGCAGGCGCAAGCAAGAGAAGGAAACGCCATTCTCCTATTATGGCATCGTCTCCTTCCTCTTCTGTTGGTGGTGATAATATTGCACCTGTTCGTAATGGATGTCTCATCCTGGACAACAGCAATTGTTACAACAGTGTTACCGCACGTATTGCTGCTGACAGTACGCATAGTGGTACAAGTGGAGATCAACCTTATTCTTCTTCAGTTCAAAAGCAAAATCCCCGCCAAAACCAACAGCAGTCATTACGCCGTCAATCTGTTGGTATTATTATTTCCCCTAGTACTAGTACAACAACCATCGACACGACATCAGCAGCTATTCCTACCACTACTCCCGTATCAACCTCTCTTCATATTATGTCACCCTCCACATCAACGTTTGATTCTTTTACAGAAGGTTTTATTATACCCACTCAAACAAATACAATCATACCCTCGTCTTTCGGTCATCAAGAACATATCTTTTATAATTCATCATTTGATATCATTAGTTCCGTTCCTGCTTTAGGAATTCCAACCACTGGCAACCTTCAACAACAACAATATCATCAGCAACAAAGCGCAAGCGCTGGAGTTGCTATTGATCCTATGCATCATTCACCTCATAGCCAACATCACTATTCTCATCCTCAAGACATTGATAATTTATTTAATTCCCTTATACAGCAACCGCAACGAACGACTACCAGTACTATCAGTACTGCTTCTTCACCTTTATCTAATGAGAGCTTGTACAGGTTTGCTTTTTAAGATTATGTTTGAATAGATCATAACATTCACAAAATTCTCTTATGTGTCCTTTCTAATGATTACATTTTTAACAAAAAAAAAAAAAAAAAAAAAAAAAAAAAAAACTCTTCTATGCCCTCATCTCCATATCATTTTTTTTAAAAAAAAAAGTGACAGAAGAGGCTTGCTTCTTAGTTACTTTATTCAGCAGAAAAACTATTTCACCTTTTATGTACTTTTACTCAGATTGTCCAATAAAGCAATAATCTTTTTTTAAGATAATATAAAGTAAACTATATTATGTCAAGATGTAGGCATTTTTTTTCCCTTTCTGATCTGAGTGTGCTGTCAACGTGGAGTGCATGTGGAACTAGTTTGGTAACAGCTGTCTCTTTCATGCTTTTTGCACTCAGAAAAACAGTCGGAGAGTGATGAAAACCGATTTTCCCTTCCTTCTCGTGCTTTTCCCTTTTATGGCAAAAACAAACAGAATCTGAGCAGTTGCTCATTTTGAAGTGTATGTGGTTGGCGGAAATAATTGCAAACGGTATGATAGAGTATTAAGAGTCTCGGTATATGTATGTAGCAGTAGGATAGTATTGTTTTGTGTTAAATTGAAAGCGGTAAAGATGTACTCTGAGCCATGAAGTAATCCTTAGACCACCAGTGGACACGTCTTAATCTTAGCAAGCGTATCTTCTCTGTATTATCACTATCTATCATTGTTGTTCCAGTATGAGTAGTGGTTTTCGATTTCCCCGTTTGATAGTCAAATAGAATATCAATAAGTATATTCTTCTGATTATTGTTCCTCTTACTGCCATTAGCGTTATGTATGCTTTCCATTATCATTTCGTCAGCTGCTTCTCTCTCTTCTTCTGCTTGCTCGTATTGCTGTTGAGTCAGTGAGTAGATATATTCAGTCAGTTGCTTACTTAATGGCACCTCAAGATCAGTAAATCCCAGTTTTTTTACTCGTTCAATACCCTTTGACGTTTGCTCGTCTAATTGTATCCAAGTCGTAGATGTGCTCTTTTCAGGGCATCCTGGATGCGCCACTGGCCATTCAATCTCGTAATAAGTTCTATGAGGAAGCAGCAGTCGCTTCAAACTAGCAGAAAGTTCTTTCTTGTCATGATAGTTTGGGTGGTCGTAGGTTGGTATTTGATGAATGGTAACAGAGGAAGTGTTATTGGTAAGGAAATCTGTGACTGATAAAGGTTTTTTGACAGCAGTAGTTTTCAATTTTTCTTCATCATCATCGCTGCTGCTGCTGCTGCTGCTGCTGCCCAAGCTGTAGGATGAGGATAGTAATGAAGAAGCAGTGGTGGTATAATTGGAGGTAATAATTGTAGATGAAACATCAGGGTATATATCGTTAGATTCTTCATTTTCATACAGTGTGGGTAAGCTTTGATTAGTCTATCATAGATCCATATCCACTTAGTTCATACGCATGATTTAGCGAATAAAATATTCCTAATAGTACTGTGTACCTTGCCATAATGAGAATACGGATGGGATTTCGCTAGGATATCCAATTGTGGTGGTTGTGTTTGATTATGTGGGAATGAAGAGGGCGGAAAGAGTACAGCGTCTACTTTCCGATACCATCTCTTTTCTTTCAACATTATTTGTCGACACTTAAAAATGGAGTTGTAAGATAAACAAAAGTTAAAGAAGAGAGTGGAAGTATTTATACTAATGACATTCGATTTTAGAGAAGCTGTCAAAATTGAGACAGCAAAAAAACAAACATTGATTCGCTGGTCTTACTCGAACTCTAAGCACTTCCGAGCTCGATCAAACGTATCGTTACTATTCAGAGTCTCTCTACAAAGACTCTTTATTTTGCTCCACATGGGTCACTAAGATTTTTAAGGCCAAGATGTAATGATTTCTACCAAAACTTTCTTATATTGTGAGAATGCATCTCAATGATATATCTTCCACTGCTGAATTAGTCCTTTTGTTTGTGATTATCCACTTCAAGCCAGTCACCTGTTATTGGAGAAGAAACATCTTTTTCAAAAAAAAAGGCGGAGCTGACAAGGCAGTATGTTTAGCCCTTTGCCTTTTTAGCCCTCTGCAGATTCAGTTCCTATCCTTGCTTGTTGCTAGAAATCCTCAAAACAAAGCGGCATACTTTTACACAAGACCTTTTCATTGCATTTTTCTTACAGTAACATAAAAAGTTTTGCCTCACTGCGAGCCACAATTTATGGCTCTTTACAGTTTCTCAATACATATCAAGAATACTGAAACTGAGTCTTAATTTTCTGGAACTCATTTGTCCCATACGTCCCGATAGAGTGTTCTTTATCTGACAGATCCACTTTGCAGATGGCTAAACGATCTTAATCGTAAAGATGACATTGCTCAAAAGCTTGGCTACACGCTTGTATACTCAAAGATGTATAGCTCTCATTTATAATTTTACCAAATAAAAGTATGGGCAGGGGATAAGGGGGTTCACTTCTTTTAACTGCATGTGTTTTATATAACAGCTCATACACCAGGGTCCTTCTCAATTTATATTCACTGGCCTTATTGTGAAAGGTACACTAAACGCAGTAAACAGAGATATCAGGGCACCTGAGTAAATTGACGAATTATATGACTCTGTTTCTCATTTTTGTCGTATTTCAGTAAATGCACTTATTGTAACTTTAATAAGTACGTTAATCCTCAACACCCTCCTCATGATCGTTTGATAAACGCCTATAAATCCGAACTTCAGTATTACTTTTCAAATGAAGCAAAATATAAGCTGAAAAAGCGAAAAGTACATTCGGTTTACTTTGGTGGCGGAACTCCTAGTAAGTTTTGGGACCATTATAGTATTGTTGTATACCTCAAATAAGCAGTCTTTTTACACGCTTAATGATGCAAAAAGGTCTTATGAAGCCCTCAGGAGTTCGAGCCATTCTGGAGACAATCGACCAGCGGCTAGGATTGAATAATGATATGGAAGTAACTTTGGAAGCCAACCCAACCGTAACTATAACAATCGTGTTCCAGAGAAAAAAACTGAATAGTCCATATTTACTAATAAGCTTGACGAAAAAGTCGATAGAATCATTCAAATTACGAGACTTTAAACGGGCCGGCATAAATAGAGTCTCTCTAGGAATTCAATCATTGATAACTGAAGATCTTAGATTATTGGGACGGGATCATTCAGGGCAAGAATCAATCAAAGCACTCTTATTGGCTAAAGAAATTTTTGGTGAGAAAAGAGTTACGTTTGATATGATCTATGGTCGTCCAGGGCAAACCGCAAAAGGTAGTAAAAACGCTATTGAATATTTATATAAATAATAGCAAGAAAGAGAACTGTTCTAATAGCAACTGCATAGGTTGGGTACAAGAATTGAAGGTATTGCAAATTTATTGCCAAAGGAAATTACGCTTTTTGTCCTAGCAATAAGATAGTAATAACGCATATTATGCCAGCAAGCACTTGAACTAGCAGGAGACCATGTATCTATATATCAGCTGACTGTTGAAAGGAGTACACCGTAAGAACATTTAAGTAGCTCTGACTATCGTTCATATAGACATTGACAGCTTTTCCGAAAACAAAAAGGTTGCATAAACAGTCGTTAAAGAAACAATTACCACATATACCAGATGTAGACACGGCAGCGGACATGTATGAAAAGACTGTACAAATAATGAAAGATTACGGCTATACACAGTATGAAGTCTCCAACTATGCTAAGCATCAAGAGGCTATCAGTCGACATAATTTTTCTTATTGGCAAGGCATGGACTATCTAGGGATAGGTCCTGGTGCTCATGGTCGCTTAGCAGATTTTGAGCTGAAACAAAAAGTTAGGACTTTTGGTGTAAGTCATACTAAAGAATAGTAGGTCTTTCGAAGCGAAAAGTATCGTTAAACATCTTTTTTTTTTTTAATTTCTGCTTCCAATTTTTACAGGAATTTCATCCAAACAAGTATATAAATTTATGTGAACAAGAAGGCGAAGGGTAAACAAAATAATTGTTGTTATGGCTCTTAAGGCTGATACAGGACTGATATTTTTCAATTACGATTAGACTTCGTAAAATAGAACCTGTTCCATTAACCATTTTGGCTGAGGTAAGTCTGAAGAGTTCTTTCTTTTTACTTCACTTATTTGATGAATCTTGGATGTGATTAAATTCTCGTATCTAGGAAATGATCATGTTTGGACTGCGTACACGTATGGGCATACCCAGAACACGATTCACCGATACAACTGGTATGGTTTTGGATAATGTACGATATAAAGCAATACACATTAATTGGTTCAGGAAGTTATCAAGGAAATATTTACTCAATTTTGACGATCATTCTTTATACCTTCTTTTTGTTATAGTTTCTCGACCGGGATGCTTTAAAAATGTTCATTGACTTAAAATTGCTGGTGGATGAAGCTACAATCATGGATAAAAAAATACATAACTACACGCCTAAGGAGCTTATACAGGAATGGAACACCTCGGGTGGTATACGACCTACAGATGCAGGCTTAGAAAAGATAGATTACATACTTCCCAGAATTTTAAAAACAAGAGAAGGATAAATTAAAGATAGAATGCTTTATTGAGGGGTTTTGACTATATGTAATGCGAAATGAAAAGAAAGATCTATAGTAACAATAAAAGAGAACATAGCGTATGCACTTGTTTATACATTAAAACATTTGTTTGGTAAGTAATGACTCAAGGAAGTTGGGGACGGGTATATTCCAAAGTTTGAGTTGTAATAAGAGCTTAAATATCAACTTGTACGCACGTTGAGTCAAATGTTCAACTGGTTTTACTGCTTCAGGTGCGTTATTTTTGTCAATGTACATCTTTCTGAATGTTTTGATAGAGTGAATACTTTCTGAGAATCTATTGAAAGTGTTGAATAGTGCAACAATTTCATTTCTTTCAAAAAGATCAGGATTCGTGACAGGACTACACGAAAAAAAAAGGCAAGATGATAACATTCAGTGCTTAGTTAAGATAATGCTATATATTAAGAAATTCTAATTTGTCAAACTTACTCTAATGATTTATCTTCATAAGAAAATAGGACCTTCAATGCGGTACCCAAACCAACAGTTTGCAATTTACCCCAGAGTCGACACTTTTCACAGCCAACGCAATCCATAATGCTAGACACATTACGGAAATGATCTCTGAATTCTTTCTTAAGCGCATATGCTCCAGGGCCCTTGAACATAGCATTCTCATCGAACGTAGAAGGACACGTATCAATGCTTTTCACAAGATTCTTGATCATCGATCGCGTTCTGTCATCTTCTTCTACGCTACCTGTACGCCATTCGTATGTCTCAAGGTAAGGTTCTACCTTTTGAACAGCTCTCAAGAGAAGGGCATAGGTAAAGTAAATATTCTGAAGACGTTCAGGGTGAGAACCGATTCTGTTGACAAAACAATCCAGGTTAGGGCCCTATCAATCGATTGCATACATCAATGGAGTTTATTAGTACATGCTTTTCTTTTTTCTCTTTCCTCAAGCTTGATAAATTTTTACCCAAAGATTTTTGTCCTTATAAAACCATTCGTTACAAATGTGGATTGAAATGGAAGAATGTAATCCAGAAATCAATCTGTAATAAACGCGCTTTTCCAAGCACACTTCATCTTTACTGTCCTCACCACCATCAGGCTCTTCTGCCAAATCATTCAAAAATTGCTTCAGTTCTGATCGCTTGGATGGTACTTCGGCAAATGGATTGGATGACTTTTTGACCACGGCCTGGTCAGCACTTCTAGCAGCTTCAGCACGTTGATTACCCAGATTCATAATGTTATTACAAGTCTCACATCCTTCTGTCATCTTGTGGACAATATCAAAACAATTTTCTTCGTATATAGCCTTCCATATTCTGCCGGATGATGGACCTGCATATCCAGTAAAACGTTCCGGATTCTCGGTTAAGTCTAAATAAATAACATTGTCTGAATCCAGTTGATCGTCTACGAGACAGAAATCCTGATCTTTGTAGGTACATTTATGTTGGAAAGGTTGAAATAGCTTTAAAATAATGAAAACAATTTCGGTATAAGTATAAAGCATGTATGACTGACTAGGAAACATAAGCAAGTAAGGAAAATGTATCAAGTATCACTTACAGATCCTTGAGGTGAGACCTGGACGGCACTTGCAGCCTTTCGCCAATCTGCTGGTAACATATTCTACTCACAATTAAAAGTGAGAAAACTTAATACAGGTTTCGTTCATCATTCACTTATTCTTTACTATTTACCTCGTCAGTGGTTGCGACCGAGCAATCGCGGTTAGTGCATAATGCCTCTTCATTCCAAAAAGGGCATTCCTTCCATAAGTTAGCCTACAAATACAATAGAGATGAATAACTGTCATCCGACGAAACGTGAAACATGTATAATTACCCTATAATAACGGAAGAATTTACTATGCACTAATTCTTGAATTTTGTCAAATACATCGTTTTGAATAGTTTCGATGCTCTGATAATCACAACAAGTATCCCTAATTTGACCTTGAGGCTAAAAGAGAGGTTAATAAAAACTAGCTATAAGGAAATACATGTTTCCTAAAAGTTGTTCTGAATTACATTGCAGTAGTCATTGCCATTAGTACTTGTCAAAATATTTTCTACAAAGTTGACAGGTTGGGGATCTTGTAAAGGGCGCTGAGGGCCTTTCACTACTGCTTCTTGGAAACTAGGGCATACAGCTATCGAAGCTAATGCTAAAGCAATGAAGGAACTTTTCATCCTCGTTCTTCTTTCTTCTTTTCTTTTTGCGTCAGTAAAAGCGACGATATAAAGTGGAAAAGAAGAGTAAACGCTTCGCAGCATCGTTTTTAATGAATTGTAATATTACAACGTCTGCCTTTTTTGGAAATGATTGTGTAATTATAACCCAGCGGGTTTCAAATGGTTGTCCATTACGTGTAATGCAGACAATCCTTAAAGCATTCTCCTAATTTTCACCGTCATTAGCCTAAATACTGCTGCATAAAAAATACAGCCTTTATAATATATGATGGTCATTATAGAGGTGCTTGCAAAATACAAACTGCGTGACTAAGCTGCTATGTGGGAACCTTCGTTGAAGTTATTATCAAGAAGCAGTAGTCATTACTAAGCAGTGCTTCTCCTTTAATTGAACCCACTTGTTAAGTAAAATCAAAGGCGTCTGTTTACGGATATAATAGTGTCTATACAATAGCGATATAAAATATAGTACTAAGTGGTATATGTGTAAAAGCAATGTACATTGATTATGAGTAATCTTGAATTCTAGCAGTATTAAAATGGTTGAAAGTAAGCCTTGCTTTTGCAATATTTGAAGTCATGCCTATAATTAAGTGAATACAGTTAGTTATACGGACGCTCCGTTTTACCAAATTTCCGTTGGGCTATTACATTACTTTTGGTGCATATATAACTGAGTTTTAAGAAATTCCATCTCTTCCTTCAAATTGTTCAACACTTGCTTCAAATATTCATTTTCTTTTGACATTCGCTCAGCTTTGTGCGCTAGTTTTTCCATCCATTCCTTTTTGCGCTGCCTACATTTAGAAGCTGATGCACAATTTTATGTTAAAACCTTACGAATAGCATAAAAACATTCTGATTTCTTACCAGCCAATCTGTTCCGTTCTAAATTCTTTTGTCGAAGTTCTTCTTCGTCCTCCAATGATTCGTCACCAGTTCCTGGCGAAGCAATAGTACCAGTGATATGACTAACCGTTAATTTGGCGGATTGTCTGGACATTTTTTTCTCATTCGACTTTTTTAAAGCAGTAGAATTCATGAAAGTATCAAAAGCTATGTCTTCAGGAACTGAAGACATACTCGAAGAAGAGGATAAATCGGAGATAGGCGATAAACACAGCCTGTCAATATAGTCTGCCTCTGTGCTAATGTCTGAAATTCCAGAATATACACCAAATCTGTAGCTGCTCTGGTCACCAGGAGTGACAGCAGTGCTAAATGGCTGCAGCAAGTTTAATTGATGCTGGGTCGAGGTAGAATATTGTTGTTGATCATTATAATTATTACTGTTGCCAAAGGGATCGGGCGTGATGGCAGTCTCTGAAGGGTAAACCATTCGATTAGAAGAAATAGCTGAATACTTCTTGTTTATATAGATCTGGTAAAATGATAATTCAGTAGTAACGAGGAAAAGAGAAAAGAAAGAGGTCGATAATGAATGGTTTGCATAAATATGAATTTGTTCCTTTTACAAAAAGCAGGGTAATCAAAATATCAAAGAGGCTTTAAGCGGCGTTTCCAAGCAGCAAATATGTTTCATAAGTTTTTTGCTTTCTTTGTTCTTAATTAAGAATGTGCAAACCAAACAAATAATTGAAAACTGACAAACAGCAACAAATAAAGCACTGGCTGGACAAAATGGAGGTAAATCCGCCCATACTTATCTGCTTTAGGAAGCTTACTAAAGCAATTAGTTAACAGCTTAATGCGTATTATGGAACGATACAAGATTGTAATTGCTTAAAAACTCAAACAAAAAAGAAAACCTTCAAAGAAGGGGGCCACTGATGCAATAAACAAACGCACCACTCCCAAACCATTTAGGTAAACGGTTCATGATTAAGGTATGTTTTCAACCGCATGCTGAAAACAATTCCTAAGAACTTAGAAGCAAACCTTTAACACTATATTTTGAGGGGTGGGGTGGTTTAGGGCGTTTTTATCGCTCTCTGACATTTCAAATTACCAATATCATTGTCATAAATAAGATGGCTGTAGATACGATTTTCTTTTTGCTTACTCAACAGATGCATTGAGAGAAGACGAAAACCACTCAAAACTGAAACAGTTTCTTGTTGCTTCACCTAAGAAAGTTGGTTCTTATGGTGTTCCTGGACATCTTAAATAAAATGAAACAGTTTGAATATATCACCCTATATCTGCCTTTCATGAATCATTCTATAGCAAAGCTTCTTAACCAATTATAAGCATTTTAATACCTTTACTCCCAACTCATGAATAGAATCATTGCAAAATGCTTGTATTCTAGAAACTCGATCCCAACGATTTGGTCTTGGACTAAGTACTGTACGGTTCGTCATTTTACCTGTCAATTATTAAAAAAATCAGCAATAGCACAAAGACGACTGATCAATAGCCAAATACACAACAATCATTCAAAAACAAATTTGTGATGGTTAGTTCATGTCTCAACGAAGGATTAATAACTGTTGAGACTACTTCAGTCAACGAACTCTATAATTGATTTTCTTTATTCGGTTAAGTGAAAAGCTGGGCCGGGACCAGTCTTTCGTAGTCCATTCAGCTTCCATCGCGTTGACCTTTACCAGAATTATTATAGGCTGACCACAAACGAACGCTAGAATCATCCAACAAACATCGACTTGAAAACTGTAAAGCTTGTTATACGGATACATTGCGGTATTCATGGTCATGAATCCAGCTACTATTAATCTCCCCACATCTGCTTTTATAATTGCTTCTGATATATAACTAAACCATGAGGCTTGAATTACGGTCATCAAGACAAGGAAAATGTGGAGGGTCAAAAACACCAACCCAGTAAGAACGAATTTCGTTCGAAACAAATTTACAGCGTTTTTGTAACGTAAATGTTAATCGGTAGAAGCAAATTAAGGAGTGTTAAAAGTACATATTCCTTTGTTCAACAAATTGAATATTGCCATAATAAAAGCTGTTATTGCGCAACGCCTCCATGCAACATACGTGACATAAATACACTAACAATATTAAAAAAGCCTTTGTGACAAATACAAAAGTCTGAATACGTGGCTGTTAGATTTCAGTTTTAGCTCACAAAGCAAACCAAATTTTAACTGCATAAATTATATAATAATAGCCTAAGAACAAGGATGAAGTAGAGAATACAACCAATTCAAATCTTGGGTACTCATAGCAGAGAATAGAACAGGAAATAACATTATGGCAAGCAAAGCACTACTTGCTATTCTTGCGGTATTGTATGCGAAAACCGACAGATGTATTTAAAGACACTTTCAATGCATAAGTCCGCTATTCTTTAAACATTTCCTTCAAATTTGATTATGTCTTCTGTGAACAATATTGGAGAGCCGGTTAATGCAAGGTTGTCGTCAACGGCAAATAGACAGCTGAACGCTATTTCAGTCTTTATGGATCATGTCAAGCAAGTATTTTCAACAACCCCACCCATAACGAGGTTTACACTTTATGCACCCGTCATCATGTACATTGTTGACAAGCTTATTCTTCCGTTAATACACGTACAACTCGATCTGTCATCATGGACATGCCTAAACTATAAAGACACCATAGCAAAATTCCAGAGTAAATTTTTTCGCGAAGTGCTGAAGTTTGAGTCTTGCACTCGAATGCCAAGATGACAGTAATTTGATCGATGTTTGAACTAACTTATTATTCATCAGTTTATAGATTTTTAACATACCCTATTTCTACCGTCCCTTTTGTTCAAATTTTCATTACGGCTTTATGGTTGATACCAGAAATGTTCAAACTCGAAAAAAGACAGGGTTCTCTTCGATTTTTATGGATCATGACAGTTGTTTTTACGTTATTGCCTGGTTTTATTTACGTAGCAAGCATGAAATTGCTCTTCTGGAGTTGGCCAAGTTATGGTAACACACGTGAGCAAGAATTTGCGTTTCGTGGTATGACAGGTTGGGTAGTAGGCTTGATCTTTTGGGCTTACTTGGGAGACGAAAATGATGGGCAACAAGAGCAACAAGATCGAATGTAAGCTGAAACGATGAAGAAAAAAGATAGATTACCTTTGTGAATTAACCGATATGTTTACAAAATGTAGGATAGCAGGTGCTATTCGCTTGCCGAACAGGTTGTGGCCAGCTTTAGTCTTCATTTTCTTCGTATTCCTAGGAACTGATTCATCCATCGTGCTCAACCTTGTAGCCTCGATCATCGGATTTCTCTGTAAGCAACAAGCATAAATAGCAGCCAGATTAAAACAACTTAAATACTAACTTTTTTTTGTTTTCGTTTTACAGACGCCAAAAAAAGGCTAAGCTTTTTGATACCATCAGATGAAAAATTCTTAGAATATGAAGGCAAGACATGGCTTCGAACTTTGACTAACTCTCCTAACTACGTCTCTATTGACTCTGCTGGTGAAGGTTATCTACCTATTTTCATACCCACAGCATACCCTCCAAACAGTTCGACAACATCGCATAACAGCAATAACTCACCGCGAACTCCTAATTCGAGTTTTCCTGGCCAAGGATATCGATTGGATAGTTAAAGGTGAAATTACTTTTACTTCAATATAATATATGCAAGAAAAAACTCCAAAAACCACAAAATACGGTTCCGTATATATAGTATAGAATATGTATTATAATTTATGTTTGCTTTTGTAAGTATATTTTATCTAAGCTAAATCGGCTTCCTCGGCCTGGCTTCTCTCTGCTTTCAATCTCTCAGCTACAGGATTCAAAGGAACGGTTACTTGGGTCAAAATATCCACTAAATTGTCTTGAGCTTCGAGAGCCTTCAATTCTTCGTCGGATTTACACAGCATCAAACCAGCAATAGCCAAAGAATTAAGTGAGAAATCGTATTTCTTTCCTTCATGCTCAATAGTAGCTACCTCTTTTAAACGAGGTACGAGCATCATAAAGTCTTGAGTCAATAAGAAATTGTAAGACATAGTCATTGGGCTGTCGTTTTCACGTAATTGCTGAATCATGGCATCCAAAAGGCCAAAGAAGGTTTCGGCCAAATAATCAGTGAGGGTTTCTTTAGTGTTAGCCTTGGTTTGAATAGTGTTGTGGTCAAGGGGGATAATAACGTGCACGAAAGGGAGTCTATTCAAGGCGTAAATTTGGCCAATTTGGCGGTCGCCGATGAGGTCGAAGAGGGCTTTAATTGGTGGTTGAGCACCTTCGTTCTTCAAAGGAATGACTTGAAGATGCTTGTGGCCTTGACTGTATATTGAGGTAAAATAAAAATGAGATGGTTATGACCGATTATAAGTAAACCCTGTGTTGATAAACATTATCAAAGCTTAGCTGAAATACCTTGCACCTGATTCAGAACCGCAGTTGTAAAATGCAAGAGAGGGTACTGAACCGAAGTTTTGAATGATTTTGAAAGCTTCATATATATCATTTGGTAAAAGAGGATCGGATTGCTTATGGAATTCTATGGTTGAGAGAAATATTTAGATGTGAGGATAGGTATAAGAGTACATTACTATGGCTGCAAATACTACCTTTCGTGGTAATGAGCAAATGGTTGGGTACAACTGAGAATTTATTCAAAAGAAGATTATGTTGATCAAGTTCCTTAACGAACAATTTAGGGTTGGGATTCAAAAAAGGATTGCTGTTTTCTTTGTCCTTATTCTTTTCTTTTTCCTCGTTCTTTTTTTGTGAAAGACCAGGTACTAAAGTGATTAAGAACTTGTGTAGTGTAGTAGCAAATGGCAGTTTGTTAATAATCGCGTGTAATGTACAGCGATCGGAACTGAAGCAGACTGGTCTGTACCTTGATTTTATCACATTCTTTCTCAACCTCTGTAGTATTGAAAGAGATCAAATCTTCGCTTTCTTTAGCAGCGTTAAACTTAGCTTCGACTTCTTGCAAAAATGACATTCTTCGTATGCTTACAACTGAATGATGCGATTAAAGCAGGATAAGAAAGTTTTGTGTAATGACCGGAGTGCCTTAATGGGAGGATTCTAGAAAAAAAAAAAATTAACACACTTGGTTTGGAAGCGGCGCTTCAAAACTACTGCATCGACTGTAAATGATCCCAGCCACTCATTATTGTTCATCATCTGTTTATACGCTATGTATCTTGTTATTTAATATGGATTACACGAAAGATAAATTAGATAGAAATACTATATTATACATTATTTAAGGATAGTTGTCAACAATTTCGTAGCCAAACCCTCCAATGATCTTGATTTCCTTAGTGTATTTTTCTTCTCCTTCGTAAAAACGCTATCTGAAATGACAAACTTGCTTTCTTGACAAGGAATGCAAGCTATATCATAAAATTTAACAGGATGGTTACTACTAGCAGCATTCAGTCCGTGAGAGAGTGGTGATGAGCTGTTGCTATCAAACGACCATGCTATTCCTCGCTGTACAGATACCATCATCGGCCCACTGATTTGTGATTGTTTGTACAGTGTAAGAATTTCATCCGCTGCAGTAGTGTCTTGTTTCGGTCCTGCTATTGATGTTTGCATTTGCTGACCGCTAGTGCCTTGCTGCTCCTGTTTTTGTTGTGAAGCAGCCATTGTAGCCGTGTTCTTAGAGAAAAGTAGAGCATACTGTCCATCCATTTTCAACTGATTCTTAACATCAAATGCAATCCAAGTTGAAGTTGTAGTAGTGGTACTAGTATTGGCTTCCTGTCGATACTGTGGTCTATAACACCATAGATACTGTCTTTTGCGTAACTCACTGGCTTTCCGGAAAAGTTTTAGTGAGGTTCGTCTTGAAAGTCGATTCAAATTGGCACTGCTCTCACTCAAGGGAGCAACATTTTCGGACGTAGTAAAAGAAGGATTCGACGTAGGCGAGAAGGTAGCAGCCTTGCTGATATCATCATTGCCTGAACTATTTTCAATACATGAAGTTGATGCAGTAGCAGCAACTTTTGTTGGAAGCTGTTCCCGTGATATATCCTCCTGATAGCCTACGTAATTGTTGTGGTTTGACGAATGGCCAGGCTGTAAAAGAGACATTGAAGAGAGAATATTTTCCATCACGGAACGCCTACGCTGTGGAATGCTGTTAGATGGGTGAGCAGCTGTGACAGATGATGTTAAATTTATACTTTCTGAAGAATTAACTGATGGAGAAGTGGAAGAATGTAGCCCTTCGACGGGTGTCTGCTCGTTGCTGGTATTAGGTTTGCTTGAGTTATCAGTTTTTTTTTCTATGACGGATGCTTGTGGCAGACCGAGGAAATTAGTAGGATTCAGAAACGCAGAAGGCAGTGTGAGTTCCTGCTGTGGTTGCTGTAGTAGGTTCAATGATGGCGAAGTGAAAAATTGCTGTGGAAATGCTGGGAAAGAAGTTGGTTGGTTGGACGTCATATTTAGAAAGCAGGGCTGATTCTGGATATGATGTGCAGAATGAAGTGGGTGTATAACGGAAACATTTTGCAAATGAGAAATCGGAGGTACTACCAAGTTGTTGTTGCCTGGCTTGCTCAAGGGGCTAGCCGCTGTCATGGGCATTTGGGGAGGAGAAAGCAGCCGTCCAGGCATGAGATCTGTTGTACAAATGCCTAAAATTTGCTGTTGATGTTGCTGGTAATGTGGTTGTGTCAGCACGGGATCAACTAGCATCATGGGTTGGGTGACATATACGGCAGATTGTGGCCAAGGCACTGCATCATCTTTACTTTTATGGTGAAGCCGCGAAACTTGTTGCATTTCTCGGGTTTGCCTTATATGAGGAATTGAAGCTAATCTTGTCATTTCTGGATACTGATCACTGTGATAAAACTTTCTGCTGCCATAATGGTTGGATGAATGTGGGTCATATTCACCTTCCTCAGCTTCCTCCTCAGAAAACAAGTAGGGGCTACCTTCGCCATAGTAATGCCTGTCATTATATCGACTATTGCCTATTGAAAAGGTGTAATTAACTGTTAGATTTTCTTTACATTAAATCAATTGTTAAAATTTATTGTACCTCTTGATTCAAATTTTCGTCTCATAATTGGGTGTTCATATCTATGCTTCCCGCTAACTGGATGCACAAAAGATTCCCTTAGCTTTACATTATCCATAGTATGGAATGATATTTTATGCGGATATGGATGCTGCCAGTAAGGATCGAAGTAGTTCGGGTATTGGCTTGTCGTTAAATAGTTAGTTTCATATATCATAATTCTGGGCTTATTTTAGAAGGATAAGAAATAGTGGTTTCTATTCTAACAGAAGTACAAGAAAAAGAGAAAGCTTAAGGATTTTTCGACGAAACGTTTAAAATTAACGCATTCAAAGCCGAAATAACATATCTCAATTTAACCTCATGGTTAATGCTGTACTACAGAATTCAAATCTTCTATCAAAAAAAAAAAAAAAAAAAAAAAAGAAGGGGTCATCTATTATTTGGTAGTCTCTGATCAGTTTATACGTTAATGAGATCTGAAGAATATGGATATACATACACAACTATTATAGACATACTGCGTATTTACTAGAAAGAAAAATGCCATATCATCCATTCGAATCATAGCTCTTATGGTAAAAGAGAGTATAAAAGTCAATAAGGCATGACGGGCTGTGTACAATTTTTAACGAGACAATAATGGTAATCTATTTGAGCAATAATGAAATATTATACCAAGCATCTTGGCATGGCTTAGTAGGTATCACGTCTATCTTCGTGTCTTAGCTTCATTCTTTTCAAAGGTTTGTTTCTAATTTCCAAATGATCCATTTCTTCTGGTTCAGTATCTTCCTCTTCCGCTTCCGATTGGACTCTGCTGTTTGCTCTACTACTTTCGGCGCTATCTGTAATTCCTCCTCTATTACGATTACGATATTTCCAGATCTTACCCACCATATCTTCTGTTGAGGCACCGAAGACTTTATTGAAGCCACGAATGAAGTCATGACTCTTATCTTCCCATAGCAGAAGCGTATCATTAATCGCTCCTTTAATATTCTTTTTGAAATCGTCGATCGATTTTTTGGTTTTGATTCTTCTTTCCTTTAAAAATGAAATATTGAGCTCTTTAGCAGTAACACCTCTTTCTAAGTTTCGTCGCAAGTAAGCGTCATAGTCTCGCACAATACGCGTGATCAAGTCGGACGTTGAAATACCGTCAGTGCGTTCTGTGGGGAAAAAGCGACCTTGATCTTTGACAAAAGCGTAGACATCACCTGATTCTTTACTTTGGTAAGGCTCAGCATCGTGAGCAACATAGTCGATTTCATGGCGATCAAGAAAATCCTGATCCACAAACCATGGTGCATCTTCAATTACTTTGTCCACCCATTTGCAATGTCTGACAGATTCATATCGTTCGGCTTCATTCATGACCGTTTTACCTTTACGTTTATGAGTTTCCGCATCACTACAGACTATTAATACATAATTTGTAGTCAGTTAATTTGTGGATTTGGCTTGATACAACAATAGGATGGTCGTTCTTACCGCCAACCATAAGATATACATTAGGAAATGCTTTTTTGGCTTGTTCGAGTGCTTTAGCATGACCAAAATGGAACATATCATAGATACCTGAAGAATGAGATATTTTAATAAACTAGAGCTCAAACGCTTTCAAGATCATGGACAAAATTCTCATTACCATCACAGTACATTCTTACGGGTCTACCAATTGGTGGCTAATATATAGAAATACTACTTGAGTTTTCGAACTTCAACAGATTATCTTCTTCAAGGGATTCTTCAACTTACAGGATTGATTTTAAAGCCATACTTCTTTTCTATTCCAACGGGTAAGCCAACAGCTGTAGTTGCTGAAGCATTATCTGTTTCTTCATCACTAGTGCTCGATATCATGGAAGAACTCATGGGTCGAGACCTTTTGACAGCTGTCGTGGTATCTGCCTTTGTTGTAAAAGAAGAAGGGTTGTTGACGCCGGAAATAGAAGTGTCCGTATTATCTTCATCTATTAGAACAACGTAGAGGGTACACTATTTAGTTGTTGAATAACAGTGGGTTCCAACAGTTTTTTCATCCATCTATTTTACCAGAGGCATCGCGTGATGTGGGTTGGTCAATTGTTCCAACATTTCTCTCTTCTTCTTCTTGTTCGTCTACATGTCTCTTCCTTTTTGTTAGACGACGACTCTCAGAGGGTGCAGTAAAGGTACTCATCGCTATTAGGAAATTGCTTGACAAGAGTCAAAAAGGAAACAACTTTGGGCAGGGACAAAAAAAAATGTCAGAATTAAAGCAGCTCACCAAAACGAAAAAAGTGTGGAAGAAAATCAGAAAAATTTGAAACCTTTTATTTTTAAACTATTTTTAATACGTTTGATCTCTAAACAGCTGTTAATATCACGGTCGCCATTTGCTAAAGACTACTACTTATATTTAAGAATAGAAAAAAAAAAAAAAAAAAGGTGAGTATAGAATGTAGAGATATGAATATTGTTTGTTGAATTATTGTTGTGTTAGGTGTTCATCTCCTTTCGTATTCAATGACAGTCTAAGATAAGCAATTTTTGAATCAGTTGCTGATCATTTGTAGAAAGTGCTCTACGAAGTTATCAATGTTCTCAATGCATCCACTTCTTTATTCATCCAAGCGCTTCTTTTCTTTTTTCTGAATCAAGTGTACGAATACTATCTCCGTTTGACGTTGGAGACCTTTCACGACGCGATGTGCTGCTACAACTGGCAAAGAGAGAGTTTTCGTAATCAAATTTTGGCATAACTCTTTCTGTTTGTGCAGATAGTAAAAGATCTTTTTTAATACGAAAATCTGTGATGGGCGGGATTTGGAGCGGGAGGAAGCAGAGCAAGTATTGTAAAAAATTGGTCAAATTACAAGTTAACCGTGGGCCTTTTTAATGTAAAAAGAGCTTGTTGATGCACTTGATCAGATCAGAGACGACAATAAGATTGTTTTATCTTTGCCAACCGAGAAGAAGCTCTTGACTGATCCATGAGATACAGCACTGAACTGACCGTAGTGTTGCTGTGTTACTGATTAATATACGTCTATAGTTTAAACCCTGGATGGAGCAGAAAATTAATGATATGACTTGGTCTTCAAGCATAATTCAATTAATAATCAATATATATGCAATCAGTTGCGAGTTTTATAGTGAAGTATGAGCTTACACATACCGCGCCATTTTCATGAGCATTTATTGAAATATTGCTATATTATACTTAGCAATTGCTAAGCATCCTTCATTTTTTCTATTTTCTTTATCAAACAATCTTCCTCGCGACTTTTATACTTAAAAGAAAAAGACTGTAGCTGATCGATATTCAATAAGTCGGAATCGAACCTTTTTTGAGCGAAACTGATTAAGTATCTGCAAAAGAGAAAGAAAATGTCATACGATAGCTTTTATCTCTATAGCTGATGTCTACCTTGTAGCTTTCTTGGGAACTTTAAAACCTTACAATAATAAAGACGGTTTGTTGATGTATGAGTTGAAATGAGCAATAAAGCACGTGTGTACACTATAAGGGTTACTGCCATATCATTGGATATGTAAACTTACAGTAGGACTTTCAAGAAATCATTCAATGACCAATTTTATAAGGGTAGAGAGTAAGGAACGACACTAGTCAGTTTAATGAATAAATAAGTCTACAATTGCTACCAAGTTTGCATGAAGATATGTAAAGTAACTTTTCTATGGATGAATCAGTGATCCTTGGAGAAAATATCAAATTTCTTTACTAGACTGTCGATCTGATCCGTAGTATACCCGCTACTAATGATATCTCTGGCTTCCTGAACCTTTCCAAAGACATTAAAGAGGACTAATCCTACTATTTTTTGATCCCGAGTATAAAAAACAAGACCTTTACCGAATTTTTCATCCTTAAAGATTACATCGTTCTTTTGAGTAGTTTCGGAAGCATCTTCAGTAGATGTATTAATGCTTGTAACATCCGTCTCGCCTGGAGCCAGGCGAGGACTACTAGTCTCAGTCGAAGCAGCAGCAGCAGCAGGTGTATCTTCTTTAGTAGCTTTAGCCCACACACTGACTGTTGATAATTGTGAATCAACTAAGCCTACCGCTTCATAGCCAATCTCAGGGCCTAAATCTGACCAAAACATGGACTGATGTTTATAAGCTCGATGTCCGCCCACCATATTTTCACCAGCATGACGACCACTGAGCACGGCATGATCATGATGCTCGATACGGCGACGTCCAAGTTGGATATCATGGAAAGAAACCATATCACCAGCGGCATAAACATCAGTACGTGCTTCAAGTTCAGCATTGACAACAACACCTGAATGTTTTTCGTCAATTTCGAGACCAGCATCGCGAGCTAAGTCCACACGAGGCTTAATACCAATGGCAATGATAACATGGTCCACTTCGACGGTTTCGCCATTACTGAGTTGAATAGTTGTCTTTTCATCCTTAGAAGAGTAAATGCTTTCTACGGAGCACTTCTCCTTAACGTTTACGCCCACTGTTTAACGGGTCAATTTCTAATTATAACATACTGTTCAATATCAGTTTCGAAACTTGAACTTACATTTACGGACACGACCTGTAGTCCATTTCGTTAGATAAGCTGGGAAAACCTTGGCCATATTTCCATCTGAGAAGTCGCAAAGCAATTTTGTGAATAAGGATATCTTCAATAATTATATTGCGAATACAGTAGATTCTATTACTATACCTTCAGGGAAGATTTGAGTCACCTTCAAATTTTCTTTGCCAGCTTTAATATATTAGGATGAACCATATTGCAGTACATTAGGATACATATTTAACAAAAAAAAAAAAAGTCTATACTTTTGAAGAATATTATACTTACCTCTATGTGCTAGAGCAACAGCTAGCTCTGAACCAAGGAAGCCACCGCCGATGACAGCAATATGAGCACCGTCTTTAGCAACCTTGTCCAATGTCTTGAAATCACTAATATTACGGAAGGTAGTAATATGCTTGCTGTCGGCTGCTGGTTGATTAGGTAAAGTCTTGGGTTCACCTCCAGTGGCCAATAAAACTTTGTTATAGTATATCATGCTCCCATCGTTTAAAGTGACAGTGTGATCATCAATGTTGAGTTTAGTGACGGATTTGTTGAGTAGCAATTTGATCTTATCATTGGTTTCGATATCTGAGCCAGAGGCGTCTGAAATTAGTTCATATTCAGAAATGTTTTGATAGATGGTACTACAAAATGATGGGTTAGTGTTTCCATCAGCAAAGAATACGCTTAATTATTGATTCAGTATATACGCACTTTCTCTCCTTTCCGGACCACTGTTAGTAATGTTTCAATTAGTAAGCGTTTTTTGCATGATGAACACAATCCATATTTCCTTTTGATCAACTTACATCTTTGAAAGTTAAATTCTCTACCTCAGGTTTTTCAGAAAACCAAAGCTCTTTTGATAGAGGAGGTCTATTACAATTACAATAACTTTACATTAGCGAAACGATACTGGATATAATGTAAGATGTATTATCAATTGGTAGCTGTTTTTACCTCATATAAGGTGCATAGGCTTCATCACCAATGATAATGACCTGTCATCGAAGCGTGAAAAAAATATGTTGATTCAATCCCTTCAAGCAGGCAGTTTCCTTTTTTTACTCTGAGAAACCACTTACATTGGCTTGAGGATCCTTCTCTTTTATGGCTTTGGCAGCAGCAAATGAAGCAGTACCTGCACCTATGAGAACGTAAGGCTTCTGGATTTTGCTCTTTTCAACTACACTTACAATAGGTGGTGTTTGTAGCCGATCATTCTCTCCAGCAGGCTTTTTATCAGCAGCAGCTTCGGCAGGTGAAACGTGTTGAGTAAGGTCGTGGTTGATAGCAGACCTTTTTTTGGAAGGTGGCGGAGAGGTCAACTTGAACAAAATAGGACCGAAAACAAGCAGTGAGCCGATGGCCCAGGGAATGTTGCTTCCACTGTCTTTGACATGAGGGGTAGGTGTGGAGTATAAGCGAACTTGTTGTCTAAAAAGTTGTCGTTGTTGTTGTTGCTGCAAGAAGCTTTTTGTTAAAGAACTTGAGCCTTTTCTTTGAAAGAAACGGGTTGAGCGACCTGTAACCTTTAAGCAGTTCATAATGGCTTTGTCTCTAAAATGTGAAAGAGACGAAAATTTAAACTTTTCTTTTACATAAACGTTAATTGACAATAGAGTTATGGTACCTGAGAGGGGGCAAAAAAGTGACGTCGGCGCCTTAATCAAAGCAGACTCAGAGATTAATAGTGGTTAACTTTATTTATATAATGTTGATAGGGAAAACGATATGTGTATAAATGTCGAAAAGAACGTTATTTTTCTTACTCCAAAAAAAGATATAATAAAATTATACGTAAGAAAAAGAGAGGGAGACGGAAGCATACTATAATAAAAATGATATACGAAGAAAAGTTTCTGTTTACAAAATAGTAAAAATAAGAGAGAGAGAGAGTGTGTGTGTGTGTTAAAAAGAGATATGTTACAGGAGTTTATACATATATACACCCACTCCTGTGGGATAAAACGTTCAAAAATTACAAAATATGGATTGGAATAAATATTGTAAGTCGTCCACGCGTCTAATGATTTTGAGCAACTACAAATTACTCTCTACATCACTGCCAGTGGTCATCTTTTCAACCTTTTCAATTACAGTATTGACTTTCTGTTGAACTTCAGTGTTACTCATGACACTCTCGACGTTTGATTGCGTATTCAATTCTTGTTGTTCTTGATTTTCATTCTCTTGCTTGTCAGACTCATTTGTAAGGGCTGGGTCCTGAAGGTTATATGTTAAACCCATCTTTTCTACTTCTATTGATTAAAAAGTTATGCTCAACGTTAGCTTTAAATCTCATTACCATGCATTCAGGGGATGGCTTACTCTGTATAAGATGTTTGCCGTAGGTATACTTCTTTAAAGAATGTAAATGAGGTCTAATTTTGTTGACAAGCATTTCACGTTGATTATCATCCACTACATCCAGCATTTTCTGAACAACGTAGTTTGCATATTGATCCTTCATCATAGTAATCAAAGGATAGGTTCTATAGATGTAAACAGCGCGCTTTTTAGTTTATCATCAAGCTTTCGATTTATGTTGACTAAATAGCCCGTTACCCATCAGGTTTAGTTTGAAGAACTTCTTCAATCAAAAGTTGTCTATCCCGTTTTGAACCAAAGTCGACGCATTTTTCCACTACATTGCTAGCAAATTTATGCTTACTCAAAGATAAGATTTGTCCGAAAATTTTCTCGACAATTTTGGCTTTATCTTCAAGACGACCTCTTTCTAAGATATGTTGAATTACATAATTACCATATTGATCTTGAACAAGCTGAGCAGTACATTGATGAAGTTCCTCTAAGAGTGGTCCTGTTTGTGCATCCGTGCAATGCTCAAACATACGTTGAATAACACGACATCCATATGGATGTGTTGCTAGATTATATACCTGTCCATGAAAGGCATCAATAATAAACTGGATGTGTTGCGCAGGCACGCGTTCGATTGCCTTTTGTATGACGTGATTGCCATTTTGATCTTTGATGCATTTCAGTACACACCCATCCAACTCGCCTACTAGTTTGGCTTGTTGTTCCGTCAAAACATGCTCTAATGCTTTTTGTACGACTCGACAGCCGTACATTTGAAGAGAAAGAGAAAGCACGTGGCCTTCCATTTGCTTGGCCAAGATGGACTTTTGCATTTGATTTCCATGTTCGAAAAATTTTTGTAAGACGTAGTTTCCAAATACATCCGTCATAAGCTGCAATGCATTAGGTAACACTTCTTCAAATACCAATTGCTTTTCTTCGCTGTTGGCGGTTTCGAGCTTCTGCTGAATAAATCGGGATCCATGCTGATCACCACTAAACTCAACAATATGACTAGCAATGTCCTTCAATTCGTATTTTTTGTTCTTGGAATTTCTGAATTCTTCCAAAAGAGGAGAACGGATACACAGAGTAAGGTCTTGAGCAGCAGTTGTTGACTTGACAGAGGGAGCGGCGTTTCCACTTCCCTGCTGTTGCTGTTGATGATGATGCTGGTTATGGTGCTGGTTTTGGCGAGAGCGATTGTTACCATTACTGTGATGGCTATTGCGCTGATGATGGCTATTGTGATGGTGGTTATTACTATGATTGTTACTATACCCACGTTGGTTATGATGCTGTTGCTGCTGTTGCTGCTGTTGAAGGATTAAATGTTGGCGTGCAGCCAATAATTGTTGTTGTTGCTGTCTGATCAATAGCTGCTGATGCTGAAGTTGTAATGCACGAAGCTTTTTATCTGTATTACTCAAACTATCGCCTATGGGAAAACCAACAGGGTCATAAGGGGCTGGTGCAGTTAAGGGTCCTCCTTGTTTGCTCATGCGCAAAAGATATGCATTGGCTGCTGCATCTTCACTTGACCATTTCCCATAAATGGATTCGTAATCGACGCCTCCTCTTGTTTCATTACTACCCATGCTTCCACCACCATCAAGGCCATTTGGCATGGAAGCCAAATCAAGAGCAGCATTTGAAAAGGAACGACTCAAAGGATGTTGCTGTACCTGTGGATCATCAAGCTGCAGTTGACTGTAATAAGGATACAGGGAAGTTGGAGCTTGTAGTTTTGCTTGCTGTTGTTGAGCACTGTAATGAAGATAATCATCATCATCCACCAAGCCGAATGAGCTCAGCTGTCTTAAAAGAGTAGTATCATCTTGTAACAATAAATCATTGCCACTACCAGCCGATGTCAAAGAAGTTGCTGCCACTGTGTTATCGTAACCATAATTACTACTATTGCTACTATTGCTGCTATTGATGTCCATTGGACGACATGTAGGAGGTGTAGAGTTTGAACGTGTAGGAGCAAACTGTGGGGATATGGCTAATCTAAGTGCATTGATCCTTGCAGGCAAAGCTGCGGTGCTACTGGTAGATAATGCTTGCAATTGCTGATGTTGGTGTTGCGATAACTGAGATTGTTTCAAAAAACTATCTTGCGTGGTAGTACCATTCACAATAATATCATTGGTCTTCAATTTATTAGGATTTATTTCAGCAGTACCATGATGCTGGAAAGGGTACATAGGTGAAGGGGTATGGGAAAACTCCTTAAAAACACACAGATACATGTTACATTAAGTTTATCGTTAGTTGTGCAACTTTTACTATACTATCGTTCATTATAATTCTTTTTTTTTTTTTTTATTCTTTTTTTAAACATCAACTTACTGGCTGAATGAAATCAACAAATTTTCCTTTAGAACGAAGTAAATCATTTGGATTTGTACTATCACCAATGCTGCCAGCTCTACTGGCGCTTGCTGATTGCTGAAATCCAGTAGGGTCGGGTGTAGCGAGGTCTTTATATGTTATATGAGTATGAATCCATACAAACTTGTATATAAATAAACGAAACTGTTCGTTTTCTCTCTTACCGTTGGTATCATTCCAAAATTTCCATGCCTGACTGGCATCATACACAGAAGGCGTAGACTGCTGAGAAGTTGCTGCAGCTACTGCAGAAGCAAACTTTACATCACGTGTTCTGTGCAAACCTTGAAGAGGAGGTGGTGCGCTGCTGGAACGGTCATCACCAGCGCCAGTAGGGAAAAGAGATGACGCGCTCGACCGACCACCACTAAATAAATTGTAGTCAAAGTCAGATTGCATAAAGGCTCCAGCCTATTCGTAAATGTCAGAAGGTCAAGGTATTTTAGTCAGAATTCAACAATTGAACAATTGAGAACCTTGAATTTAAAACGTACCTGACGCTCTTTAGGGGCATTGGTGGTTTGAGAGGTTTGTTGAATATTCTCATTCCTTCTTGGTGACAGAGGGTCACTCATTAAACCTGGTATCATTCTTCTATGTTTTCCTTCTCTTTGTTCCCGTTGTCTACTATTCACAAATGACAATGTATATCTCTTCCTTGAATAACTTAAATAGAAGAATAGCAATACTTATTTGGGAAAAATAAAGGAAAAAAAATTATTTACAAATTTACAGGAATTTACAAATGTACAAGAAGGAAGAGAATGTAAGGAAATTTATACAATGAAATAAAACGGAAGAAAAATAACGAGAAAGGGGAAAATTGAGAAATTTTGGTTTTTTTTCTTTTTTTTTTTTTTTTTTTTGGTGAGCAACGTTAGCTGGCTTAATTGGAGGACAATATGACATGCAGACGCTCCTCGTTCCAAGCGAGCTTTTGAGCTGACTCTCACACAGAGCGACCAGAGGTAGATGCAAGTCACTCTTCGGGAATTGTAGGTATGTGTGTTTTTAACAGTCATTGGCTCGAGCGCTCCCCATCATCGAGACAATAGATCTTGCATATGCGTCTTTCTCGGATCTTCTGCATTGAAACGCTTGGGTGCACAGTCGCATGCTTATCTTACCTAATAACTTAGCAGTAGCCAATGTTAACTTGATCTCATTATTATCTTCAAAAGCAGAAAAATGCTTTCTCACATGCTTATGAAGATCAAAGTGTCCCCAATGTTCAATGTGATTCATGGCGGTCAGCTACGCAGTTACGTCATATTTGTTGTGCAGATTATCCTTTCTAAAAGCCTTACGGCTACCTTCGTGTTTGTAGGCTGTTGTATAATGCCGCGTCCTTGTACAACAGTCTGCCTTTAAATGTAACGTTTTTTTACGTTGAAATTGCGCCTTTTGCTTTTCTTTTAATTTTCTCCTACTTTGGGCTTGTTCATTTGACTAGTTTAGACGCCCCTTTGTAACTTCTCTAACATAATGTTCCCAATAACAAGCATATTAAATGAACAGGGAGAATACATCAAGGGTATTCTCGTTGAGAAAACCCCAATAGCAGAAAACAATCGATTAGTCCTTCTCTTACATGGTGAACAGGGGCATAAAGATGCGCTTTATCAACCAGTTTTGGCCGAAAGATTACCATTCAGCAGCTTTCGCTTTGATTTTCATGGTTGTGGAGATAGTGAAGGAAAGCCTGATTATGGCAGAATTGCGGTAAGATTGATTTGTGATGAAAACATTTATCCATAGGTATATACTCCTTTAGAGACATCTCATCGTTCGCATTTTGCCCACTTCTATAGAGAGATGTTGATGATATTCGAGCTGTCGTAGCATATTTCGAAGGTTTAGGATATGAGATTTTTGCCATTATCGGCTATAGTAAAGGTAAGATATGATAAATATCCATACATGGTTCTTTGTCCCGCCTTTCATTCCTTTACAAATAAAAATCGAAAATTTATTAATCCTCATTATAGGGTCATTGAGCGGTTTAAAATATGCAACATCCTGTGAAAAGCCGTTATCTCATTACATTAACATTGCAGCACCCTATAATAACAAATCTGCCGTCAGAGCAGATGACAATCAAGTATGTATTCGTTGGTCCATTCGAGTGATTCCAACAACAAAAAAAACTATAATATACAGTAGGATGAAGCGAGATTTCCTCGTCTAACAGCAGGCCTATTTTTCTAGGAATGGAAGGTATACCGTGAAGGAGAGCTTATGACATATAATATCAGTTCGGAAGAGCTTGAACTATACCAAAGTTGGGACAATTCGCACGGTAAGCTTATTAGTGCATCAATCCGTCGGTACGCCACCATAAAATGGATCTGCTGATGCGAATTCGTTTTCATTCAAAAAAGTAATTCGAATGCCCTTGACAACGTGTGTACATACGATTCATGGGATTAAGGATACGGTATGCGCACATACGATATGAAAGTAAGTGTGCCAATTATCGTTCTAATTGAATCTATCCTCTATCTCCCTTTCCATAACCACATTAACAGGCAGTATCTGCATCACATGCTGCTGATTATGCCAACAGTATTTCGAACCATACATTAACTTTAATACCTGATGCGGATCACGAATTTACAGGTCAACAGAATGCGTTAATCACCACTATCGTTGAGCATTTTGAACAGCACGAGAGAGATGCTTATCAAAAGGCACTTTCTATGAGGCAGCACGTTAGTGTATGCATACCACGTTGGATTGATATACCAGGCGTAAAGAATTTTAGAGATATTGGAGGGTGGCCATTGAAAGATGGAAGTGGGTATATCAGAGAAAGAATTGTATTCAGATGTGGCCAGTACGCTTGAAGCTAGTATAAGCATTTTATTACAATTTCGAAAGTTTATCTACAGTAGCACTCAATGCAAAAATATATATTTGTAGCCTGGTCAACATCACAGACGAAGGCATTAGAAGGCTAAAGAGGCTGAACGTGATTGCAGCGTTTGATTTTCGCTCAGATCCTGAAATCGAAAAGCAAGGCATTATGCCGTAGGTGAAATTTTGACATGCAACAAATTACCCTATTAACACCGAATATCAACTTTGTAGTGAAATTGAAGGTATCATTCGCTACCCATCAGCTATGTTCACCAAAGCAGATTTCTCCCCTACTGCCTTAGCGTCTCGATGGATGGGCTACTTTGAAGGCCCCTCCGGTTTCCCAAAAGTTTATGCAGTAATATTGGAAAAGGCTGCAGTACAATATAGAAAGATATTTCTTCATTTAATTGAACATCACTCTGTTCTATCAACAAACAGTATCATTGTTCATTGCACAGCAGGAAAAGATCGAACAGGCATATTTGTAATGCTGCTATTAGGAATGTGCGGTGTGGATGAAGAAATCATAGCAAATGAGTACGCACTAAGTAATTTGGGATATTGGGGTAAATTTGATTGTTGTAGGCTTAGTACTGTTATAGGAATGAAGAACTGAAATACAACTATATTGTTATCTACATTGGCTTGTACTATCTATTGGACACATAGAACCTGAAGCAGAACTAGAAAAAAAAGCCAAGATGTTGAATGTTACAGTTGATGATATGCGAATGGTGATGTCAGCTCCGTAAGTTTGTTGGATTTATTTTCTTTGTTTGCAAAAATTAGTCTGTTAATAATTGTTATTTACACCAAATAATATCGCATCACCTTAGATATTTTGGTATGAAGGAAACGATCCGTCAAATGAAAGAAAAATATGGATCAATTGAAGGCTATATCCGCGACGAATGTAAGTTAACTACTGAAGAAATTCAGAAATTGAAAGACCTTATGATTGTACCTATCCGGTTTGAAGAAAGACAGTTGTATAGACCAAGAATTTAGATATCAGACTAGCTTTTTGTTCTCTCTCAAGATGATTATTTTTATCCAATTTGCATGTAATAAATTTTCCGGGTAAACATCTCTAGCTGTTTGTTTGTTTTTGAGCGTTTGGTCGTTCAAATAACTCACGAGAAATTAACCAATCTTGACGCACATTTGGTCACTTTTCAATAAATTTCGTTGGATTTTTACTTTGCCATATTATAAACGTGCCAAACATGTCCTAAAAAAACGATACCTTGATGCTTTTACCGTATTGGGGTGTAATTCCTCTACGGCTTGCTTCTTAATGTAGGGATCGAAGACTCTTCTGAATGCAGAAATCGCACAAAAGGGGCAAATAAAAAAAATATGACCAAATCAGGTTCAAGTGATCGGCCAATTAAAAGCTCGATTCTCTTGTAATTTTTGGGATGAACTAGCTGGTCTTGGAAGCACTGTTAATCTTGTAAGCAGTTACAGAAGTGAACAATGAAATGCTTTCTTGCACTATAGCATTCATATTAAAAAATAACAGTTGCTTGTATTAGAGACTACTTTTCCGAATTCATTGTTCGGTGGTATCAACCCTTAATATTTAAGTTCGTGGTAATTCATGAATTGTCCGTTGCGTTTCCTTAATATGTAACATATAGCATCTTTTCATTAGAAGAATGAATGGGAATAATAAAATCAACGACGGAAAAGAGAAAGCATATTAAGACAGAAAACTTCCGTGCATTTGTTTAATCTGATGTTTAAGAACAACTTGTTCTTTTTTCCTTTACTCTTTTCAAATTCTTTCCATCTCCTTCAAACTACCAGAAGCAACAGCTATACGCTCAGACATCCTACAATCGAATTGTATTCAAGCCCTATCATCGAGAACAATAATCAGCCTTTGTACAAAAATATATACTTAAAGTCATATTCTAGATTTATAACCGAACATGTTCAATGATAACATACAGCAGAATGAATCAGTAGAGAAGAAATCTAAAAGTGCCCACTTGGCTTTACAGCTTCCCGAAATCGTCGATCGTATCATGTACTTCTTAACAGTTCCCATTCATATGATAGACGAGCAGCACAAGCACAAATTGTATGAAAATATATACCCTTGCCTCTTTATAAACGGGCTATGGCATGATTGTGCTGTACGGTGGATATGGAAGCATGTTACTTTTGAAGATAGCAAATCAGAGTTCGATGCTTTGCTTAGATTCTGCTATACAGTTGGAGGAAATGACACGCAAGATTATGCACCGCCTCATCCCATGCGCTCTTCTTCAACAGCTGCCAATCTAGCTATTGCCAGTTCTCCAAACGTTTCGTTAGCACCATGCTCAAATATGGATAGCAGTATCAATAACGAGGGACTGCCATCGTCGTCTTCAGCCAGCAGTCTGACGCATCAATTTGTACAAAAATTGGAAAGACATCGATTTAAATACAAGCTAAATTTCAACTCTTACCAAGCGTTCAATAGCAATTCAAGTATCAATAGCATTTACAAAGGCATTGATAAAGAGAAAAATGAAGACCCGCTTTCAACAGGAAACATTACGGATTTAATAGATCAGCAGAACCAGCAGCAGCCTCAATCAAATATGAAAGAGACCAGTCGCAATAGAAACAACAGTGGTATTGATAATAGTACGATCCGATATTATCCCTCTTTCTATTCTCCTTACGCCCACTACACTCAACACAGAAAAGCGATTCGCTCTATCACATTACGTAAAATAAAAGACAAAGCGATCAACAAACCATTGATGCAAATAGGCCGCTATACCCAGCGACTAGAAAAGCTTGACATCTACATTTGTGACCATCTTGCAGACAGCTCAGTTCATACCTTTATCACTTACAACCACAATTCCCTTACCTTTCTTTCTCTCGCTGGCTGTAACCGTATCACTGACGAAGCCATTATCAGTGTTGCTCATCACTGCCCAAAATTGATGCACTTGGACCTGCGTGCATGTGGTTTAATCTCTGACGTATCCATCAAGGCTATTGCCACCCATTGCCCCAACCTCTTTCATCTGAACGTAGGTCGTGTCCGCGATCGAGAGAAAATCACCATGGCCTCTATTAATTTGGTCGCTCAACAAACGCAAGTGGGCGTCTTAGGGCTAGCTGGGTGCGATATCACAGATGAATGTTTGATTTTACTGGCACAGGCGAGGAACAAGGGACTGGAAAGAATTTCTGTTAACAATTGCTATCGGATCACCAATCGGTCGTTACGAGCATATGTCACTTATTGTCCAAACTTATCCGTATTTGAGATGAAGGAATGTCATAGAATCAATGACTGGAGTGCAGTGGCAGAGTTAGTGCAGCGTAAAGTGCTGCTGACCTTGTGTGAACAGCAAAATAAATCGTGCTTAGAATGGGCACGACAGAGAGGCAGGGTCTTAACAGTAAAGCCACCCATCAAATCACCCTGAAAAGACAAATAGAACGTTACACCCATCTTTCTGCTTTAAACCATTCCTTTGCAATTAAAAAATAGCAAACATAGATTAGAATAAACTCTTTAGATTCCATATTTCGGATTCACAATCAATTTCACTGTTCTCTTTTTTCCAACTGTTCAAAGTGCCTTCTGATGATGATTAACAATGGCGCTGTGGATATATATAGTGTATACATGCGCATCATTTTATTATTAGGTACAATAGGCAGAAATGTTGATGTGATGTATAGCTCCCAGCCATAATAAATATATACATAATTATGTTCATCTATTGCCATGCATGTTTTCCTAATTTACGTTTTTCTGCTTTTGCTTTCGCTATTTCTATTTTTTTCTCTTCCTTATCCATAACAGTCATTGCTTTGGCAATCTTTTGCTTTTGTTTCTTTGTCAATCCTTTCTTATTAGCTGCTTTCTTTATCTTACTGCTGCTATTATTACTACTATTATTCGTCTTTTTTAGATCTGTTATAGCTTGTTTCCGCACATGTAATAACCGTAGCTCATTTTGTATACGCTCCTTTGCTACAAAAAAAAGTGTTGTGTCGTCAGAAAGCAAATACTCCTCAAAGGACATGGTCAACTTTCTAAGTTTTTTTTTACCATTCTGAGGTTCATCGTTAATATCTGCTGGGTTGACTGTGGCCCATTTTGAAGCCTTAGCGCCGGTAACTATAAAATAATTGAAAATTAGGTTGATTTAATACAAGTATTCAATCACATCATTAGGGCCTGAGCTCTCATTACTTTTAGACATGTTAAAAGGCCTTAAGAAAATATAAAGATTGAATGTCAAACAATTTTAATGCAGCTGTCGAAAAAGTGGCTTGGGGTCTAAATTGTCGGGAATTGGATTTAAAGCAAGAAGAAAAAGCAAAGAGGGTAATTTTATTGGCATTAAAAATGTGAGTATTGAGCGGGCGTGATATATGGGGGGTGGGGTGTGTATAAAGCTAAAGGAGGGTAATAAGTAATAATTATCTCTATGTTATTATATATTATTCTTTATGTTTATTACTATTTACAGATGCTGGGTGATTTCTTTTTAGTGAACTGATAAAGGCATACGCCTGTATCATCCAAGATCGAAGTCTGTTCAAAGAAGGGGTGGTTACTGTTTCTGGGAGTTAGTTCACTAGCAAATGTCGATACTGTCATTTTTGTAATATTCATATACATGCGGCAGTCGTTGAAAAATAGATCCTCCTCGTTCTTTTTCAAACCTCTTGGTTTATAGCCCATAATGATGACAGTCTCTTTGTTCGATCTGCTGCTACAGTAAACGAGTTGACGGAAGGTGGCAACAAGGGCAGGAAAATCCATGGTGTTGTACAAAACATCTGAGATAAAGATATAATCAAAAGGTCGATCACCGATGATACGATGAATATCACTGCCGCTTCCCCATTTCAACTTTTTGACGTGAACATTACGGGTGATGCAGTTCAAGGTCTTGTTACTGTTTATTAGTGGAAGTGCATCCTCTAGATCTGTCATGACGATTTCTGGAGGGTTAGTGGTATTGTAGAGTCGACAGTTTTGAGCAATGGATAAACCCATAGTACCAGTTCTAGTAAAGTAATAGTGTCGATATGTTTAAGTTGCTTTTGCTCTCTTTTTCAAGTTGCTATTTCATCTCCTCCAACAATTACAAACAGCTACAATTACTACATACCCAGCACTCAAATCCAAGATACGCTTCCCTGAAAGAAAAGTCTTATCCAGCTGGAACATGATATTGAACAGGTTGATCATCACTAATGCTGAATCCCATAATTTTCCTGGTGTTCCATTATCCCAAATTTCTTGACAGATTAAATAACTGTTGGGTACAGCTAAGGGAAGGGCTCGATACATTTTGACAAGACTTTTGCTAGCGTACTCATCCCAGAGAAGTAAAGGCTGTCGAGCGTTGCATGTATCTGCTTTTTCTTCCTGCTCAACCAATTGAAAAGGCCCCAGACACAATGAAAGTGCCTTCTGTTGATTGTACTGACGTCCATTGCTACTATTGCATTCGGCTTTCCCTTGATCCTCTTGTTGTAACAAATGTTCTGCATTTTTGATTTTTTCGTTTTTAGGTTCAATTTGAATGTAAATATTGTCTGCAGTAAGACACTGTGAATTCAAACAAGTAATTCTATATTGAATCAAAATGTGATCATCCGCTTCTTGGGGTTTTTCATAGGTTATCTTCCACTGATCCTTCTCCACATACAAACGACATTCAATTTTCAGAGTGGAGGAAGTGATGAAGCGCTTAGCTGCAGATGAGCCATCTTTTCTACTATGCTGAAGTTGTAATATCTGACAAGTGATTGGTAGTTCTTCCATTTGATTATAAGGCAACATACCCTGAGGCGGTAAACCGAATTCAGTTACCAATTTCAGGTTCATGATATGCCATTTATTTAACGCCAGTTTGGAATAACGGATGTGTTCGCCTAGGATGATACGATAGATTTTTGAGTTGCGATACAAACCTTCCTTAAAGTTTTGAAAGTCATTCTTGCAATTATCGGCACGAAGGATAACGGTAGCGGCAGTGGCGCTGCTATGACGGTGAGGGTTCGATAGGTCGACAATGCTAGAATGAGATGTCGTCTGTAACATGACGAAAGGGTGAATGACTGCTGATAGGTAATGTGTCTTTGAAGAGGTTTATGAAAAGAAGAAAGAAGAAAAGAAAAGAAATAGTAAATTGAAATTAACGATAACGATGATTATTTTATTGGTTTAAGTATATCTATTGTAGTTACTTATGAAGCAAAAGCCACATGAATTTTGTCCTTATTGCACGCATAATCTTTCTCTTTGTTTGAGTTTCGAGCTGAGTTGGGCTGGTGTTGGCACCATAGTGCTCTTCTTTTTCCATTTTCTTCCTCCTTTCTCTTCCGGGAAGTCTACGTATAGTATTCATGAAGATACACATTTCTATGCTAGAACAATGGATTGATTAAGATTTGAACCAATAAATACATTAGCATCCAATGAGCAATGACAAATCCACGGAAATTATAATTATAATACTTTTGTTTTAAAATTTTACTATTCATTGTTCTCTTCTTAGAATTCTAACGCCCCTTTCTTGTTGATCATTATATTCAGGCAATCAATCACACATTCTCATGTTTCGTGTTTAAGATCAGTTTTATGAATTTGAAATTTCAATAGGCAACTATTTGCATAATGATTTAATTGTTCCAGTACGCGTATTTGTACCTGGATTTCGTCAATTCTCATTTTCGTATGCACAAAGAAAGAGGGGGGGAGCGCAACGCAGGATGCCCTTAAAATTTAAAAATTGAGAGACGCAAATTTCTCAAAACAGCTCTTTATCGCTCAAACACACTCCGCATGTGCTGTTTTTTGTGTAATATGTGTGTAATGCAATAAAAAATGCAGAATGAGTCAAATAAGCATAAAGAATTCCAACATAAGCTGCTTTTCACTTTTTAAAGCAACATGTAGCACAAATACCACATGTTGCTGACTTCCATTTTGATGACCAAAAACAGAAAATGCAGAACTTATAACGACCTTTTCATAGCCTTGCAATCCCTTTTCTTTTCTAGGTACTTCACGTTTCTATTTACTTTCTTTGAATTTCTTTTTCATTTAGCTAATAGAATTGACAAAATGTCAAATATATTTGATAACAACAGAACAGTACAACAAGTAGTAGTAGCAGGTGCTGCTGTTTCAGCCATACTTACTCTTTTGGCTGCCAAATACAATGATCGACCTATTGGCTATGAGCATCCAAAGGGTATTCCTTACAAAAGTGGTCTACCCTTACTGGGTAACTTACCGCTCTTGCTGAACAATAAGGAGCGTATCTACGATTTCCAATTGGACTTGCTAGAAGAACTTGACACGCTGACAATGTACCATTATTCTTCGTTGGAAACTAATAACGGATTATTCACGATGTTCGGCTTACTAAAGTCTTAATAATAACATTAGGACCTTACCTGTAGCTGGTAATCCTACAGCGGTATTAACAATTGATCCTCAAAATGTCAACTATTTTCTGAAAGGTACTAGTAGCCCCCAGATGGAAGATAAATCACGCAAATAGTAATCTCCCTCCCCCCCCCATGCATGATAAATGATATATAGAAAACTTTAAAAACTATTTGAAAGGTCCCAAATTCAAACAGTCCTTAGGTGAATTGCTCGGAAATGGTATTTTCAATGCTAATGGCGAGCAGTGGAGATACCAGCGCAAAACTGCCTCTCATATTTTCAATGTAAAAAATTTTAGGGATGACTTCACTGAGTAAGCCTCACCTATAGTTGTTCATAGAGAGATTGCTGTTGCTAACTTATCTTTGTTCAGTGTTTTTGTGAAAGAAATGTTGGTCATGTGCAGTCAAATCATGGATAAAGCAGCCAAGCAAAGAACTGTTATTGACTTTCATGATCTAATGTTTAAATTCACGTTAGACTCCTTTGTATAGTAAGTTTGAATCATGATGGATATCAAAGATATCATTGCGATTAAAATTCGTTCTTGTATGTCGTAAATAGCCTCGGTTTTGGTGTTCAATTAAACTCACTTCTTCAAGAAAACAAGGTTCCATTCGCAGTTTCTTTCGATCATCTACAGCGCTTGGGTGCTCTACGTTTTATTGATCCATTTCGACCACTCATTGAAACCGCTACTCGCTTTATTCCCTGGAAAATGTCGACACAGGACCATATCCGTGTTATCGACAAATTTGCAGCTGACGTTATCGCACAACGCAGGAAGGAGATCGCGGAAGGGAAGACCGACCACAAAGATCTTCTGTCACGCTTCATGAACACAGATAATGAAAATGGCGAAAAACTCAACGATGTTGAACTACGTGACACAGTGTTAAACTTTATCATTGCTGGTCGTGACACCACAGCCCAAGCACTTTCATGGTTATTCTACAACATTTCGTTGCAGCCCAGAATTGAACAAAAGATGTTGGAAGAAATCGAAAAAAATAACATTACGGACGAATTAGAAAAGGACTCACCAGCTTTATATGAGGTCATCAGTAATATGCATTACCTTCATGCTGTGTATGTTTCATATTTCTTCCTTTTTCCGCTTTTCAGAGCTGAAGTTATACATACTTTTATGGTACAAATCCCTAATCGACTCTTTTATATTTACAATGTTAGGTTTTACGAAACCCTCCGATTGCATCCTTCTGTCCCTTCTAATCAAAAATATGCTTTAGAAGACGATGTGTGGCCTGATGGAACCGTCATTAAAGCCGGTTATTATATTAATTGGACTCCTTATGCTCAAGGAAGAAGTACTAAGATTTGGGGTCCCAACGCGAAAGAATTTTATCCTGAGCGATGGATAGACGAAGAAGGTCATCTTCGTAGAGAAAACGCGGGCAAGTGGCCTGTTTTCCACGCTGGTCCACGCGTCTGCTTAGGTAAAATATGTGAAAACATTGCACTAAAGGTGTATTGATCATTTGTGAGCAATCGGCTAAACTCCTTTGTTTCTACTTTCTTCCCTTGTAGGACAAAACTTGGCAACGCTTGAAGCATTGGTTTGCGTCGCTATGTTATTGAAACGGTATAGTTTTGATATTGTAGCTGACCAAACAGTTACTTATGATCTATCCTTGACTCTGCCGATGAAGTATGGCTTGAAGCTTTATGTTCGAGAACGGTCTACATCTTCTACTACAGTTTAGGCCACATACCCTCACTTACCAGCATTAGTGCATAACGCTGTCTTTTCCATGAAGGAACTACGTCGTTCATCGTAATTCAAAAATTTTCACAATTTTGCATCGCTTAATAAACAATATCAGCCAATCCATACATTACTAGTTTCCTTTATTTATGTTGTACATGAACTGTTTCTATCACTGTCTTTTGTCGTATTACGACGTAAATATCTACCCAAAAACGCATGCTGCTAGTTTCTCTCAAGAATTACTATATGACTAAACCACAACAATCTCGCCATTAGCCACTCCTTCCATAGTTTTCTTGTGGGCAAGGTAAAGATTGAAATAATACGTGAATAGTGAAACAAGTGCAATACTAACGTAGCAAACAGTTCATCATCAGTCATTAACTTACAGTAAACATATTTAGCACGTGTACATTAATACAACTTACAAAGTACCGCTATTGCTTAAACTATCTTTTGCTTTGAAGGTTTTCCTAGAATTCAGAGTGCCCGTTAGACCAAAATAAGCAGCTATCCATGGAATCATCTTGAAACGGTGCTGTATACAGAACAGGAAAGACATTTATGATGCTTGATTAAATTTTCGCTTCAACATTAATTTTGCCAAGTATTATGTAATACATACTCTAAAAACAATACTACCCATAGCTTTAAAGAAGAGTAGAGTTTGCTCATCAGTTTCCCAAAGATGAAACATTAACAATTTGTTCAATATACTTACAAATGAAGGTAGCTATCATTTGTGAATAATCTTCTTCTTCTTCGTTTCTACGAGGAAAGTGAAAGGGCACAATAGCATCCTCGCGACGAGGATCTGAAGACTTTGTAGTTGACATTGGTATGATGGCTTAAATGAAGAAAGCTTCGGTTACCATTTATCACTATTGCCCTTCTTGTTTCTCCCGGCCAATCAAAATCTAAAACTCAGCTTCGTACTTTTTCCTTTTCGTGTGGCAGCTTTTTTGCATTCTTTCTTCTTTTCAAAAATACTAAACATACTCTAACAGCAATGTCGAAAAGGTATTTCTATATGTAAAGCTAGCAGTTTGTCTATTCAGAATATTAATATTTTTAAACTTGCACTTTTGCAGTAAATTTCATTCTGATTACATTTGTCGTGTTCGCTACCGCAATACTTTACCAGCATTGCCTCATGCACCAAAAATGCTTACGATTCCCTCCCTAATCAACAGACACGTTGCCTACAGCTCTAATAATCTTGTTGAAAAACTACCCTATCCATTAATAATGGATCCTGGTCAAACAATTCCAGCTGATCAGGCTATCGTTGACTATTTAGACGCTATGGAAACAAACCCTGATGATGGTATGCTTTCAATCTCTTTTCCATTTACAGTTCCCAATTAAACTCAACTCAATCTCTATTTTTTTTTTTTTTTTTTGCTCTTACTTTCTTGAAAAAGTTAATAATGCTATAGCAGAAGTAGCAGAAGAGGACAGAATTTTATTAACTCGACCCCGCGATGAGCAATCCAAAACCAGTAACGGCAGTAGCTCACTATATACCCATAAGAAACCCAATGTCACATGGCTTCGCCGCTCTGAGTACATTTCCGCCGCTCATGACACACGTTCAACACCCATTCGTAAAGAAGGTGTTGAAAACAAATTTGCGATGTCTGCAGCTGCAGCAAAGAAGCACAGTTATAATACGCGTCAAGCACAAATTGCTGGTATCGAAAATACTTTCAAACGTCCTGAAGTAGAAAACTTGCGACATCCTCAAACAAAAGCAAAAGCAGTCAAGACTACCCCTCTGTTGCCGGATATGGAGTGCTGGGAAAATATATATACAATTGGGCAGTTCAATACAGACCCTGCTGATGAGAAGAGGTTACAAAAGAGAAAAGCACCAGAGGAAGAGCAGAGCATCGAAGAGCAGAGCAATAAGAGAGCTCGTTGGTCAGAAAGAGATGCAACAGATCGTGGTATCTTAAGGCCTATGGTTAATCCTCATGATCCTGAAGATACATACTTAGTATGGTTCTTGCCTGACGAAGACAGCACAAAGAGATTAGTGAACCAAAAAGAATATCCATTAGATGGTCTATCTGAAGAAGTAAGTGAAATCGACGTTGCATAAAACCTGATGAAAAGATAACGACATGTTATTCAACAAAATTCTCTTTTGTTTTCAACAAAAATTAGCCTTTAACTTTCCATGCTGTGCGTGATTATGAATATCAAAACGATACTGGTCTTAATAATAAATACTTGATGATCGCCTCTCACTGTGACGATCTTGGCGAAAAGGCAACTTACTCTCCTATTAGAAGTAGAATGATTGTTCGTAAGAAGAGAGCATTGGTAAGAAGCTATTATTCATCTTTTAAAAAGAGAGAAGAAAAGCTTACTGACACGAATCTCTCTTGGATTGAACGTAAAATAGAGCTCTCGATACAAGTACTTGGACGACTATGAAAAGCCTAATATTTTAACGGTCACTTATCAAAAGGAATAGTTTAATTTGCTGTAAACTCAAAATATTATTATACCATAAAGATTCAGGGTAAAAGTACCGCCGAATTTAAATTGGGTTTTGGTAATCATGTTCAACTGTGGGGAAAACCAAATAAAGACAATTCACAGATTGAATGCGACTGACATACTCCTCCTTCCAACCTTATCTGACTCCTTGTTTTACTTATTTTTTACTATTTTTTTGAAACTATATCTCAAATGGCAATTTCTTTTCCTAAGCATTTAAAGCCTTTAGAGCCTTCAGGCACTGTTCTTTTACAAGAAGAACGTAAAAAAGCTACCTTTCAAACCGCTCAGCTCACAAACTTTATATATGGAACAGAATACCTTGAAAAGAAGAATCGTATACAAAGCATCATGGAGAATGACCCTATCCTTGCTGATAAATCACACCGCTATTACAGTGGAAGACTGGTTCGCTTCAGAAAGTCTTTGGCCGCGGCGAAGAGGCTTGTTGAATTGTTAAAGTAAGATTAGCTAAGCAAAACAAAAGAATGTAATACAAGCGAGAGGCTCAAAGACAATTCCTGCGTATAGAGAGCACAATTGGACGGATGAAGAATATGGGATTGCCGATCTTCTGTTTGACGAGTCGAGTGCTGTAAGTAGATACTATACGAGAGACGTAGATCTGACGGAAACAACAAGTGTTGCCAGTTTAACTAACATTTTGTTTATTGCAGTTTCGTCTACATCGAAGTATGTTCATGCCTACGATTTTAAATCAAGGTACTGAAGAGCAACAAAAAATGTACCTGGAACCTGCCAGACGATATGAGATTATTGGTTGCTATGCTCAAACAGAGGTAATGCCAGCAAAAAATTGATTCCCATTGCTAACAACGGGAACTGACTGTTATTGATATCTTTGAATTTAAATAGTTAGGTCATGGCTCAAACGTCAGAGGGCTCGAAACAACTGCTACATATCATCCAGTAACAGAAACCTTCGAACTTAACTCACCTACATTGACTTCCGCAAAATGGTGGATTGGTGGGTTGGGTGTCGCTGCAACTCATGCCATAGTTATGGCGCGTTTGATCAGCCAAGGTAAAGATTTCGGACCTCATCCTTTCATTGTGCAAATTAGAAACCTTGCGAACCATGAACCTTTAGAAGGTATCACAGTCGGTGACATAGGACCTAAATTTGGTTTTAATACCGTTGATAATGGGTTCATTTTATTTGATCATGTTCGGATTCCCCATTTTGCTATGTTGGCACGCTATGCTCGCATTGAGAAGAAGACAGGTGAATATATAACACCTCCTAATTCTAAATTAGCGTATGGTACTATGGTTTATGTTCGAGCCAATATCGTGCTAGGTAAAAGCATAGAAAAATTTAAATGACTTTCCTTCGATGTTGCTGTATTCTAATTCTAGACACCACGATAATTTACTGAATAAATAGAATCCCGTAATGTGATTGCTAGGGCAGCCACAGTAGCTGTTCGTTATTCAGCCGTTCGTATTCAAGGATCAGATGCCTCTAACCCCAAGAGAATAACAGCTGCTGATGGATCAGAAAAGATTGTCGAAACACCGGTTTTAGATTATACTATGCAACAGTTCAGATTATTTCCCATCATTGCTCAAGCATATGCTTGTCATTTCACAGGAAAAGAAATGCATCGTATGTATCATGAGAATCAGGAGCGAATGGCTCAAGGTGATTTCTCTTACTTGGCTGATTTGCATGCCTCTTCTTCTGGTCTGAAAAGTTTAGTAACTACTTTGGGAGTCAACGCTATTGAAGAGTGCCGCAGAGCATGCGGCGGACATGGTTATTCCCTCTTTTCAGGTCTTGGTCAATTCTATCAAGACTATCTTCCTAAGGCTACTGTAAGTACACTGTTACTATTAATCTTTCGTTGTTTTGGAAAACATCTCAAATTTCATTTATTTTAGTGGGAGGGTGACAACTATTTACTGACACAACAAACAGCCCGCCATTTGTTCAAGACTTTCCGCTCTGTTCGTGCTGGCAAGATTAACGACAAAAGCTCCACTTTCTCCTCAAAGTACATTGCAGAATACTTATCATTTCCTCAGGCGCAGCTCCCCGCCGCTTCCCCTCAAGACTTCAGTAATTCTGAGGTTCTGCTGTCGGCATTTAAATACCGCACTGCCTATTTGATAGCTAAGGCCATTCATGCTATCGATATAGAAAAAATAACTTGGAATGATATGTTGGTGGATATCTACCGTATTTCACGCGCTCACTGTCAGTTGCTAATGGTTTACAACTTTATCAATGCAACATTTAACCGCAGCAGCAATAATAATACAAATGCAGCCATCACGCCTCCTGTGAAAGAGGTGCTTCAACAAATGGCCATTTTATTCAGTCTATCGGTTTTAGACCAAGAAGCTGCTGATTTCTTAACTTCCGGATATATCTCATCAACGCAATTCACCATGGCGAGAAAGCAACTCATAACTGTTATCAAGTCTATAAGACCCAATGCTGTAGCTTTGGTTGATGCTTTTGATTTGCCTGATTATTTGCTTAATTCAGCACTAGGTGGGAGTAACGGTAATGTTTATGAAGTGATGACAGCGATGGCTGAACGAGAACCACTTAATCATAAAAAGGTGGCAGATGGTTATGACGAGTTCATTCGTCCACTAATCCATCAAGGAAAAGCTTGTTGGTCTGTGGATCAAAGGGGTGTTGCTCGCCTTTAACCGCGACTTCTACATAAGAATAATCAAAATCCTGAATATCCATGAATCATAGAAGACGGGGTTAGACAGGATCATTCAATCTAGTATAAGATAACAAAATTAGATCACTAACAATAAAGCTTAACAGTTTCAATTAAACGTACTTCATTATAAAAACGTTCTGCTTACAGAAAGCTTTCAATAATTGTTCAAAAATATGGCAATTAAAACAATTTTTGTTAATAATGAATTTGTTGAATCCTGTTGAGGGTTATAGTGCTAATTGGTATGGCTCAAAGATAGAGTAACGGTATCAGAATTCCTTTTATAGCGATAATCAGTTAAAGGCATTACATGGTGCTAGCCAACAATTAATATGGAGATAGTGAACATCAAGTTTTAAAGTAACAATGTTACAAATTTGACTAACACGAGATTGAAAGTAACAAGTCAATATATGAATTTATTGGGAGACTTTTATTCAAGAGAGTAAATCAAATGATTTCAAAGAAAAACAATCAAACCAGATTCACTGGAAGTAGACAATGAAATCTAAAGTATACTAAAACGAAATTTCAGTCTACGAACCAATTTAAATACTCAACCCATTGTTTATTCTTCACTAAAACGTGTTGATTGAAAATAAATAATAGATATGGAAGTGTCTATAATTCTACTTGAATGATAAGAAAATTTTCAAGAGTTGCAAATAGAGAAGCTTTCATCAGTAGTTGATGATTTGTAAACAACAGTATAATACAACAGCAACAGACAATTGTTGAAGGTTTTTACGCGAAAGAGAGCAAGGATGATAAAAAATGATATGTTTAACAAAAATAGGTCACATAAATGAGGTTGATAATGTCAAATTGTTACAAGGTTAGATGATTTACATATAAAATGTGAACTTTGAATGGATGAATCTCTATAATTTAAATGGCAATCCATTTTAACGAGGATAAAGGTGATTAAAATGAATAGAAACGATGTAGACTCGAATACTATGAGTACAGTGAACTAAGTGCTATCAAGTTAACAGGATGATATGGGGTGAGAAGTAGGAAAGGGATACAAAATAAATGATGACTTTTATATGAGAATAGCTACTTTATATAAGGTTGAGCAGGTTACCATTTTTTACTTATTTTACCATAACACATTCCTTTAAGGCGTTCGGTACGTAGTATAAGTAGTATCTGGACATGTAGCAATTATTACTTCAAGATTGAGGCATAGTAGGTTATAGGTTTTTTTCACTGCCTTAAGCATAAAGAAAGATTATAAGGCCACACCCTTAATTTTTTCTTTACGATATCTAACTCAAAACACCACGCACGAATGTTATTTTGTTATTTAGTACTACTTCCTGCAAGCAGTATTGCATGATAGCTAGTACAGGGAAATAGGATAGTTGCTGACTACGAGGTCAAATCATGAATGCTTTTACAAGCCCACCCTCTCTGGGTGGATGCGTAGACTTCACAAATGTATATTGTATTATTTTACGGTTGCGAAGACATATGTCTATCATCAATATATTAGCTCCGTTGACAGTTTAAAGGTTCTGATTTTTGCAGTAGATATCTTATCTAGTTATAGCTTGAATCGATAAAGTTTAGCAACAGGCTTTTGATTTCTTGAAACTTTTTGTAATGATTTCACCGTGCTATTTTGCCACCTGGCAAGTTGTCAAATATCACATTAATCCCTTTGAATACATTAATTGAAACAATACACAAGCTTCGAAGTTATCAACTAGAGACATTATATACGAAATCATGTGGTGCTCACTATTCTTTGAATAGCCAACTACTGGGTATTTCAATAACTCTCAGCTTTTCTTATTTTGACTCTCTGTTGTATACGATAAGATAAAGTATATGAAAAAAGGAAACAAAAGGAAATCAGTGAAGACCAAGTTATCTTCTTTTATTAAGTAGAATATTCTGATAAAGAACTCAAGACAAAAACCATGTAGGAAAAAAGTACTTCTATTTATATTTGTGGATATTGTAAAAAACTTTTTCTATCGAGACTCTTAGGTACAAGATGACCTGATGATAAAAGAAAAGACATACCCAATTGTTACTGCACGGTTCATCATGCTATAGCGGTGCCTTGACCGATTGGATCGGTGACAGGAGGTAAGTGGGTTGATCTAACTAAAGGTTCCTTTGACCTGTACTTCAGCAGTTTCAATATAACTAACGTGACGGACAGGATAAACTATTCCTTAATTCTGCCGGACGTCTACGTTTCAATCTTATTGAATTCTGTCCGAATGTAAAGGGTTAAAGTAAGGATCAACAAGTTAGATAATAGCTAGATTAGATTTATGTATTGTGGTTTGATGTGCTAAATAAAGTTATCTGATTTAATCAAATCCAAATACTATAATATCTTATTTCTAAATGAAGTCAATTACTCATCCAATGTTGTCTCGATATACAGATGAGATATTCTTCCGCAAAAGAAAAGAATTGTTCTAACAAATCTATCACTCTCGGTTATTCTAACCTTCATAAGGATCCGCAATCTCTTCTTTCAGTATTATGTAATAATCCAAGAGTAATATGCTGTTGGATACAACACTCTCGTCGTGGCTATTGCAATAAGTTTAGATTTTGTTTATAAACCTTTCAATGACTAGGATCTGCCAGAACAGCAAGGATCCTGACTTTACATTATATTCTTCATTTTGATAGCATCAGTACTGTTACATAATCTGCAAGCTCATAAATAACCCTGTAGCATAGCACGTATAAGGCTAAAAAGTTTGTGACGTGTCTTATAGTACTTGAAAAAAGAAAAATATAAACCGATGCCGATGGGACTCGAACCCACAATCTTTAGATTCGAAGTCTAATGCGTTATCCATTACGCTACGGCATCTGGTATGACTAAATTTTTTATTAGGATATGATTATGCGGTATAATATCACGTGACGTTTTCCCGCAATTTTTGTGAAATAAATGTATTCTCGAGTCGGATTCTTCTCTTACAGTTGTTTTGACACAACGACACTGTGGGAGTTTTGGCACTAAGGGCGGCTCGAAATTTTTTGGCATACAATCTCTTTATGTCAATTGCAAACATACCCGTCATCAACTTTGATGCTGAACGTAACGATGAGGTTATTAAAGAGCTTTATGAAATAAAGAGCAATTTACCAAAAGAGCTTCGATGTAAAGACTACATATTGGAAAACGGTCAGATCTGGACGAGTTGGACGGTACGCGAAAGCGTTTATAGAAAAAAATATGCATCTTTCCCAACCATGGCAAGAGGTCTCTTTACGCAAGTGACCAACGACGATCAGCAATACATTGTTGCACGTGGGTATGATAAGTTTTTCAATATATTGGAGACTGGATTTACGCAAGTATGGGCTTAACAAGTTTAACGGAGTGGACATACTATCCTATGCTGACAACATTGGTTATTTTCTTCATTGCTCATTTCTGTTTTATTGAATAAAAAAGTGGCCAGCGTTGTTTAAAGATACAGAAGGGCCATATGAGATTACAGCGAAAGAAAATGGATGTATCATATTCATTGCTGCCTTAACACCTGCAGAAGTAGTTGTAACTTCTAAACATGCAATTCCTGCTGTAAAAACAGATCCTACTGCCCACGGTGGTGTAGGCTACAATTGGTTGCTACGACACCTTTCTTTGGTTGGGAAAACTGAAAAGGATTTAGCAGAATGGCTATACGATAAACGAATTACTTTGATAGCAGAAGTATGGTCTAATGCTTCGATACACATGAATGGCTACAAATACTAATCAATGATTTTTTGCGAGTAGTTATGTGACGATGAGTTTGAACAGCATATCCTCCCTTATACCGGCAAAGATCGAGGATTATATCTTCATGGTATCAATTACAACACACACGATCTAAACACATTACCCGCTTCTACCGTTCAACAAGTTGCTATAGATTTCGGATTTCATACAATCGACTACCATCTGTTTGACAATATTTCTCAAGTTAAAGAATTTGGAGAAAATATGCAGCAAATAGGGTTATATAAGGAGAGAGAGGTGGAAGGTGTCGTTGTTCGATGTAAGCGGCAAGGGAAGGATTTCATGTTCAAGATAAAGAATGAAAAATACCTGCTATATCGAGAATATAGGGAAGTCACTAATGCCATGTTAGAAAGCAAGGATGGTGATGTTCGTATTATAGAACCGAAAAAAACTTTGAAATTAAATTATGAGAAAACACAGTATTATATTGAATGGCTACGGAAACGCGTTGTAAGTAATCCAGACTGGTTCAAGAATTATAAGGCTCAAAAAGGCATCATCTTCGTTCGCCAGGAGTTTGAAAAGTTCTGGAATGAAGGGAAAATTTCCGAAGAATAAAACATTAAAAGATTTCGATGCCTCTCAATCCTTTAAATTGAATCGATGATTTGAGAACTTACAAACGGTTGAACATGTCCATCGAAGATTTTAAAAGAGACAAAATAGAATCAGTACACAAACTATTAGGCTTATACCCAGGTTTTCAATTCGCTGAAAGTTTGACAGCTGCTTTTGTTGTGAAGGGTGAAAGAGAAGCTGGTACAGGAAGGCATCAACTGTCTAAAGCATAATCAAAATAAACTGAGTCTAAGTTATTTCCATAGTCCAGCCTATTTGGTTGAAGAAAACTGAACCCGAACGCCTTGAACCTGTTATAATATCCTTTTTATTATTGCTTGTATAAAAATCTAACTTGCTAAATGCCATCATGATTATCCTTAACTTTCAATATAAGTTGAGCAAGATCGAATCCGACCACACTTAACACAAACAAAAGAAACACCTGAATCTATAGTTAGACAGCGAAGCGACGTTTCTATGGAAGATGTCGGCGATCTATCTTCGCTATTGGAATCACTTCAATTGCTAACCGTTGCAAATAATTCACAGATTCAAAACCAAAACAAACTTACAGCCTTACGCAAACTGGCGAACTTGCCATATGCAAAGGTATTTACTTGCTTCAGAACAACTAGAATTGCATGTTGGCTGAATTTTACGGTATTATGCGGGTACTGTGTAGTTGGAAGCCATTGTAGCAGCTATAAAGTTCGAATCTTGGTCAGATGACTTAATTTCCGATCTTTTCAATGAAATAACTGACGGACAAGACGCGACGAGCATTACATCTATACTACTCGTTCATGCAGCAGCTTTTACTAAGGTTTCTATTTGAGGGTAGTCCTCAACGCTGTTTTATGTGGTCATACTAGTTCATTATTAACATAATACTTGTTATAGATAACTACTTTGACTTCTAGCGCATCAAGATTGCTCGTGAATAGTTTGATTCAAGTAGCCAAAAATAACGGAAGATGTGTTGTATTTGGCTTACTCCTTCCATTGTTATTTCAAAGTGAACTTAAAAAGCCTCAATCCGAATTGATTTCAAAAGTAGTATCTGAAGCATTGAATCCGTTGTATAAAACTACTATTCTTCAGTAAGTCTTTTTTTTCTCCATCTGATATCGCACTGTACGTATACTAATAGTAAAATTCAGAGCTATACTTTCGGATGGAGAGACTTATTTTACAAGCAATTTATTCGTGTTTACGCACCTAGAACGTAAATTCCTGAGACCATGGACTAATGAAGCGTTCCAAATTATTCATAGCTTATGCACTTCACAACCTTTGATCGTGTTTACAAAAAGTCTACTATTTGATCTTTTAAAATCGCTGCAAGTTATTGTACAGTCTAATCCCAAAGATAAACCATCCATGCAGTTATTGCTGGCACTTGCGAACAAACATCATCAAGCTGTTATGGAACCGGAAGCAATCAATTTGGTGGAGGCAATTTGTGAAGCAAGCACCATGTTCTTGAAACGAGCAGTATCGGCTCAATTGACATTGCTCAAAAAAAGAAACTGATAATTACCAGATTATTGATGTTATAACGCATGTAACTAATAGATGTAAACCAATCATCATGTATATATCATACAATCTCTATTTATTCAAAGGTTAGAGACACTCTTTTCTACATATATACCGCTTCTTTAGCCCCCCTTTTTTTTCTTTTTTCTTTTGCTGTGTATATTCAATAAATTTTAGCGATGAGATAAATCCTTAATGTGTCACATTTACAAACGATTGGATTTTGAATACGCAGGTGATTCACCCTTTTCATCCTTGAGGCCTGCCCCAAGTACGAATTTTGCCTCTTCTATCAGTAGTTATCAGTGTATTTTCTTTGAATGTTAACGATAGACATGGATCACTATGAATTGTTCTGACAGTGGTGGGTAATAAAATAGCTGCCTGACTCTTTTTCACGACAGGATGCATTACAGGCGCGTGCTGTTGAAAAGCATCGCCACTTAAAACTTCATCATGGTAGTCGTTGCCAGTATTATTGAATATGTTGCTGGATCTTGATGATCTCTTTCTGAACCGATTAAATGAAGAACCATTGCCGCTACTTGTACTAAAAAGAGGGTTGCTGCTATTAGTATTGCTGTCAGAGCTTGAAAATCCACGAAACAGTCTATGATTGCGTAAAGATTTTTTACGCTCCATTTGATTTGGAAATGTTGGCGAGGGTATAATAGCAGAAACGGGTGGTTCAGCTGTAGTTGCTGCCACTGGTGCGATTGTAGGCGGGGGTAAGGATTGAGCTGTGGATGTTGTTGGTATTGTTGTTCGAGGCTGTTCGAAGAGGATGTACATTTATGAGTATCCTTTCCGATCTAATTTCATGAAATGCGTGTTAACTTACATGCTTTGGCTTTTGAAGCGCACTATAAGAGAAATCCCACAGTACTAAATTGCAATCTTCTCCTACGCTACCAAAACGATAAGTCTCAGCATCACATCTCCACCGGTCAAAAGCGACTCCTGTAACCCATGATTTATGTCCTTGGCACCGTGCCACCATTTTCTTTTCATTAAACGACCATAATGTAACAAGATCATCCTCTCCACCTGTCTATATAATGAAGAGTACGTTTCAGAAAAAAAATAATTTAAGGTTCAATCGAGAAATCAAACTTACCAGAATATAGCGACCATCAGGACTCCAATCGACACAGCTTAATTTACCGTAATAGCTGCAAAATATGTCCGTTAATCTAAAATGAAAACAGTTTGAACGAAAGGGTGGATGAGTACTATTACTTTTTCACTCTTTCATCCTGTCAAAACCAACCTTTCGTTTCTGTAGTCAATGATACGTAATTGTCCATCAACACCTGTAATTGCTAAATGTACACCATCCGGCGCAAACGCTATATCCGTTAGACCTCGTTCACTGACTTTCCAGAAGGAAACAGGATTATATTTAGAGCTTCTATGAGGGCGAACAGCATGAAATCTAGAGAAAATGATACTCATTAGTCCTATCATGCTGCTTTCGCTCTTTTTTGTATAGTACTTGCGTCTGCAATGGTGGCAATGCCGGAAGCACTTACTCTGATTTTTCCCATGATGATGCTTCGGGTATAATGAAGGATTGATCATCTCTTTCTCTATCCATGATTAAAGCTGTACCATTGCTGAATATGGCGATGAATAAATCTTCCGATCCAGGAATCCATCTTATCATAGTGACAGGTGAGGCGACCATGGCACCGCCTTTGTTCAGTCTGACATACTTACAACTTGGAGGATCATACCATATGATATCACCTGTTGAGAAGCCAATGATGAAATCTAAATGATCTTCACAGCGTGTTGTTTCATTCATGTCATGGCAGATAGGATATGATTTGGAAAAGATAATTCTTGATAAAGGTTCCTTTGGTGAATTCTTAGCATCCATCCAAATAAAACTCGAGCCCATATTTAAAAATAAAAAATTATCGTCGGCTCCTTTTGTGGTCAATAGCTTCTGCAAATTCTCATGGATTAGAAACCTCAACACAAAGGTTGAATTAGTCTTCATTAAATGATTCTTGGGTTTACTGCCGCTGCTGCTACTGTTATTATAGCTGAAGCTGTTACCCATACTACGGGCTATCGACGATGATAATTGTGAAGTGGATTTGCTACTTATCATATTGGAACTTGTCACGTTAGTAGCTCTACCGAATAGTGATGAGATAGAGCTTACACTACCCGTTTGAGTGTGATGTGACTGTGCACTGTTATGGTTGATATTAAACGAAGTCGAAATGTGTGGCTCAGTATTGCCATGGCTTTGTTGGCTGACGGACAAGTCAGCAAACCCGCCTAAATCATGAGATGTGCTCAACATATATGATCCAGAAGCAAACTGCTGATGTGGTTGATAAGAATTGGCTACTTGATGTGATTGAGGGATATTCTGTAAGTGTGAGCCAGTGTTTGATGTTGCAGAGAAAGACGGCGAGAAAGGTGAGTAAGGACTTGCGCTGTTTCCATTCGAATTGTTCGGTATCATCAGCTTCTGCGGAGAGGTCAGTATTTGGAGTCCAGGATTATTTGTACGATTAAAACTGGTGCTAATAGAGTCAGAAGATGGTTGAACTGCTGTACGCGACATTTTGATTGTCGAAGCCGCATTGGGGATAGGGAGAGCTGCCGACTTGATAGGTGTTATGGAGAGCGATCCACCCATAATTAAGCCTTCATCTTCAGATGATTCCGTTGTCATTGTTCCATTGTACAGCTGATTCTCATCCTTTACTTTAACAACTGTTGCCCTTGTGCCAATATTATACTGTGGTGCAATTGTCTCATAAAAAGTTTCGTGTAACAAAGGATAAATGCCATCTGGGGTATGTATTTCCGTGCAACTGAAATCTTTGTTTGATGGAGGAAAGTGAGGCACGGTTCTGGTAACCTGAGCTACTGCGTTAGTGGCATTATTTCTGCTGATATTTTGCTGTAAACTATTAGCTACGAATGTCTAAGCACCCGTTTAGAATTTGAACAGCATTAAAGAGATTAAACACTTTAGCACAAACATAAATCTTGAAATTTAAGATGTGCATACCGATTGTAGGTAACCGTCCATGTAGATCTATTTGCATCCAAAGCACTCTTTTGATTTTTTCTAAAAAAAAAAGAAGTGGTAATAAAGCACACTGGAGGCTTGACGAATTAAGCGTTTTGTTTTGATGCAAAAGGAAGCCCAAGAAAAAAGTTTTTGTATTGATAAACCGTCTTTTATGTTGACTGTAGTAAAGGTAAGACAACACCCTTCGCACGCTGGTCTGTATGTTTCTGCATTGCCCGGAAATTGGTCGTCAAAAATTTAATTCCGCAAGTTTGAATGATGAAAAGAAGCCTAAAAGTCTTAAGCAGATATTTCGTTGATGGCATTTGTACATCCTTTTGGTATGGTGAGTTTGATCACGAACACCTTCTGACGATAAGCCTCTATAATTTCTACTGTAACTAGCTCTCAACTTAGTTGGCTTACATGATTAACCAGCCATATCAGCCTTTTGCCAGTCATTGTACAACAAATTTTTTAAAAGCATGTATAAAATGTAATGTTAGTGCTTTGTCAAGAGGAGAATAATCAAAACCCTACAGTAATAACCTATCAAAATCGTTAATTGGGTGTCATTTTGATAATGAAGTTGAGCATTATAGAGTTATAAAACCTTCAGTTGTAGTAAGGATATAATTGAAAATTGATATGGAACGACTTTCGTAAAATATCGATGTTGATCAATTACTGTGTCTGGGACACCCTCTTTTTTATCAGTTGCTTTTGAATACATGTAAAAGTCTCATTCAGCAGGATGATTTGAGGCGGAAGCTCCAATACTGTCTGTTTGGATAATTCTTCCATCGGAAGTTAATTTTCCCGAAATGTTTGCATCTTATAATTACACACAACTGTTCTGGCCATAACTCTTTTTTAATCAATGAGAGCGAGCTTGGGCAGTTATCCAGACATTACGTACCTTATGCCATTTTTGATCAGTCAACTGCAATTGTCAAGCCGCTAAAAAATCAGACAGGAGATGCTATGGATGTTATAAGACTCTTGTAATCTCTTTGTATATTGATAGTTCACAATATATTCATGATGAGACTGACCTCAACCACTCTTATTCTTTTAACAAAGATCCTTATGAGGCTACTGCCGTGTAGGGCTCTTTTAATGACGATATTGCACCACAGTATTTTTACATCAACGACAACGTAGTACAAAAAATTTTAACATAGGCACGTTACACTATATTCTATAGTTCAATTGCAAAAGAGTTTGTGGTATAATTTTACAGTGTTGAACATTGAAGTAAAGTTTACCTCACATATTCACAAATAAACATTGTATCATCATTCGGTAATGTGTATACTAATTGTAAAATGTGTATAGAGATGTTTTACTTCTCAAGTGAGTTATAACCATCTTGAAATATATTGTATGTATAACTTAATAATGGGAATTAAAGGAAAAAAAGAACGTAATAACATAATAAAAAATGTAGAATTTTGAAGAAAAGAATTATAAATTAATTAGAATAATGAATTTTCTTTTGTTTCTGTATTGATATGTAATATCAGATTTAAAGCAAAGCAGCGACAACGGCACCAGCAACAGCGGCAACGCCGACAGCAGCAGCGTTCTTGTTAGCAGCAGAGCTTTCTGTAGGGGAGGCAGCACCAGAGCTGGCAGCCTTAGTGGGAGTAGCAGCGGCAGAAGAAGCCTTTGAGTTGACAGAAGAGACAGCATCAGCAGCAGGGGTTCCGGCAGGCTTAGCAGCGGAAGGAGTAGCGGCAGCGGAAGGAGTAGCGGCAGCGGAAGAAGTGGCGGCAGCGGTAGCACCAGTGCCGGAGGCAGCAGCAGAACCAGAAGCAGAGGTGTTAGCGGAAGCACCACCTAAATGGTTACGGATAGTTAGTAACTTCGTACATTGGTTCAATTGTTATCAATTTGAACGCTTACCAGAAGCAGCTTGAATAGCGAAGAAGGGAGTGTAGCTGACATTGGGGCTTTGACCGAAAGAAAGTGCATCTATTGTAGAGAAAGATTTACGCTATTAATAAAGTTGACTAAAAGTTGTCTTGAGGTTGACTCAGTTCCTTCTTTTTCTTCCGGTTTTTCTGTCTATCATAATTTTTCGTTTGAAATTTGCGTCACTAAAGAACTTACAATCAGAGCCAGCAGCGATGGAAGTAGGGATGTTCCAAGCATAAGAACCGGTGCTAGCGGGAACGTTGGTTGCTACGTTTTGAACAAAAGTAAGGGCAGAAGCATCACCCTTGCGAAGATCAATGGTAGCAATAGTGCCTTCAACAGGATTCCAAACAATTTGAGCAGTAGTACCAGCAACGAGAACTTGGTTGGTGGTAGGTTGGCTGGTAACAATTTGCTGAGCAGAGACAACAGAGGCAGCAATGGCAGCGATGGCAGCGATAACAGACTTCATTTTGCTATAAATGTGCGTTTGTTGTAAATGAAAAGGAGAGAAAGAGATGAAAACAGAAATAAGCTGAAAAGTGAAAGAGAAAAGAAAGAGAAGATTGCAGCAAGATAAGAAGACGTTGTTGTTTATTTTTATATCAAAATAAAAGTAATACAAGCTTGATATCCTCATCTTTGGCTTTTTAACTGGGTACTCGGTGATCTGATGTAGAAAAAATATTTCCTGTCTCCAATGTGTCACGTAAAGCATTTTCCAAGTTGTCTAACAAAACCTAGATCAACCAATTAGAATAGATGATGAAGGAAAACTTTTTGCAAGATCGCCCACAAACTGTTATATGTGAAATAAGAGGGTGTGCGCACACACCTTTCTTAGTTCAACAGCATGAGACTTGCCTTTTTTCACAAGCAATGTATGACAATGGAAAAAGTTATTTATAAAAGCAAGGTGTACCATTCTATTGTTCTTCATTTACCTTCGAAAATAACGTGATGAAAACGTAATATACGAACAGTTGCAATTGCTACCTACTCTAGTGTTGTGTACTGAATGCAAAAAAACAGGAGTAGTGAATATCCAAAATATATAGAAAGACGTGTTATATTAGTCTATGCCAAGAGAAGTAACTTGGATCAAATGGCTGCCCAATTACAAAAATTCAAACCGACATCTAAATAAGCTTGCGACTCCACTTTGCCTCAGGGGAAATGTTCCACTCTTTTCCTATCATCTTCAGCTACTTAGAAACTAAGTATATATAAGCTTTAATTGTTAAATGCACTTGCACACACATTAAAAATTTCATTATCAATAGAAGGGAAAATTTTCCCAATTGTTCATAATCTTGCTCTTTTCTTTTTTTTTTTTTTTGTTTCACACCATTTGGTTATATCATCCGTTTTATCTTATCCTTATTACCCCTAGCATAATCAATTTAACAATACTAAATTGTAAGGCTTTAATTCTTTTTGAGATTTTTCATACCCTTTAGTTTCTCCGAAATCTTGAAAGTCCATTTCTAAGATTGCAATTAAGAGATGTCCGCTATAAATGGCGAAGTTAGTCTTGAAGCACAGTTGTGGGACGATGACCGTTCATGGGTAGAGCAGCAACCAGAAGCAAAAGAATTCACCGAAAAAGATGTTCTGCCTTTTTTGTTACAAGCACAAGATATCATTTCTAAGTTAGAATCCAGAGTGGTGGAACTGGAAAATGATTTGTCTGTAAGAGAAAGCAATATCAAACAATCTAGGGAAGTTTTGCTTACTGAAAAACCTTTTCTAACATTCCAGACTATCTACGGCAAATATGAACACGATAGAAAAGAATGGTTAACAGGCTTATCTCAAAAAGATGATTATATAACACATCTATCAAGTAGACTATCAAAAACAGAATTCAATAGCCGGGAAGCAATCACTTTACTAGGCGACTTATTAGGCGAAAATCATAATACTTTATCATCGACCAACACGGAGCATATACAGTCAACCATAAGATTATGCCTTCACTACCTGAGAATGCAACAAACATCACAATATGAATCTGTACTCTATCTGAACGAACTAAGCGAAGAAACAACAACAACAGCAATAACAAAGCACAACAACGATCATCCCAACCAATCATGTGATATCGCAGAGGAGGAGCTACTGCCTTATTCTTTAACCGCATCGTTTAGTACCACCACTGCTTCATCCTTCCAATCATCATCATTAAGACACTCTGAGGAGCAACATATGCAACTCTCTTCGATATACACAGAATCATCGTTTACCTTACCTTCTTCAAGTTCTATGTCCGTTCCAAAGGAGCTTGAGGAAGTGGTCGATGCCACCACAACAAGATCAGCACGGGTCAACTCCTTTTCTTCATTTTGCACGAATTGCAAACAATTATTATCTCAACTCGACGCTCAAGTGGAGAAGCAAGCCTTTCTCAAAAGGGATCTTGATTCTCTCGCTTCCGCCTTAAACGACGAAGAGCAAACTCGTCTATTGATCGAACAAGACAAATTGGAATTAGAGCATGATGTCGAAGTTATAACATGTTCACTGTTTACTTATCTGAACGAAATGCTAATGGACGAAATGAATAACAGGAAAGAGCTGATACAGTTGGACCGTGACTTAAAGGGGAAGTTGTTTCAAATGGTAGATGCATGGAATGTACGCGGAGAAAGACTTAAACAAATGAAGGAATTATTAGTAGAATTAGACTCCACAGTTCACCAGAGCTCCAACCTAACCAGTTGTGCATCTGTAAGACGTGCTTCTTTCCATCAGCGATATCATCAGCAGAAACGATCATCCTTTTCTTCGACATCAACTGCAGTCACGCAGTCTTCCTTATCTGACAGTAGCAGCAATACTAATAGGCATGATAGCTCTTTAGCATGGTACAGCAATGAATCAAACGCGACACAAACAAATGTCATACGACTGGACGGGATTATGCTGCAGGAGTTCAAAGACCATTTAAACACTTTATGTGATGCAAAGAATGACCTACTAATACCTTCTACACCCTTTGCCAAGCGAGTATTTTCAGAAGATGTCGAACCTTGTTTGTTTTTCAATTCAAGCAAGCAATTCTCACAGAAGAGCTGGTGGTGGGGATCGGGTTGGTTTAAAAGAAGACTCTTAGATGCCATTTTGAAGAACGAATGTGACATACAGTATTGGACCTATCATCGAAATTATTCTTATACGCAGACAGCTTCGGAATCCAGGACCAGTGATAATCCTTCTCCTTTAACGACTTCTATCGGTAATATGAATGCATTGAGAGAGCACGATGATGAGGTAAATTTTAAGGCACAACAACAACAACAACAGCCTCCAAAATTCAAGTGTGCATGTTGTAACATGTTAAGACCATGCGAGTTTAGGCTGAAGTTACCCAACATTATCAATGGTAACAGTAGCAGCAGGCAGCAGCAGCAGATAAAGCAACAAGAAGAGTATTGGTTGCCTATTGACCGGTTCTGTAGAGATCGTGTGGTGGCTGTCTGCAGCTATTACAGCTTCATGTCTCACTTGAAATTTACGGCTTTTGCATCAAATGCACCCAATATCATATTTCTATTCAAACAAGTGCTACATTTTCGTCGGAAAATGGCTGCGGCAAAAGTGGGATCAGTTGAGTTATTTGATTTGGACGAGAGAGAAGAGGAAGAAAAGACAAAGAGGTTAATTATACAGACAGAAGCTCTAAAGCGAAAGTCCAGCATATTTGTGCCAGCCACTAATACTAGCAGTATACATAAGAGATGGACTTTTCAGCAACAGCAAAGGCAAAGAGGTAATAAGCATAGTCATATCTCTAAACTGACAGACAATAGCAGTGCTACCAGTCATCATAATTCATCGACAACTTTAGTGGAGGTCGTAGGAAATCAACAATTCATTATTGTCAAGTAAGACGAAAAGTGGATAAGTACCGAAAGATTTCAGTATCCTGACCTTGGCAATGATGGAGTAAAAGGCGATTCATTGTCCTCAGTGTACACAACATGGCTTATTCAAATAGGCACACTTTCCATAAAAAATTGTTCTCCACGTATTTATGTTATACCATAATCGTTTCTCTCTAACCGTTCACCTCTCTTTTACCTTTGAAAACCAGAGGTGGCTTCTTTTAATGTTTTATTCTCCATCTATGGTTAGTATTAATTAAACACAGGTTTATACCAGTTTTTGACTTCTCTTATTCAAAGAAACGATAGCGTAACAATGTTAGGGAAAGAATGCCAGTTTAAAATTTTGGTCGTATTGACCTTTCACAAATGAAGGCTTCTCGCGAAATTTCATCCAAATGTTTTCTTATTTCACATGCTTCTTCCATTCCTTAAAAAATACAACTTTTAAAAAGGTTATTTTAATGAAAGCTTGTATGCTTATTGCTAAATGCACTGCATGCCATTGATAGCTTATGTTTACAACTTATTCCGAGAAAGTAAGCAGTCAGATATGAATTTTTTTTTTGTAACAATCCAAACAACCAAACTACAATTCCTGCCGATTTGAGTTAGTGGCGTATCGAAGGAGATTGAAATGGCTTTGTAGCATATAAAAGGGGCGACGAAGTAGAGTTGGAGATCATCGTTAAAAAAATCACAGGAGGATGTCTGCGAAAAGATGCTTAGCTTACCACGGGCTGACAGGTAGAATTATCCCTGTATAGCATCGAAAATTAAAACCAGTGTTGTATTTTGAGGACTTTTGCAATGAAAGCGTTCCATTGGATTACAGTTTTCTTAAATACAGTTTTCAGCGTTCGTCCAAAACTTGCTGTCATATGTTCAGTCACTACCAACATAATGGGTAGTCATTTATCAGCTTGATATGGACGATTGGACAACAATAATATGGAGAGGGACGTTGACTCTTTTATACCATTACTAAGCCAATGAATAAACCGATCATCAATAAAAACCAGCATTGTACAACTCCAGCGCAACTTTTAAAGGTAATTATGCATATATTTGAGTTTATAATCTATTGAAATAATAATAATCAATACTATGACAATTAAATCAGATCTGAGACGAACAATACAGTATCTTAATGAGTACGTTAAAGGCACTTCTCAATCAAGCATGGGTGATTTGAGGAACTCATATGGTAATCAAGTTAAAGTCATAATAGTAAAGGTAAATAATGTGAAGAGAAGGCCGTTTAGGCTAACTACAGAAATGTTTTGGAGTTCATATATGTTCTTTTATTGTCATCAGATAATCATCAATCCAACTACCTATCTAAGCCAAACGTTAAGTGCGGGCTGAAATAGTTTCACAAACCCTTACAGCAGCAGTATATCTTTTCAGAAAGCATTATTGATCCCTTGATATTAGTTGTTGTGAACTCTATATATTAGATATCAAGCCTCAGCTGCGACAAAAAGCAGGCTGATCAATTCAAAGGGTTGAGAGAAAGTTTGAACGACCAATGAAGGACACCTGGTGCTGCAATAAATGATATTCAATGAAGGTTTCTTCTTTCTCAATTGCCCGCTGCATGGAAGAGCTATTTGAGTATTGTTTTTAAACTGTCAGTGAACAGTGACGATACTGCTATTTGTTGTTATTGGTGTTGTAGGAAATCAGAGGGTCTGCCTTCCGTTGACTCTGAAAAGTTTATTGCGGTTGGTGGAGCGCGGATCTTTCTAATAAAAAAAAAGGTTACTGACATTTGAACCTTAACACGCTCAATGCTTGGATGATGCTAAAAGATCAGACGATTTGATCGTTTCCCTATTGCTTCTATTCTTTTAATGTGTTGTAAAAGCTGCCCATCTATCGCAACAATAACATCCTGCTTCGATAGTGAAGCTGTTGATGTGTAATTAATGATGTCTTTTGAAGTAAGGTAATTTAATGCTTGCTTCACCGTGATTCTTTTGGCGTAAGTGAGCCAGCACTACATAATTCATGCAAAGATTAGTGCCCTTTATTTTAGAACACTATTTTAATTGCTTTAAAGTATGTCGATTGAGTTAGACAATACAACAAATAAGCTTTCAAATTGCATAAATTGTTGGCTATGTTGGATAGACAGAGTTACTGTCGACTCTCATTGGCAATTTGGTTTACAAAAAACTGGGAATATCCTTTATTGCGTGTACTCCACTCATTCAAATGGTTCAATTCCGAAATGCAGAGACTGTCTATCAATAATTAAATAGGAGATACACATATTATGACTTCTATTGGTTAAATAGCAGTCATTTAAAAGGAGTTACAATTGTTTTTAAAAAGTATATAAAGACGCTCATTTTTCTGAATTTCCGCTTCTTTTTTCTTCACTCAGAAATCAGCTCAGCACAAATGTTGCAGTAGCTTTGATTTCTAAATTGGTTTCCTCTGTGTAGATGGGCCTAGTACTCCTATTGTATCATAATGGTCCTTCTATTCATGTGTAATGCTGGTTGTTGCCACTTGCCTGAAATAGGTGTCTGTCGGTTCCTCGTAAGCCGGTAGCATAAGGTTAATGTCAACCAGCCCCATGGGCAGCCATGTTGATGTCTCTCCTCGTGGGGGCTGCCTGGGCAACTTCTCTGCTAGAGAGTAGGCTAGAACATCAACACCTTTTTTTTATATTATAATTCAAATAGTAAATGAAAAAAAAAAGAGAAAAAAAAAGATATAATTATCTTTTGTGCAAATCTTACTAGTACAATTGAAAAAGTCTATTACACTTTCGAAAAGGAACAAATAACAGCAAGGCAGATATAGCCTTACTGTTGGTATGTAGATGCGCAATTTATCACACATTATGTTTTACGAAAAGTCCTAAAACTCAGTAAGGTGGTCAATTTTCTTGAATGGAAAGAGAGTGGAACTTGCACTTTACTATAAGCTATCATCCGCAAGGCAGCGTCATCCCTGCGAAACAAGTACAGAGGTATGGCTTCTTTAATACAAGTTAAATTGGAACAGTCTCGTAAAGAGTAAATTCAACAAACGTGATTTATGGTTTAGCTATGAACTGTGATGCTTTCTAGTTGTTGTTGATTTTGAACAAATAGTGGTTTTACCCCCAATGAGACAATATATATTTGATTTCATTATGAAAAGCCGCTGTATAGGTATTCATTTCGTGTCAGAAGAACCAGAATAGCAAGAATTATAGAAAGAGAGTAGTTAACGAAGCAATTAATTAAAGATGGAAACATTTTTAAAATGCAATGCAAAAAGAACAATCAGAATCGACGCTGACGCCTTGTGACAATATTACAGTTGTAATGTATTAGTTTTATCTTTACTTTCATCACGGTTACAATGTTTTGATGGTTGAACTGTTAAATATGGAATCATATATTTCCTCAAGAGTGATTCTTTCGTATATGTAAATCTTTTGCTTTACCAAGAGCTTTTCCAATCTATAATAGATTTATTGTTCTCATTACCCATCGAATAATTGTCGATAGTAGCCATCCATTCGCCATTTTCAAACTTTCAATATCGTGCTAGAAAATGCACTTGAGTTGGTATATCTACATGGATATAGCATGAAAAGTGCTTTTAGGATGGTATATATCAGAGGAATTTGAACAAATGCCATTGGGCGTTAATTAGCGAAGATATTAATGTAAAGATTAAATGTATATATATAATTGCTATCATTATTGTCGATGATATCTTATCAATAATTACAAATAAGTATTACGAACAGTAGTTGTCCATAGGAAGTACTAGTGTGTATTCAGCGTATACTTCTCAATCAATTCATCGAGTGGCCGACAAGTTGCTGATAGAATATTTCTTGGTAGAGGCAGATTTCATTATCCATGGATGCTTTAATGCTTCGTCTGGTCTCATACGTTGATCAGGATCCCATTGTAAGCATTTGTCCACAAAGTCGATGAAATCCTCATCACTCGCTTTTAAAGCGTGTGCCAATGGTTTCGTACCAGGCCTTCGTTTTCTTCCTTTGGAATTAGGCTGAATACGTGGATTATTTTGTGAGTCTAGGAGAAAAATAAATAGTCTCAGTTCTTACGTGTCATACACTATCTATTGGTGAAGCCACTTTCGCATTCTTACCGAAAAACAGTTTTCTTCGACTACTCTTCTCTATGATGTACATTTCTGGAATACCTTGTATTTCCATGATACATGCTAATTGATCTTGTTCGTTTTCGCCAGGAAACACGGGGTAACCAGTATGCAATTCACCTAAAATGCAGCCTAAACTCCACATATCAATAGGCAATCCATAGTTCATGCCCAGGATAACTTCTGGTGATCGATAAAAGCGACTTTGAATATAGGTGTAAACCTTTTCGTTTTCCAAGCAAGAGCTGCCAAAATCAATTACTTTTATTGCACTTTTTGTAGGATGCTTAAGGAGAATATTCTAATAGACATGATTTAAATGTTAGAGGTCTACAGTTCTTTTCTTTGCTTCGTGTGTTTATTACCTCTGGCTTTAGGTCGCAGTGTATCAACTTGTGCTTCTGTAACAATGTCAATGAGTTCAACAATTGTATAGCAAACCTAGCATGAGATTGAATGATTAATTACCAATTTGACTTATTTTTCTTTCTTTATATTTTCATTTCTATACCTTCTAATTAATCCCATGCTGAAACCTTGGAAATTATTACTCTTAATAAACTCATACAAATTCATACTGAGACACTCAAATACAATACACAAATGATTTCTAAACAAGAAATTTCCCGTCATTCTAACATTATGATAACGATCTTCAGGGTCCCAACATATCAGGTTCTCCAGAATTTTAACTTCCACCATTGCTTGAGCATGGAAACGTCGTTTATTACGGATCATCTTAACCGCAACTTTCTGACCCGTTCGATGATCGAAACATCGTAACACTTGACCAAAGCTGCCTTTACCCATTAATTCCAAAATTTCATAACGGTATTGCAGATGATCGCGTAGAGTGATATAATAATCGCCACGCTCATCGTCATAGCCATAATTGTTGGTAGGCGGTGTGGAACTACCCGATGCTGTCGCTGGTGCGTCAATGGGTCGTTTATTGGCATGGTGACCTACGAAATAAATTCGATCATAGGAAAATATTTCCTGCTTTTCATAAGCGGTAAGATTGAATTGATAGAGTTTAAGAGCAGCTTCTGGAGTCATGGCTACTCTCATCATGATTTTTCTACTCGGCGTTAATTGTTGGTGATGAAGATAACTGTTGCTGGTATCCATATTAGCGGGAGAAGTAGTCGAAGTAGCATTAGTAGAGGTTCCTTGACCTCGCAGGACAATTTTTTTGTCAGTGAATTGAGCTGTTCCGCTCTTGCCATTGTTACTGGAATATTTAGACTCTCTTTCCATCCATGTCTTATTGTTGCTTTCATCCACTAGTCCTTGCAAACGTTCTTGTAAAGTAGGAATCTTTTTCTTTGTTGTTATTGTTGACGAAGGAACTGTGAAAATTTAACCAGAGTATAAAAAGTGAGTGTAATGAAAAAAAAAAAAAAAATGATACAGCAGAGATAATACTTACCCAAACTTGATTTAATTGATTTCGAGTGCATATCATTACTACCAATCACTAAACCTCCTACAGAACCATTACTGTTTAACGCTGACTTATTATAGAGCGTATTAGTTGAAGTAGCAGTTGAGGAAGAAGACGAGATGGATGAGTTGGATGTTATTGATTTATGCCTTGATAAAATATGATTTTCATCTGCACTTTTGTTGGATCGACTAGCTTGTAGTTTGAAAGCCATAGGGCAGCCATTGTTATTCGTAATGGTTGAGTTGGATTTAGGTTTCCTTAAAGATCGTCGGTAATTTTTATTACTGAATAACGATGATTTGTCTTCTGTTATCATGTCCGATTTTTTGGTGCTAGTAGTCGAGGTATTAAATCTATGGGTAGTAGTAACGGAAAGAGTGCTGTTGCCATTGATGTTGGTAGTAGAAGATGGTAAAGGTATACGAGTAGGCGTTTTGGCGGTGTTTCTTGATAAAGTTGCTGCTGGTTTATTCACATACTGATGCGCGGCTGGGATATTCAACGGTTCCACTTTCATAGGTGGTAAGGATAAAGGTGCAATTGAAGAAGAAGAAGATGTGCATTGCAATGCTGCTGAACCACCTGTAAATGTCTATAATTTATATTTAGTCTTAGTTTTTCTCCTTTAGAACCCTTAAAGGTTTTATTTCGTAATTTTTGCTTTAATAGTTTCAACTACCTTTCCCCTTTTGCGCCTTGTTGCTGTTGCATTGTTAATAGCAGCAGTAGGAGCAGCGGTGGTCATACTACTATGGTTGGGATATATGGCGGTGGTCGGTGTATTCGACCCCGCTGCAGATATTGAAGAATGAAATAGATCTTGCTGGTTTGCCGTTTTAGTCGATATGCTCAAGTTTTTTTTATTACGTCTTTCTCCATCAGGCTGAGTATTCGTCGTTTTACCTAATGTGGAAGAGTATAGAGTTGTGCCTGATTTTTTAATTGCACTACTGCTACTAATGCTATTATGAGCAATGGCAGTGCTTGTAGATTTCTCGATTTGCTGCTCTTGCTTTTGACGGTTTTTTAACGACGCAAGTGTATTCAACTTTCTGCTTCGAACAGAGGATATGGATGTTTCTAAGCTTTGCTGACAATCGTTGTTAACTGTACTGGTTGTTGTAGATAGTTTCATAGGTTTCTTACGCAATTGTTGTTGCTGCGAAGTACGACGTGACGACGACACTGTGGAAGAGTTTGGTTTTGTGGGAGAGTGATTCGATTGTTTGGGTGTTGTAAATGCCACTAAATCATGATTGTGTTTGCTCCTTCTTAAGCTTCTTGACGGAATATTGGTCTCTGCAGTTTTTCGTTGGCTGGCCACTGTTACTGCATTAGAAGAAGTGACAATGGTGTTGGGTATAATGCTAGAGGAAGAGGATGATATACTAGACGCAGTTGGGGATATCGTTGCCAGCGAAGTGCTTGCAGTTGATGTAGAGGATAAATGGTTGGATAAAAAGTCATTTAAAGAAAAGGACGACAAGCTACTGGAGTTATTATGCTCTGTTGTGCTAGTCATTGTAGTAGCGGTTGCAGTTGGCGGTGTCAAAAGGGTGCTATTACTTTTTAATACGGTAGAGGAGGTGGAGGTAGATATAGGTTGATCTTTTTCGAAAATACTTTTTAGCCTAGAATAAGAAGACGTAGTACCGGGCTTTATTGTCCTTCTTTCCTTTTCTCTATTGTCTGCTACGACTACTTCTACTAAAGAAGTTGAGGAAGCGGCAGAGGGCGGAGAAGAGGATGCTGACGTCGATGGTGTCGTGGAAGACAGAAAATCTTTCCATTTATTGTCGCTTAATAACGTTGTTGTTGTACTGGAGGAAGATGGGTCATTTTGCTGCTGCTGAGATGATTTTTGGTTTCTTAATCGATAACTTGCCAATCTTTTTGCCGAAGCTGCAATAAGGTCTTCAAGATCTTCTAAAGTGGCATCTCCTAAATCTAATCTGCGTTCAGATTTGTATAAGGAATTTGATGTTGTTATTGCCTTAAAATTATAGCTGCTGCTTTCCTTAAAATTGTTAAAATTAGCTTTATTATCGTCGTTTTCTTTTTCTTTACAACTGTAACTGTTGTGACGAGTCGAAGTCATGTCTAGTTCTTCTTTTCTTCTAGCCGACAAATGCGTTGACTCAATTACTTGCTTTTCTAATTCTTTAAGCTGACGCATGCGTTCATTTTGTAAATGCTTTCTTTTCGCTATATAGCTTGTTTGTATTTTATTCCAAGAGCCGTTCTCCTGAGTAATAGGGGAAATGGATTCAGTAGCTGTAGTAATAGCTGTATGAGACGGTAAAGTCAAATCATCTTTATTTGTATTCACAAATAAGTCTGAAGAAGAAGACATTGAGGTAGAGTGTTGAAAGCCTATTATTGAGGCAAAGAGAATTTTATAACCAAGCAAATAGAGGTTAAGTTAATATTTAGTTGAAGTCGAAGAGTCAATCAATAGAAACGATAGCAATTATAAATTGTAACATGATAATGAAAGAAGAAAGACCAGTTTAGAATACAATGATCTTTTCGTTCTTTTTTATTATTTCATTTCTATATTCGGCAATATGCATAGCTTAAATTCTTTCACTTTACCCTGAAAAGTTGTGTAATAATGGTTATAGCTGTGAATATACTAGCAATGAAAATTGTTCATTCAAAGTGTTTATAGACGCTGTTGAAAAAATAGCGATTAATTTGAAAAGAGGGCAAATGAACAAAAGAGGAAATATTATGAACAAGAGAGGAAAAAGTGAAATCAGGAGAGTTTGCGAGTCCTGCCAATGATCAAAGCAAAAACGGAAACGCATTGCTGCACACATAACCACATTCACAGTGCAACAAACACATGTTTATACATTTTATATGGCGAGCTTGTGTACACGAAAAAGGTACTCCTGATGAGTGAATAGGCAGAGCCTTGTCTTCAGGAACAGTGCCCCTGATTTTATTGTTTGGTCTTCTGCATGTTTCTCAAAAAGGATGTCTTGCGCTAAGAGCACCAGTCCAGTAAAAAGGTATAAGGATCTGTTCATATGTGTGATACGTGCATATTTTTTTCTTGAAAAAGGAAGTTTATTTGTAACAAATAACAAAGCGGTAGCATAATCATAAAGATATCGGTATGACAAACGAACAAAAAGAAGGCATATTATGGTAGAAAGGACTTATTGTTGGGTATAAATTATTGTGAAAGATAAGCATACTTGGCATCTGCAAAGGAAAGCTGTTTTTCAATTACAGATAGAGAGCATAATAATGTGAAAGAATGTCACCAGACTTGTGGTTGTGAAATATGACGTTGTTTTCATTAAGCTTCCATTTGCTACTGCTGCTTTCTTGATGAAGAAAATAATGATAAATGAAATGTTTTTACATGCTTTCTCAATGACCTTGAGTGATAATACGCTTTGTCACAACCAGGTGCAGAGCATAAATAGTTACGTTGGTTAGAGTGCGTTCTCATATGTAACGTTAAAGAATCAGGTCTAGAGAAATTCTTATGGCAGCCTAATATTGTGAACTCAATTTTTAATCATCATTACATATGTTAAAAATAAAGATATGGTACTGTATACGCTACCTGAAACTTTGCATATGAAGGGCTTTTCACCAGTGTGCGTTCTGATATGATTATGTATCTTGTGTCTTTTCATAAATGGACGCAGCGAGCCTCGCTCGCAATTTCTCCATTCACAGGTATAGTAAGCTCTTCCGCTGCCAACGTGAACTTGACAAATATGACTCATGAGCTTCTCTAACGACGATTCTACGGCATTACACCCATGCCAATGACAGGAATAAGCAGGAGAAGGAAGCGAAGGAACAGCAGCGGTAGAGTTAATAGTCGTAGTATCTTTTTCTTCGTCTATTTCACTATCTTCTTTTATTTGTTCAACTTCGAACGTCGCCCGTTCTTTGTCATTTTCATTTATTTCGAGGCCTGGAATGGGTGTTTGATTAGGTGACACGTTGCTATTTTTCCTACTATAGCCTCGGTAATGCATCTTTTCTGATTCTAACTCGACTATACGTTGGATCAATTGCTTGCGTGATAATCGACAAAGATAACTGTAGTCATTTTCATGAATAATAGCAACGGCAGGAGAATCGGTAATATCTTTTTGGTAATAAGGTTGTTCTTGTACCTGCTGGAAATAGGTGAAATGACTATCCGAGAAATCTGCGGAATACCGTTTTTGTAATAACATCATCTGGTTCTATTATTTGTGTTGCAAAAAATCAGAAAAGGAGTAAGTTAATGTCAGTGCATCATCATTGGATGTTGATACATAAACAGGATTAAGACTTACCGAAGAAGTGCAAGAAGTACTCTGAGTGGGTGACGAAGGAAAAAGTGCAGGCATCATTAAGTTATCGTTAGACATGTTTATTGTCGACGTTATGGCAGTAGTAGTGGAGGGGCATATTTGTAAAAATTGCTGTTGAGTATCCGGTGTACGTATACCCAACGAAGATATTTCTGAAGTGTTCTCATTATTGACTTGATGCTGGTTTTGATAATGATACTGGTACTGATGATGATAATAAGAGGTTGTCAAGTCCGATGTAGGCTCTACTAAAATAGGCTGACATAGAGCCATTTTTAAGCTGCTGCTTGTAATGACAGAAGGAGGAGATATAACATCTAATATACAATTGTATAAGCGACTGCTATTATAGACGACCGAAAGATAACTCTGTACGATTTACCTGTATGCATTCGTTGCATCCTTATAGACGGGTGAACTTGGTTTGCTGCTGGTTGTTCGTGACGTGTTGGGTCAAAATGGAAGGAGGATATATTATCATAGTTCAGATAGACTGGGATGCTGCACATAGTGGTTTAAAAGAAATTAGACAATGGGTCCTAGGAATGTAAGTAATATTGAAGTAAAGAAAGCGAGAAGAAGAACAACGACTGAATTTATATAGCTTTATTTTATGGCAGTTTTGGAACGTCTCAAATCAGTTAGCAGAATTGATCATTACAAATAAATCTGCTCGTTGCTTCTTTTGTAGCTTAGTGGTATAATAGAATACTATGCGAATAAACTCCTTCTTTTTGTTGTAAAACCTACTCTTTTTGTCAATTGACATTTGATCAATACTTTATTGTGTCTGAACAACAAACAGGCACATGTAAGATTCTCGAGTGTAACTTTGTAACCTCAAAGAAATGCGGATGACATTAACTTGATACTCTTCTTTCTTAACTCCCCTAGAAAGTTCAGCATAAGTCCCTGTTTAAATCTTGTTCTCTTCACATGGAAATGTAAAGTAGACTTTCATTGCTAGAATAGGATCACAACCCGCGATCTTAGCATAGTAGGAAAGAGGGGTGATGATTCTACATGTATTTTTACCAGGTTTAGTACAGGATTTTTACGTCAGCGTTTTTTGTACAGGCACTCTAAACCACTATTTTAATTTTTTGAACGCCACAAGCATTCAGGATATCTGATTGTCCTATGGTTTATATTGCTTGTGTAATGCGCAATAGTTAAGAATCCAGCCTTTTCCTTCATCCACATTTTCAAAGGATAAATTTGGTAAAGAGCCGACATCATCATCTTACTGCCTTTAACTTTAAACAGCATTACGCTTATTGATTAGTGTAACTGTAAATCCCCTTTTCTTTGCTCATTCACTACTCCTCTTTACCGTCTGTGAAATACGACGCTGCACACCATCGCTCTGTTTCTGCTCGAGCGTACAGTATTCAAGAAAGCTCATACAACGAGAAGCGCACAAAATTTTATACCGAATTCATAGTCACCTTAAGCATTTCGTCTATTACAATTTCTAAACGAATATTTCTCATTTATGTCATTTTAAGAGAAACAAAGGCATTCCAGACTTCGTTTACATTTGTTCTTACCACGTTCTCTTAGGGTATTGTGTGATGCAGAGTATATTTGGACATCCTACTTCAACTACATATACTATACTTTTTTAGGAAGAATTAAAAATACGGATTAAAGCCTGTCACAGAATTATTCGCTAAGGCTACTATTACTGGCATAGGTAAAATGAGGGAGTAAGCTCACTTTCACATTCAGAAAATGGCAGCAGACGTACAACGTAAAAGTAGCACTCGTTCATACGGTCGCACCCTTCCATACTAGTTGTTACTTCCAACGTTACTGATAGGCTTCAATCTCTAAAGACCTCTGATTATAGAATTATGTTATTTAGTCAATCGAACTATTGGCGTTAAGTAGCCCAAAGGCCATACTGCTTTCTGTGGAAAACTCAAAGAACGCTTTCTGATTAATTCCAGCTCTAACCGGGTTATTTGTTCCAAGCCAACAAAATTTGTTGCATAATTATTATCTGAGGGTTGCTTTCTTTCCAGTAATTACATTTTTAGATTATTGAGAATAGATAAGATAAGGAAACATTTATCTAGCAATCTACCATTGTAAAGGTATCTCAAAGGACATTTCATACTTTAATCAAATTATCCATATATCCATATAGTCAAAAATCAGACTCTCAATTAAAACATCCATGAATGCTTTATAAAATTGTAGTACAATTAGCTTTTATACAAAGAAAGTTCAGACATATCCTTTTGTTTAAATTATAGATGAAGAAAGTATGACCTTTAGATATAGACCACTTGCTTTCTTAAGTTTCCTTCCACACCAATTTCATATAGAAAAATGGAGATTCATATAATAAAAATAATTAATTTTTTTTAAAAAAAAGGTTCTTCTCGTTAGTCTTAATGATTTAACTACCCTTTCTTTTAATTCTGAATAACACGATCCTTTTAAAGAGCAGATGCACCAGTAATAATATCAATCAATTCGTTGGTAATAACGGCTTGACGACCACGGTTGAAAGTCATTGTCAACTTTTGAATCATTTCACCAGCATTCTTTGTAGCGTTCTCCATAGCAGCACGCTTAGCACACATTTCAGCAGCATGGCCTTCTACCATAGCCCAATAGACACCATTGGCAAAAGTAAATTCTTGCAAGTTAGCCAACACATCATCTTCGATTTCATAAACAGAGAAGTTGGGTGAGGCCTTGAAGGTCTCTTCAGAGTAGACAGGAATGACATCAGCTTCATAAGAGACAACTGAGTTGAACTTGTTATAAATAATATTGACAGAGTCGAAGTCGACATCACCGTTGGCGCGAATAGTATCGACAACAGAACAGGCTTCTTCAAAGGTAGGAAGACCTTTGCCAATTTGATTGAAACTGTAAACGATATTGTTACGAAGAACACGGCTGAGTTGAGCCTTGGGCTTATCGCCAAGAATGACAAGAGGAGCAGTTTCAGAGGCAGGGTTTTCGCTGACAATACGACGAGTTGCTTTGGAAATGCTGGAATGAATACCACCGCAGAGACCACGATCAGAAGAAGAAGCAATGTAAAGGATCTTGCCATCAGTGGCTGCCTTAGTTTCAGCATTTTGGAAAAGAGCTATATAAACATTAATAGGGTGTTGTATGTATAAGCATAATATAAAGATAGAAAATTTGATTAGTTTATTTCTGATCTTTTCCATGGGAGAATTTTCCCCGCATTTTCTGTTTGAGAAAAGAATCCAGCCCCCTTCAAGCTTCACTAACTATAAACCTCATTCCAACAACGTATAGTGTTTTTATGTTTCAGTTGACACTTTACCGTTAGAAGATTCACCAAAAGTACGAGCTGATTCCATACCACGTTGAGCCTTGCTAACCTTAGTTGAAGCAATCATTTTCATAGATTTGGTGATCTTTTCAATATTTTGAACAGACTTCAAACGTTGCTGAACTACATTTGTACAAATTAAAATATAGGATGTATAGTGTTATGAGTTTTCTAAGTAACGTTCGATTGTTGTATTTTTTATGCTATATCTCATTGTGGGCTGACAGATTACTTTCTTTCAAGGTAGCCATGTTACGAGCTTGAATGGCCTTGCTAAAATGGAGTGAGCGGTAAGCTTGTTGCTAAATGTTAAATGACACAACCTTTTTTAATTCAGCTATATAGTACCTGACAGGAGCAGCTGCAGGGCGAGCAACACGAGAGATAGTGAACAACATGACACTGATATCTATAGTATTCTAAAGGTTGATTGAAAAAAAAAAAGAAAGCAATTCCAATATGTGTGCCTTTTTTCTTGTGCCTACTAGCTGACCTTATTTTAGGGCAATAAATCTTTCAGAAAAGGTACCTTTGACGAATCTGCCTGTGGGGCCATCCCCGGACTTAAGAAAATTCGCAGTCTACGTCATTTGGCTGTGGATTCTCTTTTTTGCTCAAACTGTCCACCTTCAAAGTACACTATGCAGGTTCTCCATCCATATAGTAAAGAACAGATGAGAAGACTCTAACTGCTTTTAGTAAGTAGAGCTACATCCTAATTTCAATTACAAGTTTACTATTCATATGTTTTATTTATCTAAAGTTTTTCCATACTTTTGACTCATAATATTTTTCACTTTTTGATATTCTCTGTCTAATTTCTGTTTTTCAGTCATGCCTTTTCTTTCCCTATTACGTTTCCTGCCGTCGCCCAGCTTAACGCCAAACTGAAAAGCACTTTTTGGGTGGATTTCTATTGAGTCTTTATACTTTTGCCACTCTTCTTCTGTATCAAAGTCCCACCGTGTTAACTGTGCTTTCTTATTGCGATTTGTACCTTGATCCATCATTTGTGTAGCACTATCATTTTCATTTTCTTCATCATTGTCACTACTGTCGCCTGACTCATAGGCAGCAACTGCTCTTTTGTGTTCTTCAAAGGAAGTTGGTAACGCAGAAGAACTTAAACCAAACATATCGATGTCCGCTTCATCTGCATCCATATTCAGTATTGACGTTGATGCAGATATTGGAGCGGAAACATCATTATCATGGCTATACTTCATTTTTTTTGTTGGTAATGTTCCTTCTTCGACCTCGTCTTCCTTTGCTTCTCCTCCTTCACTTAAGCCTTTTAAATTTATGCTTCTGATATTTGAACTTGTTGCTTTCGTAAGCAGTGCATTGACAGCATTATCCGTCGCTGCATCAGCAGCCTCAGCCATTTCATCATCGTCATTGTTTGCTAAGCCTTGGAAGTAACCGCCCCTTTCCATTTTCGTTGCTGGTGGTAATGTTTCTGATGTTTCAGTGGTACTGACATGACTCTCATCTAATTGATAATCTCGTCCTACGTCTGCAAAGATATCGCCATCAAATCCATCTTCACTCATAGCAACTGGCTCACTTATCAATTGCGTTGCTTTTGTCAGTGTTGCTGCTTGCTGATGTTTTGTCAGATTATCGCTCTTTCCTCTCAAGTCATTTATTGTTCTCTGTTTCTGCTGTTGCTGCATGCCGCGTTCACCTCGTCGCACTCCTGCCATTACCTGAGACACTTTTTCAATAACGAAGTCGGCCTCCGATTGATTCTCTTCTGACCATCCTCCTCTGGAAGATATCTTTGCCGCCATATCTGCTTTACTTCGGATAACAGACGTAGGAATCGCAAAAGGATCCGTATAATTGCCTACTTCATCAGCTAACTCAAAAACATATGCCATACGGCCTGATTCAAATAGGTCCGTCCTTTGCATTTGTTTATCATTCGCAGATTGTTGAACTGCTATTTCTACAATATTTCTAGCCATCACAGTACGAAAATTTCGTTTATCCATTAAGCCGAGAGTATCGTCTTGAGCATGCTCATCATTACGTATTGTCTCGCCTCGCTCAAATTTATCCAAAACATCGTCTAGTTCTTCGTCTTCATTATCATTTCCGTCTTCCATCTCTTCGTCAGTGTCTCGATTTTTTTCTTTATTTCTATGCTCTAAATCTTTCCTTACTTTCTGTAATAAAGCATAATCCAATCCTTTGACGAGATGAGTATGATCAACGTCACCACCCAAATATTTCGATTGTTCATAAAGTTGTTTTGCATCTAACTCCTGATCTCGCTCAGCTTGTGTTCTTTTTAAGAGTTCCTCAGTACTAAGTTGCGAGTAGTCGTCAGCTGCTTTAGCTACTGAGAAGCCTACAGGAGCTTCCGATTCTGCCGCTGCTAGCTCTTGCTGTCGTCTTTCTGCTGCTCTATCACGATATGGCGTTTGAGGAACAGTTTCAATTTCCTCTTCTTTTTTTGCCTTGTTGAAACTGGGAAGAGAGAATAATACAACGTGAATAAGTGCAATCAAATTGCGACGTCAAAAATGATCTTAGTCAATCAGAGTTCTACTTTACTTTTTCTTTCTCATCGATCGTGGTTGTGCAAATATTGCAGCACCGGCATTACGTCTATATTGAAAATAATAGTCTTTCAGGATCATCTGTTTAACGTTTATTATAATACAGCTATATAAATTTAGGAACTAACGGTGTTCGAGGTGCAGGCATCTTAAACTTGGGTGCTGTTATCGGTATGGCACTACCATCACTGTCATTATGACGAGGCGGTCGTGGGGTAGCTAAGAGTTTACGAAAGTCATCTTGATTCAGGCTATTCCGGTATAAGGTTGTCGTTGAGTCTTATAGTCAAATATCTCTTCAATGACAATTGCTAATTTACCCTTCACTCATTTTATCAACAATTTTACTCAACTTAGAGGAATGCACATGAACTTTGAAGGGACAAATTTGTTGGCTGAAATTCAAAAAAAAAGCCAGAAAGTTTATGCATCCGAAAAAAGCCCTTTTTCACTTTTCGCACATCCTGTGTATCTCATTCATCAATTGTTCCATCATGGCAGGCAGAACCGGGATTGACCTTTATAAACGAAAGCCGTGACTATGAGATGAGGGCTAAATGCAAAATCTTGATGCAGATGCGTCCTATAATCTATTATCTAGTAAGTGATAAGTATGCAACAGAAGTATTGGTATTAAAATTGTAGAATACACACAATTAGTCTTCTTCGTATCAACATATAATAGTATGAAAAGTGGTATTTGTTTTTATTAGTTGACTTTTGCTATCACGAATATGATCATTTTACTAAAAAATGATGAATTGACTATCTATGCTTTAAATGATCCTCTTCCTGACCTCTTCGTCTGTTAAAAAATTCTGTGTCACAAAGCTGATCAAACCATTATCCCAGGCAATAGCCAATAAAGCTCCCCCTTTGAATGTCGATGAATATGAAATATAGATAGGCTTTGTATCTTTCAAGGCTTTAATAGATAATAATTCAGTGCTGCAATCAATATTGGCTCCACGTATAAAACCGCTAGCAAATACATAGATGGGTGCTTGGTTAGTGATGAGCGATGTTCTGTAGCGTTTACAGTTTATACTTACAGTGATAATAGCATATCATGATCATGCATATTGGATGGAGTGATCTGCTTAACAGAGTATATTGCGATCAATTCTGAATTCTCAAATGCTACACTTAACCGTTGACCATTTCTAGGATCGATACACATATCGCGAATGACGCCACCTACTTCAGTAGGAGTACCAGATACGCTGTTGATGGTAGTTGCAGGCATGGATAAGATTTCGTTTTCTATAATGGTTGATTTAGCAGGAGTGCCTGTAATGTGCAATAAATGAATCGTACTTTTCCCGCTCATGGAGTAGAAAAGGGTTCGACTGTCCACTGACCAACAAGCAGCTTGGACCCATAGGCCTGCGGGATTATTGATAGGTCGCGAATCCCAGCTTCTTGTATCCCATAAGCGTGAAATGCCGCCCGATCCACCGACAAACAGCCATTCGCCACTTGGGCTCCATTGAAGAATGTGATTGCCCCCTCTACCGTAGCGTTTTAAGGGGATGGTACGGTTCAATAATAGATCATGAACAACGAGTGTACTCGAAGTGGCAGAGACAGTCGCTAGTAATTGACTGCCCGGTGTTGGGTCCCATGCGATGGAACTGATATAACTTTGGTTGTGGTACGTTAAATAGCGCATAGTAGCTGAAGGATGATATCTTATGGTTTGTTTTGGTTGTTGGTCGTCTGCCGTTGTCTTTGGTAATTTCCAGACGCAAACGCCTTCTTTACATCCAACAGCTAGAGTTCCGCCAGCATTCCTCTTCCATTCCATACATCGAATATGTTGCATTTTTTGATGAGATAATACTTGACATATCCAAAGATTGTTATCCAATTTTTCATAGACATAGACTTGATTATCGCCGTGTCCAACTGCCAGTCTATCTTGGTGAGGATGCCATGCTAGGCATTTTAATACATTGGTTTGTTCTCTTTCGAATTGAAGGTGCTCTTTCATAGCGTTATTTTCTTGAAGGTAGTTTTTGTAAACGTAATCGAATAGTTGCTTAGCTGGTTTATAAATCGGTAGACTTTCTAACATTGGGCGTCTATATTGACAAAATAACGTATATCTAAATCAGAGATAAAAGCTTTGTGAAAGTTTCTCAAAAATCTTTACCTTTCGTCCCATTGGCTGCGTAAAGCTGCTTTGATGTCCTTCACTGTAGCGTCATAAAAGTTACTGTCGACGTCCATTAAATGAGTATTGTCAAAGTCAGCAGGATCGTTTTTCAAAGGCGTGACACTGATAGAAGGGTATAAATGTGTCTGTAAATGAAAAAAAGAGAAACAGCATGTATGAGTATGTCAGAAAATTGTCTTTTGGAACAGAAAATGCTCCTTACACTGTTGTTTCTAAGCTCTTCCATTAACGGATTATGTTCATTCTCCACATGAACTAAAGGGTAGTAAAAGATTGAAAGAGACCTTTAAAACATTGTTCAGTAAAGTTATTGGATGCATCACTTTTCTATACCTAAGTTGCCGTTGAGTTCAGCGATGGTTCCATAGTTCGGGTCAGGTGTAGGTGTCAAAGCCTGCATTTAAGTTTTCTTTGATATTGAGACTGTTAGGGTTTGTCAAAAAAAGGAAAGTGCAAATGAAGAAAGTAGGAATGAACACGCGAGCGCGATTAGTGCCCCCCCCCAAGCCTCAAATCAGTGGTTAATGTGACTGATCAGTCGAGATTCATACTTCCCCGCCCAGAAAAAGGGAAGTTCATGCCCACCTTTTTTTAACGCAAAGCATTTTCTGTAAGGCAAAAAAAGATGCGGACAAAGAGCTTATAGATTACCCACAAAAAATACACAATGTTCGATAGAATGGGGCCTGCAGTTTTTACCTATGCGAATCATATTTGTCAGTTTGTGTAAGAACAACAACTACCTTTCCAAGAAGAAAGTTTTATTTGGATTTTTATCCACAGAAGCATCGGCTCAGAATCCAAAATATCTTTCCAAAAAATGACAAAATGAAGTAGAATGCTTCCTTCCCGCTTTTGTGAATTGCAGTGAACTCATTATATGAGCCTTGATTTTCGAAACAAAAAAAGTTCATTTGATATATGGTAAGTTTTGTATCCATCACTTTGAACAAAGTTCTTGGAATTCAAGGTCTTCGTATAGCGGCGTTATACATGATTGTGTTACACTGTTAAGTGTATCCATAATATCATGAATGAATGGCATGAATGCTCGTTTGCGCTTACCAGCCTTTGCATTTTTACGTTTTCCGCTTTCACTTTCTTCATTATTGTTTCTTTTCTTTATTCTACATCCCCTCACCAAAAATTGTGCGAAAACAACTTTTGTAGAATCTGCCAAATAATGTTCTGGATACTGAGTTTTTAAAAGTCTTTTGATCGCTTGGGAAAATGAATCTTGGGTTCAAAGTTGTTATTCAGTTGGGAACAAATAAGCGAGCTCAGTCACCTTCGGTACTCGAGACGAGATGAACCGCAAATTTGGATGTTGATCTCTTTTAGACATCCCCTTCGCTAGCTGCTGTTTAGTTGATGTCATCAAAGGGTCTCGAAACAAAAATAGTTCATGAAGTTTATCCTTCTACGACAAGGTTTTCGGCGAACTATTAAGTTGTATGTGCTCATTATTTGCAGCTATTACTTTCGTACTATTACAGTCTCTTTTTTTGTATTCTTAAATTCTTTTCTCTATGTAAAAGCAAGGTTTTGAGGTGAATGGCAAGACGCCTCCTGTATATCGAAATAGTTATACAAGTTGTTTTGTTCAAATAGGGAAGTAGCATTGTCATCCGGTTCAAAGCGTCAAGCGTTGATTAACACCCGTCTGTGAATGCTGCCTTGCAATTTGTTCATTCGTTGCCTTTTAAGCATGTCGATTGCCCAGACATAAGACAGATAATTCTAGTTTTTTTTTTTTTTTTTTTTTTTTTTAGTTTTTTCCGTTTGGCATCAATATTCATATGGCTATAATGGTGAATGAAACTCCCTGGTTGATGATATCTTTACTAATGATTCGGAAAACTATATTTTAAGCACTATCATTTTACCTTAACGTCCTGAACCCTACTGAAAAACAAAACAAAAAAATGCACTGCGTTGATTCAACCATTCGTTTTCACTGATAAAGAGAGGAAGTAAATTCCAAAAATTGTAATCCGTGTATCCTTTCAGCTTTGAGGACTCAGCAGCGCACTTTGAAGTTTGTGATAGTAATCTATGTATCTCCTCTTGCTCTTTACATGCCTCAACAGCTCATTGTTTTTCCTACGTTGTTGCACGGTCATAGCGAGCATCGGAACCCCTTTTTTACCGAAAAGCGCGATAAGAAGGATATACTCAGTGCGATGAGGGTGATGGTGACTGATAACAAAGAAGAATGACCTGTTAAACATAGGGAGGGTGTGATAGTTTTAGCACGTGCTCTGCTTGATCTTTTTACGATACACTACTATTGGCACTGTATGCAGCATCATAGTCACGAAGAAGCTATTCCACTTTTTCTAGGATGATCGTAACTATGGATAGATGTCATTCGGGTAACTTTATACCGATCATCCCATCTTCCTTTTTTGGTTTACTGAAGGGGTAAAGAGCTGTAAACGAGGCAGATACAAGTCTTGTGTTGCAGATACTGAGATAAAGCACTTGATAATTAGGTCAAACGGCAAAAACTTTCCAAAGACCCTGGATTTAGGTAGGAGAACAGAGGCTCGGAAATACGAATGCCAAAAGCTTCACCACGAAGCGATTTTGTGAAACGGACCTAAAAGATGGGAATCCCTATTTCCAAATGGAGTAATTGTAATGGAGTAGGTTCATAATCAAAAAAGGGTCCACTATAATAGAATAAGGATCTGGAAGTACAAGCCAAAAAAATATCCGCTTATTACTCATGTTTATCCGAAAGAGCTCATTCGATAGAGTGAAATGAGTGCCAAAGCGTTCTCTCCTTTCAGCTATGTAACATTCAACTATTTTTCGCATGCTACCGACAGACATCCACTCATTTCATCTGTCCTACCGATGGATCATTGCTGCACAGATGACAATAACAACCTTGGAAAGAACTGTCCTCTTTGGGTTGGTGAACCCATCGCATGTTCATGTCTGAGGAATAGCAGCTCTACACATCAGTGTCCGCCTAAAGGTTTTTGCGTAAATCCAATGTGAGAGGATGAAACAAAAAAAAAAAAAAAAAAAAAAAAAAAAAAGGCCCAAAAAACAAATCTTGAGCGGATTTATTGTTTCGGATTAATAAAAAAAAGGGTCGCTTTTTTTTTTTCGCTTATCTTTGTGAGCATGTAGAGCCAATGACACATTATTATTTTTTTTTTAACTACGTTTTTTATTTGTTTTCTCAATAAAGAAAATCGGATTGTCAAATAAAAGCTACAACTCATTTGAACTTTTCCTTTCTCATTGGAAATGATAAAAATAAATAGTTGAAAGAGCAGCAGAAACCTTGATGCGCAGGTGTGCGTTCTTCACAGATGGCGATCATGTTATGTTGATTGCACTCGACGTTCATTCAACCATCATTGGCGTTCTTGTGAAAGATGCGATGAGAGTATCGATTTCAATCTATTTCGTTATTTATCAACAAAAAACTCTAGGAAGCATACGCTCCTATTCTTTATTTACATTGCTTAATGATAACAGTGTGTATCTATGTACAGGATGCATGGGTTCGAAAATAGATAAGAGGATAGATATATAAAACAAATAAATAATCTGTAATGCTTGGATATAAAGGAAGGGTGTGGGAGGGGGGGGTATATAAAAATCAGTGATTACAACTTTTTTTACAGATTATTTTTTTGGAGGCTGTTCCATTATCTGTCAGCCGTTACTGTTGTTGTTGTTGTTGTTGTTGTTGTATGTACAGTATCATTGATGGGGCGGGTAGTGGTGCTGATATCTTCATAACTAGGTGGAAACTCACTGAATTTACGATCCAATCCAGTAGATTCAAGGCAGACATGTTGTTGTTGAGATGGAGATAGGCCGTACACAGCTTCATCAAAAGAGGGGGGAGCATCGTAGGTAGGCAACTTGAATGCTTCCAATTCGCCTACGGTCTCGTCTAGAATATCAATATGGGTTTGAAAGCTAAGCGTCTTTTGAACACGGCTGGATGTGAAGCGACCCGAGCCACCAGGAACAGATAAAGTGATAGAAATCAATAAGGTATGACTGATATTGAATTCGGAATACTCTTGGGTGGAGTGAGATAAGGCTTTGTTTTCAGGGATAGAATAATAGACGGTGCCTTCCCATGCATGGCCAGCGGTCAAAGCTGTGTTGAGAGGTAATACATCGCCACCGTTGAGTTGGTTGTTCGCTGAAGGTTGGATAGTGAAAATGGAATGGCTGGTATGTGGAGTTGAGTTACTTCTGAAAAGATCACGACGCTCTAGCATTTGTATTGACACGCGATCCATCGTCACTTCGTCTTCAGCATCGGCAGGCGTCAGTCGAAAAGTGATGGGTAAGTCAGAACCAAGAGCAACCGCCTTTTTGTTGATTAAAATCTGATAGTTCAGCCAGCGGGAGCGATGTGTACGCGAATCAATGGGGTCTGCCATGGAGTCACCGAGTAAGAGATTACAGTAAGGGAGACGAGCCACACGGATAGGCTGTTTGGCAAAGGCTTTAATGTAGCGACCGTTTTTATTGTTGTACGAGCCACGATTGTAAGTACGACCGAGTTGCTGCAAAAGAGTAGAGGCTGTTGAAGAGTTTCGGCTGTAGTATTCCAAGACGGCAGTGACATTGTAATTGACTTTGATATCAGAACACTCGATCGTTTCTGGAAGTTTGGAAGGGATTTGCATCTCGAAACCAAATTGAGTAAGACCTGCATTCATGACCAAAGGACGGTTGACGGTTTCCTCTGGCTGTCCGAGCAGGTTGGGATAAAGAACAAGTCGTTGACGAGCAAGCGGTTTACGTTGCGCATAAGCACCAGCTTCTACAGATGCAAACGTGTAACCTTTCGTTTCCATGACGCCATCGAAGCGAACAGAGATCGATTTAACAGTAGTCGTACGAGGCAAGTTAATGTTGACGGTACCACGAACGACATTGAAGTTATCGCTATTGGGTTCAATATAAATCGTGGGCTCTAATAAATTGACCGATACGTACGATGATTTTGGAAGCATCATGAGGTGAAAAGCGCTAAAACAAAATTAGGCAACAGGCCGGAAAATGAAACGTGCAAGAAATAGGGAAAATGACAGGCGTAAACGTCAGATAAATAGATAGAGACAAAGAAGAAAAAAAAAAAAACCAAAGGATTCTCAGAAATATAGGAAAAAACGAAATTGAATAGAACGAGAATGTGTTCCTATTTATATGAAAGCCATTTTAAAGTTTTATCTGTCAAACAAAGGTTTTTTCTTTTTTTTTTTTTTTTTTTTTTTTTTTAGTAGCGATAGATAACAATGGGGGAGTTTTTTTTTTTTTTTAGTCAAATTGAGCAAAGAAGGCAAGTTCGCAGAAATTCCAGGCACAGAAATTGATCAGTGGTGGTCAAGCAAACAACTCAAAAAATCTCTTGGCCTAAAATTTAAAAAACTGACCCAACTAATTTTTTTTTTTGTCCTAGATGATATCACCTTAATTTTTTTTGTGCTACTTCATTAAAACTTTGTATTTTTAAAGCTGAGATCGAAAAGTGATCCTGTCTGTTTTCGTGTCTAAATTAGCGCACGGGCTAAAGGTACAACTTTTTAGCAAATTTTTTGTTGAACATCAACAGTTTTGTTGGCCGGGAGTAAACATTGATTCTCCTATTTTGGGCAGGGAGTATTTAACTTCAGTTAGATAGCTTAACTGTATTTCCTTGAATATGACAAAAGATGATATAGCCCAGATTCACACCTACTATTTGATATTAGGTGATTATGAATAGTAGTGTTTCAATGAAACTTAAAAGCAGAAAGGTATTGTTCATACACCACTCATTGTCTACCTCGGAAAAGGTTGTCATGTACAATAACTTACCGCGGAAAACAAAAAATTTTAGTTAGCAAAATAATTAACTTTAAGGAGATAGCTCGTTTTTGTATAGGTCCCATAAAATGACGGACACAAAAAAAAAAAAAAAAAAAAAATAGTGTCAATAGTATGCGGGGAAGTGGGGGGGGGGAGGGATCAGCATAAATTCTGTAACAATACAGTAGATGATTATGCGTTGACATAATATTGTGGAACAACGATCTATAATCCAATAGGAGGATGATGTTCAATTTTCGTGGATTCCCGCATTACTGGAAAACTGACTGCTGGAATAAGGTTTACGATGGAATACACTATCATTTGTCAGTTTTCATACCAATGACCATGAAAAAGATGCCTCGTTCAAACCAAACCCATCCATACAACCAGCTTCAATCCAAAGGCTATCGATGACAAAGCTTAACGAGCTTTATATCAAGCTGGATGTTTGGTTTTTAGTGATTAGCGGTTGCTATGGATTGCTATTCTCAATCTCACAACAAAAAAGCATCTTGGATCCTCATGTGCTTACATAATAATCGCATCTTTTGTAGATAGAAATGCTCTACCGTTTCCTTTGAGATAGAACAAAACTGGGTAAACTTAACAAGAAAATATCAGATCGAAAGCTATAAAATTTAGCATTTACAGTTGAAACACTCGAAGGTTGAACGGATAAGCAGGCCTTAAGTTTAAACCGAAGAGGTGCAGCTACTTTTTCATAATCACGTAAATATATAAATAGAATAAAACCTACGCGGTGTACCGTATCTATTTTGTAAGCCAAAGACGAGTTGTTGTATGTGGTAATCACTTCAGTTTCTGGAGGGCACATTTGAAATTCATATTGCCAATTGTAAATAGCTTATAGACGAATCAAGTGAATAAATGCAGGGTTACCCAGCATATGGAGCTGCATAAAATCGAAGGCTGCGATAGATAGGGTAAATGCTGCCTTTATGGCGGACCTTTCGACAACACTTCAGCGTACCGATTCAGTTTTTTTTCTGTTGACAGTAAAAGAGGAGCATACGGTTAGATGTAGGAACATATAAGATCTGTGGTTTCTTAAATGTTTTTGATTCAGGTTCGTATCGGTTTCGCATAAGTGCTATTGTGTTACCTTCTTTTTGAGGAGAAAAAAAAGAAAAAGTTGGCCACTTTCAAGCTTCTAATGAGTCTATAATAGGCTGCTATTCGAACTTAATTTGGAAAGAGCTTACGAAAGATATATGCTTACGACAAAGAAAGCAATTTTTAAAGTTTATTTAACGCATCCAGACTTTGCAAGACAGACACTGTAAAATAGGTTCAGAAACAAAATGTACTGGTCTGGGGGGGGGAAGAAATTCTATCTTGACCTATTTGTATCAATCGCCGTGATCTTTTTTTTAAAAAAAACTATGTCTGTTTGAAAAGCAAGCCATAACATATACCGAATGAACTGATCGAATAAGGCAAGGCTATTAAAATATATACAAAGTCTTCTTGGGAATAGATCTACAGCGATGTGGTTATTCATATGCTATGAAAAGGGTGCCTTACCATAGAATTGGACTAGAAGAATAAAGAGACTACTAACGTATTAACCTCAATTTATGAGCCAGGAGGAGGTTGTAGGCATGAAAGACATTAAGACAAGCTTTTATTCTCTTTGATGATATAAATGCAACAGTTATGAACATGCGTCGAGACAAAATGATATTCAACGGATTTACTCTTTGTTATAATACAAACTAAACGCATCTAATGAAGTTGTAATGACTGCCACCAAGATTTCCATACCAATCAACCAAATAACAATCCATTCCAAGTGCTCACCTATAATGGAACACATAACGGATCAGTTAGTTTCCGTGTTATTTTTCTCTTTAGTAAAAAAAAAAAAAAAAAAAAAAAAAAAAAAACAAACAAACTTTTATATCCTACTTTACCATGGGAGCTATTCAAATGGTCCTTCAGCATCTCCAGCAGGTCACTGATGACTTCTACTCTCTGATTTAACAATTCTACACGCTGGGATATTTCCAAGTAGCCACGTATAGCACTATACAGTGGCTCCAACGTAGGCTCTGACCAGAAAATTTCTGGTGTGTCCAAGATATTCGACACTAAATTCACGTTGATTCTCATTATAAATAGTTGGCCAATCTTCTTTGTAATAGCCGTTCTAGGGAAAAAGACAGACATAGAAAAGGGGGAGATGAACTACCTATGCCATACGATCCATGACGAATAGGACTGTATTGACTTGCTTACCGTGACAGTTGAATGTTACCATCTTCAGCCATTACTTGAGGAATATATTTGGTTTCATTGATGGTATCATCAATCAATCTTTCAAAGAGCGTCATTTTCACACTTTGAGCAATGGCATGAGATATAGTCAATTTAATGAGATAATTCGAAGGGTGTCTTAATGTGATGATGTCGTTGTAGATACGAGGTTGATAAGATTCATTGTAGTAGTAATGGAACTCTTCTGTTTCAACATCGTCCACGTCTAGTTTTTCCTCTTCAAAAGGAACAAGTAGTTTCAAAACCCTCTGTTCCTCTTTCAATGTCATGCCCCAGAATACAATGACACCGTAATCAAATAAAAACATCTCAGGTATCTTTTGACTTGTCGCTGCCGACATAGGTGCCGAAGCTGTACTATTTGTACTCGTGTTATTATTGTTACTATCGGAGGTAGTTGTCTTGGTGTTGTTGCTGTTGTATGTATAGCTAGGTGGTGCCATTGGATAGGTAAATGAATAGGGTGTATATAAACACTCATCGAATCTCTTGGGCGCTGTGCCGTTGCTTTTCTTTTTGGATTGCAAGAACTTGACTAAATCATCCATGCGATAAGCTCTATTTTTTATGTTTAATGAACCCAGATTAAGTATTTTAAAAAGTCATCAGTTATCCGACCAAGGGAAAAAGCACTTACGAAGCTGTACAGTAAGCTGTCATTCTGTTGAGCTCACTACGATCCATCTTGTTCAATAATTTGGCTTCTTGTCTTGCTTTACCATGAGGAATCTTTGCAATCTGGTTATAAACATCGTTATCCAGTTCTTCCGACGATTCTTCATCTTCTTCTGAGGGTTCTGCAAATAGTTGTTCATCTTCAGGGAATAATTTTAATTTTTGTGATATTTTGGTCGTACGCATAGGCAATTTATTTCTAGCGGCAGCGGCAGCAGCATTGCTCTGTTGTTGATGACCAAACGTTGAATTAGTAGTAGACTGACCCGGTGGTAGAATATGCCCCACGATACGCTTTGGTGGAGGCTGTTGGGCTTGCTGCTGTTGTAAGAGAGCCTGTGTGTGCTGTTGTTTTTGTCTTTGTTGATATTGTTGCTGCTGCTGCTGTTCGATGAAGGTATTGTAATAGGAATGACTTTGAGGGAAAGACCGAGACGTATTGTACTTGGGTGATTTACTATAGGAACCAGCAGGTGTATTTGGAATGTCTCGATGGCCAACAAATGATTGACTAGCGGTTGAAGTATTATTCAACAAAGGTGTTGTCAAATCGTCATCATCCTCCCTTCTGGTATTGATTAAGCTGCTCTTTCTTTGTGGCGGCTGTGACATGAGGACTAGGTTTTATACACTTCTTTCTGTTGCACCAGAGGAAGACGCAAAACTGATAACAAAAATGGCTCGGGAAGAAAAAAAAAAAGCATGCTCCATATTACGCACAAAAAAAAAAAAAATGGTTTCGGAACAAGTTTGTTATTATTGTAACCCCGCACTCGCTTTTTTGAGTAATTGTCATCTTTCTTAAATTAGCATTAACAAAGTGGTGCATTTGACGCCCCAAATAATGCCATGCTATTGTCGATGTCCGAACAGTATATAGTAGAGGAAGAAAATTAGGAATGTAATAAAAGCGATCAGATAGACTAAAGCTTACTCTTTCCATTTTACTTGGAAACCCTTCAATACAAATGACAGTACCATTGTAGGATTGCAACAAGTAGGTTAACGGCACTTTGACAATCAAGCAGAAGCTACTCCCTTTGAGGCTTACATCACTACTAAGATGATCTGCCTATTATTATCTAAGGTGTGATCGATTTCTGCTTGTGATATCAAATCTATAAAACTCCACTTTGACTTTCCACTAACAGAACTCTCCAATTGCTTTTGTGAACAGACATTTTTCTTAAATTTTTTAAGTATCGATATCATCATGAAAAATCAATAGCGATGGAATTGGCGATAGACTCCATTTCTCCCATCCATTTGTTTCCTAACTTTATTGTTTCCTCTTTAGCATCTGTCGAATGCTCCTCATTGGGATATGCAATCAAACCTTGGAATGTGACACCTTTCTTATTGCTAGCGACGCCAAAGCCACTTTGTCCACAAGCTTGACCTCTTCCATATTGAGAGCAGATTTTGGATATCCGTTATTGCTGCCATTATTCATAAACAATTGTTTCTGCTTCGCGAGTAACATCACTCGATGCCTACGCCAAGTCTGCTCCAAGGCTAACTTTGCACTATCAGCATAGGAGGGCTCTTTGTTACCAGCTCAGAACAGTAAAGATGAAAAAAACCCACTGCTTCTAGGATTCAAGTAATCAATTTCTATACTCGAGCTCTAAACTCAGTTCAGAATCTTTTTTGAATAAACATTTCTATATGAGCGTTCCATCGCATCACTTGATTTACTAGTAACATTACTATTTGTTTTTCTCTTTCTTTGCCACATTTTGATTGGCACTGTACGAACCCAACTCCAAGTACATATTGTCCTTTAATTGCTGTTATATAGAGCGACTATTGTTTCCATCACTGTAACCTATTTGCAAAGTTCGGATTATATCAATATCTTTATGTAAAGCTATCTAAAAGCTTTATCCCAGATTCTTGAAATGGCTCTTTTGTTCCTACCACGATCATTGTCAACCGTCCGAGCATCATTTGCATTATTCTGTACCACAAACCTTATGCTGTTGACACAAATTCTCTTCCCCCGCTCCCTTCAGTGAATATTTTCACATCTTGGATTTTTTGATTGGTCAAAAAGGTCATATTTAATTTCAAATTCCGTTCTGGGCCTGTTTGCATAAATCATTTTTCGAAGGATTCCATTCTCTCCTTTTCTAAAAAAAAAAAAAATTAAATAAATCAAAGAACGACCTCTTATCTTTCAGAAGACAAAAAAAAAAAAAAAAAAACTGAAACGGAACTTCGTTTTGATATGTACAAGCAACAGCCTGGCTATACTGGTACAGAATCCATGATGACTTTGAGAACCAATTTAAATCAATATTCAAAGCAAGAACTGCGTCAAATCAGAGATAGGAATCTACAGTTGCTGAATAATAGGTCAATGGAAAACTAAAAAGAGACTGTTTTAGATAGCTTAGCTGACGTACAAACTGTATTACATATATAGCTTTATTATTGGCACCTTACCTGATAAAGGTGCTAAGTTAAAAGAAACTAATGAAATAATTGAAAAATTATTATTAAAACCGAATATTTATGATGATGATATTTGTGTTGAAAATACACATAGTCATTTAGAATGCCCTCTAACGAAAAAGTTGGAAGAGCTAACTGTACTCACGCCACGTCAGGGTGCAAGAAAGAGATCAGTTGACTTGGCTAATCAACAACAGGCTATTTATAACATTAGACCTGTGAAGCATAAGCAACATCATCATCCTTTGGTAAGTGCTCCTATTACTTCGCTACTGTAAAACGAAAAATAGTTACTAACATAGCAAAAATATGGCAGCCAAAGGTCAAAATGCTTAGCCTAAAAGAGTCTATGTTACTACAAACTGAGCAACAAACGTCAGTTCGAAAGGTATAAAAAATGAAAGCGATGCTCTACTTTAACAAATAAAAAACTCATACCAACTCACCTTTACTTAACGCATCCATATAGTCGGACGCTTCCTTCAATTATGACCAACCCAGCCAAGGAATATTACAATCACTCAAGTAGGTTTAGCACTAGGATTTATTCAAGGTTGATTTCTCTTACTAAAAAAGAAGACTTTTTTCTCTTTTTCTGTTTCATATCCTTTAGCCTTTCTTATCATGTCATCCGTGAAGCAAATCTGAACGATATTATGCTACCAATGACAGAAGAACTAGAAGAGGATGAAGAGGACGAATGCAGTATGTCTGATACAGTGGAGAGCATGATTTTAGACTAGGCCAATGTGAATATTTGCATTATACCTTAATCTCCTTGTAACCATATACCTCACCACCCCCTTTTCCTGAATAGTGGATACAATCCGGACAATTAGTTTATCCGTTGTAGATCCCTCTCTATCCTCAACCCAACCAGACATATGAAGATTCTCTCTTTTCTCTGTACATATTCGTTATCTTTTACACTTACTATTCCAAATTCCCTTCTTTCTTTTTTACGAACCCTCTTCAATTTCACTAATAATTACAAATATATGATCTTATTATTGCTCGGTTATTTGTGCTTGATTGGCTTATTTTACATCGAATATCGGTTCGAATCATCGCGACTTACCACAACATTACAAACGTCCGCCGATGACAGAGGCACCACCAGATTACTGATCCTCAGCTACTTCCTTTCTATATTTGTTGCACCTCTATGGCTCTTACTTTTTTCCACTTCTCTAGCCCCCAACTTTGCTATGGCTATCACTATGCCAACCTTTTTCGGTTGGTTGGGTCTCAGTGTGATGGTTCTTAGTCTAATTTTATTGTATTGGGCGACGTTCGTCAATCCATTCTATTTACGTGCACTAGCGACGACAGATGACCATTTTATTTGTACAGATGGTCCCTATCAGTACATTAGGCATCCGGGGTATCTAGCGTTTATGCTGGCATGGATTGGGTTTGCGTTTGTCACACAGAATTGGATCAGTTTTGGTATGATTACTGTATTAATGACCTGGGTTTATGTCTTAAGAATAAGAGCTGAGGAGCAAATGATGTTGGATCGATTTGGCGTAGATTATCAGCAGTATATAAATGAAACGAGAAGGTAACATGCTCAGCATGATGGGAAAAAAAATGAAGCCCAAGTTGAAAGCCCAAGTCCACTAACTCAATATCGTTTGTTGTTGCAATGATAGATTAATACCAGTTATTTATTAAATTAAGAAAAAGTGTATATACAAGCCCATTATATCCGTTGGCAACAGCAAAATTTTCTTGTTTCTTTTTTTCTTTTTCGTATACATGTGTAGAATAAAAATTTTGAATTGTTTGTTAAACCCATATAACTTATCATTTCGTGTCATTTTCCCAATAAATCCTTTCTTCGGTTCCTTGCAGAAGGCGCATTTTGATGCAACTTCCAGTCCGTTCGTCCATTTCTGTGCCTGTGGTATCTTTTTCATTTTCCTGGATAATAGCATGCTGCTCATTAAAGTAAGCACAAATCCTTTGAGCATCGTCAGCGGTATTCAATCGAATATGAACGCTAGCGAGTCCCTTTTTTTTCACTCCCATGAAAGGAATCTTTACATCAGCACGCGATTCTAGTAGTTTCAAAGCAATAGTTTTTGGACATTGAAGGTGTAAATTGTCGACAAACACGATAACACCTTTTGGATACTCATCAGTCTTGACTGCTTTCGACGAGGTGGTTTTATCAGTTTGAGAGCCATTTTTATACTTTTTGGTGGCAGGCACATCATCGTCTACAATACCATGAGGGCCCCGTTTTTGTGATACTCTGGCTTCTCGCTTATCACCATCATGTTGACTCTCTCCATTGTCTTCTTGTTGTTGCTCATTATTGTAATCATCCCAAAGTTTCTTAAAACCTGCTTTCTTCTCTGCCAATAACTCCACATATTCATCTCGCAATCTATTCCATTCTAATCTATAACAAGTAAAAGGATTACATTCAATTGCTAGGCATATCATCAACGCTGCACGTATCTTATTACTTTACTTGGATATCACTCGAAGATCCAGTTTTCTAAGAAGCTTTGCTTGATTTTCATCCAACATGACCTCATCTTCATTTTTGCGGTGAGCCTTACCGTCGTTACCCTTTTGTTCGCTAAACAAATGTATGGCTTTCTCTACATACATTTTATCGTCAAATTCAAGAAAGCAATAACCATAAAATGCCGTTGAGCCTTGTTGGTTCGGTGGAACAGAATAGAAAGAGACATGTCCACCCGTCAAGGTATGAAATAATTCTTTAATCTTGAATTCTTCATGATAAGGTTTTGTGAGCCCTTCAACGTAGATGGACCATTCATCAAGTACTTCTTTTTTGTTGGGCACATAAGGTCTGATTCGACCTATTTTTGTTTTATCTTCATTGAGCTATAGGATAAGACAGAGGAGACAGTTGAGTGAGGAGGTTTAATTGATTGCACAGGTGCTGATACATTGCATGCGTACTTTACTTGTAACCGCGTCAAGCTGTGCTTTTCTATATAGCTCAATAACTCTTCGTCTGTTACTTGAAATGAGCGCAACTTGGGTAACTTGACAAGCTCAGTGAGGGATACCACTACATATTCAATCCATACATGATCAATATTGAAAAATATTTGCCCGACAGATAAGGATAGACAAATGTGTTTTTGCTGACAGTTGAAACACACATACTTCCTTGAGGATTTGACATTATTTTTTGCTGCATAACTTTATCCCACAATAAAGAAGCATCACTGAAATAGGTCTCTAAGGCATTGATAATTCTACGTTCTCTGTCATCTGCTGCATCTACTGATGGTACACTGATTGAACTCATGACAAAACGATGATCTGTATGAAAAAAGAAGAAGAAGAAGAATAGTGTGGTATTTCCGAAAAGGAAAAAAGAAGTTTAATAAAGATTTAATGCAAGAACTATTTCAACACTTCTTTTTTTCTGTCATCTGTCAAAGGGTTATTTGTTACCAGCAAATGAACGATTCTGCCAATGATACAGTTCCTACTGAGCTATTAGTAGATCTTCATGTCAAATACATACAGTCATTAGATACTAGAAAAGATGAGCTTGAATATTGGTTAACTGAACATCTACGTCTGAATGGCATTTATTGGGGACTCAACGCGCTGGACTTGATGGGTCACATCGATGCTCTACCTCGGCAAAAAGTGATAGATTACGTATCCAGTCTTCAACACGCCAATGGCGGTTTTGGAGGCGATACTCATCACGATCCTCATCTCATATATACAGTATCAGCTGTACAAATCTTAGTTATGTTGGACGCTCTAGATGCCATCAACGTTGAGAAGGTTGTCGACTGTAAAGTTTATATAAAGAAAAAATGAACATGAATTCACCGTTTTGATGGCGAAGAACTCACCAAAACAGTATACCGACCTAATAGATGTTAAAGGGTTACAAAATGAAGATGGTTCTTTCAAAGGTGACGAATGGGGAGAAGTAGATACTCGATTCTCATATATTGCCCTCAATATCCTCTCTCTCCTTCACCGTCTTGATGCCATTAACATAGAAAAAACAGTAGAATGGATTTTATTATGCAAAAACTATGATGGAGGATTTGGAGCACGACCTGGCGCAGAGTCTCATGCAGGTCAAATCTTTTGTTGTGTAGCTGCATTAGCCATCGCCAACGCTCTTCACCACGTGGATAAAGATCTCTTATGCTGGTGGTTGTGTGAACGACAACTTAAAAATGGCGGATTGAACGGCCGGCCTGAAAAGTTGGAAGATGTGTGTTACAGTTGGTGGGTGCTTTCTGCCTTGGCGATATTGAGAAGAACACATTGGATTGACCGGGACAAATTGATAATGTTTATCCTGTCAGCGCAAGATCCCGAAAATGGAGGCATATCGGATCGACGAGGCGATATGGTGGATGTCTTTCATACTAATTTCGGAATTGCGGGTTTATCATTGTTGGGTTACAAAGGGTTAAAAAAAGTAGATCCAGTTTATTGCTTGCCAAGTTATGTTATTGATAGAATAGGTTTGCCAAGTAAATATGTATAAATTTATAGAAATATGAATGAGAAAAAAAAAAAAAAAAGAGGTATAGTTGCTTCTAGGCATCTGTAGAGAGCTTCAAAGCAATTGTGAAGGGAATAGGATATGTTTTGATCGCACTATGTGAGATAAATGAAAATTTTGCTAATCCTCGGATTCATCTTTGAACCAAGACAAATCGGTTACGCATGCTTGCTTTGCGGTTTTGAGAATTTCAAAAATGATATGCTTTAAAGACGTATGGTTATGGAACTGGTTACGATAAACCTTGGGAACTTGCGAAACCGGCGCTATGCGGTATTTTAGCAAATCAGAGTATTTAAAACTCATTTGTAACACATCAAATCCACCGGTTTCTTTGTTGGCACGAAAAACAGTGGCAGGAGTCAAAGTTTGTATGCTTTCGGGCGATATATGGCGACTTCTAATAATATCTAGCGCGTTTTTGTTATGAACAACAATATAACCAAATGTATTGCTGTTGAAGGAATCGTTTCCAGGTCTAGATTCGTATCTCAAATCAGGCCAATCTATACCCTGTTGTTCTTCAAGTATTTCCACCGCCTCGACTAGAATAAAGTTGTTAAATGGGTGACGTAAAGCTACTTCAGGCTCCGTAGCATCGATGGTTCCTATTGAATCCATGACAGGAGGTGAGGCTTCCAAGACGCGAGACGTTAACCTTTTCACCGCACATCTTGCCGCTCCTCTGGCATCTAATTTAACCAAATTGGAACAATGTTTTGCAAACAGCCAAATGATACGTGCAGTTACCCACTCACAGTGCCGTACTATCACTTCTTCTAAATGTGGGCAATTTTCGCCAAAAGACTGAATAGCCTCTTCAACATGTATCTTGATACATGTGAGTTCAGTTGCATTGCGACGAGGCAGTAAGCTTTCTCGAGAATCATTGAATATATGAGATCTCATTTTCGATCCACCAGTTCTCAAAATGCTATCCGTAATACTTCTGCGGGAGGAAGAATAATAAAACTCTCCTGTTTCAACGATATACCTATCTTGCAGCAAACTCGTAAAAGAGAGGTTCAAACAAGTAAGGTTTTTACAATTCCTTGACAATTGCAGTAAAGATGATGTGGTTAGAATAACAAAAGTGGGCGGATCTTCTTCATAAGTTGAAGTTGCTGACGATAAAGCTGGTGTTACTGTTATATTGCTTTCAACAGGCGGTAATGAGGATATAGGATGTCCTGTCATGTTCTGCTGTTCAGAAAATTCGTACGATGCTATACTAACGTAGTCGGTTTGCGTGTTCGCGTCTGTGTTCGAGTTGGCATCAATTATGTCGTACAATCCAGGCGTTGATGTTCTTGCATGAGATAATGAAGTTAGCCTTTTGCAGAAATTTTGAACCTTCATGTAGTCTATAAAGTAAAATCAATTGTTAAGATGATGAGATTTATTAACCTCCCTATAAACAGCTATGGCGTATTGTTCTTGAACGTTTTGTTGATTTACCCATGGAACATTCTTTGGAAATATCAATAGATTTCACAAAATCACCGTATATGAAGGATTTCTTTTTCCTTGTTAGTGCCAATATGAAGTTTGCCCAACTCAATGTATCTGTCATCTTTGGGTGACTATATAATATGGGTGTAGCGCAATAAAACCATTGCTTGCAGACAAGTGACATATTGTACAAGGTGGATTGACAATCAGAGACATACTTAAAAATTTCTAAGAGTATCTCTGCAGGAAGAGCGGTTTCATTGACAAAACTGGTATTGATGGAAGTAGTTGTGGTGGCAATAGGCTGTATTGTTGTTAATCTATCCCTTTTGGCGTTAGCGTCCATTTTAACGTCTTTATCAAAAGGACTGTAGAGGCTACCACAGTTGCCAATACCATTGCTTCGTTCGCTGGTATAGTAGTCGGTGCTAAGCTGTATAGGTCTTAAAGGAATTGGGCAATCCATACCAGCAGCGGAATAGTGTCAAAGAAGTTTGAAGCAAGAAAAACAGAAGTGCTTAAGAAGGGGAAGGAAGACAATAGGTCTCAACAGATAAATCGAATAAAAAGAATACGAAAAAAAAAAAAAAAAAACTTGAGAAACATTCTTGCATTGTGGGCAACTCCGCAGTGCTTCATACCACCAATGCAAACTACCTTAGAATGAACTTAATCTCTCATAAAATCAATTCAACGAGCAGCAAAGAATTTCTTGATATCTTTAATATTGTAGACGCAATAAAGATTATTTTCGGTGCAGTAACTGAGTACTCAAAAAAAACCCATCAAATAGCCAAAACGATAATATAGTTTTCTTTTCTTTCTATTTTCTAGCAGATATCGTAAAATTCACTCTAATTGGGCAATCTGTAGAGGTCCATCCATTTAAAGACTAGTCTCTCTCTTACTCCTGTCTTTATTAACCGAGAAACAAACCGTGTTTCATCAAAATATAGATTTGCTATTTAGGGAAATTCTGACAGCTCAATTCTTATTTTGTATGGTGAATACTTTATGTACTCGTATTGCAATTGTATTATATCAATCTGGTAACATTACTAATTTGTAGTAGAAAAGAAAAACCAAGTTTTTATCGTCTTTTATTAATAGATAAAGCAACTTATATATGTACAATGAATTAAAAAGGTATCTTCCTTCCAGATGCATTAACAGTATGAATTAAAGTAAATTCATGCTTATTCGTTCTAGAAGAATATATGGTATGAAAGAAAGTGGATATGTATATCTACAAAAATAATACAAGTGACTTTCGGTATTTTACATAATGAATCTGAAGAAAGAGATCCAGCTTAAAACACAAAGAACGAGATAAATCGAGCCATACAAGTAATTAGCCTTGATGGGTTTCACCACCCTATTCAGAGTCGATGCGTTTTGATGGCTCAAGTTGCCTAATTTGTTTTCATCTTGTTGTTTGTCTCGTAGATACATTTCTCTACCGGAACGATCCAAAACAGATCCATATACATGATGATCCATCAGGCAAAGGACAAGACCGGCAATGACCGCGAGAGTTGAAATTGTTATGAAGAAAACAATAACACTATCATAACCTTTGTTTGAATCATGATCCTGCAAATATCCCGTAGAAATATCAAATAGGGCTGCACCAATGTTAGTGCCCGATTTTATAAGACCCATACCAGTTCCAACCAAAGAGATAGGTAAGATAACAGGAACGGAAGAGACAAGGCCGACGGGGCCCAGAGAAAGACTGGCGCTGAACAGAAGCATACCAAACAAAGGAGAAATACGTGTGTACTCCAGAAAAACCATACTGAGTAGCATGCAGACACCACTACCGATCATCATCCACGTGCGCTTGCCAAATCTATCTACACAAACCCCTAGAAAAGGCATCAACACAATCGGCAAGATTTGTGCGACGCTAGCGGTTGCTGCTGCATTAGCATCACTATAATCAAACCTAAATTTGACGTATTCACTACATAAAATTGATTACAAAATTATATGTATTAGTATATCTCAAAGCATAGATTGACCAGGAAAAAAGGTCATTGTTACTGCTGATTATTTTTACCTATTTATATGAAGGAAGCATCCCCATCCACCGCCCAGTAAGAATTCCATAGAAGCAATAAGCCAGTATGAATGAGGGAGATACATTAACTTTGCCCAGCTAAATGATTTCTTGCGTTTCATCACTTCGAACGGTTTGCGACAATTAGCAGCTGCTTTAAACACAGTTTTTAACAATCCAATATATACAAAAGTGACAATCATAGAGAATATACATAAAATAGCGCAGAACTATGCTCAAACAAATAAATGTTAATGATGTGTTCTTATAACTGCAAACCTGCTGTTCGCAATCTTTACCCATAAACCATAACCGTACCAGCCGGTCCAATTAGCAATAGGTACAACAGTAGCCTGTGCACAGAAAGACGCCTAAGTAGCCAAGAGGTTCTTGTTAGTATTAACTATTTTTCTTTTGATCATATTCTAAGTAAAAAATAGAAAAAAATATCTACCAGCCGACTAACTGTTAGCATCAGTGCGACAACACCAGCAAGGCTTCTACCTCTGAACCATTGACTCAAGATGGTTTCTTGCACAATCACCACAGTGCCACTACCAATACCATAGAGTATACGTCCCAGAATCATCATATAAAGTGATGAATACGATGCGGATAGAGCCACCAACACATTGCCCGACGTGATGAGCAACGTAGTGATTAAAGCACCTGGAATGGTACCGAAAGCGTCGATAAATATACCACCTAGCACAGGTAAGATGGTATTGACAATAGCAACGCTGGATTGTATTACACCATATTGCGAATTGCTAATATTAAATTCACGTTTGATTGTGCTTTTCATTGCACCCAATGTATGGGCTGCAAAATGGCTACCGACTATATAAGTTGAATATGGATCAATAAAGGCAGTGCGATAATCAAGTCAAAGTACGTAAGCCATCGAGTTGAAAAGATGAAGGCATCAAAGGTTGATTTGATAGTAAGACAAACAGAAAATAGATCAGATAAGAATAAAATAATAGATTAGTTTCTGACAATAATCGAATTTAAATGAGTAATACTTACTGGCTAGTAAAATGGCACATGCTAGGGCTACTGCTTTATATTTCCATTTTTGATTTGCTAAAAAGCAGGAGACATCTTCAGCAGTACCGGTCTCACTTGTAGGCAAGATTGCTCCATGGTGCATCCGTCGATTGGCACAACAACCTGACGATTGACCGCGGCAAGAAGATTGAGCATGTGAATGGCTGTTTATAACTGTTTCGTCAAGTTTTTTTACGTCTACATTCTCTAGTAGCGGAGTACGCTCATCCATTTCTGCTGTAATCTGCGAATTATCCTGTAGCAGTAGAAGAGTGTATATTTCTTGACAGGATACAAAACAAAAAACAAAATAAAAAGATGAAAAAAGATGAAAATCACGGTGGGAGATTGCGACGTTGAATCAATTCTTTTGCCTTATTTATACAATAATGCTTAAACCGGGGTTGGAAAACCTTGATTATCACCATAGGCTCATTTGTTTCATCTCAGACGAGTTTTTATCGTTCGATTTTTCAGTGCTTTTTTTTCGCTTTAGCTCTTCAATTTACTAGCAGTGCGTCTATCAGAAACCAGGAACAACAGATGATAGAATGAAAAGAACCAGTAGTAATAAGAAACTCAAATTGAGAATATTTGAGTTTCATCATTGGAGCTTACATCCAATATTTTCATTCGTAATTATTCTGAGCAAATGATTTCCAAAATTTAAAGTTGAGCAATCTGATAACTATGTTCACGCCCCGTTGTCATGGCAACTTTGTCAAAGAATTACTGTTGACGCTGCTGTGCTTAAAAAAAAGTATAACAGTCGCAACGAAGATATTCAATCGACTCAGACATGCTACAAGAGCAATGGCATGTTTATTGCTATAGGAAGATACCGCTTGGCTGTTATCGAAAAATGGCCAATTCTGAAAGTGGTGAATCCATTTAAACGAAATTACGGGTTCGTTTTGCACAATATCAAGTGCCTTTAATAAAGGAATTCACTCAGAGTTTAAGAACATACGCATGTAATCAACGGAAAATATATTATTCGTTCAATGCTTGTGGTTTTTTTTTTCATTTATACAATCATTTACTGATAATCCACCCAATAAACTAAAATGAAGTATTCCGACGGATCATATATATGTCTATATAATGGAAACAGAACGAAGACAACCAAAAATGAGTTTCTCGGCGAGCTATTAGGTATGATATGCCTGGCACTATCTCTCAAAAAAGGTAAAACTACAATTTGATCCGAGTTATACATGTTTCAAGATGGTTAAACGTCTGAGGTGGTCACTAATTCTAGTAGTAATTTCGACCTACTTGTTAGAGTAAGTTTGAAAACGCGTTGGACTTTCAAAGGAGGAACAGATAAAAGCATTTAACCACAACTCAGGAACCGTGCCTGCGCTATAAAAAAGCTTACAGTATCAATTTGACGATCGCTTACTCGACACTGTACTATTTTATCGTAATGAGCTGATTGATTGCATAATTTAAACACATTATCAAATAGTCAGTTTTAAAAACTCTACAAAATGTTTCGAAACTATCGAATCAAAGAATAAGAAGCTGTAACCTGGGAACGTGCCCTTTCGGCTGTGCTGGGATGAAATTGATTATTCCTTATTCCACCAGCACAATTTGATGTCGGCATTACTATTCTTCTTCATAGCTGCCATGAATGTATACCTCTTCACTGTAAAACCTCTACCGGTTATTGCGTCTAATAGTAAATCGACATTATCGAAGTTTGTTCTCAACTTACTGTTTAGACTATAAGGATTACAATCAATTTTTGCTTTTTGTGTGCTCGACTTAATTGAGATCGTAGCAATGCTTCGTAAATAAAACATCCGTTTTGCATTTCTATAATGAATGGATAAAGAATAGGCTCATTCAAGTCTTGAAAAAGATTATTTTGCACTATATTGAAACTTGCAGTAGCAGTTAGAACTTTAAGTATCTTCGTGTTTTCTCATTGTAAGCTACTTCAGTCTAGCCAACCCTTATTAAACATTCGTATTCTCCAGCTCTCTATTTAATGGCGAGTTATATATTGCTTTAGGAAACATTTAATTGCGATTGCAACCTAAAGATTTACCGCAAAACGTTGTAAAGAAAGGTACTGCTTTAAAGGGTGATTTAATGCATATGAATAGATCGACTATTTATTATAGTATATCTGCCTCAAGCAGGATGAAAAGATCAGCGCGAAGTGAAGGAAAAGCGAATAGAAACAATTTCGCAATAGTTGTTATATACAAATACAATATGTACTCAAAGAGAGTTGATGCCGTGTAATTTCTACAAAAACGAATTTTCACTGTTTTCCCAGTATAAGGGAACGTTTTTGTGCAATATTTCACTGAATTTCTTAGCGACCTCCATAATTGTTCCGGCATTTTCGTCTGTACTGGCCAAGAAATCTCTTAACGTCCAGCTAGGGGCCTCTCCAATTCGTAATGTTAAGTTCTCCGCAAAACGGTTAACCCATGCCTCTTTGTATAAAGAAACCTTGAAGAGAATGCGGTGAGGGTCAACCAAACTGAGATCTAACGGCAACTCATGATCTGGTCTTTCGATTCTATTCATATCCCAAATCTCGTCCTGGCAGATCTCAATTACATAACCTTTCCAGTCGTACTTCCATTTTGTCTGCTGTGTGACAATTTTGGGTATATAATCGCTGGAGGTGAGCATAATTAATCTGTTATTTTTGCTCACTCGCAATAAATCAGCAAACTTTTCATGAGGGGATTCAATGTCATCAGTTGGTAATCTACGAGCATACTGTAGTCTAAGGTCCCATGAATAATTTCCTTCCAAATTCGTACAGTTAACATCGACCAAATTCGTACAGTCCGTCATTGTCACCCAAAGACGGCGTTGGCCCTTTTCGGTGAATGAAATATTCATGACAGTTTCCCACATATCGCCGCGAGGTGGTGCACGTTGACCAGGCATCCGTGGAGGTGCTGCTTGTGGATATTGATCTGCTGTGATGACAAAGGACGTTTGTGGATTATCCGAAAACTCGACTGCATTAGGGTCATCTCCAAGCGCTTCAAATAGGTTTTGAAGCCCTGCCCTTGTTTTACTGATACATGGTGCAAGAGCTGATTTGAACATTGGCTTTTTGAACATTTTTTCACTGACGTCTTCAATAGTCAAGAATTTGCCATCCTTTTTAGGATAATCAATGAGACAAATTTGGCCAAAACGAATCTTCATACGAATAGCCCAATCAATCAAACGTAAACTCTCCAAACCGTTGATGAGCGCAGACTCAATTTGCTCCTTGTTACGAGCATCTAATGTTTGCGCGCGTTCTGATGGTAAAGCGGCGCTCCCATCATCATTTAAGTTGATTAAGTCATAAAGATGAAGTGAGGGTAACGCACCACCAGTACTGAGGGCTTCCAGCATACGATGTTTTTCCAACATGTTTTGCTCTCTCTCTGGATCGGCATATTCATAAGTGATCAATCCTGGGGGTAACTTCCTGTATTTTATGACATAGTTTTGTTTGGGCTGCTGCAACAATCTTAAAGTAGCGCCTTGAGGTGTACGGCAACAGCGCAAATACCAATTTCGGACTCGAGTGGTTGCTGTTTTCACTGCTTCTTCCGTATCTGCTGCCACTCTTACCAGATTTCCCTTCTCAACATACCATATATAAGCTTTACAGTCTGCTCTGATTTGGTTCCAGAATGCTTCATTTTCCCCTGTCAGGCGAAGTAAAGGTAATCTAAAGTCTGGTAATGGAAGAGAAGCATTATAGTGCTGAGGAACCGCAGGTATACCGTGATACTTTTTCTCTTCTTCGATTTTCGCTTGTCTCTTTTCAGCTCGTCTTCTTTCTTTCTCTGTTAATTCTCGTTCTGGTCTGCCCCATTTCTTTGTCTTTCTTTGGAAACGTTCATGGCGCTCTTGAAGACGCTCAACAATCATATTAAGATAATCCTTGGTTTTTTGAATGGCTTCTGCATCGCCCCATATATCTATTTGATTTAATCCAGGATTAAATTCGATAAACGAGCCGGATGCTTTCTGAATCTCAGTAATGCGTGCTTGTTTCAGGCCTAATATGTCAGCTGATTTAAGATAAGCAGGAAGAACCCAATGATCATCGGCGTTGCGATGACTTGTATCAGGTGTGGCTGTAGAATCGATGTAAGAACTGCTCGCTGAATGATTATTGAGAGGGCTTAATGGAGACGAAGCTGACGTGATAGGGCTATAACTCAAAGTAGCAAAATTGGTAAAGTTGATAGACGTTGCATTTATAGGTGTTTCTTGCAAGGAAGGATCTCTCCATTCTCCATCGGAATCAGAGGAATCTTCTTGTGGGGTATATGGAATGTCTGGTTCGATCGACATTGCTTTTAATCATACAACACAGATAGAGATTAAGCAAGCAAGCAATGATTTGCAAAAAACTGGCTATTTCTAATCCGATTTTTGGTGCCCGCCAATCAAAATATTCAATTTTCTGTCGCTTTACTCTCTGAAATCAAATATCACGACCCCTAAATACATTTTTAAGAACATCTTTTAAAAGAGAACAGCTTTTTAGAAGAGCCTTGAATTTTTTCAGAGCATTCCAGATAGAAAGAGCAAATGTTTGTCAAGCTCTCATGAAATCTAAAATCAAATATTCAAACAGAACAGCCATATGTTCAAATATATGTCAAGGTTAAAAATTGCGTCAGTTACCTTATGATTATCAGTTTATTCGATTAAGATGATGAACAGTGGTGTGAATTTATCAGTCATCTACAAAGTTCCGTGTTTAAGGGATATAAAATTAAAGGCTACTACTACTTACTTCAGAACGCCTCCTAACAAGGCTCGTTGGAAGTTGTTGCAATTCTGAGCTTCGCGCGTTCGATTACGAGCAGATGCTGTTACGGAAACTTATACAAGCACAGACGTGATATCTGTGCAGTACAATATAACAGTATATACTCAATATATCATGAACTCGTAAATTTTGCCTTCCATCATGTCCTACTACTGCTACTACTATTGTTGTTGTTTAACTAACCCTCTATCAAGATAATTTTTTCAAAAAAAAATACTTCCTTTCATTCGTCACACACTCGCAGTCCTTCTCTTTCTTTCCTGACAAAATAATCATGTCCAATGCTCAAAGAAGAGGTTCAGTATTTCTAAAAGAAAATCGCTTGAAAAACAAGATAAAGCTTACAAAGGATAATACACGTGTTATACGTTTTATTAATCATTGTCTAACTGAAGTGGTATGCAATTGTAAACAGCCTACGCAGACGCGCTTCCTGAAGATTATAAGACTTGGGACAACAGTTATTGAAGCAATATGTAGATTTCAACGGTGCTTTCAGCGACAGCGTAAATAGAGAAAACGATGTGGTGACTTTTGCTTCATGTCGATGAATTTAGAACTTCAAAGATTTGGAAGTTAAATTTGTCTTATAGCCTACCTAATCATTTGGAAAATATAGGCAAGTCATTGTATAATAAATTGCCTTTCTCAGAAGCAAGCACAGAGTTGAATAGCTGTCTCGTCTGCCAAAGTTGTAGAATATTATGGCGACTTGATGTCAATGCCTCGAAAAACATTTTCGAAACCTCACTCGCTATAGTTAGTTGTCAAGGTCGTCCAAGCATTTTGCAGAAGCAAAGCAATGCTATTATTTTACATACATTGCCGTACCGACCACGGTTTATCTTTTCTAAAGAGATTTAAAGATTTACTTGTGCTCACTGCTTCCAAATTCTCTCTCATATTTACAGCGAAAACCCAGTAGCTAGCATCATTAAACTGTAATAATCCTTCTTAAAAGCATTCTGATTTGTGGATGGTTGTTTGGAAGAGTTACAAGAATTACTTTATTCACGATTTGTTCACTTGTAGTTTTAATCCTCCATTTCATCATCTGAAGATTCTTTCGCCAATGTCTCTGCTTCTAATTTTATATCCTTTGGTACGAATTGATGTCTGTAATTTGATTCTGCGCAAATCCAACTTAATTCCAACTCGAAATCTTTATCTTTTGCATCGTCATGGCATGTATAGATTCTATTAAAAAGTATACGGCGCTATGAGTATAAATATATAAACCCAAACGATATATTGTGACTATGACATTTTATAGTACTTTACATTCTTGTAATATGATTAACTGCTTCTCGAACTGTCATATTATCCAAATCGAGCTTTTCGATTTCTGTCTTGGCAACAGACTTTCCTTTTCCAATGGCGCATCCTCGGTAACCCTATATAACTCATACTGTTACAAAACGTTTACAAAACATATACAGCTATTCTAACATTTCATACCCAATATACACCAGAAGGCTCAATCATGTATAATGAAGGTCCTGCTTTTTCGGTCATTGTACCAACAATAGTGCTAGAGCCAAAAGGTCTGACACTTGAATATAATGTGTAAGCTGAAACATATTGTCCCAAACGATCAGCAATTGTCTTTCCTGGAATAGGTTGTTTGTAAATATCCCTCCAAGATTGAGCTTCATCACGAGCTCTGTTGATAATATGTCGACCATCAGCCAATAAACCAGCAGTAGCCTAATTATGCATTACATTTATATGGCAAAAAATGTCGAACAATAAGTTTGAAGGTTATCGAAATAAAGTTTTTCGATGGGATTGCTTAGTGCTGCTAATGATTATGTGATTTCATTTAACTTACAATACCGATGTGAAGGTCGGCGCTTTGAAGACGTCGATTAGCACCTTCTACTAAGAGCTTGGATTGAACGAGCTTTTCAACGCCCAAAACGATACCATCTTTCACACGAAGGCCAATAGCAGTACTTTCAAAATATATTAAAGCGTTAATGTCTGAGGAGGAGAGATTAGGACGGAAAAAGGTAGTTGCTCACTTTACCCACTGTTATCGACTGCTTTGTTGGCATACTCCACTTGAAAAACGCGTCCATCAGGAGAGTAAGTTGAGACAGATAAATCGTACTATTAAGTAGTTCATGGTTGGAAACTGTTATAAGATATATACGATCTTAACGGAAAGCTGACTTACTCCTGTACCGATGGATGTCATTTTTTTCTAATTAGACAAATTATTTGTAAAAAGGTATAACCTGAAAGGTTGCAGTTACGAAATGCGAAAAGATGAAGGCCGCGCGTTCGTCACTCTAAATTTTAACGCCAACAATTTTTCAAATTGGGGTGCAAATAAACAAGGAAGATTCAATACTACTTCCATTTCTTCACAATACTGTTCCCTCTTTTATTGCCAGTTCTGTTCGATTTGAATAATGTCTTCAGCCTATTACTATAATCAACAACAAACAGGATCAGTACCACCGCATATGGCACAGCAAAATTTAGCAGCACGAGGAATTCCAGGTCAAATTGGACTCAATCCTTTACAAGGTCAATACGTTCAGCAACAACAGCAGCCACAATATAGGAATCAGCCTTCTATGATGGACAGTAGAAAGCGAGGACATAGCAAAGTAGATAGTCAATAGTTGGAAGCAAATACCAAACATCTTACACTATACTCTCAATTTCATAGGCGACAAGACAGAACTTGCCAGTGCCGGAAGATGTCGATGAACCTTCTGGTGGTATGTTACAAAATTGTCGCGAAATGAATCAAGTAGATCTGGTCGTTAATACAGATTGAATGTGATTCCTTTAGATGAGTTGGATGACATTTCTGCTCGTGATATTGCGATGGCAAGATATAAACGTAACCATGATTATTTATCCGAAATATTCACTCCATACAATGCAGGTACATAAATCACAGTTTGAAAGGGTTTATTGAAGCGATGAAGCCTGACATTCCTCTTTAGAATTCATTGTATCACCGCCTTTAGATATTGTACAAACAAAAGAGGAACTTGAAAAGCAAATTGTAAGAAATATATTATTCATTTAGCAGTTTGGATAACACAGCTGGAGATGATAACATCAACAATTGTATAGGACGACTATAAGGAAAGAGCAGAAAAGAGAAAAAAGATATTTGAGGATAAGCTAGCATCGATTGAACAAGAGCAAAATAAGTATTGGGCATTATTGAGCAAATTGAACGAAGCGAAGGCCTTGCAGGTAGATCAGACATTGTACCCCCAATTCTACATCTCATAATCACTCACGAACGATTATCTATATCCTTGATTTACAGGATATTGACAAAAGCTCGGAAGATTTAGCGAAAGAATTGGGTGTCAAAATAGAACATACAAATAAAAGCATTAGAGTTCAATCAATACCCGGAATCGAAGAAGACCATCCTGCTGAGCCAATAGCAAACCAATCCTCATCGGCAGCATCTTACAAATTAGAAGAGCAGATTAACGCAGGCAGTAATAGCAACAATATTAATAATAACCAAGCTATGGGAACGAATAACGGCATTACAAATACCACACTTAATACTGGCAATGCAGACCATCAACAAAATATTGATGTCAACACCAATGATAACAGCAAGCCAGAAATGAATACTGACATTTCAGGTAGCAGTGACCCTAGTGGTGGCAATAACCTGTCGAAGCAAGACGAAGATACAAGCATGGACGATAGCTTCTTCAATGAGATGGTGAACGCAGAAGATGATTCAGCTGTCAATGAGTTTCTTAACACAGAATAATTTCTGTCCAATAAAAATCAATTACCTTTTTCTTTTTGCTGTTGTCCTGAGTCTGTTAGAGCTGCATCTTTTCTAAACTCTGATCAGCAAAAAGCATCTACATGTGTCCATATAGATTATAATATTTGTTATATAATATTTCATTGACAATACTTGTAAATACGATTAATATATAATAACAGTTGCTCATCAAATACAGCAGCCAGCATTTTGTTCAATCTTTACACAAAAAAAAAGACGCTCAGTCCATGGCACAGGTAACAACTGCTATTCTTGCTTTTGTGCCAAATACTATTACAGTTTACCAATTACTATTGTATAGACAATCATATTACCTTTTCTCCGGCAAAAAAAGTCTAAAAAAGCCAATTTAAACGTACCAAGTCGATATGAGTTACCGCTTTCAATAATACGATCTTTCAGCTTTTTGCCATCTCTATTCAATTTAGTGCATAACCTCAAGCAGCTCTCTCAATTATCGTACCCAGCTGTTAGCGATGTTAAGATACTCAGGACAGAAACTTATGTTGCATGTTTATGGGTACTTACAATTGCATATTACCACAAGAAATGCGACAATTGAAACTTACCTTCAATTTTTGTAATACAGTGCTTATTGTCAGGTTATTGGACTTGGACCCTAAGTAGGGCCATGTTAGATCGCTGGTTATATACCTATGAGGTAAAAAACGCTGCTACTCGACTTTTAGTATTCATCATTGTTACTGGATACGTTCTCAACCTCATCAGCTCATCATTCGTGGCCCAACAAAAACCACTACTTGGGCAATTAATAATCTGCTTCGCCTTACTCAGTTTCAACGTGTTAAAGCTTAAATTTACAACTGATTGGAAATATCAGAAAATGGAGGACGTTCTACCGACCAGCAAAAGAAAGTCTGACTTATCGTCAAGAAATAGCAGCAGCATCTACAATAATACTGCTGCCCGTGTTCTCTTGCTTCCTCTAGTGATAGTAATGGGATTATCCATATTGGTTCTATCAGATCAGGTTTATCTGAGTCATCACCGTAATGTTGCCCTTATAGATGACGAAAACTTCCTTCTTGATCATGATCTGGCCAGTGGTATCGAAGCAATAAGCACCGCTGGCGGTGCAGCCACTATCCTTGTGCTTATAATATCCTCATGGTCAAGCGAAGCGGCTCAAAGGCGACATGCGTTGAGAGAAACCACTATAAATTGGATAAATGCTAATAGACCAGATTCATCTAATATTATCTATCGCTTTGTAATCGGCCAGCCACCATCATACAGTGCGCAACGAGAAAGGGCAGCTGCTATTTTAAAAGAATCAGAAAAGTATCATGACATGTTGATGGTCCCTGCTTCAGACCTCCGTGTGGATAAAAGTCAAAAACTTTTCCAAGCGTTACGCTGGACATCTATTGCACAAATCAAATATGATTACTTGGTCAAGACGGATGATGATGTGTTCATACGATTTGATAAATTACGTGAAGAATATACAAAAGTTCAAGATAACCACTGGAGGGGATTTGTTTACAGGTATGGTTTCATAGCTTTTGATAGATCACTGATATAAATCTCATAAGGCTCACACTGCTTTTCACCAGAAATTTACCGACAACTTATTTCAGACCGAGCAAATTTGAAAGAGAGGTTGATTATACTCTGCCTATTTTACCCAAGTTCACTTCAGGAACATTTATTCTACTATCCAGCAACGTTGTTAAAATGATCATTGAAACCAACTATCCTCAGAAGTTTGTTGAGAAAGATGATGTTAACCTTTCCTTATGGTTGTTCGGTTTTAATGTCAACCCTACTCATGATAAACGTATACAAGATGATAGTGACGTATGTGAAGAGGACTTCTTAGCACAGCGCATGAGTTCTTTGCAGCAACTCAAAACAATGTACAGCAATATTATCAATCAAAAACCTCAATGCACTGGTTTGAATAGCCAAAATAAGTGTGCCTTGTGCTATTCCTGTTATGAGAAGGCGACTAATTGGCGTGCTGAAAATTTCCATTGTACTGATGAGCAAGGGGTTTCTTTTACATATCAGCCTGAATTTAAGAAAATCGCATCGCCTAATGTCAAAGATCCTGCCATACCTTCTATTATTGGAGTGAATGACGAATGGATAATAAAGGATGTTTTATCTGCGCGTACATCAGTCTACACAGAAGATGAGGAGAACTGGCATTTGCTTTACTGGGTCTGCTGGACAAGTGACCCCTCTACCTTTACTGATCGCCACTGGCGCGCTTTGGAAATGGTTTGGATACATGAACCAAATGCTGTCATATTCATGATTTCCAACTCTTTACCCCAGGATTTTTTCAACGACTACACTCGCCGTGGTTATCGAATTCATGTTGTTAACTTCAATAAGGAGAACCTATTACGATGGCATTGGTATTTTGGCGCTGGCACCTTAGATTGGATCAAAGATTGGGAAAAATGGGAAAACGGTAAATTCTTCTACTGGCATTTGACCGATTACATTCGCTGCCTATTATTGTACAATTACGGAGGCACTTATATGGATATGGATGCTCTTTGGATACGAGTCCCACCCAACAATCAACTGGAATTCATCGGGTCTGATTACTCCCAAATTTTGTCAGATCGTGCCTGGACTTTAAATGATAAGGGCCTTTACCTACCTCAGGGCGTTATGCGGTTCAAACGCGGGTGGAAATTATTCAGAGAAATGGCAGAGAATGCTTTTACAGCATACGCTTATGATCCTGATTGTTTCAATTGTGGCGGCCCCAAAGCTATCACATCTTACGTTCGTGATCGCCGTATGGTGCTCGAAGAAGCCGGATTCACCATTTTACCACCTGAGGTGCTTTATCCTATCAACTATCTTGATATTCACAAGCTTTTAGAGCCAGATCCTTTGGCAGAACAAGAGCTAAGGTCCTCTATTGCACCTTTCACTTGGAATATCCATTTGTTCGGTAAAATGACGAATCACTTGCCTATTCAGCCAGTTAGTGTGATTGACTACGTGTTTAAGAAATTTGACTTGGATATTCCTCACCGAGACACTACTACATCCAAATATATCTCCTCCACAGGTACTTCAGATGTACCTCTACGTCTAATGGGTCCTCGTGACTATATTTATCGAGCTATTTCTGAAACTATGCTTAAGGAAGATGAACAAAAAGGGAACTCACTGAAATTACAATCTGTTCCTGGTAAATTCCAAGGTTTGGATATAATTTACATACGAGGAGGCCCTGATCGTATCCCGAGATTAACTATCGAAGCGGAAGCAGCCGTTGCTAATTTGCATTTGAGTACTGATGTCAATAACAATAGCGGCTCTTATGAAAGACGCATCAGATATAATTTAGAAGATGTATCTATGCAAGAAGTCAATGCAGTTCTAAACTCTATTGAATATCGACCCACAAATCTTATGCTAGCGAACGGAGGGCGAGACCATATTACTGTGAAGATTATATTTGAAGATGAAAAAGGTGCCATACGTGAGCAGCAGCAGTTAGACATTTCCGTCGTTGTTATAGAGCCTGCAGAAGAGGATGTACTGCTAAATTCAGACATCGATATCGATATAGAAAATTAATCCAACAACTAGCTTTCATTATATCACAAAAGTACCTATATAGATGTTTGTTATAGAGTGTATATGAATAAATAATCATACAGTGTGGACTTCCAGATATTCTGCAATGGATGGAAAGCTGTGCGTCTTCAGGCCTGTTCTATGTGAATAATGTGACTAATGAACACCACATGTCTTTATGCTCAAATAATCATTGCGAAAAGCTACTTCTTGCTTATTATGTAAACTATTTCATCCAATATTTTCAACTTGAGAGATAAGCTCACGTCAGTCAAAAAATTATAGCTTAGGCAATCATTGTGTGAGAAGTTTGCAACATACATTATGATTTAAGTCCTGGTAAGCAGATTCATGGAGCATCTTTATGTACGATATAAATGATATAAGTTTATACGGGCTGTAAGTGTGTAAAATGTTTGTAAAATGGATTGGTATGTTTAAAGCAATAAAAATGGGGATAGCCATAACCGCTTACAGGACATCTATTTAGATGGATAAGGCAAAGCACCGGCAGATAATAAAGCTTGCTCTAGATCTTCCAAAAGATCTTCCACGTCTTCAATACCCACGCACAGACGAATCAAATCTTCGGGAAGAGCTCTTTCTGCGCGTACATGGGCTGGAATAGATGCGTGAGACATTCTACATGGCATACTGATCAAGGAATTGACACATCCAAATGACACACTAATACTCCAAAGTTTTGTTCCCTCTACAATTCTTTCTGAAATTCCAATGTCGCCCGTTTCAAAACTGAGTACAGCTCCTGGACCTGCTGATATAGATCGATGTAAATGATATTGAGGATGGGACAGGAGCCCAGGGAAATGTACTCTAAATCCTTGTGTTTCCAAATAATTGGCAATACGGATACAACTGGCTTGTTGCTTATCCATACGCACCGCTAAAGTTTTAACACCACGCAATAAAAGCCATGAGTCAAAGGGGCTTAATCCACATCCAGTTGCGTTGATTACATAGTATAACTGATCTCCCACGCTTGTATCTTTTACACCAATGACACCAGCCATCAAATCATGATGACCCGATAGGTATTTTGTACCAGAGTGGTAAGATATATCTGCTCCCAGTTCCAGAGGGCGTTGTAGGTAAGGTGACATCATAGTATTATCTACCACCACTAAAGCGTTGGGACATCGCTCATGAACATATTTGGCGATAGTAGGTATATCTGAAATTTTAATAAGAGGATTTGTAGGGGATTCAAGCAGTACCAAGCGAGTCTTGTCAGAAAGATAAGGAAGAACGGACTCGGCTTTTGTGGTATCGACATGATGGGTTTTCACATTTTGAGATTGTGCCAAAAAGCTTAGAAGACGATTGGTGCCACCGTAAAGATCATCGCCTGCTATAATTTCTTCTCCTGATCGAACTAGACGTGTAATAACATCTAAGGCCCCCATACCACTTGTAACGACCAATGCTCTTTCAGCTCCCATAATTTTTGCCAAATGATTCTCTATATTTTTGCGCGCAATACGTTAAGGTGCTGTTAGTAACGCTTTTTTACAATACTCTCGTATATATTATGTTCGAACATACCAACATGAGTCCGGGTAGGATTACCACTACGGGTATAATCATACTCTCCGGATGCAGTCGCACCCTTCTGTTTAAAGGTTGCACTCTGATAAATGGGCACTGAAGCAGCATTGTGCGGATCGTCTGAATTGTCTACTGTTACTACTTCAGTTGCAAAACGATATCGTCGAGTGCTAACAACGGAAGCAGCTGGTGAGCTTGGGAAGATATCTGTCATCTTTGGATTGCTTTTAAGATTTAGGCTAATAAGTTGTATAATTTAAACGGAAGAACCAGAACTAGGAGGCTTTAATATAAATAAGTTCAGTCAAGTTTTGTGAATCAACAAAAAAAAAAAAAAAAGAAAAAAAGAGATGATAGATGTAAAGTTTGATTTAAATAGAAGCACAGAGAGTGGGCCATTTTAGTGAGGGGTTGGATCTATCAATGGTGAGTTTTACCCAATTAGAATTGCTGAAGATGGCTAAATCATAATTGAAGCATGAAAAGTTGCACAAAGGGAAGATTGAAATTAACTGCATGTCAAAAAGCAACTACTTCGTGAGATACAGTTTTTTAACTGCGGGTTTAGACGCAGCTTAAAAATAACTGGATGGAATGACCAAAATTTTGAGACGATTGAGTTAGAGTTTGAAGATCGAACTACACTAAAATGGAGACGTTTACCTGTAAATATCAAGCCAGTTTCGTTCTGGCGATAATAAAAATCAAAAGACTAAGAAGTTGTCTTCCGGCTGAACTCCGTAGGACGTTCCTTGTCTTTCCATACCGAAATGCTGATGGCCATCATGTTTTTTGCTGCATTGACATCGCGGTTCCATAGTATCTTACAGGTTTTGCAAACAAGGATACTACAGCCACGCACGGTGTCTAATGCTTTCAATGTGTCTGAGCGACAACAATTGCATATGCGTGATGTCAAGTATTCATCAATTGTCACGGCAAGGAGATCACCAGCAGCCTCTCTTCGCTTCAATGCACGCCACAAAACACCAACGACACCAGTTCTAAGGCCTTTTAGATGAACGGCGGATTTATTGAACATGCCGTCACCAAATACAACCAGAGGAACTTTTTTGCGATCACTCAGCCTGAATTTCTCAGGGGCCCATCGTCTGTTGAAGGAAGACAGTAGATTGAGTATACACAAATTCAGTGGACAGTTAATCGCTACAGACTTACCGAACGTGGTTATCGCTCTTTGTCTCTTCTTCTTCCCGGATCTCCTTCTCATTCTCTTCTTCCTGTTTTACTTTCACTTTCTGTTTCGTCTTCTTTCTTCTTTTTTTATGCTTAATTTTGCCCTTCTTCTTTGGCCATTTCATCTGTTCTTCCTTTCTTTTCTTCCGTAATTCTTTGTCGTATTTGATCCCTCCATCGACAAGCATGTTCACCATCATGTCTGCAGCACGCTGTCTGCCTTGATGCAGACGGAACCTTGGTTCACCCATACCTGGCCCATAGAATGAGAACAGGATCTCTAAATGTTGTAGTATGTAAATAATATATCTCTTATACTGTTCAGGCGAGCCTGTTTTACTACTTGGTATATTGCTTTCTATCGCTTTTATCATACAACCGGCCTTTTTCCTTTCTAATTCTGCATTGACACGAGTACTACCCGTCATGTGATAATATTCTTTTGTCGAGCAGCGCCGTATCTCATGTCTGTTTGTTTCTAACCCGATTGCTGCTGTAAATACGGTCTTTCGGCCAGGATCAACAAATGTGGGTCTGTAGTTTGTCGTGATTTCTTCATAGGAGAAGTCTTCCAACGTCAAGTCATGATGATCAATGATGGCGTCTTCTTTTGGTTTCTTCTTACGACTAAATAGGAAGTCTACAGTGAAGCCATCAGATCGAATGAGATTCCTGAAGAGCATACTTGTGTTTGTCTTTAACTCAGCAATACTATGATATAAGTGAAAGAATAATCTTGAGAACAGAGTCTTTTAGCAGAGTGCTATTTACTTTACCTTCTGAAGCCTAACTTTTTGAAGTTGAACACTTTCCAAAATTGTTCAAGTTGATTCCAATAACCCTTTACAAGTCTTCCAGGAAATAAAAAAGGAGCAAGGGCATTTATGCTGATGGTAATGAAGCGCCATGATACTGAGGGTGTTGGAAAAGGGAAGAAGCGATGAGGTAATGGTAACCTACGAACATCGTAGGCAAGATGATTAGAATGCTCTTCTTCGTAGTAGTCTTGGATAAACCACAAGGGCTTGACAAATTTGACAGGATCGGCCGCCAATGATAAAAGTGTAACCTTTTCCTCCACAAGGTCTGCAAAGTTCTTGCACAAATTATCTATTCTTAATTTGTCATCACTGCTTAACTTGACTTTATCAGGCCATTCGGGTTCGCCTTTGCAAATCACTTGATAGCAGTATTTTGTTGCGATTTCGTCAACATCGCGCTTTACCATGCTCTAAAGAGAAAAGAATATTGAGTTTGCTGCTGTTTGGTTTAATGTAAAGTTATTCCTTACCGGGAACATATTCTGCAAGGTATAGTATAGATATTTGAGCATTCGCTGCTCAAAAAGCTCAACAATGCTGTTTGTATATGTGGTACTGAGCTCTTTACAAGCTTCTGTCAAGCATTGGCTATAGCCTTTGGTGAAGCTATAACTTACTTCGACAGCTGGATGCTTCTCTTTGAACTGCTTATAGAAGTTTTTCATGGAATCATTTATTGCTTTCTTGTTGGTTACTGTTTTACCTGTTACAAGTTGTCCAACCGAATACCAGAACTATTGGGTGAAAATTTCTTTTGGTGTGTCTTTCTTATTATGGATGAGATAAGCGTTAACAAATAGTTGCGAACGAAACACAATAGCCCTAATGTCATTGCAGCACGAAATGACTCTTTCTCTGAATTTCTCGCGGAAGGTTGGTAACACCGCACTGTCGATGGGAAGCTTTCTTGTGAATACAGTAGCATCATCACCAAGAACAGATGAAATGAGTTCTTCTTTTGAAGGCGTGTGTTTGAGGCATTGCGGCGAACGAGCAGTGGTATGGCCATCTTGTCCACAGCTGAGGCACTTTGCAGCTTGTGCGGTGGTCTTTTTCCGTTTAACTGCTTTCTTCTTCTCTTTCACTTGGTCACTCTGTTTTCTCTTTTTGCCACTGCTACCAACTTTTAGGAGGTTACTCACAAGCAATTAAGTGCTGTGTGTAAGATAGATTTAGGTTTATTGCTTACCATCATCAGCTTTTACGGCTTTGTAATACTTGCATTTGTAATAACGCTTGTCAAAATGACCTGGTTCATAGCAGTCTCGACACTTGGTATGTTCTAAAAAGTTGCAACAAATATCAAAATCCTTATATCTTGATCTGACGGTTCTCCTACAATTATCAAGCATTTTACCAAATGGGTTCCTTTTAACCTGGTTCTTATGCTTTTCTTTAATAGATCTAATCTTCTGTATAATGAAACTTTTGTACATGAATAGAGCTGTAAGTTACAAAAAGCGAAATACGGAAAAGAAGGGATCTTATTCTCGTTTAAAAGAACCTCTTCATTATAATTTAACTTTGACAACAAAACGCGAGAAAAGAAAGACACGTCTTTATCATTGGGCAAAGTTCCGAAAAAGGCACTGACGAACATCTGGTTGGGTCTTATAACACATCGTCATTTGACGAAAAAGTTGTCAAGCTTTTTGTAGCTCGTCCTATTGCAAAGTCACGCCAATAAGAGTTTTCTTAGCGACTTCCTTACTATGAAGACTCATTTTTAGGACTAGCTTGTACGCCATCCTTAATGCTGCTTGGATGATATTGGATAATCGATTATCAGCGAAATCGTCCAAGAATAATATACCGCTTCATCGTAAAATAATTGAAAGTTGTCTAAATTAAGATTTAATAGTGTCCAATAAAATTTGTGAAAAGTCTGAAATAGTAGTTAAAACACTGTATTTAGATCGTAAATCAAAAAGTCTCGAATACTATAAAATGTATAAAGTGAAATTAAATCCGAGTTGCCTTGTCTGGGGAATCGAGCTTTTCTTGAGTTACAGCATTCTTATTCAAAACTGGGATCGGTGGAATTGATGGATTTTCTACTGAATCTTCATCGTTAGGCGTAGGATGTATATTTGGTTGTTCTGCAGTGGTATCATTGTTTGTATCACTAGTGGATATAGTTGCTGTGGTATTGGTCTTCATGACTGATAATTCATCTAGTTCCGCCAAAGATTCTGATGTGAATTTAACATCAAAAATTTCCAAAATATATTTGCGAACAGTGCTTCTAAAGTGATAACTGCCCAGCAATTGGCATACTGAGTAATATAAATCGATTCTCTTGAATGATTCAGGGTATAAATGTCGCAATCTGTTTGGAAGAAAGAAAGAAATCTTTGTTACAAGGAGAAGCTTATACACTGTCGTTTCAAGAATTTAGTTGTTCTACCTTGCTAAATTTTTTGATGCTTCATTTGCAAGAATATGATTGCTCATGTCACCAGTATGCTTTAGTATATCTGAGGCTATTGCATCCGTAGTAGCAGACCGAGGTAACTGCGGGGATGCGGACAATGCTGGCTTATACGTCCAATTTTGGATCTGACGCAAGTTAGAGAGTAAGACGCAAGTCTAAAGTCAATATTACACATGAGATCATTACTTACTGTCAAAAAACGACACAGATTAATTGGTACACATAGTCCTTCAGGCTCCATATTTGAAGAGACAACGCTTTCCCATCCAAATTCACTTAATAATTCAACACCTTGCTGTGTTTTAGCTATTAGGCCCAAAACAAAGTAGCAAGTTCTATATTGTTTTTTAGTAAAGAGAAATCGAAGATAAACTACCGCTAGCAGTTGATTATTCACTCAATAAATACAAGAATCATACCCTTTTAATGACAAAATTTCGCTAGTCTCTGCCATTTCCACTATGTCCTTTATAACATTTTCCTCTTCTAAGAATGGTAAGCCGTTTTTTGTTGCACCTATGTTACCCAACGCCCACAACACCGCCTTCAGCTGGCTCAAGGAGGTGTCAGATTCTTTGAATTTGTTCGAGGAAGAATTTCGCACGTAGTCTGCAAACAGCCTGAAGTGACCCTTTTCTCTCAACAAGTTGCAGCCTTCTTCTGTTTTTGTCAGTTCACCGTAAAAGTGTGGTGGCGATAAACCATCTCCAGGTTGTCTAAATCGCAACATTAATACATCCGGTTAGTTGATTAATTTTTCTACTTAGCAAAAAAAAAAAAAAAAAAAAAAAAAAAAAAAAAAAAAAAAAAAATTACAGCATTTCAAAGTCGTTCTCACTATCTACACGCTCTTCGAATGGATTGAAAGCTTTCTTCTCAGGTGTGTTGGCTAAAGCCCTCGCCAGCGAGATCTCTAATTGTGTTACATAGTTTTGGTTACCTCTCTATTTTGAAGGTTGAAGATCAATAGATTGTTATGGTTGAGAGATAGCATTAATGGTGTGGTTACTAACCTCAAACCAATCATCCATCTCTTTTTGAACATAGCCCAAAGCATTAAGATATCGAAAACCAGTCGATGTTGACAAGAAGCGCAGTAGTAATGGGTTACCAATCTCACCTAAATGACCCAAACTAGGTCTATACCGTACCAATAACTCAAGGTTTGCTTGCTTTTGACATGCCTCATCCAACAACTGAACAGCCGTTTGACACACTTCTAGGTTAGTATCGTATAATTGTGTCACTAGTAATCGTATCACCCAATCATTGCATTCGGCTTCTGACTGTCGCATAATCACACCAATATGTTGTGTTGCAAATAAACGAATTGGGTTATAACCAGATGTCATGATCTTTGATAACAGCACTCGAGGATGACCGTCGAGAGTATAATCCAGGTTAGTTATCATTGCTACTTTTAGGTCTGTTCGATTTTTCAGTTCAGATATATGGTAAAAGCAACTGAAAATTTTGAAGCGTTCCATAATCCTAACCCCTTCCTTGTATTTAGAAATGGTGCCCAACAAAGCAAAATAACCGCACGTTAGAGTGTTTTCCATACGTTCTTTTGAAAATATAGGCTCTGTCTCCTTGCGCGTATCATCTCCACCACCGCTGCCTGCTGCTTTCGATGATAACGAACTTTGTTGCAGCATCAACAGAGGGTCTAATTCATTGAAAGCGTTCGCAATATCCTGCAGTAGTTTGTTTTCACTTAAATAGCGTACACCATCTGGGTTACTTAATATTATGGAAAGTAAAGTACAGCCTGTTTTAACATAACGATGAATAGTTCCTTTTGTTGCATTCATATCTGAAAACTGATGTTTAAAGGGTCGATAAAAAGCCAATAAGCGTTTAATGAATTTCTTGCCCCGCATAGCTTCTTCTAACCGTCGTGGATTCAGCAAAGGACCTTGTAGAAGCTCAATAATACTATCCCAGTTCCATTTGGTATGATCCTTCGTGTTAAGGACCTGTGAATCCATCAAAAGTTGTCTAAAGTGGGTATCGTCGATGGCATAGCCAATTTTGAGCTTGACTTCATGAACTTTCTCTTGCGTACGTTTTGGAGGTGCTGCAATAGTGTTAAGCAATCGCTCATTATTTCCACTGCTGCCTTTGTAAGCATTGATTATGAAAGAAGATGACGTTGATGAGGTAAGGGAAGGTGTTTCTCTGATAGAGGCCATATAACGTGCACGCGCTCTGGTAAGTCGATCTATATGCGCTAAGGCTGCAGTAGCATTATGTCGTACTTGCTCGTCCTCGAAATTAGAGGCTAAGGAGAAGAGTTTAGGTAATGATTGAACCTGGATTGCCATCATTATAGGTAAGTGACGAGTAGACAGCTGTAAAATCTCTCCGATAAGAAGAGTTGCCTTTCTCGACATATATATGTCGTCAGATTTAACCATATCCACGAGAGCCATTAGAATATCGGATTCAATAAAAATGATAATAATAATACTTAAATGGTGATCTAGCATTTTGAGCCTTTCAGAGTTACTTGCAGTAGTCGCGCCTCGTTGAGATGTGCATCTAGCATAAGAGTCGGGGTTAATACCGCCTGCCGTCATTAAGTTAGTCATCACTGGTCCATGCAACAGTGTCAAGGGACCAGAAGATGAGGATTTTTCAGGCTCCGTATGTGTTGCAGGTGCCATTTGGATTGTATGCTGTCTTCCTGATAAATAGCCCTGATGATCTTTGGGTAATTTGGTTCTGAAAATTTCAAAAAACATATCCAGCACCAGTTTTTGAGTTTCAGGAACGGGCATCCTTAACGCCTGTACGACGGATCTCGCCGCTCTCATATTATTGGCACTCATATAAAAGATACCTGCCCAATTTTTGATCAATGTAATGACCATTCTCGCACTATTTTTCAATCGTTCCTCATGGCTGGTCCCACTGCCGGGTTCGGTGAAAGGAGCAATTATGATTTCCAATTCTACGCCTGGCCGAAGATAGCATCGTTTGTCTGGTGTATCCAATACGTATAGAACAGCTTGAATTAGCACTTCAGATATACCTTGTTGACCATCAATTAATGCTTGTAATAAAACTCTTAAACCGCCTGATCTCACTGTCAATGCCACATTCAAAATAGCTACGCGTAACAAATTTAAAAATACAGCGTTTTAGTTCAAATATACCCTTTTCTTTCTATACATGTTCAAACCTACTCAATTCAGCTAAGGTTTCTAATGCAATATTCCTCAATCGTGCATCCTGCTGCTCTGCAATAGCAACTATAGATCTAACGATGTTTTGATTAAGATGCTTGACGCCTCCATACTCTATGAATGCTCTAATCAATTTGAGAGTTTGTTCCCTTTCTGGCTCAGACTTTTCCGGATCGCGTGCTAAGGCCCTTTTTACAATTAATCACACATCAATTATTTGCGTGTTAAAAGTTAGTTTACAACTTGACTGTTCCCCTACCTAACACAAAAAATATCTATTTGAAATGCCATTATTTGCTGTACATCGTTCGGGCCTTCCACTAATAATCTGAGTGCACGTAAGCCTTGTAATCTAATTTCTCGATAGGGACTAACTATGCACCGCCGTAAACTATTGAGAATAAGAAAACTTTCGGTTAAGCTGTCCTGCTTAGTGGAGAATTGTACTCTTGCTTGAAATGCTAGAGTACCCTTTGATCAAACTATTTTTCGAGCAATGTGCTTCAATGCCTGTTGTGTTCTTTAATATGCGAATTAATGTTTCGAGCTTTTCCAATTTCGTATCTTTGATCGAATCGAGAGTTTTTTGAGAGGGTTCACCGTTATCTTTTCCATCAATTATCTTCCATTCATCCACTTCAAGGTTCTCCAAAATATGTTTTAATCGCTGATCTAATGGCCAGGCATCTAATTTCGAGCAAACGCAATATCTCTTCAGCAATCTTCAGCTTTTAAGCATGTTTTACTTTGATCGTTTTTTTATTACCGTCGTATGGATAAGATACGTTCTCAATATTTGCATTTTCTTTTCCTTTTAAATGGTCCTTATTTGATCTTAATTTTGATCGCGTTTGCACAAGTGCTGAAGGTGTAATGGCATCAGAGAAACTTGTTCCGGTGTATTTGTAAGTTTTTAACAGTCGAGCTACTTCAATTATATTCGTGCCTGAATTAACTGCATAAATGGTTTGCTTAACTGATGCTCCTATGCACATATCAATCAATTCTATCCCACTTTGGATTTATTCTTACCAGCACTGGTTCGTATATGATCTATGCGTTTCGTAGTATGGTCAATTGCTGTATTATAGACATCGAGCTGTGCTTCTAATTCTTTAGTCCTCTTCTTATCTTTTATATAAACTTCTAACATATTCTCTACACCAGCTTTCATTTTGATTTCCTTATCGAGTCTAACTAACAGCTCTTCCAACTAATAAGAACATCAACAATAGGATAGACGAGAGTAAGCCGTTTATTTTGCTGATGACTTTCGTACTCCAAAGTGCATTTTAACAGATTATTACTCCAAACTCCATCCCTCGTATAGGAATCTTTTTTACCTCTTTCACTACGGCTGTATCCAATTTCTCAGATTTTGACGACGCCGTTTGGGATTGCTGTTGTGAAGTCGGCTGAGCTGTTCTGTCAATCGTTACATTAGCTGTTCTAGTTTGGGAGGTAGAAGAGTGATTATGTTGTACGGTTTGAAATTTGGAAACACTGTGTGTTTCGGCATTATTAAATGAAGGGCTATTATGGATAGATATTTGACTATCTGCATATTTGCTGGAAGAATGTGGTGAGGAGGATAATGTCGTTGAGGAAGGAGAAGGGCTCATTACATTCGGTTATAAAAAAACGATAAGTGTGAAGTTCAACAGTTGAAGAAAAAGTAAAGAAAACGGTAATGTGCCGTCTAAATGTAAAATGGAGCTTTTATACAAAAATGCTACCCTCCTAATGGGCTTTAATGATTAACAGAGGGTGCGTAGCAAAACGAACAAGTATTACTGTTGACTGAATCTGTATAGCAGAAAGAAGAGATTCCATAGACCGTCTTTCAAATACAGAGGGCTCAAAAATGAGACAGCCCCGCACGTGATATTCCGCTTTGCGCCCTCAATGAATTGACAATCGACTTCCAAGTCAAAAAGTGATAAACATAAGCAAAATTAGGCAATTGAAGGTTAATGAGGATTTGTATTATCTGAAGCATGATATTCCACATCACACTATAAGAAAATTGTGTAAGCAATTACGCAAAATTTCTTGCTATTGAAGCGTTATTTATTGGTGGAAAGCTGGTTTTCCCCTATATATTTGTCCAGAATAAGACGAATATGCTTTTTGAGATGCAATGCAAGAGATTTACTGCCTACAAACTGATTAAACTAGTTGAAAACATTTGGCAACTCTCAGGACCCAATATCAGGAATTAGTATAAAGTTTACTTATGTTTGCTTGATTAACCTCCACAATAACGAGTAAAAATATTTTGGTAGCGGTTTAATGTTCTACCGCAGTGGTAATAGTACAAAATAAAGTATTGAATAGATGAGTTACTGAACTGGTTGATAGTTAGGCTTGCCTTTTCCTATTATATATTTTTAATGTTAGCTCATTAGTCCAAATTCAAGCTGTCATCAAAGAACAACTTACTTGCACGGAATTCAGCGATATCTTTCTGGATTTCGACTGTTATTTCTTTGTAGAGCTCAGGACGATAGCCAAAGAAAAATAGGACTTCAAAAAAGACAAAGTAGGGTGCTGATACGAGTGCTACAACATTATGTGTGACACAAAGGAACACGTTATTTGAGTGGTTTTTACAATTTTATGGCATAAATTATAAATGATAAAGTCATATACCTTGTACGAGATTATCAAACACTTTTGGGCGTCTTTTCTCGGCCACACCATGACCAATAAACTGAAAAATCCAGGAAGCAATATGGATGTAGAGAGCAATTCTATTAGCATTAGGAGTCGTTTGCAGAAATTTGGTGGCTGTATAGCTCATAAGCAAGAGAATAGGAGAGGCTAATGACTGTATCAAGCACAGTAAGTCCCAGTGTTTCCAAATTATCATCTTTAGGATCTCAGAGTTACAATTACTTACTGCAGCAATAGGATCCAAAATTGCATAATAAATCGAATAGAAAACAATCGTGAAGAATGCGAGATTCGGGCCGAATGGTTTTAAAGAACTAAATACAGTACCGTCAACATTGATGAGAGGACCAGTATTTGAAACGAGGACGAGCGCTATTCATTTAAAGAAAAATATTAAATGACTGCTTGCTAAGAGTATATGAATTCTCTTTATCGTACCGGTCCAAAGGATAGTTGGGACAAATATCATATGAATCGCTACGTTTATCTTATTATTATGGTGTGCCCCGTATATAATAAGTTGCTTCTTTAAACAGAAGATATCTGATGCCATTGTGAATAAAGTGTGCAAATAAAAAAAAATAAAAAAAAAAAAGAAAAAGAAAAGAAAAAGTTTAAAAACGCTGCATTAGGAAAAAATAAATCAAAATGAAGGCTGAAATGTGGTAAATGCTGTCAGAACCACGTTTTATTTTCAGGTTAAGTAAAGACTTTGGGGAAAAGGGACTTGGGAGCTACAATTCTATTCTTTAGTTGTGTGCAATTCAACTTTTTTCAAAAGGAGGGTCGTAATATCATACTTTAACAGATTTCTTATATGAATTGTTCGATTGTTCGGCTTTCGGTCAATTCTAAATTCCCGAATTTGAAAACTGTGTTCACTTACTGATGACGTCCAGGTTTTTATAAAGGGTTAATACGAAGAATTAAGTGAATGCTTTTTCAATCAGATTAACTTCTATATAAACTCTAAATTAAACATTACCTTGATAAGCTTCCTGTATATATGTTTTCTTTTAGCTTTTCTTTATCAATCTTTTATTGTGTTGTAACAGCTATTCCTATTAGTAGCCCAATACAACTTGCTATATCAAACACGCCATCTTATTCCCTTGGCTCTAACAAAGCTCAAGGTTGGAGAAAACTTATAGGTAACAGGCCGAACAATAGGAGGGTTAATATCATTTAGGTCTGCATCTAATTGATATGGTACAATGGCGTTCTGAACTCGATTTGCTGTTCACCTGTATACGCTAACACTCACGTTATGTAAATGAAAAAATAATCGAGAAGCCTTTTCACCATAATACTGATCACTACCGCATGTATTTTTATCTATCTGTTCCGCCAACTTTGAGCTTGCACATGTTCACTTCATCCATCATTTCTTTTTCAGCTACTTTAAACTTTTTATTCACCTAATATTCTTTGTATGAATCTCTCACACTGAATTGGTCCACCGTGGAAATGGTCATTGTCACGGTTAAAAGGAGATGCTGACGCTTAATTTGAAAATTTGAATGATGAACGATGAAAGATGCACACGACTTTGGCCCTTATGCGTACATAGAGTTCCTTAGGCGCTAATTAAGCACAGTGGAAATTAGCACCCAACGTCTATATTGCAACATCAATTGTCTGCTTCAGAATGTATTCGATTGAATGTCTCTCATAAAAATTTACCATACACTTAACGTATCTATATCGAAATGAAACAATGAAGGACAGAATTGTATCATGCAATGCACTATTTAGAGAGCTATTAGTCGGATATCTTTGCAAGTGACAGTGACTCTATTTGTAATAAAGTGTCCTTGTCTACTGTTTTCACACTTCATATTATTGGCATGTCTGTTTAGAAGTGTTTTTTTTGAAAAACTCAAGCGCTTTCTGCATTCTCTCATTTTTGTACAAATTCCATCTGATTCTTAAATAGCAATGATAATGGGTTTTATGAGTACCTGCAGTAGTTGTAGTAGTAGTAATGTGCATTTTGGTAATTATAGCAACTGCTGTCGAAACCAAGTTTAGATACTTTTGTACTTTAGCTTAGTGTAAAGATTTATATCAGACTAGATTTCAGAATAAGAAGCAAAGAGCTCGTTATTCAAGCCTACTTTAAATGCTGGATGTTCGTATAAAAGTACTCCTTGATACTGAATACTGAATCACTTTAATGTACCAGATGGTTTTTAGGTATAGACACTATAAATTTATATAGATGCCTGTAAGCAGTACCATATCAGTAAAGTTTCGTCTCGGATTACCGCGCTCCTTTATAAATAGAACTCACTATAGTGCTAAAACATGGCCTGTGCCTTTGTGAACAATAAAATTTATCAGCTTTTTTATTTTCCTTTTGCAGCAATATGAATCCATGATGATAAAAAGAAAAAAAAGGGGGTTTTTTCAAACTAAGACTGGATTTGAGATTCCTCTTTTCTTCATCGTCTCAGTTACAATAAGTGAGAGATGGGTAATTCACAGTCTATTGAAAAAGTTGGACAAGCTATCAAAACTGGTGTTGACATCTATAAAACTGTCAAGGGTCAGCAAGACAAACTTAATCATGAACAACAACAGTTTCATAACCCTAATAACCACGTAACTGCCAGTCACCATATTTCTTATGATGTGGACGACGATGAGGAATATATTCGACTGCGTGCCCTTGCACATGAAGAAGCAGAAAAAAGAAATAGTTGCTATGCTAAGAGCCAAGAAGCATACAAAAATGGTGATGGAGCAGAAGGTAATAATTGTCTATAGAGATAAAGAGCGGAATGTATGCATTGTTTAACCTGTTCTTCTTTTATCATATCACTACGAATAGCAAAGGAATTATCGAATAGGGGACATGAACACGATGCTCTAATGAAAAAGTATAATAAACAAGCTGCTGATCATATCTTTGCAGGTGAGAACGCCCAACAATTTCTTTGTGATGTGATGATCTGAAACTGATAATTTGATACTCTGTTGAATGTATATTACCATTACCATTAGTGAAAAATCAAGGCCGCCCAGCGAATGAAATTGATTTGCACGGCTTGTTTGTAAAGGAAGCATCGGATAAAGTTGAAGAGGCAATTCAACATTGTCAACAAATTGGCGCAAAGGACCTAATCATCATTGTAGGCAAAGGCTTACATAGTCCTGGGCAAATCGCTAAATTAAAGCCTGCCATCATTGAATTGGTTAAGAAGTACAAGGTGACTTGTCAGCCCAATATACCCAACCCGGGCTGTCTTTATGTTGAATTCGGTAAAGGTACCGGCGATCTTTCCTGGTTGGATCAAATCACTGACAAGTTGGATGACCAATGTGTTATTATGTAAAAAAGTATACGATTGACTGCATTCATTGTCAAAGCATTCGTAACTTATCATTGTTATCACTGTCACCGCTCCTTATTATCTTACACTCTCGCACCAGTTTTGTGAACATACCATGTCATTGCTAATTCGGTCCTTGTATTTCATATTCTTTGTATATATACATACTTGTAAATTTTTTTACAACTTTTTACAACTTTTTACAACTTTTTACAACTTTTTACAACTTCATCATTCAAGGTCATTTAGCGCACTGAGTTTACTAAGCTATAGTTACATAAAATGAAGGGATCATCAGACGCATTTTTTGATCTACGACCAGTCGAATTCCATTTGCAAATATCGATGACTGGGCTATAAATACTTAGGGGTTGAATTGCAAATAGAGAATTATATATATGTATATACATAGGTAAATCATAAAGAGTAGGCTTTTGAATTAGTTGATTTGCTATAAGTTTTCAGCAATAAATGGAATGAGTAAAGTGTTCTACCAGCTCTCATCAAACAGTCCAGGAATCACCAAGGCTTCTGACAACTCAGGAAGAGTGTTACTCCTTGCCACACGTGTTAGATAAATTATTTTCTCTTTACGCTCTTTGCGTATTTCTATTTGCGCAGGTATTGTTGGAATGCTAAAGTAGTTTGGTGGATCGTCCCGCGGTGTTGATGTTAACAAAGCTGCTTGAATTGACCCCATCAACTCACTAGGTAATGCGGTTTGTTCTGGCGGTTCGTCTAATGTGGGATCAAAGAATAACGGTAACTCTTTGTTATTTTTGTAAAAGGCAATAGACGTCAAGCCTGGAATTCGTAAAAGTTGATCGTAAGGTAAATTCGCGACGGTGATAGGCACAGCAAAATCGTATGTATGAGTCGTCTTTATGAACCCCCCGTGTTCTATGAAAACCTGGAAATATATATCGTAATAGACTCTAGTATGATGGGAGATGAATGATGGAGAAACAAGTCGCGTAGGAATATCAAATGCGATATCCTCTTGGAAGGTCGTTTCGCTGCTCGTTACAGGTATTTGTCCTTGTAACACGATTCGAATGTGTTCTTTAAAGGCTGTGCCCTTCTGCACTAGCATTTTACCCTCATGGTGTTTCCTAAATTTGAATATCACGTTTGTAATTCGAGAATCTGGCTGACATAAATTGATATTGAGACTCATTAAAAACGGCTCATCTATTTGTTTGCCAAAAGGGGGTTAAGCCCACATCTCATCCATTCTGCACCCATTTATGATATTATATACTTGCTCATTTACCAGGGCAGTAAGATTGTTTAAGTAGTTTTCCTTCCACTTCAGCAACTACTGTCTTTCTATCTTTCAATAATTTTGTTTTGTAATCCCATTGACGGTCTATTTGTACAGCAAAATGTCAACGTACGGGCTTCAACTCCTTGCCTTTGATTCGTCCCAATGCATGTATACCTGGTGTAGACACAATTATCGGTCTATATGGTGTGAGATATTCTCTACTTTTTAGTCCAGTTTGTAAAGCTGGGCCGTCTACTTGTGCAGTCCATGCATATCTGATACTGAATCCCTTAGGTTCTTCCATTGACGGTGGGTAATTGACATTGGGAAACTATCGTCGATCGTTACTACGGCAGTACATCTTTTGTATACTATCTTTTTCTTTACCTTTAAGGCGAATGGAAATTCATATTTGCCCGGCTTCAATTCATCCCATGCAGCCTGTGAATAGGCTACTATACTCATGAGTCTCAAAGACACAGTTATCCGTGTAGTTGTTCCGTCTCGTTCATATACGTTACCTTCATTACTATTACCCCATAACTTCCAATCCGTTTCAAAAAATGTGGTGATAGTTTCATGCAAGCGGTCTCCACTTTTATTATCTCCTCCTTCATCAATTTTAACCAATGCAATTTCCTCAGCGCGAAACTGTCATTGGATGTTTATTTTAGTAACACAAAAATTCTTGCGTGAGTATGAAGTTATTTGAATTACCTTGATTCGAACTCTAGTGACATAAATGCGTTCAACCACTGTCAGAGTAACCTTGCCTATTCAGGAAAGAGCATTTACTTCATTGTGTTTTAACTTTTTCAAACTGTCCAAAAACATGTATACCTCGAATGATACGGTTAGGTCTAACAATAACGTGGTTTCCTCCTTCAAACTCTATAATTATATTGTTGGAAGGTCCATCTAAAGGACTTAGGTTGACTTGTGAATTGCGACGATGAGCTAGATTGGACAATGAGCTACTATTATGAAGAGACCCACTGTTTGTAGGATTGATTCCTTGCAGATGCGAAGAATGATTAGGAGCGCTATGAGAATACTCGGCTGACATGCGGTGGATTTGCTGTTGGTCCAAACTGGGAACATTTGTATGTTGAGGCGGCTGTGGTATAGGTAAAGAGGCCATGCTACCGTTTGTGCGTCCCACAGAGGCATTGCTGTTGCTATGACGTGTTGTGGCAGCACGGGCCAAATTGCCTATGTTTGTTTCCAGACTGTCGGCCAAACCTGATAATGTATTTGGCATTTATTTCGAAGGAGGAGAAATGAAAAAGAGACAGGAAGAAGGTAGTAATGCAACTCAAACATGGGACTTGAGATATTTTATTTATTTTTTGCTGCTGAAAAGAAAAAAAAAAAAAAAAAAAAAAAAAAAAAAAAATCCAGAAAGATGGGTTTTGTCCGACCAATCCTGTCGTATGTACAAAACTTTTTTTTTCTTTATAAGTTTATTACATTTAAAAGTCGAGAGGAGAGGGGCTAACGTTGCAGCAGAAACGGTTATACCACAAATTTTTCGTGTTTGTACAAAACTTGATCTAGCATGTGTAAACCAAGTCCTTCATCACCTACTCTCTTGATCTGTGTATAGCCTTTTGTAAGATTCTCTATCGTTTTTAACTTGTACCTCAAATGCTTGCCTCTGTCATTAATGGGGTGTTAAGAACAAAGCATGGCTTCCACACATAAGCAAAAGTAGTGCTAGCTAAAGACTTACTTTAAAATGTGACGTAAATGAGAATCTTCGTTATTGATGGCCAGGTGTGTCAACATTATCAACGATTTATTTACATCTTTTTCAAGGGATAAACAGGTTTCAATTGCATTCGAAACTGATTGCCAATCATTCTATGTGATAAAATAGATGAGTAACGTGATGATTCGTACATTTACTTGGTTAAAAAATGTATTATTTGTATTGAAGTAACTATTTATACCAAAGGTTGAGGAATCGAACCAATAATGCATACGCCGCCTCTCGTTATTTGATAATCAATCAAGTATCGTGCCATTTCACCCTCATGTTCTGCCCGTTCAAGGAAATACTTTACAAAACCCTTTTTATGATGAACGTTATTGCTTATTAGAGCGTTTCTTAGGATCTATATGGAACATGGGGAAAATGAAAGACGTCGAGCTTACAGGTAATGCCACATCCGCCTTGTCAAAATAAGCTGCTGCTGCTAGATATGTCTGTTGAGATAGCTGATACATTTGAATCTGTTGGTTCAATGCCTCTTCGATAGTGCTTTGAAAATTCTGTCGTGCCAAAGATGGAATCATCCTATTCATTTTGAAAAAAATTGCAACTGATGTAGTTACTGTTCGATAGTTGGATGAGAGTAAAAAAGTAGAGAGGAAAGGAATAACAGAACGAAAGCCTGATATTGAGATTTAAGGCATGAAGTTGTGTAACTTTAAGTGAACTGCACTTTTGAAGGCTTTAAAAATACCCGGATCCCAAAGTCTTTATGCATAAAGAAGCCTCTGCTAATCAGTATGAGACAGTCTTGCCATAAGCGTAGCAACATTTTTTTATTTTGCTGTAATCAAGTAATAATGGGCGCTGCTTTTCTTAGTTTTACAAGAAATGCAGTATGGCCCTTTACGTCAAAATTCTTTGGGCGGCAAACCCATGCATCTGTAGGCAAGCCTGCTGTAATATCCATATCTTCTGTAGAAATGTTATTCTCCATGCGCTCCCTCAGCTTACTCCTGATATGAGTTGCTCTCACTTCCCATTCCTTCCATTCTGTTTCGATGCAATCCTCCAACACAAGTGGCAAGTCTATTATACATTTGGCTAACGAAAGCACCTGCGTTATGTTTGGCAAATAACATACAATAAATCGATCGTTTTTCAAATAAGGCAAGAGTCGTGGTATTTCCGCATTGGGTTCTGGCATATCTAGCGCAACAGCATCATATTGTTCGTTAGGCATCATCATTTCTGAAAGCTTGTCGGCCACGGAACCTATATGAAGCGAAATGATTGAGCTATATCGTCGTCGAGCATAGCGTTCAATATGTTTTTTGGCGGTTTTTGAATGGTTCTCCCGCACATCGAAACTGTCAATTCGACCGCTGCTATCGCTCTCTTCTCCCTTGCCTGCTACAGCTCTTGCCATGTATAAGCTGAGCGAGCCATTGCCTGTCCCTGCTTCTATCACTTTATGTCCTGGTTCTAAATCCAACAGTTGAACCTAAATAAATTGGCCAAATGGACTTTTTGATTTATCTCGCTGCTGAAACAAAAAGTCGAGAATAAGAACTTACAATAGCTGAGGCATCTTTGGGGTATATGGGTGTACAAGCTCTAGGAACGTTCACCACATATCTAGAAAATTACAAATACTTTGACCTAAGTTATCTGCTTTTCTCTAAAGTTCAGTATATTTTCGAAACTGTATCTTTACTCGTCCAAGGTGGGAAAGTGAAGCATATATCGCTGTCTTTCTATTAAAAACCCATGAGTTTGGGATTCCTTCATACATCATTTCTAGTATAAAAATCTATTTCTCCATTTGATACCTTTTACCGTCGTCAACACAGTTCGAGGTCTTTTGCCAACTATCTCGTCGTGGTATACAGGGACACCTTTGATACTTTTTTGATTTCCTGCTTCTAGTGGGCCAACAAAGTAAGTCTTATTTGACTTTGTTTGTCGCAACATACAAAAGTCTCCATACTGGAAGCTGCTGTAGTTACGAATGAATTTTTTTAGATGAGTTAGCGATTTCTTCGTGCAGATCAGGAATGTCATTGATGAGAATAGATCAAACTTGAATGGAGGAGTGCTAGCTCAGTCGCCTTGAAACTCCACACCCCCGCCCCTCCCCTCACCTCTCTTTTCGAGAAAGAATTTAGCACACAATCACCAACAGAATGTCTGCATAAATTATTATCCTTTTTTTTATTTCGTGGTTATTGAGACAAATGAACCGCTTTACGGATGATTATGAGACAAATGACGACATTATACGGGGAACCAATGACGATGCAACAGTTAGTAGACTGTAAATGTGCTGTAGAAAAGACGGAAAAAGAAGCATTCCTCATTTATGCTTACTAAAACGTTCGCAAATTAAAAGATCCGCTGTCGATGTCGGTTATTTGGAGGATCCTTTTGTCAAGCTATTCGTAAAACGACCTGATCGACGATCGCCTATCATCAATAGAGGTAAGGGTCTATAGTTCTTGTAAGCAGCAGCTTTTTGTTCTTTTTGATTAATAATAATAAAAATCAAAAGGGAGCTTTATTCGTAGCTATGCCATAAACTCGCTCGTGTCTCAGTTTTTAACGCTTTCAGGATGCGATAAAAAGCAAATTGTTGCTTTAGGTGCAGGTTTTGATACAAGATATTTCAATATTAAGGTAGATTCAATCGTTTAGTGAGGTTTTGCTAAGGTTTAATAAGCCTACCAGGAATTCTGCTTTCTAATAATGCTACATGTTGTTTCAACGCGTCAAACAAACAAAAAAGGCGAATGTTTTGGATAAAGAAGGACGCAGCAATCTTTCAAAACATTTATTAAGATATTATGAAATAGACTTTCCAGAGATTACAATGAAAAAAGCCATGACTATAAAGCGACAAAAAGTGTTCAGCCAGCTATTAGCAGGAGATGTTAAATTGGAAAGGGGAGGCATGGATTTAAAATGTTCTGATTACTGCCTATTGGGAGGTGATTTGAGGAATTGGCATGAAATTGTACGAAAACTCGAAGAAGCTGGATTGGACAAAAAGTAAGCCCGAGTTAATTTCAAAGCGACACGCTCAAAGGCTATGGCAGAAATGGATTAATAAGTTCTATTTATGCGATGTAGCGCACCCACATTATTTCTGTCAGAATGTGTATTCATCTATATCTCCCCAGACGCATCAAGTACCATTCTTGAATGGATTACACAAAATATGACAAACACAATGTTTGCACTGTACGAACAAATACGACCTAACGATGCCTTTGGTAAAATGATGATTCGCAATTTGAAGACGCGTCATATAGAACTAAAGGGATTACAGGCTTTCCCCGACCTAGCAGATCAAGAAGAAAGGTTCAAAAACCTTGGTTGGCAGACGGCAAAAGCCGTAGATATCAATACTATTCATGATGACTATCTTAGCAAATCCGAATTGGCGAGGTAAGGGCTCTAGAAGAGTACAAGACAGATCGCATAAACAGGACTTGACTTTTGTTTCTGATTTGCTTATCAAAGGTTGGCAAGATTAGAAATTCTAGACGAATTTGAAGAATGGCACCTTTTAGCAGCACATTACTGTGTCGTCTGGGCTACTAAAAGTAAAGTTTACGGAAAGGAAATGGAACAAATATCACTGTAATGGCAAATTCAAGCAATAGTGAACAGAAAAAATTGAAAGTATCAGCGACATTCCTAGGGCAAATGTCGTAATCATGTTCTTATGTCAGCATTTAGGGTTAAATTTTGGACGTTTAAAAAACCCTGATGTTATTTGAAAATTTATTACATAATGCATGGCCTTGGAGGGGATTTTCGGAACTGTTTAAAACCATCAGTTCAGTGCTCAGTTGCAACTGTTCTTCGGGTCATGATGCTGTATGACAATCATATTCAATAAATATTTTAGATAATTGACGAAAAAGAAACAAACGACGCGATTTTTTGTAATTCATGATGTGTGAAGAAACAACCGGGTAAGGGTTTATGCCTGCCATTGACAGGTCCGCGGTTGATGGTCTTTCCCGCTATTTACCATTCCACAAATCTGTATAGAATAGCTCCGAGACACACTCTTTTTGCAATAATGCAGAACGACAAAGATTTCCCCGCATTGCTGTAAATAGCGGGGAAATCATCCAATAAGTTGGAATGGTGTAAACCCCATACTTCTCTAGCAGCATGATGTTTTTCAAAGTTTTCCTATCTTGCGCGCTTTTTAACGTTTAGACGCTGATTTCATTCATCGTGAAGAAGAACGCTTGTAAAAGAAATAGCAATCTATTGTCATAGTAATATTTTTCAGTTTTTGCCTGTGCCGTTTCGCTTATTATCGAAATGAATTCATGGGTACAAATTAACGCTATGTTACAAAACAAAGATTGATTTGCTATTCCCCTAACTTATTCGCATGTTTGAGACAATTGAATAGCCCCTCTCAATGTTTTCTTTTGAGGTTTTTGGACGGATCTTGGTTACCAATCTGGTGATTTGGGGGAGAGCCTATTTTATGCTCAATGTCCCATCAGATAATTTCCTATTGGAAGGCTTAAAACGACGCCCATTAGTAAACTTATATGCAATTTATATTTTCAAAACCATAGTATGGAAAGGTAGCTGAAAGAACTTTTTGGATTGACCTTATATAAAGTGGAAACTGTTTTCGATACTTTAGCTTCTCTTCTTTTTAGTTTTTCTATCAGTTTATATACATATTCCATTATCCATTTTTACACTTCCCGCGATGTCCAAAGAAGCGAATAATCTTTCTCAGGACAGTATGGAAAATTCAACGGCTGTTCCTGATCAGCCAGAAATTATCGAGATCGATCCTAAAGTGCAGAAGCGGTTATTAAGAAAGCTTGATCTTCGCCTGATCTCTTTTGCCTTCTTTTCTTATTTCACCAGTAATCTTGTTCGTAATAATATGCGTAAGTTATTCCGTGCACAACTGGATGCAGCGCAAAGTTATCGTTGTCATTTTGTCTAACTTGGTTTTTTTTTTTTTTTTTCTTTAGAAAACGCGTATACCAATGGTATGGACAGAGATGTCAATATCACCTCCGAAGCATACAATTGGTGTGTTACGTTTTTCTTCATCGGTTATATTATTCCACAGATTCCTACAAACATGGTTGTTGCTCGACTTTTACCGCGCTATTTCCTTCCAACTGCTGAACTTATTTGGGGTGCTGTCACCTGCTTCATTGCCCTTGTCAAAACTGCTAATGGCGTTTGGGGCCTTCGATTTATTCAAGGTTTAGCTCAAGCTACCTTCGTGCCTTCCATGGTGTTTATCATTGGTTCCTGGTATACCAGTAAAGAACTTGCTACACGTACTGCTATTTTTATGGCAGGTAATCAACTCTCAGGCGCTATCGGTGGAATTATTGCTGCTGGTATCAATTCCCATTTGAATGGTGCAGGTGGACTCGCTAGCTGGCAGTGGCTTTTTATCATCGAAGGTTTAATGTCTGTTGCTGTTGGTGTTGTTGGATATTGGCTTTTACCCAACTACCCCCATAATACTAGCTGGATCAAAGGCGAAGAAAAAGAATGCGCTATTGCTCGATTAAAAAGTCAAGGCAAACAAATCAAGTCGGAAAAATACACCTGGGAAACTTTCTTGAATGTTTTGGCAACCCCTTATGCTTACATTCTGACTTTGGATTTTATTTGCCTGAACATTGGCAATCAATTTATTTTGAATTTCTCCATCATTTTGAAGGGCATGGGATGGAGCAAAGAACTTGCCAACTATTTGGTGTCACCTATCTATGGCTGGGCTGCTCTTACTGTCGTTGGTTTCGGTAAACTATCTGATCATCTTGGTGAACGTGCCTGGATTATCATCATCGTGCAAATCATTGTATCTGTTTTTTATCTGTTATTGTTCGCAATCAACCATGGTGCTACACCTTTCTGGCTCGTTATGCTTTCCGGCTTTGTCATTGTTAACAATATCTCCATGTTCTCCATTGTCTTTACTTTCATCAATGAGATCTTCGCTTTGGACGCGAACACTCGTGCTTTGGCCATTGCTTGTATCAACTGTATCGGTAACTTGATCCCAAACTTTATCAGTGTGGGGGCTTGGGTCGTTAGCGACGCCCCTAACTTCTACAAAGGCAAAATTGTTAACTTTGCACTATCCGTTGCCTCTATATTGCTCACCTTCGGTTGCTGGTGGTGTCTCAAGAAACAGTACCATCTTCCTGGCTCACATAGAAAAGCGCAAGCTTTTGAAGTTACGGATGTTGAGGAAAAGGCTGACTACGAGAATAAAAAAGATGAGGAGTAATTACGCCTTTTGTCTGTCAAGCTTAAATCATTCTAATTTTATCAACACGGACCAAAGCTACTGTTATAACGTTCGTATCTTTATCAATATCTGTAAGCCTAGCTAATAGCAAAATTTCCTGGCTTTTGTCAGTAATTAATGTATTATAGTATTTATGTGCTTTTTTTATTTCCTTTTATTATGTATTTCTCTTTTAAAAGGATGAATAAAATCCAGTTTTTTTGAATAAAAAAGAAATCATGCCACAATTCTGTCTTTGACAAGGCAAATCAGACTTGCGTGATAATTTGTTCATCCCCGCCCCCCAAAAGCTTAAATTAACGCACGCTATATAATGATTGAAGTGAGTATTTAAGCAAAAGGAACGCACCATTTGCTTCATCTCATACACGATCGAAGTCAAAAGACTACAGCTCCAATGACTATTGCGGTGAAATGTTGGCTAAAAGTAAAACGCTAGCGTGGTAAAATATGCAACCCGGCCGGAAAATCTGCGCGGTTCTAAATGCCATGGATAGTCACGTGCTCCTCTTGATTTATTTGCAATATAAATTAATTTACTAGTTTAAAAAAATATAAAGCAACATGGCGCAGCAGGAAGCGCGCAGGGCTCATAACCCTGAGGTCGTCTGATCGAAACGGACTGTTGCTATCTTTTTTTTATTTGTGCGTTATTTCGTTGTACGTTTCCAATATAGCGTCCAGTTTACCTCCAGTCAATTAGATGGATTTCTCTCCACTATTATGCTTACCTTTCTTTTTTTTTTGGGCCTATCATTACTTAGTGTATAACAATAGATACTTTTGCTCTTTTACGGGTTCTATCGTGCTATAAAAAGATAGATATCACTCTGACCGTTTTGTCATATATGAACATTTTGTATATGTATATGAATAGTCCAGGTTTCCAAAAGAGAGTTCTCTTCGATTGAGTATTGGTCTCTACCTACATAAATTATAAGCTCGGCCTCAACCATCGTTCAGGACAACATGGTTTGAATATAAGTAGGTAGGATAACTTTTAGTAATGAATATTAGGGACAGGTGTTATGAACTGTTCGCTTGCAAGCGTCACCATATCGATGTAAGTGTTTGAGATTCGTTACGATTGGTCTGCTTCAACAAGTCTAGTTTTGAACATGTATATTAAATAGTATTATTCCCACTTTAATCTCACTGAAGAATACTCTGAGGTTTTCATCATCTACCTATTCAATCATATTCATTCTTCTTACCCAAATTATCTCTTTTTAACGACCACGAGAATGTTTCTTTATTAGTGTAATCTAAAAGATATGATATTATACACTTGACTAAACCTCTTTTTGTCATACTACTAGTCAAACCGTATTTCGGATGATATCATATGGTTGGATGTTCTGATACTAGATTAAACAGAAAGGAAGATACAAGAATATCAAACGGAACGATACCTTTGAGCCAATGAATTACCTGAAATCTACCCATTATCTACATTTTCCTTATTTTGAACTGATTGCTTCCCCTGTATTATTATCGTTAAGACTGAAACGTCGATTCTGTGGTTTTCTATTATCTCTCTATTTTCATCTCTCTTTATTATTTCATTCATATCTATTTATACGATTCGCTATCTCATACGTAGTGTTCAATACTCTCAATTGAAAAACCCCCCAAGTAACCTATCACGTTAGACCTAGTCAAATATACCTTAACCACATCAGCAGAAACTTAACCCACAACAACGATATAGAAAATATTACAATCTGTGAATCACTGCCAGAATTCTTTCATCTGTCGGATGTAGTCCTTTGTAATTATGGCGTAACCGCAGAGACGGCTTCCTATAATGAATTTTTCAAAACCATGCGTTTACAAGGTAACTTTATCAAAAAGCATTACGTATACAATGTGTTATTGCATACAGTATCCTTAGTGTATATACTATATGTATCAATAAAGATCTTTCACCATTTAACAACATTCAATGTTTACTTTATAGTCCATGTGGTACAGTTATTATCAAATGTCGTCTCTGATGCTTTATAACAAATTCTTCTCCAAGATAGAGTTAGAAAAGGAGTTTTACGGTGTCCTACCTACAGAAAGTCTTGCAAAAGCTTCAATTGACCTTGGAAATAACTTTGTCTCTGGTTGAGGTACTCCATTTTATCATTAATGTAGTGCTCTAACTCTTTCTTCTTATCTTCAATAGACCTGAGAAAAGAGATCTCAGCACGTTAAAACATTATCTGCTATTTTCAAAAAACAAAAACACCATCAAAGTTATATTTACTGTTTGATTTGTCTATGTTCCTCCATGAATATCTGGAATTCATCAGCGAGGCTTTGAGAAGCTATAAAGTTTTCTCGGTTATTCAACCCTGTTTTCTCTTCTCTATGCTATATAGAGATAGTAAAATGATATTACCACGATTAAGAGAAGTACACTTGTGTTCATCAACGGTCTGCAGCTGATGATTCCCATTTTTGCTTTGCGGATGAGTGACAGTGACAAGAACATTCTTACAGTCATTGTTGTCACTAGTAACACTCGCAGTAGAACTTTTTTCAGGCCTCACATTATCAAGTTGCATCAATTCCTCTTCAGAAAAGTCGAGGATATTCTCATCTTCTTTGCTGACTTTTTGTAAAGACTGGCATTTTTGATCTTTCTGGTTTAAAAGTTCATTGTTATTAGACTCAGATGTTAATTGCTCTTGAGAGTCCTTTTGATGGTAAGCTTCAGTGCCTTTGAGCGTGGCAGCAGTTGTTGTACCATTCATCATATTATGATTGACTTCAACCGTATTGTGAATGGCTTGCTGTTGTTGCTGTTGTTGTTGTTGTTGTTGAGGAGGAAGAATGTGAGTAGAAGGATGTTGAGAAGGCGGAGACGCTGGCTGATACTGAATTTGGTATTGTGGATCAAACTCTGGTTGAACAGAACCCGAGCCATTGACAACAGATGCACCTATTGTATTGTCCTTCGTTCCACCTTCTACTCCAAGGGTGCTATTGTCGTTCATTATCGAAGAGCAGATGGAGAATGTGGAGGGTGCCGCAGTATTATTTTCGGTTATCAAATCGAAACTGTTGTCATGGATGTTATTCATCCTGTTTCTAAGACCAAGAGAAGCTAAAGCAGCAGCAGCAGCAGCAGGCACATGAGTACTATCATTGTTGTGATGTAAGGTGAATATCGTTGGTTTATTTCTTTTGCTAATCTTTGAACGTGTCAGCCAACTTCCGGGTAACGAATCAGGAAGTATAAGAGAAGGAGTCTTTGGCATTGATTCAGATTGGCACGTTGAAAAGAAAAAAGCGTTAAAACGGAAAAGAAAAAAAGACACTAATGTAAGTCAATCGAACAAACACCGTTTTCAACAAGGCTAGTAAACTGAATGCTTGATGCTGGCCTTGTCAGGGCTGAGATAGAATAGGCACTCTTTCTTCTTTTCTATTCTCATTATGCAGCAACATTTCAGGCTGAACAGGGCCCAAACGACGGTGAAAGGTGTGACACACCAAACAACGGTTCGCTTTTTAATAGGTTGGAGGCAGTAGCAATCATAGAGAGGAATGTCTTTTTTTTTTTTTTTTTATTTTCGAACCAAATTTGGGTTTTGCTCTTTTTAGCCTCATTAACAGAACATTTTTTTTTTTTTTTTTTTTTTTTTTTTTTTGCTGCATGAATTTCTTCGCATTGAGAAACTTTAATTCGTTCGTTCTTTCCTTTCTTTTCCCACTATCCTTAACATAACTTTCACATTTTTCTTTCGACATTCAGTCGATTTACCAACAAGCCTGAATTTCAAATGAGTAAACAACGAAGAAATTCTACCGATCACCGTCATCTCTACAAACGCAATAGTATCTCAAGAAGCCCCGATGAGACTATTAAGCGACGTGTAGCTTTAAATGAGACTTTGCGTAGGAAACATAGGGAGCAGTTAATTACTGCAAAACGTTTCCGCAATTTGACTCGCCAAGAAGAATACGAGAGTACAGGTGAAGAAGAGCCTGAAGATGAAAAGAATGAAAATGATGGTAACAAGAAAGAGATAGCATTACAAAAAATGCGGGGGGGGGTTAACACTCGTAAATTGAAATATTATGTTTTCTTTCAGAGGACATTAGTCCCTATTACAGACTCACGAAAGCCCAAGTAGAAGGCCTTTCAAAAGACTTGAATAGCGATCAACGCAACGTCCGTGTGTTTGCTGCACAGCATATCAGCAAATTCGTATTAGAGCCTGCTCAAGCTCTCATCAAATTTATTACAGAAGGCAACTGCATTGAGGCATTAACTGTAAAGTATTCGAGCATGATTGGTTGAATAGCAGGCAATTCCATAGAATTAGGCTCAACCATGTCTTTAATGCTTGTACTTTGTCTTGTTTTAGCGAATGCTGTCCAGTGCAGACATAGAAGAAAAAATCGAAGCCGCGCAAACTATTTCCAGTGAGTCGGCATAAAAAAAAGGCTGGTTGAGGTTTACTTGCTTTTCTGATCAATGACACATGCTTTATATGCTTTAGATATTGCTGCAGGTCCCTATGATCTCTGGATAAAATCAACATCGACTGTGCCTTACCTCATTTCTCTTCTTAACTCTGATAATATGGTAAGAAGAGAAACATTTTTTTTTACAAAAAAAGCGGAGACGGCCCTTCTATTCCCCATAGTTTTGCTGGGATAACTGATGGGTCCTTTTCATTCCTTCTTCTTTTGAATGGTCGTGTTACGTACACATTGTCTGTATTTAGAATCTGAGGGAAATAGCAGCTGGTGCGCTAGGTAATATGGCAGCCGAAGACCTAGGGGATATGAACGACGAGGATGACAAGGTTCGCGAAACTATTCGTAATAACGGAGCCATTAAACCGTTGATTCGTATGCTTGATTCCAATGATACACGTCTTGTTACTTCTGCCTGCTTTGCATTAGCCAACCTGGCTCGGGGTGAAGAAGCGCAGTTGAAAGATTTCTTTACAACGAAAATTTCGGATAAATTACTGAAGAATCTAGAGAACGAGGAAACTGCCACCGAGGTTTGCTGGGTCATCAGTTATTTGACAGCTGGAAGTGAAAGCTTTCGCCGAGAAATAATGCAGAAAGAATTTGCCGCGCCTTTAGTGAAGAGTTTGGCTCTTCTAGCTGAACAAGGACCTGTCGTTTTGCCGGTTCTCCGAACTTTGGGTAATTTAGTGGCAACGGACGAGTATCTGGAAACCATAGCAGAACATGATGACTTTTTGCCTAACGTGCTCAAATTAGTGCGATCGGATCAAAGGTGAGTTGAATGAAAGAATAAACTATAAAAGAACAGAGGGGGCGTCTTTGATTCATATACTCTACATTTTTTTATTTTTTTTTCCCCTCCACATATTGTCTAACAAAGTAGGGCCTTGAAGAAAGAAGCATTGTGGGTTCTGTCAAATGTTACTTCAACGTGAGTTTTTATACCTACTATCCATGCTGGCATTTGTTTCAATTTGCTAACGGGTCTCGTAGGTCAAATAATCGTATCATCGAAAAATTGCAAGAACTAGATGCTATTAAAAGCCTATCGGAGCTTGTGCTTCGAGGAGCGTTTGATATTCGTAAAGGTGTAAGTAAACATTAAAAAACATCACCACAGCTAGCATCTATTAGTAACATACCGTCCATACCATTGATAGGCCGCATACTGTATCATGAACATTGCAAACCATGGAGCCGAATATCTAAGCAAATTAAAACATAAAGAACTACTCCCAGCCTTCTTGGAGCTGCTAAAATCGCAAGATGCTGATATGATGAGATTAGCTCTTGGATATATTGAATTGCTTTTGACTCAATTGCCAAATGTAAGATAGACTAAATGATGTTGAACGCAGGGATTACAGAATTTTCTTACACTAGTCATCATTTCTTAATCTGAAGGGAAAGGAAATCATTGAAAATGTACCTGATTGTATGGAGGCTTTGGCAGCTGTTGCTCCAGCACCGGATCCAGAATTATATGATTTTGCGAACCGACTCGTTGATCAATACTATAATGAGTCCCCAGATATGCAAGAGTAAGAATAAGAAAACATGAAGCAGTAGGTATAGTATCAGTAGAATTTCATGTAGATCGTATATGTAAAAAAAACCTTACCTTAGCTAGCTCATGAGATTTTTTTCAATAAGTCATCATTCTTACATAAGCGAAATATTGAATAAAAAACATACCAACTTCAAAATACAACACTCTTAGAAGACTTTCACATAGGGTAAATTGATAGTGTTGAAAGAAGCAGCATTGATAATTCTAATGAAAGGCCCGCAAATGCGGTTATTTACCTGTAGTAGTACTACGGGCACAGCGTAAGGCAAAGGCTTAAAAGGGCTCAAAGCCTACTTATCTTTGTTGAAGTAATTGCTTTTATGACATGATTTTAACAAAAAAAACGGATGAAGAGCTCGGCTGTATAGTTGAACTTGTCTTTGGTTACAGCCTTATAAAGCAGGCTCAGCCTCTGTCTCGCATTGCTGCTCAAAATCGAAATATATATAACCTTTATAAAGAGAACCTGTACTATCATCTACATGCTGTATTTACAGTTCCTTGACTCCGCAATTTCTTTTCTGTCTTTTTGATCAAGAATTGTCACAAGCTGCGACTTTTGCATAACTTTGTTGAAATAGAGGATGGAGAACAGTGAAAAATTCCCCATTCAAAATAAACAAGCAGCTATCACTCTCAATGGAGTTCATACAGAGATCTTTCTAACGGGATTTGCAGACAAGATCTTTGTTGTAATCACTCAGTATGGAAAGATTGGCAGTCTTGTAAGAACTATTCACCTCAAAATTAAAAAAGATCAAGTAAAAAATGCCACTAATTACGCTTTTGCAAATACTCAATGTAATACATAAGATTCAAACATCTCTAGACATTGCACCTCAGTTAGCAGCTAATCCTTCTGCGATACCTACGACAAGTCAAGTGCTCATGGGTGAATCAATTGGCGAGCAGTGCGACCTATATATGTTGTATTCCACTTCAATTATTCAAGCTATTGCAGCCATGAATCCACAAGAAAAGCGACCGCTATTGTTGGGAATTGCATTAAAACCAGTAGATGACATAAAGCAACGAAAAGAGATTTTTAACGCCATCATTGATCAAGTGATTGCTCATCCAGTGTGGTAGATTTCGCTGATTCCTATCTTAGCTAATCCTATGTACAGATCCTTTATTATACATAATATATAAATGTAAGAACGCGTAAAACTGCAATGTTAAAAAAACTATAATACATAAATCATCTTCAATAACAGTATGGACTTATTCATCAAACATCTCATCAAATGTGTCTTTATCTAATTTGCCCTTTTTAACCTTTTTGAACATTCTTTCTTCTTTAGCCAACTCTTCCCATTCATCCACGTCTTCTTCCATTTGTCGCTTTTTGTTCTCTGCTTCTTCTTCTGCTTTTCTTTTCAGATACTCTTTCTTTGCTTGCTTCTTCTCTTTTCGTACTTGCTTTCGTTTTTGTGCTTCCTGCTTCTCCGACCAAGCGACAGACTTCTTTTTCGGCTGATGACTGTTAGCTTTCTGTTGAGGTCCTTTTTCCTGATACTCTTTCAATTCTCTCAAACGTTTCGCTTCTCTCTGTTTATCGAGATACTTAAATGTATCCCAGTTGATCTCTTCTTCCACAAACTTATTCGTCGCGCCCTCCGACGACAACTGTGTCTTAAGTTCAGGCATTTTGGGCAGCTTTAACAGACCGAACCCCATTGCCAATTGACACAGATCAATATCTTTAATTCTAAAGATATAGCTGGCTTCATGTTTTGAGTAGGAACGAGCCCAAGATACAAATGCTTTCAACGATCGATCGCTGATATCTCTATCTGTTTTGACAATCGCTCGTATGGATTGAATGAATGGCATCACTTCCTCATCTTCGACCTTTACTGAAGTTGCCTTTTCGTCCACTTCCATCTCATGCTTACTATTGTCACGCTGCACGCTATTGTCAAAGACCGTCAAATCAGGCATGATGTATGGTTTGCGTTGTATGGGTATTTTTCTCAGTTTTAACAAATCAATGTAAAGCTCTTCTCTTCCTCTCACTAAAATCACTGTAGCATGACCCTTTCGTCCTGCACGTCCTGCACGCCCACAGCGATGAGAGAAAGCCTTGGGGTCTTGTGGTGGGTCGACTTGTATCACATAGTCTAAATCTGAAATATCCAATCCTCTCGAAGCGACATCTGTGCATAATAGAACGGCAGGTATGGCAGGCGATAATTCCGTAAAACTGGTGTAGGTCAGTGATCGACGCTTGGTGTCCATTTGTCCATGTAATGAGTGAAAGGAGAAGGGTTTGAGTTGTGGTAATCTACTGAGAATTTTATAAAAGTAATCGACCATGGCACACGTGGCGAAATAGACAATAAATTTACGAGCTCCATCTTCTTCATTTTGTAATTCACTTAATAAGATACGTGTCATTTGTAATAGTTTCTGATCAGCATCGCAGACAACATAATCAATATCCAGAGTCGTAGGTGTACGTTGTACTTCTCCTTTGTTTGCCAAATCCTCTACTTTCACCACAATACGTACAGGATTACGAAGGCCTGCACGTACCAACTCTGAAATAGCATCTGTCATTGTAGCAGAAAAGAGACCCGTACGTCGCTGTTTGGGAAGCTGTGCAATAATGCTGTTAAGCTGCTTTGAAAATCCCATATCCAACAGCCGATCGGCCTCGTCCATCACTAAAACTTCCAACTCTTTTGTATTGACCAAGTGTTGTCCAGCTCTTAGTAATTCGTCCAAACGACCAGGCGTACCGATCAAAATACGTGGATGCTGTTCCTTGAATGATTTGATATCGTCGATAATTGAGTTGGATCCACCAATAAATAGTCCAGATTGAATCTCTTCTTGCTTTTCATCGTCAAACTCATCGACAAAAGTCTGGCAAACAGAATGAATTTGCTGTGCCAACTCTCGAGTAGGTGTAATGATGATAGCGCCAATTTCATAGTTCTTAAGAGGTTCTTCTCGTCTCAATAGCTTTTCAAGAATCGGAATAACGAAGGAGAGTGTTTTACCGGAACCTGTTACAGCTTCGACAACAACATCCTTATTTTTCATAAACAGCGGAATAGCGCCCGCTTGAACAGGTGTCATGGTTTCAAAGCCCATATTATCTAAAGTGGCTAAACTACAAAAATGGAAGCAGATCGAATTAGCTCATCGATCAACAAAACCCACAGACTAAGATGAACCATGCTCTCTTATTACATTGTGTCATTCAAAGGTATTTCTAAGGATCGCCAGGATCCAGCATGATTAGGAACTGCAGACATGGTATAAACTAAGTTTGTGAAGAATCAAGTATAAATGGCGGATCTTGACCAGTAATTTATTGTTGTAGTGCATTATATAAGCCACTGCTTCTGGGTTTATTAACAAAAAAGGGATGCATAAAATCGGTAAATAGCAGACGGCAGAATAATTCGTCTTTGATTCGAATTCAAACCTGCGTGAATAGTGTCCTGACAGGACCTTTGCAATTCATTTAATCTCTCCACGAACTTACTCACAGTACTCACAAAATTTACTACATCTAATCGATTTAATCCGTTCTTATCCATTGCTTGATATAGAATATAAATCTGTTCTAATAGTGTATTCACGATGGCCATTTCTTCGAGCTGATATTGCTGTAGTTGCTTTGTGATCTCTTGCTGCTGATAGCTGCTATGTATTTGTTGTTCCCGCTGATGATGTTGTTGCTGACTTATTTGGGCACATTGACAAATATATTGAGCCTCACCAAAAATCATAAAAAAATACTCGCTAAAAGGGCCATTGAATTCCGTCATATGTGCAATGGCAGGCGGTCCTACGGGTGTCGTGGCGGTACTAATGTTATCGTTATATGCTGAAGCAGTAGGTGCCATTACGGGCGTCGTTGAAGGTATTGTACCTGTAGCTACAGAAACAGTAGCAGTAGAAGAGCCCGTGGGTGTCGGTTCTAAAAGGTTTTCTTCGAGCATTGAGTATTCAGGCTCTACTGCTGCGGAAGGGCTTGCCATCCATGAGTCTGATAGATAGTCATATAATAAAAAACCATCAATCCTTCTCTTCTTGCCACGCAAAACAAGTGCCGAAGAGGATGGTGATGCGTATCTCTGATGTTGAGGGGCCAAATGAAAGGAGCTGACTTTAATATAGTATGGTAAACCTGCTGTAGCAGGAGCCAGAAAAACGCCTTTGAGGCGTATTAAATCCCCAGTACGAATCTGATTTCGATGGATATAGTCAATGTTTTCCGGACGATGTACTTGGCATTGGATCGAAAGGTTTGATAGAGCAATATTAAAAATGGCAGTATTCTTATCGTCATAAACAGGATCGGAAGTAAGGTGAGTTTCTGTATAAATAACAGTCATAATAAGTTGAGTACTACTGACAGGACACTGACAGAATTGTGGCAGAAATACTTGAAGAAAAGATGTTAAGGATCAAAGGTTGAAAAAACTGGTTTAAAAAAAGAAACAAACCATAGATTTTGTTTAATAAAACTTTGTGTCAAGGGACAATGGAGCCATATTTACCGTTCATTGGCTCCCATCTCTTTTATCAACGGTCTTTTGCAAAAAGGAAAACAATAAATAAATAAGCCTTTCTGTATTGTTTCCCATTATTATCACTTCCTGGCAGTATCTGAATTGTTTAAATCGGTATCTGATGCAAAGAAGACGAATACGGTAAGGGTAAATTATAGAAAAGAAAAGTTATTGATCTTTTTTCATTGTTTATGTCGTTCTATTTAAATCAGACAACTGTTCGAAACGGGCTTGTAACTTGGGTATTTCCAGTAGCTTTGCTTCAATCTGTCAGAAAAAAATTACAACGTTACTAAGCATAATTATACTAAAAGTTGTTTCACACCCGCCATATTATCTTATTCCTCTTACTTGATTCCTTTCTTCTTGCAGTGCTAATCTCTTTTCCGCATCCAATCGAGTAAAGACATATCCACCTTGACCATCATACTGTAAAATAAAGTTATGATACTTCCATAAAGAAGGACGGTGAGATACTGTCAATAACGAAATACCCAACGATGTAGCGTGCGTATACATGATCTTCTCTATGTCCATGCTGACAGCACTTGTACATTCATCCAGGATGGCATAACGAGGAGCATGATAAAAAAGCCTAGCCATAGCAATCTAATGGTAACCATATTAAGGGTAACACTCAGTACTCGTGCTTTCCTATCTGGTCAGATATTAATAACCTACACGCTGCTTATCACCACCTGAAAGAGCCAATCCCCACTCCTTTTCAGCATCCCAACCACCTTCTCTTTCAACGATATGTTCAATATGAACAATTTTAAGAATATCTAGCAAGGCTTGATCTGACACATTTTTCTCTTTCATTTCTTTGACAGTATCAGGATATAAAATTCTATTTGGCAGTAAAATAAAATAGTCAAGAAACAAATGATGCAATCCCCGAGGGTAGGTAACTACCCTTGATTTTATGCTACTTACTGGTCTCTCAATGTACCCAATGATAAATAGGGTCTTTGAGGTATGTAAAAAATGTCTCTATGATCAGGCTTATGGACTGTACCGCCGTAAATAGGCCATAAACCTCCGAGGATACGAAATAGAGAGGATTTACCACAACCGTTTGGACCAACAATTAGCAAATGCATCTATTTGAAGTTCAAAATTCATCACTAAAAAGTTCGAAATGCATAATTGTTCGCGACTTCACTTACTCCTGGCTTCACATGAAAAGTTAACTTCGGTACGAGTATATCTCCATTGGGACTGATGATAGGAACATCAATAAATTCAATATTGTCACTCATAACAATTCTTCCACGACCATCAAGTGCACCTACACCGTGCTCTCTTTCTCCATGGAATTGCTTGGCTGATTTATTGGAGGAAGAAACCAAGTTCTTTTGATATTGGCCCTTTTTCACATCATCAAAAACTTGCAGCAAATCGTGAACTCTTGCGGTGTAACCTGCCAACTCGGTAATCTCTTTATAGGCATACATGATACGGCCGACTGCATCAGATGAACTCATCAATAAGCGACGGTTGGTAACAAAACCTTCTGTTCTTCCGCCCACATCATCGAGTGTCTGCTTCGTTGATGAAATTGCAGTATATTTATTCAAACCGGGAACATCGAAGAATACAGGTACTGAACATAATACCAACCCGCAAGCGCCCCAGAAATACTTAATGACAAAATCCTCCAGCATACCATGCGGTACTCTTAATTTGAATACACGATTCACATGACGTATCAACTTCAAATATGAATGATCAAGCTCATGCTTCTCAATTGTTTGACCATTCAAAAATGATATCTCTTCGGCATTGTCGATCAGACGAGAATGGCGAAACCGGAATTCACCTTCTAACTTTTGTTCATCAGCTACCATAGAACCGAAGCTAGGTGTGTATTTTCGCATTAAGATTGATGACAGATGAATTATCAACGACCCTAGAAACACTGCTTCGAAACCTACATTGCGTGCCAATTGGAAATTGTAGATATACACATCCAAAATAGGTTTAGCAAGGTTAGAATATAGCTCAGCCAAAGAAGTAGAGAATTTGGATATATCAACAGTAATACACTGATCCACATTTTTTATGCGATCATCCAGATTACCCACGGCGTAAAATGTCATGTCGCTTAAGTATTTGTTGTGAATATAAGTAGTGAGACGAGTGCGGAACTGAATAGCTAGTTTACTTTGCATATAGGTCAACTGATGATATCAGCGTGTTTAGACGTCAACGTTGATCGAGAATATGAAGTTCTTATGATTACTTACCATACTATTTGTATAGGTTGCAGGAATTGCTACGATCATCCACCATGCGATACCTAGCATAAATTCTTTTAAATGTCCTCGAACCAGTGCGCTAACAATTCTGCCATCCAAAGAAGCTATATACACTGACAAGACTGTTCTAAAAACTAGAAAGATAAAATGATTTTGCTGGTGAACCAGTGCCAAAAAAAAATGGGAGCGTGTGCTAAAAAGCCTTATATGAAACTTACTCAAGAAGCCTGAGTGAATAATCAGCATCCAAAATTCTTTCGATCTGATACCAGGCATAGCTATTTTCAAAATTCTGTAGAGCTGTTTAAAGAAAATTATATCAACCTAGCATATTGTTCACAAGTTACGCACTTGTAAGGTTATAATTTCTTTGATTCCTTGTATAATATTCTATTTCTATTTATCTCTTTACTTCAACTTTTCTTTTCTCTTTATCGTTGAATTCCCTGCCTTTTCTTTGGTTTGCCTTTGCTGAAGAAAATTGGTTTGTAGCCTTCGTTTTCTCATCGTCTGTAAGATCTTTAAGTTTTCGCAACTGCTGAATGAGCTTCTTTAAGGACAGAAAGGATCGGACCAATAAGTATAATAATATAGACCGCCGTATAAGTATTCTATTGTTCGAATAGAGCTTAAATAATTTGTTTAAGGAAGGCGACGAATCCACCCAGTGTTGAAAATCAGCCAACTTTGATAATACACCTGGCATTGAGACGATAGCAACTGGTTTCTTATATTTTTTAAAAAGGAGAATGAAAAAGACAGATAAACCGAAAATGTAGAGAACCTTTTATCACTGTTTGCTGATTATGTTCTTTATTTATTGAACTGCATATTTATTTACACGTGAAAATTTTGTTCACTTGATTTTGATATTCTACGGGTATCCACTCCAACAGCTGGCTTAAGGTCTCCTTGATCTATTACAGTAAATCAAGCGCTAAGCATTAAATTGGAAATTCGATGTCGCTGCTTTAAAAAAAAAGTGAAAGTACGCTACCTGCTTTTTCAGCTGTTCTTTATATTTAATTTCGTTGAAGCTTCCTTGCTCATCATCCTTCAATAAACGGTCCCAGGCTTTCAAAATAGCCGAAACAATGGACGTCAGTTGGTCACCATACTGTTCAGGAAGTTTAGGCGTGCTTAATGCTAGACATGCATTAATTCTCACTTTGTAGTTTTTACAGTTTAACAGTGCATCCATTAATGATGAAAAAACCATATGCGTCCATGGGTATACACTCCTTGTATCAGTTTGATAACCAATAGGGAACTGTAAATTCATTAATACATTACTGGTGGCATGACAAGCATTCCACCGTACTTTAAGAGAGGAGCCACCTTCAATATTCTTGACCAAGGCTTGGATGGCTCTCTTAACAAGAGACATGATTCGTGTATTTTCAAAGTACTCTTTGGGAGTAATTCTTAAAAGACTACCTATTGAGCGAGCAGAATTGGATTTCAATTTCTCATTATCCAAAGCACCATTAGTCGCCATATCAATGATATTAATCCATTCTGTAATGGTCATGTATTCACGCAAAGCAAACTCTTCTTTTTCACTAAGTAAATGAAAAATTAAGTTCAATGATTGTTTTGAAAATGTGCGGCATATCTTCTTTACCTTTCGAGCACAAGTGCATCGCATAAGTTTGCCATAGCCCAACTTGCTCTGACTCTAATTAAAACAGTCTTCTCATCTTTCTGACTCAAAAGAGACTTGATCATCTCTGATACAAAAAGTGGATCTTCCCGTAATGATGGAAATAATATAAAGATACCAAGCGTCCGATAAGCTGCTGCTCTCACGTATTTATTCATGTCTGCTGCCAAAGAGAATAATAAAGTAATAGCCAGTCGCTGAAACCTAACAGACAGGCCTTCAAATACTTCTTGAGACAAAGCTGCAAAACAATCACATGCAGCGGACCGTATTTCTTGTTCTTCGCGACGTTCACCGTTTTTTTCGATGCTTTTATCACTCTTAGCCTCGATTTTTGTCGCTGTTTCCTGTATTTCTGTTACCGAGATTTCAGAAGAGGTTGCAGAACATGCTTTTGCAAGGTAGCCAGCCAATACCTTCTGCCACCAAATTACTTGATTGTCAAGCGGCTCATTATACTCGTTCATAGCGACAGCATAAGTTTCCAAAAATTTGATACTTGAAGATGAGAATAAGCTTTCAGTTGTAGTTACAGTTACTGCTTGCTGCGCTTGTTTTCCTTCTTGCGGACTCTTTGGTAGATAGCGATGTTCCAGTAAATTCCATAAAGCTGGCATACATTCCTTATAATAAACGCTTGTTAGCGTATTACATAATTGCCATACGTGCTCTTGATTAGTATACTGTCTGTTCTCCATAGCCACCACAATGATTGAATCATTTCCGCGGATAAAGTCCCTGTCAATATATTCAACCAGGTTGTATTGATAAATACTGAAAATCGACTTAAAAGCTTTGAGCATTGCTGCCTGATACTGTTGCTGTTGCATATTAGTGACTTTTTCTTTTAGCGATTGATTAACTTTCCAATATGGTAGAATAGCAGTATACATCCACGGTAAGTACTCTTTTGAGAGTTTATCGAATGTACAATTATCAATGAACACACTAATGGCTTGCATAATCCATGTCAACACTTGTTGATTGCTAGGATCAGTTGATGATAACACATAGTAGAAGGCTTGAAATATATCGTGAACAATAGATCCTAGTTTGGTAGAGAGAGAGGTGAATGAAGTAGAAGATGATGGCTTCTGATTGCTGTTGGTACTCTCATCTACTGCTAGACTTAGGTATTGTTTCGAGCCTTGAAAAAAAGTCATAAGCGTATTACAAACGGCTACCTGTACATGAGGATTAGGATCATAAAGTAAGATGGTAAATAGAGAATAAGGCTGATTATCTGATTTCAGAGTTGATGATAGTGTAAAAGCAGTGTCTCTATTGTCTTTATCATTTTGCCGTTTTGCACTAATACTGTTGTTTAAAAGAAAAATGGAAAACGTATCTGGCAAGAATTTATGCCAATGAGGGTATAGTTCTTTAGGAGCAACCTACATTATTAAAGTCAAAAAGATCAGCTACTATATTCTTTTTCAAGCCAGCATTAGCAAGACACCTTACAGTAGCTATAGCCGACAAACATAATAAAGCATTTATACGGATTTTGGACAAATCTCTTTGTCTTCGTGGAGATAATTCTAAGTTACTTGTGGCATCTGATAGTTCAGATTCTGAACTCGTAACTATTGAAGACGATCGATAATGATGCATTGGTTTCCATAAAGAAGGATATAGAGATTGCCGGGTATTGGATGATATGGTGGAGAATGATGCTAATGATGATTTTGATACTCGTTTGGTTAGGTTTGACAATTTCAGTGCTGTAGCTGAAGTGGAGGAAGAAATAATGCTGCTGGCAGTTGAAATAGAGTAAGATTGTACGTTGACATGCATAAAAATGAATGTATGTACAATTTGCACAATATCACAAAGTGTGTTCATTACTAGTGATTTATCTTGTAACAATAAGTAGGACAGAGCTCTCAAAGTAGAGCTAGCTACTTTACGTACATTTGCATCGTTCAAATCTAATGTTGCCAATGGGGCACCGTCTATGGTAGCTGCAGTTACCATTAGAGTGCCTTGATCTGTACGACGTACTTCGCAGATATTACTTAGTAAGCAAGCATACAATTCTTCGAAATAGGGCTGTATCCTATTACCACTACCAGTAGCATTGTTATTATTTGTTGAAGAAGTTGATGTGCTAGCTACTGACGTATTCGTGGCGCATAAATTGCCAATGCAGTTGATGGCCATGCGACGTACTTCGACTGAACTATTTTGTGCAGGATCGGCTAGAGTCAGTAAAATAGATGATAACCTTTTGATGGAGCGTTGAGTATGATGCATGTTATCAAATAAAAGAGCTGAAAGTGCACGTAATAAGTCAACTTTATACTGGCAGTCAATGTTGCTTGTAACGCTATTATTGTTCGCTAATCTTTTTGCGGACTCAATGCCGTCCATTAAGTAGTTGATACATATGTCAAACTGATTCGATCGAAAACTACCTGTCCGAATCTTACAAATTGAATTAAATTACTCGAAGCATTGCCAAGGTAGTGAGTCAAGTATTGTCCTTACTTGTTTGGTGAACTTTTTATACATGAAGAGACAGAATGATCGTGCAAGCGTAGCATTTTGTTCGTGGCTAATTCCTTTACAACCTTGAACGATAACATCAACTACAAGCTATCGTAAAGTTATAGAGTTACTTTTATACGTTTCTTTATCGGAAAAATACGATAAATGGCCTGATCTTTGATTACCTGATCAGGGATCGATTTCACTTGATCAACGGTTTGTAGTAAATCCAACGTTTTGACAGGACTGTCCTCTATATTGGTCAATTCAGGAAAAACAGACTGCTTGTATTCATCAAGTAGTGAATAAAAATGTTCCAATTTCTTCTTCTTCTCTTGAGCCATTTTTTGCTCTACTTTATATTATTGACAATACACGGCAAGATAAAAAGATCAGATGCCAAGTCCATAGTAAATCACTTTGCCTTTCCGTCAATTTTTCACAGACAGCATTTATTAACAAATTGAGTCTCCTCAGACATCGAACTTCTGGAAGTTCCATTACGCTGGCAATTAGCTACGTCCCATTGATAAACACAGAACTAACCAAGGCATGCTTTAGCAGTTCTAGCCTCCTGTTTTGTCAAATATACTCGGTCTTCATTGCTTTGATACGATATAGCAGAAAAATGCATTCGGCGGAGTTGTTTCCTCCTTAACAACACCTCTTGCATAAATTGGACGATCCAGATAGAAAAGATATTAAATGCTTGCTAATAAACAACTGATCAGAAAAGCTCAAGGCAGACACTAACGAAAGCTACATGAACTATATTAGATAGATATCTTTATCATATACATACCACATGCTAATCAACCGAGCAAGAAAAAGTCATAAAATGACCTTGATACAGTCACGGGCTATTATATTTGGAACAAATTATCCATAATTTGGATTCTCTTTTTTTTTCCCCACATAGATATTTTTTGTTCAACTGCAAAAGTTCTCATTGCATAATTCACATGGAACGATCGTTACCCAACTTTGCAAGAGAAACCATATCAACGTTGAAGAATAGTTTCCTTTTCCAAGGAAGAGGAGGTTACTATGCACAAATGGATCAAGAATCAGATAACGAAGAAGACGACGACAACAACAATAATACTATATCTCATAGCTTATTCTATTCTGTGCGACAAAATGATACAGACATCAATGAAGATAGCATACCTTTAACTCTCTCAAACGCCTACTCTGATAGAAGCCAGCTATTGTTCGATCAAGAGCAAGAGGAAGAAGCTGTAGCAGCAGCCACATCCAGAGTTGATATACCTCAACACTCATACGTTTCTCAAAATCAATATGCCAATGATGTCGAGAGCCTGGTAAGGGTTTTCTGTGCTATTCTCAGCAAGCAGTTATGATAGCTTAATTGTAAATGATGTTTTTAGAAACCATCATCCATATATCTCGATGAACCACTTTCAGCGGAACCTTCTCAGGGAATCATTTACCCAAACCCTTTATCGGAATCATTGCTACCTACTTCAGCATCAGTAAGTATATTTTTACATTATATTCAGTAGGACAAAGGCTTGACAAATCTGACACCTTTGGTAGATACCACGGAAAATCACAAACAGGTGCAACGATAGGAAACTGAGAGATCCATTTTTCGCAGTATTATACGCTTTATGCTTTTCAATATTCACTCTATCAGGAATTATCATCTTATTCACCACCGACGTAAGCAAGGAAACTTCAAATACAGCATATAATGACGAGATAAATGATTATGTACATTTTTCTTTTTGGTAGAGTCATGCAATTGAAAAGTATCTTAAAGGGACAACGTTTGAAACGATTAAAGGCAGTGCAGGTAAGATTCATAGTGTTACCATTTGGTAGAAGCCACAGTTGAATTGAACTTTCCATTGAACATAAAATAGGCTTTTTAACAGTTACCATATCACTCGCATTGATTGCTGGCGTACTTTGTTTGTACGTGCTACGAACCTTCACGAAGGTATTGTGATTAAACAAAACAAGCTTTAAATGACAATATCTTGTAATGAACTCACTTACTCCATTATTTTCGATAGACGTTTGTATGGAGCTCTATAGTGCTTGTTCCAGTGGCTTTAGTTAGTGTATTTATATGGTCTTTAGTAGAATCCTTGCAAAAAAATTATGTAGTGGAGGACGGGAAGCGATTATCAGCAACAGACAAAGGGTACAGTGGACAAAAGCTCATTTATAGTGATTCTCTCATCTTACTCATGTGCTTTTTTTGTTAGATTGACACTTATGTCCTTCATACCATTTATGCTGAACCTTATCTATCTGAAAGTTGTTTTTGACAATAAATCGAGGATTAACAGAACCATTACAGTAATCGAGGTAAGTTTTCGTTTACTTTTAGTAGGAAAATGGTTGACTTATACTATTTTACGGCATCTTGATTTTTTTAGCTTGCATGCGATGTGGTACGATTCAACCCCGGCCTATTTCTGGTGTTGGTGCTATTATTAGGTGTCTTTATAGGCTTTTCAATTATTTGGCTTGTACTGTTCAATCGGTTATGGCTAATTGGCCACCTCAGTGATAAATCATCTGCAACAGGTAAGAGTAGAGAGTGATAAAACTTTGCTTATGCTTACATTGTTTATTGAATTGTCTTAAACAGGGGCCACGTGGATTGTCAACAACTATGTTTACTCCATTGCAGCTTTTTATGTATTTATATTCATGTGGACAGCCAAATTACTAGTATATATGGAGAGGTTAGTAGGTTGAAGAATATTAAAAAAAAACTTTTCATGTTGCAGTCCTACTAATAAGTATATAATGAATCAGGTTCGCAGTATCAGCCATAGCAGCACAATGGTATTTTCATCGCAATGAGCCCTCTAGTGACTCTGATGTTAATCCACCTTGGAAGGCAGCTATTGTACGTGCATCGACCACTTCTTTTGGTACGCTCGCGTTAGGAAGTTTGATTTTAGCAATAATACAATTTTTGCAGTTCACTGTTAGACTACTGAAGAAGGTAATGCTTACTATTACAGCAAAGAAATCGTATATTTCAATGTTACTAATCTTCAATTAAAACAGTACTCTAAAACAGCTCGACCTTTTTCTGCAATAGCCGCTGTTATTTTGAGATTTATTCAGGTTCTTGTCAGTACTTTTAGCAATTATACCATCACTCTAGCTGGAATTACTGGTGATGGCTTTTTTTCGGCAGCCTCAACGGCTACCAAAATTTTCAGACGTAATTTGTTGACAGGTTTATTTGGAGGTATTATCTTCAGAAAAAGAAAGGTAGATTGAGTGATAAGTTGACTTATACGAGTTCTATAATTGTCTGGTGCTGTTTTAGATCTCTTAACCCAGGTTATTCTGTACATTGGCACAGGTGTTGTTGCAGTGTCGTCAGGTTTAGGTGCTTATATATACGCTACACACAATCTTCATTCACCTCATGGGTTTGTCGTTGGCCTTGTCGGTACATTGTTGCCCTGGTACCTATCCCAGTTTTTCTCCTACCTTTTAATGAGCATGTAAGAAATTGTAATGTTTTAGTCAGTATTTTACTATGTGCGATTACTAACTCAGGATGTCGCTTTATGTTTAGAATTGATGCGGTGTTTATTTGCTACGCTATTGATCTTGACACAGGCACAATTCATTTGTCGGCAGCACATACAGCATTTTCAAGTTTTGAATAGAGAGGCATAGCAACTATCAAACCTGCATGGAACATATTCAATACGAGCATAGATGCTTTTGACAGAAGCGTATTTGTCATTCTTCATGAATTCATTCTTTCATACATATTTATTTTTTTACTTAATTTTCATCGAGCTTTATTACCCACAATTAATACCTTGTATAAATAATTTTTCCTTTTTAACATTCTCCTTTCATTTGTGTAGTCAGTACTAGTTTTATTATGTGTCTGGCAGCATAGTGATAAAGAGTCCTGAGCTATTTACACATGGACTTTTCAATTACGGATTAATAGCTTATATATACTTTAAGTGAATAGTAGGATGAAGGGAAAAAGATACTAGATTTTGCTGTCAGCCAGCTTCGTAAATGTACAATACAATTTCTGCTTTCTCGAAGTAAGCAGAGTAAAATTTTTCTTTGGGGAAATAGTGGGCATGTTCTATGTTTACAGAGTCTTTTTTAGACGTTCTACTGGGCGCTTTTTTGCAAGGTAAGAGTGTACAGGACCAATTATAACAACCTTTTCCCAAAGAAGTGCTGTGAAAAGATTGGCAACACATAGACCCCACAGCTTCCATCTAAAGTCCCGAGGCATTACATTGTGTCCAGTCGGTGAGTTGTAGGGCATAACATAAGACGAAGGTGAATGATAGCCAATCTGCTCTAACACTTCACGCGTCCCGCAGTTGAAACGGAACAGACAACCAAAGGAATTGGGATCAGCTAGGGTCCAATAAGAACAAATAACTAGATAAGCAACCCATAGCACGCAGAGGATGTAATTTCTGCAGAAACTGCGTCTAAATTTGTAACCGAAATTGAAGACAGCGGCGTTGTTGATGAATTGGAAAAGGCACACGATAGCCAATACCTCGCCTTCGAAATTGTCGGCCAAGAGATACCATTTGGACATATCAGCAGCACGTGCATCATGTTCGTGACAAAGAAACCAATCTAATTCGCAAATCATACAAAAGAAGGCTGGTTAGTGAATGGATTCATATGAGTATAGAAGATAAAGTGTATGACTCTTTGTTTCTTTCCATTCAAAAGAGAAAATACATTACTTTGTTTGTAAAGCATAACAAAAGCAGCAATTAAATATAACCAATTGATAGCCACCAAGCCCATGGCAGAAGCTAATGTTTGAGGGCCTAACAGCCTCGCAGTGGGACGTTGTGGCGCGAGTTTATCAGCAGCCTTCGATTGAGAAACAGCCCACGTCAAGAGTACTGTAATAAACACATCAATGAAAATCCAAATGTTTTGAGGTACTGAAATATCAAAGTAAAAGTTGAAGATCTTGAGAGCCATCATCACCTGACCGTACATAATGAGATATTTGTAATTTGTAATAGAAGTAGCCAAAGCGCCACGACCTTCTCTGATCAATTCAACACAAGAGCGAACACTGCGAACGCTGGTACTGAAGGGAGACACAATAGATGCTTCCGCATCTGACATTGCAAGGCCGACGTGAGCAGCACGGAGGGCGCCACAATCATTTCCACCATCACCTGTCATTGCTGTGATTCCGCGCTCCATATGAAGTTGCACGCATTCGACCTTACCTTGAGGTGTCATACGAGCAAAAACACGGATGTACAGCAAATATTTACGTATCATGTTATTGTCAACGAGCCATTGGAAAGCCTTTCCAGTTACTGCCAACTCCACCGGCGAGTGGTCGTGGTTCATTAAGTGCTCGTCAACGTTGACGTCAGAGAAGGTCTCAGGATCATCGACATCGCTCCAAACAACACGGCCTAATTGACTATCCAGATCACCCAACAAAACTTTATTCGTAGGGGAGATAGTCATACCGCATTGGCGAGCAATAAAAACGCCCGTCAAGGCTGTATCGCCGGTAATCATAATCGTACGAGTATCACCGCGCTTCAATTCATAGATATGTTCAGCTGTATCGGGCTTCAACTGGTTCTTGAAAATGATAAGACCCAGAAAATTGATACTCTCTTCCATCTGGTCACGAGTCCAGTGATTGAACTCGTCAAGACCATGTGACAATCCATTCAAGCTGATTTCACGATGAGCTAATGCAAGTACATAACAGCCTTGTCGTGCCTTATCTGAAGTTATACGATCGTAGTCAGCAGGAATAGAACTTGGGTTGGACAAGTCTTTGATTTTTTCGTAAGCACCCTTAACAAATATATGAACCTTGTTGGTGCTCGTATCCAAAACAGCAACAGACATAGACATTCTAGCATGAACAAACTCGAAGCGTTTCAAAACATGTATAGCAGCAGGGTTGGGTGTACTTTCAGGTGGTGTTAGGGTATCGACGTAGTCAGAGGTGTCATTCAAGTGCCATTGGGAAGCCTTGAACATTTCAATATCAACTGGATTACCGATAAATTGGCCGTTCAAAATTGTTACAGCATGACAAGTGGCAATACCTATCTGCATTAAACGAGGAATTTTTTCGATATCTCGTTCATGTTTATCAAATTCTGGGATAGGTTGTTTCTCTGGTATCGTTTTTTGTGCTTCGTCATAGTTAGAAATCGTCTGCGCACCGAAAAATTCAAGACCCTCTTTCGTTAAGGTGCCGGTTTTGTCAAAGCAGAAGAGTTGAACTACAGCAGGTGGAGTAAATACGCGGTTGAAAGATCAATTTGATTCTACGCAATTGCCAGTTGTAATACTTACTCTTTCCTGCCATTAAAATACGAGGCAAATCAACACTAAAGATGTTCTTTTTCCTTAACCGACTAGCAGCAACAGATTGACCGACCACCAAACCAGCTGGTAGCAAAGGAGAAATCAATTGACAAATTACAAACATTGCATAGAACCAAGCACCTAATATACACATCAAACGAAGCGGTGGGGGTTAAGTCATTTGTCATGTTTTTCGTACGTTCTGTGGCCTTGCTCCATGGAATGAACAGCTACTTACTAGTGCCTTTCGCATACATCCATATGGCTAAAGCCAAACAAACCATTGCACAACACAGCAGAATCAAAATAACAATTTTAATTTGCTGGTTGAAGATGAATGATACCTGGGTAGGAAACAAAATCTTCTTTACCAATTCTCCCTTATCAGTAGCTGTACCGATATGGGTTACTAAAGCTGTGACCTTACTATGCTTCTCTGTAGGCTGAGCTTGAGAAATAAAAGTGCCGGAGAAAATAGTAAAAGTTTTACCACTACCCATACGATCATAAGTAACATCAACATCATCTCTACGCAAGGGGAATTTACGAATAGGTAAGGGTTCACCAGTAAGAGAGCTTTCATCTGCCACAATATTGCCGGATAAAACAATGGCATCACAAGGTGCTGTTATACCTTCAGTGACTTCAAAAATATCACCCGGTAAAAGATCAGCAGTGGACTTGTCAACCCATTTGCCATCGCGATATATTTGAACACGGTCAGTGAACTCTGCCATTTCTTTTATACGTCTCTCCGAACGGAGTCGTACAACCACCTTGACCAACGCAGAAAGAAGAATAACACAAGTATCAGCAATACCCACTTGCCCTATAATGTTCCATAAAGAAAAAAAAAGTGTGTGTTGGTGTATGTGCGTCAATAAGAAATAGTCTTGAGAATGTGCTCTTTGTTCAATTTGAAATGGACTTACAATAGGCAAAGTAGTAGAAAAGCCAAAGGACGGTAAATTGATAAATGTAAAAAAAGGAAGAAAATTCTTGGAACAGTGCGACCAAAAAGTTGGGAACGTACACTTCGATAAAATTGGGACCGATCAGTTCTTCTCTTCGTCTTGCTTCATCTGTTGTTAAGCCTTGATCCAAAGCGGCCAATTGTCCGATGGTGCCACCCAAATCAATTTGGTGAGGGGTGAAGAAATCTGTTTCAGCGTGATAGATATAGCGGGTGCATTGATAGATGAAATATTTGGTGCCGCTCGACGTTTGTTTCAAGGGTGCACTGTTCACTACAACATCCAAACCAAGAATATGTTTCGCCTTCTTTTCCAATCTGCGAACCAAATTCATGACCCCATCAGACTCATCGTCTAAAAAGATCATAGCAGCTTCTTTGCGTTCAACTTGTACGTAGTGGCCTTGAGAATAAAGGCAACGAATTCTGAAGAAATTGGGAATTCGGTGACGGAAAATCGTCAAACTGGCAAACCAAAAGAATAGAATATACCACATCCCCATGAAGGTACTAGCTTGGATTTCTCCATAACCGCGGAAGAGAGCATAATTCATGTAGTAATCTTTCACCATCATGATCATGTAACAAATTTGGCCAAGGGTTTGTATACTAAAGATAACTGCAGCACATATTCCAAACCGGTCTCGTTTATAAGCGTGAATGGTCATCTCTTCTTCTTCTTCCTCAACAGAAGACATATCATCATCATCTGTACTACTGGATTGGCTCACAGTATCTTTATGATCTAACTTTTCAAAGTCATTCTTCTTTGAGAGAACAATATCATTATTTTTGTTGATGTATTCATCATTGTGGAATTCCTTGGCTTTGTTCAAATTGGCTTTCACGGACTACATAGAACATGGAGGAAAAAAGGGGGTGAGGAGAGGAAAGAGAAGAGGAGAGAGGAGATACGGCATAAGGATGGTTAGATGATTTGACGGACAGGAATTTATTTGGCTTTACATTTCGGTTGTACAACTTCTCCCTTACCTTTTCGCGATAGAGTTTGTATAAAGTCCATACTGCCAATAATACAAAGCAGGAACCATAATATGCATACAAAGCAAGGAATACTGGCTCTGTAAATGTCAACGCACCATAATCAGGCGTCGGACATTCATGCCACATAGCAGACTCAGGATTAGGTATCCAATTAGGAATCTTGCCTTGCAGATTGGCAGCTCTTGCACATGCTTCTGCACTTTGGTTGTTTTTGTTCTCGACCACAAAATTCTCAATGTTAGTGTGTATAGTAGCAGTACCGCATGAATAGATATTACCAACTAATGCAGGGGCGCCAGGACAACTGCAAGCAGAGATCAAGTTAGAAGGACATGTTTCACGACAGTGGCCATCTACACAATAAGTCGTACCAGCAGGGCAAGGGGCAGGTCTATAATTGTGTGGACACATAGAAATATCACGAACGCAAAGCTTGGGACACGGATAAGCGTAATACGTAGGCAAAGGGCATTTATTTCCATACGCATCATAATCATTCACTGAAAAAAAAAAGGGAGTTGGATGTTACCAATGCGCGCACTTTTGGCATAATTGCATTTGCAGGTCTTTTCAGTTACCAGTATGAAATTGCGGAGATGCCAGCGAATTTGTTGTAAACCAGGCAAGTATTAGTAAAGGTATGTACATTGTAGCAGCGGCTGTTAAAGTATATGGCATCCGTTTGATGAAAGGACTCATCATGCAAGAGGTTCAACCTGTAAGATAGGTTTTGTATGTATGAACAAAAGAAAAAGGCCAACAAACAAATCTCAAAGGAGGCAGAGAATAAAGACAATTAAAAGAAAAAATCCACAGAATATTCAGAAGAGCATTGCAACGATGAACTCAAAGAAGTCGATTTATATCCTAACATTTCAAGCATAATGAAGATCAAAAACAAGGTTTTTGCTTTATGAATTTGCATCTGGGTTTCAACTGATAAGATAATTTAGCTTGCTTTGACCTAGTACCGACGCCTCGCTTAATCAACTACTTATAAATTTGATTGCCCGGTGCTTGCATTTTTTCAATCAACTTGATTGCGTTTGGTCCTCGGTTTGGTCCTCCAAAAAGAAAAGCATAAAAATGGTACTTTTTCTGTAGTTTAAAAGCTTCTACAGTTTTATAACATATATAAGTATATATTTTTTGAATTATATTGAAATCTATATATTCGTTTATATGTGAGAACGATAGTTCATTTTTTTTGCCTGTAGAGAATTTCTTTTTAAAGCTGTTTTTTTCTCTTTTCCCCACATTTTTGTTCGTTGTCTGCGATCTGATTTCTTTGTTCCTGAAATGATTCATTCAAAGTTTTCCGGGTACCTCTGTCTATCTCTATCTCACTCTTATTGCTTACATAATTGCTATTGAAGTTTATCATATTTCTCCAATACGTTTCTCCTGTAACGTCATTTTGTAACATTAGCTTGTACTCACATTATGAGCTAGAAACTTGAGAAACCGAACTGTATTTTTTTTTTTTTATTTATTGACTGCTGCAATTTTGTTCATGGAGTGTGGTTGAAAGAAGGATGTCTGGTATGCATGTACATTCTTTGGCCAAAGACAAGCATTAGATAAGATTGTCAAATTTACTGTCTGAGACTCAATTAATCTTGTCATTTGGCTCTGAGGCATTATCTGTCCAACAAAACTCAATCACACTATGAAACTCTATTTCATTGATTCTAACATGGTCATTGATGAAGCCTACTACGCTTCTCACTACTGATACGAAGTATAATTGTGTTGAAGGTTATTTGAGGTTATCTTGTACTATATAAGCGTGTCAGATGTACAGTCTTTTTTCTCATTGCTAGCGTTGTATCTCATTTCGTGGTGAAACGTCGTAACCTTTTACATCAATGATGCAGCCAAAACTCATTTGTTGCTATCGGCTTTGTTGAAAAAGCCGTTATCTCCATCTATTACCCGCTATCTAAATTAGGAAAAGAAGTCCAAACCCTTTGAAAGCAAATTCATGATAATTGTTTAAATTCCTTTCTCAGATTCGATGGAAAGGCTTTTCATAGAAGTTAGACTAAGCTTTTATCGTGTAGAAAGCAAAAGAAATGATTATTTTTGTTTAGTAAAAAAAATGCACCTCTACAAGCTTAAGAGCCGTAACAGGTTAGTACACGCATAGAACGAATCATACTAATCATCAAAGATAATATACTCATCCTTACGCATGGATAAATGGAAGTATTACATTAGAAAGATCATTAGTACAGAATGAGTGTATCTTTCTCAATACAATTTTAGCGAACAACAGCGAAAATACGCACTATGTATACAGATGAAAGCGGCTTCTTCGGAAACAGAACAAATCTAGCAAAACCATCTTTGTTATGTTATATAAGTACAATGTAAAATTAGTTTATTGTATATTTAGTTTTACAGCTTAAAATCTGCGTTTGGCAGCTCTTCTAGCAGCAGCAGCGGCTTGTTGTCTTTCACGAAGAGCACGGTCTTTTTCCTTCTTTTCATACAATTTTGTTTGCTCTTTGAAATTGTCCATGAATGATTTTGGTTTACCTAATGCTTCTTTAGGCTTCAAGGCTAATTTTGGAATATTCAAAGCTGAACGAATAGCAGGGTTTTTTAATGCAATCATTTGTCCCATAGAATAGATATTTGATGTGATCCAATAGACGAATACACCCTATACAAAAAAAGAAAAAAAAAAAAAGGCATTTAGTAAATCTCCTATCATCTTCTCTGTCATCAAGCTTGTATGCAACAATTGCCATCTAAATATTTACACTGGGCATCCAATAAGTAAAAGGCACCGTCAAAAGAGCCATACCACGGAAGAACTTCTTCATGCTGGCACCCTGAGGATTCACAGCACCTGCATCAGCGCCTGTTTCCAGCACAGCCAACATCGAAGCGGCACTTAGAGCCGGTAAAATGTAATAGGGGTCCTGTTGTGACAAATTTTGAAACCAAAACAGACCTTGATTCTCCAATCCAGGTACAGGAATCTCTGCCATACCACGAATGGCCATGAAGAAAGAAATCATCACGGGCATTTGCATGAAGGGTAATCCCAAGGATTTCATCGGATGGCATTTGTTCTTTTTGAACAAGTTTTGCACCTCCATTGAGTACTTTTGAGTAGCCAAGGTATCGCCGCTGGCCTGAGCCGTCTTAATATTGTTCATGAGACGAGTGACATCTGGGTTAATATTCATCAGGATAGCGTTATTGCGCTGAATTTTGATCATAAGTGGAAGGAGAGCGGTACGAACAAGGACAGTGGCAAGGGCAATGGTGCCCCACCAAGGAAGACCGCTGTACACATGAATGTACTCAAACATAGCCTCCAGCGCACCGACAGGCGTATAATTGCAAAGTCCTAACGCACTAAAGTCACCAATCTGAGGTGCCAGATGGGATAAGACTTCACTGGCAGAACTCACAACGGCATCGGGTGTCGTCTGACTGGCTTGTTCTAATATTTGTTCGCTTTGGTCTAATAGTGTAGGTTCTACAGGGTGTAATGGTTGCTGTACTTCTGGGATTGTCTCAGTATGTGTGGTGTTGGTTGGAGGGGTTGTCGATGTGGTTGTCGATGTGGTTGTTGCAGGTGTGTCTTCATTACTATTGAGTGTCGTTGTTGTTGTTGGTGGTGGTGGTGGTGAATTTACATTCTGTTCAGAGCTCAGAAACCGTTTCATACCCATATTAAAGCCCACTTTGGATAATTGGTTTGGTGTCATAGCTCTTTGTGCAATCAATCCTAGCGATAGGGGTATCGTTCTCTGGCTGCTTTGCGGCATACGCAATGATGATAACTAAGCAGTTGAATAACCCTTTTTTCAGTCACGTATTCCTTTATCTATCACCCTGCTGTCTCATATTCGGGCTTCATTAGAATATCTTACCATTCGACGACTACAAGATATGGTATTTGCACTATAAACATAAAATTGATATACATCCTTTATTATCAATATAACAGTCTCTTTGTTAATAATGCAAATATGCACCACTTTTTCTTACTTTTTATGAATGAGCCTAGTAGTGATTCGGAACATATTGTTGTTGAAAAGAAGGTGGGGTTTTTTCAAAAAAGCTAAAAGAGCTAGGGTGGAGAAGATCCAAAAGAATGAAAGATCAAAAAAAAATTAGGGTAAGGGACTTTGACAGCAGCCCACTAAAAAGTCACGGACCTTAACTTCTATTCCCAAGTTTGCATTTGTGCTGGGCCCTTTTTTTTTCTTATTTCCCGTGCTCAATTCAATTGAACTGAATTGCATACCATTCATAAGCAAACAATGCTCTCCAATATCTCGAGACAAGTTCTAAGAAACACTTATAACCAAAAAAAACGTTGGTCACAACCTATTGTTCAGCTCAATCGTAATGCTACAGTCTACAACAATGGTAACTGAACGACTAAAAAACTTTCCTCAAAAATCTGGGGTAGAAAATAGGCTAAAAATAAAATTGGGTGGCATAATAGTGCACTTTAAGTTTTATACAGCCCAGGTCAAAGCAACGGTTGACTTTGAAGCTAAATATGCCGATAAGATCAAGAAAATAGCTCAAAAGTAAAGAAGAGTTTACTCTAGAAGCAGAAATAGCTAGGAATTAAACTTTCAAATGCCTGTTGTCTTTTTATTAGAGAAGGGCTCACCGTGGAGCAATTAAAGCAAAAGATTAAAGATGAAGCGGCCAAGAAATTGAAAGCCGCAAAGCCTAAGAAAGTTGTAAATCCAATAGCAAAAGAAACAAGCAACAACAGTCATGTGAGCGCTGCGTCCACAATGCCAGGAAAAACACAGATGCCATACGACTCCTCTGCTCCTGTATGTAGACAAGAAAAAAAAGGAATGATAATCAGCTTTCAAGCTCACTGAATCTTTTCTTGCTGTTTTGCGCGTCATCCATAGACGTTGGATAAATTAGTCAAGCTGGATCTACTGGAAAAAGAAACACCTGAAAATATAGCCAAGATTTGGAATGCAGGTCATGCCAATCAAGACTGTATCACTGCTGTTATTCCTAGTGAGACATACGATACACTTTATAAACGAGGACAAGAGTATCCAATGGTAAACAGAAAACAGAACACATCCTCTCTATACTACAAATCATTTTTAGTTCTAATAGGACAAATTACGGTTGTTTTGTGTAGTTCGTCGTTCCTATGCCTAGAGAGCAGGGTGTCGAGTTCTTCTTTTTACAATTCAACTACAACCAATGCAACTTCACATCTCTACTGGAGTATAAAACAAAAGGCACGGAAGCTCGACCTTTCTTGACACTCACACATTTTCCAGAACTTCAGCAATCCAAGGGTATCGTGTTGATGAAGGGCGAAATCAATAAGGATCCAAAGATGCTGGACACCGCCAATGCTCAATTCTTAGCTTTTGCCTTACAGCACTTTTATGTTACAGGTGGAGACGAAAAATTCAAGTTGGTAGAAAAGTTTCACAAGTCGCCCGGTGATTTTGATTTCAATGAATTGATCAAAGCCGTTGAAACACTCGTCTAGAATAATAAAAGAGGAAGCCCTATTTGTTCAGAGCTAGTTCCTTTGATTTCGTGTAAGAAAGCTTTGATCTTTGCGTAAGTGCGTGTTTCCTAAGTCGGTATGTAGAGTGTTGGTGGGAAGTCTGTGCGTTGAATTGTCACTGGCCAGAGACCCCTGACAGTTGCATTATATAGATATATACTGTTTATATGCATAAATACGTATATACACACATGTACATATGTACATTTATGTATAAAGCCAAGACTTTTTGAATTTGAACTGTAGGAGGGAACGTTTCTTCTTTTTATTTCTGGAGATACAGAGTCTTTCTGCATGCATGCAGATAGAAATTTTTTTTAAAAAAATGGTATAAGATAAATAGAAGAAGAAAAAAGCCGGACCCTTTTTTCCCGAAACGAATATATCTACATGTAAGAACGCATTTAATAAATAACCATTAGACGACTGCTTTCGATGAAGACGACGTCGTTTGTTGTTGTTGCTTCAATATTTTCTTCTTGTTAGCGCCTCGTTTCGCTGTAAGATCGCGCCAAACAAAACAAAAGTTGCCTGCCAATTGTACTTTGGGTCTTCTGCCTCGCTTTTTTGTTGGTATTAAATCTAGCGTCGTCGTGTTCATATCAGCATGACTAATTTGTGCCGGTTGTTTTGATGGCTGTGAGGGTAAAGAGGAAGCGTGCATAGTCGTAAAAGGAGATGGTGGAGAAGATGAAGACGACGAAGAAGAAGCTGGCCAATCGTTTGTATTTATAGAGTGGGTAGCTGTATTACCGCTACCGCTGGAGGGTGAGGGGGGAGGTACTTCCTTGCCTTTCACATTCCAAACAGTGGGTGTCAAAAAAGTAAGTTGATTTCCCCCGTTCTGCTGCTGTCCAGGAAGATGGGTTTCTATAAAATGATGACCTTGTTGTGGTGGCTGATAGGTTTGCTGTTGTTGTTGCTGGTGATGTGAAGAGGATACTGGCAACAGAGAAGGTGATGTCTGGAATAAACTGGTATTAGGAGGTCTTCCTCTCTTTCTTTTGATATAAGGCGTTGTACTCGTCATGGCTAGTTTTGTTTTCGAATGACTCTTATTCACTTTCATTGAAGATGGTGACACAGGAAGAGCTGTCGAAGTAGTTGTACTAGTACTGTGATTGCTGGTATAGGATTCAATAGTTGAAAAGGAACAAGTAGAGACTGAAGATGCATTTGAGAGTGATCTGGATCTGCGGCTGTTCGTAGGAGGAGGCAGCAATAATAGCTGACTATGCGAAGGATGTGGTGACGTTTGCGGTGAGAGTAAAGGCTGTTGCTGATAATTTCCTCTGGTGGAGTTGCTCGCAGTAGCAATAGGAGAAGAAGAAGAAATAGTAGTAGTAGTAGTAGTAGTAGTAGAAGTGTTGGAGGTAGTTGGAGACGTAGTCTCTATCAATGAGAGTGCGCCAAAAAAAGGTGATAAAGAAGAAGGTGATGTCACTGCCGTTGTATGGTTCTGATGATGATGAGGGTTATTGCTGTTTTCATAACCAGAACTTATATCTAATGGCTCAGGTTCGAGTATTACTGAGTTTCTTGAAGAAGAGATCGATGGTGAAGGTAAAGAAATAAGCGGTAAATCACTAGTCAAGACTGATCTGCTATCATTTTCGCCATCTGTTGCGTACGACAATAAAGAACTGATAGAGGGTAACTTAGTAATGCAACAGCTAGGACTATCATGATGAAAAGTTGTGTCTGCATTGTTTAGAGACTCTTTGGTTTGTACAGGGGATGGCGGATGTACGTAAAATTCTATCTGTTGCGCTGTCATATCTGTTTTGTTATTAACTATGAAAAATAGGGGATGATGAAAAAAAAAAAAAAAAAAGAATGAAAAGAACCAGAAAAAAAATAGTGATTTTCCCTATTTAAATACACATACTCACCTTTTTCCCTTTTTTAATTTGTATTTTTGGACAAATTTTACCTCTTTTGGTATTTTGAAATTGAAAAGAATTTAAGGAAACTTCTATCCATATTCTTTTCTGTTTTGAATGATCACAAAGGCATCAGTGAACCAACTCAAATTCACGCCCCTCACCATATCTTTTTATCATTCAGAAATAACAGAGCCGCAGACATCATTTTCATTCAAAAAATTTCTGTGTGCCTGATAAGAAATAAACTGCTTTATTTTCAATTCAAGTAAACGCCTTTCATTTCGGGCCGCTAAATTTCATACTAGTCGAAAGAAAGTAAAGTAATTCTTTCTACATCATATTTTCCTTTGCTTTCATTTTTCAAATGTACGATCCATCTATGTAAGACTAGGAAACAGCTACTTTCCCTTTCTATTTCTACCATCACGACACTGATATGAAAATGTAAAAGACCTTATTTATTTAAAGATAGTGATGTTCTTGAAAAAGAACTACAGGCAAGAAACGACTTGAAGACGGATCAGTCCTTGATGAATTCAACATGTGAATATTTGAGTCAAGATCTGAATAGATTAAAAAAATTTGGCACCATCTTGCTGCATCACATTCTGTCTCCTAAAGTTGATTTCGATATTGTCACCAAGTTGAAGTTTATAGATACTTATTTTGTGCCCTCCACAACAGAAAGCGAACAAAGGAACACCCAAACCAAAAGATTGAAGCAACAACAAGCGATGAAGCAGGCTTTTACAGATGACAACAACAAAACCGACGACGATCACTTTCCAACAAGGTTTCTCCACGTGATTTTTTCTTTCTGTTTAAAGGTCCGGTAATAACATAATTTACCTATTTTTGGAAAAAAACGGACACAACTCTCATTCTCTTTAATAGATACGCGACAGTGGACAGGATCTATCCAATATCGAGGTTTATCAATTGTTATACTCTGTATTAGATCAGTGCGCGCCCTTCATACCGCTCAATGCTTGGAGAACTGAGCTTGAGTCTCTGTCAATGGAAAGAGAAAGGAAAATGTACATTTTCAAGCGTAGAAGAACCTTTAAAATAATAAGGGACGTAAGGTATTCACATATTTGTTTGTTCTTTTATCGTAGATTAGCAGACTGTGACAATAAGATAGACGAATATATCTCTTCTCCAGCCTTATATCCACAAGGTCTTCATATAAAAGAGTATTGCAAAGAATTCGGCTATAACAAAAATATTGAAAAGATTTTGAGTGTCAAGTAAACTATGTGCACAATAGGCTCATTTTCGTGTCGATAGTTACTCACCTTTCGCAAATAACATAGGATCGCATTATACAATATTCTATATGAAGAAGAACTATCGCCCATCAGCTTACAGAACCATTTTGCGTTTTCTGAAGCTTGGGTTTCTTTTTTACAAACAATTCGTACATCGCTTTCTACCAAAATGTTCACATTACATGCAGAATCAATAGAAAATGATTTATTCTCGTTTCCAGCAAAAGCAGAAAAAGAGCTGCATATGATACCCTTTAGAAAGGATGTGACCAATATGTTCTGCTTCAATTTTGAAAATCAGCAAACATTGGAGACCACCTTTAAAGAATGCATACAATCTTTAAAATATGCACACACAAAATACATAACAACTTTAGTTTATGCCCTTTATCAGTTAATATTGTACGCTTTTAAGGGCGATATGCATGCAACTGCACAGGTAAAAAAAAAGTAAACCATGGATTTTTGGCTGAAATGGTACCTAATAACCCAAAAACCCTAATTTGTCCAACTTCTCGTTTACTCCCTCAAATCTCTGTATGTAAAATAGAAGGACCCCCTGCGCTTCGACCTACTGAGAATAAGTCAAAGTACCGTTTGGTTTGAACTCTATGAGGATGTATTAAAGCAAATCGTTTTTGAATCAAAGCCGTACAAAGAGTCTCCTTACATCCAAAAGTTAATCAAATTGGCCGCTTGCTACCTGCAATTTCGCTTTATGCTTAAGACAGACAATATTTGTCAACAACAGGAAGATGATAGAATCCTTTTGAAGGCTGTCTGGGATCATTACTACCTACAAAGGTCTGTCTTTCTGAAATCAATCAAAGATGAGCAATTACAACTCGAGAAACAGACGGAATTACGATGGGTGGAGAAAATCGTTTTCACAAGTGCTTGCTCGCCAGTTTGATATATATCTTGACACTGTTCACGCTACCTCACATCTTTTTTCTTTTTTTTTTCCTCCTTTTTGCCAAGAGAAAGGTACATCAAATGAGTATAATGTAAGGAATATACAGACTTTTTCTATTTAAAGAAAAGGGCACAGATAGTTTAGTTGTACTTCTGAAACACATAATTAAATAAACCTGTTATTCGAATATTTCTATATGCCTTTACCGTAACTAAATCAGTGCATTTGCTAAATTGCAATACACATCAGGATTCTCCCAGCATATACCGCTATACTGCTTAAACCACAATACAATCTTTCCATCGCCAAATGGAGACAGTTTGAGCGAACAAATTTGAAAAAAAAAATGAAAGTAGGAATGTCTGAAGGAGACAATTTTATTTATGTACGTTCATTTATGAAGCCTTTTTGATGTCCAGTTATTTTACAACATTGACAAAAGACCCAGCTCAAAAACTACTTGCTTTTGAAAACGTGTTTTTTACAACCATGCGTTACGACGCTATAAATATAACAATTGGTACTAGTGAATATGTGATGGCTAGTCGACCATAGACTATTTCTGAATTGGTTAGAATATACACCAGTAAGTACTGTTCAATGGAAAATTATAACGATAACGCTTTCACTCGAAGTTCTCTATTCAATTATAAAGGGGCACAAATGACTCTTTTTGTTTCAATTCATATTACTCTTGAGTGGCGCTGAAAGCACCGCGTTAAGAGCCTCAGGGTCATTTATGACTCATCCCTAGGGCTGTCACATGACTCCATTAAGGGCATCTTGAGCGATCGCATTCGTTAAGAAGCCTTTATCAACGCCTACAGCAATATAAAAGTAAATAGGTGTGTTAATAGTGGGATTCAATTGTGCGCTCCGTAAACTATGACAGTAATTTGGAAATCTCTATCGATGTATAAGCAATCCCATCTTCTATTCTTCAGCTTCTTCCAGCCATTGACTCACCATATTAACAGCATTTTCTTTTGTTATTTGCGAGCCTTGATGATTTTTTACCTGTTTTCTGCTGTTCAATATTCCTGAAGAACTTTCTCCCCACGGCAATTCATGCGTGCATATATATTTACTCAACGAAATAACGATAGTCTATGACAGTCAAGGCTTCTGTATGCGATGTATGTGTTTCTAAATCTTTACCACCGTTTCTTTATTTTTTAACTTGTGTTCCTGCGCTGAGATTGGAAGAACCAGAACTATTAGCACTCACTCTGGAACATTCGGAAGATGATTTCTGTTTCGGAGGAAACATGATACTCAACTACACGATAGGAACCGCTTGGGATAGTGCGAAATAAGTATCAATTTTTCTGTTGTGAAATTTGACAAGCTAAGTTCAATCGCGCTATAAAGGTTTTGAGGGAGATACCTGGGTAAGTGCCCATGGTTTCGGGCATAGTATGACAAATCACACAGACTTGGCTTAGGAATTAATTCAATCCGTACTGCATTGTTTTGAATCAAATACTTTTACAGCAGCGCCGTGATGATTAGTATCGATATGTTTTATACTTAAGCTGGGTTAGACGTCTATTGAGAGAGAAGTTTCATATTTTTTTTTGGGGTTTATTTTTGGCCACCTCATAATCTTTGCTTCCGAGAAAAGTACATCTTTATGAGCAGAATTGCAGCTTCTCGATGAACAGTTACCAAAAGATTTGAAAAAAACAAGGATTTCGAGACTAAGATGTCTTCAGTTTCAGTTAGTGAGTGTTTTTATCGAGACGTCTGACTGGTCCCAAATCCTCAAAACTTGACATAGCAAAGAATAAGTTAGATTATGAAGTGCTAATTTTTCTGAGTTCATTTGATTAAGCCCTCTGCAGCCTGTCTCTGATGTTGTCTAACTTGAACAATCAACGCTTCTTTTTATATCGCAAACGAAAACATCACCCACACCATTAATGGTCTTTAGGTGACCAAACTGCTCAAGAGGTGCATAAAGTGAAGGAGCTCAAAATTATGATTACGATATTTGTTTTCATATGCCAAGTTGTCGAATACATTGTTTGTAATAAGTGATAATGAGCTTCGCTTGATTGCAACTTCTTCAAAGGATCTCAGTTTCTTGAGTATTCTAATCAAGGCTATTTACAAATATCCACTAACCTTCATCAATGCCTTTAAAGGCATTCATTTTTTTTTTTTCTAATTTTATGAATGATCGGCTGTGTTGCAGTAAAATTGAAAAGGAGATGGACATGTGATGAACACGACTAAAGGAAGCGCACGGTGATATACATATGCAGGACTGCCTAAATAACAAAAATAGGTAAAATTCCATAAGAAATATGCAAATCTCTTAGTCTTCTTCTGTAAGCAGCAGTTCTGCTTGTTTCGGTCTCTTAACAACCTTTTTCACATTCAATTACTGCATGTTAAGCAGTGAATTCTGCTTCTCTTCCGACCTGTAACAATTCTTATGCTTTTAAAATAATCATCACTTACTATCATCAAATTAGATTCCATTTATCATGCTGTTTGGTATGATAAATGGATAGTTTTGTTACTTGATGATGTTTTATCTTTCAACTTGCGCCCAAACGAGTTCAATGATAGCCAACACGATTCCTCTCTAGTAAAATTGTCAAAATATGGAGTTGTTTCGTACGCTACGTCTTTGAAGCTGCAGAAATAACAATCGCTGAATTGTATAAAAAAGTCAGCAGTGATCCTATATGAATAAATAACTTTAATACTCTAAGGGTAGTTTTTGAGATAATTGCAAACTGGCTTGAGCTTTGTCTCGTCCAATATGCGAAAAGAGATCTCCTCGTGCCCTAGTTTAGAACTTCAGGACGCGGAGTGTCATCCAACTAATGTTTGGGCTGATTCAAATTTTTCCATAAAAGTTCCTGAGCTGTGACCAGCTTTAAAACCCCAGGTTTTCGATCTTCCTTTTTCTTAAATTTTGACATGATCGTCACCTTTAGCAGCAATTCTTAAACGATCGAAAAGCAGTAAATGAAATTACCATTCGGTTTAAAGAAGCCTTCAAAAGGCACAGTAATCTTCAGTGGTATAGCTGGCGCTGTTAGTGGAATTGTTTACGTCAGTAATAAGAAAGCCGAAGAAGCCAGAAAAATCAATGCTTCAAAAGTATCATTTCTTGCTGATAGACCTTGTGGGGTGCACGTGAGTTAGCCTTTTTCAAAACCATTTAATACGATTTGTATTAAAACACTCAAACATGTCTGCGTATTACATTAGGAAATGCCTAGGAAAGTATTGGTTTTCATATCTCCTCCACCTGGAGATAGTATTGAGAAGAGTAGAAACTGGTTCCGCGAATATGTCAAGGTACACAGAAGTCAACATCGTGAGTGAATGAATGTGTACATCGTTATTAACACATAATGTATGATAGCCAGTACTTGTTGCTGGGGCAGTGGATTATGAAGTCAAAGAAGCAAAAGAACCAGGGCAGATTGAAAATTCAGTGATTGAGGAAATTGTTAAGCGCCGACGTGAAGATAGGGCATCCATAGTTGATAATACGACGCTAGATAATAGTAATGGAAATTTTAAGGAAACAACCACACCAACTACAGCAATGTCGGTCAATCTCGTACCTGAAGTTTCTTTGAAAAAAGAAATTTATTATGATGGTATCTTAGCAATAGGCAGAAATGCATATAAGGAAGTTTTAAGCGGCTTTGCTAAAGGATGTGATGCCAGTCTTACTGTGACCGAGAACAAGTCCACAGGTGATTCATCAGCAGCAGCTACGGATTTAAAGGAGATAAGCAATTCTTCTTCAGAATCGACTGATAATGGTAGTGACGGAGCAGAAGAAGTTAGCAACGAACCATTACCTGTCATCAAGAACGAAGACGTTCTGCAAGAATCGCATGATTTAATAGAAGACGAAATAAGCTTCTCCCTTCCCTCTAAGTTCTCACCAGTAATGTATATTCCACATGTCAATATTATTGGTTGGTCAAACATACCCTTCAGGCTGTATATGTGGTATGCAGACTATAAACGGATTCAGGACGTTGGTAAATATGTTGTGGCTGCAGTGTTGAATCAAACAAGGCCTATTGAGCCCAGAGACGCAGACTTAGGTCAAAACGAAAAGAAGTATTGGATCGGCGATGATGAAGTTAAAGAGTTAAAAGAGAATGATAAACCAATTGTTATAGATGAAAGAATTAGAGATAAATTGACTACCTATACAAGTGATGAACTACCGTAATTTTCAATACATCAGTCATCAACAGTAAGCATCAGACTGGGATTTTTATTCTCAGCGTTAAAGTGCAAAATAAAAAGTTTGTAAAGGACGTCCACATTCACTTTTCTCTTGTTCATTCGTCTTCGGACAACATGGCTCGTGGTGCTCAAAAAGAACAAGCTAGGTAAATTAGTCTGAGTCATAGCAGCCTTAGTTTTTTAGTGAGCTTCCGTAAATGCTAACTGCCGAAAATTACTCTCCTTAGACAAAAGGCTCAAAAAGAAGCTGCCAAACGTAATAAGGCCGGTTCACAATTAGCTGCTCGTGCTGCTGGTCTTCAGGTATGCCTAATCCGCAAAGTCAGTATATATACCCCTTTCCATAGAACTTACCAGCTTTCAACTTGAAATAGATCAAATGCCCCAAGTGCTTCATTGCTCTTGCAAACTATAAATTACTGGTTCAACATTTCGATGTATGTTTACTTACATTATACGTTTTTTGGCATCTCGATCGTTTTTGACATTTGTTTCCTTTGTTTTTTCTTCTTCCAGGCAAAGCATCCAAAGGATTCTGTTCCTCCTGAAAGCGACTTCGCTGCCAAATAAGGTTCAACTTTCCTATTATGATAGACAAATTGATTTTACAATCAATGATAAAGGTTTATACCTATAGACTTCAATTTCCCAAAGGAAATAAAAACATTAAACGCAGTTAGAACAATAAGATGAAGGGCTTTGGCTTTGTTTTATGCCTGCTAATTGGCATGCGTGAGACAGTGCCTTTTATACGGATGGCTATAATCATAATAGACACGCGCTCTTCACGAAACACAATGGATGCCAATACATGACAATGATCAAATTAGAAGTACAGTGCGGGTAACACATCTTTTGGAAAAAACTGAGAAAGGTGCCACATGGACTCATGATAACACTTTTTAACTGAATAATTGTGACCGAGAATAAGCTTTTTTATCCCATTATTTCGCATGTTTTGTTGCTGCCCGCCAGTAGTGCAAGAAAAGATTTGCGTTTTTTGCACCATAAAAGCCTCTATTGAAACCAGAATAGTAGCAGAGGTACTACATTAGGGGAATATATGTATTATTTTTGATTTTAGCTCATATGAAAGTTGCTGGTTGTTTATTTCAGACAGATGATCTATTGGCTTTCAAAGATCGATCGCCCTCAGCAAATGTTCATTTGCTCATCATACCCAAACACCATATAGGAACAGTTAGAAACCTTACTCAAGACGATATACCCTTATGTAATTATATGTTAATCGTAACAGTTTCCATTCAATAAATGTGATACATTATAGCACTAACCCTTTAAAAATCAAACAGTAGAAAAAATGCTAATCTTAGGCAAGCAATTACTGCGTGAACAAGGCTATGATGTAGAAAATATGTCTCAAATTAGGTAATCTTGCCTGTCGTTTAATGCATTTCGCTGTGTGTTATCGACTAACGATAAGGAATATTCTGTGGTGCTGCCATAATCAAAAAATCAAAAAAAAAAAATTAGACTCGGTTTCCATGTTCCGCCTTTCAATTCAGTAAATCATTTGCACATGCATGCCATAGGTTTGCCATTCATAAATGGACTTAGAAAGTGCAAATATCAGCCAAGAACTATTTGGTATGCGGATGCGAAGACTGTGTTAGAACGTCTCAAAGAGAGGATGAAACCAATTTGAATGATATCATCCATGTCTAAGGTGCCGAGAATTATTCATATTTGTTGCGAATCATACCGGGCAGTAAAAGGGATAGCCTGAACCCTGTCCCCGCGTCCTTACTTTTTATTTGATTTTAGCATAATTCATGCATCCACATGGTGCGCGCACAAACACAAACAAAGGAAATTTTCGAAGCCTAAGTTTAAAATGTTTAGGGTTATCGTATTTCTAGCTTAATAGAATAAAGTACCGCTTTTCGTGCTTTCTTTCTTTTTATCAGTACTAGTATTTTGATATTTACCAAATAATCTTTTATTGATAAAGACCTTCGTTATTGGAGCTTATCTAATGCCATAGTAGTAATCTAATATGCCCATATTGAACCAAATCAAAAAAATATTTCGCAATTCGGCCTCTCAAAAAGCAGATATGGATCTTTTAGACGACGATGAAAGGGAGGCTTTCTGAAAGTTAGAGTTGCCTCGCTATGATGCTTTGGCTAAGCAATATATCGTAGTCAAGAAATTGGGAGCGTATGTTGGGAAACACTAAACAGCATTATTCGGAAAAAGATCATTAATCCCCTTTGTATGTATGATAGTGGTGCATTCTCTCAGGTCTACAAGGCTATCGATAAAAAAACTGGTCAACGTGTCGCAATAAAAGTAGTTAGAAAGTATGAAATGAATTTATTAAAGGTTGGATAGTGTTTATGCTCAAAAAGATCACGGGTACTTATCGTACAACAGTACAACCGTATCACTTATATTATTTTCTTATTTCCATACCATGTAGAGGACCAGCGTGCAGAAAGAAGCTGAGATATTGCGTAGCCTGGATCATCCTTGTATTACCAAGTTACTCGCATTTGAAGAAACCAAAGACGTAAGATATATAGTATCCTTTTTCTGAAGGAAACGCGTTTTTGATTCTGACGCGAACTACCTTCAACATTCATGCGCTGGTCCATAAATATTTTTGTTTCGGCATCACGAAACAGTACTTTTTCTTAGTTATAGAATTGCTGAATGGTGGTGGTGAAATATTTCAAGAAATTGTTCGCCTGACTTATTTCAGTGAGAATCTTGCTCGGCATTGTATACAACAAGTAGCGGAAGCTATTCGCTACCTTCACGAAGAAAGAGGAGTTGTACACCGAGACATTAAGCCAGAGAATATTTTATTTGAATTTATTCCATCTTCCATATTCCATACAAGGGCTTCGGTACCTTCAGCGGCAGTCGAAGCATACAACAAGACGGATGGTGAGTATGCCAACAAAAGAGATGAAGCCCTATGTTCCTTGGGTATAGGTTGTGGAAGTATTGGCAAGGTTAAACTTGCTGATTTCGGCTTATCAAAAGTTATTTGGAACGAACAAACCATGACTCCTTGTGGTACAGTTGGCTATACAGCACCCGAAATCTTATTAGAAAGTTGCTATTCCAAATCGGTCGATATGTGGGCTCTTGGTTGTGTACTTTACTCGATGTTGTGTGGTTTCCCACCTTTTTACGATGAGAGTGTACCTGTCTTGACTCAGAAAGTCGCCTCTGGACGTTATACTTTTATGAGCCCCTGGTGGGATGATGTGTCACTAGAAGCCAAAGATCTCATCAGCCATCTTTTGGAAACTAACTCAAAAAAACGGTATACAATCAGTCAAGTTCTACGTCATCCTTGGATGAACAAGCAAGTAAGCATTGTTTTGGAATAACTTTCACTTTAGATACATAAGGTACTTTTATGACACTAACTAGATAACAACTGCCATTCTATCTATTTTACAAGAACATATCATTTCAATCGCAGCCTACAACTATTGATTCCTCATCGAACAACTTGGATACAATCATAAGTAGAGCAAGTAAAGGAAATGCAGAACTACAACAACTGGAAAAGAACATTTTGCAAGCAGGCAGATATTCTGTGAAAAGCCGCTCTGCTGATTCAGTGCACTCTATTCCATCCTTTCCAGTCACTACTTCCACACCTACCTTAGCGGAAGATACCATGACCACGAGTACGAATACAACAGCAGCAAACTATATAGTAAACCCACCACCTATGGTGCCCTTAGTTCATTCATTACCTAGAGACATCCCAGGTACGACGTTTCGGAAGATGGATGACTACCATTATAATTTTCTTCCTAGTAGTCCAGTGGCAATGAAAGAATCATTTAGCATTTCTTATAATGTTCGTCGAATGGAGGAAGAGCGAGTGCAACAAGTAATCAACAGAAATGGGTTACGGAATTTTGCAGTTGATAATCTCAGAGCCTTCCAAACCTCGTCGTCTTTTCTTTCAGTCAATGAAAAGAATGAAGATGACAGCAGTTATAGTGTCTGTAGCATGCAACATGATGAGAATTTACGTCAAAAAAGTGGAGCAAGTGACCAGCTACCACAACAAACGCAGGCTTATCTACATGATGATATGTCCACTGAAGAAATTGTGTTAAGCAACGGCTTTCTACAGATGGGGCTTACTGCTAACCCCAACAAAACACATAAGCATATAGTGTTGAAGAGCTTGACTGCTGAAAAAAATCAAGCAGCTAATGCAATGAACCGAACAATGAAAGCTACTTTCGATCTGAACTTGAAGGATTCAACACTGTTTGATCGGCGAAAGAAGAGTTCATCTATTATATGAGCAAGATACTAATTTTGTTAAAGAATACAAGCATTCGAACAAATGCATATTGTTCAGAAATGTTCTAAATATGACAAATGGCCTTCCATAGCAAAGTTTTACGAACAATGTCGTAACTGTTTTGGTTTAGGAATTTTACTTTACTTATTCTTTACACGCAAAAAAGCCTCTTGATCAAAATGAAGATGGGCACTCTTCTGATTGACAAAAGTGAAAAGCCTTATTGCCACGGACCAAGTGCTGGTATTAATAAATGGTAACAGTTTATGAATTTGAATTTGAATTTGAATTTCCTTTTTTCTTTTTTTGTTCGAAAGTGTCCTTCACTTTTTCTGTATACATGTATGTGTGTGTTTGTATATATCTGTGTATTGTGAACAGCGAATATAGACTATAGTATCTAGTTGAACAAAGCTAATTTCAGGAGTACTCCGTCCTCGAAATCTTAAAAATTGTTCTTCCAATACTTCGCTGCGGTAATTTAGCAAACATTTTCTTGACCAGAAGCTTTGGTGTTGAGGATCAAAGCAACGATAAGACCATAAAGGCCTAAAACTTCGGCGAAAATCAAGATCAAGACCTATACACATATGTACAGTTAAGCAATTGAATTAGCTACCACAAATGCTCATAGATTAGTGCACTCGCGTCAATGTTCTTCTCTGATTTACCATGCCGACGAACATTCTGGGTTGCTGAGCGGTAGCACGGACACCAGCATCACCCGTAATACCAATAGCGATACCAGCTAATATAAATTTCCAACACATCAGTTCAGCAATGCTGAGGTATCCCATATACATAAGTAAAAAAGAACATCTTACCAGCAAGACATGAAAGACCAACAGAAAGACCAGCAGCCATTTGAATAAAACCAGTAAAAAGCGTTTGCTTCATAGCAACTAGATTCGAAACAAATGTAAATAAATGTGTTGAAACACTCAAGGGTGAGAAAGACGATACTCACGACCACCAGACAAAAGGACAGAAACAACGACACCATAAATACCCAAGATACCAGCCATGACAACAGGAATAATACACTTCAATACTAAATCAGGACGTAAAACACCCATAGCGGAAAGACCAACACCAGATTTAGCTGTACCATAAGCGGCACCGAGACCTATAAAAAAGACAGCATGGATTCGTTTTTAAAAATTTAGGTTAACATGAGTGTCACCCAAAATGACTAGGCTAAAAAAAATAACTCTCATTGTCTTTAAGAATATATGTAAAGTCAACAGTAAAAAACGGCAGTTAGAGTCAACAAGTGTCCCGCAGAAATAATGGACATGAAAAGTATTGACTTCAGAATTGTTTACACGCGTATATAATTTAATACGTGATTGTGGAGCATTCCGCTTCGGGATGCTTCAACTGCCCCTTTTCTGTTTCTTCTTTACTGATGCAAGATGTCAAATAACTTACAGCTGAAAACAATTGCAGCAGCACAACCCATAGTACCAAAGAAAGGTGCGTAAACAGGACTTGAAAAAAAAGTATAAAAGAAGTTTCTTTAGCTTTCAATGATGCAGATGAAACAAAAAAGTTAAGTGTTGTGAAATGTCAGAACTTACCAGTATTCACTCATTTTATATGTATTATATCTAGGCACTGTGTGGTAAAAATAAAAATTTTATAGATATGAATTCACTTAGTCCTAACTTTACATTAAAAGCTCAACTCACAGAAACTGTAACGTTGCTAAAAGCTGTGTTGTCAAGATGCGTTTAAAGTTGAAGAAGAAAAAGAAGAAGGGAAAAAATTTGGAACACTCATCTTTATCGCACTTTCAACCCACATATTGACGTCGTCGCTGCTGCAGTTTTGATTGTTTGAATCTCCGTTACGTTTGCATTCCATTGCTAAGGATGCCTGTTCGTCGAGTAGATAACCACAGCGCAAAACAAAAAAAAGGTAAGGCCGAGAACTTCAAGCCATATAAACTAAGGTAAGCTCTATAAAGCGAAAACTTTACTTAATATGTATTGCTTTCTACTGAGCTAGTCTACGGGTATTATAAGCATATTATATTACAATTGAGATTATAGATATTTCAACTATAGTGCAGGAGCGCTATTAATGATGTAAATAATGATTATGGGTTTTGAAAATTAATAAAGATGGAGAAATAAATTGAACTTTGCTGATATGAAAAGGAAATCACTTGTTCACTAAGACTTTTGACTGTGGAAGTCTCTGTTCAAGGCCTCAATTGATGAAATAGTGCCAAAAATTAAACCAACCACGCCGATCAATATGGTCAAAACCGCCAACACGTAGTCCCACCAAGCCTTGCCGCGGATACCTGTAAGCTTATAATAAAAGATTACAGGAAGCAGGAATACTACTGCACAGTTCGCAAACGCACCTAAAAGAGACATAAAATCACCAAAGAAGGGTACAAAAACAGCGATGACGCAGATTGCGACTATAAGACAGCCACGGAGCAGGAAACGTAGACCCCATTCTACGAAAAAAGAGCGATGTTCAGGGTTGATTTTCAACATCTTTTCAACATCAATTGAGAAGGAGGTGAGTAAAATAGGTGTAGTCAGAATCAGATGAATGGTGATGATAATGATAGAGGCGAATTTTGGGGCTTTGTAGGTGTTGGAAAGTGAGTCGTAAATAGGTGATTTGGCTGCGACACCGTATACGTAATAGCCTGGAACAGCAGCTAGAAAATAGATAAGAAGACAGAAACTAAGGCTGGCAGTGATAGTCCAAAACCAATGATGACGATTACGCATGCTGCCTTCAATATGAGGATACACAGGGTTGCCACCAAAACTGAAAGAGATAGAACTAAGAGCAATTGGGAACATGTTCCAGATAACATTATCGTGATGCACGCCTACATGATCTGGCGCTTCTTGAACTGCTACGCCCAAAACAATCAAAATAACCACAACAGTAGACAACATACCAAATATGCCTAGTAAACTGATCTCTTTCAAATTTCTGAAAAATAAATAGGGTGCTGCGCAAATAGCTGTACAAATAATCGTCCAAATGGGAAAGGTCAACTCTGCTGATGTGCCTTGCGCTACTGTATGTAAATTTTGCCCGGAAAGTAGAAGATAGAGTACAGGTACACCGACCAAAATAATCGAGGTAAAGAAGAACGATAGCCAGCCGCCAATCTTTCCGAAAGCCTCTTCAGCAATTTCTTGATAGGAACCCAAACGCTTCTGTCCATCATAATACATGGAACGTACCAAAATAAGGGCGGTATCTATTTTTTTTTTTTTTTTTTTTTTTTTGTATGAGTAAAAAAAAGTAAAAACTTTCCCTTAATCTTTGGTTGCCTTACAAATTGCTAAGATCCAACTAAGAACCAAAATGAAAAGACCGATCCAACCTCCTAGAGCTAATGCGTAAGGCAGACCAAGAGCACCTGTACCGGCAACAACACAGACAATGTTGAAAAATGCTGCAAAACTGGAACCTTGATTTGATCTATCAATACCAAATTCTACATTGCCGTTAACAGTCGCTGAATCTTCATCTGTTATCACTTCTTCTAGCACAGAAATCAAGAATTGGAAAAAAAAAATTTATTGTTATTCATGGTTAAGCCCTTCATCATCTTAGATACAAGCTTAATAAACCATACCCGCTGATTGGTACTCATTGATGTTTTGTTCATCTTTGTCCTTTATCGGTGACGAGAAACTCGCTTTCTTTTCTGTTATAAAGCCTCTCAATCTGTTCATGTATTTGTAAGTTGTACCGATCAGAGATAGTGGAATCTGACGCTTGCTGCGATTGTTATGTGATTTACAAGAATTGAAAAAGAATAAAAAGCAATGAGAGAGAGAAAATCTACAAAGATATATTAACAATATAGTTGAGAAGATAAGAAAAAAAAAGAAAAAAAAAGAATAATACTGAAGAGAAGGGCCCTAATTCAAATATGACATGTAGTTGACAATTATAGGCGGAGAGAGCGGCAATTCACTCCTGCTCTCCTGTAAAACCTGTAACTGTCTGAGACAAACGAGAGAGGCAGCAACTGTTTGGTAAAAAAAAATTTTTAACTTCTGGAGACCGAAACATGAAGAGTCATGATGATTCTGCTTTTAAATTTTTTTAAAATGTATTATAAACAAAACAAGTAATGTCAACGTATCAAGGATCCGTTTTTGTAAGTTATCTGATCTAGTCTTTTTCATTTGCTGCTTCATTTCTTGATCCATGGATTGACGTGATTGTACGCCATATTGCCTTTTCACCGTCCAGACCACGAACCTTATCCAATTGTCATACCAAACATTATTATCTTTCTCACGAGTCAAAAATAAAATTGCTGTGCAGGTAAATCCCTCACTCTGTCGCCTGCATGCGTTTAAAATTTAAAATACGCACGAGTTCGGTTACAATGGCTTTTGCTGGACTTCTGAGCGTGCAACGAAGATGCTCTTTTGTGATATACAAATGCCAACGTATCGGCAAATTTTCAGTCTATACTAACGTATGTTAAGATAGGCATTCCTTTTCCTCCAAATATATATCTGTCATGAATGTTGTTTCGTGTATGAACGGATTTGTTGCAAAAGCTGCCGTCTCTTCTGAGAGACTATGTTTCATTTGCAACAATGCTTGCTTACTACTAATCTAACTGATTGAATAATTCGGGAAGCCAGTAATCCGACATTTATTGAAGGAATCCCGACCCGAGTAATTTTCCATTAATAATGTTCTCTGAACGTTCGTTATTGCATGTACAAGGAATAGAGAGGTGGCTGCTGTTTGATAATTATAGAACTTCAGTACCACTTTATGGTAGCCTCAAATCTCATTTTTGGTACTTATCGAAAACCGTATTAAACCGAAGCATAATGATGCATTAACCAGAAATGACTTTTATTATAACCAAAGAACTAGAGATAATGATAAGCAAGTATTACAAGAGGGTTGGTTTTTCCGTTTTTCTATTGTATAATTATGAAAGACTATTATCAAGGAGACTAATGGTACTGGGAATAAAATGACGTAGCTACTGGAGTGGTCGAACGTTGTTGTTGATGGTATTGGTAAGAGCTATGATACTGTTGGTTGTTGGACGGCAACTCACTTCCAGGCCTGCTATTCATGGAGAACGCCTGTTGTGGTGATGGTGACATCATATACGTATTACCATTACTATTATTCATGTAAGGCATTTGATACAAGCCATTACCATTCCCTGCAGTGATGCTCATAGTAGGTGGCTGTTGTTGGTAATAATAATCGTATAGCGGGTAACTGTCGTTGCCCAATAGCATCTGTTGTTGTTGAGTAGCTGCAGCCATTTGTTGTTGAAACTGCTGTTGCTCCTTTTTATACTTTTTCATTTGCTCTTCATGCTGTTGTTGTACTTGCTGGAAGTTAATATTGTGAGTACCCTGTTGAGGTAATCTGCTCAACAAACCGCCTTCGAATTTAGCTTCCATTTGAGCTGGATTCATTAATCGTGGTAATTTATTGTTCTGTCTTTTTGCGTCAGCTTTTTCTTGTTCCCTTTGCTTGATAAGGTCCATACCAGATAAAGCGCGCATCTGTTGTTGATGATGCTGATAATGCTGATGATGTTTCTTTTGCTGTTGCAGTTGGGGCGTTGCGCTAGTATTGGTCGAAGTTGTGCCATTTGGATGATGGTGATGATGATGATGTTGGAAGTAATGTGAAGGATAAAAAGAATGTTGCTGCTGCTGCATAGAGAGGTGCATTTTAGGGGATGAATGAGAAGATGAAGAAGCGGCGGAAGAAGCTATCTGCTGTCTACTAGTCAAAGTGTGGTCCTCCTCGCCCCCATCGCCTCCTTCTGCGCCTCCACCTCCTCTGCGACTATGACTACTGCTGTTGCTGCCACTGCTAATTCCTCTGTTACCATAGATATTGTATCTGCTCAAGTCTTCTGTAGAGATCGATCGATTTCCTAGCATGATTTGAGGTATACTGCTACTACTATTTGTTACTGCTGCAGTATGATGGTAATTTATTTGCTTATAATGGCTGCTATCACTGGAGTGGCGTTGCTGTTGTGGTTTCTGTGGTTGAGTTTGATATGCTTGTTGTGCCAAAGTGGGTGCAGATTTGTTGAAAGGCAGCATTAGATTCAATCCGTTGCTTACAAGCTGGGGTGCGGCTAATTGCAAAGATCGATTTTTGTTCAAAGTATTGTTGAGCTTTACAGAGAGTAGGATATCATTGTCGTCGTCATCGTCTTCTTCTTCATCCTCTTCATGATCTTCCAATTCGTCGTCTATATTAAGAAAGGGATTTTAAAATAAGTTTAAAGTTTAGCTATATTTGCAATTCTATAAGAGAAGATGATAAATTAGGATAGAAAAAAATACAAATGGATAGAAGGAGATGTGAACGCGGCTTGTCTATCTTTGTACACATAAAAAGGGGATGACAATAAACAACCTTTTGGTTGTTGACATAATGAATTACCTGTGCTGACTTCATCATCGCTTGGTAAGGGCACCTTGGACCTCTTATTTGTTGCCACTTCATTTACTAATTTCTTTGTCTTGTTGTTGAAGTTTGCTTTCAAGCGAGCCTTTTCAAATGCTTCCTCTAGTACTTCGTCTTCTTCATTATCAGAGCTTTGGTAAACGTCCTGTTCGTCTTCGTCTTCTTCATCTTCACTCGGTACACATTGCGTGTTACGACTACGAGGCCTATATGAATCTAGACGTTTACAGCTGTCAGTAAATATGGTTAGAAATCAGTCGGATCGGATGCTGGAAAATTTTACCTCCTCTAGGTAACGAATTTGTAGTATTAGCAGGGTTGTTGGTAGTCGTAGAATCAGCATCAAAACGGATATGATGGAACGCTTCTATCAAAGTCTGGTCAATGACAGTAGAAGACATTTACCACTTTAGTGAGTTAGGGATTGGAAGCGAAAGAAAAAAAAAAAAAGAAAAAAAGGGCAAGGGTATCAGGAATAAGAAAATAAAAAAAGATGAAAGAATTTAAGGTTATTAGACAAAAATAGCAAATTTATATGTTTGCACAGAAGGGTGGAATATCAACGCAGCCATAGAAAATGAGAAATGCATGCTTGCTTAACATGAGGTCTCGTTTTTTGACACTGTTTTAAGTGCCAAACTCCCCCTTTTTATGTAAATAACCTACAAGTAATCCATTCGTTCAATTTGTGGGGTTACACATACATCACAGAGCAGCAGCAGCAACAGCATGCATGTTAAAAAAATGAAATGTCGCACACGACTTTCTCTTTTGATACAGTACTTTGCTTCCAATACTCAAATTTTTGTTGCGGATTTCATCTTGTTAGCCATAGTGATCTGTCGACCAGTTTATTGATTCTATATTAATATTGCCTCCATCTTCATACATTGCTAAAGGATTTTTTTGAGTGGCGAATCCATCTCTTACAGTTTTCCGCTATAACCATTTTAGCTGCGTCTTCGATACTGTCGGATTCATATTGCGAACTTCCCTCAAACATTCTATAACGGGTTTCAGCATGGGTGAGTATGGCGGTAATAATAATGCATCGTGGCCATAATGCGTATTGCTTAATCTACTCGTATGTTATTGGGAACTGTTGCATTATTAATTACATTATACATATTATGCAACCTCAATTTGTTCAACACGACTGCCATTTCTCACATAAAACCAAAACTTTTACCTTAACTGGCCCCATGGAAGAGGCCCCTTTTATCAATGGCTACCTTCTGCTTTTTGCAACCTTTGAGAATTGGCTCTCACACCACAATGGAACCTTAGACGGACAGGCATTAGAATGGTCGAGTTCGAACCTTCAAGTTGGGTGATTCTTTCTTCAACCATGCGGACGCAGCAGTTAATTTTGCCAAATAGTGTAAAGCAGTGAAACGCATTACCTATCATAAACAATGCTATTTTCCTGTAGAACGCTTTTTATCACTAGAATGTTTAGCTGATATGGAACTTACCGGTTATGTAGCGATGAACAGTAAATTGAGTAACTAGAGAGTGTTCTTTCTTGATCTGAATATTGTCTCTTTTTCCTGACTATGTTATCGTTACCTTCCTTATTCATTATTGAATTTCTAAGCCATGGAATATTCAATTCTAACCTGTAGCAGCTTTAAAACGCTTTCATATTCCTGTTTAGTTAAAGAAATGAACTGAACGATCTTCGATAGTTTGTACGTGCAGACCATATCTGAGTAGTACTTGGCTTAGATTACGTCCATCCCATATCTCAGTATATGCAAGTAAACCGTGTTTTAGTGTCACTAATGGCTTTAATATTTGTTCTAGAACCAGCAGCTTTATTCATTATTTTTATTCTGTGTAACTAATGAAATATACAAAGATCTTTACTAATTAGTTCATTCTATAATTTGACGTTTGGGTCACTTTTCAGTATGCCAAAGAGAGAAAGAGCTAATTACTGACAGTGAAAATTGTATACAAAGCTTAGGGAGCGTCTCTTAAACGGCACATGACCACCAGCTGTGTATAAGGGACATATAAGTAACTTCTTGAGCACCTTCTTAATTAAGTCAGCAAAACGGACGAGACATAACAAAAAGTTTACTTACCTAAAGTGTTGGCAGTGACTCTGTATTGTGTGAAAACGAGCATAATAACTGGTGTTATATCATTCATACAGCTGAGCAATAACCTTTGACTGAGGAAAAAAGATCGTAGTAATAAGCGGGCATCAAAACAAATGTGCTTCAGATCATGAAGTTACTGAGGTCGTTCTATAGTTAGTTTGCTGTAGCATTTCGAATACAGCATGCAGATAACATTACTGGTATTGAAAAACTGAAAAAGTTCTATTAACCACAATCAAGCTGTTCAAACAGTAAGAGCAAAAAATTTTCGAGAATGTTCAATTAATATTAGTTTGTGTCTTGAATTAATTAAGAAGTAAAAAGCATTTTCAAAAAGAAAGCAGTATTCGGCATAAATCTCTCCAGGCTTCTGTGGAGAATAGGATGAATGGGCTAAGAATGACATCAGCTAAAGAGAAGTACAAGCAATTGCTATAGAACCATAAAATTCTTTAAAATGATGTTTATAAGGATGTATGGCTGCTCATTAGGGTAAATTTTCTTTAAAGAGGTAAACTGTTTACTATGCATAATGTTTTGATCCAAGTTAGATTGAATTCGGGGGGTATCGCAAGTCTCATTCTGAGCTTGTTCAGTACTCCATCACAAGCGAAACGTGATGTCAAGACGTAAATAGTGTATGGGTTGAATATAGAGTTTGGTATATACAAATCTCTTGACTATTTCAATTATTTAGTAGATGAGCTTGGAAGATTCACAACAATGTTCGATTGTTCAGTGAAAGTGAATACAGAGGCACAACGGCCCACGTTTTCGGTCCAGTACTCAAAAACTATCGCTCCATTAGCTACGCTAAACCCATTTGGTCACAATTGAGTCAGATTTTACATTGGAAATATTAGATTTTATTCAACTAAAGCATTTGAAATTAAATGGATTTTGTACAATAGCTAAAAGTAGCTTACAAATATCTTTCACAAAAGTTTCTGTCAAACAATCAGTCCAACGTGGGACACAGTTCGCAGGTGGCACTATGTAGTTCTTGACGGACTGCCTTCTGGTTAGCCTACCTTATTTATGGTATTGATATCATGGAAAACAGATCTGATTGTTGAAATGGGAAAAAAGAATACCAGGAATATATCAACTACGTTAGGTTATCTGTCTCTACACTTAATTGACTCAACGTAGGCAAATACTTCTTACAATGCAACGCAACAAGAATCTATCAACTTGCAAGAGCATGCTGTCAAATATTGCTTGTTTTACCTCTCGGAACAAGATTGATCTTTGTGAGTAAGCTCACTTTGTTTTATCACATTTGATAATGTTTCTCTCAACCGATGTATTCTCTGGATCTTTTAAAATACTTTTTCAATTTTGCTATCTGAATAAGGCCGTATTTGGTACAAGAGTTGCTGATATTTATGCATCTAATAATAAAAAAGATATGGATGATATCCGAAGGTGTGTTTTAACAAATGCATTATTAATAATTGAACTATCCAACTTTCCACAGTTATATTGTCAAGCAGGCAAAGGGACCAGAAGGAGACTAATTGCAACTCCTGAGCAAAAATACACACCAAACTTGTCGTTTATTTTGAGTGCTAAAATATGCTTATAAATGTGATAGAAATTATCAACTTTCTATCTATCAACTGTAAACAGCAACACCTTATCTTTCGTCATAATAGCTGGCTACAATTGGAAGAAGATATAGAGTGTTCAATGAAACTTAAAAGTTGACACCTGAGTAATTTGGCTTTAGATTTGAAAGTTCTGTTAGTGAGGCATTTATATGAAGCTGGTTTTTTTTTTTTTTGGTATATGATGGAAGTAATAAATGAGGGAGAACAAAATTGCAAGAGAAGGGGACTATAGAGACTGGCTATATGAAATACTGTAACAACTACTAAGAATGTTAATCTTGGCCAGATAAGTAAGAAGTAAGCGCTCAGAGTAGCGGTTGAGAGGAATAGTGGCTTCGAAAGCATACTTTCACTAACAATTCCAAAATTGGGTCGTAAACATAACTAACATGAACGTAGCAGGGTTGGGGACGATAGATTGCAAAGAAAGATCGATCAGAGTACAGTCGACAATTTTACGTAAATCTGAAGCCATGGAATTTGCAGCACGTTGGACCAGAATGTACCATTCTTTAAAACGATCAAAATCGTCGTAATTCTTCTGCAATTAAGTAACAAAGAAAACAGACAGTATTGGTTATGACGTGGTATAGAACCAAAACGTTCAAGGACGGGCCATATCGTGTAATAATGTGATAGCAGATTGTGCAGTCTTGATGATACACTGGAATATACGAAGGCAATAGATCATATATTGCTTTGCTAGTAGCTTTGTTAGTAAGCTACCTGCTAAATATAGTTCGAACGTGCTTTTAATACAGAGAAGGCGTAAGCTTCGTCCATTTGTTTCGTCGGCGAGTGGTAGCAGCGAGTTGGCATACAATCCTGGGTATCTTTGTATTTTTTATTTTTTTTTTCAAAAGCATAGACACTATCGTTGAGAAAGCCTTTTCATTGAAAGGTAATAAATCTGCAAGTTGCACTTTTGAGACACAGAATGAACAGCCGAAGGAAAAGAATGAGGACCAAATATTGAAATTAGATTGGAGAAGGATCGCGATAGCTATCATTTTTATGGTAAAAAGTGACATAGTTGGTGGTTTTGTTGGGTACAATGTTAAGTTAGATATTCTGTATTCAATTGTATAACATTGATATATTGAATAACAGGATCAACGAAGAAGAAAAAGAAAAAGGAAAAAAAAACAACTTATGCTTATAAAGCTGTAGCTGGCACGCAAGAGAATACATTTACTAAGAGGATAAAGGATGGTTATTTACCAGTGTATGAAGCTGTCCTTAAAGGAGTAATCTGTGGGTATGTTGATAAATCTTCTTATCGGGAAGCTGAAGAATCTTATCGGATACTGATGTAATTTACTTGTAGGCTGCGAAGATCAATCATTCATGAGCCACGGGATAACAAGAGAATTTAGCATATATACGAAATTTGAGAATTGTATGATTTTGTACGGGAATTGACTGACGGAATATATCGCGTCTATAGAGTTGAGATATGATCGATCAAATCAAGAGTGGCCAGCAGCATATCACATATGGGCCAAATTTGGGAAGCTGTAGTAGAAAAAATTACAAGTAGAATGATTCGGCCATTTTCTAATTATAAGGCAACCACCTGTGAATAGGAGTCTGGCCACTTTACCGGGAGTATACTTTAATGATTGAGTGGCTGCAATTTGATTACTATTTCAACTTTACTTTCTATCTTGAGGTTACGTTGTTGATATTTTTTGGTTATAGATAATGTACCCTTTGATAACAATTTTTGCACTGGAGGATGGCATAGTATAATATGTGGCCTATCAAATTGTTAAAACAATACTATAAGAGGATAAGATAGACATAGGGTCTATAACCTAATGCAATGATAAGCTTTTCCTATCCCAAATCTCGGATAGAAGGCAGTTAATTCGACAAAAAATTGCATCTCCGTATTGAAATGACTCTGTGTTTGTAAATGGGACATAAGCCACGGCGTGCCTGTTGGTGGACTGAGATAGCCAATCAGTTTTAGATTTGATTTGTTCATTACAGATAAAACTATACTACCAGTAGCTTTATAAAAAGCTTACAAATACTACAAGAGTTAAGCATATGATAGTAATAGATAAGCAATTTATGCATAGAATGATATAATTTAGAGAAAAAATAGGTAATGGGTATATTCAAAAGATTCACGCAGCACGTTCTTGAGCCTGTATTTTATTGCCATGCTTTTAAAGTCACTGTATACTATAGATATTGCTGAAATATGATGGGATCAATTAAAGGTCATCCTATCACAATCCAATCATTCATTAGACGGGCATGTTTGTATCACAGCTTATTTGGCTGATTGTAATTCCCAGTTGCCTTAAAAGGTTATTTTTACTTTTGAATTTCTAACATTAGTGTATATAGCAAAAGGTGAAGAAATCAAGTGCACATTTGCAGCTTTTTTAGAAGTGATGAGGCTCTCATACAGTTGTGTATCAAACAACTGCCGCCGCTATTACATAATTTACTGGTAAGAAAGTTCAAGGCGGGTAATTCAGATCAAATAAGGGCAATAATTTCAATCCTGAAACGTGGAAAAAAAAAGGTCTAAATCAGGGCTTTAAAAAGCGGGGTAAAAATTAAAACTCCACGTAACAAACCCAGGAGATGACACACAGGGCATGTGTTAATTTCCACCAAACAAAACTGAAATATACCATTAGGAGTAAGGAAAATATATTCAGATCCAACAATACAGTTTTTTTTCCTAATACGTTTTATTTATTAGGGCCCTTTTCCTTTCCTTCTTTTTTTTTTTTCTTTATAGTTTTACGCTAATATACTATGTTTTTGTCAACACGAATCTCAACCTCGATGAGCAATGCCATCCGACATGGTCAAAGATTATGTCGTCGTCATTATGGTTTACCTGCTTCAGCTATTAGTATGGGATCTGATCCCCGAAAAGATAAAAATGTACAACTGACTCCTTTGAGAGGCGTCAACGTCTTACACGATCCCTTACTCTCAAAAGGTAGGTAGCACTTAAGTGGCTCCAATGAACAATCCTTATCTTAACGTACCTCATCTGCATCAACTCAGGTACGGCTTTTAGCTTGGCCGAGAGAGAACGTCTTTCAATTCGTGGATTGGTTCCTCCTCGCTGTCAAGAAATGGATAAACAGCTTTTACGAATTAAACGTAATTTGGATGCTTTGGGCACACCGTTGGCCAAATTTGTTTTCTTGACTGCCCTTCAGGATCGTAACGAAACACTATTTTACAAGCTATTGATAACCTACTTGGATGAATTAGCCAGTGTCATTTATACCCCTACAGGTAAAGTAAGAAAAAAATTTTTATTTTTTTCTGTTTCTAATTAGAGTAACACTAGCTTTACTCGAAATTTTTCGTTATGATTATCCTAACTTTCATGATCTACATCGAAATAGTGGGCGAAGCATGTTTAATGTCACATTCTATATATCGTCGTCCCCGTGGTATGTATTTCTCGTCCCAAGATAGAGGTGTTATGTCCGCCATGGTACACAACTGGCCCCATGATGAAGTTGATGTCATCGTCGTTACAGATGGTTCTCGTGTATTGGGCTTGGGTGATTTAGGTGCCAATGGTATGCAGATCCCCATTGGTAAACTAAGTTTGGTAAGTCTGCATGAATAAGATGAGGAGTATAGAGACTACATTTGCTAAACAAATATGTTTCGCAAATCAAAAGTACGTTGCTGCAGGTGGTATTCGTCCTCGTTCAGTCCTTCCTGTTGTTTTGGATGTAGGTACCAGCAATGAAAAACTCTTAAACGATCCTTTATATCTTGGTATGGGACATCCTCGACTAGAAGGCGATGATTATTACTCTTTTGTTGATGAATGGGTGACGGCTATTCAAAGCAGATGGCCCAGTAAGTATTACTTATAATTCACAACTATGAAATGGATATAGATTACCAATAAGTTTTACTGATGAACTTTCTTTTTGATGATAAAAATAGATGCACTTATTCAATTTGAGGATTTCAAGTACCCTCATGCTTACAACTTGTTGAACAAATGTAAGTTCTTGCTTGCATAATTGTGACACTTAAACACAAAAATACGTTTATAGAATTGAACAGCTGCTAATCTCTATTTTTTTTAATTTCAATCGATGGACTTTTTAATTATTCTTCAATAGATCAAGATAAGATTACTTGTTTCAATGACGACATCCAATCTACTTCTGCTATTACATTAGCTGGTATTTTGGCTTCTCTTAAAGCTCGTGGCCGCCCTGCGGAAGCCTTGAATGAAGAACGTATTGTTTGTGTTGGAGCAGGCTCCGCTGGTGTCGGTGTGTGTGAAGGCATTATCGATGCTATGGTATCTCAAGGAAAGGTTAAATCACGAGAAGAAGCCTATTCACGTATCTATATGTTGGATCAACATGGCCTTTTGGGCAACCCTGCGTTGGCTAGAGATGAAGGGGAAGAGCAATCCATTGTAGGTCATGGTGAGCGCCAATTAGATGAACGTCAACGTTGTTACGTTAAAGCCAATTTAAGCGATCGTTTAAGTCTTGAGCAAGTCATTGAAAAAGTGAAGCCTACTGTTATTTTGGGCTTGACCGGTGTTCCTGGTGTATTTTCTGAAAAGGCTATTCGTACTATGGCAAAATACCAAGAAAAACCCGTTGTCTTCCCTTTGAGTAATCCTGATACCCGTGCTGAATGCACAGCTGAACAAGCTTTTAAATGGACAGATGGTCGCGCTATCTTTGCTTCTGGTAGTCCTTTCGCTGATGTTCCTTTACCTAGTGGTCGAATTGGAAGAACCAATCAATGTAACAACTCTTATAGTTTCCCCGGCCTCGGATTGGGTGTCACTGTTTCAAGAGCCACTCGCGTAACCCCTAACATGTTCTTGGAAACTGCCAAGACCATTGCTAACATGGCCACTCCTGACCAATTGAAAGAAGGTACATTATTCCCTGGTGTTCGCCAATTACGTGATGTTGCTTTGGCTGTTGCTACACGTGTATGCGAGGTTGCTTATGAGGAAAATGTCGCTACGGCACGTTTGAAAGAAGGCGAAATTTTGACAGATGTCGTCCAGAGTTCCATGTTTGTTCCTGAATATGTTCCTTTGGTCCATTCTCCCAACACTCATTAAAATCATCAAGAACAATCATCCAACAGCTATAGTTGCTGACATTCATGACATTCTCCCTGTCTTGTAACACTATACTCGATTTGGGGGCGTTTATTGCTAGATGAATAACATTTTATCAACAAATGCTATCTCCTTACCATTATATATAGATATTCATATTGTTAATCATAATTCCATAGACATATTTATACAATAATAAATTTTCGATCAAGTCATTCTAAGCATATAAACTCAAATTTTCCCTTATTGCATGAACAGTCAATGACGTCGCAAAACCTTACCCCTTCTCAACACCACTAATGTATTTGGCAACATACCCCCCCACCCCTCATCCATTACGCCACCCTTCAAAAAATATAGTACGGGGCCCTCCATCTGCACATTTACTGATGCATTTAATGATTTGGAATTGAGTGTTCCTTTTTGATAAATTATGTATGCGTAAAGAAGCTTCTTTTCTAAATATATATATATAAAATTACAAATTTTTTCCACAAGCAAAATTATCTTGTCTACGCTAGCTACTACGTATAGCCACTGTTTCCATTTTCTTTTACTCAGGAGCGTGAGAGAAAAGATAAGAGACTGATTCACCATTATGTGTTCTACGGATAGCTTCCGCAAGTGTAGGTGAGATGTCAATAACATCAAGTTTGGGACATAAGGCCTAGGTAAGAAGAACAACAGTAAGCACATATTACCAAAATCAAATCGAAAATCCTTTCTAAAATACTTACCATTTTGTCTTGGTGAGGAATGGTATTTGTAACAACCAATTTTTCGATGACAGATTCATTAATCACCTTAATAGCCTTGCCAGAAAGAATACCGTGGGCAACAATGGCGTAGACCTTAGTAGCACCGTTTTCAACAAGTGTTTTAGCGGCTAAACCAAGTGTACCGCAAGTATCGGCCATATCATCAACCAAGATGGCGATCTTACCAGAAACGTCACCAACCAAAACCATACGAGAGACTTCATTGGCACGCTTACGTTCTTTATGAATTAAAGCAAAATCGAGTTCGAGACGATCCGCAATTGAAGTAGCACTGATAAAGAATATTTAAATTAGTACAAACCACAACTCCCTTTGTTCTAATACGAGGGAAAGGAGACCCGGTAGTTAATATCTTACCGCTTGGCGCCACCAGCATCTGGGGAAACAATAATTGCATTTGTCCAGTCAGGGATTTGTGTTCTAATGTATTTGACCATAGATGGCTCACAATACAAATTGTCAACAGGGATATTGAAGAAACCTTGAATTTGAGAGGCATGCAAATCCATGGTAATCACATGATTAGCGCCAGCCACCGTCAACATATTGGCGGTCAACTTGGCAGTGATAGGAGCACGACTCTTGTCCTTTTTATCTTGACGAGCATAAGGAAAACAAGGAATGACGGCCGTGATGCGACGAGCAGAAGCAGTCTTACAGGCATTGATCAAAATCAAAAGTTCCATCAAATTATCGTTGATTTCACCACAACCAGATTGGATAATAAAGACGTCTTCGTCACGAACAGATTCACCGACAGTGACAGACGTTTCCTGATTGGAGTATTTCATTACAACAGCCTTGGCCAATTCAATACCAATACGTTTAGCAACGAGCTTGGCTAACTCAGGATGAGAGTTGCCGGTGAAAACTTTGATAGCGTTATCAGACATGATTTGTTTTTGTTAAATGAATGCTAGCTAGTTGGAAAGTAAGGTGCGAGAAGAAACTGAATTCTTTCGATAAAATGTGTTTGCTTTAAAGAAATTGGGAACTGCTGATGAGAGCGAGATATAAACTCGTTTTTCGTCTTCCCTTTTCGCTTTCGAAGGCTGTTAGTTGACGTTTTATTGTAAGAAAAATAGAAAGGAAAAAAAAAAAATTGTTCCAACAGCTGAAAAGGCTATAAAGAAAAAAAAAAAAAAACCCAAAAAAAAACAAGTCATGCGATTCAAACTCAACCAGATCATGGAATGCCTTTGTCATTGTTCCTACCACAATACTTTTTTGTTTTACATATCAAAGACTTTATTTTAGATAGCAATAAATTACAGTATTGAATGACAGAGGATACAAGTGTGAATGATATATAAAATTCTAACAAAAATGAGAAGTCTGTGGATTGACAGACCTTTCGGTAAAGTAAGCTTTTAAATCGATATATCATAAGTGATCCCTACTTGACGGAGACGATCAATCAAATCAGTTTGCCAAAATGCTGTGGCAGGAGTAAGTACACCATTTGGTATTGTGTTTTCCGATTTTTGGTTATATAATATTGTCAAGGCACATTGCAATACAATTCTTGGAGTTGCGACGTACCCTAATTCCGGACCACGCACTACGACCTTAAACGAGCGATTAGGCGGAACGTTATATTTAGGGGTCAAAGAGTGATCGTAACCTTTTGAACGAAGAATAATCTCAAATGACGTTTGTTCCAGCTGATTTTTTGTGGGATGGTTTCTTGAGAATATACCATATGAGAAGAATTCAGGATTTTTGAGTAACAGATTGCGTCCCCATGGACGACTAGCCAAAAATGAAAAGATGTAGCCGAAAACGGTAAATAAGATAACGGCCCATAATGAAGGTAGCAGAAGATAGGCAGCAAATTGAACTGGAGGTGGGACGGCATTCTGTGATTTATGGCTGTCTGTGAACGCTAGGTTATTGTAGAAGATTTGTTGTGATAAACGGACAATGGAGGGATCAGCGAAAAAGAAGGGAACGTGGTAACCAAATTCCTTATCGTAATGAACACCCTTATGGAATACAAGCTTTTGTCCGTCTGGATGAGGCAGTGGCTTCATCACGGAGGCTTTTCTTATTTCTTTGAGAAGCTTTGCTGAGCCAAACCCATGAACCGCTGATTCGAATGTCGCAAAGCCTCCTCGTAAGCCAGCAGGTCCTGTATGTATCTTGAGAAACATTTCAATCTGATTAGGCTTCCAGCCGTGCTTTGTATAGAGGCTCTTTGTATAGAGCACACCTATATCGGTTGGGACCTGCGTGCAAGAAAATAACCATATTGACGTTTGGATTAGCTTGGCATTCTAAACAAAGTTGTTCGTAGTCTTTAAAAATTGATGCTTTACACTATCAAATCCACAAGAATGAACAATGGTAACTTTATTAGCTTTGGCTTTATCTTGATATGTACGCTGCATACGTTCAACAAATTCTGGTTCTCCTATTAACCGAAAGCAGTTGTTCAGAATTTTGGATGGTTCCTTCTGACCAATAACCCGCGCTATCGCTTTTCTACTGCTTCCTTATCCCTTACCTGTGACATCAACATAATGACAGCCGTTTTCTACACATGCTCGAACAACATATTCGCCCATAAAGCGGAAGGGGCCAACTGCATTAATTAATACTTTGGTTTGACGGGTCATATCATTCAATTGTTCTCTTTGCGTCACATTGACGATGAGGATACTAGGACGTGAAACACTAGCATTCGGAAATAGTTGCTCCATCTCTTCAATGACTTGCTCAAGTCCATGCTTGTTTCTTCCCGCAATGGCCCAACGAAATGAAGCACCACTGTTGTCAGGAGCGTTAGCTGCTTTGTAAAATTCAGGTTTATTGAGTGAAAGTTCGTAGATATGTTTGACAATATTTTTGCCAGTAAGCCCAGTAGCACCGAACACAGTTATATCAAATGCTTTATTCATGAGAGGAGTATGATGGTAAGGACAGAATACAGAAAAAAAAAAAAAAAAAAAAAAAAAAAAAAAAAAAAAGCAAGATGGAGTTTAAATACTTCAACTGCTGCCATCTGAAGTACGGAAATATTGTTATGTCGGTATCTGGCCTTGTGAAAGCCAGGATTAGGAGGCTCCTAACGTTTTACCGTAGAATGTCTTTTAAGTCTTATGATGAATGCATATATTGTTGGTGAAAGTGTATCCTATGAACTTTGAATTATTGGATCGGTGGCAATCTGTTTTTTCATACTACGGCTTTCCGTTTGAATGGTTCCATTGTTTGACACTGTATCGACATTGTTAATCCTCGATGGCTTATTCTTCTTCTCCCATTTATTCGGGTCTACGGTCTTATTTTTATTCTTTTTCTTGGGCTTCTTAATCAATTCACTTTGGCAAAGTAATTCAAGGCCTTGATTTTTGGTCCACATGGGGTACACTTCTTTTTCTAACTTTTCTATTTCCTCTGCTGTAAATTTGCCAAGTACGAACGCTGCTACTACCTCATAAGAGCGATCATCTATTTCCGGTGGGGGGCGACCAATACCAATTCTGACTCGCTTAAAAGCGTCTGTTTTCAGGTTGTCCATGACTGATTTGATACCATTATGTCCAGCTGCTGAACCACCATATTTTAACTGTACTTTTCCCAAGTCTCGTTGCATGTCGTCATGAAAGACATATAAATTGTTCAATGAAACACCCAGTTCCAGAGCTATAAGCAACATTTAGCCAGAAAACTCCTGTGTAATTTCTATTTGAAAATTGTCCTTTTACCTGCTTGAGCTACACAGGACCCACTGATATTCATTAATTTTCTCGGTTTCAACAAGGTGATGTGGTATTCCTGCGTTACATTGTCTTTGGTAGGTACTGTAATGACGGTATCTGTTATGTCCGATTTCCACCCACGTCGTTGAGTCCAGCTCAAGTTGAGATGTTTGGCAATGGCGTCGACAGTCATCATACCGACATTATGTCGAGTGCCTGGTAATGTCTTATTACCTAAACCAACAAGCTTGCTTTTACAATTTGCTCTTAAATTCATGTGTAAGCTATCTTCATTTTTGTGCACTATACTCATTACTTACCAAAATCCTGATCATCACTCAACAATATGATGCTTTAAAAAAGGAAAAGAGGATCGCTATGAAATACTACTGTAAGATCGGTAATATGTAGCTGTTTTTTAATTGGAAGGTGGGGGGGGGGAGGAAATAAAGAAACTGACAGAAGGAAATTTTAAAAAAATCAGGAGAACAGAGCAGGCAGAAAACGCGCTTTCCGAAAAGCAAGAAAAGTTTTAAATCGACTCTTTTCACCTTTATCTTACTTTTTCTCGAAACAAAGAAACAAAATGCAGGCACCTGTTCTTGTTATGAGTATGTTTTTTGTTCGATCGTGCTTTAACGGTTCACTTTTTTAAGTGGATGTTAGGAATCAGTAGTATTAAATGACTTACAAACTCTTTGCAATTGAAATTTTTAATGGTAGATACAAATATGGAACGTGAGTCAGGGCGTAAAGCTCAACTCTCCAACATTACAGCTGCAAAGGTATTCAGACATTGATTCAAGAAAATAGCCGAACTTGATCAACTAACAATAAGTGCTTTTTCGCAACATAACTCACTTAACAGACAGTTGCCGACGTTATCCGTACTTGCCTTGGTCCTCGATCTATGCTTAAAATGCTACTCGATCCAATGGGTGGTATTTTATTAACTAACGACGGAAATGCTATTCTTCGAGAAATTGAAGTAGATCATCCTGCTGCAAAGAGTATGATTGAGTTGTCTAGAACGCAAGATGAAGAAGTAGGGGATGGTACCACCAGTGTTATTATTCTCGGTAAGTTTGACAGGCAGTCGATGACTCGATAAACAGATGCATTCCTAAGAAATTCATTTGCATTATTGGGCATTTATACACACTTCATTTATGTCAAACAGCTGGTGAAGTCTTAGCTGGAGCTTTACCTCATATTCAAAACAATATTCACCCTATCGTCATCATCAGTGCGTTCAAAAAAGCGCTTGAGGATGCTTTGAAGATTATTGAAGAAATTTCCAATCCTGTGGATGTGAGCAATACCGAAGAGATGATGTCTCTCATTAAATCTTCTATTGGAACAAAATTTGTCAATACTTGGAGTGATTTGATGTGTAAATTGGCTCTGGATGCTGTTCGTTGTGTAGCTATTGAAGAAGAAAACACTGGTAAAATGGAAGTGGACTTGAAAAGATATGCCCGTGTTGAAAAGGTAAAGAACTGTTGGATTTCGCAAAGAAAAGCAAAAGGGATTTCTCACTTTCCTATTACTTTTGCTTTCTTTCAATATCAACATTAGATTCCTGGTGGTGAGATCGAACAATCCAAGGTTTTGGATGGTATTATTTTGAATAAGGATGTTACTCACCCAAAGATGCGTCGTCGTATCGAAAATCCTCGAGTTATTTTATTGGATTGCCCTCTTGAATACAAAAAGGGCGAATCACAAACAAACATTGAAATAACGAAGGAGGCTGACTGGAATCGTATCCTTCAGATCGAAGAAGAACAAGTGAAAGCTATGTGTGATAAGATCATCGAATTGAAGCCAGACTTGGTCTTTACCGAGAAGGGCGTTTCAGGTAAAGGATATATGTATAGTTAGGGCAACGCGGGGAAGTCATTGGGAAGCTTTACAGTATCATAAAATATAGATGGCAAAAGGGCTGTATTCAGTGGCTAATTCATTTATTATGTTTGTAATAGATCTTGCTCAGCATTATTTTGTCAAGGCTAATATCACAGCTATCCGTCGTGTTCGTAAGACAGACAATAACCGTATTGCCCGTGCTGTAGGGGCCACGATTGTCAACCGTGTTGATGATCTCCGCGAATCAGATGTTGGCACCAAATGTGGTTTATTTAACATTGAAAAAATCGGTGACGAGTACTTTACCTTCTTAACGCAATGCGAAGACCCTAAGGCATGTTCCATTATCTTACGTGGACCTAGTAAAGATATTATCAATGAAATAGAGCGAAATTTACAAGATGCCATGTGTGTAGCTCGTAATGTTTTCTACAGTGCCAAGTTAGCCCCTGGAGGTGGTGCTACAGAAATGGCTGTGTCAGTGGGCTTGGAAGAGAAGGCAAAGTTGATTGAAGGCGTGGAACAATGGCCTTATCGTGCTGTGGCAGAGGCCATGGAAGTCATCCCTCGTACATTAGTGCAAAACTGTGGTGGCAATGCCATTAAAATATTAACCCAATTGAGAGCCAAGCATGCTCAAGGGGAACATTCATATGGTATTGATGGTGAAGCTGGTAAAGTAGTTGATATGAAGGACTATGGCGTTTGGGAACCAACAGCTGTTAAAGTACAAACTGTCAAGACTGCTATTGAGGTAAGCGTTTTTTCTTATAGAATTTCGGATTGCTTTTAGCAATTATAGAGAAGCAGAAATAGCATCAACTGATATTTTCAAATTTGTTGAACTGTTAGTCTGCATGTCTGTTATTACGAGTCGATGATATTGTTTCTGGTCTCTCAAAGAATAAGAACGCCGGTCAAAGCGGTGCGCCAGAAGTAGTAAGTTGATTACAGACCTGCCGCCTCAGGAATGACAGTGATTAACTGACTAAAACATTGCTTTTACGTACTTAGATGGAACACTAAGTTAATTGATTGTAAATTTGTCTTTTTCTTTTTACTTTTCAGCAATTAGAATATCTATATATCTTTTTGAAACCAACAATAAATGAAAAACTAAGCAATATCATAGTGCTTTGTTGTGAACAAAAAAGTGCTTCATTTTTCATCAGCTAGCATCAGTGTTTTCTGTGTGTTGTCTGCGTTTGAATCAGAAGTAGATGCTTTTGTCTGCAAGAGCATTTTTATTTTGGGGTTAGATTGACAGTGCAAAAGGCCCTCAAGGATAATAGGCACAAACTGCAGATAAACTTGACGTACGGTTTTTGGAGATTATCCTGCACGAAAGCAAGAAAAAATAATTTTTCCGTATGTCGTAAAGTGAAGGACCTTCAGCAGCTCACTTACTTTCCATACAGTATTGACGAAAGCGATGACTGATGAGTTTGAAAATATCTTCCATGCATGAAATACCGTGGCATATCAAAGCCTTTTGACTTTTCAGTCATTGTCTAGAACAGTGCGGATATTCTAAAAAAACCAAAAAAAAACCATGTTTCTCGATAAAAACAGTGCTCCGTTAAGAATCGGCCTTCTTTATCAAGGCATTTTCTGAGGGAGGAATTATCGATTGTCCAAAACTTAACATGCGATAAAATGTAAGCACAGCAATGCTAATTAGCATAAGAACAGACAGAATAGTAATCATAAAATTGACAGGTCAAGCACAGATAAAAGTTTAGTGAGCCATTTGACTCTAGCTCCTTTCTATAATTGGCACCGCTCTGAGGGTTATTTGCAAATTTTCCTAGTTTATCTGCCTTCTTTTTTCATTGAAAATGGCACAACCATTTCTAAACGACGGTGTTATCATAATGTATGGTTTTCTGTTGGGTTCTCATTGTCTCCGCACTAATCATAACAAAAAAAAAGCATGTACTCTCCCAGAAGCTTAACGCTTGAAAAGACAAACGTAGGCTCTGCACTGTGAACAGGCCAGCAGGCAGCTTGTACATTGCCTGTTTGATGCGTATAACTATTCCTTTGGGCTTTCTCCTGCTTGGCATTTGTTGATATGATATACACGTGTTTATTGTAACGCAAATGAGCGAATAGGTAAACGATAACTGTCGCGTTGACAATTGAATATACATGAAGCAGGATCCTATTTCCCTTTCTCTTTATCTTCAGCGCCTCCACTTTGGGTTCTATAGTAATAGAATTCAGTCATGGGTTCTTTCTGTGACCAAAAATCACTTCGTTTGTCCCAAGCTACACTTGAGAAATCGTCCTTCCTTTTTATTTATTTAGAAAAAAATTATGACGGTACGCGTTATTTGGCTGAACACTTTCCTTGATTTTTGTTTTTTTGACTTTCTGGGCTTCATTTGAATTGTTTCATTTTGATGTTTATGTTCTTTTCTCAAAAGTTTACCTTGGTCTAGAAAATGTAAGTGTCGATGCTGGTTTGACACTGTCTGGGTCGACTCTAGGATTCCAAAAAGTTGGGGTACTTTTTCCCGACATTTTCTTCACAATTAGTGAATTGCTGGCAGTAGATATCGTTATCTCGAGAAAGAGGTTGAAGAGGAAAGAAAAGAAATATTAGGATAAAAGTATTCTAAATACATGCTACGGTGATCCCATGATCAACATCCAACGTTCCAATGGGTACCATGGTTACACTACGTCATTCGGGCTTTTGGTGTTTCCTTCATTGAATTGAACTCTTTATTATCCATCAACAGAAGAAGGAACTAAAAACCCTACCAAACATTTTTCCAAGAGGAAATCGACGTTTACCCATGAATGTGTCAGCACTGTAAAAGAAGCGAAAAGGCAAAAACTTTTAACATGATGTTTCGTTAAAAGTCATCAGGTAAATCAATACTTTACTGAATAGCTTCGTGCCATCCCTGCCTGCACAACGCATCAAATCTCTTACTCCACCAGGATGAAATTTTAAATAAGGTGTGATATTGTAAACTTTTCCGTGAATGGCTGTCCAAGCATCGTCTTCTGTTTTATGTTTTTTTAGATCGTCTAATGTATATCTGCTTAGTTGCGTTACTCCCTAGATTGAAAGAATATCAGTTTTGATATCAATATCATTATCAAAGTTCGTTTCATGATGCTTCTTTGCTTACTCTGAGATCTTTCCCTGAGGAGCATAACTTGGCCCAGTCTAGTGGTGAATGACCTGGCTCTAATCTAACTTTTTGTCGATTTTTTGGTTGTTTTGTTGCCGCTGCTACTAATCGTTGAGGGCCATCACGAGCTGGGAATATAGGAACATCAAGTGTTGTTTGATCTATCAATCAAAATGTTATTTATGGAATCTCAGGAATAATTGTTCTCAAAGGTCTATTGTGGTATAACGCTGTCAAAATCAACATGTTGGGATAAAACAATTACTTTGTGGGTTTGTAAGATTGAGTTTTGGTGGGTTTGTATCTTCATCGTCAGCAAGAGTCACCATGATAGCTTACTGTTGTAGTGATACAACAAAAAAGTAAATGGAAAAGTAAAGGAAAAGAAAAAACTTTTTTTTTTTTCGTTTCGCACAAATACACTGACAGGGACAATAGCAGATTCTTACTTTCTTAAGAATTATCATCAGCATTATTATTAGTGGTAATAGTAGTAGTAGCAGTAGTGATAATAATAGTAGTAGCGCTTCTTATGGAAGCAGACACTGTGCAGTTGGGCATTAAGAATAGGCACTCCAATCAATAGATGGTTTGTCAACAAGTCCCAAGCATAGTTCAATATGAGTAGAAGTGGGTTTTGTGATAACATCACGAATAGGTCGATCTAAGGGATAGATTCTTTCTGACGAAAGATCGGATATCACAATACGTTTTCCCGGTGGGGGAGGTGAGCCTTGGATATCGACTTCAGCCAACAAATCACGGAATGTAAAGTTATCTGTGATGGCTAGATTACGAAAATAATACCGAGCATTGTAATTGTTATCATCTGTAGTAGCTGCCGTTGCTGCTGATCCCACTGCTGCAGTGTAAGGGCTTGTGGGGTTTGGATGAGGTGGCAAGCTAGGTCTGAGCGAGACTGTCTCAATTATCAGCCTATCATTGTCCTCTTCGTGCTTGCTTGACTTACTATGGCTACTATTCGGTCTATTGATCGTGGGACCCATAGAAACATTGTTGACACTGCTCGTACTGTCATGGCTTTTTGGACTTGTTGCGATAACATCTTCGCTTTCGTGCTGTTGGGAATGAACTTGGCTATGCTTGCTATTGTTTGCTGCAGTGCCACTAAATGAATAGGGTGAAGAAGACAGTTGAGGATGCTGCATGATAGAAATGGAAGATGGAGGTATCATGGATGGTGAGGGTAGAGTGTGACTCATGCTACTAACACAGGAAGTAGCATTAGCAGTGGGATATGGCTGTACCAGTGAATAATGAGGTTGGATAGGTACAGGTTGATGTATTTGTTCCGATGACTTGGCCGATGTTGTTGCTGTGATCTTATTATTGTTCTTATCGCTGAAATGATGGGATGTTTGCAACGGAGGTAACTGAGAGGAAGAAAAACGGTCTAATAAATACTGCTGAGAAGGTATGGTATGTACAGGCGGGGTAATATTGTTATCAGTAGCGTTCATAGTAGAATTAGGAGTAGAGGTATTGTTGTGGTGTGGCTGCGGCTTTTTTATAAATAAATGATTACGTGTCAAGGCGTTAGAGGGGTGCCTATCCCCATTGTAAATAGATGTTGACTGATGAGGGGAGAGTTTTGGCTGATTGTGATGTTGAGCTTGTACTATAAAACTTGTGTTTATCTTATTCGGTGATTGTGTACGATGATGTTGGTAAGCCGCTCTTTTACGTTTGTGGCTCAAGCTCGTGTTCATGTCACCCATAATTGTATTCGTATCGGAAGACTGAAACGTTGATGGTATCATTCTCATTAAAGAATATTCACTTGATGTGGACAGTGGCTGATGTGGTAAGTGATTACCCATACGCGGTAGAGTTGCTTTGACAGCTGATACGCTGCTGTCCTCCTCCATATTCGTATGTTGAGGACAACTGTCTGCAGGAGAAACTGGTGTTTGTGGTTGCACTATGGTCGCCGTTACTTCCGTTGACGCAAATTCATTATTGCTATCAGCGCTCGTATGATGGATATCTTCTTCCTTATTCCTTTCGTGCCTCTTTTTTGCTCTATACAGCGTACTAGAATGTGCCTTACAGAGGGAAACCTCCGAGAGATCTCGTAAGCCAACCACTTCATTGTGTTTGTTGCGGTACATAGGATGAGCATTTTCACTGATCCATTGAATAGAGAACTCGTAGTCCTGACGGTCTTCACGGTGTAGCTTTTTAGCTCTAGAGTCGAGCCCGCCTTCGGGCAGGTTTTTGCCTCTTCTCGGTTGAACTTCAGGACATTGACAATCAATACCATAGAACTTTTGGAGAAGGGGAAAGAAGGAACAAAAGAAAAAGGTCAGCGGTTTCCGCCCGGAAAAAAAGAGGATAGATATCAAACTTACTTTTGCGCAAGTGAAACAAATACTGCATACAACACAAGCATTCTAGAAAGAGATAATAAAGAGCAAAGCATGGTTAGAAAATGTCGTGAAGAGCGCTTATCAATTTCGCGTCTTCTACCTTTCGAATTTTCATATCTATCAGCTCGGGTTTATTTTGCAGCATGGTGGTTTTTGTTTGATTTTTCTGCTGAGGAGCAATAATGGGATGTGAGGTAGGTGGTGGATGAGGTTGGGCTGTGACGGACTCTGTCACAGAAGTAGGCGTGGGTGTAGGAAATTGCGTTTGCTGGCCCGCAGGTGAGGATGGCGTAAGTAAAGAAGCAGTCTGTGACGCGTTAGGTTGCTGTTGCTGTTGCTGTCGGCCAACAGAAATAGTGGTAGAGATCAAAGGAGGTAAGGAAGGAGATGTAGGAGTTGGTGGCGGCAACTGATACTGATACTTTTGCTGTGGTTCTTTTTCAGATAGATTGTTGTTCTCTTCTATCTTTACATCAGATGTTATTCGTTTGATTTGAAAAGGGTTAAATTCGGCCATAACAACATCAAAGATGACGTGGAAATCAGCAAAATACAAGCAAAAACACGTTGAATAAAATAGCTAAGAATAAAGAAAGAAAGAAGGCAAGAAACCGAAAATGACTTTATTTATTGTCTGTAGCCAAAAGAACAGCCTTTTCTGTTAACATAAATTGGCATTTTTGGGTGGTTTTCTTTTCATGAATTTTTTTTTGGGACTTTTTGCAACACCCACACGTCTGATGGCAATCTTGCTTAGGCCAACAAAAAAAAAAGAATGCTGTTGTTTCTGAAACCCTTTTTTTTTCCCTACTCCCGTAGCACTTTTTTTTATACACACGTTCCTGCCATCAGTTTACTGTTCTGATTTGTGATAATGACTACTGTGGTGCGCGATGTGCCAAATAAGGTGAGCTACCGCTACTGTCTCTAGCGTTCGGTCTTTCAGGACCACATTCATTTTTAGCTTTGAAGGTGAATTCTCACTGTCTTGATCTCCTTGTTCAGGTAAGCAGAACTCGGTGGAAGCTGCGATCAATCCTCTTGCTTTCTTTTTGAACTGGCGCCAAAGAAAAGAAAAAGTTGAGTATTTCATGTTTGATCTTTGCATTTTCCTTATGAAAACAGACCCGTCTCACTTTATTTGATCTGAACCAAATAAAAAAAAAAAAAAAAAAAAAAAATCATATGAACTTACATCAATTTTCAATGAGACCAAATCTGTATCTGATATATCGTCCTTTAAGCTGCTCAATAAAGCCAATTCACCCACAGATTCGGCAAATGTAGCAAGTGCTGTAGCATGAAGGCTAAAATGGCAGTTATAAACTAATGAGTATCCACCTGATTTCTGACAATAGCCCTTTATTAGTAAACAAACCTTTTAAACGGATTTCGATTGACTTGTCTGTCCTAGAATAATTTTTTTCAGACAGGTTTTTACGTGAGCCTCGAATTTAATGAAACATTAGAAAACTTACCCGCATAAATCCTGTGCAAAATCCTTTGGATAACGTTGTGATAGTCATATCTATAAAAACAGAAACTCACTTGTCATTGAATACAATTTCATATTTTTCTGCTAGGACAAATACGGACGAACTTTACCAATGGATGTTGTATATGGATTCATGCCGCCTAATAGAAAAGCAAATAATCTCGGTCGGAACAGCTTGATGATGGGCTTATTCAACTTCTCCCAAATCACAAGTGGTCTACGAGTGTGTCGAAGAGTAAACATCAAATACACAATAGACAAGAAAGTGGCTACTACCACTCCCACTGTAAACCGAGTAAACACCGTCCATTCCAGTGCCAAAGCTACTTTTGTCAGTTGCACAGTAGCTTGCACGTGTTGATAAAATGCATCTTTCAAAAGCGTTGTATTTGCACTTTCAGGTAAGTGAGGTAAATTATTATTAAGCAGGTTCGTCGTCATCTTTTCTGTGTATGAACCGGATAAAGAAACAAATAAAACAAATGTGGGGGAGAAAGAATCGGAAAAAATATAGGAAAAAAGTTTAAATGGCTTTGAATTTATTGTGCTTCAAAAATAGATAAACTCATCATCATCGAACGAATCTGTAGCTTGATGCGAATATTCAACTTTGTAGCTTTTCACAGGACTGAAAAAGTAAGGTTTCAGCAATTTCAAATCATATTCGTGATACTTATATCTCTCATCTTCATCAACGTCATCAATGTCTTCAAATGTGTTGTTGTCTTCCATGCCATACGTTGAGATACTATAGTACTTATTCCAAACCAGCTTATTATGTTTTCCTCTATGGGTTGTTTTGATTTTCAGCTTTAGATAGAACATTTCTTGTGGCAAAGTTGAATCCTTCATTTGTATCGCTATGTTTTCATCACTCTTTTGTTCATATCGACCACGAAACACTTGTTTTGTTCGAAATCCTCTCTGTAGTAGCTTCACAACATGCTTCGGCTCTTCCGTGTTGACATGCTTCAAAATTGTTCCATCCGGGAAAAATCTTAGATATCGATAATAGGTGACAAAATGTATTGGCTGATTGCTCCATGATGTATCCGATGTACCTGGTCGAATATAATGACAAGTGGATATATACACGCCATCAAACCTGATGCGCGGCCGATCGATGAACATCTTTAACCAATTGCCTGCAAATTGTCGATAAACATGTTCTGTCTGTACTTTCTTGGATTGTTCTAAAGACATGTCGGGACGTTTAAACAGTTGTACACAGCCATACTGCCAAATGGAAGGATCACGGGTAAGTAGAAAGAACTTTTTGCACACAAGGGCAAAATACGGTATGGTTGAGACAGAATGCAGAACCAAGTATTTCAATATGTAAAGTAAAATCTCACTAGGTAATTTCGCAATATGCACTGGTTTATAGTCTACTTTCGGTATATACTCTAAGCTCTCTTCACTATGCAGGAACTGTTCTATTAGATCGGATAATGTATCCTTTTCTATGTCTTTTCTATCTACATTTTTGGGCGGCGTGTATTCTCTACCAATAGGTACAAAATGCTTAAACTCGTCGTGTTCTTTGATAGGCACATTTTCTTTATCGCTCTGTTGAATAGCTGGTAATATATTGTTCTGAAAATGTTTTTTGTATTTAAAATCGATATTAGGATCCAATTTAAAGGCTCGGCGATAACTATCCAATGCTTATTTAAAGTATTTTAGGAGCTCATTCTCTGTCTTCTTTTGACCCCAACATTCTCTATTTTCATTACCTTTGCCTAGTTTTCCCTGTCGTTCGTTATCAACAGCTATCACATAATGGTCCATTGCTGTCACAGGCTGCTTGACGTCTCCAGATTCTTGTGTTGCAAGTGCTTCGGTAGCGTCAATCAACTCTTGAACACTTTTTTCCTCTGTATCAGCTCTATTTAATGAATGTAGAGGCTGTCTAATGGAATGCCGCCTTTTTCCATCGATAACTACACTTTGTCTGCGAAGTGATTGCTGTTGCTGCTCCAACGCTGGCTGCGACGATTGCAATGGATGCTGTTTTTGCTGAACTTCTTTCTTCCAAGCATTTCTAAAATCTTCCAACTCTTTTTCTTGTTCTGTTCTATTCACATCACCACTGCTCATTATAGTATCAAAAAATATTCAACTTCGAAGAAAAAAAAAGCCTCTAATTGTCACAAAAGGCGCAAAGAGTGCTTTTCTCCTCATATATTTTTCCTACCTTTCATGCAATCCTTTTTTTTTTCTGTACTCCGAAATGCCTGTGTAAAGTTTTTAAACTTGTGCTGTTGTTTATAAACTCTACAGTGTTTTTTACTCGTGGTGGAGACGGGTAAAAATATTACACTACAGACTAGGGAAGATTTTGGTGTTTAGAATTCCGTAGCAAAATTACGAGCCGCCAGTACAATTTTCTGAACTTAGGGTCTACCTGTAGAAATCGGACCAGTTTCGTGCTGGCGATTAGTAGGATGCTGTTAAGCGGTCGATGCGGGTTAGTAGGTCATCCCGACGGTTAAGCATGCGGGGTCTTTTAAAATCGCATAAAAGCAGCAACCAACGTCAGGAACAATACTTAACCCTGGGTATTCCTAAGCACTCAAAATTTCACACCTGATTTCAAAAAATATGTATGCAACAGGATATCATCCGATGAGTTTCAAGGAAGAAGGGTGTTTTTTGGTCAAAAGCCTTTCTGAAAAGAAACAGATAGAACATCATCTCTATCGGCATTTGGATGACCATTATGATTTTGACACACAGGTTTTCGATAAGCATAAGCTGAAGATAATGGAGGTACACACAATAATACCAGTTACAGCTAAATACCAATTTTCTTCAACAATATCAAGTATTCGTTTTCAAAATTTAAATGATGCTCCTTATACTGACTTTTTTGATTATCGTTAAGCAGTGTTTGTTTGAACAGTCAGTGGAAAAGGGGGTCATTCTCAACCATAATATGTTTCATTTATAATGTCTTTACCTAAAGAATAGCGCTGCTGTTGAAGGTCAAGCAACAAGGAATAAGCCCATCAAAATTTTAATACGGCATCGCGATTAAGTTAGAAGTAAAGTATTATTTTCAAGTTAAACATAAAACAACAACCCCTTCCCTCTCCCACGCAAACACACAAAAACAGTTATTTTCACGTGAAAACATTTGAAAACAGTAGCAGAAATAAGACCATGACAAAAAGGAATATGTAAATGATAGCATTGAGTTAGCTTATCCCAGGACTCGAACCTGAATAAGAGTAAAAATAATTACTCTTGTTTTAACCATTTAAACTAGATAAGCAAATATGGGAATCTTGGCCTGAGGTTTCCTCATAATCCTTAAAAAATGTAACACTTGCTCAAAAGAAAGAAAACTATGGAACGTGGAGAGGCTTGGATTATAAAAGTTGAAGTCCTAAGCTAGGTCATAAAAAGTACTCTGCCAAAAAAGCAGGTGTTCGGTTTGCTCCCCTCGCCAAGCGCTTCGCGATTATGATTAAAGCTTCAGACAGACAAAACAACTCTTGATAACCAAGTGGCATATAAGGGGAAACATAAAAAGGGGAAGGTGTGAAGGCAATAACAAACAATCTACCGCCGTCCTTCAGTGTTAGGATCCCAGAACACGACAGATGACCGCTCAACCCCAACACTAGCGACAGAGGGATTTACAAGGCCCAGTGAAACTGTCCTATGGTCTGCCGGTGTCAATTAAGAACAAGATCAATGGGAATAAAGAACAGAGTTTGTAGTAGACTGCCACCAAAGCCGAGGAGCAAGCGTTACAGAGGATATAAGTAAACGAAGGCCGTTAATGTATGAAAAAAGAAGAGAAGAAAAGAGACCTCCAAAGAGAAAACATGGGGGCTTTTTATAAGAAAATTTTCTTCTTGTCACGCGACGTCCAAACAGTCAACGATACAAGCCTCCCTATTCTTATGTAAGTAGTCTCTTCTTAACGAGTACCTATGCCTACAAATTATCGTGGGATACTTTTGAACTGAAATTCGGTTACAAAATTCTGACTGATATTGGCGCTATTCAACTAACTGACCAGGCTGAAGAAGATGTGACGCTATGTGAATACCTATATATTAATCAAACGTGATGTTATTCAGTTGCATTTTCTTATTCTGATTTCGACATAACACTTTTTCAGTATTGTACCAACAACTTTATATATGCATCTTCTTTTGAAGATGTCGTCAAACGAAGTACACCTACAATGCTCTCTGCAATTTATACATTGTTTCTATTCATAATGCAAGTTCTATCTTTAATGCCCCTCCCCCAAACGATCATATCAGCACAAATAAAACCCCCAAGAATCGCATATGGTGTTGATTATGGTCTTGGTTTTGACTATGATCTCAATACTCAATGTTTAAAGAAGAGGTTGATATCCAGTTCTCATATGATTCCAACGTACGACCATCGAGCGTATGTCCAGCAAAAACCAGTATATACCAAAAATTTGATAATTTGGAATGTAGTTAACGCCCCAAGTAGTTGTTGAACCCTTAAGCAGTGTTGACACACCGGCTCCAAAGTACCGAGCAGGTTTTGCACGCAAGGATACTTTGGCCGAGAAGAGCCTTCAATGCTTCAACAGTGTCGTAACTGTAATTGTTGCATATTCGAGAGGTTAGGTATTCATCAATAGTTATAGCGAGTAAATCAAAGAACTCCAATAACATCATTTTTGTGGCCTTTGATGAGCGCAGCAGATTTCCCGAAAATGCCACTACCAAACAATATGAGGGATCTTTCTAGCGTCGCCTACACTGGAAGGATCAGGCCTCCACTTGATCTTTACGGAATTACTGTGGAAAACATGTATTCTATCAATATTTTCTGCAGATAGTGGATAATGTGCTCGTCATTTGAAAACCTTTCCTATCTTTATTTGCAATAACTTTGTTTAATTCTCTCACTTCGTCTTTTTCTTCTTTCTGCATTTAGAAGAAACCATTCTGTCGGTATTATTCTCTGGCCATTTGCCTCAATCCTGCCACCGATTAATTTTTAGCGAGATTGTGGCTTTGTACATTGATAAGTAATAGCTAACAAAATGAAGTAGAAAGTGTGGAAGAAAGTCAAAGTACAACAACCATTATCTACAAGCGGAAGAACTCGTTTGGGATCCGTTTTACGCGTAGATTAATTCATTGATCCTCTTTGCTGGAAGGACCTTAAATAAAGTCTTTTAAACCTCAACTCTGTGTCTATTGCTAATAAGATTTGTGTGCTGCTTACATGTTCAGTGCGTCTCGTATATTTAGACGTAGTATCCCCATCGTTTAAAAAATGTTTACTGACCCTCATCAAATAAAGTGTTTTGAACTCCGTTAGAGCCGTCCCTATCTCCGATTAGGTATAGCACTCTTAAAGGAGTTTTTCATGTACCTTACAATCGAATCTGCCTATCTCATGTCCATAGATCTTTTTTAAAACTGAAAAAAAGAAATAAGATTTTTTACAATAAGATCTCTTTCTACAAATGAAAACTTCCAAATGTCTTTAAAAACCACTGCGAAACCGTATAAGTAACTGGTTTTCCTTAGAAAATGAGAGGCACTTTAGGCTTTTGTACTTTTTAGATTAAAGTGTTCCCTGCAGAACCGTATAAATGATTGGGTTTCCTAGAGAACAATAAGGTTACTTAAAGGGGGTGTCGCAGTTTTGCAAACAATTATATAAATGGAAATGTAATACTTGAAGAAGTCTTTTCTATTTCAGGACACGGGACGGATCTTGGCGCTGGTTTTATTTTAAATTGCAAATCTTTGTTCCTTTTACGAGTGTGCTAGTAACAATAATAATTTGTTGTCTTTACATATAAGGTCTTTAGTAGATTGTTAGGTGAAATATTTGGATTAAAATTGATTAGATGACCTACTCTTCAACTCCTCCACCGCTTCCAGCTCACAACTTCAACAATAGACAAAGTCAAGACAATTACCATCATGCAAATTATTATTACAAAACAGCTGAAAATGAAGCACAGATACCGCTAAATGAAAGATACACTGCCTCACCATTACAATCTCGTCAACAATATTTCCAAAATTCTACTCCTTCAACACCGGGACATCCGCATCAATCGTTAAGTGTTCAACATCCCTTCCATGCTGGATACGATTATAGCCAGAATTACCATTATGCTCCGGAACAAACATCACCACCACATCGATTTCAAGGAAACGAACGTATAGGTACAAATTGGGTAAAGGAAGACGACGATCGAGCATTCAACAGAAGATATGGCGGGGAGAAACAACGAAATCCCATTACAAGCTTTCTTATTGGACCTGTTAGAGTCCCAATTTTCAGCTACGTATCGGCTACAGTGATGGTAGCCATGCTCATATACGAATTCGTACGATATCATCAACTAACAGGCGGAGTCATTGAACAAAACCCCTTTAACCCTATGATCGGACCAAGTTTTCAGGTATTAGAATAAATATGGCAACATCATTCTTTTATCCACCTCGCTTAAAATAAAAATACTTATCAACAATTAGGTACTGGTAAATACAGGTGCTCGATTTACGCCATGTATACGAAGTGTTCCAAGCCTACCGAGCAACACTACAATTGGAAACTGTTACCGAACCGCTCAGGACGTCTGCACGTTAGAGGAACTATGTGGATTCAACGAGCAAACCGGACAGAGCTTTCGATTCGTATTGCCGATCATTATGCATGCAGGCGTTATTCACTTTTTACTCAATATGTTGACGCATTTACGGTTGGGAGTGGATTTAGAAAGAGCACTGGGTACAGTTCGATATTTTGTATTGTATGCTTGCGCTGGAATCTACGGCTTTATTTTATCGGCAATGCTTTCGCAGAACTTGACAGCGTCTACAGGCTGTTCGGGAGCCTTGTTTGGTTTAATTGGTTACATGTTTATTGATGTGCTCGTCAATTGGAAGTTTTTGCCGCATCCTATAAGAGATTTGATGGGCTTACTAATATCTACCATTATATCATTGGTATTGGGATTATTGCCTGGTTTGGATAATTTTGCACATGTTGGTGGGTTTGCAGTTGGTATATTTATGGGTATGCTGATTGCGCCTATGCGTCCTATGGCTACAAGGAGAGTAATGGTCTTTACTTGGATGATGCGAATCATAGCTTTAGTTGTTATTATCGTATTATTCACAGTATCCCTAAAGCAATTCTATTCTGCCGAGGATCCCAGCAAGGTAAGTTCAGAGAATATAAATGAAGACTTTAATTTCTGTGATTTATTAAACATTTCTCATTTCATTTCCTACTAGATCTGTCCCAATTGTAAATATCTATCCTGCCTACCAGTGAATGGCTGGTGTGATGTATGAAGTGAGAATTTGGAGAGATGAAACTATTTTTACACCTATACTATATAACTACCATAACCATGTAACAATTATGCAATATACCAATTGTAAAAAATAATACAATACACCTTACTGTTTAGCTGCATTAAATAACTCTCTTGTTTTATTCATGTAAATCGTACAATTGGGCGCTCAATGAATTAATCTTTATTATGTTGGTGGCTGATTTGCTTCATTACTACACACCTTCAAGATATATTCGCTCAATATCCTATAAGCAACCAATATATACATAATGACTGATCATGAAAACTGTTTCGATAGCGAAGGATTTTAGAACTTTTTATTGACTTCATTAAAAATCTATTGTCGTTCTACTTGCTGTGATCGAAATGGGTTATTGATATTATGAGATACATATTGCTCGTTGTTGTTACTGCTGATGTTACTTGTGTCAAGATTTACATAGTGGCTAGGCGGTGTTGGAGGTTGCGGAAATGCCGGCGGATGCTGTGAATCAGGAAGATTAGTTGAAGTAGTAGTAGAGAGAATAGTAGGAGTTATATTATCGAGTGTAAATGAAGTACTGACATTGGTATCGGGACTATATATATGTCTAGTACTGTTTGTATTATTGTAATCGTGACGGTTTGCCACTGGTGACAAACTTGATGATGCTGTTTCAGCTATTGGATCACTTATTGAAAGATTAGAAAAAGACGACAGAGGAGTCATATCTTGTGGGATAACGGGCAAATGCTGATTTTGTTGATGTTCTGGATGATCTATTGACTGCTGGTGCTGTTGGTGCTGTCCATCAGAAGGTACAGTGGGAGCTTCATACATAGGTGGAGGTGGTAGGTCGCTGATTTCATTTTGATAACTGCTGGAAAGTATATCGGGTATAGGAGCAGCCAAGGTTGAGGGTTCCGCTGCTCTTGCTGCTGTTGTCTGATCTAAATTATTATAATTATACAATACAGTTTCAATGATCCTTTGTCGTTCTGCGAACAGTGACTTTTTTACATCCTCGACAGCTTTTTCCAAACGGATCAATGCCCCTTGCGCATACTCTTTATACTGCTTTACCCAATTGATTGAGTTCTGCGTATTTTTATAAACTGTAGCCAATAAACCGAAACACTGAGTAGCTTTGGCTATAAATTGATGAAAAGAGAGCTTAATGCTAATCTTGGTCTTTTTCGTCAATACTACCAGAATTATCTTACCTCTCCATGCACTGTCTATATAGTTGGCGTTCAAGTGCATTTGTAATAAAGGATTATTCGTCACTACATCCAACGTTTGCGGGTATGGTATCTCTGGTAAAACTGTTCGTGCCTTATTCAATAAACGTTGGACTTCCCATGTCCTTTTTCGAGCAGCTTCAATCAAATTGAATCCCAGAACAAAAGAAATTAACTTAGAGCTCTATTTATCGATAAATCAGATATTTCCAATTGATATCTTACCTTCTAGGTAAGTTACTTGTTCTTCATCAATGATTGGGCCAGCAAAAAGCTCAAATGGTACATAATGAACAACCTCATCTATCAATCTAATCGCTTTTTTAACATCTACTAAGGCTTTTGCAAGCGCATTTTCTGCTTCCCGAAATCTTTCATTGTCACGATTTGCCTAATAGTGGATCAATGTCGCTCAGTAAAAGGTATAATGTATAGAGATTTCCTACTTATTTATCACATTTACCAATCTTTTCTGTTCTTTGTAATTGACCAACTCAGCTTTCAAGCGTGGTTCCGAAGGGAAATCAGGATCTTCAGAAACAAAAATCTTCCATTGTGCGATAGAAGAAAACAATAAATCAGTAAGTGATAAGAGCAGGGTAAGATACTACCCTTGTAAGCAACTGGAAACAATCTAGTTTACCTGTTCCAAAAGTGATTCAAATTTGCTTCGACCATCCTTGAATTGACTTCTTTGTCGACTTAGTGTTTCTTCTTTCAGAAGTAGAGCCTGGTAACTAGCCGTTAATTTGTCCAACTCTCTCTTCGACCGTTGCTCGTTTTCAAAGGCTAATTGATATTTGGCTTCTTTTTTGGCCTTCTTTTCTTTTTTTTTGCCTGATAATGTGGCTGCAGCTGATCGTATAGATAAATGTCTCATATCTCGTACATCACGGTATTCCTTTTTACTTTCAATTTCATTATATATACATTTTAGTAACACAATCCTAAAATTTTCAACGGTGACTTATAGCACTTTACGAGTTCTCTTCCAGAGCGATAATTTCAGCTTTCTTGATACGAATCTGATTTTCTAATTCTTGTCTATGTGCTCTCACTTGTACAAGTTCATTTTCAATATTTTTTTCGCTATCAAGTTCAATTTTTAATTTTCTATAGTAAGCTGACTGATCTAAAATACTTTGTACAAGTGCCATAGAAGTAATAAAACGTTGATTATCGTTTTCAATCACTCAAAACCGAGAGAATGAAAAGAAAGAAGTGCTGTAATGGCGAACATTCTCTTAATTTTTTTTATTTTTTTTTTGTTTACCTGTTTGCAGGAATTTGAAAATTTTTAACTCCAGTGGTTTTTGTGAAGCATGTTCATTTGTGAAGTTCAAGTTCTTTTGTATTTGCAAAGGATCACCAAATCGTTAAAAAGTTAAATATCGTTTAGAAATACACGAAAGAGTATGAGAGCAACTACATTTCTGAAAGATATAGCAACAACCACAATCTTTCTATATTTTAAACACGGGCCTGCTGCTGCTATCTATCGATGTAAATCAACTTCCAATTACATGCGACCATCAATTTTTGTGCGTAAAGTCATAGTGGATAAACTCTACTTAAAATGAACTACATTCACTTCGTTCGATGGTGCTTAGATCTCCAAGCAACCCATGTTTATTTTACACGAGATAATATGATGTACTCTTCATGTCATTAATGTTTTCTGTACGAAAGAAGAAAAGGAAAGTGGTAATATAGTGGTTAGGAGAAACTGGGTCTAAAGCAACCATAAGCGAAAAAGCTCACAGAAAAGAAGGCAGGAAAAGGAAAAGGCCAAAGCCAAAGTCAAAAGATCTTTTAACAGAAGATCTAGCGCGATCTCTACCATCAAATCATCTAAAAAATATCGCGATAAATGGAAACACGGGCTACAAAGTTGATGTACGGAACCATGTGTTATAAAATGAGCGTAAAAAGCTGCGAACATATATCTCTTGCTTGCAACTGCTATAGCATACCAAACAGTACAAGTCTCAAAACAATACATATACGGCAGCAGAGGTGCTCTTATGGGTTGCAATCTCCCAAACATTTCAGCCTTCAAGACAAAGCCATTGAAACTCGCGCTTACATTTTGGGCCATGCTATTGCTAAGTTAAGGTTATCTAATCCTGTTCTTTGATTCGACCTTCCCAATTTCTTACGGATCTTATCCATCAATTGAAATCAAATCATTTAAAAAGAGGCGTCAATTTCTTAGAAAGAGGGTGAGAAGCAATAGCAATGCTGTTATTAGGGCTGCAGATTTCAAAAGGATAATTATAGAACCTTTATTTTGTGACTGTATCTTCATGGTACACGTTTGAGTTCCCCCAAACTAATTTCTTTGGCTTTACAATTATCAAACATTTCAATGTCTCACCAAAGCGGTATTCAAGGTAGAAGGATGAAGTCTATCTCATGATATATATGAAAGCAGTTGAGGCTGATAATAAATTGTACGAAATATTATAGTTTCGGAGGAACTCTCTAAAGCCTTCACAGATGCTGTTTCTAATGGCAATGTTCGTGTTATTCGTGTTTCTATTGACAATGGTAACCGCTTAAAAGCCAGACTATAAAGGCAAACATTGAATACTTACTGCATAACTCATTTACAATATAAGAATCACTTGTCCCAAGTGGTATATCGTCCGTTCAAAGTGATTTCGAAAGCGGTAATCCGTTGTGTGCATTCAGCAGCTGACTGTTGAGAATACCTCTTTATTAACCCTTATCGCACGACTTATTTCAGACTACAAAAGTTATGTTAGTGACTATCTTGAAACAACTACACCCGCTTATATATTTGTTCGTTTGGACGAGAGAACAACTTCCACTGGAGAATACAAGTGGCTTTTTCTCTGTTACGTACCTGATAATGCTAAAGTCAGAGATAAAATGCTCTATGCTTCCACAAGGGCTACTTTAACTAAGGAATTAGGTGATTATAGATTTGTTGACAATATTTATGGTACGGAAAAGGTGAGGAAAAGGATAAAGAATAGAAATGTGGGGCCATGAGAAAAGGCTAAATGTAAGAAAAACAATCCCTAAATGTTAAAAAATTGTTAAGGCTGAGTTCACATGGGAAGGCTACAAAAGGCACTTGGCTCACAAAGCGGCAGAAGCACCATTGACAAGACGAGAACAAGAGCTTGCAGAAATCAAAGCTGAAGAGGTATGAGAAACCATAAACTGTCAAAAAGACGAAGGAAGCCTTTTAATAACCCAAATTGCCAAAAAAAAAAGGCGAAAACAGTATCTAGTTATCAGGGAACAAGTACCAGAAAGAGCTATGCTCCAGGAGTTGCCTTTCCATTGACTGAAAAAGCTATTGAAGCTCTTTGTTCATTGCAAGCCGAAAAAGAGCATCGATCTCACAACTTCGTCTCATTGGTAAGAATGGCTCAAGACTTACGAAACTATTAATTTAGCAGTTCTAATGCATTAAAATAGTGTTTAGATAATGAAAGGATAGACTTGGTCGACGTGCAGAATATTGGAATTGACGATTTGAGTAAAACTATTTCTCAAAACTCTCCTAGATTTACCTTCTATAACTATGATAATGGAGCAGAAGAAACAATAGGTAGATAGGAGAACATCAAATAGCTGAACGGGAATCAGTTGTGCCTTGGTTTGGAACTTATACGGGTGTTATATTTCTTGTAGTGTTCATTTATACATGCCCTTCACAATCAAAAATCAGAGAACGCATGTTGTATTCGTCATCGAAATCAAATGTTATCGCAGCAGCAGAAAACAATGCTTCTATTCACGTTTGTAAAAAGGTAATTGGAAATTGAAGGAACATTCACAAAAATAAGATCCGCTGCGTGTTTGCTAAGGACTTTTACATAATCAGTTTGAAACAAGCGATCTGGAAGACTTAACCAAAGCTTATTTTGAAGAAGAATTGAAGATTGGCGCCAGTAAGTCATCCGGTTTCGATTCACCACACTCCACTGGTAGTATTGTAGGAAATAGAATTCAAATGCTTGGAGGAGCAAGGCAGGGTTTTAAGAGACCTGTTGCGCCTGGCAGAAGAAGACCAGCTTCAACTAATTCAGCCAACTCTAATACGACTTCAAGCTTAAGCTAGGGCGGAAGAATTAACACTACCTTTCTTTGACCAAACTGTACTGCAGAGCACCATTGATGTTCAAAAATTACAATTTTCTTGTTTTAAATCGGGCTTGTTGAATATAGTACAATACGAATAAAAGGGATTCTAGAACAATAGATAACAAATACGTCTTGTGAAAACGTTTCATGATCAATTATGTTAAGAGACAATACTGATGGTTGGCAGCAAATTGTCAATAGAGAGTCAAATAAAATTTCATGGTCGTAAATATGAATTCCAAGCTGCATTTTTATTCCCAAGACTGACACTTTAAATCGAATAAACGACAATTATTTGTGTGTTTTCTTCTTCTTCTTTGCATGACCTTTTGTTTGCTCATCGTGTAAGTTCTATTTTGAAATGGAACAAAATTCGAATTATGCACACGCAGTGGAAGGTTGCAATTTTGAAATCCTTACCATACTGGCCACACGCTTAGCTGCTGTTACTTCTGACAATTTTTCTAGGATTTCATTCTCATCCACATCATATTTTTCCATTTGTTTACCTAAACAGAATGATGGAATGAAGAAGCAAAATGTTTAGCATCTAACCTGAACTCCCACACTTAAAAAAGAGCAGCCAAGCTTACCTATACGAGCTTCAATAGCTTGTACTAGTTGGATATCTTTCTCGGCTACAATTGATATAGCTTTACCACCTCGACCAGCACGAGCTGTACGACCGACACGATGAATATAGTCTGTAGGATCTCGGGGTATATCATAATTCAAAACACATTCGACGGAAGGAATATCCAGACCACTAGTAATATAGACTACTGTCAGTTATCTTCAATTGCCAGTGTATCTAATGCTTCGACTTTACCGAGAGCCAACATCTGTTGAAATTAGGATCTTTATCACTTCAGCTCTGAATTTTCCTAGAGAATTTAATCGCTCCTGCTGTGTCATTTCCGAGTGAAGAGCTGTACACCTAATGCCAAGTTCTTTCAAAGTATCTGTCATTAATTGTGCTGTCGAGCATCTGCCGCAAAAGATAATCACTGATTTTTCCTTCAGGTCGTCAGTACGCAGCAGATGTGCTAAATAAACCATCTTCACTTGTGAAGGGACAAAGATGTAATACTGATCTAATGTGGCAACAGTCGATACCGACATGTCACAGACATGAACAAATGGCTTTTTTTTAGGATCTTCTTCAGCATCTCTCAGAGCTAATATAGATTCTGTCATAGTAGCTGTGAATAATAAAGTCTGTCGTTGTTTGGGTAATAAAGGTAATATCACTTCTAATTCGGAAACGAATGTTGGTGACAGCATACGATCTGCTTCGTCCATGACCAAAAATTTACATCGTCTTAAATCTACTGCCCCTGAACTGCTTCTGATATGATCTCGAAGCCGCCCTGGTGTTGCAATAATAACATGTGGTTTTTTGGACAGCTCTAAAGCTTGCTTCATCATATCTAATATGGAACATGAAAATTTTGAGCATACGACCATATTACACCAAAGAAAGATACAATGACAGTTGAAATACATTAGCCTTAACTTACCCATGCCACCTACAACAACACATTCTTTCACTCCAACTCCTTTTCCCAACACTCTGAACTGTTCAGCAATTTGAAAAGCCAACTCTCTCGTTGGAGTGAGTACCAATGCAAACGGTCCATAAGGATCATCCGATAGTTTTTGTAAGATCGGCAAGGCAAATGCTGCTGTTTTACCGGAACCGGTCTTTGCACCACCAATAACGTCCTTGCCGGCAAGAATGGGAGGAATACATTCTCTTTGAATTTCTGTAGGCTCCTTAATTGCCATTGCTTTCAGTGTGTCACATAACCAATCGTCGAGTCCAAGATCGCTAAAGCTGGTTTTTTTTTCGACAAACGACTTTGATATATTCTTCCCAGAAGCTAATCCTTTTTTTTGCGATGCTGCAACTCTACTGAGGGTTCGGGTTTCTGTCATTGTAACTATTGAGATCAGATCTTGCTGAGAACAATGGCATAATTAGAAGCCACAGCGGACTAAATTTTAAACTGTTCGGTTTACTGAAGCTTGTCTCGTACAACAGAATGATCCGGCATCCCACAAAAATTGGACGCTGATTGACCAGCGGCTGTTCATTCATTAATAACTCCGTTTCGAGCTACCCGAACAGGATCAAGGGCTACTTCTGATCACGTGAGCTAACTCTTATCATTACCACGACAATTATTTACTATTAAATTAATTTAAATAGTCGCTTTGGCGGAGTGGTTAACGCGGCAGCCTGCTAAGCTGTTTCCTTCCAGGAGCGCAGGTTCGAATCCTGCAGGCGACGTTTTTGCCTTGACGTTTATGTAGTGTCTGTAGCGTTTTATTTTATTTTATTTTTCTTTCAGGGAAAATGTTGCCTACTAAAGATCACAATAACATGTCGCGCACTGAGTTAACAATATAACAAGGGTACTCTTATAATAAACACTAAGTTTTAGAAAGGAGATAAAAGATGATTCTTTATTCTCTTAAGACAGCTATGTTCCTTTTATACTGTATAATAAATCACCGTTATAACACGACAAAAGCACTTGAATTAAACAAAAAAAAAAAAAAAAAAACTACTACAGGGAACACTGGCAAGTTATTTTGTAGGAGTTACCTTTAGCATTCTCTTTTCCTGTAAATTGTTCAATTTGTCAACAGTTCTTGTACCATTTTCGAAGTCGTAGGTTTATTCAACTAAAATGCTTTATTTGCCCCTTTTTATCAATACCGATATGGAGGCTTTTCAAAAACGGATGGCTTCAGAATAAGACAAGTAACTCTCGTTTCAAGCAGCTAATTGCCACTTCAAAGCACGACTACGGGAATGCGACCTTAAAATTGAACATTATTTTTAAGAGGTCGATGGTATCTGCTAAAACGTGACAGCAGCGGCTAATTGACGACAGTCAAAACCACCCACGGCTGCAAGCGGTAAATATATGATTTTTCTCCGGGTTTAAAGCACAACGAGACAAATTAGTTTCTTTCTGATAACATACCCACTTCTTCTATACTCCATATTGTTTATAACAAACCATATTGATGTCTGACATGCTTTTGTATAAATTGACAGCTATCATAAATTCGTTATATTTCTTAATCTCTCCCAAACGCCAGTTCGTGCACTTCTGTCGCATAATGTAAGGATTGAGTGACCTATAAAGGCAGTTCATCATGTCGTGACGCCAAGGAATTGAAGATATTGAGAATAAAGAAAATAATTTTAGAGAGATGCCTTCCCTTTCTCATTCTTGAGTTAGCGGTGATCATCCTTATGCAAAATTACAATTTTGCAAACATATCTTCTTGTATTCTCAAAGAGGTTTTCGTGGATTATAGTCTTAATGCCTTTTTTATTTTACATAACTATATAGAGCCATGTACTACTACCGGAAGGGTCTTTTCTTTGTATCCTTAACCCTTGTTTCCGTTTTATTATTTGCAACGTGGGCACGTAGTGTAGACCTGACTTTTCTTTGAACATTGTTTAAGAATAAACTGCTAAAGTAAGCTTAGCAAAAGATGTGAATAAGTAGGCATAGAAAGTTTGAAATCTTTCTCTTATAACCACTTTTATGAGAATAATCATCATATATGATTTTTATAACAATATTCAACTTCGTTTTTCTGATGGTCTTTTTTTTTTTTTTTTTTTTTTTTTTGAACATTTAATTGTGTCTGATTCTAAAGCAAGAAGTCTATTTTTTTTATTTTTTTTTTTATGCAGCAACTGTGAACTTGCGACAATAGATCTCTTTTACGATCCACGAGCGATGAATTCTGAAAACTTTGGCTTTCCTTTTGAACCTTATAACATTCAATATGATTTCATGAAGGAGCTATATGAGACACTTTCCGCCGGCAAGATCGGCATCTTCGAAAGCCCTACAGGAACTGTAATATACCAGAGCCAACTTCTTCTCAACGTGCTTCCGAAATATTCAATGTAACAACCGCTTTTCTTAGGGTAAATCACTTAGTTTGATATGTGGATCTTTAAAATGGTTAAAAGACGATGATGAAAAACAATCTCAACCGACGAAAACAACAATCACTTCGAAAGGTAGATCTACCATATAGGCGATTTTAAATGATCCATTCGCGGACTGATGTTCTATGTTCATAATGTTATGACATAGCCGAACAACCTTCCTGGATCGCTGCACTGAAAGGACAAACAGAAGAAGTTATAGCGCAAGAAGAACTAAGGAAACAGAAATCTGATTTGAAGGAGCGCGTTGAAAGAGCGAGACTCCTTAAGAGAAATAAAGACCTTTACTATGTTACCATACACAAAGACAGCAAAAAACGAAGAAATGTCAAAACAGAAAATGCAATTATTGACGAGTTTCTTCTGGATGATTACGACAGTGATCAGGAAGATACTTCCTCCAGCGGTAGTCGTAAACCTAAAGCAGAAGTTGACAGCAATTTATCTAAGGAGGTTCAAGCTCTTCTGGCAAAGTAATGGCTACGATAAGTCTAAATAAATGTTAATTCTTGATGCTCTTTAGTCATTATGGCTCATGCAGCGTATTCACTAGGCTGGAAACCAAGTCGAAGCCAACAGTTGCTTACGATAAAGATGAGAATAACGATGAGAATATCGAACTCGAAAACGAAACGAAAATATTTTACGCATCAAGAACTCATTCTCAGTTATCACAATTCGTTCATGAAGTCAGAAAAACTGTTTATGCATCCGATGTCTTTGAGGTATCACTTGCCTCCAGAAATCATCTTTGTATAAATGAAGAGGTCAGACAGTTGGGCAATGTGCAAAAAATCAATGAAGCTTGTTTGGATCTACAAAAGAAAGGTGAGTTATAACGGTAGACGAACAGTAGGGAAAGAATGATCATGCTGAGCAGTTTGTTCAGCATCAAAGAAAGGGCCGTGCCCTTATTTATTAGCAGTGGACAATACATCAAAGTGGAATGAATTCCGAGATCATGCCTTGGTAAGGTAGACAATTTATGAAAACGGCAACGATAATCGTCCACTGATGCAGCTCAATAGGCTGAGGTTGGGGACATTGAAGATTTGGCTGCAGTTGGTGAGAGGCTTCAAATTTGCCCTTACTACGGAACTAGACATACGGTGAAGACAGCTAGAGTAAGGATCTCCAATAAAATAATGACTCCAGGCGCGAGATGGCTCTATGACCTTAAGAGCCACTATCCTTCCGCAGAGTTAGATATGTTCTTTTCAATTCAACAAGTACAACGCGAGCAGGAAATCTCATCCATATCTTAATTTAGTTAATAGTGCTACCTTATCAAAATCTGCTTCATGCAAATACTCGTGAATCGTTGGGTATATCTTTAAAGAACAACGTTGTTATCCTTGATGAGGCGCATAATTTGATGGAAACCATAACCTCGCTTCATACTGTACAGTTATCATTATCACAGATAACACTGGCGGGTAATCAATTGAAACTGTACGTTGAGAAATACAGAGCAAGACTCGCAGGTAAAAACGTAGTCTACATTAGACAAATCTTGCTCATCATCCGAGCTCTAGTGAACCATTTGAGTCCGAAAGATGTGATGCAGAGAAAAGACAGTGTTTTACGTGTAAATGACTTCTTGCATGCGCTTTCTATCGATCACATCAATATGTTTAAAATTCAACGTTATCTTGAAGTCAGCAGCCTTTCGCGCAAGCTGAATGGGTTTCTTGATATGGCCCGTGAGAAAGAAGAAGAAGAAAGGCAAAAACAGCTTCTGAAAGATCCTAAAGCCGATTTAACACCACCCACAGAGGTCTTGAAAACCTCTACTTTGACTCTTACACAAATTGAGGCATTTTTGATGACCTTAACCAATTCAGACAAAGATGGCCGTATTGTGACGACCTTTGGTGACGCTGAAAGTTCGATACCTGCTGTGAAATACATGCTGTTAAATCCTGCTGATGCGTTCAGCCCAATAGTAGAAGAAGCGAGGAGCGTCATTTTAGCAGGCGGTACAATGGAACCAGTACGTGAATTGCTAAAACGTGGTATAAAATGACACTGCCTCTTGAATAACAACATGACAATTTTTGACACGTTCATAGATTACGGACTTCATGAACTACTTATTCCCTTCTGTGCCAAAAGATAGGATAACCCATTTTTCTTGTGGGCATATTATTCCGCCTACAAACCTGTTAACCGTTAGTCTAGAGCATGGTCCGACAGGAAAACCGCTACTGTTCAATTTTGAGAGTAGGCAAGATGTTAAACTGGTAAGCCCTTTGATTCATAATGATATTGAACGCGGGCCATTTACTAAAACAACTAAAACAGATAGATGAAGCAGGTCTGTCGATAGCCAATTTATGTAACATTATACCTGATGGCGTTGTATGCTTCTTCCCTAGCTTCACATTCTTAGAACAAGCCTACAAACGTTGGCTATCGGTTGAAAGTGGCAATATTCTATCTAGAGTGAAACAGAAGAAAAAGGTCTTCATAGAGCCGAGAGAAAGCAAGAAAGTTGATTCTACATTGAGAGATTATACTTTACAAATCGAATCAACGGACAACAACTTGGGAGCACTGTTGTTGTGTGTCGTAAATGGTAAAATGTCGGAAGGTATTAATTTCTCGGATAGACTGGGAAGGTAAGAAAGAAAAGAACCCTAAGAAATTGTCGCTTTACGTTCCATAATTTAAAATTTTTATTCAACTCTGTACAGAGGGGTTATCATGGTAGGGCTTCCTTTCGCTAACCGAGGTTCCGTGGAATTAATCGAAAAAATCAAGTTTGCACAACAGAGCACGGTAAGCTGGACAATTTATTGCATGTCTGTGATGAATAAACTGTAAAAATAGATCTTTAATATACTCTACATCGATAGAAGGATGAAAATATCAACGCTGGAAAGGAGTATTACGAAAATCTCTGTATGCGAGGTGTCAACCAATCTATCGGTAGAGCTATTCGTCATCGTGGAGATTATGCTACTATTATTTTACTAGATAAACGATATTCAACTATGCGCATCCAAAAAAAATTACCCAAATGGATTGGTAGCCATATAGAGCATTCAGACAAATTTGGTAAGGTTATGAACAAAGTGTCGACATTCTTTCGAGGGAAGAGAAATATGTAGGCTCAAGAACCAAAAAAAAAAAAAAAACGAAAAAAATCAACAAAAAAAATAAGTAATGGCAAGAAACATCTTGTATGCAGAACTTTTATAGCAAGCATCCCTTATGGATTCTAGCACACTATTCGTGATTGTACCTGGATTTTACGATTTAGGACAGATACCAATTTTCAACTAAAATAATAAATTCGTAACCACTACAATTTATTGCTTACTTAATTAGTGATGAAAATTGTCAAATGCGTTAAGACATGTGTCTAGTGAGAGAGCCGCAATGACAATATCTAAGGATGTAACCACATTTTGATATGTGGTGTGCCAGCTTCTTCGAACACTTGATCTTGGCCTTCTTTGGCAGAAAAGCCGCATTTTTCATAAAATCCACGTCTAGGGTATTGTGAATGCAAGACAATGGTATGGAAACCGTTCTCTTTACAGTAAGCAATGAAGGCATCGACTAACTTTTTGCCAATACTGAGGCCTCTGCCGCATGGTAGAACTGCAAGGCGTCCTAATTTTGCAACACCTTCTTCCTTAGGTATTAAGCGGACCACCCCAATATCAAAATTGTGCTCGATTGTCCCGTCTTCATTAATTTTATCACAAGTAGCTACCCAATGTTGTGCTGTATCATCTTGACTGATAGAATGGGTATAATATTTTAGCAACACGTCGATCCGATTTTATTACTTCAAATAAAACGAATAAATACATTTTGAGCATACCCATCAAGTTCTATTTCCATAGAATAGCCCTGTTCAACATGAAAAACTTGTTTCCGTATACGTAAAGCTCTATCAAGCTCCTCCGGGTTTTTCAGATGAACTACAGATATATTGATATAATTTGGCATATCTCGATTACGCTGTTTGCAAGGAGGAAATATCTGTGACATTTTCCCTCCCAAATCATCGATCTTTTTATCTCAGAAATATGCGTGACTGGATAGTAAGCATAGAATTGGTGACAAGGAAGCTGTGGTTTTTAATATATTGTATCCGCTTCTTTTGATGGTTGTGAAAAGATACGCTACGGTATTTTGAGTATTGGTAGACTATTTGCCTGGAATTTTTCATGCACACCTTCAAGGATCAAGAAAGCATTATAAAATAGCCGCGTATTTGATAGAGTAGAACAGTTATAGTACGTTTGCAACTTGATTTTATGGACAATATTATTTTCACCCGATGGGCACACAAAAAGTTACACTAGAAACTGTTTGAACAGTTCATAAAGGAAGATTGGATTTGAGAAAAAGCTTTTATGGAAACGAAATGGGAAAATTGTATGGTATCACCGTGCAGGCCAGGTGATAATGGATTGAGTATTGGGGGGGCGCAAAAAGCAAATCTAATAGGCGCCGCGCAACGTTTTCTGACGGGGAAGGGGGCGTTTTCTCACGTTGAAAATAGTTGGCCTCGTGAAGTAAGAGCAACGATGAGCCATGCTGTGCTCTAAGAGACCGAAGCCGCGGTACTATGTTTAATATGTCAGGTCCGGAGCTTCTTCAACAGATGAAAAATTGTGTCAGAACAGTGCGTTGCAGCTGACGGCGGTTATGCATATTTAAAAATTGAATGGTAAAATTTTTTGTGAGAATGCGTGTGGGATATCGCTGTATTCACTTGAGTGGTTGTTTGGAAGCTAACCTAATTGCCATCTAAGGCGGCGGCTACGCTCGGTAAATGTCGTTGGAAGCAAAATAATTGGGTCAAAACAGATTGTTGATCGGCACTGCTTGATCAAGTTGGAGTGTGTGGTTGAGGTTAAGGCAACCAGATCGTTTTGAGGGTATGCTTAATGGCTATGCGCAGAGTTTTACTAACGCCGACTAGCTGTTCCAAATTGGATTGAACAGGACATTTGGAACCATAGGGATTCACTTTCAGGTTGGATAATTTTCGGGATAAGGTATTTCAGCAGGGCTTTATCGGATACTGTTTGGAGACGAAGCAGAAGCTTGTATTTAAGAATATGTCCGTTCTCGCGCAATCGGTTACTTCAGCAGTTGGCACATGATGGTTACTGAACCATCAAAGGTTCTACGAAGGCAGTTATTTTCAACTTTCCAAGGTGATCAATGACAGAATTTCTATTTATGATAGCTAAACCGTATTCCAGTAAAGAATCAAATGATATGCGTATTTGTCCGCTTTCTTTTGTTTTTGCAGAAACGGGCAGTTAATAGTCATCACTATACGTGTCTGATAAAAAAAAGACTGTACTCTTACAATTCTGACTGTTAAAACTCAAAAGTTAATCAATGCTGCCCGAATTATCAATAGGTCCTTTTATTGCAAACAAACAAATACGGCATAAGAGCGATGTCCTACGAATCGGTCAATACAGAAATCGTTGACGATGAAATAGACGCAGTAGTTACTACTGATACAGAAAGCTCAACGACATTCAACCTCGAACATTTACCCGTGTCCTTTAAAACATTTCTGGAAAAGAATCAGATCGATCCTAAAATTTATACAATCAAAGAGCTTCCTCGATTTGTTCGAGTAAACACTCACTTGCCCTTGAATCGAAGACCATCCGTTGAAGATCTTCGTTCTCAGTTAAAAACCGATAAAGTCTATCCAGTCGAAGGCTTGGAAGATTTCTTCAGCATTTATTTGAACGACACCAAACAGCGAATCTCTGATATTCCAGCGTACGTGTTTTAAAGCAAATCAAATACACAACCACACGCAGTTGCTATAATTCATTTACTCAGTATAAACCTAAAGTTATAAAGAACGTTCTATATTTGGTATAGATGTTAGTTCAGCCATTGCTGTGAAAGCTCTTCAAATAGAGAAAGATGACCAGATACTTGATATGTGCTGTGCACCCGGTGCTAAATTGTGTATGATTGCCAATTTACTTGGAAGGGACGGCACTGGCACTGCTACTGGAGTGGATATAGCACACCACCGCCTTTCGACTTGTAGATCTCTGATAAAAAAATACAAGGTAGGCGAGAAGTTGAGATTATTCGAAGCGGATAGTACAACTTTTGCCATACGACCGCCTTCGAGACTCGGCAACAGAATTATTGAATATGACTCATTGACCGAAGGCAGCAATAAACCATGTGATGATGAGACTGATGATGACAGCTTGATTAAGAAGAAACGTCAAAAAACTGAGTATTTAAAACCATTCTACGCATCCAAAATGCTGAGATTTGACGATCAACAAATGATGAGTGAAAAGCAATTGTATAATAAAGTTTTAGTAGATGCTGAATGTACTCATGATGGCAGTATTTTGCATATTCTGAAGGTAAATACTACTAATGTTGTCAAATATATCCAACTCAGACTTTTAAAGACTTTTTGTGCTTTCTATAGTATGAGAAATGGGGATGGGACAAGTTTGAAGAGAACTTCATGGATCCAAAAAGATTATCAAATATAGTTAACCTACAGGTACTGAATATTTGGCCAACTTTATTTCGAATACAGTGATTCATAAAACTAATATATTGTCTAGCGTAAATTGATGGAGCAAGGATGGTTGATGTTGAAAGAAGGTGGTATAATGGTATACAGTACGTGCTCTTTGTCAATCTCGCAAAATGAAGAGAACGTCGCTTGGTTTCTGAAGAATTTTACAAACGCAAAGCTGGAAAATATACCCAATTTCAATATCAAGCCTGCTAAAATTAAAACACAAAGTATCGATAGGAGGCTGCAGAATGATATAGCCACTTACTGCCTACGATTTGATCCAATCCATAGCCGTACAAGCGGTTTTTTTGTAGCTCGTTTCAAGAAGCTTTATTAAATGATAAAGTATGCAGTCTTATTTACAATTACTTAATTTTTTTTTTTTTTTTTTTTTTTTTTTTATTATGTGAAGTTTTCATTCAAAATTTCCATTATGTGACTCCTCGTCACACACTTCATTCATCATATCCCATTCTTTGTCCAGTAATTTTGATTCAGCTATTGAGGCACTGACTGGGTTCGTTGACGCACTATGATGAAAGCTGTCATCCGGGCCAGCTTCAAAGATTTTTGATTCAATCGTTTCTGCTTGTTTGTTACCTTCTATTAAGGTAACGCTTTCTTTAAGCTGCTCACGTTCCTGTCGTTGTATTTCCTCGCTATTCTTTGCCATTTCCGCCTCTTCAGCCTCCTCCTTTCGTAAGGCCTCATCAAGAATACCCAAGGCAACTTCCTTATTCAAATCCTTCAGGAAGCGTTCAATGCGCCGATAATTCCCAAATAACATATTGAAAGTACGAACCATTGGTTGTTTGATAACACCTTGTTCTGTAATCTTCAAAACTACAGCTCTTTCTTCTTCTTCCACAGGCTTAAGAACGAATGTCCATGAACCGCTAAACGTTGTATTTGCTTTACTAGTTGATTCAGTTTCACCTGGCATAATATACGGTCGCTCTTCCACAACTCTCAACAACTTTCTTCCGGGTTCTTGTTCAATGTTAATCACAGTGGTGCGCTTGTTTTTCCGTGTATATTCTGTGAATGTTACGCGGCGTTCGTCCTCATACTTATTGATATCATTTTCATAATCATCTTGTCTTACAACTATTTTGCTAATATTTGACCGCCAGGCTGGGTAATCTTCTATACTTGTCAAAATGGTCCACAAGATTCCAGCAGTTGTATTGTATTTGAAAGAGCGTGAGACGATATGGCTCTCAGGCAGTAGACGACCAATGGCATATAATACCAATGGTATGGTGGGTATCAAAATTAAGCAGGTTATGATTGCCGCAAATGTACTGACCATCACGTAAAAAAGTGTATAAAATGAGGTAATGAGCAACAGAAAGAAGAAACAAGATAAACGGCGGGGGAAAAATCAATATTGAAAATGGAAAATCTCAAATTAAGTTAATACAAGAGGTTTGAAACCGTTCAGGTCCAAATCCGCCCTTATTCTTCTACCAACATCAAAATACCAGGTACAAAAGAAAAATACTTATATAACAGTTATTATAGTATAACTAACTCTATAAGCTCTTTTAGGAATGGACCCGTATATTGTTCATATTTTGACAGGTAATAGATCATTATCAATGCATGATTTTATCCGTCTGGAAACTGACAGAATACTGTAATAGTCAGTGACACGGCTTCTCAAGACGGACGTGCTGATAAAAGTGGGCCTCTGTTAAAGAAAATACTAGAGGCTAGCGGCAGATTCAATGTCAAAAAGGACTCTATCCTTCCGGACGATCTGGAGTCGATACGGTCAATCATTCAGAATTGGGCTGAACACGATCAGCCAAATCTCATTCTCACAACTGGAGGAACTGGCTTTGCTGAGCGCGATGTCACACCCGAAGCGATCAAACCTGTATTAGACCGAGAAACGTTAGGGCTTACGCATCTTTTATTATCGTCATCTATATCAATCACACCGTTTGCTGCTTTGTCTCGCCCTGTTACGGGAATTCTTAAAAAGACATTGATTGTTACTTTACCTGGCAGTCCGAAGGCCTGTGAAGAGAATTTGGGAGCCATTATGCCGGTACTACCCCATGCTCTTGATCTGTTACTGGCACGTGAGACTGTTAAAAAGCAACATAGTGAGATACAAGATCGGCAAATCAGTGGTGTTTCGAACGTCCGTGCAGCTGCTAAAATTCAATCTTCATCAGGACAGCATACCTGTTCACACCATGAACATGATTTACATTCGGATGAAGCAGATATACCACAATCAGGCCTTTCGACGCCGCTAGAAACTCCAGGTAATACAGCATAGCTGCTAAATAGTTCAGAAGATGTTAAATTAACTTGTTCTATTATGTAAAGTCTCAAGACGCGCTCGTAAATCGCCTTACCCGGTAATATCTGTAGAGAGAGCCAAAGAAATCATTGAAGAGAACATCAAGACATTAAATATCATTAGTTTGCCAGTATCGCAGTACTTGCTTAATTATATCCTCGCGGAAGATGTCTTCGCTATGGAACCAGTACCTGGCTACCGAGCATCTGTAGTTGACGGGTATGCTGTTCATGGTATGTGAAATGAAGCCAATTGTACTTTAGCTAATTATGCTAACGATAATAAAAATATACTCTTTACTGAACAGCGGAAGATGGAATTGGTATATATCCCGTTGAATCAGTTTCGCTCGCAAATGTTGGCATAAGAGGGAAAGAATTAAATAAAGGAAAAATTACTCGTATAACAACGGGTGGTATGGTTCCAGAAGGTGCCAATGCAGTCATTATGGTTGAGGATACCAAACTTATCAAAGCTTCGCCAACCAATAAGAATGAGGAGCTAGAAATTGAAATTTTGGCTCAGGCTCGATTTGGTGATAATATTCGCGAAGTAGGTGTGGATTGCCAGGTAGGCGAATTGGTAGCAAAAAAAGGACACAGGATTAGCACCGAAGATATAGGTTTACTAGCTTCAGTGGGAGTGCGTCATGTCAAAGTTTACCGTAAACCACGTGTCGGTGTATTGTCAACAGGAAATGAAGTTGTAGACCATATCCATACAGATACCTTAAAACCTGGCCAAATTCGAGATACCAATCGTATCACTTTATTGTCAGCTGTGCAATCCGCAGGTTTCGAAGCCGTTGATTTGGGTATTGTTGGTGACAAAGTAGATGAAATGACAGAATGCTTGGAAGAAGCCCTAGATCAGGTTGATGTTCTTATTACTACAGGTGGAGTGTCGATGGGAGAGGCTGATTTTGTTAAGCCTATATTAGAGCAAAAATTAGGAGCTACTCTCCACTTCGGTCGCATTCTGATGAAGCCCGGAAAACCCACAACTTTTGCAACACTTCAGTTGGGTCCTGAAAATAAAAGACCGCCTAAAATAATATTTGCTTTACCTGGCAACCCTGTATCTGCTAGCGTGGGGCTTTATCTCTTTGTTGTTCCAAGTCTACGTCGTATGGCAGGATGGACAGGTCCTAGTCATACAACAGTTCCTGTCAAGATAAAGCATGATATATACTTGGATAGTCGTCCTGAATACCACCGTGTACAAGTATGTGTCGATTCAGAGGATGGGACACTAACCGCTCAGTCCACCGGTAATCAACAGAGTAGTCGCATGCTGAGTATGGTTAATGCCAATGGTCTGTTGGCATTACCATCAAAGAAGCCAGATCTGACAGTATTGACTGAAGGTGCTACAGTTCCTTGTATTTTGATTGGCCCTTTGGTAAATGAAATAAACTAACAGCTCAGTCAACTTCCTCCCATGGCAAAATTTATATAACATCCTTTTCAAAAATTCCGCTTGCTACTCATAGTATGTAATATACTTTTTCTCAGAGAAATTAGAATCGTGGCATAAGGCTTATCAAAATTTAACAGTAATAACCACGCTTGTCTTTTGGTCAGTTTTTGCATTATAGCTATAATTATCATTCAATCTTGTTGCTCAACAATGAACCAATAAGCAGTATCAAATGATTGGGGTTAGACTTTCACTAGGCCTTATAGCCTGTCTGGTCGAAGATTAGCTTTGGTTAGATTGATAAACCTGGTTAGCCAGCTGCCTGGTCAGTCATCAAAAAGCATCTTTTCACTTATTGATGTTCATTGCTTTGCTTTACGCTGGAAAAAGGCTTATGTTGACCTGCTAATACCATCTGACTTTGCTAGAACTCAAAAAAAAAAAGACACGGTTTTGCGACCACAATCGATGCTAACAATGACCTTTTAACATCTCTTCCCCTCCCCCCCATTTTCAGTTGGCGAGGGTAAGGGTGATGGTGGTTAAATCTATTCTTGTCAATCATTTGCGTCATAGCAATGATTGTTTCAACAAAAAGAGATGTTCTTCATATATTTGAAGCGCACGAGCTGAAAACAAATCAAAGACCATTCATAGTCGCAAAAATGTGTACAAGCCATTAATTTAATTTAATGATCTTCGTTCCTGAAACTCTATGTACGCGGCATACTATATTCCATTTTTTGCCAATAATCATAACAACAAATGGTCCGTCAAGAGCAAGCCGGGAGAATAGTAAAAATTATCGAGACAGGCTTAAAGCAAGGACATAATGGAAGTGAAAAACTACTCTTCTTTTAGTAACAAAAGAAGAAAAATAAGTACTCTCATGCTAAGAGACGAAGCGTTCATTCGCATCAACAAAAAAGTATTAAATAAGCACTGGTGAAATAGGTATTGTTCTTTCAAACACATACAAAGTATAAAAAGCAAGAATACTTCAAATTGGATTCCTATAATGACTGTCATATCTTTCCATTGAAGCTATTTACGTAAAAACTCTTCTGTTGATGATTTACTTTCATTCATATTTACACTGATAATGATAAGCTGGTATTGATAACTGTCGGCCTGAAATCATACTATTTTTCTCTCCCCTGAGCCCTTTGAGTTAAATTACATGATGCTTTTAAGATTATATCGAACTATCATTGTTATTGTTAATTGCTCTCATAGAATTGCCACAAGTGATGTTCAAATTATAGGCAAATGGAGCAATACATTGGATGACTTTCTACTGCCATGAGTTTTGCATATTGGATCATCCTTGAGGAGTCCCGCGGGCCCATCCTCACATACGGGTATCGGTCGGCAGCGCCGGCCTAGCCATGCAGCTTCTATTGAATAAAGCGTATCTTACCGCAGTTTAATGAAATAACATGAAAACGAAAGCGCCTAAATCTTTAGGATCATAGCAATAAGAAGAAGATATAGATTACTTTTATACACCACTGAATTGTACTTGATCGTCATATCTCATTGCCGATGATATCATAAACGTGAAGTAGGAAAAGTATAAGAAATAAGTAATGACTCTTACAAGGGATCAGCTACCTCGCTTAGGATTGCACAGGCTGTCATTTAGGATGTATAGTTTACTTATTTTACTAGGATACAATGCTATTATAACATTGTCTATAGCAGTTGTATGGGTATGTAGAAATTATTAACTCAACCTCAAGATATACCAGAAAAAGATCATAAAGACTGTTCACTGCCTTTGTATATAGAATGGTTACAAGGTAGTGAGATTTGATCATCCTTCACATAACTGTTTACTAACCTCAAATCCACATACGAATGTGATTTTTTTCATCGAAAATAATTCTTGTAAGTACTGCTGCATGATGGGTAGACTCCACAAGGGATAGTCCTATTCTTTGGCGGTTGAAAAGACATAATTCTTCAATAAGTAGAATCTCAGCTGTCAGCTTTTATAATCCGGTAATATGAAGAAGATATTGAACTTTTTCTAGTAACTATTTTTCTTTCTTTTTAGTTACAACTTGATTAAATAAAGTTTTACCTAGTCTGGTCTTGTTGAGCTCTTTGTAGTAATTTCACGTGCTGCTACATACCACCTCGTCAAATATCCAGTAACAAGTACATTGGTCATTGTCAACAAATGTTATTCTTGTTGTATACAGCACAAAAAAAAAATAGTAAGAGCACATGCACTAGTTTATCAGTCTTGAAGAGTTGACAACTCAACAGGCCAAATTGAAAAGGCCATTTTACTGTTATACTCGACTAACCACAACATATAATTAGAAGAGTGCTAACAATTTGCAATTTTATTGTACGCTTCCATATTAATTTACATATACTTTTCTATTCTATTATTTCATTATTCCCCAAGACCTCTTCTATTTTTGAACATTATTGGAAACAACTAGGCTAGAGGCTGGAAAAATCAGGAACAATTCGATCTTGCCGTTAAGCCTCAGTGCTTATAGGCACATTTTTTGAGGTATTACGCTGACCGGTCAATTCCGATCCGGAAAAATTTTAATTCGAAAGGTGATACTGCTTGCTGTCGCTGCGTATCAGCAAAGCGCTTGCATGTAACCGTGTTATTCTTTCTCTTTTGGCATACAGTTGAATCAACATGGTATGTGTCCATCCATTCGACCTATCCATAGTAGAAAACGATATATCCGTTCAAAGATTGGAGGGTAGATTACATCCTTGAAAAAACCTCGCTTTACAACACATCGAATGATATTGGCAGATAGAAGATCTTAGCAGTCTAGAATGTGCTTACAATTACAGCATCATTTGTATAGACTTTATTTTGTCCATTTCACATTGATGCGACTCCTGCAACAATTAACAAAAAAAAAAAAGAAAATCATATTCTCCAATCTTTGAACGTCATCAACGAAAAACCAGTTTACATTCAAACGTTTGCTTATTTTAATCTTTACTTTTTTCTGTTATTGAACAGGTCAATATTCCTAAGACCCGTAACACCTTCTGTAAGGGCTCCAAGTGTAGAAAGCACACTCCTCACAAGGTCACTCAATACAAGGCTGGTAAGGCTTCTCTCTTTGCCCAAGGTAAGAGACGTTACGACCGTAAGCAATCCGGTTATGGTGGTCAAACCAAGCCCGTTTTCCACAAGAAGGCCAAGACTACCAAGAAGATCGTTCTTCGTCTTGAATGTACTGGTAAGTATATTTTTAGTGAAAGATGTCTCTTAAATTTATTATGAGTTGAAAGTGGTTTACTAATGATACTGTCTGCTAATCTTAGCTTGTAAGTACAAGATGCAACTTGCTATCAAGAGATGTAAGCATTTCGAATTGGGTGGTGACAAGAAGACCAAGGGTGCTGCTCTTGTTTTCTAAATTATTCAGCTTATATTATGCATGTAATAAAAGATATGAATTATGATGTCCTCTTTCTGCTCTCTTGAATCCCGTATTATGAAGTTTGGAGAGTTTATATCTTGTCGAATATGTAATGTCGAAGTTTGAATATACGAACAATTACGGTAAAGTCGAGGGAATTCATGTGCATGGATCGGTATTAGAACGCTTTTGAAAGCCAACATTTTCTGTTTGCCATGATGAAGAAGGTTTCTCCTGGTTTTATTTTTTTTTTTCTTCAAACCAATGGAAGTTAGATCATAGGTTAAAATCTTTAGCGATTATTATTTTGAAAAAGGTCAACTTTGAATTTCTCACAAGTTGAGCCGTAATGGTTGTCGAACTAGGTCATCTTTGATAACCAAGGTCTCCATACTCTAGCAGAAGATGAGATCATTTCACTTTCTATACAAGTGTTTGCAAACATCATAACAGAAGAAGCACTATTGCTATCAAAAAACTCTTTGCTTCACTATACTGATACTCAGTTGAGTACTCCATCATTTCTGTTAAGAGAGTATACCATGATTATATATCAAGCGGGAATGTTTGGTTGAATCATAGCTCAAGTAAGTGACCGGAACACGATGAATATCTCACAAAGCAGAGGAAAAAAAATCTTAATTTGTAGAGTCGTTTAAATATAATTATTGTCATCTAAATTATTTAAACCTACTTGCTTTTATCACACTTCCAAATGCATACAATGATCATAACAACATATTCTATAGTCAATAAGCCGTTATCATTTCCTAGAAAATCTAATAAATCACAGCAATAACGGATTGAAGCCAAGGATAACTGCGATGAACTATAAATCACAGAAGTGTTAGTTGGATTGTCTTTTCTTTTCCTCTTCACTTTATCGCATAACAGTGCTCGTCGCATATTTCATCTCTCTACTCTCTCCTAGCGCCAGCGTTAAACCTGCGACAGTTGAACGTACGCGTATAATAGATTTTCTTACGTATCTCAAACTTACTAACAGTGTAGTAGTAAAGCATTGATTTGCCACTTCGTTCAAGGAAGGGCAATGTGAGTTGTTTTGATTGCCCACTGTTGAATAGTATGCAGCACAGCCGATTTTGACTTACAATCGTAGATTCTTACCGTTTTACTATCCAGTAGCCATACTTTCAAAATTTTCATACTGTTGATTGCTGCATCCTTTTGTTTCTCAACGACTGAGCCAATCGTTTTCTTTGAATCATTGTGCATAATCAGCTCCAAAAGCAACCATTTATTGTTTTTTCCGGAATATCAGCAAAGATTTAGGACGCTTAACAAAACAATTTGACCTTCCTTACCCAATTTATACAGTATAACTGAAGTCAGTACTTGTAACAAAATTGTTACGAAATTCCTTGAAAAAATGAAAGGTCTCTTGATAGACTGTATTTGTCATAATATAGGCTGCTTTTGTAAGCACATATTTTACTGAAATGTGTTGAAAAAGCACCATTATTTCTCGAAGGGAAAGCTGCCAGTCCTTTCTATACGATGCAGCAATCAGCAGCAATACTTTGTAGCAAGACGAAGGTATTCAGGTTGGCAAAAATATCAAAAACGCGAACAGGCCATTGGACAAAAACTGCAACAGCCGTAGAGTATTTGACGATATGCTTACATAAATTACTTTACTGCTGGTGAAAGCTTTGAAAAGAAAGAACTACTTGGTAAAACTAAGCATTATAAATTCTGTAAACATTCACAGTCCGATAGAACGCAAGCTGAACAAATTTTGTCCGGAAAACCTAGGCTAAAAATATATAAATTGTTTTTTGAATTACTGTAACCAAGTTATTGAAAAATAAATAAATTATATGATATGAGCGTTCTAGAGTTTCTGACTATGCTGTCCGTATGTCAATTCTGTTTCAAATGTTACTCTTCCTCCATCATCTGGCTTTGAAATGCAAATAGGTATTTTTCAATTGGACTAAATTTCGAAATTGAGGGGCAGCTCAGTTGTCAAAAAACTAGGGTTGACAATCATCTGTCCCTTTGAATAACTTCATCGAATAATGCCAGCAACCAATACACAAATATACCTTCAAACTAGATTGTGTACAAGATATGTGCCAGCTAAATTATATAAGCATGCAACAAGGCATTATGCAACTGCTCGTCATACATCGTCTGTCAATTTTGCTGCAATCGAAAGCAAGTGGAGAGATCGATGGCAACAGAAAAACGACCTTGCTAAATCTCAACTAATTGAGTCCCACTCCAGTAAACCAAATTTCTACGCCCTATCCATGTTTCCATATCCGAGCGGTATGCTTCACATGGGGCATGTGAGAGTCTACACTATTAGTGACTCAATTCAGCGTGCTCGCAAAATGATGGGATATAATGTGATACATCCAATGGGTTGGGACGCGTTTGGCTTGCCGGCTGAAAATGCTGCTATTGAGAGAGGAATACACCCAGCAGTTTGGACAACGAAGAATATTGCAGCTATGAAAGAACAAATGGCGAAATTATGTATTGACTTTGACTGGTCTAGAGTAAAAATTTCATATTGTTGACGAGAAGCTGTATGAGATTGAGTGAGCTAAACACAAAGTCACTTTTCCATTTTCTGATTGATAAAAAGGAAGTGACGACATGTGCTCCTGATTATTACAAATGGACGCAGTATATATTTTTGGAATTGTATAATGCTGGATTAGCATATCAGAAAGAGGCTGTCGTTAATTGGGATCCTGTCGATAAGACCGTTTTAGCCAATGAACAAGTGGATCACGAAGGGAAATCATGGCGGTCAGGAGCACTTGTTGAGAGAAAAAAGCTAAAACAATGGTTTTTCAAAGTAACAGAATTTGCTGATGTAGGTTCTGTAATTAACTTCCTACTATGTGATATAATCGACCCAAGCAAACCTAATCAAACATGAATCTGATAGGAACTTTTGAAAGATATCGAGAAATTAGATAACTGGCCTGAGAGAGTAAAGCAGATGCAACGTAACTGGATCGGAAAATCGATAGGTGCAGAGTTCGATTTTCAAATTGTAAGTTGATGCCTAAAAGTTAAAGAGAAAATGCTTTCTTTCATGCAAAATTTTTGATTTATGATCTGCATCTTCATATTAGAACTCAGCTTCTGCGATTCAATCTTTGAAAGTTTTCACTAGTAGACCTGACACTATCTATGGCGTCCAATACTTAGTAGTTGCACCAGAGCACCCCCTTATAACAAGAGAGTAAATAATATCATTCTTATTTACCATTTCCTAAATTACCAACTATTATTTATTTATACAGGAATCTGCCGGAGAAACAGTCTGATGCTGTTCTAAACTTCGTCAAAGAATTGAATAAAAAGCAAAATATGGATGCAGCAGAGCAAAGCAAGCAAGGTAAAAAGAAAGTATACATTAATTGTAGGTTATCGGCTTTTTAAAACTGAGAACATGCAACGAAAATAATATATAGGAGCTTTCACTGGACTCTACGCTGAGAATCCTTTTACAAAGGAAAATATACCCATATATGTTGCACCTTACGTGCTTTCAGACTACGGCACTGGAGCCGTCATGGGAGTACCAGCACATGATAAACGTGATTTTGAGTTTTGTAAAATAAACAAAATAGTAGACAACGTTAAATTTGTGGTTGAGCCTGCCATCAAGGAGATGAACGAACCAATAGATCATACCACAGCATATACAGCAGAAGGAATTTTGAATGAATTATCAGGCCCTTATGCAGGATTGAAGTCTGAAGAAGCCAGCAAAGCTATTATTCAGGAGGCGACCAAGCTAGGATTTGGTCGTCAGGCAGTTCAAGTATTTGACAATATTAAATCAATATCTTAATTATATATCGAGGCATCTTGAAAAGGTTGACAGGACATTATTTCTTTCTAGTATCGATTAAGAGATTGGCTACTATCTAGACAGAGATACTGGGGTGCACCTATACCTATTATCCATTGCCCAACTTGTAAGGTAAGGTATCAAATATTGATGTTGTCTATCAACTGTCAGCAAAAGGGAAATTCTGAAGCTACGTATTATCTGAACAATGTAGGCGGTTCCTGTGCCCAAGGAAGAGCTCCCAGTTTTATTGCCGTTGGAAGTTGAATTTACTGGCAAAGGGATGTCACCATTGGCAAATAAAGAGAATTGGGTGAACTGCACCTGCCCAAAGTATATTGATAATAAACAGTTGTATTAATGAATAGATTAAACAACTTACATCTAGCATCTAAAATTTTAGATGTCAAGGTCCTGCAAAGCGTGAGACAGATACTATGGACACATTTGTAGACTCTTCGTGGTACTTTATGCGCTATACAGATCCTACAAACGCGTTATTGTAAGTTAAAACCCTGAAAAAAAAAATTCTATTTTTCAAATATCAATACTGAAAGCTTGATGTATCTCCTTTGTCTATGTACAGACCATTTGATTCCGAAAAAGCTTCTGCATTATTGCCCGTGGATATCTATATTGGTGGCGTAGAACATGCTATACTCCATTTGCTATATTCCCGCTTTATTTCAAAAGCACTCCTTAAACAAGGTCTTTTCAACGAGCGTGAAAATAGCAAACCCGGGAACGGAGAACCATTCAATACGTTATTAACACAAGTAAAGAACTTCATGGTATTAATTTTGATGACATTACGAGCTCAAAGTTTTAAATAGTAAGATCTTTCATAGGGGATGGTACATGGAAAAACTTTTAAAGATCCAAATACTCAAAGATTCCTTAAACCTGAGGAGGTTGACGTATCAGGTACGGATATACATGCACGCTTAGATCAAAGGGGGGTTATAGAAAGCTTAAATCCTTCATACTTCTCTATTTTGACTAGACCCTGCAGCTCCAAAAATAATTGCGACAGGAGACACACCTTTGATAAGTTTTGAAAAAATGTCAAAGAGTAAATACAACGGAATTGATCCTAGCGTACGTATATACATTATAACAATGATAGTTTCTCTTAATATGAAGCACATTTAGGAGTTAGCTAATCGTAACTTATTTTCCTGCATAGACTGTCATAGAAAAATGTGGCGTTGACCCCACACGATTGCATATATTGTATAAAGCACCCCCTTCCGAAGTACTCGAATGGGAAGATTCTAGTATAATTGGGATGCAAAGATGGCTTGCTAAAGTACTCAAACTATCACAAAATTTGCCTAAACCTGCATGTACATTACCTTCCACAATAAATCAGATTACCAAGGAAGAAAAAGAAATGTATCGATTCACTCATCAAACAATCAAGCAGGTGACAGAAGCCATGACATCAACATACTCCTTCAATACCGCAATTTCCGATCTCATCAAGCTATCGAATCATATCAGTTCCGCAAAAGTAAAACCAGATTCCTCAGTATATCATTTTGCTCTAACATCGCTGATAAAAATGATGGCACCCATGGCACCATCTACCAGTGAAGAATGCTGGGAATCTATTTCTACAAAAACAAACTGTCAAAGTAGCATATTTGAGCAAACATGGCCCATCGTTGATCCTCAAGCACTGGAGACTGATGAGATAAAATGCATCATTCAGGTAAAAGGACGGGAATAGCTGCTTTTATTCGTTACAAATGTTCTTGACATTTTTTATGACTTTTAAAATGTTTATCAAAGGTCAATGGGAAAACAAGAATGACTATAATGATGCCAAAAGATTTGGCGGAAAATTCGGAGGAAATTGAAAGACGTTTCCGAGATTCAGAAACTGGGCGTAAATGGCTCGGTGCTAAACCTCTCAAGAGATTGATTATTGCAAAGAAAGGCGAACTTGCAAATTTCGTAGTATAGGAATTTATGTACCTTTTTTTTATTGTATTTTTAATAATGCATACTATTATAACACACTCAAAATTGAGAACAACAACTCTTGGTTAGATGGTATAGATTCTATCTAAAAATGCATGCTTTGATTTTTTGACGACCGCCTTCGTAGTGCTTGAAGAAGATGATTTCAAGAATATTAATTTCATTGAAGGGTATCTTTTAATTTGGGAAGTTATGATACCTATATTTTCAATGTGTACCGTTTAGAGACAATTCTTTATGAAATAGTTCTTTTTTTTTCGATATAACACTTTACCATAAAACCAGAATAAGTGCAACGGGAAGACCGCTACTGCCAGTAACCACAGTATCTCCAAACGATGATTTCTCTTCAAAGCAAAGATCATGTAGGAGTGAAATACGAGTCTTAAAACAAAGAAAGTTGAAGCAAACAATAAATCACATCGCCAGCGCTCTCTGAAAGAACCCAGTGCTAATATTAAGGTAGGTAGCTCAAGCAAACAGCTAGTTGTGAAGAAGGAGGATGATCTACACCGCAGCAGCCAAAATAAGATACCGATGTAAAGAGGATGATGAACCCAACCTGTTAGCACTGTAATGCGATCTTTATAGTACAAAGAACCGAGAGACAGATCAAGTGTCAAATAGCTGATGAAAAAGCATACCATAGCGATATGGAGATTGGAATCAGTGCTTAGAAGATTCATATCGAAGTCGTGTAAGCAAAATTGAGCAAAATAAGGAATTGACACCACTGTACATACTAAGCTACTGGCAAAGGTTAAAATCCAACTGATCTGTTTGTCTGTTTTCGTGAACCCGGTCTTGATACAGAAGAAAAAGAACCCAATAAGACTAATAAAGCTAACTGCGAACGAGACAGGTACAATTGGTTGTAGAAAGACTTGACCGATGCTTAGTTTCATCATCTTTTCTTTGTATGGAAATATTAAAAAGACAATCGAGCGTAATTGTTGACGTGGGGTAATTGTAGCAGAAGTGAGCGTACTGAGAAGTATAAGATGCGAGAGAGAAACGAAGACAAAGTGCCGAGTAAAGGATAATTAAGAACTACTTATATATACAGGATAGACAGAGCAGCCAACATATAAAAAGATGGTATACGCAAGTGTTTATGTAAGGCGATGTCCATATTTTCTGGTGTGTTCAGGGGAAAACCATCAAAATGGAACTAGATGCATAATCTGTAAAAAGAAATCTACTCCATAAAACGCGCGTATTTGTTCTCCTATCTACAAAAGAATAGCTCTTTTTTGAAAGTTGATTTTCCCCTTCCTGTGGGTGAGTGGCAAAATAGAGAACACATTATTGACAAATGGTTGACTTGAACTGATAATTTAGATTCCAAATTGCAGTTGCTTCTCTTCCTTATTGTCAAATTTCGAGTCATGTGCGTTTAATTTGTTTTCTTTATGCTTGTTAACCTGTCCAAAAAATAATGTCTAATGGCTAACGAGAAATACTGGTTTAGTTTTACTGTCGACCTTAGATGCAATACTCCCCTTGTTTATAGTTGTACGGTACTGGGCACCATACAAATACTTCTCCTCAAAATAAAAAAAGAAATTAGTGACTACAACAACTTTCCCTTTCATTAAAGGGATTTCTTTCACTCTACTTCATTATAGCTCTTAGAGTAATAATAACCAAAGAATTCTTAAGTTAAGCACTGCCGCTTTCGTCACAATGACCATCGTTGTTCTTCTGAATTATACACGAATTATGTTTCACCTAGCATTCATATAGCTACTAATTGCATATATAAAAAATCTATTACCATAATATACTCATCTCTTGAAACAGTGAATGGTATATTGAGTAAAGCCCAACTATGTTAAACTAAGAGCAAATTTCGAGCTACTAAATTTAAGCGCAAAGCAACAATGGCGATATTGCTTGTATTTCCAAAATGTGACAAAGAATTTTGCCATAAAATGTATATATCAACTTTCCTTTCTATATAAAATGTTCACTTCCTCCTTCGCATTGTTTCATAGCCTCATGTAGCAGATATCCGTTTTGCTGATTGATCAATCTGAAGAAACGAGGATGGATCAATGAAGCGGTTTACTGTAATTTTCGTATTCAAATTCCGAAAGTGCGTACAGAAGAAAACAAAGCACAAAGTGGCATAAAAATTGCGTTTTTTTTTGTCAACGTTCACGAAGAATTGTTTTGAATTAACAAATAAAATAACGCAAAGTCATGGACAGCTTGTGGACCGAAGTTCAGCATATATGTGATACGGATTTGAATAAAGTATCACCGGTCTCTTCACTTTGTTGGGATCCTTACCATGAACTTTTGTGGGTTGGCAATGACGCTGTAAATATCAATATCATACAAATACTCAATGCAACGTTTTGAAATGGACACCATTTCACAATGAAGTAAAAAAAAGTGTCAACAATAGCCGTCCAAAGTTTATGAATATGCTTTTTTATTTGCTTGAATTTGAATTAGGGTCGAGTATGCTCATATTATGGAAAAGGATTACAAAAATACACTTCTTGGAAAGCACATAAAGACGAGCAAGTTCGGCAAATAAGAGTGACGGACAGAGGAGTTATCAGTGTCAGTTCAAAAAGTATACATATGAGAGATAGGCGAGGATTAGTAAATTGGAATATAAGGTAAGCATGCGCCGAATAAGCATTACGTTATTAAATAAGCAGGTTATATAGATCATAATTACCTTTCTCTCGAATAGCAATGAATCAACAAAAAATTTGCATTGCATGACATCAACGACTCTAGCCAATGGGGAAATTTTAGTTGCTGGGCAACAAGATGATATGTTGGTTGTGAGTACAGCTAGAGGCGCCATTACCAGAAAAATTGCAGGTGCATCCAACATTGTAGTCATGAAAAGTCTATCAAGATCCATTTGTGCTGGCTCGTTATTAGGCGAAGTTACCTTAAGAGATACGAGAACAATGAAAGTAGAACAGCGAGTCCAGGCACATACAGCTACATTATCCGATTTAGATGTGTCAGGCAATCTATTACTAACTTGTGGATTTTCACAAAGGTATGTGACAATTAGCAATTCACCAGTCCCATTACAGGTATATAATATTGTATCTTTATAGGCAAGGATCTCTAATTATGGACCCACTGGTTAAAGTTTACGACATAAGAATGGCAGTGAGAACATTAGCGCCTATTCCATTTCCTAGCGGGCCAATGTTTTTGAAAATGCACCCAACTCTCAGCACTACTTGCCTTGTAGCATCACAAACAGGACAGTTCCAAATGTGTGATGTATCGAGTCTCGTCATGGGCTCTTATGCTGCACCTGCTCAATTTCATCAAATTCAAACGCAAACATATATTACAGCCATGGATATATCAGCTTCAGCTCAAACATTAGCGTTTGCAGATGGAGCAAGTTTTGTCTATCAATATGCAGACCGTGAAGAATTCGCTGTGAACCCTTACTCTCTACCTATTGTCACACCTGATCCACCCATTGCTGATAGTTCAAATCAATTGATCATTGATGATAATGCATCTCTTTCATCAGTAGGTTTGCCATACTATACTGAACAACTTCTATCTGTTTGGCCTAGCAACAAAGTGTACGAAGTTGGAGCAAAGCCTATAGCAATTGATGACGATATCTTGAAAAACATGAAAACCATTGATTTTGTAGGTTATGCACGAAACCCAGGGAACATTCACCGTAACCAAGTCCCCCGTAAGAAAAAAACTCTTACAAAAAAGTCCGGCCCCAAATTCAGATCAGAGCAGGAAAGAGAACTTTTGCTGCAACAGCAGCAAGGAACAGGAAGTATTGACAGCAGTACCAGCTTTGCTCTACATAACGAAGAAGGAAGTCTTCAGAGCGGTGATGGACAACTGCCTTATTTTGTCGGCACTTCGTCTTCGTTTGGCTCAACAAATAACAGACGATCCTCATCTATTGGCGACCTACAGCTCGCTGCTGTTGATCCAGCCGTCATTAATATGCCAAGATATTATCAGCGTGTGGAAATTCAATATAGTAAATTTGGCGTGGATGATTTCGACTTTGGATATTATAATGCAACTTGTTATGGAGGTTTAGAAACACATATACGAAACTCGTACTGTAATTCATTTTTACAGGTCCTTTATTTCATTTTACCGTTACGAAAATATGCGAAATACCATATAAAGGTCGCGTGTCCTAAAGATAATTGTCTGCTATGCGAATTGGGTTTCTTGTTTCGTATGTTGGAAGACTCAAAGGGTCAAAACTGCCAGGCTACCAACTTTTTACGTGCTTTCAGCACAATCCCTCAGGGTAAGCTACTATTTATTGAGTAAATTGATAGTTTGAATAATGCACATTCAAAGTGATTTACGAACGTTATATAGCGGCAGCACTAGGATTATTCGAGCCAGAAACACCCGGCCGTAATTTATCTTTTTCTACCCTTATGCAAAACTTTACGAGATTTATTATGGAGCAATTGCACCAGGAATCGAATTCAGCATCAGGAAATCCACTACTTTCGAAAGTTTTACGAAGAGATATCAATATGAATCAAAAGACGAACATTAATAGTAAAAACAACAAGAAAAATAACAGCACAGATGAAGTTATTGAAGAAAATGAAAAAGATAACACGACTGCCGAGGAAAAGAGCTCATCTACGACGTTGCCTACATTAGAAGTGCCCTCTCCAATGCAGCAATTATTCGGCCTACAGACTCTTAGCCAAAGTAAGTGTGGTATTTGTAAGCAAGATGTTTCGCGTATTACCTACCCCTTTGTCGTCGATTTGTTATATCCGAAAAAGAATGATCGTAAATTTCGCAAGCGATCCTTTACAAATATTTTGAAAGCAAGCATGTACCGTGAAAATCAAACAAAAGCCTGGTGCGCCCATTGTAAACAGTATACACCTACAACTACAAAAAAAATTATTTGTGGCCTACCAGGGATCATGTTGATTAACTCAGGCGCAGCTAATCGAGATGAGTCTTTCTTATGGAAACAAAATGGTCCGAACAGCCCCAAACAGACAGTTAACCAGCATGAAGGAGGCGCGTCGACAGAAAATAGTGACCAAGGATCTGCAAATGAAGACACAACACCAACTGTGAATACATATGCTTCCTGGTTGCCCGAGAGGCGAGTTAAAGATACTAAACAATCGATAGGAAAAGCGCAGAATAGTAATGCCTTCTTTTTTCTTCATGTATATCCAGGTTTGGTATATATATCAATGGTACAGAATTGGTGATCAAAGCATTACCAAATGGCAAGGAAATTCCTCCCGAGTTCAAAGGATCACCCGAAACATGTGCTATATACGAACTATCGTCCACTATTCTACAAATTCAAGCTGACGAAGAAGAGACAACACACTTAGTGTCGCAAATCAAAAGTATGTTTACAAAAAAAGAAAAAAAAGAATTAAGGAGTCTGAAGGCGAAGCACGTCAGCTCACTCTATCTTTGGCAATAGTTCCTGAAACAGAATTGTCAGAATCAGATAATAAGACATCACCCAATTGGTATCTATTCAACGATTTTCTTGTGCGAAAAATTCGACCTGAAGAAGTTTTCTCATTCAAGGGTACATGGAAAACACCTGCTGTCCTTCAGTACAGCCGCGTCGATTTAGACAAACTATTGGATTTGACCATCCTTCCCTCCGAAGTTGATTACTCACTCTTGTTTGATGATATATCTGTTGCTCATCATCCCAATAACCATCCTCGTCACAAAATTCTCACTGAAGAAGAAATGCCAAAACCAGGCACGTTAGTGGCCATTGACGCTGAGTTCGTAGCTTTACAACAAGAAGAAACAGAAATTCGTAGCGATGGCACAAAATCGCTGATTAGACCAAGTACTCTAACCTTAGCTCGTGTCAGCGTGCTGAGAGGCGATGATGGACCTAAGGAAGGCATACCGTTCATTGATGATTATATTGCCACAAACGAGCCTATTGTAGATTACCTGACAGAATACAGCGGTATTATGAAGGGTGATCTCGACCGAGCTCAGTCTAAATATACACTAGTACCGCTAAAGGTGGCTTACAAGAAACTGAGGTTGTTAGTAGATTTGGGATGCATATTTATTGGTCATGGTTTAAACAAAGATTTTAGAATTATCAGTAAGTTACTCGGAGTTGGTTGCAATGGTTTATTAGTCTAATAACTCTTTCGTTCTTTTTGTAGATATTCTGGTGCCTCCAGAACAGATTATTGATACTGTGGACATTTACCATATTCGAAATAGGCAAAGAAAGATCTCACTGCGATTTTTAGCTTGGCATCTATTGAACCAGGATATTCAATCGGAAACTCACGATAGTATCGAAGATGCGCGAACAGTAAGAATAATTCTTTTGGTAAAAGACGATTCTTTAAGTTACTTAAAACACGTTTTTTGTATTTTATTTAGGCTCTTGTGCTATACAAGAAATATTTAGAATTTAAAAATAATGGTACATTCGGACAAGTATTAGAAGATGTTTACGAAGCAGGTCATAAAGCGAATTGGCTAAAGGGCACAAAAGAGTCACTATCAAGAATTTCAAGCCAACAGCAAATGAATAATTTAATTAATGTTACTGCCATCAACACTAGTGCTAATGCTACCAACTCTTTATTTACTACCGGACGATCCATCTCTTAGTGAATATTGGATGTAGACAATCTTAGAAAATAACCAAAAATGTCAAAAAAAAATTCATATAAAACGCTGAAGAATACGATATGTTTTGCCATGCCTTCACATTGGTATAGAGAATGTGCTCCATAAAATAATGCTCTCATAGTGTTGAAAAATAGACAGTTCAATTGCTGTGGTTGCTTAAACATATAACCTGTTCGAAACACGCTTTTGATATGACATTTAACAGCGTCCCAAACCTATAGATTCGAGGCATTATTACAAATTATTTCAGCAGGTTTTTCTTCCTGCTTTATTCATGCTATTATACAATACCAAGTATCGAATCCCATTAGATTACTGATACAGAAAGGGGGCCGCTACACATCCTTTTGCTGAGAATTTAACATATTCAGGTAAAGTACTGAAACCGGCTAATACAAGATAGGCTAATGCGTTCATAAATAAACGGATAGCTGGCAGTTATGCATATGGTGTCAGAATATATGCTTCTATTGTACTCATAATGATTTAACTCCTCCCAAAGCAACGCCTGATATGTACCAGCTTAACTGTGGTTGGTTTATGGTCAAATGAGAGGCAAGTGGGCGGGATTTTCTTTTAATTTCGCACTATTCAGTTTCGGTTTTTTGAAGCTGCTGTAAGGCAGTTCAAGAGCACTGGAAGTGTCTATATAAAGTGACATTAGAATGATCCAAAAGAGTTGGTGGCTATGGTTTTTCTTTGATCGTTTATTTGAAAGCTTTTATTGTAAATGGTGGTATGGTGTACTTGTTCACGGTGCATTGACTGCTCTGTGCAGTAACTTCAACAAATTCACATTTTGATATTAGTAACGATTGATATTACTTGGCTCAAAAAAGATCTTACTTATTAGAATGGTACAGAAGTTTAAAGTACGTGTAAGAGGACGGAATATGGAGTCTATACTCTGTAAGCATGTTTATCTCAAAGAAGAATGAACATACGCTTCACAACTCTTTTTACTTTTCTTTAGGAAAAGGTTTTTGACAACTGAGGTAGATTGAAGGCCCGATGTTAAATATTGATAAGGAAAATCTTCATTTTTTCAAAGTGGTTTTCCAACATTGCATCCTGCCACGATGTCCAGTGAAACTCAAAACAAGAACAAAAGGCGAAAAGTGGAATATAAATGCCAGTTTTGTGATAAAACGTACAGGAAGCCCAGTAAAGTGATTGAACATGAGAGATCTCACACAGGAGAGGTTTGATTTCACCAAAAGAGTATTTGTAAACACTGCGAATATGTTTTGATTGCTTATTTTTGTATCCACCGTTTCTTCAGAGACCGTACATTTGCAATTATCCTGGCTGTGGCAAATCTTATATGAGATCAACTCACTTAAGTATTCATCAGCAAACACATAAAAATGTTAAGGAATTTGTATGTTCATATGAAAACTGCACAAAAGCTTATACCCTCAAACAACATTTACAACGTCATGAAAAAACTCATATCTCACCTTTACTTGAAGTAAGCCAAACATTCTTTAGATCACTTAATCATATATTTTTATCAACTGGTTCTTCATAACTCAATATAGTGCGATTATCCTGGTTGTGAAGCAAAATTTGCAAAACGTTATCAGTTACGTTGGCATAAAGCTTCACATGAAAAAGGCAATTATATTTGCGATGTATGCCAAGCAGCTTTAAATTCTTTGCCAGCTTTGGAAAAGCATAAGAGCAGAATGCATGAGAGTAAGTTCAAGAATTTGTTATAATGATAATGAATAAAACAATTTAACGTTGCCTTTTATCTTTCATTATACATAGATCCGGTAATATACAACTGTAGCAGCTGTGAAATGGATTTCAACAAATGGTCAGATTTAAGAAAGCATATTCACGATGAACACCCAGCCAAATGTACTATATGCGATAAGACATTCTCTAGGACAGCGAATTTGAAACAACATATCAGAGAAAAACATACCGATCTTTACCAAATCAAATGCGATTGGCCTGGCTGTAAAGCTACACTCAATAATAAACGTAGTTATAAAACTCACGTCGCCTTAGTGCATGAACAAGACATTCGATATAAATGTGATGTTTGTGAAAAAGGGTTCCCTTATAAATCTCAGCTTGAAAGACACATGGAATCTCATACGTTGGTAAGTTTCATTTCGTATATTGCAACTTCGAAAGGACAACATCATTCTAATTTGTTTGCTTGTACAAACCATCAGAAATTAAAGAAGCCAAAATCACCAAAACGACAAAAGTCTATCATAGAAGAGATCACTGGCCACAATTACTATGCTAAAGCTGATACTAAATATGAATGCCCTATTCCAAACTGCCAATTTAAATTCACCAATACTTATTTATTGCAACGCCATCTTGAAGGTAGCCTACATAAAGATGATATAAAAGCACTCAAAATAGCCAAAGCTTCGAATGTATCACCCCAATGATGGCCTTGAAAAAGAGCATTAACTGAAGCCCGCCTTGCAAACTGTACATAGTATTTATAGTAAACAAAATTGTAATTTTAGACTTATTGCTGCATCACTTCAGCAGGATTTTGGATAACTATCAGTAAATATTCATGATCTATGAATATAAACGCAAATGAATTAGTTAGCACATGACTGCCCTTATCTCTTTCTTTAAACGGTTTCTTTACCGGGAGCAATCATAATTTCATGCTTCTTGGTTCTAACTCTCAAAAAGGTCAATTCATTCTAAAGACAAAGTTTGTATTAGGTGATCTGCTACCTTTGACTATTATCTATTCTATGTGCTTATCTGTATTGACTACCTGCTCATCAAGAGCCAGTACTGTCGTTTTCGCTTGTTCCACGAGTTTGGATATTAATTGACCGTATTGTTTTGCTAAATCACGATCTAGAGTGGATCGAATAGATTGACCCTCACTGTTTAAAATGACAACACCCTTTACACCTTTTTTGTTGGAGATTCTTTTCAGCGTTTCATCAACATCAATGGTCTACATTACACTCTAAAAATCAATATATCTCTTCTTTTCATTACGTTTCCTTCTAACTGCAATACAGTACCATCTCTGTGGGGGGTATATCTGGGAAGTAAAGATAAAGCAAAAGAGAGCGAAATTTGAAAAGGATAGCATTGGTTGGTGACTTTTTATGCAATTTTGCTAAAGCATAATTTCCCAAATTTAGTGGGAATAACACACAATGAGCTATATGAAAGGAAGATCAAAAATAAACTGAAACTGCATGCATAGAAAAATGTACCTTTTTCCCTTTCGTCTACACCCCCCCCCTATATATATTTTATTGCAAAAGAACCATAAATTAGAGATATTTGCTTTCGGTATTCTTGATTATTTAGATTAACATAACATACAGCTCGTTCAATCAAGAAATGGTTGACCAAAGTGAATCTGCATATCGCCATTTAGTTATTATTGTTTCTGGAGTAGATCTATAGTTCTTCCATTACGATTAAGGGTAACCATATGAACTCTTTGCCGTTTCTGCCTTCAGTTTCATGCTGGTTAACGAGATATTTGTCAAAGTAAATAATAATAGAATAGAATACAATACATACGAGTGAAGGGTGCAATGATATAATAAGTTCCAAACATTTTTCGGATATGTTTACTTCCTTATGCTAGCCCGACTCAAACAGATGGTCTGGTCATACAGCCAGAAGTCAGAAAAATGACAGACTGCAGGTTTTTTTATACTTAATGCTAGAAAGTATCTTTTAATAAATTTCGTTCTTCACACAACAGATTCTTTATAACAAAATATTATGAAAAGACTATGTCGCATAAATGATTGTTTATCAGATAGGACGGCCTGTAAGGCAGTTATCTTTAATGACTGGGGAACTTGCTTTCTGGCATCTGCAATTATTCGAGGAGGATAGGTTGAATAAGCTTCAACCTATCTAATTCTATACAGCGCGCAAAGCCTCGGTTCTCAGCATAAAAAAGCCCTTTCCCCTTTGCCCTCGTTTCATAACTATAATTATACAGACATATACTATAGAATAAAAACAAAAGTGTAATTATTGCGGAGGAGTGGGAACCGTAACAAAACAGAGAATATAAAATTATGTGTATTTTGTCTTTGTTTTCACTTTCTTAGAATTATGAGGGAGCAATATAGTTCAAGTTTAACAAAGACTGATATGGTTCAGGACACTATTTAGCTGTAGGTTTGAAGTCCCTCATGTGCATTGCCTCTTTATCATTCGCAAATAATTGGCGAGTACAGAAAGCTAAGATCTAGTACGTGGTTCAAGATAATACACAAATCATTCATTGAACTATTTGAAGTGTTCTTTCTTACGAAGTAGAATCGTTGTGGAACACATACTTATTTTTTAGCCACGTATTACTATGAAAATAGATAAAGAATTATATATTTATACGAGCATAGAACAATTTCAATGTGAAAAGATGTAATGTGAAGAGTATAATAGCTGACCGATGAAGCGGCATCTGTCTGAATATCATTCCTGTGCCGTCCTTTATCGATTTTACTTAAAGTTGAACAACTCGGGCCTTAAGTTTTGTTTTCATCCACCATGTTTTTTATGTTCGCTCTCGATATGTAGATGCTAAGAGAAACTTCTAAGTTTGTACGCGTATTAAAGAGGTATTTATTTAAAGTAAATAATATACTACTAGCGTGAAAGTAATACAGATGAGTATATTATTACACAGTTGTATTATAGAAATACTTAAGCAATATATTGTAAGTTAAGAAAGCCCAAACTAAGAAAGTGCAGCATATAACAAGACACAAGCGTTTTATAAGAATCACACATCAAACATCTGAACCTGAAATTAGTGTCTAGCATACGCGTACTCAATCTAATATAATTCCCATCCAGACCTTGCATAGTAAGAATCGTGCTACTTCATCCAAAGAATAATATAAACACCAAGTGCATAGTCATCGACTTGTAACAATTATCAGTTATCTCAACTAATCCCCTGGATTGAAAAATGGGTATCATCTTGTCAATCCAGAAGATTCGCTCATGCTTCGGTTCAAATAGTTGTGGTCGATTGCATAAACTGCAAAGTCCGTCAAGGTAAATTGAATTATTTTGATTCTCTGTTCCTCTTCCATGTCTGTGAGTATTGACTGACTCTATAGGTACTTAGGTAGAGAGTCTCTAGATTTTTCTAAAGCACTCTTTAGCAAATCAAAAGCATTTTTGAGAAATTTCAAAGATGCCAACGAGGCTTGTTCAGTCAAATTCTCTTCCGATTTAAGTCTGAGGTTGCTACTGATATTACGGTTGTAACCTGCAGAAATTGTAACCAAAGGTTGCAAGATTTTGATCGTTTCTGCTGCCAATTTTGGTTGATGTGAAGCATGGAGATTATCAGCCACCGTAAATACAATGATGTTCGTGCAGTGAGGACTGATATATTATCAGTGCAAGCTTTTTTTTCGGCGATTCTCTGGTTCAAGGTCACTGTGTGATTTCTTTTACTACTATAATGCTGGGCTTCAACGTGTTTCTTAAGGTCTTCTTTTAGTTCTGAGCTATATAGACAAGACGGGCAACATTTGGATGATTCAGCCTTTGAGAAATGTACATAATTTCATTTATATCCTTATGTTTCAGTCTAATGTTGCGGCTAGGCATTATAGGTTGTGGAATCTGAGATGATGCTTCCTCAAGTTTTGCCCGGGTATTACAGTCTATTTCAGGACAAATGAAACAACTATTTCTAAGTGACACTAGTTGAGCTGGTGGTAGAGGAAATGTCATGTGTGAGTGGTTATGGTAAAGTGGGAGTCTCAGGTTCTCACTTTTTTATTTTGGTTGTTTTTGAGATATTTGATTAGTTGAAGTTGATAACTGTTATAAGTCGATAACTATGAACTTAGCGTCTTTATTATTCTTCAAAGGAACAAGAAGAAAAAGAAAGATTGTTGCTAGTGGGAATTTATATTATTGTGGGGACGCGTATGCTAGTCACTAATTTCAGGTTTAGATGCTTCTTGCGTAACTGTTAATACTTGCAATCCTCTATCTTGGTATATACTTGTACATAACCTGTATTAGTTGCAATATAGATAGATCGTAATAGAAACTACTTGGTTGTACGTAATCGAGTATTGTAGTTGTCATCTCATCAAACATTTCAGTTTTCTGTGTAATAGCATAACAGCTTTTGCTCAAAGTAATGAAAATGACGTTAGTCGTTTTGTTTTCAGTGTTTATTGTGAGGACTTGAAATAATAAATTTATAATTTTCATTATTTAACAGCTAAGGAAATTGGAGGGGCTCATTGTAACAACATAAAGTTACGTAATATATATTTCAAATACTACGTATAGGCAAAACCCTTTGTGCTCTTTAAAGTTATATAGGTTGTGCCTACACAGCCTATCCAACTTTCACTTAAAAAAACCAGCTTGTCCAGTCATCTTTTGATGACTGCCTTGCAGGCTGGCCTATTTGATAAACAATTATGCATTGCGATATTTTTTTCAAATTGCGACACTTTTATCTTTTTTTTTTTTTTTTTTTTTTTTTTTTTTTTTTTGCGACATCATTTTGGCAAAGGTGTGTATCCTGATCAAGCGTTTACAAATGAGTGCTCAGCAAACAAATGACGGCTTTGCCAAACCTTTTGCAATGCCTGTCAAGCGAACAAAAGAATTGACATCGCAGCAAAATTCCGACAACAACAACACTAGGAAAGAAGCAGTACCTCCTCATATACCCAAATTACCATACGAAAAGCCTTCTTGGAGCGCCAAACCTACTTTCAATTACTCTTTGGAGGTATTGAAAAATGGTGCCAGCATTGAAACAATCAAAGGGTCAGAAAATAAAGAATTTGTTACTATCGGGCGATTACCTATTTGCGATATTTTAATGGAGCATCCTGTACGTGTAATTTATAAGATGGTTTGAAGTCAACCGGAGCGAGTGAGAAACAGAAAACTGAACGAAGCGCTTGTTTCTAACCTCAGCTTCTGATTTTCCGGGTAATATACAGTCAATCTCTCGTTATCATGCTGTTATTCAATTTGATCGAGATGGTGAAGCTTATTTGTACGATATGGGCAGTGCGCATGGAACCAAAATCAACAAACAGGAAATTCCTAAACGAGAGTATCGTCCATTGAAGCCTGGTGATCAGATTCGATTTGGCGAAAGTACGCGTATTTACATTTTCGATTCAGGTAAACCGTATGACCCCGAACAAGAAGCCTTGGAACGAAGGGAGAAAATGTTGAAAGAAAGAATAGCGAGGGCAACCCGTGGGGAACCTATGTCAGGTACAAAGAACTCTATTGAGGATCACGTCAAAAATAATGATGAAGAAGATGATGGTGTCTCTTGGGGTTTTGGTGAAGATGCAGTAGAAGAGGAAGAGGATGAGGAGGAGAATAATAATCCAGAGAGCAGCAAAAAGTATTTGGAAGAGGCATTAAATATATCATCAACGTCGGGCGATGCAGATTTATTAAGCGTCGAAGCACAGAAACAAGCTTTCGAGGATGCCAAAAGACGACGGGAGGATTTGGAAATCATGTATGGTGAAGATAGCGACGAAGAGCTATATGATAAAACAGGTATGGGGATGTATGGGCTTATTTGACAAGCGATGATTTATAGAACGCTCTATATTGAAATACCTCTTTGTTGTTTAACGCAGCCCGGAAGAAGAGCAAAAAGATAACAGATAAGGCTCTGACATACGATGATTTGCTTCAACAGCAGAACGAAACTGAAGCAAAACTGAAGGTGGTAGAAAAGAAATTAGAGGAAAAACGACTTAGAGAACAAGAAGAAGCCAGTCAAGCCAAGGATGAAGATGAAGATCTGGATGCATATATGAAGAATTTATCAAGAAAACCATTAGAAGATGACAAGTCTATATTCTCGCTTCAGAAAGAATTGGCACAATTAAAAAAGGTAAAATACAGTACATGGATGCGGTTGGTAGTGATAGGAGTGCGCAGTGGATTAACCAGCTTCTTTCACTCTGTTTTAAGGATTACGAACGTCTTGTAAAATTAGTAAAGCTCACCAAGCCGTCTGATGTGCTATAACTTGATTTTCAAAGCAAATTCTGCTCTTTCAAATACTCTAATGCCATCCAGCTTGTTTGCACAGAAGGCAGCATCATTTCTGCTCTTGTGATTATATTTCTTAGTTCATCTACAGCGACGTCATGTACCACTTCCATATATTCTTCCGCATCTCTTGCCATTGGAGTGTCGTCTTTTACGGGATCCAAACATAGAAATGGAATAAAGCGGTTCTTACCCCATTTTAACTCACTGATACCATCAGGAGAATGCGTTTTTGGCAGTAGGTTGATATAAGTACCGCCTTTTAACCTTGCTTCTTCAGAAAGTTCATGTTCCACAGTTTCTTCGATATACCGATGCTTTCTACGGTCATAAGAACCTGCCACACAAGTATATTTCTTCATAGGACACCCTTAGTCTAACTTTTGCCGAAATTCTTTGTTTAAACAGTAAAAAGTGACTTACTATCTCATTTGTGCCTTGTACATATTCTTTTAATAAACAAGTAGTTTTCTATTTTACCCAAATTCTGATGTTAAATAGTAGCGCTTGGCAGAGTGATATGCTCATGAATTTTTTTGTGTCAAACATTACGGTCTTTGTGTTATAGGTGAACACAACTACAAAAGTTGGATAAGGTGAATCGTGCCCGACAATATCCCATTGAATGATCCGACCATCATCAAATTGCGTTGTGCGATCCCAAACTGTAATGTACCTGAAAATTGAGATTGAGTAGGCAGAATAAAAGTAGTGTCTCGTCTTTTCTTTTTACCTTTTGTGCGCAACTCTTTCAGAAAGAATCGTGGCTGCTGTTCCTTCAGTATTAATATTAAGTGACATGGTTCGGAGGAGAGGATGAGCTTTTAAAACTATATATGGCACTTACGGCAATTTTTACCTTTGTTGTGTCTTACAAGCGCCCGCTCCTCAACAATTTTAGCGATACAATTCTTTATTTTTTTATTTTTTTTGACAGCGGCTATAGATTTTAAGCGCTAATTTCATAAAATGGGGTTTATTTGGTATTTGTAATATGTCATAATATACGTTATATACACATTTATCTAACAACAAAAATATATTTGTGAACTCAGGTAAATATCTATGATGAGGAGGATGGCGGTGGCGACGGCGGTGGTACTAGCTGTTGCCGAGGTATGAAGGTATTTGTGGGAGCGGTAGTGTTAGCAGCATGGATCATGATACTACTACTATTATTATTGATATTAACTTTATTGGTGTGGTTGTTTGCGGGTGTCCCAAATGAACCTATCCGGAAAACATTTGTCTGTGGTTGCAAGTTGTTCTTATTTCCTATCGAGTGTCTTCTTTGTCTTTTCAGTGAATTATTCATACTGCTGCTACTGCTATTCATGGCATGACTGTTACTTGTAGAATTCCAACGGGATGTAGTAAAGGCTGGTATTGGTATAGTTGGCTTCTGATGTGAAAATTGTGTTGTGGAGGAGGGTGATGGGGTACCCGTTGTAGTAATTGCTGTGGCATTCGTCGTAGTAGCGTGGAAAGGTGCAATGCCAATCATATGGGTTGTAGTCATGGATTGTCTTTTATTATTGTTGAAGGTAGTGGACGAGGTGGCGGGTAGTGTCATTGCCTGCGCCTCTTGTGGTAATTGCTGCTGATGATTCATGTTCTTATTGGCATTATTAATATTGTTGGTATTATTACCACCGTTACGATTCCGCTTTTTGATAACATCTGTTTTGAGACTCAAGGGACGAACAACACCATGCAGTTTTAAGAATAAACCACAGGCATTACATAAGGGTTGCCCTTCAGGATTACGGCGCCATAAAGGTGTAGTGGTCGTCCCACAGTTCGTACATTTGGTATTAGAATTAGCACCCTCTTTTTTGCTCGACTTGGCGGTAGTAGTCGTCGTCGTCGTCGTCGTCGTCGTGTTCGTCTTACTCGCCGTGCTCGCCGTGCTCGTTGCGGAAGTGGTCGGAGCCATGGAAGACGAAGAGTTATTATTATTGCTGCCTTTTTGTTCGGTAGTATGGTTGTCTTGAGTTGTACTACTGCTGCTATTATTATTTACAAAGGGAACAATTCGACTATTCGTCTTTGGTGAACTGACTGCAGATGATTGCTGCTGAACTTGTAGATAGGTAGCCGTATTCAGCGTGTGGCCACTCAAAGATGTACCTAACGGCGATGCACTGACAGGAGATTGACCATGACCAGAGACCGTACCTTTGGATATTTAAAGAAATTATTCAGTATCAACCTCAATGACTTTAAATGCTCGCAAGATAATGAACTCAATTTACCTTGAGAGTGTGGCAAAGAAAAAGACAATTGAGGAATCAAGGATCGAGCATGTCGATTGCTCATCGCTTCATTCTTATCACTCATGCTTTCTGTACTATTACTATTTCCCATCACAATATCCATAGAAGCTGTTGTATCGTTATTATTATTGCTGGTACCGATATTGATAGGTGACGTGCCCGTCATGGCTACAGCGGCAGCTGCGGCAGCCGCCGCGGCAGCCGGATTGTTATGGCCGCCGTTCACGTAATACATGGCTAATAATTCTTCAAAACTCATTGCACCTGCGTTCAGACCTGCTGGCGAAGGCGTATTTTCGTTAGGTGTAGAAGGAAAGAAAGCGGGCTGCTGCTGCTGCTGTTGTTGATTGTTATTGGTGTTGCTGTTCGTTGACGGTAAAGAGGAAGCAAGTTGCGGAAAGAGGCCAAGACCCTGTTGTATACTAGACTCACCCGGGCTTATTGCTGTTGTAGCATTTCCTGTGGTTGTTGCTGTGGTTGTATTCGACGTTGTATGGCTAGTATAATTATAGCTTGATACAGACTGACTAAAATAATTGTTGAATGCTTGATTTTGATTGGTAGTGGACTCTAAAGAGGTGGAAGGCTGGAAGGTAGAAGTGGCTGACAACGGAGAGACAGTGTCATCTCTTGGTTGTTGTGAGTCATGTTGAAAATCTTCGGTTATATCCATATCCACAGGAATTGTAATACTGTTTGTTCCATAAATATTAGCAGAAAATGGTGGTTGTTGTTGTTGGTGTTGTTGTTGTTGTTGTTGTTGGTGTTGACTTGTCTGACTAGCACTACTACCAGTGCTATGACTAATGTTAATGTGTCCAGTGTTACCAGCGTTAGCCGTTCCGTTACTCGTATTGTTATCAGTGGTATAGCCTCTTGAGATGTTTGTCATGAAAATGTTGGCAGGTGTAGTTGCTTTAGCAGAGCCATAAATCATGACATTTCTCTTCTGTTGTTGCTGAATTTGCTCAAAAGGTGAACTTGATTGTAAAGGATAATGTTGCTGAAGAAATTGCTGTTGCTGTTGTTGCTGCAGCAGTTGAAGATGATGTTGCCGAGATTGCTGTTGTTGATAAGCCGTCATGTTCAACATTACATTAGCATTGTCAGGATTGTTGAAATCAAATGTATAAGGAGGAGCGGAAGATGATAAAAAGGTCGTAGTGTCATCGGGCGGCGGCGGAGACGAAGGACGAGATGTAGCAGGTGTATTGGATAAATCCATGACACTATCTTCATCTACTGCTTCGCTTTTGACGGCTGTTTCTGTTGCTGCTGCTGCTGCTGCTGCTGCTGCTTGCTGTTGTTCTTCAGCTTTCTTCTTTTTATTTAAAGTCATGGCCATCATACGCCAAGTCAAATTTTCTAATCTTGAGCCATTGGGTAAAGTGTCTTTTGCTTTTGTATACAGTCTCCAGACTTGGGTTGCTAAAGGGTCTTCTTTCCGACTCTTATTCTCCTCATCGTCGTCTTCGTCCTCCTCGCTACCAGAGGTATTACTATCATCCATATCGTTTGAACTGGTTTTCATTTTGTTGGATTTCGGTTTTCTAGGAGGAAATAAGGAATCTGATAAAAGAGCAGCTGTTACGGCAGGTGGTGTTTTTGGAGAAAGTGCTTCTGTGAGAGCACTCTTACTGCTATTCTTTTTTTTCTGAGCAATCAAACCATTCAATCGAACATTGTCGTTATTGCTACTACTACTGTTCTTATTACTGTTGCTACTGTAGTTATTTACTGTTGTTGTAAATGGACTTGGTTGCATGTCACCTCCAATTGCTGTTGAAGGTTGGAGAGAAAAGCTTCCAAAAGAATGATGTGAAAAAAAGTAAAGGAGAAAAAGGGGTGTAAAAAGTGAGGGGTTGGGTTTACTATTTGAGATTTGTCAGTATTGTGACTTGAGATCTATTGATGTTAACTTTTTTCAAATTCGGGTTTTTTGTTAAAGTTGCTGATATGGGATGATTTCAATATATTTTTGGGATAAATTTCTATATTATAACAAATGTATTTATTTATATTAGCAGCAGTGAAAGACGGTATGAAGGTTCAAAGGTAAGTTTGAAAAATAAAAAAAAGGGAAATCTTAAAAAAGATGCTGGTGAGCGAAAACGATCTCTTTTTTTTTTCTTGTCTGGCTGATCATAGGGAAACTGAGCCATTTCAAAAGGAGAAAGAAAAATCACACGCAAGAAACATCATTTGAACCAATCATTGAAGGCGGATTGAATTTAACAAAATTGACAATTATGGAAAATGGATGGAAATCATTTCCCGCATATCATTAAGAGGGGATTGTCCTTTCTCGAAACACCTGCTGGTTTCAGCGGGAAAGGATCCTCCTCCGTCCCCTCCCCCCATCTTTGTCATCAGTCCCTGAAGTCCCCATTGAACATGACCCTAAAGTAATTACATAATGCTTTTGCGACTTTTTTTTTCATTTCGCGAATTATTCCGTAGGTACCTATAAGAAAGATGTTGAAACTTTATAAAAGACATCCACACATAAGGTGACATTGCGGAGTCTTGTTTGATTCAAGTCAACCACGATATCAGTGAACAAAAATATTATTGAAAGCAAAAATGCATACATCATAGATACTATAGAGGTAAATGTGTACAGATAAATGTACATATAAATGTATATATGTAAATGTATATATGTATATGTTTGTGTTTTGTGCAAACTGTAGTAGAGTCGTCTCTCCCTAGCTTTAACTGCAATGTCGGATAAGATTGACCAGCTGTGACCACGCCATACGTTCAGCTTCCTTCTTTCGCCTTGCCATACCGTAGCAGCGGATGAAATAGGCAGGATGCTTATTGTACTTTACCACGACCTCAGAGCTGAATAAGGGACAGTGAGCGTCACCTATTTGATCCACCTTTGACTCAACATCCACTTTGTCATTGTACTTCATGATTAAAGTGCGAAAGACAGACTGGAAATCAACTTCACGCGTTTGGTTCAAGAGTTTACGATCAGACATGAAAATTCTAGCAAACAGTTGGATCACTTTGTCGGCAATTTCTGGCGAATAAAACTGCGGTTGCTGTAAAGAAGACGTAGGCTGTTGTTGCTGTTGTTGTAGTGGTTGATTCACCTGTTGACCAGGCGTCAAAGGAGCCGTTGAATAGGTATTTAGCGAAGCAGCTGTATTGAAAGCACCCGTGTTGAGAATGCTTTCTTGCTCTGCTTCTATTTTGACTTGTGGTTCTAGTAGGCTCGTTGTACATGGTTCTTCCTTCATGGGAACAATGGGATCAGAAACCGTTGGCGCAGATGCAACATTGCTGGTTCGTAGTCGTTTGTTATTCTGATTCATCTCTTCCATGTCTACATCACTCGTTTTATTTGCGATGCTCATAGCAGAACCACTCACTGATAAAGTGCCATTTCCCAAGATAAGTTCAGACATGAGTCGAATGGTTTCTTCATCACTCGTGTCATTGATATGAAATCGATTGTTGCTAAAGTCGCCTTGCCAGTCACTGGTCTTTAATTGAACATGATCGGAACATGTCGAAGCTGGTATAAAAGGAAGGGTAGTCTGATCTGTGGACATACTCTCTGGTTCAGTCTTGACGAAGCTTGGGATAGTAGAATCTTGTTGCGTCACAGGCATGGCCATTGCAGAAGGCAGTGTAAAAACAACCTGTTGATCCTCGGGATGAGCAGGTTTTTCCAGTTCATTCAATATGTCAGGTTGCTGGTGTAGTAGATCCAAAATCTGCTGAGCTGCACTAGACTTAGACTCGTGTTTATTCTTGCCCATTGCTTGATGGCTGTAGATACGAGAATTAGGTGTTAACTGAAATCTGAGTTCACATCGCCAGTTTCCGTTGGGAAGTAGACTATAGACAGGGTCCATCCGACCTCGGTATCTCTGTAAAAGGATATGAAATTTCGAGATGGCATTCAACTCTCGATTCAAGATAGCATGTTTAAGTTTGTAAGGTAAGTTCTGATTGAGTTCTTTTTCAGCATGCGTGATGACACTATCATACAATATACACTCTATTGCTTTATTCCCATAATGGATATAAAGCACACTAAGAAAAATTTACATGTGAGGCATTTGAAAAAACCAAGGAGGACTTCGTGAGGAAAAAGAAAAAGAAAAAAGCTTACCCCATGAGGGCATTCATTGTTTCCACAAGATCGAAATGAGCTTTTAACAAGGATGATATATTGAGCTGCTTTCTGACCAATTTATATGGCTGAGAGAGGTTGCCTTGCTGTTTTTTCGTTAATGCTCTTAATATACTGTCGTCGATATCAGGGTACTTTTTGTGTAGAATACAAGGAATAGCAAATTGGGCTGCTGCTTCACCTAAAAATTTGTATCTCTTATGGTTTAAGGGAAACGTCAGTTTCTACTTAGATCGGTGCCTCTTTTCCACACATTTGTCAACGATTGAAGCTTACTCTAATGCGACTATCCACAGTGGCCGTGGATATCACGAACTTTAAATCGGGCAATGCTGATCTGACATCGAGCTTCAAACCATTCTCATCTTTGACATTAGAAATTGATTCAATCAGAATTTGGTCCACTTCTTGTTCGCTAAACGTAACTCTCGATGGTGACGTTGGTGACGGTTGCATAGTTGGCTGCATGGATGCTGCTATGGATGTTGGAGCTGACGCAGTTGCCGATATCATGTGTTGAATGGTGTTATAGTAACCCAAAACGGAATGGTATTGTTTACTAGCGAAGGGGAGAAGAAAGAAAAGAGAAAGAGAGACAGATACTTGGATACAGACAATTTCCTTAATGGGCGGGGAATGTTGCATACATTTTTTTCTTTTTTGGATTCACGAAAAATTCAAGTTTTGCTTTACAACTTGTGAAGAAGAACAGCCCTGCTTTCCTTATATTCCCTATTGAACACATTACGTAAAGAGGCAGTTGTGTTAACGTACCGTAATAGTATGGTATGCAGTTTTGCTCTGACAGGATGAAAGCTTCTTTCCCTATGGACATAGATGCGTATATATTGTCAAACACGAAGTTTCGTCATTTATCGTCAAAGATATACGAGGTCCATAATGGATGGATGTAAGCTGATAAATCAGTGATGAACTGATATCCCAATGTTTGTACTAGTGGTATATTTACTTTTTCGGTTCTTGAACAGATATATGACGTTTTCAACTCTAGAGTACGTCTTTATAGTAGATCCTCTCGCCTTTTCTATATTACATTCCACCCAGCCATTTCATTGGACGGAGAACAAAAAACCGTAAAATACGCATAAATGCAAAAAAAAAAAAAAAAGCATCGAACAGTGTCATTCGGGGAAAGCAAGTTTTTGCACAATACAATTAAACGCTTTTCCCTTTCTTTTCCGTCCTTCCCCTTCCTTTTTCATTTTCGTAATTTTTTTTCGTTTTTAAAGACCACCGTTTATTAAATATTGGAACAGTCAGTCAATGTCGAGACCATTCGGATCGTCCAAAAAAGAGCATTCTCAACATGCCACACAACCGCCTGCCAATCCAGCCGATCCCTCTAACTGGGGCGATATTGAATACAACAGAATCATAGATGCTGTAAAGAAAGTCTACAGACAGAAAATCAAACCTTTAGAAACCACTTATAATTTTGAAGGTAGCACTTCTATACGAAAACCTTCGAAATAGTATTCAAATTTAATGCGTGTCCTTCCTGTCCTTTTTATGAAATAGGCTTTCATTCTGCTCCTTTGACAGACTCAGATATTGAAGCTAAGCCGATGGTCCTCTTAATTGGTCAATATTCTACCGTAAAGCATCCCCTCCCCCCCCCCTTCGCATGACAATGTCGATTCAGTGGCACAAGAATAGAAATCCTGTCATCTTTAACGATTTTTTCCTTCTATTCTCGTAGGGTAAAACTACTTTCGTACGTTATTTGTTAGATAAACGCTATCCAGGTGAACATATCGGTGTCGAACCTACCACGGATAGATTTTTGGCTGTCATGAACGGCCCTGAGGACCGTGTCATTCCTGGTAATGCAGCTGCTGTAAACCAAGAGTTACCTTTCCGTGGTTTGAATGCTTTCGGCCAAGCTTTTCTGTCCAGATTTCAGGTAAATTAAAGAAAGGAGGGCTGAGTCTTGCAACATGGATAGGCTGGGAGAGGAAGGGTCCTTTATCGACTGACCTTGACACCGCCCCCTCGTCGTTTCATTTTGAATATAGGTGTCGCAAACTCCTTCACCTGTATTAGAAAACATGACCATTATTGACACACCTGGTATTCTTGCCGGCGACAAACAAAGAATTGAACGTGGTTACGATTTCATCCAAGTCACTGAATGGTTTGCTCAGCGTGCCGACCTTATTTTATTGATGTTTGATTCTTATAAATTGGATATCTCCAATGAATTCAAGATGGCCATTCAATGTTTAAGAGGCCAAGAAGAAAAGATTCGCGTCATTCTGAATAAGAGTGATATGGTTAGCCAGCAACAATTGATGCGTGTTTATGGTGCTATGATGTGGTCTTTGGGTAAAGTCGTGCAAACTCCAGAAGTGATGCGAGTCTATTTAAGTTCCTTCTGGACAGAAAAGCCCCCGAACAGTTTCGAAGATTGCCGTGATTTGATCGAAGCCGAATCGAAGGATTTATTAAGAGATTTGAAAGAATTGCGAAGAAATGCAGCTATTAGAAAAGTGAATGAGATTGTAAAAAGAGCGCGTTTGGCAAAGGTAAAAAAACGAAAAAATACACCCTCCTGCTCCATTTATTCATATGAATGCGTACCACGGTCATTTTTTGCCTTTGTGATTGTAACACAATATCGAAACGCTAAACGTATACAAATGATTAGGTTCATGCATTGATCATCAGTCATCTCAAGAAAGAAATGCCTTCCATGTTTGGTAAGAAGAAGGCACAAGGAAAGTTACTCGCTAATTTGCCCCAAGAATTTATCAAAATTCAAAACAAGTACCATTTGCCCGCTGGAGACTTTCCTAATCCTGAACGATTCCGTCAAAATCTTGCACTTTACGACATGGATAAGTTCAAATCTCTCAAAGAAGATCTATTAGCAAACGTGGAGGAAGCTTTGTCCGTGGATCTGCCCAAGATATTGTCGAGATTTCCTACCTCGAATCCCGAACTCGCCAAAACGCAACTCAACCCTTTCGACAATATGCAAGACACCAGCCCTGATCAAGTCATCAACGGTCAGCTACCACCTTCCTTCTGGGATTACAATAATTTGGACAAAAACTCTTTCCTGCCTCAGTTTATGAGTTTGCATCCTCGTGACGGTTTAGTATCGGGTGCTCAGATCAAGCCTATTCTCATGAAGAGTGGCCTACCCAATGATATGCTGGCTCAAATTTGGCGTTTGGCTGATTGGGACAATGATGGCTATATGGATATTGATCAATTTGGCGTTGCCTTACATTTGATTAAGGCTGTGGAATTGGGTGCTCAACTACCCGAAAAACTACCCCCTTCTATCATTCCTAATCGTAAAATCTAAGTCATTTGAGGGGGCCCACAATTTTTTTTTTTTGTTTTAACACATTTGCATCAAGTTCTTTCCATCTTTCCCATCTACAATTATTTTACAACTATTTACAATTTACAGAAATGTCCTTTTATTCTTGTTATTTAATAGAAATGACAAAACATGTTGAAAAAAATCTATCTTACTACTATTCTGTTGATGATAAAGATGAAGGTGATGATTGTTGCTTTATGAAATGACAACTAACCACGTTATCACGAAATAAAACAAAACAAGTGGATAGACCTATATATATAAAACCATCGTATTTTATATCAGCACATGTGGTCGCCTGTTACTAACCGATCAAAAATACACTCTTACCGCCAATGCACGTCTATTTTGTAGATGAATCTGCGATTCTGACATAAAGGCAACGGATGCCCAAGTCGACCAAACAAATGTCACAATAGACACAGGTACTCGTACCCAAATATAATCGATACACGTTGCAACAATCGCTGCCACCACAATAGGGAATAAACAATAGCCCATCACACAGACGGATTGAAAGAAACTGACAGCGCCGCCGAGCATTTTGGCATTCAAGGTGACTACAGCAGCACCTATCCATACTATCACAAAAACTCCCGTAAAAATAGGTACGGCTTGATGTTCAGGAGCTCTTATACTTAATACACTATTGTTTATAAAAAAGAAAAATCATCAGTCCCTCTCTGTCTAGTTTCAACATAATTGGGTGAGGAAAGAGCTTACATGGCTAATGTAAGGCATAGGATGAGTGGGCCCCAAAGATCCCCTATGAAACGTAAACAATATCAAACGGTTGAGTATGATACTTTCTTTCATCCGCCCCTTCTTTTTTGACAAACCCCTACAATCTCTGAGTACGTGTCGATCGCCCTTTGGATGCAAAACTTGTAATAACTTATTGCCCACCTTTTTCAAATCGCGCATCTATAACAAAACAATGAGCTCAATCTACAAGGTCCATCGGCAAGCAATCGAAAACCTTTTTTCTTACAATGGTCACTGTAACTGGTTCGTCCAAGGTGTCCTGACCTGAATAGCTATTATAGGAACTTTGGTTATTGCTGCTCTGTTGCTGACTGATGTTGGTTCCTGATAACAAGGCTTCTTCCTCTTCTTCTCTTTGCGAGGTCAAAGGTGGTACTGGTGGGGAAGGTGCATGTTGCTGTGTTTGAGTTGATTGACCCGTCAAATCGACATCCGGTTCAATATAACTGTCCTCAAAAGGATTCAAAAGGGCTGCATCCTCAAAAGGTTTATCATACCGGTCGCTCCCGCTTCGACCTAAACCAGTGGAAGGCATCATTGTTTCGTTTTACAAGTGGTATTTGAGTACAATAGAGACGCTTTATGAAGATACAAAAAAAAAGAGAGGAAGTTTCGGCTGCATTAAAATTGATCAGATAATTGCCAGTTCACCTGGATGCACTTTCACAACCGACAAAGTCAAATTTCGTACTGACCCGGTAACACACTGTTTATCTTGACTTTCTATCACCCCCAAATACCACAACCCCACCATGTCCAATCCCACGCATCATAATGAGTCCAACATAGTCAATACAAAGCTTATCAACAGTAGTCTGGACGATAGCAGCAATCCTAATCACTTTGTGAGCGAAACTTGCATGGATCTATTTCTGATAGAAATGGTGGACACCATTTGTCGAACAACTATTGCTGAAGAAACGGATGACGGTAACAGTGACGCGATCTATTACAAGTTAGAATCGATAGGCTATGCAGTGGGGCAACGCTTAGTGGAACGCTTTACAAAAGATAGACCACGATTTGTCGATACTTTGGATGTAGTCAAGTTTATTTGTAAAGATTTATGGACCATCATGTTTAAGAAACAGATTGACAATTTAAAGACAAACCACAGAGTGAGTCGATTACTGAGAGAGAGAGAGAGAGAGGATGTGGAAATATATGTTATTCGATGGATGACTTGATTCATACTAACTTTCTATCCCAAAATGATTCATGATTTGTGCGGAACTGACTGTAGGGAATATACGTGTTGCAGGATAACGGATTTCGTTGGTTCATGCGGATGTCAACCGATATTGGAGGAGCTGATTCAGCAAAAAAAGCTATGCCAGTAGAGTATAAGAGTAGAAAGGATCATACAATGTTTGAATGGGGGTATTTAACCGTTTGCTACATATCATTTATTTAGTATGTTTGGTTTCCTTGCGGTCTTATAAGGGGCGCTCTTGCTAATTTAGGCGTGCCAACAGTAGTTGTGGCCGAAACAACAAATCTACCTCAATGTAAGCATTTAGTAGCTATATCAAACACCAGTTTTGCGTATCGTACTGATTTGTGCACATTTATTGGTCTATTTTCTTTCAGGTACATTCCAAATCAAGATTGTAAAGCAACAATAAAAAATACCTCCGGATTCTTTTTTTTTTTTTTTTTTTTTTTTTTTTTCTTTTGTCTTCAACTCTCCAACTCTTTGGACGAGAGAGATGGAGCCGTTATAAAGTGATATGTTTTCGTATACATTTTAATAGATGGTATTATACGTGGTATCAATAAGTCTATTTTGAGTAATGCTAACGTCTTTCAAAGAGTTAGAACAAACCTTAATGATGTGGTTTCTTTAGACTAGCCCCTGATATACTTGTTGTAGCTTGTCTCCAAAATGAAGACACATGAGACCTTGCTTGGGCAGCCGCTGTAGTAGAACTGGCGGAAGGCATTGTGTAAGAGTGATTAGGACTGCTGTTTGGAAAATACAAAGTTGAATTAGAGGGTGTGACTCTGGGCGACGGTGATATGGACGATAAAGGGAATGGATGTTGTAGATCGTAATTGTGTTGTTCAGAATGGCTACGACTACTATATTGGAGAGCAACTTGCTGAGCTGCCGATAGTTGTCTCATCCGAAAATTAGGAAGCTTTATTGTGGCACCACTATTCTTTGTTGCTGTTCCAGCAGGGTTATTCGACATGACATCAAACGCCGATCCCGACTGCTGCAGTTGTTGTTGTAACATATAGCTAGCATGGTTGGATTGTTGAAATTGTGTCTGTGAAATATTTGGAGTATTTGAACGTGTACTTTCTCTTGAGGATGAAGTGGACGATGTTAGCTTCAATTCTTGAATCAGTCTGTTGCTATTGGATGGGGTAGGCAAAATGGCACTCGAGTTGACTAAAGAAGAAGAAGGGGCCACCGTATTCAGGGACGCTTCAGCACTACTGTTTTGTTGCACCTGCAGCAGTTGATGGCTATTGTTATCATGGATCAATATCGTTTGCTGCTGATTTTGTCTCTCTAATATTTTTTGTCTCTGCATCATTTTTTTCGCATTGATCATTACTCTCAGAGCACGAATTTGCAACGAAACGGTATCGGAAAGTGCTGCTGATTCGTAAATCATTGCCGCTGTCTGGATGTTCAGCATTTGATGCAAAGCATGTGTAGTAAGTGCCTTCAATCGAGGTATATCGAATAAATTTGAAATAAACAGTAGCCTTGTCAAAATTTGTGGTTGATGCTGCTGAGCAGTGACTAGATGGTCTGTGTAAATGAACTGCAAAAAAGCAACAAGTACAACGTATGTGTCCGGGAACAGTAGCTCTCGTTTTTCCATGTCTAGTAAGTCAATCTTTTCCACCCTAGGCGAAAGAATAGGTCCCAATAGTCTATTGACAGAGGGCCATCGTTGCGACAACACGGCTGAATTGACCAAAATATGTTGTTGATCCGTCGATGTAATCTTCAAGTCGGCCAACACAGGATCTTTTAATAAAGCCAATCCCAGTCCTTGCGCAAACCCACTGAATGTAGATGGCGGTGGTTTATATATACCAAAAATCTCCATGTCCACACATGCAAAGTGAGTAAAACTCTGTACACGGTCCCTATAATCTTGCTGCATTGATCTATCCGGATGGCCGAATACAATGAATTTGTTACAATAATCACATAGAAGACCCTTTAACCATGACCCTCGTGCCAGTAATTGTCCCGCTTCAATTTTAGTCCACTGAAAAGTTGTCATGTCTAATGCCCAGATTTGAAATTGCTGATAAGTGGCTGTAATGTGTGGTCCTGCCAAAATAAAATGCTGGCCTAACAAAAATGCTGAAGGAAACTTGAGGGGTGGTGGAGATGGAATAGTTGTTCCTGCTCGTATGATACTTCCTGATAAATCTTGTACTTCGATGAGCTTATTGGCTGCCTCACGATTATTGTTAAATTTCCAGGTATGAAATGTACGTTGTTGATGATATTGCTGCTGTTGTTGTTGCTGTTGCTCTTGTTGTTGTTGCTGTTGCTCTTGTTGTTGTTGTTGTTGTTGTTGTTGTTGTTGTTGTTGTACAGCTATTGGATTAATGGTGTTATGAAAGTTTGAATAGACATGAATATAGAATTCAGTAGGTGAAATGGTATCTTTTGAAAGTTGTAATGCATCCTCTTCATCCTCCAAATCCATAGCTAAAGGAGAATATTGTTGGAAGTCCAAGGCAGGCGCTGAAGGTGGTATAAATTCAGCTGGCGAAACAGCCACAGCAGCTGATCTATAAGCTCCATACTGATGCTGTTTTGAAGATATGGGTGAAGCGCACCATTCCTTTCGCTTAATATCAAAAATGTGAATTTCTTCCACATAGCGATTTTGTGCATCCTGCCCTCCAAGAATGGTCAGTTGGTCATTCACCAAGGTAGAAAGGTGCGCATAACGAGGTTTAGGTAAGCTTTGATGCAGAAGGCTGGGGTATTCCCAAGACATATTTTTGAGATCTAGAAAGACAATATCGTTTAGAGCTGTTGTCGTATAGACCTCTGTTACTGGATCAGTAAATTGCTGTCTTTTCCTTTCTTTGATTACACCCATGCCACCAAAGTAGATAATATGGTAATTACCATATTGGTTGGCAGAATGAAAATATCGAGGAGCAGGTGGTTTATTCTGCGGTTGGAGATGTCTCCACGCTTTCGTCTCCAGGTCTAAAATATAGACTTTATTGGACAATTGCCGAGTAGACTGAAGACGACCACCAAACACATAAATATGTTGCCCAGCCAGGGTGGCTGTTGCCCCAATAAGTGGTGGTGGTATATCACCGATAGTTTTGTGAAAATCGGTGATAAGTTCAGCAATTGAGTGGGTACCTTGCTGTGACCTATTGTTACTACTACTTGCAGTTGCAGTAATAACCATGTATATGAATTTTCGATTGCACTTATATCTGGGTTATTTAATGATGGAAGGATTGAAAGGGCAACAAATTTGTAATGGCCATATAAAATCTACAGTTGGACAATATAAGACGAGAGAAAGCAAGTAAATTTATGACTATTGAAAACGACTGCTGTAGAAAAATGGTGTACTAAAGGATGTGCAACCTGAACCTAATGTTGTGTTACAAATTGGCGTTTGAAACCTCACCACACCATTTTTAATTATTTTATTTTTCCATTTATGACTACAACAACAGTGACGTCTCCTCGTTGAGAGTTATAACGTTTTGCACACTAGTCAACTGTTGAATAAGCATTGCTTAGTATTGGTCCTGTTACTGCATCAGATTAAATCCTTAAGTTAACATCTATTCTTTGTACATTATTAATATAAAATAAAATGTATATGATCGTATATCTGTACACAGAAAATAGGCATCATTTATTATACTTGGATTCTTCTACCCTGATAAGTAATCGAGGGCGAGTTGATTTAAAAAAGCACAGTGTAGAATTGTAACTATACATACGATTGCACATGTCGAAAGCAAGCCGGAAAGAACAGCAAACAATTGTGCTCAATCAGTACGAAATATCCAGGTTGCTGATGATGTGCTTGCTCAGTACATGATTTTCAGCTGCTTTGTACAATGGCGTCAGTACAGGTGCTATAAAAGTACATTTGTGTAGTAACTATTAAAGGGTTCTAAATGCATGAGCGTCATAACCAGCCAAAGTCAATTCAAGTCATGAAGTAAAGATGCGAAACTGAATTCTGTAATACAAAGACCTGCTCATCTTTGTGTAATATACATGATCATCCATTAATGTTAAATTTGATCAAAAAAGAACCACTATATCTGCCGTTATAAATACCCTTACTCTAAGTACAGTTATACTTTATGACAGGTGCCTTTTAAGCGTCGCTGCATATAATATTTTCAATTTCAGGTGCGGTAAAGACGTACAAATGCAAGAGTTGAATTCTCTTTTTTGATAATACATGTAAAACCACAGCAGCCGTGATGGATCTTCAAATATCGAACTACAGTTGTCCTATCGGACCTCCTATATTGTTTTCGAAAGATAATATTTTGTCTCCTTGTTACTGTTTGTGATCAGCATTTAAGGGACTTTCTTTTGTGACTTATTGTAATGCATATACATGGTAAGACGAGGTGTCTGTGATTCTACATGCATCTTCATGTATACACGTAAACTCTATTGTACCTGATGAATGGTCTTCCATAAAAAATGAAACGCTCAAAAAAGAATATGTTCTGAAAGATATGCTATATAATGATTAAACTGTATTGTCGTGATGTAATCAAGAGAGATACTGCTGCTTTTGAAGACCCATTAGAAGGTCTGTGCGTAAATGAAAAAGGTTCGAACTATTAAATACTCTTTGATTATAATAATTACAGATGGTAGCTTACAAGCTGCTATTCTTGAGATTCCTTCTTCATGGTCTTGATTCCTTAAACAATAGTAGTTTCTACTTTTGGAGTTTAGGGCGGCGCGTCAAAAAAAGATCTCCATACCATTTTTTCCCTTTTCATGTCTGTATAAAAAAGGATTTTTCTTCCCCCAAAATCTATCTTTGCTTTTTCGAAGTTTCTTGTTCTTATTGTCATATTAAATGTGCTTGAAAAAGTGAACTCATGAATAAATATTTGCATCAAGTGGTCACATATTTCAGGACGCTAGGAAGGTTCATTGGACCTGGGTTCATGATAGCCGTTGGATAGTAAACATCAGCCATTTTACAAACTACCATTAAGTTACTTACCATTCCCTTGTTTTCTTTTTTTTTAAAAAAAACGCGTTTGATTAAAGTTTGGATCCAGGCAATTGGGCAACAGATATGGAGGGTGGCTCTTCGTTTGGATATAGACTCTTATTCATTATCTTAATATCAAACTTGATTGCTGTCTTTTTACAAAATTTGACCATTCGTTTGGGAACGGTTTCAAATATGGATCTCGCCAGTGCGTCAAGGAAACTTCTACCCCGCTGGTTAAACCTGTTTCTGTACTTTTTGGCGGAAATAGCGATTATTGCATGTGACCTTGCGGAAGTTATTGGATCCGCCATCGCTCTCAATTTGCTATTCCCAGCTCTCCCACTTCCTGCCGGCGTTGCTATTACAGCCGTAGATGTCTTTATCATTCTTCTGTTTTACAACGAAGAGGAACAGCAAGATCAGGCTACAAATACCCATGAAGAATCTCATAGTCAGAAAACAGTTCGCTTTTTTGAAATGTTTGTCATGCTGCTTGTTGTAGCAGTTGGTATTTGTTTCATTATAGAGTTGGCATACTCAGATATAGTAGCCGTGGATGTATTCAAAGGATTTTTACCTACAAAAGAAATCTTTACACAGCCCGATATATTGTATGTGGCTATTGGTATTATAGGCGCTACAGGTAACATGCAGTTAGATCAATATATTTATGTGTGTGCCTAGGTACCTCCAGGCTAATCAGCCTTTTTATTACTTGCTTTCACAGTTATGCCACACAATTTATACCTACACAGTTTTGTTGTACAAGCGCGTTGTAAACAATGGCGCCAGCATCGTCCCAAGGTTATCAAAACAGATTCAGCTTGGGTTGTGAAAAGAAACCCACTACATGAAAAGGAAGAGCTCGTACTCAACCATTTCGAAACAGTACCTACAGAAACAGAGAATCATAAACAGTCCAATGTTTGTGACACATCACCAACTTTTAACGACTCACGGCAATGCCATACAAATGTGACCATTGATGATTCGGTTATTGACGACGTGGATCACTGTACTATAACAACTATAACTACAAGGCATATGACGAATGAAGAAGGACCCCTTGATTTCAATAGAATTTCCAAGTATCTTGACTCGTCTGTAAAGCACCATCTACATTATGGATTAGTCGACTTGGTCGTTGCTTTGACATTTGCCTTTTTCGTAAATTGTGCTATTCTTATTGTTGCTTCCGCTAATTTTTATTATGGGCCCAAAAGCAGCGACAACGAGTCTGCTGTCGTTCAAGACCTATTTAGTGCTCATGCATTACTAATGCAATATCTTGGACCACCAGCAGCTATAACTTTCGCACTCGCTCTATTATGTGCTGGTCAGTCAAGTACATTGACTGCGACATTGGCAGGTCAAGGTAACTCCTTTTTTTTCTTACTTTTTTGGAACTATTTTAACCATTGACACATTCTCTAATCTATTTATTTTTGGTCAATATTAATAGTTGTGATGAGTGGTTTTTTGGGTATGACGACTCGACCTTGGGTGCGGCGAATAGTGACACGTTTGATTGCAATCACTCCAGCGATGGTTGCGGCCTGCGTTGCTGGTAGAGATGGATTGAGCAATATGCTTGTTGCAAGTCAAGTGGTTCTCAGTATACAATTACCTTTTGCAGTTGTTCCTTTGGTTTACTTCACTTCTACAAAAAAAGCAATGAAACTTGACTTGGTTGTGGAAACAACAGTAAATACGCCAAAGGAAAACTCAGAAAAAACAGTCCTTCATCATCATCGTCAACAACAACAGCAGAAGCCTTTGACTTTTTTCGATCGTATTTTACTAAAATTGAAGCAGAAGCAAATACAAGAACAGCATCAACAGCAGCCATTATGCGGTCAAAAGGGCTTCTTTTCCGACTGGCGATCATTAAAATGGATGAACTTGAAAACGATAAAGAATTATTGTTTTAGGTCTTACCATGATACCCCAGCAGCAATGAACATTCATAGCAGCACCAGTCCGTCAACTATCCAAAACCTGAGCTTAGACGGTTTAGATATACAATCTATGGAAGAGTTGGACAGCTGGCCTGAACCTTTGACTTACCCCAATAATCTATGCGTTAAAGTTGTTGCTGTGGCTATTTCACTTTTACTCATTGGTCTAAACGGTTATTTAGTTGTTTCCTTATTCTTACAAATCTAAATTCTTTTGCCAATGTATATGTACATGTTAGATATCATTATTTATAGATACCCTTTTCTTTGGTTTATAGTTACATTGTATTGATTTTTCCGCGATTTCACGCGATTCCCTATATCTCTAGCTGACAATAATAAAGTATTATCATACATGCTGTTTTGCTCACATTTACTGAGAATACTGTTCCTGCTTGTACGTCGGCCTTCCAACATCCGAATAAATGAGTTTGAATTTTTCGTTTTTGGCAAAAGCAGGTGTCTGATTTTTTTTAGACTTCCCATTCTTTCCATTTGCACCTCCCTTTCTTCCCTTCCCTCATTTTTTCCTATTTTGAGAGTGTTGAGAGGAACGAAGCTGACTACGTCTTTCTACTTATAACTATTTAATATTCTAAAATGTCAGCAGCAGAGTATAAGAAGAAGCTTTACGATATTCAAAGAACTGGAGAGAACAAGAACTGCTTTGACTGTGGGGCTCCCAACCCTCAGTGGGCCAGTATATCGTACGGTATCTTTATTTGTTTGGATTGTTCAGGTATACATCGTTCTTTCGGTGTACATATCAGGTAGAGTTGAACTTTGTTACTTATATAGAATCAACAGAAAATAAATAAATAAATAAATAAGCAAAGAATACTGATGACGCTATTTGCGGTATAAAATAGTTTTGTACGGTCCATCACCATGGATAAGTGGTTTGATGATCAATTGAAGAAGATGGAGGTAAATGAAATTTTGGTACAAAAAAGGGAAAGATTGAGAAAATCAAAATTAAAAGATACGTCTATCAAAAAGATTGGAGGAAATGAAAAGGCAAGAATTTTCTTTGAGTCCCAACCTGATTATTCACCAAATATGTCCACACAAGAAAAATATCATACGCATTGCGCAGAATTATATCGCGATAAGGTACTATCAATGAACTCAACTCATTTCAAGGAAAAACTCAAGGGCAGCGAGCTAAAATTTCATTTAACAGTTATCAGCCGAGGCTGAAGGTCGCCCTTGGACTCCTACACCTTCGGCACGATCTGCTAACAAATCTCCCGTCACAAATGCATCAGCAAACAAAACGAGAATAGCTAACGGCGCCACACGCTCCTTAAACAGTCAGGGCAGCCGTTTTGGTTCCGCTAGTCATTTGACAAATCAACGCTCAAACTCATCCGTTTCAGTATCGGGTGGTTTTGGAAATGATATCAATAACAGTGACAATTATACCGATGGAAGATCAAATGGCCTTGACAGTGGTGATGGCGATATGAATAGAAAGGCTCGTAATGAGCATTATTTTGCACAACTTGGTCAAGCCAACGAAAGTAGACCAGAGTAAGTTATAGGGAAAAAAGGATACGTCTAAGAAGGATACTTTTCAAAATACTGACTGATATGTTCGAATTCGTGTATGTACAGTCATATACCACCTAATCAGGGCGGCAAATTTACCGGTTTTGGTAATCCTCAATGTAAGTAGTTTCAGATGTACATTGTTGTGTATTTTCTTGGTACTGTGGCTGGGTTGACTTTTAACGCGCTTGTCTCCAACGAAAGTCGAAAATGAATATAGAAGGAATGCCTCTAACGATTTCGGAGCTAATTTGGGAGATCTTCGAGAAGTGATTAATGACCCAAAAGTGGCTATTGAAAAGGGTTTATCCCTTTTGTCATACGTTGGTAAAGCTGCTGTGGAATTTGGTCGTTATGCTAACAATAATTATGTGAAACCTGCTGCTGCTCAGTTAGCCGATCCCAATTTTAGAGAGCATCTTCGTGAAAACGTCAACAGTTATGTCAGTTCTTTCACTCAACCTAGAGTAAGTCAGGAATGTAAAGAAAGGGGGAGGAGGAAAAAACCAAGTAAAAATCTGGCAATTGGTATTAACCTATTCGCTTTTTATAGTCATCATCCTCTTCGCCTTATGGTTATCAAAGCTATAGTAATGGTGGATCAGGGTCCTCCACTCCTACTTCATTACGTTATTCTACATTAAACTCATCCACTCATACATCCGCCAAAGATATCCAAGATGACGAAGACTTTTTCAATTCACATCTCAACAATTTACATATTTCAGATAATAACAATAACAGCCCTAGATATTCACCTACCACAAGCAGCACGCCACCCGCCAAGATGAATAGCAGTACCAGAAGTCCATCTTCAACAATAACCAACGTGCGTGCTAGAGCCAATTCTGGAGCTAACAGAAAGAAAGCACATACAACAAATTCTGACGATGAATGGGGAGCTTGGTAACCTAAGTTATAGGACAGATCTGAATATGATTGAAAAAAGGATCAATTAGATTTTAGAAAGTTAAACATATTTACCAATATTGCAGTCAAAAAGTATCAGAGACACGCGCTTGTAGTTCTAATCTATCAACATATTAACGATTTTATAAAGTATTTTACATGCATTTTTCTTTTTAAAAAAAAAATTCTCCTTTGTACCTCGCTTTTTTACTGGTTTTTTTTTTTTGCTTGACCTTCAATGAATGGCTATCAAATTGAGACTATCTTACAATCAAAATTCAGACTAATCCAAAGAATTATTTTGGATGACAAGTATAATTTTTGGGATCATACCTTTTCTGTCAAAACGCTCAATGCCAAATGTGCGAACTACTACTACTCAAACAAGATAAATATACTGCGCCAAAGCACAGAATACCTACCCTTTGTGAGTATGTAGTAACGTCAAGCAGCAGTTGATAAAACCTCAGGAATGTACGGTGAGAAATTTCACAAGATGAACTCACCTAAACGCGTAAAATCTTTAAGCCGTCGGTTTGGAACCTGCAGCACCATTTTTGTTATGGCGATGGCGAGAGAAAATTTCGAGGGCGGCCATTGTGTTCCAATATGAAGTTTGCAATAGTAAGCATATTTTTTGCCGCATTGACATCTCGTTGCCATATTACACCACAGGTTTTGCAGGCCTTGGTATCATAGACGCTGGAGCCGTCCGCAATTTGTATTTTTTTCATTTCGACACCATTACAATTGTTACAGACCTATGAAAATGACGTTACTTCTAGAGATGGGCGATAAATTTGGCAATTGGGGACCCACCTTTGAGGTTTTGAACTCGTTGATGTCGACCACCGCAGCAAGGAAGCAGCGCTGTCTTCTTAAGAGAGTACGATATCTGTGACGCCGGATGAATGCCCTTTAAATCGGACATTATCTTTGTTGCGCATACCGTCACCGAAAACAATAAGAGGGAGTTTGGTGAAGTTTTCAGAAAACGTTGCGACAGTCCGTCTGTTGGCCTTTTTTGATTTGTACCTAAATATGACATATCGAGTGAATGACATAAATGCAGAGTTGAGATACAGGTATTTGTGACTCACCTTTGGCTTGAGATTTGTGGTTTCTTTGCCTTCTTCTGCGACTCCCCCTGCGACTCTTTCCGCGCTCGCGCTTTCGCAGCTTTATCTACCCTTACCTTGCTTCTTACTGCTTTTTGTCCTTTTGGACGCTTTCTTTTTCTACGTTTGTTCTCGTTGATCTTTTTCCGCTTACTTATGTTATCTTTTTTCCTCCACAAATTAAGCATATTGGTCATTTGCTCATTGGCTCTTAGGCGGCCTTGGTAATTATTGAAGTTAAATTTAGCGGACTTAAGCCATAGAAGTCATGAAGAGCCTAGAGACGTTGCAAAACGTTTGAGAGGTGTAGTTGGATCGACGAGACACATTGACGAACCGCTCATCATTGTCGGACTTTTAACCCTCTAACTTATGGTAATTTAATGCCGTGTTAATGTGTAGATCAAGAGGCCGAATATCATGATGCCGCTTCAGTATTGATTGGCTAAATAACTGTGGGCTACGTTGTAAAATACCTCACTTTGATCAGTATAACCATCAACTTCTGTGATTTATATTTTTGCCAGCAGCACCTACATTGTCACTTTGACGTCAATCTCCGTCTTTGCAAATAAGTACATAAATTACAATCTTCAAAAGTCGAACCGCCAATGAAACATTCAGATTTTTCCAATTGATCGAACTTTTTTTGTTTCTTGTTTCTCCCTTTTTATAACCATATCCTACACTTCCTCATAAATCATATTCAATTACCCTTCAAGCATCCAACAACGAAGAGACAATATGTTATCTTTTTGGAAGAAAAGAACGGTACCAGAATTACCGGAAAGAGACCAAATAGTGCTAGATGAATATACGCGCAAAATGAAGAAATATGAGGAAATGATTAAAATCTGCTGTTGTTGGATAGGTTATGATGTATTATTCGGTAATGCTAATCAGTAAACGGTAGATTTAGATGATATGCATAGAAGCAAAGTTTTCTTTAGCATCTAACAGGGCTAGATGTCTATAGAGTTTATTCCTGTGGTTGGCAAAGTGATATCTTTAGGATTTGCTATATCAATGTTCCGTCTAGCTTGTCAATGCGAGTTACCTACATCCGTCAAACGTAGGATGTTATACCATATTACTGTTGATTTTCTAGTAAGAGTATCCAGCTACTAATCTTGTCGCATCAGGACAATAATATTGATATGCATTTTCTATCCCAACAAATCTACACCCTGCCCCAATAGATCGGACTCATCCCTATATTGGGATTTTTTCTTACAATGTTATATCGAGCGCACAGTAAGAACGCACGTATTTTAAGAAAATTTCTTTATGAAAGAGCAAGACAAGGTGCAGCAAAGGCAGAGAAAGAAGCGTTGAAGATTGGTCATGGAAATGAGCATATACCACTTTCAGAACCTACGGATAAAATCATGGAAAGGGATGAGCTTGAGCCTTTACCTCAACGTCCTAGTGCCATAAAAAAAGGAGAAGAGGTCATTGCCTTGACAGAGTCACAAAGAAGTGTCAATGTCTTTAAAAAGGAAAATGAAAATAGGTACGGGCCTGTTTCACAGCCGGTACAGCAACAACTACAGCAGAAGACAGAATATGACGCTACAGTGTCTCGCAACAACAAACTCGAATAAAATATGCAACTAAATATTCAATCTGTGGAAGCAGGAATACATTTTTTTGTATTTTGCATTGTGATGTGCAAATGCCTCTATTGCTGCTAAATTTTAAGGCTGCCTCTAACAAATTGAGATATAAGCACATCTTTCTTTCGCCATTATACAGTAAATATTATCGCAGTTGAGATCAATTATTCGACTATATCATCACATTAATTTAATATGAGAACCGGTGCTCCGATTTTTTGACAGATTAGAGATGCCTGTAACCCACGATCACTTTCTAAACTAATTACTCAGTTCCAGTTGTTCTCGAAACGAGCGTCGCGATTTTTTGGCTCAGAAATGAATGTCCAAATACAGGTCTCAATAATGAGAGTATGGAAACGAGAATGAACAAGCCGAAGAGAGCTATCGAAGCCGTATATACCACTTAAAGGAGTGAGTATACGACAAACATAACAAAATTGTGTCTGGCTGAACAATACGTAAAAGTGTCAAATTGTATAAACAGCACAGATCAAATTTCTGCAAATTATGAACTCAAGGGGATACAAAGTTGTACTTTCAGAACCGGAAAAAAAAAAAAGGATTTTTAGGTTTTTGAGGTTAACCAATTTAAGGATTCGGATTGCACGTTCTATTTACCAGTTTTTTTGTAATTCACTCGCTCATTTACAGTAGTAAAGTCTGGTAAAGCTTCACTATTTATGACAGGAAAACATTCGTATACTTCATTTGTTTGCAAAGGCTAATGATACTGCATTCCGGTTCAAAAAGACGTTTATTCTTCCACGACTATGAATAGTGCCCTTGTCGACAGAAAAAGCGAAGAGAATACCTTTGATGATGTTACAAATGGTTCAATCCAAACTGCTACAGCAGGAATAAACGATACAAGTGTAGGCAAGAGCAACTTGGTAGCTGAACAGCAAAAACCACAGCAACAAACTCAAGCACCAATATCGCCAACTTCAATGAAGGAAACTACTGCTGACGAGAATAGATCTGTTGTGGCCAATCCTACACTCAGTAATCCAACTACATCGAACCGTCACTACACTAATATGCTAGTAGCTGAGATTAATCAAAAAAAGCGAATGATTCAGCAACTGGATGAAGAGATTTTCTATTATCGTCACGTTAATTCAGAGTTAACTGAAAGAGTGAACGGCACGCAAGAACGTATGCTTATGAGACAGAAGGATCAAAGGCAACTGTTGGACAATTACAATGAACATGTACGCTCTCGAAGAGCTACAAATGATGATGTGGCGTCTATTCACAAAAAGCTATTAGAGCTCAAATACAATATCAAGCAATTAAGTGCAGCATTAGTACGAAATAATGACTACGACCCCATGTTGACTACACAAGCCATCAGCAAATTTTGGGTCAATCTTCACGACGCTATCAAAAGATTAGGTGAACCATTACCACCGCATCGGATTCAAATGCTGATCGAAAAGTTTTTGATGGATGTGCTTGTACAAAATATGAACTACAATGCTTTTACTGGTCTCAAGATTTCTCAACCCTATACCCAGTTACAAATGTGGTTTGAACGATATGACCCTAGTTTTTGCACACGTTTGAGACAAGAAATAGCCAAGGTGGTTGTTCTTCATGATGTTCCTGGCTCTGATGTGGCACAAGAGATTCAGAAGCTAAACAAGCGTATGTATACATCTTTGTATACATCACTGCTGAAGGCCTTTCCCTCAATTGAAAAGAATGACCAACAGTTACAACAGCAGCAGCAACAAAAATTGGACATGAATGAGAATAAACAACAACAACATCAGTATTCGATCATGCTCCGATCAATGGTAGAACAAGCATCACACATTGGTTATGCTATGCGTGGACAAGAAGTCGAGATAGCTGCCGCTGCTGTTGGAGAAGGAACAGAGATTTTTGATTCAAAAACAATGATCGATGAAGACGGGCAAACTTCAGGCATTATACAATTTTGCATATGTCCGCCATTCATCTTATATGCTAATCGCGTAGAACTATTAGAGAAAGCTCGCGTCTTATGCTTTACTCCAGTATCTTCCAAATAACCGAAGAGCGGGAAATTGGTAGTGTTAATGAATAAGCCCCTACATACCATCCTTATATACGATACACTTAACTTATTTATTGAGCAATAAAGGGAGCATATATTGCTCGACTATCTACATACAATACAGGTTTTTTCTTAAAAAAAGTTGACTTAATTAAGATTACTACAATAGTGGTCGATTTACAATTTCAAACAGTTTCAAAGATGTACAGAAGGTTTGAATATTCACATTTTTGTACGTTCGCCAGTCCCGAAAAACTTTCTAATATTTCCTTTATATTCGTACGGTAAGAATGGTGGCTCACGTATTGTGAAAACTTCATCCAGCTTCAAATTCTTGGGCAACCAGATTCTGAAGCTTGCATTTTCAAACATGCCGCTTAATGCTACCCAGCCAATACCTGCAAAACTAAAATCGACTGAAGCATGAGATGGATGCACTCCTCTTACTTTCACAATTTCGTTTAAAGGAGTCAATAGACTTGTCTTCAGAATGCTTTCATTATTTAGTTGTCGCGGATGCTGTGCCGGCTGCTGATCGTAATATGCTGATGGAAGTTTTTCAGTTTTTGTCAAATGTGGTGCTAATGGACTGAACAATGTCATTAAAACAGGGTTGCTTGCTTCTATTAGATCGATGCGTACAAGAGGCTTTAATAGAAATGATTTTCCCGGTTCTAAACGGAAAGTAATAGGCTTCATTTCCCTTTGAGCGGCCAACTTTTTTTGTTCTTCATAAGATAATAAGTGAAATAGTTGTTGATCGTTAATTAGCCCTGGTGTATCTATAAGATATCGGTTTCGAGTGACTAAACGATTTCCTTTTCTACTCGCTTCTATCTCTTCTGGTGTAAGCATGCCTAAAGCGTACAATGGTATTTTGATGCGTCCCATTGTTGTACCAGGTGCCGCAGAACTGGTGATTTTGTATTGTGCTTTCAGATCTTCCTTTAGCCGTTTACCTTGCTCGTCTAATGAACCTCTTATTTGAGTCATGAATTTATTGATAATCGCAGACTTTCCAACGTTTGTGCAGCCCACCATATATACATCATCTACAGGTCGTCGCTCCTGGTCGATTTTGCGCATCAAAGCAGATATACCCCAACCTTTTTTTGCACTTACCATAGTTACGGAGAGAATTTGTTTAGTTGAAATGCCGACTGATTTCATATGCTGTATGATCCAATCTCGAATACGATTTTCATGATGTCTCGCTTTTGCTGGTAATATGTCGAACTTATTGGCAGCAAGTATTAGACGAGCACTGGGATTCTTTTGAATCAGTTGTGGTAATTTTCCTAACGAGCCAGGCAGATCAGTGATATCAAATACAGCGACAATAAGTGGTGAGTTTTTTGTTTTAAGAAAGTCAAGAGAGCCATACTGCTGTGATTGTCTAAGAAATTGAGGCGTAGATTCTGTAATGGGATTGTTATGATATTGAAGTTGATAACAACGCTGACATATTATACGGTCTGCTTTCTTTACTTTATCTGATTCTGCTGTGCCTTGCGCAAAATTGTTTGTGTCGACATTCTCAAATTCATTTTCTTTTGGTTGCATATCATCTCTACCTGTATTATCAGCACACTGTAGAGACTCATCTTCTTCTGCTCCATTCAATAATGCTTGAAGTTCTGGATCATTACGAAGCATGTTTTCGTACTCCTCATTAGTTATCTCCTTTGTGTTGGATTTCTTTAGGTAGTCGCTTTTTGGCTTAGCAGGCTTCCTTTCAACGTAATAACCTGGTTGCTTAGGATCAGACGTCTGGAAAGGAGCACCACATCCAGGACAATCTCCCACTGGTATATTTTGCCGTTCTTTTGTTACTGCAGTACTGTATAGCACTTTAAACGGCGAGCCGAATGCCCTTGTGACAATCTGCTGATGTGCAACTTCGCGATTGACAATCAAGGGTTGCAAAGCTGATCTAAAAGTTGGTAAAGCATATCTCGCTTGGAAAACGTTTTTGAATGTATAGTAATTTTTCAATACAGGAAGTTTGGTGGAAGATCGACGCATTAAGAAGTTGATCGATCGCTATATTTTCTATTGATGAAAGAACCAGGGACATCAATACTCTGGAGATATCGATAGCAGCGAATTGATTGGAACTCCTCCTGCGCTCATGCATAAATTTCCGATTTCCATTAGAAAAAAGCTCCAATAGTAGTAACTAGAATATGCAGGTCCATCAGAACAGGACCAAGTTTCTAGATGAATACTGCAAAAGTTTTCAAAGTTCAAACTACTTGGTTTTTTTATTGAGAAAAATTAACGACGAAATGTCTCGTGCTAATATTCAGTAAACCAGCTACAGCAGTAAAGGATATATTAGACATGCAGGTTATCTATTGTTCTAGCTAAGCTTGGATACGTGAACTCCCAAAAGGTAGCAGATACAACATTAGGATAGTGATTGCTAGTGTATTTGATAAAAGCGGAAAAAACTAAAAGATTTATTTACAATTATATCATTGTAGTACTATTATACTGTTGAAATCAAAAAATAATGATATAGTATATTATGTATTATGCGTCAGTTGGCATCACTGTAGGAGTACTACTGGCTTCTATCTGCTGTCTTTCCTCCCAAGCTACGATTTTACCACTTTTCAATCTTTCGATTGCTTTCCCAACATTCTCTATATGCATTTCTAGCGGCAACGTATCTGGGATAAGTATAGGTGCTACTACCTGTGATCGTAGTTCCTCTAAATCCATTTGGAACGCTTCCATTCTGTCTAGCATTACCATCAACTGCTGTGCAGCTTGACTTCTTTGCATATCAAAATTTACCAACAAATCCAGATTTTCCTTTACTAAAGGGCGACGCATTCCCTTTCCTCTGACCATATTGACGACATCACCAAGAATATGTGGTTTTTCAGATTGTTGATATGATTTCTCTTGGACGCAAATCTCATGTATCGCATACAGATCTTCTTCCAATTCGTCCAACGAGCTCTGGGCCTTCTCGATCGATAATATTAATCGCTTTGCTTCTTTCTCCACCAGGCTCATAGCATGCTCATAAATCACTCGAAGATCCTGTCGGCTTGCTTTTTTACTTTCGACATCTGATAATTTTTTAAATGTGAACGTATTGTAGGTTATAAGGTTGTCAATAACACCCTTAGTCTGTGCTTGCAAACTCTGTATATCCTTTCCAAATCGTCTAGAGCGCACCAAATAGTCACCTAGTTTTGAATTAAGCAATTCATGGCTTTGTAGGTTGGAAAACTTAACCATAGCTTGTAAATCGCGAGTGGCCAATTCAACTTTTTTGAGTTCAAGTGCTGAAATTGCTTCTTCCCCAACTGATTGCGAGAGCATGCCATCGTATAAATTTTCTTGAATCTTTACCAAGTGTGTGAAATCAGGTATATTAGGTATATAATTATTGCAAATTGGTAAATATGAGCTCAAAAGTGGTATCGGGCATATCGTATCAAGCACCAAGTCCTGGCATTTACGATATCCGTAATTGAAAATGCCGATCATTATAGCTCCTGCTCCCAGCAAGATGACGATCGGTTTGATGACAATAAGTGATCCCATGAAAACCTCTTAAGTGAATGTGTTATATAGCAAAAGAAAAGATTGGACAAAAAAAATAATAGAAGAATTAGTTATTATCAGAACAAAAACTATGATTTGATGCTTCTTCTGCTGGTAGGTTACCTAGCAAATACCGAAAGAAAAAGAGGATATAGTTTGGTGATTCGCTCACTCTTTCTGATTCTGGGGCGCCATCGTTGGCCGCTGTCTTCCGTTTACGATGCGTATTTGCTACTGATTTAAAGTTTCGTTTCTTACGAGATGGAATCATGGTTTCGAAAGTGTAATTAATGTGAAAGAATTATCTTTCGAGCGGTTCAAACACATTTTTCGAGAAAAATGGTCAGTTTAACTGTTTCTGAGCGTCTCGAAAAGGGAACTCTCATATCTCACGACTTTCATCATCATTCTTGGTTTCAGAGATGTAATAGTTTCTAACAAAGAAGTGTTAGTGGGTTATCCCAGCATTTCAAAAGTACGTGAAAGCGTTACATCGGAAAGGTCGCCAATAACTAACTTAGCACTTCTGCTATGGTTTGCTCTTGGACACAGCATTTCCCTTCCACTCATGCAGCTTTGTTTTCAGCCAATGAAACAAAAAATTTTGTAAATACAAAACATTGCTATGGCAAATCACACTGGCAAAAAGTATTGCAGTTATTAATTATATTTTTTAGTTACAGGTTCGCTCATCTTTTATTTTGAAGGCAGAAATACAGTGTCGCAGGTATAAAATAAATTGTACTAAGAGAATAGGGAGCTACAAGAAAGATAATACACATTTAACAGTTTGGAAGAAAAGAGCAGAAAGGAGGAAACGTTCTAAAATGGCGGATCACGTAAATTGCACAATAGAATTACAAACAATTTAAACAGCAGATGTGCCACTGAAACGTAAATAGAAGTTGATAACGATGGCACCCACCAATAGAACACAAAGAACAGCAGGACCCCAAAGATCATCATATCGACCGTCAATACGACGATTGATCATCCTATATACAAAAACCAATCCAGATCGGTTAATGATTACATTAAGATAAAAAAGTAGATTAAGGGACATACCATGCACGCTTTTCGAATCGGTACAGCGCATAGATAGCGATAGCAGCCGCCAAACCAATAAAGATACCACCTACAATACGAGATACTTGATCACCAAAGTTTAACAAGTTCAATGCTACCGACAACAGTAAGGCACAGAATTGTAACCATGAAATGAAAGTACGTTCATTGGCAAAAAATGTCTTGGGTTCAACTTTCACCTTCGTTTTGAATTTTTTATCTCCTCCTTTGCCTTCTTCTAAGTCTCCTAAAACACATGGTTCAACTGGTATACCGATATTTTGCTGTTGTAGTCGTCGCTCTTTCTGCTGTTCTGCTTTTGTCAATTTTTTGTTGTTGGCCAAAAGATGGTTCGTACTGCTATCAATATCACCATCGACAACTGGGTAGAATTTATTAATGGGGGTATTAGGAGATGTGTTTTTGCTATCATACATACTATCACTGCGTCTAAAATGCCCTGCATCAAATTTGTTGGTTGTTGGCAGAGGGCTTTTTGGCATATTCAGGCTTAAATTAGGAGCGGAATTGAGATCAATCAGGGTATATTCTTCTCTCTTCGAATTATCTGTATTGGTGGTGGCAGGAGTCATGTTTCTGTTGGCAGTAGGCCTCAATGCAGCGGCCGCCTTATCGTCCAATTCTACTGACCTTCGCCTGTTCAGCTCTTGTGCAGCGCCTTTTTTGCTTGCTTCAGATTCTTCTTGAATCACAGCTTCTTTATTTGCACGCTCTTTTTCTTCAATCATAGCACGTCTGTATCGACCGTCGATCAATGGTTTGAAACTCTTTGAACGGGTAAGGCCAAGGTTCTGTGCGCGTGGTTTACGAATATCGACGTTCATTTCGGAGAGCCACCACGGAAGTAAAGGAAGCCTGTCCTGAAAGAAATGGCAAGCACCATGGAGGTACTTTGAGAAGCGAGGTACTTCATGTACCAAAGGGCCTTCGATCAAGGCTGTTAGCCATGCGGGCGGTTCTTGACCCAAATGAGTTTGTAGCTTGGTTTCCAAAATAGCATAAGGAAAACGTAAAATCTCATTATCTTGCAAATACGAGAAAGGAGTATCAATGCCTATATCATTGCGCCGCCAATTGTTGTTCCAACGTCTTTGAACGCCATCCAAATGGTCTTCGCGAATAAAAGTAAGATCAGTATCCAATGAAATACGCACTTTTTGAGAGTCTGGTAGTTGAAAGGCTGTACGGTTGTAAAAGACGCGAAGGACTGGCTCTAACTGTTTTTCTTTGAATGATGTTTGCACACCGGTGGCGATGAAATGTGTATCTTTGATCATGCTTTCTTCTGTGCCTTTGTTGCGTAGCTCGTTGGCAATTTGATCCGCTGTGTAGTCGCCATTTACAAAAGAATTGACACGATCTTCGTTAATTCGGAAGCGATCTTTGACAGAGGCACCATCTAACCAAACAGCATGATGTGTTTTTCTTTCAATAAAAACATTTTTTGACGAAGTAGGTCCGTACCTAAAAAGTATATTAGAAATGAAGGGGGTGTGCAGGGTCAGCTTTGGGTAAATTCTTTATCAATTAAGGTTATCATAATTGACAGTTTTCATTTTTCATTGCTTCCAAAAGCTTGGATTCCAACTTGTTCCCTTTCTCATTTTTTCCCTTCAACCCCGTACGTTCAAATAAACGTTGATTCACTCTTCTGGTATAAAAAGCCCCTTGCATGAACAGTAAAAAGTTCGAAATGAACATTTAAATGCCCATCAAAATCCGTGAAAATAGAAAAATATTTACCATCTGAATCGAATAGCTTCAGCCATTTCATCTCTTTGAAGACGACCATTGTACAAATCAAAATTGGAATTGTCAAAGTATATACTTGATACAGCTGAGTCTGATGCTTCATATTTTTTGCTGGTATCGAAAACCAGCACTGGCAAATGAAGCATAATGATGGCTTTGACTTCCGTAACATTGTCAGGATGAATCCAATACTTAGCAGTAGCTCTTTCAAATGCATTTTGATCGCCACCAGAAGCACTGTTACCAGGTGACTTTTTTCCTCTGTTTCTGCAAATATCATGAAGGGCTGAGATATAAACGATAGCGACATCAAAACGCTGTTTGTCCAAAGGTTTTTCTCTAAGCTTCGCAACGTAGGATTGCTTCAAATTGAGTCCAGTCCATCGATCATGCTTTTTTAAAATCTTTTGGATAGCAGTAAAGTTGATGCGAGTAAATTTTGATAAGTCATTGACATCGAATAGGATATCAGTAAGTGCTTCGTCCATTATACTATAATTAGCATCTGAATTCATTGTGGCATTCTTTTGTAATGTTTGAATTGTTCTCTCGCAATAGAGTATTCTAGCATCAATTTCTGCGAGTTTGGCATTGATGAAATCGTAGACTTTGGTGAGTTCGTTGTCTAAAAGATGCACGAAATCGGCTTCATCTTTGTTGGTCCATCCATGATCTAACTGTCTTGTCTTCAATTCCTGCTTTAAAATATCGTAAGCTACGTAGGATAATCTCCAGGGAGGAAAGATGTTTTCTTGCAATTCAAGACCGTATTTCATGCTGTAAGAACAGTAATATTGCTAATGGTTACGAATGAAAATAGTTAGGAGAACAGTAAATAGCAATAGAATGAGAAAAAGAAAAAGAAAAGAAGAATGTTACAAAAATGCTTTAGAAGGAAGAGGAAAGAAAGCTTAAAAGATGGTGGATCCCAATGATGTATTACAAAAGGTAATAAAGACTTTCTTAAAAAAAGCGGGTTTAGGGGTATCTGATATGGTGTGAAGGGCTATTTATAACTTTTTTAAGAAGGGAAGTAGAGAAATTCTTAAATGGGAAAGGCAAGAGACAAGCTCGATTGATCATCCACAGCACTGTTTGTTTCCATTTATCCATTAAGTAACAGATGCTTTATGCTTTATTTACTCATTGTTAATCTGGTAGAGTTCTTTCATTATCAATAGGAGAGGATCACTACATGAAGAATGCTGATGTAATCATTGCAATTCTAGTTTGTTCCTTTACTGCTGCTAAGCCTTCTGTCTTGAACGCTAAGCAATATGTATCTCAATTTCTCAATACACATCATTTTGATAGCATCAAACCTAACCAATTCTATAGTCTACTATTTTAAGGTTCAACAAATGTAACAATAAAGTGTTATTGTTTGTACAATTGTTGGTTGGTAACAATCATTGTAGCACACAAGCATAGCTTGTACATCGGCACCGGACCTCACGTCTATTTGAATCTTCGAATAAAATGAAGAAAACAGTGGTTCCACAGTTACACATATTATCATTGATAGAAGTCCTATATATACACAGGTCCAAGGTTTTTTTGGAATTGATGGAAATGGGAATTACTTAGCCACAACTACATCTGTTATCTTTCATTATGAACAAATCTCGTATAAACATAAGATGAAACATGAACAGCTGTGCTTATTTGGTAGATCAGCCTCGGATATTTTGAATAGATTGGCATTGCTTCTTGAGTGAATTGATATGGTCAAAGCACAACATGTATCTGTATGCCTTGCTCTTCAGCTGTAAACGAAGCATAATCTTCCCAACTGTAAACTATTTAATTGTCATTTCCATTACTTCTATAGATACACAAAAAAACTTGAACCTTTTAACTGTACGTATACAAGGAAGGTATATTTCATCAAGGACTATTTGGATCGTCTTCCTCTTCCAATGGAACTACATGTCCATGTTTATCTAACTTTGTTAATGTCGCTATAGCTTGTTGACCATTATTACCATTACTATAAGTAGCAGCAGCGGTCGTGGTCGGTGTTGGCGTCGCTGCCAATTTCCTGTTATTGCTATCTGTAATGTCCTCTGTTCTGGAAGGTACCAACGGCTTATTATCTTGGATAATACCCAGGCTATCTGCAGTGTTGTCTGTTGTTGTATTGTAAGAAAATAGACTAGGACTGGTTGGCAGTGGTTGACTTACACGTAAGCCAAGATTAATAAATAAAGCCAGCACAATCACCAAACATAAAACAGCTGGTCCGAGCATATCATCAAATCGTGCATTACTCCGGAATTTAATCTGCCATGCTCTATATTGATACCTCAGTTGAGCATAACCTGCCATGATGATAGACACAATGATGAAAAAGGCTCCGCTGCCCTTCGAAACATTATCACCGAAATTCATAAGGCCAAGGGATACAGCAAGCAGAAGGGCACAGAATTGAAGCCAATTGATGAACGTGCGCTCATTGGCGAAATGTATCTTCGGTTCTATCTTGCTCTTTTTGTTACCATTGGATTTTTCACCTCTACCAGTGATTGTATTTTTTGACATGGTTGTCTGAGATGGATTTTCCATACTGTTCAAGTTGGTAGCAGAAGACGCTTGGCTCAGTAAGATAGATTCATTGTTTGTGAATTTTGCATAAAGCCAAGTCATCATACTTATATTATTGGCATCATTGTTTTTTGAATGGTGATTTCCGTGATATATTTCCCTTAGCAGTTTTATTTTGCTTACAATGGGATTTGCTAACAATGAACCGACTGCTTTGTTATTATAGCCATTTTGGCTATTTTTGTTATATCTAATGCCTCCTTCAATGAATGCATTGCTACTATGACCTAATAAATCAACCTGACTGTTTTCTGTCGCTGTACAGGATGTTTGATGATGCATAAGCATTTTTTCCTCATCATCTATGGGCGCTCTTGAGAATTGGTGATTGTCATTGTTGAAATACCCATTATTGGAAGGAAGAAATGATCCCACGTTTATGTTTTGTTGCTGTTGCTGCTGTAGTGGAAGGATTTGCCTTTGAAAATTTTGCGATGGTTGAATAGTGATTATAGGTGTGTTTGGCACTTTGCGTCTTATATCTTTATCCAGCTCGTGTAGCCACCAAGGAAGCATAGCCAAGCGGTTGCGATAAAAGTGGGATGCCCCATGAAGGTATTTTGAGAAGTAAGGAATCTCATAGACGAGTGAACTTGCTAATAGCTTTTCAAGCCAGGTGGGTAATGGACCATTTGAGAGAGTTTTGGTCTCAAGTACAGCATAAGGGAAGATATAAACATCATTTGAATTGAGATGGTCGAATGGATAAGTATCATCACCGATATCGCTTCGTCTCCAATCAGGACCTATTTCCTTTACGAAGGCTATTTTTGTATCAAGAGAAACGCAGAAGTTGTGATCTTTTTGATAAGTAGTACGGTGCTGATAGCACCGCAAAACTGATTTCAGTTCGAGATTTTGTATATCGTCTTTGAAAATAGAATTGGCGATTTCCTTTTGTGGACCGAGATATTCACCATCGGATAAGTAGTTACGAACTAGAGGATGCTTCATGTCGATCCTTTCCCTTTGGTACATATCCTTGTTATTTACCCAAGAATCTGAGTATATCATTCGCTCGATATAGACGTCCGAAATGAAGCCATGCCTGACATACGCACGATCGATGTTACTGGTTAGCGATAAACACAACCTAATAAAAGTCAAGAATTTAGCTTACCATCTGGCACGTACAAGCCGTGCTGCTTCTTTTCTTTGTAATAATTCTGAATACAACTGGAACCTATTCAAGTCTTCAAAATAGATGGTATTCATTATATTGCTTCCTGGGCTATTGGCATTGTTGTTCACAACGGGGAGATGAAAATGAAGTATTGCCTGTACTTCATTCAAGTTGTCAGGATGGATCCAATATTTGGATGTTGTTACTTTTTTGCCGATGCTACTGGTGCTTCCTGACGAAGTGCCACTATTGGCACTATTTTGTCTACTATGGTAATCTGTTATTGCCTTTCCTATTATTTCTGCTAATGGTGGTGATTTTTGCAGCAGCAAATCGTTTAACTGAGAAATAAAAGTGTCCTCAAATTGCTGTTGAATACGATGGAATTGCAAAGATTCTTGCAAGTGTATCTTGGTCCATTTATCATGCTTTTTAATAATCTTGCTAAATCCAGTTGCATTCAATTTGATAAAGTTCGTGAGGTCAGTGACCTTCATTGATATGTCTTCCGGAGATTCTTGGTCTAATAGTGATTGTATTTGGTTGATTTTCCATTGAATAAACTTTTTCACTCTGTCTAGCTCTGGTTTTAGAAAATTCTCGAGAAAGTACACTTCATCCATCTGTGTCCAGTTGCCTTTACATATTTGGGTGTCTTTCAAAAACACCTTCATCTGATCGTATTGAAGATATTCATTTTTCCAAGGCGGAAATTGGTGTTGATAGAGATACAAGCCGAATTTCATTGTTAAAGAGAAGTCTATAATTAATATATTGAGGAATGAAAGACTTAAGACAAAGTTAACGATGAATTAAATGAATGAAAGCTATAGAAATGGAAAGAACAAGAAAAGAAAAAGCGAAAATAAAGAAAACGAAAATCATCATGCCCTTTTCTTTCCTATCCAAACTAATTCTATTGCATTAAATCGTTCATATTAAGCTCTCTTTTATGCTCCTTCAAAATAAAGATTGTGATCTACTTTTTGGTCAACTCCTATTTTGGCTGCAGTAGCTTTTTTTCTTACCGACCAATTTGGAGTTTTTGGCTCCTTACGGAGCTCTCTTCTAAGAAGTATAATAAAAATCATTTGCGTCAAATTTTTAAACTTGCTTTAACGTGAACTAGGATCAAAATTCAGAATGCCAGTTCATTTCTGATAATCGACTGCATTTATATTGGTAAGTATTTATTGGATATGGTTAATAAAAGCTCTCGACCATTGACAGGCTCTATGTCAAAAGGATGAATATCCTTTGTTTCTTAAATCAGCTGCCCGTTCACGACCAAACTGTGGACTTGATTTCTAGTTTTTCTTATTTTTATGAGCAGATTGACCAGCAATAAAACGCTGTTAGAAGTTTCAGTAATCACATAACTCATTTAAAAAAAATAAAGGTATAATATCTATATCTCAAAGAATAGGTATCAAAATCATATAGTGAGGTAAAAGTGTTAGAGGCACACATTTCACAAGTCTGCGAAATGCCAAGCTGATATCGATGTTTTCTCCGAGCGGTATCAATAAGCTATAAAGGTCCTTTAGAAGCGCAATTGTCAATTTATGTGTTGATGATAGTCTCCTATTTGAAGAGCAATAGAAGATAGAATTTTACTTATTCAAGTTTTCATGATTGGATACTATATACTGATCATTGAAGGCTTCCTTTGATTTTGTTTCAAGGCTAATCAGCTACAAACAGCCTTTTAGGATGAGATAATAACTGGAAGAAAAGCAACTTTACATAAGGAAAGAGGTTTAAGGGATAGCGGTTTTATGAAATACGCATCTATGCATGTCAAAATGCCGAATGTTAACCATTTTTCAAAGTTCAAAGCAGCTAAAGAAGCGCCTTATGTAGATAGAAAACGCACAAATTTAGTAAAAATCTAAAGCGAAGGAGACGAACATTATTTATTTCTAATTTTACACACTATGTTCATTCATGGATTACCATATTTGATTCTATAGATAAATTACCCAAATAAGCATAGTGAGTATTTAATGGATTATCCTTTTCGCTATTGTTGCGGAAGCAAATGTAGCCCATATTATTCTTGAGCGGCTCCCCATCGGTAAAGAATTTGCGCCATGTCTGAAAGATCTAACAATACCCAATTTGATGGGCCCTACAGCTTTAAATGGAGTCAGATATCGCCATTACCCAAATTGGCTTCTCAATTATTATTATGTCTAGCAGCAGATCAGTGTTTCATAAAGCAGCAAGAAATATCAACATCAACAGAGACGTTGACGCCTTTGCTGCTGAATATTAGCATCGAAGACGAGACGCCTCAATAAAACAAGCGTACTACACTACACGTTGTGGTTACCAGACAGCATTTTGAACGGTAAGCATGATATGTATCATGTATTTCACTGAAACGATGAGTTTATACTTCCCAAACATGTAGTCTTAGTAAAGTCGTATTTTAGCGCAAGCAAACGTCTCTGAAGAAAACAGATAGAACCAGAAAGTGACTTATTTGTATCACAAAGGGAATCAACAAATACTTTTCAGCATAATGATACATATTTGCTCTTCAGACTCTGATTGCTTTTTCAAGTTAAGAAGCTAATGCCGGAATATGGGTTGCTCTTACTTTTAGGCTAGCCCAGGTAAGCGAATCGCTTCTACATTGTTAAAGTTAGCATGCAGATTCATTCGAACTGAAAAACTTTTTAGCTTGGCTCCGGCATATCGTAACTCACATCTCGCACGAAATTCTGATCATCTGACTTTTTAAGCATCTAGAAGCTGGTGGTGAAAATAAATAATTCATATGTGCATACATAATCGTACATACTCATCTTAGAGCACACTTGCGACTGCACTAAATAAGTTTGATTTGGCAGGCGGTAAAACAAGAATATGAATTAACATAGCATAGAAATAAAGCCTCTATCACGCAGATATTTCTAGCCTTTCGCCTGCAGTGCTTCAAGTCGTTTTGAAAAAGCCCCCTCTCAGGCATGAATTAGAACAGTGTTGCCAAGACGAAAAGAAAGGATAACAGTGGATAGAAAAGGGATGTAGCCGAGATGACTAACGACGGCAAAGGACTCAGGAGGATAGACTAGTGTAGTTGATGTAAAACCAGCTTCCAGAGATACACCAACTGCTTAACTAATTAAGTTTGTAGAGAGCTCCTTAATATTATGGATGAGGATAAATCATTCAAGGACAGTTATTTAATAATGGATAATGGAGTATTCACAAGTCGAAATCAACGATTTGAAAATTGAGGCCAGAGGTTATCCGCTCGAATTAGTGATGCATGTGATGACTACCATTTAGTGATCTTTATGGCTTTTATCTTCATTTCAAATAGCAAATTTATGATTTGCTTCACACGAGCTCCATTTTTTTTCAAGTCTTTCGTTGAATAATATCTACTAACTTAAGCTACATATCAATGAAGTGTAACGATTACTAAAACATTAAATTCTCACAATTAAAATATGGTTAAGCGCTATGAATTAAACTTAACAGCATCTTTTCTTCATGTAACGGTACGATACGGTACGCTTTCTTTTGTTTATTATTAAGGTACTGTAGCATTTGACGACTACTTAGGAGTAGATAGCATGTGAGATTAAAACCAAAGCTTAATGAGATCAAATTAGTTAAAACTTTATCTATTCAGGTAATCTAGATAAGAAAGATATCTACTGCAAAAATTTAGAACTAGGAACTGAGAGCTAAGTTATACTGCTCAATGAAGATGTGCGTCTTCTCATCTATGAAAGATTAAGATCCCCCCCCCCTCCCTTGGGGAACACATCTACTAAAAAGCGGATGAACTTGTGAAAGTATTCACGGCTTGATCTGATGATCATGCAACTAACCTATTTTCCCGTACTGACTATTACACAGCATGGTATGCAGAAACTAGTATTAATTAGGAAATATGCCGAAGGCAGTGAACAGTACTTATTACCTCTTATATCCTTGGGTGTTGGATCAACGTATTCAGCATTTCTATACATTTATTCTACTATGTATCAAGATCATATCGTAATGTAATATTTAAAATAAGTAAACAATAAACTGTTCAATTCTATACGAGGTAGCCAGTCTCGTAGTAAAACCATACTCCACTTTTACCATTTAAGCAATAATGAGGTGTGATGCTCTCGTACAACTTGTGTAGGACATCATTGCATCTCATATGATGCTGTCAACCAAATACAACACTTGATTCCTGATACTCATATTTTAGAATTTACATAGTTTACATTCATTTTCTGGTCTGTAATATTGCGTAATTCGTCTTTATTCTGAATAAAGGTGAGTAATCGCCAATATTAAGTTTATCATCTACGCTCAAATATGATAGAGATTTTATACTACTTGGATTTGAGTACATCAGATAACTTTTATTTTGCAGATCAAACCATAAAATACAAATCTATCTTACTTGAGCTATTGGATAAACTTGTTGAACATAACCTTAACTCTTAATGCATTCTGACAGAATTCATAAGACCTGAATGAGATATTCTATTCATGCTGAACAAGAGTCGAGGAATAGTTTATCCTGTTTCTCGCATCATTCTTAATGGGGTCTGCTAGAAATGTTGGTTAAAGGAACCTTCAGTCAGATTAGCTTACCCATCTTATCTTGTGTCTCCATATGCATCACCGCTTACGTATATATCATCCTCAATTTTCGTTTCATGGTCCCATGTTCTTAACCAGCTCCCTACTCGCCTCTTTGTCATGGACAATTTAGCTAAGCTTCAAAATCCCCTCTTCATCGAGTGCTATACATTATCTCTATTTGTATTAAACATTTTGCTTAAACGTATATAATGTGATAGAAATTTTGGTATATGATTTCAAAACTCTATGTATACTTGCTAATCCGATACGCTGCTGTTTTTACCTGCCTTCAGAACGGTTTTATTGAGAAGTTTTGAGACGATTATCGTCTTGAAGGCCGGTTCTTTCAATATCTTCTCTCGTGCCGGCGACCGATAACATGATACTAATTAACCGTGGCATAAATTCCAGTTTTCTGTTGAAGAAGCAGCCACAGAGTTTCGGGCAAAGGTACTTCAACTGATATTTATACGTACCATTTCTGCCAGCTACCTTTGTATAGAAGAGTCAAAATGGTGGGCAATGATACCTTAGCTCGGATAAAAAATACCCTCCGAGGTATAACTTACTTGAAGCGGCAATCCAATACAATTAATTTTTACTTTTCGTGCAGGAAAACGAGTACTCTTGGCTGATTTTTGTCAATGCATAATGCTTTTCCTTTGAGTTTATCACACTTTTCCATTCGGCAGTAGCTACTATAAACAATTCGCTTAAGCTTCCTTAAAATTTTGTTATTTGTTTTTGGCTGAAGAGTATGTTGGACTTGTAGTCGGTCCAAGTGACAATGACAACCCATGCTAATTCAAAAAGTCTGACATTTCCCCACACATAGTCATTTCAATACATTTCGAGAAACAATCCTACTATTGATACATCCCTAAAGATAACTTTTTTCCAAAAAGATTATGAGCACTTCAATGAAACTAACAGGACGTCGAGAAGATACAGATATAGTGTTAACAGAGCAAATTGCAAGTGCGGTATGTAGGGTCAATTTCTAACTTGTACGCTATACGTGTTCTCTGGTATTGTTTTTTCATTGACAGATACGATTATTTCCTGCACTATTAGCTAAAAGCGGAATTACCACGACGTTATCGATTGGCGCCAGAAATGACCCTGCTTTACAGTATTGATCAGCATGGTATAAGTCTGCACTCTCTGTATAGATTAGCGAAGAATAATAAAGGCCCGTGTGTTCTATCGATTAAAGATGCCAATAATAACGTAGGATGCAGAGAAGGGTATAAAGAGAGGAGAAAAAGCATCTAGCTGAAAAATATTATTCTCATGGTCAATGTCTGCTTTTGATTAGATATTTGGAGCCTTTTTGAACGAGACATTAAAACCGGGGACACGATATTACGGAACAGGAGAAAGGTAAAATATTCTACGCATGTAGCCAAGCCAAGTTTATAACAGCTTCTAATGGTATCAACTCGTAATCTAGTTTTTTATGGAAATGGAGCAAAGCAGAATCCAAACTAATAACCTATAAATGGACCGGTAAAAACGATTATATCATTTTGTCAGACATGGAGTTTATCGCAGTGGGTGGAGGGTAAGGCAAAAGAACAAAACTGTCAAAGCCGGGAGACGATAACTACAGGAGCTAATTGACTGCTGCGTTTGATGTTACAAATAGTGAAGGCGTATTTGGACTATGGATCAATTCCGAGCTGGAAAAAGGTTATAGTCAAACATGTCCTACATTTGATAACGAACAGCTGTCCAAGAACCCAGAGTTCGAGTGTGTAGAATTGGAAATTTGGGGATTCAAATTGTAAATATCAATAAATTAGTAAGACTATTGCAGTTTTGAGCGAGCCTTTTTCAAAAACAAAAAAAGAAAACTAGCTATAGCTGTTTAAAGCTCGTCCATCCTACAGCTTGAAAGAAAAAAAAATTGGATGGTAGACACATTTATAATGTTTACTTGTATAACTGGATCTTTTAGTGAAGTGGGAAATGCACAGTCTGTCCCATCCAATGAAAATGAAGAAAGCAAGCTGTCTGGTGAACAGTTTAAAAAATGCTCAAAATATTGATTGCTATGAGAAACATACGATGGTACAATTATTTACCGCTATAATGCAGTGGAAAATCTGACATCCAAAACCCCCCCCCCCTCTCCACCCATTGAGTGATGAAGTCTCATTTTCAATTGGTGCATGAAAGAGCGTTACATAATGCTTGATAAACGAAATGAGAAAAATGGGCTTTTTATGGCAGTCAAGATTGATAAGATTAACTCTAACTGACCTCCAGACTTTGCAACTGAATGCAAAAAGAAAGGAAAGGGAAGCTTAAATCTGGTGATACGCAGCATTCTTGTGAATCTTTTCTTGCAATTGATTACTCATCCTTTCCAAACAAGAGAGTAACTTGTCTCATATCTATACATTTAAATTTATCTCTCTCTCTCTCTCTCTCTCTCTGTCATTAAAGGAAGTAATACGCGTCAGAGAATTGTCTTGTTTATGAACATCAATGACATTGCTTAGAGCCTGTCTTTTACTCTGTTATGAATCGAACATTATCTTAGTGCATAGTAGGTTTAGTGTAACTGTTTAACAAAAGAGTGATTGTAAACAAGAGTTTTTTGTTTCGCTTGCTGGCTTATCTTTGCCCACGTCAACTCTTGGTCTGTAAAGCAGAACATAAGGTTGTGATCATACCTCTTTTTTCCTCAAAGTATGACCAGCCTCTTTCAAGCAATTGCTTTTTGTTCTTTATATAACGCTTAGTATATTGTCTTTTTCGATTTTACCCCACGGGTGGACATAAGGAGCCCTTCAAGATGGGAGGACTGAAAAGTGAAAATAGAGCAGAGTCGCCCATGACGTCTTCCCAGTCATTAATAAGCAATTTTGAAATAGCGAAAGCAATGCAAATTGCCTCATTCATTTTTTTTTTTCATGATGGACTCTGCTTTCTGCGCGCTGCCTCGATTTACTGGGCTTTTTTTTTTTTTTTTTTTTTTCGAGAAAAGTGAGGAGCTTATAAATAGAAATGGAAACTTACTAAATTTTTTTTTTTTTCACTCTTTCTTCCCTTCTCTTTTCACGGGTAAAAGATCAACTCTTTTTTATATCCTTTTCTTCCTTTCTATCTATCGCAACACACTATGGCTACTGCTGTTCAATATCTTCGTGATCAAGTAACCAAAGAACTTCAAGGTTCTGTCACCATCGTTGGTAAGTGGAAGGAGTTGTTTCCGATTTTACAGTGCCAGACAAAGAAAATTCATGCATGCAACTTTAAAACATGATGAAGTAATGATTTGATTTTAGTTCGTCTACTAACTTCATATACTCGCTCGTTTTAACATAGTGCTCGGTGCTTCGGGTGACCTTGCCAAGAAAAAAACCTATCCCGCTTTATTTGGACTTTATCGTAATGGCTTCTTACCCGAGAATGTGCACATTACTGGTTATGCACGTACCAAAATGGAACATGAAGAATACATCAATCGTGTGACTCAATTCATCAAGTTGAGAAAGAATGAAGAAGAAGAAGATCGAAAGAAGTTAGAAGAGTTTAAAAAGATCACCAATTACATCTCTGGACAATACGACCAAGATGCTTCTTATCAAACGTTAAGGGAGTATATTGAAAAGTGTGAAAATGAACGAGGTGTGAAAGACGGTCAAAGAAATCGTGTATTTTACATGGCCCTTCCTCCTTCCGTTTTTATCCCTGTCGCTCAAGGCTTAAAACGTAATGTATACACAACCGAAGGTAGTGTGCGTTTAATTGTCGAAAAACCTTTCGGTAAAGATACAGACAGCTCCAACCATTTGGCCCACGAATTGGGTAAACTCTTCAAAGAAAATGAGGTGAGTCTATTAATAACAAGTGTGAGTCAAGACCCCCCCCCCACTTTCCTAACCTAAGCCTGATGGAAAAACCTACTATAGATCTATCGTATCGATCATTATCTCGGTAAAGAAATGGTCAAAAACATTATGAATTTACGTTTTGCCAATGTGCTCTTTGGACATGCTTGGAACCGTACCTATATCGACAACGTACAAATCACTTTCAAAGAACCTTTCGGCACAGAAGGTCGTGGTGGTTATTTCGACGAGTTTGGTATCATTCGTGATGTTATTCAGAACCGTAAAGTCTTTCTCTCTTCAGCCTCTACAGGAACTTGAAAACGAATATTGTCTAATATCCACCTTTCCTTCTTTTTTCCCGAATTGCATAGATTTGCTTCAAGTCTTAACCTTGGTTGCTATGGAGAGACCTATCTCTACAGATGCGGAAGCTATTCGCGACGAGAAGGTAAAGGTTTTAAAGTGCATTGAACCTATTCGTATTGAAAACACGTTGTTGGGTCAATACGTCGGTGATGGTGATAAGCCCGGATATAAAGACGATGAATCCTTGAAGGATAAGGACAGTTTGACTCCTACTTTTGCTGCTGTTGCTTGCTTCATTAACAATGAGCGCTGGGAAGGTGTTCCTTTCATCTTGAAAGCAGGTAAAGCCCTCAATGAAGCCAAGGTCGAGGTCCGTTTACAATTCCACCGTGTCGCTGGTAACCTCTTTGGCAGTTCCGCACGTAACGAGCTTGTCATTCGTATTCAGCCTAACGAAGCTGTGTATATGAAATTCAACAACAAACAACCTGGTTTATCTTATCAAACAATCACAACAGATTTAGATTTGTCTTACCATGAGCGTTATACAGATTTGGCTATCCCCGATGCTTACGAATCTTTGATTTTAGACGTTTTGCGTAACGACCATTCCAACTTTGTTCGTGATGATGAGTTGGAAAGAGCTTGGAAGATCTTTACACCATTACTTCATAAGATTGATAACAGAGAATCAGATGTCGAGATTAAACATTATCGCTATGGTTCAAGAGGTCCTAAGGAATTGGATGATTTCGTCAAGAAATTCGGATATCATCGTGAAAATGCCAACTACGAATGGCCTCGTCAAAATGTCAATCCTGCTTCTAACAAGCTTTAAAAGAGAAATTTCGAAATACATACGCACACTACAATACACACACACATACACATACAACATACTCTCTGTCTCTTCTCTCTCTTTTTCTTTTTCAATACCTTGTAAAAAAACTTGTCTCTATTCCTATCTCATGAAGCATACATCATTTCATTTTTGCTGTACACATTTTTAAAATCTCGCAACTCGGCTTTATAGCACCATATCATCTAATTTGAAACAGAAGGATTGTCATGCTGATCCCTATTTTTTATATAAAGGTTTTTTTTTTACTTTCAGCATATTGTTTACGATTTCTCATTTTATTAATAAGTGTGGCAGATGAACTTTGGAATGCATTATAAACTTAAAATGAGCATTTTTATTGGATAAGCTGTTTAAACCAATGAACAGCATCTAACTCCATGCTACGTTAATTTCGGTTTGAAAAAATTAAACGAAGAAGTAAGTGGCAGCCTGAAAGGTTTTGAAAACAAAAATCGATGCCACTTGTTATATGTGGTGATGGTATGTATGGGAAGGATACTGTACAAATGAGGGGACATATCACTGGAGTCACCGGTATATTGTATAAAGAGCTATTGAGGAGACAACGGACGTTTCTAACTGCTGTTGTTGGTATTGCCGAATTTCGCACATCAAAAGTAAGTATGCTGGACTGACTATTACTACATATTTGATAAGTAACTTGATAGTCTTCCTTATTAGATTTGTTACAACTGCAAGAGTGACGATATGGAAGACGTAAAAATCCAAGATGGCTCAAGACTCTACAGTACTAAAATGTGTAAAACTTGCCAAGTGCTGTGACAACATAATGTTAATGCCTGAAAAAACACTATCACCATTGTCAAGGCCATCTGGATTGGACAGGAAAGACTTGGCCCTTACAACAGAGGTCGCCGTACCCGAAGGCGGTGCTGTCAGCTCTTCGAAACAGACAGCTTAAAGATATTTACATGTTTAGGTGAGTTCATCTTGTATGAATTACTACTGTGTATTTTTTACAGTTTTATTAATTGATGCTTGGAATTCCTAAAAGCACAGTATATTTTATCTTGTCTAAGTATGAGTAAGCCGCACATTTGGCATTGAGCATTTTGACAGAAAAGGGATAAGCCCAAAAACTAAGCTTTTCATCCCAAAATCTTGTTGATAAATCTAATTTAAATAGTAAAAATGTTTTTCAATTTTTTAACCATTTTGTGCGAAAGTCAAGCGAAAAAAACAGTACTTTAATTTCGTCAATGCGACTCTCCTTTATTTCTTCACACATAACAGATATAATATTCAGAATGCGCATTCTTTACTTTAACACTGACAAAAAAGAGAATCATGACCCTTTCACCCTTCTATACGACAGTAATAACACTTCTATGTCACACTTCATTTCGCCGTCTCGGTCTCTTGACTTTCCACCTGAGATCATTCAAAAGATCGTCCACTTTATTCCGCGATCCAGTTTGACCGCTGCCGTCAGCGTCAACCGCACATGGTACTCATTAGCTATGCCCATTCTTTATCGCCATCTTTACGTACGAACGCTACCGCATTGGCTTTTACTCATGCGCACTTTTTCAGATTCAGCGTTTGCAGCTCAATTCGGGCCGCATGTCAGATCACTTGTATTGAAACCTTCCCCACCTTTAATATCTTCTCAATTAACGAGCTATATAAACCACCGTGTCATAGAAAATGACGATAACTTACAACCCTCATTGAGAGGTTATGTAAGGCTTGAGCGCGTAAACTTCAATCATACTGGATTAGAAGGGGTAGAGACACCCATGTTCGACGATAAGGACGACAACAGCGTTACTTTTAGCCGTCCAGATGAGCAACGACACGATGCAGCTGCAGCAGACAGAGAAGACGAACAAGTCGGAAGACTGCATGAAAATTACCAAGAAATGGACACTACTCAAAAAGAAGCAGAATGGTTATCTTTTGTTACAGACGCACAAGTCAACTCCATCTTGGATTATGCACCACAGATAGAATACCTCAACTTATCAGGCTGTGAAAATATCACAGAAGAGATTTTAATACATATGGCTTCCATAAAGAGAGCGGCAACAGCCACCAAAGCTAGGCCCTTAAAAGGACTGTGGTTGAGTTTGTTGAGAAATATGACTGCACGCGCTCTGGAGAGTGTGATGCAGGCTGAAATCGACCTTTTCCCTACAGCATCCACAAACCAAAGACAGCTAAAGCATTTGGATTTAGGATTTCAGGTCAATATAACAGATGAAACAATCTATAAACTTGTGCAATGCTGGGGTTCTTCTTTGACTCATTTACGTCTCAATTCCATGTACGAACTTACAGATGCCGCTGTGCATTCAATAAGTACCTATTGCCCGAATTTACGATTATTACATTTGGTGCGATGCTGGAAAATTAATAATGACTCACTCCAGTTGCTGTCTAGAAACTGTAAGCACCTCACTTATATTTCTATTGCTTTCTTGAGCCGAACAGATGAAGAAGGTATCAAACATTTAATCTATTCCTGCCCTGAATTAAGGTGGTTGGACGTGACAAATTGTGGAATCTCAACCTTCTTTAAAAATGTTATTTTGGAGGCATGGCATAATTATCGACGAGATCATGGTTTATCACCTGTAAAAATTCTGGATCGCACTATGTTTCTCCTATAAAACAATAAAATAATCTTGCCATTTGGTCTTTTTTCCATCTCACGTTGAAAGACGAATATTGATCTGCTGCTGATGGTGGGGTTATCTGAGTGTTTCATTTGATACTCCGCCAAGGTTCATTTGCGCGTGTGTTTTTCAATGGCTCTTTTCCATTTTCTGTAAACTGCTTTTTTCTTGACATTGAGTACCTGAAGACAACTGAGCAGTCCTTCCTGTCCCTGAAAACTTTGTATAAAAACAGTTCAATATGGCTTCAGCAAGTAGGTTTTTGTTCTATGAAAATGGATGGCCTGTTACCTCTTTTTGCGTCAACAGTTATAGTTATACCTTCATCATCTGTTTATAATAGTCTTCATACTTGACCTTAAAGGAAAGGTTCTAATTTCTCGTAACTACAGAGGAGACATACCAATGAGTGCAGTAGAAAAATTCATGCCTCTTGTAAGGATAAAAAGCAGCTTTACGAAACTTACAACAACAACTTCAACAACAACGATGACAGTTCCCCACTGATGCACTCAACTATGACACTTTTCATATTATAGATTTCAGAAGCAGAAGATGAGCAAATTCCTTTACCTTGCTTCACACACGACGGCATCAATTATTTATACCTCAAGCATAGTAACCTTTACCGTAAGCGCTCTATCTATTTATTCTGGCATACAATAGTAGCGAGCTTCTTTTTAACATTATGTGATCCTTTTTTGGGGGCGGGGGTAACAAATACAAATTAGTCTTAGCGTTAACGAGGAAGAATACAAATGCAGCTTCTATCATGCTTTACCTCCATAAACTGACAGAAGTCTTTTCAGAATACTTTAAAGAGCTAGAGGAAGAATCCATTCGAGATAACTTTGTTATAGTATATGAATTATTGGATGAAATGATGGATTTTGGATATCCTCAAACGACAGAAACAAAAATTTTGCAAGAATATATCACACAAGATGCACACAAGCTGGAAGTGCAAGTGCGTCCGCCTATGGCTGTTACAAATGCTGTTTCATGGCGTTCAGAAGGTATCAAGTACAAGAAGAATGAAGTCTTCTTGGATGTGATTGAAAGCGTGAATTTATTGGTAAGTAATCATGTAGCAGTCGATACACAAGCTGTTTGCATAAGTGATCAATCAAGCTATACTGATCTGCATAATCCGTACGTTGTTAATATAGGTTAACTCTAACGGTAATGTGTTGAGAAGTGAAGTCTTGGGCGCTGTCAAGATGAGGTGTTATTTGTCCGGTATGCCTGAACTTCGTTTAGGTCTAAACGATAAAGTAATGTTTGAAGCTACTGGCAGAGGTAAATGGACGTTGAGATGATCGAATCAGAGAACAAGAAAAAGAGGAGAGAAGAGATGGCTTACATTATCTGATGTTTTGATTCAGGTAACTCTTCAACAAAGGCAATTGAAATGGAAGACGTCAAATTTCATCAGTGTGTGCGTTTATCAAGATTTGAAAATGATCGTACAATTAGTTTTATTCCACCTGATGGTGATTTCGAACTCATGAGTTACCGTTTACAAACCAGCGTGAAGCCTTTGATTTGGGTTGAGGCAGTGGTTGAATCATATGCAGGCTCACGCGTAGAATATCTCGTAAAAGCTAAAGCACAATTTAAGCGTAAAAGTACAGCGAATAATGTAGAAATTGAAGTACCAGTACCGGACGATGCAGATACACCTAAATTTAAGAGTAGTAATGGTTCTGTCTCCTACAAACCCGAGCGATCATGCTTAGTCTGGAAGATCAAGCAATTTCAAGGTGGAAAAGAGTTTATCATGCGTGCACATTTCGGTTTGCCCTCAGTTCAAGCAGGTAAAGTAGACCCTGTTTCTAGCAATATCCTCATCACAATGCTGATGTTTACATGTTTGTTATTCTAGCCGAGGAAACGGACAAAAAGCCACCTATTAACATTAGATTTGAAATACCTTACTTCACTGTATCCGGTATCCAAGTCAGATACTTGAAGATTGTTGAAAAGAGCGGATACCAAGCATTACCTTGGGTCAGATACATCACACAGAATGGAGGTAAAGTATCAATAGAAAATTTTTCTTCTCATTCGCCTTAATTGCCAAAACTGAATACGCTATTTTAATGCATCTCCCTCTAAATTATAGATTATCAAATGAGAATGCCTGAGTCAATTAAGGCTTCTAAACATACTGCTACGAATGATTACTGATCCATGATATAAATGCCATTATTTCAACCTGATGGCACACCCAACCTCATCTTCATCCTAATGTTCTATATATAAATAATTCAAAACAGAAGACTATTGTAAAACTTGCCAGACTGCACAAACACCCCCTTTTTATCTTTTTTGGACCTTATTAACATTATACACCTTTCCTGCCCTTTTCGTATGCATGAAATCTTTACATTTCCAAACCCATCTCTTTAAATAAAGGCATAATTGTTATTGTTAGGAAAGTGACAAAAAGAAATAAGAAAAAAGTCACTCTATAAGATTTGGCTCTTACTATAATGCACTAATAAAACATCTCAAAGCGAGAGATTACATTTCTTTTTCATCTCTTTTAAACTTTTGGACCCTTCGTTGCTTGTCTCGTTTCTTATTTTCCGTACGATATTTTCCGTTACACGCACATTGTAAAATTTAGGTACGGGCAGATCAAATATGATATTGAGAACCAGCAAAAAATTCCCTAACATTTCAAAAAGCCATTCTCACATAGAAGAATAAGAGTATTATGACAAACATAACACAGACTCATCTAGAATATGGTCTTGAAACAAAAGAAGCACTCAGCCAATATCAGGATCAGCAGCTAAAACACTCAGAAACAGATATACCATCAACGCAGAAATTATCATTGACAGACTTTCTATCAAAGAGGAAAAAACACCTAATATTTTTCACTATTGCAACTGTGCTCATTGTAATAGTTGCTATTGCTGTCCCATTATCACTTATACAAGCTCGAAATCAACATCTTCATGACGGTAGTGCACTCTCCAGTATTAGTAGTAAATCCGTTATGGATCCTGATAACGAGAATAGCGCGACTAACAGTACATCTAATACTTCTTCTCAATCTCCCACACCCTCTCCACCTTATCCATCAATAGATACAGAAAGCCTTGACAACAGAAATAGAACTAACAATGGCACTGTACCTTACAGAGAATTCACTACCCTTATTACATTGCCTGATGAACAGCAACAAAGTCTCCACCCTCCTCATTACGCTCATCCTATCTCGCCGTACGCTAACCTCATCCGTATAAAACAGCTTTATCCTGCCACTAACAGTCGTATTTTTATCATGGGCGATATTCACGGCTGCTTAACAGAAATGAACAAACTCCTAGACAAAGTTCATTTCCAACCCAACTCGAAGGATATTTTGATCATTGCGGGGGATCTCGTGTTCAGAGGCGAGGATTCGATTGGTGTGATTCGTAAGGCTCGGGAATTAGGCGCGTACTGCGTTCGTGGCAATCATGACGATAAAGTTGTCCGATTGAAGACGTACGAGATGCAACACAGTGCAAGCGAAATGGCAGTACATCCAGCAGAAGACGTCTTACCTGAGGGCAATGTGCATGATCCACTTAAATTCGGTAACAAGCATTTACAGATTGCGAAGTAAGTATTGCTGCTGCTGCTGCTGTTATTGTTGTTATTGTTGTTGTTGTGAAGAAAGCAAGATCACTTTATGTTATTTTTCCCTGATGCAGTTCTTACAATGCATTTTATCTGATTTTATTGAGTTCCCCGTCCTAATTTTTTCATCTACAATGAACATTACTTTGCTTGGGTTTGACCAGCAAAAATGCAGCCCCCTTTTACCGAATTTTTAGTACGTCAGCACTGAACCATATGTATCAACATGTTGTTACTTTTTTTAGACACTTGCTTATTTGTTTACTGCATTCAACATCATAGACTAACTTTTAAATCTATTATGCAAAAAAAGGAATATGAACGTGGACGATTATAATTATCTGGCTGGTTGCCCTTTGGTTCTCGACATACCTGATTTAAATGCACGTATAGTTCACGGTGGTGTTGATCCCTCAATTCCCAATGTCGTTGACAATGATCCCTGGGCAGTAATGAATATGCGCGAGTTCGATGAACATAATGAACCTTCCAAACTAAAATTATCCAAGCATGCGTCAGAAAATAGTTCTGTTAAACATTGGACAACTGTCTACGATCAATACTTTCACAACTCCCAGGCTACAAAACAAAGACAACAATTTGGAACAGCAGCAGAGGGTGGCTTAAATCATACAACTAACAGTATCACTGATATATCCTCTGCAAACGGAACCATTACTGCTATTGCTAATACAACCAATACTACAACCATTAATATTACTAATACGACCGATGCTACCATTCCTGTAAATAATTCAACCATTACAACTATTTATTATGGTCATGATGCTTCTCGTGGCTTTCAAATTGGAAATGATACAGTGGGCCTAGATAGTGGTTGTGTTTATGGTCGTCAGCTTACCACGATTGAAATCAAGTCAAAGAATGTCACACAAATCGATTGTACAGGAAGAACGTATAAAAAGAAGAAGCACGGTGATAATGATGACGACGATGACAGCGATGACAAGAAAGATGATGGTCATACTGAAGAGAATAAGAGTGCAATTCAAGAGCCATCAAATGATAAGAAACAGCACAGCGGCGATAGTGATGGTAATAATAACAATAACTCTTGATTTATTAAACCCCACCCCAACCCATCTAAGCAATCGTTTAAACTAATTTAAATCATATTTCAATGTTAGCCATATAAAATAAATCCTTTTGTTATTTGATTTTCCTATCATAATTATGTTCTTCGTAAGGCACTGCTAGGCAATTTGCTTGTTCCTGGGACACACCGTACCTTTTAAAGCATTTGCTTCGTTTTCAAATAAGGGCTGTTTCTGCACGAGGCGATTTTTAAGCCAACTTATAAGTGGAAAGCTAAATCATAGTTCTTCTGTTCTTCTTTGCCACATCAGGGATAGGGGAGGAAGGGGAGGCAGGTGTAAAAAGTGGCTAATTGATATTTGGGACAGTCTGATCTGTAAAAGAACGATAAACTAAAAAGATATCATGTAGTATAGTATTTCGACAGTTAACCAAGAAAGTCTTTGCCGTCATAGGCAAAAACATTATATTTTGTTGAAAGGTATATATGAGATTTCATGTAAAATATATCGTAACATTTACGTTTTACTGTTATGGCATAATGACAAGATTTTCGATGATACGGGAACAAAGGTTTACGAACCAAGGAGAGTGTATCAAAACCATTTGACTTCACCAAACAATAAAAAAACTTTGTAAGATTTGTGCGTCCAGAATCTCGGGACCTTTTTGGCAGATAATTATTAACATTATGGCTGAAAGTGGAAGATCATAAATCAATATGGATTGGTTGACGATCTAGAAAGCTTGTACTTTTGTGTCCAAAGTATTGATCAAGAAATACTCGTCTATCTACATATGGAGGAGAGTTTGTTATATTTGCATGAATCTGAAAATCTTGGTAAAGCAGCATTAAGGTTCTAGAATCCATTGCTTAGAACTCATCATTACAAACAACTAGTGGCACGTTGAAGAGCAGTATCAGTTGTGCTCAAAAGTGTGTATCAGTGAATATAAATAAATGCACTCATTGTAGTGTTACTGTAGCCATTGACAAAAGCTAATATAACATCTTCTGCACTGTCTCTCTGAAGCAATTGTCCTTAGATCATGATATAAGTATAACCTTTGGCTCTTCTTCGTGTGTTGGCTGCTGCTGTGGATCCTCACCTTCTGCTTGGTCGAGTTCTTCAACGTAGACATTGCTGTAAGTTTAAACAAATTCTTTAAACAAATTTCATGGATTTGCGTAACCATCAAGCGAATACAAAACTCTTCACACTTTAGATTTGATTGGAGTAGACTCATCATAACATTTTAAAGACCATTAAGATACGATTTTTTGACAGCCGTATCTTTTTTAATTTGGTTCCTTTCTTTCTCTTGGTCTACATTATCTTGAGAACATGCTTCTTACACAAACTAGCATCAAGCATTTACGATACAAATTAGCAGGTAACAAGCTTTATGAAACATTTACATACAATACAATTCGTATTAAATCTTTTCAAAGGCTCTATAACGAAGAGATCAATAGAGTCGAGTGTTTTAAAGCCCTTGACTGGTATACGAGTGCTTGAACTTGGGCAGGTAAAGTCTTATATGTGCAAATAAGTTTATTTCGGTAGCAGCTCAAGCTTCCCCTCATATATTTAATTGACCTCTCAAAGCTTATTGCCGGCCCTTTCTGTGGGTCTATCCTTGGGTAAAGCAAGGAAACAGTATCACATTCATGTACTAGCAGATATCTCACATTTTCCACCCTTCTTATTTTAAAACTCTCAAAACAGCTATTACGGTGCAGGTAAGAAAAAAAACCAGAAGCCAATTTATTGAAGAAATTTGCTTTTTTAAAAGGTTATCTTTTCTCTGATTGTTTGCATCTAGAGGTGGTAAGAATTAAAAATATTGATCAATGCGCCTAAACAATAAAAGCTGGATATTGAAAGCTATTTAGATTAAAATAGAACCACCAAAAGTAGGCGATCCTCTTCGCCAATGGCGGCATTTAGATGTGGATGGGCAAAGCCCTTGGTTTCGGTCCATGGCAAGGAATAAAAAATCGGTGTGTATAGATTTGAAGACACAGGAAGGACGAAGGTATGCTTTTCTTTTTCGTTTTTCTTGTTATCTCTACTGATTGGTATAATCTTTTAACCTCTACATTGTATATTAGTTTAGTGAAGCGTTTAGCAGATCAGTCAGATGTGTTATTGGAGAATTTTAAACCAGGGACTATGGAAAAATGGGGTTTGGGCCCAGGTCAGCATTAGGAACTGTGTGTGTATATGTGCAAATACATTACTGATGAACAATATTATTAAACCTGTAGAGGACATGTATTCATCCAACCCAAAACTAATCTATACGCGCATTTCGGGATATGGACAAACAGGGCCTTATTCTAAAAAACCTGGCTACGCTTCGGTTTGTGAGGGAATTGGAGGATTCCGATTTGTTAATGGGCATCCAGGTCAACCGCCAGTACGACCAAATATCAGTCTGGGCGATTCATTAGCAGGATTACATGCAGCACTTGGTGTGCTTTTAGGTCTAATAGCAAGGGATAAAATTAAGAAAGGAGCAGCGGATGCTATTAGAAAGACAGGACAAGTAGTGGACGTGGCTATTTATGAAAGTGTCCTGAATATGATGGAGAGTATTATACCTGAATATGACAGGTTCAAGCAGGTAGGGTCAAAGTCAATATACCAGACACGCTCGTAGCTGTAGCTGTTCTAGCAATCAACTACTTAAAACCAGATTAGGGAACCGTCTGGAACTACAGTAACAGGCATTGTGCCTACGAACACGTATCCTTGTAAAGATGGAAAGCATGTAATAATTGGAGGCAATGGCGACAGCATATATATTAGACTCATGAATGCAATAGGCCGTAGTGACTTGGTAAGTAAAGTATAGTGCTGGAAAGTTCTTTTGCTTTGATATGTTATTGAATGAATTGTGGTAGACGGGCGACAACTATAAAGACAACATAGCCAGGGTAAGGTGCCAAACAGAAATTGATGAAGCTATCTGTAAGTAATTATGGTAAATGCGGTCGCCTTATTATAACTAAAGTTGTAAAAAATTTATTGCATTTATGCGTTTTTGCAGCTGACTGGACCTCCAAAAATACGGCAGACGAAGTTCTGTCCGTCCTACAACAAGTTTCTGTACCCGTGGGGAAAATCTACGACGCCAAAGATATAGTTGAAGATGAACATATCAACGCCAGAGGAATGATCGAGGAAGTCCGTGTAGGAACAGAACGTGAAGATGGAGGGTGGACGGTGAAGGTAAGCATTTAATTACAATGCTGCAACTGAATTCTCAGTAAACAGTGATGCTTTTATTGATCAATTAGGTGCCGGGGATGTCACCGATCCTCGAAACAACACCAGGATCAACTGAATGGGCAGGTAAGTTAAGATTTTTCCAAAAATATGATTTTCGTTGCTTACACTAGCATTTATTGTCCAAAGGTCCTGATTTAGGCGTACATACACAAGAAGTGCTACAAGGTATTCTCCATTTGTCCGATGAAGAGATTTTTAGTTTAGACAGCAAAGGAGTTATAAAAAAGGCTGCTATTTAAAGTACTTTGTTTCGAGAAGTCACGAGTAATAAAGGTGAAATTGTACGATTGCATCAGAAGAAAGAGCGGATTGACAATACATAGTGTTCAGTTATTATAACTTTCCCAACATTTACATGCTAAGGGTACATGAACGGTTATATCGATGACTTAGATGAAAATCCTCCAGCAAGAACTATTAAAATGGAGAACAAAGAAAGAAAAAACTTAGAATAAGATCAAGTCAATATGACTGTTTAGAGCGAGGAAACGTATGGTTTTTCCCTCAATAAGTGTAAGCGCAACTACATCAATTGTAGTTTTGACAAATTTGAAAAACTGTGTACTGCGTACGCCTTTTTCAAATTTGTAATTTCTAACAGGTTATAATGAAGGTAGTACTAGGCGAACCTTAGTAGCAATTTGAACTAGCTAGAGGGGCAGGCATAAATTGTGGTGATAACATTAAAGTTCAAAAACTTCGTCAGTAATTTTGTGAAGAACTCATCTGTAACATAAAGCAACGAAGAAAAAGGATAAGTAGATATAAATTGTCTCATACTATATTGTTGGCTGAGTGTGCAATTTCCAAAGCCAGGGAAAGAAATAATAGAATATGTTTGTTTTGAAGAAAGAAGTTCATCTATTCGAAAAAGCATCAGAAATAGATATCATGTCATTTATTCATTTGTAGAACACAGAACGATAAATTTCACATTACTTGAATCAAGCTAACAACGGATAAACCGTACGTTTTCTTACCGACTTTTTTTGACTGTGTTTAAGAAGAATTGTACTTTATGCAGGATAACACCACTTAAAATCCTTGATTATAGAAACTACAGTAGATTGCTTGATAAAATGAGCAGCTGATTATTGATTTAAGTGTTATGTCAAAAATGTGGCTTGAGGCTGTTTAAAATATTACCATAAGACTCCACTTGTACTTGTAATTATATTTCCTTTATACATCTCTCATTGCAGTGCTTGCGGCCTCAGTTGGCTGCTTCTGATTTTCCGGTAGTGGTATCTAAGAATTCATTTTGCGTATTGTTAAGATTCAACTGGCGTAATTGAAATTTCCAAATAGCAAGTTAAGCTTATCAATTGGCGTTCTACAATTTCAATTAATTATGCCTATTTGAAAAGAAAACTCACGTATTGTAGAAGACTTATAAGACGTGAGCAATTGACAGCCTTCAAAAGTAGTTGAAAGCTGGGCTTAGTAAAACAAGACAACCAGATATAAACAAGCCAGCGTAGTTAAATTTAAACGATCATATCAAGCTCGCTTCTAAAGGATTTCTGCTACGGACTACCGCGGATAAATATATTTCTTGCCAACATTTCGAACACGTTAATTAACTAAAAGGAATGATCTCCAAAAGATAGAATGAAAGCCTAGTTTGTATTGTATGACTACTTCAATTATAGTAGCTCGATTCTACCAAGTCCAGTTTAGGAATTTCCCAAAGGCTGTATTTGTCAAAAGCAATTTGAACGCTTTGTGCTCTCATCTAGTCTTGAGCGATCATTCAATCACATCAGACCGCTCTTTAAAAGAAAATAGGAAAAAGAGGTTCTCATACATGATTTTCAATACATGTTTTAATGAAAAATTTCAAATGGTCAAAAATTACACATACTAAATGTATATTTTGGGCAATAAAATTATAAAGAGGTTAAGAGTGTTTGCTTAGATGATAAATGTACAGAGGGGAATATTTCAGCAAAGGATTTATATGATGAAGGGGGGTGGTGAGTAAGAAGAAAATCTTGGAATATGATTACGCTTATAGGTTAGAAAAGAGAAGGCATAATTTGTTCTTCAGTGGGTTTGTCTGCTTTAGTAGGCTTTTCATCTTCAGAAACAGTAGTAGGCTCTTCCTTGTGGGTTTTGTGAGTTGAACTGAGGTAAACCTTGGTCGAAGTAGACTCCTCTACAGTAGTAGTAGGCTTGTCATCGTCGAAAACAGAGGTAGCAGGATCGTCGTTGTCGATTTTGTGAGTTGAACTGTGGTGAACCTTGGTCGAGGTAGACTCCTCTACAGTAGTAGTAGGCTTGTCACCTTCGGAAACAGAAGTAGTAGGATCGTCTTCGTGTGCTTCATGAACAGAGCTTGGCAGTGTGTCCTTGGTGGCAGTTTCAGTTTCACGAGAAATAGTATCTGAGAGAACCTTGGTCGAAGTAGCAGTTGGCTCAACCTTGGAAGCGGTTTCACTCTTGGTTATAGATATGGGCTTTACCTTGGTAGCAGTTTCTGTGGATTGAGAAGAGGTACCGGGTAGAGTCTTAATCAAGGAAGCAGTAGGCTTGATATCATAAGTAGATTCACTTTTAGAGAGAGAGGTAGGCTTGATCTTAGTGGCAGACTTGCTCACAGATGTAGGCGTGGCAGTAGTAGCTGATTTACTAGAGTGTGAATTAGCGCCAGTGAGAGTCTTGGTCCAAGTTTCAGAAAGTGTCTCTTTGATAGCAGTTTCAGTTTGATGAGAGATACTGCCCTTAGGAGCCTTTGTCCATGTGTCAGGAAAACTTTCCTTTGTAGCCGTAGGGTGACGAGTAGAATCTGAACGAGTATTTGTCCACGTATCAGTGGGCTTAATCTTGGAAGAAGTAGGTTGAAGCCTGGATGAAGATTTTGTGGAAGTGATATGTTTAACAGTAGTGGCAGACGAAGTAGGCTCATCGGAAATTGTAGTGAGAAAGGTAGGCTTGGCTGTGGTGATAGGCTCAACATAGGTTGTGGTATGTCGAGGCTTGACAGATGTTCGAATGTTACCATCCTTGGTTATAGTAACAGTCTTTGGAGGCTCAATGACAGTAACAGTTGAAACAGGATAAGCTTGAGTCTTTGTTTTAGTGCTTTTAGGCTTTATGCTGGTGGAGGTTTTGTGGTCATTTGTAACGGTAACAGTTTGAGCAGGCTCAATGATGATAACTGTTTGAATGTTATCGTGCTTGCCATGGTGTTTTCCGTGATGCCAGCCGTGACTGAGGGTCTTGGTGATAGGCTTTCTAGATTTAGTCTTAGTCTTAGTCTTGCTACTACTTGTCTGGGACTGGGATTCGGATTTAGACTTTGAAATAAACTTAGAAGCAGACTTTGAAGAGGCAGATTTCTTTGGGACTAAACCCTTAGTGACAGTGACGGTGGTTGTAACGGTAGCCTTGGGTTTCTCATTGTATACAGTGGTTGTAACGGCAGCCTTAGTTTTCCTGTTGTAGACAGTTTTCGTAATGGTTGCCTTGTGTTTCTTTCTGTAGACAGTTTCTGTCACAGTTGCGGTTGGTTTACATTGGCGTTCTAATTCGGCAGCAAAATTGTGGGTGTTATTTTGGTTTATATTTGAGGAGACAGTTAAGTCAGAATGAGCTGTGACAGGATTGGCTAATGCAGCAGAACAAAAGGCTGATAAACCTAACAAAACAATAGCAGGAATACGAGCCATTGTATTTATTTCTTCAACTGAAATAAAAGAGTATGATAATCGAGTTCTCTCGTTGCTAGTTACGGCGAATATTTATATATGTTTATGATCATGTAATTGGCTTATTTAAAATGTTGATTACATTATATTGACATTAATTTGTTGATCCTCAAATTTTTGCTGATACTCAGCAAAAGTTGTCGATTTGAAATAATAAACATTCGTAGTAAGGAAGTCCAGTGAAACCAATAATGAATCAAAATGATAACTGACAAAATTACGTCAAAAATTACAGTAAAATAGCTTCGACATATATGTTATTGATATGTAAGTCAGTTATTCTACTCTTGATATAGAAAGGTCTCATTTTAGTACGCGCTTTACCAATATACCAAATGAAGAAAAATCCGCTTGAGTGTAAAAATTGTATTGTCTGTCGGAGGCATTAATTTATTTGTGGTCCCTGCTTGCTTGCAAATGTTCCATAGACGGAACTGACAGACTAAAATGAAACCCCAAGGGCAATATTATTAGATGCTGCTAAAACCGAATTTATTTTCGTTTCAAGCCTTCCAGAGTGCTTCTTCGCAAAAGTTCTAGATATAATACCAAGGCGTTCCAAGAAATGATCAAATGGTGCAAAATTTTCAACTGTATTTTCCCACTACATACTGTTTTTCTCGCTTGACTTTCGCACGAAATGGCTATTAAATTGAGATTATCTTACAATTAAATTCAGACTAATTTAAAAAATTATTTAGATGAAATGTATAGTTTTTTCAGATCATACCTTTTCTGTCCAAATGCTCAATGCCAAATGCATGGCTCTTCCCAACTCCCAACATTTTTCTTGGTCAGCGGAGTCCAACTCGGCCTCCAAGCCCAAAAATCATTCTAAACGCTCCTATGCCCAAGTGGTCACGGCGTCTAAACGTGTTTCGCTGATGCATAAAGGCATCGAAGCTCCTGATATTGATAAAGGCACGACTTATGCGACCTGAACAACTTTATCAGTTTTAGAAATAATTAACGACCAATTTGTATCGGAAATTAACATTTTGCGGCAATTGAAAAAGCACCATCATTCGAATAACCTTCGTTTTCAAGGAACAACATAAGACAGCGGATTTGCCACTTAATGTAAAATTGTGGATAAATACAAAAAGCTATTAGGAGAACAAATACTGTACGCTATAAGTGTATTATACAATTCTTTAATAATAGCGGCTAAAGAACAACTAGTATTAGCAGACTTCATTTTTAAATTAGAAGTGCAACTCTAGACATTTTGTTGGCTGACGGCATACAATCTTTTCCAGAGCCGGCATAATTTCGTATTAAGCGTACTTGCTTAAATTATAAGTTTCACATTGGAAGGCTCAAATGTGGAAGGCAGCAATTTAGAGAGAAAAAAAAAAAAGCACTTTGAAACTCTAATTCAAAGCGACGACGGCACATTGGCCATTTTTGAGCTTCGCAGAAATAGCTTACATGGAATAGCAGGGAAAAACCCTGAACCATTTTATAAAATATACGCTATTATGTAGTAACTATAAATATATTGTAAACTGGCTTTACATTTGATGTGTAGAATTTGATTGCGGCTACAGACGAATATATTTGAATACATCACTTATCAGCATCAATGCTCACAGTTTATTAATGATAAGCACTTTTAATTCTGTCAGATCTTTTAGAGAAAAGAATTAGGATGGTTAATTTAAACACATTACTGCAATAAGTGCTAGTAGAACAGTGATCATGGATCCATTCGTTAGGGAAGCATCACTTGTATGTAATAGGACCGGACGCGATCTAAGCCTGAGCCCCTCTTTATAGAAGGCAGTTTCAGCAGTCTCAGTTACAGTCAACCAGAAAGTTTTGTTTAAACCATGTGGAACAGACCAAGTATAAGTATCGTTCAAAAGGAACGCCAAATGAACACCAGTTGAATTGCCCGATTTAATTCCATGATCTATTGCTATATTCGAGATAGGGATTGTGACGGCAGCATCTTGCCACAACTGAATGTCGACCGTGTAATTCCCTTTACCCATATTTTGATAACGATACACTATATCAACTTTGCCTCCAGCTGGTACAGTTCCATTCTGTTCTGGTGAAATAATCTGTGGTCCAAGCTGTGCAGCAATCAATGAAATGTTGCTGAAAAATAAGATCAACAAAACGAAATAAGCAGCTGCTTTATTATTGGTGCACATAATATGATCTAGATTAATTGATCCGGTAAAATTAGTTGTACATGTATTTAAGGAATGGATAGTTGTTAGGTTATGCGTGTAATATACGCAGTAATGAGTTGAGAGAAGCAGTAAAGAGAGAAAAGATGGAGAAAGAACCCATTTGATGGTGATTTCGACCAACGTCAACACATGTGGACTGATGGTTTGAGCAAAAGTACAATTGTAGTACAGCGTAACATGAAGTGTTCATCTATCTATAGGCCCTAATACCACTGTCAAGGTGTCTTTGTACAATGTCTTACAGAAAGTCTAGAAGTCAATCTAAGAAGACATTTTTTTTGCCCCCCCCTTCATTTAAAACTGTTGTTTGTTACGGCAGCTTCATCTAAGCTCCCCACCACCGTAAACAAATACTATGAATGCGAAGTCTCAATCTTATCACTTAAGAAACGTTTAGAACACTTGCAGATCCACAATGTATTTGCACATCGCAAATTTATGGGGATTTCAAAGAAGAACAACGAGCAATATACCTCTGAGAAGTATGTAAACGGCCACGTTCTGATTAAAGCACACTGAGATATTTGCTTGTTTTATTGGTAGCTGTAGCGGGTCGATAACTGTAAACTTAATGTCTTTATTACTCTTCACAAGAGGTGGAAGATTCTTTACCCTGTACATTCTGACGGCAATTATCTTATTATAAAGACGCGTATGCTAATCACTAATTTCAGGTTCAGCCCAGTCCATATGTAATTATTTATACTGGGGCCCTCTAACTTTTTGAATATTGTACGTAAGCCATATTAGTTGCAATATGGATAGATCGTGATAAAATATATACTTAATCTAAGTCTACATACTTGAGTATTGTAATTGTTATCTCACTAAACAGGTCATATACGCCGATACCCAGCTTGTTCCGCGCATTATGCAGACTAAAAGAATTGAAAGACCATTTACAAATTTGTTATCATCGATCTTTAGCTGATCGACCCCAGCTTCCAAAATCGCAGTCGACAGCACAACAGCAGCAGAACAACGGTCGAAATCAGGAGCCATCGTCATTACGACAATGAGAGGAAAGCAGCCACTAATGGCCTGGCTGAGTTAGTTAAACTTACCTCGGGTGCCAGTTGAAGAGGATGTGAACGCATCCAAGCCTAATACCCGAGTCGTAGATCTGTTTTTATGTGGCCTGATCGATGATCGCGAAAGAAGGGTGTTTCCTGTTGGGCCTTAGAAGCATGAAAAAACGAAACCTTGTGAACTTGTCGTGCCGATCTTACCATAGCAAAGCTTGAGTAGGTGTCAAATGACCGGCCAGCCGCAGATATAGCGAATTTTGGAACAATACGTCCGTGCGCCAAGTACATCTCCCAAAAAAAGGCCAACTCAACACTTATTTGAACAATGAACTCGCATGATTGGCTGCGAATGTCGGCCAGCTGGAAAACTGAAACACTTATACTGCCCTGTTTTTCATTGTTAATTTTTTTTTTTTTTTTTTTTTGGTTTTGATTTTTTTTATTAAACTACGCGAGAAATGATTTATAACTTAGAAGGAGAATTTTTTATGTCCAGAAGCATCCAGAATACCATAATGGGATTCAACACTATCGCCTTTCCAAGACGAATCTTGCCATTCAAAAAAGTAATAAGGTATACCTGATTCGGCCATTGCAGAAGCCAAAGCTGCTTCAGCTTCAACACTAGGATGAGCAGGCCCAATATCATTACCACTGGTTGGCCAGCCAACCTCAGCAATGAGGACTTCTTTGCCTTCAGCCTTTTCCTGCAAGGCTTCATAGCGAGCACGTACATTAGCCATTGCTTCTTCAGCGCTTACTGGAGCATAAAAAGGTTGTATGTTAACGGCAACGAAATCACTGGCATCTATCAAGTCCTGTGAGTAAAGCTCGGGAATATCAACTGTTCCAACTGGAATACCATTTGCAATTGATTTGACTGCATTTATCTTTTCTGCCAAAGCTCCAGAGGACAACCAACCATTGTAGAGAACTTCATTACCAACGACTATACCATTAATAGCACCTGTATTATCTGCTGTTTCCAATACATGTTTGAGTTTAGTAATTTCACTTTCATCATTAGAAGAACCTTGCACCCAGACCGCAGCCAGTACGGTCATGTCGACACCAAGAGATTTGATGGATGTTAATATGGTAGCAAGTGTGTCGCAATCTTGAGCATAGGTGCGGACACGTCGAATACCGTTCTGACTCATTAACTTGATTGTATTCTTGATTTCATCATATGACTGACAGGAGCCATCAGGGTTACGAAAATTGAAAGCAATACCGCTCACACTTGCTTCAGTACGACGTTGAAGTGGAAATGCTTGGACAAAAGTAGCGAGTGTAAGAACAAATGTAAAGTAGGGTAGCAATTGCATTTTGAACGCGTCTTTTTTAATGAAATGTGGAAAGACTACAGGTAAAAAAAGTATCGTAACTGAAAAACAGGGTAAAGACGAGGAGAAAAAAGAAAGAAACAGATACGGCAAGACTAGTCTGTGATGATAGTGAAAAGTTCTTTCTGACAATAAAAGACGGGTACAGATTTTAATAGACGATACTGTCATTGAACCTATTTATATACCTGAAACTGACAACGGGCCCCACCAGTAAGTTGAAAAACAGTACATTGCGAAGATTCTGAAAGTGGAACGTTGAGCCAATGAATCTCTGAGCATTGTCTTCAAACAGCATGGAAAAACTGGACTATGAATCGATAGCACTTCATGTATAGCAAAATGTCGATTTTAACTTACTTTAACAGTGAGTAGATATGACCGTGTTGTTATGAACAAAAAATAAGTTGGATCCGGTTCATGGTGCCCAGAAATATAATTGCATAGGTTTCAGGTCCCATTCCCTGATTTTTAAAGTAAATTGGAAACGCGAAAAATTTTCTGCAGATCTTTTGTTTGCTGTATACGAATATAATCGAAAACGATGAGTAGAGCAGTTTATTATATATAAAGAGCGAGGAACCAATAACCAGGTTGTTTGCTTGGAAAATGAGACTTTATTCGAAAGTTATTGCAGCACAGCACACAAGTCCATGTGTCCGGTCCTATTATCGGGTTTGTTTTCTCGATTTATTATGAAATATCATATATAAAAGTACGGTGAGTCACTGCGAAAATAAATGAGCAGTAAGAAAAACGATTAAAAATTAAGAAATGATAAAGTAAAATTAAATTTAACGGGTATAGTAGGCAGATGGTTGCCGTTGTAGCTTTTGGACATTGTAGAGTTCATTTTTTCTTCTTTCTTGAATGGAAGCTAAAACTTTCTTGGCCGACTCGGTAACGTACTCAGCGCTAAGTTTTCGACTTAAACGTTTTGCACTGGTGTTTGCCCGACTGTCTGTAGCATAGCGATCGTAAAGCGGTCGGCTAGGTGCATCATAACGGTGTGCTGGAACGGCTGGAGGCAATGGATATTCTGCTATTGCTGAGGATCTCATTGGATTACGGTACCCGTCACTTGTAGTAACAGTTGAGTGATTCAGATGGGGCGCAGTTGAATGATATTTTGTTGATGAGGGGTCATAGCCCTCTACTTGTGACTTATTTTTATTATAAGTTTGACCGTCGTCTGCTATAACACGGTGCCGACGAGGCAGAGTGTTGTAAACAACACCAATATCCTCTGAAGCTGCAGGGATGGGCCGGTGCTGTCTCCGAGGTAAAGTATGGTAAAAAACAGGTGAAGTGGCATCGTAATTGTTGTAAACCTCTTCTTCCTCCTCTGGATGGTAACCCACCTCGTCACTTTGGTGGTCCTGTGTACCAAAGAAAGCTGGCGGAGGAGACAAGTTAAGAATGTCATAAACATCGCTATAACCATCTGAGGATGGTGCTGTGTTAACTTCTGAAATACGACCTAAGTGACGATTGTAACGGTGATGATCAAATTTGTTGCTGTTTGAATACAGTTGCTGTACAGGGATATCATTTGAATCCATTAACGGCATAGAATTCCTTTTAATATAAGCAGGGGTAGACGTAATAAGAGCTGCATGTGTAGGTGGAGTTGGTGGATCCCGATAAACCCCTCCTCCGCCTCCGTCTCCTCTGCCGCTCGTATAAGAAGAGGAAGAGGCGGTAGAGTTAGAAAAGCCACTGCTACTTTCGGATGGAAGTAAGTGAAGGTCGTTCGATTGTTGATTTTCATTGTTATTCAATACTGAAAACCGACCAACTTGCGGAGGATCAAATCTGGAGGATAATAAAGTTGTTGTTGCATGTTGCGATGGCTCAATCATGGATTTTCGGTACCTGATAGTTGAAGAAGAAGGTTCTGCTGCTGCTGTTTTATCAAAGGGCATTGAAGTAGGGCGGTTTTCTACGGCGTTTTTTAATTGTAAGTTAGAATGACTCCCAGGAACGGATAAGGCTCTTTGGCGTCGCTGGTGTTGTTGTGTAACGGTAGATGTAGTAACCTCCTTTTTAATGATCGGCCGAAAGGAAAAGTGATGTTGATGTCGGGCAGAGGGTTCAACTATTGGAGTTCTATTATCATAAGTAGCTGTTCCCTGAAATGATAATCGCTTCGAACGTTTATCTAGCAATGTTGGATAGTTGTTTGAAGGAGGCGTGGTAGTCAAAATGCTATTCTCTGTTTCTGCCAATGGAAAAGAGTTACGCTCTTTTTGTGTGGTATTAAAGCGAACGGTATGACGCCGTTGAAGCTTCCTCTCATTTTCCGATTGAATTACTGTTTCTGATACCACTGCATTCTTATTTTGCTGATTATGCTCCTGCTGCTTGAATAAAAGATAACCGTGAATGGATGCTCTCTTTTTTACGGCCGCAGTTGGCATATCAGTCTTATTCAGTAAGGCGATTCTTTGGTTATACTGATCGATATCTTCTTGTGTGCGTTCTCGTTCATTGGTAGAATCAACGTTGTTTTTATGTAGCAGAGAAGCCAATAATTTTGGCTTATCCGATTTTAAAGAAGACATTCGCTTAACTGCTACTTTTATAGGTTTTTTGGTTGCTGTGGTAACAGTATTATGAGTTGGCTTCGTAGGAGTAGCTGTATTAATCGCGTTGTTACGTCTTGGTACTTGTACTGATGTTGATTGTTCCGCTAGGTTCAAAGACGCTAATCTATTGATAACTGGTGCTTCCATTTGTCTACTACCGCCCTGTTCGGGAATATAACTGCTCCAGCGCCTTTTATCAGTTTGTTGTTTGGTCATATTATCAGTTCTAGAAGGAACATTTTTGATTGCTTTATAAGCTGCTACAGGGCGTGGTTTATTGGTGGTTACTGCTATTGAAGTGTCCAATGGCTTTAATACAAAGCTTGAAGTTAAGCGCTTTACGTTACTTGCTTTCTGCTGCTGTTGTTGAAGTTTTGATAGACCATCTGCATCAATACTGTATCTGTTTGTTGCAGGCCTTTTAGTAGATTGGTCTCGTGGTGCATTAATACTTGCTGACGGAACAGGTTGCTTCTGTATGTTATTGCTTTGTGGAACCCTATTTGTGTAATTATAACTATTGCAAAATATTTAGTATACTTTGTATTGTAAGTTACGAGCTAAAAAAAAAGCTTACCTTGATGTATTCTGGTCATTGGAATTTTCTTGGTGTAGAAGCGTGACATCATCTTCTAAATCAATGTTCTTCATTATTTCATCAAGATTTGTATAAGCAAAATCAAGAATATTGTTATCTGAACAAAAAAAGAAAATATATTTAATGTTATGGTTGGCTTTGTTTCATGTCATTCATGCCGGTGCTTTTTTTTTCATTTTTTTTTTATTTTGCAAGTTTTTCATGTTCAGTTGTAGTACCTTGATCACTCAAATTTCTGAATAAAGCAATGCTCTCAGCATAGCATGAGTTAGTAGGACTTTTTAAAAAGGAATGAAATTCGGGCGAAGCAGTTTGCTTGGATGCAGATGATCTTTGAGGAACAGGAGTCACTAGTGAGCGACGAATTCTTTCTGCCTCGTGTGTATCTATGCTTTTCAAGCTGATTTTGTTATATTCAGGTGTAGCATTCAACGATCGCAATTCTTCTTCAAGCAAAGCTGTATTTAGGTCAATAAACTCATCGGTATTGATTGTTAGAGAGGAGTCATCGAAATGAAGGTTGTTCATTCCGTTCTTTTTTGTCAAAATGAGTTTCAGTAAATTTAGGAAAGGAGAAAAGGAAGAAAGAAGAAAGAAAGAATGAAAGGAGATGAAAGTTTACTGACAAAAGTAAGGGGTAGGGTGTCGAATTTTGCAGTTTTCCTGCTGCTGTGTGTTTGTGTGTATGGTTGGTCTGATCTCTTAGGCTTTCCACTGTGTTGCAAACGGGGAAAAAAAACTTTTCGTGTGGTTACAGTTACTTTTTACGGAAAAGACAACAACAAGAGCACAGAGTGATCTGATGCATTTGAAATTCAGAAATGCACTGTCCTTTTGGAGTAACATTGTGTCTGATTTCATTGTTTATTGTTGCCTTGAAAAGTTAAAACAGTTTTCGAAATCGGGGCTGTTAATCAAAGCCGCTTCAAAATGATAATTAGCATATTTTTGTATTAAGCCGTGCATTTTATCCCTCCTTCGATCTCTTTGATTTTTTTTTTTTCTTTGCTGCTGCAATAAATGCACTGTCTGCATTATTGTGTGCAGTTTTGTATACTTGAGCTTTGTTCAATGGTAATTATCAACTGAAGATTGTTCCAATTCTGTCTAAACATAATTTACAAAGGGTAAATCAATAACCGTGATCCGTAAAATGATGACGGCAAGTTTTTTAGTCTTAAATTTTCATTGGGCGGTATAGTTCTTTCCCTTTGCACTGTGTGTTTTTTCCAACCAAAATGTCAGTAATCGAACTCCTAAACAACATCGCAAACGATGAACAAAACTTGACAAATGACTACTGGTATCTCATTGCGGTAGTATATCAGTTAACAACGTAGTGTTTGAAAAATGAGAAAGCAAAGGGACTATTGTATTGTATTGATGCCGTCCCCTTTTGGAATAGGCTATCGTTATGAGTTCAGTGAATAAGCCAGAAGATATTCAGTATATATATCAAACGATTGAAGCTAAAATAGATAATCTATCGCAGCAGAATGAAAGTAAGAAAAATAATATTCTGTCAAGCATAGTACTGAGGCTAAGGGAAGCCGTCTTAAAGAGTCACGTTATCATTGGTTTTCCGAAGGTGTTGTATAAGATAACTTTGACTATTTTTTTGATTGCTTCTGAAAAAGCTAATAAAGCCATCTTTGTTGCAGACAATCAACACGTTACAGCAGTTGTCGATCGTGACGCCTGATCATGTGAAAGCGCTGTTGCCAAAAAAACCGTTAAGGTAATGACAATAAAATAAGCATTGGCTGTCTTGAAGCATTCTAAAACATGTTTATTTTTGGGGACTTAAAATACCAGAAATGAGGAAAAGTGGGCCGATGTTCAATTTCAGAGACAGAGGGGAAAAGCCTTATTCAACAAAATATACGATCGACACGCCGAAAAAGTTATGAATAACATGTACCAAACTCATCCAGATTTAGCGCAGACAGCCCTACATCATCTTTACGGTCCCACTCTGAGTGAAACGAGCATATTAGATGCAAAGGAAACCAGCTTGATAACAGTGGCAGGTTTAATGATACAAAATATACCTTTACAATTGAAAGGGCATAGCTATGGTGCACTTCATAACGGTGCGACGGAGGATGACCTTCGACGCGTACAGTCCATAGTAACCATACTGAGTGAACATTACCAATGTACCATTGCGAAATTGTAGGACATAATGATATATTAAAACCCTTTATCGATTTTGTATGTTATATGTATAAATAAAATAGAATTGTAACATTAAAGTGAAGCGAAAATTTCTCATCTGACTCGAAGACAAACTTTTATCATTTTAGAGCAAACTGCTCAATTAATTTTAGGTCTTGGAGCGGAAAAAAGAACAAAATGCCTGCAAAATTAGACTGAAACCGTGAATAGAATCTACTTAGGATGAAACATTATACTGCAGAAAAGCTATGAAGCATTATGTCAGTAAAGAGGGCTAGAAACGACAACTGATGGCTGGAAAGATGCTTAAAAGCACCGATTTGCTAGCAGCAATTAATACACACGATACACAGCGGCATTCACTATTAAAAATGATTGTTTTTCCTTTATTCCTCTCATTGTAAAGCATTTTCATGTTCATTTACTGATTCCTATAAAAGAAAAAAGTAATCTATTTGGAACGTGCCAAAACAAGCACTGTCAAAAGTGTGAGTCCCGAATAGAATTCTAAACGATTGGATAACTCTTACATAACAGCTATATACTAACTTAGCAAGCCAGCCTCATTTCTATGCTTTCTTCATCAACCTGTCTTACACTTTTTAAAGTCCTTCAATTTTGACAAATCTGTCACTCACTTGTTTTAACAAACAAATAAACGTCAATTACAAACAAATGAAGATAAAAAACCAAAATTAGATGCGCACAAACGATCCAGTAGCAAAAGAAAGTTATCAGGAAGGATGTAAGTTTCGCCTATTATCTCTGCCGTATATTGGACGATCGTTTAATGTCTAGAGCGAACAAAGAGCATGTAACATAGATGATTCGCCCTGAATAAATTTTTGGGGCTACAATCCTTCTGACAAACAAATCTTAGGAAAGCGATATCAAATTGACGTGATAATTCATTTACTATCTTTAGCCATATTCCGCAACGCTTAATATGGGCAAAGAGCATTACAACAGCGGAAAAGATTGCCATTGTTCTATCTTGTTCGACAGGTTTCGGTTATCAGCTATAACAGAAAAAAAAAAAAAGACGGCAGAATAAATAGTTCGGTGTTCGGTTGACATATTGTATTATTAAGAGGTAATTGCCCTGTTTAAAGAAAATATGCGGCCCAGGCGTAGACACTCATAAGTATGCTAACAGTACTAATTATTTACTACTATCAAAATCACAAATATTGTATTATATTGTCAGCATTTACTTTCTCTTGTTCACATTTCACTCTGATAGTGTAGTGTGTTGATTTAAAGTGTATCTGTTAGCTTCAGAGCCGGCGAGTAAAAAGAATACAGTTTTTGTTGGCTTTCTTTTCTTTTTTTCGGTTTCCTCTTTTGTTTTTCGAAATTCATCTCAGTTTTGATGCCTCTAATTCTGATACGATTTTGCTATTGTTTCTTGGGTGTATATTCTATCCGTCGGGTTTATGGCTCTGTTACTTCTTTCCTTCTATCTCTCTTTCTTTTTTTCTTTTTCCTTTTCGTTTAATACTGTGCCTGTGAGGCCATTTCATTCGCCTCTCCATCAGTCATAATCAAGTCAATTTTTAGAAACGCCCTTTCATGCCATTAAGATGCATGAGCTGCATCAAGCGTTAGGCGGTGAACCGACAGAGCCAATCTTCGATTACACTAGAGATCAATTGGTCTCACTGAAACACGCCACAATAATAACTTCATCCATGTCACTCGTCTCTTCATGTCTGATTATCATTGTCTATTTTTATATGCTTATCTATCATCGTAAAGAGGCAAATCAAGTTTCCCTTCGCTGTGTCTTTTTATTTTGTCTTTCCGATACGCTCAACTCCATCCTCAACATTATCATTACCTTTGAAAGGGGCGATATTGGACTATGTCGAGCTGCTGGCGTGCTGATTGGGTTCTCTGTCGTTTACAGTACATCGTTATTGACAATAGTAGGGATCAATTTAATCTTGATCTTCGTTATAAATGTGAAACGCCGAGATCGCCTTGAACGAATTTATTATACCGCCGCATTCCTATATTCCACGATCAGCATATCTGTTTCAATTTATAATCAAGCTACGGCTGACTCTAATTCATATTCAAAGCTAACATGTTGGTATCTAAGATACATTCAGGACAGAACTTACAGTATGTTTGCTTGGGTAAGTAGCAGCACGAAAGCGGACCAATAGCCATCGTCTCTATTTCTTTTTCTAACTTGGTGAATTTTATAGATGTGGTTCTACGCGTTCATATTTTTTGCAAATTTAACTGCTATCGTCTGTTCAATAGCAGCAATGACCAAATTGGTCCTGGAGCAAAGAATGCTTGCTATTAGCATGCAACACATTAACAAAGACTCAATTATCATCAATCGGACTCCTCAAGATAATAGCTTCAAAAAAAAGATGACTAAGGTGCTGACAAAGGTTGTTTTGCGTTGTATCGCGTATCCACTAGGTAAAAGCAAAAAGTTAGGATCTCTGTTACGCAAAACCAGAAAAGCATTTAACTTTTCTAAAAATGTATCATCCACCTCAAACTAGTTCCTTTTCTTGCGAATATTTTCGGCTTCACTTTACAGATGATTATTACGACGACTACAACAATGACACCTCCATTTGCATTCGTTATGCTGGATACTGTTTTTTCTTGCTCGGGTGGAGTTTTTATTACTGTTGTCTTTTTCACAGATCCAGTTATAGCGAACGTCTTGAGCTCTACCTACAAAGGATGGTACACAAAATATGTAGAAGAATATACACTTATACCTGCGGATGGTTGTGTGCCCCTCCAAAACGATAGATTCATGACTGCAAACTCTACAAGTTCTTCCCTCGTCTTTGAAAATGAAATGCCCTTCATACTTACAAACAGCATGCCCAAGTGTTCCTTGAAGGAGCATACAGGCGGTGCTATGCCTCATGTAGGTCTACTAACAACTGCTGAATTCACGAGCGACAGCAAAAATCAATTTAGACACGCGACAAAAATGACACCCATGCGGAAGTTTCGTCTTTTACATCGTGATTTTACAGACAATTCGCAAAGAAATCGATTAAATTCAACAGTAGTATCAACTATTATACCTCCACGCGCAATCATAGCCAGAAACGGTCGCCACTTTCAACGACATCAGCAACAAATGCACTCTTTAATACCTTTGATGTCACCCGACCTCCACAATATCTATATACCCTACAGATTTCCTTCGATCGCAACATATATACATAATGTATTAGTAGCATTGGATCGGTTTCGAACATTTAAATTGAGAAAAAGAGAAGAGCACTTTGCAACTGACCAAAGCAATAGAAACCGAGAATCGCAATTTAGAGATAACCGCCAGAAACATCCGAACCAACATTATTCACTATCTAAAGATCGTCAAGAGTCTAATATTACTCTATGTATCAACCCTACTGAGTGCACCACTGCTACAGAAACTGTTAGTAATAATAATCTTGATCAGACGCTCACTAATATACCCTTAGTTATGTATAACAATTTGCATACTTCAGCAATTACTTCACCTCTTATTGATGTTAATTATAATCGTAATAACGACCGTTGTTCGGTTGACTCTATGACTGAGTCAATCTAACTTGATCAATTAAACGGCAACCATAGAACTAATGTGTAATACCATCTATGATACCAAGCCTCTTCCTACTGAGAAATAAAGGCAACACTAGTTATTTTCTTCCTTACAAACAAAAATTGTTTTCGCCGTCAAGCCGAGGTTTAGAGAAGAAGCTCACCAAGGTTTTTTTTTCTTTCCTTTTATCTTTTCTTAATGTTGCAGAGTAGCATTTTTTCGTCGTAACCCACTAACCAAAAACAAGAAAGTCAATTATGGATGAAAAATGAAGGAAACAACTTAAACAATGGATAGACACTGTCGACGTAATACTTATCAATACAGATTGATATGGCGGTATAGCTTCTGGGGGTCTATCTCATTAAAAGTGAGCTAGTGCAAATAATACCGAATCGAAAGGGTGGACTGTTATTGCTTGCAATCAAGATCTAAAGTGAAAGAACGATCTTGCACATACATCGACTTCTGGCTGTGTCTTTTAGTTCTATTGTTCAACCTTCAAGCTTTCTGCTTCTTCACCCGCTTGAAGCTACCATTTGAAGTTTACTGGTTGTCAGGTTTCACAGGCACAGTTTCAAAGGTCATTTTTTTTAAACCTAAAACAGAGAGACCTACTGTCAACTTGTGAAAGTAAAAGTCTTAAAGGGAACTTCGTTTCCCACCCATTTTTGTTCTTGCTTATCCTCAAGTTACAATAAAGAACAATGTCCACTTCGACGCTAGGAGAAGGTAGATCAGAAGTCTTCTATATTCCTGATTTTACGTTGGAACAAAAGAGGGTCTTATTTGAGAAGATAAACAATACAATCTGGCCGAATGAACTAGAAAAAATTTATGGATGGAGCCTCGGTGCACCCACATGGGCAGTCAAACCATTAGTAGAGCAGTGGGTGAATACATATAATTGGGAAGCGACTAAAACTGAATTAGACCGTTGGCATCATTATCGAATACAAATTGAAGGCTTGAAATTACACTATATTCATGAAGAATCTACACAGACCAACGCTATACCAATTGTTTTACTTCATGGATGGCCTTCAACGTTTTATGAGTTCCACAAATTGATTGAACCGCTGCGTGATGGTGCCAATCAAGGCCAGGTAAAGAAAACAAATGTTCAAATAGCATGCAAGGATACTAATACTATCAATCCGTGTGTATACCGCTAATTGCCCTCCTGCTCTCATAAATGTTTTGCCTTTTCAGCCATTTCATGTAGTTGTGCCAAGTTTACCTGGATTCGGTTTTTCAGAAGCACCAAAAGAGAAGGGCTACGGTGTTGAAAAAGTGGCTAAAATGATAAACGCACTTATGGTCCACCTTGGCTATGAAAAATACAGTAAGCTTTTATTAAAAGAAGCAGGAAACAAGGTTACGACGCGACTATATTCATGAAACCATGCATTTTCTATCAATAAGTGTACCATGGAGGAGATTGGGGAGCCATCATAGGTAAATGGATTGCCACTAGGCATAACGCTAATTGCAAAGCCTATCATACGAACCTTCCAATGTCAATTCCACCACTGCCAACACTACGCAACTTGATTTTCCATCCGCTCAAGGTGGCTAAATTTTTAACAAGCTTAGTATTGGGGTTTGATGCGGTTTATGGTGTAGGTAAAACAGTTATTGGCGGTGCTACGTTCGCAAATGCAGAGTTGAATAAAGAATGCGGTTATCGTGCCATTCAAGGTACAAAACCGTATACTCTAGCTTTTGGCCTGACGGATAGTCCTGTGGGATTATTAGGTAGGAGAGTTAAAAGGAAATCTGTCCGAATTTAAATCTTTTTTTCGGATCCGACCAAAACTAAACATACGTGCTTCTATCATCATCAATAGGCTGGATGTTGGAAAAATATCACGATTGGTCATACCTTCCAGATGATGTAAGGGCTGCCCAAGCATTACCAGATACCATTAGTTCAAAGGAGTTCTTGACCCAAGTGACTATCTATTGGTTAACGAACACCATGTCTTCTTCGATTCGATTATATTATGAATGCCTACACCAAAAGGAAATGTTGAAGGTGGTTTTGCCGCGCGTCAAGATTCCAGTCGCAGTTTGTGCATTCGCGCATGATATTTTCAAGGTAAATTAATCCTGTTTTAATTATCAAAATAATTAGGAATAATTGAAGCATTATTGTTACGGATTCGCTATAAGATGCCAAAGGAATGGTTAGAAACATCAACTGATCTTCATCAGTTTAGTGAAATGCCATCAGTACGTTCAAAATATCAATTTTTTTTTCCATTCACATTACTTATATTCATTATACTATAAATGAAAGGGTGGGCATTTTCCTGCATTGGAAGAACCTCAATTGTTGTTGAATGATTTGCAAGCTTTCGGCAAAATGATCAAACATTCGAAGATTTTGGATTGATCAATGCGTGTTAGATTTTCAACAGCCCTTGACTTCTGTTTTTATAGGCATAAAGTTGGGATAAATCACGTAGCTAAACCTTTGTATCGCCCTCAGAATTCTCCCCCTATTATATTGTCTATTTATACCTTTATTATTGTTGCATTTCGAATTTAAAAGAGACAGATGATGATTATGAGATAGAAACGCGACTCTCGCTACGAGTAATAAAGGATGAATATGAAATGGTCTGTACTTTGGACTCTTACAGCTGCACTATCTGAGGAGGGTCTAAGACTAGTTACCTCACAACTCGTTTTATGATACCTCTCATTGATAGCGATCTCTGTTAGGCTTAAATATATTCGCAGGAAACGCAAAGGGTGCGTGAATATGCATGTTGAGGCGTTCGGTCAAGAGAGAATACTCTGAATGTAAAGTGCTCCATGTTGACGAACTGAAGTTGTTACTTTTTTTTTTTTTTTGTTTAGAGAGTAGAGTTTGTTTGTTTTTTGTTTAAATTCAGGTTACAATTTTATTATTTGATATGAATCCAAAAGGGCAGTAGATAAATAGTTAAGTGTTTAAATGTAAGAAAGGAAACGTTAAGGTGAAGTAGTACACATACGGTATATAAAGTTTCAGCAAGACAGCTAGCCTGTAACTTGCTGGGGTAGAGGCTCTCCACTTTGTAGAGTGATCTTAAGGGTAACCGAGGACTGAAGCCGTTGTAAAGCGTTGTCAGTAGACCAGGATCCGACACTAACGATCGTGTACCAGTGATATTTCCATAGAGTTTCCAATATGCTGCCTATCAATTCTAGTCCGACACTATGCATCGCTCTATTCTCAAAAAATGGAGCTGCCCCGGGCAATTTAGATAAGCTTTAATATCTCGTGTCCATTGGGCTTAAAAATGTCAGTAATAAAAATCCTTGTTTAAACGTATTGAAGACAATTTCCAGATACTCTTCTGAGTATGAAATTCTGCATTGTCGGCAGGAGAGACATCAGTTTTCATGCTTCACACACTGTTGAGGCCTAAATCGAACTTTTTTCCTTAAAGCGATTCATTCCTTTAATTAGTCATTCCTTCATCCGTGATGTCCTCTTGCCTTCCTTGCGTAAAAGTTAAACATCGAACATATGTCAACAATTGCTATCCTCCGTTAAAAGACAATAATACACAACCTCGATCCTCTGAATTAAGTTACCTTACGTTTTATGCGAGTTCAAGACCTGCCAAATTGACGAAAGTGGGATCCTATTTACAAAAAAAAGTAGAAAAAGACATAAGAAAAGGTCGAAAGACGTAAGTCTATGTGCTTTGATAATGTCTTTTTTCATTACATATTTTCTGACAGTTGTAATTGGTTTCTGGTTCTTTTACGACCTTCAAAGACAGAATTTAGTATCTCTCAGAATCATTAAAGAATTAATACAAACCTGTCACCGAAATTTGAACATATTCTCGAAAAATGTTGTAAGGATATTAAATGAAATGCTCGATACAAGAGATATAGAGCTGCTCGACTTCACTTGTGAAACTGTGAGTATTTCTAGGTGGTTTTTCCGTTTGCCACATTGGCGTTTAAGTTGCAGTTAGATTCACCATTATGCACATATATGTTTAATGGATAGTTTATCACTTTATGTCGCTACCTTGACTGCACTTCAATGGCCGTTGATTCAGATTTCATGAACGATTATCAAAGATTGATAGGAAGTTTTGCCGGTTTCTGCAATTATTCGACCAAGGACAATTCATTGGACTTGAAGTAAAGTCAATCAAAGTTAGATGTCTTTTTTAAGTGATAATTACTGATTAAAGTCTGTGATTAATCAACCAGGATGCGTTATATCGGTCATCGTGCTCTCCAAGCAGCCGTGACATCAAATGGTCTTCAGGCATCCAATTTTAAATCACAATTGAGCATACTACTACCTCCCTTGATGAATACATTAGCTTCCACGCGACATTCTGTGAATTTTACTCATCTGGGGTAATTTTTCAGCTATCTTTCTATCGAGCCCCTTCATTTTGTCTAATGAGGTAATTTCTTCTAGTGATGGAACAGTAGTGGACATTGAAGAATCAGCGTTGGATAATGAAAAGATCAACCTTCAAGCTATCGAGTCAATAGCAGCACATACAGTTTCACTCCTATTCAGTAAAGTAACGGGACCATTTGTTCGACGTTCTCTAACTCCTTTGTTTAGGTAAGGAGAGAAGGTTGGAATTTTAGAAAATCAGAATTCTATAAATGAGTCAACAATTTCTAATTACATAATAGTTACCTGGACGAAAATAAGAAGTGGTGGCCTCCTTATCTCGCTATCAATATTCTTAAGTTAGTGTTGGAATCACTCCAGGTAACCGGACTATCTGTATTTAGTGTATGTCGATGGTTTTCTCATTCATCTCTTCCAACAATAGCCTCAATATAGATATCTATTGGTCTCTGAAGTTTTACAGCAATTGGATGATAGCGCTGATAATACTAACAGTAATATTGTGAACGATAAGCACACAGCACTTGTTTGTGTATTAGATACAATTTTGAATGCAAACGTGTCTTTGGTCGGCATCTCAGTTTTGGAGATCCTCAACTATCTCTTTTCATTTTTGATCAAGACCACTAAACACAATGTGTTCGAACCAGACGCAGACATAGATCACGAAAGCAGCAATGAAATCCATAATTCGAACGACTTAGAAAAGTACAATCGAGAACATGCCAACATAATGCAGCATAAATTGATCCATTCGATTGGAGGACTAGCGACCCAAATTTATTATAGCAATCAATTAAATGATATGTTTAATTATCTAACTTCAAAATTAAGGACAAATACGACTTTGGACGAAGTTGACAATTTACCCATTCATGACTATCGTTTGATTGTCTTGACATGTATGGAAAGTATTATTCATAGTTCAGCGAAAGATATCGATTCATTGAACGCTTCAAGCAGTGAATCAGCTACTGACCAGGTTATGATTAAGTCTTCAACCATTTCTTCGGAAACATGGAACTCTGCACTTGGGTTATTACAAGACAATGATCCAAGAACAAGAAATAACTGTAGCAGATGCCTTTGTGAATATCTGCAGACAAAACCCTCTGTCAAGCGAATTGATGGCCTTATGTAAGTGTGCGAAGACTTGATTTTTTATTCAACATCTCTACTAACACATATCCCCTTTTCTTCGTCCAAAAATCAGTAAACGTCCTTTAACGGCCGACCCTTCGGAGTTGATTTTCATGGAGCGTCTTGTGTACACTATGTATGATTGGGCTATGCTGCCTCAGTTCAACCAAGCAGACCTTAGATACTTTTATTCCTTTTTATGTTTGCTCAACTACAAATTTGGCATTGATGCGACTCTCCTTATTATACCTTTGGTGTTCAAAATACAGCAATGTATTCAGGACAACAGAATTACGATAAATACAAGACAAAAAGCCCTTCAAAGCGCTCTAGTTGCTTGGTTTAAATCAACTGCTGAATTCTACAATATAGAATCACTACACAATTACGTAACAACATTGGAAGATGAAGGAGCAGAGGCCAAGTTAGATTTGCCGGATATCAAGAATGAAAGTGAAAAAATGATTGCAAATTATCCAAATGATATGTTTGAAGAAAATGATGATATCAATATGGATGATGTCGGATTGATCGACCGTAGCGTTATTGTGGAATTGATGTCGAACGACGGCAATCTGCGCGATGAAATAGATACTTACGGATTAGACCTAGAAGCAAAGCTATTTGCTGAATGGGGATCAGATGCTTACCTAGCAAGAAGGATTAACCATGGCCAGTTCAGAAATATCCACAGCAGGCTATTACAAGATACAGACGAGGATGTATCAATACCAGTTGTAGGGATAAATAAGTTGAAACCTAAGTTAGTTAGCCCATGGCTTTATAAGAACGATGACTATCTATCGCCAACCAGATCTTCGCTGCTTAATTCTTCAGCTGAAGATAAGCAACCGCAGTGCAGCAAAGGGGATGACATTAGGGTTTCAACGCTTAAGGATGCATTGGTGAGACAGCAGGCTCCTCCGACGGATGATGATTCATTGAGCGGTACTCAATCAAACAGCAACAGAAACAATCATTCAAAAGCGACTTCTTTATCTAGAGACATTGATGATATATTGAACGAGCTGCACTTGGATCAAAAGACGACTACTACTATGTCGTTGGTCAACCCACCATATCAATCCATATTGAGTTAAGCTTGGCCATAAATCATTATTTATAACCAATACATATAATTTTAATTTTACTTAATAGTGAACAATAAATATAGCTTTATTTTATACTTGCTACAGCATGGAAAGACTGCTTTATACAGCGTATTTTTGCTGAAATCGAAAGACCTTGTTCAGTAATTACATAGATAATAAGTAATCTATAGCTGCTTGGACATTTCCTCCTGTAGCTAATAAAGCACGAATATTGGTACTTTTTTCTGAGAAACCCATTTCCTCTAACTGCGCTAATTGATCTCTAAATCGTACTTCAGGAGGCTCTGCTGGAATTTGAGACTGCTGTTGCTGCTGTTGTCGCTGTGGTGGTATAAAAGCAGGAAAGCTAAAACACAACATAAAGATAACAATTATTGAGTAACGAGTATACAAAAGCACCAAAAAACAATAAGCCATTTTACCCTCCTGATCCTTGTCCCATACCGCCCATTCCCATCAGCATTTGTTCAAAAAAATTGGTATTAGTGGCTGGTGCTGTTGTATTAGTATTAGTAGCACTGGTGGAGGAAGTATTATTGGTAGTGGTATTATTATCATTGTTTTGATTTTGTGCTCCCATCATCGCTTGCTGTAATCTCATGCTTGCTTGAATGAAATTGGGATCTAACCAGAATGGTGTCTGTTGCTGTTGTTGCTGCTGCTGCTGTTGCTGCTGCTGCTGCTGCTGAGGCTGTCCAAAAGGAAAAATAGACCCAGAATTAGAACCACCAGATCCCCCAAACAGAGTTGCAAACGGGTTGGTAGCAGCGGCAGTTGTGGCTGTATCACTATTACTAGCTGCGTTAAGGTTATTTCTGGTAGTATTGCTATTCGCATTGCTATTGTTGTTGACAGCCCAAGGATTCGGTAATGCTTGTGTATTCAACGTATTCTCAGGCACACTTTCTACATTGAGCTGTCTGGCTAAGCGCTCATTATCAGCCTCATCACCACTTCTTCCTCCTGCATTTCCTGAAAATGCACTTTCCATTGGGCTTTGAAAATTGTGATACATTCGACGTAAATGGTTGAATCCACCAGGAATTGCCTCAATATTGGACAGTGCACGGTCGTTATTTCGTTGCATTTCACGCATTAATTCAGGGTTACGCATCATTTCCATCGACTGTCTGATGAATGAAGGGTCACTGATAACATGGCCAAGTTCAGGGTTTTCTTCGACGAGTCTTTTCATTTGAGGGTTGCTCATAATGATAGAGCGAACAAAATCTAAAAGAAAAACAAATGTTTTCCTTCAACTGTCTACAAATTGCTCACAATTGTAACTGTGCTTAAGTTTGACACGTTCTGTTATATACCTGTATTGTTCATTAAACTTTGCATAAAAGGTGAGTCCATCATTTGACGCATGACCTCGGGATCTAACTCAGGCATCTGCATGTTATCACCAAAAGGTGAAGATCCGACGTTATTAAGAGAAAAGAGATTTGATGCGGAAGGCGCAACTGGATTGGTTGTATTAGTAAAGGTCGCTGGTGTAGAGGCTGATGATGCTGTTACTGTTGCTGTCGCTGACGGATCAGTGGTGTTACTAACCCCAGAAGTGTTGATTTGGCTGCTACACGACTTTGGAGCTTTATTAGCTCCTGAACGAACAACATGAACTGTGCAACCTGTAACAATTTCTAGAAGGATAAATCATGGAATTGCATTAAGAACCTGAACTTATTAATAACACAGGGTTTTCTTTTCAATCATACTGCTAGTATTAATTATATCTTCGTTCTTCAGAATCCTTCCAGAAAAAACAAGCTTTAAAGTAGATGGGGCGATGTCGCCCATTTGCTTAGCAATAATTTCCTTCAGTTCCTGAACTGTGCTTTCATCGTTAATGTCGACTTTAAACGTTTCGCCAGTGGAAGGTCTGATATTGATTGTAATGTTTGGCATTTGCTTCTAGCTGACCAATTACTTTTTTTTGGTGTAAGTGAAATGCTCTCAGAAAAGTATTCGCTGATTCAAGGTAATGTTACCTATTAGTGCAGTATAGCGTTTTTTTTGGAATAGTAGAAGAACCAACTAGGAATTGTATAAAGCGAACCAAAATTTGTGATTTCTTTCAAGTGACGTTATTTGGCTGTGAATCATTTTTGTGTTATACAAAATCAGAAGTACATTTAGTATTTGTGTGGTGATGCGCACAAAAAGGATAATCTCACTTGTCCCAATGTTTTGATCTGGTCAGCCAAAATAGGAATTTATACGGAAGTACATCCAACAGATTTATGAAGAACTGTCTAATTGAGCAAACATATTACTTTTTGCTCTTGATTGTTATTGAACTTGACTAATTTCTAAACTATCGCAAAGATGACTGATTTACCCCCGCCACCACAACCAAAACCAGCCAATATGCCGCCTATGACAGACGCAGATAAAGTTAGACTAGGGATTGCGGGAGGATACAGTAACGGACACGCTGCATCACCACCGCCAATGATAGTAGGTGCTCCCATGGGTTACCCTCCAATGGTGGGTGGTATGGGTCCTAATTTAGTCTTCAATTTCTACCAACCTTATGGAATGATGCCAATGATGCCACCACCACCGGAAGCAGGTGAAGAAGAAGAAAAACCGAAAGAAGAGAAATGCAAAGTAATTACTGTACAAGCTAATCCGACTTGGCGAGACCCACGAATGCCTGTCAAAAAGGGACAACCACTGAAGAGTGATCCATGTGTTATTATGTAACTTATTTGAAGCACATGTCAACAACTAACTTTAATTTGCCTAACTTTGAGATTAATGAATACCCCCGAGAATATTATATTCGAACCCTATTTATTTTATTCAAAATCATTAAATAAGGATGATAGTTGTTGTTCCTCCAGAAAAGGTCATTGAAAAGGTCTCTACATTACTGATATACTTGCTGTATAAAAATTCATATAATCCACGACTGCAATTCTTAGTAGATACCTGAAAAAACCCATTTCGTTTGGTATCTCTTTGAACATAATATAAGAGTCGACTTTGTCTGTACGCTTAAGTTCCAATGTAGCGTAATTTTCATTGATAACAGCTGCATGTTTGTTTTAGCAAGGTAATGAGATTAATCAACTTAATTTGCACTCGTAGAGCCTAATCATCAATAGTTAATACTTACACATCACTTGCTCAGGCGTGGGATATTTGATGTTTTTCTTTGCTTGCCATTTATCGATGGCAGGCTTGAAGTGGTTACAAATCAACTGTATATTATAAAATTCATTCGCTGTGATCGTCATTGGTCCTCTTTCTTTTTCTACTGATTTTTCGTAATTAACTGAAAATAAAAATTGCCAACGTCTCAGTCATGTGGTGAGGATGCTATGTTGGTTTCAAATAGGCTCGCGAACTTACCGTATTCAGCGATCGAGACGAAGAAATTGGTTGATCTAATCACTTCATAGTAAAGCCGATCGTAACTTTTAGTATCTGATAAGAACGTTTCGCCATATGTAAGACATATATTAAACACGCTGATAAACTTGATAACAGATTCATCGAATTGTCGTAAGTAAAATTGCGAGCTGCAGTAAAACATATTTTGAATTGAGATTGGTTTGATACTACATACCGAGAGAAGATAGAGACTACACTCTCCTCTATTTTTTAATTCATCCAAATGTGATGCAGTAAACTGTACGATAGACGTGAGCGTAGTCCACAGTTCTACCCAGTGATAATCCAGTCTAAGATTATGCTTATTTAAATAGCAAAGTACTTTGTAAATGACCGAAAATGCATATCTATGAATGTTATGAATAGGTTAAAATGACACTATGTAAAGGTTTTACGGTTAGCAGCAAAAAAACACTCAATAGGAACGCTCACCTGTAGGAAACCAAGTCTAGCTTATTCTTAATGTTATGCCTGATGAACAATAACATCGTATCTAGAACGGCGCAAAATAGAGATTGTATTTTTGATGTAGTAGAAGGCAATAGAGGCGGGCGTTGTCGGCATAATCTAATAGATGTTGCTGATCTTTCTTTGGCAAAATAATCCATAACATCACTTTCTGTTGTTATTATCAGTAAAATGATGAGCAGTAATCTGGAGTAAATGTTGGCTCTTTCTGTACGATTGTTTTGGAATAAATAGGATGAGAATGATAGTAATGAGGTGATGATGGTTACTTTCTGTTGTTCATTATCGTCTGTTACTTTCAAATCAGTTTGAGTACATGTATCAACCATTATTTTAATGAAGTTTGGATTATTTAGAAAATCGTAAAAAGGCAATAGCAGTGCTGCTTGTGCAGAGGGTCTACAGCCAATAATGTTTTAGTAAAAGCTCATAAACTTCGAAGAATGTTCAAAATACACCACATACTTACAATCCAGCAAACAACTCGGACTTTTCATCGGTTGGTGAGGAAACGAAAGAGTCTTCTTTTTTTGATGACAAATCTTTAGAGGAACCAAACCATTTTGACATAAAGGATATAATTGAAGTTGAAATCGTCTCATTCTCATTATTCACATTGATGTATCGATCGGTAAGGCTGTGTAGGGTTTTCGTGTACATATACATAATGTTCTTTAGCAAAAATAAATTTTAAGTTTAAATTTTTGTTCATTTGACATTGATGCTTTGATATCACAGTTGCGAATACCTTGAATACATTTAAATTTTGTAACGTTCTGATCTTTGACAAGTAGATATTCTTTGTTTCGTATCTGTTGTAATTTGACAGGATACCCAAAAGCATTGCAATATCCTGAAAATCATTCTCATTGAGCTGATTTTCTTCATTTATTATCTTTTGATTTGATTAGAATATTGCAATGATAGAAAACTAAGGCGAAGGATCTTTGACAACTTACATTGACTAGTGTACTGAAAATATCACTGCTCATGAAGTAGCCATTCAAACCGTTTTCATTCACATTATCATTACCACAGACCAAAATCAAGGTCAACTGCAAAGTTTTGGATCTCAATGCGTTATTATTGAACAAAAGTAAACTTTCTACAGCCTTTAACAAACGCTTAAATAAGACATGTGCGTCATCAATCTGCTCTTTTGTCAAGATGGACAGTAGGTTGAAATGATTTAGACGCTTCTTCAAGAATAAACTACGGAACAATACGGTTAATATGGTGATAGCATTTCGCTGGCGAACTATTTCATTGGAGTTCGATGGCTGTTGCTGCTGTAGATCCTCATTGCTTTGCTGCTGCTGTAGATCTAGTTTATTCAGGCACATTACAAAAAGTGTGCTCAAATTTTTTTTCAAATTCAAGAGACTTTCTTCAGTTTGATCTAATATTAAACGCGTTAAGCATTTGGTGTTAACTGGTAAGAGGAAGTAGTCGTCCCAAAATGAATCTGTGATGGGTAAGATGGAACTGTCCTAATGCATTATTAAATTACATTAACGTTTAGTAAAAGAAACCTAAAAATTCAATGTTGTTCTGGCTACCTTGAAAATCTCTTCTGATAGCTCAACAAATTTTTCTTTGAATTCGGGCCGCTTCATTGCTATTGTCATAGACGACTTGCAGCTTCAAAGAAAGCGATAGTGATTGATAGACAGGAACCAGTTGTGTAACTGAAACAAATGAAATTTTATGCCAATTGTTGAGCTAATTTTTCAGAGGGCAGTTTGTAAATAAGCTTAATCAAATGGATGGAAAGTCTCTACTTAGTACGATATTCATAAGAACTGTTTAAAGACCAAAAAAAAATAAAAATAGAAAATAACTGGAAACATCTTTCTGTTATGCTTTTCAGTCCCGAAAGACTTGGCAACAGCGTTTATCATTAACATTAAATAACTTAGTACAGTAAAAGGATTTACTCTACAACGGCAAATGTCCGTATGGTTACCGCTTTCCCAAGCGAGTTCGAGCATAATTTCAATATCAGCTCTGATTTTGAAAAACAATTAATGATCGTGTCTGTGCTAAATGATGAACGAATTTAATTGTTTGGAGATGGCAAAGGACTAAAAATACATTTAAAAATAAAATAAAATATAATATCAAGGGATCATACTCATGTTACTATCTATTGTCTCTTTTCAGCTTCTTCAAGTTCCTTCATACGTCTACGCTTGATCATTGTGTTCATGTAGGTTCCGAAAACTAGAATTATAAATAAACAAGCCAAATTAATAAACCTCTGCTTCCTCTCAACTCGGACAATTATAAACGTTCTTACGGAAAGCAATGAAATTGAAAAAGGGGACCCAGGTAGTAGGCGCTAAAAAGTTTTGAGCAAAGATCATGCTGCAGGGAGACATAACCCAAGAAATCTTTTGCATGCGCAAAAGGCCCTGCTTAAGATTAGCCTTCAACTTGGCAGGTGAGGTGACACCTGCGATAACAGCCATGGCAGTCAAGTAAACTAGAATGTAAAAAACGTTGCTTAGAGCCAATGAACTTTCCTCTTCCCGCAAAACACTTATCAATAATCCGCTAATCAAAAACTGTACCTGAGTTCATCGTAGGCGAAATGATCAAATTAGCGAACAATAATTGAGCAATCTTGAGACCTTTCCCTGGTGGTTTGCCAGCAAACAACCTGCCCAGAATTGCATTCATAAGTTCATACAGATAATGATTCAATGGTCCAGAGATGAATAAGCCTAGCAGAACAAAGAAGAAAATCGTTATATATGTGTAAACGCTCTCCTTCATCAGTTTTGCTGTTATTTACCATATGCAGCCATTTGAATGATTCTTTTATCGAACTTCTTCGCTCCTGATAATTTTTGCGCTGTTAATTCCTGTAAACCTGACAAGAAACCCGATGTACATGCTTTTGTACGAAGAGGAGCTGCAGCCAAATTGGATAAATACCAAGCGAGTGCTAATTTTGCGTTACTGGACATATCTGATACGAACTTAGTGTAAGCTGAAAGAAACGGAGGGCAATAGAATAGTGGGATTAAAAAGAAAAAAAGATATAGTATAAGAAAAAGAGAAGATAGGTTACTCACGTTATCTAATTGAATCACAAAATAAGACCCGCAGATATAGCTTTACCCCAGACTTAATATATTTTTTTTTCTTTTTTCTTAGCGGAGAACAATCTTATTTTTTGCACACACAATTGGGAATGCTTTATAAAAATGACAATGTGAGAAATTGGCACAGCAATGGTTTGGGTTACACCTTTTTACTCTTTTTTTATTTTTTTTTATTTCTTTTTGTACAGGCGAATAAAATATCTCATATTTTGAACATCTATGGGATATTTTAAATTGTCTGGATGTCTAGGAAAATGTGGCATTGATATAGTGAGAAATGAGGAAAAACGGCACTTATATTTAACCTTTCAAACTTACCTATACCACCGTGAATCTTCCCCAACTACCAATTCCAAATCCTGAATAGCATCCAATAACGTGTATACCATGTATGTTTTGTTTCCAACCTTTAAATGAGAAAATGAACCAGCAGATTCTACCACCTGACAGGAAAAATCCCAGAGTATGTTAGTAAATATTCCCTTTTGGTCGCAAAAGGTCCATCCTTTATTCTTACCAACAAGTGCGCTCCTCTTTTCATTGTTCTCACAATTCTCTGTATTAATGCTAATGCTGCTGCTTTTTTGACAAAGAGTTCGTTCATAACAAACATGAAGGTAATCAGATCCGACTCTGCTAGCCTTTTGTCAATAAGCTCATTGCTGCTGTCAAGGATATCACCTTGCTCGTAACTACATTGCAGCTGCTCTTGTGTTAAAAGCCACTTTTCACGAATTGTTTGTTCTATTGAAGCCAAAACTGACTGGTAATCACCAATATCCTGCATTACTAGGTTCACTTTCTGACGTTCTGCTGGTAGTCGAGTCATAGCAGCGGCAATAGCTGTCAATTCTGATCCTGATCCAGAACCGACACAATATAAATTACTGCGCTTTGCTAGGATTTTGAGCAGCTGTGGTCTTTTAGTAAAAATTTCATAATAGCAAAGAGCTCTCCCAGGAATGTAAGCTGCTGTGTAGACTGCCAAGTTGATAGGATCTGTAAATATGCCTTCATAATCGCGTTGTACAAAGCTCTGCTTAATACTGGATAAAATGCTGAAAAAATCCTCTCTAGCGAACGTTTCCATACATGCTTTACGAATCATCGATAGTATATCTATGATGGTAGTATATCATTTTTCATGAGTATCCAACTTTTCCAAAAGTCAATCAGCTACATCAACCCACTTTGTTCAGGATCTGCTCCTAACAGCTTCCACCGTTCTCTCAAAGCAGCCTTATCGAACTTGGGTTTATCATTATCTGAGGTTTCATTGTTTTTCTCTTTCACCGTGAGTTTTTTTAGTGGCTCTGTAAGTTGTTCAATAGAGCTCATTTGCTTATAAAGTTGAAATGCGATGTTACTTAAGCTGAGGGTGTGAAATTGCAAGATAAGCCACTCTATGCGATCTTTTCCTCCATTACTTCCTTATTAGGCGCACCAACTTTACGGACGTTGAATCCATTTTAACGTCAACAAAGAAACTTTTACTTTTTAAATCTCTTTTGGTCCCTTTGAATAAACCACCTTTTTGGCAAATGCCCGAAATAGCCGAAGTAAGCATGGAGAACATCAGTTTTCTTTTTTCTTTTTTTTTCATTACTTACAGATCCTTGGCTAAAATGAAAAATTCAGGTTGAGAGGGCTCGTTTACGCATTCACAGACAGTGCATAAATCATAAGATTACACATGTAGAAGTGGTAAAAGCTTGCTTTTGATTATTCCCAAAGCACAACAAAGTACTGATTTGTTATTGAGCTAGGCAGATGACACAATTGTATACAAAGACATTAAACCAGACGAGTTTGCTAAGTCAGTATTGAATAAAACACTTGTTGATACTAAAAGATATGGAAAATACTTCATTCTGAGTAAATTATGCAAGCTCAACAAGTCTGAGTAAAAAGGGAAAATCAGGAATTAACGTTACACGTTATTTGGCAGTGCTTGATGATGGTGAAGGCCCTCATATAGTTGCTCATTTTGGAATGACGGGGGCTATCCGTGTAAGTTTGAACTGCAGGTTTTTAAACTGACAATCAGTAAAGTAAAAATCGTATTACTAATTGAGAGATATGGCAGTTTAAACACGAAGAAAGCGAGTGGCCACCTCGCTTTTATAAGCTATTAATCACCTTTACAGATCCAAAAACAAATGAAAATGTTCATTTTGGTTTCAGAGACCCACGTCGCCTAGCTAGATTACGACTTGTCAAAGCAATGGATCCACTTCAGCTACCCCCACTTAACAAGTTGGGATTCGACCCTGTACTAAGTCTGCCCAAGTTTGAGCACTTCAGACAGTTAGTGGTCAAACGTGCTGTGCCTCTGAAAGCCCTTCTTTTGGATCAAGCATTTTCTGCCGGCGTCGGAAACTGGGTTGCGGACGAAGTGTTATATCAATCAAGGATACATCCTGCTCAATATTCAAATACATTGACCGACGATGAACTGCAACGGTTGTATGCCAATCTAAGATACGTTTGTGAGACAGCTGTGCGTTTAGAAGCCAATGAAGAAAAGTTTCCAAAAGATTGGCTTATGAAGCATCGATGGCATAAAGGAAAGAAAAACCAATTAGAAGGCTGCTTACCCAATGGGACCATTTTACAGTTTGAGACGGTAATTGGAAGAGGTGATGAAAGAAGGAACGTATCCAGAACAGTCGTGATTAATGCCCATGATTTACATTGTATATTTTAGATTGGTGGAAGAACCACAGCATTTGCACCCGCATTGCAAAAATTAAGAGTTACTGAAACTACTACTACCACTACTTCGACGACGACAACAGTAACCACAAAGAAAACTGTGAAAAAAAGAAAAAAAGGACTTGTTAAGAATGAAAGCGAAGCTGAGGATGCTGGTTCAGACAAGGAAATACCTGTAAAGAAGACGGCTATTAAAAAAGCAATAAAACGAGTGAAGAAAGAGGCAATGATTAAGACTGAAGTTGAAGATGACCAACTCGAGAAAAAAATCTTGGAGAAACCGACACGTACAGTGTCTTCCAGATATAACTTTAGAAGGCCATAAGTACGATTACAATAAACCCTATATACATCATCCTTAATTTGGTCGGATGCGGACTTTGACATTTTTTGATTGTGCGTATACCAAATCAGGGCGAAATATATCCATTTTACTCTACTGTGAACAACTTTAAGCTAAATCTGACTATGCAAAAGGAAGCTATTGCTCTAATCGCGGGCTTGATCATAAGCCATTACATATTCAAAGAAAAGCCTAATCGCAAACGGAACATTCAACCAAATCAAGAACGTGTTGTCATCGTCGGCTGCTCTTCCGGCATTGGAAGAGAATGCGCTTTGCAGTACGCTAAGCGAGGAGCAAAACTTGTTTTATTCGCTCGTCGTAAAGAATTACTAGAAAGCTTGAAGAAAGAATGTCTCAACTTGGGCTCTTCGAATGTTGAAATTGTTGTTGGCGATGTCACGCTGCAGACAGATTTGACTCGTTTAGCAACTGTGAGCAGAGAGACCTTTCACAGTAACAATTCGGTTGAACAAACAGGTGGTGTTGATACTGTTATATATTGTGCAGGCATGATTTCGGTTAGACCATTTTTAGAAGCTTGTGGACACAAACTCATCACGGACAATAAGGGAAACGCTACAACTATAGAAAAGCATAAGGACGACGATACCAGCTTCACTAATAACGATATGAGCATAGCATTACAAAAGATTACTACAGTCAATTATTTCGCAGCCATCGAAGTAGCTCGTTTATTCATACCACTCTTGAAAGGTGATTCAGTAGCACCGAATTTTTTGATCGTCTCGTCCATGGCAGGCAAAGTAGGTGCGCCGACACGAGCATTATATGCCGGATCAAAACATGCATTGCATGGATTTTTTGACTCTTTAAGAATAGAAGTAGCTCCATTAAATATCCATATTGGCTTGATCTGTCCTGCAACGGTTGAAACGGATTTAAGATTATCAGCTGTCGATATGAATATGGGCGGAAGTGGCTCTGAAATAGCAGGATCGAACAAAAACAAGTTGAGACCAGAGCAGGTAGCCAAATGTATTATTAAGGCTTCAGATTTAAGGGAACGAGAAGTGTACATACCGGCATTATTTGGTTACAGTGCATTATGGGCAAAACTTTTAGCAAGTCGATTGGTGGACTATTTTGCTATGAAGAAATATAAAGTTTAAACTTTCTCTGCTGTTTACACGTGCCTGAATTTTATTTCTTTTGAAAAAAAGGAATCATGTAAAAAAGAAAATAGATAACAAAACAAAAAAAATAAAATAAAGCACGTGCATTTATTAGGAAAACTGTTTAAAAAGACAACTTAGCTCTTTCTTTTCTTCCCCACTTCTTTAACATTTCAGCGCTTATTAGATATCTTCTATTACGAAAATGGTTCCATCAAGGAATGAGCTATTTAACCCTTCTTCTATATCAGCAATGGATGCAGACATTTCGGAAAAGCGTACTTTTCCGCATAGTTCACATTTCAATCACAGTTCAGGCAGCTCAGAACATAGCTCTCCTTCTCCTACCTTCAGTAAACCACAGTCTCCTGCTTTCGATTTACAGAGACCCACCATTAGCTTGCTTCAACAGCACTGTTCGATTAATCGACGAGAGTCTCTTCCTTCTATCTCATATATCACTCAACCTCTGATCAGTCAGAAAAACAACGGTCGTCGGCATTCAATTGCCAGTCGCGAGATTTCCGTATCCTTTTTCTCGTCAACGTTAACAGACAACAGGCTGTCGCTGCAGAATAAAAGCGACTGTAGGCTTCATTATGGAAGTACCAACGGATCCAGTGTCTATACGCGTTCACCGGAATTGAAAATCAGTCATAAATTAGCAGAAAGAAAGAGGCGTAAAGAGATGAAGAACCTCTTCGATGACTTGAGAGATGCATTATTCATTGATAAGAATATAAAAGTGAGTAAGTGGGAAATACTCAGTAGAGGTAAGTGTTGGGTCAACTTTATCAACTTCTCAGGCCAAAAGGAATAGATCGATTTGACTGACTTATTTTGCCATACAGCGGTTAAACATATTGATCATTTAAAGAAAAGGGAAGCGCAGCATTTGGTTGAAAAAGAGCAAATGCAGAAAGAAATCAAAGAAATGAAGCATGTTTATCACCAATGATTATTTCCGATAACAGTACTTCCGACGACTTTTCTCAGTAAGGGCTATTTTTATTATTTTATCCCCTTTTTGACGGGTGTACACCTCCTTTGTTTTCTATGAAGTCGCAGCGTTTGCCTCCTCCAACTCTCTATTTAACCCCAATTCTTTATTCCTTGGCCCTCTTCACATCCTCTCTTTTTTTTCCATTTCCTTTTCAACGCACATGATCTGATAAGGTCAAACAATAACGAAATACAGCAACATTTACTTATATATATCCACAGCTCTGAAAAGAAATGCGTCTCTATACCCGCCTTATCATCTTTACTTTTCTACAATATTGCATACTTTGTGAAGCTCAAGAAAACGAAAACACTGACATAACCAACTTTATACCAACACCAACCACTACTTTTTCAACATCAGTAAACAATACAGGAGATGCAAGCAGCACTATCAGTAGCACAACTACTGTAGAAGTTTTGCCAACGAACTCTGGAAGCGACGGTAGCGGCAGTACAGCAACTAGTACGAATGAGACCTCAGCAAATTTTTCCACACCCGTCTCATTTACAGCTTCTCCCACGTCATCTGTACTCACCTATTTCCCTTTTCCTACGCGTACAGGCTCAAGTACTTCCATTATTTCCAGCGGTAGGCCTTCGCCTTCTGCGCCTTTCCCTGATGATACTGTTGGTAAAAATGGGAGGTTGCACGTATCCAAGGCTTCAACTGCATTGCAAATTCCTGGTTATACTTACTACTGCAATATTATTACTTTTTGCCTAATACTTTTAACTACTTCACTCGTATTACTCTCTTTTTGATATCAATAAAAAGTTATTGCTTTGTTTTCCTCTAACATTATTTTTGAAATACCTCGTATAGGTCATAATGGCACTAATGAAAAAGAAAGACCCAATATATTATTAAAAAAAAAGGCTTTTCGGCGATAATTAACAATAGTGGTAACTCAATTCGACAATATAAAACTAATAGCTGCTTGCTGTTAAAGTATCTTGGGAAATGATAATGCTTATTGAAGCTTGTCATGAGTTTCTTTATAATATAGATAAGTTTTCAGCCCACGTAAAGTATAAATTCTTATACCAATTTCAATGTTTGTGCACCATTTGTGCTTGCCCTAAGTTGAGTTGTTCAATGAAAATGCCTGTAATAAGTTATTAGCCAATAACTACAATGGTCTTTCACAATATTATGCTCTTCGATTGACGGAGTATTATTATCGCATTTCCGACTACCCCTCGTAAATGCTCTATATGTTATACATTGCCTTGCTTATGGTCAATGGATCTCTGATTCTTCAATATTGAGCATCCAAATTTGTCGTGCGGACGAACATCGCACGGCAGAATCGTTCTTAGAAAAGTAAGGATGAAGGTGAGTGTAGAATACTGTTATCACGTCGTATAAATTGTTAGTGATAAATGCTGTTAACTCAGTACGGAACTCACTGTTCATTCCTACATTATACTCTTCGAATCTGCCAAATATCTTATGGTTAGGGTTTTATTGTTACTCTTACTGCTTGGTATACTGACAAAACTTGCTCATACTTTATTTACATGGAAATGAAACCAAAAGATCGGTAACTCTGGATGAACTCTCCAACTCATTTGGGTTTACAACAAAAATTATATACAGATTCGACGGGCAAGCTCCTTAGTCCAAAAGTCATCATAAGTGAAATTATTACGAAAAAATACCACTAATGACCAGTTGTGAGTTTCTCTTCGTTCTCCTACCTATAGCTTGGCAGGCTGACTTCTGTATTCTCATAGATTCTGTGCGGATGAAACGAAATTCAAATAACACTCGTCAGCACTATGGATTTATCTTGATAGTCTAATTATAATAGTTATATGTAATCCGAAATTCACGTCCACCCTTTGTTGATAAACATAAGTTGCGTTGACAAGCAGCAGATGTCACACGTAACAGAACTTCAGAAATACGGTGTACGATGCGATCACTAACAACTTTCGAACAGAGATAACTAATAAGGTTGCCGGTGCAGCCGATTGAATTATCTTCGTACAAGAATAATCAGCCCTGCCTTTGAAGAATTTCTTATTTCTGTGAGCCTAACTTGATAATAACGGCCACGTGTTCAGTATCAAATCTATGCCAAGTTATAGGCTTGGAATGCAAACAATCGTCCTATAATCGGGACTAACGTTTAATTGTTTATTGCTTGCATCTGCATCCGCTTGGTTGCGCATGAAGAGTAGTGTCAACAAATGATCCATTTTATTGATGTTATAATGGTATACACCAATGGCGGGGTATATTTTTGCACAAGATGATGCCAAAGCCACAGATAGAGTCATGAATCTGACAAAGTTTGAACGACTAATGCCGATAAAATGTACGTAATGTAAATGAGGAACAGGAATAGGGGGATGCACATGTTTGGTTTTTTTTTTCCAAATGGAAGTGTTGATATTTATCCCAAAGCCCGATCTACGTCAACAAGCGAAATGATAATTGTAAATTGTTCGCTTCGAGATTGCGTCACTGTCAAAAACTTTTGCCGGAACTGATTGACAGGAAATTGAGCTTTTTGGCAGTAGAGACCGAATAGTTTGGTGCACAGCTCAACCTTTTTTTTTTTTCCCTTTTTATTTCTTTTCTGTGTTGCTTTGCATTTAAGTCCTGTATTTCATAAATTTCTTGAAAAAGGAAACAGCAGACCCTTATTTACTTAATTGTTATCAAAGAGGTACCCTTTGTTTTCAATAAATTGTTTTGACATTGAGATATATTGCTAACAATAGAATCAACAATAATTTAAGGATTTGTTGCTCTTTTTTGATATTTTAAACGGGCTGTTTACGAGGACTAGTTATCAGTGAAGAACAACCAAATATCAGTAGGTTTTTTAAGGCACTTCTCAATCAGCAAGGAAGAACTCGAAAAACTCTCATACAAACGTAACCCTTATGGACGACTGGTCACTGAGGGAAAACAGTGACTCCCATGTTGGGGTCAACGGCTATGTCGATAATATGCAATTTTTATGGAAGTTTCAGCCTTTGATTCCAGCGAATGAAGGCGATGCTTCACAATCCTTTGCCGATCTCAATACATCTAATTCTACGACAGATCTTCCAGACGAAAATGATGATTTAGTAGATAAGCTGTTTCGAGAGAGCTTGGCTATGCAAAGTGAGGATCAAAAAAAAAAAAAAAAGAAACAATTGCTTACGAAGTATATTAAAGTTGATCTATTTTTTATGACTTTTTTTTTCTCTTTTGTTTTTATTGATGGAAACAGACATACAAGAACCTGAGGCAACGGATTTGAACAGTCATAATCACCAGCAACAAGTACAACAGCCACAACAATCCCAGCAATCACAGAACAATACACTCCAGATGCTGTTGTCCTCCCCTCCTCATCCTATTCATATGGATTTGAATTCAACGCCCGAGAAAATTAATGATACGGCATCTGTTATCGGTAGCAAACGTCCAAGGTCTCCCGTGCTGATGGATGAATATCCATTTACTCGTAACCCGCTACCAGCTGTCTCGTCGCAATCGATACCACAGCCACCGCAATCTGTACCAGCACAGACAGCGATGCGAACACGGGGCTCTATAGAGCCCTTATCTCATCCACAGCAAAATCACTTCCTTCAAAATCAAACGACAGAAACGTTCTCTCCATTTAGTCAACATAAACCCAATACAGGATATAATTCAATATCGCCCATGCAACACCATCTACCTGCTGTTCAAGCGTCTTCTTCTACACCGACTGCAGGAATTACAGCTACAAAAGTAATGGATGCAACGGCTACTAACACATCAGCCGCTGCTTCTTCAATTAGTAGTAACTATAATCAGAAACAATCAGATGGAACCTATAATAACACTATCGTAAACACCTCACCTGTGAACCCTTCATACCAGCAGTTAACATTGAACCCTCCATCGCCTCACACACCAGTTAATTATAATTCTCCTACAGTATCGTATCGAAACAACCATGTACCAACAACTCTCGCTGAAACGAGCACCGTATCACAATTCCCTTTTTCTGCTTCTAATGGAGGCTCAATGAATACAGTAGTATCTCCTTCATCTCCACCACCAATTTCCTCGGGCACAACAAAATCTATGGCAGCACAACCATATATTTTACAAAATCAGCATCACCAGCAGCAGCAGCAATATCAACAGCAACAGCAACAGCAACAGCAACAGCAACCGCAACCGCAACAGCAACCGCAACCGCAACCGCAACAGCAACCGCAACAGCAACCGCACCAGCAGCCCCAGCAACCGCACCAGCAGCCCCAGCAACCGCACCAACAATATCAGCAACGGCCACAGCAGCAACAGTTTTTGCAAAAACCACAAGCACAGCAGTATCAACAAACTCTGCAACAGCAACAATTAAAGCATAATCAGTCTTTTCAACAACAACAGCCTCAGCAACCAGCACAACTGACACAACCGCAATTGTCACAGCCATCACAACAACCGATGCCACAAACTTCGGCTTACATCCCACAACATATACCACAGCGACCCACGCAGCAGGCTTCGCAGCAGACAGCACAGCAATCCTCACAGCAATTTTCGCAGCAGTCAACGCAGCCTTTGCAATCGCCACTTTTACGGATCCAGCAACAACCATTACCTTCACCGCAACCAGTGATACCTCCTAGACCACAGTTGCGTTTACATTTGAAGAAACAGGATCCATTTGATTCAGCTAACTTTGATGAAAACAAAGACCCAATGAAACCTGATCTTGATGTAACAAATTTGCGTCGTTTAACGATAGCCACGCTTCGCAGCCTGGGAGTTTCTGTTTCCTTTGACGAACTACCCAATGTGGAAATCGAAGATGCTTCACCTACCGACTCGCATCAAGTGTTGCCAGCAGCAGCTATGCACCTTATCACTACCATGGTGCTGGGTACCTCGGGTGATAAGGACGTATCGCAAACATTGGGGTCACAAATATCCAATGGTGATTTAGTAGCATTACAGCGTATGATAGTTGCTGGTTTACGCAGCAAAAACATTGTTATTCACACTGTCTTGACCGAACAGCAAAATACAAATGAGGCATCGAGTCAAGAATATGTTCCAAGAGCAGCAAAAGCGGATGATACGCTCATTGATCTGTCTAATGTCAAATATGAGCCGCCTCATAATGTAACCCGCCTTTTTTTACGACTATACCGATTCATCATCAACATGCTATTGTCTACACCGGATTGTTGGCCATTTATTCAGCCTGTTCCGGAGACAGCCTTCCTTTATCACCAGGAAATAAAAAACCCAATGGATTTACAAACAATCGAAGAGAATGTGTGGTGTGGAAAATACACAAAATTTGCTAGGTTTGAACGGGATATGCAGCTTATTTGGAAGAATGCGAGGACATTTCATCGAAATACAGGCACGATTCCTAAACATGCTGATAATCTACAAAAACTCTTTGTCAAAATTGTGAGAGACATAAAGAAACAAATCAGGTAAAATAGATTCTATCATGATTTTTAGAAGAATCTGACTCTATTGTAGACTATGTGTATAACTTTGCTTACCATTTGATTGCTTTTTCTTGTTCCAGACCGAAACAGCAGCCCTCAGGCTCTCATGATTTCAAATTCGATCCAACATATACCCTACCAGAAGAATCTGATTTCTCCTATCCACCCATTGAACAAGTCTTTTCCGAACAAAGCACAGTATATGCTATATCTGCTCTGTCACCTTATGAGCCCAAGGGTCGTAAGCCTAAAGGTCTTACAAACGAAAAATTACTTTATTTACAATTGAATGGACCATTTTTTCAGGCAGTCGAAAGGATGAAATCTGATTTGGATGGCAACCACTCTATAGTTCCCCGATTTTACATTGCTAAAAATCGTACTCTTCTTCGTCAGATACGTTCACAAGGTGTCCTGGCTATTTTCTATAACACTAAAACCACTCGCATACGTTTCAGCAAGATGATGAATATTGAGACAGACATGATAATAGCTTATCCAGCCAGTGATCTTTTTGATATTGATCAAATCAATGAATGTACAGACGATTTCGCACCAAAAGCTTGGATACATCTGCGGCCTTTGCGTGTCGTGAATAAGATTGTTTTTGAAGTGAACGAGCCTATCGAACGTGATTACTTTAAAAGGATGTTCGCAACGTCAAAGATGGCCATCGATGACAAGAACACACACCATAATTCAGACACGAAGAGACTATTGCGAAAAGTAGTAAGAAAGATCTTATGCTTATCTGAAGTAAGCGGTACCAAAGATCAAGGCGACATTTCCTCGGCTTCAATGCCGACTGGTGCTGCTGTTAAAAGAGAGATCAATGAAGAAAAGCACAGACCAGTACATCAGCAACGGCTCCCTAGAACGAAAGAAGACGAAGCTATGGAAGTGGATAAGGGATCCGACGATGAGAAGCTTACACCAAGATCCACAGCAGGGAGTAGCGAGAAAATGGAAGTAGATGTGAAAGCTGAAATAGCTAACTCGTCAAATGCTGAGAGATTAGGCAAGAAAGAAATTGATCATGAAATTTGGAAGAAATTGTTTAATGTGTGCAGAAGCAAAGGGATTGAAATCAAAAATATAACTTCGCATGGCAATATCAATTGGAACTCGCCTAATTCTGAAGGTTTCTTCAAGCGCGTTTATTTCTTTGAGAATATTGTAGTACAAGCTTTTCGACAGATGACGATGTATCAGAGAATTACTGAAGTCGCTTGCCTTATGTAAGTATATATTCTTCAACAGCTACGGTTTAATGATGAAAGTGTGACAAGAAAGCTAATACGAGGTATTCACTAATGAAGGAAATTGAGAAATTTGCCACATATGGCACAAATGAAGGAAGTACTATTCAATGATAATGGGGATGTAGCCGGTCTATCTATGGAAAGGTGAGTGCTTTTATGTAACTCATGGCCCTTTTAAGCAGCAATCAAGTACTTATTCTGGATTATGGCACCTTATTTTAGATATCAAACAACATTGAAACAATATGCACATGCACATTCACATCATCGTTTGTCAGCTTACCAAAAATATGATGTGATACAGCAAATGCTGATCTGCATGAAAACAATTCACGAGGCTGGCCTTGCTCACAGAGATCTATCGGAAGTCAACATTATGGTTGACGTCGTACAAGGTCAACATTTGGAAGATGGAAGTGAAAAAGTATGTTTATATTTAATCGATTTTGGTAAAGCCGTATTTTGCCGGGCAGATGATGTTCGCGACTGGTTTGTGGATGTGCCCCGTGCTGAATGGGAATATGATGGAGATGTTGTCCCAGAAACAAAAGAAGAGCTAGAGGCTTGGTGTGAATCTTTGCCTTGGGTTAAAGGTAAACCTGATCATGGTTACCGAATGTATAGGTAATTAGTGTTTTGAATGCATATTCGATCACGTTTGTAACAAACTTGAAATTGATTCTAATCATAACTTGTTAAAGGTCAATTCAAACGCTTCCGAAAACCAGATCTGATAATCAGATACTTCCTTGGTTGATTCATCCCCAAGCTGAAGATATGTATTCCATCGGTGTCATGATATGGAAAGTGTTTACGGATACAGAACCATGGAGAGGGATCTTAGATACAGATTTACAAGGCTTACGATATGTAGCTGAAGATGATTATCGTATTCAACGCGCATTGGAAGGTGAAGTCCACGGTGAACTTAGTCGTCAATTATTACTAAAGTGCCTCAGGACGCGACCACAAGATAGAGAAACTGCCAAAGATTTGCTGGAGTGGATCAGTCAACAGCACGTGCGCGATGGTTTGATTGGAGAATGGAAGATGTATTCTTCAGATACAAGAGCCTCTCGTAGAGCTAAGACATATTATGGATTTGAGGATGATGAAGATGAGAAAAAGAAACCGAGAAAACGAACCAACACAGGAGGTACCAAAACTAGAGGTAGACCTAAAACTGTGAAAGAGCCACCAGCACCAGCTCAAGCTCAAACACAACCTCAAGCTCAAGCTCAAGCACAAGCACAAGCACAAGCACAAGCACAAGCACAGAGTCAAACGCAACAGCGGCCGTTGCAGGCGGAACAATTGCAATCGCAGCTTCAGCTCCAATCGCAACAGCACGGTATCATAAATAACAACTACAAATTCTTTTAATTCAAAAAAAAAAAGCACTAGCAAAGCACTAATATAAACCTTGTAAGAAATTTCCCCCTTTTCATGCATTCTATATTTCTATTTACCACTACATAATTCAATCATAAGTATTCCCCCCCCAACCCAATTTTCGAATCACCATTTCATTTGTACATAAACTAATACAGAAGCCTTTTTGTCTTTCACATTCTGATGTTAACAAAATGTATGCTTCAGTGTTGCAGAGAGACTTAAAAGGATTGACCCTCGATGCATGACTGTAAAAGAGGGACAGCATTTAGATTGAGTATACACGCTATAGAGTGGAAGACATCCAATCGATCCTATACATTGAAGGCAATGATGATCGTTTATAAAGCAGCTAATAAGAGGAACACTTGTTAGGCTGCTACTGGCATCTTTACCCTCGCTTCCTTTGTTTATTTTCTTTTGTTCCTTTTTGAGCGCTTTGTTATAAAAAATGGAGATGAACTATCAAGATACGCTTTCCGCTCATCTACCAATGCTGTGTGTCAATGGAAGAATATTGATAATTTGGCCCTGAGCATCGACTTTTCATTGGGTTTCAGCAACAACGCTGTTTCTCACTGGATTGATAAACTTCATATATACGGACATCATATTATGGATCTGGATTACGCAGAAGAAGGGCGTGCCTTTCAGTATATGACCGCACTGACATTCACTGGGTTACATACTTACCAAATCGTGATATACTTAAGAGATGCATTAACTTACCAAATTCGAGAATATAATAATAGCAACTGTATATGTGAACATTTCGTTTCATCTTTTTCAATGAAAACGGTTACTGTTTATACCGTATAAATTTGCAGTCAGTGACCTATTGCAGTTGTATGGTATCTTTCAATTATAGGCATTGGAGTGTTTGGAATGGTCCAAACACACAGATTTCGAAATCATATCTGCTATGGCACTATACAAGGAATTAATGATGATAGTAATGAAGCTACTGATGAAGGCTCAAGCAATGACTTTCAAAAGAATGATATCTCTACCAAAGCTTCTAACAGGATCGAAGCGGTATAATATTAATGACTTGATATTTTAATTCATGTAATTTAAACTGTTTAGAAAAAAAATGATTACTATTAACAAAAAGTGGTAGGGGATGTTCTGGATAATTATATAATAAATAAACTATCAATTAGCCCTTCTCAGTCCTTCTTCTTAGGCTGCGGTTTAGGACGTACAAATGCATCCTCAGAACCAACGATATAATACATATGATAAGAGCTTTGATCGATCTTATATTGTAGTTTGGAGCGAACTAAGATCTTGTTTAAATGCTCATCTTGTGGCCTCAGATTACTACATATAGCAAGGAATAATGGTTCAGTTGCTTACGATTTTGAAAGTTATACAGAAAAACGCCAAAAGACTTACCGTGTTAAAAAGGTTGGCGTCATGTTTGAAGTATCCACACCTTCTGTAGTGTTCACCCAATCCATGTAGCTTGCAACGTAATCCTCGTACTTATCCTCTGCTGTTGGTTCCATCATGTAATCATCGGAACCGATCAGTTGGATAGTCATCACTTTGAGTTCATTGTTCTGCAAATAAAAAAAGATTGATTGTGAGCTTTTTTTAACTCCAATGACCTAACGATCAACCCATTCCATGTACTACTTACAAAGTTTATTCTGTATAAATTTTCCTCAGAACCAACAATATCTTCAGCTTTTAAACGGTAAACGGATAAAATCCTGGGTGACATGGCCTCTAAAGCTTTATCACTGCGGAATAATCGAATCAGCTCGACCGACTTGGGATCAACTGTAATGGCTTGAATCTATTGTTTGCAAAATTATTTATCAGTTAGGAAAGGGGCTCATACAAATACAGAGAGAGTTCCATGATCTGTTTTACCTGCTTAATCATCGAATGAACAAGTTTATCAATTGTGAAAATAAGGTAGGCGTCAGTTGTAAATATGTAACGAGAATATTCTTCAAAAACTTGCTGATCAACATCATTATCAAAGAAACGATCAATAAGTTCCAGAATGAAGTTGTAATATCCTTTTGATACGTCAACATCATCAAAACGACTACTGTATAAACCAAGATCGCGAGCCACTTTGTTGACGCGTTTGCCCATATTAGGGTCTTGCTTCATCTTTTCATTAAGAGAATGAAGCCTTGCAAGTCTTGAATAGAGCATCTAAAGAAAAACAAGAAATGAATCGCTCAATGAGAACTTGTCTTTTCCATTCGACTAAACATGCTCATCTTATCCCACCTCATAGTGTCTAAAAAAACAATAGAAGGTTGTATTACAGAAGAAGCTATATAATGTTCTTTCCTTCACTCCAGGTGCAATAGCTGCAGCTGCGACTGCTAATAAGTCTTTGCCGGCTGGCTCGGTGTTAGTTGCAGTGCTGGAGGCTGCATAGGATGAAGAAGCTGAAGCTTCCATCATGTCGGCATCCTCATTCATTTTCGCCGCGAGAGCATTATTCGATTCATCTTCCTCGGCCTTGACCTGTGTTTCTTCGATTTGCTTACTAGTAGAGTCTGCATTAGAAGCAGGCGTTGGTGATCTTGAACGAGCACCGGATAGGATTGTTTTTTCGTCAATAGCATTTTGATTTTTTGTCAAAACGTCGCGCAACAAATCCATGGTGTGTTCCTCGTCGGCTTGTGAGCGGTTACTTCTACCCGATCGGCGACGAGAGGGTGACCGGCTTCGTTTACTGGGTGAACGTCCCATGTCAGATTCAGAATCGTTTGTGTCAGTCGAATTGTTATCATCGTCGTCCTCTGCTACTTCATCCTCATCCATATCTTCATAGTTTGGCAATCCCTCTGGCACAACGTTATCAATTTGGAAACAAAGTGGAATGAAGGATTTAATGAAGGTTCTTATCTTTTCGCGGTCCTGACCACTAAAACCAGACTGCCGATCGATATAAGAATAAATAACACGGGTAACGTCTTTGAAAACTTCGGTATTTTCGAAGGGAAATTTGAACTGGTAATTTTCGGTGGTGGGCAGAGCTTTACAGGAAAGGAAGCTGTTGTCTTTCATCTTTTTTTCTTCTTGAAGACTTTCAATTTCGCTCACAAGCGCTTTGGGTGCCATGGCCTTACGATCGGTACTCTTGAAGGTAATACCTTGGTAATCTAAGGCTCTGTAAAAGTTCTTGGCATCCATTTCGCGCCATATCTTGTTCCATTCGCGCTAATGAAGGAAGCAGGGGAAGGTGAGACACCATCTTTCATCCGTTCAAATAATCATTTATTTTTCTTTTCTTACCTGAGCTTTCTTCCACTCCTCATCCTTTATCTTCAAACGTCTCAATAAAATGGGTATAACTTGAGCAGGATTTGTATATAACATTTCAATAATCTTACTTCCACGTTCCTTATCATATATTTTTTTGATGATACGCTCATAAATAGTGACGGTTTGACCACCCAATCCTGGTTTGAGAGTGAAATTAGCACGTTCTTCAGGTGTCATCATCTCAATTTTCTGGTTGATAGGTTCCAACAGAGCAATGACATTCAAATTAGCGTCAATATGCATATTATAGTCATAACGTTCTTCCTCACAACGATGCATCGCCTCTTCATATTGACTCTTTTTGGAGGCGACGAAACCGTCATCTTCACTCGCCCAGATGGGATGGGACACATATTCATCATTGAGTACTTCCCAGGCAATTTGATCCCTTCCAGAGCAAGGTTGTGTTTGCCACTAGAGAAGAAAAGTGAGGTGAATATTCAACAAAGACCTTAATCTGTAGATGGATAAGTGGGTTTACCTCCTTGGGTACAATACGGTAACTAGGACTCTCTAGTGTTGCTTTGCAATGAGCAAGGTCTGGCTTTGGTACAGGATTAGCAGGTTTCTCTATAGGATGCTCCTTGGGCTCATAACCCACGATGGCTTTAAACCAATCATACAGTTCCTTATTGTTTCCAATAAAAATGCCTACTTGCTGCACCAAAGTATTCAAGTCCAAGATTTGCTCTGTATACAGGTTCAATGTCTTTAAAAATTCCTCATAAGAAGGCTTATTGCCGATGTGTTTGCGAATGCGATCAAAGAGCTCAATTTCTTCTGATGAAACGGAGGGTCGAACAGGATCGAAAGGCGAACTGGGATAGCTATAAGGATCACGCATAGCTACATCAGCATTCACCCCAGGACCATGTCCACCCACGACACTACCACCTTGTGCCACTTCTTTTTGATATAATTTGGATTTCTTTGTATTTCCCTTAAAAAGCAACTGCTATTTTAGAATAGCGTTAAAAAAAATATAATTGGCCAAAAACTATCTTACATGTGTGGTTCTCTTTTTCTTTCCAGGAGGAAGTATACCATTTGCTGGAGGCAGTTCAGCACCACGTTTATTACCCGCAGTGGTTGTAGCCGTGTTATTATAAAAGTTGGGAGATGACATGGTATCGAATAATACGCTGGGTGATTGTCCAGTGATATCGGGCAAAAACTGCTTAAACTCATCCAACAAATCCGGCGCTCCATTAAAAAGATATTGAACATGAGCATATACGTCTTGAATAGGTTTAGAATCCTTTTGATATGTTTGTAATATTTCAAGGAATTGTTTGTAGACTTCTGGCTCATTCGCAAATCGATTTTTGATTTTGTTGACATAGTTGATGGCCTGATTGAATTCAATGGGAGAACGCTTCTCGGAGATGGTGGATGGGGTTGGACTGCTCACAACACCGCCGTGGTGAGAAATGGTTGGGGGTGGAGGCTGTGGATGGCCGATAGAAGCAGGTTGCTGCTGTTGCTGTTGCTGTTGCTGTTGTTGTTGTTGTTGTTGTTGTTGTTGTGTATGCTGTGCACGGAGGGGCGGGGGCGGGTGTTGCGGTTGGTGTTGCTGTGGATGATGATACAATGGTTGGCTCATCATAGACGGGTGAGGCGGAGGGGGCATAGAAGAGGGAGGAGGTTGCTGTTGTTGCTGAATGGGAGGTGGAGGTGGTGGTTGATGCATATGATGACTATAGGGATAGTACGATTGCGATGGAGGTGGCGGAGGTCCTTGATGTGGATGCTGATGATGTGAAGGGGGTGGAGGAGGGTGACCATGGTGATGGTGATGTTGATGGTTTGGAGGAGGAAGCCCTGCATGATGAGCCTGTGGAAGCGATGGTGGTGCAACATTGCTGTTTGAGGGCGGTAACGAGGGGTGTCCATGCATGGAGGAGTTCTCCATTGCTTCCATACGAAGTCGATTATTTCCTCCTCCTGTAGTTGTAGTTGTAACGCCATTGGGGGTTGTGACGGTGATCAAATCTGGTTCACGGGGATCTGTAGAGCATTCAATACGGTAGCCGGGTGGTAAAAAGGTATTAAAACCTGATATCAATGCAGGATGACCTTGGAACAACGTAGACACACGTTCAATAACACCAGGTGTATCAATACTGCAGCGAACAAAAAAAAAAAGAAAAAAAAAAAAGAAAAAGTTATCATACAAAGTTTAAAGTCAAACCAAATAAAAAGCAGCTTTCATCACTTACGCCTGACTTTTGAAATCTTTCATTATATCCAAAAAGCGGTTGTAAACATCTGGTTGATCTGAGAATCGAACTTTGACTTGATCAAGGTAGGTCAAAGCATCTCTGACATTCAGGGGACGGTAATTACCCTCTGCAGCAACAGAAGCAGCATTAGCGCTATTCGTATTCGCAGCAGGCATCATGGGTTGCGTTGGAGGCGCGGGAACTGCGATTGCAGGTGCTGGAGAAGACCGCTGTTGCTGTGGTTGAACTTGTGGATGGGGTGATGAAGAGGATGGAGATGAGTTCGATGGTGGTGGCGGTGGTGGTGGTTGGATAGAGGAAGGTGGAGGTGGATGGACGATACTTGATCTACGCTCAGTATAGGGGGAGGTTGAAGAATTACGTGGCGAGATAGGTGGTAATACAGGATTACTACTACTATTGGGTGCATTATGGCCACCTTTACTGGGAAGCTGCTGCTCAGTAGAAAATGAGCTAGCAGGAGGTAAAGACGGATGTTGACGATGCTGTTGTTGCTGTGAGAGATATGAAGGCGAAGTACCACGTGGTGAAGAAGAAGATAATAGAGAGGGAAGTTCAGTAACTCTTGAAGGAGGAGGTAGTGAAACATTACTACTGGTGGTATTTGGCTGCTGGCTTGTAGGCGGCTGACTAGTTGCCATTGGTAAATTAGGTGGCGTAAGGTGATGAGCATAGGGAGATGGTAATGCATTAGCGTTAGGTTGAGAAATAGGTGGTTGCGATGAGACAGAAGGTGACCTAGTAAAATAAAGCAATGTTGAAAAGGAGTGATGAGTAAAACATATTTGTTAACGTAAAGAAAAGAGAACCTTATGGGCGATACTACCGCATGTTTGGTGGAGGTGGTTGAAGAGGAGAAGACATTTGAACTATATGTTTTCCTTGCTCTAATTCTTAAGCTGCTTGAATACGGTATACACAGTGTGTATAGACTGTAATTATGGATGTCGTTTTATTCAATATCCTACGGAAAAAAAAAAAAGGGAAAGAGAAAAGAGTAAACAAAAGGGTTGCCGAAATGCACTTTTTCCCAGTTCCTCGCTTTTGAACATCTCCAGAGTTTCTTCTCGACTGCTGCTGAAGGTGAATTTGAAGGGAGTATGAATCTCCGAAAAACATCGGAAGAAGCCACTTACAATGAAATACAGGACATGATGACTGCCTTTACTGCAGGTATGCCGCAAAAACAGCATCTGTATCAGACAAGGGCTCATTCAAATAATTTCTTTGGTTTAGAGATACAAGGGCTGTATCGATAGGTTTTTACATCAAAATATATCAAAAAGGGTTTGCTCATAGATTCTGAAAGAGACTTCATTCTTGTATTGAAGAAGCTCATCAAGTTCGGGATTAGAAATACACGTAATAAAAAAAAAAAAGAAAGACTTTTTTATCTCCAACAGGACATTATTGCTTACTTAGTAGATTTTTGATATTATATCTTTATGGAAAAAAAAATCAATACAATACTATGGGTATGCTTTGCAAGATATCGTGAGCATTCATTGTTGAATTGTGTAACTTATTTGTAGTAAATTCAAATGCGTTTCATTGAACAATAATAAATTGATAAGTACTTCTTTGCCAGACACATACACATTTTGGCGTTGATTCAAAGGTTAATCATAACAAAAATGGACATTTTGTGATACAATTAGTGCTGCAGAGATTATGAAAAGGGACGCTTAATTGAATCAAGAAAAGCAACAGTCGAAAAGAAGGATCTAAGCTTGTTCTTTTCTTGGTTTTTTTTTTTTTTTTTTTTTTTTTGATATAGCTCTTTGTCTCAATATTGTTTCAAGTCACGATCAGAAGGTCAAAAGATATCCAGAACTGATAAGCATGTGGTTTTTTTTTGGTTTTTTTGTTGAGGCTACTTCTTTTTCTGGTTCATTTCTTCTCCGTCTCCCCTTTCTGTACCTCTCACTGTCAGTTTTCGTCTTATAAAATGTCATCAGCACAACAACGGCTATTAGAACCTACATCAGGCAAAAGAATTGCATTACCAGTGAGGATAGAGCCAAAAGTGTTTTTCGCCAATGAGCGAACTTTCTTATCGTGGCTCAACTTTACTGTCGTTCTTGGTGGATTGGCAGTAGGGTTACTCAATTTTGGTGACCGTATCAGTCGAATGTCAGCCGTCCTGTTTACATTAACAGCTATGTTTGTGATGTTGTACGCATTATATACTTTTCATTGGAGAGCCAATAAGATTAGGAGCAGGGAAGCAGCTGCTTACGATGATCGAGTAGGTCCAACTGTTTTATGTATATTTCTGATCATTGCAGTAGCCTATAACTTTTATTGTAAGCTCAGAATTTCCGTAAAGTAGATGAATAAAGATAACATTACTAACGTCCCACTTTACTATTCTCTATCTATGCATAGTACGTATGACCCTGAATCCAGAGCCATAATGTCATCTTTGTAAAACGATCCTATCTATGAAATCGTTGACTTCTAAACATATACATACCTAATAAAGCTATACTCATAATTTGTATAATGTACATGCAAAAAGAAAAAGACGTTTGGGAAGAGGAAATTTATTTTTTTTCCCTTTCTTTCATATTAGAAAGACGTTTTGTGAGGATATATGGAGAGAAGGAAAAAATGACTCACTCTTTATCGTCTCCATTGGATGACACTAAAAATGACAGCAAATCCATCTTCATCATCATTTAAAATTCCGACGCTTGAATGAGACAAAAAGTGGAGTAAGAAGGCCCCTTTCTTTGATTTCATTCTAGGTTCTATCACTATTCGTTCCAATTCATTCTTTCCTCTCTTTTTCTATCCAACTCTCCTGTTCAACAAAGAAAATAAAGACATGAAAGCAATTCTTAAAAAATTAATACACACGCCAGATCAATTTTCAGGCAAGGACGCAGAAGAAGCTGTGCATGAAATAATGAAAGGCACAGCGACACCCAGCCAGATCTCGGCCTTCCTCATTTCACTTCGGTTGCAAGACAAAGATCGCGACCCACACATTGTAGCGTCTTGTGCGAAAGCGATGCGTACTCATGCCAAAAGAATTGAATATACAGGTTATGAACATTTATGTCAACATGTCGTCGATATTGTGGGGACGGGCGGAGATGGACATGATACGTATAATGTGTCGACCACTGCATCTATCGTAGCAGCGGGAGCAGGAGCAAAAGTAGCCAAGGTAAGGCAGGTGGTGAACAAAGAAGGGATCAAGAAGCAATTCACTGCAGAGAGGGATGTTTTCATTTGTGTATTGACGTTTTCATTACTTTGTGTTGTCTGTCATAGCATGGTAACCGAGCTTCTTCTTCAAAATCAGGATCGGCGGACCTCATGGAAGCACACGGCTGTCAGATTGCTCTTGTTCAACCAGACCAAGTGGCAGGGATTTTAGAACGAACCAATTTCTGCTTTTTGTTTTCACAAATCTATCATCCTGCCATGAAGCATGTGGCGTCCATTCGGAAAGAAATTGCGGTCCCTACTGTATTTAATATGCTGGGACCAATGTCAAACCCTGCAAAACCAGCACGGATGGTTGTAGGTGTTCATTCACCGGAAATTGGTGAATTAATGGCTCAAGCTTTGAAATTGACGGGTGTCCAAGATGCTTTAGTTGTTTGCGGATCGGAAAAATTAGATGAAATCAGTCCTTCAGGTGAAACAAATGTAAGGATGATGCCCCGTTTTTTTGGTTGTTTTTTTTTGGCTTTATTGGCTTTGCATGTGCTAATTAATTTTTATTATTGATAGTACTGGAGAGTACGAGGGACAAATGAAGAATTGATCAGTGGTACACTTCATCCTACACGTGATTTTGGTTTAAAGACACATCCCTTAACTGAGGTAAAAGGAGGCGATTGCTACGACAATGCAGAAATATTACAACAATTACTTAATGATGAATTACACGAAGACCATCCCATATTGGATTTTGTTCTGTTGAACGCGTCCGCTTTATTAGTAGTCGCGGGTATCGCAAAGGACTTTAGAGAAGGTGTAGTGAAGGCACGCGAATCTATCAAGCAAGGAAAAGCGAAAGAAGTCTTGGAGACGTTTAGAAAAGAGAGTTTGCTATTTCACTTGCCACAATCACCACCTCAAGAAGAGTCTGCTAAAAATTGAGCTAAATCTGTTGCAACAGCTATTCTACGTTGAGCATTATTCCCCCGAGTTACACCGAGTTGAGCGATCAGTTGCATCATTTTGTCATGGCAACTCTCGCCCATGATAGTTACCATGCCAACGTTACCTTCATCTGCATTCTCTTTTAGCGTGCATTTATGTAGCATTCCAAGTATTACATTTCTGGATAACCCGAATAGATCAAATATATGATCATTTGCACTGTTGCAGACTAATAATAAAGAAGCATCTTCGTTTGAAAAAATCGAGTCACTTAATTGGGTACAGAATGTCTAATAGTGCAGAATTAAATTTAGAGGGTCGTGCAAAAAAAAAAAAGAAAAAAAAAATTAGTGCCTTTTGCGCGGTCATTAGCATTAGCATAAACTTCACCTTGATAAATCGTATAAATGTTGGTCGTATCACTTTTATCTTTAGATAATGTGAAAAATAGACTCGTAAGGCCTCGTTTGATGTGAGAAGCATTGGATTGGTTCCTAAAGGATGGTTGTTTGTATTTAGAAAAATGCCATTTTCTTCGTAGTTTTTACTGCTGCACCAAATATAGTCAGAAAAGAAATCAAAAATGACGTTTTTTTTCGGTACTTTACTTATCATTTCTAAATTATGGCGTTGTATTAAGAGCGGGGCATCATTAGCAGTATTAAATCTCCATTCAACTGAATATGATTCTGATATCCTCCCAAAAGATGACTGCTGTGGTCCTTCCGAAAGCTGGTATTGACAAGCAATGCGTAAATTGTTTGTCAAATCATACAGACTGATATCAGGTAATAAGGTGAACTGTATATAGAAACTCAATAAATCGTCGCTGTTGTCTTTTGGAGCAGTGATCGCCGCTGTATTATAATGGACAGTTTCGGGCAGAAATTTGTTGGGTAAGCAAGAAAGACGTGCTTGGGTTACGCTCACCACAACTTTCTTATCATCATGAAGACGTTGACTTTTCAGATAAAAGACAGAAAAAAGTTAGCTTTTCAGCATGAAGGCAGATGTCTTGCCTTTTTTTTTTTGGGTATAGGAAGGCATAGGACGTTTCATTATCTATTTCAAGATGACCTAGGAAAAAAAAAAAAAAATACTTACATCATCACTCTGCCTCGCGCTTGAATCCAAATTTTGTCTTTATCATAAACCCAGCCTTGACAATCCACTAATTCTATTAGCACATCATCGTTACTGTCTGTCTTTCTATCGTTATTGAGTTGAATTTTTCTCTTTTCGTTTGCATTTTCATATAAAGCTTCTTTTAGATCCTTTTGAAGAATAAATTGAGATTCTTTCAGCAATGCTTTTTTTGTCGACATCTAGACTCATTTTAAAGGCATGCGAGAAACATAGTATAGAGATGGTCAACATGAAACGAAATGAGCAAAAAAAAAAAATAAAAAAATATATAGAACAAGTGCATATGGACTGTTGCCAAGAATTTCCAACTTTAAAAAAATAAAAAACCTTTACTTTTCTTAGAACATCATTTTTCTCATCTTGACACTGAGCAAGTTTATCTTGCAGTATAGTCAAAGTGTTTAATAGTTCTTTGGTGCCATTGGCTGTATTTGGGAATAATGATGTTGATGATGTCGCCATTTGATAATGTTAAGCAATAGAAAATGTCTTGCATTTATTTTGGGGGGAGCAGAAAAAAAAAGATCTACAAGTTCCTCACATTAAATGAACCTATGCAAAAAGGAAATGTGACACACACCTTTGAGTTCTAAAGATAGAAAGGAAAGTGGTGTAGTGACAGTTTCTGATTGGCTGGTAACAGAATTAAGGTCGGTTTCAGGAAAAAAAGGCCTGTGCTACAGCGATTATGTTTTGTTGCTTTTTGGGCGAATGTTGAATTTTTTTCGTTTCTTTTTTGTTTACTTTGCTTTAGAGGCGTATAAAACAGACACATATCATTTTCTACTCTTTTCTTCTCCTTTCCTTTCTTTTCCCTTCTTTATTTCTTTGACTTATTCAACACACCCTATTTCTTTCTTTTTTTTTCCTATTTATTCTTAATAATGAAAGCTCTTATTCTCGTTGGTGGTAAGTGGACGACAACAACCTTGAGACTTTTTAGTTGAAAAGAAAACGGCATCGTTGACTGGGTCTTTTTTTTTGGACACATTGGCTCTATCTCGTTTTCTAGGTTTCGGTACTCGTCTTAGACCTCTTACTCTTACCCTTCCTAAACCACTTGTTGAATTTGCCAACAGACCTATGATTCTGCACCAAATTGAAAATCTTGCCAAGGTAGGATGAGTAAGACGAATAAACTAAATTCGTTAGCGCCCTCAAATTAAATAGTAACTTCTCAATAGGCCGGTGTCACTGATATTGTCTTGGCAGTCAACTACAGACCTGAAATCATGGTCTCTGTCTTGAAAGAATATGAAAAAGAATATGGTGTTAATATTACTTTCTCTGTCGAAACTGAACCTTTGGGCACTGCTGGTCCTTTGGCCTTGGCTAGAGAAATCCTTGCCAAGGACGATTCCCCTTTTTTCGTATTGAACAGTGATGTCATTTGTGATTATCCTTTTGAACAAGTGAGAGACTTTCACAACTCTCATGGTAACGAAGGTACCATCATCGTTACCAAGGTAGATGATCCTTCCAAGTACGGTGTTGTCGTCAACTATCCTGACTCCACCAAGATTGAGCGTTTTGTTGAAAAGCCTCAACAATTTATCTCCAACAAGATTAATGCTGGTATTTATCTGTTCAATCCTAGTGTTTTGGATCGTATTGAGGTATCGTATTATTATATATGACGTGCGCGTAATTTGATGTTTACAGAATAGTGTGAGTGACGTGTTTCGCTAAAACCAAAAAAAAAAAAAAAAATCTGTGTCGATCTTTTTTTTGCCTTTGCTAGTTGAAACCTACTTCCATTGAAAAGGAAATCTTTCCTGGCATTGCCAAGGACGGTGAACTTCACACATTCGATTTAGATGGTTTTTGGATGGATGTAGGTCAACCCAAGGATTATTTGACGGGTACTTGCCTCTACCTTTCTCATTTGGCCAAGAACAAACCACAGGATTTAGCCAATCCTTCATGCGAATATGTTCATAAGGGTAACGTCATGGTTCATCCTACAGCAAAGATCGGTAAGGGCTGTCGTATTGGTCCCAACGTCGTTGTTGGCCCCAACGTTGTCATCGGTGACGGTGTGAGACTTCAACGCTGTGTTATTATGGAAGGCGCCAAGGTGAAAGACTATGCCTGGGTTCAATCCAGCATTGTTGGCTGGCATTCCTCTGTGGGTCGTTGGTCTAGATTAGAAGGTTGCTCTGTCTTGGGTGATGATGTTTCTATCGCTGACGAAATCTATGTCAATGGTGGTTCCATCTTACCTCATAAATCCATCTCCTCAAACATTACTGAACCCCAAATTATCATGTAAATAATTTTTTCCTTATTCATTTTTGTCTTGATCATTCTCCCGTTTACACATGTCACCTCTCTCCTATACACACACCCTCTCTCTCTCTCTTTCTCTATCTCTCTACCGTAAAGCATTTCTTCTTTTTAAACTAATCTAATACGCTTATTATTTCATTATTTTAACTATTTTCCCTCTATTATAATATATATCTATATATACGCATACACGCAACTTATTTCTATGCCTTGCTTTTACAAGACACACACAAAAAAAAAAGAAACAAGTTTTTAAAAAAAAATATGACAATCCTAGATCCCCAATTAATTTACACGAGGAAAGATTGGATCCATGGATCATATTCTATGGCCGACATGGGTATGCGTGCAGAAGGATCTCGTTGTAACAATTTCAACATAAATTCTTTGGCTCCTGAGCTCAGATCGTCAGGGAATTGAATTTGGGCTTCCACAATACGTTGGTACACTCTTTCAGGATTGACAAAATCTTCTCTCAAGTTTGCCACGTCTTCAAAAGGAGCTATACCCACTAAGAGTTCATAACAAATAACGCCTAAAGCCCACACATCAACGGCTTGACCATAAGCTTTACGTTGGATCATTTCAGGCGGTAGATAATCTAATGTACCACAAAATGTACGCCTTCTATTAACATTTTTTCCATTAATTTCCGAGCCCCTCCAACGCGTTATCATTCTTAAGCGTACGTTTTCATACTTTACCTTGGATTGGGATCGTAAACGGCCCAGCCAAAATCTGCTATTTTTAGATTGCCATCTTTACTAATCAGGACTTTTGTTTTTTTTTTTTGGGAAAGAAACGGGTGATCAATTTGTGATGTAACAAAAAGGGAAATGGCCTACCAAAAGGAAAAAAGACATTGTTTCATTAAGTAGCTTACCGTTTTCTAATTTGAGATCCCGATGGATCACTCCCAAACCATGCATATAGACCAACGCATCCGCAATCTCGACAATAAACTGCGTGCAAACATAAAAAAAAAGAAAAAAAGAATAGCTCTATTCAATCATCCACTTGATCTCTACAAATACAATAAAAAGATGCTTTTTACATTGGCCGCTTCAGCTTCGGTAAATCGTTTATGTGTTGATAAACAGGTGTATAAATCACTATCGCCACCGTATTCCATGACAAGAACGACGGTGTCCCTGTTGTGAAAATATCCAAATAGCTTTGCAATGTTGGGATGACTGCAGTACATAGGAAAAAAAGGACATTAACATGGAAAGCTCATCATCCATCATTGTGAATATACTCACTCTAGATGATATTGGATCTCTATTTCTCTTTTGAGGAATTGTATCACCGATGCCTCTTCCAACTCTTTCTTCTTCATGATTTTCAAGGCTACAATTTGCCCTGACCTTTTCTCTCGCGCTTTGTATACTGTACCAAATTTTCCTGTACCAAGGTTTTCACCCACTATAAAGTCATGAATGCTCCAATCTTCTCTTCTAGATTTATCGCGAAAGCAAGAGCGGATGGATATTCGCAAATGAAACCATACAATCTCTAACCCTGTACATCCAGTGAGCCTTACCTTTCCATGGACTTCTTTCCTGATGTCAGAGCATTGTTCCATGCCTCCACATCCACGACGCGTTCATTGACTCCAAAATGCCTTCTCACAGCCGGTGAATCCATCACATTCATCCCTTCTTCCAAGTAACTTTGATCTTCTGTTGCTGCCAACTGCTGGTATAATAGAGTCCTTTTCTCTCTCGCAAAAGTAAGTTGGTTGGATATCATGTTTTTCTCGCTTGTGGTATAATCATCATAGATAGTATCGTTGTGGTCGTCATAATGATAGTTGAACGGGGTTCCTCCTGCTGAACTTTGTCCCTTCAAATAAGCGGGCGTTCTCATACCCACTCGTCTTGGTGTGTAGTCAACGTAATTTATATCTTTGGCATTGCTGTCAATGGCTGATGTGTACATTGGGTTCATCATGGAGATTCCAACATGCAGACGGTTGGTTTTTTTTCTTCCCTAACACACTCTTCTCCCTTGATTCAGATACTACGCCTTTCAAGAGAATGTTGAAACAATGAAACAAGATACGCAAATGACCAAAGGCTGCGCAAAGTGGGTGGAAAACGGTGCTTGTTTATTTGCAAAAAGAAAAAAAAAAACCAAAAAACCCCCCCCACTAAAACGGCATGATTTGAAACGCGAAATGACTATAGAACGTGTTTTTTTAATTCGTATATCGCGTACTGAAAGAGCATTATGCAACAGGAATCCTTAAAAGATAGTGTTTTTCAATCACATCACTCATTCCCAATTCTTTGAAAAAAAAAATACGCACTCTATTCTTTTGGCAAACTCGTCTCATGGAACTCATGTAATAAACTGTTGTCTATTTCCTTGAAAAGACAACAAGAAAAGCTCCTCAAAAAGCACTTTATGCCCAATAACTGTTATCCACCCCTTAACAATGCAGTTTATTGATGCTTTAGCAACGTCTTATTCATTAAGCCTATTCTGATCGTCGTCTCTTTCCTTTTGCGTCGAGCCTTTTTCTTTTTCGTAATGAGGCAACGACCGATCGTATGATCCATAGAGTGCACAAAACAACAATCAAGAATGTACCGATAAACACAAGAGAACGATCCTTTCCTCTGCCCACAGGTACATATAATTCAAGTGGCGGTGTTGAAGACACGCTATTTGTCAGCGCTGTAAAACGAGCTGTTGTTGTCGCTGCTGTCAAAGGCAGATCGGCTAAAAGTGAATACTTTTCTCGAAGGGGTGTGGGGTAACTACTTTCATTGCTATCACCACCGCAGGTCCAGCCTGCATAAGGTGCTTGTATTGTAATCGATTGACTTTCTTTGTTATTCGAAGGTTGTTGGTATCTGAGATGAAGTGGTAATTCTAAATGTATAGCTGGCTTGACATGATGTTGCCGTAAAAACACAATGCTTCCTCTTTCGTCTTTGATTTTTTCGAGAGGCAATTCTAGGTCATGTTCGCCGATAACGGTGGCGGTTCCTATTGTGGAAACGAGATCGCGTAATTGATACGGATCGACAAATACGCTGGGAGGCAAAACGTAAACTATGTCTAGGTGGCAATCGAGGAACGGATCAAGCTCATCCTTTTTGTTGAACTGTAAATAAGTTGTTATTTTAGGATGAAGACTGTCTGCCTGCACAATTTTCGACGCTATTTGTACCATGTCCTACAATTATTATACGACGAGTAAGCTGTATAATTCTCTCAATGGAACAGAAAAGACAAAAGAGTCAGAGAGACTTGTTCTTCCAAAGCGTGTATTGCGGCATTTGAATGAAAGGGGAAATGGGTAGCAAAAAGCGTCAACATCACCGACTGTCAGAATAATGGATGCCAAGAGGGCATAAAAACAAAGCTTTTCAAAATTTGAAAAAGACAATAAAGAAAACAGAATGGTTTAACAAACGTTGATGTAGGAACTAGAGTGGTCTCGATCTTCTTTGTAATGGTTGTTATTGTTGTCTTTTTTATAGCTTCTTCAGCGCACCGCTTTTTCATCCAACCAGAAAAGTCTTAATGTGGGTGGGAGCGGGGGAGTCACAGCAACCGCTGTGATTGGTCTATATTTGTCATCGCCCATGCTTTCTTTTTCAACCCCTCCAAAGTCTGGTTGGAAAGCTGGCAGACATTCATCTTTTTTTTTTTTTTTTTTTTTTTTTCCTACTTCCCTTATCAAAAACTTTATACTACAATTTATTACAATGGCACAAATTCTTGGAACAATAGCTAAGTGGGCAATCCCTGTTGGTCTCGCTGCTGGTGGTATTCAATCTGCCATGTACGATGGTAAGCAAAATGAGGAACAATTGTAACAGCATGGGCGTAAAAAAAAACCTTGCAAAGCAACGATCTTGACATGTGCTGCTTTTTTATGATTTAGTTCAGGGGGGTTACAGAGCTGTCATTTTCGATCGTATTCAAGGTGTTAAACCTGCTTCTGTTGGTGAAGGTACTCACTTCTTAGTTCCTTGGCTTCAACGTGCTGTTTTATTTGATGTTCGTACCAGACCTCGTAATATCTCCACCACCACCGGTTCAAAGGATATGCAAATGGTTTCTTTGACATTGCGTGTTTTACATCGCCCAGAAATCAGAAACTTGCCTCAAATTTATCAAAACTTGGGTTTGGATTATGACGAAAGAGTGTTGCCATCCATTGGTAACGAAGTTTTGAAGGCTGTTGTTGCTCAATTTGATGCTTCCGAATTGATTACTCAAAGAGAAGTCGTTTCTGCAAAGATCCGTGAAGAATTATATAAGCGTGCCAAGGACTTCAACTTGGCATTGGAAGATGTTTCTATTGTAAATGAAGAGCCTTATGTGACAAAAAAAAAAAGAAAGAGTCAATTTGGAAAAGAATTGTTTCGTTAACCCAATCTATCTATCTTGCCCTTGTCTTTTCTTATAGACCCATATGACTTTCGGTAAAGAGTTTACTAACGCCGTTGAACAAAAGCAAATTGCTCAACAAGAAGCTGAACGTGCCAGATTTGTTGTCGAACGTGCTGAACAAGAAAAGCAAGCTGCCATCATTCGTGCTGAAGGTGATGCAGAAGCTGCCGAAATGATTTCTGCTGCTTTGGCCAAGGCTGGTGAAGGGTAAAGGATTGAATGAAATGCTGGAGTCATTTGCAACATGATCAAACACTAAAACAAATCGCTTCTTTTATTGTAAAAAATAGTCTTATTGCTTTCCGTAGAATCGAAGCCAGTAAAGACATCGCTCAAACACTCTCTCAAGCCCGCAATGTCACTTATTTACCAAGCAGTGCTAACGGTGGCAGTAACCTTCTTTTGGGTATCAATGGTGCTTAAACGTTCACTTGTATTATAATGTAATAGATTAAAATGTACTTCTTCCTTTTCCTTTTTTTTACCCTCGGTCGTTTGTAGGCATCACGAACCACGTATTTAAATATTAACTCTAATAAAAACTTTGAATAAATGCATTGAGATCCAAACGATTGAATAAACTATGGCATTTTTGCCATATGATAATGATCTGTTACAAGTAAAAAAAAGGAGGAAAACCTCAACCGCAAGATCATCAACATCCACGAAATCCTTTCAACACTGCTGTTGTTTTCTCGTCGAAAGCACCTGTCTAGTTTGTCTTTTTGACCTATTACCTCCATATTTAAAAAAACTTGGCCCTGAGTATTAACTTGACTCACTCGCAAAAGCTATAATTGAATTAGCTACCCATCCTAATATAACTTGGCGCATCATTCATTGGTCCACCCTTTGACTTTAAACATGGCACGCAAACGGGATGTAATGAACGAAGGGGCGATTGTATACAGAAAGATATTACAGAAATTCATCGGGACCTTTATGGGGATAGACAAGACAGTGCTATAAACCATTGCTATTAGGCTGCTCATCAATAAGCACTTATTCAATGATCTAAGGTAGTGTTTAAAGCCAATGGCTGAGAAATACAATATACCATGCTTAGGCATCATTTTCATGGGCAATATTCAAAATGCGCTTTGTTTGTTAGGATTATGTACGATTCATATGCCGCAGCAGTGATAGAACACTTGTATGTTTGTGGTTCATTGTTCGTCACTTGGGTGTTTTCATTCTCTCTCAATGTTTAACGGTGCACGAATTCGTAGGAAATGCGTTTCAAAAATAAGATGCTTCATTACTTTTTTTTTTTCTCTTTTGATCTGATTTGGCCCCGCCAAATTCGACAAAATACCTTGTTATAGTTTAGTTCAAAAACTATACAAACAGTAATCAAAAGGCAATTTTAACCTATATGGCAGTTTTTCCCTCTCTTTCACAACTAAAAACTAAGGCCTAATAACTGCAAAAAAAACATATAGAACGATAATTGTACCTTTAAGTAAGTATTATCATAGAAGTAACTCATAATTAATCTCTACTAACATTTTCAATAAAAGTTGTCTTTAAACAAGAAAAGAAATAGTTTTTGTTGATTGAAATTCAGATCTACGATTATCGGACTATGAAATTCGATCCGCGAACTCGGGCAAAAATCGTACGAGAAACGTCGCAATGTAAAAGTTTATACAAACGTATGCGAAATCAAGTAATAATTTCCCAATGTTAAGAGAGAGAAAAATGCCCAATGAACAGGGCCAGAATGGCTAATATTCACGCTAGTTTCAAAAATAAGTATGCGCTCGACTGCTCACTATTTTTATCCTATTGACGAGTTTAGTTTGAACTAGTGTTTGCTTCGTAACCGGGATTCATTTGAAAAAGTCACTGTATCTTATAAAAATACCAGACAAAAAAAAAAAAAAAAAAAAAAGAAAAAAAGAAATAGAGATGCAGCCTCCAATAGTTTAATGTAGGTTTCAAAGGTGCCTGTCAGGTCAGCCGACGTGGTTGTTTAGAAACCAATTTTTATAGTTCAGCCCAGGAACCCCATTTCTTGTTCAGTTTTAATACGTGGAAGTTAGCGTACTTCACCTTGAACATCAAGAATGAGCTCATAAATAAGTATTTGCTATTATAAAGCTCCTGTTTTATACAGCCTACTTTTGTAAAGAGCTATGCTCGATTAGATACACCGTTCCTGTAATACAACACGACAGGTCTGTCAATGAGGGACACGTCAATTTCTACTCAACCCATATGTGTAACTATATTCGTCTTATCATTTCAGGACTGGCATCATAATCTATTGCAGTTTAAACGAAAAGCAATTCACTGTGAAATGTAAATTTCAATACCCTTTTCCATTGGCTTTTGCTTGTATTATAACTGGACGCAGACGACCGGATGGCCAAGGCGTTCAGTTACACATAATATGCGAACTTTAAATCTGCATTGAAGAAATCTTTAAATCTGCTATCAATTACAGTATACGACATAAGTTTTGATATGGGGAATAGTAACCAAGTAATGAAGCCTGCTGCTCGTTATCAAAAAAGAACCCCTTTTTCTGAGCAGTCGGTCATCCAAAAAATCCTAATGTTTCTGATGCCATAAAAATTTTCTTTTGACGTTTCTGTCAACTTTTGGGGAGTCTAACGATTGATCGCTTTAAATCAACTTTTTTTTGGCCTGACAGCTCTTCATTCCTTTGTACATCTTTTTGCCTAACATCTACGAAAACGCCCTTTACAATCTTTATTGGGGAATAAAGCTTTGTATATACAATTATTATTAACGGGCGTGTCTTTTTCATCTTTACCGTTTATATCTCTTTTTTAATTCTTTGATACCATCTTGCATTTTTGTTTTATTCTTAATTTGTTTCTGTTTGAAAACCAAAAAAGGTATTAGCAAAAGAAGGAATAAAGCGTGTATTTTACGTGTACATACATCTAAACTTCCCTTTGCCATCAGCTTCTAAAGCATACATAATATTAGGCAATGTCATCTATTGAAGAATCAGTTCGTCCTGTGTCATTTAAACATGGAGAGACAGAGATTACTCTCCTTGTGCCAGACAACCTCGCTGGATTTACTGAACAACTCAAAAAGGATCTCTCTCTTGAAGACGCCATCGAAATATCAAATGAAATTGACCTTATGGCCGAATTTTTAACATTAGCTGCCAACCGTGCTATCCATGAGCCAGTTTATTATAAGATCACTTCGCATCTCTTCAACTACTTCTGCGAACATTATGTCAAAGAGGACAATGTGCATGCTATCACTCGTGATTTGACAATTGATTCGAGAAAGTCCATCATCAAATCGTATTATTCAACACTTTCATTACTGCAAACAAAAGGCATGGAAGCACTTGAACATAGATCGACCAAAAAATCAGCATTGTACGAGGCAGCAATAGCAGGGAAAGCTGATTTGTTTGCTATATTCGGTGGACAGGGCAATGTTGAAGAATATTTTGACGAACTAGTAGAGATTTGGGACACATATAGGCCTATTGTGAAGGACGTGGTAAAAAGAATGTCAGCTGTCTTACACGAAGAAGCACGCACACTTGAGGCTAAAGATGCCCACCCGAAAGGCTTTGACTTATTACAGTGGTTGGAGAATGCTGAAGTCAGGCCTGATGTACAATACCTTCTTTGTGCACCTGTCAGTTTGCCGTTGATTGGACTGATTCAACTCTTACATTATTATATTATGACACGGGTCATGGATATTGATTTTGATGAGCTCAGGAGCTTATGGAAAGGTGAGTACTTTTTTCTTTCTTTTATTTTTAATCCTCATCAATGACCGGCAGTGAACATAATAGCTGATCTGTTATTCCTCATGGAAAAAAAAAGGTACAAGCGGTCATAGTCAAGGCATTATTAGCTCTATTGTTATTTCTGCCTCATGCTCCGAAAAGCAGTTTATAGACAATGTAGAGAAAGCTATCCGTCTCCTCTTCTGGGTGGGCACCAGAGCACAACAAGAATATCCCATTTTCACCTTGAGCCCAACCATCATTGAAGACTCTGCTAGCAATAATGAAGGCAATCCTACACCTATGCTTGTTGTCACAGGTCTGAAAGAAGATCAATTAATCAAATTCGTCAATGAAACCAATTCTCACTTAGAAACTGATCGTCAAATCGAAGTTGCTTTACGCAATGGCCCTGTTTCTTTTGTCTGTACTGGCCCTCCTCAATCTTTGTATGGCTTAAATCTTGGACTGCGTAAGATCAAGGCCCCCTCTGGCCTTGATCAATCCCGCGTTCCTCACTCCCAGCGCAAGCTTAAATTCTCTTCTCGCTTTTTGCCTATCACTGCTCGATTCCACAGTGTCTACTTAAAATCAACTGTCAACATTATTATGGAGGATGTTCAAAAGAATGGCTTGATGTTTGACTCTGCTGATTTGAAAATCCCCGTTTTTTCTATGAATTCAGGTAGGAGCGTGAATTCTTGCAAAGTGGGGCTTTGGGGGCGGGATGGGGAAGAGACCAGAGAACTAGAAAGGAGTGATACAGATACTAAACAATTTTACATCGTGAATGTAGGAAATGATTTGAGGGGCATCAGTAATCTTACTAAAGAATTAGTCGAGTTGATCTGTGTACAACATGTCGACTGGGAAAAAGCAATTCCCATAAAGAATTTAACTCATATTGTCGATTTCGGACCTGGTGGAGTTTCTGGCATTGGAAGCTTAACACACCGCAATAAAGAGGGTACAGGTGTACAAGTGGTATTGGCAGGCGTTTTGGAAGGAGCCAATGATGATTTATCCTACAAAGCTGATCTTTTCGATACCAACGCTCAATCGATTAAATATTCACCTAACTGGGCCAACCTTTACCAACCTAAACTGGTCGAGACCAGCAGGTAAAATTGATCATTTTATTCTTCACAAAAATAGCTAGTAGTAAAGTGAATAAGAAGAGTCCTAAACTCCTCTCCTCCCCCGCCTTCAATTTATAGTGGCCGTATCCATATCGATACGAAGATGTCTCGTTTGTTGGGCAAACCACCGCTCATGGTAGCTGGTATGACTCCTAGTACGGTAAATGAAAAATTTGTCTCTGCCGTTATGAATGCAGGCTATCATGTAGAACTTGCTGGTGGTGGACATTTCAACGAAAAGGTTCTCCGTGACAAGGTGGATAAGATTATGCAGCTAACACGCCCTGGAGAAGGTATCACATTAAACATTATCTTTTTGAACGTTCTTCAGTGGGGCTTCCAATATCCTCTTGTGCAGGTTATGCGTAAAGAGGGCTTACCCATGGAAGGCCTCTGTATTGCTGCAGGTGTTCCCAGTATTGATAATGCGAATGAAATTATTGCTAACCTTCAGTCTGCTGGTATTCGTCATGTTGCGTTCAAGCCTGGTAGTATCGATGCTATCCGCCAAGTGATTGCTATTGCAGTTGCCAATCCCACGATGCCAATTATGTTGCAGTGGACTGGTGGTCGTGCAGGTGGCCATCATGGTTTTGAAGATTTCCATCAACCTATTCTCGAAACCTATGCCGCTATTCGTCGTCAATCCAATATTATCCTTGTTGGTGGTTCTGGTTTCGGTGGTGCTGAGGACACTTTACCTTACATGAATGGTGACTGGTCTGTAGCATTTGGTTATCCTCCTATGCCTTTTGATGGTATTCTCTTTGGTTCACGTATGATGGTTGCTAAGGAAGGATTAGCTTCTACCGCAGCTAAACAAGCCATGGTGGATGCCCCTGGTGTCTCTGATAGCGAATGGGAAAAAAGTTATAAGGGGCCTGCTGGTGGTGTTATTACCGTTCTTTCTGAAATGGGCGAACCTATTCATAAAATAGCTACTCGTGGCGTTAAATTATGGAAAGAGCTTGATGACACCATTTTCAGTTTACCCAAAGAAAAACGTCTACCTGCTTTACTGAAGAAGAAGGATTACCTTATCAGGCGATTAAACAGTGATTTTCAGAAAGTTTGGTTTGGTCAGAAAAAGACAGGAGAAGCAGCCGATTTGGAAGATATGACATATTCAGAAGTAATCCATAGATTGATCAGCCTACTTTATGTGAAACAAGAATGCCGTTGGATCGATATCACTCTAAGAGACTTGGTTGGCGATTTCATCTTGAGGGCTGAAGAGCGTTTCTGCAACAGTTCGAAACCGTCTATCCTCCAAAACTACGAACAATTAGACAAACCTATGACATTTGTGGAAAAATTCACTGAAGAATACCCAGAGAGTGAGGATCAACTTCTCACGTCTGAAGATGTTATGTACTTCCTCTCATTATGTAAGCGTCCAAATCAGAAGCCTGTACCTTTCATTCCCATCATGGACAATGATTTTGAAGTATGGTTCAAGAAGGACTCTTTGTGGCAGTCCGAAGATCTTGCTGCTGTAGTTGACCAAGATATTCAACGTTGTTGCATTCTTCACGGGCCTGTCGCTGCTAAGCATGTCAATGCCGTTGATCAACCTGTTGGTGAAATTTTGGATGATATATATGAAAGCCATATTCATAGCATTAAGGAAAAGTTCTACAAGAATAAGCCAATTCCCAAAGCAGAGTATCTTAGCTGTGTACCTATCAAAGCAACAGCCATTCAGCCCACAATTTCAACGGAAACTGAAAGAGTTTATGATGTTCAATCTGACGATTTACCGTCTGAGGACGAATGGATAGAAGCCATTGCTGGACCTCACTACAATTGGTTGCGTGCTTTGTTAACCTCACCCTTCATTGTACAGTACAAAAAGTTCTCGGACAATATTGTTAGACATGTCTGTAGACCTCGACATGGACAAAAAGTCATTGTTTCATCATCAAAGTCGAATGGTGATATTATTTCTGTAGATATTCAAGATAGACGTGCTTGGAGCAGCAACGGACCCAGCACACAGTATGAAACATCTATCAAAATCATAGCCGAGGGTGACAGAATCAGTATGACTTTGCTCGAACAATGCAAAGGCCATACTCTACCCTTACGTTTTGAGTATCTTTACAAGCCTGAGATCGGTTATGCACCCATTCATGAAATTATGGATGGTAGAAATCTACGAATCAAACAGTTCTACTTTAAACTTTGGTACGGTTTTGATAATGATGAAGACTTCATCAATATGGATGTTGATAAGAAGATTGTTTACAGAAACGAAGTGGTCAAATATGAAGATATTGCAGAATTCTGCCGAGCGGTTGGAAATCAAGCCGAACTTTATGGACACCGCGACCATGACATTGTAAGAGCGCCAATGGATTTTGCAGTTGTTTTTGGTTGGAAGGCTATCATGAAGAGTCTTTTCCCTAGAATTGCTGAGGGCGATCTATTAAAACTTGTTCATTCTGGTTTTAATTTCCGTATGATGGAAGGTGAAGATCTCCTTAAAGTTGGTGATGTTGTTGATATTGAAGCAAACATCATTGCTGTAGTGAATACACAATCTGGAAAACTCGTTAAATCCAAGGGTATGATTATTCGCGATGGCAAACCTGTCATGGAAATTGCTAGTCAATCCCTCTATCGTGGCAAATTCACTGATTACGAGACAACTTTTGAGAATAAGGCGGAAGCTCCGATGGAATATCATATTCAAGGAAAGAAGGAATTGGCCATTCTCAAATCCAAGGACTGGATTCATTGGACTGATGCAGCTGAAAAGCATAATGTTGGTCCTGGAAATTCTTTAATTTTCCGTTTGGAAAGCAAACTCAAGTACAAGAATAGCAATATGTACTCATCTGTAAAGACATTCGGCTCTGTCACAATGCAAGTCTCCACCAAGGAATTTGTTGAGGTGGCTCGTATAGAATACGAATCCGGAGAAAGTTACGGTAATCCAGTCATTGAATTCTTGAAACGTCATGCGAAGGAAATCGAACAGGCAAACTACTTTGCAAATGGCGGCTATTCCATCACCCCTGATCGCTCCATTTATCAGTCTGTCGTTCATGCACCTGTTTCCAATGAACCCTATGCCAACATCTCCAGAGACTTCAATCCTATCCATGTTAACCCTTACTTTGCTGATATTGGCCGTTTCCCCAGCACAATTACTCATGGCATGTGGACTAGTGCCGCTGCTCGTAAATTCGTGGAAATCTTTGCTGCTGATAATGTCCCTCGTCGTGTCGTATCGTATGATGTCAAATTTGTTGGTATGGTCTTCCCTAACGATACTCTTGAAACCAAACTATCACATATTGGTATGAAGAACGGCCGTAAAATAATCAAGGTAGAAACAATAAATCAGAGCGGTGAAAAGGTTCTCGAAGGTATTTCTGAAGTCGAACAACCGATCACTGCTTATGTCTTTACTGGTCAAGGCTCCCAAGAAAAAGGGATGGGTATGGAATTGTATGAACGCTCTCCTATCGCCAAAGCTATTTGGGATCAAGCTGATGAACACTTTTTGGAGAATTATGGATTCTCTATTATTGATATTGTAAAAAATAATCCTAAAGAAAAGGTCATTTATTTCGGTGGACCAAAGGGCGAAAAGGTGCGTCAGAATTATATGAGCATGGTTCACGATGTCATTGCAGATGACGGTACAGTTCAAAGCAAGCGTTTGTTCCCTGAAATCGATGAATACACACCATTTTATAAGTTTATTTCCTCCAACGGTTTGCTCAATTCCACCCAATTTACTCAGCCTGCCTTGACATTAATGGAGACAGCTGCTTTTGAGGATATGCGTTCTAAAGAATTGATTCAAAAAGATTGTGCCTTTGCCGGTCACTCTCTTGGCGAATACTCTGCTTTAGCTGCTGTTGCGAAGATTCTACCAATCAATACCTTGGTCGATGTCGTCTTTTATCGTGGTATGGCTATGCAATCCGCAGTTAAACGAGATGAGTTAAGTCGTTCTGATTATAGTATGGTTGCTGTCAATCCCTCTCGTGTGTCTAAGTCATTTGATGATGCTACTCTCCGATTTGTTGTAGACTGCATTGCTAGCCGTAATGGTGGCCTTTTGGAAATTGTCAACTACAATGTTGAAAACTGGCAATACGTTGCAGCCGGAGATCTTACAAACTTGGATACTCTTGCAAATGTATTGAATCAAATCAGTAGCAGTAAGATTGATGTACAACAAATGCTCAGCATTGAACCTGCAGAAACAGTTAAGAATAAGCTTAACAATGTAATTGATACTGCTCTCCAAAAGACAAAGCTGAAGCAAACCGATGGCTTCATTCATCTCGAACGTGGTAAAGCTACTATCCCACTTTCTGGTATTGATGTTCCTTTCCACTCCAGGTTTTTAATTAATGGTGTCAATCCTTATCGTAAGATCCTGCTTCAGAAGTTTGATCCTTCCAATATTGACGTTTCTCAATTGAAGTCAAAATTCATCCCAAATCTGGTTGCTCAGCCATTTGATATTAGTAAGGAATACATTGAAAATGTCTACCGCTTAACTTCTAGCTCTCGCCTTGGTGACATCCTTAATAACTGGTCTGAGGAAAAGTACGCTACTCCTGTACAACAACAACAACTGGGCTATATACTTTTGATTGAGTTACTTGCCTATCAGTTCGCTTCACCAGTTCGTTGGATTGAAACTCAAGATATCTTTTTCAAACAGTTCAATATTGAACGCTTGGTGGAAGTTGGTCCAGCTCCAGTCCTTAAGGGTATGGCTAACCGTACCTTGGCTCTCAAATATCAATCTTATGACACTGCTCTAAATTATCAGCGCCAACTCCTTTGTACATCAAAAGATTCCAAGGATATTTACTACGACTTTGAAGACGTGGCTGAAATGAAGGATGAACCTTCTACTTCAGCGTCAACACCGGCTCCTGTAGCAATTCCTACACTTGCACCAACGCCAGCGGCAATCATTGCACCTGTTCCGGCTGCGCCAATTGCACCAGCTACATCAGTAGTAGACGTTCCAATTACTACTGCGGAAGTCTTATGTTCTGTTGTTGCTCAGAAATTGAAGAAACCCATCAATGATGTTTCTATGGCCTCCAGCATCAAGGATTTGGTTAGTGGTAAATCTACTCTTCAAAATGAAATTCTAGGTGATCTTCAAAAAGAATTCAACAATACTGTTCCTGAGAAAGCTGAGGAAGTATCTTTGCAAGACCTTTCCGTTGCTTTGAACGGCACCTTCTCTGGAGGTTTGGGTAAACATACTGGAAGCATGATAGCTAAAATGATCAGTTCTAAAATGCCTGGTGGTTTTACATTGAATACAGCAAAGAATTATCTGAGTACTGCTTATGGCTTAGGTTCTGGTCGTACGGATGGTGCACTTTTGGTTGCTGTTACTATGGAACCTCCTGCTCGATTGGCATCCGAAGCTGAAGCTAAATCATGGTTGGATACAGTAGCAACAACTTATGCTGCAAACTCTGGTATTACCCTCTCTGCAACTAATGCCGCCCCTGCTCCGGCTACTTCAGCTGTTGTTGCAGCAGCACCTGCAACGTCAAGTCCTGTTAGCGCTGTTAGTGATATTCCTGTTACTGCTAGTGAGGTAATTCATGCCATTGTTGCTCAAAAATTGAAGAAGTCCATATCAGAAGTTCCTCTTTCCAAATCAGTGAAGGATCTTGTAAGTGGCAAATCTACTCTTCAAAACGAAATCATTGGTGATATGCAAAAGGAATTCAACAACGCTGTTCCTGAAAAGGCTGAAGAAAGCACTTTAGAAGAATTGGGCTCTGCGTTGAGCAGTGTATTCAATGGCAATCTTGGTAAACATACTAGCAGTCTCGTTGCTAAGTTAATTGGCTCTAAGATGCCTGGCGGATTTACTTTGAACAATGCCAAAACGTACCTCAACATGACCTACGGTTTGGGTAGTGGAAGAACAGATGCGGCTCTCCTTGTAGGTGTGACAATGGAACCTACTAACCGTCTTGGTTCTGAAGCTGATGCTAAGGCCTGGTTGGATTCAGTGGCTTCTGCATATGCCTCCAAGTCGGGCATCTCTCTCTCAAGCTCAGGTGCAAATTCCGCGAACGGTCCTGCTGTAACTACTGCTGGTGCTGTTACTATGATTAATAATGCCGATCTTGAAGCATTGAAAGCCAAACAAGATAGTTTGATTTATCAACAGCTTAATCTATATGCCAAATACCTTCAGTTAGATCTACGTGAAGGTGCGAAGAAATACGAAGAAGAGAAGCTAATCAATAAAAAATTACAAGCTGAACTCGACGTATGGTTAACAGAACACGGTGATATTTATTCAGAAGGTATCAAACCCTCTTTCTCTCCCTTAAAGGCTCGCCATTATGATTCCTACTGGAATTGGGCTCGCCAAGATGCGTTAGAATTGTGGTACGACTTGGTTTTCGATAAATTAGCTGTTGTTGATCGTGAGGTTACCGCGAAGTGTATCAGCATAATGAATCGTGCTCACCCCAAAATGATCGATTTTATTCGTTATAAAATCGAAAATTCAGCTGGTGATAAGAGCAAGACTTACGACATTGCTAAAGATTTCTGTCAAGCTTTGATTGAACAATGCGCTGAAGTTTTGCTTGAAAAGCCCCGCTTTAAGGGTGTTGCTACTCCTACTTGCCCAAAGACTACTGTCACCGAGAAGGGTGGTATTCAATACACTGAAACTCCCCGTCCTAACGAAGAAAACCTCGCTGATTATGTCAAAGATATGACTGCAGGCTCAGAAATCTCTAAATACTCAAACTATCAACAAATCCAACGTAATCTTGGCCGTATTTATGAAATAATTCAGAGACAAAATAATGCAACTGAAGATGACAAGAAGCTCATGGAAAACGCCTATGGTGATATTCTTCGTGCCATGTCTATGTCCAGCAATGTGTTGAATCAAAATGCAGCCTTCAGCGCTGAAAACCAAGCTGAGAATTTGAAGGAAACCATTCCATTCTTGCACCTCAAGAGAAAGAGTCTTACAGTTCCTGGCAATGGATGGGAGTTCAGCAAGAAGCTTACCTCTGTTTATCTTGATGCATTGAGAGAGATGTCTGGAAAGGGCATTACCTTCTCAGATAAATTTGTACTGTTAACTGGTGCAGGAAGAGACTCTATTGGTTCTGAAGTTTTGAAAGGTCTCCTTTCTGGTGGTGCCAAGGTTATTGTCACCACTTCTCGTTTTAGTCTTCAAGTGACTCAATATTTCCAAGATATTTACAAGACCTTTGGTGCTAAGGGTTCAAAACTCGTTTTAGTTCCTTTCAATCAGGGCGCTAAGAAGGATGTAGATGCCTTGGTAGAATATATTTATAGTCCCAATGGTCTTAACTGGGATCTCGATTATGTCATTCCCTTCGCAGCCATTTCAGAAAACGGCCGCGAATTGGACAGTATTGACTCTAAATCTGAACTTGCTCATCGTATTATGCTGACCAACCTTCTGCGTATTTTGGGTAATATTAAGACTCACAAGCAAAAGAATGGATATACCGCACGACCCGCTCAAGTGATATTACCATTATCTCCCAACCATGGAACATTCGGTGGTGACGGTCTCTATGGTGAATCTAAGATCTCCTTGGAGACACTTTTCGAACGCTGGTATTCTGAAAGTTGGGCGAACTATCTCTGTATCACTGGTGCAGTTATCGGCTGGACCAGAGGTACTGGTTTGATGAATGCCAGTAATATTGTTGCCGAAGGTGTTGAGAAACTTGGTGTCAGAACTTTCTCTACTGTAGAAATGGCCTTTAATATTCTTGGCTTGATGCATCCCACAATTACGAAAATTTGTCAAAGCGAGCCAGTCTATGCTGATCTCAATGGTGGTCTTCAGTTCATCCCCAATCTCAAAGAAGTAACCAACAAGCTTCGTGCTGAGATACGCGAGACTGCTGAGATCCGTAAGTCCATTGATGCTGAAAATTCTCTTGATTATAAGACGATCTTTGGTGAAGACGCAGAACGTAAATATTTACCGCGTACTGTTGCTCCCCGTTCCAACATGAAATTTGCTTTTCCCAGGTTGAAGCCATATGATGATATGAAGCACGTCAATTACCTGAAGGGTATGCTGGATCTTGATAAGGTCATTGTTGTTGCAGGTTTTGGTGAAGTCTCACCTTGGGGTAATGCTAGAACTCGATGGGAGATGGAGGCTTACGGTAAATTCTCTCTCGAAGGTTGTATTGAGCTTGCATGGATGATGGGTTATATAAAACATTCAAATGTTCGATTGAAGAATGGCAAGGAATATACTGGTTGGGTTGACACTGCTACAGGTGAACCTGTTGAGGATAAAGATATAAAGGCTAAGTATGAGAAGAAGATTTTGGAGCATACTGGTGTTCGTCTCATCGGTAAGTAGACGTTTTATAAAATGCAAAGCACGTAAGAACTGTCATTTGTCTTACTTTCATACTATTTATTTCGTAGAATCCGAAATTATGGATGGCTATGATCCCAATAAGAAAATGCTATTGCAGGAAGTTGTTGTTGATCACGATCTTGAGCCTTTTGAATGTTCCGCAGAAGAGGCTGAACATTTCAAACATCAACAAGGTGATAAGGCTGACATTTACGAATCCGGAAATGGCAGTTGGTTTGTTCGCATTCATAAGGGTGCTACTTTATTTATTCCCAAGGCACTTCGTTTCGATCGACTTGTTGCTGGTCAAATTCCTACTGGTTGGAATGCGGCTCGCTACGGTGTTCCCAAGGATATTATTGATCAAGTTGATCCTGTCACTGTTTATAATATTGTTTCAACTGTTGAAGCTTTTGTCTCAGCCGGTATAACCGATCCCTATGAATTCTTCAAGTATATTCATGTTTCTGAAATGGGTAATACCATTGGTTCTGGCGTGGGTGGCCAATCTTCAATTAGGGGTTTCTATCGTGATCGTTTCTTGGACAGGCCAGTTCAAAGTGACATTCTCCAAGAATCTCAAATCAACACTATGCCCGCTTGGATCAACATGTTGTTAATTTCATCGTCTGGCCCTATCAAGACACCTGTTAATGCCTGTGCTACTGCTGCTGTCTCAGTTGAAATGGCATGTGAATCTCTTTTGGCTGGAAAGGCCAAAATCATGGTTGCTGGTTCATCTGAAGAAACCACTGAAGAATCCAGTTATGAATTTGCCAATATGAAGGCCACCTCTAATGCCGTTGATGAAATTGCTAGGGGTCGTGATCCTTCGGAAATTTCCCGTCCAACCACCTCAACTAGGAATGGTTTTACTGAATCCCATGGTTCCGGTACTCTTATCTTGATGACAGCCACAACTGCTTTTGAAATTGGTTGTCCTATTTACGGTATCATTGCTTCTAGCAGTACAGCGACAGATAAAGAAGGCCGTTCTGTTCCAGCTCCCGGTGCTGGTATTTTGACAACTGCTCGTGAAAGCAAGTCTACTGGTGCCTCACATATGCTCAATTTTAATTACCGTGCCAAGCAAATCAACCGTCGACGTGCTCAAATCAAGGCCTGGGTTGAATGTGAATATGAGGACCTGAGAGAGGAATTGCAAGAACTCAAGGATGCAGGCGAGATAGCCGAAGAAAACATTAAAGCATGGCTTGAAGAGCGCACTGAACTTATTCACAAGCAAGCCAAACGTCAAGAAAAGGAAGCATTAGCTACTTTCCAACACCAATTTTATCAAAATGATTCAAGCATCTCTCCTTTACGTGGTGCACTTGCTGTTTTTGGCCTCACAATTGACGATGTTGGCGTTGTCTCTTTCCATGGTACTTCCACCAAGGCAAATGATAAGAATGAAACGCGTGTCATTAATACCCAAATGAAGCATCTCGGTCGTACTGAAGGTAATGCTCTCTTAGCTATTTGTCAAAAGTATCTTACTGGTCATCCCAAGGGCCCTGCTGCTGCTTGGATGGCGAATGGTATGATGCAATGCTTAAATAGCGGTATTGTTCCCGGAAATCGTAACGCTGATAATATCGATGCACTACTTGAAGACAATGACTATATTGTTTATCCCTGTCATACAATTCAAACTGATGGTTTGAAGGCCGGTCTTCTAAAGTCTTTCGGTTTCGGTCAAGCAGGTGGTGAAATCTTGATTCTTCATCCTGACTATGTTCTCGGTGCTCTTGATGAAAACCAATACAATGAGTATAAGGCCAAGAATAACCAGCGTAATGCCAAGGCTTACCGCTATTTTCATGATACTCTCACTGGTGTTCATGACTTTGTTCAATTGAAGAATGAACCTCCATATTCCGAGGATTTAGAATACACAGTTTACCTAAACCCTAATGCTCGCACGGAATACTCTAAAGAAAAGAAATCATGGCACTTTACTGAGAGCTCTGCTTCTCAGCCTGCTCCTACTTTTGGTGAAGTTGGAGCAACAGAAAATATTCTTGCTTCTCTTACAGAACAACAAGCTGGAAAAAAGGGTATGGGTGTTGACGTTGAACTCACCAGTGCTATCAACGTTGATAATACTACCTTCATTGAACGTAATTTCACACCTACTGAAATTGCTTATTGCCAAAGCCGTCCCGATCCCCAAGCAAGTTTTAGTGGACGTTGGTCTGCTAAAGAAGCAATCTTTAAGGCTATTTCTTCTTACGGCAAGATACCATCCTCGGGTGCTGGTGCTCCTTTGTTGGACATTGAGGTTGCTAATGATAGTGTAGGCGCGCCACAAGTTAATTTGCATGGTAAACTTAAAGCAGCAGCAGTCTCCGCAGGTATAAAAAGCATAAGTGTTTCTATTAGTCATAGTGGGGCTTATAGCGTTGCTGTTGCCATGGCTCAATAACTTATATCTCATATTCTTTTCATACATACTATTCATCATGATATTGATTGATCATCCCTTACTTCATTATTCTAATAATTTACTCCCGCCTTTAGGCAAAAGATGTGTACATACAATAAATATATATCCCTTCTCCCCAGTATGACGATGAATTGTCTCAACTCTTTCTTAGTATGCAGGCATTGGCTTGCTTTCAAGCAGCGAAGTAAGACTGATGACACCTGATAAATTTAGACTCCAACTTGGACTTAATCTTTAGAGAGTTTACAGACTGTACCTTGTTGATTTTTTTTTTAAATCTCAGGCTATTCTGTCCTCTGCCTTGTCAATTTTGACCTGAGGCTTATCTCAACAATGGCTATTAGGACTGGAGAGCGTACAGCATGCATGTTCTCAAAAATGTTACGGACAATCTAAGCTGCCGATTCTTAACACATGTCGAAATTTGCTACAGACGATCCCTGTAAAACCAATTTTGTGCAATCGAAGTTGAAATTTTCGTAAGCTCTGGTGTTCTCAGTATCCTGCCTTACTAAAGAGCAAAATAAACCAGCTCCCAGTTAAATAATGGCTTTGATATTTTGTTTCTTAATAAAGCTAAATTGATCCTAAGGCTTTCATCTCAACTTCTTTTCGAGCAAGATAGAGAACAGGATAACCTGAGATTAAAAAATAACAGGACAAGCATTTCCAGCAATGATCAAAATTTTCTACTGCTTGACAATTTCAGAATTTTATAGCTAAATAAAAAATTTTGTTTTCTTGACCAACGCAAAATCACTGTATTTCTTACCGACTTTACACTCACCCAAACATTACATTATCTTATCAGTTGAATCCGACTATTGAATGGGCTTACCACTTTGGAAACCAAGAGAAATAGAAGATGAAGAGCTCAATCAATTGAATAAATTGGAATTAAAGCGTTTGAATGATTCTCAGCAGTTATCTCAACGACGGCATCATCAGCGCCTTCATAATATCAGTTTTCGATCGAATAACAACACTAGCAATTTAAATGAGATTTCTGCTCCGTTTCAGCCTCGTATAAGGCCAAGAGTATCAACAGCCAGAAGACATAGTGCAGCAAGCGCAACAACAATGGAAAGACGAGGAAGTTTACGGCCTGACCCATCCTCCTCTGTTGAGGAAAGCTTTGCTGAAAGAATGAGAAGGGCGGAAAGACAAAGAGCAGAAAGAAGAATGGCAGCACGATTGAGAATAGCACAACAGGAGCGAATGGATAGAAGGTTAGCTGAGCAACATAGAAGAGAGAGAGAGGCGGCAGCAGAAGCACTGCAAAATACTAGGCCGCCATCTCCATTAACAGGGCGAGATGTATTCAGGCAACAATTAGATCAACGTTTACAACAGCGACTATCCTACAAAGAGGATCTTCTACAACAACTCAGAGCTACAATTGCTTTGTTGGATCAGTTTTTGTTAGCTGGAGCAGCAGTAGGATCTGAAATTGTAGTTCTACCATCTTTCATTTTGTCAGGTAAAAGCCATTGGAACAATTTTTTCCCTTTAAATTCTAGCCTATCCTAACCTTTAGCTTAATATGGTGCTCCTTTCATTTTTTTTTTTTTTTAGCGTTGCCTGATGTAATTGAATCAGCTTGTTCTTTAGCAGACATGACGACAGTTCTTCTTTCACCCAATCGTGAGGTAACAGCAGCAACAGCAGAAGAAAGCAATGATTCTCTAGCGCTTCATGATATGGTCAATCGCTTGCTACAAATTCCACCTTACTCGACTTTAAATCAGAATATAGATAATAATATTCTTTCCGCCCATCGGCGTATTAGAGAGCAATTAGAGCAATTCGCTAACATTGGGTTCAATATTTCTGCACGACAGCAAGACAACAATATTAATCCTTAATTTACAATGATCAATTTTCTTTTCAAATATACCAATGAATCCTCATGATTACTATCTATTTACTGTGTCGAGCCTTTTCTTTTTCAGTAACATGCAACTTTATTATCATATATATACCAGAGAAATAATGTAATATATACAAATATATATATATATATACATGTATATATAAAATGAAGTTATAACAAATTGCGACAGTATTTAATCCTTTTCAGGTTATACAACTCATGTTCGTAAGTAGGTGGTTTTTTTTATTTTATTTAATCCTAATAAAGTTACAAAATACACAAGAACAATCTTTAAAGAAAAGGAACATGATACAGATATGGAGAAAAAGAGATCTACATTGTTAAAAGGGTTCCTCTAAGTTCCCAGGGAGTTAAATAGAGAAATTCGCTGAATTCAATGATGAAAAATTAACCATACGGTTATTACCATGACACCCAGTCATTCTTATGGCTACTATAAGGAGCAGTAGTAGCAGTACTTGAGGAAGTGTCCTGGTTAGATTCATCTTGCCATTGTTGAGTGGTAGCAGCAGCATTGTTGTGTTGGGTATTTTCAGAATGACTAGATGTCCAAGCACTATTTGTGTGGTCACTCTGGAGTAGATTCACTTCATCGGGAATATAGTTGGGATGATCGTTTGTAGACCATTCTCGAATGTTGGAAACAGTATCTGCATTAGAGTGCAGAGGGTTGGACACCCATCCATTCGAGTTGGTATGATCACTATTCAGAAGCTCAATTTCTTCAAGTGCCCAATCAGCCGCGGCATTGCTATGTTGTTCTTGAGTCGACGGTGATGTAGTGACCCAGTTGGCCAAGTTAATATGAGGGGTATTTTTACTGTCTTCAGATGTCCATTCAACATCATTGTGATGATAAGTGGAGTGCTCTTCCGCAGAATGCTCAACATCTTCGGACTCCCATTCGGCAGCATTGTTATGAATGCTGTTGTTGTCTTCGTTTGAAAACCACTCCGCCTTGTTAATGTGATAGTTCGGATGAGATTTTTCTTCGGTAGTCCACCCATTCTCTATGGTAATAGAAGCAGCGTTGCTGTGTTGGTTATTGTTGTTATCCTCAGAGACCCATTCCACAGTATTTTGGTGATAGTTGGCATGATCCTCCTTAGACAAAGGTGTATCTTCTGAATTCCATTCAGTGGCATTATCATGTAAAGCATGATCAACATTGTCAGCTTCTGTTTCCCACTCGGTATCATTGCTATGATAATTGTTGTGGTTTGCGGCAACAGCATCAGTAGAAACAGCATCTTCAGAGAGCCATTCGGCCTTGTTAATATGGTAGTTAGGGTGGACTTCTGCGGCAAGGTCAGTATCCTTACTTTCCCAACCAGTGGCATCGGTGTGTTCGTTATCGCTTTCTTCAGAAACCCATTCGACGTCATTGAGATGGTAATTGTGATGTTCTTCAGCTGTAACCTCTGTATCATCAGATGTCCAACCAGCGGCATTCGTATGACTATTATTACTGTTTTCAGAAATCCATTCAACATCATTGATGTGATAGTTCTGGTGTTCTTCAGCAGTAAGTTCTGCCTCTTCAGATTCCCATTCAGAGTCATTACGATGGTAGTTGTTATTTTCAGCACTAATAACATCGATATCGTTTGACTCCCACTCAGCACCATTGCTATGCTGAGCAGCTGAGCTGGCTTCTTCTCCGTCACCGGTCCATTCAGCAAAATTGGCATGAGAAAGCTTGAATTCTTCATCAACTTCTTCCGAGACCCATTCTGAATCATTCTGATGATAGTTGGCATGTATGGGTTCGACATCAATTTCATCAGAGGTCCAGCCGTTGGTGTGCGTGTCGTCGTCTTCAGATTGCCACTCAGAGTCGTTAATATGAGACGAGTTCCATTCATCGTTATTTAAATGGTCATCAGCTTCAAGAAGATGGTCTTCAGAAGTCCAGCCATTCATATGTTGTTGGGGCTCATCATTGCTTTCTTCAGCAATCCATTCAGTATCATTTTGGTGCGTCTGAGAGGCATTGGAAGTTTGGTATTCATTGGTAAAGTAATTATCGGCATCGTTAGAATGCCAAGTTTTTGTACTTTTGTCGTTGGGAAGAGATGAAGCAGCATCATCAGAATGCCACGTGTTTTCAACAGCAGCATTTTTATGCTTTGTTGTACGGTCTTCATTAGTAAAATAAAGACTACTAGCGTCATCCGAATGCCATGTTTTTTCAACTTTATTGCTATGTTGGCTTGTACGATCTTCATTGGTGAAATACGGATTGGCGCCTAAATCGTTTTTATGGGTAACGGCCACATTTTCAGTCTCTTTGTTTTTATGGATATACTTTCTATAATCTTGATCAAGGCTATTGATATAATCAAAGAACGACTGACCTTTGTCTGTGGGAGTAGAAGTTGAAGTAGTGGCATCATTTTGATGCTGTTGTTTTCCGGATGAATCCCGAGTGAAAGAGGCTACATTATCTAGAGCATCATTCCACGTTGTATCATCATTATGAGGATTGCTGCTATCGCTGGCTGAGCTATTAGCTTGGATATTCTCAAGTATATGGTTGACTTCTTCATCATTTAAAGCCGAACCAGAAGATGACGCTTCAGTTTCCGCCTGTAGTTGACGTTTATTAATTTGAAATGTGGATGAATCAGCTTCACAAAAACTACTGTCACCAAGACCAGCAAGATGAAAATGGAATTCACCAGCGTCCTGATTTTTAAGTGATAAAGTTACTTCTTCTGTTGCTCCACGGTTGGCGTCTATTAAAGATGGGGTCAGTTCGTCGGACTATGGACGTAAAATTTTGTGTTCAATTTGTTTCTGATTTTACCGTAAGTGCCAATATACGCTTGGTTAGATGGGTTGGCATTATCAACCATGGTAATATTAACTTGTTTCATTCCTTTAGGTGCTTGCCAAGCAATGACATGCTTACTATTGTCTTCAAAAGAAATATCTGTAGATCCGAAAATATTATACCCAGTTAATAAATAGAGTCGATTGTTAGGCAGAACATTAAATGTTTTTTCTATTTTTATTACCGCTATTTGAAGGAAAAGTGACCCTGAAATCTACAAATACCAAGTGTGTCTGGATCAGTATCATCAATATACTACGTTCTGACTTTATACGTACCTTGACAATTGGGATTTAATGAGGCATCGTTGTTGTGAGTAGAGGATGTGGCGGGTACGCTGAAAAAAGGTGTTGCAGTTACAAAACTACCAGTTTGCAACAATAAAGTAGCAGTTATTGACAAACTGGCCAAGTTGGAGATCAACTTCATATTTTTCCTCTTTTTTATTGCGTTGTATTGTTAAGGCTGAGAAGCTGGTATACGTAAAACGAATGTAAAAAGCAAGGAAAAAAATTGGGAGTAAGAGAGAGAAGAAAAAGCGACGGGAAACACAAAGTTAATAAATGAAAATAAAGTTCATTAGCCTTTTAAAGTCTGTTTTCGCTACAAATCGCAGCCTATTTTTGTCAGTATTGCTTTTTGTTACACATTGCAAATTGATTGTTAAACCCGCCATTTCTTCGTCCAAACAAGCCTGCTCTTCTATAGGTGCGAAGGGCTAAAATTGCAAACTCAAGCAAATGACCGTTCATTCACTTGAGACGGAGGCTTTTTGAATTATTAAGCTACATGTAAAGTTACTATGTAGGCCTAATGTTACAAAAAAAAAAAAACTCTACAATTGTTCCAAGTTCCTGAAAAGGGAAACTCATAGTGAACAAAAGCCATTATTTTTAGCCATCCACTAGTGCTGTGCTCGATAAAGGGTATCACATACCGCATTTGGGCTTTACTCCTTCATTGGTGTCATTGACTATCTCTGAGTCTGGAAATGTACTAGTATGGCAGCAATTCATTTGCTTCATGCACCATTTTTGCCTTTATCGTTCAGTCTTCGGGATTAATAATGCAGCATTCGGATCCTTTCCCAGTTCTCGACGCATGTAAAATGTAGAAAGAGCGGATTCATATATTTAGATTACGGTGTACAATTTTTTTTAAACAACGGGCGGTCAGTCTTGCTTTAAACAACAATAACAATATCACGTCCTCCTGCAGCGAACAAGCAGCAGCTACTTAATTAGAAATTATGTCATTTCGTGGCTGCAACTGCTTGGCCGAAATCTCGAACAATTCTTCGCAAACGAGACTCTCACTATTATCATATCTTTAAATTGTAATAAATTAATGGAAAATGAGAAAATTCTGCTGCTATTAATGGAAGTAGGCAGGATCATCAAAAAAAAAAAAATTATAACTGCGAATTTTAATGAAGCCTCTCCATAGCCGCCAATTGTAACGCGAACAGAGAATGAAATATGCACAATGTATATCAACATTTGCTATGATATATTGATATGCAAGATATGACCAGTATAGTTATCTCCAATGCTGAAGAGAGTAATCGCAGCGTATAAGCTTGTTATTATAGAACCGAGCATCCACATTAAAATTAGTTTGGCTATACATCTTCGTACTGGTAACAAATATTAACATCAATGGGAAAACTAAAAACGCGTGCTTTTAATCTCGATTACTATACTGCATCTTCATTATGGTTAAGAAAAAAAAACAATTTGCAAAATTATATGGGAAGTTCTTGTTATTTTCTTCAAGAACCATGATCAACGCTCTCTTCTTTCGTTTCTCTTTTCCCGCACCTCTGAATTAAATCATTCAGTTAGTGACAGGGTTTATTTCAACCTGTATTTGATACTTTATTAAGGATGAACTCAGAACAACTAGAAAAAGCGCTCAGAGACCTTCCTCCTCAATCGCTAATTACTGAGATTCCAGAGATTCAAAATGCCATTGCTCATCTGCTGACATCTAACCAAGAAATGCGAGAGTTTGATCCAGAAAAGAAAGATCCTGATTTCACTCAAGCAATAAAAGAGAACTTAGAACTGATAAAAAGAAAAGAGGAGCAAATTGACATAACACTCAAAGTAATACGCGAAAAACTGGGTGAAGCAGCTTGGCGTGAAATGGGAAGCAACGTGCGAGAGTTCAGACAAATACACTCAAAGCAGCTCGAAGAACAGCTACAAAAGCAGCAGGAAGAAGAAGGAATCTTCCTTTGAAAGAAGAATAAAACAAACTTCTTGTTTTCATTCAAATATTTCATATGTAAACTAGTACAATAGCAATTTGCTGTAAAACTGGAATTGTTTGCTGTGCTAATAAAGCAGGTATAAAAGAAGTATTAATAAGCGTATAGAGTAAGAATGTAGTTAGTACATATATCCAATAAAAAAAGCATAATATCAGATCTCATAGGAATAGCGTAAGTGCAACAATATATACATTGTATACAAAGGGAATGATAGATTTGAGTTTTTTTGAATTTCCATACAATTAATTTCCAACTGGTTGACCAGGCCAAGCTGGTTTCTCGGAGCCATCGAATTCGCCATAAAAGCGATTAGACTGAAGCACCTTGTGCTGGGTGCCACCAATCGGTGCATCACATTCCGGACACTTTGAAATCTGTGTTGCTCCACCGCAATCACCAACAAAATAAGGATGTTGATTTTCACAGACAAACCAGCGGCCACCGACAATGTTGTGGTTAATCTGTTGCGCAGTTTCTTCATTCATTGCTTTGATAATTTGCTGTCGTTCATGGTGTGTTAATTGGTTTCTTTCTTGCTCTATTCTCAGCTTTATCTTATTGACAAGCGCAATCTCCGTCTTAATATATTGATTATAGCGAAGGGCCCTGTATATTGTCTTTCCACATGTAGGGCATCCCCAAAGTTTGATAGCCGTATGCTCCCCGTTTTTAGCCTGATTTTCAAAGTATAAATCCAAATTTTCAACAGAGAAGACTACATTGTATATACGTTAATGGAGCATTTATAACACTACAGTATGATCACTTTAGCTTAGAACAATTAACTTACCACATCCACATTCTGGTAACATATACAAGCGTTCACCTTCGTCAAATTCAGACAGAAAACGAAGGGAAATAGAGCATTCATGTTTATTACCCTCACAAATAACGCATGGGGGACAGGGCTCACCGCACAAACCGGCACAAGGATGCTTACAATGGAGAATTTTTCGACATGGAAAGTTACATGGTGGTCTATCACATTTCTGTTTAAGCAATACTTAGGTTACTAAAACAAATGTTACAAGCAAATCATCGAAAAGATAGGAAAGACGTTACCTCATAGCATTTTCTAGTGCACTTGTAATGTTCACAGCGATAAGGGCATTCACTTACACAGCGGGTACAGTCTCTCCAGCATTCTCTGCTACATTTATACCCATGTGAGCATACGTAGCGACACTTTTCCATACATCTTTCAGTATGGTTATCTGGATTAGCGCAACCATTAGCACAATAATGTCCACAAATAAGTTGCTTTGGACAATTCGCAACGCATGAACTACGTTTATGATCATGGTATACACCACACTATGGAATACAGTCGCTTTAGTAAATATTCAAAATTGTGCTCAAAAGCCGTTTGGTTCCAAAAATAAGTTGTACGTACCATCTCTGGGCATTTATGGCCACATTCCAAATTCTTAGGGCACATTTCTGAACAAATGGGTTTAACACCACATGTTGTTTCTACTGCATGACCACAAACCAGCTGCACTTTGCACTTTTCCTTACATTGCAAATTTGCGTTTCTATCGGAGCAGGCAACAGTAATGGTATGCCCACATGGCAAACTAACATCTACAGATTCTTCGCACCTCACATTTTCGATATCCTGAAGCTCATGACAAATTCCCTCTTTTATATGGCCACAATTCAACGTTATTGATAACTGTTCTTGACATGGGGGACAAGCACCTTGTTTAGAGCATTCGAAGCATTTCCTTTTACAAGCATGGGTACAGTTACGGGGTCTTGGTCGATTGCACGGTTCTTGGCATTTGACTTCTTCATGAGACAAGAAATGGCAATCTTCTTTGCAAGCATGGCCCTCAGCCATGAGAGAGCCACAAGGGCGTTGGCAGCCGCCATTCTTCACCTTATCGAAGTCATTAGCCTGCTTTGCGGCAATTTGATCACCATGAGTCGTGCAAGTTAAAAGTAAGGAATGACCATACAGTTCGCGTTCCTCCATGTATTTTGCAAATTTTTGCCAACTTGGATGAACTTTGTCAGTTTCAGGTTTACCTATGATGTATAAACCATACCTGGCACGAGTTACCGCGCGAGAAACATTGTCGTATTGGAGAGCAGAAGTAGATCCGGGTGTCGCTGTAGAAATAATCACATAATCATACTCTCTTCCTCCTTGGAAATCGACCATTTCAAGGTGTAATTTTTTTAGCTGGCTCGTAAAGCAGGTACGAGTAGGAACCTCTTCACGTAAAATATGTCTGATCATAGCCTTTTGGAGCGGTGATAAAGTTATTATACCAATGCTTGTCTTCATGTATGGTTGTTGAGACAAATAAACGGCTAAAAATGAAACATAGCGAGCTTCATCCACATTTGACTGTGTGATAGGTAAGCGAAACTTCTCGGTATACACTTCATCAAGACCGTCATCGTCGAATTCACTTTTGTAATGTATGTAGTAAGCTCTTTCAGTGACGCCATGGAGCTTTTCTTGGACCGCATTTTTACCGTCGACCCTATTTTCATTACAGGAGGCAACAGGTGCGGTAATCAATAATGTTGATGGAGTATGTTTATTGTTGCGCGAACCGTTAAATTGATCATGGATTGTGGCCACGCCTGAGTGCATGCGCCATTGCTCTTCAAGTAAAACTATTTCACCCGTAGAAGCTTTCCAGCGTTCAAATAAAGATACATCAAAGTTTCGAGGCTCACCAACCAAGGAGGGATTTGTTAAAGGGACTCGAGAGACACTGTCACCAGTACCAAGAAGTATAACATGTTCCGTACGAAATCCCGAAATGCTAGGCGCCAAAGTTGTTTCAAGAATTTCTGACGCTTCGTCGACGATAACAGTGCGTGGCCATAAATTGGAGACCCATCTGTTATTCGCTGCTGCGAAATCAGCTGTCATGCCGATCACATTTTTGAATCTACATAAATATGTCAACTTTTGAATTAGCATATCATCGATAGTACGACCAATTTCAGATTGCTCTTGAAGCAAGCTTTGAATCTCTTCATCAACAAAGCGTAACAAAGTGTCTTCTAAATTTTCTGCAATCTTTTTTCTATCGGTAACTGGAATCTCCCAAACCTGATCAGAAGGCAGCTGATTCCAGACGAGATTCAAAGCATATCGAACGTCCGTAGCGCGACGAGCAGAACTGTCAAAGGGCCAATGATGAGCTGTACCAATCGGTTGTATAGGTGTAAAGGTATTGCGTGAATGGTTGAAACGACTCTTAACAGTATTGCTATCTAATAGAGGCATAATACCTCGGCCACCGATTCGCAAATGTAAGTCTTCAATTTCAGCTTGGATGGTTTTTGCTTCATTGTAATTATTTTCAAGCTGCTGAGCATAATCAGGCAAATTTTCGGGGTTTGCTGAGTCATCATCAAGCCAAAGGGACCAAACAGTAGAAAGATTAGCAGATGCATTGTTGTAGTATGTGTAACCTTTCTGAAGGGCTCCGAGATATTTAGGTGCGGCAGCAGAGCAAATAACTCTGGGATCATGATTTACAATCTGATTTCGATATTTCAATAAGGTTTCCAAATGACATTGATTCTTGTTCAGTCGCCTGTCAAGACTGATGAATTGACGGTAATTGCTGTCGGTAGAATTAGGTAAACAAAGACTTGTTGCTTGACTGCTCTTCAAAGATTCCGAAACGGATGGAGGCCCAAAGCGTACTATATCTTTTACAGATTGAGCCACATTAAGAAGGATACTATCCAAGCATTCTTGTGATTTGCTAATCACAAGAACCGGCTGATGGAATTGTCCTTGCACAAGTGCACGGCTTGTAATGATTGCGAGTTTAGCTGCCAAGTATGTTTTACCAGTACCTGCTGCACCAGAAATGGCAGCTATACGATGGGTCAGTGCAAACTGCACGGCTTTTATTTGACTGGACGATAGGTTGTATATAGGAATACGTTTAGAAGGAGCCACATGTTCCCAACCACTTGCGTAACGGGGCCATAAATTTTGGCCTGGCCTTGCCGTTTGTGGAGCATTTTTGTACGTTATGCAAGAAATATCGATTTCAGCATCCGCCAGATATTCAGGAACAGAACGGCCATTGGCAGCAGGATTTTGATTATGCTTTCCTTCGGCCCATGAAATTAATTGATTCTCCATAAGCTTGTTCTGAGCTGTCAAAATTCTAGGTGTTAGGACAGCTGAAAAACGTGTAATGTCTGACCTGTTAAATTCTTCAAAAAGCCAAGATAAGGTTGACAAGACAGAACGGGCGTTGATTTTCGAGGAGATTAATGTGTACTTATCTGACCAACGTAACCTGCTAACATCGTCGTTAAGGATATGAACAGAGATCAAACGGACAAGATCACCAGCAGAATTAATTGTGCGGTAGGTCCGAATGACCTGCGCCAACATGCACTGGTTAGCGGCACCTTCTAAAATCATATCGTCCAGTTCCTTTGCAGAGTGGTTGTACGAATGCTTTAAACCATTATCAACAACATCTTCAGACATAAGCATGACAAAAGAGCCTTCAGTTAAGTGATATGCGATGTCGTTACGCATCAGTTCAATATTTGCAGAATCGTAGTCAAATTGAAATATTATGCCTGGTTCAGATGTAACCATCGACAACGTAGTATATTTAGGAACACAGCTGCCATAAATAGCACAATCAGGTAAAGAATTCTCATTGCCATCCCCGCAATACAAGCTTTTGATAATGCTTTTTATAGGTTCGGTCAACTCTTGCCGTAACAAAAAATAATGTGTCGAAAGATACTTCTGCAGATCACAATTAGGCCAAGGACTATATATTTGATTTGTAATAGTACTTCCAGACTTGGATTCATATATTTGTAAAGGATTGATTTTCTCGACTATTTCCATTACGATATCTTTGGCAGTGGGTATTTCTGGCAGAAGAGTTGCCGGCATATTATTGGTTTCTTCAATATTTTGTTCTTCAAATGTGTAGCCAGTAATCATACTCAGCGACTTTTGGCAAGCATGTAAGATATCAGGAGGCATATGAGGTTTCATTCGTCTATACACCACTACAAGGTTCTGCAAGAGCTCATTATCAATAAGTTTAGGAAAGAAATCTGTAAGGTCAATTGTAAAGCGTAGAACGTTTTGAAAATCATCAAATGATGCCATCCAATAATTGATATAACGGTGAAGAGCAAGCTTGAAGGTAGTCCAATAAGTATAAATTTTGCGCGGTGTATCTGCCAAAGAATGATTCTTTTCGTAGTCCATAGTATCAACAATTGCATTTAATAAATGATGAAATTGGCCATCCGCTAATCTAAGTAGATCATTTTGCAATATATGCTCTAGTTTTTTTTGAAAGGTATACAAAGTGCAAGACATACTTTTTTTTTGTCGAACGGAAATAAGGTAATTTATTAATTCATAATCTGGAAATCGCTTAATAGCTGGTATATACTCATCAGACGTTGTTTTATTACTGAATGAGGTTGAAGCTGGATCATATACTGTCTGTTTAAACTGAGGCAATTGAGTCATATCGTTGTCTGCAAAAGATGATCCCCGGTTATATGTTCGATCAGAAGTATCTTTGACTAAGTGAGTAGGTCCTTCCTCCACAGCCCAAGCCGGTGTATTTGAATCGACAATTTGAGCGTAAGTTTGCCTAGCTGTGTTAAGACTGCTAGCTGGTTCAGAAGTTGAACTTGATTGAGGCATACATGATTCATTGTACTGCTGGGCATGATAGTTGGGATTGAAAATAGAAGTTGATGGATTTGTTCCTTCTTGTTGCTTTACAGATTTGAGGTTTTCAAAGTCACTGAGAGACATCCATTCCGCCTTCTTCTTCGCTTGTTTAGTTTCCAGCTGGACGTCAACGCCAGCTGTCCAAGAATTAACAGCTTCTGTTTTGACATCATCAAATGCAGTAGTGGTAGATGCAATTTTGATGAAAGACGAAAGGCTACTCGTGTTGTTACGATTCGACGTTGAGGATTCAAAGTCTTCCAAAGAATCGCAATCTTCCACTGAACCATTCTCTCCTTTTTTTATGTTCTCTGTGGCTTTTGTACAATATTCTGTATCTTCACTTTTAAGGAAACAAGATTGATAAGTTTCGCATATCATAGATCAGCGTCTAACAATTAGTCCTGATAATTTATCCTACCTGTTTTCATTGGGAATGTAAATACTTGCTGGACTATCCAAAAGACCAGAAGTTTTACTGATACCGATTGTCAGGGAAAAAAAATCTCAGTCAATAAGTTAACCCGATTCTCAACAGCATAACTTCGTACCTGTTGGCAATACTTTGCCAAGAACTATTTGCTGTCCGAGTCGTGGAAACGTCATAGTTGGATTCAAAGGAAATATTTTCAAGGTTATCGGAACGTGTTGCTACATTCGAATTTGAGATCTGATCATAAGCCGAGATCGGACTATGCACTGAAGCTTTTGTAGTTTGGCCTCTTTCACTTAGTAGTTGCCTATATATTTTTGACCTTCTTTGGCCTATTCTCTCAATAGAATCAATATTCAGAAACATTGAACGAGACAACTTAAGAATAGTCACTTCAATGGAAAAGATTTCTAAAAATAAAGCAAAAAAGGTAAAGCGGAAAAAGGAGTACACTTCATTTCTGGAACTCTTGCTTTGCTGAAGTCGCTTGTTAAATCCTGCAAAAAAAACATGAGACACATGAAGCCACTCCCACAGCATTTCTGTTTTCATGCTTACTTATTAAAAGCAGCAAAAGGATGACAGACGCATAGAAACGTACGTCAATATATATGACTACATATTTAGTTTTACTTCAAAGAAAAAAGAAAGCATGGATTAAGAACGTTAAGTGAAGAAATGTTTTTACTTATACGTATGATGACCATGCTTCACCAACAACTAAAAGTGAGAACGGTTCAAAATGTTACTTCTATCGGCAATAATGTTGATAATTAAGCCTGAACAGTCTGAAATTGCGTGCTATACCTACAGAAGATTTTTCATGCTGTATAGCTTTTTAGAAAATTCTATCAATTGTATCCACACCAGTTGTTCGAGTACACTACGCTCAATCAATTTTTTTTTTACTTTCAAAAAACTGTACCCAACATCGGATCCTGACTTGCTCATAAAGTTCAATGAAAGAAAAAGTTCTTTCTATAGCATCCAATGTTATATATTCGGTAATACCATATCTTTGATTTAAAGTAATCCGCTGCACAATAGTCAAGCCTTGTAGCAGGTACGTCATAGAATTATTATCGAGGCTTGAAATTAATGACAAAAGACATATAGCTAATACACAGAGTGATGGCGAGAAGAGGTTAACACTATAGAAGGAGAAAGCCGCCGGAACAACCTTTCGCTGCAGTCGCTCAATTGTATGGGTGATTCGCTAACCTACATTGATTAAAGAGGAAACTTGTTCATCAAAAAAAAAAAAAAAAAAAAAAAAAAAAAAAATTCAAAGCGCCTGTGGTTCACAGGTAGAACTGCAATAAGAGGCAAATTTTAGTAGAGTGCTTGAGGTTTGCGCAACAGATTTATTCCCATTATATCACTGATAATATGAAGTGACAACTATAAATCATTAACGCATAGAAAATTCAGAATTTTCTTCCATTTGCTGCTCATAAAGGATACTCATGACTTAAGTATCTTAAAGAAATCAAAGAGGCACAAGAGAAACATAGCTGTATTTCTTGATACGAACAAGAGGGAGAGGCTTCTTTAACAATAGAAGCACCCCGAAACCGCACAAAATGCGGTTATATTACTGTTGTTAAAATCACGTACTAGAAATGTAACAATCTAACTTTGAACAATCTTCCCTCCCAAATAAGTGCTAATCTGGTACGGTAAATAGCAATAGGGATAGTTTTTGCCATGTAAAAAAAAAATAATTGGAAAATAAGCATATAAGATGGAGGTTAAAGAGTCTTATAAAATATTGCAAAAAAATAGGTTCACATAGCACATACATCACTTAAATATGTGTTAACGCTGGTATGATTAGCCTCGGATGATACTGGCAAGATTTCTCCACTTTGTGCATCGACATTGAACCATTTTCTTTAAATACGATCTTTATGGATATTATAGCATGGACCTTGATGTATACAAAAAAAAAAATTGAAAAATGAAAAAAAGCGTGGATAAAAGAGACGAGATTGACCAATTAATAGCGGTGGTATGAATACATAGCCCCAACCAGACTAAATATGTGATAAGTCTTCGACATGGCAGACCACGGACCACACCTTCTGCCTATCTGATCTTCGAAATGGTACACAGAGGCAAAATACAGTTCAAAACCATTTTCGTTCCCAGACTACTCGCTCTTTTGTCAACTAACCTACAACGCCGACCTGTAAGACAAGATAGAAGTTCAATATACTTCTTTGGAAAGTAACTAACTTTTTATACGAATCATATTTGCTTGATTGCTGAGTGTCTAAATTTCATTTTTAATTTTTTTTTCCTCTAAAAGGTTTGACACGCAAAAGGGAACACTTCCTTAATTGTGAAGGCTTCCAAAGGTAACGAACTTATGTTCTGTGAAAGCAGCCCTAGTACTAATTGTGACGATAGGCAACAGGCATTTCCTTCTCCGTTCAGACTCGCATCATTGAAAAGTCAACAAAAGCTATTGTAGATGGTAAAGCGGGGCTGAAAAGTGAGGCATTCGTTGCTCCTTTCGTGTTAAGAAAAACCTTAAATAAAACTCCTCTGTTCCTTCTTTTCCCAAATCCTGTCCTGCTTTTTTATCATCAATTCTTTCCTTTTCATTTCAGTTCTGTATATCCCACTATTTTATATCCTCCTTTAGATTATCTTTCAAGCATACGATTCCCTTTATTCCATCACAATACTCAGATATACAATATAAATAATGGGTCAACAAGCCAGTAGAGAACATGCACCTTTAACTTTTGGTTATGTCAACCACGCCAATGATGACGAAACGGATACGAATACAATAGCCGATGACAAAGATACAGATGGAAGACATATATCTCAGGAACAAAACGATTTTATACTAGCAAATCCTCATCTGTATCGCCTTCAAGCAGTATGCGATAAATGCTCAAAGTCCTCTGACAGCAACGGTGGAGTTGTTGTATCAATTCTAGGGGAAGCATGTCCAAAATGCCTACAACAAAAAAGATTGTCTATAGTTAAAAAAGATTTAGCAGATGATCTCGAGTATATTGATCAGACGTATTATCCAGATTTAGTACATTATAACTATTATAATGATGATAATGGCAGAACACCAGCAGCAGCTCGCCAGCAACGTCCGGATCCCATGGAGGAAGAATTGATTCAGTTTGAAAAAGATGCTAACACCAACCAACAGCAATGGTCTAGATTAACAATTGGAGAAGCCACCACACCAGGAGGTACGAAAAGAAGACCAAGACGACTGACAGGACCATCTATGGCTGTGGATTTATCTGATAGATCACTGGTCAAGCTGAGTCCAAGCATTGGTTATTTGGATAGTCTGACTAAACTTAATCTGTAAGTATAAATCACTATTACAAAATTCACCAAAAATCAATAATACTTACGCTGTCCATGCCATATGACCCCTTCTTCTTATTATTGGGGTTATCATTAATACTGTCGACTCTTGTCATCGTTTGCAGCTCCAATAATCAAATGACGAGCCTACCTCAAGAATTAGGTTACCTCAAGAATCTTCGTGTATTGAATATATCCAATAATATATTGGAGGAGCTGCCCAAGACCATTGCGTATTTAACAAAATTAAAAGCTTTGAACGTCGCCCAGAATAGGCTTGTGGAACTCCCTGCTTCTATAGGACACTTACCAAAATTGGTTATTATTATTGCTAATGATAACTGCTTAGAAGCGTTGCCTCGAGATTTTGCTCAATTGACCAATTTGATTTCGCTCAATGTTTCCAACAACCCTCTCAAATCATTACCATCAGAAATTGCTGAACTTGGATCGCTCAGAAAGTTATTGACTGACGATTGCCCCTTCGAAGACGAATACAGCTATGATTTACGCCATGATCCTCCTTCTTTATTCGAATCTTGTGCACGTATTGCAGTGCGCCATCGTTTGAGAGCGAGTAGTGCTAGCAGTCAATTACCCGAACATATCCAACATTATCTCTCCAATCCTGACACTTGTTCTTATTGTAAAGGCCCCTTTTTTGAAAGCTCCCTTACACGTGTTCGATTCATCGAAAGGAGAGCCGGACAGCCGATGGCTCTACAGTACACTCTTTGCAAAGCGCATTGGTCAACAGAAGAGGATCGTTTGCTCGCTATGTTTTCTCAGCCTTCACATATTCCAAATACGTTATCTAACAAAGGAATTGATACCAATGGCTTGGACACAGACTTAAGAGCTCCTAATAATACGAGTTACAATAGACATCGTGCTTACAGTGATAGTACGACAGTCTTGTTATCGCCCAATTCATCTTCTCTTTCACGAAGAGGGACCAACAACGTTAATTTATTGATAACAGAGCACCAGCATAGCGATTATTTCTCAGCCCCAATGTCATCATCGTCAACAAATACTACTCCTAACCTATCATTAGCAAAGAACAATACTCTTCTTGAATTGCCGCCGCTTCCAAATTATTCCTCTTCATCATCCATCAACAATAATGGAAGAAGTAATAATAATAGGCCACGAGCCTCCTCTGCAGCATCTGTCACAAAACGACTGACAGACTTTATTCGATCCAATAGTAGTAACAATATGAACAACGGACGTCTCAAAAATCGAGATAGAAGTTACAGCAGCTCATCTCTACGATTGCAGCATAATCTTACCAACAATACCCCTTCAACCTCATCTCCTTTAACAACGCCTATGCCTCAAGAGCAACAAATTCCGCGAAACTTGAACACAAATAATGAGTTCCGGCCACAGTTACAGAGAGATTTATACAGTTGGGCAGAAACTATACAAAGGGCAACAGCTGCAGCTGCAGAAACAATTGGTACAGAAGAACAACAGAATCAAATCGAGCATTTTATATCTACAAGTCAAAATACTTCTGCTATTTCTCATAATTGAAGGGTAGATAGTACATTTACGAAAAGTTGACCTTAATCACTGTTGTATTTTTATACGCTTGTTCTTCCCTATTTCTGATACAGCCCGTTTGCTATATCACAATACCCTTCGCTTTTCATTTCCTTTCTTTTGTTCAGTGATAATAACTGGACATTATATTGTCATGAATTAAGCACAAATGTAGCTGCTATTGTTCAAACCTTTGCATGATTAGATAAACTTGAAATCAAAAGGCATAGTTATGAGCTATTAAATCTAGGTTTCCCAGTTTGACGACTGTATAATGCTATTGTAATAAAGAGTAAAGTAACGATGAACTAAACTCTTCGAAACAATAAGAAACCAATCATCTAGTCTCGGAATTCTGCCATTGAATAAGCGCTACGCATAACAACACAAACCATAGATGGAAAGGATAAGTTGTGTCAGTTACAATGATTTGAGAAATGAATTTATTATACAGAGAATACTATCAACGTAAAGATTCTATTAAATTATACTATCATCGCGTTAGCATTATAAATATACGGATTTTTTTTTTTTTGTTGTGCCAACTTACTATTACATATACATCATAATAATGCTAGGAAGGAATCAACACAAGTACATCATCTTCACCTCGAAATATATCTAAAAGTCGCTTGCTCATTTGTTTAGGGCTGATAGGAATGGTTACTTTTCCATTATTCCTGGAAACACTAAATGCTTCTGGTAAGGCATCCAATTCATCTTTGATCTGCTTTATGACGGCATCCATGCTTTCGTTTCGTAAAAAGACAGAACCAATTAAATTATCATCTGATCGTTCGTTTAGATAAACCAAAACCTCTTTCTCATTAACGGTGTTATGAACATCTATTCTACTGTGTTGTGGCGCTGATGTTGTTGACTGTTTCGTTGTACTGTCATTCGCCAATGCTTCGGCTGCTTTTTCTCTCCTCACCACATTTTCAATCTTGTTTTCAGAGAATTCGTCCGGCATTAACCAAGTCTTTTCCAAATCAGGGTTTTTTATATAAGTAGGTACAATAGGTAATGCTGGCTCAGGTCCTACAGATACTTTAGCTTGGTCTCCCATTGCTAATTTCAAAATTTTTGTTACAGGTTCGTACTTGACAGCCAAGTCCAACGCGGTTTGTCCTTTATTCGTTTTGAGAAAGGGATCAGCCCCACTTCTCAACAACGCTGTAACAACGTGCTCATGGCCTCTATGAGCTGCCCAATGTAAAGCTGACCTGTTGGGAAAAGGGATTGAGGGTAATTGTGAGCTTCCAACACATGGGGTTTCATCATTAATGAGACCCTCTTACCAGCCATTCATTGCATTTTGAGAATTGATGTTAACGCCCGAATGAGCTAGGTGAAGTGTTGCTTTTATATTGCCTAAAGCAGCTACTTCTCTTAGGGTATGCTCTCTTTCGTCACCCAAGGGCATTTCAACAACTAGCTATAGAACAATTTTATATGGTTATTTGAACACAAAAGAACTTCTTTCCGATAAGAATTGCTCGATCTTTTTTTTTTTCTTTTTTTTTTTTTTGTTGAGAATCTGCTGAGGTTTACTGATATTTAGAAGAAATAGTACTTTTGAGAGCTTGAAAATCTTCCTTTTTTTGAAATCGTGTAAGAGATTAAGTGAGTCATTTCCTATAGAAGACGAATGTTCACGAGCTATACGAATAAACAGTTTCTAATCTAGAGTGCGAGTAAATGATATTGATGAATGATATGATGAATGAAGGGTATTTTCGTATAAAATTGATGTTGACGTCTGAGCTTCAATTAACAATATATTGATGGCTTTTGGTTAAGAGTCATAACATGACCAGTTTCTGCCTTTAACTGAAATTAAGAATTGTTAGGGTTGTGGTGAACAGTCTCTCTTCTACCCTTCCATTTAGTTTTGAGAAGCAAATTAAAGCTCTTAGGAAGATCAATGCATCTATATTCTCTTTTAGCTATGTTTTCGACTATTTTTAAGTATTGACAAAAGGTAGATTGTTCGCAACTATGTATTGAACAAACAGCACAAGAAGGTAAACTAGTTCATCCACGGGTTTTTTTAGGAGATTCAATAACGCTTAAGAGTAACTTAATTATTACCTGTCAGTGTATTCCTTTTCGCGACTTTTTCCTTTTAAAATGCTTCGATACCTACCACTTCTTGCTGTTTTTAAGGTTTCAGTCATTAACACAATCAATAAAAGTGAAAGACACCCTGTGCCGTACGAGGCGTCGGGCTTATGAGAGAAGTCCCTAATTGGCGCCGTGCCTTAACGTTTATTTACTTGCATACTGACAAAATAAAGTTCCCCTTTACTCTAAACTTGAACCAACCGAGACTGCACTCACTTATCAAGAGATAATAAAAGTTCTTTTTCTTTTTTTTTTAAGCGACAGTCGAACGCGCTTGTGGGTTATTAATGAAAATCATAAGGTGAGCTTTATACGTTTAATCAATTGAGGCTCAAGCTTCCGAGGATCCCCACCTTTTACTCTTTCAAAGTCATTCGACCGATCTTTGTGCCCTTCTCTCATTGACACTACCTACTAAACGACCAAGTCAATTGTACTGAACAACTTTATTCTATGAAAACATGCAAAAAGAAATTTGATCATTTAGGTTTTTATTGTAGTACCTGATCTGTTATCATTGTGCCTGAAATTCTGTAATGCTCGCACTCAACTTCCCATCAGTAAATGCTTGTCCCTCTCCTTGTATTCAATAATATTATAAATGCAAGCTTCAGTTGTAGTTGCCAAATTAAAAAAAAAAAAAAACAATTTACCACATCCTAACTTATGACATCGTCCTCATCTTGATACACGACCTCTCCTTTAATTCTATCAGAAAAAACGAGTACGTAGATGAAAGTTTTTAATAGAAAGCTTCTATTAAGTTAGAGTGTGGAATAAAAACCGTACTATGATTGTTGAGCGGTTATATAGTCGTACAAAAGCCCAGACGAGAATATAGAGTTTGTGAATCGTATGATTATTGATCTTTCAATTAAAAGCACTGCATGCGAAGGAACGTATGCTTGATTTTTTGTATCACATTGAATAACAACGGAAAGGCACGTCCTTGTCAATTTACGATACCTTGTTGGAAAATCAGAAGTCTGTGAACAAAATTGCCGATTTCAAAAGCCTCTTTTTTAAGAAATCAAGTTGTTATTTCTCGTTGGAAGCAAAAGAATCATTTATAAAAAGTAAAATAGGTCTGTCTCTGAGTTCATTTTTCTTTTTATTTTGCCCTCCTTATTTTTTCATATTTCTTCTTTTGCTTTTTACGTTGAGTCATATCCATATCTTTATCTTACGTAATTGTAAATATTAGTTCCGTTCATTATTATATTCTTAGCTATTCTCATAAAGATCACAGTACATAAAAAAAAGAAAAAAACAATGCCCAAAACCGATACTAATTTCTCGACTTACACCTCCATGATGAGAGTAACTAAAGGAGGGAGACCATATACAAAGGTATGTCTCCTACAGTCTGTAACTGAAGACTTTGAAAAAGTATAATGAAATCTATACCTCAAACTTCTTATATTAATGGCGCAAACAATAGGATTTATACGATATGTTTGCAGCTGTTCTATTGCAAATAAACCTTAAGGATCATCGAGTAATGTTCCGTACTTACCCGTTTACATTTACAACAGATGAAGCTGCTAAAGTTATGTCTTGCCTAACATTCATTTACATCCACCGTAAACCTGATCCTATTGATCCCACCAGACAAATTGCTACAAGAACAACCACCACTTTTAGCATGGATGTGACCACAGCTAAAAACATACTTCAGCTCTTCTTATCTGCTCGACTTATATGCAGTGCAACTGATCCAACAAACTGGTCTATTAGAGATAAAGGGCTATGGTGCCCTACAATGAAAGGCAAATATGTAATGGAGGAGTTTGCAGATACAACCCAAGTTGAAATGTCAGCAACGTTAATAGCAGCCTTGAACGCCCCCTATATGGCTCTTAATACATCTTGCGGTAGTAGTACAGGGAGCCGTATCATTACACTAGATCGTTTAATAGAAAATGATGATCAAATTACTTTTTCCCGGCCGAACATGACAGCTGTGTTTAAAGCCATGATGAGCAGTTTGCCTCGAGATACACTGCTAGTCGATGATGTTCCGGGCATCGATAAGAAAAGCCTTGATAAATACGAGTACACGTTTGTGGGTACGTACTGTATTGAATGGCTTTGTGAACGGTTAACAATCAATTCTGAACAAGAAGCAGAGAGTGTTGCTGCACAATTTGTTCTGTTCGGTTGGATTGCGCAAATACAAGACAGATCGAATAAGTCTCATAGTGATTTGGACGAGAGTGTTATATTCAAAACAGGACGTTACATTTTTTACTATGTCACAGAGAGAGGATGCTTGATTCTTGGTTGGAAGCTACCCAAACAAATTAGCGAACCGGTCATACACTCAAGTACTCATAGTATCAGTAGCGGATTCTCGCTTGAATCGGATAACAGTAGTCTCAATAAAACGTCAAAAAAACCGGTCCTTTATAAGCCGTTATCAAAGCCTGGAACAGATACAGCTTCGAAATTTACGCAACAAGCCACGCCACCATCATCAATAGAATTAAGCCCACCGGCAGACAGGCCAGCACCTGAACCTCCTGGAGTCAGTACTACGCAGATGATGCGCCAAGATTCTGGAGCAATGCTATTTGGACAGGTACATTCTCAATCCTCAATTTCACAAGATAGTTCGTGTGCCGAAATTAACATACCAACACAAGAACGACATCACACATCTCCACGCCCTCCAAGCATGTCGATTACCGACTCTGCTTTGTCACACACCAGCTCCAATTCTGCATCCAACAATAACTATCATCAACACACCAACAAAGATAATTCTAATTGGAACAAGCTTACACAGATACTAGAATCACCTTTGATTCGTATGTACTTCAGAAACTTCTTAAGAGAGAACTATGCTGCTGAAAACATCAATTTTTGGGTCGAGCATGATAAACTACTACGCAATTTTAAGCAAAACAACCGGTCCCTACAAGAACAACTAGCTGAATGCTATACAATATACGACACCTACTTAGGGCCTAACGCCACAACAGATGTCAATATAGACCATTCCTTACATCAAGAAATCATTAAATTCGTCGCTACTGTCTTTACTACTATGTCCACGAAACCACCGCCACCCACTCCTACCAATAGCTCCTCATCACTCAGTGACGATACGACTAATGAACCCTTTTACTTTACGGTCCCTTCAAATCTTGTTCTTAATGCTTCACTAAACAAGCCAAGTAATTCAATAGCGTCATCGAACCGCCTGCTATTGATGCCGCCTCAAACGGTTGCTGCTGATTTGAAGCAACGTATCATTCGTGTCCGCGGAATACCTCCGGAAAAGTGTCTCATAAAAATGCTTAGATTGCTCAGTAAAGTCAATGATCACTTGTGTCGAATGATGGCGGAAGATTCTGTTCCTAAATTCATCAAAACTGAAAAGTATAAAGAACTTATGGAAGCACAAAGACAGCAAAAAGACAAAGTCGACGAAGCAGAATTGAGTGACGATGAATTGTCTTTTGAAGATAGCAGTGATGATGAGAAAGAAAGAAGAAGACTTCGTTTCACAACAGCTTTATCGGCTCAAAGGTCTGTTATGGATCACCAAAGACATAAATCAACTGCTACTACCACCACATAACGAAGAATAACAATTGAACACTTTTGCGTGGCAGCAGCACCTTGTCTACGGTGATTGTTTCCTCCTCCCATCCCCTTTCTTCTTGCAGAAGTTAGGCTTACGAAAAAGATTGCTTCAACTTACAGCCATTTCGGCTTTAACCTTTATCTTGTACAATTCTCTCCTTCAAAATTTTTTTTCTCGTACCTGTATAACGCATATGCTTTATTTGATTTCATGTAACCATACCACCTCCCGCAAAAGAAAAAGAATTCTAAATTGTTATTATGTTTGTCCCCATTCCAAGCCTGCCATTTTTAACTAACCCTTTATTGTTTTAACTGTATACCTAATCACTCACATATATCCCTTCATTGATAACATCAATAAACTGTATTGCTACATTTTTACTATGATTGAAAAAATGACGGTTAAGGACACTAATTTAAGGATTCGTCGGTAATAATTGTATTGCATTTGTAGGAAATAAAATACATCTGGCGTGTATTATTGACAAATTAGTTATGTGCACTGCGCGAAAAGATAGACCATGTTTTCCAGGCACAACGCGTTAGAAATAACTATCTTCCTCGGAAAAGACGGCTTACTGTATAAAACGATAGAGTTGTTGTAGAAGCCCAATCTAGTGGCTGGCGTCGTTTTCTCTCCATCCCCTACTTTTTCTGAGTTCTCTGCCTTGTCTTACTCTCCTTTTCACACGAGTTATTCATTTACCCTTTTGCAAAAAATCAAAGACAAATACAGTTAGCGGACGATGAATGGTCGGCGATACTGACTCTGTCACAATAAGGCAACTTGATATTTTTTACCAGCAAATAAATGAAATATAGCTGATGCGACCAGCCTAAAATAATGCGAAAACGGATTCCGCTTGTTATACTATCGTTTGCCTCTGTATACATTATAAGATGAATGCCTTTGTTAGTGATTGGACGGTTTGTTATTAATTGATGACATTTCTTGCTCAATGAACAGCTTGTTTTAGTTATGAATGATAGGAAAAGGGTCAAAATCGCACCAAAGAATTTGATAAATAGTGTTCCCTTGCATTGATGTTAAATGATGACCAGAATGCTTACTGTTAAAATATCGTTCCAAGCTAGAGCACTTAGAGCAAAGTAGCCGTATGATGAGTAAGGCGCTAAATAGCGTTAGAGTGCTTTCTTTGGGCTCAACATATCAAAAAGAATCTTTTAAAAACGCCTATTCTTCTTGACGTGTCACACATATCAATTGAGAAGAAAGATGCAACCACATGACATCATTTGTGGGCCTCATGGTCTTTCAAATAGAGTCCGTTCTCGACGAGCAAAAAAAAAAAAAAAAAAAAAAAAAAAAAAAAAAAAAAAGTGTGTATGGAGTGGGGAGGAAGGGAGGACGCAAAAGTCAAAATATTAAAGCAGAAAGAAGCCATTACATAATCTCTATCTGCTGACTTATTTAATAGAACGTTTGCCATTTTAAACAGAGCATGTGACAAGTTTTAGGGCTGGATTTACTGAAGAATTGTCAATATAAGTCGAATAGCAGGACTGTTAAACCTTTGGAATGCACACATATATTGCTTCTGACTGTTGTAGAAATATGTAATAGAGTGTTTCTATAGTTGGTAATCTACACCGTATACGATAAATCATACATAGATTACACGTTATGAAACCCAAGTGGTATACCAATGGTTGGTCTATCACGTAATTATTGCAAATGAAAATAGATTTAATGTCGGTGTATAATATCTGATGATAATAGCATATTTCGTTGTACGTTTTCGCGGAGATAGCAGAGGGATTTGTTGACGATTTCTGCCCACTGATACATGCATATGTCATCTCTAACACTCACTGCTAACAGTGCTCTTAAAGCAATATAGACGGATTTGAGACAGATTGTTGAAAAAGGTAGCTACTCCTTTTCGCTGGATGGATTAGACTAGAGAGATTAAACCTGCGTAGGTCTTTGAGACGAACATTAGTAGGGATCCAGTTGCAGTAGAAGTCATTGCCAAGAAAGTGGGGTTCAATAATAAACAGAAAAACAGAAACATAGAGAAAGATCTTATGGCCCTTGTACAGCTTAAAAAAACACCAACAAATATCGACGCGATTACACCCCAGATAACAGTAACACTTGAACCTGATGGTACTTATATGGGAATATAGAGATTACTGTCGCTGAAGCTTTTCTTAATAAGCATTAGCTCTTTCTGAAGCAAAAGAGAAAGCATATCAGGTTACAACGAGTATTAAGCCTCTGATGCTGCTGCTACTTTGTGTGTCGAAATCCAATACAAGAACCAGGTGAAAGTCGCATTAAGGAAGCACTTCCATTGATAATAGAACCTTATATGAGATCTATTGCGGTATATCAAAGTAAAAAGGGCTTCTGCGAACACAGCAAAGCATACACCTAACCGACAGATGATAAGAAAAAGCAGCTATTCAATCTTTTGCTAACTGGTTTCCGGTGAACAGTGCAATTGAAGATGAGTCAAAAGTTAGAGACTAATGCTTGTTTAATTTGTTTGGGTTTGAGTGCACAGATTAGCATGAAGATAGCCTACAGAGCTGATAAAGGCATCTTAACGAAACCTATTTTTCGACGTTCCGAAGTATAAACTCTCGTCTCATCATATCAGAGTAATAACTCTGTTTAATCTTCTTTTCTATGGTATATCGTATATCATATCACAACGTATGCTTCAGAAAAGGGTTGTTTTTTTTTTGTTTTTTTTTTTGTCAAACCGGGTTAGGTCGTGCATATGAGGCGAACAACGATTACCAATTGTTATTCAATTACTTGAACTTACTGGTATTCAACATCTTTTAATACTTCATGTGGCTATTATTGTCTGATTTAGAGCATTGCCACGCTAAAGGGGGAGAGAAAAACTGACAAAGCTGACACCAACTTCAAGTTTATATACAGTTGCATAGTAGATGTAACTGTTCTTTATCCATTGGCAATTACATTTGCTATAAGATCCGGAAAAGACTACATTATGAACTATGGTTGGAGGTATACACTATATATAGCAAGCTGGCATCTTCTGACATATTCTTTACAAAACTATGAATTATACACATTGATGTGTCTGACTAAATCTAAGGAGCAAGCATAAAGAATCTACCCTTTATTCTAAAAGCATACGCCTCAACTAATAGACTTTGTTCATGCTTGTGGAAGATCTTCCACGTGTTTGAGAAGGATACAGTGACTGATGGCGCTATGATTCAGCCAATGCAAAAATTAAACTCTTTTTTTTTGCCCTGCACAATGCAGGCTTCAGTACTATGCGTTGTAAGAAGTAATACCCCTGAATCAATTTGCAAATGGTTTTATTGCGGCTACTAAATATACGGGAATAAGCAAAGGGTATGGATAAGATAATTGTAGGCATAATTACACTGTATTACATATAATGGTAAATGGTATTCATAAAAGGTATAAGAGTTTAAAAAATGGTATATAAGCTATAATGTAAGGGTATGTTATTCAATAAATATATGTATAGTTGATGGATAGACCACTTTAATGTTATGGGTGGAATGCCAAATGCAATAGGTTGTGTAAGGATAAGTGAACTGTATCAATACTGCTACTACTTTCCTTTGGAATGTAACTATGGATAAGCTGTTGCTTTTCGTGCTTTTTGCCGCCTATGTCTAGCATAGTTACCCGCAGCGAGGGCACATGTTGAAAGGCTAATGAGGACTGCAGTATTAGTGTAAGATTTTGTTGTACTATTATCCTCGGCAGCGGGGATTCCCAATAACTTTTGTAACGTTGTGTAATATTCAGGTGTGTATCTGCTGATTAGATGATCGGTTGGAGGCGTAGTAACGATGTCATTTTCATTAATGTGATCATCAACTTTGTCATTATCATAGTTAACACAGTGCTGTATGTTCTCCAAGTCTGTAAACGAAGGGTCTTCAGGATAGATAAAGCTCACTAGAGCTGTACCAGGTGAGAATAGAGTATCAGTCGTAGTTGCAGTGGATAAGCTTGTCAATGAAGGCTGACGTTGAGTATTATCATTCATATCGTGTGCGCTAAAGCAATCTTCAATGGCAGCGTACTTTTCATTGTTTCTGCAGCTCATCAGTTCTAATGGAGCAGAGATAACGGTGGCTGTGCTGGGTAATGTGAAGTGTTTCTTTCTGCCGAAACCGTAACGAACTTTATTGAGTTTATCAGAGGTGTAACGCTTGCAAGTAGTGGACAAGCTTTGTGATTTCGTTGTCTCTGTCACTGGTTGGACTTTGGTTGGTCCAAAAGTGTATTGTAAACTGCAAGTCATGGCTTTATAGCTCTAAGCAAAAGTGAAAATGAAAAAGATCAACAAAGAAAAAAACAAGTATAGCGCCAGTTGCTTTTTATACAGAAACTGATTGACAACAAAAACGAAAAAAAGTTGTCAATGGCCTTAAAAAGGTAATTTATGGCATTGTTCCTACTTTAAATTTCTTGTTCGACTTTTATTAGCTGCGGAAGAGCTCCTTTCCCCTTAAATGACACAAATTCATTCGCCCAGATTTCGCCTCTTATTGACACGGGCCGCTTCTTTCGGATTCATTTAAAATCAAACATACAATGAATAATGAAGCACGGTCATAGTGTTGTAGATGATAATAGAAAAGTCTGTATCGTTGTGTTTGGAGCTATGCTAAGGAACAGAAAAAGTTGTTTAAAGTAAGGTTTATTATTGACTTCTAAATGTTTCAGATGGTTGCTGTGTATGTATACGCTCTCCCTAAAAAGAATAAATCCCCATTTTGCTGCAAACTATTGGGGGGTTTTACACCCAGTTGATTTGCTTCTCTATCTACACACTGTTAATAAAGCCCACTGTATAATTTGAGGCATTCAAAAAGACGGAACTGTTTATAAAAGGCGACCTGCTATGAACAATTCTTTCACCAATGTTGGCTTCAAAGTACATCATTTGAGGTTCCCTAGATACGTCTTGCAGTACGATAACCGAAGAATGATAGTGGTTATGGTAATATGCTAATGGAGCTTAGGCATAGTATTTCTTTGAAGCAAAGCCTTGCGTTGGTATAGAGCCCTTTACCCAATCATGAAGCATAGTTATAAGAGTATATTTGGAAATGAAGCACGCTTAAAGAAAATGTTAGGGATGTTCCATGTGTTTAAGTTTAGATAAACATTGATCACCGCCCTTCTCAGTTGTATGACCATCTAAATGTAAACATGCGTATAGTTGGTAACATATCAAGGTATGTCTGGCAGAAAAGATGACAGAGGTAAAAAAAAAAAAAAAAAAAAAAAAAAAAAAAAAAAAAAGTACACTGTGAGGGCGCCAACTGTAGCTGTTTTCTGTGATCGATGCGTATGATTGTATAGTGGCGTAATATTGGCTACAGAAAGGGATGTTAAAATTGTCCATTAACCTTATATACTCCCTAAAAGTTCATGAGCATTGAACACAGACCAGGGAGTTCAAATCTCGCATGTATTATGTTGATCAGAAAGGTCAGTGATTTCACTATGATTCACCTTCGCTTTAAAACGTATGACTGCTTAAAGATCTCTCAAACGCCAATTCAAATACAAAGGAGATCTCTTTTCTTTGAGAGGAAACGCCATTATCACGTCATTTGTCAATGGTATATCACAGGGCAAACTTTGATGCCAAGACGCCAAAATTTTGAAGGACTATTATAATAATAGCGATAATTTATTTGTCAAATGTCTGTAAGAAAAACATTGTAAAAAGATTGGAACAGTAAGAACAGAGGTACGGCAGTAACGCAACTATCTCGCTGATAATAAAGGCGTTATTTCTGCTGCTATGGTGGATTTTAAAGCAATATCACGTTTACATATAGGACACTATATGTGGAAAAGGAGGTTAGCGTAAAAGCAAAGTCTATTACCCAATTATAGCGTATTTTTCCAAAAGTAAAAACTTACAAATCTCTTTTGCGTAGTGAGCCAGGTATCTACACACGATAGGTGAAAAGCGTGCTTACATGGCAGCACTCTAAGCATGTCATTTTCTCGGTAACTTTCTAAACATATTGAGCACTCTTCTTCATCATCGTAGCCGGTTACATTTTCAGCTGATGACTTTTTTTCGCGACGAAAGCATCTTTTATCCAAGTTTGCAATATCTTCTGACGAAGCTATCTCTTGTCTTCGCATTTTCTTTTGTTTTACGAGCCAAGAATATAATACAAACATCATCACTATGCTGGGTGATACGAATATGATGAGTAGCAAATCAAGCAATGGCCTGTTTAAAGATCAAGGGTTGCGAAAAGACTTATGTAGTCAGCAATTTGATGCTACTCAATTGTCGTTTAATACGTGAGGATTAAAGTAGACATACCATGTCATGAATCCATCTGCTTGTAATATAACCATCAAAGGCATGTCTTCCGCCATCTTTGACAAATAATGCAGCGTGGTATATTCCTTCTTAGTGATGAAAAGACTAGGAATTTTGATATCAGAGGTATTATCTAGGAAGTTCATACAATTTTGCATGTAAAACAAAAAGGCAAAACGGATAAATTGGTGAATGGAATCCAGCATCCTGTTGCTTACGAAAAATGTTTACATGGCTGTAAACTAACCTGGTGTATACATTGTCACCCAACCCGAACGGTTTTCGGGATCGCCCACGACAACGGCAATAGCGCCAGACTCTTGCATCTTCCTAACCTTCGTTACGAACGAGCATCCCCCTCTTCTTACCAACGCAATCCAATCTGTAGAGATAGGCGGGTACACTAGATTACAGCCTGTACGGTCAGAGGAAGGCTCTACAAGGTATCCTACCTTGCCATTTTCGGATAAGCGGGGTCCAAACGCTGCTGCACGATCGGCATAAGTTTCATTACTTCCCTAAACGATAGAAATTTCTGTTAAATGGGTTTTTACTGGGCTTCAAAGACTTACAGTTTATACCAAACTGCTACTAACAATGACGAGTATCGAAGCTTGCACGACACTCTTTATATAAAGATTTGCAATGATAAGTGACCAAAACCAGAAGTACAAAATCATATATTTGTATATATCCGATAACTTTTAGAGGTAAAAGTATTAAAGAGGGCAAAGAAAAAAGTAGCTCATCGGGATGTGAGTGGTAAATAAGGGGATAAAAATGCCCAAAGGAGGATTAATCCAAATTCTTAACGTCTTTGGCTGAGCGAAAAAAAAAAAATGAACTCTATCAACTGCGCTTGTTTCTGTTACATTCCTTTTCTCTTGATACTGTTCAAAACATTTTTTTTTTTTGTTTCGCCGATTCATAAATTGTACTTTCAATCTTTGTCGATTGCTCATCAGCAGACAACTACAAACAACCAGAAAAGTGAAACCCAAGTCTTTTTTTTCCTTGCAAAATACGAAACCTCTCGAAACGTTTCAGTAATATAGAACAGTAATGACAACTGAGCTGCCTTATCATTTAAGAAACGGCACGTCAAAGGTTATCGTGACAAAGACATTGGTTAAATCTTACGATCCGCAAACAGGCAATAAACTCATTAACAACTACATGCTTTTGAACGAAATTGGAAGAGGCGTTCATGGTAAAGTCAAATTAGCACAAAATATTCAAACTGGGGAACTGGTTGTAAGACATATAATTCTATCTACAAGTTTATAAAAGAATCCTATTGTTCATCTATTCATTTTCATTCACTGAATCAAATTGCTTCTATTTCCATTTATTTCTCGTTTAGGCACTGAAAATAGTCGATAAAAGGAATCGAAAAAGACAAATGGGATATGGTTTGTTAAGGGGAAGCCATCATCAAAATGGGTCAGATAACAACGCACCAAAAGAGTATGAGCAGAAGATTATAAGGGAGATATTGATTTTACAAAAATGCCTTCACCCAAACGTGGTGCGACTTTATGAGGTCATTGATATACCAGAAAATAGAAAAATATATATGGCCTTAGAATATACCGAAAATGGAGAGATTGAATGGAGAGATGATAATGATAAACCAATCATGTCGAGTGAGCAATCTAGAAAGATATTTCGGGATATTGTGAACGGTCTGGACTACTGTAAGCTATTACCTGCTCTGCTTAGCGTTACATTAAGAAGTAGATGATTGACATATCAGTTTATTTTACGATGATTCAGTACATTATCAGGGAGTGCTTCATAGAGATATTAAACCAGCCAACCTACTGTTGACACAAGATGGGACGGCCAAGATTTCTGATTTTGGTGTATCTTACTATAATGAATTGTTAGCAGCCTATAACAAAAGAACGCCAACTCCAAATGAATTGTCAAAGATGGAAAAGGAGCTATCTGAAACTGTGGGGACGCCTGCATTTTTCGCTCCTGAACTATGCTCCGCTGTAGACAACTTCAGCACACATACTGCAGGAACACTACGAATATCAAAGCCAATAGATGTTTGGGCATTGGGCGTGACACTTTACTGCTTTATTTTTGGGCGTTGTCCCTTTTTGGCCTCAACAGAGTTTGAGTTATTCGACACAATACCCACACAACCTTTAAGATTTCCTAAAAAAGAAGATGTCGGATTTGAAATTGGAAAAGATCTAGAAGATTTACTTTTGCGGTTATTAACAAAAAATCCTGAAGATCGGATCACATTAGATCAAGTCAAGGTAGTTAAGTTCATTCTGAGCGAAAATTTACTTTGAGCTGTTAGATTTAATACTTGAAATTCACAATGTGGCTTTATCATTGTAGGTTCAACCTTGGGTCACGGAAGATTTGGAAAATCCTCAAGAATGGCTCATCAGAACACAACCGCAAAATTATTCAGCTGGGCAAATAGTTCAGACACCTACACTATTGAGCGAAACTGACAATGCGGGCATTATGGAACGATTAAGGCAGTCAATTAAAAGACTTTCTATCTTTGGAAACAAACGCAAAAGTATAAAACAGTTAATCCCTTCATCATCTCAATTACCGCTACCAACTACTAGTGCAGCTGCTATTTCATCATCTTCTTTTCAAACCAATGATGAAAGTGCTATAACCAATGATACCTATGCCTCTTCCCTACCTCGTTATTCTCAATCCTATATTAGCAGGCATCAACCCCTTCATTCGCAGATAACAACGTCTGTGACACCAGCAACTTCATTAATAACTGAAGCTACAACAGCTACGGGTGGCTCGCAATTACTGCCGATAAACAATGGTATATCTCATTCTAGAATGCGACAATCGATATTGTCAAATGTCTCAGTTCGAGAAGGAAGTTGTTTGGATGATGACAGAAGCCTAGAAGATTTTAACGCATCGATACCCTCTTCTTTCAAACGACCCCAGATAAGTCGACAAACTTCCTCTGCTTCCTCAGCATCTTCAGGGATGGGCTTAACCTTTGGCAACTATCGCAATAGAATGACACCAATTTCATAACAGCTATGAAGATGGTTCTTACTTATTAACATTGAAAAATTCTGCTTATTCTACAAACTATACCTATTCTTTTTATCTTCACAAGAATCATTTGTCACGATGGCAAAACGTAAATAAATCAATTAACGCCACAGTTGTTTTGGGGGTTTTTTTTTTCAACAAAAAAAAACCTGGTTTTACTTCTACTTGTATGAACTATGTACAATACTTTTAAAATGATCACAAAATATTACAAAATCTGATCTGACCCATTATTTTCGCTTTAAAAGACAATAATCTCCCCATTCAATACCGGGAGCACCTGGGACCCAGAAGGCTCTTAAATAAGGATGCGAGTTTTCTGCATCCATGAATGGATAACAATCTAACACTTCCCAATGCTTTGTATCTTCAATATAACGAGGTTCGAGATCAGACTCAGGACGGAGGGGGAAGTTGGTGTCTACCAGGTAATCACATTCTTCCTCGCTGACATAGACGCTAGGATCTTCCAGATTCAAATCGTTGAATCCTTCTGGTGCTTTACGAGCACCATACCAGCCATAAACACGACGTCTATAAAAACTCTCCTCTCCATCCACTTCATAGGTGGCAACTTTGATATCTTCCTCAAATGTTTTGGGTAATTGACCTTCAAAATTTGTCTTTAAAAATTGAAGACGCGTATCACTTGGCAAAAAGAATTGTGAGGGGAAGCGATACCATTCCTTACCCACACATACGTTCTTTGTTTTGAGGTCAACATCGTTAGGAAACTCTTCTTGGATGTAGTTGCGGTTGACAAGTTGATCAGGAGCTTGTTCCTTCCAAATTGAGCTGTAGACGTCGAAGGGAGCACGATAACGGGTCAAAGTGGCCAAAATACGAGAGACGGATAAAGAGGCAAAGACGGCAAGAATAAGGGCGGCAGTGTACTGGAAGACAAGGACACGAACCTTGGGACTGGCACCCATGTATCCGGTGAATCGACTGATCCAACTACGGATTAAGTAGATAGAGATACCAGCATTTAAAGCAAGAACAGGATAAGCAACGTACATGAAGCGTTCTTCTTTGTGAGCTTGTAAGGAAAATACAACAAACCAGAGATAAAAGGGGATGAGTTTTAGACCTAATGTAATATAGGGCCATACTTGATCCATTTTAGTTTTTCCTGGTACACGTTTACGATCAATGTAGGCAGTGATAAGCTGTGGAAATAGCATAAAGTTGAATACAAAAGGAACCATTATTTCGCTGATTCAACGTAAGCTACTTGAGTTGGACTTACCACACAAACTACTGAACCCAAAGCTAACAAGAATGCAATATTGAAGTTCAAGACACCATTCAATATATAGTAATACCATGGCTCTGTACCATAGAGTTCAGGTCCACGACCTTCGGCTGCAGAAAAAATATTATATTTGATAATATTCCAAGCAACAACAGTATATTGACGGTAAAACATTTGATCCATGAGCATGACAATAAAAGCAATGCCCACCCCGCAAATAACTGTAGCTTCCATTAAACGGACAAGTCGTCTTAAACGCCAGTTTTTACTTGCGATAGAACGAACGATAGTACCGTCTTCTTTCTTCATTGTATCACGGCCAAAAATAAGTAATTCTTCAATGGCGAAGGGAACACCGATCAACGCAGCAAATGGCCAGCCACCGATAGCACCTAATCCAATCCAAAAAATTGTTTTGTATGTACGAGAATTATCCACATCAGAGACTGGTCTCAAAGCATAAGAGAATGCCATGAATACACAGTACATGGCAAACGTCGATGGCAAGTAAGCTATGCAATTAAATTTGTATTTGCGTCAGACTTTCCTGGCCAAAAAAAGTATCAACGATGCTTTCATACAGTAACAGATTGTTACTTACCTGTGGAAGCATTGAACATGCCTGCACTGAAGAATAAAATGGCGTAAACGTAGTGTCCCACATGTGGGTTGATCTCCTCTGTAATTGTTCGATAAAATCTGGCTTCAACATATGAGCAAATCGCTGCCAAGAATAGACGGATAAGGTAAAACACTTGTAGCTATAGAGCAGATCATTTCTTATTGAGTTATTGGCTGCTATTATTGCATAGTTCACTTTCTTTCCCTATTTAATCTCTTTCTACCTTTGTGGAGGCGATCACTCTGGACACGGCTCCAATAACTGCGTTCACAAATACGAATGCCCAACTTCTGATCTTATAGTCTGTTGAATACTCCCATGTCTCACGTCCATAACCGTATAGTAGATAGTGTGTAGGTTCCCAATAATTATATACTTCGTCACAATCATCGATAATTCTGAATAGTGCAGAGCAACAACGGATGATAAATAAGATACGGAATGCCGATAATAGTGATAGTGTAAAAGTTCCTTGTTCACTCAAGAATGATTGCGCTTCTCTATCCAAAGAAGAGAACTATTTAGAAAGCTTTTTCTTTACAATACATATAAAGAAAGAAACACTAAGGCTTCAGTAAGAAAATAGTTCATTGGTTTTACCTAACAGCCTTAATTTCTGAAGGTGACGGTTTGGGGACAGTGGTCTCGCTAACAGGAGCTGCATTTGCTGAGGGCTTCTGCGCTGCTGTATCTTTCTTCGCTTTCTTATTATTCGTTGAACGCGATCGTACGTTCGATGTTGCCATGATGTACGGATGAGTTTTGGCACAAAAAGAAAGAAAAAAAATTAAAATAATAATAAATAATTAAGCGAAAAGATGACAGGCAAGTGTCAAATAAACACGTAAATATTCCGCTATTGAAAGTTTAAAATTTTCCTTCGGTAAAAGGTTTTGGAGCCTTGGATAATACCTCCCGAAAAGAATTATGTCACGAGTGGTCTCCACATGAAGTGGTGGTATACCTTGAAACTCTGCGTGATGAGCTACCAGTCATACACAACCTAGGATTCTCGTACTAAAATATTCTTTATTGATGATGACTCAATTTTGAGCAGTATTCCAAGTAAAAAGCTTATTGTTTTAGAATAAATTGAATACGTTCACTAACTGAACCATCAAATAATAATTACAGGCAATTCCTTTTCTCAGTGCTGCCGTAACAGTAAGGTTTTTGAATTTTGGTGAACATTAAATCGAGGCGTGTATTATATTACTTGGAGCACATCCTTTCTTTTAAATTTCATATTTAGGAGGTATAAACCTGGTTTATTTGTTTATTGTGCTTTATTTATAAAGCACCCTGTTAGCTTGGAATAAGACGTTGGTTCAATCCTTCTTGTGCTGATTTACCACGTTGTGATTATCATGATAAACACTTAGAGTGGCTTGCGTTTAAATGAAAACGAAAGTGTGTTGTCCGCTACCCGTTAAGACGATGTACTGATTGTTTTGAATTTTCTGTATACTCTCCCATAGCTGTATTTAAAAGCGAAAAGCACTGAAAAACAACGAACTCTGGAGATTAAGGTCATACATGTAGGGACACAACAAATAAAAAGAGATTGCCAGTTTCATTTAACAAGGTTATTCATCTCATTTATATCTTTTTTCAGCCGTTGTGATATTGACCTTATTTTGCACTTGTCCATTTTCTTGCGTAGTTAAACTGAACATCGATCGAATTTGCTGATGGTTGCTATATTGTTAATGTCTTACTCTTTACAGTACACTTGATAGTTATGTGCTGGTTAAACATCAAATACTTAAACTCACCATTGAAATGAATAATGAACACTAATTGACGATACGTGAAGTCAGTCTTCCAACTGTTGCCCTTTTGATATATACATTGTTCGGTTTAGAGTACTGATGTACCGAATAAACCAAAAATGGCTCGATCCACGGCAATAGTATCATCTTCCATGATAGCTATTGCCATTATAGGAACATGAGAAACTTCTTAGTAACAACTTGATGACAAGAATGCAGCAACAAAGATGCCAGAAATGGTATTTGATGGCTATGTAAGTCTTAAGAATAGGCATTGATGAGACTCCTCCGAGCAGTTGGAACCCTTCCGTGATTAGTGTTCTGCAATGATTTGATCAGAATACTTTCCATGACTGTTGAATTTTTACGCATACACTAAACAAATAAAAATGGAAGAACTCTTCACTGCGAATGGAAGTGAAATGTGCTGAATATTATAAGTTGCGTATACTGTATGTAGGAGAGTAATAGGAAGCTACTCGTAAATTATAGACGCGAGAACTGTTGTAGTCTACCCACCCACTAACAGCGTATCAACTGTTTGGTTGTAACAGTAAAAAGGCGGAATAAAGTTATGTGTTCCATCTGTAAACATGCTTCTGAAAAAAAAAGACACGCTCGGGCAGTACAAGGAAAGCAATCATGTACTACTGAGTATCTTTTGATCCTGACTGTCAACAAGTGTTCCAGCGATCAAAAGTGGCAGAAATGCATTGGTTGCGCATTCATCTTGATTATGAAAGAATTGAGATAAATGCTGTTGGTTTGTGATGAACCCCATCTGTAAATCATTTTAATAAATGGGGTCTAAGCCTATGAAATCTTACGATAGGTCATTAAGATGATTTTCCTCAATGCTTGTACATTCAAAGGAGTGCATTCACATTGTGTAATTTTCCGCAGAGGTGTTGAACCAATCACTTTCTGAAAGCAATAGGGTCATTGCGCTGAATCGGTGTGGTGCAGGCGTAAAATCATTTCCTTTTCTCATTTTGAGATCAAAACGACAATATAAGCTGGTGTGGAAAATAACACACTTACAAATTCTACTTGCGTATAAGGTAAGCCCTGTGGGCAATTCCCACGACTAACATAGCAAAATACCATATAAAAAATGACAGCTTCTACTCACTCCTTTTCCATTTTTACTTTTTACAACACTTACATTAGCCAAAAACTCTCTTTGCTTTATTACTTTTATTGTACATTAGATAAAAAATGCTGTCAAGATTCTCCCGGCCCTCAGTTATAAATCGTGTCAATTATATGGCAGTAAACCATATACGCGCTCGAACACTTGCATCTGTCAAGTCTTCTTTCTTTCCAGATGAACCTACAAAACCAGTTGTCAAAACTGCTATACCTGGGCCTAAATCTAAAGAGCTGTTGACCAAGTTAGACCAATACCAAGATACACGTACTGCCTTTTTTGTAGCAGGTAAGGGATAGTTGTATTACTTGGAATAAAGCGATCCGAGACGAGAGCAATGAACAACTTATGCATTGCGATTTTGGGTGCTCTTATTGTATTCTATAGACTTTGCAAACTCCAAAGGAAACTATATTACTGATGCTGATGGAAATGTTTTGCTCGACGTCTTTGCTCAAATTGCATCCATTCCAGTTGGCTACAATAATCCTGCATTCTTATCCTTATCACAAAATCAAGCTTTTCAAACAGCTTTGGCAAACAGGTAAAATATAAAAGAGTCTTGGCCTACATTCAAGCAAAAAGGATGAAAAATAATAATTGTGTGGTCATCAAAACATAGAGCCGCTCTTGGTGTAAATCCTAACGTCGATTGGGTGGATTCCCTTGAAAAAGCTTTCATGGCTGTCGCTCCTAAAGGAATGACGAATGTATTTACCGTCATGTGCGGTTCTTGCGCCAACGAGAACGCCTTTAAAACAGCATTCATGTACAAAGCAGCTCAACGTCGCGGTCAACGCGACTTCAACCCTGAAGAACTCAACTCGTGCATGCGCAACCAAGCACCAGGATCACCTGATGATATGTCCATTTTGAGTTTTACACAAGCATTCCATGGTCGTCTATTTGGCTCTTTGACAGCAACTGCTAGTAAAGCAATCCATAAGGTTGACATACCCGCCTTTGATTGGCCCAAAGCACCTTTCCCTCAACTGAAATACCCATTGAATGAAAACGTAGAATATAACAAACAAGTTGAAAAGGAATCATTAGATCAGGTGGAGGATTTAATTGTGAATGCTAAGAAGCCTGTAGCTGCTGTTATAGTTGAACCTGTTCAATCAGAAGGCGGTGATAATCATGGTAAGTGCGCGAGTAGTAAAATTGAAGAATCGTTAGATTCGGTAAAATGAGGATAAAACGATGGATAGTCATATTTACTAACGTTTAATAAAAAAAATTAGCCTCTCCTGAATATTTCAGAAAATTACAAGCTATCTGTCAAAAGAATGATGTATTGTTCATTGTAGACGAAGTTCAAACTGGTGTAGGTGCTACTGGTACCTTCTGGGCACATGAGGCATGGAATTTACCTTCTTCACCCGATATGGTCACTTTCTCAAAGAAATTCCAAGCTGCTGGCTTCTATCTCAGTCCCAAATTACGTCCCTCGCATCCTTACCGTTTGTACAACACTTGGATGGGCGACCCAGTCCGTGCCATGCAAGCAGCTGCTATTGTCAATGAAATTAAAGATAAGAATTTGTTGGATAATGTGAAAGATGTGGGTCAATACTTGCAGGACAATTTAGCCAAAATGCAATCAACAACACCTATAAAGAATGTTCGCGGTCAGGGTACTTTTATCGCTTTCGATCTGCCTGACGGTGCTAAACGTGACAAATTCTTAGTTGACATGCGCCAACGAGGAGTTAATATTGGTGGCTCTGGTGATCGAACTGTGCGTCTTCGTCCTATGCTGACTTTCCAACGTCATCATGCTGATATTCTACTTGATACTATGAAAGATACCTTTGCTGCTACTGCTTAACAAAAAGAAAAAAAAAAAAAAAAAAAAAAAGTGATTTTCACTAATAAAATGAACTGGAATGAGTGTGATAATAGCATTTAGAACTCACATTCAAAAATCTGCCATCGATCTGAAGCCATGATACAAGGAGCTTTTTTCATTTCCTTTAGCGGTGTTGAAATATATTAATTAAAAAAAGTTGAGACCTGATGTTACCAAAACGCAATTTCAATCCATTTCCTGTTGTGGAGATGTACTCATTTTTTTGGATTGAACGGGTTTTCTTTTGGGGATTTCAGTGTTTCTTTTTCATATTTCATTCGCGAAACTTGGAAGAAGTGCATACTCTCTTTCTTTCCTCTCAAACATAATGTCGGATATGGAAGTGAGGCAAAGAAAACTGGCTGGTATACCGACAAAAGAAGGCAGCTCCCATAATTATGCGGAAGAGGAAGATGATAAAGTGAAGAAATCATTTAGACATCGAGACAACAAGCAGGACTTCTCCATAGTAGCTATCCTTTTTGCAGCAGCAGCATTTTTGCGCTTTAGAGGCATAAGTACACCAAGTGAAGCTGTGTAAGTTCTGACTGTAGACATTCACACTTCTTTTGACAATGCGTTCTGACATGAGTGATCTTGCCATATTCCCTTTTGTTCTTTTTTTTTTGGGGGGGGAATAAAATGCAGATTCGACGAAGTTCATTTTGGTGAATTTGCCGCTCAGTATATCAAAAGAAGCTTTTTCTTCGATGTGCATCCTCCTGTAAGCTATCTAATTTTTATAATCAAACTAGGATAGCTTGGAACGCAGACATGTTCAAACAAAGGTTCTTCTTTTGTTATACTGTAGCTAGCAAAAATGCTAATTGCATTTGTTGGCTGGATATTTGGGTTCAATGGAGATTATGTTTTTCCAGACATCGGCAGGTATGTTTGTGTTGGAGACGTGAAAGCGTAGTTGATATGTGTGGGTTAACAGTAAAAACAGTGAAATACCCAAAGATGTGCCTTATACAGCTATGCGCGGATTTGGAGCATTTTTAGGTTCCATGATAATACCTCTATCTTATTTAACACTTCGGACTGCTGGACATTCACGAACTGCTGCCATTTTTACAGCGTTGACACTTTGCTTTGGTAATACAGGATCTGCAAAATGAATGAGACCGACGTTTTTAACATAGTTTTCTAAACTAAACATTCCTACTAGAAAATGGATTAGTTACAAATAATCGTTTGGTTATGTTGGACTCATACCTCTTATTCTTCACTGCACTATCAATATACTTTTGGCTACAATCTTCACGTCAAAGGTAAAACAAATGACATTATTGGATTACTTCGTTGTATGCTTGTTTTTTTCCACTAAAGCAGTCTTTGATGTCACTCTGAGACAGGACTTTTAGCCAAGGATGGTGGTGTTGGCTTGTATTGACAGGTTTGGCATTGGGATGCACAGTCAGCACAAAGTGGGTTGGTTTATTTACTATTGCTACAATCGGCTTACCTATGCTGATAAACCTTTGGACTACACTTGGAAATATTTATATTGCTAAGGTAAAGGTTAAAAAATCCTACTGCGCGTGATATCAATGATAAGTCTTACAAAACTATTTAATTCATAGCGCACGTATGCTATTCTTTTCACAGCAAAGATATTCTGTATCTTTATTATCCCTGTCATTGTTTATGTTGCTTCGTTTTTTGTTCATTTCAAGATTTTGTCACATTCTGGCTCAGGTGATAGTTTTATGGCCTTTGAAACGCAAAATGAGTTGAAGGGTGAGGACCCCATAGATACACCATTGCGTAAGTACAGGATGATAGAAAGTGAGACAGGAGAGAGGGAGTTAAATAGAGAAAAGAAACGGATAAAGTGCTCAACCATTACATTTTATAGCCATCACGTACGGCTCAGTTTTAACCATTCGACATCTTGCCACCAGAGGAGGATATCTACACTCTCATTATGCATACTATCCTGAAGGATCCAATCAACAGCAGGTTACTTTATATCCTTTCAAAGACCAGAATAATTGGTGGAGAATTCTCAAGGCGAATGTGAATGTAACAGACGAACTAGAATCGTCAGGCGACTTGTTGGGAAACGATAATAATACTTGGTTGGAATATGTGCGTAATGGCGATTTTATTCGTCTAGAACATGTTACAACATCACCAAGAAAACTTCATAGCCATAACTTTCCAGCACCTGTTACTGAAACGGATTATCATTATGAAGTCAGGTAAAGTTTGAGAATCAAAGCGAGGGAAATCGTTGGGATGTAGCCACCTTTTCTTTAACGAAAAGAAACATATATCTGTAGTGGCTATGGTTTTCCTGATTTTGATGGCGATTCAAATGACTTTTGGCAAGTACAAATCGAACCCAACAACAAGAAGTCTCCCGAAGCAGGTGATATTTTGCAGGCTCGTCATAGCAAGTTCCGATTATATCATCGAAACATGAACTGCCATTTATTTTCTAAAGAGGAAAATTTACCTGACTGGGGATTTAACCAACAAGAAGTATCATGTATTGAAGAAGGTCTTAAACCAAAAACACTCTGGATGGTGGATGAGCAAGATAATCCATTATTACCCGCTGACGTACCCATCGTGCACGAAGATAGACCCGGTTTCCTAAGCAAATTGATCACACTTAACAAGGTGATGTGGGATGCAAACAAGGAAATGACGGAAGAGCATGATTATGGATCGCGCCCCGAAACATGGCCCGTACTTCACACCAGCATTCCATTCTGGGTTTCGCGACCTTTACAAATTGTCTTACTGGGCAATCCTCTCGTCTTCTGGGGCTCTACCGTCAGCGTGTTTACCTACTTTATTCTTTGGAGCGTTTTCCAAATCCTTGATAAGCGTGGCATTAGCTATAACTTCGATGGTATGCGTTCTACGTATGAGAAAACGGCTGGATTTTTTGTGATCGGTTGGGCATTCCATTACTTTCCTTTTTTCTTTATGCATCGTCAGCTCTTCCTTCATCATTATATGGTTTCCCTGTATTTTGCTGTCTTGGTCATGGGTGTGGGTGTCGAGTTTGTCACGAAACGCTTCCCTCCTCAGAACAGGCTCGTGTTTTGTTTCGTTTTGATGGCATGCATTGTATTTACCTACTACGTTTACAGTCCCATTACATACGGTGAAAAGTGGTCTTTGGCTGCATGCCAAAATGCTAGGTTATCAAAAGCTTGGGAATTCAGTTGCTCGATTTACGATGAATCATCATTTAACAAAGTAAAACCAAACCAGGCGAGAGTAAATACTGTGCAAAACGACATGGAAGACGGAATAGCAAATATCCTTTATGAGGATGCTAATGATAACCATGATGTTGATACCAAATTCGCTTCCTATTCTGGGGGATCACCTGAGCCTTTTGATGAAGATTATTTGGAAGACGAAGAAGGTCCTATGGATGAGCCTACTGAAGAGCCTATCTATGAAGAACCTGGGCCCGAATTTGTTGATGGTAAGGAGGTATACGGAGAAGACGACGAAGATGAAGACGACTGGCCCAAGACGATTTACGGAGAGGATCCTAACGCTGAGGATGATGCTGAGGCAGATCCCTCGCCTTTGAAACCTAAGGATATTCCCGCAACAGTACATCATTAGACTGTTTTCATCACATTACTTTCCCTTTCATAGACCTCCTTTTTTTCATTTTCTCAACCTCTTTCTTCATGTATATATGTGTACATTTAAAATAAATTGCCTACATAGATTGTATTCATGTTTTACATAAAGTGAAAGGCACGAAACAGTTGCTTTGCCTCAGTCGCAGGTACATTCTTCGAGTTCTGCAGTTGTACTGTAGCCATACCCACTGATCTGGATCATAACCTGTCGCCTTGAAAATAAAGCATCATTTTAACTTCAGCACGCTGTCCACTCAGAGAAAAGTGAAGAAGGGGCGAGTCATGGAGGCACCAAAAAAAAAGAGGACTTTTTCTCAATTGCAATAAATACAATAAGAGATGGAATCAACAAAATCGAGAGAAGTCAAAGAGACAATTGATAGTAAATGAGTCAGCTTATATATAGGGGAGTGGTTTGTATTTGGACGCTTTCATACTGACGTTGTCTTTCAGTTCTGCTCGATATGGCAACAATGCTGAATACAGGCTTAGACAGAGATACGTTAAGTTTATGTATATCCTTATGTGAGAAAGGTGTCAATCCCGAAGCATTAGCAGTGAGTATGATTAGGTTATTTCAGAATCGTTTGACAAAGAAAAAAACTAAACAGCATTGCTTAGACCGTCATCAAGGAGTTACGTCAGTTGCGAAATACAAACAGTCAATAACCAGAAAAAAAGAAAACTGCATTAATTTCACCTTTGCCTACTAATCGCTCTGTATACCCGTCCCCGCTTCCCCTCCGCCTTTTCTCTTTTTACTAAATATACTATTCATTCCATCAAGATCGGATAAACATCAATCGCTTATGAAACGAGAAGGATCGTCAGTACCCACGAATGACAATAAAAAACTCAAAAAAGGTTGACTATCGAAGTTTATATTTTGTTCTTTCTTTTTTCATTTGTTCCTTTGACGTTGATCACTCATTCTGATACATCATTGTTATCGATCCTCAAAGAACACCCTTTTTTCAACATGAAAGCCAAAAAACCAATTGAATGGATGAATGTTCTCAATAGTGTTTTGATAGCACGAAGTAAAGATGTTGCAAAGAACAAGATCGCTGCCTTTGATCTGGTACTTTTTCGAGCTAAAAAAATGATCCGTCAAGTTTTTGATACTTATACAGATTTCTCTATCAGGACGGTACGTTAATTGCTACCAAAAGTGGACGCGTTTTTCCTAAAGACGAATACGACTGGCGATGGTGGGATCCATGCATACCCAAGTGCCTCGAGAAATTGCATAGTGAAGGGTAAAAAGAACGGAGAAGAATAAAGGAATAAAAAAGCCCCAAGCCTAATTAGAACCAACAACAACGAATTGTTGTATCATTCTCTTAGTTATAAGCTTGTCATTATTTCCAATCAAAATGGTTTAAACAGTGAAAAGAAGATTAAAAGTTTCAAGACGAAAATAGAAGCCATATTGAATCAAATAGAGCCCCCCATCTTACTTTTGGCTGCTATGGAAAAGGATCGATATAGAAAGCCTATGACAGGAATGTGGGACTGGTTAATGAAGAATAACAGCAACTTAGAAGTGAACAAAAGTCAGTGCTTTTACGTGGGTGATGCGGCTGGACGAGGCGACGGTTGGAAGCTGAAGAGAAAGAAGGATCACTCTTGCTCAGATCGTAAATTTGCAGATAACGTGCAGATCAAGTTTTATACACCCGAGGAATACTTTTTGAAAGAAGCGCCAGCCAAATTCACCTGGGGAGGCTTCAATGCGAAGGAACATTTGGCTTTAGCGTGTAAGATCTGCGACATCTTGTAAAAGACAAAGACACAAGTGATCTAAAACTTTTCCATTCCTCATAGTACCGCAGTACAGTGCTGAAGATACACCACTTGTCCCTGTGGATGCGAGACAAGAACTGGTTGTTTGTGTAGGCTATCCAGCGTCGGGCAAAAGTAGCTTTGTTAAAAGGTACTTGGTGCCCAAGGGTTACATTTACGTCAATCAAGATTCTTTAAAATCGAGAGAGAAATGTGTGACGGCCTGCCAGGTAGCCATATCAGGAAAGAAATCTGTTGTAGTGGACAATACCAATCCAGACAGGGCGACGCGCGCTGTATATATCAAACTCGCCCAAAATGCTGGTGTACCGGTGCGCTGTTTCTACTTTGGTGACAATGAAGATCTGGCGCTACACAATAATTTTTATAGAGCTATTCATAGACCAGATGAGAAAAGAGATGTACTAAGTACTATTGCTTTCCGCACATTTAAATCAAAACTTCAAGAACCTACTACGATGGAAGGATTTAGTGAAGTGAAGAAGATTAACTTTGTATTTGAAGGAACGGAACAAGATAAAGAAGCCTGGCAAAAGTGGTGGCATTGATTCCAATGGAATAGTTAAAGGGCTGATGGCAGATCCCTTCATCCGTCCTTCAAAACAGGAAGTTTGTGCCACGTTTAAATGGGTAACAAGTAAAGAGAAAACGGCTCTCAGAACCAATAAATGGTTCATGCGAATTTCTTATTAATAAAAAGCAAGGTACTTAAAGATTCTGTCATACTAAGTAATACTGCCCCTGTGTCAATTTTGTATGTGGGGTTAAACAAAATATATATACTCATCTTTGATTGGGAAATGCTGACTCGTGGGTTAGCATTTGGAAGATGGCGTCAACCCAAGTGGGTCGCCCTTGATTAACGTCTGGGTGTTTTTTTGCATAGAGAATGGTTAAGAAATCAAACATACATCTGTTGTACATTGCATTGATGGTTATGACCGCTCTTTCTCTTTACCAAAAGAAAAAGTAAAGGTAAATTCGGTTAAATTTTTGGTCGTTCATTGTCGGGAAAAATGAAACTGTTTTTACCAGGCCCATTCTCTAATCCGATAATATCCTTAGTAATAAAACATCACATTACAGCCCGTGAAGGATTTCGAATTGTGAGATCCAGGGCAAAAAGGTACCATCTGCATTATATCGTTTGACAACGTGCCCTGAATTCATCATCTGCAGGTTATGCATAGTCAAGCAATCAATTTTACCCGCCCTAAAACTGTTAAGATTTGGGTTTATAAGCGACCTTTGCAAAAGTTAATCCGCAAGTTCCGTTCATTATTCTTTAGCGAATTCTCTACAGTCATACGTCACAAAGTAAGAATTGCCTTTTTTGTAATCCCTTAAAAAAAACTGATTTTACCTTTTTACACACTCACTCTTCGTTTGTTTTTTACCCCACACATTAACTAATTTCACCACCCTTCTCTTTATTTATTTTTTTTTTTGAAATTTTTGATTTTTATTCAAAAAAATGTATCGATTATCAGCACTCAATAGAGTGTCGAGTGTCGTTCGACCTACTATTAGAAGACATGCCAGCATTGCGAATGCAGTAACTCGTTCCTCATTACTGCGTCCAACCAGCAGCTTGGCCAGTTTCCACACAACAGCAAGAAGCTCAGCTGCCGCACCTCCTGAATCAACCGACGCCTTTTTACAAGGCAACGCTGCTAATTATATCGAAGAAATGTACGAAGCCTGGTTGAAGGATCCTTCTTCGGTACATTTATCATGGCAAGTTTACTTTAAAAACATGAGCAACGGTGTTCCTCCCGGTCAAGCCTATACTCCACCCCCGACCATTGTTCCCTCAGCCAGTGCTCGTTTGCCCGTGTTGCCTGGTGACGGCATTTTGGGTGGCAAAGCAGGTGGAGCCTCTTCAGAAGTCATTGATCACATGAAGATCCAATTGTTAACAAGAGCTTATCAAGTGAGAGGACATCATATTGCTAATTTGGATCCTCTGGGTATTCAACACGCTGGGCTCAACTCCTCAACACCACCTGAATTAGAACACACTTACTATGGATTTAAGGACAGTGATTTGGACAGAACTTTCACCATTGGTCCTGGTATCTTGCCAGCCTTTGCAAAGAATGGAGGAACTTTGACTTTACGTGAAATCATCTCTCATCTTAAGAAAATCTACTGTAAGTGCTTACTTTTAATGTGACGGGATCAGAGGAGGGCCAACTTTTACTATTTGAATGTGCGATCATGTGCCTTTGAGAGAATAAGGAGCTCTGATTTGCTAATGAAATCAATGAATTTTAAATATAGGCGGCTCCATTGGTGTAGAGTATATTCATATTCCTGATCGTGCTCAATGTGATTGGATTCGTGAACGTATCGAAACCCCACAACCTTACAAATATTCTGCTGATGAAAAGCGTGTCATTTTTGATCGTTTGACTTGGTCTGACAGTTTTGAAAGATTCGTTGCTTCTAAATATCCTTCAGAAAAGCGTTTTGGTTTAGAAGGTGGTGAAACGTTGATTCCTGGTATGAAAGCAATGGTAAGTGAATAGATGAGATAAAAAAAACAAAAAAAAATAAAAAAAAGAGGGCCAGCGGAAAAAAAACAAAGCGAAAATGGGCTTAGAGACACTGACTGATGGTTGTTGTTTATAAAAATGATAGATTGATCGCTCCGTTGATTTGGGTGTTGAATCTATTGTCATTGGTATGCCTCACCGTGGTCGTCTCAATGTCCTTTCTAATGTGGTTCGTAAGCCCAATGAATCCATCTTTTGTGAATTCAGTGGATCTCTTGAACCTTCCGAAGAAGGTTCCGGTGATGTCAAATACCATCTTGGTATGAACTATGTCCGTCCTACTCCTTCTGGTAAGCGTGTCCACCTTTCACTGGTTGCCAATCCTTCTCATTTAGAAGCTGTAAACCCTGTTGTTTTGGGTAAGACACATGCTCTTCAATTCTATGGTAAGGATACCAACGGCGACCATGCTATGGCTGTTTTGATCCATGGTGATGCTGCTTTCGCTGGTCAAGGTATCGTTTACGAAACCATGGGCTTCCATGACCTGCCTTCTTATTCTACTGGCGGTACGATCCATGTTGTTGTCAACAACCAAATTGGTTTCACGACCGATCCTCGTTATGGTCGATCCACACCCTACTGTACGGATATTGCCAAGTCCATCAACGCTCCTATCTTCCATGTCAACGGCGATGATGCTGAAGCAGTTACTTATGTGATGCAGCTCGCCGCTGAATGGCGTCAAACATTCCACAAGGATGTCGTTATTGATTTAGTGTGCTACCGTAAGCATGGCCACAATGAAACGGATCAGCCCATGTTCACTCAACCCCGTATGTACGAAGCAATTGCCAAGCAAAAGCCCGTTGCCAAAATTTATGAAGAACAACTGAAGAAGGAAGGTTCTCTTACCGACAGCGAAATCACTGAGAATAAGAAGCGTGTCTGGGATATTTTAGAAGAAAGCTATGCTCGTAGTAAGAATTACAAGCCCACCTCGAGTGAATGGCTATCGAGCTCATGGCCTGGTTTCAAATCACCCAAGGAATTGGCTGAAGAAAACCTGCCCCACTATCCCACCGGTCTCCCCTTGGAGACGCTTCAAAATGTGGGTAAGGCTCTCAATACCCTCCCCCACAACTTCAACATTCATCGTAACTTGAAGCGTATCCTTCAAAACCGCGAAAAGGCCCTGGTCGAAGGTAAGGACATTGACTGGTCTACTGCCGAAGCTTTAGCTTGGGGTTCTTTGCTTGTGGAAGGTAGACACGTTCGTGTGTCTGGTCAAGATGTAGAACGTGGTACTTTCTCCCAACGTCACGCTGTTCTTCACGACCAAAAGGACGGTAGCCGCTATACCCTTTTGAATCACATCAATCCTGAGCAAGGCGTGCTGTCAATCTCCAACTCTTCCTTGTCAGAATATGGTGTTCTTGGTTTCGAATTAGGTTACTCTCTCGTCAATCCTGAATCTTTGGTGATGTGGGAAGCTCAATTTGGTGACTTTGCCAACACGGCCCAAGTGATCATTGATCAATTTTTAGCTGCTGGCGAACAGAAATGGCTCCAACGTTCTGGTCTTGTCCTATCGCTTCCTCATGGCTACGATGGCCAAGGACCTGAGCACTCTTCTGCCAGAATTGAACGTTACCTCCAACTCTGCGATGATAACCCATACATTTACCCCAGTGAAGAAAAACTGTCCCGCCAACACCAAGACTGCAACATGCAAGTGGTGTACGCCTCCACACCTTCTCAATACTTCCATGTCTTACGTCGCCAAATCCACCGTCAGTTCCGTAAGCCATTGATTCTTCCTTTCTCGAAATCCTTACTTCGCCACCCGTTAGCTAAATCCTCTCTTGAGGAAATGACGGGAGACAGCCACTTCCAATTGTATCTTCCTGAATCACATCCTGAACATTTGGTAGCTCCTGAAAAGATTACCAAGCACATCTTCTGTTCTGGACAAGTCTACTATGCTTTATTGAAAGCGCGCGAACAAAACAAGATGAATGATATTGCCATTTCTCGTATTGAACAACTAAATCCTTTCCCCTATGAGCAGATCAAGGAGCATGCGGATAAATACCCTCATGCGGAGATTGTTTGGTGCCAAGAAGAACCCTTGAATATGGGTCCATGGCAACATGTGCAACCTCGTATTGCTACTTCTTTGTCTCAAACACAACATCATGCTGGTAAATCACCTCGTTATGCAGGTCGTCCACCTTCTGCCTCTGTTGCCACTGGTAATAAGAAGAAGCATTACCAAGAAGAATATGGTCTCTTGAGCGAAGCTTTAACAGGAGATCATTTACAACCCAAAGAAATCGCTCAAGGTGTACCTATTTGGTGAAAAACAAAAAACAAAAAAACAAAATAAATCAAAATAAAACTAATTTAGATGATCATTTCTTTTTTATGGTGATAAATAAAAAAGCTTTGTTAAACGGGGAATACAACTTTTCGTTAAAAATAAATTGTTCGTACACTTCGGTAGGATTGAATTACACAGAAGCATCTGCTGTGTTTGGGAGAGTTTCGTTTTGTGCAAAGATTCTCCTGGATATTGCGGATCTGCTCTGAAGCGAGTAGTATGTCTCGCTGTGACTTTCTTATTAGACCCTTTCCCAATTATACAATCAACTTATCCCCAAAAAAGAACCAAGAATGTTTCTTAAAGGGAAAGCTTTGTCCTTTTATTTGATTTTATCATACCATATTTCACTTTACGATTTCAAACTTCTTTATAAAATGCAGACATCGTGGTCATCTAAGCAGCCATTATATGCAACCAATACATCGGATCAGTTATCATGACATGGTACTGTTTGTATGAAGAGTTAGCCTACATTTGTGTGCTCTTTCGATTGGTTTTTTTTTTTCTTAAAAAACCGACCCTGCATCACTGATGGAGTTCTTTGTTAGAGTCCACAAGCCGTCCTTCAGAATAGAAAAAAAATTCCAAAACCCGCCCTTTGTGTGAAAATTCATTAGCCGCCCTTACGGTGTTGGAACGACTGCATGAATGTATGTGCGTGCATGGTGTGCAAAGAACAGTAGTTGTACATTGCTTATTCCATGAACACGAGATGTACTCTCTGTTTGGAGGGTGTGCACACTTCTTCTTATTTCTTAAGAAAAGGGGGGAGGGTTGGGATGAGGCACTGATTTTACTTTGCAGCAGCCGTGGAATAGAAGCCCCTTTTCTAAGAAGAAAAAAAAAAGAAAATTGCCATGAAAAACTGCTGTATTCCGGGTAATTCTGTCGATGATTGCATATTTGAAGAAGAGCAGCAAAAACTGAATAAGAACACAAAATCTATACATTTGGAGCCAAGTTGCACAAAATGACGATAAAGCTACAAAGTCATAAATAAGAAAATTGGTCTCGGGCTTTTTTTTTGATACTATAAAGCCGTGAAATTGAATCAGTGGGCTTTTTTTTTTGTCTCAAAGGATGGTCCAGTAGAAAGCATAGAGTGATAAGTTGAGCTTAGTGGACGGAAACGATTCTTTTCAAAGAGTAAAAATAGCCATAAGAACAAAGGAAACAAAGGAAAAAAAGAAAAAAGTAATGTGACGGGAAAAAAAGGAAGTTTAACGGATTTTTATAGTTTCCCTTCATCAGACAAAGTGTAAAGCAGACAGAAAAAGAGAGACATAGTGAGAGAGGGACAGGACACAGCGACAGAGAGCACAGGTGAACTTTATATAACACATTTTAAATGTTTAAAGTCATTTTTTTCTTTCCTTTTCTTCTTTTTTTTTATTTTTATTTCTCTTTCTAACCTATCTGGTTTTTTATTATAAAATGGTAAAATTCAAACTTTTTGCAGCCTTTTCTGAAGCAACACTTTACTGAGCATTTGTTTCCTTTTAGACTGGCTCTGCTCTTACTGACGCTGAAATCAACCATTTACATGCTAAATTCGAATCACTTACCAGAGGCCATGGATTCACTGTCGATAGTCTAAGAGAAGTGTATAAGCTTGCTAAAGTGAATGTCACCGAAGCCGAGCTTCAAGCTCAGGTAATTTTCCTTTCTAAATAAAGTACAATTGACATAGTAGTTGCCTTCTAACACAAACAGCCTCGTGCATAGATCCATGCTGCCGACTCTAAAAACCATGGTAAAGTCGATTTTGACGATTTTCTATCAGTGATGACCAAGGTAAAAAGGAAGACGGCCACTCCTTTGATTTTTTTTTTTTCTATCTTTTCCACATCCTGTTACTCCTCATCCCTTGTTACCTTTATATGATGTCTTCCCCCAAGCTTCTTTTTCTGACGTACTTTTACTTATTGATATTAGCAACACGACGTCAATGCTGAAGAAGGTGTTTCCAAAGTGTTTGAATTACTTGATACTGACAACGACGGACAACTTACAGGCGACGATTTGAAGAGGGGCGTTTCTTTATTCGGTAATATATCTACCCTTTATAAAGGGGTGGGCTAGCGGTCTATGGAAGAGGGCAAGAGAAGAGAAGGACCCTCACCGATTTTACTAATATTTCATTTTGAACGTTTATCTCCCTTGACTCGATTTCATCATTAGGCAATTCCATTACTGAAGCCGATGTCGAAGAAATGATGTTTTCTGCAGATGTTGATGGTGATGGCTATATCAATTATGAAGAATTCTTAAAGATCATGGTAAGAATATTGATAGTTATTGCTATAGAGTCTGCCAACAATCTCTTTCTTTCTATTTTTTTTGCTAATATTTCAATATTATCTTCTACAGACTCCTTCCAAGGTCAATGGACAAACTACTTTCTAAGCCCAATCATAAAAGATTAAAGATCAACGATACTATCATAACCATTATATTTATACTAGTTACCTTTTCAATACAATACAAATAAATCCACTTTTTGATATTTCTTTTCTTTTTTTTTTCCTTTTTGCATTTGGGAACACCTTACTGCACTTGTATAGATCGCTTTTTGAATTCAGACTGCTTGCCTAACTTTTTGATGGTGCGGTACCGAACCTTATTGCGATCAGCGGCAGAGTAACGATCTTATTCATTGGCATATGATAAGTGTCATTTAACCATTCCAGAAGAAGGATTGTACGTTTGTCTCATACTATTACCAACGCTGCTGACGACGCTAGCTATACCCACCACCTCCATGAACGCTTCTAGATTATCTATTTTTACTGTGAAATTAAAATGTTTCTCGATCTACAGTTGGTTAAAACACACCCTCATAAATGGATATGCCTATGAGCAAACCATCATCATTCCGCATCAATTTTATCTCTCTCTCTTTTTCCACAAAAAAAAGAAAAAGAAAAAAACAACAAAACACATAAAAAAGCAGTAATGTTCACACTCAACGTAATAACTTTGTAAGCTCTATATACTTTATCTTGGAACGAAGACAAACTGGGTTATTCGACAGACGAGCACAAAAGAAAAACCCCCTCCCATAATGTCAGAAGTCAATAGATATTGGTCAGAAGAGTGTTATACAGTATGTAAGCGAATCTGTTGCTTAAGGTCAAGTCGTAAATCAAGATGTGTTTGCTTCACATCCTTTACTATTTGGGCAATATCTTGTACAAAATATCAATATCAAACTTAGAAAAATATTATTTATGACGGATATGTGTGTTCCCTAGTTTATCTTGAATATATTCCACTTCTGAATCATTGCCATTTTCATCAGCTATGTCACTATCCGAATGCTGTTCGGAGCTGGTGTCGTCTTCGTCGCTACTCTCTTCCTCCTCTTCGTCATTACTATCATCTTCATCATCGTCAAATACGGTGAATGCATTATTTCTGTTTGTATTTTTAAACAACATGTCATCATCGTCACTATCTCCTTCTTCGGCTTGAACCGCATTCTCCTGTTTTTGACGTTCATCTTCTTCCAATTTAGCCAAATACTCGTTTTGCACAGCTATAACTTCAGTCGAGTCTTTACATTTTGCATAGCGTGACAATAACCCACTGTGAGAAAGAGAAAAAGGACAGTCTCAGACACTCATCATTTATGTATCTACCCAACCAACCAACCCATTTGTTCTTGCAAATACCTTACCCGTTTACTTTTGCAAATGCATGTCCCCATTTAAACTTTGCCAAGAGAGCTTCTCCATGTTCAGGATACCCTGTAATATAAAAGATCGCCGCTAATGCCTCTGCACAATTCAATCTCCAAGGTTTACCATAATTCACTGGGTTCGTAGCCACTAAATAAGGTAATAGCCGATCCGTAGGCCCTCTAATTTTAGTAAAGGGAACTTCATCTACACGAGCCCAGGAGCAATCCACAACAGCTGCACCATACATTTCAACAATCTTTCTATCTGCTGGTGAAACTGCTTTTTCTCCTATAGGACTTTATGTGTATATATTGTTGATAAGTCAAGGACTATGTTTGTGATGTCCTTAAGAAAAAAAAAAAAATCTTGATCTTTTTACCTTGCTACAATGCCACGGAAACGTTGTGTTAATTTGAGTGTTTTCAACATATTACAACGAGCCAATTTGACACCTGAACAACGCTTAGGATCACAGTGCTTAAAGTCCTTTTATGAAATAGAAAATGATATGGATTGTTGTTATGTTTTTTTCTTCTTGCCTTAATGTGACAGGTATATTGAAAACGTTACCCACATAGCTACTGGCATAGGAATGGTTGAAGCATTCTCTGTAAACGTTTCAAACAGTAAAGATTGAGTGTCGACTTTATCTATTATGTTGAAAAGATTTTTTTTTTCCTTTTTACCCTCATTGTTCTGAACTTCGTCTTCACCAAAAGGTGTATTAGTGTAGCGATCATATCGAGAACCTTTCCCACTTTATTATTTCAAGCGATAAAGCTTAAGCATTAGATCACTCAAGATTATTGATCTGTGAGCACATAATTTGTCTCTATACCTCGATGGATGAGATTTGCTGTGTGATTTTGTTGATTTATGACTGTGCGATTTTGAAGATGATCGGCTATAGTCCTCAGAGTTCTTTTTACCCATGATGGATGTATTCTATTTGAAAAATCTCGTGAAAAATAACCAAAAGAACAATTCCTTTCAGCAAAAAAAAAAAAAAAAAAAAAAAAAAGATAATTATATTTGAGGCTCAAATTTGTGTGTGGATCCTCCGCAAAACAAAAATCAACTCGTTTTAACTCGTTTTTATTGATTAAATTGTGGTGTTGTATTTTCAGACCACCAGTCAGGTATAAAAGGTTTGAGACGAATAGACTCATTATTAGGAATCATAAAAGAGGTATTCTTTTGAGATTCCTCCTCGTTCTCTCCAGAAGTAACAGACTTTACATGCTCTAAACGCATCAGAGCTAACCCGATATTATGTATGCCTGAGCACAGCTTGCCAATACTACGAGTCTTTGTCGTAGCTTCCTCTGTAGATGCGCCATCCAATTTGATATCGGTCTGCGGTGGTAGTATATCGGATGGGAAGGAGTGGTTTCGATCCACACTTAGGCTTTCAGGCACACTAAATGATTAAACAAAAATAGGGTCGCGGGGGTATGCTCAGTCTTTTCTTCTTTTTTATATATCACAGAAATGCTCATGGATACTTTTTGGAGATACTTACGCTTCGTCTTTCTTGTAAATCTGTACAGGCACTATACGTTTACGCACAACGCCTGTGTGATAGGTTCGAATGGTCAACTCTTGGCCAACATAACAGCCCTTACGGAAATCAACTGTTACAAGAGACAAAGAGAGAAAGAAGAGTTGGTTAGTATTACGCACTTTTTTTTTTTTTTGTTGAAAAAGATGGCGATTCATTCTCTCTTCTGCTTATTACCTCCATTCATATAATCAAGATTTGACTCTAACGGTAACGAAGATTCTGGCCAAAAGTCATCCACACCCTCTGGCACACCATGTAGAATACGTCTAATTGTATACTCATCCGAGTCCAACTTTGTAAAGTCTCCAGAGGATGGTAAAATGTTTTCAATATCTACGGTATAGATCGTAAGAATAAGAAAAGACATTTTAAAAGCAAAAGAGAAGGCTTCATAAGCATCTCTCTTACCTTCATTCGCTTTTACAAGTGCCCTATAGCCAAATCCAGGTACTCTCGGATCAAAACAACCAATATCTGTCAATCGTCTATCCTTTTTGATTAAAATAGGATCGCCATCGGACAAAGGACCACTACCGCTACTATGGCCACTAATACTACTACTACTACTATTAAGGCTGCTCGTATCCATCAATAATCTCTTATTCTTATCGGACCAAATATTCCAAAGTGTGTATTCCTCAGAACAATCTCTCACTTTTACTTTTGCTCTTAAAATATACCGCTTTATATGTCGAATGAAGTTTGCTTTGCTGGCAGTAGGGCATTCAATGATAAATCGAGGATGAGGAAAATTGACACCGACATTGACGGGATAAATAAAGGTATCATACAACATTCTACCCTATTGCATTAGTAAGAACGGGAAAAAAAAAGGGATGAGCTTCTTGTCTTTTTATATTATCAGTCTTGATACCATCGAAAAGATGCAATTTACAGTGGGTGTCAGAAAGGCAGCATAAAATCCATCTCCTCCAACTGATATTTTTGGCATATGATTAGTTATCAAACCTTGTAAAAATTTGGCTGTATCCGGTCCTTCCAATTCTACATAGCTGCGATGAGGAACAGCGCAGTAATGGTCGCCTTCGTGAAATTTATCTTTTTCTTGAAATTGAAGAGTAGGTGTAGTTGAAACACACCTATGTATACAGCTTGCTAAAAATAGTCAAAAAAAGGTGGAGGAATGAGGAACAAGATCAGGCAATGAACGTTTTTGCGCTCATATAAAGATGGCGCAAAAGACAAAAAGTAGGAGGAAGGGTTAATGGATTACATTTTGAGAAGCGTGCGCTTAATAAAAGTGTTGCGCTTTTAGTTGTTAAGCGTCTTGTCAACATGTTGTATGTAACTGAGAGGTGTTCAGGAAAGAAAGAGAGATTCACTGCAAAATAAGCTTTTCTAACACCCCACGTTTTTCCCTCTTAAAATTTCCAATTGAGCGAACCAAAATTGCGTTTTCAAATACAGCCAAAGGACAATGCTTAATCATACTTTTGCTTAGCAGCATGTTAACAAACTTACTAACTCGATGATAGTTACTGATGTCAACGGCTCTCAACTAAAATATAGCCGATACAGATATCTATATACAAACAAGAAGCATGTGAGTACCTTCACTAGGGGAGTCACAGACACACATACAAGCACACACACACGCATACACACACAGGGCCAGGAAAAAAAAAAGCGGGGTTGAACCGCATTAGGGTTTTTTTTTTAATTTTTTGACATCCCAGGGTCGAGTTTTCAAAAAAGTTGTTCATACGTTACATAGTATTGACCTTATTATTTAAAGAATGCATCACGGCAAACATTACCGACGTTTAAATCGTACATCATCACACAGACAAGCTCTACTTCGTAACCTGGTCTCTTCACTTATCGAACATGGTCGAATTGAAACAACCATTGCCAAAGCTAAAACCATTCAACCCATTGCTGAAGCCATGATCACCCTAGGCAAAAAAGGAGATGCCGAAGCCAAAAAGAAAGCTATTGCCTTTTTAAATGTAAGCTATTTGTCAGAAATAATAGTCCTATAATTGATGATTAGCTTCAATATTGATCTTGCTCGCTCAAAAATGATATAGTCAAGAGATATCACATTGCCTAAATTATTCGATGAATATGCAAAGCGTTTTGCCAATAGACAAGGTGGTTATACTCGCATTCAGAGAATCGGTAGCAGAACGGGCGATAAAGCGCCTATGGCTGTTATTGAATATATCGATGGACCTACAGACCTTAAAAAGGAAACAGTGACCAATGTCCTAGCACGAGCTTTTCGAGACCGCACTACAGCAACCGGATCATCATCATCATCGATACCGTCAGTAAAACAACTATTGGAAAATGAAAAGGCTATAGAAGAATTAGGCTTACCCAAAAAGGTGATACGTGATTTGAAAAAGGTCCAATTTTCAAATTCTGTAGCTATCATTGATAAAGTGATTCAGGAAAAGATGGCCAACTTGAAAGTTTAAAAACTGATATAAAAAGACTTTACTCTGAAACTATAAAATTTCAATAGATGTGTGATTATGGAAAAAAGAAAAAAGGGAAGACATGATGAAGCCATATGTGTAAAAATCAATAGTGTTACTTTTTTTTAAATGATTTTCTGTTTAAAAGCTATGAGATTTCCCCCTCCCCCAGGATATCACCGACTTGGGAAGTATGTAATTATACGAAAAATTTAAGAAACAGTAGTAGGTTCAGTATTCGTTGTCGTATTGGCAGGATTGCTTGGTCTTCTGCTCCCACTACCAATTTCAGGTACCATTAAGTGTCCGCTTGCATCTTGAATTGAGCTATCGTAATTTATTGTACCATTACGACCACTGAAAAGAGTATTATCGTCCTCATCCATATCCACCTCATCATCGTTCAATCGGAATGAATTGGAAGGCGAAACAGAATAAGGACGGTCCAATGTAGGATAGTTGACAGGACTTGGTACAGGCGATTCGATGTTAGGTATAAACGTAGGCAGTTCAACTTCATCCGTCGACATTGCCGCTTCAGTCGCTGCTATTGTACCTTCTTCTGTTGCAATAGTGACACCTATTGGAAACTCCGGTGGCACAGTGGTAATTTTGACGGGTAGTTTGATGAGCGAGGCAGCGGCAGCAGCAGCAATACCTGCACCATGTTGATCACTGCCGCTCACAGTGTTATTGGGGGTAAAGAAATGAAGCGACGACTGTTGATTTAAAGCAGGAATAGTGATAACGACTTCATACTTTATCTCCAGATGTCTTCCTACCATGTTACTCGTGAATGTAGGTACAATATAACGCGGTAAATCGAATTTAAAAATATCATGATGGCCCTCATTGATGTCTTTACTATTGCTAGGAAAAGTCAAGTAAAAAGTGTCAGAGAAGAGGGTATGGCGTTGGTGTTGCATTTGGTCGAGTGAGGGTGTAAGAGTTGACATGATTTCAACAAACGAAATTTGGACATGTTTAATTTTGGTAGCGCGAGACATATTGTTTATCATCATTTTGACCGTACAAACATCGCCTAACATCATGCATGTGCATTAGCATAAAATCCATCGATAAATAGAGAAAGTTTATAAAGGGGATGTGAGAAGGTTTTTTTTTCCTTACCAGGACAATAGGAAGCCTTGACTAACTCTGCCGTTACTTTGATTTTTTTACCATTATTCTCAAAAGTACGTCGTTGTTGCGTAACATAGGATGTATTATTGTCACAAACAATTAAAGGCAAGTATAAGATAGGCACAGTCTCTGTAAAAATAGGTTTGGTTGCTGCTGAAGCCGGCTCTATGACTCCTGTCAATGTATAATTTATACGGCGGCCGAAAATTGAATGGTGCATTGAGGGCGGATAGTTTACCTGGGGTAGTCGAATAGCAAATAAGAACATATGACTACCCTTTGATAAAAGTACCGCACTATCACCAGCACGACCTCCGTTTTGATTAGTAATGCTGCAGAGAGTCGTGGCTACAGAAAACAAAACGGTAGAATTATTTTTGGCACTTTCTTCAATGCATTTGAAGACAACACGGATGCTACTATAAGATTCCAAGATAGGTTTATCTAGTGTTATCATCAATGAACCTATGGAATTTGTTTTTAGTTGATACACCACTCCATCTGATAATGACAGCATTTCTTCCCCGGATGGTTTCAGATTAATCTTTTGTTTTTTACCATTAATAATCGAGCCTGGCCCATAAGCAATTGGGCTATCTTGAACACCTGAACTCGTGCTGATATGGAAGTTTCTTATCGATAAGGAATCTGGATTTTTTTGAAAAAACATTTTTTTTCCTGCCCTCGTATAACTATAACTGTATAAAATGGATTGACAAAAGCGGGGAAAAGTACTGAGTTGAAAGATAATCCTTATCAGATTTCGATAATTTCTACAATTGTAAAAGATGAAAGAGGGGAGAGAAAATTAAGAGAAGAGACGTAATTATATAGGAAGATTTATTTAGAATTCTTGGCGTGATGAGGAAAAAGTGCCATGTGTAAATACCGAAGATAAACAACAGTAAATATTGATATCGCACATCGCCTGCTGCTTGCCCCGTGATCAAAATGATAGAAAGTCCTGGTCTAACTAGCTCGCCACTTCATTTGAGAAACTAAGCCGTCCGTTTACGTAATAATTCCGTTTTATCTATTTTTTCCCCTCCTCCTCCCTTTTTTAACTCATTGTCCAAATGCGAGCTTAACGATTGGATAAAGCTGACTCATTGAACAGTGAAGAAATTTTTTTTTTTTTGGCTCAGGGCTTGGAAATCAAAAAAAAAAGACAGCTCGGTTTTTATATAAAAACGGATGTGTCAAAAAATTGAGTGTCTCTTCTTTCTCTCTATAGCCAAAAACTTTTAAAAAGCTTTCCTTTTCTTGTACGTCTTCTTTATTTACGGAATACGCTCATTTCATCATTAATAGCCATGTATCCTCGCTTCCTACGTTCCCTTGCTACAAAGAAGACTGCCTACTCTCTGGCTGCTGGTTCTGCTGTTTTTTTATATGCACAAGAATGCAAGAATGATGTGATCTACTTTGTCAAATCCACTAAATGATTATAAATCAACAAATAACTAAGATCTTCTCTGTCGATTCTCAATACCTCAATTAATTTTGTACAAACTACGCGCTAGCTAATAGAAACAAGTAGAACTACGATCCACTTTATAGATAGTTCACTATTAATCTTTTCACACCTCATTTACATCCTCTGTCATAATTTATTTGCTTCGTTAATATGTATTTTTTTCATTGCATTTTAATTGATTCGCTCTGTATATTATTGCACTACCATTGCAATTCCTAATTTGCATCTATGAATAAACGAAATGTTATTCTCTCACTATTATTAGAATAACTGTTATAATAAGAAAGTCTTTCGTCAATTTCAAAATTACACTTCTTGAAATCATCTTCTACATTCTGTCACTAAAACATTCTTTTTACATGCGCAACTTTTCTTTTTGTATTTACTTTTTTTTTTTTTTTTTTGGCCGTACGAGTATGCGTTCCTTTGCTTAAACTTGTGCATCCTACAAATTAACGTAAGGCTGAAAATCAGGTTATTTTCTCAATTTTTTAATGATTGTCATATGTTGACCCATATGAAATCCTGTGCACAATTGTACAACAATGCCAAAAATAGTATAATAGATATCTTTTTCTTTTATCTTCCTGACTCACCATGGCTTGTCATACCAAATATTCCACGCTTCTTCTATTTTGGGACGCTAGTGAAAGATGTACAGTGCAAACGGTAAACTTTGTTACTTTTGAGAAAATTAAATGTCCTTTTGAACTAAAAGAAATTTCACAATAAGTGGAATCAAGTTGACCCAAAATGGATATGTATTTTTGACTTCAAAACAAATAGAATGGCGTTTTATTGTAACATTGAATGATTTGTCGTTTTGATTGACAGGTAAAGTTGTATGAATTTTCAGCAGTCATGGCATTACATGCCTCAGTCAACAGTTTGTGGCGTTTCAATTTTCCTCTTAAGGTTGCCTATTCAATTGGGTTTAATTCAGGGGAATATGGATGTAGACATATCAGATTATAGCCATGACTTTCGGTTTTCCTCATCATCGGTTTGATTTATGTATAGTGCAGTTATCCGTCACCAAGTAATTAAGATCCAAGACACAAAGCAGAACATTCATGGATTTGAAAAAGTGTGCAGTTGTCGTACCTTTTGACATCGATTCTGTACTACGTTGTGCATTGCTCTCGTTATTATCATCTACATACTCTGTAGCTGGTTCTTCTATAATAAACTCATCTGTAGTATATTTTTTGTCCTTTACTACTATTCTAAAAAAAGTCCTCGTTCCTTAATTTCTCAGCCAGTAATAATGCAGCATTATATATGCGCATCTTTAGAAATACAAGATGGCGTGTACAAGTGTTATTATGATTCTATGATCATGATAACGAGTCAAATGCTTGAAGGTGTGTCTAATTCGTCTTTACATATTATAGGAGGTATGAAAATACCACAGAAGCCATGCTTCTGACACTCTTCTTTTGGATTTTGAATGTATTTTATAAGCTGTGTTTCCAATTGAAGGGTTGATGAGGTGGGTGAGACCAGTGGGATGCTTGAGGATGGTGAGATAGGTGATATGGGTGAGATGGCGGGTGATAGTAAAGACATTGATGAGTTAGAAGAGACTGATGTCACTTCATTCTAAAACAGGATGTCTTTCTTATCAATATATCGTTTAGATCAGATTACGAAAGTCCTGATACTGTACCTGTCTTTGAGCATCTCTTAAATTCGAACTGATAAAGTCGGATTGAACGTTGCATGCTTGATATAAAATCTCTGCACCCTTCTTTAGTGTTTTTCCTGTCGTGTATTTGTATACTTGGTAGAACTTTCGCTTCAGCGCTGCTGTTGCTTCCTTGTAGTCTGTGTAAAATTCGAACCATGTTGCAATCATCTTTCTGTGGCCATCGATTTGAACAAGCCCGTGAATGTGGATTTTGCTTTACGCTGTTCGCAATACTCTTTCAATGCTATGTACACAAATAGTCAAATTATCGAGATATAGTATATGTAATACGTGCGTGCTTACCTTTTGTCAAACCAGACATGAAGAATAAATAAAGATGAGAACAGTCAGGATGAGAACAACGCGTAATTTTTTATTTTTTTTTTTTGTTATTTGTAAGTATTATATTTCAAATTAAGACAAGTTGCAATTGTGTTGTAGACGAAAATATAAACCGTTCAAACAATGATTCAAATTCAATAACTTGTCAGTAGTGCGAAATAAAACAAACAAAAAAAACCGTACTATTCCTCACCTGTAATGATCTAAATCCTTAAAATATAAGGAAAACCGTGTTTATTACGGCGATACTTTCTTCTTCTTCGCTGGCATGAAAACGTCGGGTCTTCCGGCTCCATACCAAACTGCTCGAGATAGGGTCATCCTATTGATAGCGGCGTTAACGTCTCTCTGCCATAGCTTTAGATATTACTTGCAATGAAGAACGCCTGTACCCTTGAATCCAGGAGTATCCATAGAAACGAAGGCTGCAAGTTTTAGAGGTTTTAAATTCATCGATTGTGACAACCATCAATTGACCTTTAGCTTCACGTTTCTTCAGAGTTGCAAAAGGTTTACCGACAACACCACATCGTTGCCCTTCCAACTTGACTACATCTTTGCCAAACATTCCAGCACCAGACACAATCAGTGGTACCCTTCTAGGGAATTCGAGTACTTATCAGCCTTCCACTTCTGAACGCATCGATTTATGTCCTGGCTGTTTGCATTTGGTACAACATGCATTGTCTTTATCTGGTTCTTCATTCTTCTCTTTCCTTGCTTTTTTCTTTTCTTTCTTGATTTCAAAGTTCTGTTTGCGTTTTCTGCCTTTCTAACCAACTATAGGTACAATAAGGTCGCGTACTAATGATGAATTTACCAACTTTTAAAGCCACATGAGGTGCTTACCTTGATCTGCAGTTTCCGGCTCATATAATTCACATTTAAAGTAATGTTTGGTGTAATGACTCCCTTTACCGCAATCAATACACGTTACATCTAACAGTACACGATGATTAATCTATACGTATATATATGATTAGGTAGATAGGCTTTCAAAAGGCAAGTTACCATTAACAGCACTTGATTTTTTCTTTTCAAAAATTTGCTTTTTCTTTTCATAAATTATTGTTTTGAACATGGGTCATAGTATGTATCATAAAACGTGAAATAGAAGCGAAAGAGACAACATTTGAGTATAAGAAAGCAATATATTTTATAATGCTTATCTTTGAAAGTCACCCATGAACGCACACAAAAACATTGACAACAGATAATATAACCATCCCATTCCGCTATGGTATCTTTATACTATGGCCCTCAGCCCTCTATCAATGGTTTGATGTCAATCAATTCAAAGTTGACCTTTTTTGGAACTCTGTGAAAACTGCAGCCCCACTAAACTTCGGAAATGGCTCAAGTCCCCGCATTGAATGTAATTTTCAGGCAAAACCGGATTTAACCTTATATTTTTCTTTCTTCAATTTCCCGTAGGATGTACCGCACCTTAATAAACCGCCCATTCCTCCACCCGCGTATATTTTCTTCTTTACATAATCCTTGATGGTATAATCATAATTCTACGAGAAGGATCGTTCAAAGTTCTTGCATAAAAAGTAGGCTTACGTTATCACTAAGACTGTCGCCCTTCCGAAAAAGGGCGCATTTCTTTTGGAATACAATTTTTTAGCTTATATTTTAGTTATAATTTTTAATGGACAATATGTATTTTTAATTTAGATTTAGTTTAAACATTTTTAGAATAAGAGTTCATAGTATTTTGGATTTAGATACTCAATTATTCAGTGATATCCAACAGCATTAAGGATGACATACAATCGAACCCAAGAAATGAGTCTCTATCAGTAAGAAAGTCGCCAATAATGGTCTTACTGACGTTATCTTGCAATAGGCCAAATTACAAACAACTTGACAACTTTTTTATTCAATAACGATGTGTTCCGGGACCAACCAGATATTAGTCGGTGCCTTTTTTTTTGACAAGCCAAGGCATATGAAAATTGAAGGGGTAACATTACACGACACTTAAAGCTGCTTTGGGCCATTAATAACCTGTTTTTGCCGTTCGATTTAGCATTTTTCATAGTATGACAAACTTACATAAGCGTATGAATAGAAAACTCAATCTATCAAAACAGCGTAGGTACTACTGAAGGATTTCGATATAGTACGTTACATTTAGAAGTCTGTGAGGACATGACAAAGCTCAATTGAATGCATCATGTACTTAAATGACAACCAAAGGTTTGGTGGATTTCCACGGGACAACCAACATTTTCCTTAGCGACCATCAACAAGCTGAAATAACAAACTTACTTGAATATCGTTTGAAATTTGCAACTTCAAATAAGGAAGTTTGCGAATAGATTCGAGTTTTTCTTAAAAAAAAGGAAAAAAAAAAAAGAGAATTGTCTAGAAGTATTTTATTTACTTGAATAATCATATTGTGTGTATATCATGCTTTATGGATAAAAAACGGGGATGATTGTGAATGTAAGGAAGAAACAGAAGGCGCTAATTATTATATCTACTTCCCTACGAAAAGGTGTCTTGAGATGTATTTTTTTTCTTTTTTTTTTTTTTTCGCTCTTTGTTTTCTTTCTCTAATGAAAATATACATAGAGTGGAGAAGATCAATAAATTCTTATATGTATAAAAAGTGAGGGAATTTGAAAAAAGACATATAAGCCATATATGGAAAGGTCTGAAAGATATACTGTAAATGAAGAAAACAAAAATGACGTTGAAAACCGGAATTTCACAAAGCATGTTGATCACCAAGGATGTCTGCTACTTGCTATGTCAGTTGCTGCAGTGGCAGTTGTGTTATGAAGGTCAGTTGACTGTTGTCCATTGACGCTTGCCGCTGTTGTTATGACAGAAGCAGTAACATTATCTTCGCTCGTATCATGTGATATGGAGTTTCGGTGATAAGATTGTAAGGTAGATATGATACTGCCAGTATTAGGACCAGATGTATTATCATTGGTATACTGAGAAGTGGAATGCTGACTCTGATGATGCAATCTACTAGGAGATAACATGTAAGGATGATGGCGAGGAGGGCTCATTATTCTGTTCGTTGATGTTGCTGGCATCCTCGAAATTTGTCTTCGTTCAACTACCTGATTATAATTGCTCGCTGCAGTGTAATTGGTACTGTAACCTCCTTCTCCATCACCTCCTCCAGTAGTGCTCGCAGTCATAGTAGAATGAGAGCCACGCGAGGATGGTAATGGATGGTACGAATTTGCAGTTGAAGTTTTTTCTAAATGATATTGAGTGATTATCAATTTACGTTTGCCACATATACAGTATATGGTTCGGGAACAAAATGAGTACCTGCTTCAGAAAGTGTAGGTGAAGAAAAAACGGCATTACCAGAAAGTGTAGGCTTAGGCACTAATAGACGCCATGAAGCATATATGTTAAAGTATGAACAGTAACTTAGTGATTTTGTAGGCGGGGGGGGGGCTGTATACTTACCATATATCGTATTATGCAAGGGCTCTGTTTTTGAAGCATTATTGCCGTCGTTAATCAAACTTTCAGTGAAAAACCCACGATGCGATTGTGTTGGGGTATTTGCGCCCATAGTGCCATAACTAACGAGACTATGACTCTTACCGTTACTGCCATAATCTGCTTGAGAAGATAATAGGAAGGAATCATCTTGATGGGGATGAGTCTGAGCGCTATGAGAAGTAGGATTTATATATGGACCAGTATGATATCCTGCGCTTCTATTCGAGTAATCTAAGTAATTATGATTTTTGTCATATAAGGAGTAACGGATTGAAAAAAAAAGGGAGCAATTAATGATCGTATACGTTTAACGTGATTTAACTTTTTGACGGTATATAGCTTTACTGGGATCATTCAACCGACTCCAGCCAGTAGCAGTCGTATTATTATTATGATAAGGGCTTCTAAAATTGTTAAATCGATTACTTGCTGTAGTCATTAAGCCGCCCGCGTGTAGAGAAGCTGCTGCTGTACTATAAAGAAAAACACTTGGATCATCTACAAATAGAGGGTAGAGAATATCTTGAATCTTATGTTGGGCAGCTAATAATTTTGCTCGGGCAAATGTTATCCTATAATTAACATATACGTTTGAAATTATATTATTATACATTCCTTTCTAAAACAAAGTAGAGTGATATTATAAAAGCTTTACCATACGCCTTTTAAATGCATCGCTCCGACTTTTACTACGACACGACCTTTTTCATTTTTTAAAATGCCATCACGTTTGCCACGAGACATGCCGGCAACATTCAACAACTTTGTTCCATTGATCATATCATTATCTATATACATACATGTGTTTAAGTTTTATTCAATCGTAAGTATGAAAATGACGTTTCTCATTTTACAACACAAGCTTTTTTTTAATTTTTTTCTGTTTACCTTGACGTCTTGCTACACAAATGCCATTGGCATCTACTTGGTAACAAATGGTTCCTTCATCTTCCCATAAGGTTGTGGTTAGCTTTGGTCTTGCTACTAGATTATGACGTGGTAGATTATTCGTAGTGCTGACTGTCGTTGTCGGCGAACTCGCTGCCGTAGAGGAGGAAGAGGTCATACCATATGCTGAGTAACCACCCGGTGCTGCATGCTGATTATGATTCTGTTGATGATACTGGTAGACTTTATTGGGAAAAGTGCCTCTATGAGAAGCCATGTCAAATAGTATTTACAGTTGTTGATCATCTTACCTGATGCTGCTGTACCTGTCGTGCTCGTGTTCGTTACTGCTGCTGCTGTAGGAGACACATAGTAGGTTGGCGAATTGTATATGGTCGATATCAGGCTGTTATTGTTAGAAGAAGGCGGAGCAGTAACTGAGTTATTGTTTGGTGTAGTAGCTGTGCCGGTAGTGTTTAAAATAGGTGAAGTGACTGAATTCAACGAAATACAGTTATTATGATTAGCATTAGAATAATGCTTATCTATAGAAGGCAATAAGTCCTGCATTGTTGAAGAATGATGTGGATCCATAGTTATCGCTGCTTGTATTTGTTGTTGCTGTCGTTGTTCTGCGATATTATGACCTGTCAATGAAAAGTAAAGTATTGAAATTTTGTAAAAAGAAAAAAAAAAAAAAGTGAAATTAGCAATAACCTTTAAATGATATAGCTTTTTCTAGTGTAAGGCCAGTACCATCATTGCTGCCCATATTCTCAATTGACTGTTGACTATTATTACGATTCCAACTGCTGGTACTGCTGCTGGTTTTTATACCGTGATAATGATTGGTGGGCTGCCAATGATTGGCATTATAAGTAGTGGTTGAAGTACTGGCAGTTGTCATGGTTTTATAATTAATAGCATCATCACTGTTACTAGCGCTTGTGGCAAAAGACGAGCCATCTAAGCTTGATCTGTGATGATTATGATGTGAATGATCAGCCGCAAAATCATGATTGATTAATTTGCTATTATTATTTTTGTATAATGATGGCATAGATAAATGTTTCTGTCGTTTCTGTGGCTGTTGTTGTGGGCTAGTGGCATTATCTGAGTTAGTGTCATGATGGGAATACATTATACAATATCAATTATATAATGCAATTCCTTGTTTCTCTAAGAGCGGATGCAAAAGAGAAAATAAAGTAAAAGCTCTTACACAATATCTTAATTGTAGACGGAAAAACTGAAAGGGAACTTTGATACATTTTACGTTAATGCTAGACAGTGAATAGAAGACAGTCTTTATCAAGGAAAAAAAAAATAGGAGGCGTTTGTTCCTTTTCCATTTTCTTTGTTCTTCCAAGGACTTCATGTTTTGTTTTCTTTGCATTTTTATTATGATTTAACTTTAAAATCTCTCAAAACTGTGTAGACATGCTCTTGCCCTAATGAGAATGACCACAGATACTCGGCTAGAAAACCAATAAACGCAAAAAACGAACATCAATAGTTCAAGATGTGATTGTAAGGAGAAATTGTATTTATACGATTTCGATTTGCATATTATGTAAGTAGTTCATATAAACCCAACATAGCATTAACACTAGAAAAAGGGGGAAGGGGGAGGGAAAACTACATGAAAAAGTTAAAACTCAATAGGCATCAGTCGAGAAGTTCTTTACATACATAGAAGGAGTAAAGGAAAGGGGTTCAAAGTGAGGGGCGATAGTGGTACTACCAAGCTAAATCTAATCGCGTTTATCAATAACAACATGAAGAAAGATCTAATGATTGTTTTTGCTAGAGCTGAGCAAAGCTTAGCGAATATCTTCCATTTTTCATATTGCAAATCTGAATTATGACGTTGCAAAAAGTGAAATGCGTGCTTCTACTTACTTCATTCAATTTATAAAGTCGATCGAAAGATAATGTTATTGTAAATCTTATTGATACAGTTACAGAATTAATGTGACCCTAAAATGTCAAGGAATAAAAGCGTGCATACTATAGCATAGCAAAACTTTAAGCGGCTTATCTATAGATGATTTTCTTTATTTAGGAGAGTTATTACACGAAATTAAAAAAAAAAGGTCCTTTGGACTATGTCGTACTGTGAAGCCATTTGATGAAAATAGAATGGTTTGCGCCAGTGGGACATGGTTTTAGAACTGTTGAGTATACAATAGAAGAAAAAAAAATACTAGTTCTGCTTAACAATAAGGATAAAGTCTTCTAAAGAATAAGTATACTACATTATGACCCATAAAGTTCTTCCTTGATAAAGAACACACATCGAAGAAAAAGGTCTTCTACTAAAGATGTAGTATATTTCCTCGTTTCTTTTATCAAGTTTGGCATAGGCTTTTTTCTACTGCTTGGATCTCGCTGTTTATACAATTTTATCACTGGTTATGACTTGTAGATGAAGTACAGCATCTTACTGATGAGATAAATCGGTAGATTGTAGCGAGGTCTTCTATTCAATCGAACGGCGTTTACTGAAATAGGTTTGGCATTTCTTAGTATTACTGCTGCAGTCATTGTTGAGCAGACTGCGAACCTTATCGACTTGTAGTTGTTATTCCTTGAGGATTTTTGAAAAAAAATAAAAGGGTTTGATATGATGCTCAACAGACAATAGGAGCTGCTGTGTAGATAAAAGAGTTGCATACCCTCCAAAGGGTAACTTGATATTGAAAGAGCTGACGTGCTAGGTCTACTCTGATTTCCACTTTTGAATGACTAACAGAATAGCCGCGGAGAAGCAATATCAAACTGAGAAGGTTCAAATTCGTTCCCTAATTCTGTCTTTTTACGATGAACGTCTTAGTTTCTTTTTATCTTCTGAACTCTTAGATTTTAAACATGACAAGCGTAAACAAACAGGAGTTCAATAATCTATCTCTGGGTCAATTATTCAACCTAGGGCAGTCAATTGCATCTGAAATAGAAAATTCGACATTATCAAGTACTGATCCAGAATATCAACAAAAAGTAACTCAGGGTTTATCATACCTACAACGCGCTGATGACTTGATTTCAAAACTTCATATATTTAGTGACAACGAACTAATTGATGAGATGAGCCCCAGCGAGATAAAATTTATGTTGGTACCAGCATACTTAGGCGATCTCACTTTAAAAAAGACAACAGACCCTTCCAAACGAGCAGCAGTGCTTATGGAAGCAAAAGTAAAGATGGATTGTACACACATTTTATATATTCATAATCATAACTAAAGTGTTGCTTCTTATCAAACGTCAAACACATTTATAGGAATATATACAACGTTTTATTAATCAATGTCAAGATTACCAACTTGTATCCAAACAAGATCTTATTGTCAAAGACCAACTGACCAACACGGTCAAATCTTCTATTTCGGCTAGTCAGCAAAGAGAACAGAAAATTGCCAGATATAAACGTGAAAAGGCTGTTAAAGAGAACATTAAGGAATTAAAAGAAAAGCTGAATTATATTGGTGCCAAATCCGAAGAAGAGAAAGATAGAGACATGGAAGACACAGAACGTGAATTGGCAGAGGCATTGATTGATTTAGAAATATTGAAAGCTTTTGAGAGCTGGCATTCTATAGAGCAAGAGTTAGTGATGGTGAAAGAAATGGAGGAGATGCGAGAAATGATGGAAAGAAAAGGACACATAAGTGGTGATACAGTAGAACGAGTACAGGCTAATAGTCGACAAAATTGGGGCAGGAATAAACCACTACTGAACAAACAAGGAAGGCCTCTTCAGCCATTTGTGATTCTGAGCAAGCGGGAGCAATTAAAGAATCAAGTATTTGGATATTCTCATAATTTACCAACAATGACAATTGATGATTATCTTGAACAAGAAAGAGAAAGAGGAAATATCATTGAAGGCGGAGGCAAAGAGCCTGAAGAAAAACCACCTATTGACGATAATGACTATGACGCTCAAGATGCGGAAACAATGAAGCAAAGGGAGTGGGACGAATTTGTGGAGGCGAATCCTAGAGGTGCAGGCAACCGTATGAACAAAGGATAAAGTTCTTCAAGTAATGGTGCCTGTAATCTTACGTAATCAACAGATCGAAACCAGTCACTAAATAAATTAAAACCTTTCTTCAAATAAAGTTTTTCTTTCCTTTCTTCCCTTCACCGTATACATACAACTGAACTATGAGCAACCACGATATTGAACGCATTAAAAATCTGCTAGGCACACATGTTGATTTCCCCAAAAAGGTTTTGTCTTTTTTTTTTGTCTTGATGGTTCTTTGCTTAGATAGCTGTGGCTAAACAATGAAAAACAATAGGGCATTGTTTTTAAGGATATGTTTCCTGTCTTCCAGGATCCTACTGCTGTTGAAGCCCTTATCTCTAACATTGTTCATCATATTAACTCAACCTATAAAGAGAAGATTGATGCAGTTGTTGGTATGTTCCATGCAGCCCTGGTTATATTCTTTATCAGTATTAATTAACCTATCATGTACTATCTAGGTCTTGATGCTCGTGGTTTCTTATTCGGTCCTTTAGTTGCTCTTCGTCTGGGTGCTGCTTTTATTCCCGTGCGTAAGCAAGGTAAATTACCCGGTGAGTGTGTGCAAGCAACCTACGTTAAAGAATACGGAGAGGTATTATCGAGAACAAAGTAGATATGGAAGATAGGGTATAGATCAGGTATTAAGCCCCCCCAATTTCAAATTGTTCTTGGTGTATAGGATGTCTTTGAATTACAAAAAAATGCACTCAAAGAAGGTCAACGTGTTATTGTTATTGATGATTTGATTGCTACTGGTGGTTCTGCTGCTGCAGCAGGCGAACTCGTTAAGAAATGCAATGCTATTACTGTTGAATATGTCTTTGTCATGGAACTCGATTTTTTGAAGGGATCTCAAAATCTAGATGCACCTGTCTATTCTTTGATTCATTTGTAATCGAATAACTTGCTATTCTACACTATATATGTATATTAAGTTTGATGCTGTATCATCATTATCACCATAACGTTGGCGATAGCTATTTGTCTGTATTGTTATATGATATCCCAGCTGTCAGAAAAACGCAAAAGTATTTGGGAAAGTGCATGGTGTAGACGCTTGTAGTTCACAAATAAAAACACTACAGAACTATTTAATTCGGATACGGACAAATTGAAGATCAATAGAGGGCAATTTCGAAAAGAAACAAATACATAGTAGCTTTAAACTAAAAGTTATGATTTTTTGAATTACAAATTACTTTATCATAAAGAAGATGACTGCAATCACGTGTAGAGTACATTGAGCAAACACCTTTATAATATATCAATTGACAAATAACGAATGTTTATCAGTAAACAAGCGTTCATGTGCATAGATAAGGCTTATCCGGGCATTTATGGATGTATATTTGACATTTATGCTCGATCATACACTTTTCGCTATTTTCCCCCTTCTCTTTTGCTACTGTTTAAATACTTTCTGTATGTTTACGCTTTTCAATAAGATTTTGTCCTTTGCCTCAAATGACGCGCAACAGCCAACAAAAACCAACGGACACGATAATAATCGAGTACATCATGACTTCAATGATCTGCCCACAGAAATGATGGAAGCACCCACAACTTATCATGAACAGCCAATTTTGACGACAGTCTCTCCAAACATTAATTCCAATACTACTTCAGCCTTTACAGATAACGGCATCAATCAATTCAGCCGGGGAAATATCACTTTTTACCATAACAAACAAATGTCTACAGAGCTATTACCTGTTGTAACAGACTATTGCACTGAATCTCCACAACAGACGATCCTACATCAGCAACGGCTCGTTAATAGTAGTCGTCCATACTTGCCGCAGGCAGGTATTGCTCCAATGCAATATTCGAATCCAAATATGACAGCAAGCACAAGTTCGGTTGGCTCCCAAGAGGAAAATGCCAAGAAGTTGGGCTTGTCGTCCTCTTCTTTAGCATCATCTCCACCACCTTCCTACACAAAACAAATAAAGAACAAAGTGTCTTCAATGTTGGGTTATTCCAACGAAAATAAGGAGCAACGGCCTAATATTGATAAGGAAGGTCTTTTAAGAGCTGTTGAACTGGCTGGTATTGCCGTTGATGAGTTTGAAGAGGGAAATGAAGCTACTGGACTTGATATTTACTTGATAGCATTTGATAAAATGATTATGGCTATTCCGAGTAAGTAGCTCTTCTCTTTGAATGAACATTGGACTATTTTAACAAATACTTTAATCTTCAATAAGAGCTACAAGATGAAAACTCGAAGCAAGCTTTAGCTGATAAATTGAAGGGGTATGTTATACGTTGTATAATTTTGTTTTTGATAATGATGTTGCTTGACGGCCTGAAATTCCTTTTCCACCTCGCCTTTGTTTTACACTATATATAGGTTAGGTCAGCAATTCGATTTTATGCTATCTGATAAACAGAACAGCAATGATGAAATTACTAGTAAATTGACATATACAGCTATGGAAAAGGTATATTCTCTGATAAAAAGCTTTGGGATGTTTACTTTACAAATATGATTTCAACTTCTAACGTTTTCCTAAATGACGAACAGGAAGAAGGTGACGAAAGTAGTAGAAGGACAACTGAAGTTGTACTTCATCAATATAAAACTTTAGGTTTATATTTGACCAACGTAATCTCACAGTGGGTTGTCAGATTTAAGCAATCACGTATACCGGGTACGTGCATGGTCATAAGTTAGGTAATTAAGCCCATAAGCTCACAACGAATCACTCACTACCCTCGTTTTGTGTATTAGGGCTGTTGTATATGTTCTTTACGTTAATCATGCACTCGCTTCTGTCTTTGAATCAACACCTACATTTGACAGAAATGGCCAAAAACTTAATAATTTACTGTACCAAGACTTGTCTCAAGTTGGACGACAAATACAAGTTGCATGAGTTTTTGACAGAAGCCACGTTCACGATTATCAAGTGCACATTGGATACAGTAGTGGCTTATTTGGAAGCGCCATCGTATGCAGAAACTAGAAAAGCTGCAAAGGAGAGAATTGAGCAAGAGCATTAAAATGTTCAATTGTAGAGGTACTATTAAGATAGTTCCAAAACAATGAATATGCATCCCTAATAGGATGATTACCATACATCAGCAAAAACAAAAAAAAGGTAAAAGAAGATTCCCCTTATTGCTATAGCAACATTGCGATCGAGTTACGTTTGTCACTTGTTCTTCATGTCCAATAAACGTTTTTACAGTGATGAAACCAACCTCAACACTCTTTTGCTTTAACTAGTCGATGCCGTTTGTAAAGGTTTCGTTCTTCCTGAGGTGCGTTTTCTGTTTCTCATTCTAAGTTTGGTCATGTCTACTCCACAGATGCTGCTTGGTGAAGAGAGGGCACTTTTCCCCTTCATTGATTGCTGCCTTAATTTTCAAGCCTACTCGACATTTATGACTAATCTACATACAAGCTCACTTTTAAAAATAAATACAGAAGCACAGTTTATTCATAATTTTAGGCAGATCTATTGAGAAAAACGGCTATAATTCTTTCAATTCAAAATTAATATGTTAGTATTTGACATTCCCAATTGAGCCGATTACTTGTCGTTACGTCTATGAGTAAGAACTCTTTTGCTCAAACTATGCTTTCAAGGGGTTATTTTTGAAAAAAGTTCCCCAGACTCATACAAATTTTCAGGAACATTTGGGCATATTCAATCAACAGTTGGCCGGTTTTCCAGTAAATCAATCGGTCCCTTTGATCAAATTCGATCTTCTTCTTTTAATTGAATAGGCTATCTTGACTTGGAAAAGTATAATTCACATCTCAATTTATCCAAATTCGTAAGGTAACAACGGTTTCAACATAGTGCTTATTTTTTAAGCACATGTCAATAACTCTGCAAGAACTGAACAATTGAAATATCTAGCTGGCATTTTATTCCATGCCCACAATTGCTAATGCTATTTACAAAAGAAAAAAAAAATGAAAAGGGTGGGGATGGGGTGTTGCCAAGCCATAAAGAGTTCTTTTCTTCATTTTACGGAATACGACTTTTGACCATAGAGAAACGGTCCACATTTTCTAATGTATATTTTGTAGGTTTTACACCCAATATATGATCCCCCGGTTTGCTCAGATATTCGCGTATTTTAGTAGTTTGTTCGGTTTCATCCTTATGAAGCGCTTTCAATTCTTCGTCTTTCTTTGCTTCCCGTTCATCCCTTTCCTCCATGCTGGAATAACGTTTATAAGCGAATCCTAACAAATTAACACCGACTACCACCTTCAAAGCTAGTAAACTGTATCCATTCAATAATCAAAATTAGTCATACTGTGGAACTGATTCAACAACATAAAATAACCTAAGGATTATAACAATATGACTTACATGATGGCCAGAGCAGCTATGACAAGCACACAGGTAACGAAGCTGAATAATTTGTCCAAAACGGTTTCCAGCCAAACACCTTTCACTAAAGATAGCACAACCAGTTGAATTCTTGCTGGAATTAGTTGATTGATAAGATCCTGATGACGAATCAGATAATCGGAAAAGGTGCTGATAACAAATGAGGCTGCTGCGTTGGTGTCAGTAGGCTCTTGTTGACCATGCGACATGAATATCATTGGAAGAATTTGCTGCATCATGCGGATATACTATTGAAAAAATTGTCAACACCTGCTTTTGATAAGCGTTGCAATATTATTCTTACCAAACAAGCTAAAGGTAACACTGGGAATCCAATTCTTCTTGATACAACAGGCGATTGATCCACAAAAGCATGATTATTCTTGCCTGAAAGAATTCGACCAGGACTACCAATGACAAGATCTTTACATAGAATATCAATATATTTGCCATAAATCGAGGGTCGAATTTGATTAAACTTTGTGAGAAAGGCATGCTTAAGCCAGTCAACCATCAGTTCCGACGTGATAACCATAAAAACTGGTGTCATCAGTGAGTTGAGTGAAGTGGAAGCAGGCAACTTAAACAAAGGAACAAAGGTGGATGGTAAAACAGAAGAGGGTCCTGTTTCAGAAATTTCAATAATGTTACGTAAGGTGATGATGAACAGGAATGCGATTTGGTGGAATCGTTCAACGATATCTGCACAGGTGAGTTGAAATAAATTCTCTTTCTCAAATCGTTTGAATACAGAAGATTTGATTTCGACGAATTGGTTGGAAATTAACAGTGATAGCAGGGCATTGGAATAAAAGTTAATAGCTACGTTAAGAGTGATCATTTGAAAGAATAGCACCCCAGTATGAAGAACTATAATGATGAATTTAGTATTAAAACATTTCCCAACCAACAAGACTTTTCAATATAAGAATTGTACATACCCATGTATAGCACAGCTAATAAAAATAAGGTGATGGGCTTCAATTGTCGTTTTGCATAAGCAATTCCTCTAACATCGCCTTGTGGACTTCCTAAGGTTGATTTGGAAAATAAGGCATCTAAAATATCCACGCCTAAGGCACAGCACAACTTGTCGACAATTTCTAAAACATTGAACAGCACATAAAGCTTAATCACAGCTTGTCCACGAATAGCGTGGTAAATACGCGAAGGATCCAGTGATAGCATAACAATGTAAGTGATAAGAAGTAAAAATCCTTTGAGCAGATCACATTTTTGGAAAGATTTTAGACGAACATAGCTAAAAAGGAACACATTTGTTCATTAATTGCATAACCTCTAATTTGATGACTTGTTCTTGTTCTTACCTTTCTCTTCGCCCTAATAGAGCTTGCACGTTTTTTATGAAGTAATTGACATAGTGATATAAGGCAAAAAGGAATCTGAGGGGTAATATGGTGAACGTGTACAAAAATGAATCTAAGCAAACAAAAAAACCAAAAAGCATCAACTATAGATATAATCTGATAGTTAATCTTATCGACATCCTTCGGTTCGTTTCAGCGTTTCAACATCCATCTACAAAAACTATTTTACCTTCTCTATAGAGGCAGGAACTCTGATAAAGTTGGTCACTCGTTCCCTTTTCAATTCTTGAGCACTATCGAAGTCAGCTACCGTCAGCTCATCTTTCAGGTAATCTAAGAACGACATTTGACTAAGCGCAGCTTTATCATTGTTGTTATTCGTGACTCCTGTTTCAGTCAACGTTGTTAGTGAGGAACTCGGTTCAGATGATCGTTGAATTGGTTGTGGTAGGTCGAGTGTCGTTGATGTAATGGGAGTTTGGACTGGGGTCGAAGTTACAGGCACAATTTTAAGAGGTGTTGTATTGTTTTTGTCTTCATTAATGATATCAGCAATGGTTGGCGTTTTAGTAATAGGAATAATGTCGTTTTGGGGTATCTCATTAATTAAAGGTGAATGCTGCTTATTTACTTGATTCGCATGGTTACTTTTTCTTTTTTTCTGTCTTTTCCTACTCGACGAGGGAGATGGTGACAGGCTTGTCGATGTTATAATGTTGTTATGGGTCGTAATGACGGCCTGGTCAAAAGGTAAGCTGTTGTTATTACTATTGCCATGTGAAATGGTGGGTGACAATAGATCAAAATGGTTATAGCTTTGTAAAGTCGGAGTAGTAGGTACAGATGCTGCTCTTCTCATACTGTTAACTTCGGGTGATCTATTTCGGTATTTCAGTTTGGGTGTTTCTACCCAGCCACCCTCATCTATAGGAAATAAACGTTGTTTCCCCCGGGCCATATTGTTTTGAATGAAAAGAGAGAAATAATATAAAACTCAAAAGAAAAAAGAACAAAGTTCATGCTAAAACCAACACAATCCCCGCTTTCATTTTCCAGCAATTACGCTGTCATCAAATGAAAATGAGTATAATGAAATCTCAGATAGAATTGCTTACAGTTTTACAGTTGAGTAATATAACAAAGCCTACTCTCTGCCCTTCAGACGAATTGAGCATGTATGGTTGCAATACATAGTCGTCATTGAAGTTATCGACCAAGTGAGTGAGGGAAAGGGGGTCGTTTGTACTTGAGTATAACCAGACGTGTGGTATCCTTGGCAGTTAGATTATTACTGCTGAGTTTATACAGAAGGTAGAGAGGCAAATGCGAGCAAAACAGAGACGTTTAAAAGTTAATTGTGTTAGTTGCATTAACTCATTAACTGTAGGATCAGAATAATTTACAGTTACGGAACGCATAAATGCCCCAAAAATTATCTTTTGAAATTCCAAAATCAAAATCCAAAATTTATGCTAAGATTTACCAGGCTTTATCTCAAGACAATATGTTTGAAAAACTTTAGCCAACTGCGATCATGGCTTCGTCATGAAACGCAACATAATAAATGAAAAAAAAAAACCAAAAAACCTTCAAATGGACAAGTAGATTCTAATAAATGATCATTATTTACAAGCCAAAAAGCCTAAAAATGCCGTTGTTTTTCAAACATAATCATTGAGAATTAACCTGTATCATTTTACCCATCGCACTTTGCTACGTTGGCTATTCAGTTCATTTTTTTCAAAAGGAAGTGAAAGTAAATTACTATTTCAGCAACTTCAGAAATAAAATGTCGCCTTCAGTTTGGAATAAACATTTATTGTACCTGGGCCACTTTCAAAATATTGAATGGCACAAGTTGATAAGTAACGAAAAGTTTTAGTTTTTTTTAAAAAAAATTTTGATTAGCTCAGGACATTTTCTAGTTTTTTAGATAAAATGAAATTTGTATCTAAACTTTGTTGCAAATATTTTCTAGGCAAAAATAGGCAATCTTTTAAATCAATATCAGCCATACTTTTAGGTTCCTCTTTTTGATCAAAAAAGGTGATTTACAATGCTTGAGACGTGTCTTTCAGCAGCAGTTTTCTTGCGTTTTTGTTGTTATTATTATAAATTATAAAGAAGAGGTATTTTTAAACGGGGAAAAGATCCTTTCATTTTTTGTATTTCCTTTTGTAAGTTTTAGTCCTATCCATGTACAATAATCTTTTAAACTCAAAATTAAATCTGTTAAAGAAAAGCATAAAGAATTGGGATTAATTTGGCAAAATGCTTGATTGAGAAGCATCAGGTCAAGATACAAGGGTTCTGATCTTGTTGTAATCTTCCAAAGCATATCGTGTGTCGAGAGTGCTATGAAGTCGGTAATACTCGTGCCGTTGCAGAAGTGGAAAGGGTTTGGTAAGCCTTGTAGCAATTAACTGTCAACCAAATTCATGTATATACTCCTTCGACAAGACGATGGGCTCCGGAAAAATTCAGGTTGAGTGATAGGAAAAAGGGCCCTCTCGCCGTATTTGGTGACGGCATGTTGAACAATTCTACCGTTTATCTAAAAAGCTTTGGAACTGATGTAGTAGGCATTTTCTGACGTGCCTTAAAAAGAAGAGAAGCAGCTGGTGGTCTCCTTGCTATAACAGTTGATGAATATCGAACATCGCAAATATGCGATTGTTGTTGCTCGGACACATTAGAAGCATTAGAAACCGTCCGTGACTGTAGTCCTGTTTACAAAACTTGTAGGATACGTTAGAACCGCGATGTTAATGCAGCAAAAAACATGATGGCTTTCAGCATTTCGGTTGGAAGAACAAAGAACGTCTAACAGACTTTAGCTAAAAGACAACATCTTAGTTCTTTTCATATTACCGCCATAACTAAACGGGCTCGATTTTTACAGGTAAACGTCTCCATTTTAGTGTAGTTCAGTCCTCAAACTCCAATTCAAACGTCTCAAAAATCCGTTTTGTTCTGTCCAATCATATCGCAGTTTTTGTCTAAACCGGAAGCAAAACTGTAATTGTAATTGTTCTTCTGAGAGGAGTAAAAAAGCAATCAAGTTTAAAAAATGTCGCTGAAAATAGTCTTCGTGTTCCAGTGATGTTCTTTTGTGGGGATGAATTCAGCAAGCTTTTTACTTTTCTTTTTCCAAGAAGTCCTTTCTTCCAAAAGTAAAAGCAGTATTCTCGTAAACAATGGATCCGCCTAGAAATAATCTTTATTATTCTTATCCTCAGCAGCCACCTCAGCAGTCTTCACAAGAAGCACCATCAATGATGTCTAATATTACCAGCAAAGAAATTTATCAATATGATGCACCTTGGGCAACGTATGCTCTAGACTGGTGTACATCACCTTCAGAAAAAAAAAACTTTCGACTTGCCATTGGTAGCTTTATAGAAGACAGTAGTAATAAAGTAAATAGCACGATCTCATTGATGGCTTTCCTTCATCCTTCTAAACTAATCTCATTGTCATGTAGCTTCAAATAATTGCACGTACAGATTTACTGGATCATAGTGAACCACCGTTCTTGGACCAGCAGAAAAATTTGAATGATTTCACGCCTGTAGCTGAAGCTGACTCTTATTATCCTATTACAAAAGTCCTCTGGGAGCCGCGTAAGGTAGTCAAAATATTCTCTATAAGAGTTCCTAACATATAACAAATTCCTTATTTGGTAACCTTCTGTAATAAACACAAAAAGATCGATCCTAGAAGCAACCATGATCTCTTAGCAACAACAGGCGATATATTAAGAATCTGGGAAATAATTGACGATCCTCGTTACGGACAGAACCTTAGCCATAGCCTTCATCAAAATAATAGCCAAGTATTGATGCAGCAGCAATTAGTAAAGAAAGCAGAGCTTGTCAACATGAAGCAGTCTGATTTTTGTGCGCCTCTGACATCGTTTGATTGGAACGAAACTGATCCGTCACTAATCGTTACCTCTAGCATTGATACAACATGTACTGTGTGGAATGTTGAAACAAATCAAGCGAAAACTCAACTTATTGCTCATGATAGTGATGTGTACGACGTAGCATTTATGCATGGCTCGGCCGATACATTTGCAAGTGTGGGCGCTGATGGATCCGTTAGACTGTTTGATTTACGCTCACTGGAGCATTCAACTATATTATACGAGGCGCCACCCGCTGCTAATAGTACTAGTTCGAGCAATGCAAATACTTCAACCACGACTATTCCTCTTTTGAGGCTTCAATTCAACCGGATGAATTCAAATTATCTTGCTACTTTCCACATGGATTCTTCGGCAGTACAAATATTAGATATCCGTTACCCTAGTGCGCCTATAGCAGAATTATCAAAAAGCCATAGTGGTAGCATTAATTGTTTATGCTGGTCTCCTACAGATGCCAATCAGATAGCTACAGGAGGGGATGATTCACAAGTACTTGTGTGGAATATAAATAATCAAAATGGTAACAATAATCAGCAGCCAATGACAGCACCAAGAAGTATTACAGATCCTACATTAGCCTACGTGGCCGACGCAGAAGTAAATGCTATTACTTGGAGTAGATCAGCGCCAGAATGGATTGGCATAGGATTTGGAAAGACGATCCAAGCTTTAAGGGTATAGAATTCTATACATAGATGCAACTATATTCAAGCATGATTATTCCCATTGTTATACTACAAACTATATATTTATATCATTTTTTATTTTTCGAAATAAAATTATTGCCATGCAAGAAAGCCTGCAAGAATGAATGTCACCAACAGAACTGTTAAGGAATAATGAATGATTTAGTTCATGAAGCAGAAACTGATTGAAGAAAATTGAATGTAATATGATGATACTCACTTGAGAAAAGGCCCCAATCTCTTATTCCGGACCATATTTCGTGCCTTTTATAAGCTAGCTTAATCCTCGTGTCTAATTCTCTAAATCGTTCTTCCAAATCAATTTGTTTCTTGCTGTTACTGTTGTTATAATATCTCCTCTCGAACCGCGCTAAACTTGATTCGTTACATTTTCTGTATAATTGGATCTTGAGAGTATTTTCAGTAATTATCTTTTCTCGAATATCTCTCATTTCCTGTAACAAAGGTGCCGCTTGCTGTAAAAGCGTCTGATCATAGAGTTGCTCTGATAAGTTTTCCTGATATAAGACATTCAAACTATTTGAATAATGAAGTATGGATTCTCGATATAACCGAATATTGGACAGTTCCTTTTCAATTTGGTCCTGTAGTCGCTCGATGTAGTGTTTTGTTTGTTGAATGGCTGTGTCAAATACGATAAATGGTTGACTGCTACCATCCTTACGGCCAAATTCATTGATGTCGTTAACAAAATCTTTGTTACTCACCATAAACATTAAGTCGCTGCTATCAATTGGTGTAAGAGAGCCTATAAGTTGTTGTTGATTTGCATCTTCATTGATGTGTACCTTCTTTAATTCTTTCTTCTTGATTTCATTTTGCTGCTCGTCAGTACACTTGACTATATCAATATCAATCTTTGGCTGTGTATTCACGTGCCGGATATTGATGGAGTCAATAATACGCACATCAGCTACATATTTAAAGAAGATTTTTGTTGATACATTCAGTGTTTGGTGTAGTTAACGGGAGCAAAAGAATATCTTTCTCCTACACTTACCATTGTTTTCAGCTGGATGATTGTCTTTCTCCTCACCCAGCAAACGCTTATAGTCCCTTGCAAATTTTGCCATACTTGATTGATGTTTCACTTTATGTACGAAATCTGATAAAGTAGGTTTTCTCGTAACTGTTGGTTTACTTTTGTTTTCTTTGGCATCGAAGTTTGTCGTAGAAGCGGTAGCAGAAGTAGATGGTAAATTATACAGTAGAGGCTGGTGATAAAGATAAGTATTGAGCACTTCATCTTCTGTATGGTTAAGATTCCTTATTTGTTTCTTATGTTGTAAAAATCTATTGACTTCATCGAATTCCATTATTGATTAAAAGAAAAAAGTGAGATATTCGAATCAAGGTATTGGAAAGAGGAGAACCGAGTTGTTGTACAGCGACTAAAATTTATTCTTTTTTCAAAATGTGAGCCTTTTTAGGCTTCAAATTACTCACGTGGTACTTAAGGTCTGTGGATAAGCATGAATGTGTAGACATATATAAAGGAGGTAGAGGTATTTTTTTACATATCTTTGACAGCTCTTATTGTATCATCATCCAGTATAATATCCGTTCGCACTGCCCAGTCTTGATAAATCCAAACAATATCATCCCATTTAAAGTCTGCTAGACCTGCTGCATCCTTATCATCTTCTGTTGGTGCTGTCGCCATCCATGCTGCAAATTTGTCTGCATTACCGCCTTTCTGTATCGTTTCTTGTAAACGATTTTCTAGACCAGCAACGTCCTTTTCAAACCTTCTCCTCACAAAATCAATATTATTCTTCCACCGTGAGTTTTTAACGATATGTATTGCTCGTTGCATAGACAAATTGGCTAGATGATAACGCATTTCGTTTTGTACTACTACTGTCGACGTTGAAGATGCAGATTTCATAAAAATGTCTGCCATTATGGCCCAAACTCTATAATCTAACTTCCTTTCCTTATGATAACAGATACATGCAACCATTGCCTCTGTATATCTACCCACTAAAAGGAAGAATTTGGCTCTTAATAAGAAAAGCCCTGTATCTTGTACATTCTATAAGGTTGTCGCATCTACGTTCAGTATATTTTGTGTATACATAGATATGGTACTTGAGACTTACTGGGTCATAATCCAACAATTCATTCAAAAGATCCAGTTTGTTTAATTTGGCTGCACAATGCATGGCAATATCAGTGATTTCCTTCAACCCTGTCACTTTACATTTTTCGTCGTATTTCGCAACTCTAATAAAAGCAAGTGCTGATGACAAAGCTCGATCATAGTTCTTGTAAAAATAATCGTGTTCGATAGAGCTTCTTATTTGATTCGGTCCATGTTGTTCCAACATGACATCGTCAATACTATTATTGCCATACTCATGGAACCACTAGATCAAATATATAAAACAAGCGTCAATCGATCAAAAAGAGCCAAAGTGAAGAATAACGATCAACGCAATTACAAAAGCTATCTTACCCCATCTGTTTCTATTTTAGGCTGATAACCGTCAGGCATAAATTTGACAGTTTGTCTTTCTTTAGTTTCAAAATCGTCATCACTAAAGTCAAATCCGAATAGATCGCTATTTCCGGTTGTCATGATCTGTGAGTTTGTCTTTTGACACTGGAAAGTTTTATGTGCAGAAGAGGGAACGGGAAAAATATACATTTCGATCCGATTTTCTGCAGTAGCTTCAGCTACTGAGTTATGATTGGCTTACAATTTATGAGAGTTTCAACAGATCCTTACTTGCTTTTATGAGAAGGCTGATATATTGGTGCCATGATAATGTACTGAAGCAGACTCAATTCACTTTAACATAGAGAGAAAAAGCCAACTCTAGGTACGGTAAATAAAGGTGAGAGTGCTATTATGTAGTGTGAAGACTGTATATCCTCCGACGACTGTGTATTTCAATTGATGTTCAAATGATTGACTGTAAAACTCAGCCTAGATGAATCGTTTTCATTAACTACACTCTTTCTAGCCACTTCCCTGTTACGGATTTCAAAAACCTGAGCTTGAGTATGTAAGTTCAGAATTTGTTTAGACCCTTCCTAACAGCACATCGTAATGCACTGCAACTGAATGCATCTAGCAGAGACCTTTCAACTACTATCGTCGGCCAATTTCAAAGGCAAGAGCTTTGCAGGAAAGCATTTGTTTGGAGGCGTCTAAAGCGTTAATTTGGATGTTATTCGAATATAAGGAACAAAACCGGTAGCCTGAAGTTGTTAGACTTGTAGGCGAGCTTCGCTAGAAATGATGCCCACTGTGTGGTCTTAGTGATCCGGTTCTGCTGCATTATTGCTTGGATTGAAGAATCATACTATTGATATACGTGTACTTATAGATACAAAACATCTACACAGGAAGCGAATAAACAGGGGTTTATTTTTGCTCTTTTGTACTCGTGCACTATCTCAGTTGCGCTATTCTTCTTAAAGCCCACTCCTAAAGAATCTCTCATTGGCTTCGCCGCCTTTTCCGTGCTGCAGTACAGCTTCATTTTATATTGTTGTTGAAACACACTTTTTCCGTATCTGCAAAAACCAAGACTGCTGCAAAAAGTGTGTTATTTATACAAAGGAGTTACATCGATAGAAATTGATGAAAAAGCGGATACATACATTATAGTATTCCCAAATTTGGTATTTGCCAGATATGGGCTACGTAGTCCCTACGCCTTTCGCCAAATTCAAATGTTAAGATAAAAATTCTACCTAAATTGGTCGAATCACTTAATGCATCAAATAAACAGTTAATAAAACTCAGGTTTAAATGTGGCCAAGACGGGGCGTCATCCATATTGAAATATCATTTTTGATGAGTAAAATGGAAAACGAACCGATAGATCAGAGGAATCTGTATGAAAATGGTTGATTTCTGTACGCTACTCAAATTATTCCAAGACATTAATATTGCTATTGTTTTTGATAAGGAAATTTCTTATACAGCTTAGAAAAAATTCGATCTTTTTTATTGTTTGAAACTAAGAAGACCAAAAGGATTTCTTAATGTAGGACATGTACGTTTTTTAAAATTACACGTGTCAATCGAGTACTAAATAGTCTGATTCAGGGGCGGCTCTTTTCGAAGTATACAGTGAGATTTGAAGTCAAGGCAACAAGCATTATGAAAAAGAAGAGAGTAGGGCTAATTAAGTGGTCGAAGTAATGTCTAGAGCTGGAAAATGAAAGTTTTTTCTTCATAAATGAATAGTGAAATTAAAGAAAATTAAGGATACGCTGAAAAGGAAATCGTGTAACTCAAGTATTGTTTTCATTCCTTTAAAGCTACAACTATATTGCTTCAGTAAGCACTCAAGTTAATTTTTTACACTTTTTTCCTTTCTTTTTCTTTCGACTCTTCCTCATCGTTTAAGCTATCTTATACGTATTTCTAACTTCTTGTAGTACAATTCCGCTCCCTCACTCATTTATCATCGATTATGTTCAAAAGTAAAAAGAAGAAATTGCTGCAAAAAGCCAAAGCGGAAGCCTTAGTTGCTGCCATGGCCAAGACGACTGATACTCCTGTCACCAGTAATACTGAGCATCCCATTTATTCTACGGACAAAAACACTACTACTACAAACTCTGTTATGACAACTATGCCTTGTAAAAAGAAAGAAGAAGAGCAGCAACAGCAGCAATTGAAATATAGTCTCCTATTAGATGATTTTCCTCAGCATGATTTCCGATCTTCAGTTATTCTCCCTCAGCTCAATAACCGACTCACTTACCAACATTATGATAACTATACATCACCTCCTTTATCACCGCCGCCGTCAACCAAATCCTCAGACTATCAAAAGAGCCGTTCTTCTGATAGTTCTTACGAAAGTGTGGATGGCACAAAGCATTATCGGGACCTGATGGCATGGAGACATCAAAGAAATCAGAATAGATACTCAAATAGTTTATTTGGTGGTAAACAGAGGAATCGACCCAAACCTCGTCCTCTACGAACAACAACCATTTCAGTGAAAAGAACGACTTCCGTTAGCAGCAAACAAAGAAGGAAGCGCTCCACTCATATGGACGAAGATCAATCATCCAACCCTTTTGATATGGAACAGGAAGCTGAAAAACAGAAGGAAATCACACAATTATTTTTACAGAAGCAAGAGCATCAGAAGGCTCAGAAGCAAAATGGATATATAAAAGACGAGGGGGTAGAAGAAGAAGAGGTAATAAACCACATTTGGACCTGATACAAGAGATAGCCCTGATCATTAGCCTCCCTATGCTCCCCTTGCTCATTTTATTGTTTACTATGCTTTTTTATAGAATGCACTAGCTCTTTCCGATACTTCCATTATTACCCCACCTGCAAGTACTACGACTGAAGTACGCGATAATTTAGCGAAGGCATCAGATTTTGATGACTCTGAAAAAGAGTCATTTTCCGACGATTTGGACAGCGAACATAACCCTGATGTTGAAGACTACGAACTCGATTCAGACATAGAAGAAAACTATTTCTTCAAAGACTTTTCAGCAAACGAAAAGCAAGCAAAAAGACAATCAAAAGTAGCAGCAGTGACACAAAAAAGGGCAACCAAAACTATAAGTCGATTCGACTTATCTTCTTTTGCTAAAGATCTCCATAGTAATCGTCTGTCTGTCGTCCAACAGCAACAAATGCGTGAAAGCAGAGTATCGATAACTGAAGAGGATGAATTAGAATTAGAGAAGTTAATGCAGAGCCAAAATGGAAGATTGTCTTACATAATGCTAAAAAATAACAACAACGAAAATGCAACAGGAGCAAGCTTGGCTAAGGAGATTTCGCAGCTGCCACCTGTACCTAAATTGAATAAAGAGTATTACAATGAATTAATATCAAACAAGCAACAACAACAACAACAACAAATGGCTGAAAATAAAAATAATACAATTGTAGATCATAAAATCAATGTGCAGCCTGAGACCTTATTACAAGGTAAAGAAGAGTTAGAAGATGAAAAGGAAGAAGAAGCTTACCCTGTTGATGGCGCCAGCGACAGCAACAAAATAGCCTTGGATGACGGTAATGCAGTATATACAAGGCTAATAAATTGTCATAATTATATCTGACCGAATTTGAATTACTTCTATTAGATATTGAAATTCCACCAACATTCAAGACAAATAACATATTACCAAAAGTATCTATTACTGCTCTTCCAACCATTTCAACTATTGACAGCAGTATCAAACAATCGTTAAAAAAAACCGAATCTGCTAAATCTCCAACCATTGCTGCTACACCATTGGATCTCCCTCTCTCTTCCTTGTCAGTTACAACAGCAACAACACCCTTATTACCGTTGGCTAGCTCTGAGTCTAATATAAAGAAAGCTCTAAAAGCTCCCAGAAAACCCTTCAAGAAGGAGGATATCCGTTTGATCGGGTTAGTTGAAGAAGACCATTACAAAGAAAATGAACACATCCAAACAGCAAAACCTTCGTTGCAAAATGAATGCAGCAAGAGTGCAACTGCTTCAAAACAGGACGATGACGTTAAAAAGAGGAAAAAAGAAGATGGTAAGAAGTCAAAGAAGGAAATAACAGCATCTACTGGAGGAATTATGTCCAGAGGACTTTTCGGAAGTTTGCGTCAAGTGAATCGAAATCAGAGTAAATCCGTTTCATCCACCTCGATACCGGTTATATCTTCTCCAATAGCAGTATCATCGCAACTACAACAAAGTTCATCAAGCACAAGTTCTAGTTCGAATACGCTTAAAGGTCTTGCCAGAACGCTTAGCACCAGTAGTGTTAGTAACACTACAAATCACAATAGTGGTAGCGGTCAACAACAAGTTATCAATAAATTATCAAATAACGGCATTTCGAGAGCTGCTATGGCAGTTATTCAACATAACGTGACGAAACATGAATTAAAACAAGACAATGAAAACGAAGCAGTCTCAGTAGACGCATCCAGAAGGGATATGAAAAGAGTTATTAACTTGAAGAGTTTATCCAACCTCCAACGTGCCAAATCAGATACATCAGGTCCTCCGCGATTGATTTCGCAATTGATAGCTAGAACGTCTTCGACTAGAAAAGCTCCACCCACCAAAATTATTAACATGGATAATGGAAATACTGATGACTGCTTAGATTCTGCTGCTGCGAGAAAAGAAAGGGCTCAAGTTATCCGTAAAACCATCATCTATGTTCAGCCTAATTCTTTGCACAATCTTTTAAAGAATGGTGGTGAAGGTAGTACTATCAAGCTCCCAACCTCTTCATCACCTTTATCCGATTTAAATCCCGTTCAACAACAAGCGTCATTATCACCACTGTGTCGTCAAGATACTGTAGCATCTTCGGGTTCATCTACCATTTCTTCCGATGGACAGACACAGCATCAGCAATCGCAACAACAACAGCGTGAGTATTTCACAGCTACCAAAGTCAGTAGACAAATTTCGGTAAAGAAGCGCATTGTAGATACGAGTAAGGAGATGGATGACAACAAACCCTCATTATTGAGTAATAACAATGATAACCATGATCACCATTCCTCGCCACAACAACGTCACTTGAACCGATGGCAGGTTCAAAGTTTCTCAAGTGATGATGAAACTAATAGCAACGATAACAGCAGGCCTGAAAAAGACAACAAAGCGAATAATACAGCTAAACAACTGTATATGGAAGGTGTAGAATTTAGAGAAATGAGCGATGGTTCTGTCATTTGGGGCCTTGTCAAAAAGCAAGGCAATCGAAAGAGTTTTTACGCACCTAAACAGCAAAGCCTAGACTCACAACAGCTGGAGTTTGAGCATCTTGAAGACGAAGAATTAACAGACGAAATAAGCATTGCAGCTGCAACAAACAGTGAGCAAACACTGCGACAACAATCTCAACATAATACCAACAATAATGGCATACCCTCGTTAAATAATACCAGTAGCATAAATGGAACATCTCAGCATATTAATGCAAACGTATACTCGTATACTCCCCCTACGTCGCTTTCTCCTCCTCCTCCTATACCTAAGCGGTCCCCGCGCAGACCACCTGTGCATCCTAAAAAAGACATAGCCACAACAAATATCTATTATTCGGATCAAGTAACTTTGCCCTCTTTACTATCAAAAATGATAAACCGGCAAGATGATATATCGTTCAGCAAAAGGGGCATTGCTTCTAGCATCACTAATACAACATCCTCATCTTCAGTATCCTCAAATGATAACTATCCTGGTGATAATTATGATGATGATATGAGCTACTATGGCAGCAAATATACCACTGATGATGATGAGCATGCTTGTGCAGAAAATGACAAAAAGATGTACTTTATGAATAGTCAAACTGCCCTATCATCTGTTGATGATCAATTGGATGAAATGATGAGAATATTAACAAACCAGCAACAGAACGAACATGTTGTTTTATATTAGAATAAATAAATCCTCTTTTTGCATAGATACAATACGCTTTAATTTTTTATTTTCTCCCTTTTTTTTCTAACATGAAAGTCCCCTTTTCTGGATGTTCTTCCCTACTCGAACTCTGATTGTACGATCGGCAGCAGCAGATATAGAGTTCTCTTTTGTTCGGTTTTCTTCGTAGGATGTCTATCGGTTTAGGGTTGAACAGTAGGATATTAATCGATTGCTCGATATTCTGCACAAAACCTACCTCATGGACGGTATCGTATTGTTGATTGCTGGATATACAAGTGATAAAGTTTAGGAAATAAAGAAGCGGAAAGAGAAAGAGTACTCTAGATACTAGAAATGATGCAATGTCCTTGACTGATAGGCTTTTTTTTCTTTCGGAATATTTCTTCGATAAATTGCAATATCCACTATGACACTTTATGGAATATGTAACCATTTATTTGAATGATAGCAAGTGCACATTGTTTGGGATATGTGGATAATCATTGAGGGTTCGCAAGGATATTTATTGAATGAGAAGATACTACAAAAGCTAGTAACGATAAGGAAACTAGTGTCGATGAGCGAGCATCTAAGGCAACCAAATGTAAAAATTCGAACTGTTAACAAACATTTAAATGGACAAAGTTATGATAATTACCAAGACGCAAACTATTTATACAATTTTTATTTATCTACTCTTTCTTCCATTCCTTAGCAACATTAAGTTATACATTCCTTTTCTCTCCGCTCTTTTCTCTGTTCTCTTTTCATCTCAATAAACTAACAGCATATCTGTTTTGGAAGGTAAATCAAGTAGTCCCCTTGAACTAAGAGTTTTTTTGTTTCTTTTTTTGAGAAATAGAATACATAATTTCACTAACATATACAATTTACAAAATAACCCATGTCTCGATCTGTAAAACCTCTCAAAATAGCTATCTCACCGACTACTATTGATAAAATATGAAGTTCGGTGCTCATCTGGAGTCAAAAATATATGAGCCATGGCGTCAATCATATATTCAATACAATCAGATCAAGCTGGAAATGAAACGCCGGCAACTACAGGATCACGCTTGGAGCCAGAAAGACGAATCAGAATTTAAACAAAAAATAGCATCTGAACTAGCAAAGGTGTACAACTTTGTCGAAAAATCACTCGTGGATTTGAACAAACGAGTCGAAAATACTCAAGCATCACTCAGTAGTCTAACAGCATTACCTGCAACACAAAGCAAAGGTTACAGAAAGAAATACGATGCTTTGGCCGATGTCCTGACAGAAATTCTGTTTGACGTCAACGACCTTGCCAAATTCCATCATCTCAATTGCGCTGGTTTTCGTAAAATGATAAAAAAACACGATAAACACACAAAGTTGGACTTGAAAAGTGTCTACTCTACTCAAATGACATACCAATGGCCGTTAGAAAAGTTAGCCATGCGATTTGACGTTTTAATTATTAAAATTTCCGAACTTCATGATGTTTGTCATTTGTATGGAAACCCTCGATCGAAACAGGAAGCTTACGCTTTAGGTGGTGATCAAACGGCTTTTGAGCGAGCGACGGCGAAATATTGGATCCATCCCGATAATATTACAGAAGTCAAGTCTATTATTTTGTTCCATTTACCGGTACATGTGTATAATAAGAAAAAGCAATATGAAGAATCGGATATGGCTATTTCGAGCGTTTACTTTGATAACGATCAGTTTGATCTTTATGGTGAACGTTTGAGCCGCAGTGAAGGTGCAGAAGCTATCCGATTACGTTGGTATGGTCCTCTTACAGAAGAGAACGACAACATATACGTTGAACGCAAAACCCACAAAGCAGCATGGTTAGACGGGAAATCCGTCAAGGACAGATTTAGATTGAAAGAGCAGCAAGTCAATGCATTTTTATCGGGTGTCTATTCGGCAGATCAATTTGCTATCGATCTTCGCGCCAAAATTTCCAAGGACGGTAAAAAGAAATACTCAGAAGATACAATTGAAGAAAATCATTTCATAGCATCGGGTGTTCAAACGTCGATCAAGGAACGTCGCCTGAATCCCATGTGCCGTGTTTTTTACAACCGTACAGCATTCCAGTTACCAGGAGACCAACGTTTACGTATCAGTCTCGACTCAAATTTGACTTTTATTAGAGAGGACGGTCCGGAACGACGCGAAAGAATAGCAAACACTTTAAATTGTTACCATTGGAAAAGAAATGATATCGACATCAACTATCCATTTCAAAATATACCAGAAAAAGACATCAGTCGGTTCCCCTATGCAGTTTTGGAAACCAAGTTACAGACGCATCTCGGTCAACAATGTCCTGCTTGGCTTGCCTCTTTGATTGACTCCCACTTGGTGCATGAAGTCCCGCGATTCTCTAAATATCTGCATGGTGCCTCTATCTTGTTTCCCAATGACGTTCCTTTCTTCCCTTATTGGCTAGAGCAATTTGAGACTTTGGATATCAGAAAACCAGCCGTAGCAAATATTGGTCTGACAAGATCCATGAGTTTCAAGCCTTTAGTAAATGGACATCACCGACAATCATTGATGAAGTTGTATGAACAAGAAATGCAAAATATGGATCAAATAGCAAGAGACGCAGCAAATAATGAAGTTAGGAAAAAAAGAAGCTTCCATGACCTCCGTGGAATAACAAGCAACCTTTTCAATCGATATAACCATAGAAATAAACAACACCAGCAAAATGAAAGCAGAATACCTCATTTATCGATCAATTTGATCGATAATGGAGATAATGATAAGCGTCATCCACGATCACCAGAGGAAGAAGGTGATTACGAAAAGCTATCCCGCAAGCCAATCGTCGGGCGTATTTGGTACTCTGGAGCACCTTTCGTGACACGTTTCTCTTCATTCAAGAAACCCAAGAAAGAAGACAATGACCCTGTACAGCAGCAGCAACAATCAAGATTTTCACGTCGAGGGCCGCAAAAGAAGATAGAACCTAAAACCCATTTTGCTAATGAACGTACTTTCATCTCTTGGTTACAATTTTGTGCTCTATTGCTGACTGTGGCGCTTAATCTATTAAACAATGGTGATCGTATATCTCGCATTATTGGTGCTGTGTTCATTATTCTTTCATCTTTATTATCCATGTAAGTTGGTTTTTTTTTTTCTTCTCCGAAAGCCTGCTCTTCCTCGAATACTTATTGACTTATGTTTTTGTTGATGCATAGTTATGCGCTTGTAAGATTCCAAATGAGGTCTTATTATCTGAGAGTGAATAGAGGAGGCAACGTTCGCTACGATGATATTTGGGGTCCAACCGTTCTATGTATTTCGATTGTGACCGCTCTTTGTGTCAATTTCTACTTGAGAGCTGACATTTTGTTTGCGAGCCATTATGAAAACCAAGTTCCTACTATTGATACTACTGCTACTGCTAATACTACACCTAATTCTAACTAATTTATTGCCACTAAACAATAGAAAATCGATCTAAAGAATAAAAATACACCGTCTTACCATCAGCCTGTTGCTATTGTCATGAACTCTCAAACAAATATATAAACTCAGATTCTTATGCTTACTGTGGTTTTTCTTCACTTTTTTCCTTTGCAAGTTATAGAGGCATCACTTGAACTGAATATAATGCAACTTACTGTTTGATTACTGTCCGGCTGGTGGCTATTGTCGGTAGGGAAAGAGTTATTGGCCAAAAAGTAGACTAGCCCTAAATGAAAGCAGCAAAAAGATAACCCAAAAGATGCTCAATTTATTGTCATTAGCATGGTATTTGAGACATGGGGTCTCTTTCTAGTTAGAATTGTAGCTTAGTAGAAAGTTTGGATGTTTTCCCAAAAGCATCCGAATTTCAAGAATAAGTATTCTGAAACACTCACTCGAGCCATCTGAATCTTACGGTGGTCGGAATCTGAACTGAAAATGTTGCAGTGAGAAAGACTCGGAACGTCACAAGGCTGACTGTTAAAAAAAAAAGAACACAGTCAAACAATTCACTGCTTTACCTATAATTTGCATACAGCCCGCGTACTTTACCTCCTTGAGCTGGACAGGATGGGAAATCAAATTTAATCGTTAATAAGGAAAAAAATTCAGGAGAACTTTTATGATATTTGAGCATCAGACAGGCCGATGTGCACTTTGTTAACGAAAGAATGGGCAAGTCATCCAAACATGTTTTTATTCCAATAACAGACGATAAACAGTAATAGTTTGAAAATAGATAAATATGGGGTAGCCGCAATTATAGCAGGAAACAGAGGGGTTATATAAGATGTGTGAAATATCGGGAACTATTTACAAAAGAGAAAAAGAGAGAGAGAGATAAAGATAGAGAGAGAGAGGGAGGGTAGAGAAATAGTATTTGATCGACTTATATCAATAGTTTAATACCATTGATCAATTGCCATTTCACTCCAACAGTTAAGCGGGATTTGGTCTTGTTGTTGTTGCTGCTGCTGGTGTTGCTTTGCTTGCTGTTGTGACAGTTCGAATTGTTGCTGTTGCAATTTAGCATACGAAGGTGTTAACAATGCAGCATCATCTTCAGAGTCATCCTCGGTCATAGGAGAATTGGCATTCACAGGCTGCAACCAGAGTGGTGTTTCAGTAGGTGGAGGAGGTCTATAATCTGGTGAAGCGTAGGTGATAGCGGGCAATACCTTTTGAACAGGTTGATCCGGCGAGAATTGAGTGTTCAAATCAAAATAACGTTTGGCGATAACAGGCTATTCACAACAAGACTGCAAGTTAATATTCAATGTCTAAAGGTTGAATTTGCTGCATCGCTATGAACGTACCTCTTCTTCATCTTCATTTATTCTGCGCTTACAAGCACGTCTTTCATTGAGCGGTTGAAGTGTAGTAGCTAGAGTAGACCAAACATAATAGATTGGCATGAGTATGTGTCATCTGATCCTCTCTGTATTGTAAAAAATAAGAGCTTACAGTTATGATTGAAGTGACAATCCATGACAATGCAATTGATTTTTGAATATGTTTGGTTATCGGTTATTGGGTTGTTTTTTTTTTTTTTAATAAAAATAGGTTGTTTAAATAATCAAGATAGCTTCTTCCGGTGGATCACTTTGTTTGTGTTAAACAGTGGGGCTTTTTTTTTTCTCCGAGCCGCAGAACAAAGAAAGCGAGAAGGAATAAATAATCAAAAGATGGCTGCAGTCTTCAGAAGAAGTGAATGAGAGACAATTAAGAGGTTTTTCCTTGGTGTCTTTATATAACTTTTTTAACGACAAAAAATTTTATTGCCGATGGAACAAAACTAGCACACATTCGTTTTGTGCTAAGATCGAATGAAAGCTTTTGAGCAAGTCACCTTTTTTGACGCACTTCAAAGCTTTACTTCCCTCTCCGCTTAATCCATTTACGGCAAACTCCTAAATTGATCAGCCAATTATGAAATGACGGAAAATAGAAAGGGGCACCCACAGAGAGTGAGTTTGTTATTGGATGTAGTGAGAGTGCTTTTACGCTAACGATACACCATCCTTTTTTTTTATTTTCAGTCTCAGGTGTTTTTGTTATGATGATCAGACTGCTTGCTTTTGCGTGAGAATACATTTTCCAAAGTCTAAAGTCCGTAAAAAAAGTCCCTGCCGTAGCACCACGTAACAATGAATGACGTTCCTTTCCCATCCGCCTTTTGTTTCAATAGACAATAGCAGCACCTTTTTTTTTTTTTGGTCTTGCTTCTAAGTGTATCACAACGTCAGAATCTTTTTGCTGCGTTTTCTTGTAGAGAAGTCATCGTTAAAAAGTGGAACGATGATCTGTGTAGCTGGGCTTTCTTTTTTTGGTATGTCAACTTTTCTCTTATTTTCATTCGGTGATTGCGGGGGAGGACAATTTGATTGATGGGTTCCAGAATCTGAACAAATAAAAAAAAAAAATCCATTAAATTTTCTCTTTTTGTGGTGGTAACGGGGGAGGTCATATTTCAGACAGACAGAAACCTTTCAAGCATGATTCGCTAGAAATTTGAACCCATGGTGCCATACATGTCTCTGTCAGGAGCATACAATAGGAGCATTCTGGCTACTTGGTTATGAATTCAGCATGAACGATAAGATACCACATACTGTAAATGATAATCAATCGAAATAAACAAAGTAAATGCTGATCTCCTTTTAGGGAATGTATTGGATTGAAGAGGAGATTTTGGCGATACAAGCTACCTACAAGTTTGATAAATACAAGCCTTGGGCAGCAAGTTATTTGCGTCCTCAAATTTACATGAAATGCTGTCTTTGTTATTCTGGCTTTCATATTACAGTTTTTGAATGTTATTTCTTTATAACTGGTCGTAGAATATATAAAAGTACCATCTACGCAGCTTTGCCATACTTGCCTTTTAGCCAATAGCCTTACAATTAAGAACAGCAAATAGTTGCTCAGTACAAGATTATAAAAATGGTTAAAAAGGAAAGCGCAGTCATCCTATGGCTCCGTATGCACAGGTTATCAAGTACAAAACAGAAAGAATGAATAAGCACAAACTCCTTCCACTGGTATATACAGAGATATGCCCAATGTATCTTTTTCAAATGATGAAAATATCACAATGTACAGAGGCTTCAGTTGTTAATGTCATATCCAACGTCAAGGTAGGAAGCTGGGGAGCGTAAATATACTAACAGAATAAACCGATCGACCAGATAGACTTGTGTACAATTTTTGAAATATTAAAAGCACCAGTTATGTTACGAAAGTATCAATTTTCTAAACAGCAAATTTCGTAAAGTACTTGAAAGTGTTGCGTTGTAGTTCGAATAGGACTTGGCGCATGAATAAGGCTATTTGTATAGAGACATAGTCTATTGTTGGTCAAAAATGAATGTTGGAGATTGATTGGCTACAGTGTTTAGGCTACTGTAGCAGCAACTGATTCAGTGTGGACAAAACATCAGATGGATAGTCTCCCCTAAGCATTGAAGGTTAACTTTCCAATAGACATGAACGGTTCAAAGAAGTTTGGCTTTTATCTTTTGACCACGCATACAATGACAATTATAGAAGTCGCATAGAATTTTTCGAAAATATAGTTAACCCTACACTTATCGACCAAAACGTTTAGGGAGACGATTGCAGTTTAAGTGAAAAAGGGAGCGATGCGTGAAGTTTATTTGTACCATTCAAACTCAACGGTTTGAAAATTAGCCATTTTGAACTTCTTGGTGATTGTCAAAATACTCATTTTTCATTGTAGCATTCGAATATCAACAATTCATTACATAAATTTGTAGTGAGAAGGGAATTGCTCACACTGTCAAGCAGAGATTAAAGTCGCTCGAACTCTTCCAAAATTAAGGCATCAATAACATCTAAAAGTAGATGCACGTTAACAATATGAAGGTAGTACGGACTATCTTAGTCACTCACGTGTAGATGTACCTCTGCAACTCTTAGAAATCATTTAATACATTTGAGCTAACCCAATTATATGAGCGGATGGCAAAATCTGAGAAACTTCAATCATGAAAAGGTACTATTAATATCTATATACACCCAAGCAAGTAGATCGTAGGTCAGTATGCGACAAAAGGCATATCCAATGTTATGGTTGATAATCATGTCCCTAATCGAAGACTTTGAATCAAAAAGTTAAAATAGGTACGCTATCAGTTCCTTAATAAATGTTGTGTTACAGTCATTTCAAACTTCATTGCCTTCTGAAAGCTAAAGCCCTCTTTCTACTTTTGTAATTGTGTATCCCTAGAGAACAAAGTTTGTTTTTTGTTTTTTTTTTTTGGTTCTTTTTTTCCTGCTTAAAAAGGTCTTTCCTATCTTAATTTTAACCTTTTTTTTTTTGGTTTCTCTGATTTTTTTTTTTTTTCTAGACTGTATACAATATATCAACTCTTCTTATTACTTGATCTGAAAATATGGCGAAAAAAGGAAATAAAAGAAAATCTCACAAGAAGAACAAGAGACCAGCATCTCATAATAACAAAATCAATAGTAACAACAGTAACATATCCAAGGTGGAAGAGGCCGTTGAGCCTACCATGACTTCTGATCTTGCTCAGTCAGACGCGCCGTCACCCTCAACCTCCTCATCTATCAATTCGACAACAAATAAGGAGGAAATCAAGCATTCAGAAGAGCAAGGACAGGAGAAAGAAAAGGATGTCAATAATTCCATAAACACAGCCACCATCGACGAAGACACTCTAGGATCACTTCTGGTGGGCGGTGTCATTGTGAAAACAATATCGTTAAACCAACAAGACGATGCAAAGGAAAATTCCCGTTTTGCAAAGGAGTGTTTAGAGTCAAATACAGCAGATCATCGTGCAGCAGAGACAAGAACCCCTGACGAATCAATGGCGACCTCGGAGTCAACTTGTCCATCTGAAGCATTGGGTACTAACAATCAAGAAGAAATCCGTACGACAAGCGTTTCAGAAAATCAGGTAAACAACTCAAAGACAATGATGAAGGTGAAAAATGATGAAGCACACGTCCAAAAGGATGCTGCCATAGGTGATAAGAAAGCTGGATCGCAAGGCCTTAACACTCCTTCTGCTGGCACAGTAATTCCTGCTAAAGAACGAGAAGAAGAAAATCCATCTGTCACTGCTGATCATCAAGAACAACAGGAAGCCAATCTCGGCACAAATGCGTCTAAGCTAAATATTAGCGTTTCCGATGACGTTGAGCAATTCGACACATCACTAACAGCAGCCGCTACAGCCGCAGCAGCAGCACTTGAAGAAATAGATAACCTTTTTAGCGTTTCGCAAGCTGCTGTAGAACAAAAGCCTGATGTTGATAGTAATCCTGCAAATTCAACCTATCCTTCCGCAGAGAGTAAAGTAAAGGTCTCCGACGCGACAACTGAGAACACTTCAACGCTAGATGAAGAGAGCTTTCAAAACGCAGCAGTTAACTCATTTGCAAAGACAACTCCCACCATTAGCATAACGGAACCGGTATCGACTCCAACAGTAGAAGAACCAGAAAGAGAAGAGGAAAACATAAAAAGTGACAAGAGTGGGGCTAACAGTGTTCAAGAATATGACGTGGCAAATCACTCAACAACAACAACAACAACAACAACAGCAGGAACTATAGTAACAACAAAAACATCTGTAGAAAAGCCCGCCTGTACAAAGGAAAAAGAAGAAAAAGCGGAGGCTACTAATACGACTGAAAAGGAAGGTAAAGCTAACTCTCTCAGTACTCTCGAGAGAAATAAGCAAGGAGTAGACGAAGGTGATCAACAGGAACAGCAGCAGCCAATTGAGCGACATGAATCAGTAACCGAAGAAACTTTAACTGTTGGATCACAAAGTGAACAGTCTGTGAACACTGCAGTAGCTGAAGTTGCTGCAATAGCAAAGGAAAGCAAAACATCATCCACTTTTCTACGTAAGAGTTCAAGTGTGTTTTTACGTAAAGAGTCCGGAAACAAAGAAGACAAAGCTGTAACCAAACGAAAATCCCAGATCATCAGTTTGTTTAAACGTACCGAGAAGGTTTGTTACTTACTTTTATCGTTAAATGAAAAGTATTTTCTTTCTTACTAATTCTTCATTTTTTCTTTTTCCTCAATCTAGACACCTTCTTCACCTTTAACGCAAACAGAAAAAGATAAAGGATATAAAAAGAAAACGGACGATACGCAAAAACCTGAAGAGAAGCTGAAAAAGCGACGTTCTTGGCTGTTTTGGAAGTCTTCTTCAACGAAGAACGCAAAAACTGTGCAACAGCATTGATTACTGAAATTAACTGCTTAATACAAATGTTTTATTCACTTTACCTTATAGCTCGTTACTGCTCTAATAATTAATTTCGTGCGAATTTATAACATTCAATAATCAACAATAAATAGTGTCATCTCTATATGTCTTGCTTTGAATAACAGTAGCTCATCATACTCTATTTGAAAGAAAATTACAAAGATACATGAGAGTTGCTGACAAACTTATTAAGAATGATAAAGTTTGCAGTCCAGTTTCATCGGCACCAACGTTCTTTGATCTTCCGAGGGTATTATAAAGCAAGAATAACTGACTGCATAGATCCGTAGAAGTCCCAAAATGTCGTTTCTGTTAAGAAGTCTTGTGCATGAAAGCATACTGAACTTTTAGTTCCATTAAAGTAAGATTTCGAAACACCACGTCCATAAAATCGGCTACTAAAAGAGCATTTCGTCTACCTTGTTGATCCTTTGAGCGCAGCGAAAGCAAAGCACAAAATCCAATTATCTGGTTGCGGGTGGAGAAACACGGTATTTTTGATCGCGGACTTTCGCTTTCACTGTTTGTGTCTCTCCCACATTGAGATTGTAATCTTTACTACAACAAGGGGTAGGCGGTCACAGTTTTCTCAGTTACATGAACGTATTATTAACTTGTATTCAGCTTGTCTTTGTTCAATTCACACCACTTTTTCCATTGACCCATTCAAACGATACCAATGTTCCGACTACAACTACAATGCCGTATACCAATCCTGAGTCGCAGGGTCACATTAAATTGCGCCAAACAATCCCTTCAAACTTTCAATAAAGGGCTTCTATTGAACAGAACTTTTGCGCTCACTCGAAAACAACCAATGTCATCCAACGCAAAGTAAATTGAACCTGCTATTTTTTGGTTGAGTGCATATACAATTGCACATACTATGCGGTATGCTGAGCTGTTACTACTCTTATAGAAATGCTCTTCTACTCAGTACAAAAAGGTTGAGAACTCTTCTACCGATACAGCGTTCGATTCTATCCATTACAAAAACACGATTATTTAGGAGTGAGGAGAAGGATGACCAACCAACAGAGAAGACTGTGAGTTAGAGCAGTATTGTAGGATGAATTACTAAGTTTAATATTGAAGTCCCTCTTTCTTTTCAGCAGGAACTGAAAGAAAATATATATACAATCCCGAATGTTTTGACATTTAGCCGACTTGTTGCAGCGCCTTGTATAGGTTATTTGATTTTGAATCACAACTATGATAGTGCTTTAGGTCTATTTGCGTTAGCAGGATTTACGGATTTGGTAAACTTCATGGAATCTTCCACATTTTTCAAGTCGCATACAAAACTAATTGAAGACTTGGATAACTATGCTTAGTTGGATGGGTATATTGCAAGAAAGTATAATATGAAGACGTTACTTGGGACGATTATTGATCCATTCGCCGATAAAGTTTTAATGACTATTTTGACAGTAACTTTAACTATGGAAGGAACACTACCGAGTAAGTAGTGGTAAATCAACACAGCCAGCCATATCGAAATATAGCTAACGATAAGTGTTAATTGCTAGTGCCTTTGTCAGCAATTATTCTAGGAAGAGATGCTGGCTTAATTCTATCTGCCTTTTATTATCGATATGTATCATTACCGGAACCAGTAAGCATGCATTATCTATTTTAGATTTGTGCTCCTCCATGCGCGTTCGTCATACTTAAAAAGCATAATTGAATAGAAAACACTTTCTAGGTACATTAATTGCACAATCCCCTCCGCTGAAGTCAGACCAACTCAAATCAGCAAGATCAATACCGCTTTACAACTAGCCTTGATGGGCCTATCATTGACTACACTTAGCGTAGGATTTCCTCCTTCTGAATTCATGACGGGGTTGCAGTAAGTTTGAATCCCAACATTCTTAACCTGCTCTGCAAAAAAGAAAACAAGCAGAAAGGAGACTAACAATAAAAAATTTTAAACAATAGATGGGTCGTCGGTGGCACAACAATATGGTCAGGAGCAAGTTATGTGTTTTCAAAAGACGCTGTGCAAATCTTGAAACGATGAGAAGAAGATGCTTGATGTATATCTGCCTGAACAAAACTTACCCAATTTATTTATTTGAAACAAGCAAACAACTACTATATCTTTGAGATGACTAATAAATGCCATTAATGAAATTATCAAAGTTTGCAGCATGCGAACAATGAAAAAATAAGAAGAGACGGTCCCAAGCTGAGATTTGGTTTTTATTCTTCGTTTTAACAAAAAAAAAAAAAAAAAAAAAAAAAAATACAAATCAGGTAAAAACGGAGAAAGCACCGTCAGTTTGTTGACGTTTGCTCTTTGACCATTAGTATATAATTGACGTTTCTTCTTTCTTTCTCTTTCTTTTGATTTGTCTTTTTCTAATCAAATTGTAATGCGATCCGAGCAGGCTTAACTTTTTATCCTCACTTGACGATTATTAAGTTAACGTGTATTATTGAATCGTATAAATCCTGCCTTTATTCATGATTCTATCTACTGGTGAACAGGAAGAGAGCTTCTTCGGTTCGGGTAAGAAGTCTAATGATGCCTGTCTTTCTTTTTCTTTCCCTTTCTGGCTGACAAAAAATCGTCTTTAATTTAGTTTTGCAAATACTACCCCTTGATAAACAGCATGATCTGACAAATAATGAAATTGAATTAGATCTATTTTCGGAGCAATGCATTCAGCTCTCTGCAGAAAAGTCCACTTTCTACTTTGATCTTATTCTCGATGCTGATAAGCAACCAGAATTACATCATCATTGGTTGTATGAACGTTTTCCACGAGCTATCACTCATTTCGTCTTGCTGGGTAAGTAGTTGAAAGCGAGACGTAGACGTTACTAAATTGAAGATGCTTAAATTCCCGACCTAAATTTTGTAATTCGCTTCAATTACAGGGCTTGATTATAACATAGTATACAATGTAAGCCTATTGATGTTTAAACTCGTCTCTACTTAATGCTTATTACAATGACGAAGTAACTTTTCGTTTTAGGGAACCAGTTCATCAATTCACAGAATGGACATTAACACTGTGCTGTCACTTGTCAGCGCTGCAATATCTACGGATTATCAAGTCTATATCAGCCTGACAGAGACAGCAAACATTCAAACTGGAAGTACCTTAAGCTCATCTGAAGAATATCATATCAATAACGCTGAACTCCTGAAAAAGTAATATATTTAACACTTAGTTTTGATCTACATTTCAGTCATAGCAGACTAAAAGTTAGCATCCTATCATTTTTTTTGCTAGGTATTATCATAAATGGTTACAACAAAGTGCAGCTTGTAATTTTATTCCGTTGTTTTCTGTAACTTTAAAGCGCAACCATATCAAGTACTCTCAGTTGAATATATATGATGCGAGCAAAATTGATATTAGTCAATTGACCCAGCTTCAACATGCTTTGGTATACAATCGCGCAACACCCTATCTGTTTCTAACATCGATTTCTGTAAATGAATCTATAGAGACTATTCGAGCGAGACTTTCCTTTGCTGAGAAATTTAGTAAAATTAACAGCAACTACACACTATCTGCGAAATCAGTTGAAGTGGAAGAAACAGAAGGTCCTGAAAACCTCAAACAAATTATTGCCAACCTCACGAACCAAGTAACGACTCTACGATCATCTTTACGTTCTAGTGCACAAGGTACTGCATTCTCCACTACCTTTTCCTCTTCGCAGCAATCGACTTCTCTTTTTTCGTCTATTTCAAATTCTACTGTCGCTACTTCCCTTCATCATCCTAACGGCAACATGGAAGATCAAAAAATGGTAGCCGCAGCAGCAGATCTTTACCGACAAATAGAAGAACTTGAAAATCAAATCACAGTTACACGCGAACGTAATACACACGTCGAACACGAGCTACATGAAACTAATCATACGAATTTAACATTGTGGCAGCTTATACAGAAACAAGATATGATGATACGATACTTGGAGGAAAAACAAATCGAGACAGAAAATCATATAACGCAAGGCATAGAACAGCTAGCAGTTGAACGACAGGAATTGGGTGAATTGCTCGATACTCTAGAAAGTAAAATCAAACATGGCGATCAAAAAATCAATAAAGCCATTGATAAGATGACACTAGTAACGGCAATCATGCTGAAAGAGGAGGATCATGCTATTTTGAAGAAGCGAACGGAGGAGTTGGAGAATCAAGTGATGACATTAGACAACATTGTAGAGCAATTGCAGCTAACGGCTGACATTGACTTGGTTGGAACAGCTTCAGCTCAACAACAGCAACAGCAGCAAGCAAGTAGGATAAAAGAGTTAGAGGCTGCACTTGTAAATTCAAACGAGCAAGTGAAAGATTATTCACGAGTAAAGCAATCGTTAGAAATGCTGCAAGAAGAATATAACATGCTGCAGAAACGCAAGCGACCCTCTTTTTATCGTACGAGCAGAATTGGTAAATATCACCAAGTGCTTGATTGGATGGATGAGAACATGCGTGACAAACCTGAGATTATTGAGGAAGTGGCTAATATGGTTTATGATGTCTCAGAAATGACTAATATCATACACAATTTAAATGATCAATTATGCATTGAGCGACAGCAAACAAAGGAACGATTAAAATTGTTGGAGGCTGATATATTAAATCTCACAGTAATGAATCACCATCTACAGCAACAGAAAAAGCCATGCGAGAGTCTTTCAAGAATGGAAAGCGGACGACGGTCATTGTCACCAGCACATACAGCACAGAGTAATAATTTGAGCAAAGTCGATGAAAACCAACGAATCTCGAGCGCAACCAATTTGTCAGAGCTATCATCCACTGTTCCCTCAAGGACTCAGCCACTTCCGCCAAGAAGTCATACGATGTCCAGCAACACACAGCCTCAAGTCATGGAGCCACTACCAATACAACCACGATACACTCCTTTGTCACCTCGACTTATGCCACGCCCATCTCCACCTTTGAACCCACCACCACGGCAGCCTCTTCCTCAAACTCCCGCTCCGCCCCCTCCCATACATGATTTTGAACAAATTATCAAGAATTACCAACAAAAACTCATCATAGCAGAAAACGAAAACCACGTTCATCAACAAACGATAAGAGCGCTAGAGGAAAAACTTACAACTGTTTCTACTCAACGACGACAATCGTTGGAAAATCTAAAATATTTAATAGACAGTGAACGAAAACAAAAGCTAAAGGCAGAAAAGTCGCAGGCCCTACTTGAGCAAAGGCTGTTGGAACTACAGCTACAAACAAAAAAGAAAAAATTTCTCTGCTTTTAGATCTATTTTCCTTACTTACAAACATACTCCATCGTATCAATTGTATATACTTCCATAATTAATTTTTAGGTGCAATTACATTTTGTAAATAGATTATTTTATCGTTGTTAGATAAATGAATAAGTTAACTCTCTATTAATACATATCTAATATTCATTTGGGATAATGAGCGTTTCTCTAACCCGTCACTACTTGGCTGGCAAAGCCTTATTTTGAGCATTATTAAATTGACGAATAACCAGCCTACACTCTGTCTCTTTACAGAGATCGGGTATCTTATTTTTATCCACAGGACTTTGTTTAAAGAACGTAAGGCCTGTGCCTCTTTCTACTGCATCCAAGGGTACTTGGAACGCTGTGATAGGTGTAGCGTCCGAAATGCGTGCGTTAGGCAGTACGAATGCACCTACACTATAACGTCCTTGGTGGTGCGTCAAAATAACCTTGTAAAAGTGAGTGGGAACTGCCACATTGGGTGGGTTTCCAATCACCTGGTATTTGACATAAAATTTTCCATCCGCTTCTTGGTGCGGCAAATACATTGGCCCCGTAAATACATAAACATCAGAGAATTGCTTAGTCAATTGTCTACAAAAGTGTTCAAGGTGTGCCCAATCTAGGAAAGGTGAATAATATCAGCCTGCTTTGTTTTCTTTTCTACCGTTAAGCAAACACGACCTATAGAAAGTGCAGTCACTTACAGTCTCTGTTGAAACCTTCTCCAACTTGAGGAGCGATATTCGTCAGATAAAACGTTTCATCCATAGACACTTGGCTATTTTTCACGTCGGCAGCAGGTACCATATGCCCGCGATCAAATCCACTGCGGAAATAATCACTCAATTTGGCCCTGAATTTAGCGGGAATATGTTCATCCTCTTTGAAAGTAGATTTGGAACGATCAACGTCCTCTCCTCTTTTTAATTTAGCTGCCGTTAGATGTTCAGCGACCCAGTTAGGATTACGATCGCGACGATTATAACTGGTAACATAAGCACTTCGATAAACAATGTCGTTGACAGGGCCAGGAAAGCCGAATGGAAGGATTTCTTTAGATATTTCGAAATTGGAAACGGGGATTACTGGAGATTGATTTTGGGTGGGTCGGTGTTGCTGTTGGGTAGAAGGTGGTGATGGTAGATTTTGTGGTGGTAATGGTTGGATAGACCGAGGGTTAGGTTTTTGTGTGAGCTTTTGATAAGCTGCCAAAGAAACAGCACCAAGAGCTGCACCGCCTATTATCAAAGTTGCCTTTTGAGACGCCATTGCAGTCAGTCCTGTTTTTAGTTCAAAAAGCTAAAGTAGACAAAAGAGATTGAAGCAAGCACGAAAATAAAAAAAAAAAACCAAAAAACAGTGGCTTGCTTTTGTTTATCAATTTGCAGAAGATAACAGTGAGGAATGAGGTACAATGAAGTTTTATGTTTGGTTCGCTGCAGCTCAATTCAATTTAAGGTTCCTGGAAATTGAATGTGCGTTATTTGAATTTTGATTTCACTTATGAATATACGATAAAGCTTCAACAACTAGCTGCAATAGCAGTATATGTAGTAGTTTATTATTATACTATTAGTTAGATACTACTAGAAAAGCGTTTTATCATCATTATTAAAATATTCAATAAACCATAGAAAAGGCTATTATGGCTAATCCAAGTAAAACCAATGGTTGAATGGCTGGCAGCTGGCGAATACCTGCATTCACATGAAGCAGAACGGCTCTTGAGCGCATACTTAATTCTTCCTTGGAGTAAGACAACTTTGGCTTTGTTGTTACTGTCAGGTATACAGTTTTATTTAACCCATGAGGAACTGACCAGCTATAGGTTGCATTCAAATAGAATTGAAGATGTGTACCGGTAGAGTTACCAGGTGGCACATCAACGTCTTGAGCAATATTTTTGGCAAGCGTAGTCAAAGTGTTATCTTGCCAAAGATCAATGACGACACTGTACGATCCATTACCCATGTTTTGATAGCCGTAAGCGATATCAATTTTCTGACCAGGTTGAATGGTGTCATTGAATGCAGGATAATTGATTTGGGTGCCGAGTTGAGCGAAAATGCAGGAAACAAAGAAGCCGAGAATGGCGACAAAAAAGAACGGTATCCTCGTTTGCATTACTTTTTCTTTTTGAAGTGGAAAGTGAATGGACTGGGTGTGAAGGCTATAGAATTTACTACTAAGTTAAAAAGTACTGATGCTGGACGTAAAGGAGGAAAAGCAGAAAGTCGTTGTAATTATCATAAAAATGGGCAAGTCTTGTAAGCAAAATGCTCACTGTATCACTATTCATTTACACTTGGGATTACACAAAAGCAGGTCGCATCATATGAATTACCCAGGTACAAGAGGTTCGAATGTCAAAGGGAAGTTTACATTGTATTCTAAAAAAAAAAGAAAGATTAAAGCTATGTACAAAAAAGGATATAAATCAGTACAGCTATATAATTTATATAATTATATTTATGCGAAAGGTCTATCTACAGGTTAAACATGCATGTCTGAAAAGAAGAGAAGTAGTAACGTCTGAAAGATGTATGAATAGCATTGAACCCAGCTACTATCTCTTATATTATGTGAAGTTAATAGTCGACATATCCGGTACAGCTCCATGATCTACTAATATCTGGATCATTTCCCATAGATTTTTCTGTACGCATGCCTTTAAGGTCTCTTTATCTGGCTTCAGATGCAATTCATCCAAAAAGTAATTGACCATAGCTCGATTATTTCTGGCCGCACATACTCTTAATGCCATCTGGTTCTTAATAGTTGGATCTGCACCGTAACTTATCAGCAATTTTACTCTGTCCATATTTCCTACTTGTGCTGATTTGATTAATGGATACCCTTTCGGCCGATCTGGTGAAGCTCCCTTTTTCAATAAAGCCACAATTAATTGATCTCTCTCTTCGTTCGGTTCTAATAGGAACAATCGACTAGGTATTTTTTTGTTTTTAAAGTGTATGTTACAATCCATCCTTTCGAAGCGTTGCATCAACTCTGAGTTGAAGAAATTGAATTTGACAGCTTCCTCAAATGCTTTTTGAAGGTTCTGATTTGAGCGATTTAAAAGAAATGCTATCTTAATGGTATCATGGCAATAATAAAGATGATGATAGAGATGCCGACAGGTAACGGGAAGTGCAGGGTTGCTGGATAAGATGAAAATATGAGAGAGGATTTCAAAGGGCAGCTGGAATAAACCACAAGGTTTATGAGTCCTTTTACGGCCAAAACTTCTGCTGCTTTTCTGTTCGATATCCTCATCTTCGGAAGAGGATGAAGAGGAAGTAGAAGAAAGACCCCAATCTTCATCCATTAGCTATTGTCGTTTGGAGATGACGTTGGACAAGAGATCGCTGGCAGAAAGAAAAGAACAAAAAAGAAAAATAAACCAAGCGAATAAAAAATTGAAGTCACCGTGCCCGAAAACGCGAATGTAATAGCACTTATCAAAAATGAATTTTTTTTATTAGTCCGTCAGTGATCGTCGCCAAGGTTCCTTTTATTTAGAATAGTTTACTGAGAATAAGATTATATAAAAAGATATTTCCCCAGTGTCCTTCTTCTGTATTTATATCTTTCCAACATTTGATAGAAGTACTGCGGCTTTCCTGCAGTTTACTGCGGTTTAATTCTATGGGTAATTGACCTACTGCGGTAGTCCGTGTAGCCACTTGCTATTTGAATATCGGATAGCAATATTGCTACGGGGTTCATGACAAAATTTTCTTAGCGAGTTTAAGCAATCTTTTATTTTTTCAAAAAATGCAGGTTTCTCGTTGTGAGTAAGGAACGTACAGTTATATACCTCTATATAATTCCAATTAAAAGTCTACTTTGAACCAAAATAAACCGTTTTGTCTGCTTCTCAGAGCAACAGTTTAGCGCCAAATGATAGGCATGAGTCGGCATTTGCAATAAATACCTCCAAATCTAGGCTGCCTTTCAGAATTTTTGTATCAACAGTTTGGATAAATGAAGGGCGAACAAAATTTTGTCTTCCAACAAACTAAAACCTAAAACCGCAAAAATGTACTCTTACTCGATGCACAGGCATGTCTTATACAATCAACTTGGGTTATTGCCAACGGTTCAATCATTTTCCAATAATGCAATTATTACCTCGTGTGATGAATTTTACTTGCTTACATCTATCAAAAAGTTATAGTTGACTTCAAGCAGGATATGTATGTATATTTGATAGACGCCTAAGAAATGAGCGGCTTATCATAGATAGATACTTTCTGTTATCGTGACTCCAATAGAACAAAACTTTGCATTGATGCACTCACCAGCAATCTATTGGTGACATTAATAATCTGAACCTAAGAACTTCAGCTCTACCGACCAATGCAAATTGCTCGTTCGCTTTATAATCAATATGGTAATCGTGGATTAACACAATAACAGAAGCATTTGTGAGAGTATAAAGGAAAGCTAGCAATTTTATCGTAACAGATGAGCCGGAAGTATATACGTATGGAAAATCAAACGAATAAGTGTTTATTAAGAAAAGTTAATAACCGTCAATTTGATATGGTTGATAATTCTAGTAATCTAGACAACTTAGATCAACTTTCATTTATTCACATATACGTCTGTCATTTTCGGTACATTGTGTATTATCTGCTTTTAACACTTTGCTAACGTACCGTATCATACCCAAAAAGCGTACCATAATTCCTACAACAATAGACCCACATCCGTTTTTGTTATCCCAAACGTTTCCGTTGATCACTATTTAGATTATCAATAATGATGTGATGCCTAAACCCAAAGATAATAGCTTTGAACGACCTGGATAACAGTTGCAAGATAAAGCTGTAAAGTTTACCAGTTGCAACTATTAACAATATGAAGTAAAACCATTGCTTATGACTTTGGCTCATGCGATGGTCACATATCCATTCAAATTACTAATACAGCGATGATCAATATTTGAATAAAATATCGTGGAAATATCTCTCTATATGATAATTTAGTATACCGTCTCTATAGTAAATGTTCCTATAATTCATCATATGCCGTATATTTGATTTATCTGAATATCCATGACTAGCGAATTGATTTCCAAAACCAACAAATGCACATACAGTATCAGTTTGGAAAGATATAAACGATGTCCATCTATATATTTTGTACTCACAAGTATAATTGTAGCATATTGATTATAGGGCTATATATATAGTTTGCTCGACTTCGCTCAACATACTTCCATAACGCTTAAACGAGTTCCAAATATTCGTATTAATCTTAGTTGTTCTTATTTTTTTGATGAATGGCAGAAACCTTTTTTGTTAGACTTGAAAGAAATTAAAGCTAAGTTTTCAGAAACTCTTCAATTGAACATGTAGTGTCATAATTGCTTCGCATAGCTACGACTGTAACGTATAAAGAAAATATCGTCTGATTCTACTTTCAAAATGCTTGTTCAAGATGGCTTCCACATAGACAACCGGTTGTAATTTCCTTTTTTGGATTGGTTTCGTACCTCAAATCTGCAGGAACTTGGCAAATTGACTGCTTGTTCCGCAAGTGGCTTTGAATATGCTGTTTCTATTAGAGTCACTTTAAAACCACTTCTGTACGATTAACTTTTATCCAACTACCATTAAAAAAGCACAACCATGGCAACAGAAAAACGTCCTCAAAACAGTGAACAATCAGATAATGAACCCAAACGTATTCGCGTGGGTGCAACAAGAGATAACGTCGACGTACATATGATACCTCAAGCACCAAAAGTTCCAAAGACCAAAATTGAAAAAGAGAATGCTCGTCGACTTATCGTTATTCTAGAAGAGGCTACTCTGGAAACAGTCAAAATCGGCAAAAATAAAGAGGGACATTATCAATTACTCAACGTTGATGACCACTTGCACATTCTTAAGAAGAATAACCGGGAAACATATGAAGCACGTCCTGATATTACACATCAGGTATTGCAGAATCCAAATGGGCCATAATCATAAGTTAGTAGAACGTTAACGACTGGTTAGGCTAACATCATATCTTTCGCATAGTGTCTCTTAACACTCTTAGATAGCCCTTTGAATAAGGCTGGTTTATTACAAGTTTACATCCATACCCATAAGAATGTATTGATTGAAGTGAATCCACATATTCGTATTCCCAGAACCTTCAAACGGTTCGCTGGTTTGATGGTTCAACTACTCCATAAATTGAGTATACGTGCTGTAAACGGCAATGAAAAGCTTTTAAGAATTATTGAAAACCCAATCGAAAAGCATTTGCCCACTAATAGCCATAAAATAGGTCAGTGGACAAAATCAACTTACAATTTGGAAGTGCAAAGGAACTAATTTTTTTTCTTGAATTGTAATAGCCTTATCTTGGGATGCACCTACAGTAAAACTATCAGAATACATGCCAACAATTCCCGAAGATAAAAATATTGTGATTGCTATCGGTTCAATGGCTCACGGTACAGATGATTTTGCAGACTCATATGTTGATGATAAAATCAGTATCTCAGATTATTCATTATCAGCATCAGTAGCATGTGGCAAGATAGCCTGTGCAGTTGAAGAAATGTGGGGTATTTTATAGAGCGGGACAGCTCCACATCATAAGTTAGATATTCAAATTAATTTAATAGATGTTGAGGAAAACTAGGATGGGTAATATCTCGCTCTTGCTACATTTTCAGCGGTAATTTTCTCATCCTGCGTTAGGTCACGATGCCAGCGTTGGTTCAGCCATTCTTGCCATTTTGAATTCAATCTTCGTCGGTTATCACTATCATTATTCTTGGCATCTGTCGTTTTTACCGCTTTCGGCAAGCCATTATTATTATATCGAATAAACACATCCTCCGTACCGATAATGTAAAACATATGATAGGTATCTCGGCATATCTTATATTGCATTCCAGAACGTACTCTGACGTTGTTTGATTGATTCGCTTTGCATTTCAAATTTCTAAAGTATAATAATTTTGGTGAACTGCTTTTCTGTAAAGCATATACTTTCAGATAACTTACCTCTTTAAGAATCGTGGGGTTAACGTTGCGACATTTATGCCTTTTGTTTCTTTGGACCAATCAATATAATTCTTCACATAATCATCATAATCAATCTCCGTACCGTCCAAAGTTCCATCTTTTAGAAATCTCATACGCAGCTTTCGAGTACTTGTTGACTAAATAATACGAATCTGATATGAGGTTTGGAATATGCTACCTTTGAATTTGATCTGATTACTTACAAACGTAATATAATAAATATTATTTGGCTTGACAATTCTGATGACCTTTTCTAAATAAGGGTTCGGGTCATTCTGCCCTTTTTCATATTCTTTCAAAAATAAGTCGCATAATTCTTGTGATTGATTATCAGCAACAATAATGTGAATCTAATGGACAGAAACAGTAAATACCGTGTATGTTATACAGCAAAAAAGTTGAAGACTTACATGACGAACAATGGCTAAGACCAACTTATCAATTGTGAACATTATATACGCATCTGCACCAAATACGTAGCGCACGCATTCCTCAAATGTTTGCTGATCAATATCACCCTCAAATAGTTTATCGATCAAGCATAGCAAAATATTATAGTATCCACGTTTAGTATCCATTTGCAAGGCTAATAACGCAAAATATATAAGTATTTTTTTGTCGTTGCAAAACTGATAATACAGATTTCCGTAAATTTGAATCAGATTTATATTCACCTTTAAACCTCTTAGGTGTAATGCCTAAATCGTGCGCTTCTACGCGTGCTTTTTCAGCTTTTCGAGGATTATTTCGAAACTCGGTATCTAATGATTTCATCTTGTAGAGACGCTCATATAAAATTTGGTATAGTCGAAAGAAACAATAAAATCCGTTGTCGCCAAAAAAGCGGTGTATGGCTTGCTCATCATCATTGTCCGTTGTGAATGAAGCAATATCAGACATAGATTTCTGAGATTGACTTCGTTGCTGTTGTTGTTGTAGTTGTTGCTGCTCAATCAAAGAAGCTAAAGTATTAATTTTGAGATGAGTTGGTTTCCGACTGTTCTCCCTGCTACCAATATTGCTGCTGGTATTAGAGCTACTATTAATATTATTATTGACGAGCTTCTGCTTAAACGGAGCCTGTTGCGCAGAAACTTGAGAAGAGCTTTCACTCGATGTTGTTTCATCATCTTCTTTTTGACTGTTTTCAAAAGACTGACGCTGTAGAGCATCGCTCATTTCTTCGTCCTCCTTTTCTACTGCCTGAGTTTGCTCATTATCACCATCATCAATCTCAGTTGCACTACTTTCATCGTCATCTTCCAGAATAGCAGTAGAAGGCTTTTTCTTTGTGTTTATGTTACGTTTTAAAACGTCTTTGAGAAGTCCATCGTCATCATTATTATTTGCTGGCCGACCTCTTCTGGTTCTTCTCGTTGTTGACGAATTACTTCGCACGTTATTGTTGGGTTTTGTATTATATTCTTCTGAGGATTGTGAAGAAGAGCCATTATCATCCTCATCTTCATCCTCGTCTTCAACTACAACATCGTCACCCATAAGAATTTCTATACTATCGATAGTCGAAGGTGCGACATCCACTACGTCAAAGAATATAGGTATTATGGTATCCATGAAGTTACGCATTGAAGCACAGTCTTCTGAGTTGTAAATAGGTTGTTTGTCCAAATAAAAGTAGATTAACCTTGATATGTCTTTAAATATAGATGAATCCGAGATTGTGAGTTCAAACGACATTGCTGATGAAGTGGCCTGTGCTATTAAGGATCGCGTAGTGATGGCTTTGCGATCACTAATTTTGAAAGAAATGCCTTGATAATCCAATGATTTCCAATAATTCTTGGCCTCGACTTCGCGCCATATTTTATTCCATTCACGTTGTGCTCTTTTCCATTCCTCATCCTTCTGCTTTAATCGTTTTAATACAATAGGTACCGCCTGTGCTGGATTATTATGCAGTAAATCCATCATCTCTAACGCTCTGTGTGCGTATATTTTCTTCATAATACGTTGATATACTGTTCGGGACGGATCTGCCAATCCAGATGTGAGTTTAAAATTTGCTTTCTCCTCTGGCGTCATTATACTGATCTTTTTCGCGATAGGTTCTAATAAAGCAATAGTGTTCAAGTTGGCTTCAATATTCGAATCGTAATCATACCGCTCCTCTTCTACTCGATGCAGAGCTTCTTCGTACTGATTTTTTTTGGCTGCTACAAAGCCCGTATCTTCTGAAGGACAAGTCGGTTGCGAGACATAACTGTCGTTAAGGACATCCCAGCACAATGCATCCCGACCTCCACAACTGCGGTTTTTCATACTTTTCCTGATACGTCGATAGCTCGGCCCGTATTCTTTCTTCTGATCCTTTCTATTTGTTGATGTTGAATGATGGGGGAATAAAACTGTATCAGGAGATAGATAATCAATTTCATCGTAGCCTACTAATCGCTTAAACCAATTAAAGAGCTTTAGGTTGCCGCCAATAAAGCTTTCCACTCGGTTAACGAGAACATTTTGATCAACAATTTGTTGACTGAAAAGGTTAAGCACTTTAAGAAAAGCATTGTAAGTTGCTTTATTCCCTATATACGTTTTGACGTTCTCGAAGAATTCTGCTTCCTCAGCCGAAAAAGTAGGCCTTATACCGGAATGCACGGGCTCTTGGTTCTGGGTAAGAGGGAGATTGGATCTCACATTGGATACTTGAATTTCATTTTCCTACAAGAAATGCAAAAAGGGGTTAACTTTAAAATACTGTGGAATACTATCCTGTTAAGTCCTTCCTCTTACAATCAAAGGGGGTATATACTGTGCGTTTGATGGCTGTTGATTTGGTTTTGGTAGAAAGTGCTTGAATTCGTCGAGTAATTCATTGGCACCTTCAAACAGAATTGTAATCTCTGCATAGACCTACATAAGTAAAATATCAGACCAAAAGCTCTATTATCGTATTATTACTTTTCTTACTTCCTGAATGGATCTCTGATCCTTTTGATAAGTCTGTAATATCTCTAGAAATCTTTTATAAATATCAGGTTGCGTCAAAAAACGATTTTTGACTTTATTGACATAACTGATGGCCTGATTAAACTCTAAGGGCGGTTGGTGTTGCTGTTGTGATTGTGACATTTGACCATTCTCAGCTGTATTTGATTTACTCTGTTCAAACGGTTCACTTTCCAGAATAGAAAAAGTACCTGTAGGGGCTGTCACTTTTATTATATTACGGTTATCGTCGTCGGCTGTACATTCAATATGATATCCTGTTGGCAAAAAAGTACTGAAGCCTGATATCAAATCCCGTTTACCACGGAATAAAGTAGAGACCCGTTCAATTACACCGGGCGTATCGATTCTACGGTTACAGAATGTCTAATAAGAACCCAAGGCTTCCCTAACTTCCAGCCATATTTGGTCGTAGTAACAATCTAAACTTACAGCTGACCCTTGAAATCTTTCATTATATCTAGGAAACGAGTATACACTTCCGGTTGAGAACTAAACTTGGATTTTACTTTATCCAAATACGTCAGGGCATCTTTAACGTTAAGTGGTCGAGGTTCTTCTACGTTGGGCTGCATTACTTCATCTGAATGTGCTGCGTATAGGTCTGTTGAGCTATGATTGACGCTATTTTCAGTTTGTGGATTATAAGTTGGATTGATGTGGTTTGTGGGCCTTTTTATTTTATCAGCGCGTTATTGATACGAAATGAATGATCAGCATTGCCCGAGAGATGAAAACAGTTAGATAGACTTTTACTGTATGAAAAACAAACCATCTACAGTACCTATTGTTCTCAGTGATTTGCATTGAAGAAAAGAAGAAGCAATATAGAAGTAAGTGTCGTTATGAATAAACGGAATCCATGCAAAAAGTGTGAAATTAAGTGCCTTTTGAAGTTGAATTTTTTTAATACTTTTTTTTGATGCATTATTTTGAATTTTTTAAAGCATTAAAGTGTATTTTTGGGAAACAATTCAAAATAAGCGTTTGCTGACAACTTAACACTAAACATCTGATCTTTCATTGTTTAATTATTATTATCATAGTACTTTACTCCTCTTCATTTTCTTAATAGTAGGCATGTAAAGTATGAAAATCCATTACTGTTGGCAGGTTATGAAATAAATAGAAGTTAAGAACAATCTGAGCACTCTTTTTCTCCCTTCTACTTTGATTCCTTGAACTTCTTTTCCATTTCATAAATCTTTATTACTCATACTAGTGATTAATCTTCAAAAAATATCCAAAAAAATTATTATAGGCTCTAGAAAGTAGTAAAAAAGGCGAAATATGTTGGATTAACATAAAAGAAAATTCTCTGCAGAGAATAGCAGTAATGTAGAAAAAGAGACGGAATGGAAGTGAAACAGATCAGCAGCAGTGGCTACAAAGAAAGTAGCAGTAATGTTGTAGATATAAGTTTTTTAGGCACTACGTCCAAGAAGAGGTTCACATCGACGGTTATGTATGCGCTAGATTCGGACAGAACGTAAGTTCTCGTTTATACCGCTCCTGCAGTAGCAAATATGCCAGACCGACAGCACTCCGGAAACTCAGAGGCTTATGAATACAAACACATCAACACCTGTTTGAGCATAGGTACCCAAGGCCTTGCGTTCTCTCGGATAGATCGGACGTCCCGAAGGTCTCATCCATCCCAGGTAGTGGGGTAACCCCTAACCTCTCCCTTGATTTCTGCGGCTAGGGCTGCAGCCCCTGACCATATCGTCAGGCGTCGACTTCAGATGTATCTATCTATCCTTCACCCCTAGTTCCCGGAACAGCAACGCTAGCCCATAGTTTCCCCATATGAATTCCCATTACCGTGGCATAAAAAGTAGCCCGACATCGGACGACGTCTGGTTCTTTTCATGAAGGCTGGGTTGACAGAGAGTGTTGCTCCCATGGCGAACATCACGAATCCCCTCTACAAAATACTAACTGATCAACCTGAAATCTGAAAGAGTATGGAAATCCTGATAGTCTAAATAGATGATAAAATGGGTCAATTTCAGCAGATATTAAGAACGCTCTGAACCGAATAATGCGATAAGAAAAACAGATGAGGCTGAAAAATGAAAAGAACGAGAATAATTATATAGAGGAGGATAAGAAAAATAAAGCATACTTAACAAGCACTGCACAGAATACAAAAATAGACAATGTATTGCTATAAGAAAAACGGCAGTTGTATAAAGAAACAATCCAGCTTTTCTAGTGGCTAATGAAGGAGGATCTTGTCAACCTATTCTAATAGTTATGAAAATTGCAAAATTCGGTTTACTATGGCTGTTAAATTAGCATAGAATAGCATAAGCTTCAAATTTCATCCTTTGTAACATTTGACGACGATTGATACAACTACTATTCACCACAATTTTATCTACGAAGAGAGTTCTGAAGAACCTTATTGAAGTCTGAAATTTCCTCTATCGACAAGTCTAGGTTCAAGCTAAAATATGGCTTTCAAGGAAGTAACTAGAACCATCAAGAAATATTACAAACAGATGAGGTAGGCTTTCCAATTGTCAAACAGAACTTTGTTTCTAGCTCTGGTAGTATGAAAAAAAAAGTAGCATTGCTAATTGGTAAACCGTTGAACGATTGAAGATCGTTTCGTTTTAAACACAAGTTGTTCGTGATAGGATCGTATTTTAATTGATGTCAGTACTTACTTATGCAATGAGCAGGGACAGTGATGTTTACACTGAATAAGTATATCATGTAGTAGCAACCGTAAGAAAGTGAAATCGAAATAGAAAGCTTAGTAATGTAAAAATATATGGATAACCATAGAATAATATATGTGCAAAATATACTATTGAAGTAGGTTACTTCAATAAATTGATAGCGGATTATACTCACATCCCCTATGGATTTGCAGTAGTATTACTTATGATGGAGTATTATGGTAACGATGGTAACTGCTATATTCCTAGAGAAACGCATTGAACAGGCGATAGGCTCCTCAGCCAAGAACTGAGCTTGATTTTTATGCTCAAGAGCTCTATACTTTGTATCTCATCCGTTATGAAACCTTGACGATCCGATATCCTCTCACTTCTGAACACGCTTTTGTAAAGTTATGGGTTTATAAGAACCTTGATAGCGTATACAATAGCTATATAAAATCTCAAAAGTTAAGGTCTTTTGTCGCGATTTTCGGCTGAACGCTGTAAATTAATGTTCAAATATTATACTGCCTGTTGTAGTTGTGTTTGCAAAGTGGCTGAGCTCAGTAGTTGTGAGTGCTGCTGAAAAAGATGCTACTGTAGATGCAAAAGCGACAGCCATCAAAGCTTTTACTACCTTTTAATTGGCTTCCAAAAGGGTGCATTCAATTTTTTGTTTAAAGCTGCTCAGGTGGCTCCAATGTCAACTATAAAATACACAATGTTACTTTAGAATCGCTCCTTTTGCGGACTATATTTGTTCACCAAAGCATCATGAAAGACGCTTAGAATGTCGGCTGCTTAAACAAACAACAACTCCTGGTATTGTTTAATCTTCAATGTTTCCTACTTCAACTTGTTGGTGGAATTGAGCGTTCACATGCTTTTGGCATTTTTTTAATGACTTGATAAAGTGTCTCAACCAGTAGTTTTGTACTTTATATCTTTTAGATGTTTGACTAGTTGGGGGCCCCTGTCAAAATCTTCATAAAGCACTCTTCTCTGTATAGGTATTGATGTAGTTGTGCCCTTTTCGCTCAAATTTCTTTCTGTCTTCTTATCATGATATCCATGCTCTAACAGAGAATTAACAAGATAAAACGGATAATAGATAAATTGTACAATCACCCATGGTTTGGCTTTCTCTTAACAGTGATAAACATTTCTTCTGAGTACGTCAAGCATCAAAATGCATAATTCACTTTTTAAACTACCGCAAAATTGTTCGAGTAACGTACAAATTTAAAAAAATTGGAGGTTTTGCACTCTTTTTCGTTTCCATCTGCTTTTTCGGAATTATAATTCCAACGTTAAGCATTGAGCCAGTGTAAAACATGAAAGAAATAGGAACAGATTATCCTTACAGAGCAACCCTACAATGCTTTTTGGATACTTTAAAGCTTCCCTTTCCATACTACGATTTGACTCAACCAAACAACCTCATAGATCTCTATACGAGCACAGATCCGTTCGCATTTGCCATGCGGTTAGTTTCTGTCCTTACACTTATCCACTATGTAGTATCAGAAATTACCAAAAATTACAGTCAAGTTGGTAAATACTACTTTAATTTTAAATACCTTGTTCTTGCATGCTTATGTTTTAATTTTCAATTTATGCTTATCTTATAGATAAGTCGTGGTCGATATTGCCAGTGGTTTATGCATGGCATTTCACATTACATCATTATTTCAACCATGGATACTTTCATCCACGACTTTTATTAGCCACTATATTAATCACTCTATGGGGAAGCCGCCTTACTTATAATTTTGCTCGGTAAAAGGATAATGAAGTATATTGATATTGCAACTAACTGCTTGGAATAATCTGCTTTCATGCCTGCTATAACTCTCACACTATTGTTATGTATATCATTTAGGAAAGGAGGCTACCGCTGGTCAGGTCAAGATTACAGATATCCATATCTGCTTGAAAAACTAGGCAAAACTAAATTTGCTCTACTCAATTTGACACTCATCGCACCTTTCCAAGATTTCCTTCTCTTATTCATGGTTTCTCCATTGTACATCATTTACCAGTTTGACGCGTTTACTCTCACAATGTCAGATATTGTAGTCACGATAGTCTTTCTGGGGTTTCTATTATTGGAAACAGTAGCGGATGAACAGCAATATGTTTTTCAAACTGAGAAGCATGCTTTATTAAATCATGTTGAATCAAAAAACCAACTGAAAGGCGATTACAAGCTTGGTTTCTTATGGCATTCTGGCATATTTCAATACAGCAGGCATGCTAACTTCTTTGCAGAGCAGTGTATGTGGTGGACCATCTATCTGTTCTCCCTTGTAGCGACGACTCAGTATGAAGGAAAGAGTTTTCTTACTGTTCAGCATTGGATGAATTGGTCGATCGTAGGTCCGTTTGTACTGACCCTACTATTTCAAGGCAGTACATGGCTTACGGAGGTAATAATAAACGAAAATCATTGTATTTTTACATGGTCAACCCTAAAGCAGAATTTCTTCCTATTTCCCGTATGTAATTTCTTGATCTTAAATGACAACAGAAAATTTCTTCCGAGAAATATCCAGAATACGCGGCCTACTGTAAGGCTGTGAATAGGTTCGTGCCTTGGTTTCCTGAGTCCCACTCGCAGAACGGAAATACTAGTAGCAAGAAAAATATTTAATCGGTTAATATATCTTTAACCTCGTGCAAAAATATACGTAACTCTGTTTCTATTTAACACATTTCCGGTTTAGAGTATCACTCTTAACAATTCAAATACTCCGTTTAGTTCTGTATAAGAACAATAACAATGACTGATTAATCAACCACAAAGAGAAGATTGATAAAATATGCATTTAGGTTTCCTTGTACTTAATCTCGTCATCATTTTAGTTCCTCTCCTATTCTCGTACAAAAACTTTATATTAAAAGCAAATGCTTCTTGAACAACTCTTGAAAGGAAAACCTAGGTTTCTCTCAATTTAATGAGACACATCTTGCCAAAAAGGTATACTAGCTGTAGTAAATTGCTGGGCATTTATGGTTGCAGACGTGTAAGATGACACGCATGGTATAAAAATTAGAATAATATTGTAATTTACGGCAATCGCACAAATAACCCGCTTCTTTCACGTCCCCTGCCAATTTGGATAGATGTCAAGATTAAATTTTCTTTTTTTAAAATCGAATTATACGTTTATCCTTTGGTTACTTTTGGCTGCAATATCTGAGATGTTCATCTAGAAACAATAACATGCATGCCATCGTAGTTCTTACTGTTTGCCTGGTATATTATATTGACGAGGGAATTGTCGCGTTAGACCTTCTGGCAATACTACGTATACAAACGTGAAAATGGTTGTCTAAAAAACGAAGGAACTCTCGAAAATATATTTTTGGTCAACTGGGAGAAAATGGAAGTATTGAAAGGGATATAAAAGATCAAATTAAAATGTGAGTATTTTTTAGAGGTGTTGAAAGGGGCAAAATACACATCGAAAACTATGACTAATATTAAGGAGTGAAGGGCATATCTGGAAAATACAGCAATATCCATGTCTACTTTTTTGCTTGGTTTACACATGAAAGCTTTGTAAAAGATAAATATCAACACTAAAACCGATATAATTACATTATTTAGCTATACGATATAGCATTATACACATACACATACATACATACATCCATTAAGTGCATATACAGTGTGATGTTTTAAGCAATAAAATAAAAATACTTCACCCACCATTCTGCGGCAACATTGGTATATAAGTGCTGTTACTATTAGACGCCACACGCCACTTTTTGCACAGAAGGTGGTTCTGCTAGTAAGGTCGGCGACGATGACAAAGAAGAGTTATCTAATGTCATCTGTAACTGAACTCCAGGCGGGGGGCTCTCTCCAAAGCCTTTGTTACTATTTCCATTGTGTAATAGAGCGGGATTGTGCGCAACGGTAGAGGCTGAGGATGACAATGTAGTTGACGTTATCGAGGAGAATTTACTGCTGTATGCAGATTCCGGTGTAGTAAGTATCCACTTGTCAATGGCATTAGCGGTTATTTGAGTGGTATAGGCTGATGAATGATAGGGATAAATATTATGCGGATTGTGGTGTTGATCATACAGTCGATTGTTATTATTATTCCATTCAACTTCTGCTTCTTGAAGCTCCTTGTGCCTCTTCTCAAAAGACAAAGATTGTTCTGAACGTTTTAGTCGTCCAATACGATTCTCTGTAACTTTTCGCCTGATACGATTACAATTAAGGATAAGGCAAATAACTATCAATAGCAGCACCACTGTTACGATGGTAAAAGAACCCCAAGTGCTCGTTGGTATCCGCTCTGATGTTGCACGCCCTAATCCCAGGGTCAAATTTGACTCTGCTTTGGCTGCTGTTGTGTGATTCTTTGAATTGAATCCAGCGACTTTATGCGATGCAGTTTTAATATGCTGAGTAGGGTCATCCGATACAGCAAACTTATCTTGTGGCAATGACATTATTACACTCGAGGGATTTAGTGATTACTGGTTTGATTTTTCAACGCCAAGATTTATGATTGCTAAAAGGAAGAGGGAAGAAGATTAAAGAAGGATTCTTAGTATACCAACAGGAATGAAACCTTTTTCTTCAATTATATACTATTGCATTAAATAGGGGCGAGAAGATACAGTGTTTTATATCGTCGGTACCTGAATCTGTAATCGTGTCTTCGCAAAACACTTTAGATATAAGCTACAGATTGAGGGGTCAAATATGGAGATAGCTATCATGATAAGCAAAGGGCATTTTTCAACGCCTGCATTGACTGAAAACCAGTCATTCATTCCTGAAGGTAATTGGAATTACGAAGTAATTGCTATAAAGCTCGTATTTTCTTTGTATAGTTACTAACAGAGATCTCAAACATCTAAATCGGAAAAAAAAACTTTTATTTATTCATAAAGATCATAGGTAACAGTAAAATCTGTATGAGAAAGGGGGAGGGGACGGAAAAGTTGTTCTTTTTGATCATCGCATAGTAGGCATAGATACAGAAGCCCGTGAATGGGAGGAGTCACTTTCCTTCCATAAAGATGTAACGGTTTTAGGCTTAGTATAGAAGTGCAAACCACTCTTACCATAGAAGTTCATATCTCCTAGGATAGAGCCTCTACTACCTGTGAAAGAGAAAGGTGGAACAGGGACAGGAATAGGAACGTTGATACCGACTTGTCCAACATCGATCTCATGTTCAAATTTACGAGCAGAAGGACCGGAATTGGTGAAAACAGCTGTGCCATTACCATAAGGATTCTTATTGATCAATTCTATCGCTTCATCCAATGTGTCAACGTTCAAACAGACCAAAACAGGGCCAAAGATCTCCTCACGATAACATTCCATATGTGTCTTTACATCTGTCAATAAAGTAGGACCGACAAAGTTACCCTTTTCATAACCCTTCACAGTAACACCACGGCCATCTAGTAGTAAGTTAGCGCCTTCATTGGCACCACTTTGAATGAGTCTCTCCACACGTTCCTTTGACTGGACGGTAATGAGAGGACCAACGTCTGTATCAGGATCCATACCATAGCCCACCTTCAAGTTACGAGCACGTTCCGCTAACTCAGGTAACCAATCTTTTGTCTCGCCAACACAAATGAGGGTACTAAGAGCCATACATCTTTGACCAGCAGCACCGAAAGCAGCGCCAGCAATTGCATTCAGAGCAGCCTGTTTGTTGGCATCAGGAAGCAAAACAGCATGGTTTTTAGCACCCAAGTTTGCTTGAACACGCTTACCATTAGCGCTACCACGGCTGTAAATATGTTCACCTGCACGATCAGAACCGACGAAAGAGATAGCTTTGATCTGAGGCTCATCACAAATATAGTTGACGCAGTCAACAGAACCATGAACAACGTTCAAAACACCATCAGGAATACCGGCTTCAGCAGCAATCTTTGCCAGCATCATCATGGCTCCAGGGTCACGTTCAGAAGGCTTCATGATAATGGAGTTACCGGCAGCAATAGCCAAAGGGAACATCCAAAGAGGGATCATCGCAGGGAAATTGAATGGACAGATACCAGCAACTACACCTAAGGGCTCACGGTACATATCTATTATTGGATGGCCACTTGGTCAGTATATATCCACGTATGAAAAACGCTCGATGTCTGCCCGTTTTGCACCTTTCTCTCTTTTTATCCCTCTTTATTTTTGGGTTACGTACAAGTTTCCATATCCTTAGCTACAGTTAATTTCTCGCCCATCAAATGTGTGGTAAGTGCACATGCTTGTTCAACAACTTGAAGGCCACGGAAAACATCACCCTTAGCGTCCGCAAATGTTTTACCCTGTTCTTGAACAATGTTTTCTGCAATCTTGTCTTGATTTAAGCGGATCAAATATTGCAGGTCCATCATAACTCTCTGACGAGCTAACACAGTTGTTTGTCTCCATTTTTTAGCTGCAGCCGCGGCAGTTTCAGTAGCTTCTTTTAATTCATCTTGTGTAGTTTCAGGAACGTAACCGATCAATTCTTGGGTAGCCTATTATCAAATCACAAGAATTTAAATTGTTAACAGAAACTGCTCTCTTCACTTTACGACTCTAAAAGTTAGGCGCTGCATCTCGATAACCCATATCTCATTAGTAGGCAATGCCAGTGACTTACAGGATTACGAAGTTCAATCCAGTCATTTGTTTTTGAGTCTGTAAATTTGCCATTGATATAGTTTTTGACAGTTTCAACACCAGATACTCTTTGCAAAAGTGGTAACTGAGTGCTGAAGGTTCGTCGAGCGAACGGTGCTGTTCTAAAATCAGAGTAAACACGTTGTTAACATCCTTATTATGTATAATTTCTTTCCCAAAGGGCCTGTCAATAGTAATACCTCTTCAAATATGTAGACGAGTTCTTTAAAGAGGCTGAAAGCATCCTTTGCAAATATAAGAAAGTAAGATAAAGTGTGAGAAAAACTGGATTTTTAATAACGAAAAGCCCGTTTTATATGAGAACAATCGAGTTTTCGTTCCTGTTATTCGGAACCTTAAAAAACTGCTGTTGTTCAAACAGATTGTAAGCATTACATGCGTACAGTATGTATGAACAACAGTGGAAAGTATTATTATCTACATGCGTTCCGATTGACGAGTTGGAGCGACATGTCATTGCAGTATATGGTAAGCTTTTGTCCAGTGTGAATGTGCTCCATTTAGACATGATTTATAACGGTCCTTTTTCCATTATACATATACGGCTGAAGCAGGCTTGCCTGGTGGGAAAAGAAACTTTGATCAATCATTTTTTGCATTACAAACTTCAAACGAAGCGACACAAATTTCAATTGCGGGCGATCGTGACCGCCTCGGAATAAACATAGGGAGTTGGTCTTCCAAAGTTGGCAGTTTTTTCATTTTCAGTAGTTATCTCTTAAGAAGGGATTGTCTGTATCACTTGTTGTTACAGGGATAAAAAAAATAGAAAGTTTACATTCGACGCTTCCTAGGGCAAAAACAACTTCTTTAAGTAAAGATCTTCCAGACTTGTTTACATGGTCTTGAAAAGAAAAGCGAGGGGATAATTCTACGTACCTAGGATGGGCACTCGCAATGTGTGATAATCGTATGAATCATACTGACAAAGGAGCTGCTACTATTAGTTATAAGAACGTCAGAAGATCTGCTATTGATGCGTTAGCCTTTTCTTTCTTTACAAGATGAAAGATTTTAAATGTGCTTTTCTTCAATTTTCAGCAAAATACCCTCTGTCGAAAAGGTTTGAAGACTGATAAAGGATATGTTACCTTATCAGCGAATTTGCTTACAAGACACGATGTAATCCAATTTGTAAGCTTTCGATATACGTGCAGTAAATAGTACTTAAGAACTTAAGCACTTTAACGTACTCAGTCTACCCTTTGAGATCAAGCCATCTCCCAAGTTTTAAGGCTGCTTTGCTGTAATTTATCGTATGCAAAAATCACCGCGCTAGGAACTGCAATTAGGATATGTAGAAGCCAATGCTCACCTATCACAAAAAATGTCGCACCGCATTATCAACAGCACAACAAGTGTTACAGAACTCCAGCAGCATTTGGAAGCATCACTTTTTAATAGTTATGGAGACATGGCGGTTTAAGATTGAGCGGCATAAATACATTCTTTGATCAATTGAAAGTCGCCTGCTCCTACTCTTGTTAGCAAGTCCGATATTCAATCAATGGAGTGGGCGGGGGAGCGTTCTTCAAATTCATGAGTGAGTCTCGTATATTGTGGGATATTTTCCCCACAAAGCTAAAGAGTTATAACATGTATAAGAGAAAAACTAGAGAATGAAGATAATGATAATGCTAATGTTTGAATGTTCAATGGAAATAGATTGCTTTTTTCCAAGCGAAATATGGCTGCATATATATAAAATTGTTATTCATGAGTAGTATCAATATGCAAAATGAATGTTTATTATTTTGGGGAGAGGAGAGGAGCAAGATATGGGTATTGCTAACTAGTAAGCAGAAAGACCGATGGGGGTATTGTTAATGAGGAATGAAGAGCTCACATCGTTAGAGGTAGAAGTATGCAGCATGCATATATTTAAAATTGTTGTTAATTTCAGCTTTAAACGGTCAATCTGTCAGTATTGATTTTCAGGCTTTCTGCCTAAGGTTTTGTTTGTTCTCTTTATTCGCCTTAACCATTTATCAGCCTTCATCATGCATAATAGCTTTTCATGCGTCTGCTTAACATGTTCCACCATTTAATACTGGGGTTTTTTTTCCCGTTTGGCGATTGAAAGGGTCCAAGCTATTTGACAAGAATACTTCATCGTTTAAACGTATACAAAGTATTTTAAATGAATTCTTTCAGAAATTAATGAAAGGTATTCCAGTTATTGGAAATCAAAGCAGGCATCAATTTGATTCGTAACTATCATTTTGTGAAGACGTGGAATTGATATTAAGAATGCTATTTGAGAGCAATCCGATAGTAATAATGATGATGTAAAAGCTCTAGTATACACAATTGAAAACTTGAGCGGATAAAGAAGCAGTGAAGCGCGAAAAGAACAGCAAACGAACATGGCCAATACCATCAGCAATTCGATAGTGCCAGTATCCGTATCACTTTATTCTGCCCCTCTTCCTTCCCTTTTTTTCTTTTTTATAAATTACATAAAATGGCATGAAAGACTTTCTTTGTTCCCCCATATCTATACTGTTAATATAAACATTCGTATGATTAGAAACAAAAGGAAAATATCCTGTAAATATTCTCACTTTCGTTAAGGCAGAAAAAAGGGAGATGCCTGCTGACAAAAATGATATATATTGATACATATTTGGCTTGTAAAAACCAAGGAAAAAGGAAAGTAGTGTACGATAGTAATACTCGGAGGCTGGTGAATAACAAAGGTACTGTTCCAAATAATATTTTGGAAATTGGGAATATGTGTTATTATTATCCTACATTCTTCAATCATTGTATTCACCCGTTTGCTCCATATCAACGCCAAATTGTTCATAAGTAACCTTATAACGTAGGCGTAATTGTTCCTAAAGAAGAAGATGTATCAGTGCAATCAGATTTAGCTTCTTGCATCTTTTTGACTTGTATCTTACCCTTTTAGGATTATCAATAGTAATAGATTGAGTAACTGTTTTATCTGATTTCGGTGGAACAGACATAGCAGAGACTGGACCCATCTTCAAATGCATTGACTATAATAAAAAGACTTTTTTGGTATTGCAGCTTTAAAACTTTTATAAACTTTGTGATTTACCTTTCTAGCTGCAAGAAGTAGAACCATTTTATCCATGGGTGCAGTAGATTTATTTGAATAATAAGCTGTCATTTTCCACACATCACCCATTGAATGAACGACCAATTGTACATTAAGCCCATTCTTATTGATAAGTTCAACTGTTATTGTTATGAGAATTTCCTTCTATTAGAATAGAGACGATGATAAATGTTTATGAAGGGCACTTACTGGTCTTTAGAATTTTATCCTGTACTAATGATGTATGAGAAGCTGAAACGGGGCTATTCTGGTAATTAGAAACTGTAGGACTAGGACTAGCAGCAGAGGATGCCACCTTATTGTTATTGGATTGTGCTGGAGCAGATAGTAATTCGAAAGGATCAGTCGAAGTTGTTCCAATTGCCATGACCGTGTCTTTAGCGTTGGCAGATGGTTGATTCTTTGAGATATTTGCTTTTTCTCCAAAGATATCATTTAATTCATCCAAAGCGTTCTTTTGTGCAGAAGAGTATCCAATAGCAGATCCAGATGAAGATGGTTCTGGTGAATTGTTAAAGTCATCCAAGTCAATCAAACTGATCGCTTGAGGAGGCAAATCCTTTTCTGGCATCATTGGATTGTTGGCTTCAGTGAGGTACTTTCCACTGACATCATACTTCGTATCATATCTGCCTTGCTTCACATCGTGATATTTTAACATGACGCCTTTCACGATCGACTTGACTTCGTTCAATTCTTCAATCTTTTCACTGTCCTCTTCCTCCTTTAACAAGTTTTTGATCTTTGATAACGCGCTCTCACAAGCATTTCTTAATTCTTCCATAGTACCCTCTTCCTCAATCACATCTCCTTCCTTCATGTTATCTAACATTTCATACAGTAAGCGTGCCTTATTCTGTATCTTATGTAATTCCTCTGCGAATTTCTCTTTGAAGTTTGTCTGGTGTTTCTTATCCTAATCATTGAATTATTTTTTGTTAATCATACTGATACAAGGCACTTCTAAAGTTTATGAAGAGTTATAATTCCTACATAACCCGTCATTATCTTCATCAACTTATTTGCTTCCACGAGATCTTGTGGTCTTCCTCTTCTGATCAACTCTTGTAATTTCTAGAATAGTATTGACCAATGTGAGTATGCATATAAAATATGTTCGATCCATCACTGATCTTACTGCAGATTTTGCTTGTCTATCTTCTTCTTCTAATTCTTGTTCAGACTTCAGCGTCTGATTATAGAATGCCAAATTAATCACTCAACAACTTTGAATGGATTATTACATTTTTCTTCTTCAAAGACTTACTTCTGGTGGCGCTAAAGCAGCAATGGATGATTCACGAATCTCGGGGAATTGATACCCTTTGTATTTCAGCAATCGATACATATCTTTTATGTGCACCATATCTTCGCGATATCTTGATAATTCTGCTAATGCTACTTTCCACTCCTTAATCAAATAGAGTATACGATCAATGACTGGGTTGGCCATAAATTGTTGAGGCGGCACATAGTCAAAGTGATTCCATTGATTTTCTGGAGCTGATTGAACAGGATTGGGCGCATAACGAGCAGGTGGGCGCTCGGGAAATCGGCGCACAAGCGCATTCAAGAATTCTTTCGATGCAATTTGTAAGTGAAATGGATACCCACAATTCTTTACACAATTATCCAATAACTGCATGAAAACATGATTAACAAAAAATTGAAAGTGAGATTCTGCTCTTCAGGCGAGAAGACTTCTTTCCTTTGTCAATTTACAGTGAGCGCCAACATAGCCTGGTTCATCTTTGTGCTATTGACGAGTCGAACTATGTTTTGTGCTGCTGCACGTGGCCTGAATATGAAGCAGTGGCGTTAATTGAAACCTTTCATACAGAATATTTGATTAAGCATGTTATCTTTGTGCTTGCACTGTAAGACTGAAATCAATACATACGCAGTCCCCTGTTTCTTATTGATCGTCTCGCATATCTCAAGATTAAGCGCAAGATTTGGATCATATCGAGAAGGACTACAAGCTCTTTCTGAAGAGATAAATGCGAATCGTGCTTTAATAATCTTATCAAAGTTTTTGAAAGTGTAAAGTTCAGTTTTTCAAAGATTACCAATTAAACCGTTCAAAGAATAACCCATCCTCTTAAAATATACGTGATGATTTCGCCCAGAAGATAAATGATAAGATACTCAGGCAAAGACAGGAAAGAAAACAGAAAAGGATGAAAAACAGGTCAACAAAATAAAAAAAAAAAAAAAAAAGAAAAACTTCAAATTTCCAGAAATCGTTTCCGGGGATCTTTCGGTGCGATTGGCTGGCAAAAGAACAGAATTGCCCAAAAATTAGTCTGCATAGTTTCATGGTGCAAAGCACATGATGTTCAGTGATACACTTTCTTTTTTTTTTGTTTTTTTTTGCTGTGTATCTACAGGTATTTTCACATGTGACAGTAACAATTTAACCGCAATATCCTGCTAATTTTCCACCATAAAATCCATCTTCTTTCTCGAGGAAATATATAGCAATAAGAAATGTCTTCCGCTGGAAAGCTATTCTTTGCCAAAAGTTGACCTAGCAATAGCCCAGCAATTGCCCAACGGCAAATATGCAAAGTGACGTATGCTTATATCGTTCAGAAAAGTTAGCAGTGAATTTGTCCGTTATACATCGCATCCACTTATTTCACCCGCCCTAAAGTGTCTATCCACTGAGCCGCCAACACTAAAATGTCCAAAAATTAAATCAGTCACAAAATTTAAAGAAAAGGTGGAAGCTTCGCACCTTTTCAGTTAAGCAAGTCAGCGAAGGAGTTTGTAATAAGTGCTCTGTGTTGAATTGATTGATTCTAAGGGAGTTGAACGCAGGCATCGCTGAAGCAAATAATGTATATGAGAGCCCTAATATACCGATTGTTTAGACGCCCAGGCCATCACAAGACTTGGTAGTTTGCCCATATTAACGGAGACGCAATTTAGTTTACGGAACGAAGAAGCCTTTGATAGCTTTCTATTATATTTATCCTTCAATCGTTAGACTTGTGTAGGGTTGGCAAGTTTAACTAGCAAAACATAGAGAGAGGTCGCGTTCCGTTCGTGTTTATGCTTAACGTATTCATATATCCTCTGCTCTAATGAAACCTTTCATTCTTTGGAGTCCAATACCTGTACCTCTACCACTAATGAACAGCAACGGTGGAGCATCTGCTCCTTCTTTTTATTCATATCGTTCGATCATAGCTTTCCAATTAGATCTTGCATTGCTCTCGAATAATAGCGTAAGACATTTTCATGATCATAAAGGATGGCAAAAGTCTTACATCAAGTATTAGATAGTGTAAGTCAGCTATATCTCTCTTAGTGTTGAGCCGAAATATCTTATAAATACCAATGTGATAACTCAGGTAAAAAACCTGAACGCCTATAGTGATGGTATCAAGATGATTCAAGCCATCAATATCTTAAAAAAAAAAATGTTCGATTCTATGTGGAATAGATAACCTTTTTTGAGAATTTCTATTATTCGAAATCAAATCCTTAACCTTACCATATATCCGCGGCATTGAACAATGGTCAATTCAGAGTAAGGTTATCTAAATTAGAAGATAATGCTTAATAACAAATTTAAGCGCAACACTTAATTCATAAGTCAGACATTATATTCCCGACTTCTAGGATAAGTTTATATTCGATATGCCATCTTGAGACGGAAGGGGAAATCTAGAGTGATTTATAGCTATCTCGCTATTACAATTACCCTCAAATGTTACAAAGGATCCATAATTTCTCCTCCTTGAATTCACCATGACATACGTTTTCGAAAAAGAAATTTACCTCCACGCATCGTATTGTAGCTTAACAATTCTCATTGTAACAGTCGATAATCTAAAAACTCGTTATTTATCGAGTATGCTATAATATTTTAGCTATTGTTTACTACCCTTATATTGTTTTGCAAAATGACAACGATTTCCTTTAGCATCAAAAATAAAGGATTGATGAGACGCATTCCAAAAATTTGCCATTGAGGCTCGAAAGATATTTACTGCAAATCGGATATCGAAAAGCTTACATAAGAAATAAAGCTAAAAAGCAATTGCCGGAATTGCACTTTTCACCGTCCTTTCACTCATTGCTATTATTTGGTTTCGTATACGAAAAATAATGGAAAGTGACGAGGAGTTTCATGACACAATTGACTTACATATAAGGTGGTCAGACAGACAAGACTTGGTGCTTCATGTTTCACCCGAAAGTACCATACATGATATAAAAGAAAAAGTAATTTGAAAAAACGAAGAGTACTAAGTTGACAACTAAAACTGATCGCCATTGTCTTGCTTTGACATCGCTGCCTTGCTCTCAGATCCGACAGTCTTCACCTACGATAGAAAGAAAATATATTCGATTAATTCATAATGGTCGAGTTTTGGAAGACTATAAATCTTTGAAAGAATACGGAGTAGGGAAGATAATTCGATCTGATTCTAAAGCTAAACTAGAACCGCCTTCACCAGTCTATTTTCACTGTTCCTTATCCGATTATAAACCAACTATACAAAATTCACAGAACGTAGGTAGATTTTCTTAGTTACGATGTATGAAGCAGCTTTCATGTGTTTGCCTAATTCTATAAATTGATTTAGAATTATCCTCAAATTATACCACCTACTGGCTTTGACAGATTAAGAGAAGCAGGATTTTCAGAGGAAGATATTCAAAACTTCAGAACACAGTTTCACAGATTTAATGGCACTGCGTTGGATGAATTACCAACAGAAGAAGCAAGAAATTTAGAAGAGCAGTGGATGGACAACACAGGAGAAACTTTACCTGATGGGAGTAAGTATTCTCTATAGTGAGTTTGATTCATAACATCTCCCCGTTTTGTTAATGCATAAATATTGTACGATTTTTCGTATAGCTGTGCAAGGAACATATAAAGAGATGATGTGGGGTTTAATGTTAGGGTTCTTTTTAGGCATTTTATGCCTATTTTGGTTTAAAGAATCGGTTTTTTCAAGACGCCATCAAATGGGCATTATAGCGGGCATCTTAATCAATATATCCTTTGGCGTACTTCATGTTTATTATTAATGTCAAACATTTGCATCTAATTGTAAATTTAAACCATTGTAAGGAAATAAAACAATAAAATACCTGTACATAAGAGCTATCATTGACTATTTGTATAGGAGAAGAAAAAACCATCACTTCGCTGACAATATGAAAACATATTCCGAATGTATACGCACACCTTCCCAAATCCAATTTCCTGAACTTTTTTCCTTTTCTTGCTGTATGTATTTAATAGTTTTTACGTGCGTTTGTTTACTCATACTTACGCTGCTCAGTATAGCTGCTCAACAGTTACATGAACTACAAGCATCAGTATTATCTTATGGAAAACTCAACTTACATAATCAAAAGAAGCCGAGAACCTTGTGGGCTGATCAGCTGTCAAAATTAACCTTACCGAAGTACTACTTTTGCCATTTTTACGTGATTGGTTTAGCAACGTCTGTCATCTGTCTGATCGAAATGCTAGCATGGACACAGTACAATAAACCGCTTTTATTGATCAGCTTACTACAGCGATTTGACAACGATGTTGGAAGTCGACATTTATCCTTACGCCAATGTACAGTGGGGTTTACCTTAATGACAATTCACCTCATACGACGTGTTTATGAGTCATTTTTGGTTGAAAGGCCTTCGAAAACTGCCACTATGCATTTTTCTCATTATTTAATAGGAGTAGGATTTTATGGTGCTATGGTGTTGGGCACGTGGTTAGAAGGCGCCTCCAATTTTGAAATATGGTCGCATCAATCGGCCAGATATGATAATGAGAGCCAACGTGATGGTTCTTTTGAGAATATAACCATGGTATTTTCCATTTTACTATTTCTCTATGCCACATACCACCAATATCGATGTCATTCTATCCTCGCCTCACTTCGTCAAAAATCCTCCGCATCTACGGAAACTACTGCCATCTCAAAAAACGGTTATTCTATCCCTAAAGGTGATTGGTTTGATATACTTGTCACCCCACATTATTTTGCAGACATCTTAATCTATGTTTCTCTCAATATCCTTTACCATTTCAACAATTACATATTTCTCTGTGGGCTTATCTGGACGATTGTCAATCTCTCCATCACAGCCAATGAAACCAAGCAATGGTATGTCAGACACTTCCAAAATGCATTTCCGAAAGACAGATATAGGATTATACCCGGCTGTTATTGATGGTTTTTGTCTCTTTTATTCCTAACTTCTATATTACAAAATTTTGGGTCTTCTTCATTGATACATAAAATCACACATTAACATTAATTGATAAAGAGCAACCTAATTGTGTGGAGAAAATTTCGTAATGGTGCCTGTAATGGTATCGCTTTTGCTTTTGGTTGTTTATTTGTTCTTTGTGAATCTGTAGTTGAATCGTTTTCTTGTGAATGAGAATTCGCCGAGTTTATGACCAATCATCTCTTCTGTCACTAATACTGGCATATATTCTTTTCCATTGTGTACTAAAAACTTCAAACCAACGAAGGAAGGTAGGATCGTGCAACTACGAGCTATGAACAGGTGTTGGAAAAGTTGAGATCAGACAGGCAAAGTAGAATTGTGTAAGTGAAAGAATGTCAGTCTAACCTTGTGTAGCAATGGGAGTGCCATTGGCAATAGCTTGCTTTAAACCAGGGAATGCTACAAAAAAAGGACCTTTCCAGGCTGATCGGGGCATTTGTTGTAAAAGATTGGTATATGTTAAGACGAAGCACGAAGTAAAATGGGAAAAAATGAGGGGTACAACAGTTAAGGCACCACACATGATTTTCTCTGCTGGAAATTATGTGTCAAACCCCGGCTTCTTGAATTTGAGCTTCTGATCAAAATCGCTCAAAAAGAAAAAGAAACTCTAGGAAATCCCTCTTTATTATCTATGCAGTGTAATAGAGTTGCTAGGCGGAATTATTAGGGCTGTTGTCAGTTATATAGCATTGTGATTTGTTTTTGCACACGGAGAAATAGGTTTCTATGATAGCTAAGGCATTCTCAAGTATACGGCTGAAAGCTCATGCGGTGATGCATGTCTAGTGAGCGAACAGAAGGAATAGAGAGGAAAATTGGTGTTCCGCATTTGCGCAAAGACTTCTAGATCTATGTAACTGCAACTTTCTTTTTCTTCTACTCACCTTTTTACAAGTGTAAGCTACACTCTTCTACTCTATAAAGTAATGAACTCATTGTATAATAATGCATTAAAACAGACACACGCTTTACAAAGAGACTTGGACAGTAAGGTTCAGGATTTTTTTTTTTCTGCAGTAGTGTCAGTACTGCAAAGTAAGGGCGCAACTAATCTCTCATCTACTTTAGAGTTTCAATCAGGTCAAGATGCTTCAGCAGGATTGCAAGGTAAAATAAGATAAAATACCGCTGTATGTTTCTTTCGTCCATCATATTCAAGACAGCAATCTGGAAAATACTTGTTATATATTGCTGGTATCATCTGCTAGGTCAAATATCTGCCTCTTTTAATAGTTTACAAAGGTCTATAGAAGATTATGAAAATATTGCAAAGCGAGAGCTCATTCCAGTCAAAAAGGAAACAGCCTTAACGTAGGTCGAAACAATTTTTAGGGTAAAGGTTTAATGTATATTCAACCATTTCTCCACCTCGTTGACCTGCCAAAAAACTTAGACGAGTTGCAAAGTTCAGGCATGATTTGCAGGAAATGAAAACACGTTTTGAGGCAATAAAAAAGCAACAAGAGAATTTGAAAAATGAACAAAATCGAGATAACTTATTGAGAAGAGCTAACAGAGGCAGTGGCGGCAACAATATTGTAGGTTACATTTATACTGTTGGGGCGGCATGAGGATTTTAAGCGAGACTCGAGAAATAGTACACGTTGAAGGGAACAATTTATACGAACTATACTTGATTTTTGTTCTATTTAGCCTGAACATCCATATCAACCTTTATCAAGAGATGAATTTGCTTTTCGTGAACAAAATTTTGTCAGAAACACAGATTCACAATTGGACGAATTCATTGGCCAGGCACAAAGTTTGCTAGAGAACTTAACAGATCAGCATAATATATTGAAGGTAAACACAGAAGTAAAATCATCAAGTATATAGAGAGAAGAATATTTATATGAAGGTTTGGATTGTAGAAAACACAAAAGAAAATATTGGATACAGCCAATTATTTAGGGTTATCCCAGAATGCCATTCGATTCATTGAAAGAAGGACATCTCAGGATAAATGGATCTTTTATGGAGGCATGGTATTCACTGTTTTTTGCATCTGGGCCATTATTCATTACATTGCATAAATAAAGGAACCGCTGTACCCTCTATTGCATAATCCAACCTAAGCTGTTGAAAGGTAAAAGAGAGCGCTCACATGTCGGTGGCCCTTTAGTGACAACGGCAAGCCTAGAATGTGAGCTTATTTTTCTAACTTCATAGCTATCTCCCCGCATTGATAACCATTTGATTTTTTTATTACATTATATTATTTTGTGAAATTTATTTTAGGACGTAAACACTTCACTTTTTTCGAATAGTTGATTGGCTTTTTTTCTCCTCTATGGTGAACTTAGTTAACTATATCTTCTGTACTTTTCTTATGTCAAACTACCTTGCTATACTTTTGTCTTTACCATTAAAAGTGTAGTATTAGCAAAGTAACCCAACTCATACAGAACTTGATACAAGACTGCAAGCAGCTTTTCTAATGGATGCCTTACCAATACGAGCGTGGAGTAAATAGTACAATTTATAATGTGTTAGATAAAGACAAGTGAATAAAGTTGTTTTCGTAATATTTATCCATCAGAATGTTACTTATATGCCATCGGTATGAAGACTACGGTCTTACATTGCATACACGAGCTGGAAGCAATTACCCAGACACTGAAAGAGGAAATAGTCTTTTACGCCGAATAATGGGTTTACTTGATTTCTACACGATACTGTGCATTTACTAATGTTGGTATTAGTGCAAGTAACCTATCTGTTATCCATTCATTGTATTATATAACAACGACATTCGAATATAGCACATAGCTAATTTATCTTATCTTTACAAGTACAGGAGATTTTGTCACAGAGACTGTTTCAAACGCCACCACTAGCTTTTAGTTGAATTACTTCAAAATTGCAAGCGATCCAATAAATCTGAACCACAGTAGGTTTAAACCCTACTCCATTATTGAGACAAATATGCTACACTGCAGATGCTTACTTGGGACAATATGTAGGGGCATTTCATTTTAAGCTTCTCTAAGTTGTTATGATATAAGGATATGTAGAGATGTAATTTAGCAAAAACTCAGGTCCGCTTTGGTATAAGTACATTTCGAACTAATGATTCTTTGAGTAATCACTTGGTACTGAAAAACTTCGAAAGAGGGCTTACAAAAAAAAAGATACATGTTATTCGAATTGTCAATTCTGATACTGAATAAGTCGACTATTTTAAGTAAAATCGATCAATAATTGTGTCTTCTTTGTATATGTTGAATAATAAACCAAATTAATGAATTTGTAAAGGAACACTATGCTTGTTGTCCTTTTGAAGCTAGTTCTACTCAAGTACTGCTAGTGCTCGTATAGGTTTTACAGCTCACAAAAAATTCATATACATAAGATAATAGTAGTAGCTACTTATCGAAATGAGTAATTGGTCATGACCACATGTTATTTAACAGTTAAAAGATTATGTTATACAAAACTATAATTGCGTACAAAGATCAGCACCCATAACTGAGCAAAAGCGTACACTTTGTGATGGCTATATTGATCTATACAATAGTTCTGGTACGAGACACTCTTTTCCTTTCTTTCTTTTTTAACCTTCTTTTTTTGTTTTCCTGGTTTTTTGACGGCCGGTGTATGAGTACATTCCTTTCCACCCTCGTGGTGACGCTAAGAGTGTTTTCAACGTCTAATTCACCACTTGAACATAATGATATCACATTTTTCATATTACTTTCTGCTGATCGATAACGAAATACTTCGATAACAAAATAGGGGAATTCTTCAGTCTAATAGATGACAAGCAAAACAGCAACAGTAAAGGAAGATACTATATTAGACTTCTCTCTCTGTAATGTTTCATACATTTGTAGGACCATCATTGAGCGTATACGTGTTCATCTAATATTGTCTATATACATAGTATCGCAGTAGTGGTGTATACCAAAAGCAGCTGAAATCGGAGTATATAGTTACCTCAGTACTCGGATCTCGTTGAGGTTTTATACATTTACTTGGCGCGATTCAAGAAAATTTTTATCCCACGATAATTTGTAGGCATACGTTCTAGTAAGAAAGGATTACTTACATAAGAATAAGGAGGCTTTTATCGTTAGACTGTTTGGAGGTCGCGTGACAAGAAGAAAATTTTCTTATAAAAAGCCCCCATGTTTTCTCTTTGGAGGTCTCTTTTCTTCTCTTCTTTTTTCATACATTAACGGCCTTCGTTTACTTATATCCTCTGTAACGCTTGCTCCTCGGCTTTGGCGGCAGTCTACTACAAACTCTGTTCTTTATTCCCATTGATCTTGTTCTTAATTGACACCGGCAGACCATAGGACAGTTTCACTGGGCCTTGTAAATCCCTCTGCCGCTAGTGTTGGGGTTGAGCGGTCATCTGTCGTGTTCTGGGATCCTAACACTGAAGAACGGCGGTAGATTGTTTGTCATTGCCTTCACACCTTCCCCTTTTTTATGTTTCCCCTCATGTACCACTTGGTTATCAAGAGTTGTTTTGTCTGTCTGAAGCTTTAATCATAATCGCGAAGCGCTTGGCGAGGGGAGCAAACCGAACACCTGCTTTTTTGCAGAGTACCTTTTATGACCTAGCTTAGGACTTCAACTTTTATAATCCAAGCCTCTCCACGTTCCATAGTTTTCTTTCTTTTGAGCAAGTGTTACATTTTTTAAGGATTATGAGGAAACCTCAGGCCAAGATTCCCATATTTGCTTATCTAGTTTAAATGGTTAAAACAAGAGTAATTAATTTTACTCTTATTCAGGTTCGAGTCCTGGGATAAGCTAACTCAATGCTATCATTTACATATTCCTTTTTGTCATGGTCTTATTTCTGCTACTGTTTTCAAATGCTTTCACGTGAAAATAACTGTTTTTGTGTGTTTGCGTGGGAGAGGGAAGGTGTTGTTGGTTTTTCCATACTTTGGCCAAAAGCAAGCTACATAAAGATTCTTGAAATAAAAAGGTCAAAGAAAATTTGATAGATTATCTTTCTATAGTTTGCCCATGCCCCTTTTACTGGTTAAAGCGGTCTAAGCACTCAAGTGCAATGGTGTATATTTATCTCCCTGCGTCTACTTTTTTTTTAAATGTAGTTAATAGTATACTTAAGCAGAATCAATATCCGTTAACACCCTACTTTAACAGGGTCTTTGAAAAGTTATCTTTCTGTTCGCTATATTGTTTATGGAACCTGTTCAGTGACATTATCGATCATGCTCAGACTGTATCTGAGTTTTAGGAAAGACGTCCTTCGACAATGAAATGAAATTTGTATCTGTGGCTTATCATTCCCACCACAAAATTTTTTTACCATAATTTACTAGCAGCAGCAGAAATTATTGCTGCCTCCTCTTTTTCGCTTTAGTCGATTTTAAAAATGTAATCGTCAACTTGTCAATATTAACCTACTGATAAAAATAAACTAGTATATTAACAACAACTTCGTTTGAATTGAACAGGGTCAGTTTGGTTGTCCAAAAGCGTCTCGCTGCCTCCGTCCTCAAGTGTGGTAAGAGAAAGATCTGGCTCGATCCCAATGAAGTTAACGAAATCTCCAATGCCAACTCTCGTAAGTACATCACCCAACCTTCATTCTCGGTAGTCAGCAGCACTGTATTTTCAGTGTGCGAAACTGATAGTGGTACAATAAGCAGAAGATTAAGTTGTGCTGACATAAAACTTTGCATTTTTGAAAAGGTGCTAACATCCGTAAGCTCGTTAAGGACGGTTTGATCATCCGTAAGCCCGAAATTGCTCAATCTCGTTTCCGTGTCAAGGAACGTAACGCCGCCAAGCGTAACGGTCGTCACATGGGTCACGGTAAGAGAAAGGGTACTGCCAACGCTCGTATGTCCAGCCAAGTTATCTGGATGCGCCGTATGCGTGTCCTCCGTCGTCTCCTTGCCAAGTACAGAGAAGCCGGTAAGATCGATAAGCACTTGTACCACCAACTCTACCTCAAGTCCAAGGGTAACGGTTTCAAGAACAAGCGTGTCTTGATGGAACACATCCACAAGGCCAAGGCCGAAAAGACTCGTGCTAAGACTCTCGCTGAACAAGCTGATGTCCTCCGTGCCAAGAACAAGGCTCTCCGTGAACGTCGTTCCAACAAGAAGGCTGAGAAGGTCGAAGCTTAAATAACATTTTATTCCTTATTGATTGCTCTTTCTCATCACTTTATAAACGAATGAAGTCAGTTATACAGAAACAAACTCACTGACCACACTGAAATTTTAGTCGATTGTTATTCTGTTTCACGATTGAGTTTGGCACAAATTGTTGATAATGGATAAGTGAAGTGGATGGTTATTTTCAAAGCGATCTGTTTTTTCAGTGACGATATAATACAATGATCTTTGTTGTAATTGAAGGTCACTGTATAATAGGATATATCGACAGAAATTTTGACAAAAAGAATGAATCGTTTTGAGAAGATTTTTCCTTTTTTTCCCTGCTAAACCTAAAATAAGTGTTTGCATTTGTGTCTTAGGACTTCAAGTGATTTATACCTTGTCTTCTATAAATTTTCCTTTCTCTTTTTTGTCAATTTTGAAACCTGCAAAACAATGAAAGTCTTCTTTACACTTCCAGTTGTCGCTACGATATATTTTTGGGCTGCAGCTGTAGTAACAGCCATATCAACTCAGCAGCAAAGAGCCTTCATGGCCCCCGATAGTCATGGTGACATTTGGTCGTTATGCGATAATCCCTCTACACATCAGCTGATTGGATATGAAGATGGAGTTTATATATTCCCAGAACAACCTCAAACTGGCGAAAATATAAATGTTCGAGTGAAAGGCAATCTCAGTAAGTGATTTAGCAGTTGTAAAGGCTACCTAATGTTTGTCTAATTCGTGCTGTATATTGCTCTTTTTTTTAACGAATTGTAGTGAAGGATGTAACCGGTGGAAAAGTGGATATTGATTTAAATATAATGGGCATGATCAAAATCAAAAAGCAACTTGAGCTTTGTAGTGTCCTTTCGTCTGAAGTAATGAATCATAAAGCATGCCCATTAAAAGCTGGTGATACGGCTTTGGAAGCTACAGGTAGATAAACGAATCATTGCTTCTTTGAAATAGCGAACACTATGATGTTCATTGGAGTACTCACTATATTATCTTGTCTAAATGTCATAGCCTGGATCCCTAAAGAGTTACCAAAGTTACCACTTTCCGGTAATGTGCGTATATCAGATCAAGATGGACAAACAGTTACATGCATTCATTTGGACTTTAAATTACAATAATGATATTGTTATCTCTACCAACTGCCTTAATGCTATTTATTCTATTTAATTTACAACAAATACACTCTATTCATCGATTACAGCTTATGATAAAGCAGCTATTACATTGTTTTGTGAAATAGAATTGGAAAGTAACTTTGAGACAAGAAACAGTACCATCGTATCGGTTTGTTTCAGCAATTGAAAAGCAGTATATGTTTTCATAACTGCATGCCTGCCGTTACTGTACCATATTATCGATGACAGTGATGGCTCAAGATACTGAACTGCTTTCTTAATGTCACGAACTTTAGGGGTATATAAACAGGCATCTAATATGTCATCTTGGGCTTTTCAGCAATGATGTATTTTTGATTGACACCCAATAAGGAGGATATCACTTTCAGCTTATTCTTCATTTTGTCTCTCAGACCGAACAAGTCAACTTCATGGTCATTATAAGTAGGAAAATCTTCAATTTGCCTTTTTAGGGTTTCGATCTGTTTCATAGCTCTGCAGTCCATTATAGCGAACGGTAAAGAAGGTTGCTTAGTAATTGCAAAATCTGAACATTTGCTTTACTTTTTCTTTTTACCGTGCTGGTACTTTCTCGGGATGTACATTATGTAGCTCAGTCCACATTTCCACGCATCCTGCATAGAATCCAATCTCACGACCCAATTCGAAAGCCTTTTCGCAGCCTACAATACGTCCTTCCAGTTCGCCAGATATTTCGCCATCCTTAAAGCCATCGTCATATCCATATTCTTGGAACCTACAATGGGTCTCTCAGAACGCATATTCACTAATTAAGTATCCATATTAGATGGGCATTACATTGTTTCTAAATAACATAAAGATTCCAAATCTTGGTTAGGTGGAGGACGAGCTTTGTTTTCTGCCATGGTGTATTGAATAGAGTAAAATAGAAATGAAAAGAAATACGAAAAAAGACTGCACTCTATTTTCATAGAAATGCGAGTCAGATCAATGGCTATTGAAACTCAGTTTTTTTTTGTGCTGTCACTGGTTTCAAGGAAAGAGATAATGAATCAATAGTGGAGTGCGATATCTGTACATGTAGATAGGCCCATATATTATAAATAGGTCAATTATATTTTTTGTACAAGTGGGAGAATGATACGTGTTATATTTCAACGCTATAACGTTTATTCAAATTTAACCTTTTTTTCAACTTCGGTTGCCGACGCTTTTGTGTCTTCAGTGGCGCTGCCAGTTGTAGGCAATCCAACAGCTACTTTGACACCATCAAAGATCAGCCACTGAAGAGCGGTCAATGTACCGATCATTACTATACGCGGTCCTAAACCCGTCCATAAACCACGCATACCCAAATCTTTCATAACGTCCATTGCGCCCTTTTGCGTCTCACCAGCAGCCACCTTTGGCAAATAGTTTAGTTTTGAAACTAAAACATCTGCAGGATGGGAAACCACGGCACAAAAGACACCAGCAATATACCCGCCCGCAAAACTTACACCTAGTTGTTCCATCTTGTTGTATTCTGCTTTTGGCTTACTCATAAACGTCTTGTACAAGATTTCCACTGTTTTTTCAAAGGTGGCGAATTTAACCATGGTATAAGGTACTTGACGAGCCCAAAGGGGTACAAGCCCTTTATAAAATCCATTTAAGCCTTCCGCCGCCATAATCTTGCGGAAGCCCTCGCTTGTTGTTTTGGCATATGGCGGAATGCTGGTTTGCATACGTACTTTAAGGGCTTCCATAGGACATAAAAAGATATCAGCAATGAATTCCGCTGAGGCAGAAGCTGTAAGGTAAACTAAGGTACGATATTTATGGGCATTTTCTTCTCCAACAAGTTTGCCATATTGGTATTTGAAGACTTCGTAGAAACCATATTTTCCAGCACCTTGCAATGAATAACCGATGAAAGTAGGACCTACACCGGTGAAGACGCCACGGAAGCCTTCAGCCTTAGCAATCGTTTTCCAGCCATTAAAAACGCCTTTATACAATCCGGGTTTGACCTACAACCATTGAAAAGACGCGAATCATGTCAATTCGATTACGGACACCGTTCAATGCAAAACGATAGGCAGTATGATATATTATGAATATGCGCGCTTACCTGGTTACGGCATTTAACCAAATCCAAAGGTGTCACAAGTGAATGTGTCGGTCTATTGAAAGGCAGTTAATGGATTCTTACTTTAGATAACATTGTTCCGTACATTCAATTAGTTATTGTGTTACCCGCAAGCAAGAATACCGGCGAGAGCACTAGCCAAGAAATATTTGCCCGAGTATAATGGAATTGTGTTCTTATCTGACATGATGAACAGTGGATGATGTAAGTTGAAGAAGGATGTTTTGTAAATAATGAAGAAAGAGAAACAAACGGCTTTTTTTTTTCAGTTCTCCACTGTCTCATTTTAAAATGGGGGGAAAATCCCGACTAATCGTTTGCATGACCAGGAAAATTCGTTTATCCATCCTTTGATGTGTTTGAGGCCATAGCTCTGTTAAAGAAAAGATAGAGAAACTATTCTAAATAACATACATGTGGTGTAATTCTTGATTTGTTGGCCTAGTTCTTTTTTTCTGCTGATATGGCTCGTTGAACCATTCGTAGATACGACCAAAGTGTCAAGTACAGAGTCTGAATTAAACATTTCCCCGGATTTCGTCCTCATATATAGCAATGGAACAATTACATCAGAACCAGGGGAGTATACCAAATTACTGCAATAATAGGTAAACGAATTTAGCCGTCTTCCCGGAAACCTCTTTATGATTCATATGTACTGATTTTACGCTTATAAACACAAATGAACCGGGGTCGTATCACATAGTGAGTATCCGCAGCACATGATCAAAAAGTAATAAAAAATATGAAGTGTACGCATTAACACCCAAAAAATAGCAGCCAACAATAGGTTAATTGATCATGGTACTAGAAAAATTCGAAGCATATGGGTATGCTAACATTGCCTTGGAAACAACTCAACGGGAGAAATTTCATAGCAAAGTACATAGCTTTGCAGAGACTCTGATTTACAGGATATATATGTGTTAGTAACAGAATAGAAATAACATGAAGAAGTGGCATAGCATGTTGAATTCATAGGATAGTCGCTCTACAACATGCTTAGAGCAGCCTATGATCGATGACCGCATTTCTCTTCACAGAGGCTTATAAAGGAGCGTGCAAAATTTGGATTTTTCTTTATGATTAGTATCATATACAATTTTGTCATTGATAGTCGATTGAAGACAGAGTGTAGCTATAGCAATAGCAAGCTTTCGATACAGAATAGTTCATAGCAATATTTTGTTCAAATAAGCATGTCCAAGGTTTTCCTTGATAACCCGCGTGGCTTAAAGTTAATGACTGACTGCTTTTCTTGTTTTTTCTTAAAGCTGAGCTTGGGAAATCAGGAAGTTTCCAGCTTTAAAAAAAAATAGAAGCACTTTTTACTTTTCAGTTCAACACAAAAGTCAACTTCTTTCAACCTGTGTTCACCAAGGACCGTTTTCACCTTTAGAATATGAATATTTCAGTTCCTATTGGTACAGAGGTTGACTCTGTTTCTTTCTCTCTTTATGAGCCGAATGAAATTAGAAAGATCTCTGTCAAGCAAATCGTTAATCCCGTCCTTTTTGACACATTAGGCCACCCTACGAAAGGTGGTCTTTACGATCCTGCACTTGGTCCATATCAAAAGACTCAAATGTATACTGTTTTTCCTTAAATTTTTTCTTCTTGTCTGGTTACGTCTGATACTTGAAAAGAAAATTTACTGACGTTGTACTATTTTATGCTTGCATATAGTTGTGCCACTTGTTCACAAAACCACTTTAACTGTCCGGGACACTATGGTCATATTGAAATACCTATCCCTGCTTACAATCCTATGTTTTTCGATAACTTATACGCCATCCTTCGTGGTATGTGTGTTTATTGTAATCATTTCCGCATCTCTAGAGCTTTGGTATGTTTGTTTCTTATGTCAGCTGCAAGAAAATAGAAGATTGCATGGAAGAGATTGTATCAATTTATCCTAACATATTTTATTTTCTGACATTGCATGTACAGATGAAGAAATATACCGCACAATTACAGCTATTAGAAAATGGTATGGTCAATGAAGCTCAAGATTTAGATGAAATACTCTTCAACAATAAGAAATCGTCCAAGAAAGATGAAGATAACTTGGAAGATAAGATGGAGGAAGAGAGCCAATTATTAGCAAATGTGGAAGAATATATGGATCACATTGACGAATATGTTAAGAAATGCTTGGCTGATGATGAAGCTCGCAAATTTGCAGCCAAGAATTATAAGGTTACTGTCATCAACGATGTCCGTAAAAGACTCATGTCCGACTTTATGAAAGCCTGTGTGCATCAAAAGAAATGTCTCAACTGTCAAGGTATTTCACCTGCCATCCGACGTGATGGTGCAGCAAAACTTTTCCAACTTGCACTTACTAAAAAAGAACAAACTCATATGGATCGTATCAAAAGTAACATTGGATTTACCGACGAAGTGAAAGGCTTCAACAGTAATGGTCAACGTTTCATGACAAATTATGAGGTTAGAAAACTTGTTCAAGCTTTGTTTGAAAAGGAAGGAGAAGCTACCACATTATTATTCGGTGCACGCGATCCCCGTACACCAACTCATATTAAGACGGCCTCATATCACATGTTTTTCATCGAGACACTTGCTGTTGCTCCCACTCGTTTCCGTCCCCCCTCTGTTATGGGTGATAAAGTGTTTGAGTCCCCTCAGAACGAACTTTTATCAGGTATTTTAAAAGGCTGTCATCTCGTTCGTGATTTCTCCGAAGATTTAAAACAAGCCTCCAATGAAGATCCCGTGGATAAAGCTAAATTGGAACGTATCCGTAATAATTTTGTCGAATCCATCATCAACTTACAACACGCAGTCAACTCTTTCATTGATTCTACCAAAAATCCTGCTCAAGTCCAGCAAGGTAAGACCAACCCTCCTGGTATTCGTCAGGCCTTAGAAAAGAAGGAAGGTCTGTTCAGAAAACATATGATGGGTAAGCGTGTCAATTATGCTGCTCGTTCTGTCATTTCACCCGATCCCTTCATCGAAACCTCTGAAATTGGTATTCCTCCCGTATTTGCCACCAATCTCACTTACCCCGAACCTGTCACTCCTCACAATATTAAGGAAATGAGACAAGCTGTTATCAACGGTCCTTACAAGTGGCCTGGTGCTACTCACGTTCAAAACGAAGATCAGTCGATTGATGTGTTGGCCGATTTAAGTATTGAATCTCGTATCGCGCTCGCCAATTCACTTTTGGCTTCTCAAAGCACACATACTGCTCAGACGGGAAATAACCCCTACCCTACCCGTACTCAAACAGTCAATAAGAAGGTTTTCAGACATTTGCGTAATGGTGATATGCTTTTGCTCAATCGTCAGCCTACACTTCACAAGCCTTCTATCATGGCTCACAAAGCTCGTATTTTGCCGGGAGAAAAGACAATTCGTATGCACTATGCCAATTGTAACACTTACAACGCAGATTTTGATGGTGATGAAATGAATATTCACTTTCCTCAAAATGAAGTGGCTCGTGCCGAAGCAGCTTTCATTGCTAATACAGATAACCAATACCTGGTACCTACCAGTGGTGATCCTTTACGTGGTCTTATTCAGGATAACGTTGATTCCGGTGTATGGATGACAGCCCGTGATACATTCTTTACCAAAGACGAATATCAGCAACTGTTGTACGGTTCACTTCGTCCTGAAGTTGACGGTACAGGCGGTGGTAAGATCCGTACGTTGCCTCCTACTATTTTCAAACCTCAAGCTTTATGGACCGGTAAACAAGTTATCTCTACGATTCTCATGAACTTGACTTGGGGTAAAGCCCAACTCAATTTAACTTCCAAGAGTAAAGTACCTGCTCGATTCTGGGGTCCTGACGCTAAGGAAGAAGAAGTCGTTAATGTCATGGAAGGCCAATTGATCCATGGTATTCTTGATAAATCTCAATTCGGTGCCTCTTCTTATGGTCTTGTTCACTCCGTCTATGAAATTTATGGCGCTGAATCTGCTGGCATCCTTCTCAGTATTTTGGGTCGTTTGTTCATCAAGTTTATTCAGAGTCATGGTTTCACTTGTCGTATGGATGATTTGATTTTAACAAAGGAAGGTGATCAATGGCGCAGGGATTTGCTGAACGAAGGTAAGGGGCTCGGTGATGAAGCTCATCTCGAATTCCTTGGTTTAGCTGAAACTGCCAAGACGGCAACACCCGAGGTGCTCAAGAAAGAATTCAAACTTCGTATGAATGAAGTCGTTCGTGATGACAATAAATTAGCTGGTCTGGATAATGCCATGAAAGCTAAGGTCAACAAATTGACCTCCTCTATTACCACCAAATGTCTTCCCAATGGTTTGGTTCGTCCTTTCCCAAAGAACAACATGCAAATGATGACTGTGTCTGGTGCTAAGGGTTCAAATGTCAACGCTACTCAAATTTCATGTTTGCTTGGTCAGCAAGAACTGGAAGGTCGTCGTGTCCCTCTCATGGTCTCTGGTAGATCGCTTCCTTCTTTCCGTCCCTTCGATACAAGTGCACGTGCTGGTGGTTTCGTCACGGGTCGTTTCTTGACGGGTATTCGTCCTCAAGAATACTACTTCCATTGTATGGCAGGTCGTGAAGGTTTGATTGATACTGCTGTCAAGACATCGCGTTCTGGTTATTTGCAACGTTGTCTTATTAAACATCTCGAAGGTCTTCGTGTCCATTACGATCATACTGTTCGTGACTCTGATGGCTCTGTCTTGCAATTCCATTACGGTGAAGATTCTTTGGATGTCATCAAAGCGAAGCATATCAATCAATTCAGTTTCTCAGCTCATAACTTTGAAGCGCTCTCTCAAAAATACAATCCTAAAGCTGCTTTGGCTTCTCTTGAAACCAAGAAAGGTGAAGAATATGCCAAGAAAGCTCTCAAGAAGCCCAGCAAATATGATCCTGCGTTGTCTGTCTATAATCCTGGTACTCACTTGGGTGTCGTTTCCGAACGGTTCGCTATCGCTATGAAAGAATATATGGATAAGAATCCTGATAAGATGCCATTTGAAAAGGGTGCTGAAGTGCCAAAGAACACTGCCCGTTATGCTGGCTTAACGAAGAGCAAGTTCAAGGCATTGATGAATTTGAAATACCTTCACAGTTTGGTGGAACCTGGTGAAGCAGTGGGTCTTTTAGCCGCTCAAGGTGTGGGTGAACCTTCTACTCAGATGACGTTGAACACTTTCCATTTTGCTGGTTATGGTGCGGCTAACGTTACCTTGGGTATTCCACGTCTTCGTGAAATTATTATGACGGCTGCTCGTAAGATCAAGACACCAACCATGCTGTTGCCTCTTCGTCCTGAGATAAACGCCAAGAAGGCTTCTAATTTCTGTAAGGCTGTATCAAGATTGACTTTAGCGCAATTGGTGGATAATGTCACAGTATCGGAAAAGACAACTTCGAAGACGGCTGAAACCAATTATCGCAGATCAAAGACCTATTCTATTCGTCTCAACTTGTTCAGTGAAAAGGAATACAAGGAAGAATACCGTGTGACGGCTAGTAAGGTAAAGGAAGTGCTGGCAACAGCGTTCTTGAAGGATTTAGAAGAATTGATTCGCAGAGATATCAAAGATACCAAGAAGATGGAAGATATCGGTAAAGGACATAAAATCTCAGATGCTATGAATGATGAAAACGTGGACGAGACTATTGGCGACAATGTTGCACAGAATGCCTATGATTCAGATGCGGAAATGGAGGAAGATGCAAAGACATCGAGAGTAGCTGATAAGAATAAAGAACGAACCAGTTACGACGATCCAGACGAAGATGATATGCCAGAAGATGAAGAAAAGACTTTGGAAGACGAAGAAGCCGAGCTTGAAGAAGCAGCTTTAGCAGGCGAAGATGATGAAGAGGACGAGCCCAAGGCACCAACGATGGGTGACTACGAAAAGAACGCTGTTTCTAAGAGCAAATACTGCACCAAGTTTGTGTTTGACAATAAAGAGGGCGCTTATTGTCAAATCGATATGGAATTCCCTGCTGATACCAAGAAGATTTTGATGGTCAGTTTGATCGAAAAGTCATGCTCTCGTGTTGTCGTACATGAAGTAAAGGGCATTCAGACATGTTTCGAGTACATCAACCCTACCGAAAACGATACTTCTAAACGTCTTCAAACAGAAGGTGTCAACCTTAGAGGCATGTGGCCGTATGCCGATCTGATTGATGTCAACTATATTGATACCAATGACATTGCAGCCATTTTGAATACTTATGGTGTTGAAGCTGCTAGAAATGCTATCATTAAGGAAGTCGCAGCTGTCTTTGGTGTGTACGGTATTAAGGTCGATCGTCGTCATTTGACTGTCATTGCTGATTACATGACTTTCGAAGGTGGTTATAAGCCATTCTCTCGTATTGGTATTGGATCCAATGTTGCACCTTTCCTTAAGATGAGTTTCGAATCAACATGTAAATTTTTGACTGAAGCAACATTGTAAGTATACTGGTTTTTTTTTGGTTTTTTTTTTTTTTTTTTGTTGCAAGGGAACAGATGATTTTTGTGGACCTTTTTAATAATGCTTTTTTTTTTCTTCTGTAATAGACATGGTGATTATGATACTCTGGAATCACCCTCTTCAAGAATTGTCGTTGGTCGTGTCGTTGAAGGCGGTACTGGCTCTTTCGATATTCTACAACCCCTCACCACTGAAGCATAGATTAATATTGAATTGATATCTCTGTAAATAAATCATCCAACTATGTATTTTGAATAAATATTTTTACTTTTCATGCACCTTTTAGATCTTTGATCTTGTAATTATTACAATAAGTACCTATTCATAATTTGATTTGAAAGCTACCGCTTGCTTAGCTGTTAGGCCTAATTACTAAATGACTTTACTATAGGTTGTGGGGGCGGGGGTGGGGGGCGGAACACGTAAGTATACTTTCCAAGCACCCGACTCACGAGCCACGATTAGTGATATCATAACTCAGTTAAAGTGAGACAATGCAAATTAACACCGGCTTAAGTTCCCTTTTTCCACGTTATGGAATTCATCCGAATTATAGACGCGCTTCTAATTATATTAGGATTTGAGAGTAATATGTGGTTTATATAATGTATATATATAGTGGTTTAAGAACAGTCATATGAGAGGAGTTGTATTATTGTGTGCGCGCAGTTCATCTATAAAATCTTTTTTATTAACGTCCTCTGTTCGAAAGAGGCAAAAGGGAAAGAAAAAGTGGCATAGAATTTGTAAAAGAGTTCCAATCGCTGGACAGTCAATTTAACATCAACAGTACTTTAAATCCTTATAGAATAGAGGTTGTTTTCAATGCGTTAGCATGGCTGTTGCTGCTTTAGGAAACAGCGAATAGAGAGTAATAGCCTATAATTAATAGAAGCAGAAAAGACGAGAGTCTCCTTTATCAAATGTACTGTGCTGTCTTGAAGAGTAGTAAATAGGTTCTCATTTTGCACTTTCTTTTAACATATGTTTCATGTACTATTGAGAGTGAAAAGAACTTGGAGAACTTCCCTTTTGTCGAAAACTCGTGAACAGAAAAACCCGAGATGAAACCAAATTAACCATTTTTTGTTAAGAAAAAAAAAGTGGAGGTGAGGCGGTGCGATTTCGCAGAATCGGATCAGAATTTAGGCTTGCTTACCAATCAGAAAGAGGAAGCATAGCTCATACATTTCATACCGTTTATCTGGGTGCACTACAATTGAGATATTCACATGCTGTGATAAAGAATGTTAGCAAAGTTGCACAAATTGCTTTTTTTTCCTGAACCTTTCTAGACAATTCTGGTAGCTTAATTTTTAATGCACCATTACAGGTCTTTTTAGCGTTTTTCAAACAAAAATGGACATTTGGCTACCAGCAAACAAAAATCCCTCTACCCCATCCTAGAATCGTTCTGTTACCTTTCCGAAACAGACTGTATAAAGTGTATGTTTCCTGAAGTCTGGTAGTCCAATCAATAAGATGCCTGTTGTAGCTTGCATTCTGTTGATTAAGTTCATTAATAAAAGAAGAACCTTTCTTTTTTGTTACATAGACTTTACGCCTAATATTTACCTATTTATTCAATTTGTCAGAATACGCGTGGTTCTAGCTTAGCAAGAACCACGACAGTCCTTTCCTTTTTCTTATGTTTGATTTTCCATCAGCCACTACAAAGGCATAACCTCTTCCCGCAAGAAAAATTTGCCCGTGCACGTTTCGAAACATAAACTGATTAGGTCATACATATCAAAAAGCCAAAGAAATTGAGTTCCAATGCCCTTCCTTGCTAAGTACAACTGGTTGATATAACAGATCAAACAAACAAAAAATTATCAAAACCTTATTTTGTAGTAGTACAAACAGTTCCAAATGGATGGCTCCTTCTCAACAAAAATGGAATATCCATGGCAACGAAAAAGTTTCATTTATTTGATTGGCCTATATATTTGATCTTCAGTTGCCTTGGTTACGAAGTTCATCGTGCCTTAAACCATTTAGAATTGCTCCGCCACGAATACGTAGCCATGGGCAACGTATAGAAAAGCAACATAGCAATGCCGAAGGTATATCTCAAGATGGAGTCTTTTTAACTGAGTTTGCATTTTTTTTTTTTTTTTTTATATTACAAGGTTATACAGGACGCACAACTTATTACATTCTACAAACAGGTACAAGTTCCTTCTTCAGACTTATTCGTTTGCAATCTCTTGTTTTGGCTTCCCACCCCCCTCCAACCCCTCCGGCATCTAATTGACAGCCTTAAATGAAATAGCAAACTTTTGTGTAATTACGATTTTATTTAGAATAATGTCTAAAATAGATAAAAGATACGTACTACTGTCTTTGAACCAGAAAAAGCAATCTTCCCTTACGGCTAAAGAGGCATAAGAATACCTTACCTTGACATGTGATACAAGATAATTTGGGACACAAAGGCACCAAACAAAATTTGGCTTTTGGCTCTGTGCATCCTTTTCAAAGTGGCTTATTGTTCTCTTTCTGAAAACTAAGTAGAATTTGATACAAAAGTAAGATAGATTGAGACGTCGTCATGGTCTATTAGTGTAGAATGGAACATTTTTGAAGATAATGGTTCTTTTAGCTTTTATTTTCTATTTAATTTTTTTTTTTTTACTTATATCAGACTTCATTCTATTGGAGCAAAATATTAAGCTTCATTAAGAAGGCTTCACTTTTTTAAATTGGAGAAAAAGGCAATAATCCCAAAAAAAATAAAGCCTAGTTTTTGTTGACGCGACAAAAGTAGATAAAACTGAAATCCACTGAAACGAAGGAAAAGCTTAGAGAAAAGTCCTACTATTTTCTAACAGAGACACAGTATCAAAGAAGACTATCTGTAAATTCTTTCTCCTCCTTCTAAGAGACAGTCATATATCGGTTATGTATTTCATTGTACCCTCATTCATTTCTATTTTCTTTTGTCGGATCAACGATAACACAAGTCAGGTACAAAAGCAATTACTTGCAAAATGGTGATTGGCAGAAATAATCTTCAATTTGGATAGCTAAACCTTGTTTTTGTACGCTAACGATGACTTTTCGTCTTTTGATTTTTTTCTACCCCTTTCTTTCAAAAGTGTGAACGGTGTCAGGTAGTGATGATGTACCTCATCATTCAATTATACTACGCATTTTGTCACTTAAAACGTGATGAAAAAAGCCATTGCTGCTAAATTTAGGACTTTTTTCTGGAAACAATAAGATCACCATAGCGGACTTTCACAAAATAATGGTCTGTAACTGGAAATCAAACAAATCTGGATATTATGGAATAAAGACAAAGTATATTAGAAAATTTATTAGTCATATATCAAAAGGGAAAAAACCATTCGATGTGTTAAAAGAAAAAGAAGATGAAAAAACCTTTTTAGCAAAAGTAAATAGTAAAAAGGGTCTGTTCACGTTGACGGGTTTTCTTCGGTTTTTTGTAGTTTATTTTATTTTATTTTTTGCATATAAAAAGGCAACCTGTATTTTCGTGATTTGACCGGTTTTCATCTTCATAATATCATCTACTTTTCTTTTTGATTACCAATGCGTTCAAATCATACCCTTTTTACAATACTATTTACACTCTGTTGGGCATTTGTAGCAACTGTCTCGGCTAAGAAAGCGAAGAAATCGACTACAGAAAATATTTATGGCAAGCATAGATTAATCACTTACATTGTTGATTGGGAAGTGCCAAAAGATATCAGTTGGGATAAATTTGATCATGTCGCCTACGCTTTCGCTGAACCTGATAAAGATGGCAAGCTCCAATCTTTTACGTCAAGCAATTTGAAGTCTGGTAAATAATGATTAGTCCTTTACAATATTCACGGATTACGAAAGAAACTGACTCGACATCCATTTGGTTAGTTGTTAGCAAAGCTCATGATAATAAAATCGGTGTCAGTATTAGCGTTGGCGGGTAAGCTTTATCCATGACTTTATATATTCTAGTCATGCTACTTTGAATAAAAGAAATTAGATTTATGTATGTGTGTACTGACTCGGCTTTCTACGTCCGTAGCTGGAGCGGTTCTAGGTATTTCAGTTCATTGGTTGCTTCTGATTCTAAACGCAAGACTCTAGTGAACAATATTGTTTCCATGGTCGATGAGTATGGTTTGGATGGTGTCAATTTAGATTGGGGTAAGAATACAAATGGTTATTCTAAACAATAGGCGGAAAGGTTTTTAACCCATTTTTCATACGTCCTTCTCTTACCGTTAGAATATCCGAACAATCCTGATGGCTTATCATGTAACGAAAGGTAACCATGCAAGCTTTCATTACTGAGCGTAGGTTACTCAGATATTCCTTTTTTTACCAACCTATCCTCTTGTTTTCTACTTAAACCATAGAAATGCTAAGGATACTGCCAATTATTTGCAAATGGTCAAGGACTTGCGTAAATCCCTCAATACCAAATTTCCCAAGGTACACAAGTTGATTACTATTGCTGTCGGTACCTCACCTTTTAATGATGAAAATGAAAAGCCTATAAAATCTCTCGACAATGAATGGGCCACTCAAGTTGACTCTTACTATCTTATGGTAAGTACTGTGCAATGTATTGCGACAATGATGAGAGCTTTCTCTGCCGTTGATGGTGTAAACTTACCCTTTTTGTTTTTTTTTTTTCTTCTCAAACAACTCACTTTAGACTTATGATATTAGCGGCGACTGGAACGAATACACTGGACCTAATTCACCTCTCAAGCCTGGTAAATGGGATTCAAGTGTTCAACAAGCTGTTCAAGCTTGGAACGAAGCCGGTATTCCGAAGGATCAACTCGTTGTTGGTGTCCCTTTCTATGGCACTGCTATGAAGACAAGCCAGCCCGTGACTGGTTCTTCCATTACTGTCAAATTGGCCAAGAAGAGCAGCATCAAGGGCGACAAATATGACGAACGATCCGCTGATGAATGTACTGGTGCGACTGTTTCTTCCTCAGGTAGCTACCAATGGCGTTCCATCAAAGACGCTGGTATAATGAAGAACGAGAATGGTTGGAAGGTCTTCTGGGACAAAACCTCTGTTACCCCTTATGCTTACCATGCTAAGGACAAAAAGTTCCTCACTTTTGACAATGCTAAATCCATCAAGAAGAAGGCTGACTACGTTGTCGATCAACACCTCGGTGGCGCCATGATCTGGTCTTTGGAAATGGATGATTCCAAGAATACTCTCCTTTCTTCACTCCAAACTGTTAGAAACTAAGATATACACACCATGAAGCTATTCATACCTTTGTTTTTTAACCGATGATTCCCCCTCAGCTTTCTGTAAAATATATACATTTCCCGTTTATATATCTCTTATATACATATATTACACCATCTTATAAAGATATTCACTGTTATCAACATCTATATAATAAATATCCACACTTGTAACAAAGCTCGTAAATTCGTTTGGAAAGAAGAAGAAGGACGCAGCGAAGTTTATTGAGGAATTATATTTGTATACTATGGATGCTGAGAAAGGAAAAGGATGAGACGAAGATTTAAACCATTTCTGTTATATCCAAAGGTTGCCAACCATCACTACCGAAATCAAGAATAACACGGCCTTCTGGCGTAAATTGAATCATGCCTTTGGCTTGATACCTTGTAGGGCCTCTTATATCCAGTTCTGCTCTAATACGTGCTAATCGATACTGTGTTGCAAGTGCCCGACGCATATTGAAATTATCACCATCCACAGATTTGGTCTTGATCCAGTCAGCGGTTTCGATCTGGTGTTCTTTGATCATCTCTTGATAGTCATTAAATGCTGCTGTGTCTGGTTTCTTCAAGGTACCAGGAGCCACAGGGTCAATGTCGACAGCCTCATCTAGTGTTTTCTTATCCTTTTCACCGGTAATATTTCCTGGTAAAGATGGAATGTCAACATAGTGTGTCAACTCTTTCAAGTCCTTTGTGAAATGGATTTTGGTAGCGACTACAGGATCCAAAAGAGGTTGAATCAAAGTCCATACTGTAGAAAATACCCATGGTGCTTTGTGAATACATAGACAGCCCAGCGTTTCCGGATAGTATGCCTCAAAACAAGACACCAAGAATTTGACAAAGTCAAAATCCTGTGGATGATGATGCAACATGCTTCAGTTGAGACAGAAATTCAATAGAAAACGCTGCTTCTCGTAATGCCTTACCATATTTTTCAGGGTAAATCCATCCATATTGAACACTATACAAGCAGTATCCACTGGTTGATGGACAATAGCTCGTGAGGTTTCCATAATGTACATTGTCAACAACTTTATCACTTCAGCAGGTTGATCTTCTTTATGGTGATAGCTAACATTAATGAAGCTATAACACCATAATGTTCTTAGTTACTTTTTTTTTTTCTACATAAGACACATCTGTATTTACCATATACCACGACCTTCTTTATCAGGTCCACCCAAAAATGTTTTACCAGCATTCAATTGAGAGACAAAACAATCACCCATACCAGGCTTTAGCCTGTTCAATTCGTCACGCAATCCATTCTCTCCCAAGGCTGTCAAATCATCCAAGCGATACACGATTCGCCAGCGAAGCGCATTGGTAAGCATATCATAAGCTGCCACTAGGTCCCACTTACGAGCACGTAAAAACCTCAACACAACAGCATCTGGATTATCCGTAGCCACCATATTCCAGAAGGTGTTCCGCAAGACCTCGCCAGGAATCAATGGTAAAGCCTTTTCAAGCGGTAATGTGATGAGTGTTGGCTCTGTAGTAGCACCGATAAAAAGATCCTTCTCGCTCGTCTCTTTCTTGGAAGAAAACCACCCTCCTTTCTTACTTGAAGTAGTAGAAGAAGCATTGTCCTCTTGCTGTTTTGGCCTGATCTGCGTCCCCTTTTGTTCAAATAGTTTCAAAAGTCGGCCCCATAATTGCTTGAGCATGGCATTTTCCTTTGCTGTTAAATTACCAATATGACCTGGTAAGAGTTCGGTTGCTGTAGATGTTGTTTTAGAGGAAGGTGCTGGTGAAACAGTCATTATAGTTGTTCTGATTGAAATGAGGGTGAGTTTATGTTATTGTATGAATGTTTTACTTCCACTACAAGTTTTATATATATATATATATATACACGCACTATGTTGTATTTTTCTTTTTTTGTAAACAAGTACCTTTATATACAGAGAAAAAGGAAACAAAATTAAAAGAAGAAGCATTCATTTAAGCTGTTAGAAACGAATGTCCTACAAGAATGACAAAAAGAGTACATTTGTGATGAGTGTAGTAACTTACTTCCAATTTTAGAGAAGGAGGACAGTTAATAACGTTCCAAATGTGCATATTTCTCTTAATGTCTAATTGACTTGCATCTATTTTGCATCCTTTTTGTAAAACCACTTACACAAATTTCCCGCGTGAAAGTCCTTTCTGAGGGAGAAACACATCATCCCATGGCTAGCAAAAAATAAGGCTTTCTGTTGAAGCTAATACTTCTTCTTTTTGTTCGTCTTTTTTGATTTCCCACAGTGTTTTCATGTGGTATCTTATTGAACCATTGGAAGGGATTCTGTGAGAAAAGCATTTGTTACTGGGATCACAAAATTTACTTTCAAGTAACAACAAGTAGAAGTCGAATCGGCCACTGTTTGTTCAAAAGTCAATGGATTTTCGTTTATATTTTGTTTCTCTGTGGGCGAAACTCACACTATTCTTCCGTGTAAAACTTCATTATTTATATACTAAAGCTGAAATAATTTATATGCTTCTCAATGTTGAACAAAGGAAGTTAATCAATTAAAAAGTGTGCACAGACTTTTGTACTCTACTATTTCATTAAGCACATGACTTTACATTGTTCAGCTTAAAAATGCTATTTTTGGTGGAATTTGTTTGGGAAAGCAGTAGTCAGTAATATTTAGTGATGGGGTTGTCTGCAAACAATGTATTCGAAATTTTGAAAATGCAAGAATGAAACGCGAAAAACCTGGAAGGAAAAAAATCTTTCTATGCTAACCTAGTAACACATGAACAAAAAGCAAAGATGCACTCACTGCACTGGGGCATTATTTTTTTTTTATCCAAAGCGCGCATCAATATACACACTCTAAAAAAACACGCTTAGACCATTGACGTGCCCCTTGGCTGTGGCAAATTAATAGTAAAAAAAAAAAAAGGGATACAATTAGTGTTGCTGTAAATCAATAATAAACAAATGACAGAGTAAAAATACGTCATTACAACAGCAATAATATTTATAACTTTTCCTTTAGTTTGATCGCTGTCTTCTAATCATCATGATAACATAAGCAACAGAAAATAGGGAGCAACTTTAGCGAATCAAAATGAGTTACTTTGATGTCATTCTTTGGACGGAAGTTGAAAGTTTTGTTTAGTTTCCGTCACTGTAAATCCAGAACAAAGCCTGAAATTAATTAAAAACTTTCCATTCAATGACTTCTTCTCTAAATGGTTTGAAACTTCTACAAGCAGACTGAATTGTTATTGTTAAAAAAGCTTGCTACAGACACTTTTCAAAATTCCATGTTGTTCAAAAGACATTGTCCATTGTTTGCACACTCGGATAAGAAAGACTACAGATTATCTATGAATCATCGGATTTCGAATATCTAATACTTAATTTGTGCTTATCGACTTCTATAAATGACATTCATGCAAAACCGTCTGAAGTACAAATTTTCATTTTAAGCTGTCAAAAATCAAGCTGCATGTCTAACACATGGGTGTGTTTGAAAATTAAGAAAAAAAAAATTGTAAAAAAGGAAAGAAACACTAAAGGAATTTAACAAAAGTTTCTTTTCCATTCTATTCTTTCAAAACTTGACAGTTTAATAGACAACAGAATGATGGATAACAGACGCGAATCAGTTGACCCTACTGCGCCCCCTTCAACTTATTATACCAGTGGCAGAAATGGACCTCGACATAGAACACGAACTTATACCGTGAGTATGGAAAGAACGAATGGTCTATTCGTTGATTTTTGGTTTTTTTTTTGAGTTTATGATTTTTGACATATTACATTTAGAGAACCGGCTATCGAAGCTTCAATGCAGGTGATTCCCGTGATATAGCAAATTCAGGCATACAGCGTCGTGCCTCGCATGGTAAGTTATTTACTTGTCCCTTCATATGGCTACAGTAAGGCAGAGATTAATCTATATGCATTTATTTTGATGCTTGCTGTTATGTGTGGCAAAAAAACAGAGGATAAAGGAAAGAAGCGTCGTTTTCTTATCGATGTCGAATCTACATTGAAACAAATTTTGGAACAAGAAGATACAGATGGGGATTTCCAGATCACTGTCAACGATATGGGGCCTAAAACACTTTCGCTTGGAACAGCTGATTCTGGTGGATACAAGCGCTTTCAAATCAGAGGTAACTACATGCTGTCCAATTTATTGCAAGAATTAGCCCTCGCCAAGGATTATGGCCGAAGATATGTTGTGCTCGACGAATCCCGCTTGAACGAAAATCCCGTCCACCGATTATCGCGGATGATTCGCCATCTTTTCTGGGACGGGCTTACACGTTGCATTGACGGCGATGGTCTTGAATCTATCTGTGCTGATCCAAAAAATAGATCAAAGGATGTTGCACCGCGAATCTATATTCCTTACGATGAGCATGAAATCTATGATTACTACAAAAAAGTCGCCAATGAAAAGTCTCACCTCAATCTCGATGTTCAGTATTTACCCAAGGAAATTACGCCTGAATACGTCAAGAGCATTAACGATAAACCTGGCATTTTGGCTTTGGCCATGAGAAAAATTGTGAAAGACGATGGTACGGCCGATTTCAAAGGTATCCCTTTCATCGTCCCTGGCGGTCGCTTCAATGAAATGTATGGCTGGGATACCTATTTTGCATCCCTTGGCCTGTTGGCGGATGGAAGAATCGATCTTGTCAAAGGAATGGTCGAAAATTTTGCGTATGAGATCAAACATTACGGCAAGATTCTGAATGCCAACCGATCGTATTATCTCTGTCGTTCGCAACCTCCATTTTTGACCGACATGGCCATAAAGGTGTATGAACAGCTGGATCCCAACAAGGAAGAAGAAAACAAAGCTTGGCTGCGTGAGGTCCTAAAATCAGCCATCAAAGAATACCATACCGTTTGGATGGCAGAGCCTCGACTCGACAAAAAGACCATGCTATCTCGTTATTGGCCCGACGGTGTAGGGGTGCCTCCTGAGACAGAAGCCTCTCATTTTGACCATATTTTGAGTCATTATGCTCTACAGCATAATGTTACCATTGCTGAATTCATACAATTGTACAATGACGGCGAAGTCAAAGAACCTGAATTGGATGAATACTTTTTGCACGATCGTGCTGTTAGAGAGTCAGGACATGATACCACTTATAGATTTGATGGCATTTGCGCCAATCTGGCCACTGTCGACTTGAACGCATTATTATACAAGTACGAAACGGATCTAGCCGACTGTATTAGAGATTTTTTAGATGATGACTTGGAAGATTTCGATGGAAATAAGCAGAAGGCAGAAGATTGGTCAGACAGAGCCTCTATTAGACGACAACGCATCGATCGATATTTGTGGAATGAAAAGGAGGATCTTTATTTTGATTATGACACCAAGAAGCAGGAAATGACAACGTACGAAAGTGCCACCGCTTATTGGATGTTGTGGGCTGGTTGTGCATCTGACGAACAAGCACAAAAATTAGCAAAGAGTCTCTACAAATTTGAAGTGAAGGGTGGTTTAGTTTCCGGTACAGAACAATCCAGAGGCCCGATTTCTATCGACCGTCCTAATCGTCAATGGGACTTTCCTTTCGGTTGGGCACCTCATCAAATCATGGCTTGGGTCGGCTTTGACAATTATGGCATGTCCGACATTGCTGGTCGTTTAGCCTATCGTTTCCTTTACACGTAAGTTGCAACCTACAATTATCAAAAAAGAGTAAGGGATCTATTCTCTTTATACTGATTTTTTTTTTTTTCCTGCGAATGGCCTTTTACGAACAGAATAACAAAATCATTCGTAGACTTTAATGGTGTGGTTCCTGAAAAGTTTGATGTTGTTAATTTATCTCATCAGGTTCAAGTAGAATATGGTAATGTTGGTGTTGATTTCAAATATGTTCCTCGAGAAGGTTTTGGTTGGATGAATGCTTCCTTCGAAGTGGGCTTGACGTTCTTGAGTGTCCAACAACGAAGAGCGTTAGGCACCTTGACCGATCCTGACACGCTATTCAAGAGGATGCTCGAGATTGAAGAAGCCAAACTTTCAGAAGCCGAAAGACGCGAAGCTTTGTCTCGTCGTCGTGTATCTACTATTGCCGCTCGTGAGATCCTTCGTAAAGAATCAGATGCTGTCGTGACAAGAATCAATACAGAGGATATCATGAGACAATCATTCAGTGTACCCAAATCTCCTGAAGTTTTCCAGAACTTCTTGACCGCACCTGCTGACACTATTCAAGAGGAAGACGCAAAGTTATTTCCTGTCTCTAATGAAAGTGATTATCTGGAGCCTCCTGCACCTGTCCATATGTAGACTATTAATTTCATTATTTCTTCTCAACCTTTTCTCAAAGTCATTTATTACTATATATAAACGTAAATCTTTCATCTACGTTCTAGAACAGGGGGGAAAAAAGCAACATAAACGGCTATTGTTATCTTGTAATACTTAATTATATCTGCAAAAATAAATTACATATGGTCCTTTTTTTTCACTTTCTGTCAAAAATCTGCTCTCTTATCAAACAATGTCTGCGTCGTTCTGCTTGTGTTCTGCTTGGAAGGATTACAATTTAAAAATTGTTATTCCCTGGAATGAAAGAGGGCTTCTTAATAGCCCAACAGCAGGAATAACCTGTCATTGTGTGAGGGAATAAAAAACAAGCTCAATCCTAGCAAAGCATCATTTTGTAGACAAGCTGTCTGATAAGTCGATGTATCTGTAACGTAAACTAGCTGGTATTACCTAAAGAGAACAGAAGGTAGATTGTTGCATCCGCCCAGCTCTGAGTGCTTCCAGTCATGTGGTACGCGGATTTCGTGGCATGTGCTTTTGTCGTATTGCTACCTATCTGCATTGTACACAATATCTCATCTATGAAATACCAAATTTAAAATACATTATAAATAAAATAATTTAAAGAGAATTACAAATTATGTACAAAGGTACACTTTTCTCAACATCTCTCTTCTTTTTATTATTTTCGCACTTGCAACTTGGTAAACATGAGTTACATCAGCTCCAGCGTAGTGTCACAGCTTCCTACAGAAATAATAAAGGAAATTTTACGACATCTTTTGCAAAGACAGTCCACGACCTTTTTTGGCTCAAATATCAACTGTTCTCCTGATAACCTATGTAGCTGTCGATATTTCACGTCCTCTTCTACTCAAAATAGAGGAAACGATGAGTGCGAGTCTTGTGTGTGCTGGCAATTAGATCTTTTAAGCGCATCAATGGTATGTAAATCGTGGTACTATATAGGCCTTGAAATGATGAGAATTATGCAAACGAAACATAAAAATAGACGCACACATGCTCTGGAGACCTGGACATCCTTAATAAATCAACCCACGCATCACCGTACCTACCCATTCAGAGCTAAGCTTATACCATTACTCAAGGAATCATGCTTGGCAAGGCTAGCATTTCACAAGCAAGTGCATCATTTGGTAATCGATTTTGCGTCATTTGACACTATACGACAAGAAAGATCGAAGCATAGTGGTGATGCCATAGTCAAGAAAATAGGTAGGGATTTGAATCAGAAAAAATAACCCTATTTTACAAGAGATAGCTTTTTTTTTCCCCTCCTTTCTTTTCTTTTTGAAATGTTGAGTAAGATCTTTTGCTATACATAGTTCACAATGCAGCCGCACTAAGAGAATTAACAGACCTTTTGAATCTGTGCACAAATGTTAATCGGCTGGACATTGTTTATGATGCTAAATTTACAGTGCTGACATCCACAGGAACTCGTGACAAACAGCACCTACAAAAGCAAAATATTGCAGATGACAGTAACAGAAATTGCATATTGTCCACTTCGCTTGTCCTACAACAATTCTTTACACAACATCCTCAAATAGCACAACGGATAAAATGTCTGAATTTCGTGGGATTTAATCCTAACCAGCGTTGTCCTTGCTGTGCAGGGAAGGAGTGGGATCAATACTTATGGCCGCTTTTAGGTTCTTTGACTTCAATAGAAACGATAACCCTCCGGAACGCTTTACCGACAAGTCAAGTTTTTCAAACGTTATGCGAAAACCCAATGCTGAAGAAAATCATTTTTCATAAAACAATGGTCACTCTACCTTTGCGAAGGAAAAAAAGAAAGATAATACAGACAGATGATACGACATATTCATCTTCCGTGTTCAACTCCAATACCACTAGCGAAATCGTAAATAGCATTCATGTCAGACCTGGGATCACCGTTAGCCAACAGGAAGATGAATATGTTACGTCGATACAGCAAATTCCTTCTCAACTATGGTTACAAGTGAAATCCATAGAGATCTACGAGGATATAGACGATGTCACCATTCCAAAAAGTAGAAAATATCTCGATGAGCTTGCATTGAATGTTGGATCTCAGCTTGAAGAGTTTATTTTGCAGTTTGGATCTGAAGAAGATTGCACCTATGGCAAGGAAATGGCTGCAGTAGAAACAACAGCAAATGATCAGTATGATAGTAAGATTGGTATTCCAGATATTACTGTTCCATCATTAGATCCAAACTCGCCTTTGCTCAAGCTCAAGAACAAATGTAAAGATTCATTGAAGCATATTTTACTCATCAATGTTCCTGAATTCTAAACTCTGCGGGGAACGGCGGGGGGGGCCACACTAGCATCCGTGCTTCTCGTGTAACTCTAACTCTCAATTCATAAGGTTTAATAAAAAGTGATCAGTAAAACCATTCTTTATTCACTACAAGCTTACACCCAAAAAAAAAAGGTTCAAACACTCGGAGGTTTGTCAGCAAACCAATAATCGATACTTTCATTGTCTTTTCGTCCCAAGAGAGCTCTTAACAGAGAGTCTTTGTGGCTAGTTTATTTCTACATATCGTCAACTCCTTTTCTCCGCAAGCCACCACTGGCTGGATTGGGATTCAGGTGCAAAAAAAAAAAACCCAAAGAGGATCTTCCCAGAAATAGGATTTGTCGCGTGAAAACGGTAAATTTTGCCATTTTGAATATAATTGAATGTCTAGTATGCCTTGTAGATCATAATAGACCACAACATCTTACCAAGGTGCGTACTAATTCATAAATTGTAAGGAGCATTATGCAAATACGACACATGGATTTAACAAATCTATTCAGACAATACCAGCGTAAAATTGCAATGAACATAGCGACTTGAAAGTTTAAGCTTTTGATGCTAGATTGTCGACTCTCGATGTCATGTACTTAGCTTTCCAAGCAAAAGTACTTGATTTGACAACATTGTGGGTGATATGATGCTAGGAAAGAAACTGACCATTGAGGCCCAACTGGAATCATTCGTAAAGCCGAAAACATGCGTCCCGTCAAAACAGCTGCTGTACATGGTATTGCAAATCTGTAAGTTTACATATATTAAAGCGGGAGGGACGACGGGGAAGGAAGTAAAAAAGCAAAAAATTGACTATCAATTACTGAGGCTCCTGGATATCGTTTTTTCGGGTATAGACAACATCAAGATTTGTATATTATGGTGGATGTTGCGTCACTCATTTTCGCTACCTCCTTGAAAATCCTTGGTGCATTGACAACTAAGAAGAATCTATGCATATTGGCGTAAGCCAGTTCCTCGTTTTGGAACAACAGTATGTACGTCCCCCTCACCTCGCTTGCCTATCTACTTCAAAGCGAGTCATTGACAAGTTCCAAGAGTAGTTGTACAGTATCCCGTTATTAATGTTCTCAAGACAACTTTCTTTTCATTTTAATCAATACTTGGAAATAAAACCATCAGAACGTTTACTCTAGTATTAGTTTCCAGTGTTTGTCCCCTCCTATACACAGTCTTTTATTGTGATAGATAACTTTTGCTAGATGCTTATGAGCAAGGGGCACAGCGAGTTAATTTTTCTGAAGAGTTTATGGAGTTTTCTATTTTCAGAATGCAACTTATTTATCACCTAATAAGCAAAATGCTTGCAACGGCTTAAAAACCCACGTTTGAACCTGAAGTTAGAAATTTCTGCTAATAATCAATAACAACGTCTGAAAGGTTTTTTTGAGGCATGTAATGCTGTATCTGCTGGAAATCATAAAACTTCGCTAGAAGTACTCAAACGACAGATCATTTATTGTTTCAACGGAACTCCATTCTAAAGTCTAATGTGATGTAAATAAGCGTTAATTTTCATGACAATTTTATTTTATCTATTATGACCTTTCTACGTTTAAAAAGGACAAATTGTCTGCGTACAACGAGATAATTAGTTTCAATTGAATGACATATATTGTTGGCTAAAGGACAACTAGTTTTTTACCAAAAGTGATAAGAACGAGTTCACTGTACTGCATTTTTAAGAAGAATATGTCAATTTTTTGGGATAAAAAATGGAACAAATCGTTAATGTAGGAAAACCTGTCGACATAGTGCTGACAGAAAGACATTTGCAATGCAATATCTAACATGTAAATATGTACAAGCCACCTAAATCTCCCGGCTCCTCCTTTTACGGTAATACATGATGGACCATCAACTATTTTTTTTTTTATTTTTTTTTGTATATGTATTAAGAACATGTTGGCTCAGTATTAATATTAACGCTCTTCAGAATTTTATAATTGCAGTTGCTGTGTGCTTATTAATAAGAACATTCAAATGCTTATGCACATGTATCTCGCTTTGCCCGAACAGACCATATCAAATACTTGTGAATTAGACTCATCGAATCAATAACCGCTTTTACCCGTGCTTCCTTTGACCATTGTGGTAATTGTACTTAAAATACTAGTGAAGCCAGAAACCTACTCTTCGCTTGTACAGAATTGTTTTCATGCATTTCGGTTCCGAATAGGACGAGTGGCACGAGTCTACGGTTTCCATGACATTTTCGAGAGCGCTAATTTTTGTTTCGCTCAACTGTATACATAAAATAGAAATATTTTTTTGGTGGTTGAAGACACCTCATAAATTGTTATTGAGCAATAACACTCGCTTTCTTTTGTATACCATCCTATTTTTTTCTCTTTTCGCGTCTTCTGGTTTTTTTTTTTTCCTTTCTGAAATTTTTGCCTGTAGTTCAAACATAGCGGTATCATTTTTCGCATATCTTCCAGCTCCTTCAATAAGCACATGAACAAATAGGGTCCTCAATGGTTGAATTTTGCTACTTGACATTTTTATTGAGTCCAGTCTTAGTGTTCTTTCCTGTCAAATCATAGATCATGTTTTTTTTAAAAAAAAGGATATGAGTATGTTTTCAAAAAATCTATTTTTCAAATCTCTCAAAATTTTAAGGCTTTTGTCTCCTGTCTGTAAACGGTCTTGCATTAAATTGGAAACAAAAAATTCTCCCATATTTTTTTTTATGCTGACTTGTCGTAGCTACAGCTCTTTATTTTATTTTTTTGATTTTTTATTTTTTTAACTTCAAATATGCCGATTCTCTCAGTTACATCATCCGTTAATGCAACCAATCAAAATCAAATTGATAACACACAAAATATATCCATTCCTGTTGAAAAGCCTCAGCAATCCAGTTGTAATGGAGAAGATCCGTCCAGTAGTAGTATGAAAAAAGACAAAAGCACTAATCTCAGTAATGGGGGCCTTGACAACGGTCAAGAAGCTGATACAACACAGTCCTCTACCAATGTGTATATGGCTACCGTTGAATATAATACTGGAAAGAGAAAGAAGATCACTTCCTTGATCTCTCGAAGTGAGGATAACTATCCGGTAGATATATCAGATAGACGGTTTAGAAACTCTAGCTTAGGGGCATTGTACGCAGGTTCACGTTTTAAAGGCGTGCAAAAATGCGGCATCAGTAAATATAATGTTTTAGTAGCCATACAGGTAAAAAAAACCACGCGAAACAGGAGTACTTCTTGGTGAAGCGGCTCAATTGATCATATTGTGTGCATCTTTTCATTGATTATAGCATGTTAATATTGAAGAAAGCAAAATTTGTGGATATCTAAATATTGAAGGATTAACAAATGAATGCCCAGAATTAACTGTAAGCTTCTATTGCTATACGAGAGGAATAGTATTCGCTGCTTCATACCACTGACCTTCTCTCCTTTACTAAATAGACATTCTTTGAAGGTGAAATCATTGGTCCCCATTATTCATTTTTGACTAGAAAATGGCAAGCACAACAATATATTGATGCATTACATTGGGTAAGTTAATGCAAGTAGATTGCGATTCAGCCTTTAAACCTTTCTAATTTAGTGAACCTATATGAAAAAAAGGGCAAGTTTCCTTCATTTGAACCGTATCTTCACAATTTCAATGACGATGATTTTACATACGACCCACTGGAGAATGACTTTATTTATATGCGTTGGAAGGAGCATTTTTTAGTACCTGATCATTGTGTTAATAACATCGAAGGAGCTAGTTTTGCTGGATTCTATTATATCTGTTATCAACGATCAACAAACAAAATCAAAGGATTCTACTTCTATCACAACAATCCAGAGTGGTTTCAACAGTTACTTCTCGAACATGATGAAGATCATTCTTTTGCTACGTTCGAATTCCGTTAAAAAGCATTCAGCAAAAGTTCCTTTCGCAGATGCTGCGACTGTTAAACATCAAGACTTACAGACTTGCTTTTATACCTTCTTTTCTGTACATATATAATATGTCTTCCACTGACCTTTTTTGCAACTCAAAGGAAACTTACGCTATATTATCGTACACAAATCATATCCCTCCGATCCCTTGCAGCCATTTTGTTCAGCGTATTGAATTCATTCGTTTATTATTATTTAACTTATCGTATAACTTTTCATCCGAAGCTGTTTCATCTTACATAAAACTATCAAGATGGAGACACTCAACTGAACCAATTTGATGAATGATGTTTTTACACTCTTGGGTGCAGGGATGCTTAGAAGGATATACTAGGTAAGATTAGCACATGCTTAGGTGCAAAGGCATGGAAAGTTTTGGAAGTTATCTGTGCGTTCGTGATTCGTCTGTGTGCATATGTGTAACAATAATTGGTTAGCTTTGAACGAGATAGCTTAAAAAAAGCTTCTACATGTCTGCATTCTTTGAACAGTACTAAACAACCAATGCAGGGTAGCACCATTGCTTACCGTATGATATGATGCTACGCTCTTTCAAGGTTTTGAAATCCATTTATAACAAGCCAGTACCAGACCTGACATTAACCTGGAGGATGGCTTTTCACATTATTGTTTAGTTTTTTCTTCTTGGCTTGTTCCCATGACCTGATTCCAGGCAACACAGGCAAATACAATTTTTAGAGGTATTAAAATCTCGAACTTTCATATGTTTGGTGAAGGATTCTTTGGTCTATGCTTCGGGAAGATGCGGTGGCCCAAACTTGACAAAAGGTAGAGACGATAACCGCGTCATATGAGCTTCCCCCTTAAACTTTGTGTTTCAACGTTTGAATGTCATTTAAGAGGATACTTTTATATAATGATTCTCGCTTACAATCCTCATTATTCTCCTACTTTCTCTACTTTTGCTTTCTTTTTTTCTCCCTCCAAATCACATATTTGAATTGCTTATTACTTATAGTGGGTGCATCATAATGGGCCAAGCAGCTTCAATCACATTAAGCAATAAATCTAATTTGTTGGTCGATATGGACGACTTTTCCAACCGCTTTCATAAAGCGACCGTATCAACAATAACCGTCCCTATGGTCATTATCGCTTTTCCTCTTTTGAATGCATACAAATTTAGCGAAACTGAATATACAGGTGTAAAAATCGTTGACAGTGCTATAGGTGGTTTATTAGGCGTTGTAGGATGTAAAGTATAATTAAAATTGTATCAGGCATCATGTACTCTTCTTGCATTGCATTATCATTGATTATACCTACTCCCTTTTTTTTTTGCAGGGCCATTATCACCTTTCGTTGCATTCTGGTCTGTATACCAAAACTTATTTATAGAAGAACCTAGCAAGTCTTCCGAAGTATCTTCAGAGATGAAGAGCAAAGTTAGAAGAGCAATGGGAATGGATTGCGATAACTTTTACAATATTGCCGTGGTGGGTGCAGCAGGAACGGGAAAGGTTAGACAACTTCAGTATGTCCATTATTGAAGTAACAGAAGATAATGTTTTTCTTTCTCTCACAACAATAGAGTTCTGTGGTGAACGGGATCTTAGGCTACCCGGATACGGATCGATATGCTGCTGCGACGCATGAAAGTGACAACATCAACTATGCACATAGCCAAGAGCCGAGAGGTTATCGTCATCCTGAATTAAGGAGGATGATCTTGTGGGATATGCCAGGTGCAGGTACCACGGACAACAATGAAACTACGTATTTTGACGATTACTATCTAAAAGCATTTGACTCTTTGATCATTGTCACAGCAGAACGGTAAGTTTACTTTGTAGACCAAATTCTGTGTTTAGCCAAATTTGGCGAAACCGAAATTACTTGTGTTCAGCATGTATTTGGAAAAGCACGGAGAATGACTTATTGTTTATACGTAGATTGCAGACGATTGATTTAAATATAGCAGCGAAGGCGCAACAATACAGCATACCTGTCCTATTCGTCAGAAATAAATGTGATCAGGTACAGCATACTTCTTTTTGCTATTCCGTCAATTTCTTCGTTTTAACCAAGTTTGTTGATGTGATATGAACAGTCCGTTGCTTCTAAAATAGTTAGGTATCAACAACAATCCGATACAGTCACTAGTATCAATACACTATGGGCTAAAGCAGTCGGTGAGCTAGTAAAAGAAGTTCGAAAAACCATTTATAAACAGCTGAAAGAGAATAAAATCAGTGCAAAAAAGCTCTTTCTGCTATCTGCTTGGACATTGAGAGAATTGATGGCAACCGTGAATCACCCAGAGTATCTGCAAAATGATATCCGCGTTATCGATGAGCAGCGTTTTGTCCAGGCACTTATGGATGCAGTTCTGAGAAAAAGAAGGAAGCCGTCTCCAGATACAGTTAAATTTCAACAGACTGAGTCGTCCACTAGCAACGAGATGAATAATCCGGTTGACAGTGGCATTTCGATACATGATAATCCGCACACACGGAAAAAAATCGCTACAGTGTAGACCTTATTGTCTATTGTATATTGTTATCCATCTTTCCTCCAATATAAAACTTTGTATATACCCTATTGCAGACAAAACAACTATTCATAAGCTGATTCTTTTGAAAAGCCCACACCAGCAAATAAATAAACATTGCAAGTATGGATCCTCTTTTTCCCTTTTTTTTTGTTAGCATCCTCCTCGATCATACATAGCCGCTGCTTCTTTTGTACAAAAAACCTAATTTGCACTTGTAACCATGTTTTGCAACCGGCATACTGAAATTAATAGTGTGTACAATAACATCAATAAATTTGTTCGCTTATGAAAGACAATTCTTTTTATTCATCAAGTGGTAATAAAGCCGCTGCTACTCTCCTTCCTTCTTCCGCTAACACATTGTACGTTGCAGCTGCATGTTTCTACATAAACAGATGGCAAAATTTGCTTGTAACTAAAACCGTCTCTTCCATCATCTTTTTTTAAATTGCATTAAACTTACTGTATTCATTTGATCAACTTGGATGCCCAGTTTGAAAAAAAATTGGCGAATATGTTCTGGAATAGGGGCCATATCTCTACCTGTGCCGAACATAATCAATTCGGGTTTGGGCGAAACCAACTCAAATATTTTGAAGGCATCCAAGCTCCAATCTTTCATAGGCATATGTGTATTCTCTGACCGAGGCGGTGTTCTCCACAAAAATGGTGTTCCGTTTATTAAGATGAGAGGTTGCTCGACTTTTATATTATTCGATAAAACAAAGCCTTTCTTTGTGATAATCTCAAAACCAACATTGGCTCCTCTATCAAACATGTTGTTAAAGTCTGCCAGCATGCTGTGTGGAATAGCGTTGTTGGCGACAGGCTTTGGAGTTGCCTGATTCGCAATTTTAGAGGGATCTACCTCGGCCTGAGTCCATGCTTCATCAATGTCACTACCTGATTGTTTGTCCTTAAACAGAATGAGGGCTGAGCTGAAGTTGCTCTTTTGTAAAAGACAGGTACTTTGCTTGCTTTTGCGAAGGTTGTTTATGAAAATTGAACGCAACATTACAAACAATTTAGAATAGTAAATATAAAAAATCTGGGGTAAAGTTAAAAAAAAAAAAAAAAACCACAATTGTTGGCGAGGGAGTTCTAATGCTATTCCTACTACAGCCCAGATCAAAGAACTTATTTATTATACATCATTACACGTCCTTTTTAGCATCTAATAGCTTTTCAACTAATCCCTCCTTCGGAAAGGTACCGATCTTAACTTCTTCAGTATCTTCTTCTATATCATCTATGCGGAAAATGCTTCGTCTTGATCGTAGTTGCTTGTCACTCTCCTCGCTGATTTTTTCGGTTATCTCGCCATTCGCAGTATGATTTTGATGGACTGTAGTTGAATGGTTAGGCATACTTGTCATTGCCTCAACTTTGATAAATCCCTCATTGCTTCCAATGCTACTAATACTATTGGAACGGCTTCTATTGCGAGAAGATTCACCGCCACTTATGGAGCCACTACGACTACGTCCACTTATATTATTATAGAATTTGTCCAAAAAGAAGAACACATCGTCAGCCATGTCCGAGTCATCTGTTCTGGTCCAGTTGAAGATGTTCTTATCATCTAACCAATTCATACGTGTCACTTGCTGGAAGAAACCGCTAGCAATTTTAGGTAATTTGCTTGGGGCCGAAGTCCAAGATAAACTACCAGTGCTGGTGGTACGACTGGAAGCAGTGATTGTAGTCGGTGATATTTCGATGGATCTTGAGATATAATTGGCTGCATTATAAAGATGCAAAATAAATGGTTAGCATTGTTAAAATTCTTATTAGATTATGTTGTGCAATTAAGTCATCTTGATACACAAAATAGTATTACATTGCCCTTACCGTCAAAATCGGGAAATACCTTGGGCCCATACTCATTGATCAGTTCCGTTATACTGACTGAAAGTTTTTCACGGCTTTGCCGAAGGGTTTCCGCTCCTTGCGGGTCCATGAGTGCCATTATTGTTGGCTTTATTGATCTACAAAAGTCAATCATTGTGTCAATATGAAATGAGGGTAGGTATTGAAAGAAGCCCGATTGAAAAGATAGCTTACTTGAATATGTCGTGGCCGATTTCTCCAAACTTCATACTCGCATAGGAAACAAATGGCAAACAACACCAAACAGCAAATGGAATGAGTAACTTCCATTTAAATGCTAGATCAGTTTGTAGTACAACGACGAACATGACCAAACTATAGGTTGCATATAATGTGGGTATTAATACTAAGCCAACCAACAATTTCCAAGTTGCTAACACATCACGTCCTGCGATCTTGACTGTTGAGCTTTTCAAGGCAGCTGTTGAATTTAGGGTGGAATTTGCGTGAGCGATTCTTCAATAATAAATGCAAATAATTATTTGATATTGCGTTACCTTTTGCCTTTTTTTCGCTGATGAGCTTAGCAACAATAACAACGGGAAGATTCAAAATAGCGCCAGGAAAGGACCATAAACCCAAAAAGATGAGAATCGAGATACGCTTCATTAATAGATACAAGAGTCGACCATTATTCTCCGTTGTCGTTTTGTTCACCTGATGATCTTTGATGCCGTAGTATTTCAACAACTGATTGTAAGCCATCACTTTTTGTTCCAAGTCATTCACCTTGGGATCGTCTTTAAAGACATTATATCCGATCAAGAATCTTCTGTTTAAATCCACTACTTGTGATAAGTGTAACTTTGTATGGGCTGGTTTATACAATCGTCTAGCAGCTTGTATCAACTACGCGATAGAATATAAATGAATGAATTGATATGATGGCATAGAATTTTCTTCTTGCTCCTACCATAAGTGTCTCATAACTTCCCGCATTAATTGTAACTGTTTTCAAAGCATTATAAATATTGTCCAGTAACGTAGAGCAGGCTTCTCTCTTCGACGCGCCTCCTGCTTTAAATTTCTGTACGAGTTCAGAAGAAACGGTGATTGGACTTCCAAATTCAATAACAGCACGAGATCGAAAGCGATGAGCATGAAAGTAATTCAAACCTTAATACATAGAAAGGAATTGAAAACAAAAAAAAGAAAAAAAAAAATTAGCTTTTCTTTGATCTGTCTGTTCGCAAATCAAAATTATTTTTTACCGCAAGGAACAATTTTGACGTCCAAACCGTCATATTTCGCCATGGCGCCTAAGGCCATCAATGTGACACCGGCTGATAATGTTTGCATCAATCCCCAACAACAATAGCAAATAAAGTTGTATTTGTTATTGTCTTGGATAAATACATTCGTCCGCTGATTTTCGAAGAATATGTCATCTTACCTTTCAATGGCAACATGGCAGCTCTATCATGGCTTCCGCCTTCAGGAAAAATGGTGATACACCCGCCATCGTTCAATTCTTTATGGACCGCTTTGTATACCTTGTCTTGCTCGACGTGGGGCATGCATTTATAAGCTGTTCCTTCTGACCTAGTCAATACTTCCAAAGCTTTCAATTCTTTGAATTCTCGTTTAATCAAAACTTCAGTGTCTGAAATAACCTTGTCTATTTCAGAAACACCTACACCTTTAGGTAAAACAATTGAATCCTTGGGCCGTAATTGTTTGGTGAATTGGGTATCAATGCCTGTGATTCGAAGAGGATCTGTTTTACGATTCAATAATTGGATTCGGCCTTGCCCTGGTTTTGCTAAATCTTGTGGACGTATTACAGGAACTAGATAGGGAAGAATGTGAGTCAAGATATAGGAGCAAGACAGATGGCAGAATAAATGATAAAAAGACTCCCTTACTTGCACCAATCATTCTGGCAAAGGTCCCTATACCTTTTTCATGCATTGATTTTTCCGCTATCAAAAATGAAGCACTTCTTCGGCATTCTCTCATAAGGATAATAGGATCGACGAACTTTGGTTCGAAGAGTTCGGATCAGTACGCCATAAACTACACGGGAAAACATTTGAAATGTCAAAACTCACTTGATTTGCATGGGGAGCAGCAACGAATATAACTGGCCCTTCTTTGGGTATCTTGTGTGAGCCTCTTGATCTCACTTCTCTGAAGAAAATAGTCAACATAATGTTGAAAATCCACAGAGCTAGGTTATAGGTGAATCTTTGTACAAACGACTTCATCAGTGTATTCTTTTATTATAACATTTACAAAAAAAAAAAAGGAAAAGGTAGGAAGGGAATCGAATAAAAGATGATGAAAAAGTTGAGAAATAGAAAGAAAGAAAGGTAGTCAGGGCAAAAGGGAAACAAGAATTTAAAAAATCCTGGATTGTGGTTACAATATAGCCTACACTGCTATTATAAGCTTTTTAGTAGCAGTTTGCACAGCTGTATATTTTTCTGAGTACATTTAGCTCAGTTTCAACCTTATTAAGTTGTACCATCACCATCACATAATGTTCCTTAAAACACGTCAACGTATATTTGAAGGCATTCCGTCACAACTAAAAAGCATCTCACTAGGGGGTTATTTACGTTTATTTCGAGCAAACCATATACACATTAAGTGGAGAGAAGGTATCTCATTGTATTTTAAGCATTTGGAATGAAACAAGAATCAAACCTGTAGCCCTTCAGTGGCATGATGCTTTTCTATTTAATTGTTAACATGTCAATGTAGGGAAAGCTGTGTATATAAATAGCTGTCTTATTGTGAAGGTGATAAGTAAGCTTTTCTTGCTTAAAATTGAATGTTGTTATTGATATGAAAGGTTAATGTACAAAATTATTTTAGTGTTTAAACGGATTGGTTTTGCCATCCATGATCAGTGAACCTAGGGTTCCTTCTTTACAACATCCATCTCTTGTAAAACCCTTAGCCACTCAGTACCTGCTTCCTTCCTCATCGCTTCAATTCGTTTTCTAAACGCCTCTGAAGAGTTTGTCGAAGAACCATTTGTCGTCGCTAAATTACCGTTGGACGCATGGTCCGAAGAACCGAGAAGTGAGGATTTTTCAGCTGTTTTAGTGTTCTTTTTACTCTTCCGTGATTGAACAGAAGTTGCTTTGTTTGCCACCTTAGCATCGTATTGAACTGCATCTTCCAAATCTGCTAATCGGTGTACATGTTTCTTGTTGCTGCTGCTCTCTTCCGAATTTGCAAAAGCAGCTTCAGGTATTCCGTTGGTTTTAGCCTGTCCCAACCGAACCTGCCGTTTGTTATTCTTTGTTTTGGCTCTGACTAATTTGTTTGCTTTTGCAGATGAATCGACAGATTTGTCTTCTAACGTAGTTTGTGGTGTTGGCCATTTCGTGGCAGTAGTTGCTGTACTCGTCGTTGTAACATCGTCCGGTTTTCTTACAATATTGACCGCAGCAGTATTGGATGATGCGCTGGGAGAGGGTGCTGGTGTTTTGATACGGCGCCGTTCAGCAAATGTTGGTTTTGTACCGTCTAGTTGAATGTCAAGGTCATTCTTTTTGAATACATTGAATATTTCAATTCTATAGTCATCCTAATACAGTATCGAAAAGCGAAACATGTGAGCAATAGGATTACTTTCTCATTTAAACAAAAAGAGGGTGGGAGGGTGGGAGTCCTTATTTGGTTTACCTGCAATTTGGTAAAGGGATTTCCTTCCACCCATATATCATGGATATTAGGTAATGGAGTTAATCTGCCAACCTCAGCACTGTCCTCGATACGGTTATCCCGTATGTCGAGCCTTTCTAAAGCCCATAAACGATCTAAGCCAGCCAATACTGTTAACCGATTTCCTCTCAGATCCAATTCTTGAATATTCCCTAGCACTGTATTAATGCCCGTTATAAATGATATCATGTTGTGCGATAAATTCAAGGATGTTAAATTGAAGAGTAGGGATAATGCAGATGGTATATCAATTAATAAGTTGCTAGACAAATTCAGATGCGTTACACTTCGAATATGCTGGACGAGCTCATCATCGATTGTGGTTAAGCTGTTATCTTGGAGGGATAGCATTTTAAGATTCGGCCACAAAGAAGAGAGTGTGCTTTGTTTATCAGAAGCTATGGTTGCTTCAGATGGTGAAACGGGTGCTGCTGGTACCTTTATTATATCTATTGCGTTATCAACTGATCCTGATTTGATAATTAAGCTTGTCAACTGTGGTCGTACACTATCCAAATCAACACAACGAGGACTCGTGTTGGATAGTTCTAGGAACTTTAAGCTTTTAAAACAATGTAAAGGCAGGACGATGGAGCCATCTTGCGATAAAGGTTGTTCATAGCCACGAATGGTGCGCTGACTGGTGACACGTTTTCCCTGAGTATCTGCCATTAAATTCATATGTAATCGAAGTGATGTAACTTTGCTTAGGTAACGGTGAATATAAATAATATCCTCGTGTAAAGGGCGTTCTGCTGCTAATGCTGATTTTTTATTAGACCAAAATTGCCAGCCGGTAGAAAGAGACAGTGTCGACATAACTGACCCTACAGACATTATCGATGGAGGCTTTCTATCTACATGAGCATTTTCAGTCATATTTGATGTTGTTTCAGTTTCAACGAGACCGTTCGCTGGGACAGGTAAAGGAGATTCTCCTCCCTCTTCTAATCCCAATTGTTCAAATTGCACAAGTAAGAAATATAAATAGTGGATATCCAAAGTCAAACATGAGCGTTGCGGTATGTAGGGTATATTGGCGATAGCCGTTGTTTCAGGCGAAGCCGCGCCTAACAACGACATATATGGAAAGGGTATAGTGTTTAAAGGGTTCGACCGTTGTCGTGCACTGTTATTATAAGCGTCATTCATTGATGATGACGAGACTGAACGCGCCGAAAGTGATCTGTTGTCTGATGCATTAGAAGACCAAAGTGAGGTGAAGGCTCGAATTAGACTTGGAGAATCCTCGACAGACTCTCTCACAACAACAGGAGGTGGAGGTTGAGACAAATTCAATGTTGATTGAGGCAACAAAAGTCGTCCCTCGTTTGCCTCTAAATACTGCCTCAAAGTCCTGATAAACTGTTCACCTGGAACGGAAAGTGTCATCTTTTCGCGAGAAGATGCAACTTTGCTAAGTTGAGGGGTGATGCTTGAACAAAAAAAAAATCAAAAGTTGCAGAAAGCATTGTTCATAATACATAAAGCAGCAGGACAAAAAAATGGCGGTAATTCAATATGATGTAATGTCTGTTCTTTTGAGAACGTACATTGCTCAAAGAGCTACTACACAATCTTTTCAAAGCAATTCATCTGCGCCGCATATGACTTGGAAGATGCTTAGATTGGGTATGATTTTCTATGCCGTGTCTTCTGTTGAATACACCGATGGCAAGACGCCCCATAAACCTCTTTAATTATTCACGATTTTCTCTTCCAGAAAACAATCAGAAAAGGAAGCACGATATCTCAAAAGCTCCAGTGTATAAATACACTTGACGATATTGTCTTATACGCAGATACAGTTAGAACTTACTATTTTTGGCACAGCCATCATCGATCCTCAATGTTCTTGTACGCGAATAGAAAAAATAATAAAAGAAAAGCTCCATTCCGCTTCGTAACACTGTAAAAAAGTCTCAATCTGTCCAACACTAGCTAGTGGTCATTTAATCTATGCATCTGTTAGAATTTGATTCGAACTGAAAGTGTTTCATAAGAATAGTTTATTTCTTCAATTGTGTAGAAATATAACGAATGCGTCCCACTTTATTCTTCGTCAGCAGCAGCGGCCTTCTTTTCATCGCCAGTAGCACGAGCTATAGCAAAAAAAGGGTTAACGACCACAGTCTAAGAACAAAATAATGAAATAAAGAAAAAGTATGTACTTACTGTAGATGATTTGAGCGTGGTGACGAGAGACGGGTTTAATCAAACCTTGAGCTTCGAGTTCACGAATAGCAAGACGAGCCAAAGAACCGTTCAACTTGAGACGATCGACCAAGACGGATTGAGAGATGAGCTTGTAGGTGGGAACTTCCTTCATCATACGTTCGTAGGTAGGCTTGTCGAGCATGACAATGTTGTTGGCCTTATCCTTGACCTTCTTGGCGGACCACTTCTTCTTAGCCTTCTTACCACCAGATGAGGAGCTGGGCTTACCGGCAACGTCTTTCTTAGCCTAAATTACGAATCAGTGCAGTAGCATTGAGAAAATGCAAGAAGGTCAGTTTCCATAAATTCAATCAGTTGGTGACCCATCCCATTATTCATCCGTTTTTTTTTTATTTATCATCCGTTCATCCATCCATTTCTATTTAAACGATCGATCCATCCATCATCTTCCATTCGTAGATGTCTCCCTTTTAGTGTGATATTGGCATGCACATTACCATTTGAATTTATTGAGGAAGATTTCAAAATAGGTTCTCCAGAAATGCTAATTCATATACTCCATCCCACTCCTTCTTCGCCCAGTTCGCTGTGTGCTGGGTTGGTTTTTGCTTCTCAGGGCTTCTCCGAACACTTTTTGATTTCCCGCTTTTTTCTTTTTTCCTCTTTGTAATTGAAAGATTTCGTTGTGTTCCCCTTTTCATGAATATCAAATTTCAGTGCTCACTGAATGGAAATAAGCGAAGAAGAATACAAACTAGCAAAAGAGGCACATGTAGCCAACTGCACCGGTGGGAGCATATTAGAAATTAACATGCTTTGTGGCTGCTTCGTGGTAATAATCTAAGCTGTACAACGGCTCAAGTTGCGGACAATGCAGATACTTATCATTTTTTTAGAGTTCGCATATGCTTTGGATCTCTCTATTACAATCGAACAAGATAAAGCCAAACATGTTTACAGTACAGTTTTTGATTTATGCTCTGCCCATATTATTGTGTATGACTATAGCATCAAATTACGTGTCCTATATTACAATTGGAATCGCTACACTAGCTATCATTATCAAGGCTTTGTCCACATCAACACCGGCGGAGGAGGCAAAAGAAAAGAAAAAAAGCGTGACTCCTGTTAACCAGCATAAGCCTTATTTAACGGTTTATCGCGGTGCTTTGATGATTATGACATGCATTGCTATATTGGCTGTTGATTTTCAATTTTTTCCACGACGATTTGCCAAAGTCGAAACGTTCGGGACATCATTGGTAACATAATATGAGAAGTGAAAGCATGCCAGAGAGAGAGAGAGAGAGACTAAAAGAGAAAAGAACTGGTCCGCCTACTAGATGGACATAGGTGTCGGCTCGTTTGTCTTCTCTTCGGGCGTCGTAGCCTCAAAAGCCTATGTCAACCGACACAATTCATTTTACAAAAGTTTTTTGAATTCGTTCCGATCGGCTCTGCCTATTTTAGCGCTCGGTTTTGCACGATTGTTTTTAACGAAAAGCGTGAATTATCAAGAACACACCTCAGAATATGGACTACACTGGAATTTTTTCTTCACGTTGGGATTTTTACCACCGTTTGTCACTGTACTTGGGTTCCTTAGGAAATTTGCACCCTTCTCAGTGTTGGGAGTTCTGATTGCTACTTTATATCAGTGGGCATTGACTTTCTTCAGATTGCAAGATTGGATATTGAACGCGGCGCGAACAGATTTGTTGAGTGCCAACAAAGAAGGCATTTGCAGCTTTTTGGGCTATCTCTCCATCTTTTTATTTGGGTTACAATGTGGTGTAATCCTATTCCAAGAAAACATCTCAGTATCCGGGTTGTCTAAAGTTCTTTACGTGCAGAAGAAGGGTGATCTGCACCAAAAGTTAACTCACTTAACCGTATACAGTTTGCTTATGTGGTTAAGCTTCTTTTCATATGTGTTCCTCATGCCTAATGATTACGTATCAAGAAGAATGGTAAAGTATTTCGAGGCTGCTCATTCGATTTTTTTTTTCTTTAAAAGTTCGATGATGGGCATCAACGCGTGGTACTCAGTAGTTTTTTATTTATTTTTTCTGAGTGGGAGGGATGGAAAGGAAAGGAGAAGGGAGGGTTCAAAGAATGTTTCGATCCCAACTTTTCATACTCACTACCCTTTGTTCGTTTTATGTAGGCAAACCTACCCTATATCTTTTGGGTTATCGCCTTCAATTTGACACTGTTAAGCTGTATTATTGTGGTAGAATTAAAAATGAACGCTAGTACTCTGAAGCCACCCTTTTTGGATGCTATTAACATGAACGGGCTATTTACTTTCCTGCTGGTAAGAAGCATTCATGTGAAATAGAATAGTATGGGCATGTTCTCATTTTCTTCTTTCAAAAGGCTAACGTGCTAACTGGTGCCATCAACTTGAGTATCAGAACACTCTATATGGACGACTTTTCAGCTTTGCTTATTAATGTGTGTTACTTGATCGTTATCACTCTTGTGCCTTGGGTTCTATGGAGGCGATACAACATCAGGGTGAAGATCTGACTGAGTTTATAAAGAATGAACAATAGCGAAAAATAAAAAAAAAAAAAAAATACAGCAGTCATCAAATTTTGGTTTTTTTCATTTTTTCTTCAACTTCGCTCTCTTTTTTTGTATCTATTTTTTTTTTTTAACTTGTGTGTGTAGAGAAAAAAAAAAGTGCTTACTTTTCTTTGCCTTATATCTAACACAGTGAAGTCTTCTAATTTATTAATTCTATTTATCACTTATTAACGTCTCAGTTAGCCTAAGTAAAGGTGTACATTCTTCCATTATACGCGTTTCCTATATCTATTTATTTTTTACAAGCGGAACCCAGTTCTCTTATTCCTTGTGATATTTTTACCAGCATTGATACTTTCATTTCTATCTTAACTGAAAAAAGAAAGAGTTTTTCAGCATGAACCATTATGCGAGCAACAATATCTTTACAGATACAGAATCAGAATCGGATGATGTGATTATAAATAGAGCACCCAACGGCGAAACATCAGTAGATATCCATTTAATGGACGATACAACGGACGATGAAAATGCTTTGAGTCCACAAAGCTCACCCTCAAATCTATCAGTTACATCAGAAGAAGCAGACCTGAGTAGCTTGAACAACGATAGTACTGAACAGCAAAACGACAACATTGCAGACGATACCTACCTAGACCCTGAGTTGTACTGCCTAAGACGCTCAGCGAGACAAAAACAACGCAAAAGTATCACTGTAAAGTATAGAAAAAAATAAAAATTCATCTTACATAATACGTTGAATCCAAAATTCTAAAAAATAACAAATGATTTTACCCCTCTTTTATAATTTCAGCCTGCTCAATCCTTTGATTCAGAAGATACAACCTATACAACAACAGATGAAGATGAAATACCAGACAATGACTCTGATGACGATGATTACGGTGGACCAGCCATCAAACGAAAACCAGTCAATAACAGTAGCAGAAAATCAACAAGACGTTCAACTGTAGCTCAAAAACAAGGTAAGGTGTGAACATTTTAGACTGTTGCTAATATTCCGTGTAACCCACACTCTTTTGTTTGTTTGTTGTTTTTCTTTTTTGCGTTTTTTTTATTGTTAGTAACAGAAATCGATGCAAGTGAAGAAGAGTCAGTCACTGAAGAAGAATCCGATGATGAATGGGGAGCGTCTGTAAATAGAAAGCGCAGACTAAAGCGTAGAAATCGATCCTTAAAGCAAACTCATAATACCAAACGTAAGTCTCAAAGAAATAAGCAAAATAGATGAGAACGTTTTGTCTGTCTTTTATTCATTCCTCTTTTCTATTGACCAGGTTCTATCTCACCCAGCGATTATTCAAGGCATTCAACACGTACGCGTAAAGTTACAAATTACAATGAAGATAGTCTATGGGGCTTGTCCGATGAGGACGAGGAAGAACTCACACAAGCCTACACGCCCGCTGCTACTGAAGAAGAAGAGGGCGAAGTCATTGAAGCTGTTTTAGATCACCGTAGAAAAGACGGCTATGGTAAATATCCCTCTCCCTCCTCATGCTCACTTATTTGTACTGACATTGCTTCACATCTCTTGCGTAGAAGACGGCCCTGATGTGCCAGAAGAAAATATAGAATACCTAATCAAATGGAAAACATGGTCCCATTTGCATGATACCTGGGATGATTATAGGTTCCTGAGTTCTTTCAAAGGCTTCAGGAAAGTTGAAAACTATATCAACAAGATGCACGAAGAGCAGTCATTCCGTTCACACAGCGAAACAACCAAAGAAGAAATTGAACAGCAGGATATCAACCTCTCACGACTGCGTGATGAGATCAAAGACTGGCAGACCGTGGAGCGTATTATCGCTATGCGAGGCTCTCCACCTGACATCCAATACTTTGTGAAATGGAAGCGACTTCATTACAACGAATGCACCTGGGAAGATTCTGATGTTATCTCCAACGATTATCAATCTGAAATTGATGACTTTTTAGACCGAGAACAGAACGTTCATATTCCACACCGTTCAAAAACATACCCGAAAGGTCAAAGACCAGCTTATGCACGCTTCACAACCCAGCCGTCGTTCATCACGGGAGGCGAACTTCGTGATTACCAGCTGCATGGTGTGAACTGGATGTACTGGCTCTGGTGTCGAAATGAAAATGGCATCTTGGCGGACGAGATGGGACTTGGTAAAACTGTGCAAACGATCAGTTTCTTAAACACGCTGTATCACTCCTGCGAACTGTATGGCCCTTTCTTGATTGTCGTGCCTCTATCGACTTCTGACAATTGGATGCAAGAATTCAAGCAATGGGCTCCTCAAATGAACGTGATTGCTTACCTTGGCAATAAGGCGGCGAGAGAGGTGATTCGTAACAACGAATTTTACATTCCTGGCACCAAACGCATCAAATTGAATGTTATTATCACCACGTACGAGATTGTCCTGAAAGATAAAGACTTTTTGGGTTCGATTCGTTGGCAGTACTTGGCTGTGGACGAAGCACATCGTCTGAAAAACGCCGACTCTCAGTTATATGAAGTGCTGTCGAGCTTCCACACGGTCAACCGCTTGCTGATCACGGGTACGCCTCTGCAAAACAATATCAAGGAACTCCTGGCGCTGGTGCGTTTCTTAATGCCCAGTATGGATCTGAGCGAATACAACTTTGACCTGGATATACAAGATGCCAACCAGGAAGAGAAAATCAAGGCACTTCATTCGAGCATTAACAGGATCATGTTGCGTCGTTTGAAAAAGGATGTTGAAAAGTCACTGCCTAGCAAGACCGAGCGCATTCTCCGGGTAGAGATGAGCGAACTACAAAAGACATACTATAAACACATTCTGGCCAAGAACTTTGAACTGCTTTCAGCCGGTGCAGATGGTGCGAAAAAGCAATGGTTGAACATTGCGATTGAATTGAAAAAGGCTAGTAACCACCCTTTCCTGTTCCCAGATGCTGAAACACCCTCCAATAGTCGCATAACTCAACTGAAAGGGATTGTTGAAAACTCTGGAAAGATGGTCTTGCTGGACAAGTTGTTGGCACGTTTGAAAACGGATGGTCATCGTGTGCTTATCTTTTCGCAATTGGTGATGATGCTGGACATTCTCTCTGATTACATGTCGTTACGAGGCCACCCTTTTCAACGTCTCGATGGTTCGATGAAGCCAGAAGATCGCAATAAGGCGATTGAACATTTCAACGCACCGAATAGTCCTGACTTTGTCTTTTTGCTGTCCACGCGAGCGGGTGGTATGGGTATCAATTTAGTAACAGCGGATACGGTGATTATCTTTGATTCGGATTGGAACCCTCAGAACGATTTGCAAGCCATGTCGCGTGCCCATCGTATTGGACAGACGAAATCTGTCAACGTGTATCGGTTTGTGACCAAAGGCACGATGGAGGAAGACATCATTGAACGCGCCAAACGAAAGATGGTGCTCGAATACTGTGTCATCAAACAGATGGATACGTCTGGGCTTTCCCTTTTGGAACAGCAGACGTTGACGACAGCGACAGGCAAAAACCGAGAGCTCCCTTTCAACAAAGCCGAGATGTCGGCTGTTTTGAAATTTGGTGCGAAAAACATGTTTGAGTCGACGGGCAATACAGAAACGATGAAAGAGATGGATTTGGATGATATTTTAGCTCGTGCTGAGCAGACAGAAACACTCAATGACCAAGACAGCAGCGCGCTTGGCTCAGAAGACTTTTTAGCACAGTTCCGAATTACAGATTATGCGGCCGAGAACTTGACGTGGGATGAGATTATTCCAGCGGAAGAGCGTGCTAAGATAGAAGAAGAAAAAGCCAAAGAAGACCAGCTTGGTTTACTTGAACGGGCTGCTAAAAAGGGCCGCATTCAGTACAACGAAGATGCCGGTGACATCAACGACGACGAAGGCTCACAAACGAATGGTGGCAAACGCAAGCGTGGTCATGGCTCGGGCTCAGGCAGCAGTCGTAAGCGACAGAATACGGGCAAACGCAACGAGCTTACCGAACGTGACCGACGAGCCGTTGTCCGCGCCGTTCTCAAATATGGCGACGTGGGTGCGCGCTACGATGAAGTGGCGAAAGATTTTGATCTGCAGCAGCATGATAAGCAGGTGATCATTGACTTTAGTAATGAGCTTATTGACGAATGCAGGACGCAGGTACGTGAACAAGCGCTCGCGAGCCACGCGTTCCCTGTGGAAGACGGCGAGATTACAGAAGATATGCTGATTGGCGAGCTTCGTCATACGAAGCAGAAGGCCATCTTGTTCACATGGCGTGATATACAGAGCGTCAATGCGGGACAGATTCTGCAACGTCAGCATGATATGAAGATATTGGCGCGTCGTCTGAATGCCCTACCTGACCGACTCAAATTCCGTGTTTCACTTGGAGCAAAACGTGTTCAGGGGTGGTCTTGTGCTTGGGGACCTAAAGAGGATGCCATGTTACTGGTGGGTGTGCATACGCATGGTTTTGGTTCTTGGCCAGCGATTCAGAAGGATACTCCGTTAGGCTTATCGGATAAATTCTTCATCAATAACAATGAGGAAGAGGAGAAAAAGACGCCTAAAGCAATTCATCTTGTACGTAGAGCAGAACAGATGATGAAGATCTTGGCTGAGGAAGAGAAAATGAGAGAGAAGAAGAAGAAGACCTCTTCTTCTTCTTCTTCCTCGGCCTCCATCTCACTCACCGCCTCTCTGAAGAAAGGCCCCCATGCGAAACAACAGCAAAAGCAGCCATCGCTGCATGCCAAATCCGATGGAAATTCAGCTCACGCAATAAAGGACAAATCATCGCCTATGAAGAGAACAAAGAGTTTAACAAAGCAGCAGCCAAGTCGTTCGACATCGATCCGTTCGGAAAGTAGTGTTAGTCCGAGTGCCATTAGAAAACGCAAGTCTCGTGATGAAGAGGAGGAGGAGGAGGAAAGCATGGAAAGCAGAAAACCAGAAAAAGAAAACAAGATACCAAAGAAAAATCACGAGGACTTTGAAGAGTTGATGGCGTATGCATTGATGCGACCCGTCAAGCCAGAATTACAACGTCTGAAAAACGATTCGAGTAAAGCAGAAGGTACAGAAAAAACAAAGATTATCAAAGAATGCATGTTGACCATCGGCCATCATATCAAGAAACAATTGGCAAAACATCCTCAACATCCCCACCTGCAACGTGAGCTGTGGATCTATACGACACGATTCTGGCCGGGCCTCAATGTGACGTATAAGGACTTGATGAATGTGTATGACAAATTAGTCGTTGCCATCGATGGTCAGCAGGCAGAGACACATCATCACACGAAGCAAGCAAGCACCAGCCCTGATACGCCTTCACCTCCATCCAAGCATGCAGCAGGCTATCGGGCTGATCCATCCCCCTCCTCCTCTCGTCGGCGGCGCGATTCTCCATCCCCCTCGTCGACGACAAAGCATGCGAGCAGCCGCCGTCGTCATCACTCACGCTCCGTGTCTCCTTCTTCGTCAAGGCGTTCAGGACATCATCATCATCATCATAAGCATCATCATTATCGCACGCATCATCAGCACTCACGCTCTCGTTCTCGCTCGGCTTCGAGGCATAGTCATAGTCGTCGACGCCAACGTTCTCGATCGCCCTCCATGACTGTGTCAAGGCATTCTGGACGTCGTCCTCATCACTCTCGGTCTCCCTCGAAACACGGCCATCGTCGACGATCGCATCACTCGCGGTCTCCCACCAAGCACACGACGCAACACAACAACAGCAGTAGCAGCAGCCACCACCATGCGACGCCTGTTCCGTCCCCCACGGATCGTCCTCATGCACACCATGGCAATGGTAGCACGAGTACGAGTCAACAACAGACGCGCTCACCTCCCTCGCCTTTGCACCCTCACTCCTCTCATCCCAAGTCCACCTCTACCTCCTCCTCCTCCCATCGCCGCCGTTCTTCGGGTAGTAGTAGTCATAGTAGTAGCAGCAACAGTCATAGCAGTAGGCAACGATCGAGTTCTCGGTCGCGGCGAGAAGAGGATCGACGTCGTTGATGGATGGGGTTGTAAATAGGTAGAAAAAGTAGAAATGAAGAAAAAAAGCAAATCATGATTTGTTTGTTACATACATCTCTTCTTTTCATGATGTGTTTGTTTCAATACATATATCTCTCTCTCTTTTCTTTTTCAAAAAAAAAAAAGAAAAAAAAAGCAAATCTATTTTTGTTTGTAATAAAAGACTCTTTTGTTTTGTACTTTATATTGAGGAAAAACGCAATGATGTGGACACTTTTGTCTCTTTTTATAATGTGTCCGTTTGAAGAGAATGTATGACATTGTTGTCCTTTCAATGAGGGGAAGCATTTCTTTAGAGTTGAAAAAAAGAGAAAAGCCGGTGCCTTTCTTTTATGTAAATGATGTGAAAAAAGAGACAATACCAAGTAAGGCAGAACCAAGAAAAAGTGGCTCTTGTTTTGTTTATAGGCGTCTTTTGAAAGAAGCCAAGAAAGAAAGAAAGAAAGAAAAAAAGTAGATCATTGATGGTTATAGAAAACGGTTTTCATCAGTTCTGTCAACTCGTACATTTTGCGCAGAATCTCACCGGAAATGCGATAGTGCTGCCTATCGATGACGCGAGGTGGGCTTTTGCTGCGATTTTTAGAATAATGGGCCTCTTGTTCTTGGTCTTGCATGTCTTGTTCTTCGTCGTCGTCGTCGTTGTCGTCGGCGGCGGCCGCCGCAGCGAGATGAAATTTGGCTTTGGAGGTGGAGGGAGCCTTCTTTTTGATGGTGGCTTCAATTTTAGCCCGTTTGTCTTCCACGACATCCTCCCCTTCCAAACGTAGGTACAATTCATGCGCCTCCTCATAGTGGACGAGGATCAAATCGACATCGCGCTCACAACAATAAGGACAGAAAGGACAGCCATATTGCGGCTCAAAAGCCTCTGCGTGCACATTTTCGGCCTTCAGTTCCAAATCGATATTGTGTCTTTTTTCGTAATGATGGAGGATTTGCGAAGGGTTATCACAAATGTAGTTGCACGCCAAACAGGGGTATTCTACATGAGGCACCATGATGGAATTTTTATAAGTCATTCAAAAGGGTAAAAAAAAGCAGAAATGTTGGGAATCGTTTGGATCAAAAAAGAAATAGAGAAAAGAGGCATTCAATCAGTGTTTTTGAATACTATACTGTGTTTTGTTATAGAAACATGATGTGCAATGCGTTGATATATTATATCCGTGATTATTTTTTCATGCACCCAGTTTAACGAGTGTCTCTGTAAGAGAGAGAGAGAGCACGGGTTTGAGTTTTTCTTTAGGCATCGTCTAGAGATCAGCCCAGACAATGGTTGAGAAAGAAGATCTATTGTAGAAAGCAGTTTGGGCATGTCTTGTGAACCTGGCAAAAGTTCTCCATCGCTCTTTACGCGTCCTTCTTCATTGCCAGTGCTCACCGCCCCCCCCCCCAATGAGAATCTTTATCCCGCGCTTATCAACATGATCGAACGATCTACGAGTCACCTTTTGTTGCCTGTGGAAAGAGTGCAGGGTAAGCACCTGGGCATTCTCTCTATCCATGTCTGTGGGTCTTTGAGGCACTCCTCGTCATCTTGTAGTAGAAAAGAAAGCTTACATGGAGAATGGATGCCCATTCTATCTCTATCAAGAAAAAGAAAAAATGCCCGCTTTACTCTTTTCTTTTTTTTTTTTTCTTTTTTGTATGTTTCATTTCTCTCGGGCTATCATTCATCGATCAAAATATTTTTTTTTCAACCCCGTTTTTAGGTAGCACAAATGGTTGGAAGCATAAAGTTTTTCAAAGTTTAGCGTGTTTCCGAACGAAAAAAAAAGAAAAGAAATCACAGCATGAAACAAGAAATTTTTTTCTTACTATGACATAGATATGAACATTAGATATCAACAAGCACATCAAGTATAACAATACTACTGATTTTATGTTACAGATTGAAACAAAAAAAAGAACAGAAGAAAGGATTCTGCTCTCTTTTTTTTATTGATATGAAGCTTTATTTATATATATACATATATATATTGGATGAATTTAATTATATGCACAGAGGATTAAAGAAAATGATGATTTAAATGAGGTTCAAGTTATTTAAAGAGCACCATCAACCTTGGCAGCGTGGACAAGGAGATCGACGACACGGTTGGAGTAACCGTATTCGTTATCGTACCAAGAGACGAGCTTGACGAAGGTGGGGGTGAGTTGGATACCGGCAGCAGCATCGAAGACGGAAGAGCACTTTTCACCGTAGAAGTCAGAGGAGACGACAGCATCTTCAGTGTAACCGAGGACACCCTTCATTTCGTTTTCAGAGGCCTTCTTGACGGCAGCCTTGATTTCTTCGTAGGTGGTTTCCTTTTCGAGGTTGACAGTAAGATCAACAACGGAGACATCGAGAGTAGGGACACGGAAAGCCATACCAGTGAGCTTACCGTTGAGAGAAGGAATGACCTTACCGACAGCCTTGGCAGCACCAGTGGAAGAGGGGATGATGTTACCGGCAGCGGCACGACCACCACGCCAGTCCTTTTGAGAGGGACCGTCAACAGTCTTTTGGGTAGCAGTGGTAGCGTGGACAGTGGTCATCAAACCTTCCTTGATACCAAAGTTATCGTTGATAACCTTGGCAAGAGGGGCCAAACAGTTGGTGGTACAAGAGGCGTTGGAGATGATTTGGTATTCAGACTTGTAGGCATCCAAGTTGACACCACAGACGAACATAGGGGCATCAGCAGAGGGAGCAGAGATGATGACCTTCTTGGCACCACCCTTCAAGTGAGCAGAGGCACCTTCGATCTTGGTGAAGACACTGTAGGAATAAACAAGACAAATAGGATACATTAGAGAAAAAAAAACACGTCAAACGATGCCATCCCCAATAACACGGATATCTTTAAACTTACCCAGTGGATTCAACAACGTAGTCAGCACCATCCTTGGCCCAAGGAATGTTGGAGGGATCACGTTCGGTGTGGACGGAGATTTCGTTACCGTTGACAACGAGCTTACCGTTCTTGACTTCAACGGAACCGGGGAAACGACCGTGGACGGTATCGTACTTCAACATGTAGACCATGTATTCAAGAGGGATGAAAGGATCGTTGATGGCAGTGACTTGGACATTCTTGTTGTCCATGGAGGCACGGAGGACAATACGACCAATACGACCGAAACCGTTAATACCGACTTTGACAACCATTGTGAATTAATAAATATATAGAATTTATCTGAAGGAAAAACAGAAAAAGAAGAAAAAGAAAACTTTTGGGTTGCTCAAAAATATCGACCTTTATATAATTTTCCACTCAAATTTCATGGGTATTTTCGCGGTTAAATTGGGTTTTGGAATTGGGCATTTCGGATCCAATAAAAGAGAAAATTTGTGACCTGATTTGGGATAAAGGCCAAAAGGGAAAAAAATGGACTCAGTCAGACATATTTTTTTTTATTTTTTTTTCATCAGTCCAAGACAAGCAAAGCAAGATACAGAGAGATATAGCTTTGATAACGTGTCATTGATTGTCCGCTTTTTAAAGTTTTTTTTTTTTTTTCCTCTTGGTTTCTTGTTTCGAGATAACCACATTAAAAAGAATAGACAGATACTCTTGGTTGATATATTTATTCAGTTATTTGACGTCATGGTTTTCAATAGAGGACGTTATCTACAACCTAGTGCCCTGATTGACGTGACGTATGTGTCATTGTTTAAAAAATGGCTTCTTCTTGACACTGATATAATGTAACGGCGGGGAGTGTTTAGACATCTGTTGAAGCACATAAAGTCTCTTATGCTCCAACAACAAACGCGTAGTCCATTAGAAAAAAATAATACTTGTGCAACACTAACGTAAAAGCATGAAAAAAAAAAAAAAAATAGCATAAAGACGCTTCCCGATCCTTTTCTTTTTTTTATTCAAAATGGTTCATCCGTTGTTCGTAAGCTATGTCATCGATTTCTGGTATGCTATTCAACAACGCTCTCTCTCTCTCTCTCTCGCTCTTTGATTTAGAAAGATCGATAAATGGATGTGTTAGTACAATCAGTGGTGCTTCAGAGATCTTTTTTGCAGATCTGCGGGATTTTATTCATTATAAAGAAATGATAAAAATGATGGTGGAGGATGAAAAAAATTGGACAAGTTTTTAAAGTTTAGCCTATATGTTGTATCTTTATAAAAAAATAAAAAAAAATAAGGAATTTTGCAAAGAGTATTCAATAAGCCAACTTGCAATGGATCCGTCTTTACCATCAGCGATACAGATGACCCCTTCACCTCATAATTCTAAATAGCGTGGCATGATGACGAGACCATTTTTACAAAAATACACTGCGGATTAAATTTTCGAGGGGAGAGGGCAACATTGTCTCACCCTCTTTTTTAGCCAATTTATTATCAGATAGACTACGCAGAGGTCGATACCCTCCAGTATTCGTGTTCAATGGCGGTCCCCGTGACAAGCAAAGTGATAGAAGAGACAGCCAAAGTTCTTTCTTCAGAATCAATGAAAGGGTCCATCCTGAATGTCATACATTTTGCCAGAAGGTTCTTTCTTTTGATTACTATGTTTCCCAGTTTCGCCTTTTGGGTTTGAATCTGCTCCGGTTAAAAAAGATAAATAGATTATTTCATCAAATAAACAATCACGTTCCATAAATTCAAAGATGCTATCAGATACACAAAAATAAAGATAAATTGATATAGCAGATAAAAAAAAAAAAAAAAAAAAAAAAAAAAAAAAATCAGGCAAAAAAAAATGCATGGACCCTCTTTCTTTAACGTACAATGTATTCTTTTTTTCCCTTCTTTTTCATCTTTCCACATTCGAAAGGGCGCCATGAAAAAACATATCGTATGGACGGTAACAAGAGTACATTTTGAAAAGTTTGCGGGGTAACCATTATTCATGGCTGTGTAAGGGACCATAGAATATCTCCTTTTCCTCTTTTTAGCTGAGCTGTGGCATCTGGCTCGAACGACGCTCATGGGGCTCGATCATCGTTCAAATGCATTGTCACGCGAACAAACAACAGAAAGCGCGCCCTTTTATCTATCCTTGGATTTGAATGTATCTCTGTCGGTTTTGAGGATGGGGATAAACAAAGATGCACTCGACTTGATATGCAAATGGAAGCAAACCTCGTTCCATGCACAGACGTTCTGTCTCGAACCCAATGGTGGAGGACATGGTTGCACGGCTCGATGTGTCACCATCGGAAGGGGACGACGCACAGCAGCCATTCGCACACCGAATGCATGGTTGTAAGAGAACAGGATAGAGAGTATCAGTGAAATAAAGGGTGTTCCATGAGAGCGCAAACAAGCAGTGATAGTACGGTTGAGAGAAGAGGTGCGTTTTTCAACGATTGTAGAGTAATTCGGATGGGAGCGGCGTACGTTCACTTGGACCTTCCACAGGCTGCTTTCGTCACAAAAATTAAGGTCTGTGACGGAGGTGAGTGTGAGAAAAGAATGTCGCATTGTTCTTTTACTATTAGATTTGAGTTTTCCCGGATGCGTTTCTTTTCCTTCACGATCAACGCCGAAAATCTCAACCATCATGGTTTGACAAAAAAAGAGTTACTACGCTGAATTAGTCCAGTTTTAAGAGAATGTTTTTTACATTGCATTATCCAGACAACCCTTTCTGACGTTAGTAAAGGCTCGCAAACCATTTTTTAAATAAACATGGAGCTAAAACCGTCCAGTTTTAATGAATCTATGCCACTTTGGGTTTTTTGCATAAACGCACATTCCACGAAATAGGGATAAATTTCAGAGTCAGGTTCTCTCCCAGTGTTGAAAAGAAAAGAAAAAAAAAAAAAAAAAAAAATTTATAAATAAACAAATATATTCGTCGTTGACCAAATAAGGCAAGTCATCAAAAAAGATGTGTGGTGATCGTAGACTATTGTTCAACGGAGGGATGAACAGTGTGTATTTTCATTCGAGTTGTCGTTGTCGTTCGTCATTCAGGATGACCTAAGCGTTCTTTTATTTGATTGTAATGGAATCTATCTATAGGAAACAGTTTAGACAGCATTGAACGGAAAGACTGTGTGCTTTCATAATAGAAGTAGATACGAATTACATAGTCATCATTGTTTCAACCCTCTTTTGAGCGACAAAAAGGAGGGCCGACGCATGCCAAGAAGCTAAGATCGTGTTGAGCTCTACTTTCACCCTGACCTTCATGAGCAAACGTGTTGGCTGACTTTAGCAGTCATTCGCCATCATGCTATGAGTGATAGAAAGAGACATGTGGAGAATGGGCTTCATTCTTCTTCCTCTCAGAAGAAAGGAAAACTTTGCTAAGAACCCAAATTAAGAAAGGTTGGCAACTTTTTTTAACCATCCTAATGGAAACAGCTTGCTTCTTTTTGAAACGAATATGACAAGAGGGTTATAAATAGGTAAACCTATAGGTTTCTCATTCTTTCCGTTCACCTCTCTTTTACCATGACCACCAAAACCAGACTGTACATTGCGTCTACCTGCATCGAATGCCGCAACACTTTCAACCGTCCGCAAGCCCTGATACTTCACATGGAGAGGATACACGGTATCTACCTCCCGAGTAGAAGGCCTGGTACGAGCCGTCCTCCGTCACAGCAGTATGTTTACGAAAAAGCACCGCTAGAACCTGGATCTTGTATTGTTCACCATGGTTGTCCTTCCTGCTGGGAGCATACAGATGATCTTTCTCGCTTGAAGGAACATATCATCGATGAACATTTGCAAACTTCCATGAGTGACTATGAAGAGCAACAAAGCGCTGAAAGACAGCGACGTACACATGATCCAACAACATCCTCTATCTATCGATCACAGGAACGTGGTAATGCACGCAAAAGTGTGCCTACTGCAAGCAAATCAAATGTGAAGCCATCTACGCGTCAACAACAACCCAATACCAACAACTCAGCCTTCTCAAGCCAACAAGCACAAACTGAATTATTCAGTGTGTTGGACGATCTCGTCAACAATTTCAAAAGGTTGTTTTCATCTTCCACGTCTACCTCGTCGTCCTCCTCGTCCGCCTCCTCTTCGCAGAACAACACAGCCACCGCTTCTGCAGCTGCTGGTCGTGAGGATGAAGGAATACATGTTGATCACCACCACCATCACCCCTCCTCCCTCACTGCCACCGCACCTGATAGCAGCAGCCATTCTCAATCTCTCTAATTCAGCCCGTCTAGAATGAATAAAATAAAAACCAACAAAAATAAACAAGCTTTTTCTCTCTTTTTTTCTATATGAATACATTGTGCGCCCCCGCCCCCCCTCCCCCATGGATCACTTGAACCTAAACAGGGTCAATTCAAGTGGATAGAAATGTTGTCAAGTGTTAGGCTTGTTTTTTGACTTTATTCGTATGTCGAGTGAGCAAAACGTCTCTTTTCTTTTCTCTCTTTCTTTCCCTCTCCCTTGACTTTTTTTTTCCCTCAAAAAAGTCTTCACGCACTACTCGTCCATCCACCTCCCCCCCCCATCACCCATCCTTGCCTCGCGATGGTTCAGGCACTCGCCCCCACAGAAAAAAAGACGCTTTTACTCGTTTACCCTTGCTATCTTTGTGATGGCGATGGGCCTACCTACCAGAAAGCAGCCAGACTCATCATGCATATCCGTGATCAGCATGGTTTCCTTCTCCCCAGCCGACACACCGGTGTCAGACGTCCGGCGAATCGTCATTACAATTATCAAACAGATATGAAAATAAAATGGGACGAACAGCAAAACGCTTGTCCCAGCTGTTGGTATCATACAGACGCCCTGGAAGAATTGAGCCTTCATATCTCAAAAGAACACGATCCCCCCGCTTGCGAACCTCTGTCACAGCACAACGATGCTTCTTCGCGGCGAGGTACCAGAAGGAGGTCTGCTGGGTCGAATGCAAGCCCATTTGTCTACGATGGCAGCAAGTACGAGAAAAAGACGGTGAATACGATTTTCAAGCAGATGAATGAAATAACCACTTTATTCAAAGATATATTAAGAATGGATTAGCCTGAATAAGCAGGCAGGCAGGCTGGCAGGCAGTCAGTCAGTCATGATAAGAATAATAATAATAATAATAAACTACTCTAGGGGTTCTCTTTTTATTTCTGTTGTTGCTGAGTGGCTAATAATTCTTGCATACGTTGCTGTGTTTTGGACGTCAAATAATGAAAAACGGCTTCTTTCACCCAAGGCTGCTTGTAGAATTCGCTTTGTCGCACTTCTTCCAAGTTGACATGGGTTTGTCCAAGACTGATTTCTAATTCATACGCCTGGCTTGTGATCCATTTATGGATGAACTGCACAGGCGATGTGGCAAACTGCTGAAGAAAATCGCACTTTTGTTTACTGTTGTTGATACTCTGCGTACACTGCACAATCTTGTCATCTAAACTTAGGATTTCCTTCTGAGATGGACTGCTCGACGCGACGGTATTCAGCATTTTCTGACGCAGAAGGCTATCCAACTCCACTTCCATATCATACGCAAACACAGGAGGATGGAATTGGCGGCCATCTTCTACTTGAATGGTATAATCAATCACAATAGGGTCTGGCATAGCTATATGACAGTGTTCGATAAAGAGCAAGTGGGGCAAATCTTTGAATTCTACCACTTCCAATCCATCCAACAGTCCTTTTAAAGCATCGTTGCAGTTGATTTTCCGCTTATCTGTTTCGTCCTGAAGGTGGTTTAACTAAAAGGCAAGAGGGGGTTCCTACTTAGAATCGATGGCTTAAACCCATGTGAACTCTCTTCCCCCATCTCATTTTTACCCTGATATAGTGATTCAATTCAGCCAAGATCTGCGCCTTCGTAGCCAAATGGAGCTTGATGATATTCGCCAACGCTTTACTTGTCTTGTATTTTTGTGGAGTAAAATCGGGGACCAGTATAATCTTTGCATTCACATCCTTATCTCCCTTCCGTTTCAACTCGACTCCATCCACATCAACCATAGACGGTTGTTTATGCCACTACAAAAAGACAAAAAAAAAAAAAAGGGGGGACGGGGGGGGTTATCATCCTACCTTCACCATGAGCCATGGGGCCTCTTTATTTTATACCTCTGTCAGATTGCCTTCTGGATATTGCTCTGGATCACGATCTAATTGTATAATGATGGATTTGAAAAAGGACGAGAATTTCTGTACAGGTTGCGCTTTTTTCGTAGGGATCAAAGGCTAATCGTCCAATAGATAATAAAATACAAAAAGTTAGACATGCGGGACAGACAGACAGACAGATACGATCTGATTACTCCTCAGTTTACATCCAGTAATCTTCCTTCTACTCGTAAAATCCACGAGGGTGAGTTATCCTCATTCGACTCAAATGGGTTGGCTTCATCGGCTTGCAGATTCGATTGATCGGCGGCTGTGTTGGAAACAAAGATACGCAGTGTACGCTTCACCTAAATGAATACAGTTTCCATATCAATAAACCCCTCCTCCTACTCTTCGTTTTCCACATGATCCTACTTTGTTTGGTTTTCCCAACGCCTCTTGTATACTGAGACGCTTTTGCATAATCGCTCTGTCTAATTTTCTTTCCAATTCACATAGTTCTGTATACAGTTGCGATTCGGGTATATAAGCTTCAATCTATTCAACAGAATGCAAAGTGAACAAGCAAGCTTAGACAAACCCCACATGGATATAAAACAAAACATTTACTCGAGGAGGAGCGAAACGGTCAATAGGCCTCTTTTTTCTTTTACAAACAAACAATCAAAAAAAAAAAAAGTTGGAATGTTAGGTTGGACTATCGAAAGAGGAAGAGGGGATCCATCCAGTCAGTTTACTTTATGTGTTTGGAGACAGAATCTGCTTCTGCTGGTCTTTTTCTAAAGTGAACTTCAGGTGTGATGACGCTTTGTTGTTGCTGCTGATCTACTGTTGGATGTGTTGGTTGACTCATAATCTATTGAATGAGAGGTTCCCAAAGTACAATCAAAGAAAAAAGAAAAAAAAAGCTGTAAAAAAAAAAGCGGAAAAGAAAAAAGCGGACATCTTTTTTTTTTTTTTTTTTTTTTTCTTTCTTTATTTTGCATCTTAAAAAAATGTCATTAAAGCAAAACAAGCATAAAATAAGCCAACCGGGTAAGCTACCAACACCCTCTGTTCGTTCAAATGCAATACACTGGTAAACATGCCTGAACTGGAAAAGGTACACCATAGAATACTGATAACCGTCAAAGCTGTACCGATAATGTTATTCAATTCTAATACCACACTGAATCCACTCAACATCACCATCGGTATCAAACAATATCCTAACACGCTTGCTGTTCTTGACCAATCAATGCCATTCTCACTCATCAGATTCAAAATCATATGGATACTGACAACGCCCATCACACCAACACCATAAATGTATCCAAAGTGCGCCTTTCGAGACAAAAGTAGAAACGTACCGAATAAAAAGAGGAATATTAAAGGCCCTGCTAGATCAGCATCATCCATAATGGTATCAGGCACTTTACGGAAAGGATTCAAAACGGTCAAGCTCTGGGATAGTTTTACATGAAAGAAAAATATAATTAATTCTCTTGAAAGAAGAACCTCGTTATGACCCTTCCTACTGTACCTTTGTCTTGATATGTCCGAAATTAATCCCTAATTCTTCCAGCAGTGGTGGTTCGTCTGCGTATCCTCCTGTACCAAACGCGCTCCAGAATGAATACGTCGTTGTGCCCGACATGTAATCGTAATTCGCTCCTCCCGGTCCTCCTCCACGCATATCCCCTGTTGTTCCGCTGTGGTAATAGTTGTTGGTTGATGAGCCCGTTGGTGTATATTGATCACTGTAATTCGATGAATAAAATTGTAGACCATCTCCTGCTGATGTGCTCGTTGTAGGGTTGTAATATTGATTGCTTGTGTCTTGACTATTGTCAAACAAAACGGAATGGGCAGGTTGCTTCGTCGTCATGTTTTTGTTTTGTTTTTTTCTCTCTTTGTACAATGACCGTTGGATGGACAGATGTTCCCAAAAAAACTAAAAAAGTTAAAAAAGAGAACTTCACCTACAACATGAACTGTATACACACTTCCACGTCTCACTGAAAATTGGAACAAAAATGCTGAAAACAAACAACAGTATCTGATTGGCTATTTACTTTTGACCAATTTTTCTTTATAAAAAAATAAATAAATAAATGAGAAAGAAGGTATAGAGGACGTTCAACGGCGGGTGGGAAGGAGTTGTTCATTATACGTTTGAAATCCTTTCTTGTACTTGCGCCTCTCCAGAGCCCACGACGGATGGCTGTTCTTCCAAAATAAAACCATCATCTTCATCGATAAGTTTGTCCGCCAATTGCGAATCCTCTGATGTGATATACACAGCCGGCTTTTCTTGATTGACTACTTTCCTGTCAATAATCACTTGCTTGATACAAGAAGCAGGGGCATCAAACATGGGATCCAACAATAAGTTTTCCTGTATTCCAAAAATTAAAGAGGAAAAAATGTGAGGATATGAAAATAGCTGCTCATCTATCTGTCAAAGTGGAACTCACCATAATTCTACGTAATCCTCGGGCGCCTGTCTTTTTTTCTAAAGCCTGGCTAGCGATGCTCTCCAAAGCTTTCTCACTGAACCTTAAACGAACATTGTATAATCGAAACAAGCCTTCGTATTGCTTCAGCAATGAGTTTTTCGGTTCCTTCAAAACACGCACAAGATCTTCGACTCTGAGTTCATTCACAGAGGCAACAACGGGTATACGGCCGATGAATTCAGGGATAAAACCGAATTTCACAAGATCCACAGGCTCGACTTGTTGCAAAGGGTTAGGGTGGTTGTTGTTGTTGCCATTCTTGAAGAAACTGTCATCGTCTGTCGGCTTTAAGTGGGCATCAAAACCAATCGACTAGAGTTCGAGTACACACACACACACACACACACATGAGAAACATAACTTTATCGAAAAAAAAACAAAATAAAAAAAAAAAATAAAAGACTACTTACTCCTTTCGCTACACGATGATGAATGATTTTGTCCAAACCAATAAAGGCTCCACTGAGAATAAACAGAATGTTACTGGTATCGACAGAGTAGGTTTCGCCTTTTCCACTAGGCGGAGAGCTCATCATCAGCCCGCCTGGACTGTTCAAAGGACTACTATTGCTACCTGCAAAACTATGTCCTCTCCTACTCAAGAGGCCGCCGCTGTTGCCATTGCTGCTGCTGCTGCTGCTGCTGCTGCTACTACTGCTGCCATGACTGGGATGGTGATGGCCGCTAGCGTGACTATGGCTTCCTCCTGATTTATCTGTCACATTGACAATGGTCCCTTCCAACATCCTTAACAGCGATTGTTGCACTCCCTCTCCTGACACATCTCTCGACGCACTTCCACCTGCGCTGTCCGTTCTTCTTGCAATTTTATCCACCTCATCAATAAACACAATGCCTGTTTCGGCTTTACGCACGTCAAAATCACACGACTGCAATAGACGGTGAATCACAAGTTCGACATCTTCACCGACATAGCCGGCTTGCGTGAACGGTGTAGCGTCTGACATCGAGAAGGGCACTTGGAGAATTTGTGCCAGTGTTTTGGCCAGTAACGTTTTGCCAGAGCCGGTAGGACCAATGAGCAGAACATTACTTTTATCATGCACCGTCCATTCATCCTCGTCTTCTACTTCTTCCTCCTCCAACTCTTCTCCTTCGAGTCCAAACAGAGCGGGGGAGGGCGGCGAGGAAGACGGGGGTGAGGGGGGTGGTGGCGATGGCTGTTGATTATTTTGAAATAGATAGTTATCGGAGGAGGAGGAGGAGGAAGAGGAAGAGGAGAAATTTCCATCCGTAGGTTGATTTAACCATGCACGGCGTTGTTGTTGTGAAGAAGAACTACTCTTGCTATCACTTCCGCTGGCAGATTCAACATGGTTCGCTGTAGCTTTACTGCTATTTCGAGCGTCGAAACCATGGATGTATTCCGACGAACCAGGTGAAGCGGGTATCGAAGAAGAGTAATAGGCCTTGGATCCTTTCTGCTGCGGCTGCTGCTGTGGCTGCGATGACGATGGTATATTATTGTTGCTGGTCGGTTGGTAATGGTGATGATATTGTTGTTGTTGTTGTTGTTGTTGCTGCTGCTGCTGCTGCTGCTGCTGCTGCTGCTGTTCCGCTAACATTCTCTCATCTATGAGGACATTCGAACGATGCTCACGTATCATTTTTTGCCTTTGTCTTCTTAAATTGGCTCTGACTCGGTTGTAATGGTTAAAAATAGCGACAGCGAGTGTTTTCTTTGCCCGTTCTTGTCCAATAATATAGTCATTCAGATGTTGGACAATCTGCGACATGCCAACAAAAAAGTACTTTAATAACTCACAGCCTATTTTATACCCCCCATTGTCTTTTCATGAAGTGTACTTTACTGTGCGTGGGTCGGTCATCTGTGTTAACTCTAAATGAGAGTAAGACATCTCATTAGGTGGAGGTATCGGACTACGGTCATTGTTGAAGAAGCTACTACCACTTCCCCCTCCACCTCGTCCATAGCCGTCGTTACCGCTGCCTCCGCTGCCTCCGTAGTCGCTACCTCGGTTGTTGCTACTCGTCTTGGTAGAGTCTTTGCCTAATAAACCACCACTACTGAAATCGGCACTGTGGTAATGTGTTCGTTGATGATGGATGCTGCATACAATAGGCTTGACGAAAGCACAATGGGACACTTGTGTTGCTATTCTTCGGAATAACAGCGGTTTATAATAATAAACAGTTTGCATTTTGGTGAACATAGAATGATGCGATAGTGTTCAATAAAGAAAAAAAGTATAAACAATAGAAAAAACCAAAAACTAATGCTTCTTTTTTCTTTTTCTCCACAAAATCGTATACAAAGGTTTCAAAACACAATTGCATAACGGGAGGAATAAACCCCACTCTTTAACTCCGCTGCTGGAAGAAAGGTATTACGAGCACCTGAGAAAGCTAATTTACCATGTCAACTGACTGTCGGCGGGCAAGCGACAGACAGAAACGGACGATAGAAATAGGTTATTTTCGGTATCATTAGAGATAGTAAGAATAGTAAAGTAGGGGATCGACGCTGAAAACGTATAATGAAGCGGATAACTCGCAAGCTTAGTAAATGATGACATCAAAAAAAAAAAAAAGAAAAAGAAAAAGCAAAATGAATCATTTACTGATACTCGGCGAGTCGCATACGAAGAGGTAATCATGTGTTTTGATTTTATCAGTGCTTGAATAAATGATGGGAAGCTGTATCACAGATAGATTGACTGATGTGGAAACAGCAATAAATATCAATTGGGTTTCGATAGGTTTGCTACCAACTGTACTGCTTATTTGCTCCCCTCATTTAAGCCTGGAATAACTGAAAATTATTCTTTGACCAATAGTGATCGTTAGACAGTACAAAGATGGCCCAGCGATTGTTTAAAATCCTGCGTCTTCCAAAAAGCTTTTCAATGCATGATGATAGGTACAGGTCTACTTATTCATATAAGACTCATCAACATTATGGCTGGGCAAATACTCTTTGCTTCATATTCTCATGTCTTTATCTATCAAATAAAGCTCCTGTTTCTTTAAAAAAAGAATCGACAAATATCAATGTTGGGTCACCCCGAACTCAGATCCACCTGCCCATCTTTAAACATGATCGAAGGATTTTGATAAAGTGCTGGTGTCTCGATCTTTGTCAAGTTTCACGAATTGTTTTTAATGATGCCAGATTATCTTATTTACAAAAAAATATACATAGACAGCGCATAAGGAGGAAAATAATAATAATATAATGCTCGTGCTTCCACTTAAAAAGTGGTATGTTGTGAGCTGGATCTGTTGTTATTGAATCCACCATTATTAAATCCACCTCTTCCACCGCCATTATTAAATCCACCTCTTCCACCGCCATTATTGAATCCACCTCGTCCACCGCCATTATTGAATCCACCTCTTCCACCGCCATTATTGAATCCATCTCTTCCACCACCACGTCCTCCTCTACCACCGGTAGCTCCTACGCGAAAAAAAAACCCCAAGAAATGATATGTTAAAGGTTACTCATTTCATCATTTCTAATCCGATAATGTCTTTTACCTCCACGGAAGCCACCTCTGCTACCGCCTCTTCCTCCACCACGGCTTCCTCCGCGGCCACCACGGGCACCACCTCTACCGCCAAAACCAGCATCGAAGGACTTTTGTTTCTTTTCAACCAATCCTTGCAAACCGGTGGGTTTGGAGACTAAAAATGATGATAGAAAGATTCATGAATACCTTCAATTCGTATCCCTTCTTTGTGCTAGTTGTCATTGTGAAAAAAATGGATCGTCTGTTATTTCGTACCTTTGCCAACTACTTTAGGTTTTGGTAAAAATCTTTCCATAGGCAAAAGTTTATCGGTTGAAATATACACCTTATCATCTTTTTTAAATTGATTTGCTGTATTGCCATCTTGCATTTTGACAGTGAAATAAGAATCAGTGAGAGACCCCAAAATCTCATCAAGTTTGCCAATCATAGTTTTGTCTTTCAAGTAGATAGGAGCGTTGAAAAAGGGCACTTTGGGATTATCCAACTTGCAGACCATTTCACCTTCACAGGCGCTTATGAAGCTACCAACAGCTATACCGTTGTAAAATTTCTGTCAATATACTGCATTCAATCATTCTACTACCATCATGTTATATCTGCTGTAAAACTTACCTACGACTTCTGAAGGGGGACCTTGTTGGAATCCACCACTACGACCTATATTTCGACCGATCGCCCATGATGAAAGTTCAGAAAAAATCTGTTATAATATAAAAAAGCTCTCCTATGGCCGGAGCACATTACCTCCACGACCACCTCCGCGACCACCGCGCCTTTCACCAAATCCACCTTTTCCCATATTGAAGTGTCTGTTATTGTTAAAAAGGCTGTGTGTAAAGCTCTAAAACAGAAAGCCAAACTTATCCATCATGTCAAATTTTTTTTTATTACTTGAATTGGAAATTACCTAATAGCTTGTCACGTTCGGAATCTCTTTGCGTCATCACACACACAACCATTTTGGGTTTTTTTTTTGCACAGGAAAAAAAAGAAACCTCCTTAAAACATTCATTATCCCATTTTCTTTTCTCTTCGTTCGAATCCTTCAATAATTCACAATGGGATTTGCGGATTGGTCAGATGATGAAGGGACGTCACGGAATCATGGCCGTGATAAATTTCGTCACGAACGAAGTTTAGAACGTGATAGATATACTGATGATTACGATCGTTATGGTGATGGTAGAAAAAAACGTGGTCGTCGCAGTCCAACTCCACCAGAAGGTATATATCTCTCTTACTTCAACGAACAATAGTCGGAAGAAGGTGGCATGGACGATAAGGATGCTCCTTTGGTTCTGCCGTATGGAAAAGTGCAAACCATGGAGGATCCTTTCTCGGCATCGCCGTCCTCTTTTTCTTTAGCTTTTCTTTTTATATTCTTCTCTTTCTTATATTCTTATGTTTCTCTTTCTATCTCTCTACTCCTTTATACTTTTCTCTCTCTCTCTCTCTCTCTCTCTCTCTTGATTGCATTTTATTACCTTCATCTCGACATTGATATGGACATTATCAACATTCATCTCAACCCACCAACGTTTAAAAGAACGCCGACATAAACGAAGACCTTCTTATTCACCTCCCCCCATGAGGAGAAACCATAGAAATATGGATTTTGATGATTACTACAGTTCACCTTATGACCATCGTGACGGTGGTTATGGTTCAAGATATGGTAGCCGTCATCATCATCCACCATACCATTCTCACCATCATAAACCAGAATCTCCTATTGGTCCAGGGCCTTTTAACTATCCAATGATGGGTAAAAACATTTAAAGTTTTATACTACCAGCTCAAAGGTAAAAAAAAAAAAGGCTGATCAAACTGAATGAATATTAGACATGATGAACCCTTCTATGATGAATCATGGTTGGAACGGTCCCATGAACAGATATCCTTTAGTGGACCCCTTACAACTCGATTATCAAGTTTCCTTTAAACAATTTGCCGAGTACATGAAAAGAACTTCTAATAACCAGCGTATTGACGACGAAGAATTACAGAAAAGATTTGCCGTTTATAGAGAAAAGTTCGCTGCTCGTCAGTTGACTACCTTCTTCAACGCCAACAAAGAGAAAGAATGGTTTCAAGAAAAATACCATCCAACTCTGTCCATTCCTCGACAGGAGGACGTGAAGATGCTAAGACGCCGCTATCTGCAAGAATTTTTAGTTGAACTAGAAAAAGGAGAGTTTGACAATGTTAATTTTGATAAAAAAGATGAAGCAGACACGGATGTATTTGTTAAAATTGAAGAGGGAAACGCAGCAGCAGCAGCAGCAGCAGCAGCAACAGGAGAGACAGATGTTGAAAATAAGGATAACAAAATGAATGTCGATTCAGCAGCAGAGGATGCTAATGCTGAATATGAATCAAGATTAGTTATCAAAACTGTACCACCTACTATTGCCAGAAAGAAAATTAAAGAGGTATGTTTACTTTATTTTCATTTCTGAAATGATGGATTCTTTTACTTATCCCCCCCCCATTTCTTCGTAAGATGTGTTGCAAAGTAGAGGGTTTTGATTATTTGGCTCTTTCTGAACCAAGCCCTAATAAAAAATTCCATCGTGTGGGTTGGATTCAATTCAAAGAAGGAACTGATATGAAAAAGGTATTTGAGCAACTTGATGGACAGAAGGTAGATGATTTCATCTTCCATCTGGCTATGAATCGTAAAGATAGTAATAATGCTATGCAACAAAATCGCACACATCGTACAACACCGGATGTTGCCGATACAACAGAGAGATTACAGAAAGATCTCGAACAAGCCAAAGAGATCTGTATTGCGTTCGAAACCATGCTTGGTGAAGATACGCCTGAAGGATTGAAAGCAGTTGAGTCGCGTATTGAAAAAATGTCAGGAAATGGTGCGATGGCAGACAATGAACCTGCTTCAGATATCGTCAATGACGATAAAAACTCAGAAGAAAGACGTAAATTAAAGAAGTCTTTGGATTTGATCATTGCTTATTTGAGAAGAGTACATATGTATTGCTACTATTGTGCACTTGAGTGTGATTCACTCGACGATTTAAATAGAAGATGTTGTAATCCTCATTACCGTACTGTGTTAAGTAGTCCTGCTGCTAACAGTACCGCTGCTAACAACGAAGAAACAACAGATCCCAAGCAAGCAGCTAAGACTGAAAGACAAACTCAGCAGTGGTTAAAGAATTTGGATCAAAGAATTTCACTCAAAATCCATACACCTGATGACCATGAACTTTCAAGATTAGGAGGAAGAGTTTTACAAACGTAAGTTTTTTTTTTTTTGAAAAAAAAAAGCCAACAGTAGGCTATTTTTTTTTGTTCTTTTTCTAAAATGTTTGTTACGTCTATTATTCGACATAGTGAGCTTGACGAATTTGTTAAGAAACACGTATTGAAAGAGCATGAGTCCAAATATAAGTGTCAAGTAGGCGAGTGCTCTAAGGCTTTCAAGGGCTATGATTATGTTGAGAAGCATATTCTCTCTAAGCACCCTGAAGAAACCGATAAGATTAAACAAGAAGTAGACTACTATAATAATTATGTTTGTGATCCCAACCATATTGTTCCACCTAGTAATAACAATAATGCAAATGGACCTGGCGGTGCTGCTAACGGCAATCCTGCTGCTGCCGCTGCTATGATGGGAATGGGTATGCCATTTGGGCAACCTTTCATGATGCATCCTCGTATGGGTATGCCTCCTGCTTGGGACCAAATTCCACGTATTGGTTTTGGTTCTGGCGGTGATCCTGGTGCTTGGGGCCGCGGACCCAGTGGTGGTAGAGGCGGAGGCCTACATATGAGAGGTACTGGTGCAGGTCCTGCTGGTAGTGCTATGATGGACCTTGATGGCCCTATGCCTAGAGATCCCCGTCAAGTAAAATCGTACGTTGACTTAGATGCTCCTGCCGAAGGTGACTCTAACATTTCATTCTTTTGATCAAGACATTGTGTTTTGTTTTTTTTTCTCTTTTGCTTTTTTCTATCTCTTTTTTCCTCCTTTTCTATATAACAATACATATTCTATAAGTATTCCTCGTTCTCTTCTTTTTTGTAGTTGAGAGAATAAAAACGTCCCACTGACATGAGGAAAAGAGGTTATATGTGCCTAGAACAAATACTCATTTTGATACAGTGAAGCTAGAAATTAAGCTCAGATATGTCATCCGTTTTCATCATTTAGTAGATCACGGTACATATTAAAGGAAATGGTATAGTTGATAAGTGCTGTTATCGTAACAAAAAGTATGTTTGAAGTATAAAATATGTTGACGCCTTTAGGATTGAACGATATAGCTATGTACAGTTTTTCATTGTGTCGCTCCTAAGGCAATTATTAATCTCTAATTAAGCGTTAAAATGATTATGTAAATTATAAGGATGTTTGGAACGACCACTACTTGAATATTTCCGTTGCAAATATCAATCAGAATGTCGGTACTTGTTAAGGTCGCCATTATAATGTGGTGTATCAACCAAAATTTTGGTGAGTTCGTTCGCAAATCTGTGACAGGGATCTGCATTGCACATGTTGACTCTATTCTTCACGGTACTTCTTCATTTGTTCTCTATCTGCCTTGTGCTATCAGAAATATAAGATCTCTCAGTGAGATAATTCGCACGTAGACGGTTTTCTTTTATATAAGAGAAGTTTACCTGTATCATCGCTCTTTCTCTTGCGCTTACACCATCAGGCAAAATTCTTGTTGGCTTTGGACGCTAAGGAATAAGAAAAAAGAACTTTAATATAGATCTTGATGAGATTTTCTAAAGTGCAACACTTTACCAATGGTGCAGCCCATTTTCGATTTTTTATAAACAGGGAGGAATCAGGGGCAGGCCTGCTGCTGGTGCGAGGAGGTAAGGGATATGGACCTCGACCACGAGATGATGGAGCCACGGGTGGTAATCCCCTTGCTTTCCTATACTCTTCTAAGCTCAACTTTTTATGCGGTGGTATGGTGCGTTTATTTGCTGCTGATGGAAGCGATGTAGCACTATTCGACACCTGTCCAGCTGCTACTTCTCCTTTCATGGACAATAATTTTTGTTCTCTAACTTTTTCAATGAAGGACTTATTACTATCGCTGCTACTGGCAACCTCTTGTGCTTCAGTCATAATGGTATCCTTGTCGTTCATAGTATCCAATTTACGTCGGGTATTGCTTCGGGCAGAAGGATCTTCCGGGGTATAGGTGAATGGACGCTTTCTATTTGAAGTTCTCATACGTTCGTCTTCAGTAACTGAGTTACGCATAGAGCGACTGGAGCTAGGAAATGAGTCAAAGATGCCAGGTGCAGTAATTTTTACAGGTCCGGATCTGATGGGCGTTGCAGGCTTAGCTGTTTTCGCCGAAGTTAATGGCTTTTCAAATAGGTTGCGCGGGATAGGAGCCCCATCCAATCTATGCTTGAAATATGGATATTTACACTGTAAGGTGGAAAATAAGTAGAGATTAGTTAACTGTGAATAAAGATCAATTGAAAGTGAATTTTTGTCCCTTACGTCTTCAATTAGTGACCTTTGTTCAGCGTCACGTACCAAATCACCCCAATAGTCACTGTTGGATAAAGAGTGGGCATGGCCTAAAACAAACAGTGAGCATTTGGCACGGGTTAAGCCAACATTCATACGACGTTTATCGGCCAAGAAACCAATTCCTTTTCCTTGGCCAGCTCGGACACACGAGAAGATGATAATTTCCTTTTCTTGTCCTTGGAAGCCATCAACAGTGTTAAAGTCGATCACGTCAAGAATATTATTTCCAAAACGCTTTTGAAACCTTGATTTCAGTTGGCCCACTTGCTGTTTATAGGGCGTAATAACTCCAATTCTTGAAGCAAACTAGAAGAATTTAAGCCGCATCAGTAAAAAGATTAAATAATAGAGGACACTAAAATTCTCTATTTTTACCTTAACAGTAGGCATTCTAGCACACAACTTATCCACCAAAGCAACCGCCGCATCCGCTTCGGCTACGTTGTAAATTGATTTGCCACGACCAATTTTTTCTTGACCATCCATAATATTGAAGAAGCGATAAGGAGGGAATTCAGGCTGAGAGTGCCATACTGCAGAAGACATCTTAGCCATATCGGGTCCATCCAGAAGACGAGATTGGTAGAACATCTTACTAGGGAAACGGCTGATGTCTGGGTGCATACGATACTGAATACTATGGAAATGATGAGCGAAAATCAAAAATCTAAGCAGTAGTTCTTTCTCCAAAAAAAAAAAGGCCAACAAACTTTTTATGCGAGCATATTACCTAAGAAGGTTGACTTCCTTCGCCATTGTATATTCTAACCGTAGAAAAAGACTTTGTTGGTAATCAAACCTGGCAGCTAAAGGTGACATGACGGTTGGAGGAAGCTGATTTGGATCTATTGGAAATGAAGTTTACAACGGTTAATTTCATTAAGTGTCTAGCACTTCATAAGAGCAGAATACACTCACCGCCAACAAGAATACATCGTTGCGTGTCAAACTTCAAGGGAATAAGCGAACTGATCTCAATTGACTGCGCTGCTTCGTCTACAATGACTGTTTCAAATGTAATACCCATGCTGGTCAACATATCATGACCACTGCCACTTAGCGTGGCACACACAACATCTGCATTCGAAAGCACCTTTTGACGAGCACGAATTCGCGATACTTCCATTTCTCTACCATAATTCTTCTGGTCTTGATGTGTATCTTTCAACAAAATCCTTGCCTTTGTTAATTTTTGGGCCAGGGTTTTTCTCTTGTCGCGCAACAATGACATTTGAACCATATCACTACCCGACTGAGTAATTTCACGATCTACTTGATCTAATTGAATCTGTATATTACGAATATCTTGATGTATTTCATCTAGTTTCGCACTCCATTTAGTTCCACCGCCACCATTTTCATCGCTGTCGAATGAGTTCATCTCATCTTCAATGAGCTTGTCGAGAATTCTATCTTTAACGCTAGCATTCACTGAATCAGATACACCAACACGTACAACGTTCGGTTTGAGTGTTCCACGAGATGTAACTATTCCATCATTCAAACGTTTCGCTATTTCATCTACTGCAGCGTTACTAGGAGCACACACGAGTAGCTTGCTGGCACCGAAAGGATGATCCGTCGATGCACTAGTGCGCTGTTCGAGCAAGGACACAATTAAAGCCAAAATTGTCTTGGTTTTACCTGTGCCAGGAGGACTAGTAAGTCGTTATAATTTCAAGAAATGTAAATTAGTACAATATCCCTCAATATTAGAGTGTATTTGCGACAGTAACTTAATTGACGTACCCTTGAATCAGGGAAAACCCGTTCTTTTTCTGCATAGCAGACAGAATAGCAACAGCTTGAGGCTCATTGACATAGTATCGCTGACAGTACTGTTTAATTAGCGAATCATCGAGTTTTGGCAAAGGTGTCCGTTTAGGTTGTATGATATCCATGCCCAAATCGTAATATTCTAAGGCCTCCAATGCAGCATATTCTCGCATGCCTGTTGTCAAACTAAAGAACAGCCTGTTAGACAAAAAAGTATATAAAAAAGCAATTTTCTCTTGGTTAGCTTTACCTCATTATTTTCAGTATGTTCCAAGAAGTTTTAGGTGAAATTGAATTGAGCAAACTAATTCTGTCAGCGGCAAAATAACATCTTACGACTACTTCACCTATATTTTTCTTCTGATTGATAGACATTACTTTACCAAGGAAGGCTTTTCCTTTCCAAGTACTACCAACGTTTTCATCGGTCTGGAAGAACTGGGGCCCAAAATGGTTAGCAACACAGACAAGATCGTCCGTAGTCAGGTTGTTCATAATTAAGCTCATCCGAAGTTGAAATGTCACATCCACAAAATCATTTGTGTGACACCGTCCTTCTACGATACAGTTTTCAAGTATATCATTTTGACTCAATTGTTCTTTCGCACGAACTAATTGACACCATGTTTCAAGTATTAAAAGGGGTTCAAAAATAGAACGATATTCTTCAAATGATTTGAAGGTAGCAGGCACCTTGGAATACATATGCTCGTTCGTATTTGGTGGAATTTCGCGTGCTGTCTCTGTTATTTCCCAAGACAAAACAGCTTTAAATAAACGATCAAGATTGGGAGCTATCTTCTTCTGGCGTGCTATTTCACGCGTTTTGGCTTTCATTTTTCTGTCCAGGTATGGGTTGGAGATAGGGGTGGCTATCAACTTGATGGTACGCTTCGGCTTCGTATCGAACAATGCCTTCATACTTGCGCTCTCTGCTTTTGCGCTGGCCTTTTTGTTCTTTAATTCTACATGCTTTGAAGCCTCTGTATCATCTAAATCGTGAATTAAACCTAACAAACCAGAATCGTCGTCTCCTTCGTCCGAATCAGATGAATTCGATGAGTCAGTAGAGTTATCTTGAGAATCATGGCCATATCGTTTTCGAAGGATATTGGCAGCTGAAGGCGATTTTGCAGTAGCAATTAAGCGGCGTTCAGCACGATGTTGATCTCTAAGCGCTTTTAGCTTTGACGGGAAACCCATAGAAGGTGGACGCAGCTTTCGACCACGAGAGGTTACGGCATACGTAGGAACTTTGTTCACAGAAGGGTAAAAAGATGGGGTATTCTTGGGTTTTGCAGATCCTGTAATATTTATCGCGTTTGCTGATCTTTTATTTGTTTCTTTTATTGTTTCTTGGGATTCTGTATCTATATCCATATTTCCATTTTGTCCGAAATACGTTTGTTTTTCCACTGTCGTGGGTGTGGTCGATGTGGTGGTCGCTTGCAGCCATTCATCTGGTACTTGACTATAGTCGAAATCGGCAAACTCCTCTTCTAGTTCAGAGTCAGATATCTCGTGCGGCTCTTCTGCAGTAGCAGCAAAATACTTTGAGATTCGAGCATCTTTCAATGGTGCTGTGGCTGGAGCAGAAGTGGGACGTGGAGGACTATCAATCGAAACATTCGAGAAACTCTGATCCAACGTAAGTTGGCGTTTCTTGACGTTTTTATTGGCAGGTGTGGTTGTCGAAACGTTATTGATTGAGACAGTAGAAGGACTGTTGGCATCAACTGAGGTAATAGACTGCCACTCTACGTCTTCATCGTCACTGTCGTCGTTAAGAAAAATGAAATTGTTGGGTTCATGAGCACTGAGGGCCATAAACAGATCTTCTCTCTCCTTATCTGATAGTTTGCTGGTGTTCACACCTGTTGCTGCTGTCATGAGTCGATCGTATGCTTCCACTGAAATCTTTAATTCTGCTCTTTTTAGTATATTTAAGATATTGATGGCAAGAGGAACCAATTTTGATATCAGCTCTATCCTGGTGACGTAGATCCAGTGTGATAAAGAATCTACAATAGTTATTAAGTGATCGTTGCTGATGATAACAGTACCGCCATTTTTTGAAGCTTTCATAGCTTTTTCGAAATTTTGCTTCGTACTAATCAACTGAGTCGCTATATCGAGGATTGATAAAATCAAGCTAACGACAGTTGATGGCCGATACTGTGTTGCCCATTGCAAAGCTTTGTCTAGCACTGTGTTGAGTGCTCGCCAGCAAACACTCCAAAATTCGTCTATTGTTCCATCTTCATCTTCATTCATATTTGAGAGATTAACGACGTACGACTTTACTAAATCGACTTGGTATGACAAGAATGAAATGGTATCGGGAGCCAGATTGAAAATATCGATCGTAGGACACTTGAGTAAAGATATAAATTCTCTCAGCATAGAGTTATAAGCATCTATTAATTTTAAAGGCTTAAATCTTTTGAACATGATCTCCAAAATCCTCCGTTGATTGAGTTCACTTGATGTTTCTTGGAATAGTTCGAAAATGTAGCTTTTGATATCGGGATAGGGGGACTTTAACAGTTGAATGAGTGATTTTAACAGATCTGGTGATGCTAAAATGGTTTCTCTCGATTGCTGGTCTGTTGCTTTCAGCATTTTGAGTACATGAGAGGTTGATTGGTGTAGATCAGCAATTCTTCGAATAACATATTTGTCATTGTCCTGGCTAAGAATATTGGGTATATCAAAAGATGCAATGTTTCCATAAGCTTTAAGAATAGAGGAAGCAAGCCAAATCGAGCCTGTCAAGTCCTTATTGAGACAAGTTTTTACAGATATCCATATCGGTTCGAATGGTGAGCTTTCAGGGTCTTGGACAGCAGCATCATCATAAGCTATTTCACCCATTACATCATCAATTTTATAAACTGTGCTGAAAATTTTCTGTAAATGCATTGATTCTTTATCCAAAAGATCTGACAGAATTTCTCTTGCCAAGTTAGGCATATGCTTTACTAGGTTGGGTAAAGAGGCTGAATCAAGTTTCGCAAAATCAATAATTTTAAAGATGTATTCGTTGATTTTATGCATGGGAAGCGACTCATCCGTTAGACACTGATTGATCACTTGTAAGCCCAGCTCTGCACAATACGCTTTGCTCATGATGCCCCAGATATCCAATTGGAAATATCCAAATACTGTATCCAAAACTCTGCCTGTAATTTCCTTCTCGACTGGTGTAGCTCGCAGCGACGACCAGAATGGATATAACCATTCCAGCATATTCTTAATTTTTGCCATGAGTTTATCATCAGGATAGGGTGTTCCATCCCGTTGTAAAATCCTGCCTGCGTTTCCCCCTCGAGCGATTTTCATGGCAGACTGAAAAACCTGATGTTCGCAAATTTTTTTTATAATGTCGTAGTATATAGCACTGTCGCTAGAAATCGTACCCCAGAAACTTGTCTGCATTTTTAACAGCATACTTGTCATTGTCTTCAGTATTTCACCCAGCCATTCTACTGAAGCTCCTAGCTGCGTCTGTATTACTTCGAGCATCGTGGTGCTGGATTCTGCTATAGAGTCTGTCAACATGGATGGTGATGATAATCCAACTATAAGCCTAAATGCTTTCCAAAACTCTCCCAAATCGTGAGTTATTTCTATCTGACAATAATCCTCTATTCTGCTGAAGCTGCCAACTGATGTAAAACTCTGCAGTATCCCAAAGATAAAATCCTTTATATATAAGAAATCAGCATCGTTTAAAGAATATTGATCTGTATTGATAAATTTTTCCAATAGTTTCCTCGCCCAAAATCTAACAACCCTTTGATGATGAAGTGTCATACGAACAATATAGGGGGCTGTAGCTGTGTCGAATGTTGGGAATGAGCCCGCTTTTTGAATTGCTTCAAACGTTTTGGCAAACTTTCCGTCACAATCTTCTAACATTTGAGGTGCACATATCACCTCGAGAATGGCACAGATAATCTCAGTTGTCATATTAAATTCTTCTGATTGCGCAGTTAAAGACGAGCTCACTCGATCAATGTCAAATTTTTCTATAGTTTTGAAAAAATCGTCTACGGTACTTTTAGGAAATTGTTCTTCATATCTAGAGAGATAAAAGCTCGTTTGAATAATCTTATCGGAAAAATAAATAGAGCCGGAACGCTTGTTTGCCAAGTACAATAAAAAAAGGTTGCTACCTTTGCTTAACAAACTGCTTAGAGTTTTGGTACACTTGTACACAGGAAGTACAAGTCATCAACTGATTATTAAGCTTCTTTTTATACTGTAAAATTGGGTTATGTTCTGGAAGTGAGAAGAGCCATAGTGACTCTCGGGCAATTGGTAAGATGTTTTGATCACACCACCAGTGATCAGACAACAGAAGGAATTCTAATCCCTCGTTGAAAAATCTCGTTTCAACATCAGTGTTGTTCGGATCCTTCTGCTTGCTTTCCAGTAGAGCTAATACTCCTTGTAATTTCGGAGCATTGCTATGATCTACCATAGTGATCACTTATTTATAGAAGTAGTTAGAATTTTTAAGTTGATTGAAGCAGAAAATTACAAAGAAAAAAAAAATGAGAATGAGCATGAATTTGACTTTTCAGTGACTTCAAACTCAAAACCGTGTCAAACCGCGTTTTCCAAGTCGTGAATTGCTTGATGCATTTGAACTTTACGACTTTCCGTCTGTAGTCATTAGTAATAATAACTGAAAGATATTAGGTTAAAAAAGTATGTACAGAGAAGTGACGTTCGTGGATGATTGTCTGTTTTGGCATAAAATGCAAAATGATGAATGCAATTTTATTTTCCAGATTAGTAATGATGTACAAAAAGGATATATTTACACAGGGATTAAATATGAGTGCGGATAGGAGATAATAGTAAATTAAATAAAACAGTTTAAGCCTTGTTCAAAGCCATCCAAACACCCAAACCACCAGCAATGACACCCACAATAACAGAAAAGATATTAAGATCAAAGAAGTTACTCTTTTGGGCAGCCTTGGTCATAGCCTCTTCAGCAGCATGTTTCTTTTGCATCTGTTCATTGAAATAAGGGTTCATATAATACTTGGCATAATAATCGTTTTGAACCCACATCAACTTGGTGAAAGCATCTAAAGCAGCCTTTTCGACCTCACGATCCAAATTTAGGGAGCAGATACTATTCACAATCCCAGCAGAGACGAAACCCATCAATGCATTGACGTGGATATAGTCGACGTTGATTTTGCTTGCCTTTTCAGGGGTATCAGTGTGAATCTTGGCGACCCAATCAAGGTATTTGAGGAATCGTTCATCGTAAGGACCTCTAAGGATACGGTACAGATACTTGGCCAAAAAATGCTTACGGAATTTAATTTGAGGGTGATCCAGAGTTAAATCATCGATTGAGTCAGCAACTTGGCCATTGAAGCCTTCATTCTTGGGCAAGAAATATTTCTTGGTCACGTCAAAGTCAAATTGCTTCACATAGACGGCATCCACGAGCGCGGGAACAAGGGGTTCCATCTTTTCAGCGACGTTTTGAATGGCTTGAAGATCCTTTTCGCCAAAACCGATGTAAGCAGCAATATAATCGTAACGGTACTTGTCATCCGTATAAAGCTTCTTCTCGTCAATATGTTCCGTGGGCATAATTGCTATTGTGACTAAGGTAGGAGTCCTTAAAAAAAAACAAAGTATAAAAAACAAATAAACATTGATTCACTGTTATATTTAACAAACGTTCATTTAAACAAACAAATGGAGTTTTAAGATGAAGTTTATTTTCGCGGTTTATCGGAAACGGATGGGATTGCAGAAGAGACAATTTGTAATCTAGTCCAAACAATAAAAGACAATGAAAACAATATATATTGGAAACACATCCAATGAAATAGAAGGATTGAAGTAATTGATTGAAGACATTGGCATTTCCTTTGAATCATGCCAGGAGGACGTGACACCGGTATTGTGGTTAAATAATAGTACACAAATAAAAATTCCTAAAACGTGGTACTGATGATCACTTTGAGGGGAAGATAATAGGGTAAACGATTATGTATGATATGTTCAAACGGAAAAAATGAAAAAGCGTCTGCCGCTATCAAAAAATTTATCGTATTCATTTTTTTTTTTTTTTTTTTTTTTTTGGTTTTGTATCTCTAACCTAATGGCTTTTGCTGAGTGGTATCATAGACGCGAATCAGCTTTGCCTGGTCACTGTCATTCTGTGAAAAGGCGTAACCACGGTTTCTTTTTAGACGCTGGATACGACGCACTTTGTTCACGGCTTGTCTGAAACGATCCATACGGGGTCTATAATCTGGTAAATTGTACTTTTGTATTTCTTGTACATAATGGTACGAAAGCGGGCGATACATTCTCTTCAAACTATTGATACAAGCAATTACAATGAGTACCTTAAGCTACTATAATGCTTTAAAGAGTTATTCAATAACTTACTATTTCCAAACAAAATCTCTCAGATTGCAAACGAATGGTACCAGCAATACGAACAACCAGAAATTCACATTGCCCCAGAGAGCAGGTACAATGCCATAATATTCGGGAAAGATATCAACAGAGATAGCGGGCCCTATAAAAGCGACGACAGGCAAATAGATAAACCAAATTATCATCGATCCTGGAATAGCAATAAAAGCATACTTTGTCCACACACTATATTTATTGTTACGGTTTAATATTCATTAGATTCTCTGCAAACTCTCTTTTATCCGAGGCATTGGTAAACTTACTCTGTGATCAAAGCACCTTTCCAAAGAATGCAACCTAAAACAGCAGTGAAAACAGCGGTACCTGCCCACCACTGCCCACCGACTATCCCATTGGAGAAGACGCCATCTGTACTGAGCATTCCTACACCCAAAAAGAATAAAACCTGTAATTTTTTTTTTAATAAAAAATAATAGACAGCCAATAAGCTTACAATTCGAAATTTTTGATTCAATTACAAAATGTTTACAAATGTTTACCAAAGAATGAAACACTGCATTGCCAAACCAACCCCAGAATTTTTTTTGATTGAAAAATTCATTTTTCTGTCCAAGCATATACATTTGAGGATATTTGTCAAGCATTCTTGCTGTAACAAATTGGTCAAATATACCAATGCATAATGGTGGTAAGAAAGTGAATATGACATTAAAGCATGACATTGTCCATGATTCATACAAAGTTGAGCCTGAGAAACCATTATAAAACGCGTACTATTTGATTTGAAGAACCGAAATTTAACATTTATGAGCTCAAATTAAAGCACTTTTTTTTTGTTATTATTTGAACTCACCCAAAATTGCGTCAAATACATCGCGACATTCTTGTAAAAGTAGTAAAAGATCATCTTACTCAACCTCTGATAAGCCCATGCACCGTGTACCAGTAGCAACTTTTTCAAGTAACGGAACTGAGAGATAGCAAAATCAGCACTTCGAGCCGCTTGGAGACCTTCCACACCGCTGATACCTACTCCAACGTGCGCCGCTTGAATCATAGAAACATCATTAGCACCATCTCCAATGGCCAAAAGAATGGATTTGTCATATTTTTTAACCAATTTGACGACAAGAGCTTTTTGTAACGGGGAGACTCGGCAGCAGATCACTGCCTTACATAACACTGTTAAATCAAATAAGAGCTTTTCTATATCTTTTTCTAAAGCAAATGTTAGTGCTTTGCCATCAATAATGAATGCCAATGGCTATGGAAAACATTTTAGTAATGAATCATATGAACAATAACAGGAACGATGTGAATTTTATGAAAACAGGCTTCTAGGCTGTTTTGCTCTGTTTTTTTATTACAATACTTTACCTCTAACTCTTCTCCTTTTTCCATAGCGCTTGTTACATCTTTTAATTTTGATTCAAGAAAGATCTTTGTTTCCCAATGACTCTCCACGTTACATATAATTAAGCTCATTTCCTCATTTAGTAATTTACAGGAATACCCAATGTTAATGGCTGTTTCTTGTCGATCTCCAGTTAAAACCCAGACGTTGATACCTGCTTCTTGTAGCGTTTGAATTGTGTCAGGCACACCGTCTTGTAGCTTGTCTTCGATGGCTGTTGCACCAAGCAAGAACAGATTTTGCTCGATCATTTCAGCAGCCTTATCCAGTTCATCTGCACGATTCACAAGGGTAGTGGCTGCCCTGTCGTAGATCTGAGACCAACGAGCATATTCATCTTCAGGGATTTCTCTCATAGCGATACATAATGTACGAAGCCCTTCGGAAGCGAAATCTTCCAAATGAAGTAATGTATTTTCCACAAAAGGATTATTCTCTGCAAGCCGTTCCAAAATCACGGTATCTGCGCCTTTGCAATAAAGTTTTATTTTGCCATCAGGTGCACGGATAATCGCTGACATCCGTTTACGCGTTGAATTGAACTCGCAAACGTTCAACACTTGGTATTCATATTCCACACCTAATTGTGAGCAAGCAATTGAATTTGGTTTTCGTGTCTAGAAAAAAGAAAACAGAAATAGATGAATATGGATTAGGTGCACATAGAAAAATGAGTGTTTTCTAATTGGAAGCAAATGATACAACGGTTGTCTTTCTTTTTTTTTTTTTTTTTGTTTTTTTTTGAAAAAAATGAACGTTACATGGAACTTAAAGGCTAAATCACTAGCACCTTTCACAAGAGCACCTTCGTCTGGTGAGGAAGCCTGGTACTTTTTTTCGTCTGTGCCTTCTTGAGCCTCTGGAATGACTGTGTGGCAAGTGGCCAGCAGTGTTAAAAACTCATTGATCACATTGGCCGTTGGATGTGATGTGAGGTGTTCCTTGAGTTGGGTAAAGTTGTATTGTAAGGTGGGATCATCCACGCCATCGCGAGCTTGCTTATCGGCATCCACTTTCTCGGCATAAGAAATCCCAGCAATAGAACATTCTCTAAACTGCATTTCATTACAGGTAAGCGTACCTGTTTTATCCGAGAATACAAATTTCACCTGTCCTAGTTCTTCAATCAAACTACTACTGCGTGCTACTGCTGGCGTATCTGTTTTATCGTAATACATATCCAGGTCGGATTGAATCAGATAAGACTGAACAAATTTAACAATTTCCATAGTGACCATTAAACTGATAGGGATGAAACTGTTGAACAAAATGAGAAAGGTAAGGATATCGTAGCCGAATGCTTGTGCTCGGGAATTTTGCGCTTCTAGCTGTAAGTATCCATCTACGTAACCACTTTTTGTAATCTATACAGATAATGTAATAAAAGAGTGTATGGTTGAGTTGTATGCCCTCGAGGGGGGAAATTCATCAACATCCCTCTCTTGGTCCTTACTGAAAACACTAGACCGCCGATAGAACATGCAACGCTCATCACGACGAGAATAGCAAATAAATACAAGATATTACGGTTTGTGATACGCGTAACATTGGATACTTTGGAAGGTTTTTTGCTACAAGGGTATAAAATAAGATGAGTACAAATGAAACCCGCACAAAAATTCAAATTTGCTAAACCATGTGCACAAGCTGGTATGAAAAAAGTATACCTAGAGTTCAGCATGAGCTTTGTTTCGTGACCTGTAAAGACAACGATACCATAAATCCACAAGGTGTTGCGTAGCTGCGCGCCACGTAACAAAAGTTGTGTAGGATCCAATGCATATTCTTTGATCTTTCCTGCAACATGATTGTTTTCATCCGAAAAGGAAGTGCTTGCCGAAAGGACGCCGTCATAATTATACAGGCGATTATTGGGTTGCTCTGATTTAATGACGCCTTCTAAGCGACTCATAGCCACTGGATCCAAAATGGTTGCTGTTTGTGGCAGAGCCTGTTTGATTTTTAAATTCACTTCACCATCCAAATTGCTTGTTTCTATATAACACAAGCCCTCTGGCTCAGAGCTGCTCACCAAAATCAAATCTGCAGGAAAATTCTCTCCACTTTCAACACGTAATATGTCTCCCACTTTAACATCACGCCAAGTCTTTTCGACAAACTGCGAGCCCACCAGTACTTTACATTTTCGAGCATTCAATTCTGCATCTGAACGATGAACACCCTGTATACAAAAGACACAATTTTGGCTGTTAGATATGATGTCTATAGCATGGACGTGTCGAAATAGGCGGAAAGCGCTTACCCAATCCTCAATCACTTCTTTTACGGCGGTGATAAGTAATACAATGACAAGCGGCACAAGTGTTGTATATCTCGAAGTCGGTGAAATGCCAGGAATTTGCTATTACCCAATAAAATTGTCAATGGACATTGATAACATCTGGCTTCCACTTCTTTAACGAGCTTACCTGTATACCAGAAATAAATAAAAAGAAGAGATTGGCATATTTTGAGAATTCTTCGTACAGAAATTTTGGCAAAAATGTAATGACGGTATATTTTGCAGTGAAAACACGGTTGTGCAAAAACTTTTGCTCATCATTGAGATGATTATTGTTGATATGAATGATGCGCTCACCATTTTCACCAGCTGTGCCTGAAGCGGTCTGATTTTTACTGAATAGATTTTTCAAGTACTCTTTTACGTTGAAGGACTGTCGTTGTTTGTACTTTTTTGTCGATGAAAATGGCTTCGATAGGCCTCGGCCTAAAGTGCCTTTATTAGCAGATGTGGCTGAAGTAGTGGATTGAGGCTGCAACGGTTGCTTTGCACGACCAGCAATATCACCTCTATTGGTTAACAGTTGTAAATTGTCATCATCGTCTTGCATCAGCAGATTATCGTCATACAGAGAACCTAGAATAGATGGATAGCGAAAGCGTCAGTTGTATTATGTGAATTGTTCCTCCCCCTTGGAAAGCTTAAGGTTTTGATCTGATCTTTTTTTTTTTTTTTTTTTTTCAGGTCTCAGGTCGTTTTCTCCGACATTGCCCTGACCCTTCCTTCTTATAATGGTGCATTTACCTTCATCTAATGCAAATGAGGAATCAGCTCTTTTCAGCTGTTGATGACTATAAGCTGGTGTTGGTATCGGATGATACTGCTGTTCTTGTTGTTGTGTATGTGACGAAGAATCAGCATTCGGAATGTAGGGGCTATATTGTTGCTGACTTTGATCCAATTGGTTTTGCTGTGGATCGATTCGTTGTTGAGGATGGTTGTTACCATGAGAGGTAGCAGTAGGCCGGCTGGAGGGGTTGTATTCATTTCCATTCAAATCTAGTTCAGAAGTATCTTCGAAAGGGTTTGAATAGTTCATATTCTATTATCCTTACGTACGAATATTCGGAAAGAGACGCTTCTATTGAAATGTAGTTTTTATTATATGCAAATGGGCAGAACTCTTGTAAATATTGTAATATATATATTCTGAATAGAGGAAAGAAAGGAAACAAGAGAAAGAATAGACTGAAGCGACCAAGTCTAGCTTATAAGCTCGTTACCCCTTTTTAGGCCTTTATTTCTAGGAGATTGATTTGTATCATAAAAATGGGTCGTGTAACGTAAATTATATTGCCAAGTACTGTTTCTTTATCAAGACATGAAGGCTGTAATCACTGTTAAGCATGACATGATAAAGATAAAGCCAATGATAACAAGGACAGGTGACAAGAGTCCATAAGTGGACCAAAATGTTATACTCAAGCCGGTAAACGAAAGGATGGTGGATAGAGTTGCAATTTGTATATATTGTCTGGTCGTAGGATTTTGCTGCCAATTTCTGTATTCAACCTTTTTCAGTTGCAGAATAGTAAATACGCTACTGACACCAATACCCGCTAACACTGACAAATAAAATAGTGTACCACTAAATTTGGGATAAATCCATACTCGGATAAGACAACTTTTATTTTATTTTTCTTTATCATTGTTGCCGTTTACCTCAACACTTCAGGTTTCGGCGGAATGGCAGCAAGTGTGAAAAGAAGAATGGCGGCCGAAATGGCAAGTTGAGGAAATGTGTTGACAAGTTGTTGGATTGGGTTTCTCGTACGAAGACGTTTCGCTTTACTATTATCTGGAATTGAGTTCATTTCAGGTTGTCTTGTACGATATCCGTTTCTGCAGATGCTCGCGTTATCCTCGTAAAAAAAAAAACTGCCTTCAAAGTGATACTTGAAAAAGGGTGTATCCTATCGACCCAAAACAAATTTGTCGGAGTGGCAATCATTCAACATTGATGCTAAGCATAGCGTCAAAAAGCAGCTAGAAAGTTAAAAGATAGAAGCTATGTATACCGAATAAAAAGCAAAAGCATATAACAGTCGCTATTCTTTCAATGCAGAATGCCCAAATAGCGTCGAAAACAATTCTAGAATGTTTGGATAGTGCTAAACTCATTTATATAACTCTATTATGAGACAAATGGAAAAGCATATTTATTTGTTTCATCCATTTCCCCGTATTGTGACAAAAGCCTTTTCATCTTACTGAGGAAGACTATCTGCTTGCTATTGGAATCTTCTTAACAGACCCATGAGTTTTCAATTTGCTGCTACTTTTCTCTTTTCCTAGTATAACATTCATTGACATATGAGTTCGATAGGGATGCACATTGTGATGGAATATCTGAATTCAGAAGAGTAAGTTTTGAACCTGCATTCCAAAGTTTACGTTCTATTCTATGCTGAAATGATACTGCTTGTTAAAAGAGCTCTTTAGACGATCCATCAAAGATGAAGATAAAAAAAAGGTTGAATGATTCTCAAACAGTGTTCTATCGATCGTAGCAATGCTTACAGCTCTTGTTGCCCTTTCGTGTCTGTTCACCATTCAAACCGCTCAAGTAAAGCCCTATTGCACCCAATGAATTTGTAATCGAAACAAAAAACTAGTTTTTAAATTGCATGGGAGATGCCTATGATCATTGTATTTAGCCATAGTCGGTGTTTTGGTTTGTGATGATTTGGATTCCCTCGAACACATTAAAAAAAGAAACATGACGTTAGCAACAAGCCCATTGTATTTTTGTGTGTATCACAAAAAGTTGAATAGAACATAATTAAGCATTATATTAGTAGTAGGACGGTAGTGGTATGATAGCCTACATAAGAGAGAATAGTATACAAAAGTTTAAATAAAGGGGAATTTTGTCATAACACCATCAAGGTGTATGACTGTAATGAAAAAAAAAAACTTAGGCTTTGTTAGACTGCATGTTATAGATTTGCGTCCTGCGCTTATCTAATAATTGGCTGTTGTTAGAGTGGCTATTATTTTGGTTATTTTTTCCGAGTTGTCGTTGTATATGCTCTTCACAGTAGATTCTGTTTTCAAATACATAATAGGTATCACCGAGTCGTTGCTGGCATACTTCGCAAGTAAAGCAGCTGGGGTGAAATCGCCATCCTTCAGCGGTAAGAGCACAAAGGTTTTCGATTCCTTCATGACATCGGCTGCAAAGAGAATTGTTCAATAGATGATAGTGCTTCTTGCAATAGGGCTGATGATCAAATACATAGAATGTGTTATCAGGGAAGGGCTCATGGCATATCTAGACAGATGAGAAGAAATGAAAAATCGGGACGTTTTAAAAGAGTGCGCTTCTAGAACCAATCGTTGGCAGAAAAAAATAAAATAATAATGTACCTGGCAATTGAAACATGCCATATGCCATTTTCCTTCCAACTTGCCGTCCATCGCTGAAACAGCTTCATTTTCTACCGGTTGATGACAGGAACGACACTTTGGTGCAAATAACTGAACGAAATCATCATGGCAATAAATGCGATTCTTGTACGTCTTGAAAGCCTCTCCCTCTTTGAGTTCTCTTTTGCAATGAAAGCACATTTTTGGCATGGTTTTGTTTTTCAACGCTCTATGGACGACACGCATTCAGATACCATGAGTTTCGTTATGCCATCGAGCGATAGTGATCACAGTGTAGGGATGAGAGAGTGTACTTTACCTTGCGTTCATGACTTGATAATCTCTGGGGCAGAAAAGCTTATTGTTGAATTCACAGGCAGATGCACTTGACAGTGGAATACGACACAAAGTGCAGCAGAAGCATGATTTGTGATAGAGTTTTCTAGACTTGAGATCTTTGACTGACTCGTCGTTCATTGAGATAATCTGATAACATAATGAGCACATGTCTTCTTTCATGTTCATTGTTAAAAGTAGTTCGCTGTAGATATCGTCTAGTTCATTTTTTTTCTTGCTATTGTCAGCAAAAAGCTCTTTGTTTCTTCCTTTATTAGGAAATTTTGAATTAATTGACAGAACGTCAAACACACATTTTAAGCTTCCCCCTTTTGCAAGATTTGGTTTGTTCTTTTTACTTTACCTTGCAATTTGAAATAATTGAAATCTATAGGTGTTTCATAGATAATAAGAAATGAAGAATGAGGTAGTCAGGGAGAGTGTTGCATTTTCTGATTTTTTTTTTTTTTTTTTTTTTTTTTTACCTGGATCATATCGGTCAGAGAAATGGCTGTCATATCGATAGCAATTGTCATTATTTGATGATCTATAGAATGCATAGAATTGTTAAGCATGAGTCAGCAGCTGGACGTTGAGTGGATGTGTCTAGTTTCTCTTTTTTTTTTCTTTTTTTTTTTTACCTAGGAGTTGTCACGGAAGAGGTTGAAGCAGTAGACATTGTAAACGTGGATAATGTAGGTGATAGTCGACTAGACAAGAAAGAGGCTGCTGTATCTCTATCATTGATAGTGAGGCAAGGCTCTTGGTGCTCATTGCCTTTCATTTTTTGCAGTATCTTTTTCATGCCGATATTGAATGCATTGGTGCCGGCCTTTTCTTTCAATCTCCTCTGAATCGTCGTATGCTCGATATCCGTCTTGTCGTTTCGTCTAATACTACCGCCGCCATGGCCAGCTTTTCTACTGTTGAATACAGGAATTTTTGCTATAGATGAATTGGACTTTGTCAGCATGATACAGCTTTTTCAATAACTTGTCAAAATAGAATCATCTTACATTTTTCGCATTGATGATTATTCAAGGTACGAATATCGATATATAAATTACAGTCAGAGCATTTGATGGTATGAAGAAAGGGCTCGCTTATGTCTGTCATTCTGTGATTCAGAGTCAAAGAAGGAAAAGAAGAAGAAGAAGAAGAAGAAGAAGAAGAAGAAAGGGAAATGCTTGTGATATATAGGCAATTTAATAGTCATTTTGATCCATTAATTGAAAAAAAAAAAAACCAGGACAATGACAGCCGTCGTTTCAATGCATTTTTTGGTTCGACAGGATCCAACCAAAAAAAAACTCAGTTACAATTATTTTCTGTTACATAAACTACACAGAGAGACACGCTTCAATATCCCAGTTTTTTTGGTTTTTTTTTTTAATCAACAATTGGCAATTTCAACATGGCAGATACAAAGGCTGTTATTTTAGTGGGTGGACCTTCAAGAGGTACACGCTTCCGTCCTCTTTCCCTCAACTGTCCCAAACCACTTTTCCCAGTAGCCGGTCGACCTCTTATTTCTCATCACTTGGACGCCCTTTCCAAAGTCAAAGGTTTAAAGGAAGTGTTGATTATCGGCTTATTTGAAGATAAAGTCTTTGCACCTTACATTGACAATGCTGCCGTTGAATTTCCTAAATTAAACATTCGGTAAGCTCGCCTCATGGGACAATGCCATTCACAAAGGAACCCCCCCCCATCTCAAGTTTTCAATGCACTCACCTCCATCTTTCTGCCCTGCACAAACCCACCAGTTACCTTCACGAATACCAAGCTTTGGGAACAGCAGGCGGTATTTATCATTTCCGTGATGAGATTTTGAGAGGACAAACAAAGCACTTTTTTGTTATGCATATTGATATTGCTTGTTCCTTCCCGTTGAATGATATGATGGACGCCCATATGCGTCATCGTGGTATTTGTACTATGCTAGGAACCAAGGTAAACGTGAGCCTTCTGAACCGAGCCCGTGCCTCAGAGCTCTTTCTGATGGGGGGTCATTGATATTTTTAGGTACCTTTCAGTGAAGTCACCAAGTATGGCTGTCTCGTCGCGGATGAAAAAACGAATCAAGTGCTTCACTACGTCGAGAAACCCGACACTTTCATCTCAGACCTCATCTCTTGTGGTGTCTTTTTGTTCGATGTTGCTGTCTTTTCTGAAATGAAAAAGGCGCTCGATAAGAAAGAAGGACAAGAACCCACTGAATTTGTTGCTTATTCCAACCGAGATGAATTACGTTTAGAACAAGATATTTTGAGACCTTTGACAGAAAACAACAATTTATATGTTCACGTGACAAAGCAATTCTGGAGACAAGTCAAAACAGCAGGGTAAAATGAACGTCCATGAGAAAAAGGTCATCGATCGAAACTATTCTTTTGCTCATTGCTCATAGACTGCGCCTACAAATCTAGATCGGCTATTTCAGCAAATGCCCTTTATCTTGAAGCTGAAGCTCATGAAAATTCAAACAGACTTGCTCAAAATACACCAGAAGGACCAGAGATCATGGGTGCTGTCTATATTCATCCTTCTGCTCATGTGGATCCTACAGCCAAGGTAAGCAAAAAAATAAAAAATAAAAATAAAAATAAAAATAAAATAAAAAAGCAGAACATCAAGAAAGACGCGTGTTGTAAGAACATGCCATTCGGAGGAGGAGGCTCAACACATTATTTTTTCTTTTTTCGTAGATTGGCCCTAATGTATCCATTGGTCCTCGTGTCAATATCATGCCTGGTGTTCGTATCAAGGACTCTATTATTCTCGATAGTGTTCACATCGGTGTAAGTACAGTTAGCAGTCCCTTCTTTTTGACTCGCCCACATTGTTTTGTTCACCTATTTTGTTTTGTTGAATAGACCGGAAGCTGTGTTCTTCATTCCATTATTGGTTGGAACAGTCGTATAGGTATGTGGGCACGTGTGGAAGGATGTCCTGTGCCTAGTGAAGAAGACACCTCGATGATGAAGAATGGTCGCAAGAGTCAAAGCATTACCATTCTAGGCAAGTAGTGCGCGGGCATACCTACATGAATTGGAGAGGGCTCGATACTAACGCTGGTATTTGAATTAGGTAAAGATGTGTCTGTCATGGATGAAACCATTATTCGCAACTGTATCGTATTACCGCACAAGGAATTAAAGTCTTGCTACCATAATGAAATCCTTATGTAAACGAAAGGGATACGGATAAGAGGGAAAGAGAGCAAAATGATATCCAAAAAGCTTGAGAAATAAAAAAAAAAGAAAAAAAGTTTAGTTGTCGGGTCGAGAGAAAAAGAAAATTCCTGTTCTTTTATTGGCAGCCCAGTTTCTGGATCGCCGTGTTACAAATGATAAACTCTAAAAACCTTAAACTTTTTTATGTGGGGGGCGGGGAAATGAGGTTGTTGGTCCCTTTACGAAAAAAAAAAAAACATTCTGTATTCATTTCTTTTTGGGAGAAAAATGCAATTTATACATCAACTTCTAATGGGATGATCTCCCTGAGGATGAAGCGTATTGATGGAGAAAGACAAAAAAAATTAGTATAGATGACATAAAAATAAACGAGAAAAAAGTGATTCTACTGTACAATACAAATGATATATATATAAAAGAAGCAAACTAGATAGATGTTAGAGATTTGAGTGGGGAGGAATCCTATGCATGGGGATTGTCCCAAGGAAATTAAGCAGTGTCTGTGATGGAAATATCGGTGGCTGCCGGTGAAGTACTAACGACCACGGCAGGTTCAGCTACATCGCCTGTCATTCTTCCTTTCAATTCTTTCCAAATCAATGCGCGCTCTACATTCACAGCACCCAACACGGAAGCATTTTCCTGAGCACGGCGGAGTAAGTAAGGGATGACTTCATCAATCATACCGTAGGGTAAGTATTTGTACACAGCAAAGCCATGATGGCCTAGCGTGTAGGATAATTGGTCTTGCATGCCGTAAAGTTGACCAAACTGAACCACGTTCGAGTGAGGCGAAATGTTGTTCTTTTCCATTTCGTCAATCGTCAAGATGACACTATCACGATTATGGCTGGCGACCATAAACACAATAGGAGAATTGGAGGCTGTTAAAGGTTGGCATTCTTCGTTGCTGTCTTTTGCCGTGAGAAGCTTTTGTTCTTGATGTTGCTTGATTTTGCCGAGTAAGTAGCGGACACCGCTGTTATAGGACGCGTGTGTATCCTCGATGGTATCATGGATCGGGGAAGGGTAGTTCATGTCTTTAGCGCGCTGACGTTCCGACACCATGTAAGCACCCCGGACTAACTTGGCTGCAAATCGAAAGTTTTCCCGTTCGGAACGTTCAACATCTAATTTGAGTTTTCCACCTGCTGCTTTGGTATACATTTGATCTATAGTAAAAAAAAGGGGATAATGTATGTAGGATGTATAAGAGTGAGGTCCCTCTCCTTTCTTCATCCGGGAAAAGCTTCATCATCATGTACACTTACAAGTATTGTAAACAGTGGGTCGCTTATTCTGTTCTTGATTGTACTTTCTTTGAAGATTAATGGCCACATAGTCAATGGCTTCTTGAAAGTAAGACTGTTCAGCATCAATCATGACACCCACATTGGCCTCGTGCGCCATACCACAAATCTCATCCAAACGGCTTTCCATACGATCCAAAGCTTCTAAATCCTCCATCGTAAGGCTTACTTTAGCTGCATCCGTTTGACGTGTGCGCCACCAGATGTCACGGCCGGTGCCTTGCAAATCAAACAGCTTGCGATATTCAATGACATCCAACAGAATGCCTTTCTGTCTCAGTTGATCAAAGATCATATCACGTTGCTTCTGCTGTTCTTCTGTTTCAGCCTCGGGCAACACCGTCTCTGCCACCTGCTGAATACCATCGGCATCAATATATCCGTTCTTTTGGCGACTCACAAAGCCTTGGTCCAGCGAGCTAAGGACTTGATTCAAACGAAGCAAGAGTTCGGGGGGAGACAAAGCGGTGACCTTGAGCGCAACCATGGAACGGGTGGTGGGTTTACCGCCTTGAGCAGCTGTGGCAACACATGTCTTGAGCATCTTGAGAATAACATCGGCATGTTGATCGTCTCGATAGTATTTACCGCCTTCTTTGGATGGATCTTGAGCTTGGCTGCTCTCCAGATGCAAATCGGCCTCCACAGAGAGATCCAGGATACAGTTGATACCAGAAAGCGCTAGTTTATCCATACTGGAGATGCATTCCTCAGGTGTTTGCCCTCCGCAAAAATGACGAAAGAAGGTGTGCTGAACAAACCAATAGATAGGAGCTTCGAGCCCAAATTTCTGAGCAGCAGTGATCATATGCGGCGCCGCATCGACTAACCAAGGCAGTGCACATAGTTGATAGACAAACAAAGCCATCGCTAGCTCTTCCGTACTTTTGGTATGCACTGCAATTCTGTTTTGATCATTTTGTAAGTCAGAGAGGATAGACGAGAGAGCCTCCTTGCGAGAGAGAGGAGGAGAGGCGGATGAGTGATCAAGGGAAGATTCTGCATGAGCAATGTTGGTTTTTTGAGACACATAATAGAGGGAAGAAGCCAACAGGATACTTGCAGAAAGAGCCTTGAGATAGGATGACTTGTTGCTATTGCTGCAGTGAATGTTGTTGTTAATGATGGAAGAGGAGGAAGAGGTAGAGAATAGCTTAGAAGGTGTGCTTAATGATTTCCTGCCAAAGCCAATGCTGGTCTTATTTACAACAGCAGCAGCAGTAGTATGATAAGTAGTGGGATGAATGCTCGGTAAAGATACCCGAGAAGTATAAGGTCTTATGAATGACGTAGCAGTAGGAACTCTGAAAGATGAACGCAGTAAGAAAGTACGATTGTAACAAGCACCGTGAGCGAGATAGCGCATTCAATTAGGGATATTAACGTCAAAGAATTTAAGTAAGTGATTGAAGTATAAAAAGGCGTAAAGATACAAAGAATACAACAAAAAAAAAGATGAAAAAAAGAAGAGAAAAGAAGAAAGGGAATGACGGAGGATTTTATTACAAATTCAAGACCTTCCAAGGGCTTCTTTATAACGTAGCTTGCCTATCTATTGCAACAAACAACAACTGGTTCCGAAGAGGGGGAGTGCAAGAGATTCGATAGAAAAAATTAGGGTGACACTATGTGGGGGTTCTGTTAAGTTTTTTTATTTTAGTAATTTCCCACAATATGAACCAATCATAGCCTTGTATTACTATTTTGTGTCTAATGTCCTTTTTTTGACAGCCCAGAAGCCGAAAATTATGGTTTACCCACCTCCCTTTTTTCCAACCAGCCCATCGTATATTTCCGGATTGAAATTAAAAAAGAAAAAAAGATATCAAAAAAGGCCTCGTTGTATAACGAAAAGCTTTCCTTTTGACTACTCACAGATTACGTGAGCAAAGCAACCAAAGATGGTTTCTCTATCCTTTCCTATCCTAAAATGAGCGTTCTATCTACTCAAGTTCTATTGCACGGCATTGGATTGTATGGATGAATAAAAAAAAAAAAAAAAAAAAAAAAAAAAAACGCGTTATGCACTGTTTCCTTAGCTGTTTTCAATTACGGCCACAGGAGAATATCCTTTTTTCGATTATTTTTAACCTTTAGCCTTTGGTGCTACCATGAGAAAATGCCTGATCTCCCGGTTGTGCCGTGGTTACAAAAGGGTCTCTTTCAAATAACTTTCTTCCTGTGCAAGGGTTGCTCAAGTAAAATGATCAAAGTTGTTGCACACTGTCCTATTACTCAATGGATTCATGGTTTATCAAGCAGTAGACATTTGTCTATTTCCTTTTCATTATCCACACTGGGAGAGAATAAGACCTTTATTAGGCAGTGGAGGAGGGGTGATATCGGTAGCCGGCCCGTTGAAATACGATGGTGGCCCCAAGACAGATGCTGTCTCATAAAAAAGCAGTAAAGCACAATTTTTATTGAGAACAAATCCATGTTCATGGTGAACATCGTTGTCTATGTTTTTTTTTTTTTTCATTTATACTTCTTCTTTAGCTGTTCGATTATAAAAGTGGTTGAAGCTTAATCGTATCAACAAGTCTCGTGCAAAGTTATCCAAGCCTTCTTTTGCCTCATTTCTACAATACAAATCGACAAACATTGGATGGCTATGGCTGCCCTTGCCGTCTGTCTCACTTAAAATATTGGCCAAACTTCCTGATCCTTTCGCTTCCATGATACTTAGTATCTCCACAAACACTTGCACATTGGCTTGAAACTGTTTAAAAATACGTTCGCACCCCAATGCAAAGTCTTTTTCTGGACCCGCTGAATGGGTCGTCGTCGTCGTTTTTGCAACTACATTGTAATAGTCATCTATCCTTCTTCCAAATGAAATGATATCTTGCAGGATAGGATGTAACACATTCAGAATACGTCTCTGATTCGCTTTTAAAAAGCATTGTATCAAAATTCTGTCAAGAATGTGTTCATGATAACTACGAAAAGCATAGGGTTCCATAATAGCCAATGTGTAATCTGTTAACCCTCCTTGTGGTTGCCCCCTATCGTTGCCGTTGTCGTCGCTATCGTATTCAGCTGTCGCACCCACTTGTCGTTGTTGTTCCTGGATCATCCTCGAGACATTCCGCTCAAACGATGTCCAAGTATTTTCTATGGCTGTGCCATGGACATAGTTTTCTATAGCGTTTACAAATTGATCCATTTGAAAACACATTTGAAATAGTTTTCCGCGCGTTTGATTGCTTTGCCAATCGATCCTTCTTAACATCGTGTAGCATAATTTGGTAACTGTGCTTGTCCTTAGTAGTCGCAAAAGGAAAGTAAAGATACGATTGTATTTGTGGATAATAGTCGGTGTCATGACCATAGGAAGAGAATATTTTGCACAATAATTCGCTTTTAAAAAATCGAGTGCTTCCACGGCTAAATAGAGAAAGGCGAAATGAATAACTGCACTGTAGACAGTATTTTATCAAGATACATTTACCATGGGGGTCCATCCAACGACAACGGGTTGTATCTGATGGTTTTCGTATAGTAAACGTGAGTATATCATCTTCCAGCTCATTGTTTATCTTGTTCTCCAGCAACAGATTTCTTAAAGCCATATTCAGTTCTATTGCTTTGGGTGGCCATCGATTTCCTCTATAATCTAAGCGAACGCAATCTTGAGTGGGAAAGAAGATTCTTTTTAAACCTGCTGCGAATGTTCCATGTTTGAGAAAGAACACGTCGCTGAGCAGTGAGAGGTGATGCTGAAGTTTGTATTGCTTCAAAAATGACAGCATAAACGATTCGTTCAGCAGTAAGCACCACTGTTTCAATGGCTGAATGTAACTGTATCGCGTGATGGTATTCAGTGTAGGTATATAAGTGTCTGTGTATTTCGTACACGTCGCAGATGCTTCTTCATTTTCGTTCTGATGATGATGATGTTGTTGTTGTTGTTGCTGCTGTTGGGAAAGCAAATCGTTCAAACAAGTCATAAACTCGCTTGAAAGGCGAATGCTTTCATCTAATAACGGTAGTAGGGGTATATTTTGCAGCAGGGTATCATTATCGGATGTACCATCCCTAGACGATGATGTCAGACCTTCTTGCTCTTCTTGTTGTTCTGTTTGCGGAGAGTGTTGCTGTTCATCCACCCTTTCATAATGATCCACGTTGATCACGTCACCACGGTTGTATGATTGAATGAAATGACATAGATGGTCGTGATTCGTTTTATATCTATGTATTCAGTACAATTAGAATACTCAACTGTTCATGTCGTCAAAAGAGTGGGGGAGAAAGACAGAATTCACTATAACTTACTCTGAATACTCTACGTTACTGAGGACGTATTTCAAGGAGAAGGAATCCTGCAAGTGGAACAACGGATGGTCTGGCTTGATTCTCTTCAACATTCGCTGAGAAATTCCTGAGCGTAATATGTACTGAGCCAACTTTTCGTCGATGAAATGAGGAAGGATGACTTCTGATCGTACCTTTACGAGAAAAACGATATCCAAAGAAAAACAAAACAAAGAAGCGATGGCTTGTGAGAACCCCCATCTATTCATTTTTAACAAGGACGCTAGCTACCAACCTGAAATTGTTCCATCACGTCCTTCTGACAAGTTGCTACTTGCTCAATAAAAAACTCGCCGTAAGGGTCCCAATGATCCAAACTCATGTCAGAGGATGATCTGTCGGATAGATGTAACCATTCACTAAGCATATGCAAATAAGGCACACTGGTATATTTCAGAAAAACCAAACATATATTTTTATAAATGGATAGATCCCCATGTAACGCCAAATCATATTGCTGCACTTGTGCATGTAACAAATTTAACCATTGCGCACCAAAAGGTAGGGAGAAGGATGGAGGTGCTGCTGCTGTTGTTGTTGTTGTTGCTATATCTATTTGACATCTGCATAACTCACTGCATAATTTATGGACGATCGTTGAGAGTTGGTGTGTATATTGATGTAGTTTGATAATCGATAATCGAAAGTAATCACTGGGAGTTTCAGAAAATGTGTTCATCATCGAATAATGAATATTCATGTGCACTTCAGCTAAGCAGCAGCCAAAGGCCATACCAGTGAGTCCATACTTTTCCGGCTGAGATTTGCATGTATTTGCTATGCGTTCCAGTGCTCGTAATTGTGTACCAAATAGAAGTATATCATCTATCATAGGTTGCAGTGCCGATTGGCTAACGCCCAAGATACGAATCGAATGGTTGACGCGTGATCTGAGGCTTTCCTGTTCGTCCCAATAAAAATAGGCGGAAGGTATTCCCTCCATTGCTTGTAAAAGAGCTTTCACAAGTGCTATCTCATAGACAACCTTGGTGGTAGTATTCGAGGCTGCTGCTGCCGTGTTTGCATTGCTGAGCGTCGTATTGTTGAAACGGTCTATTAAAGGATCGAAAAAACTCAGTGGTGCTTCTGTAAGAAACGGTGTACCAACATTTCTTTTCGCAAGTTTCTTTTGTTCATAGGTAGGAAACTGAGAATTCCTCGTATCCCATGATAATGCTTTGTGGGTTCGTGGCTCAGAGCGCTGACTAACCCAAATGTCCTCATCGGGACTGGAGTGATCTGAGGGCACATCGTCCATATCAATCTCGGAATCCCATAGTGACTCTGGAGGAGCCGTGGGGTTTCCTGCTTGATGATCAGTGCTTAACTTAGTAGACGCACTAGTAGCTTGTTCGGAGGATTCTTCTGCGCTGAGGCCTGAAAATAGATCGAAAGGTTGATCAGGAAGTGGTTTAAGTCTAAGATCGCTAAACTCTATTAAAAAGAACTCTAGGTTATGATCAAAGATGGTATGACCAAACATATTTCATATACGGTAAACTGCTGTTATTACCCGCTGTATCGTCATTCCATTGGAAGAAGTTTAACTGCGTGTCATCAATCTCGAACATTAAGAAATCATTTATCACTTACAAATAGTCTAGCAAGGAGTAATTGATTTTTTTTTAAAACAAAAGAAAAAGGAAAAAGAAAAGAAATGGAAACATTACAAAATTCTATGAGCGAAAGGCTCGATGCTGTCTAATTGTCAATCTCAGGTACAGTTATCTTCATAACACTTCTCCGCGCTCGAATCACAGCGCAAACGCCTTTGTATCAACGTAATTTTTCAAGCCCAAAGCCTATGTTCTGTAGAGTATGGCGTTTATGGCTGCTTATATATCTATATCGTCCAACTCAGATCAAAAAAGTACGTGTTCCATCAACAAGCTACGCTCAATTGCATTTTTTTTTTTTACAGAAATTAATATCTTCTTTAAAGAAAGTGGGTGTGATCTTTTCGTGCTCAAGACGCTCTATCTACTTGATCTTTGGGATAACATGCTGCTTTAAACAATACTGGCTGTTCTAATGATAGCATAAATAGAAACGAATAGAAAGATACATGTATTGATAATCATATAATACAAAAGGAAGGTGACCCTTTACAGTTGACAAAAAACAATAAAACAAAACGACTGTTACTTCTTATCAACAAATGAGCAAAGAGCAGTTGTTGCAGCATTTGATGCTCATAATCAAGTTGCGTGCTTGTATTCCCTGGAGAAAAACAACCAGCTGCACTCACATTTGTCAAATCGGGACTCATACTTGGGGCTGGAACCACTTGATGATGGCAAGTCTTTCTGCCCAGCGGGGAAGCGATCAAACGTAAGATTAACTTTTTGCTTTGCGTTTATTTGAAGAACGCTGTGAAGAATTTAATAGCAAATTAGACTAAAATGCAAGGTATAAAAAGTGTAGTACAAGATGTTTAGATTGAAAGTTTAATGTGAAAGTAAATATCGCTAACGTAGCAAATATACGTTCTATAATGACGAAGCACGATGTGGTTTTTTTTTTACAAAATACAAAAAGAGATCATAAGAGAAAAGGAATTTTTGGTTGCCCATTCAGATATCCTGTCTTGTTCCCTGGAACAAAAGCAATGGTGGCGGTCTTTGGATCAACCTCATGGCTGCATCTCAAAGTGGATTTTTATATGAACTTCACCACTTCCTTCTGGTTCCAAAGGTAACCATTTATCCAACGATGTCACCACAGGAGGCCTGATGAGATCCCACAGGGAGCTTGACCAACTGCCAATCTCATTGGAAGACCCGAATGTATGAGCGTCCGTAAGTTTAACATCCAATTGAACATCCTCTTTATCGTTGTGCAATACTCGACTGAATTGTTCGTTCCTTAATAATTAAAAATAGCAAACAATGAGCCAACTACACTTTTAACAGCTACACATTCAATCATCGTACTTACCAGAATGGGTTTAAAGTTTTTTTCAATTTTTTGGTTTTGATACCCTGCGCTTTGGCACTAGTGCCACTGGTTAACGTTAGCGTAGCTACTGGGTTTACTTTGCTTTCATCACCCTTCAGTCCCCTTGCTTCAATCAACTCAATACGAACTGTTCCTTTATTGACCAATTCGTTCACCACAGGTGCTCTTGTTATGGTTGATTCATGGTCCTTACTGGGTGATGCAATGCCACTGTTTTCCTCATTCTTTTTGGTGGTGGCCGGACGACTCCAATTGAACGCTACCGTACCTAACTTTGTTGTGCCTGTATTAATGCTACTGCCTGTTGTCGTTTTACGCGTTATACCCATGAACGTGCTGGCTTTTCGATGCATCAACAGTTGAGGTTCCCATTTTAGTCTCACTCTTACTGCACCTGTATCTCCTGCTTGTCCGTCTAACGGTATATCGACCTCATGAGCCGCGAAGCTCTCCACCATATCCCCTCGTAATGTGATTCCTCCAGATCCTATGGTTTTACGGTTCCGCGAAAGTTTTAAAATTTTTGAAAAATGCAAATGACGCAGGAAAGATAGATGAGGAAAACACTTACCCAAGGGCACATCAATTTGTACAGAATTATGATCAAAGACCTCAATTCTAAAGCTAGCTGTCACTCGAGAAATCTAAAAAGACGTGACACGAATATGGTTAGTAAGGGAAAAAGAATACGATTCTTACTTTTGAGCCCTTTCCAACCCGGAATGACTCTAGCCAGTACTTACAATAGGAACCTGGAATGTTTCATCCTTCCAGATCGGATTACATGTCTTTTTTACATAGGAGCTTTTATGAACTACCTCTCCATTGACGGTGAATTTCACATAAGGATCACTGGTACCGGATTTATCAGCTGCTTTTAAGCCGACAGCACGTATTAAGGTGACGGTGAGGATACCTTGATTTTCTACACTTTCGTCAGGATGAATGGTATAATTGGGTAGAGGAGTATAACCGAAACTTAAACGAATTTGAGTTCCAGCAGCAGTAGTTGCTGTTGCCCCTGTTGGTTGAATGACATTATACCAGTCTCCTTCATCATCCTCTGCATGCCTCAACATATCACATAATTGATAATTCTTTGCTCTAGCTTTGCGCTGAATCGTACGAATAATACGGTCACTACTTTCGTACCAATAGCCTAGAGTATGTTGATCACTGGTATCATAATCTTTCTCGCTAGATTTGGCTGGCTTTAAAGCAATGGCAACACGAGAAAAGCCTGCATCTTTAATAAAAGCATCTGTTGTTTCGTTGAATGTAAGTAACCGTCCCTTGATAACGCTAGTTTTATGTTGAGGTGTCAGCGAATCGACCATTATTTGGCAGTAGCATTCTGTAACAATAGGCGATTTAACTTCGTGAATCTTCACAGTAAGAACGCCGCTTCCATAGGATGAGATATCAATGACATCGTCTGGTGTATAACGGATAGGTAGATTATGAAGATCCATTTTGGGCAAGGATGAAGTGATAGAATGGGATGACATCTTCTCTATCTCCCGTTGCTGTTGCTGCTCCATCGCATGGGAGGCATCTGTTACTGCATTTAGTGGCAGAGTGGCTACTTCTTCTGCGATATTATCGTTTTCATTTTCAGGTAAAGCCATTGTAGGGTAGAATTCTGCGGTGTATATTAATGTTCCTTTTTTTACTCCTCCGGCCATCAATGGCGCTTCCCTAAATAATCAAAAATCAGTGATGAGTGGAAGATTGTCTAACCCCCCCATAATAGTCTGACCCTTACCTGTCAATTTTAACAGCTTTAGCTTGGTAATATATGGTATCAGTTGCTTCGTCTTTGCACTGTTGAACCAATTCTTTAATAGGGAATACTGTCGAACCCATCGGTTTATCCTTGTTGGAGGAAGATAAACCACCGCCAGGCGTTGAGGTGCTTGGATTCCAACTCATCACCTCCAATACCAAGTCTTCATACAAGTTATGCACAGGTATATAGTGGAACTCGCCCCATTCTGGCCAATCGGTACTGTTAATGATCTCTGTTCTGGCTCGTACTTGTTTGCCCGACTTGATACGAACATACATGTCATATTTACTGCTCTTCGCCAGGTTTTTAGCTGACCAAATGGAGAAGCGAACAACGCCTACAGGCGGAGCTATGAACAAGTAGAAAAAGAAACAGAAGCTGCATTTAACAGCTGATATAAAGAGAAAGTAAACCATACAAAAATAGCAAGCTTACAATAAATGCCAACGCCACCCATCTTTGCCAAACCAGTCATCACCACAGGCTTCCACTGTACGCTGAAGCGAATACGAGCATTTATTTCCTGTCCTCGTTTTCTTAAATTCCACCAATATTCCCTTTCCTCTTGCTGTTGCATGATATCAGTTAAATAAGCATCCCAGCTGCCTAGTGATTCATCCTCAGCAAAGTCAATGCGATCTGTCAAGCTAACGCGGATATAGACATTTGATATATCTAAGACGAGCAGTTCGAACGGACGTTCAAATTTGGGGTTAGACGTGCGTTTGAAAGTAGGTGTAGTAAAGCGATCGATGCCATTTATTTTGATAGATGCATATGGGTTGCATTTGTTGGATCCCAAGTGTTTTGCCTCATGCATAGTGATACGAAGGACGCCCGAATCTAATTACATTTGAGTTAGACCAAATACTTTAAAAGGTATGATTTCGAACAGCAATTAAGAAACTCACTTGATGGTTCAGCTTCGATATATGTACCGTCAGGATTCTGAATTGGCTTAGAAACCGGAAAGTATCGCATATCAACATTCAAATCGGTAATGAAGCGGCCATGACGAAACATTGGTAAAACCCTAACCAAGGTGTTCATGTATGAGTACATTCGAAATATATTATATGAAAGAGAGGGACGCAGTATAAGCACTTACTTATTGTCCATTTCCATATCTTCTTCATCACGTAGATCCTTCAAGTCGAAATGAGCTCTGGCCAACCTTTTACCAGCTTTTTTTGTGTTATTGGTCGTCCTTAGCTCCATTGTCAATATCGATTCCAAGTTGTTCAGTAACAAGAATTTAGTCTCATTCCAATGGGGTGTATTTGTGTTTTCTAAAACAGAGGTCTTTTCAAGTTCTTGAGCTTTATCCAAGAAGAATCGAATAAAAGGATTCAGCGTGCCGTCAGTGCCACCAATGGTGGTGCATGAGTGAACAGTGACAGCTAGAATACCGTTCGCTTGACCTGTTCATTGAAACAGAATTGAGTTAGAAAATCATCCATCCTTCTTAATGCGTAGTAGTAATTTGCCTGTTTCATCACATTACTTATATCCAATTCACCGCTGAAGAATTTTTCGACGTCATAAGAAAAAACATTCGGATAGTATAACATTGGGCCAAGAATAGCATGTGCTTGGTCACGTACAAAGCTTTGAAGGCCTGGAATCTGTTATATTGGTTAAAAGAACACTCGAACGTCACATTGGAGGCCTTCTATCAATTATGAACACTTACATTATTCACATCAAAGCCGAATGTCTCTCCACCCAACGGCTTCAGGACATAATCAAATGTTGGCTTTTCCATGAAGCAGGCTTCCACAATTTTAACGTGAGGCATTTTACTCATCATTTGTAATTTAATCCTCATACGGCCCTTGAAACTCATGTCTTCCACAAGCACAGATAAGGCAGTGCCTACAAATCCTTTGCCCAGGCGAATATTCAATACTACCTTCGGATTGACTTTTTTAGCCAATTGTTCTTTGGTTAGGCCATTTGTATCATTGGGTACAAAAGAGACCACCCAATCCATGCACTATTTACATCACCTATCAGTTTAGGACTGTGCTGTTGTATACGAAGTTTGATAGGTAACTCTGTTTAAGCTTACCACTGTGTTAGGCTCCTCATCTGTCAATGTCTTTACGCTTTCAATTCGGAAAGGCTTTGTTCCCAATGTGAACGTTGTTAATCTCACTGAGTCCAAAAACCCAGGTAGATAGTCAACCAAGTAGGTATCAATGTTCTCAATAACATAGGCACTGATGACAGGTTCAAGTATGAGCCAGAATCTTGTTACCAAATTATTCAACCATTCAACGTCTTCAAAGTCCGAGTTTTGAATTGCAATGGCTGCCAATTCTCTTTTGATATCATCCGATGTTTGTAGGGTGAACCGTTTATAATTAATTTTATAGTAGGTTGCTACATTTGTAAGTATTGTAGGGTTTTAGTAAACCTCCATTCGATTTACACGCTAATTTATCAATAGCACAAGAGTTTGAACACTACCTACGCAAAATAGTCCGAAAATGAAGGATCCTATGCCGCCACCGGGCAAATAGGCGCCAATTTTGCCAATGATGTAAAACCCGAATCCCACAAAGAAAATAACGCAGAAGTCGTTTACGAATGTTTCTTTTACATTCCAGTCCGTATCATCTGCTTTCTCGTGAGGCTTCTTTTCTAATGCCATAATGTTTAATGAACCACCAGGATTGGGTTTGTCTGAAAAGGATGTCCATCCAATTCTTGAGTCGTCTGGCAAAGCATGGCTGACACGATAGCCAGCAATTGTGTTGATAACGGGTTGTTGTTTTACTAAACGTCTTGTTAGCGTTTTCTGTCTTCCTGAAAGAGACGACGAAACTGTAGTTGACCTAGACAATGAGGCATTTTGTTGCTGTTGTCGCTGTTGCTGTTGTTGTTGTTGTTGTTGTTGTTGTTGCTGTAGTTGTCGTTGGAGTGAAGCTGCTCCACCTGAAGAAGCTGCATTCAGAATGACTTGCTTAATCTCGTCAGCATCGCTAGACCCGATCTCAGTTGCGAAACCTTGCTGATTTCGACCCAAACTTCGAAGGTCTGGAATAAATTGTTTCGAGATATTTTGTTGATTGTCGTCAATTTCTTCTCCATTTGATATAGGTTCAGGTGACGGCTCGTTTATGACATTGGGTTCCATTGGAGTGCACTATGAAAAGAGAATAGCAAAAGAAAGAAGCAAGTGGGTATATTTCTTTTTCAAAGGAAGAAAAGAAGACAAGAAATCCGGATAAAGAGGATCCGATAAAGGCTAATCAAGGTTGACTTTAAAAAACACGAGACAATGATGGTGAATATATGCCGTTTCTCAACCAAGCTTTCGACTGGTCAATGAAAGAACAAAAATTTGAGACGCTTGGTTCATTGTCTATATTGTAGTTTCTATTACTCATCAGATTGTTAAGATTATTATGGCTGCTTACTATTGTCAACCGTGCCCTGACATAAAAGCATTTCCTTGCATAAATTATCCTTTGAAAAGTGACAGGTTCGGCAGCTCCCATTCGCTGGATAAAATTCTGCTCCTTAATTGCTGTTCATGCACACAGTAAAATAGAAAATGAAATAGGAAAGATACAGTGATCGGTAGCTCACGCTTATCCTCTATTATATTGTCCAACTTTGACGTTTGATACAGTAATGCGCTATATATAGTTTTGAATCCAACAGCATTAGATATTGTAAGTAAAAGAATAAGTATGGAATATGTCCCCATAAGATTACGGTTATTCATGTTTACAATCTACTGAAATCTATACAGAGGCAAACCATGAAAAGGCTCAAATTTCAGCAGTCTTTTCGACTATTCAACCTTATAGAAAACGGCAATGAGCAAAATAATTTATTGGAGGTTTGATTTAGTAACAAAGTTTCTATTGAACTTTAACCTATGGCTTTATGGTATTTTTAACGTAAAACATACTATCAGACAGAATAATGCCATGTATAAATAGTCTTTGGAATATAAATAAAAAGGAAGCAGTGACGTGGTTAACAATCACGTTTAAAAAGAAGAGCCAGGTTGAAGTCTCCTCTTTGTGGTATTAATAAGGGTATCAAGTGTTGCCCAGTTTCTTTCGTCAGAAACAAAGGCAGCGTGCTTTGGTTCTTTGCAATGCTGTTAATGAAAAAAAAAAAAAAAAAGAATTAGAAGCGTTAGCAGGGTTACAGTTTAAAGAGTCAAAGTAAGAAAAGAAGTACCTCTTCGTAAGATTCAAATAATTTGCTACAGATTTCGCAGAATTTGAAGTTTTTCTTTCCGGCTTCTTTCTTTATTTTGTGATGACCTTGCTGTCGTGGTTGAAGACGTCGACGATCATGTTTATCTCGTTGCTTTCTGAGTATATTTTCTTTATTGGTGCGTGAGACTGCTGGTGATACGGATTGTAAATGACTAGGCTGAGTCTTACTAGGTGTGGGAGCGACAAATAATCTAGGCACTTCAACCATACGTCTCGTAAATTGTTGCACAGCAGGGTCATTTAGAGATTTTTTCATGTGATTCTTTTCAGGATTATGAGTGTGAGTAGTAGTAGTGCTTGACACAGGAGGAAGAGTTTGGGTGGTTGTATTGGCTCTTGTTGTAACTGTAGATAACTGTTGTGTAGACATAGCATACCTAGTATGGTCGTAGATAGTGTTGCCTTGATTGCTTTTATACGTGTTAGTATAGTGCATTGCTTGTATTTTAGGAACAGCTTGTTTTTGTTCAGGTAGGACTTGCTTTTGTTCAGTTAAAACTTGCTTTTGTTCAGTTAAAACTTGGTTTTGTTCAGGTAAGGCTTGGTTTTGTTCAGGTAAGGCTTGGTTTTGTTCAGGTAAGGCTTGGTTTTGTTCAGGTAGGGCTTGGACATCACATGCTTTTGTCTCTTCATTTTTTCCCATAGGGGCTTTGCGCGACTTGTTTGCAGCTTCTTGCACTTGCTGATCACCTTGCTGCTGCTCCTTAACCGCCGCTTCCTTTGGAGCACCTTCTGCTGCTGGTTTCTGAGAGTCGGAAACCCGTGGAGTAAAAGGCGACTTGTGGTTGTGGGTATTCTTAATGTAGGGCCAAGGATAGTCAGGTTGCTTTTCTGTGAACAGTTCTTGAGTATAAATTTTGAGGACAGGAGGGCGGAAAATTTGCTGTACGTCTTGTACCATAATATAATGGCCCGTAAATGGTTTAAACTTTAATTTCTTTGGAGGACTTTGCTTTGGAACAGTATGGGAGCCATAGAGTTTTTCTTCTTTGAGCATCGCGTCCAGCTTTCGTTTTGGTGGCGCTGGGGGTGGGTGATGCGTGATTCTGCCTCTTTGAGAATGTAATAGGAACTCGACCGTCTTCAACATGACTAGTTAGAAGTAATTATATGGCATTTAGACTTTACTAAGTATCTTCATACTATCTGAAACAAATAAATCAGAATATTTTACCATCCGTGGACCACAAAGTTTTTCCCCATTCAATAGCCTTCTCAATCATAGCATCACGCGGTGCGTTTTTGTATCTTTCAGGATCAGGGCAATTATGAACGTTATCAAGGAAATTAATATACTCAGGTATAGGCTTATTTGTTATAATATGAGTGCATTGGTTAGAAAAGAAAGCTTCAATAGACTATGGAAAGCGGGGAAGTTATGTGTACAAAATAGTGAATGAGTAATTTATAGCTTCTTATACTATCATAACTAAATTTCTGATGACTTACTGCTCCGAGAAGTTTGATTCCACGTTCAATACGTTTCAATGAACCACTGTCCAAATTATCCAAATAAAATGTGTAAGATGCGAAACATCTTCTTTTAAGAATTAGATCACCAGATCTTAGCGCTTCTTCAAAAGCTGCGGTAGCTTCGGTATCTGCAACTTTAGGGTAAATGTGCTTGGCTTCAGCGTTACTCATGCGAAATCAGATTGAAGGAACTAACAAGATATAAGAAAGGAGGAAAGGGAAAAGAGGGGTAACTCAGGTTCAAAAAGAGAGAGAAAAAAAAAAATAAAGGAATCAAATCTTTTCGCGATTTAAATAGGCGAACATAGATCACGTTCCGCCAAGCAAATAGTAGCTCGTCTAAACAATACATGGAAAGATCTCATGAAAGCAATAGAACGAACACGCTTCCGTGTTTCCATGTGTTGTTGAGCTTAAAGCAATATTGTGTGATTAAAGACATAAACGAGGCATGTATAAATATATTAGTGCAAAGTAAAGGAGTCATTACTTTTCGTTCTACAATATGAAACGCGGCTTCTTCAGACTTAGTGGAAGGAAAAAGTCTGAAATGCATGCACCAAATTCTATTATAAAAACCATGGATCATTTGGTGACATTGTCAATTTCGAAAGGAAGAGTAAACTTATGCTTAGTTTCTTATAACCGCCTCATATATTCTTGATGCATAATAGTGGACTTTGTTTGCTTTATATTCTCAACGAAAGCTATTATTTCATCACGCAACCATTCACGCTCACCAAACTGTATCAACATCGGTGGTATTTTCAAAATACTCAACAGAAAGAGGCTACATATAGGAATGACTGATCATATCTATGTTATTCACATAGAGTTTGGAAGGGTTCATAATGGAAATTTCGGTAGGATTTGAAGGTAAGTAACTATAGAAGGAAACCTCTAGCCTATTTGGGGGTAAGAATAAGTAGGATCTATCCAAGACTATCGGGAAGAAATGGCATATAACTTAGTCTCTAACGCTATAAGTAGGATTAGTAAACTTACTGCTAGCAGTACAGCAGCTCTTGATATGGTTGTCAAGCATAAACCTCCTGCCTGCTGAATCACCCACGATAATAATATTCTCAGGTTTAGATTTATGCTTCTCATTTACATCAATTAAATGTAAACAAGTCTGTACAGCATCAAGAGCGTACCGGGAAATATAGTCTCTGAAGCCAAACAATAGTTGACAGCTATCGCAGAAGTAGTTATCCAGTTAACGATCTTTTGACGACGGGTTGTTCAAAATAGATATTTACCCAAAAGACTGTCCAAGTTGCGTATTCCTTTCGTTAATTCATGTACTACTTTTAATGCTAACGGTGTCCATCCTATACGCAGTATATCAAGTATAACTAGTATAGGATACCAAAATTTAAGACTGTACTGATCCTCATGAACTGTACAAATGCCATAGAACGATAGTCTGTATATCCCAGCTTGGTTTTTTTTTGTTGGGCTGGTGTTCCATGTTCACCCCAATGGCATATGTTAATCGGAAGACCACACTATTAGGAATTCATAAGCATTTTTGGATAACTTTTTTTATCTTACATTAAGTGATAACAGAGGGCAGAATAGAGTAGCAGATATAATTCCCCTGTGGCTCGTACTGGCATTAACTCTTTTTGCTATAAGAGGTGGATTATTATCTGATGTCAATTTGTTGCTATTGCTATTGATACTGACTGATAAGTGCGCATTCCCAATAGCTCTTCGTAATGACGGTAAAACAGAGCAGTCTCTACTTTTCTTTGTTTTATTGTAAGATAGAAAATCGTAGTATGCCACAAAAAAATAAATAGAAATAGCCAAAAAAGAAGAAGAAAGTATAAATAAAAATACAAAATAGTATAACTGCTACTCTCAGGACTATAGCTGCAGAAGATACAACGATATCTTTCTGGTTTTTCTTCAAGGGAAAATTCATAGGATTTGTTGTACGTTTTCTGCGTAAATTTGCTTGTGCTGCTCATTCACTTTATAAGCATAGCGAAATAAACTATAAGCGCATTTGACATATCTACTTAACATACTTCGTCGTTGTCGTCTAGTCTTCTTATCGCTTTAAGAGGATAAATATTGTACAATATTGTCGTGTTTCCACAAACCAGCTATTTAAAAAGGATAGACACAAAGTCTCCATGTGAGTGAAGAATCAGTTAAAGGTTACATGAACAAACAAATACCTAAATCCTTTGCTGTCCTTCCTTGTTTATCCTTCTGGTATGTTTCGACTTTAATAACCTCTACCAAATACCTTACGACTTCCTCATGTCCTTCCTTCGCTGCATGCATCAAAGGAGTCCAAGAGTCCCATGTATCCGTTGCATTCCATTGTAGTTCTCCTTCGATTTTACTTAGCAATTTCAAAACATCCAAATGCCCCATTATGGCAGCATGATGCATCATCGTTCGGCCCAACGAGTCAATATCATTGGCATCAGCTCCTCCTTGGTTCAACAGAAACTGCAATAATTCTAAATTTTGTGATACAGTAGCATCAAGCAAAATATCTCGGCCTGATTTATCACGATGTCCTATCAAGCTATTGCTGCCATCGTCATTGATTGTAAGACCAGATGAATGAGACAGTAAATAGCGAGTTATTTCATAGCCTTCTTTTGACAAAGGTGAGGACAAAGCAGCGGCCGCTTGCGTGGGTAAACGACCTGAATTTGTCTCTATCAACAATGCTTTTGGGTATTGATCCGTCAAATATTCAACAACATCAACATGCCCTTTTCAGATTTTAAACAAAAAAAAAGGGTTATAACTGTGCCCAAATTTTGATAATCAATGAAGGCATATCTACTAAAGTTGTTACCTTCTTGCACAGCTAAATATAAAGCTGTTCTGCCATCTTTAGTTTGTCTGTCCAAAAGAGCACCTGACTCCACCAACATCTGAACAATTTCCAAGTTTCCTTTCATTGCTTGTAATGCAAACAAATTGCATATGAGTCTCCGTATCTCTCACTTTTTTAGCGAACATCTTCCTAATCCTGTTTGCTTTATTTACCTGCAATCATAACAGGCGTCCAATCTCCTCTTTTCATAGCATTCACATCCACTTTACATTCTTTCACCAAATATCGAACGCAATCTATATTATCAATTGCTTCGTGTAGAGGACGTCTACCGTGTTCATTTACTGCCTCAGTGTCAGCCTTATACGTCTCCACCAGTAACTTGACAACGGGTAACTGGTGCGCTCTAGCTGCAAAATGAAGTAGAGAATCTCCATGCTCATCTTTCTCATTGATGATCTCGGGCACGTTCGAAGTGGATTTTAAAAAACCTTCCAAATCTTGTTCATCTTCGATAAGTTTAAGCGCTTTGTGTATAAAAGTCTGAGCCATGATAGTTCATGAGTATATAAGAGTTAGGTTTGTCGATTAACAATGTAAGTGAAGATAAAAGCCAACTTTTACGTACCATATCAATGCAGTCTTGAAAACAAAAAAAAAAAAAAAAATTAATAAAAATTGACAGCTGCATTACATCAAGAATCCAAATTAGGCAAGACTGTGTCATTTCGTGAAGCTCTAGCAAAAGTATATCTTTTTAATGTGTAGGCAAACAATGAAAATTGAAACTCCATATTTCTGAACGTAGATGCGCCTTTTATACAATAATGTAGCCTTCGAACGTGCCAGATCAGACTAGAAAAGAAAAGATGCAATGGCCAATCCTAATCATATATCAGGGTTTCTTAAACAGGCTGTTCGATAAACAGTTGTATGCAAAAAAACAACAACAAAAAACAGCAACAACTTTTATTTAACGAGATTACTGCAAACATGCTGATGTATTCATTTCTTGATTTTCCTTAACGGCGGCCACCAGTTCTCACTTCAGGGAATTTGAGAGGAACAATTAAAGTGGCTTTCTTTGCTGCTTTATTGTTGGTCTGTCGAATTTCCTCAGCGCTTGCTTTATCGATTTTGCAACCCAAGCTCTTGAATAATGTCACAACTTTGCTAGGCTTTAAGAAAAGATCTTTTCCAATATCATCAATCAAAACACTGTATCCAGATATCGAAAGAATGAGGGTGAACATGTATAATAGAATCTTATCGTTCATAAGTGCTGTGCGGCTGTAATGAAAAATAATGATTAGAGTTCAACATTGTGCTAAAAAACTGTTGTAAGCAAATACTTACTGGTTAGCTTCGGTATATCTCTCGGTTAGTCCATCCAGAACAATGCTCGAAGGTGATTTTAAAGCAGCTTCCACCTTTCTACGATTTTTCAGATCACCAGGGCGAACACGGACATAGTATGCCATGAGTAAATTGATATACATAAGGACACGCACTCTTTTACGATCCTTCTTGCCTGAAGAACCTAAAATGGCCATTAAGCGATCATTGACAAATTTGGATTCATGGAAAGCAAGTAGCTTCTTAACATCATCCAATGATGTCTGTTTCAACAATTCCTTGTAATTCATTGTATTCAACTCTTCGTCAGTGACAATAGATTTGAGATCGTAAACTTCCTCTGGTGAATCAGCATTAATGTTATAGCTGGGTACAGGCAAAGCATTTTCCAAATCCTTCCTCATCTCTTCCTTCTTTGGTATGTTGGCCGTGGCTTTACCAATTTCTGCGTGCAAATCATCCATTTCTTCCATAATATCTTCACCCTTTACAAGATTACGTTCATCACTCTTCAATTGTTGCTTAGCCTTAGCTGTACCGAAGGCTAAGCCTAGAGCGGCTCGAGCAACCTGTCCTCTAGCGATAGTACTACTGCTGCTGTTTTGTGAGCTCAAGGCTTTGATAGTACGGTTCATTTTCATGACAGGTGCGTTGGTGATATTCAAAGTGTTTTCTTTTTTAGAATAGACACCTACAATATATCTGACAATAATCAAATTTTGTCACAAGTATCGTTAGCGAGTGCACTGAGCAGTGCATTATCAGTAAGGTCGAGACATACTTGCACTGCATATTACGCAGGGAATCAGGCCCGTAGTTACTTGCTGAAAAAGTAACTTTATCAGTTTCTCCACTTATGAAGCGATTTTGGGCTTTCTTTATGGAAGCATTAGGACTTTTGTATGCTGTAAAAATTACGTCTGAAGGAGGCTTTATACCAGGGAAAGTAGCTAATAATCGTAAATCGACGTAAAACTGTTAATATTCTAAAACTTGATCGATCGATAGTTGACATATATAAGCAATTCTCACCCAAATAAGGTGTTTCGACATCGTTTAATTTCTCAACAATTTCGACCTTGACAGGACGTTTTGAAGAAGAGTGTTCTTCAGAATTCTTTCTTTTGCCCATCGTCCGAGTTATATTTGTGAGTAAGTTGACAGAATTGGTGAGTGCTGCTCTTTAAAAGCGATCGTTTTGCTTTCAAGAAAGTAAAACGGGTGGCTTGAAGAGAAAAGTAAAAAAAGTCAGTAAAGCCCGCTAACTTAGAAGATCATGCAGAATCAGTGTTCCACACTCAGGTACAGAATTTTAATGAGTATTCGAAGATCATGCCTTTACAATTGTTAAAAGGCCGAATCACTTTCATATAGTAAACTTGTATCTTACTAGCTTTGAAAGATCAGTTTAATTAAACAGCTCACAATGAGATTTCAGCATATAAATGATAGAAAAAGTCCGTAATGCACAGCACTACCTCTCCTTTTTCTTCTAATAAAAAGCGTGATTCAGCTTGTAGGAAGAATATTGATTTCTATCAGTGATTTTCGTGAGAAAACCTCCGTTAAAAAACCGATGTATACCTTACCTTTCGTCTTTATAATGAAATTGATCCGAAACAATAAAACACTTTGATGACCTCAGATTGTTTTTTACGCTTTATAATATTTCTCTTTTTTCAAACTTCAAGAATGCATGTTTTAGGACCGTAGAAGATCTTCTTTTTTTATTCTGTACCATTACAACCCATTTTCACTGTGGTTAGGCTACTAGAACTATTTATCATGGAAAACAAAACGACAGAGATAGATGGCATCAATCAGCTGCTTACCGGACATCAATCAGGACAGCAGAATCAAATAGATGACGATGTTTACAAGAAACCCTCTATTGCTAGCGGCATATCGAAACCTCCCAGTTATGAACGGACAATGAGAACACAGCCGCCCCCGCCTAGCTACAAACAATCTACAAGACTATACTATAATAATCAGCCGTACATAAAAGATAATGAGTTTATGTTTTGTACGCATTGCCACTTTAACCGTTACAACTACTCTGACATGGAAACGAATACTCACTGTACTGCTAACACTAGCAACGGAGATTTCTCTGATGATGATTTGACTATAGCAACTACTAAAAGAATGAGATCATGCATTTTTTCTTGGTACACGACATTACGCGACGCAAAACTAGTTTTTTTCGCCTTTTTTGTCATTTTTACATTGGTAATTTTGGGGCTAGTGATCCCTTTCGTTAGATATCCTCATATAGCGGCGAATAGTTAAAGGCGGCTATAATGAATAAAGAAGTATAAAGGTACATTGCCCATCATCTTTACTTTATTTATCCTATGGCTTATTTTTTCTTACTGAGTGTCAAAGTAGTGAGTATAAATCTCTCGAAGCTGCATTTGACGGTCTCAACCGATAACACTGCATGGTCTCAAGTTACTTCAATCGATCAATGTCTAAGTTCCTATAGTATATTCTTGGAACACATGTAAAGAGTTCATTTTCCATTTGTCAAAAACAGAAGACTCTTTCAATCTGTTAGTTATTTTTTTTTTTAAAAAAAATTGTCTCGTTGTGCTTTATTGTGAATAAACTCTTTGATCCGCCATTTTAAAGCCCATAGCAATGATTCTTTAACCGGAGTTTCTCCCTTATATTGGAAAGAAAAATGTAATAATTTGTATTTCTTTGAAGTTTCAACATGTCAAACAATTCGGGTCCTAGTGTGCACGCTTCAGTTCTCCAATTTCTGATCAATCATGGTTATAAAGAGACTATAGCGGCGTTTAGACGAGAAGCCAGACAGCACCTTGACTTAAGTTCCTCAGAAGACATTTCAGAGAGTCAGTTAGTTGCTGATTTGTCGAAATTGCAGATTCAAAGGTACATGTCATGGCGTATTGTTATTATCTACTTTATGCCTCCGTTCACTGTCTTGTTTTGCTTGTAAAAAATTAGTTCTTATTTTCAGTTTTAATGTAGGTACTCTGACGATTTGATAGACGGCGATGGCAATTATTTTTCAAAGCTGACCTATGATTTTGATGATATACACTATAACAATATATTAGCTGTTGCTGTCAACCCCCATACACATGCTGTCGCAACAAGCTCAGTAGATAAAACGGTCAAAGTTAGTACTATGCTTTGCAAAACAGATGCAGGCATAAGTCAAAGAACTTATCGTCATCACACCGCGCCTGTATTAAGCATAGATTTTCATCCTTCTGTACCGCATTTGTTATTGACTACATCGATGGACGGTTCAGCTGTGCTGGTTGATACTGCCTTTGAAGCAGATTTTGGTGAAGATGTTGAGAAGTCAGGCATCCATCAAATGTTTAAGGATCATAAAAAATATGTTGTACGCGGTCTGTTCTCGCCGAATCAAGGAAAATTTATCGCTACTGCCTCTTATGATCGTACGGTTTGCATTTATGCTGTGGATGACAGAGACAATGCTCAAGAAGATTCACTGCCAAACTATAAGCTGATAAAACAGTTGGGTCCCTTCATTGGCAATGTCGAAACCATTTGTTTTGTCAATGAAACAACACTGGTGATAGGTGTTCGTGATGATAATTATCTCCATTATATCAATTTAGAAAATTGGCAAACAATACGCGTCAATATGAATGCAACAGGCGATGATTGGGTATCATTTTCTCCCCTTTGCTTATCCGTCTCTCCTGATGGTAGTAAGCTGCTATGTACAACAGATCATCAAAGTGGCAGAACAATCCTTTTTCAAGTTGGCGAAGCTAAGCAATTGAAAAATTACTACATCAATTCGACTGACAATAAGTTTGCCACAAAAAAGCATGTATGGCATCCTTCTGGCCTCTACTTTTATGCTTCAGGCAATGATGACAACTCAATATCAGTTGTTGAAATCAAAACAGGACGTATCGTAGCTACCTTATCGGGCCATAAAGCTATGATTCGTTCATTGACCCTCAGCAATGATATCGGCCTAATAAGTACTGGCTTTGATAATACACTCAAAGTATGGTCTAAACCGATGGAATTGATCCGTTAAGAATCTCATCACGATTTAATAATTGTTATATATCCCCCCGGCTCTTGTTCTTGGGTTTTGAATGTATGTTATGCCTCACAATGGTTCTCGTGTCAAAAAAAAAAAAAAAAGTATACGAACGATTTAACCGTTTATTCGTAACTAAATAAAATCTACGCAGCAGAAGTTGATGAACACGTTTTTGTGATCTCATTAACCAAGTCTTCAAATTTTGACTTGTGTACAAATAAAAGTTTTCGGCCAGGTGCAATACCGAATTCTGAAAATGCACGCCTTGAATCAGCTGCCTGTTCCTTTTCACTGTTAGTGAATTTGTAGTCGTATTGATAATCAGCATATTTTGCAATAATTTCGTCCTCTGACTGGAAATAAAATGTTTCAGTATCCACTCTTCCAGTCTTTGCCTTCTTACGTGATGGACCTGATGGTTCATTATCTGCTTCCTCTTCCTCATCTAATGTTGATTCTACTTCTTTATATGTTTTTGAGATGAACATATACCATTCAAAATCATAGGGTTCTTTCTATAACATTGAAAAAAAGAGTTAATAAGTTGTTTTAGCATCAAGATTGTGCATTCATTTCATCTATAATTGTTCAATATACCTTTGCAACGACATTTTTCAGCTCTTCTGTCAGCATATTATACATAGGAGCCATGATTTCAACAGGCATGTTGATGAACCTTTCAGAAATAATCCATCCAATATGCTTATCGGTAGACTCTAATGATAACATTTCTTTCACAGCAGTGTATAATTTCTCATCTTTCTTAGGGCATTTATTCGCCAGATACGTGCATAGCTGCTTAACACCTTCTTTGTCCTATCCATGAGGTAATTTACAGCTTAATTATGTGTGTAATTTTAGTCGTCAAAACTCTGACCTACCTTCTGGTGATTCAAGTTGATGACACTCAAAACAGCATAAGGATCTGATTGCTGATCGTCCACTTTGACAGTTGTACCAATATGGTTTTCTTCAATAATTATATCAGCCAAGTCGCCCAAGTTTATCAAATCCGAATCCGTTGAAAAGAGTTGCGTTAATAATTTTTTCAAAGCTTGGAAATCGATTTCATCAGGATTATAAAAGTCGAAATCAACGTCGACAATTTCCTACGGAGGCAGAAATTACAATAAGCAATTCGTGAAAAGTAAGTAAAGGCAGAAAAGACAGAAATTTAGGTACTTGAAGGTTATCGTCAGACTCCTCACTGTCAGATCCTCTCGCGTTAGAGGCGGCTCTTTTCAAAGCCTTATCTTCGTCCTCTTCGGGTGCTTTTCTTTTTAAATTAGGGCTCATCGCTACTGTCTTTTCAAGTATATGCTCGTGTGGAAAGCGTAATCTGTTTTGAGAGGAAACGCCAAAATATTGTGGCTTGTGGAGGACTTTTTTCCAGTGTTCATGCAGCTCTATTCTGAGTTATAGAATGATGGTTGTTGGAGAGGCGGCGGTGCCTGAGAAAATGAAGTGGTTTAGTGAAGGCCAAAATACAAATCTTTTCAGCATTGGAACGTTGTGGTTTTTGTACTCGCAACATATTATAGATTTCTGATATTACATAATGAAAGTTCATCTCTGTTTTTGCTCATTTAAAATTGTTTGATCCTGCAATGTAAATTAAACGCACAAATTGTTCTAAAAGACTTTTGTGCAAGAAATAAATATCTGCTGTAAAGCCAGCAAGTTGAATAGATCAGCTGATAATACGCTTGTTATTATACAAAACAATTGCATATTGAGCCTGAATGGCGTTAAGCGTAGCAAAAATCGCATTGCCAAACTTTTTCACATGGCAAGATTTACACTTTACTCATCTTCAACAAGTCATAATATTTGATCTACGCTAGCCTTTTTACTCAAAGTAAAAAACAAAAAAACAAAAACTGTTCCGTGAGTTATCTATTAGAATATATTTTATTCAAACAAATGTGCTAATTTGTGTACATAGCAACCGACATTTTTTGCATGAATTCCATCATCCCAAAATGAGAATCTCCGCTATTTTTGTGTTCAGATGTTCCGGGCTTATGGGATTTTTTTGTAAGTTGACAAAAACAAAAAGTGAAAATGCCCGACCTCTTTTGTTCATTCCCCAAATCTCAATTTAACAAGGCAAAATGGGTAAATAAATACTAACAAGCTGCAGCCATCCATCCAAAATATATGCACGAAAATGATGGATACTGTTATATCGAAATGGATGTATGAGATGTCTAACAATATTTTCATCTTATTCATGTTTAACCTACTATACCTAAATGCTCTATAGTCGTAAGTTGATGTGATGAACTCATAGCCTTTGTCAATTTCGCCTCATTTATGCATGTTATTCACCTCATCAATTCTCATTTTTAGAATTTCACTATTGAAGAGATTCGTGGTTTGATGGACAAGGTTACCAATGTCCGTAACATGTCCGTCATTGCTCACGTCGATCACGGTAAATCCACCTTATCTGACTCTTTGGTCTCCAAGGCCGGTATTATTTCTTCTGGTCGTGCTGGTGAAGCCCGTTTCATGGATACCCGTAAGGATGAACAAGAACGTGGTATTACCATCAAGTCTACTGCCATTTCCATGTATTTCAAGTTGGAAAATGAAGAAGATATCAAGGAAATCAAGGGTCAAAAGACTGACGGTGCTGCTTTCTTGATTAACTTGATTGATTCACCTGGTCACGTCGATTTCTCTTCTGAAGTTACTGCTGCTCTTCGTGTCACTGATGGTGCTCTCGTTGTTGTCGATTGTATTGATGGTGTCTGTGTCCAAACTGAAACTGTCTTGCGTCAAGCTTTGAACGAACGTATCAAGCCTGTTGTCTGTCTTAACAAGATGGATCGTGCTCTTCTTGAACTCCAATTGGATAAGGAAGAACTCTACAACGTATGTATTTGAACTAATAGAATTATAGTTACTTGATAGGGAGTGCGAAATGGAATGAAGGATTTTTGGGCCGACTATCAATTAGAGGAAAAGTCACTTATCAGCTTTCATTTATACATCTCTTTATAGTCTTTCGCTCGTACCATTGAATCTATCAACGTTATTATCTCCACCTACGTTGATGAAGCTCTCGGTGATTGTCAAGTCTATCCTGAAAAGGGTACCGTTGCTTTCGCCTCCGGTCTCCACGGTTGGGGTTTCACTCTTCGTCAATTCGCTATCCGTTATGCTAAGAAGTTCGGTGTCGATAAGGAAAAGATGATGAACAAGCTTTGGGGTGAAAACTACTTCAACCCTAAGACCAAGAAGTGGACCACCAAGAGCACTGATGCCAGCGGTGCTCAACTCGAACGTGCCTTCAACATGTTCGTTTTGGACCCTATCTACCGTCTTTTCGATTCCATCATGAACTTCAAGAAGGACCAAACCAAGGTTCTCTTGGAAAAGTTGGAAATCACTCTTGCTTCTGATGAAAAGGATTTGGAAGGTAAGGCCCTCCTCAAGGTCGTCATGCGTAAGTTCTTGCCTGCTGGTGATGCTCTTTTGGAAATGATCTGTATCCATCTTCCTTCCCCTGTCACCTCTCAAGCCTATCGTGTTGGTCACCTTTACGAAGGTCCTGCTGACGATGAATGTGCTGTTGGTATCCGTAACTGTGATCCTAATGGTCCTCTTATGCTTTACGTTTCCAAGATGGTTCCTACCTCTGATAAGGGTCGTTTCTATGCTTTCGGTCGTGTCTTCTCTGGTACCGTCCGTGCTGGTATGAAGGTCCGTATTCAAGGTCCCAACTACCTTCCTGGTAGCAAGAACGATCTTTCCGTCAAGTCTATTCAACGTACTGTTCTTATGATGGGTCGTAATGTTGAAGCCATTGAAGACTGTCCTGCTGGTAACATTATCGGTCTTGTTGGTGTTGATCAATTCTTGGTCAAGACCGGTACCATTACTACTTCCGAAGTTGCTCACAACATGAAGGTCATGAAGTTCTCTGTCTCTCCTGTCGTCCAAGTTGCTGTCGAAGTCAAGAACGCCAACGATCTTCCCAAGCTCGTTGAAGGTCTTAAGCGTCTTGCCAAGTCCGATCCTTGTGTCTTGACCTACACTTCCGACTCTGGTGAACACATTGTTGCCGGTGCTGGTGAACTTCACTTGGAAATTTGTTTGAAGGATCTTGAAGAAGATCACGCTCAAGTCCCCATCAAGACTGGTGACCCCGTCGTCCAATACCGTGAAACTGTCACTGCCGAATCCAGCATTGACTGTCTTTCCAAGTCTCCCAACAAGCACAACCGTATCTACATGCGTGCCGTTCCCATGAACGACGAATTGGCTGATGAAATTGAAGAAGGTAAGATCTCTGCCAAGGATGATTTCAAGGCTCGTGCTCGTATCCTTGCCGACAAATATGAATGGGATGTTTCTGAAGCTCGTAAGATCTGGTGTTTCGGTCCCGACGGTACTGGCCCCAACGTTATGGTTGATATCACTAAGCAAGTCCAATACCTCAATGAAATCAAGGATTCTTGTGTTGCTGCTTTCCAATGGGCTACCAAGGAAGGTCCTATTGCTGACGAAAACCTCCGTGGTTGTCGTTTCAACATTCTTGATGTCACTCTTCACGCTGATGCTATCCATCGTGGTGGTGGTCAAATCATCCCTACTTGTCGTCGTGTCGTCTACGCTTCCGTTCTTACTGCCTCTCCTGGTATTCAAGAACCTGTTTACCTCGTCGAAATCCAATGTCCTGACTCTGCTATCGGTGGTATCTACTCTTGTCTTAACAGACGTCGTGGTCAAGTCTTCTCTGAAGAACAAAAGCCTGGTACTCCTATGATGAACGTCAAGGCTTACTTGCCCGTTAACGAATCTTTCGGTTTCACTGCCGATCTTCGTGCTGCCACTGGTGGTCAAGCCTTCCCTCAAGCTGTCTTCGATCACTGGCAACTCATGTCCGGTGACCCATTGGAAGCCGGTAACAAGGTCTACGATATCATCCGTGCCGTTCGTAAGAGAAAGGGTCTTACTGAAGATATTCCCGGTCTTGACAAGTACTATGATAAGCTTTAAATGGTCTATCAGTAATTTTATATCAAGAACAAATTTGAAGATGGAGTCGAGTTTATTTTATAAATTTTATTGCCATTTTGTTAAAAGATTTATCAGCCTTTTATAATTTACTTGCTGTTTATACATATAATAAAGTAAAGCATTTTGCATTTTTATCAGAGAAATACATAGACTCAGCATTGCTAAAATGCTGCCAAAGAAAATTTTAAAATGATGTCTCCAGTCACAGTTGTGTCTGAAAATCTAAAGTTTTTTGCATGTTCCTGGTTGTTTCTCTTTTTTATTTCTTATGACAAGTATTTCTTAAATTGTTGGATATGCTTAAATATGGAAGACTAATACTTGCAAGGACATCGAGAGAAAGCAGAAAGTTTTCGACATGCCCAACTCTGCGAAAAAAAGTTTCCAAGCATACTTTAAGTGAATTAGTAGAGTCGCAGCCAAAACCTGAAATACACGCAAAATTAGACAGAGCTGGTGTATCAACTGGCTCTATCGTCTTGGATACAGTACGACATTATACAAAAAAATACCCTTTGTGCGTTTTACTAGTTCAAGTTGGAGACTTTTACGAGGTATACACAGATATATACATATAGCTTGAATTATAATTGTAGTATCAGGGGACAATCAGCTTTAACGACAAACCTCGTCCTGCTTCACAAACATAACAACAGCTATATGAGTCGCATGCAAGACAATATGCTTCACAACTTGATCTGAAATTGACCAAGAAAATGATCACATCGAACAATACAGTGGATTTCGCTGGTTTCCCGTCTCGATCGTTGGATAGGTATCTTGATATTCTTGTCAATCGTCTTCAATGCAAAGTAGCCTTATGTGAACAATTAGGTGCTGTTTCTCAGGAGGATAAAACTGTAGTCGGAATGGACCGCCGAGTTACTAGAATAATTACTCCTGGAACAGTTATCGAAGAGCGTTTCTTGGCTTCAAATCAATACAATTACCTTTTATCAATATATCCAAAAGACGGTAAGATTGGATTGGCATGGGTTGATATATCAGTTGGTGAATTTATTATGCAAGAAACGAATTTAACGAGCCTCAAGGATGATCTGGCTAGAATTCGTCCAAGAGAGGTGATTTTACCTGATTCCATGCGACTGAAAAACCCCGCGTTAGATGAAGAATCTGTTTGTCAGGAAACGTATGATCCAGTCACTAAGTTGTTAATCAATGATTCTAATATTGTCGTCAGTTATATGCCGGATCAGCAATACGATGCCCAACTTGCCGGCCGTACATTTAATGAGCTTTTTAACCAAATTACCCATACTTTGGAGTTTAGCCAGTATGAGTTGGCAGCTGGCATGGCATTGGTCATGTATGTAAATGAGACTCACCTGGATAGAAAGCCAAAATGGCAAAAACCCATCCGTTTTGATATACAAGATTCAGTTTGCATCGACAGCGCAGCTATGAACTCCTTAGAGCTTGTGACGAACCTACAAGGTAAAAGGGCTGATAGCTTATTAGGATCGATTGATTGTACGTCAACCAGTGCAGGCTCCAGACTTTTGACGCGTTGGGTCTCGTCTCCACCCACTTCCATCGAAGAGATAAAAAAACGGCAAGATATTGTGAGCTTTTTTGTTGATGATTCATTCTTGTTGGACGATATACGCTTATTACTACGTCAAAGCACAGATGCTCAAAGAGCTCTGCAAAGACTTGCTTTGAAAAGAGGTCAGCATTCAGACATATTGGAGATATATTATACTCTTGATATCATGAAAAGAATTCATGAACGACTGTGCAATTTTACTGAGGTGACAGAATTACTTGAACAAATTAATCCGCACCATCATATAGCATCAAAAATTAAGGATACGCTTAATTTTGAGAAGGTGGAAGCGAAAGAAGTCAAAAACTGGGGGTATATACGTTACGAATCCCATCCAGAACTAGCCCGATTACATACAGAATTGCAGAGTCTGGATGATGAGCGGTTACAACTGCAAGATAATTTACGAAGTTTATGTGGGAATTCAGTATCGTTACATACGGAAGGGTCTTTAAAGCATGTAATTGAAGTGAATGCAAGGCAAGCGAGTCAGCTTTTGATGAGATTTCCCAACGCAATCCCTCTGAACCAGACGAAAAGCAAAAAGCGATTTCAGGTTCAAGAATGGATGGATATCTCTGTACGTTTGGAAGATATACAATCACAAATTGGCGACCTTGAAAAAAAGATATTTGAGGAAATGGTCGAAAGTGTATTAGACGACAGCACAACAATTTTACGAAGCTGTAGAAAACTTGCCGAGTTGGATGTTCTTAGTTCATTTGCGTATGCTGCAAACAAGTATAATTATGTGCGTCCACGCTTGATGAAGTCCAGTCGGACTTTAATCAAAGGTGGAAGGCATCCCGTTGTAGAGATCAATTTAGCAAAGAAAGGGCGGTCATTTGTGAACAATAACTGTGATGTAGGTGGAGATCAAAAAATTTGGCTATTGACAGGGCCGAACATGGGCGGCAAAAGTACTTTTATAAGACAACATGCTATCATTGTTCTTATGGCTCATATGGGCTGCTTCGTTCCAGCGGATAGCGCTTGGATTGGAATAACGGATAAAATATTCAGTCGTGTTGGTGCAGCGGACAATCTAGCACAGAACCAGTCGACTTTCATGGTGGAAATGTCGGAAGTGTCAACCATACTACAGCAAGCGACTTCAAAATCAACAGTCATCATGGATGAAGTTGGGAGAGGTACTTCGACAAAAGACGGCTTCTCTATAGCATTTGGAATTCTCGACCATTTGCATAACAAGATAAAGTGTCGAACACTTTTTGCAACTCATTATCATGAATTGGCAGATGTTACGAAGGATTACAAACACATGAAGTGCTTCCATACGAGAATTGAAGAGAATCCCCAAGGTGGTTTCAGGTTCATTCATAAAGTCGAACCAGGAGTTTGCAGGCAATCGCATGGTTTGAAAGTGGCCAAAATAGCAGGTAAGAACAAGCACTCAGCAGCATCGCATCTAGAACTAACAGCATATTATTCTGTAGGACTTCCGTCAACCGTAATTGATAAAGCGGCGGCAATGCGGCAACAATTGGATACAGAACAGCAGTCCTCCAACGGCGTTTTTTTGTTAAACGCGAAGAACTCTCACTTATAAATTTGTTTACTTTCAAGGCATTCGCATGTTGTATTATTAAATAATTTTTTATATATACCCATATCAAATTCATCATGCGCTTGAAATTCAGAACACATTTTAACGATAGACGGCAGAATCAGCCAGTAGAAATTGCCCGGAAATAACGGCCATTTTAGTTTTGTAATGCTTACCAAAGTTTGTAAATATTCATTGTTTATTTTATCCAGTACAGTACATTATCAAAGACATAAGTGATAAGCCATCCACGTTCTGTTAAAATTGTCAACCTTCGCCTCTCTGGATAAAATGTCATTCAGGGCAAAAAATCACGCTATTGTTCTAGATTTAATGGCAGCAGCAAATGAGATTACGGATAGAATTTATTGTTACGGGCATGCCTGGCCTCATCGCGTTATGGGTAAGACAACGATAGTTAAGGTTTCTTGTTCCTGACATGGTTATAATAAACCAACAGCAATTAATACATTGAAAGGTTATCCCTGCATTTTGAAAGCGAAAGAAGAATAAATATACGATGTCAATCCGGATGAGAATACAGACTTTGCCGGCGGATGTGAATCCAGAGCTCAGAGGAGGACCGCACCTCCAGTGGTCTCATTAGAATTTTGTAGTTTTTTTTTTATTTTTGCGTAACAAAAATTTAAATTTCTTCTTGAATTTTCAACAAAAATTTCAGAACGTCCTCCTTCCTCATCATCTCATCTTTTCAACAAAGAAAATTTTGATCGCCATGACTACTGGAACCATTTCAGCTCAACATTCCGAAGACATTGCTTTTGCTCGTGCACTTCACGGTGAAAAGATTAAGACTGGTCTTTTGGCCAATCTAAAGTCAAAAAACGCGGACGTGCACAACGTTGCTACAGACACATATCTCAAGATGTGGAAAAACCCCGAGGTTGAAACCAAAGAAGACGAGGATAAGAGATTGAACAGTTATACATCACTTGTAAACTCATATTACAATTTGGCAACCGACTTTTATGAATATGGTAAACTATTTAGTTGTTGGTAGTGAAAAGCAACAGGGGAAAAGGAGCTGCATTCAACAACAGGCGAGGATGTTTGAAATATTAACAGTTCCGCGTTTTTCTTCCGTTAATGACTAGGTTGGGGCTCCAGCTTCCATTTCTGCCGTTTCCATATTGGTGAAGAGTTTTTCCGTGCTATTGCTCGTCATGAACACTATTTAGCTGCTAATACTGAAATTAAAAGCAATATGCGTGTTCTTGATGTTGGTTGTGGTGTTGGTGGACCTGCCCGTGAGATTGCTCATTTCACAGGCGCACATGTCACTGGTTTGAATAATAACGCTTATCAAGTGCAAAGAGCTACTCATTACGCTGCTAAGGAGTTGTTACAAGATCAAACTGAATTCGTCAAGGTAAGAAGAGAATTTGAACTTGTGGGAGCATATATTTTAATCTGCAAGAGAATGTCACGCTGACTTTTACGATTATAAATTGAATAGGGTAACTTTATGGAGATGCCTTTTGAAGATAACACTTTTGATGCAGTATATGCTATTGAAGCTACTTGCCACGCACCTGTTTTCGAAGGCGTCTATGGTGAAATTTTCCGTGTTTTGAAACCAGGAGGAAGCTTTGGTTGTTACGAATGGTGTATGACCGAACATTTTGATGAAAACAATCCTCAACATAGAGAAATTGCTCACAATATTGAAATCGGTAACGGTATTCCCAAAATGCGCAAAACATCTGAGTGTCTTCAAGCTTTAAAGAACGTTGGTTTTGATGTTGTTATGGAACAGGATCTTGCTAATATGGGTGATAGCGTGAAATGGTACTATCCTTTAGAAGGTGATCTCCGTAAATGTCAAACCATGAGAGACGTTTTGACAACGCTTGCTATGACGAAGGTTGGTCGTTTTACCACCACGAACTTTGTTCGCGTTTTAGAAAAGATTGGGTTGGCACCAAAGGGTACTGTGGAAACTCAGAAGTTTTTGGAAACTGCTGCAGATGCATTGGTGGCTGGTGCGCAACAGAACTTGTTTACGCCTATGTTCTTCTTCGTTGCTAAGAAGCCTGAGTAATCAAAGAACACCTAAAGCTAACTAAAACTACTTTTTACTTCTTTAATTTCCTTCTTCATTATTCATATTCATCCCTTCATGAAAAGAGCGCTTGATATAATGTTCAGACAATCCTACATACTTATATTTATTTGTCGCAGTAACGAGAGAAAAGCTATATCCTTTTTTTTTAATAGAATGATAGTTTTGTTTCATATTGGGTTGTACATAACAATTTTTCGAAGAAAGATTTGTTGCAATTATTGTTCTTATTTCTTTATTCTGCTCTTGAACTCAGTCTTTTTCAATTTATTGTTTGTCGTTCCTAACACAATCCTCGCTGCCTTCGCTTGCTATTCTGAATTGGTACAAGCTCTGAGCCAAGTTCCCTTTTTTCTCTAAATTTTGGTTTCCGATGATTCTTCAAATCAATAAACTTGCACAGCCAATCGTATAATATTTTTCAGGAAAATTGGAATCTAATCACCTGAGGGTAATCAATTACAAAAGGAAAACCAATGGTAACAAGAGCGAATATTTGATTAGCTCATATTAACAAAGCAACTACATTAATACAATAGAGCAGATGATGGATACTGGTAGAAATGTCTTCTAGGGACCAGAAAAAGGCCCGTAATCCAATCCAGACAAATATGATATCCATTACAATATTTAGTAGAGCATATCATCTACAAAACTCGACTCTCAATGTGTATAAGTCAGCAATATGCCAGTGTATTGCGGAATCCTGATCCTCAGCGACCTCCAATATCGAAGGGACCCATATTATACAATTTTTTTAAGCGAAGAAAAGTCAAACCGTCGTTTTGCCTTCGGAAAACAGTTTAGAAACTTGAGATATCAATATGTCGGTGGATTACATCCTTAAAGAATGTCACCAGCATTACAACTCAATCTGTGCAACCTACAATAGAATACTAGCTTACACTATGCTTGCGTACAGAACATGGAGATCTAAAAGCGACATTGGACGTATTCAACGTCGGGATGTATATCTGAAGTACGCTATGGTTAATCATCAGTTGGAAACAGTTACTATCATGTTCGCGAGCCAAAAGAGTCTCAAGCGAAATTTATAAACTTTGCTTTGCTGGCAGATCATATACAATAATTTTGTATGGTAACAACTTTGAAAAGTTCATTCAAACGACAGATTTCTTCCGTTAGCCTTATCTCATGACCATGATCTTTTCTTTACATACCTTCAAAATGAATAGAGCGACGAACAATCTACCAGCACATCACCGTCAACCATAGCCAACCGGATTTGAGGCCATATGAGGAAGGCGCAATACAAAATGATTACAAACCTCATTCAATTTGATCCACTGAAAAGGTAAAAGAGCATTGCTAATTAAGGCTTAAATACGTTTGAGAATTATTAATATAACCGTACTTTGAAACAACACTCTGGTACAGAAATCCAGAACTCAATGTTTACTACTGAAAACCATATCACTTCGGAGGTCGAAGCGAAATTTGTGGGGAAGAACAATTACTACATCTGTTGCTGAAGCGAAGAACAAAGAAGCGATACAGTCCCAGCGCTAATATCGAGCACCTCTTTAAAATTTCAATTGGAGTCTTACATGTAGCTTGCTTAAAATGTTAAGGTAAAAGGGGGTATATACTATTATTATTTGAAAATAAATTGGTGGTTCAGAGAGCTTTATACTACTTCTTCGTTCTTTGCATATAATCATTAAGAGTATGTTTATCTATTTGAAAGGCCAAGAATGCTGAAACTTGTATAACTAATTCGTATAGTAACTGAAAGGATTTGTTCAAATCAACAACATCTTAAACGCACATGGTTGTGAACTGCGGTAGGCGAGCAAATTTTCTTATCACATACTATCATTTACATTTATAAGGTATTGCTTAAAATTCATAATTCACATTATAAATTTATTAATCGTAAAAAATAGGCATTACAGATAAGATAAATCTTGGTATGGCTGGCATAACGGTAAGAATACATATACATCAATTCTTGAAAGATCATATAATTTGAGTATTGGGGTAGATATGGAACATAGCACGAGATGCAGATATATATTATATAAAATAATGGCATAAATTTGTGAGATGACTTAGTCGGCAAAAAAAAAAAAAAAGAAAGAAAAAGAGTCAGGGCAGCAGGGCAGCAGGGCATATAATAGGCAGCATTCCTTAAAACGGTATAAATTTGCTGGTAATTGTATTTTCTAGTTGTTATTGCATATTAGAGATCGTATTGTTGTAGTCATATTCACAAAAAATAAGGGGCAGGAACTCTCCGACTTCTACCGACATCTGTTTATCTTGATAAGAAAATTGGTCTTTTCGTAACTCATTAAATGATATTCTATCATAGAATGCTGCATCCAGAGCTGTAAACACAGTTGCAGGTGATGAGCTGACTGTATTATTTTCTGAAAAAGGGAGCCGAGGAGATTCTTGACATGAAGCAGCCTTGTCGGTTGCATGTAGAGGTGCACTGTAGCCAAGCATTAATGTGGTGGACAATGAGGAATAATGTTGATTCGCCTCAGCAAGCATACTGGTGAAGTCAAAGCTACTGCTGCTACTGCTTGCTGGAAGGCTTACTGAAGTAATACTTTGCAAGTTTGTAATAAGCGGAGGGCTTATGACATGTGCAGTAGTTGAGGCTGTGGGTAAGTCACTCATAGTAGAAGCACGTTTTCTCATATGTGATTTAATTCGAGTATCATTGATCTTTGTTACTGCAGATAAACGATTTCTGTTATGGATTCTCTTGTGCTGAGCCAGATTATCTGTTCTGGAGAATTGTTTTCCACACATGTCACAGGAGAAAGGACGTTCTAACGTATGTGTCCTGAAATGACGTTTAAGATGTTCTAGACGTTTGAAATTTCTTGCGCATTGTAATAGAGGGCAAGTGTAAGATTTATCATCCAAAGCACAACTATTACCATTATTCTCATGATCTATTCTGGCCTGTTGTTGTAATTGTTGGTTACGAAGCAAGTGAAATAGCTCTTGTGAGTCGATTGAAGTGTCGCCAACAAAATTACCAATGTCAGTTATTAATGGAATGCTTGAGAACGTTTTCCGTCTTTGCCGTTGTTTATACGTTGGGGATCCTTCAAATAAGGATAATGCGCCAAAGAGCTTTTTTTGTTCAGCCGATATGGCCTTCTGCTCTGCGGACTTAAGGATAAGTGGTGAATACCCCGCTGTAAAGCTATCATATGGAAGACCGGCGCATTGTAAATCAGAACCTTCTAAAAACATCGATGAAATCGATGACATTGAACGACTTGCTCTATGACCAGCTTTACTACTGGTGGGTGCAGATTGAGCATTATGAAATTGGACAGGTGACACTGACACATGCAGTGAATCGATGTCTAGACCGTAAAATTATATGGTTAAGACGTGCAATCGATCAAAGAGAAGAAACATGGAAGGGTTTTTTTTAGTCAAGGGAATTTCATCAATTTACTTTTGTTCTTCTTTTTTTGATGTTTATTGAGTAAAAGCAAAGATGGTGAACATCAATAATTACCTGCTGAAGCAGTCAATGAAATAGGAGAATTAGAAGAAGTGTTAGGATCGTTTATAGTATTGGACACGGTAGTTTTTTGCAGGCTTAGCAGATTTTCATCCATCGCTTGAGCTACAGCAACAGCAGATAGCGACATTGACTTTCTTAGCTGATCAAACATATCTTGAGAGGAGTCCAAAGTTAAAGAAGTGGCAGGTTGAGCGACGGAAATGCTTGTTGGCTCGAGACCCATCTTTTCTTTCTTCAAATCCCTTTCAAGTGCATCCAGAAATAACCTATCGTGAGGTACCGAAAACCAATAGAAAACTTTTTGCTTTTTTTGTGTGCGGATACAATTATTTTTGTATAGCATTTCAAGAAATTCTGATTTAGGCTCTTCCAAGGATGCATCCATTCCAGGTTTCAAGTTACGTAAATCACTGAAAATGCCTTCTTCAAATTTCTTCAAATTTGTCACTGGCCTACCGAATAAGTGAAACCGGTAGAGTAAGCATCTGACAATATCTGTACCCGTAATATGGAATAGCTCGTTCCAAAAAACACAAGATACGCTTTCTCCAGTTGGCAGAGGAAAAGTACGAACTGCTTGATTTGGGTCCCAATCGTTAGTGGCTGTGCATAGAAAATACTTGAGCTCATCAATTTTTCTCAGTCTTTCATCCGTGTTTTCGTGAGTAGGCTGCTCCAGTGGCTCTAATTTTATAGCTGTAGACGAAACGGTGTCAATTTGCGGAAGATCTTCCGTGGCAATTTCTTCATGTTGTACTGTCATAGATCAAAAGTCAAATCAAACGTAAATGGTTGTTTCTGTGATCAACTTAATTTAGTGGTGATTTTTGAAATATAGAAATTAATGCGAAAGAAAAGTTGCGAAATGAGGCAGGTCTATAAATCCAAATAAAATCTAGAAGTATTAAGAAAATTGTTGAAGACAAATTAGAAAGAGAAATAAGGGGTTTAGCAAATAAGGGAGATAAGATGGAAATTGTGTTATGTAAGTTTGTAAGTCTTAAGAGTATATTATTCTTTAAACATGCAATGGCCTATAAGCAATTTCATAGTATTGCATATTTACTCCTCACAGCTTGGTGATGACTGTGATCGAAACTGGTAACATCGTAGCTTGTCATTGCTCAATGATGGCCAAATGCATATTTGATTGTCTTAAAAGGGTGATGATAGAAGGAGATATTACTGAGCAATAGAAAATGAAAGCCCAGAGAGCATGATTTTGTGACGTCAAGTAATGAGCATGGTGAAGGCAGCTCTGCTCTCCTGGACCAGAATGATGTAATTCTCTCCTTACAGACAAAGAACGGAAAGTAGTTACTTCCAACAAATTTGTTGGTGTAGTTATGCGATGACAATATACAACAGCTTAATGCCTCTTAGACATCAGAATAGATACTTAACTAAAAAAAAAAATAAAAGAAAAGAAAAAATTACGTGATTCATAGTTTCTTGATTTTGTTCATTTGAGGCATGATAAAAGTGCAAAATGGTCCGCTGTTACTAAAAAGCGTTTCCTTCAAGTCTTCAGGTACGGTTGATCTGGAGTAATTTTATGGTCTTGAAATGAATAGAGTTTTGTAGCGTCACGGTTCACTTTAAATATACAATCAAGCTCCACTAAATAATTTCTCAAATAAAAATTTAAGGTCTGAAGACGTTATTAGTCCAATTATTTCCTTTTGTCCCTATACTTTAAACTGAATTTCAGCTATTTCTTTGATCTTCAGGGTCTTTAATTGAAGTTTTGGAATTTGTAAGCACACATGTCGCTTTTTTACTAATTTTGGAAGGTGACTGGGGCTGAAAGTTTTGCTCACTGTTGAGCGTTCAGTTTTGTAGCATTAAACTCGTCTGTCTCATACATATTCATTTTAATGACAACACCACATATTTTATCACTACCCTATGATGTAATAGAGAATATTAGTCAGCATCTAGACTTATGCTCAAATACAAGCTTAATGGATACTTGCAGGCATATGCGGTACTTATACTTATCGTCGCAATATATTTGGAGGAAAATTGTTCTCGATCCGGCACAAACTACGGATCTGCATAGAATTTACTCATCGCTCAGGAAACTAGGGGATGCGAACGGACTCAAACAGCTCATATATGAGGTGAAATCAATATTTACATTGCGATTGAGTATTACATATAACTTTTACTGAATAATTGATAAGATAGGTTGTAATGGATGGTATGGACGATGCGGATCTGTCACCCATTGTAATGCTGATAAAGTTCCCTAACCTGCGGAGGTTAAGTGCAAGATATAGGAAGAAGACAACAGATCTTGAAGTGGATGTCAAATTGTTGCAAGAAATGCTAAAGTTTGGCACAATCAAACCAAAATCGTTACCATTGACAGAAGTGAGAGTATACCATTTTAATATGGATTTTGAACCCCATTTGACAGCTTATCAGAAGACACTGAACAAAGTGTCAGTATTTCCAAAAGTTAAGCTTGACATCAGACCATGTGGATTTATACAAACTGTTGGTAATGGTTCTGGCTCAAATTTGAATCCTGCGGTGATGAATAATGACAGACAACTTCAGGGAGAGAATGATCAAAGGGAGCAATTATCCGACCTGCCACAAGACTCCATTGAAGAATGTCAGAGAATTATATCCAAGTCAGAGCAATGCTGGTCGTGTGGGTTTTTATTTCGTTATTGTTGGATATGTGTACCGGTTTGTGATAGCTGCAAAGTTAGAAGAGTTCCACCGTTAGCCAATGATAAACAGAGACTTAGTCGATCAAAACAGTGGGTTTCTGTGGCAAATGATGACGATTTTAAAGTTTTTGAATAGTGCTAAGTCGAACTACAGTATTTTAACTAATATTTTAGATGAAATACATTTTTTTTTGGACGATTAATATTTTCATTTTAGATGAGTTGCAATTGTGTTGTAGACCAAAATATAAACCGTTTAAACAATGATTCAAATTCCAAAAACTTGTTAGCAGTGCGAAACAAAAAAAAAAAAAAAAGAAAAAAAAACCGTACTATTCCTCACCTGTAATGATCTAAATCCTTGAAATACAAGGAAAACCGTGTTTATTACGGCGATTATTTCTTCTTCTTCGCTGGCTTGAAAATGTCGGGTCTTCCCGCTCCAGACCAAACTGCTTGGGATATAGTCATCATGTTGATAGCGGCGTTAATGTCTCTCTGCCATAGCTTTCGACATTGCTTGCAATGAAGAACGCCGGTACCCTTGAATCCAGGGGTATTAACAATTTGCATATCATCATAGAAACAGAGGCTGCATGTTTTAGAGGTTTTGAATTCATCGATTGTGACAACAATCAATTGACCTTCAGCTTCACGTTTCTTCAGAGTTGCAAAAAGTTTACCGACAACACCACATCTTTGCCCTTTCAATTTTACTACATCTTTTCCAAACATTCCAGCACCAAAGACAATCAATGGTACCCTTCTAGGGAATCCTGAGTACTTATCAGCCTTCCACTTCTTGTCACTTCTAAAAATTATCAATCAGCGCGTAAGCTAAACGATGAACATGTAATTCATTGATACTCACTTGATTGGCGGCTGTTTGTCAACATTCTTTCCTTTCTTCTTCTTCTTCTGCTGTTTTTTCCTCTTCCTTGCCTTGCTTCTCTTTTTGCGATTGTACTTGGCCGTTCCATGAGTCAACATGTTGGCCATAGTTTCGGGTGCTCTTTGCCTTCCTTGGTACAACGTAAACCGGTCCTTTGCTGTTTCATGTCCATAAAAACTAAAGAGAGCGTCTAAGTTATTGAGCATATAACTGGTGAACGCCTCATATACTCCTAGACGAGAGGTCTTTGACGAGGGGATTTGACTTTCTACTAGATCTATTCCTGTAACAGCTTTTATACTGTTCAATTTCTTACAATATTTCGTTGACCCTGCCATATGATAGTATTCGGATGTAGTGCATCTTCGCACTTGTCTGTTATATTCAAGGCCAATAGCAGCAGTAAAAACAGACTTTCTTCCGGGATCCAGGGTAATAGGTAAATAAGTATTGTCAACTTCATCCAGAGAGAAATCATCAAGAGTGAGGTCAAATTTTTGGAACGAGGCACCATGGCCAGATTGTTGTCTTTTATAAAAAAGAAAGTCAACTGAAAACCCATCCGTTCTGACAATATTACCAAAGAGCTCTTTGTTATCACCATTCGGTGTAAGTTCAGAGATACTACATGTGCCCAAGAAGTTAAACCTCATACATTATACTCGACTGCATACCGTATTAACTGTATGCTTACCTTTTGTACCTGAGTTTCTTGAAATCAAAGACATGGAAAAACAGCTCTAATTGGCTTTGGTAATTGCGGGGTAAAGAACGTTTCACAAAAGAAGACAGAGCGTTCACGCTCAAGGTAATGAACCTCCATTGAACGGAAACCTTTGGCAGTAAGGATAGCAATTTTGGAAGAGGACGTCGTCGTACGTCAAATGGTTTATGATCATCGTGTTCGCTCTCAAATTCTGCGTTCAAAGATAACAAAAAGGGTACGAAAGACCCAGGATCAGCAGATAATGTCTTCATGTTCACTTTCTTCCCCAGCTTCTTCTTCCAAGGTTCACAAAAGGTTTGGATCTTTGCTTTTATATCTTTGGTAAGGTAGTCATCAGTTGGCCATTTAGGTTTTCCTTGGCATATCTCTTGATAGCAGAAATCACTTGTGACCTTTTTGACAAGCTTCCAAGGCATACACTACGCAAGATGAGAGCTTTTTTTAAAATTCATGTAAGACCCCAAGTAATATTGAGTTGCAACTTACCACAAATGCCGTTTGTATTTTATATATCAAAAAATAGAGAAGTTTCTCCTCAAAATTTTCCACTATACTGTTCGTATAGGAAGTAGCAATTTCGGTGCATGCTTCTGTAATGGCTTGACTAAGTCCAGGAAAGAGCTTGACAGGGAAGACAATCTTAGGGTAAGTCGTTTTAAAAGAATCAAACGAGCTCAGTAATTGTTGTGATATCAGCCTACTATTTGTTGGTCTTTGTCCATTCACTAGCTGTATCATAGAGTACCAGAAATTTTGTGTAAAGATATATTTAATACACTTTGGCTCAGCAAGAGTGGCATTTTCCAAGACGTAATAATTCACAAAGAGCTTGGCTCTAAGAACCAAGTTTCGGATAACAGAACAAGCTTCAACAACTTTTGACTTGAATGTGTTGCGATAGTCACCAAAAACGCAGTTATCAAGAGGCAACCTTCTTGTAAACGCCTTGTAATTACTTCCCAAATGATGTTGAAAGACCTCTGCCTTTGATAATACATGTTGAGGACACAGAGGAGAACGCACCGATTTATGTCCTGGTTGCTTGCATTTGGTACAACAGGTATTGTCTTTATCCGGTTCTTCATTATTCTCTTTCCTTGCTTTCTTCTTTTCCTTCTTGATTTCAAAGTTCTGTTTGCGTTTTCTGCCTATCGAACCAACTATAGGTACAATGAGGTCGCTTACTAACGATGAATTTACCAACTTTTGAAGCCACATGAGGTGCTTACCTTGATCTGCAGTTTCTGTCTCATACAATTGACATTTAAAGTATTGTTGGGTGTAATGACCCCCTTTACCGCAATCAATACACGTTACATCTAACAGTACACGATGATTAATCTCTACGTATATATATGATCAGGTATATAGGCTTTCAAAAGGCAAGTTACCATTAACAGCACTTGATTTTTTCTTTTCAAAAATTTGCTTTTTCTTTTCATAAATTATTGTTTTGAACATGGGTCATAGTATGTATCTTAAAAACGTGAAATAAAAGTGAAAGAGACAACATTTGACTCTAAGAGAGCAATATATTTTATAGTGCTTATCTTTGAAAGTCACCCATGAACGCATACAAAAACATTGACAACAGTTAATATAACCATCCCATTCCGCTATGGTATCTGTTATACTATGGCCCTCAGCCCTCTATCTATGGTTTGATGTCAATCAATTCAAAGTTAACTTTTTTTGGAATTCTTGTCCAAAAAAGGCACCAACGAATATCTTGTTGGTCTCGGAACACATCGTCATTTAGTAAAAAAGTTGTCAAGCTTTTTGTAGTTTGTCCTATTGCAAGATAACATCAATAAAACCATTATTGGCGACTTTCTTACTGATAGAGACTAATTTCTAGGGTTCGATTGTATGTCATCCTTAATGCTGCTTGAATATCACTGAATAATTGAGTATCCAAATATCCAAATACTATGGACTTTTCTAAAAATATTTTTTAATAAATCTAAAATTAAAATGTATATTGTTCATTAAAAATTGTAAATCGTCTAAAATATAAGGTAAAATACTGTATTAAAAAGAATGAAAATAAAAATACATTTTACGGAGTGGCCTTTCCCGTCTCTGAGTTTTGTGTTTTTTAAAATGGGTTAAGTTTTTTCTTTTCAAACTCTACTTCTTTTTCAAACCTTTTTGCCAATTCAATTTCTACAACCCTAGGGCTTATGGTTGCTTTTATCAACCTTCTACTGTTGGGGTTATCACAGCTGTTTATACCCGCTTTCTGTTTATACAAGAACCAAGCGGGGAAATTTGACTGGTAGTCTATAGGGCCAAACGCACGCGTTACGGAAACCAAATCATAATCTAACATGCACATTTAATAGGCACCATACATGGGTAGGGCAACCGGAAGAGGCTGTCCAGTTGGACAGCAGACATATTGCAGTATACTCACATAGAAACGTTATAGCAAGCTTGGATACAGAGACAGGCGCAGTTGGTAACATAAAAGTTTATAAACTTGCTGATACCAAAGAAAATTAATGAAAATTGACGATGATACCACGCTAGAATGGAGACAAGTGCTGGACAACGAAATAGATCATTTTGCGGCCACTGATGGAGGTAATTAGAGCGCAAGAAGTATGGCAATATTACTTTATTACTAAGCAAGGATTTTATATATAGGTATATTAACAGTCTCCAGTAACCCTGAGCGAGCACAGTTTTGGAATAAAACAAATGGGCAGTTACTATGGGACCGCCCCTTAGTATCAGAAGTGTATGGCAATACAAAACCCATTACTTGGGATAATGGTGAAGTAGCGCTGTTTATTGAAAGAACAAAGCTTGTCAAGCTATCAAATGATGGTGAAGAGCTCTGGACTTGGACTCGACAAACGAATGAAAAGTAAAGTAGCAAAAGCTCGTAGTTACAATTCAAACACTTTGAGACTAAACGATCTATTATAGCCATATTTTTGAAAGAATGAAAACAATTAAAAGAGATGGTTTGATATATGTTATTGTGGAGCCAGATGACGAAGCTAGTTCACCATATTTCGTTGTAAACAAAATCAACAGCGATACAGGTGCAACTGTTGAGACTTTCCAAATCCCTTGTAAGTCGACATATGATGACATCTCGTATGTTGGCGATTATATATTATGGACTGAAGAGGATACGATCAATTGGAATCCTATATTTAAAAAAGAAATCAGAAAAACCCCCATCAAGGTAGACGTATAGTATTCAACGGCTAAAGTCTTCATTGACTTTTTCTAATCCAACTATATCAATAGTCTCTTGTTGGCTCATTACCTACTGCCGATAAATTTATTGCTACCAAGCTCAGTATAATAGGCAGCACAGACCATCAGCTCGAGTCATTTGTACTTCTGACTGAATATGAGGAGGAAGAGAAATATAAAGTTGCATCTGCAATGATCAATATCAAGGACAATGCATTGTCATTGAGCAAATACTTTGGAGAGCAAAACTCTTTCGGCGCAACTGATGTATTAGATCAAACAGTCATTCGCGTGATGGCAACTTCAGCAAATGAGCTTACTGTTCATATCATGCCTGACGATAAAGAAATCAAAGTTGCACATGACTTCTCGTTGACAGGAAAAATATACTACGTCAAAGTGATAAATCTTACTCCATTCCAGATGTTTATGGTCACAGAAGGCTCTTCTGTCTTCTACTACGATGAATCTTCGATTCGTTGGTCGCGGGAAGAAGCCTTGAGCAGTATCAGCGCATCAGAATTTTTGGAACTTCCTGAGTCAAAAATGTGGACTCAAATGGCAGACGAACTTGCTGAAACAGAAGTGGAGCAAGCTGAAGAATCCCCCTTCACAAGATATATACATCGCTTTGCAACACACTGGTTAGAGCTTCGTAAGTTGCCGACATGGGTCATATCTCACTTCATTGGCATGACCTCTTCACCCTCTTTGACAGAAGGGAATGATGCAATCTCCACATTGGCAGCCCAATCTTGCTGGATGAATGAAACCCGTCCTGATATGGTCTATCGAGACAACTTCGGTTTCAGAAAGCTGTTAATATCTGTCACTCGCAGCGGCAAGATTATAGCTCAAGATACAACTCGCAAAGGCAAAGTTGTATGGAGCCGTTATGTAGAGAATTTCTCTTTTACGCATGTCTTTGTCGTTCGTTCTGCATCTGTCAAGTTGCCACCTGTTGTCGTGGCAATTGCACAAACGTACAATGAGTTTGGTGGGCCCGCCACAGGGTTTGTACGCGTCAATGCCTTCAATGGTGAAGACTATGTATCAAGCAACCCTGAGGTCGATAGCTTTTTTGAGCCCCTTGTTGCAACGGATGTCGGCGTTAGCAAAGTCATGCTATTACCCGTTGAAGAAGCCGAGGAACATACTCATCTATTGTCTATTTTCGATGATCAATCAGGCCGTATCTATATATATCCCGATCATGAGGGTGCCCGACGAAAATTTGTTGCTGACTTCCTTCCAAGATTTTATTTTACTCATCAAGATAGACAAGGGAATATTCAAGGTTATAAAGTTGTGGAAGGATATCGCGGAAGCTTAAAGGCTGAGCCTGTTTGGCAATTTGTCATGCCTGAAAATGAATTACCAGTTTCCGTGAGCCATCGACAGCCATATGAAAAAGTTGCCTCACTTGGCCGTGCACTGGGTAACAGAAACGTATTATACAAATACCTCAACCCTAATATGTTTGCAATGATTTCTCAGAACCCCAATAAGCAAAGTATAAAAATTCGCCTCATGGATGCAGTTAAGGGCACTGTGTTTTATGAAGCTATGCATGAGAATGTTGATGTTGAGAAGAACAAGGTGCACATAATCCAGTCCGAAAATTGGTTCGTTTATCACTTCTGGAGTAACGATGATAATGCTAAAGGTTATCAAGCAGTTGTCCTCGAACTTTTTGAAGGAAAGGATGAAAATGAGCGCATTAAAAGGTAATCATAAAACTTGTCAGTCTAATACCGCACAGTAAGTAATACAGTCTCACTCCTTTCTTAGTGATACATTCTCTTCATTTGATGATATCCAACCTTCCGTCCTTTCGGCGGCCTTTGCTTTCCCATATCCTGTAACATGCATGGGCATTACAACAACGAGAAATGGTATCTCAACGAAAGAAATATTATTCGGTTTGCCCAGCCATCAAATTATGGGTGTCAATAAGCGTTTCTTGGATCCTCGTCGCCCCAGAGACAAGCCTACCAAAGAAGAACAGGAAGAATTTCTTTTCCCATATGCTCCTATTCCTGAAGACAGGCGTTTATTCTTGACCTATAATTTGGATGTTGCTGGCGTCAAATCTATTAATACTAGTCCTTCGCTTCTTGAATCAACTTCTTTGGTATTTGCTTATGGTTTAGATACCTTTTTCACCAGATCATCACCTAGCCAGCAGTTTGATGTGTTATCAGAAGATTTCTCCAAAGCTCAGCTTTTACTGACCATAGCAGGTCTAGCTATTGCTATTTATCTTACCGGGCCTATGGTGCGAAGAAAGCGTGTAAATGCTTTATGGAAATAATTTGAACTGTATATATTTTAATAAAGAACCATTGATCTAAACTTAATCACTCCTACTTTCTTACTGAACGAAGACAGCAAAAAGTGCTTTGGGGTTGAGCGTAAAAGGGCTGCTTAATTTCCTTAAAAAAAATCATCTATAATTCTCTCTCAGCTACCTTTCTTAAAGCAATTATACTAGAACAGCTGTTTCATTGACAAAATGAAGATTCCGGGAATTAATACTGAGCGCCTTGGTGCCGTTTTCTCAATCAAATCAAAAATACAGCAATCCAACGACTGTTTTACTGTAAAAGGTATTGCCAATAGAACGAAGGTCAACCGAGTCGCCATAATATCTGGCAAGAAAAAACTGGGCAAGTCAGCTGTTTACCGCAATCGTGCAGATCGTCGAATCCGCGCAGCAGTAAGAACAGTATACCCCGAACTGAAATTGAAAGGTAAGCAATTGCTTGTTGATCAAACCAGGAAAAACCATATTCTCTTCTAATACCTGGGCGTGTAATAGGGTATGATTTCATCTTTCATCTACAGCCATTAGTTATCACAGCACCCTGGACATATGTTTTAGATAAAGTGGCGAGTTCGTTCAAGTCGTTGGAAGACCAAGCAAGAATCACAAAGCAAAAGTTTGGCAAAAAGTGAAAAGAATTACTTCTCAAACTCGAACATACGACGATGTAAAACCTCTACAAACCAATCCTTAAAATCGCTAGCTGATAGTAGTTCCCCATTCAATATGCTTAACTGAACTTTATCCACTGCTAAGCATGATACAAATATTGATGACTAAGACGAAATAGCTTTCTTAGCGAGAAAGTTCTGGTGGTTGATTTATGTGGATGGGATACGGAAGTGGCAGTCTTGATGTCTCTTTCGAAGCAACATCCGTTTCAAATTCAAAAGGAGCACGAGATAAGTCCTTTGTAACGATTATAAATCTGATAGCATCTCTTTATGAGGGCTAGCTTTATCCTCATTTGAGTAGGTCGTATTTATTCTAAGGAAACCCTATCAGCAAACTCCAAATAAATCTGTTAATTATATACCTGACGTCTCATATTTTCTTTACCACGATCCTAATTGGTTTCAGCTGTTCTATCAGCTTAAAAAGCTACACTCTGTCGCGCATAACGGCATCATTAAAAGTCTAACATAGTAGATAAGGAGAGATATTATGATTTCAGCACGTTAAACATATTATTTCGTCGCTCACATTTTATCCACCAGTCTTATGTTCGTGCATAAGTAGGCAACGTGTAATGTGCGAAGAAACCTCCTGGTAATTGAACAGCATAATGCAAGCATGCCTTGTTGGGTATTACTGGTGTGCCTCTCCATTTTACAGCTTGGAATATGCATAATCTTGCAGCAAAGCGGCTGTAAAAACATGATAATTGGCTATCCTTTTAAATTGCTTCTGAGCTGTCTATTACAGAATGGGTCCATCAGTCTCATTAAGTTGCAGTAATTCGAAAGCTGCATATAAAAGCGTTAAATGATAAGACAATAGTGCCATTCTCAGAACAAGTGATATGCCAAAGAGCATCTATATCTTTCAACTTATTTCCCAATAAAATCGAACAAACACTTCGTTGCAGAAATACAATGTCTCTTTTACTGCCTTGCGAATTCAAGCTGCAATTCTATAAAGCTGCATGTGCAAAGTTTATAATGTGCTTAATTATTGTTCGAAGACAGGAAGAAGCAGATATGTTCAAGCTTTAACAAGCAATGTCCAATAATTGTTAGCTTGGTTATAGACACGATTCTGGCACCTGCTGCTTTCAAGACTATAGCGAAAATTAAGAGGATAAACAGGGGAAGGGAGGGAAAAGCTTAGAATTGATTTAGTCTATGCGCGTTCAGAATCCCTCTTTATTTAAAAGACAAATTCGCAATGAATCAGATGATTGACAAGCGTCTATGTACTATCCTTGAGAAGCGGCGCACACAAGTAGTAGATTGGCTATTGTAGTTCCATACAGTTGTTCGGCATAGGAATCCAAGTTCAAAGACAAATTGTGTAACCCAAGTAAAATAATTAAAAATGGACGGATTAGAAATTTCACATGTTACTTCATCACTGCTTTTTTTAAGGCTGTCAGCAAAGGAATAAAAAATAGAAAGCAAACAGTTCCCACCTGCTTCTTTCCGTAAGCCTTCTTTTCTCTCCTTCATAAACCCCTTATATTCTTCTTTACTTGCAATGCCGGAAATAAAGGTATTTTCTAGAGCTGAAGTAGCCAAACATAATACTGAAGACGATTGCTGGATTATTATTGATGGTGCTGTCTACGATGTATCCACTTTTGCCCAACTCCACCCTGGAGGAAGTCAAATATTGATAGAACTAGGCGGCAAAGACGTTACAGGTAGGTTAAGCTTCTCTAAGTGATCTTTTCATTTCCTCATAATGAAACAAAAATGTTCATTGATAATATGTTCTTCTTAGAGGACTTCTATGGCCTCCATCGACAGGAAATATTGATAAAGTATGCGCCCCGTCTCAAGATCGGTACCATCGAGAATGAAGTAGCACAAGTGACTATGCCTGTTCCTGGTGATCTTTCAACTGTTCCATTCGGTGAACCCAGCTATTGGATGGGCTTTAAGAGTGCATATTTTAAGTAAGAATCATTACTTATTAGCGGCATAAAATATTTCTTATCATTATTGATTTTTCTATCTACTTCTCTAGTGAAAGCCACACTCGTTTCAGAAAAGCAGTGCGTGCTATTTACGATGAAATCAAGCCAGATGCCATTTTAGCAGAAGATCAAGGCACATATCCTTCAAAGGAACTCTATATGAAATTGGGAGAAGCTGGTATACTTGCCTCGCAAATCGGCCCTGGACCATGGTTAAAAGGTTTAAAGTTGCCTGCCGATATTAAACCTGAAGACTTTGACTATTTCCATGAACTCATTGCTCATCAAGAGACTGCACGCCTTGGTACACCTGGTTTTGCAGATAGCATTTCCTCAGGTTATAGCATTGGACTTCCTCCCATTTTCAACTTTGGTAGTCCTGCTTTGAAAGCTAAAGTCGTACCAGAAGTATTATTGGGCAAAAAACGTATTTGTTTAGCCATTACTGAACCTTATGCAGGTTCTGACGTTGCTCGTATCCGCACGACAGCAACTCGTACCGCAGATGGAAAACATTTTATTCTGAACGGTGTCAAGAAATGGATTACCAATGGTGCCTTTGCCGATTACTTTACCGTAGCTGCTAGAACTGAAAAGGGTATTACTATGTTCTTCGTAGAACGCGATGACAATATTGAAACGAAGCAGATTAAAACATCGTACTCTCCTGCTGCTGGCACTGCTTACATTACGCTTGAGAATGTGAAGGTGCCAGCCGAGAACATTCTTGGAAAAGAAGGACAAGGTTTTCAGGTGATCATGTACAATTTTAATCATGAAAGATGGTATATTTGTGGTGCAATGACGGGTGCTACACGTGTTGTCATTGAAGAATGCTTCAAGTGGGCTAATCAACGAAAGGTATTCGGAAAACGTCTGATTGATCAGCCTGTCATTCGAAATAAACTTGCTGCCATGGTATCCCAGTTGGAAGCTGTAGAGAACTGGTTGGAGAACATCACGTATCAAATGTGCAATATGTCTTACGAAGAGCAATCTGTTAGGTTAGCTGGTCCCATTGCACTATTGAAATACCAATGTACTCGTGTTGCGCATAACGTATCTGATGATGCTTGCCAAATCTTTGGTGGAAGAGGTATAACTAAGACTGGTATGGGCCGTAATATTGAAGCGTTCCAAAGAACTTATAAAGTAAGTATAGCTAAAATAGTGTAGTTTATTGTAATGTTTTGATGAATTAATCCAACTCTTTCTTATTCAGTTCGGTGCCATTTTGGGTGGCTCTGAAGAGATTATGGCCGACTTGGGTATCAGACAGGCAATGAAGTTTTTCCCTAAAGGTGCCAAACTTTGAGCTCAGTTAACTTTTGATTATAATCCAGACATACTTAAAATAGTAAAGCCTAGTTAAGTAAAACATTCGATGCGCACATTTTTCAATGCTTGCCTTAAACACAACTGAATGCTACAGTATTTTCGGTTTTAATTTAGACCTTCTTGTATACAAAATTGGATATTTTGATTGACTTATTTCAGAAAATTTAAGTTATTATTTTCGGACTAGTTACTTTTTACATTTGGACACTTGTAGTAAACATCTGAGGCCCGCCTCTTTTTGCACGCATTTGTTGCAGTAAGTTTCGTTGTTTGATCGGCCCAGAAGAATTACCTACTTAGCTGCCATTTGAACTGGTTGTCCAGTTGTATTCTATGTAAATGACTCACAATCCTGTATTTTCATTGACTGCTCAGCATCTCTCTTGATCTAAAATCGTGTCACTTTAGTGTCATTTTTCCCTTAAAGAAAGCAATAACAATAGGTGATTGTATAAATTAAGTTAAGCGCCTGTTTCTTGTCAGTAACTGATGAAGTGATAAATAAACGTGTCTTGATTAATAAACGTGTCTCGATTTGGTGTCAAAATTTAGCGCGTCTAAAGAAATCTGTCTAGATTGTTTTCGTTGTCAAAACTTTCTTTGTTGTCCAAATATAACATTCTAACAAAAAGTTTCAGTTTATAAAAAAATAAAAAGTTGGTACCTTTTCCCTTTTTTTATCAGAGTCTAGTTGGATATTCTTTAAAAAATCATTAAAGAAGTGTTAACAGTGGATCATCAGGTAGATTAAAATAAGATCTCATCACGACCTACTCACAACGACTGCACTGTACATATTTTGTTTGTAACTGAGTGTTTGTATCTTTTGAGTAGCTTTATTATCATGCCGTCAAGAGAAGCAAAAGTTTACCTTGAAGCAAAGTTGAAGAAAAAGCAGCAAGAAAATAAAGAAAGTCAGTTCATTATTGCTGTATTTTGTTTACTATTCGTTTATGTACTCAATTAGAATCGTTGAACCATTAATTTCTAGAAACATGTTCTGATTGCGGCCGGGAAGGACATGCCCATAAGGGCTCATACTTGTGTCCAGAATATAATGGTAACAGATAGCTGAAGAGGTAGTATTTCCTGTTCATTTTCACTGATATTCTATTCATACGCTTTTCTAGCCAAGAAACGAAAGTCCGGAAAGGACGACTACGAAACAAAGCAAGCTAAAGATAAAGGCAAAAAGAGAAGGCTAGAAGCAAAAAAAACATCGCCATCGAATACCGTCATATGCAAGCATTGTGGTCTAAGTGGTCACTCAACTAAAGCTTCCTTTGCTTGCCAACAACATATTACTACTAAAGCGGAGCTCCTTCGAACAAACTATTCAGATAAGTATGAGCTTTACGCTCGGAAACTGCCCCTTGTAACCTACGTGGACGGTGTTTTTGATGCTGAGCGCAGTATCTTACGGAAAGAGCATGAAGGATTCCAGCAAAAAGTGATTAAGCTGTGCAGATTTATACGGGACGTCACAACCAGAGCGCAGCTTTTCATGAATTACTACATTATTAAGAACCGTAATTTAACTGTTCAGGAATACATTTATGAACAAAACTTTTGGTACTGCATCTGTAAGCTAGTCTTGGGCTAAAAAATTACCAACAAAGCCTACATTAACCACACTGTGGCTCTGACGTTCGATGACGTTGCTACTGACGATCCATCCATTATATCCCCCTTCAAGGATCAAAAAATCAAAGGTTATAGTGATGCTATGACGGCTGCATGCGAGAGTATAGCAACCACTTACATGAACCACATGGTGGAAAACTTCACTAAACGTATCAGATATTACTTGTATTGGGCATTGAAGCCTACTTTCCAGGTAAAATGTTTGACTTATATCTTCATAGAGAAGATTTTAATTGCCCAATTCATTGTCAAATAATAGGAAACAAAGAACAATGTGATTTACGGACTCATTGACTCATATTGCCTTCCTAAAATTTTGAATGATATGGATACTTGTAAATGGTTGGAGGATGTTGATATAACAAAACAACCCGAAGTCGATGCAACATGCCAATCATTGATGAAAAAGATGCCATCAACTCCAACAATCGAAAATATCACAGCAGCACCATCAACGTTTCTACCACCTTTGGCGTTCATGCTGCAGTTGATCGAAACGAAAGCCCTTACCGCTGGTCCGAATGACAAAAAACCCAAATTATTCTCATTAACTCCCACTGTGTCATTCAAATGGAAGCATGTCAGCATCAATGAAAAGGCCCTATGCTGTTTGTCCAGACAGTCCATTGGCAACGGATCCTATGCTAATAATCTTGAGATCTTCTTTAATGTTTTTAATTTTGCAAAATTCGGATATGAAACGTAAGGAGAAAACTATACTTTGCTTTAGAACCTAATAACATTAACAAGCATCTGTTGCTCAAATAGCCTACAAGACCTTGTCAGAGCTCCAGCCAACTCTAAGGACATGTTCAATTGTGTAATACACACAGATGGCTTTGCTGTAACCTTTTTGTTTGTCCGTTCCCGTCAAGAAAAAAGTGCAACAGCTACACTCACTCTTGAGGATTATACTCCTGCTGAAATCAACAAGTATTTCATGCCGATAGCTGTAGATCCAGGGCGTAATGAGATATTCACAGCTGTAGTTGGTTACAACACAGATATGCATCAAATTCGCGCATGTAGCAAAGAGGAGCGCGCTCAAATTGCTGGATATAACAGACGTGCAAGGGTCGTAGATGAAAAGAAGGTTGCAACTGGTATTAAAGAAATTGAGACCAATCTACCGACGTGCAAGACTGTTCACTCCGAAATACAATATAAGCTGTACCTTTCTTATGTATTGAGACATATCCAAAGCTTACATGAATTTTATGGCTTCAACTCTGCCAAATTCATATTTAACGACTATCAAGGCCGTCAAAGAGCTGACGAAGAGCTCGCTAACATGCTTCTGGATGGAGGCAAAAAGTATAACCCCAGAAAAAGAAAAAAAACCAACAAGAATAAACGGCGTAAAAGAAAGTTGCCGAGAGGAAGCAAGACAGCGAAGAGTAAGGTACATGCAAGAAAAGCACAGAGGGCTGCAGAAAGGAAGGAAGGACAAGAGAAGAAGTTAACGATTAATGTAGAAGCAGCTGTGCAAAAAAGGTACGCATTCATTACTACTGATTCAACAGTAACTGGTAACTATATAAATACATTAACCTGTCCTTTGCAGATACAAAACAAAGACTGTTAGGAAATGGACCGCTGCTCCATTCTTTGAAGACCGCAAGAAAATCCCATTAGTCATTTTTGGTGACGGGATGAAGAACAAGGATTGTGTTTCATTTAAAGGCCACCCAGCAGGTGTGACAGGAAAGTTGTATCGTACTCTCCTGAAAAGACAGCGCTGCTTTCTTGCTGCGGTGGTGGACATCAACGAGTTTAAAACCTCAAAGGTGGGTCCCAAATTGCCAAATCAAGTGCCTTTCTCTAGAAGTAATGTCATTTTCGTAGGTTTGTAATAATTGTAATGGTGTCGAAATGAAAGAAGTACGAATTTCGGACGGCTCCAGCGTCTATGGTACCAAGGCCTGCAAAACCTGTGGTATGATATGGCAAAGAGACGTCAATGCGGCCAAAAATATGCTTACTATTGCAAATTCCGTATGGGAACACAATGGCCGCCCCGACATTTTCTCTCGCCATCGCCATAACGAAAATGGTGCTGCAGGTTCTATACCGACGGCTTAAAGATTTTTACGCGTTTAGGTAAGTTCATCTTGTGAAATTTGTCACTGTACATTTCTGGGGTTTTATTAACTGCTGCTTGACGTTACTACATACTCAAACAGGGTAGGTATTCTGTGCTTTGGCACAGTATATTTACCTTGTTTGAGTAATAGTAGTTCGCACATTTGGCATTGATTTTTTTTTTTTTTGTAGATTATTTTATTTAAAATAATAAATTAGTCACACATCGCTGAGGGGTGGGACATGGAGAGGAAAGGAAGATTTCTATGACAAGTAAATTTAGTCGAAAGCAGCCGCTTCCCGCATGAGCTGCGAGGAAGACAGGCTCAAAGAAATTATGTTGTATGCTTTACTAGAGACGGATGGGGGATGAAAAGGAATATCATGGAATATCATTTGAAAAAATGACGTCCAGATAGCCCAATGGATACTGAAGCAGACGGTGAAAAAGCGAGATTGCTCGGACGAAGGTAGTGATGGTGGCGATTGTAATCTTAGGGCGGCGGAGATGCTTTGAGGATCAAAGTCGAAGGATGGGAAATATATCGCGAGGCCTTCTTGCCATATCTGCCAGCGTGGTGGACAACTGGTTGTAAAATGTTCGAACGTATCAATATCATGATTACAGAGTCTGCAGGTAGCAGATGAAACTACCCCTGCGGCTTGTAAGACTGATAAGCATGGTAATTTTTTCAAAATGGTGCGATAGCCTAGGTCACGAGCCGGAAGAAACAAAGGAAGGGACCAGAACAGGGTGAACATCCGTTTGGGGATCACCCCTATACCTGATGCTTGCTGCATTTGGATGTGATGATGAAGTCTAAACGTTGAAGCCGAATAATGACGCCAAAGGTTACTGTTGGCCAATCGTCGTAGTAGTGTAATTTCCAATGACTTATCTGGGTCGTCGGTAGTGATAGAAGAGCCTGCCGGCACCCTGTGGATATACGGGTGAAGTTGAACTGTAGCATCGGTGAGCAATTGGCCCAAGAGATGTGAAAGCAACCGCGGTTTCACATTATATTCACCTGGTCGTTTCATTATGAGGCGGTTAGTGGACTGGTCGTAGCGGAAAAAGGCGCTGGCAAGCATCTTGGGATGGCGTTCTAGCCAGTGCGACTCTGGTAAACGTGTAAACAACGAATGTAATGGGAAGAGTAACAAGCTCTTGAGTGGAATATCCTCCAATGGGAGGGTAACATTCAAATGATCAAACGCTGTGAACATAATCGGTATAACCGAGGTTGGATGACAAAGATGAGGAGAACGATGAATAGCGCAAAAGAAAGGAAGTATGGGACTAGTAAATGTGATGCCCATCAACCGGAAATGATGGCGAAGGAGTACTTGAACTAGGGAAGGCTGTGGTGAGAATAACATTATTAACCATTTCATTTGCAGGATTAAATGTTGCATCGCAACATTTAACAGACCAACTCCTCCTAAGTGTCTGGGCATTAGAAGTCGAGCATAGGAAACTAATGGGAATTTTTTTCGCCATACAAACTGATAGCTAAGTTTCTGTAAGGCTTTGATAAATGTTTTGGTAGGATGAAATATACGAAGACAGTACCAAACTTTGGACAATATAAGTGTATTCATTATCGTTACCCGACCACGTAATGATAATTGTCTCGGTGAATAAATTGCCACTTGCTTTTGAACAGATTCTAATAACATATCTTGGACATAATTTCGTTGGTGAGTCGTATAAGGTAAATAGAAGCCTAAATACCGGAGAGGGGAAGGAGAAAACTTAGTATAGAAAACAGAGATATTATGCGACTGTAATAAGGATGTCCAAGACATGGATTTATCCCCTGATAGAGAAAAGGCTTCCGTCTTGTGTTGGTTGAACTGAGCGTTAGAAACTTCTGCGTAGCGTTGAAGGTGCTGATTTAACAGTTGAAAATCATTCGCATCTTTAACAAATGCGCAGATGTCGTCTGCATAAGCGAGACATTTGAGTCGCTGTGGTGATCCTTGAACATACGAGTAATAACCCTGAAATGATTGATCCTGTTGGATAGATAGAAGCAGTGGTTCAAGTACGAGGTTAAAAAGTTGAGGGGACAATGGATCCCCTTGTCTCAGTCCCCGGGTCTGGGCAATACCATCGGTGAAAAACCCGTTACATTTGGCATTGAGCATTTTGACAGAAAAGGTATGATCCCAAAAACTATACTTTTATCCAAAATAATTTTTAAATTAGTCTGAATTTTAATTGTAAAGTAGTCTCAATTTAATAGCCATTTCGTGCGAAAGTCAAGCGGAAAAACAGTACTGAAATACACTTTCTCCATTTGAGGTTAATTAAGGTCGAAAAATCACCCAATTAAATTTAGAGGTCTTACAATGATGGCTGTATATGAATTTGTATGAGCAATTTTTGGGTTTCCCCCGTTTTTTCTTTTTTTCTTCGCTTTCTTCTCTTCTATTTGCACACTATTCCAGTTCGTTCGCTCAAATGACAGACAATTTGGGAACAGATCAAAAAGCTCAACCATCTAGTGAAGGCGCTCCAAGTAATGAGCCCTCCCCAATGGCTGTTGATACACCAGCAACTGATCAAAGTAAAATGGAACTTGATGGAGAGCAGGCGGCTCAAGTTCAAAAATTCTTAGCTGCGCCAGTTAATTGCAAATTATTTGTTGAAAAGATTACTGTTATCAAAGGAGTGAAAGATTCTGAATACAGAATGGCAGAAGTCTTATCTTCACGCGATACTCCAGCTCATGGATTAGAATACTACGTGCATTACACAGAATTCAATAAGCGTTTAGATGAGTGGGTTTCAATCAATCGACTCGATTTTACCAGACCCATTGAATTTCCTGCAAAAAAGAATCTAAAACTTGATGGACCGAAAAAAGGAAGAGCAGGCACACCTTCAGGAGGATCCAGGAAGGGTTTAAAAAGAAAAAACACAGCAAATGATCAAGAGCAGGAAGTGGATAAAGTCGTATTAGGCGACGAAGAAGAACATGGCCAAACAGTTGAAATGGACGAACAGGATGCTGACGAGGAACCACATACTTTTTCAAAAGAACAGGAAATTGAGAAGCTAAGGACATCTGGATCTATGACACAAAGTGTGCAAGAAATTGCAAGAGTTAAGAATTTAAACAAAATCCAGATGGGACGACATGAAGTAGAAGCTTGGTATTTTTCGCCATATCCTGTGGAATATGCCTATTGCGATACATTGTACATCTGCGAATTCTGCTTATGTTATTATGTATCTCATAAGCAATTAGAAAGACATCGAGCGAGGTGTCAACTGCATCACCCACCAGGCAACGAGATATATAGACATGGCGAAATTTCCTTTTTTGAGATTGACGGTAGAAAGCAGAAAACCTATTGTCGAAACTTGTGTCTGCTGTCAAAATTATTCTTGGATCATAAAACGCTATACTATGATGTCGACCCCTTCTTGTTCTACTGTATGACGGAAAGAGATGACAAAGGCTATCACTTGATCGGTTATTTCTCAAAAGAAAAAGAATCCTCAGAAAACTATAATGTTGCGTGTATTTTGACACTTCCTCAGTATCAACGTCTCGGTTATGGCAGATTATTGATTGCATTTTCATATGAGTTATCCAAGGCAGAAGGTCGTACCGGGTCACCTGAAAAGCCACTATCTGACTTGGGTCTGTTATCTTACCGAGCATATTGGACAGAAACAATAGTGGAATTCTTATTGCATGCTTCAGATGAAATCACGATTGAAGAAATTTCCCAAAGGACTTCTATTACAACGCAGGATATTTTACATACGCTTCAGAATATTGGCGCTCTGAAATACTACCGTGGCCAACATATCATTTGTTTAGGAGACAAAGTAATTGAACAATGGGAACGAAACCATGAAAAGAAGATTCGCAACAAACGTATCATTGTTCCAGAGAAACTCAATTGGAAGCCAATTCATTTTACACCAGCTCAATTAAGATTCCTATAACTACATCAGTTGTTGTCTTAACTTGAGCATTTAATACCCTAATTTCCTTGATATTATTCTTTTTTTTTTTTTTTTTTTTTTTCTTTCTCATGTAAATACTTTTATTATTGACTGAAGATCCTAACCAAAGCTTAATTATTTTTTACGCTCGCAACATTATACACGGAATTTTTCAATGTGTCGTATAATTTGATTTAATTGAATGAATCATCTTTAAAAAATGTAGAAATGGGTATAGTAGGTATGAAATATTTTTTCTTCTGCTCATGATAACTTGATTCATCACCATGACAATAATAAACCCATCCGAAACTTCATCAACTATGGATGCATTCAAGCTAGATAAAGGTTCAATCGAAACAGAAAGGCCTGCATATGATCTGCTATGTTACTTACGTTGTTATCTTCCTGTACAAAATTAACAGATGTAGATACGACTGATCTTTTGCCTGGCTTTCTTAAGGCTTTGCCAAATCCTATGCAACCACGTACTATCTATTGCGAAGCTGGCTGCTACCGTTCAAAGGAAACAGCAAATATAACATCCACAGATAGTTTAACGAATATGCAAAACCTAACACTAGTTGATCTTCGGCCGCCATACCTACGAGCATTTTCAACCTTATCAACGCCTCGTAATACATCATCCACAAACTTAACGGAATCATCTGTGTGTTCTTTTTCTGCTGCTAGTGATTATTCTTCATCATATGAAGACTTTGACAAAGACTTTTATGATTCACCATCAGCTTATTATAACCACTCCCTCTATCCTTCGTCAGCGCCAGCTTTGAAAAAAAGCAACAGCCTTAATAGGTCTAGCAGTATCCGCATGTTGTTGAACCCACTAATTTCACAGAACAACCATTCTGCGTTTGGTCAGTCATATCCATTAAATGTTACGCCACCCCTCACTTCGTCTTCTTCGCCTTTACCTCGCACGGCTACTGACATGCCCAAAAGAGCCATTGCATATCCATATCAATGTAATTACTGTCAAAAGGCATTTATTAGACCTTCGTCGTTGAAGGTACATATTTATTCACATACAGGTGAAAAACCATTCAGTTGTAGTTTTCCAGGCTGTAAAAGAAGATTTAGTGTACACAGCAACATGAAAAGGCATTTGAGGATCCATTCATCCTGATAAGAATGCTTATCATCTCAAATAAACACTGTTTTGAATAAGTTTTGATTTCTTTAAACTTTGATCTTATTAGTTATGCGGGGATATATTTAACGAAATTGATAGTATGATATCTCCTTGACAATGTAAAAACTGTGTATTTTAAAAAGTTGAAACAACATTTTGGAGGGCCATCTGCAGAATATATTATTTTGTAAAAACTGAGGAATATGTATGAGTTGGCTTGTTGGGCTGCCACTCTCTCTGTAAAATAGAATAGTCGCACGTTTACTTATTTGTTTGTATTTCATTAAATTCAACGGTAAGAATTTAAGCCTCTTACAAACAAAACGTATTAGATTGGCATTTTATGCTGAATTATAACAATAAACTTTTGATTTACCAGGTGCCTGAAATCATCACTTTGGCATTAAAGCTGACAAAGTGCAATACTTCCGATTTCCCATCAGACTGTTGAGCTCCGCAAGAGTCACAAGTGCTTTGCCTGCTTTTATCATATTCAACTGATAACAAAAAAAAAAAAAAAAGCGCTTGAGTCAGCATTTTCACTTTGAAACGTTAGAGTTTTCAATTTTATTTTTACTCCTTTCTTCCCTTGTTTTTCTCTGTAAACATTTGATTCTTCCAAATGGCTGCCGTAACAAAGGAGAATTTTCCACCTATCGGCCATGCTGTATCTGGTTCAGCTGGTGCAATGTTTGCGTCTACTTTAGTATATCCTCTTGACATGTGAGGCATCAAATCGAAATTCTATACAAAAATTTTTTCATTGTCTAATTTTTAAGCGGTTTTTGATCTTGGTCTTATTCAATATCACCAATCATGTATTCATTGAAGCATAAAAACAAGGATACAAGTACAGCAAAGGAATAAAAAAGTGTCCGATTTCAGCAGCAGCATGGAAGACGAACATTATGCCTCAGCTATGGATGGTATTACACAAATCCTGCAAAGAGAAGGACTCTCCGGTCTTTATGCCGGTTTAGGCTCTTCTTTGATTGGAACGGCGTCTACAAATTTTACCTACTTCTACTGTTATTCGTTTTTAAGAGAAAACTATAACAAACGATTTAACCCACGAGGAGGTACGCTATCAACAACTTTGGAATTGGTTTTGGGCGCTGCAGCCGGAGCCCTTACTACGTTGATCACCACACCTGTTTCAGTCATTACTACTCGTCAACAAACATTACCGCCAAATGAAAGACAGGGTATAGTGGAAACAACTAAGACTATCATCAAAGAAGAAGGGATACAAGGTTTGTGGAGAGGAATTCAACCCTCTCTTGTCTTGTGTATCAATCCTGCCATCACATACGGAAGCTTTGAGAAAATCAAGCAGTTTGTACTTGGAGTTTTGAAATTACCATTGACGCCATGGGTCAACTTTTTGGTAGGTGCCTTATCAAAAACACTGGCCACAGTGGTCACCTATCCTTATATTATGGCTAAGGTTCGACTTCAATGGCGCCCATCGAGAGAAATGAAGGATAAAGTGATTGCATATAAAGGATCTTTTGATGTGCTTGCTCGTGTGTTACAAACTGACGGATTCTTTGGCTGGTATAAAGTAAGGTTACAAATTTTAATTGCAGAATCAGTTGTGTTAAGGTATCGTTTCAATAACTTCTTTTTCTGCTTTCCTCAACAGGGTATGAGCACGCAAATCACAAAGGCTGTCTTACAACAAGCGTTACTATTCATGATGAAAGATATCTTTACAAACTATACCGTTTTTGCATTTGCACTCATTAAAGCTGCTCAAAAGAACAAGTCTGCCTAAGAATATGTCATAATAAACTGCTTGGTAGAATTATGCTCTCGTATTTCAATTTTCTTAACACCTCGCAGTTAAAAGTAGTAGTAGCAACAATAGCTTTCATAGCTATTGAGTCTCAAATACACGAAAAAAGGCGAACGATGCCAAGCTTTTCCTTTTGGATTTTCGTTCGTGAGACTAAGATCATCGGATGGAGAAAAGCAGAAAAAGTCTATCTTAAATAGAACTACTGATCAGTATATTTGACATCAGATACAGGAATTTAATGGGGGGGGGGTTTTTTTGCGCGAGTCACCAAGTTGAGAAACATTCGCTTGGCTCAAGTAGTAATAGTTGATGTGAGTTGTATCATGTCTTTTCTGAACCCGCCTGCAATGTTACCCTCAAGCCATTTATGCACATGCTTATTAAACCGATTGACTTCAAATAAACATGTCTTACTGTTGTAAAGAACGGGAAAAATTTGATTCCAAGCAAGGTGTTTACAATATATACGTCAATAATGTGCATCCAGCGATCACTGCTACGATATTTTGATTATATCATTTGTAGATTCCGCTGGTGTTAAAAATAGGTATAATCCATATGATGAATTAGTTCAAGAGGCTTAAAGCGAAAAACCGACAGATATGACGATCATCTTTTCCTTGTGCTGGACTAAAATATTTGTACAACGAAACAAACTTCTTTAAGTCATCCTACACATTTTGCTGTCCGACGGCGCTATATTAGAAAGTAGAAAGTCCTTTGATACCGCAAAAATAGTTCTTGATTAGTATAGTGGATTCTATTTCGATTGTTTATATTATGGTAAGCATGAGTCAGGTGTTATGAGAACGAATCTATTTTTGGCTTTATTCTGTTACATTTATGCCTTAATTGTTATGCTGGCTACGGTTATATGCATAGTCCTGACCAATACGAGAAAGCATCCTGAAGAGAATGAAAGCGAAACTAAAGGTCCAGATCGTCTGCAGTTTACCGAGGATATTCATAGGAAACAATAAATTTAGCTGATGATGGATTCCTTTAGAAACTTATTGAACCGTCTAATAGCATAGTAGCACAAAAAAGATTTGGATGTCTGTGAAGGGGCTCAAAATAGAATGTTCGTTTCCCTGTAGATGAAAAAGTATTTTTGGCATTTGCTTGGCTCTTCCCAAAAAGTATATAGCGTAAACCAAATGTAGGTATCTACTTGCGTCAAAATAAAGGAGACATTTCTACTGATATGCTATAATCCGCCTGGACCATGGTCAAAAAGTTTAAGGAAGCTGGAGAAAAGGATAACTTCCTTACTTCGTTTACTTCTACGTTCAGCCCAGGTAAGTTACGTTCGACTTCTAATTATAGATAATGAAGTGAAGGTTCAGTGCACTGAAGTCTCACAGACTGATATGAGAAGCAGCCAATCAGTTTCTGTGATTACACCTTTTACACAGACAAAAGTAAATGTCAGCTAATAGATGTAACATTTTAATTTTATTGCCAGGTGCGGTAAAGTTTGATTCAGATCATCATTTCGGTGGATCCCCTATTATTATAATAAAGGTTTGTACGAGAGTGACTCCACCTTTCCCCCTACAAATAGAAATACATAAATACCCGTCTCTTTCTTCTCTTTCTATTTGTGTTCCTTTTCAATATATTACCCTCCTTTCTTTTGGGCTCTTTGCGACAAACGTTTCCCTCTTTTGATCCCACTTCTTGTAATATTCATTATAGTCAGTTTTGTTGAAAATGTGGAAGTATCAAGCGTTTCTTGTCTCGCTAGCAAGCACAGCCGTTTTTGCTTCAGTCGATATATCGAAATTCCCTACTAAAACAGATCCTACTCAAGTCACCATACCTAAAATTCCCCAGACAACATCGTATGACGTTGCAACAGAATGCACTTACTACCAGTCTAATTTCACTATCGATAGAACGCAATGGCCCACGATTTGGGATATTGCAACCTCCAACGGCATGAACACTTCAGCTGAATTTATGGCAGTTTACAATTCAATTGATTGGACCAAAGCTCCTACTGCTCCCGTCCGAAAACTTACACCTGCAGGAGGTCTTGATCTGACTGGTTATGATACCGTCAATGATCCTGACTGTTGGTGGTCTGCTACCCAATGTGTTAAGCCAAAGAAAGCCGGTATTAACGCTGATATCTATCAATGTCCAGAACCTAACACTTGGGGTTTGGTAAGTTCAAGTAGAGTATCGATTTTTGCGTATTTCATTGTTACTGATTATCATTTTCTTCTTTCTTCTTCTTCTGCCTTGTCTCCTGAAACTTTCATTTGTATCTGTTCTGCTATCTCCTTTACCTTCATCCTGAATTTATTTTTCTTTGTTCGAATCTTCCCTTTACCCCCTTAAATGCTACCTTATGTTCATAGACTTTCGATGACGGACCTAACTGTTCACACAATGCGTTCTATGACTATCTGCAAACCAACAATCAAAAAGCCTCCATGTTCTATATTGGTTCCAACGTTCTCAACTGGCCTTATGGTGCTCTACGTGGTTTAAAGGATGGTCACCATCTTTGTGGCCACACTTGGTCCCATAAAATGATGACAACCTTAACAAATCAAGAAGTCCTCGCTGAGCTCTATTATACTGCTAAAGCTGTCAAATACGTTACAGGTGTTACTCCTTTGCACTGGCGTCCTGTAGGTTCTTTTTTTTTTTTTTTTTTTTTTGAGCTACCAAATGTCAAATGTCTTGGGCTAAACATCCCTAATTTTCCTTTTATAAATGATAGGCTTTAGGTGACCTTGATGACCGTGTTCGCTGGATCGCTACACAACTCAACATGACTGCTATTCTCTGGAATCTTGATACTGACGATTGGGCTGCTGGAGTTACTCCTGGTATTACAACCGATACTGTAAATCAGAGGTACCTCGATTTCATCCAAATGGGTAAAAATGGTTCTTTTGCAAACTCCGGAAACATTGTGCTCTCTCATGAAATCAACAATATGACTATGGAATTCTTCGTGAAGCATTATCCCGAAATCAAGAAAAACTATAAACATGTTATTGATGTCGCTACCTGCCAAAATATTGCCCACCCTTATCTAGAGAAAGTCATCACATTCCCCAGCTTCGAAGCAAGCACTTCAAAGAATGCAAGCGCCGCCACTGGTTCTGGCGTAGTTCCTGCTGCTACAGGTATCTCTGGTGCTGGTCGCACTGCTTCCAATAATTATAATGGTCCTCTTTTCATCGCTGCTCTATTCGGTTTGCTTTTGGTTGTTGTATAGAACAGAAATGGATTCATCTTAAAAGAAGAGTCACGCTTGAGAAAACGCAAAGATAGTTGTAGTAACTGTTTATTTATAAGGCTTTTAATTCTATCTACCATTATTACCTTTTAATTTATATACATACACACCATTATTCACCCTCATTATATACAATCACAAAAACTCACCACCTTGGCACGTGCCAAAAAAAAAAGTTATATTCCAAATTATAGCTTACCATCTTCATTTTCATGAATTAGATTTTTTTTTCCCCAAAACAATTAATCATTATACAGTAAAAACGCTAAAGTGTTATCTGAATAAAGATTTGATTGTTACAAACTTAGAGGAATTTTTCAATGTCGTGTTTGGAAAAACTATCTTTTACAGTAAAATATAGAAGCGACGGCTTATATCTTCTACAAAGATGGTAAAGTTGGAATCTTGGCGAACCTTTTTTATTCAGAGACAAGAACCAGAGTAATAATCGATCGTCAAGGACTCGATTACAAGAAGCTGAATATTGTGAGTAGTTTAGTGAGGAGATTGCACTTTTTGGCTACCTCAACAGAGTGTAATCGAAGAAATGACACACTTTTATACATCTATGCATAAAGCCCATTAATACTGCGAGAAAACAAGTAAAAGGCTAAATTACTTCTAGAGTCTTTATAACACCGTTCTTATAAGTCAGGAAATAAGTGGATATTGAACAAGTCTGTGATTAGGCATAATTTGAGGATATGTATTCATGTCATATAACTTATATCTTACCGGTTAAATTGAGTAGGAGTATTTGTATGTTTTCAAGAGTAGCTCTCTGATAATAAAGAATAAAATGATCATGCTTAATGGTATGACTAGGTTTTGGTACAAGATATAAACGAAGCTTCAAGCCGTAGCACAGATTTTCGTAAAGTCAACGTACACTGGATTTCAGAAAAATATGAAGTACATGAATAATGTAGATACATTTTGCAATATCAGGTGAGCATTGTTAATTGTAATGAACTTCGACTAGATTTTTGCTATTTTGACCGGGTTTGAGCTACTCGAAATGTTTGTTATACGTCAGAGAAACACGGTTTTGCAGTTTTGGGATATACTTACGGCTCCAAAGCATAAAAAAATCATAGAAAAGAGTTGCTGATGTACAGATTTATCTGTCAAGTAAATATTATTGCATACGAATTGATATTTGCTATCCCGTAAAGGCCTCTTTTGTAAATGATTTCATTAAAGGTGCAGAATAATCTATAATTGAGGTTGTCGTTTAGAACTACGCACTTTGGTCTTAATTTGAGAGTTTCGCTTTCTTACATTGATAAGTATCAATCAATAGACATTTTCATACCTCATAAGCCGTTACGTATTGTAGAATTCAAGCCCTATCGTAGCCTTAACTTATAACTTAAAACTAAGAAATAATTGATTTTTTTCATTTACACAGATTTGTAAATGAACCAAAATTGAAACAACCTTTATCTTTGGCCCTCCTAAGCTAAGTTATGTATAAACAGACAACCATACTCTTTTCCACATCATACATTCGAGTATGTTACTCCCAAAGTCACAGTATTGAAATTATAACACGATCTTCAACTTGAAGCGGCTAAAGAACAGCTATGATAGGTCAATTGAAAGTCCCTCTAAGGTGTTTCTGTTTGATTGGGCAATTATGTGCTTCAAGTTGATTGGCCTAACAAACATACCCTCAAGTCGGCTTCCTTTACACGTAAAAAATTAGATTCCCTTCCTTTCCTACCCTTTCCCATCTTATTGTTAATCTCGACCACCTTCTTTTTTTATTTCCCCTTTTAATACCACTTATATACATATAATCAAAGAAAAGAATGGGTCGTAAGTATATGAGAGTCAAGACAGCCGATAAACAGGGATAACTGGACTAACGTACAACTTTACACCTCAACAGTCAGGATTCTACATCTTGTTCAGCCATTCATGGCTATTCTTCCGGAAATTGCGGCCCCTGATCGCAAGGTAATATTTGAGTCTAGAGCTGCCAAAGTTTTCTGAAATAATCATTTTAGTGATATGGAGAGTTACTTTGGAATGAAAATAAAGGAGCGATGGCAAACGCGCATATGTCAGTGGCCTGAACAATAAGCTTACATGAATATTTTATGACGAATAGGTCCCATTCAATCAAAAAGTTATGTGGACTGCAGTTACATTATTTATTTTCTTGGTCATGTCACAAGTACCTCTTTACGGTATTATGTCTTCTGATTCAGCAGATCCTCTTTTTTGGATGAGAGTTATTCTCGCATCCAATCGTGGTACACTTATGGAATTGGGTATTACGCCCATTGTTACTTCTGGTATGATCATGCAACTTCTTTCCGGTGCAAATATTATTGAAGTGGATTACAGTTTAAAGGAAGATAGAGCTTTATTCAGTGGCGCGCAAAAATGTAAGGACATTTATGCTCGATATGATCTAGGTAGAAGGTTTAAGAAAAGAATTAACTGAGATTGTCATATAATTTTGCTATAATAGTGTTTGCTATGATTATTGCTTTCGGCCATGCTACTGTTTCCGTTTTGACAGGCCTCTATGGTAATCCTAAAGATATAGGCGCTGGTGTTTGTTTGATTTTGATTATCCAACTTGTCGTTGCTTCTTTGATTACCTTATTATTGGATGAATTATTACAAAAGGGCTATGGTCTTGGTTCTGGTATTAACCTTTTTATTGCCACCAACATTTGCGAAAATATCTTCTGGAAGGCTCTTTCTCCTACTACCATGGATACTGGTCGTGGCGATGAATTTGAAGGTGCTCTTATTGCTTTGATTCATCTTTTGATGACACGAAAAGATAAGACTCGTGCTCTTAAAGAAGCCTTTTACCGTACCAACATGCCCAACGTTATGAGTCTGTTATCTACTGCTTCCATTTTCTTGCTCGTTATTTACCTTCAAGGCTTCCGTGTCGAAATACCTGTCAAATCGAATCGTCTTCGTGGTCAACGTGGCTCTTACCCTGTTAAGCTCTTTTATACCTCCAACATGCCCATTATGCTTCAATCTACTTTAACCTCCAACATCTTTATGATCTCTCAAATGCTTTACAAACGTTTTACTGACAACTTCCTTGTTCGTTTGTTGGGTACTTGGGAGAATTTAGATGGAACTTCTCAATTAAATGCTGTCAGCGGTATCGCTTATTACCTTTCTGCTCCCCGTAGTTTCACCGCTGCTCTGTTGGACCCTATCCATACTGTTGTTTATGTTTCTATTATGTTGACTACCACTGCTCTTTTGTCCAAAACATGGATCGAAATCTCCGGTGCTTCCCCTCGTGATGTGGCTCGTCAACTGAAGGATCAAGGTCTCGTCATTGCGGGTTATCGTGATACCTCCATGTATAAGGAATTAAAACGAGTCATTCCTGTCGCCGCTTCTTTCGGTGGTGCCTGCCTTGGTGCTCTGTCTGTTTTTGCTGATATGATCGGTGCTATTGGATCAGGTACTGGTATCCTTCTGTGTGTTTCTATTATTTTCCAATATTTTGAAATGTTTGCTAAGGAACAGATGGATGGTGGAATGAATTTAGAAGGCATGATGGCTCAATAGTTTATAGCCGTTTTTGTTTGTTTTCTCACCTTCGTTAATAGCTATTGTACAATTAAGTGCATGTTATAAACCATTTTTTATATAGTTATTTTTCTCTCTTTCATTTTACTATTATTATTTTTATTATGAAAAATAAAAAAGTTCTAAAAGATTAAAGTGTATAATGTTTCATATCAGTTCTTAAGAGAATACTAATCAAATCATTCTTTTATACATTTGTTCAAAGTCGAGCCGTAGCGGGATTTTTTTAGTTTCTCTTCCAATGATCATTATACTTGCTATGAATCCGATACTTAAAGTAGTGGCAAGACCCTTCTGTATCCAGTTCTTCGTTGACGATGAATTCGACAAGGGCACTCCTGATGCTAATGTGGAAGAGCCTGACTTGTATAGTTTTTCTGGCGATTGTTGGTTACTCTTACTCTTCCTTCGTCTGAAAAGATAGCTGAGCCCGCTTACAAAATGATAAGAAGCTGCTATCCCTAATGTTGTGTGTAATGTATATGTGAATATAGGTTTATTTTGCAATCCCCAAGCGATGTATCCAAAATCGATGAACGAGGAATCCCCATAGTATTGTAATGGTATAGAACGAACGAGGTAGTAGTGAATTCCTACCAGAGGTATTAGTACATAACCAGTCCATCGATGATAAGGCAAGGTATTTGTTGATAATTGTGCAGACGAAGAGTTTTTCTCTGTTGCTTTATCAGTTGATGCTGCTTCTGCTGATGGTGCAGATAACTTTCGGCGTCGCCAATAATAACGTATAGTCAGCTTACTCAAACTAGTAACAACATGAACTACGGCTGATCCTGTCACTAACAAGCCTTCTAAGTGCTCATCTTGGTAAAATGGTCGGCCTAGAATGATCCAACGATTAGCCGATCGCGTGCCGCCAACGTTAGCGACTAACACTTGGGCTCCGTGAATGACGGCAAAAGTAGAAAAAGCAACAGCTGAAGCGTTCTGCGCTTTTGTCAGTAATCTATAGGTCTTCGTTAACAACGAAACAGTCCCTTGTGTAGAGTCGAACAAGCGTTTATCTGGCATAATTCTTCAAAAGAGGTGTATAGGTGCTTCAATGGGTTGTTGAACAAAACAAAAAACAGAAAAAAGCCCGTAAATTGACAATTTACCCCACAGTTTTGTCCGATTTAAGTTCCCTGTAACAAATCTAACTACCAGTTTATGTTGATGCAGCTAGTAACTCAAAAGATTCCTCAATTATTACTAGGTTCAGGCGACTATTTGTATACACTTCCATTATGTTTTCTACCTATTGTTGCCTTATCGTTACGAAATTGGAACTTCCTTGCGTAAGAGTAAATCTGAAAGTATCTGCACTTGTACGTGTCATTCCTAAGGCACTCATTCATGCGTCATACGATATTCAAGTATTTTTAGAGGTTAAGGGATAAAAGACTGCTATCAGGCAATAAAAGTTTTATATTGCGTTTCAAAATTTACAATAATGAGTATCCCATTTTGCTCCCATTTTTAGTTAAGCTCAAGTTGTGAGTTGATTATAAGTTTGCCCTGCTATTTTATCAGATTGTAAGTCCTCCTGTAGTATAGAAGATAAAAAATGGCTTCTGTAGTTGCTTCAAATAGGCGTTTCAAACCGCGTAAACTACTTACAGTTGTCCGACAAAATGCCACTCAGTTTATCGGTCAGAAAGATGCTATAACTGATTGATACTAACAAAAAATATAGCAACAGAGACAACTACAAAAGTAATAATACTACATACAGTACTATCCCTTCTTTGTTGAAGATATATACCACTATTTGAAAACAGTTTCATAAAAACAATCAGCAGCAGCAGCAGCTAATGTGATTTCGTTCACCGCACCAAACCAGCCAGCAGCATTAAAGATTTTAGGGGACGCGTGTTCCGCGAGTAACTCACAGACATAAGTTCTTGAGGAACTTTTATTTTCTTTTCCTTCTATACGTAATCGTTAACAGATTGGCAAATATATTAAATCATGGCAAGAAGATACGATTCCAGAACGACCATCTTTTCACCTGAAGGTTCGCCTTTGTTCAGCTTACTTGAAATGACAGAAAGAGTGATGATTAGTTACTAAAAACTTGCATTCCAACACCATTTTTTCAGGTCGCTTATACCAGGTTGAATATGCTATGGAAGCTATTTCACTCGCTGGCATCACGATTGGTATCCTTGCCAAAGATGGTGTTGTTATTGCTGCAGAGAAGAAGGTTACTTCAAAGCTATTAGAAAAGTCAGTGACAGCCGAGAAGATTTACAAACTCAACGAGTAAGTTAAGGGACTAAATTTACTTAACCTTCTCACAAGAATGGAACATTCACCAATGCTGCGACCCGATTACTGTTAAATCTTTTTAGCAACATTATATGTGGTGTAGCTGGTATCACTTCAGACGCCAACATTTTGATCAATTGGGTCAGAGCCAGTGCACAACGTTATCTATTTTCTTATAATGAAGAAATTCCTGTTGAACAACTAGTTCAAGGAGTCTGTGATTTAAAGCAAGGTTATACACAATACGGTGGTCTACGTCCTTTTGGTGTGAGTTTCATATTTGCAGGTTATGATGAGCATTACGGATTCCAGCTTTATCATTCAGATCCTTCTGGTAATTACGGTGGCTGGAAGGCCACCTGTATTGGTAATAATAACGCAACCGCTCAAAGTATCCTAAAGCAAGACTATAAGGATGGTATGACATTGGAAGAAGCGAAGGCATTGGTGATCAAGGCATTGAGTAAAACTATGGATAGCACAACACTAACAAGCGAAAAACGTAAGTCATAAAAAGAAAATGATACAGTGAATATTGTAAATGCATACTGAGGAACGTTCTTTTATATAGTCGAATTCGCAACTATTCGTTTAGTTGATGGTAAAGTTAAATACGAGCTTTATGAGGCTGATCAAATTGACAAATTATTGGAAGAACAAAAGAACGCTGGAAACACTACAACCGCTGGACCTACAACAATCAGTACTGTCACATCTACTACTATGGAGGAGTAAATAATTAACGTATCATTAAAAAAAAAAAAAAGATATCGAAATAAATATAAACATCATATAGTACATGGCAGACAAACATGATATAATTGAAGTGGTTTAAGCAAGATTTGTTATTGGATTGGGTACAGTTTATAAGCCGCGTATGCGCTTGCGGCAGTGATAATGAAAGAAGACAGCATATTTACTTGATGGTTATCCAATAGAGGAATACCGCTAATGACATTGACATGAGCACTACTTTTATCGTTTACAATTTTCTTTTTGTCCTCTGAATATAGACTTTCTTGTACCGTAGCGCCCAATATAGAATCAACCTGTTGAATAAAATATAGCGTATATGTGTTAGATTCGCAAAACTATAATTACGAGCAACTGTGATCTTACCAGCGAGCCAATCATTCCAGCCATAGAACCGAGAATAATGTACTCGTAAGCAAACCCAAAACAGCTTCTTTGTTCTAGGTATAATGTGAGAGACGTCGCCGCGCCGACGAAAGCTCCACCTGCCAAAGAAGCAATGAACCCCAAGACAGAAACACCGCCGTTTGTTCCTGGTGGTACCTTCTTCAATTTTGTAATAAGAATCGGCCAGGACTTATTTAAGATGCCCAATTCACTGGCCCACTATAAGTATCGAATTATCTTTTACTTAATAGAAAGCAATAATTTTTACCAGTCTCGGTCTGAGCACTTACAGTATCACCTGCACAGCAACCATAATGTCCCACATAAGCCCACAAAAGAATTTTGGTCCATCGATCATTATTCAACTGTAAGCATTTTTCCAAACTGGAAGTATGTTCGTTACTGGTGTTTGAATAATACAAGTATTGGAAAGCTGCAACGGCCAATCCACCCATTAAACCGTTTGCAATTACTTGAATGGCACTTCTTTCGCTTGACTGCTCGTAATCAGCTTCTAGTTGTCTTTTCCTTACCGCTTTGAACTTTGTCAATTTCGAACTGGCTAGAAAAAATGCTAGTAAAACTACTGAAAATACCCAAAGTGGGGCTGAGAACGTTATCATGCCTAGTAAGAAAGCAGTGGCAGCGCCATTGGGGCTTAATGACTTTTTGCGTCTTGCATGAATGACCATGAGACTGGACAAGCCCAACGCAAACAGAATCCGTCCAGTAACAGCGCTTAGCGACATGTCTATTCTTGTACTTTTATATTGTGTGGTAGAAAGGATTTGTCTAGTTGGCAGTGCGACACACTTGTTGAGGCATCTTCGCACTGAATATTTCAGGAACCAGCATTTGAATATTACAAATTTCAAACTGAGACACTGAGTCTCAAGGTTAAGCCATCATCAGGAGCTAGTGGATTGCTATACAAATACTACAAAATAATTCTTTGGATGGAACATTTCATTTTCACTGCTCTGTCAAAGTTACTAAATATGTTATTCTTGAGGTATTTTAAAACAATTACATAGCACGATCGACAAGCTTCCATGGCTTGGATAGCATGCAGCCCGTTTCTTTCCATCCCTCAAACCATTCAGATTTTACCCTCCCGAACATACAACTATTCTTCGACTACACCTAATAACATGATGCGCTTTCAAATAAGTATCAGTTGTAACCATCAGATCATTTGTATCGGACAAAGAAGCAAATAGAAGGGTTATCTCAAAAATGAAAAAAAAGGGAATAGATTATTTTTTTATTTTTTGATACTTCAGTTCGAATGCCTCTTTGTCAAGCACTTCTTTACAAGCTCTAGTATATATATGTTTTGCTTTGAGGAATTTCTTCTGGGAAAGAAGATAACTGAGGTATCCAAGATAAGCACTGTCTTTATCACCATCATCTATGGATATCATTCTGTCGAATATGTATTCTACATTCTCTTGTCCTTGCTTATCACCTGTGCCATATTGATTTTCTATTTCGATACATTTCTGGAAGAAAGCGTAGGTTGGGTAAAAGTTCTTGATAACTTTTTTCATTACTTGTCTGGCTTTCTCAATATTTCCACTACTCGAAGCGGCCCAATCCAGGTAAGCACATTGTATTAAATCTTTGATTGCGTTACGGTCCTCAGTTTGCTGAGTTACAGAAGGCAATAGATATGTCACTTGCTGGCATGCTTTATCAAACATCTCGTCTATTTCTTCTGGTTCTTCTTGCTGTTGTAGATTAGTGATGTAGTCTTTATAAGATGTCCATAATAAGAGTGAATCAGGTATGTTATTCAAAGCTGTATTATACACTTGTAACTTTTCGTCTGAAAGGTTGTCCGGTATTAAAGAGATGCGATCCAACCAAAGTTGAGCTGATGATGATGGGTACACTTTTAAAGCTTCGGTTATTGTTTCCAGTATTGCCTTATTATCGTTCTCTTCTTTCAGAGTCGATTCTATCAAAAACTTTACCCACATTTCGTACAATTTCACTGATAGTTTCTTTTCTTTTCTACAGCGTTTGAATGTCTTTTCAATCAATTTTGAGAGGTACAGTTTGAAATTAGGTTCGCTGACTAAATCGTACCATCCTTTCAAGAACTGTACGTAAGCAAGATATAAGTGACAGTTCACTTCACTTTCCATTGTTGATGTCAAAGCACTTTCAATTTCCATGACACATTTCCTAAAGGCTGGAATAAAGGCTGGATCAGAGAGAGTGAAGTCTTCCAGATGTCGCTTCGCTAAAAATACATAGGCTTCAGCGGCCACCGTTGCATCCTTGAAGGTCTGATTACTGAGATCGGCTTGAATCGTTTCATACACATGTTCAATAAGGGGTGCTGTATCTGAAAAATGTCGGTACAAATCGATGAATTTTTTACGGAATGCCATATCGTCAGGAATAGCCTGAATAGCATTATCATAAACAATTTTTGTCAACAGGCCCTGTAAAATGGGATTGTCCTCTAATTTACTCATTTCCTGATCTGAGAGTTTTTTGTTGTTGGCTTGATCTTTGTTCCAAGCTTCCACGTCTTCACCGGTCACAGCCGGTAAATTAATGGTGCCATCCTCGTCTTCCTCCACATCGTTCTGGCTTGTTGGCTCTTGATTTTTTTGTTGCTCAATACCCAAAACACGTCTTCTTAACTTGATCTTTTCGACATAGACAAGCTCTAACTTGAAATACTGTATCCATAATTGCTGATTTTCTGGCATAAGTCGAATGGCACGTTGTAACAAAATTCGAGCGGCAGCTACATTGGAGTTATGTTCGTATTCCCACATTGCGGCCATAATCCATAGTGATGCATTCGTAGGATGGTACTGAATAGCTCTAATAAGCGAAGCAGTGTTCATCAGCATCATTCAACAAGCGCCGCTCACACACACATTTAAGAATACTTACTGTACAAATACTTGGGATACGATATTGTTGGCATTATGCTGTCGCGCATAGTCGATATATTGTAGCCATAAAGATACGTCGTGTCGGAATCTGATAGTGGCACGTTTGAACAAGTCGTAAATTCTCTTTTGAATAGAGTACCGCAGTTTGCCAAAGCTATCTTGAATGCCTAGTAGTATACAAGGGAAAATGAAAGAGCAAAAGTCAATAAATAAAAGTAACAGATCTGGTAGTGTGTCATTGCTTAATGAGGTACCTAAATCTACAATTCTGATTTGAAGGCTTTTGTCTAAACCCATTTCATATTCGAGGTATCGTAGAAAATCAATCTTTCTTGTAGGTCTTGACTTTAAAGCCTGTTCAAAGCCATCTCTCTTCTTGATGATTTTTTTGATTTCAGCCTACACAAAATAAAAGATGCACAACGAATTAAAAAAACATCCATTCATCGATGAGACTTTCAAAAAAGAGATTCTCATACATGATCAAAAACTTGTTTCTCCCGAAGCTTTTCGAGGTCATCTATCATACGCTCGCGGAAATATTCAATTTGTTCAGCCATTTTGTTATTATGTGATTCACTCTTGTTTGAACAGAAAGTTAGACTGAAGACGGATACAATAAATTAAATGCCCATTATTTTATCGTGACTCCACGGACTAAGCCACTCGAGGTATATATCTATTGCATGAATTTAATGTTATAAAAGAAAAAAAAAAAAAAAAAAGGCCCAACAGGCCTTTCTCTCTTTGAGGGAGTTGTTGAACTATAAAGATAATAGTGAAATACTGATTAAACTAATCCTAATCTCTTTCCAAAATGGAGACAAACAGCGGTATATATGGCCATTCCTGCCAAAATCCACCAAAAATAGCTGTCATCCGAATGGCCTTTGCCAGGCACATAAACATTCATGCCCCACAAACTGCCAATGATGGTTAAGGGAATAAAGACTGTTGCTAGAAATGTTAAGCGGTTCATCACACTGTTTGTTCGATTGTACGTCTCAATCAATTCCAAGTTGACTTGCGCCAGATAATTGGTATGAGCTCTATGAAGGATCCGATCGTAGTGGTTGATATTTTGTATCATGGTCACGACGTGGTCTTGAATGTCGCTCAGATAAAGTAAGACATCTGAGAAGGGGAACTGCTCAAGGAGTTGTTGATACTGCAATTGTAAGTCAAGGTCAGATTGCTGATGTTGCTGTGCTAACTGTTGCTGTTGTATCTTTTGCTCTTTGATCTTTTCCTGATATCTCTTTTTCAGACTCTTAATGACATCTATTTTCGATCCCAACAATCTTGCTACTTGAGTGGATTTTTTACGACATCGACTAATACGTTTCAACATATCCGCTCGATCTGCCTTTCGTAAAACTAACGATAACTCGTCAATGCTTACTGCTTCCATTTCGACTTCCAATATAATCGGGGCAAAACTATCCGTGATCGCATCAATCAACGCATAATTCATCCAGTCCGGCGTCATATCCATATAGCTTTTGAGCTGATCGCATCGCTCCCGTACCGTATCACAATGAGGGGAGGGTTGAAAATGAAAGGTGACAAGACCTTCTTTGAAAATCAAAATGTAAAAGTTGAAAGGTTTGATCAATTCGGAAATAGGGTCGACGTCAAAGGCTCGAAAACAAACGAATGTGTAGTGAGGGAAGAGTTCTACTTTCTCTCGCTGTTCCTGTACTTGAATATCTTCAGTGGTCAGGGGATGGATGCGGAATGTTTTACTAATGACTTCCAGCTCTTTTGGTGTAGGATTCGAGCAATCCATCCACCAGCAGCCTGTCTTTGTAATAGCCGTGGTGGCAGTAGCCGTCGTCGTCGTCGCCGTGTTGGGGTGACTCTCAGGTGAGGAGGCAGCAGAAAGGGATACATCTTCGATCAATAACCCTTGCTGCTTTAGCAATTGCTCTCGCCGTTCACTTTCTTGCTTTTTCTTCTTACTGGTAGTCGTGGTTTGCCCAATGATAGTTTCTAATGCTTTTTGACCCTCTTCGTTCAACAGTTCATCCAATTGGATCAAACCAAGTTCAGAGGAAAACAATTGAAAACGCTTCGTTTTGGAGGTGGGCGGCAGTAAACTCGTCGGTCGCTTTGTTGTGAGGGTTTCCGATGGAAGAACAGGAGAAAGAGGTGTGAAGGGTGGTGGAAGTGGCATGGAGGGAGGCCTTGCGCCATCATAGTCTAACAGACTTGTTGCACTGATCATAGGCTTTGGTTGCTGTTGCTGTTGGGAAACCCCTTGAATGCCAGATGAGCTGCTGACAAATTGTCCAAATGTCTCAAAGTCAACCTGATCACTGTCTGTTCCATTCGTAGCGGTTTTTCTCGTGTTTTCGGCCGTAAAGGGAAAGTTTCGAGGATAAAGAACATCACTTTGTATTTCATTGGCATCCGCAGGATGCTGGCCATCGATGTGTTCTCGTAAAGAGTCTTCTGTAAAGAAACTATGATAACTACTTTTTCGTCTGTGTAAGTCGTGGGCTGTGGCGGCAGTGTTAGGAAGTTGAGAGCCAGTGGCAGTAGCAGAAGGTGCTCCTGAGCGATGAGAGCTGGTTGTGGAGGAGATGCGATAAAGGGGTAGATAGTTGGGATGTTCTTGGATATCGGGTGTCGAAGCGAAGTAGTTATTGTTGTCGTTATGAGAGTCAGCAGGGTTAGATGTAAGACCCGTTAATGAACGTATGGATGGAAGGGTGCCTCTTCGGCGAACAGATGACATTTCTTTCACTGACTTTTTAGTATGTGTATGGTAGATGGGGATATATAGATAGTATATGAAAGGAAGACAGGGCTAATACCATTGGATGTTAAGGATTCAAGTGGCTGGATCACGAAATGAACAAAATGATATTGGAGTTTGTCGGTTTTATTATTTCGATCCATATCCCCCATTTTTTTCTTTTTTTTTTTTCTATTTTTTTTCTTTTTTGCTTTTTAAGAATTAAAATGCAACGCGTGGTTTTCCCGCACTTGTTTCTCTGCTACTCCATTCATTTTGCTTCAATAAAAAAAAATGGCTGAAGAGGAAGCTTTCCAACCTTTGAAAAGGAAAAGGATCACAACCGACATTTTGTCAACCGGATCCATCAACTTTGCAGGACCTCATCAACGTGAAGGTAGCCACTTTTTTTAACAGTTCCAATAGTGTAATGAGCTCTTTTCTAATGGCCTAGTAATACTCATTTTGCTCTACAAGATAAAATAAAAAAGTTGGAGGAACTTGTAGAGAAAGTCAAGCATGAAAACTTGATCTTAAAAACAGACTTGGAAGCGAAAGAAATCAGCTATAAATTGGATTTGGAGTTCAAAGGAAAAGAAATTGATAAGCTTCTCCACAACAACAGAGTAATCTATCCTTGAGCGAAAGCAGATAACTGAACATACGCTTCATAAGCTAATTGAGCTGTGTTCTTTTTTTTCTCAGTATCTCGAAGAGCAGTTAGTGCTCCAAAGCAGTCGGTATGACGAAGCCAAAGAGACTTTAGCTAAATTTAAAGAAAAGCATATCGATGAAATGGTATGTTTGAAAAAAACGAGCAACAAAGTGGTGATATCGATTTATTTTGTTGAACACATGTGTAATACTTTTCTCTTCATGGTTTGAATGAGTAGAAAAATGTGACCGACGCCTTGGGGCAAGAAAGAGATAAAATAGCAAAGCTTGAACGAACAGTGAAAGAGCAAACATTGATGCTACAAACGACCCAGGATGAATTTACCGCAACAAAAAACGAACTAAATAGCAATATGGAACTATTAGAGAAGAGCAATGCTGATTTAAACAAATCTGTAAGGTTTCGATCCCACTAATTTGTTGCTTTCTGATCTAGTACAGCGAGAGTAACCGTTATCATGAATTCATATTATAGCTTGAAGAAAAGTCAAAGAAAGTCATCGAGACGCTTCAACATGAGCAACAGTTACTGGAGGAAATCCGTGCGCTAAAGAGAAAAATACATGATCGAGACGATAGATACCCTTACGCTAGCAGCAGTAATAGTAGTACTAGCAGTAGCCATAATGACAATGATAACGAAGCAAAGGTGAAAATGATTATGCAAGATTATTATCGTAAGTTTGCAACGATCAGAGTAGAGTAGGGTCGTCCAAAAAATGCCATGCCAACACAGTTCTACCCTTCCCCCCCCCCTTCGTAGATGTCTCTGCTCGTTTGATGAAGATCGAAGATGAAAAGAAAAAGTTGGAGAAAGACTTGAATTACTATAAACGTATCAACCAGAATATTGAATTACTTCGAGAGGAAAAACAAAGCCTTGCTCACAGAGTGAAAGAGATGGACACGATCCGTGAGCGTAACTTTGTACTAGAAACCGAAAACATGAAATTAAAAGCTGAGCATGATGCATGGGCCTGTTATCTTGCCAACAGTAACAATACAACCTACAATGCGCGAACACCTGAAAGTATCATTTATCAACTGACGAAAGAAATAGAGGAGTACAAGTACTATCAATTAGTGGCTGAGCAATACAAAGAGGAATTAAAGGATCAGCTCAATGCTGTCCATACAATGGAGCAACATCTGGACGAGATGAAGCAAAAAATGCTGGAATACCAACAGTTACGTGCAAAAGATGAAGCCGCTCAGCATCTTTGGAAACAGAATGAAGATACCCTGAAGACGCATATTCAAATTCTGGAAAGTCAGCTAAAGATGTATGACAGTGCTACTTCATTAGAAGCAACTACAGACCAACAGCAGGACAGTAGTACTACCTTCGATGACCTCAAAACAAAGCGAATTCAGGAACTCGAAGCACTTCTCAAGCAATTAGAGGACAAATTGACCACTCAAACGCAACAATTTTCTGAACAGATATTACAAGTCGCCAGTAATGATACCACTACCGCTATGCCAGGGCCTTACGAATCTCTGGCTTCAGGCGCACGTCTGACAGAAGTGTTGACTCAACTTCAAAAGAAAGAAGAAGCTCGTTTGATAGAATTGAAAGAGACTCAAACCCAACAGAAACTATTGGAAAAGAAATACAAAGCAACAAAGGAACAACTAGACGAGCTACATAGAACAATTGAGAAGAGAAAACAATTGGAAGCTTTCACAGCGGCTCCTGCTGTTGCGACTGCTGCTGCTGCTGCTGCTGCTGCGACTGGAAAAGAAGAGAGTGCTGAACAGCAAGTTACCTTTGAGGATAAGGAGATTGACCCAGATACCCAAGGATTCAAGACTGTAAAAATCATGTATTGTAAGGATAGCCCTTCAGCACAATTGAAAGCGATTCGTCATAGTACATTGGAACGATTAAGAAAGGAGAATAAGGATCTTTTGGTACAAATTCTTCAGCAACAAGAGCAACAGCAGCAAGGGCATGAGCAAGAGTGTGAGACAATTTCTATTCCTCAAAGTACTTTGGCGAACCTTCAAAAAGACATTGATGAACTTCAACAAATGATACAAAAGAAAGATAAACGACTTGCTCGTGTCCAAAGTGTATGGGCGAGTCGATTGGAAGACGTCCGTCAGCTTGTGAGTAAACTTTTAGGTTACGACATTGTGATTCTTGGTGAAGCCTACAATCTGGTCAAATTGATTCCTATCAGCCCTTGTATCCACAGTGCGTCCGAATTACATTTCGCCATTAAACGAGAAAGAAAAGACAATGCGTCGATCGCTACAGCAGGTCATCCACAACAGCGAAAGCACGTTGAGGGTACGATTGAAGACGAGCATTATCGTTACATTCTGCGCATTGTAGGAACCGAAAAGGAGAAATGGATGAATCACAATTTGAGGAATCTTTTCACGCGTTTTATTGCTGAACAGCGGAATATTCCCGTCTTCTTGAGTCATGTCACGAATGAGCTGGCAGTGGAAGCGCGACTTTTGGAGGACACAGAAGGAGACTATGATCCTGAGTTAGAAGACGAAGACATGGACCATGGCACATCATTCTTAGAACAAGCACAGGATGGTTATCAGTACGACCAAGATATGCTGGAAAACGAGGTGACTGAAATGTACCAAGACCAACAAGATCAAGCTCTAGAGGAGGAGGAGGAGAATAGGATGGATAAGGAAGAAAGCAACAACGAAGCTTATACAGAAGGCTATGAAAACAACAACGGATTGTATTTGAATGCAGAACAGCAACAACAGCTGAACCAATTACAACAGCAGCTTCAACAATTCAATCAACAAGGCCTGCAGAGTCATGGTCCGGAACAATCTCAATTGAGTGGATTTGGACAAACAGAGAACACGGAAGTAGTAGAAGAGGAGGACTATGATTACGATGAGAACAATGAATATGATCGTGTTCAAGAAGATGCTTATGATGAAAATGAATATATCAATCAAGAAACAGAGTATATGGAGGACAATGAAGACCATACGATGGAAGAAAGTTATGATGAAGAAGAAAGCTATGCCAGTTATGACGAAGAGGGGGATAATGATCGACATTACGAACAATCTCAGAACCGTGTTCAGGGCGGACATAGTCATGATGAACCCTTATTGATTGATGATTCTTCTGATGACGGAATGAACGAACAGGAAGAAGCACAAGAAGCACAAGAAGAAGAAGAAGAAGCAAAAGAGGATCAAGAAGAAAGCTTTCTTATTGTGAATGAGAGTGATGACAATAATGAAGAGAACGAAGATCAAGTCCATTCTGCAGAAGAAGAAGAAGAGTCGGAAACAGAATATGGACAACTCACAGAAGAGGGCTATCTTCGACAAGATGAACCTGTCATTGCAGGAGATCCCTCCGATGTGAGCAGTGATCACGACGGAAACGAGGATGAAGAAGAGGAGGGTGAAGGACAACAGCATGAACATAACGAAAAAACGTCTATTACTGAAAGTGACTTGGTGACTGAAAATGATGACGAAGGTGAAGATGAGTTAGAAGAGGATATGGCAGAGGAATCAGCGATAGATGAGAATGAGCACGAACAGGCACCTTCGCAAGAAACACATACAGACGTTACTGAAATAGCTAGTCATGAAGATGTTGAAGAAGAAGCGATAGAAACACCCATGGAAGAAGATGATGGTCAACCTGAACAAATTCAGGAATCACCAAGCGATACAAATGAAGTGATGGAGGAGAAGGAGGAAAACAGTGATATTTCTAGAATAGTAGATGTCGTTTCTCATGGTATTGCGGCATACCATAAGCAGAATGAAGAAAAAGCTGCGGCTGCGGCTGCTGCTTCAGATACGATCAAGGATGAGAGCGCTGATCTAGATGCTATTGATGATCCTGCGAGCGATGAATCTACTGTAAAGCAAGCCATTTTTGGCAATGATAACGATACAGTGATGATGGATGAAAGTGACGTTCCTCACGACAATACATCACCTGTTATAATTGACAAAGAAGAAGTATCTGCCAGCACGACCATCACAACTACCATTACCGTCACTGAAGAGAGCACAGTGGAATCATCCTCTAAGGATCACAGCAACGATGTTGTTGTTGATGATGATGATGATGATGATGATGATGATGATAATGCATCTGTAAAACCAGACGAAACTGTAAATAACCCTGTCGTAGTTATTCATAAGGAAGCAAGAGCCGTAGAGAGTCTTGCAGAAGATCCTAATGAAGCCCAGTCAGAAGCTATGGAATAAGACTATTCTCTGTATATTTTACAAAATTCTTTGGATGCTGAAAAGACGTTATTGAGTTTATGCTCTATTATTTATTCCTATACTCACTCATTCATGCATTTTTTAATTGTTCAGTGTATAAAACATAACGAAAATTGTGTAACATGTCACGTATCGAAAAGATAGATTTGCACCATCTTTTTTAAGGTGATTTATTGGGTTAGTTTTTTCTTTTTTAGATCAAAACAGAGCTAAAACATTTTCTGCGAACTTTGCAGTGGCTCATAATGATTTTTTACTTGATTCATGCAAATCAGAAAAAGTATAAAGAAAGCCCCCACCTTCTGATTTCAGACACAGCAATGAAAGGGTGCAGTTTCGACCTTGATTTCAAAAAATGACCAGTAGAAAACACGTTTGAGAAAACCTGTTTAAACGATGAACAAGCTTTATGGTTGCTTTTCTCTATGTGTAATCTTACAACTTCAAATTCGACATGTCACAGGGCCATTTTTGTTGTAATGCAAAGTTTTTGAAAAGAGTATTCTTTATCCGATTGGATTTGGAGGGTAATAAGGATTCTGAACCCTATGATTGGTTACTTTCTCGACCTTGAACGTACACAAAACAACTCCTTTTTTTTAGCATTGTCGTTTTTTATTGTAACCTGAAAAAAAAAAGCCAATTCTTTTAGCTGCCTTTTTTTTTTTACTCTTTTCTACGCTTTTATCAGTGCTCTTTTTTTTCGGTCGTCTTAACCGCTACTATTTTTTTTATATATATACAGTTTTGTTTCTTTTTTGAACGCATAGGTGCATAGTATATACATGACTACTTCTTTTACTACGAATGGCATGAGTGGGGCTGGTTCCTCACTCTTGCTAGAGACGACACAACGATTTCTCGAGCAAGACAATAGGAGTCTTGTCAGCAAACGACACAGTCGATCGTTGGACCTTCCTGACACCCTGAGGACAGTTGCCACTGGCTCACGTACAAGTGCGATGATACCGTCTTCAACTCCGCCTATGTGCACGACGCCTTTGACGAGTGGATCAAGTACGATGAAACATCAACGATCAGCTTCAGAGAGTGACTTTAAAAACCATATGAAGAAATCAGGACAGCAGGATCCGAACAGTCATAGTATGGCTAGTCCTTCTCCTAGCACGACCACTGTACCTCCTCTTCCTTTAGCCTCTCCGCCTACTGACAGCCATCATTATAATAATATCTTTAAAAGTTATCGTAAAAAGTTGGCAAGGACTTCTATTGGTTCCGCTTTTTCGATCAATTTTAATATGAAACAGCAAAATGCCAACAAATATGCCAATCATGGTACGTCTTGAGTACCATTTTGCCAGTGTCGCATTTCACTGAATCTATTTTTTTTTTTTTTTTTTGGGTAGGTTTAGAAACGAGTAGTTCAATAGGCATTATTGAAGAAAAGGAGGAGCATCGACCATCACGAAAACAACAACAACAACAACAACAACAACAGCAGCAATGTAAACAACAACAAAAGAGCAGCAATCTTCTGCAGGAACAGAAGAATAATACGAGTTTAGAAAAGTAAGCATACAAACATGCATATCCATATATGTGTTTATCCTTCGCACCTACCCCTCTCCTTCCCCGTATACAATATACATATTATGTATTTATAGACAAACCTCCTATAAACTCGTGGTTTGATGGAATCATTGATTGATTTATTTATTTACATTTCATTTAGACGATCTCTACCGACCAATCTTAAAGACGATATCAACCAATTTGCCATTGAAGGATTCGCTCGAAAATATTTTGCAACGCATAAAAAGGGGCTGTTATTATTTAAGCGTACGATACCCAGAAATGAACTGTTATGTTGGACAAAGGACAACCTCAAACAGCCCCTCATTCTTAACCCGACGGTTTCCAACAGCCATAAAAAGGATGCTTTGAGATGCTTCAAGATTCTGCAAATGCTCATGAAAGACCGACCTCGACCGCGGCAATTTAACGCTATCACCAGCTGTCAAGAATTGCTCAACTACGGTATCACGAGGGGTCCATTACGAGACGAGATTTATGTTCAAATATGTCGGCAGCTCAACCATAATCCTCGTCCAGAGAGTCGTCGATTAGGCTGGGTGATCTTCTGCGTCCTTTGTATTAGCTTTCCGCCTTCCAAGAATTTGGAGAGCTATCTGTATCGATTCGTTGAGCAGCAACAAAAGGAACAGCGCCACCACGAGGACGACAACGACAACGACAACGACAACGACAACGACAACAACAACGACGGCGTTGGCGACGGCGTTGGCAACGGCGACCACGATGATAACAGCAAAAAGGAAAATGATATTGTGATTTTGACAGAATATGTACAACACAAACTGAAGAGAATATGCGAACGAGGAGCACGAGGCAAAGTACTGGCGGAAGCAGAGATTGAAAGGGCCATGATAGCTCCTTTCAAACCGTCTGTTTTCGGTGAATCTTTGGACACCATTATGGAATTAAACGCGCCATGGCAAGACCTTAAGATACCCAAAATTGTTCATTTTCTGACAGAAAGCGTCTATGAGTTCAATGGTATTATGACAGAAGGCATTTTTCGTATACCTGGTGATGCAGACGCCGTCACTGATTTGGTAAAGTGGGACATCTCTTCCCCCCCCCCTTTTTTTTATGGTCACATAAGTGGGGACGATGCCAGTACTAAAGTTTGATTTTTTTGGTTTGTATCCCATCCTTTAGCGTATTCGTATTGAAAATGGTCACTATGACGCTACCGGTGTTCATGATCCTCACGTTCCTGCTTCTTTATTGAAATTCTGGCTACGAGATTTGGCAGAGCCTTTGATTCCCTCTGAATATTACCATGATTGTATTGAATTTGCGCAAAACAAGGATAAATTGTTGGATTTGGTAAATTCCTTACCCGATATCAATCGACGCATCACCTTGTATATGATTCGATTTCTGCAGGTATGGATCATGGAGCGGGGCATGATGAAAAGGATGCCATAGACAGAGAAACAAAGCAGTGGAAAAAACTAATTGAATTGCCATGTGTAGGATTTTGCTGAAGCGGAGGTCATTGAAAAGACACGTATGAACGTATTTAATCTGGCTATGGTATTTGCTCCCAACTTTTTAAGATGTCCTTCAGCGAACTTGACAACGATTTTCGAGAATTCAAAATATGAACAAGCCTTTTTGAAAACACTGATCACGGTTCTCGATATTGATAAACAGCAATGCCTCTACCATAGTGATGAAGTGTATGCCAAACTGAAGAAGCAATAATGATAGAGGAGCGGGGCCTTTCTTACTATCATGGTATCCATTTCGTTCATTTTTACAATCTACCATCCAGTCATTTTCTTTTTTTTTTTTTTCCTCTACTACTATCTTTCGACCTACATACAGACATATATACTTTACAAACTTACTTACTTACTTACATAGCGTTACCTTATATTCTATTCTATTATATCCTATCCTATTCCAATTGCATCTTTGTCTTTTTCTAATTATATTATCGTTCTTTCTGTCAGTTATCCTCTTTCTATTTCCAACAAGTCGAAACAAAAGAAAGAAAAATTTCTAAATGCACAATAGCTTGTTTGAATTGAATAGTGGGGTTGTTGAATGAGCATGGCCCATCAATGAATTTTGGTTTTGTGTTCCCACAACGTCTCGCTCTCCCTCATCCGCGGGATAGGAGCTTCTTTTCTAAGAGGAAAAAAAGGGGAATTCAATTTTGATTGTTCGTCCCGCGGGGCGTCTCTATATAAGAAAAAGTTCTCCCTTTTCTCTTTGGCCCTTTCTTTATTTTTTCTCCAAAGTATAGCTTGAATATGACTTTTCCATCCGATCTCACTCTTTTTGACGACTCCTTGCTGGACCCTCAAGTACAGGCAGCCTTACCTGATGGTTATACGTTGAGAGCTTTACGTTCAAAGGATTATGAAAGAGGCTTTCTTGACGTATTAAAGGTTTTGACAGAAGTGGGACATCAAACAGAGCAGGAATTTTTAGGTAAAAAAGAGCCAAAGAAATGGGAAACGTTGCTTTCTATCCTGTTGTGACCCTTTCTAAATGAAATAATAAAACAGACCGTTTTATGTACATGTACAAGCATAATGATCAATGTAAGGCAGCATTTTTGCGTTTTTTTGTTTTTTTTTTTCTTTTATTTATAAACAGGATACCTTCCAACATCGGGCTAACCCTCTCTTCATGGATTAGACCATACGATCACCATCTCTGACAAGAACGATAAAATCGTTGCTGTCGGCACCATTCTCGTCGAGAGAAAGTTTGTTCACCATAATGGCTTGGTAGGTCATATTGAAGATATAGCCGTGGATCAACATCAACAAGGCAAGAAATTAGGACTAAGAATCATCCAAGCTCTTAAATACATTGGTGCTCGACGTGGATGCTACAAAGGTAATTTTAAAATCATCTCGGCAATGTTACACGGCGCAAACAGAGGAATTCCATGCGTTGCTGATGCCTTCTTTCTTTTTTTTTCAAAAAAAGTCATCTTGGATTGTTCAGAAAAGAATGTACCGTTTTACCAAAAGTGTGGATTTCAACAAAAGGAGGTTGAAATGGCATGGTATGTGCCTCAAGAAAAGGCACGCTTATAATCTCTGCTGTAGTGTTATCCATCCTCATACTGTTGTAGTCATGTAGAATAAATAAACATACCCCGCTATACTATTGTGAAACGTAATGACATCGACGTTTCTGCATAAACTCATATCTACACTCTTCATTGATAGACCATGATCTTTTGAGAGACATAGCGGACCCGGTTTCTTTAGAACGCGGGTCACGCATTTCTTAAAATCCATATCACAGGAGATCGATTGGCCATAAAAAAGAAACGCGGTAACTGATGGGGATGTTTATTTCATTAAAAAAAAAGTAAATAGTAGAGTGAATGTCTATGGTGTTCTCATGGATAAGATACCTTGCTCAGTTGATCTAAAATAATGGGATACGTAGTGATATGATTATCATGGCCCCAAATGGTATCCATGTGTTCATATCCTTCTAATCTCTCGACATGAACTAAATCTAACATAGGGAAGGGGTTACATGTTTGAACCTTCTCCACAAATTTTTGGCCATCTACTAAATAGTCTGCCGTTCCATAGAAAACCACTAAAGGCAATTTTCTCTTGCTACCCACTGCTGACAAAGGTAATGGCATGCTGGAGACAGTGGTCGTCGTCATCGATGTGGCCCTGTAGCCATCTTGTTGTTGTTGTGGTGGTGGTGGTGGTGGTGGTGATTGAACATATAATAGTACGCCTTGACGTCCCCATCCAGAAATCCAATCTGAAATCAGGCGGACACTCACCGGCCGCGGGGTAAACTGAAAATACTTGGCTTTTCTTCTACGTAACCAATGATGGTCCCACCAATTGAACAAATACGAAAACATGCTGTAAGCCATAAAGCAGAAAATCTTGGGTCCTATGATCTGTTGAGCCACCGACATGATGGGTAAAAAGCAACCGTTGCCTAACGAAGTGAAAAAGGGTTTTAGACACACACATGCACACACACACACACACACACACCCTAAGCTTTTCATTTTCTTACCAAATAATAACGTATAAAACCAATCGTTCAACCCGATAAGTAAACTTAGAGGAAAGTTTCTAAAATGCACAAAAAAAAATAAAAGTAAAATGAGCCTCTCTCTTCCTTCTCACATCCATTTTCTGTCCATACTTTACTTGACAAGTTCTCCGGCATACACAGCAGGCGCTAAAGCGATGAAACAACTCAGGCTATCTGCAATTTCAGGACACAACGAAAGAGCAACAAAAGCCTGAGCATTTCCCTGAGAATGGCCGATATACGCGACCTTGTCCACTTGACTATGCACCTTGACGTGGTCCACCATGGAGCAAAAGTCGTACACACCCAATTCTTTGAGGCCCCAATTCCAATATTCATGGTCTTTATGGGAGAGTGAGATATGGCCGAATCCTGCAATCGAACGGTTGTTCCCCACCCAGACGTCATAGCCTGCATCCACAAGCATAAAGGCAAGTGATTTTTCTTCGTTTAACACAAATGCGCCTGAGCATTGGAATAAACCATGACCAAGAAGTACAGGAGGTTTTTTCTTGGTATCCTTTGCACCTATTCCATAGGAGTGAATTTAGCCTCTCGCTCTCTTTTTCTAAACTCACTAAATTCTTGATAAAAAAAAAAAAAATGGCATGCCTTGAAAAAGTTTCGAGATTTACCTTGAGAAGGCTCTGGTGGACCTTTTTTATAGATGCGATGCATTTTCAATATATATCCATCGGGTGTCAAGACTTGATGTGTATCACATGCATAGCCCCAGCGTCGAATATAGTAGGTTTCGTCCTGTGATAAGAGCTCATCGAGCGCCTCTTTTTTCTCGTCCATCGAATGATGTCGTTGATCGCCTGATGATTGTAGGTGAAGCACCGTGGTTTTATAGATGGCTACACTGACAAGAAGAGCGAGTATCGGTAAAGAGAGTAAGCTAGAGATAAAAGATCGCATCGTAAGCAGGAATTTGTCCACAAGCCTTCTTTGGATACGCTTGACGCTAGGGTTTTCGATGTCGTGAGGGACCGTGGTGGTGGCGAATGCCTGTGTTCGATAGGCATCTTTGAGATCGAAGCATGGTGGCAAAGGCTTGCTGTTGCTGCTGTTGCTGCTGTTGCTGCTGCTGTTATGTTTACTACTGTCATTGTAACCAAGATGATTGGCAGAAGTGGCAGTATATTGTGCTGTATAGATGATATCCTTGAAAAGCTTGTTATTGTCAATTAAGCATGATGTAACATCGTCTGTTAGAGCCATGTTGCTCACAGTGAATTAGCAAAAAGCAAAGAATTGGAAAAGAAGCCTTCAAATGGTAAGCTGCAAAAGAAAATATGTATACTGTTGGGAAAAAAAAAAAAAAAGTTGCGAAAATTGCGATTTTTTTTTTTTCTTGATCTGATTCAAGTGAGCAGAAACACCAACACGCATTGACAGAAAAACTAGGTTGGAGGATTCCATTTTTAGAAACTTAGAACCCCGCACAAAAGCTACTGTACAATGTCGATTGAAACCCCGATGGTTGGGATGAACCAAGGATCACATTTGAGATTCCACAAATCAAAAATCAAGCCTTTCCAATGACTTATTTGTATGGACATTTTTAAAAAATAAACAACCTTGTATGAGAGCCTTCCATTTGTCAAAGCGTCCGAGAGAGCTACAGCATAACAATGGCCAAGCTCTCATGATATCAAAAAAGAACGTGACAAAACCGAACATAGGCTAAAACGAGGAATGGATGAGGCGTCGTATTGTTTCCTCTTTCACTGAGCTGATGAACAGCAGTGTGGAGCTATCAGTTATCTGTAGAATGCAGTACTAGTATATGAGAACGCCTTTTGAACAAACGCTTCAAATTTATCGCTGCCACGCGTTCAGTTACAAGCAGGTAATGTTATTTTTCGCCGTATTGAACACGGTTTCTCTTTTCTAAAGAGATTGAGATAGTTACAGGTAACCAACCTTGATTTCGGCACTCACTCTTTCTAGGTTTTTTTGTTTCTCCTTCCCGATAGGCTAAAAATAAATTCTTTCAATTCATCCGGAAAAATTGTCCCAAATTATAAGCTTAAAAATGGTGATTTGGAGCTTATGTAAATCTTTTTTTCTTTTAATTATAAAGTAAAAAAAGGACCTTCCCCTTTTCTTTTCTTTTTTTTTTTTTTTTTCGTTATCCACCATGACGCCTACTGACAGTTACTCGCCTACCTCTTTACCAGCACCTGGCAAAATTATTATACATGACTACCGTTCAAAAGATACACCTGTTGTTATTCCCGACTCGTTAAAGATCTTACAGTGGAATGTAGAACGGAATTATGGTAACTGATGATGCTTTTCCCTCAAAGTATTAGAGAAAACATGAGAAAAAAAATTGGCAATCGAGAACCTGGTCACTCACATTGAATTTTTCCCGCACGCGTTTGCCTTTTTTTTTTCCAACAAAACATAGAGTCAGAAGCCATCATCAAGACCATACAAGATTTAGATCCGGATGTGATTCTATTGCAAGAAGTAGATATATTTGTGAAACGATCAGGCCATCGAGATCATATGAAAGAGCTATGTCAGTCATTAAAGTTATTGGGAGGATTTGTTTGTGAATTTCATGAATTGGATAGTCCTGTCCGTAGGCTACGGGATGCTGTAAGTTTAGGGGCGGGTTGTCTTTAAAAACAAAAAACAAACAAACAAACAAACCCCATGGTTGCGAAGGAGAACGACGGTAATGACATTGATTCCTATCGCATGGTTTATAGGGCGGTGGAATGCATGGCAATGCCATCTTGTCAAAATACGACGTGGATTTTAGAGTGCTGAAACATAGTAAAAAGGCTTTTGATTGGGAAAAACATGGATCATGGTTGAAGGAACCAAGAAAAGGAGAGTAAGTAAAAGGGGGAAAGCTTTTTTTTTTAAAAGAAGGCAAACAAGGTTGTTAAGCGATTCTTGTGTTCATGCTCTATGATTTAGACGATACACATTAGTAGGAACAATAAAAGCACCCAAATTGCCACCTATTCTATGTTACTGTGTGCATTTAGAGGTCTTTACAGGCATCATTGACCGGATCAACAACTTTGCCGATGTGTTTGAAGATGCTGCTGTACGGATAGAGGAGTATCCTCACCAGATTATCAGCGGGGATTTGAATACAATGGCCCATTCTATTGCTCGTCTATCACGAACCTATGCACGCGACCGCTACCGATGGATGTCGTTGGGGGATACAGAGAGTAATTGGTTTGACCGGCATGTGATGGCCGTGTTCCGCAACGACCAAGACGAACAATACGCGTACAACCTAAGATTAGCAGCTGGCGGATTTCCTTTCTCGATGCTTCCTGTTCGTATCATTAAACATTTACCCCTAGGGCTGCTGACGTTCGTGAGCGGATTCGAAAAAGAGACACTGAAGAAGGCCCGCAATCCAGGATTCTACGATCCGTGGGATCCTGACGAGATCACGTTGCATAATCCTCGCTATTTCGGCTTATTCAAAGCGAAATTAGACTGGACCATGGTACGGTGTATGGAAGTGAAGCAGAAATGGATAGGCAACAGAGATTACAGTGCGAGCGATCACGCCTATTTGATGGTGAAAGTGACACCGGACTCGAGCGACAAAATGGAAAATCTAAAAGAGACATGGAAGGTGCGACGTCAGCAATGGCAGTTGAACAAATCAGCACCGAAGAGAAGAGCAACGATTGGCTTGACAATACTTGGTTTAGCCATTGCATTCATTGTACAGTTTTACTTTTATTTAACACAAAACCGCATGTTATTCTAACAATAAAAAAAGTAACCCTTTCCCGCCGGGCCCCTTTCTTTGATTCAAAACAAGGATGCTGTCGGGACCCGAATGATATGAAAAGATCCCTTCTATAGAAAAGAAAGTTGGTATCAAATCAACGTTTTATCGCGTTGATAAAATGAGGCTTTCTATGCACAAAGCAAATAGAACTTTCCTTTTATAATACTGCCATGAGCTGCCGACGGGAGAGGAAGCTTAGATGCCGGTTTCGTAAACTGCAGGATTGTTAAAGTTCTCCGCTGACATCTAAAACTCAAAGCACACGAAAGTATGCTTTCAAATGAGCCATCCTACCTTCTATAAAAAGCGTGCATGGTTGAGTTAGTATCTACTTTTTATTTTTTTCAAAGACGAAGCGTGATCTTTGGTTTCATGAACATAACAAAAAAAAAAATGTTATGCCAAAGAAGAGCAACCTTTTGTACACTTGGAGAAGCTTTATCCGTTTTCCGGAAAATATCTATATTTTAAACCAGTACGATGAAGGTCATCCTTATTCTATTGAAATTCCACTCTCAGGCATACAATCCTCCTTGTTGACCAGCATCATTGATTGGATCAACCTATCGATTCACAACAATTTGCTGGCAAGTTATTTCTCTACCTCTTGCCCAAGTTGTGTATGTATAACGTGAGCTCCAATGCTCACCGGTTGTTTATTCACGAGCATCATGGTGAGCACAGTCATTGAAAAAGATATCAGGGGATAGTATTCATACTGTCCGGAAATAATATCAGTCAACATGGACCACAGTCCTGTAGTATTTTTTTCTTTTTTTATTATCAGAAGGAAATAACAACGGAAACTGCTCGATAGAATCGAACCACCGTCTCCATTTCCAGAAAAGACGGCTGCAGTAAAGGGCACTCATCTATCTATAGTGGCTGTCAACAAAAAAATGGATCGGGATCTATCTATGTGTGTTGTGGTTATTCGTCGATTTTAACTGTGAAATGAAAGAGTGAGGAATAAGACAAGAGAAAGTAAACACGAAAGCTTAGCGAAATCAAATCACCCTCTTTATTTCTCTTTCAAATAACAAACCAAAGAAAACTAAAGTTACTGCTATCCATCAAGAGTTGTACTGTTTGCTGTTTACGAAATGTGTATATCAAGATTCTATCGCTGACGCCGATGTATGTATTAGGATCAGATAATACTCAGTGAGTCAAAAGGGTTTCCGTAAAATAATAGGTTTTCTCCTTTACTTGTCTATTCCAGAGCAGGGACTGATTTGTAACTTGTTATCCCGGTAGATCCAGGGTGACCATGCAGTTACATCTATCCTTCAATATCTATCGGCCACCCGTTGCGTAGCTCAAATAGTGTGGGGGAGTGATGATAGATATTGGCTTGGAAGAGATATCGTGCGTCGTGTTCTTTTGATTTCGTGAACAGTTGTTGTATTGTTAAAGAGTGATTTGAGCCTTTTCTGTAATTCCAACCCTACTTTATGCCCAGGGAGCAGTAACATGACCTACTATGTTTTGGTTGTTGAATCAAACTATCCTATGAGTACATAGATCAATCCTGCTATTTACGTAAATATCCTATAGTCATAGATAATCCGAGTAAAAAACATATTTCAGAAAGATAACCTGTTCAATTCTTAATCTATATTCTTTTCTTATTTTATCTTTGGTTACTATACATAGCATCTAAGGTTCAAATGTATGCAATCGAACACACCGCTTACCTAACGGGAACGAAGATATGAGCAGTACTCATATCTGAGATCAAGTTTTATTTCACATTTCGTTAGACGTTTTGAATGATCTACTCATATAATATTGCCATCGTGCCTCAAATACGACAGAGGGGTCGTATTTTTATGTCCGTCCGTCTTTTCAGTCTCACATGCTTTCGCTACAGGATCCTCTGTGCTTTCAGCTGGGACCATCAGGTATCTTTGATGGGCTTGGGAAAAGAAGAATGGTATAGGAACAGTATATGAAGGGGAGGATGGCCCTTTGCTCTAAGTCAAAGACTTGCTTGGGCGATAGAGCGATGGTTCGCTATCGACCTTTGTGTTCGGACCGGAGGTAATGGGGGATCCACTGTGAATGTTATCTAAAAAAGGAAAAAAACTTTTTTTTACGTTTTTTTTGTTTGCCAATCAGAGTCTATGGATAAAGTTGGATACTGTTGGCACCAACACAAAACCTTTTTTTTTTGCATGAAATGAAGGTATTGTTATTCTTAAACTGATATCCCCTCCATTCGCGTAAAGTACCATCGTGTTTAGCTTCTTTATTTTTCCGGTGTAGTGTTTGAAGGCTTTGACACTTTTTTTTTTTTTTTGGAGTCTTTTTTTTTTTTTTTTTTTTTTTTTTTTTACTAGAACTCCATTTTGTGTATTACGTGAGTTTCAGTTTAGAGTGTTTGTCATGTTCATCAACGCTTTGAGTTAGGCATATATATTAAAGATAGCAAGTATAATTCAACAAAAGGTTTGACTTTCCCTACGGCTCATGCTCTTGCATTAAAAAACGACACTATAACAAGAACGAAACGGTGAGAAAACTCTAACCATATACAATGGCGTATATCTTGATCCCTTTCACAGAAAATCAAGAGCCCCCAAGTTTGGCCGGTGTGGGTAAATTATCTCCATTATAGTTGGTACACGAGGAATACCAAGTATTTTTTTTAGTCATATGTGTACACACACCCAACACACATACCTACATATACACACTATATACATGTATAATGTATATAGGTGTCATCGTGCCATGAAACAGAGTACCGAACCCACTTTACTGGGTAAAAAAAAGTCAAAATGCACATGCTTACGTTGGTAACAATGGCATAGTTAATACAAATAATTAGGGTTTATCTGAAAACGAGATGTATATAGTATTTCTTGTAACCGTTACTCTTTTAACCCCACATTATTATATTTTAAAGTTTTATCAAAGAAAGATAATATGACATTTCCTATAACCGGTAATTTTCTTTTTATCTTTTTTTCTCTTTGTCATATGTTGGACACTGTTGGAGAATATGTCAATTTTTAACTGTCTTTTTTTTCCTTTTTGTTGGGTGTCTGTGAAAATCAGTTGGCATCTTCAATGCAAAAACTTGCTTTTTGGCTGACGTACAAAGGCCCACGTCCAACTCAGTGATATGATCCTGTTACTGCTCTCTTTGACTATTGCCGTTTTATCAGGTTCGCTACTACGGTACATACCTACTCAATGAAAATTGAGTCAAGAATGTGTATGAATGGATTCGACACAATCACCGTCCTTTTTTTCATTCGATTTCTGATTTCGGTTTTTTTTTTTTTTTTTTGCGCCTATTTTCATGTTGCACTAGAGTGATTTATGATGTATCTTTTTCTTTATTTAGTGTTGCGATTAATAAGAGAATTTCTGTCACCGCACGCGCGCGCGCGCGCGCGCAGTAGTTTTATCTCTAGTTTCTAGTTTTTTTTTTTTTTTACATGGCCCACTTATCTCACCTTGACTTTGAATCATTGTGTGTTTAAACTAGTCTGCGATTGTTACTGGGTGACGATCCTGTCGCATTTTCTTTTAGCCTTCGACGACGCTCATTAGCACATAATTAGCCAAGCATGACAGTTCATTTTTTTTCTTCTCCCCGCCCCGCCACCCCTGCTCAAACCCTCACATGTCGCCCCCGTTGCCCTTTTGTTTATCAAGACAATCCACATCATGGTGTGAAATGAACACGATGAGAATTATAGCCAACAACAATGGTTTTTTGAGAAAATTTCCTTTTGTTTGGGTGTGTGTGTGTTTTTTTTTTTTTTGTTAAACTGGGGGAAGATGTGGAGACAGCCTTCCTTTGCTTCTACCGAAACTGTGATACTACTTTTACCGTTCAAAGAGTAAATAAAAGTCATTTTTCCAAGCAGTCTAATTTTCTCTGACGGTCTGTCGATGTGTGTGTGTGCTCGGTTTTTTTTTTTTTTTTTTTTTTATGGGAATTATAACACAGGCAACAGAGAGGATTGCCCTTTTTGACTTGATGAACACCAAATAATGTAAAGAGAGACCAAAGAGAAAAAGGCAGCGGTCTTTTTTAGGCACCTGTTGTACCGGTATAATTCACACGCGAGCAACTTTTTTCGCTTGCACGCCACTGAAATGATTGACCTCTTTGCTGTGCGGTGCCAAAAAAAGCAAATCATGGGCTTTTTTTCACCATGAGCTTCCAGATTTTTTTTTTCTCATTTTTTTTGCAACTCATACAGTGAAATGGTTTAGCCCCCTTTGAGATTTTTTACTCGCTTGTGAATTTTCCATCAGTTATACCCTTACATTTTCCAGATCGTGGTTTTTTTTTTGGTTTTTTTTTTTTTTTTGGTTGCTAAAATGAAAACAGGAAGCACGAGAGAATGATACGCCCGCAACCTATTCCTTTTTGCAACCTGTTCTATTTTGTCATGTAGCGCGCGTCCTTTTTTCTCCTCATCCCCTTTGTCAAGAGAAAATACAGAAAAGAAATTGGATGACAGAATCATGAAATCGTCATCTTTTTTTTTTTTTTTTTTTTTTTTTTTTTTTTTTTTTTTTTTGCTCAGTTCCAATACACGGTAAATTGATTGTCTAAAGGTGTGTTGTACCTGTGATGATGAATTGGATTTTTTTTTAAAGTTGGATCTCAGAAAGAAATAGCTCTTACCAAATAATGTACAAGGACAGACGAATTAACACGACGAATCAAAAAAGTGAGAGTTCTGGATGTAACTTTTTGTGGGGTATAATACTTGCCAAAATAGGCAATCGTCTCGACAGAGGCTCACTTTTTTTTTTGAGGTAACCATCATAAGCAACAGACAAGACAGAAAGGAACAAAAAAGTTATATAAAAAGAACCACTTTTTCATCCGTTTATTTTAGTTTTTTTTTTTTATTCATAGGCAACAAAAAACCAAAAGCTTTTCTTCTTCGTTTTTGTTTGTTCTTTCTTCAATTTATCTTTTTTTTTTTTTTAAATTCTTTTCATTTTTTGTTTTTGACAACACCCACTTTTTTTGTTCTTTTTTTTTTCATTTGAATCAAGGAGGAAAAAAAGAAAAAGCACACCAGAAAAAGCAGATATCATCCACTTGACAAAAAAAGAAAAATTATCCAGTCAACAGTGAAATAATACCGACAATTACAACAAACAGTTTAAATTATGTCCACAGTTAAAAAGTCACAGGATTTGGCCTTTCCAGCTTATATGACAGCTTGTGCTGTCTTGGCAGCTCTCTCCGGTTTCAACGTCGGTTGGCATATTAGTAAAGTTATCGTTCATCTATTATGACATTCTTGACAGCAAATCAAAAAAATTGACACATATTTATTTTTTCTTTAAAAAAAAAAAAAGGTGTACCTAATATGCCTGAAAGAGTCATTATGGGTGTCATTGAAGAAGATGGCTCTTATCATTGTTTACCCGGCACTCCCGATGGTGTATTACCTGGCTGTATGCCAATGAATTTCGACGTTTGGTAAAGATTTTGCACTTAGTAACAAAAAAAAGCTTTTTTTTTTTTTTTTTTTTCTCCTCGAGACTAACCCAAAAAAAACTCTTTAGGGGCTATACCATTGGTGCTTATGCTGTCGGTGGTTTCTTTGGTAGTATTGCTAGTAAATACTTCAATGTCTGGTTTGGTCGTCGTGATAACATTATGATGTCTTGCGGTTGGATGATTGCAGGTGGTATTTTATCGGCTTGTGCAGTCAACTTGACCATGTACGCTTTTGGTCGTGCTTTGGTCGGTATCGCAGCTGGTATGTGTGGTTCTTCTGTTGCTATCTACGTTTCTGAAATCTCTACCAACAAATCGCGCGGGGCGCTTGGTTCTCTTTTCGAATTGTTCTTGAATCTGGGTATTCTCTTGACACAGATCGCCGGTCGTTCCATGGCTTATGCTCCTGCCTGGCGTGCACTCTGGGCTATTCCTACCATCATTGCTGCTATTCAATTGGCCTGTATGTTCTTCTTGACCGTCGAATGTCCTCGTCGTCTCTGTGCCAATCAAAAATACGACGAAGCCTATGCTGCTTTGCAAAGATTGCGTGGCAAAGATGTCGATATTGAAGAAGAATACCAAGGCATGCTCGCTGCTCGTCAACGTGAATTGGACAGCCAACAAAAGCAAATGACCATCTGGGATATCATCTCCTGCAAGGACAGACACGTGAGCTGGAACACAGTGATTGTCATGGTCATTCAAGCCTTCAACCAAGTCGGTGGTATCGGTCCCATGTCCGTCTACTCTGTTGGTTTCTTTACTCAAATCTTTGGTGATGCTACGCTTGCCTCCAACATCTCCTTGGCCGATGCTGCTGTCAATATCGGCGCTACCTTGGTTTCTGTCGTCTTCATGCACAAGGTGGGTCGTAAGGGTTTCATGATGATTTCCACCGGTGGTACCTGTATTGCCTGTATCTTCATGGTCCTTGGTTCTAGCTTGAAGAACTCCAGCGGAGGTCAAGGTATTGGTGGTTTGGCCATTGCTGCTGCCATTATCTTTACCGGTTCCTACAGTATGGGTTGTGGTGTCATTCCTTGGATGATTGCTCCTGAATTATTGCCCATGCACGCTTTGGCCTCTGGTTCTGCTTTGGGTGGTGCTTCTAACTGGTTCTTTAACTTCCTTATCAACACGATCTGGCCTCAAATGAATGCTGGTTTGGGTACTTACTCTTTCATTGTGTTTGTCGCCATCAACTTGTTTGGTTTCCTCTTTGTCACTTTCTTCATGCCCGAAACTACCGGTAAGGATCTTGATGATCACGATAAGAAGAAGACAGAGGATGTTGAAGATGGTACTGGCAGTAGCTCTGATGCTAGTCATCAAGGAGACAATAAGGACGAAGAAAAGAGCCATCATTATTCTCACATTGAAGTAGCTCAATAAATCTATCTCCTCTTCAACCCAAACTTACTCTATTTACTACTCTATTACTCTTAATGCTGCTGGTTACTACTACTACTACTGCTGCTATTCTTTTTCTACTCAGCCGCGCTCTCCCCCCACCCCCTCCTATACTTTATTATTTTACTAGTATCTTATCATCACCTTTTGTCTCGCGCAACCCTCTCTTCTCCCAGCTTGGTCAAATCCCCTATCTTGTCATCTTTCAACATGTTACTACCTCGCTTCTCTTTCTCTATACCTTCCGAATGTACTATATCAAATAGCATATTTCCTCATTTCTCTTTTTATTTATTTCTATCATCCCCCCTGCTCCCCTCTTCTCTCTCTCTCTCTCTCTCTCTCTCTCTCTCTCTCTCCCCGTTTTTTCGCAACAAGTCATTTTCTTTTTATCTGATCAATTCCAAATAAACGACGAACACCCTTTTTAAACAAATTTCTATTTTTAACATCTTGAGTGTGTTGAAAAAAGCTTTTATTAGTGTTTAATAGAACGCCACGTGAACTGCGATTCAATAGGAATGTTTATTATTTCAAAGCCATGTTAAGATCTTTGTCAAGATTTAGTGCAAATTCCAGGAACCAACCAACAATGAATTTTAAAATTTTTCCTTTTTTTTTTTTTGCGGCTATGGACGGAGAGTCAATGCCTCCATCATTTTAAATTGTTCTGTACCACCACCACCACCATCGGTCATCGGCTGCACGGACATATAGACGAGTGATGAGAGCGTTTGAACATAAAAGCAGACATGCATGCACTCACTCATTGCAGGTGAATGAGCGCTCATACATACGGGTTCTCCGCAGAAAAAAACCTAATGGATTCGACATGGGTTGCCTATCGAGCAATGAAAATGCAGATTTCTGTTCCATTCATTAGATACTTTATATACTTGCATGGCATGCATCCATGTATAAGAATAATAAAAATAAACTAGAGTTCGGATCGAATGGGCAAAAAAAGCAGAAAAAAAAAAAAAAAAAAGCCAGAGATAAACATTTACTTAAAAAAGGTGCTCTCTCTCTACCTACATCACTGTCGTTGTCAAGGTAAATTTGTTTCACTTTTTTTTTATATTTTTTTCGGACAGTAACCCAAAATAAATCCAATGTTGGTATCTCGATTCAAAGGGCCATTTTTTCGTCATACAATAACAATAATAGTATCCTGTTCCTATTGTTCATTATTACTAATTACCCAATAAATAGCTACAATGGCTGCTCTATTTTATATTTCATTTCTTATATAAAAAAAAAAAAGGAGTCGTCGTCATCAATCATTATCATTATCAATCAAATACTCAACATTGAATGCTTGGGAAAAGTGGCGTAATAGCAGCTCTCAATTTGCATAAAGACAAAAGGGAAAAAGCTAACAAAAAACGAAAGGGAAAAGGAGGCAGGATTTAATTAAGGATCTTTCATGTGATTGGTCAACCTAATTACTGTACATAAACGGTTGTTTTAAACTTTTTTTTTTTTTTTTTTTTATTTTTTGAAAAAAATATAGAAGTGATGGATGGATCCTTTCTTTTCTCTTTCCTTTAGCTTTGCAAAAAAAGAAAAAAAAAAAAAAAAGTAAACAAACTTATACCAATTCAGACCGATCATGATTTACACAGCTACTTCTACTTCTTTCAGTATGCGCAACAGCAGAAAACACAACAGCAAGAATCTCTCTTTGTGCCTGCCAAAAACGCCTTCACCAGAGTCTTCCTCCACCTCTACTTGTTCATCCTCCTCGTCATCGGCTTCTCTCTCGGCCATTACATCACCGCCGCCTCACACAGCTTCCTTTGCTACCACACCTTCTTCCTCTTCTTTTACTACATCACCGTCTTTATGCCCTACGCAATATCCATTGCTTCATGAACCTCGTTACGATAACAAAAATGCTTATCCAAAGGGACCTTCCCATATCATGCCCTATTTATACCTTGGTTCAGAAAAGAACGCACTCGATACCACCCTCTTAGCTCAATTCGATATTTCCGTCATTTTGAACGTCGCTGCGGAAGTGACCATTACCACCCCACCCCATCAGTATCATCAAAACATGACCCTCATGAAACTACCTTGGTATCATGGCAGCGATATTGATCTCGACAGGGCCATCGACATTATAGACCAGGCCAGGGCACGGCAGCAGTCCATCCTTGTTCATTGTCAGTGCGGTATTGCTCGTTCCGCCACCGTCATCATTGGCTACATTATGAAATTACTTCAATTGCCTCTCCAAGAAGCCTATCACTATGCAAAAAAACTAGCGCCACCTATCAATCCAAACCTCAACTTGTTATTTCAGTTACGAGAGTATGAGCAAAAGTTGCTGATTTTACAAAGGCTGAATCCATGTGAAGACACCCTACTGCTCCTCTCTGAGTCTGTGGGGTCTGCTACGACGGCTAGAGCCGCTACCGATACAGTCACCGTCTCTGCTCCAGAGGCATCGACTCCTCGTCTTCCTTCTTCTAATTCTACAACAACAGCTACTACTACTACTACTACTACTACTACTACTACTACTACCACAACAACAACAACAGATGCCTCACCCTCCAAAAATAACACGAATTGGTCTCTCATTAAAAAAACGGCTCCTGTTTGCTGTTGAACAGATAAAACCATGACAATGCATCTAGAAAACTATACCTACATCTTTAAGCTGTAAATAATTCATTCTTTCCTCCTATTGTGTATAAAAAAATTGTATTCCTCCTTCCCTGCCCCCCCCCTCCCTTTTTTTTTTTTTCTTTATTATTATCATCATGCACATCCTATTGCCCTCCCTCACCGCCCCCTCCCCCTTTTTTTCTTTATTTATTGTATTGATTATAACGAATAAAAAAAAAAAGAAAACTTTATATCTACTCTTCATTAAGGCGCAGCTATGTTATACAGGACGCGTCCATAGGTGATGCGAGCTTATTCTTCGTGTTGAAAAATCAGAAAAAAAAATCCAAAAAAAAAAAAAAGAATTTGAAATAAATAAATTAATAAGTGTTATTTGATGAATAATATATAATATAATAAATGTGTGATTCTCTTTCTTATCCATCTAAAACTCGTGCATTTGATAGAATGCATGTCTTTTTTGTCTGCGTCGATATCGGCGGAAGAGCCAAATGCCCACCACGATACAAAAGAATCCAAACACAATCGACCCTACAGAGATGCCTGCTTTCGCACTCACACTGCTGCCCGCTTTGCGCACCATCGTCCGGCGGTTGGCATTGCTTTGAATCGTGCATCTGGATTGGTCAAAAGCAACAGAGGCCATCATACGGTTATGGCAGCTACCCTCGTCTTTCTCTGTCACCGCTGTCCTTCCCTCGAAGCCCGTGATCCATACAGGAAATGTCTGTGTTGTCTCTATCACATACTCAGGATGTAGCCAATGGATCATGTCCAGCAAGGCCACATCAGGACGTGCGTGGGACCTTTGATACCAGTCTATGATGTAGACATAAAAAGCATACTACATAAGCACTCTTTGTATGTCTGCCTGCCTGCCTGCCTGTCTGTCTGTCTGCCTAGCTCCCTTTCCGTAGCGTTAACCCTACCTGAATTTCCATTTTTCTGTAATCGATGGACTGTATACACTTGCTTGTTGGTAATAGCCGCTATTGTTTGAATGGGAGGACGATCGCTCTGTGAAAAAAACTCGGCATTGCCAGCGACCCAAGCCGAATAGTCCACACGGACAGCACTCTGGTCCACAATGACCTCCGCCCCTCGTAGCGCAATCGCCAGCCCAAGTCGATCCCTCGTCTCCTTGGCGTTGAAGGTATCGTCTTGTGCTGCATTCGTAGCCACCAGACGGCCCCCCGCATCTTGCACCAACTGCTGGTAGTAAGCGTCACTGTGCACCGTGTACACAGAACGAGAAGGCGCATAGTCTGTCCATGCCACAGGCACAGCCGCCTTGTCCGTCGACTGCATCAAACCCAACACATTGTCTCGGTGGCAATGGTAATTGTTGGCCAATTGATGATAGATCGAATACGCCTTGACCTCCACATCAAAAAACGCCGCCACGTACATCAACCAGCTGGCTTTCTGAAGCGGTGAAAGCCTATCGTCATGCCCGGAAAAGCTGACGTACTTGGCTCCATACACATCTTGTTGAGAAAACACCATGTCCGGTACCGTCGTCGCCGTGGTATCGAGGCTGTGGCTGCTATCCACCATACAGGGTGAGGTGATATTCGTCGTATCGGTTTTAATAATCGTGTTTCGTAAATCCAACAACTATCGATCCCGCCCCCACACACACCCCCAAAATAAAAATAAAAACAACAGATATTACAATCAAACCAACATGTAGACGCATCCTTAAAAAAGAGAACTGTCACTTGCCTCAAGAAAGGGAATCACAGCATACGTATCTGTCTCGACGCTGATGTTTTGGACAGGAATAGAAACGCTCGTAAAAGAGGCACATTCTTCCGGTGTGGATTGATCAAAGCCCACGAGACAATACACCTTGGAGGTGATGGTATTGGTCACAATTTTATAGTAATTTTTATATTCAATGGTGAATCCGTCATGCATGTCTGCAGTTATCGTCGTCTTGAAATCATAGCGATCGACACGTTGGTCAAACGTACTCGTATCAGTGTCTTGTTGTTGCTGACATGTGACACTTGACAGGAAACGAGTGGCAGCTAGAAAGAAAAAAAAGGAGTGCTTATTTATCAACATCAAAACGAGGAATGAATGAATGAAAGGAAAGAGAACAAAGCTGTTGATTATTTCACTAGAGAGAGAGGCCTGATCTCTTTTATCAACAATTAAAAAAAGGACACACGGACAAATGCCTCTATCGTTGTGCAACCCACATTGTGCATTGACTTTTTCGTCCATTCCAAGAAAATGGGTCATATGCAGTTGCCATTCATGAGGTACAACAGAATTTTTTTTTATCAGAGTGCGCATGGGTACGTTTGAACATACAATCGCGACTTGCATAGTCACTTCGGTAGCTTTGTCCAGGCAATGCTTCCATCCATACTGCACACGCAGAAAATGGTATAAATACATTGTCCCTTAGAAAGTATAAATACGTATTCCTAGATAGCAAACGTTGATGAATACGACTGTATTTAATCAAAAGCATGCTTGCTTCCAGACAGAAATAACTTTTTTTTTTTTTTTGGATCGCCTTTTTCTTTTTCGTGATAAATATCGACTCTACAGCGTTTGTTCAAAACTTTCGAAAAGTTGGATTTTTCAAAGAGTCAGATGAGGCACAAGTTGGACCCTTCCATTATTTAAATGCTAGCTTGTTGAAACAAAATCGAGTTTTCTTTACAAAACGTCACAACACAACACAACACAACACAACGCAAAACAACACAAACATGAAAAGCTCTATCTCTATCATCTTCCTGGGTCTCTTCGCTAGCCTCCTTCAACTCGTTTCGGCTGCTGATATCGCTCAGGAAGCAGGCAACAAGGACGTCGTTCACGAACAGCAATTGGGTCTGGTACCGATGCCTCTTCCACCCCTCCAACCTGTCCCACCCGTTACCCCTAATGTTCCTGTACCTATCCCACCTACTATTTGGCTGCCTATCTGGAACCCAGAACCTGCTCGTCCTGTCCTTCCCATTCCACCCGTACCTTCCTTGCCATTGCCTCCTGTAACTCCCATCAGTCCCATGCCTCCCATGCCTGCCATGCCTCCTATGCCTCCCTTGATTCCCATGCCTCCCATGAGCCCTATGGTTCCTCTTCCACCTTTGCCTCCCATGCCCCCTATGCCTCCCATGATACCTTACTTGTAACTTTACTTCTACCCTTATACTACCGAACCGCTTTACAATCACCATAGTTTTTGTTTTTGGCGCTTCAAGTCATTTCTTTTTGTCCTTGCATTCAAGTCTTTGTTTTCCTTTTCTTGCTCGCCCCCTTCCGTTAGGTCCTCCTCGCTTTCATCCTTTCATTCTCTTTCCTTTTTTTTTTTTTTTTTTTCCATGGTTACATTCCAAGAATAAAATGCATCTTGTTTTTTTGTTGGTAGCCTCATTCTTTTTGATTCATTTCATTTGCTGACCTAAAGGACCAAAAACCTTCAACATGATGGATGGCTAGGTCCACTACCGTTTCAAATGTCTTTTCGCGTCCCTTTTTTGATCCCATTTGAATGACCACTCTGCGAACTTCGTCAACAGTACAGACTCCGCCATAAAAGTAAATGTCCAATTTGCTTTCATGTTGTTTTACTGTTTTGCTCTTTTCCCCAACCTAATGAGTACTTGTGTAGAATGCGGTGCGTCAGTAGCCAATCTCTACACACAGTACAGTAAAGACAATATTCGGTTAACCACTTGTGTAAGCAATGGACTGCATCATTCTTTGCCTTTCGTTCTTCTGCTCATCATTCAACCTATCCCTTCCGCGCATAGGATAATTGTAACCAGTTTGCAGACAAGTACATTGAACACGACTTTGTCATCATCTTTATCGACATGCTGCTTCACAAACCACAAGTGTACCGACATTTACTCTTTAACCGAATCACAGAACAAAAAGGAGTGGAGGTTTGCATACGAAATAATAGAAATCGAGAAATAATAAAAAAAAAAGCAGGATATCATAAAAAAGCGGATGGTGTTTTCTGAGACATTGATTTTTGGTTAGCCTCATGTCGTTCGCTTTGCTATATTATTGATTTTGTTTGAAGTCTGTGAGTTGAAAAAAAAAAAAAAACATTGTGTCGTTTTTTCTCGCTTTTTTGTTGAAGGCTGACATTTCTGTGCTATGGCGAACACCAGACATTAAATGGTTTCGATTGGAGCGATACAATACAATGGAAGCGTCCTCCTCTTTTTTTCACCAGCCACTGTATTTTCAATATCTGTATATCCTTACACTATGTATCTTGGAGTTTATCGTTTTTCATTTTACCATCCATATGGTCATAAGATGGTATTTTCGCAAAACGAAGCATAGGATAAGGTAAACATAGAAAAAAAAAAAAAAAAGAAAAAAAAAAGAAAACGAGAGGATGTCTTTCTGTATCGTCCATTAATGATGATGTTTAGATATAATTATATTTCTATGGCGTTAATTATATCCAGCTTTGGTAAAATGTTACTGATACTGATGGTGATTTGGGATTACAAGCAGTTGGAATATTCTTGGCTTGTGAGTATCCTTGTGTTGGCATCCAATACGGAAGCATTATCAGGTAAGGACACGCATCGCACCGCATCCCAACAAAAGAGGACCCTTTTGGACTCAACCCAACGCACTCTTCACGTTGTTAGTTTATTCAAATATACCCTACTTCCAAACCCTCTGTATCATCTTGTTTGGCATATTTTGCCGAATCGTATCACAATTTCTGTTTTTCTATACCACCTCATTAACATCCACCACGAGTACAGCATTCACTGATGTCTCCAACTCGATTTGGATCAATATTTAGAAATAGTGTGATTGGCGAAAAAGATGGCAGCAGTAATAAAACGGACAAAAAAGTGGGCTCCTTCTTTGGATACAAAAGAAGAGGCGCGGTATTTCGGCTTGGAAGTGAAATGCATAAAGTGGATGATTTATTCTAGAGATGTAACATGCAAAAAATAGTAGTAAAAAAAAAGAAAGAAACAATAAAGAAAGAGAGAGAGAGAGAATGTAATGGTATGCTTCATAGTGAGTAAGGCAAAAAGGAACTACATTAGGATCCTACGAGGGATCCTTCAAGGGAACACTCCTTTAAAGAGTGGAAAACATTTCGTGATATTTGGGTAATGGCCAGTATTTATCAGCCACAAGGCGCTCCACTTTATCACACAATTCACGCGCCTTCTCGATAGCAGGAGAGATCTTATAACAAGCATGTTCAGCCGCCTTTTCAGGATCTTCGATGGGTGCTTGCTCGTTCAACAACTGATCCAATTCCTCGGAAATATCCTCCAAATCACTGCACAGTGGGCTCAACTGAGCCAACCATTTCATCTCAGGGGCGGCTTCCGCTCCAATCTGTTTCAAAGCAGCCGCTGATTCGGAAAGTTCACGACGATAACTGAAAGCAGCAGGGAGAACGTGCTGTACTAAAAGGCCCCACAAAGTTTGTGCCTCGATGATGATCTCCTTGGCATACTTTTCATTCATAATATGGAAACGAGATTCCAGCTCGGCCTGGGTAAAGACACCCAAACGTGTCAACATCTCAGCATTGTTGGGTGCAAGGATACGCTTGAATGCTTCGGGACTCTTGACAATGTTGGGGAGACCTCTCTTTTCTGCTTCCTTGACCCATTCTTCAGCATAGTTGTCGCCTTCGAAACGCACCTTTTTGGTCAGGGTGATGTATTTGCGGATGACGGCCAGGATGTCCTCTTCACTGGCGACGGCCTTGTCGCCCATTTGCTTCAAAAGATCCTCCTTGATCTCCAAAAGAGCAGAAGCAACAGCCGAATTGAGGACCGTGACGGGGAAAGCAGGCGATTGTTTGGAGCCCACAGCACGGAATTCAAACTTGTTGCCAGTGAAAGCAAAAGGAGAAGTACGGTTACGATCGGTCATATCACGGTTCAACTTGGGCAAGGTGGCCACTTTCAAGTCCAGGGTAGTGCCTTGCACACGCATTTGTGTTGTCGTTGTACCAGCCACCGCTCTATCCACAGCACGGTTCTCCTCAATCGCATCCAGGACTTCTGTCAATTCAGAGCCCAAGAAGACAGAGATAATAGCAGGAGGAGCTTCTTGAGCGCCCAGACGATGATCATTGGAGGAGGAAGCCGCTGTGGTACGCAAGAGATCGCCATGGTCCATCACACCTTTCAACACAGCGACCAAGAAGAGCAAGAAGCGATAGTTCGTCTCGGGTGTCGAAGAAGGGCTCAATAAGTTCTCGCCACGATCCGTCGAAAGACTCCAGTTACAATGCTTACCCGAACCATTGACGCCCTTGAATGGCTTTTCGTGGAAAAGACATTTCAGCTTGTATTTGTGGGCCACGCGGTGCATCACATCCATGGTAATGAGGTTGTGGTCGACGGCGAGCATCGCCTCTTCAAATATAGGTGCAGCTTCGAACTGACAAGGAGCCACTTCGTTATGACGTGTCTTGATCGGCACACCCAATTTGGCCAGTTCCAATTCAACTTCACTCATGGCAGCCAACACACGAGTGGGTATTTTACCAAAGTAGTGATCTTCGAGCTGTTGATGACGAGCTGGAAGACTGCCAATTAAAGTACGACCTGTCGTCTTTAAATCGGGTCGCAGAGCGTAGAGTCCTCTGTCGACCAAGAAATATTCTTGTTCCGTACCAAGCGTTGTATAAATATTTTGAGCACGAGGATGATCTATAGACACATCATGACATATCATAGAAGAACAATAAATGCGTCTGCGTCAATGGCTGATCGGTAAGAGAAAAAGACCTTTTTTTTTTTTTTTTTTCCTTCTCATTACCTTCGCTGGCAGGTTCAATAAGATTAAGAATATCTAAAGCAGCTTTGGAGATAACCGATGATGAACGTAAGAGAACAGTTTTCTCGTCAAGAGCCTCACCGTTGTATGAAATAAATACTGAAGGAACATAAAGGACTCTTGTACCATGAGGACCGTCTTGAATAAACATAGGGCTAAGATTCAAGATGAAATAAGATAAATATGCGTTTTTGTTCATTTATCGATGCACTATCTCTTCTTGTTCCAACACACACACTCATATACATATAACCGCTGATCAATTTTTTAATCCCTTTTTTGTTTTTCAAAAAAAAAAAAAAAAAAAAAAATTAAAAATTTTTTTTACCTCTTTGTATCCCATACTGTATATCCACGAGCTTCAAAAGTTGTACGCATGCCACCTGAAGGGAAGGAAGAAGCATCAGGTTCTGACTGACATAATTCTGATCCAGAGAAGGTCTCGAGTGCGGATATCTGAAAATAACGACATTCTTATTAAAACACGGCTGTGCTGAACGTGTAAAGAAGAAGAGCAAACTTACTTCAGCAAGTCCATTGTCAAATGTAGTCTTCAATGATAAGAAGGAATCGTGCTTTTCGGCAGTAGTATCATTTAAGGGTTGAAACCAATGAGTGAAATGAGTAGCATTATGCTCAAGAGCCCATACTTTAGCAGCATGAGCAATAGCATCGGCTGTCACCTTGTCTAACGTGTGGCCACCTTTTAATTGTTGACGGAAATTTTCAAATACAGGCTTGGGAAGGCTCTTGGCCATCTTTTTGATACTAAAGACATTGGTGCCAAAGATGTCTGACATAGATTCGTGTTTGCCGGAAGCATTCTTGGGAAATTCAATTTTACGGTTGGCTCTTCCATAGGCACCACTTATAACATCAATACGTGCTTGTTGAGACATCTTTTGTTCTATTCTCCAAATGTCAGATTTAGTTAAATTAAAAGTGAAGAAGAATAATAATAAAAAAGTAACGTTCCACACGTTTTTTTTTTTTTTTTGTTCTTTTTATTTATTTTTTCGGGGATTCATTTTTTCTTTTACGTGTAAAAAATTCCCCTATCATGGCTTATATAATAAAGCTTGTAAATAGAGTTGACATTTGTCTACATCAAAGAAATACAAACCATTTAACCATTTCCGAAATATACTACAAACCAACCTTTGATACAGCTTTTTTCTTTTTTTTTTTTTTTTTTTTCTTTGGATGAACTCGTATATGGTATACTTTGCTAACGGGAGACGTATCTATTAATCATTCGGTTATCGTCAAAGTAGCAAGCAGATAAAGTCATTTGCAAGGTTTTTCCTCTGCGGAAGATCTATTAGTCCACAATGGAAGTACTTCAGGCACTATACGCATTTATTCCTGATCGGGCAGGCAGATTTTACCCCTTTTCATCAGCCATTTCGCTTAGTCAGCTCAAACAAACGTTTAAGAAATAAAGCCTGACAAGCGATCCTTTAAGCCTTTCATATCGCGTCCGTCTGTGAATTGTAAGTAGTAGTACGTAGCAAAAATGGAAGGAAAACATGAATGGTATTGAATAGTAAACCACTACCATAATCCACGAAGCAATATTATTCCTCCATTTGGATAGCTTTGAATACGAAGGATGTGTGTTGTTAACAACACGTTTTGCACCTTAAAATAAATGAATAATAAGCTCCAAGACGGGCAAAATAAAACAGGCTGCTAAAAGTATCAAACCCTTTAAAGAGAAACTTCAGTTTGCATGAATCGCATCATGGGCTTATCAAGATATTGAGGGGCGAAAACCATGGAAGTGCATCATCCCTTTATATTAATTTCCGCGGGTCAAACGCGGTAGCAATCCATTCAGTCATACTGATGCCACTAACCCCACTCGCTACTCGACCCATTCTCTCAAATTGGCATCATTACAACACCTTTACAGTCCCGACTGGTTTCTCTATGAAAGAGCGAAATAGGGAACGCCAAGAAAAAATAAGACATTAAAGTACTGTTATATCTCCACAAAAAAAGTACATACATATCATTAAGCTAGCCAATCTACTAAGCTCGTTGAAGTTTTAATATTGGGATAGAATATGCCATAAATATAAGAATGAGAAAAGTCAAACAACAAATGTTAGCATTACAATTTAAATGTGAGGGGGTATACGAAATGATGAGCAGATGTCGAAGGCAGTTTCTATTTTACAAACAACGAATAGTCTGCTGGTGCTTTATATCTGTAACCGTAGTTCGCTTTTTGCTTGGTTCTACTTAATACAATCTTCCTGAGGAATTACTATAAGCGTAATTATTGTTCCACGTTCCTGGCGCGAAAGGCTGTGGTGTAGTTGGGAAAAACGGCTGGGGCGCGAATGAATCACGTGGATCAGTAAAAAATTGCTGCTGATAGTATGGGTTTTGGACATCTACTGCTTCAAACTTCATTGCTGGTGACAGCCTTTTCGGACTATCATAAGAAGACTTGTCATCTTCCTCGGAATCGTGTAAAGCAGCCGAATCAACTCTATTGTGACTATATTGCGGTTGTGAACGAGGCACGCGCATAGACATCATACGGCTCTTTTGTTGAGCATTTTCCATTTTCTCCCAGGGCTGTCTCGCGCGTCTTTCCTCCCTTGCTCTTCGCAGTGTCTTTTGTCGACTCCAACAGAGAACATAGAAAATATAGCCTATCAAGAGAGCGCCCACTACACTACCAATGACAGCACCTGCTATGTGTCCACCATCGAGTCGATGATCGTTCTTACTGAAATGACGTACAGATGCCGATGCTGATGCCGTGATCTGCGAAGAAGACGTTGTCCATGGCATGAGGGTTGTTCGTGTGATTTCATTGGGTGCTCGCGATGTCAGTTTTGAAAAATGTTTAGGCAAGTCTGCATTATCGTTATTGTTGGTGTTAACAGCAGTGTTACTATTGTCTGTGGAAACAGTAGCTGTTTGCTCAGCAGTGGTCGTGGTTGGGAATAGCTTCAAGGTTACACCATCTGGTGGTTCAGTGTTGCGACTGTCACTGGTCGAGCTGGTAGGTAGTGGTGTGTAAATATGGGGTAATGTAAAAGTTGCTGGTTTAAAGGTCGAACTTGTCGCTGTTGACATTCTTACTATGAACGAATGAACTATTGGAATTGTGAAAGGCAGTTGACATGACACTTGAGGGCGTAATTTAATTGGAAAAACAATTCACGCGATTAACATGTGTTTATTACAATTTAACTACAGTCTTCCGCTCTACCAACTGAGCTAATGCCGGGGACTGTAACAATGTTAACTATTTTGGATGAACCTGAATCAGATTTTGGAATTTCAAAATATCTTTTTTGGATGGGACAAGAAACAAAAACTAGACAGACTGAGTGCAGGGATCATGGGATTTCAAAATACTTTTACCATGATCACTCCTGCTTTGTAACGGGTGGATGCCTGTTCTTTAAGATTTCTTTGCCCAAATAATGTGTTCAATTGACAAAGACGACGACATCAATGCCTTTCACCATGCATGTGCTGCTTTCAAAACTGCGTGATTTCAATTCCAACAAGATGCCACCATACAATTTCTGTAGCTCTATGAAATGTATCCTATACTTGAGCCATTTTAAAAAAAAAAAGGTACACATATAACGGCCAAAAGGGTCCGTGCGTTCAGTTCTGTTCTAGAACGTGAAAAAAAGGAATGGATACGCCTGAAGCCTTTTGAAATGTTATGACGTGCAAGTATTTAATAGAAGCTCTGAGTCTGACGGCGTACAGCATTACTTCAATTTAATGAGCAACCATGTTTTGAATTTTTAGCGCTCATACTGAGCAAAACGTCAAATTCTCTGAGAATATATGTTATAAATACGGGTATATGAGTTGTGCTCCCTGTTTGTTATGAACGCTTTTTGCCTTTCTTCTTTCTGCTTTGTTTTGGGCGCGGCGCTACTTCCACACTTCCGCCTTCCAAATTAGGATCATCTTGTACTTTCTGTCTTGCCTCTAAAAAGAAGGTCATATCTCTTATTTGCTCTTTTAAATTGTCAATCATACTATCTTGTTCTGTAAGCAACCTTAATGCTTCGTCATTTTTGGCAACAAGTGTGTTTGTTTTTTCTTTCTCCAAGTCTAACTTTTCTTTAGCCGCATCATACTTTTGTTTCCATGCTTCAACGTCGTTTTCTTCAACGTCTATCTGTCGAGTCATAGTTTCCGACTGCTTCTCCATCTCGACGATACCCGTTTCAAGTACCCGATTTTCCTTTACGAGCATGTCACTTTCTGTAGACAATGAAGAAAGCAGGCTTTCCATATCTGCTATTTTAGTCTCAAAATCGTCTATTTGCGTTTCATAATACATACGTTGAGAATCAAGCTGTGATGTCAATAAATAACTGTACTCAATAGACAACGCCTCTAATTTCTCATTGTCAGAAACTTGGCAACCATTCTCTCCGTCAGCTGGAACCTCCACTAATTTTCCATCTACGGCATTTTGGATTAACCGGTGTACGTAACCATCACCTGCGTAGTCCCAGACGCGTTGTGTTTCGATTTCCAAGGAGTAAATATGCTTCGTCTGCTGATAATGCTCATAAGCGTGCGCATTTTCATATCTTCCACAGCCAATATACCCACAGATTAAACAGATCCACAAGTGCTGCGATGTATTGCATATTGAGCATACGTTGGCTGTAGTTTGTGTGGCTGATAAGAGCGGTAAAGGGGGTCGTTGTTGCTGGGCTAGTTGCGTTGGTAATTTGTCTAATGCTGCAGTTGCTGTATCAATACTGTGATTCATCAACACAATAGAAGCTTTGCCGTTATTGTTATAGGAATATCGGCAGACAGGACAACTTCCATCATTCCACTTGGACAAACAGTGGCAATGAAACGTATGTTGGCATAGAATGGTTAATAAACTGGTGGTTTTCTCGTCCATAGGCTCTAAACAGACTGGACAATTGCATTCATCGTATGTTTGTTTTTTCTTGGTATTCGAAGCTGTTTGCTGTTCCTCGAGTAGAGCAAAAGAATAAGAGGGTATAATGATAGAATCAATCTCTATGGTTTCGATGTAGACTATCTGGCATTTTTCGGGCTAACATTGCAAATTGAGTTAAGAAAGAGGTACCGTTGACCGAGAAATATCAGTATAACAACGCTGATCATTTTACCTCCATTGAGCTAAAGAGTCGGTTGTTATATTGTTTGAAATAGTTGTCTGCTGAATAAGGATCGCGAAATTTCATCAAAATCATATAGAAATCGGGCCTAGTATTATCACAACTAAGAAAAACTGGATAAGTGGAATTGCAAACTGGTTATTGTCCTCTTCTGCTGTCCTTTCTTACACTTCGATATACCGCATGACTCTGTAATGGCTCACAAACGGATCCACAGCTGCTACAAACTCGAGAAATTCAGAAATGGCCAAGTGAGATGGGATGCTGTAAGTACATAAGATAGTCTTTGGTTGATCTCCAAATATTGTCAGCGCAGTAACAGCATCAGCCGAACTTGGGTTCTTTTGCGTCGAATGAGAAGTAGGATTTCCAACGTCTTTGTCATTTCCGTCAGCAGCATCAGTATCTATACTATGTTTCACCTTAAGTATCGCATAGGGATGATCACCCTTTGTAACCGTGGGGGAGATTAAAGCCACAGGCGGTCCTTTGTGCGTTGACATACTATTTGGAAAATAAGAATCCCAACAATTCATGCATTTTTTACTTTGAAATCTTTTTTATTTTTCGAACTCCTGTGAAAAGCACACTGCCCTCAGCTTTTCTTTTTCGAGCCAGCTACGTGAGTAGATTATATCTTATTTAGCAACTGTATTTTGTTGAGAGGGACTCATGCGTTGAGCTACAGTAGTGTGATTTACTAAAATGGCAAAATCCGCTTATAACTTTTGCGGGATGACACTATCATGGCTTTTGAGGAGTATTAATAGATAAAGTCTGTACTTTGCCAAGAAATTTACCTCGATAGCCTTTATACACGGGGAAGGGCAATCATTTTGAAACATTACAATTTTCCTTTCAACAGCACCAAAAAGAATATAGAGAAGGACGAGGAACAGTCAGGAAGCGTCTTTCGGCGCAATATATCTTGACTGAACTGGCAGCAATATTATAGACTGTCACGATACTTAACGCTCACTTGTTCTAACTGGCCGATCAAGATGCCCGACCGCTACAGAATATACACCATTCTCCAGATAGAGCAATTAAAAATGGCATAGCTTCTTCCTATCGTCTTTATGTCTTTCAAAGCAGCAGCATGTCATACAAGGTTAAAGACAGCCTGCAGTGATGGTAACCATTCGCCGCAATGGCTATACCACGATAGCAATTAGTTGAGCGAATTACAAATTTAGAGAAAGAAATAGTTGATCTGACGAATTAGTATGTTGATATTTTCGTGCTGATCAAAAGTACTTCAACGTATTTGGAAATATAATTGATTTGATGGCTGAAAGACGAATAATTTCGCGTTATGGGCTTGACTGGAAATTAGTTGAATCAGTGAGAAACTCCTTATATGCTGTGTTTATTTTAGTATATTTGTAATGCTTTGATAGTGATGATTTTACAGTAAAGAGATATGGTCAAGAGATACAGTTTTGTTCAAGTAGAGTGAAATTATACAGTTTCTGGTTTATTCAGCATATTTAGATTATGGTGACAAAAAAAAAAGTCTAGTAATGGCAATACCAAGTATGCTCCTACTTTAGTTGTTGATACTGATACTATGCTTTAAAGTAAGAAATGATATAGGTATGTCATCATCATCATTCTCTATATGTCGAGTTTGCAATTGCTCCTTCACTTTTTCTTTGTATTTATCAGCAACAGCCTTATGAAAATCGCGGTCATCTAAGCCTACTTCTTTTTCTTTATTAAGAATGCCATTAAAAGGCGACGATGGTGTTGATTCTTGACTGGCAGATGATGGTTTTAAAAAGCCTATTGGAATATTATCGTCGTTATATGTGCCTCCGTTATTCTTTTTGAATTTCTTCGCGGACGTTCGTTCGAGCCGTGCCTTTTCTGATGATATATTGAACTTGTGAGAAATTGAAGGCAACGGCTCTTCTTGCGCTCTTCTTCGTAATTCATCTTGTTGAAGTCTGGTGGCTTTCCTTAAATCATGTGCAGAAGCGAATTTTCGTATCCCGTTACTGTGGCCATTGTTATTGCTGCTCATGCCTAAGCGTGGTACAGACGGTACTTGGGCATTTCGCTGATTCGTTGAAGCAGAAGCTGAAAATGCAGGTTTGAATGGTTTGCTTTTACTGCTGCCGCTGCTACTACTGCTATAAGAGGGTGAAAGTAATGGTAAAGAATCGGTCAATGAAGTCAAGGGTGAATTGCCACATAATTTATTCAGTGCTTGTTCTCTCTCTTCCAGTAGCCGCGTTGTTGAACAATTTGGATCACGATTTACTGATTTTGATCTACCCCGATTAGCACTCCTGCTACTGCTCTTTCCATGCTGATTCACTTGCCGTTTCGCTAGCCGTGGTTGTTCATTATTAGAGCTAGGGTAATAATGTTGTGGCGGTAATGGCGCCTTTCTGAGGATGTGATGTGTATTATTGGGTGCCGTTGTGTTAAGAGGGAGAGGCACAATACTCGCATGCGTTGAATGTGAATAAGGGTTAAAATGCGTATCGTTCAGCATAGAATTTGCAGGAATGACTGCAGATGAACCAGACCCTAACTGATGATATTGCTGAGGGTGGATCAAAGGCTCAGGTTTATTTTTGCGAAATAATTTCAATAACGGCTTGGGCTTTTTCGCTAATGCGTCTGCTTGGTCAATAGGACTGTAAGCTGCTACAATTGATGTCATTTTAAATATGATGTATGGTTCTATCAGTAAGGAACAACGTTAAAGAAGATAAAAGGAAAGAAAGAGAAGCAGTTACACAACACTAAAATATATAGCATTGATACAGAATAATTTAATAAATTTCGTTCTTATTGTTCTTCTTGGAAGAGAAAGGGAGAAGGGGGATGTATCCATTTTGTATTTATTTTGTGTATGCCTTGAAATACATGCTTCGTTACTCTTTATTGGCAGGTAGTAATGTTAATTCTTTTTAATTTATGTAATTGATAACCTTATTATTACACTTGAGTTAGCTAATACATCACTGCAATTCCCATTACTGTTATTAGTAGAAGGAAGATTATTTTCGCGACTCCAACCAAAGCAAACTTTCTACGTTGCGCGCATTTTGTTTCGTTAAAAATTATGAAAGAATTCCCGAATATCCCTTACTTTTCTGTGTTTCTCAACATGATAAAAAGGAAATTACACACAGTAATAGTACACATGGCATCATTCAGAATGCAAACTAAAGCTTATTTGATAAGGTTTTGGCGGTTTTAGGTCTTGACGCAGCAACGGCACTATTTGGCGGATCAAAGAATTAGCGTTCGATAATTATGTTTATTCCCAGAAGATTGATCAGCGGCTATAGCAGTGTAGTAACATTGACAGCGGTCTATGCTATTGCATAGGCCGACGTATCGCTAGTTATGACTGAATCTTATGGACTATGGTGATTTATCGTTACCTTAAAAGTGTAAAGGTTATATAGATTGTTACCGTCTATTATCCTTTTTTTTATTGAATTGAATTCATTTTCTCAGCTTTAAAAGGAATGCTGCGCTTCTTTTATGGTTTACCATTATACAAAGGAGATAAGTAAGAAAGCCTATCGATGACATTTCGTCCAACTGCTGAATGACCTGTTTCTCTTCTGTCTCCTTATTTCTTGATATGTAGTTTCGGACAAGAATTGAAGAAATTCTACCACATTTTGTTTAAAAGTTAGGGTATAACTACAGAATAATACGTCTTTTGCTCTTTCAAAGTTGCATATGTTCCCATACGACTAAAAGACGTGGCTCGCTTTCTTGGTGATACACTCAATTTCTTTTTTAAGTCCTATTCTGTCTGGTGCCTGAGTTAAACTAGCCAATCAAATGTTGGTTACTGAAAGTATTCACTTTCCCGGAGACTCTTTAAAGAAGAATTAGGGGCACTGGGGCGTTTGCAGAGAACCTTTCTAATGACTAACTTATACATATTATTGCTGCTGTGTACTTATAACCTTAATAGTTAGCTTCTTGTCCTTCAAACAGCGTAGCAAATCCAGTGTCCCACTTTTTACACTAATCAACTTTTCCCGCATTCTCTTCTTTTCATTACTAAAGGATGGGAGAGCAATTACTTCCTTACGAAATTCTCCATTGCTCCAGTTGGGATGACAATTTTGGGCCCGATCAGTTATCAAAGGGAAGCAGCAACACTTCCTCAATGTTGGCTACTTCGAATAGTGCGCCGACCAAACTTGTAGGCTGGCAAACAGCACGGTAAAATTTTCATTCATGTTGTTATATTTTAAAACACAAATAACCAAAGCACTTTATGTCATAGGTTCCCTGAATATCCTCAGGATCTAATAATTCAGATTCTTTCGGGAGTCTCTTTCGTTTCTAAAATTCAAATATTGTCTCATCAATTTAAAATCGCAACCAAGGTTGATATTTACATTGGTCTGTTAAAAGACGGGCATGATCTATTACTGCAGCAAACCAATGGTAATTCTATTGGCTTGACAACAGAAAGTAACCATATTAGTGATGAGAATGATGATGAAGAGGATGTTGATAATATGGTAATTGAATTTACAAGACTAGGGTAGGAATATATACAATATTCGTCATTCACTCTAATTTTATGAATGCTCTTTGTTGTCTAATTCTTTTTTCGCGTTCTTTCGGCAGGCATATTTACTTTGATAACAATGCCAAGGCTCAATTTCGTGCAAGAGAGCTTAAGACGATTAAAATCAATATGAAAGCGGAATATATCCGTTTGGTGATACGAAATTCTCATAAAAATAGCTTGAATACGTACAATCAGGTAATAATAGTAAAAGAGGAGCATCCTTTTCGAAGAGGATTTATATTGTGATATTGACATGTATACATGCATTTAGGTTGGAATGCTCAATTTAGATATTATTGGGACCTCGATTGCTCAAGAGCTGCAACAGGAAATGGTAGCAGCAGAGAATTCCAATACTACACAGGTAAATATTATACATTGTGGAAATTCTGGTGTATGCGTTCAATTGCCGAGGTAGCTCTTCTTTATGATTTTTTGGTTATATTTATGCCAATTTATTGCATTAGCCAAATCTTATGGATAACAATAGCATCCTCAGCTCTTCTACTCGACGTACCAGTATCTCCAGTAGTCAAAGCCAATGTAATGCTCGCAATATGCATACGTGCAGCAATATTGAAAGAGAGTTCCAGCACTGGTATACAGCTTTATCAATTGCAGAAGAGGAAGCTGTGAAAGGAGAGTGCTATCAGGAAGCAAAGCTTTACAAAGAGCTGAACGATAAGTTAGAAACTCTCAGAAGAATTCTGTCTGATTTAGAAATAGGAAAACGACACGCTGTGGAAACAAAGGATTATGATGAGGCAGAAAAAATCAAGGTTAGTAATATCTTTTAATTGCTATCTTCACAATGATAAAATTGAAGAAGTGTTCAAACAGTGCTTGTTTCTTTTTTTAGGACGATATAAAAGTAATGAAGCAAAGTTTTGAAGGAATGTTAGCGTCTGCTAATATTCATATAACGGAAGAAGGACAAGTTGTGCACAATGTAGCAATTGCTAAGCCAAAAGATGCTGCTGATCAAAATGATCTATTGCTGTCTGCATCTTCCTTGGCAATAGTCGACAATACTGGTATGGTATGCGAATCTGAAACAGCAACACTATTAAACAAGCAACAGCAACAGAGCTCTTATATCAATGATTTGATGCCATGTTCTGGCGATGATTGCATACTACCCGCAGATATAGTGGAGCGTATCGGGGAGGAGGACCGCGCCACTTACACCCTACCCATCAAAGTATTTGGTGAGGACCTTGTATCCTGCATATTGAGCTTCAAGGCTAGTACCCGACTTCAAGGCCTGTCCGTTATAGAAGCTTTATTAAACAACGACAACTTCATCAGCAAAGAAAAAGATAACGATGACTTTATTGATGCTACTTATATGTTAATCAAAGAAGCCATTTTAGACTCAAGGGAATCCGTAATTACACTGACTTTAAGGATTTGGCAACAATTATTGCAGCAGAAAAAGCAGCAACGATCGACTTTAAGTGATCAAGTCACATCCCGAGCATTCATGAGTCTTTTGAATCGTTATACCTCTACTGTATCAGCAACGAGCGATATCAATAGCAATTCAATAATTCGACAGATGATCGCAGATTTCGTGATCACGTTTGTCCGTTTTCATCCTGACTACCTAGCGAAAGTCATTAAAAAACCGAATCGTATCGTACATTCTTATAGAGAAGCTAAACTACGTGTAGAATTAGTCAAATCAATAGTTATGGCATTAGGTGTATCTACACCTTTTGACAAAACTACTATGATTGGTACAAACAAAAACGACGGAGCACAAAGTAGCAAAAAAGGCTTGCAACTGCATAAACAGATGGTCCCTTTAAAACCGTTGACGGATTTTTTCATGGCATACCTTAGGCATGAGCATGACGTTGTCAAGCAAGCAGTTTTGAGCCTAATTGTAATCGTTTGTAGCGAAGTAAAAGCTGAAGCCGTAGCTCACACTTTGGACGACTCTGCAAAAGCGAATTTGACGGAGGTATGTTTTTGAGTAATGACAAAAGAGCATCCTATATGTAATAACGTTTTCTTTTTCTTTTTTGGTTCCCTTCACTGTAGGTTCTCAAAAAATATGAAAAGGAATTTTCATATCGAAACAGCAACGCTGAAAAGAATATTGAGATGTTGAGCAAAAAAGATAGAGAAGTATTAGAGGAATTACGGTCTCTCACTATGCCTGGAGGAGTGAAGAGATTGGCAGTTGCGAAACGCAAAGAAACAACGACAGTCAAAAAGGCTACACCGTCAGTTGCATCAACGAATAAGCCATCGACAACAACAGTGGCAAAAAAGTCACTTGTAAGAAAGAAAACAGGTACGGCTGTTCTGAAAGAAGAAAAGAAAAACAAAAAGGTCGTCCAAACAGAACAGCCTCAACAAATGCAAGCCGAACAAGATATCAACAACAGTAATTTATGCATATTCTGTGAAGAAATCAATCCTAAATTCAATGAGGAGTCCCTAATTAAGCATTATTATAACGAATGCCCGGCTCTCATTAACTGTACATTATGTCAAATGGTAATCTCAATTACAAAACTGGAAATAGAAGGACTTGATTCTAACGTGCCACTTTCGTTTACAACTTTTTTTAACAAAAAAAAAAAAAAAAAAAAATAGATTACAGAAATATCAACTTTGAAAGAGCATATGCTTTTGGATTGCGAAAAACGCCATTTGGTGAAAGAGTGTCTTCGATGCTGGCAAGCGATCCCAATTGATAATTGGGAGCATCATGCGAACAAAAATGATTGTCCAGGTAAATAAGTGTACTAACATCAATATCTGCCTAATGCTAAAATAATTTCCATTCCCTTATTAACAATTGAACAATTATCACTATAGTCTGCGATGCTGATAAGTTTTACTGCCCACTTTGTTTGATGATCATTGAGCCGTCAAATGATGCAGGTTGGAAAGACCATTTGTTGATTGAAGGTTGTTCGGAAGTGAAAAAGATAAAAAGAGGATTGAAATAAAAAGCTTTTGCAAGCATTTCGTAAGTAATTATATCTGATAAATGGAGCCACTCCAAATACTGTAAGTTTTAAAATTGTATAGCAAGAGGAAAGGCTTACTAGTGGCCGAAGTTACTATATTCACAACTCTGTACGTACAGTAAAATACCATAGTTCCCTTGTGAGGTTCTTGCCTTAGTTCTTAACGTCTGTTATAATGCGAGATCGAAGTATTATCTTTGTCTATGTAATCGTACGACATTGAGCTTGTTTTCTGAATTTACATAGTTTGCTTTGAGAGGCCCCTAAGTTTGTCGTCGCTTGAAGTCTATACTATAGTTTTTTCATATTTTTCACTTAAAAATTGTGCATTTAGTAAAGCAACGCAGACCACGTTAAGATTGTTGGGAATCTTTTGAAAAAACTACAGTATACATAATCAAGAGCCATAGGAGCTATGAGACTTTTTTCTTCAATTAAAGCACAGGACAATGAGTCTTTAAGCTGCAGCTCGTCTGGATTGAAAACGAGGTTCAAGAATCCCCCACAGATGCAATATCGGCGTATATTTAGTAAGTGCTCAGCCTTTAGTGTATGCGGTTTAGATGTTTGTAATAATTGAACGCAATTTAATTGGAAAGATATACAGTAAAATAACCTATAACTATCCGAAGCACCGGTAAAATAGGCAGCATTTATTGGTGGTGCAGCGAACTAAATAAAATTACGGATAATCAATCTTGACATTCAAAGTAAAAATGATAAGGGTTAAGATGCATCCTTAAGGACGATTACTCGAAAGGTTCAAGTATCTTTTGAACGCAATTGCAGGACTCTTTTGTTGAAGTAATAGATTAGTCGCGGACAGTTTAGACTTTGGAAACATTGATCTAGAACTTTAAGGGTCTAGAATTTCCAGAACCCAACGATCTGACGGTCTCAGTAACCTAATTCTCATTGCTTTAAAGTCTCAAAGCTCAACTGAGATCACAATATTTCTCTATCTTCTCCAACTAGGATTATACTGTTATTATATGAACATAAGATATCAAGGTATAGCAATTTGATTTTGGCTTATTGGGATCTTAATGGATATTGTAATATTAGAGTATACTATTCAAAGCACGTGTTGAGAGGGTACTACTTGTCGAAGCAAATCCTCAACTGTTGAAAACACAACTATCTTTTTCAAGATGCCTTAATAAATACAGTAATCCATTACTTTTAACGAGCCTATATTTCTGTAAAACGTCTCCACTTTTACAATTACTATGAAACTAGTTCGACAATGTGTAAATTTTGTCAGCTATTTCAACTGAAAGCAAAAGTGTCCACTGACAAAATCCGAGAAAAAATTCATGCGATTTTATGCCCTGAATATATTGATCGTATTGTAACTGTCAAAAGCTGAAAATAACCTTTCGCTCAGTAAGAACTACGTCAAACATGAAGATCATTCCGATAATTCCGTAAACAAGCTGTTGTACTGCTATTTCTTGTCCAAGTGACAACCACTAAAACAAAACAAAGACCTCGTCTCACATAGTTTTCTGCGAGGAAGATATGTCGAAAACGTTAGGGTTATAATCTCAACGAAATGAACCAGCAACGTGGGGTGGGGGAGTGGAAAGTGTAATGTTCGTTGAAAAACAGCAAAGCATCGATTAATTATAAGCGCTGGTGTTAGGTTACAGTGATAAAGTCATATTTTTTTTCACCCATTTGTCAACCTTTCGTATGGTTCTGCTTTGACTAGTCTTTACCTCTTCCACTATGTGTTTATCTGAGCTGTAAGCGATCAGCCTGTGGCGACAAGTATCGTGCTACCTTCTAATAGATTAGATATGACTGAGTATATACAGATTAAAGGTTTTTTTGGTTTTTTTTTTGGTTTACTTCCAAATGACAATTTATTATTTGATGTGAAAAAAGACCTCGAATAGTTAAGTGTTTAGATGCGAGAAAAGAAGAACTGTGGTCTAGTTCGCAAGTGATGCAAGAATTTTGACGCAAGGCACTTAGCTTGTGTCTTGGTGGGATAACGGTCCTGTACTTTCACAGCAACTCTCCTCTCTAAACCGTTGTATTATCCTTGCTTTGTGCATGACACTTTTGTTTTTGTTTGAATTTAGGTACGAGTTAATCAACGATAATATGAAAACAGAAATGTATGGGAGTGCTTCCCAACACTCTTCAAACTGATAATAAGCGGGAGATTAAAGACATTGCAGCACATGTTAGCTTTTTTTGTTAATTACAGTATACAGTGACATTTCCAAAGCCTTTCAAAATAGTTCCCACCAATTCTAGAGTGTAAAGCCAGCCGCTGAGGTATCTACAGATTGAGCAGGATGTGCCAAACAATTTTAAAACACCTTAAATAACCAGAAAGTAAAAGTGACCCTACACAAAAGACTAAGAAGACCATTGTGAAGGGCAACCAACGACAAATTGAAGGACGTAAATGGGTAACAAATGACAGAGGCCAACACTAACTAGCAAAACGTTAACGTCGGCTGCTACATGCACTACTAAGCTCTATATTGCAAAAATGATTCCGTCCGGATTCGAACCGGAGACCGCCTGTGTGTTAGACAGGCGTGATAACCAACTACACCACGGAATCTGGTATATTTTAATAAGCTTAAAAATAAATGACATAGCAGTAGTAATTAAAAGTCCATCACGTTATCTGTTGAGTCGGAAGTGCAAGTGCGGGTCGATCATGTGTGTACCCGGAGATTATATTCATTCAAATTAATTCTAATTAAGTATTTAAAGGAACTAGATCTGAATAAATAAACGAGACCTTTTCCTGATCAACTAAAAAGCACTATAAGTTTTGTTAGAGAATTTATACAACCCTTTCACGATATTGAGCATACCAATTTTGTTATGCCCATATAGGATGTCCTGTTAAGATAGTTTAAACGCAGTCACACGACTTTATTACATAAGCAGGCTATGATAAGTAGCTCATGAGCAAAATCGGACGTTGAATAATTTATGTGGAGGAGTATATAAATCTGATTAGAGGTGAAATGATGATCGAGGCCTTTTCCGGACATAATAAATTGTACTATTGAAATACATTTATATTCCAAGTGACTGGAAAATGTTGAAATAATAATGAGTTAACAATGCAGCATTCGGTCAAAGATGCCATTTATTGTTGTAAGTATTTATCCAGTTGGAGTCTGTCAGAGCTTCATGAATTGGCTGATACTTTCATCGAAATAGTTCATGGTAAACATCAAATAAAAGGACTGTTCCGGACCAATTGTTCAACAAAAAGAAGACATGATGATGAAAGTTTTATAAAAAAAAAAAAAGAAAAGCTAATAATGGGTTGTATTAATATAAAGGGAGGGAAAAGGCGAAGGGAAATATATTCTGTGTGTACCGCGAATTACGATGCAAGGTCGCGTTTATCTGTTTTAAAAAATTTCAGTTCCAAGTGCGCATAGTCATGTAAAAGGTAGTTAGAAATTGAAACCTCCTTGTGGCACATCTTGCTGGAAACTAAACTGTCCTTGTTGTTGAGGTTGTTGTAGCTCGTCCGTCATTTCCTCGCCATCTTCCTCATTGAAATAACGATCAATAATATGGTAGGCTTTCTTGTATACTTCTTCATTTTGATGTTGTTGCAATTGATGGATCAACTCCATACCTCCACATTCTTCGATATATAAGGCATAACGGTTCATACCCTCAGGATCATTGGGACGCTCTTGCTCACCGATTTTCAGAATATTATCTAACCCATCCAAAGCCACTTGAACTATTCTATTATCCATACCGGTCAGCACATCACACAATGGCTTAATACAGCCTGCGGCAACCATGTAATGAATCTGTTCAGGCTTGTTGATACCGCCACTGGTGGCATTCACAATAGCCCAACAGGCTTCTTTACGTGTTTTGATATCAGCTGTAGCCAAAATATGGATCAAAGGGGGGATGATACCTGATTCAATCACAGCATCAATTTGTTGTGTGTTACCGGCTGTGATGTTAGAAATGGTCCAACAAGCTTCTTTACGAATTGCTTCTTTGTTACTGCTTAAGAGAGAGTTCAAGGCAGGCAATACACCGCAGTTGATGATAACTTGAGTCTGTAAATCGTCACCTGTAACAATATTACCTACGGAACGTAAAGCGGGTGTTTGGACACTAGTAGAAGGGTGCATCAGCAATTCCACTAAACGACGGCAGACGCCAGACTCAATCACAGCTTGAATACGATCATTCAGACCATCAGATAAGTAAGAGATTGCCCAACAAGCATCAATCAACACTTCTTCATCGGTGGAGTAGATCAACTTGGCTAAAATCGGAAGAGCAGGGCTAACCATTTCCCAAGCAGGTTGAGGATTCTTACCACGACATAAGTTGGACAAGGTCCAGGTGGCATTACGTAGCATGCTTAGCTTGTGCTGTTCGTTCAAAATGACCAATAAAGGGACTAGAGCGCCTTGATCCAAAACATAATCACGGCACATAGCACTATCACCAGCAATATTACCTAAAGCCCAAACAGCCTGATAAAATAGGTGAAAATTTCAATTTCTGTTTTCTACTATTATCCAACCATTATCCTCTCAATACATACCTGCTCTTTAACATCAAGAATGCTGCTGCTAAGTAATTCAATAAAAATAGGAACAGCGCCAGCTTCGATAACTTTTTCTGTTTGATCCGAGGAACCAGAAGCTATATTTGTCAAAGCCCAAGCGGCCTCAAACTAATTAAAAAAACAAAAGTCTAATTGTCAAAAATACGCAATTTAAAACACGGTAGATAACGTCTTTTGAATGTTACCTGTAATAAAGGATGGTTTGATCTCAAAAAGTTAACGAATTTGGGGACTACGCCTGTAGCAATGACTTCCTTAATGGGTGGGTTTCTTTCTTTTGAAAGTAATTTTCTGAATTTTGTGGTGGCATCGTATTGTTTTTCAACGTCGTGCGAATTGACGTTATTGATAAGTTCCATCAACGTAACTTGTAACTGCAAATGCGAATAATAATTGAGTGTTAGCGCAATTGAGGGATTTGATAGCCAACCGTCAAGCGTTTTCCTTTTATGCCTTCGTCTACTACATTGACACACTTACGTTATCATCGTCTTCTACCTCAATGTCATCCTCGCTGTCTGACATGGACGCGGCAGTAAGGTTCAAATTACGACGCTTGGAGAGATTTTCTTCACGCTTTTGCTTTCTGATTTCAACTTGGTGCTTCTGTCGACGGTTTCTGACAGATTCGGCACCGAAAGTGTCCTTGTTTTTGAAAGCACTTTTTCTTTCTGCTGCTGTTTTATCCATATTTTAATCTTTTATTTGTCTGGAAACGACTTTGACTATTGTACAAAAAGAAAGTAATGAATAGAAAAAAGAAAGAAAAGCTCAAAGAAAGAGAAAAAAAAAAAAAAAAATTATTTTCACTGGGAACGAAAAAGGCACGACTACCGCCAAAATCAGAGTCTGAAAAAAAAAGAGCCCTTCTATAGTTGATTGGATTGCTGTGTTCCTTTTTGTATTTGGCTGCGCATACGTCACTTATTTAAATGAGTGACAAGATTCCTATAAGGCAGCATAAGCAACTATACATATTGGGGTCAGTAAAGCTATCTATTATTATTTTCTGAAGGACAGTTTGTGAAGTTGCTATTTCAAAATTGACCTTAAAAACACGAAAAGCTGCATGAATTTCTTACGTGGCTGAGTCAAATAAGCGCATTTGTTATGCTTCGACCTTGAGTTCGGTCAGGCAACACTCTTTTTCTTACATTGTGCCGCTCATTACTCCATACATAATTCTCTCTTTTTCTCTTCGAGCTGATTAGTCCCGAATGTTGGAATTTCAGAAGCAAATCCTCACAGAAATTGTATCTGAGGATGGTCTACTTATATTATCACCGGGTTTAGGCCTGTTCACGTTATTATCTACACTTGCACAGGTCTACGCGAATGGTCAGCACTTGGTTATTTTGATTAATACTACTAAGGAACAAGATGATATATTACAGGAACATTTACAAGGTCAACTGAAGCGTATTGAATACAACGTACCAGCAGAAAGAAGAAGCAGCATGTATCGTCAAGGCGGTATCTTTTCAATAACCTCAAGAATTTTAGCAGTAGATATGTTGCTGAATAGGATCCCTGTAGAGCTTATCAATGGCATTATTGTATATAATGCGCACAGGTAAGGGATAGGTGGAGCTTTGCGCAAGCAAGTGTTTGAAAATTCACAGTCATCTCATTTATATGTAAAATCTCTTTACTAGAGTCAAATTAAATTCAATCGAAGAGCTTATTTTGAGGATATACAGGGAAAAGAATGAAGTAAAATTAGTATACTATTCATGCACTGCTATAGGCCGGATAAGCTTATTTGTTATCTCTCGATATATGGCTTCTATAGGAGGGATTCATAAAGGCTTTTTCCGATAGACCAGATCAATTTGTTTCAGGATTTGCACCTTTGCAGAATACATTGAAATCACTCAATTTACGTAAAGTACATCTTTGGCCTCGTTTTCACATGCTTGTTTCCGACAATTTGAGCAACACAAACAACAATGTGATAGAATTACGGCAGCCTATGACAGAGTCTATGAATATCATTCAACAAAGTCTAGTGGAATGTATGGAAGAAACTTTATCTGATTTAAGAAGGAACAATTCTAGTTTGATCGATATTGAAGAGATCAAAGTCGAAAATGCTTTTTTCAAGTCGTTTGATCAAATTGTACGTCGGCAATTAGATCCAATATGGCACAGAGTATCTACAGCCTCAAAACAGTTGGTAGGCGACTTGAAGATATTAAGGCAATTGCTGACCTATTTGACAGCATATGACTGTGTCTCGTTTTACAGCTTCATTGAAACAGTGCTTGCAGCCAATACTCCGCAGCAAGATGGTCGACAAGTGATACAATCTCAATGGTTATTAACAGATGCCGGCAATAGAGCTGTGATGGTAAAACAAAGAAGGAATTTAAAGCAGTAGGGGACGATATTTTCTCTAATGGGATGTACTTTGATTGCTATTGACTATAGGAAGCAAGAAAAAGAGTATACATCAAACAAGGGGATCCAGAATATGATGAATTACCTGAACAATCTCATCAACAAGAACAGCGGCCAGACGTACTTTTTCCAAAACATATCAAGCTTGTGTTGGAAGAACAACCAAAATGGAATTTGCTAAAGACAATTTTAAAAGAAATCGAAGACGACTCTGAGAATTTAGATGATGCTCCTGTGTTGATTATGGTTTCTGAACGAAGAACTTGTTCTCAGTTAAAAGAGTACATTACGTGTCATGCGCAAGAAGGTAAATTGTTTCTTACAACAATAGCACAGAGGTTCTTCTCGTGGCGGGTCAATATGCATCGATTGCAAATGGGAAATAGGAAAGGTATAACTCAACAACAGCAACAGAATCAACAACAACAACAACAACAACAACAGCCAACATTTCGCGGAAGACCGCCTCCTAATAAAAGAAGAAGAGTAAGAGGAGGTTTATCGCAATCTCCATCAAACCGTCAGCAACAAACATTAGCACAAACGTTCCAACAGGACGTTTTGGATACAGTAGCAGCGTGAGTCGCCTTTTTTGTATGCTCTTGAATCAATATTTGAAATCTAATTTATTCTCAATCTAGGCTTGACGAAGAAATCAATGACGAGGATGAGGACGACGACGATACACTTTTTAAAGGGATTATTGGCCCTTTAACGGATGCTGAAGAGATCAAAAATCAACATTTAAAATATAGGGACACTAACAGCAGCAACATGGATGTTTCTGAGGATGATGCAAACAAAGATACCATTTTACCTTCTTTTGAAGAAATACCTAGTACATCACTTATTACAATCCAATGCTATGAAGAAGATACCAATGATCAGATATTAGAAGATACTCAGCCACGGTTCGTTATTTTATACGACCCTCACCCTACATTCATCCGCCAGCTGGAAGTTTATCGTGCAGCGCATCCCTCCGTTAATATACGCGTCTATTTTATGTTATATGAAAACTCGGTCGAAGAACAGAACTATCTGAATTTGATTAAGAAAGAAAAAGAATGCTTCGAAAAGCTTATTCACGAGAAGTCTATAATGGCAATACCTTTGGCAGATAAACCCAAAGGCAACCGAGATGAACTTATTTTGCAGCGTAGAGTGACAGACAATACAAGAGTAGCAGGTGGACAATTGAAAGCCGTATTGGAACCTCATATCGTTACAGTGGACATGCGAGAGTTTCGAAGTTCACTGCCACCCATTCTCTATGCCGAGGGAATACAGATCGAGCCTTATACTTTGCAGATTGGTGATTACATTCTGAGCCCTGATATGTGTGTTGAAAGGAAATCTTTATCCGATCTAATTCAATCATTTAATTCTGGCAGATTGTAAGCGTGCTGATAGCCTTCTTTTGTTTGGCAAGAATGAGAATGAATGATTTTAAAGATAATCTCCTCTCTCCTACCAAATTGGCGATATAGGTATACCCAATGTGAAAGCATGTCTCTACATTACAAGATACCTATCTTGCTGATTGAATTTGAAGAAAATAAGTCATTCTCTTTACAAGCTTTAAGTGACATAAGGGAAAACATAAGATTGAATGATCTATCATCCAAATTGGTGATTCTAACGTTAGCCTTCCCCAAATTGAGAATTATCTGGTCTTCCAATCCGCATGAAACAGCCAAAATTTTTATGGAATTGAAAAGAACAGAAGAGGAGCCTGACTCCAAAACAGCGGCTGCCATAGGTGCCGAAGGAGTAGAGGATGGCGAAACAATTTACAATATGACAGCACAGGTAAAAAAAGAGATAATCGAATATTATCCTTCGATTTACGCTCATGTCTTACGATAATCATAACAGGAAATGCTGAGAAGCATGCCAGGGATCACGTCCAAGAACTATCACGTAATCATGAACGAGTTTGAAGACTTGGATGAGCTTGTAAATGCCAATGAAAAGCGGATTGCTGAATTGATTGGTGAAGAAAATGCACGGAAATTGTACAGATTTATACACAAAAGAAATTAGAACGGGCCTTTTTGTGCAACAAGCTCACTGTGTGGCAGAAAAAGGAAAGACATTTAGTTCATATAGTTGGAAGCTTTTTTTACTATCCCTTCTTCCCGGCTTCAAAATACTTGGCAAACTATAATAAAGCAACAAATGTCCAAGAGGAAAATTACACTGGCTGAGCAAAAACTAGCAAAGCTTGTAGAATTGAATCAAACACTTAAGCAGACATTGGATATTCCTCGGGTTCCTGTATCCGAAGCTAGTCAGTCGTAAAGTATATTCTGCTCAACTTGACGCTTTTTCACTTTTTCGCTATCTGTCATCTAACCCTGAATGCCATTGCTTAGACTCATCGACTTTTGTCAATCGACTGAAGATCTTATGATTCCCTCTGTATGGGGAGAGAAGCATTCAGATCCATTTGCTGAACCTGTTCATGGTTGCGGTAGTTGTCAAATTATGTAATCTGAAATGAAATATGCCTACACCGGCCGGCCTTTCGAATACCCCCACATTTCTGTCGCTCGTCCATTCTTTCCTTGCTGCTGCTGCTTTTTAACTCACAATCGATTTTCTTTTAGAATCAAAATAAATCTTTCCTTTTTTGTATCTGATCATCTCATCTGTTCAGTTGGGGAATATCCCCGCCATTGACAATCTTTAATACACGATTTGAATGCTTTAAGTTGCAATACTGTGTTCCTATCTATTCTTTTCCTCTCTATTCTTAACAAACTAAAATGGCTTCTCAAGTTCTTCGTCGTTCTCTCTCTACAGCTTCTACTCAATCCACGCTTAAAATCGGTTTGATCCCTGCCGACGGTATTGGACGAGAAGGTAACAACAAATTTAAGCTCAAGATGCTAAACAGCTGGCATTCTATATTGAGGAACTGTATGAATAACCTCTTTCAATAGTGATTCCTGTAGTGTATATAGATTTTTTTTCAATATAATAAGTCTGTCATCGTTGAATAAAAATTGACTTGACTTTATACTTTGGATAGGCCGCTCGTCAAGTTTTAGAAGCTTTGAAATCTGGACCTCAATTCGAATTTGTTGACTTAGATGCAGGTTTTGAATACTTCCAAAAGACCGGTACTTCTTTACCACAAAAAACCATTGATACTTTGAAGAGCGAGTGTCATGGAGCTCTCTTTGGTGCTGTCAGGTAAAGAGAGAGAGAGAGAGAGTGTGTGTGTGTGTGTGCTGTATCATATAGTGTGGAGAATGACAGTTTCTCACTTTGTCTATTTGTGCCTTTAAAAGTTCGCCTTCTCACAAGGTAGCTGGTTACTCCTCTCCTATTGTCGCTTTACGTAAGCATCTGGATTTATATGCCAACGTTCGCCCCGTCAAGTCAGTAGAGTCACCCGCTTTTCCCAGTCAGAAATTGTTGGATATGTTGATTATCCGTGAAAACACAGAATGTTTGGTAAGTGGAATGAGTGTAAAGTAGGACGGTCGTACTTTTCAAGAAGAGTGAATATAAAGAGAGTAGATAGAATTAAGTGCTTACAAGTAGAGAAGGGGCAAGAGAGGTGGAGCAGTCCCACAGTCTCATTTTACTTCATTCAAACTGACAGACGGTAAATTGCGATTATCCATTTAGTATATTAAATCTGAAAGAGAAGAGGTAGATCCCAAGACCGGTCTTCGAGTCGCCTGGGCTGATCGTAAAATTACCGAATTCGCCTCCCGTCGAATTGGTGATATGGCTTTCCGCATGGCTTTGACTCGTCAAAAATTACGTTCAGAAATACCTGTCGCCAACCGTTTCTGGAAGCATAATCCTAAAGTCACCATCGTTCACAAATCTAATGTTCTCTCTGTAACCGATGGTTTATGGCGTGAGACTGTTCGTGGTACGCAACTCCCTGGTGTGGATATGGAAGAACAACTTGTCGATTCCATGGTCTACCGTATGTTCCGCGAGCCCGAAGCTTTTGATGTTGTTGTCGCTCCCAATTTGTACGGTGACATTTTATCAGATGGTGCTGCTGCTCTTGTCGGTTCCCTAGGTGTTGTTCCTTCCGCTAACGTCGGTGACAATTTTGTCATGGGCGAGCCTGTACATGGATCTGCACCCGATATTGCTGGAAAGGGCATCGCTAATCCTATCGCTTCCATCCGATCTGCTGGTATGTTGTTAGAGCATATGGGCTATACTTCTCAAGCCTTAAAGATCTACGAGGCTGTGGATCAAGTGCTGGCTGATGCTACGGTATTGACACCTGATTTGGGTGGTAAGAGCTCTACTCAGGATGTAACAGATGCTGTTCTCAAAAATTTGTAGGGTATATGCCTATATTCTAAACTGTATCTATATTGACCAAAAGAAAAGATGTATATAAATAGTCGCGCTCACCGGTATTTTCTCGCTTTTGCTGAAACTATACGTATACGCTGTAATTCTAAAGTATAATCCATAACAAATAATGATGTAACTATCATTCAGCTTAAATAATAAATAAGCTTATGCACTTGTAAGTTCTTATATATTGCTTTCTATATCTTTCTTAACGTAAAGGAAGGTGTGATTTTAGAGTAGAGAGTAGCGTTCTCTGCTATTGTTAAGCATAGACTTACTGACGTTAACGATTGACTGGTTCCATGTATTTAGAGGTTTAGACGCTTCTAAACTGTTTCTTTTTTGATATTTTTGTACAATCTGATTTTCTTTATTTAGCGGGCGGTTCTAGTGCAACCAAAGCATTATCTGGATAAATCCTTGTATATTTTTTGTTTCATTTTTTATTGCAGTTCTTCAATTATATACATAAAGTTTCCCTATCAAATCTTAGTTCTTTGTGAATATCTTAGTTATAACCTATCACAAATCAATCAATTCTTTTATGACGCATTATTTTCTTTTTTATATCCTGATCTGTGATTTTGTTACTACGAAAGTAGAGGAACAACATCACTCATTGGTAATTTCTTCCCTCAAATGGTAACATTCTTATAACTGTTTAAGCACTGATACCGCAAAGTTGGGTCAATCTCCCGACTTTTCATAGGAGAACAAAGATAATGGTAAAGTTAAATGCTCAGACATTGGCCTCTTGTTACACTGCAGTTAGCAAATGTAAAACGAAAAAAGGAAATCATTAACGCAGTACATTGCCCGATTTCAAATTCTTGATCTGGCTGTTAAAATCGTTCATAGATCCGTTCAAACTACCACTTCACACAAATCCTTCGCTTACGACAGAATTGAAAGAGAAAAAGTCATTGATATCTACAATGGGTTTTGTTATGTGGAAGGAAGGACTTTGTGAGTAGTTGCTCGAGATTTCTTATCAGTATATCATGAATTGCTCTTTCAGCGACATAATTGTATGTTCGACTCATTGTGGTGCTATTAACCTCCGGTGAGGGAGGCATATCAGGTGGATAACAGCTTTATATTATTTAAATAGTTGGTAGTGCCCACATAAAGCCGTGTAAACTGAGGCAGGAGAGGAAAAATGAGTTATACCAACACACTACTTACTAACCTCACTTTACATCACAAGGATTGTGTTCGTTTAATGTTTAACGAAGAACTCAACATTCTCTATATATTTTTCCAAGTATCCATGGGCAACGTACCGATAACAGCTATCAGTAAACAAATCATCATGCGATTGCAATAATGTTCCAGTAATGAAGTTATTGCTACTTACCGATTCACTATCATTTCTGCTGCTCTATCAAGTCTTAGTAGCATTAGCAAGAATGAACGTGGTACTGTTATAGAGTTTATTCCTGCTGTACTTTCCGCAGCTTTAGCTTCTTATTGTGTGGTAACATCTATCTAAATCACTTGTAACATTGACGCTTAAAGCTTATAAGGCAATTTTTTTCCTTACGGATCAAGCACAATGCCTATTCCTGATGCCATCGCTTTTGAAAGCAGGCGCATATTAGTGCTATAGATAGCCATATCAGCATGTCTTTGAGAAAGGCCAACATTTTCGTATATTTCTATATCAATAGACATGTTGAGGCAGGCTATTGCATTTCCAGCATTACTGTTGAACACTACAGAGAAAGGATTTCGATGAGTAATGCGGATTTTTTCGTCTGATTGCTATCCATATAGTTTTTGCTTGTGACCGTAGCGCGTAACTCGAGTGTCACCTCTGTGGTTATTTTTTTCCCGTCTATAAAAACGAACAATTTACAAGTTATATATAAGTATTGACGTGGGCCCGTTCATATCTGTTCTTTGTTTCTTTTATACCTTTTCTTTCGATTGGATAATTGTTATAGACGCAATATGTTTAAATTCCTAATCCTTCAATTATGCGTTTTGATCGCCTTTGTCAGTGCTGGCAAAACCGAGCAAAAGAATGCAGTTGATATTGAATCGCCTTTTCCTGGTGATGTGTTCGTTGCTGGTTCTTCTATGCCTGTTATACTTAATTTCAACTTCCTAGCGACAGCTCTTAGTAAGTTTTCATTCGAGTCATCTATATTGGCTATAGACATTGAATACTGACACTCTGATTTTACAGAAATGGATGTGTCCATATACTTTAAGAACCTCACCATGAATCTTGAAATAGCAAAATCGGTGGATACCAGAAGTACCGGCAGAAAACAAATCGACGTAAGTCTATTTTTTTACGCGTATAGAAAAGATAGCCCCAAAGAGGGGGAAGGGATGGTTGGGAAGAAGCGGCACAAATCAATGAAGTGCTTCCTACCGCTGAACAAAAACTGTTTACTGATATTCTCGCTTGTTGGGGACGGATGGTTGGACGGCGTGACTGTATATCGATAGTTTGTTATTCCTAACACTGTATCATCAGGGGACTACCGGGTTTGTATACACAGACAAATATAAAAGTAATTCAAGGAGATGTTTGATGAGTATTCTTAACATATGATTTGTCTTTTTTTCAGGTTGAATTCGTCGATGCCGTAAATAAACTCAACTTTGATATTCCTATTCTTGTTCTTGAGGCGGCTGAACCATCATCTGCAAACCCAACTGGTGGAAAAGATGCTGCTGTAGCTGCTGCCAACACTGCCAATGAAGCAAATCATAAAGCCTTAGGTGCTGCGCCAAGTCTCTCCGCAGTTAGTGCCATCAAAATTGCTCTTTCTGTTTCATTGCTTGTTGCTTATATGCAGTTTTAAAAAGATCCGAAAAGTAGCGTTCTGACTTTTTTGAAATACAATAATATGTAAAAGGAAGGGTACAACTGATTTACAGAATAAATAAATCCCTGGTAATTACGCTCTTTTGGTTTCTAAAAACGTTGACAAGTCTGGCACACAGACAACACAGTACTACATTTCTCAAATCTGACGAGTACAAGATGTCGTGAAGAAAAGGCGTCACTCTACAGGGTCATGTGTAACACAATTGATGCTGCAATATTCATTTCTGTGCAACCATTACTCATTGATAACCACACGTTCTTTCCCTCAAATTTGTCGACTGCATTACAGAGTTTTAACGATTCCAATTTTATTACGTAAATGAATATTTTATTAAAGACAGCAATTACAGGAATAGCAAAGACGTGGAGAATGCAACAAATGATGGAATCAGAGATAGTCACAATCGACGTACGATATAATGTTGAGCCGACCACGTTTTTCCTTGATTCTAGCCTTCTTATTCCTATTCTATGTCTTCGGGCACTATCTTAACGTGTGTCCCTTTAATATCCAATTGCGCAATTTCTGCTAAAAACTTTTTCTATTGATTTTTTGATACGCAAAAGGCAATCTATTTGGCTTCATTGAAACAATATTATTCAAATATCATGGTAAATTTGAGCAGCGGATAACTAATTTGACGAGGAACAATCGCCATTGCACCACTAGACATGTCTATATCTCACAGCCAACTGAGGAGTGAGAAGTCAAAAGGAAGACATTGACGAATAGAGCATATTTGGTTTACTGTTTTATGGCTTTACTTCTTTTTGTTTGTCCGTCACTACCCATGCAGCTGCTCTTACATGACAGTGTCGACTGAGGGTCGTCTTTCTTTGACTGTCATCATGTCTGTCATTGGCTAATGCTCAATAGGATCTGATAATACAATGCGTACAGATGTAAGTCTTTTGTCAGCGCTCATATTTGATATTGCTTCAGTTCTATGTGGCAAGTAATTTTACTGCTTCACAATGACCCATACAATGTCAACGTTATGTAAGCTGTTTAATTTTAGTTTTCACGTTCTGAACATTGATCTTCCTGTAGACAGAATTCTAAGGTAGCGTTAAGTTTACTCAAATATCGAAGCAAGTTAAAATGAAAGAGGTCTCTCTTTTTTTTTGTATAGTCTACGATGACTGTTCTATATTGATATTGCGAGACACGAACATCATTATTATCATCATCTGCTTTTTTAGATGTAATTCTATTGCAGGCCGTTCACACATGGAGAACTTAATAGCTGGGTAAGGAAGATGCTAGCTTTTCTCAAGCGTTGATGTCATTCAACATCATTTGAAAAAGGCTATTGCTTTTACTCTGAAAGGATAATTCTTCATGACGACACATATACGGAGAGCATCAAGTTCTATAGAGAAAAATACCTCCCTCCAAATGCCAGCAATGTTGATATACTTGTCAAGTTTGGGAAGTCGATGCATGGGGATTACAGCTTTTACTGTCGATATTGACTAGATAAAAAGTAAGGAACAGACATTATGGATAGACAAACAACATTCTATTCCGCAGAATATTGACATTAAAAAGAGGAAGGGAGCTTGTGTTAGTAAGGGGGAGGGGAGGGACGGGTCTGCGGTGATGTGTATGCGTGTGTGAAGACAAAGAAGACATTCCTCTGACAAATACGAAATTTGACTGACTTTTTCATATTTTATCAGTTTATTTATTCACTGATACTTTGATCTTTTTTTTTTTTTTTTTTTTTCATTGTTCTTTGGTCTCCTGTTGATCGGGAATAAATAACACGACTTTATTGTTCCCTTTTCAGTAGGATAAAGATTACACGCATAATAATAATAATCCTCCATTGTATTTTTTTCCCCTTTTTCTATTTTTTAAATTAAAAAAAAAAAAAAAATACAAGAATTTTTGTTTGTAGTAGGGATTTCTTTAGAATAACCAAAAAAAAAAGAGAACATACATTTTATCGGTTATTTATTCTCATAGCTTTGTTTCTTCTTCTTTCCTATACATTCATTCTGACTAAAAACAATCAATACAAAAGATGGATACCTACACTAAGATAACCTCTCCAAACAGTGATGCTGCTTCTCCAATGATCGAGCAACAACGTTATGCGAATGATGCCTTCCAGAAGCAGCAACTGCAACAGCAACAGCAAGAGATCAATGCTACTGTTTCTGATCGAGCTCTTAGAAACCATCTGCTCAACCCTTCTTTTCTAAGAAAATATACGCTGGGCCATCAAGAATTGGGCCACGGTGGTTTTGGATTCGTTGTCACTTGTTTTGAAAAACTGACGGGAATAGAAAGAGCTGTCAAATTTATTGTCAAAGATAAACTACCTTCTGTCAACTGGGTCCAGTGCCCTTTAACGGGAAATGTGCTACCGCTAGAGATATATGCGTTGAAATCAGTGAAGCACCCTAATATAATTCAGTTTCTTGATTATTATGAGGACCCTATCTACTTTTATCTGGTGATGGAAATACATGGCTCACAATGGCAGCACCAAGAAGTAGAATCGATAACTACAACTAGCTCTTCCGAGACAAATGTCTCTTACGCTACAACATCAGACTTGTCTGACCATCCTCCACCACCTGAATTATCTGAATCAAAATCGACTACCACCATGGCCAGTGGCCGGAGCAGCAATAGTAGCAGCAGTATGATTAGCAGCAGCAGCAGCAGCAACAGTGACAATGATGATTTTGATGAATTTGAAGCAAAAGATAATGAGAGTGATGAAATGAGTAACAACCACATGCATTACAAAGCAAAGTCAGATACGATAAATCGTTCGCCCATGACTTCTTCCGTTCGACAGTTTGTAAGACGCACTTCTTGCGACTTATTTGAATGTATTGAACAGCATAAACAATTTGAAGAGCCCTTAGCCAAATACATCTTTAAGCAAGTAGTGGACTGTGTTGCCTATTTAGAGTATGTAGGTTTGTGTCATCGAGATATTAAAGACGAGAACATTGTTATAGACAAAGATTACAAGGTAAAAGAAAAGCTATTTAAAGTCCCCACACTACTACACCCATGGACACAACCATTCTGATGTTTGTTGGTTGGTTTGTGCCCTATCCTAGGTCAAATTGATCGATTTCGGTTCAGCTGTTCTACTACCTAAGGAGTACACCGACGCTCGTCATTATTTCACTCGCTTCTATGGCACACTTTCATTTGCTTCACCCGAGATTCTTTTATCGCAACCCTACAAAGCAGAACCTGCAGAGATTTGGTCGCTGGGCATCTTACTGTTCACATTGATCTTTGGCGAGATACCCTTCCCGGACACGCAATCCGCTTTGAGGGGTTGTATGATTCAACCGCGTTCTGCATCCACAGCATCCCCACCCTTAGTTGAGACTATCTCTCTAGAATGCCAGCACTTGATACAACTTTTATTGCAAAGGGATCCAGAGAAAAGACCTACCATCCATCAAGTATTAAATCACCCTTGGTTCAAAAGACATTAACAGAGAACACCGGTGTGCTGCTTGTCGATGAACAACTATGCGAAGAGCCTATTATACCATTATTTATATACTTTTTTTTTTTGTTTTCAGGAACTACCCATGCTTCAAGTTTTCTTTGCAATAATAGAATACCCTTTCATGCAAATTGTTTCATTCTTTGTCAAGATCCAAATCAATTTCTTCATATCACACTCTAATAATAACTCTTTATTGATTTTACGCAAAAGAATATCCATGTTCTATACATACTATCCATTCTATGTACGTAATAATATCAACAATAATAATATGATTTTTTTTTTCTTTTCTTTTGAGGCTTTGCATTACATAGTCATATCTGTCATCAATGGTGCGCGACTTGGAATAGTCCAGAAAATTAGAGCATGACTCGGAGGACATTTCAACACTCACTCAATTATTATTTAATTTCGACCCGACGTTGCAACTTCTTTAAAAGTCAAAGCGCGTTTATTTTTATTGTTCGCCGATTGTGGTGTAACAACTGCTGTAAAGCTACGTTACTCCCTCCATTGTAACAGGATAAACAAACAAGTCAGTTTCTAGGATACAGAAGGTGCAAGTCTATGACATAGAGCACTTTTATTAATAATATTTATAATAAAAGCAGTGTTATTTATTTTTGATACGGGCAAAATTGCATTATTGTAGTTAGTCTTTAATCCCGCGGAAAGGTTGTGCTCTGATTTCATTTCTTCTGAAGAAAGCACAAATTTCGTTGGCTCAAACAGAGACAGCAGCAGCAGCGGCAGCAGATTTTGACAGTGATACAAAATCACGTTTTTTATGCTATTTCTATAAAAGAAGGAAAGAAGACTGGTAAACCACGGGTTAATTTTCGTGCTCAAAAAAGGACGCCTTTATGCAACAGAATAGATAGTGGACCAGCACAGCTTTGGATCCGCTGATGAACTTTTAAATAGGCCTACTTTTCCATTGACTCTGCAGAGTTGTGTATGCTTGGTCTTTTCGTAGTTCACTGGAAAGGCAGTGCTGCTTGTTTATCAATGGCGTGAGAGGCCACGGCCTTAACCGAAGCATCTCTTCTGTCGTTGTGCGATTCCATAATTCCGCGGATAGGCTAATCGTCAAACCCACGTATAACATTTCACACTGTGTCTGATGACGCCTTCATTATACACAAGCAAGAGAAACAAAGTTTGATTATTTGTTTCACATAGACCATAGCGAAGCAATTCATACTTTTGTATAGAACAAACCACTAGATCAGACCGAGTAATCTATCTGAACCGTATACCCGGATAGGTTGGTTTTCTGTACAGTATATACGCTTTCAAAAACGAGTCCGGATGGATGCATATTAATGAAATAGCCAGTATTCCTATGACATTCATCATTTACGGTAGCAGTGGCGTTTTTTCAAAGGGGTTACAGAACCTGTTTGCTCAGTAAGCTATTCACATTCTATGTTGGGGCCGTAAAGTTTAAAACGTTGCCCTGTCAATGACAGCATCCTACATCAATACATCGCGGCTTGTTTCTTTTTTTAACAAGGTCTATCAAGAGAACCCTCCTCATTGTCAATTCTTTAGATCAAACAGGTTGCTTATTTTAGTAACCCCTTTTCACTTCGTTCATCCTTCGTTGTTGTCTGATGTCTCTCAATGTTGTTTGATAGCTGTTTAACTACAGACTAGCAGAAAAGGCCAATGTCGCAAATGCTTGGACTTCTAAAACAGTGATAGTAAGCCCCAACAAATAAACAATGCCTCAAGCTCGTTGAACTGCGACTAAAGGACATACACGATATTGAAATTATCGAGTCGAGTTACACAGATTAAATTATCATGCAATATTTTCAGTCCGTCAAATATATCATGATCGTCATTCTTACAAGCATTGTCCATTCTGTCATAGCGACATAGCAAAAACTTGGTCTTGGTATTTGTTTTTTTATTTTGGGTAGAAATTAAAAAAAGAAAAAAATAAGGGGAGGGAGGAAGGTTATATAGCGTGTTAGTGTATGGAAGATAATGAGTTCATGAAAAAAGCAAGGGACATTGAATATATAAATAGGAATGCAGTCAACGAAAGAGAAAATAAGGTATATTCAAGCATAGGTGAGCTATGTCTTGTGTGTGTGTGTGTGTGTGCAAGAAAAGAAGGGGGTGTATATAGTGTATGTTGGGTGGTGGATTGGGTATTATGTACAATTTCTTTCTTTGTCGACTTTTTTTTCTTTTTTTTTTTTTTTTTTTTTTTTTTTTTTTTTTGCAAAAAACTGTTGACGTAAAGTTTTGACGCAGGAGGCTTAAATACAGATTTCTTGTTGTTGATGATGGGTATGGATGACAGTGCTAGCGCTATTTTCATTATTCATCGTTGTAGATGTTGTAGTTGGTGTAGTCGCTGTCGTCGTTGCAGAACTGGACCCTTCTAAAGCAGTTCTCTCGGCCATCATTCTTTCCATGTCTCTTCTCCACTGTGATTTCATCGTCAACAGTTCCAGCATATCTTTATATGTCAGTTTAGCTACTTCTTGCGCTGTACGATCTAGGCATTTTAAAAAATATATACTTTTTAGCATTTTGAGCGCACCTCTTTTTTTTTTTATTTTTGCGCGCGCGGAAAAGTCTATTTACCATATTCGTCGTTTGCAAAAGTGGAAATAAAGTCGACTTGAAGAGAAAATTGCACTTTTTTGCACATGTTTGATATAAAGCTTGCAAATTGATTAGAAGGGGTTTTCACAGAAATATTGAGACACTCTATTATGGTATTGGGTTGAAAGAAATAAAGAATAAACGAGCAGAAAATAGATACAAAAATGTTGTTGTTACTTCAATTTATACTTTTTTTCGATTACTGCTTGTATTCCGCGGAAAAGAACGAAGAAAATGGGGGATAAGATAAAAGAGGGGGCCACAAGAAATTTGAGATATTTCCCAATTTGGACTTTGTAGTGGTATTAACCTTTTCTTTTTTAATTTTTTAATCACCAGCAAAAAAAAAAAAAAAAAAAGAAAGAGTTGTTTGCTCTGAAACACGTTTAATTTTGTACCAATTTATTGTCGTGATATCCCAAATCAGAAAGAGACTATTTGCCTCCTCCTTTCTTTTCTTTTTTTTTTTTTTGGCCTGGCCTTGACTTTTATTCTTTTTCTATGCCCTTATCTGTAGTGACACGGTTGCATCGTTCAAGCAGTAGCTATTTATAGCATATTCAGTATATCAACTGCAATCACAAGAACAGGTGTGTCAAGCTACCATTTAAGTACCCGCCGTGTGTCTCTCGGTTCCTGAATCAATTTTAGCAAGATTAGATTTATCAATGATTGTGAAATGGTACAAGTAGAGACCTTGGCCTCTAACCCAAAAAAAAAAGAAAAAAAAAAAGTCGACAAAGAAAGACGTTCTCTGCCGTCAGTAGGGGGCCTCCCTAGAATATAATTTATTCAAAAGTAAAGAAAAAGATGATAGCTTACCATGGAAATGTGCATTCTTCCATACCCATTCACACATAGAACAACTTATGGGCATAAAACAGCAAAACACGGCTTCAGAAAAGCTACCGAATTGCTGCATGTACGCTTACGAGTTGATATCTGGAGATCTTTTGATGATAGATGAGTGTTGCAGATAAAGAGCAGAATCAAAGGTACGATCTTAAAATGAATGCTTTATAAAATCTATGTTCATCTGTAGCCATCTTCTCTTAAACAAAGGTAATCATTTCTTTTCGCTTCTTGATAGCTCAGATGGACAGAAGAAAGTAATATCTGGAGAACCCATGTAGGGGTGGGCAGGCAGTAGGACCTTTCGAAATAATAGCGCCGCTGGATGTAGCAGCAGTCTCACTTTTCAATACACTTTCATGAGCAACCGTTTCTTTAGACATATTGAAGGGTATTTGCCAAACAGTTTCAGTTTAAGCAATACCGATCCTTCCGTAAATCCTAAGAGAAGCGAGGTCCCGATGACGTATGTATATTAAAAAAAGTCTTCCATAATAAGAAAGCCCACGAACAACCGTATAAGAATTTGGAGCTGCAGGTTCAAAAATTCCCAAAATCCAAGCATAACATGCTTCCGTCTGTAGCAAAATTTGCACTGAGAGATGAATGGTCTCAGCAAACTGATTCCTCTATTCGACATCTCAGTAATGAGTCTCAAGCGCTACTCTGGATCGATTCATGTTCAATAATAGTTTACATATGAGTTTTATTTAAGAAAAAAAAATGGACGAATAATATAGACAAACAGTAACAGTATATCAAAATGCATTTCATGGGTAAAATAACATACGCTCTAATTCATTTCAGCAACCAGCTGATTGATATCATCTTGCTCGGCACTGCCCCTCTTGCTCTCCGCTTCATTTTCTTCATCGTCTTCTCTGTTCAGGATTTCCTTCAATTTCTTCTGTCTCCAACCTCTCACAGGGTCGTTTAATTGGAAAGGTAATAAAAACTTATTGACAGTGTTGAATGTCTCTTCATTCTCGTGATTCCAGATTTCATGAACAATATCCTCCAAGCAAATGACGCCCACATTGCCGAGCTGTTCCTCAATCATTGTATTATCAGACAAAGGTGTTCTCACTCCCTTGATCATTGTTGCACCTCGTTTCATAATTAAATCACGCACTGTCTTTAAAGTGGGTCGGCCATAAGTGACGAATGGTTCAATTTTGCGCAGATCCTTCATTATCTCAGTTTTACATACAATAAATACACCAGAATTCATCTTCAACAAACGGAATTGAGTCAATAATTTTTTGATCTTGGGATGAATAGAAGTTTGTGTTTTGATACGAGCGACAAATAGCAACTCTCCAGCATCCTTTGGCTTTTTAGTGCTATTTGTTCCTTTCATTTTTCCTGAAGAAACGGCGTTGAGTCTTCGTGCTTGCTTCTCGTTCAACATGTGTTGGCGAATGAACTCATCGGCTCTTTTGAATTGCTGTTTCCTGAGCTTTTTCTGAGACTTTTTTTTTTCAATTCTTTCCCGAGCTTTGATAGCTGCGTTCTTTTCATTCAACTTTCTCTTCTTTAATAGAGTTTCTGAAACGTAAGTGGGGTTTGGAATAGCTCTATCAACATTGTTAAAGTTAAACAAAATGACAGTCAGCATGTTGCTGCACCAAAAGCATAAAAAAAAAAGCTAATTTCTTTCCACATTGTAAGGGATGACTTACGGTTCAGACATTTTGTTTCGTTTAAATAACTTGATCCGATGGTAACAGATCTAATCAAAAAGAAGGGAAAGGTAGAAAAATAATCTTATTAAAGCGTAAATAAAATTTTGATGGCTTGTCCGTCTATTATTTCGAGTGACTTGCATTTCTTAATACGGCTCCATCTTGGGGCTACAAAAAGAGAACCCCGTTCATTGGCCTGAATTGACGAGTGACAACCATAAACGGTTCAGAAAGAGTAGCTCATTTATTATTAGTCTCTAAATTGCATTGAATGATTTCGCATAATAAGCGTTGAGTAGCATGTATCTTCGTTATCTTATCAATTAAAAATGAGCCTTTGCATACTTCCCCTAGCTTTTAATTTGTTAACCTACAATGACAAGGCAACATCTCTGGCGTAAATGAAACACTGTTCATATGTTGATAAATAGGTGTTCACTTACTTCTTATGCTGCTGTGTGCTGTATAGCATTAAATACAGCAAAATTACTTTTGAGCGCTTCACTATCTTAGTCTTTTTCCTATTGGACGAAATGTGATTCCAAGACGTACAAAAAAACTCAGGGCTTTTTCCAGCAAATTTTTTTAGATTCTCGTCGCCGCTTACCTTTTCTATCCCAACACAAATTCTCTGTGTGTATTAGTTTTTTTTTTTTTTTTTCTTTCTTTTCTTTTCTCCGGGTTTACATCTGTTTGCTTTAACATCACTTTTTACTTTAATCAACAAAGATGGGCTTGAGTTTCTCCAAGTTGTTCAACGACCTTTTTGGCAAAAAGGAAATGCGTATTCTTATGGTCGGTCTTGATGCCGCCGGTAAAACTACCATCTTGTATAAGCTTAAATTGGGTGAAATTGTCACCACCATTCCTACTATTGGTAAGTCTGCTTTGTATTTATCATGAAGAAGAAACACGGGAGGCAAGAGCACAGAGAATGTATCATGTTCAAGGAAAAAAGAAAAAAAAGAAGAAAGGTTCTCGTTTGCGTAGCTGAGCGTTTGTTATTCATCTCTTTTACAAAAAAAAAAAAGATGAGTTACGACACCATCTTGTTCATCTCTGCTCTTCTCGTGCGCGCGTTAGTTACAGTGACAATTAACGCTTTTCTTTCATTTCCTATTATTAATTGATATGCATAGGTTTCAACGTCGAAACTGTTGAATATAAAAACATTTCCTTCACTGTTTGGGATGTAGGAGGACAAGATAAGATTCGTCCCCTTTGGAGACACTGTAAGCTTCATTTATATGCATTTTCAGTGTACCGATGGACTCACACTCGTACTGTTTTAACTTTTTATCACCCAGACTTCCAAAACACTCAAGGTATCATCTTCGTCGTCGACTCTAACGATCGTGACCGTATTTCAGAAGCTCGTGACGAACTCCAACGTATGTTGAATGAAGACGAACTTCGTGACGCACTCTTATTGGTCTTTGCCAACAAACAAGATTTACCTAATGCTATGAACGCTGCTGAAATTACCGATAAGCTTGGTCTTCATTCTCTTCGTAACAGACGTTGGTACATTCAAACCACTTGTGCTACTAGCGGTAAGTTGGTTTTTTTTTTGGTTTTTTCTTTTGAGACATTTTTTTGGGAATTCCTAATTTGTCTGATTGTCTTTTCTATTTTTTTCTTTCTTTTTTTAAAACAAAAAAAAAAAAAAATAGGTGATGGTCTTTACGAAGGTTTGGAATGGTTATCTACCAACTTGAAGAAGGCGTAAATAAGATAGCATATATATATCATTAATATATAAACAACTCTGTATCCGGAAAAAAAAAAACGCACACCCTTTCACACTCATACAACAATAAAAAGGATAGACGGGATAATACAGCGAGTATTCAGAAATTAAAGGATTTGAGATCACCTTTTTTCTTAATTCTTTTGCTTTATTTTGTCATATCTTTTTGCAATTCTGGAATAGCAGTAATATGAACTGAAAAAAAAAGAATCATATTCAAAGAAAAATCAGAAGGAAAAAGCCCACGATTTGCATTATCTTCTTTTGGATGATTTCGTAATGACTAATACACCCAATGTAAGAGGGTTATACAAGTGTAAGATGCACGGACATTTCATTTTCGCACACAACCCATTCAATAAGCTCATCCTACGGTGGCTCAAGTGATTATAAGGTCCTGCCTTTTTGCAATTCCTTATTCTTTTTTTCCAATTTTAAACACTACCAAACTTATCACTGGCGATGAAGGACCAGCAAGCAGTCTCTTCTTTATCGAAAAAGATTGATTTGGCTCGCTGTAAAGGGCAATGGCCGGCTGTTTTACAACTTTCGAAGGAGTACCAGAAAACGAATCAGCACTATTCAGCCGTTCATGATACTGTCAGATATGAAGCCGAATTCTATCAAACGCTAACAAATCTGAAGGGCCACGATAATAATGGGTCGCAAGAAATACATTTGAACGACACACCTCTCCAACTCCATCTAACTTTGACTCCACAGAAAGCAAAGTCGAACACATATATTCAAGCATTAACTCATAAGGTGGAGCGTATACTCGAGAAGAGTACAAAGGCCAATGACTTCGCGGAGGGTGAAGAATATTGGCAACTACAGGTAACTTTTTAATGTTTCGTTGCATCCAATGCAAATATCTGACCCTTTCCCCTTTCTCTCTTAAATTCAGTTTGCTAAAATAATACTGGCTAGATTTCACTTTGAATTAAATCATTTTGATACGGCATTGAAATTGTTACAGGATCTGGCTATACGAGTGCCTGCGACGACAAGTACTTCTTCCATTTTAAAGAATAGCGAGAATCAACTCTATAGCTTGGTACTTTTGGTTCAAGCCAGAGCAATGAAAGGTGTCTGTTTATTACTTTTGCAACCCACGTCTTCGACTGCTTCTGCTGAATGTAATGACAGCGATGCAGAAGCCTTGAAGGCATTCGAGGCTGGATGGTCCGCCGTTCGAGACTATACCCCATCGTTTATTCGACAATACCCCATCCTTTCGTACTGGAGCGAAGAATGTCTCTACTACAGCTGTTTATTACAACTTAAAGCAAAGATGGTTAGCAAACAAAAAAGAACGGGTGGTACCGATAACATTCTAGAGCTTTTTCGCGCTTATGCAAAACTAGTGTCTACAGCCTCTCCACAACACCATCGTCGCGTCTTCAAGCATTGGACGATTTTTAAACACTATATTCAGTATTTACTGGAGATCTTAGAAGCAGAAAAATTCCATACGGAACATCATGTTGTACTCGAGGAATTGATATCCGTTTTAGCTCAATGTAGAGTCCTCTTCGAAAGCGTGCTCTTGCATTTATCTCTATCTGATAAGCAACGCTCCTATGCACTTCAGACCTGCGAATTGATGATGCGGGCCTACAATAAGATTTGGGATCATCGCCTTTCCACTTCTTCATTGAAACAGCTATTTCAGAAACAAAAAGTGCTGGAACGAGCTTTACAGGTATAAGTAAAAGGCTGAAAAGAAAAGCAGGCTTCAATTGTTTACTGAAAGGGACCTTTTTTTTTTTTAATAGTTTCTCAACTTGGCTAAGCGGTTTATAGCGTCTCACTGTCCTACTATTGCACGTTATATATTCTTTATTTTGATAAAGTTAAGCTATCAAAATAGTGCTTACAGAGAGGAAGCTCGGCTAGCGCTACTGCGTTACCTCGAAACTATGAATATCCCTATTCACTGCACTAACATGGATGTATCGTTTGATGTTAAAAGCATCATAGCAAATAGTAAAGGAGAAGCAGTTTCTGATATCTTAGATGTTATTTCCCTAGGTGTCTATCTCTGTGGCCATATATTAACCAATACGAAGAAACAGCAAAGTGCTTCTTTTAACCATGCAAAATTTGCTTTCCGAATGGCAGATATCGGTAACGAGATCATGCTGTTAGCAAATATCTCGCATAATGAGATGCAACGTATGTATATGTCAGTCCAATGCTTAAGAGTACCGATATTTCCTTCAGCCAACCACAGCAATGGTCGTACAATCCCTATCAACGCAGAACAACTACTCAATGATCTTCTTCTTGCCTATGATGAGAGAAAGCAGCAGCCACAGCAGCTGAAGCCTGTGCTTACCGATGGGCAACATGATTGGAGAAATTTGTACATCTCCTCACTGTATTATGCTATCCATCTTCGTGACATAAATAAATCAATTCAACAAGCTGAACGCTCACTTGCACAAAACCCACATCACATTCACTCCTGGCACTTATTAGCTTTGTTGTATTCTTGCCCAGTCTCAGAATCAAGCGCAACAGCGTCGTTGACACAAGCCGTAGAAACGGTTAGAGTTGGTATAGCCAAATGTGTATCCCAATTAACATCATCCTTGCTATCAGACAGTAACGTAGAAAGCCTCAAGCAAGCTTCTGAAGCGTTGATAGATATGAAAATGACTGAGGCCCTTTTGCTCATGAAAATAGAAGGTGCAGAGCAAGCCTTAACAGCTTTTCAGCAAGCTTTTGGTGCATATGCTCAACTGTCAGACTTGATTGAATCCTACAATAGTCTAAACCAGGCTAGTAATAGTGGCAGTCGGAGTAACAGTTTAGGCTCTCCCGTATCTTCATCTGGTACTATTACAACGATAGGTACTCTCAACAAAGGAGGAATTTCTTCCCGTATTTATGATCGTCAACGAACAACTTCCTCGCCATCGGGTGCTGCAACTGTTTACAATAATGTGTCTACTTCCCCAAAAGCCCGTTCTACCAGAAGTGTGTCCATTTCAAATACCACCAAGACTCTCTCCGTGGCGCCTGAGACGGAAACGATAAACGATGATACTGCAATGAAACAACATCATCCTCTTCATCGAGATCGCCGTCGTCGGTTATTCAGACGCAAGAGCCACAAACGTAATTCGAATCAGCATTCTCTTCCACTATCGCCCTCATCGTTTTCTTTCTTGGAAACCACGAGTGATATAGTAACCGGAAACCAGCAACAGCAACAGCATCAGCGTCGTCCTTCCATACGTTCAACTTTGTCTGCATCATACCAGAAAGATCTTACTGATCCAGAACATACTACACCAAAACGAAGTTATTCTGCTACCATGACTACCTCTGCTGTTACACATCCGTTGTTTGCGAGCCATAGTAAGAGTAGCGATAGCCTTCGTCATTATAGCAGTGATAGTAGTACTACCCATAGCAGTAACAGTACCTATCGCAAAGCTTTGTTTCAAGCAAAGACAGCAAAGACTAGCAATCAGAATGAGAAAAGTCTTTTACGTTGGCGTAAACTCTTAATCTCTCTATGGCTTATGGTTTTCCGAATCTATGCTACTTGCTCTATGCATCAAGAGCAGTATACGGAACAGCAAGATTTTTTAAGAGAAGCTTACAGGGCACTTAGTGAAGCCGAACAAGTTGATCCGAATGATGGCGATCTTTGTTATTATCTAGGTTGCTTAAATCTACTCAGTAGTAGTAGTAATAACAGTAAAAAAGAGGAGATGAAGCAAGTCAGTTTTGATGCTTTTTCGAAAGCTGCCTTTGTCTTTCAGCATGATCTCAGCCAGCGTGCTTTATCGTCTTCCACAAAATATGAATTTGAGTGCTATATCATGGAAACATTTTTTAAACAACAATGCTATGATGTATATGATGATGCTGATGTGTGGTATCAATACGCACAGTTCTTGGCCGAAGCAACAGGAGACAGAGATAACATGACCGATAATGAAAGACTTATGGAAAAGAAATGTTTGCTACATGCTTTGGAACTATATGAGACAATGCCTGCACGTCGTTTCAACGATATACAATCTTTGCCCGTATTCCTGTTGTAAATTCGCTGAAATTATTTTGTTGCCTACCCTTCATCATTCATCTCCTTACATCATGACACACCATCAGCCTTATAACCAAGAACAACGATAATTAAACAATCACTTACATACATAGCAACCCTGTTCAAGACACAGTCTTTCTCATTTTTTTTTTTTTACTTTTTTTTATACAAAAAAAAAAAAGAGTCAAATCAAAGAAAGCCGCTATTATGCTGAGAGTAATACCGTAGAGAGTTTTATGACGTGTTTCCTTTAGTCGCAACCTGCAAGCTTGATTGAAAGTAAATTAACTCGGTACTGCATTTAATGTGGCAGCAATTAACGTTTTGTTTGTGCTATTGTCTGTAATTCGAGAAAAACGTTATTACTTCAGATGCTTAAGCGAGCACGTAGGAAGTCTTTATTTGCGTACTCTACGAATACTATATATAATAATATTGCAGGCATCAACATTACTATGCTAACAGTCGATCTTTTCAAATAACTAAATACATGGGATCATAACAACATGTATTATGACCACTATTATGTTGCTATTCCTTGGAAATATACAATGCGAGATCTTTTTCTAATGTTTTTATTCATGACCTTACGATAACATCGACCAATAACTCTTTATGTAAAAAAAGAAACAACGAGCAAAGGTTGAAGGTAATAGTATGGCCAATTCTTTAATATACTATTTTCTTTATCTCTACCACTCCTCATCAGTTGCAAGGAGATTAAGTACAGTAAACCTCAGTGGTAACGCCTTATATCAAATCTCAATAGCTATAATTATCCCCGGAATGACTTATTAATATTGTTTCAGCAAGACCAAGGTGCTGCATCATGCTCCGTAGTAGATACGTCTATTTCAAAAGTTTTCATGAAACCTGAGGATCTTTCATTGTTTTTGGAAAAAGTCCTTTGCTGAATCCATCGGCTCTTTTCATTTTTTTTAAAAAAAAAAAAAAAAAAAAAGCATTGACAGGCATCCCTTCGTTATTAAGAACCAAAAATGATTTCATAATAGGGAGATTGGGCTTTTGAGGTTACAACTCAAGCAGTCATTGAAAAGCGTGATGAGGAGATTTGTGGTTCATAAAGAGGTCAAGGCAGTATGATTCGATCAAACATCACCGAAACCAAAAAATTTTGAACCGAAAAGGGCCAAAAGAACAAGAATGATCCATGCCTTAGGACAGCTACCGTAATTCAAATATATTGGCGAAAGCTGTAATGTGTCAGAAGGAAAAATTATTGCTGCTGCCATATTGACAGCACAAGCTAAGGCAGCTGTGCAAATTTGAAGTCAATGCAAACCGAAAAAGTGCGCCTAAGCAGATGTTATTAAGTAGATTGTGGAGCCGAAAATGATTTATTACCATGCCAATAACGGTTAGTCTCTGTCAGGAGGCATCAATATCATTTTATATGTACAGAATTGATACCAATTATTGAATGGTTCCAATAATGCAGACATCGGATGGTTACTGCGAGCGAATAGATTTTCTGACTTACATCTTTTCTTGCTATTTTAAAAGTGATCGATGGGATTCAACCGCGGCTACTACAGATTTTTTCTAAGAGAAAGGTCAGAATGGTGAATGGTAACGATATAAATCCAAAGAATGTTACAGCAGTCAGCAAATGGATCTTATTTCAGTTGCAAAAACCGTTTATAGTTGCAGAAAAATGCAGTCGCTTACTATACGTTAGTCACACCACTTAAGAAACAAAATCAATCAAAAATGAGCTCCAAAAAAGACTATGTAGGCAAACACCAGCAGAACGCTGTTTTGTGATTGCGAAAGAAGGTTTTCAATCAAGTGTAGTTAAATACGTTTTAAGTTATTGACGCGTTTAGCGCTACATAGTAAGCGGATTGGCCAATCAGCCAATTTGGAGCTAAAACTGTCGTGGCTACCGGTGAAAGAGGGAAACACCGCGATATCGGAGACGTGGAGCAAAAATCTCTTGAAAAATTCTGAAATATCCTCATTGAAGAACACCGTATGTCAAGCTTCCGTATGTTTTGCTTTACGAACAAGAGTAATCTCAAGATAAAAGTTGTTGCTGATGTTAAAGAAAAAGCATGTAAAAGGTGTAATAGTTTGTATTAGCCAGAATCGTCCTTTGTCCTTCACAATAAACCATCAAGTCTCACTTTCTGCAATATCTAATAGTCTAAAATCTCTCATATACATATACAATACTAGTCAAAATTGTTCCCTTTCTGATAACTTTGCAGCATTAACCTTTCCGTAATTCTAAAGTGCCAGTTGTCCGCACTCATAGTATTTCTCCCACGGAAATAAAAATGATGGACATTAAAAAAGTCAGTGAGATTGTGCCTTTCCTTTTTTAATGGCAGTTTCTTTTAGATTTTCACTCCTTTTCTTGTTAAGAAAAATTACTGTTCACGGCCACTACTCACTGAATTTCATCCATTCTATTTCAAAATAAACAGAGATTGTCTTCATCGCTTCATTCATAATGAGAAAGAGTCAAAGAGTGGATACTATTATGGTAAGGCGTACACTACTTGTAGATCCGGTCAATCATCTAAAGGCAGTAGCCTTAACAAAACCCTTTCATACGTTCCCTAATACAGAAGCGTGATAGAGAAGACGACATAAGTAATCCAAGCACTACAAGAAGTATTTTTAACAAAAAAAGAAAAGCGAACGCCGTAGCAATACCCATCGCAATTCCTGTACGTAGTCAATGACAACATTTAGTTTTGTTTCTATATTTTGCGTGATTTATTCATTTGTTTAATCTCCATTAGGGTCAACACAATACTTCGAGAATAGGTATTACTCATACACTATCATTATAAATGACGCTATAGCTCGATTCAATTCGAGAAAAAAAAAGGCAGGATAGTTGATTTACTGTTGATTTATCTTCAATAGCGGGAATGCATACCAGTCAGCAAAGCAGTACCTGCTACAGGAATAGAGGAAGCATCAACGGACCTCTTACGACTGTCTTGAATCGTAGTGACCCTTTATCTACAGTACGTGAACAATCTACTTATACACAGTCTACATCAGCTATTTCTTCCAACAGTTCTACTACGATTCTGAAAAATGAACAGATCAAAAAACGACGCTTACGGCGAAGAGAAGTTGATTCACCTTCCACTAACCGCTTACAACAGCGGTCAGCTGCGAAAGAAGTGATAGAAATTGATGACTCGGATGAAGACAACAACAATGACGAAGAAGTGGATGATGAGATAATGCTCGTTAAAGAACCTACTGTGGTAATCCCAATTGAAGGCAATCGAAAAAGTGTCGATACCTCTTCGTCTGCAATCAACAAGTTCAAATCATCCTCTGACATATTGCCGTCATATTCTCCAATCTCTAATACAACAACATCAGCAGATTCTGATGCGGCTGCAAATGATAAACAAACCAAGCCTATATCTAATGCAAAAAGCAGTAATAACGATATTATATCAGCCATGGCAAAGATGACAGGCCCTAAACAATCGACAATCTTTACGAAATTCAGTTCTACTACTAAAAAGGAAAAAGCGGTATTGCTGCAGCAACAAAAGCAAAAACAAAAACCACAATCAAGTAATATTATAACCTCTAATAGTGACAGTAATTCTGTTAAGTTGAATGCTGGCAATCAGTTATATGCTCCGGCGAAGAGGAACTCCACTCGGCAATCCTCATTCGAAGCCTCGCATGTCCAATTATCGCAAAATAATACAGAGAAAATAATTGGAAATGAATTACACCAACCTTCTTTACAGCTACCTCGGGCTAACAATGCGGTTAAGCGACAAACCTTCTTTGCCAATACAAAGATTAATAGCAATGCAATATCTGCCGCTTCATTAGCCTCGAAAGCAGTCGCCGGTGGAGTTAGCAAAGAAAGTGATTACAGCCTTTGCTTATCTCCGTCCCCACTTACAGGGCCTTTATCACTTGAACAGTCATCCTCGCTCATTCTTCAAAACCGACCTTCTTCATACACATCAAAACCAAGTTTAGGTAGTGAAAATAGCAAAAGTACAACAGCGGCTGCACATACGGCACAACAAAATAGTGTGCCTGAATATACATCCAATATGTATAAGAAGTTTTTGAACCAAAAACGAAGCAGATCATCCCTACAAGATGATGACGTAGCATCAGCATTAAAGAAAACCAATGAATTATTATTGAGGTCCAGGACTTTCAAGAAAAACCTCACCGACTCTAAAATTGCATACAGTACCAATGCCGTTAGTAGTAAGAAGTACAAAATAGCATCTTCCTCCACAATAGAACATTCGAGGAGCCATGAGGTGTCACTAAAGAGGCAGAAAGTCAAATCTGATAGACTTTCTTCAGCGATAGGCACGTCTTCACTATCCTTACCATCCGTAGAAGTTGCTGCCGAAAGTGGAAATGATAGAAAGAAGGATGTCAACAACATGCAGAGTAATAAAGAAGAAGAAGAAATTACTTCTGATTCATCGGATAAAGGGTACAGTACGGCACCTCCCTCACCTCAGTCAGTAAAAGCCTCACCTCCAAGATCTTTGTCACCTCCTACAAGATCAAAAATTTCAAAAATTCAAGTAAAACGAATCGAATATGATCCCATTGATGACTACAAGATTGAACCGATCGGAGCGGATGAGCATTATTTATCATATCCTTTTACTAAAAAGAAAGCCATCACAGTATTTGAATGCGATTACGAGCGTTTAAACGAAGATAATTACTTGAATGATACCCTGATTGATATCTTCCCAAAGATTTGGCATGATGATTACCCTCAGAACTCTGACGATATACATACTTTTAGCTCCTTTTTTTTTACAAAATTACATACGCGATACGGTCAGATTGATTATGATAAGGTTCGCCGATGGACTTCTGAATTGGATATTTTCAAAAAGCGTCTATTAGTAGTCCCCATCAACCAAAATAACCACTGGTTTTTAATCGTTGTCCTAAATCCTGGCTATTGTATTCGCAGTAAGAAAGAGTCGACAGATTGTATTGCCGTTGAAATGGACGAAAATCATAATGAAAGAACAACAACAATAGCAAAATCAGCACACAGAAAATATTTGACCGCTGGACAACCCTTAGATCGAAGAAAGTAAGTCTTAATTGTACACCACTTTCTTCTCATTTAATATTTACTCATCGTTACTCTAATAATGAACATAATGAATATAGACCATATATACTGACATTAGATCCTCTTAGTCTCAATAAGCAAGCTACAGCGCGTGCTGTTTGCACCTACCTTAAGCTAGAAGCGAAAAGTAAACTAGGCCTAGATGTAGAAGATTTTCTTGAACCGCAGTATGTCATGGTCTCATGTCCCGGCCAAAAAAATTACACAGATTGTGGCGTATTCTGCTTACACTATATTGAAGCATTATACGCTCGAACAGACAGAATGATTGAGGCGTTATACGTAAGTGCTATTTGTAGACACACTCTTTGCAAAGCCCCGTTTAATTTGTATTTGTATATTTCAGGAAAATCCTCGTAAATACAGTGAAGTTTGGGACGAAGAAGGAACTTTGATGTTTTTCAGGGAACAGTTGAAGAGAATTTTGAAAAGGAAAATGCAAAAATACAGGGATTATTTGCTTCAGAGTATGTCTGCAGAGACATAGCAACATCAATTGGAAAAGTGACGTGAACTTTTGCTGAACTTTTCTATAATTGGTGATTTATATAATTTATGAACAGTTCCAGCTGTAATAGTAGTATACCCCTTTCTGTAAATACTAACCATACGTCAACTTATTTGCAATATTATGACACTGTAAATACAAAAGTAATATGAGAAATGACGTCAACGCATAGCCTTTCCGCTGCTGCTATTCTCTTACAACTGCTGATGAACAGTTAACATTCTGTTGAACTACTGCTAGATTTTAAAAAAGACTGCTTGACATAAAAGAAATAATAGACAAAGTAGGATAACTCTGAATATAAATTCATAGTACACCACGCTCGTTGGTATACGGATTGTAACTTTAGAGAACAGATGTTTACTTTCTTAATTTACAACAAAATCCTCTGTCTTATGCAAGCTTTGTTGGCAAAACCGCTTTTAGAAAAACATAGAGTGCAAAATATACAGAGTTTGAATAACTTCTTGAATTTTATGTTTATTCGATTTTCACAGTTGAACGAAAAAGTGCAAAGCCATAGAAGTTTGATCGCGTGCTGCATTGTGTACTACGGTAGGGATTGATGTATTTAAGTTATAGCCTTAACAAATAGGCATATATTTTCAAGAGTAGGAAGCATGGCTCACCCCACTAATCCTTCCCGCCTGCATACAACTTCTTCATCACAAATTTCATTATTCGTCTGTATATTTATTTTGAGGGCATGCTAGTCATTATATCTAGATGCAGATCCTCCCTCTGTAAATATATATACTTAGGTTTCTATCTTGTTATATACTGTATTTAAGATAGCCAATATATGAGATGTAATATAGATAGACCGTAGTACAATGTATTCTTTATCTCATTTTTAAGTATTGTAATTGTTATCTCAACAAACGCATCAATGATTGCTGCTCACACTTGTGTTGTCTTGGAGGCTACAAAATTATAAGCATTTTCAAGAGTCTCTACTTTTTTCTTTTTTTTTTTTTTTTTTTTTTTTTGGTTTAGGAACCTGTCCATATAAAGAGACTCGGTAAATAGACATTCAACGCTCGGTTGCCACGAATATTCTTGCCTGTGACAGCAAAGATGAAATTGATGACGATCATTGCAGCAGGCCAAAGTTTTGGTCTTTTTCAACTTGATGATCAGCTTCAGGCTACGAAGAATATTGCCTCTTGCATATCGTACCTAACGGGAATTTGAGGTGCTTTTTTTTTCATTTATTTCTCCATCGTGTTCCTAATGGCATCACAGTACCACTTCAGTTTGTTAACTTCTTTTCAACAATACTCTAAGTGACAAGCCCTGCGCCTCTTGTTATATATCAACCTGCTTATCTTTGTGAGCACGCTTAAATTTTTAGAAGATACCCAAATCAGTTTTAGTCGAAAGCGAGTTACTCACATTCTAGAACTGTACAGCGGGAGACACATAAAAATGCCTGGCTTTACGTCAGAAGAAGGCAAATCATTAGCTACAATATCCGCTTTATGGTCACAAGCAGACTTACTAGCAATAATATCGATGTCTCTTAATAGAGGCTTCAATTTGGTTTTGAACGATGATGAAAGTAATGCTCGGGCATCACAAGGGAGCTTCGACAACAAAACTCCAATTCTTCTTTATTTAAAGTGGCCAATTTCATTGTCAAACTCAGTGTAATGGCAAGTGATCTACGGAGCTAACTATCAGTTCTTAGCCTAAGGCGATACACAACAGGAGTGTTGTATCCAAGATACAACTATACGTCTTAAACTACAGAACGACTTCAGTACCTGCTTGACAATCTGATACACATCTACTTTGACACCCGCTTGCGGCTAAGATCTTATCATTCTCATGATAGGTTTAGTTCAGTTGTATTAATAGTTGAATACCCGTTAATAACCCCGTTTCTCATATAAAAGTATCATTCTCAACAAACTTGAATAAAGGGTATCTTTGTTGTGTCTGGTCATTTTACTGTCTTATTTTATTTTTATAAGTCTTTTAAAGTAACTGGATATATCAGTCCACTTTCCTTTGTGCTTAATACATTCTTTAATACGCTTTGGCATGCTGTCAATTACTTTTCTACACTCCGCAACGTCAATTTTGTTATACCAAATCTCAATAACACGTTCGTTGTTGAGTTCATTCATACCCTGCCTTAGGTGCCGTTTCATACTCAATTAACCTCCTCTTTAAAATAGATCACATATTTTCTATGGGATTCAAGTTGGGAGATTGCGCCGGCCACTGCATAGTCTGGTATGACGATGAGTAATCTTTGCCCCCAAATTGGAAGTATGCTTAGGGTCATTGTCCTGCTGGAAAATCATCTGGTCACGTCGTAGGTGCAATTCTCGCGCGCCCATTCCAAAGTCTTGTCTAAATCATCTTGAAAAATCTCCTTATACAATGTTTTGTCCTTGTTACCATCAATCTTGCAGAAATAACCAACTCCGGCGTACAGTATAAGAAAGGAAGAATGACGTAATCATACAGTATGTTGTTACACAAAGCTGCAAATAAGAAATACTTGATTTTGGGCTAAATGCAAAATGATACAAATATGATTCAGTGTACTCTATTTTAGCGTACCTGATGCAATGATAACGCATCATTATCATGTAGAGAAGCTGAAAAATATATACAGTAAAGGCGACATTTTTACACAGTTTTCCCCATTACACTCTCACTTTTACCTCTCACAACTACTTCTCTACAATGCCATATAAACTCAGTAACGACAAACGAAGTGACGTCATTTCAATGATCAAGGCCGGAAAGGGTACTAAGGACATTGTACAAGCCACTGGAGTGTCTAAAGCCCAAGTTGTTCGCATGAAAAAAGAACATGATCCTGATCGCATTAAATCTCGTGGTGGTAGAGTCAGTATTGTGTCCAATTACACAAAACGAGTCATATCTTTTAGAGTCCGAAAAGGTTTCTTATTATCAGCAAAGGATGTCCAAAGATATCTGTGGTCTCTTGGTTACAAATTATACTACTCTTCCACAACAAGACTCATGAGATCCCTTGGCCTTAATTCTCTATATAAAAAAAAGAAGCCTTTAATCAAGAGAATCCACCAGAAAAAGCGATTGCAATGGGCCAGAAAACACCGTAACTGGACTGTAGAGGACTGGAACCGTTTCCATCCAGCTACTGGTGTATTGCAAGGTTCCATTCTCTCCCCGTTTCTGTACTCGCAGTACATCAATGGATTACCACGAACATTGAGAACAAAGGAAATTTCCGACAACTCTAGTCCTCTACAGCTTGCCTCTGCACTTAACTGCCTCCTATATGCCGATGATGTTGTCCTGATAGCCTCTCAAGACGAAATGTTGTGCAACCTACTTAGCCAATGTGAACGTTACAGCTTTGAGCTTGGATTCAGATGGAACCCCTAAAAATGTGTGATTGTTGTGTACGGGTAAGATATAATAGTGGAAAGAATAGAAAGACAAAGAGAAAGTCTGTGAAAACTTGTGGTAGGTTTATTAAGAGTCGATTAAGACAAAGACTCGTTCTACACTTCAACTTGGGATCATATTTATACTTTTCAGGAACTTGATCTGAGAATGAGATGTACCTTGCGGAGTTCTAGAATTGTAAAACCTGGAAATTTCTAGGAAATCAGAACAGTAACATGAGACATGTTTAATCATCCATATCATTGATATCAGTTGATACGACTATGTGGAAGAATACAATTGGATATTCATAGGCGGATATAGATATGTTAAGAGAATATGGAAATTGCTGGAATAGACATGATCTTTCTGGATAATGTCTGGGTCTATATGTAATGAGTGAATACTTTTCATTAGAGAGGTTTCATTCGATAAATATATCAATATGGCCTGCTCTCAATTCATAATATTTTAGTGATTTTTATCTGTTTTTCCTGTATATTATACTTTTCTCTTGTTTAATAAAAAGTAGTCTAGCTTATCTTTGATGTATCCACATCAATGTTGTATATATGAGCCAGAGTTATTACATAATGATCGGAGTTATGACATTAGGAGTAACCATATAGCCAAAATATGAGATTATACTTCTTCTAGAATCTTGCACAGTTGAAATACAGCGACTGATATTAATTATGATCTACAAATGCTACATATGAGGTTAACAGATCCATAGTACATAGTACTTCAATAATTATTCACTCTTTCACGATGATCTGTCAGAAAGCGGACATTGGTTAGTGGTCTTATCATTCTATTTATATATTCGTCATCCAATTGCTTACAGTCCGATCCACTAACCTCTCAATGAGTAAGTA